AGGATGCTGTTGAAATGCTCACTAATTCTACAAGATAATCGACTGCCTTATTCATGTGTATAAGAAAGTAGAAGAACTTATCAATGAAAGAAACAAAGTTATAGGTCTTTTTTTTTCTTTCATTTTACTCGCCAGAGCTTAATCCGATGCAACATTTTTTGGGCTTTAGTCAAACGTAGATTTAAACGTCATAAACTCCATGATATCGAAACTATTGAAAGCAAAATTATTGAAGTTGCCAATCAGATTCCTATTGAACATCCCGTAAACATCATTGATCATATGAAAGCAGTTCGTTAACTGCTTGGACTATGTATCGATTCAGTTGATGAATTCACGACTTAAACTCTTTACGATCCACGAATATAACTTCGAACAATGAGCGAATGTTTTTTTTGCTGTGCCTCAAATGTTTATTGAAATTCCAAATTTTTATTTTCAATGAATGTATTGACAGGCCCATAACAATTTCATATGAAAGACGTTGTTGTATGCAAACACGTCTACTAGCATCACTATCGTGTAGGTTCTAAATTTTGACATTCGTCGTTGCTGGATAATGCACATACTTCAGTTGTTGAATGCATTAGCGCTCCTCCGTTGGATGATTTTGTTGCTCTTGCTGAACACGGTCCCATTTAGTAGTCATATTCGCGATGCTTGTGTGATATTTGATGACTCGCTAGGTAGCAAAGAGCACTTGAAATCAATACAAACTGCTTAACAAGATCAAACTAGATCCAGCGTTTAATTAGCTACGATAATTGGCTTTGTGGTATTCGCTAAATTTTGATTATAGGACTTAAAATAAAAGTATATCACAAAAGTCAACACGAAAGCTTAACGAAGTCAAACCACTATCTTATTTCTCTTTCAAAAACAAACTAAAGAAAAAGAAAAGAAAACTAAAATTACTGCTATAAATAAAGAGTTATACTGTTTGTTGTCTACGAAATGATTGTATCGAGATCTATAGCTGACACTGATGTACTATGGTCGGATACTACTCAGTGAGTAAGAGGCTTTCTAAAGAATAGATCTTCCCTTCAGGTGAATAATTACTTGCCCATTCCAAAGCGGAATGATTTGTAATGTGCTATCCTGGCAGATCCAGGGTGATCATGCAGCTACATCTATAATGCAATATCTATCGGCCACCAGTTGTATAGCTCAGATACTGTGGGAATGATTATAGATGTTAGCTAGGAAGAGATAATCGTGCGTGGTGTTCTTTTGATTGCATGAACAGTTGTTGTATTAATAAAGAGTAATTGAGCCTTTTTTATATCCAACTATACTTTATTTCCAGAACAGGGAGCAGTAACGCGACTTACTATGTTCTGGTTGTTGAATTAATATATCCTACGAGTATATATACCAATTCTGCTATAAACCTAAACGTCATATAGCCATAGATAAACTAAGTGGAATATATTTCATAAAGATAACCTGTTCAGTTCTTATGTGAGGTAACTAATCTCACATGAGAACTATCCTTAATCCATATTCTTTTCTTATTTTATCTTTATTTGTTATACATTTGATCTAAGGTTCAAATGTATGCAATTGAACACACCTCTTACCAAACGGGAACGAAGATATGAGCAGTACTCATACCTGAGATTAAAGTTTTATTTTTTACGTTTCGTTGAACATTTTGAATGATTTACTCATATTATATATTGCCATCAAGCCTCAAATACAACAAGCTTACTATAAGTTCAATATTCCCTTCCTACAGAACGTAGAAACTGGCAGCTGAGTTGCTGAACGTCTTTCCAACTGCAAAGGATAGAATCCATTGTATTTGAGACGCGATGGTAGAAGTCTCACAAATAAATTAGCTTATATCTACAATACAACCTTGTTAATATATCCAGCTTATAGAAATTTGTAAAATAAAGACAGTAAAATGACCAGATACAACAAAGATACTCTTTATCCAAGTTTGTTGAGAATGATACTTCTATATGAGAAATGGGGTTATTAACGGGTATTCAACTATTAATACAACTGTATTAAAACTAGCATAAGAATGATAAGATCTTATGTGGTATTTGACGACTTGTATACTAAAATAGCTCTTAAATTAAAAATCAAAAAGCTTAACGAGATCAAACTAATAGGATTTTATTTTGAATCAAGTTAAGTTCAAAGAGAAGAAAAATATCTACTGCAAAAATTCAAATATCTTCTTCATATTGTGGAACTTAGAAATTGACAGCTGAGTTATTCTAAAAGAAGACGTACGTCTTCTGAACCGTAAAATAATAGAATTCTCCCTCGAGGAGCCTACGCATCTACCCGGAGCGGGTGGACTTGTAAACGTATCCATGGCTTGATCTAGTGATCATGCAACTAACCTATTTTCCCGTGCTAACTATTATGTAGCACTGCTTGCAGGAAAATAGTATTAATTAGGAAAATGGTATTCGTGCGTGGTGTTTGAGTTGAGTGAACAGTTATTCTTAAAGGATGATCACAAACTATTATCTTGTAATCATTCTTTATGCCGAAGGCAGAGAATATTACTTATAACCTATTATACCTTGGTGTTGAATCAATATATCCTGCATGTCCATATATTAATTCTACTATATATCCTATGTCATATAGTAACGTATTACAGTAAAATAAGTAAACTATATATCCTAAATGACAACCTGTTCAGCCTTATACGAGGTAGCTAATCTCGTATAAGAATCATCACTTATTCTATATTCGTTTCCTACTCTACTTTATATTATTTCAGCAGTAATGAGGTGTGAGGATCTTGTATAATTTGTATACGAGTTCTCCACATCTCATATGATGCTGTCAACTAAACACAACACTTAATTCACGGTACTCATATATTAGAGTTTATGTAGTTTTGAATTATTTCTGGTTTGCAATATTGTATAATTCATCTTTATCCTTCATAAAGTGAATTATGTCTTTAATATTTGTATATAATCTACCCTCAAATACGACACTGCCGACGTCTACGTTTCAGTCTTATTGAATTCTGTCAGAATGTAAAGATTTAAAGTAAGGAATCAACAAGTTATATAATAGCTTAAGTAGATTAGATTTATGTATTGTGGTTTGTTGCTAAATAAAGTTATCTGATTTGATCAAATCGAAATACTATAATATCTTATTTCTAAGTGAAGTCAATTACTCGTCCAATATTGTCTCGGATATACAGATGAAATATTCTTCCGTAAAAGAAAAGAATTGTTCTAACAAATCTATCACTTACGGTTATTCTAACCTTCATAAGAATCCGCAATCTCTTAGAATTAGCATTGTTTACAATGCTAATTCTAAGTTATCCGATTTAACTTCCGATCTACTACGATATCTCTAAATCGCTCCTTGCATTACATAATAATTTGCTTTACAATAAAATGATATATCACGTGTATTCTACTAATTTAACTCCGAAAGACCTTGTTGTTATTGGATAATTATAAATTTTACGTTTCACAAATATAGCAATCTTCGGTAGTATAGTGGTGAGTATCCCCGCCTGTCACGCGGGAGACCGGGGTTCAATTCCCCGCCGGAGAGTTTTTATATTCTTTGATACTGTGGTGCGTGTAGTTCCGTGCTCGGGTATGATGTCCGCTACTGGTGTTTTCTTTTTTATGGTGGTTGATTATGGTATACGATACTTACAATGACGGCTGGTCGACTGGTAATTCCAATACAATGACTTCAGTGCTTCGTCAGGTTAAAGGTCACTTTAAACGATGCAGCTAAGCGCTTCGTAGAAATTTGGCAGCAACATTCGTATTGTAGTTGCTCATATATGCTTTTCCCATCACTATCTATTAGAACATCTGCTTTATATCTCTAATTATAGTTATTGTTGATTCCTCGTACCTGGACCAAAAAAAAAAAAAAAAAAAAACATCTCTTTTGATTAACTCCTTGGTGTTTAGTAAGGTTGCATATTCTATCATTGATTCATGTATCAAATTCGATCGTCAAGTTTTTGTTGACTTTCTGTCCCTTTCCTTCTGTCTATCAATTTTACCATCTTTCCTGTCCTCATTCAATTGAACTGGACCTAAAGGTATGTAAATTCACATCGCGGTGATCAATAACTCGTTGACAGCTCTTAGACATTCTTTAAAAATACCATTAGTACTGCATCACTTCTAAAAGGCTGTGATCTTTTAATTAAATGCTCTCCAGCGGCTTAAATGTTCGTGACCCTTACGACACGCTTGCTTTTTGAACCTTACAATTTGTTCTTCATTGACTAATTTGCCTTAATCAGCTCTGCAATGCGTCTCATGCTACTGGAGTACTCTACGCTTCCCTCAATGATACCTATAGTCCATAAGTTGAATTTTCGTTTTCTTTTCGCACAGTTTCCATAAAATTTGATGTAACGAAGATTGAAGGAAAAGTTTTCCTTGAATGATTCGCTTACTCTTCTTTTTAAAAACTTAATTTGATACACATCCATTGATTTAGCACTTCAACGTAAATCAATAATAATAGCTATGCGGCATTGAATATGGGGCTCCTCTAAACTTATTTTTTTATGTACGGTATATTCACGAGATACTCCCTCTTCATTACAAGCCTTTATTATGCCTTATAATCTATGTAGTCATTGGTCTCTTCTTTGACGATGCATTCGAGAGCCACAGTCTTATTGGATGTATCGCAAGAATATCGTTTTCATATTTTTTGAAAAGTTATCATTCGTGATACTGGGTGATTCATGAAAAAAAAAGAAGGCTCGTTCATTGAAATTCTATCTTTAGCAGTCTTACTAACAACTAAGCAATGCGTCAAATACTTGATAAGATCAACCAACAGGAGATAGTTACAACTGTCATTGAGCAATTTAGATCTCTTTCTATAATTTCCACTAAGATAATATAGAATTGATCCTGAATAAGGACGAAACACCTTGAGGCATAGTAATTACGAACTACGTAAATTGCAGGAAGTAAGTTAAATATAAAATTAACTGAAAATTAGCAATAGCATTAGTGCTCTCCATAGAGATATAGTTTAATAGTGTAGATAGTAACGATAAGAATGAGTACAGTGATGAAATGTATGTGTTTGAATGAATTTAAGTTTATGCTTCAGCCTTTTCGTACAGATGTTCATCCATATGCTGGTCTTCCTTTATAACGGCAGGATTGCTAGAAACCTTCAAATCATCGCCATCAACATGGCCACCAACTAGAGTAGTAACTGCATGTCCATCTTTCAAGTTATCAATAGTCTCAACAGTCACATCAGGAACGGACCAAGAAACACCATAGGCGAGAAGGAGGCCAACAAGATTAATGACCATAACAACAATAAGCTGAGTCATATATCCAACCTTTTGCGCTTCGAGTTGGTTAGCAATGGCATTCGCAGCATTTTGAATTGTCTTATAGAAACCACCATAACGAGTAGCCCTTTCAGTATCGTTAGTCATGGTACCCATAAGCCAGTAAATGAAGCCTTGATACACAGCATCAATTAAACCGAAGAAGGCGTATTCAATAATCAAGCCCGGATATTCCTTGTCAAAGACGTCAATCTTAACGTAAGAAGGGAGGCTGACAAATTCACGAGTAAAATTTTTTTGGATGAAAATACAACCAACCCAAAGAGCGAGAATGATAATGAAAGTAATAGTGTTGCCGTATAAGGCACGTTGCTTACGAGTGCCAAGTCTATGAGAATCAAGGAACCAACCAAAAAGACCAGCACCTATCATTTGAAACAACCAATATAATACGTTGTTCAGAGATCGAGCACGTTTTGTCATGAAGCCAGGGCCATTATAAACGTTGAATTGGTAGGTATAGAACCAATTGGAGCCAGCGAAGAGTGGAATAAGAATAAGCATGCGCCAGTCTTTGAAAAGCTTAAACACTTCCAATGCTTCACGCTTCCAGTTGGAAATTTTTGGAAGAGAAGCATGTGAGCCATCAGAACGTACAACTTTGTTGGCAGGAAGAAGGGCCAAACTCAATGCTGCACCAAATGCCATGATAACCATGAAGGCAATATATGTTGTGGTCTGGACTTGGGGCATGCTTCCAGCATTCCATTCATTACCAAGAGGAATAGCAGCACCAAGAGTAGCACCTCTAATCAATGAAAAGTAAAGCATTAACTTCAGAAAGGCATTAATGGTAGTATAATTACTTACAGATTGAATACCACCCAAAAGACAGAGAAAGCTTTACCCTTATCCTTTTCAGAAGGATAAGACATCATAATGCCTGCCTGAGCCGTCCATAAGAAACCAGCACCAATACCAAGAATAGCACCAGCGGCGATAGTGAAGTTATCATTTTTAGAAAGGAAAGAACCAACGTAAAGGACATAGCAAAGAGCGGCAGGGATAAGAACTCTATTACCGAAAAGGTTATACCTATTGTTTGAAACAACAATTATATTAAATAATTGTTGTTAATGATAGTCATAAATTTGGTTACTATCTTATTGTTTAGAACAACTTACACAGGAGCACCAATCAATGAACATATCGTAAATGTTACTGCTGTGGCAGTGCCAGCGTTTGTCGCAGCTTCTGTGGACGCTTTACCTTGTCCACCTATACCAGTCAAAGCATTAAACATACCAGGACAACAGAAACAGATCATACCCACAATAAAGATCTGGACCATTGGGCTGTTATAACGTATCAAACCCATTTTTTTTTGTAAGAAATCAAGTTGTTGTTTGTTAAAGAGTAAAGTTACTGCCTAAGAGATGAAGATACAGAGAAGAGTAATGTTTTCAGAGGGGATAAAGGATAATGCTAATAGTTTCAATGTTTGAATTGTGATCTAAAAGAGAAAGAAGACGAAGCAAACCAGAAACTAGCGTATTTTATATATAAAACACAAAAAGAAAGAGAGAAGAAAAGATCAGGAAAAAAAAAAAAAGGGTTTTCTAAGAAGAAGAGCGAAAGGGTAACTTGTACCATCAAGCAATTCAGTCTATCCAGGGTCTTCACGAGTAAAGTAAACAGAAAGGAAATATAAAGTATTGGTACATTAGGTTTCCCAACTGTACTACAACTCAAAAGAGGAAACTATAAAGCACAAGCATGCTTTTCTGTGGTTGTTGTTAATGCCTTTTTTCCCAAGCTTGAACAGCTGTACTTCCCTCTTTAAATACGATAGCATGATTACGTTAGTTTCCTGTGAGAATTGGATAAAGTAAGACAGAAATTTGATTGATGGTCGTGTTCATGTTTGCCCTACCTAATTGGAATACTTTGTGATCCACCATTTCCTTCTCATTTTATATACATAAATCACTTCTACTATAATGTCAACAGCTTTGACGACAATCCAAAGGCAAAGTTTGAAGTGGCCTCGCGTTTGAATAATAAAGCTTTAGGCAATCCTTTGACACCAGAAAAAAATAAGAAAAAATAGCCACTGAAAATGAAAGACAAAATGTCCATTTGTATGCTTTTCTTAAGCGGTACGCCCACTTGGTTGTACACAAAGAAAATCATGAGATCAGAATTCTTGCTTATCTCAACGTTATGCTCCCGGGAGCGCTAAAACCCTGCAGGACCCTGTTGACCTAGCCGCATTCATGACGGTTGCAAAATCCCTTTATGATTAGCCTTACTTTGCTGTACATTGACCTTCAGTGTTGTTTTAATGAAGAATTAAGAAAAACGTAGCAAAGTTACAATGCTCGAAGTAGTCGCTGATGTTCTGATACATTTAAGCAAAATTCAGTCAGTCTTATATTTGGAATTAAAAGCATATTCACAATACTTTTTCCACATTAATCGATGAGATATAGTGGAAAATCTAAATGTTTATTACTACAACGAAGAAAGTATAGTGTCTATGATCTTCTCTCAGTAGCTTTATATTTAATAAATGCAACCAAGTTCATCAAAGCTTCATCACATCTTGCTCGTAAATCAAAATTCTTTCGACGGTCCACAGACTTAACCATTGACTTAAATAACGGCAGCAGTTGCTTCAAGCGATTGTTGAAGTTGCCCTGCACATACACTGGTTCATCGTAATCAAAAGCACAGTCACTATATGTATCATAGATAACATTTAAGGCTTCAACTACAACATCAACTTGAGACCTTTGAGAGCAAAGGTTACCCAAAAGGTCCATGACAAAAACACCAATGTCCTACAATAAAAATAACGAATGATAAGAAGTCAAAAAACTACTGCAATTTAAGAAGCACAGATACCCCATATTTGTAACAATATTTTGGGTCAGTCAATGTAACACGTTACCTTATTGGTGCTGATATCACCTTGTCTTGTGGCAATGGGTCCTAGAGTACCTACAATTTTAACGCGCATAGAATCGATACTGGATGCAGTGAATGCAGCGCACAACATAGGGACATGAGATGGTTCTAAAGGCTGTTAAAAAATGAGAAGGTTAAAAACTGTCGAAGCTAACCACTACATTGTAGTAGCGCTGAATTCTGATTATGTGATCTTTCCCCATTTTGTTTCAGGGCCCAGTATTATCTAATGAACCCCATCATCCCTGATCACCATACTTTTTTGTCAAATCATCATTTCCCTTTTCTCTCAAACTTTAACTTACAATATTCTGACCTAGTCCACGTCCTAATGCCCATAAACAGCCAACAATAATTTCGAGTAAATCATTTCTATCTTGCGATTCCGGTGCGGAACCAATTGTGTTTGCTGTGGAAAATAGCCATGACCAAGTTCTTTTAGCTTCCTCTACGTGTTCTTTGAACCAGAACTGCGAGGGAATGTCGTTCATGGCAAGGAAGAAATTATTCAGACATTCTAGAGCACGCTGATGTGTAAGAGCCAATGATGGTGTAACACCGAAGTTCAATGTAGGGTTTTGAGGGAAGGATAGTACTGTCGGAGTAGAGAGTTGTATCAATCTGGGAAAGACTTCCACCGTGAACATGTTTATCACAGGGCTGGAACGCAAAGCATTCTCTTCAACAGCAGCAGAACTTCCACCTAATTTCTCCATATCGTTGAAGTATTCGTCAATATTATCCTCTGTTAATTTGTCGGCCATACCATCCGCTTCGGCCTCGTCCATATTCTCATCTGAATCCTCCCAACCATCCTCTAGAAGAACCAATAATTTATTTAGTAACAGCGCCCTTTTCTCTGCAGAAATAATCTATCTACACTTGTCACTTGATGTGGATGAACTCCTGATCTATGGCTCCTTCTTTTTCCCAAACCACATATGTAATCTGTGACCCTAAATTTTTGTCCAACAAAATCGAAGTATTGAAAACTTACCATCTGATTCATCCTGTAAGCAAATATTAGATAACAGTTCCAACGACAACTGTAAGGTTGTTAAGCGTTCTATTGTATTGTTAATATAAATCTAAATATTTCATATCAATAGCTGCTTCTAATGCTACTGCATAATCCATCTTATTCCTTACGTCTTGCTGAGTGAGGGGTTGTTTCGGCTTGGGGGTGATTTCAGTTGATTCGTCATGTCTAGTAACATTCTGAAAAAACAATGTATTCATTCAAAATTCATACTTAATCATTGTCGCCTATCCCACGTGAATCTAAGTATCACACTTACCCCACTATCAATGGCGACTTTGCATTCATTTGCAGCGTTTTGTATATCAAAGTCAAGTGAGGAAATTAAAATAGGCATAAACTTTCTATTCAACTCTTCAACGGCGTCTCTTTCGTCATCCCAAGAACCAGACAATTGTACAATTTCTCTGATATTCATCAGAATAGCTAAATACAAGGAACCTATTAATATGTATCCTGAAGAAAAAGCCAATTGATCCAATTATCTTACCGCAGCATAGAACACGAACAAGAATCTTCTCGGGACTGTCAAACTTATCCAAAATATTAAGCATTGTTTGAATATAGTCAGGATGATTTTGAAATTCAATATATATATCCTTATTGTCATCAGTTAGGGTAGTCAAGCATTGACCAGCAGCGATAACAACCTTAGTCGGACACTGATCTGCAGCTGATAAGAATGAGATCAAGAATGCAATAATATTGAGACGGTTAATTGCTTTGATATAGTTGTCAGAAGTTTCACTACATCAAAAAAAAAGAGGATGAGTTGTCATAAAATAGAATACTTATGGCATTTGACCGGCTCGCATACCTCAAACTCCAAATAATATATATAAAGTTCTCTGCGACATCCCATATAGAGGTTCTTCTATCTTGATCAGCTTCATCAGCAAGCGAAGCATCTTTCAGGACCAAATCAATAATATGCGAGATCTACATAATAGAGTTAAAGTCAATATGCAGTCCGTCTAGCAAACTATTTAACAGTCTTACTTGAGGAAGCATAGCGCTCAATGGCGTTAAGATACCCTTAGCAAAGTATTCATGACAGACAGCTGGATCAATTGAACAAATATTTCTACGATGATCATAAGTTCAACAAAAACCATAAGCTACCACAAATATTACTCACAGCGAGTATATTCTCATAGCGAGGCATACCTTAATGTTCCAAGACTCTCTTCAACAACTTCGCGAGAGTCATCACCAAGTAGCTTAATTAATTGAGCAACAATGCCTTTAGATAATAATAGCTTTAGGTTGGCTGTATTTGATAAGACTAAGTTAGAAATACATGCCGCCGACCATGCACGTTCTGTTGCATCTTGAGAAGATAGCTATTTTAGCAAAAAAAGAAAGAGATTATGAAAGACTGCACATCAACATAAACAAACAATCCAACATTGAATCTGTCACTACCTTTTGAACGACAGGTAAGACTTGATCAGATTGCAAAGTTGGTTGTTGCTCATCAAGTCCACGCTGAACACCTGAAGTAACCCTGTTGCCCAAAGGATTACTTCTACGCTTTGCTGACTTTCTAACTTCTTTACCCATTGCTGCTTCAATAAAAGTGTAATCAAAGTAAAAGTGGATCTACGATCAACCAAAATTAAAAAAAAGTTGTGGTGGCTGACTTGAATTTTTTATTCTTTGCCACCCGTCGGTAAACACCGTTTTTTTTTTTTTTTTTTTTTTTTTTTTTTTTTTGGCTGCATTAAGTTTGAGAGGTACTCTAAGCTTGTAATTTGATTTCATAAATAAAGGTCAACTTTATAGACTCGCAAGAAGCTGAGACGTGCAGGCACGGAAGCCTGTAAAAACCTACGCGCTGTAACAGAGGTAATGACGTACACTTGGTTTAAACTACACAATCTCTATTTAAAACTTGGCTTCTTAACAGTAAGCCATGAAAGCTACTTGAGCAATCTATCGCCGCTATTCAATCTGCCTGTCAGATCAAAACATAGAGTATGCACAAGGTTATCTGTCTATAATGCGAACAGTTATCATCAAGCTAATACCTGATGGACCAGAAACTGATATGCTGCCACAGTAGTCAAAGTGCCCACCATTTTTGAAAGATGATGAACTCCTTGTGTTGCTCAAAGTTGATCCGAATGATAATGTGTAGGTAGTAATAAAAGCTTGTTGATGGTTTAGTCAGCAATTCATCGTTATTGCTGCGTTCAAAGCTGACAACTAAATATTGTTCTGCACAAACAATGGCTTTAACGTGCACTTTGGAAGTTTTGGCGTAAATGGTGGGATACTCCATTTTCCTTTTGACTTTTTAGTCGTATACGACAATGTAAGGTTATACTTTTGATAAATAATACATTGCTATTTTTCAAAGACACACAACGTGGCTCCTAGAACCAAATGAATTGCACGAGGCATGGTCGACAGATCCTCCATCTGTTTCGGCTCCTTCGTTTATTTCTCTTTCTTCTGCTTAGCGTACCATAAACGCTTTCTCGTATATCGAGTCCTAGTCAATGGCTACCGAGCTGAAAATAAGCCAATGTCAGAGTAACGAACATTATTCTCAAGTGAAGAGAAGTAAGTGAAAGCCGAGCTCCTGAATTTGCAGTATTTTATAGACGTCAGCATAGCAGCGATGGCGCTATGCTCTTGAACATGGATTGAATCCTCTATGTCTGTAACTCAAGTACGATAGGGAACACTGCTAAATCTAAGTTGCATATATGTTAATATTCATTGACACTTTATCAAGAGTATCTCAGTGGCATTCAAAGTGTGCAAACAGAATTACAAGTTTTGAAACATACTGAGGAGACTTAAGAATTAATTTATCGACTCGCAAATTAGTGATACCCATCTTATGTGTTCGCGTTCTTAAGTTTGAGTAATAAAACACAATGGTGTCGAGAGATAATTGTAGGCTCTAAGCTTTTATTTTACTTTTCTTTTTTGAAATTTGTTTTATCACCATGTATACATTTTCAAGTAACAAAATTAGGACAATAACTACGTTTATTAATTAAAATACAACAAAAGATGAAAGTAGTAGTAAACACAATGAGTGATACATGGCAAGCACAAAAACAGTGGGTACCGCTTGAGGGATAGACGAAGAAAGAAGCCTTCCACTTTTATCAGTTATATTTGTAGAGGTGTCATGATGACGGTGCTTTCTCCTCAATCCATCTCTTCCTTGTTTATCAATTTCATCAAAATTATCAATAATAAGACTTGTCATTCCTTGTTCATGAAATGCCATTAACGGTGGAACTACATCGGGATTTTTGATGGTCGAATAACCCAGCTCTTCGAGGACATTGAGCAGGAGAGGTCCGATCGGATGGTCTCCACCTCCTCTTTTAAGGGCTTCAGTTAACGTCAATCCTCGGTCTTGCATAAATCGCATCAAAAAATCAGGTGAGTTTGTATATTGCGAATAATCTACGTGCGATATCGATGATCCTGGCTGGAAGGGTTTCAAGCCTGTCTCTAAGGTAAGTGGTTTCTTTTCTTTGGAAGTAGGTAAATCTAATTGTAATGAGCCAGCCGTTGTAGCGTACAAACCCATTTGTTTCGCTGCTTCCTTAAATTCACGAGAGTTTACCAATTCCTTCACTGTGCGCGCCTGAATTTTGTTTAAATTACGAGTGAGGTCAGATATGTGTTTGTGTTGTTGTCGTTGTTCCGATGAAGACGCTGTAACAGTTTTATTTCCAGATACGATCATTAACCGATCCATTGCGCTTTCTAAGAATTGGCTTGGATGAATAGCGCTAGTTGTTGGGTTTAGCATGGTCATGAACTGATTTGCTAAGAAAGGGGATGGATCAGGTGTCAAGGCCTGTACAGAAATGTACTCGTTCCAACCAGAGTAGAAGCCTAATCCGTGCATAAACTCATGCTGTATACGTGTTTAAATACGATTAAAACAAACTCATGTATATGCTCGTAAAGTAAGGACACTTACTAAGATAACAAATAAGAAGTCTGCTTGATTTGCTGCAATAGGCAGGCCATCTTCCTAATTTTTATTTTATTTGTGTTAATACATATGAAAGACTCCACCCTCGACTCATATCATCATTTTTATATAAGTTACCTCGAACCAAAATGGAGCATCTGCATTGAAAACGCTTTGAATATCATAAGGTGCAAATGCTGGGTGCTCATCAATACCAAATTGCTTCACCAAAGCTTGAGGATGAAGCCGTAAGAGACCATCTGTGTTCAATAAAGGCATTGCTCTAGCTGGTGAAGAACCTCCCAATGTCATTAACTTTCCCTCACCACATTCACCACCCATCTCACAGAAAGATACCAAGGTTGCATTCACATTGACCGGCTCTTGAAATAGAACGACACTAGAGATTATTTCACCCGCCTTCTGGAATGCTTTTTCAGCTTTTCTGCAAATGTCTTCGGCTGCAAGGTAACAATGGAATGTAATATTCATTGGTACCGAAAGTAGGTTATCTTCTACCGGAGAGAAGATTTTGTTGTTGCTGCCGGCATCATTTGAGCTAATAGTACTTTTGTGAGTAGTAAGAAAGGCTGTACGCAACTGATTAGCAAAGTTCATATCATCACTTTTCCAAGGACAAGGTGTCCATATATGTGATGATGTATTTGTCTTTGTTATGAAGGATCTGAAATTGCTATCTAAACAAAAAGAGCCACTTTGTTGTGGTGTTGCTGCTGTTGATTCTTCGAGTTCATTTCGCTGTTGCTCATGCTGTTGTGATGAAACAATATGTGTATAGTAAATCAAAAGAATGCCCCCGGTAAAGCTGATTAACATTTTTAAGTATACTGATTACAATGCATAAAAAAATCGGTGATGTCGGTCAGCTACGAAGAAAAGAGAAAGCTAATTGATGATAACAATGCAATATAATTGTTGATAAAAGCTTCGGAATATACGACAAAGCCAAAGAATCAACAAAGATGATGCCATAGTCTGAAGAATTTAAGAGCTAAGGACATTTTGAAATTTGTAAATTATTGGCGTAAAGAATTATCTTTATAGTTAAATTAAAAATAATATTAAAAGGAACGCCATTTACGTTAGTGGCGGTTATGGATGTAAAACGCATAATAATTAAGTAGAATCAATATACAACTCACATTACTTTTTCCACTGCAGTTGGTTCTTCATCAATTTTTTTAACAGCGCAAAAAAAAATAAAAAAATGACTTAGTACAGATACTATCCTTATAATAGCATCTTGAAAAATGGTCAGGATGTACTTCTTTACTTCAACACAAGGTAAAAAAAAAAAAAAAACCACAACATATTGATGCATATCCTTGATTGTAGCAATTTGAACAAATTACAAGGGATTTAAACCGTTATGGCAGTACCTTGACATCCATAAAAAAAAACCTAACTCCTGTTGCTTTCCTTGTTACTGACGCGGCTTTCTGTTACTACTACTGTCTGCAGACAATTTCAAGCCTGTTTTCCATTGGTTGTTATGAAAGACTTCATCGCCTTGAACTGCAGTATTATCATAACTGTTGTTAATATTCACACCCTCGTTAAGTTCCTCGCTCATTCTGAACACAAGGGAGTCATCATCGGCCCTAACGTCATCATTGCCACTACTGCCGTTACTGCCTCGCTGTAAAGGCAAAATCATGTTTGTTAAGGAAGGAGGCAATTGTCGATTTTTGAGAGGAGAGTAATAACGGACGGCTACATGTCGAAAGGATTCCATAGAATGTCGTGGAGCTCGTTTCAAAGGTAAATGAACCGAGCTCTTTGTAGAAGACGATGATGACACATCAAGTGACATTTGGGATGCACAACTATCATCATTCGTGTTGAATGCAGAAGCAGCGTTGGACGATAATTTGAATTTTCGACGAGTTGTATGTATTGATGTCATGGAATCAGTAAGTATATTGTGAGCCTCTTGAATATTACGGAAATAAGACAGGGTTTTCTATATAATAGAATAATGAATCCATAAGTGAGGCTTTTTTTCCATAACAATCGTTAAACATTTCCTTACTTACCATTGTTTTCTCTTTTTCACGCATGTACATTTGCTTTCTGATACCGCCACTAGCAACTTTCTGCACTGAAGAAGAAGCGTTGTCCTTTAGTTGAGAAGAATACACTTGAAAGAGCTTCAATTCTTTTTGAGCACCCATGAACTTCATAAAGGCTTCTAAGCTTTGCTCATCATCATTCTCTGCATTCTATTTAAGAGGTACACATATTGCCAAAATGAAGGTTCTTTTGATATGAACATTCGTTTTTTTGCCCAAATCGTGGTTGTTTCTCAAAAGTATAAACAAAAAAGAAAGAAAAAGAACAGACTTACCAACTGAATGGAAGGATTGCAATCATTACCCTTACGTGTCCATTGCTTGGTCATATTGTTCATGTTATGCAAATCATATGCCATGTGGGATATTTTATCGTTGTTAGTGATAGTAGTAACAGTAATCTGCTGATGATGGGAGTTCGGCTTGAAGTATTTATCAAAGCTCGAGGAAAATGAAGCTCTTTTTTCAAAAGAACTGCTCCGTTGTCTACCTCTACTACTAGTATTTGCCAAATCCACTAAATACAATAATAATATAAGTATTATTACACACTGTAAGTTAATTTGAAGAGGTTCAGTAATTATTTGTCAATAGTTACAGAGCGTTTCCATTTGGTGGGATGATGAAAATGATGACACAGAGGGTGACTTAAATGGACGCACGGTAGGTACAGACATGCGCTTCTCTGTGGAAGTCGTAGTGGTACTCGTAGAGGAAGATACAACAGAAGAGCGACTGTTGGTTATTAAAAGCGCTTGACTACTACGGTATGAATGTAGACGTCCATTGATAGGAATTTCATCGGTGGAAACATTGAAAGAAGAGCCATAGACATCCGAATGACGATTTCTCGATGTGATGCTATGACCGCTACTTTGCATATTCTATCGTCCATTTTTCAAAGGTATCAGTAACGTAAACAAATCAAGCAGACATACTACTATCTCTTCATAGTCACCTCTGTATCTACATCAAATTTACTCATAAATGGACCAAAGAAATTCTCGTCAATATCAAAATGCCCGATGAATGGCTCTTCAATAGCTTTGATTGATGAGTCAATGTTGTTCGCTTCAAGGAACAAGAGATTTAGTTTGAGAGTACTATTGTACATGCCACAAGAGAGATACTTTAATTTTCTGAGCATCATAATTAGCGTCTGATCTATACTCACCCTAATGGGGTTGGTATAGCTTTGAAGTTGTACGAACGTATCGCATCTTTACTATTTATTTTTTGGCCTACAAAATAGAATTAGGTTATCAGCGTAAGTGGCAATGTAATCAACAGCGTTTTTGGCTTTCTATTTACCGAAAGAGAAGGCATCTTGTCGTTCTGACGGATTTGTTCCCAACCTGTAGTCTAAAACAAACTCCTCTTCTCTTTGATTTCCGTTGAAGTGCTCTGTTCCCTTTGATTTTTGATACATGCTGTAACAAGGTAGAACTCTCACCAAAGAATGCAGAACTCGGAAAAAGACGATGGATTTCTTGTACAAATTAGGTAAATCGACAGGGTAATCAGGTATGGGATGACTATAAGGCAAAATTAATTAGTGAATCACACAGTAAATGCTGAAGTTGACTACCGTTCACATACGTTAACGATAAGGTCCACGATTCTAATAAAGTTTGTTGGTCTGATGATTTTTTCAGATAGATATCAATGATTAAAGGGGGTGGATGCTCACTACATTGGTATCGAATGAATGACTTCCAGAACTTTAATTTGTCTTTAATATCGACGTTCTCTTTCGTTGAGATATTGAACTAAATAAAGGTCGAGGTGTAAGAATGGGGAAGCATTAACAAAAAAAAGGAGCTTCTTTTTTCCAGCCATTTTCAGTCTGATTTGTAATGCATTTCAGTTTTGTAAGTTACCCATTTATCAACTTTGTGCTTCTCCACATTGTCCGTATGACTAAAATTGACTCTGGCCTGCAAAATAATTTGTGTAGCTTTAGTGTAGAAGTTCTTTTCGTCCAATTTCATCAATGAATTCGAAAATTGTGTTAGCCACCAAAAGACTTAGGGGGGGTTTTTTTTTTCTTTAATCGAAGCAAGCTTCAATTTCTCTTACTTGGACCATCTGCTCCAGCTTTTTATTATCTGCTGCACTCATTGAACAAATCATGGAGGAGGAAGCTGATAGAGTTGTTTTGTCAATAGATTTATTATCATTAATAACCAAACTTCTACGAGAGTAAATTGAACGACCCGTCTTATTGACCGTTATATCAGCTGAAGAGGGCAAAGGCGAATAGGACATATACGAGCTCGAAGACGTAGAAGAAATTAGCTTCGTATAAGAAGTGCTTTTTATCATTATCGATGAATCTGTCGCAGGCTCGTCTTGTTGTTGTTGTTGTTGTTGTATTTGAGGTTTAGACATATTCATTAAACGATTATGCTTTCAGAGAGAAAGGCAAAAAGTTCAACACTAGGCAATTTTGTTATCTTTTTACAAAAATTGTGAAAGAGATAATATTGTAAATAACAAAAATTGGTAGGCCGAGTACCACTAAAGGAAAGTGTTGTATATATTACAACTAGTAACAATTATCAACCGTTTATACGTATAAAAATAAGTATTAAACGGCCACGACACAAGTTAATGTGTGTGAATTGTAAAAGAAAAGAAGGAAAAAAAAAGAGAGAAGGGTTACTAATATAATTTTGCCCTTAAATGCCTTATTTGAACTTCTTATAACCTGTGATGTACATGACATAGCAAAGCACAACTTCAGATAGATCATAATAATGCTTCCTTGTGACTTAATCCTCATAACCCACAAATAAAATGCATGAATAGAAAAAAAAAGAAAGAGTATATCCAATCTTGGTAAGTGATACATGTCGAAACTTTATGACTTGAATAACTGACTTTTATTACTTTAGGAATGTAGTTGGGTTGCTAAGATGTGTGTGTATACATAAAATAGTAGCGGAAAGTTGGACGAAAGGATGGGGACGAATGGTGACAAAAAGGTGAATACATACAAAGGAAGAAGCGAGTTTTTTTTTCAATGTTGGTTATAATTATGATATATATAAGTCCAAATGATGATCTACTCAACAGTGACAGACTTGGCAAGGTTTCTAGGGAAATCGACATCGACGCCCTTCAAAATCGCAAGATGATATGAAAGTAATTGAAGAGGGATAATGTTAACCAATCCTTGTAAGCAATCGCTTGTCTTGGGCACTTCGATGGTTCTATGATGGTTCTTTAAGTTTTCATCGCCAGTGTTACAGATGACAATTGGATTGCCAGAACGAGCAGATACTTGCTGAAGAGCGGACTGCACCTTGGGGTAATATTTGTCTTGAGTCATCACGAGAATAACAGCCATGGTTTCATCAATTAAAGCCAAAGGGCCGTGCTTGAGTTCACCAGCAAAGATACCCTCACTGTGAATATAAGAAATTTCCTTGATTTTAAGAGCGCCTTCCAAGCAAGTAGCGTTTTGATAACCACGGCCTAAGATCAGTAAACTCTTTTCTTGTGCTAATTGTTCAACAGCCAACTGTTGTAATTTGGCGTCAATGGCCAAGACTTCCTTGATATCAGAGGGTAAACGGTAGAGACCGTCAATGATTTCTTCACGTCTCTTTTGCGAAGATTTGGAGTCTTGGGCGAGTTGGATAGCCATCATAACCAAAGCGATGTATTGAGAGGTATAGGCCTTGGTAGAAGCGACACCAATTTCGGGACCAGCGTTAATATGAACACCACAATGAGTTTCACGGGAAATAGAAGAGCCAACAGTGTTGGTAACACCAACACAAAGAGCACCACGTTCCAGACAGTAACGCATAGCCAAGATGGTATCAGCAGTTTCACCAGATTGAGAAACGAAGACGCAAACGTCATCACGGAAAATAGGGGGTTCTCTGTCCAAGAAGTCAGAAGCCAATTCGGCTTGAGTACCGATTTGATTCAATTCTTCAAAAATAGAGCGAGTAGCCAAACAGGAATGGTAAGAGGTACCACAGGCAACAAAGATGATACGACGAGCACGACGGATGATGTGAGTAAAACCGCGTAGGCCACCAAGGGTGACTTCATGGTTTTCAAAGTTGACACGACCACGCATAGTGTTGACGACAGATTCGGGTTGTTCGTAGATTTCCTTTTGCATAAAATGATCAAAGGAACCCTTCATAATTTCGGCCAATTCGATTTCCAAGGTTTGAATGGAACGAGTGGGGGCTGTATTGTCTTCCTTGGAGCGACGGACACGGTGGATGTGGAGTTCTAATTGAAACAAAGAAAAAGAAAAGATAAATTTAAGTTAGAGATCAGCTTCTATTTTTGGAAGATTTAAAGGGGTAATCTTCTAGTGAGGAGTTTCAGAAGACTGACTTACCACCGTCAGCAATATGAGCGATATCATCATCTTCAAGATACAAGACACGTTTGGTGTGTTCAACAATAGCAGAGGCATCTGAGGCCAAAAAGTATTCAATGGGTTGAGGTAAACCATCTTCGCTCAAGAAAGCTCTGGATTGGGAGCGGTTCAAAGCGGGGCGGGACATGTCTTGACCTTCAACAGTAGCAACTAGATATTTACGAGATAAAGTGAATAACAAAGTTACAAAGTATTTTAGGTAATAGTACAGAACATGTACTTACAGCTATTGTCGCTACTTTCAACATCGACAAAGTCAACTTTGAGTTTCTTTTGTGTCTTGACACCAATGAGAAGAGGAGAACCACGACGAGTAGCAACGATTTCATTAGGGAAATGAGTGGATTTGAAGATGAAAGCATAGGAGCCTTCTAATTCCTTAACAACAGTCTTGACTAATTCGGTAAAATTCAACTCCTTGTTGTGAGATTCAAAGACGTACTTAGTCAACTTAGCAACGCACTCAGTATCAGTATCGCTTTCGAAAACGTAACCCTTCTTCTCTAATAAAAGTTTGATTTCCTTATAATTGGTGATGATACCGTTGTGAACCACAACAAATTCATTCTTGTCATCAGAGCGCTGAGGATGAGAATTGATTTGAGAAGGTTGACCATGGGTTGCCCAACGGGTGTGGGCCATGCCGCAATGGCTGATAAAAGGCTTGCTAAAGTCAAGGGGTTGATCATCGGTCAACTTTCTTAAAGCAGCAACTTTACCAACTTGCTTGATGATAAGAGTATCTTCAATATCGCCATCAACAGCAAAACCTGTTTGAAATACAATAGATGGTAAGTTTCATTATACTTCTACACCGTACAAATACCACCTCCCACCGAAATAGAAACAATACCTGCAGAGTCATAACCTCTATATTCTAAACGTGAAAGACCGTTCAAAAGGGTATCACATACTTCACGACGAGACTTTTCACAGAGGAAATTACAGTAGCTATTTGGACAATATCCATCATTCGATGAGCATCTATACTAGCGCGTTTCTCTCTGTATCACATTTGGATTGCTATGATGAAACTTGTGCACTTACCCAAAAATACCACACATTGTTTTTTAGGAGAGATGAGGTTGATGAGCAGAAATGAGTAAGTTAAGAAGTAAGAAAAGGAGAAGAGAAGAGAAGAGAAAAGGAAAAAGACTTGAAACAGAAGTTTGAGAAATGATGTTAATTTAAATATTTTTAGATTCTTTATATTGTTGTTGTGTGTGTTTGTTTGATGGGTTTTAAATCGCTTAAGGAAGCAGAAGAAAAAAAAAAAGGTGAGGCACTGCACAGGCAGTAATCGAATTTTCCGCGGATAGGCTAGATTTGGTAATGCTTCGTTGTTGTTGAGTGTGTCGCAACTCTCTCCGCGGAGAGCGCCCCTTTAACCCCCTCTTATTCGCAATCTTATCAGTTTTTCCGCGGGGCTTAGACACAGTCCACAATGGTATTATCAGTGAGGCTAGCCAAGTGAAGACATACAAAGTCTTTTATTGTATACAAGCGATCCAAAAATAACTCACGCCTTTATCATCCAATGGTATTGAAATGCTCATTTTTTGTTTTTAGATTGAATTCTATAAAGGATAAATCACCTTATGCACTTAATCTATTTGCAAACAATCAAAAAAGGAGGCTCGCATATGCTCTTGGTATCTTATCATAGAAACAAAAATGTGGTATTAAACAATTTTATGGGCTTTGATCTATGCTTCATTTTGTTGGGCCCGAATGCATGACACCCTACATCGACATTTCATGACTGTGCTTACAGACACAGTAATTATAACCGATAATTACTGTGCACGAGATCATTGAAAGAAAGTATAAAGTCTAATAATAAAGCTGCTCATTGGCTGCCGTAATGGTGGAGGTTCAACAAAGAAAGCATTTGACATTCATATCAGTACTACGTACATAAATTTGTCATACGTACTTAATGACAATATAGCACGGGCAGGTCAACCAGAATGGCTTATGGAAGGCGACTTTCTTCACTTTCAGTTTAAAAGCCTTCTCTTCCATGGTCAAACATCTGTGTGGCGAAATGAACAGTAGCACTAGTACAGTTCTGTTGTTTGCTCAAAGTCCTTCCTCGGAGAGTAGAACAGTTCCATTTACCAATAATCTGGGTTTAATTAGTAAAGTGTGGGGGGAGGAAGAGAGTCTACAGTATTTTAACTAATATTTTAGATGAAATACATTTTTTTTTGGACGATTAATATTTTCATTTTAGATGAGTTGCAATTGTGTTGTAGACGAAAATATAAACCGTTCAAACAATGAATCAAATCCCAAAAACTTGTCAGTATTGCGAAACAAAAAAAAAAAAACAAGAAAAAAATACCGTACTATTCCTTACCTGTAATGATCTAAATCCTCAAAATGAAGGAAAACCGTGTTTATTACGGCGATACTTTTTTCTTCTTCGCTGGCTTAAAAACATCGGGTCTTCCAGCTCCGGACCAAACTGCTTGAGATATAGTCATCATGTTAATAGCAGCGTTAATGTCTCTCTGCCATAGCTTTAGACATTGCTTGCAGTGAAGAACGCCGGTACCCTTGAATCCAGGAGTATCAACAATTTGCATATCATCATAGAAACAGAGGCTGCATGTTTTAGAGGTTTTAAATTCATCGATTGTGACAACAATCAATTGACCTTCAGCTTCACGTTTCTTCAGAGTTGCAAAAAGTTTACCGACAACACCGCATCTTTGCCCTTTCAGCTTGACTACATCTTTGCCAAACATTCCAGCACCAAACACAATCAGTGGCACCCTTCTAGGGGATTCCAAATACTTATCAGCCTTCCACTTCTTGGCACTTCTAAAAAGTATTAATGAATGGATAAGCTAAACGATGAACATGTAATTCCATTGAAACTCACTTTGTTGGCTGCTGTTGGTTGGCATTCTTTCCTTTCTTCTTCTTCTTCCGCTGTCTTTTCCTCTTCCTTGCCTTGCTTCTCTTCTTGTGATTGTACTTGGCCGTTCCATGAGTCAACATGTTGGCCATAGTTTCTGGTGCTCTTTGCCTTCCTTGGTACAATGAAAACCGGTCCTTTGCAGTTTCGGGTCCATAAAAATCCAAGAGAGCGTCCAAGTTATTGAGTGTATAGGCAGTGTATAGCTCATATATTTCCAAACGAGAGGTTTTTGGCGAGGGTATCTGACTTTCTATGAGATCTATGCCTGTGACAGCCTTCTTTCTGTTTAACTTGGCACTGTATTGGGTCGACCCTGTCATATGATAGTATTCAGATGTAGTGCATCTTCGCACTTGTCTGTTATATTCAAGGCCAATAGCAGCAGTAAAAACAGACTTTCTTCCGGGATCCAGGGTAATAGGTAAATAAGTATTGTCAACTTCATCCAGAGAGAAATCATCAAGAGTGAGGTCAAATTTTTGGAACAAGGCACCATGGCCAGATTGTTGTCTTTTATAAAAAAGAAAATCAACTGAAAACCCATCCGTTCTGACAATATTACCAAAGAGCTCTTTGTTATCACCATTCGGTGTTAGTTCAGAGATACTACAAGTGCCCAAGAAGTTAAAGCTCATACATTATACTCGACTGTATACCGTATTAACTGTATGCTTACCTTTTGTACCGGAGTTTCTTGAAATCAAAGACATGGAAAAACAGCTCTAATTGGCTTTGGTAATTGCGGGGTAAAGAACGTTTCACAAAAGAAGACAGAGCGTTCACGCTCAAGATAATGAACCTCCATTGAACGGAAACCTTTGGCAGTAAGGATAGCAATTTTGGAAGAGGACGTCGTCGTACGTCAAATGGTTTATGATCATCGTGTTCCCTCTCAAATTCTGCGTTCAAAGATAACAAAAAGGGTACGAAAGACCCAGGATCAGCGGATAATGTCTTCATGTTCACTTTCTTCCCCAGCTTCTTCTTCCAAGGTTCACAGAAGGTTTGGATCTTTGCTTTTATATCTTTGGTAAGGTAGTCATCAGTTGGCCATTTAGGTTTTCCTTGGCATATATCTTGATAGCAGAAATCACTTGTGACCTTTTTGACAAGCTTCCAAGGCATACACTACGCAAGATGAGAGCTTTTTTTGAAAATTCATGTAAGATCCCAAGTAATATTGAGTTGCAACTTACCACAAATGCTGTTTGTATTTTATATATCAAAAAATAGAGAAGTTTCTCCTCAAAATTTTCCACTATACTGTTCGTATAGGAAGTAGCAATTTCGGTGCATGCTTCTGTAATGGCTTGACTAAGTCCAGGAAAGAGCTTGACAGGGAAGACAATCTTAGGGTAAGTCGTTTTAAAAGAATCAAACGAGCTCAATAATTGTTCTGATACCATCCTACTATTTGTTGGTCTTTGTCCATTCACTAGCTGTATCATAGAGTACCAGAAATTTTGTGTAAAGATACATTTAATACATTTTGGCTCAGCAAGAGTGGCATTTTCCAAGACGTAGTAATTCACAAAGAGCTTGGCTCTAAGAACCAAGTTGCGGATAACAGAGCAAGCTTCAACAACTTTTGACTTGAATGTGTTGCGATAGTCACCAAAAACACAGTTATCAAGAGGCAGCCTTCTTGTAAACGCCTTGTAATTACTTCCCAAATGATGTTGAAAGACCTCTGCCTTTGATAATACATGTTGAGGACACAGAGGAGAACGCACCGATTTATGTCCTGGTTGCTTGCATTTGGTACAACAGGTATTGTCTTTATCCGGTTCTTCATTATTCTCTTTCCTTGCTTTCTTCTTTTCCTTCTTGATTTCAAAATTCTGTTTGCGTTTTGTGCCTTTCGAACCAACTATAGGTACCATGAAGTCGCTTACTAATGATGAATTTACCAACTTTTAAAGCCACATGAGGTGCTTACCTTGATCTGCAGTTTCCGGCTCATATAATTCACATTTAAAGTATTGTTTGGTGTAGTGACCCCCTTTACCGCAATCAATACACGTTACATCTAACAGTACACGATGATTAATCTATACATATATATATGATTAGGTAGATAGGCTTTCAAAAGGCAAGTTACCATTAACAGCACTTGATTTTTTCTTTTCAAAAATTTGCTTTTTCTTTTCATAAATTATTGTTTTGAACATGGGTCATAGTATGTATCTTAAAAACGTGAAATAAAAGTGAAAGAGACAACATTTGACTCTAAGAAAGCAATATATTTTATAGTGCTTATCTTTGAAAGTCACCCATGAACGCATACAAAAACATTGACAACAGTTAATATAACCATCCCATTCCGCTATGGTATCTGTTATACTATGGCCCTCAGCCCTCTATCTATGGTTTGATGTCAATCAATTCAAAGTTAACCTTTTTTGGAATTCTTGTCCAAAAAAGGTACCAACGAATATCTGGTTGGGGTCTCGGAACACATCGTCATTTACTAAAAAAGTTGTCAAGCTTTTTGTAGTTTGTCCTATTGCAAGGTAACATCAATAAAACCATTATTGGCGACTTTCTTACTGATAGAGACTAATTTCTAGGGTTCGATTCTATGTCATCCTTAATGCTGCTTGAATATCACTGAATAATGAGTATCCAAATCCAAAATATTATGGACTTTTCTAAAAATATTTTTTAATAAATCTAAAATTAAAATGTATATTGTCCATTAAAAATTGTAAATCGTCTAAAATATAAGGTAAAATACTGTATTATATTCCGAGGAGATTTTTTTTTTTAAAGCTGAAGCAGGTCAGGATGTTTGCTTTTTAAGCCAAACCAAGAAGCTTTGATGATAAGTAATTGTGTGTATTGGCCAGTAAAAGCCAATTCCTGGTCCGTATGTACGCTATTACGAATGCAAATTCAGATACACTTGTTTTAGCATGACTGACAAGTCTTTTCTTTCTTTTGTTTTTTTTCTTAGAAAGGAACCAATATATAGTTTGAATCTCATTCTACATGCTTACCAGTAACTTATAAAGCATAATAGAGCACATGTCTTGACCTGTTGAAACCCGGCTGGATTTTACTGATTTTGCAGGTCCTGCACTATTTTTATCTTCCCTTAACAGCTCCATTTCATCTTTCAAAGAAAAAGAAGAACCTGGTTCATTTGATTATGCCACGCAGCTACATTTAGTTCGATCATTGTAATTAAAAGGATGTTCTAATAATAAACATCTAATAACCATCAGAAGCATTTCCATTTCCACTTATTTTCCATAAGTCCTATCAAGTTAACCATCTCATGATGTCATTTGCTTATGTAAAAAACCGTCCTGATTAAAACCTAATGTGGAGCATGAATTCACAATAATAGAACCTCCCCTTGTTCTCACTTGCATCACCGTTTACACAAAGTATATACTTCAATATGGACTTTTCACGATTCAACCAAGCAGAACAGGCACAAATTGCTGCTATGATTGAGCATAAACAAGTAATAAATTAGAAATCAGCAAATGAAGAACTTTGATGAAGAGTGAACCATATTGTTAACTCAAAAACTTTTTGACATGCTTTATTCTACTAGATGAGAGACTTTATGCGACTTTACAGTAACTTAGTTCAACGTTGTTTTGATGATTGCGCGAACGACTTTACTACCAAGTCCTTGAACGGAAAAGAGGTTTGTCCCTTTAAACTTTTATAGAAAAAGGATAAATCACCCTTGTAAAAAATTTTAATTGATTTATCATTTTTTTAGGAAAGTTGTGTTAATAAATGCGCTGATAAGTTTTTGAAGCATTCTGAAAGAGTTGGTGCCCGTTTCGCGGAACTTAGTCAAAGCGTACGTTGTCTGATACACAGTTATAGAATACAAGTTGCTAACATCTTTCTAAAACCATTCACAGATGGCACCCCCTGGGCAATAATTAATCAAGAACAACGATTGACTGTAGATGATATAGCTTTTTGTAATTATAGTCTAAATAGATTCCTCTTTACCTAGAAATTGATGCAATCCTCTGATGAAATGAGCAGCATTAGAGAAGGCGAACATTAGGAAGGGAAAACAACTTGAAATAAATATCTGAAAGGACAACTTCTGATTTGATAAATTACACGCACGAAATGAATATCGGATGGTATTTGTTCGTATATTGCAGCTTGTGTGTACATTTTTGTAAATTGTTGGGATGCTTCTGGTATATAGGTCGTTGTTCGGAGGGGAAACCTTTGTGGGGAATACTTTGTTTGACTGGATAGACTAGTAGTGAGTGTTCACTAAGACGCGACAGCGATAGTAGCAGGAGATAGATGTCTTCTGCACGTTGGACAAGTTGGTTTCGAGACGTGATGTTGTATCCAAGAATGGAGACAATGTCTATCAAGAATTTCATTTTTTTTAAAAAAAAAAGCCAAGTAATTCAAGCCAGTATTCCTTCTCGCGATCAAACTTACAAGTGGAATAAATGCCCACAGGCAAGCTTTTTGGCTGTTTTCATTCTTTCTCTACAGATAGCACAGTCATCATTGTAATTTGCCAACTCTTCCGGTGTTGCATCAACATATTGATCTCGTACATATGCCATAGCTTTCCATCGGTCACGATACATGACAATTTTTGAATACAAGTTTTTTAAAACGCTTCGCACATTCAAAAACAACACAATATCAACAAAACCAAAGGAGATCCCATGCATCCACTAAGTAAAGGGAGATCGGTCATTTATATAGGTGTTTAGAGTAATTTCTGCCTTTAACCTACCATTAGTTGTAGATACTGTAATAGCGTACAGCCCAGTATCAAAACATCTGCGCTGAGTTCAGTATAGTAATTGATCAGCCGTCGACTTTCGAATCCATTATCTCTCCATTGATCCATCAAATGGGTTAAATATCTGATTAATACTTGTAATGTATCCAGTACAACCGGTAAAAACTAGAAGGGAAATATTGTTTAGCAGCATTCTTCTCAGTAAGCACATACAAGGCTGGGCCTTACTTCTAATGTAAGAAACGCTATAGACGCTGGGAAAAAATAAAGTGTACCCATGTACCATACAATATTACTGAAGAGGATTGTTGATAAAAAAGCTGTAATTTTGTAGTATTTCTTCATCGAAACAAATGCAATAGTGGTCAACTGGGTATATAATGTACATAGTATGTATATAAAAACAGTTAGTAGGTGATATCGAACCGTTTGTCATGGGATGAACATGTAATCAACTTTACGTTATCTAATCTATCGCGACTGAGTAAACTGAATATTCTCATAAATCCCAGCACGCCGATCCATATGGATAATCTCAAGATATGCTGCCATACCGGTTCCATTACTGCCCCCACAAATATCACCTTGAATAACAAGAAATTCAGCATTCGATCATACATATGCTATAACATATGAACCACGGATTATGAATATGTTGGAATTGTTCTTTTTTTTTTTCATGTAATATTTCTTTCTCTTGCAGTACCTGACTTTCGATCGGCCATAATTCTCCAAACACAATTTTAATGATGGCTCGACCAACAAAAAGAGACATACAAATTGTCATATTTACATGTGCCTGTAATGATACAAAGTCTATGTTTGTAAAAAAATTGCACAAAGAAAACTAAAAGGGGTTGCTAACACAATTTAAGATAATTTTTTACCAATAAGCTTATTTTTCGAGTTTCTACATGAGCAAAGTACGCTGCAATGTAATTTTTGTTACATATTTGATGTGTTGCTGATGCAAATGTGGAATGGATCCCTGATGAAGGAGTATAAGAGCAGGCTATTTCGTCAAGCGAGGAGTATATGAATGATCGTACAGAAATAATGAAAGCAACTGTGAAAGTGACGAATGACAGAAGATAATATGTCGGAATGTCGTAGTGCATAGAGGTTGTTAAACGTAAAGCAATTGTCAGTGATTTATTTCTTATTATTGTTGTTGCCTGATTATTAGAATAAACTATCTAAATGGTAGGGTGGGATGAGAAGAGCGGTTGTAGGTATACAACATATAAAAGGAACGGAGAAGTTTAAATAAGAACAAGAAAAAAAAACAAAAAAAAAAGGACAAGACATAAAAGTTAAATTCTTAAATTGCTTTGAACTTGCCATAACCTCGTCTTCTTCTGCTAACGAAATTTGCAAACATCCTCAAAACTTAAGCTACCAGGAATAGATGAACCCAAGTATCGTATGCAAATTTTGATACGTGTACATGCACAGTCATGTATGTGCATGGCATTGGATTCATGCAAGTTTTTACAGCTTAATACAATTGCTTTTCTCAGTAGAAAAAACAAAGTAAAACAAGCCCATACACTCTTGTGAAGTACAAAACAAATTCAATTTGGATGGGAACGCTTGCTCTTCGTTGACTCCAGATGAAAATTGGCTTCTGTAAGTTTATTGATCATTGGGCAAATTGACTTTGATCAATTTCGCGACCGTAATTTATTCGTAGCTGAAGCGGCAAAGATACATGAAAAATGATCACTTATTCTATTCTATAATTTACGAAATAAAATACTGCACTAAAGGGATAACTACATCCTGCCAAACTTTGGCGGATACTTCAATTGCTTTTTGGAGCAAATGCTTTATCATTACTTCAACTAAATTACAGCAGATTACGATGGGCGTACTTTGGAAAATTATTATTACAGAGAATATTATTGTAGGGTACTGAGCCATATTTTTGTGGAAAAGGCTTCATCTATATATGTACAATGCTTCAATAAGAGGCGAGAAAATGAAACAATAAATAAAATCAAAATTTGTGGCGTGTAATAAAAGCAAGCTATACCTATTGAATCTTATAAATAGATTCTAGTAGCTCACTTGCATTCAATTCACCGGTTGCAATAATGGGGTTCAGCATTTGCTGTTTACGCTCACGCATTTTGTCTTTGGTCTTGTACTCTCTACGGCTTGTTAAGAGTTTGGCAAACAGATTCTCCATGACTAAATCGTGTTGCGTTGTGGTAGTATCTAGAAAAGCGTAAATGTGATCTTTTAGTCTTCAAAAATTTATATTGCTACAATTTACTTTATGACTTACAATCACTCATATCTATTCCTTTTCCTCCTTTATTTTGCGCACCATTTACTCTTGCTTGATTTCTGCGCTCTGCTTCGTATTTCTTTTGCTTCTCAATTCTTTCTCTTGACTGCTTCAATATCTTTATTTCATTGTCGCATTTCTGTGTTTTCAACAAGAAATCAATCAGTATTTAGAACTGCCAGTTGTACGACTACAATGTATAATAGTACCTTCCAACTACTGGTGAATGTTTGAAATATTTTGAAGAATTCGTTTGGCTGTATTCTGGTTGCATCTTCACCGTAAAAGGTTACTGCTCTCTCGTACGCAACTTCGGCATCGTCTATGAGTTTGCTGACGCTTTCGATATTATCAACGGCTTCCTTTTGAAATGACTTCATTGTTGCTGTGAAAGAATCGTCGCTTGAGAGAAGTTCAAAAAACTTGAGACCTTTTTTAATAGATGTTAACTCAGACATCAATTCTTGTTTGTTTACTAGGCATCATGTGAAAGAAGGATGACAAGAAGACCATAATAATGAAGTTACAAGTAAGTAGAACAATCCTATCAAAACAATAATGCTTAATAGTTTACCTTTGCATGCTTGCTCACAATCACTCAGTTCATCTAAAAACCCAAGAACTTTGGGAAAACTGATGCCAACTGTCTCAACTAGAAAATGCAATAGAGTAGTTGAAGTTGTACCCTTTGTATCAATCAGCTAAAGGCGGAAAGAAAAGCGAAATGGAGCATATGAATAGTTTAGTTTTGCTGCAGTTAGCGCGTACGATTTCACGTTGGTTTACCTTATTGATACTTCTAATACGAATACCAGATGCACCACCTCTATTGGTATTGCCATTCATAAAGTTACCTAAGACCAAAATCATTTTTAAAAGCTGCTTGAACATTTTGGCGTTGATTAACGAATTAGAAGCTGATAGTATATATTTGAAATTCTATAAAAAAACCCACATAAGTATCCTATTGATGCTGTCAAGTGGTCAGTTACGGCAGTACCTTTTCAAGCCTTTCTATTTTATCCCAGAATGTAATTTTGAACAACAAGCATTGAACGCGTTGTTTGAATTGCGGTATAAGGGCCATCTGTAAGGATAACTGACTGGGCAGTGACAACTTCTTTGTCTTTTTCTTTTCCTGAATACCATCAGCAGTGGTACTCGTGTCTGCTAAGTTTTTCACTCCTTCATTCTCTTCTTCTTTTTGTTTTTCTGCATACTTTTTCAAAGCGGCCACCTCATCCAAATTCGGCGCGAATTTACTAAAATTCGTCAATACGTGTTCCTGTAAAATACATGGTGCCATGTCCATCATGTAAGCAGACAGTTTCATGACGTCAAACTCTCCCTTTGGTAAACTCGTCAAGAAGATATTCATGTTATGTGCTTTCCGTGGATCCAACAGTTCAATCTCTTCATCTTCTGCCGCTTTTTTCGCACGTTTACTTTGGAGATCTATTGTGGGTTTTTGTGCAAATGTCTTTTCAATAGCGGTAAAAACATCTGCTTGTGAGAGCTTGGAGATAATGGAATTGTTATTGAAACGTTGTTGGCTGGTGTGCAATGGTTTCTGGGAATGATCAACGGTTTTTACTTTTCTTACAAAAATATCATCCTTTTCATCACGACTACTGTCGTCTATATTTATTTCATCATCATCATCGTCGTCGAGATGCTCCCAAATAGTATCGCCAAGTTGACGGCGGTTGATTTTTTCCCACTCTACGAATTTGAGTTTTTGTTTAGGTTGATGAGCACGTAATTCGGCAGCTAGAGGGTCTGGTTTTATTGCTACTGTTGCTGTAGGTAACTTGGGTGCAGTACCCATTAGAGGAGGTGGTGGCGGTGGCGGTGGCGGTGGCGGTGGTGGTGTACTCGTTGAATTAGGCATGGGAGGAGGTGGTGGTGGTGGAGGAGGAGGCGGTATACTTGTTGCATTAGGCATAGGAGGTGGTGGAGGTGGCGGTGGCGGTGGCGGTGTACTTGTTGCATTGGGCATAGGAGGCGGCGGAGGTGGTGGGCTGATAGATGATGGGTTAGTTTTAGCAGCGCTATTAGTGCTGTTATTGGAAAAGGAGGAACTATCCATGATGGAATTGCCTCCAATGATGGGCTGTAAATCTATGGGATCGAAGGAGGGGGTTTCAGGTAACAGTGTCAGTTTTGCTGACCATCGAACAGGAGAATCAGGAGGTGTGTCCTGTTGACAACCATCAGTTTGAGATGTTTCAGGTAGCTTGTCCTCTTTGACTGCCATGTGTTCGATTTCTGTTTGATACTGTTGATCTGATGAATGTTCACTATGCTGCTGATGGTTCATAGAGAGTGGCGGTGTCGGCAAAGCTTTCACTTTGGTTTTGGAGTAATCAAGTTGTCTTTCAATCCCTTTACTAATTCTCGACTTTATAGCTTGGAAAGATTCGCTCTAACAAGGTGTTGAGAAATTGAAATTAATAAAATTTTCTCTGTTGCGTTCTTAATAGAGATTTTGACTAAATCCTACCGGTTGTTGCTTTTCAGCAGCTTTAGCCACCAATATACGGGCAGTATCATACAATCTTATCAACTGATTCTCCATTGCTGCAAGAGTACGCTTATGTTCTGCCTCCATATCTTCCAAACGTTGTTGAAGTATACTATTGGTTTGATTAGCTACACGTAAATGTTTTTGTAACGACTCGTTCCTCACACGATATTTTCCGACAAGTCCATCTGTAAAAAGGATATAACATGTTTAATAAAAGATAAACTATCACTTGTTGGTCGTTTTTACATCACACTGTCCGCTCTACCTGCTTTCATATCAACCTGTATCCTAAGGGCAGCTTCTCTCTCGAACGCCTTGTTAGCCATTTCTCGTGCTTCATCTGCTTCTTGTAATGCGGCTTCTAATTCATCTTCCTCGGCGAATTTTGATATGAGATCTTTTACTGTCATACCATAAGAATTAGAGAAAGTGGTAGGTGAACCGTTTCTGTCTAGCGTAATCTGGTTGACAAAATGTTCTACTAGTTGGTAATATCGATTTCTCGTCTCTGAATCACACTGAATCAATAGCAGGCTTTGCAGAATGGATTGCAAATAATCATATGCTTTTGTGCCCTTGATAGAAGGGAGTATTTTTTCAAGAATTTCAGTCGGTTCGGTGCTATCACCCAAAATCATATGTGCGATGGCGTCGCTGTCCTCCAACTCTTTGAATTCCTCGAGTTTTGAATTCATCAATTCATTGTCAAAAGATTTCATTTTTTCAAAAGATTGACTGAGCCCAGCTTGGTAAAGTTGATTGCGAAGAGTAATTCGCATATCTCTGTCCTCTATTGTATCAGGGTCAACAATAGCCAGAATCAATAATAGATTTGCTATCTGAAATATAAATGAACATTCATCGTTTAATGAAAATAAGCCATGAATCTTGCCAGTTTGGACAGTTTTCATCCCACTTACCGCATGCTCTGTCACTACCATGTCTGGATTATTCCTACGAACAATTCCTCGAACATTTCTGCTACTGTTACTGTTCATGCCATCCATTGTACTGAAGTTTATGGTTTTCCCGTCCAACACATTGTTAAGCGTTCTAAGCCATGAATCAAAGCGACCGTAGTCTGCTCCTGTTTCTTTAATTTTATCCATGCCTTGCATAACCAAAATATGTCCTCTAGGTTGCTCAAAGTAGCACATAAACGTCAATGAATCACAAACTAATTTTTGTATAGGTAGATAAGGTGATAACAGTGATTGAGTGAGTGTCATTACGTAGAATGGATCATTGACAATTTGCTGAATGCCATACTATAGATTTGAAACAGTTGCATTACCGTTAGTGACAGTCGTAGAATACAGATGAAAATAATCAACTAAATAATAATGTTACATAGTTATTGAATAGTTGGCGAATACATTTGACAAGTTCTAGCTCTAACTGGCATTCTCGTTGCTTTCTGTTATGAACGACCTGAAGTCGTGAGAGTTCTTCAAAAAGGGTTTTTATACCATCTTCCTCCATAAATTCTTGTGCCCAACGTACAGGCATTGTTCTTAAGCGTACAGATAAATCCGAAACTAACTTCGTCTTGGCTTCTAATTTCATGGATGAATCACGTTTCTGTAAACTTTTGATATAATACTGAGGTGTTAATTCTGAGGAAGAGTTCAATGTGCTATTATTGCTGCCGCCGCTGCTGCTGCTGTAGCTGCTATTGCTGTTGCTGCTGCCATTGTTGTTGCTACTGTGATGACTGTAACTATTTGCTTTATTGCTGCTATTGTCCGCATAAGAGTTCTTTTTGCCTGTTCCTACTGTACTACGTCCTCCGCCCATGGATGTTAATGCACTTTCATTGCATAAGATAAACCATTTTTTGTCTGGAGTGAGTTCTCTAACACTCGCATCATTCAGATTGATATTTAGTCGCGACTACGTTGGTATTGATGGGAAAGAAATAGATGAGGTTAGCTAGAAGATCGTCATGACCTGGTTTTATATGTTGAAGTAAATTCATATTTACTGCTGCTTCAGCAAATAAACTATCAATTTCTTCGTTAGGTGGTTTATCTTTGATGCTGCTATAGTCAAAATTAGAAGGTGCTGCTTCTGACGCGGGCAATGAAGTAGAAGAGCCTTAAATATGAATTAATTTACCAATTTAATTTTGAATATGTAAATGCATTAACTCTTCAATGACGCTCACTTTTGCTCGATAACTTATTCTCAAGAGCATTTTTCTTTCTACTCTTGAAAATTGCCATTGAATATTATTCGTCAGGAATGAACCAAACAATAAAGTAAAGAAGTTGGGATACGATAATGCAATCAACGAATCTGTAGGTTGACAGATATATGCAGAGAAAAGGAGTAAAATGCAAACAAAATAAAATAGAGAAGAGGAACAGACCTCTGCGAGTTTCTTTATTGTGTTTAAAGAAGTAAAGATCTAACAGACATTCAATTTCCTTATTTGGTGAATATGAAAACAAAAAAGAAAGTAGGCTCAAGGATGGACGCGTTCGTCGCTAACTTGATGCTTTGAATCGCTCGATATTATGGAGTAAGTTGAAACATACGAGTGTGTAAAATCTTAATGCGAAGCAGTTAACAAAGAAGATTGATAAAGCCAGGTCTTTGTACTTTATCGTCCCTTCATCTGTTTTACCTGTACACTGATTTCATTCCATGATGCTGACTTTGAATTACTGGTCTGCGCAAATGGCAAAGGAACTAATCAACTTACGTAAGTCAAGCTGGTTTTAGCTTTCCAGCTCCCATTTTATCTCTTTTATACTGCCATTACAGCCAAGCATGTGCGCTTTAACAAATAGCTCGATTTACAACCAGATTACCCACATATCACGTGTTTTGAATATATGCAGATTGAGTTACCATTCTTTGCGTTTTGACTTCTTGTCACACTCGAATTTAGGCATCTTTTTCATGCAAAAAAAAAAAAAAAAACCAACCTAACACAAACAAAAAAGATAAAAAAAAGCTATCATCAGAAAATGTGTGATTTTACAGATTTCTGACAATTATCAGTTCCAATTGACTTTCTTTGTTTCTATTGAAAAAGACAAAAAAAGCCAGTAAATGTCACTGGTTTGAAGGATCCAGACCTTTCGCTTTTGATAATGTAAGAGACGACCGATAAACCTTAATAAGACGAGGTTTTATCAAGGTAAATCTATTTTTAAAAGTGAGAGTTTGGTTTTTTCTTGTTTTTTTTTGTTTTGTTCGATTTCATGAATTTCATTGGCTCGTTAGGAAAAGGTTGGGTTAAGAATGATATTCGTTTTTCCTTTCAAACAATTTTTTTTTTTTTTTTTCCTTCTTCTTTTCACCATTTTATTTTAGATAAGCTTCATTCCCGTCTTTATCAAACTTATAAGAAGCAGAAAAGAATACAGCAAATAAACCAAGAATGTTCACAGCTAAGAAACATGCAGCTGATGATGATTTCGAATCGCCTAGAAACGTTATTACAGAAAGCAATGTGGACTATTTGTCGTATAAGTTCGACGAAATGGATCTCGCTGCTTCTTGGCGAGTGTTGACGAAGCAAAAATTAAGCATTGTTAATGGTATTCGATTGGAAAATGCCTCGTGGAGAACGTGGGCAAAGCAACGAAACAATTTAAAAACTATCAGTCCGGATACATTAAATTGGTAAAAAGTTTGACAGATAAGAACGAGTAAATTAACAAACAGACCCAGTTTGTTAATCCTGCTTAATTATGATGATATAGGTTGAAGGATAGTGATGTCACTTGGCTTTATGGCCCTCTACATACAGTTATCAAGAATATGGATGACGAGGATAAATATGCTAAACCCAAAGTGTCAACCACGGAAGAAACATTAGGCTTGATTGCTCACAATCCTAAATCTAAAGGGTTGAACAGTGAGAATGATATAATGAAAACGGATGAAAGCACGAAAAAAGAGACCAAAGCATTCAACAAAACTGTCCATTCTGTAGCCTCTGCCAATTCTATTACCACGCCGCCTGACTCCACATCCACTACTTCTTCTTCGCCTATAGCTTCACCACAAAGACCTTTAAAATCCGCTTTAAAGAAAGTGACCATGTCAGATTTGTTGAAAAGATCAGCTTCTGAATTGCAAATCAATACGAAACTAGCAGCGAATAATGGCATTTCTATATCACAAGCAAATCAGCAACTGGGTGCTTTCTCCCCAGCTGTTATTGCTAATCATCGTCAGCCTAAATTAAGATTTAATCAATATGTAGAACAGTGTATTGCCCTTTACGACAATGATGACAGTCCCCGTCACAGTAGCAATAATACTAATGGTCGGAAAAAGACAGTGCGGACCAAAATCCCCACTGCTGACAGTGATCGTCATGACTTGGGTGTGGATGAAAATGAGGATGAAGACGATGATAATGACTCAATAACCTCGGATGATTATGATCCAGACGAGGATTCCGACGAGGATGATGGGCTTGTAATGCGTAGAAATAGTAGCAGCAGAATGCCAAAGTTAAGAACAGCGATCAAGAAGATCGAGCCTACACTATTGAAAACGAACTCACTGTCGGACGAAGAGGATTCAATGTACTCGGATTCTTCTGATGAAGAAGATATGGTCATGATGGCCTCGTCCAGTAGTCATAGACGCGGTAGCAGCAGTCGATTTCATGTAGGAGGAGGAGGTCGTAGAAAATCCGCTTCAGCGCCTATTGTGGATGCTGATACATGGGAGGCTGAAAGCGCAGAATCGGATGCATTTGTGAATCATATCATTCAACTTTCGCAGCAAAAACGACAGCAACAAGCAGATTACTATAGGAATAGAGATCCGGCAGCCGATAAAATACCCACGGACCCCTCGACTGCCAGTAACAATAATTACAATTATGAAGATGGCAATTATACTACAGATGGAGGCATACCAACAAGATCAGATTATGATTACGAGTTCGACGATGACGATTGGGATACGCATAGTGAGCATGTTGAAGATGATCCTTTCTCTTTCCATACGACGGAATTCTACCCGCCTGTTTCTCCATCGCAACCTGTGGGTTGTTACATTGCTCCCAAATCAGCCCCAACACCCAATGCACCAGTTTTGTCAGCGAATATTAGACCCAAAGTGGAGAGAAGTCTTAGCCATACAAATGTGGCAGAGACAATTCAGCATAATCAACAACAGTATGATGGTGCTTCATCGGATAGTATCAAGAATAATGATAATAATACTGCTGTGGCTACCAACAGGGAGAATACCGGCAGTGCTGCTGACATGAGTAAAGGCAGCTCATTGTTTAGTAGCATTGCTAATTGGGCATCCACACATTTATGGCCCTCAGACAAATAATATGATATCTGCTGAATTGTATTTGATACTCTTTATGCTTATTACTTAATTTCCATCTCATATATCAGCAATTTCAAAATACTAATCACAAGCATTTTCAATATTCCTCTGTACAGTAATCACTCTCTTTTCTTCCTTTTTCTTTTTTTTTATTCTTCATAATAGATAACATTAACTTTCCTACGGAATTTTGTCCTTAAAGTTGTAATTTCTTTTTGGTCTATAAAGCAAAAGCACCATGATTGAAAAAAAGCAAAATAGAGACTTCCTATCACTTTTCTATTAAAAAAAATTACTTAATACATGGCAGAACTTTGTTTTACCTTTCAGAACTATTCTTGGTTTTACTGCCAATTTTTCAAGTGTCCTTCAATTCCTACCTTCATTAACAGTAAGCAGCGCTGTGCCCTCGCTATTGCTCCTGATTTACAGTTGAAAACTCCGTATTTATGAGTGACAATGGTACCTCTATCCTTGGTGTTGAGGAGATGATGAAAATGGCCACTAGTTTTCATTTCAAAACCTATCATTCATATCAACATTGATTAAGCTTGTGTATGAAAATAACTGATACTATTTATAGCGAAACTGATATGCTTATGACTGAGACTGTCTGTTCACCTCTTTGCTTCAAACTACTTACAGTGAAATAAGAATCGAAATAACCAAATCAGCATAAGTTAGGCCGCTCAGAGATATAGATTTAACAATAGCCGAAGCAAATCACAGCATATCAAATGAGGTAGCATATTCAGAAAAAAAGAGTTGATGCGGTAAACTGAAATTGATGGTTTTAGCTCAGAGATAGAGAATTGCTATTATCAACGCCGAAAGTACAAAACCTATAGTAACAGATGAACAATAATAGAATAGAGGAAGTTGCTACACTTTATAATAGTGCAGGTCTTTAAAGGAAGCAATCCGATTCTAAACCCTTTTTAATTTTTATTGTAGCTGTTAATGTTGACAGTCACCTATATACTCAAAGTAATGCATTGCAAATATTTAATTCTGGCATATTTTTCCAGCTTTTAATAATGGGATCGTCAAGACGATCGCGCTCACCTTCGTCAGAGGAAGGGACACACCATCACTCTTCACATCGAACGAGCGATGGCAGTAATAGCAGACGACACAGACGCCACCACAGTAGTCGATTGCATTCACCCAAAGATGGCCGATCTAGTACTAAATATTCAACAAGTAGCCGAAAACTTGATAGAGACCGCCGCCGTTCAAGAAGTCCTGTAGAAAGGCGTCATAAAAACCCTCAAAGACACTCTCGTTCTCACTCCCGCTCTCGTTCCCATAGGAAGAGAAGCGGGCGGCATAGGAGTGTTTCCTCTGAATCGGCAACTACTTCCTATTCTTCCTCATCTGAATCAGACTCAAGTAGAGAGCGACACCGTAAACGGAGAAGAAAGGAGGAACGCAAGGAGGCTAAAGCGGGCAAAAAGCATAAAAAGTCAAAGGTATTATTTACTTAACGGAAGAAACAACAGACAGGATAGCTAATATCACGAGGCACGATTGCTTGTATGTTGTAATAGACAAAGTCAAAGAAGAATAAACATTCGATTGGTGATGACTGGGGCAAATATGGTATTATTCATGAATCGGAGTAAGTGCATGTATGTTTCAACCATATATTGTTCTTAGCGTTGCTGACATTTCAATAAATTCAATCTTATGAACAGTATCTTCACAAAGGAGCCTGTAAGCTAATTCTTCGATCGAATAAACTTGCAAATACTTTATTCATCATTGACCACACTTTTTAATATAATAGGAATTCCAAGCCTGGCTCATTGAAGTAAAGAACGCAGATGTAGAGACACTTAGTAATAATAAACGAAAGGAACTGTTCAACGATTTCATGGAAGATTATAATACAGCTACGATGCCTCATGAAAAGTAAGTAATTTGATGTTCTCTACGATAATAATAATACAGTAAGAGCAATAGTTATGCTGAATTGTTTGGAAAATTAGATACTATGATTTAGAAAAATGGGAACGCCGACAAGAAGCTATACGTATGGGTGAAAAACCAGCTCCTGGAAATGGCGCCTTCTTTGACTTCAATAACGATGAAGAGAGGTTAAGGTGACTATAAACCATCAATTATACATACTATGCTTTATAAGGCTTGCTCATGTCATTGGGCTAATAAACTGTTTTGATTTTGTGTAATATAATTCAATTAGAGCGCAACATAGACAAGCAGCAAGAGCATCGGCAGCCTCCCGTAAGCCAGTCATGCAGCTTTCAGAAGACAAGATTAAAGAGCTTGCACGTGTCAACCGCGAAAGAATTGAAGCCGATCGTATGCGTAAAATGGGCTTAAAGCCTAAAGATAGTATGGGTGTTTTATATGAAGACAGTTTGTAATAAAAATTGGTTTCTTTAAGAGCACAGCAAAGATATAGATACAATAAGTTTTGTGGATTTTATTTTTTCTAAGGATTTTTGTAAACCTTTCTATAATGTCAATTGATACTTTCTAAGTTCTTTTGCAAAAAGTGGACCATTCCCCTTTGTTACTGTGAGCAATTCAACGCCAGTACAATAACAAAAAGTAAGTTCATTTGGCTTCTTACCGAAATACATGTAGTAACTCCCCGAAGTATCTTAAAACACCACAACTATCACTTCACTCGATGCTTACAAGACGATTATCAATCCTATAGTTGAAGCGCCATTCTCTTTTCTATGATAGAGGAAAAAAAAGGGAGAAAAGAGAACCTTTGCTACACTGATAGCTTCACGGTGATTGCATATATGCCTTCAAATGTGGTCGATATTAGGTAAAAAGCCAGAGTAATCGTGAAGCTTACTAAATGAATAATGTCTCTAATAAAATGAAAAACGTCGAAAGTTAATAAATCAAATTCGATACCATAAATTTGGAAGTCTTGATCGAAGTAGCTTATAGTGATATTTTTGTATATTATCGCATGAAACTTCTCAGATTAACTCTTTTACAGTTCCAAATAGGGCAATGTTCTATTCAAACTGCTACACATACTACCTACAGAACGATTTCAGTTAATCTGGCGCACTTTCGCTCTAATTCGCGATTGCTAATATGATTTTATTTCCTCGGAAGATATAACAGTTGTACAGATAGCTTAACGCCAGCTAAAATCCCCTTCTTATAAGATGTAGTATCCAACAGCATATTACTCTTGGATTATTACATAATACTGAAATAAGAGATTACGGATCCTTATGAAGGTTAGAATAACCGTGAGCGATAGATTTGTTAGAACAATTCTTTTCTTTTACGGAAGAATATTTCATCTGTATATCCGAGACAACATTGGACGAGTAATTGACTTCACTTAGAAATAAGATATTATAGTGTTTGGATCTGATCAAATCAGACCAACTCACATACCTCCTTTCACCGATCCAATCGGTCAAAGCACCGTTATAGCATGATGAAACGTGCAGTAACAATGATTTTTCTTTTATCATCAGGTCATCTTGTATCTAAGAGTCTCGATAGAAAAAAGTTTCTTACAATATCCACAAATATAAATAGAAGTATTGTTTTCCTACATGGTTTTTGTCTTCATTCTTTATCAGAATATTCTACTTAATAAAAGAAGATAACTTGGTTTTCACTGATTTCCTTTTGTTTTCTTTTCTCTTGATATTTCCATCTTATTCGTATTTCTAAGTAGAGAAACACCTTTATTGTATCTGATTTGCTTTCATTCTTTTCAATCTCATAAGCTATAATATTGTCTGTATATATCAGCACGTGTAGAGTAGCTGTCCGCAAAATTATTGTAGTTGGCTTCCAGCATAAGACTATTATGTGAAAGGAAAGACACCTATTTTAAACATCAACCTATGCTATTAACCCCGAGCGTACTCGGCCCATAAACAATTTATTCGGTCCACCCAATCACGTGTATACATACAATGTTTGACTCTGTCAATGTGTTAGTGATTAAATTAATACCGAAGCGTGGTTGGTTAAGTGGTATAATCTTCGCCTGCCACGCGAAGGGCCGGGGTTCGATTCCCCGACCACGCATTTTTATTTATTTTTTTGCTCTATTGTGGTTTATGTAGTGGTGGGTTTTTTTCCTGTTTTCCTGGCGATGAGTTTTCTGGTTGAGCTACTGGAGGATTCAAATCAGTGTCGTGCTTGAAATGATAGCCTCGTCAATTAGTGCAAGTTATATACAGTTCAAATAATACTTTTCAAAAGGGAGAGAAAGGATGCCGTTTATTTCTTTTGCAACATTCGTATTCTTATAGGATTATTACTGTTACATTTACTGAAGTTTTATATACCGTAATTTTGTGGTACGACATCAGTACTACTAAGGCACTGTCTTTCATCAAGCTGACATCAGTATCTTCCGGCAGTATTGGTCACAGTGGTACCTGAAAGAGAGGCTGGTAGATCCGTCCGCTACGCTTGGCATCCCACAGGTTCCTTATCTTTGCCCATATAGTGTAAAGAGGCAGAGGCGATGATCCGACAGGAGGTTGGTGTTACTTATAACTTTGAACGCAAACTACAACAAGATAAGCTAGACTACTTTTATTAGAACAAGAGAAAAGTATAGTATGCAGGAAGAACAGATAAAAATCACTGAAGATATTATGGATTGAGAAGCAGGCCATATTTATACCGTTTATCGAGTGAAACCTCTCTAATGAAAAGTAATTCACTGATTACATCTGGTTTTTGTCATCCTCGTGTTTGGAAAGTTTTTTGGTCTTTGCGTTTGCCTCATAAAGTCGTTACATGTTGGTGGCGGTTGTTACGTGATTCTCTAAGCACTCAGTCATCTTTACATCGTCTCCGTCCTCGGCTTTGACCTTCGCCTACATGTAAATTATGACCAGCCTCCATTGAGGATGAGACTTTCACTTCGTGGTTGGCTGCCGTATGAAATGGTCTTTTTGGTCAGCCACTTTGTCTCATTTCTCCCTCTCTCAGGTCTGACGGTCTCCTGAAGACGTATGACATGTTTTGCTCAATCTGATACTTTTGCAGAGAACTATATACTAGAATTAGTAGGCAACATATTGGAAACTCTATGGGAAATATCTCTGGTACACGATCGTTAATGTCAAATCTTGGTCTACTGACAACGCTTCACAACGGCTTCAGTCCTCGGTTACCCTTAAGATCACTCTACAAAGTGGAGAGCCTCTATCCCAGAAAGTTACAGGCTAGCTGTTTTGCTGAGACTTTATATACCATATGTGTACTACTTCACCTTAATGTTTCCTTTCTCACATTTAAATACTTAACTATTTATCTACTGCCCTTTTGAATTTATATCAAATAATAAAATTGTAACCTGAATTCAAACAAAAAAAAAAAAAAAAATCTGGCTGATTCCCTATTTAACCTATATCCTTCCTAATTTTTACTTCTAACGTCTGTTTATATTGAATAAATGTCACATGAATTCAAACAAAAAAATATAAGAAATCTGGCTGAACCACCTGTTGGGAGCGATTACTACGTGACTCTCTTAGTATACACGCTTCATTGCACTATATAAGATCTTGACAATGGCCTTCTTCAGCCTATAAGCTATGTTCAACCCCCGTCGAAGATGACAACCACTTTATCGTTGATTGCTTGATAAATGGTCATACTGGGTAAAAGCACTAGATCACATTTCCCTTTCCAGTGTACTAAAAACTCCAGCACATATGTTACATATCCTGCTCAATTTAAAGCTGGCAAATATTGATGAATATACTGAACCCTAATGCTAGAATTGTTGGGTGTCATATTGGAAACGCTATGGAAGTATTATTAGTCTACCATTACTATTTAAGAAACTTGGTCCACAGGAACTGTCTACTAACGACTAATATCATCGGTCACCTTACAGATCACTGTTATGAGTGCCGATATTGTCTCAGGAGGGCACAGGCTGTACATTCAGCTGAGGCACGTCTATAGTATCAGCTTTCCCCTAATCAACTAGGATTTTGTTCCCTATTTGGCATATATACTCCCAATCTTTTACTTCAAACGTCTTGCTTTACTGAATAGATGCAACTTCAATTTAAACCAAAAAAAAAAAAAAAAAAAAAAAAAATAGCTGGAAAGCCAAGTTATTTTGGTTAATGTATTATGACTGTACGGGGCACATCGTATTCTCTTCTTTTTCAACAACCCTAGCGTATTTCTTATTCTTTCTTTTGTCTCCCGTTATCTAACACTACAATACTTACAATAAAGCACTTAAATTTAAACAGAAAGTTTTTAGGCTTGTTACCCTTTTTCTCTTCTCAACCTAATCGTAAATCAAATTACATAGTCCAGGAATAAGAGTAATAGATTGGTACTTGAGTCTGAATAAAAAGAAAGAAAGAAAAAAAAAAAAAAACTCGACTTTTACTGCGTTGAAATATGATAATATACTGGTTTTCCTTTCAGAAAATAAAAATAAAAATAGAAGCTTAACACGAAGTAAATATTCAAAATGGGCCAACAAATATTAGCAGAATATGTAATTATGTAGAGAGTAACTTGAATTGTCTATGCTTCGTAAATTCAATATCTCTTTACAAAATGCGCCCATAAAGACCACAAATAAAAAAGTTTAGATAGATTGTGAGAACTATATTCTATAATTGATTAAAAGGAAGCTTTTAAAATGAATAATACACAGGAGAGGGTAGGTAAAAATAAGAAATCTCTTCTCAAGGACTTACAGGTTATTGAGCAAGCAGCTCTTGAATGAACTGGCGTGGGAGGAATACTTATTAGTTATACTTGGGAAAATTATTTATACGAACTGGATGGTTATGGTAAGGCTAAACTCTGTAATCACTTTCAATAATAGCTAAACAATGAGGCATCACTTCCTTTCTGTACGGGACTAAACAAAACTTCAATCTGGAAAAGTCAGATCATGAATCGATGAACCTGGAGAATATAATAAGTATAATATTGTAAATGAAATCATAAGCAAAATCAAAAATAATATAAGGAGAGAATTAGAGGATATATATATAATAATAATCAGCTACAAATAAAAATAAATTTAAAGAGTGTTGGGATATCTATAAGTCATAGTTCAATAGTTAAGAAAGACAATAATAACTCTTGAGCGTAGTGAGCACCAGACTTTCAGTAAGCAGTTTTTCCCTAGGTCTTGACTATCTATGTAAATATCTTTGACTTTATATAAAAGTCTAACAATAAGCTAGGATATATTGTTTGCACAATCTGGTCAAGTTCAGGAGGATCAAAAGATCGAATTGAATATATTACGTTTTTTTTTCTAGATAGAAGGATAAAGTAGCAAGTGTAAGATTTGGTCAAGCTAACTTTTCTTATGCGGACTGGATTTTACAAGTTATTAAAGTTGCTGGGTTATGCACTTTTCAAAAGGTAAGAGATCAATCATAATTTATAGAAGAATTATACTCTAAGGATAAGCACGCAGGCAAGAGCAATATTATTATGAAATGGCCTTCTTCTAGACATGGGTATTGGTGGGAATGAAGTTCGACTGAAATGCAAGCTTTCATGGTAGTACTTTGCAGAAGAGGTTTTGCCAATCTGTAGGATCGGATATCATTGATTACATTTTATCTGTACTGATGCTGCTAGTCTAATTCTGCCTAAAATGTAAACTATAAATTCTGTCGGAAACTGTGTCTAAATTCAAAAAAATCAAGTGCTACCACTTAATAATCCTCAGAGACTAAAAGATGGCTTGCTTACGTCAAGTTTATTCATAGTTCAAAAGAGACTAAATTAGAGCAATACCCATATTAACTTTTCAATTAATTGTATTGATTTATTTAAGAACCAAAAATAAAGAATGTACAAGCAGAATTATATATAAAGAAAAGGGAATGCTATAAACTACAGAGAGAACATATAGAAGAGGAACACCAGGTAACAATTTACTTATACGCAAGTGTAACCGCCGTCGACGAATAACTCTGTACCTGTAACGTAAGAGCTGGCATCACTAGCTAAAAAGACAATAGCACCACGAAGTTCCTTGGCCTCACCAATGCGACCCATTGGAGTTAACTTACACCAAATGTCTTCCCATTCGGGGTTTTCCTTGAATGTAGCATTTAGTAAGTCGGTTCTCATGTAACCGGGGCAGAGGGCATTGACACGAATACCTTTAGAGGCCCATTCATAAGCAAGGGTCTTGGCCATCATGGTAGTAGCGCCCTTAGACGTGTTATACTGTTAATTTGTTCATTAGGAAAGGGTCAGTTCTGCACTAATAAAGGAACATACCTCTAACAATGATAACTTACAGCGCATTGAAGTTGAGGACGGTTGGCAACATGGCCAGAAATAGATGAGGTGATGATGACACTGCCACTACCCTTTTCAAGCATATACTTGGCGGCAGCACGAATTGTATAGAAGACACCGTTAACATTGACATCCATTACATTTTGCCAATCCTTCAGATCCAATTTCTGTATTTCAAGTGTTTGATTTATGGAATAATATGTCAGTGAATCAGATAGATTGCCATCCAAACTCTCAAATGCAAAACATTACCTCAGCTGGTCCGCCACTATTAATACCGGCATTGGCAACCAAGACATCAATAGCACCAAAGTCTTGATGAATTTGATCAATAGCCTTTTGAACTTCTTCAGCATTGACGATATCTGCCTTATAAGCCTTACAAGTGACATTGTAGTCCTTGGCAATCTGCGCAGCAGTGTCCTTGGTCTTGTCACTGGAGACATACATAATAGCAACAGAGGCACCAGATTCGGCAAGAGCCTTGCTCATGTCTAAACCGAGACCTCTTTTAAGGATAGTTGGATAGAAAGTGTGTAAGTGTTACTAGAATTATATCTCTTCCTCTTTACTAGCATTGCCCGCTGATCTTATCTTACCTTCCACCACCAGTAACGACGGCAACTTTGCCTTTGAGAGAGAATTCAGGAAGCGTGGGGTTGGATGAGGACATGATTGAAGTGTATGCAAATTATATAATGAGAAAGCAAAGAGAAAAAAAAAAAAAGTACTGTCAAGCCATTTTGCATTACATATTTTATACGCGTTTGAAGGCTGCTGTTTCAAATCTTATTTTACGTCAGCAATTTTAGTGTGAATTTTCCGTATCAAACTTTTTTTTGGTCAAATCTCCTTCTGCATCGTTTGTTCCTAGCTTCCGCATTTGAACATTCTTATGTGCAGTATTATGTAATGGCAACAGGACTATCTACTTTCGGGTAGTGTCAGTAATTCTCTTTTTTTTTTGGGACGACGAGGTAGAAATAGGTTTCGCTTTTAAGCTATATTTCATTCAAGTACATCCTAATGCTGCTTGTTTTCGCGTATAAATACGCATAGATGACTTACCAATTGATTCCATTCTTGTTTAAGGTCTTATCAAAGTTTTAACAAACAGTCAGTGATTTCATCCGATCGTTCTTTTTTCCACTTGCCTTCTTTCGAAAAATTGTTTACCCCAGATTAAATAAAGGTTTCAGCTACAGTTTATTAAATTCAAATTTGGACAAAACAAACATAATTTTTAGACGATAAATAGATCATTTTTAAACGAATTCAATATAATAGTAGACCGTAAGAGTGAATGTTAGACAATTTGCACAACAGTAGAAAGTACAAGCTTTCGTTCTTTTTACCTGTAAAAATCAAACTGAGTTCGTTCCAGCGATGTTGAAGGTAGGGGGAGTCTTATATTTTTAGTCGCGTAAACTCTTTCGATCTCCCCAACTTCTTCCAAATGGCAATACTGATCTTCATCATGTCCTTTGAGGCGTTGATGTCTCGGTTCCACAGTATATGACAAGTCTTACAAACAAGTATACTGTAGGTCTGAACGCCTTTCAACCTCTCCAAAGTATCGTCGGAACAGCACGAGCATATTTTAGATGTCTTGAATTCATCGATTTCTAGTACTAGCAGGTCTCCGGCTGCTTCGCGTCGCTTAAGCGCACGCCACAAAACACCTACCGTTCCGCATCGGTGACTCTTCAGTGCGACGTTGTTTTTACTAAATATGCCATTACCAAACACGATGAGAGGCACTTTTTTTATATCACCCTATCCAAATTGAAAGGTTCGGGCTTCCATTTGGCGTTTGGTGCACTATTATAAAAAGCATGTTACTTCCTATAAGTAGTTGATGATTATCGTTCATGAGTTTACCTGTCTTTCGTCTTCAATTCCACCCTAATTTCTGATGTCTCTTCTTGCATACTCTTTTGTTCTGCTACTCCTTTCTTCTTCTTTTTCCGTCGTTCTATTAAAGCCATCTTGCCATTATTCTTCTTCTTTGAGACCTTTTTTGTTCTTCTCTTTTTTTCAATCTGAGATCCAGATTATATTTTGTACTGCCATTGATAAGCATGTTTACCATTTTGTCGGCAGCTCGTTTCCGTCGTTGGTGCAAATGAAATCGATCTTCGGCAGTGTCATCACCGTAGAAAGAAAACAAGTCTTCCAAGTGCTGTAGGATGTAAGCTGCATAACAGTGATATTGGGCTTTGGAGCCTGTCTTGGCCGTTGGCATATCACTTTCGATGCCCTTGATTTTACCCGCTTTCTTCTTCTTTAGCTTTGCAGAGTACATGGTGCTACCAGTCATATGATAGTACTCTTTGGTAAAACAGCTTTGCACTTGGTGCTTTTCATTGTCCAGCCCAATCGCTGCTGTGAAGACGTCTTTTCTTCCGGGATCAATGAAGCAGGGCCTATAACCAGCTTCGATTTCGGCTAAATCGAAGTCCTCCAAAGTCAACCGATGGTTTTTGATGGTCTTCTCTTCTTTTGCTTTCCCTTTCTTACTGAAAAGAAAATCGACAGTGAAGCCATCTGAACAGACAATATTACGGAATAATGTTTCCTGCCTTGTCTTAAGGTCATTTAAACTATTGTCATAAGTCAGTAAATACCAGTGACAGTATTTCAGCCAAAACTGTTTCTGTTTACCTTTTAAATCCCATCGTTTTGAAGCTCAATACTTGGTGAAACTTCTCGAGTTGATTCAAATAGCCTTGAGGAGGCGTACCAGGAAACAGGAATGGGACGAGCGAATTGTTGCGTATTGTAATGAAATGCCAATGGAGCGAAGGTAAAGGAAAAGGGAAGAAGTGCTTGGATAATGCTAATCTACGGATATTATAAGCTGCATGTTCGTCATGTTCCTTTTCATACGAGGATTGGATGTGCCATAAGACTTTAATAAACTTGGTGGAATCGGACGATAAGGAAAGCAGTGTAACCTTCTCCGTTACAAGTTTTTCGAAACTTTTGCACAGCATCTCTATCTTGCTTTTATCTTCATTATTAAGCATGATTTTATCGGGCCACTTGGGTTCACCTTTGCAAATTACTTGGTAGCAGTATGCTTTTGATATTTCTGCTACATCGACCTTCTTCATGTTCTATGGATAATAACAAAAATACACACAATTAGAAAGGTAGAATTAAAGTAGTGGAAAGGAGACCTACAACAAACATATTTTGTAGCTTATAGATTAGATATTTAAGCATTCGCTTCTCGAAAAGCTCAACAATGGAGTTAGTATATGAAATGCTTGATTTCCTTGACAGCTTCTTGACTATAACCTTTCATGAAGCCATGATTAATTACTATTGTCGGATGCTTTTGCTTAAAGTCATCAAAATAAGTTTTGATGCTGTCGTTCAACGCCTTCTAGTGAGTAACCTTTTTACCCGTAGTAAGTTGCGCAATGGAATACCAAACTTGCTGTGTGAAGACTTCTGAAGGAATGTCATTCTTGTTATGAACAAGGTAGGCATTGACAAATAGTTGACAGCGGAACACTATAGCTCTGATGTCCTTGCAGCATGGAATGACCTTTTCCTTGAACTTTGCACGAAACTGCCGTGAAAGGTACGGTCTACAGGAAGCTTCCTCATAAAAATAGTAGAATTATAACCAAGGACAGATGAAATGGCCTTTGCCTTTGATTGGTATGTGATTAGGACAAAGAGGCGAACGAGAGGAAGCATGATTATCATTCCCACAACTTGGACACTTTACAGCTTGTGATGCCGTTTTCTTCTTCTTCACTGCCTTTTTCTCTGCTTAAACACTCTCGCTCTGTTTTCTTTTCTTATTGCGACTCCCAACTATGAGTATGAGACGGTCTGTTACTCGGCTTGTGCGACTAAAAGCAGGTCGATGCTCAACTTACCATCGTTAGCGGATACAGCTTTATGATATTTGCATGTCGGGTAGCTTTTATTGAAGTGACCCATTTCATTACAGTCTTTACATTTGGTATGGTCTGAATAAGTGCACAACAAGGTTAATAACGTCCCAAACAACACATTGTATTGTGGTTTGCCTTTACCGAACGGGATTTTCCTTCTTGGTGTACTTTTCTTTCACTGAATTAATTTTATTCTCGATAATACTCTTATACAAACGTATAGAGGTAGCACCGAGCGAGAGGTAATAAAGAGGAAAAAGAAGAAAAGAAGAAGAAGGTTGAAGAAGTTGAAAGATAAATATGTCTAGTAAATTTAACAACATAAGCTTTCGTTTAACAACATTTATTATAATAATATAATTTACGCGTTTAATGTCATGTTTAAAATATGCAGACGTTGGAAATTCGATTCAACGCTATGCTGATATATTTGCTGCGTAAGGCAGCAAGCACCATTCGAACTCATAACTGTCAATTAAAACTTCCTACATGGTTCACATGCGTTACAGACTTGAGACTGAGTCATCGCTAGAAAATGAAGAAACCTAATAGATAAACACGATATAGAAGGATTCTTTATAGTCATGGACAATCGTAGAATTACTATTGTAAATTTGCTGTAGAGGGTATCGATAAGCCTGGCTACAAGCTTTTATTCATGCCTTCCTACTTGTCATTTTTGAACCTTATTGAGAATGCTGATCAAGGATTAAAAGTAATATCCAAAGCAATTCGTTGCAGATGGAAGTCGAATTATCGCTCCAAATTTAGGAAGCGTATGAGACAATTATGCCTGATGATTGTCTGGGTTAGACTAGGCATGCAGAAACACTCTGCGAAAGATACTTACAGAAAGAACCTGGTCTTATGAACTGGTGATTCAATCCGTCTAAAGTTATTTTTCCGATAAAACTGTAAATAAGTCTAAAATTAAAATGCAAGTTGCCCAATAAATATTGCAAGTCGTCTAAACCGGATGTTAAAACACCGTAATAGGCTTTATGTCAAAAAGCCTACTACTTTTTTTAATGAAGGGTAATGTTGATTACATAACTACAGTTTAACTACCGCCTTGATCATCACTCCCTTTTTTTTTGTGTGTGTTCCGTGTGTTTGCTTACTTAATAGGTCTAAGACAGGATTTTCCCTTTTCCTTTCTTTGTTTGCAGTTCGTGCGGTTTGCTTACTTAATAGATTTAATGCAAGATTTTGTTTGCATAACCACATTCAGCGCGTTTGCTTACTGGATATATCTGATGTAAGAAGCAAACCACAAAGGCAAAGAAAAAAATAAAAAAAAGATAGCTTGCCACGATCTTCAAATTTTTACAAATGATTTATTAATACAAATATAAGCTTAGAATTCATAATGAAGGGTTAAACAGTGGGTATCATTAAATATGTATACATATTTAATTTTTAGACGAGTAAAGCCTCTTTAAACATACGAAGGTTCATCTTCACTTTTGTTATAATGCATGGTATACTTATTTAACTGAAGTGTCATATTGGATGATTCATGCGCTTTACAAGCATCTAAAAATTCGTTTGCACCTACTAAAGCATCCTTTGCTGCTTTAAGAAAATCCCTATTCCCAAACCGTTGCTGAGAAGCTAGAAGTTCACCTATATCTGCTACTTGTTGTCGCAGTAGTTCAAATTCCCGTTCTACTTCTTGCTTTTGAAGATAATGCTGCTGTTTCCGTTGTAACTCGAACTGTTGCTGCTGCAAATCGTATGCTATAAGAGTTGTAGAGTTAGAGCTAGAAGTAGACGTAGAATAATCTGATTGCTGTTGATGATATGTCCGTTGGAGAGATTGTGGCAATGGTTTCATAGCAGGAGAGTACTGCGGCTGCTGTTTATAGTGAGTTGCTTGCTGTTGCTGATGCTGTTGTACTTGAGTGTGTACGGTAGCCATTTGTTGTTGTGAAGAAGGCGACTCAGGAGCAGATGGAACAGGGCAATGGTGAACTTGTGCCTGCTGCTGTGACGGAGCTGACGATGACGACTGCAATTGCTTTTGTTGATTCTTCTTTTCTGATTTCTTTTGATTTTGTTGACCATGCTGTGATACAAAGGGAGGATGAGAGTACTTATGTATTACAGTAACATGTGCTGATTGCTTTAAAAGATCGATAATAATGGTTAACGCACCCCCGCAATCATAACGGCACTGTGCTTTCGGATGGTCTCCTTTCCTGGGTTTAGCTGTATCTACTCGCTGCGAGCAATAGTACCTTAATGTAGACAATGTATTTGGACTTTTAGTTGAGCGACGGCGATCTTTCAAACTAATAATGAGTATATCAAAAAAGTAATCAGAGTTATAAAGCTTATTCTTCTAATTGGGCAATAACTCTTTACCTAAAGTTGAACTTCGTTCCTTCCAATACCCTTTCACATATCGCTCTGCCTATCTGAGTGAAGGCATCACCTAGCTTGTCTATCAGAAAACTGATATCCAAATGATAATGTTTCCGATCGAAATCTGTCTCCTTCTTCAACTCGTTTACAAAAGCATCTAAACTGATCAAATCTTGCAAAGCTCGCTCAGCGGCAGAGGTTATTGATCGATTAGATGCTGAAGCAAGAGTAGCTGTGTGTTGCTCTTGCTGTTGCTGTTGTTGTCGACTAACAGTATCAGTAACAAGACTAGGTGATGTTGTCACGGGTGATAGTGTAAAATTTGATTTGATCGATGAATTAGAGGAAGGTATTTGAGGAGAGTGTTTTACAACGGATGTGTCAGCAGACGAAAACATCGTTGCCGACGATGGTGGAGTTATTGACGCTACAGGATCATTTAAAGAGGTTTGAGCATTATTTTCGTTGGCAATCGGTAAGCTTCGTTTACTGTTACTAAAATGCACTGTATCATCATACGACTGCTCTTGTCGAGAAGCATCATGTGTATTGAAAATTTCAGGCTTTTCTTGAGTTAATGATGATGAAGAAGGCAACATATAGTGTTGCATGCTTATTTGCTGCTGTGATTGCTGAAAAGATGAATTCTGATAAGAAGGCAAAGGCAAGGAGATAGCTGGTTGCATCACTTGTGGTTTTTGCTGTTGCTGCTGTTGTTGCTGCTGCTGCACTTCCAAATGCCGGATGCTGGAAGTGGCAGGAAATATATTATTACTGATTTCATCACTTACCAAATGATTAGAGCTTGCTTTTAGAACTTGATTGCCTCGCACCATTAGGTCGGTAACATTATTTGAAGCCTGCTTCAATTGAGGCGAGTTCTTAATTGTAGATGAAGAATATGTTTGTATCGGAGGTGGCAGTGCGTGAGTTTGTAAAGGAGGTCTATTATCTTCACCACTATTCAATGTTATAGGGGTTGAAGAGGGTTGTTGCTGTTGTTGTAACTGAGGGGAAAAATGCTGACTGGTACTACTAGACGGAGAGGAAGAGGAAGAAGCAAGAGGGGGAACTGCATATTGTAACTGTCGTTGCTGTTGTTGATATCTCGCCTGCTTTATAGTACGTTGCTGTTGCTCTTCAAACATTTCATATCTTTCCAACTGATGTTTCCTCTTTTGCATGTCCCGACTTCGACAAAAATTACAAACATTATATTTACTATCTCTTTCATTGAAAGCTCTTACGTTTCGGAATGTTTGACAACTATCACAATATAAAGATTCTTGTTGCGCTGAAGCTTGCTGTCCTCCTCTTCGTACAATTGCCGCATCTGATCCGCCGCTAATTATGACATTGTCCCCTGGGAATTCGCTGCAATTCCCAGATAAAGTTGGTGAGCCACCGCTGCTAGGATTTACATTGTGTGAATAACGTGGCCGTTGAGACGGTTGTTGCTGAGTGTGGCGAGTATAAGCTGCTGCTAATGACATGGCTGTGTTATAATTATGTGAAGTGGTAAAAGGACGAGGACGAGAAGGTCCTTGGGACATTTCAGAAAATTCCTTTTTGCTTGCGCTGAAACGAACGGAGTGGTGTAGCAAGAAAGATCAATCTTAAATCTTTTCGGCTCTGTAGGGAGAACAGTTGCTTATGCCTAATTTAATAGTTTTATACAGGGAAAAGAACAATTGAAATTTACCAGAGGTAAAGAGAGGTTTTAGCAGGTAATTGTAATGGAGAATTAGAAGACAACGATGTGACGGATAATCCCGCCCAATTAAATGATAGACTGGCTTTGGAGGTCCTACTTGTTGAAAAGGTAGACAGACCTCTGTTGCGGATCATAGCCTTGAGACATAACTACAGATAAAGCTCTTAAAGTAAGGTTTAAGCTCGTCAGCAGGTAATAGGAGACGATCTGTTGCAATACATGGAAAGAAGGCGAGAAAAAGCACACCTGCCCTTTAAATAGCATTAAGGAGGTTGTTAAACATTGCAAATTTACAGATTGATTTAAGGATGATGAAAGGTTTATGGTATACAACAAAATTAGCTACAGCTTAAAATATAGAAGAGAGCAGACTGAAGAGCTCAATTCTATGAATACATGCTGTCGTTAGATTTATCATTCATTCTTTCGAGAATGGGTATAATTTTCTCCCATATTGCCATACCCTGGAAAAAATAAGAAGTTAGTATGATGTGGCGTTTCATTTGTTAAATAAATGCTTATTATACCCTTTGATAGAATTCTATATGGCAGTCAGCATATGCTATCAAGCTTTGTTTTAACTCCAAGGTTTTTGCTTGCTGAAATAGTTCAAATTCCTTGATAACTTGTTTGTTAAACCTCATTGACTCATCTGTTGTTTTCTCTAATTCGTGCCGTAACTATCATTTGAAGAAGTTAGTTGTTCATTAAGTTAGAGAGAGAGCCCTTTCATATTTAATAAGTATAGTCTCCAACTGCTGTTTATTTATTTATTCCTATTACCCTTTTAACTCTGTCATCCAATCGGGCCAATTTCTCTCTTCTTGCTCGTTGTTTATCAACACCTCTCACTTCATTCAATTTATCTGTAACGTAATCGGTAATAATCATGCCGCTCATGCCACCTTTGATATCATTGTATTTTCTATTATTACTACCGGAATGTAAGCGATCTCGCAGCTGATATGACTGCTGTAAATAGTAGTTCAGACCTTCTCGGTCGAGTTGTTTCTGATCCCGTGCCCTTAATGTGTCTTTTGCAGCGTGACAATAAGATAATAGAGCATGTAACTCGTTGAGAAATTGAGCATCTTCTTTCTCGATCATATCTTTCATGACATTGGCAAAGGCTTTAGCAGTTTCAGCAAATTGATGAAGCGGTTTTGTAATACTTTGTTCAAGTGCTGATAAACCTTGGATACTATTTGCAAAATTGTCGTAATCATGCTCCAAATCCTGTTGACGTTTATTTATTCTTAAGTAAAGCCTTTCTATTGTATTCAAATTCTCTTCTAGTCTCTCGATGTTTTCCTTCATATCCTCGAACCTTTCATCGGGCATTTTTAATGTTGTAAAAGCATTAATCAGTGTGTCACCAATTGAATTCAAAAATGACGTTGGCTCTTCTGTTAAAATGCTCATTTGCCTTCGTTTATCATTTTTCTGCAACAGTAATGGTTCAGTAAACATCTTACATGTCCTTACCACACTTAAGTAAGATTTGTACTTACAAAATCATTCGATTCCAAGAATATCTGTACTGCTTCAGATTGCTGTAGAATTGGATGTCTGGATATTCTTTCTAAAAACCATTGTAAACTACGTGGTGCATATTTTATGAAGATTAATATTGCAGTAATGCCACGTACGGGAGAACAAACAAAAACCTTAATAATCTTCGCTGTATGAAATCTGGTCCAAATCTATCACCTTTTATATACTCTAAGAATATGATTTTCAGCATCAGTATTCCAGCCTTCAATTTACAATGTCCTCTTATCTAATTGTTACCTAGTCTATGCTTCTCTGGTAGCGGAGGTATTATACAAGCAGGATATGTCATTGCCAAAGTGGTACGTAACCACACGAAATCTTGATATCTTCTTCTCACTGGTCGCGGTTTGGGTCCTGAACGGAATGTCTTTACCTCGGTTTCGGTTGTTATCAGGTAAGTGATAAAGGAGCCTTTTGGTGTATCATGCTTCTGTGGGTCACGGATTTTTATTGTCATTCGTACTGCTTCAGCAGCCGGAACAATATTATTGCTGTTGCTGCTGCTACTACTACCATTACTGCTAGCGTCTCCAGCATAGCCATCATTATGATGAATACGATCAGATAGAGCTTTTGAATCTGATTTGTTGGAAGTAGAGGATTCTGATCGATTGGATTGCTGCTGCTGCCGAGCTGAATAACTTTCCTTATCTAATAAGGAATCCATGGAATCAAGGATAGGCGAAGAACTAGGTATAATAAGTGGTACTGAAGGCGAAGGATTTTTGACTGCATAGAAATCATTGTATTTATCATTAATCATTAACGGATTCTCCTATTTTCAATGATGAGCTTAGCGATAAGAGAAAAGCCAATTTATATACTCTCTGTATTGTCTGTACAAGCTGTACCTGCTCTTGCGAGAGTGGGTCATCTACAAACTCCACGTTAGGTGTCAAGACATCGGTTGTCGCATGTACATTCCATTGCACACTTTCTTCATTCATATCGTCGTCTGAAAAAAATTGCAAATTGATAAGGAACAAAAGAGAAAAAAGAAGTTCAGGAGAAAGTGAAATTGATAATTGGCATAAATTACGTCTGCTGCTGTTATATTGAGATGAAGTATTTTAGCCAATAGAATTATAGAATTAGTTGTAAAGGCATAAATTTGTTTTAAGGACAGTGAAGTAGTCTGTTGGGTGTTAACAGTTTCTTCCAAGTTCATAACATAAATGATCAAATAATCAGAACAGTTAGACTATACTTAGAGAATTGATTCTATTTCTAAGAAGTAATGGGTTGATAGTACAGTATCTAGCAGGGTAACTTTCGCATTTTTATGAGTGAAATGTAATAGATATTTGATAGATATAGGTTTATGCTTCGTCAGTAACGGCACCCTCACTAGCGCTCTTTACAGTCAGACAATAACGAGCAAGAGTACCTCTGGTATATTTAAGGGGTGGTGCCACGAAGTTCTTTTTACGGTCTGCCAGTTCTTCATCAGAAACGTTCACATTCATCTCACGAGTCTCAGCATTAATAGTGATAACATCACCATCCTTAATTAAACCGATAGGACCACCAACCTGGGCTTCAGGACAAATATGACCAATGATAAAACCGTGAGATCCACCAGAGAATCGACCGTCGGTTAGCAATGCGCAATCGTCACCTAGGCCTGCACCCATAATCGCTGAGGAAGGCTTCAACATTTCACGCATACCAGGTCCACCCTTGGGGCCTTCATAACGAATGACAACCACCGTCTTTTCTCCTTTCTTAATTTCGTTATTTTCCAAAGCAGTAATGAACCCTTCTTCACCGTCAAAGACGCGAGCCTTACCAGTGAATTCAAGACCTTCTTTGCCTGTAATTTTAGCAACAGAGCCTTCAGGTGCTAGATTACCACGTAGAATTTGTATATGGCCAGTCTTTTTGATAGGGTTGGAGAGGGGTCGGATAATATCTTGACCTTGAGGCAAGCCTGGAAGAGAATGTAAGTTCTCCTCTAGCGTCTTACCGGTGACTGTCATCACGCCTCCATTAATCAGTTTCTCTTCCATCAAGTATTTTAGAATAGCAGGAATACCACCAATGCCATGGAGGTCTTCCATAACGTATTTACCACTAGGCTTCAAATCGGCTAAGAAAGGAGTTTTGTCACTAGCGGCCTGGAAATCGTCCAAAGTTAAATTGATACCGACACTACGAGCAATAGCAATCAAATGCAGAACGACGTTTGTAGAACCACCCAAAGCCATGGTGAGGACCATAGCATTTTCGAAAGCGTCACGTGTCATGATATCGCGAGGCTTTATATCATTTTCCAAGAGGTAGCGAATAGCTTGACCAGCTTTATGGCATTCTTCTTTCTTTTCTGGGTAAGCAGCAGGGGTAGAAGAAGAGTAAGGGAGAGTCATACCCATAGCCTCAGCGGCAGAAGCCATTGTATTGGCAGTGTACACTAATAAGATTAGTTGAAAATGTAAGCCTTTACTCTGCCTTATGCAACAGCAAAAGGAAACACACTTACTGCCACCACAAGCACCAGGACCAGGACAGGCGTGTCGAATGATATCATAACGCTTTTGCTCATCAATAGAGCCTGCTACATATTCACCGTAAGCTTGAAAAGCAGATACAAGATCCAATTTGGCTCCACCGCAACTTTGACCTGGCTGAATAGTACCACCATATACCATTAACGAGGGGCGATTGACTCGACCCATGGCCATTAAAACGCCTGGCATATTCTTATCACAGCCTGGGATAGAAATGTTGGCATCGTACCATTGACCACCCATAACCTATATATCGAATAGTTCTACTTAATACCTTTTTTTTTTTCTTAAAAATTTTTGGGATGTACAATATTATAATCTATAGACCAAACTACTTACCGTTTCCACACTATCAGCAATCAGATCGCGAGATTGAAGAGAATAACTCATACCTCTTGTACCCATTGAAATACCATCGCTGACACCAATGGTATTGAATCGATAACCAATAAGACCTGCATTTTGAACACCCTTCTTGACCTCACCAGCAAGATCTAAAAGATGCATGTTACAAGGATTACCTTCATACCAGCTATATTAATATAACCGAATAATATGAGCATTTAAATGAATGGATTTACCATATGCTGATGCCCTCTAAGTTAAACTTACACGCTCGCAATACCGACTTGTGCTTTGTTCATATCTTCATCTGTTAAGCCCGTAGCATACACTAAAGTACCGTAGCATATACACAATGTTTAGACTCCCTGCCTCTTTATATCTCTCCACCTCTAACTTTGTTCTTTTTCTATTATACTTACACATAGCCTGAGAGGCACCTTGACTTTTTGGTTGAGTGATAATAGAGCTATATTTATTCAGCTTTTTGGATTCATTCTCACTACTATCCGATGATGTTGCATAGGATCGTAAGCCGATGGGTGATATCTTGGAAACATTAAGTGCACTTGAAAGATATAGTTGTTAGCAAATATGGATTCGCGTTATCACTTTTGGGAAATTGTGCTTCAATTTACATATATTGTGATCCAAGTGTTGATGCTTTTTTTGAGAAAAGTCTCGCTGCCATTATTTTTGATGTAGAATTTTCAAGAGAAAGAACGGATTAGAATAGAGTAAAGCGTATCAATTAAAGGACAATGTAAGATCGTTGAATTAAAATAAAAAAAGATGGAGAAGTTTAAATGTCAAATAAAAATGCTCATGAGTCAATCTTTACTGGTTTACCAGTTCTGACATAGACGGAATTAACTAGGCTGATTGGTTCGTTGCAGAAAAGCTTAAAATTTGTGGGGTAACAGCTGTCTTATTGTGACAATATAGAAAATCTTTTGCTGCATTATGCACAAATGTCGTGCAAACGACAGCGGGCAAAGCTCAGTGTGAAGCTATCTAAGAATAAAGGAGTTAGTACATTCTATAATCTCAACAAGTTGACATAGATAGTATTTCAGTAGTTATAACTTGCAATAAAAGGCATGATCTACCGCAATATTATGGAGTTTGGATATAAAAGCCGGCTATAACAACTGTTCAAACAGACCACCACCATGAGTTGTAATTCTTGCTTTGCAAAAATTTGCTTTACAGTAACTACGACCAGTAGAGAAAGCCTGTATTTTTTTTTATTTTTTTTTTTGCAATATATTTTTAACCACATTCCAAAAAATGAAAGCTCAAGACAAGCAGCAGGTACAGCAGTTGTATACCTTTTTCAACTAACGCGTAGTATGAGAGAAGCATTTCCTCTTTATAAGGGCAATACATCGGCACATAATTTGCTTTAGGAGGAGTTTTGCCTAAGTTTATTTTCAAATAAAGAGTATATCTTTTCTGGGTTAAAAGAAATATTGAGTGCAGAAATCAAAGATGCTCATGATACTTCCTGCTTTATCTGTAATATTTGAAACTCTTTGGTCAAGACAAACCGCGTTCAATACGGCGATATATTTTAAAGATTACTATTGCTTTCTTCCGCGAAAAATGCTGAGATCAGCTTAAACCATTGATTATAGCGGTTGAGATTTCCAAAATGTTTTTCGAGGCATTAATAACACGCTGCCATAACATTTCACAACTCTGGCAAGCGAGAACGCTATTCAACCAATGCATACTTATTTAAAGGACATGTCTGCATTTACAAAATTAGGTAAGCTACAAGATAATTTTAATCGAGTCTTTCTTTTACCTTTGAGGTTCTGTAAATTCATCGACGTATAAGAGCAAAAGATCGACATGTTCGCCTATATTTAAGCTGTCGCAAAAGAGCACCATTAAGACTTCCAAATTGCGCCAATAGTTGACTTTTTATACTTATACCTCAGGAGTACGTCTGAGTAGGCTGGATATAGTCCTTGCATACCGTTTCAGCTAAACAATCATTAATCACACATATGAGATGCATACTATCATCTGTAAGCTTTACTTTCTTCTTCAATTTTCTTAACGCCTCCACATCCTTTCAAACATTTTATGAACCTTCTCTTAACCAAAGACGCAAAGCTGGGAAATATAGCAGCTTCCAACGATAGTATTAAGCCTTGTCAAGAGGCCTTCTAAAGTAAGTAGCAGTAGCCTTCTAATTTATCCAATGGACTTCGAAGTTTACAAATGACTGATAGCCTCACATTGCTGTTCATCAGCTCAATTGAAGAGGTAAGCAATCTTAAGAAACTGTCCTCAGATCAATTCCTAGCTTTAGCACATGCGTAACCTGTCAAGTGTTTCTAAAAGAGTATCTATTTTTGGTTTTACGAGAGCTTAACAACCATTTTGCTCTTTGCTATCTAGACTGTTTGCCAAAATTAAGGCTCTTTGTGCTAAGTTTCTTTCCTTTGAAAATTGTCCACCAAAATATTATTAAAGGACCTTGATTTTTGATTTGTTTGGGTCAAAAATCCATTTAGTTTATAAAAAAGTAAATAGTCCAGAAGAGGAGTAGAAAAGTCCGGATTCCAATCCAAAACACTGTGGCACTGCTGGAGCTATTACTATTTGTGCCGCTCTTACTGATCGCGTCAGACGCCGGTGGGTTAGCGGAGGTCTGACTTCCTACAACTACAGTTCCTCCCATGTTTTTGTTTGCAGCAAGTCCAACACGATTCTTCCCCATATCGTATACCATATACAAAGATCGAAGAACGGAGTCACCGATAAGATACATATTACTGGATCTCAGGGAGCTGCTTTTACCCAGAGGAGCAATACCAAACATACAGTTGTGAGAATTTTCCACGCTGTTCCCTTCCATTGAGATGACAAGCTCTTTAGCCGGCACACTAACAATAATAGGTTGTTCATTGCCTACTTGCGCGGTCTTTGATAGTATAAGCTCAAACTGAAACGAAGAATTCGTTGCTGCAGCACAATCAATAATGTAAACATTATATTGAGGATCAAGAGTGAATTTGCCTGCACCAACAAATGCTGTAACGATCTGAGTAGTAATTAGCTCAGGAAAGTATGTGAGGGTGGTGCCTGTATCTAAAATGAAAGCACCTAACTCTGACATGCCCCATGTCATAGGCTTACCGTTGGTTGTCAGGGGATTTTTGACCCCAATTCCCTGTGCATATACCATCCAGTAGTAGTAACCATTTGACATCCTGGTGGTGCTATCCTCTGATGTTATTTTGGCAGTTAATCCCGCAACATCTAAATAAGTCAAATTTCCAATAAATTTGTTTTGGTCGTAACCACCGAACAGAATCTCCCCAGACCAGTCTGCCTCAGAAATCGAGTTCAAAAAAATCGAGAAAACAGGGTTTTCTATAAGGTTTTGTGCTACCAGGTTGAAGACAAAAGGGTTATATGCATTTCCACTTTGACTGTAGGCTCGTGTCAATCGAGGATAGCCAAGACCAAATATACCATTCATTATAACAGGACTAGTACCATTTATGCTGGTATTATTGCTAACGTCAATCATATCTGGCTGTTCCATAATATCCGCAGTGACTGAAGCTAAGCCAAATTTTTGCCCAAGAACGGTTGCACCAGCAATGGTGATTGTATCTGTTGCATAACTCCCATTGACACTGCCTATTCCATATTGGATTGCAAAACTGTCTGTTGAAGATTGATATGTTTTCGACTTGGATTCGTCAAATTTTGTACAAGGACAAGAATTGGGCGGACAATCCGATCCAGGTACCCATAAATCTGCACTACAATGTAATATATGTTTGAATAGAAAATGAGGTCTGTATATAGGCATACCTCCCGTTTGAGTAGGGTAATAAGCCCTTACCTTCCAGTGTCGACTGCTAAACGAAATGTTTGTGGAGGTGTTCCAATTGATACGTCAATCATATAAATTGAACCAAAATCGTTGTATATATCATCTTTGAATAAACCACGCTTAACATGTTTGTGAAAACCGTTGCTGCCGTGAACTTTTTTTTGCCTTATCGGTATCCGTAAAGTCTTTGAAGTTGCTGAATTTTGTTGCGGTTTGGTGCTGTTTAATGCAGCATGCACGACTGCCAGAAACACTACACTTATTATCAGTGCTGAGGGTAGTAATGTCATATCTCAGTATGAAGACAATGTTTCGTTGCTAAGGAAGTAGATCTATCGATATGGAAAAGAGCAAAGAGAAAAAACAACATGTTAAATGTTCTTGCCTGTCTCCATTCCAACTACAAATGACCACCCACGTATTACAAAATTTTTATTACTCGACTTTATTTTGTACAACAAAAAGCACTTACCATGGCACAATGAATGTGAAGGTCTCTTTAAGATAGGTTCTCTTTAAGATAGGTTGATTATTCCTATAAACTAAGATCTTATATTGACGTATCGCTTTCCATGTCAGGTAAGCAAAAAATTGCTACAAAAGTAGGTTTGGCAAATTACCAATCATTTCGCAGATATTTGATTTCTACAACGTTTTATCAATAGCTTGTAATAATGCTGCTTAATGTCTTGGTACGATGTCCATAACAACAATTAATTCTCTACAGCACTACCATGACGGTCAATGCACGCTTTTTTTTGTTAATAGTGAAGTAGGTTTCAAGCAGCCATAACATTACAACCATAATTGGTGGTTTTTTGGAGAAAGTGACTCTAATTTTCGTTTATCTTTATAATAAAAAACAGACCCATCCTTGCTCACATGATGAGACCAAAATGTTGTTTAAAGCGGCATCTAAATTAGATTTGCTTGGCAAGCCCAGTTTGGTCCTGCTTGCTTGTACAGGACGCAGATCAACTAAACTGAATCATTTCATTTTGCCAAGATAAAAGATATTGAATCATCCATAAACCTTTAGCCCGATCATACCAGCATCAACCTTTTTCTCTTTTGAAAACTGAATTTTGAATCTTTTATTTGATTATCGCCTTTTCTGAATTGTAATCTGTTTTTATTTGCTTTCAATAATGGAACGCTTGCCCATCAAAGAAATATTTCCCTGTCTCTGGAGCGGGTGCTCAAAATCATTCGACGATCCTGAACATCTTTACACTCATTTAACCAATGACCATGTTGGTAGAAAGTCAACTGGTAATCTATGTTTGACATGCCATTGGAGCAGTTGCGAAGTAACTGTTGTCAAGCGTGATCACATTACAAGTCATCTGCGTGTGCATGTACCTTTAAAACCACACCGCTGCCAAGTAAGCTTGAAAATTATCATATGCTGTTGAGCAGCGGAAATGCCGACTTTCAAGTTCTCGCTTTCATAGTGTTGTAATAAAGCTTTTAAACGTCCACAAGATTTGAAGAAGCATGAAAAAATACATAATGAAGAGCATATTGCTACACTTAAATGCCATCATAGATGTTCCCACCAGCAGCTTCTCAAACAGCCCTTAATACCACCAACTTCTATGAATTTGAGCAGAGATGTGTCACCTGTATTATCGGAAAATCATTCATTATCTCCTCTCAGTAGCACCTGCTTTGATGACAATTGGCTACATGTTGCTGACTCTTCTTCATCGACACTGTCTAATAAGTCAGAACTGATCCCTCAGCCTGCCTTCGCACCACAATCTTCAGCGAATTATGCCGAGCAACCAGTGAATACCAACTACTGTACGGACCAATTAATCAGCAGCTTCTTCTTCCCTGTGGATACAACAGCAAAGCCCGTAGAATATAACACTGGTAAGCAAACCATTCACCACCTTCAAAAAACTTGATGTGTGCTAACTATTCCCCCCCCCCCCTAGACGTGGCATATACACTGGACCGAATACAATCCTTTATTGATACAGGCGTCATTAATCAATCCAGCCTCGACTTCAAATTAGACAGTCAGCAACAGCTCAATGAGATAAATGACTGGTTGCTTCAACTTTCCAGCAGCATCCTAAATAACTCATCGGTACATTCCGGACAGCTAGTTGATTACAGTAAGCTACATCCATCGCAGCCCTCGCAGCAATTCGCACAGTATCCATTTTCCATCCCTTCACAAGACCCTGTGTATCCTATTCCATATGACAATGAGAAAGATATGTATGTTCGTTCCGAGCCCATATCTCAACAGCCTTTGCAACAGCCGGTTGTACCGAGTCAAAACCTTGCGAATATCAATAATGCATACTTTGATGTTCTTTTCTTAAATCCAACGCAGTATCAACCTGAAACAAACCTTCATGCAGCACCGGCACAAAACAAGTTTGGTGGTATTACAGGTTACCGCCAGCATTATGCATCTATCCCTGATGTTTCTCTTCAATCCTTCCAGCCTGAACTTCGAACGGCTACTAATTACACCAAAGCTAATGTCCCGGCCATGTTGGAAACCAGCAAAGAGGAAACAGAGTCGTACACTCTTGCGAAATCTGCTACTGCTAAGGATGAGAAAAACATTGCCACCTTAATTAATGCTTTCTCAGGTGCTTTTGTTGATGCGAATAAAGAAAACGCAAAGCAAAAAGCTGAATTGAGAAACGCTGATGAACATATTAAACGCCAAAGGGACGATAAAGGAAAGAAAAAGGCTGCAAAGACCGTCGAATCGATTCAAGAATTGCTTGTTAGCGACCTTTTTAAACTCTCGTTACAACCGAAAGAACTATGCGAAGGAAATGAAATATCGAATCAAGATCATTTCCGCGACCTCTCGGGAAGCAGAAAGTCTTCTAATAGTTCTTCGACAGCATTGTATCCTAACACAGCAGCTGTGTCCATGACTGTTACCCAAAGAAACCATTTATTGCTTATTAAGCAAATGACTGAATGGATTAACGCAAACTTTCGGCAAAAAGAGCAAATGAAATCAGAAACATCCAAATGTGCTATCGCAGGCGCCTCTCAAACTGCTTTAATATGTCAATAATCTAACAATCATCAAGGCATTGGGTCAAGCCCCTTTGTATATAATAATGTCTTAAGACTTTAGTAAATCATAGCTTTTTACTAGCAACTTTTTTTTGGAGCATTCGAGAAAAATGATCGTTATACATTACGTTTCTTTTTTTTTATTTATAATAAATCAAATTACTAAAATTATTGGAATAAAATAAGAAAATGATGACACTCTTTAAAATTAAATGTGTTGCGAATGCTATGTGTGTGAAGCATAAACTGGACCCTGTGTACCTTGAAATCGACCATACGAGACTATTTAAGATTCAGCAAGATCAAATATAAAACTTCCATTAAAGTATACCTTTCACTTCCTTTCTCTTCAACTTGTTCATCTTCTGTCATAAAACCAATACTGGATAAACATGAGCTCAGGTAAGGACAACTGAGCGAACAATGAGTAAAAACAGCAAAAATAAAAAAGAAAAATCCCATAAACAATCAATGAGCGAATAGATGTATTGCCTGTGGTAGCTGCCGGGTTAGCTGGTCTATTAGGGAGCATGTACGTCGATGCTAAATTCTTGCTCAGCAAGGACATACATCAATTAAGAAGCGGTGCAGCCGCTACACTAGCGTAGAGTATCAACTGTACAATATTTGTTGGTTTTTTTTTATATTTTAAGTGCTGATTTGTAAAACTGGCAATGTAGGCTGAAAGTATGGGGATTTCAAGACAAGCTGCATTTCTATTACAGATTCAAAGAGAAAGCAAAAGCTCATCCCGATAAAATTTTTGTAATGTTTGAAGGTAGAAAGTACACATTTCGTGAAGTTGAGAAAGGTGAGTGAGCATGTAGGTTACACCGAATTGTTAATATCAGATTATTCAGATTAATTCAACTTAATCTAGCATCGAATAAACTGGTAAACTGAAAATAAAGCCTTTAGAGGTCTCAATTGTTGCAATTATATGGAAAACATTCCAACCTGGATTTGCATGATTATCAAAATAGGCACACTGGTTATTAGCACAGAATGTAAAGCGAGGAGGTAGGAGAGATATTATATTCTGACAGGTAAAAGAAATCGAAATTGTGACGCAAATCGCTTTATACTCTGTTAGATGTTGTTTGTATGATGCATCAAAATCACCCAACGTTTTTCATGGCATTGCTTGCTATCAGTAAAATTGGCGCTGTTCCTTCTTTCATCAATACGAATCTAACGGATGATCCTTTACTGCATTGTATCAAAATCTCTAATACAAAAGTATTCATATTCGACCCCGTCTATAAAGCTCAAGTGCTTCCCATTGTCGAGTCATGCCGTCAATTAAAAGTAGACTTAATAGCCTATGGCGAATCGACTTTTGAATATGAATTATCGCCCTTGACTTTTGCAACAACCCTTACGCCCAACGTCTTGTCGCATTTTAGTGATAGCGACACCAACGAGGATTGCCTTAAAGGGGTGGATCCTTCAGATCCAGCATATTTGATATATACTAGGTATCAAATCTGTCAAATTGCGCATGTCAATATCGAAGTGTGACTACTAACATTTAAACATGATCACTATTTTTTAGTGGAACAACAGGCATGCCGAAGGTAATCTTTGTTATTCTTTCGTATTTTGTTAAAAAAGAAAAACTCATTCGTTGTGGAATGGTATAGGCTGCCATCAGCCAACATGCACGAGTAAATTGTGAGTATTCTCTTTGTTACTATGCCCTCATCAAATAACTCTACTGAAGTGTTTTTTGTAGTCGCTATGGTCATGTATTCTTATATTGTTGGCATGCGCAGGGATGAGCGAGTCTATTGCGTATTGCCATTATACCACAGTTCAGGAAGTAAGATAATATCAAGATAGATAAATTCTCCTAATAAGGCTGCTTACGTATTTCCCGCCCTTACTCTTATTGTAGTGATTGTTACATCAGCTGTAACCCTGTACTCCGGAGGCACTCTTGTCCTCGGCAGAAAATTTTCTGCAAGTCGCTTTTGGAAAGATTGCGTCGAATATAAAGTTGACATCTTTACGGTAGGCAACATTTTAGCTTCATTTTTTACGTGTGTTCGAATCGTTTCACTAATCGATCACGAAAAAATTCAGTATATTGGTGAGTTTTGTAGGTATCTGTTGAGCCAACCACCTCAATCTGCAGAAAACAATCATAAAGTAAGACTAGTCTACGGCAACGGTATGAGACCCGATGTTTGGAACCGATTTAGAGACAGGTTCAACATCCCCAAGATTTGCGAATTCTACGCTGCAACAGAAGGTAATACCGACAGTTGTTCAAGAATACTGGAAAGAAAGGAGACTGATAACAAAACCTCTATTATATGTTTCAATTTTCAAACTAGCTCCAACAAGTTTATTTAATGTCAACACAGGAGAGATGGGTGCAGGAGCTGTCGGCCTACGAGGGAAGCTATTCCGCTTGATACGTAGTGAAGTTCAGCTGATTAAAATTGATCCAATAACTGAGGAGCCTTTAAGAGATAAAAATGGCCTCTGTATCAAGGTAAATGATGCAGTTTACATCCGGTAGATTATTGCCAGATCTAATTCTTCTAACTATCCTTTGGGCTCTTTAGTGCAAGTTTAATGAACAAGGGGAGCTACTGGTGCGTCTTGATACGGACGGGCCTATCCAGTTCGACGGCTATTATAAAAACGAGGGTGCAACCAAGAAAAAGATCCTATCGAATGTGCTTGTAAAAGGAGACACGTAAGCTTCATTATCAATATTAAGCTGTTTTGCTTAACATACCAAAGTACCTCTTTGCTTAAAAGTATTTTGGCTATGTCAAATAGTTATTTTAGGAGTGGTGACTTACTTCAACTGAACCCAGATGGCTACTTTTTTTTCGGTGATCGTGTGGGCGACACATTCCGTTGGAAATCTGAAAACGTAGCTACTACAGAAGTTTCTCAAGCTCTAGGGATATATCCTGGAATTGCTGAAGCTAATATATACGGTACGCTGGTTCCTCACCACGATGGCCGTGCTGGTATGGCTGCTCTAGTTTTGAAAGATGGTGAAAAAATTGATTTGAGCGATCTCCTGAAATATCTTCGCCAAAAATTACCAAAGTATGCTATCCCTCTCTTTATACGTTTTGTACCTGCTATGGTAATCACTGGTACATTCAAGCAACAGAAGGTAGAATATCGAAATCAAGGAATCGATTTGACGAAAATTCCCGAAACCGATCCAATTTACTGGTTGAAAGGAGACACATATGTACCTTTTACCAACAATGATTATTTAAGCTTATGTGACGGTAAGGTTAAATTATAGACAATGTGAAAACATTATGCTTGCTACTATTGTACCTAATAAAGACTACAAAGTTAAAAGTACGCTCTCTTGTCTTTTCATGTTCTGTAATTTTACGCCATTGCGTGGACCAACCAAAACTTCAGATACAAACTATACACTAAACTCACGGATTTTAGTCCATTCTAGCGACAATATTCGTAAGGCCTTGTAGTTATTACAATTTGCAAACAGTTGCTAAGTTGATAAAAAATATGATGTGTTACTTGCAATGATGGTTGTACAAAATGCTAACAAACATTGACAAAACCTTGATTTAGAGTTTGAGGATGTTGCATGCATATGTCAAACCTACTTTCTGGAAGGATTAAAAAGGACCACTTCCTTACTACTTTACTGCCGTAGTTGAGCCTTATAGAGAGTAAGCAAAGAATATCGGTGATATAAATGTGTCATTCTTTTCAGCCAATCAATTAACATGAATCGTTAAATCACATCATTTTGGTAAAATCTTTGCACGCATAGAACATTAGATCTACATTCCAGAGAAGCTGCTTCAGCTGCCATTCAAGATTAGCAAGGCTTTTGTGACTGTATTGATGCTGATAGTACTGATAATTACTGCTCGTTATCGCAGCAAGGGCGAGTTAGGCATTATAGATGAAGCTTACAAATCTTGGTACTTTGAATCCAGACTAAAAAGCGGTGGTGTCTCAAATTTCAGCGTTTCAAAGCTCCTACAAAAAATTTTCAGCCTGAAATTTCCTTCTTTCTTTCGTTATCTTTATATATATACACATATATACAATACACTTGATTTTTGTTCAGTTAAACAACTACAAAACACTCAACAACAAACCTTTATTTTCTATTTACTTTTGAAACCGTTATATTCTTTTTTTCTCTGATTTATTTGAAAAAAAGAATTTGAATTTCTCTGTGAATAGTTTTTGCTTACTTGTCAGTTAAAGATATTAGAACGCACTATCCGGGTCTCTGGCCACAACATAACAGAAAAACGCTTCCTCTCTTCACTTTCTTCCTTTTTATTTTTTTCCAACAACAAAAGAACTGCAACTCAACGAACCAAAAAGCACACAGCTTATTATTATCACTTCCCCAGTAAAAGAAAAAGAGATAATAATAGTTCGTAAGCCATGGATACAAATGAAAAATTCCACGCCGGCCGCATTGAGTCTGGCGCTACAGCTGTTGTCGATCTCAGCGAGAGCTACTGTTCAGCCTCGGTTTCAACTGTAGAATCAGATACACACAATAAACCTGGACTTCATCGCGGTCTGAAAGCCAGACATATTCAGATGATTGCTCTGGGTGGTACCATTGGTAAATATTGATTTTTTTAAAAAGGCGATGTAAGCGAATGGTTGATCCGACTCAACAATCTTTATGTATAATTGTTAAGCTTACCATTTCGTTGTCATATTGCTGCTTCCTTTAATAAATCAATATAGGTACGGGTCTATTCATGGCTTCTGGTAAAGCCATTTCAAATGGCGGACCAGGTGGTGCGTTGGTTGCTTATGCAATTATAGGCATTCTTATCTTCTGTGTCATGATGAGCTTGGGTGAAATGGCCGCCTATATTCCCGTTTCGGGTAGTTTTGCTCATTATGCCAAACGTTTCGTCGATCCTTCCCTTGGGTTTATGCTGGGATGGATCTATTGGGTCAATTGGTCGGTAGGTGTTGCTGTCGAATTGACCGGTGTAGCCATGATGATGGAATTCTGGGTCAAAAGTGTCAACAGTGTCGTTTGGAGTATTATCTGCCTTGCTTTACTTGTTGCTATCAACGTATTCTCCGTCAAAGGCTATGGTGAAATCGAATACTGGATCTCCTTTGTCAAGGTTATTACAGTTATTGTGTTCATCATCGTTGGTCTTTGCGTTGATACAGGTGCTGCAGGTGGGGATCATATTGGCAGTAGAAACTTTCATCTCGACGGTGGTGCTTTCCCTTATGGCTTTTTAGGCGTGTTTAATGTTCTTCTTACCGCTGCCTTTTCTTTCAATGGTGTTGAAATTGTTGGCATCACTGCTGGTGAGTCTCAGAATCCTCATAAGACGGTTCCCGCCGCTGTCAAGCAAGTCTTCTTCCGAATCGTCCTCTTTTATTTTCTATCTATTTTGATTATCGGCCTCGTCATTCCTTACACAGACCCTGATCTTCTAAGAGGCTCCAGTGACGTTGCAGTTTCTCCGTTCACACTTGTTTTTAGAAAAGCAGGTGCTGCGTGGGCTGCCGATTTGATGAACGCTATTATTTTAATTACCATGATCTCCGCTGGTAATTCTGGTGTCTATTCATCTAGTAGAACTCTTTTAGCCCTTGCAGAAAGTGGTTCAGCTCCAAAATTTTTTAAGCGTATCAATCGTTGGGGTATTCCAGTGTATGCTGTATTGGCGACTTGTGCTATTGGTTGCTTAGCTTTCTTGACTAGTTTATGGGGTTCTGGAGAAGTCTTTAACTGGCTAACTGCTTTGCCCTCCGTTGCTGGTTTGATTGTTTGGGTAACCATAGCAATCACCCACCTTCGGTTCAGAAAGGGTCTAAAAGCCCAAGGTAAATCGCTCACCTCTCTACCTTATGTTGCTCCCTTCTTCCCTTTCGGTGACATCTTTGTCATCGTGCTTGGTACTATCGTCATCTTTGGTCAAGGCTATCAAACTTTTATCCCGCCTATTCAAGCTAAGAACTGCGTCTCATCTTATCTCTCTGTCATGTTCTGTGTTGTCTTGTATTGTGGTCACAAGTTGATCAAGAGACCCAAGTTTGTCAAGCCTTCAGAAATGGACTTTGAGACGGGTACCCTTAGTGTTGATGTTTTGAAAGTAAAAGAAGGCGACAGTCTTTACGAAGAAGATTACGCAGCAATGCCATCATGGAAACGTTACTATAAGAAGATTGCCTCGCTTCTTGCTTAACTTAGTTTTGTAGTTTTTTTTTTGTTTTGGGATCCTAAAAGGAACTTTCGTCTGCGAAGACATATGGTATATAGCATATACCGCTGGTTCAATTCCCTCAATTTTTTTTTACTTAGAAAACGCTTATTCCCCCTCACCTTCCATTCACAAATGCATCGATTCTGTCATGTCATTTGTAAATAATGTTTTCAACAACTGTACATATTACTCTATTTTGATAAGCTATACTTCCTCAAGATGCATTAGCTTATGTAGTATATAGTTTCAATTTGATTGAATTTCTATTTATTCATGAATAAAGGCTTTCAACAAGTCCTTTGATTAAATTACCTGCCTGTTTATTCGCGTGTTTGCATTGTATGTCACTATAATTAATCATTTTGAGTCTCCTTATTAAAAGCAGCATGATTTCTCTTTCTTCCTCATTCTTGTTCGTTGTGTCATTCGTCTAAGGCTTGAATCGCCAAACTGAACGCCCGTTCCACTTCGCTCAGGGTCAATTTGCCCTGTCTGTATCTTGCTCCAAATAGATCTAGCGCATTTGAAAAACATTTCTTCAACGCTATCTCCTGATAGGGCGCTAGCTTCCAAGAACATTATTTCTAGTTTTTCGAGTGTGAGTTGTGGAAATCCAAAACATACATGATTCACGCATGTCAAGTAAAGTAAGACTTACCATGTTCCTGTGCGAAACGACTCGCTTCCAGATAGGATACTTCTCTTTCATCTGACTTGTCTGATTTATTACCGACTAATATGATCACCAGTTCTGGGTTTGCTAATGTTCTTACATCGTTTAACCATGACCTAACACCTAAAAAAGTATCCCGACTTGGTAGGAAGAGTGCTATTAATCACTTATACCTTTCCCCCACCCCCTCCCCGCAAACGAAAAGGTCGGTTACTTACTTGCTTATATCATATACAACCAATGCTCCTGCTGTCCCACGGAAGTAACTTTTTGTTAAGGATCTAAACCGTTCCTAAACCATTAATTACTATTATAGACATATAGTAGACTCTTTTTCTTTGATTAAAAAAATGATAATGAGCGTTCCTACCTGTCCTGCTGTATCCCATATTTGCAACTTTATACTTTTATCTGCTATTTGAATGATGCGAGTTCCGAACTCTATCCCTATGGTGTTCATCGAGTTCTTTTTGACTGGTACAACAAAAAGTGGAATGTTTTTGTCAGTATCGGCTTTGCCGTTAAAAAGTTGCAAGGGTTACATTGATTCTCCAAAAAGTGATATAACAAGCATGATCTGTTAGGTTCGTCAATATAATTCGATTAGACAATTTGGTTCAATTATCAAGCAACTGATAACGGTGCTAGTTGCTCGTAACGGTTGCTTTTCTTCATTTTGTTTGTGGGGTAAAAAATAATAAATAAACTTACTTTCCAGTTCCGGAGTCGCCGACTAACAGCAGTTTAAAGAGGAAATCTGTGAACAAAAGGGGCATTTAATTCATAATCCGATAGTGACCTTGAACCTTTCAATAGACTACATTACCATACGCATCTGTCAGCATGAGGAGTTAACGTTACAATGTAAGGAAAAGGCAAAGTAGAATTTTTTACGAAAGAGTTGTGTACATTTATATTGAAGAAGTCACTGAGTTCTAACATTGAGTACCACGACGCAAAACCAAAGCTCAATTGCAATAATTGTAACAGAATTACAAAGTATGAGCATATAAGCCCTATTGAATTTACAGTACTCAGTTGTTGCGAATCAAACAATGGAATAGTTATCTGCATTGCTCAAGATAACCATGCATGAGCCATTGTAATTGACTTTGCCACATGTCTTCATTATTTCAGCATGCTTTTTGTGAAACAAGTAAAATTCAAAATGAATTAAGAAGCTGTCAAATCAAACTTAAACAAGCATATCCTTAAGATGCTACGAACTGTATCACTTTACAGACATGACTTCCCATTTGACCAAATGCTTCAAAAGACTTTTACAATAGTAGGGGTGCGTTTCATTGAAACAAGTATTGAAGATAGATTACATTAACAAGAGTTGAAAGAAAAAAGAGGAGGGAAGATAGAAAGGAAATTGTACGCTATATCTATTCTACATCGTTATTCAAACAATTCATCGAACCCCTTTCCGTTTACTCTAATAATACAGTAGCGCCAAGAGCTTCAAGCGCCTTCTTTAATTTCTCAGCCTCTTCCTTTGGTACACTTTCCTTCAAAACTTTAGGTACACTTTCGACGAATTTCTTGGCTTCAACTAAATTTAAACCGGCCAAATTCTTCACTTCACGGATCACTTTTGCTTTAGAAGCAGCATCTACTTTATCAATCTTGACACTGAATTCGGTCTTTTCAGCAGGCTTTTCTTCTTCTTCAGCAGCAGCAGGTGCGGCTTGACCGGCTGTGGGCATAGCCACTGGCATAGCTATGTCTTGAATATTTAAGCGAGACTATACAAAGTCAAAGGAAGACGCAAAGGAAATAAAAAACAAAAGTTAATAATCAAGAAAACCCCGCATTGTTGACATTCTGTCATAGTTTCTCAACCCAACCCCACTCGTTGCTTTACTTTCACTTATGATAATAGATGATAATACCTTTAATTGAGAAACCAATTCAGAGGTTTGTAGTAATGTTAACTTTTCAATCTCATCAACAATAGCAGTAATCTTAGGATCAACGGTTGCTGAAGTACCAGGGGTAGGGAGAGGTTGTTCAGTGGTATACCAACGTCTAGCATAGACAGGAACTGCTCGTGATAAGCTAAATAATCGTATACAGATATTACATTAACAAAATGCTGAAGACTCTTATTAATTCTATTTCTTCTTTAAGTTACTCCTTATTTACCGAGCTGTTTGTTTTGTGGTGACAACTGAAGCTGAAGAGACTAATCTAGTGGCGGAACGAAGCTATAGATGAGGTTAGCGATCGCGTTTTATCTTTGCTGTTGGCTTCTTCAACTTATTCCAAGCGACAAAAAAGCCTTTTTTCTAAAGTGGTTGACCATGTTTCTGTAATTTACCATTATAAATAAAGATTACTGTACAGATAAAGTTAGAAAAGAAGAAAGGTTGTGTGCCTGTAATAAAAAAAAAGAGGGTTTCCAGTCTGCAAAAAGACGGGGATGCCCCGATTCAAGGGTGGCCTAAAAAAGACTGCTGAGTTAAAATGTAGGAAAGCAGCATAAGATTCTTGTCACAACGCTGATTGCTGACAACGAAGCATGAAATAAACGCGGATAAAATATAATTTTTATATTGCGTTTGAATTTATATATACAGTATACATATATGTATGTATATATATGCAAATTTATGGATATTATTTAAGCTTCCTCCAGGAAGTTATAATCAAATCTGAAGTCCATCTTTTTACGCTGACACCATGCATTCTCATAATCGAAATAGATATATGTGCCTTGTTCGTAGTCTTCTGTAATCACTTTTGGCTCTTCATGACGTTGGAACCATGTAAGGTATTTCTTGTGAAATCTCCATGATTGCTTTTTCAGTTCCCTCGCTGCAAGATATCTAAAAACAATTAAGATTTAGTCCTTTCTCTAAATTTACTTCAAGACCTTTTTCATCAACTGTATATCTCGGGTACTTACTGTTGATATGTGCCTTGTTGGTAATAAAAGATATAGAAGAGTGTATCCATATCAAATTTGTCGAAAATGACAGGGTTATCAAATATAAGTAAAGGTTGCTGTGGATAGTAATCTGGTGTGTTATAGGGATTACGTGGTTGATATACTTTTGGTCTTTCAGAGTCGATGAGATCGGGAACATGTTGTAAACTAGCATTTAACATTTGTGTGGCATATTGGATATCATGTTTATGCTTATTTTTTATAGCTTGGAATGAGGGTGCAAGATCAGCGAGCGAGGGTGGTAATTGATGAATGGAAGGACTATTGTAATCCTCTAACAAATCATGTTCAGTTGGGGATTTTGTGGCTTCATTATCTTGCTGTTCACTTGTGGCTTTATCCTGGTCAGCAATTTTGGGTCGTTCTGCCCATACATTGTCTAAAGGATGACATTCGTCAGTCTACGAGGATATTGTATACCACCAGTGAATAAGGTCCACTACAGGCTTACCTTTATCGGCTGTTTTACTTGAAGGTGTTGCAGTAGCAGCGGTTGGAGCGGGTGCTTCTTGAGACTGCACTGGTGTGGGTAAGGACGATGTATCTTTAACAGTAGCTGATATGTTCTCTGCTTGTACTTGATAAACAAAAGGGATTGCTTAATCATTTCTGAAACTGGTAACGAATCAATGCTGCCGTTCGTTAAAACCTACCTGCTTTTGCGGATGCCCTGGTCTTCTTTGGGCTTTGTGCTGGAGTCGGTACTGCAGATACATTTTCCTGTAAACAGGTAAAAGTAACTAAGGTTGGTGTTTGAACAATGAATTTCTACTGGACAGCAAACTTACTTTTTCATTTTCGTCCTCTTCTGAATCGCTTTTGCCTAAAACAAAGAGGAAGTTAAGTAACTTTCCATCCCGTAGGGAAGTTGTAGTAGTACCGAACCAAAAAATAGTAACATACTATGAAATTCATCCGTTCGAATATCGTACAACTCTTCTTCTTTTTCCAAGTCCAATTCATCGTATAAACCTTCGTCTTCTTCAAAATCTGGCTCACCATTACACTCGACATAATATTGAATGGCATCTTTTAGGTCGTTGACTCGTTCAGGTGCAAGATGATCGTTTTCGAGCAGCCTCAAAATCAATTCTAAACGATTAATGTGATACTTTCGTCTCTCGTTCAGATGCTCTAATTCACTGACATGTTCAGCCTTTTGATGGTCCGCTTTTTTACCACGTTTGGAACCTGAACTTTCTAACTGCTCAATTTCAAATTCTACTGTTTCAATCTGTCGAGAGAGCTCCTCTACTGTGTTATTGACAAAGTCGCAGGCGTCTACTTTTTCCTTCTCCTTTGGGTCTAAACGTTCCCTCTGTAGAAGACCTTCTTTAGAGAAAGCCTTTGTCTTCATTTCTCTTTCTACTTGTTTAAATCGTTCCATTAAAGCTTCAATTAACTTTCGTTTTTCCAAAAGAGAGCGTTTGTCCTTAATGTCGTTATTCGCCAAGTGTGTCTTGATTTGATCTCGAAATCGTTGTAACTTTTTAATTTCCTTCTTCAAGTCTTGTTCATATTTATCTTTTTGATTGCTGCTACTGGCAGATTGTATTTTATCGTAAATGTATTCAAAGGTTTCAATACCTTCATTCACTTTTTTCAATAATCTATCCACTTCAGCTTTTTATTTTGAAAAAACGTGCAATTGTTGCGAAATAAACGATTAACTAATTGAACGGTATGCATCGTGTAGTTGAACGCTACAAATCATACCTTGGAGTCTCTTTAACGACATTGTTTGAATTACGGTTATGCACTGAATACGACTTGAAAGGAAAAAAACCAGAAAACGGGAAAGCTTGTTATGCTAAGAACAAAAAGGCAATGAAAAATGAAAGATTAAAAAAAAAAGAAAAAGAAAAAATAAAAGACAGCACGCCAAAAACTGATAAAATTGCGGGTACAGAATAGAAATGGCCCCTCTATGCTTATAATGTAGGATACTACTATAGTTAGAGAACTAGTTGAGGGGAATTGCTACAGCCAAACAGTTTATAAAAAATCATTTTGTATCTTTAATCTATTCATTAAACGGTATATATGGCGTACTAGTTTATATCATACTCAACATCAATGATTCAGTTGGTTCCACGAACATATTCTTGACATTGAATAGCTCATCGACAAATCGATGGTTTATCTCGATAGAGGTATTTTATTCATTACAACTACCTCGCTCCAAACGTAAACTAAAGGTGACATTTTGTTGGCGTACGTTGCATTCCTACGTTGTACCTTTGTTTGCTTCCCAGCCTCATGTTCCTGGAAAGGTAGTTTGTTGTGTAGGCGGTGTGAACAGCGTAGGCGGTGTAAACGGTGACTTATGACGTTTCTTTTTTTTTCTTTTTTTTTTTTTTTTGATTCCTATCCTAAACCAAGGAAAAAAAAAAAAATATTTTTTTAGCGCTAATTCATACGACGACAGTTTTCCACTCTACCTTCAAATAAGCTAGTAGAAAATGAGCAACGAAACTACAAACTCATTCTCTAAGATGTCTTTGAACCCTTCAGCTGCTGAGTGGAAGCCCAACGCTGGCGCAAAGGCTTTTGTCCCCTCTTTTGCTGCTAAACCCGCTGCAGCTCCTTCTACTGCACAACAACCCGCTGCAGGTGAGACCAGATCTTACATCATTAAAAAAAAGGAAGCGCAATGTCTCCAGAAATCAAATCAGTTAACCTGCCATTCTTTCCCTTTCAACGAATATTTAGCTCCTAGTGCTCCTAAAGTCGTCAAGCTTCCTGAATCAAAAGCTGCCGCTGCACCAAAAGTTGTAAAGCTTCCTGAATCTAAGCCTGCAGCATCTCCTGGTAAATGTCAACTACGGATTCACGATGGGAGTTTTGAATACAGCTCCTTGCCCTTTCGATCAAATAGTTTGTAGACATATAACTGACTTGCTTTTTTTTTACATTTTCTGCTCACTTGATTGCTCTTCAACAGTAGCTGCTTCTGCCGAACAAGCTTCCAAGCCAAAGGTTGATGCACCTAAAGCAGAAGCACCTAAAGTTGAATCAGCTAAACCTGCTGCTGCTCCTGCTGCTGCTGCTGCTCCTGCTGCTTCTTCTGTTAAGAAGGCTGAAGTTTCAGTAGAAGATGATGTCGAAGAACTCGACGATGAAATTACTCAAGATTTATTCGGCAAAGAACATCTCAACGTTGTTTTCATGGGCCACGTCGGTAATGTATCATTCATGAATAATCATGTTCTATTTTATCCCCAGAGAGGTTCAGTCGTTAACCTTATATTTCTTGTTTTATATCGATGTGAATGGAATATTAGATGCTGGTAAGTCAACCATGGGTGGTAATATCCTTTACTTGACTGGTATGGTTGATAAGCGTACCTTGGAAAAGTATGAAAGAGAAGCCAAAGAAGCTGGTAGAGAATCATGGTATCTCTCCTGGGCTTTAGATACCAACACTGAAGAAAGAGCTAAGGTATGTGATGCATCTATTTGTGAGGGAGTGGGGGAAACACATACATACATACACACGCGCGCGCACGCAGCACAAAAACGATAGAAAATGTTTATTGTTTCTCATACAGCTCTTGGATGTTAATATTTATCACACATAGGGTAAAACTGTTGAAACTGGTAGAGCTTATTTTGAGACTGACAAGCGTCGTTATACCATTTTGGACGCTCCTGGTCACAAGAACTTTGTTCCCAGTATGATTCAAGGTGCTTCTCAAGCCGATATTGGTGTACTTGTCATTTCTGCCCGTAAGGGTGAATTTGAAACTGGTTACGAACGTGGTGGCCAGACCCGTGAACATGCCATGTTGGCCAAGACCTCGGGTATCAATAAATTAATTGTTGCTATCAACAAGATGGATGATCCTACTGTGCAATGGGATAAGGCTAGATACGACGAAATTCTTGAAAAATTGACTCCCTTCTTGAAATCTATCGGTTATAATCCCAAGACAGATGTCCATTTTATGCCTCTGTCTGGTTTTACCGGTGCTAACATTAAGGAGCGCGATACCAAGAATTGCCCTTTCTATGATGGTCCTTCTCTTCTCGAATACCTTGACGCTTTCAAAACCAGCGATAGAAAGTTGAATGATCCTTTAATGATGCCTATTTCCGAAAAGTACAAGGTAAGTGAAGATGTAACAAGTCAAAAAAATCGCATGTATAAATAGTGGCTAATACATCTTCTTTTTTTTTTTTCTTTTTTTTTTTACATCGTTTAGGATATGGGTACTATCGTTGTTGGTAAAATTGAAGCTGGTCATATCAAGAAGGGTCAATCTGTCTACATCATGCCCAACAAGGTAGGTTCTTAAGGGAAATCTCGTGATGTCAAAAAGGAAAAATAGGTGACTGATTTGTAACAATCCTCAATTTTTAATAGCAAATTGCTGAAATCACAGCCATTTACGATGAGACTGAAGAGGAAATTGAATATGCCGGTAGTGGTGATAACATCAGAATGCGTTTGAAGGGTGTGGAAGAAGATGAAATCATGCCTGGTTTTGTTATCTGTAGTAAAAAAGCACCTGTCAGGACAACCACCATGTTCGAAGCTGAATTAGCTATTTTGGATCATAAGAATATTATCTGTGCTGGTTATACTGCTGTTTTGCATATTCACGCTGCTGCTGAAGAAGTTAACCTTAACGCTCTTCTCCACTCTATTGATAAAAAGACCCGTAAGAGAACAAAGAGAGCTCCTCAATTCCTCAAACAAGGTCAAAAGGCTATCGTTCGTATTGAAACAGCTGGACCTATCTGTATCGAAACTTTCGCCAAGCTTCCTCAATTGGGTCGCTTCACTCTTCGTGATGAAGGAAAGACAGTGGCCATTGGTAAGGTGACCAAGGTTTTAGAACCTGCCCAAATCCAAGCTCTCCAACAATAGTTTGTATGTTTTTCTTTTTCTTTATCTTTTTTCGATTTGTGATTTGTAAAGCAACCCCACTACAAAGAATAGTTAAGCTTAACAAGAAAATAAAAGTATATCACCTTTTTTTGGTATTATCTTCCCTTTTCTAATAAATTATTATCTGTTTTGTAAAAAAAGCTGGGCAACAGTGTAACACTAAAGAAATCGTTGGACCTTTCTAATTTATTGAGCGCAACCACTGAAAAAGATCAAATAGACTATAGTTCACGTTGACACGGTACTAAGTGCTAGAATTACATTTTTTTTAATGGGATATTTCAGGCTATGTAAAAAGAAAGGTCGTGTGGTTATCTGAATAAACAAATTTGTGTGTATGTGTGTGTGTGTGGTTAAGTATGAAGGTGGCAGAGAAGGAAATGAGGAAAACTCTATCATGCATTACGCCTAAACGATCAGTTTCCGATGGAATAATGTAGGATGAAAGCCCCCAAAAAATATCATAATACAAGAAAATAAATCATACTACTCTAATTTTTTCTTAAAAAAAGGGAAATTTACAAAGAAGGACGGTTGTTGCGGATAGAGGCCAACTTATCGGCAATTTGTTGCAAGAAATCTTCAGTGGTAGAATAATGAGCCGAAGTCATACTGTATAACCATTAAGATAAAAAGAAGAGTTGAATTTGTAAGTCAATCATAATTATCTAGAATTCTGCCCCTTCCCCTGCTATTGTTGCTGCCGATCTCAAAGAAGAAGATACTTACTCTTTTCCGTAGATGATTAAAGCCAAATCCTTTGTCATATGCTTATCAACTTCAATGGTTTCAACACAAGCTCTTTCCAAGTCCTTACAGAATTGGGCCAAGTCAGGGTTATTGTCCAACTTGGCACGATGTTCAAGACCACGAGTCCAAGCAAAGATAGAAGCGATGGGATTGGTAGAGGTCTTGTTACCCTTTTGGTGTTCTCTGTAGTGACGAGTAACAGTACCATGGGCAGCTTCGGCTTCGACTGTTTTACCGTCGGGTGTGTAGAGAACGGAAGTCATGAGGCCGAGAGAGCCATAACCTTGAGCAATGATATCAGATTGAACATCACCGTCATAGTTCTTACAGGCCCAAACGAAGTTACCGTTGGACTTGAGAGCTTGAGCAACCATATCATCAATCAAGCGATGCTCGTACCAGATACCAGCTTGTTCGTATTGAGCCTTGTATTCCTTTTCATAGATCTCTTGGAAGATATCCTTGAAGCGACCATCGTAGGCCTTGAGAATAGTGTTCTTGGTACTCAAATAGAGAGGCATCTTGCGATCGAGAGCAAGACGGAAACAGGCTTGAGCGAAACCTTCAATGGATTCATCCGTGTTGTACATGGCTAAACCGACACCACCAGACTTTTCAAAGTTGTAGACTTGCATCTTTTTGGGCTCACTGCCATCAGCAGGAGTGTAGACGATTTCAAATGTACCAGGTCCTGGGGCAACAAAATCAGTAGCACGATACTATTGTAGAATAGGCAAGGAACATACCAGAAATAACATCCTATGACGTTAGGCCACCTGTGGTCTTTTCCCTTTTCTCTCTCTCTCTCTCTCTCTCTCTCTCTCTCTTTTTTTTTTTTTCTTCTTCTTCTTTTTACCTGGTCACCGTGAGCATGTCTGCCAATAATAATAGGGTTGGTCCAACCAGGAACAAGTCTAGGAACATTATTGACAATAATAGGTTCACGGAAAACAGTACCGTTCAAGATGTTACGAATAGTACCGTTAGGAGATTTCCACATCTTCTTGAGGTTGAATTCTAAGAGCAGAGTTCTGTTTAAGTTTTTTCTTTTTTCCTCTTTTGTGGTTATATCCACTGAATGATAGTAGGTGTAATTTTACCTTTGACACGAGCCTCGTCGGGAGTAATGGTGGCACACTTGATGCCTACATTGTACTTCTTAATGGCTTCAGCAGCGTCAACGGTAACTTGATCGTCCGTCTAGTAACAAAAGGACAAAGGTAGAAGGAAATAAATAAATGGGAAAGGAACCGAGATATCTCTCCAAAAGGTAGAAGGACTCGTAGCTCAACTATTTCGACTACTTACAGCATCACGGTTTTCAACGCTAAGATCGTAATACTTGATATCCAATTCGAGGTAAGGCAAAATGAGCTTATCCTTGATGAATTGCCAGATGATTCTGGTCATTTCATCACCATCAAGGTCAACAACGGGATTCTTAACGACAATCTTTCCAGGCATTTTAAGATATAACTTGTATTGAGAAAAAGGATAAAACCGAAAAAAAAGAAGAAAAAAAAAGGTCTTTTTTTATCAAAAGAGTAAAGGATAAATTCTCATATTTATATGTGCAAAAAAAGAAGGCCATTCAACCTAACAATGCCCATTCATGCGGTGTTTCAATAACTTTCATCTTATTGTAGATGGTACATTTAAAGGGTGCAACAAAACAACTTGATTAGGTCATAGCAAAAAAAGCCAACATGCTAAGGGGTGGGGAGTGGGGCAAAGGGGGTGCAGAAGTGGCATTTCACACACAAAATCAGGGCAATTCTTCACCCCGCATTTTTTTCTTGTTTCGGAGATCCAATTTCTTTTTGACATTTAGGCAGCCGTGATTCGGCGAACTTTATCCATCTTTTGCCCGCATCCCATTCGAAAAAGTCTGTGCTCATCCATTTGGCTTATCGCCTTGGAAACCAATCAAAAGCATAGTAACTTTACGTCTATATCATGGGTCTCTGTTTCTTTGACCCTTGCGTGCATAACCACGACAAGAAGTTTATGATGCCACGACCTTTATTTGGTAAAGAACGAGTTGGTTAGGAAAAAGAAGACGAGGCTTGGTGTGGTGGAAAGAAAACAAGCAAAGTAACTGACTGACTAATCTTGTCTGTAGATAAAGCGGGAGATATACCTCATTTTCAATATACCCCTTCGTATACTTAAAGTTAAGACAGCTATTTAATGAACGACGTGTGAAAACGGTTTTATACGTTCTAACTTTGCTCTATGAGTGGTGGACGGAAGAAAAAGTAACGCTAGTGCGACAGGATTTACAAATTTGGCGTAGTGACGAAAGTACGGTAAAAGAGCTGATTAGATTATTTTTGTTATTCGTATTACTTTCAAACTGATTATCTATCAATAACGTAAGCTTTTCTGTTTCAAACGTATTCAAAGATGAAAGGCACAGATAATCGCGCATAGCTATTCAATTTAATCTGTAGGGTTCATATGTTTGCTTCTACATTGAGTTGATGCTAAGACCAAGAAGCTCAGAGAAAGTAAATGTAATAACGATGCTTTAACAAGCGGTACTAAAGTTCCGGCATCATCAAGTCATATTGTGCAATAGCTTGCATCAGAATTTGTATGCTTTCTTTTTGGGTTTGATTTTTTTTTAAGGAGCATGTTGAGCATGGCAAGCACGTGAGGAGGATCTGCTTCATTCAGAAAGTGACGCCTTCCTTTTCACTCTGTCTTTTTCAGTGACCCTGATTCCGTTTTTATCTCGTTTGTTTTCTTTAAACTCGATGTACTCTTTGTGTTGAAATCGTTTTCTCATTATCAAAGGTAGCGAAAGAACAGAAGCTCAAAACTGCACTTAATGGAGGAATTCATGTATTAAAATAGGCTGACACGTCCCTGAATTTTCTCAAAGTTCACTTGGCAGAGCATCAGCATGTTTAATGAACGACGATATATGCGTTGAAGCCTGCTTTTCACAAAAAAAAAAAAAAAAAAAAAAAAAGAAAAGACAAAAGCTGTGAAAAGAAAAAAGCAATCACTTATATACAAGTGTTTACTAACAATTCTAAAACTAAAGGTTTATGAATAATAAATAGCTTAGAAAAGAGGTATACATGATTTTGGGGTGTAATAAAAGTAATGTTGAAATAAGACGAATGGAATAGAATAATGTAATAGGAGATATGTATATGTGAAAGAAATAAATAATAGAGAGTACACAGTACTCCATGGTAGATTTTCTTTTTTCCTTTTTTTTTTTTTTTTTTTTTTTTTTTTTTTTTTTTTGGTGGCCATTCAAAGAAGAAAAGGCAAGCCCTTTCCTGGCCCCGTCCGCACGTCAGTTTTTCATATGGAGGTAAAGAGTAGCTTAATGAGCTGTAGTATCAGTGCATGCAATAACGGTTAATTTGCCTCTTTGAATAGCTTGGACAAAGGCCTCTTCCATATCCAATGCGGAAGTCAGTGTTTCATTTTTCCCGGTAGCCTCACTTTTGTACTCCATAGTTAATGTGAGTGTGTATGAAGATCCAATGCGATCAATTACTTTTTGCTTCAAATAGTCCAAGGAACAATCGATAGGCACTTTGATAGCAAACATATCCTCTTTGTGAATAATCTTGATTTTGATTTTTTGTTGTTGTGGATTGGTCATAGTTACAGCTGCAGAAGATGTAGGTCCCGTCAGTGAAGGCACTTTATCTAGAATGACGGCCTCTACCTCTGCCTGTGCTTCTGCCTGTACATCTGTTCGTGTCTCTTCGATTGAAAGCGTGGTTGGTGACTTTGCGTTTGTTTCACGCATGTTATTATTGATAGGTGTTGACTGAGCTATACTCAATACTTCCTCTGCCGTTTCGTCTAATTCAAAGCAATGTTGATGGATCAATCGCGGATCGTAGTCCAGTTCAATGTCTCCTTCATGCACACCAAACAAGAACTTTTGAACCAGTTCACATTGTGAAATATACTTGGGTAATCGTAGTAATTCCTGACAATAACGATTAAGATCCAACTGTCTTTCGGCAGTCAGCTTTTCGTCCACATAACTCAAAGGACCCGGCATGAAGGGTAAAATGCGTTCGCTTTCTCCTGTGCGCCCAGCTTCCAGAGGAAAATGATTCAACAAGTTCATTTGAAAGTCATAAAAATCTAGACAATGCCATTTCAAAAAGAGAAAAAGTTATTTAAGGATCAACAAGCTGCGCGCGTCGTCTTTCTTTACCTTCATATAATCGATACAGAATACGGTGACAATGTTGATGTACGCGTCCATAAATAACAAACCAATACTGATCTCCTTCTAATATATAGGAATCCACAGAGGCAAAGACAACAAACAGATTGTTTGTGTTGAGGGTATCATTCGTGATGGGTGATGAGGAATAAGCGATGGATGTACGACGTCGTGACTGATATTCGCTCTCTTGTTGATCTGATAGTGTCACTGTTACTGTAGTTGGCGTTGGCGTTGTGGTCGTGGTTGTGACAGGTTGTCCTAATGTAGCCGTTGTACAAGTATTTGATTTAGACGAATTTGCAGCAGCAGCAGCAGCAGCAGCAGCAGCAGCAGCAGAAGAAGAAGAAAACGAAGAAGAAGAGGAGGACAAAGATGAGTGGTAGCTATTACATGTGCGGGGTGATTGCTGTTTTTGTTGACTATGACGACTGCTATCACTACTACTACTGCTACTACTATTACTACTACTGTAACAACTAGGATTACCAAAAGTATCCATCATAATGAGTTCACCGGTTTGAGCATCACGCACTTCAACAAAAGACACAGGAATTAATCCGGGCCCACCCAAACGACCAATAGGTTTGGCAATGAACCACTCATGATTCGACTGGGCGATAACCACAATAGCTTCACCCGCTTGAGCTTCTAATTCATCAGGTCTTTCGGCTTTGAAATCATACATAACAACACCATAGAATTGTTTCTTTTTGCTTACTTGTTGACCTGTGTATTAAAAAAAAGTGACATGGGTTGGTTATGCTCCTACTATAGCAAAAATGAGAAAAATTTCTTCGTTTACCATGAGGGGTCATATCAGAAAATCCAGAATCTAGTTCAGAGTGTAACGATGATGAGCCATTCGTTGAAGAAGATGAATTGGGTCTGGTGCCTATTTTTGGATGTGTTGCAGCTAAAGATGGCGTCGCAGTTGAGGTGGTGGTGGTGGTCGTGGTGGTGGTCGTGGTCGTGGTAGGTGACAGCAATATATTTCTGCTTTCATTTCTCTCTATCACTTGGAAATAAGGCACAGGCACGATGCCTTTTAAATTGGTTGCTGGATTACAAGCCTCGTACCAATCCAAATCATCTTCCCTGCTTGTCACATGAAAAAAGTCGCCTTTCTGAAACGAAATTTCGTGAGGCCCTTTGGCCCTGTAATCATATAGAGCTTTAATGATCTTCTTTGGTAACTCTAGATTGGCATTGGTATTGTTTATTTGAACAGGCGTCGATATTTTCGTCTTTGTAAGCCGTTTTCTTGCTTTTGATTTCTTGTTGTGTAATGAAGAAGAATGGCTTGAGAAAAACATAATGTGTTTGGAGTGAAAAAGTAGAAAAAAAAAAGGTGAAAAAAAAGTAAGGAAAAGCGAGAAAAGGAAAGAGTTATACACAGTAGTGAAAAATTAAGGGGTTGTCGATTGTCCAATGTTGTTTATTTGCACGGAGATTTAAAGATATGCAAACCAATAAAAATAAGGTGTGAGCCGGGAAAGTTTTTTATGTAAACAACGCGCGTAAGAATAAGAAAGTTTTTTATTAAATTACATAATTGCTTGCTTTAAATGCATAATTAATGAAGGCTGCTGTTTGTTCAAGAACAACCTGCTTAAATTGTGTCAATAGACAAGGACTTGATCTTGTTCATCGTTAGGATACGAAACACGTCTGGATAGGGTCTGGATTCTAAAATAGGTAGCTTGACATTAGGCTAAGGGAAGGGCCATTTGATAGGGACGTTTTTTTTTTGTTTTTTTTTCGCTTTGTCCATTGAAAAATATACCCAAAAATGTGGATATGTTTATGAGAAAAGGGAAGCAAATCAAAACAACAGAAATTCCACACTAAAAAGGGTAAAAAGAATAAGCTTTTTTCTATCACTCCTCAATTGTCATGTCACGTTCTATCTGTGAAGAATCGAGAATATTTTTCATGTACTTTTATTAATGCATTGCATAAAAAAGCAATTAATCATCATAATAATAATAATGAAAAAAAAAAGCAAGAAAAAAGCAAGCAAACAACACCATGTACATTGCCTGAGCTAAAACAATAGAAACATTTTGTTACCAACAGGATGCATCACAGAAAAGAAAATCATTGTTGATGGTCCTTTTTCCATGAAACCCGCAGTCTAGAACTCGTCGATAGCTTCACGATGTCCAAGGTGCAGCTTCATGTGTGTGTGCGTGTGTGTGTGTGGGGGGGGGAGAGGCAATTCGACGGGCGGATGACTCTTTCCAACTGTAAAAAAGGCGTTTTCCTTACCAAAAGCTTTTGTCAAAGAAGAACGCTTCACGTGATTCTTTTTCAATTTCTAGTTCTTTTTTGGACTGGCAAAGTAGAAAAAATTTCCACCCAATGACGATTTTGTCCCACCTTGACCCTCTCTTTTTCTTTCTTCTTTTTATTGACTAAAAAATCTTGTGTGCCTTGGACTATAAATACAATAGAGAAACATGTTCTTATCCAAAGCGTCTCTTTTTCTTTTTCCTGTAAAAAGGTCACTTAAGAATAGACTGTTTTACGTCCACAATAGCATTATTTATCCAAAAAGAACGTTCTCCACCACAATGACAGTAATGGCTCAAGACGAAAAAGAACGTGTTTGTATCATTGGATCTGGTAATTGGTAATAAGGCACATATTAATCTAAGACCAACTCTTTGTTTTGCTGGGTTTTCTTTTTTCTTTTTTTTTTGTCTCAAGTCATTGTTGCTGATATTTGTATTTTTTTTTTCTTTTTAGGGGTTCAGCAGTAGGTAAAATCATTGGTGAAAATGTCTTGAAATACCCAGCTTTATTTGAGCCCGAAGTCAAACAATGGGTCTTTGAAGAGATGTACAAAGGTGAAAAGCTCACGGACGTTATTAATCGTGAGAAAGAAAACCCAAAGTATTTACCAGGCATTAAATTCACCAGCAACAATATAACCGCTGTGCCTGACTTGATCGAAGCCACTAAAGGAGCCACCATTCTTGTCTTTGTTTTGCCTCATCAATTCGTACGTGGCGTATGTAACGCATTAAAGAAATCAGAAAAGACAGCTCACCCCTCAGCCAAAGCCAAAAAGGATATCAAAGCTATCTCACTCATCAAAGGATTGGATATTAAACCAGAAGGAGTCACCTTATTCTCAGAAGAAATCGCCCGACATTTGGGCTTGAAAAATGTAGCAGCATTGAGTGGTGCGAATATAGCAGATGAAGTTGCTTTAGAACGATTCTGTGAAACCACCATTGGCTGTCAATCGGAAGAGAATGGTCAGTTGTTCTTCAAACTCTTCAACACACACTATTTCCACGTCAATGTCATAAAGGACCATGTGGGTGTCGAATTATGCGGTGCTTTGAAGAACGTGGTAGCTGTAGGAACAGGTATATCCGACGGCCTTGGTTATGGTAGTAACACAAAAGCCGCCATCATAAGACTGGGCCTGATGGAAATGCGCAAATTTGGCCAGACGTTTTTTGGTTCAGCCGTAGAAGATACCACCTTTTTTGAATCCTGTGGTGTGGCCGACTTGATCACTACTTGTTCAGGTGGCCGTAACCGTAGAGTAGCTGAGGCTTTTGCAAAGACAGGTAAACCCATTGACGAACTGGAAAAGGAATTACTGAACGGACAGAAGCTGCAGGGGACATTGACAGCTCATGAGGTCCATCAGTTCCTCTCAGCTCGTGGCAAAACTCAAGACTTTCCATTATTCGAAACAGTCTACCGTATCATTTATGAAAGAGCGCCCCTAGAATCCATTGTTCGTAATATCACCCTTTAAAAAGTCGAATCTCTTTTTATTTTATTTGCATTTTCCACAGTAGATTCGCGCATTGTATCATTAAGTTAGTTACGGATAAAAATAGTATTTCTGATGGTTTGAATAAAGTTATTTTTGTAGAAAATCAAAGAATCTATCACGTCCTGAATGAACAACTCGTTTTGTTCTTCTTCTTTTCTTCTAGCAGATGCGTTACCGTCGTCGTCACCTTCTTGTCCTGAGAAGCCTTTGTTGTTGTTGTTGTTGTTGTTGTTGTTGTTGTTGTTGTTATATGGAGTTTCATTCAAAACGTTCGCTTCATCTTTCTTCTGTTTGTTGGCAGTGGTATCATCTATGTAGATTGTAAACGCCGTCTGTTCTGTGGGTATAGAGGTATAGTAAATATGTCTAAAGCGATATTCGTTGTCTACAATAAATTGAAAGGAAAATACAGGAGGCTGCTGTTGTCGCTGCTGTTGTTGTTGTGTTTGCATTAATATAGATGAATCAAGTATATAATAACCAGGTCTATCATCTACTTTTCGGATGGGTATCAATTGATGCTGCTGATCATCTGGTAATAATAATAGAACTCGGGGTTCAGTAGATGCCCAATCGAGTTCTCTTTTCGGATTTCGTGTAGTCACAATAAAATGAAAGAAAGGGTTGGCATGTATCTCATCACCGTCCTTGCTGTCAGTATCCTCTAAACAGAGTGAGTTTTCAAAGGGTAGCACGTCCGATGCACAGGGAAACCGTACCAGCTCAAATTGAGCGGTCCAATGATGAGACTCTTTGATATACTTGAGAGTGTAGTAAATCAAGAGTCCACAGCCAAAGAGAAAGGTCATGGCTTTACAAAACTGATAGCAGTCAACATACCATCCATGTTTAAAGTTGATATGCGTAGTATGTAGCAGTTCTCGTTTTCCGTTGCCTAGTCTTGTTCGTAACTGCTGCTCCTTTTTGGTAGCAGATGGTACATTCTCATCCACAACGCTCTTATCTCTTTGACTAGCCTTCCCATTTTTTCTTCTTCTTCTTCTTAGGGTTGATGCTGTATCTGTTTGACTAGCACTACGACTACTACTACTACTACTATTACTACGACGACGACGACGACTACCAAGATGGCTGTTCCTCAGTTTTCCTTTACCCTTTTGTAGTTGTTGCTGTTCTTTTTGCTGCAGTTTTGAAAGATATTCTTCTTCTTTCAACAACACCTGTCGTTCTCTTGTTCGTTTCAATAATTCAAAGATTGACCCATCATTAATGGCACAGAACTGATCCACAGTCAAGATCTGGTATGTAGCCACACGTGGTTCATTAAACTGTAAGCATTCCATAGACTGTAATTTACTTAAACGGTCTAACTGCGATAGTTCTAGCTCATTTTTGCTCCTTCGTCGCTTATCTGTGCTGTTGCCATCTTTTCCGGCAGTGGCAGGGGCTTCGAAACTAGCTCTTTTGAAGGAGGGTGGTTGCCCGACATCCAAATTACTTAAATCAAGACACCTCACTTTATACTGCGTCAGCAAGTCGGCAAAATGCTTTTTCATCCTTTCATCCCGGTAGACAGTCAGTGGTAATACATAAATGCCGAATTTGCGTAAGATGCATAAAACCTCCAATTCTTTCCTGACTCTTTTATCATACTCTTCTAACAGTAGACGCTGAGAATGTCGTTCTGTGGCTGCATTGGCATGACTATGTGCACCGTTACTACTATGACTGCTTGCTGCGTTCGGAAGCGAGTGGGCTGGTGATTGCCCTTCATAGATATAAATACATAGATCGATGCCATTAGGTGTTTTCTCGGGGCGCATTGTCAAACTGACATGATTATATTTGGATACAGCGGTTGCTAGTAGGTCTTTCAGATAGGCTGTAGCAGGTATATCTGATGGATGGGGACATTGATGCGACGCGTACTGAAGGAGCAGATATCGCAGCTCAGACAGTCGCCTTTCTTCTTCCTTCTCTTGGTCTTGTTGCAGACCCCCTGCTGCGTTAGATGCTGCTGCGGAAGACGTTTGATAAGCTCCCCAAGTAAAGTCAGCTTCAATCAAAGAAACACCCATATCTCTCAAAAAGAAGGACTCTTTTTGTTGCGGAGGTGCTGGTGATGATATGGCTGGTATATGGAATGGATGGTCCGACTGCTGCTGTGTGATGATGGGCTCCAAAGGATCAGAAAGAAATGCAATGTTGTATTTCGTTTCCTCAAATGCCGACACTAATGCGTTGCCTCCTTGAAGGTCGTTTTGGGACTTTACAGAGCTCGGCCGTTTCTTTTTCTTGCTGCTTTGAGGACTTTTCGTGTCATGAAGGACGTAGATAAGGCCTTGCGTCAACTTTTTCAAGAGGTCTTCCTTCTTTTTAGCGCTGATAGACCCCATGAACAATACTCTGTACAAGATAGGATGATCAAAGTATCCGTCATAAGGGTGAGCGTGTGGTGTAGTCTTGATATTTTTAGATTCGTTCTCTGCTTCCACATCGCTTTCATTTCCATCCTCATTATCTTCTTCTTCTTCTTCTCGTTTTGAGAGAGCAGCACTACTACTGCTGCTACCATAAATGCTGTTGCTATTTCGCAGAAAAGAAGGCGAGGAAACAGAATACTGTTGTAAAAAATTACGTATAGATGAGGAACTCGTACTGAAACGCTTTTCGGCAGCCAACATCTTTTCTGTAAGGTCAGATTGTTCCAACAAGATAGACTCGACTCCTTCATCTTCATTAGCATCATTGTTATCGTCTACCTCGTCTTCATCATCCACATATTTGTCTTCATTTTCTTCATTGCTATCGTCCGTGCTTTCTTCTTCTATCATATCACTCGTTTTTTCAATTTCGATAGACTCATCGCCAACAAATAAACCTTGATTCGTATGATGTTGTTGTTTGTTAAAAGACCATAATCCGTCATGAAGGCCGTTGTTGCTATTTCTAACGGTGTTTTTACAAGTAGGATTACGGTCTTTACTTTTATTGCTATTCGTGGATGGAAATGCTGCAGAAGAAGACGGAAGATCTATAAATATATGCCAGCTCTTTCGATGTCACTACTTCAGTAATTAAAAGAAACAGGCACCCTATCATCTTGTTTTTTTTTTTACCTTGTGATAGACGTCTTTTTCTCACAGTGGCACTCAACTTACTACTGTCACTGTTAATACTACCACTGCTGCTGTACTCAGGCATTCTCGACGCTGCTGATTTTGTTATCTGTGTGCTTTTTTAATCTGTTGTATAAGCTAATTTCGTGAGGAATAAAGCTTGGATTCTGTTAATTTAATAATTAAAAAAAAAAAAAAAAAAAAAAAAGAGAGAGAGAGAGGAAAAAAAGAAGTATTAGAGAAATAAGGGGTCATCATTTTCTTTACTTCGACATAAATTGCACACACGCATAATGTTGTAACCTAAAATCAGGTTCACTCTCGAGTATGACAAAAAGCTCAATTTAAAGTCACGTTACTTAAATAGCGAAAAGAAAAAGAGAGTCCATTATGAAATACTTTAGTTCCATTTAAATAGGTTTTAATTATAATGTTATGACAGGGAATGAAGAATGTGTATGATAGCTGGGGGATTTTTGTTTTTACGATCTATATTTCGCCATGCTTAAAGAAAGCCGTTCTTCCTCTTTTGGCTGTTGATGGCTGTTGTGTCCCCCTCTTTTTGCGTTCCTCACGATCCATAGCCCAAGCTTTGACAATCATTAAAAATGTTACGTAAGCCAACGTCATGGACGTAAATGAAACTGTCAAATTTAGCAAAAACATAGAATCCACATGAGAACGACGTAGGAACAAAATCGTGCCTGCATTCGAAGCCATGAATAAAATAGCCCCACCCGTCAATAAAAAGGCACCTGCCGCCTCACTGGGTGGTCTGCTGGGTTGGCTTGTGGTGGGTGGGTTACGGAACAGACTAAAATAGGTAATGACACGACAGACGGCCGCCGCCGCGATGAGCATTCCCCATAAGTAGTGTACTCGACTTGAATATATTGTATCTTGGTGATGGTTTCCCATGGAAATACCCGTCATGAAAACTGTAATAGCAGGCATAGGGTTAAAGTGCAACGAATTCGACGGTGATGTGTTTCTCTTATCGATGGCAGTATCGTTTGTGAAGGTAGTAGAGGAGGAAGACCCAGACGGCGAATGAACAAAAGTCTTCTTATCCTCCGCTTCTTTGTAATTGTTCAAAGCATAATCAGTTGCTTCATTAGAAGACAATCGGGGAGTAGCAGCCTTTGGTATGACTCGTTCGAGTAGTCTGCGGAACCTACGGCTTTCAATTAATATGCCGAGAAGACCTGCCCACCAAAACCTACAATACAAATCATTCAATACGGTTAATATTGGTAAAGCAACAAGGCAAACTTAGTCTTTTGTTGCTGCTTGCACCAGCAAAATTAGGAAAGAGACTTGTCTTTTTCCTTTTTACTTACATAAATGCAAGACTTGCGTGTTCCAAATCTTTGTGTGTCCACTTACTGTCACTACCAAGGTGTTCCAGCCAAGTATTGGTTATACCGTACAGAAAGATAAGGGAGCACTCAATCATTTCAAAGCTGAACGAGTTTCCATCTTTGACGTAGTTCCATGCCCAACCCTTTTCTGCAAAAGCGCCCAAATAACGAGCAAAAGTAATCATACCATAAAAGTAGAAAATAGCTCCTTTGATGAGATGAGCGATACAACCGAAAATTTCCCAATCACTATACAATCATAAGGTACAATTCTTTCCATTTAGCCAATGGGCCTTATCTCGCCACATACTTTTCTCTCCCACGCCCCTCCTTTCTTCTGTTCATAGCAAAACATGGAATTGCTTACCGACAGACACCATGGTAGACAACTAAACCACTTATCGTTTGTGTGAAAATGAGCACAATGAAAAGACGGCCCAAACTGAAATGTAGATAACGACAAAAAGTATTAGTAAACCGATTGTCAGCTGCCTTTCTGAATCCACTCTTAATGAATTGAGGAGTATGAGACAAGATTTTCGTGGACACAGAATGAAGTACGCTATTGGCACCTCGTCGTTGTTCGATAGTGACAAGAGGTTCAATAGGGTCATCTACATAATAACGGTCCTCAAGCAAGCTGTCTGCCATCAATGCACCGTCTTCATCATTGTGGTGGGTATATCCGATATCTCCTTCCGTAAGCGGAAAATGATTGCCATCTCCACTAGTGCTACCATTGCTCGGACTGTGATTTAAAGTCGTTGTTTCGGATACTAGACTGCTGCCACTTTCACTGACGCGCGAGCCTCTTTGCTGTGGGTCGTGATGTGGCTGCTGCATAAGACTTATCCTTTCGTAACCATCCTCTGTCGAGTGTTTGACAGCATTGGCTATTTTGCGAACGATTCCTCCGAAAGCTTGTATGCATAGCAATGCAAACAAAGCCCAGCCAAACGAATGATGTATATTTCCAGCATACAGTTGGGGGGTGCTATGTCCATAGAGTTTGCCAAAAAAGAAACCTCCCATGGCAAACGCAAAGGTCAAAATCTGTACAGGTACATGGAAGGATGACTTGGCGATTCCCAACATGACACCTTCCGACCAACAAACAAACCAGCGGTTTTATGAGTGTTTTAACATCCTCTTTGTCCTCGTTAGACACCATTTTTCAATCTCTTTACCTATGGGCATGAGTAGCAAGAAAGCAACGGCCATGAACGCAACATGGGTATAGAATAATCCCTTATCGTCTGGAAACAAAGCGTATGACATTGGTTCAGTTCCTGTGGCATTGAATTCGGGTACAGGTTCGTCCAGCATATCATGTTCAGCGTGGCTCATTGTTTGTTGCTCAGCTATCCCCATTGATATTAGGGAGCAGAATACCAGACTTGTGGTAATAAATGCATTCAGTATATGCCTCATTTTTTCAAATACGTATGCTCTAAAGTTTTCTTTTAGCGGATAGGAAACGACGAGGAAAAAAAAAAAAAAAAAAAAAAAAAGAAACTAGACAAGCTTTGAAAAGATTAATATAAAAAAAATAAAATAAATCAGAACAATGACAAAAGTATTATGCGTACCTTTGTAAACCCGGTTTAACTTTACTGCATTTCTTCCTTCTTCCATTACAATCTATTTCTTCTATTGTTCTGTTGTTTCACCTCTGCGTCGGCTCTAAATTGAAGGAGAACAATGAAAGAATAGTTTCGAAAGATCCTATAGGATTCTCACAACATTCGTTTTCTTTTCCATGGATACAAAGGTAGACACATGGTTGTGGACTTTTTGTTGTGAATTTGTTAGATGCTGAACTGCTTTTAACATCTGTCATTTCATCTCTCTTTCGTACTCAAGACACTTGAGGAAGCCTATTTTTACGAACTATATACGAAATGTAGGATATCTCTTGAGGATATGTCAGGTATGACTAAGGCAGTTTAGATCGTTGCAAATTAAGAAACGCCAATCCGAGCATTAACGTAAATGTCAAAATAGCACCCGCTACGTTTTTATTGCTCGTGTATTTGTCTGCTTTTGTTTTACACAAAAGACATCTATTTCATATCCAACACAATTATAGCGGCAAGTACTGCTCGTCATAGGTCAAAACAAGCTATTCAATTCGATGATGCTTTTTCATTCATCGATATGACTCTATCAGTCTCACTTTATATTTCCGCTACAAAATTTATCCATTTTATCCGTGCATGATAAGGTTACAGGTACTTCAAATACAAAAGTACAGACTGATCCGTTTGATAATCAATAATTAATTCTAATCATACCTAATGTAATCATGTATAATGGATGCATTTTTGATTTGGCTGTCTGCTCATTATCACTGCCTTGCTTATTAGAGATACACTGATAAAGGTTATTGGACGGCGAAGCAACCCCATATATAATAAGTACGTTTAAAGACGAAATACTATCATTGTTATTTATCTCTAATTGTAGCGGAGCTGACTTTTTTCTTCCCCCCTTTTTATCCAAGGAACAATAATCGCCTTCAAGTTAATCTGAAGGCACGCCGCGCCGCGCCGCTACCATTACTTCATTTACCCTGTTAAGTATAGTTTATTGAAAAACGAAGGAACCATACCGTATCGAGCTAATAAAAAATCAATCCTATGGACGTGTACTAATGCCATGTATCGATCTCTGCAACCGCATCTGGTTACAGTTACACTTGTAAAAAAGCTTTGTATCCAAAATTGTTGCTAACATTATACAGATGTGGAGTATGCATCTAAAAGGAAAATACCTTATTTTGACGGAGGGCGAGAAGCGGCTGTTTCTACTTACTGCTTTATAAGGGAATATTTACATATTGATATATTTACAAAGGAAAAACCGAAGATGACGGCAATAGATGAATAATTGGTATATATTATATAGTGAAAGATCAATAGCTTTTATAGCCTAAAAGGAACTACTTCTCCATCTTATTTTTCAGGTGTTGAACTATCAATACCACTGCTATTCTTCTCAATCAAAAGCCCTCTTAAAAACTTGATTTCCAACTCTAATTCACGAACACGAGTCTCAAGCTTGGTTGACTTTTCTGTCATTTCTTGAACTGTTTGCTCCATAGCTTTTTCTTTGAGTTTCTTTTTAACGCGGAAACGTGCACTGGCAGCTGTATTTCTTCGTCGTTTTTCCTCTTCAACTGCGGTTTTTGATGGCTGATAATTTGAATTACTGCTGTTAGTTGAGGAAATCGTCATGTTAGGAGTCGTTATAAGAACCGGATTTGCAACTTGGGATTGTGTTGAAGACAATAATGACGACGAAGAAGGAGTTACCAGATCATTTTCAGCTGATAAAAGTATGAGTTTGTCGATAACTTCTTTGCTCGTTTCTTGATCGATCTTTGGTAATAATAATTGTTGACGAGGTGCTGACTTAATTGACGGTTGCTGACGGTGTTGAATCAAATGCTGTTGCTGCTGTTGCTGCTGTTGTGGAAGTTCAAAGTCTAAATAGTTGGCCAAATCGCCGTAAGTGATACTTGAGTTACTACTACTACTGTTGTTGTCATTTATACCGCCGAATAAATTTGCTGTAATGGACAAAGTATCTTGACTTGACCCAGCTGTTGTTGTAGGCGAGGTCTTGGGACTTTTGGTAAGAGCAGCGCCTGGTACTGTATCGTATTTGAATTGGGTATTAGCCCAAAGATCTAGATGTGCTTCAATATCTAGTTCTGTTGTATCATTCATAAATGCGTCAAAGATAAGATTATCAATGGCAGAAGAAGACGAAGGAGGTACGAAGATCTGATCCATATTATATTCTATGAATAGAAAGTGAAATGATTTATAGCGATCTTATTTCAGTAAAGGTTAACTAAAATCAAAGTGGATGAAGAAAAAAGGAAGGCTCGTTTCTTTTCTTTCTTTTTTCTGACGAAAAACTCTTATACTCTAAAATAAGATCAAAAGAAAGAGATCAATGAAAAAATTGATTAGTAATTCAGGGCTTCAACCATCAGTGCACACGTGAGTAACCCTACAGAGATATGGAAGAACTGATTTCGATTGTACAAACTTTTGTGTTCCCCAAAGATACCGAGTAAAAGCCAATAATTCACCAATAGGAAGAGACATTTTATGTACTTTCTGTTATAGCCTTTCCACTCATTCAGCTATTATCATTGTTTCCCATGACAGAAATTTACAACTTTGTTCTTTATCATATGGATGTGATCCATTTAAATGTATAAATTCAGATAAATACCGCTGGTATATAATGTACCCGAATGCATCCCCATTTTCAATAAAACGCGGAGAACGTTATTCTTTGTTACACGCATAGAAACCATCATTATCCTTTCATGTCGTCTATAGGCATATTATTGTCAAGAGCTTTTTATTTTCTCTTTTTGAGTTTTGCCAATTCTTTGGCTTTTTCTGACGGGATATCAATACGACCAATTGGTTTTTGCGTATTGCTGTCAGACTTCAGTTTGAAATATAGAAGAAGCGCTGCAAAAGTCAAAGCACTTATGGTATGAGCCACAGACAGGTCTTCCGAATAAAAAGGCTTCAATAGCAGTAAATATAATAATGTAGTCATCATGGATATCTTTACAGTATAGGATAATGCTAAAAAAGACTTGGGCATTGAAAACGTCCATGTTGGTTGAAGAAGTCCCAGCAGCTCTATTGTAAGAATGTTAATGTTGGCAAACTTCATCCTTTCCTATAAATTGCTCATAACTTCTTACCAACCCAAAGGCCGCTTGCACAGCCTATAAGTGTTCCGCAGACTATCTGACCAACGACACTCTCCCTCAGCATTATAGCTGATTTGGTAAGTTTACTCCCACCGTCAACACCAAGCCGGACTATCGCATACCCTCTACTAACATCCACGATGAATTGGCAAATATGGTGTAATACGGTAAACCGTTGGAACAACAACTGCAATACCTGAAATATGTACCGGTTTGAGAATATTGAACAGTAAGCCAAGCTAACAGGAAATAGGATATGAATTGAATGAAAGGCTCTCTTAATATACATGTAGTCAGAAATGTACGATCTTTTTTTGTCTTTACCCATTTATGATCCAAAAATCATCCTTGTATAGTATGCTCAGTGCTTCGCCTCTCAGTAAAGATACTGTACTTGCTCCTCCTGAGCCTAAAATGACACAAACAATGTAACCTTGTAGCCAGGTAACAGAGTTGGCATTCTCCTCACCCAAGGCTTTACGGTAAGTGTAGGCATTGAGTACCGCTTTGATAATTTCTGTTACTGAGGCTGTGACCCTATCACCGCTTCGCTGAATAAAGGGGAGCGCGACATCTAGCGTTGAGATGTATTGAACATGCTGAGCAACATTGGCGATCGTTGCTGATGAGTTCGACATTTTCCCGTTCTATTAATAACGACTTCTGAGCAGGAATGCTTGATATGATTTGGCGCTTTTAATATATCAGTGTTTAATTGCAGTAAAGTAAAAACGCTAAATGACCATTAGGCTTAGAAAATATTTATTTCAGTCCCATCATTGTTGGAGAGAAATTTTTTATTTCAAGTATACTTTTGAAATTGGGAAAAAAGGAAAGGACGTGATGTTAAAGAAGTCATGTTTTCCCCTGAAGGAAATATGATCGTCTAGGTTGTCTTCTTCAATGCCGCGCGGAGCAATATCGATTAAAAGCTGGCTCACAGATACCATAGAATCCAATTATACCTTTCTGTCAATAGGGTATTGAAATGTTATGGACCTAAGTAACCAAAACATCAGTGAACCGTATAACATGTGTCATATCAACTTCTATCTTTGATATTGCAGTTAGCTGAAAAAGCAGGTTCCTACTTACTTTATTATTTTTGCCTTGAATCTTCTTCATCCTGAAAAACTATATGTTTAATTTTCCAGTAAGAAGAAAAGCAGGCTTCGTTAGTTTAATGGTTCCAAAACAAACTACTCTTATAAAATACACTATGGGGGCCGACTGAAGGTGGTTGTCACCATTAATGCTGCTATTACCGGTACTATCAGTGCTATTGGCGTAGCCACTATGATTTCTAATGCTAACGTTGCTATAACTAACATTATCATCACCACTGCTAATCTCACTCCAATAACAACACTGCTATTGATATTAAGCAAGAGGAACAACAATCGAAAGAAGCAAGAAGAATGGCACCAATAACGGCACGTCAAGCAAGAGCAAGGGCAGCAAGGAAAAGCAATACGACCGTAGATCTAATTGAACTTTTTAAGTAAGAATTTAATCATAAAATACCAACTGAAGTGTAATTAATAAAATGTTAAGCAATGCACTGCAATTTACAAAAGCTATATAATTTATATTTGAATAAACCGTTTATACTGTGTTGACCCTCTCTGCAGACATCACCTTCATTATAAGCCTTTAAATCAGAAAATTAAAGACCCATAGGGTGCAAGAGCAAATATAGAACCTCTTGATCATATTGACTAAATCGAACTTCCACTATAGACAGATATTCATTACAACCATCTTGTCTGTTCATGAGCTTAAATAGAAGTCTGCTCAATTCAAATTTTATCTTAGCTTTGCAAGATTCAGCAAGGTTTCTTTTTTTATTTTTCACGATGATAGGCATTACAGCGAGCTCGATCATGTAAATGATGTAAGAAAGTGTAGCAAACTCACCTTGATAGAACATAGCCAACAAGTGCTCAGATGAAATTTATAAAAAATAAGTCACCCATTGAAATGGTTGTTGTTATTTATATTTGCTTTACCAAACCTATCAGAACGGATCCTTCATATTAGAAGTTTCCATATGTGTATTTATTTTGTAAAAACATACTGCTCAGTCTTACGAGAATACAAGAAGTTTGAAACCCATAGAATGTGCCTAAAATTCGTTATCTATTGCTACACTCTCATGTTCTTGTAATCAAAAGTTTTTAACTAAAGATTTCGCAGAAGCATAGGGTCAATAGATAAAAAGTGGTGTAGGTATCCAAAATAGTGGTCTGAATACATTATATGGATACAAATTGATAAGGTCGACATTTTTGTACGCGTCCTATACTAAATTAAGGTAAGAGAAAAAAGATACAACAACTGCAATAAAACGATAGTAACTTGGGTTTTTATTCATTTCAAATAAGTAAACTATATATTTGTAACAAAGCAATTATCAAATGCTTTAAAGAAGTTAAGTATGTACTCTAATGAAGTACCTTTAAGTAAGAAATGTTGTAAACTAACAAATAAGAAAAGATGTAAATGAAATAAATATTTGTAAGCATGATGAAATAAGCTAAAGATGTAAAGTTAACTATTTTTTGATAACAAAGCACTGTTAAGCAAGATTAAGATGTGCAGGTAATGAAGGAAACAACTTACGCTTATCAGAAATAGTGCTTTAGGAATAACGAGAATATTTTGAATGCTTTAATAAGAGCATTTGACGCTTACTGGAATGGTACCTTAAAAATGCTGAAGATATCGCGGAAGCGCCATGAAGCAGTTGGTACTGATGCTGTGATGTTTGAGCTGTTTTCTTCAACTTCTTTCATGTCTTCATCGTTTGATTGACTGCCGCTACTGCAATCATCACCATCTTGTCCAATCAGTGTGTCACTGTCGTCATTGCTTGGTTTGTCGTCTGCATTATTGTCGATATCCATATAATCTGTATCATTCAGACTATCGTTGTTGAACATATTATCATTAAGGTTTTCTGCCGTATTCACATGCACAACTCCTGCAGTGTCCAAGTTTTTCTCTGTTATCTGCTGTGAAAGTAGTCTATGTTTATTGTCATCACTGATCATCACATTATTGTTGTTATTGTTTGTTGTGGGCTGAGGATCAGCAACTGCAGGTGTTACAGATATATTTTTTGATGATGGAAGACGTTTTGCTCGCTTCACAACTGTTATTGTAGTATCAATAGAGTTTGAGATTTTCAAACTGCTCACAGTATTCAGATGACTGAAAGTAAGGAGAAAAAGAGGAGATTATTTAGGAGTTTACGCTTTAGAGAAAACTAATAAAACGCCTTGAATGGCGATGAAGATTTACTTACTATTCTGTTAAAGTATTGTCAACAATTTCCATGGCTGATTTTTGTCCGTGTAGAGGACGACGACCAGAAATATATCGCTATGTTATGAAGAAAGAATGTTTGGCTGTTATAAACTCTTTTTCTCTTACATCAAGAGCAAGAAAGTATTGTTTACATACCACAGAAATAGTGTTCTGCTTTTCATCTATTAGCTCCCTAATTTGTTCAATTAGATCCAAATTGTAGATAATATTGCTTTTGCCCGATATAGCTGTGTACATTTGTAAACGATTTAGAATGTTTTTATGGTCTGAAACTGTGATACATAAACAAAGCGTAGTCTAAGAAAGCCGTTTCAGTTTATTCTATCTTACCTGTTGGCAAATCTCTATAGGAGGTATTGATTATCGTAACTGTGTTGGCATTTGAGCTTTGCTTGATGATTTGGAGAGCCTTAAGAGTACCCTGTAAGGAACGAGCAGTTAAGAAACAAAGCTAGGCTATGCGAAGTTGCAGGATGCATGGTTTCCCCTTACCAAGACGTAAGCATAGTCCACGTCCTGATGGATATGCTTTCTTTGATAAAGCTCTCCATAATTTCGCTTGTCACCATCACCGAAATAAACACCAATAGCTCCCTGATTTTCTTGGCAAATAGCTCCTATCCATACGTGCTGGCATTGTGGTTGCATAACAAGTGGAATATCCTAAATACGTGTCGACAGTTGAGGAAACGTAAGAGTAGGTACGCAAACCCTATCGATAGAGAATATAAAGTCTTACCTCAGCATCACTTTCTTCGGGACTTGCTGCTCTGCGGACGATTGTAACTATCATGCATATTGATTGTGAATAAACATGTCGTAAAGCGGTATCAATTGATTAAATTTTCTCAACTTACATCTTCTTCTGGTTACTGTTGCTTGTCGTTTGATAATGTCTGGACAATTACGCTGTCTTCTTTTTCTGGGATAACTTTTCTTGCTGTCAGGAGTCTCACAGTTCTCGACCGGAGGCTGGAGGTCTACAAAGGTAGCTGCACCTGCAAATTGATTGTTAAAAGCTACTATTGCTTTGGAAGCCATGCTGGATGAAAGTTGTTTTTATCTTTTTTGAGAGAAAGGTTAAAAAAAGAATAAAAGAAACTGAGAAGAGATGAAGAAAGGATAACAGAAAAATCAAAAGCCGCGTTCTTAAGAGAAAACACATCAGGAGAAAGATTCAAGGAGGCTGTTTGTTGTTGTCAAGCACGTTAAATGCAAGTTCCTGTGTGATTGGTAGCTGATCACCTGGTATTTACGAACAATACGGCTGAGCTCTTATTTACCATTTTAGTCTACAACAAGACTCATTTAAGTAATATGATCTTACCACCAAAATAAAAGAAAGAAAGGCATATTGCTAACCCTCTTTTCACATTCGCAATAAAAATACAGAAATTGTGATAAGCACGCTTACAATTACGTTTAACATGAAGCCATTTTTTGACAAAAAGGAGAAGCATAATGATAACGATGATGATGCTGGTTCAGACTGTTCCGTTGTTCTTGCGGAAGGATCTAATTTCAATCGAAACGATATACTGATATGTGCCACGCACGGGAAGATATACGCAATTCATAAACGTAATGGAAGTCGTTTATGGAGAGCAAATTTTCCTACAGGTGCTTTCGGTGGGATTGTCTCTTTATTCGTTACAGATTACGATAAGCTTGTGGTTGGTGCCAATGGGAAAACCGCATGCATGAATTTATTCGATGGCGCAACAATTTGGGTGAATAAAATGCCTGTAAGTTGTGTTCTTATGCAGATACCTAACGATCTTATGCGTTATATGGAGCGTTAACCGAGCTTTTATATATTCTGAAATTATTGACAAGGGATATAGGGGTTTGGTACTGATGAAGTTTCTGTTATTACTACACCCAGTCGATTTCTAGAGCCAAAGAAACATCCAATAAATGTGACCGAGGAGTCCGCTACTTTTGAGGAGCTTCCACCTGATTATCATAAAGTAGATGATAATATAGCAGAAAAACCAATTGTATTAGGCAGTTCGCGTGGTAAAATAATGGCTATGGATAGTGAGACAGGAAAGACATTGTGGACGTACAATTGTCCAGGGGGATGGTATAATCTTCCTGTTGCTATTGTTGAGCCACCTAGTTTGGAGGATGGCCGGCCCGATCAGTTGATTTATGTTGGCGCAGGTAGAAGGGTTTATTGTTTGAAGGCGAAGACTGGTGAAGTTATTTGGGACGTAAAGGTTTCTGGTTCTATATTTGGACTGAATTATATGACACTAGCAACGCCGTGGTGTTCTCGTTTGGCAGCTGAAGCACACTCCGCGTTCAGTCAAAACCCATCAGCTCAAGCTCGCGATTGGGAGCGAGAACAGGAGCGTAGGTCTCATTAACAACTCTCTGATGGTGTATTTACCATTCATAGCAGTCCACAAGAATATGATAGCCCGAAATACTACGCTTGTATTCTCTTTAAAATATGTATATTAGTAGAAAAGGTGCAATTGTCAAATGAGAGTCTTAAAATAAAATCGCCGAAAATGATTTATTGCCGCTATCTTTTTTTCCAAAGAACATACAGAAGTATACTCCAAAGGGTAGATAGTCATGTGTGAGTATGATGGGAATGATGGTCATCATTAACTGCAGCAACAGAAGCAGCAGCAGGTGGATCGTCGTGATGTGGTTCTCTAGATTGATGTTCATGAAACTCTTCATGGGCCTGCTTGCCTTTCACAGCAGCGGCAACATGAAGACCGAATTCATATGCAGCGTTAAACAAAAACTGCCATATAAACGATAACAAGAATAATACCAGCACCATAGCTAATAGCACGTAAACAAAGGTGCCTACTCGATATTCTATTATATGCCGAGGATTACGATTTAACAAAGCTTCAGGGCCTGCAATAAACCCGACTCTGGCTAGACAATCAATACCAAACATGACAGCATAAGCACCTACGAATGACGTCGCAAAAAGCATGATAGGGCGATGTGCGAAATAGAGAGCAATGGCGAAGAGCAATGCCATACCACCCAAGAAAGCATATCGACCTATAAGCTATGGCCATATGAATTTGAATGATATTATGGTACTGCTTTAATAAAGAATTATTTATGGATGACTGCAAAAAAAAAGAGAGTCTTACATTTACTATAAGCAGGTCGCTTCGCCAACAACAAATGAAGACAGCAAAAATGAACCCACTGAAGGCTAAAGAGTGATAGTCGGAAAAAAGTGATTAGTCCCAACATTAATCCTTGTAATTATGTTTCTGTTACGCATTTTACCTCCAGTGAGATACATGGCAATTGTCCACAGAAAATGATAAGCAACAGCACCAATTATACCAACACCAACTGGTGCAACAATCATGGTTATGGAGTCTCGACTATAGCCAGCTTCAGGCTTAGCGTTAGCTAGTGCAATCCAAGTTACAGATGTGAACGTCAAAAATCCCATGACGCAAAGCATGATTTTCGCAAGACGGAAACCCATACAACACAAAAAAAGTCCTGTGACAATCAATATCGCGCCTGTAGCTGCCATTTCCGCTGTTATTCCTGCTTCCGATCCATAAACAGCCTCTATCAGAAATCAATAGCGATTTGAGTATATTGTTAGAGCGTTCGAGGTAAATGTCAACAAATAAGAGTATTTTACCCCACCATATTTTTTCATCTCTCGAGATCATTCTGTTACTTGACGTGTCATTATCGTTATTTCTGCCATAATCACTCTCCGAACCATCATCTGGTGTTTGTGTCTGATGTGGGTCGTTTTTACATTTAGAAGTGCAAGTTGCTGTCGGTGTAGCTGTTTCTCTTTCTGTGGCTGTCGTTCTTGTTAAAGTAGCATGATGGAGGTCATTGACATTATCACCGCTTTCTTCGGCTCTCTTTTGTATCATTTCATGGGTCGTTGGATAGGTCTGAGCGGTTATAATACAAGTGCATAGTATTACTGAAATTGGAACTAACAACCATTTTAAAAAATTTCTCATTGTATGCTGCTAAAGTATATTACAACCGTTTGAGTGAAAGACAGGTAAAAGAAAGAAAAGTTGATTACTTTTAAAAGAAAATGGTTAGGCTTCGATATTTTAGAGACAATGACATGAAAGATACTGTGCGCCTTCTTTTACTCGTACATGATAAATGGAGTAGGTCGTACAAAACAACATTGCATCCTTCTTCTATTTTGAGCAATTCAAGACAAACACAACTAAAAATTTACCTCGTCTAAGGTTGGGCCTGTCAGGTTTATGTCGTATACATGACAACTTAAAATAAGTTTTCATTTGATTTGTCTTCTAAAGGGAACGCATTCTGCCGGGATGGTAAAAGATTGTAACATCAGAGACACTTTCCGTTTCTCGTTAGATGACTGTCTTCTAACTCAAGTATATTCATTTCTCGGTTTCAACAAACAGATCTCGCAAGTCTATCGGATATCAGCGGTTAAGAATCCCCTCCGACATACCAAATTTCGTAAGATACTCTATACAAGAGAATTGTGCTGCTGAAGGGATATAATATCTACTTGCTGAGTAGAATGGCACATAATGGGCTGCCAGTTTGTATAATGTATTATGCGAATAAATATTGAATAAGGTGTATGCAATAGTGGGAAAACTGAAGGTATCTTTTAAATCATTGATGCTGGTTTCATTACTCTAGTCATCCTCTTTTTTCATTGTCCTATTTTTCTTCGCAGTTTGTATAAGTTCTGAGAACTGACTAGCATATTTCGCCTAAACCAAATGAACATAACAAAATGATGAAAAGAAATATTAGCGAAAAAATTGGCAATGCTCATAAGAATGCAATGGTTCTATTACTTTATGATCTTCAGGATTAGCTGCTTTTCGCTTCATTTGATTGTTTTTATCTTTTTCAATCGATCGTTCCATTTCTATCAATCTTTGAATCAAAACCTGAGCGCTAACGGGGGTACTAGAGTCAACATTGGCATTGTATAAACTGATATACTCCTTATGCCTCCAAATTTTCGTGCTTCTATCACCATGGTCAGGCAGATTAAAAGACTATAATGGATAATAATTATTAAAAGCAGACATTTCCTTGAGAAAGCTACACCATTTCTTACCCTCAATAATTCCGTCAATTGTCTATCATTCAACATTGCGTATACTTGTTTTACTGGTTTTTTCCCCAAATACACTGGCTTTCTAATATAAGTAAACAGTAAGTTCTACTTTAAGATTTTCTTTTCTATGATGAATGTCGCTCTAAACTTGATATATTACTTTGTGGGTTTCGATGATGTCGCTACTAATCCTGATGGTGGTTCACCGTTGCATTTATCGATATGTTTATCAAGAACTACATATCTCATCTGTTGCAAACAAATCGGACATTCTACCATAGAGGAAGCTACAAATGCGTTACATAAATCATCTTTTAAAGCCTTTCCAACTGAAAATAGTACTTACAAGTTAACTTGCTATCTGCTTTGCTCATCCCTGAAGTGGTATTATCGCTATTCATCTTTGAGGAATCTTGCCGACTCACTTGAAGCGTACCAGCTGCCGTCAACTGTTGTCTTTCTGCTTGTACACTCGATACTTCTAAGGGCTGTTGTTGCTGCTTCGATAACTGTGACAAACTTGGCCTGTTGCTAAGGCGTGTAGATCTTCTACTATTAACACCCATCGAAGAAGACAATCTCTTCGATTCTTGACTTGGCACGTAATCAGTGCTGTCATCGTCATCGATCATCATCGGCGTCAGCTGATATTTCTGTGAAGAACTTCCAGTGTTAACTAACTGTGAACTCTTTTCCTGTGAAAAGTTTGTTGACTGAGAATGTAACTCTTCATTCCTTCTCTGCAATTGCAATATCAGCGTACTAAAATAAAAGTAAGCAAATACGTCAAAATAAACGAAACTACAAGACTTAAATTACCGAGAAGCTCGCCAAGAGCGAACTACATTATCCAAATCATAGTTGTGTATAAGATTGCTCTCAAAGCTAGGTTTTCGACATTTGGGACAGACTTGTTCAGCGGATAAGCACCGACGGATGCACAAAGCACAAAAAGAATGGGAGCATGTAGACAGCATCATAATGTCGGTGAATATTTCTTTGCAAATTGGACATCGCACATGTTCATCTATAGTTTGTAATTCTTTGTACACAAAATCACTTGGATCGTCGAATCCTTCCATGGTTAGAGCGCTCAGCAAACCAGAAGTCTTGAAGAGCAGTTAATCAACACTTCTCAACGAAATTGGGCAGAAAATTTTGATTTAAAAAAACGCCATGGAATCTTTTTACGCACGAGGCGCGACAATGCGTTCGTGCTTAATAAATGTATTGGCGCGTTTTACTACGTATACAAATCTACCTCTGAAGCCAGAAGCGCGCACTTTGCTTATGAATTGTATTTTGGTTAAAAAGTTGACGTAGAAAGAGAGGAGAAATATTAAGAACAGCACATTTTCATCAACGAGTGTTCATTCAGCCAACACTATTGTGCCTCACAATTTCCTGTTCCTGTTAATTTTGTAATAAAGCAGACAGCCGAATAACTGAACAAACAATTAAATGCTTTTATTGTACACTACTAATAATATAACGGATAGATAAGACAGAAATTAGTGATGGAAAAGTCTTAATTTGGTATGAACCAGAACCATATCATTAGCATCAGCAGCGGAAATAACAGCTTCATCTTGAACGGAGCCTGAAGGAGCTGCAATATATTTGACACCGGAACGCTGGGCACGATATATGTTATCAGAGAAGGGGAAGAAAGCGTCAGAAGATACGACTGTATCACTCAATTTATTCATCCATTCTTTGCGTTCTTCGGCGGTTAAGGGTTCAGGGATTGTAGCGAAATTTGCCTCCCAAGCTTCACGCTCAACACCCTATTATTTTAAAAAAATTTGAATCAATTATATCGACCTTAGATGTGAGGATCAAGAAAAGAAAAATACCTCGCCAATTTGATTTGTAACATAGAGATCGATAGCATTAGATTTGTCTGCACGCTTGGTGCCCTTCTTGAAGTCGAAAGCAAGAACCTTGGGATGATGGCGCAACCACCTTTTGGAAAATTGAGATACTTGGTTAAAGAACTTATAAACCTTTAAAATTGCGACAAGCCTTACCAGTTATCAGCCTTATCACCAGCAAGTCTGGTACAGTGAATACGTGATTGCTGACCAGCACCGAGACCGATAACCATACCATTCTTTGCATAACAAACGGAGTTTGATTGGGTATATTTGAGAGCAATAGTAGCAACAATTAAATCATTGATGGCTTCTTTGGATAGCTATTTTGCGATTCAAAAAAAAAAAAAAATAAAAAAATAGAAAGTTCAGTATCACAGGTTTTGCTATTGTATTCAAGGTGTTCTATTACATTTTTGTTTTTGGATACAATATTGTTGAAAAGAGAGGAATCAATCTTGTAGTTATTTCTCTTTTGCTCCAAGAATAAGCCATAAACTTGTCTGATTTCTTGTTCCTCAGGTTCGTAGTTAGGATCCATCTTGAGCACACAGTATTTACCACCCTTTTTGGCCTTCAAAATCTCGAGAGCATCAGCATCGTAATCAGGGGCAATAACACCATCAGAGACTTCACGTGAAATGATTTTAGCAGTAGCAAGATCAACTTTATCGGAAAGGGCAATAAAATCACCAAATGATGACATACGGTCAGCGCCACGAGCACGAGCATACGCATTAGCCAAAGGTGTTAAAGGAATCTTCAAATCGTCGACTTGGTAAACTCTTCGATCCACTTCGTTAAGAGGAAGACCAATAGCAGCACCGGCAGGAGAAACGTGCTTAAAAGAAGCAGCAGCGGCGACGCCTGTGGCTTCCTTCAATTCTTTAACCAATGCCCAAGAATTTAAAGCATCTAAAAAGTTGATATAACCAGGTGAACCGCCTAAAACTTCGACGGGTAATTGACCTTCTTTAGCAAATATTTGAGCAGGAGCTTGATGAGGATTGGCACCATAACGGAGAGGCATCATTGCCTGATTCGCAGCATATTGGCGGCGGAAATAATCTGAAATAGCAGTATCATAATCGGCAGTATGACTGAATGCCTTTAAAGCTAGCTGATTACGGGTTTCTTGAGAAACTTCGCCTAGCTTCAATTCCTCAATTACCTTTGCATAATCGCTTGGATCAGATAAAATGCAAACACGAGCATGATTCTTAGCGGCAGCTCTCAATAATGTAACGCCACCTGTGTCAACAGTTTGATAATTCGATTTGTTTAATAATTTTGGTCGTTTTTTTTTTTTAAAAAAAACATATCTTTTTCTTTTCCTTTGTAATTCATTACCGATATCAATTTCTTCGACAGCTTGCGGAATTGTTACATCGGGCTTGGCAATTGTTTCTTTGAAAGGGTAAAGGTTACAAACAACGATGTCTACTTTTTCAATATTTTGCTGGGCAAGGTCTTTCTCATCGCTTTCAATATTACGAGCCAAAATACCTGTATGTCAAGGATAATACAGCGTTCGAACAATTAAGTTAAATAAAGCTCCGAACGTATGTGATAACAATATCTTACAACACTACGCTTGTTGACTAAAAACTTACCACCATGAACAGCTGGGTGTAATGTTTTGACGCGACCACCCAAAATCTCAGGTGCTTTTGTAATATCAGAAACGTCGCTATGAAAGCAAAAGAAGAACATTGTGAACCTCTTGATCGCGTAATTCCCAAGATTGAGAAAGGTAGCTTCTGGAAACAGTTCATGCTTACTTTATGGGAATGCCTGCCTCACGAACAAGTTTTGCAGTTCCACCTGAACCTAACAATCGAAAATTCAAAGCGTTGAGTTCCTTTGCAAAGTCTACAAGACCAGTCTTATCGTAGACGGAGAGAATAGCTGAACATTGACACATTTTGAGTTAGAAATAGACTTGAAGCTCGAACAATGAAAATTCTGTAATGCAATATCTATTCATACCGATTTTTTGGGACATAATAAGTTAGTTTATAAGACTTCAGGTCCAAGAATGATAGGAATAAAAGAATTGGAAGAGTTTAAGTGGGAAGATGCTGAGCTTATAACTTTGAAGGAAAAGAGTAACAAGTCACTGTTTGAAATTGATATGATTCACAGATGGAAGCGTATCACCCACATCAGTCGTCAAAAAAAAAGGGGGGTTGGAGGGGCAAAGGCGGGGAATTTACATTACAATAGAACTCTGAAAAGTCCGCTATTACAACATCAGTTTTTTGAACGATATCGATGTTCGAATGAACGGCCCCATAATTCTTCTGAACGATTTGGCTTTTAATTTGGACGAAGTAGGCTTCAAGTGCAGTTGAGAGCCAAGTATTCATCGAAAAGAAATGTGCCCTATACGATTGAGCTTCGTTTCAAACTTGGGAAGGCTGCTAGTGTTGACTATAAAGAAATTGTATCTTCGAAGATGCGGCAGTTTTTCGTGCCGAACTATGAGAAGTCGTGCCTGGTCAGTTATAACGTAAAAGACATCAACCTTAATTTGATTAGCTCTAATATGCATTTGATATCATGATTTTCGAAGATTCATCCCTTGAGTATCAGCGATGCTCTTAAGCTTGTAGAAGAGTGTCAGGTGTTAAAAGGCCAATTAATACTGACAAGAGTCCTCAGAAAACGCCAATCAAAGGCACAAATGCCTTTTGTTATATCAACTTTGCGAAGAAAGTGATAGATACGTGATATGAAAGGCTTCTTTATTGTATTGTAGGACTGTAGAATACACCACGGTTATCAGGTTTTAATCCATTATTCTACCATCAAATTCACCATTTTTAACCTCATTGAGGGATGTTGGTCAAGAATAAGGCAAATATAGAAAAGACTCCGTTCGATGGGTTGAAGAACTTCTCACTTATCAATATAGCCTCTAGAAGGATTACTTCAATAACCGTCTTGGAAAAGCAACATGCTAAAAGCTTTGGTGTCACATGCCTAAAAAGAAAAGTTGGTCTACGAAAGGTTACTACCATCTGCTATCTCATTTACTAATTAAATTGCCCATCTTTACTAAAAAGAAAAAAAGAAAAAAAAACTATGAAAACGTCTCTGTTGCAACTTGAAAACTACCCAATCTCACCCAGTCTGCCATCACAGGCTAAATATGAGAGTTCTCACTGTGGGTAGTGTAACAATTATTATTTGTAGCTTTGGTATGTTAGATACCGTAAGTCTATAAAGCATTCCGCAACCATCAAGCGGAGGAATCAATTTTACTGATGTCATAGAGTCTTAGTATGGAGGATTTTTCATACGTTTCGATTCTCCAAATTTGTGCTAATGATGGTAATAGTAGTAATTATAGTGCTAAATAATAATGATAGTAAGGGTAGAAGTAGAGCTGATTTATATGCGAAGTTTTTAGAAGAGAAGAAGAATGAAATAACGATTTAGATGGAAGTCGGTCAACATTAGTTAAGAATAAAGTCAAGTTTTGCCTTTTGACTATCTTTTCTCTTGGCTTTGGATGTGGCGACTGGGTACGATTGTATCTGGGGCTGCAATTGGTGTGGCTGTAAAATAGATTGATATGGTGAATGGGTTACAGGTTGTGACAACGTTGGGGGCAATGACAGGCGTTGCTGCTGCGATGAATTCTGTGCATATTCAAAAGCCGGCAATTGCTCAGAATTTTGCCGTTGCTGCCGACGATGGTAATAATCAGGATGAGTGTTTTGATAAGAATGGGACGGGGGCATTGGTGCCGACCGATCATAAGATTGAAGGTCTGACAGATCAGAGAATTGTTGTTGTTGATGAGCCAAGGCACCTGAAGATGCTATTGGCTGGTGTTGGTAGATATTGGACGATAAAGGAAGTGTTGATGACCGTGAAGATTGTGATGGAGTTTGCACGTAAGATGTTGGAGAACCGTAAGAACGATAATGGTGCTTGTTTTGATAAGGAAGGTGCTCCTCTAAATTTTGTTGTTGGAATATTGAATCGGATGTAGCTTGACTTTCTGGCAAAGATGTTAAACGAACATATTTTCCAGTATCATCAGTGCAATCGCTTGTCCTGTCATTTTGATAGTTTCTCTTGATTTGCTCATCATCAGCATTAAAATATTTCAGAGAGCTATTGTTAAGCTTAGAATTAGGCGTTTCGACATGTTTTTGTAAAGGTTGCTGCTGATGTTTGTACGACGATGGTATCTGGATGGATGGCTCAGATTGAGATTCACTTCGAATGATGAGGATATTTCTGTTATTATTTGTTGTCGATTGCCTTTCTTCAGCGTGATAATTAATGAACTGAACAGGCTGCTTCTGCTGAGGTTGAGGCTGCTGATGTTGTTGTTGATCGGAAGACGTATGAAGTTCTTGACTATCATCAACAGAGGGCGCTACTAATAAATTGTGTATACTGTAATGTCTAGTCTTCTTCGTTTTTCTTGGTGAATTTACTGAAGATGAGGTCGAAGAAGAAGTATCACTGATCACTTCATGGTTTATTAAATCTGAGATACTCTTCGATCTACGATTACCCGTCCCAAATGTGAAAGTACTGATGTTACTACTGTTTAGACTTTTGTCCGACTGTATTGATGCCGTTGGAGATGTAATATGCTTGTTTAGATCTTTTGCTTTAAGATCTTCTGAAATGTTGTTGCACGCCACGGTATCTGGTTTGTGCTGATGGGCTGCTGATGGAGAGCTTAAAACTGCTGATGCTGAGGAAGATTCCCGGTTTGACGTTTGGGGTATATTATAGAGCGTAGTACTGTTCGCAGAAGCTTCGTATATCGTGTTTTGTTCCTCTTCAGTGATGCTGGACTTAGACTTCTTTCTGTCTTTTGGACTAGAGATAATGTCGCCTTTGCTTTTTTCTGTAAACCCCCGTACGTATTTTTTTTCTTGACTTAGTTTTCTCTTTTGCGTTGTAAATGTTGCAGATGGCTTTACGTTCTGACCGCTAATCACCGAATTATCATTCTGAACACTATCTCTATTATCATCATTATCATTGGAGGCAGCAGTAGTAATTGGTGAGGATTTTGATACTGCAGTTGGTTTGGCTGTTGGCGACGAAGAGTTGGTATTAACAGGAATTCCTGATGTATGTGGTAAATGTTGTGGTAGTTGTTGGCATGAAGGTTCTGTCGCTGATGAAGATAACGATGCGTTTGCTGACAAAGGAGGCATAGCTAAACCTTTTTCTCTGGCTTTCCAAGCAGCACGCACCCTATCCATACTAGCCAGCAGCTCATCTTTCGATATTCCATGGTGTACATTTCTGAGAATCTGCTTTATCGCTGTTTCCCTAATGACCGTGGCGTTATCATCTTTAAATCCTACAAATCTTGAGAATAAAATTAAACGTTAGACTTCAAATTTGCTTGTTGAATAGACATAATCAGAACACTTTTTGAAGACACTACTTTACCTCCATCCGCCCTTTCTTACTGTTGGCGCATAACCCTGTTCAATTATTGTTACTTCGCATGTTGCATCGTATCTAAATTCACCTATTCGTCCGTCTGGTAAATTATTCTTCCATCTAAAATATATAATTTTACTTTAATGGACTGAAGCGACATACTTCCTTTTTCAAATACCTCGGACACGCCTACTTACACTGCAGCTATCTCAGCATCAGGTTGGAAATGGTCATAGAATTTATAAGTTATACCACCATTGGATAGAAGCTCGATCGAATAGATAGGTTTATGCTCTTTGCTCCACTTTGCCGAAATCCTGAAATTGGCGAGGTTTGATTCAGGTGGCTTCCATTTTAGTCTAAGCGATAGAAATAATGTGAGAATAAACACAATATAATCGTTAATGATGTGTACAGAATCTTACAGTTTATTACACTTTCCAGGTGTATACGGACATTTGACAGGTATCCAAATAATACCATTGCTTTTATGTTTTAACTTCGGTATTTGATCCAATAACACTCGTAAACCATAAGCTCTTTCCATTTTCTTCAATTCAACACTAACAAAAGAGTGTCAAAGATGCATTAGTTCTGATGTCGTTAAATGACTGTTTGTATCAAAAATCGCTCTGTGTACTCTTTACGTGAAAGGGGGTAGTTTATTTAATTCTGAAATAAGTTTGAGATTGCTGTTGAACGGTTGAATAACGTCTTGTTGTAGCATCTATAAGTTGAAATATAAAGGTCAGTACAAACCTGATCAAGATACTAGTAATGTGAACAAAAATGTAAATATTACACCCAATCTAGTATTAAATGATCTTTGTAATATCGGTGATCCATTCACAACCATCAAATCGAATATAAGGTATCTCCAAGTTTTCTACATTATAAAATTGTTAGCATTTTACAAGCAATAACAACAAATGAAATGGCTGTCATTACTTTATCTGCATCAATATCCAACACTAATTCACCGTCCATCAAAGTCTCTGTCAGAAATTCGTTTTCTCTACCTCTCAGTGGGAATAACAAGTTGGGTACGTAATACCACACTTGGTTCCTATCAAACTGATGCAAAGGAAGGATAATCCGAATGAATATAATCATGGTAAACAATAGAAAGTCAATGTGTCATGCTACACTTTACTAAAAATGATGCAGGGCCTTTCGGCGAGTGCACGAAATACAGTAAATAGCGTATTCCATCTGCTTTTTCAGTTACGAAATAATCTTCGCGTTCAATATCTCTCAGATGTTTCGATTCAAAGGTTATTGGCCGCGAGCCTGGAAATCTATTAAAAGCAAAAAAGTAGAGTTCAGAATTTCCGTTAAGCATTGAAACAGTGAATGAATGAATCCTTCATCCTCTGTTTGGGGCTTATTTTGCGATGGATACCCTTCGCTTTGCCAATTCAATAATCGTTTCAACCTTGCTTGCAATTGTTTACTGTAGGTAGGATCTACGCGTTTGGCAATTGTTTCTGGAAGTTGTATATTATGTGCATTGAACATTTCTAATTGTATCAATATTAGTCAAGGACGGTTGTGAAAAACAGGAGTGGAGCTGATCAACGATGCACTCAATGCTTAAGGAATGGCGTTTAGTTGGGAAATGAGACAGAACAAAGTGCTTTTCGTTGCTGTAGTTTCTGTTGTACGACTGATATTGTAACAATTATCACTTTGATATAACGAAATAAATACAGAGAATATATAAATAATAGTTCAACGATAGTAGAAATACATTAAATAAAGGGACGTAAACTGCAAATATGTATTGAATATGCACAATTTAGAACTTTTTTTTATTGTTAGAGCGAGGATACTAAAATATTTCGGGATCCGACTGCCGTTACCTTACCTTCTGGACACAAGGAGGGGCTCTAGCAATGAATTCCTAGAGTTGTCCATCTTTCTGTATTACAATGCTGGCATACCGTAATTCAAATCACCTTCAAAACAATCAAAGGCGATACGGCGTTATCAATTATTAGTTAATACTTACTTCTGGTACGAGGTATGAGAGAAGAAAGCAAATTGGAAAAGACCTAATAATAAAACTACAAAAACCGATTTTGCAGCATTGGAAAACGGAACATTGAAATAGCCTAAATTGATAGTTACAAATACACTGATGTGTATTGGAAAAAAAAAAAAATAGTAACATGCTTATTGACTATTGGTTTGATTAGCGTACGATTTGATTTGCAGGATGTGTGAAGCTGGTATAGCAATTGTGATAAGCTAAACATATTCCGTTTGATACCATCAGCTTTGACAAAGGTAAGTTTAATTTGAACTCTTGGACACACTAGCTACCTCTTATGAGAAACTGGCCAATATTTTCATTCCGTTCCTGTGCAAAACGAGTACAGGGTCTATGGATCCTACAGATATAGACAAGTGGCTCAGAGTCCCTACCAGAGAAAAGAGGTGTGGATGATTAGATTGTGTAACAATAGAGCCTTTCAGCACGTCAATGATTAGTAATTTTAATGCCGTGTATTTTGAATATTAAATAGAGTAACACTTTGATACAATTATCGTAGAACCTTGCACTGTGGATTATGCAAGTTCAGCTTTGGAATTTTTTGTTCTATGCCAATGAAAAGGTGCTTTCCTACAAATTACTTCATATAGGAATTCTATTTGACTATATGCCGGATAGCCGCTCTTGCATTTATAGAACATTAGTAGTCATAAATTACAGTTATTTTGCTGATTATTCATACATTAATGCATTTCTCATGATAACTCATAGTAAAGTTATCGTTTTGAATATCAAGCATCAAACGGCTTCACATTCTCCGGCATAGATGTCAGTTTCTGAAGGTTTGGTGATGAATCATTTTTTTCCTTTTTATCTCTCCATACAGCAATTTACAGCTGTAATTATAGAAAGAAACTCTTAGATCAGAAACAAGCAGAAATTTTGCAATAAAATTGGATCTCATATCACGGAGAGGCGTACATGGTAACATAGGAATACATAACTCTATTCTAAAGCAAAAAATTTCTGCGACTAAGGCTTGGATGGAGTGGTACGGGTGGGCTTTTCGACATTTAAAAAGGAATCTGATAGCTTAAATTTGTACATTATGTGTCGTTTGTAAACAAACACTGGAAACCTTGCGAAAAAGATTTTTTATTAACGATTGCGAAAGTGAAGGATCAGACATTATTTTACTTGATAAACCGCACAAAAAAAAAAAAGAAAAAAAAAAAACTAAAAAACCAGAAAATTAAAGAAAAGCGGCTTTCAGTAACGGGTTAAGGTTAAGGTTTGTTTATCGTTTCGATGTGGAGTAGCAGTGACTGTTTGAATTCGTTCGTTAAAACATCACCGCCAAACATTTTGCATTTCTTCCCTTTTTTTTTTTTTTCTTTTCAACTCACAGAATCTATAATGCCCAAATACATACCTGATGAAAACCTAAAGGGTTTAAACCTATACAAATATGGCGGTGTGGACAAATCTCTAGTATCCAGATATATTCTGGGCCCTTACTGGAATAAACTGATCGAGCTTTTTCCGATGTGGATGGCGTAATCATTAACAAATATAGTGTTTCACAAATAGAACGATCATTAACATTCAGTGTATTAGTCCCAATATGATCACACTATTGGGTTTATTAACTGTAGTTGTAAATGTAATCACGCTGTTTTACTATGCGCCTGATCTTGGTGAATGCCCGAATTGGGTTTATACATCGTAAATCAATAATATACAACCACAAGGCTTAATCTTATGCTGGATCATTAATCTTCACATGATTTGCTTTCTCTTTAGTTTTGGTATTTGCTTGTTTGTTTATCAATCCCTAGACGCTATCGACGGCAAACAGGCCAGACGTACGCAAACTTCTGGTCCATTGGGCGAATTATTTGATCATGGTGAGTTAGAAAGAAAAAACTAACTACTAATATGGACAGCTCCTCTCAACATTTTATGATACCAACGTCATCCAAATTAGGTTGCGACGCCTTAAATACAACTCTAGGTTGTTTGACTTGGGCCTCTTCTGTTCATCTTGGTCAAAGTTGGTGGACAGTAGCATCACTATTAGCCAGTCTCGGTAACTTTTATTTATCGACCTGGGAGGAATATCACACCGGTATTCTCTTTCTAGGATACTTTAGTGGGCCAGTGGAAGGTGTTATCGTGTTGTGTTGCATTCATCTCATTTCTGGATTCTTTGGTTCCTCTTTCTGGCTTTTGCGCGTTGACGAACTCCTCAACTTCATTGACTTTTCTTCATCAAATTACAGTTTTATGAAACTCATTAGTGCTCTTCAGCTGAATCACGTTATCATTATCTTTGCTGGTGTTGTACTTATCTTAAACATAGTTGTTGGGTAGGTTATTGTTTGTTTAAAACCCAAAGTCAAATTATCATTGAACTCAGCATCAATTTTTGATTTGTATGCTGAAAATTGAATAATAGCTTCTTCAACGTCATTATGGTGAAGTTCTATCCTACAGAAAATGCTTTAGAAGACAGATCCATCTCTAAAGCTATGCTCGGATTATTCCCCTTCGTCAATATGTGCTTTTGGTCCTACAAATGGATGCAATTATGGCCCGATATCGTTACTGAACATCTTTCTCTTTTTATCCTCTTTCTGGGATTATTGTTTGGTCACCAAGTTGGTCTCATGATTACAGCCCACGTCGCTAAAATGAAATTCCCTTATGTGAATGTGCCAGTTAATCTTATCTTGCTTTCAGGTTGTCTAATTGCGTATTTTGAAGACAAGTTACAATTGTAAGTTTATTTCTCTCTCCGTATATGGTTTTTTTTTTTTTTTTTTTTTTTTTTTTGCAGAGGCTTTACTAATTCGTGCCGACTTTCCTGTAGGTTTGTAGCCGTTGATCACAGATTTATAGTTAAGATTTACTTGCTAATAGCTACTTTCCAGTATTATGATCTGGCAAGTAGTGTGATTGAAGAAATTTGTACATATCTAGACATTGGGTGTTTATATATAAAAAAGAAAGCTACACCCACACCCGCTGTTCAAAAGATAAATCCCAAATTCTAAGCATATCTAGGAGCAATAACAATGTAAAATATACGCTCCTTATTATATCATAAATCACTATTATTCATAATAAAATGTAAAGCATATGAATGCTTGTTAAAATGCTTTCCTGAGCTCATATATCGTTTTTATTTATTTTTGGTCGAATGAATACGAATAATTGCATTAAAAATCGGCCATTTCATCGTCATCGTCCAGTTCGCCTTCTGCGATCTCTTGGGCAAGTTCTCTTTCTCTCTCTCTCGCTTCTTCAGCACTTGCCAATTCCTTTCGATGTGCATCCATGGGAAAACGCATAGCCTTTACTGCTTCAGTATGAAGGTTCATACAGAAATTGATACGCTGATGGTAGGCACTTTGAGGTTCGTTTGTACTATAAATATCAGCAATTTCTTTACTCTGCATGAATCCTTTGGAATGATCCAAAGAAGCATCAATAACCCCATCACGGATAGCCTTGGCAACAATAAACTCAGCATCTTCCTCGCTATCCAGATGAAGCTTGATACAGATATCTCTCAAAGAGATTTTTGAATATGAAAGGCTGATCATGCGAATACCCGTTTTTATAACGTTGTGGCGCAAACGAAGAATTAAGGTGTATGTCTTATCTTTTTTGAATATGTTGCCATATTGAGCTAAACCTTCTTGAAACTTGTTGAGATCGCCAACACGAACAGCTAAACGTAGTAAAAAAGGGAGAAAAATAGGGACATTTGTTTGCTTCAATATCTATTAATCAACTCAGGTCATATATGCGTACTGTACTCCATACCTTGAGTAATGACAAGATAGGGTGCGAGTGATTTCTTTAAAATAGGTTGTCTAAAAATTGATCTTTCAGGAATTTCACCCATGAGGAGTTGGACAACAATGAAAAATTTGTAAGTTGTTTGCTGAAAGCCGGCTGTTACATTATTTTGAGGGGCTTTTCTGATTGCTTGCGTCAAATAAGTATAAGCAGATGTATAATCCAACTGAAGTGCTTTAATTCGGCCTAAATAATAAGCATAGCGGGCAGCTTGATTGTTGCCGGCTTTTTCTGGAAACGTACTCTTGGAGACAAGTTTATCGGCTTGATCGTATAAATTGTGGAAGAAATAATTACGTAGTAGTAAGTTCAACAAAGTTGCCTGAGATTCATCGTCATGTCTCAAGGTAGCTGTTCTATGTGCTGCCAATTGGATCCTAACATACAAAATCAAATAAGTACATCCATTATTCATTTTTTTACAGTCTTGATATCTATATCCCTCGTATGTTTTGTCTTACGGTCTGATTTCAGCAAGTCTATTTGATAATTCGTAAAAGCGCGCATGATAGAAATAAACACGTGCAGCGATTTGATCCATAGATCTGCGATTCAAGACTGAAATATCTTTCACTAGCTTACAGGACAACTCAATACCCTATATTTTATACACATCAAGAATTACATTAATTGGAGTTTTATTGAAGAGTCATTAAGTACAGCTGCCTTTCTTACCTCATCAATTTTATTCTTATCCAAGAGATATAACAGAACATTCAAATGGAGGTATATATCAATTTCGGGCAGGATTTTCTTCTCCTTTTTTGATTCTTCGTCACTAGCTGGTCTTTCACTCTACAATCCGAACTATTGATGAATTTCTGCGTCTTCCAAAATGTAGTTTTTGTACGTCTCGTATAAATCGTTTTGTTTACCTCTCCTAAATAATGCAATAATTCAGCTTTCTGTGCATCATCTACAAAGATGAGAACATAGTAATTAGAAGGCAATTATTGATTTCAAACTAGAAATTCTAATTACTTTACTGCCACTGTAGTAATCTGAAATGCACTGAGCGAGGACTTCGGCTGTCAAACGGCGTCTGATGGAAGGCAATGTTCTCAACACACGCGTAGTAAATCGAGATTCAGCTGTTTCGACAGCGCGCTCTAACAGGCTGAAGTTACGCTTCAGCTCTGAATATTTTTCAATATGTATTGAGTCAACAGTCCTGGTCTTTGTATACTATAATAGGTGATTACCAGAAATAGTTTCTTTCGTGATTCTTTGCTGTTTTGTTTCTTCGTCTTCCACGATTTCCATTTCTTCGACTCGGTCTTTATTCTCTGCTGTTTGCTCCTTGCTCATTTTGAAAGTTTGTTGGCTGTTTTGTTGCTATTGATGTGGTTTTGAAACTGTTAGGAAAGAACAGAAAAGAGTAAACTGCAAGATAGGAAGAAAGATGTCCTCGAGGTCAGCAAACTGACCGTATTGCGCGTCCTCATTCTGAATTTGAAATGACATCACAGCAGTCGTGTTTTTTTCTTACGTTCTGTATTTAAAATGTTAAAAAAATCTCCAGAGAACTGTCAAATTTTAACCAACTTTGTTCTGTGTTTCCGCTATGCTGCCCTTGAGCGATCCTGACTTAGATACTTTAAAATTTGATAGTAAACTATTAAAAACTAAAGTCAATAGGCAGTTTTGCAATTTTCGATATTAATCCTACTTGTTGAACAATTTTAAAACGCTTCAGTTTTTCAATCTATCAAAAGTATTTTACCATATGATTTACCGAAATTATACACTGACACCAACAATATCGCCATTCAACAACAGAAGAACAAGGAAAACACACAACCACAAAAACAGAAGAGTAATGCGCTGAGGCCATCAGCGAATTTGACAGCAAACATACAAAATAAGACTCTACCAAAAAATGGAAATTACTGTAAAGCGTGTAAAAAGAAGTTCAGTAATCAAGCAACGTTTGACAATCACCTGAAGAGTGCGAAGCACATTGCTAACGATAAAAAAATGAAGTCGCAGGAGAAAGTGATAACGGCACCAGCCTTGGATACCAAAATACCTGAAACGTTGATAGGTCAAAATAACAATTCTGAATTACAAGGTGCATTATGCTTTCCTCTATTGAACTACTGTTGAAGATCCTTCACATTTACCGTTTAACCTTTCTTATAGAGGCGTTATTCATGCTTGAAGAAGCATCTACGGACTCTGTAACCCCTACTGAGGATGTACTCAGTAAAATCTACCAATGTTCTCAACAGCTCTTTAAACTGAAGCGGCCACAAGATACCGAGAAATCGTTACGGCTGCTTATCAAAAAATCGAGCAATCATTATATTGATCCTTTGCAACAGCACGGCACCATGTTGTACATACACAAAGCCCAAATAGCACTAGCAAGGCTACTGTGTATTTATCAGCAAATGGATGATTCTAGGACAGCCTATTTAAACATATTAGAACAGAAGTTCAATGCTAGCAGGTCGATGCTGTTTCAATTGGCAAGTGTAAGTATAAAAATGATTCAGTATCTCAATGTTTTGGCAAGAATATTAAAATATGTTTGCTTTTCTTAATAGGAAGCGAGAAATTTGAAGATACCTCATTTGCTTAGTCGGTGTAGCGTTTTCATTGAGCCCTATATTGATGAAAAGACGAAGTTATTAGATCCTATTAGTATTTTAGAATTATTAACGGAGGCCGGTCATGTATTTGCCCAGCGAAACGATACATTTTCCAAATTCAGTACAGAGTCCATTGCGATTGTTTTATACGCGATAGGTCTATCACTAGCTCAACAGGTACAACTTTCCACTTATTGTCAATTGCTGGTATCCTATTTGGTACAGGTTTTCTCTTCAAGGAACCAGCAACACCGTATTATTGAGTTATATTTGGTAAATGGAAACAGAGACCCATGGTCTTTGTTCAAATCACTACTGCTCTCTATTGAGATAGATGATTTGGTTCGTGCAGAAGGAATAGTAGCAAGTCTGAAATCAGAAGGGTTTGCAATGGACTATTTAGATGTCCAATTTCTTATCGGCATATATAAAAGTAGGACAATTCTATCAGATAAAGAAGATCTCCTACAAAAATTTGAACACCTTCAACTACTATTAAGTATAAGGACTGAGCCTATGTTACTTTTAAACACAGCGCCTTACGAGCAGGAAATGATAATGAACCAATTAAAGACTCTGATAGCTATCAATAAATAGCTTTTATAAAATTAGAAGGACATCTTTGAGCTAAACGAAAGTAAACCTGTTTTTTAAAGTCCCTAAACAGGGCTATTAATAATGATGCGTTCGTTTTCATCAGTAATATTTGCTTTCTTTATTTACGACTATGACGACACTAAAGTTCATAACTTCAACAATAGAAATAGGCGCACTAATAGAATTATAAACTTAACAACTTGTCCCTAGGTGGCCATCCATGAGGTTTTCTTTTTGGTTTTTTTTTTTTTTTTTTTTTTTCAAAGCATTGATCCCACAGAATATCATTCAATTCATAACCCCGATCTATGGCACAGACAAAAATTATGTCAATCATACAAACTCTGACCAATGTCAAAAGGGGTTGGAGGGATCAAGCAGAAAAAACCAAGCTTTTAATCGAAAAATGTGACAGAACAGAAAAGAAAATGCTGATTCAGGGGAACAAAGAAATGGGAAGTAATGTTTGAAATGAAGGTATTTAAGGGTGCAAAGCTTCAATTAAAAATGTAACAGATGATATGCCTGCTCGAAATGTAAACTTAGGCTACATCAGAAATGGGGCAAAAACCTTAAATATATGGCTTACAGGCCGCCTTACCCCCTTTGTATGCATGAAGCACTCTTCAGTTGGCAATGCTCTAGAAACTGGAATCACATTAGTTTGAGTTCAAAAATATTCACATTTGTATTTATGTTCCTTTTCTGATCTTCGAATCTCAAATTCTTCCCAATAAACAATGATATCAACAACTGCTATACCCAACGATATTCCTCGCAACAATAAGTCCTCACCTCACAATGCGACTACAATTAATCCTGAGCATACTGATGCACAGAAAATTCAAGCTGCATTGATTGAATCCTTCAGCCAAATATGTTCTGCTGGACAAATGGAACTGTGTCAAAGGCTCGGCATGCTATCGAAAAATGAGCAGCAACAAGCTTTCAAAATGGCAAAAGCTCTTATTGAAAACCGACAAATGCCCGTTACCCTAGAGGATTGGAATGGCTTAACAGAATGGGTGCTTCTACTACGTGATCGCTACACCATGCAAATTGAGTTGCAAGCTATTCGACAGTGTGAGAGTGATGCAGAGCGTATGACCTATATGGAAGAAGTTCAACGTTTGAGTCATTGTCTAGAAGATTATGGACAAGCGCATGAAGACCTTACTGATCTTATCCAAGCCCTCAAGAAATTACGAAATGAATGGAAGCACAGAAACAAAGATGTTGAGAATATTGTATTATCGATCTTATCCTCTTCACAATTAAAGAACAGAAACTATCGTGTTGTTAAAGTGACAAGGTCTCAACTAAGCACGCTTGGTTTAGGACTCAGTTCTATTGGAAAATATTACATCGTTTACGAATCAACTATGTCTGATGAAGCAAAGAAGCAAGTACTGAACTGTATTGCTAATGACTTTAGCATGGTCTTTCAAGAAAATGCAGCTCAAAATTTAGCAAGGATGGCTGATACCCATCATCATATTTTTAAGAAGGAAGAGGAGGTGGATGTTTTAGAAGAAATACAGAGACTCACGCACAAGGTTTATATAACTCGTCCAAAATCTGTTGTATTGCCCTACCCAACTATTCTTCCCACTGCCAGTACCAGCTTCGCCGGGCAAAACTCTGTCGACACCAACACGCCTTTGAATAAAAGAAATTCTACATTTCTGGAAAGAAGGAAATCCATCATTATTATTGATGAGGATGGCGATGAAAAGAAAAATGATGCCTTTGGAAATAACAATAGTGCTAACCCTCTAAAAACTCCTATGGTTTTCAATATGGCAAATCCTATCTTTGAACCTGCTGGTTGGGATTGGCCTCATTTTCTTAAATACAAAATATCGAGGACTAGAAGCAATAACAACAGTAGCCAACCAAATAGCAGCGCTTATTGGTGTCGACAAAACTCAGCCAATGCAATATCAGCAAGCATTGACAGTGAAACGACAAATGCTGCTCCTTCCGGTGTTTGGTGTACATCAATTAGCCGTCTAGCAGTACACTTCGGCAAAGTAGGTCAGGATTATTATTCTAATATGCTCAATAATGCCCGTTTGATGCATTCTCATCGAGCTCAAATGTTCGAATTTGCCTCCCACTCTTTGATGAAAACATATCGCGCCTTACAACTAGAACATGGTTGCGCTAATTTAAGTCGAACCTTGGTTTTCCTATATAGACTTCAACAAGAGTCCGCTAGAGTTTAATAACTCATAAGCATTCTTATCAGCTATCAACTTTTTCAGCTTACTATTGCCTGAGAAACCCTTCTAGTATTGATACAAGTTCAAGTTTAAATCACAAAACCTTTCATAATTCTTTAAACATCCATTTATCTTCTTAGATACTTGTTTAATCCTGATTTGCAATCATAAAATAAAAACAAATCTAAGTATTACATAGCTCAAGATAGGTTTGAATAGCTTGCTATGCTGATACAGTGAATTCGTAGTGACCTACACGATACCGCACAATTTTTTTAACAGATAAAGTGTTCGCTTCAACAGTCATGTTCATCAAATAATAACATTTATTGAGTGAAAGATAATCTAAGATAATTTTACACACGTTGTACTCTCTGAGAGCACTGATAACGTGATAAACGCGCTAATGTTCGTATTACTTACAAATTACTATCTAAATGACAAGTGGTCTTCATTAACGCGTCTAAGAGTAACTTAACTATTCAGACCACATCTGATGGATTTATGATTTCTGCTTTCTTACATTTTCTTCCCTACTTCTTCGATCGAAAGGTTCGCACGTGCTTTAGATTAAGGTTTTTATGCGTGTCCATCTGGTTTCTTCCAGTTGATGATGGCTTCATAACGGGAGCCAATCCTATACTAGCCAAAGTCGATACACGTTCCTTTTTTTTCGGTGTTTTAGGCTGAGCGTCAACAATTGTGGAAGTTAATGGTTCACTGATCAATGGCTTGCTAGTTGCTCGTGTTCGTCTTGTAGTGATTTTGTTATGTTCTGGTCTAGTGGGTTTTGGACTGTGAATCATTGGTTTTTTAGATGGATTTGGTGATGATGGATTAGTTGTTTTTTTGGCAGCCAATTGCAGTAGTCGATTTTCGACTTTTTGACGTGCCATGGTCTCATCTTCCAGTGATTTTTCCAATTCTGCTATTCTCGTCAAGAGTCTGTCCGTCGAAGTATCATTAGTCTCACTGTTGTTATTCTGTTTGTCGAGGTCTTGGCACATCTGCTGATAAGCTACCTCAGTTGCCACCAGCTTCTGTAATATTTCTTGTCGCTTTCTCCTTTCTATAGATAATTGTATCTCTAAATTCATTACCGTTTTGCGCGGTTCTTGACTTTTATCCTTTAAGGGATCACTGTCGTTGTGCGACTGAAGTAAAAGATGAACCAATGCAGCAAGTGGAGTTGTTTCCTCAGTTGCTGTTAGGACAAGTGTTGTGATCTTGTTCTCAAAAGACGTAATATTAGATGGTATTGTTCTTTTGTATTCCTTCCATAATTCGCGAATTTTAGATATGGTAGTAGAAGCAACAGGAGCATTGTCATTGGTACCAGTATTGCTAATATTTTTCCGTTCCATTCCACAAGATAGTCTTAGCAACTTTCTGGGGATATAGTGCACCTTGCATGCTTCATTGGGAGGTGCAAGCGTTGCATTTATATCCAAGATATTTGCCCATCTTTTTCCAGCTGCACTTTTAAATTGCATCTTAGTGCTATGACTAAAGGCTCCTTCAAAATAAGATGCTAGCGACAATTTATTAGCAGGGCGCTTTTTTGAAACAGAAGGTGATATCTGCTTGGAACGCTCCACTTCGTTAATCCAATCAGCTACAGCACGATCTTTACTCTTCCGAGAAACTGGCTTTTTTGTGTTTTTAGTGAACCATTCCTTCAACGTTGACTCGTCTAGTGGAGGTATAGTTCGATTATTCTTATTCAGATTGCTAGATGAATTTTGGTATACAGATCCTATTTTATAGAAAACGGAAACTGATTGCTCTTCGGCCAGCCCTCGCGCTGATGCTATGCGTGATAAGTTGATAGTTGATGAATCTCGTCGTTTCTCGGCCATCTCAGCAGCCTGTAGTTGCTTCAAGAATTTGGATCGAGGTGGAAATTGGTAGTGTTCTTGTTCAGGCGTCAATATTTGAGGAACAACAATCTCCTGCCTTCCGTCAGGATATTGCTTGACAATAGCCTATGATGACGAACAATTATAAAGGGATACAAATAAGAAAAAAAAGAAAATAAATCAGTATCATTTGTTTTTCCGTAACATACTAATAAAAATATAACAATAAATTTGATGTTTCGAAAATCTGGCTTTTTACTTTTAAATTGTTTATTGCCGTAGAAAAGTGCTCGCGTGATTCTCTGGCAGTCTGACTGCAACGACGGACTGTGAGAAACAAGTAGCACGACTAGCACAAACAACAAATGTCATTCTGAGAGAATCTGAAGGTGTCTGTTGCCATTCATCATCAATTCCAATAGAAGATAAAAAATGACTATAAAGCTACAAAAAGCATTGCGCGCACTACCTTTTTCATTTCATTCCACCACGTCAGAGAGCGGGCTTCCCGATTATTACGTTGCTGTCGTACTTCTGCCAATGAAGCTACTGCATTTGCTACCATTCTTTTTTGCTGACCTCTGTTTGCAGATATTGACTGCCTATTGATTTGTATGTCAGCTGTTTGTTCTTTTCGTTGAGTTTTGATGTCCTCTGAATGTGTTTCTTTCTTCTTCTTTTCCGTTTCATTCTGTACCGATCCATACATTTAAGAATGAAGCCGTTTAAAAGTGTAAATGAAAATGGGCTAGTGTGAAAGAGGCTTGATTGTAGATTTGTAATAAAAGAAGGGAAATGGATAGTCGAAATGAAGGAAGATATGCTCCTTCCTTAGGACAGACGGCAAAAATAGGTATAACGGAATAATGTTGACCAACCACAGTTATAGGGCAAGTGTAAAGACCATAAGCAGAAATGCTTGGGACATAAACCAGTTGAGACGTGTGAAATCAATTATTATAATGTAAAAAGTATTAATTGGAATAGCTAAGTTAGCAGAAATTTGTTGGGAAAAAGGAGAAGCCAAATAAGAGTTTAAGATAATAGGAAAAGCGAAGAAAAGAGATGTACAAAATTGACAAAGAAGTGACTTGAGTTGAGCCTGTTACACAGTGATCCAAAGCAGCAAAGTTCTGTTCACATGAATAAGCCAAAGTGCGTAAGCTAATCATGCAATTTTTGTGGAGTCAATGGCGGCGGAAGCAATTGGTCTCTAATAAATTGTTAAAAATTTTACTATCAAAAATCAGCTCTTAATCAAACACAATCACCAAATAATGACTCTTACCCCACGCTTCTCTCAGAAACAGGGACTGTATGAGAAGCGTCAATTTGGTTCAAATCTCCAAAGGGATCGAAAGGGTCGTCGCTAAATGATGTTTCAAAAGAGTGTTGGACAATAAGAATTCCATGTATTGAAGATCAGGCCTTGATATATTTCATTCTGTCGCTAAACAATAGCGCGGTATTTACCTTCTTAATTTGAATGGGTTTTTAGAAGAGCTCGATTTCTGTATTTCGAGAGTTTCATCCTTAGGATTAGGAATGGTTGATGATGCTTCACCTATATTATCTAGGCTTTCCAAATGGCGCTGCTGCTGTAGTTGATCGTTCTATAGAAAGGTTAATAATGAGAACATCTGCAAAATAAACATCATAAACTTACGTCGCGGGTATTACGATTATGTAATTTTTGTGAATTTATCGTTGCCTCATTGACAGCGTGCTGTTCCAGCATTTCATCATAAGATTTGAAGCAGCTTAATAGCTCATTGTTTGTATTTATAAGATCAGCTATACATTTTTATATAGATGATGTCAACAAAATTGGTTCCTGAAAATTGTAGCCGTAAAGTTCTGCATCACTTACTAAGGAGATCAGAATCATCACACGTTTCCAAATGCGCTGCCAGCAGCTGTTGGGCTTGTATGCACTTGGTACGAAATTCCTTCAGAAACAAAAACTAGATTTCAGCAATTTATTCGAGGAGTCAACAATAGTCAGTTATTTACCTGGATCAGCACATTTGTTGATATATCTTCCTGAGTAGGATCGGTAAAGGATAATGTTTGAGAAAATAATTGTGCGCTATTTCTTGCCAATTCGATATCACGCTTGATGTTTTCAGGCTGCAGTAGATATGTTTTCAATAGTTATCTCAATATATATGCTGAAATATTAAATATGGACTATGATGCTCTTACCTTCGGTGGTCCTGTCGACCTTACCGTATGCTCGCTTCTTTTGTGACGGGCAGTTTGTCGTTGTCTGCTACTGGCTCCTTTTGTAATAGCATTGTACGCTTTATGTATGGCTGAAAATTGTGGATCACCATTTGACAATCTGGCCCAGTTTTCTAAGCATTGCGCCAGTTTATCGTATACTTCTCCATCTATAGTCTATGTCCATCCAATACAATGATTTAGTGGTCTTGTACTAAAATTGGTGAATGTTAAAAGTACCTTCGACGAAACCAAATTATTCAGCTCCTCTCCAAATGATTTTGCGGTCAATTGTGGTCGTATCATCTTTGTACAGTTTTCAGACAAGGCATTCAATATCTTTACATAAAAGTATATAGGATTAGTTAATATGCGTCTAATCTATTAATTATCGCTTTTACCTCTAAGGCCAACAATTGGGTTTTTGGCTCGGTCGATATCATTTTTTTTTGTAAAAGTTTTCTAGCTTCCTTTGCCCCCAATTCCGTAGAGTTGACAGACTCACATAATTTGAATACAAGAGCCCAATCCAAATCTTTTACGGAAGAATCGGTAGCTTTCTCTATATCATCAGAAATTTCTGTTGGAGCTATTTTCTTTTTTGAGAAAAGAGGCATACTATTTCAAAGGTACAGTAAAAAATATGTGAATTAAAAAAGGAACAAAATGCCAATCTTTTTCAAAACGGAGATTTATAATGAGGAAAGAAGAGCCAGGTCTCCGAAAAAAGGGACGCTAAAAACACACACATTACATAATTTTTCATCTTTTTAGTGGTGCTGTTGAAAGTGGGAAATCTACAGAACAGGGCACTCAATAGCCGTAAATGGGGCACTTTTTGCCATAGACGTGACTCTCTGCTCACAATATATGATAAATATAAGTATGCCAAGTGAAGTACAGATTATGACTATTCAGTTATGTAACTCATTGAGTATTTATGGTCATATTCTAATGCTATGCTGTTATTTATTAACCATTTATATGGTGTTCGTTCTATTTATGGTGTTTGATTTCTTAAATCTGCTCTAGTGTTTAGGCGTAGTAAGTAGGTGATATTAGCATATCACTCAGAATAGAAAGTTGGTCCGAAGTGAATTTATGCATGTCCTCATGCCACGTATCTGAGTGTGTCCTTCTAAAATCTGAAAAAGTTTTACGAACGGTAGCCTGCAAAATCAAAGATTTCGTTACTTAATTGTTCATTTCTTCAATAAAGAAAAATCCGTGACTAACCTGAATTTCTGCAGCTGGTTCAGCCATGCAACCAGCAAGTTTACACAATGTTGAGGGCATCCATTCAGGGACTTCGTAAGGGAACGCACCAATCAGACAAGAAATACCGAGAACACCCGAATGTTTTGACAAAGTAGCTTCAGCAAATCCTTCCGGTTCTATATTCTTACCAGTCACCTTATCTCGCATTCGCTTTGGTAACCTGACATCGACTTTTGCAAGAAATTGGGTTAACAGCTTCTTAATAGCATCCCTTTGCGAGCAACGGACCAATCCACCTAACGTTTCTGAGGCTAATTGTCTTACTTCAATTTGACTGTCCATCAACATTTGGCCCACAGTTTCCATAATACGTACAATATGTTGTTTATCGAGAAGGAAAATATGTTTAAAGAAAAAAACTTGAAGCACAGGTAGAGCACGAATACGCATATGCCAGCTTCCAGAAGTTGTTAGCGTAACTATCAACTGGTCAATAAGATCGGGTATCATTGCGGGTGGATAATTGATACGAGATACAGAGCTTAAAACGCGCGTTGCCATTAACTGAAGATCTTGATCATCATGTATTTCCTGCATTTCAAACAATCTGAGGAACATTGGTTTTATATACGGTAGCGTTCCGCATGCACTCCAATGAATACTTGCTTCATACAGCCATTGAAGTACTATATATAGCAATTTCAAATTGATAGTTAAGATTAAAGAAACTGTTTCTTGACTGAGCAAATTCGATGACCTTACCTGTCTTACTACCGTGAGCATAATTGCGCGATCCAGCCATAAGGGTTTTGCTCTGCCTTACTTCGGTAAACCAGCTATCCAATTTACTGTTGATTGCATCTATCCTTTCTTGTTGTTCATATGTTAAACTGCTTGGCACATTTCCTATGCCGTCTGTTGACTTATTAGCTAGCAATAACTGCTCAACCGACCCAAAAGCAGGTAGCCATTCTATCTGATGAATTACATTTATGTTCGATCCGATGACTTCACGAACTTGTTTGTAGGGATGGTTAATGTTATTCAAGTAAATAAGAAGTAGTTTTTGACACAATGGTTTAGAGCGCCATTGCAAAGTTGACAGAAGAGCGCGGGTCAGCAATAATTTACGAGATTCATTGAAAGCAGCATCAGACAAGGGGTCCAGCGTGTCTTCCACAATGAGGTCTATCAATGGTTGAATGCGACGAGGGTCACGACGGTAAGAAACAAAGCGTACAAACGAGTCCCAATAGACAAGTGAGTCAGGGGTAATAGACTTGAACACTTTTTGTATTAATATCACCAGCCATTGCCAAACAAGCTCGGATTTCCGTAGATTCCAATGCTTCATTCCACGAATTAGACCGGCCAATATTTCAGAAGCAGCACGCTGAGAGTTCTTTTGGTCAAAGTCTTCACATAGTTTCTCTATATGCCCCTTGGCTACCGTTAGAGGGGCGTCACCAAAGGTTCGAAATATATATTTGAAAAGACGTGCATTAACAGAGCTGAATCTATCTCGCTTCTCCGCCTCTTGTGACAGATAGGAGCATAGCTTTGCCCAATAGTCGTCCCGAATGAATTCTGCCGCAAATTCTTCATAAGCATCTCTCGATTCAGGCTCGAATGATGATAACAGAACTTCATGCTGATTAACTTTGTATGCAGTGTATTTTTCCGGCCAAACATACCACCCTAACGCTGGGTCATCTAAAAACACAGTAGCGGAGGAATTTTCTGCATTCACTGTACTATACAGGCTGCTTAATAGTTTACTACTTAAGACTCCGTTTGTTGTGTCATGAACTTGTAGGTCTATTTTCAGAGGATTCGGTATTTCTTGCGTTATGAGTAATTTTTCATCTCCTTCTATTAGTGTACGCTGTTCTATGAATTGCAATATCTGAGTTGTAGCATTAATACCAATTTTGCGAATACCAGGTATTTCAGATAGGACACATTTATTAGCAAAAGCAGCTAAACGCCCGGTTGGCTTTATATCAGGCCTAAGAAATAGTTCCACAAACTCACTAGCCATACCAGCATAACGCCAATGAATACGTTGATCATCCAGGTATTCGAGAAGGAAATCCAATAATTGATTATAATTGTTGATAATCTGTGCTTTTCTTCCTTCTACTTTTTGTAGCGTTTCTTCAATCTTCGCCTGAGAGTTTGAGTCGTTAAGAGCTAATGCAGATAAAGGGCGCAGTAAATCATCTATATAGTCAGGCACGAGAGTCTGAAAAGAAATTGGGCTGAAATTGGATGCGTACTGCAAAGACAAATGACTAATGAGTTCCTGTACAACAGCATCATCTTGTTCGTAAGTATTACAGAACGCTTTTATAAACTTTGGTACAAAACGCCAATCACGAATGCAAGCCATCAAAACCGATCTATGGGTCAGCAAATGCAGGGCACCTTTTATACGGTCAATGCTGGATCCTGTGTTTAATGCTTCTAGTAACTCAGGTATAAATAAGGCCCTTGCATTCCGGAAGCAACGAGCTGAGGCTGTTAATGCTGACCGACTAACCGCTCGTATTTCATCATAAGGTATCAAGGAGAATTGCAACAGATCGAGTAGTATAGCGTCATGGACCGGCGTTCGTGTTCGGCCTTGCGTATTCTGTCGTAATCTGAGGAGATGGTGATTATATGCACGTCGAACCAGAAGGTTTCTGGGATAACACTTTTTGAGAAATGGGTTTCGGACAAGCTTTTTGGCGTAACTGTAACCGTCTTTACTCAAGTCGAACTGTGCTTTTTCAATACCCCTCACTGAAAGGAACGTACGAGCAATCTTAATCAGAATTTTTACATTTTCTAGATCGGTTTCCCTCTTTACTCTAAAGAATTCGAATAATTGGTGAATCAAGGTTCCAATAGAGTATCGAAATTGCAAAGCAGTCTCCATGCGCGGATCTTGAGGATCAGTGAATGTATAGCCGACCTCCAACCTTTTGGGAGGTGCTGCAGGTTCAGGATCTCCAAAATCATCGTCGTCGTCATTGTCTGTCAACTCATCATCAATATCCTCGACCAAGTCAGTGTCTTCATCTTCTTCATCAGTTACTATGCAATCTCCATTAACTTTACTGTCTTCTGCCACCAACATAGAGCTGCCGATTAAACAGTTTCGAACCACAGCAAGATGTCTGCATAACTCATTACTAAGTTGATAGCTATCTACAGCATTGATATCTGAAATGTTCATTAGTTCGTTGAGCCGAGTTATAGATGGAGTAAGGAACAGATTCAAAAATTCTAGAGCAAAGTTCTTTTCCGTTTCAGAGGGTACATGCCATTGAATCTCGAGGTTTTTTGGATCGCCTGGTTTTCCCCACATTGAGTGCGCATTACGGATCATAAATTCCTTGTTGTTCCAAATTTCTGGATTCAGACTCCTAAACTCTGTGGGGTAGACATTCAATATAGAATTCAGAATATTACGCAACGTTTTACCGGTCCACATGATGCCCCTACGACTTCGGCACTTGTCAACCATTAACTGGCATATTGAAACTATCTCGTTTCTGTAGGTGAGGATTTCGGGGCCAATATTACAAATAACAGAATAGAGGATATTCTGATACCAATGGAATGTTGAATCAGATTGAATGAGGTTGGAGCCATCAGCATGGGATACAATGGATGAGGCACCATGTTCCAACTCAATTTGAATGTTGGAAATGCAAATAGGTATGAATATCTTGGCAGCTTTCTGAGGGTTTTTGTTCGTCAGAGTGTCACATAAAAGACCGACAGCACGTGTAGCATTGGGCAAGACACGATCTGTAACAAAGTCTGATACTAATTTCAAGGCGAGATCGTATAGCTCGTCTGATAATTGTCCAAATATTATATCACAAGTATGTAGTAGTATTTGTATTAACTTTGCTTCGGAGGTGGTTACAGATTGCTTTTTACGACTCTCTTGTGGAAGATTTTCGAAGATAGTAAACACTCTATTCATGAATTTTGCGAGCCATTCTTCAAATTCCCCAGTCGTGATTTTGAGAAAATAATCTTCTGTTTCTCTAGAAAGATTAGCATTGAGATCATCTACATTATCTTCCGTCGGATAGTAATCGTCATGGTGTTGAGTTAGATCGATTATCGGAACTGTCATCAATGCCGTAGAAATAAATAAGAAAGATTGTATGGTTTTGCTAGGGTCATTCATATCTATACCAGGAATAGCTAGATGCAATAGGGGCAGTAAGTGTTTTCCACCTGCAGGGTAATTCTCTCGTGTTATCAAAGGAAGGGCAATATCCGTCAAAATCCCCAGAGCGCTGGAAGTCCGATGGGTTTCTGTTAATGTCTCTAAAGAAGGATAAATACGCTCGAGTAAACCAGGTAGCACAATTGAAGGTTCAAGCCATGAAAGATATTTTAATGTTGATTGTGTATAGCTGATTGAATAAGGGTCTCTGCCAAACATGCTCAGATAGGCTACGGGTCGCAAGATCATGGTAAATTGTTTCCGAATTTCAGCTGTCAACCTGCGGCTGTCGGGTATCAAATTCTCATCCTCATGTTCTCTTCTCCATCTCTTAAGAAATTCGGATGCTAAAGAACGCATGAACATAGTAAGCATAAGTGACCAAGGGCCATGGTTGGAGGGATGAAAGTAGAGCTCAGAAGCTTGCACAAAATCTGACAAACGGGACAGTGTATATGAATTCTTGGGATAGTTTTCATCAGGAATAATGGTGTAAACAATAAAGCGAGCAAATGCTTTAAATTTATCCTATTAGAACAAGCGTTAATTTATCAATCGTTTACAATAGCAGTGTAACTTTGCGAAGTAGACATACATTTCTGCCAAACGAAAGCGCAGTGCCAGCTTTATTGTCATTCTTGATTGCAACGGGTCCATATCCAGTTATTGTACTGCCAGCAGTTCCCCCAGCTGGACTAATCCCATCACCTCGAGAACCTACTGGTAAGTTCATCATTCGTAATCCCAAAGTAAAAATAAATTTGACTTGCTGCTTGGTGAAGAGTGCTATTTGTGTTCCTTTTTCCATATTATGCTCAGCAATCCGTGATATATAGTTCATCATAACATTGTCTGTTGTGAGCGAGCATGGTATCATTGACCACAAAGAAAAGATTGTCGACAGATAGTCTTCTATATGTAATGTATCCTTTGGATGATCTTCATATGGCAGAAATGTTAAAAGGTAGCCTTGTGCTTTCGCTGCATCTGCCATAGAATTTGCGTTATATTTCGGTAAAAACTCCTCCAACAACTCTTTCGCCGTATCAACAGAAAAGAAACGTTTGGCATACCGAATAAGAGACAGTACGCTCCCCAAATGTTTCCTAGTACAGATGTAATTGTTGGTATTTCATAAATTAGCTGTTGAATCAATAAAAATTATCATTCAAGGTCTTTACGTTTCGCTCAATGTTAATTTTTGTCCTGTTCCTGAAAACACTTTTTTCTCAAGCATGTTGTATAAAGGACGCCAATCAAGTTGGAGGTCTTCCGAGTCTAACCTGTGTCTATGTCTATAAAACGTATTAAGATCATGCAGCTTTTGATTTAGAGTTGCCTAACTGAACAATTTAATTTACTTCACGAGCCGCATGAAACTCTGCGCCCATAATTCTATCAAAGCTGAATCCATGCCAGGCATAATGACTAATTCATAAAGGAGCTTGGCCAAATGTGCTCTAGTTTTCCGTGGTATTGCATGCTTCATATCCATATAACTTTAAAGTTGACGATATGATATCAAACTTAGAATTACGATATAGAGATAGTAATAATGTCACCTTCACTGTACCTCGATAAACGCTTCACCCAAGCCAACACTCCACCATGAAAATCTTGGGCTTTTACACTGATGACTAAATTAGTGCAAATGTCGTTCAACCAACTTTCTGCTTCTTTATCCAGTAAATGAGCATAAGGTAAACTTTGAGCATAATGCATAGTGTGGTCATTGTCGTCTTTTATTACGGATAAAGGGATCATATCCCTCCTATTATTGATGGTAGAGATTACCATAGAAGGACAAAATTGGGAAGCAGAGAAAGATATAAGTGTGCTTTTGGATAACAAAAAGCAGGACAAAAATGATCGGACGCTGAAGTTACTTTACAACAGGAAAATTGCCGTACAATCACGCATTCTCGTTTAGCAATAGAAATGATAAGCCGTGCCCGATAACCTCAAGCAAAAAAATTCTTAAAATATCGATAGCCCACAGTATTATTTCAAAAACTTTGTAGGAGAGAAGCACGAAAATATGGCCCTTTTCTGTAAACCCTATCACGGGCAAGTATTGTACCTTTTTCTCAACATATTTTCCTTATTAAAGATAACGGTATAGGCGCTCACCGCTTTCTTGATCAAAATGCATTTGATATAACTGTATTCGTTAACAATTGAAAAGCACGGTTGTCGAGAACCTGATTTTATTTTTTCTCCTAAAAATTTATCGTTTGATTTCTTGCTTTGATACCATTATCGGTCACTTTATGATGGACGCGGAGACTGTCACACATAAAAAAGCCGTATTGAGCGCATTAATCTTTTGAGAAGTATCCTTTTAAAATGTCAACACCACCAGCAACAACTCGATCAACGGCTTCAACGATCGCCTTTTCCCATTATTTAAATAAAATAGACCAAAATCAGAAACTGCCCACTTTTACGGAAAAGAAATTAAATGTGCATATTTTAAGAGGTACCAAATGATAACTTTCACTTGTTACGATTGAAAGATGTAAATGGCACCTGTTAATCATCTGAAAACTATAGTTGCTGGTCCAGAACTCTCAGATACATTTGTTAAGGAGTCTTGGGAGCAATTAAAGAATGTTGTTCTTCGCATACTGACCAATGGAACCGTAGGTGTAAGCACCGAAAACTTGTATCAGGTTAGATCATAACAATCGAACGACAATAACGTCTATTTGCTCACCATAAATACTATTTCTTCCTTTTGTTGAACATTCTTATTGGCAGCTATGCGAGACACTTTGTCAGTACGAGAAAGCATCATATGTGTACCAGAAGATTCATGATCAACTTAGCGCTTATGTTCAAAATCAATTGCAACTCTTATCTACGTAATGTCTATCATAACTTCTACAGAATGTAGCATTATACTGAACACTGTATCTGTTAACACGTATAGTGAGTCTCTAACGGATACGGCTTTTTGCGAAACTGTGTACTCGTTATGGATTAAATATACAAACCAGATAGTAAAGAGTCCCTTGTGCGCAATGCGGATTAGAAGGAACAATTTTAATTAATCTCTCTGCTCTTTTCACAGGTTCAGATACGATGTATTTTTTTGTACCTTGATCGTACTTATTTTGCGCATAACACGAAATACGGCTCTATTTGGGATATGGCGATTGATATTTTTAAAAGCAACATTCTTAAATACGACATAATTTGGCAAAAAGTGTTAAACGGTATATTAACGATGATCCGATTACAAAGATCAAACAATACTGTTGATGAAGGAGTTTTGCAAAGGAATATTCGAATGTTACTTGATTTAAATTTATATCATTCAGCGTTCGAAAGATTCTTGTTAGACGAAACACGCCAGTTCTATGATAAAGAAGGCAGCCATCTGATACAGACAATGAACATATTTGACTACCTAGATCATGTGGCAAGTCGATTACATCAAGAATCAACAATAAGAATAAGAAGCTATTTAGACAAGTCCACGAAGTCATCTATACAGTCTATAGTAGGAAATGAATTGTTGATCAGAAGAGTTACCACTATACTTGAAAAGAGTGAGTTTACCCGCGTAACGAAGAATGCTCTTGTCATTATTTTCGTTCGGCTAATCAACTTTCTCTATCGCTGTTCTAAGGCTTTCAGTATTTCCTACAGTTGGAATCAATTGAGGATATCGATTATGCAAGATTATCTCTACTCTATAGACTATTACAGAAAGTCGACAAGATTGATATCTGTTCAAGGTATTTCACAATGTATGTTAAACAGAAAGGCTCTCGTATCCTTCGTTCCAACAATGAAGACGTCGTGCAAAAAATTTTGAAATTATCTCAATTTGAATCACAAGTGGATGAAGTGGTCGATCACAGTTTCGAAGGAGATGAGTTATTCGTAGAAGGGTTAAAAGAAGGAATTGAATATTTCTCTAATCTTAAAGAGAACAACGTCATCAAAATTTTAGCCAAATACATTGATCAAGTTCTGCGAAACTCCAAAAGAACACTTGATCAGACATTGTTGGACAAAGGCATGTTCTTATTTCAAAATATACGCGCGAAAGATGAATTTGAAATGATATATAAGCGTGATTTAGCAAAGAGACTATTATTGAATGAATCAAGCCAGCAAGCGGAAAAATTTATGCTTGCCAAAATGAAAGACGAATGTGGAGCGGGTTACACGGGCAAAATGGAAGGAATGGTGAAAGATATAGAAAAGTCGGTCGATTTAATGAGAGAATTTAACGTAAGCCTATACAGTAGTAAAGAGTATAGACGCGAAATCATAAAACTAAAACTAATACCGTTATGTCACAACTCTATTTGTAATAGATGGAAAATAAGGGATCTGTGCCGACGTTGAATGTTAATCTGCTCACATACGGTTTCTGGCCATCCTATACACCGACTACAATCAACTTACCACCTGTATTCAAAAATCTGCAAAATGTGTATAATGAGTTCTATACTGGAAAATACAAAAGACGAATATTGACATGGCAAAATACCCTTAGCATTTGTGAAGTTTTATGTCATTATCCACTGGTAAGTTAGATTCTTATACAGACCAGGTCTTTTTACTACTGAACTCACTTGCTGTATTTACTGTTATCACCGCTATTGATATAATAACAATAGGGAAGCAAACGGATCACGCTTACATTACTGCAGACCATCGTATTACTTCTTTTCAACGATCCTAATAAACCCGCTTACACCTTAGAAGAAATATATAACTACACTCAAATAGGTAGATGATTGAGCACTATTTGTGGTTCGCTATTAACAACATTATTCCACTGTTATTAAGTCGTATATGTTGCTTTGATATAGATGAAGTTGAATTACGTCGTACGCTAGTTTCGTTGTCACTCAAGGAATATAAGTTGTTGAAAAAAGAACCTCCTATAAATGATATCACATCAACTGATCAATTTCAAGTCAATGAGGCATTTACTTCAGAAGAAGAATGTTTATCATTAACGACAGCAACGTTAAGCGAAGTGATTGAAAAGAATTCTAGTTTGGACTCCACTATTTTATTTGCGCAAGAGCAGCAAATTGATGCTGTCATTGTTCGAATAATGAAGTCAAAGGGTACATTTGACCATGGCTCTTTATTGAATGAGGTTGCTAATAGCTTAAAGTTTCCTGTTACGGTAAATCTAACTGTTTTATTCCTCCTTTCAAAACTGCTGTGTTATATTGATATGTGCAACTGGTGGTTTGCTTTTTTTCTCCCTTATTTGTAGGCTCAAGACATCAAAGGACGCATTGAGTCATTGATCGAAAAGTGAGTAAAGAAGGCAAAATAGATACGCTCATAATGGTGTGTTTGTTCAGAATAATGACTAATCAGGAACTTTCCTCTTTATCATGTAGAGAATATTTAGAACGTGGTAATGATAATTCGTACGTTTACCTACCATAGACAACCAAAATAAGCACAGTGATACATTCTTTGAATAGTCATGTATAAATCCATTTGAATTTATGGCAAAAAGACAGTTTCTTTTCTGGTTTGGATTTAGGTAAACTCCTGATTTAATCAAGATACATATTCAGATTACTTGCAGCTCTTTCCTAGACAAAATGAGCAGATTTTTTTAAAACCGTATTCGTCATTTCATTAGTTTACCTTTTTGGATAATCGAAAAAAGGTGATTGACAATACTAAAAATGTGTTTTTCAGCAACACTTTTCTCGCGATTTTGTTGTCAAAGTTATATCATAAGGAAGAAGTTTTTTGAAACGGAGAAAAGGTCCTTTTATTCGTGTTTGCATTTTTTTGTAACTTTCAGCCCCATTCATGTATAAGTTTCACTATACAGAAAATTAGATCTGTTAAAGAAAAGCATAAGAATAAGATTAAAAAGAATTCATTTGGTCGCTTAGACACATTAGAAGCATTCAACACCGTCCGTGGCTGTCGTATTCTCGTTTGCAGAACTTGTAAAATAATACGGAAGCGCGATGTCAATGCAGCAAAAAACATGATGGTTATCAGCATTGCTATATGGGTAGACAACTGCTAATATGAGCAGCACGAAACTGAGTCGACTTTTACAGGCGGACCTAAGTCTAAAAAGCTGTAGTGGTGGCTCGTAAATTTGCTTTGAAATTCTAAAAATCAATCTTAGTGATATTTTTACCCGTCTCCGCGAGTAAGAAACATTGTACAAGCACAGAATAGTACATATGAAAATGTAAAGGAGGCTGGGCATTGATAGAAAGGAAAAATAAATCTTCACTTGAAATGCTGTAAAAGGGCTCATGTCGGATAAAATGATATATACAACGCAATGTGAAAGCTTTTTACAGTTTCTTTTATTGCGTTGGCTCAAAGATAGCAATGCACTGGTGATTTACCAAGTGCGAAAGTCATTGTTCTTATATTATCCGTTAAGGAGGAATTAAATTCAATATTGTATTGTCAAGATGGTCCACCACTAACTAACTCTAGTATTAATTCTGCACAATGCTTTGATGATAAATCAATAACTTCTCTTCAGTAAGTTTTAACATAATAAGGCTGCGTGGAAAACATTTTGAAGAGCAAGGAGAGTTACGGGTTTATATGCCAATGATCATTGCCGGTTTCTTTGAAAATGAAGGCAACGAGGATGCTGAAATCGAAAATTCGATTCCCACAAAGCATTGCAATGTTTGGCGTCCGGTATCCAAGCTGAGATAATTTTACTTCATGAATTGGAACATCCCCATAGGCCAGTTTTGGAAGACTTCTCGCTTGAGCTGTTTACTGATATGCCGCTTTACAGTTTGCAGACTTTTTTTACACTTTGTATCTGTTTCCGTCTGTTTTAAACAATCTGTATATAAAATAACTGCACTAATTAAAAAAGCAAGCACAAAATATATCTTTGTCTCAAATGTCACAAAACTGTGGAACCTCTACAAACGATCCTTGCAATAAGATCACTCCTTCATCAACAACAGAGGAGTTGATAAATACCACTTTTGAGGACGAAGTATTGTATTTCTCAACATTTAGAAAGAGTAGTTGAGTATTTGGATTAAAAACACTGACAACTGCTGTTCTTTCTCGTTTAATACAAGTTCAATATCTTGCGATCATCTATTGACTCCGGAAATTACGAGAAAGCCATACAAAGTTTTGTTCTATTGTAAATCAAAGCATGAATAATACAGTTGGTAAAATACCCATTTCATAAGGGCATCTCTAACATTCTCAATAATAATAGGCATGCCAATAGACTGCATAATCCTACCTTTCAAAATTACCTAGTTCAGCTTACTGAAGACATCAATAAAACTGAGGATAATAATGGCAGCCGTATGTTACCTTTTTTCGCTGGAAGGAATTCACAATCGACTAACCATTGCCCAACGGTGATTTTTAGGTTTTTTTGCTTCACTGCCTTGTCTTCTGCAATCTAGTATTGTTGATTTTGCAATAGGTAAGTTACTGTTAAGATATTTGTTTATAGTTTTTGACAGACATGAGACACTGAAGAGACATTTCGTAAATTATATCAGAACGCTTAGAAGAAAAGGATTCAATGCGAGCATTTACTGTTCTGTTCAACTACATACAAGCATACCCACGGCACGCGTACAAATATTTGGTAAAATAAAAAAAAAAAAGAAAGGGAAAAGTGTCTGCCATCTCTTTAATAATCAGCACTATCATTATAGATTAATGCTATCAACCTGCTAATACTATGCGCCCAGGGGGCAAAGGGAGAAGAAAGGCAAAAATGTATCACACTCTTAGTTACAGAATTGTTCCCTCGACTTTGCAAACAACGATTATTACTAGTACGAAAGGAGAAAGTTCCTTCCATCAAATCAACTGATAGCAAGCATTATATCACTTTACCATATAATCTCTTCGAACAATTCTTATTACTTGGCCAACGATTTTACATAAAAAAACATCAGTGGAAGGAAGCAACAAGGTTTACCTGCCATATGCTGGCAGCCTGTGGATATACTAATTTGGATCAGCTTGCAGACAATGTATCATATGTAATTCGATTTCAATATTTAAAGGAGCATAGAAAGCAAGTACGTATAGATGACGACGATAACGATGGGCAAAATCGAGAGCAATTTACATTGCCAGTAAGCGAAGACTTATCAATCTTGTCAACGTTCATGTGTGAATGTATGGTAGCAGCTTCACAGTTTGTAGAGTTTGGTTATCGATATTATAAGTATGTTTGTGGTACCGATGACGTCTCATCATCGACCAGCGATCAAAAAACTTGCTTGATACCCTTATGCTCATTCCAGCCTAATAACAATAATAATGATGATAACAATGACAACGATGGTAAAACTGACGCTACTGTTAGAAGGAGAGAACGCGAGTATGAGGACGACGATTCTACTGGCAACACCTTACTTCAGCACTCTTCAAATAAGCGTCAGCGTCTGATGGATTCTAGTTCATTAGCAGTGTCGGCTCTTCCAAACGGCACTAAAAGCCAACAAGATGTAATAGAAGTGGAATTAGAAGCAGAAGCAGAAGCAGGAGCACAATATGAATTGGAGGGTAGAGCACGTGGGTTAGATTCATTTTGTTTACAAGGTGTTGATGAAGCATTACAAATTTTGGGAAAAGCTGGTGATTGTTTACGTCATGTTGTTGAACTATGGAATTGGGCTTACTCAACTATTTCGCAGAAAAGCTTATTAGATACACTAGGGGGATGGGAAGAAGAATTTTGTCGCATTGTGGATGGTTATAGATTACCCTTTGATATGCACAATGCTGTTTTATTAATAAGAAGTGATTTAGCATTGTCTTCCCCTTCAGTCCCGGGAAATCTTGCGAAGGCATTGGAATTATCTCAGACAATATGTGACCGTATTGAAGTACATCGTAGACAAGAAAAGACCGAACCTAATCGTTCTAGCAAAGCATCCTCGGCAACATCATCATCATTGTCCAACCCTATCACTAGTAAATTATCAACAGATATGGATATACCCTTCATGTTTGCTTTTCGTGTATTATATAATATTGGTATCATATATCTACTTGTTGGAAGTCTACAGCAATCAACCTTAGAAATTGCAATTATTCTATCAGTATTTCCTATTCCCAGTGGGTTGAGCGCAGACGATTTTGTTGCTGACGAAGCAGACTGCTGTACAGTGGCGAATATCTTTCAGGGAAGAGAGTTTGGCCTAATGAAAGTAACTCAGGAAGGACTCGTTGTGAGATGTATCAAGCATTTGATAGTAAGCCTCGATAACGAGTCTGAACAACGTAGCGGTATGGCATCGATTGATTCGGCTTTGCGCTGGGATGAAAAGGCTGGTAATATGATTGTTCTAATGCAATACGGTTGGCCGTATTGGAGTACAAGAACGAACCTTTGGGACAAGATAATCAATAGAATTAGTGGAAAACGGGTTTATAAAAACCGCGAGTTTCTCGAATATCTTTATGGTACGTGTGTTTATGGAATTAGATGGCAATTGTTCCATCTACATGCAAGCATTAACATTCTTTATGTTATAGTTGCGGAAGTTTTACAGACAATTCGCCATCTTCATCTACTGGGCTCAGTCACAATGGACATAATCCCGCCTGAATTTGCTCTTCGTAATAGCTACCGTCATTTAGTAACAACTTCTTCTACCTCATCTACAGCAAGAGCAACAGCGAAACCGAATAACAATGATAATGCTGAAGTTACGAGTACAGCCTTATCGGTCAAACCTCTACTAAAAGCAAGCAGCGGTAGCAAAACCGGTACCAATGGAACAGAGGACGAGGATGACGATGAAGAGGACGATAACGACGACCTAAAGAAATCAAAGAGCTCTTCTGTGATATCAGTGTACCATCCCTCTTTTGCTAATAGTATTCTGCCTAGTACGTCTATGTCTCCTTCTTGGTATTCGGCTTCTACGCAAAAAAATTCCTTTGCAAAATGGATGTCGCCATCATTTTATTACAGCCGGCCAGCGACGTCAGTTGTCTTACCAGGACAAACTACAAGCAGTGGCCTTTCGGGAGCATCAACAGCAGATCAAAACATTGATTCAGGAAGTAACAATTCTCACGAAAATGGTACAAATGTCACTACTGAAAGCAATTCTGATACATACGCTGGTGATATGCTAATGATGAATGGCCATAATAGCAGTTTCCAACAAATACCCTCTGTCCATAAATCAACCACCTCATTTATTCCGAAAGACATAGTAACAAGATGCTTGGATTATCGAATTGCTAAGTACTCACCAAAAATAACACCGCAAAGAATGAGACATGTTTTGCAACGGTTCTTGAAAAATATGGTGTTGAAAGCCAACGAAGACGCTTGATTCTCTCAGAGCTTTTATTCCACCATCCATAAGCATTATCGTATTTTATTAATAAAGTTGCGTGACATATAGATTTCAGAAACAATAATGTATGTAACAGTCGCAATTTTTCAAAAGACAATCTGCGCAATAACTGCTAAGTTTAACCGTATAATTTTATGTAAGGATGACCTTCGTTTAAGGCGCGAATCGCGTGCAATGGGGTGCCAACGTCACAAAGCTCAAAATTCAAAAAACGCGAATTACTGTCCTCACAGTCTTTTAACTCGATAATTCAGGATCAATGTCAATCGAGCATGGAAGTGACCGATCATTCTAAGCAAAGCAACCTGGATCCTGATGCCATAGCAGTAAAAGAAAAACAAGAATGGGTCAAGCAGATTCGGCTGAAGTTTTGCATTCGTCCAGAGTTTGAGATTACCAAAAAAATGATCTTTGCAGACGGCACCCTTAATCAAGAGTGAGTTCAGAATTTTACTGGGCCGTTACAAAACCATCGGAAACACTTATAATCGTTTTAGCTATTTTCGCCCTCCCAAGGGGGCCAAACAAGAAGAAGCTCGCAAATGGACAGACGTTGAAAAGAACCTTCTGATTGAAGGAATTGAAAAGTACGGAATTGGACACTTTGGAGAGATATCAAAAGAGCTATTACCCAAATGGGTAAGTTATACGTTAAGGATTGTATATAATAAAACCGCTACTAACTCATGAATAAGTCTACCAATGACTTACGTGTCAAATGTATTCGACTGATCGGACGTCAAAACCTTCAATTATATAAGGATTGGAAAGGGAACGCAGAAGATATAGCTCGTGAATATGAATTCAACAAGCAGGTCGGCTTAAAATATGGAGCTTGGAAACAAGGTGTTTTAGTGTATGATGACGATGGGAATGTAGAAAAAGCATTAATAGAATACCATACCAAAACATAGTTGTACATATAATAAGGGATTCTCGAGTTTAAATTAGATGGCTTATGTAAATGCATGAAGGATGTATGCGGAAGTGATATGGGTTAATAAATGAATATATACTGAGAATAATTAAGTATATTAGAATGTCTCCAAAGTCATTTGCTTCGCTACATCAGTATTTTCAACCATAACTAAGAATTCGTCGAAACTGATACGACCATCTCCGTCTTTATCGGCTTCCATGATTGTTTTATCGACGATTTGTTGTAATTGGTTATCCTTCAAATTGTTCCCAACCATCATCTTTAGCACTAAGAAAAGCTCACCATTTGAAATATATCCATCCCTATCCATATCATATACCTTAAAAGCAACTAATAAAAAAAGTCACCATTAGATACCAACTCTATCCGCAGATTATGGATTTTTTTATTTATGCACTTTACAACCGAGTTTTTCCCTTTTGTTACCACGGGCACTGAAAGCGCTCAAACCCTTGATAAATTCGTGAAAATCGACATCCCCGCCTCCGTCTTCATCGAAAATGGCAATCATCCGCGATGCCAACGGATTGTTGGCTATTTGGGGAATCGATAAAAATTCCTCTTTGTCGATTGAACCAGAGTTATCTTTGTCCAATTTCATAAAACGTTTGTATAAACGTTGAATTTCTTCCGCAGAGACTAATAGCAAAAGTATACATATCATTAGGCGTTGCTTCAATAACAAGAATGTCCTGTAAGGACCGTCAATAATAAGTGCATACAGTTTGAAGAATTCACCATGTCTTCCAGCTGTGATCCATTTTGACCCATTTTGAGTAATTGCTTAAATGAAATGTGTTATAACACAAAAGCTCGCCAGGTTGAATGAATTTGGGTTTTTTATTTTTCGTCAAAGTAAAACTGAGATTTACTGAGATTCAATGACTAAACAGTGATGGAGCTTCCTGAACGGAAGTAGGATGTCTCGTTTCAAGCTATAATACGCGAAGTAAATATAGCTGAAATAGCGCATACAGCGTATTATAATGTAGCTATACCTTATAGATGAAGTTTAAGTATAATTATATTATCAAACATAACGGCAACCTGTTCGAACAAGAAGATAATATACCACAGTCATTTGTCCACTTAAAGTGATCAAACAACCAGACTTAACTCTTACGAACTCTCACTACTTTTCTTGAAAAAAATTGAACTCTTAAACGTTGGTTCAACTATAGTAATCAGTATCACAGGAATGCAGATATGAATAGGAACAAAAAAAAAAGAGTTTTATGCAGTTGAAAATTGTCTCAATACGTCATTGAACGTGTTGTATTCTTATTATCATTTTTCCTTTGATACACCAATCTTACCGTAACCTAAAATCATAATTGATGTCACAAGAAACTTCAAACAACAAGAAGTCAAAAACCTTCACAACAGTAATAACAGCATCGTCTCATTCGTTTACAACGGCATCAGGGGTTGGTATTATAATAGCGAAGACAAGTTAACCTTGTTTCGTTCAATGTCAAGATTAGTGGTGTTTCTATTATTTACATTCCATATTCAGAGCTCATCACCGTTACTATGAGAAAAAGCTGGTAATACAATTGTTTTGCTGATGGTGGATCAAAAGTTAGTGAAAATTGCATACAAGAAGAAGTCGACGGGACTATTAGAGTAGATGGTCTTTCGAACAGTTTCAAAATGTGAAATATGCAAGGCAATTTGTGAGCAAGTTTATAGCGAAGTTAAGTATGAGTAGATTGCCATCCTATTGTTATTGCAGATATTGACACACACACTCTCTTCTCATTAATGAAGGGAAAAGGAAGCAGACTACTAAAATATGGTTTTCTTGTATTAGATTCAGAGAGGGTCAAAGGAAATATACAGAACAGACACTTGAGATGAAATTCTGGATGTATTATTTTGGTAACAGTAGACTTACTCTTGTAGAATTTTTTGGACAGAGTCAGCCATGTTCACTGTGGCGCTTTAAGATTGACAGCATAACGGGGTAGGTCTTCCATAAACCGCCCAGGCACTTGCTGATATATCCGTCATAATTTATTTTTTTCTTTTTTTTTCTTTGCCATCTGAGCACGGTTCCAGAAATTTTCTAGGTTGTCCATCTTGTAGGCTTTGATGGACTAAGGTTAGAGTAAAAAGAGGATAGGTTATTACTGTTCGGCATTTACCAAGCAATTAATCTTATTGATGTTTTAAACTCGTCGATCATGAGCAAACATACTTGTTCTTGCCTTACTTTGCCCTAAAATTTTTTAAGCCTCTATTTACTACACCATGCTTTAAGCTTCAGTACACCACTAGCGGTATCTTTCCTTTTGTTGCCGCTTTGAAACGCTCCTATGCAAGTTTCTAATTAAGCAATAGTTAGTCCAGAACGAAAAAGTCTATAAAACAGTCTGTGTGTAATTGAGTAGTTAGCTCAAATCAACTTCATGGTCGATACCGTAGCTACGTCTATTGTCAATATTTTTTCTTTTTCGCCTCTTTCGCTTTGTAACGTGCGATCACGCCTATCTGGAGGTACTTCTTTGAGCCATTTATGGAGATGTTTGGCACATGTTCAAAGGAGACTTTTCGTCCACGAAAGCTTTTCCACTTGATTTCGGCTGTCGTGAATGATTACTCTCATGCTGAAGAACGTATTCATATATATCAATTGACTGAACATGGGTCAACCGAACAGTTTGATGGGATTTCAAAATCGAATAAATAGTGTTTAGCTAAATCCTAACCCTTTCTCAGTGTTTCTAAAGAGCCTACCATATTATGAAGTTGCACTATTAATGAAAAGTTAAACTTAACCGCACGACGAAGCAAATACATTTAGTAATGTGCCAAGAAAATGCTTTGCTATAGACATAGATAACGATATAGTAAGAGCTCTGCCGCCCTGTTCTTTTTTTTTACTATAAAGCATTTTGGTCTAGTATCAAGCAGAGTTTTAAATCATTCCGTGAGTCTCTGTAGCTTAATAAGTTGTAACCCTAATAAGAAGACACATATGTACGTAGAAAAGTTTATTATTTAGAAAAATTTTGAGGCATATGAAGAAAGTGTAAACAAGAAAATTGCTGTTAGGCGATATGAACATAAAAGATATAGATATATACTGGAACTAATTATTTACGCGTTATAAATGGGTTAAATAGAATCCTTAGTGTTAAAGAACGTACTTGTGTAAAATAAATACATACAAATGAGAAGATATATACATAATTAAAGGATTGTAAATCTGTGTGTACAAAGTAATAGCATTTTTCAATCTCTTCATTTCATGATAAGGTTAAGGCCATAAGTTTGTTAGTAAATCTGTATCTTGATAGATCGTCCATGAATTGGAGTTAATGTTGAGAGAGGCTTCCTTTTCATTGTAATTAGTAGTTTGAATAGGCTGATCTGAAGAAATCAAGAAAAATGGTAGCCGCAGAAAAGCCTTGTGCTGCGAATGATGATACTGTTGATTTCTGTTGACTAATGTTTCTAAATGCGCAAGTCTCTTTACTGTGCCGTCTAATACTGCTTTGGAGCTCTGAATAGACTGCTTTAATCTCTGCTGACGCTCCTCCTCTTTTTTTATTTTTTGTTCAATATCATAGTAAGTGCCATTGGTTGATGAGGGTTTATTTATACCGAGCCACCTGATTTGCTTTCTATCTTTAGCAATGATATCCAAAGCCATCAATACATTCAAAGCGTCATATACTCTACGTCTTACGTTTTTTTGATCGACAGTTGCAGTTGCAGATGCTGCGTATTCAGCAGCCATTTCGTCTGCAACTTCATTGTGAGTAGTAATACCCTTCTCTGCTACTTTGTCACAAACTTGCTTTGAGAATAATCGTAAACCTTTAATGGGTCGGTTTTGTTGTTGTTGTTGTTGTTGTTGTTGTTGTTGTTGTTGTTGTTGTTTATTGTTGTTATTTCGGACACTAGGAGAATTGCTTCTTTTCAACTTTTTCTTCTTTGGTGTTACAATGCTTTTGTTTTTGTTATTGTTGTTGCCAATAGCGTTGCCGTTACGATTATAATAATAGCCATTCATAATGTCTTCCTTTTCCAACGCAAGTAGCTCTGAGCCTGAATTCAAAAGAGACTGAATAGAACCCTTTTTCTTACGTTTGGGACTGTTGAAATCCTTGTCATCATTTGTTTCGGCAGTAACAGTGGTCATTTGATGGTAATTGAATGGATGTGGAAACGATATACCGGAAATTGAATCAGGTGAAGATGGAAAAGATGATGAAGACGTGGATGAAACAGACGATGAAGAAGAACAATAAGGTGGAGAAGATGAAAAAAGAGTACTAGTACTGCTGGAACTACTACTGCTGCTGCTACTACTACCACTACTACTGCTGCTGCTACTAGCCGTAGTTCTCGTTGAAGAAGAATTTGGTATCGAAATGCTGGCTGTCATAATAGGAGGTAGCAAGGTACCCGCTGTTGCCATCATCTGGTTTTTTGCCCTATATTGCTGTTCATCGTCACAAGGAGAATAAATCATTGAATGGCACGAGACAAAACTGCTGCCATCCTTATTATTTGTTGAAGTAGAGGCAACAGCAAAAACAGGTGGTAATTGCAGAGGTGGTAGCTTGATAGTAGAGACTGTTGAGGGTAGTAATATTGTCATGTTGAGATACTGTAAAAAGGCAAGTTCTTCTGTATACTAAATAAAGTGGAAAAGAGAGAAGTATCTAAAAAGATAGTATATCTTTGTAAAGAGTGTGTATGCGCTCGTAGGTTAAAAAAGAAATAGAATGAAAGAAAAAGAAAGACTATAAATTGATATTCTATCAATCTAAGATGCGTGTCATTTATATAGCACCTAACACTCAGACAATATTTATATACAATAAGGACTGTCTCTTTCTTATCTTCTTCTTGTGTTCATGTTTATTTTCGCGGAAAAAGTGTAATTTATATAAACTAAGAACGATAAGGTTTTCAAGTGGCTTTTTTTATATGAAAGTCGAAGCTTATATAATGGAATGCGTGTGCACGCACGACCTCTGTTTCTTTTGTGAAAGTTTGTACAAACCACAGGTTCAGTCAACAAAATACTCTATGTGTGCACATAAAAAACAGGACCCTTGATCGTTTCGGAAAGCGGAAAGACTAAATTGAGAATGAGTGATATATTTTAAGGTTCACACAAGATGATGATGATTTGACAAAAACGCTCATGTTTGAGTATAACAAGATAGAATTTATTGTCATAATGGAACTTGAAAAAGTTAAACGGCTTCAAATTTATAGTTATTATGAGGGGCTTTTACACAGAATAGGAAGAGATAAATCTGTATGTAAGCTTTGGTAAATATATGTGTACGTGTATGTATAAAAAAAATTGTAAGTTTTCTCAAGAAAAGGAAAAGGTTACCCGCCATTTTTTATTTACATATTGAATATAAACACGAAAAAAGGCGGGAATACTAAATTTGGCTTTTCATGGTCATTAGAAGAGTATCATATGAAGAAAGAACATTTCTATCTAATGTACACAAAGAAGCTAGATCTTTTTAGCTTTCAAACAATGAAACAAGTCTTAAGATGGTCAAATATATACATCCCCAACATGTAGATACTCCTACATACGAGACCCTCTATTATGTATTGCACGGAGAAATTTTGTCTATATTTGCCGTTTTTCAAAATAAAACAGAGTCAATTGAGAAAATGGATTATTTGCCATTAAAGACGTACAATATTTCTGAAAGTAAATAATCGCCTTCATGCGGGCTCGTTTCGTATCTCCTCAACAACAGCTCCGTATACGTTGAGAGACAGACGTTTCAGTAGTGGTGTTTACTTAATAAGAATTTCCACTATTAAAATACAATTATCCCGCAGACTACCTACGATCATTGATCAATTCGTAATAATCGTTTGTACATACATCTATCTGAAAGCATCAACGTTTTGCTAGTCTTTAATAAGAAAGTTACTAACTTTCCCTGCTCATTTTAGCCTAAGATATCAGTCGCGTTGTTAACTACAATTACGAGCATCAACCAATAATAGTGACATATTGTTGTAGATGATTACTACTAATAAGCTCTTGCATGGCACTTAAATGGCATGGGTAGTATAGCTCAAATAAATTCACAACAACTAGCTCCTAAGAGCCTGCATTATGAGTTAAAAGTGGAGTTTAACTTATCCTTTGCTGTTTTCAAAGCTCTTTATCATCAAAACTAGCCTCCTTCGTCACTGAAAAGCGATGAAATAACCACCAATATTCTTTACTGTTATGAATCATTGTAAGCAGCCATTAAACAGTCCTCCACTTAAATTTTATCAATACCGGCAAATCCACGATTTTGTATTCAGTACGACACGCTCTTCACATCAGAGGTTAAAGCATATTTTCAATCGTTAGAATGAGAAGTAAGTACAGATCGAACACCTTCCTATCGCCTACCACCGCATCCATAATGATATAGCAAAAAAGCAAAATAGAACTTGAGCAAACGAATCGAAAGGCATACAGCAAGGAAGGAATATATCTTTTTAGAAAGAGTAACTAACCTAGCCAAGAATAAGCCAACCATTTCCCTCATCAAAACCTTCACTGGGAAGACTTTGTGAAGCGTACATCAACATATTCTCGGAGTAAGAAGAATATTGACCACCATGTAAAATCGAAAAACCTTTTGGTTCAAATTTTCGACGAAGACTGTGCGTTGCCACAATTGAACTGCTCTTGTTTAATACACTATATAAGGTTTGATTAAATGGCTAAATATTTAGTCAAAATCATTTAAACAGCAATAGCATCTTTAAGCTAAATGGTAGTAGCCCAGTACAGCAAGAGTTTTAAGCAGCTCATGGTTCGATTTTGACGAGTATGCCTTTTTGCAAATCAACATTGATTATTAAGTACAGCATTTACAAAGGAAGCTGACTATTCAAATAATTCTTATCATTAAAGCAGGTTTTAACTATATATTATCTCACTTGCCTCTTAAGACTGCGACATGACATCCAAATATATGTTCAATTTTGCTGATGTCGTAAGAGTTATGTGAATGTAATTCTTTAGTAAGGTGTGGTAACTACCAGCTGTAAAACCTTCTGGCTCATATTGGAGCAAAACGGGCGTTTGCTCTTATATCAAACCAGAGTCATATCAATATAACTTCCCTTTCAGCAGTTGGTAATCATACTGTGCGGCATTATCAACCTCTGATTTAAATACATAATTTCTTTTCAGAACTGAAAATTCCATCATTGCCTACCCTTCAGTTTAGAAGTATCTACTTTGTAAGTAAAAGAGCCATTACGCAACGGTTGTTGACACTGCATTGAATATCATAATAGGTTGCTTTTGGATTGGCAAGGATTGACCTATGTTTACGATTGATCAATAGCCTGAGAGCGTTGTTATTCAAAGCCTTGATTCCATTGTTATTATATCAAGTTGAAGATATGGGCGCATCACAATCATTGAGGGTAATCATGAGTTTTCCAACCCAGCTGTAATACCCTTCGATACTTCTGTGTTAGTCAATATAGGTAGTCAGGGCTCATCCTCATGCTAGTTCAATTCTTCATGTTTCAGCTAACTTAAACTGTGGACAGTATCAAAAGAATCAGATTCTGGTAAATAAACCTGCATATTTTTAACGCAAATCACTGTATATAATTGTTATTATCTAAATATGGCTCTATCGTACATTTAAAACCCGGATTAAACCGATTGAACCTGTGAACAATAAATAAACAATAATTTTATTTTCGAAATACATAAACGGTCCATTTTGAAACTATTACATGGCATCAACTAAAATACGACAAGGCTTTGCAGCTGTATATTGTCATACTCTAATATAATGTATTTTCCTGAAGGAGATATTTTGTGACATAGATGACAAAGAGCTTAACGAAAAAGCAATAGAATGAAAGAATGAAACAACTTAATAGTCTATCGTAATACCAAGAAGTTGCAAATTTTGGCTCAAAACGCCTCCAGAATTTACTGAAAAATCTAGAAGCTGAAACAGACGACTGATTTTTGATTTCTAGAACTGCAAAACAAAAAGCTTACAATAAAGAAAAATCTTTATTAAGAGGTAGAATATCCAATAACAATTTAATAACGTGCATTTGAAGATCCTGACAATTTTGAGATTGTAAACACCCCCAAAATAACAACTCCCAAGAACGTAATTGCAGCAGGTAACACCATATCTTGTGGTATGGGCAAATTGTAGTCTGTTACGGAATCTTTCGCTTTTATCGCTACAGTTTTCACTTTTTTCTTTTTCGGCAATACCGTTTCCTCTTCTTTTACTTCTTCTAGGTCCGTTGCCTCTGTGATTTTGTTCAAACCACTACAGCCATTTATGTTTGGTATTGATGATGTTACAACTTCCTCGGAAGATTCTAGACATATATCATGACCTTGTGTCGTAGGTTGACTCGGCGGAATATTTTTCAAAGCTTGACTGGAATCCATCAAGTCTTCAAATTGTCGCTGTTGTTGTTGCTGCTTTTCCTTTTTGCGTTGTTGCTCTGCCACTGCTTCGGCCAATGAATCATGCACAAATAGACGAACACGATCCATACCTGACTTCTTCGCTATTTTTACAGCATCAATTAAATCTGAATCGCATATCATCAATACTTGGTCGTCTTCATCGTCCAAATACGACACAGTTAACCAGTCCTCATCTTGCTGCTTCGTATACTGTTGTTGTAGGTTACCGTCTCCACGGGTAACAGCTACGTAAGATTGAGAAATGGATAGATGCTCTACCATAATTTTTTGCTGTATCACGTCTAACAAGCCTTGAAAATGATGAATATCATGACGGAAACGATATGTCTTATCACCGTAAGTGAATTTGAAAGAAAAAGTGCTGTTATCCGTATTGGATGAGACAGTGGAGTGAGTATCTTCTTTGTTCGTATGAACAGCGGAAGCAGAGTCACTTGGAAGAATTTCAGGATACTGGCCCAGACTTGTAAAGGCAGACGTTGTGTTGCCAGGTAAAGGTGACGCTGCCATACGGTTCGGTGACGCCGTATTAATATGTGCTTGCCCATGCTGATGCTGCTGATGTTCTAATTGTGGAGAAGATGAAGTTGAAGGCTGGAACATATGAGAATTAGCCGCTTGTGATAGAGAATCTGATATAACCGAGTCGGTTTCTGTATGATCTCCTGCTGCCGCAATACTATTCCAAAATTTACCGCCTCCATCACCTTGATTACCTTCAATGCTATTTATCTATGTCTGTATATGAGTCTTAAACCATTCGTCTTTATTTTGCTATTCCGTCACTGAATCAATTACCTGTTCCAAAGTAGCATACGTTAATCGGAGGACGTCGATTAGTCCCACTATGTTTTTTTGATCATCCAGCACCGGTAAATTTAAATAATGCCCATCTGTGGCAAAGAAAACGAGGTGCTTTGCTGTTAAGTAGGAAGAAGTATATCAAGCTAATCTATTAATCATTCATGTTACCGTTTCCTTTACCATGCATTTTCTTTAAAGCATCCAATATACTCGTCGATGGTAATGCTGTATCAGGATGAGGAGTCATTACCCGGACAACTGAGCATGTTTCTGGGGCCAAACCAGCAGCAATCACACGTAAAACTATATCCTTTGACTTTAAATTTTTACATAAGACAAATGAATTCCTTCTCTTTTTGTGAACAATGCGTGTTACAACAATATGAGTTACCGTGAAAATACCAGCTAACCCTCCATGATCCATAACTAAAACTGCTGTCGTGTGAAATTCTTTCATTAACTTGGCTACTTCACGTACATTCGTCTTCACTGCTACTTGAACAGGCTCCGTATGTTCTAGTACTGTTGTCAGATCAGGGCAAGACATTTTATCCCGTAGTGCCTCCATATATTGTACTAATTGAACAGGACTATTGGCCCATTCGCGTTCTACACCTTCTAAAGCATCATATAATTTACGGGAGGAACCGTAAGCTTTTTCCATTTTATGTAAAGCCTCATATATACATTTTGTAATATCTAATAAACCGAAAATATCTCCTTCTTCATTGCATACAGGCTAAAATAAGTAATAAATAGGATAAATAACTGTACGAATATTACGCATATACAAACATATACATATATATTATTATGTACATCTTTTTTATTTTACTTATTTTTCTGTTTATTTTATAATTACCAAATGACGGAAACCACGAGACACCATTAAGTTTAGAGCATCTTGAGCAGATGTATCAGCTGTTACACATATTGGGTTTTTGGTCATGATGTCTGCGACTGTGATTGACCTTTTAGTTTTATCCAGTAAAACTGAGTCCTTTCCTCTCTGAAAATCTTCAAAAAAATAAAATAATGTAATTTGTTTTTGATGGTACCTTGCATCCAAATTATCTGCTACTACTCGATAAGCGAGATCTTTTGCCGTAAAGATACCACTCAAATGTTCTTCATCATCTACGACAAGAACACAATCGCTTCTTTTTGCAGCCATAAGTTGAGCGGCTGCAATCACTAATATGTTCTCTCTCACTGTCAATGCTTGAGCCGGGCGTAAAGCTGATACTGTTCCTGCAATCTTTTTGTTCGGCTGTCGAATACGAGTAGAGCTTCCTCTTTTTTTCATCAATTCCTGTTCAATTTTTTTTCGAATAGCCTACGTACCGATTTATACAAATAATTCAGGTGAGTTTGAGGTATAGAATGATTATGTTATTATTGCCTCAACTCTATGTGTACCTCATCCTTTTTACTTTGTCGTTGCCTGCTTGAAACAGAAAGCATATCGGAAGAATCAATAGATGGCGAAGAAACTGTAGCTGAGCTTAGCGCACTTGACGGCCTATTTACTTTATATTTGTTATTGTTGGGCGATGATAAAGTAGACATATGAGAGAAGGATGTGAAAAAACTGGAAAAAAAGCAAAGAAAGGTGTACAATCATACGCAGATTTTTAAGTTATCCTGCCCCTTTTTTTTTGGGCACATACTTTTATTTGTCTTGCCCCGCAAAAAGCAAAAATGTTTTGCCATTGGATGAATTAAAATGAGCTTTCATAAAATTTCCACTATAAAGCATTGATATCACGGAAAACGAGCACTATATGAATTCCAAAGGTAGCCCTGATCAAGAGTTGAGGAAAAACCCATCAGAGTTCATACTGTTGTTGTTCGACAAACACTTAAAATGAAGTAGCAGCAGCAAGTCCGTTCCGTTAGCATTCCTAGCTTCACACTGACCATGCGTTCGCTCCATCGTTTATAACTGTTTCACATGACCGACAAAAAAAAAAGAAAAAAAAAAGAGCCTTTTCATCAACTACCAAAAAAAAACGTTCGTGTTATACATTTTTCTCTTTTATTAGCAATAATATAGATAATGGGTACATTGCAAGGATAATAAAAAGCTTTACAAAATTCAAAAAGCAAAGGAAAGGATTGCATCTATCAGAATATACGAAATATTATCTTTAAGCAGCATCTTCCCAATCACGGTGAACTCGTTTTCTCCCACTATTAGCAGATGGGCTAGCAGTGTTAGTTTCATCCATAGTTTCTACTGAACCTTGCTGCTGATGTTGCTGCTGTTGACGAGGTTGATGTTGAAAAGGCGACGAAGGAAATCCAGGCAAACCAGCCCCATTGTATAACAAAGCACTCATAGTAGCCGGATCCATATTCATCGTACCAAAGAAGGCTGTTGGATCAAAAGCTGTTGCTGTAGCTGCTGCTGTAGAAGATGTATTGCTATTAGCTGAAAAGCCTTGCGGTGTAGCAGCAGCAAAAATATCTGCATTGTTCAAAAAGTTCGGGTATGTGGTGTTGTTATTAGGATTATTTTGTTGCGAAACCGTTTGTTGCTGTTGCTGCTGCTGAGGAGTAGGAGTAGGGGCGGTAGTAGTAGTAGCGGTGGCAGCAGTTGCCGGTGATGGAATAGGTGTTGACATAGATGGGTTAAAATTGGATGTAAAAGATGAGTAGGCGTTGTTACCATTAGGATTGTTCATATTAGGGTTAGCAGTAGTAGGGTTGAACATATTGAACATTCTACCATTATTTGATGCTACTGCTGCTGCTGCTATATTATTGGAATTCATATTACTCAAGTCAAATCCCATATTTCTCAAAAGCAATTGGTTCATATCCTCGCCCTGACCAGGCAAATTAAATCCCATCAAACTTGTTGGATCGTTCACGAACATACCGCTTGTATCCATCATTATGTTAGTTGTAGCATTGGGATTACCATATAAGTTATTGTTATTATGCTGACCTTGCTGCTGATTCTGGGTTATTTGAGGTTGTGCTTGTAATTGAGGAATGTTCTTCGTTAATGTTGGCTGACCTGCAGCGGATATGGTCTGTGGTAGTTGTGGTGGAGCTTGTGATAGCGCTGGATGATGTTGCTGGTGCTGCTTTTGTTGTTGGTGGGGAAACATAGCTTGCGATAACTGAGAAGGTACCTGCATTGGATTAGTAGAAGCTGAATGTTGTGATTGAGGTGAGTTCAACATAGTCTGCGGTGAATGAATAGAAGGAGATAATGAGTTCGTATAAGCTTGACGTTGTTGTAATTGTTGTTGCTGAGATGTGAGATGTTGCTGTTGAGATTGTTGTTGTTGTGCTTGAGGCGTCGTAGGCGCATTCAAAACTTGTGCTTGTTGTTGCTGTTGACGCATCATATGCTGTTGTTGTTGTTGTTGTTGAGTCTCAAATATAGCAGGATGGAAGACAGACGAAATCGACTGTTGGTTGACGGAATCTTCATCGACAGATGGCAAGTCATTGAGATTGGAAGAGAGATTGTTCTTCTTCAAGAAGCCTTCAATACTTTCGATAATTTCGCATACTCTCACCATATACATTAGTGGTGATTCTTTCAAAACATTTGCTGTAATGATCAAGTTACGCTGTGCAAGGCAAGACACTTCCTTTTCTGACGATAAGGCATTAACTTGATGAATGGTAACGCTAGCAATGATACCATCCATAGCATAAAAGAACTGACACCAGTGAAGGTTGGCTGCATATAAGCTCAGCATACGCGTAATGAGATTGGCTGATTTCGTACAAATGTTGAGCGATAGTAAAGCAACAGGTGTAGCTGTTTGTTCAGGCTTAGGCAAGAAAAACTTGTGTAGCATAATCCAGGTTGTTTGATATTCAATATTCAATATCAAACATGCTTCGTCTTTGAAGGAGCCCGTTTTCTGGAAGTTGGTTGCGTGATCATCAAAGTGTAATTCAGGAGGCAATTCACTAAGCCAATTTGTCAGAGCATTCTCTAGTCGTGAAATGGCTGACAAAAGTGACTGACCAGATTGTTCAGACGGCAAATGCTTAGTAATATCTTTTCGAATACGCATGAGTTTGATGGAATATACTGTAAACTGAATACGATAGCCTGTTTCATCATCTTCATGTTCTAAGCGTACAGGATAATCTAAATCACAATCCTTGTCATCAACCATAGTTGGGCGGTTGGACTCTAGGGCAGCACACAAGTCGAGCCAATAAGCAGACCACCATAGGCGCTTGTTCGTTTCACGTTGTTTCAAATCCGCCGACATGTGTTCTTTTTTGTGGAACTTAAGATCCTGTGCCATACGAATAGCCAAGCCAATATAAAGATAGGCAAGACTGGAACGTTCACTACTCAGTTGATACATGTAAAGGTTTAGCAAGGCATGTATTGTCGTGGGACTACTGATATCAAAGCATTTTTTTAACAATTGACGAGCGTTTTTAAAATAGACTTCACCCATTGTGGTTGAATTACCACCGCCGATGTTATGATAAATACAGCCATGTTTGGATACCCACGCGTTTATAGAGTTGAGCAAAAGTGGATCTAATCCCTCATCCGACATATATTGTTGCATAAATTGATCTTTATCAACGATTTGGTATGCTAAAAAGCAGTTATGATAGCACGTATGCATCAAATTGGTGAGAACTTCTTTAGGTAACACATCGTCTGCAGCTTTTTTTTCTTGTAAAATCTTTCTTGCTTCAACATCATCAACTTCCCATAAACGTCCGCCGCCTTTATCGTTGTTGCTGGCTTCTAGCATATTGGTATCTAAATAACCAACATTGCCACCTGCTGCTCCTGCTCCACGTCGGCCATTGTTTCCGCTTGCTAATCCATTATTTCCAGTACCATTGAGAAATGGTTTAGATAAAGTATGCTTATGTCGTGATGTTCCTGATAAGTTATTATTTGATGCTAAGGTTTCGTCAGGACTGAACAAACTAGTTGTGGCGTCGTTATTAATGTTTAATTGGCTGATACCGTTCAATAAAATACGATATAAATCTGCGACACTAGCAATATTAGTATCAATTCTTAGGCCAGAAGGTGAGAGTGACAATTTCCATGTAACTGACTGTTCATTGGTAGGGGCAACACCACCACATCCGGCACCTGCTGTTGTAGCTAACGTCATGTTACTATTGCTATTACTATGCATTCCTGACGTATCCATATACCCTTCCTCTAATGGTGACCCTATTGTTCCTAGTGTATTGGCCGAAGTGCTAGTGGACGCAAATGGGTGTAAATTGTTCTTCATCATTGCAAGTTCTGATTGCATTTTTTGCATTCTCTCTTTTAGTTCCTCTACATGATTGCCAAGCTGGTCAAATGCATGACCATCAACTCGTCGTGGAGGCGTGGCATAACTACAAGGTAAACCTGCAATGGCACAGCGACCACAAGTCGGTTGGACGAAATCACACTTGACTTTCTTTTTACGACAACGAATACACTATTGATTTAAGAAAAGAGAAAGAAACGATTTAACAGGTGTTAGAAATAGATGAATTGCTAAGTTGTAATGAATAGTCAACTTCGATCCTTTTCTCCCTTCACATACAAAAATTTGTATTGTGTGGCTTTCCTTGAATGATATTTTCCCACAACGAGAGGGATACTCAAGGTTACAAAGAAAAGAGGACAGTTATCAACTAGAGCTCTTGGAGACACTTACAGCTAAACTTGATCTTGGTCTTTTTGGTCTACTTTGTTCAGGTTGCTTTTGTTGTGGTGGTGATCCATTATCATTAGTTTCGGGCACGAATACAGACATATTACTTCTGATTTTCTAAGTTTGCCTTTTTATATTATTTTCGTATAACTTTGGGATGTTATACACAGCAGTCAATTGGAGAACTTATGACTATCTAAAGCAACTAAATAAAGAAAAAGAGAGATGGAAAGAACTGTTGTAAACTGATAGTCAAAGTTGTAGAAAATTTGAACTTTTTTTGTATAAGGGAAGAAAAAAAAAAGAACTTTAATTTATATGCCAGTTATCACAGGAGAAAACGGTTGCAAATTTTCACTCATATTTAACCGAGAATATCTATTTGGAATCCGCCAGTGTGATGCTTTAAGAGCTTGTTTCTCCCAAATCTAGCTTAGTTAATACCTTTTGATTTGAGCTTGAGTTTGCACTAAGCTTTGGGAATAGCTTAGGACTGATGGGAATGATTGGGCTCATAGGCTCTTTCACTATTTCACCACTAGCACCTACTGCTGGCAGTTGAACGGTAGCATTCAATTTTCGGATAGAAGGAGCCTTCTTAATTTTAGGTCTGTGCGTATCTACTGCATCGATATCAACTAGAAAAATAGTGCAGATTGTAAATGATCCAATCAAATCTGGTGCTTCTATTATAGGACTTACCTTTGAATCTTTTTTCTTCACAACCATAGGCTTTCGGTGTCAATTCAATGACAGTATGGAGTGGAATCTTTATGTAAGGAAGGTCTTCGTGACTGTAGTTCATGAAATAAGCATAGATACATCGCAAGATAGCTTGGTGGCCGATAATTAGAATGTTTTTATGTCTTTCCAATTCCATTATTACAGGCTCTAATCTAAGTACAATATCAGCATAAGACTGGTTGAACCGTCGATAAATTGATGAGCGAACTAGATTGATTTTGAATACTGTTTAAGAAGCTATCAAAACTTACTTCACCGCCTCTATACCTATAATTAAATTTGTCTTCATCGCGGTTTGCATAATCCTCAGGATATTTTTGCTGATGCAAACAATATGACTTAGTTGAGAACACTATAACCAAATGCCTAATGCTTTAACATACCTCTATTTCCTCATAGGTCATGCCGTCACATACACCGGCATCTAACTCATCTAATGCCTTCCACTGTAATTTTGGATAATGTAGTTGCTCCCCAGTTTCAATCGTTCTTTTCATGGTGGACGTCCAAACTGTCAAATCCTGCTCTTCCAAATTTGTTTTGATCAGTTCTGGTAGTTTACTCGCATATAGTCTTCCTCTCTCTGACAGATTGGAATCACCACCGATTTTGCCTAAAAGATTATATTGTGATTCGCCGTGCTACGTATGCAATACATAAGTTTGTAAATATTTTTGGATAGAATCAGACATTTGAAAAAATCGGCTTGTACATACTCTACTGAAGTATATTTTTCTTGGTGCAATATGGAGATTCATCAGGTAATAAACAATTCTTGATTCCAAATAGCCCTGAATATGATTTATGATGTTCTGACTACCAACATTGATCAATTTAATATAAGTGAGATCATCTTCGGTTATTGTTTCATACTGTTCTTTATAATGATCGATACGCGCTCTAAAATCGATGGCTGCATCATCGGGATCCATTTTGACATAATCAGGGGACGATAATTTGACGTCCCTAATATTGGCCAAAATCAATTCTTCATCTTGGCATATTGATTCGATGAATAGAATATGTATGTCTTCTTTTTTCAACTGCTGGACTAACCATCTGCGCCTTGCTTTTGTGCTGTTGGTAGCATCATAAATAGCTACTATGCCCTGTTCACTATCGAACCATTGAATCATGTCCTTTAACGCAGCGGCCGCTGCTTCTCTTCGTTGTTCCTCACCGACAGTATTGTGGGGATCGAAAAAAGTATGCGGTAGACTGGCACCGTGAAGTTGTCGACGATAATTACCTACATTAAAGACCTTGGTCTTGATTCCCAACCAGGTAAGATATCGGCACACTGAAAAGGAAAGCAAGGTTTTTCTTTCTGTTTCAGATCAAAAATAAAGGAACAGAAACTGTGCTTCCTTTTCTATTTCCTACCTTTTTGTGAGATATAGGTTTTGCCTCTGGCAGGCAAACCAACCATCTAAAAGGATTTGCAATAAAATCCATTGAGTTCTTAGATTTTTACAAACAATATCCTTTGTTGTTGTTAAACTAGACATTTACAACACAAGCAATTTTAAGATCTATTAATCGTTCGAAATGCAGGTAATCAGTTTATAACGGCAACAAGATCAGCAGGCACAAGTTTAATGTGATATTTACTTGGAGTCATAATATTTCAGAATTGAGACTGTTATAGATGTAGAGTGCTGTTATAAAGACAAGACAAAAAGAGGAAACCCTAAAAGCTAACTTTTCAGGTTTAAGAGTTTCCAATTACTGTATTTTAACCTCAAGTTAGACAGACAAAAGTTGGAAAACTAATCGGGTGAGAAGAATGAAACTCGCTAACTCACACATGCCGGAGCCTGTGTTACAATTGCTGACAATTATATGAGGTGGAATACCGAATTCCTTATTCTAAGCAACTATCTCGGAAAGCCAGCTTCTTTTCTTAGTTTACGCGGAGTAAGAGTGCTTGTATTTAAGGATTCCTATTGATGGTTTTCTAAAGATGATTAGCCTGAATCACCTAATACATTAATCAAATGGTAAGGATAATGGATTGACAGTTGACCATAAAAAGGAGTATGTCTTTCTTATCAATCTGTTTGCGCATATTCATATTGTTTTTCGACAAAATTCACAGTCTGCTATACTGCTGTTCCTTATGTAAGTTTTAGTTTTTTGTTCTTAGGTTCTTTTTTCTCTTTTTCCTTGAGGGATCTTCTTTAGAAACCTCTTGCCTTCGTTAGCGATGATTGGTCCCACTTTTGAAGATATAACGGAGCCCAGAAACAGTCGATGACGCTAATTTTGGGAGTTATTTTTTTTTTTTAAGAATTTAGCATTGAACCTTTCCTTTGAATAACTGAATGATTATTGAAGCCTGTAGCGACGAAATGGTGTAGCTCGTCTAAAAAAAATGCCAGGTGTCTTCATTGAATAACCATATCTTTTAGAAGTTGCAAAGTCTTGATAGCATCACTTTCTAACAATTACCTTGTCTATTGTTTAAGATGAAGACGCCGCTTTAAACCATATGCTTCTATGTATGCCTGGTGTAGCAGTGTTTGAACCTTCAATTTTCATTATCAATGCCGTCCCAGCTTAGAAACGGGTAAAAGGGCCCTCGTTAAATGGTATGAGTGAAAAATGTATGTTAGATAACGATTTCTCAGAATCACCTTTGCGCTCTTTAGGTTTGATACCTAAAGTCAAAGCGCAGTTGTTCGCATTTCACCACTTTCTCAGCCTACAAGCGCGAATACGCAACTTACACATTTGTCACAAGTCTCCTCGTCACTTAAACCTCTTGGATCAAATTACGGTAGTGAAGCGTTGAATTTTCTCATGTCTGTATATGCTTTTCCCCTTAATCTCGTCGCTCCAATTCAAAATGCAGTTGGCTTGCCCGTGTATGAGTGTAGTGCGTGCTATATACGAATCATTATGAATGACTAAAGGTGAGTTTACGGAAACCCTAGTGTTACTGTGAGAGACAAAAATAATCCAGCCAGATGATGCTCAGACATTCTTTCTGACCATTCAACGAATACTGTTTCTGCCTGCCAATCTTTGCTTTGTTTCAATTTGCGTGGCTTGTTTTGACCCCTTCCCTTCTATGGTTAATTCATCTTTTCCGTTTGAATACAAAAACCTGTTTATCAATACTTTTTTTCCGTACTGCCAAGTAGCATTTGCTACCTTATTACTACATATTCTTAGCCAGTATATGTATGAAACTGTTCTTACCATGCTGGAACTTACGTGATGGACGTGAGTTAAGTTTCATACTTGAGAAGTATAATTCTTCTGCAATAAGTTTGGAAGAAGTCTCGTTGCATTCTTTTTTTAACGCCTCTCATCAAAATATTCCAAGCTTTTCAAACAGTTGGCAACGAGTAAATCCATTATTAATGAAAGAAGAAAGGTTTTGGATGTGCAATTTCATCATCAATTTCATAGAAATATAAGCATCAAAAGAAGATTATAAGTTATTCACAAACGTTTATAATGCATGGATGCGCTTTTTTTTTTTTCTTTTTTTCTACTTAAAAAAAAAAAGCATCTTCGGATATCCTCAATATTTCGACTGCAATGATAACAAAGAGGACATTGATTCACTTGGAACGATACAGAAATCGTTATTAATAACTACAATATAGGCCTGATTTATTTCACTTTCGAAAACTTCAACAGATTAAAGTATATGTATTCTCAAACTGCAGAGGTCTATGCTTTATCAAAATTTTCAAGTGAAAAGCATACATTGTTTCCTTCAGGTGGTATTTGGTATGCCTTGGAAAACTGCGATGCTTGTAGGCCTGAGTTGTAATGATGTGAAGCTTTATAAGATACCTTAGGCTTAGTGGGATCACGCAGGCGCACAATATGTTCCAAAAAGTAACTAAAGGTTTAAAAGAGGTGGTATGGTGACAAATTAAACCCAGTCTAATCCTTTAGATAAGATCCATTTGATGTTATAAATAGCTCCATATTGTGGCGGTTAATCTTCAACGCGATGCATGCGTTTAAACTTTTATTCGGGTGAATATTAACCATTTTTCCGGAAAAACGTTCCGCGAGAAAAATACTTCAAACTCTCAATTAACAAAAACAATTTTGTTACTTGCATACCTCTAACACGTTTGAAGAAGCCAGTAGTTTAGAAGATAGAATTAGCAATATCACTACCAACTGATATGATAAAATAATTAGACGTTAGCATCTACAATTCTGTAGCTTGATTGTTATAGATGGCTATCTGAAAACTTACTGGTAGCACCAAAACCCCATGTGGCAGCGTTAGCTACATTTCCGGCAAGCTTTTTACCAAAGCTAGAGACTTTGTTTTCTTCATGCTGTTCAGTAGCAACTGCAGGAGCAGAAGAAGGACCGCTAGCCATGACATGCTGTACTGGAGGAGGAGCGTAGGTCATCTGTTGTTGAGGTGGAGGAGGAGCGTAGGACATTTGTTGTTGAGGTGGAGGAGGGGCATAGGTAGAAAATTGAGCAGATGGAGGAGGAGCAGCATAGGGTGGCGACTGAGCTGGAGGAGGGTAAGGACTGTGATATTGGTTAGATGGTGGCGATGGGTAATTTCCTTTGCTATTATTTCGAGCAGGAGTGGGTGGTGGAGCTGGAGACTTCTTTTCCGAAGAATGGCCCTCTATGCGTTTGACATAATTACGGGGAAATATGCCCGTTCTGCCGTATAAGGTACCCTTCCACCAATCATCATTAACCATCTCCTGCAGCTGAATAATATCACCACGACAAAAGGTTAGGTCAGTATTGGGATCAGATCCTTTGTAGTCGTATAGAGCTTCAACGCTGCCAAGCTCTTTGGCTGCTGATTGGTAAGAAGGAGGAGCAGTATCGCCACCGTCTTTGGTATCAGAAGAAGGCACCGGCATTACGCCTGCAGAAGTATTATTTCTCGGGTAAGGTGAAGAAGATGGCATGCCGTTAGCCTTACTGTCAACACCATTGGGTAACAATTTCAAGATATCATTGTATGATTGAGGTTGTATATAATTGTATCTTTTAAGGAGGTCCAGTTCAGCCCGAATATTTTTAAGAATATGCTCAGCAAATGCGGCTTGTTCCATGTCGATAAGAAGTTTAGGTTCAATGAAAAAAGGAGAAGAAGAAAGGAACAGTTATAGTGTCTCTAAATAAACCAAATATATAAATGCTCCGATTTAGGCCAAGAGAACGAAACTAAATGGCATGTTTCAGAAAATCGAACTTTAGTGATCACTACAGGTCGATTGACCGTTTAAAAAATATCAAAAATTGTTGACACCAATAAACTCATATGGTGTGCTAGGGCATAATATAATTACTTTGACTATGAAAATAACAGTATATTAGAATAATTGACACTCTTTCTCGCTTACAATCTGTGCCTGTTCTGAGAAGAATCACTCGCGCAATGGCATGAAGGAAATCCATCTCCGCAAGAAAATTTTTTTGAGAAGCAAAGAATAACATTGTTCTTTTCATACACTCGTCAAAATTACTTTGTTCGTTTCTTTGATCTTGCACGTTTATCGAATCTGATCGTTCGGTATACGCTTAAAACATGAAAATGGATGATGATTTTGTTATGACAATTGAAGATGACGATGATGTCGTTGTACAAGATACGATCGAAGAAGAACTAGAAGATGATCAACAAAAGACTGTTGCAGATCTGAAAGGATCTGAAAAGCAATCAAAGAAGGAAAAAGGCAATAAGAAGCCCAAAAAGCAACAACAGAAGGAAGTTGAGTTTGATTCAAGTTTTACCTTCTCTATGGATGGTGGAGGTAGATTTAATCAAAATAACACATGGGATTTTACAGCTGCTCGTGGTATGTTGAAAGCGAAACAGGTGAGGCTCCAGCACTTAATGAAAAATATTATAGATTATACATGATATTGAACCTATAAATGGGAATTTTACTAGGCTGACGCGGTACCTCGAACAAATATTGATGATCTAATTGCAAAGAAAAGAGTGGAAACTGAAGAGAAGAAAAAAGATAAAAACCGAAAGAAAGATATAGAAGCCGGAAAAGAAGCGTCAGTAGCGAATGATGATGAAAATGAAATCATTGCCGCATCGGATGACGATGATGATGATGAGTTAGCCTTTGATGGATTTGGTGGTGGAGCCGAGAGAGTTGAGGATGATGAAGACACAGAGGATACTGAAAGTGATAGCGAAGAGGACTCCAGCGATGAGGAAGATGTAGAAAATATGGACCATGATACTGAAGAAGAGGAAGAGGAAAGTGAAACTGAAATCAAGGTAAAGTATAGATATTGTCATTACATCCAAGGGCGTCACAGCTTTTTAATACTTTACTTTCTATAGCGTAAAAAAGAATACTTTGCTGATGAATCAGAGAATACAACACAAGAACACGAATCTTTCACGTCGATGAATCTTTCTCGTCCCATTTTGAAAGGTCTTTCCAACGTTGGTTTTGTAAAGCCGACCGAAATTCAATCCCGTACAATTCCTGTAGCTTTGATGGGTAAAGATATCTGTGGTGGCGCTGTCACAGGTTCCGGTAAAACAGCCGCTTTTGTCATTCCCATCTTAGAACGTCTCTTATATCGTCCTCGACAAACTCCTACGACTCGTGTGCTGATTCTTTGCCCCACTCGTGAATTAGCTGCTCAAGTGCATAGTGTGGCGGTGAAGTTAGCCAACTTTACTGATATAACATTTTGTCTTTGTGTTGGTGGCTTGAGTGTCAAAACACAAGAACAAGAACTAAAGTTGAAACCAGATGTAGTGGTCGCCACGCCAGGTCGTTTGATTGATCATGTTAGAAACTCTGCAGGCTTTCACCTTGATGCTTGTGAAATTCTAGTTATGGATGAGGCAGATCGTATGTTGGAAGATGGTTTTGCTGACGAATTGGATGAAATCATCAAATCATGTCCTCGTTCTAGACAAACTATGCTTTTCTCAGCCACAATGACAGACAACGTAGATAAACTTATTCGAATGTCTCTGAAAAACCCTGTTCGTCTTTTCGTAGACCGTAGCAATCAAGCAGCTTCTCGACTGATTCAAGAATTTGTGCGTATTCGTCAAAACAAAGAAGCAGATAGATCGGCAGTTCTTTTGGCTCTTTGCAAAAAGACATTCAAAAAGAAAGTGATTGTTTTCTTTAGATCGAAAGCCGCCGCTCATCAAATGAAAATTTTGTTCGGGTTATTGGGATTGTCAGCAGCTGAACTACACGGTAATTTAACACAGGAGCAACGTTTAGAAGCATTAGAAAAATTTAGAGACAACGAAGTGGACTTTTTGTTGGCTACCGATCTTGCTGCTAGAGGTTTGGATATCAAAGGTATAGAAACTGTTATCAACTACAACATGCCTACGCAGTTTGCGCAATACCTTCATCGTGTTGGTCGTACAGCAAGAGCTGGCCGTAATGGTCGATCAGTAACGTTAGTCGGTGAGAGTGATCGTAAAATGCTCAAAATGGCCATTAAATCGGCAGCAGCAGGTTCACAGATAAAGCAACGCGCTGTTAATCATGAGGTTGTACAAAGATATAAGACTAGAGTAGAAAAACTAGGCGCACAGATCAAAGAAATTCTTGCTGAAGAGAAGGAAGAAAAGGCTTTACGAAATGCAGAAATGCAATTAAAGAAGAGTGAGAATATGATTTTGCACGGTGATGAAATCTATTCTAGACCTGCTAGAACATGGTTCCAAACTGAAGCAGAAAAGAAGAAAGCGAAGAAGTCTGGAAAACCCGAAGTTCAGGTCGCTGAAGCAACAGCAGAGAAAAATAAGAAGGAAAAGCGTGGTAAATATGATGGTATGAGCCGTAAGAAGAGAAGACGTTTGCAAGCAATGGAAGAAGATGATGACGCAGCTGTCGATATTAAAAAGCAAAAGGTTGCCGCAAGAGCAGTGAAAAAATCTTCACGACCAACGAAAATAAAGAAAATGAGAAACTAATCTCCTATAAGGACATATCAAATAAATTGTAAATAGTTCGATAATATCATTTTCATGTAGACCAGCTACTTATATAAAAGCTTTATATATCTTCAAGACAATTAGCACATGCGATGTCAAACCATTGGTATTCTGTAATTTATTTTTTGTTATTCTTTTCAGGCCCCAATAAAAATGATGGGATGGTCCTATGCATTAAAGTAATTCCTCAACTTGTTTGTGGCATTTTCTGCTAAATCCTTCACAGCTTCTAAATCAAGGGCTGCTTGATCAACGAACTTCTTCGCGACAGCTACAGCTTGGTCCTGTACATTATCCCAATCTCCTAACGTAATCATGTCATTACTGCTACTACCAAAGCCTCTATTGCCATAATCATCATCATAATCCGGTTCTCTGCCGAAATATTGATCTGATGAGATAGACTTTGCATTTGAGAATTGTGAAAGACGACTTGATTCAGCAGCTGAGATGGCAGGATCGTATTCATTTCTACCAAAGAACTGGTCTGATGATATAGCTTTGGCACCTCCAAACTTATCTTGTGCCAATCTACTATCATCTTCTTGCTGTCTCTGGTAACGTTGTTGGGCAGGTCTAGTTCTGCCAGAACTACTACCGTTATCACTATTATTTAGAATAAGGGAGCTCATTCCAAACCCTAATTTCTCCAATTCGTCATCCTTTGTTAACTTTTGCTCCTGGCTTTCATTTCTGCTATTGTCGATAAAGGCTAGTCTTGAGGATAACGGTTTGGACACAAATGAAGAATCCTTCGCTTTGTCAATTGTTGTTATGTTTGATATTGTGTCTGTATCTGCCATTGTAAAATTGCCGTCAGCGGTGTCAACATTCCCAAAATTTTGTTTACTCTCGTCTGCTTGCTTGGCTTGAGCCTCGGCATCTTCAAAGTTAAAATTTATAGGTGCTTTCCTGATACCCAGTTTATTATTCTTGGCGGGCTTTTTACGCAAACCGATAGTTGAGCGTGAAGTTGTTCGGTTGGAAGGAGATAACATCTTGATTGTTGGTGTAGCAGGTTTGCTTTCTGCTTTACTTTTCTCTACCTCTGGAGATTTCGTCATTTCCTTCGTTGATTCTTCCTGTTTTGCTGGAGTATCTTTGCTGTCATTAACCATTGTATCTGTTACTGTGGGCACAGTAGCAGTTGTAGTAGTATTGTTACAACCTTTAATATCAATAACAATAGTGTTTGGGTTCCTTTATTTCAAGAAAAGATTTTAATCAGTTCAATGGTTGATTTGCCATTTTAAATATGCAAAACTTACGCAGCTGCATCTTCTGCTGTTTTTCTGACAAGTTGCTCTTTATATTGCTGTCCCAACCTACTAGAATACTTCAGCCTAGCATCTCTCGTAGTACTACTTCCACCCTTCGCAAAAAATTCGGAAGCAGGTTGATTGCCTCCTACTTTCATCATTCTCAGTTGCTCCCAAGTCCATGAGTCAAGAACTGTAGACCTATACTCAAATATTTTCCTCGGATGAGTTCTCTTTGCTCAGTCTGTGAGGCTTTTTTTGTTTCCTTTTTGACATCTTACCGAACAAAACTAATATGAACGCCTAAATTCCGATGAGCAGACGAGCAGTCAGTACAAATGTATACACCAAAGGATACCGAAGCCCAACTAGGGTTTTTCGCATTACAATCGAAGCATAACTATTGAGAAAGGAATCAAAAAGTCAGTCATAAGTGTAGATCAATACAAATTATTGTCATTCTTATATACTTTATTATATCGATTTTGTTTTAGTTTATGGAAGATGGTTTGAATCTGTTCTTTTGTGGGTTCTGTCATGTTGGGGCAAGGTGAGTGAGAAAGCGACTTTTTTTAATAGCACTACTCGCGTGTTTTTCTGGCGTTTCCTGCTGTTTGAAACACCGATGCTGAAAGGGTTAATGCAACTTCTCCAAAAGTAGAAGTTAATCCAGCTGACAGCATCTTTACGAACTGTCTTCAGAATTGCAACAAAAGAAACCTTCGTCAAACACAACATTCATTCAATGAGAAGCAAATTACGGTTAGTAAATTAGCGTCAAATCTTATAGTTTGTGTTAAGAGCGAATACAAGGAATTATCGAACAAAAAATAGGTAGTATCGTTACTATATTAACAGTTGGTACTGTATTCGCCTAGCTTTTCCACACCCTGTCTGGCCATTTATAGTCCTCATTCATTATCTTTTTGAGGCAGTATTCATTGATGAATTTGCTGATTTCGCTCTTCTTTTTCACCTAAGACATAATAAATCAAACAGATCTTCGTAAAACTCTTTGCTACTGCAGTTGTTATGATGACTTACCAGGAACAGCGGTTTCAAGCATGCCTGAGCGTAGTGCTAGAGCCTAGTTTCAAATTCACCACTATGAAGTTTGAATAAGTAGTAGCCAGTGTCACACAGGCCGCTATCAGTGAATTGCTGTATCCTCTCGTGGAATTTTCTTCAGACTGTGAACAATTGCGAGAAATCTGCTTTTGAAGTTATCAAAGGCGAGTGGGTCCGACATGTTTATGTATTGTACGTTTCTGACCTACTGCCCTAGTATAAAACTTTCAGATGCTGCAACACAAGTTCTACTCGCACAAGTATGGATTGACCGGTCATTGTCTGATAGTCATCAGTAATTCAGTAGTTAACGAATGACTGTGCACCATACACCACTTGACGGATAAAATCTGCTGATTTGATGATGTTTTCTGTAGCAACTTGAGCAAACGCTGGTCTCATCAGTGTGGTTAGAAGCAGCTTCCTGCTGTAGACTTCATAACCATCTTTGAGCAGCTGGCGGAGCAAGTTATCCATCGAGGACTTGTAGTTTAGGCATATTGCTGAAGATGAACTACCATAGCCTGCTCGACAACAACGAGGAACTAACAACATCATATTCTGCTCATTTCTTGTTGTTTTCTAACTTCTTCTGTTCCCCTCTTTGCATTGCGGCCTTTGTTTCGTAATCGTCCTTCCCTCCTATTTTTCTTTTTTTTTTTTTTTTTTTTTTTTTTTTTGCTGTGAAACGGATATGGTAAGAGATCTGTTTACCTCTGATTCGCATAATGATAACACGACTTCATGCGTCGTAAACCTGGCGTTTGTAATTTTATTTTTGTCAATGTGGCCAACTTCCCCATAGTCGTTACAAATTCCTATACTCGTAAAGAATATTGAGTTGTAGTACTCCATAACTGAACACCACATATTGCAGAGATATACCTTTAGTTTCTTTCTCTGAAATATTTACTCGAGATGTCTCTTAGCTTTTGACAGAGGCAAACAACTTTCGAGAGGAAAGATTCTCTTTACAAGTAAAGAAATAAAAAAGTGATCAGATCATAGCTGAAGAAAGACGCTGAACAGTCCATAAGAATACAGAAATACGAATCATTTACATCGGATACAACTGGTTGCGTGGTTATCATGGCAATTTAAGATGAAGGTATGTCATTGATTATTTTAGATAACCAAACGATGATGCTCAAAAGTAAAGGCAGCCAGTAGGGCAGAAAGACACAGAATTTTCTTTAAGTTACTCAGGTAGTTAGTCATCTTTCTGAAGTGCAGAAACACGGAAAAAAACTTTTGCAACAAGATGTGGCCTTAACCATTTGAAAAGATATACCATCATAGCCAACAGATAGAAGCAGATACCATATCTTTTGCCATTGTAGCACCTGCCGTCAATTATTAAAAATACTAGCAATAGAAGCGGATGCAAACCTCCATTTAATCCATCTTATATACCAGTTGCTGATCCTTTAAATGAGCGCTAAGGTTAGAAAGTAACATCAAAGGCATTCCATTAGACAGCAATAATGCTCTGATGCCACATGATAGTAGAAGACTGCAAAACGGTTCCTCTTTGAAAGTGTCGAAACTTTATAAATACGAAGGCGAAAAGCAATCCATTTGTTTCAGAATCCCATTTTTATAATCAAAACTCAGAGCCGTTTTGATGTAGACAAGGTGTAAAATTTACAGGATCGATAAACTGTCATTTTTATCGAATTAGTTGCTACGGCGCATATACCTTTGATTTGATTTCATAAAAGCAAAAAATATGACACACAAACCAGTCTGTTTTTTTGATGTTGACGATACTTTATATGTAAATGGGTTACGTGAAGGATATAAAAAGCTTAATGCTGATGCAATTTTTTCACACACTTTAGAACAAAGATCTCAATGTCTTGTCGTTAATGAGGAAGAAGTAAGGTCAAATTTGATCTTGAAATGACAGGTCATGAAAAAGTGCTAATGTGGTTATTACTTTCTACCCATGTTAGAATTCAAGACTATTTTGTAAACGAATTGGGCATCCCTGCTGATGAAGGTAAAATTCTATGCCTATCAATTTATAGATGAGCAATTAATTTCATGGATATTTCCGTAATAGTTGCACCATTACAGAGGAAATATCAAGCTACATATGGATTATCTCTAAGAGGTGTCCAGATAGATTATAATGTTGACCCGCTTGACTACGGTAAAGAAACATTTCCCTATCCAAAAAAGGCAATTGCTAATAATTATGTTTGTTATCAGATAGAAAAGTAGACCAAGCATTGCCGTTGGACGGTCTAATCAAAAGGGACGACAAACTGATCAAAATGTTGAAGGGCATGAATTGTAAAAAATGGGTTTTTACCAATGCTTTCAAACCTGTAAGACACTTTACAACTGTTTTTATCTTGCATACTAGAACCAACATACTAATTTAAATTTACTATTGAAGCATGCAGTTAGATGCTTGAAGCTACTAGGAGTTGAAAATGAATTTGATGGCTTAACATATACAAACTACTTGGTGCCCAATTTTAATTGCAAGCCAGAACCTGCTGCTTTTCACAGAGCTATGAAAAATGCTGGCGTGACGGATCCCAAGCTTTGTTATCTTGTAGACGATTCAATCAAAAATATAGAAGCTGCACAAAAAATGGGCTGGACTACCGTACACGTTGCTGGCGATGCTTCAACGTCCACACATGGTGACTATCAGATAGATGAAATTCATGATTTACCAAATGTTTTGCCTGAATTATGGGAGCCTCATTCAGAGAAAATGAAGCTTAGAAGGCAGTCCATTGGTGTTACAACTGCTGCATAAACTCACCACTCAATTTTCTAAAGGCATACATTTATCGCTTGAAAGTATAATAAAAGCTAGTTGTGTCGTATCCATTCATTTTGTAGAATTGAACGTCACAGTTCCTATCGCTTTCTGGTTCATTGTAACGGATATATTTGGACACCACTTTTTCCTTTCGGTTTGATTACTGTACCTTAAATGATTCTGGCGAATGAATCAAATAAAGATCAAGATAGTCTATACCTACAGTTCTGAGAGAAGCTTGGACAGCTGGTTTCACATATTCTTTTTGATAGTATTTATTCCAGAAGTATGTGAATATCATTTTGTATTTGTATACTATTCAATGTTCTCTTCACATCCTAAGAAGCGTAGAAATTCACTTTTAAAGTGATGAATACGTGTTCACATGGTATTCCGGAATCACGTATATCTTGGCTCACTTAACCTTCATTACAAAAAGCATAGGCACAATCCAATGTCTACAACCAATTTTTAATGCATGTTCAACAGCATTTCTCACCTCATTCGGCTTTGATAATGAAGTTCCGAGGCCCAATATGGGCATTTTAGGTACCTGTTTCAAGTTCTATATTTCGGTTTTGTTGGTGTATAAAGAAAAAGTGAACACTGGTTTACAATGTCCATTCTTTATCTATTTGTAAAGCATCATGATGAAAGTTTACTTCTTCTAACGCCAAGCGACATTGAGTAGGACTGTCTCTGCTTAAACAAAATAAATTGTGTATAGGTCTCAAAAAATAAACGAGAAAGAGAGTGCTGAAGAAAGTTGCCACCCTAAGATGGTCCATGGCACATTTTTGGCCCTTCTTTTATACTGTCATGCATTAAAATTAAAGAAACTGAACTTTCTCTGACTAAAATATTCCTTTTGTCCAAAGAGTATATTCTGGTGAATAAAACGAAAGATGAAGGCAAAAGAGACCAGCTAATGAACTCGAAATGCGTACATTTTAGCCGGATACTGGGGAGCCTCAATTTTTAGATAGAGAGAGATACATGCGAGTAGTAGTACTATTTTGCTGTGGACAGAAAACATCAATCATTCCACCATCTACGCTTCCGGTTGATTGTTACTGAACTGAATATAACAGTTATTATAAGTACGTTGGGTGAGTCAAAGGGAAACTTCGTGTTGCTTAAGCTAGCGCGTGGTTTTGAAGATTCGAGCATTTACCTGTCTCCGCAATCATGCCTTTTTTTATTGGCCAATGCCGTAAATTTAAAGCAGAATTACACTTTCGTATATAATCCACCTTCCATACAGACATAATCGTGTCTTCTTGATCCTATAATATAGTTGCAATTAGATTAGAAAGTACAACCCCCTATTCAACTTTTTTTTCAAGTATCAAGTACAGGTTTAAATGTCTTCTGCTATTCAACGTTTTTTTGGGAAGAAAACCCCTGATGAGCTTGTAACTACATTAGTAGCTAACCATTACTTTTCTTGGACATTGACAATTAACTTCTAAGACTCCTATTCGATATCAATATAAATATAGGTCAAAAAATGGAGACAGGAAATTAGGGCACAACAAAGAGGCATTGATAGACAAATCAGGTCTATTGATACTGAGGAAGCGAAGGTGAAACGGTCTATCAAGCAAGTCGCTAAAAAGGGAGATACCAAAAGCTGCAAGTTGCTTGCAAAAGAATTGATACGCTCACAGAAGCATAAGAACAGATTATATACCAGTAAAGCACAGATGAACTCCATTATTATGCAGTTAGAGCATCAGTTAGGTAACGAGGAAATTGATGTCGTAAAAGGCAAGGGAAAACGGAACTTACGTATAGCCCTTATAATAAACCCTCGATTTAATAGCGACCTTAAAGGTAGCCGGCACTTTACAAAAAAGCAGTGAAGTGATGAAATTAGTAAGCCAGCTTTCGAAATTACCTGAAGTTTCAAAGACAATGCAACAAATGTCAATGGAAATGACTAAAGCGGGACTATTGGAAGAAATGATAGGCGATACCATAGATATGATGGATGATGAGGATATTGAAGAGGCGGCTGATCAGGAAGTTGATAATGTGCTATATCAGATTACGGATGGACTACTAGGAGAGGCAGGCTCTGTTGGGCCTGCAATTGTACCTAACACTGGTGTACCGCAACAAGTAGAAGAGGAAGAAGAAGAAGAAGAAGAACCAGAGCTAGATATGATGCAAAAGCGTTTACAGGTATTGTATACACAGCTATATATATGGTGTGTAGCGCTCATTTGCTCATGTAAACTATTATTCTTAGGCGCTGAAGGGTTAAAGATTATCAATAACGTTTTAATGAAGTTTTTTGTGCTATCTCTCGAATCCTGTTCGAATCTAGAGAATTGTAATTCACAAACATTACCTAACAAGTTTAAATATACACATCAAAGATTATACGTATCTGAATCATGTTCACAACTTATTCTTTAAAGCGGTTGTCAAGGCATTTTTCGCTGTGCCTTGAACATCAGCAACTCACGATTTGAGATTCAAGTTGTAAGCCAATGACATTCCATTTTTATTTTCGTGTCAAAATCAACCCCAGTTGGATTTATTGGAACAGGCTGTTATTACAACCACCTTCCACGATGAGCATGTTGAGAGTTACAACTTGTTTTTCTTATTCGCCAGTCAAAGCTATACTTCACACAAGGAGTTCACTTCCGTGTATTAAGCCTATCTCTGCAATTGTGCTTGCAAACGGTTGGAAGGTTGTCAACAACAATAAAAGATATCACTATACTACGCAAGTCGACAACCTGAATAACAAAAATGCTGATGAAGAACCGGTGACGATTTATACAGGGCCCTTGGCAAATGTCGCTAAGAAGTTGAAGCTCTTCTCCATTACGTCGCTAGGGTTGGGAGTGGGGGCTTCACCTTTTATTTTCGCTGTGGATGTTCCTGTACCTTTTGTTGCTAAAGCAGCTCTCGTCGGAGCAGGTAATGTGCCAAATGATGAGAGAAAGAGTCAATATGAAAAGACCGGATCAACAAACTGACTTGATATATTTTTTTTTAGCTATTGCTACAAGTGCTGCATCTACAGGGCTGATACAATGGGTTATGTCGCCATATGTTACTAAAATTACAGTTTCCTCGAATGAATTATCTGCAACCGAAGATACACTACCGAAAAAATTGAATGTGCATACACTATCTTTCACTGCAAAAGAGATAATAACAACAGTACCTGTTGCTGCTATCCAACCTGCCACTCGTATTTTTACCAGCTGGATGATCAACGATCCTTCAGCAGCCACAGCTCGAATTGGTGACAAGATAGTTAAGCCAAGAACTTTATTATATGTCCATCCAGAAGTATGTGAAGATGAAGAGGCTGGAGTAATCAAGAATGTAGTAAACAAAACCGGGATTGGCAAAGGGTTTTAGTATCCGTGCAGTCAAAAGATAGTAGACCAATTTCAAACAGTATATTTATTTTGTTGTACATAAAAGGGTGTGTTTGTTAAATTCATTATTGAGACAACAAGGAATGTGATTATTATGATGCGATTAAGCGAAATGATTAGGGGTCTGTACATATGACACCGTAAGCTCTGCTTTACAGTTAATTAATTACTATACACATACAGAAATGGAAAAGGTTGATATAATAGCTTTGGTGGTATAAAGTTGTAGTGAGTCATAATATTGGTTTGCGTTAAGAGCCTTAGCGAGACATTAGCCAGGGATGTGCCAGCACACCATGGATATCAATTCTTTTTTCAACATCTCGTTGCAGCATCCTACTCATGAGATCACCAGATCCTGTACATTTATAGAATACGGAAGCGATTAGATTTTTGTAATATTACATCACTTGTTACCAAACTAACCTTTAGAGAGAATATACGGCCACTTTATTGCACGTTCATAATCCATAATTTCATTGATGTCGTAAAAAGGATTTTCACGGTAAATGAGTGTAAAAAGTAGAATGCCTAGCGCCCAAATATCTTGCGGTTTGCCAGCGTAAGTATGCCCATGCAATATTTCTGGAGCAGCATACTCAAGCGTACCTACGCAGCATGCCTCATATTGTTTACCCGGTCTAAGATAAGCTGCGCTCCCAAAATCGATCAATTTCAAGCACTCACCAAACTGATCTAATACTACGTTTTCATCTTTAATGTCTCTATGCACTATATTGCGGTCGTGAAGATGCCGAACTCCCAAAGCTACCTGTCTAAACATTCGCTTGATTTCTCGTTCAGGAATAACTTTGTTGGCTTCAATGAAGTCATACAAATCTATTTGACCATGTAGGCTCATAACGATGTAGTAATGATCGTCATCTTCAAAATAGCCCACTATATAGATGCGCAAGTCAATTAGCTTTAGTGTGTTATACAACAGAGGAGTTCTTGCAAATAAACTTACGCATTTCACCAATATTTTCATGAGGCTGGCTCTTCAAGGTGTTCAATATATGGATTTCGGCAGGAATGGTTGCTCCGAGTTTCCGGTCTCTTATCCAACTATCAACTAAAATAAGCGATTTTACCACATACTTTATTACAACTTTCGTCTAAATAGAGTAGGCATATAAAAAAATAGAATAACTTGAGTAACTCGGGGAGATAAGCCATAATAGGGAACTGTACTTTCTTACTTGTGTAAGATCATTTTTCTTCACTGCTAATTTAACTAAACCGTAAGATCCTTCGCCCAACGTTTCCAATATTTCGTAATCATGGATTGACAAAGGTCTGCTCATCATATTGGACCTCTTTATTGTGTCTGGAACATCGCCACCACCGACACTACCACCAGCAATAGCGGTAGTCCTTATCCCCTTATAGGTGACGATTTCTTCAATTGTACTTGCATTACCACAGTCCTCATCAACAATGTAGTTATCATGTGTTCCATTTATGACCGACGGCGATCTTCTTTCTTGAAGTATATCAAAATCTTTTCTGGGAATTGCTCGTAATTCTTTCTCAACTATCGGTGGTATGACTGTAGTCGAAGGAGAATAGATCAACCTATTTTCTGTAATTACAGTAAATTGTTTCCTTTGCTCCGGAGATGATAATACTGGCGACGGCGGAGGGGACTCTTCTTGTGACATTGAATATTTAGCTTCAAAGTAATGTTTCCTTTTATACACAATTCTTTCTTGAAGACTTTTAAGATTCAATTGTCGTGAATAGTCATAGTTTTCATCTTCATTATCTGAGTATCGTTTCCTTTCCTCATCGTCCAATTGCAGTTGTATTTCAATTGAAGGGCAGGAGCTATCTTTGCTACGTTGGACCGCAAACATAAATGGCAAAGCCTTATTGAGTGGATGAGCGGTATGATCAAGTAGACTGGATTTTTCAATCATCATTTTAGTGTCTTTCTCTGCTCTGTTATGGTTAGAATTATCGTGTGCTGCGTTGTTGTGTGGTAAATTTGTGCAATTGATACAATTGTGTTTATTTTTAAAGGTCAAAATTGTAGGCGCTTTTAACAATGCGAATTTTGAAAAGAAAGTGTGGAATCGAGGTAAAAGCTGCGAAAGATTCTTATTTCCTTTTTCTCCTTCGATATCTTTGTCTTGAGAAAATCCGAACAAATATTTTACAAGTAAATCGTTTTTACAATGTAAAGCAGCAGCAGCAGCAGCGGCAGCAGCAGCAATCGTATTACCAACGGACGTTTCGGTCATAAGACCAAAATCCATTGGTATTAATTTGATCTGAATAAGAGCATTATTTGTTTGCCCATCTTTTTTTCCCTGTTGGTGCTGATGCTGATGTGGATATTGATGTTGCAATAAATTTACGAGGAAAAGAGTTTGCGCACCTCGGTATGTTTGACTGACAATATACTCAAGTTTATGTGCACATTGTAGTAAATGACAAAATAGTAATTCTTTAAAAAGTGATAGACACCGTTCAGCAATGTCAGCAGACATACAACCACATAAGCTGTGCATCTTATGCTCGTCATTCGCATCTACTGTGATATCCTAGTAGAATAATTGAGTTGATATTTGCTACACGTCACTTAACCTTTCGTATTGTAATTATATCTCACTATTTACAATCATTGAGGAAGAGCCTATCGATATTCCTTTTAAGATCCATAGATATAGCGGTATGCCTTGACAATCTGTCCTCGTATTGAGCCGGGCTGCTATTGTTTTCCTCGTAGCATTATCCCTTGCTTTGACAATTGGGAACTAAATCAGCAAAATTCGCCGAATTCGATATTCATTATAAACCTGCTATTAAAAAACAATATCCCTAAAACACAGCTTAGCCTATTTTTTTTTTTTTTTTACCGTCTCTGCCCACAAGTCTTTATGGTGCTCTGGTAAAGTTCCGTTATTTCTTGAATTGATGTCATAAAATGAATTTATCTCGTCAAAGAATTCAATAATCGATCTTTTACAAAATGCCGAATGTTCTGCTTTTCCCGAAAATTGATATGCTGCAAGCAAGAAATGCTGTGCATTGATATTGATATTAGCTGTATGTATATTCCATTTACTATTTTTTGTAAGACTCGTTGCATCATGATGCTCACTTATTCCTTTATCACATTTTTTTATATGGACAGCAAGCCGCCTCACATCATCTTCTCTTTCATTGCCATCATCAGTAATAGGGGCTGATTTGAAGTAGTGGGGCATTTTCAAACGTAATCCTGTGTTAAAACAGCAGCTTTGTTGAAGTATGCTTCCACAGTATGATAGTACATCCTTCGGTAAGGGCGAAGAAAGTAAGAATGAATATATGTCTTCTGTTAACTTGAACATTGACGGATCGTTTTTACCCGTCTCTTCTGATTCTGATCCCGATAGGTCATCAGTGCTCTGTAAGAAGGTGTTTTCTTCGAATCCTATCCGAGTGTCAATTTGACATCTACAGCAAGCGAAAATTTCGTCGCGAACAAGTATTCTGTTTGGTTCGGTGAAATACAAATGACTACTAAACGAAACATAATATCCTGCCTTTCTTTCTTCCGTTTGTGTGCCTATTAGTTTTGTGGTGGCCACATTCGCTGATAATATGTATTGTTCCTGATACAATGACGATAGTTGCTGTTGACTAAAGTTATTTTGATTGCACAAATTCATTTTCTGAAAAAGGCTGGTAGTTGTAGTGCGGCTTACGTTATGAGCACTGACTTCAGTATGAATTTTGTTTGTGCTTTTATGGATAAAAAAACGTCAAAGAAAATAGTGAAGAGGTATAAATATAACCAGGAGGAGGAAAATTTCAGGTACAAAAGGGGCAAAGCGCGATAAAATAACTTTACGAACAAATTGTATGCCATGTATTTACCTAGGATCTAATGTAGTATTAGCATTACCACAGCCGTTTATGCATACGGTACAATTGTGTGTAAGTAATAGCGCTGTGAAGTTATAAGAATCATGCTCCACATAGCCGGCTGAAACAATCGTGAATTCCATACAATTATTACTGTGATTTGTAGATATTAAACCATTCATTTTAGCTGCTTCTATCACTAACTACTTACTGCTACGTAAAATATCGTTCAAATCAGCAAACGCTTTCATATACGTCAATAGTGCAAACTATGCTAATTGGTTGAAATAACTATCACTGTAGATGCGTGAAATATGTTCGAAGAGAATAGGTTACTGCGCTCACACTTGCTGTGTCCTTCAGATAGAAAAGAATTGCGTAAAACAGCGGCGAGAAAGAAAAAAGAAATAGAAGAAGAATAGGGGTAAAGAGAAGTATCGAGCGAAAAGTGGGTCAAGGGTATTTTTCTTCTTTTTCTTTTCCTTATATCAACTGCATCTGTGTCACTGTCCATCAAAAAGTTGATTAACCCATTCACAATGACAGGTAGAATCCTTTTGTAACACCCACCAATTTGCTGGCTACCAGTAGGAACTTATCAGTAGTCTATGGGTCATGGAATGGGCTATTTGTCAAAACTTATCTCCTTGTTATGACATATCCCTAATTAAAGGTACATTTATAACAAACCTGCGCACAGTTTATTCATTGAGTATACGTAAATAAAGCAATTATGTTCGACAATATTGTGGCATTAACTCTCCAAAAAGCCAACAAATCTATCCTCGTTGGAACAATAGTAATACATAGACCTCTTAAAGTATAACGTTTGCTCACAGATGTTATTTTAATGCAAGATCACAACAGCTCAGCCGTGGTTAACAGTACGTTTGAAAAAGGCATATATCAATTAGCCTAGGAGTTCAACGCATGCGCTCTATTATTGCCCTAGGTGAAAACCAGGAGTAATGGAGGAAAGTTACAGAGATGCTCAATTAATGTTCTATTGATTGTAAGTCATTACTTATAGGATAATGAGAGTAATTATTAGCAACGAAGAGCAACGAAGAGCAACGAAGCTTGAGTAACAGAAAGCAACTGTGAAGCATAGTATAAGCTTCTTATGAGCGACTTTGTGAGTTATTTCGAATTATAAGCGGGAGTTGTTCTCACAATTTTTTTTTCTTTTTTTCCCTTTTGCCTTCTTTTCCTTCTAGCGCACTTTTGTCTTGAAAAGAGGTTTTCTTCTCATTTCAAATTATTCGCATTCCACAATTTTATAGTCGACAAAAAAAGAGAAGGAGCAACATACAATTCATAGTTGTGATTTATCCAGAAAATGGGACATACTTGTTCCAAATTAAAGGTTGTTGTTCATCCCAGTTCTCAATCAACGGCCATGTTGGATTATGGCTCTCTGACACCACACGGCATATATACAAGCAATAATAATTATGATATTCACATTGTAAGAAGTTTGATTCGTAAAGGGCAATTGGCACCCTTCTATGAAGGCGTTAATGAACCAACAACAAATGCAAACAGCAAATTAGTACCCTACGATACCGAATGTCCAATATGCTTTTTGGTAAGGAGCCATAAAGCTTATCGTCTACGATATTGGCAAGCTGTTTTTAGATGAATAAGATTTCTAAATCTTTTTCTTCAATGTTTCGATATGGGGATTGTTTTCAGTATTACCCTTCTAGGATGAATCGTACAAGATGTTGTAATAAATCGATATGTACGGAATGCTTTTTACAGTTGCAAAAGAATTCAACCGTTTCGCACTGCCCTTTTTGCGTTCAGCCGAATCTGGGCGTTTTATACATTCCGCCTGTTTGGAGTAAACATTTTATTTCATTTAAAAAAAGACGAGCAGATTTAATAGACTCTTCCGACGATAATACTTATAATAGCAGTAGTAAATGGGAGATAGAAGCCGATGATCCAGATGTAGTTTTAATCGATACTATTAAATCAAGTCACGAAGAGATGAATCACGAGAAACGATCGTCATCTGTGGGCACAACACGTCGGAGGAGGGTGCATCTGAATACTACTGCTACTACGACAACCACCACCACTACCACCACTACCATTCAATTTACAAGGGCTAATCAAGTGCCACCGACAACAATATACCAGCATTTACACCAGAGTTATCATCCCTCCACCATAAGAAACAATAATAATGATGTTTACTTGGAGGACATTTTGGTTATGGAAGCAATTCGTCTATCCTATTTAACTGAAGAAGAGGCTGTGGAACCGCACAAATAATCGTTATCTTTTCTAATATTTATCTTATGTAATATTTTTATTCAGTCAATGTATTAGTACTGTTATTTATTTTATTTAAAAAATACATCTTCAAAGGAGGTTGGGTGACTTGTATCAACATTACTATCATTCTTATTATTTTCGCTACCACCGCCACCGAATATATCATTAAAGTTAGTACCATCTACTTTTTGTTGATTGGATTCCAATTGTTGTTGCGCAATGGTAGTATTAGAAATCTTTGGGCTGAATATCGAGCTCAATTCATCCTGCACTGAGGAGGTGGATGATATCTTGTTCTTGTCAAAAGTTGAAGATGAGGAAGGATCAAATGCTGACAATATGTCGAGTTTGCTGTTACTCTTTATCGGTGTGCTCTTCTTCATTGTCGATTCATTGTTAATGAGCGTATTGCCCGAAGTAGCAAAAATATCATTCAAAGGTTTTGGACCCTTTCCATTTTCTGATATTGATGCCGATGGTTGAGGTGATGATGTTGGAAGCTGAGGTGATGTTTGGCTAGAAGTGGTAGTGACTGCAAAGTTTTGCTCCATTGTACTTAAATCCGGGAATTTAGATTCAATATAACTAATATCTGTAGTTATAGGTCCATCGCTTGATGATGACATTAAGCTGCTACTTATCTTCTTCTTTTCTTCTTGCTCTTTCAATTTATTCATTGATACTGTAGGGGATGGTGATTCTTTCTTAAAGCCTGCAAAAGGATCCAAATTTCTATCACGTTGTTGAGGCGACTGTTGAGATCGAGTTGAACTGCCAGTAAATTGTTGTTTGAGAGTAGGTGAAATAGCCGCTGTTAAATGAGCCAATGGTTGCTGTTGCTCATTATTGCTATTGCTACTGTCGCGATTCACTTTAGCAAAGAGATTATTGCCAGTATTTTGCGAATTAACTGTTGAAGATAAGGTAAACATATTTTCGGGATCATGATCGTGGCTATACTGCTGCTGTTCTCCATTTTGTTGTAAGCTTTCGAGTTCTTCTTTCGTATCATCTAGACGTAACGTATAATGTTTTACTTCTTGTTTATACATTTGCAATTCCTTACTAAGCTCTTCCTTTTTCTGTTTCTCAGCCTCTAATTGACGTTCTGCTTCATCCGCTGCCTGTTTAATCTTTGCTAATTGTACTTTTTCTTCCTCTATGGACTTCAGCAAGTCACGAATTTGGCTGGATATCTGACTCAGTTGCTGTTGAGCACTTTGCAAACGACTTGTTTCCTTACTAATGTCATTTTGAAGTAAAGACCGAGTTCTATTCAATTCGGAAATATCCTGCGTTAAGAATTGTTGTTGACTTTCCTCAGCTAATTGTTTATTGTAACTGATAGGCTCAGCCGTCAATCCCAGTAAATCAATATTTTGTTGTGGTTGTTTTGACTGCTGTTCTGTAGTTAAGCTTTTAAAAGCAGACTCGAAATTTGAAGTTGATATAGAATTAGGTATATCGTGACCAGCGATTCTACGGTTAATTAAATGCATCGCTAATGCAAATTCTTTCTCTGTTAATTTGCCAGATGAATTCGTATCTGCTAGATCCCAAATTTTTGCAAGGTCTGCCTCAGGTAACTTGGAGTGTCTGAAGAAAACAACTGCGTCAGCTCCGGAAACAAATCCGACACCATCTGTATCCAAACGACTAAAGAACGTGTGGTATTTTTTGAATTCATCTTGTGTTATAGATAGATTGGTCATGGCAGGTGCACCTTTGAAGATAGGCGATTTTGCTGCATTCGGTGGCGTAGGAGAGCTATGAAGCATTGTATTCTTACGTGCAATTGGCGATGATAATGGTGGTGGCGCACTTTTACTACCAGTATTATTTCGTCCTGTCGCAGATGCGTACACTGTAGCTGGTAAGGTGCTTGGAAGTAGGCTTGGATTCCCACCACCCTTCATAGCCATTTCAACATAATGCATGGCAATGATGAACTCCGTTTGATTTAAACTTCCCGTCCTACGCGTATCAGCCAAATCCCATATTTTTTGTAAAACTGCAGTTGAAAGTCCTGATCGCATGAATATATCTCTAGCTGTGTCACCGTTAAGTGAGTTGTTCACAGGGTTAAAAGACTGGAATAAATTCATGTATTTCAATCTATTCTCTGGAGTTATAGTCTCAATATCCGGTACTGGCTGATGTTGTTGCTGAGATGTTTGCATTGTAGAAGTGATGTTATTATTGCCAGATAGTTCAGGTAAAGGAGCTAAAAAATCACGATCGTAACCACAATGTAAGTTTGCAAGCTAATTACCTATCAACTATCTCAGACTCACATTTGGTGGACAGTATCGGCTCTCCAATCATAATACCATGTTGTGCACACGCAATAAGCTTCAAAATCATACAAAACTCTTGCTCTGTCAAAAAACCTTTTCTATCATTGTCAACGGCCGTCCAAAACTTGAATTATCATACCATGAGTTTATGAATTTCTGCTAGTTTAGAGACCATGAAAAAGCAATAAGCATACTAACTTGCATCAAAATATTCTCGGGTATATTGGCTTTTCTGAGAAATTGTAAAGCTTCGTCTTGGAGGACAATGCCTTTGTTATCGGCATCCACTTTTTTAAAATAGTCCAGAAATGTATTTTTTTCGATGATACTTAATTGTGATTTCCAGTTGTCTATTGAAATCAATAAGTTTAAAAGAAGACCATGAGTTTCTGAGAGTGAGCCTTAGGAAAGTCAATCACAGTCTTTTACCATCTGACATATTTGTGTGTATAATGACCAATGCAGGAAAACGAAGATGAACAGACTACAGGGAACTTCCTCTTTTTTCTCTTAAAAAAAAAAATCAAGCATGACAATTAGGCAATCCGCAGGAACGGGAGAAAACTTACGGAATTCTAAACATCAATCTTACTTCGTCTGCATCAAGAGTAAAAACAGTAGTGCTCATAAATAGCACCTAAAGGCCCTCTTGAAAGATAGCAGGATACAGACGACAGAACTTGGAACACGTCGTAATGAGTAGCGTCTAGATTCATGGCTATGTGCGTCAAGCAAAGGTTTTTAAAAAGACCAAGGAAGCTTCAGTTAGATAAGAAAGTATGTTAGCAAGAATTATCTCCTACTCATGGGGCTTTTTGCGCCATGCATATTATAGTTGGGGGACTGATGTCTTCGAAGGTAGTATATTGAATGGTAAGCAATAGTTTGCAAATGAATTAAACTGTTGGAGCCGACGAAGATTGCGAAGTTATGAAACAGGATTGGAATGCACAAGAAAGAAACAGCGTAAGCAATTGTAAGTAATACAGGCGGTAAGTTGTAGTAGTTTGGATGACGATCTTGCGATGAATAACTACAGCTACAAATCTGCCTAATGTCTTTCTACTAGAAATAAGGGTTAATTGAGCAGATACTATTATGTACATTATATTACAGTTAGTCCTTTTCCGTCTTTTCTATTCAACCTTTCCCCTATTTCATAAGGATCTTTCATGTCTGAAATCTAAGTCAAAGATCTTTAAAGCTTCTGTGGATCTATAAAGACATATTCTATCGAAAAGCTGAATACATACTGTACGCACACAAATAAGTAGCTTATAAAAAGATATGATTTAACCATATCACTGTTTAAGAGTTCTTCATCACTTTCGACATGAGGTGATTATGTATACGGCAAATTACATTTCTAGGTTTTTATTCGTCGTCTTGATCAAAATATCTGTCAAACAAAAAAAATAAAGGTGCGAGAAGGTGATTTGTCATTGATGATCTAGAAGTACAATGGCGTGGAAGATGAAGACGCGGTAGAAGAAACATTGCTATTGAACTGATTCATCAACATCATCTGTCGGTTGTAATGATTATGCGCAGATATTGACTGAAACAGATTCGCAACACCTCCAACTTTCATATAAGTAACGCAAAATGCCTGTATCTCAATCATGTATTCTGATAATGGTATAATATTTTTCTCTAATAAGGAGTGAATGAATCGCGTGACCTATATAGAATATTGTAATTGTAAAAAAGGAGTCCCCAACAGATATCATTCTGTGCTTGCCATTGCTTTACCTGTTTAACCTGCCTATCCTTTTTAAGGCCGTTGGGTGCTTGGTCGCAGGACCGTATACTATGGGAAATATAGTAATGCAGAAATTCTTGTGATAGATTTGTATTATTGTAATCATTTTCATGCACCAACACATGATGGATTACTTCTATTGAATTGGTAGTGATGGGTGATTCTAAAATGGATTGTAAGTATAAATAAGCATATCTGGAATTGAATAGTTCTGAAGCAATATCCAAAGCAAGAAACTGATTAAGATTGATCAAATTGGGTAGTTCAGCTGGTGGTATCAAATCTGTCAAGGGGTAATTTTTGGAAAGGTTGAACTCGTTGCGAAGTAACTGCAAAAAAAAAAATAAATTTAAGTTTCAGCGAGTCCACTGCCAGAACCTCTATTGATACTAACTATACCTCATTCTCTGATAATGTAAGACTGCGATGACAAGCATTTGATATCAGGTTGGCTATTCTTTCATCAAATACAACAATATCTCTGTGGTATAATTAAAAATCTTAAGCATACCAGAAGATTGTTCCTTTACTTAAAGCAGTATATACAGTTTGCTTACGGGTCGTCGATCAACCGATTCACTTTGATCTTTAGGATATTGATTGTGTTTTCATTTCTCTGTATCGCTGGTAACTTTATCCTGGCATTGCATACTTCTTCAGGGAGTATATTATCTAGCTGGTAAACACATTGAAACATTGTTTAGTTAGCTCTGAGGGACTTGATTCAAAGTCATCATCATGAACGTAAGGAACAAATATTATGGTCTGCTTAGAGCAAATGTTTACATTTGATAGCGTTTCTTCTAGAATGCAATGAACAAAGTGTTGCTCAATAGAATCGGAAGGCAAATCATCAATAAGTTGAAGGAAAAAGGTCAGGAATGGATTATGATCCAATGGAAGGCTGGAATAATAAGTATACAAGATATACAAGATTGATAGTCGTGTCGTTTGCAACTAAAAAATAGTTTACATATTTTTTTATATTAGAATGGAAAAGGAAGGGAATCAGTATCTTCAAAACTTGGATATTATGTAAATTAAAACAAAAGCCCTACTCGAGTAGTTTCAAAGCTTAGAAATGCGCAACATGCCGCTGTGAATGTATCTTGTGCTTTAGTCTCTTGTTGCAAACGGAAAGAGTGATAAATTTGTGAAAATGTCTGATCTTTCACGTTCATCGCATTCAAAACGCTGGGCAAAGTTCATCAAGCAAACAAAAAATAGATGAAGAGAAGCGAGACGATTTGCTTTAACATTTAAGGTTTTACATTTCCCAAAACAGAAATCAAAAATAAGGCTACCTATATGTTGAAAGCCCCGACAAGTTTGCGGACGACATCAATAAAATTCCATAAAGGAGATTCCGGATAGCTGCAATTGAACTGGGTCGCGAGTAAGAACCAAATTGTATACGTCACAAATGGTGTTCAACTAATTAACTGTGGAGCTTGCGTAATAAGTATGAAGCGATTAGAATCAACTATAAAATTTGCGTTTCCATAATAGAATCATAGCACTCTTCTGATTACTGACAAATAGCATATATGTCCTTTATTTCAAGAATTGAAACCTGATACTTAGCATATGGAACTGCTTTATCAATTCTGCCCCTTTAACACCCAAGTTTAGATTAGCGGCATTACGCCGCCAGTTTTCAATCCACGAAATCGGTATACGTTGTGCCCATCATTTTACTTTTTCTCTATTTTTTAGTCTGTCGTGGTGTCAAAGAAGAATGACTATGTTTCACCTTCGATTATGCCGTTTAAAAAGGGAAACAGCAAAGCTTTGCCGACAGGCATATAGTACGAAGGTATTTCAACATCGACAACCACTATCAGAGCAAATATACGTTAAATTGACCATTATATCTTTAGATACAAAAGGCACAACCCATTCCAAAGGTAAACTAGACAGCCTATAACAGAAGAATCGACCCCATTGCGCCATTAGCTGAATGTTATTGTAGGAAGGGCAACTGAAAACTATATATAGCCCTGCGAAGCAAGCTTCCGCTGTTTCAGATTATTTAGTAGACAATTTCAGTCGTCAACACACGTATTTGAGAATATCACTAACAGAGCGCTGTAATTTGCGGTGTAAGATAATACTTTACTGTTGTTGATAGAAACGTTCCTAATTTTCATATCGATTTTTCGGTATAACAGGTACTTATTGTATGCCCGAGGAGGGAGTACCTCTCACGCCTTCTGCCAACTTACTGACAAAGAATGAGATCTTACGGTTAGCTAAACTCTTTGTAGGTCAAGGTGTCACTAAGATTAGACTAACAGGTGGTGAGCCAACTGTTCGGTCTGATGTTATAGAGATTGTCAGAAGTCTCGGACAGTTGAAAAGAGGCAATAAAAGCAGTGATAGGCTGAACATACAACAACGATACCTTAAAAGCCTTGCCATGACAACCAACGGTGTCGCTCTTAGACGAAAATTGCCTGCTCTCTTTAATAATGGTGTGGCTGGGTTGGATACGGTCAATATTAGTTTAGACACCCTCAATCCAGATCTTTTCCAAATCATGACCCGCAGAAAAGGCTTTGATAAAGTGATGGAGAGCATAGAGGAGGCACTTCGGTTGGGTCTTCCGCAGGTCAAAATCAATACTGTCGTTATGAAAGGTGTGAATGATCAGGAAGATGTGCTAAATTTTGTTGCCTTCACTAAAGAGCATCCCATTAATGTGCGCTTTATTGAATATATGCCATTTGACGGTAATAAATGGAACAGAGACAGATTGGTACCATTTGAGGAATTGATACAGAAGATTAAATCACGATTTGGAAGATTAGAGAAGTTGCAAGATGAGCCTAATGATACTACGAAGGTAAATAACAATTAGTAAAAATGTATATCCTTCGTTTATAATTGATTTGATTGACGAATTTCGCTGGTTGGCCTTTTTCAGCATTATAAGATACCAGGCTTCAAAGGAAAGATAGGTTTTATCACGTCTATGACAGATCATTTCTGTGGGACATGTAATCGACTACGAATTACTGCTGACGGCAATATAAAAGTATGTTTATTTGGAAATACAGAAGTTTCCTTAAGAGATATGATGCGGAATGGCCGAACAGATCAGGAGTTGCTTGAAGTTATTGGTGCCGCTGTTAACAAGAAAAAGAAGCAACATGCTGGTATGTTTAAATTGGCCTCTAGTAAAAATAGGCCTATGATTCTTATTGGAGGATGAAAAGCTGGTTCAATAATCATTACAACAGCATAAAAAAAAAAAAAAAAAACAACAAATATGATTAAAAAGGGGGAAATGACTTGAGATACCCATTTAACAAAATCGTACATATCGATCAATTTTAGTTCTTAGAACTGTTTGCATTTTTGCTGTTGTAATGATGAAATGATATAAAATTCTGACCATATTCTTTAGCCCAGATCAAGCAGGCTTACTCTGTTGGTACCAAACATTTAGTTCCTGACTATTCCCATACACCGTTTCTACTACTCTCTACTAATATCAGTCTCACCATCAACGCCAGATACGGACACCAACGATATTATTCATCCTCTAAGAATGACAATAGTCACTACGATGATGATAAAGCACGTTTGACACACACGGACCCACAAACTGGTGAAGCCAAAATGGTATCTGTTACGGCGAAACCGTCGACCCTCAGAGAAGCTAAAGCACTTGGTCGCATTTTGCTTCCCCCTCACACTTTTGATTTACTTCAAAATAATCAAGTCCATACGCTGAAGGGTAACGTATTGACTGTTGCCCAAATAGCTGGTATCCAAGCAGCTAAATCAACTTCACAACTTATTCCTTTGTGCCATCCGTTACTTCTGGGTATGATCGATGTTAAGTTATGGCTGTGCAAAGAAAGACGAAGTGTTGAATGTGAAGCCACCGTGCAAACAACCGGGAAAACAGGTGTTGAAATGGAAGCTTTAACAGCCACTAGTGTAGCATTATTGACAGTATACGATATGTGTAAAGCATCGTCAAAGGAAATGACAATTGAGGGAATTCAAGTGATAGAAAAGAAAGGCGGAAAAAGTGGGCATTGGAAGGCAACGCGATTTCCAGCTGCTGAAGAAGGGAAATCTGTTTAGAGTGCTACTACAAAATCATTCTAATAAACATTGCACGACATAGGGATATGAATCACTGGTAAACAATAAAAAGTTCGCGAACAAATGGGTCGTCGATATGCATAAAACACTGTATAATGGTTTAAAGAGAAATACTATCATCTTAATAGCATCATGACTAGTAAGCCACACCTTTGTTGAATTGCAAAGCAAATCTAAACAGCAAAGCTTGTTCAATAACTTCTTTCGATGTATAAGTATACACCTTAAGCATGAAATACACTTAAAACTGATCGTCTTGAAGGAGGCATAACCGGGTCAATCGGCTTTATACGTTTTCTAGACAGTGACTTTAATTTAAAATTCATTGCTTAGGTTGAATCAATGAGTTCCTGAGTCTTTGAGTCTTTTACCCCTAACAAAGAAAATTGAGCTGTTTGACTGAGGAAGACGCTTGACGAATATGTCATATGCCGTCACAATAATTTCTAAATCCGCTTATCCAAAAAAAAATAAAAAAAAAATATAAAAGCCTCTCAGAGCTGTCAATTTCTATTTTTCTTTTTCACCAAACATTTACGGGCATGAGCAGAGTCGTGGTTTGTGCGAATCTTTATCAATGGGCCTGACCGCGCTACTCATCCCCACGAGAAATTCAAGCGGCTTATCTTCTGATATTCCGTGTGCTTTGGTCGTAGTTATCTGTTTTCAATCTAATGAATGGACGCTAAGCCAACTGCACGAGCATTACATAAAATCATGTTCTTATCAGTTTAAATCAGAATGAAAAAATTACAAAAAGCTGAACAGGGTAAATAGATTCAATGTGTGATATTTGTCTATTGATAAACACAACAAAGAATGTCTGTCCACAGCATCAGTAGCCTTCAATTCTCATAAGTAGCAGGAGTATAGTTGTTGTGTGCCTAAAAGAAAAAAAAAGCCTTCACTAATACAATCCTCGGAAAGCAAAAGGAAGTGCAGATTAGGCTATCCATATTTGCCAAACCCAAACACATGGGTTAGGTCAGCGCAATAAACGCAGGAACTCTTTTTCATTTTTACTTCTGTACATATGCTTATCAAATAAGGACAGTGTTGTGATCCTTATCCTGCTGTTTCGGCAGACAGCCTTTTCGTTGATTTTTACCTTTAACGGAATTGGCCTTATACATTTAGGCTGATAACGTTGTTTCCATAGCACACAAACTGTTTAACTTTTACTCTCTTGGGCAGTGTCCCCTTTCCCTGTCCCCTTTCCAAAATGAAGGCGTACATTGCGTTTTTTAAAAGAGTTTTATGATTGATACGTACAAAAAAAGCAAAACTTGTTGAAAACAGAGAACCTGAAGGATAAAAGCTTAGGAACTGTTACTGGTCATTGCGTTAGTTTCTAAAAATTGACCCCCGATGGAATGGACAAACATCCGCATATGAAAGGTATTCATATAGCCATGAATAATGCACTCATTCACCTGCAGAAAATTTAATTACATTAAGGCTATAAATATATGTAGTTTCCCACTTATTCTCTTGCGCTAACCGAATGAAACAGTTTCGGGCAGTAGTAATGAGTAAGATTGAATGTCATAGGTTTTTACGAGACAGGTTGCCAGGAAAACAAAAACAGCTGCCTACAAGAGTACTACTTGGTAAATTTCACGCTGTGTAAGTTGCAATCCAATGCGTCGTATCAAACTATTAAGGAAAAGAATGCATTAGCATTCACTACCTTCAATATTTGACATTACAACTACATTAATTCTAACCTATGGTATACCTAGATGCTGATGTTTTTGGAATTGCAAAGCGTATACCGATTGCTTTCATTGTCGAGCCTTATCCATTAAAATGAGGAATATCCGTTAATTTCAGTAAAGAAAAGGTCGCGTTCATTGTTTGTCGCGGATTAATTTTTCTCTGATCGTTCTGGTTTTAAGGGAAAATTATAAAAAATAAAGCTATCTTCTGCACTCTCGATTCTGATCAGCGCAAATCCTTTCTACTGAATTGATGATTGAAAACCTCTATAGAGTGCTGGGTCTAACGAGCTCTGCCTCTCTGGAGGAGGTCAAAAAGGTAAGTGCGACAACAGTTTGCTTCCTAAATCAATTGCTGTCTGAGCTAATTTAACATTGACCGCAATGATCGATTAGTCCTACCGTAAACTGGTAATTCTTTACTTACGACGAAAATGTTACTCAGGCCGAAGATTGACATTATAACTTTACCGTTTGTCGTAGGCAAGAGAATATCATCCTGACAAAAATAAGAATGGTGCTGAAAAGGTAGTTGATCTTTTTGCTAGAATGCCCTTGGAATTTATTCTCATTGCACTTTGTTTATTCCACAGTTCAAAGAAATAAACGACGCTTATTCGATCCTATCCGATCCAGAAAGGAAGAGAAATTATCTTTTGCGTAATCCTTCAGCTTCTTCCTCAACGAGATCGTATGGTGGTTATGGCTTCAACTTCTCTTTCAATTTCAGACCAAACGCCCAACCATCACCACCACCACCACCACGCCCACCACCACCTCCGCCTCCTCCGCGTAAACCAAAATCAAAGCCCGTGAAAAGTAAAAACCATAAATTTTGGCTCCTTTCACGCCGATTGAGGACTAATAACCCTATCCTGTTGAATTGCATTAGAGTCTGATTACAATATCAAAACACGCTGTGAACTTTCCTTGGAAGATATTTATAACGGCGGCAAAATAAGCGTATCTTATGATGAACCTATCATATGTAGAAAATGTTTTGGGTAACTGCAACTCTTCAATTCCTTGATCTTTGACATAGTTTTTCCTTATGCAAGTCTCTTATAAATATAGTGATGAAAACAATGAGCAGTTGAAACGATATAGAACTTGTGAATTATGTAAAGGCAAAGGACGAACACCCGCAGGACATGCATGCCCTTACTGTCATAGCCTTGGCCACTTTATCTATTACGACACCTGTCCTGAGTGTAAAGGAAAACCCAGAAAAGTTGAGAAACGTCATTTACGTGTGCATGTACCGAAGGGTGTGCATGAGGGTCATGGACTTGAAGTTAAAAATCGTGGTCAGTTGCTACCCAATGGAACCGAAAGAGGTAGTGTTATTATTCGAACTACAGAGCTACCACATGAAGTGTTTAAGCGACAGGGCGATAATTTGTTGATCACAGTAAATCTGTCATTGAAAGAAGCTATCATGGGATTCACAAACAAACTCCTCTGCACACATTTGGACGGTCATTTTGTTTCAGCTACTCAACCTTGTGGTAACGTTACTAAACCAAATTCAAGGAAATTGATCAAGGGAGAAGGCATGCCTATTTTCGGTAGTAAGACTGGAGCCAAAGGTGATTTGATTGTTACATTCAATGTTAATTGGCCAGATAAAATCCAGATACCTAGAGCACGAGAAGCGAGGTTGGTGATAGACGAATTATTTGAAAGTGAAGAAGAAAGACTAGCCCGAGACAATGCTATCGTCATCGATGACGAAGAAGATGAAGAAGAGGAAAGAAAACAAGATATGGCAGCAAACGCGTCGGCTGCGAGCTCAAATGATATACGTTCAACAGCAGCACAGTCTACTCCATCGTCTCCAATAGCATCAAACAGCAGAAAGCCGTCTCGAAAAAGGAAGATATCACCACCTTCTTCAAACAGTGAAAGAAATGAGGAGCAAAAAAAACAAAAGATTTCAGCCAATGCTTCCCCAGTAGTAGATTCCCACATGAGTTCCTTCGATGCCGCATCTACAACCTCTTCCACGTCAACTGCTGCTGAGAGGATGGACACCTTTACTACAAATACTCCGGAGCCAACGGCTTCTACATTTCACTATAACCATTCTAGTGCTACTTCCTTTAAAGAACAAACCTCACGTATTTATGAAACACCTTCTTACCAAAAGTCGAGTCAAAATGAAGCGAATTCAAGGCCATCGTACGATAATACCCCTATAACCATAGACGATGATGATGAGGATGAAGACATCTTCAGTGCTCGCAATAGTAGTACTAGTAATAACAACAATAACCGACAATTTACCAAAGATACTGAAGAAAAGGAACCGGCAGACAAATATGAAAGCAATCAACATAACCAACCAAATGTCCATTTTCACCAACATATCCAAGAAGAGGACCCTGGTACTGACGAATTTCCTTCTTTCTTCAGAATGTTTTTTTGAGAACATGACATCAAGACCATATTTATTCTTTATTTCACATTGTCAAGCTTATGTATACATTAATAAATCATGTGCATTATCGTTAATAATAGTAAGCTTTTTGCCACACTATAAAGTAGGCTACCTTTCATGCCCTTTTACTGGTTGAAAGCATCTCAGTGAACATCAATCTCTTATTGACGCGATTCTTAATGGTGCGACATATCGTTTCGCTTCTAGGATGAATTTGGAAACCCCCATGTGACTTTATTAAACAACATTTTTTAGTTTCAGGTAGGAATAAACGAAACCATGAAAGACAAGAATAACAAAGAGCCTTTTTCCTCCTTGTCAACAGTTAAATAGTATTACCTTCAGTATTATAATATCAGTTTCAGATAAAGCAACGATCACTTGAATGGAGACAATAACTATGATACCAACAATTTTGTGGTATTCAAGTGCTCTAGTTATTGTAACTTGTATAAGTGCAATTGTTTTGTCGATCCAAAATAACTTTCGACAGCAACAACGGCAACATATCCAGCTGCCAATTGAATCCACATCATTTCTTGAAACAGATTCTCAACGTGATGGGAATATACCTTTTGCTGATACAAACCGGCTTGGCCGATTAATTCTCAACAGTTTGGCCTCAACAATAATTGCTGCTCTTAAACTCATCATTTTCCTTAACAGCGACAACCTTGATAATAGTAGCAATGAAGATATTAATGGGATAACAACAGACTATGGCAAAGTAACCCCTTATTATACCACTGCAATTCTATTTAACTTGGTGACCTGGTGCTATGCTACTATTCTGGCCTTTGTCTCTTTACGCTATCGCTTACCTAATCAATGGGGTTGGACCCTGAATGTTCATTTATTCATAATTTATGTTGCAGCTTGGGCTGTACATTTAAATCAATTTTGGCAACACATGATACTTATCGACAGTGATACCAAGAACTTAGATTGGTGTCAATCTTTGATACATTTATTACCCGTGTTTTGTGGATTTGACCTGATTATAACAACGGGTACAATGAAACAAGGACCACCATTTATTGCACCAACAGAAAAGCATGACAACAACGCAACCTTAAACAACGAGCAACAACATCGTCAAGTGTGTAATATCAATGTTGACTCAATATTTGGCATTTTCTTTCTCAATTGGTGTACCAAGGTGGTTCGCACAGTAGCCCGCAAAAAGGGTCTTGCCTCTGATCACGATTTGCCAATCCTTACGCCTCGTTATCGTGCTGAAAATGTATACCATGAGTTTGGTGCAACTCGTAATAACATGAAAAATTACAGCACCAGTAGTAGTTTAATATTACGGTTAATTCGTTGTAATGGTAGAGCCCTTTGCCTACAAGGCTTCTTGGCGCTTATTTCTGCTTGGTTTTGGTATATACCAGCGTTTTTTATTAATCGATTACTACAATTCTTGCAGGATTATAATGATGGTGTGTTGAAAAGAGACCATCCTATGCAATATGGATTTTTATTAGTAGTGGGTATGGGTGCCTCTTTGGTAGTAGCTGGTATTGTTAGTGGGCAACAATGGTATTATTGTACGTATATTAATTTGCGTATATAAAACTCTGGGTCTCGATTTAACACACTGTTCCCAAAATTCATACGTAGCTTCTTGTGAGCTTCAAACACGTATTCGAACTATGCTTAATGTTGAAGTGTATCGAAAAGCCCTTCGTCGTCGCGATTTAACTGTTATCAACATTAATTCTTCTTCCACGACAACTTCATCAAATACGAAATACAAGTCAGGTCAAACATCACTAGTGCCAAACTCAGGAAGCGGCTCTGGAGCTCTTGTCAATCTCATGGGCACAGATGCTAGTCGTGTGGCTGATTTTGCTGGCTTCTGGTTCCCTCTTCTGTCTGCTCCACTGGAAATGTTTCTGGGCATTTATTTCCTTTACCAACTAATCGGCGTATCTTGCTTTTACGGTCTTGTTGTTATGGTTTTTGTTTTGCCTATCAATCACTTTAATTCCAAGCTGTTCCGTAAAACTCAAGAACAGCTTATGAAAGCGAGAGATATGCGTGTATCTTTAATGAATGAGATATTGCTAGGCATTCGCCAAATCAAATTTTTCGCCTGGGAGAATTTATGGACGGAAAAGGTTATGGAAACACGACAAGCGGAACTAGATCAGTTGAAAGTTACATATATCAACGGAATCTTTTTCCAATTTACCTTTCAAGGGCAAGTATTTTAATTGCAATAAGCTAGCGTATAACTCATGACAAAGAACTACTATAAATTTATAATGTGTCTCTTTCATTTATTTTCATATTGCATATAGGGCTCCTGTCATTGTTACTTTGGTGTCATTCTTCGCTTTTACAAAGATATTTGGCAATCATTTAACGCCACCCATTGCTTTTACAGTTATCAATGTCTTTAATGAATTGCGTAAGGCACTTAACGTTATTCCCCTGGTTTTGATGCAGGCTATACAAGCTTATACAAGCATCCGACGTATCCAAGATTTTTTGAACGAAGATGAAATTGATGAGATATCATCGAATGTTAGTGATGTTACAAAAGTAGAGGCTATCGGCTTTCAGAATGCTATAGTTAGTTGGACGAAAGAACGAGAACTAACAACAATAGACCACTCATACCAGCAAATACGTAATAGTTCTATGGATACTGATCACGATGAAGAAGAATGTTCCACCGGTTGTAACAGCAGTAAAAGCTTTATTCTAAGAGATTTGAACATTCAGTTTCCAAATAACGAGCTCAGCCTCATCAGCGGTGCAACCGGATCCGGTAAAACATTGATGTTGTTGGCTTTACTAGGTGAGGCAGTAATCCTAAAAGGCAAAGCATTATGTCCGCGAGTGCCTGTACTTTCCTTAGTACATGATGAAGATAATGATGCATATACTGCTTCCACAAATAGTAGTAACACATGCAGGACTGGTAGTACTGTTACTAGCGGTGCATCTGAAAATAATTACATCTTAAAAGAAGAAGCATGGATCTCTAGAAACGCTCTTGCGTATGTTTCTCAAACGCCCTGGTTACAAAACGCCTCTATTCGTGACAATATTCTGTTCGGCTTACCATTCTCAGCAATCCGATATCAACAAACGCTTTTTGCTTGCGCATTGGACAAAGATTTGGCCCAATTTGATGATGGTGATTTGACTGAAATAGGAGAGAAGGGTGTCACTTTAAGCGGCGGTCAGAAGGCGCGTGTAGCACTAGCCCGTGCTGTTTATAGCCGAGCTCAAATTGTGCTAATGGATGATGTATTGAGCGCCGTAGATGCGCACACAGCTAAGCATTTGTATCAGCAATGTTTGTTGGGTCCTTTAATGAAGGATAGAACGAGGATCTTGGTAACTCATCATATAAAGCTATGTTTCCCTGGATGCAGTTACTTGGTTCATTTGAATAATGGAAGAGCTGTCTTTAAGGGTACGAAAGAGGAACTGCTCGAATACCAGCACCAACAACAGATTAATAAAAATAAATGCAAAGAGGCTAAGAACGATGATACTTCAAATCTGATCACATCGACGAAGTTCTTGTTTCAGGAGCTTGCTATTAATGCAAAGAATAACGAAGATGATTTATTAAAAATTACCGCTGACGAAGAAGAAGCGATTGAGAAAACTCTTGACCAAAAAATGGAAGAAGAAAGGATAACCCTTGGGAAAAAATGCTCGAATAAGCATGACAAAATCAATGCTATACCTCGCGTACTAGTTGAAGAGGAAACCCGAGCTTCGGGAGCTGTGAAACTTCGACTATATAAAAGCTACTTGGCTATGCTGGGAAAATTTGGTTTTTGGAGCTTATTGGTCGTTGTGATATTAGGTGCTCGAGGTTTTGAGATTGGTGAAAGTTGGTGGATCAAAATCTGGGCACAGTCTTACAGGGAATACAATGGAGAAAATTATAACGCAACCGTAAATGATGGTTTTATTAAGCAGCAATATCAATCACAGTCATCTATTCCTGACGGTGTTACTCATCTAAACTATTATCTTTGTGTCTATTGCTTAATTGCATTCGGAAATGTAACAGCTGGTGCTATTCGATATGCCGTTCTTTATTATGGATCTCTTCATGCTAACAGGAAGCTTTATGCCTCTCTACTTCAATGCGTTTTTCGAGCCCCCCTCCGGTTCTTCGATACTACACCTATCGGCCGTATACTCAATAGATTTTCTAAAGATTTTGAAGCAATTGACTCCGGTATCCCTACCAATATGATGATATTCGTTGTACAACTATTGATGATTATATCTACAGCTATTACTATTTGCTGGGTGCTTCCCGTCATGATACTTCCCGTTATTTTTATGCTTATTGTAAACATCGTTATTGGAATTGATTATATTAACAGCTCGCGAGAATTGAAGCGTTTAGATGCGGTAAAACGATCTCCTGTGTTTTCTACTTTCACCGAAACGATAGCCGGTGCTGCTACCATTCGTGCTTATGGTGCCACTCAACGGTTTTTTCACGATATGATGAATTGTATCGATGCTAGTGTTCGTCCCTTCTATTACTCATGGGCAATCAATCATTGGATTAGTGTGCGCTCTTACATGTCTTCTGCCACTATCAACTTTATCGCTTCCGCCTTTGTAATTTATAACTTGGGCAAAATGGATGTCGCATTGGCTGGTTTTGGGCTCAGCTTCGTCTTAACGTTTACAGATAGTATTTTTTGGGGTATTCGCCATTATACCAATTTAGAAATGAACTTTAACTCAATTGAACGGGTAGTAGAGTTTATGGAAATGGATCAGGAGGCAGCTGCCATCACTGCGTTAAGACCGCCTGCTCAATGGCCTACACATGGTCAGATTGAAGTCCAAAATCTTGAAGTAAGATATGCCCCAGATTTAGATCCTGTTTTGAAGAACATATCGTTCTCGATCAAGCCACAGGAGAAAGTTGGTATAGTGGGACGAACCGGTAGCGGTAAATCTACCTTGGCTCTTTCGTTTTTCCGATTCGTTGAAGCCTCAAAAGGCACAATCTATATTGATGGCATCGATATTAAAGGAATAGGAACAGAAGATTTGAGATCAAATTTGACGATTATCCCTCAAGATCCTACATTGTTCTCTGGTACATTGCGCTCAAATATGGATCCTTTCGGACATTTCGATGATGAATCTATTTTCACCGCTTTCCGCCGTGTGCAACTAACAACCAGCAATAAAAGTGCTGATTCTACTGTTGGTAATAGCAGTTCTTCTCCTGCTACGGAATCAATTATCAATTCTAGTACAACAAACGTCAATATATTTAAGGATTTAACGACTAAAGTCGCCGAAGGAGGTAAAAACTTTTCTCAGGGTCAAAGGCAACTGTTATGTCTAGCTCGTGCTCTGTTGAAACGAAGCCGTATTGTTTTAATGGACGAAGCCACGGCAAGTGTTGATTTTGAAACGGATAAAGCTATTCAGAGGACAATTGCCACTGAATTTGTTGATAGTACTATTCTGTGTATCGCGCATCGATTACACACCGTTATCGATTATGATCGGATTTTGGTCTTGGACCAAGGACAGATTGTAGAATTTGACAAGTAAGCATGAAATGTACCCTTTTTTTTTTGTATAGTCTTAAAGATAGTTAACAGCACCTTGTATAAAACGTAGTCCTTTGAGCTTGATATCTGATTCAACGTCGGTATTCCATAAAATGTGTTTTAATTCGGGTGAATATGATAGCCTCCTCGAACTTGCTAAGGCAAAACACAAGTTGATAGATGCTTAATTCCGGGGATACAGTTTTACATACCCAAATAAATTATAATGAATACCTGTGAGGCTGAACTAAGGCATACAAAGCCCTCTTCCTATTTTTAACTGAGACCTGTTAATCTTGACAAGCAATTTGCCTATCGTAGTATAGGTTAAAAGGCTTAATCAAAAAGTATGCAGTAACAGACATGACAGGAAGTGAGTACTCAGACTATAGTAAAAGAGGAATAACTTTAAAGCAGTTGCAGTAATATTGTTTTATTTGCCAAAAATGGTCAATGTAGAGTATCTACATGTTCGTTCAACATACCTCATCTTGTTCTGGTACGACGATACGTATCGTCTTCGGAAATTGAAATTTTGAATACACTAAAACGTCTGGCAGCACTGTACAAAACAGACAGCTCAAAGTCATTCATCATATACTAAAAATGTGCAACGAATTTCATCATAAGTTTTAGTCCCATTCTCTATTTCATTTGTATCTTTTTTTTTTGATTTTCTATGATCAATTGAGAAGCTGCATTACGAATAGAACAATATAGAATTACCGAACAATACAACAAACAAACTGGTTTCAAAATGAGAGATTCTTCCACTGAAAATGAAGCCAGCGGATTACTCCATTCTAGACATGACAGTAGCCGAAAATCGGATTATCGTAGCACTCTTGAATGGAACGTTGAGATTGACGTAAAAGGGGAAGTTAATACTGGACATGAAGAGGAAAATGGTCGATTTTCCTTTAGAAAATTGATGACATACACTGGGCCAGGTATGCTATTGCAAGCTCCTAGCCAAAATGACAAAACTATACTGTGCCACTAATTTCTTGCCCCTCACAAATGCATACAATAGGCTGGCTTATGTAAGCATTTGTTTAATAGATGTTAAACACTAATTATGCGAATGCTGACTATTTTATTAGGTCTATTGCTTACTTAGACCCAGGTAATTTAGAGTCTGACTTGCAAGTAGGGTCTGTCGCTGGTTACAAATTGTTGTGGTTGCTCTTTTGGTCACATGTGGCTGGTAAAGTTGTATATAACGTACCATGTGTAATTTCTATAAAAATCGGCTTTTTTCTAAAAAAAAATAGCGTTTCCATATTAGGTTTGGCAATTCAAATCCTGTCAGCAAGGTTGGGTGTAGTTACGCAAAATCATCTTGCTCAACTTATTCGTCGCCATTACAATAGACCTGCTTCAGCTGCAATATGGTTGTTTATACAGTTGGCTATCATAGGATCTGATATTCAAGAAATAATTGGGACCGCGATTGCATTGAAGATTATATTTCGCTTGGATTTATGGGTGGGTGTTATGATTACAGCAACTGATACCTTCTTCTTTATGTTCTTGCAACAATACGGCGTAAGAAAAATTGAGGCCTTTTTTATCACCCTGATCGGTGTAATGATAGCTTGCTTTTGGATAGAGATGCTATCATCCAATCCGAGCTTTCAAATGATTTTGAAAGGAATATTGATACCTGAATTACCTGAGCAGGCGAAAGTACAAGCTGTGGGTATGGTAGGTGCAGTCATTATGCCACACAATATGTTTCTGCATAGGTAATTTGGATGACAAAAGAATGTGTCTTTGTTATTGTTTTGCGTTTTATTTACTTACTCCTCTTATCAATTCTTCCTCCATCAAAAAAATGAAAAAAAAAACCAGTGCACTTGTTATGTCACGAAATTTAGGAAAGGAGCCTTCCAAAATGAAAAAAAAGGAAGCCAATTTTTATTTTGCTGTCGAGTCCACCATCGCTCTTTTTATTTCGTACCTGATCAATTTGGCTATTGTAGTTGTTTTCGCTCAGGTATTCTACGATCCTGGACGAATCGTGACAAAGTTACCAGGCTTATACGATGCATCCATTGTGCTGTCAAATACTTTGGGTAAAAGTGCGAAATACTTTTGGGCACTCGGTTTATTAGCAGCTGGGCAATGCTCCACAATGACAGGAACACTTGCTGGTCAATATGTATGTGTTACAAAATCCAATATGCGTGCATCTCGTAAACTCCCGAGCTTTGATTTTGAGCTAACCAGTATTTACTTTATCAATTTTTTGCAAGTATAGGTTGTAGAGGGTTTCATGGGGGCAATTTTTAAAAAGCAGTGGCATCGTGTAGCACTTACAAGAGCGGTGGCTCTTCTACCGAGTATGTGTGTAGCGGTATTAGCTGTTGATCGTTTTGATACTATGGGCGAAATACTCAATGTGTTGCAAAGGTAGTATCACGTTCCTTCCCCTCCCCCTCCCCCCAACTTAACAATATAAAAAGGGTTATACTTTATACTCATGTTTTGCATATCATTGTAGTTTATGCCTACCTACAGCAATTATACCTATCCTCAAGCTTACATCGGCCGAGAAAATTATGACGAAAACGTTCAAAAATTCACGGTTAACGAATTTCCTTTGTTGGTCAATTTCGATCATTGTTATCATTTTCAACATATACCTTTTCTTAAACTATTTGGAGGATCTCGACTGGCCGTTATACGGTGTTGCTTTTTGCATACTTTACCTTGTTTTCGTTATTTATCTTATTTATATTCCTTTAAATACCCCTGTACAAAAAGAAATTGAAGAAGTACACTCTGCTATAGAAGAAGATATCAACTACTCAGGAGCAGAATAAACTTTATTATACATGGCTTTACTGTTAAACATTATTGAAAATCGCCGATGAGTGTAACAGTGATGGCTTTATAACTACGGTAACGGCAACGGAAGTTCCAATAATGAATTAAAAATTATTGAACTTAGCATTAAAAATAGTATGGTGCTAACTGCAGTTGAAAGTTTCGCGGTTTATATGTTACTGAGAGTTTTGAACTTGCTAACAAAGCATCTCGATACACTCTCTTTTGTATTTGAAAAAGAGTTGGAATTTGATATTCGTACCTTTTCTATATGCTGTATTGTTATTCTTTCAAACCCTTCATTCTGACTTTCATACTTTTAAGTTTAAGGTTAGGCACTTTTTATGTGCTCACTGCTAAAGAATTGTTCATCTATTAAGTGGTGAAAGAGCTTGTACACATGTTTTATCTAAGAATTTTTTAATAGGTTATACAACCCATCATACGAAGTTTTTTCCATATATTCGAGTAAAGGTGTTTAAATCGCGGTAAAGCGTAAGTCAACATGAATCAATGTTAAATCTTTTATATCAGTCGTCTATGTGATATAAATTGTCTAAAATTAGGTTCAGCCATATTAACTTGCTCGATACCATGGCAGCAACCAAAAAAATAAATCCATTACCGATTGAACAGTGTAACAAAATATTCAAGACAAAATGATGGCCAAGCGATTGACCATGTATTGTATTTTGTATGATCGAAGGAGGTTTCAAATCAAACATTTTCTCCTATTTTCAAAGCAGTGAGCTAAACATAAAATGAGAATCCTAAACCACCATCGCAATTTGGCGGCCCTAAACAATCAAAAAACATTGTTCATATAAGATCGTTACAGACAGACCAGCAGCATCGGTGGCATTGCAGATACCGAAGAAACTACTTCCGAATGCGAACAGATAATGACTTAGACTGCTTAAAGAATGCACAAATATTTATGGCACTAAAGAATATGGAACGCCAACGAGTATTCAAATGATGGATATAGCCTCCTGATTGTAAAAGGACGTAATTTATATCAATTAATGAACGAATTGTTAAGCGAAGAGCTTGACAGTTCTGTCTTCGATTTTAACGATATAAGAATTCCAAAAATGTCGCACTACCGATAATTCACAGACTGACAACAGTCATGGATACATATAAATATAATCGTGGCAAAGAAAAAGAAAAAAAGAAATTCTTTAGTACAATTAAATCATTGAATAACTGCAAAGCACTCACCATCAAAAAAATATAGAATATCTGCGGATATACTTTCTACACATGTCTTCAGTTTCTAAGTCGGCACTGAAGCTCCTTGGTAGTTGTACCTGGTTAAACATTCTTTTTTGCACAGTTAGATAATTTTTTGAATTATCTGAAAGTGGACTTTGTAAGCTAATTGGACTTAACCAATCATTTGATGGATGGATGTGGATGGATGTGGATGGAATTTTGGATGGATGCAACCCAAACAAGTACGATTGAAAGGGACTTTTAAATGATAATGGAGCGTCTGTCCAATCAAAAATTGTAAAATGGTCAAAAAAAGTATAATTTAAGCCTCAGTTCACAGTAAAATTCTTCTTCATCCTTTCCACCTTCTCAATTTTTAGCAAAAAATGTAAGTATTTTTACCGGACAATGACCGGACCTAATTTAAGTTAAAAGAAGGGCAAAATGTAATAATTTTTTTTTTTCACAATATTAGGGTAAACTTAACTGTTCAAAAACGCTTGGCCGCTTCTGTCCTTAAGTGTGGACAACGTAAAGTCTGGTTAGATCCCAATGAAGTCACTGAAATTTCCAATGCCAACTCTCGTGCCAACGTCCGTAAGCTTATCAAAGATGGTTTGATTATTCGCAAGCCCCAACTCTCTGCTTCCCGCTTCCGTGTCAAGCAAAGAAATGCTGCTAAACGTGAAGGTCGTCATATGGGTCATGGTAAAAGAAAGGGTACTGCTAATGCTCGTATGTCCAGCCAAGTCATCTGGATGCGTCGTATGCGTGTCTTACGTCGTTTGTTAGCTCGTTACAGAGAAGCTGGTAAAATTGACAAGCACTTGTATCACCAATTGTATTTGAAGTCCAAGGGTAATGGTTTTAAAAATAAGAGAGTGTTGATGGAACATATTCATAAGGCCAAGGCTGAAAAAACTCGTACCAAGACTTTGGCCGAACAAGCCGATGTATTGCGTGCTAAGAATAAGGCCCTTCGTGAACGTCGTTCTCTTAAGAAGTCTGCCGAAAAGATTGAAGTTTAGAATATTTTATTTCTTTTTTGCTCTTGTAAAGCTCGAATGAAACAGATGAACTCTATAGCAAACTATAATATTTATGATACAGTCAGGCTTATAGACTTTGGCGTTTTCTCAATAAATGCCCATATTAGCCGGATATTACATTAGATAGGCTTTTTTTGTGTTTGTCTCTTCTAAAAATATTTAACGTGCAAAACGAAAATATGTGATAAAAAGGGGTACTGAAAAATCTGTCCAGCACTTTGTCACATTTTTTTTTAAACTCGACTACTTACACCACTCTCAAGAGCCGCCTACAACTCCTCGGTTAGGGCACCTATTGCTCGACTGGTTACCCTCTTCCCCTCCCACAATCCTTTAGTACAGAATCCTTTTTACCCTTGAGCCCTAAGGGGTTTTTAGATTCTTTTCAGCCTTTGGAGCTGCCCTCGGGCAATTTAGATAAGCCTAATATCTCGTGTCCATTGGGCTTTAAAAAAATTAATACTATGTACTAAAATCTATGTTTAAACGTAAGTTACAGTGTTTTAGCTTCAACTTTACACTTTATACAAATTTTATTGGACAATTTATATATTTAATTTAGATAATTTTAAATTATTTTAGGATGAAATGGTATAATATTCTTGGACGATTTATTGAATAAATAATTGTAGACATTACTTTGAAGGTCAGTGGACATTTTTCAATAGATAGTGGCATTACGTTAAAGTACTACGAGACGTACTGAGTATTATAGTGTGACACAGGTCTTATCAGCAATAGATATAGGGTTGCAGTTTACGAGACTCTATTTATGGATCATATGAATTGATCTACGCGTTAAACTAATCCCAGACACGTTCTTCCGCCACGTAGATAACGGTTGTTGTTGTCAATCGTAACAAAAAAATAGATGTTGTCAAACTCGAAGCATTTACAGATAAAAATATGTTTGACATCTTTCCTCTGATTTCCATCTTTTTCTTCTTCTTCTATACTTTCTTTCCTCATCCTGATAGCTATTACTTACCATGTACAAAGCCCAAATCTTGCAAAAAATTAAATCGGTGGCAGAAGCCCATAAGAATAAAGTCAAAGATGAGTCCTTCCGTAAGTAACACATGAGCGCGAAGCCACAAATAAGTTATAGTGGTAATCCTCAGATTATGTTTTGTATGACTAGTAAACATCGAGTGCAAGGATTGCAAAACACTCGGACATTTCAACAAGGCATACCATGAATGCAAGTTTTACAAAGCAGTTTCTGCGGCTGATGGTAAGCATCATGCTCTCACTGCAAGACAAGTTTATGTTTGCTTAACGGAAATTTAGTTGGAAGTAGCGGCAAGAAACGTAAGCAATCAGCTACAATCAAGGAAGAAAAGAAGCAAGCAAAGAGAAAGAAGAAGCAAACAACTGGAGATATCAAGTGTATCAGTTGTGGCTTAAAGGGTCATTCTACTTCTCGTTCTCTCGAATGTCCCAATCACATTGCTTCAAAGGAAGAAGTTATTACCTCGACGCTTGGAGAAGGCTCCACTGTATTCACGAGGAAGCTCCCTCTTACGTCTGCTGTGAAGCCAGCGTTTCGCGAACAATTCCAAGAAAAAGTCATCTCTTGCTGCTCTGACATAAGGAGAATAGTATTCTCTAGTCAATTATTCGTTAACTCGTACCTCATTCATTATCAGGAGAATAGAAGGAATGCTAACAAAGGCGACAAGAAAGACACTGATAAAAACAGCAACAAAGGCAGTAAAGAAGCCAACAAAGAAGACAGCAAGAAAGACAGTAAAGAAGCCAACAAAGACAGGTCTATTCCTGATGTATTCTGCCAGCAATTCTGGTATTCAGTAGGTCAGCTTATAACGGGCAAGCAAGTTACTCACAAAACGGCATTATCCGAGGACATAAAACAGTATTATACAGACTTCAAGGCAAAGTTCCCTACTATCGAAGTAAAACACAAGCTGACCGTGGGATATAGTCATTGCCTTACAGAGGCAGCAAAGGAATTGAGCGTCTCTTACACGAACTCCATTGTAGAGCGCTTCGAGCAGCGCTTAACAAAGTTCTTTACCTACAAATTGAGAACTATGCTCCCGGTAAGGCTGTAACCGAGTACCTTCTTAATGCTCTGCTGTTTTATTCATTTTATTTCTCTTTATACACATTCTAGAATATCAAACGCACTGATGTATAAAGAATTGTACAGCTGTATTGTTACCAATCTGTCTGTCATGGTCATCCTCATTGGCCAGAAAACCTCGAGCTGGCGGCTGTTGACAAAAACCGAATTGAATTACTCTGCAAACAATTTGAAGAGTTCATTCCAGGAGAAGTAACCCTCGTTTCTCTTTCTGCTGCTCCTGCAAAGTTTGTTAATGCGTTATGGAACATACAGTTTACGTACGAGCAAGAACATATACAGCATAAACCGTACGATGTCCGTGTCCTACCACTTCCTCAGCGTTTCTTTCTCTTTCCTACTCCATCGCTGAAATGGCGTTTCATCGCGATAAGTTTAAATGCTCTTACACCCTTCATGTTTCCCGGAAAAGTTGCCAAGGGTTATACAGCCCAACTCGAACAATTCTGTAAAGTCTTCGACTTCAAAAAGTTTGGCTTTAAGAGGTAAAACTATAGAAGAACTTCTTCAGCAAAATTATGCCTAATAGTAAACACACCCCTATTTTTGCTTCTGTCATAGTCTAACCGCTTTGAAGGAAAGTTCTGATGTAATGTTTCGAAACATGGTTAGGTCGGACGGCTTTACTGTAGACTTTTTGTTCAGCCGCAAAAAGAAAACAAAAGAAGACATGACCATTCATAATCATACCTTGACTTTGGAAGATTTTTCTTATGACGAAGTACAAGACAATTACAGACCCGCTTTCCTTGATCCAGGGCGAAGATCTGTCTTCACAGCGGCAATCGGACTAGATCATAACAAACATCAAGTACGCAGCTGCTCTACCAAGGAATATTATCATATGACCGGAAGTATCAGATACGCTGCAAAGCTGGAAAAGAAGAAAGCAGGCACAATTAAAATGATCGAAAGTGGCATACCAACCGCCAAAACTTCTATCATCGAACAACATGACCGTCATGTACAATATATATTGCAGCACTTCGAAGCCTTGTTCTCTTTTTACGGCGAGGGAACTGCTGAAGACAGATTTCGTTTATACCAGGGTCAGGAGCGTGCTGCCAACAACATGGTCAATTTGCTTATTAATGGAACCACAAAGTACAATAAGCAATTGAGGTTGAAGAAGAAGAAAGATCGAAGCAAGTGGCCAAAGAAGAATACCGACAGAATGGCCTTTTGTAAACGTAAAAAGAAGAAGAAGAAGAAGCAAAAGGTTCCAGAAGAGAAGGAAGAAGCAGATGCGAGAGAAGTAAGCGATGTTCTCGCTAAGAAAGATAGGTAAGGTTTTTAAATGATAAGCAATTCATCCACTATTCGCAGAAATATTGATAGAACTCATGCTTTCTACAGTAATCCCCTGAAGAACAAGTGGAAGCCTGAACCCTTTAGTGCAGGCGACACTAAAAAGATCCCTTTGATTGTAGTTGGTGATGGCATGTTCGGGAAGAGTGCAGTGCCCATCAAAGGCCATAAGACTGGTGTCGTTGGTGTTCTGTGGCGTGCATTGAAGCGAAGAGAGGCTGCTGGTGATCTCCTTGCCGTTACAATTGATGAATACTTGACATCACGCATATGCAATTGTTGTCGCTCAGACACATTGAAAGCATTAGACACCGTGCGTGGCTGTAGTATCCTTGTTTGCAAAACCTGTAAGATACTATGGAACCGCGATGTCAATGCAGCAAAAAACATGATGGCCATCAGCATTTCGGTATGGAAGTCAACGGGAAGACCTGCGGAGTTTTCTAGAAAACCAAAATCACCCGCATCAACCACTTGAACACCATCCTCTAATCGCCAGCACGAAGCTGGTTGGATTTTTACAGGTAAGCATCTCAATTTTTGTGTAGTTCAATCTTGAAATTATAACTTGGAGGTCTCAAAAATTTACTTTTTTCGTCTAGTTATATTGCGGCTTCGTCTAAACCTAAAGCTAAAAAACTGTAATAAAAAACTCCTGCAGTGCGAAAAAGCATTTTTCTGCCGTCACTAACAAAAGACGCCGTTTTAAAAATGCAACGTCACTCCATTATTATACTCAACTGAAATCAGCTTACATCCGCTTTCTCCCCACTTAACGTCACCACTGAATTAGTATGAACACCAAAAAAATCATCGTTCTTTTACATTATACTTTTTACTATACTTCTAGTAACTTTTTATAATTAGCAACTAAAGTCATCTGGTAGTTTCCATCACCTTCGACACTTTCAAATATAGTAAACTAATCTATTTTTCTTCCTTCTCCTTGCACTATCTTTTTAATAAATGATTAAAAGATGGTTTGGGCAGCATGAGAGATGCTTGGGATTAGTACGTTTTGTCTTTTATTAAAAAGCTTAGCTGAACGCCCTTGAGACTGTCCCTATGATGGAAAACTTTCAACAGTTGGAAATCTTGGAAACAGGTTTCCAGATAGCTCATGCCACATACTCTCCGTGGGTGAAGCACTTAAAAAACCTAGAAGTATATCGGAAGAATTCATCCTTCGTCAATTTGAAAAACATTCGTACCTTACTGATGGTAACTGAAGCGTTTTGGCGTTTGTATCAACCTGTAAATGATGAAGAATTGTGGAAAACGAAGCGTCGTCCGACTTACCCTGCCATCTACTCTTTGATTGATGCCACCAAGGATCGACATCGCTTTTGTGTCCTGCAATTTGAATGATAAATGACAGTGCCACTTTTTTCTTTAATAAAGTAAATATACAAATTGTTGTAGTGCCAATCGCAAAGAAATATTGTAGTGGCGATCAAAAGGCATCTGACAAAAAGGAAAAAAAAAAAAGGGGGAGTATGTATGAGGGGAAAAGATCATTGATAATACCGTGATTTACGTTTGATAATCGAAAGCAATCTTCGTTTAAATTCAGTCAATGTAGAATATCCTTTTTATGCTTCTCAAAGATGCTATTAGGATGTCTTTCGTACTGTTTCACCCATCTTTGTGCCGTACGAACGTAGATTCCCAACAGCTTTGCAGCAGCAAAAAGCGCTCAAACACTTCTCAAACAATAAATTAAAAAACTTCATAGTTCTGATCCGTGTATAGCGGATAATTACGCTTGGTCGATGCTTCTGTCATTGCTACGTTGGTTTCAGCGTTTAAGCTATCTTCTATATTTGCATGGTTTCCGTTTTATTGTTTCCTTCTTGACACAAATTAGACAAATACTATGTAGAAGGGCTCAATGCTTCAAGACGATATTGCTCCTTGTCAACAATATAATCCATGGGTTCGGGCCTGCCAGGTTCATCAACAACAGTTCCTTTTCCATCTTTGTACAAAAATTGAACATTCACTATGATGAAGATTCCGGTGTAATCGGTGGTAAAAGAAGAAATTGCGAAGCGAATAGTTCTGGTGCACTTTATATATCCCAGAAAGATGCCAAGGTTTATGCGACAACACAACCAGGAAATGCGACATCTGATTTGTCACCAGGGCGACGTCTACTTATAAAAGTTGCTGTATACAGTAAGCGCAACGCCAATGGACGGGTTTCTGAATCCCATCTGATGATACAAGAAGTGTAAACCAGTTTTATAAAATTGATAATCATTCAACTAGAAATCCCTTCACATAATACTTCTTGGAAAGTAGATGCCATTTCGATGTGTTGATTTTTAACATGAGCGCGAGTCAATCTTGTTTCAAACCTTTACAGATCCCCGTCTAACTCTTCTGACTGCCCGTAACTCGTAACCCGTATTCTACTGACCTACTCGCAAAACTTGTTTTCTCTCAACTATCTTACCTTCGATGTTATCTCAATCATTTACACCCGGAGCTGATCTCTTGCCTAAAGAAATTCTGAGGCACCCTTTTGTAATAGATATCATTACAAAGGCTCTATTGAAAACAGAAGGGGACTACATTCCCGAATTGTCCGAATGGCCAGATGGCACTAGGAGTGATGTGGTCCTTGCACACAATCCGCCGACAAGGTTTGTTGAATTCCAACGTGTTGTGGACAAGACTTTCATGCAAAGGGCTATGGGTACTGCCTTCAGGCGAGCAGAAGGGAGCCAATCATTTTGATCTTTTGCATCCAATCGACTGCGGTTTCTGTAAGGGAATGCTTTGAAAAACGTGATGATTTGCCTTGTTATGTCGTGCGATTTGTGGGCAAATCAATGCTATGTTATCGACAATAGTATTCAAAATCATATCCAACGATAATCTGTACCCATTCATTGCTCTTGGGTTATTTTTCACAAGCCAAGCCCCTGCTCTACATTTGATTCCAAGAAGTACCGACCCAAACAATGATTTTATTTTATCCTATATCTCTTGATGTGTATATAAAACATTATCAACCGGCAAAGTAAATCAGTTAAATTGCACGATACATATTGCACTCAATATCGTAAAATTCTGGACCTTTTGAAGGATGCAGATACGCCAAAAAGCAATATTCTGGAATATGTGCCACAGCTCGTTCAATACAACAATGAGCAAAAAAGAAAATATAATGAGTTTACTGCGGGTGATACAGAAGACCATATAATCCATCAGCAGGTAGTGAAATCTAAATATGAAGAGAAAATGGAGTTTATCGAGGAATTCATGCAAGGTAGAGCTGATCAGGGTTTATATAAGTAGATTGGGAGTTAATTCACCGCTGAAAATCGAGTACATGTTAAATGCAGGAGTGATTGTCCAGCAGTGATACATCTAGTTTGTACCGACCGAAAGGCTTTAAAAGCTACAACATATAGAAAGAACATTATGGATGAAAGAGAATCAACCAAGCATTTCTTAAAGAGAATACGTACACTATATCTAAATTTGATTCTATTTATTCAGAATAAAGATGGTAATGATACAAATAAATGAAGGACTTCTGAAACGAGAGGAAGGGGAGGTTATAAGAGAATCAATCTCTAGTGTTTCGATGCGATATGATGGTGATTGTACGAGCGGAGGTAAGAGAAAAGATGCTATATATGTAAATGTGCGTATACCAGACCGGCTGTTACATTATGTTTGAAAGAAAGAGGAATCAAACTTGCTTAGAGAACCTTCCACTTGATTTCACCTACACCCTTATCAAGATCACCAACAACACGCTTGAACAAGGTAGGAGTCAAATCAAGGTCTCCCCAGCCACATCCAGGACAAGCGTCCATGATCTTAGCAGTGACAGTACCGTGGGGGCCGTTAATTTGAACACGCTTACCACACCACTTAGAGTTACCGTCCATGTCACCGTATTGGTCACCATTCAAAGCGACAATTTCTGAATCATCATCGATCCACTCACCCCAACAGGCACCGTAGTTACCGCCGTTTTTTTCAGGGGAAAACCAAGTGGCAGTACCGGTGTAGCTATTGCTCCTCTTGATCATTCTGTTGGCGCGAGCTTTCTTGACATCAGCAGATGGAGCAGCAGAAACGACAGTAAGGATGACAGCGATAGCAGCAAAAAGTGCGAAAAGGAAATTATTGGATTGCATTTTTTACGTTTGAAAAAGTTGAATAGAAGTAGTTGATGAAGCTTGGTAAACTATGGGACGGCCTGCGACTTTTATGAAAGAAAAAAGAGGATACAGTGGTTGTTGAATCGAGGATCTGTAAATAAGGAATTTGAGATTGACCGAATTGGCTGCCCTTCTTTATATATATTTTTTCTGTAATCTGCAATTCTCGTTTTTCCGTTGTTTGTAATGGATATATATTAATATGGTACCTTTTTTGTTTCACCTGCTTCAATTTTAAATAGCTTCATGGATTTTTATAAACTAAGTTTATCACTGAAATAAGCATTTGGGAAACAATTCCGACTGGCTTAATTCAAACATTGTCCACGCTGTAAAACGCTAGATTTGTCTAGTTATCATTTTCAATGCCAGATTGAAAGATGCCACAACACTGCATAAGCTTTTTTTACTTGCCCAATGAAAATAATCTTTAAACCAGCATTTTGAATTCTAACTTGTTTCGAAATCATGAACTTATAAATAACTTTCGAAAATCGATAAAAGTGTTTGCTACACATATCCTATAAATACGGCTATATTTATAGAACCCTTTTTACAGCGGAATTATGTAGTTTTATTTTTTGATCTCCAATGACTATTTTCCCTTGTACCGTGACAATAATGGTAGCCTAATTCTTTTTTTTTTTCTTTTTTTTTTTTTTTGATAGTTTTGCAGAGCCAATTTAGCGTTCACGATGGATGAGAGGGCAGGTGGTTGGGAGTGTGAAGGTCATTGAGTCCTGCCAAAGTATTCATTTTCTTCATTTTCTACAATGGATTTTAGAAGCATTTACCTGGTAATTCCTTCCACTCGTGTTTGTTTCGTTGTCTCTTTAACGTGCTGATCGACCCGCTACTGGTGTAAACATGTGGTAAAAGTGGCTTAAACCGCGCTTTTTGCTAATTGAAGAATGATATCACGTAAGCATCTCAAATCCAAGTTTTTTTTCATAACATCCTTTACCAGTCTATAATTGAACACCAGTTATTTCTGTATTTAAATCAAGAAAACAATACTAAAGAGAACGAACTTGAATTGGCAAATATGTACGCGATTTTCGGTGGGCTCAGGAAATTTTTTGTAGGAAAAAGAATTTTGGCTAAAAATAAGTACAAAAATTCTGAAGCGTTCAGAGTCGTCTAACTATTAATCACTTTTCTGCACGTATTACTTTCGTTCGCTGACCTCATTGCGTTAGACTGTCAGTGTTATGCGGCAAGTGATAATGGAGGTATTTACAGTTCCAATGAAATAAGAAGGCAGCAGTTGGTATAAAAATTAACAAAGCCGAACGATTCGGGTTTTCGGCAAAGGAAAAGCCTTGAAAGTACGTCGAAGCTTTAAATCTGCTTAAAATGGTTCAAAAGTTTCAAGTGTCCGTTTTTCTTTATGGAGAATTGTGATTTTTCAATAATCAAAAGAAAAGATGTTTTCTGGCAATCGTAACCGATGTATACGATGCCTGTAATGTTCATTCTTTAAAGGGATATTGAATCAATCCGAAAGTTATTTTGATCTACTGCTGTGAACAATGGTGTAAAAGCTTTTCTTTCCCTTCTCTTTAAAAGCTGCTTCATTATCTTATAAAACTATCTTTAGCACGTTTCTCCACAGAAGGGTTTGAATGGGTCAAAAGCTTGCAATACATGAAGCAAAACAATAATAAATTTTTATTAACGGTTTCATTTATTAAAAAAAAAGCTATGCTCAGGCGTATCTCTGTTTGGGAGTTCGTTAAACGCCATCAGTAAAAAGGCTAACTTTTCGGAGAATGTTGCCTTATACACACTTTTACAGGACCCTGTTGGGTCTTTTGCTCTAAAAGAAGTATTCAAACGACACCCTTTGATGAGAAAGTTCTCAGGAAAACGTGATAGTCTTGTTCCAGTATCGTTCAAAATTAGACAGGAAATTATGCCTGGCTTTTATATGGAGTAGTGCGACAGCATGTTCTATTGTTGACAGCAGACAACCATTTATTCCCAACAAAGAAGGAACTTTCTCATACATTGTCACCAGTAGGTAGAATAGAGGTTGTCGGAAACTATTGAATCAGATCAGATTGTCTTGAAGTAACCTTTCTTTCCGACAATAAACTTTTAAAGCAAATCGAGTTAATGACGCTTCAATATAGCGTATATTACAGTGTTCTGGATTGCCATTTTAAAGCTGAAAACCATAGACGAATGATAACATTTTCACATTCAGAAATTAATAAATTGTAATGTACCTACAAAATCGAGAATATTTCGACTACCATCATTCTGTGCGACAACCATTGATTCAGTGATTTACGATCCTTTATAGTGTAGACGACAACGTCCACGGCACCAATTTTATGACCCTTCCAGTAAATGCATAATTTTGCTAAACATGTCATTATCGAACAAGACGAGTAGAACCTTTTTGTCGATCGATTGCAGTGGGCTTTTCGAAATTCCATCTTGTGGAATATTTTTACAATTTAATGAAAGAAATTAATGAAGATCAAATTGCTTTGTACGTGCCTCTCTGGTTATGCCTCTTTAAATTTCTTTTATTCTTCTTGTTTTTAATACCTTTTTCCTCTGGCTCTTGAGTCTTCTGGGTGATAATAGCGGGATCCAGGAAGACGTATTTCTTCTTTTTTTAACATATTGAGTTTCCTCTTATTATGTGTTTGTATTTGAAGTGGTTTGTAAATTTAAAAGAGGATGGAAAGAATAAGTCAACGTCTTTTCCAGAATGACAGAAAAATTGAAGAGCTCTTTGTAACTATGTCGTTATGGTCAGTTATGAGCAATTATAATTCCTTTGGTTCTCCACTAAACTGATGTAGACGCAAAGTAGAGGTGACCATCTGTCAAAAATGAGAAACATCCAAATTTTCAAATATGTCTCCTTCTTACAAGAAGTATTCTCTTGTACGTGAATGCTATTGCTTTATTCTAAAGGGTTAAATATATCTCAGTCACAATCTAGCAGGCTGTAACTTTAATGATTTACCGCATTTAAACAAAAGGAGTAAGCTGTGCGTTAAAACATTCATTTGCACATAATTAAACTAGCATTGCTATAGGGGTAACAAATTGACGTAGACAAGTACTTCTTTTCTTATAACCAATATTACCGTTCCTATCAGACGCCTCAATCTTCTGTCAAAAAGGAAAGAAGAGATATGATATCTATTATTTCTCGCATTTCTTCTAAGCATGCCAAGAAAGTATGATCAGCTTTTTTGTAAAGTATGCATGCTTCAACCAGATGCAGACATAAAGTCTAGAATTTGGCATAATATATTACATCAAACAAATGATTATTTCGTACTTGGCTTGCTTGTTTTTTACTTCCTGTAACAGAAATGTACTGCCAGATTTGAAGGTCATTCACTCGTAATACTTTTTTAATTAAAGAATCAGAAGGTCTCAATTTTTGTACGCAGTGCTGTGTCACTTTTTTTCGCTTGACTTTCGTACGAAATGGCTATTAAATTGAGACTGTATTACAATAAAAATTCGGACTAATTAAAAAAAATTTTTGGACATAAAGTATAGTTTTTGGGATTATACCTTTTCTGTCAAAATGCTCAATGCCAAATGTGCGAACTACTATTACTCAAACAAGGTAAATATACTGTGCCAAAGCACAGAATACCTACCCTGTTTGAGTATGTAGTAACGTCATTCAGCAGTTAATAAAACCCCAGAAATGTACAGTGACAAATTTCACAAGATGAGCTCACCTAGAACCTGCAGCACCATTTTCGTTATGGCGATGGCGAGAGAAAATGTCGGGGCGGCCATTGTGTTCCCATACGGAATTTGCAATAGTAAGCATATTTTTGGCCGCATTGACGTCTCTTTGCCATATTATACCACAGGTTTTGCAGACCTTGGTACCATAGACGCTGGAGCCGTCCGAAATTCGTACTTCTTTCATTTCGACACTATTACAATTGTTACAAACCTACGAAAATGACATTACTTTTAGAGAAGGGCACTTGATTTGGCAATTTGGGATCCACCTTTGAGGTTTTAAACTCACAGTATTCGATGGCGATGCTTTTCTCGCTTCTAGCCTTCTCTTTTTGCCCTTCTCTTTAGCTTGCTTTGTTTCGTATTCGTCTTTTCCGGACTTTCGTTTCTAGGCTAGAAAAGCATATGAACAGAATATCAGTGAAAATGAACAGGAAATACTACCTCTTCAGCTATCTGTTACCATTATATTCTGGACACAAGTATGAGCCCTTATGGGCATGTCCTTCCCGTCCGCAATCGAAACATACTCAGTTACAAACAAAATATGTACAGTACAGTCGTTGTGAGTAGCTCGTGATGAGATCTTATTTTAATCTACGTGATGATCCACTGTTAACACTTCTTTAATAATTCTTTAAAGGATATATAACTAGACTATGATAAAAAAGGGAAAAGGTACCAACTTTTTATCTTTTTATAAACTGAAACTTTTTGTTGGAGTGTTATATTTGGACAACAAAGAAGTTTTGACAACAAAAACAATCTAGACGCGCTAAATTTTGACATCAAATCGAAACACGTTTATTAATCGAGACACGTTTATTTATCACTTCATCAGTTACTGACAAGAAACAGGCGTTTAACTTAATTTATACAATCATCTATTGTTATTGCTTTCTTTAAGGGAAAAATGACACTAAAGAGACTCGATTTTAGATCAAGAGAGATGCTGAGCAGTCAATGAGAATACAGTATTGTGAGTCATTGACATAGAATACGACTGGACAACCAGCCCACATGGCAGCTAAGGAGAATGTACGTAATTCTTCTGGGCCGATCACACGACGGAACTTACTGTAACAAATGCGTGCAGAAAGGAGGTGGCCTCAAATGGTTACTAAAAGTGTCCAAGTAAAAAATAAACAGTCCGAAAATAAAAACTTAACTTATCTGAATTAAGTTAATCAAAATATCCAATTTTGTATACAAAAAAGTATAATTCAAAAAACCGAAAATACTGTAGTTGCCCAGTGAGCAGTAGGAAAATGTCGGAAGTTTTTCTTCACTCGGCGGCAGTTTCATGATTTAAGAATGTGGGGAAATCAGAAAAAAAAAAGCTTTTCGCCTTCTTTTATTCTTTCAACAATTAGACTATTAACTCCTTTCCTTTCCTTTAAAACAATAAGCAATTGCTCTCGTTTTGATGAAGTCTTCTAAGGCTTGGCCAAAGATATCTTCAGCAGCAAGACATGTAGCACAACAGTGCCAACATCACCATCAGCAACATACTCATCAGCACTTAGTGGTAAATCAGCATTCAATAAGTTTAGCAACCATACGACCACATAACTTATTATTACAGCATCAACTTTCAGCTACTACTTCCTCAGTCTCTTCTAGTAGTAATAAAAATGAAATAGCCACTAATAACAACCAGCATTCAACCTCAACATCTATTTTACCGTCTTATTCATTCTACAAACAGCCTTTCATTGTACAGTCTTTCCACTCATCACCTCCTTCCATATCGCCAACAAAGCATCGGCATCATCGTCAATTTTCTACCGCTCCAGCTTGTGCTAATGCCGCAGTAGCATTGCGGCATCAAATCAATTGTAATAGTAATAAAGAAAGCAAACAGACCCAACAGCATCAACCCGACGACCCTCATCTTTATATTCATCAACAACATAGAAACAACACCAACGCTACCACATTGAGCCCTCATAAATCTACTCTGCCATCACTTATTGATTTCTTCGCTAAAACCTATGCTAAACAAGCCCCATCCTACATTTTCTGTCACGCCGCGTCAGGCTTTGCTAAGCAACGCCGTACAACTGCTTACCTGACACCGGAACAACGCCATATCTTGCAACAACAACAAAAACATTACCTCAGCGTTCAAATTGGCGATGATGCCTATTTTCGACGTTCAGATGCCATCGGTGTTGCGGACGGCGTAGGAGGATGGGCTGGGGTCTCATCTGCCGCTAACGCCGCATTATACAGTCGCAAACTCATGCATCACGCCTACATGGAACTAGAACGTTTCGACAACATGGAAGATTATCCGGATTACTACTATAATTACGATGAATATGCCGATCCAATCCGCATCTTACAAAAGAGCTATGAATACAGCAATGATGAGGCCAGGAAAGAAGGCATTTTGGGCTCTTGCACAGCTTGTCTAGCTATTTTGCGTCATGCTGAATTGAGAATAGCCAATTTGGGCGATTGCGGAATATCTGTAATACGACAAAATGACTACATTTTCCGAAGTGAAGAACAACAACATGCGTTTAATTTCCCATACCAACTAGGCACTAGTTCTCCAGATCAGCCTAAGGATGCGCAGACGTTCACTGTGGCTGTGGAGAAGGGGGATATCATTATCATGGGCTCGGATGGTTTGTTTGACAATTTGTTTGATGGTGAAATACTGTCTATTGTTAAGCGTCAGGTGGCTACATATACTATACCGGGTAGACCTAGTCGATTACTCTCGTTGGAGCCACAGGTGATTTCAGATGCGTTAGCGGAACAAGCAAGAATTGTGAGCCTGTCAAAAATGAACGTGGATAGTCCATTTCAAGAACGAGCGAATCATGAAGGCATCTACTATCAGGTAAAAATCGATATATGTGTATTATTTCAATCAGCATGGAGTCATAGGTTTTATTAACATTTTCTGTAACTAATGATAGGGTGGAAAGGCAGATGATATCAGTGTGATCGTTGCTATTGTAAAAGATTGTGAAGACTCTCCCGATAGAAGGTTATAAAAAAAATCAATAAAATCCTCATTTATCTGTCAACACATTTATTGTACAGTATTGACTTCCTATGAACCAGTAAATACTTAGAAATAAATGTCTAGAGATAAGCCGTCCTTTTTTATCAATCAATTATAATTCAAGTAGATTTTCACGTATATACCTTAGGACTATTGTTCATTGTATTCCCTTTTTTTTTTTGTATTCCTTACTGCCGGGTGTCTCTAAAAGTTCGAGCTGCGGCCAATATGATATATGATTTCACAAGCGTGTAGTCTAACAACCGTGGTATGCATTGTTATGTCTCCAGTATACGCAGGAAATAAAGGTATGAGCTTATTGAGCAGTTGAATAAAAATTCACACTTCCATTCTATTAAACTTCATTTTGAACGTTGGCCCTACAACCTAAATGTCAAATAGTTGCACCTTCATTTAGGATATACTTACAGACCGCTTAAGAGTTATTATACAATTATAAATATGGTAATAAGCAGCTCCTTTATATTTATGCTGTCATTTTCTTTATTATCCATATTTAACCTCTTCTTCCACTGAAACAACATACGGCATGTTAATCGGTAAAAGATCAATGTCGACAGTTGATGTCTTATGCTTATTAGGTGGACAATTCAATACAGTTTTTGTTTAATCTATTAACACAGTTTATATGCTTGACTTGTGTACAGAACAACACGTTAATGCAGTACTGCTATAGTCTTTACTATGATAGTCTAAACATTGAATTAAGTGATAGTAATCACTTGTGCGTAAGCTTGAATACTGTCGATCTATTATCTAGCTCGAAGCTTGATTGTATAGGCTTTACAACATATATATTCATAAAAATGACCGGTTTTATTGTGCATCATCAATCAATTTTAGGCTTTTTATAATAATGTGAGTTTACAAAATTAGCATTTTATAGTTAATTGAAGATCTAGTCAGTAGTTACGAAGATGAACCCAATTATTCACCTTAAAGATGTTTCATCCTTGATGATGTATAAAAGATAGCAAACCGTTTCATTTATAGCTGATTGCAGCTTTACCATCATGAATAGATCATTAATGGGCATAACATCATCAGATTTGGGATTTACAATTGCCACTATAGCTGGCTAAAATTGTTATAGTCCGTATGGTGATTATTGTATCAAAAGTATGATGGGACAGATAACACACCACAAATTCTAGAAAAGATGGGAAAATGTATAAATTCTGCTTTCAACAATTCAACCAGCGACATTTTCATCTATTTGCTATTTTCTGTTCATCTTCCAACCACGGTTTTTTATGAATAATATTGAAGAAGCAGTCTTTAAAAAGCCAAAAGACCGCCTCCTTAACGAAAGTGACGCTGAAACAGCTACAGATGACGAAACAACGGATACCGATTCTTTAAAGCCTTCGATTCAGCTTAGTCAAACCTTTGATTTAACAGCTGATGAAGGTGACGAAAGAAGTGAAGAGGATAACGGTGAAGCTAAGAATAAGGGAAAAGAAAAAGACACAGAACTTGATAAGGACGACAACAGCGTTGTTGACGAAGAAGCAGCTGATGATAAGCTTGTCAAAGAATACAATAAGGCTAGAACAAGGGCTTTACGAACGTCGACGAAAGTGACAGATGAGCAGATTCAGCAACGGAAACAGAAATGTGAGTTCTTTCCCGATTTATTGGTCACTTTTGCTTGTAAATTTATTTGAACTCATAGTTCTCAAAACTTTTAAATAGCCATGGTTAATAATGAAGACGATAATGTCAAAAATTGGGCTGATCATGATAAACACTTTTTCATTCTTAGCAGTGCTGGCAAACCCATATGGGCAAGGTAGCCCATTCAATTCACTTGTACAGATACACTAGACACCTTCTAACGTACGCTGTTCATGATATAGATACGGCGATGAATCTCAACTATCTACCTTAATGGGTGTTATCCAAGCCATTATATCTTTTTTCCAAGATAGCGATGATACCATAAAGTACGTAAGGCTGAATGACTTTTTTGTTTGTAGACCATTTATTGATGCCAACCTGGTTAATTCTCTTCTTTTATCTGCTGATATAAAGATCTATTCAAGCACAACAGCATCAGATTGTTTTCATCATAAAAGGGCCTTTATATTATGTTGCTGTGTCTAGAACTGGCGAATCTGCCACCCAATTGCGTGATCAGCTACTGTTCTTACATAACCAGATCCTCAGCGTTCTCACTAACGCTCAACTCACAAAGATTTTTGAGCAGCGTGTCAATTTCGATTTACGTCGACTGTTGGGCGGTACTGAAGTGTTTTTAGAAAGTCTGTCCGATCTCTTCAGCAAAGACCACAGCTTTATGTTGAGTGGATTACAATGCCTACGATTATCCAAAACAGTACGCGAACAGATAGGCCAAGTATTAGCAACCGGTCGAGTGAAAAATATTTTGTATGGCATGATTGTATGTAAAGGACAGTTAGTGACATTATTACGACCGAAACGACATAGCCTGCATCCGTCGGACTTACACCTACTATTCAACATGCTGACGGGATCCACGACTTTTCACCACACAGCAGAATCGTGGACGCCCATTTGCTTACCTAAATTCAATGCAAAAGGGTTTTTACACGCCTATATCTGTTATATAGAAAAGGATGTTTCCATTGTCGTGATAAGTACGGACAAAAACAACTTTTTTGAGATTAGTGATTGGAAAACAAAGATGGTGGAAAAGCTGATCTCGTCGCAACCATTGATACAACAAACACAGCACAAAAGACAAGAGATAGAAAGTCAGCAGCAGCAACAGACGCAGCAACAGTCAACTCTTCCTCCATCATCATTATTAAGTCAGCTGAAGATGGAAAGTTCTTACACAGTCGCAGATACTGAGATACCATATTTATTGCATTTCCTGTATAAATCAAAGACCTATATTCAATTCACTACACCTACTTTACAACAGCTAGAAAATCAACACTTAGACAAACTAGATGAAATCAATACATACTATTTTAAATTATATCAACTCGTTTATGATAGAATGCATCATCGATCAAGACCATTGAAATTGTATTATTTCCATTCAAAGAAAGAAACAGTATTGGGATGGGTAAAAACCAAAAATAAAAAATACGTAACCGTTTATTCCTTATGTACAGTTGCAAATTAGTCTAACTCTTTTTTTACATAGATAACATCCTCATTCGAATTATACGTCATATTCCCCTCAGATATAACCAAGTCTGTACTCGTAGCAAGCTCAAACCAATTACTAAGATGGATCAAAAAGAATGAAGAGAGCCTCTTTATCCTCAATGCACCGGTATTCTAAAATTTCTCGTCGCCTTCTTCCTTTTCTCTCAGATTCATAATTTCTATTTGACCTTTACCTTTACCCTCTTTCTGTAATAAATCGCTCATCACACGATATTTTCCTGGATCAATGAGAGCGATCTAGAATTATTTCATTTTTAGTTTGCATTCCTTTCAAATCATGATGGAGTTCCATTCATCCCACTCAGCACTTACCAGTTCATATTCCATGGAACTTGAATCTTCATCTTCAATAGAGGCGCATAGAGGTAAGAGCTTTTCTTTTAGTTTTTTTGTTTCATTACTTTGTTGTAGCGTCAACCGAATTCGCATTTGAGCTCTTTGAATCGGCAGGACTTGTTTCTCCTGTAGTTGTTTAATCACGTCCAATGCTTGGGATTTCGTACTTCTCTTTGGATTCACACTCAAATGCAAATCTTGCATAGCTTTTTCAATCATAGTGATAGTGTAAGGTCGTTTGGTTTGAGGATTGATACAATTTTCTGTTACAATGTTGGCGATATCTCTCCATGTCGTTTCTAATTGATCCGAGCGTTCTTTTTCTGCTACTTGAAGTTCACCTTTTTTAAGAATTTCCTGGACAACTTTGTCCACTACTTCAGTTTTAAAACATTTCTTCAGATCTTCCTTACTGGCCACTTGGCCTTTAGAAACATTGATGAATACGTTGTGTATTTGCAATACTTCATCTAAGTCTGTCTCCCTGTGACAATGTGTTTGAACGAAATACAGAAATGGTTACTACTGATTCCTCTGCAACAAGAAAATACTTTTTGGTTAATGATTTAAGAGTGCTATACTTTACACATTGGATCGCCATTCCATAACTTTATTCTTATAGCACGCTAACTCAAAACGTTTGCCACCTTTTCGTAGACGAACAATGGAAACATTTGTAAGCCTACAAAAAAAAAAGAAATTAAAAATTAGGATCAACATAAGGGTCAACATAATATAAGCCATGATTCCGTAACTTACTTAATTTGTGTATTAGGTTGTTTGATGACCATGTTCTATGAATAAAATGAGGAAGCTAAGTGTAAAAAAGGTTGTTTTATCGGGGAAAAAGCAAAATTTTAAAAAATGCTGTGTTTCCTTTAATGTAAAGTCGGCTTCCATTTCAGTGATGGCCGCAGCATTGCGCCTTTTTATTTTTTTCCAGAATAATAAAAGTTGAATGAGGTAAGTACACTTAACGCCAGAAGATTCGCGATTATTCGATGCTGCGGTTGTCATAACCTTATGTATGGTGTGATCTTATTTTTTTTTTGTCTATTGATTTTGAAACATTTGCAGAGCAGCATCCTATGTATGACAAAAGTAAAGAGCAGGCCCATCCGGTGTTGAGTTTATTGAATATCAAATTCTTTTTTATCTCACAAGAATAGAAGTTGCTTGAGCATAAATATACAGACTGTCTTTAAATTGAACATAATTTGTTACGAACTTATTAAATCAGCGGTTTGTATGGAAGTCATTGATAGGAAAGGGGATATACTATATCTATGTGGAGAATACGCTTAAACAGAGCAGTGCAGGCATAAAATTATGATTATTGCTTTCAGAAGAGACCAGCACCTGAAAGGAGTCCTAATAGATCTGCCAAAGGTAACCCATCAAGTTGTCGACGACGTAATTGTTCGTGATCTTCTGCTTCACTTTCTACAGTTTTGGATGCATTGTCCGCGATATCAGGTTCTTTATCATAGTCAGTAGTTTGTTTTTCACCGTATTTGTCCAATAAAGTGTTCAAGATAGGGCTTTCCGCTACTTCATCCAGTATGGAAGGGTCGATATTGCTCATTTCAAGATAGCCTCTGCGTTGTAGCTGCGCCTTTGGCTTTTGTTGCTGTTGTTGCTCAGGTTGGCGATGAACGACATGGATATGGTAAGTGCTGATCTTCTTACCATCAGATGCAGCCTTCGCCAAGTTTTTTTTGAGTTGCTGTAATTCAGCTGATGGAAGAGAAGGTGGGGCAGCAAAAGCTGAAGAAGCAAAGATAGCAAATGCAGTTGTCAGGACAATAGAGCAACGCATAAGTGATATTTTGAACTAGTTACAGGTCTATAATGGATAGTATGAACAAGAAAAAGTCGGTCATGATTTGTATTTATATAAATTTATTAGTCCTTTGAATCAGATTGTGCTTGTTGTCTAAAAAGAGGATATTTCTACTATAACAACGAGAGCAAAGAATGGTTATGGAATTCGTAGGTGTTTTGGACTATACTAAGAGAACAAACTCCAACCACCTATAGAATATGACAGGGCTTACACTTAAGGAAACAACTAACAGTACGTTTGGTAATGCGTCTAATGTATGCTTATTTGCAATTCTGTATGATGAAGTCAATATTCTACCAATTCAAAAAACTGATTTCTTGACTACACGCATTGGTTTTATGATCCAGACATAGTTTTGAGCAGTTAGCATTGACTATTGTAAAATCATAAATTGAACTGTAGAAAGATTGTTTACCTGGAGCAGTTGTTATTATAGCTTGAAGTTTTGGGACGTGCTTTGGGCAAAAGAGCTCTCCTTTATGAAAATGGAAATTGGCCATGGTTAGTCTACATCCGCCGTCCTTGCACTGTATAAAATAACGAATCGAAAGATATACTGCATCAGTATCATATCTACAAAGGCAAGGGTTCGTCTCCTCCTCTACTTTCGTCGTCCCTTTTTCATCTTCTCCACCCCATTCTATCGTTGGCTTAGTTTCTCTCCATGAAAATACCACTATTTATACCTTGAAACAGGCTTTGTGATAAACGCAACCATTGGTCTCAACCTTCTCAATAACATATACTTTGCGGGAACAAACCGAGCAATGACTTGAGAGGCTGTCCATTTTAAGATTTTCCCTAAGAGAAAGAATTGAATCAAAGAAAAAGAAAAAACAGAAATGAAGCTTCAATGTAAGATTTGTAAGTTTCAAGATAGAGCCGTGATGTATGATCCGTACATTCAAAGCACTTGCGTTTTACAAAATGTTCAAACCCCTATAACCGTTTCCTCTGTCTAAAAAAAACCTAACCCCTGATACCAATGAAAGGCTTTTCATGTCATCATCATCTCGTTAAAATAATTATAATTGTAGAGTATCAAGATGTGCACATGCTTGGGTAAAACAAAATGACCATAATTGTTGCACAGCATTGTTGAAGCTCTTTCCTTGCCGCACAAGCCGCTCCATTTGAAAAGGCTTTTATTTGTTTATATTTAATGCAATGCATATTTATTACTAAGTGACGCGCTTCTCAGAGGATGTCGGCTCGTTATGAACGAATCAGGTTTATAGGTGGTTTTGATTTAACTTTTTGTTCTTTCCTTTCTTTTGCTTTTCCTTCGATTCAAAAGGCATCGACTTCCATTTGTAGACTTATAATATTATTGCTTGACGAAAGTTTTCTAATTGTTGTATATAGAAAATTAAAGTCAAAAAAGTAAGTATAACATTATTATAGAATTGGCCCCTCGCATTAACTCCTGCTATCGCCATTTTTCTTCTCTACTCTTATACATTTGTCCACGAAAAGCTTGCAGACGTAAAAATCTGTATAGCCTTCAATATATTCGAACAAAATAAATTATCATATTTGCATACTCATAATTAGTTTCATCTAAAGCCCTTCTGACAGCCGAATACATCAATAACATTCCTTAAAACAATTAAGCGCAGTCATTTAGAGAAATAGTTCTCGATGGACAAAAATAACTCGGAAGATGCCTGTGCAACTATATCGCCACTGTTGCATTCAGAAAAATCGACTATTATGGTAAAAAACCTAACTTTCTCGGAAATCATGGGAGGAGAAACTAAGGGGTTTCAACCAAGATACTGATAGAAGAGGAGGTGTCATGGTAGAAGCCTAATATACGAGTAACATATTTCATTTCTTTTTATTGACTCAATAGAACCCTCAAATAAAAAAACATGTTCAAGCATCATTAGAATTTAATAATATCACGGCATCCAAAAATAAAAGGATACCAATCCCGAATGCTGCATTTGAAGACGATATTGATGATCTGAAGGAATTGACGAAAAACCTCAAAGAACAATTGGAAATATGCAAGGAAAATTACAAGCAGCAGCAGACAAGAATCAAAAGGTTGGAATATAATCTGGAAATAGAGCAAGGCAAGGTGAATGAATTGCGGCATGACAATCAGTCCTTACGTAAAATGGCTGTAGACATAACGGCAATGGCTGAGCAAGAAGAGGAATACATTGCCAATAAATTGTTACGCCATATTACTGGATTGAAAAAGGAGAAGGGAGAGCTCTTGATTCAAGTTGAGCAAGAGGAAGAATATTTAACGAATATGTTGCAAAAGAAGTTAAAACAGGTACATACTTAGGATAGTATAATATTTCTCGATTTGTAACGGCAACACGGGCTTTGTTATAAGGCAAATAAAACAATATGGTTAACTGTGTTCTCGTAGTTACAGAAAGAAAAGGTGGACCTGGAAAATACGCTTGAACAAGAACAAGAATATATTGTGAATAGTTTACAAAAGCAGCTAGATTTGTTTCGTCGACAGCAAATTTCGCCTCGATTAGCAGAGTCGGATTTATTGAACAGTGCTGCAACAGCATTGACCATTTCAGCTAGCTCTTCAACAACAACTGCAGCGTCTATTGCCTCGATATCCTCTGTCGTGTAAAATACAATTTGGAATGTTTTGGTTTCTAAAAGCTCTTCGAACAATTTGGATACAGAATACTCACATGCTACATGTTTGATGATTTGAATTTAGTCCAAAAAAGTCATGCAGCGTCAACACATCAAATTCAATATCTGCACAACTGCAGCAACAACATCTTTCAAATGGATCTGTATCATCGGGAAGCACAACAGGATTGATAGAAATGCTGAAGGCAGAAGTGCGAACGTTGAAAGCCAAAGCAGCTGAAATGGAACGAGAGTGTAAGTATATTCTATGTATATCCTCATAAGCATCGAAATTAAATGTCTCTCTTACAGATTTTAGCAAGCAGCAGCAATGCAACAAGTATAGACGAGAGCTGCTCCAACATCGAAAAGAGAATAATTTATCGACTGATGATATGGATGACGGGTATGTACAAATATACGTACGAAACCTTCATTGAATCTTCCCATTAAAGTACGTTAGTTATCTCATAGTCGCCTGCCTCGCGTGTTTCGCAGCTATCATTCTTCATCATCGTCACAAGTAAATGAAACAAACTAATTATAGTAAAATTTTGACTAAGATTACTAGAAGCAACTTACAATATTTTCTTAGTATCATCGCTCTGTGTCTAATTCTTCGCAAAGATCGGCCACAGCCACAACTTTATCTAGTAGTAGTACAGCTGTAGAGAACTCTCTCTTCGCTGCACTTAACGCTGTCTTTGATCAGACCCCTCCATTACCCACAGCTTCTACTTACTATTCCCCAAATAGTACTGTTCTACCACAGTCTATTCCTAGCACTACTACAACACGCTCACCGTCTATTAGTTCCTCCTCGGCCAGTAGCAGTCTGCAAAGGAGAGACAACTCCTCAAGAAGAATTTCGAGCAGTTTGTTTGGGCTGACCTCAACCCCTCCTCAACATCCACCTCAATTGTAAATGCTGATGTATCCGCAGCCTATTTATGCTGAATAACGCTCGACCTACTAATTTGTGCTTAAATGTAACAAAAGAATATAACGAAAGTAATTTAGCATATAAAGCTATTTACAAATAAACATCGGACATATACAAACGTACCTCTTTTAAACGCGCTGATAAGCCAATCATACTTCAAGCATAAAGCGCGAAATAAAAGGCATACAAAAAAAGGTGAAAACGAATTCTTCTTATGTCTGAAGCTGAGTGATCATTTCAACATTACCAGCTGTGAAAGAATTTGAAATGGACAACAACGAGGAGCAATTGAATCCAGTAGAGTATTCATACTGAATGGTAATAGCCTACAATTTGATTCACACTTTCCTGCTGATGCTTTTGTTAGGAAACAGTTAATCAAATTTTCAAATTGGCATGGAAAAATGACAATGCAAAAGGTGAGTTTGGTGGACAAAGCCTTGTAATAACTGACCCATTAGAACCGCTTTGACATTATATGAACAATATTGACTAAAATATTGAATCTATAATATAGCAAATAAAGATGCTCTCCAACTTTCTTGTGAACTCTTACGTCTCTTTATAGTTGGTAAAGAATATTCGATTTGCAGCATTATTGCCGAGTCAACACTAGCATCCCACTTACCTCAAATTTTTGGGCTTTTCTATTAAATTTATGTTATGCAGAGGCAGTTCATAGAGCTTCAGATGAACAGGACGTTATGATAAATACCACAAAAAATAGTACATCTACAATTTTAGAAGTAGAACATTTGGAGAGGATTCTACCACAGCTTTTATTGGATTTTTAAAGAGTGGATTACATTACAATTTAGTTATAATCATACATTTATACAAATATATACTTGCTCACTAGTCAGTTTATAAAAGTACTTGCTTCCGCATGTAAAATTTTCAATTACCAATTTCCCCAGGAGCACTTCTGCGGCTTGAAACACGACGTAAGAGATTCCCAGAGTTAGGATGGGGGATTACGGGTACTGGGGGGCCGAGAGGAGGCATATGATCGTTGAAAATTTTCATCATTGGAGGAGGCGGAGGAGGCACACCACATCGGTTTAACATGTTCGATGGTAAAGGCGGAGGAGGCGGACCACTCACAGACATACGGTGCAATAAGAAGTTGATTTGATCTTCATCTTCGCCATTTAATATCTCATCCTCACTATAAAAATTTGGGTCCAACTGATGAAGTTCTTCTGATGCAGGTAGGGGTGGCTGTTCAAAATCATTAAAAGAATATTTGTCTTGAATTCCTTTACTACCACCGACTTGCTTTCTACTGTGGCGACGTTGATGCTTTCTAAAAGATGAACGTCTCGAAGATGTTGGAACTATGTTTGGAAAGTAGGAGGAATGCTGCTCAAACAGATCATCTTCCTGCTGCATCGTCCAAAGCGGTGGTCGTAATTGATGAGGATGCCCTGGAGGCGGAGGTAAAGGAGGAGCCATTCCACCCGGTTGATGATGTAAACGTGGATAAGTAGTTAGAGGTGAAATAACTGAAGGATGTGGTGGCGGTGGAGGATGCATTCCTGCAGGTATCATGAAGGCTGGTGAAGGTAAATGAGACAACGGCGGTGGCGGCGGAAATGAAGGAGGGACACCTTTTTTAAAGCGTCTAGGAGGGGCACCTCTATCACGAAACTGTGTTGGAAGAGGAGGGCCACATAAGCTATTGCTATCGGAAATATCATTTGCGTCGTCAAAGGCACCTTCCTCTTCTGTCTCAACATCATCATAAAAGTAATCAGGATAAACAGCATTTCCGTAATAAAGTGCCTTCACGTAAGGCGACTCACCATACCAATCATTATATCCTTTTACATTACTACTCTTTTTTGCCCGTTTGTTACCGCCGGCAGCTGGAAATGTTGGCGATAAAGACAGAGGATCTGCAGATATTGGATCTTCTTCATTAGTGAATGGACGATAGTAGGCTTTCTTCCCTTCGCTAGAGCGTGGATAATCATGATCAGAATGTCTTCTGATACTTGAATTATTTTTCACGCTGCTGTCATCGTTTCTACTCTTTTATTTTTCACGCTGCTGTCATCGTTTCTACTCTTTCCTTTAATACGATATGAATAGTCCCTGCTCAATAAATCGTCATGTGAGTCTGTAGTTACACGAGCTTCATCATTCCTGCTGCTGTCTGGATCTTGTTGCTGCTGTGAAGAGATACGATAAGACTTTCTATCGTCTTCGGCTTCAAAAATGCCTTCTTTTTTCTCCTCCAAATACCTTATACGAGCAGTTAAATATCGTATATGTCTCTGAAAACCCAATTTCTCCATTTGAAATTGTTGACCGAGGCTATCCAATTCATACTTCAAAAGATAGTTTTCATCTAGAATAGCATGCACTTCTCGTGGCGAAACACTACCGACCAAAGAATCAACGACAGCTGGTGGTGCGAAATGGTGACTCATTAGAGGCAGTAGTGGCGGATGATGTACCATAGGAGAATAGGGTCGTAAATGTGGATCTTTCTGAATATATCCTTGTCGAAGTTGATGACGAGAAGGGTATCGACGAGAATATGGATAACCTTGATCATTAATGCTCTCTTTATAGTATGAGTCGGATGGGGTACCATTACGTTGCTTAACCTTTTCCGCAGGTGATGTTATTTTCTTATCTGGGTCTTCGTCATCCCTCGGAGTAAGCGTGGTACCACATACTTGATTGCTCTCAATCGCTTGGTTTTCTTTGCTGTCGATATGTTTCTGATTGCTGGCTTTGTTGAAAGAGCAGTTGGAAATTGATTCTTGGAAATGTTGTTGGTTGCTTGTATTTTCATTTTGAAGATACTGTTTATTGCTATAGCTCATGGTAGGAGTATTCTTAGATGTTGTATTCATGCTAGAAGGTTGTATGTAGCTATTACGACTATTTCCCTGGTTCTTTTCGTTCATCACTAGCGGGGGCTGTTGTTGTTGTTGTTGCTCAGTTCTTTGAGGTTCTTCTTTGGGAGGCAAAGACCCCAAATGATACGACATTGCCTGAGGCTTCCAGCCTACGTTATTTCTGCTAGGATCTCCATTATAAGGTATATCTTCTCCTTCCCTTGTTGCCACTTCTTGCTGCTGTGGGTGCGGATTTTTGTTAGTTAAAAAATCCTCGGTATTTGGTTGCTGAGACAAAGATAGATAATCAAAAAACTCGGCTCCATTTCCTTCTTTTTTCATACTCCTTACAATTGATATGTGAGATAATAAAAATGGAGAGGAGAAGGTTTAAATGGATAATAACAAGTATAATTGTAGCTGAAGAAAAGCAATATCAAAATAAGACACTGTATTATTGTTGCAGTATTACTTTTTTGTTTTTATAAGAATCTCCTTTTTTGTTCATCGTTTATTCTTTTCTGTCTGTTTTGAGGTCATCATGCTACTTCCACAACAGGTTCTTTGTACTGTATTTTCTCAGTATGGTAAACTGTGTCGTCCAGTGTAACTTAGAAATTCACGAAAGTAAAAAGCCGCACCAGGCAGTGTCCGGACTTTTATAGCCGGAATTTTTCCATTAAAGTTTTTTGTTTCTGCTGCTGTTATCAAGTCCAAACTTATTCAGGCAGCGCAAGCGGGTACAAGCGATTGATCATAGCGTGCAGTGAAAGCACCTTCTCTTTCAGCTCCCATAAGCACCCATTTTTAACAATGAAGTAATGTATCTGATGTCCATCCAAATTCAATAAGCAACATCCATCCAGTATTCATCTATATATAAATGCATGATGGATTATATTTGCAGGTTAAAATCTGTTCAGACAGCCAAAAACTAATCTCAACATTACATTCTATGCCATTTCGAACATTAGGCTTGAGATTTGTTCATTTTCTGGTTATAAGATCTACCCTGCCAAGGGTAAGACCTATGTTCGTCTTGACTCCAGGTAAATAAATTGAATATAGAGTTGATTAAATTAACGACTTGATTCTAACAAGCTATTTTTCATCTTTTTGTTTTATAGAGTAAGTTATTATATTTCAACAATTTTGTTTTTGATGTTCACATAGCGATCGACGATTACACTGTATTATAGTGCTGGTATCTTATTCTTTTTCTCTTTTCAAATGTTTTAGACTTTCCGTTTCATCAACGGTAAGGCCGCTTCCTACTTCCTCCAACGTTTGAACCCTCGTAAGATCAGATGGACTCAAATCTACCGTCGTTTGAACAAGAAGGGTATGACTGAAGAAGTTCAAAAGAAGCGTTCTCGTCGTACTGTCAAGCACGAACGTGCTATTGTTGGTGCCTCTTGGGATGCTATCCGTGCCAAGCGTAATCAAAAGCCTGATGCTCGTGCTGCTGCTCGTCAAGCTGCTATCTCCAAGTCTAAGGAAGCTAAGAAGGCCGCTGTTGCTGCTAAGAAGGCCGCTAACCCTAATGTAAGTGTTTTAATTTAAAAACTCCAGAGTATAGATTGTTTGTAAGTTCTGTACATAATCTGACAAATTTTATCCTCAATGTAGCCTTCTCAACCCAAGGTCAGCAAGCAACAAGCTAAGGGTTTTGCCCCTAAGGCTGCCGCTACCTCTCGTTAAATCTTATGATATTGATAAAAGTAACAAATTTCAGCAATTTGATCCAATAAACTGATTTATATACGATTGCTTCATGACAGACAACCACATGCATATGATTATCCGCTGACTTCCAGTACAAATGCCAATGGTTATACAATCTAGAACAAATTAGGTTGGATTCTGTGATCTTTGTTTCGAAAGTTAAAGTAGAAAGTGTAAAGAGTTTGAGAAATAGCGGCGTTCAGAGGTCGAGATATTGACAATGAGAAACAGAGATGTGCTTGTCCGCGACCTTCTTAGTTGATTTGCGAACAATTACTTAATGTTAATGTTTCGATTGGAAGACCTTTTCCGTGGTTTATGTAAGACCTGCAACTTTTAAGCGGGATGTTTGAGAGGATTAAATGATTTTGTGTATCTGCCGTTCAGTTTGAATAACTTAAATCAAAATCATTTGCGTTACTACGTCTTTCTGGCTTGTGATAGAAACCCAAGCTTGACTGAAATAAGTTAAACCATTGACAATTTTTCGATCTTCTGTACCTGATTTGTGAGTTGAAATGGCGATTTGGGCGGACAAAATTTATCCGCAGCAAATCAAACAACCATGTCAATTAAAACATAGTAGCAATTACTACTCAGAACGTATTTTGTTACTTTTGGCATACAGATATTCCTCTACGCCATTGCATATAATGAGAACCATGTACAGCTTGAGCTCGCAATTATATATCGTAAGAACCTTCGATTCAGCTGAATAGAAGAGCCAAACACAGTTCTGAGGTTGAAACCGTTAGAATAAATTCATTTTCGAGCCATGTCAAAAGTATGACAGAAAACTGATCTAAAGCAGATCTAATTGAGCACGGTGAGTGTGTTTACCCGAACAAAGGGGAAAAGTTCATGGATAAACTGTAAAATATCACTTTTCCACGTGGTACAGCACATAAAAAGTGTCGCCTGTAACATAGTGAAAGAGTCCTTTTGTTATCAAGGTCAATTCTCATTCATCGAGTTTTATGTTATTTTTTTTTTTTTCTTTCCATCCCTTCAACATTTTTCTTTTTTTTTTTTTTCTTTTTTTTTTCTTCGTCTTCAATTGCTTTTCCTTCTCTCGTTTATATGACTTTTTCTTTCATTCTAATACTAAAAGACGAGCCTAGTGTCTAAATAGATATCAACCTGTGTACATATTTTTGAACTCAATAGTATAAAAGCGATGAATATGTTGCAGAAAATAATTCCCGTCACTTTATTCTCGAGAAATAAAAAAAAAAAGGACAAACAAGAGGCTTATGATGATGAGGATGATGATGCGACAAATGATGGGTCGCAGCTGAAACGTACAGAGACCTCAACTTCTTACATGCAAAGCAAAAGATACATTTACGTCAACATGCCTCTGCCTGCCTCAGAGTATGATAGCAGTGGAAATCAGATCCATCATAATTATGCCAGCAATCGTGTCCGTACAGCTAAATATACCCCTATTTCTTTCGTCCCGAAGAATCTTTTTGAACAGTTCCGAAATGTAGCAAACCTGTATTTTTTATTTCTGGTTATCTTGCAGTGTATACCTTTGTTCGGAGTGACAGAACCTGCTGTTTCCGCGCTCCCTTTGATATGTATTCTTGTTATTACCGGCATAAAGGATGCTATAGAAGATTGGAAGAGAAACCAGAGCGATATCAAAGTAAATAATTCAGAAGTATTACGACTGTCAAATTGGAAAAACCTCAATGTTCCTGAGGTGAAGAAAGGCACATGGCATTTTTTGCATATAATCATAGGCTTTTTCTCAGTTTTATCAGGCTCAGAGAATCGATATGCGCATATTTATAGACATTCAAAGCCAAGTTATTCTGTAGTCATTAAGTCAGCAACTCCTACAACACCCACTGACAAAAAAGGAGTGTCTAATCAATCTTTCCAAACGTCCTTTGAAGATCGAAGACCACTGACTGAAATCGAACATCTGCATGAGAATAATAGCAATAGCCATGGCAATAGCAATAACGACAACAATGACAGCAGCCCACGTCCTGCAACCGCGAAACAATCAATCATGACATCCGTTCGAAAACGGTCTAATACCATTCGATCAGGTGTTTCCAGTATATTCAGCAGAAATAATAGCAGCACAGCCATACAACTCACTCCTAGAATAAGAAAGCCTTATCGACCTGGCGCAATTCCTCATTCTGTACTTTATCGTACATCTACGAGAGATTCAAATACAGCAACAGCTCCTTCGAATTCATCAGAACAGTATCCGCAAGATAATCAAGTAAACAATACCCATTTATCGTATCCTTTGCAACCAATTACAAGCGGTAGATCAGTAACAAATAGCATGTATACGACAATAACGAGTCCAAAGACAGAAGAGAATCCTATCACGAGTAGTCATGTCAAATGGGATACTGTGAAATGGAAGAATCTTAATGTTGGTGACTATGTCAAACTGGAAAATAATGATAATATTCCTGCTGATATTGTCATTCTATCTACATCTGAGACAGATAATATATGTTACGTCGAGACACAGAATTTGGATGGCGAGACGAATTTAAAGCAACGTCAGGGTTTACCAGGCACAGCTGGTATTCGTAACGAATTTGATTGTGAACAAGCGCGGTTTTACATAGAAAGTGAACCACCGCATGTCAACATTTATCAGTACAATGCTGTGTTACGTTGGCAAATCGTAGATGAGGATGAAGCTGAATATACAGTCCAGCGTCGTCACTCAGGTGTATCGCATGAAAAAGCAGATGCAGTAACTTATAACAATATTCTTTTGAGAGGTTGCGTACTACGGAATACAAAATGGGCAATTGGCATTGTTGTCTATACAGGAAATGACACAAAAATTATGTTAAACTCGGGTCGTACACCGTCCAAGCGTAGTAAATTGGCGAAGGCAACCAATCCTCATGTAAATTCGAATATTGAGACCCTTCAAGTAATCTCTTCCTTCGTAGCACTTAGCTTTTGGTTTTATATTATTGTAGGTAATTGCCAATTTTGGCATTCTGGCAGCAATATGCATTATCAGTTCTATAATGGACAGTGTTCAATTTAATAACAATGGTTCGTCAAGATATTTCGATTATGGTATTGAAAAAGCGAGCGCATCATATTCGGGATTTGTTACATTCTGGTAATTACGTTGCAATCCTTTTGATCGTTCCAATTTGATTTATACTTACTATAGAGTTGTAGGGTTACTTTGATTCTATATCAGAATATTGTGCCTATCTCGTTATACATCTCTGTAGAAATTGTTAAAACATTAGCTGTAAGTAAAAAATATTTATCATATTTATAGTTTTTATTGCTAAACATATACCTATACAACTCTTAATTTTCTATTCTCTATGCAACATTCAGGCTTATTTCATTTTTGCAGACCTAGAAATGTACCATTCACAAACAGATACGCCATGTATACCAAAAACTTGGAATATTTCTGATGATCTAGGACAGATTGAATACATATTCTCAGATAAAACAGGAACATTGACGCAGAATGTTATGGAGTTTAAAAAATGTACCATTGATGGCGTCAAATACGGTTTAGGGACGACCGAAGCGACGCATGGCGCTTTAAAAAGGTATGATGGGCAACAATCTGCAACAAAAAAGCACATATTTTCAGTAACTAATGCAAAGAACGGTATTTGACTTACGTTGATAGTAGTAGTGGTATTTTTCAGAATTCAGAGCTGTATACAGCTGACCAGATTGAAGAGTTCAAAGACGAAATGTTGAACAAACAAAGCCAACTTTTCAAAAATCCATATATTGGGCCGAATCCAACATTTGTTGCGCCAGAACTATTTGATGATTTGTGTAATGCGGAAAAGGGCGATGCGAAGCAACAACAACAGGCAAATGCCATTACCCACTTTTTCCAAAGCTTAGCTCTATGTCACACTGTCATAGCTGAACGTCTTGATGAAGCCAACAAGAACCATATAGAATATAAGGCTCAATCACCGGATGAAGCAGCATTGGTAGCAACAGCTAGGGATATGGGATTCGTGTTTTTAGGCCGTGACAGCAACAAGCTGTATTTGAGTATTAAAGGCGAGCAAAAAATTTTCACTTTATTAAATGTTTTGGAGTTTAATTCGACGAGGAAACGCATGAGTGTCATTGTCAAGCCTGCAGATAGCGACCGTATTGTCCTGCTATGTAAAGGCGCTGATTCTGTTATTTATGAGCGTCTGTGCACTGAGTTCGGTGACCAAACAGATTTAAAGCAAGCGCAAGATAATCTGAAAAGCACTACTTTACAGCATTTAGAACAGTTTGCAAACGAAGGTAGGGGAAGAGAAAATTGAAGCGATTTGTTAAGCAATGAATAACGATATTTGAAAACTACTTTTAGGTTTACGTACATTATGTATTGCGTATCGGTTTATTTCCGAGAAAGAATATAGAATATGGAATAAAAAGTACCAGGAGGCTGCAGCAAGTATCTACAACCGAGAAGAACGTTTGGATGCCGTTAACGAAAAAATTGAACAAAATATGCTACTAATGGGAGGAACAGCCATTGAAGATAGATTGCAAGAGGGTGTGCCTGAGACAATCGCTGAATTAGCCAAATCCGGCATAAAGCTTTGGGTTCTCACTGGCGATAAAAGCGAAACAGCTATCAATATCGGATTTGCCTGTAATCTTCTCACTACGGATATGGAGTTGCTCGTTTTAAAATCCAACAATCGTGTGGAAACAGCACAATTGTTAAAAGATACGCTTCGGCGAATCGACAAAGGTGAAGCTACCATGACAGATGAAACAAGTAGCAGAAAATACGCGCTTGTTATTGATGGAACAACATTGAAGTACGCTTTGCAGGAAGCCACGTCTGATAAACTGCTTGCTATCGGTATGCGTTGCGCTAGTGTTATTTGTTGTCGTGTAAGTCCAATGCAAAAAGCCCAAGTTGTATCTCTTGTTAAAAAGAAATTGAAGGTAATGACCTTGGCTATCGGCGATGGTGCTAATGATGTCTCGATGATTCAAGAAGCCAATGTTGGCATCGGAATTTCAGGTGTCGAAGGCAGGCAAGCGGTTATGGCTTCAGATTATGCTATTGCTCAATTTCGCTTTTTGAAAAAGCTGTTACTTGTTCATGGAAGATGGTCTTACCTGCGTATATCTGAAATGATTATGGGTTTCTTTTTCAAAAATATTGTCTGGTCATTTGTCTTATTCTGGTATCAGTGTTTCTGCCAGTAAGTACCTTTACATAAACTTTTTTCTACAGAACAAGCTTGACTAATATTAATCCAATACATTCAACAATAGATTTAATGGTTCTATGATTTACGATTATGTTTTAATAACGCTTTACAATTTGGTATTTACCTCACTTCCCATAATAGCTATGGCTATTTGGGATCAGGATCTTAATGCAAGTCTCTCCTTAAAGTATCCACAATTATACCGCATGGGTTTAAGGAATGACAAGTTCAAAGTATGGCGATTCTGGCTTACAACACTGGACTCAATTTATCAGTCTGCTGTTTGCTTTTTCTTCCCTTATATGCTACTTAAAGGAGGCCCTATTGACTCTCATGGATTTGATGCGAACGGCCTGTATGAGATCGGTACCATTATTTCTAGCATCTCTGTTTGTGTAGCCAATTTTTTTGTTGCTACATGTCTATACAGTTTTACTTGGCTGCAAGTGTTCATCATTGCCATATCCATTCTGGTGTATTATGTTTTTGTGTGTATTTATTCTCAATTTAATACGTTTATTTTTGCTGGTCACATTCGACTGTTTGGTTCTGGGGCATATTGGCTTATGCTTATGTTAACCATCATTACATGCTTCCTACCCCGCATGGTCGCTAATCATTATCTTCACCAATACAATCCATATGATAACGATATTATCCGTGAAATCGAATTGGTGTCAAAAAAGAAACCCAGTCAAAGGCGTTCCGTCACTGCAACCTATGAAGATCATGAAAGAAGAGAAGGCGACTTCATGGATGTAGACAAAGAGTTGGCGACTGAGGATGTGATACAATGCCAATCTTCTAAGCATTGTGAAACTGTTTAAAACAGCCAGCAAAAAAAAACTTAATACGATTTTTTTTTTTTTTTTTACGCTAGACTAACGCCTTTCACTTACATTTTGTATTTGTACTTTGACTTTACTTTTAGACACTACTCAATTAATGTAATTTTCTAATTTCTATTGAAATGAAATTTTCTCACTTTTACATCTAAACCACTTTCCTCAATAAAATGTACTTTTAAATTTGTAATTTAAGGTGCAAAAATCTAATATAACAGCCAATACATTCACGGATACCTGCTCATATATTGGTCTTATCAGTTCGATATATCAGAGCAATGTAGCGAAAGTGCTATCGAAAAAATACAGAAAGATGATCAGAATTCACTGATTTTCTGCTACCATGAAGTAATCATCAAGCAAACCTCACCCAAGAATCAAATCAAAGGTTTCGATATTCACACCTTCCCGAGAATGGCATGGCAATTTGTCCTTGAATTCCCGCTTTGTAAGCCTGCCAGAAATATAGCAAATTTGACATAGCGTTTAATTTAACCGAATCCAATGTTGCGTTTGTATTACTGTCAACAAGTCGATGGAAACACCATTACATAACATGGACAGTTCTACAACATGTTAGGCTTATTTATATACGATATACGATTCACGTTGTTACAAGAGATCGACTTCACATCATGTCTATCAGAAAGCGATAATAATCTCTCAAAAAAAAAAAAAAAATCTGTTACCACATCTATTTGAGCAATAATAAAGCGAAGCTTTTTCAAAGAAATCCCCATTACAAAAACAATGCAGCCAGCATATTTACTCGATGTAACCAATCAACAAGAAGGTTTTTTAATGAAAATTGAACTATTCAATTCGTCATTATTTTCTTTCCGTTTTTCAAATGGATGATTTTATGTAGTAAGTAGTGGAGAGATTTACATGCTTTTTTTGTTATAAGGTTGCAGAAAACGATTAAGAAATGAAATAAAATATGATTACAAAATTGAACCAGAAGAAAGTTCTTTACTCATTCTTAGCAGCGGCAGCTTCCTTTTCAGCCTTCTTTGCCTCACGAGCGGCTTCCTTGGCGGCTTCTCTAGCTTCTCTAGCAGCTCTTTCCTCAGCTCTTCTTTTTTCTTCAGCAGCACGCTTTTCTTCGTATTCTTTATGCTTTTGTTCTCTCTCCTTTCTCTTTTCCTGCTCTTCCTTTTCATATTCATAGAGCTCCATTAATTCTTCCTTCGCAGCTTGAGCATCCTTCTTACCGCCTCGAACAGTGATTTCATTGGGGTTCGTGGGGGCAGGTGAGCTAGAGGGGCTTTCATCACCACGGTTTGATCTAGGGAAACGAATATGAACGTTGTATTTCTCCTCAAGCTTTCTAACATAACGACCACTGGGACCTATCAACAAGCGATGAAATTCTTTAGGCACCTTGAGAGTGAGTGTGGCCTGATCGGCTAAATTACGGACTTGAGCCATAATGTGATCCTTGGCACTTTCAGCATTGATCTTGGGACCTTGAATAACCACCTTAACAGATGAAGCAGCTCCCTTCTTATCTTTCTTTCCAGAAGGCTTCTCTTCGCTTTTATCATTGTTATTGTTCTCCCCAATATCAATTTTGACACCGAGCTTATCTTTGATCTTATTGATGTGCATACCTGATTTACCAATAATATGCGCGGAGAAGTTGGAAGGAATGAAGAACTCGGTAGAATAAGGCTTGCTATAATCCTCTTCCTGGACAATATTGAATGCTTTTTGAAGTTCAGTCATTACGTGATTGACTTGCTTCGTGAGGCCACGGACTTCAACCTTATCACCGGGACCAAAACGAACAACAACATCCGAATCGCCAATAATAGCATTCAAAGTAGTATATCTTGGACCACGAAGGGATTCATGGAACTTAGAAGGAATCGAGGTCGTCTTAGAGATGTAATCAGAAGAGTCAGCGACAACTTGATTTAATTCGGCAGCAGCAGCTTCAAGAGAAGCCTTAGCAGCAGATTTATCTTCGCCATCGTAAACAATCAATAGTTTATCTGTTTGCTCTTCTTCTTCCGGTATAATGGTGATCACAGAGTTCGTAGATTGAATACGTTCGAGGGCAGCACGGTGGCTGGTGCAAATATAGTGATGAAGATATTGCTTGATATCGACATGGCTGAAGACATCAGGCGTCAAATTACGTACGATGTTGGAGACAGCTAGTTGAGCCAAAGCAGCATCTTTTTCTACCTTGCTGACGAATTCCAAGTTAACGGCTTTTTCAAGTTCATCAGAGCGAGGTATACCCACTTGGACATTGTGCTCATCCTCAATCTTCTTGATACTCTTTTTTGTAATCAAGTATTTCAAAGCATTACGAGCATTTTGCAAGGCATCACTACCAGTAGATTTATAGTTTTCGGCTAAATCCAGAACACTAACGTGTACAGCACGTGCTTTTTCCATTACAACAGTCAAGCCTTTGACGAGGTCAGCATCCAAACCGCGAATGATGACATTTTCAGAGGGATCATCTGAAGTAGGAAGCTCAACGGTACAGCCTGATTCTGCAAAGATTTCTTTCAAATTTTCACCGTTCTTACCGTAAAGGTATTTGTGCTGACGCTTAGGAATACTGATAGCAACTGTGCGACTGTTCTTCTCAATTTCTAAATAATTCTTTTCCAAAGCTTGTTTAGCCGCATTGGCCTTTTCCTTATCACCATAAATAGAGATGACAGTATCACAGTTAGTATTGCCTTCTACAATAATAGCTGGAATATTAATCTTAACGTTGCATTCTTCCTCAATCTTTCTAATATTGTTATTGTCAGGACCGGCTAAGAAAAGGTAAAATTTGCTGTCGAGATTATCAACCTTGATAGTTTGCTTAGCAGCCTAAAGAACAATTCATCGCAAAAAAAGAAAGAAAGGTTGGTATAAAAAGTACTCATATAATCCCCTTTTTTTTTGGTCCAAATCTCTACTTATCCCGTTTACCTTTTCACCCACAATTTTTTGAATTTCTTCCTTGGCCATCTTGATACCAGTAGCATCACCCATAATGGTGACTGTTACAGGTTCGTCAGGATTTTCATCAATGTTAAAATCTTCGTCTTCCTTTCGAGGGAAATTGATACGAGTACTGGACTTGGCCTCAATTTGCTTCAAAGTTGCGCCTCTTGCACCGATGATGAAACGTTTTGTAGAGGCAGGGACTGTAATTTCGACAGTTCGCTAGACGATTTAAACAAAATATATATTTTTTCTATTTGTTAAAACTTCATGACTTCCTATCAATTTTGTCTTTTCTAAGTTACCTTAACCACTAAACCAGCAACTAATTCACGTTTAGCTTTAGAGACTTCAGCGGGAGCGCCCTGAATCAAGAATGTAGTAGTACCAGAACGATTAGTAGAAGCAATAATATTGGTGCCTGTTCTATTGATAACTTGCTGAATAACATCGGCACTGCTTTTAAAACCAAGAGGTTTGTTAGGCATGTTGGCAATTTGTTGATTAGCGGGCAATTCTAGAACATCGGTAATTTGTGTGGCAGATGACGATTTTTTATTACTGCCAGCAGCAGGTGGTGCCATAGATCGGCGATTGGGAGAAGGAGAGTTGCCAACTTGAGGAGACTTGACACGCGAACTAGCAGCGGATGACCAGCCACCACCAGTAGCAATAGAAGTACGAGGAACAGCAGAGAGAGAAGGGAAAGCAGATTCCGAGTTCAAATCAAGTTTTTCTTTCTTCTTTGGTTTGAGTTCTTTCTTGGGCGTGGATACTGGCTTACCAATCGGTGCTGGGAAATCGCCGGCGATGAGAGGTTCAAAAGTAGAGTTGTCCATGACTATGGGATCATCGGGCGAAGGAACAAAAGTGTCTTCTTCAACCTGAACAGCGGGACTGGATGTAGCAGGTGTGGGCTCAGTAACGGTAGCATTATTAGCAGCCTGGGCGTGAAGCATGGCTAACTTAGCTGAAGGAGGCAAAGAGTCCATAGATTCGTTTGTTGCCATGATAAGTAATAGTAAAGCCGTTTAACCAAGGTAAGAAAGGAGCAGAGTTTAGCGGAAAGAAGCCTTTTTCGTAGTAGTAGTAGTAGTAGCTGATCAAATAAGCCGTGAGTCGACCTAGGCTTGCTGATACGAGTTTAAAAAATATGGTCAAAAGGAAGGAAAGAGGACAAAATTGATGAGCCTACCCTTTTGGTAGCCCAATTTAACGTTTCCTCAATTTTCAACCAATAGAAATAAATTTGAACGTGTTCCTTCTAGAAGTGTTGATGGGACTTTCAAAAAAGAAACTCCACACACACGATGAAGAGAAAAACTAAGGGTCAATGTTAAATGCCAAAGTGCATCTTCATGTTCGACATGTTTTTTCTTCTTCATGTACTTGGTCTATATGGTTTTGCAAAACTGATAAATGATAAAGTGCCTGATCCATATATGGTATTCCTTTTTCTGTTCAAAATGATAGCAAATATACAGGGTCAATGATCTAAATTTCTTTTTTTTTTTTTTTTGTGGTTGTGAGGACGAGATTTTTCATATTCCTCAGGCACAGCAATATTGTCGAGGCAGATACACAGAATGGGACCCCAAACTTACAACCCCACCCGGATTGTATGTCAAGGAAACAATATTAAAATGAGATAAATCGACAATATGAATTATTGACCTTCCATTAGGTATCTAGCAAGTAACTCGGTTGCTTATATGGGTGGATTATTTGGTTATGATTTTTGTACTGTAAATGCATTGCGTTTCACGAACATATTATTTTCCGTTGGTTTATATTTCACGATTCTATCCTTGGTCTCCCAACGCACTGCCACATCTCAATGGAAAGCCCAGATGTACGCTTTGGCATTATCATGGTTTCCTGTTGGGTATTTCTACAATTTTTTATATTACACAGACACGGGCTCAACCTTCTTGGTGTTACTGTCATATTTATGTGTGACAAAGAAGATGTACCACCTGTCCGGCATTATTGGAACATTATCTTTAACATTTAGACAAACAAACATTATCTGGTTGGGTCTCTTTATGATGATATCAATTATTAACATCCTAACTAAAAAGGCAAATGCTCAAAAGAAAGATCACAAGAATAGTCAATTAACAGCTTTGTACAACCCTCTATGCTCTACTATCAAGCAACCATGTGAGTAATTTTTTCATTATCTATAATAACGCACCACTAACCTTCAATATTAGCCCAAATATTCAAATCAATCTATAGCCTTGTGATAGCGACTTTCAATAATCTCCCTCTTCTTCTGCCAAACGTCATTACGTTTATGTTGGGCATTGTATTATTTTCCATCTTTTTGGTATGGAATAAAGGGATCGTTCTAGGAGATAAGTCAAATCATGTGGCCGGTCTCCACTTTCCTCAACTATTTTACTACATGTCATTTTTGACCTTTTTTGCTGCACCTTGGACAATTTCCCGGGCGATGCTTTCAAGCATTATCTACCAAATTTCTGTCAGAAGGTCTGTACTATATCATAACTTTCAGTATAAAGTTCAACTCATTGCTAACCTTGCTATGCTCTCTGTCTTTAGGGTTGTTTACGGCTGCTTATCTACTACTATAGCGCTATACCTTGTGTATAGATACACGTAAGCTTCCGTATTTACCAATTATATATATATATATATATATATATATGTATGCCTAATCTTCTATCTTTACTTTAGCTATGAACATCCATTTCTATTGAGTGATAATAGACATTACAGCTTTTACGTATGGAAAAAGATTTATAGGCGGCATTGGGCAGCTCGCTATTTTTTGACTCCGGTGTATATTTTTTGTAGTCAAATAAACTTTTTAGCATTAGGTAAATGACAAATTTCTTATGGTAACAAACCCAAAACGCCACTTACATGTTATTTTTTACAGTAAAAAATGTTAGCCTTTTAGTAACATTAGGCTATCTCTTCACCCTGATACTGATGTTGGTCCCGTCCCCATTGCTGGAATTCCGTTACTTTATCAGTCCTTTCTTATTCTATATGGTGAACATACCACCACCTTCCCAACTTAGACGCCTAATTGTCGGTATGATATTTTTCCTAATCGTCAATTTTGTTACGATTTATTTATTTGTATATAAGCCATTCACTTGGGTAAGCGAGCCGAACAATCTCCAAAGGTTCATGTGGTAAAGCATCCGCGGAAAATAGACAAGAATAAACTTTATTTACAAAAACAATATACGTGATAAGAGAAATACAAACTGGATGATTCGAGATATTTCTTTTAACGTTTTCGTCTATCATTATCATCGTTATCGCTATCACGGCCTCTCTTTCCTTGCTTTGCTTTGTTGAGAAAAGTATCCAAACCGAATACGTCTTTATCTGCTGCCTTGGATGAAGACGTGGTAGTTAACATTTCTTTCTCAAACTCAACAGGACCCGCTGAGGATGAAGCACCGCCTTCAGCTCCTTGGAATCCTTTACGCATGCCAAATTTATCTTGTTGAATTGACCGTTCTAAATCTTCAACGTTAGTGCTGCCTAGAACTTCCGATTCTGTGTTTTCCCCTCTAAATCTATAAATCGAACTTGACGATTGATTGAATAATGGCTTATCATATGTGTTATAAGCTAAATAGTGAAAAAAGCAAGCATTTTAGTTCGACGAACATTGCACCAGATAAATATAATGGAGCCTACCGTCATCATCTTTGAATCCGGAGCCGATACCCTCGGATTGATTGAACAATCGAGCATCAAACATGCTGTCTTTGCTGAGCGATGGTTTAGCTAAACCAAGAGCAATCTTTTCTGAAATATCACGTCCTTGTTCCCTGCAATTGAATACAACACATCAAACTGTTGGCATCAATCAATAATAAATTCAAACTTGATATTGAGTACTTACCGAGCGAGATGTCTGGCCCTGGCCTCTGTACCCATCTTACTCATGCGCATTTCTCTTTCTCTTTGTTTTTGGCGCTCTCTTCTCAATTTATCACGAGCTCTGGCGCCTTCCTCATCACTCTCATCTTCTGAGCTGTTCTTAATCGATTCCTCATCCTCACTTTCAGACTTTTCTGATGCCGATTCATCAGAACTATCGTAATCCACCATGAGTGAAGAGGCAGTAGGCCTATTTGAAGTAGCAGGCGCATCATCTGCTGCTTTAGATGATGTAGAAGGCTTGAAACCGGCTCTTTCTTCACGGGCTTTCTGCGCTAATTGTCTAAGCTTATCCTCCTCTGCTTCCTTTTGTTTTTGCGCTAGTTTCTGTTGCATCAAATTTCTTTGTCTAACTTCCTCACGAGCGTGACGATCAGCAGCATATAGAGCCTCCGAAAACTTTGCAAAATTGTTATTGATGGTAAGTTCTTGCAATCCTCGTCCATCTGCTGCTAAACGTTTATCTAGAGGGATGGTATAACCTTTTGTATTTTTCCAGTTGGATACACAGGGTGGGATGACCCACTCTGCTTGTTCTTTAGCTGTAAGTTTACGAGGTGGTGAGTGCATAACAGGCGCAGGCGGGGACGGAGGGCCACGGGGAACCTTTTTATGCAAATGGCTAGGAGGCTCCATGGGATCAACAGGTGCATCTACCATTCGAATAATTCTTTGTTTCGCCCCTGAATTGAATCCACTGCCAGTATTGGCAGGTGTATAACGAATATAGGTGGGGTCTTTATTGGTGCCGTTGCCATTGGCTGGGCCGATATTTTTGGGCTTTAAAGATTGAATTTTACTGTTGACAATTTTTTCGAGTGCTGCTTTCGTTTTCTCAGCTACGCTTTGTACTTCTTCCTCGCTGGGTCTGTCCATGACAAGCTTATCTACATCCACATCTTTGCGATCTTTCAGAGGTACCATATCCTTGAAAGAAGTGTGAACAATTCGATCTTCGCTGTGACCTTGTCGAGCAATAGCGTCATACTTGACTTGACCTTCGGAATCAACCTCTAAGGTTAAAGCACCCCCTTTCCGATCAACGGCCCTTTTATCTTTACGTCCCATATCTAGAGGATATTGCGCCATATGTATTTCTGGAAAGGCTCCTCCATTACCGAAATCCTCGGGTGCTCTTGGTTTGAAATTTTTACGCTGGCCATAAGGTGGGATTTTACTTTGACTGGATTTTGTAACGATTTTTTGAATTTGTTTCTCTAATTGAGGTGCTGATTGTGGTGCAGAAGATAAAGATTGACGGGGTTTTGGTAAAAGACTTAAAAGCAATAAGATGTGTTAGGTGGTGTGTTTGATTACATATTTTATTAATATCATTATTTACCTTGAAAGTGAAGCCATTGTATGTTTTTCGAATTTGAAGGAGTCAAAAGAAAAAAAGAAATTTGAAAAATGCAAACAGTGCAAAAAAGGATGTCACCCAATTGCGGTATTTGAATCAACTCGCAGCAAACGATCTCTGAAAGGCGCGTTCCTCAGTTATCCTGAAGAAAAATATTATCGACTTGATAAGAAACTTAATCAGTTAGTAGGGAAAACACCTATATTGAAAGATGAGATACCAATCATCAATCAGAAACTGAGTATCTTATCAACTTAACAGTTATTAAACACTTCAATTGTTTACTCGAATCTTTTGAGCAATAGAAAGGGGATATTTGGCGAATGATAGTGGGGATGAAGTTCGCTGACCATCAGTACGAGACTCTTTGTCGCGCTGATCTGCGTAAATCACTTCAGAGGATTTATATAGTAGCTATCAATTTTATGTTCTGCACTAATAGTATAAACGCCTATTACTTGCCCAATGACGTCGTCATTCGAAGTAACACTATTAGACTTATTTTCTTAACGCTATTGTCCTCATAAGCTGCGCTCAATTTAGTTCTTTACGAATTTACAAATAAAGTGATGAAGAATTGTATTGCTATTTCTCAGCTTCAAATATAGTTATCTTGAAGCTGTTTGCTCCTTCCGTCATCTTCATTGTATTTCCCCGTTCACAAGGTTTATCACTGGGAAATCGCCTTCGCATGTTTGATTCTTAGTAATCGCGCATTACTGTAACGGCCTCACGCTAGTATGCTTGTATTGAGTATTCATAAAAGTTAATAAAATGAATTTTTAACGCATCACACATTATTTGAGTTTGCGATTATTCGTTGAAGTAGATAAATACTAAGCAATTACGTAGAAAAAGCTTAAAGATTACAGTTGCATGATTCTCCTTAAATACAGCAGTTCCAAGAACTCGCCCTATGAATTTGTTAACTCCTACAATTACAATACTCTATAGATATTGTACAGAACGGTAATCATACAACATTTGCTTTCTCAGTGAATAACGAAGAAGTTTTATAGTTAACAATGGAGCATATGTAGTCTGGTTAGGGCCCTCTAAAAAATAGATCAAGACATTACTGTCAAATAAATGCCCTTTTGGCACGTTGCAGAATTGTATGTTTGTGGTTTACTATTAATGAGCCTGCTACAGTATTTTAACTAATATTTTAGATGAAATACATTTTTTTTTGGACGATTAATATTTTCATTTTAGATGAGTTGCAATTGTGTTGTAGACCAAAATATAAACCGTTTAAACAATGATTCAAATTCCAAAAACTTGTTAGCAGTGCGAAACAAAAAAAAAAAAAAAGAAAAAAAAACCGTACTATTCCTCACCTGTAATGATCTAAATCCTTGAAATACAAGGAAAACCGTGTTTATTACGGCGATTATTTCTTCTTCTTCGCTGGCTTGAAAATGTCGGGTCTTCCCGCTCCAGACCAAACTGCTTGGGATATAGTCATCATGTTGATAGCGGCGTTAATGTCTCTCTGCCATAGCTTTAGACATTGCTTGCAATGAAGAACGCCGGTACCCTTGAATCCAGGGGTATTAACAATTTGCATATCATCATAGAAACAGAGGCTGCATGTTTTAGAGGTTTTAAATTCATCGATTGTGACAACAATCAATTGACCTTCAGCTTCACGTTTCTTCAGAGTTGCAAAAAGTTTACCGACAACACCACATCTTTGCCCTTTCAATTTTACTACATCTTTTCCAAACATTCCAGCACCAAAGACAATCAATGGTACCCTTCTAGGGAATCCTGAGTACTTATCAGCCTTCCACTTCTTGTCACTTCTAAAAATTATCAATCAGCGCGTAAGCTAAACGATGAACATGTAATTCATTGATACTCACTTAATTGGCGGCTGTTTGTCAACATTCTTTCCTTTCTTCTTCTTCTTCTTCTGCTGTTTTTTCCTCTTCCTTGCCTTGCTTCTCTTTTTGCGATTGTACTTGGCCGTTCCATGAGTCAACATGTTGGCCATAGTTTCGGGTGCTCTTTGCCTTCCTTGGTACAACGTAAACCGGTCCTTTGCTGTTTCATGTCCATAAAAACTAAAGAGAGCGTCTAAGTTATTGAGCATATAACTGGTGAACGCCTCATATACTCCTAGACGAGAGGTCTTTGACGAGGGGATTTGACTTTCTACTAGATCTATTCCTGTAACAGCTTTTATACTGTTCAATTTCTTACAATATTTCGTTGACCCTGCCATATGATAGTATTCGGATGTAGTGCATCTTCGCACTTGTCTGTTATATTCAAGGCCAATAGCAGCAGTAAAAACAGACTTTCTTCCGGGATCCAGGGTAATAGGTAAATAAGTATTGTCAACTTCATCCAGAGAGAAATCATCAAGAGTGAGGTCAAATTTTTGGAACGAGGCACCATGGCCAGATTGTTGTCTTTTATAAAAAAGAAAGTCAACTGAAAACCCATCCGTTCTGACAATATTACCAAAGAGCTCTTTGTTATCACCATTCGGTGTAAGTTCAGAGATACTACATGTGCCCAAGAAGTTAAACCTCATACATTATACTCGACTGCATACCGTATTAACTGTATGCTTACCTTTTGTACCTGAGTTTCTTGAAATCAAAGACATGGAAAAACAGCTCTAATTGGCTTTGGTAATTGCGGGGTAAAGAACGTTTCACAAAAGAAGACAGAGCGTTCACGCTCAAGGTAATGAACCTCCATTGAACGGAAACCTTTGGCAGTAAGGATAGCAATTTTGGAAGAGGACGTCGTCGTACGTCAAATGGTTTATGATCATCGTGTTCGCTCTCAAATTCTGCGTTCAAAGATAACAAAAAGGGTACGAAAGACCCAGGATCAGCAGATAATGTCTTCATGTTCACTTTCTTCCCCAGCTTCTTCTTCCAAGGTTCACAAAAGGTTTGGATCTTTGCTTTTATATCTTTGGTAAGGTAGTCATCAGTTGGCCATTTAGGTTTTCCTTGGCATATCTCTTGATAGCAGAAATCACTTGTGACCTTTTTGACAAGCTTCCAAGGCATACACTACGCAAGATGAGAGCTTTTTTTAAAATTCATGTAAGACCCCAAGTAATATTGAGTTGCAACTTACCACAAATGCCGTTTGTATTTTATATATCAAAAAATAGAGAAGTTTCTCCTCAAAATTTTCCACTATACTGTTCGTATAGGAAGTAGCAATTTCGGTGCATGCTTCTGTAATGGCTTGACTAAGTCCAGGAAAGAGCTTGACAGGGAAGACAATCTTAGGGTAAGTCGTTTTAAAAGAATCAAACGAGCTCAGTAATTGTTGTGATATCAGCCTACTATTTGTTGGTCTTTGTCCATTCACTAGCTGTATCATAGAGTACCAGAAATTTTGTGTAAAGATATATTTAATACACTTTGGCTCAGCAAGAGTGGCATTTTCCAAGACGTAATAATTCACAAAGAGCTTGGCTCTAAGAACCAAGTTTCGGATAACAGAACAAGCTTCAACAACTTTTGACTTGAATGTGTTGCGATAGTCACCAAAAACGCAGTTATCAAGAGGCAACCTTCTTGTAAACGCCTTGTAATTACTTCCCAAATGATGTTGAAAGACCTCTGCCTTTGATAATACATGTTGAGGACACAGAGGAGAACGCACCGATTTATGTCCTGGTTGCTTGCATTTGGTACAACAGGTATTGTCTTTATCCGGTTCTTCATTATTCTCTTTCCTTGCTTTCTTCTTTTCCTTCTTGATTTCAAAGTTCTGTTTGCGTTTTCTGCCTATCGAACCAACTATAGGTACAATGAGGTCGCTTACTAACGATGAATTTACCAACTTTTGAAGCCACATGAGGTGCTTACCTTGATCTGCAGTTTCTGTCTCATACAATTGACATTTAAAGTATTGTTGGGTGTAATGACCCCCTTTACCGCAATCAATACACGTTACATCTAACAGTACACGATGATTAATCTCTACGTATATATATGATCAGGTATATAGGCTTTCAAAAGGCAAGTTACCATTAACAGCACTTGATTTTTTCTTTTCAAAAATTTGCTTTTTCTTTTCATAAATTATTGTTTTGAACATGGGTCATAGTATGTATCTTAAAAACGTGAAATAAAAGTGAAAGAGACAACATTTGACTCTAAGAGAGCAATATATTTTATAGTGCTTATCTTTGAAAGTCACCCATGAACGCATACAAAAACATTGACAACAGTTAATATAACCATCCCATTCCGCTATGGTATCTGTTATACTATGACCATCAGCCCTCTATCAATGGTTTGATGTCAATCAATTCAAAGTTAACTTTTTTTGGAATTCTTGTCCAAAAAAGGCACCAACGAATATCTTGTTGGTCTCGGAACACATCGTCATTTAGTAAAAAAGTTGTCAAGCTTTTTGTAGTTTGTCCTATTGCAAGATAACATCAATAAAACCATTATTGGCGACTTTCTTACTGATAGAGACTAATTTCTAGGGTTCGATTGTATGTCATCCTTAATGCTGCTTGAATATCACTGAATAATTGAGTATCCAAATATCCAAATACTATGGACTTTTCTAAAAATATTTTTTAATAAATCTAAAATTAAAATGTATATTGTCCATTAAAAATTGTAAATCGTCTAAAATATAAGGTAAAATACTGTATTATATTCTGTTCTAATTAACGTGATTTTAAACAGCTTTTGATTGGTTACCAGATTTATTAAATGGCATAAAGCCATTCTAAGTAAGTAAGCTGGATAGAGCCTGGTATATAAGCTAAAGTCAACTGTAGCGTTTATTTGCATAATTATCGAATTCTGCTATAAAGAGAGTTTTATGTGATGAATCTGTATGAGTTTTGATATACAGTTTGTTTGTGAATTTCATTTTCTCACAATCGAAAAAGTTAAAGTAGTGCGATCTGTTTTGAATTGAAGTTGCAAATTACCATTTTTGCTATGGCTGTTCTTTTCAATTCTCATGACATTTGTCAGCGAACGTAACACGGATACAGACTTATGCCTGTTGTACCAATATGGTTCAGAGCGTGCTTTTTAGGTAAGAATGAGGTATTGTTAGGATATGTGAATGTCGATAGTGCGCAGACACGTTGGACAATGTCAGAATCAACCCAAAATTCATGAAATTTGAGTGTGTGAAGGCAGATAGTGGGTTGCACTCGATAACACTACAATCGTAGATTATGTATTTTGTTAGTTCTCACATAAGTGAAGATTTGAATAATATTTGTATAAATACCCACATTTTTGTCATATTTGAAGTTGCTATTGAATTTTTCCTTCTCACTAACATCATCAGTTAAAGTAATAGTAATCGAACCACCTTTTTTTCAAAGTACTAATAACAGATCGTGAATCCGCACTCTATCGAGCCAATAATCATGAGCAAATCTAATGTAAATAGCTATCAAAAGAATAAAAAATTATTGAAGTATAATCTACCCCCAGCTCATTGGCATGCAGAATTGTATAAACAATGCAAATGCGGGCGTAGAATAATATTACATATTTTGTGCAGCTTATTCATTGGGTTCAATCTTTTCTTTTACACGTAGATATCGGAAGGGAAACCAGCCATAATGGAAGAAACAGTCGTAGTAGACGAGAAGAACTTAAATATTGAACATCTTGAATCCAACAACTTAGATGCAGATGCCCAACGGTTACAAGATTTAGGTTATAAGCAAGAATTCAAGCGAGAAATCAACTTATTCGTCCAAGCAGGGTTTGCATTTTCGACCATGGCTGTGCTACCAAGTTGGATGGTTTCGTTTGGTCCTTGTCTCAGTGCAGGCGGTCCGTCGAGTTTATTTTGGGCTTGGATAGTGGTCTGTCCATTTGTCATGTGCGTTGCGATTTCTATGTCCGAAGTTATTTCTGCTTACCCTTTGGCTGGTGGTGTTTATTCTTGGTCACTCGTGCTCAGTAACAAGAAATGGGGACCATGTAAGTGCATAACAGTTTATCGATCGGTTCTACAATACTTGAAGCAGAGTATAAGCAAAAAGTTAATCGCAATCTATTGTAATTCCATCAATAGTTATGGCATGGATAACAGGTTACGCATATTTGACTGGTTTGATTGCTGTGGTAATGACATTGGCGTGGACAGGCGCTGATTTCATCTATTCTATGGCCAATGTACTCAATGTAAAGCAGATTGACAGCCAAGGAGCATCAGTTGGATTATATATCGCCTTGGTTGCTGCAGGGACAGTTTATAACATTATGGGCTTGAGATTCAGTGCTTATTTGAATATGTTCATGGGTAAATATTTTCATGCCTAAACAGTCATAGAGAAATTAGCTAACAAAGCACCGATCTTTTAAACAGTTGTTTGGGTGTTTATTGGTACATTGGTCATTATTATTGCTGTGCCCATCATGGCACCTACTCATAATTCAGCCAAGTGGGTTTTCACAGAATTCATGAACACTACAGGTTATGAAAATAACGGTATGGTGTTTCTAATCGGTCTATTGGTAAGCTTTGAATGCAGTTAGTAACACAGAGTGATCAGTTTCTGACACACCTAAAATAATTGTGTTTACGAATAGAGTGCAGGCTGGGCGCTTATTGGGTACGAAACAGGCGCTCAAATTGTGGAAGGAACTCGCAATGCTGCTAAAACAGCGCCTCGCGGCATTATCATTTGCGTTATTGGAGCAATTGTTCAAGGCTTTGCGCTTATTATTTCGACATTATTCTCTATTCAAGATGTTGATGAGCTTATCACAACTGATATGCCAATCGCAGCTTTCTTTTTACGTGCCACGAGAAGCCCAGCTGTAACGGCCTTCTTTTTAGTAATTTTATTAGTCGCGCAAATTGGATCCCTTTGTAATTCTATATTAGCGGGAGCTACCTTTATGTGGAGTCTTGCAAGAGATGGTGTCTTACCTGGCTCTAAGTTCCTGTATAAGATTTCGGGGAAGCGAAATATTCCTACAAACTGCTTGATAGTGCAGCTTGTGATTTGTATCCTCATCATTTTGCCGTCTTTTGGCTCTATTGTTTACTGGCAAGCTATCATGAGCACAGCTGTCATTGCGGTCAACATTTCTTACGGTCTTCCTCTTTTATGCCGCTTGATCTGGACAAGAAACAATATGCCGAAAGGTCCATTCCATCTTGGAAGACTTGGTTTAATACTCAACGCTATCAGTATTGTCTGGGTCACTTTCTTCGGTGTAATTCTCTGTATTCCATCTATGTCCCCTATAACTCCTGAGACAATGAATTGGTCATCTCTGATGATAGGTGCTGTTATGTGTTTCTCTGTTTTCTTTTGGCTGATTTCAGGTCGACACAATTTTAAGGGCATGACTCAAACCGTCGAGAAGTAGTGGTGCAATAATGCATTTTTTGTTATTCTTTATTTATTTTTTTTTTTTTTTTTTTTTGCTATTAACGTCGTAACACTATGATACCCTAATTTGTTTCAATAAACTTATTGATCCGTATAATGTATTAGAACCTAGGATTTCCTAACAGCTGTCTTTACGCGCGCGATGCATAATGAAGCTCTCCCAATATACATGAGTGACTGCTCAGTCTTTAAGCTTCCTCAAACTCGATTATTGAGTATGGCTCTCTACGTGCTTCAATTATAAACCTATAACAATGGTGGACAAAATTACTAAAGGTAAGAGTCAGTGAGACAGTTACTAAAGCCATCAGTATAGTGACCAAAATTTTCAAACAGACGAAGCTGCTATTTACGATCGACAAATTAGGCTCTGGGGCCTTGATGCTCAACAAAGGTATACCACGTTCCTATCAGTTGCCTTGGAAGGTGGAATAAACAACTAAACAACTAATCTATAGAATTGGCAAAGCAACCATTCTCATTGCAGGCATTACTGCATTGAGTAACGAAGTCTGTAAAAACTTGGCTTTAGCAGGTGTCGCGAGCATAACATTGCTTGATCACGGAACTGTGACAGAGTACGATCTAGGAGCTCAGTTTTTCTTGAATGAAGCAAGTGTTGGAAAAAATGTAAGGCCAAATTAATTCGTTGATGATATACGCCCACTATTAGTTGAAGGACTAACGCAACAGTTCTGATACAGAAAGCAGAGGCAGCAGCAGCAAGTATCAGAAATTTAAATCCACTTGTCAGTGTCATTGTGGATCAAGACAATATTAAAGATAAACCAGATGACTACTTCACAACTTACTCTGTAGTTTGCTTGATACATTCAGATTATGATATAATTGTGAGTATATCGACGCATTTCTTAGAATAAATTACTCTTAATGCTTACACATGAAACAGTCCAGGGTAAACAGCATCAGAAGAAAGATTAGAAAGCCTTTTTATGCTGGTGATGCATTTGGGCACTTCGGATATATTTTCTGCGACTTGACAGAGCATACATATATATTGTGAGTAATAAAGGACTCGAGCGGGACAATACATAGGCTATGCTGTTGTGCTGATACTTTCTTCATTTCTAACATAGAGAACAAAAAACCAACAATCTTGATAAATCCAAAGAACCGATTGTAACTAAAACACCAACAACAGTGACATACAATTCATTCAAGGAGTCTTTAGAGAAAGATTGGTCAATGATGACGTTGAAAAGCATTAGACGAAGGATATCACCAGTGGCATTCCTCATTCTAAGTAAGATGTTACAATTATACATGTTTATTTAGTGAAATGTTCAATACTGATATAATATGTGAATAGTGTTGATGAAATTTCAGAAAGTACACCTTCGTGTACCTACTGCAGACGACAGCAAAGCTATTATTGATAGTAAGCCTGATTTCTTCAAGAGTATAGGTATAACAGATACAACGTTACTGGACGATAGTCTTATAAGGTATTGAAATAGAGGGAAAAAGATGAATGGGTCAGGCAGTGTACTGACAGAATTCATGGGATTCTTTGTATCGAAAAATAAGCGATATGGCATCCTTATACGATACAGAGATGACACCAGTAGCAGCTATAGTCGGCGGGATTTTAGCACAGGATATTCTGCGAACATTGTCTGCAAACGGACTGCCGATTCGTAATTGGTTCTATTATAATGGTTTAGATGGTAAGCTGCATTATCGCGATGACTCATATTGTTCGCTTTCATAGCCCTGCTTAACTCTTCAATTTTGCCCTTTTCTAGGTTCTGGAATGGTTCATTATCTCTGATTATGTTAAAGTTACGTGTGATGGATAGTTTTGGAACACAACTCCTCTCATTTATCATTGGCATAAGTTAAAATTTTCATTAAATAATTCTTATCGTATTTTTTGATGGAGTCATTTGATGCGAACAATCTTCTTTCTGTGCCGAGTATTTGGGAATCGTTCCGCCGAATATTTATTGTTGTTAAGTTAAAACTGTAGGTTTTTACCGTTGCTTTGAATCTATGCCTCAAACGTAAACAATGACTACCAGGTTGATAACTTTTTTTACCTTCATATTTGATGTCCATCAGCTGATAACAATATATCTTCTAATATTTTGTTGCCTTCCTTCTTGAAAAAGGAACAAGTGTTACCATTGTGTCATTCATAGCAACGATAAGACTCTTAAAACTCGCTATTGTGAGCATGATATTAGTTTCGGTATCTGAACAGTTGAAAGCTATGTGTACCCGCATATTCATAGAATCGTACGTACAAAGTATTATAAACTGTTGCTCAGTGGCAAAAACCAAATATCAAACAGTTATCTATTGAATAAACGGGGCAATAAAGTTATCAATACAAGCACCATCAGAATGGCAGACTTTAATCATCTTTTCCAAACTTCAGAGAACATGATCTACAATGCCCATATTGTATCTTGCATTATCCATCTCAGGTCATGCTTGACGTGAGAATTTCATAAACAAAAGTACGATTAAAATAAACATCTGAACTTTTGAAGGGATAACTAATACACAGATGAAAGAAAGAACTCTGAAGGAGAAACGAAAAGATAAAAAAAAGAAAGAGAACAAAAAAAGAGATTTATTGTTGAATTTTCGCTGATAGACTCACTAATGCTGTACCAACATTGTTCAGGTGCATAAGTACTATAAGTTGACCTGGTGTATTTTGCTTTTGCATGCGGAAAAACAAATTTTCATTATGTTCTCCTAAGCAGAATGTCGTGGCCAAAGAAATAAGGCCAGCTTATTGTTTACCCCTTTTGTTCAAAGGCCTAGAGTACAACAAAGAGGCGGAAATAAAACATATTTTATCAGACCAATAAGGAACAACGCGCATAAACATTTAAAGAGCCTTAGAATAGAAGCCTAAAGCTGATAAACCGTCGGCTATTGTGGCCGTATGGTTTCATACCTTAATCGATGCTAACATCGAGGCTCTGTATGTTTTTAGTATATATGGGAAATTAAGGTTCTTGCAATATTCAGTAGCAATATGAATAAAAGACAAACCACTCTGTTACCAGGATTGTAACTTACAAGATTAACGGCAGCACAAGTAAAGCAAGTCTTACGATCTTGGAGCTGCCGTACTTGACTCAAACACGCAGCTGACAGTGATGATTGCGTGCTACAGAGGACGGAAAGACTTCTACCGAACAATAGAGCTGGCATTGACTTTTATTGTTCCATTACGAGAATGATGGATATAGTGTTAAACAGAAACCCAACATTACCTTTCTTGGATAGAACGATAAATCGTAGGCGTTCAATTTCTTGCGTGATTTTCTGAAACCTCCAATCTTACAATAGGAGACGATAACATACAGAAACACATATGCACATCTGTTCCCCGTGTTTCTTTAGTATTCAAAAGGACCAGAGGGAAGACATTGATTTTGATAGGCATTGCACTCAAAAGGTTTCATTGATAAGAAAGTCAAAATAATGCTATTGATGAGAAGAAAGTTATTCGTATCTCAAAAAAGTAAAAGAAAAAAAAAAAAAAAAAAAAAAAAACCGTTCGAGGTGCAATAACGATTCAAAGATTTTTCTGATGAGTTCAAAATGCGTTTCAACAGCTTGTTGATCATTTCAACAAAAAGCTAGCGCGTGCGTGTTGACTGCTTCTTTCTACATATATTGGTCACTTAGAAATGAAACGTCTTCCAAATGTCAAATACCATATGGTGTATTTCAAGGTTAAAAAGTCGCACGCGTGTATTTAACCATTGTCTTTTTGTATTTTTGCATTAAAAACATGACACATTCTATAGCTCGTACCTGAAAAGCTTTTACATAAAGACCCAAGTAATCATTAACCTTACAGTAGTCTTACAATGATCCTTTCGCGTTTTCAGGACTTTCACAAGTTCTTGTAAATACTACTCTTGTTTTGGACGGTCTTCAATTTAGCCATCAGCGGGGACGAAAGTGTGCAGATGAAGTCATTCATGAGTTGTTTTTTTTTTCTGTTTTTCCTGGTTTCTTAAAAAGACAGGAACTCCGCCCCGATAATCTTGTAACAAATTAAACTTACATGATGCGTCCTTTTGCACACAGTAAAACATGACAAGCATCTTGATCAACAACACGCAGTAAGAATCTTCTAGAGAATAAAGACAATATAAAGTTTGTTTTGGTGTACACTAATGAGTGATTGCATGATCATGATCAAAGAAGCTGGAAAAGCCTTCCTCAAAACGGATAAACTGACAGAAAAAAAACTGCTGCTGCATATTTTAAGATCAGAAAGTTTAATCGCGATTTCTGATTCGACCACATGCGTACTCATTGACCTACTACTTGAATTTGAGCATACTGTCAATAAATGGTAGATCGTGTCTACCATGACACCATACAAACGAGTTATTCTTGAATATGACGGGACTATTTTTGAAACTCTTGGCAAGCAGTGAGAATGTCTCATTCACAGACTTGATAATCCTCCCTTCAAAACTTGCATAGTTCAAAGTAACAATGAAAGGAGTAGGTGTTGTGTTTAAACTTGTTTCTATTTAAAAGATCATTGATCTTAGTGAATCAGTCACTTAGCGTCCACATCCCCAGAAAAGGATTTTCTCTTACGAAACATCAGCAGAAATCATCCAAGAAACATGCTGTTTGTATGTCACAACAGGCTTTTACAGTATACTTGAAAGTATATTCCAAGGAATAGGGAGACAATAGGATTTTCTGAGTTTAAATGTTCAACTTATTGACGGTTTGAATAGAACTGATTGTCATTGAGTTTTGGGATCCTCGTTAAGTTCGGTTATCCTGAAGGAACAATAGGGAAGGTTGTTTCATTTTTTTACGCTTTTTTTTGGTTTAACAATTAAGGAAAGAGCCAGGATGACAAATGTATTTGTGTAAGCCTAAGGCTATTTTAAAATACGCGAAAACCTTCATTCAACAATGTTTTTTAGACTGAGCATCATGATGTAAATAGACGTGCACTGTAGATACATTACTGCAACCGCCTTGTTCAAATACAAAAAGGAAAGAAGACATCAATCTAGTTTAGAACTGCTACTGCATTCCCTAACGAGATTACGTCTTTCTTGACACATTTGTATTGTCTTTCAGTCAAATAAAAGTTTGTTTTTGGCCCGCCCAAAAAAACAAAATAAAAAAAATAAAGGGTATAGGTTGACCATGCCATTTTTTGAAAAGATTACCCTGAATCTTTTGAACTCTCAAATCTTTGTAAAACGGGAAAAAGATCTGCTTGTACAGGTACAGTGCAGTGTGATACAGTTTCTCAGGTTTTATATTTGTCTTTCTTAGCGAGAGAAACCACCCCGTGAGGTCTATTGAGATGAACTACTATATGCACCTTTTCATTTCTGGGTTGGTTTGACCTTATTTGTCTGACTGACGAGAAAAAAAAAAGGCGACAATGCATAAGAAACTCGAATGATGATGCCCGCAAACCTCATCCTATCATTGTGCTGTATTATGTTTTGTAAGCACGTGAGGGAATTGAAAAATTCTCAATTCGACTGTAAGAAACAGGAGAGCGTGCGTGCATCAGCACTTTATAGTCTTTTTGAGAAGCCAGTATACATCATTCGCAACTGTATTATTAAGCACAACTGATTGGTTTGAACCTGAACTGTTGTAACTGCAGAAAAAGCAAGCGAACTTTATTTATTTCCTGTAACGTTGCACTTGGACCTGAACCCAGTAGTCTGTCTAGTATGTCTCTTCTAAGGAAAGACCTTGAGAAAATACATCATTCTTCATAAAGATGAAGTTAGAAGTTGGCAATGGTTCAATGTATTTCTGTATATACATCCGGTCAAAGGCAGCATTTGAAAGCCTCAGCAAGAATCATATTTCCATATATAGCATCTTAAAATGGGGTGTTTTCTGTGTGTTCACGCCGAGGATGGAATAAGCGCGCTTAAACAAATGATAGTAACCTTTCTGACCCTGTTATTCAACTAACCATTATAGTTCCAGAAACGCGAGTACAGGTGGGGTTTCTTTTTTTTTTGGTTTTTTTTTGGTCTTTCGGAAGGTCGATTGTTCAAAATTTGATTCACATCGAAATCCTATATAAAGACAAGCCAATTTTTAATCCCTAACCTTCTTTCCCTTTCATTCTTCAGCTTTAGGTACATTAATTTACGATGAAGGCAGCTATTCTCAAGCCTTTCATCAGTCTCTTTTTGGCTGCCCAATTAGTTGCTGCTAAATCCGATAAGGTCGACGTTGATGCCGACTCCAAGAGCGCTCAACTTGAAAATTACTCTGTCAGTGATGCTGGCTTTCAAGAAATGACCCAATTCGGTGTCAAGATCAACAACTCTGACAGTTTGAAAGCCGGCTTAGATGGTCCTGCCCTTATGGAAGATTTCATGATGCGTGAAAAGATCATGCACTTTGGTAAATAAACACGCTCACCGTTAGAAATCGAGCTATTTTATACTAATATACCGAATGTCTATTGATCGTGCCTTCCTTTGATGCTAGATCACGAAAGAATTCCTGAACGTGCTGTTCACGCTAGAGGTGTTGGTTTGCACGGCTACTTTGAATCCTATGGTGATTACTCCAACATCACTGCTGCAAGCTTCTTAAGAGGTAAGGGCAAGAAGACACCAATGTTCGTTCGTATCTCCACTGTCCTTGGTTCTCGTGGTTCTCCCGATACCGTTCGTGACGTCCACGGTTTCGCTATCCGTTTCTATACTGATGAAGGCAACTTTGATATTGTTGGTAACAACGTTGCTCCTTTCTTTGTGCACGATGCCATCAAGTTCCCTGATCTTATCCATGCTGCTAAGCCGCATCCTAATACTGAAGTTCCTCAAGCTGGTACTGCTCACGAAACTGCTTATGATTTCTTTGCAGAGTTCCCTGAATCCTTGAACACTGTTTTATGGGCTCTTTCTGGTCGTGGTATCCCCAACTCCATCCGTCAAATTGAAGGTTTTGGCGTTCACACCTACCGTTTGATTACTGAAGAAGGCAAATCTCGTTATTGTAAATTCATCTGGAAACCCAAGCAAGGTCTCTCCAATTTGCTTTGGGATGAAGCTCAAAAGCTCGCCGGTAAGAACATTGATCACCATCGTACCGATATCTATACTTCCATCGATAACGGCGACTACCCTGAATGGGAGTTCGGTGTCCAGATCATTGAAGAAGAAGACTTTGACAAGTTTGATTTCTCTCTCCTTGACCCTACTAAGTTCGTTCCTGAATCCTTGGTGCCTTTCCAACCTCTTGGTAAGATTACTCTTAATCGTAACCCTGATAACTACTTTGCTGAGGTCGAGCAAGTCACTTTCCATCCTGGCCACGCTGTCCGTGGTGTTGGTTTCACCAACGATCCTCTTCTCCAAGGTCGTCTTTTCTCTTACCTCGATACCCAATTGAACCGTATGAGCGGTCCTAACTACATGCAATTGCCTATCAATCGTCCGTTGGGCACTGTCCACAACAACCAGCGTGACGGTTACATGCAAATGAACATTCACAAGGGCGAAGTCGCTTACTTCCCCAACCGTCTTCAAGGTAACACTCCTTCGGTCGTCGATGGCGACAAGGGCGGTTACATTGAATACCCTGAAAAGATCAACAACGTTACCAAGGTCCGTGGTCGTTCTGCCAAGTTCTTTGATTTCTATTCTCAACCTCGCCTCTACTGGAACTCTTTGACCGCACACGAAAAGCAACAGTTGGTGGACGGTGCTCGTTTCGAAATTGGTGCCTCTACCTCGTTCGATGTCCGTAAGAGAATGGTGAAGCAGCTCAATCTCATCGATAACGAACTGGCTCGTCGCGTTGCTTATGGTATTGGTGTTCCTCTCCCTGAAAAAGAAGTTGAAAATGATAACAAGACGTCTGTCGGCCTCTCCATCGCCAACTACCCCAAGGACCAGAACATCAAAACGCGTACTGTTGCCATTCTCGTTGCCCCTGGTACGAATATTGAGGAAGCCAAGGCCATGTACGAATTCCTCAAGAAGGAAGGTGCTTATCCTGCTTACATCGGTCTCAACATGGGCGAGCAAGACGGTCTTAAAATCACTACTACTTACAGAGGCACTCACTCTGTCCAATGGGATGCTGTCTATGTTCCTGGTGGTAACTCTCTTGACATCATGACCTCTCGTAACTCTTTCTTCCCCTTCGATGAACCCAGAATGTTCGTGGCTGAAACTTTCCGTCATGCTAAGCCTATTGCCGCCTCTGCAGAAGGTGCTAAGCTTCTCCAATATGCTGATATTGAACTTCCTGAACTTAAATCGGGTTTCGCTGAGAAGGATGGTGTTGTGGTCGCTGAAAAGGTCGACGATCTTGAAAAGCCCTTTAAGGAAGCTCTTATTAAACAAAGACATTGGGAACGTCTTCCTTTAGATCCTGAGATCTAAAGCAAAGAGAATTCTACTGTTTTTATAGTGTAATTTATTTATCTTTTTTTCTATTTTCTTTTTTTTTTTAAACCATTTACCATTTTCTCTCCCTCATAAACGTTTATTTTCATTTTAATGTATCTCTCAAATCATCATGGCCCATTTTTCTTAACTTCAACACTTTTTTTTTTTTTTCATTTCGTCGGTAATCCATTTATTGTTTGATTCCTTTCATCTCTCTAAGAAACCATTTATTTGGATATTTCTTCAGTATTGATGAGTAAATCATCTCTGAATAAGCAAATAAATGATGGAGTGAGGCCACTTAGTCCTGCCGCATAAAGTATTCTCATCATGCGTAGATTGCTTTGGCAGTGCTTTGAATAACTGTTATTCAAAACAATAGTTTTGTTTCGATCTGGTGCTAAAGAGATACATAGTCATAGACATACGCTAGTGTCATTTGTTTTTCGTTGTTGCATATCTTTCGAAAGAGAGTATTGCAACAGAATTCATACCATTTTTTGCAGATTTTTAAAACAGTTTTATGTAAAGTAATCATAAATCCAAGAAAGAACAAAAACTAATGAATAAAGCTTGATTTCTTGGTCCGATCAAAGTGTATCGAGATTTTGTATCAGGATTTCTTTGTTTCGCAGGTGAAGATGCCTTTTATTTCGAAGTAACAATTTTTTAATGGGATATTTATGCATTCTGTCCCTTATTGGTGTTAGTGCGAGCAGCCAAACTAACTCGATGAAGATGCAGCTTTATCATCAGGTGTGGATTGAATGGTTGTTTCTGGTGTTGTGGTGGTTGTAGCGGATGAACAAGGTGGTGCTTCCCATGCAATAATTTCTCTGAACGTAAATGATATACGTTTATCCCTGTGTATGGTTATACCAGTATCAGCAGTCGTCTCTACAACATCTTTTGAAATTCCATGCTTGAATTTATATCTCGCATCGCCTGTCATAATAGCCAGTGATCTACGTGCTACATTGAAAGAAGAACATGGATCCGTTCTTAGCTTTTCTCAGTGCTTCGATATGAAGAGAATAGGTACAGCAGTTGACTTACGTAGAATGACATCAAAGAATATGCTTTCGTTTTCCATAGATGTAAATTTCATGATGCAATCTGATAAGAGAGATAATGATAAGATATTGGATCCGAACAAAGCAGGTGCATCTAATTCAGAAAAAATACGAAAATGTCAACCATCATGGAATACCTCCATTTATAAATGTGTGTATTTTAATATTTACCTACGTGAGGCATAATGCCTTGACCTAGATTATATTCATTAATCAGTAAATGATTCGGCTTGTGTGGCATCCAACCGTTCTCCATGATACGTTGGACAAAGAATTCGCTGAAATCAGGTAACGGGCCATACTCTTCTATCACCTTTCTATTGATCGCAAAATAACACAAGATATAGACGCGCGCAGAAATGAGTCCACAGAGCTACGTCCAGCGTGGGTGCACTTTTATTTTTGCCCTTTTTTCTTTTTTGTACCTATATCGATAACTAAACAGATGGCCATATTGTTGCGTGCGTCTTTTCAATTCAGGTGTAGGTCTATTGAGAGTTTGTAGACCATTGAACAGCGTTAGTCTTCTTTATCTGCAAATTGTGCGTGGGTTATGGTTCATCTTTTCGTATGTCTCCTTACAATCCAGAGTTATCCTTTACCCTATACCAAGCCCAGACCATTCTCGTTTATTCGTCTCGTCCAGTAAATAAGTCTCTTCTTCTAGAGATACAGCATCTTCTATTAGATATAATCCAGGGACTTTATCACTGTAATCAATGGTACGCATAATACAATTTAATTCGAAATATTACAAAAGAGAGAAAGAAACGACTTTTTGACATGCTGTCTGCTTTTGTCATTTGTTCATTTGTTGGTTTTTAGGTAGTGCAAAAAATTTTCAAAACCAGAAAATATCAAAGCTGAGAAAGGAACGAAAAGAGAAAAGAAAAAAAAAGCAAAGCGTGACAAGCAACCATTTTCCCCCTTCTCTCTCTTTATTCCCAATATTCATTATTTTGACCATTGTAGACTATGCCGAAATATTACTGTGGTAAAGCAGCATGACTGATATTTGGCAAACAATATACCGTATCGTTGACGTAAACATAAAAAGCAAGGGATGCTCACCATCTTTTCTCTTTTCACATTTTTAGAATATTGTGACATTTTTTTAACCCATGACAGCCGTAAGCATCGATCCTCATTTTGACTCTTTTTTGGGATTTCTTAATATTGAAGTTGCTGGACTATCAACTGTTACAACTTTTCGCTAATATTCTTGTTTATTAATAGCTTCGGTTAGAAAAGCTCATAATGCAGGAAAGAATCACATTCTAAATGTTCGAAACTATTATGCTGGTAAGAAGTTTAAAAAGTCTATTGCTGAAAGACGATCCTTAACCATATCTGATGATACGTGTCTTTGTCTATTTTGCAAACAGAAATAAGTCACGATAAAGCACAGGGTATCATTGATGAAATTACAAAAGCATATGAAAAAGCGAATGCAGGTAAACTGCACGAGATAGACCAAGACAAGCGTCCTTATTCTTTAGGCTGAATGGTATATTAATTGTTATTCTACTTATTTGATCATTAGTTCTGCCTCAACAATATGCTGGATTTCCTGCTACACAGCCTTTCGGAGGACCATGTAAGTGTATTCTTGATGAAGAACTGGGAATGTAGGATGAAATAGGAACAGAAGGAAGGACGTGCAGCAAAACAAAACAACATGCAATAACGAACGGATGAACGATGTTAAACAGAAAGAGAGAGAGAGAAACTAAAACATACCATTTTTCTTCATTTTTTTTTGGCTTATAGACCCACCACCCAATGCTTTTGGTGGTAGACCACCTCCACCTCATATGATGGGCAGACCTGGGTTTCATCCTCCTTTTCCTCCTCATGGAGGGCCTCCACCTCCAGGTTTCAGACCTCCACCTCCAGGATTTAGACCTCCTCCACCCGGTATGATGCCTCCCCCACCTCCAGGAGCCCAGCCAGGTCCTCCTCCTCCACCAGGTGCATCGCCTATGTCTGGATCTTCACTACCGCCGCCACCAGGATCATCTGCATCACCTTCTTCCTCCTCACCAGCACCTGGTGGCGGACAACAACAACAACAACAACAACAAAGACCTCCACCACCGGGTATGTTCAATGGAATGCCTCCTCCACCCAACTTTTATCAAAATGGACCTCCTCCACCTCGTCCTGGTATGCCCGGAATGCCTCCTCCACCACCTTCCCCTTCTTCAGCATCTTCATCCACACCATCTTCTCAGCCTTACCCAGCCACCAGACGTGAAAGTTCTTATTAATTTCTCTCTTTTTCTTTCTCTCATCCTCTTTCGCCCCTTCCGATCCTTTACATAAACACAGCTCCTTTTAATAGATGGAATAAACAATACATAGTCGTTTTCTATTGAAAGTCAATGTTACGTAATAGAATTATCCAATGAGGATGATTCTCTTTCGATGCCGTGGGCAGTAATAAAAATCCACGTTTTTCATAATGATCTCATGGGACAAGAAACCCAGACCCTGCGTTTTTCATTGGTTATTTTTTTTTTCAATAAATTTTCTAAACTTCTGTTGTCCCTTTTCTAGATTCGGGCTAAAATGGGAGCTCTCCTTTTAATTTTTTTTTTTTTTTCTTCTTTTCATTTCTTATTTATTCATTTATTTGATTATTTAAAGTGATACGTTACGAGAAAAGACCACAATGGGTGCAATTTATTCAAGAGAAAAGGTAAGGATGAGAGACTGATAAATAAATGCGGGCGAGAGGATGAGAGGGATGGGTAGAGCCTTTAGAAAATGAAAGGAAAAAAAAAAAAAAAGTTTATTTATCACCCTTTTTTTTTTCTCGTAGAGAGACTCTTCAGCAGACTTTGAACAAGTCTTATCCAAATTAGATACAGATATCAGAAAGGTGGAAACACGTTTAAGTGAAATCAAAATCAAGCAAAGAAAGGCGAGCTTCTTGTGGGTTATTTATTCGATTGTGATTTGGATTTTGTGTGTGCTTTATTTGTTTTATTTGTTTTTGAATGAAATAACACAAAGAGACATCATCTATGGAGGGATACCAGCCATTCTACTGCCTATTGGGTAAAGTAACCAATGATAAACAGAACACCGGGTATGCCCCCCGTTCAGATTACTGATAACATGACATGACAGCATTTATCACGTTAGAAAGCTCATTGTTTGGTGGTACGATCAAAGAACAAAGAAAGAGGAATTGAAGCTGGCCACATTACGTAAAGAACAAAAGGATAAACTGGAAGATTTAAAGAAAAAGACGAGCTATTATACCACACAGTCGTTGATAGAAAAATACGATGAAAGTATTGCCAAGAAGAAGAAGGAGTTGGAAGCACTAGAATTACAACAGAACAAACAAAAACCAGTGTCTTTGCCAGCCAATATGGGCAAACAGCAACCATTTCCACATAAACATCATCTTCGTCATCCTCATCTACCTCACCATGCGCCGAACGCTAATACGATCAATAGAAATATACCATCACAATCAGTCAATACCCCTCTTACCTTACCTCCCTCTCCTCCTTATCCACAACAACAACAACAACAACAACAACTTCATTCTCAACAACAACAGCAAGAAGTGCATTGGTATGACAAGATTGTCGATGCATTAGTGGGTGATATTGGTCCAGAGTCCAAATATGCTTTGATCTGTAGTCATTGCTATTCTCACAATGGCTTGGTCTTTAAGGAAGAGCATGATACAATTCGTACGTTAAGAGAAAAGAAAAAAAAAGTTTTTAAAAGTGCGTGTGCGTAAGATAAAGATGATTATAAAGCTAACATGAACCTCCATACTAGAATATATCTGTCCGGTTTGTAAACAGTTCAACCCATCACGTAAATCGAAACAACAACAAATGTCTAGCCAAATGGCTGCTGCTGCTGCTGCCGCTGCCGCTGTGGATACAGAGTCACCATCAAAGAAAGATGCTAAGGATGTGAGCGCAAAGGAGAAGGATATAGATAGTAGTAGTGTGGACGAAGAGAAAGAAGAAGAAGAAGACGACGATGAGGCGGTGCTTGCGAAGATGAAAGCAGAATATTTAAAGGATGATACATCTGGTTCGAGCATTGGGTCGCGTGTTAGACAGCGTCGCCAAGTTGAAAATCAAGAAAACAGTGATTAAAGGGATAGAGTATTGATAAATAAAAGCAATAGCTATACTTTTTTTTTTTTTCTTTATTCAAGCAATGGTAAAAAAAAAGGGGCGGGGGTGTTCGTTGGCTATGATAGCCATAAAAAACATGTATTCTTCTAATGACATTGAATGGAACGGCTGGCTGATAATTTGCCATTACCAAAGACAAAATGACCAAAGCCAGCTCCAAGGACAGTAGCGAGCATTAAATAGCCATTATAAGTCATAAACACCAACATGAGCCAGAAACTGACACCGACCAAGGAAGCATAGATAGTGGATCGAATGATTTCCTTTTTGTTGGAGAGTCTGTGGATAACAACTGTTAGTAGCACTTCCTTGGAATCGAACTTATAAAGACTATTTTACCTCTTGTGCTCCTCATAGGCGTGAACCAAAGACCGTTGTTCTCTTCCAGCGGTCACCTCATCATCTTCTTCTCCGTTATTTTGACAGCAGTTCTTTTGTGCAAGATAGGCTGCTTCTTCTTTCCATTTGTTATCGAGAGAAACAGAATAAGCACGCATCCATTCATAAGCAGCGCCAATCAGGAAAATGATGAGACACGACCAGAACATGGTCCAAGGACCGGAAATATGCCACCAACGAAACACAACACAGGTATCCTCCACTTGCCAATTAAACAGCATCTAATGTTATTGTATATATATATAGATAGATATTGTTTGCATTAATAATCCATGTTTAATGTTATGATAGATTAAATTGGCTGGGTCATTCTCCACTGCAATAAAATTGTTATTCTATTTACATTCATGCTACATTGTGGACCCATTGGCATATCATGTCCTGGCATATCATGACCTGGCATAGCGTGGTTATGCATAGCGTGGTCGTGCATCATGGACATATCGTGGCCTTCCATTCTTCCAAAGAGTTTGAATAAAATAAATAAAAAAAAAAAAAAGTAAAAAAAAAGAAAGGTGGATTAAATAGGAAGGCAGAAAAAGCAGAAATTTGCGCCCTATTACCATCTTTGAGCAATTTATGCTGCCCTTTCCATTTAGTGCCCAGATAACTACCGTTTATGGAAATGAAGGCGATTAAGCATGACCTGAAATTTTTCTTCTGATTTGCCACGAACAAACGCACCCGCCCACGTACCCTCTCGTACCCACACCCACGCACCACCATCCACAGCTATCCCCACGTACACTCAAAATAGAAAAATTAGACCGCTAAAGAGTTGCTGGTATGACATAGATAACAAGTAACCCGAAAAAGAAAAGAAAAATGAAAAAAAAGCTCAGAAATTAAGGAGGGTGATAGTACGTAACGCCTGAGCGAACAAGGTGATATTTTTTTCTTTGTCCAGAAGAAAAAACGTGGTAACTATTTATATCTCTTTGCTTTGACCTTTTCTTCCTTCTTTTTTTTTTTTTCCTTTCTAACTTATACACATTAAAAAATGCTTTTCTTACGTATTGTACCTCATCTTGAAACAGACTTTCGACAGTCCAATAGCCATCATTCTCATCCACATCCTTCTTCGCCTTCACGCACCGTCATTTTCAATATCATTGAAAGAACGCTATCAGCGGCTACTCAAGGTTGCATCAAAATTGGCCGACAGAACGAAGCCAATCAACATCTTACGGACCATATCACTTTCAAAAGTAATGTCGTGAGTCGAGTCCATGCTGAACTTGTTTGGGATGAAGAGGAGAATCAAGTCTATATCAAAGACGCCAAATCGTCTTCTGGCACCTTTGTTAACCGTATGCGGCTCAGTCCCCCCAACCAAGAGTCTCGGCTTTGTTTATTACATCATGGCGATATTGTACAACTAGGCGTTGATTATCAAGGTGGAGTAGAAGAGATATTTCGCTGTATCAAGATGCGAGTGGAAATCTATAAAGAGAGCCCACAACAACATCTTCCGTTAAAGAAAAATTTCGGTTTAAAGACGTTTCGCTCGTTAAGAAACCTGGCTTTATCCATGGCGCCCCACGAGCAACAAGACGAGGATGTCTTGGTAAAAGAGATGATAGATGAATGCTGTATCTGTTTATATGCAATAGCACCTTTTCAAGCCCTCTTTGTCGCTCCTTGTTCTCATACGTTTCACTTTAAATGTTGCTACCCATTGTTAAGAAACTATCCTGGGTTCAATTGCCCTTTATGTCGAACCTATGCTGATTTAAGTGCGAGTGTATCGATAGAAGCGGATGAGGTAGGGTTGTTTTTTCTTATTTGCATACATGAAAAAAAGAAAAAAAAAGAAATGTATAATTCAATTCTTACCAAACGGATGATGTGTGTTGTAGGTATTGGAAATGTTTAAACAATCAAACGCCCAAGAACCATCATCTCCACTACCAGTCAATACCATCGAAGAACATGAAGAAGCAGAAGAAGAAATGACAAGCCAAAATGCAAATACTCCTCCTGCCCATTTCCCTTCTGCTTCTTACAGCCTTATCCCTCCTACACATACAAATATAACAACAACAACAGCAACAGCAGCAGCAGCAGCAGCTCTTCATCATCTTTCTCATCATCACCATCAGCAACAGAAACAAGGTAACGTAACAATAACCAAGTACTTGTTTGTGAAAACTTCATTCTAATGCAGCATTGTTTATTGTCAAAAATTAATATTTGGAAGCAGTTCATGACCCTATGACTGTAACATCAACGACAACATCGAATCCACCATCAAGAAATGGTAACACGACAGCTTAAAATACCCACTGCAGCCTATTTTACCCGCGTGTTCGTCTGAAAAAAAAGGAGATTCATACCTCTCCTTACCACGTATACGAAAACACGCATATATATACACATTCACTCACTCTCTCACTTATACATTCATCGCACACGCACAAACACACACAATGCCTCCTTAGCTTACATTATTCTTAACTATCTGCTGTCCTTTTTTTTGATTTTTTATTTTCTCCCCTCATCTAACTCCCCCGTTCCATTATACCAACCAATTGTAATAAACACAAATACAACTCATATAACAAAGGAAGGAAGAAGCAAATAAGAAACCTGTCATGTCATGTCAAAAGTCACATGATGACATCTCGTTTTTTTTTGTAGAACGATACAATGGTTACACTCTTCTATCCCTCTTTTGATGAATTTTCTGGATTACACTTTTTTTAATGTTATTTTATCATCATACGAATACTATAGCTTCCTTTCTTCTTTTTGCTCAAAAAAAAAAAAAAGATGTTATCTAATTTATTCTTGAGATCTGAGACGAGCACCAGCGTTGATCACCTTAACGTCTAATTGAGCAGCACGTTCAAGGATAGCAACACGCTTCTTGGAAGAAACGTTGTGAGCAATTTCAGCAGCATAAGTACGGTTGTGCATCAACAAAAGGTTGAGTTCACGGACATTGGAGATGGTGAACTTGCGGAAACCGTTGGGCAAAAGGTGACGGGTCTTTTTGTTGGAACCGTAACCGATCTTGGGCATAGGAGCTTGACCCTTGAAACGTCTACGCATGTTACAATCAATACCCTTGGGCTTTCTCCATGATTCCTATATATGCCCCCCCAACACAAACGGTTATGATTAATAACGTGTCTTTCTTCTTTTTCAACATATAAAATCAATCCTATGAATGAAATACATACACCGACACGCATGAAGCGGTTGGATTGGTGACGCTTGAAATGAGCAGTGCGCTTCTTGACAATAGTATGCTTGACGGCAGGAGTGACCATTGTTATTACTGTAGCATATAGAGTAAAAAGGTCAAATGTCAGAAATACAATCTAATTAAAGATTGTTAAAATGTCCAACCACAATTATATATATCGCATAGGGAGTTGCGTTGAATAGAAAAGGTGACTCTTTGAAGCACTGTGACCCTCGCTTTGCTTTTAAATTAATGTGGGTTTTTTTGGTTGCAAATTAAAAAAAAAAGGGTTTGCTGTCATGAAGTCAATGAAGAAATGCTGTCCTACCGTTCGATTGACTCTCCAAGTTTTGATGAATTAATATTTCAAATACAATAAAAAGGTGCATTTGAGATTTATAGTTGAATGCATCGATCAGCTGAGGTTGTCGATGAAGTCGTTTTGTCATGCCGAATGATGACCATGTCGGATGAAGCTGCATTTTACAAAATCGTTTTTGTGGTTGAGCATACTTTAGAGAAATGTCATAGATTGTACATGGCAACGCACACTCCTCTGCAATGTATATAACTGTGGATGGGATGGATACGGATAAAGTTACTTACAGAACTAATGGATGGATGCAAAGAGAAGGGGAAAAACTCTAGATTATCCTACAAGTCGATAGTAATTGCACCACAGACACCCCCACAGCACACAGAAACGCACACACAAAACACACCTACAAAAGAGCGATCCACGGAGAAGAAAAAAAATTGGGGTCCCTCGAAAATCGCTCTCATTTTTTTCGCCCCTGAGGTCGAACTTGCTGTTTTCGGGGAAAAGTCCGGCAGAGCAGATTTGATTGCAGTTGAGGCATAGATCATTAAATTACTGGTTATCATTTTATGTCAGGTGGAGACGTCCTGCATGTTTTCCAACTCTAACCTCAACCAGATTTTTTATTTTTTGCTTAGTTTAACTCAATCTGAAAAAAAAGAACTTTAGTGTCATTAGTAATACTTAACTCACCTTAGATTGGAGTACTCGTTATTTACTAGTGTTTAATGAACCAATGATATGCTGAATCCAGTCGAGTCAGTAAAAATAGGCTTTTGTCATTGAAAATTAAAAAGAAGCATTTCTGTGCTGCCTGTGGTGAGGTACCAAGGCAGTGCATAAAAATGAGGATAAACACATCTTTTTTTACTTGATTTTGCCCTTTTTAAGTAGAGAAATCACCGCCCGTGGTCACTTGTATAACTCTACAAAGATGTGCTTATCAAGGCTTGGAAAAGTGGAACCATGCAGGAAAATAGGAGGGTTTTTTTTTTTTTGGCTGTCAGAATAGTACTTGTTGACTATTGTTTGATAGTAGTACTAGAATGGTGCCATATGACAATGACAATCTTCCCTAACTTACTGCTGCACGTTATCGTCAAAACCCGATCCCTGTTTCAATCCACGCTAAAAAAAGATGGATTGATTTCAATTTTGCCTGTGCACCTTGAAATCAAATCGTCTATGTGTGTATCTGCATGCATGCATGCATCAAGACTAATCTTTTGGTTTTCTTTTTTTTTATTTGTATAAAGCTTAAAGTAAATTAGTTTTGCCACAACCCAACAAATCAAAAGTTTATTCTTGCTGCGCGATTTATTGACGAGCGCGGGTTCTCCTTGCTGAAAACAATGGCGCATTTTTGTAAGTAATCAAAGAGACTCGCCCTCACCCCTCCCCCCATTAGCTCTTGACCTATTAATAATAAAGGAGGATTCTGGGGAAACTTCCAAAAAAGCATTGACCACAAAAAACCCGCTTTTTTTAATTTTTGTGAATCTATTGTGGCGTTCCGTAACCATAGTTATACAATTGACCACGTTTTGAAAAAATATAAATACTAGAGATAATACGTCTATGTGTATGTTCATCTGAGTGTTCATTTGATCAAAGCCTTTTTCTCTCTCTTTCTTTCTTTCTTTCTTTCTTTCACTGTTTTTCATCATCCATCTTAACACTGCTTATCGAATGGCAACAGCAGATACCAACATGGACACTATCATCAGAACACGAACTCATCCTAGTGACGATACCGTCACTCTAATGGCGGCATCAGCAGCCACTCAAATACAACCTCGAAGGGTCAGATTTGCCTCTTCCGAATTGATCCCTGTAGTGGATCAGCAACAGCAACCATCTGCCATCCATTTCACCGAAAAACGCAGCGAGATGCAGGCGGCAGTGCAAGATGGATCCACTGTGAATGCATCCAGCGGATGCTGTTGGTTCAGTCCCCCGCTTACGAACAATAGTAAAAGTGCTAGTACGATGATACCCTTCGGCCGGCGTCGACGTTCTTCTCGGCAGCATCAGCCACGACAACAACGATCCACATCATTTTCTTCCCTATCCTCTACATTATTCCCCTCACTGTCCTCTTCCACTACATCTAGCCATATTAGCAGCGATACACAGATTAGCAGCGGCACCCATGAAAAAGAACAACACAGTCATCTTAGCAAACTCAATAAATTCATCGTTTCATCCATCACTACCTCTTTGTCCTCTTTGCTCAGTAGCAACAACAAGACTGCAGGCACTAAACCACGCGAAATATGTCTGGACCACTTGCTGGAACAGTACTCTATAGAACTCAAACATTTATACTTGAATGCCAAAGCAGAGGTAATAATGCAACACTCTTTAAGTTGGTTTTTTTTTTCGTTTTACGAATATCCTCCCATTGACTGACGTTTCTATTGGGGTAATCATAGTTAGATTGTGCTATAGAAACACAGGGATCCGTTTATTACAAAGACGATCGAGTCACTGCAGGAAATGCATTGAAATCATGCAATGACAAATATTTTCATGTGATGGACTTCTTGGGTGACACAACACATGCTATCAAATTCAAATGTCGTTGGGAAAGAGAACTTGAAGATTTACAATCTGTTTTCCAGGACTTGCCATTAAGTACGCCTCCCGTGATTCTCGAAGAAGAGCACGAGCCCTCTACAGCTTATCAGTATTTCCATAAATACAACTAACTATGTCAACAAGCATTCTTTACACATCTCTACATTATCTCAACAACCATTACACTGTACCATTGCATTCTATCATCTGATGTCTACAGCATAACCATTGATACGAATCTATATCAACTGTTATTACTACGACTGCTGCTATTCATATACAACACTTATTTACATATGCATTTTTGTCTCTCACTCTATCTTTTTATGTCATCTCTTTTCCATCATCTGTACTACTTTTTTTTGTAAATTTCCAACTTTTTCTTTTTTGCTAAAAGCACTACTTGTTATCCTTTCTATGCCAACACTCCAAAAATTCATCTTTTTCCATTCTTTTGCATTTCATCATAGAGTGTATGCTTTTTAGTAAGCATTTCATCTCTTTTTTTTTCACAGCTTACAATCTCTTTTTCATTTGCATTTGTACCGATTTTATTTGTTATATTACGATTGACTTATTTGATATTACTTGAAATAAAGATACCTTTTTTTTTTTTTCTGCAGTGCTATTTTTTCAAGCAGTAGTAGGGCTATTCTCTTTATTGTCCGAGTAAGTATAGGTTGCATCGAGTCGATTACGTAAATGCTGGCCTGCTGTCAAGACTTCACCTGTCTTTTCATTCGCAGCTGCTTTGTCCAAAGTGGTATCCACAAAAGGCGAAGGCACAGGGGATAAAGGAGCATGGTCGACTGGATGCATAAAGAAGGGAATGGAATAGCGATCGATATACTTGTGCTGTGGTAAGAAAGTAACACGGTGCTTGGTGGATTTAAAGAGCCCGTGTGTCCACAGTTCCATTTGATCGCCTACGTTCACAATGATGGCGTTGTCTATCAAGGGAGCGGAGATCCATTTTTCGCGGCTGGCTTGAACTTCCAATCCAGGCACGTCTTTTTGGAACAATAAGGTGATGGAGCCATAATCGGAATGAGCGCCTGCTCGAACAGGTTCTTCCTCCTCCGCTATGGGTGGGGGTTGCTCATTTTTGTTGGCACACTTGGGATATTTCAAAAGTCGAAGGATTTCACCGGAATGTTCATAGGTATGGTACTGTTTAAAGAAATCACGACCGCCTTGAGCCTCTGGTATTTTAAGCGCGATAGCAAATGTTTCAAGGATTTGAATCGCTACAGAATGACATTTCTAGGGTATGTGTGTCAACAATCCCATGCTGTTTCATTCTTTCTCTATGTCAAGAGAATTCTTTTTCTTACTCGAGTAAAAGCATTGATGAAGGGCTCCTCCTCTTCAAAGACTTTAGGTAAGGGAGCGAAAGCTTTGTCGTTGTCAAACATTCTAAAGTTGAAGCCTCTGTGCAAGAGGAGAAGGATAATAATACAGATGTGTCAGTTCCATTGAAAGGAAATGTGTGCCTATGTGTGTCATCCTTCAAGAGCTTACTCTTTATGGTCTCCTTGTCGTTGATGCTCAGGATCCAATCTACGGACAAAACAAAAAAAAAAAAAAAAAAAAAAACAAAAAAAAAAAAAACTTAGCTACGACACTCTTACGTTATCTGTTGTTCCATACAAGCGCTTACTTTTCACTATAGACCGCACTATATCCATGATTTTCTTTATCAATAGCATAGCGCTGCTTTTCTTCTCGTGGCAGGTCAAAGAACTCCTTTGCCAATGCAAAGGTTTTGTTGATATCTTCTGCAGGTATGTCATGATGGATGACATAGAAGAACCCGATCGATTTACAGGCTTCAAATACATGTTGAGCAACGGCCTCAGGGTTCGTGCGTATTTCTGAGAAATCAATGACAGGAATAGAGTCCATGGTTTTGTTTTGACTAAGGAGGTGAAATGCGTGTATGGAAGAAAGAAGGAAGGAAGGAAATAAACAAAAGCCAGGTAAAGATGAATGGCATTCCTATCGGATCAAGCACCCATGATGACACAGCTGTCTTTTTAAAATTTAATCTCAGTTTCTTTTGCGTACCAAGTGATGGTTAGTCATACTCAAATCCACTTTCACTTAAAAGCAGCTCTATAAAAAAATGTGGCGACCCTGTCCATTCCGAAGAGTACAGTGGGTCCCCTGTCAACATTGGACGCGCTCTATTTACACTTCAAGAAGCCAGCTACAAAAGAGGAATGCGTCCTCGTCCTCGTCATCTCATAATAACAGCAACCGAGACGATGGCGATCCCTATCCCCATCTTGCCATTCGTCACTCAGCCGAAGCAGCGATAGATAGTTCCTACCCTAATCTGCCCCCGATTGCCCGAACTGGCGAAGAGACTGAACAAAAACGCCGTAGACTGACGTATCAAAGCCGAAAACGAGGCATTCTAGAAACAGATTTGTTACTGTCCACTTTTGCTAAAGTCTGGCTCCCTCAATTTGACCGTGCTGCTTTAGACGAATATGACCAATTATTAGATGAACCAGACTGGGATATATTTTACTGGGCTACGAACATGAAGCCTATTCCTGAACGTTGGCGTCATTCCAAGATACTGCAGATGGTATCTCAACATGCGAAAAACGAGGAAAAGAAGGTGCTTCGCATGCCTGACCTGGAGTAAAAAAAAAAAAAAAAAAAAAAAAAAAAAAAGGGTGGATAGTGTGATACGTTACAGCGGAAGGAAGGAACTTGTCATAAAAACCATATCAATAAAAAAAATGAGCCCTTTGACGGTCAACAAAGGTTACGTAATTCAGGCCATGCTCAAGTATGAGAGCTATATTGGATTCTCGGTTTTCTGCATTTTCTGCTTTATTTTTTTTTACACAATGGGATTTGGGGGGGGGAGGTTCCTTATCAACCTGCAGAAATCAACAAAAGATAGAGAAAGAGGATGACACATGCATGCAAACATTTTCCGATTGCAATATAAAAAAGTAAAAGTGGAAGCCGAATGTTATATATAGACTATGAAGAAAACATAGGGACAGCCAAGACACACACACACACACTCACACACTCACTCATTCACACACTACACACGTTATTCAACTTTCTCGTTAACTATATAAAGGCAGGTTTCTATGGGGAACTTGGCTTGGGGTTTCTTTTTCGTTCCCCTTATTTTAAGAAAGGATTATAAACCAACTATAGGCAACCCTTCCCCTTTTCTTTTCACCCAAGAATAAAGCTTCCTCACTTTTATTCAGCATCTGTTACAATGGATTACATAGAGCCACAACCTACGATTTTACTATCGCCTGCACCTCTACAACAGCAACAACAGCACTGTCAACAGGAGATCAAAGAAAGTGAGGATGACAGTCGAGAGCAACTATTACTCTTACCACCGGCAACATCACTTTTATGTACTACTGACTCGAGTGAGGTGGAAGGCCATCGACATCGCATCCATCCGCTCAGGATATTGACAAAAAAATGGTCCAATCTATCCTTACGTTCTTCTTCGGCCTCCTCTTGCTTGCAATCACCTGCAACAGAGAATGAAGAGGAAGCAGCTCCTGCCCTTACTTCCAGTATCTTACTCTCACCAAGTAATGCTTTTAGCCACAGAAGCTACAGCAACAGCAACAGCAACACATCAGCGTCGTCGAAACAAAGTAGTTTGTGTTATTCACCACCTTCACCTACCGTTTCTGCATGTTCTACGCCTTGCGGGGAAAGGGCACAACCGTCGATCTTATTACAGCATAAATATACAAATTATAAAAAAGACAAGGTGATTGGTCATGGATCCACGGCTAAAATAAGGTTGTATGTGAAGGGACAGCCGCGAGAGGGCGATGAAGATAGGCAAGAGAAGGAAAGAAAAAAGAGTCCCAACGAGCCACCAACACAACCGAATATCATTGCCGTCAAGACGTACCGTCCACTAAAAAAAAGATATTATTACTCTAAAGGAAAGAAAAGCCAAAAAGGCTATGATAAGCGAATGGTGAGTGAGTTTTGTATTTCGAAAACCTTGGTGCATCAACATATTGTGCAAGTCTATGATCTACTCAAAGATAAGAAGGGACGATGGTGTACAGTCATGGAATATGTAAATTAAAAAATCATTTCATCAAAAAAAAAAAAAAAAGAAAAAAAAGGAAAGCATTCATGGATAGTTATTATTTCATTTTAGTGTGCAGGTGGTGATGTATTCTCTATATTACACGAATTTGATTTAAGCGATGCAGAAATTGATTGCTTATTTAAACAATTATTATTGGGAGTACAACATATCCATACGAGTGGCGTGGTGCATCGTGATATAAAACCTGAAAATCTAATGATGACAAGAAATGGTATACTCAAAATTGCTGATTTTGGGGTTGCTGAAGTGGTGCAGTTGTGTTTTGATGCAGAGACAAGACTGGCGCAAGGTAGATGCGGGTCTGAACCTTACTGGCCCCCTGAACTCTTTTCTCTCAATGCCCATGGTAGTAGTAGTAGTAGTAGTAGTAGTAGTAGTAGTAGTAGTGGTAGTAGTACTAGTAGCAGTGATAGTGATGTTGATCATGGAGACAACGGCAATAGCAATGATATAGCTCAACAGCAGCAGCAGCAGCAGCAGTTGAATCACTATCTCTATGACGGAAAAGCGTTTGATATCTGGAGTTGCGCTGTTGTATGGCATTGTTTGATCTATCGCCAAATACCATTTTTCAAGGCATGCTCGGAGGACCCTCAATACGAAGAGTATACAGCGGTGCGAGAGCGTCGTGAATGGATTCCTCTCTCTAAATGCTTTGATCATGAAAAGGAATGCTTGTACAATATGTTTGAACCCAATCCCAAGAAAAGGTGGACTATCCAACAATGCCTGGATTCTGACTGGATCAAGAGCATCTCGTTATGTTACGAAAGCTATGAACGTCATCGACATCATCATGTACTCTAATTTTTTCTTATAAAGTAGAGGTTGAAAATCTTTTCTTTTTTTTTTTTCTTTTTTTTTATATACATATATATGTATGATTGGGAGAAGATGATAAATAAAAGAAACTAGAATACCATTACATTGGCTTTTAAGGAGGTAAAGAAGAAAAAAAAAAAGAAAAAGAAAGACATATAAGCAATCATTAAAGGGAATCATGTCAAGAAATAGGAATAGTATAGTAAGAAAGAAAAAAAAAAAAAAAAAAAGGAGAGTGTATATGTGTTAATTATGTTGTAGTGTGTGTGTGTGTGTGTGTGTGTGTCAAAGGAAAAATAACTACCAAAATAAACAAAGAGACGCTGTTGCTGCTTCTTCTTCTTTTTACTTTGATTTCACATTTTGACTTAACCAATTCAAGCCTTGGAATAGGCCTTCACCTGTTGTTGCACATGAAGGATAAACATACCACGGTCTTTCCTTCATTTTGTCCAGGCCTAATTTTTCTGTTACTTCTTGAGGTGACATAGCTCCTGGCAAATCTTGTTTATTTGCAAAGACGAGTAATAAACATTCTTTCATTTCTCGGTCTGACAGAATACGATGTAGTTCTTGGCGAGCTTCATCAATGCGATCGCGGTCTTGAGAATCAATGACAAAGATGAGTCCCTGCGTGCCTGTATAATAGTGTCTCCACAAATTTCGAATTTTATCCTGTCCTCCTACATCCTATTGTATTGGAGAAAGAGTCAAGATCTTTCTATTTTCAAATGCAGATAGATATTTCGTGAAAGCTTTTTCTCGAGTAGCTAATGTTTACCCAAACGTTGAATTTGACGTTTTTATAAGTCACTGATTCGACGTTGAATCCCACCGTTGGAATGGTTGTAACAGACTGATTCAATTTAAGCTTATAAAGAATGGCTTATGGGAAGAGAGAAAGAGAGAAAAAAAGAGACAGGTTAATGTCGAGTTGAACAAAGAAACATCATGTATGTGTAGGTTGCTTACTCGTTTTTCCAGCTGCATCGAGACCCAACATTAAAATACGCATTTCCTTACTGCCAAACAGTTTTGAAAGCGCCTTTGATAAATTACTTCCCATAGTATCGACTTTTATTTTTTTTCTGTTGACTTTTTTTGACAAAGGTATGTATGTTGTAGAGTGGATTGGTATTGAATTTATAGAGTAAAAAAAAAAATGGAAAAAAGGATAGGAAGGAGACTGGTGTTGTTATGTTGAGTATGAATGAAAAGAATAGAAGAGCTTCCTACTGCTTGTTTTATTTTTATTATTGTGTCGAGTTGGAAAAAAGAAAAAAAGAAGTCCGCAATATATTTAGTACGACAAGGTACACTTTTTTTTGAACAAACAAGTTATATAAGTGAGATGGCACAACGCAGGGCTTCTAGAACTCCTATTATTATACAACACATATTTGATTAATGCAAGTAAACGATCAGTTAATTGACCTCGTTTTTCTTTATTTTATTTTTTTCTTTATCGCAAAAAAAAAAAAAAAAAGCGTAGAGTTTCAAGGGGGTTTGAGCCTACTTTTTCATAGGGTTCAATTGTTGGAAAAAAGTGGAGTCTATGGAGCAGCTGAGCGGATGGTAGACAATCAAACCTTTAGCTATAGACGATAACACTACACATGAATCCCACGTACCCAACGTCAGATAGAAAATAGTTCAACCTGCTGTTTTCCTCAACCACACATTTGACTGGTGTATTCCAACCTATTCAATTCAATATATTTCAAATGAAGGAATGCGTCTCAACAGCATGCCATCATTTCCCGTGTTGTATACTTGCATCATCAATTACGAAAAAAAAAAAAAAAGGCAGAAACGTCCCATTGGTCCCACACGAAATTTGACCAACGATGGCGCCCATCCAACACCTCTCTCTAAAATTAAAAAATCATTTGATTTTAGGGATCGACAGGTAACAAGTCCTCGAGAGTGTGAGCTAGGGTGCCTTTATCTCAAAACAATGGTCGATAAACATTGAGGCATCTGTTTCTGTCCAATCCAAGGTCCAGCTTTTCCCGTTACTCAAATTGCAAATAAAAAAGTGGCGGCGTTGTTCACATCCTACGAACAGTAGGTACCCAAGCTGTCTTAGGGTCCTTGCCTTCATTTACATCATCCGCAGTACACCAAAACTATTGTGGCAAACTACAGGATGAATAAAGGTATGTCTTGTCAAATGATTTGAGCAAGATAGTGTAATGATATCTGTTAGTCCTATTTTTTTTTTTTTTTGTACACATGATAATCTACGACAAAAAAAAGTCATTCATCATTTTGCACACACAAAGCACGCATAATTTACATTCCCCCTCAAATTATCTCTTTTTTTCCTTTTTTTTTATTTTCTAATAATTTATTTTATCTCTCTTTTTTTTTGTTTTTTTTTTTTTTTTTTTTTTTTTTTTGATTCACACACGCATAGACACATACATACATACACACAAAATACGCAGCAAAGCATTCTACTCTATTTATTTTGTTTTCCTTTCAACATTCTCAATTATCAATCTCAATTATCATTATCAATTTTGTCTTTATATTTTTACTTTTTGTTCCAACCATTTCTGATTCATGTCATCACCGAGGAAATCAACTACCCATTCAGCATTAGCAACTGCATTGCACCAAGAAAAGCATGTGGGTGACTACATTATCATGAATCGTCTCGGGCAAGGTTCATTTGCCACTGTATATAGAGCGCAACATAAAGTAGAGTCTCTTTTCCGCACCCTTCCCCCCTTTCTGCAGCTCTTATGACAATCTATCTCTCTAATACAGTATTGTTATTTTTTTTCTATTGGATGTGTCTGTCATAGGATACCCAACAAACCGTAGCTATCAAGTGTGTCAAAAGATCAAAATTAACAAAGAAGCTATTAGAGAACCTTGAATCAGAAATATCGATTCTTACATCGATACGACATGAAAATATTGTTGGCCTGATTGAATGTCAGGTAAAAAAAAAAATGGCACATACATTTCTGCATGAATTTGGGGTCGTATTTTTTTTATTTTCATGATTTTGGCTGACATGACTTTCTTTTGGGTATAGAAAACTGAATCCAATATTTATTTGGTCATGGAATATTGCTCATTAGGTGACTTGTCTCATTATATCAAAGAAGTGAGATCGGATAAAATGTCCAAAGGGCCTGCGGGTGGTTTGCCCGAAAGGATCATTCGTCATTTCTTGAAGCAATTAGGTACTTTGATAATACATGTGGTACGTTTGAACAAAAACCATCTTTTGTGATACTCACACAAACACACACATATACACACACACCCCTTTAGCCAATGCCTTGAAATTTCTAAGGTCGCAAAATTTAATCCATAGAGATATAAAACCACAGGTAGAATACTTTAAAAAATAGAAGGGGAGCATCAGAAAAAAACTCAATGGCATCCTTCGTTTCTTATAGAATCTGTTATTGTCACCCTCCAGTGTGAAAGGAGCATCCGATTTACCGATATTGAAAGTGGCAGATTTTGGATTTGCACGATTTTTACCCAACGCGAGTTTAGCAGATACCCTTTGTGGATCCCCGTTGTACATGGGGCCAGAAATCTTGTCTTATAAAAAATATAATGCCAAGGCAGATCTATGGAGTGTAGGCGCTGTACTGTATGAAATGGTTACAGGGCGTCCTCCCTTTCGAGCACAGAATCATATCGAGTTATTGAAAAAGATTCAAGAAAATAATGATCAGATCCATTTTCCGGATGAAAAGCAGCCGCAGCAACAACAACAACAACAAGAGGATAGGATCAGTAGAAGAAGAAAAAGCAGTAGCGGTAGTAATAGTAGCAGCAGCAGCAGTAGTAGTAGTAGTACGAGCCATGGCAACGACTCCAACCACACCCATGATCATGCGAATGATCCTAGGATGATTGGAAGTGATCTGAAGGATCTCATATGTAAATTATTGAAAAAGAATCCAGTGGAAAGAATATCGTTTGAAGACTTTTTTCAACATCCTGCGGTGGTGGAAATGGTTCGTCCATTACAGCCATCGTGTTCAAGAACGCAATCCTTGCCTCAACCCTTGCCGCAGCAGACACAGCAGCAGCAGCAGCAGGCACCCCCTCCTGCGGTGGATCGTCGAAGAAGTATAGCTGTAACGAACAACACAGCAAGAGGTCATTTACAACACACACCCCCTTCACCTTCTACTTTACAACAACCATACCGTCCTAGCAGTTATGAACCGCCTCCTTTTGCTCAGTTGGCTCCCAAGAGTTTACCTACAGAGCAAGCTCATCCGCAACGACAACAACAGGAAATATACCCTCGGTCTCGTCGTTGGTCTTCCAACTTGGAACGGAGATCCACTACTCCTATGGTTCCTATAGCCACAAGGTAAGAGGGAAATCTAGACTTTTTTCCTGATGCCCTTTTCTTTTTGAAACATTTTTCAAAATGAGGAGCCCTGAAAACAAATATTTCGCCGCTTTGTTTCTAATAGTCATCGTACAACAACAGCCACGACCGCAGACACTACCCATTTTCACTCACAACATCCTTCACAGCCGCACCAGCCACAGCCACAACAACAACAACAGCAGCAGCAGCAGCAGCAACTATGGAAAGGATCGTCGTTGTCGCCGTCTGAACCTTCTGGTTTGACAAAGAATTCAGGTACCAACCTTAATCGTCGTAGTAGCAGTACGACTCGTCAGGGTGGTGACCATGAGACTGGTGTGCATCGACCACAGCCCCGTTCACAGCAGCAGCCACCCACATGGATAAGAAACAGTGGTAAAGAAGTAGAAGACATACTGCAAGAATACGTTGTTTTAGATTTAAAATCAATAGAAACAAATCAATTTGCCGATGGTAAGGGTCTGTTTTGTTTTGTTTTGTTTTTCCAAGAAATTGACATTTGCGTTTTTGGATGTGTTAGAATTGAAGGCTTCACCCAAACAGAATGAAAAAAGACTGTCGCGATCACCCACGCATCCCTATCACAGCAATGCAACGACCTCCACGACGAATACCCATCCTATCTATCCGAAATCGAATGCTGTGAATATACCGAGTAGCAATAACAATAAATCAACCCATGCTCAACAGCAGCCTAGTTTATCACCTTCTTCCCCTTTGATTCGAGAACGTAAACCAAGTACAGGCTCCTCCTCGGCAGGATCCGCTTTGGCCAAAGCCATTAGTAAAGCCTCTACAAGATTATTCGGGACAAGTATACCTTCCTCCTCCTCTTTGACGTCTTCTCCGCCCAAAGACGCATGGCAACAACAACAACAACAACAACAACAACAACAACAACATCAACAACACCCTCACAGGTTCATGTCACAAGAACGATCGAAAGGGGATCCTTCTCCTCTCATGAATCATGTGACATCCTCACCTACGCCAAGTCTATCCTCCACGTCACCCTCACAACAACAACAGCAGCAATCGCAACAACAACAGCATTCACATCCATCCCGGCGACATCACTATGATCCTCAGGAAAGACGTCATTCATATCATTCCCCGCACCGATCCAACAGTCCATATTATCGTTCCATGAGACGTATTGAAAAACTAGCATGTATGGCGCATGCTGTTGCGAAATACGCCGATCAAAAATATGAGACGTTTATGAGCAAGAAAAATGGGAGTCATAGCCATCATAGTCATACGAGCGATCTAGCTACAGCAGCCAACACGACCACCCTGTTGGCCACCACAGTGCTATCAGAAGAAGCCATCGCACTTTATGTAAAAGCATTAGCTTTACTTGAAAAAGGATTAGCCATTGCTCAACAATTTTGGCATCATCTTTCAAATGCAAAGCCTGCTGCCCCTCATCGAGGTGGACAGAATACATTGGAGGAAGAGGAAGAGCAAGAGGAAGAGGACGAGGACGAGGAGGCTGAAGAAGAAAAACGTCAAATGATTGGACAGTTAAACGATGCCGTTCAATGGATGCGAGATAGATTTAATACTTGTTTAGATAGAGCAGAATCAGTTAAAATGGACGATATAGACACCGTAACTGGAATCACAGCGGAACAATGTATAGTAGAGAAACTACTCTATGATCGAGCCTTGGAAATGGTAATTTTGGTTTTTTGAGGAGAGAGAGAGAGTGAGTGATGCCTTTGACTAAAAAAGATACCATTTTCATCACCCTTAGAGTCGAGCGGCAGCTGTTCATGAGTTGGTAGGAGAGAATATCAATGAATGTGAACATGATTATCAAACAGCCATATGGATGTTGGAAGCTATTTTACTCGTGCAGCCTAAATCACAGGAGATGGAAGACGTCGAAGCTGGAGATACAACGACCATTGAAGAGGAAGATAGACAAATCATAAAAAAACGTAAGTGTTATCAGGGGCATGAGATGACAAGATATTGGCTAATCATTTCTTATGTATGTATGTAGTCATTGATTCCATTCGCCATCGAATCACCGTACTCAGGAAAAAGATGGCGCAGGATGGTTTCAAATAATGCCTGTCTACTGGTGAGCCACTGCAAAAACAAACAAAGAAAAAACCCATTCGAAAAACGCGTCTTTTTCTTTTTCTTTTTTTTTTTCTGCTGAAATATCATTCTCAATTTAATCATGCATTTTGTACCTGTTTTTTTTTTTTTCTATTTAAATAGATGTTTCTTTTTGAGCATTACATCACTTGATAACAACGCGCGTTTTGGGTGTATGAAGAGCACACTTTATTTGTTTGTAAAAAAAAAAAAAAAAAAAAATTAAAATAAAAATTGCGGGTCGATCCTATTCGAAATCCTATTCTACTTTAGCTAAAAAAATGAGGCCATTTCGGATGCCAACAGCCGATCCCGGCCCTTTTTTTGGGCTTATAAGCCTACTGAAAAAGCCACACCACTCAAGGTTCTGCCGCGCACCCCCCCCCCTTAAAAAGTATGTTTAGTAATAGGCCTTTTTTTTGGAAATTGGGAAAAAAACAAGTTTCCTGTCAACTCTTTGTTCTATTTCCGTAGTCTACGCCATTTCTTCTAACCTAGAAAAAGGAAAATAGAAGATGTCTTACTACGTATAAAAAATGGTTTACCTTTACAGTTTTGCATCCAATCAAAAAGTTGAACGTCTTTTTCTCTTTTGACAGTTGGATGGTTTATTTTCAGATTCCGTGCTTGTTGGTGGACCATCCTTTCCTTTTTTTGTTACGTTTAAAAAAAAAATTGTTTTTCCCGCTCTTTTCCTTTCCTCTTCTTCTTCCTTTCATTATTTTGTGATCAAGCTCATCTTGTTTCTTTTCCTTACTGATTCAAGGATTATTGTCTTTATTTTTTAATAACAAAACCAGCATCAGAAAGAAGCCAAATAGTAAAGTAAACTAGAGGATTCTGCACGCTCAAGTTGTTCAAAGACAGAATTCAACGATAAAATCTCAGAGTAAGTTAAGACTCCTTTTGAACCACTTTTTCTGTCTTTTGATTGTACAAAGGTCATTGTGCAAGAACGCCATTTGCCCTGAAGGACGTGCACATGACCCATTGTTCTTTCTCTCTTCCTTTCTCTCTCTCTCTCTCTTTTGCTATTTGTCAAACGCAGCTGTTTTTACATGACTACGACGGTTTCATTATCCAGCCTGCAAACAACTGCATCTGCAATTTACCCAACTACCAATGAAAAAGAAGGAATCCTATTATTTTCTTTCGACATGATGTTTAGGCGGCTTTTTTTGGAAAATGACAACTGAAAAAGTCAGATTACAGCGGAGATGAGAATGGATTCAACAACAGAAATTTTTTTTTTTTTCTTCTTTCGTTTCTAGTCGAAATGACCACGCGCATCGAGTGCCACGGACTCGGACATGCACCAAAAACAACAATAATCGCATTATCAGTGAATAGCAATTTTTGTTTTATTGCCAATGGAAACACATGTAGATCCAACTTTGGACCTTTAGTACAACACTACTCAATTCATGCGTCATTCCACAGTGACCGATATGAATTTGCCAATGTCGTTTCAACAAAAAAATATCGATGTTGACTGCGAGTAACTGCAAAGATACAGAGAGAGAGAGGAGAGATGGTCAAAGGATAAGAAAAAAAAAATAAAAAAAAAAAAAATTGAACTGTCAAAAAAAAATTTTTTTTTTTTTTTTTTTTTTTTTCTTTTAAGAAACCCTTGTAGTAAAATGATGAATTCGTTTACAATTTTTTTTTTTTTTTTTCCACTCACTCATTATTTTTTGGCTTTTTCTTAGTTACAGAATAATAGTAACTCCTATATATTCTCAGTTTCCTTTTAAACCAAAAAGAACAGAAATTTGAAAATTATAATGCAGTCTATGCCATATTATCAACAACAGCAAGGTTATCAACCTCAGGCACCCTATCCTTCTCAAGCTGCACCTGCACCTGCGCCTCCACCACCTCACAGTCTGCTGAATGGTGCTCCTCTTTTGAACCATCCTAACGGACTTCCTCCCATGCAGCATCCCGGTATTCCCGATCAATCGCAGATGGGTCCTCCTCCTGCACAAGCACAAGCACCCAAGAGAAAACAAGTCAAGAACGCTTGTAGTAAGTGTGATTTTCTCTTATCATGATAGTAGAGTAATAGTGGCTTTTGAAACTAAAAAGAGAAATTTTTTTTCTTTTATTTTTTTTTTTTTTTTTTTTTTTGCTGGTTAGCTAACTGTCAAAAGGCTTGTAAAAAATGTGACGATGCTAGACCTTGTCCCAGATGTATAAAGTATGGTATTGCTGATACTTGTGTCAATTCTGTAAGAAAGGAACGTAAGAAGGGTATTAAACGTGGACCTTATAAGAGAAGACAAAAGACAGGTGGTAAGTTATCATTTTCACGTTCGTTGAAAGAACAAAAAAAATTTTTTTTTTTTTTTAGAGTTGCTGTGCTGTTTCTCTGTATATAATCACATCCAATACACAGGATGCATTTCGTGAACGCGTTTTTTTTTTTTTTTGCAACTATGTTTCTGACAACCCATCTTTTATGATAGAACAAAAGCCACGTAAGAATGCTGCGGATGTCACTCATCCTGATCAAAATGCTCAACCTGCTCAATATGCTCCTCCTATGCGTGGACCTACTATGACATTTGGATATCCTGGCAACTTGAATCAGTATGGCCAACATTACGATCCTTATGGACAATATGCTGCTTATCATAAAGATGGCATGATGCCGCAACCCTATGTTATGAATCCTGTCTATCCTCCCATGGCCTATCCTGTGCTTGTTCCAACAGGTGATAATAGCCAACAACCACAGCAGCCACCACAACCACAGCAGCAACAGCCAGCACAACAACCTCAACATCCTTATCATTATAATATGTTGCATCAACAGCCTCAACAACAACAACAACAACAGCAGCAGCAACCATCTCATCTTCCTCCATCGCAGCAGCAGCAGCAGCAGCAGCCTCAACAACAAGCACATCAACAGAGCCCTCAACAGCACACCGGTCATCCACCTGCTTTGATGCAATCACGTAATGAACATATGATGCACCAATCTTCTCCTGCCGCTAGTCCTCAGATCTACTATCAACAAGCGACGACACCCAACCATAATGCGAATAATGCTACATCTACTCCTACTCCTACACATACTACCACAACGACGGCTACGAATACGCCTACTTCTACAGCAGCCACTACCCATAGTAACACATCCACACAAAATATAAATGCTCAACAGCAATCTCCTTTGCCTCCTCCTAATCATCTTGTGCATCAATCACATCACCCACAGCAACAGCAGGGTACCCCTCAACCTACACATCAACAGATTCATACTCTCACTCCTCATCACCCTTATGCCACTGTTCAACAACAACAACAACAACAAGCTCCTCAAAATAGTAGTAGTACCAGTAGTAGCAACCCTCCTTCTCAACGAAATAGTCCTCATTTGCCCAATATCAAGTCGGTGGATCCTACTTTTGGTCATCATCAACATCCTCATCATCATCAACAACAACAACAACAAAATGGCACTACGGACAATAATGGTTATGGAAAGCCTTCCACACCTCATCTTCAACATCAACAACAACCCATGACACCCGTACCTTCTGCGTCTACTTCAACTGCTACCACTGCTTCTGCTGATTCACAACAAGCACATGCACAAGCAGTTCAAGCCGCAGCCGCAGCCGCAGCCGCTCAACAACAACAACAACAACAACAACAACAAGCTCATAAAGTAGAAAACCTTCGATTCTTATCATAGAAACTTCCCTGTTGAAATACATATATATATATAAAGTAGATGCGTTGTCTTGTATTTTTTTTTATGGGATTGTTTATCCTTTGTCAAACACAAAATGAACCAACCCCACTTTCCTTTCATTATTATTATGTAAACATTTAGAAATTGTCTACAAAAACATCCCCCCCCTCCCCTTTTTTCTATCCTTTTTTTTTTCGAAAAAAAAAAAGAAAAAGAGTTGTTTATAAATGTAAAAAAAAAAAAAAGAAAAAGAAAAAAGTAAATAAAAAAATTTCATTGTAACAGTAAAAAAGTATCATTTCTTGATCCGCGCCGTTCCGATTCATTACTATACACACATACACACACACACACATACACAGACACACAAACACACAAACACATGGATATACCATCATTGACAACAAAATTGGATTTGGTTCCTTGATTTTTCCTATTTGGAATAATTTTTTTTTTTTTACAACATCAGCAGAAAACGGAGATTATGCTTTAAAAGAATAGAAAAGCCGCGTTTTTGTTGTCATCTTTTGGTAAGATAAGATGTAATGGGTTCAGTCATCCATACACAATGAAAAGAGTCTCCGCGTATATTCCAGAAACTGGGGATTTTGTCTGTGTGGGATGACATTTCAATAACGTGTGATTATGAGTATATATATATATGTGTGTGTGTGTATCCCTCCTTTAGAGCAAGAATAGCATTTCTGAGTCTAAAGAGAAATTGCATAAAAGCGTTGTCCATGTATAGAAAGCAGTTCAACAGGGTCTCACAAAATGAACAGAATACAAATACAAATAAATCCTTTTTTTTTTCAAAACCTTAGCCGAGACAGCATCAAGGTAATGAAATGCAAAAAGACAGTGACGTATGGACATGCGACAAGGGACTTGTCCTGCGCATGGATGCACGTCTTTATTTTTCATTTAGATGGTAAACAAAGAACGAAGTCAAGACTCTCACCCGAATCACGGGTACCTTTTTTTTTTTTTCGGAATTGACATTATAAGCTTTTTTCAAGATCTAGTTGTTTCTTGAAAAATCAAAAAAAAATCGCGACCCCTTTTTTACATTCTTTGTTAGTACAGTCATTCTCATTTCTTGCAGCAAAATAGAGACGTTCTTTTGATGTAGAGGAAGCAATAGAGATGCGGACAGTAGAGGAATTTTTATTTATATGCTACTGATGACAACTTGAGAAACTCTACAGTGTTTATTATTATTGTTGTTTTGTTGTTGTTGTTTTGTCAAAGTTTATATCACTCAAATCATCATGTGAGCCTTCTATTTTACCTTTTTTTTTTTCTTCTCGAGTACACCCTTTCTATTTTTTTCTCTTTTTTTCCATTTGTTTTACTCCCCCCCCCCCACATTTTGTTTGAGGTGGTGGTTGTTTTATTCTTCCTTTTTCCTATAAGTCTAAGCTGCTTTATCGTCTATCTTTATTCAATATCTATACGAGTATCTGTATTAAAATGGTAAGGCAAAGAAGCTGATATGTCTCTTTCAGGAAAAAAAAAAAAGAAAAAGATTCACGCTTTTCCCAATGCATGTCATAGCTTACCGCCTCTTATGCTCATTTTAATCATAACCATCCACGGACGACGACGACGACGACTCCGCCCCTGTCTACACCTACACATAACAACCCTTCTTTTAAATCAAAGAAAGTGCATACAACGCATAATAATGAAACCGTCGCCATGATTGATTACACGAATCTATATATTAAGAACCTCGATGCAGACGTGACAAGCTATGACTTATTTAAACACTTTAGAGGCTTTGGTAAAATCATATCAGCAAGAGTCATGAAGGAAACAGCGACAGGTATTTCCAAGGGATATGGATTTGTCAGTTTTACCACGATGGAAGAAGCGAGTGAAGCATTAGAGCAAATGAACGGCGTTTTATTGAATACCAAGCATATGATCGTCACCTATCATACACATAAAAAGCCACTCCATCACCATCAGAGCAGTCATCACAAGCAGCAGCAGCAGCAGCAGCATCATCGTGCATCACCACCACCACCACCACCCCCCTCCACCTATCCCCAGCACCATCTACATCCTATGAATACCAGTCCTCCCACCCACGGTCATCCGATGGTGTCGAACCATAGTAGTCATAGTAATAGTAGTAAAAACTCACAACACTCACCCCCCTACTCTGCTAAAAACCATTATCCACAGCACCCTCCTCATCGCCACCACCCACACTATCCGGCCTCTTCTTATTCATACCCAGCTTACCCACATTATCAGCCACACTACTATGGCAGTAGTAAGAATGATGACAATCCTTGGAATGAGTCCAATGGTCTTTGGATGCATTACACAAAGCCAACGCCGTCTTATCCACCCCCCACCACCACGCCTGCTATCCGTGTTTTGCCCTCCCACCCGAAAGGAATGACCGTTGCTGACGATGACAACCCCACGGCTACGATGGGTGCTACTTTGCCTTTGCTTCCTCTTGGTTCACCCTCTCAACCGCCCTCACTGTCACCTCCACCACCCACATCCTCATCAAAGCAGCAGCAACAGCAGCAGCAGCAACAGCCTTACTATTATCCTACGACGGCTCCTGATAACCTACTATTATTACACGACAACAGTATTCAAATCCAAAAATTACGTGAAGCCATCTCTCTTCAACTCAAAGCGTGCCAAAAAAAGGATCTCGACGATCTGGTGGATTTGATTCAATCTTTGAAAAAACGCGAACTTTCACTTTGTTTATTCAATCCTTCTTTTCTAAGACAAAAGATAGAGGAAGCCTATGAAGCCCTTTATTTATTCCAAACAAACACGGATGCGACGGTGGGTGATGCAGCTGTGGGTGTTTCATCCACCAACGACCACCACCACCACCACCACAACAACAACAACAACAACAACAGCAGCCACCATCAGAGAACCATGTTGACAGCGCAGCATCAACAACAACAACAACAACCACCTCAGCAGAACGCAGCACAAACGCCTACGACCACACCCACGACCACAACGACAACGACAACGACCCATACCTCTTCCTCCTCTCCCCATCTCGTCTCCACCCATACACACTATTATGATCTCCAGTCTGTCCATGCGATTTTGGCTTCTTTAGAAGGGATGACATCCAATAAGAAAAAGAGAATCTTTGGCGACCTCTTTTTCCCCTATGTCAAAGCAACGGGTGTCAAGCATGCTCCAAAAGTAACCATTCGGTTATTAGACACCGTTCCATTACAACAGTTGGCTTATTGTATGTTTGAAAAGCCAGAATTGACTCGAATGGCGTATCAAGTGCATGAAGAACTGTATGCAAAGGAGGGTCATCCTCAGGGTCCATCTTCTCAGACCAAGAAGGACCCCCCTCCTCAGGGTAGCGGTACGGAGGCGGTGACGGTCGCTGCTCGTCCCTCCACCCTGAGCCATGAGCGTAGTGGTAGTACAGACAGCCAACAACAACAACAACACACGTCAGAAAATGAGAAGAACGGGGACAGATAAAAATCACCCACCTTCTTACGAAAAACAGATCACGCCAATAAGAAACTCCTCCCTCCTTTCCCTCCTCATTCAACATGTTATCTCTATTGAAAAACATAGTATAAAACATATATACATACACACACACAAACACACACATATATATATATATATATATATCTATTTCTCATTTTCCCCCATCATGGAAGGCTCTTTTAAAATATATTAAAAAAATAAAACCTCAACCATGAACGTTTATATAAAAAATAAGAATGTCGAAACGATGGCTTCTTGACGGTAGATCAGTAACTGACAAGGAAAGCCAAAAATAGACACGCCAGTGTACACCATGCAAAGAAACGTGTCTGTCTACGATTGATCCTTTTCCACAGAATATTCTTTCAGTAGTTCTGGTGGTGGTTCATCCATTGACTTCCAAATAGCTTCCATTCTTTTTCTCTTCTCTTTCGCTTTACCTTTCTGTTGGTCACGCTGAGCAAGAAACTGTAGAACAACAAGTCAGTGCAAGTAAGTGGAAGCAGGAAAACAAAAAAAAAAGGGTTACCTCCTGCTTGAGACAATTGTCTACTGCTCTTTTCGCATCGTTACAAACGCCAATGAACTTGTTGAATGTACCTGCACGATGACACCTTTCTAATGCTTCAATGACCTCTTCACACCCTTCGTTTTTATGAGCTTCTAAAGGCGGATGCATGTGTCTTTATACTTTGAGATCAGAGAAAAAGGTAGCTGTCAAAATAATTCCTACTTTCTAGGGTTCTTACTGAGAGATTATTATGTAATACAGTCAGGAAAAGAAAGAAGAAAAAAAAAAAAAAAAAAAAAGGCGGGGTTGACTTCTTGGACCTGGAGGAACGGATGTTCGCATAAATCATTCCTCTTATGGGATCAAGAATTTCCTTTTCTCTCTCTTTTTTTTTTTTTTTTTTTTTCTTTCTTTAAAGAAATCAAGTCAATGAAATGGAGCTTGATACACATTCGGACAAAACACCTTTACCTCATTGGCATGGCGCCCACCATGGTCCATGGCCTCATTCCGAATGCCCATGGATCTTGGCCAATAGAAAACTTGAACACAAGTTGAACAGCAACGTCGAGGACGACGACAACAACGTTGCCATAAAGACAGGTAATCTGTTTATTTCTCTTCAGTGATTCAAGGGAGGCTCTGTGTCTGTGTTTGAGGTGAGGATCTTGAAAAGAAAAAAAAAAAAAGAAAACCAAAAACTTGAAACTGTCCCTTCTTTCCAAGAAAGATAAAAGAGATACAAACGAGCATAAAAAGTTGGTTTTTTTTTTATACTTTCTTTTCCTCTTTTTTCAGAACAATCAGTTACTACGACGACGACGACAACAACAACAACAACAACAGCAGCAACAGCAGCAGCAGCAACTCATATGGCAACGAGTATAGATTCGCTTGAAGAAGAATTAGCATCATTATCTATCTATCATAAGCATCCTCGATATCCTTATGATGCACGGCATGCAAAGAGCCGCAGTCCTATTCGTAAAACCTTTCCCAAGTCAGCTGTCAGATCGGTGGGGAACATCTCAATGGATCTTCTTCACGAACAGTTGAAAGCATTGACTTTGGAAGGTCTTGTGGTTTTGAAAGAATTTACAGTAGCTTCTTGTTCAGAGTGGAAGGATGACAGTGATGCTACGACTGCTGCTATGAGGACGACTACGACTGGTTCAGCGGTGAATACCCATGATGATGAAATGCAAAGGAATGACTATTATTAAACTTTTATTTATTCATGTCTCCCCCCCCCCTCGTACATCTATGTAATTATACTACTACTTTTTATATCCCTATAGCTTATTTTTATAACCCCCTTACATTCGTTTATCATGACCCTCTTTGTCTATCTCTACCTGCAAATAATAAAGCCATACTCAATCCAATATACATCTGCCAGTATGTTTTACAGACAAAGGCTAGAATAGGAGTACCCTAAAAAGTGCAACCATCCATAGAGCAAGCATGGAGGAAGAAGGCAAAGCGTGGGTGACCTTGACCTGAAGCCACCTACCGATGATGATGGCAACGTCTATCCAAGAGAGCCTGAACCCGCGACTGAAATAGACCCTTTTGAAGAATGTCTCTGCCAACCTGCATTGGGTGGTCTTTTTCCTTCCTGAAATGACGTGTGCTATCGAAAATGGAAAGGTAAGTGAGATAAAATATCTATCTAAGAAGCTTATGACGGATAGAAGGAACTGCATGGAAATCGTTCGAAAAGGCCAAAGCGCTCATCGATAAGGGAAAAAAAAAAAAAAAACACCGTCATGGCGGGCCAACATTCTCAAGCAACAAGCAAAAGACACTATCCCTGCTGACCTTTATCTTTACTAAAAAGTAACTTTTGTGCAATCAACGACGTAGGATCGTATAGCTTTCAATATTAAAATTGTTTCTTTGCTTTATCTAACTGCTGTGAATTGTATGTTGAGCAATCCATATTATCTGATGTAAAATGCCCTTTATCTAGAATGCATGCTATCTGTTTGATCTGCCCCCGCCCTCTCGTGATAGAAAGACCGTGAAGAAACGCACGCGCATTGTCTTTATCATGCCTACATTTTAAGAAAAAATCTCTCACTTCATTATCTCTATTATTTACAAAAAAAAAAAGACAGTTGCCATACGCTAAACGCAACATGGTTCATTCATCCATAGATTTTGTTTCTTATTGCTGTGAGGGTAATATACATAAAGGAAAAGGGGGGGGGGAGGGGAGGGGAGGGGAGGGTGACAAGGATGATTTAAATACCATAGGCAGACTTGGTTGCATTGAAGGCTGCATCAATGTCATTGAAATAAGCTTGTACAGTGGTTGCATTAGCAGCTGGCATAAATTGCTGAAAGCATGTCTGTAAAGCAGCTGTCTTTCTATCCAAGTTTTTCAAATAAGACTTTACAAATAGTCTTGTCAAAAAGTTGTAGTTGGTTTCCCTGTTCTTAATTTCTGTTAAAGCATTCTGCGCTTTGGGTGTCACAGCCGCTAAGGATTGTAATAACATGTTTGCATCCGTGGTGGACGCAACCATTTGTTGATTCAGGGCACAGCAGCTGTCTTGAGCTGCATCCAGCTGACTACTGACGGTATTGTAGTCATGTTTGATATTAAGCACACCGCCAGTAATAACCTACAACAAGTAATTGTCAATACCGACTTAAGGTGCTTGAGCCAACGATTCACTTACGGCGGCTTGTAATTGTCCTAACTGTATTCCTACAGAATCCAAGTCTCCTGCACATAATTGTGGGCTGGTAGTGATGATGGCTCGTTTATCGACAACAGATAACGCGTTGACTAATCACATAGAGATAGATACACACATAGGTCACAGGCATGAGTTTGTTTGGATTTTTCTTTTCTTTTTCTGTCTTATCAAATATTATACCGCTTAGAATGGTGTATAGGAAGAATAATGAGCGAAATAGACTTGGTAATTTCATCGTTCGATGACCTTTGTCTCTATCTTTTGTATCAAGAAAAATTAGAAAAGGTGTTGCTGAGAAAAAGAGAAACGAGTTGTAATTTATTGCACTTGTATTACTAAAAATGGACAACCTCTTTTTTTTCTTTCACGTTTTTTCCCTTTTTTTTTTTCTTTTTTTTTTTAATTTTTGTTAACAATACAGTATTTTACCTTATATTTTAGACGATTTACAATTTTTAATGGACAATATACATTTTAATTTTAGATTTATTAAAAAATATTTTTAGAAAAGTCCATAATATTTTGGATTTGGATACTCATTATTCAGTGATATTCAAGCAGCATTAAGGATGACATAGAATCGAACCCTAGAAATTAGTCTCTATCAGTAAGAAAGTCGCCAATAATGGTTTTATTGATGTTACCTTGCAATAGGACAAACTACAAAAAGCTTGACAACTTTTTTATTAAATGACGATGTATTCCGAGACCAACCGATATTCGTCGGTGCCTGAGTTCCCGAAAAAAAAAAAGTCAACTTTGAATTGATTAACATCAAACCATTGATAGAGGGATGAGGGTCATAGTATAGCAGACATCATAGCGGAATAGGATGGTTATAATATCTGTTGTCAATGTTTTTGTGTGCGTTCATGGGTGACTTTCAAAGATAAGCACTATAAAATATATTGCTTTCTTAGAGTCAAATGTTGTCTCTTTCACTTTTATTTCACGTTTTTAAGATACATACTATGACCCATGTTCAAAACAATAATTTATGAAAAGAAAAAGCAAATTTTTGAAAAGAAAAAATCAAGTGCTGTTCATGGTAACTTGCCTTTTGAAAAAAAAAAGCTCTTATCATGCGTAGTGTATGCCTTGGAAGCTTGTCAAAAAGGTCACAAGTGATTTCTGCTATCAAGATATATGCCAAGGAAAACCTAAATGGCCAACTGATGACTACCTTACCAAAGATATAAAAGCAAAGATCCAAACCTTTTGTGAACCTTGGAAGAAGAAGCTGGGGAAGAAAGTGAACATGAAGACATTATCCGCTGATCCTGGGTCTTTCGTACTCTTTTTGTTATCTTTGAACGCAGAATTTGAGAGGGAACACGATGATCATAAACCATTTGACGTACGACGATGTCCTCTTCCAAAATTGCTATCCTTACTGCCAAAGGTTTCCGTTCAATGGAGGTTCATTACCTTGAGCGTGAACGCTCTGTCTTCTTTTGTGAAACGTTCTTTACCCCGCAATTACCAAAGCCAATTAGAGCTGTTTTTCCATGTCTTTGATTTCAAGAAACTCCGGTACAAAAGGTAAGCATACAGTTAATACGGTATACAGTCGAGTATAATGTATGAGCTTTAACTTCTTGGGCACTTGTAGTATCTCTGAACTAACACCGAATGGTGATAACAAAGAGCTCTTTGGTAATATTGTCAGAACGGATGGGTTTTCAGTTGATTTTCTTTTTTATAAAAGACAACAATCTGGCCATGGTGCCTTGTTCCAAAAATTTGACCTCACTCTTGATGATTTTTCTCTGGATGAAGTTGACAATACTTATTTACCTATTACCCTGGATCCCGGAAGAAAGTCTGTTTTTACTGCTGCTATTGGCCTTGAATATAACAGACAAGTGCGAAGATGCACTACATCTGAATACTATCATATGACAGGGTCGACCCAATACAGTACCAAGTTAAACAGAAAGAAGGCCGTTACAGGCATAGATCTCATAGAAAGTCAGATACCCTCGCCAAAAACCTCTCGTTTGGAAATATATGAGCTATACACTGCTTATACACTCAATAACCTGGACGCTCTCTTGGCTTTTTATGGATCCGAAACTGCAAAGGACCGGTTTATGTTGTACCAAGGTACACAAAGAGCACCGGAAACAATGGCCAACATGTTGACTCATGGAACGGCCAAGTACAATCACAAGAAGAGAAGCAAGGCAAGGAAGAGGAAAAGACAGCGGAAGAAGAAGAAGAAAGGAAAGAATGCCAACCAACAGCAGCCAACAAAGTGAGTTTCAATGGAATTACATGTTCATCGTTTAGCTTATCCATTCATTAATACTTTTTAGAAGTGCCAAGAAGTGGAAGGCTGATAAGTATTTGGAATCCCCTAGAAGGGTGCCACTGATTGTGTTTGGTGCTGGAATGTTTGGCAAAGATGTAGTCAAGCTGAAAGGGCAAAGATGCGGTGTTGTCGGTAAACTTTTTGCAACTCTGAAGAAACGTGAAGCTGAAGGTCAATTGATTGTTGTCACAATCGATGAATTTAAAACCTCTAAAACATGCAGCCTCTGTTTCTATGATGATATGCAAATTGTTGATACTCCTGGATTCAAGGGTACCGGCGTTCTTCACTGCAAGCAATGTCTAAAGCTATGGCAGAGAGACATTAACGCTGCTATTAACATGATGACTATATCTCAAGCAGTTTGGTCCGGAGCTGGAAGACCCGATGTTTTTAAGCCAGCGAAGAAGAAAAAAGTATCGCCGTAATAAACACGGTTTTCCTTCATTTTGAGGATTTAGATCATTACAGGTAAGGAATAGTACGGTATTTTTTTCTTGTTTTTTTTTTTGTTTCGCAATACTGACAAGTTTTTGGGATTTGATTCATTGTTTGAACGGTTTATATTTTCGTCTACAACACAATTGCAACTCATCTAAAATGAAAATATTAATCGTCCAAAAAAAAATGTATTTCATCTAAAATATTAGTTAAAATACTGTAGACCATTCAGAAACAATTCATTTAAAACAAAATGATACAAATTAGATTTTTAAAATACAATGGTTGCATCATGATTTTCCGCACACTGCTTCATCACTTTATACGGGGCTGGAAAGAAAACTAAAAATGATAGTAATTGACATGCTTAGGCCTGAGGAGGAGTTCTGCTGTAGAATAAAAAAAAAGTCTGTGCACGACTACCCACATAAACTCACTTGGACGTCATGAAAGGATGAGTTGTAGGTGAAAAAGGGTAAAACGAACGGACTTTATTGTCTTTTTTTTTTTTCCATTCCTTTCCTTTCCCTTTCCCTTTCTTCCTATCATAATTTTGTGACAAAAGCGCGTGCTTCTTTCATTCCATTCGAATAGGCATCGTTTTCATATCAACAATGAGAGAGGTATTTGGAAAGGCTTTTGCTTTTTTTTTGCTTTTTTTTTTGGGGGGGGGGGTCTGACAAGTCGCCATGGAATGAACGCGTATTGACTGGGCTGGTAAATTTCTAGAAATTTATTTGGTGGCTTTTGAATATTCTTTTTTACTGCCATCACACCAAAATAAAGCAGTGACAAGCGAAAAAAATTTTTCCTTTTTGCAAAAATATATAAAGTCCAATCTTTTTGACAGGTTCTCTTTGCGTTTCATTTTCTTTCCTTTTTACCCTTCATCTCTCTTTATACACATTCATGATGACTATGGATCAAAACTCCATAAAACATCCAGCGTATTCCTTGGGCTTTTTTTCTTGGTAAGTTGTCTTTTTCCTTTTTTTTTTTTCCCCTCTCCAGAGGAAAAAAAGTTCTTTGTCTATTTCGATGCGGAAAGATGAAAAACTTTATCATTGTCTTCATTTTATCTTATCGACCCTGATGAAATAACCCGCAGTGCTTCGCTGAGCGCTGTTGATACTTGCCAGTATAACTCCCTGACCGCATCAAAAAGAAAAAAAAAAGAACTCATTTCTATTGCTTAGAAGAGTCACAGAATTAACATGCCGCTTCTCTTCATTAGGACCGTTACTTGGCAGCATGGATGATGTTAAAGTACCACAGTGGAGGTACTGTGCAAAACGATGCGGTTAAGCTACGTGGAAAAGGAAGAAAAAAGCTCTTGGCAAAAGGGTGAGAAGGATGGAATAAAAGGTAAATCATCTCTTTCTCTTTTTTTCAAATGGGGTGGCTCAAGTGATGATGAAATCCCGTGTTCGCAGTTTTCACTGTAGAGACATTGCGTGGTTAGTAAGATAGCTTTCCCTTCGGGTTGAGAGCCATCTGAACGCCCTTCTCGGTGACGGTTAACACTTCCTTGGATGTCTGATGAGCCCATTTTTTTCCACAGTCTATGTTTGTATCGACAATGACTCATCGTATTTTCTTTTCTATGACCTTAGGTTTCCGGAATTTGATGGCATATCATTTCTGATGTCCTTTGTGGAAGAGTTTATCCTGATTTTCTTCTGTCTACTTTTTCTATTGGACTAGAATAAAATGGTAGAGAAAGTGGAATGGATTGACTTCAGGGTTTCTCTTTTTCATATTTCCTTCTCAAACGCTTATGTATACATATATATATATTTTTTTTTTTTTTTTTCCTTTCCCTTCTAATGATGAATACTTTAAATGCATTCTTCTGGCATCTCTAATATCAATATGTTTCCGTCTTTTGACCGAGGCATATAATGTATTCAACTTGCATTCTGAAATTGGGGAGAAGAAAAAAATCAATAAAACATAAATAAAATGATCTTATGCTACAACAATCGAGTCTTTTTGTGTTTTTATGGTAAAACAGTGAGCAAAAGAGAGTCATTTGGGAATGATCAATAAGTTTGACACATACGCTGCTATTGCATCCGTCTTTGCAAACAAGAGAAACCAACAAAATAAGAAACAAACTATCCTTATGTAATAAGTCTGTAATAGGTTCTTTTTTTTTTCCATAAAGAAGCTTATTCCCAAGGTTGACATAATGATCAAATCATCCGATCCCTCCTTCCAAAGGAACCATTCATTTTTATCACACACCGTTTCCCCATTCCCCTCACTGGATTACCTTTCTAGAAAAGCGTTTTTGTGATCTGTGCGTGGATCATGGTATAAACACAGTGGAGGAAAAAAGCGTTTCTATTTTTTTCTTTTTTTTATTTAAACTCCTCCTTTAGCTTCAATGAAAAAATGCATAAATAAATGTTGAGCCCACTTCTAGGCTTAGAGCCATTTTTCTTTTTCACTTTTACTTATCTCCTACGATAACAGCAATGAATTTATCCTTTGTGTTTCGAGTCCTCAACATCATTGTCGCAGCCTTTATGATTATTGGCGGTGTCATGACTTGTTTTGCAGGAGGTAAATGGCTATTCTCTTATTTTGTCAAGCAATGGGGGGGGAAAGTAAACTAAGCCCATTTTTTTTTTTTTTAATAGGGTTCCCTAATTTTATCCAAGGCATTTTTGTCATGTAAGTGTTGGCTATTGATCTTGACTATTTCTAAAACACAATACACGAGATTGAATCGAATATTTCTCTCTCCCTCAATGCATGCATGTATGTATGAATCCACAATAGCATCTTTGGTATTGTCACCGCTCTGTTCGAATTCAGACTGCCAGCCGTCGTGACGCAGTTTGCTTCCTTTATGTTTTCATTTATGGGCCGTGCTATCTGTAAGTAATCCTAAAAATAGGATCTCAAATACAATCCTAGAGGACACAACCATGATGGCTAATGGCAATAACGTTATCTCTCTTCTTTTCATTTTATTTTATTATTTTTTTGTTTGCTAGTTTACATCTTGTAAGTAGTCGTCTGTTATGACAGTTGAATACAGGAAAGCAGAGTAACTCATGCCGTCTACTTTCCTTTCTCCATCCTAGTATTGGTTGTATCACTCTCAGTTATGGACACCTTGCTATTGCTTCAGGTGTCATCGTAAGTAACGAACTTGAGAGAGCGAGTGACGCGCAGTGACTAGAACAAAAACCCTAAAGTAACCCTACTTTTCCGTTTTGTATTGCTGGTTAGATCGTCGTGATCGGTCTCGTCTACCTCGTCCTTCACTTCTTCAAAAAAATAGATGCACCTTCCAACATGCAAAGACAAGCTTACGAAGATGCTCTTTCTGGCTTGAGTTCAACAAAGACATCGGCCAACAACAGCACTCTTCCCACCACCCACCAACCCAATCCGTATCCTCAAAGCACTTTCCCTCCAACTTCTGCACCTCAAACAGCTTATCCACAAAACACCTATCCTCACACTCATGCTGATGGTACAAATCCCACCTACCCACCCGTCAATTTCAATCATCAGGGTGCTATCTAATGACGCTCTCTTGTTTTATCACAAGCCGCGTGCTCTCCCTCTCTCTCTCTTTTATACTCTATTTTGTCCACCTCCCTAATAGTCATCTTACATTTTTAATACACTCTTATACACTTTTTTCTTTTTTGTTTGAACCCTTCTTTTTAGAATCGCTCATCTCATATAAACGAATAAAAATAATATGCAACACAAATCTTTTGATATCCTACTCGCACGACATGGTTATCATGGTTTTTTTTTTATTCTTTTTATAGCGAATAAGTCACATGGATGGGATCAGGTATTGAATGATCGTGCAGAAGGTACTGATAGTAGTGGTGTGGGTGGCGGGCGGTGGTGGCAGTGGTGGTGGCGGTGAAGGAGGAGTGCGATACATTCTCTCTGGGTTATTCATACAACTCTGTTTTGTCGTAGTATCCATCCACGATCACGTTTTGCGAAATTTCTCTAGTCTTCCAAACCCTTCATGTCACCCCCAAATACACCCTTTCTATAAAATTCACGCTGCTTTCTTAACCAAGCTCTATAATCATGCACAGACTGAATTTTCTCGCCATAATAATCGGGCACCGGGTTACGAACCGAGTTGAGTCGAGCATCAGCACGATTCTTTTTGATATGGTTATAAAACTCTTTATCACGTAGGTCCATAGCTGTTCCATGTCTTCTGTTCATTAATTTGAATAATGTGTTGCCTACAACAGGCCCCAATAAGAATCCACCAAAGCCCTTTTTTATAAAAGAAAACAAAACATCAGCTTGGTTTGTTCTTGTTGTTATCCCTATTCGCACTTACGGCTGAAATGGTAGCAACGGCTGCTGCCATAATCGGATCCATGCCGAGAATCTTTGTGAACGGATCGATTTGCATTTGAAAGAAATAAGAGGCAGTACCAGCGGCAGGTACAACGGTACTGGGCAAGTAGGAAGCAACTTCATACATACGTCTCTTTTTACGAAGTTTGAAATAGTCATTCCAGGTGGGAATCAATGCTCGTGCATTGTTGCTTCTCCCTCTGAACGTCGATTGAAGACGGATGGGCTGAGAAAGTACCGTGGTGTATTTTGCCAATGGCGAACGAAAGAGTGATGACGTCAAAGCCATTTTTTATTTCTATGTTTTCAAAAAGACAAAAAGAGATTTGAAAAATAGAAAAAAAAAACCAACTATAAGATAAGTGGAGAGACAGACAGACTTACAAAAGTTGCTCGCTAATAGCGATGCCATCTTCTATAAGGCAGCTTGGCTGGCCTGCTGCTGGGGGGTATCTCGAGCGAATTGAATTCCCGCGACGGGTCGCTTTGAGGTGGGGGGGGAGTGTGTGGTGTCGACGTGGAAATGAGGGTACACTCAATGAGACAGGCACAGTAACAAAGTTAGGTAGATCAAAAGGACTCACTTTCTTTTCGAGACATTAAAAATGAAAAAGCTTCATGCGCTTTAACAACAACAGCTGCATTGAAAGCCAATAAAGAAACTATAATTGTGGACCGGAAAAATATAACACCGAAGCATCGACAAATGGTCGAAAAAGCCCTTTGATTTTTTTTTGTTGTCAAAAAAACGAAAGGGGCATCTTGACTCTCTTTTCTCTATTTTATTAAGCGTGTTGGGGCTTGGGATGTGTGTGTATGTGTGATTCAGTGTGTATACATGCATTCTTTGTATAAACCATCCCCCCTTTTTTTTTAATGATTTTATAACAAATAAGCATAGTTGCTGACTCCTTTCATATTTAACAACTTGTATTTACATTAGTAAAGAAAGCCCTTAAAAAAACACTCTCACAACAGAGAACAAAAAAAAAAAAAATTACATGGAACCTTCTCACCTTCTATTACAACAGATTTCAAGTCCATTCAAAAAGATGATGTCAAACAATAATCTTTGAAATTTAACGGAGAAATGTCTACTTTTGTATTTGCACCAAGTTGGATATCCTATCCAAACAAACCAAAAAGTAAATAGGAAGAAGTCATAACAAAAAAAAAAAAAAAAAAAAAAAAGTTTTCAACCATACGAAAAGCTGACGACGTGTTTGTTATAACAAAACAGGAACCGACGACCATTTCCCAAGTTCACATTGTGAGCACATCAGTGAAAACACGACGACAGCTTTGAAAAACGAGCAACATTATCCTCCTTTAGTCACCAAAAGCACTAAAACAAACACCAGCAATAACGTATGGTCTAATGCAAAACTCATACGTAAGATACACAGTCCCACGGATCAGACCACTGACGATGATTCCGATGACGACCATGAAGAAGTAGCAAGAGCTTCTGTTGCAGCAACAAGGACAACGGAATGGGAGAGGCTGAAAGCGCTCGTTCCGAAAACAACAAAGAAGAATACTTGTAGAAATTCATTCTCGACTTCGGACATAGCGACCACCACTATCACCACCACGCGCCATCATCATTCCAAACATCTCAAACAAACCATCCTCTCTCAGTCGACTGTACCTAATACTCTGACAAATACGAAGAGTACCACTCTGAATCACTCCCTTGCTAATAACAAACCAATAGGGACAAAAAAGAGATTACCTCATAGTCATTCTGCTGTTCTTTGGCAGGACAGTAGCTCCCAACGACAACAGCATAAGGATGAGACAGGTCGATTACAGCCTCCCACATCCACCTCTTCAAGTCCAGTCATCACGCGAAAACGATCCATTGCCAAAGATGAAGTGGTAGGTCATGCAAAAGCTGCAAAAGAAGAAGCAGTAACAGTAAAAGGCATCCACCAAAAATCAAACTTAGAGCCAACCAGCACGATGGCTTTAAAAGAGGATGTTATATCAGAAGAAGAGCAACAAAGTTTTATTTGCTTTATAAAAGCTTGGACTACTTACGGCACTTTATCCACATCGTCGCTAGTCGATGGAAATACAGAAGCAGGCAGCAGAAAAACAACAAGGCAGCCCTTGAAAACCTATTACAGCTATTTCAACTGTTACAGCGACAGTGATGCATCTTTGAAAAGTAACCATTGTATCCACAGGAACAGTCATTGCAGTAACGGTCAGAATCCCATGACTTCCCAGACGAAATCTCGTGAACATGCTGACATATCACACTCTTTGATCAACACTCGTCCATCGACATCCAATTCTTACTTTTATTACAACCCTTTTCATCTATAAAATAGACATCTATATTCTTTTTTTTTTTTTTATTAGCAAAATTATTCGTAATCTCTAAATGAAACAACAACTTGTATAAAACGGCATATTCAGTCTCTCCGTCACTTCACAGACACGTTATATTTTCAAACTGTAGTTTCTTTCGACATCTCAAAGCATATATGTGATCTACACTACTTTTCCTACTTGAACATTTTCTTTCTTTTTCTTCAAACGCAAACATTCCGTTTTCTATATCAGCATTATGAGTAGATAAAGACAGAAATTTCAACCATGTGTGCCTTAAACACGAACAACACCGACACCCGACTTCAGTCTACAAAAAAGTAAACGATGCTTCCATTGCTGACCTTAAAAGTGGCAAAAGAACACAACAACATCAGTTAAGTACAGAATAGGTTCTGATCAGATAGAAGAATTGCTTTGTTATGTTAGCGTTCATACTCTTATACAAAATTATTCTTATTTCAACGATACTACAATTTTGACTCATCAAGCAAAATTTTCAAGTTATATAGACATGAACACGTTTTCTTAATGGACACTCAAGGCAAAGTAGTGGTCCGTGCATAACACAAAGTTGGGAAATTCTTCACTATTTTTGTGATAGGCAAGCACACAAAAGCACACCTATCCGCTTCACCCGCTCATTTTTGAATTCCAGATGATAGAATTGTTTGATTCCATAAAAAGAATGCCCTTTTCTTGTTTATACTCCCCCTTTTTTTTTTTTTTATTTTACTCCAAAATTTGTAGATAGAAAGCAGTAAAGCAGCAATTAGAGCAAAGGCTGTTCTATTGTAGTAGACACTAGTTTTATCTCTACTTCTTTTGGTTTTTCCTTTTCTTTATCATCAAAAGATGACGGCCTATTCGCTTATAGACCAATCGCTGCTAAAAAAATCGGCACGCTTAAAAATCGTTTATTTCACAGTCGCCCTCAGTATCGCTGTGACGTTCACTCTCATTGTTATATCGAAGGGAGCCATCACTGATTATCCCTTCAAGGTGAGTGATGAGCCCGCACCGACATCACAGGAAGAGACTGTACTACCAACCGAGGAGCTCGTCAATGAAGAATTATATCCTATTCATACGGGCGTTCCACCAGCAAGGTCTATCCATTTCACTGTACCTACACAGGAAAATCCCTTCTATATAGACTTGGACAGATACCCAATTGAAGATAATGTTTTGCAATTGTTCGGCATGCACTTGTTAGATTCCATTCAGGCTGTAACCACCTCAAAATTACTCAAGTTACAACAGCAAGACATTGAGCCCAAAGAAAAAAGTTGGGCAGACCAATGGTTGTTCCACCATGATGGACCCATCAGCGAAACCACTTACGCCTGTCATCAACAACCACTCCCTTATCCCATCCTTCGTCACTTGGTAGCCAATTATTTACCTTTGAAAAATGCAGATCGTTTTTTTGATGACGATAGTGATAAAGCTGGAAACGATAGCAACGTGGGTGATCATGACAACGACTACGACACCTCTATAGATTTCTCAAAACCATTTTTATTTTTGCCCTTCTCTCAAAAACCGATGGCTCCTCTACTACCAGGCCATAAAATCTGCGTTCGCGCCGTCATTCCTTTCATGGACGTAGGAAAAGATGACCCCAATCGATACGCTTACAAGCCCTATCCTGATAATAATGCAAAATTAACAAGCCCTTGGTGGGACACCATGCATACAACTTTACGGCATATGGACACCAATGCCTCAGAGCCGATTCGTCTGCAGCCATGGCCGGGTCACCGTCAACTGAGACAACGCGCTCGTGAACTGCGAAATTTCAACAACGAACTTCCTGAATGGGTTCATCTAAGACAAGACATACTTCATGAAAGAGAGCGTACACACGTCTATGAGATCGAAATTACTTTACCAGATCAGGAAGGTCGTTGGGAACTATCGTCCGTCCTAGAATTTGTGGAAGCACGTTACAATTTTGAATATGGCCCTGTCACACCCTACCTGCCCGTCCAGATTCCTGTGTTTCCTGCTGGTCTGAATATCCTAACCATTCAATCCAAAAATAGCACCAAAAAGCCAACTTTGAGTGATAACGAACACACGAGAACAGCAGAAGCACTCTTGGAAAATCATTTGTCCCTACCTTTGTGTAAAGGATTTGACCATTCAGGAAGATGGTTACCTTACCCCACCCATTCTGACAAATTCACCCATAGCAACCACCACAATTTCATTTCAGGATTATCAAGAGACGGCAAATATTGGGCGCCTTACACTTGTCGGCACAGACACATCTCCTATGAGCAATTCAACCGCTGTGCAGCCAAAAAATATCCTCGTGGCCTACATTTCTATGGCGACTCTAATGTTCGTCGTTCACTCAAGAAATTCGTGAGTCACGGTCAATGGTGCAAAAATTGGGAGCAGCATATCACAAGCCCTCTACTTCCAGAGGAGAGAAAGCCTCATGTAGACCAATCACTGATGTCTTCCGCTTTAGTACGACGTCAAGAAGGATATCGCTCGCCTCAAGAATACACATATATTGAAGAAGCTCAAACTCGAAGCTGTTATTGCGAAGACTACTTTGAGCCTTATTGGAACCAAGCATGGTTTGACCCTTACGAACGACGTAATGACTTGCTCATTACAAACAATGCAACGCAAGCAGCCGAATTAAGGCTCACGGAATGGGATGATGATAGTACTGCTGGAGATTCTCCTTCTTCTTCTGCTGCTGTTCCTAGCATGGATAGCGTCCCCATAAGCTCGTGGAAATGGGATGGCCTTACCTACTTGAATACGCCTTATTGGGATAATGCTGTCCCTTCCAGTCCTGCCGAAGCGGATGTAGCCATCTTTTCGCTCGGCAATTGGGACGCAGCCTTTGGTGAACTGGAGCCCTATCTGAGGGATGCCGAGCGACTTGTTCGTCAGATCAAAGAGCATTATGATACCAACAAAACCAAAATTATATACCGCACTGCTCAATATTATTGCTGCCGTGTAGATCCTGAAGGAGGACGCCAACGCCAAATCAGTGGCCCACGTATTGACGTTTTTGATGAAGAAGTAAAGACTATTTTCCGCAACGAATTGGATGCTCCTATTTGGAACACTTATGCTTTAGGCGAAGGGAAAACATACGATGAAAAGTTGGTTGCCATTACTTGTCCATCAAATCACGTCACTGCTGATCAAGTGGAAATAGAAAATCAACTCTTAATGAACGGTCTTTGCAACCTTTAGCGAACATACCACATAAATAGTCCTTCATCACACAGTAATTTATATTCCATCCTCTTTCAAGCATATACCAATAAACTAGTTTATCTTTTTATCATCTTCTTCTGTACCATCCACTTTAGCTGAAACAATCAACGTCGTCCTTTTGCCTCCGGTTTGAATTGTTCAAACCTTTCTTTTTTTTTTTTTCTTTTTTGGATCTGCATGAATGACTTAAAGGGGCATTTGGGATTTTCCTATTTAAACCTCCGTAGACCTTGTTCGCCACATCCAACGAAACGCATCATATAACCTTTTTCATAAGAGTAAGCTTTCTTTTTTATTTTTTACAAGTCTTTCCTTTTCAAACAATTTGAACAAAAAATGAACGGTTTAGAAAGTAAGCTAATTCTATTGCACATTGCTTTCCATAAATCCCTCATCAAAAGCAAATGACTAATGTACTTTTCCTTCATCTCACACCCCTCCCTCCTTTTTCATTCTTTCGCTAGATCAACTTTTTCAATTAAAGGTATAAAAGCAATCGGTGCTGAACAGGTCAATGAAAAGTAAAACATGGAGTATTGAATTGTTTCTTTACAAACCGTCCCGCGTATCTATCGTTAGTTTACAGCAAAACAACTCAATAAACAGTCTAAACGGTGTCAAAAAGACGAAACAACAGAAAAGAACAAGTTGAAAAAAGCTATACAAGATGGCAATATGGAAGGAGCTCGTATATATGCATCAAACGCCATTCGAAAGAAAAACGAAGCTCTTAACCTATTAAAACTTTCATCAAGAATTGATGCAGTCGCAAGTCGTGTACAGACAGCAATTACCATGAGAAAGGTTTCTATATCAAAACATTTGTTTCATCCTTTTGAGAAGGGAGGGCAAAGTTAGCAGTATCACTAACATGAAACCCCCTTTTTTTCTGGTGCTAACTCTTGAAATGTTAGGTATCTAATTCTATGGCACAAGTTGTTCGTGGTATGGGCAGAGCAATGGAAACAATGAATCTAGAACAGGTAAAATAGGAATGGATGATGATGACATAATCTCCTTTTCGTTTTTTCTTAGTACAATTCTTCCATTCAAACTGTTTTAGATTTCAATGGTTATGGACAAGTTTGAGTCACAGTTTGAAGATTTAGACGTACAAACAGGATATATGGAAGGCGCTATGGCAGGCACAACGACACTAAATACACCGCAAGATGAAGTTGAACAACTAATGCATCAGGTTGCAGATGAGCATGGCTTAGAAATGAATAATGCTCTGAATGAATTAGAGCCAAGCAAGGTGCTGAAACAGCCATCGCAGAAGGCAAAAGAAAGAGATGAAGATGCTTTGTTGACCGAGAGACTAAGAGCTTTGAGACAATAGATTCGAGGAGAAAGTACAGTGTACATTTAAACTTTATACAGCCCCATATCCATTCTTAAATGCCTGTCAACGAGAATAGAATAAAACATTTCAGATACACGTTTTCTGTACATGCCTCCGATGTTAAATATGAAGCAAAGTTGTACTATCCGTTACAGAATGTAGATATTTGCCCAAGTCAGGAAATAGTTCTTTTCGACTCTAGTCTTTTCTCTGTTTGATACTTTATACATGTTTTAGTTGGAAGACAACAACAGCCACATTCTAGACTGTTTTCAAATATGATTCGCGACTTAGCATCGTGGTACCTACTTTTGGAACCGTTGTATGTTCCTTGAACCATCCAAGGGTGTCATCTTGTCTACTCTACAACTTGGCTGACAGTTATGGTCTCGAAGGAACGCGCAATACACTGGTCCATACGCGTAAATAATAATGTTTGAAAACCGCTCTGTTTATGCGTGTCAATGAAAAATCAAATAACTGTTTGATATTACGGTTTTTCCAGCAAGATGCTTAGTTATCGTAAAAATTTGATCTCCATTCCATTATAAACATCTCATAAACTATTTCAGAAAGTTAAACTATTCTGTCATGTCTAAACGCATTGTTAAACACGCCTGGCTAAAAGCTCAAACACCTTTGCATGACGAGAAAATGAAGTAATGAATGATTCTTAACCAGATCAAAAGCTACTACAGAGGCGTAGTGTAAGCATTTTAAGTATGGAGCATACGTTCGAAGCGTATTATAAGTATATTAAGCATACTCAAGTGATTTTCCTTTTTAAAATACATATAGACATCCGAATATTGGGCTGATTTCGTGGTATTCATGTTGATGAAAGAAATCAATTGAAGCATTTTACATTGGTGGACTTATTTTTTTTTTTTTTTTTTCTGAAGAAAAAAAAAAAATCTTCCCCAATTCATTTTGTCCCTTTCTTTCTGCGCTAATTTGTAAGACTTGAACAATCACGAGGCAACAATGTCTGCTGCGATCAATGAATATACACTCGAAAACAACACTGTTTTTTCCATTGTTGGAAAGGGTCTAAAATTAAACACTGCTGAAGATGTCAAAGAGTTCGTTGACACTATCAATCAAATGGATGATCTAGAGGTCATCAAATTAAGTGGAAACACACTGGGTGTTGAAGCAAGCCAAGCTTTGGCTGAGGCACTTAAGACAAAGACCAAGTTGAAGGTTAGTTATTTATTTTATATGAAATGTTGAAATTGAATAAGAAAATGTATCAAACAAATTAACATATCTTTTACTTTCCCTGTAACAGCAAGCTCTTTTGTCTGATATCTTTACAGGTCGTTTATTATCTGAAATTCCTCTTGCTTTAAAGGCCTTGTGTGATGCATTTGAGCAGGTCGATCTTTTAGAATTAGATTTATCTGATAATGCATTTGGACCTGCTGGTGCTGAACCATTGATCGATTTCCTTTCCAACACAAAGACATTACAAACTTTACGCTTAAATAACAACGGGTTAGGTCTCGGCGGCGGTGCTATGATCGCTAAGGCTCTTCAAGCCTGTGCTGATAATGCCAAAGCAGAAGGCCGTCCTTCTTCTCTTCGTACGATTATATGCGGCCGTAACCGTCTCGAAGATGGTTCTTCCGAGGCTTTAGCTCGGGCTTTCTCGTCACATGGTACCTTAGAAGTTGTCCGTATGCCCCAGAACGGCATCCGTCCTGATGGTATTCGTACCATTGTGGAAGGTCTTCGTGATTGTAAGAACTTGCGTCATCTCGATTTGCAAGATAACACTTTCACTATCAAGGGATCCAAGGCCTTAGCTGGTGCTTTGTCTAGCTGGCCCCAACTCGAGACCTTGAACGTATCTGATTGCCTTTTGGGTAAAAAGGGTGGTGTTCACGTTTTCAACAGTCTAGAAAAGGGAAGAAATAGAAAAATCAAGGAACTCTTGATGCAGTATAATGAAATTCAAGCAGATGGCGTGCAAATTCTTGCTTCAGCTATCAAGGAACATCTCACTGAGCTCGAGAAACTTGAGTTGAATGGAAACAGATTTTCAGAGGATGACGAAGTACTGGACGTTCTGAAGGAAGCACTGGGTAAATGGGGCCATGAAGAAGCTTTGGACGAATTAGACGATATGGAGGAAATTGATAGCGAAGAGGAAGACGAGGAGGATGAGGAGGATGAAGATGACGAAGCTGAGCTAGTTAAGGAAGCAGAGGAAGCAGAATCTGAAGAACCCAAACAATCAGCAGATGCAGACGAAGATGCAGATTTAGCAAAGAAGCTGAGCGCCACACACATTTAATTTATTCTCAAAAGTCAGCATCGATTACTTATGACATTTACACACACGTTCTAATGACCCTTATACACACATTCATCTTTCACCTTTTTCCCTATTACACGGATATTTCTTTGTTCAAGTAAAAGAATTTAGATAAAAAAAAATGTTCATGTACATACATACACAATTTTAACTATATGTAATAAGCTTAGAGTAGGTATATTTTATCACATTTTAGAGACTACAAGGTGTACTTTTTTCATGACGTTGCCGCAGCAGTCAAGAAAATAAATGTAGATCCCAGTGTTACGGTTTATCTTAATAGCATACGACAACTTGCCCGCAGTGTAATGGTAAAAACACAAACCCCACGCCTAGTCTATCGATTTTGTTATTGAACATGTTGTCTGTTTATTGATTTCTTCGACGTCATCTTTCTTGACGTACATTGTTGTTGTTTTCGATGATTGCTGCTGACCGAACCACCTTTGGCTTATTGAACCTTCACAGCCAAGGTTTTCTGTTATTAGCCCTATCTTATTCATATGCGGCTAGAAATAATTTTGTTGCTTTCGTTGAAGTACGGAGCATGACGAAGGATACAGAGATGGCTATCAAATGTATAGAACACGTAATTCACTGATGAAAGTTGTAGTACCCTAATTCCCAAAGTTGTCAACTATGAATTTTACGCGACTGAGCAAGCCATAGTCACGTATTTGACAGTCCTGAAAGCGTAAGCATGAGTGAGAGTTCAAGCAGTCTTCAAAGTAGAATAATATCGCGAAACTACATTGTAGACAATGGAAGACGTCAATTATACACTTAAATTCCGGATGTTTTCTCCAATATTTGACGGAGCAACATCCTCAAATCTATTCATGACATTTATTTAAAGACAAATGGCGAATCATCAATGGATAGCCTAGGTTCATCTGCGCTTAAAACACCCCCTGAAGACCTTCATATTTTCTAATTGGCTAGTTAAATTCTGTTATACTCAGGGAAACAGTTTACTTAACTTAACGGAAGTGTTCATCCGTCCTACGATTACTTATGCCCACAATTGAAATTGAATTTGTATTTAAGTCTAAGTTGGAAAGTCGGACAACTGTCGTAGTCAAACGTAATTAATCTGTCTTTTTCATTGATCTGCTGTATATCAAAAAAGCTTAGCTAAGACCCAGCGATCTGAAGGGTTTCTTTTAAAAAATTATAGAGCAGATGCCCGTAGTGATAATATGGGTTTGGCGTACAAAATATTCGAGATGGACACAATTATCTTATAATGAGACTCTTACATTAACAATACGATCTTTATTAGCTTGACCAGTTGATGAAGGAGTATGTCTAGTTGCCCCTCTATACAGAAAAAATGCAATTTTACATGGAACAAAAATAAAGCAAAAAAGTCCAACGCTAATATATAAACCTAACACGACCTCGATGACGCCTACTTTTTCTGAGAGTAAGACTTAAGTGAAGTTTCGGTGTTTCTTCCAACTTCATGCTTATAGATTCGCGAATTATGAACTATTGTAGTGTAAGATAGAATATTGCAATAGTTTAAAGAGCTGCTATACATTAAGGACAAGTGATAGAGCGGGATTTAATATGTTTTATACCATAAAGTTATGGACAAAGATTTGCATCTACAGGACTTCTGAGTCACAGGAAATAATGTCCTCCTACCACGATGTTCGCTGATAGTATCGAAGAGTGTGGCTGAAACTTCCTGTAGATGTCTACAGCCTAAGAGGTCGTACCATAAGCACGTCAAAAAATTATTAGAAGTTCTCTGTAAACTGACTTTCATAAAATCCCTTCATAACTCAGTGAAGCGATTTGGTAACGTGTTAGCTCAGTCTTACTGAAATTCTCTGTATCAAATCTATCTGCAAAGTATTTTATGATCTGCACTAAAAGCACACAAAGTTTAAATTGATACACATGACGAATTAAACCTTTTAATGCGTAACACCATTTTAAAAAGGAGGTGTATATTATATTTGATATGAATGTGATCAATTTAAATACTATTTACGTGGTTACAGTTTGACTCTTGACCAGCATGTGGTCACAAAACTTTGACCAAAGTTTATCACCCTTTTCGCTACCATCTACCATCAATTTGGCTAATTCGTAATAAGATGTTACCGTCAAGTCTTCCATATTGTACGCTTCTTTGGTATCGTACTCCAACTCATATTGTAGGTTCTCTTCCTCTGCCATATCAGGATTATTCCATTTTGTTAAATTTGCGTAATACTGCGAAAACCCTAGTAGAGTACCATAGGGTCGCGATATGATGCCTTCATCTTTTTTATGAGTTCGATTCTGAGATGTGTTCTTGCTGAGACTATCAGAGGATTGTAATGCGTATCTGTAAATACGGAAAGACGGGGAATAGACAGGTATAACAGAAGGCGCAATTTGAATAACAAACAATGGCGGGTGACCTTCATGTGGTGTTGCTATTTCACCGTCTAAAGGCTCTAATGCTTGATACATGGATTTAAGCCAATCCATGTAGCGCATAACGTTTCTAGTTGTATGGATATCATGCTCTCCTTCATCTTCGTCCTCAATCCGCGGTTTGTCGTCGTCATCCATTTCTTCCAATGGTTTTTGCTGTGAAAATGGCGAGGAAGATTTGATATTATCTCGGCCATCAAAAAGTAGGAAGTGATCCATGTTTAAATGTGCAAAAAAGTGTCCCTGGATTACATCGGAATAGATCGCAGCCACACGCTTATACTCCTCCAAACATGTGTTCTTATAATCACGAGGAGAAGGCGGGATATGGCCTATGACATATACTTTTTCATTCAACTGACGTGCTTTTTCGAGTTGACTTTCAAACCATCTCAACTGTCCACTTGCTGGGCTATCTATATGTACACAGTTATTGACCGCCTTGTTCTTGTAGTAGAAATACATAGAGTTGAGAGTGATTACGTTCAGACGAGGAGCTACCTTGACAATGTAATACCCTCCACCTTCTTTGAAAGTTGTTCTTTGACGAATGGGTATTAACGGCCTCCATAAACGCTCAAAAAAATAAAGTAAATCACCATCCACGTCTGAGCCACCAATTTGATTATGAGGATAAACGTCATTATTACCAAAGCTTGGGATAACGGGTATTTTATCATTTGTCCAGAATGTTTCCATCATTAATTCTGTCACGCGTTGATTAAGCTCATAGACATCTCTTCGCTTTCTTTTATGATTTTTCTTATCCCAATTGTGCCTAAAGTTTTGCGCCAAGAAGATAATGTTTAATCACAAAGTTTAACGAAAGAGCATTCATGTTTTTCATTAAATTACTTTGCATTGTCACCTGTCCAAATAACGAAATCAAGTTTATCTTTCCATTCCTTAGAAATCCAATCGAGGGTTTCTTTTGCAAGGTTGATAGGCGCATCGCATCTTTCTCCTGGGGCACCGTATTTACCAGCCAGCACTGATGTTTGCTTATTTTTCTTTAATATTGAAGTAGAAGGTACGAAATGGCAAGCAGATTTTACAGTGGCACCGTCTTTATAATCCAAATCAACCTAAAATTGAAATTAAAAAATTATGTCAAAAATTTGACAACGTAACTGACATGAAATTTATAAGGGGAAGGAGGGGTGATGATTCATAAGCAAATGAGTATATCATGCAATTGCAATCGGTAGATGCATTCTATAGTACAATCTATCAAATAAAAAATGCCATACATACATGCATGTCTGTTATATGCAGGAAATATCCATGTTGCTTGCGATTGCTAATAGGCGGTGGCTCTCTACAAATGTCAGCGTATTTACCAGTTGTAACAGACCAACTTGATGTAGAACCATGATAAAATGCCAACTGACTATTGGCCCAGTCCGTCATATATTCTGAAGGTTGTGACAAGAATTTCCAAACAATTAGTGTTAGACAGATCAAAACACAATAAAGAAGTGTTGCTAGTTTCATGTTCTTTTTTTTTTGGCTTCAGAAATTTGTAAACAGTTTTGAATATGTAAGGAAAAAAAAACCAACAGTCTTTGGTTCGCGAAAGGCAATATAAATTTGCGCTTGGATAAATCCCTGCCAAAAATTAGTGGTATAATAGAAAGAAGATGATCTTTCTTGGGATATGTGAAAGAGGGGTAACGTTTATACAGCTAATGTAAGAGCACTGTTTGCACCAATAGATAAGGTTGCAAAAAAATTGGGAAAATGAAAGGAACAAAAGAAAAAATCAAATCCAGAGAGTACCGTTTTTATTGTCAAACGATGCTTCAAATATGAAGCAATTAGTACCAAAACAGTGACTCTTTTAACCCAACGTTGGTAGAAACAATACGTTATACTCATTTGTTAAACTAACACTGTATCATGGGTCGAATGAGCTCACCATGTCATCAAAAATCATGCTCTTCTTTCATAATTTTATTGGTGAATATTTTACTGAATACTACTCACAGATTAAATGAAGTTTATCACAGCCCCATTATGGGCACAAGATCGAACACAAATTCTGGTTTGACAGTCTGAATATTTAGCAACAACGGAAAGATAGGAATCAGGTACAGATACCACAAGGTACATATTTCAAGTCATTTCAATGTTTAATCCATCACTGATACAATGGCTCCTGATTGGATATAACTTTTGCATTTATCGTTTCAGTGCTCTGTTTACTTTTCGTTGCAATAGCTAAAATCTCAAAATCATCATACGCTACTCGTTCTTAGCCTACTTCACATTCTTTCAACTGGATAAGCAGATATCGGTGTTCAGTTTCTGCCCTTTTTAATTATCAGGGTATTTTTGCCTTTTCATCACCACCACACCATCTTATAAGCCACCAACCAGCAGTTTCATTTTCAGCGTAGAGACCGAGAAAAATTTTTGCAAGTATAAATTGAACCACAGTTCCAGAATACAAAGTTTTGTTCTTTCTCTCACTTTTCTTCTATTATCCATCTATTAAACATGGCTCCCGCTAAGACCTCCACCGCCGCTGTCAAGAAGTCCAAGTTCATCATTGACTGTTCTGCTCCTGCTAACGATAAGATTTTCGATGCTGCTGCTTTCGTAAGTTATACATGTTTTCCTTTCCTTAAAATTGACGTATCATATCTTAACTCTCGTTTTTGGTTTTCCTTTTCGATATTATAGGAAAAGTATCTCCATGATCGTATCAAGGTTGAAGGTCGTACCAACAACCTCGGTGATGCCGTTACTATCTCTCGTTCTGCTGATAACAAGATCACTGTTGTTGCCAACATTGCCTTCTCTAAGCGTTATCTCAAGTACCTCACCAAGAAGTTCTTGAAGAAGAACCAAATCCGTGATTGGCTCCGTGTTATTGCCACCGACAAGCAAACCTTCGAACTCCGTTACTTCAACATTGCTAACGATGATGAAGCCGAAGATGATGAATAAGCATACCTACCTCCTTCCTCTGGTTGCCATGTCTTCGTTTCTATTCCTCTCTAACTATTATGTAGCCCAATGTAATAAATTTCCTCGATGGCTTTTGGTCAGAGGATAGGGTGAGACGAGAACGAACCCTTTAAAAAATCACAATCTCTGTGGAATTAAAACGATCCGCCCTGGTCTTTCCTTTGCTTAAAACAGATCATAACATTGTATATACCCTGACTCTGTTTCATAGTTAAAGGATTATCAGGGCTTACTTATTTAACTGCTACTTTAAAAGTTTCTCACATGTTTGTTTCTGTTCGACGACTTCGTTCATTAAGGCATTCAGTTGAACTTGCACACATAATTATGACAATTCCAATTTCGCAGTATCTTACCCGTCGACATTTGCATAGGAACTTCCGCAACTTTTTGGACGCGAAAGCTGTCTTTTCAAGGAGTATTATCGAGTATATCTCCTTCGTGAGAGTTACCAGTGTAGGCCTTTACGAGCTGGCAATGTATGATTTGACATGCGAAACATTTTTTTTCGGGGCCACAGCGACATTGTTCGTAAGCCAAAAAGTCAAGCCGATTTTTAATCTGCATGCTTTCAATCACATTGTTTTTGCGAGGGTAACAACAATATAGAAAACGATTATTTTGATGAGGCTTTCGAACCTTAAGTATTATCCTTTAAACCTCCGAGAACTGCTTTTCAACCTTCTTCAGTTGTCGTTAACCCATCTCCCGCTGGTATTCATGTAATTAGACGTATTGGAACATTAATAATTTGAAAACTTTTAAGACATTCTGACTTTTACAAGAAGGCTTAACATGTCGAATTGCTCTATTTTAAAGATCTAGAACTGGCTGTTCATGCGCTACCAATTGCAGCTTTTAATAAGGATTGAGAGTTGATCTTAACAATACAGCAGTTTCCGAGCAGTTCATCGTTCCGTAAACAGATTCTATCAGAGAAAAATTATAAGTAATCCACCGCTACCCGAAAGAAACCCTTTTCTTAAGTGTCCGCTGGAACATTTGCGGGATAATGTTTTTTTGTGAGCGAGCGGGGGGTGTAAAGCTCAGATCAACAAAATAAGCCTCAAAATTTTCCAGACATAAACTTGTCAATTTATATTATCACTTTTCATAGACTTCCTTTTTTTTACATATACATAATGACGAATCACGAAGAAGTACTTGACGATCTTATTTATTATGCACGTGCAGGAGAACTTGAAGAACTCAAAAATGTGGAAAATGTGACACCCGAAATGTTCGCAGAAAAAAATGATACAGGCAAAACAGCTTTGCACATGGCAAGTGCTAATAATCATGTAGGTAAGAAAGTGATAATAAATCGATAAGCTGCCTTTCACTTGAAATCGTTTAGTTAATTGCTGCATATGTTTCAATTAGATATCGTTAGCTACATTTTGGAACAATTTGCAAAGTTAGACAAAGAAAAAAAGATAGACCTCGTTAATGTCAAAAATGAACAGGGCAATACCCCACTGCATTGGGCTGCGTTGAACGGTCATTACGATGTAGTTGAATTATTGGTGAACAACGGTGCTGATTGCAAGGTAATAAGGTTGATTAGATCTATGGTTATTGCTATTTGAAACTCATTGCTTCTCTTATTGTTCGCCATCGATCGAACTTTTTTTTTTTTCTTCTTAGATTAAGAACAATATGAATATCTCTCCTATTTATGAAGCACAACAAAGGAACCATGAAAAAGTCGCGGAATTCTTCTTAAAAACTATGGTAGATGAAGAAGAGGAGGAAGAGCCTCTTGGGGAAGATGAACAATATGTTGAAACTGGTGCGCCGAGTACCGTCACTTCGTCTGAAAAAAAGGACAGTGAGCAAGTAAAGAAGGAATAAAGGACGTCAAAACAATCAGTAAATAAGACATTTGTACATTGTATATAGAAAACCAAAGGATAACAATTTGCACTAATAAAAATTATTGCCTTGTCGATATATTTCAAGTGTACAAGTGTCTTTAGCAACTGGGCAAATCTATTGTTTGATACTTGACTATTTTGGAAATGTTTTCTTGCAAATCAACAAAAAGATTGAAATTAGGCATTCAGTTATAATAAATACCAGGCTTTACATTTGAGTTTTCTCTTCTCTTCTCTTCATTTCTACTTTTCAAGAAAGCATAATTAAGTTCATAATGGGATTTTGTAAGTTTTGCGGTGAAATAAGCCAAGGAAAATGTGCAAAGTGTGGTGGACGAGCAGTCGGTAAGTGTGAGGAAGCAGCTTCTTTGATCAACCCTTTTTTGAAGATGGCACTTAAATAGTTAATGACTACTTGTTCATTCATAGAATCTATTATCAGTTGCATGATATCTGATGCTGGCCGTGTTTCTATTGTAGATAGGTGGCAATCTAGGTAAAAAAGAGGGCCAAAGCTTTCTTTTAAACCTATCAAATATCACCTGCGAGACTGATGCCCCTATTCTTTTGTTTAGGTACGAAGGGACAATTCTAAATCCTGAAGAACTGGTCAAAAAATCACCCACTGCCAAACGGGTTCCTGTTACTCAGTCCACATTTTATGATCCGAAGAAGAAATTATGCACATGTTGTAGTAAAGCACTAGAATTCAAATATACAATTCACATGCAAGACGGTATGCCTTATTGTAAGGATTGTCATTTGAAGCTATTCAACAAAGGCATATGGTAAAATAAATTTTCTTCAAAGGTGATAACAAACAGGTCACGCAATGACAGTAACTAATTTTCCATTTCTCTTTTCAATACAATTCAGCCCCACTTGTGAGAAGTTCGTTTCAGATAAGCACGATTTTATTGAATATTCTGAGAAAGTATGGCATAAAGATTGTTTTGTCTGCTTTAACTGCCATAGTCCCTTGGAAAAGGACCCTCTCGTTGACCTCGATAACCGACCCTGCTGTGAGCCATGCTTCATGGGACAGGCCGGACGAAAACGAGCTCATAGTCGCTTATCGATCAAAACAGAAGCAACACAGAGCCTTTCACATTCCAGAAACCTGAATACAGCCTCCCCACCCGTATCGAGCGACAGCGTCCGCAGTAGTAAGAGTAGTAGCAGTGCTTCGACCGCCAACAGCTCGGTATCTTCGGCTTCCTCTTCGTATGGTTATTCACGACGTCCTCGTCTTGATAGAGAATTCTTTACAGCATCATCGCCCTCGGAACCTATTAACCCTCCACTACTTACCCGTACCCCGTCTCCAGAGCAAGACGAAGAGAGAGATTATTTACCAGATCTACTGTCAAAAAGACTCTCTATTACGCCTAGCCAAAAGCGCCTAACATCCATATTTAACCCGCCTTCAGCTTCAAAATCCACATCTATTGGTGCTATTACTTCCGCTGCTTCTTCTAATATTGTAAACAATATCAATACCCAGGCAAAGAATTTACCATCATCTTCACCTTCATTGTCAACTTCTGTGAGAAATACAGCGTCGTGCACTTCCAACATAATGGCAAGTAGTCCGTCATCTTCGTCACCCATTTCACTTAGTGGGTCGCTCTCCAAAAGACCATGTCACAATTGTCACCAACCATTAGGGGATGCCTCCCAAAAAAAAGTCAAAGTCCCTCTCGAAAACAAAGAATACGCATGGTTCCATAAAGCCTGCTTCGTGTGTAAAAAATGCTCACTACCTTTTAAGAGTAACGAATGTGTGACAGATGGTCACTATTTCTATCACCCCCGCTGTGATACTCAACAATTATTCAGTGTCTGTCAAGGCTGTCAAAAGTCCATTCACCAAGACGCGTTTCAATTCAATAATCAAGCTTATCACTTCCAATGTTTCAAATGCTATCACTGTGCCTCTCATATTACGTTAGGACAACCCGTGTATGAAATGAATGATAAACCTTATTGTCAATTTTGCTATTCTAATCAACGTATACCCACAGCCTCAGCACTTGAAACTGCAGAGAAAGAAAAAAGACAGCAATCAACAAGTGCCGAAAAGAGACTAACAAAAGCATTGGAACAACAGAAACAACAACAACAGCATAAGAGAAGACTACCGAAAGTAGGTGGATCAAAAATATGTCCCCGGTGTCAACAAGCTATCTCTTTTATGGAAGACACGCCAGGCCCGCTAGCTACTAGGTGGCATAAGAAGTGCTTACGGTGCTTCACTTGTTCCAAGCAACTGGATTCTGGTGCCAAGATGAGACAAGGGGTTAATCCTGGAGAATCAGTAGTTTATTGCAGGAACTGCTCTATTTAAGGTCCTTTTAAAGTATTTATATATCAGATTTTTAAGTCTTAACAATCATTTTAACAATAATTGATCAAGTATGATCAGGCGATATTGAGTCAGGGTTTTTTTTTCGTATGTATTTGTTGAAAGGATATTTTATTTACCCCGCTATTTTGTTGGCTTGTTTGATGTACTCTGATATCTAGTTGTAACAGATGCTTAATAGTTGAAACAAGTGAAACATTTTGCTATCAATTATAGCAGTAACGATATTGATTGAAAAATGACCCGAGTTTGACTCATGTTTAATATGGCATACATTTACTATACAGTCAGGTAATTCTGGCTTTTTGTGTGTGCGTGGGGTGGGGGGGGGAGGGGTGAGGGAGGGTAGGATTTAAAGACACTCTTTTTTTTTTTCTATTTTAGCAGCGATTGTCGCTGTTCCATTTTTCCAATGCCCACGAAACAACACACAAAAATAGAAAGTCAACAGGCTCTCTGTAAAGTTATTTTCTACACCTCGTCCTCTTCTTTCCCTTTTCTGTTTTTTCCCAACTAAAAAGGATTTCATATACTTTCGAATATGTCAGCCGCAGGCACCTCTTCCCCAAATACTCCCACTACCACTAACACTTCTGCAACCACTACTACCTCTATTCTACCTTCTTCTACCAGCACCGAATCACTTCATTATGAAGATGATGCAGCAGTTTCACAAAATGAATCTCAACCAAACTCTTCCAGTTCTCCCCAACAAGATGACGAACTCATTCTTCGTGCTTTAGTCACAACCAAAGAAGCCGGTGTCATTATCGGCAAAGGCGGCAAGAACGTAGCTGAATTAAGAGAAACTACTCATGTGAAAGCTGGTGTTTCAAAGGTCATTCAAGGTGTTCATGATCGTGTATTAAGCGTATGTGGCACCTTAGAAGGCGTCGCAAAGGTAAAAGATAAATATAAAAAAGAAAAAAAATTGGAAATTTATCCTTATAAAATCAATATTCAATATTGACATGGCTATACTTTTTTTTTTTTTCTGACTATGCTTTTTTTTCCTGACTATATTTTCTTCCTTATTTTTTAAAAGGCATACGCTTTTATTGCTCGTACTGTTTTAGAGAATCCTATACCAGGTACAACAACATCATCGTCAACAACCAATATACCGAATTCAGCAGCAGCCACAGCAGCAGCCGATATAAACTCAACGGAACAACCCACCATTACTTTACGTTTATTGATATCCCATAATTTGATGGGTACAGTTATTGGACGACAAGGCACCAAAATTAAGCATATTCAAGATACATCAGGTGCACGTATGACAGCTTCGAAAACCCTTTTGCCTCAGAGCACAGAACGCGTTGTCGAAGTACGCGGCACTGTCGAAGCGTTAGAACAAGCCATTTTAGAAATCGGTCGTTGCTTATTAGAAGATAAGGATAGAGCTTATGGAGCCATTTTATATAATCCTACAAAAGCTATGAACACAATGGCTAATGATTTAATGATGACGACGACAACAGCAGCAGGAAACAACAGTAATACTTATAACAATAGCAGCAAAAGATCATCTTTTATGAGAACGGGTCGCGGTACTGACTTTTCTAATAACAGCAACAGTAATAATTACTCTTCCGCAGCATATAATAATGGTTATAGTAACAATAACAATAATGGGAATAACAATAAGCCTCACAGCAATAGCTATCAGCAACGTCGTCGATCTTACAATAGCAGCAATAATAACAATGCCAACCGTTTCCTACAGCATAGCAATGACCCTAATATTCGCACACAATGTATATCTATTCCTTCTGACATGGTGGGCTGTATTATTGGTAAAGGTGGTGCTAAAATTTCTGAAATCCGTAAATTGTCTGGATCGCAGATATCGATTGCAAAAGTACCTCATGATGAAACTGGCGAGCGTATGTTTACTATTCAAGGTACAGCAGAAGCCAATGAAAGAGCTCTCTATTTGCTTTACGGGCAATTGGAAGCTGAGAAAGAACGTCGCCTTAAAGGTGTTTTGCAAGATGACGAGAACGATTTTGCAGTAGACGAAGGACAAAAATAACTCTTACCGTATCATAATTTGAAGTACCATTGCTTATGTCATAGGTTTCTGTTACCTCCGCCCTTACTTTCTATAAGCCTTTTTTCTTTTATTACAACAACAAGACACTTTTATACACGCGCAATTCATCTATTACATTTTTGCGTACCCTCCTTTTTTTTACAAACATTCAAAATCCCATGTCAAATATAATAAAAATCAAATACACGTATAATATTACTTGTCTCTCTACATTTTTCTCTTCGTGTATATTGTCAAAAGTGGTGACATGCCATGCTTTGGAGTCTAAAGGTACGTCAGTATATTCAATAACAGGTGTAATATGTAGCTATTGTATCACGGAGTTCTTCAAACGACTTCTAGGGTTAAGTAGTGTCTCTCGTTCTGGAGACCAAGTATTGTGTGCACCTCTTCTACCGCCACCCCCCCCCCACCTCTACACATACACTCTCTCTTTCTCTCTTCGCTTTCTCTCTTTATCTGTACAACTTTGACAAGGTACAAGCTTGTGCAAGCAAGTATTACAAAAGGCTTTATAAAGTTAGAGTTAGAGTAAGCTTGATAGTATTTCATTTAACCTTTACTATATAGCAGTTCTGATGCATCTTGCTTCGCGTTCCGGCTCTTCTTTTTTTTCCTTTCATATTCTCTCTGTCGTAACGTTATTCCAGCATTTCAAATGTTTCCAAAACAAATTTTTTTCTACCTCATAGCACAAACGAATGGTTTAGTCTTGGACTTGAACGATGAGGAGGTATAAACTGCAATAAGATTGAGAATAACATAATGCATATTTGCTGAATTAATCGATGATCTGGACTATATCCATATAAAAACATATAGGCAGGCTCAAGTTTGGTCGTAGCATCAAAGGTATCAAAGTACCTTTCTTTTTTTTTTTTTTATTCTTTTCGTGTATATTAATCTGAAACCCGAAACTTAATTTATAATGATGCCATGGGTTGATGATTAGGAAGAAAATGAATCTCAGGTATAAGAAATGAAAGCAATAAGCGTTAAACTAGGAAAATCAGTCTAAAATCTCATGTCGAAACTGAGCAGTTATGGATGTTTGAGGATGGATATTTGGTCAATAGGAAAACATCTCTAGGTAGTAGGATTTTGTTACATAAAAATGAGAATTTATCTATTCTGACACGCGTACAATGTATATTATCTACTGCAAGTCATTGATATCGAAGGTGGTAAGTACTATTGACCATACTTTTACCTAATCTTTAAATGTCTTTATTCACATGCTGCTATTACATTGATACTTTCTGCTATGTAAAAAAGGCGACTTGCGGTGCGACCAGAAAGTGATACAATATGACCGCAAAAAGACAATGTAGGTTTTACAAGTTTATTTGTAATTTCTTACCTACCGCTACTTTTCAACATGATACGTTCAAGAGAGACCTCTAACTTAACAATGTGTTATATGTATAGGGCTCACAATCAGAGGTGGCAAATCCGTGACGGATTCATTTATGCAGTAGCAGACCCAAGACTTGTGCTCACCTTAAAGGTAAAAGCAATATCATAAAATCAGAATGCGCAAAATACTGATATCTCGTTCATGTGCATGTACACAAAAAGAATGAGGATGGGTCTCGATGCTTCGTGTCCTATAGAAACTTGGAAGATTCTGAACTTCAACAATGGTATATTGAACCATATGGAGGCTGAACGTTAGACAAAAGCTCAAAAAATCTTCCCAAGTACACACACTTAAGCTTTTTACAAACACCCGCTCATGCAAAGAGTAATAGAAAAAGCTTAAAAACTAGACAATACACGTTTCAACTGAAGGAAACGGCCTCCTCTTTATCTTTCACTAACTTTTAACAATTTAACCCAGCTTCCTTTTCATTACCCAATAAAGTCGAAGGCTGCCCAAAACTTGTTTGATTTCTATTTTTCGATAATTTTCTGATTCATATTCGATAAAGGAAGCGAAAAAAACCGCCTTATCTCTGTAATAATCTTAGAATAAAACGTTAGTCTGCCATATTCTCTGTTGAACTCAAGTTTCTTAACTATAAAGAGTCCATCAATAAAAAGACTTTTGCAACCCCCACCCATCAGTCATGAGTCAACGTCAATCAGTACCTGTCGAACTTCGTCATAGCAATGAGAGTCAATTAGACGCCATCAGAGAATTAGAACAATTATTCTGCCTGGATAAAAATGTACTATTAAATATCGTCGACTCATTTCAGAAAGAGTTAGTTGCAGGATTAGCAGACGATAGATCTAGCGATTTGAACATGATCCCGACTTATGTTACTGGTTAGTTATCGTTAGACTGGATATAAAGCAACATTTTCCAGCTGCCAATAATACGTTCAATGTTTTCATTGGAGAAGAAATATATTCATTCCTTTTTATTTTGATTTTATGCAACGTGTATACACAGGTTATCCAACTGGCCACGAGAAAGGAACGTATTTAGCATTGGAAATTGCTGGTATGGATATCTATTGCTGTCAAGTAAAGCTAAAAGGCGATAACGGCAAACTGGCTATCAACCAATATCAATATAAAATACCTCAAGATTTGGCTACCGGTGATGATTTTGCTGTTCTCATCGACTATGTCGTTGAGTGCATATCTGATTTTTTATTGCGAGTGGGAACACAAGATTTATTTGTCTATCCAATGGCTGTTTCTTTTGGGTTCGCTATTAAGCAAACACGGCTCGATTCTGGACGTATTTTATCATTAGGCTACGGTCTAAGCTATCCAAACGGTGTTGGCGTAGATATAGTAGAATTAATGCATGAACGTATAAGACTCAAAGGATTGCCTATCAAAATTGTAGCTACAGCCAACGGTATGTATATTCGTCGTACGATAAATATTGGCGATAATGCAATTTTTCATTCTCTAACTTAATATTTTTCTTTAAAAAAATGATAGACTCAGTTTGTACATTACTAGCTCATGCGTATCAACATCCTACAACACGTATAGGTATTGTTCACAGCCTTGGTACCAACTGCTCCTATTATGAACCCGTCCGAAATGTCACTAAATTGAAAGATCATAGCGTCACCAAGGATGCTGACATGATTGTCAATACAGAATGGTGTAACTTTGGTTCATCACGTCGTACGTTACCTTGCACCTGGTTCGATCGAAAACTGGCTCGGGAATCCATCAACCCTCAATTTCATGTGTTTGAGAAGATGACCACTGGTATTTTCTTGGGAGAACTTGTACGCATTATTCTGATCTATTTGATTGATCGCGAGATTTTGTTTGGCGGTGAATCATCAGAAACATTAAATACTGTACATAGCTTTGATACAAGTTATATGTATGTGTGTGAAGCAGACAACACAGAAACTTTAGAAGACACACGTGTTGTGTTGGAAGATATGCTTGATCTGTCAAAAACTACTGTAGGGGATCGTGAAGTGGTAAAGAAAGTATGTGAGTTAGTGGGAACGCGTGCTGCTGTTCTAGTAGGTGCTTCTATAGCAGCTATTGTGCAACACATGATGCATAGGGGTATTGGAATGACAGATGAAGGTTATGCTATATGTAAGTTTGATTCATGAACAAAAATCTTGTAGTATAGGATACCTAGACTAACATGGCATTATTCTACTTTAACTGTAGCTATCAGCGGTAGTATTTATGAAGATTACCCATCTTTTCATCCACGTGTTTGTAAGACAATCAAAGACCTTGTCCCAGAACAAATTGCAGGACAGCTATCTGTTGGTATAGTTAAGCATTCCCGTATTGTAGGTGCTGCCATAGTCGCAATGATGGCAGAAAAAATGGCGGCCGCTGCATCAACTAGTCGAGGTTAATGTATCTCAGTCATTCAACAATCCCTGAAAACCTGGCATTTAACGAATTAAAACCTTCATTAGACCGACAATTTCGATAACTGTCGACTAGCCTATCAACGAAATTGAAAAAGTATAACTCCTTGTCTCTCTTTTTCTTTTTTTTTTTCTTTTTTTTTTTTTTCCTTTCCCCTCTTGTTTAAAAGAGCCAGTAGCTGTACCCTTTAATAATATTCCCATTTTCCATTACTAAGTGTTTTCAATCGTTATTCCATTTCCATTATACTGACGCTACGCTAATGCCTTTCCTGTTCCTTTCCAGCGCTTTTCCTGTTTCTCCTGCCTTTTTCCTCCCTGATATATAATAATCAATAGTTTCAATAAATTCTGTAAAAAATACTTCTCTGCTTGTAAAGAAAAATTGAAAGAAGTTCCTGTTTGCCTTTTTTGTTTACTCGTTTGTTGTTTTTTCTTCATTCATTCCCGTCAACAGAAACCTTGTAAATTAGCGCTTTTAAAGCATCATAACGAGTCCAATGGTAAACCTTTTATACATTATATTGTCAAATCTTGGGACTTTAATATGTACGTTCAACGAATCGCAGAAACAAGTTAATGAGCATCAAAAAATGAGAAATATGTAAAGAGTAAAGGATGATATTACCACTACGGTATCGACACATCAAAATATGGAAAACAACTTAACTATATGTGTGTTGTTGCGGTAATCAGCCGGAGTAATCCACATTATTCTATGTAGGGTAGCGAAACGATTAATTTTTATCGCTTCCATCTTAATTATTAGTCTCGTTGGATTCTGTATTTCTATAAACTCAGCTTGACGATTATTGTCATCATTTTCATCTTGTCGTCGTCTAACGACGCCCTGGCGACGAGCAGTCCACAGGCAGCACCACAAATAGATTTATCATCAGTTTTGACAGAAGAAATTTTTAAGATTTTCAAATTGACGAAGGTGGTAGAGAATACTCATCAGGTTCAAACAGGCAGCTGTGTCACGATTTCTCCCTCATCCCTGAAACCAAAAGTTTCATTCATAGCCTTTTGGCGATTTTGGATTGTGCACCGTACAGAACATGGATGCCAGCATTTGAACGGTTGTATTTTATGAAGCGTGGATTTATTCTTCTTCTATCTATCAACTGCAATAAATGATTGTTAAAATCGAAAATACCTGCCTTGAATCCATCGATCAATTAGACTCGTATCCTTCACGGTGCAGAAGACGCCGAAAATCAACACATTTAGTTCACAGTTAAATCTAATATGGAAAGCTAAGTAGTTATTAATGTAAAGGCAGACGGTTCTTCAGCACTAAGAAGGGTAGAGAAATGAAACCTCAGATTGTCCACTAAGTCTTTATCAGCTATATACTTCCGGAAAACACAGTTAACTTAAACTTCCTACGCAGGGGACTGGACGACGACCGTTAGCCATTACTTGATGTTATCAAAATTTTGAGAAAATATTCAATTGATATTTGTAGTATACAACAGCTGCTCATGTTAACCAAAGATAATAGGATTCAATATTACTATCTTATCATCTTAAAGAAGTCTGTATCAATGAAGAAAGAATTCAAAAGTAAAGGCTATAAAGTGTTGTTCCTTCCATCTACTCCGTCGAAATTGAATCTCCTGGAACCATTCTAGCATTTGAAGAGTTTAATACTCGAGAATCTTGATCTCAAGCACAAATAAGTGTATATAAAATTTAAATCGACGAACTGCAACATCAGCAGGAAAACCCTTCCTATCCCCTACTAGGTCAATCACTTATTGACTGGTTACCCTCTTTCCCTCAATCCGCCTTAGTTCGCATTCCTTTTTTATCCATAAGACTAAATGGGTATTTTTAGATAACTCTCTCTACATTTGGATCTGCCCAGGTATTTTTAGATAAGTTTCAGTATCTTGTGTCCATTGAGCTCTAAAAGTTACGTGATAAAAAGCTTGTTTGACATAGACATAATCCAAAAAAAGGTAAACCTCGTATTTCACTAGTTTATTGTTGCTATTCCCGGAATGGATGTAAGGGAGAGTAGTACTATTCTTCACATTCAGCATTTGGTCCTATCATAACCACTTAACAGACAACATTTGGGAAAATTAGAAAACAACAAGTTCAAAAGTTAACGAAACATAAAAGTTATCCTTTAGTGAATTCTTTATTTTTCAACTATTTTGATAAAACAATTGAGCTTCAATAGTAAAACATGCCTAGTATCAAATGAACCGTAACAGATCACATAACAATATTCAAGACAATTTAAAAGGATTCTTAAACGTATGTGTCTATGAATACCGCCGATAATCGAGTTTCAATACTGATTATCGAATAGTAAAGAGCATGGTTGAGATTTGGGCACAAAGGACTCAGTCCTACATAGTTTTGTATTTGCTGTTACTATTGCTAAGCACTATCTTTATAGGTCTACCCTTCAGTCTTTATATGACTGCCTCGAATACTAAGCACCTATGCATATTTTCTTTTGAATACAGGGAGCTAACACGTAACGTGTGCTCCCTGAGATAGTCTTGCTAGGTTGCACTTGCCATAGTTAGTTATCCCACTCTTGAGAGGCGGGTTTAACTAAATTTATAAATCACATCAGCTCTTACCTGTGCAAAGGATTGTCGGATGGAAAAAGATGAAATGAAAGAACGATAGAAGCATAACCTTATTTACCTCAACACAGTATAATAGCTTAATGAGGAAACAAAGTTGATTGTATAAAACTTACATGTAATTAAATGTTTGTATATCTTGTGTTGAACTTCCATATTCTGATAGATTTAGTTTTGTAAAATTACCAATCTTGTCAACATTTCCCTCACACATAACAGCTTAAATCTTCCTGGTGCTTGTTAATTGAGTTAAGCCCCAGAATATAAGCAAAACCACAAAAGTATGATAGTTGTCTATAAGAAGTTATCGATGGTGGAATCGGAGAAACCAAGAATTTTCGTTTTTAATAGTTTTGGTCGGTAGGCAGAAGCTACATTGAAAAGGGAATTTGTGCTCACAACAGGACACCCTTTAAAAAATAGAAGATGACTATAACGGTGTTCTTCTGAAAACATTCGAAGCTTGGCGTCCTATTCAATAAACCGTTTTGACGTTTGTCTTCTTGATCTACCTATCTAAAGGAACTGGGTTTGATGGCACAAGCAAAAGATGTGTGACATAGTTGTTCAAAATGCGGCATAATTTTTGACATTTTTCTCAAAAAAGCCGACAGCTTATTTTCGAGATTCAGGAGTATAGCAATACAACCTTTTGTTTATACAAATAGCCCCAAACTATCTCATTTTCGAGAAAAACGTTCCTTATTGAAGAATGACTTTACGAAGAAAACCGGTTGATTTCGATCAACATTTCGCACAGTTAATTGACATGCTCAATGGCATCTTTTCTTTTACTACGCCAAAGCAGCAACAAGTAAAAGGAATGACAATGTATCAGTAAAGTATCATTGATACGGATAAAACGAAAATGCAACGAGAGCTCTTGCTCTTCGCTCCAATTACATTTGTGGAACTCATCTAAATTTCTAAAAAATAGAGTTGTTTATGATTTATGTAATGCCATTCCAACACCCTTCACAGACAAGTTATTTCTTGGTCTAGCAGAGTACCTGGATAGACTTACGCTACAAGAATGCAAGGTATATAGTTCAACTACATAGTAGAAGAAAGGAAAAAGAAAAGAGTAAACTAGCAAACTTTTTAAGGTCGGCTTACTCATTTATTAAATGGGAAAAAGTAGCTGATATTGGCACACGATGATATTGTAACGGCTTATGCTCGTGCTTTCGAACGGTTTGCTATAGCAGCAGAATACATGTCACGCGGCTGTAGTTACCTCGATAAAGTCAATAGTAGTCAATATTATGGGAATTCTTCACCGCCAATGCAAGGGTCGTCAGCTCAAAATAATAATCTCCACAATGGTACGCAATATAACAGATTTTACGGCGCATCATCTTCGTCAGTAGCAGCCACATTAAAAACAACGCCAATGCCAGGCTCTTATTATGATAACACGCTTCATATGAATGGTGGCAAATTCAAGAAGCAGAACGTAGAAGCGCTTGCACTTCATTTATGGAAGTTCAATGTTATATTTACTATTCGTGATAGATATCAGAACAAACTATTTTATCAAGTGTTCGAATGGATTCGTCAAGCACGCGATCAAGGTAATATACATACAAGCAATCATAGTATTAGTAGCAGTAGTAGAAGCCTTGGCAATAGTAGCAGTAGCAGTAGCAGTAGCAGTAGCAGCAGTTACCCTTTTGGGGTCCGAAATGGTGGCACATCCTCTATCGCAACCACAGCCACAGCGGCCGCTTCCTCGTCCTCCTCTCCACATACCACTATAAGAGCGGTCGTAACCTCATTAGTACAAGTCAACTCATTTACCGACCAACCACTTCAACTCTACATCGAAGAATTCGAACGCCCATATCTTGTTCACACCAAACGCTACTACGAATCTGAAGCAGCACGCGAAATGGCATCGGGAGATATCTCGCACTTTATGCATAAAGCGCACGATCGTCTTGAACAAGAAATCACACGCAACTATCAATATTGTCACTCAACTTCACACGGCCGTATCGTTCGAGAATTTGAAGCGCAATACATTGCCGCCTATAAAGACATAATCATTGAACAATTTGAGAGAATGTTAAAAGAGGAGAGATTTGAAGATTGCACACTAGTTTATCAATTGCTCAATCGATTGCCTAACGGAGATGGTTTGAAGCCCATCTTAGTCATTTATGAAAATTATGTTGCCAAATTGGGTAGAGAAATTGTGGCACGCATTGGAAGTGGAGCGTTGATTTTAAAGAACCCACGAGCGTATGTAGACCAACTGTTACAGCTCCATGCGAAGTATTATCAAGTAAATCAGCAAGTATTTTGCGCAGAACCATTGTTTACGGCTGCGGTAGATAAAGCGTTTCGAACAGTCATCAATGAGGGTAACAATATAAGCAGCAGCGGTACAGGAGATATAAATAGTACGGCATCAGTTTATGGTCCTGAAACGTTAGCGCGTTATTGTGATTTGATGTTGAAGAAAAATGCTGGCAAAAGAGATATGTCAACAGCTCATTTGAATGATAATAATAGTGGCAATAAACGTAATAAAGGTTTGAAAAAACTAATAATGGAAGTCAATGAAGGCGATCAGGAAGAGAAACTCATGAAAATGGTAAGAACTCTTTTCAATCTTACATTAAATGAAGCTAAATCCAAATGAAATAGCTTTTTTAAAAAGAGAAAACAAAACAATACAAAAGAAACATGCACAAACATTTAACACTAATATTATCATGGGGTCTCGCTTCTTTTTCTATTTCGGATTAGGTGACGTTATTCAAATATGTGGATGATAAAGATATTTTCCAAAAGTTTTATTCTCGTATGCTGGCGAAACGTTTGATATACAATGCATCAAGCTCTGAAGAGTTGGAAATGAACATGATTAATAAATTGAAAGAAATTTGTGGCATTGAATATACTAGTAAACTCAACAAAATGTTTACAGATATGTCATTGAGTAGTGATTTAAATGTCAAATTCAAAACCTATATTAAAGAAAAAAACAAAGGTGATAAAATGAAGGAACACAGGATGCGTTTCATAAACAAACATATACTAAATCATCTGCTGCTTCTATAGACCTGGTAAATACAGAAATACTCGTTTTGACAGCAGGTGCTTGGCCATTGAACCAAAAGGAAGATGGAGGGTTAGATACCAACAAATTACAGATGCCTAGAGTGCTTGAAAGCATGATCACTTCTTTTGAATCATTCTATGGCAGTCAATATAATGGTCGACGCTTATTATGGCAATGGAATTTGACGAGAGGAGAAATCCGCCTCAATCACTTAGACAAGAATTACGAGCTCCAAGTCAGTCTGTATCAAATGATCATTTTATTATTATTCAATCTTCCAAACAACAAGGATCAACGTCATCATCAACAGCAACAACAAGCACAAGACTCAATTTCATTATCTATTCAGGATATTGTAAATCAATCTGGATTAAGTTTAGCGGATATCTTAAAAAGTATAAGGCCGTTAATAGATATGAACGTGTTGCAGTTAACAGAAGGAGGAGATCAGCTACCAACGTCAAAAAAGAATATACCAAAACTATCAGAATCAACTGCGATCACAGTTAACACATCATTTACGAGGTAATTAATTTTTTCTAACTAGTTAAAGAATTCTCATTGACTCGTCTGCAAAACTGTTGCGTTGCATAGTAAACGTACAAAGATTAAAGTGCCTGCATCCTCAACGGGCACTAATAATACTGGGAACAACACTAGCCAATCAGAAGCCGAGAAAGAAAGTCAAGCGGCCCGTAAACTGGTTGATGAAGACAGAAGAATGTATGTACAGGCTACGATTGTACGAGTAATGAAATCTCGCCAAAAACTATCACATTTACAGCTCGTACAAGAGGTTTTGGACCAAGCCAATACTCGGTTTCAACCCTCTGTAACTATGATTAAGAAATGCATTGAACAATTATTAGAAAAACAATTTATAGCTAGAGAGGACAGAGATACCTACGTTTATGTTGCTTGAGATATTGACTTGCAATAAAATCATTGATAACTAAGGGGCTGGTTCTGCAGCATTTATAAAACATACAATGTGTATGTTTACTCTTCCAAAAAAGAAAAAAAAAATGCCGGATCAAAATAGGGGAAAGCGACAGAGCAAGTTTCAAGCTTAAAACTTTATGTTATTACTCCTCTTTTCAGTCTACTAATGAGAGTGTCACATTTCAGTCTAACGATTTTAAAGTTTAAACGTCTATTGTTGAATAACGTTCCCATACGATATACAGCGTTCATTGTGCCATTGGCAAGAAGCATTTAAGCCACAATTGTAGGTCGTGCAAATGATTAGATATTTGTTTTGAGGCATTTTATTATATCTCATTTTGTGTAATGGTCAAGCCAAGATTAACAGATTTAACTCTAAATAAGGCTCAATTATTTGAATTTGTACCGTTAAAATGAAATTGGATATATAAAAAAGAAAAGCTTTATTAAATAATTTCCTTCTTCCCTTTCATTTTCTACTTCCTCTTTTCGCAAAATCTGTATCGCAGTAAACTACAATGAATACCACAACAGTGAACACTTCTTCTACTTCAATATCCGAAAATATATGGCTAGTACCCGATCATAAAGCGTCTAATTTAATCACAAGTAATTTGACAAAGCAACAGCAACAACAAGAAAAAATGCAAACTACTGCAGCAGCACATCATTATCAGCATCGTCATCACCAGTCTCAACTATCTACTTCAACTGTAATTACCGCTACTACCTCATCTACAGCTTGTTCTTCTTCAAATTCATCTCTTGTATCAGTACATACAAACAATAGTCATTATAATATGAAAAATTCTTCTATTGAGGTATCAGCAAGATATACCGATTCCACTTCATCATCCAGTTGTCCTCCTATTACAACACTCACATCACTTGTAGCAAATACAACTACAACAGACGCTGTAGAAGATGAAATTCCCATATCACGTGTCTCTTCCAACAAATCTACTGCTTCTTCCAGCCATTATTATCCTTCTAGTCGAGCCAGTTTAAAGGAATATGGTGAGTGTTACAAAAATCTCGGTCAAGGTACCTCAGGTGTTGTCAAAGTAATACGGCAAATGGATTCTCAAGGTCGTATTAGACAACTTCATGCCATCAAGCAATTCCGTAAAAAGCATAAGAATGAAACTGAAAAGGAGTACATGAAAAAGGTTACCAGTGAATTCTGTATATCCTCAACCTTTGATCATCCAAATATCATTAAAACGCTCGATTTAGCTTGGAATGACAAGAAAAGAAGATATTGCACCATTATGGAATATGTAAAGTATATACGCTCCCTCTTTATTTTTATTTCAATGGACCAAGCTCCCTAACTCGTCCTAAACATACACATTTATAACTGATACCTTCTATGAACAGTGCGCTGGTGGTGATTTATTTGCTATAATCATGGCTGAACGCATGTCAGAAGTCGAAAAATCGTGCTGTTTCAAACAACTTCTACAAGGTTTGGCTTACCTTCATTCCACCGGTGTTGCTCATCGTGATATCAAACCCGAGAATTTGTTATTGACTATGGATGGCACATTAAAAATAACTGACTTTGGCGTATCCGACGTCTTTCGTTTTCCCTGGGAATCGTCTACTATCACTCGCCTAAGTCGTGGTTTGGTGGGTTCTGAACCTTATATTCCTCCTGAAGCCTTTCTACACAAAGAATATTCTGGTACAGCAGGAGATATGTGGTCGGCAGGAATTGTCTTTTATTGTCTTTGGTTAGGCGGCCTTGCTTGGTATAAAGCGAAAACATCCGATAGTGCCTATTGTGGATATCTCCGTAGCCTTGAAAGGCAGCAAACTTTTGACTTATTTCGTCCCATGTCGAAAGATCAATTGCGGGTTCTGCATCGATTGCTGGATCCTAACCCTAATACACGTATCACAGCAAAAGATTTGTTGAATCATGACCCCTGGATTCAATCAATTTCTGTATGTGATGAACGTGCAAAAGATAAATTAGGTAGACATCACAAGCATACAGATGGTGTACAGCCTGTCTGTAGATTACCTCTCCCACCATCATGATTTGTATATGTCATTATATTCAAGGAGGCTATCTATAAATCACAATTTGATAGATGCCGCATTTGATAACAAAATAACTTTTATATAGATTCGCTTATTATATGTATAATATTTCCATTTTTTATGTTTGTATACAGAAAAATTAAGTTTATGCTTGGTCTTTATTTTCCTACTTCAATATATCACATGTACATAGTCAAACACAAACAACTGAACTAAATAAAGAAAATCTGTAATCATACATAACCTTCCAAAAATACTACTTAGTTTCGATTTCGTTATGAGCCATTATTGTTGCTGTTTATTTGATAATAATCTCAGGATCACTAAAAAACTACTAATTAATCTGCTGTAATTATACTCATGCCGATGCAACGACTTCTTTATTACATTCTTTTGCTTGTTAAGCAACGGAAATCTGGTGGACGCAACGTATAATTCGCACCACAGTAATCACTTTCTATCAATTAACATCGAATGCCGCTGAATGAAGTACAAATTTATTGACAAGGCCTGACAATTGAGGAGAATAAGGATGACTATAGTTAGATTGTTCTTGATTCGGTTGGATTCACACAGAGTTCAATATGAACGCCATGGTTGATAAACTTCTGTTACCAACTTGGTTGTATTGGGTTAATTTGTATCACTTATGCCGATCTGTTAACATCAAACGGTTCTTGAATCTACAAATAATCGACTAAATGAACAGTTACAATTGTTTTGCAATCCATATACGTGCAACAAAAAGAATTGAGCGGCTTAATTAAAAAGTGGTTTTTAAGTTAATAAGTATATCTGTGCTATCCATTTCTTTTTTACTGATGGAAATCTAATAGATATCATCATTCGCATCTGAATTGATAAACTTGAATTGTTATTCTCTCCTTCTTTGCCTCCAACTACTTTCAATCAAGCCTTTATACAACTATCATCTCATCGCCATCCCAATGTGGCTAATAACGCGGCTGCTACTATCCTGTCATTCGAGCAATTTTGGATTCAATAACCATTTTCACTGATTTTGTAGAGCCACTATCAGACGACAATGCTGCTGATATTACTATGTTTGGGTTACATAGATGAATTGCTCGCCATAGATCCGAATACCATTTTCGTCGTTAAACATATTACAATGGAAATGATTCAAAAATCAAATGACTGTTTGCTTAAAGCCTGCATCATAATACTAATTATGGCTATTCTTTAAAATCGACAATGCCAATAATCTGGAAACTTATGCTGAAATGGAGTCGAGTCGTTAAGGGGGGGGGGGTTTGATGAATTATACAAAGAGATTGTTCGTTTGACAAAACAAAGTTTTTCTGTCATAAAAGAGTAGCATTTGAGTGTATACTCCTGTTTTCTTTTGATAGAGAAATGCTTACGCTTATAGTCTATTCATAAGTTTTGTATATTTAACGACTATGATGTATTAAACCAGTAGCCTGATATCGAATTCAATCAGTTATTTTTGCTTAAGGCTGTCCTTTCTCAAAACGGTTCATATAATATTTAATACATGTGATTTGTTTACATATTGTTCAGGGCGGATCATAAAGTGCTAGGCTCAATTTATGACAACTATGCTGAGCTAGCATTACAGAATACATCCTTCCTCCAAGTCCGCGTTCGATTCTCAACAAAACGCTAGTTAAATGTTTAAGTAGCACCCATATAATTGAGACAACCTACAATGTAAATATCATCAAGATAGCAATCTCAAGAAGCAGTAACACCATCTTTGTTAGGGCAATTTCTGTTGACAGGCTTGGGTCTATTATGAGCGTGCCAAATGAAAGCTGTAATGTGGAGCATTTTTTTGCAGCATTCATATTGCACTGCTACAGTACCGATCAAGTCTTGCAATCTTTAGTACCGTGAACTGAGCCTCCTTTCATCATTTTGACTTCTTGTATGTTTTCTTCAAGTTGGATCAATTATTTTGCATATTGATTTGGACAGACTCAAGTTGCCTATTACCGGCCTTTGGTGTTTCATATACATCAATATCAATGTACTTTGTTTTTAGACCATTTTTTTCATATTTTTACATTACACAGTATTTCTGCCCCTTATCTTTTCCATTTTCAGTTCGGTAAATTCAATCCACCGACAGCCAATAGTATTTGTGTAGAAGTTTATTGTTTTATACATGCAAAGCTGGTCCGCACTCCCAAGTTTCTTCATTCAGTATTGTAATAATACGAATTCGTTCAAGACATCAAATAACAGACATTCTTGCTATATTTACATATCTAACATAAGAATGGATACTCTCCTCGCTGGGAGGAAAAATGGACGGTTTAATCAAGATGACAAAAATAAATTCGTTTACAATAACACACGGCGCAATTTCAACCGTTTTCCACCATCAACTTCCTCCACGTCCTCGATGCCAACCATCCCTCCTCTTACGAAGCGTGTAGCTACCGTTACTGCCGTTCTTTTGACTATATTTTATATTTTTTACTTCTTTTCTAATCCACTTTCTCCTGACACATTCGAAGACACGAACAATGCGCTAAACAGCCATAAACAACTAAGCGATCAACCAATATATACACGGCATGAAGGCACTTGCTCAGCTATTCTCTGTAATCCTGTCAATAAATGCTCTACTTGGAAACCTAACAAAACTTACGACTGGTCTCAGTTATCTAAAGCAGGTGTTTTTCGCGATCTCGCCAAAATACAGTTGAGCCCAGGTTGTGAGCTAAAGATCAAAGTAGGTGGTGCACCACCTCCTGCTAAAATGTCCACCAGTGAAGATCGAAAGAGGAATAGTAAACAATGGTTGACCATACCTGAAGGTTTAACGGAATGTACCGATGATTCAGCCTCTTCACCTGTGCGTGGATATGGTGTAAAATGTCGTAATTTTGTCGCCATGGAATTGACGGCCAATATAGCAACAATAGCAAAACAGATGAAACGCTTGATGACACAAAATAGAGCGAGTGAAGGGCAGGAGATTATTTTAGTAGAACATGGTTATAACAGTCAAACGACGGCACTTTATTCAGTCGTGGATAAAGCGGAAGCACAAGACTGGGATGAACAGCAGGTAAATGTGAACAAGTTGGATGTTACTATGATCAGTCAGTTCACAGTCAATCGGTTGAATACCTTTGCTAAAGCAATCAAAAATTGGCCGGGACCAATATCCATTGCTATGTAAGTAAAATTGCAATATAAATGTATAAAATTAACAATGTACAAAAACTAGTTCAAGGTTACCAATGGTTTGTGTATATTTGTTGTTAGTTATCTTGCCGATTCTACTGATATTGACGATCTTCTAACGTACTTTGAAAATGAAGATAATGTAAGAGCCTATGCAGGAGCTACTATTGCTTTAGTCAAACCTAATTACCTTAACGCACAACATCTTGCCTACCCAATCAACCATTTACGAAATATTGCGATCGCTGAATCAGATACTGATTACATTTTTGTCGTGGATGCTGATTTTATACCTTCTACCAGTCTCTATCCTATCGTGCGATCGCGGCTTATCCCCTTCATCTTACATCAAGGCGATAAAATGCCTCGTACAGCTTGGGTTGTTCCATGTTTCGCCATTTACGAGTCTTATAGCGACTTGCCCCTTCCAGAGACTATGGAAGATCTACGCCATTTGGTTCGAGAGAATATTGCATACATCACAGATCCAGGAGCTGGTCACGGTCCTACATTAGCTACAGAAGTGGCGCTTGTCCGACCTTTGGTTCACGGTAATCCGTTGGCGTATGAAGTCTGTTATGAATCACAATGGGAGCCTTATTACATACTGCATCGATCTGCCCCACTGTATGATGTGCGATTTAGAAATCAAGGTGGCGATAAACAGTCGCATGCGTTACAACTGAATGCGGAAAAATACCGTTTTATGGTGCTGAGAGATACCTTTATGATTCACAGAGATCATCCAACCATGGTTTGGCCAGGAGGTGGGTTTGAGAAATCACAAAAGGAAGCTGCAAACAAATGGAATTATTTCAAAGAGTATAAGGAAGAGATTGAGACTTTATATGGAGTGAATGCTCGTTGGCCTAGAGGTTGCAGTGCAGCGGCGATAGGTTGGCAAGAGCAAAGAAGAGATTTACTTGGTATAGCAGCTGGAGCAATTTAAAATCGTCCAAATACAAAAATTCTGTTCCATTTTATTCATCTCACTTCTCAATTGGATTTGTAAATAACTCATGTATACAACATTGCATTTTTCATATTTAAGCGAAGAATACTTTCATTCAAACGTCATAAAAACAATCATTTAGTTGTACGGATGCACTTTGTCATACAGGTGCTATCATTTATGAAAATTACAAGCTGATAAGTTTTGCATTCTTATCATGTTGTCCTAAATCGCCAAGATCCCACTAATATATTGAATGTGTAAATATAAATTAGGGTCTCGAATACATATATCCACGCACATAAATGTGTTTAAACACTTACATTATCTTCAATTGTTCTTAGTAAAGAATAATGCGTATATTTTGTCTTATCTGTTCCAGATATGATTTTGTGATGAAAATCGGGACCAAATAACACTGTCAGAACGCGATTGTCATCGGAAGCTCCATCGTCTTCATCAAAAGTGAGAACAAACATGGTATTCTCATTGAAAGCTCTTTCTTTAATACGGGAAGCAAGAAACCTCTTCAACCATCTGGATCCAAAGGCCATATCCGTATCGTGTGCGTCGTTATCGATCTATAAAAAAACGGAGTTCCCATGCTTAAAAGCAGTACGAAAAAGCAATGCTCTGAGTATTAATACTTACATTAGGGGTGTAGAATACAAACTGAGGGACAGCATTATTCGAGATATCTTTGTCTAATTGACTTGAGTTTACAATCTTGGAGCAACGGCGTTTGTTAGTTTGTATGTTTTTGAACGATATGAATGGGTTATGTTTTCGTGCGTATTTATTAATGTCCATTTTCTTATTGCAGTTGCCAGGGTAATCCTCTTGATAAGTTTTCCAAGAAACACCTCTTTTTTCCAACAAATCTACCAAGTTTTTACGATCAATATTGGATTCGTCATCTTCGTTTGTACCTCTGGTTGAACCGCTAATCAAGGCAATCTACAGATAAGACACCAAAGTTTCGTCAGCTGTATGTAATATATGGACTTTTTACACTATTGAACTTTACATAGTTTGGTTGGGAGGGATGTGTGGTTGCAAGATAATTTGTTAAGAGTATACCATTTCCGTACTCTTTATTAAGATTCTTGATGAATTTGTTTTTGTAAGCAACATCATAATTTTGATTTTCCATTACGATAATAACCACACGGTCGAAATATTTTCCTTTCACGATATTCTTTGTTGAAGTCGAAGAGTTAGGATTGTCAGCTTCTTCCAATACTTTCTTGACTGGCTTTGCATGGACCGGCATAACAGAGCACTGGATCATGATGTAGCTAATTGTCACGGAGAAGAAGAAAAGCTTATGGAAGTCAATCGTTTTCATTTTGGATGTACTGATAAAATACAAACAAATATAAGCGTATAGTAATGGACTTTCATAGCAATCAAATCGTACCCTTTTTATACTATTAGAGAAAGCATTGTGGCCAATTATTAGTAATTAAAGATAATTTCCTCCATTATAAAACTGTAAATCAATAAGCTTGATCCGGCAAGTGGCGTGGGTTGTACAAATTGCTTTGATGACAACTGGTAAAGTTAAGGCAATAATATTTTATGTATAGTAAAGGCTCATTAGCACCGTACCCGTAATTACGGATAGTTTTAGCAAATTTTGTAAGATGCTTCGTTTGATCTGGGGCCAGGGAGACACAGTCATCAAACTTATTAACATGCAGTACATATAATGTTAATCCTCAATTATCTTATGGTAATGTCTGTGCTACTTGAACCCCAGGCAGACTGTACAATTATCTTCCTTCAAGTAGAGAAGCGTAAGGGTATTGTGATTGGCGCAAAGAGAGTAGAGCGATTATAAATTGTTGATAGAGGCACTCTAGCAATCTGGATGCAATGCGGTTTAAACACGGATATTCTAGATAAAACTTTTGACGCAGGTCAAATGGATATACGGACCACATTAACATGGAATATAATATCAGTTCCATTACGAACTACATATATTTTAAGTAATTTCAGCAGGACGAACAAATTATATGAAACGTATACTATGCAGATAATCATATATAAGATTTTGCTGAAGCAGAACAATTACAAGCAAACAATAATGTAACTTTTAAATAAAGCATTGGCAGTGAACAGCCCACCAATACGAATCACGGGCATAATGATCGACGGGCAAAAGGTGGTAGAGCAAGAGACGAAAGTCAAAATTGGTTATTATGAAAAATGAGCATGTAAGAAAGGTTTGTAAAAGCTATGATGGCACATAGACATGACTACTGCTCATTATTCATTGGAAGCGAGAAAAGAAACACTGCAGTTTCTTACATTCCTTTTTGAACATGGCTAACCATTCGACTTGTACAATAGTTTGCAAAATAGTCTACAATGAAATGGCCCATAGACTAAGCGTTTTAACTTTAATAAATGTAATACTCGTTCACTGTTCAGTAATGATCATTGAATTCCTAGTAATAAAGTGTGGCTGATTGGTTACCAGGTATAGGATTTCAGTAGTATGAGTGACTGTAAGTGTTCTAGAAATCGAATAGTACTCGAAATTCATTTGCACTCGTATCTTTGAGAAAGTGCAGAAAGCACTGCATACAAACATCATTCTGCCTGTCGATTGGAATACCACTGAACTAGTGTTTAAAAGGTATGGATCAGTAAAAGTATGAAGAATAAAAATTGGGTATAGTTATTACTGTGTGTTTTACTCTATAAGTTACTACTATAACAGAGTTAGTTACAATGTATCTTAATCATTTCATCTAACATAGCTGTGCCCTGTTCGAATGATTTTGTGGGTTAACTAACTATTCTCAATGCTGTCCATCAAAGTTTCGTCGAAGACAAAAAAAAAGCCCTTGCTACATAGACTAACTGTAAAATACAATATGCTTTGAAACCATGTGGGCACAGAAATTACGTCTTTTGATACTTGATTTGCAACTATCAGCATCTAGACATCTTATTCATAATAAGCATTACCAATAGTCAAAAATAGAGTAGTACTGTCGGTAAAAGTGCAAATGAAGGTATTTTTTGCACGTTACATATGAATCCAAAAGCCCATACCGTGTCTATTCATTTTTTCTCTAAGGGGTCAGCAAGGCAATTCCAAGCATTAACACTAACAACGACAATTGCACATTTATTTTTGAAGTCATACGTGGTTTTCGATATCAAATATTGTATGATTTACCATTAACGTGTACATATTACGTGAAGGAGACGTTAAAAGCATTATATTGAACGTATAGCGTTAAAAAACAAAAGGCCCGTATAGTTACATTTGTATAATAGAGTTTAATTGCTGAGGAGATGATAAACAGTAGCGCAAGAGGTGCCTAAAAGAGTGGCAATGCCAAACATACCCCAAATGCCGCGCATACGTTTGCTAGGCTCACCACTAACATACCCGTTCACATAAAACATACGCCCCAAAAGGAAAAAGGCGCCGGCGCCGGCTGACAATTGAGGGTATTTAAGGCCACCGACCAACAATAAAGTACTAAAGATAGGGAACAATTCAAGAGAATTTTGATGGGCACGTTGCGCACAGTTAAAAATGTTTTTTTTAGGATCCTTCTCAGCTTCACTTCTCTCCGCGTAAGCTATAGTTATGGAATATCAAATTAGAGATTATCAATATAGCTGGCACAACTCGATCCAATCTTGTTGCATGAAAACAATAACCTACCATATGGATATGGTACTTTAGCAGCTTTACGTGCACCACTAACTTTGAAGCCTATACTGAAAAGGTGAAGAGTACTGGCGACAGCGACAGCAAGTACCTACAGGTATGTTGAACAACTTAGAAAAATATACTTCTGCCAGCTTCGAGAGAGATACTTACATAGCCATATTCAGAAGGGATAACGATAGCTGTCATTATTGATAATAATTGAAAAAAAGGTATCTAAAATGAAGGGAATTACGCTCTAATTTGTGGGATTATATTTTGTTAAAAAAGACCACGCCTCCACCTTCTTACGCAAGAGTGCGTAAGACTGTTTCATGGGACGAATTTATCCTACCCAATCATAAGAGCTGGACAATTCTCGCATATTCGACAAAACCCAGCTGCTGAATCATCAACCGCAATCAGGAACACCGACGAAGTTCCCCAGATTTTGCAGCCTGTTATCACCTTTTGATGTACCGAACGAAAGGTTAACTATACATACGGTAATACTCTGCTTGGCTTTTGAAGTCGATGATCTTATACCAGAACAAAAAATACTCAACAGTATAACCACCATCCATTGACACAGAAATTTTCTTTGTTTATCAAAAGGAGGCAGTGAAACTTAGTTACGGAAGAGAAGACCTGATATAGGCAAAAAAAGTGTTATTTAGGGCTATAGGGGTTCATTTGATGCAGCAAATTGGTTAGAACTGCATTTATGTCTATTTTAATTGGCCAAAGGAGAAATGAGTGTAGCATTTGATCAGTTCCTAAATGCATTCCTTTTCTGTTCTTTGTTCTTACCTTTTAATAATACAGTAGGTTGTATTATCGTATTTTCGGGGAATCTACATAGACTTCTCGTCAGTGAACAGCAATCATAATACTACTATAATGAACAAACATGACATTCAACCCAGTAAGATATCAACTTAAAATATGCTTCTATATATATATTACAATTATAGAACAGAATTCTGACAAACTTATGTAGGCACACACTCCTTCTTACTCGATGAAACGGATGATGAAGAGATATTACCACCTAATGCTTCGGCTGAAACTCACTTCTTATTAGATCGTTCCTACTCGTTTCCTCGATACTTGACATCTTCACCTCGTAAAAACAAATATTTTTACGCCTAAAGAAAGCAAACATTTTATTCCTTATACATCTTTCCATTGGTATGTTTAGTTCCATCTGTTCGATTAGAGGATGAACTGCCAAAGGATACATGGAGTAAGCTTAAAACCAGATCCAAATACTACCTCCCCATCCTACATTGGTTACCTATTTACAACCGACAGCTTTTCATGGGAGATTGTCTTGCAGGGATTACATTAGCATGTTTGTTGATACCACAATCCTTGTCTTATGCAACTGCATTATGTAAGCTAGATGCGATTCATGGGTTGTATGGTATCGCGTTTCCAGCTATTGCTTATGCTTTCTTTGGAATGTCAAGGTATGTATATATAAGCATCCTTGAAGTAACTAAGATCTATTTTTCATTTGTTGCCCTTCTAACTCATTTTCTTTTTTATTTGATGCGTGCGTAACTATTGGATATAGACAGATGTCAGTAGGTCCAGAAGCCACCTTAGCTCTACTTATCGGATCATCCATTGCACAACAACAGCATGTGAAGGAATCAGATGATTTCCAGATCGATCCTTTAGCTTGGGCTTGCCTCATGACATTCTTCGTGGGCATTTTAACGCTATTATTAGGAATTTTCCGTTTGGGCTTTCTGGATAGCCTAATGAGTCGGGCTCTGCTCCGAGGGTTCATTAGTGGTGTTGCGCTTGTTGTAATGGTACAACAAGCAATCACATTGTTAGGGGTAGTAGAGTACAGTGAGAAATGGGGTATATCCGAAGCTTCAACAACAGTGGAAAGACTCTATTTTTTATTTTGTAATGCGAAGAATGCACATAGCTTGTCTTCAATTGTATCGCTTATCTCAGTGATAATACTATTAACAATGCGAGTCTTGAAAGCAAAGTATGCAGAGTCGTCGAAAAAATGGTTCCAGTTATTTCCAGATGTTTTGTTGGTGGTAGTTATCTCTATAGTGCTTACAAAGAGATTTGACTGGGAACATCAGGGTCTCGCCATTTTAGGAAAAATTGATAGTGCTGGAATTCCATTGCCTTCTGTTCCTCCTTTTCCAACAAGCAAACATTTGAAAGATCTGTTGTTCACCTCAGCCATGATTTCTGTTATCGGTTTTGTAGAGTCCATTGTTATAGCGAAAATTTATTCGAGCAGACACAATTACTCAGTGAGCGCTAATCGTGAACTTGTAGCCTTGGGGGTAGCTAACGTGTGCAGTGGGTTGTTTCAAGGTATTCCAGCCTTCGGATCTGTAGGTATACACATTAGCTGCTTTTACATTTGGCATGAGTCGTTAATCATCTTTATTATGCCCTTGACCGTATATAGGTTTCTCGTAGTAAGATAAACGACAAAGCTGGTGCTCGTACACAAATGGCATGCCTTGTTACGGGTATTATGGCTCTCTTTGCTATTATCTTCCTGCTTCCTTACTTTCATTATCTGCCAAAAACTGTCCTTTCATCTATTATTTTTGTTGCTGTTCTCTCCCTTCTCTCTGAGGTGCCAGAAGACCTTCATTTTATGTTTAAGTTTGGGGCGTGGAGAGATTTGGCATTATTATCAATCACATTTTTTGCAACCATCATTATATCGTTAGAGTTCGGTACATTATTAGCAGTTTGCTTATCTCTTCTTCTAACATTAAGGGAAACCAGTTATCCTAGAATATCTATTATGGTAAGTGTTATACTAATAACGTGGCTCAGCGGAACAAACTATCAACTACAGGCATTGACATTGTAGGGAAGAGTTAAAGGATCTCCGAACAAATTTAAACCTATTAAGGATGCTCCAAGTGAAATAGAGCATTTGCAGGATGTGCTTATTGTACGCGTAGAGGAAGCACTGTTCTTTGCCAACACAGGTACCGATAGGGGACTAATCAGATTGAACCATACTAGGAAAAAGGTTTAGGGCCTTTTAAACCCAAATTTATGCTAACTATGCTTTTTTAGGTCAGTTGAAAGACCGCTTACGACGATTGGAGCTATTTGGTGATATGTCAACCCACCCTTCTGAAACCCCCCGACGTAGTGAGTCATTATATACGATATTTGATGTTGGTAGTATGCCGTCTATTGATGCCAGGTAGGAACTCTGCAATATCATGCTATAGGGAATAAACTAGATAGAAGAAGCAGATATACTTACTTCTACTGGAATGAATAGCGCAATTCAGATACTGTACGAAATTGTGGAGACATACAAAAGTAGATCTGTAGAAGTTTACTTTGTCAGGTTACGAGAACAGCCTTTATCAATGTTTAGGAAATCAGGGCTACTTCATATGATTAGTGAAAAGCATTTATTTAGGAAGGTTTCAGAAGCTATAGAGCATATTGAGCAAGATTTGATAAAACGAGATGCGATCATTATATAATAGCCATAGAATCTCTCCTTGTAACCCCTTTCTAAAATTTGACTCCAAGTTAAGGGAATTATGACTCCATCAGCATCTCCATAAATTTGAAAACACAAAAAAGCTGTCATTTCAGTAAAATTGATTGGACAATCACCTTATTTCACTCGATCTTTTCGATCTATCTTTCAAAATTGATACACAGAAATTGAAGCCACCTTTTATTTTTCGCTTTATTTAAATAGGCTGAAAAAGGTCCATTTTGCAGTTATTCCTCCAGCTTCAATCATCACTACAATTTCTCAAATCACAATGACCGCTGGAACTGTCCTCCCTTGGAACACCTGTCTTAACACCACTTTGGAAGAAGAAGATAAGGAAGTTTTCCAAATTGTCGAAAATGAAAAGTTACGACAATGGTCTGGCTTAGAACTTATTGCCTCTGAGGTATGTATTTGTGAAAGTGGTCAAGAATGGCTTCAATATTCGTAGGTCGTTCCAATGTCGTGCTTTGATGCTAAAGAGTATTTCCCATTATTTTCCGAATAGAATTTTACCTCTCAAGCTGTCATTGAAGCCAACGGTACACCATTGACAAATAAGTATTCTGAAGGTCTTCCCGGTGCTCGTTATTATGGTGGCAACGAATACATTGATGAACTTGAAGTCCTCTGTCAGCAGCGTGCTTTGGCCGCTTTTGGTTTAAACCCTGAGCAATGGGGTGTTAATGTCCAGCCTTATTCAGGTTCCACTGCTAATTTTGCTGCATTAACCGCCTTGATTAAGCCAGGCGACCGTCTTATGGGTCTTGATTTACCTTCTGGTGGTCACTTGACCCATGGTTATCAAACTGCCAAAAAGAAGGTCTCTTCTTCATCCATCTACTTTAATTCAATGCCTTATCAAGTGGATTCTGAAACTGGCTTAATTGATTACAAACGTTTGGAACAAAATGCTGCCTTATTCCGTCCTCAATTACTCATTTGCGGTGCTTCTGCTTATCCTGCTGAATGGGAATATGATACTATGCGCAAGATTGCTGATCAACACGGTGCTTACCTCATGTGTGATATGGCTCATATTTCTGGTTTGATTGCTGGTAAAGAAGCCTTGTCTCCTTTCGACTACTGTGACATTGTTACCACAACCACTCATAAGACACTTCGTGGGCCTCGTGCCGGCTTGATCTTCTTCCGTCGTGATAAAAATGATCAACTCGAATCTCGTGTCAACCAAGCTGTTTTCCCTTCATGCCAAGGTGGTCCCCATAACAACACTATTGCTGCAGTTGCCGTTGCCTTGAAGCAAGCGGCTTCTCCCGAGTTCAAACAATACGCCAAGCAAGTCTGTGCTAATGCCAAGAAGCTCGCTGAAACTCTTACTGGTTACGGATACAAGTTAGCTACTGGCGGTACCGTTAACCATTTAGTTCTTTGGGACTTAAAGCCTCAAAAATTGACCGGTTCTAAGATCGAACGCATTTGTGATATGGTTCATATTACCATCAATAAAAACTCTATTGCTGGTGACAAGTCCGCTGTCACACCTGGTGGTGTCCGTCTTGGTACATCTGCTTTGACTTCTCGTTCTTTGAAAGAAGAAGATTTCGTCAAGGTCGCTGAGTTCCTTCACAGAACTGTTCAAATTGCTGCTGCTGTTCAAGAAAAATGTGGCTCCAAAATGATGAAAGATTTTGTTGCTGCTTTAGAAGGTAATGAAGAAATTGCTCAATTGAAGAAGGAAGTCATTGAGTTTGCTCGTAGTTTCCCTATGCCTGGTTTCGATCCCTCTAAGATTAAGGCCACTGTTACCATTTAAGAGTTTATTTTAACGCACCAATTCTAAAACCATCTCTTTCCTTCTACATCTATACTTCGTATATAATATGTTTAATATCCCTTGAAATCTATCTATTTGCATGTTCAACACTTTCCAAAAATATTTCCCTTCACCTATTTCCCATTTATTATTCTAGTATGTTCCTTAAAAGCCTGTAAAAAGTTCAACACATTTTGTAAATGAATCGATTGCGTCTAAATATTTATGTAGGTTTTGAATTGTTTTTAGCAGCGTTCACGTCCCGGTTCCAAAGTATCGAACAGGTTTTGCAGGCAAGGATACTTTGGCCTGGAACAGTTTTCAATGCCTCAACAGTGTTGGAACGGCAATTGTTGCATATTAGAGAAGTTAAATATTCATCAATGGTTAATACGAGCAATCACCAACAGCCTCTCTTCGCTTCAAAACACCCCATAGAACCCCAACGGCACCAGTTTTGTGGCCTTTGATGGGCACGGCAGATTTTCCGAACATGCTACTACCAAATACAATCAGAGGGACCTTTCTAATGTTGCCTACACTGAAGGGATCAGGCTTCCATTTGTTCTTTACGGAATTGCTATGGAATTCTGTAAATATTTTCTGCAGATAGTGGATGATGTACTTGTCATTTAAAAATCTTACCTATCTTTCTTTGCGATAATTTCGTCTAAGTCCCTCGCTTCATCTTCTTTCTTCTCTTCCGGAACCTTTTTCTTCTTCTTCTTCTTCTTCTTCTTTATTCGTTTAGAAAAGGCCGTTCTGTCATATTCTTCTTTAGCCATCTGTCTCGATCCTTTTTCTTCAACCTCAATTGCTTATTATACTTTGCAGTTCCCATTGATAAGCATATTAACCATATTGTCAGCGGCACGCTTCCGACCCTGATTACAATTGAAATCTGTCTTCAGCAGTGCTTTCGCCGTAAAAAGAGAACAAGGCTTCGAAGTGCTGCAATATATATTGTACATGATGGTCATGTTGTTTGATGATAGAAGTTTTTGGCGGTTGGTATGCCACTTTCGATCATTTTAATTGTGCCTGCTTTCTGCTGTTCCAGTTTTGCAATGTATCTGATACTGCCGGTCATATGATAATATTCCTTGGTAGAGCAGCTGCGTACTTGATGTTTGCTATGATTCAGCCCGATTGCCGCTGTGAAGACAGATCTTCGGCCTGGATCAAGGAAAGCGGGTCTGTAATTGTCTTGTACTTCGTCATAAGAAAAATCTTCCAAAGTCAAGGTATGATTATGAATGGTCATGTCTTCTTTTGTTTTCTTTTTGCGGCTGAACAAAAAGTCTACAGTAAAGCCGTCCGACCTAACCATGTTTCGAAACATTACATCAGAACTTTCCTTCAAAGCGGTTAGACTATGCCACAAGCAAAAATACGGGTGTGATTACTATTAGGGATAATTTTGCTGAAGAAGTTTTTCTATAGGTTTTACCTCTTAAAACCGAACTTTTTGAAGTTGAAGACTTTGCAGAATTGTTCAAGTTGGGCTGTATAACCTTTGGCAACTTTTCCATTTGGGGGAACGAAAAGTAGAATGACCCTTTAAGTTTCAACTGATGCACTTGATATCTCCAGTTGTTTGCTTCTTCTTTCTCTTTGCTTGCTTCTTTCCTTCCTTGACTGTAGCTGATTGCTTACATTTCTTGCCGCTACTTCCAACAAAATTTCCGTTAAGCAAACATAAACTTGTCTTGTAGTGAGAGCATGATACTCACCATCACGCGCAGAAACTGCTTTCTAAAACTTGCATTCATGGTATGCCTTATTGAAATGCCCGAGTGTTTTGCAATCCCTGCACTCGATGTTTACTAGTCATACGAAACATAATCTGAGGATTACTACTATAACTTATTTGTGGCAGCGCGCTCATGTGTTACTTACGGAAGGACTCATCTTTGACTTTATTCTTATGGGCTTCTGCCACCAATTTAATTTTTTGCAAGATTATGGCTTTGTACATGGTAAGTAATAGCTGTCAGGATGAGGAAAGAAAGTATAGAAGAAGATGATGAAAAGTCAAAGAAAAGACGTCTAAATGCTTCGAATTTGACAACATCTATTTTTTATTACGATTGACAACAACAACCGTTATCTACGTGGCGGAAGAACGTGTCTGGGATCAGTTTAACGCGTAGATCAATTCAGATGATGCATAAATAACGTCTCGTAAACCACAACCCTGTGTCTATTACTAATAAGATCTGTGTCGTGCTGAAAATTCAGTACATCTCGTAGTACTTTAGGCGTAGTGCCGCTATCAACCGAAAAGTATCTAATAACCTTTAAAGTAATGTCTCCAATTAAAGTGTAAAGATCTTACAGGTATTTCAATTCGTATCCTGTTTTACCTAGAAACGTCTCCAAATAAAACTTAGATTGTCCACTAAATAATTCGACCCGCAGCTGATGTATCCGATGGCGTTTGGGTTGGCTTCCTGGAGGCCACTGAACCTATTGCCTTAAACATCCTTCGTCATTACTTACAAAGTCCCACGCTATCTCCTGTTCAAACATGCACCACCGCCTACGACTCCCCACATCAGTCTGTGATCCCATATCCTATGTCCTCAACCGTCTTCCTACACATCCGATCAACAACCCATCCCAAATACAAAACTGGCATTTTCTATGGCCAGCATTTTGTCACATTTTGTTTGAACTCGACTACTTACACCACTCTCAAGAGCCGCCTTCAACTCCTCGGTTAGGGCATATATTGCTCGACTGGTTACCCTCTTCCCCTCCCCTCGCACAACCCTTTAGTACATAACCCTTTTTACCCTTGAGCCCTAAGGGGTTTTTAAATTCTTTTCAGCCTTTGGAGCTGCCCCGGGCAATTTAGATAAGCTTAATATCTCGTGTCCATTGGGCTTTAAAGAAAAATAAAAATAAAAATAAAAAAAATATTATGTAATAAAATCTATGTTTAAACGTAGCTGCCGTAATGCCCTGCAGGTGTACCAGCTAGTGGGATTTCTCATGTACGGTCACGAACCGCTTATTACTGCCCTTTAACCATGATATGGGCATTGATCAATGACTTTGTACCACGGATTAGAGAAGGGCAGGGTCAGGTCTTTATGCGTTTGATTGAGCGATGGCAACAACCTTCAGTGTATCATTCAATTCAGTACGAGATTAAAAATGGTCCTTTAAGGGAGAAAAGATCGAGATTTTCAAACCACTATAACATTTTACAAAGATATTGAAAAGGCAATGCAATAGTGCAGAAGATCGGCAAAGTCAGTTCATTGTGGGTAAACTTTTGTATAACGAATGTTACTGCCAGTAGGTTGATAGATACTTGCTTGATTGATTTCTGCTTGCTACATTTCTCTTTGAACAGACGTACATTTGAAGTTGGTTCTCTGAGTGCATATTTTGCGCTTGACGACAATTAATCACTAGATCAAAACCGTAAAGATACTGCTTCGTATATGTTTACGTCTACAAGGGGGACAAACTTTTCCGTTACGCAACAGTCTCGAGTGCATGTGATAGGTTGCTGAATAATTTACAGTAGTATTAGTAAATTCCATGTTCACATTTCCCTATTGTCTGTCTTCACAGCTCAACTCATGCAGACGTAAAAAATTCTCTCAGGTTGAGCCAACATCATCAACAAATGAGCTGGTGAAACTGCCCAACAACATAACACTCGTGGAGAAGTCATCAATACTCCTCTGAAAAAGTCATTTAGCATAGTGATTTGACAGATATAGTATTCATCAATAGTATATTTTTCTAACAAAATATCACTTTCAATATCACTTTTATGTCTATTATGGCTTTACTCCAAGAAAGGCTCTTCGAAAATGAAAAATTCTATATGAAGAAAGCAACAAATCTCACTTGAAGCATTAAATTTTCCATCCTACTGCTCCAGGTTTCATCCCGTGTTAAGTAATAGAAACTGAAGGCATTTAGTATTATACTTCTCCCAAGTCATAGTTTTGAATTTGGTAAAAGGAGTGAGTAAGATGATATGTTCAAACCTTTTGGACAGGCTCAAGCTTAAGAAATTCCATTGCCTTCCATTCTATTAGAAGAAATCTTTGAAATGCCGTCATCTTACGTATCGTTTGCCCATTATTGGAAGGCGAAGAGGACTGCGGGTTCTGAACGGATTACTAAGAAAGCTGGTCCGGTGTTGTAAAACAAACTTTAAAACAAACAATTAGATTTTTGTTCTTTCCAGAATTTTTCTTTTTGTATTGATTTGTTCCCCAGCTTTACAGTTTGCCTAGAACTTGCAGTAAAAGGATATCGGTCTTGGAGCAATATGAATAATATAAGACCAGGATTAGTCCTTCAATCGGGCGATCTGCAGAATACGTTTGTTAATTCGCAACATTTACTCATCGATGAGCCTTACACAGGCATGTGCAAAAATAAAGAAGGATGGGTAAGCTGTTAACTTTGAAGAGTATATTTGAAGTCTTGGGTTGACAGAGCAAGTATTAGGGCCCTTTTTCGAATGAAAGACTACCTGACTTCACACCTTGCTTCGAAGACACGTAAGACAACTGGCTTTCGTTATGAAATCAGAAAAAAAGAAGAAAAAATAGACTGTCGATGTTAAACCCGACTTTTTGATTCTAGTGCCATCACAATGATACCATATGTATATATAATAGTGGCTGGGATGATTCGTTTTTGGATCTTGTCAAAGAGAGAGTCACTGTCAAAAGATATGACAAGGAACTGGCTGTATTTTGCAAAGATGGTAATTCTTTTGGGCGTAGGAAATAAATGGGCGCAAAATCAGAATATATAGGGAATTAGATGAACTGATATGTATACTTTCCATATTATTTTAGTCCGCTTTTACAAGTCTGTTGGTTATCAAGATTTGCAGCTTTTCTTTTGCAGTTATCGAAGATGGTATGGATTGGATAGAAAATGCACAAATCCTTATGAAGGGAATGTCTGTGCTTGTGATGGTATGCAAAATCAACATTTGATTTATGGTGGAATTCATTTCTAACCAAATAACATTTCTTTCCATTCGTATGATAGCTATTTGTTATTGCGCTGCATCAAATTGAATATACCCGTAATAGAATCTCTTCCGGAGTGCTATTGTTTTATTGGCTTTTTGTGATCATCGTTGATGGTATCAAACTGCGTACCCGTTATCTGAATGACGATCAATATACCGATTCCACACAATTTGGCTTTTTTACTGTCAGTTTTTTCCTATCATGTACGATATTTATTTTGGAGAACCTGCCAAGACCCAAAAGTCAGTACATTATGCTTGAGGAAGATGAAGTAAGTATTATTGGACGGAAAAGTAGCCACATTACCATTTGACTTCGAATGAAGATTTGCTCATTTTTTTTTTTTTTAAAAAAAAAAGCTGGATTCACCTGAGGAAAGAACCAACATTTTTGGTAGACTTACATTTAGTTGGATGACCCCTTTAATGAGGCTAGGTTATAAGCATCCATTAACAATGGACGATTTATGGTTAGGAATTAAAACAATGTGATAATAATCCATCAGTTTGGTTAACTAAACTAATGTTCGTTCTCAACAGGAACCTCAAATCGGATGATCAATCGGTCAACGTAGGCGCTGAATTTCAGAAAAACTGGCAAAAAGAATTGAAAAAGTCAAAGTAAGTGTTTTAGCAGACTTCTACCGTAATCTAATGACGAACAAGAACTCAAGCACTTTTTTATGGCATCACTTAGGCCATCCTTGCTACGTGCTCTTGTTATGACGTTGGGGGGACCCTTCGCTTTAGCGGCTGTAAGTGTACAACCACAACAGTAATAATAAATATGTGATAGTCCGGGTGTTAACAGCTTCTTGCAATATATAGTTCTTTAAGGCACTACAGGATATTCTTCAATTCACGCAACCTATGCTTCTCAAGCAATTAATGGTATGGGTTACCAGCTATAATTCTCCTGAGCCTCGCCCTGCTTATCAAGGCGTTTTGATTTCTATTGCCATGTTTATCACCGCAATCTGCCAAACCATGTTCCTTCATCAATATTTCCAACGATGTTTCACTACCGGTATGCGTCTTCGCGCTGCACTTGTCACAGCAGTATATCAAAAAACTCTAGTCCTCAGTAATGCTAGTCGACAAAAATCAACCGTTGGTGAGGTAGGATGATTTATGACCAATTCTGAGCTATAACGAAGACGTGAGTTACTAAAGCATAAACTTTTACTCATTTGTAGATTGTTAACCATATGAGCGTAGATGCCCAAAGATTGATGGACTTATGTACTTACTTCCATATCGGTAAGTTCAATTGACGTTCACATTAGATATATTTTTGTGGACGTTATACCCATTGTGCAATTGATATTATTAGTATGGAGTGGCCCTTTCCAGATAATTATCGCTTTGATCTTCTTGTACAACACAATGGGACCTAGTATTGGTGCTGGTGTAGGTATTTTAATCCTTGCCATTCCTTTGAATACCTATTTGGCCCGCAAGATGCGTACATACCAAAAAACACAAATGGGTAATAAGGATGCAAGAGTCAAGTTAATGAATGAAATTTTGAATGGTATTCGTGTCATAAAATTGTATGCATGGGAGAATCCATTTTTGGAAAAGGTAAAAATTGATTTTTGTTCACAATACTTGAAAAGATGGATTGTTCATCGGCATTATTTACTTCTTTAAATTAGATAAGCTTTATTCGTAATGATTTGGAATTAGCTACCTTGAAGAAGATCGGTGTCTTGTCAGCAGTACAAAACTTTACCTGGACTTCTATCCCTTTCTTAGTTTCCCTTTCCACTTTTGCCGTTTACGTATTTGTTTCTGAAACACCACTGACAAGTGATATCGCTTTCGTTGCTATAGCGCTTTTTGGTCTTCTGCAATTCCCTCTTACTGTCTTTCCCAATGTTATTACTTCAACTATTGAAGCTTCAGTCAGTCTGTATCGTATTGAAGATTATTTGTCTTCCCAAGAGTTAGACCCCACTGCAGTTACTCGCATAAATTTCCGTAGCGATCCAAACTATAACGAGGACACTCCACTCGTTGCCATCAACGACGGTCAGTTCAAATGGGCAGAGGAAGACCCTGCACCCGTATTAAGCGGAATCAATCTTGAAATTCGCAAAGGACAATTGACTGCCGTTGTAGGTCGTGTAGGTGCAGGTAAATCATCTCTTATTAGTGCTCTGCTTGGTGATACTGTCAAGGTGGGAGGTGATGTTATTTTACGCGGATCTGTTGCTTATGTACCCCAACAACCTTGGGTTATGAATGCTACTTTACGTGATAACATTGTCTTTGGTCATCGTTGGGATGCTGATTTCTACGACCGCGTCTTGGAGGCTTGTTCTTTGAAAAGCGATATTGCTATCCTTAGTGCTGGTGATCAAACAGAGATAGGCGAACGCGGTATTAATTTATCGGGCGGCCAAAAAGCTCGCGTATCTCTCGCCAGAGCTATTTATGCCCGTGCTGATGTCTATTTGATGGATGATCCCCTTAGTGCTGTAGATGCTCACGTGGGTCGCCATATTTTTGACCATGTTATTGGACCAGATGGTATACTGAAGAGCAAAGCTCGTCTTCTGGTTACTCATGGCATTTCATATTTACCTCGCGTTGACGAAGTGGTTATGTTACGGGATGGACAGATTGCGCTTAGCGGCAGTTATGCTGATTTAATGGGGCAAAAATCAGAGCTTTACGCACTTATCAGCGATTTTGGTAATCAACAGAATAAATCATCCGATAATGAAGATGAAGTGTCAAATGAAGGAAGGGTTGATGTTGAAAATGAGGAGCCTTATGACAATACTGATGCAGCTTCTATTGGAATGGTGCCTCGTGAAGAAGATGCGCCATTAAACCGCCAACGCAAGCGTTTAAATAGCGAAACCTCTGTTACGAGTGTAAAAACACTTCGTCGAGCTTCCCTTGCTTCTCTTTCGAAGAAGGGAAATAGCGTCAAAAAGGATACTGCAGGTGATCGTTTAATTACTGTTGAAGAAAGCGCTAAGGGTAGCGTTACTTGGGATGTTTACAAGCAGTATGCCAAATCTTGCTCTGTCTACGGCGTTTTTACTGTAATCGCCCTGTTGATGCTCGCACAAATGGCTTCGGTTGGAACCAATTTGTGGCTCAAATACTGGTCTAATCAAAATCAAAACAAGGGTGCTAATCATAATGTATGGTTCTATCTTGGTATTTACGCACTGATTGGCTGGTCATCTACTTTGTTTGCCATGGTTCAAACTCTTGTCCTTTGGGTGTACTGTGCCATCCGTTCTGCTCGGGTTTTGCATACCGAAATGTTGGAAACTATTGTTCGCTCGCCTATGTCATTTTTCGATACAACTCCTTTAGGAAGAATTTTGAACCGTTTTAGTAAGGATCAGCATACTGTGGATGAAGTTTTGCCTAGAACTTTTAACGGTTACTTCCGCGTGTTGTTCTCCGTTATTGCTACCGTTTGTATTATCGCTTTCTCTACTCCTTTATTTATGATCTTAGTGATCCCTCTTGGCATCATCTACATCTACATTCAACGGTACTATCTTGAAACATCTCGTGAGCTGAAACGTTTGGATTCTGTTGGTAAGAGTCCTATCTACTCTCATTTCCAAGAAACCATCTCTGGTGTATCCACTATCCGTGCATATGAACAACAACGACGTTTCATGTTTGAAAACGAGTGCAAATTAGATGATAATCAAAGAGCCTACTTCCCTTCGATCTCTTGTAACAGATGGCTTGCTGTACGTCTTGAATTCCTAGGCTCTATCATTATTCTTGCCGCTTCTGCTTTTGCTGTTTTGGATGTAGTTTATGGTACTTCATCTATTGACGCTGGTTTGGTTGGTCTTTCTGTTTCTTACGCCTTAAGTGTAACTCAGGCCTTGAATTGGGTCATTAGATCATATTGTGAAATTGAGACCAACATCGTTTCTGTTGAACGTATCAAGGAATATATCGACTTACCTACTGAAAAATACAATGCTGTACGTGGTGTTAGTTCTATGTGGCCAGAAAAAGGTCTTATTGAATTCCGTGATTATGCTACTCGTTATCGTCCCGGATTGGATCTTGCCCTACGTGATATGTCCTTCACTGTGAAACCGAAGGAGAAGATTGGTATTGTTGGCCGTACTGGTGCCGGTAAAAGCTCGTTGAGTTTGAGTTTGTTCCGTATTGTTGAAGCAGCTAAGGGTTCCATTTATATCGATGGTGTTGACATTGCTAGTCTGCGTTTGTTTGATTTGAGATCTCGCTTGACGATTATTCCTCAAGATCCTGTCTTATTTGCGGGCACCGTGAGGGAAAACTTAGATCCTTTTGGTGCACATGATGATTCCGAACTCTGGCAAGCTCTGCAGCATTCTCATCTCCAAGACCATATATCCAAGATGGATGGTAAATTGAATGCAGTTGTTTTGGAAGGTGGTGAGAACTTCTCTGTCGGACAACGCCAACTGATTTGTTTGGCGCGTGCACTCCTTCGTAGAACAACTATTCTTATCCTTGATGAAGCGACCGCTGCTGTAAGTTACTTCTAGTAATCAATTCATAAAATGTGTTAGGGAGTAATTACAGTACTAATCGATTTCTTGCTGTCTTATTTCAAACAGATTGATGTGGAAACAGATGCTATCATTCAAGATACAATTCGAAAGCAATTTGCACATTGTACTATCCTTACTATTGCTCACAGAATCAACACCGTATTAGATTCCGACAGGATCCTTGTGCTAGATAAAGGTCGTATATCTGAGTTCGATTCGCCTAAGTCATTGATTGACAATAAGAAATCGATTTTCTATTCAATGGCTAAGGAAGCCGGTCTTGTCGAATAAACTACTTTATTGTCGTGCCCATACGAAATTTTGTAATATGTTGTCTATAGATAAATACGTCATGCATAATTTATGGATATGAATAACCTCAGTTGAATAAACGAGTATTACATCCTATAATCGCTGGTGGCTTTCAACTAATTTTTGCTGGAATAAATTGTGTCATAAATAAATATGAGTTTCTTGTGAAATATATAAAGTAACTTTAACTCATATTACAATTACCTAGGTTTTTACGGCACTATGGTCAATTGGAAGTTACTTTTTGCTCTTACAATTTATCTGTGAATATATGCAAAAATGCAAAGCAAATGTCCCTTCCTGAATTCATAATCCAAGTAGCTGCATTATTCTTGGTTCTCTCTTTTAAAAAAAATGGAACCTGGATTTTTGTAAATGTGCTCTATTGTGATATGTTGGACTAGAGAATACATAGCTTGATCCAATTGTTTGTAAAGTATAGCTGTTGACAGAAACGTAACGTTACATGAACTTGTGAGATGTTATAGTAGTTTTGTGAGAAGAAGCATTGTATGTTCAGCACTTTTTGGGTTCTTTGCAGTTAATCTTTTATAAGTTGCTCAATATATTTCTGTTAAATACTCACTCAAAGCAATGCAATATGCGAGCTTGCACATAGTCAACTGTCTTGAAGTTTATCAGCTGACTGTTTAACCCTTCTGATAACAAGCAAAATTCATAATAGAAAACAGGGCATCACATTGGTAATCAATGACAAATACATGATAACGAACAGTAACCGAGCAGTTAACCGCCGTGATACATATATATTGTTGGCTCCGCATTTCCAAATTTATGACAAACTTACTGCATATAAGGACATAACGATGTATTTATTAAACTTATTATACCGACTACCATGATGAAAATCTTGATATTAGGCGTGATCTGATCATTAAATACTTACAGCATTGACTGTAATACTATAAGATAATCTACCTAGCATGGTACCCATGTTAAAACTTCCATGCTTTTAGGATCATGGTTACATACTGGTTTTCTTTTTAAAAAAAGCGATTTAGCACATAATGCAATATTTACTGCATGGCAAGAAGTCTTGCTGTTTTGTCAAAAAGTATTACTCTTATTAGCATACATTCTAGTTTAATCACTTGAATTCTAAATGTCACAGCTAACATCGTCAATAACGGCATGATTTTTCGAAGATTTAGAAGTATATAAGGCAACATAGCCAGCAAAACCATCTTTTTCTTTACTTGGTGTTTTGTGAAAAGTATAATGGTGTATCAAGATACGAAACTAAAGCGTTCACATAATATTTTTTTACACTGGTGTGGGTTTGATCAATTTATTCCAGAACAAATAGTGACATCGTATTGGATTTCGCCAAAGGTGTTACTTCTTTATCGTATTATCTGTGCTCTCTATACCGGCTTCATTTTTTGGTTCTTCGTCATTGTATTCTCATTTTGGCCAATTGATTTATGGAACATCTACTTTAAATTTTTCACTATATATTCCTACGTTGGTCTTCATGCGTATTTTGTGGTAAGCGTTTTTTTTTTTTTTTTTTTTTTTTTGTACTGCAAACTTACAGCATTAACCCATTATTGAATCAGACAACAGCCATCTACGAATGGAGATATATCAAAAGTAAAAGTGTCAACTTCCTTCTGCATCGAAAGTCTTTTTGGAATTACACATTTATGTATTTATACAGCACAGTCGTATGCTTCAAGTAAGTTGAATAGGAATTATTGCGTTAAAATACTACTTCACTTGATTGACACTGTAGCTGAATATATAGTATCTTAACACCAGTGATCTATTGGACCCTACTTTCTTACTTGTTACCTCTTGACAGTAAGCGTTTGAAAGCGATATAGATTTATTTAGCTTACATCGCAGCTCGGTTGATATGTTGACGCTTATTTTGTATAATATAGATTTCTTGTCAATTTTATTCAATGTATCTTTTCATATTCTGGCTTTCTTGATGATGTTCTTCGATGTTTGGTTCACGAGAATGCGATTACCAAAACGATTGGTTATATTCACGACTTTTACCGTCTTCCTCTATATGATTGAGGCATTCATTGACCATGCAATGTAAGTTGTGGCTCTTCAATGGAGTTATCAATATATTCCCAAACTTATTGTGTTTAACGAATTACCTGCTCCATATATTTACCACCAATAGCCAAGGGACCTGGGTTTATCCATTCATGGATTGGAAACAGGGATTTGTAGCTTTCCTATATTACCTGTATGTAGGTAATGTGGAAGTAGCAGCTTTCTTCATTATGAAGGCTATACACATTCTGCGCGATCGATTAGCTTACAAATTAGGCAAAGCAGAGGCAGCAGTGAATTTTCCCGAACATAGACAACGAGAAGAACATGCTGAGTTAAATACAGATATTACGCGTATGGCATAAAAACCGTTTGCGTAATATAACTTGACCAATTATTCTATACTTTCATATTTTAATAATTATAAGTTAATTTAATGATTATAAAGCTTTACTTATGCAGAGTTTGACGCAGTTCAAGCATTTTTTACAAATATGTGCGTAGATTTCTTGTTGAGTTAGAAGCAAAATCAGAAAGTCTAACTATAAGCTTATTAAAAGCATTGTTTACTTTCTTCCAAGCTTTCTGAAAATATTCTTACAATGATAAAATTGGTAAACTTAAAGAACGCTTCAATTAAGTTACGAAAAGGTTGTGTAATCAATTTCTTCGTACATTGTACCATTTGAAACGTGTGAAACGAAAACGAAAAATTAGATGGCCAGTGGTTAAACTGTTGTCATAAGATACAGTCGAATTCACGCACAGTGAGGGAGGAACACTTAATATATGGCTTCTGTGATTGCTGCAATTTGTGAGAATAAGCCGAATTGCTTACATTCATGAATTTAACAATCAGTAATTTATTTCTAAATTCTGTAGAGTAAGCCATATACGATAGATATTTCACTGTTACATTTTGTTTACAGCAAACTCTAGATATCACAGCAGGAAGTACTTTGTAATGTGCCATGAAGCATATCAATGGAACACGTCAGTAAGACCAACCTTAACATTGTAATCTTTAGTGATGACACAAATGTCACTGTATGAACGACTGGACCAAATGCACTGTTCAAAAGTTAGCTGTTATTTGCCGTTATACAAAGCAAACATGTGAAGAGTTACATGAACACCATAAGAAGCAACTGTTTTTTTCTAGGAGTAGGATATGAGTAAACACAATTGCAGCTTTTGTAAGATAATTGTATATGGGTGCTATGACCACCTTGCCTACTATAATACTCCCTTATTAGGATTACATGGATCAGAGATCTCCTCTTAAATTTTAGGTGGAACAAAAAGTACAATCAACAAGCTTTTTGGATCATACGATGAGGGTCAATGCTTTTGAAGGATATGTGTGGCGGTAGAGCGGCTTCAACCGAACACTAATGAAATTGCAGTTGATGGATTGCATACACCGTCATGATCAATTAAAGGGCTTAATGCTGTCGGTCGCAATCATCTTACTACCAAATGCAATTATCTAACTAATAATGGGGTTGTGTTTACGTCCATTGATTTATGCATGGATTTTGACGTCAAAATTTCCGAATCATTATGTTTCCAATCGTATGTATCTGGCAAGAATACGCGATGGTTCATTTATACATTTCGATACCACATTGGAGGTGCACTCGCGACAGGGAATCTAGTAAACTGTACATGGCTCATAACTGTGACATTTGCTTCCAAAAAAACTGAAGTATTCAGCTTAATGTAGGACAATGCTCGAAGGTTGCTTGACGTGTCTCTTTTTTGAAAGTTATCAATTATCAAATCGATTCTTGCAAGAAGCTGAACTTATTGTTACACCCTTCAGTTTTTAAACAAGTTCGCTGAGATAACTTTCTGTAATTCGCGTATTCAAGTGCAGAACATTTTTAAAACTGCAACTTTCTCTTTCCATTTTATTTCTGTCTTCTTATTCTTTTCGATTCAAATTTTATACTTTGTATATTTCACAGAATTCAAATTCAACTTCAAGCACCTTCTTTTTCCTGATCTGTTATTTTGCTTACCATAAAAGCGCTATAAAGCCAAGCGTGTACCTATAGGCTAACAGTTAGAAGGTTTGCTTGTTAATGATTTAATGTCTATGTATGTAACTGTACTTACAATCTCCCAACAGCAGTAGGGATCAAACTGTTATGCTTACAATAGTAAAAAATACTGTAATATCTGAAAATACTAAGTTAAGAAGAAAACCAGACAAAATTATACTCCTGAAGAGCTATGCTAGAAACGGTGTTACCAATACTTTACTATAACTCACATTGCAGCAATATATGCAATATAGCACCAATTGCATTTGTTACTCACAGGAGACCTCGACCTAACAACCCTAGGCCCCCTCCACGGCCAAGTCCTCCTCCACCAAATCCACCAATGTGCATACGATGATAATTATCGGTTCAAGAGCTTCAACATTTTCAGTATAATGCTTTTGATTTGGTGTCCAGCGGCCGTGAGCTTTTGAGATGTGATATGAATACCAACACGTTGCGGTTTCTTTACCCAATCTCCTGTATATATCAACAGCCATAATCTATGAACACCATTGCTTTTGGAGCAATCGCAATAAATCCAGAACGAACACTTATCAGGCTTCCATAATACGTAATTGATTTCTAATTCTCGAATAAGCAATCGAAAAAACTTTTCAAATATTTGATAATGTAGATGCAACTATAGTAATATAACCTAGTTTGTCTTGTGTGTAATTTCAAATGATCGAATGATGATATCCTTTACAATATTCCTTTTACTGTAAATAAATGAAAGTAAATGATTTTGCTGCTTTGTTATACAAAAAAAGTACATACAGTACAGTTCTTTCAATTTCTTATTTGCGTGCGGCTTTAATCAATTCAATGTTCTCACCCAAGCTTCCGTTTTTTGAAACTACAAGTTAGTCTGGTTTGGGTTTTTGCGGGATTAATTCGTATGTTTCGCTTTTAACTACCCCTTGCAGCTATACTATGTCAGTTTCATTCCCAACGAGGGCATACGTTGTATACAACGTAGTGCAAACGAAGTTTGAAACGTTATAAGATATTCCAGCGTACTGTTAAATAGTGGAAATGGCGATAGTGAACAAAATTTCTGAAGAAGTAATGAGATTACCATTCCGTGGTTATATTAGTCGGATGTATTATAGAAAAACCAGGAAGTTTAAATACATCTCGTTTACTTCATGAGCTATATCGAAAACAACGTCTATTCGAACTGCTGATGTTTAACTTTGTTTCCCAATTCTTTTTATATTTACTACACGTGTTTATTATTCGTGAACTAACTTTAAGAGATGAAGGGTTGTTAAGTAATGCGCTCATTGAAAGCTCTTTCACATATATAGTCTCTGTATATATGGTCATGATAATTACCCCGAGTATTGTAAACACTGAGTTTTTCGCTTGCAGTTTAAACAGAAGGTCTTGTACTGTAAGAATTTTGTTCTCCATTGAATATTACTCACCAGATAAAATTTGTATTATTCATAAACATGGTGATATGACGACGATCTCAATTTAAAATGGAGATGCAAATAGCGGGGGAGATGTTCACATCACTGGACTGTCAACTATGGTTATATATGAATTCAAAGATATGTACATCGTATAAAAAGCGTTTCTTTTCTTTATGTTTTGAGGGATGCGATCTACACATCAGCTTTAAAGGTTTTATAACCTCGAGTGGGAATAGTAGCAGACTAGCTACAACTTGCAACTAAGTTTGCTCTATATAAACAATATTTATTTTGTTAAGTTAAATAATTGCAAGAGGTTATGTCATTGGTTGCTGTAACAGTTTGTTACGAAAGATTGATGGAAAGTAATGAGCTTGCAAAGTAAGATGATCCCAAAAAAGAACTTCCTAAATTTTAACTTTTCAACCTCTCAAAAGTGTAACATCTTTTGTATTTGTATGAACCAACTGGTACTCATTGTGTAATAACCACAAAACTTAGACGTAATGTGAGTAAAATAGAAAAAGAAAATAAAAAAGAAAAAAAAAAAAACTCTGAAAAGTTCATTTCTTATTGAAGAAAGGAAAGCTTTACTATCTCAAATGTACAACAAAGTAAATGTAAAGTTCTCATCATATGACGACTGCAAAACAAGTGAGCAAGATTCAGAACATTCCAGGCCAAAAAAAGGGCCCACTGATAATTATAATGCTTAGAAGCCTAACATCAGTGAGTTCAAAGCGGCTCAATCCACATAAGGAATTGACTAAGTTGTAAAATTTAACGTTGTTCACTTGATGAGAACCAATATTATCGTCAGCTCTACATAAATATTCTTTGGTAACACGCAAAATAACTATAGAGAACGCGATTTTTCATGACTTTCATCCACTTCAACTCGGGTCTAGAATAACTCATAGCTGGTTTTTTTTCAAGGAAATGGTACAACCAAGAGTTCGACTTGTACAAAGTCTGTAAAGCAACGGGTAAAACAATCCTGTCTATAATCGACTGGAGATTACTAAGTTATAATAATTGAATAACGTTGGCTTCAAACTACATAGTACTTATAACATAATGGAAAATATTTGCAATTCAGACAAGGATCCAGGAAACATGGACTGACCTTAGGAGATATATCTCGAAATTTCAGTCTTCATCGATTTTTGTAACTTACAAATAGGAAGAGAAAAAAAGTTATGATAAAGGAATGCCCTGAACAAGTATATTTTATGTTTGACCTTTTTAGCCGGAGAACATTGCGTGTATCAAAATACAAATTAAGGCCATCTCCGCTTTGTTTACAAATTATATACTAGCTATAATGGAGCAATGCTTGAACAATTAAAACAATGGGTTTCACTTCATGAATTGTAATTAGCATGAATAGGAATATGATAGTATTTTCTGGTCTGTGCATTTCCATCATCAACTGGAGGTAAAAAACGTGATTCTTTATTCCGACGCCCTTTACTCTAGAATTGGTGTACGTATGGTTTTCTCAAACGCAACGTGTATTGAAAAAATTGCGACGAAGACATGGAATTGTCATAAGCGCTGCAGTTGATTAGTGACAAACACCTTTAATTCGAATCTCAGCATTTATTGCAAGGAGGCTCTGAACATCCCTACCCTCAAATCAAGTTATTGATAACAGTTTGAGCCAAATATTGCTTGACTATTAGAAAGAAATAAAATAGTCCAAGATGAGTAACTGTGGACTATTACATTTAATGAAATCAACGTTGGCCATTTTCAATCCTACCTTTCCCCTGCTTCTTCAAAGTAACCTTTCAAATCATTTTCACAGCTGTTTGTTCAAGCAACCAGGCCATCAAAGCTCTATTAAATTCATGCCTGAATGCTGTTTTAATTACGGTTTACAACTACAACCTATATTCTGTAGATGCTCAAATATGTTGTTTGAGCGGAAATAGCAATGGTATCCATCAACTTATGTATTATTTGCGGCATGAATGGTGTCACCCAACGTTGAGAAAGGCTGCGCGTCTTCAATACAAATAATGTTAATGTATTAATAGTGAATCATTGGAAGCGTGATATATACGCGTTTCATAAAGGACCTGGTGACGTGTAGTGCTAATCCAGACTATGTCAAAAATGTTCAAGTTCTATGGCATCGTTTTCAATCAGAAGAAACAAATTCATTTTTCTTGAGGCACAGTTCATACGTACTTTTGATCAGTATTTACTTATGGGTCAGAAAACGGAGAAACGATAGACGCAATATATCCATCTTTTTCGAATCTGCCGTTTCGATGACGGCCAGGAGGAATTACACAATATGCACCTGTAAATCAGTTCTGTACTGCTTGGAGAAAATGTAGTAGACAGATAAAACTGTCTGATTGCCAGGACCCTCAAATCATTTGTGTTATCTGAGAATATCATTTACATGTTACATCTTTCCTAATTGCTGGGCGTGGAAAAATTTCATGATGTTGTGTATGAACAGAGATTGCGTATGCGGAACTTAGAATAACTCTTCGGTCAGTGAGAGTTAAAATGGAATAGAATGTTGGCTGTGGTTCCTTCATATTTCAAGTATCCAAACAGAAAATTTTAAATTGCTTATGCATTCATCTGAAATACACTACTTAATTTCAAAAGAGCTGCTATTTTGATGGGATACAACCAACTCGAGCCGAGATTGTTATCTGTACTGCAGTCATATCGTAGTCCCTCAGAGATGATGTAAAAACTTACTACACTGTTTATACATCTGACAGAGAAAAGCCGGAATCAATGCTACACACCGAAGACTACGAATCAGCATTGTGCAGACTAAGTAACCGAATGTCAAGCTTATATTCTTTTACAGGCTATTCATTTTTATTTCATCCATTAGTATTCTTATGTTGTTGATTAATGTTAGAGCGAAACAGCAGTTATCTAACAATAAACACATAAGCTTAAAATCGAGCACAATGAAAAATATGATTATTATAGCTTTGGCAACTATTGTTACTCATTAGTAATGTGACTAAAAATTGAAGCATGCCATTTATGTGTTGTACCTGGTCGATGCCGAACATATTTGCGCTTTGAACAAAAAAAAAAAGAGGTCTATTGAACAATTGCCAAAAATAGCTTGGTTGACATACTTTTGCGACCGAAAATACAAAGCGGCTCAATTGTTTAGGTGAAATGGGATGTATAAGAAGTATTTAAGCATATGCTTTGAAATATTCGGGTTTATTTTGCGTACAGTTTTGCAATCATCATATTCGAGCAATTCAACTATTGAAAATTTACACGAACAAGATCAGGTTCAAAAAGAAAAGAGCAGTAAATGAATTATAAATCAAAAGATATACCATTAAAAACATACTTAGCAACTATAAGATATTTTCTTTGCGCAGTTCATGTCTGTCTCCTACTGATGATACAGCCCTAAGTTATGGTACGTTACTAGGACATTTCAATAGTACAGAGTCTGCAATTGAAAAAAGTTAATCTTTTGAAACCGATTGGAGCTTGAACCCGGAGATTCAACGTCTGTAAATTTGGATCGCGCGAAAAATTTCTATATACTTTTTCCCTTTTCTTTTATTTCTTTGGATGAAAGATGGCCAAGAAAGGACCTAATAGTAAAGCCGAGGCTGCCAATGCTAAAAAAGCTGCTGCAAAGGCAGAAAAAGATAAAAAGGCAGCTGCTGCCGCCGAAGCTTCCGAAGCCGACAAGTGGAGTAAAGGCGCTAAGAAGAATAATAAAAAGGAAGAGGCAGAAGCCAAAAAGGTAAAGTTCGGTTATGCTTTTTTCTTTGCATTTCTTTTTCGATTTTGATAACAGGTCTCAACTTCAAACTGAATATATTTGGCATTCTTGGAATAGGCTGCTGCTGCTGCTAAGAAAGCGGAAGCCGCTAAACTTCTGGTATGTTTACCATATTGTGTTCGAGCATTTTCTAAAAATTTTCTTGATCTTTAACTATTCTGCTTTGATGTGGCAGGCCGAAGAAGAGAAGCAATTCACAAAGAAACCTTTATTAAAGGGTGCTGACGTAAGGGGCCTCGTTAATCTATTTTTATATATACAGGGTATACAGAATAGAGAAACTAAATAAACAACCTCCAAATGTAAAATAATGTAGAAAAAAGCGGCTCAAAAATCAGCCAAGAATGCTGCTGCTGGTGAAGCCAGAAGAGTCATACCCGAATTTTCGGCTACTGGTATTGATGATGCACTTGAATTATTATCTGTCGATGACAATGGCCCTGTGAAATCCAAAGACATTGAAAAACATCCAGAAAGACGTTTCAAGGCTGCATTGACTGCTTTTGAGGAACGAGAATTGCCTAGATTTAAAGCAGAAAATCCTGGTTTGCGTTTAAGTCAATTGAAAGAATTGATCTATAAAGCATTTCAAAAATCACCCGAGAACCCTTTCAACCAAGCTAATGTAGTCGCTTATAACGCAACACAAGAAGAGGCCAAATCACTCAAGGATAACAAAAAGAAAGAAGTTGAGGATCGTTATCGTACGAATTAAAAAAGGATGCTTCATCCTATTCAGAAATATTTATGTATACATGCATTTATAAGAATCAATTTATGGATCATGACTCGTATGCGGATATGGAAGATTGTAAAAAGTACGAATAAACGGGAAGGTACAATGTGAGAGCCAGCGTATCCAAAGGTTAGCTAGCGTCTTTCTGTGCGAGTCGATGGAAGATTTGCTACTGCTGGATTTTTGACACGACCTCTCTGTATCCTGTGATCTTTGCACATTCCTTTTTCAAATTGTCGGCAATGTCTGTATCCCATAAACCTGCTGAAATCATCAGTCGTGAATATCGTAGACATACTTCTTCTCTAAAGTATTCGTATAACTTCTTGTTATACTTGCGCTATTGAAATCAAAAGGGTTGAATTGTTGAATGGCCATTACGTGATTATGAGTTTACTTTTCCTTTTTTTTTGAATTTACCTCTTTCGCTCTCGTTTCTTCAGGATAATGATGTGTTTGATGGATCAAAAAATCATCTGGAAGCACCCAGTAATCGATGCCGGCCAAATAGATTTCATACAAACAAGCAGCTTTATTTGCACCGTAGCCAACAAATCTTTCTTCACACCAAGGCGTACCTTCTTTCTTATAAATGACGTAGGGTTCATACGAATAATTGTAATCAGTGACCTTGTACGGCTGAGAAGAACGATACCATTTTTTATAATCGGTTGACCCATGGCCACGCGTCCAGTTCAAATGGAACATATCGATCTCTTCTGTCAAGACGATATTCATCAGTGCCTCTTTGTCTTTTGGAAACAATCGCCAGTCCTCGCCGTCCTCCTCCGCAATATATTCAAAAGCAGGCACAACTACAGCTGCTCTTCCACTACGGAGCCTTTCCATCAAGTCCTCATGCTTTTTCAATGATTCTCTAAAATCCGTACACAAATGAAAGTCTACGTCCAACATCATCAAATAGTCGGTACGGGTAAAGAATTTCGCTACATTTCTCCACATATTGAATTGTCGATCGAATTTATCAACGACAAGATGAATATCTACGTATTTCCTGACATCTGGATTCTCCTCATATATATTGTGTAAATCTTTCAAAATGGTACCTTTTGTGCTGTCGTCATTTACGTGAATGGCTACTGAAATGGGTCCTTTATAACGACTGGCTAGCCTGCTAAGAACCGGGAAACGGTTATGAGTTACAAGAGTGGCAATGGTGATATCTTCTTGTTCGAAATGTTCACTGGCTCGAAAGTAATAAGGTATCACTTTCGAGGGACCCATGGCGTCTGCAAATACTTTGCCTACTATCAAATTTTCAGGAATGGTCTGTGTTTGTCCGCCTAGGAAGATTAACAAAAATCCAGAAAAGTGAATAACAAAAGGAAGCCAAAAAAAAAAAAAAAAAGTTGAGTGTTGTTATACCTTCAGCATTAGACCAGATAACTGTTTGAGATGAATGATATCTTTTATGTAATTGACTGACTGTTATTGGTTCAGATCTTGATGTCAAAGGATTGTCTAATAATGCTGATTTATCTTTTGCTGTAGTTGCTACGATGGAGAGGTTCTGGAACCAGCCAAAACCAAGTAAATGTAGGGTTGCATATAGTAGTGAACTCGCTAAATAAATGATGATGAATATCTGAACGATTTTCGAAAATGCCAGTGATTCTTTCAGCATAGGATTTCTTCACAAAGTTGAGAAAGAGAAGGAGAAATGGACGAGATGCAAAAAGAAGAGAATAAAAATAAAATGGGCTAAAGAATGTCTACCTTCTGTGCAACATTATTATTAGCTGTGCGTACATATCAGAAATTGTACAACCACCATTCAAATCAAGAAAAATCAAAAAGAAATGAATCATCGCCATTGCTGTACGATAGAAAGCTGCCTTAACATTGCTTTGCTCGAGCCTTTTCCCCTGTAGGTTGAGTGACTGGCTTGTATACGGAGAAACGACAAGTAAACAGTGTTGATTATATACAGTACAGCAACCAATCATTAATAAACTAATGCCAGCCTGTCCTAAAAAAACCCAAAAAAAAACCCAAGGATTTCATAGTTATTGGGGGTAAACTTCTTTTTATTTGGAACAACTTTCAATAATGTTTCCAATTTTTATATCTTTTGTTACAAACATTAGCTATGCAAGTTTCGTTGATTTACATTAATGATTTCATAATTTACAAAAAGCAAGAAAAAGAAAAGAATTAGAGTATTAAGAATGAAATGGGAAAAAAAAAAATGGTGGTAAGAGAATGAGAGAGTAGTGTGTATCTTGTGGGGGGGGGGTGTTTGTGTTTGTGTATATTTTGTAAGATGTGTTTTCGTTGTCGTTTTTCTTTACAACTTGGCTTGAGAGGAGACAGTAACGATGTCATCATAAAGCAAGTCAGGAAGGAAATCGTCATAGCGTTGACCAGTACAGTTTGTAGCAAAGGCCTTCTTGGCAGCTTCGTATTTAGAATTGGCATATTTATCACCCAATTGCTTACGGATCTTGTCTGTTTCTTCTTCTAAGATTTGAGCAACATAGTCGCCAGTAATCACCTTGCCCTTATCTGTGCGAACGTTGTGTCTAACCCATTGGTAGAGTTGAGATCTGGAAATTTCATAAGTAGCCAAATCTTCCATCAAGTTGAAGATAGGAACACAGCCGACACCTCTTAACCAAGCTTCCATATAAGCCAAACCAATTTGGATATTTTCACGAATAGATTCTTCAGTAATGGTACCCTTGAAGTTGATATCGATCAAGTCGGTGGCAGTGACCTTGACGTCGTCACGACGGACGTGAATTTGATTAGGTTGAGGCATATGTTCGTCGAAAATTTCGTAGGCGATCTTGACGAGATCAGGATGGGCAACCCAAGTACCGTCGTGACCAGCGGTGACTTCACGAAGCTTGTCGTTGCGAACCTTGGTCATAGCAGCATTGTTGGCTTCAGGATTGTTCTTGATGGGGATTTGAGCGGCCATACCACCCATGGCATGGACACCACGCTTGTGACAAGTTTGAATCAACAAACGAACATAAGCATCCATGAAGGGCACTGTCATGGTGACTTGAGAGCGTTGAGGTAAGACAAACTGAGGATGGTTACGCAACTTCTTGATGAAAGAGAAGATGTAATCCCAACGACCACAGTTCAAACCGGAGGAGTGATCACGGAGCTCATAGATGATTTCATCCATTTCATAGGCAGCAAGAAGGGTTTCAATCAAGACAGTACCACGAATAGTACCACGAGGAATGTTGAGCATATCTTGAGCGACATTGAAGATATCGTTCCAAAGTCTGAGAAATAGAGAGAAGGTGAGTGATACACTCTCATAGAAAGCTTTTTTTGTGACAGCTATAGACAGACTTACCTAGCTTCTAAGTGAGATTCCATCTTGGGCAAGTAGAAGTAAGGACCCTTACCGCGCTTGATAAGTTCCTTAGCGTTGTGGAAGAAGTAGAGACCAAAGTCAAAGATAGAAGCAGAGCAAGGTTCACCATCCACAAGGACATGCTTCTCAACCATGTGCCAGCCTCTAGGTCTACATTATCAATAGTTTGATTGGATTAGTCCTTTGCATTCTCAGTCATCAATCGTGTGCTACACCTTATTCACTTCAAAATGCACACCCCTCCCCCTCCCCCCGCCGAATTCATGCTTATTGTTTGGTTTTTGTTCATTTTTTTTTTTTTCACATGCAACATTGTACTCCACATTTTCCCAAAAAAGGAGACTTTTAAAACCGAGACTTTACCTAACAAGAAGGGTAGCAATCTTGCCATCCTTTCTAAGAGCATACTTCTTGCCGTTAGGGTTGGTGAATTCAATAGTTTCACGAACAGCATCACGCATATTCACTTGACCGCTAATAATACTATCCCAAGTAGGAGAGTTGGAATCTAGTAGTAATAGGTTTACAATGTTAGCATGCGCCCTATTTCAAATTGCATGAAATGTTTTAAATTTTTTTTTTTTTCTTTACCTTCAAAATCGGCCATAAAAGTCTTTGCACCTGAGTTCAAGGCATTGATGACCATCTTACGGTCAACAGGACCAGTGATTTCTACACGACGGTCTCGAAGACCGGGAGCAGGTGGGGCTGCACGCCAGGTGGGGTCGTTACGAATATAGGCGGTTTCTGGCAAGAAATCAGGAAGAACACCGCGGTCGAGTGCTTGTTGGCGAAGAACACGCTTTTGTAATAAGGTTTTACGGGTGGGGTTGAAAATACGTTGGAGGGTTGCAACGAATGTCAAAGCTTGAGGAGAAAGGATTTCTGCTTCAGTTGTGGTGACGGGTGCCAATACAGCGACCCCAGGGACGTTGGATTTAATGAGTTTAGCAGCAGTACGGGTGATAAGAGACATGATAGTGTTCGAATTAATACGTATGAAGAAAACGAAAACAAGAAAAAAAAAGAGGAAAAGTAATCAGAAAAAGGAAAAATACTTTGATTGCTGTATTTATAGGTGTAGTGAAAGGGTTGGTATCCAATGAATGCTGTGTAATACCGCTTGAAAACTATTATAGAGTGTGTATTATCATTGTCAGAAAACAGCAGCAGCCATTGCAGATACAGTGACTGTTGCTCCACTGAGTCAACTTGAACCAAACAACCCTTTTTTTTTCATGATCCTGTTGACCATTCTATGTGCACATCACATGCCTGGTTTATCATCTTCACATGGATTGAGTCATTATAAAGCTAGAAATGTAGAGTATTACGTCTTCTTTTTCCCCCCGCATTTTGGGCAAACCCGTTGAAATCGTTTTGTTATGTATTGATCATTCCTTGCCTGGTAAAGTACTCAAACCGTGCTTGTGTCTATCAAAAGCACGGTACACTGTTAAAATTTTCAAATTCAAGTTCTCCCTTTTTTTCTAAAAAAAAAGCATTTTTTTGTTGCACCAATGACATTAAGTTTATACCGATATCTTCCATATACTTTTTAGTATTTTATACTTCAACCCAAATGGAGAGGGTATAACGGCAATTCCATTTAATCTCCGGGAACAAACCATATCCGCCTTTTCTTATTCTTAAGAACGGCTAAAGGTTTTTTGTTGGGTGTACATATTAACAACCCACTTTGTGCGCGTAGTCCAGAACCACCAATAGAAACTGGCTCTGTTTGCAATCATGAAACAGGAATCATAAAGAGCTTGTTTTTCTCCAGTCAGTCACTATGTTCAAACAGGTATTATCATTTGCTTGTTCAGAAAGAAAGAACACACACACATCGTGTATATAGGGAAAGCCGGCTAGTTACGGTTCATCAAGTCAGTGTCACTTTCTCCCACGACGGATGTCCATTACAAGCCGTTTTTCAGGATCTAAGGAAAACTTTAACGAGGGCCGGATCTTTTTCACGCTGAGGGCCATGAAATATAATGTGGGGAAATGAAGTAATGTGTGTGACAGGATCACGCTTTTTTTTTAACAGCAAAAAAAAAAACCCAAAGGTAATCTTTGTCTTTCCTTCCAAAACTGACGGAATGACATGGACAATGAATTCATACAGAAATTAAGGTTTTATTCTAACTATTAAATATACAGTAGACCCTTTTTGTAAACACCAAAACCTCGGAAGCTTCGGTTAGTGTATATTTCGAAGCGTTTCGTTTCGGAGCCTTTCGCTTCGAATATTTACACTTTTGAACTCTCTTATGTTGCGTAATTCTCGAGCAGGCAAAACGCTACAATAAGTGTGAACATGGCTATCTCTTTTCTATACATAGAAAACGTTCTCTCCAACAACTCTTCGGCTTGTAGTTCTGTAATGCCATGATTCAGTTCTGTAAGAATTTAAAATATATATGAAAAAAAGAACGGAACAGATGACGGGTTGTTAACTGGATGGATGCTAAATCTTTGACAAGTGCAACAGTAATCTTGATCACAGACTACTTTATTCAAATAAAAGATTCCGTTTTTATTCTTTTGAATTCGAGTATGTACATGTCAGTATGAAGGCCTAGGTTAGCTCAATTTTGCGGAGGACTAATTCTATTCAGACAGAGTCCTCAAACAATGATAAGCAGCAGAAGCGGTATAAAGATGGGTAGGCATTTTCAGTGTCAATGAAAAGTTGGTATGTGTGCTATTGCCTCTATAATCAAAATAGAGAGCTGGGCATAGGTGCCAAAAAAGGAGGGCACCAAAAAGTGAAAGTATAGCACTAATGCCCAGCCAATGAAGGAAATTAATGAACAACTTGAGTCTTCACTACTTGGAAGAAATACAACCAAGACTTATATAAGTTTCATGAAGATGACGATATTGACCAAAGGGAAGGATGAAGTTGCTGCAATGGAAATTGATGAAGAATTTGAACTCGTGCAGTAGATCGTTAGGCTGAGAATACTATCTCTAAAGATGACATTGCTGAACCTCTCAGAAAGAAAGAAGCAATTACATCGTCCGCTAACATTGATCAAAGCATAGAGAGGAACGCAAAGGAAGCATTATTACAGAAAAGATACAGCAGACTAAATTGCTGATTTCCTTATCGTTATAACAGAAAAAATGTTTAGCTTGTGGTAGAAAACGCAGGAATTACAATTGATAGTATACATTCGCTTTTTCACATTTCAATCAAGAAAACTAAACCATCTTATCTAGTGCGAAGAAGAGAAGGATAATGAATCAGTGATTAAAACGACCACAAGAGTATTTACGAGACAGAGCATTGTATACACTATTTTGGTGATGTTATTGATGTTCTGAGCAGAAACAATCAATGGACAATACTGCTAATCATAAACCTGCAGTCGTTAGAAGATGCATTGAAAAGCAGAGGCAAATAAATACCAAGTAAATCCATAGTCTCCTTTTTGAATCCTATCGATGCATTCTGGTCGAACGTCAAGTTTTTGTGTAGGGACATCATTTAAAACGGAGATACACTTTCATCCAAGAAAAAGGGAAGCCGTCGTGAAGTTATTCTAGAGGTTTGGGGATGGTCTACATAAGACGAATCGTGAGTTTCTTCCGAGATGCTTGGTCAAGGAGCAGGCTCTCCTAGTCACGAGATGCATATCAATTTCAATACCGTTTCTGCTGCTTACCATTTTTTTGCCTGAATAGAATTAGTCTTCCGCCAAATTGGCTGCAAAATCCAGGAGCGAGGAAAATTTTGGGACGGTTTGTCATAGTTGGTTTTGTGGCTTATTTAAAACACAAACATAAAATTCGTAAAAATCAAAAGTCTATCATCCTTTTCCACTTTATTATTTATTATCATCATTACTATACATCTATCAGTAAGCATAAACGATTCACAATAAAGGTCAAGTTTAACCCTTATAATATTCTGGCGGGCGTTTTTCTTTTTTTTTTTTCTGTTGCAATTCGTTATTTTTTTGGTAAAAGTGGGTGTAGGGGTTTCTTTTGGGTCACAAACCATAGGTTGTGAACCCTATTTTGCATGGGCCGTCGATCTAGGCGGGTCCTCTGCTTTTCTTTCTACACGCAAGTTCATTCGCATTACATACTTCTTTGCTCTTCTATAGCATTGAGGTATACTGCTTATGTAGCGCTTGCAATATAAACCTTATGACATTCGTTTGAGGACTAGTGTTTATTTAACCGTAACACTAGACTATAGGTTGAATGTCAAAATTTTTTATATTTATATCTATAAAAAAAAAAGATAAATGAAAAAAAAAAAAAGGGTAGTATAAACGCGCACTTTTAGAGTTGTATCTTGTCCGGCGCATCAAAAGAGGGTGCTCGACAACTGTACTGCTATTTTCATCCAAAGAATGAACTTTTCTCAATATGAAGCAGCATATACGCGTCTAGTATTAAGTGCTCTTGTCTGTTAAAAGTGGAATGGTCCGGTTCAGCGACCGTTCCTTTTGAAGAGAACTCATATGATGTTTCATCGTCGCTCCTATGTTGGGGCTGTTTTAATAATTAAAAATGTATGCGTGACATATAAGATAAGGTTTCACTGTTGAAGATAAACAGAAGGTGCCACTGTTGGATAAATATATGTTATCATTTCCAGATGAAATGACCTAATCGATTTACTCTTAAAAAAGAGTCTTTTTGTATTGATTGAGCTCTGCTCGAACACCATCCCCAAGCGTACTACCATCAACTTTAGTCAAAAACCAGAGCAATCCACCTAATTCGAAACTACAGGCTCAGATTCAATCTTTTGACATTCATCGCGTGCAATTCTATAATTGTAAAAATCTTCTGATCAATCAAACCATTCATTGGCTAGAAGTTCTCGTGGCGTCATCCCGTCTTCCGCTCTTTTTTTTTCTTTTTAGTTAATTTTGTGCTGATACTTTATTCTCCTTGTTCTTCTTTTTTGTTCTTACCCTTAATAAAAAAAAAAAAGATGGCTGATATCACTACCCGTCAAGTAGGTGCTCTTAACACTCTCGATTACAAGATTTACTTTGGTAAGAAAATAACTAGAGCTGAAGTTGGGAGAGAGGGAGGGGAAGCTGAACGATGTTTAAACAGTGAAACTAACAAGTTTTCTCTTTTTGCCTTTTGTATATGGGACTGACTTACAGAAAAGAACGGTGTCCCCGTTTCTCCTTTCCATGATATCCCTCTTTTTGCCAACGCTGAAAAGACTATCTTCAACATGGTTGTTGAAATCCCTCGTTGGACCAATGCTAAACTCGAGGTATCTATCTGTAAAAGTCGACACGCGTCTGGTCGTTTTTTTCTTCTACTTTCTTTGATACTGATACCTAGTTCTGCACTCTAATAGATTTCCAAGGAAATCGCCATGAACCCTATCATTCAAGATACCAAGAAGGGTAAGCTTAGATTCGTCCGTAACTGCTTCCCTCACAAGGGTTACATTTGGAACTACGGTGCTTTCCCTCAAGTAAGTATTTTTTTTATTAAAATTCTTACAAGAAATAATAGAATCTACAAAAATCAACAAAACGGAAAATATGGCGATGCTTTGTGATGAACAGTTTCAGAACTAACAAAAATAAAATATCCTATCTGTTGCTTAATAGACCTGGGAAGATCCTAATCATACCCACGCCGAAACCAAGGCTCGTGGTGATAACGATCCTATCGATGTCATTGAAATTGGTGAACAAGTTTCTTATCCTGGTCAAATCAAGCAAGTCAAGGTTCTTGGTGTCATGGCTCTTTTGGATGAAGGTGAAACTGACTGGAAGGTTATCGCCATCGATATCAATGATCCTTTGGCTCCCAAGTTGAATGGTAAGTGACCCGATAAAAGCTCAGTGTTAAGGATAGAAAGGAATCATGATCTCTGAGGGAAAAAAAAGAAGGCTTTGAAGAGTGTTATGCTAAACGGTGACGTATCATTTCATCTATATTTGTCTACCAATAGATATCGAAGATGTTGAAAAGCACCTTCCTGGTCTTATCCGTGCTACCAATGAATGGTTCCGTATCTACAAGATCCCTGACGGTAAGCCCGAAAACGTCTTTGCTTTCAGCGGTGAAGCCAAGAACAAGAAGTACGCTACCGATATTGTTCTCGAAACACACGAAGCCTGGAAGGCTCTCATCTCTGGTGCCTCTGATAAGAAGGATATTGACTGGTAAGAGTCCATATATTATTTATTTCAAGCGTTGTTAAGATAGCACTCTAACCTCTTCTTACACATATATAGTACTAACGTCTCTGTTGAAGACTCTCCTTACAAGAATGCTTCCGTTGAAATACCTGCTGTAAGTTTCATTTATATCTGTTCAGCAGTAAAACGATCATTTATTGTTGTAACACACATTTTAACTTTATTCGATTTCTATTTTTTAGGCCTCTCCCCAACCAGCTGCTCCCATCGATCCTTCCATTGACAAGTGGTTCTTCATTTCTGGTCACAACTTGTAAATTTAAGCTATGAAAATCCTTTCTTTTCTTTTTAATCAATAATTATTTGTTTTGTCATTGTTTTCATTAATCAATATGTTTAATTAAGAAGCATTTTGTTTTTTAAAAAACTACAAAACTCGTTTATTCTTTTCGAACCATTTGAAGGGATCTTTGTCTGAGACCGCGAGAGGACACGGAGGAACAGACAACTTACATTATCATGTCCTTAACATGCAGAAACGTAAAATGGAACAAAACACAATATGTATATTGGCCGCTTTTTTCTTTTCCCTGAAATCCTGAAAATGCTTTCTAAAGAGGTCCCTCTTTTCGAGACATATTTGAGCTTTCATCATCCAGATGCATTTGTTTAAAAGCATAAATATCTAAACATCCAATTACCCTCATCACTGCAGTAAGAACAGATAAACATATCAATGACATTCTGTTCACAATCAACAAACTTGAAACAGCCCATTCACACTCACACTCACAACCATATCGTTCACAAACATCTTTTCCACAGCAATTAATGCAGTGATTCTAAAATGATACCATTAAAAATCTTCCATCCTTTCACTTGTGGTTCTTCTTAATGGTAAGTTAAAACATTTAATGATTAAAAAAAAACCAACAAGTGTTTGGTAGTTTTTCGTATCTTTTCAAATTGTTCAGACGTTGATTTAAGCAGAGGCAGCAACAGTTTGCTTCTTGGCTTGGGTACCTAATATCAAACAAAAATACCTTATCAATGATGATGATCAAGAGAAAAGCATGAATCCTTTTACTGATATATTTACCTTCACGGAAACCATTCTTGAAACGACGTTGGACGAGCTTCAAGTGAGCCATACGGCCAGTACCAGTGGTCTTTCTACGCTTACCCTTTTCGGACCAGTTGTCTAAACAGAAAAAGACATAAGAAACGTTAATGAATACAGAACAGCATGAAGTCATAATGTAAACGTTCATCTGAGATAACTTACAAGATCTGGTCTTAGCGGCGGGATAACCACATTGAGCACATTCTTTCTTTTGCTTGTGGAAAGAACGGTTACCACAGCGTCTGCAGAGAGTGTGGGTCTTGGTATGACGCTTACCGAAGGAGCTAGTACCCTTAGTCTAAAAAATGTAGAAAAGAGGTTACACGATGCTCTTAAATGACATACTCTTGGCGTAAAAAGATCGATTCCATTCAAAATTCAAATTAGAAAAACATCCACAGCAAACACAAAATGTCGACTAGTCCAAATTACAAAATTCTAAAATCGACATTATTTACAAAGCAAAAAACTAACAAACAAGTGAATGGTGTGGTTGCGATGCTGACTTGTTAGTCAATGGTTAACTGTCAAGCCAATGCAAGCGGGTCGAATCAGCCATTGTCAATAAAAGTATCCTTATCATTTTTTCTTTTCTGCTCGTTCCATCCAATATTGATATCGATCGATTGACAATAATTTGGTTGCATTTGCTGATGGATGTTATTGATTTGAATGGATTTATCGTCTTTACACCATGACATTCTTCTCTACTTTACCATAGTGTATAATTAGACCGCGTTTAGAAGGAGGGATTCACTGTCTTGTAACCAACATGTTACAGTTGACTTCCACCGTCGATTGCTTCAGCGCCCAGCAGAATTCCGACACTAAGCCACAGTCCGCTAAAAGAGAATTACAATCAACCAAAGGATTTCCGAGAAAAAAAAAAAGGTACGGCATAATAATTTTTATAGAAAAACCCGATTCCGCCAACGGTTCAAACGCCATAATAGATACCAAGTGAGTTCCAAGGCAAGCATTGACCCATATGCAGATTAACCATAGAAACCAAAACTATGGCTATCTATTGATACTTTCAAAAAAAGAGAAACCGCTTTATTGCGCTGGAAATTAAGCTTACGTTCGTTTGCAGCGTTGCACTACACGCTTTTCCAGACTTTCGTTTTCCGTGTTAAACGCGAAGTTTGAAATTTTCAAGAACCTCTCATTATCTGCTTTTAGCTTTTGCCTTTATTCTATTCTACTTTTTTCTTTTGACAATTGATTCTTCAACATCAGTTCATTTCGTTGAAATGGATAACGCAGTTTTTGAAACCCTTTTAGGAGTGGCTGATAGTGATGGTACCGTCCGTACGGCTGCTGAGAATAAGTTAAAGGAGCTTGCTATTCAACCTGGTATTGTAATTGAATTGTATATCTTTTACTATGTGCCCAACCTTTTTATTTTTACTGAAAATTAATTACATAATGCCTACAGAGTTTCCTATCAGTCTTGCTAAGCTTACGGTTTCGCAGCAACACGCTGTTCCTCAAAGACAAATATCCTTTTCAAATATATCAATGAATTACCAGTTTTTGGATCAAAGATTTACATTATGTTTGAGTTGAGAGAAAAGAGAGCGATAATTATTATCCTTAACCCTAGCTTTCTTTTTTACTTAGCAGCTGTTACATTGAAAAGTTACGTTACAACACATTGGTCAAGCAAAAATGACGATAAATTTGTTGGTCCTGAAACTCCAGCAGAGGTTTGATAGACATAGATTTTTTCTGGAAATATTGTTTAAAAAGTTACTTAAAAAATCATGCAATATCTCTATCTTTTGTTAGAGCAAAGCTGCTGTTCGTGAAATTATTGTTACAGGCCTTGCCGATCCTGAATCCAAAATCAGAGTTGTTAGTGCTTATGTTGTATCGAAAATCGCACATGATGATTTCCCAGAGAACTGGCCCAATTTGTTCGACATCTTATTAAATTACTTAAAGAGCAGCAATTCAGACAGTGTTCATGGTGCGATGCATGTACTGTTGGAAATGATTAAAAAAGATATTAGTATTCAACAACTACCTCAGATTGGCCCTGTATTGATACCCGAAATGTATCGTATCTTGACTTCTGACAGTGTAAGTTCTACACCAATGATATAACAGACGTCACTCTAAACTGCACTCTACCAGAAATGCCTTATTCGAAAAAAAAAACTATATCAATACCGATAGACATACTCTTTTAGTACTCGTGGAAGAGCTGTCAACATCCTCACTAGTTGTATTGAAATGTTATCGAGCTTACGTGAGGAAAATCCAGCATTAACAGAACAATTCATTAAGCCTATCATTCCGCAATGGTTGGAAGCATTTATTGTCATCTTGAACCACCATGTACAAGATGATCCTGAAAAAGCTACAGAAGAATATGGATTGAAGATGATGGTCGTGAAATGTATCTGTACACTCAATTCCGAATTCCCCAAGTACATATCCGCCAGCTTACCCCGCATCTTCGAACCGATTTGGATGGATTTGTACAATTTGCGCGAACGTTTTGCTGAAGAATTTATAAGTGATTCAGGAGATATAGGAGAAACTTATCAAGATTCGGAGGGTAACGAGGTGGGCTTCCAAAACCTCCTATACGTTTTGTTCGAATTCATCACAGCGGCCAGTAGTAAAAAATCAGTCAAACATTTGTTTGTGAGTCCTGAAGGAACTGCCACTGGCTTCTTCGAGCAATTGTTGTACGTTTTTATCATTTACATGCAGATAACCCAGGAGCAGATGGATATTTGGTCTGCTGATGCCAATCAGTATGTGGCAGATGAGGAAGATGGAACTTACACATTCAACACTCGTGTGGCCTCGATTGATGTTCTCATTTCCTTACAAGAAACTTTCCCAGCACCCTTCTTCAACGCTTTGACGGCTGCTGTTCAACGACATATTGCTGAATCTAAAGAAGCACGCGTTGCTAGAAACGGAAATTGGTGGAAAATTCAAGAATCTTGTTTGTTAGCCATTGGTCGCTTGTCAGAGGAATTGACAGAAGTGTTGGCCGATAATAGTAAGAATGTACAATTTGACCTCAAGAGTCTTTTTGATCATGTCGTATTGGAGGATATGCAGGCAGCAGGTATAGAAAGTGAACCCCATATATTCAAGCACTTCTCCCTCATCAGATGCTGAACTTAAGTACTCATTCAAAAACGTCCTATAGAATTACCATTCTTGCAAGGTCGTGCATTTGTTTTTGCTTCCGAGTTTGCAAAGGATTTGCCACCTGAGATGGCTAATCAATATGTTGCTGTAGCTGTCAACGCACTTCAAGCTCCCGACAGCAATATTCCTGTCAAAATTTCGGCTTTAAGAGCCTTGGCAAATTATTGTAAACATTTGAATGTCCAAGCTGTTGCACCCTATCAAGCAAATATCATGGAGGGCACATGCCAGCTTTTACCCAGCGCTACTGAAGAATCCTTGATGCTATTATTGGACACGTTGGTTTCTGCTATTAAGGTAAAGAAGACAAAAATCATATATATGTCTCAAATGACTGGAAACATTTAAACCTCTTTTTTTTTTCCCCTGATACCTTAAAAAGATCAACGCCGAAGTGACAGCCAAATATGAGCAGATTCTGACACCAGCTATTCTTGATGTTTGGCAAGCATATGCTGCTGATCCTATCATTTCCAGCTGTATTCTCGATTTGTTTGAAGCATTGGCTGAAAACACTTATTATTACCATGCACTTTGTACACGCGCTCTTCCTTTCATTAACCAAGTTTTCTCAACGCCCAATACCGATGTTGTTATATATGCAGTAAGTGCTTCATGTCATTAGAGGGATCAACATTGATATAATTATTCATTTTTGGTTTCTTTTTTTTTTTGTTTTTTCTAGTCTGCTATTGACTTATTAACTGCGACCATTACTTATGGTCCTTCTCCATTACCAAATGATTTCACCGAACAAATGTTTCCTAGCTTGATGCAATTAGTATGGACCAACCCAGATATTGATGTCTTACAAAGCGCTCAAGAATGCTTGAAAAAATTCATTTCTAAAGATATAGAACATATCATGAGATGGTAAGCTATATATTAGAGAGCTTGAAGAAGAACCGTTTAACTAAGTCAACAAAACATTTTATCTTTCGTTTTTTAACAGGCAAGATCCATCCGGAAAATCTGGATTGGATTATATCATTCACTTTATTGCCAGGTTGTTGGAACCAACGGGCTCAGATTCTGATGCGCTGTTTGTTGGCGATTTGATTGTTAGCTTGATTCAAAAGGCAGGCAATGGCATTGCACCAGTGTTGCCTGATTTATTGACAGCTGTACTTGGCCGCTTGATGAACACCGACAATCAGCCTTTCATTCAATCTCTTGTTATGGTCTTCACACACTTATTTATTTCACAGCAAGATACAGTCTTCCAATTCCTTTGCGACTCACAAATAAACGGAAGAAATGGATTGGAAATTTTGATGACTACATGGTGCGAAAACTATGACAGTTTCTCCGGTTACTATACTATTAAAGTCAGGTAACTTGGTATACATGTACCTTAATCCTCTCAATGTGAACTAACATCAACTGTAAACAAATCAAAGTGCTGTTGCTTTATCTAAGATCTTCTTGTCAAGCGATCCCAGATTGCAAAATATCACCGTCAAGGGTGAAATAATCGTCAACCCTAATGGTAAAGTAGATTTTATTACGACAACTTTTTTATTCTATCTGTAAACTTATGAAAACTGTTTTGCATAGGTGGAATTGTTACACGTTCTCGAGCCAAGAGAAGTATGCTATTTGAATAACAGAGAATATTACCGAGAGCAACAAATATTTAATCTATTATCTTGTAGATCCCGATCAATATACAGCCATCCCATTACCTGCTAAAATTATCAAACTGTTAGTTGCAGAACTTACTAATGCTCTCCAAATGGATCAAGCTCCAGCTGAGGACGTTGAATCGATACAAGATGATGAGGTAGATACATTGGAGGATTTGAAAAATGACGAATGTGTTCGCACTGGTATTAACAGTAAAGATTCTTGTAGGACGGTGACTGGGAAGATGTAGACGAACCACCCTTCAGTGCTCGCAATGACTTCAACCTTTTATCAGGTAAAGCCCTTAGCTCCTATATCCTAAAGGGCCATAGGTTTTCTAACCGTTCTGAATTGAAATGTAGAAATGCTCAATAACCTTGACGAAAATGATGATGAGGAAGATAACCCAGACTTGAAGAACGATCCTATTTACCAAACAGATATGAAGGTTTACTTGACAGATTTCTTCCGCAACTGTAATACACACAACATCAATAGCTTCCATGAAATCTGCCAAACACAATTGAATGATGAGGAAAAGCAAACCCTCGAATATGTTCTTGTCAATAATTAAATGAATAATCTGATTTCTTAATATAATAATCATCAATAAAACATAGTTGGATTCATTGACAGCTATCAAAGTCAATGAATTCTGAGTCGCATCCAAATTCAATCAAATAGAATGGGGAATGAATCACCAAGTTAATTAAGAATAATATCAAAATTTCCAATTGGAGAAGGAGGGTTGAGTTATTTGCATCACACCGTGCCAAGTTCATTAACAGAAGTTTGATAGATGAATTGTATTGGCCTCTCCTTTTTGTATTGGATCCGTAACAGTAAACACCCAATAATGTCTGTCATTAATCTGAAATATTTACCGGATGACTTTAGCATCTATCAATTTGAACGCACTTGCAACCTTCCAGCAACTATATTCAAAGCTCCTTGGTATACAGTTTCAAGAACAACTACTGAACTTTCAGTTATTTTGCCCACAAATCATTCAATGAAGCAGCAGAAAGATGAAATTAAGAACGAAGAACATGGCTGGCGTATGTTCCAAGTTGACGCTCAAATGGAATTCACTTTAGTTGGTATTCTGGCCAGCATAGTCGGCCCTTTGAAAGAGAACAACATCCCGGTTTTTGTCGTCAGCACATATGATACAGACTATATAATGGTCAAAAAAGAAAAATTGGCTCTAGCTATTGAAACTCTTAATAAGAAAAGTAATATCATCGTAAGCGATGGCAGATCAGTTTATGATTGCTAAATGCAAGACTAACAATGCCATTTGACACGTACACTGCTGTTGTGCCTATTTCTTTTCTATTCATCTCCGCTTTCGTATGCTTCCCCTTGTTCCTTTATCAATTGTATATATGACCACACATCCATATTACCCAGTAGATCTGATCATTCCGAATTACATTCCAACTCAAAGAACCACACTGGAGATCTTAGTCGCAGTTGGAGTTATTTTTACTCTCTTGTTGAGCTTATGTTATTACAGCGTTACCAGCGAAACAACTTCAGTCAAACGCTTTACGTGGTTTACGATATGTGGATTATTACATCTTGGTTTTGAAGGGTATTGGCTGTACAATAAAGATAGCATTGCTATAAAAACTGATTTACTTGGCGAAATGTGGAAAGAGTACGCCCGAGGAGATTCACGTTACATGGTAGCTGATGAGCTATTGGTCACTTTAGAAACCATGACTATTGTAAAGTCTACAGTCTGGCACTATAGTTGAACATATATTGGTTTTAACATGTAAGCTAATTCTTGTATATTTAGTTCATATGGGGCCCACTATGCTGCATTTCCGCATATTATATCTGGCGTGGTTCTCCTAAGCAATATATTTTCCAAATGGTTGCGTCGCTGTGTCACTTATTCAGTTGTTCGTTGTACTATATTATGGACTTACCAAATGCACCCAACTGTGATCCCCAAGCTTTAACGTTTTGGATATATTTTGTAGCCTTCAATGCTCCATGGATTATTGTAAGATATTTGTTGTCTTTATACAATTGCTTTTTTTATCCCTATAGCTTAACAACTAACAATACTGTTGCTGACAGATACCTCTGTTCCTCGTGCATCAAAGCTACAATTACATCAATGCTGCAACTCTCATCTTCAATAAAATCAAATCCAAATAATAAATACAATACAACCACTAGATTCGTCTTTTTCCTTTTTTTATTTTCGTTTTGTATCAGATAAAATGTCTAAACGTAAAGAGAATTGAAATCAGAAAAGGAAATAGAGGAAACGCAATGCCTTGTATATAACGTAAACACAAAAAGAGAGATATAAAACACTGGAGATTTTGGTTAAATCTATTATACAATAAAATTGGGTGAACGTCAGTATACATAACCAAAGAAGCAAAACAAAAGCAAGATTTTTATTGAGTAGAGCACTTACTTCGTCGATATCGAAATCGAATTCAACTTCGTCACCATCCTCTTCACCACCAAAGCTGGCGTCGGCTTCATTAATCTTGGCTGTATCGGGTAATTCACCATAATTCTTCAAAGCTCTTGCTTCATCAGGGTTATAACGTTGAATGACATCGGCTTTGTTATCTTGGAAATCACGTAAAGATAATAATACGATATCACCTTGGTTAATCCAGACCTTTTTACGTAATTTGCCACGAATGAGTGCTAGACGTTCGACACCATCAAAACATTGTGCCATAACACGACCATTACCCAACATCTTTGTAACTTGGGCATATTCTAATAGTTTAAATAAGTTCAAGTATGTGTGATTACTAAGAAACAGTACGAAAGTAGATAAGCAGTTGTTATTCAAATACCTTGGCCTTCTTCTTTGAAAATAAGCTCACGCTTATCGTTTTCAGTATCGTTTTTTCCTCTTCTTCTGGATTTACCACCCTATTATAGACTGGGCTAAGTATGTTTTTCTATGACTATGTCACCAAATATCTAACTTACTTTTCCCTTGTTCTTAACCATTTTGAGTATGTAGCAATCGGTAAAGTAAAAGGGAAAAAAAAAGACAGAATAATCACTCGAATAAAATGTTATGACTCGCTAGACTGCGGTGTCTCTGTCTCTCACTCACACCTAAAACCAGCTGATATAAAACGATAAATAACCGGTGCAAGTGGCTTGTAAAATTGTACTAAAATAAACGAATCAACGTCCCCCATTCGGAGCATTTTCTCTTCCCTTTCGTCTGATAACTTCATACCGTTCAGAACAATACCTTTTACCATAATCATTATAATGTTATGTGGTTTTTGAAACAATATGATCCCTTGCAAGCAGGTTCTATTGATGGTACTGATATACAACCTCATGATGCAGGATTAGAAAGAGCGGCTCTATCGCACTGTAAATTATATGACGTTTTTTATGTTTTTCTATCATTAAAAAAAGCTAATGCTTCCCCTACTTACACGCCTTAATGTTTTAAAGACCGACCACCGACTGAAAGCATTACCAATCCCCTTTGTACCCTCTTTGTCGGCAGGTTGAGTTTTGAAACTGATGAATCATGTTTAAAGACTTACTTCGAGCAATATGGGGAAGTCTCCAGCACAATAATAATACGAAATAATGGTAATTTTTCAAATGCAATGGAGGCATGTATACATATCAAACTAGAGCGTTCTCTTTCTTTAGTAACTGGCTTGTCTCAAGGTTATGGATTCGTCACATTTGTATCCAAGCATGCTGCGGAGAAGGCTTATAAGTACGCCAATAAAACAAACCTTAATAATCGAACCATTTTGGTTGATTATGAACGAAGCCGACTGATGAAAAGTTGGAAACCGAGACGGTTAGGGGGAGGATTCGGCGGTAGAAAAGAAAGTGGGCAACTAAGATTTGGTGCTAGAGACAGGCCTTTTAGACATCCAGCATCAACTTTAAAGGTTCATTCAGTAACACAAGTTCATATATCAAAGGAACAAGAAAGGTCTGACTGTTGGCGCTCGTCCGAAGAGCATGATCGAGGAAGGAGAAGAACAAGCAGATCCGCTTCGCGAACTTCTCATTCAAGTCATACCTATCACACCGGATCATTCAGAGAAACACAACATCGCCGTCGTCGTCAGTCTTCACGCTCGCCCTCTTCTAGCAGAAGAGAACATAGGGAGTATTATCGATATCGAGAAAGATCTCGTTCAAAATCATCCTCTCTAAAAAGAAAAAGATACAGTCGGCACCGTCATATGAGATCCCGCTCACCTTCTGCAAACGGCCACGGCAAACATAGAAGCGATAGCAAATCTAGCCCCATCCGTCAACACGGTCACCACCGGAAGTAGGCGTAGTTACGAAAGTAACCTTAATTCTCTTTGATTACCATCTTTTCACTTATCTGTGGCAATAAGGTTGGTAAACTCTACTCTTGCAAGCAACTTCGATTACGTTTTGTTTCGTTTATGCGAATAATCATGCCTGTAATCGTCCATTTATCAGTCGCTTAGTTATCTATCTTTTGCTGTGTAATTTACACATAGAATATTATTGTATTTATTATCATTTATTATTATCCTAAACATCGCTTAACAATCTAACAATTGCTGTACGGTTACAGTTTGAAGCACTGTTAGTCTAGAAGGTTATTGGTTTCAAAAACACATAGTCGGATACATCCTTTTGATTTTTTCCTAGTCTTTTTTACCCCGTATCGACGTTACGGTTTTTGGCGCCGAAGAAACTGAACAGCGCCATAATCGAATAGCATTCCAAGATAGTACAAACACTCGAATGGATTCAAGTACTGTGTGTCCGTGCTCCAATCATGAAAAAAAGCATTCAGAATATTGTATAAACCATGGTTTGAATGCGGGTTATTCTGTGTAGTATTATTTAATAATTACAATATAAATTAAGGAAAAGCGGGTGTTGTGAGAGAACCACAGTCAAGTGTGATCTACGAGAAACGCTCAACTTTTGACTCAATCGGAAAAACTTCGAAAAACCATATTCCCGAACTTTCCCCGCGATAAGTTTGCATTAATTTTTGTGTACTTTCCTCCTTTTTCTCTAAAATTCTTCAATACAGCAAAAGCAAAATTGTTCGGACAGACTGAGCAACCATGTCAATAACTACTTCAACACCAATAAAGCCTTTAGAAAAAGTAGATGTACTTGTTAGTGGTGCCGGTCCTGTAGGGTTATATTTTACATATCTATTAGCCTTACAAGGTCATACAGTTTATTGTGTGGACCCAAAACCTGGACCTACAGATCAAAGCAGGGCCGTTCTTATCACATCCCGAACAATGGAAATTCTGGAAAATAAAGGATTAGCAGGAGATATTTCTGCTGATGCAGTAACTTTGGCAGGTTTGCGTATGTGGAATAATGGTAATATTGTAAGTTTTAAGTATCTTGCTAGATAAATCAATCCACCTTAGTCCTTTTAAAAGCTTAACATATGTGTGTGTAGATAGCTCAGGTGGATGGTTTCGGTGACACGCCTTTTCCACAATTTACCGCCTTAATGCAAGGCAAGACGGAAAAAATTCTCGTTGAGCATATTGAACAAAAAACTTCGACCAAGATACGATGGGAACACGAACTAGTGTCGTACATTCAAAATAAACACGGTGTCAAATCAGTAGTACGTAATATACATACCAAGGAAGAAACAACAGTGGAATCAGCCTATATCATAGGTGCGGACGGCACACATTCAGTGGTACGAAAGGGTCAGTCTGATTGGAAGTATGAAGGTTCTGCTATATCAACACGCTTTGCTTTGGCGGATTTGCATGTGTACGGAGAGAACTTGGAACGCTTTAGAGAGAGAGGAAATGCTTTTATGAAGGGATATAGTAAAGTATATACATATGTTGTGAGTTATCAAAGAGAGTCTAAGTCTCATTCATATTATTGCAGAGGTACTTGGTATGGTTCGTTTGAATCCAATGAAATCGACTGACAAGGACAGGCATGTGTTCAGAATATTCGGAAACTTGGAGGCCTACAAGCATGAGAAAGACTCAGATAATATTTCGCATGGCTTACAAAAGCAAGAAGACCCCTTGTCGTTGGATTTCTTTCAAAAATGGGTTGATGAGATGGCCGCACCATTCAAGTTTGAACTTAAAGATTTAATATGGTCCTCTAATTTTAGAATCAATGAAAGAATAGCTAATAGCTTCAGAAGAGGAAGAGCTTTTTTGATTGGAGGTAACAGCATACAGCAAATTATGTATAGTGTTAAGATAAGCAACCTTGTTCAAAGTCAATTTACCTACACACTTTATCTATTCATAGATTCGGCACATTGTCATTCACCATTCGGCGGCCAGGGGATGAATATGGGGCTTCAAGATGGTAAGCTCATAAAGTAACTTACTGCATCTAGGCGTTACGGACGCTCACATTATTTACTAGCTGACAATCTTGCGTGGAAGTTGTCTTACGTCTTGAGAGGAATTGCTACCGACTCTGAAAGATTGTTGGATTCTTATAATGCCGAGGTATTCTATTTGTTACGCGATTTATAGAAGCACCATCTTCAATACTGATCTTCCTTATCTCCTTATAATAAAACAGAGAGAGCCTCGTGTAAAAGCCACTATTAAGGCTACCAGTGTTTCAACAGAGACAGCGACATCAGCCAGTCCTTTAATGGCGTCTATGCGCTTTGCTCTCATGTCTATGATATTGAAGATACCACAAATTCGAACTAAGATTTACAAGACCGTTATGCAACAGGATATTACTATTGACCCCAAAATTGAAGGATGCATTTTGGGTACCTCTGATAAATCATTGATTCAGCCCGGTCAGTTTTTACCTGATACGGGTAATCTCAGACCTGTTCTCATCCAGCATAATGGTGCACTACAACGTAAAACCCTTCGAGAAATCTTAATCGGTCAGCAAAACCTTTCAGCCATATATATCGGTACTTGTCCTGGTGCATCTACACCTAACAGGGAGTTGCTGGAGAAATTTTGGATAGCTACAAGAAGATATTCCAAGTGTATTCATCGTTTAGTCATACAGTCACTATGGTACTCTCATCTAAGCAACACTCTACCCGAGTTTGTTTCAGAGGACGAAAAACTTTCAGAGCAGAACTCTTTTTGGTGCGAGGAAAGAATTGATAATCCTATTTCTCTTACGAACCGTGTTGGATTATATTCTTGGCTCATGTCTTATACGGCAAGCGCAATAGCGCCCGCTGTTATTTTGATTGTTCGTCCTGATTTATACGTTGTTCAGGCTAGATTGGTTTCCAATGAAAACGAATTAAATTCTGCATTAGCTTATTTCACGACTATCATAACTTAAACAGTTACACTTTATCCCCAATTGGTAAATGTTCAGAATAAATCAAAAGAATAAATAAAAAAAAAGTATAAAAAAGTATAGAACCAATCGACTTACGAGTTTGTTTTCGATGTAAAGTAACATTTCTTGAGTTCAAGACTGGTAGACAAATACCAGTGATTTCGTCATCATTCTGAAAGAGGATTAGAAATTGCTAGTGATAGAAAACTAAGAAAAAAGTGTGCAAAGACACCAGTCTTCTTCGGTAATGAGATCTTATAGCTGACTTGCGCCTGGAACAACGAGACGAGTTGACAAGGATGTAAGCCAATTCGAAGTAGTTTGAATGAATAAAGTTTCATTTTAATGAGTTTCTACACCCAAAAGGTAAGTTCTTAATGAAAATTACCTGATGGAGAAAGGCCTACATACAATTTATTATTGTAATGCAAACCTTTGAATTACACCAATTAGAGGATGATCAATTATCATTTCTCGTTGAAAGCATCAATGCCGAGCAATATTTGGAACTGTGGATATTGAACAACCTCGATTTTCAGACACGGAAATACAAAATTGGCGATACGAATGATTAAAAAAAACAGGACGAAAATATTGGCAATTCAAATCGGTAAAAGTAATATTTGCAAATCCTTTATATGCAAAATATAAAGTGTACGTTAAGTGAAAGCCTACCGTATCTGTGCCAAAGAAAAGGATAATAACGGATATGTTATGAACGTGTCCCTGCCCCATCAAAATCAATTATTACAAAGCAGCCTTGTAGGGAACCTTTTGAATAACTTTCACTGTTTTTTCACAGGATGGTCTTTATCAGCAAAACGCACTTTATACAGTTTATTAATTACAGAACGAGCCTGTAATCGTAAACAGATGAAATGAGTAAAATACGTTAATACATGCAAAAAGCCAGAGATAAAATCAAAATACAAAGCTGGCTATTAAACACAGCCGTTTTACATTTTAGGATGCAGAAGGAATAAGAGACGAAAATGAACTAAGTAATATAGCTGCCAGCAGCTCTGTTGGCGTACCAGATACCATGTTATTTTGCAGTTCTCTTATTTATTGATTTAAATTCAGACACCTATTTTGGCACTGTGAAAATAGCCTGTGATATGCATTTAGGGAGCAACTATGACAACTGATCACAGCTATGAGAAATGGAGTTTTTACCAAAAGTACCGATGGCATATGCGTTTGGACTATGCAAATATAGAAGTGTTTACATAAACATTCTAAGATATCAATCTACCGTATCTACGCATCTGTTGAACTGAAATACACGATAGGTGCTATGAGAATGTCGAGGAAGAATTAGTTGAGGGATTAAAGATAATAAATCAACCAATTGTGCTGATGGTAATATTGATACGTAGCGTAAAACAAAACAAAACGAGCTTATATAATTGAGAACGTCTATATTATTAGAGAAAGAAATCTTTACAGGCCAAGTAATTCTCTTCGCACTTATTTACATACTGTCAGCCGATAGCTATACCAGTATACGAAATTACTGAAAATGAGGGCTAGAACGTCAATATCAATTGGCAGACAGTGCATATTCAGCTGGTTCATATGATGCAATTTTCTTGAAAAATTTTAATTGTTCGCTCCATGTCCCCGCCCACATTTCTGATAAACGGTCCGACACGGAATCCGGGGATCGGATACATTGCTGCTGTTGACTTTTCTCTTAACGAATTGAGTAATTTAGAAACTCACTTCCAACGATCTACTTGATACCTTCTTTCTAGCTGCCCCTTCTGTATCCATTTGGTAAAGTTGTCATTATATTTGATATTCATCCATCCATGTACGGATCACTAATATAGCCAATGTATCGGATTTCTCACTATATAATAACAGAGAGATGAAAGATATTTTCAAGTCTGACGAACTCGCCATCCCTGAAGGTGTTAAGGTTTCCATCAAATCCCGTATTGTCACCGTTGAAGGTCCTCGCGGTACTCTCACCAAGAACCTCCGTCATTTGAACATTGAAATTACCGTTGTTGGTCAAAAGATCCGCTTCGTTGTTCACCACGGTCTCCGTAAGCACGTTGCCTGCATTCGTACCGTCCGCTCTCTCGTTAACAACATGATCATCGGTGTTACCAAGGGATTCGAATACAAGATGCGTTATGTTTATGCACATTTCCCCATCAACGTTATTATCAATGATGCTGCTGATGCTGTTGAAATCCGTAACTTCTTGGGTCAAAAGGTCGCTTTCCACGTTAAGATGCGTGAAGGTGTCACCGTTGCTGCTTCCAAATCTCAAAAGGATGAATTGATCTTGACTGGTAACTCCTTGGAAGCCGTTTCTCAATCTGCCGCTGATATTCAACAATCTTGTTTGGTTAAGAACAAGGATATTCGTAAGTTCTTGGATGGTATTTACGTCTCTGAACGTAACGTCATTGAATCTGCTTAAAGAATTCGCAAGTCCTTGTCAAGCCTCCCGTCATAGAATTTTTTAATGCAGATTCGTTTCCTTAATAAAGATACACAACGGTCTTTGGGAAGACGGCAGCAGCCTTCCCACCCCTTATTTTCAAGTGTTGTTTATAATTGTGCGTGCGTGTATAGAGTTTGTGTTTGATATAGTTTTTTGTTGAATGGGTTATAAAGAGCGGCACTACTGATGTAGTTAATATTCCTACTGCTGTATGCATTAGATTATTACAACTTCATCATTATTAGTCGTTCGCGATTATATGCAGTGAATCCGAACCATTGCTAAACTGACAAGAAGTTCTTGTTGCGCTTTACCTTGTGTACGATTTCGGCTCACTTCGTTGTTATCACCACGAAACTTGAAATCGAATTAAAAAGAGAATGAAAAAAAGTACAATTATAATGAAGGAGATAGTGCTGTCGCTACCAAAGCCATTGCATAAACTCTTTATATATAAAGCACGTCCGAATCAATAGAAGCAGCCCGTCAAAACAGATAGGGCAATTCAGAGGACTTGTAAAACACATAGTGAAATAATTTACTCGGTTGAACATTATGGTTAAATATTAAGATAAACGTTAAGTGAAGTTGAATATATTAATAGACTTTGGTACTTTGATTTAAGGATAGATTGGGGCGAGGGAAGGTGAGTATAAATTTTACTGATAGAGTATTTAGAAGGAGTATCGATTAAGGCTTTCTGTTGTTATATTTTAAAGTAAGGATATAAGTAATTTTGCTTTGTGATTCAAAGGCATTGATCTTTTCTCTGTTTCAGGGATAAAAAACTTTTTATCGTTTTTTACCGAACTTGATACCGAAAATCTTCCTCGAGCTACCACTACTGCCTCCGTTAACTACAGAAGAATGTCTCGAGTCACCATCGTAAAACGTACCATCATCTTCTCTATTATTTCTGTTGGCGATACCGTTATGTGACGACATGGGGGTAGGATAACCATTATCACGTGCAGAAGGAGGACGCGAAACATAAGGGGTCGAGCTATTTGACCCACCACTCATATTGTCGTTTCCTATGTAGCCTCTTTGCTGATACCCACCACTATGATGTCCACTATCTCCATCATTGTCGATATTACTTGAACTATGATTAGGTTTTATCGAAAGCATATTGACTTGAGAGTTGATCGAATGCATCATTTCTCTTTCCACGGTTTCAAAAGCAGATGTGAAGGTAAATTTTCTATCTCGTATATGGGCCTCTATCTTGATCTCTGTTTGACCAAAATACATTTTGATCGTCATGAATATTGGCTGCCCTTTTTGTACATCAGAGAACTTCGGCATTTTGATAGGGAATCGAGCGACTTTGAATACTTGAGGGTGAGTGGTTAAACGGGGTATGGGCCCATCGCCGTCATAAGCGAATAAATCTGTATCTGTATCATTCGGATAGGCAATCATAAAGTTCTTTGAAACACAATAATCGACACTAATGGATTGTCCCTTCTGTACATACACGCTAAATCGCTGTTTACAGAACAGTCGATTATCATCACCTTTAATACATTGCTCAGGTGGATCATGTCGTGGATCAAACACCATACGTGTTTCTAAACCATAAGTACGTCGCGACACACGTTCTGTAACCATATGAGGATTAAGCCCAAAATAGACCGCACCACGTACCACAGCCAATTCACCACGAGGAGGTACACCAATGAAGCCTACTCGGGACTGAAATTCGGCTAGGACACGTCGATATAAATATGTCGATTGACCAAATCCACCAACTAAGAAAATTGCGTCAAGTTTAGTGGTTGAAAGCTGGACTTGTTCTTCAATCAGATCAATGACCTGGTTAATAACAGGTTCAAATACTCTTTGTCGTAATTCATGGCATGGGATGTGCAGTGTACCGTCTTCAATACCAGCTTCAGGATCGTCCACACCTTCTATACCCAGTGCTGCAGGTAATGCTAGATACTGATCTTCATCTCCGTCAAATTCAGGCTTTTTTTTTTTTGGTAAAAAAAAAAGTTAATTGGATCAGTATCAAACAACAATGAAAAAAAAGGCATTCTTCCCTTAACAAATTAAGGAAAAGGAGGGAAAAATACACAGTAAAGGAGATTGCCAATATATCACATAAAGGAGTTTTTCCTTTAATCTTTTGTTTACCTTGATCGTATCAATGAAGGTCTCCATCATAGACTCCATCGCAGTATCACTTATTTTACCATGATGGTAAAATCTATCTTTCAAATATTCTCTCATTCTAATATCCAAAAATGTCGAACCACAAGAATCACCCGAACCCTTTGTCACTTCTTTCAAGGCTCTTCGTTCACCAGAATCGTCAATTTCGAATACAATTAAATCTACTGTTCCACCGCCAGCATCACATATCAAAAATCGTTGACCATGTCCCAGATTAAATTGATCACATTTCTTTTCACAATAAAGTGCCGCAGCTTCAGGTTCACTGATAAGCATAAGGCGGTTGGGATGATCCCATCTATTGATAATGTTGGCACGAATGGCTGCTTCTCTCATTGTTGCTTTGGCCTGATCACTCCACATGGCAGGTACTGTTAGACAATAACGGAATTTACTCTGATCATAGTTATTGGCAAATCCACGCTGAAGATCTTTGCAAACATGGGAATGAAAAGCTTCCAGATAATCAGTGATGGCTTCCAAAGCAGTGAGGCCGTTGGGTAAAGGTGGTAGATTGAGATTCTCATCTAGCTGTAGTTTGAATCGCGAAAGTAGTTGATCGTTATTGTTGCGTTTCATAGCAGTCTTTTTGGCATCTTGTCCCCAGGCTACTAACTTTGTCGAACCATTTCGATAAAGCGATAGTGTAGGTGTTTTAGGATATACGTTTTGTTGTTTTGGCCTACGTACAAACGTATATAAATGTACATAATAAGTATACTTTAATGTACACTTTTAATTAATTTTTGCAATATAAAATCTCTCGTTCTGATATGAACCATTTAGTAATATCGATAATTTCATCATTTCCATCTTTTGAGAAAGCATAACAACAACCTGAGAAAGTTGTGCCAAAATCTACAAGAAAGAACGTTTGAGAAGATCCAAGATATTATTAGTCTGCTGCATCTCCTTAATATTATTCTATTTTATTTTTTTCAGTTTCAAAGGTAACAATAGACAACGTGAAAATTGCCAGACTCTATGGTGGAACAAATGACTTTACCTATGCCGATAACGTAAGAATAATCTGACGGGTCAAAGGATGGTGTATCCATAGAAGACATTGTTATTTAGTTGTATCGAGCTTTTCGGTCGTTTTGTATATAAAAATAGCAGAGCCGTCTTCGAAATAGATTAGAATTTTCAAATAAAAAGAGCTGCGGTACGACTATATTTTTATTCTGCTCTAAAACGAAAATAGAGAAAACAGAAGAAGAAAAAAAAGGGAAAGTAAAAATCAACCAACGATAAAATGCTCCTTTTTTTATTCTTTTGAACAGAAAATGATGTATGAAGTTCCACCAAGAAATGAGAAAAATCAAAGGCCAGGTACATCAACTTAAATTTCAGACTTATAATCTTTCTTACTTTTGAAGGCCAATTTTGTACACAAATGTGAATCAATTTAATTTAGTCTATAAATTAAACGCGCCTGACGCTCATAATAAACTCAGATTTCACCGACATATCTTTTGTACGTTGAGCTCTATGGCAACACAATCAAATAGCGTATGGTTGGAACGCCTTCGTATAAGCATCTGATCTCAAAGCTCCTACAAGGGGAAAAACAGTTTGAATTATGACTCGTATCCTTCAGGGAAGTGGAAAAGTTTAGAAACTATAGTTTATAGAGCAATCTGATGGTCTCTTTTTTGGACTTCAAACATGTCGTTTTTGGCAGTTTTCGATTGATGCTTTATAACTTATACGACTTAATTGCGGCCCTTTTAAGCAAACTTGTATCAAAAATACTGCAGATTAGGATTTCGTTCTAGCCATAAAGACGCGAGCCGTTTGATAGCGCAAACGGACATTAACGTTTGTTGATGAGTGTATTGAAATTTCCTGTCCCCAAGAAATATGTCCCTAAGTGTGTTTTTAGCGCCGATATCAGACGGAACAGAATAACGGTTGAGTGGTCATAATGATAGATACTTAGCCCAACTCCTTTCTCTGAGACAAATTACAATCTGTTGTTTTCTTCTCAAGCGTAAAACCATTACCTTTGTGTTAGAAAAGTGCATAAAATGTTTGCATCTCAAGCACAGCAATACAATCTAATTTCGAAACCACCGTAGTTCGCACTTAAGGCCCTAGCATATCAAACTGACTAAAATATATGTCTTTACAAGAGAGACTTTAATGGGGGCCTGAATTTATCACATAACATTCTTCGATAACCTCTAAAGTATTGTTTCGCCTTCTTTGTTCGAAATGCCAAATACCTGAGACGAATACTATTCAACATGCTGCATTGATTCCACAAAGCGCAATTTATTGAAATCGAAGTGCAACTGAGATACCTGCGTCTTGTCCAGCTATTAGCATCATAGTGCGAAAGCTATCACTTTTTTTTTTTTGTTCTCTTTTTTTTTTTTTGTTCTCTTTTTTTTCCCCGTTGAAAGCCGTCTATTCATAAGGCATAAAAAACTTTGTTCGCAAAAATAAAGAGAAGATTTAAAGTGGGATTTAAGGCAGTTGATATTGAAACAAGCTGCAGAAAAACAGAGTATAAAGCCTCGCCCATTCAATGCTTATTGTAAAGCTTGAAAACCTTTATGTTACCAAACTTCAACAAAAATAATTTAAAAGGACACCAAACTTTTATTATATCATACATTGCAAAGAAATTGAAAACTTGTTGTAGTAGCCCTTATATAAAATGTCTATATCAAATCTTATTTCTTTATTACATATCCTCGATATACTCTCGTTATCAGGAACCTATTGCTTTTCAACAAAATGAAATAGTTAGATAAGACATTACATTACAATTCAACATGAAGGAAATATACAATGTGATACAATAGCGCTTCTGGAATTTTTTTTTTTTGGTTAAAAGACTGCAAGAGAAAAAGCGGAAGAGCTCATGAAGTATGAATACTTTGAAAAACAGGTATCAGGTTTCTGATTAAATGAAAGTGCTGCTCGTTGCGGTTTTAAAAGTCGCATTGCCTGTAGATTCAAGGCATAACTAACATAATACTGAGCCAAAACAGTATTTTTACAGCAGCTCATCAGTTCAGTTTGTTAGTTTTTAAATTATTAAACCACTCTATAGGGTTATTTTCGTATCAGTGCAAGGTATTGAGTGTTTCGTTTTTGTAGTGATATACACTCGCATAATTGTCGCTTTCGAATATATCAGACTCTTGCTGTATAAGCTTTAACTTCTAAATATCATTCTGGTGCAGTAGGATTCGGCATGGCTTCAACACATTGTTCATTCGACGGAAGCGAAACTATCTCGGCCATGCAAACATATAGAAAGGCGGAGGAAGTTTTACGCATGTTACTCGCGAAGTTATTAGTACTTCACTCTCAAACAGTGAGGAATAGAATTCTCAAAGAGGCGGATTAAAGTTCAAAAGTGTGGACTATGGCAATGACAACTGAGACATCAAAATAGCAACGGGTTGTACAGTGCTAAGTGTGGAAATGCGATTGCCGATCATTTTCGCTAGAACATTAAAATAAACGGAAAGTAAACTTTACATATATGCTTGAAGAGCTATTCGTAGTTTATAACAATAATTTGGACTGATCCGTGAAAAAAAAAAAGAAATACCAAACAATTCGAATCAACAAACACGATTGAATAGTTATCGTGCTTGTCATAGAACTGTTATGTGGATGGACACCTTTTTCATGTCACATGAATGCTTTTACTGATAAACAATAAAGTTATGGTTGCATGGCAACAAAAAACTCACGAATAACGCAAGCTAATTCGTTTGACGTAAAGTTTATGATGGAACGTGACTTAAACCTGCGTGTGTATCGTATGTCTTAAGTTTCGATCCAATATCAAGTATTTGTTTGAGATTCTTATTTTTGGATTCTTTTCTTTTCACACCTTTCTTCTTCATTTCTTCAAAAAATTAAAAAGATGAAAATTTGCCTTACCGCTGCGGCTCTTCTATTAGTACTTACTGCTCATAATGTATCTGCAAGATTCTTCTATTTGCCAAGCTATTTTTATCATTATACCTCTTCTGTTGATAATAAATCACCTTTCAGTCCAGCACAAGAAATATCCTCATCTTCTACTTTATTCATAGCTAATGGTATAAGCAATGTTGAAATTGAAAATTGTGGTAAGTTTGCATTAGTTAGCTATTTGGCACTTTCGCCAAGAAAGTAGGTATGTAATCAATGAATGTAATATTCTCCAGGTATCGAATCCGACAGACTGCATATCAGAGATATCAAGATTAGTCCCGAAATTGTTGTTCCAGGTGGCGAGTTGACAATTGAAGCTACTGGTACTTTGAAAGAGGACGTCGGACCCGGAGCTGAAGCAATTGTCGATGTCAAATTAGGCAGAATCAAATTACTGCATAGAAAATTTGATATCTGTGATGAGTTAAAAAAAAATGAGGATAAAGTCGAACTTCAATGCCCTATTCAAGAGGGTGATCTCACGGTAACCTAGGTTAAATCAACTGTTCATTCGGTTAAAAAGCACTATGCCTCATCGTATTTCTCTTGACACAATTGTAGGTCACACAAAAGATCACATTGCCAAAAGAAATTCCTAGGGTAATGTGTTTCGAAACTTTATCCAATGTCCTTCTACATGTCGGAAATCCACTTGCTGTACACGAACAGAATCTCACTAACTGAGTATCTTGTTAAAACATACTGTTCATATAGGCTAAATTTTTGGTAGATGTCCTTGCCTATACTTCGAATGATGATGACTTGGCTTGTCTCCGTATTGCTGTAGATTTCCGCGTACGACGGAGACATCTTAGCAGTCAATTCTGGGAAAGTGAAGAACCTATTGAGTTTGGTGGTGAAGACGAGGACTAAAGAATAAATAAAATTTGAAAGTGGATTGTACAAAGCAGACAAGCAGTATTCTGAACTGTGTATAATTTACATTTATTCATATACCAATGGTTTTTATACCGCATCAACCAATTAGGCTTATTGCCGTAGCTTATTCGTAATAGCCTTTTCGCCGCTTGTCTCTATTCTTACAGATGTTAAAATAAAGTGTAATTACCTTCATAGACATTAAGGAGTAAGCTTATGCTGTTTAATAAATAAAGATGACATAGTTTATCCAAATTATATACAAAGGTACCATTCGTGGTAAATCAATTTTCGCAAAGAAGTCCATTTGGAGCATATGTACATTACAAACGAAATAGAAGTGTTTAAAAGCATATTTTTATCGGATAATTAACAAGGTGCTTTCCTTAATCGTCCCTTTTCTTCTTTTTTAATTTGTTAGCTTTCTTTTCGTCCTTTTTTCTACCTCCAAACTCCTCGTCTAATTCTTCATCGAGGATGTGTTCGCCCCGCGAAAATCGCGTTACTAACTTATTCTTTGATATATGTGGGAAGAGGTCACCCCAATTAGACTTCCTGGCATCTCGGTATTCGACTTTTCCTTGAGATTTAGGGATAATCATGCGCTGTACTTCACCTGTTTTGGCAAAGATATCCATAATGACATGACCCTTCTTCTTGATAGGAGGTTGAATAAGGCGTGGCCATGAATAGGCTTGCACTTCCATATTTTGATCATTGCCCTCTGATGTAACAGTAGGTCTTGGCCCTCTACGTAGAATAACATAAGAGTATTTGATATCTTCTTTATTTGATTTGGAATGTTTGGTTTTCATCAAGAAGGCAGGGCGTTCCAATTGTTGGCTAAAATGACTCCACATTTTAGTGATGTTGGCTTCAGGAGAATATAGAAGTGGACAAGGATAATCATGAGGATACTAAATACAAACGATTAACTTCTACACTATATGCAGCAATAAGAAACATTTTGACACTTACAGGAGCTACGGTGTGAACCTTATTGAGTCCTTCTAGATTTAAGATCCATTGTCTTGCCATAGCAATATTCTTATATCCAACAGGTGTACCCTTATCAATCAAAACCTAGATTCCCAAAAATTAATTCTCGACAGATAAATATCTTAACATTTCACAACTGACACTCTATAATTCCAGTGTACTTACCAACACATCATCTGTTTGCTTCCATAATTGTTCAACAGTTGATTTTTGAATAGCTTTGGAAGGTAAATCGCCTAAAGTAAACGTGCTGACAACCAAATCATTCTTTGGGCTGTTTGGGTTGAATGATAGGAACCGTGAAAATTCAATAGGCTGATCTTTTTCCTTTTTGATATAGCCTATAAGTTTTTATTAAGTATATACAAATGCTAAAGCCTTCTTTTTTATGTGTTTTGTTCAAGAACTTACGCTCTAATTTTTCGGCAACTGATAGCATTTCTTCTGAAAGATCGACTCCCATACAACGTTGAATGTCGAAAACTTCCTTTGCAGCCCTATTGCAGAACAATGAAATGTATTTTAAATAAACCTTTCTCTCTTCAGTATATACTCTATTCGCAAGTTTCCTATCGGTTACCAAATAGCCGTTCCTGGCCCGGTGCCGAAATCAAGCATTGATTGTGGTTTGAAGCTGGGCATACGTTTCGCTATTTCTTTCATTACACTATAGGTGGCTGCAAAACTGGATGGAAGCAGACCTGCTGCATATGCAATTGATTCCCGTGCACCATAGGTGATTCTGAATGGCTGTTCTGGCTGCTGTAGTTGCCCTGTTCTTTTTCCTTTAGAAATAACATCACTTGGCTTCGGTGAACTGTAACGTAATTGATATGATTTAAAAATTCGTAAAGCGTCTTCTCGAATAAGTGGTTTCTCATGTTCTATATCATATGAAGGACAATAAGAAAATTGAATAGAGTTACGTCGATTTTCTTGGAATGAAGTGCAGATCCCCACTATGTGTGCAAAATTTATTTTACCATACCTTCAATTAAGGCAGATATACCATCAATAAGCGGCTTGGGAAGTTGAACCCTGCCGATTCGTTTACTTCCAAATTCAGCCTCTTTTGAAATTCGAAAATAGTCTGTATCGTCATATGTTTCCTCTTTGAGCTCTTTTACCAAAATCTTTCTATTGAAGCGTACATTGAAGGGTTGTTATTAGAAAACTTCTTATTGTGTTTACCCAGGAACCTAACAGAACTGCTTTAATTACCCTTCTTGATTAAGATCGAGCGATTGCAGTTCTTTCTCAGTCAAAAATATTGCTTTTTGGGAGGTCGAATAAGACCGAGCCAGAAGGAATCTTTTTGCGAGATGCCTGCAGAACATACTTGCACTAAATTAGCTAAAGCAAAGAAGCAAGGCTGTGAAAGACAAGGAAGATTCGGTTTAACCTGTCAATAAGCCAGGCACCTACTTATTTTGCCCCGCTGGAAAACGGTGCATAATACGTTAAAATAAAGTTTCATTGGCGAATTAATTAAAACTCAATAGGCACACAGATAAACTACTTGAACTGAAATTGCCTTGGGCATATCAAAAAGTCATAGAATGGGAATCATAAAACCCTTGAAAGGAACAAGGAGAGGGAGATAGTGGATCATGAAGCTGACTATGGATAAAAAGACTATCTAGTATTGATGGTTGCGAATGCATAAAGCCAGTCTACGAATAGTTGTCTTAACTTTTTTTGACAGGGAGGGAGGCATTTTCTGAGATGAAAGAAAAAGTTCAGTAAAAGACAAAACGGAAGCTAAACACCTTGTATCTGAATATCAGCGACTTTATCCACAGGCACGACAATTTATGAGATTCAGAGCATCCCTAAAAAAGCAGGATACTGTCTAAATAGAAGGATTGATAACGTCCAAATGGCAACCTTCTGATTAAATTTACCAATCGTCTAATATCTAACTTGAAATACTGTAGCTTCCCCTACTGCCTATTCAACTCTTCACTTAAGAAATTTTGCTGCGAGGCTATTTCATCGCTCAGTATTGCATTGATTCTACGCGTATTAAACGCATAAAATATTCAAGCTGATTATTTAAAAGAGAGCTTAGAATAATCAATCGTTACGGCTGAAAGTGCATCACTAAATTTCATGGCTTTATGGTACCTGCAGAAACACAGTTCACATTACAACAGACGAAGGCGCCTTTCGCTTCCTCTTCTTTTTTTACTTCCCAATAACGATGTCGCTTGTTTGAGCCTGGTCCAAAGCTTTAGCAACAGAAAATGCAGATTTGGAAGGTTAAATTTTTATTTATGTCGCAGAAGTTGATGTTAGGTAGCCTATGAAACTTTACAAAAAGGCAGAAGAGGACGAAGGAGGACGTTACGCACCCAAAAGACTTGATTAATACTGCATATTGCTACTTTACAGGGTCTGTTGTGCAGATAAAACTTAAGACATAGTAAAGAATCCTTCTTACCTCAAACTACATAATTCTAACAAATGCTGACAGCTTAGAGTCTAAAATAATTCATGACAGTTAACACTTTTCAGACACTTGTGGGACGATCTGAAACAATGTCTTTTGCCGAACCGTGGCGCATAGTAGTCTGAATATAGTTTTATCTTCGGGATCATCAAGATACTGCATCAATAGCAACTGAGGTGCAAATATCTTAAAGCATCCAATACACAATAAGTTGTGAATAATATGATATATTACTAAATGTGAGCTTCAGAAGGCTTTATAAACGCATGGAAATTAATATAAGTACAAAGTAACAAAGGTGTTTCTATATGAATATGAGCATTTATACATTAATATATGATATTTGCATGATTGTGCAATTAATGACAAGACTTTGCGTCTTCCGATATTATGAGTTATTTGATAAGGCATCTCTTATTCCCACATCTGCATCCGCTTCTTCTTCTGGAGCTGCATTTTCTGACGAATACATGCCGTTTTCTGTTTTTGGTAATATTTCATCAGGTCTCTATGTGAGTAAATAACAACGAGAAAAAGTAATAAATGAGTGAGCGTCGAACTTAAATGTCTATTAACTATTGATCTATTGCATTTTATTCTTCGCTTACAAGAGCACTACGTAGCATTAAAGCTTTTAACTCATCTAAGGAAAAAATCCAAACAGACTAGTCAATAGAAGAATTAGCATTCTTTGACGTTTGATTATAAGCTTACCGAATTTTGCATCGCTTAACGGTGAAAATTGAATCGGATATGTATCGTATAAATAGGTATCTGATATAGATAGCTGTGCGCATTGATATGACAATTTTGCAAAAACACTCTTATCCAGCTTGTATAATCGGTAAGCCTCTTTGTTATAGCTATGTTTTTCCTTTACTTTTTCCAATACCGCTTTTTTAAACATGCTTTTCACATAATGCAGAAGGTGGAAGATGTAATCCTGATATGGCCGCCACACAGGAAATTGCTGTGATATATTGACTGCTCCATTAGTATCCACGAGAGGATGAAACATGTCATTCAAGAATCGGATTGAAGGTCCTTTATTGGGGTATTCATGTGGTATATCAATGATGAATTTAAACGCGCCTGATCGATAGTACCCTTTATGTACAAAGATGATGCCGTACCATTCATAAAAATTCTCTTCTGACGGTAATACATATATGCCTAAAGGACAATGGTTTGGATTCCTCAGGTTGATATACTCTGTCATTAATTCATACCGCTTAAAGTATTCGGATGTCGTTAAAGGAGAGGATAAATCATCATTCGTATCTGTACGATGTTGCTGCTGCTGTTCGTTGTTAGTATTAGTGCTGTTATTACTGTTGCTCCGATTGAGATAGATTGATTGAAAGAGGTTTCTTATGGCTCCTCCACCTCCACCTCCACCTTCTCCTGAATTCTGTTGTTGCTGCATACTTCTTCCTATATTACTTGATCTGCCTATAGCAGCGTTTTTCGTTCGATCGTAGACCGAGCCCACAAAAGAACGATTTGACGACGTAGCTGATGTCGCAGAGTACAGACTACTTTTCCTTTTTGGCGTAGGAGGTATTGAATTAAACTAAAAAAAAAAAAAAAAAAATGAATATCCAAGGTGTCAAAACTTTAGGAAGAAGGTTCAATCCATCCATTTCTTAGCGACATTCTGCACTTACATTACTCATGAGATCTGAATTATGCTTTTATACAAAGCCGAAAATGTCAATAAGCTAATTTACATACCTGAAATTTAAATGGTGCTACAGTCTTTCGGTTTAAATTCAGACGTTTTCAAATAAAAATTGGATTTATCCATTAAGCAAATTTAAACAATTCGTGAATAATTTCCGACTACATATTTCTAAAATTCGGACACTTTCAGTAAACTCCACAATGTTATTCCGTTGAGCCTGTCTTCTTCATAGCTCTTGCGGGAAGCGGCCGCCTTAGATTAATTATCCATCACAGAGATTGTCTTTGCCCTTTCCATGTCCCACGCCTCACCGATGTGTGACTAATTATTCTTTTCAAATACACATCTCTGATAATCTCTGGCAATAACATTGCTGCATAAATTTTCTTCAAGTAAAGATATATTGAGTTATGACTTGTCATCTAATCTTCTATGATCTTATTTATCAAATGTTGTGTGTTTATGGAGTGGCCTTTTTTACCCATTATTCTTTTCTTTCTGCTTGATAATATTATCTAATGCCGTCCAAAGAAGCCAAAAACTACTGGAAAGAAAAACTCCAAATGAAACGGCTCGAGTTGAAAGAAGATAAACTAACACTAACAGACTGCATCTAGTACGTGTTGTATTTGCTTAATTAAAGATTATAACTGTTGTAAGTCGATGACTATGAACTTAAGTGTCTTTATTGTTCTTCAGATGAAGTAGAAAGCATGTTGACAGAAAAGGTATAATCCCAAAAACTAAGCTTGGTATCCTTTGTTAAATTAATGTAAATTTAAAGTTAAGCGCAAAAACAGTGCAACAATATGATATGAAATTGAAGGACCCGCATATAGCCTTCAAAAACTGAACGATCAAATGCATTCTTTAAAATTCGCCCTATTAAGTTGAGTTAATATACTATGAACCCTTTCTAGAATCTAACTTATCGGCGCTCTTCTTCATCTGCAATGTTAAGTAATTTCGCGAATTTTCAGTGATATAATTTCTGTCAATTCAAAGACTATCAATAAAAAAGGATGTAGTTTACGTTTGTTCAAACCTTCGAAGCTGCTTTTTTTCGGATAGAATTGTTATCAGCATTTATTGTCGGTAAGTACACCTGTGCTTTAGATTGGAAGCAATTAACCATCTCGGAGATCAGTGTTCTTCATTATCATCTGTAATAGTACGTTTTTCTAGAGACGCCCTTCCAATGAACACTCGTGATAAGCGCCTCGGAAATGTTGAAATGGTCGGCTTCTAAAGTTCAAGTTCCCTTCCTTCACTTCGGCGAGGTTCTATCTTGAGACTGACTTTTAGCATGACATTCGACAGCATTGTGTTGATCGATACAGCGGTATTTCAGCTTTCTGTTCTGTTTCTCGGCGTTTCAGCGTATCTCAAGAGTTCCTACAGTACTCGCAACTGAATCTCTCATAATATTTTCCTGTAAGCACACCATTCACTCTGAATCGAGATGAGGATTGATAAACCCAGCATTATTATCTAATGAATTATGTATGAGCTATAAGTTCCAAGATATCATTATTGGATTCAGTCTTTTTACTTCTTCGTTTAGCGACGCCTGGCGATTTATTAAACTGTGTAATCGCAGGATATACTTGTCCCATCGATTTATCAATATTAAACAACTTCATATAACGCTTACAATAATGTGGGTCTTCCTTACACTTTCGGAAAATATGCACAAATTTGTGCCCCACGCCTAACTTAATACTTAATGCCCCGCACATCAGAAACGAATACCTACGAACAACAGAGCGTTCTATCCTCATGATCAATTCAGGAAATAGCAAAGCTTAAGAGAAACCTTCATTTTTGATCGTACCTTTTTTGACCGGTTTTTTGAACCTCGTGTACGATAACAATCGGCCTCCTTTTGATTACGTCGATCAGAGATACTGAGCAATCTTCTCTACAACTAAGCAATTATATATTTTATACAAATCATATTTTTATTTACTTGTTTCGAAAAAAAGTGAAATAGACTTACCAAATCATAAATCTGGCACTGAAAGAACAACTGTTAATACAGGCGAAGTTCTAGCAGAAAACTTCCAAGTCTGTTACTACTACTACTATTATTCTCTTTTAACAGTAAGTACGTACTTTCAAGTACTGTTGATATTATTTGATTATTGGTTTTTTTTTTCGCTTTCAGAATCCGCGCATTTCCTTTTCTGACGAGTGAACCAACTGCTATTCTTTGTAATAAACCTCGCTTTTTCTAAAACGGCAAGATCGATTCGATTAAAAAAACGTAATGGACGATCCCAACGCTGATACAGAATGGTAAATTAACCTGTGGATACTCTATCTGGAACAGCGAAAAGAATTGATAGATCCTCTGAGATAGGAACGATATTTTACGTGCTAAAGGAATTCTCCCACCCAAAGACGAAAAAAGAGATGATGACCTCGAAGATGCTTTTGTTGAAATGGTGAAAGCTAGAGAAGCCAAGTTAAATAGCTTAGAAAATAAGGAACTTGATGAGTTGGACGAATTAGAAGACTTGGAAGATGACCAAATATTGAACGAATATAGGTAAACCAAATCGAGAAACGAAGGGGCAAGTAAAAGGCAAAGGTTTGCGGAAAAGGACTCATCTTTTCCATCAATCAAAATGTTTTGTTTAGATATAAACGTATGATGGAAATGAAAGCACAAGCAGTTAAAGAAAAATACGGAGAGGTGACCGAGATATCAAAACCTGAATTCATTAAAGAAGTAACTGAGGCCAGCAAGGAGTGTTATGTTGTTGTTCATTTGTATAAAGACTAGTAGGTTAATGCAAAGCTGATATTTCATGCTTTGACTCCTCCAGCACAGCAGTAACCTATTCTCTCGTGTTATAGTATCCCAGTGTGTAAATTAATGAATCGTTGTTTATCAGAATTAGCACAACAATTTAAAGCGACCAAGTTTCTTAAAATCGTCAGCGATCAATGTATACCAAATTATCCTGATTTCAACGTTCCAACGTTATTGATCTATGGAGATGGAGATATAAAAGCAAATTTAGTGGGAGCAGTTCAGTTTGGCGGCATGAAAATGACAACAAAGAGCCTTCGTGCTTTATTGGCTACATATGGTGCAGTTCCAGCTGATAAATCTGAAGACGATGATGAAGATCGAAAGACAGCGCCCAAAAAGTCCATTTATCAATCTAGGGCAACAGCAGCGCTTAGTAGTGATGAGGAGGAAAGCGATAATGACAATGGATATTATTAAAACAAGTACTTAATATGGATACTTTACCAAATAGATTACTATTAATATTCCTTAGTCTGATGAAAATCTAGCTTCATTTTTGATATGATAACGATATTATAAGCATTTGGGAATTTATTCTTTTGATTTTCTACCTTGATAAGGATTTTACTTTTATTATTTATGTCTCTCGTCGAATCAAAAGAATATCGGTTAATATAGCGAGAGATTTGGTTGTTGCATCGTATGTAACTTGCAACGGGTTCATATGTCTCTTTGAATCTTGCTTTTCGGGAAGCCTTGACTTAAATGTAACGACCTATGTTTTGCTAATGGCACTAGTATGCAAAGGAAGACTATACAACTTACAGCTGCCAAGTAAATATATGGTTGAATGAGAATAAGGGCTTCACATGGAAAATATAATTTATTGTTATACTGCGAAACGAAACAGGAATGGCCTTTGAGGATTGCTCAGCTTTTAAGAACAATTATTGAAAGCTCATTGAAAAAGAGTTTTGATAACGGTGAACGAAAAACACTGTTGAACTGCCTATGTCTTAATTTTTGTAAAAGCTGCAACGTTCGTTCTTTAATCAACTTCAACAGAACAAAGGGATTGATGAGAACGATTGATTTCAGAAACAGTATAGAAAGTTCTCTTTGTCTGTTTTCTATTTAATTTGGTGATATCAACTTAGACAGTTGTGTCTTCTTGAGATTCACCGTTAGGATTTTTGTTGATGCATTTTTATTGTAAACAAACTGTACGGTATCAACAGCTTCGACGCTTTCGAAATACATATTTTTGAAAAGAATTATTCTTCAAAAATATACAAGTGCTAAGCACGACTGATGGATAATTTTTGAAAGCTCGCCATTTCATTGTTTAAGCCCATTCTCAATTTCAATTCAAAAGTAGAGGCCGTTTGTAGTGAATTCAAAAGCCTAGCGGATCAGCAAATGACATTGATGCGGTACTCAATCAGTAATGTGGGGGGAAGCAACCCTAATTTATGCAGCCAAAAGAGAATGACTTCAGATCTACCATGCCAAGTTAACTTCAGTCAAGGTTGTTACTAGAAAGAATCAGGAGTATGCCTATGGTCTTGATGCTAAGATTCTATGTCTTGACTGATACGGCTACAGAAATAAAAAGAAGCCATCTTATTTCACTCGTACAACGAAGAAGCCCTATTTCTATGGTTAACAATTATTAAGGCTAATCATCTGTGTGCAAAGGACATTAAGTATAAAAGCCGAATTCTTAATGGGGATATATACTTTTTTGAAAAAATCAAACTAAATCTCTTCAGTAGAAGGACGAACGATGGTGTGAGGAAATTCAATGAACCAAAGATGGAAGCGTTGGTTATTGGCTTAGCTAAATCTTTTCCACGCTTTATTATTGCGATTGTAATTCATGATCCAAACCTAAATTTATGACAATGATGTAGTGTCGTGGGTTTCGGGAACCTTAATTAAAAGTAGTGTGTACTGGGTGTCCAAATGGAGAAATTATATAATAAGGTTGTTCTTACACCAAAAAAACAAAATAAAACATACATATGTGTATTCAGATAGATAGACCTATGTAAAGAAACATCAACATGCTGTTTACTGCATCTTTTTTTCAATTCAGTGCATTCGTGATGAATTTCTTCTCTGTTTAATATTAGTATAGCATTAGTATCTATTGATCGAGTAGGAAGTCCTACATAATGAATGAAATGGCAGAAGGGCAGAGTTTTGACTTTACTGACATCCTTTAAACATATATACGCCGGTTTTTATACCCCTTTTTAGAATTACTGCATTTACAGCTCGGTGGTTTCCTATTTGGTTGTAAGTTGAGGTTTTCTTATTGCACTGGTTCAATTGACAGATGCTCAAACACATATTTGAACAACATACTTCCATCCAGACGATTTCGGTGTAACAAGTGGCGTTATGGCTATGCCACAATTTCAAGATTATTTTAAACCACTGACACCAGCTATCAAAGGTGCCCTAAACTCACTCATGGGATGTGGTGCTGTCTTTGGCTGTTTGGCAGCCGGTATCTTTTCTGATCGATGGGGTCGTCGTGACAGTATCTATGGTTTCGCCCTCATTTTTATCGTAGGCGGCGTACTTCAATGCGCTTCACATAATATTGCAATGCAGTTGGTGGACTGATTCGTATCTGGTATTTCTGTAGGCGCATGCTCTGTTTTGTGTAAGGCTTCTTCTGTAATCATGAGACTGAAGGGTAGGGAAGGTAACATGAGATACTGGTCACTATTTGATCCATGTATACTCATTTATTTAGTTCCCATGTATAATGCCGAGTTGGCTCCAAAAGAGATTTGTGGTCGACTGACTGGTTTCCAACAGCTTATGATTGACGCGGGTATGCTCATTTCGGCTTGGCTAGATTACGGTACCATGTACGTCCAAAGTGATTGGTCTTGGCGGATTCCATACTTGGTCCAAACTATTCCTGCCATTCTATTAGCAGCTTGCCCGTTTATTTTACCTCGCTCACCCCGTTGGTTGATTGAAAAGGGACGTACAGAAGATACTCTTGATGTGTTGGCCAAGGTTCACGGAAACGCCAATCGTAACCACCTTTGCGTGCTGCAAGAATTTAACGAAATCAACGACAATATACAACTAGAAAATAATGTGGCCGTTGACTCGTACGTTCGTATGGTCAAAGATCCTCGCAACCGTCATGTGCTGTCGGTAGGTTGCTCTGTAGCTATTTTTCAACAATTAACAGGCGCCAATGTCATCATGTACTGTGCTGCTTTCATGTTTCAACAAGCTGGTCTTAAAGCATCTCTCTCTGTTGGTCAATGGTATTGATTATGCCGTCATGGTCATCTTTTATGTACCAGGCATGTATCTTGTGGATAAAGTAGGCCGTGTTAAGCTCATGGTAATCGGTTCCATCGGTATGTGCTGTGGCTTCTTTATCATGGCTGGTCTCTATGGTGGACTAGGGTATACAGAATGGAATGAAGAGCAATCGAGTCATGTCATCAATATGAGTAAAAATCCTGCTGCTGATTGTGCAGTGATTGCTTTCATCTTTATTTTTGTCGCTTTCTATGTTACCACTTGAGCACCTGTCGCTTGGATTTACATAGCAGGTAACAAAATTCAAGTCGATGATTCAAAATGGAGTCCATTAGAAGACAGTATGAAAAGGACCCATATTTTCTCCAATGATACTTTCCAAGAAATTTTCCCTCTTCGCATCCGCAGTAAGGGTTTTGCTCTGGCATCGGCTATTCTTTGGGTTGGTAACATCTTGGTGGGACAGATTGCATCTATTCTGATGGACAGTATCACTTATGCTACATATATCGTCTATGGCATTATCGGTCTCATCATGTTGGCCTGGATGTTCCTCTTTGCTCTTGAACCGAGAGGCTTGTCCCTAGAGGAAATGGAACTTGTATTCCACGGTTCTGTTATTGTGACAAATTTTAAATATGATGAATATCTCTAGAGCTATCGTGAAGAAATTGGAAGAGCTCGTCAACAATTTGGCGCTACAAACAATTATCAACTTGGTAAGTTTAACAGCAGCGATCAACATTTAGAAGTTGATAGTGCTTCTTTACGATCAGAAAAGTTTCTGGAACAAAAATGAAGGCAAACTGCAGTAATATCCCAATGAACACAGAGTAGAATTCTTTATTAGGCTAACGACAACGACCGTCTTGAATTTAAGCATCAATATTTATGTCTTTTTTTTTTTTTACTTTTTTGGGAGTCTATAAATTCACTTTTAACATCACTTAGTAGTATTCCTCTTTATCAAACATTTCGCATACATATGTTAATATAATAGTACTAATCAGTGGATTTTTAATAAATCCATGTTGAATCTCACAATTAGCAGTTGGGAGAGTTTCGTTTTTCAGAACACAAATTTTTTAGTCGAATTGTCCCGAATGTTGTGGACCGAAGGTGAAGAAATGGTCGAGGTTCGTTTATTTTGACGCGTTTTCTTTTTTTTAGGTCTATTTCGATAAGTATTGGGCTCACTTACACAATAAATCAATAGAACAGAAAATATCCATCATCCAAAGAATGACAAAGACTTTGTTAAATAAAAAAATAAAATAAATAAATAAAAATAAGAGATATCTATATATAACTAGACCTATCGGAAACTGTTAACGGGTGATCTAGATCAAACAAGATCCCCACCGCTCAAAAGGGGGACGATAGACAGGTATCATGCCAGTACATATAGGACTTTTGACTTCATAGTTTGAGTTTAACTGAGACGACATATAGGAGCCTGTAGAAGCATCATAATGAGACAAAGTCATGCCTAATTGTGGAGTGGGAGGTCGAGCAATAGGTGAAAAAGACTCCACACCTGCTGCAGAGTCATTACTGGTTGAAGCAATAGGCTTTGTGAATGAAGGCTGTTGTAACATGAAAGGCATTTCAGAATCTGTCAAATCATTCATAAGAAGGTCTTCGGCGGGCGTGGCCAAAACTGATGATGCTGTTGAGGCTTCTGATATAGAAGGTGTATTCATTGGTATATGCATTCGCTTAACAGCTGTAACAGAAGCATCCTATATATGTTATTTGGTTAGCTTTCATTGGACCTTAGAAAGAACGTTTGAGCATATGCACATACTGGTAAGGCAAACATTTTTCATATGTTTGTGTACATATTGCATGAAATTATGGCTTTTTAGTTTACCGTTTGAGATGTGAGACAATCCACGTCGTCCATTGTTTTGCGTTTCATTGATTGATTTGCTGCACTTGTATTCTGGAGGTTCATACTCAGCTCTTTTTTTTAAAAAAAAACCAGATTTGTTACTTTTTTTGATGTAAGAAAGAGAATGGAAGAAGGTAAGGAAGAAAAAGGATTGCTGAAAAACGTCTCTAAAAAACCCTTCTTATAAAACCTGATGTCGACAAATAACGACGTCGCTCAAACTAAAAGAAAAAAAAAATTAAGGGGAAAATTACCTGATTGGACGGCTTTTACAACAGTGAATCCGAGACAAATTAGAGGAATAACAAAAAGCGAGTTAGCGAGAAGCGTCAATACAGTTTTCTAGCCTTGGGTTTAGGCGAAGCCGCAATATAAATAGACGAAAGAAATAAATTTTTGAGACGATTAAGTTACAGTTTCAAGATCGAACTACATAAAATTGAGACGCTTACCTGTAAAAATCAAACCAGCTTCGTGCTTGCGGGGAACTGTGGTTTTCTAGAAAACTCCGCAGGTCTTCCCGTTAACTTCTAGATCGAAACGCTAATTGCCAACATGTTTTTAGCAGCGTTGACGTCCCGGTTCCAAAGTATCGAACAGATTTTGCAGGCAAGGATACTTTGGCCGGGAACAGTCTTCAATGCTTCAAGATTATTGGAACGACAATTATTGCATATTCGAGAGGTTTTGTATTCATCAATTGTTATCGTCAGTAAATCGCCAGCAGCCTCTCTTCGCTTCAAGGCACGCCAAAGGACTCCCACGACACCAGTTTTATGGCCTTTGATGGGCATTGCAGTCTTCCCGAACATGCCATTACAATCAAGGGGATATTTTTAGTGTCGCCTACACTAAAGGGTTCAGGCTTCCACTTGCTCTACAGGGAATTGCTGTAGAAAGCATGAGTTCTATCAATATTTCTGCGAATAGTGGATGAATTGCTTATCATTTGAAAACCTTACCTATCTTTCTTAGCGAGAACATCGCTCACTTTTCTCGCATCTGCTTCTTCGATCTTTCTTCTTCTTCAACCTCAATTGCTTATTGTACTTTGTGGTTCCATTAATAAGTAAATTGACCATGTTGTTGGCAGCACGCTCCTGACCGTGGTATAGACAAAATATGTCTTCAGCAGCTCTTTCGCCGTAAAAAGAGAACAAGGCTTCGAAGTGCTGCAATATATATTGTACATGATGGTCATGTTGTTTGATGATAGAAGTTTTTGGCGGTTGGTATGCCACTTTCGATCATTTTAATTGTGCCTGCTTTCTTCTTTTCCAGCTTTGCAGCGTGTCTGGTACTTCTGGTCATATGATAATATTCCTTGGTAGAGCAGCTGCGTACTTAATGTTTCTTATGATCTAGTCCGATTGTCGTTGTGAAGACAGATCTTCGCCCTGGATCAAGGAAAGCGGGTCTGAAATTGTCTTGTACTTCGTCATGAGAAAAATCTTGCAAAGTCAAGGTGTGATTATGAATGGTCATGTCTTCTTTTGTTTTTTTTGCGGCTGAACAAAAAGTCTACAGTAAACCGTCCGACCTAACCATGTTTCGAAACATTACATCAGAACTTTCCTTCAAAGCGGTTATACTATGACACAAGCAAAGATACGGGTGTGGTTACTATTAGGGATAATTTTGCTGAAAAAGTTCTTCTATAGGTTTTACCTCTTAAAGCCAAACTTTTTGAAGTTGAAGACTTTGCAGAATTGTTCGAGTTGGGCTGTATAACCTTTGGCAACTTTTTCATTCGAGGGAACGAGAAGTAGAATGACCCTTTAAGTCACAACTGATATGTTTGCTTCTTCTTTCTCTTTGCTTGCTTTTTTTCTTCCTCGATTGTAGCTGATTGCTTATGTTTCTTGCCGCTACTTCTAAGTAAATTTCCGTTAAGCAAACATAAACTTGTCTTGCAGTGAGAGCATGATACTTACCATCACGCGCAGAAACTGCTTTGTAAAACTTGCATTCATGGTATGCCTTGTTGAAATGTCCGCGTGTTTTGCAATCCTTGCACTCGATGCTTACTAGTCATACGAAACATGAATTGAGGATTCCCACTATAATCTATTTGTGGCAGCGCGATGATATGTTACTTACGGAAGGACTTATCTTTGACTTTATTCTTATGGGCTTCTGCCACCAATTTAATTTTTTGCAAGATTATGGCTTTGTACATGGTAAGTAATAGCTGTCAGGATGAGGAAAGAAAGTATAGAAGAAGATGATGAAAAGTCAAAGAAAAGACGTCTAAATGCTTCGAATTTGACAACATCTATTTTTTTTATTACGATTGACAACAACAACCGTTATCTACGTGGCGGAAGAACGTGTCTGGGATCAGTTTAACGCGTAGATCAATTCATATGATCCCTGAATAAAGTCTCGTAAACCACAACCCTGTATCTATTGCTGATAAGCGTGTCACACTAAAATACTCAGTACGTCTCGTAGTACTTTAACGTAATGCCACTATCAATTGAAAATGTCCACTGACCTTCAAAATAATGTCTCCAATTATTTATTCAATGAATCGTCCAAGAACATTATATTATTTCATCCTAAAGTAATTTAAAATTATCTAAATTGAATATATATATTGTCCAATAAAATTTGTATAAAGTGTAAAGTTGAAGCTAAAACACTGTATTTTTTTTTTTTGAAACACAGCCTTTAAAGTATTCTCTCACCGCAAGGATATTAAAAGTTTAAAAGACGTTGGAACGGCTTAGCAAACAAAGTCATTGGTTAAAGTAGCCTCTCGAATCTACTTTGGATAAATTTATTTCGAGAGAAACAAGAAGGGTTGTTCTTCTGCACTTTTAATACACCCCTGAAGGCTTGCTTTACGCTGGATAATAAAGGTCGTGCTAATAGGTTCGATTATAGTTTTCAAATGATTATCATCATTCCTATTTTGTGATTTTCGTCTGTCTATTATTCTTTTTCAAAAAACTTAAAATTCTGCAAAATAACAAACAACACACCGAAACATGAGAAAACTTCATCAGTTTAAATGCATATTAGCCTCTGAGTAGTGTATTCATGCGTGCAAGGAGTTGGGGGTGGGCGAAAGAAGAAGGTATCGGACCTTGTGCATGATAGATAGTAATGATGTTGGTGATGTAAATCATATGCAATGTGTGCGATAATGAAATTGATCCATGTGACGTGACAAAAAGGGGTTTGTGTATGCTTTCTTTATGCTTATGATAATGAGGTTATATTGATGTATAGTGGGTTTTCTAGTGTTACATTGAGAGTAAAGTCATCTTTATATAGCAAAATATGAATAGGAAGGTGCTGCAGTAGCTGCGGTATGAGCACCAGCAGTACTAGCAGTAATACCGTTGTCAATTTCCATATATAACGGTGAATTGAAGGGCATACAACCTTCGAAAACCGCTTCAGATACTAGAGTGCTCCAAGTATCCATTGTATTAGCATCGTTTTCCAACAAGTGATTTGTCAGTCGCCGTAAACTGTTCCAGACGAGTGATAAGAAAGCAGCTGATGCTGAAGATTCAAGCCCGCTACCAGGATGATGAATAGGGATGCTATGCATTTATCAAAATAAAGATTACATAAGAAATCAAAGAATGGCGAGATAATGATTCATTTTTTATCATTTATAGATTGTTACCTATCAAGATTCTTCCGTCTTCTTGAGGTGTTGTTATATTTTCGATACTTACTGCCACTGCTGCTGCTGACTATACTAATACTTGTACGAGCATTCTTTTTATTACTTAGAATTTCGTAACGATTCATTGTTCGTATTGCATTTGTATGGGTGACAGTGACTGTGGTGGTACGATTATTTGCATCTGACAAAAATGTGGCATCTTTCAAACACTCATCTGATAGCATTCCTAGTGTTAATTCTTGCGAGCCCATACCAGCCGTTGTAGGTTGAAAATGGGGTATTTCATCCAGTGCATTCTGGTTGTCATCTTGTAATGCAGCTGCTCGTGAGTTAGCAGTAGTTGTAGCGGACAGCACAAATGAAGGTGGTTTGATTCCACCATACGGCTTTGTTATATCTATAAAGCTCTTTTTCTCTTTACGACTACCTCCTCCTCCTGCCTCTGAAGAGTCATATTCATCTTCCGTAAAATAAAATTGCAATCTGTTGACTGCTCTTGTGAACTCGTTCTGTGAGGATGAACTACTTCCTCCACTGTCGTCGGCCTCATCATCCTCGGATGCTATGACACTTGCACTAGTGATGGTGTTTAGATCAGAGTAATCGTCTATGAGAAATGTTCCTGTTCCGTCATGAGATGGCAAGAATGTAGTAGAAGTTGTAGCATTAAATCCATTATTATCTAAATCGGAATAGCTTTCTAACTCTTGTTCTTCTTCCGTATCTGATATTGCAATACGATGACGATGATATGAGGCAGAGTCAACTGTTTCGGAGGAAGGCGATAGCTGGGCTGATTCTGAACTCTTTGTGGAGAAGGTGGTTGCAGTAGGTGATGAAGATGAAGGTAAAGCTGAGCTTATAACATGCCAATCCGTATCAGAGTCCGCTGATGGAAGCAGAAGGTGGCGACGATGATGGGCTGGTTGCACTGAAGACGATAACTCAGTAGCACTGAGGCTATCGGAAAAATCTTCGGACGACAATGAAGCTGTGTTATTTAAAGATCGATAAGCTGGTTTTCTTTGCTGCTGTGCAAATGCCATTTTACAAAAAGTGAGAAGAGGAAGTAAAAGAAAGGAAAAGAAAAAGAGATTAGAAAAAAGGATCAAAAAGGTATCGAAGAAAAAGAACGAAAATGAGAGATAACAGATAGGGAAGTGTGATTTTACCAATTTCTTTAAAAAAAAAAAGAAAAAAAAAAACAGAATCAATGCTTTAGCGCTGATTGGGAGTTTTTCGATCCTGCACTCATACTAAATTATTACTGATTAGCAAAAGATACAACACTTCATTGTTTGCTTAATCGTGGAACACACAACATATCACTTGCTGCTTGCAGGAGATTAAGTAGGTATATGAATACAGAACGATTCATGCCACTCCAGCTTGTAATGTACAAAAGATCCCGTGAATCATTTTGATGTCACTCAAAAATGGCACAAACATTTCTGATTTTGTCGAAATTTGGCAGCAAACAAACTACACAGCTGCAATAGCCAAATCAAAATAGTTACTGGGCACCTTCAAATAAACTGTCAACTTTTCCTTTGGATATACCGTAGACCAAGAGGGACAACTATATCATAAAGAGATCTCCAACCACAAACCCTACATCGCATTATACCGTCTAGCAGCCCGTTTTTGTATGCATCATTTGCTAAATCCTTTTTTCGACATATGTAGAGTGCTCTTTGCACGCGTAACAGGTGTTTGTTATAAGTTGTTACTAGTTCATCTACCTTTCCCTGCCACTGTATTGTTGGCAGAATATATGCTACTGTAGAATTGACGTATATGATGCTGAGGGCATGTCGTTCCGACACTGTATGTAATTTTACTCTCAATGAAAGCTGAACTGTTGCAATTGCAGCATCGTCGCAGGACTTTTTTTGTTTATTTTTTCTTTAGGAAATGAATCGTCAAGATACTGTCGTAAATGTCTCTTCAATATAACATATATATACAAGATGTTCGTCTTTTTCATAGTGATTCGTTGAGTTTTTACTCCTCATGTTCTGCAAAAGATATATTGAGGCACAACTGTAATTCAAAATTAATGTTCAGTCTAACCTGACCCAACCATGGCCTCTCAAGAATGCCGCTGTGTAACTCTTGTGCTTCTCTATCCTTCGCAGACGGCGGGAAAATTGAGACTTCCATAGCTCGGTGAATGGCTTCGTTAACCATAGAAAATTAATTGTCAAATAGAAAATGAAGTTGATCTGATAATCTATATCTTTAGCTTTAGTTTTTCAGAAAATAGGAAAACTAATTAGCAAGAGATTTCCATCTTACTAGATAGTTTTTCTTTTTTTTCTGTTCCTTATTTTTTTTTTTATTTTTTTTTTTATCTTTTTGGCATTATAGTTATCAACCATATCATTCATTGCTTGCTAGAATAGCTTTCCATTAAAATACGAATATGACTGTAACAGCAGATAGATATACACCTCCTTCACCTGGATCAAAAATTATTGTGGTTGGCGGCGGCTGTTTCGGTCTATCAACTGCTTATGCTCTTGCTTTGAAAAAGCAATATCAGATCACTGTTTTTGATAGACAACCAATTCCAAGTCCCGATGCTGCCTCGACAGGTAAAGCGAAAATGAATGGAACTGTTTGTATAATAGAAACAGTCGAATACTTACTTGTATCTATACTATAGATATCAATAAAATTGTACGCATGGACTATGCTAATGATACACTGTATATGCATTTGGCAGTGGAGGCCTTTGGATTGTGGGATCAATGGAATAAAGAAAGAGCTAAGAAAAATTTAGAACCTGTATTTCATCAGAACGGCGTTTTATTATTGAGCGGTAAAGACAAACTCTCAGACTTTGAAAGGAATTCAATTCGCAATATTCGTGAGGCTGGATATGGTCATTTTATAGAAGAGTACAAATGTCCAGAGGAGATTATAGAGAGATTTCCCGCCTTTGAAAAGGCTGTCAAGAAGGGTTATAACACAGGCTATTTGAACAAAGCCGGAGGTAATGTAACTGAACGATAAATGAACACTTGCTCAGGCGAGGATGGGTCTGAAGTGGTTATACATGAGGATACTAAAGTAGAACAACCCTATGACACTTAGGATGGTGTAACTCGTCGGAGGCTGTGAAGCACATTTATAATAAATGTATTGAAGAAGGCGTTCAATTTGTTATAGGAGAACAAAAAGGGTGTCTGGATAAAGTGCACTGCGATACAAAAAATCCTAATACAGTGGTGGGCATAAAGACAAAAGATGGGCAAACACACTATGGTGATCTAGTGCTGCTAACCACAGGATCATGGACAGCTGGACTCGTGGATATGCATAACCAGGTTGTTGCAACAGGTCAACAAGTTATTCATTTTCAACCACCTGAGAACCTTCGTCGGTTATGGGAAAAACTTCCTGTATGGTTAGGAGATATATCAAACACAGGGTTTTATGGATTCCCTTGCAATGCTGATGGAAAGTTGAAGGTGGGAAGACATCATAGCGGGTAGGAGCTCAAATTGAATTCGTAATCATATTGCCATTGTGAACGAGCCTAACGTTTGTATGTTTTGCTTTTTTTTCAACAATAAAAGGTATCTACATCCTCGGGTAGAGGATCAAGTTTCGGTACCTCGGACACAAGTAACAAACGCAACAGATACCATCCCTATTTCTACTCTACGTGAATTTCGTGAGTTTTTGGATCACTTTTTACCCGAAACGACAAATCTTGATATAACGTTTGCGAGAATGTGCTGGTAAATAATACTATATGATAACCTGAAAGATCTAGATCAAGCACAATTTCTAACCATATTGAAATGAAGGTATTCTGACTCTATCGATGGGGATTTTGTTATTGGACCACATCCTCAATTCAAAAATATGATTGTTGCATGTGGCGATTCTGGACACGCAATGAAGTAAGCTTATACGCCTTTCTACATCCTTCGTATCACCTTTGTCCGACTCACATTACTGTCTTTTCATAGGTTTATTCCTGTCATTGGTTTCAAAATAAGAGAAATAGTGGAAGGTAGAGATACCGAATATAGCCATGCATGGGCTTGGAGAAATATGGACGCAAAAGATACAAAACTAGACGGCATTCGTGCCGACTCATTACTTCAAAGAGTGGTTCTATGTGAACCTAATAATGACGAAGCAAGAATGGCAACTGAAGGTGAATTCAAGGCACACTATTTCAGTTCACTAGCTCCACAAAAATCCAAACTGTAACCATCATAAACTTTACTTGGATATCACTGGTTGATATTCTCTTTAGCATCGATACGCTTTTTAATAAAACTCAACATACTAGGCTTCCAATCCTTTTGATTTAGAAAAAAAAAAAAAAAAAAAAAAAAAAACTAAACAAACGGGAAAAAAAAGGAGCAGTGTTTTTAAAATTGAATGGAAAGATTCAAACAAATAATTTAATTACCCTATTTGTTCCTTCAATAAGGTAGCAAAAAGTTTTTATAAAACATTATGTCCGTGTAATTACAAAGAAGAGGCAGGAGCGTTAAAGCACTCAGTATAGAAATCAGCGGTCAATCGGATGGCTTCATTAGCTCTTTGGGCATTCAATTTGTCATTGTAGTCACCACGAGCAGCACAGAAACCATGTTGCATATCGTCAAAACGTACATGCTTACATTGCTTGCCAAATGGCTTCTTGTATAGAACCTCCATGTACTCAGTCATATCGGGTTCATCTTTGGATGGTATAGCGAGGATAGGGGCACCGGCTTTTTCAGCATCCTTAACATCAACAAAAGAAGGATGAATCAAAGAGGCACCAACAAAGAAAGGATTGAGAGAAGTTAACTGAACAGCGATCTTGGCGCCCCAGCAGAAGCCTACCAAGGTGCAAGCATCTACACCAGCTTCCTTCAAATACTTTTCAGAACGTTGAATATCGGGGGTAACCTAAGTTTGTAAGAACCAACATGACTATGAGTAAATACTTTTTCTAGCCAAGTCTATTAACGAAGACGGTTTATCTGAATATACATCCACCGTTTTTCTTTTGCCTTTATTCCACACTGTTTAGCAAAAACCATTCAAACGCTATTATTACTTACAACTTCGAGTGTGCCCACTCTATCAAGCCATGCCATAAGTTCTTTGCCTTTGCCTAGCAATTCCATAGTGGCATAATCACCATGTAACAAGTCAGGCATAATAACCCTCCATTTGCAAGACTTTGCCAAAATATCGCAGAACTGGTAGGCGTTAGGACTACCAAGATAATTAAAAAGTTAGAAAATTCAATGCCTCCACAAGTATGCAAAATCTGTGACATTTCAATAACTTTACTGGTAACCAAAGATATCGTAGATAACTAAGACAGCTTTTTTGGCATCCTAAATGATCAATAATTGAAAGACTTTGTCAGTACCACAGTATCTCATCTCGCAAACGCGTGTTTGCAATGTTTTGATCTGTTAGAATTTTGTTGCCGCCTCGACCCTTTAACCAATCTTTCACTTACTTTGGGGCCAACTGTATAGATATCAAGACCATCATATTTCTCCATTTCACCCGTCTTTTCATAGTCGGAAACAACAGGAGGAAGTTCGCAGCAAGCTTTAGAATAAGAGGCCATTCTGGTTATCTTTCTTTTTTTTTCCACGCAAAGAATCGCAAAAAGAGAAAATAAATCCTTAAGAGAAATCTCCAAAGTATTTATAATCATCCGGAGATTCCATAACCCGCCCCCGACTGGAACTATAAAATTGCATGGAAGAAAGTTAAAACATGAGTGACGTTCAATGAGCCGTTTTTATTTTTTGCTCTAAAAAGAAAGTTCAAGAAGACTAGAGTTTTTTGAACGAAGTTCTCAACGATTTCTTTTCGCTTCAGATAAATAAGTAGAATGCGTTAACTGTATTCTGGGCAAAAACTACAATTATTTCATGACTGATGGAAAGAAATTGATGAGGTCGCTGTGGAGTTGTATTGCTCAAGAGAAGTGAGTATTTCGGAGAATATATTTTCTCCAAGTTCAGAAGATGGAAAAATGGAGAAGTTGATTATACTAAACTTCAAGAGATAACAAGCATCGGCCTGAGAATATCGTACAATGTATAAACATATTGCAAGAAAACCGGTTCCGCATATTTTACCATAAATTACGTAAACTAAAGGTAGATGTAAAATGACATCAGTTCTAACAGGCGAAAATTTAGATGAACAAGCTCCATCAGAATGAATATTATAGAAGTCATGTATTAATTTATTAGACTTGAAAGAATATGGAAAATTAAAAAAGCAAATGCCTGTATGTTGAAATTATTTGGACATTGATCAGGTCCTTGGCTAAGCTTATTGTGCTTCTTGAGCGGGCTTCTTCTTGAATTCCAAAGGTCCACCAGTGATACGACGCCAGATATCGTGAACATCGTCACATACAGTTTCAAAATGGGATGTAGCATCGTAAGAACGAGAAACATATACATGATCCTGCTTACCGTCATCAACAGGGACTTCTAATGGTGACTCCGAAATAAACCTAAGGGATATTTGGAAGAGAATGTTAGTTTTTCCTTAATCTTGCTCTCTACTCTTTTTTATTCTAGATCTATAGCCATAAGGTCTACTACTACTTACTTTTCTTTGATATCACCCAAAAGCTTCAAACCTGGAATGATTTCTTCAGTAGGGTTAGAAGTTTCAACGATGGTGGACACAATAGCCAAGTAATGGCCCTTAGCAGCAACCATATGTGCATCACTGACGCAGGCAATGTAGATATCGTGCTTACGTCCCACTTGGCTTTGAGGAATAACAATTTGACAAGAGTCGCTGTTATTAGTACTGGGAATAGGGTGATCTAAAATACAAATAGCACGAACGACGGAACCGACTTTTTTGACTTTGGAAGTGGCGTAAGAAGGGTCACAGATGACCATCTTGGTTTTGGCAACGCCTTCGCTTGTCTGCACACCCGTAACCTCTCCTTGTTCGTTATAGAGGATTTCCTTAACATCGGTATTCAACATGTAGGTACCACCATAAACTGCAGAAAGTCTATAGATCGCAAAAAAGTGTTTAGCAAGGTTGTCAATAAAGGGGCAAAGCAAAGCCTCGTGCGTTTTGCTTATGCTGCTTGAACCATCCTCCCTTTCTTTATTTCTTTGTTTAGATGCTATTCTTACCTAGCAAAAGCTTGAGGCAAGTCACCAAGACCGTATAAAGGATAGATATAGGGTGATTTACCATAACGAAGTACTGAAGCAGCATACAATCTGACCTTTTCGACGGTATCACGGGCTGGTTGGTTAAGATAAGAATCATCCAAATGCAAAGCCATAGCGTGGCCAATGAATTCTTGGGTTCCTTTGTCCAAACCGAACTTTTTATACATTTCGGCTACTGTATTACGATCAATATCGATACTTTGATGTGTTTTGGGATCGTTATCCTTATAAGCTTCACACCATTGAAGGAAATTCTTCAAACGACGCTTTTCGAAAAAGCCGATCAAGGAGGAAGAGATAGCTTCGGCAGCGTTGGATGGAACTTTGCTGACTTTGCCGTTACTGAAAACATAGGAGCCAGCAATCTGTTTAAGTTCAAGGTATTTTGTAACGTCGGTGTGCGTTAAGAAACGAACAATCTCGCCATTGGCCATCATAAACTTGGGAATCAAGTCAATATTCCAATCACGATCGTGACCTAAGCTTTCAGGAGGTTTCTCTCCAGATCTGAACTTGCTGTAAAACTGTTGTTTTTTTGTGAGATGGCAATACAAGTTGAGAAAAGGTGTTCGAATGTCAAAAATAAAAGTGATGAGCAGAAAATTCAATGAGCTTCTTCCCTCTGTACATAGACAAATGTATTACCAATACTTTACTTGTGTTAAATTCAAAGAGGCAGATTCACCACCATAATAATCATTTCGATCCATATGAAGAACCTTCTTGCCCTCAACAGAAAGAAGGCCTGACAAAATACATTCGGTCAAACCAGTACCTAAAACAACAACGTCGTAATCTTCCTCCTAAATAAAGAAAACATAAGAATTTTATAGTATAAGTAACATAGTTGAAAACATTGTATGTTCCTGTGATAACAATTCGCCGTTACCATAATAAAAGATGTTTATACAAGTGAATTTGGAAAGAAAGGAGCAAAGAAGTTGGGAAACAGCATTTGAAATTTAAATGACGTGTTCGTGCCACCAGTGTGATCCCAACCAATTAGAGCAGCTTGATTTAATGAGTTAAAGCACTGTGTCCAGGCATTTTAAATAAAAAAGCTGATTGCATGAATTTTTTCTATCCACCCAACCCTTTCTATATTGGTCTTCAAAGCGCTTGATACACGATTCAAATCAAAGTAGAGTAGCAGTAATACATCATAGAACCGTCCAAATATAAGTAGTGATTCGTCCAAACGAAGCTTATAAGTATAAAATGTTAGGAACGTGCATTTTCAATTATAGGGCCAGTTTTTTTCGGTGTCAGTTAAAAAGCAACTGGGCTGTGAAATTTTTCGTAATTTTTCAATTTTTTCTTCTTTCTCTTCTTTCTCTCTTATTTTACTCATAATACCAGCTTTTTCGACCACTTTTGGTTTTGGTTTATTCGCCAAGAAAAACTCAAGAATACATTATACAGCACAAAAATGACAACGGAAGCAAAAGAGAATTTTGTTCGAGTGGTGTCTTTTGATACTATGACAGATAAAGACTTGCCAAATTATTCATTCACATTAAGAGGGAAATCGCCAGGATATAAACGTACAAGGCGTTCAAGAACATTTATGGTCGCAACAGACTTGGCCAATTATAGTGAATACGCCCTCGCATGGGCAAATGATGTAAAGTATTACGGACCTTGATGACGTTTTATGAATGGCTCGATTTGCTGTGAAGAAAAAGGTAAAATATTGAATTACGTGTATTGTTCGTTTTTTAGGAAATTATGGATGATGGAGACGAGCTCATTGTATTAAGGGTAGTTACAGTTGATATGAATGGTAAATATAACGGTGCACCCGGGGGGGAATGAAAAAGAGAAAAAATGTAGTATGTTGGAGGGTAACCGATTGTTTGAATAGACAAAAAAGGTGACATCACTAGTCTGTTAGAACATGAAGCAAAACAATCAAGAGAAAAAGCAAACCAAGTAATGGAACGGATTATGAAGAAGAGTGAAGAGGATAAAAAGGTTGATTTTGCTTAAACAAAATTATAAAAGAGAGTTGATAGCATGTTGAAACTGACACATCTCATGTCTATCAGATTAGAGTCATCATTGAATTTGTAATCGGCAAGGTTCAAGAGACTATTCAGCATATGATTTCAATGTATCAGCCCTCACTGTTGATTGTTGGAACGAGAGGACTTTCCGAGTTCAAAGGCATGTTACTCAACAGCGTTTCGAAATACTGCCTTCAACATTCACCTGTCCCTGTAGCAGTTGTACGACCAGAGGATAAGCTCAAAAAGACTTCAGGATTGAAAGGATTAATGAAAATCAGTAGCAATACCAGTGATGAAGATCAGGAAGAGGATCAAGCCAGTAGTAATAATAGTACTGTTAATAGCAGCAATGTAGATAAAAAGTTCGGCAAATTAAGTATCACTGGTGGCTGGATTTCTCGTACACGCTCTACTTCACCAAGTTAACTTTATAATGTACCGAAATCATCGTTTTCCAACGAAAAAAAATAAAGCATTCATTAAACAAATGACAGCGAAACTTATATCTTTAGTAACTGCCACTGATGCTATGTGCTTTCCTCTTACAGTGCGTATATCAACTCAATTAGCAGAGATGGAATTATTTGTAGACAATACCAACTTTACAGGGTTGTTTAGTAAACAGAATTATTCAGCTGCTGGTAATGGATCAGCACAAATATACGGTTTCACCGCTGGCTTTATAATTTTCTGATGATCTTCGTTGCCATTTTTAGCCATGTCTTTTTGTTTCTGAATAGGCCTATAAAGACAACTTTGATGAAAATTGCTCACTGTCCCAATCCTCCCGCCCCCAAAAAATAAGATATTCTGATGAGATGGATTATTGCCAATACCCTTTTCTTTGTCTTGATATTCTAACCTGTAAAAGTAGATGCTTCTTTATACCAATCTATTGCTGTCATTTTTGACCCTAGTAACAGCAACTGTAACAAATGTGGGAAACAGACGGATAGTCGCTTTGGGCGATTTGCATGGCGATTTACCAAACACACTAGAAATCTTAAAGTTTGCAAAACTCATTGATAAGGAACACCATTGGATTGGTGGCGACGCTATTTTTGTTCAGACTGTAAGGTTCCATATATTTAACACAATATAAAAAGGGGGAATGATAAGCTTAGTACGCATATTTGGCTGTGTTTCAGGGCGACGTTGTAGATAGAGGACCAGATACTATTAAGCTTTACCGACTCTTGCAAGACCTCCGAGAAGAAGCTCCCTACCAAGGCGGCCTTGTTATTCCGTTACTCGGTAACCATGAGATTATGAACCTCATTGGTGATTGGCGCTATGTTCGCGAGAGCGATGTCGCAACATTTGGTAGTGTCGAAGCTCGACGAAAAGCGTTTGCAGCCGATGGATTTATCGGCGAATACCTAATCACACTCAACATGACTGCCAAAGTAGGATCCACTGTGTTCTGTCATGGAGGTATTACACCCTATTACAGCGAATTCGGCCTTGACTGGATTAACGACCGAACGCATGAGAGTATTGTGACTTATATGGAGTCGAGAGGACGTCACGGTAACGAGGATGGAATTTACAGTGGATCAGGTCCAACTTGGTACAGAGGTTATGCATTGGATGATGAACAAGAAGCATGTGATTTGATAGACGATGCTTTAGACTTTCTTCAAGCAAACCGTATGGTAATGGGCCATACTGTTCAACGAGATGGAATTATTCGCACAAGATGTGGAGGAAAAATTGTATTGATTGACGTTGGAATTTCAAAAGCGTATGGAGGCTATCGGGGAGCGTTGGAAATTCAAGGAAACGATGTATATGCATTATATCCGAACCGTAAAGTAAAGTTACCCTCACCAGCGCCTTTTATTACTTCATCGTCAGATCAAAAATTAGAAGCCATTCCTATAGATACCACTATAAAAGAACCGATCAGACATGACGAATTGTAAATATAAATGTATTTGATACAAAAGCATTCGTTGTATATTAGAAAAATAGCATTAAGGCAGCGAAACTTTTTCTATAGCAAGCAACAACTATTTCTAAGTCGTCGAAGTTCTACTTAGTTATGGCTCGGTTATGAAACTTACTTCAAAAACGTAATATTAAATTGTATATTCTAAAGACAAATGAATGTAAATACTGTCATATATTGAGCATGTGTCATCATCAAACAAATAATATAAGCATTTTAGGATTATCAACGAGCCATCAATAATATACTGATAAAAACTAAAATACGCTTTTCATAAAAATGTTTAAGAGATCAACAAAAGGTCAAGCTTCACCCTAACCCTAACCCTACCCTAACCCTATGTTACTATGTTACTATGGTGGGCTCCGCCCACTGCGACCCGAACACACGGCTAAGCTAAACTACTTTCCAGTACATTGCTTAATTGTTTAGTTCTTGATATGACACCAACTATAGAAAATAGAAAGTTAGCCAAATGCAAGTTACAGTCTATTGGTCTTACACCAATTTATACTAATGAGACAGGTGCAATGGAACCGACGGCAATTGCAGCTACTTTACAGGAAAAGAATCCATTTAAATACAAAGCATATGATGATTCTCCCCAGTCCAGTCCTGTCAAGAGATGTATAAATCATAACGTTCTTTCATATTCCGGAATATATTCTAATTCATATTTTTCTGTTTATGTGATTATCAAGCATTTGATCAGTTATCGTCTTCATCCGGTAAATTAATTGACAGATCATAATGAAGTAACTCAATTTAAAAATTAAACACTTTCTTTCTTTTAATTAGAGTCTGTGGTATTTCCATACCTCCTATAATATATAAAGACGAATTAGACACACTTTTAAGCATTTGACTCGTTATTATGATCATAGAATCATAATAACACTTGTTCACGTCATCTTGTATTTCTAAAGATGCGCATATAAAATGCTGCATTATTACTGGTTGAGAAATTCAGGTACAAGTATTTAACTCCTTTTTTTTAATGTTTCTCTTTCCTTTCCTTATTTCTTTTGTTGTCAAATACAAACATTCAGTTTGCCATGAACGCTCTCTTCTCTGATTTTCAGTGTATAATAAAAGGACTAAAGGAGACTCATTTCACCTTACAGTTTATATCAAAGTTATAAGTCGCGTTCACTAAACATAAAACAACTACAAATATCACAGAGTCAACCGACGATTACAAAGGTAATATTAGACATACTTATCAACGTTGTATCATCGTATGAAAAGACTTCCTTTTATATCGTAGTTGGCATCACGAAGGAGTACATCCTTGACGTTATGAGGGTTTCTCTCTTATTAAAAGACCCTCATGATAATGAGAAGTATGAACTGGTCTTCCTTACGAATGAAGCCATTTGGAAACTTCTAAAAGAGGAGATAAGTGAATTTGATGGTGCGTGCACCTCCACACAGCTTGCTAGGTGGATAGCTAATGATGGAAGTTGGGACCAGTTGGAAAGAGAAGTAATTGATAATACCCGTGTTAGAGGTAGGCACTTGTACCTCCTCAGAAGTCAATACAGAAGTATGCATTACAATTTGATAAGTCTCTCTCAAATTCGAAAAGAATTTACAGCTCAATCAAATATGGTGCTAGAGTTTTCAAATTGAGAGATCTATATGTAATTCTTACTTACCGTCTAAAAAATTGTTTATTTTAGCAGCTGCTATTGACAACGTGGAGAATGTCAACTCATACAAGGCGTTTGCACATGTGGATGCTGAGAGGTGGATGATTGTGGGCTATGCCAGAAAGTCCATATCAAAGGAAGATGACACCGCCCGATGTCGCCTATTGAATTTAATGATCACAAAACTCCGGACAAAGCTGTTTTGTGGCAAGGTATTCGTTTCGCCTTTTTCCAATGCAGATGCGAATTTGAAAAAAGAGACAAAAGTGCGGAAGTTTCTAAATTTGTGAAATCACTGAAATGTGATGGCACAATGGAAGGTAGCCCGATTCTAAAACCATTTATTTTTCTATGAGTTATTAATCAGATTATGTAAGATTTGTTGATATATTTATCATCCGAGATAAGGATGATCCGCTTGGTAGCCATTGACTATGCTGGGCTTACTACCAACGTGGAAGACTTGCGATCACTTGTGAGGTAAAATAAACGAACAGATTTACCTTAACCGTGTCTTTAATTATCATCAATGCTCCCTGTAGTAAGCACAAGTGTATCAAAGAAATTGTCATTGACAGAGGCCATTGTGTCGAGGTCATTACACGAAAACAACTTATAAAAGATGACCAGATTCTCCAGTTGTTCCGCTGTCGTGTCAAGGCAGTCAATCGTTCAAAGTAAAGCATACTGTCAATAAATATTAATGCTAGTAAAATTCACTATCTTATAAACTACATCAAAATCATATCATTGCTTCACTTTTAACAGAATCGATTGTTAATTATAAATGATGCTTTACTTTTGATCTTAAATTTGCTTCTCGATATTTTCAGTTGGTAGAAGGCAACAAGTAGTGTGTTTCAAAAAAATTGTCAAGGCTGACTTCCATTTCCTAGTGATAAGAAGCCGTACTTGATCAAAAGTTGGTACCCTAGTAAACTATTGTTTAAATTGAGTCAACCATTCGAAAACTCATTGTGAATAGATGATTTAAAAAGAGTTGGTTCAAAACGTCTCAAAAGGTTCCTGTGTTGTCTCTGAAAAGAAACTATAGTGAAGTTTTTTTTGTTTGTTTTTTTTGTTAGATTATTTCAATGAAAACTAATAAATCAGACACACATTGCTGAGGGGTGGGACGTGGAAAGGAGAAGATAATTTCTGTGGTGGTTAATTAATCTAAGGCTGCGGCTTCCTGCAAGAGCTGCGAGGAAGACAGGTTCAGGGAAATAACATTGTGTGCTTTACTAACGACGATGGGGGGGATGTTATGAAACGGAATGGCATGAAATATCATTCGAGAGAATGATGCCTATATTGCCCAGTGGATACTGAAGCAGACGGTGAAAAATCGAGATTGTTCAGACGAAGAAAGTGATGGTGGCGGGTGTAAACCTTAGAGCGGAGCAGATGCTTTGAGGATCAAAGCAGAATGACGGGAAATATATCGCGAGGCCTTTCTTGCCATATCTGCCAGCGGTGAGGACAGCCGGTTGTGAAATGGCCGAACGTATCGGTGTCATGACTACAAAGCTTGCAGGTGGCAGATGAAACTACCCCTACAGCTAGTAAGACGGATAAGCATGGATTTTTTCAAAATGGTGCGATAGCCTAGGTCCCGAGCCGAAAGATAACAAAGGAATGTAATGACCGTCTACCTAGTTGGCTACGTCAAATGTAGCCCATATAAATATCGCGTTTAAATCTATCTATTTGTTCGGCAGTGTTTTGATCTGCTTATCTACTTTACTTGTTTTATCTGTTCTTTAACATAATCTGCATTCTACTTTTAATAAATCTTATCATAAGTGTTAATTCTGTTGCAACTTCTCTGTTCAGAGTAGTTTTAAAATCACATCTAGTCTCGTTCTGGGCAAGGATCTTTCAATTTAATTACTAGATCACTGCCATTACAGGAAGAGATTAGAGCAGGTTGAACATCCGTCTGGGAACTACCCCTATTCCGGATGCCTGTTGTATTTGTGTGTTATGCTAAAGCCTAAATGTTTAAGCCGAATAATGACGCCTAAAGGCACTGTTGGCCAATTGTCGTAGTAGTAATGTTTTCAATGCCGTATCTGGGTCGTCGGTAGCTATTGAAGAGTTTGCCCGCGATCTATTGATATAGGGGTAAAGTTGCACTGTCGAATCTGTGAGTAATTGGCCATAGAGGTGTGAAAGCAACCGCGGTTTCATATCACATTCTCCTGGTCATTTTAATATTAGGCGGTTGGTGGACCGTTCATGGATGAAAAAGTGTTTGCGAGCATCTTGGGATGGCGTTCTAGCTAGTGGGACTCCGATAAGCTTGTAAACAAAGAATGTAGAGGGAAGAGTAACAAGTTCCCTTGTGGAATATCCTCCAAAGGGAGGGTAACATACAAATGATCGAAGGCTGTGAACACAATCGGTATAACCGATGTTGGGTGACTAAGATTAGGAGTTCGATGAATATCGCAAAAGAAGGGAAATATGGGAATAGTAAATGTGATGGCCATCAGCCGAAAATGGTGTTGAAGGGGTACTTCAACTGGAGAAGGGTGTGGTGACAATAACATTATTAACCATTTCATTTGCAGTATTAAATGTTGTACCGCAATGGATAACAAACCAGTTCCTCCTAAGTGTTTGGGCATGAGCAGGCAAGCATTGGAAACCAGTGGGAACTTTTCCCGCCATACAATAATGCTAAGTAAGGATATCATAGGCCGTCATTTCCAGGGCTGCCCTGTGTAGGGGACCGTTTGAGAAATGGCGTAACTCTTCTATTGTGACGGATGATAGTAAGTTTTCGGATTCCAATGAATCGACTCTAGCTAAAAAGTGGAAGCCATCCAAATATGCCTGAATCTATTCAGGCACCACTGGCTGAGCGGTGTACAATATTTGGTAGAATTCTTTGACAAGCTGCTGCATAACATTTTGATCCGTGATCACTGCATTGGCTTGAACGGATATTTCTTGGAGGACGCCGGCCATGTATTGTTGTGTGCTTTTCGTTGATGTAGTTTTTCAGGTATAAGGCTGATTTCTCGCCATGTTCCCTCCATCGAACTCCGGATTTCAAAGCTGCTAAATCTGTGAGGTCCTAAAGTAGTTTATAAGTTTTGCCCATCAGCGAAGGTAATTTCTGCAAGAACTGACGCAGGTGGTTTGGACCGTAATAGGCGGTTGCGTTTGTTTCTCTAGTTGTGTTAGTGTTTTTGTCGCCAATAGAAGTTCTTTGTTCCATACGTTTTTGCTGTTTCTTGGGTTACTTGCTTTATTTTTCCCATTGGGCCTTGATAATGTGTGACATTGCTTTAGTAGAGAATGTCGTAACTATAACTGAAGTGCCCTTCCATGACCATGGTGGTCTCATTTTGATATGAAATCCTGAGTCGTCTATAAAAAAAGTTCGCAAGAAAGCCCTATTTGTTTTACTTTATTCTTCAACCCATGCTTTTCTAATTTTTCCGTAAAGACGCAACTGCATCACTCATTCGAGCACGATACTCGTCGTAAAAGTTGATGAAACGGACCTTGTGCTCTTCGTGAGGTTGGACTTATCTTTCTGTTCGTTTCGTTTGTATTTCCAGAATGTTCTAATCTTTATCCTCTTTTGTATTGCTCTTCGGCAATTCCACCTTTTTAGTCTTCCAGACCTTGCAGCGTTGAAATATGACGAAAAAAACAAACAAAAAAAACCATCCACTGGAAGTGAATAAGTCGCTCTTCGACACTGTTTTCACTGCAATACGTCTCAAGGATTTATATAAAATGTGAACAAGGTGACATTGTAATAGTGCGACAAACAATGACAAGCAGATTTTTTAAATGCAACAGCCCAAATCAAAGAAGAGAGACATTTTTTGATCCGGAAATACTATTCACCAGTCATATGAGGTAACAGCACCGACTCTTGCTTTAATTTTCCCATCTCTTTATATTAAATTTGTTATAAAAAGCTAACCTACTTTTTTGTTCTTCTTTTCGTTTTTGATAGCGTCAGAAGATCTATACAAACTATTGATACTTATATCACTTCTGTCTATTCCTGAACATCACATTATGACCAGATCTAGAAGAGAATCCATTTATAGCCATCGTCATGAACGACACGTCGCCAGGTAAACCGTATCGTGCCTACTGAGAACAACTTTTCATGCATAGCCTGTTTCTTATGTTCATTTAATATAGAAATGGCCAATCTGAATTACGCTATGGCATGAAAAAGATGGGTGCAGGCATTGGCAATTGGGGCGTCTTAGGAGACGAGTTGCCCAACGTTGAAGATATCGCTCGTGCTCAAGTAGAAGCACCTTATCAACAATATAAAGGAACCAAGCTTAACCTTGTGGATCGGGAGACCTTCAATACTATGCGATCATCTTCTTCCGCTACTTCTACTCCTACTGATGAGCACGAGTCTTTCCCTCTTGAACAAGCCTCTACTTAAGAAACAGCCATACTGTTTAACCGAAAGTTTATCATGCTAAAATCAATTTTTACATCTCATATCTCACTTCAGTCTTTCCTTTTTTTTTATCTTAATGTGGTAGGAGTTGTAGCTTTTTCAATCACTAGCACATAATTCTATGCTCATGGTCATTCCACAATTTACTTTCTTACTATTTATTCATCATTACTGTTAGGCAGAAAAAAAAAATATTGCATAAATAAATGAAACGCTCATGTATCCTAAGCAATTACATCCTCTTATTGCTGTTGGTTTACTGTCGTTTCTTCTAATTTCAATGATAGCTTTTCTTCCATAAGCTGATCATATTTCTCCTCTAATGCCCGCAATTCATGAAGTCTATTCACTTGCTGTATTAATTGTTCAGTAGCTTTTCCACCAAATAAAAACGTTAGTACTAGAGCACGCTCTAACAATTATTACAGTGGAAAGTTTACCTGACTTGAAATGCTCCTGTGAAGTACGTAAAGACGGAGATACGAAGAGACCAAACCAATATAACGGGTCGCCATTCTTTTTGATCTTTTTCGTGGCTTTCTTTTCATCCATTTCTATCTCTTCCTTAGGATCGTCACTGTTCGCTGTGGCTACAGTTGCCGTTGAATTCTTGTCATCACTAACACCATTTGCCAACTGTGAATTCTTCTCCTTCTCTGGTATATGTTTGATGTTGCGTCTTCTTAAACCTTCCTTTTCGGTATCTCCTTCTTGTTCTTTACTTTTTGCTGAGGATTGATCAGCAGGCAAGTGCTTTAGAGTCAATTTATCGTCAATATCTATTTCACTTTCAATTTGGTGGTTTAATGCTCCCTTTCTCGTTTGTTCACCTTTTATCGTTGCTCTTTGCGTCCAATAACTCACACTTGTAACGCTGCTTTCATACGCTCATCATACGAATATTGAGAAATTCGATGCGATCCCATAGTATATTTGGCATGCGCTAAATCCATGAATCCCTAATCGGCAATTGTAAAGCAGTTCAAACAAAGCACTTCGCAAATCGAACTTAATCTTTGGCTTGGGAGCTTTTTTCTTACTTGTTGTAACTGATTTGCGGCTTCTTTCCAAGTTTGTGTATATTCATACAGTTTCGCGAAATATGTAATTGTCACAACGTCTAGTTCTTCGCAGATGACCTCATACTTTGAATGCATTCTGAATGTCGTTGTTTAGTTTCAAAAATGTGTATTATTCAAGGAAAACTGGAAAATAAGGGATCAGCTTTCTTTTGAAAACTAAAACACCTCTCTTTTTCATCAGAAGAAAAAAATAAATAAATAAATTAGATAACAGTATTTCAAAAAACTAATTTAACTTATACGTTATCCGATAATAAGAATTAACCATTACAATTCGCTTTGTTATAAGAATAATAAATTATTACAGATCAAAAAGGTATCAAAATGTATAAATATTAAATACGATCGAGGTCAACTCGTCGAAATTACTTCTTTTGTTTATCTTTTCTCTTGGACTTCTGTTGCTTCATTACTTTCGTGCTCCTCTTCTTCTTCTTCTTCTTCTTCTTCTGCTTCCTCATCTTCATCAAAATCAGCACCACCGTCTTCGTCTCTGTTAGATCGCTTTATAACAAAATAATGTGTGATTTGTAACCCAATAATACCTATTGAATGGTCGAATTTAATGATGATCCAAGAAATTCAGTTTAGCAGAAAACTAGTTGCTATTTATGTACCTGTAATGGCTAGCACGATAATAAAGTGGGCTGCTGCAATATTCTTCAAGGCGGCTGTGATAATCTTAATGTCATTGTCAGATTCGTTGGCAAGCAGAATAGCTATTGTTGTAGAAGTTGAGAATCCATTGGAGATATAAGCATACATCCTATCTATATTTTCTGGAGGCTCTTGTCTCCTCTGTTTCTATAATACCTGGTTTAACTGATGTGGCGTGTGTAAACGCTCCAAAGAATAGTAACACTACGTAATACAGAATATATTCCTAGGTCATCAACAAAAATTAGAGAAACGATTTGCTTCCACATTCTCCTACCAATAGAAGCACCGTCAAACAGTAAGCTCCCATCTGTCATAGCAAATATTCCTGTAGCAAAACCAGCTGCTGCAATAAGCAAGTTTATGATGGGTACAAATTTTATAATAGTTGGAATTTGTAATTGATTTGCATAATACACCTTATTGCCGAAGAATTTACGTCAGTAACAATCTAACGTTCAAGTTTTATTACTTGTATGCTTACAACTGCTCGTTCTATCGCATGAGGATGCTCGTCTGGATTTGTCCATAGCAGATAATAATCAAATGCCCAATCCGACCAATACGTCTGAAAAATTAGGGAATATAAATTTTTTATGCAAGAGGACATTCGTTTGAGATCAAGGCATTTCGGATCTTTAGAAAATTAGCTTTACCCCATAAGCAAAAAAGCAAGAGCATAATATCAGTGCTATTTTAACAGTTTGTAGATAGTCTGCGTCCATGAAGTCTATGTGAAGAATAAGAAGTAAAGAAACGAGGAATTCTAAAAGTATGAGATCAAATAAAATAGTTACAGTAACTTAAAAGGCAGGTGATAGTGAAAGCACACTGCTTACAAAACAGTTACATTACCAAAATGACATAATTTTCAGTTTTTTGCTTTTTTTTTTCCGTTTTTCTTTTACAAAAAGCCATTCACCTTTTTGTTCTTTTTTTCTATTTAACCTCTCTAACCAGTTATCTATAGAGGAAAATCAATGAATGATTCTTCTACCGCCGATAGGCGTCCGTATAACGCGGCACCTATCATAGGTTCACCTGTATCAGATCCGGGCTCACCTGCACTTTCAACCTCTCCGACAAACTATTTTTTTGAGCGAAGTCAATCACTAGATGCGTTGCAACAAGATTACTTCGGCCACCATGAGCTGGGCAGATCACCATCAACATTCAGTGAGGTCGAAGTCATATTAGACGATGGTACAACACAGAAAAGAACTGTATCTTTATCGACGCAACCAGACGAGGATAATGAGCAATCGCAGACACGGATACATCGTGAAGACGTAAACGAAGACAATGGAAACCCACATAAAATACACAATAGCGGCCTTCATCCAAGCCAACATGCAGGGAGAAGCAGAAAAAGGTAATGTGTTTCAGTAGACGAATTAAAATGCTAGGTTATCAATACTATTTATGTATGTAAAGTTAAAGATAAGAATCTTAACTTTATTTGTTCGGTGATTAGTTTCTTAAATGATGACAGTAATGATACAACGCCTTTACTTAAATCACGCCCAGAGAACTATCTAAGCGTAGGATATCAACCGCACCAAAACAATGATCAGTATCCTCAACAAAGTGACGATGGAACGCAATCTTCTTCTGCATCATCCTCCTCTGAAGATAATGATTCAGATGAGCCATTTTTTCCTGCCAAAACAAATGCAATGAATAGGAGCAACGCTTCGTACAAGAGAAAAGCATATCATCTTGTAGAAGACGATCATTCTTATAGCAATTGGTGGAGTCGTATGCTTGTTATTTTACACAATCTTTTCGCATTTGAATTTACACCTCGGCAGCGTCTCGTGCTCAAGTGTAGTTTTGCATACTTTACGGCTTCACTTTTCACCTTTATACCCGCTTTGAACGCTTTCATTGGCAATAATCGAACCTCCAGTCACCTTGTTGCAACTGCGACTGTCTTCTTCAATCCTGCCAAAACTCTCGGTGGCATGGTCGAAGCAGCCGCTTATGGGTGGGGTTATGTTACCTTTGCTGTCTTTATATGCTTAGGTTCTATGATTACCACTGATTATTTCGTAGATCGAGGATATTTCAACGTCGCTCATTTGATTTCTCTCCTCTTCTGGCTATCAGGCGCTACATTTGTGATTGCTTTCCTGAAAGCGCACTGGAATAAACCGCCTGTTGCAACTGCCTCTAGTCTTTGTTTCATAACCATATTTATTATTGTTGTTCGCGAAGGTTCTGTGAATCGAGGTGATTTTGACACTACACGTATCCAGCAAATCACCACAGCTGTGGCCATGGGCACAGTTATCACTGTTGCCTCTTGTATCCTCTTTTGGCCAGTCTCGGCGGCAAAGAAGCTGAAAAAGGATCTGAATACTACTCTCAGCTCTTATAGTGTTTTATTAAAGTTATTAACAAAAACCTTCTTGTTAGATAATGATTTACCTGAGTTCAAAGCCAACCGTACTTTACAATCTGCTATTGAATCACATCAAGCCAGTTTCACCTCTCTTCAAAAGTCATTAAAGGAAGCCAAATTGGAAAGGTTTTGGAATAGTAGCATCAGAGCCAAAGCCGATGAGTACGATCAAGTAATCCATAGTATGCAGCGCTTGGCTCAGCACATGGGCGGTCTGCGCAGTAGCTGTGGCATCCAATTCGAAATCATGGGAAGCGAAGCGACAAAGAAGTTTAAAGAATTGGCACGCGAAAAGAAAAAGAAGAAACAAAGCCAAATAAATCTGTTCTCAACGGCATCCGGGGCATTGTTTGGCTCTTCAAAAACTGGCATCCATCGAGCCTACGGTCATGGACGCGGGGATATGCCACCATCGTTCGCGCCTAATTCCACCTTTGGCGATAGTAATAATTGGAATGTACGAGCTGGTTATCGTCGTCGAAAGCTGCAAGAAGAAATGCGTCGACAACGATCGTTTTTCAGTAGGTCTGACGAGCATTTGAACCATATTTTGAAAACGAGATCCACCACGGCCATTCCCACTACGTCCTCTTACGCTCGTGGTAAAACTCGACAAAACAACTATCACGATGCAGAGGGAGCTTCGTTGGTCAAATATATTCAGACCATACGACCCTCTGTCAAGTCATTCGCTTATACATGTAAACAGACACTATATCACTTACAAAACGATTTTGCAGCAACTACATCTGTTATCGAGAAACTTCTGCCCCGTTGGAGCTGTAAAGGTCAAAGACCGTCATTGTCAGTGTTAAAAGATAACTTGGAAAAAGCGATTATCTTGTTTGAAAACGCTCAAAAACAGGCAGTTAAAAAACTTTACTTATCGCGTATGGACTACATTTCATCCATGCGCAACGCGGACGGCAAACTTCATAATCCAGAATCTGAAGCCATTGGTTGTGTACTCGGTGAAGAAGTTATTTTGGTTTATTTTTTCTTATTCAACATGACAGAATTTGCCAGAGAACTGATCAGTCTTGTAAGTGCCGTGAAAAAACTCAATGAGGCAGGACAGAAGAAAGTACATTTATGGACCTGGATGGTCAGTTCCATCAAATCAAAATGGACATCAAAGAAGTCTCAACAACAAGAGGGCGACGGTGTCCATATGAATGATAAAAATAAGAACCAAACGCACCCAAAACGTCATCGCCACCATCTCATGTCTTCTTTTATACCCAATGAGCGTAATATGATGAACACTTTACACACACCTTTACCCAAAACAAATTGGAGAAGATTCTTTATTGGTGTTTGGCAATTATTTTCTTTATTCAAACTACAGAAAATGCGTTACGCTATCAAAGCCATGATAGCCACTATTATCTTGGCGATACCGGCATTTTATGAGCCTACGCAAGATTGGTTTCGTACTTATCGAATGGAATGGGCTTTAATTACGGTAATTAAATCTGCAGAACAACATTGTATATTATGTTTTATTGATTTGCAATCCGTTTCTTTTCTTCAACACTTAACGGGTCAAAGCTCATGGTGGTGATGACCCCTACTGTTGGAGGAACCAATATTGTAGCCATTTATCGTATCTTCTCAACCATTCTTGGCTGTTATGTTGCCATGGCATTTTATATGCTATTCCCTGCCAACATGTATGTGCTTCCACTTTTGACATGGCTCTTTTCGATACCCAACTTTTATCTTATTCTTAATCATAAGCATGGTAAATTCGGTCAGTTTACGCTGTTGGCTTACAACCTCGTCATGCTGAACAAATATAATGACCGCGACACAAACGAAGTAGCTGTATGGCTCCTTGCTACTCAACGTTGTTTCGCTATTCTGGTCGGCGTTGTGTTCGGGTTAGTTGCAACGGCCTATGTTTGGCCATATGAAGCTCGTACTGAGCTTCGTAAAGGACTTTCTGACTTTTTGTTACGTCTCAGTTGGCTTTACCAAAGATTGGTTTCTATCTACGCTGACTATCCTCTAAACCACAAGAAGAGCAGTGATGAACCAGGGCAACAACAACAACAACAGAACGTTATCGACAGCAATACTCATGCCTCAGAGACACAACAGGTCGCAGTTGAAGCACAGCGCCGCCTTGCCACTCAAACCTTTATGGATTTGGAACTAGGTTTACAACGTACATTACTCGATTTGCAAGCGTTACTTTCTCAGACACCCAATGAGCCACGCCTTAAAGGCCCCTTCCCTGTTGACACATATCGTACCATGCTTTCTTCCTGTCAAAATATTTTGGATCGCTTTTTGTCAATGCGTACAGTGATGTTGAAAGAAGCTTGGTATGATGAAGTGCAACATGATTTCATGACACCTGTTGCTCATGAACGTAAAGAAATGGTTGGTAACGTGCTATTGTATCTTTATTTGCTGGCATCTGCTTTGAGATTGAAGACACCTATGCCTCCTTATTTCCCACCTGCACGTAAAGCTTGGAAGGCTTTATTGGATCAGTTGGTGGAGATGCCAATTGCAAAGTCCAAGCGGATCTTGGAAAAAGATAATGCTTATGTATTTTACTATTGTTATGTAACGTTGATGGAAGATATTATTCGTGAATTGGATAAGGTAAGTTATAGACACATGTTATATTTTTAACCTTGAGATGCGATCATACTAATGCCTTTTTACCTGGCGATATTACAGTTGGGTGATAGCATGACAAAACTTTTCGGTTCACTCATTCCTCAGGATCAATGGGAAACGTTATTTGATGAGGAACAGCAGCAACAATGGCAATCACAGTCGAACATAGTTCGCTTTAGTGAACATTGATATACCCTTTTTCTCCTTCTGTTAAATTAAATGTATTTCAGTATGTTTGAATAATATAATAAACAATTGTAGTTTTGTGTAATGCAAACAAAGTCATTGTCTGCGTACGTTCGCTACATAGAAAACCTTGCACAACAGCAAGAACAACAATCTGATAAACCCCATAATCTAATTTCATGAAACGGTAAAAAAAACGGAATGTGGCCATGCTTTGTACAGTTGTGCTTCAGTTGTGAATATAAATACCAAGTGATGGAAAAGAGAGACACCTGTAAGTATAATAAATGTTTTCTAATAAAATAAACGTACAAATACATGTATTCATAATTCTTTTACAAAAAGAATGGGCAAAAAAAAAAGAAAATGATAATCTGATAAACAGTACGCACAGGGGAAAGCAGAATCGAACATCAGATAAAATTCTGCGTATCTGATTGGTTCCAAAGGCCTGTATAATCTGTTATTAAAATTACTCTTACATTTTCAATACGTTGATTGTCTCTTTCTTCAAACTTTTTCGAATCAATTTATTACGAACAAATTAGTACGAAAGGCAGGCTTTCGATAAATGCCTCAATTCTCACAACAAAATCCAAATGGCACCTATCGACCCTACTTGAGAACCGACTCTAATTTTTGGATGTGCGGAATGGCCTATGCCTTTTTCTGGTGGATTTGCTTTATTGTTTATTGTCTTTACTATCAATTGAACCGGATCCGCATTTATTATATACGTAAACGAAGATTAAAGGGAGAGAATGTCGTAGTCGCTGATTTACCAGGCGCCAAATTTCTACACTCATTTGACTTTGTTGTTCGTATTCCCTTTGTTACAGAAATGATACCAGTTAAAGACATCCTTGGCGTTTTAATATTTTGCGTGATCGATATTTTCTTCCTCTTGTTCGTCGCACCGTATGATACAAACCCAAACCAAAAAGTGATAGCATTCGTGTCGATGCCCGTTTCTATCTTAGATCGGCGGTCTGCGTTTTTAGGGTTGGTGAACTGGAGTTTCGTCTTCTTCCTGGCGCAGAGAAATTCTTGCTTGCCGAAATTATCAGGGCTTACATTCGAGGAATTGATTCCATTCCATCGCATTTTTGCTCGTGTGGGCTACGCCAATTTTCTTCCGCATTTTATCTATAGAATGTAAGTTTCACGTACAATATTTAAGGTACATTTGTTGAAAAGACCTCATTAGACGTTTTGAACTCTGATGTAGATATGATGGATTTATTCGAGAACAGTCTTACTGGGGGATGTTTTTTAAAGATGAAACCTATACAGCAGGATCCATTGCTATGTTCTCTTATATCATTATTTTTATCACTTCTTTAGAATTCATCAGACGCAACCATTTTGAGCTGTTCTATTGGAGTCATATCATTTTTTTGATATCTGCTATCATGTCTACTATATTACATTACCCAACATGTGCAGCGTTTTATACACCGCCCACCTTATTATGGATTGCTGACCGAGCTATTAGAAGTTATAAATCATGGTACACCCAATGCTCATCTATTCAAATCGAACAAGTAGCAAAACAAACAGAGTTGCAAGATGGTATTATTCGGGTCCTTTTCGAAAATAATAACATGCTTCAACACTTTAAACCTGGGAACTACGTTTTTGCAGCTTTTGTGTTGAATGATCATAAATTATGGGAGTATGCCAATTGGCATCCGTTTACAATTTCTGAAATCTTCAGAGTCACTGATAGTACAACAATTGCCAACTATGCAGCTGACGAGGAAGTGAAGACGATTGCGGGGCGAGCCTCCAGTAATTCAAGTTTTGAAGAGGGTATGGCTGTTATCAATGATACTACGCCTTTGCTTGCGAATGGCTCTACTGTCAGTTTTAGTAGCATGGATGACGACAGCGAAAGTATAGCATCAAATATATATGACTCTGCCAATATTAATAGCAGTGGCAGCAGTTTGAATCCTGCCGACGTAGCCTACCTACGGCATCGAAGTGGCAGCAGGGCGCATATGAATAATATACAAAAAAGCTATCGACAGAATAGAGCAGTTGCCACCTTCCATATCAAAGCATTAGGTACAAAAACAAAAGACTTATTGCGAGCGGCAGCAGTAGGCAAAGATGGAACTCAACTAAGCGGTAACATGAAGGTGTATATTGATGGCCTTTATGGGCCCAAGCTTCAATATCAAGATTACCCTACACTGGCATTATTTGCCACTGGCATTGGCATTACACCAGCCATGGCTATTGTCAAAGATGTGATTGACAAACGTTCTATGGGTGTTCGAACTTACACCACCGATACCTTATACATTACTTGGGCTGTTCGTGTTATAGGTACTTAGATATTTTCAACGTAGTCTCTGTAGAATCAATCAACTTCTAATGTAATATCATTCTTTTCTTTTCTCTGACAAAATTAGACGAGATCAAACCGTTTTTGGATATGTTTAGTTACTGGTCAGAAAAAGCAAAGCAATCAATCTTGCCTATTCAGTTAAGCATGACTATTTATGTTTCTGGAATGATGGCTGGCTCATCATCTCTGGAAAGTATGGATGGTTTCAAACTCATTTATGGTCAAAGACCACGGCCGGGTATAAATTTAGAAAAGATAAAAAATGCAAGCATGGATGATCGCGTTTGGGTACATGTTTGTGGATCTACTAGTTTTACAAAAGCGGTGGTCAATGAAGCTGTCCGACATCGTTTTCATTTCCATAAAGAGACCTTTGAATTCTGATTCAGTAACTTATTTTGTTATATTATTTCGTTTTACTTAAACTTATTCTGAATGGATTTTTAGCAACATCTATTCTATTTCTTGTAAATAACATGTGACACTGAAAATGCGTCATTGGTCATTGACCTACTTTCACTGTTCAACCTTGCCACTATTATGACTCCGCCTTTCTCTTTCGGTAGAAAGCTTTCTAGACTGATTCCAGAAATCTGGATTTGAAAGCTAATTTTTCTTATGGTCCCCTTTTCTCTTTGAACAATTACAGTTTTTTAACTGCGGGTTTAGACGCAGCTTAAAAATAACTGGATGGAATGACCAAAATTTTGAGACGATTGAGTTAGAGTTTGAAGATCGAACTACACTAAAATGGAGACGTTTACCTGTAAATATCAAGCCAGTTTCGTTCTGGCGATAATAAAAATCAAAAGACTAAGAAGTTGTCTTCCGGCTGAACTCCGTAGGACGTTCCTTGTCTTTCCATACCGAAATGCTGATGGCCATCATGTTTTTTGCTGCATTGACATCGCGGTTCCATAGTATCTTACAGGTTTTGCAAACAAGGATACTACAGTCACGCACGGTGTCTAATGCTTTCAATGTGTCTGAGCGACAACAATTGCATATGCGTGATGTCAAGTATTCATCAATTGTCACGGCAAGGAGATCACCAGCAGCCTCTCTTCGCTTCAATGCACGCCACAAAACACCAACGACACCAGTTCTAAGGCCTTTTAGATGAACGGCGGATTTATTGAACATGCCGTCACCAAATACAACCAGAGGAACTTTTTTGCGATCACTCAGCCTGAATTTCTCAGGGGCCCATCGTCTGTTGAAGGAAGACAGTAGATTGAGTATACACAAATTCAGTGGACAGTTAATCGCTACAGACTTACCGAACGTGGTTATCGCTCTTTGTCTCTTCTTCTTCCCGGATCTCCTTCTCATTCTCTTCTTCCTGTTTTACTTTCACTTTCTGTTTCGTCTTCTTTCTTCTTTTTTTATGCTTAATTTTGCCCTTCTTCTTTGGCCATTTCATCTGTTCTTCCTTTCTTTTCTTCCGTAATTCTTTGTCGTATTTGATCCCTCCATCGACAAGCATGTTCACCATCATATCTGCAGCACGCTGTCTGCCTTGATGCAGACGGAACCTTGTTTCACCCATACCTGGCCCATAGAATGAGAACAGGATCTCTAAATGTTGTAGTATGTAAATAATATATCTCTTATACTGTTCAGGCGAGCCTGTTTTACTACTTGGTATATTGCTTTCTATCGCTTTTATCATACAACCGGCCTTTTTCCTTTCTAATTCTGCATTGACACGAGTACTACCCGTCATGTGATAATATTCTTTTGTCGAGCAGCGCCGTATCTCATGTCTGTTTGTTTCTAACCCGATTGCTGCTGTAAATACGGTCTTTCGGCCAGGATCAACAAATGTGGGTCTGTAGTTTGTCGTGATTTCTTCATAGGAGAAGTCTTCCAACGTCAAGTCATGATGATCAATGATGGCGTCTTCTTTTGGTTTCTTCTTACGACTAAATAGGAAGTCTACAGTGAAGCCATCAGATCGAATGAGATTCCTGAAGAGCATACTTGTGTTTGTCTTTAACTCAGCAATACTATGATATAAGTGAAAGAATAATCTTGAGAACAGAGTCTTTTAGCAGAGTGCTATTTACTTTACCTTCTGAAGCCTAACTTTTTGAAGTTGAACACTTTACAAAATTGTTCAAGTTGATTCCAATAGCCCTTTACAAGTCTTCCAGGAAATAAAAAAGGAGTAAGGGCGTTTATGCTGATGGTAATGAAGCGCCATGATACTGAGGGTGTTGGAAAAGGGAAGAAGCGATGAGGTAATGGTAACCTACGAACATCGTAGGCAAAATGATTAGAATGCTCTTCTTCGTAGTAGTCCTGGATAAACCACAAGGGCTTGACAAATTTGACCGAATCGGCCGCCAATGATAAAAGCGTAACCTTTTCCTCCACAAGGTCTGCAAAGTTCTTGCACAAATTATCTATTCTTAATTTGTCATCACTGCTTAACTTGACTTTACCAGGCCATTTGGGTTCGCCTTTGCAAATCGCTTGATAGCAGTATTTTGTTGCGATTTCGTCAACATCGCGCTTTACCATGCTCTAAAGAGAAAAGAATATTGACTTTGCTGCTGTTTGGTTTAATGTAAAGTTAATCCTTACCGGGAACAAATTCTGCAAGGTATAGTATAGATATTTAAGCATTCGCTGCTCAAAAAGCTCAACAATGCTGTTTGTATATGTGGTACTGAGCTCTTTACAAGCTTCTGTCAAGCATTGGCTATAGCCTTTGGTGAAGCTATAACTTACTTCGACAGCTGGATGCTTCTCTTTGAACTGCTTATAGAAGTTTTTCATGGAATCATTTATTGCTTTCTTGTTGGTTACTGTTTTACCTGTTACAAGTTGTCCAACCGAATACCAGAACTGTTGGGTGAAAATTTCTTTTGGTGTGTCTTTCTTATTATGGATGAGATAAGCGTTAACAAATAGTTGCGAACGAAACACAATAGCCCTAATGTCATTGCAGCACGAAATGACTTTTTCTCTGAATTTCTCGCGGAAGGTTGGTAACACCGCACTGTCGATGGGAAGCTTTCTTGTGAATACAGTAGCATCATCACCAAGAACAGATGAAATGAGTTCTTCTTTCGAAGACGTGTGTTTGAGGCATTGCGGCGAACGAGCAGTGGTATGGCCATCTTGTCCACAGCTGAGGCACTTTGCAGCTTGTGCGGTGGTCTTTTTCCGTTTAACTGCTTTCTTCTTCTCTTTCACTTGGTCACTCTGTTTTCTCTTTTTGCCACTGCTACCAACTTTTAGGAGGTTACTCACAAGCAATTAAGTGCTGTGTGTAAGATAGATTTAGGTTTATTGCTTACCATCATCAGCATTTACGGCTTTGTAATACTTGCATTTGTAGTAACGCTTGTCAAAATGACCTGGTTCATAGCAGTCTCGACACTTGGTATGCTCTAAAAAATTACAACAAATATCAGAATCCTTATATCTTGATCTGACGGTTCTCCTACAATTATCAAGCATTTTACCAAATGGGTTCCTTTTAACCTGGTTCTTATGCTTTTCTTTAATAGATCTAATCTTCTGTATAATGAAACTTTTGTACATGAATAGAGCTGTAAGTTACAAAAAAAGCGAAATACGGAAAAGAAGGGATCTTATTCTCGTTTAAAAGAACCCCTTCATTATAATCTAACTTTGACAACAAAACGCGAGAAAAGAAAGACACGTCTTTATCATTGGGCAAAGTTCCGAAAAAGGCACTGACGAACATCTGGTTGGGTCTTATAACACATCGTCAAATGACGAAAAAGTTGTCAAGCTTTTTGTAGCTCGTCCTATTGCAAAGTCACGCCAATAAGAGTTTTCTTAGCGACCTCTTTACTATGAGCACTCATTTTTAGGACTAGCTTGTACGCCATCCTTAATGCTGCTTGGATGATACTGGATAATTGATTATCAGCGAAATCGTCCAAGAATAATATACCGCTTCATCGTAAAATAATTGAAAGTTGTCTAAATTAAGATTTAATAGTGTCCAATAAAATTTGTGAAAAGTCTGAAATAGTAGTTAAAACACTGTATTTCATTTTGTTTCATTCCTAACAAACAGAAATTGGCGGTGTTGATATCTTTTATATGATGTTATGCTTTCATAGTTCAAAAGTATATATGCCATGCGCTGTAGAACGAACTTAATAATGACGTAGGGTCAAACTATACGACTAGATAGATTCAAAAAGCCAATGGCAGTTTATTACAAGGATAGGAATATGGCGGGTGGATGTTTAGGAAGTTGTCGGCTGAGCACTTGCAATTGCCAAAAGTACTTATTGTTATCATTGTTACTCTTGTATTGCACGGCCAACGCTGACTTGAATTGTAGTCCGAAATCAGCTTAGAATGACTAAAAAAAAACCGAACGTTATAGATTTGTAATAATTCAATGATGTTATTCTATAATTTTCAGTGCTTTGCTCTGTTAATAATTTTGTATAGTTTTTGAATTTTCTCAATGTACAGTCTGTTCCATCTTGTTCATAACATTAGCCTCTCAATTTAATATCAACGAAAATGCATGTTCCCAAATCGACGCTGATCTCGGATCTACAACTTGGCTATGATTCAAAAAATAAACCATTCTTCTTGTTCCTAAGCGTAACGCAAACTTTTTGTGGCGCTTACAAATCTGAAATGGCATTGATTCTAAAAAAAGGCCAATCAAATTCTATAATACAAACTTTTTGTTCCGATCTTATAAAAACAGTTGCCATGGTTTCTTAAGGAGACCAATACTTATCAAAAGCATTTTAGTGACCTACATTCGATAAGCAGGATGCAGAACAAAAGCTGCATTTTATTAGTTAATTTTTAGTTTTTATCAATTAGAGCGTAAATGTTTTTGTCTTCCTGAATATCTAACAACAATAGAACAAAAAAAGTCTAAACTTCGGAGGGTGGTACACGTAATGTTGCCTAATTTGGGCAAATACAGGTTTCAAGTGTTGAATTCATCCAATCATGTAAGCGATAGTGTTTGGTTGTCATGGCAACCATGTAAGTCACAACGATTATTAATTACTGTATGCATTGCCCCTTAAATTTCCGTTCTTCTGGTTTTTTCTTTTTTATCAAATCAGAAACCGCTATATAAATACCTCGATCGAAAATTTTGTATTCATTTAACCTTCTTTCCTTTTTCCTTTGATATTTGATATCTGAGCCTTTTTTTTTTTGCTACATCACCTACCCATGTTTTCAGACTTCTACAGTCAAACAACAAACAAGCATAACACCATGCCTAGTATTGGCGCAACACCCAGTATGAATAATACCACCATTGCATCACCTTATATGGGAACACCTTACTTAGACTCGTCAATGATCGATACACCCTTTATGGATACTCATACTGCAGACACTCCTCCATTTCTCCCTGTTGGTTTGGATTTTTCACCGTATTTGATGTACAATGCTTTTGCCAATTTGAATATGAGTAGCAATAATGACAATAAAGATGTATGTGTTTCTGGCTATCTGAATCATGCTGGACATAACAATCCGGCTGCTGAGTTAACAATGACCAATGATCCAGTTGCACAGTTCAATGGTGATCCAAGCCTGTTGTTAATTGACAAATCAAAGCATCCTTTGTATACTCCTGCGGCAGCATCGATAACCACACCACTGAATATTCTCACTCCTGCCTCTACTACTATAGCAGGAAAGCCGTCACCAACTGTTAAATTAGAAAATCTATCTGAGCAGGAAACTGATTCGCTATTTCCTCCTCTTACTTCTTCTGAAGAGCAATTTGAACACTCTGCTGTCGATCAGCCTATGGACTCTGGACAAAATATCTCAGGACCGGCCACTCCATTATTAAAGCTGGAAGACGTTTTAGGTTTCGATCCTAGTTCATCACCTTTAAGTGAAGAAATGAGATATTCTGACTCTCAATTCAGCTTATCTGCTGCTAACGACGTTGCCGCCAATTCAGAAGAACCTAGCATAGAAAAACAAGGAGCAGCACAGTCTGAAGAAGAAGGATTTGTAGAGAAGATAAATAAGAGGCCTATTGATGCTGTCGGAAGTGGTCATACATCACAACGTTCTCTTAAGAAGGTGAAGAAGGCAACAACGAAAGCTGCTGAGAAAAATCAACCGGCTGCAAAGCACGACAAACCTAAGAAAGTAATCAAGAAACAAGCAAAAGAACCAAAATTATATCAATGTCATATTTGTGGACTGATTTCTAAACGACGTTATAATCTGAATACACATATCAAAACCCACGACAAGAATAGAACCAAAGATTTCCCTTGTCCTCAATGCCATAAGGCTTTTGATCGTCGACACGATAGAGATCGTCATTTGGCTACTGTTCACCGTGGCGAAAGATCTTTCTCTTGCAAACACTGCAAAAACCACTTTAGCCGAAGAGATGCTCTCAACCGTCATCTGGTGCAAAGGCATGATTACGACGAAAGTCAACTTGTTGATTGATGATGTTATCACTGTTACTTTACGGACACATGCACACAATAGACTATGTGTAAAGCTGACAACGGACGCACGGACGATACAGAAACAGAAAGAAGAACAAATTATGTAGTTTAGATTCGAAAAAAACATTACCTGCTCTACATCACGACGCAGTAGTCTGGCCTTTGAGGCCGTTATTCAAGCCTGATGTATGAATTCATGCTTCTTTTACCTTTAATCTTCTGCCTTTCGATTATTATTTCAATGATGTAGTCGAATGTTATCGGGCATCCCTCCTTATAATATCAGAAGCCCCTTCCCATGAGTTCCTTAGAATAGCTACTTGGCTCTATTAACAGTTCTACGTATATACTCAAACTGATTTATGCATTTACTCATTAGTACACTGTACGTTTTATTATATATGTATATTTATTACGGATATCCTTAATCAAATTTGGTTAATAAAAACCCTTCTTAAATCTTGATACCAAAAAATAGTACAAAAAAAAAAAAAAAGAAAAAAAAAGGTTCGCGATGTTTTCATATGAATAGCTGGATGACAGCATTTGCTACTTTTTAAAGTTTACTACTACAAAACGATATTACAAGTTTTAAACCTTTCATAGCTTTAGACCCTGTATGTTATTGGTAGCGTTGAATAACGACACTATTCAGTAAGCCAGCATCCTTCACACTTTGATTTGCATCTTTGAGTTCTTTAACAGGGAAGGTTGTTTGTAGTATATATTGACCACCAGCAGTTGGTCGGGATCTAGCAATATGTAATTAATTTTGCTCGTTATTTTTTGCCATTTTAACTACTCCTTCCTCGTATCGTTGATGGTTGACTTACGATTCAATAAATTTACGAATGTCAGCTATTGTGTGTGTATGATTTAACTTGGCTATCAATCTTTGTTTTGTCAAATAACATTATAAATGAAGCACGGCACGTTAGTTACTCCTGCTCAAAGCAGTGGTCTCCCTTTGAGCATTTGTAAGTCTTATTGCTTACCTTGAGCCATCTGCGAGACGAATTTGAATGTTTGTGATAGGCTGACTTTCATCTATGGTTGGTGCGTTGGTGTTCGCTGAACTGTTGCTGTTGGAAGCAGCTGCTGGATAAGCACCAGGCGCTGGTGAAGGTGTACTAAAGGTAGGTGCTGGGCTACCAAGACGGTTACCTGCTCCTTCAAATGCTTTACGAACTTTAGGTGGAGGAACATAGTCTTCCCCTTGACGCTTCACCACACGAACTTCAACAGGTTGACCATGACGCACGTTCAATAACGAAAGTGGTGCACGTCTATGGTACAATATTAAATTGTGAGCAGAGTTTGAATCTATATCCCTAATTAATAAAGTCGGAATCTTTCTCTTACCCACTATTGATAGCAGTTAGCATTTCTTGGTTAGCAGGATCATTATATTCAAACAAAGGTCCGTCATCTACACTGAAACCGTTTCGCCAAAATGTCAAGTAACGGGTGACCTGGGAAATCGAAAGGAAAATTAAGATGACTGCTGCTCTGTTACATTTGAAAAGTCTATTTATGATTTACTGGCTCAGGTTCTTCGTCAAGCGAACCGGCAGAGGTTTCAGCAGGCTGAACTACAGAGGAAGGCTCTTCCTCACTGCCTAATCTATATCCAGTGCCTGTGTAATATTTGGGTTTTTTCGTTGACTTTTCGAATTCTTCAGCAGGTACAGGACCTCCTCTATTGAATGAATTCATAGGTTAAAACCAGTGCTTATTTCCTGTTACACGTCCATTTCTTCATTAGTGAGGCTTACTGAGCTGCCTTTCTAAGAATTTCATCTACGAGGTTATCCCCATTATCACTTCCACCACGTCTATTAGGCCCTTGTACAACCATACCGCTACACGTAAACAGCATCTGACAGTTATTGAATTTTGCCCTGTTCATCAATTGATGGCATATTCGACTTACGATTTTTCTCCACCCGCATAGAGGTTTTCATGATCATCGTCATCTGAATCGCCACCATCATTCGAAGATATAAGGTCACTAAATGAGCGGATTTTTGAGCTGGGGGCAGAAATTAAAAAAGAGCGTGTCGAGGGTAAGAAAATTGTGTTGTATTAATGGGATGTATGTATTGTTAAGGACTTACGAAGATGAGGAGGTTGGTTTTCCAGTATTGGTTGGTGTAGTTGACCTGGAGATATTGGAATTACTGCCACTGGCTCCTCCGAAAGCTTGTTGCGAGGCAGATCGTTGATCAGTGGGGACTGCTGCTGTAGTATGGTCAGTGATCGCTTCTGTAGAGCCTGAATTATCGAAGAACTGCGTTACAGCGAGCTATGTATTAACAATTCGTTGCTGTTAATTCTTACACCTACGCAATTGTTGTTTGCAGAAATAGAGTATATCTGAGTCAAGCACTTACTTCCAAATCTCCATTACTCATTTCAAGGTAGAACTTTGCTTGTTGTTCGTTAGCATTAGTCATGCTGATGAATTGCGCGATTGACTCACTGTTGTCACTCATACTATAAAATTTGTTGCCTAAAGAGCAGTTGTGAAATTGGTATGAAGAAATGTAATGAATAATATCGAAAAGAACACGTCATATGCAGGAATCTTTGCTTTAGATTAAAGCCGAAAGTGTCTTCGGAGTTTTTCTTTTATTTGAACGCTTGGGAAGGCTTTATGTATCGACAATGAATTCTCCACTTTTGATGTTTCGAAAAAAGTTTTGATTATTTTACTGCCGCGCAAGCTTGGAAGGCACAAAATGTGTACAAGATGTTACTTTTATATTGGATAATAATGATCCAAATTGTCACATCACTTCCATATTGTGTTAATGATTGTCATAATTTATATTACTCAGCAATCATTTCTAGATGAACTTTTGCAACAGCAATACAGTCTTAGTATATGCATCAAGCACTCACAGAAAAGAATGAGGCAGCGGATGACAAACAGCTACCCATTTTCTTCTCTCATAGTTAGTGAATTTGACACATAGAGATCAAATATTCTAGGTTTCACCTACCTGACAGTGGGCATCAAGTATTACATGTGATCATTGCTAAGCGTCAACATTAAAGGCTATACTATATTCACTGTTTTGTGCAAAAAAACCTGATAATATACTATAGATCATTCTGTTTACTAATTGAACAGCGAAGGTGCCCTTATCGAGTAGTTGCAAGACTCTTACCTAATTTATACATTGGTTTTCACCGTAGAAAGATATACTACAGAATTTCTCAATGCATTTAGTACCCGTTGATTGTATAGCTTGTGCCTAGTACAGCATATTCGTCATGATCTGGGTCTAGCACTTTTTGAACTGTCCTGAAGTGGATGCATCAGTTGAGTATAGTATAATTATTGCTTACACAAGCCAACGGACAACAGCGCTATTTTATCCGTATTAACAGCGCCTTTCTCAAGCGAAAAAACAGTAGTTGTGAACGTTCACAAGTGGATAAGATTTCCCTAAGTGGTCGCGATGCATATCATTATGAAACGAGGCCCCATAAAATGAGAATATGTCAACATTACAGTAAGACATAATTGGGGAAGTTCTAAAAATAAAATCACGTCATCTACGTGATAAATATCATTTGCCTCCTTAACAAACCGCTTATTGTAATAGCTTGGTGGTAATGCCTTTTCTATTTTGAAACACAGAAGATCTGTTTTGAGCGGAGTGCCTAACTTATTCTTAACAGATCATGATAAATGCAAATAAATCAACCTTCTTCAGTTCGTTCTGATTTCTCCTTTACGAAAAATTAATGCACTTACTAATGGGCATAGCAGAAACGAGGTTTGAAGGTTGAAGATGTTTTCTGTCTTTCTATTGCATAGGCGCAAGTCCAGGAAAACGGAACATATTGTCGTTTTGTCTACTTTAGGGAACACTCTATATCGGAATCTATTGCAGCTAAAAAACCTTGTTTCATGCTAATATATAGTAGTGGCACTGCCTTTTACGTCATTTTCAGCTCCCCTGTACAGACACGATACGTTATGTATTTCTCTAATATAAAAACAGTAAAGACTGCAATACGGGATTGTTGAACTACTAGGAGATTAATGAAAAAAGCATAATGTGCCACACTTCGCACTTTAAAGGGAGAGTGATTAGTAAGACTGACGGTTCCGGAATACTTAAATATCATTCTGTAAAAAAAGCAGAAACATCAAATGCTGCTAATGATCGATAACGGACAATATTAGACAGCAGGTAAACATATAAAGCAGCCTGATCTACTACCCCAAATAAATTCTTATAAAGAGGGTTTCAGTTTCTTAGATACATCTTTATCTTTTTCTCTTTCATTTCAAATAAAGCAGATTTATCAAAACTGATAATACATATAAAATGCGTTGCAGAAAACAGCTGACCGTTGCCGAAAAACGTAATCAGGAACATATCAGTTTTGTCCAAGGATGTAAAGGAGCAGCTTACGGTGTCGGTATTGGTCTTTTGGCTAGCGTTGTATCATTTCGCTTTTCGCCCGCCTTTAGAGCATTGAGCAGACCTTATCAATACAGCATGTTAGCCACAGGTGGCTTCACTGGCTATATGTTTGGTTCTGAGCGTGGTGCTTACAACTATGGCAATGAAGTCTTGGGCTATGTCGATCACAAAACTATGGACAAACGAGTTTATCAAAATTACAAATCATTGATAATGTCTTCTGGTGAAGTACGATCTAAGAAGGAGAAACTAATCTATTTCATCAATGAACATCGCTGGGCTATCTTAGGTACTACTTGGGCCTCTTCCATGATCAGTGCTTGTGCTTACAGCTTTTGCGGCAAAAAACATCTCACGGCCAAGCAGAAATTCTACCATGCTCGTATTTATGCTCAAGCTCTTACTTTAACAGCGCTTATAGTCACAGCAGGTATCTCTTTCTATGGTGAAGAAAAAGAAAAGGAATTGATACAGCAATATGTTCCTGATGAAAGGAAATTACGCGCTGTTCTTGAGTTGCCCAAAGGCGACCAACATAAGAAATTAATGATTCAATAACTTCATAGATCGACATTAAAGCGTGTATATATCCTCAATCATTTACAATAACAAAAGTTTAGATTTCTCATTTGTCATACGCTTCAATTACTGTTTTTTCGCTTGACTTTCGCACCAAATGGCTATTAAATTGAGACTACATTATAATTGAAATTCAGACTAATTTAAAAATTATTTTGGATGAAAAGTATGATTTTTGGGATCATACCTTTTCTGTCAAAATGCTCAATGCCAAATGTGCGAACTACTATTACTCAAACAAGGTAAATACACTGTGCCAAAGCACAGAGTACCTACCCTGTTTGTGTATGTAGTAACGTCATTCATCAGTTAATAAAACCCCAGAAATGTACAGTGACAAATTTCACAAGATGAACTCACCTAGAACCTGCAGCACCATTTTCGTTATGGCGATGGCGAGAGAAAATGTCGGGGCGGCCATTGTGTTCCCATACGGAATTTGCAATAGTAAGCATATTTTTGGCCGCATTGACGTCTCTTTGCCATATTATACCACAGGTTTTGCAGACCTTGGTACCATAGACGCTGGAGCCGTCCGAAATTCGTACTTCTTTCATTTCGACACTATTACAATTGTTACAAACCTACGAAAATGACATTACTTCTAGAGAAGGGCACTTAATTTGGCAATTTGGGATCCACCTTTGAGGTTTTAAACTCACAGTATTCGATGGCGATGCTTTTCTCGCTTCTAGCCTTCTCTTTTTGCCTTTATCTTTAGCTTGCTTTGTTTCGTAGTCGTCCGGACTTTCGTTTCTTGGCTAGAAAAGCGTATGAATAGAATATCAGTGAAAATGAACAAGAAATACTACCTCTTCAGCTATCTGTTACCATTATATTCTGGACACAAGTATGAGCCCTTATGGGCATGTCCTTCCCGTCCGCAATCAAAACATGTTTCTAGATATTAATGGTTCAACGATTCTAATTGAGTACATAAACGAATAGTAAACAAAATACAGCAATAATGAACTGACTTTCTTTATTCTCTTGCTGCTTTTTCTTCAACTTTGCTTTAAGGTAAACTTTTGCTTCTCTTGACGGCATGATAATAAAGCTACTCAAAAGATACAAACACTCAGTTGCAAACAAAATATGTACAGTGCAGTCGTTGTGAGTAGGTCGTGATGAGATCTTATTTTAATCTACCTGATGCTCCACTGCTAACACTTCTTTAATAATTTTTTAAAGAATATATAACTAGACTATGATAAAAAAGGGAAAAGGTACTAACTTTTTATCTTTTTATAAACTGAAACTTTTTGTTAGAATGTTATATTTGGACAACAAAGAAGTTTTGACAACAAAAACAATCTAGACGCGCTAAATTTTGACATCAAAATCGAAACACGTTTATTAATCGAGACACGTTTATTTATCACTTCATCAGTTACTGACAAGAAACAGGCGTTTAACTTAATTTATACAATCATCTATTGTTATTGCTTTCTTTAAGGGAAAAATGACACTAAAGAGACTCGATTTTAGATCAAGAGAGATGCTGAGCAGTCAATGAGAATACAGTATTGTGAGTCATTGACATAGAATACGACTGGACAACCAGCCCACATGGCAGCTAAGGAGAATGTACGTAATTCTTCTGGGCCGATCACACGACGGAACTTACTGTAACAAATGCGTGCAGAAAGGAAGTGGCCTCAAATGGGTACTACAAGTATCCAAATGTAAAAAGTAACTAGTCCGATTAAAACCGAAAATACTGTAGTAATAAACCGCGTAGTTTTTTTTTTTTTTCTTTTTTTTCCATCATCTCAAAAAGGCATTGCCAATTTTCTGTACGGTATTATCTCCGCAATATAATTGGATAAAACACGGTTTGTTGACAAAGAAAAGCTGCAAAAGATTACATTTATTCTTAGTATTGCTATTACCACACATTTGCTGGAAAACCAGAAAACAAATTATACTGTACCTGCAGTTTTTAGATTGTAACTTCACTTATTATGGCAGAAGCAGATACTTTTATAGGCTCAAAAGTGTCAGTACTCTTGCAGTCTGGCATAAAATTGGAAGGAACCATCTCTTGCGTTGAGCCATCTACACAGCTAATGACATTGAAAAATGGTAAGCTCTTATTTGCATCAATCAATCACCATATAGTTGGAAAAAAAAGGTTTACCATATAATGAATTAGTATCACTGCTCTTACCTGGCCAGAAACCTCTTCAGGCGCCCGTTTACGGTGTTTATGGCAAAGATATCAAAGATCTGCAAGTATTAAGTGCTCCTCTCCAATCACAGCAACAGAAACAACAACAACAGAGACAAAGAGAACCTATCTTGGACAACCATTTATTAGAAGATATACCCCCACCAAAGCCTAGAGATGAATCTTCAGCAAAGGTATACTAGACAATAGCTAACTCACCATGTCTGTTTATACTAAAAAACAGATAAAATCTTTTGAATTTTAAGACATTAGAGACACCTATGCGTTCTGCATCTGCGTCAAAACCAATACGCGACAATAACTATAAAAAATCTAAACAGCAGACAGCACAATATCATTCACAACCACTGTATTCACGGAAGAAGACTTTTAAGGACAGTAACGGCAATACGAACAATGACTGGGCAAAAGAGAATGTAGAAATCTTTAAAGAAGAAGAATTTGATTTTCAAAAAAACCTGAATCTGTTTGATAAAGAAAAAGTGTTTGCAGAAATTAGAGAAGCAGATAATACTGCTCAAGAAGATTTGCTTGTGACAATCAATAGATTACCACAAAAGAATCAACAATATCTACTACAGCAAAAAAGACAAATCAATTTGCTACCGACAGAAAACGTGTTAGAACACGATAATCTTAAAGATGATGATGATGACGATGATTACTTTGAGGAGGATGAAAGTGATAATGGCGATTCAGAGACGCAGGATGAGTTTATGAGAACTACCGCTACTGCTACTACGACAACAAAGAAACGAATGGCTTCGTCAAATTCTAAGAATTTAACAGCTAGAATAGCAAAGATTACATTAGCATCAAAAAGCAATAGTAGCGGCAGTAACAGTAATAAAAACCAGCAGCAGCTATCAAGTACGACTATAAAGACAACAAAAATTGTTACAAAGAATACGGGTATTGCTTGCTCAACAGTCTCTCCTCTGCAAATGGCTCGTGTAGAGCATGAATGTTCTCAGATATCTGATTCTTTTGATCATCTTGTTGTTGAAAATGGAGGTCGCGGAGCAGCTTCATTGATCCTGCAGCTTTTAAGTCGAACCGATATTGTTTCGCCTTCTGTCAATATTTTGGTAGGAAACACGAAGAAAGGTGCACTCGGTTTGGCAGCAGCCCGCCATTTATTCAACCACGGTTGTTCAGTCACTGTATGTATCATCACAGCAAGCAGTGGTAATCGATATCAACAGCACAATTCGTTATCAGACTTAGTTCGACCTTATTATAATGCATTATCATCTATGAAGCAAAAGATCGCTGATAGCAACAGCAGTAACAGTGGTAGAGGAGAAGGCGAACTGAAAATTACGTTCGATTTTGATACTGATTTTTTAACAGCCCCTGATTTAATCGTGGATGCTATGCTGGGAGTAGATGACAATATAGTGGATATGCAAGGTTCATTTTATTACGACGAAGTTTGTAATGTTATTGAATGGGCGAACCGTCAACTCAAGCCTATACTTTCTATCGAATTTCCAAGTGGTATCGATGCTGGTACAGGCATCCCTTTGCATCCAGAACATATGATTCATCCTAAATGGACGCTTTGCCTTGGGGCTCCATTGTCGGGCTGCAAATCTTTAAACGTAACAGGAGAACTCTACTTGATGGATGTTGGCATACCTAAGATATGCTGGCGAAAAGTGGGCATGAAAGGCAACACAATTCCTTGGTGTGCTGACTTTTTGGTTGCTTTGGAATATAATACAACTGAACAGCCTACATCGGCTCTTTTGTAGAATCCTGTTTATACATGTAATAGATTTCTATAAATGTTAAATAGTTATACAATAGCTGATTCTAATGTACCACCATTATGTGAATATTAAATTGCATTTCAGCTGTTAATTGTAGTAAACATTTTAGCAACACGTCCAAATGTGGTACATCTATCGCAGGGTTGTGTATAGATAGATGATGTTTGCTATATTTGACTGCCTTTAATATTATTATCAGCTGTTGTTATTCCACGCTCTAGTTGAGCTTGATATACTATTTTTCGCTCTTAAAAATGCTATACTAAACAACATCTGTTTCTTATGTCCATTAGCAACTGCCATATATTTTCAGCATTCTTTTGATATAATAACTACAAATCGTAATCTTGAAACACAGACAAAGAACGTAAATACAGTTTGTAAATTTTTTTTTAAGAAAAAAAGAATGTCTGCATCTGTATTATTGTCCATAAAAAACAGCGATGGAGTTAGGCAGATGGAAAGACAGTTAATTAAATAGAGGTAAGAGCATTACGACCAGTTTTACTCGTTGTACTTTATATTATAAAAATTGTTGGTGAAGAGGAACCAAAGATAATGGATGAAAAAAAAGTAACAGAACAAGAAACGGTGCATTTATAAGTAATAAAGCTAAATTGCTAACAATCTCAGAGTTTCTTCGAGTATTTTTTTATACCTGAATGTTCTTTTGGTACCTTTTCATCATATTTACTCCCAACATGGGCTAATGTGAGCTCAATTGGAAAACAGAGTCAGCTGTTGGCGATTGCTGTTGAAACAACACTACTAAAACAAGTGTTCTAAATGCAATAATAGTATTAGTAAATTATGCAAGGTCATCACTTGAAGGAGTTTTATCATTGGATTACCTGGCTCGATTAAACTTGGCAGTAACTTTATACAAAAAAGAAAGGAAATAAACAAATAAAAGAAAACTGTAGGGTAAAGTAAGTTGAACGCCTCCTTTTCCATTGTGATCGTTGCATTCACGCTATGAACTTCCTAGTCTCTCCTCGTTGACTCATGAATCTCAAAACGCAAAAAATTATAAGATATGCAATCAAAAATTACATTTCTGGAAAGGCCCCTTTTAAACTACTGTTTCTTGTTACATAAACTGGCCGTAGTAACCAGAAGCAATTTTTTAAATATAGCTAAAAAGGAGAGTTCATACAAGTAAAGAGCAAATTAAATGGAAACAGTCAAACAATAAAGATAACGAATATGAAGACATATTATCCTACAATATACACAGGATAATAATAATGGCTTGAGAAGTGGCTTAACTAGCTTCATCTTCTTTATCCTCTAAACGAAGTGCAGCTTTTGTCCTTGATTTGATAGTAGATGAAGAACGGCTTAATAAGTTGCTGTCACGTTTTCTATGACGTGTTGAATTTCTTTCAAGTACCAATTGATTTCTGCTGGCAGTAGGATAAGGTGTTAAAGGAGTAGTGGCATTGATGGTACGACGACTACGGCTTCTACTGGTACGAAGATGTTGCTCATCTTTTTTCTTATTGAGATGATAAGTTCCACTATTATCATCGTCAATTTCCTCTTCAAAGTCACTATCCTCATCTTCATTTTCGCTGTAGTCTTCATCACAGTTATCATCTTTATTATCAAGAACCATTGCTGAGCGTGAACGTACAGGGTTTCTTCTCAATCCTACGTTTGAGCTCTTATGTTGATCAATGGTATGATTAGGACTTGTTGCTACTTCTTTCTTCACCGACACCGTTGAAAGAGCCGGTGCATCATCGGTACTCTCGTTTTGTTCATTTTCAATCTTAATGGTAACTGAGGCAGCATCGGCATTATCTGGTTGCTGCGAATGCTGTAGAGGTGGTGTGCCTATGAAAGCGTGAACAGGTGAACTGACATTGTTACGACTATCACGACAAGGCATGTGCATTGCTGATACACGATTAGGCATAATATTGTCACCATTACTATCATTTTTATCACCGCCGCGGTTGCTGTTGGTTGATAAGCGGTAATAATGCAGCTGCTTTTGAAAACCTCTGTAAGATGCCAAAACTTTGCTTTCAAAGGATGAATTACTACTTACTAGGTTACTAGTACGGACATTGTCATGATCGGAACGTGGAGCTGAATGGGGTAGGTGTTGCCTGTAATAGTGGTATTGGAAAGAATGGTAATATTGCTGGTGCTGCTGCTGCTTTGGCTGTAGATGGCTATTGTTCGCCTCAACACTGTTTCCATTGTTGCTGTATGATTGAGGTTGTGTTGAATATCCTGAAATAGTTGCTGATGGTGTAGGAAGAATACCATTGGCATAATCCAGGTTTGTAGTAGCGGTAGAAGCAGAAGAGTAATGGCTGTGGTTATAGCTAGAATTTGTTATATTGCGACTGTGATTATTTAATGTTGCAGTAGTAGTACTATTAACCGTCTGGCCAGAATGCGTATTGCTTTCACCATTAGCCCTATAAACATGAGGATGATAGTACGAAGGATGTGGATAAGAGTGATAGAGAGGATACTGCTGTCGTTGCTGCTGTTGCTGTGGTGAATAAGATTCTTGAATTAGTGGCTGTGATATATTTGTTCTTTGCTGATAGTAATCGTTGCTACTTGGTGATTCTGTACTCATGTCTATAGTGGTTGATAATGGTGTTGTAACAGCATTGGGTGATGATTGCGTAGTAGCTGGGTTATATAATGTTGTAGGTGAAACAGACATAGCATGGTTAGAGATGTTACTGCTGCTCGTGTATATCACGGTATTCGCACTCTGTATAATACCACCCGGGCTGTAATAACATGAAGAAGAGGTGGGGGAGAACGATGATAAAGAAGCTGTACTTGGGTATCTTCCCATCATAACATTAGTATGACTCCAGGGCGTGGTGTGGTTATTGTATATTTCAGCAGGTGGTGGTGGAGGATGCCTATATGGACTGCTGTTGCTACGATTGAATGAACTTAAATCAATGTCCCTCAATCTATTAGATGCACGATGAATACTTGAAGAAGATGAAGTTGTACTGCTACGACGCCGGGTATTATCGTGACGCATTGACGATATCGAGGACGATGATACCAATCGAGTAGATTTTAATGCTGCTTCGCTCTCTTTGACATAGTTATCGACCTTCCAATAAGACCCCTTTCCAGGCTCAGTCACAGGTCTGGGTGTACGAACAAAGCATTTGTTAAGAGAAAGGTTATGACGAATAGAGTTCTTCCAACCAGGGCCCGCAGTAGCATAATATGGATAATGCTCGATGACCCAGTCGTAGATTTGGCTTAATGTCAGCTTTTGATTCGGACTGTTCTCAATAGCATATCTGATAAGAGTTGCATAGGAATAAGGTGGTTTCCCTGATGTGTTAGTACGATCTGAATTTAAATCTTTCGAAAGATATGTCATTTCTCGCTTCAATTTAGTAGTATGACTATTGCTACTTAACGCTGTATTATTGCTGTTCGGAAGTTGTGATGAAGTAGTAGTTGTTGGAGAAGGCGTAGACTCATCAATAGATTGCTGGTATCGTTGAATATCGTTATCGATATTGCTTTTATTGAGATGATCGGTACATGTCCAGCCACATGATTCCTGCCGGCCTCTAATTTTTTCAGTAGACAGTAATGAGAGGCTGGGTTTTGTCTCAGCAGTTTTATTGTTCCAAGATGTTGACGCGTCCACTGTTGTATTGGCGCCAACATTGCTATGACTATTATGATCCAGCACTAGTCCCTCAATTGGTTTAGGAGAAGATGGCTTTTCCTTTTTTATCTTATTATCTTCATTGTCATTCACATCAGTCGAAGTCATATTGACGTTGTTTGAAGTAAAAGAATTACCAGCTGCTACAGTAGTAACAATACTTAGTTAATAGCTGTAAAAGTATTGCAGTATCAGTCCTAACTGCCGGTTATTACGGTAATAATAATCTATAATTTGTGTTATCTGACAGTCATGATCAGATAATGGTCTAACAGATCTGTTTAAGGTAGTTTTAGTTTTATAGGTCCTTACGATTAAACTTTACTGTTGAAACGAGGCTATGGTGTATGGGTACTAAAAAAGCTTAATTTAGTGTGTTTGATGACTGAATTGTGTGATATAAACCAAGAAGGTAATGGTTTGAGCCTTTTGAGTCAAGAATAAAATGGAACAATGGAAGTTATCTAACAGTGGAAGCAATGAATAGAGAAGATATATAAAGAGAAAAGAAAACAACACAAAATAGTTACAAACAGAATTTCAGAGTATAAATAAACAGGTTTGAAAACTCTTAAGAAAAAACGATTGGCTTGAATAACTTGGACAGCATACACAATAATCCGTATCATGTGCTTTACAAACATTTATACGAGTTTCAAGAGTCCAAAAGATTATTCAAATGAAGCCTAACAGAGTGTCTGTTTTCTACCTCCGAGGGCTCCGTAGCCCCGTATATTTATTGCATTTGGGGTCACAAATTGTAAAAATAAACCTCTTTCTGTAACATGTAGCCATAATAGGAAATATGTGGGATTGTTATGGTTACCTTAGAGAATTCATCTCTCCTTCAGCCTCTAATTTTGATATGTTTGAACCCTTTGATTATTCAACAAACAGTCGTCGAAGCAATGAAACAAGATCCCTGAATACGTTTGAAGTAGCCCTAAAAAAGTGATATTGAGGATAATAAAGCCCTGTACATTGTTAGTTTGAGACTTCATTTTAATGACGGCACAAAACTTGAATCAATATCCATGCAAATCGCTTTGTTACAGCTATCCACTTTCTACTTAAACAGTATATTATTCCTAATGGGACCCACCTTTTAAGTAGTAGGAAGTAAAAGTGCAAAGCTAATTTTTCATAGTTATTGCTTCATTGTCCTAGACATCTTGAAAAGTGATTAAGCATCGCTTCAATTCCCACGCAGAATTCTGCACTGATACTTTCACCTTGAAAATTTGAAATAAAGCAGAGAAAGCGCTATTTACTTGAGGCAATACAAGTATAAAAAGTTATTAAAACAAAATACTCATTTCGATTGAATGCATTTGTTTAAGGAATATCTGGTAAATGTATGCTAACTTTAATATAGATCCCTCAAACTGATATGCTATCTCATACGTTCTTGGTGTTATTTAGAATGGCACGCATGTCAGTCTTTTCCTTGGCAAGCAAAGATTGCGTTCTTCAATATTTTTTTGCGAAGTCAAAATCATGTTGTTATTATACCGCGCATGTTTTATCTTAATAATGAATATTTTTATTTTTTTTTGGAATACTGATGATTGTTTAAATGTTCGGACGAAAACATGCAAGTAGTTAACATCATCAGAAGTACATGCTGCTTATAGTCCGTCTACCAAATAACTCTGCTTCTTCAATAAGTTTCTGTAAATGTTCCTCATAATACCAACGACTTTTATTTGATCTTTTACTATTTGTTTCCCTTAATAACGAGAGATATAGAGGCCTGGTTTTCGTTAACTTCTGCTGAAGTTATTTCCATTTTTTCTAGTATTGTAAAACCAAAGGCTTTTGATAAATAAAATCAACTGCATAGAGGGTAAATAGATATCACTTCTTACAGAATACTCATCAGGTCCATTTTTTGGTGTATTTTTCCTGTTTATGTGAAGCAGACTTGTGGTCATCCTTAAACAGGGAGATTTCTTGGAATTGGCATGCAAAGTAGATGGCTGACCTTTCTGAGCAAAGAATTCTATGTTTTTCTCTTCTTCTTATTCTTCGATTTCTGTATTTTACTCTTGTCCATTTCAATTGTGGAAACAGCTTTAGCATTTTAAGCAGTCTTTTCTTACTGTCACCTCTGAAAATAAAAGTTATATTCTTCGAAAGATTTACTCCATTGCATTAAGTCAACTAACTTTCTGTATTCTAATAATGGCTTGAAACTATCTCACGCTTAATGTATGACTCTTCATTATGTTTATCATTGTGAATTTAATGGCTTTTCCTCCACTGTAAATTTTTGAGTGCTTTTTTTCGACCTTAAGTCGTTTTTTGATTTTTTCTGAAAGACATTTTAGCAACAAAGCAATTACAATGAGACGGTAGACCCAGCAAATCAAAACCCATGACATTCCGGTAGGTATAAAGTGATAGCGCTCAGAATTGACTAGCTATCCATTATTATGATTTTTGCAAACATTATCAATAGTAAGCTCTGCAACTTTTAAAACAATGGAAAAGTCATTCTCTCGGCAGCTACAAACAAAGCCATCAACTTAAAATAATCCTCCATATTCAGATTTAACTAACAGCATTTTGGGAGGATAATTCAGCTGCGATTTGTCAAAAACTTAAAGTGTCAGTTTACCATTCATATGTCTTCATTTTTTTGCTGTGTAAGATCAGCTGGTCATTCATCCATCCAGGGAAACCAATTACATGCATAGTGCGTGTAACCGAGCAGGATCCTGACATTAAGTTTATTTTTGTCGTCCACCCTCACTTTTTACTTTCTTTTTGTTTACAATAACTTTAAAAGTGAATATGAATACTAACGTACTCACAAAGGAGCAATTACAACAGGTAGTGAATACGAGGCTTGACTGATCAAAAATATGATTATTTTGATTCGCTAACACAACACAACCATACAGTTTGATAGAGATGGGTAGGAGCAGCAAACACTTGTCAGGAGAATTCTTTATATTGCAGAAATTGAGCTTCTTTTGCCTTTTATTAACGATGACTGAATAGGTGCTTGGCTATTCCCAACTTTTTCACTTCAGTCAAAGCACAAGAACTCAGGACAGCAGCTGAAAACTTACTCGAGAACTTATCGTTAGATGGCCATCCAATGACGAAGTTTACTACGGGTACAACAGAAGAAAATAAGCATGTAGGCGACGATTACTTTCTGCAATCTGGTAATAAAATACGCTACTTCTTCGAAGAGGGAGCTTTCAATGAGAAAGGCGATTTAATCAGACAAAAAGAAAGAGCTATCAATAAAATCGGTCATGGTGAGTAGATAAGAAAAGGATTCGCTCAACATCGCTCAATGGAGTATCACAAAATCATTGAGGCTAATGAACTACTATATTCAAATCTGCTGCATTATTTACCAGGTTTGCATATGTTGCATCCTTTATTCAAAGAATTCTCAACAAATAAAACCATTTCAACAATAGCAAAGCAGTTAGGATTTCGGTCACCACAAATTTTACAATCAATGTTGATATTTAAGCAGCCTTATATAGGTGGTCAAGGTATTGTATAAGCGACGAACAGAATATTAAATAGTACTTCGCAAAATACATAAAGAGTACGAGCAGCTAACATTCAACAATTTCAATAATTAGTCCCTTCTCATCAAGACTCTTCTTTTTTATACACTGAACCTTTGTCTGCAGTTGGGTTCTGGTTCGCTTTAGAGGACGCTACGGTAGAAAATGGCTGCTTATGGTTCATACCTGGATCACACAAAACAACGCCGATTGACAAAAGATTTGTAAGGAATCCTAACGGATCTGGTACTATATTTATTGATAGTGCATCTCAAAAGGAGCTGCAACAAAGCGTCCAAAACGAAGATGAGAAGGAATTTGTTAAACTTGAAGTAAAAGCGGGCACATTAGTTTTGATTCATGGTTCTGTTGTCCATAAATCTGGTCCTAATTTATCAGAAAAATCGAGATATATCTATACTTTCCACTGCATAGATGGTGAAGCTAAATATCCCAAAAATAACTGGTTACAACCGGAAGACGGTGAGTGCTTCACCTCTATTTAAGCGTCTGGAAAAGGAATAAAAAGAAGAGCAAATATGCACTTTCTATTTTTTTTGCATGATTCAATTACCGCAAAGCAAAGAATTTCTGTCATGCTCGAATTGTTCAATTTATTTGCGTCTCTTTGATTCTGTTTGGTATAAAATGGAGCAACGAATTCAACAATTTCACGATGACACAAAGTCCATTCCTAATCCACCTACTGCCAAAACTTTAAAACAAATGAACACTCTGAAAAAGTTCATTTACAAAAATCAGGTATTGGCAACATAAAAGATTGGCGTTAAAGTTTTGTAACTTAGTAAGAACGTAAAGCTCAACATTCAAGACTTTGCTTTTATTGCAAAGGATTATAGATTTTCAGATAAAGAGAAAAATAAGCTTTTTGCATGCATAGAAACTTATTTTACAGTGTTTGACAGAAGGTTAGCATCTACTGATAGAATTTATACTTGATAAACAGTGTGCTCATTTTTCCAACTCCTCAAAGTGGTTTGGCAAATAATGTATCTGCTTTTCCTCTAATTGAAGATGCTTTGAAGGTTCCTTGTTTCACCACAAAGCAAAAAAATCAGTTATTGAAATGGTAGTAGTTGCCTCTTTGCATTATATATCAGAATGAAACTGACGGTTTGCAAAACTGTAGGTATGATGAAATTCTTGCTAAAGAAGAAGGCAGAGATCAGCCAGCAAAAGGAAAAAACGTCAGCCGCGACTTTGAGGATGAGGAGAATTATGACGATTTTGATTGGGATGCCTTTGAACGAGGAGGACTAGAGGAAGAGGTTGCATGAAGCAATGATGCATAATTATACAGACAAATTAGAATAATATTTATTTTCCAAATTTAAGCATTAATACATATAAAAATTAGAGCAATAATGGGCAGTGCGCATGATATTGTAATACAGTCTTAGTTATGGTAATAGTGGTAATGGTGCAATTTTTACAACTCTGCATCTATGACAACCTGTTTCAATTCTATTTCTGCATTCTGTTCCTCACACGAGTTCTTTTCATATTTACCAACTACTTTCATTGTTTTCAACCTAATGTCTACACCATTATGAATGCAACTATATTCAAGATCTATTTGGTTACCAAGTTTCCAGACTGGTAAGTGAGGTAATTGTAAACTTTGGCACCATCATTGTTTTTATAAAGTCTGCGATGGTAGTCAGCAAATAAATCACAAACCGAGTGTTCAGTCTCGAGTGCTTGAGCTATGGTTGCTTTTGCACGTAATCGAGATATACGATCCAAATAGTGTAAGTTACGTCTGATAATAATGACAATTGATTAACATAAACCTTATAACAAAAATATGCAATAAATGAAACAAAAACTTACATATAGCGAGTAGTACGTCTATAGTGTAATGAAAACGAGTGAACAAAATCGTAAGCATACCTGCCGTTGCAACGAGGTAAAGTATACTACAAACAGCTGTAGTTATCCACCTTTTCAAAGGCTTGAATTTTTTTTGCTGCTGCTGATGCGGCAAAGTGAACATGCCAAACCATTACGCAAGACATCATGACACAGGTGTGTCCGGAGAATATATTATCAGTACATGTTAATGCTGTACCACCCATCACAGTGAAAATGTACCCAAAACGCTCCACAACTGTTCCTGACCGCACTGTTTCTGGAGGTCGACACTGATCTATCATAGATGAAGGCAGCGTAGTAACCAGTAAAGTGATTCCTCGGAAAATATAAAGACATCCCATGATAAACATCCATCTTCATAAAATAGTATAACGCATAGTCCAAGAATCTGCGTAAAATCCAATGCCCGACTGTGTATAATACGGTGGTTGTCAATAAGTAGTTTACAATTTGCATATTGTTAATTTTAGGAAATGCATCGTATAATAAATCAGGTAGTGGGTGCTAATATAGATCAAAGATTGAAAATGCATATGTCAGTAGTCAATGATCGACACATCATGAAACGTACTGTAATACCTTCTTGATGGCATATCCTTTTTTAGCACCTCTCCTGCCCCCTTCAATTTCTAAAAACGGTTTCATCTACTTACCTTATTCATGACAGAAGCATTTTCATAGCGTATTTCACTCAACTGAGCCAAAAAAGTCTCGACGAACCCACAGAAGACCAACCAGCCTACAAGCATGACAACGCGAACGAGCTCACAACTGTAAAATAAGTGTCAACTATCTCTTACATTACAAACATTTATAGGCAGTGAAAGAGGTATTGCAGGCAGATGACAGCGGTATATCCTTTTCCGTTTGTAGTGCGAATTGCGTTGTTGCGTCTTCAAAGAATTGCTATACTGCGCTGTCAGATGGTTTTCATTTTCCTCGTTATTCTGGTCCATTTTTCTTGTCAATGAGTTTGCTGGCAACTGTAAAGACATGCTAATATCCAAAAAGAAACAGCGATACAAAAGAGAAGCGAAGGAAAGACGTAATACATAAAGAAAAAGAGAGCTGACAAAGATCAGTTCTTAACTGCCGTGCAAATAATGTTCTTTTCTCTTCCCTTCTCTTCTTCTCTTTATTTATTCATTTATACGCTTCAGCGGCTCTTTCTGTAGTGTGAAGGATGTGAGGTTCTTTCAAAGGGGTTCTAAAAGTGAAGGGGTCAATTTTGCAAAAAACCCAGAGGCAAATTTAGCTTCCTTGAATGCCATTATTGAATTGAAGGTTGAATATGTCAAGCCTTTCGCGACACTTTCCTCAGTTGTGTTAAAACGTGGGTAGGTTATCACCAATGGTATGGACCAAGCGTGCAGTGAACGGAAATTTGGGATGGTGTGTCTGCAAACTGGAAAAAAAGCGATGAAGTTTGGGTACTTGCGAGCCATAAACTTTGGCTTCTTCGAAATGGACGTTTCGAACAAATGGCGGAGAAGTTACTGAAAGAACTGCAAATTGTTAAGTATATCAAGTTATAGTTCAAACAATATGCACAGACTGTTGCAGATTAACAGAAAGTTTACTTTTATTTGTGGAATGGAGTTAATCTTTGGGTCTGTTTTGAAAAAATGAATCGTTTGTTGAGCACATTGAAATTAATTCTTAGGCGTTGTTTGCCACAAAAATTACGCCTGGTAAAGAACACAGGCATTTGACCTCTCAAGACTTTAAGGAAAATTGTTCTCTTGCATAATAAGAGCAACAACAGCTTTTCCGCTGTTGAATAATAGAAAAATTGTAAAGCCAGACAGGCATTAACGGTTCTATTTAAAGCGGCATTATTGTACATAAGTTAAAGGTATGCTCACATCGATTGTTTCTTGCTTTCACATCTAAGATAAATTGATCATTACGATAGCTGCTTTGTAATTCAATTATAACTCCTGTAAAACCGCCTGTAAGGATTTTATACATGCAGGAACATGCATACATATTACCATTATCGACATTTAATCACTTGTTTGTGGGCACATTAGCTAATCAAAGTCTCTGATCGAATGTATATAGTCAATTTATCTTACTTGTATAGCTTGTTGTAAATATAGTGGGGGGGGGGTTTTTTCTCATTATATCATTGGTTAAGCAAATAAACGGATGTTTTAAAAGTGTAAAAAATAATGTAAAGGTTTGTGCAAATATTTCAAGTAAAGAAGGATCAGGGGAAGGAATTTGCCTATAGCATTATCAATAAGGTAAAATATGAAAATTCTGTTGCATCTATTACAGGTACAGCACAGTAACTGACATTCCGTCTGTTGTAACTGTTACATTCAGGTTCCTTTCTTGTAAAATGTTCGACTCCTTCTTTTGGAGAAGCAAGAAAAAATAGATAAAAGATACCTACAGGCATTTATAAAATGTAGATAGGGCATAGCTTGCTTCTTTTTCTTCTACCTTTTCTCTACTGCTGGCTGTTTAACAATAACCACTTTAAAAAATGTATTACTCATTTGATTTTGCAGCCAATGTAACACGGCTTTGTATGAAGGAAATAAGAAGAAGAGGTAAAGATGCAATTCCCGAATACAATTTCAACGCCTTCATCTCAACTTTTCAAATTCTGTTGTCTAATTATCAGGACTACGTGAACGTAAAATATTCCGCAAATCAAGTATGGAGCATAATCGATAGACCGAGGCCACTAGTGCTAGCTATGAAAATTGACTGCTGTTGTCATAATAAATTAGGGCCCATTAATGACTTGTTCGCAAAAGTCTTCACAAAACAGAATTGTACGCAGGAAGATTTATCGTACGTAGACATTCACTCAGTCGCCACATTAATGCAGGATGCTCTTTGGAGTAGCCAAGAAAGGTTAATACCCAAGAGAGCCTGGAGAACTATAAATTATGAAAGTGAGTGGGAATATCTCAAATAAAAAAAAAAAAAAGAAGCTTAATGTTCAAAGCCATTAAAACTTTTTTGTTTGCTCCCCTTCCGCAACAAATTGGCCTTTAGCTTGCACCTTGTCCAATCTTTCCTCTGTGATCACTAAAAAAAGTGAACAATTGCTTATTGACATTCTAAGCTTTTTAGTAGAGTTAATGCAACACAAAAAATATAACCAAATGGACGCTTACAAATTGGGCGACGCCTTGGGAAAGGTTGTCTTGGGTCCAGCGGACTGCAGTACCATTATTGCAGAGAAAGCAGGCCATTTTCTGACACGTTTGATTATAGAGTATACAAGGATTCAAAGAACTCAACAACAAAAACTGAACAAATTAGCGATCGATAAAGAAGTGGTTGCAGTCTCTACCCCAAACAACAGCCGAAGTAGTATCGATTCCGCAATCAGCCTTACTTTATCACCTATTGATAATGCCTTTGTCGCCGAACGAACCGGTTACGGGTTCATCTGTAAACTGCAAGGAACCAAAGCAAGAGCGAAATATTATGACCGCATTATTGAGAAAATCAAGCGCTCCAGCTCAGACTGGTTTGACAATGCAGTTGGGATCCAAGCAATGTTGGAGAGCGAATACGAAAGTGCCCCTGAAATGCCTGGTACTCCATACATTTCAATCTTCACATCTGCTGAAGAACTTATTTTGCAGCAGCAGAAAAAGTTCAATACAGATAAAGAGGAGCCATCACCCATTATTTACCGTATTCTAATGAATGCTTGCCAACCAAATATCGAAACGATAGCCATATCAGATTCTGCTAATTCCTATTTTTTCGACAATTCTTCCTCTTCAGCAACAACAATGTCAACCGAAAAACAATTAAAAGAAGCATTCAATGACTTTCATACCCATAGTATTCAAACTAATTCCATTTTGGCCTTGCAAGAACCTGGAGAGAAAGAGAATCCTCTCAAGAAATTGAACCATTCGCTTTCAAACTTGAAGTTGCAGTACCGTAAATATCGCTCTAGTCAGAATTTGAATCATCTTTTTGAAGAAAACACAATTAATGACGACTCGGAAACCTTGACTGTATCAGTACAGGATAGTCAACGACATGTATCTAATAAAAAAGTAACAGAGGAGTCTGAGAAGCCTTTATTATACTTCGCGGATAGTCGTGTACATCAACAGCAACAGCGTCTAAATGAAAACACTCATAATGTGCGAAAACTGATGAGAAAAATGATTAAAATGGCAAGCGTTGGCCAACAAGGAAGAGATAAAAGAAGTAGCAAGATTGTTCCTTGAGCGTTCTTTCGCTCAGAAGTGTCGCAAAAACGGTGTTTACTTCATTAAAATCGTATCATTTATCTCATTTATTACCATAATATAATAAGCTCTCATACCTTTAACGTATGGGCTTACCATATTTTAAAAATAAATCATAGTTCTGCATATTTACAATCAAATGAAAAAGCAGTTCTGTAGATATAGGTTCTAGATTTGGTGACAGTTTCAAGTTTGTTCTCAGTAGAAATGCAGGCCCATTCGTTGAGTATACAATTTAACCTCATGCGTTAGTAAGGACTACATAATGGTTTCAGATACTTGATCTTATTTGCCTAACCATCTCATTGGTCACGAACGAGAAAGGCGTGAACTGAATGGAGTTCTATATTACATGGCAGGTTCGAAGTTGACTGATACTATGTGTTAAAAACTTTTATGAAGACATGCATGATATCAATTTGCTTGTACCATAGAACAGTGTATACAGTATACCTCAGAATATCCGCTACAGTTTCCTATTGTTTGCTCATTTGGGATACCCATGTATATATGGTCTTAAGAATTCCTATCGCGAAACAAGATATGTCAATAGATGACTCAAGTATGTATATACCCTAAGAACACAGAACAACAATGTTCTTAGCCTTTAATACATTTACTTTGCTACCGTTCAACATTAAAGTGACCCCTTGAAACGGTTTAGAAAAGTAACATTTTACAGATTCGATATCTATTGGATTTCAGTATTAGTCAGTAGCCATAATATAAGGCTGTGAATAGTAACAACCAACTACAGTCTGGTAGGAATAACTTGTGTTCAGCTCTAACGACAATGGATGCAGAAGGTAATATATATACAAGCAAGTATTCAATGATAATGATTTGCCAAAATACGGTATTAAAAAAGTTATCCATAAATAGATTTTGTAACAGTATGTATATATGCATATCACTAATTACGGTAATATTAATAGTAAAAAAGTTATAGTAGGTATACTTAGTAGCTTAGTAAGCAGTGTATAGATTGAATAAAATAGTCTTTGAATAATAATGTATACAAGGGAGAACAATAAACAATTACTGCATTTCAGTTCAATGTAAGACGAAATAGGTCTTGGTCTTTTTCAAGTATTTTGATAGGTGGTAACCTAAGCGAAGAAGAAGAGGATTGTGGCGGCGGCAATAAAGTGGTTTCATCTGAATTTGAGAATTGGTCAATACGATCTCGTCCCTCAATTTCATCAAAGGCTATGGAGCACGGAATTACTGTATTGCTGTTTTCTGCAGGCTGCGTAAGACACTTGTGGATGGTATGTGGTTCATGTGTGAGGCTCTTTCTTTCGTTTATTTGATGTGGCATTGAGAGACATACCGTTGCTGGAGGATGTAGTGGAAGATAATCGGTTCTATCAGTTGATGGATGTCTATTGGTTGTATTGCGAGCCAGGTTGCTGACAATACACCTGGATGTTTCAGCAGTGTTGATCCTACCCCCGAGATTATGACTATTGTTTAAGTTCATTACTTTTGATGGAGAGGCTTGAGCTGAGGAAGCATTATGCATACTTTTTTCTGATTCAAGTAAAGGCTGCAAAATGCGTCGACGAGCATTAATAAACCAGTTACTAATTTGACTCACCATTAATCCTGTCTGGTCCGCAAGCTGTTGCTTTTCTCTTTCTGTAGGATATGGATAACTTTTATGCAAAATTAACCAACGTTTAAGCAGCTCTGTTACTTCCTTTGGAAGATTTCCACGTCGCCTCTTCTTGTTAAGAATCGGCCGATCATAAGTGTAGTAATGTTGAGGCTCTGTGATAAAAGTTGTGCATATTTTCGGTGTTTCGGCAGGTGGTTCAACAAGAACTGAATCTGTATTAGTCCTTGAAGAAATATTTCCCTCAAGATATGTATAAGAATGCAGGGAATCTAAAGGGTTTACCGTTTGATTGATTGTTTGCTGACGACCATATATAATATTGCTGTCTAATGCTAATTGCTCTGCTGACCGTTGCCTTCGAGGGTCGAAAGTTGAAATTTCTGTTTCTGGCCGAGGAAGTGGTGTAGGTAATTGTGGGCTTTTGACAATGGTGCCTACCCCCGCATCATCAGTTGATATCAGACTGGCTATAGAAATTGAACTTCTCTTTGAATTCTTTTGCTGTATTAGAGCACTATTAATGTAACCTGTTGCTTTCGAAGAAGTCTGATTCAAATCTAGTGGCAAGTATGGTTTTACTAGGCACGAGCCCGGATTGGTGTGAATGGAATTGTATTTAGTTCTTCTTTGAAACTTTTACTATTTGATGTTTATACCTGGTGAATGCATAATATTTGGTCTGTTTGAACTGACAGAAGGGTTTTCTTGTTCGAATAAACCTGCATTATGGTTAAGCAGCCTGTCAATCTGTATTCTGTGTTTTTCATTTGAATCTAAACGATATTGTTTATAAGATGAAGTGTCGACAATTTTTGAAGGATACTTGCGATTCATAAATGTTACTAACGGTTCAAATACATTGTTCTGAGTGACGGAAGACATAAAATGGGAACGAATAGCACTTAACATCTATGAGTTTCTTCGTAGTCCATCTATGTGTTAAAATATTAAAATTGTTTCTTACATTGTAAAAATAGTGTATATGCATTCTCTACCGATACTGTTGCGGAATGGCAGTATATAAAGAATACCTATACTTCCCCTGTGTTTTTGAATCGAATCTTTTTACGATCTGTTACGTATAATTGCAGGAGCGGTTTTGTAGATCAAAATTAGGCAAACAACAAAAAGTAAAAGAAAAGAAAAGGAATTCTAAAGTAACTTTTCTCGCGATTGCTACTTATAAAGAAGTTGAGAAGGAAAAACCAGTCGGGGCTCATGTTTGATCGTATTGAACCCATTCAGAATCGAGCACTAAAAAACGTACGCAACCTTCCCGCTCTGTTGTATGATCTAGATTTGACACGGTAAGAAAATATATGCTTATTCTTTTTATTGACGATCTTATTTTCCTTAGCCGCTTATTAATGTTTGGGCAAATATAATTTGAAAGTGAAAATTTATAGCATCATCGTAAAGCAAAAGGCTGTAGAGCGTAACACATGGAAAAATTGCGGGTCCACTGGTCAGTTCATGAGACGTCGTTTCAGCTTTCTACTTGTGATTTACTATCGGTTATATGTGTTTGTCAATTAGTGGTTGTTGAACGACGGATAATAACCCAGTGCTTGGCTGATTGACACAGTTTATTATTCTTCAATTTGAAAAGTATGTGCACGATGAAGATATTTGTATAGTCTTTATTACAGTGAAGGATATAAATGAATATGTATAATTGGCAGTCATTGTAATTTTTGTTACCCTATTTAAACGGAGGAGTTTGCGAATTGCATGCAGTTTGATAAACATTGTAAGGTAGTTTTGGGCTTGAATTAATCCTTGCTTATATCTGCATTTCCTCTAACATTGTTGTTGTTTAGGCCTAAACAATACCATATGAAAATACTGACTAAATTATTGTCTTAAGCACTAATGATGTTCGAAAAAATATAATTAACCTAAACAATTCCATATGAAAATAAATTATTGTCGTAAGCACTAATGAAGTTCGAGAAAATATAACTAAGTGAGTGCAGGGTATTCTAATAGATTCTGTGAAAAAGATTTGAGGAAAAAAGTAAAAATCCTTTATCGTGCCATAAACAGAAGAAACCGTCATTCACTTCTCTTAGTTAAGCACATAGAACAGAAACAACCATATTGTACACTTAGAAAACGAAAAAGGTTGTTCTTGAATAAAGCTACTATTCTTGACTGATAGCTTGTATTAGTGCACGCTTGATCATTAGTGCTGTCTCATACCCTACAGTTACCGGAACCCCCCAAAAAAAGGCTCGAAAAACTTAAAATTAGCAATCAGATAAGCATCTTACTTCACTGTGTGCTCCCAAACTTTGGGTTTCAATTTTATTGACCTCATGGACTGACGAGTAAAACATCACTATGAGAACGGGAATCAGTTCGGTACTTGGTTCATTTTGATGGATGAAGAACCCGGTAAATGGAGGCTATGATTTTTTCGTCACTGTCCGTAAGCTAGCAGTCATAGAACATTGAAAGTTTTTGAATAAACCAAACAACGACAGATAAGCTAAACTACATGGAGACGGAACTGCTAATTATAGTGTCCTATACCCCGGTCCATGCTCAAGTGGGCTTTCATAGTGCACCAGATCTTTACGTAGTTCTGTTTGCATAAATATAGTGGAAGGGTCTATGTATGGTATTACTATTTGCGATATTATTCTAGATGTTCCTGATTCACCTTTCAAAAGGTACAGATTCTATATAGCAGAAAAAAGCTCGCATACATTGCCATGAAATGTTAAGAACTTTACAGCCCCAAATTATAATTTTTGTTATTTGATCGTTCCAAGGATACGAAATTCAGAAAACTCAGTTGCATTGTGCCTGCGCGTCAAAGCAAATTGATTCTTACTTGATTCTACTACTAATTAGGCCTTATCATAGCTATTTGACAGTCGTGCTAATAGGTTTTGACATGAAATATACTTACTATATTTGAAACATATGGAATCCAAAACCCTTCGGAGTTAGTTCTGACATTTCGGATCTGCAAGATTTACCACAACCCATCTCTTGCCAATAGCAGCTTTTAATGTCCATACGGGTAGATACTTGCTTAAGTTTTCTATTACAACTTTTACCACAAACCAAAAATGAATGAAGATAATATCAACAAAAGAATTGCTTTCAGCTCACATATTTTGAAATATAATCAGTCATAATTGATGCAAGTCTCTTCAGAATGGTTGGTCTACTATACGATGTCTGTTATCAATAGACTAACAAAAAAGTGAGGTATAACGTAGATGAAAAATAAAAAAATTTATTGACCTCATCCCTCCTTTAGTTTCATAAATGCGTGTTTAATTGTCGGTTCCTCAAGATTACAGTTACATGTGTAATTCTAGTTGCACCAGAGCTCAATATTACTATTAGTTTCGTTGATCTGTATAACATGTGTACTACAATCACATTGAACAGCAAGGGATCTAATGGAAACTGACGATGCTCTGTAAATCGCAATGCGCGAACTAAGTTATGGATGGATGTAAACTTTTCTAATTAAGCTTGACCCGTCATTTTACGTGCCATTCAATGCATGGACTTTTGCAAGGGGCATCTTTGAATTTGTCGAATGTTAATTTTTTACATGAATAAAACTGACACCCAATGAAACGTTTTCCATAAGAAAGTTTCAAAACACGTTTTTATATAAGCAGAAGGTTTCAATCAATTACAGAAACCTTCAGTGGGTGTAAGAAATTCCTGAATGGAACTAAACGAAAAGCAGGTACTTAAAAAATAGGCCTTGCTTGGTAAGCACGCCCACGTCTTTGATAATCCTTTAATGTTGGAAATAAATAGGATGTAATCGATCTATAAAAAGTTTAGCACGATCTATACTATGCATAGATGTTAATAATCTACGAATGTTCGATAATTTAGCATAAGCGGTATTCTTTTCTAGTATACATTGGTTCAATAATTGCTACATCTAACACACTTTTTTAGATTAACAGAAAAGTATTGCATAATACGGTAAAAATAATCAGTATGGCATTGAACGTTTCAAATACAGAGAAAGGTAATATGTGAAAAGGTTACTGAATTAAAATTTATTGATACTGATAAATGTTTGTTATGCATTCGACATGTTTTGATCGATCCCCATTTGAAGTTTCATAGCATCCATTTTTGTTCTCAGTTCTTCAATATCAGTATCCGTAACTTCACTATCGTCCAGATGTCTTTTTGAAGTGCTGACTGACACCTGTGCTATTCTGAACTTATGTTCTAAACCAGTAATAATAGTTTGATATAAATATAAATCTTGTTCTGCAATTAGAAGTCTGGCACGGATAGCCTGCTGTATGCTGTGTCTCGTTTGAACTACTGCTGTGCTCCGTAAAGGATCTTCAGTAGAATGATTTGACTCTGTTACGTCGGCATTAATACTCTTCCTGTTGCAATCTTCTTGCTGCTGCTCTTGTGCATCTGTACGTAACGATAGAAGCTCTTGCATGTCATTCGAAAAACGTTTGGCGTCAATCTTCAACTTTTCATATTGTTCAGTAAGCTGTTTGTCCACGCTAACTATACTCTTCATCAGTATGACCTGTTCTTGATTCCTAGTTGAACTATTAGACATCAGTTTCGATTCATTTGCTTTAATTCTTTTGATCTCTTTCAAAAGCCGAGTTAGATTTTTCAACGCCTGCTTGAACAATAACAGTTGATTATTGTAGTTACGTTGGACATGCATTTCTAAATCTGTCCCATCCAAAGCATTAAGTTCATGAATCTTTTTTGCTGAGGTTTCCGGTTTGTTGCGAGTGTTCAATTGACTCCTCAAACATTCATAATCTTTCTGTAGACTATCTAGCTTGTCTATGAGGGTATGACTGAACGATCCGTCATCAATGGCATTGATTTCACGTAATTTTCGTTCAATTTCGTCAGGTTCAATGTACTTCTCTGCTAATTCTCTGAACAAACTTTCGCGCTTACTCTTAATGTTCACTTCATGCTTCAAATGTTGAACCAGGTTGCGTAAAGAAATCAGCTCTTCTTCTTTTGCCGCTACGTTCATTTCAGTATTCTCCACATTTCGATGGCTGGCAAGATCAACCTGTTCTAACGCCTCTTCATACCGTGCTAATACTTCATCTAATTCCTTAAGTGTGTCTTGATGGTCCTGTTCCAAGTGCATCAAATTAGATTCCAGCTGTTGTATACGCACATCTTTCTGACACTGCTCCTCTCCAGCTACTGTAGCCTTAGCTTCAATTTGCTGACTTGGTAACGTACTTTTTTCTAACTCGAGTAGCAGTTTATCTACTTCAGCTCTCAATGTCTGGCATTCTTGTTCACTTGCAGCGTTTTTCTGTTGGAGCACATCCATCTCTTTTTTGTAATTACTAACTGTATCATGGTTGGTAATAGGCTTTTTGCATGTATCGGTATCTTTGTCAGTAGCTTTCATTGCTTTTACTTCTTCTCTTAAACTATTGCATTCAGCTTCACTGATATTCAGCCGATTCTCCAGTTCTTGTATGTATTGCTCCGTAGTTTCATCAACCTCTTTGAATTTCAATATCTTCCCTCGTAATTCACTCAGCAGTTCCCGATCATGAATAGTTTCTTCTACCGAAACCATTAATTTTTTTTCTAATTCGGTAATGTAATTTTCGTCTTTCAATCTTCTTTCTAACAGTTTGCCGATTCTTCTTTGCAAATCTTGAATAACATTCTCCAATTTTTCAATCGTATCTTCATAATAAGCGATTTTCGTCATTAATTCCTCATGCACTTGGTCTGAATGGCTCAAAGCAGCTTGCGCTAATGCTAATTTGGATTCCAATGCGGACATACTCTTTTCGTATTCTTCAATCACTGGCTCAACTAAATGTTGAAAGTCATACTTATTTGGTGCGTCACGTTCTTCATGCAGCCTTCGTAGCTCGCTCTCAACAACAATATTTCGCTCCTTTGCAAATTCAGCTTCATTCTGTAATGCTTCCACTTGATGTTGTAAATCTTGTATCAGAATGTGTTGACCATAATATGCATCGTCCGGATCAGGGTTAGCAACAGGGCTGCTACTTGTTAAGGAAAAGTCGTCGCTCGTATCGGAAAGGTGTCTTGTGCAGTTATCCAACTTCAAGTTATTATTATTACTATTAGCATTATTCATGCTTTTAAGTAGTCGCAATTCGTTTTTCAGTTTCGTAATTGTTGTTCGTAGCAAGTCAATATTGTCCGTAACCATCCACTCTTCCATTTCATTCTTCTCTAGCTTATTTTTTATATTTCTCGCTCGATTCGCATATTGTAATGTATTTAACGTTTCGGACAAGTTAGATTCGGCAGGACTGACACAAGCAATCATAAGCGTCATAGCTGAACCACCTAATGAATCCTGTAAAAGCCTTGTCAGCTTCGAGTCTCGATATGGTACATGAGTATTTCTTTTTGATGGATCACCAAGTGCTGATATAACATTGCCTAATGCTAATAAGCCTGCGTTAATATTTATTCCCTCTTTTCTCCTATCTCCTTCCGCTGCTGTCCTTTTCAACTATTTATGACGAAGCAAATTTTGTTGTTTACGTTAATTGTTATCATCCGTAAGTTATTATAAGAAGTGTGTGTCGACTTACTCTTTCACTACCAGCCAGATCGACGAAATGGAACTTTGACGTTGTCACGATCCATTCGCCATCGTCATTATTATTCATGTGGTTAATATTGCTACTACTACTGTAGCGCGCAGCTAAAGATATTCTTTGTGATTTGGACTGTTGGTTTTTTATTGGAGCTGGGCTTTGCGATCGGCTTGATTGCGTTGATGACGGTGCCCGCTTTTCTTGCTTTAAGGTCACTGAGAAAATAGCATGGGAGCGAGACGATTTTTCATTCATATCTGTTGAACCTGTTGCTCGATTGTTGGTACCCTGTTGAAGGAAGCTGAAATGCATATGCAAATATACTGGAATTAGTTCTTGAAGTCAGTGAATTTTACATAAAATACTGCCAAAAATATACTTTACTTTAAGACATCACTTGTATTATGTACTATCATTTCCTTAACCCCCGTCCAATATATATGACCTTTTGTATCTTCTCGGATGGTAATTGGAGGACGTTCAGAAGCTGATGAAGAATTCAATAGATCGACCAACTCCTCGTTGTATATTTCGACAAAAGATACTTTCAATGTATAACGATGATTACTGTTTAATTGCTGTTGCGAATTCCTCCGTTGTGAGACGCTTTGTGATGAGGGTGGTCGTATGCTTTTGACTAATTTTTCAATAGGTTCTGTTTGGCTAACTTGTTGCTGCTGCTGCTTATTTAGCATGTCAAATAATAAAGACATTGCTCGAGGAATGATACCTTCCTCTTCAAAAGTAACTGTTGAATCTGTATGCTGGGCTGTGCCCATGGTATATGTCTTCCCTGAAGATGTTTGGCCCTGAATAAAGATAATTAGGCGTGAGTGTTACAATTTTTCATTCATAATCACTTTTCTATGATAATTTTTTTTTTTCTCTACATAAGCTAGTATCGTGACATTATAACCTAATTGACAGTGATTGATATAATTTAGAAATTTCATTTCCTATTGATGGTATAGGTACTTCGGTAGACTGCTTACCTTCTATAAATCTTTCTACGGGCTTTTCCCCAAGACGAGAAAATATGGTTTGCTGTTCTGTATCGGTTCCAAAAACATAGTCATACGTAAAATACCTGTTTTGAGGTACTATCTGAACGTGGTTCTCATTAGCTCTTAATACATCTTGATTTGTCGAATTGGCAAAACGTGGTAGTGCTCTGTCTCTATCAGTCAATGGTCTGATACGAACCGCTTTTTTTTTTTTCAATGAAGGTTTTATTATTGCAAAAAAGAAATTAACAACCATGTCTTTACAGTCATTCTTCTGAAGTGTCATTACCTACTTGAACAGCGGCCACTTGAGATGGGGTATCTTTCATTGAGAATACTCAATTGCAAATATTGATATTTTTGGAATAAATCAGGACCAGAAGATAAAAAAGGTGGAAATTTTTGATCTCTTTCTCGAAACCAGGATATCAAAATTCGTGCAACAATCAGAAACTTAAACTGCCAATTTCATAATTTTTGGTAGTCTTTCAAGCGGATAATTATAAAACTGCTAAAATACAAAAGTTGATAAAACTTATAAATCCAACCAAATATATGGTGTTATTAGGAATTTATTTGAGCACTAAGCTGTACAAAGTGAAGTACTTAAGCAGAATGAAGGGTTTCCAAGAACTTCTTGGAGGCGGCAGTGGAAGCACCACGCTTCTTTTCGGTCTTGTTGACCTTACCAGCAGCAACCTTTTCGGCTTTAAGGATTTCAGCACGACGAAGAACTTGAGCATAAGGGTTAAGACGGTTCATGACACCTTGGTTCTTAAGAGGGTTCTTCTTTTGAGTAAAAGGACGCTTGTGGACCTTGTTACCGGCAGGACGGACAACAGATTGAATTTCATCAGAGTTGATGAGACGAGCAACATCAGGATTGGTCATGATATTATCAGGTAGCATATAACCCTTCTTCATAGAAGAAGGAGAATCGTATGTACCATAGAGCTCATCAAGAAGAGAGAAAGCGGATTGTGTCCAGATAATGAAACGTCCAAGATGTCCGCCAGGAGCAAGTTGCAAGAGATTTAGACGACGAACGTTAACAAGTTCAAGACCAGGCAAGTTACGGAAAGCTTGCACAAGACCATTGTCTTCATTATATACAACGAGGGGACCACGACGTTGCTTGTGGCGACGGTTACGAAGCTTACCTTGACCAGCACGGAGCTTACGAGAGTTGGCTACTTTGGCAACGTCAGCATAAGCATTAAGGGACTTGAGCAATGCAACAGCTTCCTTTGTCTTGGTCAACTTCTCTACGGAGTCGGAGACAACAAGAGGAATCTCCTCAATCTTTTCAATACGGTGACCACGAGCCATAACCAAAGAAGGAAGAGCAGAGGCAGCTAAGGCAGAAGCAGTAGCGAAACGCTTTTGATTCAAGTTAGTCTTAACATGCCACTTTCTCCAGGTCTTAGTAGGAGCAAACATACGACCACCACGACACATGTTACCAAAGGCAGCTTGACCGGCACGGTGAGTACCAGAACCGTTGACACGAGGAATACGAGCAACGGCACGACCAGTACCCCAAGATTCAGCGGAGGTTTGTTCACCAGCCTTATCAGAAACAGCATAAGGTTGACGCTTGTTCTTGGCCATATTGGTGTGGACAAAGTTGACAATATCAGGACGAATAGGAGCCTTGAAGACAGCGGGGAGAGGAACAGTGGAGATGATCTCCTTACCGGATTCGGCATAAACGTTGATAACAGGTCTGGCAGCGGACTAAGTACAAATGAATTAGATGGTTAATAATGTCACGAACGAATTAAGCCATCTACATCGCATCGATGAATTGCAATTTCGCAATTTTTCCAAGAAAATCACGATTTTGAAATTTGTCGTAACTTCGCCGAAAAATAACTGGCAGACATTGATGGATGTTGAAGATTACGCTGTCTATATATTGATAGTTACCATCGTTATGTTATGGATGAAAATAAATGAAAGAGATTCAAGTGTTAGATGTATTGATTCTGGAAACGAAGTCGTAGAGGGAATTTCCGTATGATCCGAATTCCGGTCCGAAATTTAGCCGGGCAAGCTGGCAGCTTGTAGTTGTGGTTATGTAACTGATTTCAATTTCCGTTGAACGAATTCATGCCACCTCACAACTGTAAAGAGTTTCATTTTGTTTAGAATCTCCACTTTCAATCCATCAACCTGACATAAACAACTTACTTTGCTGTATCATGGCGTCTGAACCGAAGTCAACGGCAGAACTTCAGAGACTAGCTGCAGTATTAGTAGATTCCAATATACCCATTAGACTTTATTTACGATCTGCCGATCTATTATACAAACAAGCTCGAGTTTACGAACGAGAACAGGACTTACAGCATGCCTACGTATTATTCATGAAGCTCACAAAGTAAAGCCACAATTTTTTATTCATTTAGTTTTTTATATCGAGAGCTCCTGTCTGAAATTTTATCAAGTCTAGGTCTAGTTGAGCTGCCGAAACATCCTGCATATGGAGACGCCGAGAACAAAAAGAATTTGAAGCTTTTAAATAAGGTATTAGAGAGAGAGCGAACCATACATTTCAAATATAGAGTAGAGTTATTTAGCATCGTATGCATATATAGAAATGTTCAGAGGCTCTTGAAACGCTTGAAAAGATGAAACCAGCATTAGATAAAGCTTATAGAGTATATATTGACAAATTGGAGCAACAACAATTGCAAAGCAACGCAATACATCGTCAACATATTGCTACCACCGAAAACGATGGAGATAAAAAATCAGATAAGACGCCGATAAACACATTGAATACTTGGAATTTGCAAGATGCTTTGAAAGGCGTTGTGGGTGTAGGCTACAATGGAAGTGAAAGACCGGAGTAAGTGGGATATTATATTTTTTTGAAGATTCTCATTAACCCTAATATTGTTTTATCCAGTTTTACTAGATCTTTTGCTCCCCTTAAATCTACAACCGGTTATCCGAGCATGTTAATGTATAATAAAAGTGATGGGTAAGATAGCCTTGTGCAATGAATTAGATAATCTCTCAAATATCTCTTACAATTTTGTCATTTCTGCTGTAGTTTCTCTTATCAAGCAAACCGTATCAACCGGTCTTCCGTTCCGCCGCTTCAGTATCAGCCGTCTTTACCGCCAAAAATACCTATTGACCAAGCGAACAAAAGCAATGATCAAACAGTGATTGCGCCCATATTGCCACCAAAGATAGCTTTGGATAAAAGTACAACTTCTGGTTCAGGGCCAACAGTAGACGGTAAGGGAAATAACCTACGTATATTAATAATAGCAATGTGACGTTATAACCCATTTTTCCTCTAAAGCATCTTCAGAAAGAGGCGAACCACTGAGAACAATGCTTTTACCAAAAGACCTTCAGGCAAAGTTTCTATCTATCGCTAAAATTAACACGCTAAATAAAATTGAAACCTGCGGAATTCTGGCAGGAACACTGGTATGTAACCTCTGTACAATTAGTATAAGGGACATTTATTGACTATCACTAACACTGTCGAAATAGAAAAACAACATTTTGAAAGTAACCACATTGATCATACCCAAACAAACAGGCACTTCAGATACATGTACAACAGAAAATGAAGAAGAGCTATTTGAAATTCAAGATAGATATGATCTACTCACTTTCGGATGGATACATGTAATGATTTGTAAAATTCACATAAGGTCTCGTAATAAAATCTGACAAACTGTATGTTAATTTCAATAGACACATCCAACACAATCTTGCTTCTTGAGCTCTGTTGACCTACATACACACTGCTCTTATCAATTAATGCTCCCAGAAGCAATTGCTATTGTTTGCGCTCCATTGCACAGACCAAAGTAGGACCACTAGACGTTATTTTAAAGTACTGCAATTGGAACTGACCTTTCTTTTCATAACAAAACAGCTTTGGTATATTCCGATTAACAGATCCTCCTGGCTTGGATATAATTAGTAATTGTAAAAGGCAACCCGCATTTCATCCACATCCTGATTTACCTATTTATACAGTAAGTTTCTGTCGTTAGCAGGGCCATTATGAAGATTGCTAATCTATTTTTGACTATTTGTTAGGGTGCTCTTGATGGAGGACACTGTCACATATTACAATACGATTTTAAAGTCTTAGACTTGCGGAATAGTTGAGTTCTTCAAAAAAGTCAAAGTTATATTTAATGTCAAAAAAGCATACACCAAGATAATTTTTCCAATATTTTATGTTTATGTATTATTACAAAGTATAAATTAATCATCAAATCCATCATTTTCAATTTCGACTATAAATGGATGTTGAAGAAGTTCTTGAGCAGAAGGTCTCTCTTCAAAATTTCTAAGTATAGATTAAATGACGCTTAACGAACTGTTTTGCTGCATGTACTTGAATAATTTACTTACAATTGGAAAGCACACTTCAAGAAATCTTGAGCATCTTCGCTAATATTAGGGGGAATATTGGGTGCGGTATAACAACCAATCTACGGAAAGCAAAGGAAATCAGTACGTCCTATAATAAAATGGTTCAGTCTACCTTACCTGAAATATGGCTTGCATTTGTGAGAACTCAGGAAATGGATGATCTCCAGTAAACATTTCCACAACCATGCAACCAAGAGACCATATATCTGCTTTTTTTGTATAATGGGTCTGCTTTACAACTTCAGGCGCCATCCAATAAATTGAACCCTGTAAACTCGGTCTGTGAGCCGTTGAAGCATTACTTTGCCCTGGTAACATAATTCCTTCCTCTACTTTTTTAGAAATGCCAAAATCCGATATCTTAACACCGCCTTTATCATTTACTAGCACGTTTGCACCTTTTATGTCACGGTGAACAATGTCCTTATTATGCAAATAACTTAAACCCTTCAAAATCTGTCGTACAAAACTCTTGACCAAGGGTTCTTGAAATGCTCCGTAACTTGCCAACAATCCTGCTACTGAACCACCCGGCACGTATTCCAAAAAAATACTGAAGTAAGCCTCATCGGTTTGTGAGCCAAGATATTGCACAATATTCTCATGTTCCAGATCTTTCAAGAGCTCAATTTCATGACGGAGTGCTTCGACCATAGACCGTTTACGTTCTTCACTAGCGGAGTTCTCGACGGGTAGTTCGACTTGCTTCACAGCCATAAACTCCCCACTGATAGGGTTAAGACCTAAGTAGACGTCACCAAAGGTACCTCTGCCGATAAGAGAACCTTTCATCCATGTGTCTGGTAGTTGTCTCGTCTTTGTTGATGTCGCAGATACAGGAGTTGTGACAGGCTCACGAACACTAGGTATGTTATTGTTGTTGGTTTCCTGTGATAGTAATTTCTCTAGAAGAAATAATTGATCAAGATTATGATTTCCTGCTCGTTTCAGTTATGCCTGCACACTACTTACTGTTACTGTCTTCCAATTTCAATGGCTTAGGTTCTTTTCTATATCTTCTACTTGATGTCCTTCTTTGAATTCGAGGGTTTGTTTCTTGTTGTTTGCATTGTTGCTGTGGCTCTTTGTTAGCCTCTTTCTTGATATCATTATTATTGTTATTATTGATATTACTGTTTTTTCTTAAGAGTTGATTATTGTGATCATAATAGTGGCGGGTATCATTAATATTAGACGTTTCAATGGTATTAGTGGTAGTGGTGGTAAATGCAGTAGATGTAGATGCGTTTGTTGCTTCAGTGTCGTTAGTATCATTTAAATGTTGTTGTTGTTGCTGTTGCTGTTGCTGTTGCTGTTGTTCCTCTTCTTCTAGGAATTTATCTAAATCTACACCTAAAACAGACACCAATTCTGGTAATACACTGTTACGGTAGTTTCGTGGTTCCATTCGACCCAAAGCAGAATTACGTCGTGTCATTGACAATCGTTGCGCTTTGATACCAGCTGTTTCTAACACTTCTCGATTGTGATTAGGGAAAAAGGATTGTAAATTAGAGGTGATCATTTCTGATGGAGGTCGTTCACCGAAAAAGCGTCTTCGTCCGTTTTGATTATGTTGTTGCTGTTGTTGTGATTGTAATTGTTGCTGCCCTTGCAAACTGTTACTGTTACTACTGATGCTGTTATTGCTTGTTACAGTATTGGATCTGAAAGGCTTTTTGTAAGTGTTATTACTGCTAATGGCATTTGAGAAAGGAGGTGGAGAAAGGTTGTATGAAGTGCCACTATTGCTGCTACTGCTGTTATTATTCCAGTTGACATAAGCTGCTGGAGAGACCTTATTGTTATCCGGTTCAATATGCCTGCGTGAAGCGGCATTTATTGTTCCTTTCCGTTTGAACTCTTCATGGGTTGGGTACAGATGTCGTTTACGTAAAATTAGGCGCTCTTTTTCGGGTCTATCTGTAGATCGGCAAATCTCAACTAATTCTGCGTCAGATAATGTTCTAGCTTCTCCATTTGTGCTGGAGCCAACAAAAATGCAATAACTGTCTGCACTGCTTTCGTCAATACCAAACTTATGCAAGACTTTTCCCATAATTTGCTTTGCCTCGTTAGCTGTATGAACATTGACAATACGCGTTTGGCCATCTTCGCCAAAAACTTTAACACAGGTTTGCTTGACCTTTTCCATTGACATAATACCACCCTCTAATGAATTCCTCTACAAAACAGCACAAGAGTCAACATGTGTCTTCCTTTTTGTCGCTCCATATATATATATATATATATACACGCTTTCATTTTTACCTTTTGTACTGTTCGCGGGCTTGATGGAGATGAAGAATGGATATCTGAATTGGATAGTTGCTGGCCGCTATTGCTTAAATTGCTACTACTATTATTCTGCTGTTGCACCGCTTGGGATTTCTTTGAATCAGATCGACCGAGGAATCTGGAAAACGAATTTGATCTATTGAGTAAGCTTTTCGCATTTGTAGTTTCTGATGACTTTGTCGATTTAGAGAGAGAGGCTGACACTACTGGTATAATTGGTGTATTCAACATATTCTCCAACAAATCGTTATTACTGGGATGATAGTTTTTGCTCTCGTGATTGGAACTTTCATTATGAACCTAAAGACAAAAAACAATCGAAGAAAGTCAATGATTCCTTGTTCCTTCTCAAAGTTTTGGCACTCAACTGCCACTTTACTTTTGGTTGATTATTTCTTGCCGCTAAAGACGCGGACAAGTAACATTCTTGCCGTAGTGCTTTGATAGCGACTAATAAGCGAACACGTTCGCCTACTGTTTTAATATCCATCGCTTTCAACGATTCATAATCCAAGTCGAGTAAAATTGAGCCCGAGATCTTCTGTTCTAAAAAGTCGAAATTGCACAAATTAATATTATTGATGTTTTGTTTTCCTATAGTTTAAAAACGTGTACCAAGAAATGTCTGACTGAATCGCCCTAAAGACTGATTCGATAACCATTCTGTCACTTTCTGTTCTGACCAATATTTTACTTCATCCAGTAGAGTTTTTTTGAAGGAAGGGAAAGTGGGAGAATGTTGTTTGTATGAGAAAGAAGCTTGTAAAGGCATTGACATACTTTCTTAAACTGATTGAGGAAGCACTCTGCGCATAAATTGTTGAATTGTTCTGTGAACTTATTGTTGTGAAATGTCTGCTGCTTCTTACAACGTAAAGAAATTAAGAAAATAGAAATAATATACCAAAGGAACGAAGATGTGTTATTATCAGTTTTATATGTCTAAACACTTAGAAACATTGAAAAAAGAAGGAAATGAATTGTTCGAAGGGATACACAATTTTTAGGAGTTTTTTTATTTTTATTTGAGTGACATGAATTTCTCGCCAACTTGGCTCAATTGCTGTAAAAAAGTCTTAGAATTCAAGATATTGTTTCCACCTATCACAATACGGACACCTGGAGTTGATACATTCAGTTGTGCTATATATTTTGCTTCTTCAAACGTAACACCACCACAAACAAACACGATAATATCTTGTGGTCTTTCCCGAACCAGATTACTACCATCATCTGTCACAAACGGATAATCTGTCTCTTTAAGTCTTGCTTTGATAAGCAGATCTAAAGTATCTCCAAGATGTGGTGTATGTTGAGTATAAACGTTTTCAACGCCTTTCAAGCCTTTCAAGGCACTTTTACCACGAGATAGGAATGATTGGTTGGAAAATAGATCATCTTGTCTTTGTTGGTAACCTGCATAAAATAAGATTGCAGGTACAAGCTGATTTTTCAAAGGGATAGAATTTCAGTCTTGTATGTCTAACAAACTTAAGAAAAACACACACACACAAAAAAAAAAAAATAGTTCTTTACTTACAGCGCTTTTTCGCTCGTTCACTCCTACTTTATCCAATAAGCCAATCAACGACTTTATCATGTTATTTGACATTCGTTCGTATCTGAGAGCATAGAGTAGTACGAGTCGAACCTTTGAATCTTCATCAATAGTAGGCGACTCAATCAACCTTTGAATACTCTTCAGATCTTTGCTATGATTTTCATTGCAGGCTAGATCTTGTTCCAGTTCACTTATTTCCAACAGATGGTCTTGAGCCACGCGCCTACTGAGTTCACTCACCAAGGCAACATGCTTGGATACATTCCCTGATAATTTTCTGAATTCTGGATACTCCTCTACAAATCGCTTCATATCTGCAATGGATTCTATATTCATATTTGATTTTGTTTTTGTTTGATATTCATCCACATACTGTTTGATCGTGGCACCTAAATCGCCCAAATTCAGGTACATAGATTTTTTAAAGAAAGGATCTTGATCTGGGGACAATACTATTTCCTGTATGAGCAACCTTTACTGTGAGATCAAACAATATTTTCTCTTATCCTTCTCTAGCATCTACTTTAGTTGTCTACCTTCATTTCATTTCTTACTTCAGGTACATTACTCATGTCGACTCTTCCATGCTGAATTCCAATCAATTCATGTACCATTGCTTGATATGTCCACTGCGTCAATAATGGAGTGACTGGATCGTTTTTTCTATCCAAAATTAGCAATATAGGTGGTGTATCTGGTCTTCTAAAATCGAACAGTTGCCCTTCTGAATGAATGGTATTTGTTATCTCCAAAGCTAATTTTTTCGCTAGTGCTGAACCTCGTTCATAACGAATAGTAGGCTTCCTCTTCAAACTTAGCAGAACAGACGAAATGCCTTTCACAGTCTGTTCAAACGTATCATGGTTCCATTCATTTACACTGTTACCAAACATATAACGAACATCTTGACCAAGGGAGAATAGCTCGGAGTTGATGGCGAGATAATCCCCAAAATACTCCTGAACTTCTCGAATCACTTCATGTTCATCTACTTCAGCTAATTGTTCAATATCTGATTTTCTGATACTATTGCTGAAATCTAATCAGTAATTGTCGAAGCAAACAAAAAGGAAAGGTTATATAACGTGCTATGCATTAACGTCTAATTTTCAACACTGCATAAACTCTGTTCTTCTGTAAATCAAGCTTACAAATATAGTAATCGCCATAAGAGGGCTCTTTCAGTTCAGCAATCAAATATTGTAGTGTTTCACGGGTAGGTCTCAAGAAACAAACACATTTGAGATGATTCATTTTATCTCTATTTCTGTTATCAATTCGGTCGATTAGATAGCACTCTTTCGTAAGTAGATGGGATTGGGTTGTCACAAGAGAGATGATGGGTGTCTAAAGGAATCATCAATAAAACTGTTAAACTTCAGTACCAACATTAAAACATAACTATAGGAAGCGGGTTTATACAAAGCTTTACTGTCTCCGTATCTAACAGAAGTGCCTTCATCCCAGGTACATCGTTGATCAACTTGTCTGCATAATGCTGAATTGCCTTTATCACATCCATCTTAACGAAACGTTTACACGTGATAGGAAAAAAAGGAGAGAGTTTCAGCAATAAGGAGTTCGAAAGGTTTTATACATTGAGCTGATCAAAAAACATTCTAGAAGTTCGATAGAATGTAAAAATAAGAACAGCGCTCTATACCTTTATGCGACAGCCTGTAGGTTACATTACATAAATTTCTTTTTGTCCTATGGATCTTCGTCTGAAAGCAATTCGTTAAACTCTCAGGATCAACATCATGGCCTTTCTGCTGCTGTCTTAGAAATTACGTGGACAAGTGTAAGCCAGAAAGATGTTCATTCTCTACGAAAAACATCCATAGATACGAAAAGTAACTTTCGGGGACGCAATTAGCAATCTGCCATTAATAGATTCATATTGTCCGTACAATTAAAAAGCTTTTACAGTCAAGTTAATACACTATTAGTGTTGAATTAAGTTGCGTTATCCAATGCCATCTTTAAATTTTTCTATTTTCTTCATTCATTAAATTAAGGAGTTTGTTCTATATGAAGTCTATACCAAAAATAAAATAAAATAAAATATATATATATATATATAGCAAGATAGACTCAAGAGAGTGATATGCGATCAGTGTTAGCAATTATCAGTCAATGTCATCTGAAAACAATAAGCAACTACGATTACAAGAATCTGTATGAACGTAAGCTTCCTTCGAGTTTCAAATATGATACCCAACAATTCTAATGTATATTCATCAGTATTTGGCAGTTGTAAATTGAGCAAACTATGCATCACATCTGCAGGAGTTCTTAGTACATTGGAAAGAGAAAGGTGATCTAGCGCGTTTACCCAGTATGACAATTTTTCAGGGCAGCCAAGGATAAGAGTGATATTCATTTTCGACGGGTGCTGAACACAACTTACAAGCTGACGAAGGTCATCGTCGCGGCCTCGTATGATGCAATGAGGCCTGTACTAAGAGAATCGAGTAGCAATCGTGCCAACAGGTGGTAACTTTATGTGATAGTCTTAAGACCAAAACACCAAATCCAAGCATGGCAAAAGCCCGGTGGGCATATAATAAGGAATGATGCCTAGCAATGATAATGGACCTGGTAACTTCTCCTGAAGATCGCGCTGCGACTAGCCTAAAGTATACTGGGAGATAATTTGTCAAAGAAAACGGTCTGATTGGTACTGATTTTAATCATCAATGAGTACATGAAGGAGTTCAAACAGATGTATCGATAGTAACTATTTGTAGCAAACGCTGATAAGCATTTCGAAATCGCTTATCAAGCGGTGGACCATTGTTACGAACATCAGGAGCCATGAACTTCTTGATGCTATATCGTCATTGAATGGGAGGAAAGTCAGACGTAAGCAATTTTAGTATCTCTCCTGCCTTATCCGATTTTGGACTATCGATCCGCAGAAAATTGGTGAACATATTATACGGATATGACCAAGACACAGCGTTTGCTAAAGTATAGCACAAAGGTATTTGAGTGAGACCATAGTGCTCATCAGCTGATAACAAGGCGACGGGTGCAAGAGCAAATCTTAAACGGGTATCCGCATACCAACGGCCCTGGCCAAGTAACATGAGAGGGGAGTGTAGGAAGTTCGGTGTGAGTGTTATATCCGTGATACAAACAGTGACTCTCTAACAACGACATCAGATAATACATCTCAAATTTTGTTATAAATAAGAACTGAAACGATAACAGAGTTAAATGAATTTGTATGTTCTTTGCGTACTTTCATTTGATCTGTTCCAGTCTTTAACCCGAGGTACATGATCGTTTGTTATAGCTATTCCGGGCATTATCAAGAGTTTCACCGTGTTTAATTGAACTAATATAAATACACTTTGCATTCATGATTCAATAAAATCATTATTATTGTATCTTGTTATTTTGAATTGTTTTTTAATACTGTTTATTGTTAGATACAACAGTGAGGATAGATAAAGTAGGAATTCACTTGAAAATTGGCAAAAAAATTCGTGAATGCTGCAGCCATGGTACAAAGGAGTGATTGCCGGTACATTCATAGATACAGTAACTATCAGTGAAGTAACGAAATCACTGTTGCTTTTCGAGCGAAGAATCCGTTGTTGTAGATAAGCAGGAGGGTCGAATGCTGGTGACGTAGATCAATGACTCCTAGGCCACTAAGAGATCTGCGCAGACAGATGGATCGTCAGGAGGGGAGCTGGGCGAAATGGTGATACAAACGTTTGTTCGACCTTACGAATATCGATGAGCCAGGTCTTGGGAACTGGAACTACGCGCAACAGATGCCAAATCTTGCTGAGTATTTGTGAGCTTACCACAAAGGACAATTCACGGACAGAAAGACCCGTCTTTCAACTTACTACAATGTAGCTTAATAATGTTCATTATATGACTAAGATGTCCTTTCAATTACTTGGACGAAGAGTGGAGCGGATAACCTAAATTGCGAACAACTGTGCCACTATGTTTGATATGGTATTTGATATTGGCAGAGTTAGCGATATTGATTCAAAAAATACAGCTCTCACCGGATAAGGAAACAATCTCTGTCTTGTGAAGATTGACTTTAGGATTACTAGCGGATCCGTACAATGACAGGAGGTTGCATAGAAGGGTCCACTCTTCATGTAAGGCCAAAAACACCTTAAGATCACCAGCATGACTGAGTAATTTAAAAACAGGAGGTTGATACCACGGTATGGGATTGTCATCTTTCCCCGTAAGCAAATGATGTATAATGGGAATCTTTCCCAATGCAGATATTTGCGTAGTGAGAGACGACATTGACACTCCCTTAAGAGAAGAGGCTGAAATAGTACTTAGAAAGGGCTCGAACATCAAATTGAAGAGCAGAGGCGACAGGAGGTCTCCTTGGCGTAGACCACGACCTTGTAAGAAAGGCTCTCTGAAAAAACAATAATTAAAGCAGAAATGACCGTCGAGAAAAATAAGGATATCAGGGCTGGGATAAGATGGGTAGGAAAGTTGAAACGTGACAAAACCAGTCTAAAATATTGAGGATGCACGCAATCGTAGGCCTTTCCAATATATCAGTCCCCACTGGCATGACCCCTATGTCGTATTTGAGGGTAGATGATATACAAATATTAAAGATATAATTCACTTTATGAAGGATAAAGATGAATTATACAATATTGCAAACCAGAAATAATTAGAAACTACATAAACTCTAATATATGAGTACCGTGAATTAAGTGTTGTGTTTAGTTGACAGCATCATATGAGATGTGGAGAACTCGTATACAAATTTTACAAGATCCTCACACCTCATTACTGCTGAAATAATATAAAGTAGAGTAGGAAACGAATATAGAATAAGTGATGATTCTTATACGAGATTAGCTACCTCGTATAAGGCTGAACAGGTTGTCATTTAGGATATATAGTTTACTTATTTTGCTATAATACGTTACTATATGACATGGGATATATAGTAGAATTAATATATGGACATGCAGGATATATTGATTCAACACCAAGGTATAATAGGTTATAAGTACTATTCTCTGCCTTCGGCATAAAGAATGATTACAAGATAATAGTTTGGGATCATCCTTTACAATAACTGTTCACTCAACTCAAACACCACGCACGAATACTATTTTCCTAATTAATTCTATTTTCCTGCAAGCAGTGCTACATAATGGTTAGCACGGGAAAATAGGTTAGTTGCATGATCACTAGATCAAGCCATGGACACGTTTACAAGTCCACCCGCTCCGGGTAGATGCGTAATCTCCTCAAGGGAGAATTCTATTCTTTTACGGTTCAGAAGACGTACGTCTTCTTTGAGTAGAATAACTCAGCTGTCAGTTTCTAGGTTCCACAATATGAAGAAGATATTTAAATTTTTGCAGTAGATATTTTTCTTCTCTTTGAACTTAACTTGATTCAAAATAAAGACCTACTAGTTTGATCTCGTTAACTTTTTACTGTTTTTAATTAAGTGATATTTAACTCTACAAGTCGTCAAATACCACACCCTGTTCCCGTAGTAGGCTCTCGTCCATGTGGTTCGAACGACCTCCATTGTCAAGTAGGTCTTAAGAGGAACAGTTGTGTATGTTTATTTATCTCACCACCGTGTCTTTTTTTTTTTTTGCTTTTTTCTAGACTTGGAATATCAAGGATTGTAAATGCCATCAATCCAACAATCAGAAGTCTTATTTATAGTAACTTGAATGATAATGAGAAACTAAGTTTTCGCTTCGAAAAACGTTGTATCAGCTTGTACAAGTTTAGAGCCAGGGGTCTCCGCTGTAATTGACAGAATCATCAAAGTTGATGAATCTAGCGAACATAAATCATATTCAATCGAAGATATGGATGAATTGTTGGAGCAAATTCAAACAAAGGAGGCTGAGTGCAGTAAGAACAAGCAACGAGATACACAGCTGTATCAAGCTTTAAGTTGTATGGAAGAAAGGTAAGACTGAAACCATCAGTATAAGTTATTTATTGTTCAATTACTTATTCTCTTACTTGATAGAGTTAAGTCATTTGATTTATGGGATGATAATGATAAAACGAGCGAGACTGCACACTATCGCAGATTTGCGTCGCTTTTGGACATTATTTTTAAAAAAAAGTGACATAAAGCTATACGAGTAAGCTTTTAATTAATATTCATGATAAAAATGTTGTGGATTGCGTTAATCGTTCTATCATTTACGCTATTGTTTCAGCGGTGATACAGGGTCAAGGTCAACAAAACTACAACGTGATGTGGTATTTTCCATACCTCCTATAATATATAAAGACGAATTAGACACACTTTCAAGCATTTGACTCGTTATATGATCATAGAATCAGAATAACTTGCACACGTCATCGTGTACTCTAAAGACATACGCATACATAATGCTGCATTCCTACTGGTTAAGAACGAGTATTTAGCTCCTTTTTTTTTTGTACCTCTTTCCTTTCCTTCTTTCTTTTGTTGTCAATATAAACATTCAGTTCGCTATGAACGCTTCCCTCTCTGATTTTCAGTGTATAATAAAAGGACTAAAGGAGACTCATTTCACCTTACAGTTTATATCAAAGTTATAAGTCGCGTTCACTAAACATAAAACAACTACAAATATCACATGTGAAACAAATAAGGCTATTTTTCAAGCCATGGATATATCACCCACTTACACAAGAAAAATTGATTTACTTCTGAAATGCAGTGAAGCTAAGGCTACTATTGAGATGTCATCAAATGAATGGAAACGTGCTTCTGTAACCAAGAATATCCAACTTGCGTAACAATGCAAGAATTTAAGAGTCAATACATCCATTCCTAAAAACTTGAAAAAATTCGGTAATAATATAAGTACTGTAGCAATGAAAAGCTAGTTTATTTACTACTCTTTTAGGTAATTCTGCTTATATATACCAACTAGTGTGGTGTCAAGATCAAGGGGTTTATTTTGCAAGTACTCTTGCAGTAGTTCATCTACCGACAAGCCCGTTGCTATTACTTGAAGTGAAATCGACATTAGAATCACTTTTTAGACTTAAGGTATGTTGAAGACTTTCGAGATGAAGAGAGCTAATATTAATAATTCCCTTTAGCTTTCTTTAACCTATGATGCTAAGATTATCAAAACCTCGCTACAAATACAGAAGCAGAAAAAGACTAATCAAGATATAGCTGACACCGCAGAAGCCTCCACAACTCCAGTTGAACATTTCCCATCGTCACCTACTGACTCTGCATCGATTTCTCCACTGCTATTGTTATTTTCACAGCCCTTAAACGAAATATCTCTATATGAGCCGTTTCTATTTTTTACGCCTAGGAACAACCGTGTTAAGCGAAGACGCCCATTAATGAAGGATGAAGAGGATGATTCCGACGACGCTGATAATGATATAAATGCTACTATTTGAAATCCAAAACTCTAACGTTTTGATTTCTTTACTTATTGGTAGACTAAATTAATTATTAATCATTCTATAAATCTTATCACCGCCTACGTCTCCCCACATCAGTCTGTGATCCCATATCCTATGTCCTCGACCGTCTTCCTACACATCTGATCAACAACCCATCCCAAAAACAAAACTGGCATTTTCTATGGCCAGCACTTTGTCACATTTTGTTTGAACTCGACTACTTACACCACTCTCAAGAGCCACCTACAACTCCTCGGTTAGGGCATCTATTATTCGACTGGTTACCCTCTTCTCTCTTCCAACCCTTTAGTCCATAATCCTTTTTACCCTTGAGCCCTAAGGGGGTTTTTAGATTCTTTTCAGCCTTTGGATCTGCCCCGGGCAATTTAAATAAGCTTAATATCTCGTATCCATTGGGCTTTTTTTAAAAAATAAATAAATTAATATTATGTAATAAAATCTATGTTTGAACGTATAAATCTTATCAATTGTCAAGGACGATGAAATTCGCCTTCTTTTGTGCTTTCCCTGGAGTTTGAGCCTGCTTTTACTTTTCTCATTTGATAGCTTCATTTATATAAAAAATGGATGCCCTCTCATCACTACTAAATTATGTTTACGTTTGAAGGTAATACTCATGACAGGCGCTAAGCCATAGGCTCGTAGTATTTTACACAAGATTACTCAATACTGCTTACATAAATAATATATCTGACCATCACTTCTCGGTCAACTGAAATTTATCAAGCTCTTTAAGAGGTATACTGAATGTCCATAAAATTTTTATTATAGACACTGAAGGGTCTAATTAACTATTAATTTTCGAACGCAACCACTTTAAAGGTATACGAGCTCCCTACTGAGTGCAAACAGATGCCTACGCTGGCATCTTGGCTAGCTATTGGTGGTGTCCCTAAATCGTGCATCTACCATCCATAAAAAATGTTTGCTCGCTTCCGCGCTATCAAATGTCTCCATCTGTCATATTCTTTTTTTTTTTTTTCTTTTAGAACTTAATTACTACCATCACCGAGAGATCCCTCCAGACTCTCAGCCTCTTGGTACCGAGTTGATAAACTATTTGACTAGAGCGTATGAAGTTACTCTTTCCGATGCACAAAATCTCTTCCAAGATGTACGAATACCAAGTATAAAACACTACGAAATGCAAAGAAGTGAGCAGTAGTCTGACGTGAAGTTAGATGAAAACATAGAGGAGATTGTAAGTACAGTTAAATTGCAGAGAAACGTTAAAAATAAATATTCAACTAAACAAAAGCTTTTGTTTGTATATATGAACAGACTTAAACTTTTTAATGTTGCGAAGGCTGACTCTGTAGTTAGCGGTATTGTCGAATGAACGGCTCAAAGTTGGGCTAAACCACTTTAAGAAGATAAGTACTGGAATATTTTTTTAAAAAAAAACAGATAGACTTGGTTAATAAACATACAACGAGCAAATTTATTGCAATGATAACCCGCAAGCACGATTGACTGACACAATTGTGTTTCTCACTCACAATTTTGCAAACTTAAAGATTGAAAGCATTGCTGTTCATAAAGTCTTGTAGGCCTCATGCAACCTTTCGTTTCCAAAAAGTAATACTTCAATCGCTTTTTGGGGACAATAATACCAAGGTTGGTAAACAAATGGCTTAAGTCAAACAGGAGACTGCAACAAATATATTGATTATTTTGATAACTGCGTTTTTGTATAACGAATTTGCTTCCAACATCAACATGCAGCCACCTTTAAATGTTGGGCTGAGAAAGTAAATCAGCTATTGTAACTACTCCCTCTACGAGAGTAGTAATCTCATACAATTTTAGACGTTCCTAAATCTGTTGCATTCTTGAGGCTTTGAAGCTCCAAGAGGAATAGTCCACACGCATCAGGATCGGTTTTTACAACCATCTAATAGCAAAAAGCCGATGCCTAAAGATACTGTTAGTGGCAATAGCTTGTATTATTCGAGAAAGTATGGGTAAGATGGATTGTTCCTATGAGATGAAGGGTCATTATATAGTAGCCAATAATGCGCCTAATCATACGGCTAAAGGAAGAGATGGAATTATAACTAGGCGAGGCGATAAGCTTATTGACCTTCAACACTATTCCCCAGAGCTTGACCCAATCGAAGCATTTTTGGGCATTAATGGAGAACGAAGTCAAGCGTAGTAAGTTTAAGAGCAGAGGGAACCTAACTACACGAATTACTGAAGCATGTGATTCTGTCCCTCCCATTCACTTTCCATGCGTTTGTCAGCATTTTGTGAATATTTTTGAAAAGTGTTTAGTGAGGAGAATATTTGCATCAATAAGTCGATAAATAAAGATTGTTGAAGATGTCAAGCTTCGAATTAACCGCCCTTTAAAGGCCCGCCTTTTGATATTCATAGCCCGTTGTATAATTTGTTCTGGCCGTCCTTTCGCGTTAGATCAACTACAAAAAGCACAATGCATGTTTAAGATGAATTTAGGCTAAACTTTATTTTTTCATATATGGAAACACCATTTCTATCTCAGCAGCATATCAATCATGAACTTTTTTTTGAGCAGAAACATACCGGGCATTCTAATTGTATAACTTACATCTGGAAGAAATCTGAACGCATAAATTTGCAGAGTGAAGTCTTCAACTTTCGATGCATGTAGTACTTCAGTAACAACAAGATAGGATGGTGCTGTAGAATAACTGTATAATTTAATACTTCCAGCTTTTTAACTTCGAGTTTAGACGAAGCTGTGATATAACTGGGCAAAACGAACCAAAGTTTTGAGACGTTTAAATTGGTGTTTGAAGACCGAACTAAAGTAAACTGGAGACGTTTACTTGTAAAAATCGAGTCAGTTTCGTTCTGGCAATAATAAGAAAAGCATGAAGATGCTGTCTTTTGGTTGAACTTCGTCGGACCTTCCTTGTCTTTTCAAATTGAAATGCTGATAGCCATCATTTTTTTTGTTTGCTGCATTGGCATCGCGGTTCCGTAATTCTTTCAAGTTCTGTAAACAAGGATACTATAACCACGGACGGTGTTAATGCTTGTAATGTGTCTGAGCAACAGCAATCGCATATACGCGATGTTAGATATTTATCAACTATTATAGCGAGGAGATCGTCACCTGCTTCTCTTGTTCTCAAGGCACGCCACAAAGTGCCTATGAACAGCAGATTTGCTGAACATGCCATCACCAAATACGATAAGAGGAGCCATTTTGCTATCACTCAACCTGAATTTATTAGAGGCCTATGAAAATCTTATCAATTAGGATTATAGTGGACTAAATTAAAAGTAGCGAGACTATAAAAAGTGTTGAATGTCTTTATTTCGAGTTAACATTTGGGTCTCTTTTATATCTTTTGAAATAAGTAGTTTGTTTAGAGAAAGGCATGTCTGAGACCTTGTAAATAAATATAGGCAGATAGGAAAATACATGTAGTGTTGTTTAGGTGAATAATTATTACATATATTTGGCCTAGGTAATTATAGAGGACATCACAGCCTATCGTCTTGTTGAAGAAAGATATATGTAACTCAATTGACAGTTATTGCTACAAGAGTTACCAAACCCATTCTATTTTTGCACTGACACTAGTACTATCTAGTTCAAAGCAGTTTCAAAACTTAATATGTCTAAAAAGTTACAACAAGTATCCGAATCCTTGTATCTTGATCTGATGGTCCTCCAACAGTTCTAAAGCATTTTACCGGATGAAACCTGATACTTATGCTTCTCTGTAAGTCTAATTTTCTGCATAATAACTTTTGTACAAGTTTAGGGCTGAAAGTTATAAAAAATGCGAAATGAAAAAGAAGATATCTTTTCCTCGTTTAGAAGTTCTTCATTATAATATAACTTTAATAACAAAAACGCGATAAAAGTGTTGCTGAAAGACATGTCACAAGCATTGTAAATCACCTTTTTCGCTTATTCAAAAAGGGTAATCTAAAAGAACGACAAAAAAAAATGCGATTAGAAAATTTTTCCTATTTTGTATAAAAAAAGGGCTCCAAATAATTTGAACATATTTTTGTATTTTGTCTAAAAAATCAGATGTTTGTATAAATCTGAATCAGAAAACCGTATTTACGACCCAGGTGTGACATTTCATATAATGCCTATGACGTCAAGGCTGTTCGTAGGCTGTATCTTTACTTACCTTCAAACTCCGGATTCAGCAAAAAAGTGTGGTGCACGTTTCCAAGTGTAAACAAAAAACTAAAGCAGTAAATTGAAATTCCGCAGAGCTTATAAGGTTCGAACTTTTTTACAGACAAATACAGTTTTTTTAACTTATGAGTCGGACTTTCATACTGTTTGCTTCAGACGAACAGAATATTGGATTAAGAAATTCCATAATATTTTTTAGATTTAACAATTTTTGTTTGAGATAATCTTTTAGAGTTTGAACTCAGGGCACTATTAAAACGGAAGGGTGACGAGGAAACAAGAGCAATAACCAGCGCGCTTAACTATCCTGTGTAATATATTAAGCATACTATAACATCAAAAAACTAGCTGAGGAGCAAAGATACGCTACTGTCTGTATATAGCAATAATTTTTCAGAACTTTGGTGCATGTTGATAAGAGCCATCATTATTGAGTCAGTTGATCGTGATGTTCTCAAAAAAAAAGGAATGCGATATACAATAGAACACACAGTGTTCTTTTCCTTTTTGCTTTCTTTCTTTTAAACAAAAGTGGAAAGGCAAACAACGCCTCCTAGCTCAGAACGGCCCTCATAAAGGCCCACGCTGCACATAGGTAAGAATATCTTATTTACGACTCTATCAAGAAATCATCTACGTTGCCTCAGTTACCCACACACTAATACCAATGTCATACAATCATTCTTCGAGTGCTTCATCGTCTAAGCCAGTGTTGTCAAAAAAGGTGTAAAAAAGAAGCTCTCCAAGAATTCAAAGCTGATAATAAAACAACGAAAATGATTACGTATCCGTCCTGTAAGCAAGCCACACATGCATGGCCTACAAGCAATCTGTGTCCGAACAAGAAGGCAAAAGTACCTATTGATGGTGAAGATGAAAAGGTGGAAATCTGCTTCATCAATGAATATATGACTAGCTGTAATAAATGCAAGCATTCGACATTTGGAGAATGTAACGACAGCGACATCAAAGCGAAGAGTACATGCTGTATTGCAGTATAAAACTGTAATACAATTTAGAATCGCGAAGTCAATGCTGCCAAAAACATCTTTCTAACGAGACCTACATGTGTGATTGATATCATTCCTTCACACATCCCTACAGTGTAAGTTGTAATATATTTATAAAGTATAACCAAAGGCCGAATGCTTACTGTTTCGACCTTATTTACTCAACTCACAATTCGATAACAATTTGGATAATTTCTGGTAAGTACGTCTGAACTTACAACAAAATTTATCTAAAATATATAAATTTATTTTCTCATAATATACTCCATTTTTCCAAAGATGCCTAGTAGTATTTCCGATTATAATCGAAAAAAACTGTAATACCTAATCTAAAATAACTGTAACTTATTTTGGTAAACCCCTTTTTGAATTGCTCTTTTTGAAAGCTGCTGAAAGTATACCAATAACTTTCCAACTAGTATATTATTGTTATACTTCACATACGTAGATTACGTCGGACGATTTCGTAATTGCACAGAATGTACAGCACTAAAATCTGTTCAACAATACCAATGCTAAGCTTCTACCTTTCTGCAGAAAGCTGGGAACTAGAATGTTTACCCGCCGAAAAAGGAATCATGCCGTTCGCTTTTATACAAGCGGATTATAAAATTGTTTACAATTGTAAATGAACATGCAAGAAGTGCGCCGAAGAAAAGGAGCTTTTGAAAACTTCCCAGTTTATTCAGCCATTAGCTCCAATAATTGACGAGTCAGATCCGAGAAACCATGGTTGTAATAATAGGTGTTCTACATAAATTCAGTACGCTATAACAAGAATGCTCCGAAGGATAAATAGACGCGATAAAGACTAAAGATTAGTTGACAAATCACGGTCTATGGAAAGTTTTCTATGATGGCTGAGACCGTTTAGGCTCTTGTTCTTAGGCAAAAACAAACAGCTGAGGTAATTTAGCTCAGAGATGGCAATAGTATAGATAAAGAAATGGGCAAATTGGTAATAAAACCAGTTCTGCTTCAATTTAAGGCATAAGTAGTGATTTCGTGAAAAAACCGCTCATTTTGCAAGCATTACTTGATGGTTCCTGAATTAGGCAATGCCCATGCAAGATAGTAAATCAGGTATTCTAACTTTCATTAACAAAATATACAAAATCAGTGATGTTCAGTTCATTAGCTATTCGGTGCATAGGGTAGACGTTCCACTAGAGCTTTGCTTGTAAAATTATCCTATGCAGGTCCTGACTGGCATCCTTGTTATTAAGTAACATTTCGTATATGGTTATAGAGTTTTGCTGAGATTTTGAAGTCAGACTTTTTTATTGGCTTATCGTTAACTGAACTGAACGGTTCCTTTAAACTGTTGAGATCAAAAAGCAAGCTCAGACTATAATGTGGTGTTGAGATCAAAAAGCAAGCTCAGACTATAATGTGGGTCCCTCAACAGAACACACATAGTTTTATGGAATTTGAGACATCACCAAGAATAAAGTTTTAAATCTTTCTTTTTGACACATTTGGATTTCTTTACGAAAAGCAGCCAATTAACTACTATATTTTAGACCCTTTCGGCCTTTCAGGGCTACATAAGAGATTCAAACGCAAGATTCATATGTCAGTACCTTACGACCATTAAATGTAAAAAATCATGCTTCTATGGTTTAGAACAATACAAGCTCAGTCAACATTAGTGGTCAAGCTGCTGAATTGCATTTATATTAAGGTTATGACGTCAAATTAGCCTGGAGCATTTTCTTAGTGGCAATGCTTGGTTATTGTAATCCTTAACACTGCTTAACTTAAACAGGAACCGATTGCCTTTTTTGGTATTGAAACTTGTCAAACCTTCTTTTGTTCCATATCTCGCTGAAAGAGAGAAAAGTGTTGACTTCGTATTAGAGCATATGCGCGGGTGGAGGCAATGATTTGGCTTTTCGGGGTTATAAACATTATCTGGAGAACAAGAAAGTCCGAAACGCTGGCTGACTTTCGGTAACTTTTTCTTTTCCAATTCAGGGAACTTTTTTGATTTCTCCTGTGTTAGAACATAGCTTTCGGATCTGAAATGTCAAAAAGACAGAAAAAATATATATACATGTCCTTCACTAGCAGTGTTTGCCTGGAAAGAAGCTCTTTTTCCTGACGTCTTGTTTCCATTTTGATCATAATTTGTTCCTACGTACAGCTTCTTCTACCTTGCGCATATTTGCTTCAATTGTTTCGAGATCGCTATTATACCTGTCATAAAGAATTGCTGTAAAGTACATATATTTCTCATTGACGCTTATAAAAAAATACATCCGATTGTTTGAGCAGAAGGAAGGATAAAATATATCTATTATGACAAACACACAAAAGACATTTTACTTTTGGTTAGTGTGTTGCATAATTGCACTACTACCAATGGTAGTTAAAGCTACTCCTGCTTTTAATACAGGTAACTATATACACTTTTTCTGGGAATAACACTGAAGGTCAGTTTAGGATTAGATACTGAATAAGAAATACCCTACTATTAGTGAATGGTTTTGATGTCCATGGAAATCAATGTCCTTTACCTACCTATAATTCTTACCCTTGTCCTGTTCTTTGTGTCCGCAATATCAATGATTGCCCTGAAAAGGTTCGTCCTTCTTGTCCTGCTGGTCAGACATACTGTATTGACGGAACTTGTCGTTCATCTTGCCCTCCTGATTTAAAATCTGCTTGTTCGTGTCCTGGAGCACCTGATCTTCAAGTACCCATGTACCAATGTGCCGATACTGCTAGACCCAACATACAAAGCTTCAACTCCAAAAACAAAGACGAGCAAACCCACAGCGAATGTGCAAACTATTTGGGACTGTCTAAGGTTTCTAGCTGGTCTTCAAACCCTCAATCCATTATGTGGGGCGAGTGTCCCGCTCCTGATTACGGGCCTCTCAACTTTCATGAACCTATCTTTGTTACTGCTTATGTTATCTATGGCTCTTGTGTCTTTTTCCTTCTTGTTTGGGCAGTCTCCAAGTTCTTGAGAGAAAGACTTTTCAAGACTCGCTACAATAAGGTCCGTGAAACCAAGCGTGATGAATTTTTAGTTGATGACGAAAAGAAAGGTTTGGATGACAGTAGTAGATCAGATACTTCATCTTCTATTGATCAAGAAGATCAAGAAGAAATGGTTATCAAGGCTTACAAGCGTGATTTCTTTGGCACTTTTACCAGAATCATGTATTTCTTATTGACCTTGGCTCTCTTGGCCTACATAATTGTTGTTGTTTACGATTATTATGAAGCCTTCTTATATTTTCGTGGTAACGCTCTTGTTGAATCCAGTACTTTTATTGGAATGTGGTACTTCAATTTCATCTGGTTTGCTGTGCTGGTTATTTTCAAGAACCGTCTTGCCAATTTCTTCCGTATTCAATGTATTTATTCTGAAGGCCAGTTCGTTCAAGTTGAACGTCGTGAACCTGCTGTCATTCTTCTCGAAGATAACAATAAGCTCATGAGCTACGTTCGCAGGACTGAAAGCTATCTCAAGAGACTGTTTGGTCTTGATGTTATCGTCGCTACTGCTCCTTTGGAAAAGACTGGTAAAGGCACGAAATATTTCATTTATCAATGTACTCGTTATGTCTACCGCCCTGAAACACAACTCTTCAAACCTCACTCTTTTGAGCTTGGCGAAACCAATGCTGAATTAGCTGTTTTAAACCAAGGCTTGACTACTCAAGAAGCCTTAGAGCGTGAAGAACTTGTTGGTCCTAATTTTATATCAGTTTATGTTCCCAACATTCCTATGGCTATTGTTCGTGAATTCTCAACTTTCTTCTATATTTATCAATTCAATGCACTTTGGTTGTTCTTCTACTTCGCCTACTGGCAAGTAGGTATCGCTGACCTCGCAGTTATTCTTGTTTCTGCTTTCGTTAAGGTGTTTGTACGTCTCAGATCTGAATTGCGTATAAAACGTATGGCTGAATTTACTGACGAGTGTAGAATTCTGCGTGACGGTCAATGGAAGAACGTTTCTACCGCTGACTTAGTTCCTGGTGATGTCTTTGAAGTAGTTGAAGGCAAGACTTCACCTTGTGATGCAGTTGTTTTAAGTGGTAACATTGTTGCTGACGAAAGTTCTCTTACTGGTGAACCTTTACCTATTCGTAAGTTCCCTCTTCGTGTTAATGATCCTACTCCCTATGAAAAGATGGGTGCTGGTAAAATTTCTACTCTTTTTGCGGGTACTATCATTTCTCAAGCTCAACGCACTGAACAAGACGTTCCTGTCACTGCGTTGGTTACAAGCACTGGTACTCAAACTGATAAGGGTGAATTGGTCAAGAAAATTCTTTTCCCAACTCGTGTTTCCTTCATTTTTGATGAGCAGATTAAGATCGTTATCTTGATTCTACTCTGCTGTGGTCTTGTTTGTTTAGGTTTAGCTATTTGGCTGTATGCAAAGGGCACTAGTGCTTGGTTCTATGCCATGTTTGCCATCTGTCAACTAGTATCTCCATTACTTCCTGCTGCATTAGTTGTTGGTCAATCTGTTGCTGCTGGTCGTTTACGTAAAAAGAGTATCTTCTGTGTTGACCTCCCTCGTATCTTAATGGCAGGCAAAGGTATGTATTTTTGAGATACCTTATTGTGAACTCTAAAACAATTTTCTCTAATTTTTGATCTTATTCTGTTTATACAGTACGACTTTTTTGTTTCGATAAGACTGGCACCTTGACCAAAGAAGGTCTTGAATTTTACGGCGCAAAACCTATTACTGACATCAACAACATTGTCGATCAACGAACCAAACAACTGGAGCCCAACTTTGACAGACATATTGGCGATATTGACGAAGTGCCCAGGTTAATGCAAATGGCTATCGCCACTTGCCATGCTGTCACTACTTTAAACGGTCAATTTATTGGTAACCCTGTCGATATTGAAATGTTCCGCTCGTCTAAATGGACTCTATGTGACGAACCTGCTTCTGAAGAATATGTCGACAGCTTAACACCTCCTTCTACCAGTGATATCAAAGCACCAGTCCATGTCTTGAAACGTTTCGAATTTGTTCATGCTAGAATGTCCATGTCTGTTGCTATTCTCGACACCCACACTAACAAGGTTCATATCTTTGTTAAGGGCGCTTACGAAAAAATTAGAGATTTATGTAGTCCTGATTCTATTCCTTCTGATTATGATGCTGTCACTAGCAACCTGGCTCGTGAAGGCTGTTATGTTCTTGCTCTTGCTCATCGTGAGCTTGATCTCGAGCAAGTTGGCGGTATTGAAGGTTTCCGTAACTGGAACCGTGACCAAATGGAAGAACACATTAATTTCTGTGGTTTAATTATCTTTAAGAATCAATTGAAGGAAGATACCACTGAAAATATCAAGGAATTGAAGCGTGGTGGTACCCGTACTATCATGATCACTGGTGATACTGCTCTTACTGGTGTGTACATCGCTCGTCAATGTGGTATGGTACAGGAAGGCGCTCGCGTCTATTTGGGTGATTATAGCAAGACAATGAACCGTATCGTATGGACTGATGTTGATGAGCCTGAAACTTTCCCTGATGTCAATGTGGACGATGCATTAATGAACCAAGCCCATACTCCTTGTGAGTTGGCTGTTACTGGTAAGGCTTTCGACTGGCTCTGTGAAAATGATTTAATCAGAAAATACCTTATGGATACTCGTGTCTTTGCTCGTATGACTCCCACCGGTAAGGTTAAATGTGTTCAACTTCATATGGAGCGTGGTATTACTGCAATGACGGGTGATGGTGGTAACGATTGTGGTGCTCTTCGTGCTGCTCACGTTGGTATTGCTATGTCTGATGCCGAGGCTTCCATCGTTTCTCCTTTCAGTACTAGTGTTCGTAGTGTTCGCTCTTGTGTTGAATTAGTTCGCCAAGGTCGTGGTGCTCTTGCTACTTCTATAACCAACTACAAGTATTTAGTAATGTATGGCCAAGTTATGATGGCATTGAAGATCTTCACTTTCTACTTCTCTGTCACCATGAGTGCCAATATTTGGATCTTGATTGATGTTTTTATCACTGTCATTCTCACGTGGGCTGTCTCACAATCCAAAGCGGCTCCTCGTCTTGCTGACACACGTCCTACGGCCAAATTACTCGGTCCTCAAACTCTTGCTTCTGGTTTGGGCGTCGTTGCCATAAACTGGGCTTTCTTATGTGGTGCTTTCGGTATGCTTTACAAGCAAGACTTCTTCCGTTGTCACGAATTTGATGCCTCAGCTGTTGATATTTCTAAATGGTGGTTATTGGCTGACAACTACGAAGCCTCTGTTTTGGCTGTCGTTTGTGTCTTCCAATTCATTAACAATGCGGCTGTCTTCAACTTTGGTTACAAGTTTCGTCAAAGCTTTTACAAAAATTATATACTTTCCTTCTTATGGTTACTCTACCTTGCCATTGTTTCTGCTTGGCTTTTAGCTGATCCTAATAACTTTGGTTGCTTGTTCCGTATCAATTGTGGTACCAAATCTGTTCTTGCGCAGGTTGGTTATCCTGTTCCTTCTGCCTACATCGAACCTTATAATGTTCCTTTGGGTCACAATGTTATGCCTTGGGACTTCCGTTGGAGACTTTGGGGTCTATGTATGGGTAATTGTCTTGCCACCATTCTTTACGAGAAACTTGTCGTTATTGGTCCTGTTCATACATGGTTGGCGAAGAAATATAACGTCGATAAGGATCCAATCAAGGCTTAGAAACTTTCCAATCTGCCTCTTCTTCTTTTTTCCAAAATAGCATTAGTAACCCAACCAGCTGGACTGTATATGTATAGTATATATGCTTGTATATAGTAATATTTATATTTTACCATTTATCAAAAATACCATTTCATCTTCTCGCTGTATATGCAAAAATATATACAACATAAACAACTACCTTATAAATAATGTGTTAATTCATTGTTTCTCACGATTGGAATTAAAAATTTCGATTGTTTTATTTGTTATATGATTCTATGTGTAAAATGTGTAAACCTTAGGACAATTGTAACATGCTATTTGGAAACAATCAACAGCAAAGAGGTGTGCAGCAGTCATCATAACATACGCTAACTTACGCTAACTTACAAGAAAATGAGTAATATACCTTCCATCAGCATATTGAAATTTTGAAAAAGGCGAGATGTATGAACCTTTTTGATAAAAAGGTGCATCAACCGAGACAAGCCGAAAAACGGTATAAACAAAGCTGCCTGTATATCATCGCCATATCAACATACAGCATTGTCCATCTTACATTAAAGCTCGGATTGATGTAATATGTGTATATGTTTATTTCAGATTGATGTTGAAATCACATCAAGGTAAATAAAAGGAGACTATACGGTGATTGGGAAATTAGTATTTTAATTACATAGTAAGTTCCTATAACAGAAAATTGATAAATAAAGATGAAAATTAGTCGTTAAATCATAAAAAATCACATTATGAGTGAGACGTTACCATGATGGCATTGACAACATCGTTGTCATTGTTCTTAAGAGCCTTAATAGCCTTGTTACGGGAGACGTTGGCTTGGCTGACAACCATTTCAATATCCTTTTCTTCGACACCAGTGGCATCGACTTCTTCGCCATCATCTTCATCAGCGACGGCAGCAGCAGAAGCTTCTTCGGTCTTGTCCTCACCTTCGGCAGACTTTTCAGCATCAGCAGCTAATTGTTGTTCCATAGCAGCTTGTTGAGCACGAGCAGCCAAATCTTCCATTTCCATAACACCGAAAACGATGTGAGTATCAGAGTTGGTAGACTTGTAGACTTCAGGGTTGCTAATAGCATAGACCAACTTTAAACGATATCGTTATTAAAGGTTAGTTGACGTAAGCTATTTTCAAATGATGTCTCTTCCCCACCCTTTCGCCCTGCTCCTCTACAAACTTGTCCAATAATTTATCGTCTTTCATTTACTTACACCTCTGCCACGGGTGAAGGTGACACGGTTGACACCGTTAACGGGCTTTAAACCGAGAGAAAGGATAGCCTTACGGGCCTTTTGTTCACCACGGGATTGGATAGAAGCTTCAGTGGACATCTATTGTAATTATATAAAGGCGAGCGTGTTATTCTCGGTTACTCGTCAAATTTCAAATAAAAGCTACATGCTTTTCTACAGGGTGAAAGGATGAAAGAGAAAGATAGACAGGAGTAGCCAGTATCTCTTTGTTTGTTGCGGGAAAGACAGGTAAAAGTGAATGGCGTTACTTATTCTTGGTTGACGCGCCCGCAACTTTGCGAAAAAAACTTACATATTGCTGTCAAGTAATTGTGAAATGAGGGTATACGAAACTTCCTATGGTGCTGAGTGTGGCATTGGGAATTAAACAGTGCATCACTGAAGGATGACTTCAATTTATTGTAAATGTGACAATCAACATGCTGGTATCGGAACACTTTCTCATACTGTATCGTATAAACTATGAGATGACTGATATTCATCCATCTATCGTAGAATCTCATCATACATCCTATCTCTCTTTCTATCTTTGCATCCTCCCTTCCATCCATCTTCATACCTTTTGCTTATAAATGAGAAAGAAGGGAGAGGTTCTGTTAGGCGAGTGCCTGACTTTGAATAACTATCTTGCGCCTTCCTTTGCCCCTCCTCCCTACAACGAACAATGAATTTTCCATAGCGGATGAGCCCAGATTGAAAAAAAAAAAGTTGACAGCAGTCCGACAAACCCGAGGAAATCCCATCAAAAAAAAAAAAAAAATAATCCTAGTGTCAAAATGTCAAAAGAATCTCTTTTTTCATCACACAACCAATTCCCAAATCTCATTTCCAAAAGCAAAGAAACACAAAAACTCTTTATTGAATATCATTCTGTGCCATGATTAAAATTGAACCTCAAGATAGATAGTACGTTATGTAAATAAATGGGTGGCTGTGGGATCACTTTCAGAAACCTTTTAACCGCGCTGCCCGTCGTGTCGAAACAACAGAAACCGTTGACTTGTATATTTGGTCACCAGCTTGTTTCTGCTTCTGTAAGATTCTGTTGGGCTGTTATTGTCAGTTGTTAAAAGGTTTACTAACGGAGGTTTGTGTCTTTCACTACCCATTTGTTTATCTATCAATGATCATTCTTACACTTGAGATGAGCACAACTATTCAACTTTGCTTTTTGAATATATTCGTCCTTTTTTACTCTTGAATCTGATCAATAAATGCCAGTTCATATCGTTTAGTATATGTATGCTTATGAAGCGCTTATCAAATGAAGAAGCAGAAAAAAATACCCTGAAGCACTTTACTGCACTGATGAACCTGCTGCAATCTTTTTTTATCACCCTTCTATTTTGCGCAAGTACGCGTTTGCAATCTGCCATAATTCTGTCTACCGACTATTAGTGCTGGTAGTTGTTGTGGGCATTATAAAGGGTCAACGAAGAGGAAAATCAAGAGGGGTTCAGACTTATGTTTATTATAGCACAAAAAGAGCGTATGAATAGGTCTATTGGAAAAAAGGAGAGAAGCGTGTTGCTAAGAAGGAGGAATAACATATATTCATCATCAGAGCGAAGAAAAATAACTGTACTTTGAGAACGTATAATGTACCCTTGGTCTCTATTCATGTGGTTCCTACAATGCGAGCCAAGGTGATACCGATTCTTTTTTTTTTTTTTTTTTTTTTTGTATTTAATTCACGAACTTTATTAGAAGTGACTAGAAAAGAAATTTAGATGATATATGGCAATAAAAGAAATGAAAAAGGCATAAACTGTAAAACTACTAAAAAAAAAACCATTAAATGTATACTACGAGCTCGTACGGAGTGTTCTGAAGCGAACCTCGTCTTGGTAGACGGCACGAACTCCTGCTAGGAACCAAGAGATGCGGTCAAAATGGCAACGCCAATGATATTTCCAGATACTTAAAAGTATCATACTAACCTGGACGATTGTGTGGTCAGGCAGAAGAGAATTGTCTAACGGGGAACAGAGTGTTAACAATATATGCCAAATGCCGGTAGGTGTGGCAGGAAAAGATATAATTCGATTTTCCTGCAGTGCCGTGATCCAAATTGCCAAATACGTGGACAACCAACGAGAAAATGAAAACCATCCTCAGGGGAGTCTCTGCAATGGTGGTAAAGGGGAGAGTCGGCTATGACAGGATTGATGGAAAACAGCCAAGCTCTGTACCCAATGCAATTATGCCATAAACGCCACCATGGAGTTAGCACTGCATGAGGGATCGAGAATGACCAGAACCGTTTTCACTGAGCCGGAGTCCGATACTCAAGAGGAAACACTTGAGGAATCCGAGGAGGGTCACTAAAAACGGAATAATTAGGATGCCAGTATAGCCGTAGCGTACCAAGCGATGATACCGATTCTTTCCTCCATCACCAATACAGTTTAAACAACGTTAAGATTAAAAAAGTACTTTACCTTATATTTTAGACAATTTACTATTTTAAAACATTTTTAGGATAAAGTTCATAGTATTTTGGATATCAATTTAAAAACTCAATTATTCAATGCTATCCAAACAGCATTAAGGATGACATACAGTCAAACCCTAGAAATGAGTCTCTTTCAGTAAGAAAGTCGCCAATAATGGTTTTATTGACGTTATCTTGCAATAGGCCAGATTACAAAAAGCTTGACAACTTTTTTATTAAATGACGATGTATTCCGAGACCAACCGATATTCGTCGGTGCCTGAGTTCCCGAAAAAAAAAAGTCAACTTTGAATTTGATTAACATCAAACCATTGATAGAGGGATGAGGGTCATAGTATAGCAGACATCATAGCGGAATGGGATGGTTATAATATCTGTTGTCAATGTTTTTGTGTGCGTTCATGGGTGACTTTCAAAGATAAGCACTATAAAATATATTGCTCTCTTATAGTCAAATGTTGTCTCTTTCACTTTTATCTCACGTTTTATGATACATACTATGACCCATGTTCAAAACAATAATTTTTGAAAAGAAAAAGCAAATCTGAAAAGAAAAAATCAAGTGCTGTTCATGGTAACTTGCCTTTTGAAAGCCTACATACCTGATCATATATACGTATAGATTAATCATCGTGTACTGTTAGATGTAACGTGTATTGATTGCGGTAAAGGGAGTCATTACACCAAACAATACTTTAAATGTGACTTATATGAGCCAGAAACTGCAGATCAAGGTAAGCAGCTCAGGTGGCTTCAAAAGTTGGTTAATTCATCATTAGTAAGCGACCTTATTGTACCTATCGATGGTGCGACAGGCAGAAAACGCAAACAGAATTTTGAAATCAAGAAAGAAAAGAAAAAAGCAAGGAAAGAGAAGAATGAAGAACTAGATAAAGACAATGCATATTGTACCAAATGCAAGCAACCAGGACATAAATCGATGCGTTCAGAAGTGGAAGGCTGATAAGTACTCGAATTCCCTAGAAGGGTACCACTGATTGTGTTTGGTGCTGGTATATTTGGAAAAGATGTAGTCAAGTTGAAAGGGCAAAGATGAGGTGTCGTCGGTAAACCTTTTGCAACTCTGAAGAAACGTGAAGCTGAAGGTCAATTGATGGTTGTCACAATTGATGAATTTAAAACCTCTAAAACATGCAGCCTCTGTTTCTACGATGATATGCAAATTGTTGATACTCTTGGATTCAAGGGTACCGGCGTTCTTCATTGCAAGCAATGTCTAAAGCTATGGCAGAGAGACATTAACGCCGCTATTAACATGATGACCCTATCTCAAGCAGTTTGGTCCGGAGCTGGAAGACCTGACGTTTTCAAGCCAGCGAAGAAGAAAAAAGTATCGCCGTAATAAACACGGTTTTCCTTATATTTTAAGGATTTAGATCATTACAGGTGAGGAATATTACGGTATTTTTTTCTTGTTTTTTTTTTTTGTTTCGCACTACTGACAAGTTTTTGAATTTGAATCATTGTTTGAACGGTTTATATTTTCGTCTACCGTCTACAACACAATTGCAATTCGCCTAAAATGAATATATCAATTGTCCAAAAAAAAGTATTTCATCTAAAATATTAGTTAAAATACTGTAAAGCCTTGAACTGAATTAGTTCGCTAGCCCGTATATGGTTTTCCGGTTGACCGAGCAGTGAGGATTATTGTGGATCAGAAAATAATTCATAAAATATATATACCTTTGCTTCTTTTCTGATTTTAGAACATTATACTTGACTCAAGCTGTAGTTGTTGTCTGGTTGATTATGATGCGCCTCTGATTTAAATTAGTCCTAGCCGTTGTTATTGCGGTCATTACCTTTATACTCGCTTTGAGGCCTATAGCAATGACAGCTGAAGTCAGGATTCTTTTTTTCTTTTGAAGTACAGTTTACTCGAAAATTACAGGAATTTTCTCTTAAGCAAAAACTTTTCCTGCAATTGAGCATAATAGCGGCGTCTCGCTACATAATCTGTCAACGAAAGTTTGTATGCCACTATATCTATTGTGAGAATCCTGCTTCATCAAAATCGTTGAATAAACTGGTTCTATACTAGGCATGTTCGAATACCCCTCCACTGGAATAGTCGTAGCTTCGATGACTGTACGATTTTAACAATAATTATTAACTTGATCGCGTATACATATATATCAACTTAAATGTTCCATATCTAATCCTTATTCCCTTCTTTTCTGACTAACAGCAATAAGACTTATATGTCGTTACGTGCATTTTGGAAAGTAGAACAATAGTGTAAAAAGAAGACAAGCAGGTAAGCCGTTCTTTATACTTATAGCTCTGGTGAAGGAGCTCTTAGATCACTCATTCAATTTTGGTTGTAATGGAAGTACTTTATTGCCACCTTTTGCCTTCACCTCGTTGATTCTGATTTATTTACTTGCTTCCATTCTTCTCTTAAGGATGTGCTTATTGCATAAGCCTTTTAGTCAATAAATTTGCCAATCAAAAAACGTTGATAAATCTTACTGTTGAAAAAAAAAATTAAATCCAGTTGTCAGTTGTCAGTTCTGTGCGTTGTTTAACCATTTCTTTTAACTGTAAATAAAAATATTATTATCATTGTAACTTTATTATGGAGAAACAGCACTATGTAGTTACTACTATAAATGAAGCTACTGCTGTAAATGCTGCGACCAAAGGCAAATTTGTCAGTCCTACAGAAGACAATTTGATTATATGGTAAAAGAAAGGAGAAATACTTCATTTTCGAAGAGAAGAGCGATTCTGTGCCCTTGAATCGTGAACAGATTTTCGAGCTGTCGTTAACGCGATCTTTACCTCATCTCAAATCTTTGCTCTACCGTAATGGAATAGCAAAGGTTCAATAGTCGAAGTCTATTATATTCTGAAGGACGGTATTAGTCTAGTTACCAAATTCAGTATATATGGCACGATCGCTGCGATCAAGCCTTTCAGCGCACCGGTAAAACGCCAACGCAAAAATCTTTAAGTAACAACAGCGACAGCTATGACTGACTCTCATTAACTATCCTTTTATTCAGGGCAGCGAAACTTGTTCATTATTTATTCTCACTAATCAAAGTTGCTATACAATCGTTCACTATTCTCAAAAGACTAAAACCATTGTCACCGAGGCGAGTGGCATGCTACATGAGCCAAGTGCTCGAGTAGCAGATGCACCCTATATTGTCGAAGTGCATGAGCCCACCTACTCTATTCTAATCAGTATGTTTACAGGATACTTATTCTCTATACCCTATTATTATGCCTCTACAGGCGGATCATCATCTAGGCCACCCAAGTTTAAGAAATACCAGCCTATCTTGATAAAGTAAGATTAGAAAAAAGGGCATAATGATATGGATTCATTTGATACCATAGCAAATTGGTAAAAACTCACTCTACAGCTATATATACATTTTTCTTCTTTCTTTTGGTACTTTAGAACCAATGAATATGATATCCTATCTATGGTTTCAATACGAGGTCAACCCGTAGATTCACGTAATTCCGCCATTGCAACACTTGTAGGCGTGCAGGACGAGCTCAAGACGATTAAAACATTTATTGCCCCTACGCAGAAACCATATCAACAAACATCGTATCCTAAATTAACCAACAATAATAGTCAAGACAGTCAAACAACAAATAAACTATTCACGCGCGAACTAGAAGTGCTGAGCGAAACGAATCAGTATACAGCCAATGTCGACGCTACGACACATACCTTGATTGCCGTTCCTCCACCGTTGGGTGGCGTCTTATCTGTAGGCGAATACATCATTGCGTATCATAATGTACACTCCTCTAACAGCTCACCCAAAGAAGTCAGTATTGATCCTGTTGTGATTACTGCTTATACATTTTTGAAAGACTCTGCTTGGCAATGTGTATTAGGAGATAGCGAAGGACAACTATACATATTAACACTATCGTATGGTTATCAAGGTGTCACAGAAGTAAATACCACATTGGTAGAGGGAGATAGAGTTTGTGCCCCTAGCACCATTATCGATTTAGGTGTGAATAACATGTTTTATATCGGCTCGACACAAGGAGATGCTATGGTGATTCGTTTGACGCAATGTGCAATGCAGCCACTTTTTCCGTCAGGTTCATCGGCTTCCAATGCTGCTACTAGTAGTGCAGCAGCAGTTGTCGACAGGTACAAATTGGAAATCATGAGTTCCTTCGTGAATTTAGGGCCTATTGTCGACTTTTGTTTGTACAATTACGATGAGACGCGACAAGGCAAGAAAACCATGGTGTGTTGCACAGGCTCTTATAAAGACGGTAGTTTGTGTATGGTTGAAAATGGAATAGGATTCATAGAAAAGCTCGCAGTCAATATACCAATGATTCAAAATCTCTGGACAATACCCTCTCGAAACGAGAAACATACCCTTTTCTATGTTATTTCTTCCTTTGATAGAACCTTTGCCATAAAACAACAATTATCTACTATACAACCTCAACAGCAACAGCAACAACACTCGTCCACTTTCTTTTCGACTTTTTTTAATAAACAGCAACAACAACAACAACAACAACTGTATCCAACATTAACAGAATTACCAGAATTAGGATCGCTTTTACAGGATGAAGTTACATTAAGTTTATCGGTAATGAAGAAAGGACCAGTATTGCAAGTTACGCCTTCTACAGTACGATTATTCGATGCGCAAAGTCTATTAAGCGAATGGAAACTAAATGATGTAGGCATAAACAATGGTGCAATAAGTTTAGCTCGGACGACTAGTGATGGAGACTGTATTGTCTATGATGCAGTTCACGGTATGCTGGTTTATCTGCATTGTTCAAATAATACAATTCAACGAAAATGGTAAGCTGCAGTATTCAAATAGGGACATAAGGGGACGATTGAGATAATCAGAGAAATTCTAAGAAATCTTGTGGTATTTGTAGTATTACGACAATGTTCGATGTGGCTTGTATTTATATTGAATCAAATGACAGATATGCAATTTTGGGTTTCTGGTCAAGTGCGACTATCAAGTTCCTTAGCCTAAACAACTTTGAAAAGATTCACGAAGTAAATGTGGCATCAATATCATCAGACGTCATATCAGCTACTGCGGATGATACAACCACGATACATGCCGTGGGCAGTACATTTGTAGCACCTAGAGATATTTTGGTGACTGAAATGGAACCCACGATAAAATATCTGTTGATCGTATTTGGCGATGGACAACTTCTCAGCTATAAAGTCACCTACCGCAGTGAAAAAGGTATTGTTATGTCAGGAGCAACGCGAACAATGATTGGCAGCCATGCAACAGGACTCTATCCATATACATATCAGAATGAGCCAAGAGTAATGATCGCAGGTGGTCGTCCTACCATCATTTCCAGTACACATGGCCAACTTTACTTTGCAGCGATGAATTTTACCAAAAAACCCATCATACAGCAACAACAACAGCAACAACAACAGAAATCTTATCACGATAGAGTGTATGGGCTAATAGCAACAAATCAGATGTTTATTTTGTGGACAAATGAGGGTTTGCTGATGGGTGATATAGATTTGAATCAGCGGTTACATCATCAAAAGATACGATTGAATGAAGGTGAAGCGCCTATTCGCGTACAATACCTGAAGAGTATCAAATCGTTGGCAGTAGGAACTTTACATTCAGGAGAAAAGGATCTGAATAATTCAGTAATTCAAAAAGGTAGCTTACAGTTAATGGATGCTCAAACTTTCCAAGGTACGCTTTTTATTGTATGTTCATTATGCACTACTTTACATCTTTGCATTTGTTGACCCCTCCTCCTTCTTTTGTGTGGTTGAGATTAGTATATGACAAGTTCAACTTACTCGAAAATGAGGTTGTGGAATGTATGGCTGTAGCACCATTTGACGCTCTCATTGACAACGACTATCTTGATTCACAACTGCAACAGCAACAATGTGGCGAGGAACTTTTATTCATCGGTACAGCAATTGAAGACCTAAATGACCCCGAAGCTTGCTATGGTCGTGTCTTAGCCTTCCGTATGGAAAAACACTACAGTAACAACCAACAGCATAAATTAGAATTCTTAGAAGAATACAAAATGAATGGCGTTGTGTATGATTTACGTTATTTCCCACTGTACCGTACTATGCTTGCTTGTGTCAATGGAGCTATTTATGCTATGGATTACTTTAGACCCAGTGAACTTGAAGGAGAAAGGATGAGCTTTTCGATCAAATTGCACAGGAATGTTTTGGCGCTTAAGATGGATGTTTTGGCAAATAAAGTAATTGTGGGTGATATGATGAGGTCTATCTCTTTGTTGAATGTTGAAACGGAGGATAGCTCAATCGGCGCATATCAGCAACCGCGCGGCAGAGAAAGAGAAATGCAGTCAGAACCTTTTGGTCTTGATCGGGAAGGTTCAACGGACCAACAGCAACAGCAAAGTACGGATGAAGTGAGCAGTCAACAAATGGAATTGCTCACAATTACTCCAAGAAGTACAAGTCCTACTAGAATAGGAGGCAAATTGATTAAAATGGACACATTGGCATTAGATTTTAACCCAAAATGGGTAACAGCGGTTAAATTTATTAATGCAGCGCATTATATGGGAGCTGATGGTGAAATGAACTTGTTTGCAATGTCATTCAATCGCAACAGTGAAGATAATGATGGTAAAGTCGCCCCTTTGGATCTGCAAGGCGGATATCATCTTGGTTCTCTAGTAAATACAATTAAAGAAGGTAAGAAATATCAGCTCTGTGATTGATTAATCTCTCCGTAACAGATAGTAAGCTCACATCCTCGTTGTATTTGGCAGGTACATTATCAGACATACTATCAACACAATTCCGTCATAACACCAATAACGAAGACGATACTGCCTTTGGCAGTTTATTGGCGGTAACCAAATCGGAACCAGCCTTAAAATCACCATCCTTCAGTTTCGCCACTGTTTCTGGTATAATTGGCAGTGTGAAAACAATTACAACCGAATGCTTTGAGTTTTTTTACAATCTACAAAATCTCATATTACAAGAACGCAGAAATATCGGCAAGCTGGACTACAACGCTTACAGAGCTTATCGACCCAAGATGGGGGTTGAAGACTCTCAAGAATACTACATTAATTCACGATACAAAATGATGAGTGATGTTGAAGAAGGAGAGCAAAAGTCGAAGTTAAACAGTAAAAGTAATAATGATTTGTTTCTAGACGGTGATTTATTGAAACAATACCATTATCTGACTAGAGAGGAGAAGCAGCAGATTGCCGAGTCATTAACCTTGCCTGGGATTATGGTCGAGGAAAAGAGATTGACTGTGGCACAATTAGAACAATTAATTCAAGAATTGCTTATGACATAAAAAATAAAGCTTTGTGCGCGTTTTATTTATAGTAAATAACGTGTTTCAAGTTTAAACAAGTCAGACCAAAAGAATTGAAAAAAAAAGGGGTTGAAGGGGATGGTTAAGCGAAGCGACACACAAAAATCATATTTTTTAAGGGTGTGCAAAAAAAAGAAAAAAAAAATCTTGTTGTTTGCACTTCTTGTACATATAATAAAAACTTCCCCCTTTCTGTGAAGGAACCCGCTTCCTGATACAAACAGCTTTTTTTTTTATTTTCTGTGTATGTGTGTATGCGTGTTTGTATCTCTTTTTCTTCCTTCCTTTCACTTCTTCAAGAACTCTGTCATTCACTTTTTGCACATTACCAACTATAACATTAAGCATTTCATTGCACGCAGAAAAAGTCCGCTTTTACATTGAATAAGAAACATGGACATACTTTATTCACGCCTTTCAACATTGTTACAGTTATGGACATCGCTTGATGTTGATGCATTCACCATGAACAAAAAACTTGACGTAACACAATCAATTTCTATACACTTGGTTCAAAGACAGCGAATGAACTAAAAACTTGTCTATTATAGACTATCATTAAAGCCGTCGAGGATTTGATTCATAGTGAAAGAAGAGAAAAGCAATTACTATCTGCTAATATCGAGGATTTGATGGTAATTGACAATATTAGATATTCAATTAAAGTGCCCACATCTGTTAACAATCTGTAATATGTACTTATCGTAGAGTAACATCGAGTATGCATCAATGTTATTGGGAGTTTCTCTAGAGAGCGTTTTAAACTCTGCTGTCGCCGCGACTGAACCCACATTCATAATACAACAGGAACAGCAATTACAGTTAAACTCGCTCGCAATCACATCCATGTATACTGCTTTGAATCCGACCTATTCTGCAGAAAAGGTACTATTCGAATTAAACAGAAGGTTAATCAAGGTAAATAAATATGAAATCAATATATGCAAATCTGCATAGGTGTACATTTAAACTAAATCAACAAAAATGCACATGATCTCTCTCTTCTGCTATTTATAGGAAATAAATGTGAGAACTCAACATTTACATGAATGGCTTTTGGCTATTCAATCTCTTTGTAAAGAATTAGATCAGCCTTTCAAATTCAAATTGATCGAAGACTATATTCAGAGCGATTTGTCTTGGGCCACAGTTCAATCTGTTAGCTGCGAATTACGCGATTTATCAGAATTGAAAGCAACTCGCATATCTGACTTCAACAGGATGATGTGTTCGATTCAGTATTATTGGCAATTGCTCGATTATAACATTGATGTGAACAATGACAGAAATGATTACAAAGATATTGCACAGTTATTGGATGGTTTTTTACCCGGTTGCAAAAATATAACGATACCTATCACAAATGAAAAAGAGGAGATCAGCACTATAAATGACTATTACAATCATCCTTCGAATCCCTTCACTACTTTAACAACAGATCTTATTACCATGCTTGAGCAAAAGCACGACGAAATTAAGGCTATCTATACTGAAAGACATAAAATATTCGTTCAATCGACAACTAAAATAAAGACTGTATGGAATGAGTTAAACTTGCCTGTACTTGAGAGACCGTCTTTACCCAATACACTTGCAACGAAAGATATGATCTATCTACAGAAATTGACGGATGAACTAGAGCCGCTTATTCGATCTACTTTCGACACTTACATACAAAAGGTAACCACACTTTTTTTTTTTCTTTTTTTTAATGCAATGATCTACATCGTTAACACATTGTATGTATATCTTTCTATAATAAAGTTCAAGGGTCAGTTAACATCCTTATGGGATGATTGCCTCCTATCTGAAATTGAGAGAACTCAGTTTATAGCATCCCTTTATCAACGAAGTAAGTTACGGATCCGCACACATGGTAATAAACTGCAATACAATGCAATTAAAGATACATATCGTTTTATCAATCCACTTTGTTACTTAGACTCCAAAGCAGAAATAGAACAATTGGTTAATACACACATAGCATATCTAAACAAAATCCACATCGAAGGCAAGCAGGTACAAAGATTGATGCAAGAACGCAAAGACCTTATTCGAAAAATGATTGATTTTGAAAAAACTGCTTCAGATCCTCGCCGATTATTTCAAGCCTCCTTTCAATTATTGGAAGAGGAACGATGGCGTAATACTTGCTTACCTCGTCTCCTTCATTTAGACGAAAAATTAATTCAAGCTATTTTGGAGTATGAAAAGTTGGCTGGCAAACCTATTCTGTGCGCTGGTAGTAATCAAAGATATTTGAATACTTTGCTAGATGAAATTGCTGACAGGGAAGCCAATCAAACATTTTTTGGCTTTTTGAATTCTGACCCTATACCACAAGCACAACATCAAGCAACAGTACAAGTTACACACAAACGTGGCAACAGCAATAACAACAAAGGAAACAGTGCTGGTAAAGCAAGACCTGCATCTGTAAGTAGCTTAAATACTGTCGTGCAACAGCAATTATCACCACATGCTGCATTATTAAAAAGCAGAGCTAAATCTGCAATTCTACAATCATCTTCGTCAACAACTGTCGCAGCATCATTGCACCCTTCTCATTCTGTACCATTAAACCACCAACAGAATACTAAAAGGAGATTGGGCTTGGCTCAAAAGAGGCAGCTAACATTAACTCCACCTCAACCTCACCGACAGTCGACAACAACGTTCATAACAAAGAAAGAACAGCGAACCACGATAACCAATAAAAAGATAAAGACGGCTACACCAGCCTCTTCAACAACTAAAAGGACATCTGAAGAAGAAGAGTATATCCGTCATTCAAGATTCGGTCTAACGCAAGCGACAACTGCTTCTAACAAACGATATGGTTATCAATATCATCCTTCTCTGTCTTCTGCTACGAGCAAATCAGTTGCTACTGCGGCAACAACGACAGCTTCCCTTATACCCGTTGCTGTTCCAAGAGTTCAATTAACTACTGCCAAATCAATCTAAATATTTCTATTCCTTTCTGTATACCAATTGCTTGTTTTTCTTTTTTGGTTTTTTTTTTTTTTCTGTTGCTTTATTCATTATTTGTATTTGTCTTTCTTTTTACCCGAAAATATCGCCAAGCCTTGTCTTTTCTTTATCCATAGCCAATGCCCGTGATGATGTGGGCGAGTTTTTTCTTTTTTCCTTTTTTTAAGAAAAAAGAGGCTGATTATTATTATTTGATTGGATCAAAAATTTTCAAAGGTCCTCTTGCTTTTGTCTGTCTCCAAAACGCATATAAAAGGACCTTGTTTTAAAATTTCTCGGCTTTTCTTCTTCCAATATCTTAATATCTTTGAAGATGTCTTACACTGTTGCTAGAACTTGTTACAAATGCGGTCAACGTTAGTATTAAAAAATGATTTGTATATTTGTTTGTTTGTGATTCTTGGCGGCCACGTCATTTTGGAATGAGTGGAGGGGAACTCTCAATGAGAGGGTGTAATGTATTTCTATTTACACTTAATCATGAGATACTCCTTTTACTGTGAAAGCCAGATATCTGTTTGCGTATCTAGATTCTACTCGATCACTTGCCTCCATCTCCCTCCTTCGCGCAATCTATCTTTCTATCTATCACTTGTCACTCTCTTTCACCATAATTTGGTTTTTATTTTATTCTCAACAAATAAATAAAGAAGGTTGATTTGGAAACAAGAAAGAAGCAGGAAGTAGTAGAAGTTTGGTTGTTTATCGTCGCAGTTGATCGTAGTAGTAGTAGTGGTTGATGGTGTAGCAGAAGGAGATGGGTGGTAGTAGTTGTAGTAGTTTGCAGAACATGGCCATGTCTATTATTTATAATTTTTTGATGGACCTATTCCCTTCTATATTTTCATTCTCTACACGTATGGATATTATTTTCTTGCTTACATGTCTTTCTCTTTTGTATTTTTAACAGCCGGCCATCAAGCTAGAGATTGTACTGAATCCGAATCTCTTTGGTAAGCAGAGAATTAAGCATTGTGTGTGCGTGTGTGTGTATGTGTATGTGGGAGTAGGCATCTGTGTGTGTATAATAATAATAGGGCCTTCAAAAAACGTGTACTCATTCAAAAAAAATTTTTTTCCTTTCTTTTTCTTCCCTCCTCCACATCCTCTAGTTATAATTGTAAGCAAACTGGCCATATGTCAAAGGACTGTCCCGAACCCCGTGCTGAAAAGACTTGCTACAAATGCAACCAAACTGGTCACATAAGTCGTGATTGTCCTGAATCCACTGGTGATTCTTATGGTGCTGGTTACTCTTCTGGTGGTCGTAGCTGCTACAACTGTGGCCAAACTGGTCACATGTCTCGTGATTGTCCTGAACGTTCTGGTGGTTACGGTGGCGATTATTCCTCCGGTGGAAGATCTTGCTACAAGTGTGGTGAAACTGGCCATATCTCTCGTGATTGTCCTAATGGCGGTAGCGGTGGCAGCAGCTTTGCCAAGTGCTATAACTGTGGTAATGTTGGCCATATGTCTAGAGAATGTTCTCAACCCCCTAAGGCTAGATCTTGTTATAACTGTGGTGGAGAAGGTCATATTTCTCGTGATTGTCCTAATAAGCAAGATGATGGTGCTGCCGGTGGTTGGTAAAATTCTTTTGCATACACAAATACACAAACACACACCTACAGAGAGAGACCCCACGCACTTATTACGCAGCTCCTCTTTTGACAAAACTTTGAAAAGCTCTTTGATAAATTTTTTTAAAAAAAAGTATAATTGATTAGTGTAGTGGCAAGAAAAATTTAGTTATATCTCTTATGAACAAAATCGCAACTTTTAATTGTCTCTTTTTCTTCTTTGGCGCTTATATAAATGCTTAAAACTAATAAAAGTATCTTTCATTCTATGATCTATACATACTAAATTGACCCTCTGCTTTGCATTGTTGTTTGATGACGATGATGTTCCGTCACTTAAAAAAGATATTAGTGGGTGAGAAGAGATCAAATTTATCAGTTAACTTTTAGCTTCTCAAATCCTTCATTTTTTTAAGTTAATGAAACGGGTACAGATTAATGTATTATAAGTTATATAGATTGCATGTTAACAAAGAATGGAGATATGATTTTGCAGTCTGGTATTACTATAATATTCAAACAGCACACGTTATTTGTCCTTAAGAGTAGTTACCGTCTATATAGAAACGGAATACCAAAGCTTCTACAAGAGTCATGTCGACTTTTTTCAAAAGCAGAATAACTACTGATTTGGCATAGTGTTCTTATATAAAATAAGTTACAATTTTATTTGTTGCTATTCTTCTTAAACGAAACCCAATTTTTTCCAACACTAAATCGCCTTTTAATGATGCAGAATAAACGCTAACGAAGCAACAATAGCAAGATTATGTCCGATCATATACTTACAGCAATTCTGGAACTATTAGCATTGAAAGGTATTTTTAAGAAGCAGACCACACTTGTTCTTTATAAGGATCTTTATCTTCGTGTACATTTTCCCCAACACGACATAATATTTATGCTGCTGGTGCTTACTTATCATGGACACTCATTGTCGAGCGATGTATCTCCTGAGTTGATTTCTTCACTTTCCTTTGCGACTCTAAAAAGAACCCTTTTTATACTTTGACTATTGAGACTGAGAGAAAATTATGGCTTCCTACCCCCACTTTTCCCTTTATCGACATGCTAAAAAATATATACAGTGGGTTTCTTTTTTACCTAACCGTACTTTTTGTTAAAAAAAAAAAAAAAAAAAAAAAACATTCTTCAACGTCATCAAAAGCTCCACCTACAGCTGGAAAGGTTGAAATGCCGTTCACCATATTTAAGGCTCCGATCATGAGCCTCGTCGCGAGCCCTTTCTTCTTCAGAAAGGTGGGGGAAATTCACAGCCCACCCCTCCACCCCGTAAAGTAAAACAAAAAATTCAGGTCCATTTCTTTTTTGTCTCTCTTCATCAATAACCAACTAAACAATGTCTGCCTGGAAGTCTGCCGGTATCACGTAATATATACTCGTTTCCAACTCTTATTTGGCGGTGAATATGTACCAAAATGTTTAATAGCATCATTACTAAATGTCATGCTTTTTAAACCTAAATTGCAAATAGTTACCTCCAATACGCCAACATTTGCGCTCGTGCTGTCCGCAATTCTTTGAAGGATGAGTTTCGTGCTGCTGCTGCTCGTCGTAGTCAAAATGGTCTTAAGTATGCTAAGTGGGAAAATGGTGTTCAAAAGGAACAAGTAATGTAGAAAAGTTGAATGCGCACGCCTTGAGTGACGACGATGTTAGTCATTGCTAACCATATTATTCTCTACAAACTCTGCCAGAAATTCGTTGTTCCTCAAAAAGCCGACTAAGCCTATAACAACTTCTTACAACTGAAATCGACTGATTTGATATAGAGAAAGAGTAATACATTCGAATTTATACAAATAGTTGATTCTCAATATACAACCATTGACTATAAACTACAACAGCAACTGCTGATGTATATACACACAAAAGACTACAGTTTTACTTCACAATGAAACAAAACATATACAATTCGTGAGTTCTATCTGCTTTTTATTTATGCAAATAAATGTACACCATTCTGGCGATACTTAAAAAGTCTATCTCTAAAGTTTATTACTCTATTTTAAGAAAAAATGCATCTCAGTGAGTTAGATTCGTGCTAAAGAGAGTTTAGAAAGTGAGAGAAAAAAGGAGCAGAGACTACATTAAAATTCATCTAGAAGGAGGTCATAATGATTAGCCAATTTCGTATCCTGTTTCGCTTTTAACCGTTCATAAAAGATGGGGCAATCCAATGAATCACAAGGTATATCGGCTATAGGCGCTTTTAAAGAGGATGAAGCTATTGGATTGGTCGTAGACGCTGCTTTTGCGACCTGTGTTAAGGGCACAACTGTCATGGCATCTAAAGCTGATAGTTTTGAGCAGTTTTGACAAGTCTGCATGACATTCCTAAGCCTTTCCCGTATCAATTTCTGTCTGGTAACTATGGTCAATGTCGTTCTGACCGAATTCTGTTTGCATTGTATACAGATAGCTAATATGTTGAGGAAGAAGTAAAAAGTTAGGAGTCTCCATGCAGCAATCTTTTAAGGCTGTTGTTGCCCATCTCTTACCTTGATCTGAAAGCTTTCTGCATATAATGCAATGAGAACTAGCATAATATTGATCAATCCGAGATAAAGCGTTTTTTTTTTGGCTTGATGTGGCATTGAATTGCTGTTGTGCTGCCAGGTTCATTGCATCAACTTTCACATGCCTCGGCATGGCCTCGTACCAAGATAAAATGTCCACGCCCACCAAGTTGAAGATTCTACTCAATGGAGGTATAATTTGTTTCCGAATATAATATTCAGCATCGAGTCTTAGCGAACCACGAGTATCATTGAGCAGCTGTTCAGGCCGCACCACTTTATCTTTAAGTCTCGCATTTGGGCCGCGATAAACAACAACATAAGGGACGCGTTCACCATACTGAGGTTCAGCTCTAGCATCGACTTTCATTTGTGCTTGTGCTATAGCTGCTCCATTGGGTCCCTCACCTCGGTAACTGCCTATGCGAACTTCTTTAGCGATAATAAAGTCTTGGAGAATAACCCGATTTGATAGTATCTTTGTCCATTCTTTGTATAAGAAATCCTTGAGCTGGGACATATCCTGAGAGCGGAATAAAATTCTGTATTAAAAGTAATGCACAATCCATATGCATTTAAAAAGTCAGTCCCTTGTCTCTCATTTTCTTTCGTGACATGTTCGTAGGCTTACTTCAAACATGATTCCATTATTTTCTGTGTCGCGGCGGTACCGTCTCGTCTTACTGTTTCAATGCCCTTCGCTTCAAATTTTGGTTCATCTCCAGGGCTCTCGTATTTATAGCCCACATATCTCTTCTTTGCCAGTAAAACAGCAGGGTGATAGACTTTTTCTAACTTTAGTTTGATAGGTGCAGGATTTAATTTTGTCACAGTGTTTGCTATGACGCTGCCTAGCGTAAATGCTTCTTCTTTTGTTTTGCCAGGAAAGTAAATGAATAGACTGTCGGTATCGCCATACACTACACGAGCCCCCCACTCTTCAGTTTCATTAATCAAGCGAATAGCCTAACCTTACAAGGTACATTAAATGTCGGTCTGCATAGCAATAATTTCTCTTCCATTTTCATAAAGACACATATATTATGCAGAATTTACCCTTTCAAGAGTTTCTCGACCGGTGGCAACAATACTATCAGCAATTTCAACAGAAGGCATTCTGCCCGAAAATGAAGCGGAAGTATAACCATAAGTTACATTGGCCAACAACTTTAAAGTAAGCTGTTTAGCATCTAACAAACGTAGAAGTCCCTAAAGCAAAGACAGGATGGTTCCAGAAAGTACAAGAGTGAGTTTGAAAGAGCCCAAATATTCAAACCTGCATTCATTATGTACATACAGAGTCCTCTTTGTAATCCTTCATTGCACGCTTCACCATAACTCGGGTATCTAATAAATCTTCCAACATTTTTGCTAGCGTACTTTTACGTATCTCTGGCTTCACAAACATGATTCCATTTGGTGTCACTAATAGTTGTCAAGGTAGAAATATTCTACGTCAAACACTTCCATAGAAATATATTTACGCACATTTTATCTCAAAGTGCTATTTAGTACCGTTTATATACTCTTTTAAAGTATCTAACAAACCATCAGGTAGTTCAAAGCAAGGAAGAACACCAAACCGAGAATCCTGTTCTGAAATTCTTATTCTTCCTAAGCATGTAGAGTAGCTAAACGTTTCGGTTCAGTCATAGCATGATTGGATCAATAAAGTAGAAGTGCATAGCATTAGCAGCCCAATTACTTTACCAGAAATTATACGCAATCATTATAGACGGATATAGACTTTGAAAATCCAATACTACCATGGGGCTGCTATAAAATTGAGAAACTGGCTCCATAACCAAAGGTAATATTTCCAGTGATCGCTGCTCAGCCACCTGTTTCCTACTAGGTGTAATAAGAACAAAGTTTTCAGGTTTGGCAATCCGGAAGAGAACAGACTCAACATCATATTGGGAGCCTCTTGTTAGGACAGCATAAAAATCGATACCATACACCCTGGCCGATTCACAGGTACGTTGAACAACTTGTGAGGCATCCAACATGTCTAGATTGAGCTGTACACGTTTCATAAAGTATTTGATGAGGCGATATTTGAGCACAGGAATACCTTTTTTGTACCAAGCAGTCAAAGTCTCGTAAGAATAATGCGGAATCCTACGACAACAGTTGTGAATATCCATGTGGTCATATAGCGCGAGAATGGGTTAGTACTTGTTAAACATTACCTATCATGTAATAAATGATATGCTACATTTTCGAAACTGTAACTGGTCAATGTAAGCTCACTCCGCATAAGCCGCCACACATTAAGCATATGCCTCCCAACAACTCGATAGACAGATGCTTTCTGATAGCCCCATGTGTCTCGTTTGATTGAGTCTGAAGACATCTTCACACGAGATAGCTCGTCCAACAAATGGAATCCTATATCGAGATTTTACACCGATTGGAATTATGTTGTTTATTGATGTTTTGAAGTTTTCCTTACCAAGCTCAGCGCCGCGGTCAACCAAATATCCCCACGATGCATTTGCTACTTCATAGCCAACCAACATATCAGGGTCATATGATCGTATTTTATGAATCAAAATACTGAAGAGCTCTTCTTCGGTATCAGCATAGTCAATTTTTAAACCTAAAATGCAAGATTTGAATAGATAATCCTCGATGCACAGAAAAAAAAAAAAAAAAAAAAAAAAAGAGAAAACCTTAAATCTGTTAGGCACATACGATCATTATCAATACCAACCCTTGCAATATCAAAGTCTTTCATTGCTATTAAACCAACAAGGTATCCTTCTTGATAACCGTTCCATGGTATATGACGATCTTCAGTTTGTAAGCACCAGAAAATCAATTGAACTGGATCATGCTGCGGATCAGGAAGCAGTTTCTCTCTTGTATTGACTTAAATCATAATAATGTAAATATGAGTATGTAAGGTAACTTTAATTTCTATTTTCTCTATATTACCGTGTATTTCCAAGCTCAAATAATCTATATAGTCTCGTATTCGTTTAACTTTGGCTTGTGGTTTACTTGCACTGAACTTAAAGTTGTACGTATTCTGAGCTGTGGGTTGTTGTAGCTAAATACGAACCTATAAGGTTAAATATTTTGTAGAGCAACACACTTTTACAACTTAATTTACCTGTGTTCCCGAATATGTATGTTTAGCGAGCTTTCCAGCTTTCAAATTTGTTTCCATCCATTGTTGAACTTCTTTTAATCTTGGAGGATCTCGACTAGGTTGCCAAATTTTGATTCGTGTTTTATCTCTCAAAGTCGGTTTCTTGGTATCCTCTCCATAAGTTGATTCGAACTCTTTTAAGGATTGAATACCATTCGTGGTCAATTTGAATTCTTTACCGGCAAAAACAGGCGCAAATCGGGGTACATCAGATGCTCTACTATAGAATGGTTCTTGGTAAATGACACGTTTTCTTGGTACATCTTTTTCGTCCAAAGTAGGGGGAACATGGTTATATATATATTCTTGAGGCGATCTGCTATTTCCCATATGCTGCAGTGAAGAGTTTCCGCTGCTTACATCTCTTATTTTTTCTTCTCTGCCAGATTGTTTATGATATTGACTGTCTTCTTGTATATCGTGGTCTTCTATTTTATTCGACTCATTATGTGGAGGTGAAGTTGCTGAAGATAGCGCAGAATAATGTTGCTTCTGTCGATTTTTGTCGCGTATGTCCGATGAGGAAGAGGAGAATGTTTGCTGGTAAACATCCCTATTTTGCACAGATGGAAATGAAGAGGTATCCAACGTAGATTTATACCTCACAGTATCATTTCCAGAAGACGTCATGGAGAAGCTTATTACAGGATCGTCCGCTGCATTTTCCTTCCTTAATTCTGCTACAGACAAAGAAGTCTCTTCACCATTTTGTATAATTCCTACAGAGTGTATAAAATTTACCTTTTCTGGAACTAATGGTTGAGTCGGTGAGTTGAGTGAAGGTTTTTGTGTTGATATACCCGATGTTTGCAGCAGTTGTTCTTCATCAGAAGACGACCATAAAGCATCAATGCTGCTGATAAAATTCCTTTTACTTTGAAAGGATGGACTTTGTTGCCTGTTAATGGTCGAAGAGTTTAAAAAATTGATATCGATTTGTTGACTATGTTCAGTATCACTCGAACTGATATTCATGACCTTGACTTTATCGGTGTCGTATGAATGTACTTTTGATATCGGCGTATTATTGTAAGCTGTATTTACTGTAGCCGAACCTTCAAGTGTGTCGTTCGGCTGAAGAAAACTAGTAGTCTCCTGCTCATCGATATGACCAGCTGGCTGCGTCATAGAAGGATTATGACCTTCTTTGCTTGCAAATAATGCTGGTTTCACTGGCTGCGACGCAGAGTAACTACTGTTAGATACTTCTTTTTTTGCAGCTCCTCTCTTCCTTCTCATATGAAGAGGAATAACTACTGTAACCTTCTGAAACCCCTCCGGATGAATATCATTAGTACTTTTAACCCGGCGCTTCCCTGACATGTCATTTGATATGCTGAACTTCGGATAAGGTCGATCTTCTGGTGGTGCTGAGGCAGCATGCTTAAAATTTTTCGCTTTAAGTGCACGCTGAGCAGCGGTTTTTTTCGTTCGCATACGTTTCAAAAACTTTGCCTCTTCTTCCCACCTTTCCGCTGGAGTTTTCACCCTTTTCGATCTTCTTTCTTCTCTCTTATCGCTAGCTCCATCCATTTGGTCAATTCGCCTGCTTTGCTGCCCCCGTTTCTTTGTAACATGCGACCTACAGTAAAAACGACAATAAGACCAACAGAAATAATATGCTAAACTGAGCTATCGATAATGCAAATGGAGATACCTTGGATCTGGGGGAATATCACTAATGTCGATTTGTTTTTCTTCCTCGTCATCATTTTCTTCCTCATCCGCGTCGTCAAATAGTTCATTGATACCCTTTCGAGTTAATGGTGATCTTAAAGTATCCATTTTTTTGGCTTCCTCAATGAGATCTAGCTTCCTTGGTCGATAATGATAAACTATTTCTTGCTCAGTTTGAAGACTAGTTGTTGGCTCGCTGACAATTTGCTGCTTTTTTTCGGCCTCAACTACTAGTCGAGCAAATTCGTCGCTATCACCCATATCATAAAAATTATCACTTGCATCCGTTGCATAAAGATCCTCTTCTTGATCATCTATTCCTTCTTCCTTCTCCTCTTCTTCTATGCTGGTATTACTATTGGACAGTATTTTATCTGCAAGGAATGATTGGAGAACAGACTTGTCAACTTGAGAATGAACGTCCCAAGCACGGTAACGTGATGGCGTGGCAGATATGCCAAATTGGTTAAGTAGTGGTGTACGATGCTGCTCTGATGTATTTCTTCTAATGAAATCAATTGCTTCATTATTATTGACAGGTGATGGCATGGATGATGACGGCAACTGAAGTTCACCATTACCGCCAATTGGACCCAGAATCTTATCAATGGTATTGTCTTGTGGTGAGTTTCTATTATGTATCTCATCAGGAGCTATGGGTTGCTCCTGTTTTTCTTGTTGCTTCCGATATTCGAAGTATGCATCTGGGTATAGGGCTTCGACAGATTGAAAAAGAGTTAAAAGACGAGGTATAAGCGGTGAAGGCTGTTGTGATTCGCTCACTTCATCAAAGGGCGCGTGTGTCATCATCTTCTCCATTAACCGACGAAGATCTTTTTCTACAGACCATGGATGATGTGGTGCTCTATCCTCGATCTGAGTAATCGGAGGAATAGGTGTTGTAACACCTTTTGCTCTTCGCCTAGCAACTTCATCATCCCATATAACTTGTAGTGACTTCACTAGCCTTTCTTTCCTTTCGTCATTCATTTTAGCTAAAAATATTTGCTGAATTTCTTTCTCCTTTTTAAGGCTTGTATGAATATTTCTCTCTTGCAAATCATGCCGATTCAAGATGGCCATACCGGTTATGTCTATCTCTAGTTCGCAATAGCTTTCTTGAGGAACAAGATCTGACTGAAGCTGCAAAGGTACAGTTTTAGAAGTATAGATAGAGCTTTCAAGCTGAACTGACCCGTCACTGTTGATTGAAGGAGGCGATATACGAGAAGCACCACTGCTTGACGATTGTGAAATACTGGCATAGCTTGATTTCGGCTCATCTGATAAAGGCAAACGAAACTTGATACCAAAAGAAGAGGATACTGAATCCAACCCTTGCTCCTCTATATGTAACCAATCCATACCATATAAGTTGTGATCAATAAGAAATTGTAACTCAAAGTTTAAATGGGCTTCATGCGGTTGAAAATGCGTGTTTTCCAATGCTCCTGATTGTAATACATCAAGCATTTGCAGCTTTTCGTTCGGATTTGTTATATATATTTTCAAAAACGTTTGATAACCTATATGGTACCCATAGAATGGCACCCCTCTGATAAGTACAACTGCTGCCACATGTTGATCTTTCTCTGCTTTCGGCCTTGCTACATTCATTGCTTCGTTTAAACTGGCGCCGAATTGAAAAATATGCTTTTGAATTTCTTCTTCGGTAGTACACTCTGCTGGAATAGAAAAAGGTACATAAAAGTAAGGATACACCTTTATTGAGCAAAAGTATTACGAAAAGTCAACAATGATTATTTAAAAGTTAGAATAGTTGGATGATCGAAACCAGTGAATTTCAAATGGCAACATTACTTGATGAATGTGCACGCATGCTTTTTGACCTGCTTTAGTAGATCCGAAAATACGCAGCACAGGAACATTTGCCAATTTCTGATCTGTAAATGGAGAATAGGCGCGATCAAGTGGCCCTGGTGTAGCCATGTAGTGATCGATGCTGACAATTCTAATTGAAATCGTCATTGATGCCACTTACAGTAGATTATGCATCTGGACGAAGTATGTTAAAGGAGGGAATCTCTGCATAATTTGATTTGATTTAAATTCGGAGTTGCATATTTTGACAGGAACCAGAAACATATCGAATAAGCAGTTTTAACGATGTGTTTATCAAAAATACTTTCTATTTTTTTCTTCCTGTATGTGCGCACGTAAACATAGATAGAATGATGTAAAAATGCTTCCATGACTTCATTTCTTAACCAAAACACTGCTATATTGCTTTCCTATATACAAAACCATATGCTAATCCATATAAACATGCAATTGTTTGATTGTAGCATGGATAGAAACCCTATGGGGCTCTTAGAACTGAAGAGCTTTTCAAATTGTATTTTTTGATGCGGTCTTTTTTTTTTCGACATTGATTCTCAATAGGAGTTTGTTCGTGATTGCGAGAAATTCAGCGTATGTAAATTAATACCAAGTTCCAGAATTTATCTCTACGCGGTACAGCGATAAACTGTCAATAATGATATTTGGCTTTACTCACTTGTATTGTTGACAGTCTCCAAATATAACAGACCGCATCGTAGAGCAGATTTACGCCGAATTAGTTACTCATATTGTGATGCATTTCAAAGGCAAAAGGTCGAGGGGATTTTGAATTAGAAAACCATGAAACTTAGAAAAGTAAAGTTAAACTGTATATTAACGTTTCTTTCAATTAAGTAAAATGATGTTTTATGAATAGATGCCGATTGCGAATCAAAATAAATGTATTGCCTCTGAGCCTTGCATTTTTAATCAACCATTTCAGTCTTATTAAGTTCAAGCGGTACATAATAAATAATGAAAAGCTTTGCGGGTACATATTCTTGAATGCTATGTTGCGATGCTAAGATACGTATAAGCATTTTTAATTTATTTTATCCTTTCAGTATGTTAACAGTAGGTAAAAGTAGTTTGAAGGATAATTGTTGTAGGCAATCTCATATGATTTGAAGCACCTATGAGGGCAGGTTCTAACGATTCTTTCACAGTATGATATTGAATGTTGAACAAATATTGGCCATCTACATTTACGATATGGGGTTGAATAGTTAACTGCTCACTATTGCTGCTTTTGACATTAAATATTGATAATGCATAGTTTCTGTTGGGATGCTATGCCGTCTACTCTGCAATTACCTTTGTATTACCTTTAAACAATTAGAAATAGAAATTAGGTGAACACAAACTTCCATTACTGACTTGCTGCAACCATAGAGGAGGACTCGGTCAGCAATCTACATTAACTTGAACTTTTTTTTTTTTGTTTTTAACTTTTAACCAAAATTTTTGCAACATCTCTCTTCTCCTTTACAACGTAAACAACTTCGAACTTCATCTGCTTTTTGCGAAGTTTAAGGACAAAGTTGCAATCTGTGAATCTTCAATATTCGTCGTCAGTTGTTATTACTTTGAGCCATAAGAAACAAGCCTGTATTTACAGACTCTAAGCAATGTTTCATTCCTCTGGCTTACGACATGAACAGTATTTGATACGTACAAAATTAAAAAGTTCGAAAGCAGTCTTGCAAACGAAAAAAAGAAGCTCTATAGAATCTAACAATTCTGGCACTGACAGCGGTTATGCCTCAACGACTTCATCAGTTCCTTCCATAGTTCGAACAAACGGAGAAAAAAATGTAAACCCTTCAATTACAAATCATGTGATAGAGACAGTTGATGACAACAATGAAATTTCAGTTAATAGATCAACTAAAGAAACAAAAAATGCTGCATCTATATCCCTCCATACTAGCTCATCCTCGACTACGAATACTACCGCTTCAACGATAAATACCAAGAAGAAAAGAACAAAGCCGCGGCAACCTGATTTGGTTTACGCTTGTCCGAGACCTCTCACCTTTCCGTTTCACAATGACGACCAATTTTTGCCCATTGCGGAAGCCGATCCGCGCGATGTTGCAAGACTATCACCGTCCACAAAGAATTTAATGCATAGAGCATCCTCTTTGCAATCAAATGAAACCCATAAAACGTCACTATTAGCATCTACAGTAGGCTCAACAAGAATGTTTGACAGCTATAGCTATAATAACTCTACTAAACATAAAGTGCGAAATAGTAAACAAACGGTTTTAGACCCTTCTGCAGCCAGTTCAACATACAGCCAACGGTCGTCTTTATTGGGTTCCATTCAACAAGGCACAGTTCGTTCATTGCGCTCTTTATTCCAACTTCCAAATTATTCTTTCAGTATTTCTAGCAATAAGAATTCCACGACGATTTCTGTTCAGAAATTAGAAATCAAAAAAGGTACCGTCCAATCATTAAAAGACATGTTTTCGAAGAAGAGGGAGCGTTTTGCCCAGCAACAGCAAATTACTTCAACATCTAAAAAGGGGTTTCAATTGACTGCCTCAAACACTATGAATACTATGAACCAATTCGAATCAATGTATCAACCTACTATGCAAATTGAAAATTCAGACATAACAGCTATACAAAGAACAACAACTAAAACAAACAAATCGTTCAGAAAGTCAATCAATAACTGTATATCGACAATTTTTAACCAAAAAAAACCAGAACCGCCATTGGAAACTTCGCATGTACACAACGGGCCTGATGCAACACCAAAAATAGCTTCTGATAATGAAAATAGGTTCAAAAATGGTATCAAAACACTGAAAGAACGAGTAGTGATCATGTCACAAAAAGTTAGCTCTACTCTGAAGACGCCATCAGGGAATGACACTCATACTGAAAATGTACTTCTTTCCTCCAAACCGCAGGAGAATAAAAGAAGTATCTTTTCTATTTTCAAACGCCAACAGAAAACTCCAGACATCTCACCAATTTCCCGAAACAAACAGGCGCCTAATAATGTGGGGCAAGTTCAACAACCTGGCATCAAGTCAAGCTTAGAATGCAGCTTGAGTACATCATCTACAACAACAATTGGCAAGGTTTTAGAAGGTTTCAAAAAACTAATATCGAGGCGAAGCAACTCCAGAGTTGGGGCTTTGTAAATATGCCTTGCACAAACAATATGATTCCCTTTCTACGTATTTTACTACTTTTCTATGCTATGACAAAACGTTGACACATCCCCTTTACCCTGTCAATTTTCCATCTGTACTATGCTAACCTATTTAGTCTTCATAATACCCACTCTAAGAGCTAGCTTATTTATTCTGCTTATTGCACAATACATCGTTAAATATGCACAAAACATCCCATTATAAGATTGTTAAAACATTCTGAGTGGTAGGCTTAAATTCTCAAGAATATCTTTTTTGTAACCTACCTTTGTCAGCGAGGTTAAATAAATAAGAACAAATTACATAATCATGAGTCCTAATAGCTCTAATGAATTTGTCATATGCTGTATGAAACTCTGCCTTTTACCTCAAGCCTTTATCAGCAATGTCAAACAGAACACAAAAGGCTATTTATCAGCATTTAGTCAGCAAGTCGTCAGTTTTGTCTTGCAATTGTGGGATATTTATTTTCCGCCACGGTATATTTATGCAGTCAGAGTCAATTGCTTATCTTTTCTTTGCGAAAAGTTTAACAAATATGTCTTCTACTGCTGTTCAATGTGCTTATATTGGGTTAGGTGCCATGGGCAAAAGTATGGCCGGCCACATAGCTCGAAAAATCACTTCATTGAATTATCCACCTCTTTTAGTATACAATCGTACACAAGCACGCGCTGAAGATTTCCAGAAAGAAAATCCTCAGATAAGCAAAGCTGCTTCATCACTTGAAGAAATTGCTAAGAAGGCCGATATCATCTTCTCCTGTTTACTCAATGATGCTGCTGTCCAAGAAACTGTCAAAGCTCTTAAGCCCCATTTGAAATCTGGTGCTATTCTTGTTGAATCTTCTACTATTGCTCCCGCTATTGCCCAAGATTTGGCCAAGCAATTAAAAGAGAAAGATGTCACTTATATTGCTTGTCCCGTCATGGGCCCACCTGTGAAAGCCGCTTCCGGCGATTTAACTGTTTTAATGGCTGGTGGAAATCCTGAAACACGTGAGAAGGTTAAGTCTCTTCTAATCCCCGTTATTGGTAAGAAAGCGATTGAGTTGGGAATGGATGATGTCGCTGAGTCGTTACGACTTAAGTTGTGCGGTAACTATTACATTACTGGTTTGGTGGAATTGATTGCAGAAGGTATGACATTGGGTGAAGCAGCCGGTGTAGGTCAACAACATGTCAAAGAATTGTTGGATTGTGTATTTCCTAATACGCTGTTGGGTGTCTATGCTGGCCGTATGTTAAATAACACATATCGTGATCAAGTTGCATTCTCCATGTCTGCTGCCAAGAAAGATGTTAACCATATTATGGAGATGGCAAAGGATGTGAAGGCGTCTGTCCCCATTACCGAAGTGTTTTTGGACCACTTAAACCAAGTGCAAGCAGAGCAAGGCGATCTTGATTTGTCTGCTGTCGTCGGAAGTAAGTGTTTAATGTAGTAAATTGTTTTGGCCGCTTGTGATTCGGTTTATATTAATATTCTTTTTACGTATCATAGAACTTAGACAAAAAGCCGGCCTCGACTTTGATTTGAAAAAGCAGTAATTACATTATGTTTGTATAATGATCAATTATTTAATAAAGCATTTTATCTTGCATTGACACAGGCATCAACCCCCTTCCCCACTTTTATAAACATCCGTACAAGGACAGTACAATTAAAGCTCAGATGAAAACACATTTTATTTGATTCTCTTTTGTAGATGAGTATCATCCATATTTATGATAAGAGATGGCGAATCAGTTCCTTTCTTTTTCGAATTGATATTGTTGCTTGCTGACTTAGGTATACTTTTATTGCTGTTATTATTGATAGATTTAATTGATGGGCTGCTATTTATTACAGCTGTTGTTCTCTTAACGTCGCTACTATCATTATTACCGCTAAATCCATTTGCATCTTCAGCCTCATCTGTTGCTACAAGAGTCATTGCTGGTGAGCTAGAAGAAGCAGATGCGGTAGCAGTATCAGACGCAGCTGTGTTCGCTTTTTGCTTCGTCCGCCGTTGCTTCTCTTTCTTGCTAATTTTTTTCTCTGCCTCTACCTCGATTGCTATTTCATGTAGCTGCTCATCAATTCGACGCAACATATGCCAGATAAAATCCTTATTCGTCCAATACGAAAAATGTGCCCGCAATCCAATCAAGTACTCATTGGCTATCATAGACATAACGCTCTCCGGCTGCAGAACGTAATCTATACGGCAGCCTCCTGGTAAAAAGGAAGCCGTATATATGTCGTCTTCATCTGTATCCGTTTCTTTTTGTTCTTTTTTAGCTTTCGTATCAGGGTTGCTTTTAGGTAAAGTAGCATCTTGAGCAACATCTGCTTTGGACTCACCCGGGTTAGTGATGGCAGGACCTGGCTTGTTCATTTCTATTTCTAAATCGTTCCAAATATTGCCAGTACCACTATGTTCGTCTGTATGACTGCCATTTCTATTCTTGGTCATGTCATCGGCTGCGTTTGACTTCCCATCATAGAGAGACTTCGAATCCTTGTCATCTTTATCTTGATTACTATTGGTTCCAACAGCAACCTCCCCATGTGTGGTTTTACCCTTCTCCCGTAATTCGTGTTGTTGATCATAGGCATGAATAACAGTAAGAGCACCTCTTTCTCGATCCGGTTTCGCTTTGTCTGTAGCCGCCGGTGGTATTGTACTTTTCTTCTTAATTGCATCTTTTTCGACAAGTTCCCTATCATAATGTAAATGAAGTTTCATGCCATCCGTGCCTATAATCTCCACAAGCTGTTGCTGACGCTTTAAAGGATGATCATTAAATCCAGTCGTGAAAGTTTTTTTTAATGGCAGCCGCTTAATACTGTCACTGATTCCATCCCTGAAGAGATTACTACCGTCATTTGTTCGTTCCAAAGAACCGTCGTTATCATCTTCCATCGTGAGGTTATTATTGTTATCACTTGTATTCCCATCAGAAAATCTGTCTGATAATAGCATGGATCCTTCAGATTTCGGATCTAACGAAGAGGGATATAATCTGGTCGCCGCTATTGAAGATTTGGACCTCATATTTAAAGAAGGACGTCTACTCACATTAGACGATGTGGAAGTTGAAGAAGCTATTGTAGAGGTAGCAGGAGAAGGTTCAGATATTGATTTTAACGTTCTATCTAAATCATCGCGAAGGGCCAGTAATTGCTGCCTTGCTTGTTCGCGTGAAAGGGAATCCCATGGGATATTGTCAGTGTCTTCAACGGTATCAGAAGGACTGTTTTTACTATGAAGTGATCGTTCTCGTTCTCTCGTGTATACGGTAGGAATTGGTGAAGAAACGGACATGTCATTGGTTGTTTTGTGAGCATTCTTCTTCGACCGGACTCCGCCTCCTTTAGTAAAATATTGCAGTAAAGAGGTCATAAATCCTGCTGAAGATTGCCGACTTAACTCCTCCTCACCACTTGTCGAATTGTTGACTTCCTTATATGAATTATTAGTCTCATCCAGTTGTTGTTCCATCCCTTCAACTACATCTGATGTAGCATTGTATAACGTTTTAGCTGCTTTGTCCTCCGACTGTTGTTTCCAAGAAAAGAAGGAGAAAAAACCTGCCGAGCTTAGTGGAAATGAAGACCACATGGAGGGAAAAGAAAAGGAAGGTCCAATAGGTACAGATCTTTCTACTAATACGGCTGGTTTATCAATAAAATAATCATTGAACAGTGGCTCAAATCGGTATCCCTGGTTGAAAGATCAATAAGTAAGAGTGAATCGCAAGTTCTGTGAGTATTGCTTATAATTTGGTTCCTTACTAGTGGGTCAAATGGATGGAAAATATTCTCAAATTGAAGGGTATCAAAATTAGGATGGTAAAATTTTGGATCTTGTCCTCTAAATGTAAGTACAGCGCTTATCGGTGAACCCAAGCTGAAGAAATAATGAGGCTTGAATTTCAGTCTTGGATACTTAATGTCGAGTTTATCATAATTGGCCCGCTCTTCCGCAGTAAAAGTTTCTGCTTCTTCCTCCCGTTGATGTGAAAGAATATCCCAAGTAATGATACCACCAAGGGAATACCCTAAAATAATAATCTTGCCATTGAAGTCTGGATGCTTTTCAACAAAACTCTCATACGAAGTGTTGAATAGATGAGTTATATTGTCAATGATGGCCTGTCCTCTATCTTTAGAGAAATAGAACAAGACATCGGCCAAGTAATGGTTCTCGATCAGCCGAATTGTGGGTATAGATTTGAGAGTGATTTTATTGAGAATAGGATCCACTTGGTCATGAATGTGTCTGTGCCATTCAATAGGTATCAATTCAATACGAATATTTTGGTCTGGTACTTTGACTTGTAAGACTTGCCGCGTTGTTTCCTGCAGGTTTTCAACTATTTTTATGGAAGCAAAATATGACAATATTTTTGTTAGGTCTCTCTATCCTTAAATTAATATACTTGGTTCCGACGTTGTAACCTTACTATGTTCGTAAAAATGGCCGTATTGTTCTGTTTGCTGAACAGCCATAAGACACGCAAAATGAGTGGTTTTGTAATATCATATGTCAATAACTATGTGTCACCACATTCAAATCATATATAGCGCTTTCTTTGCGTTACCTGTCCAATGCCCTATATGAATATTTTGCATGACGATATAACACTTGTTGATGAGCGATTTCGTTTGTAATCATGGCACCAATACTAAAATGATAATATTGTTCAACTTACATGAATGACAAATATTAAATGGTCGACTGGTCGATCAGAATCAGGCTCAATGTCTGCAAGATTTTGCACCGGCTCTGTCTGCTCTGAGGGTGGTGAAGTTGATATGTCAGTTTGAGTTGTTGTTTGGTCAAATTCTGCCGATAAGTTGTCAATGTTATCGTCTTTTTTGACAAATACATTAAGAAATGAGTAAATATATCACATGAATATAAAGAGATGAGAACATTGACACTAACCTACTGGGCTTGCTGATAAGGTAGGAGAAGGTACGTATGTTGTTTCGAAGAACATTTAGAAAAGCTTTCTCGCCCTTATAAGTATAGAGGGGAGAAAAGTAAGATTGCTTTAAATGGAAGAAAAACAGTAAAATACAGCATATGCAAAAGAAAGGATAAGTGGTTATGAAATCATCTTATGCTTGAAGGAGGTTCTCATTGGATGTCGGACGTTGAAAAAACAGCAGCATAGTAGGTCTAAAGAACTGAGTTGCAATTCTGGGTTGTGCGTAAATGGGTTTTTGATCTGCTGCTATGATTGAACAAAGATTTTTATTGACAAATAATTTTAAACCCGATGGGCTTCGTGATAAACTACACAACACAAAATTATCCTGGGCAGATCAAAAATGCTATAGAATTAAAGAACTTCAAAAGAGACAAGGGAGAAAGTAGTATAATAATGATTATAAACAACGGGCAATCAAGCATTGATAGTGGTGAGCGCATACAGCACAGCAAGGGCTGTCCTTATGTTTCTGAGGAGGTAGGGGTCATTTTCTCGTGCTGAAGGTAATCGACCTCATAAAGAGCATTTAGACAATTGACTAAGATGTACTCCAGATAGCTGGTGCATTGGCACGCTATTTAATGAGTGGGGAGCTCGTTCAACAAGTGAGCAATGGGGTCAGCAACAGTTGTCGGAAATTGCAGTCGGTTGTGCATTCGTAGGCATTCAATGGTGTGGACTTTGATGAGAGTGCGCAAGGAGTGATAGAGACAAGGGCTGAATAGTTGCTTGGGAGCCAGACCAGTCGTCATTCGGATACATCGGTTGCGTTTGGTCTTATTCATAGGATCCACATAAGAGGTTTAATACAAAGGCTGAGGCGGCATAAGATAAAGTTACCTTGCTGGCGAGCGAAGAGAACCACCAAAGATTTTGCGAACACATTTGTTGTAGATGTTCCAAGCTTGGATTGTTTCTTAATTAGTTTAATTATAGCTAAATTATACCCCGTTCTTGCAATGGCCATTGGACAAAATCACGTTCATAAGGAAGAATGCTGTTTTCTTCTAGCCCTGAATGTTATAATTATCAAACGTACTGTTCAGCATAAGCTGGTACACATTTGCGAATCATTCCCAACTATCGTAAACTTCTCCACATTGTGTCTACATAGTGCAGAATGCGTGAAACCATCAAGCTGATTATGTATTTGGGAGAAAACCCTTCAAAACATTTCTATAATAAAAAGCTTCACACCGCGAGCACCAAGTTAGTGGAGAAATTCAACAAGCGACAAGTTGCAGATCGATATCATCTACAGTTTATTGCCTTCTGATTTGGACAACACACGCATAATTTGAAGACAATAAATCGATTACATTTGAACGAATGTAATATAGTAGTAGTCCGCTAAGAATATATGTTAGACAATTGGCACGCAAACTGGATGCATTCCACCGACATTGAGTAGAGGGGAGTTTTATAATTTTGGTCGCCTAAACTCTTTCGGTCTCCCTGGATTTTTCAATGGGTACTACTAATCTTCATCATGTTCCTTAAGTCGTTGACGTCTCGGTTCCACAGTAGAATGACAAGTCTTGTAAAAAAGTATACTGTAGGTCTGGACGCCTTTCACTTCCCCAAAGTATCGTTTGAACAGCACGAGCATATTCTAAGCGTCTTGAATTCATCGATTTCTAGTACTAGTAGGCTTTCGACTACTTCACGTCGCTTAAGCGCACGCCACAGAACATCCACCATTCCGCTTCGGTGACCTTCGGCGTGCCATTGTCCTTTCAGACATGCCATTACCGATTACAATGAGGCGAACTTTTCTGAGATCGTCCATACTGAAGGGTTAAGGCTTCTATTTGGATTTTGATGCACTCAGAAAGGAAACAGACCTTCCAAGTGTTACAGGATATATGCTGTGATAATGATATCGTGCATTAGAGCCTGTTTTGGCAGTCGGTATATCCTTGATGGCACCAGCTTCTTTCTTCTCAAGACTGGCTGAGTACCTGGTGCTACCAGTCATGTATTAGTACTCTTTGTTAGAACAGCTACCACTTGGTGCTTCTTCATGTCCAGTCCGATCGCTGCTGTGAGACATTTCTTCTCCCGGGATCAGTGAAGCAGCGTCTATAACCAGCCTCAATTTCGGCATATTTAAAGTCTTCCAGAGTCAACCGATGGTCTTCGATGGCTTTCTTGTCTTTTGCTTTCTCATTCTTACTGAAAACAAAGTCGACAGGGAAACCATCCGAACGGACGTTATTACAGACTAGCATTTTCTGGGTTGTATTGAGGGTCATTTAAACTATTCACAAAAACAGTATTCAATATAAATTCTAATGGCGAAATTTCTGCCAAAACTGTTTTTGTTTACCTTCCATATCCCATTTTCATGGAACTTGAATAGTTGATGAAACTTCTCGAACTGATTGGTATAGCTTTTGAAGGTTTACCGAGAACAATGAATGTAGGAAGCGAATTGATGCTTGTCGTAAATAAACGCCAATAAGGCAGAGGGAAAGGCAAGAAGCGCTTAGACAACGGTAATTTAGGGACATCGTAAGCTACATGTTCGTCAAATTCGTTTTCAAACGAGGATTGAATGTACCACAAGGCTTTGATAAACTTGGTGGGATTGAAAGTCAAGGAAAGCAGCGTAACCTTCTCCGTTACAAGATTTTCAAAGCTTTTTTACAATATCTTTATCTTGCTTCTGTCTTCATTACTAAGCTGTAAACTTATTGGGCCACTTGCGTTCGACTTTGCAAATCACTTGGTAGCAATGTGCTTCTGCTGTTTCGCTGCATCGGCCTTCCTGTTATATGTATAGCAGTAATACAAGTACACATAATTAGAAAGAAAGAAATCAAAACTAGAGTAATGTGAACGAGACACACAATCATACATTAAATACGTAAGCATTCGCCCCTCAAAAAGCTCAACAATGGAGTAGTTGATTGCCTAGTTGGATTAGGCATTCAGAAACTTTTTGGAAAAAATGCTTACAGAAAGAACTTCTTATGAATTATAAATTAAATCGTTTAAAAGTTTATACGCGACTGTTCCATTAAGGTTGTAAGTGTGTTTAAAATCAAAATGCAATAAAGATTGTAAGTCATCTAAAGTGGACGTTACAACACTGTAACTTTGAATTATGCCCCTTTTAGGGTTTTTTTAATCCATAACACATTTGATCTGCAGTTTATCTTTGTGACCGTTGAGTTTGAATAAAAATCTTTTGTTTAAACGTAACATCAAGTTATATTTCAAACACAGCATCTCATTTAAATGATCTGAATTTTATTCTGTATAGATTCGTTTAACCCATTGATAAGTTGTATACTTGAATCCCGTATATAGTTGAGTATTATAACGGTCGTTTTATTGCTAGTATCAATTTCAATCAAGAAAAAATTCAATAAAGAATTATATCTTATGGAGTGTATGCTTTTACTGCAGCTGATGGAAGAGCTACCATTCTGATTACCTAAACCTACGACGACCAATTATCTTTCTTTTTTACTGAGTAAACCTTAAATCTGGGTTTTTTTTTGAGGCTGTCATCTGGTTTTGGCTGTGTAGATCGTAAAGTGAGGGTTTTTCTTACCATCACCTTTATCAAACACAACTTCTGAAACCAAGAAATAAGCTTAGGCTTTTTATCTTCACAGCAACTTATTGTTTTCTGTGTTCAGACTACTAAGTGATGGATTACACCTCTTTTAATTTCGAAGATAATGGAGATCTTTTCAAACTGAATACTGATACCGTCAATAACGACACGAACAACATAGATAGTACAGCCAATGTGAATTTCGTGAATCAGCCTCATTCATCTACTACTTCTGAAAGTCATTCTAGCTCAGTAGACTTCTTCAATTTTCTTGATGCTACAGCTACTTCTGACGGTAATAACAGTATTAATAATCAGAATATGATTACTGCTTTTAGCAGTGTACCTCAATTAAGTCCAGATGCACAACAAGATGGCAATATTGGCACTTATACTGATAGCAGTGTATTATCGGGACATAATCCAGAGTATACAATGTCTCCTCTGCAGATAGCAACACAACAGAATAGCATCGTTGTACAGCAACAGCAAATACAGACACCATCAGAAGAGCAAACATTTCAACATCAGTTCCATACTCCTTTGCAGCATCCTTTGAGTAATCCCATCTCACATACACCAACAACCTTCGATGATCTTTTGGATGATGATGAGTTTTTCACACCGCTCGTTTCACCAGCTATTGCACCTTCTTATGACCATCAATTTCAATTCGTAAACACTCCCAACATGACGGCAACAACGCCTGCCGCTGCTGCCGCCGCTATTAATGTGTTTTCACCACTTTCCTCACCTGCGTTAAACCCTTCCAACACAAATATTCAAAGCCATAACTTCTTGAATCAGAATGTTAATAGTACTTTATTGGATCAAAATACGTTACAACAGAAATTAGCATTTATTGAAAGGCAGCAACAACAATTAAGAAGCATGCACCAACAAATCCGACAATCAAGTGTTAGTTCTGCTACTGTTGCGGATACTACTACTGCTAATACGTCTACACCTACAGTTCCAACTGGGAGTGGTACTGCTACCAACAACAATAAAAGGAAATCGATGCATAATAGTCCAAGATCTTTTACTGCTCCCAGCAACAATAAACAATTGGCATCTAGTCCGCTAGCTTTAAAACCACGCAATGCTATGAGTAACAAATCAGCTGCCATTGCACCTGCTACACCTTCTTTATTGATGAAATTAGGTTCTGGAGGAGGAGGAGTAGCCAATACGATCAACCATGCCGCATCTAATTCCCTGTCTCCCTTAGCTCAATCTGCAATCACAATGCCCACCACTGTTACCTCGCCCATGTCTTTACCTTCCTCTACACCCACTTCAGCTCTTCCTGCCAATGTAATGTCTTCATCTGCCGCAGTAGACAACATGTCTTCGCTACCGGCTGCTATGTTGTCTGAACCACCTAAATCTGCGCCTTTACTACCCACGAACCCAAAGATACCCAAACAAAAATCAAATGCAACAACGACAAAACGTCGACGCATTTCTTCCAATACATCCATCAGTAAAATACCAGCATCAACTGCCACTTTCTCCTCTCCTGGTTTATCTCCCAATCCTTCTCATGTTCAGTTTTCACCATTAGGTCCTCGACCTACTGGTAGTAATGTTACTAACATGCATCATTCACCTCGTACTTTGAAACCACTCATATCTCCCTCTTTGCAACCAAACGGCAAACGCTTGTCAACGATAGAAGAAGAGACGGCTCGTGCGCTTCTGACAACTAAATCGAACTACGAAAACTTGAAGGAAGGTACAGCGAAACATTTAGGCATCGACTTCAATACGACTATCCAATCGGGCATCGAAAATAGAAGGTCAGCGCATAAGGCAGCTGAGCAGAAGAGAAGAGATACTTTGAAGCAGAGTTTTGATTCATTAAGAGTGGAACTCATTGATGCTTTTCTCGAGGATGATTTGACTGAGGATGTAGACGAACAAATAGGAATTGGCAAAAATGATGAAGATGAAGCTGATGAGTTTGAGGAGAAGAAGGAAGAAGAAGAACAAGGGAATAAGAATGAAGGAAGTAGACTGAAAGACAACTCAAATAACAAGGAGAAGAAAGTTACTGAAATCGATAAGATTGAAGCAACAGTTACTATCGTCAATGATGATGGCACTGAAGAAGACGGCAACAAAGAAGACCCCCAGCCTGTTACGAAGAAGAAAAAGTTAACTATTGAAGAGCAAAGATTGGAGAAGGAAAAAGAAGTCAAGCAAATGAGTAAAGTGGTCTTATTACAGCACTCTTACGAATATATATTGCGACTCAAAAACGATAAGAAGCGGAAAGATGAAAAATTGAAAAGAGCAGTAGACGAATTGAGATTGTTACGGAAGCAGTTAGGTTTACCAGAAGTGACAGAAGATGAGAAGCTTGAAAGGGAACGTGAGTTAAAAGATATTAGAGAGCGAAGAGAAGCGAGACGTAAACAACAACAGTTACAGTTAGAGCAGCAGAAAGCGAAAGATAAAGAAGCTCAAGCAATAGCAGCAGCAGCAGCAACTAATACCTGTAGCTCACTTGAAGACAAGGAGAAAGGCAAGCAGAAGGAATAAGCCTTTAATGAAGTTTAACCACATTTAACAAAAAAAACAAACCAGAACTAATCTACATTAATCTATATCCTTAAATATAATTTTTATTCTTTAACTTATTTTGATACACTCATGTTTTACGATCAAGCACAATAAATAAATTGCCCCTCTTCTTTATTTTGCCTTTTTTTAATCAACGCGCTTTGATTTTCTTTCACGTAAAGACGCCCTATTTGCAATTTGTTTTGGTATATCTTCGGTATCTTTCGATCCTTGTTGTTCAGTATTGTCTGCAGCCATTGTTGGTGAGGCCGTCTTCTTATTCGAAAGGACAAGTAAACCGAAAGATAAGATCAAAAAGCCAGTCAGCAATCCAATCAATGTCCATGGTGAATAACTGGAAACCTTTTTAACTAACTTTCCAGTGAATCCCACTAAGTGTCCACTGTAAATTATGCGCATTTAGTAGTGCTCTTGATCACAAAGGTAACATTTAGAATTTACTTACAATAAACTAAAAGGCGATAACAATCCATTCTTGGGCTTAACGTCACGCCATTGTTCCAATGTGACAAAGGAGATAATATCATTGTCTGTTCGCGTGGATTGGACTTGGCGTACTTCTCTGTCCTTAATATGAACCAATGTGGGCAATCGAGAAATAAAAAAGCGTGCTGCTAAGCCCGGGTTGTTATCCACGTTGACTTTCCCCAGTTGCACATGAGAGTGTGTTTTGTCAAATTTGAGCATACGGTCTGCAGCTTGAAACTTCGGCTCTAGACGTTTACAGTAACCACACCAGTCTGCATAGCTATTTTTATTTCGTTTTCGTTTTTTTTTTTCCGTTTAATTTGTTCCTTTGCATCAATAATTGTTCTGCTTTACATATTTAAAGAAGACATCGTTTAAAACGAGAGCAACTTACAAATCGATTAACCATTCATCTTCCTTTTTCACCAAATCGGAGAAATTCTCATCGGTAAGTTGAACAATAGCAGCTTTACAGAAGGTGATAAATGTAATGACCAAGACCAATATAGAGTATACTGGCTTCATTATTGATCCGTGCGTTGCTAGCTGAGGAAGGAACAATTGGGATAAGGATAAACTCGATGGATCACCTCGTACACCACTAAATTTTGCGGTTGGCAATGGGTTGATTGGAAGTTTTGTGACCCGCTTCATGCTATCAGTTTCCGAGAATTTTAAGTTTCAAGAAAAAAAAACTTAATAGCATATCTCTCCATTAACAAATTCTTCGACATCGCATGAATTCAAAAGCAGATCTCAAAGCTGCAAGAGAGGCTATTGGCAAAAAAGAATATACTGAAGCGATAAAAGCGTGTAAAAGAGTCCTATTGTGGGAAGGAGAAAACTACAACGCGTAAGAAAAATCTATTTGTGACATTGTAAATGTTGAAGAGCAGTGCACTATACTCACAAGCAATGAGTGGGCCAACAAACTACAACCATTACGTAGTTGGGTATTTTTAGGTGTAGCGCACACAAATTTGGAAAATGACGACGAAGCAGAAGAGGCTTATAAACGAGCTATTGAAATAAATTCAAATAATATGCTTGGTTGGCATGGTCTAGTGTCTTTCTATGAGAAAAGGAAGAGATATCAGCAATTGACAAAAACGATTGATCAACTACTACCTCGACTAGTGGAAAGGTAAAACCGACATAACAAAGGGGTTAATTGATATACGACAAAAGGGGCATCCAGTTCTCATAAACATACATTGCGATTGCTATAGCGGAGACGGTGCAAAAGTTGCGGATTACTTGAAGAAACTACTCCACGCCTATCAAGAACAAAACGACCAGGACAACTATTTGGAAACATTAAAAGAGTTTTTGCCGCAAAGCAGCTATTACGACCTCATCAAAGACCAACCCGATCTACCATCACAAATTGATATATGGAAACGTATTGTCCAAAAAATGGAAAAGGAATTAAAGCAAACAGTTGAAAACGAAGTTGCGTCCAGACGATTCCGCATGAACGCCGGCACGCCGGCACAGATACTCACAGGTGTTGAAGGAGACGTCTACAGCATATCCAAATTAGGTACCGTTTATAGGAACATTTTGGATCTCATACCAGCCGATGCCAGTCAAGAACAACAAGTTTGGAAACTAAAGCTCTTAAAGTTCAGCACTAAGCAAATATTAGGCACTAAAGATAGTGATGAAAAACATGCTCTCTATCAAGAGATTATAGATATGGCTCACGAATTGAAAAATACTGATGACCCTTTACCTCTTCAACTTTTAATCGAATCAACAGATGCAGCTTCTGTTGATGACTATGATTGGCATCTTATCAAGGAAATGATGGACCGATTTCCTGATCACGGGTTAGCAAAGCTCGCTCAGGGGTATGAGCTCAATCAAAATGACAATGTCGATCAAGCGTTTGAATTATTTAGCGAAGGAATTGACCTTTGCCCTAACAGTCTGTTGGCATACTTATGTCTCAGCTGGATCTATTATCAATCAAAAGAATACGAAACAGGGCTAGAATATGCAACTCGCGGTAAAGATTTGGTAAAGAAGATCAAAATGGAATACGGTATTTCAATGCGTAAGGCACTATGTTCATTAGAGCTTTGTATGGCGCATTGCTATCAATTAATGGATAAAAAATATCATATGGATGCGATGACGATCTACAAGAATATTCTACAAAATTACAATGCCAATCAGACTGGGGCTTTAGAAGGAATGGGATTAATCTTAATGGATGAAAAGAGATTAGACGAAGCATTACAGAATTTTGAAAAAGTAACAAAGTTGGACGAGAAGAACCATACATCTGTAGCGGCAATCGGTTGGATCTATCGCGAAAAGAAGGACTATGAGAAGGCTATAGAGTACATATCGAAAGCTTTGATGATGGCTGAAGAAGAAACTACAGTTGTAGCTGAGAAGGAAAACCAGCAGTATGGAGCAATATCAACAGGAGGCGTAGCCGAATACCAATATCGTTTGGGTCGTCTGTATTGGGACATGCAGCAAGTCGATGAAGCTGTTCAGTATTTCATGCAGGCCGTGAAATCAAACCCTTATCTTGCTAATGGATTTACTTATTTGGGTCATTACTATCGGGAGATTAAATATGACCATGCACGAGCCAGAAAATGTTATCAGAAAGCCTATATGTTAGATCCGCTGGATGACGATGCTGCCTTACACTTGTCAGATTATTTGATTACAGAAGACAGTGATTTAGAAGAAGCAGAAACTATATTTAGACAAGTAACAAAATTATGTCCCAGGGCAGCATGGGCGTGGCGACGATTGGGTTATCACAATTTGGTAAGGTCTTAAAATTTACCTATTGTCCAAACTTACTCTAACATTTTCCTTGAATTGAAACAAGAACACGCAAAATTACAATGATGCTATTAGTTGTTTCCAAAAAGCGTTGCGAATCGATACTGGTGATGTGCATTGTTGGGAAGGGCTTGCCGAGGCATATTCCAAAGTGGGCCGCTATGTCGCTGCTCTTAGAGCGTTTGGTCGCGCGACTCAGCTAAATCCTCATTCTGTTCATGCTCATAACGAACAAGCCTACGTTCAGCAAAAGGTCGGGTTGCTTGATGATGCCATTGCAGGTTTCCAGCACACTCTTGACTTAGCGGCTGAACAAAAAAATCAACAATACATCCCCGCTCTTGCAGGTTTAGCCGAAACATATTTAGAGCATGCTAAAGAAGATCTTCAAGCCGGCTTTACGGGCCGCGCTTCAGATAGTTGTAATAATGTTTTTAGAAGCAGCTTAAAAGCTCTGCAGCAAGATAACACCATGATCGCCTTTTGGAAATGGGTAGGCGATGCTTGTGCATTTTATCGCCATATTCCCAAATACTTGAACAACTGCGCTTATGATATTCTTCAATCTTTGATGACATTAACGGACCAAACGATTCATGAACAACTCCATTTTCCTGCAGATGATATGGCACACCATTGGATCAGTGAATTTTTAGCACTGGAAGACATCCAAGCTGATTTCAGCTTACCAACAACAACAGCAATGGATATTTTGTTATCGTGTGCCACTCAGGCCTATAAACAGGCCATTGCGTTGAGTAAAAACCACCCATCTATAGCACCTTCTTTCTGGCATGATCTTGCCGTTACTTATTATCATATCAGCTTGAATTCATTGTATGACAAAAAGAAAGTTGTCGCAGAACAGAAAGAAGCAGCAATGGCTATTCAATGTGCGAAACTTGCCTTAAAATTGGAGCCCACACAATATATGTATTGGAACACGTTGGGTGTAATTGCTATGACTGTAGCTCATTTGCCCAAGTTGGCGCAATACGCATTTGTGAAAGCGATAGAATTTAATAACCGGAGCGCTATTCCATGGACGAACTATGGCTTTCTATGCTTGGCGCAAAAAGATTATGAGCTGGCGAACCAGGCATTTGAAACAGCTCATGCATTGGATCCAGAATGGATATCAGCTTGGATGGGTCAAGCTTATGTAGCCTCTCTCTGGGGTGATGCAGCTTACGCAGCTACCATTTTTGAACACGCCTTTGAATCTAATAATGATGGATCTGTTTTAGAACCGAACTATGGCTATGCAAACAGCGTCTATCAAAAACTCACTAACACATTGTTTTCGTCTTCAAACCAACACAACAAAATAACGAACAACCACGATGGTCAACGCGTAACGACTGATATAGTCGTAACACCTGTATTTGCCCTTGAGAAATTGACAGAAAAGAAGCCACAGCTTGCACTCGGTTTCAACTTGCTAGGCTTGCTATTAGAAAGATTGGGACAATATGATCGTGCTTCCGAAGCATTCGCCTCGGCCATTTTGGCCTTAGAAGCACAGATGGAGCAATCAATTATAACAGAAGAGGAAGGTCAATCTCGCTTAGCAAAGGTTCATACTAATTTGGGAAGAACATTGTGCGCCAGCGGCGATTTCGAAGGCGCTATCAACGCTACGGCTAGTACAACCGATGTCTATGCTCGGCTTAACGCAGGTCTTGCGTATTACTTCATGGATCAATTGGAAGAATCATTGTCAATGTTTGAAATGGCATTAGAAGCTACTCAAAATGATATAGTACTACGTCAGGATGTCATTGTTCTACTGAGTAAAGTTCTCTGGGCCTTGGAAGGTGAAGAACAAAGATCTGTTGCCAAGGATCAATTATTTTCTAGGTAATTTAGTTGGAAAAACGGAAACATTCTATGAAATTACTGCTTTTGGTAGTTTGTCTCTAATGCTTTTATATTCCGCTTAGCATTTCTGAAAATCCAAATTACTTGCCAGCTATCTTTTCGTTATGTGCAATGGGAATGCTTGAGAATGATGAGACGTTGACAGCAGCAGCATTACAAGAGTTAGCCAAAGTGCCAGCCAGTGTTGCTTGTAAGTACATCAAACAGAAAGCGTCGAATTTTTCTTACAATTCATTTGTTTGGATCAGAATTAAGTTGCTCTGACATAAACTTTTTTTATTGCTAAAAATAGATGAATCTGACAGGGAACAGTATATACCATGGCTATTTTCTAAATTCTTCGAACTTAAGGTAACATTTGTAATAGGTTAATATTCCTTTTTATGTAGAAAATTCTAATATTTTATCTATTTTTCACATTATTGTCCTGAAATGACGTATGAACAACAGAATGATAGGCTATCAGCTACTCGTGCCTTGGTTAAGAGTGTCCATCAAACACCTTGGTTAGCTGATGTGTGGAGGCAGTTAAGCAAAACTATCATCAAAAGATCAAACGAATCAATAACAAACGATAGCAGTAAAACAATCATTACCACAGATTCACTCACTATGTCCAGTAAATCACGAACAGCGAATTCACAATCCGAGGCTTATCAATATGCTGCTGTCGCCGAAAAGGATCCTACTCTATCAAAAAAACTTGCTCAAAGAGCTGTCATGACAGCGCCTTGGCGTGTAAGTGCTTGGGAGGCTTTGGTAATATAAACTTCATGGTGCGTCTTAACCACAAAAAGAAATAAAAGAATGACGTTTATTTGTCCAATCAAATGCAAGCATTGTTAAGAGCGGCATAATGAAAAAAATATTTAAGCAGGAGGTCATGGATCTCTTTTCGTTGCATTTTTGTCTAATTTTTATCAACAAAAACCATACCTAACCACACAAGCTTATAATGGCTTTCACTTGTTCTGATATTTGCAAAATTGTCTTTGGTAAGTATTCTTCATCAGAATAATGTACTGACGTGCGGTTGAGGACTGTTGAACACTGTTTACTCAAACATGTACTTTACATATCTACTGGAATAGCCGTCATCCTTCCTCCTCTTGGCGTTTTACTCGAGAGAGGCTGTACTTGCGATCTCTTAATCAATATTTTACTGACATGTCTCGGTTACATTCCTGGAATTGGTAAGCAATAGCTTCTTCACTGCCAAATAAGCAATGGGTCGGATAAAAGGCAAATGTGTACTAATATGAACTTTATACAATCAGTTCATGCGCTTTACATTATTCTAAAATATTAGCCTGTCAACCTGTAGCGTACAGCCTTATAACAAGTTCTTAATGCGAAATGAGCATGTTATCACCTAATTTTACCATTTATAACGGCAAATTTTCTGAGCTGAAGATATACAAACTACACGTGCTTTGTATATATGATATCCTTTAATAGCTACTATTTAATGTTAATACAGATTTTAATATTTTATTATCATGTCAATAAAACGAATATTTTATTCTAAGCAATCAGGCTGTTCTCTAATGATCATGTCATACATTGGTTGGAACTGAGCATAACCTGCCTGTGCGTTGCCTATGTTACGGAAGACACTTCGAGCCACCTCATCTGAAATAAGCTTCAAGTCTTTATATCCATTAGGTAAAGCAGCTTCTGCCAATAGTTGTGACTGACAGCATCTTTCCATTGAAATAAAAGCCCAAATAGCTTCATCGATGGTTTTACCTGTTGTGAGCAAACCATGGTTTTGCAGAATTAAACATTTGTTTGTAGGTCCCAAAGCAGTAGTCAAGCGCTGAGCTTCTGCTTCATCAAATACAACGCCGCCAAAATCTTCATAGACCGAGTGGGCTTCAAAGAAAGCACATGCATCTTGCGTGATAGGCAATAGTTTACGACCAAAAGTAGAAAAGGTTCTGCCATAAATAGAATGACTAGATAGAACAGTGTTGATGTCAATAAATTGACCGTTATGCATCAGAAGGAAAGGATATGTATATATTGACCAAGGAAGTATTCAACCTACGTATGGACTGCGCAAAATACTTCAGGTCGTGCTTTATGAATTGCTGCATGAATGACAAACGCAGCTTTATTCACTGTCCTTGTACCACGTACAATAGAACCTTCATGGTCAATTAGAATTAAATCGCTGGCCTTAATGTGACCGAAATACTGGCCAAATGCATTGACCCTATTTACCAGATATATTTACAGTGCTTAGTTTACTATGTCTTTCTACATTTGTAGGCTAAATGTTGTTACCAAAATAGATCAGGGTATTCAGGATCTCTGAAGGTCATATGACCAGCCACCCCCTCATCCCAACCGAACTTTGCTAATAAACGAAAACCTGCTGCTAGTTTCTGCTTCATATGCATCCGTTGAGTATGAACATCTTTGAACGTAGGAAACGTAGGAATAATAACGGGTGCTTTCTCAGCTGCTCTGGCATCTGCTTCTGTTTCTAAACCAGTTAAAATGACCTTTCGTTTTGAGCGTAAAAATATAGCTGCCCCTCCAGACATTTTGACAGTTTTATCCAAAGATAGCGACGTTTCTGATTCTGTTGTGAGTGAAGATGCTTCTTTTTTTATGCTGTATTAGCCGTGCTGTCAATAATTGGATGTCAAGGAAAGGGATCGTGTAAAGGGAAACTTACCTTGAAGGAGCTGACATATTGCTCACTTTTTTTAAAATTCGACTTGCTGGAGATAAATAGGTGAAGGTGAGACAGGGAAAATAGACCCATTAAATACGATTTTTATTGAATGCCAAAAGCTCATGCAATTGTTACACATACAGTGATGCTTCCTTGCGAAACGGGAAGTCAAAAGCGCTACAGTTGCATTGTTATAAAATTGTCTCAAGAAAACATTCGCGTATGTCTATACATTTCGATGTATATTATAGAGTTTGCAAACATAGATAATAGTCAGGTTCGGTGTTATAGCACGCAAGAGACGAGTTACGCAGCTTTATTTTGACTGAACTATGTGAATAAGGATGCAATTCGTTCACACGATAAATAGCTCAGCAGGACATAATATATACTCATTATTAAGCAGTAATTGTATTTCTTGGACAATGTGTATGTAACCTCTAACAGTTAATCAAAATGGCACAATTATTAAAGATCGGTAGTCTGTTGCACATCTAAGCAAAGCAGGATCAAGATGCACAATAGCACTGTCAAACAAATACATATAAATGATGATTAAGAAAAGGCTGCAATAGTTACAAGTAAAATTGAGAGGTATTGTTCCCCTGAATACAAAATACTATTACTTCTTCAAATTGTTTGAAAAGGAATAACCTAACAAGTCTCAAACTGGACCAGATGCTGTTTCTTACTTTATCTACTTTTTTCTCGATGTTTTCTGCTGTTAGATAAAACCACAGTTTTTCTCTCTCTTTTCGAATTTCTTAATGCACCGGGAAGGGAGGCAATAACTGACTTCAAACTGGCAAATGCCTTAAGGCCGAAGCTAATTATAATTTGTATGTAAGCTAGCAGTACTAGTACAAATGAATTGTACGGAGTATTACAACAGTGAGTGCATTGCAAAATACAATTTAGAAGTACTATGTAGAGCCGAAAAATCGTGCTGGCATAGTTCGAAACCAAACAAATAAAAAGCGAAAATTCAATTGCATACGCTGCCTTCTGAATTTTTATCGTTACAATCAAATAAGCACCAAAAGTTGTCTGCATGTATTTGACACTCTTGCTATTTGCATCATCTCAAGACGCGATACATACATATCTTAAGAGTGAAACAATGTCTGTAACTTGCATATATTGAAGCATTGGATCCCAGAAGACGTAGGCAGCATATGATTCTCTGGTACATACAATTGCTCATATACTTCGTTGCGTAATGATAACTATTAAACAGCATTATTCCACATTACTACAGTCATATCCATCTGATATTGTTTATTAATGCCTGACATTAGTTAGAAGCTTGAGCTATTTTTGATTCTTTCAAAGAAGGATTATTGATATCGTCTCTCTCTCTTGTTGATGCTTCTTCGATATTCTTCAAGAAAGGTAACAAGTCATGGAGCGTAAGGATCTCTTTTGGACGGTGATCCTTGGTCATGCTCAAATCTGCCAGCATTGCGGGCGAGAAATCTTCAACCGATGGTGTAGCTATTATTTTGAATGAGTGATCAATTTTTTCCAAGAGGTCCAAACAATTAAACGACTAAAACCTGATCTTGTCTCTGTTACCTCTTTCTAATAAAACAGAGTTCCATCCTGCTTTTAAAGCACCGAAATAATCTCTGGAATACGAAAGGCGTCATTAATGTAACCCTTCACTAAAGCGTTGTTATCTTTCGAAAATGCGCATAGTCAACTTACGTTTCTACATCATCACCCACATGTAAAGCTTCTTGCGGTTTCACCTCTCTACCTGCAGCTTTAAGTGCTTTATCATATATCGCCTTATTAGGCTTTACTACACCCACATCTGCGCTTGCCAACACAAAGTCAAAATACTTCCCTAATTCCAAATTATCAATAATTGTTGCTTTAAAAAAGTCATGGATAATTGACCGTCAGCATGCTAGTTCAGCTTTCTATATCAGTGTTTATAATTTTTGTCAGCAGAAAATGTCTATTGGTTACCTAACCTTTCATCTGCATTACTGATCACACCCATTCTAAATCCTTGATTTTTTAGTTCTTCTAGAGTCGGTAAGACGTCAGGGAAAATTGTATAAGCGTCGCCTGCATTAAATCTATTGTAGACTGAAGTGAAAAGTTGATCATAATTCTTATCGAGTTCTACCAAAAGAATAAAGATTGTTGATTAGGGCAGGATAAGCACAGTGAACAGATAAAGCATATTTCCACTACCTTTTGGTTCTACGCCTGACAATGTATACGTTGAGTAAACCAACTATGCGTAATAATAGGCGACAGATATGAGTTACTCATTGAATCGAAATCCTGCAACTTTTTCGAGCACAAAATTCTAATCTGTTTTGAAGCCGAATTTATCTTTATCACCTACTTCTCTCCACCAGGCCTCGGCGGTCATGCCATGATTCAACCCATAAAACGGTGCTTTCTTGACTTGTGCTTTCCATGCATTACCAAAGCTTTGATGTACGGCTTCTTTTGTTACTTTATACCCAAATTTGGCAGCTTCCTCTACCTTTTCTTAAACAAAACCATATTACTTATGTGTTATGTATTGTTGTTGTCTAATGCCTTATTTTATCGTCCTTGTAGAAGTTCGTTGAATCCTTACATATTGGGCAGATAGACTACCCTTTGGTTTGAACAGCGTATGATAAGCATCAAAAGTAATCAATTTAATTCTTGAAGGACTTGTCATTAAATCGAAAAACTGTGTCAACAGTTTTGAAGAATAAAGGAATGAGAAAGAGACATAGAACAGTCAGATTAGTAAATCAACAAAAAAAAACCAAACTTATGCCGCAGGTGCAACTGTGGTTTATTCCCAGTCAACAAGGGCTGTCTTCACATTAATTTGATTCAATAACTATAGCTTACTTGTGCGTTCTCTTTAATCAAGGAAGCTTTTCTTGCAATATATTTAAATGCCATTATTGGCAAATGGGGTAGAGAAAGCAGAAAAAGGGACCACTAAAGAAAAATAGTTCCAACCCAAAAAAAAAAAAAAAAAAAAAAAAAAAAAAAAAAAAAAAAAAAAAAAACGCTGCATAAATTGTTTAAATCAGGATCCCATGACTGCTGCTCTCCCATTGATAAGATTTAATCCTTCCTCAACCGTATGTGGTAAAATGAAAGATAATTCTACACGTGAACTCACAAATCAAAAATTCCAATTATACACAAATCTCATTATAAATGGTTGTTCCTAAGCAACTCATATACAGTATTCTTCAGATGGTATCTTCAATTTGAAACATCAGACTGTATTCAATGAGAAATATTGCTTTTATTCAAAATAGCAAAAAGGGTTTTTTTAAATGAGAGCCTTCAATTGCTTCTCCACCTTCTCCCAATCATCAGTTGGAACATTAATGATTTCTCGTTGGAAATGATCCTCTATTTCGCGCATCTGCTCCCAGTCGCGCTTATTATCAATTAAAATGATACTGACACCGGTACGACCGAAACGACCAGTACGACCAATTCTATGCAAGTAAGCCTCAAAATCAACTTGTCCACGTTGATCCAAGGGTAAATCGTAGTTGATAACTAAAGACACCTGTGAAATATCGATACCACGCGCAAGCACGTTAGTGGTAATGAGGACCTTGAATACACCGCGACGGAATTCATCCATGACACGATCACGTTCAGAGGGATCCATACCGCCATGAAGAGAACCCACAGAGTGTCCTTGAGCTTTCATGCGTCTAGCAATTTCATCAGCGTTCTCTCGTCGCTTACAGAAAATGATACTTTGACTGACAGTCAGTAAATCGTAAATGTTGCAAAGAGTTTCATATTTGTGTTCTTGACTATCACAATCCATGTAAAGTTGCTTGATGGCGTCGACACTCAGATCTTCACGTCTCAAAGAAATTTCATTCGCATTGGGTGCGAATTTTTCGGCAAAGATACGAACGTGCTCAGGGAATGTAGCTGAGAAAAGTACGACTTGCAGTGGAGTAGATTTAATCATGCTATATACAGAACATAATGTATTATTAATAAAGACGGGAGAGAAGAAAGTCATTCCCTAGTTGCAAACGGTGTGGTGAGTCAACCATTCTTACTTTTTAACACGGATACTTTGATCACCCAATCCATCTTGATCCAACATATTATCGGCTTCGTCCAAGACAAAAATTTTGATTTGTCCAACAGGCAATTGTCTCTTTCTAATGGCATCCATGACGGTACCTGGTGTACCGACAATAATTTGAGCTTGAACTGGTTCACCTCTTCTTAAACTATCTTTAACGACTAATTTCTTTGTGATATTGGTAAATTTACTCATTGCCTCTACAACATCCATAATTTGACGGGCTAATTCACGAGATGGGGCTAAGCAAATAGCCTACAAAAACAGTAATTAAATAATTAACGCTTCATGCAAGGAAGGAAAAAAAAAAAGGAGATACCTCACATACGGTCAGCGAGGCCAAATTACCTGAGGAACGTTCATGCCTTCATTCACTCGTGTCAGCATGGTAAGAACAAAAGCAGCGGTTTTACCAGTACCACTTTGAGATTGACCGATCATATTTTTAGGACTAATCATATCGAGCAAGAATTGTTAGTACGAGGAAACAATTCGTTCAGGTGCGTGTCGCTCTCTCTCTGTCACTTCGGAAGTTCTTCGCAGTGATAGACCAGAGATTTTTTTACTTTTTGTGGCAATAACTTACGGATTACTGATCAATAGAGGAAGAGCACGTTCTTGAATCTTGGAGGGTTTCGAGAATTTCATAGAGTATAAACCCTTCAACAGCTCAGGGCTCAAACCGAGTTGTTCAAAAGATTTAACTGAGTAGAGTGGTGAATTAGGATCAGCTTGTTGATCGGCTAATTTGACTTGAACAGTGTGTGTGCTTTTAATCAAATTTGAATCATCGCCTAACAGTTTAGAAAGAAGATGTTTTTAAGCATTATTCCATAAGTGTTTTGTACATGTCTTTCTCACCTTCAGAAGTTGGCTTTGGTGTTGAGTTATTGGATTGAGGTGGTGGGCCTCCAGCGGGTGCTGGTGGTGGAACACTAGAGGCTGTTGATCGTATAGATTATGGAGATCATATTGAAATTAGCTATAAGAGATAATTGGAAATAAATTTTCACAATATCTTGTATATATTTACGTTGTGAGGGCGGATTGCTTGTAGCGAGATCTCCAAGTTTCAAAGTAACGGTTTCGAGAGGATCTGTGGTAAATAAAAGCATCCAATTTTATTTTAAAAAAGATTAGCTGCCGTTTTTTTATTGTAATATATTGTCGTTGTGAATGTGTTGAGAAAGTAAGCCGATGACATACCAGCCATGTTTATTGCCTACAATTGTAAAGAGAGAGAGGCAGAGAAATAGGATGAACAAAGCTTCTAAAAATTAAAAAACGATTTCACGTCGGCGATTTCAATTATCGACAGTGACGTTTGCTCTTTGCTGAGGGGGTTATTTTCTACTCCTTTTGATTCAACATAAAAACCCAAAGCCTTTATCATCTCTATCCCACGGGAGGAATATTGTTAAGAAGCCTACATCCAATTTCGTGTGGACTCCACTTCCAGATTTGTAGTTATGGACACAAGATTAATCGTAGTGAAAAGATCAGGAAATATCACCAAATTAGGCTTCTATTCTTTCGTCTATGTTGGTAAAGGTGTATATCTCAAAAAGCCCATTTCCTACCTCAAACTTGACATGGAAAGTGTAACTCTTAATACACTATACACTCAATTTGCATTACGGAAGTGCCTTGGTAACACAGATCAATCTACACTGTTCGTGATGCGAAGAGAAAACAGGTGGTCATGTATGCAGCAAAGCCCTCAGTTCACAATTTTCTTCATCATACTGTCAAAAAAAAAGACAGCAATAATTTTTCAGTTGATGACAGAAAAATACTTCCAACGATAAAGTACAGTAGCAGGAAGGATTGATAAGTAAGCAAATTCTGAGATTGAAATGTGGGCCTTTAGCCCTATATTGTAAAAAGCAATTAAGGCCTCTCAGGATTGATCAGTTTATTGATATCTTGTAACAGTAAAAGTTCGATTCAATACCTTATAGTATATGCTATTTCCTTTCATATTCTATTTATGCTAGCCTACCAGAATTTATATGAGATTTGGGTCAATAGATAATTACTTTATTTATTTATAGTCAATGCACTGCGGTACGATCATTGTGGCGAGCACCTTATATTACACGGCATTGTACTTACTTTAACAATTTAGCGTCATACTGTCATTCAGAGAGGTTCAGTATGGAAGTTACCTATGGGTGAGTATTTTCAAGCTATCGATTGCATGCAGCCAATGTACTACAGCAATGTTTGTATAGATTTTTGGGCATATACCAACATTTAAACGATTCAAATAGTGAGGTCCAATCAGGCAAGTTTTCTAACTAATATCAGCAATTAGATGCTAACTTAGTGATATTTTTGAGGCTACGTCATTTTGAATAAATGATACTTACATCATTACTACTAGTATGAAAAACTATTGTAAGTTTCTTCATCTCTCATAGCTAGTATTCATTGTCACCATTATCATAAATGACATATTAAAGCAGCATGCTTCAACTTTATTTTATTCTAGCTCCAACTATCTGAAAAATACATGTTATTGTAATATATGATATTATGAAGCAGAAATTACTGACCGTACTCACATAACCGCGAACGGCTGCATCTGATGGGCACAGCGATAACTGGCCTGGAGTATTCGTATTTCAAGCTCGAGGATCTATCCTCCGATGCATTCGCCATTCTTCGCTACCAACAACACCAAGACGCCGGCACCAAGGCCGTTTTGTTGCTAGCGGCGGAAAATGGCGCGAATGGTGTCATGCCGGCGTATATGGAGGATTACGTGGATCAGGTTCAGACGCAGACACATCACAGTTCCAGAGGCGTTCAACAGCCTGCAGGTAAAGGTTCATGGCTCGGCAATTTTGGTTTGTACACATGTAAGAACAGTAAAGAAAATACTCTATTCGTTTCCTCTGAACGAAACAGCTCCTTAGTATGACTCACCGTAATAAGCCGTGAATACAGAAGCGTGGCTACTCGTCTCTTCTCCATTTACAGTGAAGTCCGCCTATAAGCTCTCGATTAAGGTGTTATTAGTTATTTGCTTGCGTATGTAAGTACAAGAGATCCCGTCTTCCTGGATCGATCGATAATAACGACGAATGATTTGTTGAATGCTCGTTAAAGCTGAATTCGTTGATATTGCGGGTATCTTCGCTCGTGACAATACATCGTCTATTCAGTCGGGTTGCTCTTCAAGCCGCATATTTATACGGAGAAACCGATACTATCGGTTTGAATCATGTGGCTAAATCGAAGAGCTACGTATCCTTAATCCTTAACTGCTACGACGAGGGAAGTGAAGGCTTTGATATGCAGACCGAAAAGTATGGGATCAGAGTGAGTTAGTATGTAGAAACAGAAAGTCAAGCGAACCGCATTTAGACTATTGTAAATTAGATGTGCTTCGTCTTTATGAGAGCAACATTGAAAGTTGTCACCATATTACACACGTATGAACTAGTATAGTTACTTGCCTCTTGGACCTTCAATATGTTCCGATAAAAGAAAGTTGAGCCTATTTTCTTCAAATTATTCTGCAATAACAATATTCTAATTGGGTTTTTTGCTCTTTTCCATGTACTATTAACTAATTTCAGCAACGTATAAGAAATTGTTTGGACCTGAATATACATCGGAAAGAGTCCTGAACACAATTACTCAAATTCTTTTAGTTGATTACTGAAAAACTTTCCAACTGGACAACAACTACTGTCATTGAACAATATCTAACAATCTGTAACAATTAGAATATAACGACTTTCCGTGAAAAATCAAATTATATATGTTGCACGAGTCATTCAGGGGAGAAATTTATGCACACCAGGAAAGGAAGAAAAAAAAAAAAAGACCCAGACTGCTACAAGCACTATTACTTTTTGGATGATGCACTGTATCTCCCGAAGCGTATTAATGGTGTATAACTACAATAGAATGCATTATAGAATATTGTATTTTGAAATGGAGACAGTAGGCCTTGTATAATAGCAGGGTAAAAATATAGGAAAGGAATTCTTAGTCTGAATAATTTACATGTAAGAACAGTGCCTCCATTTTGGGAAGGGGAAATTCAAACCAAGAATAATTTAACATCAGACGTTTCACCTATAACTACTCCTCTTCTTTTCCTCCCGCATTATAGATAACAATAACAGGTCTAGAAAGTTACGAGAGGATGAATGCCGAGCAACAAAGGCCTAATTATGGTCAACAACCTCAGATGAGACCCTATCCTACTCAACAGCAACGAATAGGTGGAAACACACCGAACATTCGACCTGTTCAAGTAGTGAATGGTGCAGGTAAAGTTTAATTTTTGACATCTGCTTATTTTGACCATTTGATTAATTTCATTGCTGAACGCGACGAACAGCTCCCGTGCGTCCTATTATGCAAAATCAACCTATTCGTCCAATGGGCCCTCCAGTAGCTCGTCCACCAGTGAGATCGAATTTAAATGCCCCTATAGGAACTACAATGTCATTACCACAAACTACACCTAGCGGAAAGCCGCCATTAAGACCTGGCTTCCCACCAGTTAATGCTCCTATGAGACCTGCTAATCAGGCTATGTCACCCAACATTAGGCCAGTTGGCTTTGCTTCACCATCTCCAGGTTTACAACAAGCTAATTTGGTGTCTTCTATGCAAAACATGCACATTCAACAGCCAGCATCTCACCAACAACAACACCAACGGCCAGAAATCTCATCACCAGCAATGCCCGCAGCTTCGCCTTTACAAACGGTAAGTTATATCAATTTAAGTTAGAAAGGCGGCAATCGGTGTGCTCGTACAATCTTGAAGAAAATTTATCTCATTGTTTAATTGTATATAGCAACAACCATTATCGCCTCAACCGCCTCAACCACAGCTTCACCATTCAAGTAAGCCAAGACGTGTATATGTAAACCCTGAAATCGGTAATTATCAACAGCCAACATTACAATCTCAACAACCGCAACCACAGCAACCACAGGGCCCATGGCCAAATAGCCTTCAAAATCATCAACAACCCTTCAATCAACCTCAGCAACAATTCTCACCAGCGGCAGCACCTATAACCCCTTCTCCTACCTCCACTGGTAAATCCACTCCTCGTCACCATCATTCTGCAGCCGCCGGTATTGGTTATACCAACGCTCCTTATGCACATACCGGTCAACAATTACCTCCCGAACTTCGTCCTCCTACTCAACCACGCCCTCGTATTGATCCTGATCAAATGCCTGCTCCGGTTCAAGTGCGTGAACAAGATCAGGAACTTTTCGCCAACAAATTTTTCGGCACGCTAGAAAGAAGTGAACGTGTACCATTTGCCACTACTGATTTTATTGGTTTAGATCAAGGCAATAGCAATCCACGCTTCATGCGTTCCACATTGGATCGTATACCCGCAACCAAAGAGCTAGCTGACCGTTCCAAATTACCTATGGGATTGATTGTACAACCGCTTGCCAAACAACGCTCAGATGAAGTGGCTATTCAGGTAGTAAATCATGGAGAAGAGGGACCTGTGCGTTGCAGTCGTTGTCGTGCCTATATCAACCCTTGCTGTGTCTTTACACATGGCGGTTCTAAATTTGAATGTAATATTTGTTTCCATTCGAATGAAGTGCCCAGTTGGTATTTTGCCAATGTAGATATGTCAGGTAGAAGAGTGGATGCGAATGAGAGACCCGAGCTGCGTTACGGATCTGTGGAGTTCGAGGTTACCAAGGATTATTTTGCAGAAAATAGACTGCCTGCTCCATTAAGTTACGTTTTTGCGATTGATGTATCGGTACAAGCAATTCAAAGTGGAATGCTCCCTTCAGTATGTGAGGGCCTGAAAAATGCCATTTATGATACGGAAGGCAATCCTAAATTGAAAAACCGCATTGGTATTATTACATATAACAGAGATGTTCATTTTTACAACCTTGCTGTGAGTTAGAATTCTATCTTAATGTTATAAGAAAATACGACGATTTTCAACTGACTTGTTTTCTTTATTATGATAGCCTGATTTGAGTACTGCACAGATGCTAGTTGTATCCGATATCAACGATATGTTTTTGCCCCTTCAACACGGCTTTTTAGCAGATCTATCTGAGTCCAAGCACGTCATTTTAGAATTATTGAACAATCTGCCTCACATGTTTAAAGATACCACTCGACCTGAATCTGTATATACATCTGCTATCCGTGGTGGTTTGGAAGCCTTGAAAAACACAGGCGGTCAACTTTTTGTCTTCCAAACCTGTCTTCCTAATTTTGGTGGTGATATGTTGAAATCTCGTGACGATAAAGCTTTATACGGTACTGATAAGGAAAAGACTCTTCTCATTTCTCAGAATGACAAGTATAAGGAACTCGCCGACGTTTGTGTCAAGTCAGGCGTCTGTGTTAATACATGGGGTTTCCCTCATCAATACATGGACGTGGCTACGCTGGATGTACTGTGTCGTTTGACAGGCGGTGATTTCCGTTATTTCCCCAATTTCACCCTTGCTGACAAATACCGCATCATTCACCAACTCAATCACGATTTGCATCGCGAAACAGGTTTTGATGGTATTTTACGTATCCGTTGTTCTGACGGATTACAAGTCATGGATCATTATGGTAATTGTCATATGAGTGTTTATACCGAATGCGATTTGGCTGGCGTGGATGAAGATAAAGCAATTGCTGCGGTCTTGAAGCATGATGGTAAACTGGATGCGAACCGTGGCGTATCATTCCAATGTGCCCTTTTGTATACGACTAGAGAAGGACAGCGTCGTGTCCGTGTTCATAATTTGCATTTATCTGCTACATCTCAGATTGCAGATGTTTTCAGATATGGTGATGTGGATACGACCATCAGTGTGATGCTGAGAAAGACGATATTTGAATTGCATCACAAGAATAGAAAAGATTTACATCGATCACTGACAGACGCATGTGTAGATATTTTAACAGCCTACAGAATTAATTGCGCAGCGGCGACATCACCGGGACAGCTTATTTTACCAGAAGCATTTAAATTATTACCTGTTTATGTGCATGGTGCCATTCGATCTTCTGTATTGAGAGGAGGTAAGACAGGAAACAAGTATAAGACTATGTTGTTAATGTTTCCTTAAACAGAATCACTTACCTAATTGGTATTATTAATGTTTCAGTGGGACCAGATATGAACATTGATGCCAGAGCAGCTGGTATGAGTATGTTCAATACATTAAGTGTGGCAGAGCTGGTATGGACGCTATACCCTCGTTTATATCCTCTTACCGGACTCAGTTTAACAGAAAATACAGCTGATCTTCGAGGAGAAAGGAAGCTGCCCAATATGATCCGCTGTTCGTATGATAGGTTAGACAGCAAGGGTTGTTATTTACTAGACACCGGTTCAGAATTGTATTTGTGGATGGGTAAATCAGTATCCAGTGAGTTTATTGAGAACTTGTTTAATGTGAAGACGTTGGACGAGATAGATCCCAATATGATCACTTTACCAGCACATTCTACTATCTTGTCAGAAGAAGTACACGGTATCATGACGCAAATACAAGCTTCCCGCTCAAAATACTTGGCCTTACGTGTAGTTCGACAAGAGAAGGATGCTTCCGAATTCCTATTCGCTACATGGATGTCAGAAGACAGAAATGCTGAAGTACAGACTTATGTTGATTACATGTGTGTACTACACCGTAAAATTCAAGAAGAAATGAAAAAGCATAATAATTAAAGTTTAAGCTCTTCCATATTTCATACATTTCTTTCATTTATTCATTTCATCATAAAAGCCAAATCATTTTGTACTCAATAAAGCAACATATGGCTATGTACTGTATTTACAGAGGTATTCGCTAAATGATCATTTCACTGCTTTTGGTGCTGTTGCTGTTGATTTTTGCCAAGAATTTCTGCCGCTGCAGAGGTAAAGCTTACAGGCTTATTTCTGTATTGTTGAAATGCATGCTGGGCAGCATAACAGTTTTTATCGTAAGTTGTAGTATTTGCCAATTGGGCTTTACGGACGAACTCTGGTGTTTCCATTATAGAGTTAAAGCCAAAAAGGGTATCTTGATTAACAGCAGTTACAGCAGGCGCATCTCCCCAGCCATCTTCCTCTTCGTTATTCCCTTCCGATTGTTTTTGAATATCCCATTTATTGTCGTTATCAACTTGAGTACTATTAACATTGGTTGAGTTATTGGGAAAATGATTTCGCTGTTGCTGTTGTTGTTGTAATGATCCTAGATTATTATTGTTCAAGGAATTTGTAGCAAATATAGATGGCATAGTTGAAGTGGGTGTAATATGTGTGGTATCTAACTGTTGAGTCAATTTTTCCTCACTTGTTGAAATGGAGAAACTACTCAATCGGCTTGTGAAGTCGGCATCGTCATCCATATTGTACTTATAATTATATCACAAACGTGGTAAAAAAGATTTACAATTGGTCAAATTGTCATCGATCAAGAAAGGTTGGAGAATTTGAATTAAGATCAAAAAGAAAAGGTGATATTTTCAACGCATGAAAGACAGTGTTCGGGGATTTTTAAGGCACAAGCAACAGCTGAATTGAATTGCGCAAAAGCGTATTGCTTCTTCTACCACCTATAATAATCCCAATCGTTACCCAACATGAGGCTTAAGATCTTGGTGGCGCTTTTCTTATTCTTTATTGTATTGGGAGTATTAGGATTTACACCAATTCAATTATACAACGTAAATGACAAGATTCTTCATTTTGTCATGTTTTTCATCTTAGCTACCTTTTTATACTTCTTATGGAACCTTTCAATAAAACGGAATATTTTATTGGCGACTGGTGTATTCCTTATATTAGCTATTGGGAGTGAGTTTTTACAAGGCTTACTACCGGTAAAGAATAGCCGTAAAAACGATATAGGACAGGAAAGAGAAGAATTTAGAACTTACACATATAACCTATACTAGTATCGCACTTTTGACGCACAGGATATAATGGCTAATCTACTAGGAGGAGCAGCGGGTATCGGAATTTCTTCGTTGACAGAGTTTCTGATTCAACGGAGAAGAGAGAATAAAAGAAGGTTTGGCGGTAGACGAGAAGCTGAATATCAAAGTGCGCTAATGGACGACTTCAGTGATATAGAAGAAGACGAAAACGATAGTGATATAGAGGCATTTGGAAGGGGCAATACAATCAAAATGAGCACAACTCAAACATGATATATATTAATAGCTTTATTATTCAATGTTAGCAGGAAGAAACTAGTATATACTTTTTGTTTTTGTTTTTGATTTGCTTTAAAACACAATATGAGCAGCAACAATGCGTTGTAATTCCTGCAAAAAAAGAGAATCATCAGTAATACGAACGCAAGTGTAAGATGACAGCATTCAAACACTTACCTCATCATCAAGTGATACGTGTTGCTTTTGTTGGGATTGTGGTTGTTGTGAATTAGTTTCCATGCCCATCTGTTGCGGTTGTTGTTGTGACAATGGTGTGGTTGGAGCTTCGGACTTGGAAGCCAAAATTCGTTTCGCCAAGGCATCAGGAGATTCTTTTTGCTGTACGCTACCGTTACTATTCGTATTACTTGTCTTATTTGTAGCACTAATATCCGTTTCCTCATGCTGTTGTTGTAATAAAGAAGGGGTTAAAGGAGGAGAAATAGGTGTATTTGTTTCCTGTTGTTGCTCATCTTGCCGTTGCTGCTGTTGTTGTAACTGCTGTTGTAACTGCTGTTGATGTGCTTCAGAAGGTGCAGAAGCGAGTAATAATGATTTAGCAGCACTTGCTTTATCTCTAACAGTACATTTCTGCTCTGGTTGTTGTTGTTGCTGTTGTTGCTGATGGACAGAGAAGGAGCTTGGAGGTCTATTGCAAGGGTGAAAATCGTATCCGTTATCCTCTTCCCAATTACTCTGCTCTTTCGAAGTCAAGAAGTCAACACCATGAGCTACCAGTAAATATAACTCATCATATTCATTTGCATTCGAAGAGCCACGTTTACTTCTTGCAGTGACAGCAGCAGTTGTGTCAGTAGCCACAGTAGATGCAAGGGATTGAGAGGAAGAATCCAGGGCTGCAGCACCAGGACTATTTGTAGTAATAGAAGTAGTGGATATTATAGTCGAAGCGGACTGATTATTGTTATTTCTAAGGGGATTTTTAGCAGGAGTTACAGGTGGTAAGGCCTTTGTCACAATGGAAGAGTTGACTGCAGTATTAGATGAGCTTATGACTGAGGGCGATTTGCTAGGTGGAATAGGCGCTTGACTTTCTTCTACGTTACTATCCAATACCTGTTGCTGTTGGCTACTCGCCCAAATGGTATAATCCGAATTAGCGGTATTATCTTTGACTACAAGTGCATTATTCGTAGTTATACTGGAATCGTTAGTCGGTAAGGGCGTAAATGGTTCATTACTTGTAGCAGAATTCGTCTCATTGCTCGTTCCGACGATTTCGTCCATGTCATCATCATCATTTTCCACGCCTTCCAAACTTTTACTTCTTGCTTGAGCAATTTCTTCTGAGGTTACCGAGGATGTGGTAGTAGTTGCAGAGCTCATAGAAGATACAGTAGACAATCTGTTTCCATTCGCTGAGTTAACTGCTACAGCTGCTGCAATAGCTGCCGCCGAATGATCAGTGTGAGTACTGTTACTACTATTACTAATAGCGTTGGCGGCAATCTCACTAGGTCTACGAGACATGATATGAGAAGCAGCAGGCATTGTGCTTAATGTTGTGAGGTGACTAAAACTTGCTTGACGTGTTTTATTATCATGGGGTATATTAATAGTGGGCGGTAAGGGTGAAGAAGGTGCGGATACAAATGCCATATCCGAGGGAGGGGACAAAGAAGACGCAGAGTGCAGTTGTTGCTGTTGACGAGCAGTTGTCATCAACGTTGGAAGATGTTGATGATTACTGTTTGTCTTATTGGAAGAGGAGCCCCAGCCTACAAATCTTTTTAATTGTTGCTTAAAACTCTCCTTTTTTTTATTTTCATTATCATTGCTGATGTGTCGCATAAGGGTCGATGAATTGCTTACAGAAGCTATGATATCCAAGTCTGATGGTGAAGTAGGTGGGTGATGATAATAGTTAGCTGTGTCTTCAATTGAAGAAGTTATGGTGATGGATGAAGATTGCGCAGAAGAAGTTCTTCGAGTAAAACCAAAAGTAGAATTTTTTGTTGTTGTTGTTGTTGTTCCTGCTGGTTGAGAAGAAGGAGAAAAAGATGTGAAAGAAGAAGAGGAAGAAGAAGACGGCTGTTGTTGATGCTGCAGTAGCTGATTTACTAGAGATGATTTGCGTTCCTGAGTAACCATTAAATGATTTACTGCTGCTTGTGCTGCAGAAGATGTCGAAGAAGAACCGGATGGCCTCCTGTTATTATTAGCTGTACTATTTTCCTCCGTTTGCAATAAAAGTGAACGTGCTGAAGAAGAAGCTGCTTCTTGCAACAAAATATCACTCATTGCACTAGGACGGCGTTCGCCCATTCGAGGAGTTGCATCCATTAAAATATCAAGGATGCTTGGTCTTCGACTGCCTTCTTCTGCCATCATTGAAGTCGTAGAACCATTGCTTTTTGATGAATTTTTTTGTTTTTGTTGCTGCTGATGATGAAGTTGCTGGTAATAAACAGAACCAGCTTTGCGCAAGACAAATAGTAAATCACTAGTTATTGGACCTGTCTGGTTAGGGGATGAATAGGATTTTTGCCGATGAAGCACATTTGACATAAGCTCATAAGGGTTTAGGTTGATCTCTATTTTTGTAAGTTATATTTAGTAAATATACTATATATAACAAAAATAAAACCAAAAAACAACCAACACTCTCCTGATATACGCACACAACCACCTCCTTACCGCTCCCACCTCCCTCAAATATTCTTTTCTTTACCTTGTCCTCCGCCAGTATTACTCCGTACTGACATTCTATATTTTGCAAGTTGCCTTGAAGCTTTTAAATGTTCTTTCGTATCAGGATAATAATCTTCTGCTTCGGCATCAGGAACATGAAACTTCTCCAAAGCAAGGTTGATCACCACTCCTATAGGATACTCTTCACGCACAGATATAATTTTGTCTATACGATCAATTTCAGATCTTGTTGACGATGACACGCTATTACTTTGTTGCTGCTTTTGTTGTTTTCTCGTACTACTGCTGTTGTTCTTCTTCTTCTTTTTCTTTTTATCAGAATTGTACATGGAAGTGATCATTGGATTTTGTATATAGGCTGCAGCTTCTTCTGACATGGTGTAAGTAGACGTGACAGTATTATCATCTGGGTAGAGAGATACTTTGATATAGAGCAGGCCTTCTCGTTCGTGGGCACGTTTAATTCGACGATGTAGATAGAAGCGGATGACAGAGTCTTCATCAAATGAAGTCTGCTCATAATTGCTAAAACTGCTTGATCTTGGCCGTCCTTTATTGCGTGATTGAACAGAAGATAAGGATTGCTGAGATATGCGACGAATATGAGTAGTGGAAGGCATTGGTGTCGTTAAAGAATCGGTTAATGTTTTGAAGATGGATAAAGGTTTATCTTGAGCGGCTAGAATATATTCGTCTAACGAAAATTTACGTTTAAAAGCGATTTTCCGGCATAGACGCAATAATTGTCATAGCTCTTTTGTTTTTGTTTATCTTTTATATTACCTCCATCCATGCCTTGTACAGCTATGTAGAATTCAATGGTTGTGTCTTCTGTATCTTCCTCATTCATTACACCAAATTTATTAGCTGCAATCTCCAGTAATTCTTCAGCAGTGGTTGACATGGCAATTGTAAACGTATGAAACAAAGGCCCCTGGCCAATATTACCCGCAAATACTCTTAAATCCATCCTTTTGTTTTCGTCGTCTGCTGTTGCTGCAGATAAAGAGGAAGCGGAAGTTGACTTTCTTATGGGTTGCTGCTGCTGTTGATGATGATCATAAGCATTCTCAGTAGAGGACTCCCACTGTCCATGATGAGCATCATTTGGTAATGAAGACGTTTGTTGATAGTACTGTTGTGGTTGTAGTCCGTCTGAGACGACAACCTCTTCCTCTTCTTCTACAGTATCCATCATCATCTCATGATAATCATATTGCTGGTAGTGTTGCTGTTGATATGGGCTGTTGTTGTTGTAGGATGCATTAGTAGTACGTTGTTGTTGCTGTAGATATATTTCCTCTTCCATTGTTGACGTAGAATCATCTCTATTCTCTTGTTGCTGACTTTGATGCACTGCATCTATTTCTTCCTCGTCTTTGTTATAATGATTGTCGTCATATACCTCTTCATCCTCATCTTCTGCATCTTCGTCAATTTCGGATTCCACTTCGTAAGTAAATATTTTCGATTCATCACTTACAGTGACTCTACGTGTCATAGTTGAAGGATTATGAGAAACAGGAGTGACATGTGCAGCCGTATCATGAATTGAGGGTGATGTAATTTCAACATTTCGATGTTTATTTAATCGAGCCAACCGTTCATAAGGTGTCTATGATGAACCGTCCAATGAAAAGAGTGAGCCAAGGGTTCTATACAGAAACTATGGCGACACTGTGGATGAGCTTACCTCGATATTTTCGGCAGGAATATAACCTACTTCTCGTGTTTTCAAAACTTCTACTAACCACCAATATATATTGGTATCTTCCATTAAAATCAAAGCATCTCCTTTGACAACAGATGCTTGTCCGTCTACAGTAGCTACAAAAGTATGTAGAGCATAGACGAGATCAAAATTGATATTTTCATCAGGGATACTAGGCGAAGAAGACATGGATGAGGCGTCTTCTATCAATAAATCGTCATCTTCACTATCTTCGTCTTCTGCTGTTGCCATGAAGCCATCATCCTGCGGATAATTATCGCTATGATTGCTGTTGACGCTTTCTTCTTCGTTAATTTCTTTTAGTTTCTCTGAATAATAAGCCATAATAGTAAAGCTTCAAAAGATGTGAGTGTATGTCAACACAATATAAAAAATTAAAGTAGGGGGAGCGCTATTATATGATATCCAGGGGAGAGAGGACAGATAAATATAGATTTGAAGAGTACTTTTTCTTTAATTTTTTTTTTTTTTTCTTGTTATGTATAAGATGAAGTGGTGGGCTATGTAGGAAAAAGTGAATAATTTAAGTAAATGTCGGAACGTATCCAAAATAACAAAAGAAAGAGGAAAGAGAGCAGAATGCAAGAGAAAGGAAGAAACACAAACAAAGATTGGAAGCTTTACAGTAAGAAATAAAAAAAAAAAAAAAAAACCCAATAAGGGCCATTCATATGTTTATATCTCCCTTCAGTAATTTCAACATTAAGGGGCCATATATGTACGCAAAAAAAGAAGAACAACAAGAAGAATACGCGTATTAAAGGGAAAGGGGAAACATCGATATAAAACAGTTGCACATCATTACCCAAAAATTAGAAAAATTGCTCTTGCTTTTCATTTTGAAAAATTCAAGGAGAAGCTGAAGCAAGGCGCGCGGGGGACAGGGAACAACGTTTTCAACAGTTTTTATGTACACTTTACAGTGCTTCCAAACAATCAATATCACAGCCAATCAAAAATCAAGCTTCGTAATTTTCAGGATGATCAAGCACATTGAACACATTAGGCGCGCATTTTAGTAAATACGATTTTGCTGCTCGTACACACTTTAAAATGTTATCCGTATTTGTCATGTATCATTGTCAAGTATAACAGTGAAAACTCGTACGAAAAATCGGCAGACATCATCTACACTGGACCTTTTCAGCCTTTGAGAAATTGTGCAGAAACGCACGTTTGAATTCAAAAGGACTGGTTGAACGGACGGCATTCTCCAGCATAGACTTTCTTTAGGAATACCTCAAAATCGTCTTATAAGTGTATTTTTACAACCATTGAAAGCTTATGTTTGAGCCGTGTATTGGCATTGCAATCTACCACCAATTAAGACGGATGTCGGTTGATTAACAACATTTGTTTGAGTGGGAACAGGTTAGGTCAATAGCCTCGATACAAAGATAGTCGTGTGCATTCGGTGTATTATTTAGAACTCACGGGAAGTGTGAGATACTTTTGTCGAGCACAAATAATCAGGACCAAAAGACTCGCGTTACAAATGTAAATGTTCCCAAGTGAAATGTGCCATTTGGATTTGACATTACCCTTTGACGTTCATTTGAGTTTGTGGCAAACAATGCCTGTTAAAAGCACTGTGTAAACATGAAACTCCTTATTTTTGATTCCAGATTAATAAACCATGCATGTATGCGTATGTGTAATCAGGGTATATTGTAAAAAAGTACACTATCATAGGATAATACAACATAATATAGTATAGTATAACATAACATATCGTATCGTATCGTTGGACATTTTGATACAGAGATAGTCCTAGTACCTATTTTATTATTTTGGAGATGCAGCAGTACCAGCGTTTGGTATATTTGAAGTGGCTCCATAGCTTCTACTTAGCAGCCTCGACAGCCTTCTTTCAGGGTGATGATAGTATGTTCGAGTATTATCCTGTTCTTCTTCATGACCTTCATCCGAAATAGGATAACCCAAACTTTTTCTCTTACTATTCACCTTGGTATTATCATGTACGGTATTGGGTTTAACGGATTGTTGACTTAACAGAGGCTGGTTTTCGTTCGAATCTAACGCTGTAGATAATAGTAGGATAAGGTAAACATTGAATGAGCAAGTATATGCATTTGACTCAAATACTACTTACCCTCTCTTTGATGTTGTTGCTGCTGCAGTTGTTGTTGAGCTAATTGCCGCCTTTTATAGAAAGGAGGAGAAGCCGCTGAACCTGAAGAGGACGAAGTAAAAGAGGCAGCAGAAGAGCCGTGACTACGACTCATGTCTCTTCCATTTATATCCAAATGATGCTGATGATGCTTATGGTAACCTGCTTTCACAGGTAACCAGAGCTGAGGCAAAACACCTAAAAGGGCAGGATGCCCATATTGCTTCATGCCGGTATTTAGAATACCGGTCAAAATAGTCATGGGAGGTTCTCTAAAGTCTGTATGTCGTCTAGGCTCGGCTACATAATCATCCTCATCTAAAACCGTACGTCGTCGTCGTTGTCGTTGCTGTTGTTGTTGTTGTTGCTGTTGTTGTTGTTGTTCATTTTCAATCACTGTAGTGCAATCGGCTATGACTCGATCTGTTGCAGATGCAGTTGGCTTTGTACTTTCTTCTTGTTCTTCTACATTTGCTTCTTTAATGTCAAGAATGGATTGTCGCAGCTGTTCTTTCTTTGCATTTATTAATGGATGAAGATTACCATTAGCAGCGTCGTCATATACAACAGTCGAAGGACTACTACTTCTTCCATCTTTTACTGCTTCTTCTCTTTCCTCTTCCTCTTCCTCCTCCTCCTCCTCCTCGTCATCGTCCTCCTTCAGATGTTCTCTTTCTTGCGGTGGTGGTGGTGGTGGTGATGATGGGTCTTGCAAAATGGCTTGATTCAAAGAGGGTTGTGACGCGACAGTGGTCATAGGACCTAATTTTTCCGATAACAATTTGAGAGGTAGAAATTGGGTGCTTCTTTGATAAGCTTTATCCATCATGAACTTGTAGGCCACCGTTAGTACGATAAGCGGGACGCACAGAGCGGACAAAGGATAAGATTTGTTCAAGATGAACAAACCAGCGGATGTTAATTCAAAGATCAATAAAGCAATGATGATACGCGAAAATACCAATGGCCACATTCTGCCTGCCACTTCGTAAGAATGAAAATAAACTAAATGTATGGAAGGGACTGTTCATTGAATACAAGCTTCTTGGTTGATCTTACACAGGATGATGGAGCCCACTTACCGTACAGTAATTGGTATTTACAAACCAAATAAGACATGGCGAAATAGATCACCCCAAAGACAAGGATCAAAGGGGAGATGGTCGAGTAGACAAGAATAACGACAAACATAAAGACAGGCACAGGATATCCCCAACCAAAATTATACAAACGAGGTGCAAACACTTCTGCATAATCTCGAGGCGTTTTGCACAGGAACCAACGATAAAATTGCTGGACAATAATAGGACCTATTTGTAGTAACTGAATAGGACATAACATGATGCCTTGCAGCACTGTATAATTGATGTAAAATGGCGCGACTTCAGGGAGTTTGGAGGCGAAAATGTTGGCGATTTTTGTGGGATCTTCAAAGATATCCTTTTGCGATTTGAACAATGTGCTTGCCACAGTGATGAAGAATAATACGTTGGCAAAGAGAAAAAAAAACTGCTTGGCAAAGCATGATTCTTCAGCTTCACTTCTCGTTGTGAAGCCTTCAATGACACTCAAACCTATTCCGCGCATAGAAATTGTTTTAATGATGGTGTACAGTTGAGAAAAAAACAAACAAAGTCAGTACTTTACTGTTGAATACCATGGGCAGAATAGAAAAAAAGATCACAACACCCAACGTTGGAATAAAACCAGCGACAATTTGCTTCAAAATCTTGTTTTTCTCTGCCAAATCCAGCAACCAGGGAAAGTAGGCTTTCAATGATTTTTGCGAAGTGAGGGCTGACAAAAAGCTACAAGGAATAGACCAAGAAAAGACAAGGAAGAGTAAAATAAACAGAACCAGTGCTCTGCGAATCACTCTCTCTCTTCCGTGCATCGATATATTTTCCCACAAGACGTCTCTGGGCTCGGGAGCCAATTGTGCACGTAAACGAAAGGGTGTGGAATCAATGAGAACCTGAGAAGCAATATACTAGCAAGAACAGGAAAAACAGGTTTAACGTAGATCTCTACAGACAATTGTAGATAGTGTCTGTCTACTTACGGCACTCATGGTTTCTTCAAAAGTAACAAAGCCTACGCTTGTGGGTGTATAATAGCCCCTCTTACGACCATCAAGGACGATGGTATCGGCTCGTTTGAACCTTTGTGTATAATAATCAATCGCATCGATCTTGGGTCCACTGCAGAGATATCCTTGTCGAATCATCGGCCGTTGTCGAGACTGTTGATGGGTCGGTAACAGGTGTTGTGAAGAAGCTGACGAAGAGGAATGCATTGAAGCTGTATCGTGTAATAGCATGGCTTGATGCGGATTGTCTTCTGTAGCGGATAGAAAATCGTCTGGATCGTAATGGGGATCGTCACAAGGATTGCCCAAATAGTTTGTATAAGCCGTCTCTAACGATCGTAAATACTGTGCTCTCTCTTTAATGTATTCCAATAAACGACCGACATGACGAATGGTATGAACCGATTCCACGACGCCAATGCCCAACTTTTCGAAATATTCAGCTAGTTTTCGATCGTGTCGCAATGGAGGTGGAATACCTGTGACGAGCAGTGTCCGGGCAGAGACTGTCTTTGCTTTCCTTAACAGGAATTCGCGTCGAATGCGCACATAATCTCGATAATTCAAAAAGGTAAAGTAGAAGGTAGCAAATACGAACAGGTAGGTGAAGAACAAGTAGACCCACAAAAACGAATTGGAATAGGACAGGTAACTACTATTGCTGCTGTTATCATTAGTCGTCGTAGAGAGGCTGGCAAAAAAGTGTTCGTGTTGGAGTGCGAACTGACGAAGGACTCCTAGCTGTTGTTGTGTACCGTTGCTTGACGGTGGTGGCAGAGAAGGGGTTTCAGGATAAGTTCCGTTGGCAATATCACCGCCCATCTTACTGATAGGATATAATACAACGGTACCAAAAAAACCACAAAAACTAAACAGCTTGACACTCATCAATAAAAATTGCAACATCTAATCGTTTATACTGCACAGATGAGTAAAGTTGCATCAAGGATCAATAAAGCTTTGTGAAAGGGGGGGGGGAGGGGTTTATCTACTTTACCACAACCGCGTCAAGTCCTACTTTTTCCATCACTACCGAATTGGGTGTTTTCAGAAGGGGTATAATCCAACCAAAGAAGGATGTAGGTAATCGGTTGGGTGCATGTCTATTTGAAATGAAAAAGGCAGAGGTTAAGAGCTTTGGATGTTTCGCTTTGGTTGTGGGAGACCTTACTTTCTCATCCTTAACCGAGGCGAGTAAATAGCACTCCATCTGTCAAATATCAAATGATGCTCAGTTATCTGTCTTAAGGGCAAAAATTATAAAACGAACAGGCTCTGATTTGCTTTGCTTTTTTTACCTCACACGCAAGAAACAGAAGAGAAGAAAACATAACAATCCTACACTTGTACATAAAATAAGCTGTGTTTGAAAACCTGTTGGTGATTTTGAGGTTTGTGCTGGTGAACCAGGTAAAGGTTCCTCCTCTTCGCATAGGAATTTAAAGATCCAAAAGCATGGAAAAGGGGCATTGCTTTGGAGAGTCAATCTGTTGTTGTTGTTGTTGTTGCTGTTGTTGTTGTTGCTGCTGCTAGAAAACCCTAGCTCTTCCATAGCAAACACGTTGATGCTCTTGTTATGTTCAAACGATAGGTCGTTGCGTATTAGAAAAAGTATCGCAGCTCCTTTTTAGCCGTTTTTCGTTGTTTTATTCAAGAGGAAGAAAAAGGAGAGAGAATGCTGCGTATATCTTTCATGTCGTTTTTTTATTTTATTTTTTTTTTTTTTTGTTTTTATGCGTTTGCGTTACTTGTCTGAGATTCAAAGAGCGAAACAAGAATGGTGTAACGATTTAAACGGAAGTTACGTCGTTTTGGAAAAACTTTATGTTGTTTGTGTTTTTTAATCATTGATCTGAAAACTGCTTTTATGTTAGTGATCGGTTTTTTGTTACTCTAGTATAGACAACCAGTGAATAAGTTAAACTAAATAGGGACAAGTTGACTACGTGACTGTGATGACATGATGAGGTATAGTTACTGAAGTATTCGATTTGCACGTGAAAAGCCCGATGAACAAGAAAAGTAACAAACAACACGGCTGGTTTAGCATAGAACAAGTCTTGTCAGAGAATGGATCGAGTCATGCACTTGTGTAAGAAATAGGGATAACCATTCTATGTGGTTTTGCTTGAAGCACAAAAGATACATGTTGCAATCCGTCTATGCGCTCTTGTGTTTATTTAAACTGATTTCATCTATTCAAATAGCTCATCATTGCTTTTTCACAAGGATCTCAAGCTTTTACTGAACAATTTGGGTTGTTGATAGCTCATTGTCAGTAATAACTCGTCACTTGTGGAGGATCTAGAATGTTACTCTTTGAAGATGGTACGACACCGAACGTCCATTTTTCCATTCAAGCTGAGAAAGAAGTCTAAATGAATTAAAGCATTTTGTATTTTCTTCTAGTTTTTTCTTTTACTTGATCAAATATCAAAACAAAAGAAGGGAATGGCCGACACTTTGAAAGACATTCCAGAGTTTTTTGAGACTGAGCTTGGCGAATCCATCATTGCCCGTACCAATGCATTAGGTAACGGGATCTTACTTTTTTTTCTATTCGAATGAATTCGTTGCTATTTTTACCCCGCTGAATAAAACAGAAACCCTAACGATTTTGTCTCAGGCACATTTCGTGAATTGGGCCCGCCGGATCTCTGTCACATTATAAAAGCCAATGCCAAACCTGGAGTGAAAGAAGTACTGTAAAAAGAGCAAAAGAATCAGTTTGTTTTGTGGATGGGAAGAGGGAAGGAAGCATTAGAAGAGCTAACAGGATTATAGATTGGCAGTTATCATTATATCTCCGGCGTGGATGCTTCTTCGTCGGCGTCCTTAGCTGTCTATTTAAACTCGCTGACCTATTCCATGGTAAGATGATACGTTCTTTCTGCTATTGCTTGTCAGAATAATCAACAAAGAGGGACATAAGCTGAAGGAGATACGCTTCTCTTTTAGGATGAAACACAAAAATGGTTTACAAAATCAAATGCTTGGCGCATTCGATCCGGCATCTATTGGTAAGCAGAAACTTGTCTATCTTTAGAGAAAGAGAGAGAGAGAGCGAGAGAAAGATGATTCAACTGATGACTATCCATAGCTGCTTCAATGCATTTGCTAAAGTGGATGTTCGAGTGGAAGTAAAGATTCCGGGAGGTGTGGAAAGTTACTATGTCGACGTGCGTGGAGAGAGGTATTTACACCCTTTCTATGACCCCCTTTTAAAACGAAAAACAAGAAAAAGAGAAAGCATCTCTAAGGACTATTTTAAGCTAGACACGAAGCTACGAGTGACATATGGCAGGAAACCTATGTGTCAGCTATTCTAAGAGCTATTCTCTATTCTGACGATACTTACTATCGGTTGGCAGGCTATCGAAAAGTAGATCCCATCAACACTCTCGCAGCAGAGGAAAAGTTTTTGGAAGCAGTGGAAGCCTTATTCTGGAACGGATGGCGACTAGGCAGTCGACCCGAAATTCAGGTGGCTACAGCTGTCCACAATCATTTAACAGACGGTGTGATGAAGTATTTTAGTGATAGCTCTCGATTCTCTCCAGCGATTGACATGTTTCAGAGATTATATACGCAGGATCCTGAAGTAGGAGCGTTGCTTGCCAGAGCTTATCTTGGGCAACATGAGGAAATCAAAGCAGTCAGGGTGTTGCATGATGGATTGAAGCAGTGTCCCATGAGCTATCCATTGCTACATGCACAAATTGACTTTTTGAGGGACAAGGTAAAAGAAAGAGCAAAGGGGTGCGTCCATTGTACATAAAGAGGGAGTCAAGGGTAGTGCTAGAGGGAAACTCACATAGATTGGCTTTTTATTATTTTTGTAACACGGTATGATTAGGGCAAATACGATATAGCATTGACATTGGCAAAATACGCAGTCAACACAACGCCATCTGAATATCTGACCTGGGCTAAATTGACCGAAGGTACGTACATGAAGGCATTTTTGATAAGCAAGAAACAAAAAGCAAACCTGCGGGATTACCAGCATAACTCATGATGGGGTTTTGAATAAAAAAAAAAATCAATAGTTTATATTGATTTGAAGGATTATAAAAATGTGAGTGTAGAATATGGGTTGAGTCTATGTGGGAAATAGGGATGGGTCTTTTTTTACTCATTAGAAATCAACTACAATGATCCATATAGGCTTTATTAACTTTGAACTCTTGCCCAATGTTCACCTACAATGAAAGGGATATGCATCGTATGCCTGCACCCATGAAAACTCATCTGCCTATAAAGCCTGATATCATCCATTCTGGTATACTAGATGAAGACATGTCTCCAGCAGAATCCGAAGTAAGTTCCTTCCGCCCCCCCCCCGCCCTCCCCCTTTACCCCCATGTTTCATTCCCCAAATTATACAGATGATTTGAGGAATGAACCGAATCCCCATGCTTCTTGTATTAGGTGAACTCTACACTTTCGCGACTTCCAGCACCAGCACTACACGGCACATTTGTGAAAGCTTATTCCTTATTGACACGACTCGCAGAGGCCCTCCCTTGGGATGAGCTACTTCGATATCGATCCGAAGTATTTGTGATGGAAGAGGAATATCGTAAACACAAAGCTGCGAAAGACAGTACGAAAGAGGAGCTTGACGAAAAGGTAAAACATAGGACCCTTTCCAGTCGGGAAAAAGAGGCGAGCGAGAGCACCATGTCTTCTCTTGCGGATGCTCATGTCGAACGTCCTGAACAAGCGGCTGAAGAGGCAAGCCAGGATAAAGGTTCAGAGCATCATCATCAACAACAACAACAACAACAACAACAACAAGAACAACAACAAGAACAGTCATCTGAAGTGACGATTATATTTGGCAACAAACGATTATGCGAACGTTGGCTAGATAATTTGTTCATGGTACTCTATGAAGATTTGAGAGTGTATACGTATTGGAGAGCAGAGGTAGCCCATAGTCAAGCGCAGAAGCGGACGTATCGTAAGACAGGCGCGGAATTTGAGCATTTGGGCGATTTAGCATCACGATTATGGCATGAGAAAGAAGCCAAAGAGGCCTATGAAGCATGTTTAGATTGGAAATTCTCCGCTAAAGCATGGATGAAGTTACTTCAAATCTATGCCAAGGAAGGAAACACTCAGAAATCACTCTTAGCAGCTGTGAAACTTACCGTGTATCATGAAAGGTGGTATCACGAAATTGTGGTAAGCACTCGTGAGTGAACGTCATCCAACGACTGAGGAGAGATGTTTCATTCTTTTTAACTTGTTGTTGTTTGATAGTATCCTACAGAGATTGCTCGTAACTTGAATATGCTCATTGAAAAAGCTGGATTATCAAAAATGCAGAATATCTTGATGTCCATGAATCTTCCAAAGCCTGTTCAAAAGTTGATGAGACGTTATTTTGAATACGGTGAATTGTTCAAAGTAGAGGGTTATGAGCTCTAACAAGTTATCCGTAGTGTCTTTTTTTTTTTCACTCTTGTAAATGATATAGCGGGGGACATTCTCATCTTGGGTCATCTGTATGAACGAATCATGACTTCACTAAACCTTTGGACTCTATAATACTTGGGTTTTTTATTTGGTTTTTTTTTTTTTTTTTTTTTTTAATAGAATGAGGAAGCATTCTCTGCTCCTCACCACACAACACCCTCTCCCTTATAGATGATCAATGATGAATGCATTGACCTATAAAACGTTTGCTAAACAGTGAGTTCAATGAGTGCCAAGTTTGTTGAAAAGTATTTTGACTTTTGATGAATAGAGTTGTTTGCTCATCAGTCTGAAAAAACTTTTGTTTGAGTTTTTGATTGGACAAGAAAGTACTGCTTGCCTATCTCTCCACGTTTAAAGTGTAAAGAAGCATTATCTACGCTTTTCTTTTTTTTTTCTCTCTTTCATTATCAAAAAAAAAAAAAGTCAAAGATCGAAACTATGGATCCTGGAAAGAAAGTGCTCGATAATCTAGATAAAGTGCCCAATTTGGTAGACCAAGAACCTAGCATCGTGACACCGCCTCATACAGCTTCTAACGATGTATCTTGGGAGGAATATGCAAAGACGTTGAATGATAAGCGTAACGATGCGATAGAACACACACGAAAAAGTTATGCGATACCAGACGATCATTCTCCTCTCAAACCAGAACACGGTCCCATGGATGATTTTACAATTAGTAACTGGGATGCGAATACAGGATATCAAGATACGAAGCACAAAGAGAAAACCGACTAAATAATGAGTATGATAGTGCATGAGTGAATGAGTGAATGACGTGTTTAACAAATAAACAAAATCAGTACGGTTATCTTACCTTATGCGTATAACAAGTACAACGCTTTAATCCATCAATTCTGATTGGTTCATTTAAAAAAAGCGTAGGACAACTCGTTAGTGAGGGGTGACGTATTACAGAAAGGACAAACTTTTATTGGAAAATTTTTTTTTTATTTCATTCTCGCTCAAAAAAAAAAGGTTTATTGAGAGAAAAGAAAGCCTGATTTTTCTATTTTTCTTCTTTTTTACTTTTTTGTTGTTTACTACCGAAAAACAGCAACTTTTCCGCTTCTGTCTCAACAAAGCGTCTATTCTACTTTTTTTTTGTTTCTCAACCATCAACAAAATATACAGCATACAAAAATGAGTTCTGGTGTTCTTGATATGGCCCTTGACGATGTCATCTCTCAAAATCGCAAGCAACGTCGTCCCAACAATGATCTTCGTCGTAAAGCAGGAAGCTCCAATCGTGCCGGCAAAGGTCGCTCTGGTGCTCGCTCTTCGGTATGTTAATCAACATTCTCTCTCTCTCTCTCTCTCTCTCTCTCTCTCTCTTCATATCATTGTCATTACACATCCTATACACATTCACTCCACAACAATCTGAAGAGGCGTCTCCTTTTTTTTTTTTCTTTGTAAAAAAAAAGGAAATGGGTGCTGTCGGAATAGTTGCCCCAGTTGGAATCAAAAAAGTGTAGCAATAGGATAAAAATAAGTGTGTTTGCTACTTGCTAAATTTGCTAGGGGGTTTACAAACACTTGTTTTATTTCTATTGTTTGCACTTTTTTCACACACACATACACTTATATATGTACCGCATACACAGAGACATCTATATACACACACACACTTACGCACACGTACGCAAAAGAGACATATACGCACACCTGAATTGATGACGACAGCGAAAAGAAAGAAACGTTGAAAGAAAGTAAGAAAGAGAGGGTGGTATTGGTAAAATGGTCGGTTGATATTAGAGTTGGATGATGATGATGCTTTCAATCTCTATGACAAGGATGACAGCAAACAATTTGACTACTTGTTTCTTTTTTGGAGATGGAACGGCTGAAGATATCTGCATTACGAAGAAAAAAAAAAAATCAACTTTGACTGCTTTCCTCTTCTTTTATTCACCTTCTTTTCACTTTCAACAGAAATCAGGTTGTGTTCAAAGGGGAATGTCTTTAATGACGTCTCTTTCTCTTTTTAACCTCACACACAATTTCAAATATTCCCTTTGTTCCCCTTCGCCCTTTTTTTTTTGGTTTTTTTTGGTTTTTTTTTGTTTTTTTTACATGTCAAAATGGGTTTGCTTAGAACAACATTTTCCTAATCAACAAACACTCTCTCTCTTTACTGTATCCTTTTGTTTGCTTCTTCAAAAAAGCCTTACAATGGAGCCAGACCTATGCGCAACAACACACTTTCCAATAGAAACGTCAGACCAGCAACAACCACTCGTTCCAGCAACAACACTTTAACCGTCGCAAATCTGCATTTTAACGTGACTGAAAAGGACCTTTATGTAAGTATACTTTTCTGTCGTTTTTTTTTTTTTTTTTCTTTTTTTTTTTTTTCCAGTGCTGGCCCGGTTTCTAAGCATGGCTATTTTCTTTTATAGGATCTTTTTGGTCAAATTGGTCCTTTGAAACGTGCCTTCCTCCATATAGCCCCCAACGGTAAATCTTCTGGTGTTGCTGATGTCGTGTTTGTTCATGGTAAAGATGCTGAAAGAGCTCGTAATACATACAATAACGTGGAATTAGATGGTATGTGATTCTTTTCTAGTTAAAAAGCTTCACGACAACAGCCAACTCACTGTTTTATATCCTTGCCATTAGGTCGACCCATGCGTATTACATTCGCCAACGTCGTTGCCTCTGCTCCCGTTAGTCTCAACAACAACAACAACAACAACAACACTGGTAGACGTACAAATCTTCGTGGTGGTAATACTCGTGGTCGTGGTGGTCCTCGTAGAAGAGATAACCGTCCCAAGCCCAGTGAAGATCAGTTAGATGCTGATATGGATAGTTACATGAACAATAGTGAAGACACACCTATGAATTAAATTGTAGGCCACTCATAGGAAACCATGGCGTCTTGACTTTTGAATCTCCCTTTTCCCCTCCCCTTTTGAGAGGAATTCTTTTCTTTTTTCCTCTGTCATCCTATCTCGCTTTTTTTTTTTTTTTTTCTTTTACCAAACAAAAATCAAAACAACACATATCAATTTTTTAAAGTATAAATACACGTATATTACTCTTTTTTTCTTCATTTTTCTAGCTTATAATATTTCCTCTATCATTCCATTTTTTTTTTTTAAAAAAAAAAAGAAAAAAAAGAAAATCAACATGTGTCATTAAAGAGGATGTGATTTTGCTTTTGTTTAATCAAGATTGGATGTTAAGCCAGCCTGCCACCGGTAACTGACTGACCTCACTGTCTGCGCTTGAAATGAGGGCATGCATTGTTATCAATCAGCCTTTTTATCATCTGTATTTATATTTTTATAAACCTGTTTCTGTCTACGTGTTCTAATTGACTCTATTTTTTTAAAACCTTTCCCTTTTTTTTTTTTTTTTTTTCCTTTTTCTTTCTGCCTTTCTTTTCCCTTATCTTTTTTTTAATCTTCTGTTTACTTACTGTTTCCATTAAAAGCTCATGCCGGATATTCAAAAACTAGAAAAGATGAAAAATGAGGACGTCAAGAAGGACGATGGCAAAAAGGCCAAAGGTGGAGGCGGTGACAAAAAGAACAGTAAGGAGGTGAAGAAGGACAAGAAAAACGCTGGAGGTAAAAAGGACAAAAAAGATAAAAAACTCATTGAGGAATTCCAAAAGAAGATCTCTCCAGAGTACCTGAACAATGAAAAGTTTAAACCTGTCCCCAATCCGCTCTTCCACCTTTCACCTCTTACTTCACCCACGTCTTCTACCGACAGTATCTCACTTGGCAAATCAGAGAATTCCGTTGAAGCCGGAAATAAGCCGACGCCTGCCCAATTACAAGGCTTTGCAGCTGAGAAATATGTGCCTAGTCCTGGCTATGCTCATTTAGATCCATCAAAATCAGCCAATGCCCATTCAGCCTTTGAACATCTGCAACGGGTGATTGAAGGTACCGCTCATAACGAACGAGAACCAAGGAAAGAAGGGGTTGCAAAGGTCCTGCTGGATGGCAAGGTTCAGCCACCCAAGTTGCAGAAAGCACAGCAGCAAGCACAACCCACAAGCGGGCAACATCCATTGCATCCTTCAAACGGTCAGCCTCCACCTCAAGGCTCCATTCACATGCCTTCAACACCATCACTCCATGGATCAACAGCATCTACCCCACTCAAACACCAGCCAATGCCAAGGACAAGGCCTCACGTACAACAACAAACTCTGAAAGCATCGTCTGAACCACCTAGAAATCAATCTGTTACTATGCCTCATGCTACCTCTAACAAACCTTTCGAAATAGTAATACCACAACAACAACAACAACAACAACAAAAACTTCAAACTCAACAACAGCAACAGATTCATCCTCCACCACAAAAGCATTCAACTCAACAACAACAACAACAACAACAACAACGCCCACGAGATGTATCTGCCAAACAGAAACCATCAGCACGTCCAGATCGCTTAATAGATGGCGCTCCAGTATTGGAGTTTTGTAGAGCGTTATGGAGTTACAATGCACAGGTATTACTATTGACAAACACAATGAGAGAGATGTGCTCATGTCTCATCCTACCCTCTTTCATTCTCTCATTAGATTCCTTCTGAACTCACCTTTAAAGCAAACGATACTTTGGCAATCATCAATAAGCAACCGGATGGCTGGTGGTATGCTGAACTTGTGGATCCTTCGAATACAGTCAAAAAGAGACGCGGTCTTGTTCCAGGCAACTACATGACACCGGTTAAATAGGGCCTCCCATTTCCTCGTCTTTTTTTATACATTACACATATGTTTATCCGATTATTTATAAGTCAGTTCTCGCGCGTTCTTGACTTGATCCATTTCCACATCTTTACTACGCCTTCCTAATGCTTTACTTTTTTGTTTTTACTTTTTTTTTTTTTTTTTTTTTTTTTTGTTAATTGCCCTCATTTTTGTATTTTTGTATTTTTCTACTTTCTTATCGATATACATGCATATATACACACACACACACACACACATACATACATACATACATACATACATACATACATATATACAGCAACTTTTTTTGATACTCTATACACCTGCTTTATACTTTTTTTGGTCATCAAACACTCAGTTAACAAAAAAATGTTCATTGCGCGTTTGTCACAATAAAAAACCAAACACTTTGTGTAAAACATTCAATTTAATGGCCAAATTAGGTCAGTGTGTTACGTCGCGTCCTTTATATGGATTCCGCAACGCCTTCTTGACTTCTCTCTCTCTCTCTCAAAAAAAAAAAAAAAAAGCAAAGGACAGGTACAAGCAGGCTGAAGTAAGCCTTATCGACAGACAATCACTATGTTGTATTGTGCTTTTTTTCATTGTACTGTAAATCCATTTATCCCTATGACTTTCGATTGGTGTGTCGCCTCGGTTGATTCGGACAATCGTATGTGTATTTTTATATTTTTCTTTTTACTTTGTTTCAGATGGTTCCTTACAGGAAAGACCTTTTTGATGTTCATCTAAAGTTCAGGTACGCACACTCCCGCGGTTGGGTTGCAAATGTTCAGAAACAAATGATATAGTTTATTTCAAAAGAGCAGCAAAACAGCAGCTGTCAAGACGCGTCTATGCTTTGGTGCAAAATGCATCATTCCCTTCATTGGATAAATTAATAAAAGTGTTCATAAAGTGAGTCAGTAGTCATCTATTTCATTTCATGTTCTGTAGAAAATGTGGGAAACAAAGAAAATCAATAATAGATGAATATCTATCTCTTGGTATGACATGCAATTTATCACAAAGCGTATCTGAATTGAGGATGTTTATCATAAAGGCCATCCAAGTGAGCTCCCGTCATCATTTCACCATAGTTGATATCGCTCTCATCCACGACGCCATACGCTTCATCTCGTTTCCTATTCTCCCGTGCTAACAGAGACCTCAACAAGGCTGCTGAACAAGCGGCTATGCCTAAAAACACAAGGCATATGGCATGGCCTTTGATATAACGTGGCGCATCTTCAGTACGGTAAATTTGCGTTCCCAACATACTAAAGCATTGCGCAATCATGCTTGTCATAGCAATAGCCACTCCGCGTTTGGTATGGCCCAACTGGTTGTTGGAAACCCAAGAAAGTGTCAACGGAATGATCGGGTAAACACCGCACGCCACCAAAACAGCCCCTGTGTAGCGCAAACCAACATGATCATTTGCCAGCAAAAAGATATAACCCAACATACCAATACCACACACCCCCATGATAGGATAACCACGCTGTAGGGTTCGGTCAGAATTCCATGACACAAGCTGAAAACAAGGGAAATGAAAGCGAGTGATCAGCAGGTGATCCATCGTTGTCTTCTCGGGAACCTTACGGAATGAAATGAAAAACTTACAAATACAAGGCTGCACGCTACGACATAAGGTGGAATGGATAAAAGCTGAGCATGGAGAGAACTAAAACCCATGTCACGGATAATCGTAGGTAAGAACACGGCAAAGCTAGCGAGAGCAACATTCAAACCAATGTAGATAACAACTATGTGTACACACCCCCCCAGTGAATGCAAGTTGAGTGAGCGCTACACTGACGTTTTCCTTTCGATATGAAAAAGCAAATGTCTTTACCGGATAACCATACTTTGTAATCCATCAGAGCAGCCACCAACTGCTTCTTATCAAACGCTTTGTCATCTGTATTACCACTGCGTCGTGTTCTTTGAATGGCCACTTCTTTTTCATCGGGTGTGAGCCAGCGCCCAGCTGTCTCTGGTATATCAGGCAATACGATAAAACTCAAAAAGCCCAACACAATGGTCGGGAGGGCCTCACAAATGAATAACCACCTAAAAAGCAAGTCAGCCATCCATAGGTAGGTATCACAACGACAACCCCCCCCCTCCCCTCTCCCCTCTACTTACCTCCATCCTGCCACTCCATGCGCGCCTTCCAATGTCGCCAAAATACCGTAGGCAACAGCACCGGCAAATGCACCCGCCACAGTCGCCGATCCGAAATAAACCGCTACTCTACTGGCCAGTTCGTTTCGCTGATACCAAAACGACAAAAACAAGGGAGTCGAAGGCCCAACGCCTGTTTCAAAAATGCCCAGAAAGAACCGACAAGCAATCAGACCAGCAGCATTGTGCGTAAATGCTTGACAGAGAGAACATACTCCCCATAAAATCATCGTGCCTGAAATCCATCGAGAAGGCCTCAACCATTTGACCAATAAATTGGATGGAATATGGAAAAGAACGTAGCCTGATCCATAAATACGTCTGTGTAAGCATCATTCTATTCTATGGAATTTTATCAAGAAGGAGGTGATACTTTACCAGCAAAGAAAATGGTCAAAGCCGTGTAATAATCGTTTCCTACAAGGTTCAAGTCTTTTTCTAAAGATCCCAAACGGGCGTTGCCGATATTATTTCTATCAAGACTAAGTAACAAGTATAATAGTGACACCCACGGAATAAGCCTGTGGAAAAAAAAAAAATAAAAAAAAAAAGAAAAGACCCCATAAAGTAACCATTCAATTCCTGTTCAACTCCAGTTTTCAAGTAAGAATGGGACGGGAAAACATTGCTGTATATATTACCTGAAATCAAGCTTTCTAACAAGTCTTCGCTCTATCTGCTCCTTTGTTTCTTTAACGTCTTCTTCTGTCTCACATCTGATAGGGATCGGTATAGATGATGTTTGATCTATCGATTCATAGTTTTTGGAGCTATGTTTGCCCTTTGCAACAGAACAGGAATGATTGATTTCGTCTTTTCCCATATCAAGTCTTTAAGAATGCTGACCTGAGTGAACCAGTCTCTATAGGTTGATCGAATGGATATGGACCGGATTGGATGTGCTGGAATTATCTTGATAGAAACGGAAAAATAAAAGAAAGAAGAAAATCCATTCAATTTGAATACCAAAAGAAACAGACGTTTTTATAAAGTTTAGACATATGCACTTTACAGCATGAGATGTGCGTGTTGTGAGTAGATCCATAAATAAATCGAATTGATTGGCTAGAAAGCTCACAATGTCTATTCTTTTTCCCTTTTTGTTGGACTATGAGCATTTTTTAATATACAATAATTTCATCATCATTCATGTTCAACTTCACTATTGACCATCGAACGGATCGTTGAATATAAATGCATTTATGCATCTATCTAAGTGCCAAACATCCCTCCTGCTAGCTCGGAAATTCGAGCCTACGCAATGAAAAATAATTGTACATTTTTGTTACAGATAGCAACTAACGCTATTTGGATATCGTACGGTTTGCCATTTTTAAAGCGTTGTGTTTTTGTTTTTTGCTTTTCAGTGGTAATTGAAGCAAAAAAAAAAAAAAAAAAAAAGCTGCCCGTTTTGGAATTATTCCTACGCCCATTTTTGTTAGTTTGAACAATCAATATGAGTTAGAAAAGCAAATAAACTTAACGAAGCCTTTGACAAGCTTGTCTCGTAGTTCGATCTCTTTAAATAATATGATTTCGACCAACATCAGGGTTGTTGAAGTCGTCTTCACAGGGTTACACTACCTTATGAACGCGTTTTCTCGCAAATATGAACAATCAAGAACGCAAGTAATCATATAAAATTGAAATCTATCTGTGATCCATAGCCCGCATTGCATTTCGTGCTGGTCTAAAATTCATAGGGTGACACTTTCTGCGTACACTTCTCTTGTATATTCCATCATGCGAAACTGACTCCTGCATTTATCATTTTGCCAAGCCCAACATGAGAATGGATACCAATTCGCTACTAAATCATGGAAACGATTTGTGTGTAAACTGAATCATGTCTCTTTTCGTTTGTTTTAATATTTCTGTAGAGTGCAATCTGCAAAAAGCAATTTGTCTATTTTTATGAAGAATGTTAGAAAGTGGGATTGAACAGGGTATCGGTGTTGTTCAGAGTTGCTTTTTCGACACTTAGTCATCTCGCAAGTTGAAGTGATAAAGCCCCAGACCATGGTTGCGTGAGCTTTTGTTGATAGTTTTCTTATATATCTACAAACTGATAGTCATCGTCACTTTTTCTTTTCAACGCAACCATTTGATTAAGGTCCACTATTTCAGAGTCGACGTATAATAAATCAACATAACCCAATTGCCTCGTTATCCATTAATAAAACTCAGTATAAGTAAACTGCTTTATTTTATTTTTATTTTTACTTTTACTTTTACTTTATTTTATTTTATTTTCATTTTCATTTTCTATTTTGAATTATATAATATGAAAAAAAAAGGTGTTGATGTTCTAGCCTACTCTCTAGGAGAGTAGTTGCCCAGGCAGCCCCCACGAGGAGAGACATCAACATGGCTGCCCATGGGGCTGGTTGACATTAACCTTATGCTACCGGCTTACGAGGAACCGACAGACACCTATTTCAGGCAAGTGGCAACAACCAGCATTACACATGAATATAAGGACCATTATGATACAATAGGAGTACTAGGCCCATCTACACAGAGGAAACCAATTTAGAAATCAAAGCTACTGCAACATTTGTGCTGAGCTGATTTCTGAGTGAAGAAAAAGAAGCGGAAATTCAGAAAAATGAGCGCCTTTATATACTTTTCAATAAACATTAAAACTCCTTTTAAAGACTGCTTTTTGACCCAATAAAAGTCATAAAAATGTATCTCCTATTGAATCACAAATGCAGCTAAAAAATTCACGGACGGCGATCTTTCCTCAGGCTTCCTTTAATTTTCGAAGCATCCGCCATCTTTGAAGGTCAACTGATTTGAGATGATGTCTTCTTCACTTTTGTCGTTGTCTTTCTTATTATACCTTCTCTTCTGCAACTACTGTTTTTACTTTATATATTTCGTATCTGCTTTGTACATCATGTCATTACCGTCTATGCCAAATATTCTTCATAGGATAGGATAATAACAATAAGATCAGATCTCGTAAACGCCATAGGCCCTTGATCTATGCTGTAGAGCCTAAAAAAGTTGTTGCCTGAATGTACCTATAGGATATGGTTTTGCTCGATAGAAACAATGTGTTAACAGCCATCCGCGGCCAGCAAATACCTTGCTTTGTCCAAAATATACATCTTGTTCGAGCAAACCTCTTTATACCGCATATAAACATTTAGGCAAAAAAAAAAAAAAAAAAAGGAAGAGCATCGTATGAACTCAAGCATGTCATTTTGATTGAGCTGTTTCTGGGATTTCGGTCAGGAAGCGTGAACCGTGCCGATCGAGTTAGTACCAAGATTATACTCTCAAGTTATCGGGTAGCATACGATCAACTTCATACAACCTGTTCTTCCATCAAAGAAGAAAGCAAAGATCTATTTCCAATACATGAACTTCCCATTTTAGGGTATGCAAATGAATCAATCACCCCCCTATATTTTTGTAGTCGTATGGCTAATCGCGTACTAGTAAATCTGTATTTATTATGCTTTACAAAAGCGTCAATAAAGTCAAGTATAGCAGAATAGTTAAAAAGGTGGATGGTGATGTTATTGTTTATCTTTCGATATGATTATAGCTGGAAGAGGCTTTTCTGGCGCAGATACTGGTATATTTGAAGATGTGGTGCTGGCTCTTGGGAAACAAAGCACTCTCCCTTTCAATAAGGGCTCATATCGATTATTATCCAATTTCATAACAAATGGGGGAGAAACACAGAATGCGATAACACCGTCAATCCGTTTATCTTCATCTTCCATGAAGTTTGGATCAAAAAGCTGTTCTCCTTCTCGGACATCCATCGCTGTGATGGGCACTTCTTGACCTTTTATGGCTGACCCTAAACTCATGGTATATTTGACGAGATCATATAACTTTCTGCTATATTCATCTGCTGTCATAGTGGTGGAAGCTCTTCTGCCTTCATTACTCTGTGCGGTTATTATAGTACTATTGCTATCTGTCGATGCCCTAGTAGGCGGCGTCAGAAAACACGGATACACCTTTTGTAAACCTTTATAAAGATGATGCCAGTTCCGTTCAACACAATTTTTCCATACTCGATGAATATCTTCTGCTGTATCCCTCTGTTGCACCACGACCATTGATAATTCTTGACGTAATCGCGTTGAAAAAAATGAAGATGGGTCATATTGATCAAACCATGTTTGTAATTCTGCGAATTGAGAATTACACGAAAACCCTGGAAAGGTATGAATATTCAAATTTTGAACTAATACATCCATTATAAACTTTTCTGTGAGCATCTGTATACGCTGAGGCGATAAAGGTTTTCCTAATCGCTCAATAAAAGGGCCCAGATTGATCCATAAGGTAGATAGTTTTTCTGTTGCAAGAGAGGGATCGGCATAAGGTAGGATTTCTGATGCTAGGTCATGTATTCGTTGCCTGAGGATAAGTAATTTTTGACCGATAGAGGCAGGCTCATCATCCGAACAACGTACTGATCGTAAATGCATTCTGTAATTATTCTTCAAAATGTCCATATCATGCGTTCGTTGTTTTAGTTTCTCCTGAGCTTTTTCAAGTCGTTCTTTTAGTTTCTCGGCTTCGTGGGTATAATGTCGTTTTTGTATTTCTAAATCCCGTAATAACTGTCGCTGTTGTTGTATTTTCTGTTTTATATCTATTGGTGGCGTTGGTCTTGCTGCTACTGCTGACGATAACCGGCTCGTAATAGATGTATTTCTGGTTAAATTTAGAGCAGAGTGAATAGATACTATACCATCACAAGAGTTTTGTCCTATGTCAGTAACGAGGTACGACCTTACTATCTGGCGCGACTTCCAGAAACAAATTCACTTTCTGAGATCCACATTACCTGCATCAAGACTTATATTCGAGTCGGTACTGTTGATATTGTTATTGTCAGTAGCAACGCTTTGTCGAGGTTCCAAGTAAGAATTTCCGTCTTGATCAGTATATTGTTGTTGAAAGCTAATCTGTGACCCTGTTGCGAAACTCTGATAAGTAGATTGTTTCGATAAAGGTAATTCAACCGTTGACGGCGAAAGTGATAACGTTGAAGCAGATGTAGTCAAAGGCTTTTTATTTTTCTTTTGGAATAGCCTTGATATTCTTCCCACTGTCGATTTGCTCTTTGTTGGTACTTTCACCTCTTCATTCGCTATCGAAATCTCGTCCATTTCAAATAACCAAAATTAGTAATTGCAATCAAAAAGCGTTTAAAAATAACCCGCCTAGAGTTCAACGAACCTGAAAATAAAAATGTTGATTTCGAAAATTTAACCCCAAACGGCAACAATGATAAGCGCTAGGTTTTTACCGTTTTATGGAGGTTGGATTGTAGGAATGACGTACATTGCATAATATCGTTTTTCGGCATGAGCAAAGCTATGGATTTACTATATGATAGCCAAGACAGCGCTTTTGTTGGCTCATGCAAGTACATTTAGTATTTTTCTAAATTCAGTGAAGCCACACAACATTGTAACAAAAAGCTATTAGCTCAATTAAACTTCATTTATAAAAAAGAAGCATTTCTTAGTACAAGAAAAAGGATGGCTATGCATGAACTTTTATTGATATTCTGCTGATAGTAATACGATTGATCAGCTACTTCCAAGAGTAGTGATTATGGTGAATTGTGTAATAAAAATATCGGGCGCTTTTTTATACTTTTTTTACATGAAATCATCATAATCGTCATAAGTGTCTTCATAAGCGTCTTTTGAGGCAACTTTACCAGCAGCAGCCAATTGGGGCCTGGATTTACCCTTTGTTTTCTTCTGGGCTTCCTTAGCAGCTCTTTGCTTTTCATTAGCAATCACGGTCAGTGAGGAAGATACCTTCTTCACTTCTTGATGGTTCAATGGGAATGCTATATCACGCAGTAAATCATCGATGAACCAACCAAAATTGATAGATTTCTAATACAAAGATTATGGTTAGTACATATTTTATGAACAGAAACGCTTGTTTCTAGCGATCCGAGAATATTTACAGAGTAGGGTGTGATCAATTCAACTAAACGCTTACGATAAGCATCAAATTCAACACGATTTTTGGGTCTAACTTCCTCAAGAGGCTTGTCCGTGATGTCAGCTATAGAGCGCAAGCCAGTGTCAGAAATATGATTTCACAAAGTCAAAAGAAAAGCTCAGTATAACTGTCAGAACTTACACAAAGAAACTCCAGAGAAAAGATCAGTAGCATTCGCCATATCGGCTTCTAATTCTAATTGACGCATGCGTTGTTGGCGTTCATAGTCTCCCTCCTCTGCTTCCTCTTGTGCTGCTGCCTTCTTAGCTTCTAATTCTTTCTTTTTCTGTTCTTCGGCTGCTTGTTTTTCAGCAATCTTTTGCTTCAACCCCACTTTCTTTCTAATAGGAGCTGCAGCTCTCTTTTTAGCCTCCTCTTCTTTCTTTTTCTTTTCTTCTTCATCGTCAGACAGCTCCCAATCGTCCTTTAAATCTTCTTCAACATCTTCATCTTCCCATTTATTCTTTTTGAGGGGCACTGCAATTTCAACTTCGATTTCTTCTTCTATAATTTCGTATTCATCAGCTTAAATTCGCATTATAAGCACAATTCAGCCATAAAACTCGAATAACGTTACCCCAATCGCTCATTTGAAATGAGTATTATGTTTGGTTCAATATGCTTATGACAGGTTTATTAAAGCGCGGCCACTGCAGTGATAAACTTTTTTTTTTCTTCACCCGGTGACTTTGAAAAACGGATTCAATTGTCCAATGGCAGGAAGAATTTGAGCAAAAGCCGAAAGCTGCTTGAAATTATTCTCTGAGCATTTTTAGAAACTCTCAACTACCGCCTAACTACAATCGTAGTTAGGATTTGTAGTTAGGAACAACTTAGACCTTCTTAAAAATATCAAGAAAAAAAGATCGTCTGTCCAAACTATTGATGTTCTTCATCCAAAGGGTAGCAATAAATTGATCTTAAGGTATTTCATCTAGCAAATAGACAAAAAGCTGTAATATATTGAGCGAATTAAGAGATTTGTTTGTCTGTTGATCTTCTTCGTATGCTAGATATTCAGCATTTGCTATTGAACTACTTCTTGAAAATGAAGTGCCAAACTGAAACAGTTCTATTAAGCTTGGAATTTGAAGTTTCTTCATCAATGAGTACATTCAAAAATTCTTGGCTAGCATATTTCTATTGAAGTTTATCATTGCTACTCCAAAGCTTTACGTGTAAAGCCACCCTTTTCAAAGTTAGATGACAAACTTCACGCATATAACCATTCCTTATGATTTAAATCAGAATCAACCCTTAAGCACTTCTTTGTAGTTTCAGCTACATCATCTGTTATAACAGTATATACCTCTTCCTCCCTTTTAATGCATTTGAAGATGCTAAACAATTTCTACCTATGCGTGCAATTTTCTAAACGTGAATCTACAAAAAGCAAACCACATCCTTATATTTACTTTTTTTTTTGAAAAGGTATATGTAAGCTACATCTTTTCCCCGTTTATCTCTCATAACATGTCTGTTAGCAGCTATTATTCGTGCAAGTAGTAGGTATTCACGCATAATTGATATATTGCGCAACCTCTTTCGACAAAAGTTGAGATATACTCAACTTTATGCATAGATTCTGTTTTAAGTTGTTTCAAGTTATCTTGTCATTGTTGGATTAAATTGAAAATGTGCGCTTAATGCAATCTGAATTTCACAGGAGGCGCAAAGCTGTTGACTAGTAGATAAACTACTTGAGTAGTCTCTAATAGTACTTTAAGATTGGGTTATTGAAGTTTATTCATGCATGTTTGATAGTATGTATTAATAATGCAAATGATATAGAGGAAATACAAGTATTCTAAGAATTCTAGTTTCTAAGCGCGACTTTACTTTGTTCGTGCTCTTTTGCGATGTGTGTTATCCTTACTTATGGTTTCATTCCTATACTTGCTATTATCACCAGGACCAATGATACTGCCATCATACCAATGTCTATTCACATCGGATCCATACCACACTAATAGCTCTTCGTCTTTCTCAATTTCTTTCCTTGTCCAACAGATTACTTGATTAACCACAACGCCTTCCACAAATAATATTGAAGCATTTTTCTCGTACGTTTCATTCATAAAATGGAAAGGACAAAAACGTTCACTATTTTCATCTGTGACAGGTTCTCCATTATCGTCAGTGGCATCCAATACTGTACGTCGATACATGATACTATATTCGGAAGCGCGTCCGACACGGTCCTTGATGGCATCAAACTCATCCTCTGTCATAGGCACGCCAAAATAAAATCCGATGGGAGTGTTATAGGGCAACTTTCGTTTGGCGAAAAGACCTTTACCTGCACCGGGGATTTTAGAAGGAGCAATGTAGACTATATCACGCCACGAGGTGGGTATATTTGACAGATCAAGCTCGTCAAGTGTGTATAAAGGCGCTTCCTCCATTGCTTTGCTGTCTTTTGATGCATTGTTTTTCTTCATCAGAGAATTAGATGCTTCGGTATTCATGGGTTTATCAGCGGATGAAGATGGTAGTGCTGTTGTTGTTGTTAATGGAGTAGAAGTCAAACTATCAGTTGTGGTAAGGAGGGGTATATTTGTTTCAGTGCCCATTCCATGTGTGTTGGATGAAGATTGCAACTGAGATTTTACATTTCCAGCAAAGTTCGCTGATTGTGATGAAGATGGTACTGATACAGCTTCAGTTTCATCTATGTTCATTATATTATTACAAAGAGCATTTGCTGAACCCTCTTCTTTATCCGACTGAGGGATATTTGAAATCTGATGAGTAGTTGCACCATTTGTATTTCCTTCAATTCTTGTCGTAGCCTTTTCGTGCCTTTCAATAGCATCGCCTTTCATTTTCTTTCTTTCGATTTCTGTTAGCGTATTTGTCACATCATCGACTGCTCTTCCCTTTGTTGATTCGACAATAGCATACTCTCTGGAATTGTCTTTAGAAAAAGTGTTATATTCTTCCGCTAAACTTGCGAGCGTTATACTATTGACTCCAGTAAGAGAAACTGCTGTTTTTTCTGTTGAGAAAGACTGCTCCATATCATTGCCAGAGATGCTCTGTGGAGCGAACCCTGTCTTGACAAGTGATATGGCATTTTTGATGATACCGTTCTGCGACGTTGGTGTGTTTGGCTCTGTCGCATCTTCTGCGTTATCTTTCAATTTCTCAGCATTGCTATAGTTCTCTTTACCATCTCCAATCTGAATCTTATCCCTCACTGCAATTTTAGGCACAGTATCTGTGTCTGTAAACATGCTGTTGTTTATTGGCTGTTGTTGGTTCAATTTATTTTCTGCTTTACGCATTTCAATTGCTTCAGGTTTGGGCACGCCGAAACAATAAGGCCAATCATGTTCTATTAACTTTTTACACCATTTCTGATATTCTTCTACAGCCTTTTTAACATCACCAGGCTCGTACGATAGTTTAAAAAACATCGATTTACTACCTTCAGGCCTGAAAGAAACAAAATAATGATCTATATTGTTTGTCAATTTAGCAGAAGCAGAATTTAAAGGCGTCTAATCGATGGAGAAAGAGTAATTTAGACAGTTGCAATATTGAAACGGAATGACGCTTTTATATTACCTTTCCCAAAAAAACTCTAGGTAAGTTCAACTCTTTACTGATTTTTTTGTCCATTTCTACTGCAGCTCTACATAATGCTCCTCTCGGTAAACAACGTTCAGGATGTTGCCGAAGCGCTAAGAAGAGCATGTAAGATTGATTGTACCAACGAGGTGCTAATTTAGATCTCTTGAGAGTTTTTCTTCTCTCTTCATTGTCGAAAGAATTCAAATCGGGATCGGCAGCAACACGTTTTTTTGGATTTGCAGATCTCTCTGTCTCATTAGCAAGCTCAAAATTGTTTTCTCCTGCTGGCAACGGCTCTTTTGGTTCCACACCAACATTCGATTTATCTAGTGTCATATAATCATCTTCTTTGTCATTAGACGAGGTTGTTTCGACATTTGACTCCATATTGTGCTTTGCCGAATCTGTTGCGAAGGAGTTGTTTTTCGCTTTAGACATTTGCAAGTTATCACTGAATCGAACTCTTTTTTTATGTTCTCGCTTTTCCGACGGTAAGGCGTCAACTGGTTGCTCGCAATGCTTTGTCTGTTCCGCTTGTTTTTCCAACAGATCCATACTAACGTGCTCTTGTTGTTGTTGTAAAAGTAATAGTGAAGGCGCCGAAAGATTTTTACGAGACCCACCTCGCTTTTTCATTTTCAATTCTATTTCTTTTTCGTCGGCTATAAGAAGTGTTTGTTGTTCGTCAGATTGTCCTCCTGTTGGCGACTTTCTACGATTCCTTCCTATTCTTTTGTCGAGGACTTCAACTGAACTTTCTTCGGTTAAATCATTGCTGTCTTCAACCACTTTTTGATCTGTAAATTCTTCTGCCTTTGGCAAAATAGGCTGTTGTGGTTGCAGAGTCCTTTCAGCCATAGCCTCTACCGCTTTATCAGAGGTTGTATCACTCTTCAATCTCCTCATACGCGGCATAATTTAATGAAAATAAAGTCGTATATTTCAGGAATCGAACAACGAAGAAACAAAGATAAATAGAGTTTGAGTCATTGATTTCAACGGAAATTAAAAATTTTGAAAAAGCAAAAAAAGGTTTTGCGGAGCAAAGAAAATCAAGAAACTGATCTTAAAGCGTGTCACTGATCATCCTAATCAAAGTAACGCGTTTCAGCTCACTACAACTCCACTACAGTCATTATCCCCTTGTCTGACCAAGCAGCATCTTAAATAATTCTAAAAAGCCCGCAAGGCAATTAATTTTTCAGTAAGATGCCAGCATTGATGTTGAGCAGATTGTTTTTGCTCGAAGTCTGTTCTTAATTCCAGGATGAGGAACGCGTTAAAAAATTCGGAAGGAAGTACATATATTGCATTCCGGAAACGATTTTATTGGATTGATAAGGTTTCGACTCACAATTTACAAGGGGAGGGGGATGGTAACAGCTTCACAGAAATGACAGCCAATCACTGTCTAAAGTAAATGACAATACATTCAGCTAGACGAAGATGTCGGTCGTATCAGAGCCTATAACTTCAGTGCAAATAGTGCTGTTAGAACAATTTTTCAAGCAATAGCGATAGACTACTCCGCCTCATAATGACAAAGTTGATATGAATGAGCTGGGCTTTCTTTCATGCCTCTAATAACCTATTTCTGATATACCATAAGTAATGAATAGTCGGCATAATTGCTAATTGTCGGAACGAAGACTCCTTTTTTCTTGCTTTATGGTGTTCTCTATGATGGTTCATTTAGTTGATAGATTTCGTATTCTTGCAACTCTCTTTATCAACTTTTCTTTCGTTCAAGCTGTTATTTCCCTTTTTTTTATTCTTCTTACCGCATATATTTTCAGCATCTGTTTCCAACGTTTGCAGTCTGCTAAAAAATAAATGGATACTGAAAGAAGCGAATATTATTGCAACGCTTGCGACGAAATAATCGTAACCGGAAGTGATTCTGTACTTTCGGCGTGTACCAAATGCGGATGCGAAGATATTAATGAGGTATTCTTAAGAGTTGGCTTTATACCTCCACTTATACCGGCAGCAGCCATTGATTGTAACTTTTTAATATTAGTTGACATCATTCCTTAGAGTCGAAGAGTTCAATTCATTTACATCTTTTAATAATGTGGACGACGATGGCTCATTTGATCAAGTCACTGATAACGACCTTCTCCTTTGTAAAAAGAGTGATAAAATAGTAAATGAGCCCAGATTGTATATGACATCTCTAACAATGCCTTTATAGTGAATGAAATGTTACAAGAAGAAGAAAATGACGACCAGAATGAACTGTATTCAATGATGTTACTATTTGATGACAATGTGCTCCTACCTTTATCAAATGCTTTTCGACGACCAGCAACTGTTCCTGAACCCCTTAACGCGCCACTAGAGACAAATCATCGTTCCGAATCTACTACTGCACAAACCTGGGATGGCTGGGATAGCTCCTTGGAAGAACGCTTTCCAAGAAATATTGAACCACATCTTGAACTCGAACGACCATCAACAAATGAAGGAAATGCGTTCAGAAATGAGCAAGATTACTGGATTACCTCAAGCGATTTGGATAGTGAACCTTCTCTTTTCATTGAAGAAAACACTTCTTCGATTGAACAGGACGACCGCGACACTACACATGAGTCGAATGTTAGAATTGGTTGGACTGATTCTGAAGGCGACGTATGGAGTGAACCTCCTACAGCTCTTATACATCAACGGCCAGCATACAGGAACATCGGTCAAATTGTGAGAAGGGCACGCTTTTATAATACTGTTTACCGCCATGACCAGCAATATACTGAGTGAGTATCCTCTCCTGCAGCGCTATGCTTGTCTCACTGTGTCATACTTATACTCTAATCTGCGTCCGTTTTTATGGCACATGCAGGATAAGCCAAAATTTGGGGTATAATCTAGGCATGTCCTCATGGTTTAGGTGAGGATATATATAAAAAAAGGCATGCCAGCTTGACGTCTTAGTAATAACTTAATCTCATAGATCACTGGAGCACCACGAACGCCATGAACAAATACCGCAAGAAATAGCTACTCAAGCTCCTTCACTAATGCATTATGCAACAACTATCAAACGCCTTCTACCATCAGACAGAGGTAACAATTGGAATGATACTACCTGTTTATCAATGATTATAAGTAAAAAACTAATTTGTCTTTCTCTTTTTCCAATAGATGTGACGGAGCCTTGCAGCATTTGTCACGAAGATATGGGTACGGAAGAAGATGCGTGCTATTTGCCATGCAACCACCTCTATCATTTGGCTTGTATATCTGAATGGTGTACTATCAATCCAAGATGTCCTTACTGGTAAGCTCGACAATAAGCACAAACAAAGAATACTATAACTGCTGTATTTAAGTACAATTTTCCGATTGTCTTCCATTTATTGTATGTTTTAGTCGCCAACATATCAGTAACTCTAGCAGAACGTAGAATTTCCAGCAAACAGAACAGGTTAAACTTTCACTTACATTATCACCTTCTAATTATACTGCCTTAAAAGCAGTAATGCATAAGATCTGCTTGGATTTACAAGCAGCATCCAATATGGCATGTGTACATACGAAAAATTACCATTTACGCCTTTCAATAATTTTTACAGCACAGGGAACGCTATCTTTTGCTCTCATGTAAATAATACATTTGGACAATTATTAACTCTACTAAATCTCCATATACTAAATCATCAAGGGAATCTTCAAAAATCTTTACAAATCGATAAAGCTAATGCATTTCCCTTCGTTTAAAGCAAAAATCTTTATTTCAGCTTGAAAAGTGCAACTTCATGAATTCTGTTATGAAGCACATACATTTTGTGTATTTTGCAGGAAAAGTAGCAATGTCTAAGAATTATTCGTTTGAATACAGCAGCTCCTACTTTTTATGCTTGTCTCAGAAGATTAAGGGTTGCCAAGGCTTCTATGTTGTTAACCGAATGCATCGTCAATGCATTATACTGTTTTAGTCGAGAATTCTTTGTATTGATATTTTCTTTCCGTATGACCAGATTTCAAATTCTGGGATATATATAGCTGTTCGCAGAGATAATAGCTCACAAAAGCATGTGCGTTCATGAGTTTGATTGCTGCCCTTCTTTAGTAACTTTGTATCTTCGGGAATTTTTTATGTGCTCAGCGAATAGAAAAGCTAGCATTAGATAAGATCAACTTTTGCAGTTGTGATTCAACAATTAATTGCGCCAATCAAGTAAGTTTTTTCTCGATGTTTACCATGCTATCATGCTGAAGCCCGTGATAGAGAAAGCAGGGAAAAAAACAACATTGTAGATCATACCATTCTAATCCAAAACTCTGCTATACACAAAGAAGCCCTGACAATACATGCAGGTTCCCAAAATAAGAATACAGGATAAAGTAAAAAAAAAGCTGAAACCTGTCTTTATATTCTTTGTTCTTTCTTAATACCTTTTCTTCTTTCTTACTTTATCTTTCCGTTTCACTTCTTACTCACGAAATAAACACAATTCAAACGAGAAATGTCACCTATCATTGAGTTTGTTCGTCGTAAATTGTCCTCATCAAATATTGCAGAGGACGATAAAGGCGCCGCAAAAATGGACACATCTGCTACCATTGAAACCAGCAGCAGAGATGACTTTCAGCGCTTAATGGCTGTTAGGTCAGGCTTTTGTAACGAAGGTACAAGAAGAGTTAAGCGAAGCACAGCGACTATTATTTCTTTTGGAAAATCTGTATGTCGTTTATAGTAAATTTTGCTGAATAAATTGTATCTGGATAGGCACTGCTATGGACCAAAATAGGCGTCAAAAACTTGGCTTGACTGGTTTATTACCTGCTCAGATTGAGACAATTGATATCCAAAAATCTCGTGCCATGCGTATGCTTCGTTCAAAATCAACAATGTTAGAAAAGTATGTCTTTATGGCACAACTGCGCACAACCAATATCAACCTCTTCTACAAGATTGTGATAGAGGAACTGGAGGTATGCATACAGTATAACTATTTGTATAAGAAGGGGAATGTGAAAAGCATGAACTCTATTACTAAATCACAAATTACTTTTTGGGTTCTTCAGGAACTGGCTCCTGTCATTTATACCCCGACAGTAGGTACAGCTTGCCTAGAATATTCGACCATTTACCCATTTTTAGCACCTCCCGGTGTACCGGATGGCCTTTATCTAAACAAAACGGATAGCGTTGATGCTATGTCTCAGTCTATATCAAACTATGTTCCTGTTGAAGGTTACAAGCCAGAGATTGCTGTCATTTCTGACGGTTCGCGTATCTTGGGCTTGGGTGACTTGGGTGTCAATGGCATTGGTATTCCTATCGGTAAACTCCAATTGTATGTTGCCGGTGCAGGTATTGACCCTCGACGCACACTACCTGTAATCTTGGATATGGGAACCAATAATGAACGCCTTTTGAATGATGAATTGTACATCGGTCTACGGGAAAAGAGACCTGATGAGGAAGAGGTAGGTTGGACTGGTTGATGATAGTAAAACAATGGTCAATCTGGTTTTTCAACATCGAATAAATTTGGGTGAACTTTTTTACACAATAGTTTTATAGAACTGTTGATAATGCTTTAAACGCCCTTTGTACCGCTTACCCTGGTATTTTAATTCAATTTGAGGATTGGTCAACGGAGCATGCTTTTGAACTGCTGGAGAAATACCAAAACAAAATATTGTGCTTTAACGATGACATTCAAGGTACAGGTGCGGTTATTCTGTCGGGCGTTATCAATGCCATTCGTAAGGTACAAAAGGAAAACGATGTATCTCCCACAGATCATCGCATTGTTTTCTATGGTGCTGGCTCAGCAGCCATTGGAGTAGCACGTCAAATCCAAGGTTATTTTCAAACAGAACATGATATGACAGAAGAAGAAGCTAGAAGGGCATTTTGGATTGTTGATTCGAAGGTATGAACACTTTAAACAATTAATACTCATTGTCTCCTATGCTCCTTCAGCTTAGCTCTTTCTTATATTTCTGATAATCATGAAAGGGTCTTATTACCACGACAAGAGGTGATAAACTAGCACAGCATAAGGTTTATTACGCAAGGGATGATACAGAAGGACAACAGTACAAAGAGTTGCAAGATATTGTCGATTATGTGAAGCCAACCATGTAAGCCATATTGGATATTTTAACGCTAATTCACTGATTGTGCACGGATCTAATTCTTTTCTACGAATGCAATAGCTTGATTGGTCTGTCCTCCATCCCAGGAGCCTTCAATAACGAGGTTCTTTCCCGCTTAGCAGAATTCAATAAACAGCCTATTGTTTTTTCTCTTTCCAATCCTGCTACGCAGGCTGAATGCTCCTTCAGACAAGCTATGGAAGCTACGAAAGAGACAGTTATCTTTGCTTCCGGTACCGCTTTCCCTCCATATACCATCCAGTCCACTAATGAAATCAAATATCCTGGGCAAGGTAACAATATGTACATTTTCCCCGGACTCGGTTTGGGAGGAGTTGTTTCCAAGACCAAGTTTATTACAAATACCATGATATACGAAGCCGCCAAAGCCTTGGCTAATTCTTTAACAGAAGATGAAATAGCACAGGGTTGGCTATATCCTTCTTTGAAACGTATTCGTGAAGTCTCAGCCAAGGTAGCAACAGCCGTTTGTGAACAAGCCATTAGGGAAAAGCTAGCCACTTCTAAAGAGTTGCTCGAAGCCAATCGCAATAAGAATGAGGGTATCTTGAGTTTTGTCAAAGCAAACATGTGGTCTCCTGACAACACTGCATTAACTGAGCAGGACGGTATTGTACGAAATGGAAAGCTTTAATATGTTAGAAGAAGAAAAATAGTAATACAACCCATAGCAGAATATCAATGATGCAATTCTCTCTTTCTCAATAAATCATTTGTTGTTATCTCTCAGAGATTCCTTTGAGACACAATAAAATGTATATCTTTGTTAACAAAATATATTTGTATGGTAATTGCCACCTTATGAAGCATGATGTGACAAACTGAAATCAGTCGAAAGGCTCACTTCAGGAACATATAAGCTCTCCAAAATCGATTCTTTTACTGCAAAGAGTCGTAATATGCTTACAGCTTGAAAGATTATTGCGTTATATAAGTCTCCTTCACATACAAGTTCTGATATCAGTTATAGAGCGTTTCTAGCTAAATAAACTGTATCAATTTAATTAAAAAAAAAAAATCAAAAAAAATCAAGTGCTTGCTAAATTTAAAAAAAATTTATTTGTTTAAAAAAAAAGAAAACACAATCGAAAATGGATTTCTTAAAACATAAAAATTGCATAAAAATAGGATTTTAGTGGCAGTGTTTTCTTGCGTTCAACCACTGCAAATGCACGTACAAACACGCATGCATTAATCTTAAAAAAGCTATTTTATCACTCCGAAATTTATAGCCTTTTAAGCTGGCAGATAATCAAAGTGCCTTTCTTATTTTGATTTCTTTGTCTTTTTTCCCTTTTGACTTTCATTCTTCTCACTTTGTTGTATAAGTTCCAGCTTTCAAACTTGTAAATATCTGCTGTGCATCTCACATAATGCTTATATTGAGGCATAATACACTCTCAGCTGAAGATTTGTTTGTCATTGAATGTGTAAGATTCAGTCTCCCTTGATGCATTTTTTTTTTCGACAATCGAATGACGAGGATGGAGACAAGCAACATTGTGGTTGACGAGCCTTTCACTTTTTCTATTAAACTATTACTAGCGAATGATCAAAATAGCTGATCCCACCTATAAAGTCAAGGATTTATCTGACTTCACCGTACTTGAAAAATCTCGGGCTGAACTGTACGGTTACATACTCGGTTTTCTTGAAAGGCTCGGTTTATGCGAATCTCTCGGCGTTACACCGTCTGAGTTCCTCGATTTTTTAGTGGACGTGGATCATGGTTACCTGACCAACGCTTATCACTCTTTCTACCATGCTGTGGACGTCACCATTGTGCTATACCATATGATTTGCAATTATGATATTGGACGATATATCTCCCGAATTGATATAGCTGCGCTATTGATTGCAGGATTATGCCATGATATAGGACATGTAAGAGAAAGAAAAGCGCTGATTGATTGCTTCATGAGTTTTTTTTTTTTTTTTTTTGAGCTAACATGAAAACTTGCTCTGTACAGCCGGGGAAAAATAACAATTTTCAAGTCAATTTACAAACAGATTTAGCAGTTCGTTATAGTAATAAATCTGTTTTAGAGAGTTATTCGTGTACCATCACAATGGACTTATTAACAAAGCACAAACTATTACGCCATTTGGAAAAGTCAAGTAAATCCTTTGGTCTACCAACAACAGAGTCGGAAATGAGAACAGCCATCATCAAAATGATCTTAGCGACAGATATGATTTTCCACTACGAACTACAAGAAAATCTTACTAACCTATTGGAAATTATAACTGACGAAAATGGAAACGGGGGTAACGGTCGTCATGGGCGATCGACTTTACATAAACCAGTATTGCCGCCGACAAACGAAGAGATTGAGGAGGAGCTTGTAGAAGAAACAGGCAATAATGCAGACAAAGCCGAGGCAAATATAGAAATCGCTACAAAGGCTTCGGATCAGCCTACACTCATTAACAATAAGGACCATCAACACAATCATGACGTGCAGGTAAAAGATATCTTCTCCCATCAGGGAGCGAAAAGCGCCATATCCTATTTTCGACGAAAGTCATACTTTGACGACGATGCTATTCCTTTACCGCTGAATTCAATATCGGAACTACCAGACAGTCCAGAGGAAGATGATAAAAGTGAAAACGAGAATCGTAGGGAAGAATATAGAAAATTTTTTGTAGCAACAGAGCGGCATCACGCTTCAGGGATTGATCTGGTACTGTCAAATCCAGAAAACAGCTCCTCAGACGCTAATGATAAGAAATCCAACAATAAGCATATCCATAAACCGCCTAATTTCATTGTCGACTACCATCAGCGCTTAATATTATGTCAGATAGTATTACATGCAGCAGATATCAGTAATGCATTACGACCATGGCCCATATGTTTCAAGTGGTCAAATTTAGTGTGCGAAGAGTTCTTTTTACAAGGTGATGCAGAGAAAAAACATGGCATAAAGGTATCACCCAATATGGATAGGAGCCAAGTGAGTCAGTCGACCATTGGCTTACAGTTCGGTGATTTTGTCGTAAGCCCTTATTTCGAGATTTTTGCAGCCTTTTTTCCAAAAGCAGAACAAATGTTACAAACACTTGCAGACAACCGTGTACAATGGTTGCAATTGGAAGAGAAGGACTTACAAGAGAAGAAAGAGTCAGGGCAGCATAACGAGGAGAAGCAAAATGAAGAAGAGGAGGAGGAAGAAAATCAAACTTTGCCATCAAATATGTTACCTGACAGACCAATTTTGAATCCCTCAGGTAGAAGAGTAAGCGTGGCTGCAGGCATGATCGTGATTCCAGATGAATTAGAAGAAAAGACTATTGGATCAGGAAAACATAAACGGAAGTATTGGGGTATACGTAGTGTGAGCCATAGTGACATTTCCTCTTATGAAGAACGCGAACGAGCTCGAGTTTTAAGACGACGGAGTGAAGAACCTAACCTAGTGGCAGCACGCAGGTCAAAGTTCGTTTCCAAAACTCCAAATTCGAACAAAGAAAAGGAACGGTCAACGACGCTTTCGGCTACCAGTCAACAGCGGTAATCTGTATCCCATTGATTTTCCTCTGTGATCTGTTCGCCTTGTGTTATGCAGTCACTTTTTCCATTTTCCTTTTTTCTTTTTTTCTTTTTTTCCTTTTTTTTTTTTTGTATTTTAGAGCATACTGCATATCCGAACTGTTTTATGTATTATCAACAAATGAGGCCCGTAATTAGCACCAATGCGGCTGGGATAGTATTTTGTACCTTTGATATAATGATTTTATGCTATTTTGTACACTTTCTAATGAAACCGTTCGCCTGTTCTTATATAAAGATGTATAAATATGACATTAACCCTGCTGAACCGTACTTCAAAAGGGCATTATTCGATTCTCTATTAAATTACTGCTCAACCACGTTTGTAACGTGCAATTACCATACACATTGCAAGCTTCGCATCGGCTCTTATTAATAACTCTGAACGTGTGGATTAGAAAAATACAATTGCTGATATACTTATCGAATTTGACACTATTCGGCACCCATGTGGGCTTTTAAAAGAGGGTACCGCATTTTGTAAAGTTAACACAGTGAGCCATGAGCGGAGTTTTTTGTATATGCTTTGAATCTCAAATTACCAATTTACCACTTCATCCATTATGCTCACTGCGACAGTTTTAATAAGTTGAGTAACAATGAAGCGACCGATACCGACGTATATATAAGTGAAATAACAACAATGAACTAGTGATTGAGTGAACTCAAAGGGTTTTTGCTCCTTCTCAATGTTAAATAACTGCTGCAATAGAGAGGAGCCATCAGGTCATAGGATTTTGTTCATAATCAAAAGTTATAGATAAAGTAATTTATATGTGCAATTCATTCCAAAATTTCATTGGATACATGGGCCACATACCATAAAATGATGCAGCTAATCAAGAAAAAATTCTACTAAGCCTCTTTCCTGTGCTTTTGAAACCCTTTTGCAATCGAGTAGAAACTGATTTATGAGGAACGACTACTGTTGTCGATTGATCTTTTTGAATTATAATGTCGCTTGAAGGATGCACAGGCTTCTCTTCGTTGCAAATGTTGGTCTCCTCTTTACCCTTCTTTTTGGTTAATCTGATCGATGAAAAACGATTTTTTTTCTTACGGGTTTCTGCGGAAATGCTGTGAGCGGTTGTATGTTTGACATCGGCTGTTAAATGCTGAACTTGATTAGGTACCTGCTGCTGCTGTTGTTGCTGATGAAATGATTCTTTTGTTCCTGACCGGGAGATAGCTTTTGATACTGCTGATTCTAACTTACTACTGCCTTTCAAGATAGTTGCAGGAGGTATTGCTGCTGTTGTGGAGAATTGACTGATGGTGCTGCTTCGCCGAGAGAAGTATGAATTGGCCGCAGAGGATTGTTGATCTGGTGGTGTAAGGGAAGGCGTGCAGTCAGGACGGTGGTATTGGTCCATATTGTGACTGATAGATTCCAGTTCTGTTGTTTGTCTGACGGGCCGTGCTGGTTCTAAGAAAGGCTTATTGTGTTTATCATCTTCATCAGGTGATATGTCAGGCGTAGGCGGTTTACTGTTCATAATTTGCTGCAAATTTTCTGTTAAAGAAGAAAGGAAAGCGCCATTTGTAGGCTCAATTATATCGACTAGGAAATGTGGCCTTTCCTGCTGTTCTCGCTGTTCTGGTGCTCGTTCATTGATGTCGGCAATATTACTACTAACCGTAGTATTTATAGTTGAAGATTTCTCATCGGTTATCAATGGGCCAATTCCATTATTTTCTTTATCGTTATTTTTTTCCTTTTGGAGCGATAACTGAACATCAGGGTCATCGAGAGGTTGGTGTTGCTGCTGTTGCTGTTGCTGTGGTGGAGTTGAAGGGAAAGCAGACAGTGAGATAGCTTGCTCTTTTATTGGCGTAACGTTGCTTTTCTCCAGCGACTCCTTTCCTTGATCTATGTTTATATCGTTTTCCTTTCTGGGAATAGTTGGTGCAACATGGTCAACACTATTTTCATCTATCATCTGATCAACAGCCATGATTAGCTCATTATGAAGCAACTCGCTTTGACTGGAAGGACGTAGCTGATTCATGCTTTTAGTGGAAAACGTAACGTTTACTATATCATCTTTATTGGTGGATTCAGCCAACATGCTTACAGGTGGACTTGCATTGTTCATATCTTCTACTAGTTCGTCCGCATTATCGTCAGTAGCCTTCGTATTTTTTCTAGCAGAAACTATATTGGCAATGGATTGGGCAGTCGGTTGCATGAACATGTCAGTATTTCCTCCTGCATCGCTGTCATCGGTCATTGGCAAGTTAATATCGAATTTCATTTCAGTATCTTTAGAGATCTTCGAGTCAAAAGAATCAGACACTGAAGTCCGGGCAACAACTATGGTTTTGCCAACGGCAATTGTTGATGTACGCTCAACAGGATTGTCTGCTGAGGAAGTATTGTTTTTTGTAAGTCTTTTGTACTCTGTCAAATTGGCATAAAAAGCTTTAAAGCCGAGAAAGGTATAGGCTACTACAAATCCAACGATAGCAACAAGACATTTGGCTATGTGTGGCAAGAATTTTTCATGTGGTGTAAAAATTAGAGCTAAAAGTTGAACAGTGAGATCAATAATCTCCATAGGAGTTATAAGCAGTGAAACTAAATAAATATACAGAGGCGTCTGAACGAAACTTATTACGTAACCCATTGTGAAAGGTTCAAGAGGAAAAAAAAGATGAGAGAGAGAGAGAGAGAAAGACAGACGAAAGAATAAACGAACATTTCTTGAAAATGAAAAAAATAAGCTTTTTTTAACGTACATTATATACAACAACAATTAAGGAGGGCCCCGACGTCGTTCCACGATACTGAAAAGAGAAAAATCATGCTAAATCCAGTCAAAGCGCTATAATTTATCAACTTTTCCCCACATACATTTTCTGCATAGAAAACGCAGACAATTGATTCTCAAAGGAATCCTGGTTGAATTGAGAAAATAACCATCGTCTTCCATTGAAAGCACATTCTACTGTCACGACGGTACATTAGCCCTCAGCCTTTTCAATCAATGGAAGTAACTTATGCAAAACAAAGCTTAAATTCGTTGTTTTAAAGTCAAATGTAACATTACTCAAAGCACCAACGGTGTAGCCTCAATCCCACAGTTGTCGATCTTTTTCTGGGTTGGTGTCAGCATTTCCACGGGTATCAATACTCCAGGCATCATAGTATTCATAGAATAAATGAATACAGTTTATTGAAGGTATACATTATATATATATATATATCAGACAAGGCTCTACTTTGATCTGAGAGAATGGACAAAGTGATTATTCGAAAGCTATTATTTACATGGTAATATGTATTACAGCGGACATAACATGTGCTGAGGGTATAATAAAGTAATAAAAGCGGTTATATGAGACAGGGAAATCAGTAATGACTTTGACAAAGAAGTCTTTCTTTTTTCAGTAACCGAGGAAAGCTGCCCTCTTTTTGCCCTTCGGATAAACAATTAGGTTGGCCGTAAACAGGCCCATCGTCAAGGACAAAGCAACGACAAACACTTGATTTGCAAATTCAGCACCACTATTCAGACTCGAACCATCAAACATGTGAATGACGCCTTTCACACCAAGACTACCGGGTACCAGAACAATAATGCCACCCATAATAGGGACGAAGGCAAGCTTCTTACAGATACGGGAATACAAGTTACCAGCAATACCGACAGCAAAGGCGCCGGCACTAGGTGTAATAACAGAGTTGCTACCGACATAGAGACCAACGAAATAATAAACTGCGTAAGAGATAGCACTATTTGCACACATTTCCAAAACGTGTCTTGTTTTAGCACCATAAACAAAACCGTAGCCAATCGTTGCCAATGGCGTGTTCAAGAACATCCACCAAGGGCTCAGAGGATGTTGACAAGCTCCCAATACATCCAAAGCGAAGTCAGGATGAGCTAATTTCCAGATAGCACAACCATAACCAAGCCCAAAACCCAAAAACATACAATAGACAAGAGCGTACACGAAATGCGTCACACCACTGGTTAAATTTCTAGCTGCCAATTCCATTACAGCACACGTTAGCGAGTAACCAGGTAATGGGATGATAATGGCCGCCATAGCAACAGAAGCAAAACATATATGAGGTTGGATGGCCAGGCAAACGATAGCAATAGGAATAGTAACCAGCATTTCGAAAACGTTAGCAAACATGGGCATCTTTTCAGAAATGAAAGTCAAAACACCGACTAAACATTGGGAAACAAGTGATGTTCAGCGATCTGTTCATAGATGTAATAATGAATATAAAGTTAAACTTACCGACAAGACCAAAAATGGCACTAATCCAACAGTCAGTCCAGGAGCCGTTATAAAATAAGCAAGCACTGAAAGCAGAAGTCATTATATAACCAAGAACTGTCACCCAAAAACCATATGTAGGTGGACCCTCAATAATGTCATCGAGTTGGCGATTTGCTTCCTCAATACCAAGTTGACCTTTAGCTGTTTTGTATGCAATTATATTTGCTTTTTCTAACTTGTCTATATCAAGTGATCTGGGGCAACGAATAACTTGTGTATCGGAGGTATGTGTATGGATATCATTGAAGGTGGCGATAATTGTACCAGGCAGAACGACATAACTGCCATCCACTTCCAATCTCTGACTGAGCTTATCCATGGCAGAATCCTATACAGAAATTGAAAAAAAAGGAGAGATAAATCAAGAGAACATGAGGAAGTGCGCCATGCAATTTTGAGAGTAACTATTTGAACTTACAATTCTATGTGCGGGTGCACCCGTCATAACAAGAGCTTTACCCAGTTTGGCAATGAGCTCCTGTTTTGCTAGAATATTGGCAATATTTGAAGCAATTTGCATTCTGTGAATGGCCTGTTCAGCATCGTCTGCGTATCCTAGTTCTGCCTTCTGAAGATCATCATATGTATCGTTATGGCCCATGGTAGCTGCTACTGTTTTTAACAAAGCTGCGGAGCGAATTCGCCGCATCGGTCGAAAATGAGGGTGCACTGGAGGACATGAACTACGTGTTTGTGATCGTTGCTTTTCATTGAACATATCCAGTCTTAGTAGGTTGGACAGGACACCTCCACGACTCCTTGACGGATGGGGTCCATAATTTCCATATTTTGTCACCGAATCAACAAGCTGAAAGGCTTGATCGTGATGACTCATTTTCCTTTGTGCTGATGCTGTGTGAAAGTTATCATTATCATCAGAAGTATCCATGTCAAGGCATTCTTCAAAATCTCTTCCAACTGTCTTTTCCGTATTATTAGATGTTTGCGAGTTTGTTGATCTGACTGAACGCTGCCGGCTGAAAACAGGATGTAAACTAGCCAAGTCAATTGGAGGAGGCGTACCCGCGTTGTGGAACTTATTGCCTTCCATATTGTTGGGTTGGGTAACTGAATCGACCTTTAAAATTTAGATATAAGGTTAACTGTTACAAAAAAGTGATAGTAGGAAGGTTTATATATATGTATATATATATATATGATGGTAAAATCTAGAAATAATGTTATAAAATGCTATTAGTTTTTCATGACAAAGGGGAAGGGGAAGCAAAATTGGATTAACCGAGACCTTTATATAATCTTTTTTTTAAAAAAAAAAAAATCGAAAACAAGCGGCGATGATAGCTTTTTCTGAGACAAGCTTGCCTTACCTGTCAATCAGAAGGTTGAAATCAAACCTGCTCTCTTTCGAAAACGTTCAATTTGAAAATTTTTTTTAAAAAAAAAATAAATTTTGCTATTATTTATTGGGCGCGTTCTGGATCCGTTATCGCTGTTTGAAGTGTTGCAAATCAATAATAATCCTAATTATAGCAATGAACAGCCATATCCACTATGCAACTGAAGAATGGTATATCACTTAAATGCTAAAGGCACGTCTTTTGTCCTTGATGTAAGAGAAGCCTCAAAAGATAAGGGTTGTTCTACAAATTCATCTATGTAAAAGTAGACGATAGCACTGTGTAGCAATATCGAACTTAACTATGAGCCAATTACAGCTTGAATAACTGTGATCTGAACTGATCTTTGTGTAACAACCGGTTTTTCGGATCAGATTTGGAAGCATGGTGGCGTTCGGTATATAGATTGATATATGGGCTTTCTATTAAAAAGGCTCACCGCAAGACCTTTCAACCACACACCAAATATTTACTTTAATACGGTTGCGCTAAAAGCAATTATCAGTTTACAATCTGATAACTGCAATACATTATGTTTTTGATGTAAGTAGAATTCAAAAGTAAAGCTGTGCGTTGCGACGATTCTTGAATCAAACGGAATGTTAGTGAGTTTGCAAAAATGAGTATTTCATGAAAAGGATTACGTAAACTTGATTCAAAGCAAGTGAATGTAAAATTTCCGCCAAATACACTTCTGATTATAGAAGATGATGGAATAGATAGGATGGTCAGTCAGTATTAAACTGTATCGCATAGGACATTAACTGACCAAACACTGACCCAAGGCTCACAGAGAATGTTGATGAAAATTTGGAATTCTTTCGGTGTTTCTATCCGGTTAAACCACAGACGAAAGCAAATCCGCTAAAACCAATTGGCTTGATTAAAACAAAGAAGATTTAATCCTTTTTATTTTGCCTTATGACAACCGGTTTTGCTGCACGCCACAAAGGGAGACAAAGCAAATCGATGCACGTGTTTAAGGTCTTTCGGGTTATTTACTTCTTGATAATATCACTTTTAGCTTTCCTTGTGAGGAGAGACAATCACTGACATAGCGTTAAAATCACCGTGGTTCACTATAACAACTATCTCCATTACTTTCCTTAAATAATACAACAATAATATCAGAGCGGATTGTAACCGCGGGTAACCGTAGAGCTTAGTAAATCCTTTTATTCTGATATTGCGAAACGGAAATGGGTCTGCTTTCTTGAAACAGTAAAACTCAATCGTAGCAGGAAAGATTAATCCTAAAGGAAATCTTCATCAGCAAAATGTATAACTTTAATATCGATTTATGCTAAGTACAAGAAGGCATAAATTGTACACTTGAATAGACTGGAAACGTTCCAAAAAGTTACTGATATTAACTTTTTCAGCATTCATCCTTTTTTAATAATAGTTTTAGAATATTTTTTGAGAAGAAATGGTACGGAACCATCAATTCCAAGAAAAAAGACTCTTTTGGTATTTTTTGTTGCCTGCTTACCATGGTAAAAAGGATAGATAACAGCAATAAGCGGTATCGAATTGATCTTCAATTTTACGGGGTGTGTGATTACAGGTGGATTATTAATCTTTCTGGGCTCACTTTGCTGTGATGCGAATATAAGCTGAGAAAACCATTTTTCCGTCAAAAATGGAAAAAAGGGTAAGTGGGCATATGTAGTATGAGCAAACCCGAAGTTTTAGCAAAAAAGGGATGCAGTGCAGTAGTCTGATTGCGTTCCTGAGGTCCATTGTTGCTTTACCCCATCTTTTTCACATCATTCCAAGCCCAGTTCGAGTGTATATTACAGTTTATGGTAAGGGATTATCATGTGGAGAGAGAACAGAGCAACCTAGCTACCTCTAAAGGTAATTTACTTACCTCTAAAGGTAATACTAAGGATCGAAAAAATCAGCCTAAAACCTTTCTCTTCAACCGCCGACAATCTCGAACAGAAGTTGCTTTTCAGATTTTGCGATAAAGAAAATCAGACTTTTATTATGCTTATATTCAGATTCTATTTCAATATCGTGATGACATACCACGAGCTTTGTTGCGAGACTTGTCAATGAGAGCATAAAAGTCGGAGATGGGAATCACAAAACCGTCATCAATACGAGTTGATTCAACATTGGGAGTAGCGTCAGTAGCATTGCAATGGTTTCAAAAGCAGTGAACAATGTTGGAGAACATATTAAGGTGCTTGAGAGAGGCGAACGAGTGAAGCTCCAACAGGAAAGAGGCAACGGTCATAGCGCCAATTTTGGTCATTGTGTACAAGTGTTTGTGCTGCTTACGGACAACGAAGAAGGAGATATAGAAGCCATTGATCATAAACGCAAGACAACCACTTCAAATATCATTTTTTGATTGCCCTTTTTGATGCGATTCCCAGGCGAAGAATGTCCATACAAACAGAGTGTTTTGTTGTGGAGCTATTTCCAGGCTTGACCTCACCAAAACCAACAGGATAACCAAAATCAGCTGTATCAGTGTTGAGATAATTGCGTCGGGTCGGATATCAGACTCTTCTTCACATGATGATTTGTTAGCCCATCGCAGTGCTACATTTCGGTTTTGGTTGGCAATGTGATATTTGTGGTTGTTTTATGCTTAGTGAACGCGACTTATAATTGATAAAAACTGCAAGGTGAAATAAGTCTCCGTTAGTTCTTTTATTATACACTGAAAATCAGAGAGGGGAGCGTTCACAGCAAACTGAATGTTTGTTCTCAGAAAAGAAAAAATAAAAAAGGTCCTCGTTCCTTAATTTCTCAGCCAGTAATAATGCAGCATTATATATGCGCATCTTTGGAAATACAAGACGACGTGTACAAGTGTTATTATGATTCTATGGTCATAATAACGAGTCAAATGCTTGAAGAGGTGTCTAATTCGTCTTTATATACTATGGGAGGTATGGAAATACCACATAGACGACGAGGTAGACGACGAGGGTAGATTGAGTTCACTTCATATAACGCGGAGTTTGGGGCTAGACCTGATTTCGCAGTCATCTGAAAAAAGGGTGAATAACCTACCTCAACAATCAAGAGGCTTGCGGCTAGTAATCTCTGGACGAACGTCCTTGATACCAACCATTGCAGCTGATTGTTCGTCAGTCATGTTCTTTGACTTGGGTTCTCTTGCGAGGTGAGAGTCTGGACTACCTCAAAAAGAACCACAACAACAATATGTGCTTTTGGTGTTGTCATATCTTGATCAAAAAATCAACAGTCAAACAATCCAAGAAAAAAACGGAGTACTGGAACAGCTACGGCAAAAGGAAAAACAACAACATGGTAAGGCTATAGGAACAATAGCTAACGTATACGATGAACATCATGGAAAAGCACCCTGAATTCAAATGCTACTATCTGGTTATGGACAACACGCACCAACACATCAATCAAAAACCATTGAACTGCCTCTTACTGAACGTGACTACAACTGTGTTTATCTCCCGCCGTACTCTCCAGAACTGAACCCCATTGAACAATTTTGGTCCAAGTTGAAGTATACGATCAAGAGGGAAGAACTGCTGGATGTGGACACACTCTTTTCAAGAATGTCGGAAGCTTGCAATATGGTTACTCACAAGGATCTCCATTGATACATCCGTCACTCTATCTCCTGCTTCGATGATTGTCTCAATAATGCCCCTATTTAGTATAGTTTATTTATGTCATTCTTTATTCCATTATTATTTTTTGTTATTATCTTACCCAATAAAATATTGTTTTTGTCTTATCTTTGTTTTGCTCTCTACATTTGAACTCTGCGATATACCTATTTTTGTAGGCGACATCTACGCTACCGACAAATCCAAACCGAAAATGCGACATCCCAGATTTGATAACTCGACAACTGATTTTCAAAAGTGCGCACAGATTTCGAAAAATGCGACAAGTAATGTAGAAATATTGTAGATTATTTTTGATATTTAGGCCTATGGAAACAAATTAAGAAGGTTACAGTTTGCTTTAATCTTCTTTTATTGATTTAACAGCGAAAAAAAAAATTATTTTTTTTCTTTAATCTTAATGCTCGACGTAAAGAGGGGAGGGATAAAGAAATGAGAGGGGAGGGAGGTAACCTTCCTAATTTGTTTCCTCAGGCCTAAATATCAAGTGTAAAAAAAGCTGGAAAAGAGAAAATAATATCTAAAAACAAGATATTTACTTGAAACCATAAAATTTATAAAATGTAAAAATCTTATCTCAATTTTTGTGTTTTGTCTCAAATAACTTTTACCTGCCTTAAGGTAAGAGAAATGAACTATCGTTTTCACATAAACGAACCTATAGATGTCAATATACTTCAAGAAAAATATATTTATACATCTTATAAGACTGTAGAAGCTCTTAAAGTATCATTTTTATGCATTTTTATGGAGACCCAAAGTGAGGCCTAAACCCAATCAAGTTGATTAAAAAGATGCAAGGACTGGGCAATCAAAATTTTTAGTAGTTGATTAAGCGAGGCGTCGGTACTGGATCAGGTCTCAATATCACCTTTTTGACGAGGTACAAATTGAAGTCATCCTGCATAATGCCAAATCAGCCCGATTCCACCCCCACCACTGGTGTCCTGCAAGGTTCCGTCCTATCTCCTTTACTCTACTCATACTACATCAATGAACTACCAGTTATCCTACGCTCATATCAACCTGTACATCATCTACCTCTTTGTGAGCTAGCCACTCGGCTGAATTGCCTGTTATACACTGATGATGTGATACTGATTGCAGACCGTCGCCATCTACAATATCTATTACACCAATGTGAAAATCACAGTTACACCCTTGGTTATCGCTGGCACCCTGATAAATGTGTTATTCTTGACCCTCATAATGACCCTATGACCTATAGCCTTTATGAATCCCCCTTAAAGTCATTTAACTCATTTCCCTACCTTGGTGTTCCTTTCCGCCCGGGTGGCTATTGGATCCCAACGAATTAATCCGTATCAATACCACGAAAGCATTGGCTATGATGAATATCCCCAGTTCTATTGGCTTAAACAACCATGGCTTTGAGAAACTCTTGGCCCTTCGATTTAACGTTCAAATGATCCAGCCTCAACTAGAGTATGGTGCAGCTATATGCCTTTCACCTCCGCCAACATCCTTAAACTGAAGAAGGCCCAAAACACCTGTATTCGAAGGATCTTTGATGGTTCGTCCCGTTCATCTGTAAAAGTAATGCTCCACATGGCTGATTTACCATCCATGAAAGAACGCTGTGCGATTCTCCAAGCTAAATACATACTTCCTTCTCACCACTTACCAAATGATGCTCTCCTCACCTTACTGCGCCCCTACATCCAAGATCCATCCAGCAAATCAACCTATATTCGTCTAAGCCGCTCTCCTATTTGGAACCGAGTCCAATAACAACAGTCTATCAATCATAAAGTCCTCAACAAATGCATTCGTAAGTTTCGAACAGAAACTCTATATGAACTGCAACAACCACACCAGAACTCAAAGTTACTCTCTGCGTGTCGGACATCCCTAAGCTTAGACCCTATACTCTGGCTTCCGATGACTAGCGAAGAGCGTAGCCGCTGCATTCGATGGCGTTTCGGATGGCTACCTGGTGGTCAGTCCAACTTCTGCTTCCATCATCCCACCACCATCATGACAAAACAACATACCATACAGTGCTTACAGATGCATCAACGTCTGATGATGCCAATATCAATTCTAGATCCATTGTCTAATCTTTTGAATCAACTTCCCGACCAACGGACGGTCCATGTTTGGCGAGTGACGGCTGATCGAGGGGGACGAGTGGCCATTTGTCACAATTTCTATGAACTCGATCATTTGTTTCATGGATTTGATACACCCCCACCAGACCCCTCACTGGGCTTCGCCCTATTACAATGGTTGGCCCAGCCCTCACACAACAACAACTGATTAAATCCTTTTTTACCCTTGTTCCCAAAGGGGTTTTTAGCAATATATAGTCTATACTATAGAAACTATAGAACTGGCCCGGGCATTTTTGGTGCCCATTGGGTTTTAAATTGTAATAAAAGATTTCTTTAAACGTATTACGTTTAAAGAGAGGTTTTTATTGACAAAATATTTTCTTTAAAACCCAGTGGGCACAATGTTATATAAAATTGCCCGGGGCAGATCCGACTGTTTATAAAGTATCTAAAAAGCCCTTCAAGATCAAGGGTAAAAACGAGTTTATCACAAGGTTGAGTGATTATGAGGAGACATCCATTGGAGCAGTAAAGATCCTAGAGCAACATCCAAGGGTGGGGGTTCTTTGACGTGGAATAGATAGTCTAGCTCATATAGTATGTAGCAGAGGATCGGCCATTGGTGTTCCCATTGACGTTTTATCATAGGTTGTCTTGGCGGGTGGTTAGGTAGCTGATTTAGAAGATACGAAAGGGGATCTTCTATTTGCTGTGGTTGCTGCAAACGCGAGTGCATATGCAGGCATTAGATTGAGTGTGTCTTTGTTAACAATGCTGAAGGGTGCCGGATGCAGTAGGTGGTGTTACCACTAGGTAACCAACCAAGTCGCCAACGAAGACATCGACTTCTTTCTTCTCTTGTCATTGGAAGCCATAGTATGGGATCTAAACTTACTGTTGGGCGGCAGACGGACCTCTAGGTTTCATAAGAGACGATTTCGAAAATTTTGTGGACGAAGTCGGTACCTTAATTGGGACGTTTCTTTTTTTTTTTTTTAGTGGACTATAGATTTTTGATTTTAGACGAAGTAGGCTTTTATGGTAGACGAGATATTTTGAGTAGATTTCTTTTGCTTTAAAATAAACACATCCCTGCAACATGGATTACATAAATTATAATCCTGCAAGTGAGCCTATGCTTTCCGAAAATACTTTTGCTATGGACTTGGATGAAATTGCTGTTACTTTCGGGCAAATTGAGAAGATCGTCGACTATGATGAGATGCAGCGCGCGGCGCCCTGTAGTCGATGATGCGAAAATGGAAGAAACTGTTGAAGAATTAACAACAGAATTCAGCACTGTCGCATTAACGGATAAGTCCAAGAAGCGCAAGCAATATAGTGAGCACAGCATTAGACGGTTGATTCACTTAATCCAAGAGGCTGGGCTTACAGTTCCCAAAACTGCGGTTGAGTGTGACATTCCGAGGTTCACCGCTTATAAGTTTTCAGATCAGTGGAATGTTAGTGATGGTACAGTCCTTCCTGGTAGCAAGCCAAGAACCGGCATCTCTCGACCAAAGAAGCTTTTTGCAGAACATACTGAGTTTCTTATAGCATTATTTGATGCGAGACCTTTGACAACAATTGAAGCTGCAAGACAGGAGCTCTGTGCCAAATTTGAAGGTTTGAGTAGACGTCTCAAAAATCTGGTTTGTACTGTCCATTCATATGGCAGCTTTGTTTAAATCCAACGCTAAATTACTGTATCGGATCAAATTTTTCAATATCTGCGTATTTTTAAATGTGACATTAAACGCGTAAATCATACTGTTATTATAAATGTTGTTAAACGAAATGTTATGTTGCCAAAATTTAGTGATCATTCTTATCTTTCACCTTTTTCAATTATTTTCTTCTCTTCTTCTTTTCTTTCACTTCATTACCTTCAAACCAACGTCATTTTCTACACACATGTACAAGACAATCATCATAGATAAAATCAATTCAGTGAAAGAAAATTATACCAAGAAGGAAAATCCGTCCGGTAATGGCATATCACTATACAGTGTGTAGTTTGAGACATTAGTAACCTTATTGTACACTTTTCAGAGCATACCAAATGTAAGGACTGTAATGATTTGGGTCACTTTAATAAAAATTACCCGGGATGAAAGTACCATAAAGCTATATCCGCCGATGATGGTAAGTTGAGCCTCGACCTGCCTTTAGCCACACAAGCCAAGTAATAGACCATCTCTTCCACATATAGTTGGGACTCGCAATAAGAAGAGAAAACAGAGCGCCAGTGTTAAAGCAGAGAAGAAAGCGGTGAAAAAGAAGAGAACAGCATCACAGGCTGTAGAGTGTTCCAGTTGTGGGAATGATGACCATGCTTCTCCTCGTTCGCCTCTTTGTCCTAATCACATACAATCAAAGGACGAGGCCATTTCATCTGTCCTTGGCCATGATTCTACTGTTTTTACTAGGAAGCTTCCTATCGACAGTGCCGTTTTACCACAGTTTCGTGAAAAGTTCAAGGAAAAGGTCATCTCCTGCTGCAAGGACATCAGAGCTATAGTGTTTCGCTGCCAGCTATTTGTTAATGCCTATCTCGTGCATAATAAGAATGCCATTCCTTCAGAAGTCTTCACACAGCAATTTTGGTATTCTGTTGGACAACTCGTTACGGGCAAAAAGGTTACTCACAAGAAGGCGCTGAACGACGACATCAAAAATTATTTTGATGACTTTAAGGAAAAGCATCCGACAATAGTAATCAGTCAGAGCTTCACTAAAGGTTACAGCCACTGTCTCACAGAAGCCGCCAAGGAGATAAGCGTTTCGTATACTAACTCTATTGTTGAGCTTTTTGAACAACGAGTGCTTAAATATCTAACCTATAAGCTGCAAAGCATGTTTGTTGTGCGTGTTGTTATCACTACTATAATTTCGATTTCTTAGTTTCTAACCATTTGTATTTGCTTTATTATAATCAGAGCATGAAGAAGGCCGACGCAGTGGAAATATCAAAAGCATACTGCTACCAAGTAATTTGCAAAGGCGAACCCAACTGGCCTGATAGAATCATGCTTAGTAAAGAAGACAAAAGCAAGATAGAGATGCTATGCAAAAGCTTTGAGAAACTTATAACGGAAAAGGTTACGTTGCTTTCTTTATCATCCGATCCCGCCAAGTTTACCAAAGCATTATGGCACATCCTATCCTCGTATGAAAAGGAACATGACAAACATGCAGCTTACGATGTCCGTAGATTACCGCTGCCCAAGCGCTTCTTCCCTTTCCCTCTGCCTTCGCTCCATTGGCGTTTCATCACCATAAGCATCAACTCGCTCCTCCCATTCATGTTTCCCGGTACACCTCCAAAAGGCTATACAGATCAACTCGAAAAGTTTTATCAAGTGTTCAGCTTTAAGAAGATGGGATTTGATACGTAAAAAAAGAAAAAAAAAGTTTGGCAGAAATGTTGTCATTGGTATTTACTGAATTTCATTTTTTGTGACAACAGTTTGAATAACCTCAAGACAAGCCAAGAGACCCTATTCCGTAATATCGTCCGCTCGGATGGCTTCACTGTCAACTTTATTTTTAGTAAGAAGAGAAAACCATCGAAGACCATCAGTTGACTTTGGAAGATTTTGATTATGCCGAAATCGAATCTGGTTATAGACCCTGCTTCATTGATCCTGGTAGAAGAGACGTTTTCACAGCAGCATTTGGGATAGACGTAACGAAGCACCAGGTGCGAAGCTGTTCTACCAAAGAGTACTACCATATGACTGGTAGCACTAGGTATTCAGCAAGGCTGGAACAGAAGAAAGCAGACAAAATCAAGGGCATCGAAAGTGATATGCCAACTGCCAAGACAGGCTCCAAAGCCCAATATCACTGTTATGCAGCATACATCCTACAGCACTTGGAAGTCTTGTTTTCTTTCTACGGTGATGACACTGCCAAAGATCGATTTCATGTATACCAAGGACGGAAACGTGCAGCAGACAAAATGGTAAATATGCTAGTTAATGGCAGTACAAAGTATAACGAGGATCTCAGATTGAAGAAGAGAGAAGAAAAAGAAAAGAAGGCCTCAAAGAAGAAGAACAATGGCAAGGCGGCTTCTCAGAAAAGACGAAAAAAGAAGAAGAAAGGAGCACCAGAGAAAAAGAGTATAGAAGAAGGGACATCAAAAGTTAAAGTGGAATTGGAGAAGAAAGATAGGTTATAAGCAATCATCATCAACAACTTATAGAAAGTAATATGTTTTTTGTAATAGTAGTTCAAATGCCAAATGGAGGCCCCAACCTTTCAATGTCGGTGATGTCAAAAAAGTACCTCTCATTGTATTTGGCAATGGTATGTTCGCTAAAGACAATGTCGCATTCAAGGGTCACCGATGTGGAACGGTGGGTGTTTTGTGGCGTGCACTCAAGCGACGTGAAGCAAGCGGAGACCTGGTAGTACTTGAAATCGATGAATACAAGACATCCAGGATATGCTCCTGCTGTTCGAACGATACTTTGGAGAGGTTGAAAGGCGTTAAGACCTGCAGTATACTTGTATGTAAAACTTGCCATATACTGTGGAATCGAGACGTCAATGCTGCCAAGAACATGATGAAAATCAGTTGTGCTATTTGGAAGGCTCTAGGAAGGCCAAAAGAATTCACGCGGACAAAAATATAAAAGCATCCTCTCCCTCAACATCGCTGGAACGAACCCAGTTTGATAATTACAGGTAAAAAGAATGAAAACCTTATACTTTCTAGTGTTGTGCAAACTGTCTAACATTATATTCTTAACGGTCTACTATTATCTGACATCCGCTTAAACTTAATTTCCTTATCGTCTAAAAATTTTGTGTGTGTTGTCCAAATCTAAAGTTAATAAACTGTAGTCTGTTTACTTTTTGTACAATTAAAATAGAGCAAGCAATCATTGAAAGATTTATTCGCATTTGCATTTAATAATAAGCGAGAGCCGAGCTCTAAGGCTTTAATTATTATTTTGGTAAATATGTGTAATTTCATGAAAAAGATATAAAGATGTATAAATCTACAATTGGTATTTGGGCATAGAAGATGCTATTAGTGACCTGTAAAAAGGTGATATTGTACAGAAGCAGATGAAAAGATGATGATGTTGATGATGATTATGTATGCGATTTTTGATATAGACAATTAGGGCTTCTCTTCGATGTATAAGACCGAGATCATTGTAGAACACAATAAGCCTTTGCTTTTTTTCTTCTCTTGTTAGTGAGCGATCTTTAGCACACAATATGATTTGTTTCGTGAAAGAATTGCTGACTTGGCTGGTTATGTGCACAACTTGTTTGCTCTTCTGGTAATGCAGGAAATGAAAAATACACATCCTCAAACAGGCTTTTTGTTGTAGGTGTTGCTAAATCTGTTTGTAAACTGTCACTGGCATCATCATTTGGACCATTGGGTGATACCATTAATAATAGGTTTTTCACAAATGAGGAGAACGAGTTTCTGCGCGCTGTAGTAGTAGAAGTAGTAGAAGTAGAAGTCATTGCGCACGTTTCAAGTATTGAGTGTTGATAATGGAAAGAAAGATGGAATTGTGTGAATTTAGCCCAGGGTATTTAAATTGTTTTGGGATTATCCTCTTGATCATATAACCAAACAAGGAAGTATTTGTGAACACAAACTGGCATCTTTGGTTTTGGTGAAAGCGAAAACGTAGAGTGACCCGATCCAATCACAGCCCATCATTCAAGCATCATACAGAAGAATAAGCTTAAGGGCCTGGACCACTTAGTCAGTCTTGCATCTTGTTGTTGTACAATACACACCCACTCCCGATATTCTCGACCCCTCCTTTTTACTACAGACAATATTCTGGGCTGCCTACTGGAACTCCTGAAGTGTCTGCTGAGCTATGACCTTCATAAAAACCAACAACAGTCTAACCTTAGAATTAATGTAAAGCATGGTAAACCTTCATTCTGTTTAAGACCATTCTTCATTTAAATGCCAATTTCTTTTATATTTCTTTTACCATATATCAATCAGAAACTTCAGAAGTGTTCAAATGGATTCGAATAAGACTTGCAGCTTATAGTATCTTGGTGACTAACTTGTTTATGGCAAAGCTCTACATGATTCACACTCTTTTCGTTTCAGAATCAGATCAATTTTAATACAAAAAAATACCAAACAAATCAGTAAATATTTTTGGATAAAGCTTATTAAAATTCTGGACTTTACTTTTTGTAATCTTCAAGATAGCCGAGAAGGAAATCAAACATATTATGCCGCGCATGTAATTTAACGGCAAAATCTTTAACTGATTTCTGAGCACCAGCCTATACTTATTGCGCCGCCATATCAAACGCTTTCAAAAAAACAGTAGGGTATTACTTAAATCGACAGAAGTTACATTATTAAAGAAAATGGAGTAAATAATCTAAATGTTTAGGCAATGATCATAAGATACCGATCTTTGATGTGCGAAATCATTGATATTTCAAAGGATTTACGGCACGATGTGTCAAATGAAGTTTATAAACATCTGAAAACAAAGGAATGACGAGGTCTTAAGCCAAACTTGTGTCTTATTGGTTAAGCCATCTTCAAGCAATACAAGTGGCACTTTCGCTCCATAGCCCAATTTAAAGTGTTTTACCAGCTATGGCTAAGCATATCACGATAACTTTATCTAATGGCACATTTTATTCATCATAGTATTGAAGGTTACTTGAGTTCCATTGATTGGTGGGTCATCTCAAAGTTTCTTCTGTTATGTTCCTTTTTTCTTCTAGGACGGTTCCTCATGGTTACATTAATTGCCTTTTAACTGAATTGTTATTTCTACTACCAGTAGCATTTTCAATAATCACTTGCTCTTATATGAGTTTTTTTTTGGGGGGCAGCCCCTGAATCCGTAGAATTTGAAGCACACTCAGTAAGTCCACGTATATTAAATATTGAAGATACCGATCAGACAATGATTTTACAGACGGAGTATTTGTTTCTCTTTCTTTGATAGGTAATGTTCTCAGTTCATCCTCCTGCTTCGCTCTCGCTTTCGAACATCGACTGATGAAACACCTCCAATGACAGATTTTCTATTAGATCACTGCCATAGCAGGGCACGTATGCGTCTTTCCATCCTGGATCAACAGCACATGGTCGGAAACATCTTTGAATATTCTATTCAACAATTATTCTACGACTAGCCTCAATATCTTTCAAGGGATCATCACTCTTTTATTCTACGAAGAGAACACGATGTGTCTATAATTCACCCGTACAGTAATTGCTTTTTTTTTTCGGCGCTAGGCAAGTTTAGGAAATTTTTAGAAGCAACAATAGTTTCGAAGTTAGAGGACAATAAGTATTTAACTCACAATTAGTGCGCATCAGTATATAAATATTCAAGAACGTCCAGCTACCTGTCCAGAAGGAACAAAATGAAGCTGTAACAGCAATAGAAGCATCTGGTTATGTAGCCTATGTTGTTGTTGTTTTTTTGTTGTGGGACATGTTCACTAGAAATAAGTTTTGTGGGCTTGCTTCTATGAATCTCTATTTCATTCTTGGAAACAGGAACAAAGCAAATTTACATAGCAGGACCATGGCGTTTGGTAATCAGGACTAGCATGAGAGTTGCGTATGTATTGAAGGCTTTGTATTATCACTCTGTATGTTCAATTTGTCTTGCTCAAAATGCTCAAGCCGCTAATAGCACTTGTTCCGTAATATGTTATTTTACCTAGGTACACCGAAAAATTTGTATCGTAATATCTTCTCAAAGTATCATAATCAGTAGCCGAATCGCGCAATTCATTGTATTATCTCCGGAGGGGTAATAATTTTTCTAGCTTACAACTTGACAAGCATGGATATATTGTTTATTACATTCATAAGGTACGATAAAATGGAGAGATCGATCATGTTTTGAGCTTTAAGGTACGTCTCCGCGCACCAGCAATGATATAGGACTTATCCTGTCTCTACAAGTTTCAAAACTTTCAGGACGCCGTATGAACAATTATAATGGATCGATATAGTAAGTATTTTGATGGTCTCTAATAGGATGAGCTGGTGATCTTCACAAGCAAGTGCTCTGCTGGACAAATGACCAAATTGGCCACGAAAATTACACCATTTTCACAAGGCATCTACGGGCCTTTTCTTTTCCCTACATCTTCTTTTGCTAAGCTTTTCAATGCTCGCATATACGGTGCATCTTTGCAGTTCACTGTAACGAGAGTAAATATTTTTTGTTTCTTTATCTCTCTTGTATATAACCTATTCTTCATTTCTTTTAATACTGCTACTACTGAACTGTTACCCGAGGTACTCGCTTCGGTATCAATACTCATACTATCGTTATCACGCTTCTCCTGGATAGCTTGTGCTTGTTATTCAGCAGCAAAACTACCTGTTTTTTTCCCCATGTTTCAACAAACCTGCTTCCCAAATAAATGATTGGGCATATCATTAGTGATCTTTGATGAAATGTTTTTCTAAAGATCAACTGAACATTCATTTACTGAAAAGGATCAATGCAAGTAACAATACTAGGCTATTTAACGGAGGGCAAAACTGTAATACGTAAAGCCTATATTTCGCTTCACATCAAGCATGCATTCAAGTTCTGAAGATATGTATACTTAAAGTGCTCAAATAGAAAGATATTGCAAGTTGATAATGAGTTAAGGGTCACATATCTCTTCAGAAACAAAACCAAAAAATCGTTCAAGGTAAGAAACATAATGCATACTTTTTTAACTCCCTCATCATACGAAACTGTCTGGTAATAATGCACTCACGGCAGCTCTTGAAGAGAACAAAGATTTACTCAAAACTAATGACCACCAATGTTTTCAAACAATAGGTATAGCAGAGTGATCTTGGAACTTCCAATAGCAATTTATCATTGATTTTATTCAAAAATGACGGCACTTTCCTCCCTTCTTCCAACATCGCGACGACAGTCATAGGTAGAATATCTTTGGCTTCAATATTGAAAGCATTATATGAAGTTTAAAACAACTCAAAAGGAAAGGCGTTTGGAAAATCTCAACGAAGAAAAGGAGTCGGCGCGTTTTCAAGAGAAAAGCTCCGCCTTCTCCGCATATAAATCCTCGATCGAATTTCGAGAACACAAACATTATCATTATACCAAACTATGACAACAACAGCCGTGAGGTATACCGTGAATTGTATAGAATCAAATATTTTAGCGTCTTCAAATATACACATACACGTTTTATAACACATTTTAAAGAGTAGCATTGAGGGTTAGACCCCTTACAGAGGGAAAAGAAGTAGGGGACGTGGAGTTGATGGCGAAAGCTAATTGCATTAGCTACATTCCGAATGAGCCTCAAATCTTCATTGGACAAAATCGATCGTTTACCTTTGATTCAGTCTATCCCTCGAAAAGTACGCAGCAAGAAATATATAACTTTAGTGTTACTCCGTTGTTGGAACAATATATGGAAGGGTAAGCATTACCTTTATTTTAAAAGTTGTTTTGTTCCTGGATTTAGCATAATGAAGGAGTCTGAATTGAACTTTTTTGTTGATGTTCTGCATAATCGCTATATGCATTCATGTAGTAAAAATGCTACTGTCCTTGCTTATGGGTAACGATATCAATTTCAGTTTATACTTGAATGATAGTATGTAGATTATTTACTTGTTAAATTTTATGCCTTTAGTCAAACCGGATCTGGAAAATCATATAGCATGGGCATGACAGTGGAGCCATGTGTAAATTTAGAAGAACAAGGTAAAAAGACCTTCTTTGCTAAGATTTGCTGTAATTCGATGTACTCATACTCAATCGTTACATGGTTGATTGAGGAAGGCATTGTACCCAGATTTGTAAATGCCTTGTTTGACAGAATATCATCAATGAAAAGTACGACAGAGCTAGGTTTGACCACGAGCACTAAAGAAGAAGCACGCGAATGTCAAGTTTCTGTAACATTTCTTGAATTGTATAATGAAGATTTGAGAGATTTACTGGTATTGCCAAATGGAAGCAACGACAGTTTGAATGATAGCCAGCAAACAGACAATCATTTGTCAATCAGAGAAGATATTGACGGCAATATTTATTGCCCTGGCATAAAAGAAGAAAAAGTGGAGTCAGCAGAAGATGTTTTGAGGTACAAAATGTATATTATCCATGACGCATATGCTGCTCTGTTCAGTTGATTAATACCTTTCGCACATTTTTCAGGCTGTTAAGAAAGGGACTACAGCAACGCACTACAGGGACAACAGAAATGAATGAATCTTCTTCGCGATCGCATGCTATTTTTACCGTTGTTCTCAAGCAAAAGTTAAACAACAGAACTCTTAATAGTGCTGCTTGCACTAATGACTCAATAGAGGTGGTCGAATGTGAAACGAAGGTTTGCGAAAACCGACAATTAGTGTCCAAGTTTCATTTTGTTGATCTTGCAGGGTCTGAAAGGGTAAAAGAACTGAAGATTTTGTAATCCGGAAATTCAATAACTCAAGTCCTTCACATTTTATCTCCATAGCTTAAACGTACTCTAGCTGTAGGCGATCGTCAAAAAGAAGGGATTTCAATTAATGGAGAACTTTTGGCTCTAGGCAAAGTCATATCGGCACTAGGGGACAATTCAAGAAGACGAATGACTGGTCAACAACAACATATCCCTTACAGAGATAGCAAGCTGACAAGATTATTGCAAGATAGCCTCGGAGGTAACAGTTGCACACTTATGCTGGCATGCATAAGCCCTGCCTCCTTAGATTATGCAGAAACGTTGAATACGCTAAAGTACGCAAATCGTGCTCGTAACATTGAAAATCGTGTAGCGATTAACCATGAATTTGTGGAGGGCTCGTCAGAAGAACTGCAATTCTTACGCTCACAAATCGCTCAGCTGAAATTGCAAGTGGCTATGTTGAAGAAAATGAGTCGTATCGCAGTTAACGGACATCATTTCAATAAAGAAATTGATGATGATATGACTAAAATGAGGAAGAAATTACGATCAATGAAAGAGTATATACATAAATTAATGAAGGAACTGTCAAAGGCACAAGAACAGAACACCCTTATGCTGCATTCGAATAGTATTACTGTTGAAGAAGGAGAGTCAGGTGGGAAGTTGTCGAAGGAAATAGCGTATCCGTTGATTGGAGATAGCTATGCACAATGTTCGAAAGATTCAAACCTAGAATCCACTGATATATACTACAACATTATTAATGCCACAAATAGTTCTGATCTTTCAGATTCGGAGTTTTTGTCACAACAAAAGTCGTTAGGTAAAATGTATACTGTATCGTCCTTGTTTGACTGTACTGGTCCTATTGAACATGGAAAGAATACCAAAATGGTAGGACCCTCTTCGAATGCGACTAGAAAGAACCAAGATTACAGACAAGTTATCAACAGATTATATTATAAGGAAACAGTATCATTGAAAGATAGGACAGCGTCCCATAAAGTTCCACTAGCGTTACGTATGAAATCACTCTCTTCGCAACCCTCTCACAACTGGAAAAGAAAAAGGACAGCAAGTGGTTTTGAAAAAATGTTTCGTTCGGGAAACGGATACATAATAAATGAGGCAGAAAATGAACATAACGACCGCAATGTTGGTAATGATACTGACAAAAATGGACAAACCTCCTTTCCACAAAAGGTAAATTATATTCCTACTTTGACTGCAGGTTGAGCGCATATTTTTGACAATGATGAAAGGGAACTGGGGACGGGGGTTGTAAATAACAGTGGAAGAAATCATAGATTTTAATTCAGGCTCTCGCTACTAAACGAATGCAACAATGCAAACCATTTTTCAAATTTATTTGGTCACAGTTGCTGATAGATGAAACAGTGTTACAACGGCCTTATGTCAAAGAGAAAGACACTTTCGTTGACACAACATCAATACCTTCTTTAGAAACTGCTCCTGCTGCTCTAAGGATAACACCTGATGTGGAGTTTTCTTCTCCTAAAAAGCGTTTGGGAAAAAGGTTCACAATGCCACCAAATGTAGTTATTTGCTCTTTTGACAGCAATTCTATGAATGTCAACAATGAACTAGAAGCCCTTGTAAGTTCTAGATACAGCTTGAATAGGAGTCTATGTATTACTTAGTGATTTCTAATCCGTTTTATTTCACTTTTTTGGTAGGCTATTCCCACCTGGACGCCAAAAACGGTAATGCCTTTGAAAAAACAACTATCAGTGACATCAACAGAGTCACTTTCGAATCATAGTAGTGGCAGTTCAGAAGTTAGCCTACAACAACAATTAAGGCTGTCATCAGTAACGGACGACGATAACGGGGTAGAAAACGACACCAATGCTAAAGACTTAATTTATTCCGGAAGCCTTCGTACCGATAAGAATGCATTAAAGCTACTACACCAAATAGAAGCCGACCTCTTGGTTAAAAGTGAGCTAGTCAACCATTTTGAAAAAAGTGAATGCCAGTATACTCAAATGAGGGAGGTCTATGAGGAAAAGTTAACAGAACTCAATAACCATATAATCAATCTTCAACAGCAGCGGGATTGTGGAACACAGAAAGTCTCTACTACTACCAAAGATAAAAAAAAAATGCCGTCCTTTTACAGTAAACGTCAGTCAGCTCCTTGTTTGGCGACAATTACTACTGCTGTTAGAAATGAGTCACACATTTCTTTAGAGTTACGTGAGGCTCGTTCAATTCAAGATGTAGTACTCGAATACAAGCTGAAGTTACAGAAACTTAACGCCGAAAATAAAAATTTGCGCGAAAAGAATGCACAAACTTTACAAAATGCACAGACAGCTAATAATAAGGCGAGAAGTACAATACAACAACTTCGCACTGAAATTGAAACATTAAAACTGGAGATAAAATGCCAGGGCAAAAAGCTAAAGATGCAGACAGATAAAGCATTGGCTCACGAAAAGGAAATTCAGCAATTAGAGAGGAGAATAAAGACATCGGTCGATGCGAAGAAAAAACTGGTAGAGGCAAATGAAGCTCAAAAACAGGCTTATAGACGGAGAACAGTAGAAATGTCAGCAGCAAATACATATCTCCGGCATCTAACAAATATTTTGCGAAAAGCTGCCAATGAAGGAACTTTTTTAAATGAAGCCACACTTACCAGAATGCTTGATAGCGCTAAAGCGTCGTCTGATATCAAAAGTATCGGTGACGGTATCGAAATCGGTGACAGTAGCCCAAGGTCATGAAACGACCAAATTTTTTAAAAGAGAAAAAGCAAAAGAATGCTAACATCGTGCATATAAGAAGACATTTTTTTATAAATCTCAACGCATTATTATTCCTGTTTTGTACTAATGAACCTTCTATTTATACATTTCATTTCTTTATTTATTTGTATTCTCGTTTAATGAATTCAGCCCTACTTATCGGTTTCTAATAAAAGGATATGGTATGTTACTCAGGAGGATTATATTCTTTCGATGCTAAATTCTCGTATTAGCTGCTTAGTTTGGTACTACAATTTGTATTTTAAGCAACTCATCAAAAGCAAATGCAGCTTTGAGGTTTAAGCTTCGTAATGCCACACATTAGACTGTAAGGCATACCTTAGATTAAGCGTTAAAGTTTTGGAGTTCTAAATATAGCTTACTTTGTAAAGCAAACTTTTATTCAAACTCAAAGCAGCAGCCAAACCTGATAATCAACCAACATGCAACTTTGGCTATTACAACAATTTATCAGGCTGACATTTGGCTTACTTTTTCAAGACGATCGAAGTCAGGTAGTATCATAATAAAAGAGCTATGTTCAAGGTGCATTTACATGCTTTCTTTCATTTCCGAAATTCATTCAGCAATTACGTTGTTACAGCCACAGCTAACGTACCATGCCAATAATTAACTCTTTGAACTTTTCATCAATACCGGAAAAAACTGAAACAGAAGAGTTCAGTACAGAGAATAATACATCTGGCTTTTCTTACGGTGACCGCTTTATTAACGCATCATCTAGCTTCTCAACATCATATCTCAACGAAGATTACTCGCAGCAAACTTTGTTATCAACGCCACAAAATGACATTCGATTTCCAATAACACACTCTGTTCTTGCCAATAGCTCCTATACATATATTCCAACGAACGAAGCAATTCACGCTAACAGCTCAAAGCAAAGAACTGAACAGGCAGCTCTATCAGTAAACGGTAGCAATAGTGGCAAAACATTAAACATATTTTCAGAAAGAGCAGCAAAACTAGTTAGATCCATGAAAAGACGGATGGCATTTAAACAGCCTGTCGATAGTGATCCTCGTCTAATATCTCCTCTAAATAAGCGCTTTATATTAGCTGCTTTAGCATTGGGCGCATCATTGAATGGATTTTGCTCTACAGTCTATGTAAATAAGGAAGATTTTATCCGTACTATTACATAATTTCGCAATCATAATATAAGGGCTATGAGCCTACATACTAACAAATTATTGCTGCTATCTTTGTATAGTTCCCGGGAATCCCAGAAATAAAAACAGATATGGCAGCTACAGATATTCAAATCACGGTGGTATCCTCCCTATTCATCTTGTTTGGTGGAATTGGGGTAAGAGTGCCAATTTAATCTACCAAACACTCCTTTATGCCTAAACTGAAATTTTGTTCTCTTGAATAGCCAATATTCTGGGCTTCGATATCGGAATACTATCATATACGAAGGTAAAAACGAGCTGAAATCTTTGCCTTTTAGGGTACAGAGGACAAGCAATTCAAATATAATCATAAGGTTTTTATATTTGGTAGCATTACTTGTATTTTTCGGTGCTTCAATAGGATGTGCACTAGCTAATAACATCTATGTTTTGATCGTACTACGCTGTATTCAATCTGTTGGAACGTCGGGTATTGTAGTAATAAGAAATTCTCAATATGATGACAATTGCCCTCTAATGATGTTATGCCAACGAAATATTTAGTTACTATGTCTGTTGGTGCAGGAACTGTGGCTGATTGTTGGCAAATTACAGAAAGGGGATCAGCATTCAGTTATCTATTCGTTGGACAGTTTATTGGCCCACTGATAGGTAACATCTTTTGGCTGGTTTGCTTCTATCTATGTTCCTATATTTTCAGCACTTAAACAGATTTATGATTCTTTCACTACTCTTAGGCCCTATTGTTGGAGGTGGGCTAATTACGGCAACAAATTGGCGTAGTGTTTTTTGGCTCTGTGCCGGTTATGGACTCTTCTTGTTTGTATTTTTTTTCTTCCTTTTCCCCGAGACATATCGCTTAGATCATCAATGGGATCAAACTCTCCCAACCATCTTGGAGAGTCAGACTACCTTGACTAATACAGCAGAAGGTAATCACATCGCTCATCAACGACAACAGCCAGTTAGGAAAATAGACATGTCAATTACCATGAGCAACAGTTCCAATGCCGAATATAAGGAAGTTACGCTTACTCATAAAAATAAAGAAGCACTTCAGACCGCTACCACAACTGCAACGGATGACCACAGCACATTCAATCCATTTAGAAGCTTTGCTATGATGCAATATGCGTTTGTTTGCTTTGTAGCTATAGAAATTGGTTTCTGTTTTGGTACGATGTTCACGTTAGAAACACTTATTCCTGATTTGTACTACATACATTATGGATTTGATTCCTGGCAAACAGGTAATCATTTCAATTAATTATCGAGTTTCAATTGACATTATTAAACCATACTTACTCTTCTCAAGGACTGAGCTTTATCGGTGCTGGTATTGGAAATGTTCTAGGGTCAGTTATTTCTGGAAAACTTTCTGATTATCTGCTAATCAGAGCAAGCAGAAAAAGGGGTGGTATTTCAAAAGCTGAAGATAGACTCACACTGAACGCATGGTAAAATAGAAATCTGTTTGTAAGCCTTCTCTGTCCAGCAAATAATTTCTCTGATTCTTTTTTCTTTTTTTCTATACAAAAAACCAAAAAACGAAAGGCCAGGAGGTTTCTTTTTGATTCCACTTGGCGTTCTTCTGTTTGGTTGGAGTATCATGGCTAAATTCTCTGTCTGGCCGGCCATTATAGGATTTAGTATACTATGTTTTGGAATGAGTCAAGGTAAGATTAATTAAGTCTGCATTTTGGATTGGCTGCTGACAGAGTATTATCTTCTTTTTCTATTTGTTTCTAACAGTGTATACAGCAGGATCTGCTTACTTGGTTGACTCTGTACCGGGAAAAGGGGCATCCGTGACAGCAGCTTGTAATTTCTTTAGAATGATTATGGCTGCTATTTTAAGTTTCATCTCTCCTATTATGGGGTCAGCGCTATCCATAGGTTATGTATCTATACTTTTAGCGTCACTCAACGTAATAGGCATGAGCTTATTGGTTTTCATAAAGTTTAAGGGAATTCACATGAGAAGAAAAGCTGGTTTTGCAGAAAGTAAAGCAGAGGAAGCCAATGAAAATAACACTTAGTAGAAATTGTAAATATTGTACAATAATTATATAAAGATTACGCTTCAATAACTTTGCCATTTCGCGTGTGTGGTTGTGCAATTTTATTGAAGTATGTTGTATATCACTGTCATATTTGGGGCATTAGAATGGCATCATGCAAGAATATGAATAATAACAATCCAAAGATGTGAATAAAGTAGAATTATTTCAGGGCCATATCCAGATAGAAGAGTCAGAAATATTCGTCAAATGGCACTACCAGAAAGTATCACTTATTTCTTGCAACCGCAGGAAGAGCAGGTGCAGCTTGAGCCACAGTTACTATTTGTGAGTGGTATAGTGTTATTTCGACTTTTTACTGCCGTAATAATTGACTTCCATAAGAGAAATGAGGACCTACCCACAACATTTACCGTCACCGTTTTGCATTTCAATAAAAATTTCCTTTCTAAAATATAGAGAAGCTGAAGATGAGCTTTTTTTAACAGGCATTCGCTTTGGCCATTTTATACCTTTTTTTTTTTAAAAAAAAGGACCACAAAAATCTAACAAACGGGAATCATCTGATGCACATTTTGTACTAACATTAGTCGGGGTTGCTTTTATCATTCATATCAAAAGACCATACCCTCATTGTAGGACCGGAATATCTTTTTAGATGAAAAAGTGATCTGATGAGATCTCTGTATCTCAATGAAGATAAACCATAATAAGTTTGAAGATAGAATATTAAAGCGAATCAGATGATAAACTTATTTACAGATATGCAATGTCTTTTTCTTTTAAAACAAAAAGGCGTAAACAAAATTTTATTGACAGTTTGAGCGAACTTCTTTATTAAAAGATATTTTATTACTAACACCCTCTAAATTGACAGTGATAGCAGAAATCGTGGCGGCTGAAGCGAGTAGTTCGTACATTAAAAAATTGTGAGAATATAGTACTTGTTCAAGAAATTGATGAGATGAACATGGGATAAGATAAATACAAATATGAAAAAGCTTTTTCTATAAACTTAACGTTGTGTGTTGTAAGGGACGGCGGCATTTGCACGGTTGGCTAAAGCTTGCTTATGTACTTGTTGCTTTTTCTGTAATACAGAGCTTGTGCCTGTTATGACTTCATAAATCTCAGCAGCAAATCTTTGTTCAAATGTGGTTTCATCTCGTTTCTTGGCTGCGTCCAACAACCAAGCTATTGCTTGATGATGGCGTTGTCTATCTTTTAATGGCTTAGGTACGTGAATCACTTTAGCATGTCTCTTTTTGTTCATAATTTTTACTAATGGTGAAGCTGTTTCGATGGCATCAGCAAGTACTGTGTAAGGGTCTTCCTTTTCACCAATCTTTTTTAAGAGCTGTTTGGCAGTATCAGAAACCAACTTCTGAGCTCTGATTTTTTTACCATCTCTCATAATCATGTTGACCAATTGGTTGATCGTGTCATTATTGGGTACTATTGGTTTGTAGCTAGTGGTTGCTTTTGGTTTGTCATCTAAAAGTAGCTCATCGTTCATTTGAGGAGAAATGCCGGCTGTTTCTGTGCTTGTGTTGAAGGCATCTGTTGTATCTAGAGATCTATTCACGATGCTGGTATTTAAACCTCTCCATACGAAAGTTTGCAGCTTTTGCGTGTGCATATAATTCTGACGAAATACTTGCAATAGTTTATTTGACATATTGAAAGGTTTTGAGAGGTATATAAGATTGTGCGATGAAAGATAGCTTATAGCTTTGATTTAAACAGAAGCTGGGGTTAATGCCCTGGGTTTGCTGAGTTTGAACAGCGAAAGGGGGAAAAGAACTACACGACTTGTACAGTCTTGAGCATTAACAGAAAAGCCATAAGATTTACTGTTTATGACACATTGGTACGCATAAATCATTGCTTCATACTATACCCTGTGATACTATTTTAGCAATAGCGTGAGTAAACCAATTTCACATATTCTCAATTTTAGTTTCAAGAAAGCCAATATCGCGCTCTGATTTTAAATTTTATCAACGTTAATCTGTATGATTCGCCTTAACTAGCATCAGCTACTAAACTATTGATCATATAAAGCCTTGTTTTGGTGTTCATGAGAATACCTGAGAGATTAACATTTAAGAACAGTTAGAGGAACTATAAAATTCGAGACGGCCTAAAATTGTTTAACTCGGCCCTTCTAACAGCGATATTTAGAGCATAGAAAGATGACGTTGGAGCTGCTAATTTTTCTTTAATGGCTGCTCTGCATAAGCATTAATTCGCAGTCTGCTTTAATTATAGCCGATTCTAATGTAAACAGTATTTGGACTAAGTCATACGCGTACTCTGATGTAAATTATGGAGAAAAAAGTTATTATACTCGCATGAGTTTCTCTACTTTTTGTCAAAGTTCACTAAGAGAGCGAACAAGTGTAAAAGCACCCGTGTTGAAGGACAACAGCAAAAGTGGTATTTTTATCCCACCTTTTGATGTATCTACTCGTAGTTCGGGGAAACTTTCAGTTTTATAGTGTACGATTGACACAGCTGCGATCCTTACAATTCTAATATATTGTCAGGGTTCGCACTCCATTTCAAGGACTTGTTCACAGTGTGGCCTACCATATGACACTTAATGTGTAACGATATACAGTGACAAAGCGCTTCAATATAATTACCTTTAAATCGGTTAAAGAAGGATCTGATAAGAAAGATAGTCCGACAAAGGCATCGTGTTATCATCAACATTAATTTCAAAAAAATAAAGATAAAATAATACGATATACATATGTGATTTTTAAAATTGATTTTCAGCAATGAAGTTAGATTGCAAGGCAAGTGAGATAATAATATAGGTTTTTTGAAGGTCTAAATAGTAACTATTTGTATATATACGTTACCATTTCAACAGGGTTTTCTTTTGTTGTCGCTTTTCAAAACTATTATCCATTGCCCCACGGTATATATCTTTTATAACTTTTCCCTTCATAATTGTTTCTTCAACAATTGAGCGACAGTGGCAAGCCTTTACTCTTCCGTACCATATACCACGAGACCCATCGTTAACATAACATATAACATTGCCAGCAACTTGATGGCCTATCGTAACAGAGTAACCATTAATGAACGGCACTGTACAGTATATGGCACATATATCATATTGTGTTTTTACCGCCTATATGGCTCACCATTGCAACAGCAACATCATATTCAGAAGCATTTTTCTCTCGTAACACATGGTCAAATTCTTGTGCTAAGATAGGTGCGGTAATGCCACATCGCTTATCTCTTTTCTTATGGGAACATATCAAAAGTAAGTTTTTGTAGGGACAACGAGTCACAGTCATCTCCTCCATTCGATCATCCTTCATCAATAAATCAATATCAACGGGTTCGGTTTTGGTTGGCAAAGGGCTTGCTAGAAAAAGGCCGTAAAAGTCGTAGGCTTTCTCGTTTGTCACATTGGAGACAATGATGTTATCTGGGAAAATTAACACGTCACAACTGTTGGGAAGTGTGGAGAAAGTGGACACCATAGAGGAATTGGTTATAAGATTTTTCCAAGCATTTTTATTGCTACACGCTTCAGCTTCAATTAGACTGTGAGCAAAAGTTCCCTCCACGTGTTCAATTTTTTTTGGCCAGTCAGATACACCAGTTGCAATGATGATGTGTCGTCCATAAGGTTTAACTGAGCCAAGGATAGGAAAGTCCATGTCAATGTTGAGATAGGAAGGGTATTCTTTGTGTTCCACACATGGATTGAGGCAACCTGTACAATCATCCTCATCATCATTTGTAGAATATTTTGTTGTAGATATAAATTCTTCAGGAGGTAGTAGACTGACATCACCAAATCCTGCCAAGGTTGCTAATGACTTTTTGAGATAAGAAACCATTATTTGCTGATTTGATTCCTATATTACAATGTGAAACAAAATTGATACATTTCAATGATCCAAAAAAGAGAAAAGAGAACAAAGATGAATGCTTATTTGTCTTAAAAGTGGAATATACACTACATGTCTGAGATCGAACCAACCCCACATTGTTGCTGAACACGTTACCGAAGCAGCGCGCACAGACAAGAGATATAAATTTCCTCTGTGCTTGAGTTTCAGATTCAAAGAAGCACAATTGTTTATTTCCATTGTTTGTCGCGGTTATTCGGATAGAATATAATTTGCAAATGACATTGTTTTCATTGATTAGAGCTTGCTTGATTAGGGTCAAATATACAGGCGATCTGATCTATAATGATTTATCACATCCTATCGAACTTGTGAACGAATATTCAATTGTTTATGTTACTTTACTTTCAAACTTTTGCTGTAAAACATTTATTACTTACTGTACGTTTGTATTTTAAACTGTTTTGCGTTTCACAGCTATTTTCTATTGGTCGTAAAGAGAGGGCATAAAATTGGCCCCTGGTTAATTTTCAAAGGCAATTTGCTGATTGATACTGTTTGTTTCCATGATTTTTCCAGCAGCAGTAACAGGCTCCTTCGGAATATGCATCGACTGTTCAAATTGCATAACCATGCCGTCAACATCACAATCAAAGCAGTTCAAACGAGAAAGCCAACGATAAGGAGTTTCCCGAATAAACACATGCAGTCTCTCCATTCTTGCCACCATAATGACAATAAATACTACACTACAGCAAAGGTTGCTATAAAGCCCGAATCAGCAACTAATAGACCTATTGTAGCTCTGTCTGCATCCACTACTACCACTACGTCTACCCCTGCTGCTAAAACTAAGGATCGCAATTCTTCTGCTGTTGCTTGGGGCAAATACAAAGAGCTTCAGTCTCATAATAATCTCCAAAACCTAACTCACGATGACTTCATCAAAATCCGTGCTGATCTACGTAAACAAACCAGCTGGGCTACCGAAGATCGGATACTTGAGGTACTTAACGATATGAAAAAGGCTGGTGTAGCCTGGACGACGGCTGAATACGACGATTTTTTTGAAGCGAAACTCTTCCAAGCAAAATATACAGAGGTGATTGATATGTATCTTGAAGACTTTCAAAACCCACCTGATACCACTATGAAGCTCAGTAGCAATGCATTTAATGTTGTTCTTGCAGCTTATATACAATTACAAAAGCTAGATGAGGCAGTCAAGCTTATCAAATTAGCTATCGAACAATATGATATACAACCTGATATTCGGAATTTTGATAGAACAATGAAGCGATGTATGCCCACAAATTTTGGAGTCATGGAAACGGCCAAGCAACTCATTACACTTCATGCTTTTGACAATACGGAAGTGATGAATACAAATCTTCTTCATCTTGTACGTGACAAACGTATTGATGATGTAAAGTGGATATATGAGCAGCAAAAGAACCGTGTCCTGGATTTATCTACTTACAATATTTTGATTACCAGTTTGTGTGACGCTCGATATATACGAGAAGCTTCATACATCTACAATAATATGAGAAACAACCGTATACGACCCAATATTTTCATTTGTAATAGTATGCTCACTATCTTTGCACACACTCGCGATATTGAAGCAGCCGAAGAAGTAGTACGAGAAACTATTTTAGGAGGTTATAAAATCGACGAACATCTATACAATCAACTCATCAATGTCTATTTCAAAGGTCGGCAGCCTTACAAAGCTTTCAAAGCGTTTGAGGAACTACAGCAAAATCCTGCACTTAAGATCAACGATGTAATTCTCAATACCATGATCAACGGGCTTGTCATCAGTAAGGAAATGAGAGTAGCGGGTATTTTGTACAAACAAATGATACGCTCTGATTTCAAGCCTAATATTATCACTTGTAACACGATGCTGAAAGGCTATATTAAAGCAAAAGATATGAAAGCGGCAGCAGAAATTATTAGTGATATGTTTAATCTTGGTATGGAACCTGATGTAGTAACATTCACCACGCTAATTGACTCTATCTTTAAATCAACTTCACCAACAACAGCGATGGAAATGATAGCGGTTATGAATGAGCTAGGCTTTAAACCGAACATCTACACGTTTAACGCTGTAATTAATAGTTGGATCAGAAATGGTAAAATGTCTGAAGCGGAGAAAACGTTAAATTTGATGCGTACAGATAAATTCAACTTGCAACCAACTGTTCACACTTATACCAACTTGATTCAAGGCTATGTGGAGCAGTTAGATTTGAAGAAGGCGATTGAAACATTTCAAATGATGGTGCGTCATGGCATCAAACCTGATAGGGCTACTTATAACTTTATGATCATAGGCTTTATCGATGGAGGGCGTTTACATGATGCTTTTAACTGTTTAGAACATATGATTTCTTTGAATTTGAATCCTACAAAAGACACCTGGAAGATACTGTTAGACTTTTGTGTGGCAAAAAGAGAATGGAATATAGGCGGGAAGATTGTTCAAAAGCTAGATGAAAGCGGATTTGTGATAAAGATGGATTCGCTCAAGCGTGTCTATAACACAGTCAAAAGACATTGTACATAGTTCTAGATTTTATTTATATGTATACCAATCCTTGTATCTATCATGAGCTTCAATAAACCTGTAGCTAACTATTGCTCAAAGGCCTCCTGTATTATACATTGCGTGAATGAGGCCCAAAAATAGGTACACTATGTATTCTCGCTCATGGTTTTAGAAGTGCATCCTGAATCATTCAGTGAAAAGGCTTATGAGTGTCGATTATTGACCGTATATTTCTCAAGGAAAACTTTTAAGCTGACAAAGTTGAATAAACTTCGTCTTCATTGATAGAATTGTTAAAGTCACCTTTCGACTTGGTTTTTTTTAAAGGGCCCTCAATTCAAATGACAATGCTTCTAAATAGTCCACTTCTTTATTAATGATAATGATGATGAAAAAGCCCGCCAAAACAATGCTATTAAAGTTTTAAAGCCCCTTCTTTTATAATATGATTGCCCCCCTGAAAGGCCTGTGTCATTTGATCATTTTCTTTTCTTCTCTGTCTGTCAATCATTAAAAGCTGTAAGGAGTGCATAAAACAATAAAGAAAAAGAAAACGCGTTATTGACTTCCTAAGCTTACCCCCATCCTTTTTACTATATATAAAAAATCGAATTTGCCCGCCATGAATCCACGAAGCGATTTTCTTCTCTGAAATCTGTTTTATTGACAGTTACTTTTTGTCAAACATTGTACTACGGCTAATTGTTAAATTTCTAAAGCCGGATATGTTTCCAGTACGTATATACTTTGCTTATTGTTAATAATCCTTCTTCTACAAATTGACGTCAAATATTTTCATCTATGTAAGCAACGTATATAAATACAGCAAATAATGATCCAATAAATCTAGATACATTATGTGCTTTAAAGAGGAAGCCCTTCAGTCTTTCTCGTCCGGAATCTCCTTGCTTTTCTGTTTATACAACATCATTCCCCTTTATTTTTTTGTTCTCTGCTGGAGATTAAAGGGGTGAGATGAGAGGACCCTTTTATGTTTAGTATTTTCAGTCAATTAAAACAATAGAGAAAAAAAAAAAAAACCACAAAATAAAGAGAAAATTATTCCTTCTTTCATTATTTATTAGTCTTTCTCTTCTTCCTTCTCTTTTCCTTACAGTAGTCAATCATACTACAAAACAAGAACAGTTTTGAGATTAAAAGGATTCTAAACGATTTTTCTCAACTTCTGAACCTCTTCTTTCAGTTTATTCTACATTTACATTTTCGTTTTCATATAAAACTCACTTGTCTTGTCTACAAGCACAACATTTTAAAATAGGCTGATAAGTTTAAAGCAATATGGGTTTTATTACACAACAAGGCAGTTTAACTGATGATAACTTAGTGTCCGTAAGTCTCTTTTTGTTAAACTTTTTTCCATGTCCAAAAGGGTTCCTTTTATCGAATCAACTGACAAACTTTAAAACACTATTCATTCATGCTATCATTTTTTTGATTCTCTCTTAAAATAAAAATACTACATTACAGATGGATCCTTTATTTGAACAATTGCTTGATCAGAAATTTGCAACGAGCACAGAGGCATACGAATATTGCAAAGAAGCCTGCGCGGAATATGGATTCACCATCAAGCAAGAACCGAACATCAACAGAGTAAGTACTTCAGCTCACACTACACTAGAATTATGCAATGACGGTTAACAAACCATTATTTACTGTTATAGAATATTTATATCTACTGTACTCATATGAATCAGCAATCAAGCAATTTAGATACGCCACCCTCGGCCAAGCGTAGCTCAGCTTTAACGTCTTCGGAATGTCAATGGAAGATTGTTCTCGTTGAAAACGAAAACAATGAGTGGGTCTTTCGAAATTCATTGAACCCTATGGCTTCAGAACACAACCATAAAGTGTTATCCATGGAAGGCGAGAAATGGCCGCAGAAAGTGCAAGACAAAATTATTGAGCTGGCCAGGCAACAGAAAGACCTTTCATCTAATGATATTAGTCAAATTATCAAAATGCAGTTTTCCAAGGAAATCACCTGGAACAACCGTCTATTTTACAATTATTTAACGGAGGAGCGAAGGAAAAACCGACAACAAGAAACAGTCGAACGAGTGCAACGGCTCATAACTGCTACAACACGCTTATGTTCTGTTGTGGCAGCTAACGAAGATTGGGCAACTTGCGTGGAAGGCGACTTATCGAAAATGCTTCAAAACTACAAGCATCTTTCCGGAATACCAAATTCTTTACTTGACAGTATGGTTGATCTTCAAATGGAAATGATCTATTCAGAGATAGAAACCAGATCACGACGTCAACAACAAAAACATGATAACGACGATAGTGGCTTATTGAAATCAAAGAAACGCAAAGCCTTTGCTTCTGTTACAATAATGAATAGTAGTAGAAAAAATAGTAATGCAAAACTACTGCAAAAACAAGGTTTTCATGTGATGAACATTCCAAGTTGCGCCCTATTTGTCCGCTCTCAGCCTTTAAGGTCAGTTTCCGATACCCCTATGCATGGTAATAGCAGCGGAAGCGGTAGAAGACAAGTTTTCCCTGATATGATGCTTCAGGCACAACAACCGCATTATCAGCCCATTCCCTCTTATCCGCAAATGATAAACACATCTAACACAACGGCTACTGCTGCACCTTTCAATATAAACCCAGTTTTCCACCTAACCTCACCTATATCATCTACATCATCTACTTCCTCGACTCAACAAAGATTGGACTACCATTCACAGGTGACTTACAGAAGTCAATCTACAGGCCTTGGTAATGGTGGCGGTGCTAGCAATGGTGGTATTTTCCACTCACCTCCTATTACAGATTCAACCAGTATGATAATCACACCTAGTTATGACAGTACAGTAACAAGTAACGGTAGCAGTTGCGGCAATAATACAATTGGAAGTCAACATCAGAATCAATATTCTGCTATGTACCCTTTGAATTCTTATTCACCCTACACACAACCCAATCATCAGTCACAGCAAATGCATTTCACGGGATCGGCCAGTACTGCGCCTGAAGACATAGGCTACCCTTTCAACACCGCTGATGGTATTTTAAATTGTACCACAACTGCGACAACGCCATCTTATGCACAGGTTTCTCAAACAAATGCTGTCGCTGCCGCTGCCGCTGCCGCTGCTGTGACTGTTCAGCAACATCGCCAAGAACAACAATCCTCGACCAATATGGCCACGACACCTAGCACAGCGGATCGATTGAACAGTTGTTACTCTTCTAATACAACTTCCGCAGCAGCAGCAGCAGCTGCTGCTGCTGCATCTTTGGGATATTTCTCAGCAATGTCTACTAGAGACAATAACACAAAAATTTCTACTACAATTCCATCACAGCGTTACTTATATCAACAGCAAGGATACGATCAACCAACACTAGATAATCATCAGTTACCTTTACATACTAGATCATCAGTTAACCATAGTATGACAGGTCTATTAGACGTTGCTAGCACAAATCGTATCCATCACCATCACCATCATCCTTTTGTCCAACAGCATCATCATAGCGCAACCGCTTTAAGTCATCAAGCACATCCATCACAAAGTTGGACCTGAATGTCTATCTTTTTCACCTAAAATACCAAATTTATCTTAAATTGTAATACATTTAACCATTTTCACTATATTACTATTATTACTCTGACCTAAATCCATCTTTGAACTTCTATCAGTTTCCGTACAACAATTACATATATGCATGCAAGCTGCTACAGGATTTATTTCTTTTTTCATATTCTCATCTTTTGTTATTTAAACTCGTCTATGTTTGTAATCTAAAATATACATATATTGACGTATAATAATCTATTTATGTTTCTTTGTTATTATTGCATATATGCCATACATAGGCATCATCGATATCGAAATCGAGATAACACCTTTAACTCTTATAACGATTCTTTTCCTAGAATTAATGGAATCATTACGGAGTTTGCATTAAAACAATCATTTCAGATAAATTGATTTACACTATCTTACATTCTTTGCAAAGAGTCAATTAAATCAAAACGACAAAATTATTGTATATATTTGACAGGCGATTACCCCTCCCACTTCTGATTTGGCATTTCACTTGAAATTTTTTTCATCTTATGCATTGAATTACTGCTTCACTCTTTAGTTGTTTCAATCTCGCCGCTGCCTTTCCTTTGATTCCTACTAACAGTTGCTAGAACTGTTGAAATCGGATTGATAGTAGTCTGGAAAAATGACATAATATGTGGGGGGGGGAAGGAAGCGCAATAATATGTTTCATTACTTCCAAAGTACTTCATCAAAACGATAAGAAGATAACAATATAACAGATTCAAGGAAAAAGAAATATGAAACAAAAAACTAACTGTAGAAGAATAATGGCTTTATTTCAGAATAAATTAAATCGTAATCAGAGGGAGAATGCAACAATATCTGCTCCCAGACTGCCCTTTTATCTATCTCTTCCACCATCAGAAATATTCTATCTTCATCATACAAGACACTCAAATAGTAAAGCAAATATTTTACCTTGAATAGCCTAAACTGCATCGTAAATTATCTGAGCAATGACCAATTAAACCAAGCATTATAAAGTCCGTTAAAAGATCAGAACAACTTAGGACTTTACCTGGGAAACAAAATTAGCAACCTGTAAGTTGGCAATCAATAAATAACATCTGTTCTTGACAACCTAGATTCATTATTTCCTAGCCATATTTCAAAGGGTTTGATTTGTTAGGCTCAGTAACGAAGTCAAGAGGCTGATTGCTTAAATTTTGCTGTGACAACCCGAAGGAAGGTAGAATTCAAGACGGTGCTACAAGCTACTTCTTTCGTTTACTCCGTTAACATTTTCCTACCTTTGAGAACAAACTGTTGCTTTTATTGTTTCAGTCAGTACAAATCATACAGTTGCAATAAGGAAATCTTAGGAATACCCATAAAAAATAATAAACTCGATGCACTTTATTTCAGTTACTAAGCTACACATATTCTATTAAAAAGTAGAAGACTCACTCCTTAATGCCAGACTGAGATTCCTTTGAGAGTGCAGCCCGCGCGTAACTTCGGTGGGCAACCATTAATGGCAACGTTATCTATAAAATTTTTCCTGAAGAAATGAGCTTTTTTGCAAGAATGTAAGTTTTTGAAAAGAAAAAAAAAAACCAAAAAAAAAACTGCCCTTTGGTCGCTCAATAACATTTGATGTCCCACATCTCGTCCACACTCTTTGCCCTAAAAGTTTATCTAATGGAGTTAATTTCTGCTTTGTCAAGTACAAGTACGAATTAGTCTTCATGAAGGCTCTACTATAATTTGATACCTTTACGACTTTGCCTTCCTCTGTTATGAGCCCCTTACATGGGAAGAAGTGTAGTTGTATATGTATCAATGCAGAAAATTATAAATGTTAGCGAACAGAAAGCTAGACAATGTATCACAGCTGGTGTAAATTTGTTAGAACACTGTCTTTAAGACTGCTGTACTAGACTTCCAATGTAATAATGGATTCATAAAACAGACTTCGAGACTCGAAACAGGCTTTTACAAAGTTACAATAGTATAAACAGCTCATCTGCAAGGTTGCAAATAGTATCAAGTAGCTGATTGTACTTTAGAAAAGCAAGGTTTCAGTGTGGACATTATTAACTGTCTGTTTGTTTTTCACATGTTTCGAGGCAATTTTTCTAACATAAGATTAACGATTCTTTCAACATTTTTTTTTTTTTTTTTTTTTTTTTTTTTTTTTTTTTTTGCTATTTCCGCATATACATATAAAAAAAAAATTGCTTTTTCTGGCTTTTTTGGCAAGTTCATTCTGTCTATCAGTCGTGTGCACAGCGTTTCTTTCTTTGCTTGGATCAATTTTTATAGCAAAATCATCTTTCTTCACTTTGCTCTAGCAGGCAAATTTTAACAAGTTCCATTCAATTGCTAGCGACCAGTTTAACTCAAACAGTCAACGGTAAAGATGCTGTTTTGATGAATTCACAATTAAATAGTCACTCTACGTTGTTCACCTTGTCAACTTTTTTGCCAGATGACCTTGCAGATTCATTGTTTGAATCGTTGGCACTGACGGTATAAAGCTCACTATTCCCAATAACGAAGTTAACAGGACGATTATATCTATATGGAATATGCTTTTGTTTTTAATAATTCGTTATCAATTATAGAATAGCACATAGTACTGTAGTACTGTAAAGAAAGAGTAAGGAAAAGAAAATGTGAAACCTAGATCTGCCAAAAAAAAAAAGGTTCTTTATTGGCCTGAAGTCTGTGTGATTTCAGCTCTCTTTGAAGCCGATCGAGACCCATTATCGCTGTTAAAATGAAGAAAATATTTGAATCAAATACGCGTATAGTAATTTTTTTTTTTTGATACTTATGTTTTAGAGACATCACAAGGAATTAGATGAATAATAAATACATCCTTTGCATCAAATACAGCATTAGCGTTAGGAGTATAAATACTGCTTTTGTAACTTTGCGGATATATAGCTATACTTGAAAGATGTTGAATATCGAGCTCAAGCACGTATATTACCATCTTATAATAATAACATATTGTCATATTTCAATTGTCCTTTATCATCATGATCCTTACTAAAAAAAGAGCTGTAACAATTTTGTTCGTCGCCTTTAAAGTCATTATGTTAGCAGTGTACTGTAACATCAATCACTAACTACTCGTGTTGGGTTCGGGAACTGAGGGTGTACAATGAGCAGTTTGACAGAAAACTCCTCGATTTACGTCGTTCCAATTCCGACATCCAAAAGATTGATAATGCACTTCCTCATCTTGGACAGTTTTTCCTGCTTAGGATAAGAATATATTTTTCATATGGTACGACTTGAGCTAATAGAAACACTTGAAGGTATATAACGATCTACAATAAGAGGACGCAGAGCTGATTAGCACAAAAAGTAAAAAGTAGCTCCTAATACATATTGCTGGGTTGTTTCTATTTTCTTCATCGTCATTCGAAACGAAAAGGCCACCGAGATCGTGTTTGGCAGGCCTCATGGCATCCTTCAAAAGCAATACTTGCGACTTGCTCAGGCGACAAAACAGTAAGGTTATGGGCACCGAGCACACAAACAAACTTTACAAAATGGCACTGCGTCGAAACTTTAGAAGGTGCACACAAGCGTACCATCCGTAGCGTTGCTTGGTCACCGACAGGTAACGAGCTCGCGACTGCCAGTTTTGACGCCACCACAGGCATTTGGGAAAACGACCCCAGAGACAACGATTGGGAATGTGTTGCCACATTAGAAGGCCATGAAAATGAGATTAAATCGGTGTCATGGTCCTCTACAGGCGCTCTTTTAGCCACCTGTAGTAGAGATAAAAGTGTGTGGATATGGGAAGTAGAAGCAGATAATGATTTTGAATGTTTGAGCGTGCTACAAGAGCATACACAAGATGTCAAAATGGTGGCGTGGCATCCTCAACTGGAATTGCTTGCGTCAGCAAGTTACGATGATACCATTAAGATTTGGAAAGAGGATGAAGATGATTGGTATTGTGCTGATACATTAGAAGGACACGAATCAACAGTCTGGGCAATAGATTTTAATAAAAAAGGAGATCAAATAGGTAAAAATCACGAATAATAAAATGAACAAGGAGGTTTTCGTTAGATGATTAGGAACAGTAAAGACTTAGTAAATACGTTTTCGTTTCATAGTTTCTGTTTCGGATGATCAAACAATACGTATATGGAAGATGTACAAACCGAATAATTCTCAAGGCATTCCTACACACAATGGAGAAGCAACTTGGAGAACAATTTGTACGTTGTCGGGATATCACAGTAGATGTATCTACTCAGTTTCATGGTCTAAAGTGAATGGTTGTATCGCAACAGTTGGCGGTGATAATACAATCCATATATTTGAAGAGGTATGTTTATCTGCTTGTTGAGTTAGACGGATGTCCCAAGGTTTTCACCAACTGAAACACATAAATAGGATAAGGAAGCTTCGAAAGATGAGGATTCGCCGATTTATAAGAATATTGCAACAATAACAGACGCTCATGGTGACTATGATATCAATTGTGTTTCTTGGTTCCCAACAGAGAGTCATGGTGATTTACTATCAACCGTAGGTGATGATAATTTGGTCCGTATTTGGAAGTTTGTTAGAGATGAATAAGAACTACACAATTCTACCTCGCGTTATCAAAATTGCTGCTTGTTTGTTATAGAAATAAGCTCAATCCTACTTATGTATATTGAACTAGATCTTTGGAAAGATTTCTCTATCTATTGTATATGCTTAAAATATTATACACCCTTTCTCATTCAAAATATGAACGCAGATCAAGCGTTTCAAATATTCCATATTGAATTGAGAAATAAAAGTGTCGCATATGTTAGGAATAAAACGTCAGAAAGAAGGACATCATCCTTCTGTTTTCTGTAACTTAAGTCAAAAAACTAATTGAAAGTCGGTGAACTCTGCCAGACATGAAAAGACACCATACAAAAAATAACATGGTTGCTAATTTGCAGGATGTAAGATATAGAATATGAAATAGACTGACAATGAAGAATACGAGAAAAGTAGTTCAATGTCTAAATGAAGCCAGTCGAAGCATCGAAATGGAATTTGATCGTTCATCTCGTCACTTAACGGTGCTGAAAGTATTGATGGATTCGAACAGCTGCTCACAAAAATCGATTTTCAAAGAGGCGAAAAGAGGAGCAATTTCTCGCAGAGACAATCTAATTTAGGAGAGCCTGCATAAGTGTTAGTGAAGAAGCAATCGAACGAGCAGATACTTAAAGTACATAGGTAGACGGGTACAAGATTCAGACAGACATTGTTAAATAGTACGTACGCCAATAAGTGAGGTTGAACGGGTGCTGTTCACAAATAGTCTAGTGGAAGTAGGACCAAGGTCGAGGAAGAAAGCCTGAAAGTGATAATGAAAGATACAAAATATTATTAAATTTAACATTTGTAACTGGTTATCTCTGTGAGTATAGCAAGGATTTGAATTATAGTTCGATACTCATGTTTCTATATTTGGATTTTGGGAAATGTATGTCGAAGAAAGCTACTAATTACCCTCAACAGGACAGGTATTCGAAGAATTTCTGAAGAAGGTAAAAGCAATTAAGAACCAACAAGCAGGAGAGTACCCATTGTATATCAGTCAAGACTGAATGTAATTATGTAAAAGTAGGCTTTAAATCATTTGTCGGCTGATGTTGATAAATGGAGGAAAATGATAAAGTAATGTAGTGATAAAAGAGTTAGTTTCATTACTCTATCGTAGGCTTGAATAATTGATCAGTAACGATAGTCAGCCACCAGCTGAATAGTACCTATCGCATATGATTTGTGTGTAAAAACAAGAACTCAAAAGGCTAAAAGCGTGATTGGTTGAATTACTTTATTAAATCGATTTTCTGTCTTTAGAAGTAAGAGCATTATGACTGAACAGTCTGCAATTTTGCTTTAAGGCAAACCTATAAGCTACGGTACATTCACTTGCGTCCATAACTCGTTAAGCCAACCGGATATATCATTAATACGTGCTATGATAAGCTCCTTCTCTTTATCTGATCCTTCAAATTTCTTCATGTATTTGGAAATAAACTTGTCTGGGTGATACCTTGTTTGTTCTTTTCTCACTCTTTTCTTTGTTTCCTCTAAAGTCGCATTTTCTAATATCAAGAAGGAGCGCACAGACTCTAAATTGTAAGGCTTGCTTATAACAGGCCAAGGGATATCTTTTGAACTTGTTATCACAGATAATTGCTCTAATTTCGTCCATTTGGCATCATATTCCAAACGTGCCCTTTCTGCATTTCGAGTTCGTTCTACTTGTCGATAAACATTTTGCAGCCGAATCTGTTCAGCATGTTGCTTCCCTTGTTCGCGTCTTATCCTATCTTTTTCTTTTTGCTCTTTATTTTTCTTTCTGCGTAGCTTTTCTTCGGCTTCAATCTTTTCTGCATTCTTTTTTTTATACATGCCATCGACAATATACTGGCGATATTCCTCATCAGTCATTTCCCATTTAGACGATGTCGGGGTATGATTATAATTGGTATAGAAAGGATCTTGACCTTCATCTTCCAACATGACATCGAATAAATGCTCTCGCCATTCTTGGTCTTCTTTCGAGGCGTGCGAAGGCGGTATCCAACCACTTTCTTCTTCTAACAGGTGAGGAGGGCTGTTAACCCCTTCATTTTTACTTTTGTGCTTCTTTTTCCTTTTATGACGTCTATATTTGTCAGTGTGTTCTACATCTTTTCTATGCTCTTTGTATTTTAACTTGGGCATAAAAATTCACTCAAAAAGGGAAAGGAAAAAGAAAATTGGGAGAAAGATTTGTTTATTTGATAAGCGGACTGAGAAATTTAAAACAAAACTTTTTTTGAAAGACCAAAAAATCTTATGCGTTGATAGTAGCAGTGCGCTTGACAGATCTATAAAGTAGTTTCGAACAAGCCATTATGTCAATGAATAGTTAATTCGAAATGGGATACAGTTGGTTTGTTAAGCTTACCTCGACACATTATCAAAAAGACGCTCAATATCAGGGGAGCATCGAATAAACTCGTGGTCCCAGAATTTAGGATCTTTAATCAATTCTATAAAGGTTGCCAATAAGCCCCAAGGATGAGGACGGTTTACAATTAAACGTTCTAGTAAGACTCTTGTGATTTGTTCTTTGACAATTTCCGATTGAGTAGAGAATAAGTACAATAGAGCAGCGTTAAAAAAGCATGTATGGCTATTAGGATAGCGCAGATTATCAGCCATGGTACTCAACAAAACGTATCGTCCTATACAATAAATCAATGAAATGCAAGTAAGATTACTGTACAGATTAACAGAAGAAATTCTCGATATCGAATCTTACCTTCTGAGCTCAGAATCGACAACAAATGCTTATAAGCCAGCATAGCTGGTCTACTCTCTATAGGCTCATCCTTCAATTGCGCAGAGTGAGCACCAATATACAGTACAAAGGCAGATAACATGGTATTGTACTTTGTATAGCACTCCTCAGTATCCGAATTGCCTTCGTTTTCCAATTGTAATTTTTGTAGCTTGTTATATTGTTCATCCAATACGGCATTGAACGCCTCAGCAGCATTCTTATCGTTACTGGCCATGAATTGATCGATACAGGACTTGAAGTCATCGCTGGAACTTCCTTCTTCTAAAACATCCACATAGCTTTGGTCAAAAATGGGTTCTTCACTAGATTCAGGCAAGGTTTCCAATTTCAAGTCAGGTGTAAAAGGGTCAGGTAAATGCATGATGCGAGGGAATGCACTCAATATCAAATTACGCAATTGAACACAGGAGTGTGGAATGGCTTGAGTGAATAGCATGTAATTATGACACAAGAATTCAGGGAAATCATGTAACAAAAGGACCAAAACACGAAGTGTACCACGATAGAAGATCTTGGTAGCATGGGGGACTTCTGAACTTCCCAAAAGTGGGCCTAAGAACTTTAATAAGGCATGGATGAGCTTTTGACACAATAAAGAGCCATAATGATCATTAGTCGCAAGGAGTTGAGGTAAGAAAGAACGGCAAGAGATAAGTTGGAGCCATGAGAAAGCAAATCCAGGGAAGTTACAAGGCTGAAGTGTATATAATGCGTCACTACAGTAAATGCACATGTTAATAAATCCGCCTCTCTTTTTTCTTTCTTTACCCGTATCATGTACAACGGCTTACCTAAAGGTAATCAAGGCACAAGCATCCAAAGATTTATCATTAAGTTTAGAAATCTCATTAAAGATAGACGAGAATAATCTTAAAAATGGCTTCTGATTGAACTCCACGCCCCTCTTTTCATGTTGCTGCGATAACACCAGAATGATGACAGACAAAGCATCATTGAGCATTTTAATCTTGGCCATATTATTGACATTGCTGTCATCCTTTTTAACCTTTGTATTTTCCTTTTTGCTCTTTTTCTGCTTTTTAGCCTTGCCTCCGTCCTCCTCTTCATCTTGTTTAATTATCTTTCCTTCGTCTTCCTTTACCATAATCATAGCAGTTATCAATTTGGAGAATGAATCAATCAAATGAATCATGCGGCGATGGTGTACGGTGCTTACAGATCGGAAAGTCAGATAGTGATTGACGCATACTTCAGTACAGAACCTGAAAAAGAAGCAACGGTCATCACTTTCTTTGGTCATGTAAATAGCTTTTTGAGCAACAGCATTGAAGATATCACCGGCTGCCATTGGATGTTGACATAAACGCACCCATTCAGCCAACAGCATTCGATATTGTAAACAGTCTGGTGCTGCTCTACCGACGCTATCTTTTTCTTGCTCTTTGCTAATAAGAGTCTTATAGGGCTGCTCTACTGAGGCGCGAAGATCGTCAAATAAGGACAACACATTCGTAGGGGCTTCTTTGTTCTTGACAAGCTTGTGAAGTGCAGATAAAGTCAAAATATGGTCTTCCAAATAACTGATAGGACGAGGCAATGACAATAAACAAAGACGCATCAACTCAGCCGCGAACTCGATAACGCTATCAGCTTTTTCGTTAATTAGTTTCGCTAATTGAATATCGTATTCCTCGAGCGGTAACAATTCATAACGGATTAACATAGCAATGGCCTGAGAATTATATTTACGTTCATCATCTGCATAAATGAGCCAAGAAAGGGTCTCTTTGGTGACTTCGCTCGATATCTCGAAAAGCGACTGAAGGAATGTAGCATACACTTCCAAAGCGAAAGGACTAGTGTTTTGATAGAACATAAGCATAACTTTTTCAACAAAGATGATCATAGTTTGTAGCAGAGTAGCGCTTTGAGAAACAATCAAAGGAATTTGACGTATCAGCAAACAGATGTCGTGATTGGGAGGTAGCTGTGAGATGTTGGTAATACCACAGTGACGGATGAGTCGATCTAATTCTAGAAGCATTTGTTCTAATTTCGCATTGAGCAAAGTATTATTATTTTGTGTAGCAGGCATATTATTTGGGGAATTCATGAAGGGTGGAGGAGGTGGAGGAGGTTGATAAGAAAGATGATGCTGTGGTTGAGCCAATTGACGGGGTTGTCCCATCAATGAAAGTTCAGGCGAGTAATAGTTACTATTGCTGTTGCCAAGTGGTAATTGTTGTTGGATCTGTTGGGGTAATTGGTGCTGAAGCTGTTGTTGTTGCTGTGGTTGCTGCTGCATAGCAAGAAATAGTTTCTGATCGAAGCTTTCGTAAACGCGGAATTGCTCGGGGCTGACACCATTAGTAGGTCTCAAAGGCTCCGGTAAACGGATGGAATGAGGAGCACCTGTTAAACTCAACACATCAAAGAAGCGCTCACCTTGATGCTGTAGATGTTGTTGCTGTTTACGAAATGCAAGACGGCTTGCATATGCAGCTGCTAAACCACGATCAACATCTTCTAAAGCCTTGATCTTTGTCAACTGGTCTATAAATAAGCAAAGCAATTCGATGTTCTCATCAGCAATTGTTGTAGCAATTTCATCAGCAAGTTGCTCAGGAAGCCCCTGTTGTGTCAAATGGGTAATGATGACTGAAATAATACCACTACAAAGAGGCTCCTTGCAGCTGACAACGGACAAACTACAGGCTAAAGGTTGCACCATAGCATGCGCAGCTCTTTGTAAACGGCTTTCGTCAGGCTCAGTCTGGAAATCCTTCAAAACCATCTCCTTGGTTGAAACAGCAGCTACATTAGCAGAAGTGAGAATGATTGGTGGAACTACTTCGAGAAAAGCTTCAGACACGCCAGCATAAACTGTGTTTTTTATGATCGGATATTGGATCATTAACTGAGCAATAGCAGGATTAATTTGAAGTTTTGCCAGCATTGGGGTGACATCGATGCTTTGACGGAATTCTAATAATACAACATTAGTTAAGATATATTCTGGATGAAAGAATCAGAAAAGACGTAAAAATATTATGATTCTTTTACCTTGAGGGTTTGGTGGATTAATAGGAGCAATGTTTTTCACTGGAGGTGGGCGCGGCGTCTGTGCCTCCTCTGCTACCTCTTCCTTTGCTGGTAAAACGGGCTTTGAATAAGTAGTGGGCGAATTTGCTGCAGGAGCTTGCTGTTGCTTGCTTTCACGAGCATAGTTGATTCTAGGTGGGACAATGTTCTCTTTGTTCAAGACTGACGTAGGCTCAATTTCATTCAAATCGACATTCAATGTCTTGAAAAGGATCTCAATTTCAAATTTGAGGTTCAACTTCAGGCCTTCAGTCCAATACAGTTCGGCCAACACCTTCAAAGAACTCATTAGCCAAGGATTTGGTGGTTTGAAGATTTTACTGTCAGCAGCATGTTGCAGGACTTTGCAAACAAAAGGTACGGCCACCATTAATTGTTGCTTCGAGTAAGAAGAGACCAAAAGATTCTTGAATGACATATCTTTGTGACGAATGGGCTTGTTTTTACCGATGGTCAGACGACCTAACCAACTACCCAAATTTTTGAGCAAATTCCTATCTGAGGACGATTGAGCGGTCCCTTCTGATTGTAGCAACAAAGAAATGTTGGAAAACGTTTCCTCAATCACAGCATCAATAAGTGGTTGCAAATCTAATCTGTCCAATAAGGCTGAGTAAAGCTCGTGATTATTGGATTCAATACTGACACGCCTAACAACGAGGTAGTGGCTAAACCATCCAAACGTCGGTTTTTGCAAAAGTTGCTTCAATTCATTCACTTTGCTTTCCATATTACTGACAGACAAATTGTTGATTAAGAAAGCAACGCGTTCTTGTACTTTTTCGGGAGGCATTTCATAAGATTGGCGTTCGGAACTCTTTTTCAATAATGTAGTAACGTTAATAGCTGCATCAGCAGAACGCTCAGCCGTGCTCTTTCCAGAATCAGCTGTCATGGCCGCTAATGTTTTGTTATTGTCGGTCAGGGCAACTGAAGCATTGGTTTTGGGTGAACTTGATGACGTGGCGGTTGAGGATGAGTTGGATGCTGTTAATTCTTTTATTTTGCCTTCTGGATCCTTCTGCGCTAGTTGCTTCAATGTTAATGCAATACTTTCTACAATTGTAGGATAACCACGCAGTCCTTCAATTTTAGACAGAAGAAGAGTGTATTGCGGCCATTCGCTCAGTCTACCACGGAACTGAGTTAGTGCTTGGATGCCAAATTTAAACATTTTTGAGCTCACGGGACATTTTAAAGCATCTAAAACGATTTTCAATGTTGAACGTAGTTGGGCATAAGATACAAGATGTTGATCTACCAAAAGACCCAACAACTCGCCTGTTGCCATTAATTCATTATCAGGATATTGGCTGAAAAATCGAGATTCATCTAATAGAGTGTGAGTGGTGCAAGAGAAAAAATTGACTTGTCTCTGATCATTAGATGTACGGCAAGCTTTGAGAACAGAGGCAAATCGGCTTGGGCTAATATCTTGCGTGTACAATCTCTCAAAATACAAACGAACCATTTCTTCTACTTCTTCAGGATAGTTGCGTTCGTTTTCATTAGTAGCACTAGTAGGTACAGAAAGTGGCTCCTTGAAAGTTCCTACAGCTGAAGCTCCAGCATTTTCAACTGACCTTTTATCCACTGTCTGCTGTTGTTGTATATGCTGATGCTGCTGGGTTGGTGTAGGCTGATTCTCGTGCAGTTGAGGAAACAGTTGAGCGTAAAGTTGACTCAACTTGGATAATTTAGCTGTTTCAGCAGGTGGAAGAGGTCTAACAAAGTATATACAGAATGTCAATAAATTCTCTCTTCTGTTTCATAAATAACATATCAGTACAGACCTCTCAGATAAAATCCTAAAAAAGATACGGATCACATCAAAGGAGAGTTGCAAGGTTGGGATCACGTTGGCTCCTGATTGACGAGCCATTTCAATAGCGCATTTTCTCTCAAGAAAACCTATGCAAACCCCAAAAAATGCAAATCCATCCTTTGCTAACTTCTCCAATAACCATTTCTCCAAATTCAAATTTTGTCGGCGGGCGGCAAGAGAGGCCAAATCCAGGGTGAAGAAGGGCATATCTGCTTTTAATATATCGACTACAATCTATTTGTACGGAACGAAATATCCCATCATTAAGATTCAATTCTAAGATGCCCCCCCCATCCTTTTGTAGTAGCATATTTACCTTTGCTTCTTGAGCCAAATCTAAAACACGGGATACTGATGTAGGATCTTTCTTGTACATTTCAAAGAACCCCTCTAATAATAGATTAGGTTGAACATGCCATAATAATCTTATCACCAAAGGCGAATTGACATGACCAATTAAGAAGATATTGAGCAGTTTGGGTAAAAGTGAGCGGTGTAATTCGTTTTTGATAGGCTAAGAATTGAAGAAGAGTGAATAACCTGCAGTTTTTTCTCCTTGCCCAAATAGAGCCTTTCCCTCTCTTACCTGTATCTGAGCCAATCCGATAAGTAACAGTTCAGGTGCTTGAATAGCCAATCTATCCATGAATACTCTGACATCTTCAGAAGCAGCTGTCCCCGCTAAGTTCATGACAGACTCTAACAGATCCAAGCAATTCAATTGTTGTGACGCTAAGTGGGCGGCAGCAGTACGCATGGTGTTAGGAACAGTATTCACCAGTTCCTCTGATATAATCTTCCTTGTAGCTGTTTGCGACATATCCAAAAGTTCTGATGGAGCGTATACCAAATGATATAAAACACTTAACTGTCCTTTAACATGCATCCATGGCTGAAGAAAAATATGAACAGGGAACGGTTCATCCTAAAAGACAAAGGAAGGAAAAGACGGGAAGAGGGGAAGAGGGCTTCTTTAATGACTGCTCACCCAAAAATGAACAGCAGCTGTCCTCTTTGACAATGTTACCTTTTTTGCACAGTTCCACACTGTTACTAGTATTTTTAATCCGACTGGATCATATAACATGAAATCAGCTTGATCAAGTTTATTGAATGTTGTATTCCAATCTATTTGTGAATTCTGTTTCTCAGAAAACGAAAAAAAAGGCAATTGGTTCAGTTATTTTTGCTACTACTCTTTCTTCAAAGAGGACAACGTTTGACTCACTTTGTTCAAAACCGCTTTAACAAAATTTTCGACATTCCAAAATTGGCCACTTCCATCTTCTGACTTGGTGTGTGTTCTGACTATTATTACCAAGGCTTTCGACACTGAATCTTCGGTCACTTCGACATTTTCCATGACCCGCATGGCATTGTTTATTGTTGATAAGCTGCTATATCCTTCGTTTAATAGTTTTTTACCCAGCAAAAGGGAATCTGCGCTAGTCCGTGTGGCCATACTGTTATTCTTCTATTGTTGAAATTGTAGGATAAATCTGATTGGTTTTCAGTAGAAGAGCAAAAAAAGAAATAAAGTGATTGTAAAAGAGCAATGAGTGGACCCTGCTTTCCAGGAAAGAAAATACTTCAGTTTGGGGGCAAAATAGACTGCTTTGAATGCTACTAACCTTAAAGATTATTTTGCAAAGTTTGACGGGGAAAAGAAAAAAGAAGGGAAAAGATGTGTATTGCAAAAACGCGGTTTGGCTCGTCGACGGGCCTTTCCAGCTGCTGCACCGGAAAATGAAAAAAAAAAGTAAAACATTTGTTACAGTGAAGAAATGGTTTCAAAGACACATTACCCTGAGATACTTTGATCATCAGAAGGCTCAATTATTGTATTTTGTCTACTAGGAATAACCTTACACCGAAGTAGGTTAAATTATTCATTCTTTTCGAGATGGAGATGCCTTTATTGCTTGAAATGGTATATAGTACATGGAATGCCTTATAAGAAATATATATATATATACAAATTGATCTACTATTATATATGACTTTCAATCTTCTTCGCTTCAGTTGCTATCTTCGTTTTTCGCTGGGTAAGGCTTTTGCAATAGAATGAAAGGGCATACAAATATATATAAATGATATGAATATAAATAAATATATGAAAAGAAAAGACAACAGTATGCTATGACAACAAGGTAAAATTGATGAAGAGGTATAATGTATATGCTAACATATTGGAAACATGTGAATGAATCGCTAAAAACGTGCCTTTAAATTCTACGCCCACTTGCCAATGAGCGCCATCAGAGCAGCACCACAATACATAGAGAGAAAGCAAACCAGTTTTCGAGCAGCAGGCGCACGGCGGAAATCAGGATTTTGATTCATTTCTTGACTCATCAAAGAGACATACGCATTGTAAAGAAGAATACCTGCTGACAATGAATCAAGAATAGCACTGGAGAGGATAGCTGACGAAGAGTTGGGATTAAATGAGGAATGAATACCAATACCGATGGCACAACCGAATGGTGTCATGACCATATATAAAAGTCCCATTAGAGTCGGTCGCTTCCAGCCTTCCATATTCATATCATTGATTCTTGTACCTAGCGCAATGCCTTCGAAAAACTAATTCAATAGCCAAATTAAGTTAGTTTCGGCTATCTTGACATGAAACAAAATTGCAGGAGATCATTCAATAAGTTACCTGATGAAAGACAAGCGCGATTAAAAGTGTGATAAATTCATCGCTGCCTGCATTAGACAAAGTAATACCAATAATGATGGAATGCATTACGATGCCCAATTCCAAGATAAGAGTACCGATATGCTTGAATGATTCCTCGTCCTCGAAAAGTCCAGCACTATGTATATGATCATGGTGAAGATGGTGGTGGCCTGCACCTGATTCCTCAACTCCTCGTGCCTGATCAAATACATTACACTTAGTTGCTGTAGGGGAGTTGTTTGCTGTTGCGTCTGTAGAATCGGACTCTAATGATACGCTGCTTTGTTGTGTTGTAATAGCTTTTTCGATGTCGTCTGCTGCTGCTTTGTTGTTTGCTGCTTTCTTGGCACGTATGCGATCGATATTCGCAATAGCTGCTAATTCCAATAGTTGAAGGGCGAAAGAAGAAAACATACAAAAAACACCACCGAAAGCACCATAGCTTTTCCATCCTTCGCTTAAACAAGGGCTATGAAAACTCTCTAATGCTTCGGGTAGCATGTGAACAAAAGCAGTGGCTAATATAACGCCTGTGCCAACTATCATGGTTCAAAAAAGACAATCAACAATGATTTAATACTTGAATCAAAGATATAAAATTTGTTGCTGCTAAAATGACATGTTGAAACTTACAAAATTTTCCTATTGTTAATACCCAGTCTCGACCACTTCCTTTGCTATAAGGAGATAACTTGTGTAGAATAATAGGAGTAAATACGCCTGTTTCAGTGTATGTAAAAAATTCATAGAAAAAAAAAAAAACGGTTAGTAAAAGGGGGCCGAATTTGGGAGAGGTAAGGGATTGATTCTCTAATTCACGATCAAAAAAATGTATTACCTATTGAACTGGTTGCGAAGACAATGAATAGAGCGCCAACCCTCATGGGCATATTATAATCTTGGTTAAATTCAGCAGCACAAGCATCCGCGTCTGCTGTGTTTGATGTCGATAATGATGCTTCTAAGGCTTTTCAAAAGAGAAATTGCGCGAGATAAGTCGTTGATTGTCAAAACTTAAACTTAAAGAAAAAAAACGTGACAGTCTGTCAACAAGTTATCTACCTTCATTATGACCGTTGACAAGATGAATGAATATTAAGAATAGTACAGCATATTTCCAATTCGTTATAGGAGGAGGCATTGCAAGTAGGTAATCAATATGAATAAATAAATGAAAAAAGAGAAAGGGAAAAGGAACTGGAAGGAGATCGTCTTATGATGAGATAAAAAGACGTGGTATAATGCTGTCTAAAATGTAAACAAAAGGGAAGAAAAAAAAGAAAATAAAAGGCTGGAAAAATAGGATGAAAACCCTTAGTACAAAAAAAGTATTGTTACAACTACAAAGAATGAACGAGTACCTTTGCGGTCTGCAAGGATTTGATGGACACTGACCAATCATATATGAAAATTTTTTTTACAAATTTTTAGCAGAGTCACTTTGTGCTTATCGCTCAGTTGATCTAAGTTGAACCGATAAGGTACTCCAGTTCTATTCCCAGAGATTGGCACCTTGTAAGCGGACCTTTTAATGATGGTTTCAGGTACATCAAGAAGACGTCTAATGATTTTTCCAAGCAGAAAACTGTATGAAGGCAGTTATGAAGAAGGCATAAACCGCATAGTGGGTCCCAATTAACTTACATGTAGGATTACTTTGCCGAAAGGAAGTCTATGCCGAGCCCCGGTGCGCAGGTAGTAGAGTAAATAAATAGTTAGTATACAGTTGCTAGCCCTTTCAATCAGTATTATTCTTTCTGCGCAAGGAACTCCGCTAACACTTTGAAAGCCGAAAAGGGAAGTAAAACACTTCTCTCAACAAATCTAACCCCTTTTTTTTAATCTCTCAAATCATTCAGTCTTCGGCAAACTACTATGACTTTGTACGGAAACAGCGAAACCTTGAAAAATACAGTAGAGCATTCAAAAGATAGTATTGAAGCCGTCAATTACATAGCCCCGAATTTACAGCCTGATGGTATTTGGGTTTTCGGGTACGGTTCTTTGATCTGGAAACCACCCATCCATTACGAAAAAAAGTAAAGTAAAGTCAATTTCATTTTTCGTCATGACAAGTAAACGCTACTCATCATAAGTACTATATTGAATGAATAATGACAGAATCTCTCTCTATCTTTTAATGTAGGCAAGTAGGCTACATTAAAAATTATGTTCGACGGTTTTGGCAGGTATATACAGATTAATGGCAGCTTAAAATAAGAGGATCATGTACAGCTTTGTGCATAAGACTATAAGAAGCTTTCATATCTTTAATTTAATGTGAACAGTTTTAATCTTTTATGAAATTAATTTGACAATTTATATGCATAACATGCACATTAATAGCATAGTGAAGATCATAGAGGAACTCCTGAGAAACCAGGCAGAGTGGTCACATTGATACCCTATGACGAATGGGAAAAGACGGACGATACGGTAGAGATTCAAGCCATGTAACAATGCCGATGTCAAACGTATATGCTTACTTCAAAAGCGGACGACTACCATTTTGTAGGAAGACGCGGATGGAATAACGTGGGGTGTTGCTTTCAAAATCCCCTCAGATGACGTAGAAACCACAAGAGCTTACTTAGATCATAGAGAAAAGGTAAAACAAGCTTGCAGATTTTCATCAGTCCAATATCATTTTAAAGCCAGCTTTCTTTTTTGTAAATCGGTTTAGAATGGATATACAGTTCATGCAGTAGATGTCTATAGTTCTGATAATGATAAAATACCAGCAGTTAAAAATGTAGGACATCTGAGAATTCTAAAAGAACTAAACTCCAATTTTAACAATGTAAACGTATACTAGGCGCTGGTTTATATTGGCACGACGGATAATGAAGCTTATGTGGGACCTGCACCACTATCTAAGATAGCGAAGCAGATACATGACACTTACGGCCCTTCCGGTTGGAATGCAGAATATCTGCTGAATTTAGCTGATGCCCTCCGTGAAATCAGCCCTGGAGCGCGTGATGATCATATATTCAAATTAGAAGCATTGGTGAAGGAAATGATTATGATGTCTCAATAGAATGAGTTGTACACAGTATTCAATCGTGTCGTAGCAGCTAATAGCTAATATTACTATCGCCGCATAGATTCAAGTATTAGACATATCGGTATCAGAATGTCTCATAATTTTGTTCTACATTATACATAAAACTCAGTAATTTACAGATTTGCTAGGCAAAGCACCAATAAAGACAGAAGCCTTGAATAAAAAATACGATATAAAGCAGTTCTGATGCGGTTTTTTTTAGAGTTTATAACAAATGCTCCTTTTGCACATTTGTATTGCAAAGAGAGTCGATATAGTCAAACACATGATAATAAACAAGGTACTTTTACATCCATGCGAAAAAAAGAAAACTTTCCTAACGCACAAACATGATGAAATGATAGCGTTCTTTGAACCAATTTTAACTAATCTGTTGTCGTAAGCAAAGATGGCTCGCCTGTTTCGGTTAGAGGTTGGTGCCCAATGTCTATTGATTTATTATCTGAATGGCGAGCGACCGTGAATTCTACCGTTGTCCATTTATGACCTGTACGTCTCGAAATGAAATGAACTCTAGCAGTTTCGCCTATAATGACAGAATGATTTAGTAAGGCCTAGATTTCGTCAAATACTGCCATAGCTTCTTCCTTTTTTACTTACCCGAGGAACCTTTTACATCAAACCCAATATCAATTTTACCCTTCAAGTGATTCACAGAACCGCTAATCCAGGGCCACGATCGTGCATAATCGACGTGATCGCCCAATAACTCAATGACTCGAGGATCATAACGTACCATGAACAGCGTGCCATGCACAACACTACTAGATAAACGCTGGTGATTCATAGCAGCACCTAGACCTACTGCCCAAACAACTGCACCAACACCCGCACCTGTCCATATCCAACGCTTTCTCAAAGGGGAACTGACTTGAGGTAACTCTCGCTCAACCACAACTGTTTTGGATTTAATGGAAGAGGCTATTTGACGACGAGCGTTGTGTAATGCTGGTTGTGCTAATGGTCTTGAAACAGTCAAAAGTCGTGACGAAAAGAATGACATTTGGGAGATATGATATTGACTAGCTGATGAAAGCGAATAACTAATAGAAGTTATCAACTCCCCAGGAAAATATTCTGTCAAGCATGAAATACAGTATTTCTACTTCCGTACGATACACTTTCGAATTTTTTTATTGGACAATCTGAGTTTTATTTGGAGACGTTTCTAGGGTAATACAGGATACGAATTGAAATACCTGTTAAGACCTTTACACTTTAATTGGAGACATTACTCAGAAGGTTATTAGATATCTTTCAGTCGATAGCGGCACCACGTCTAAAGTACTACGAGATGTATTGAAACTTTCAGCGCGACACAGGTTTTATTAGTAATAGACACAGGGTTGTGGTTTACGAGACGTTATTTTGGGATCAAATAAATTGATCTACGCGCTCTTCCGCCATATACGTAGATAACGGTTGTTGTTGTCAATCGTATAAAAAAAAATAGATATTCTCAATTTCGAAGCATATAGATGTCTTTTCTTTGACTTCTCATCATCATCTTCTTCTTCTATACTTTCTTTCCTCATCCTGTAAGCTATTACTTACCATGTACAAAGCCAAAATCTGGCAAAAAATCAAATTGGTGGCAGAAGCCCATGAGAATATAGTCAAAGATGAGTCCTTCCGTAAGTAACACATCATCGCGCTGCCACAAATAGGTTATAGTGGTAATCCTCAGATCATGTTTCGTATGACTAGTGAACGTCGAGTGCAAGGATTGCAAAACACGCGGACATTTCAACAAGGCACACCATGAATGCAAGTTTTACAAAGCAGTTTCTGCGCGTGATGGTAAGTATCATGCTCTCACTACAAGACAAGTTTATGTTTGCTTAACGCAAATTTAGTTGGAAGTAGCGGCAAGAAACGTAAGCATTCAGCTACAGTCGAGGAAGGAAAGAAGCAAGCAAAGAGAAAGAAGAAGCAAACAACTGGAGATATCAAGTGCATCAGTTGAGACTTAAAGGGTCATTCTACTTCTCGTTCCCTCGAATGGAAAAGTTGCCAAGGGTTATACAGCCCAACTCGAACAATTTTGTAAAGTCTTTAGCTTCAAAAAGTTAGGCTTCAGAAGGTAAAGTAGATAACACTCTGCTAAAAGTTCCTGTTCTCATGATTATTCTTTCACTTTTATCGTAGTATTGTTGAGCTTAAGACAAACACAAGTGTGCTCTTTCGCAATCTGATTCGATTTGATGGCTTCACTGTAGACTTTTTTTTTTAATCGTAAGAAGAAACCAAAAGAAGACGCCATCATTGATCATCATGATTGACGTTAGAAGACTTCTCATATGAAGGGATCACGGCAAACTACAGACCCGCATTTGGTGATCCTGGTCGAAAGACCGTATTTACAGCAGCGATCGGGTTGGAAACAGAAAGACATGAGATGTTTGATCTGCTAAATTGCTGTATCCAACAGCATATTACTCTTGGTTTATTACATAATACTATAAGATACGACGCTGATCGACAAAAGAATATTATCACATGACGGGTAGCACTAGAGTCAGTGCAGAATTAGAAAGGAAAAAAAGCTAATTGTACGATAAAAGATATAGAAAGCAATATACCGAGTTGCAAAACAGGCTCGCCTGAACAGTATGAAATATATACTACTTATATACTGCAACATTTAGAGACTCTGTTCTCATTCTAAGGGTCCGGTATGGAGGAAACAAGATTCCGTCTGTATCAAGGCAGCAAGCGTGCTGCAGATATGATGGTGAACATGCTTGTCGATGGAGGTGTCAAATATGACGAAGACTTAACGAAAAAAAAAGGGAGGAATAAATGAAATGGCCAAAGAAGAAGGGCAAACCTAACTTAGTAAAACAAGAAAAAAAAAAGAAACCGAAAGAGAAAGAGAAGCAGGAAAAAGAAGAGAAAGAGGAAGATAACCACGTTCGGTAAGTCTTGTAGCGATTAACTGTCAACTAAATTTGTGTATACTCATTCTATTATCTATCTTCTGGAAGACGATGGACCCCTGAGAGATTCAGGTTGCGTGATAGCAAAAAAGTTCCTCTAATTGTATTTGGTGACGGCATGTTCAACAAATCCGCCGTTCATTTAAAGGGCCTTAAAACTGGTGTCGTTGGTGTTCTTTGGCGTGCATTGAAGCGAAGAGAGGCTGCCGGCAATTTACTAGTGATAACCATTGATGAATACTTTACCTCTCGAACATGCAACAATTGCCGCTCCAACACCGTTGAAGCACTGAAGACTGTCCAGGCCAAGGTATCCTTGCCTGCAAAACCTGTTCGATACTTTGAAACCGGGACGTCAACGCTGCTAAAAGCAGGTTGGCAATTAGCTTGTCAACATGGAAGTCAACGGGAAGACCTACTGAGTTTTGTAGAAAATCAAGAAAGTCACCCGCATCAACCGCTTAACAGCATCCTCTCATTGCCAGAACGAAACTGGCTCGATTTTCACAGGCAGACCTGTCTAGGAAATTGTAGTGGTGGCTCGTAAATTTGCTGCGGAATTCTAAACGATCTTACTTCGTCTGTCCCGTCTCCACGCGAGTAAAAACAAGTGATTCCAACTCCTCATTGAAAGCCAGAAAGTGATCGAGTATACAAGAACAGTATTCACAAAATGCTCTTTATGGAATCATGGTTCATAGACCACATCCAAAAAAAAAAAAACAAAACAAAAACAAACTCACAACCTTCGCAAACAGATTAAACAATATAAATGCGCGTTATTAATAGCTTCTTTACAATCTTAAACGTTATATTTATTGAATAACTTTCAAAGCTGTCCCGTAAGTTGCTTTGTCTCCTCCTCACTTTGTTTTAAATCTTCAGAAACATACTTATCCAACAGCTACAAAATAATATCAATATGAAAAGGTAAACACGTCAATAAATCGCTATAACAGTTCGTAACTATATGCTTGTATTATTTGACGCGTACCTGCTGTTTCCGCCGCTGCACTAAATATGCTTCTATTTCTTTCTGCGATGGCACTGTACCAGCATGCTCGCTTGATGCACCATTCATTTTATTCTCATAATCTATATCCATTTCTTCGGACTCCTTCTGTGCTACTCGTGTCTCATCATCAGGTTGCTGGAATAGCTTTTCGATCAACTCTTGTTCGCGTGCCTTTTCGTACTCTAATAATATACCATCCTCTTCATCACGGTACCCATAATAATCTGCATCTATATCACGATTAATTTCACTTCGGGTGCGAGTGGTTTGTTCGGGTGCTAATTTATTATATGAAAATCACTCATCAGTATCACTGCGTCTATTAAATCATTCATTTTTACGCGCTGTTAAACAGTTTCCACTTTCTCGTTTACCTGTTTTTTCGAATAATTCTCTCACGCCTGGTAAATCTCTTGCTCGCCCAAAATATCTATTACAATCAAAAATGTAAGTCTTCCAATCTTAAGTAGAACTTCCAAAACATTCGACGTTTTACTTGTATCCTCTGGTTCCAGGAACTTCTCTTCCTTCATAATTGATCATTTTTGGTGCTGAACGCTACGTACACATTTACAGAAAAGCAGCGATCATCAGCGATCAACCATGTCTTAAGAAAGAATCAATGTCATTTAACAACGTTACTGTATAGTCAGGTCCACCTAACTCTCTAATTCTTCTTTCCCAGTGATATTTTTGATTCATTAACTTGTTGATGTCATCGTTGAGATCGCGCACTTGATAATCAGATAGACTCACTAAGTAAATCGAAAAGAGTAATCGGTTTCAATTTCTGTTCATGTTTAATGATCGCTGATAAGCTGTTAACATTCCATATTTTCCAAAATTACCGTCTTGTATTTTAGAGATCTTTCGTGAGATTTCACCTAACAAATCTCTACGCCAGCGTTCCGCTTCTTGTACTGTATTGACTGATCCAGCATAATTAGGTCTACGCATTTTAGGTTTACCGAGGCCTAGTTCGGCTGCTTGAGCCTCACGAAACCGATACAGCATAGACTGTGCTTTTTCTTCGTTACGAGCCTAACACAGAGAAGGCATTTTTAATAATGGATAAAACTCAAGATGACAGGCAGATATCATTCGATATCCTTACCATGCTGGACTATATAATCTACGCCGTAATTAAACAATTAAGGGAAGAAGAAGGTAAATATTGGAAAAATGTTTTTATCAGTTGTGAGTTGTGTTTGTAAGGAAATGTTCAAATAAAATTCTAGCGCGGCTTCATCAACAGGAAAATTCATGCCTACTAAGAACCCTGTGACTGGGAGTATATTAACGTTGGACAGAACGGCGCAAGACATATTAAATTTCGATCATTGTCGTCTCCAACGACAGTTATTGGAGACCAGACGGTAGACTTAAGCCTCCTGTTTTTTTGTCAGTGTCAAGGTTTTGATTGAAGAAGGTTGTTTTATTACATAAAGCAAGAACCTTGGTCAAAATCGTATGATAGAACAGCATATAAAAATAAGAATGAGAACCAAAAACCCAAGAGCATGCTGCTCAAAGATTAAATGTCAGCATAATTCCGCCTAGAAACAAACATAAAAAAGAAAAAGTTGGGAGAAAGAATATAGAAATATACGGCTGTTCACTCCCTTGTTTCTTTTATCCTCTACTATAATTAAAACATGTTTCGTCCCAACAGAAACATCCTTAACCGTTTATCACGATTAAATATTGCTCAAAAAGTGGCAGTGACCCGTACTGTGACCACGACTACTATTGCTCAAAAGGTTAGGTGCAAAATATAAATTCATCTGGAAGATACTCAGGGCGTTGCAGAATATTGAACGACATTTTATATTAACAGACAGCATGGACAAGCAGTAAAGCCAATAGAATAGTTGCATATGCCACTTTGGGAGCAGCAGGTTTAGCAACTGCTAGCTACTTCAACCTCACAAATCCTGTTTATAACGAAGCACCTCCCTCTCCTGAAGTTGTTGAAGGTAAATCATTATCTGGAGAAAAGCATGAATATACAATATAGATTTTGTTGATGTCTTTTGCAATCTTCTAAATCTTTGAGAATAGACCCAGCAACCAAACTTCTTTTCCCGGTTTATTTGGAAACAGACAGTGTGAAAAAACAATTGATAGGACTAGGTGTACGTACGGTTTCATTTATGAATATGAATGTGTATGTAGTAGGCATGTACATGGTGCCCGGAGATATTTCTCAATTGGCGAAATTGAGTAAATGGAAGGTAAATAACGCTGCGTGGATTTGTCAAAGGCCAGAGAATGCTAAGAACGGTGATGAAAGGTCAGATTCTACCTTTATTAAAACTGATTTTGACTGTAGAATTTTGATAAAAGTAAAATATTGGAAAGTGATGAATGTGCCGAAGAATTCCTAGAGCAGCCCTTCGACTTAACGATCCGATTAGGTAAAGCATTTCGTTCTGTGCTTCAGTATACCTTCCCACACATACACACACACACACACACACGCCCAAGTCATCCCTTGTTTTTTGTTTTGAATAGGACTGCTAACAACGCTTTCATTTACTAGTGCCATCACGTTCTACCAACACGCAGCATTTACGTGACGGTTTCGTGCGCATACTTACACAGCGTATGCGAGACCAAGATTTGACGGAAGATGAGGAAAAAGTTATTTTGAAGGCTATTCAAGAATTCAAATCCAATTTTGTTAGTATGCGAGTGAAAAAGGATTCAGAATTCATTTTTACAAAGACAAGGGAAGGTGGATTAAAGATGATTTACGAAGGTCGACATTTAGGAACAGTAGAAGACTCATGGCTAGCAAAAAACTTCTTCATGTGTTATTTGAATAGTCAATCTCCATCAAGCCAGGCTGCTTTGAATGATTTTGCTAGCGGCTTTGAGAAACTTTTGAAATAAAGATGAGATAGTGGAAATTGGAGAACGTGTTCTATACATTTGCCTTCGAATTGTGATTGTGATATTATTTCGTTTTTATTCCAAAGTTAGCAATTTTTGTAATAATCAGCAGCGTACAATAGAGTTCGTTTGAATCAATGTAAAGAAACATCAAAATCTGACCTAGAAATCTTCAAAAGGGTTATGACACAGTCGTTTGTGTAGATCAGTCTTCTTCTACAACTGTAAGCATAACAATGCCATATGACCCAAAGGTTTTTTTGTCTGATAGCCAGCGTGTTTAAATGCAATCTGCCATTAGAAATTTATCATCAAAGTTGCTTTACTTAGTAAAAATCGCCTCCGTTACATGAAGTGTATGCGTCTGCGCATTGGGAATTTGAAAGAGCTATACAAGAATTTCAAGAAATATCATTAAAAACCTTTTTGAACCTAGGTTCCAATCTTTAAAATTTCTTTTTTTTAGAAACTGTAAGTAGCTGTTGAAGCAGCTTCAATCTAGCATCAAGCGTTTACATATTATAATTATAATGTATCGGTTGTCCTTCGGGCCATATATGGAGACTCAAATTATGAATATATAAAGTGTTGTGTTCAAAGTCGTAGTTCCACATCATTTTAAAGGACGGTAACGATATAAACTTTTGCTAAATGCTACGATTTTGTAATTATAGCTGAAATTGAGCTAAAAGTAAGCTACAGAGGAAGGATTTTCGGTTCGTTAGGCGTTTTGTACGAATAGCCATGGAAGATATTCTCCATGCCAAATAGCCTTTATAGAAGCAATAGCAGGAAAGTATTTACGTTTAATTGTTATGTCCACAATAACAAAACTTGTATCTATCAAAAATTGCCTTTGGCATAAAAAAGACCAAGGTAGTCTATGCTGGCGCTAATTTTGTACTTTAAAAGTAGAAAAAGGTCTAAAAACTTAACTTGTTCAGAGATGTGCATTGGTGCATGTCGATGCTTATAGTCCATAAAACTTGCTTCTTCCATATATCTGTATAACATTCTTGAGACATTGATGTTGGTACTTCATATGGTTATATATACGTTTAAAGAGAGGTTTTTATTGACAAAATATTTTCTTTAAAACCCAGTGGGCACAATGTTATATAAAATTGCCCGGGGCAGATCCGACTGTTTATAAAGTATCTAAAAAGCCCTTCAAGATCAAGGGTAAAAACGAGTTTATCACAAGGTTGAGTGATTATGGGGAGACATCCATTGGAGCAGTAAAGATCCTAGAGCAGCATCCAAGGGTGGGGGTTCTTTGACGTGGAATAGATAGTCAAGCTCATATAGTATGTAGCAGAGGATCGGCCATAGGTGTTCCCATTGACGTTTTATCATAAGTTGTCTTGGCGGGTGGTTAGGTAGCTGATTTAGAAGATACGAAAGGGGATCTTCTATTTGCTGTGGTTGCTGCAAACGCGAGTGCATATGCAGGCATTGGATTGAGTGTGTCTTTGTTAACAATGCTGAAGGGTGCCGGATGCAGTAGGTGGTGTTACCACTAGGTAACCAACCAAGTCGCCAACGAAGACATCGACTTCTTTCTTCTCTTGTCATAGGAAGCCATAGTATGGGATCTAAACTTACTGTTCGGCGGCAGACGGAGATGAGCTTAGAGTTTGTTGGGGCGCTTTGCATTGCTTGTAAGGATTCTGTACGAAAGTCTCTCAGGGACTGTTTAAGAATTTTCTGATCCATTGTCTGGGCGTATTCCTTTGTTCTTTGCCAGAGAGGTGTACGAGATAGCTGAATCCAGATAGAAGAGCTATTTGGTTGGTTATATATACACTATTTTCAGAAATTATTCGGACACTTCTGACTAAAAATTTCGGACACCAATTGAAAAAATAAACGGACAATAGCTGAGCATAAAATGGGCCACTGACAGAAAATAATTTGGGCCATGGAAAATTTATTGTATGGGACAGAAATGGAAGTGGGCCAAATGTCCCAAATGTCTAGAGGGGTTTGCGCTCCAACACATCAGGAAACTTTTGGACGGAATACCTGCAGAATCCCTTTATATCACTCAGAAGAATACTGTTACAGGCATCGCGAATACGTAGTGTCAATGTTTCTTCGTCTAAAAGTGCTTCTCGCTTGAGTTTGCTTTTACAAACTGACCAAAACTGTTCTATGGGGTTCAATTCAGGAGAATAAGCTGGGAGATAAACGCATCCATAGCCACGACCTTGTATATAGTTTCGTATGTCGTCATGTGTATGTATAGGTGCATTATCCATTACAAGATAATGACCTTTGAACTCTTCATGCTTGTCCATAATATCTAACGTACTGGCAATGAAATTGAAATAGTGTCCCGTACAGGTACCGCCTTTGCCTTTGTCTGCAGCAACTGCTGCTGTGCCTTCACTACCTGCTACTTTTCTTTTTTTCGATGCTGCCATCACCTTTGCAGCCCTTACTTTGATATTTACAATTCCATAGGGCGAAATAGCGCCAAAAATTGTCGTCATTTTTGATTTGGTTTTGGGAGTCTTAACAACTGCACGGGTTCCCTTCTGAGACCAAGCAAAGGATCGCTTTAGATTGATATGGAAGCCTGCTTCATCTATGAATACGCAATTGCTTTCATAGTCCAAATCGGTATTTTCTATCCATCGCTTAACCCACTGATATCTTTCTTCAATTTTATCATGGCTATTCCTCTCAATAGAGTGAAAATGGGCTTTTTTGAAGCTGATGCGACACTTTTGCGTTGCAAAATTGTAAAGGGCCGTTTTAGAGATAGAGAGATCCTTGAATTGATTAGTCAAGCTCTCCATCATTTGATCTAAACGAAGATCACTGTTATCATCAATGAGCTCGACAAGATATTGACGATGACTCTCAGTCAAGGGTGATGGTCTGCCAACTGGCCGGCCACTACCAGCCTTTCTCATATCGACATACTCATCTGCCGCCTCAAGACCCTTTTTATGCCAGCCATATGATGTGCTTTTAGGAATTTTGAGCGCGCTCGCTGCACCGCGAATTGACATCCCTTTTTCAGTAACTAAATAGAAAAATGTTTCCATATCTTCTTTTTTATATTTTCTATAGGTTGTTTTCGGCATCTCTTCAGTTTTAATCAGCTTTTTATCAGACTTATTGTTGGATTCTTTCTTGATCTCCTTCTTTTCAGATCTCTCAGGAGGTTTGAAGTCATTATACATATCAAAGTCAGTAACAGCACCCAAAGGATAGTTATTTGTGTCAACATCCATATCAACAACGCAAACTGCAACACCATTTTCATCAAACTTTCCCCCTAAACCATCTTCGAATATAACGTTGACCATTTCAATTAACTTTATAAACTTTTTAAGAGCGCTGCAAATGTACGAAATTTAAGCAAAAAAAGTGTCCCGTTTTCTTTTTCTTTTTCGACCGGATTTTTATTCTGTCAGTGGCCCATTTTATGCTCAGCTATTGTCCGTTTATTTTTTCAATTGGTGTCCGAAATTTTTAGTCAGAAGTGTCCGAATAATTTCTGAAAATAGTGTAAAGTGAACGGATTAGGCATATTTATCAAATCAAAAGACCTATTTTCTAAGTATGGCAGTCTAGCGAAGCTTAACCATTTCGATTTATCATTAATCAAAAATATCATCGACATATTTGCAGTCCTAACTTACTACATACCATACAGCTACGCTTTGAGCGAGCCAAAGATGAATAATAATGAGCTATGGTATATTTGAATGCCGTGGGAGAATTTTTTTCAATTCCTGAACACTGATGGAATTCGGACTGGTAGATACTGAAGGGACCGCCAAGTACATTTACGGCAATATTGGAAACATGGCGTAAATTATAAGATCTCATTCATGTTTCCATTAGGGAATTGCTCTGCAGTTAAGCTCAGTCAAAACTACTTAATTTTTTCAGAAGAAATGTGCTTTTATCTCACAAAGAGGTAGATGTACGTTCATTAAACCAAATCTGAATTGGTTATGAGTACAGTTATTTTATTCATACCGTGTCTTGAAGAATTTCAACGATAAAAACTAAGGGCATATGAGTACCAGAAGGACTACTGTGGAGGTTCGATGAAACGCGTTAACGATCAACATTGGATGTTATCTTTAATGTAAGAGAATGATAGCTACGGTTCTTGTGTGTACGGGGCCAGCCGTTAAATAGTGAAAATATAAATAGAAGGCAGAAGAGTATGAGCTTGTAAGACAAGCTTTATGATCAGAATTACACAGATAATGCCTCCTCTTTGAAAAGTGCTTTTTGCTACATTTCAGAGAAACGACTTCATTGTTTTCTTACTGTATGGCTTCATTAAATCATGCGTTATAATTATCTATTCTTTGAAAATAAACTGTACCTATCTATTGGTACAAATATTCATTGTTCGAATGAATGCAATGTATAATGGTTCTTGATAATATTATAGGTTAAAAATACGAACAGGAGAGAACATGAAACTCTTACTTTTTGTCGTTCCCAACCTTATTATTACATTGATTTCTCAGGTAATCTATAAAGCAGTGGATTTTCGGGACGTATATTTATTGTTAAAGATGACAGTAGTGTAACAAAAGCCGTACAAGTGTAGTGCTATCATCGAGTTTTCTTCTTGGTACTAGCACGTTTATATGTAAGTGTACAAAAACAAAAAAAAAACAAAACAAAAAAAAACTAGACTACGCCAGCTTTATAAGTTATGATGGCGCTTGTGGTTTATTTGGGCATAACAGAAATTGAGATTCATAATAAGGGCGATAATATGCGTAGATGAATGTAAATAATATCGGTTATTGTTTTATCACCATCCAAATACTTCTAATCAATAGCTACCGTTTTACTTGAAGTATTGTTCCTTGTTTACTGCTATATTTTTAGTACTAAGCCCTTTATCGTTGATTTCATCAGAAAAGGCAAATATACGATAAATTAGTAGGTACTTCAATAAAGGTTTACAATTGAAACCAGGGTTTAAGCACTCAAGTTGCTAGCTTGTGATGACAATATATGTTATTAATAAGATAACGAACAACTCGAAAGCTTGAATGGCTACGCGTCATTATATCTGCATAAAATACAGTCTTAATACCAAAAGTAAGCGCGAACACTAATTACAACCTGGGATGTGCATCTATCGTCAAAATGTGTAACAATTGATGGTGGCGGACACAGAGGAATCTATATATAGTCTTTTAAGGAGCAATGACAACACGTGTACTACATTTTATCACTAAATCATGCATTGTACCCATTTTCTGATCTCTATTCATCAACAAAGACACGTAAACGGGTCTTCTAATGGAAAACTACATTTTATTTTTCTCTTTTTACAAAAGAAAAAGGTCCGCTTTATTCCCTGATAAATTATGTTTCAAAATTGAAGGACGAACACGCATGTATACAAATATGCTTTGTAGAATTTGTAAATGTATGTATATCTGATTGAATTATTATAGTTGCATATATGAACTTCTTCTCTCTTGTATGACATGCCTGAAGATGACGCCACATATCGTTACAGATGCGTGACAAGAAATGTACTCTAATGGGAGGTATTCGAAAGCATTAGTTCATATGCTTATTCAAAGCTTTGAAAGAACCATTCTAGTCTTTTTCGAAAGTCGAATTAATCTGAAACAGAATCTTTTTGGTTAAAGCACACAATATAGCATATATTAACCCACAAAAACTATTCCTTCTGTGGGTCTCTGCATCGGAGTCGAGACAAGCGAAAACGATTACAGCAGCGAATGAAGTTGGTGAAAGGTGGCAATTTATGTAAAAATAACCACTGTGCTTGTCAAGTCCGCAGAATTAAATCAATCATAATAAGAAAAAAAAAAGCAACAGCCTCTTCTTTCCTTTTCCTTACCATACCATAGACTATTCAGCCTCTTTCCTTCTCCATAAATTAAGGACAGGTCTCACCAGCCATTCGTTATACTTTAAAATTTGTAGCTCAATGACGGTGCAACAAGAATTACAACCATTGCAACATGACAATAATGAATCCATTCTTTCCGATTTGACACTTTCCTTTTTTGACTATAACACAAGTGAGCTTGATCACTTGTCAGATTCCCTTGGTATGCATCTATCGATAAACAATAATAATCTCAATAATAATGGTTACAATAGAAAACAACACTGTAACGATGTGATAAAAGAAGAACATGAAAGTGATAATAACGATGAAGGGCAATTCCGGCATTATCATCCAAATTACCAGGAACAGCAGCGACAACTAACAATGAACGATGACGATAACGAAGACGAGCGAAGTGAAAGAAATAGAAACACAGCTCAATACCGAATTCATAGAGCTTCAGAGATTCTACAATCGTCATTGCGCGCATCGGTACTCCTTAGCTCGAATGACTACCCTGACTTTGAAAAATCGACTGAAAGCACATATACAACGACAACAGCTGTCAGTGTAAGCAATAATATGGATATGAATAAACTGAAGCGAGAATTAGAAGAATCTCAGTTGAGAATAAAAGAATTGGAAACGAGCTATCGCATCCTGCAGGTGTGTGCAAAGCAAAGATACACAAAAATACCAACAAAGGGACTGACCGTCTTCATAAATTCTCTTAGGAAGCTAGTCAACAAGCCTTACATGAGTTTTCCCAATTAAAGGAAGATTTCGATAGAGAATCTGTCATTAAATCACAACAAGAGCTTACCATCATTTCTCTATTGAAAGAAAAGGGAAATTTATTATCAAAAAAGGAAATTGACAAAGCTGCTATTTTAAGAGTAGAACTGGAACGTGCTTGTAAAGAGATGGCAGAGTATAGAGATAGAATTGTGAATAACATAGGGCAAACGGTGGCACATAGGTGAGCAAAGATATTCGGAAAACTACAAAAGTAATCTTGGTTATTAGTTGACACACTTATGCATTTAATCCATAGTTCTCTCTTGAAAGATTATCAAAAAGCTTTAAAATTGCAGATAAAGTCCTTGATTCAGGAAAGAGATTTCTTACAAATACAGACGAAGGATTTAGCAAAGTGTCGGGATGAAATTATACGTGAGATGGTGCTTTTGAACACTAAAAATGCTGAGCTCACGACCATGAATAACGACTTATCACGGCTTGCTCTCGAGAAAGAAGAAGCCAACAGCAGCAGCAATAACAGCAACAGTCCTTCCACTTCGCCACCTTTGTCTCCTTCCCATTCTTCTGCGTTGACACCAACAACAGCAGATTACCATGCAGCACAATTAAGACCGCGAAAGAATTCCAATGCGAGCTCCATTATGAGTAAGATGTCGTACAGACGAAGCTTTATTGCAACCCAATCACCAGGTTCGTTGTTCCGTCTGAAAAAGAAAGGAAGCGCGATGTTTGGCAAATTTAGTCCCAATAATTATAGTTTAACAGGCGCTGCTGTCAGTACAAATAACAATGGCAGCAGTAATAATGGTAGCAATAGCCGTTATTTGAAGCATGAGTTAGCCTCTTCTTCTTTAACACGCCAAGACGACGAAAATGCTACTTCGGCAATTTACAATGATAACATGTACAATTACAGCACACAAAGTTTAAATATCCCCACCACAACCGTATCAACCTCTTGTGAGGCTGGTGATGGAACGCTAGGCCGATCAGCCACACCTAATTCTCTCAATAACAATATATCACATCGTAAATATAACTCTAAAAACTCTACAATCACGTCCTCATCACAGAAGATATCCTCCTCTTCCTATGCTGGTCATGGAAAAATGAGCGCTAGCAGTACTACTAGCACGGACATCTATCATCATTCTTTCCGTCTTACTTCTTTCTTACGACCAGTGAAGTGTGGTGTATGTGGCGATAAAATTTGGGGACGGAGCGAATATCGTTGTGAGCATTGTGGATATTCGTCGCACTCGCGCTGTTTGAATCAAATTTCAGAATCTTGCCCGCAGGCTGCACCTTCATTATCCTCCTTGTCGCCTTCAGCAACCAATAGTAATAGCGAACTAGTTACTGCCATTACTACATCTGACTATTCAACTTCTTCTGCTTTATATGACAACGCTTCGTCTATCATGACACCCGAAACTTCCTCTATATCTAGCCAACTTACAACTGCAAATGATGCTAAATCTTTGCCGGCATCTAAAAAGTCATTTTCAGGTTAGAAAACGCACTCTTATATACCTATTTTCAATCATTCCCGAGCAAGGCAAACTAAACAATTTCGTTCTTTTATATCTGTAAAGAGGTCAGTATGTTTGGCATTGAACTTAGTGAGAGAGCACAGCTTGAAAATAGAGATGTGCCACTGATTGTTGAAGAGTGTATAAAAGAAGTTGAGAAAAGAGGACTGAGTTATGAAGGTATCTATCGAAAATCCGGTGGAGCTGCTCAAATAAGATCTGTCCAACTGGCCTTTGATCAAGGCGAAAAAGTCAACTTGAGTAATGAAGAGCAATACAACGATATTTGCGCTATTACTAGTGTCCTGAAACAATATTTCAGAGAGCTGCCCAATCCACTTTTCACTTATGAACTCTATGAAAATTTCATAAAAATCTCTAGTGAGTATACAGAACTGAAAAAATCTTACTGAAACTAGTTTTGGCTGTAAAATACTAATTCTCTCTGCTTCGTTATTTCAGCTATGGATCATGGTGATAACAAGCTCAACGCTTTTATTGAGGTATTATCAATGCTTCCAACCGCCCATCAAGCCACGCTTATGTTTTTATTTAATCACTTGGTCAAAGTACATATGCACAGTGAAATTAACAGGATGAATATCAAAAATCTGTCGATGGTGTTTGCACCTACGATTATGAGACACAAAGATCCATCTAGGGATTTCTTAGATATAAGCTACAAGAATGCAACTATAGAATACATACTTTTGCATACAGCAGAACTATTTCCGTACATCAGCAGTTTTAGGAAACCATCTGCTGCTGTCTCTCCAACGTAAGGGTTGAAACTTCCGTTTAGACTATCCTACTATACGTACTTTTACTATTTATTTTCTTTATCTATTAACTAATGCATAATTTTGTATAAAAACTGAGTTTTTATTGTCTTTATAAATAATTATATTATTCTACCCACTCTTCGCATCGAAGACAGAAATTATGTAGATGTTTAAATACAAATGCAATTTACATATCAGCGAAAAATGCAGCTTTTCGATTGTTGCTTTTCTTTTCCGGCTTCATCTTCTTGGCTGTTTTCTTTCTCTTTTTCTGCTTTTTCTCCTTATCATCATCATCGTCGCTATCCGTAGCCCAGTCGTCCGAACCAGCATCCACTTTTTCGTTATCATTAGAAGCATCTTGCTGTGCGTCTTCTAAGGCAGCTAGCTGTTCCTCTTCATCCTGAAATAGATGAGCTACATTCCAAAACTGTAGTTGATCATCATGTCCGCTAGATATCAAATATTGTTTATCATGACTCAATTTCAGATTTTCAATAGGCATATCTTCTCCATGGTCTCCCAAGACACCATGAAACTCATTTGGCAAGATTGTCACCAGTCGTATAATACCATCACTGCTTCCTGTGCAAATTGAATCTTCGTCCAATTTACAAATAGCATCTATGGAATTCGGATGGCCTGTGATACGATCCTTATAATCACCCCAGTCGCCCCAGCTCCATAGCGCTAATACACCATCTTGTGTGCCTACCACAGCCTTTTTACCATTTTTAACAAGTGCAATTGATAATAGTTCATCTTCCATTTGATCTGACATAGCAGCAACTTCTGGTTTACGAATATCCCATGTAGATAAGTAGCCATCGCCACCTACGGCGAGTAATGTTTCGTGTTGTGTACTGTAAGTCATATCTGCGATGAAATCTTCATGTTCTGTATAGGTCATTACTGGCTTATCTTTACGCGCATCCCAAATCTACTTTTTTTTTTTTTTTTTTTTTATCATGTTGTTTTTTGAGAAAAGGACTTTAATTATCCAAGTGATTTCGTAAAAAAAAAAAAAACCCACCTTGATAACGCCTTGATCATCTCCTGTTGCAAACATATTTTGATCTATTATTAACAATGAATTGAGAGGCGATTCGTGCGTTTCTTCCCTCACTCGAATAACTTTTCCAGTCTCCACGTCAACAAGCTGAATAGTGCGATCATGTGAAATGCTAGAAATATCTTTATATAAAGAAAAAAGTTAAAGGTTAACAACTCATTGCTCTGTTTGAATCCTATAGTAACGGGCAAAGACAGAGTTGGCTTACGTGAACCATCAGTATGGAAAGCAACACCTCTACAAGACTCTTTATGAATTTTTGCATTCCAAAGTTGCACATGTTCCTCTAAACCGTATTTATGACATTGCACTTGACCGGTGATCATTCCAGTAACGACAATGTTATTAGCGGGATGCAAGTCAAAATGAAATATATTGTCTTCAAAGTGTAACGATTCAGGTTTGTTCCCTAGCTGATCCATGGTATATAATGTAGCAAATCTGACAGATCTGTAAAAAAATTTCTGATTTTTCGTTTTTTTGGGTTTGTATGACCCTTTTTTTTGCATGAATAGGTTTCAATTTTTTTTTTTGTGTGTGTGGTTCCTGAAAAGACGAAAGCCACAGAACCTCGCGTATTTTGATTCGCGGTCCATACAGACACTTCCTTCTCCTTCCTTCCAAAAGTACATTATTTTGAATAATGATGGTGCAAATAATTCAATATACTGTGGCTTCACTTTTACATCAATAAAACCGTGGAGCTATTGAATATACAGGTTTCTTTTCCAATTTATGAGTTGCAAGGAATTGCATACTCAAGTGTTAGTCTTTGTATAACGGTGCCTTTATACGTTAACCAGGAGACCCTAATTAAATATATATTCTGGGAGAGCAGACCTGCATGCAAGGAGGATGGTTAAAGAGGGGCATTTGCGAAATAAAAGCTGCTGCCTTGAAAAATTTATGGTAATTGATGCGACCCAAAGGTATAATGAAAATCCTCTTTTAAGGGCAGACAAGAAAACGTACAAAATTTCTATGCATTATCCCCAAAAAAAAACAAAAGCTCTAAACATTCACTTTAAGCAGACTACGGCTTCTCTTTTGATGCTCGTTCATAATGAGGCATAAAATTCATGTAGAGACTACTGATAATATCAAATCCCTCATCACCAAGAACAAATCCAAGAAAAAAGCCCGCTTTTATTTCAACTCAGCAACAGCCAGGACAATCATTGCACTTCTCCATAAGGAATACGTCCCTTTATTGAGTTTTTATGAAAACTATCATTTACTAAAGAGACGTAAAATGTCCATCATTACCGACCAAAAAGAACAACAACAGCAATCACAGCAGCAAATAAAATCATCATTAGAGCAGTCCAATAAACAGACTGACAGCACTGATTCCTCTATTTATCAAACTGAAGGCAGCACCAAATCTGTTCACTCATTCCGTTTATTAGATACCACGAAAGAAACAGATTCAGATAAAGATCTCATCATTCATTCTCTCAACGAGTCACTTCACATTCATAAGGAGATTTTAGAACGTATACAAAACGAAAAAGAGCAATATCAATTGAAAATAGAAAAAGAACGAGAAAAGGAACAAGAGGAGTTTAAGAGTTGGAGACAGAAATCCGAACAGGGACTAGAAGAACAAAACAAAAAATGCGAGGAATTAGAAGAGAACATACAGCAACTGCAAAAAGAGTTGGAATACAAGAAGGAAGAGTATAAGAAATTAGAAGTGAACTTTTATTCTTATGTTAAGCAAATACGTGTTACCGATGATGATTTATCCACGATTCAGCCTGAAATATCTCATTTAACGAATCAATTGAATAATACATGTATGGGTTTGAAGTCAAAGATGGATCGCCAAGCAGGCACACAATTCGTGTTTGAGCAATACCCTGATAAAATAGATGATATAAAGAAATACATGATGCCACCACCATCTGCCGCGACGAAAGAGGACGAGCAATTATTGGAAACATCCTTTATAACTTTCTTTGTCGAGAAGTATCTCATCAACATCTTGCTGTCGAACATCATGGATGTCCCTATTCATTTAGGGGTTTCAATCAATGAAGCATTTAAAGAATTGAATGACTGGATGGAGATTCGTAATAAAGAATGGACAAATCGATTAAGACAACAAGTCTGCGCGTTAGTCGTCCAACAGCCAGGAGAGGAAGAAGAAGCCAATATCAAATCAGCAAAAGACAAATTGCTTGAAAGAATAGTAAACGTCCTGGGGCCTGTCTATCCTACTTTAAAACAGGATCCAAAGAAGATCGAAAACTTGATTACGAGAGCATTAAAACTGAATTTGGCTGTCAAAGGCCAAGAGATCAAAATTGAACGATTGCCCATTGAGGAAGGTGTGACTAAGTTCGATCCGAAAACAATGAAAGCAACTGCGAAAGGGAAGCCAAATGGTATTGTATTTCTATCCATTACGCCGACATTTATCGCACGAGATGAATTAGATGATGAACATGGATTTACAGTACCCGGTAAAGTTTTTTGTATTGAAGAAGAGCAGTCAGAACAGCCATCCGAAACAGCAACAGAAACAAATCCTTAAGAGACATAAGAAGTTATTTTTATTTATCCTATATATCATCAACAATATGCATTTCAATATCCTCTTCTTCTAGGATACCTTCAACTCTGAATAAATTATCATATATTTATATATCATACCCTTGAAGGGCTTATCTTTTAATCTTTTGCTTATATATCATTCTTTTTGAAGGGCTTATTTTCCCATCTTTTGTTGTTATTACATGCGTGATCATTTGAACAATGGCTGGATTCAGTAGGCATGAAATCCAGGTAGGAAAAAGCGTCACGACTTTTTAAGGGAGTTTTAACTTTTTCTTTCAAAATGTTTGAATTTTTTTTTTTTTTTTTTTTTTTCCCTTCGCATTTACTCAATTTTCCAGGTTAAACAAGGAAATAATGGCTCAAACACCTGTTCCTCCAGAAGTACTGCAACAACTCACTCCTGTGCTTACTAGCCTTTTGTCTGTTGATAATAATGAAAGGTCAGACATTGTAATTTTTTACAACAATTGCTGTTCCTATTACTGAATTAATTTGTTCAATTGTTTTGTTCTGAATACGTCTACCTGCACACACTCACGTGTCCTCCCTCCACACACATTCACATTAAAATATTATCTTTACCATAACAGAGGTGCTGCCGAAGCTCATTTGAATGAGCATTGGATTGTCCAACAACCTGATCTTTTACTTCTTGGACTTGCAAGTTTTGTAGCCCATAATACCGACGTTCAGGTACAGCGATGAACTGATGAAAATGGAAATGGCTACTGGCCATCAGTAATTTTGTTGAAGAGGAAACTGAACGCCTTTTTTTTTCCAGCTTCGTTCTTATTGTAGCGTTCTTTTACGTCGTCTAGCTTTCAAAGAAGAAATGCACGCTAGCACCGAACCAGCAGATGACGGCGCTATGCGTCCTCGCATTTGGGATAGCGTCCGAGACACCACCCGACAAGGTGTTAAAGAGCTCTTATTGTTTTCTCTCGCTAATGAAACTGATCAAAGCACTAGGCATAAAGTATCGGATACTATCGCTGAGGTTGCAAAAGATGACTTCAGTTGTCAAAGTAAGTTGTTTATTCTCATAGGACCTACTATTGTTGGGAGATCTATATCCTCATGCATTAATTTGTGGTTGTAATCTATAGCTCGTTGGGAATACTTATTGAAGGCTCTTTTTGAATGTACTCAGTCACCTAATCCTGCTCATAGAGAATCAGCTTTCCGTATTTTAGCCGCTGTCCCAGAATTAATAGCTGATCAAAATGCTGAAGTTGTTAAGAACGTCTTTTTGACAAGTTTAACTGATGCGGAGAGTCAAGCGGTAAGGATTAGAGAATAGTGTCATGGAGTAGGTATGGATAATGATGAGCATAACCTTATTAAATCCTTTTTTCATGATATCCTAGGTGCGTTTGGAAGCCTTGAAGGCCGCTGCAGCCTACATTTTAGATGCTGATACTAAGACTCAAAAAGTGATGGGTAATTTGATGCCTCAAATGCTTGATGTAAGTTTTTTTTTTTTTAGGACGATTTGTTGTGGAAAAAGCAAAAGTGGTATTTAGAAAGTATTTTGGAATCACTTCATAGCCTTTATCTCCTCTTATCACTGCCCATGATGATCAAAATCTTGTTGACAGTCTTGTTGTTCTTATTGAATTGGGTGACAGTTGTCCTAAACTCTTCCGTCCCGTTTTTCCTAATGTTCTTACCGTTATGGTTTCACTTGCCAAGGACAAGACGTTCGAAGATCGCACGCGACAAACTGCATTGGAATTGTTATTGTGTATTTCTGAAGCTGCACCTGGTATGATTCGTAAAGTTCCTAATTTTGCTTCTGAGATCGTTCCCGTGGCTATGGAAATGATGGTCGATATTGATGACGATGAATGTTGGTACACCACAGATGATGTAAGTTTTATAAGTTTGAATAATTATTTGTCTATAAACAAGGAAGTTTTGCTTATTTATGTATTGCATGTCGGATGGTAAATAGTTGGATGATGACGACAATGAAGAAAACTATGTTATGGGCGAGAGTACTTTGGATAGAATCGCTCGTACACTTGGAGGTAAAGCTGTTGTTCCTGTTTGTTTCCAATATATTCCTCAAATGCTTCAGTCCGGCGAATGGCAACAACGTCGTGCTGCCCTTATGGCTATCTCATCTATTGGTGAAGGCTCTGTTGACGTGATGGAACCTGAGCTTGGAAACATCATCAGTATGATCTTACCATTTGTTAAGGATCCTCATCCTCGTGTCCGTTATGCTGCTTGTAATACACTTGGTCAAATGTCCACCGACTTTGCACCATTCATTCAAGACCATTTCCACGAAGCTATAATTACTTCTCTTTTGCCTGTTCTGCGTGATGAGCAACCTAGGGTACAATCGCACGCTGCTGCTGCAATGGTGAACTTCTGTGAAGAAGCTGAAAAGAGACACATTGAGCCTTACCTTGACAATATGTTGGAAAGTCTCGTTGATCTTCTCAAGACAAACAAGACCTACGTTCAAGAACAGGCCATCACTACGATCGCTACAGTCGCTGATAGCGCTGAAGATCGCTTTATTAAATACCACAATGTTATCATGCCTCTTATCCTTGACATTCTTCGTCAAGCAGACGGTAAGGAATACCGTATTATGCGTGCCAGAGCCATTGAATGTGCCTCTCTTATCGGCCTTGCTGTTGGCAAGGAAGCTTTTGCTCCTTACACCAATAACTTCATTCAAATTCTGGCTGAAATCCAACAAACTGTTACAGAACCTGATGACGTGCAATCTACTTATCTCCTAACAGCTTGGGCTCGTATGTGCAGAGTTATGGGAGATGACTTTTTACCCTATCTTCCCAATATCATGCCTCCTCTCTTACAGTCTGCTAAATTGACACCAGAGTTCACTATGGTGGATGATGAGGAAGAAGATGTGGAAGCTAAATACCCTGCAGAAGATGGTTGGGAATTTGTTGGTATTCATGGTCAACAAATCGGTATTAAGACTTCTGTGTTGGAAGAGAAGAACACCGCTTTGGACATGCTTGTGACTTATGCTCGTGATTTGGGAGCGGGATTCTTACCCTACGTTCCTGAAGTTTTTCAACTTGCTCTACCCTTACTCAAGTTTTATTTCCATGATGGTGTTCGTATGGCAGCTGCATCCCTCATTCCTATTTTATTACAGGATGCTAAGGAAGCCAACGTGGCTCAGAACGAGCTTGCCAATATGTGGAATACTATCTACGGAAGATTCATCAAGCTCATGTCCATGGAAGATGACATTACTTTCTTAGCTCAAATATATGCCAGTTTCTCTGAATGTGTCCAGACTTTGGCTGACCGTCCCGGCATTCTTCAACCTGCCCAAGTAGAAGGATTTATTAAGGCGACAGATGAACAAATGCAGAAATCATTGAAGCGATTGACTAACTGTGAAAAGGTGAAGCAGTCTGAAGACTATGAGGGTGTTGAGGACGCCGAAGAAATCTTAGAAACGGAAGCGATGGAAGAAGACGTCTTGAGCGAAATGGCAGGCACATTCAAATCTTTAGTCAGCTCTCTTGGTAACGATTTCTTGACGCCTTATTTCGATTCATTGGTGCCTACCATCACACAATTTGCAGCACATCCTAGTGGACCTGCACAACATTTCTGTGGTTATATATTTGAAAGCTTGACAGAGGTTTTGGGTCCTCAAGGGGCTGCTAAGTATTCCTTTTTGAATCGTAAATAGTTATAGCTGTCAATGATGTCACCCTTCTAAATATATATATATGTAATGTAAATTCTCTTTTGTAATAATTATCCATCCCAATCTTTTCCTTCGTTTCGCCATCCTCTATATGACAACCATTTTTTTTCTCCCTCTATTTTGTACAAAATATAAAAACGTTTGATATTCTCCTTGGAAAAAGCATTACATCAAAAACTATAAGCACTTTTAAACTTTTGACAATGTGAATTTGAACAAACTTGTCTATCTTAACCGGAAAGTTTATTGCATTTGATGCACACAATATCGAAGATAGTTTACGCTTATAATGTCAAGAAAACGAAATAAAGTACTGTAAAACAAAGAATTCGAACACGAACGGGTCTTACCATTTTTTTCAAGCTAGAAGATATGTAGTAAACCCCTCTGATTTGATTTGACAAAGTAACTGTCTTTGATAAACTTCCAAAATATACAAAAAAAAATAAAAAAAATATATGTATATACCTGTTCATATACGCAATTGACCTTCTCAACGAGAGTGTTCAGTTGTTTTAAGGTTTTCGTTGTGCGCCTGCACATGAATCTAAGCACTTTCGGGTGTTACTTAAAACACAAAAGTGCCTGTGTAAGTATATTTTGTACCTGTGACGAAAAGAGAGATACAAAAACCAAGTAAAGGCATTTCTGTGCGTTTGTTTAACTGTATAATGCTTATTTTTGTGCTTCCTTTGACAAACGTAAAGTACGTAAGTGTTTTTACTTCCTTTGGGGTTCCGTGATTTAAACTTGAATTCTCATTGAGTTCAAAAATTGATGAATAAGAGACATATCAAAATACATGGTTTATGATGAATCTATAGAGTATGTAATCATATCTTGTTTACAAAGAGGTCTCACTGCCATACTTGGAATTTTCACTATCGTAGTATTTATAGTATGCGATCATTGCCAATCTGCAGATGTTTCATTTATTTCTGTCAGCTTTATTGTACTTCGTAAACCCGGGTCCGGAGGAAGTTACTTACTTCACCGAGATTCGAGTAACATGCAGAAGGGGCGAATGGAAATCTGTATTTCTTTGTTTCTTTTCTTCACTTCACCTCTCTCATTCTTGATTAGTTATATAGGATTGCTCTTCAAACTAATAAAATATCATCATGCAACAAGCAAAATTGAAGTTCTGTGAGGCATGTAGAAAGTCCAAACGCACCTGTGATTCGCAACGGCCTTCTTGTTCATACTGTATTGAAATCAGACAAAAGTGTGCTTATAGTTATCATAATACAGTGATGGTCGATCAATTTATCACTTCTTCTCGTAGCGTATTTACGACTCAGAATGCTCGAAGACTGAGTTCAGGTTCGGCGTGTGAGACTTGTAGAAAAAGAAAAACAAAGTGCGATGGTGGTAGTCCTTGCCACTATTGTCGGACGAATAATCTGGATTGTGTTAACAATATACATGAAAGAAGACTGCGTGCCATGTCAAGAACAACGACTAATGGAAGTAATCGAGGTGTTACTACGACAACCTCCTCTTTATCCATGTCTACTACTATTGATAACAGTAATCCAACTACCACTACAACGGAAAGGCCAACAGAAGACGCAACAATGGATCAAATAGAAGATAGACTACGAAGAATTGAGAGACTTATGACAGCGTTTACACCTACCATCACTTCGACAAATGAAAAGCGTCAATACGTAGTTAGAGGTTTGCGACATTCTGTACATGGAACAAGTGCTACTACTACTACTACTGTAGCAGAAAAAGGTGGATATGAAAGAAAAGGTACTGTGATAAGAGTTTTATTGTTCTGGGAGCTTGAGTGATATATTGGATATACTTATCAATCGCGAATGTGGCATATTAACAGTAAGAATGGAACCTGTTCATAACATGTCAGCCTTCGGCTCTATTTCACCTCCTACAACAACAGCAGCACTTACAACCATGGCAGCAAAAGCACCTGCACCGCATTTTTCCATGAGTTCTATACCCACTACGCATCATCAGCAGACTACAGCTAATTCGACACTCAAACTATCCGTTTCACCATCTTCTGATAACATGGATGTATTGCCGAGTCCTCCTAACTCTACAAGCAGTGTAGTATCGTCATTTGATCTTCATCAGCAGAATTATCAATATCAGAGTAGTAATAGATGGAAGATCACAGGCTCAATACCAAGTTTAATGGGTAAGATTCTTACGTGCTCATGTCACCAGTTAAAGCTATGCATTTACAAACTTATTCCTTTATAAAAAGATCAACTTTCAGATAGAACATTCCCTACATCAGCAGTTGAATATACCATAACTCAGTATCCAATATATCCTTTGACTCCTCCGCTTCCAGCAAATACTAGCACATTACTCAGGGCGTCATCATCTACGATGCAACGTCCTCATAGTCTCTCTTAACAAACCACTTTATTATACAAACAGTCGGTTTTATACTCAGGAGGATGACTGTATAAAACCATTATTATTTGTTGTCATCCATTCATGCCGTAATGCTTCTTGTGGTGTCATCCGTTTTGAAGGATCCCAACTCAAACACCGTTCAATAAAATCAATAAACGCAATATCTTGACAGCATTTGAGTGCTTGGTAAAGAGATTTCGTACCTGGCAATCTCTTTTTTCCTTTCGAATTCGCCACAATTCGCGGCCTACCTAAGGAATCAAAAAAAAGTTTCCGACGTGATGAACGATCCACAAGATATTTATCAGGCGCACCCATCATTTCCATAATACAGCTTAGTTGTTCTTGTTCATTTTCACCAGGAAATAAAGGTAAACCTGTGTATAACTCGGCCACGATGCAACCAAAGCTCCACATGTCGATGGCTTTATGATACGATAAGCCTAGAATGACTTCAGGGGACCTATAAAAGCGACTTTGTATATATGTATACACTTTAAAAGGCAAATAAGTGAGAAGGTGAAATACAACATTACAGTTGTTTGTCAATAATGCTTACTTCTTTCAGATTCAAAGCAACTGCTACCAAAATCAATAACTTTGATGGAAGTTTTTGCTGGGTGTTCTAACATGATGTTCTAAAATTAATCGTTAATTTATCCTTAATCAATGTATTCCATATAATCTACCGATATTATTCGTTGATGTGCATATTACAACTTACTTCTGGTTTTAGATCACAGTGAATCACGTCATGCTTGGCAAGTAAAGTAAGTGACTGAAGAAGTTGCATAGCAATTCTAACAAAAATCACAGTATTTTGTTAATAGGCAAACGTATCTAAATTACACAAAATCATTCAATGCTATTACCTTCTTATCAAATGCAAACTAAAACCATGGAAATGATTCATCTTGATGAACTCGTACAGATTCATTGTCAAACACTCAAATGCAATACACAAATGCTTTCTAAAGTAGAAATAGTCTGTCATTTTAATCGTATGGTATTGATCGTCAGGATCCCACTCAACCAGCTTTTCCAAAATACGAATTTCTGTCATAGCTTGAGCGTGAAATCGTTTCTTATTACGGATTAACTTGATAGCCACCCATTGAGATAGCTTATGATCGAAACATTTGACAACCTGACCAAAGGAGCCGCGTCCTAACACCTCCACTACTTCGTAACGATACGCTATATGATCCTGAAGGATGATCTTGTAATCTCCTCTATCATCATCATAACCAAAATTAGTTGATAACATTTGATCTTTTGTTTTATCTGCATTAACAGTATGAAAAGCAGTAGCAGGATTCATTGTTATAGCATCCGCAATAGGATTAATTTTTTGAGCGTGAGGTCCAATGAAATAGATATCGTGATAGTCATGAATTTCAATCTGACGTTCAAAGTTGGATAAGAATTGACTGTAATATTTGAGTGTCGTATATACTCCTTTAGCAGTTTTGCCAGCAGGAGAACCAAGAGTTTCCTTCAGAAACGTATGTTGATGCTGCTGTTGCGGATGTGATGGCAAGGATAGTGAGTGAGATGCTATTTTGGACTGTCGATGACTTATAGCTCGTCTCATCTTTTGACTATTGTGACCACTACTGTTACTACTTGTATATGATGTAGTTGTGCTAGGCTTTGATGCTATTGTTGAAGAAATCGGTATATGACTCTTTCGCTTCGGTAATGCTTTTTCTTTGATCTTATTATCGTTATAAGTTGTATGGCTATTACTGAAGGACAACTTCCTGGTTCTCATACTACTGTTACCGCTTATAGTGTTTCGTTTCGTTGACATTGATTTTCTTTTCCATTCCTGCTGTTGATGTTCACCCTCTAAAAATGGAAGACTTATTCCTGACTGTGGCTGATTCAATGTAAATGGTCGCTGTTGCCGTTGTGATGCCCCTGTCTGATGGACTCTATTACTATTGAGAGGCTCAGTGGAAAATACCTCATCATCGTGGCAGTAATTTGACGCTGACGATATAAAGGGTGTTGTTGATATACTTTTTTGCCTTGATGTTGTTATACTAGCACTGCTTGTAATATCTATAGATGGTTGTTCTTTAAAAAAGGTCCCTTGCCGTTGAGGCTCTTCGGGCAAGGTCAATTGGAGTGGATTTAAAGTCATAGGGGGTAAAACCGGCATCGCAGGTACAACTGATGGTGGAATCGCCAAACTTCCAGGTAATGTTTGACCACGTTTACGGCCTGTTGGTTTCTTCTTCTTTGCAAAGGCATCATTTTTAATGATATCCTCATTTTGCAACTCTAAAGTTTGTATATCTTTTTCCAGTTGCGCTAAATCTTGTTCTAGATGATTTACATCTAAATCTACTAGTGGAGATAGTCTTGAAATTCTTGTGGTGGTATTAGCAGCAGCAGATAGTTGTGGTGTTGTTAATACTAAGTTTGCCTGTTGGTTATCGTAATTGGAAAAAGATGCATCCAAAAATTGCTGTATAGTATCGAAGTCATCTAATTGAGTGGGAGCTAGCTCTTTGCTTGTAGTTGCATTAGTGGTAGGAATGGGTTCCGAAAATTGATTCCCACTGCTGCTGGTACTGCTACTGCTACTGCTACTGCTACTATAACGATTGTCATATCTCTTTTTACCGTTCAAGATTGCGACTCCTGCTGCTGCATGCAATTTGGGTACGGGTGGAACGGGTGGTATAGAAGAGCAGTTGAACAAGTCATTATTACTATTATTCGTGATTTTAGATGGAGTTAAAGATGTTGTTGCAGGCAATGGTGGTGGCGAATAAGTGAATGAACGATGTTTAGTACGAGTAGTAGTCATAATTGGATTAGTGCTGGTAGTGTTTTTGCGTTGACGGGTATAACCTTGATAATCATTCAAAGAGCTATGCCGATTAGTACGCTGATTCTGAACCACAGATGAAGATCTCTTCTTTTCAGTAGTAATTGTCGATGCTGTTGGTACTGCTATTGATGGTATACTTGGTACAGGTGGAACTGATTTCTGATCTTTATTATGAAAATTTAACCTTTTTATCCTATTCGTGAAGGGTATAGTCGTGGTTTTTGGTAGTTCTTCATCATGTAGCGGCTGTAAAGCTGGTGGAGGCGGTGAGCGCAGCCTACTACTGTTATTACTACTAATTCGCATAGATCTTGTTTTTCTTACTTTAATGTCTTTATTGATTGATTGCTGCTGTTGCTGAATTTGTCGTTGTTGCTGATTAGGATGAAATGTGCGACGATTTCTACGAGTATTTGCATTGTTGCAAGTGGTTGCAGCAGCATCAGTTGTCGTAGTAGTAGAGTTATACACTTTATAGTAATCATTTAGCCAATCTTTATCACTACTATTATTGCCTGCCATTGTTGTAGAGGGATTACTACTGAATACGTCCTGACACGAGGAAGGAAATAGATGGCTCACTTCTGAATCTATAGAATCTCGCTGATGTTGCTGTTGTTGTTCTAGCGGCGAGGGAGGTAAAATGATGCGCGTGCTCATCCATTCTGACTTCTTACTATCTACCAGTAGCTGATTGGACCACTGTTGAGATGGTGTAGATGAGAATGGTGCATTGTTCTCGTGTGGAGATGAGAACAAGCTATTACTGCTATGAAACGAATTCGAAAGACGACTTTCGGGTAACGGTTTCAGATAAGACTTTCTGTTAAAAGGAATATCACAAGTACTTTTATGCGCTGTTTTGTTGTTATTGCTAGTATCAGTCCACAGTTTAAAGGAAGGAGTAACAGTGGTGGACGCAAAAGAAGACATCTAGAACATGAAAGGAAAGTGGAAGAGAGATGCAATTTAAGTTTATCTCTCCTCATTTTATTAAATGAAAGGCGTACTTTTAATTTGTGCATTGCAATTTTCCCTTTTTATGTTTATGTTTCTGAATTGACAACGATATCATAGGAACTAAAGGCGTTTTGAGAGAGCCTAGCATTATGTAATTATTACATCCATCAACATTCTGTAGAGAAATCGTTATCATCTTATTGCTCTATAATTCTGTTGCAAATGTTAAGTTAAAAGGTACATTGATTTGTTCCTTGAATTTCATTGGGCAGTCCCTTTTCAAAGCAAAAAAGCAATTTTAGGCGTTGTATAGGGGCATTAGAATTACAATTGAACCAATTTATTTGAGATAGTTTAAAATGTGTGTGCATGTGCGAATCTTATTATACTTTTTTTTTTCTTTCTTTTTTTCCTTTTTCAGTAACAAATATTTTTAAAGTTATAATGATATATTTAGTCTTTCAAAAATAATATATGTAAAAAAAAATGGTTATGACGATCTAACATAAAACAAAATATACGCTGTTTGATTGTCAGCATTTGATCTTTCAGATGTGTGGGTATTGTCTTCTTCGTTAACCAAAACATCCTTCTCAGAGACAGAAGTGATATTTGTATCATCTATATGAAGCCATTCGCCATTGCGTCTTCGAATGTCACAAGTATAATGCCCTCCACCAGCGGAAGTACCGTGATGATATACGCAGCCAATGAGTTGATAAGTAATAGGCTCTACCGGTCGAGATGGGGGTGCCATCCACTCACGGTCAATGACCAGTTTAGAGCCATAATTTACTCTTTTACATAATTTTTGTACACCTCCAACGTTATCAAATACAAACCGTTTCATATGTAAAACAAGCACCGGGGGCAAATGTTCTAAATACACCTGCTTTGTTGCGTCTACTTTTAATCCTTTCGGCGAAGTATAATCGTGCATCGTCTCTGGTAGAGTTTGGATGGCAATGGCATCTTCGATAGAATGGACGTTCTCAGGTTGAATATCCAACGGGAAGGATTGGAAAGGCTCCAGATTGATGGAATCTTTAGCACCTGGACACCTTAAAATCGACCTTACTTTTCCACTGAAAATTTTAGTGATGAATGATTCTTCAAAACCCACTGCTGGACGTAGGTTGCTTGTCTTATTGTTCGCACCCACTTCCAACCATTCATCATTATTACCGGCAGCTGCTTTGGCAGCAGCAGCCTCTGCCTCCCTTTTATCGTTTTGCTCTTTCAAAACTGCTGTCATTTCCTCATGTAAACCATCCAACAAAAAGCATAGAAATTCTTCAGAATCTTCTTGTCGGCCGCGCAATGTATCGAATTTTTGCTGTTCCCTCAACGCATTATAAACATATTCAGGTACAAAAGGTTCACCATAAGGTTCCAGGTCATCTGGTTTTTCAATTGGGAACTCATTGATAAACTCGATACTTTTAGAGAAACAAAGTAAGGAAAAAGTTAGTAAAAACTGACATACTTGCGCACATTTATACCCTTTTTCCTTCTCTAACTAGACAACTTACATTGAATCCAACAAAAGAGTTTTGCTTTTGAAACTGTGCACCACTTGACTACTAATTGTTTTTATGAGATTATAAAATGGCGCACAATGCAATAATGGTTGAAGGATCTATTATAACGATGGAAACCATTATAACAGATATTAATGACAAAGAAAACAAAGGAAACAGAGGTGTAAATCGCGCTTTGGATAAATCATAGTACTTACGACATTCATAAAGCAAGTATTGACATTGTTGATCAATCCTCGAGGCTGTATCAAAGGTGCAGTATAATTCGGTTCATATTTGCTAATCATATCTATCAAAGTGAATATTTTGTTCAGCTTCGTGAGACGCTATATAGTGGGTTTTTTTTTTTGTTTTTTACCTGCAAGACCAGTAAATCTAGTCGAGATTGTTGGTGTAGGGGTAGTAGGCTTTTTCGATATTTGCACTTTACCATTAGCGGCAGTACCATTGACAGCAGTAGGCTGTGATTGCTGTGCTGTCGATGATGCTGATGCCCCAGCCGGTCTCTTAACAGGTTCAGGTTTTTTCAATAAAGCCGCCCAACTAGAAACAGGTGCTTTGGTAATTTTTGGTTGTGGTGATGCTGGTTCAGTATTGCTAATAACAGGTGTTGTTACTGCGGGAGACAACATTCCATTTTCAATAGGTGTAGCTGGCGCAGTAGCTGCGTTTGTAGCCGTAGCATTATGAGTAGTAGTGGTAGCAATTGCAGTTGATAATGGCTGATATTTCGAATGTTGTTGTTGTTGTTGTTGTTGTTGTTTCTTCTCTTTCTTAGTGGGTGTAAGCTTTTGCTGGTGCTGTTGAGCCGCTTGAATTTGCTCCTTCTTATCTTTCGCAATAATGGTGTAATTCGTGGTTTCGGATTTATTAACTGTAGGATTAACTTCCTTTTGAACAACTGGTTTAGGGGATTGAATGACAACCGGCGCTTTTTGTTGTTCGATACCAGTTACAAACGGTGTCTATTTATGAAGCAGATTAATATGTAACTGTGCACTAATTGCAAGGAAGAGATTTATCTGTACCTTAACCGGAGGATACAACGAAACACCGGCAATCTTGAGTACATCGTTAATTTCGTCTCGAGTGATGTCACCAAAGCAAAGTGTTGGTATGTGAATCTGATCGAGATTCTGCTATTTAAGGAAGACGAATAAATGAGTACTTGTTTTAAACGTTCCAGCTACGAAATTTGTTCACTTTACCTTCTCAATGGACATTGTAAATAAGGTAAAGAAATTTATGCCTTTCTTTTCTTGTACTTATTGTTGTGAAAGCTTTCTTATATGTTGTAACTTAATAGATAATGACTGATTACTGAAACAAGGGCGTGAAATTACTTTTTACAGGTATATTGTACTTTTTGAAATAACTGATTACGTTGATCTATTTCGGATTATGGCGTGCTTAATATAATACAAATAGTTGAATTGAGGCGTTATATAATATCAATTTAAGAGAAATCTGGTATAAGCATAATTCTTTTGAGAGGCGAAAAGAATGCTGATATAAAAGTTAAAAGTGCCTGCTGTTTCTAATCTTCAACTAGCTTGTTAAACGCAAAAAAAAAAAACTATACAAACTTGAAGAAAGGCTGACTTATTAAAAGAAAATGTCAGAAAAATTTCTGGTTTGCGTGGAAGAAAAAAAAGTTACGAATATATATAGTCGGCAGTTTTTTTACTTTGATTTTCAGACCTTTACACAAAAAAAAATTGGACGTTCTCTTTTCAAAATTGGAATAATGCTCTGACAAGGTCAAAAAGCTGCCAAAATGAAGAGAGCAGCATCACAAGCTGTAAAGCGCATCAGCCGTAAAGAAGAAGGTCATACCAGCTCCCGTTCGCCAGATTGTCCCAACCACACTCATTCGAAGCAGGAATTCATCTCGTCTGTCCTAGGCAGTGACTCTACCATGTTTACTAGCAAACTTCCTGTTAGCCGTGCCGTATTACCCGAGTATCCTAAAAAGTTTAAGGAAAAAGTCATTTCGTGCTGCAAAGACATTAGGGATATAATGTTCCGTTGTCAGCTATTTGTCAATGCTTATCTCGTCCATAATAAGAAGAATGACTTCCCTTCAAGAGTCTTTACACAGCAATTCTGGTACTCGATTGGACAACTGGCTACAGGCAAAAAGGTCACTCATAAGACAGCAGTAAACGACAGCATCAAGACTTTTTTTGAAGATTTCCAGCAAGAATATTCGGCAGTAGTGATCAGCAATAAGTTCACTAAAGGCTATAGTCAGTGTCTTACAGAAGCTGCCCAGGAGACAAGTGTTGCATACAATAAATCTATTGTTGAACTCTTTGAGCAACGGATGCTGAAATACTTGACCTACAAGCTTCAAAATTTGTTCGTTGTAAGGCCAACTTTCATCATTATCGTTGACACTATTTGCTCTTGCTGACATTTTTGTGCTTTATCGCCTGTTAAAATATGAAGAAAGCTGATGCTGAAGAGGTAGCAGAATCATACTGTTATCAAAAAATTTGCAAAAGCGAGCTCGAGTGGCCTGAAAAAATCGAATTAAGCAGCCTGGACAAAAGCAAGATTGAGACGCTCTGCAACAGCTTTGACAAGCTTGTGACGGAGAAAGTTACACTTCTGTCACTAGCAACAGACCCTGCGAACTTCGCCAAGCCCTTGTGGTATATACTATCTGTTTATGAGCAGGAACATGCCGAACATGCACCGTATGATCTTCATAGGCTTCCTTTACCGCGACGCTTCTTCCCTTTCCCAACTCCTTCAACCAGATAGCGGTTTATAGTCATAAGTATAAACGCCTTGAATCCTTTCGTGCTTCCGGGAACTGTCCAAACTGGTACTTGAACCGATTATAGCAGTTTTATCGTGTCTTCAATTTTAAAAAGCTGGGCTTTGAGAGCTAAATACAGCATCTCCCAGTTTATAACAATACAGATTTTTAATTCTTCCACCTCATTTCTTTTTGCCTAATTTAAATGACCTCAAGACCAGCCAAGAGATACTCTTTAAGAATCTGTTCGGTCGGATGGCTTCATTGTTGATTTTATTTTCAGTAGGAGGAGAAAAGACGACGTAGTCATAGATGGTCATGACTTAAAACTCGAAGATTTCACCTACGAAGAAATTGAAACAACGTACAGACCGTCCTTCATCAATTCAGGACGAAGAGACGTGTGTACTGCTGCATGTGGGTTGGATGTTGAAGAGCACCAGATCCGCAAATGCTCCAACAAGTAGTACCATCATATGACTGGAAGCACCAGATTTTCAGCACGCTTGGTAGAGAAAAGCCGACTCCATCAAGTTCGGAAGCGTGCAGCCGATAACATGGTCAACATGCTTCTTAATAGAACAAAGCAAGTACAATGAGGATCTGAAGAAGGGCAGTCTCAAGAAGAAAAAGACAAAGGAAACGACTACTCAAAAACGAAGAAAGAACGTAAGAAAAATTGCAGAGACTGATGAAGATGAAGGAAAGAAAGAACCAGACAAAAAGAACAAAGGCATGGGAAAGGGGTAAGTCAATTAAATGTGAATGACCGTCATATTAGAGGTCAAAACAAGACTAAAGTTCCACTTACAGTCCGTCTAGAGACAAGTGGAAGCAGAAACCCTTCGAAGTAGGCGACAAGAATAAAGTTTCTCTTGCTGTCTTTGGAGATGGCATGTTTGGCAAAAATAACGTGAAGTTGAAGGGTCTCCGTTGTGGCGTTGTTAGTGTCTTGTTTCGTGCGCTGAAAAGAAGAGAAGCAGCCGGCGATCTGTTAGTGCTGACGATTGACGAATTCAAGACGTCGATAATTTGGTGCGGCTACCATAGCGAGGAATTGCATGGTTTGGATGATGTTCCCGGCCATAATATACTAGCCTGTAAAAGCTGCGGCATACTATGGAACCGGGGCATCAATGCCTGTAAGAACATGATGTCAATAGGCACTACGATTTGGAATGGGAACGGTAGACCCAAAGTATTCTCAAGGAAGAAGGCCGCCACCCCCACCACCTCCTCTACCACTAACACTTAACATCGCTGGAACGAAACCAGCTGATTTTTACAGGTAAGAATGATAAACTTGTAATTTTATATCTTTATGAAAACTGTCTGACATGTATGTTTCAATGGTCTACGTCTAAATATGAAGCTAATAAACTGTAGATTCTAGATGATACAGAATTTTCTTATAGATTGTTCGAAAGCTGGAAGCATTATTATTGATATGATTTTACAATAAATTTGCAAATGCATGAAAAGCTTTGACTATCAATTTGCATTTATAAGATATCTTAACTCTGCAAAGTAACCAATTTCATCTACTCTGGGTCAGTTTGGCAGAATATTGCGTATAATACTTACAGTGATGATTTTACTATAGTCTACAAACTTGAGGGTCGTCTATTTTATTTATGCATTATTTAACCAGTATCAAGGAATTTAAAATCATATTTTTTTCTTCGCCAAGGGTGCATTGCTTGAGGGAATTGGTTTGTAAGAGGTATGATAGTGTCTCCAACCATTTTCTAGTTCACCATCCTTACAAAGCTCCACCGACTTCATCCATTTACAATCCAAAACTTGATCTGCATTCCAACGTGTTGTTGGATTCGGATCGAGCATGCCTGCTAAACATTCTATTTCGTCCATTGCCAGCTTCTGATTACTGTTGCTATTGTTGTCACTTCCATTACCCGCAATATTGTCCTTATCAAATAATGTCCATAAATCGCAATTAGTTGAACCCAGTTTACTTCGTTGCTCAACATACAATCCATACTCTTTGTCACCACCATCCGCTGCTGTAGCAGCAACAGCAGCCGGTGAACCTTCTGACATTCCTTCAGGAATTTTCGACTTGGGCTTGCCCGTATAAAACGCTGCAGCAAAAGGCATCTGTCGATATCGTATACAAAAGTAGGTAATAGCTGCGCTCCAGATATCTAAAGCTTGCCCATCGTAAGTAGACTCAGGGCTTTTCAACTTCCACATTTCTGGAGACCAAAAAGGCTCGGATCCACACCATTTCTGACAAAGACGAGCTTTTTTTTCAAAGCATGTTTGAACGACATCTGCTACTCCAAAATCTGCAATTTTCAATGTGCCTCCTTTTGTCAGCAGCAGATTTTCTGGTTTGATATCGCGATGAGCAATGCCCAAATGATGCAGATGTTGTAAACCAAGCATAAGTTGTTTAAATAAACAAGCAGCTTCCATGATAGGCATTAGAGGTTTCTCAGACTGTAGTAAACTGAATAGATCACCTCCATCACACTAACGGAATTAGTTTCATAAGATACAAAATTGAGCAACATGTAACACACTGAAAGCACACAAACTGTATGCGCTTAATGAAAGAAATAGTAGGAATACTCACATATTCCATAACTGTACACCATCGATCTCTTTCATCCACTACAAGGTCGATCGTTGTTACTACGTTGGGATGATCACTCACTGTTTTACTGATACAATATTCACTATGCATGCGCTTCAGGTACTCTTTTTCATCCTCTGTCTTCCCTCGTTTTCTAAACTCTTTCACTGCAAAGATTTCGTTGTTCTGAAAAGCTGACGATGACTGGACCAAGCGGATCACTGCTGTTGCACCACTACCAATGTTATTCCGATTCGTCGCACCAGTTGCTTTCGAACTAGCTTCTTTGCTGGGTTTTACGTACGGCCCATATTTTTCTGAAAGCCGAGGTACATTGGTAAAAGGTGAGGCTGGAACAGATTCTGAATTCTGTTTATGATGGATAGAGTGGTGATGGTTCAAATGTTTTCGAGTCCAAGAAGCAGGGCTAGAGATGAAATCACCAATGGATCGACCTAGTCGAATTGTAGGACTATCTTGATGATGTTGGGCCATTTGGCTCGCTCTTCGGCAAACATTAACGGGTGTATCAGTAGTGATATCACTACCAATACTTTGCTGCTCTTCTGTTTCATTATTCGTTTCCAATAGTCGGCAATCTTTGCTTTCTTCACGATTATTTCGTTGCGTTTGAATATCTAACGGTTCAACAACTCCGTTGTTATTCATTGGCGCCATTTTGAAAGCGGATCGAGAGCTTGGCATACTAAATATCGAACCAAAGCGGGTCGTGCTTGATTTAATGCTACTACCAGCGCTTGTGGTTGAGTTGGCCCTGCTAGGATGTAGTGGGGAAGGCAAGGTAGCATCATTTGTAGAATCTAATGTTGTTGAAGGAGCAGAATATGGTGAGGGCGTCATTATATCCTGTACTGACATGATTTAAGTTTTAATTAAAAGGAAAAGAAGATATCGAACATCGAAGAGTTGATAAACATAATATGCTCGGGAAACCATGATCGATACGTTTTCTTTCAAAAAAGAAAAAAGGTTTCACCAACATGCAAACCGCCAGAAAATAAAGTTGAGTTAGAACAACATCATAACCTCACTGCGGATCCATCCAATGGGACCAAAGTTATAACAGCTATTAGCTTTCATTGGCTGTATCAAACGTCATTTCTTCATTGAATGCTTTGTTTGAAATATCTTACCATGAAGCAAAGCAAATCCATTATGACCGAGCGCTATGTGCTGGTCATTTTAGTTGTATTTCTTTCTTTAACAAAACACTATTGCTTGACTGAAGCGGTAAAAGCAAAGCATTTACCTTCAATGATGCAGCATCATGCAAAATATCGTTGAATGTTCAGTCTTTATTGGTATGGAAGAATAGTCCCTTTTGTTTATCTTTTTATGGGAAAAGCTCGGAAAAATCCAAATGACGTTTTTTTGTTTGTTCAATTTATGCTGTCATTCAATCTGTGCGTTAACTGCAAATCCTTTTTTTCATTGATGAGATAGTCTAATGTATTCCAGCAACACCCCGCTCCCCAAGTTCTTCAACGTAAACCCAACATTGATCATTGTTATTCTTTCTCTGAAGAATACATATTAAAGTCAAAGCAGAGCTGGGTTGTGTAAAGCACGGTGCAAGCATAGCCAAGAAATGGTATAATAATCAAACAAATTTGCTCTTGTATAACGCGATTTTTATCTTTGATTTTCACATAGTCTTCCTCAAAGTTTCATTTTCATACTGAAAATTCGGACGTACAGCTGAGCTCCCTCTAATGGCCAAAGGAAATAAAGTGGCTATGAAAGTGGAGCAAATTGCTTTACTTGATATTCTCTGTATTCTCACTACTTTCCATTTAAATATTTGGAAGAAGTATCAGAACAAAGTAATAAATTATTTGGAGCGCAAGTAACCAAAAAATGAGAAGGGCCGCAGAAATGAGGAAGATCACAAAAAAAAAACCAAAAAACCCCTGCATTTCGTGGCTTAATATCATTGCTCACTTCTTCAAGGATGCTGACGACGAGCAATGTTCATATCTTATACTCATAGACAACACGGAGCTCTGGAGGCGCACATGCCGAAAATCGGCCCGCGGTCGCCTTTTATGTAATTTAGTAAATATTCTATGAAGAAGCGTACTTTTGCAAATGTGATTTTACAGTTTATTAACTTTAGATTTGGACAACACACACAAAATTTTTAGACGATAAGGAAATTAAGTTTAAGCGGATGTAATATAATAGTAGACCGTTAAGAATAAAATGTTAGACAGTTTGCACAACACTAGAAAGTATAAGGTTTTCATTCTTTTTACCTGTAATTATCAAACTGGATTCGTTCCAGCGATGTTGAGGGAGAGGATGCTTTTATATTTTTGTCCGCGTGAATTCTTTTGGCCTTCCTAGAGCCTTCCAAATAGCACAACTAATTTTCATCATATTCTTGGCAGCATTGACGTCTCGATTCCACAGTATATGGCATGTCTTACAAACAAGTATACTGCAGGTCTCAACGCCTTTCAACCTCTCAAAAGTATCGTTAGAGCAGCAGGAGCATATTCTGGATGTCTTGTATTCATCAATTTCAAGTACTACCAAGTCTCCGCTTGCTTCACGTCGCTTGAGTGCACGCCACAAAACACCCACCGTTCCACATCGGTGACCCTTGAATGCGACATTGTCTTTAGCGAACATGCCATTGCCAAATACAATGAGAGGTACTTTTTTGACATCACCGACACTGAAAGGTTGGGGCCTCCATTTGGCATTTGAACTACTATTACAAAAAACATGTTACTTTCTATAAGTTGTTGATGATGATTGCTTATGAACTTTACCTATCTTTCTTTTCCAATTGCACTTTAACTTTTGATGTCCCTTCTTCTATACTCTTTTTCTCTGGTGCTCCTTTCTTCTTCTTTTTTCGTCTTTTCTGAGAAGCCGCCTTGCCATTGTTCTTCTTCTTTGAGGCCTTCTTTTCTTTTTCTTCTCTCTTCTTCAATCTGAGATCCTCGTTATACTTTGTACTGCCATTAACTAGCATATTTACCATTTTGTCTGCTGCACGTTTCCGTCCTTGGTATAAATGAAATCGATCTTTGGCAGTGTCATCACCGTAGAAAGAAAACAAGACTTCCAAGTGCTGTAAGATGTATGCTGCATAACAGTGATATTGGGCTTTGGAGCCTGTCTTGGCAGTTGGCATATCACTTTCGATGCCCTTGATTTTGTAGCTACCTAACCACCCGCCAAGACAACCTATGATAAAACGTCAATGGGAACACCAATGGCCGATCCTCTGCTACATACTATATGAGCTAGACTATCTATTCCACGTCAAAGAACCCCCACCCTTGGATGTTGCTCTAGGATCTTTACTGCTCCAATGGATGTCTCCTCATAATCACTCAACCTTGTGATAAACTCGTTTTTACCCTTGATCTTGAAGGGCTTTTTAGATACTTTATAAACAGTCGGATCTGCCCCGGGCAATTTTATATAACATTGTGCCCACTGGGTTTTAACGAAAATATTTTGTCAATAAAAACCTCTCTTTAAACGTAATATTTAATATGTCAATCCTGGTGGATTCGAAAAACTGCTCTCACTACGGTTATATACCCAATTAGTCCGCGCAAAGATGGAATACGGACTGGCCATTAGCCCCCTAACCGCGAAGCAATATAAACAATTCGAGGATACCCAGAACAAGTGTATTCGACGAATCTTTGGTGGATCCAGTAGATCGTCTGCCCGACTTATGCTCCACCTTGCCAATCTGCCCACCATGAAAGAACGCTCCTTCGTCCTACAAGCTAAGTTCCTATTACGTTCTACCTCACTGCCTACTGATACTTTAATCTCGATACTATTCCCATATATAGGCCAGCAACAAAGTAAATCGTTATATTGCAAGCTTGCTCGTTCTCCGATCTGGCAAGATTACACTTCTTCTCCGCTCAATCAACGATCTGAATCAGCTGCTCTGCGACGCTGTATTGCTAACTTCCGCACTAGCCTCCTTCACATCCAACAATCGAACAGCCCCAACTCCAAACTGATCTCTCAATGCCGTTCTCGATTAATGATCGACCCGATCCTTTATATTCCAATGTCAACTAATGAACGCAGCCGATGTATCCGATGGCGTTTGGGTTGGCTTCCTGGAGGCCACCGAACCTATTGCCTTAAACATCCCTCGTCATTACTTACAAAGTTCCACGCTATCTCCTGTTTAAACATGCACCACCACCTACGACTCCCCACATCAGTCTGTGATCCCATATCCTATGTCCTCAACCGTCTTCCTACACATCCGATCAAAAACCCATCCCAAATACAAAACTGGCATTTTCTATGGCCAGTACTTTGTCACATTTTGTTTGAACTCGACTACTTACACCACTCTCGAGAGCCGCCTACAACTCCTCGGTTAGGGCACCTATTGCTCGGCTGGTTACCCTCTTCCCCTCCCCCAACCCTATAGTCCATAATCCTTTTTACCCTTGAGCCCTAAGGGGTTTTTAGATTCTCCTCAGCCTTTGGAGCTGCCCCGGGCAATTTAGATAACGTTTAATATCTCGTGTCCATTGGGCTTTAAAAAATTAATATTATGTAATAAAATCTTCGTTTAAACGTAATTTGAGATCTTTCCCCTTTCAATCTTCATTCCCGATTATGGGCTTTTTTAATAACGATAAAAGACATTATTCAAAGGCACACGAAGATCATGAGGAGACAGATCCACTTCGTCATAGTGAAGCGATAGAAATGTCAATACCTGGACGATCCTCTTTTCATTCCGAGGGCCACAATGCCGATGATGACGATGAATTCGACACTAATGAAATCAACAGTAGCAACAGCACCGCAATAGGACATCAGCAGCGACAGCGAAAACATCAGCAAACTTTATATCGTAAGCTGGGGCGATTGGCAGAAGAAGGTTGGAGTTCGGTAGCCAATCTCGTCCAGCAACCACAAGTTTCTCGAGTCTCGACTGCCTTCGAAATAGACGATCCACAGCCAGAAACTGACAGTTTCAATAACGACCTTAAACGAAAACTATACCTTTTATTAGAAGATCCATCGAGTAGCAGGGCAGCGTTTTGGACAAATGTGATTGTTTCTTTTTTGATTGTTTTCAGTGCTGTCACAACCACCGTAGAAACAATACCTTCATTTCGGTTCACCAGAAGCAACAGAGTATGGTAAACAACCATCAAAAATTATATACGATAATGATTATAGTTACGAAGAATGAAGTCAAGTAACAATATGATTGTTGTAGGTTTCAAATCGAATCAGCTTTAGTGGCCTTGTTCACTTTAGAATACTTATTGAGAATGTTTGCACATTCTGATTCAATTCGAATGCTCAAGAAATTCTTCCTTTGTAAATGGATTTGTTATGCTTTTGCTTAAGCGTGCCATTGATTAACATTTGCTCTTTATGTCTACAGCACCCTTAACCTTCGTTGATTTCATATCTATTGTTCCATTCTATATTGAATTGATTGCTCAAAGAGATACGGTAAGTAAAGAAGTGCAGAGCTTGAAACCTTTCTTCATCACATATTGATGACTTGTGAATTTTTTAGACCTATGAATTTAGATTCACTATTTTACGATTATTTCGACTATTACGACTATTCAAATCATACAAATATTCAAATGCTGTCGTTATGACTCTGGAAGTCATGATGATGGCCTTCAGACGGTCAGGAGATGCTTTATCTGCTCTATTTTTCTTTACAGTCACTTGTGTTGTTTTGTTTTCAACTTTACTGTACTTTGCTGAAAGAGGAGTATGGGACGATACTTTACAAACATTTGTGGATTCTGAAGGCGTACCAAGGTATATCAATAATGTGATTTTCTTCACGCGAACGCTCGATTTCTGATTTGCTAAACTTAACTTTTGTTTATTTCAGCTCATTTGATAGTATTCCAGCTGCATTTTGGTTTGTATTAGTTACAATCACCACTACAGGCTATGGTAAGATCTGAGCACTACTCTCGCTATGTTACAGCCAATACTTAGCCTGCATCTTTCTTTTTCAAAGGTGATATGGTCCCAACTACATTTGTTGGTAAACTCATCACATTTCCAGCAATGATGTTCGGTGTCTTGGTAAAAATTACATGTCGCCGATTGCATGCAAATAATAATCGATTACTTACTCGTTCTTGTTCTCTCTCTTTTTCTGCTTATAAGCTTATTGCATTACCATCCATTATTGTCGGTAGAAATTTCACAGTTGTCTGGGAAACGATGCGACGAAGGCAATTTTCAAACAGACTAGCAACAGCGTTTGAAAATGATAATAGTGGCAATAATGACATTCGCTCTTCTTCCTATACATTATATCCTCGTCGCCCATCTTCATCATTAGCTCATGCAGCGGCAGAACCTCCTGATCCGATCACTGCCTCGCCACCCACAGGTTTCAAAATTTTGCCTGATACTACAGATAATAATGATGAAATGATTACTCAGATTCAAAAACTTACAGCCATTACTTTACAGAACCAAGCAGTCATCAACAGAATTCTCGCTGTACTGGAGAAACAAGGCATCAGTACCAATAATCCATATATGCAACAGCAGCCGCAAAATGAATATCGTGATAACAATCGTCCACATAGCGACGTTAATGTGAAAGGAAAAGATCCTTTACTATCAACGAAAGATGATATTGTAAATCCATTTGGTGACAACTAGTTCATATGTAAAAATTTCTCATCAAGGACGATAATGATAGATTTGCTGTTTACTTTCTATTTTAAAGAATAATTTGTATTTTACTATTACTACTGCTTGCTGCTTTCCAAGATATTGTCGTTAAATTATATTTTGCATTTAATATTATTTTTTCTTACATTCAACCCTTATTTTACATATTCAAGGTATTGAGTACGCTAAAATCAAGAATTCATAGGGATATTTAATAGATGTACAAAATAAAAGCAAAAAAAGAGACTAAAAACTGAAAGACAAAGGTGAAAAAAAAAATGATAAGAGAGATAACTATTATACAAAAAGTAGGGGAGGGGAGAAATCAAACTATTTACAAAGAGGTAAAGCGAACAATACAACAGGATGTTACCGTTGTTGTTGTTGTTGTTGTTGTTGTACTTGGTAATAGAAGGCGCTATCTTGGTTGCTTATTTGACAGAGCTTATCGTCTTTTTCCGCAGGTGGTGATAGCAGTGGAGTAACAATGGACTCATACCGTTTCCTAGAATATGGGGATACGCTGGTGCTGCTTCTCTGCATGTTGTCTGCATAGGATTTCCGTCTTACACCTGTTAGCAATTCAGGAATTTCTTCATCATCTTCTGTATCAAATTCTCCTTCTGTTTTATCTTCATCTCCCAACGTATTGTGTGCTTCTTCTTCTTTGTTACTATCATTAGGTTTTCTCAAATAACGTGATGGGGCAGATACGGTTGGAAATACTGTTGTTTCATCGTCGTTGTAGTCTTGGCCCGTTATAAATGGATGTTGGAGTGCTTGCTCTGGCGTTAAACGCTTTAGTGGGTCAGGCTGTAAGACTCTTTTCAAAAAGTCCAATAACCATTTTCGTAACTTCATTTCTTTTTTCGTATCAGCTGCTGTCGTCTCTTTCTTCGGCAAGGGATACTTTAATATGAGTTCATCTAGCTTATAAGTAGAGAAATATCGTTTGCTGGGCTTTTCATCTCTTCTCCGCTCTTCCATATACTGATGCATATCTTTAAGATAGTATTGGTACACATTCATATTTCCATTGAATGAAATTAGTTCTCGGTTGTAATAACGACGGCCGTGTTTTCCGTTTTCGATCATGTAGGTAGGTAATTCACCTACGGTCTCAATGATGCGTGTGAGCTGATTGTACTCTGAGCTACCAGGGAACAGAGGAAGTCCCAGGAATAATTCTGCTACTACACAACCGAATGACCACATATCAATGGCTGTTGTATACCGTAGTCCAAGCAGCACTTCTGGTGAGCGGTAGAATCGGCTTTGGATATACGTATAGGATTGCTCAGTTTCATGGCAAGCCGATCCAAAGTCAATGACTTTGATAGCTGGCGAGGTCAAGTTTTTCAATAGAATGTTCTCGGGTTTCAGGTCGCAGTGGATGATTTCTGCCTCTTTTGCGATTGATAGCGCTTCCAGTATCTGTGAGGCGAAAGCGCGGACTAAATTTGTGGAGAGACCTTTAAAATGATTTTGCTTGATAAGTTCATACAAGTTCAATGCAAGCAATTCAAAGACTATGCATAGATGGTTTCTGTGCATGAAGGACTCATACATTCGAAGCACGTTGTATTTATCTGTCGGATCATGAACAGTATTCAACTATTCAAAATAATAGGGTAAAAATACATGATTGGTATCATATAAAATTTGAGTATTTGTAATATGGTTCAGATATAAAAATAAAATGAGTCGGAGACTTCTAAAGCGCAAGAACAAAAACTACGCTTCTTCTTACCTGGTTTAAAATGTCTACTTCGATCGAGCCTTGATTTGTATAAGCTGGTTTATTTTTGATAATCTTGATGGCTACTAGCTCGTTTGTTTGTAGATTTTTACATTTGACTACTTGACCGAAAGTGCCAGCACCTAATAATTCTATCACTGTATATCTAATGTCATTAAACAAAAAAATTTCGCCTTAGTTAGAATACACATGATAACTAACAAAATTAGAAATCTGAGTTCTTTTTTTCTACCTTTTCTCACTATCCGGTCCAAGATTATCATTTACATGTAATATGAGATCAGATTTTTCATTGTCAAATCCATAATTTTTCTTTGGTTCGCTTGGTTTGGTCAATACACGCTTTGGATTATTAGCTGTATTGTATTTGAATTGAGGATTCCGTTTTTGAAAGGTATCACAAAGCTGAACTGTCATACTCTTCAACAACTATATTCATGCAGTACTAAATCAGTTTTCTTAACACTAAAATTTGACAGAAATAAGTACCATTTACCTTTGAACGACATTTCGCTGTCGTACTTTTGGTAGCAGTCTTTGAATGTATAAGTTGCTCTTCGTTGAACGCAGGTATAGTGTTGCTGTTAGTCATTGACCATAGATCCGCCATGTCCTGATTCAGCAATGAATGGTATTGTTGCTGATTCTCTAATACCGACATTAAATCTATAGTTGCTGTTTATTTGCTTATCTAACGCCACAATTGATAGGAAAGAGTTATGTAAAAGACAAGGAAAAAGTTAAAGATGACGAAGAAAATGAAAAAGACGCTATTTTTTTTTGTTTTTTTCAGATTAGAGCAAATGATATTTCAGTTTTATGAATCAAAAAAATTCATGCTGGTGTATTTTTAGAAAGGAAAATCGAAGGTTTTATATTCATCTCAGGCGAGTTTATAGACTGCCAACGATAAAAATGTTCTGTCTGGACTTTTATTTCAGACCTTGTACACAGAATAAACTGTGTGTGCTCGAACTGTTGATGCTTTCCATATCAAGTTTTTTCATTTTTCGACAATTGCTAACAAAAACCTTTTGGATTGCTGAGATCAAAACCCTTGTAGGGCAGATAAGCTAACTTGAATAACGGTACTGATTGAAAGTGTCGAAATAAAAATCAATAACATGCAGCAGTAGTAGCATATGTCGATCCTATAGTTTGTTTCTGTGAAAAGGCTATTATATCGTTGTCACGCTCGTGGCTCAATTGCATTCAAATGTCTCTGCTTAAATTATTTTCAAAAACGACTCCACAATAGCCTGATTAATAATTTGTTTGACATTCTCAGCGGCTAAACAATGGCACGTACAACAAATATTTTTAGAACGTGTCAACGTCTTTTGGGTAATAAAATGTATTTGACCAAAGTTATTCGTGTTAATTGTATTTCGGTCACATCCGTGATAAGAGTAATTCTTTACGCGTCCCTTATTAATCACAAAGTCAAGAAATTGCTCTGTATGACTTGCTATTCAACGCTTCATTACAATTTCAATGCCGTGAATAGATAGCATCTTTTGAAGTTTTCTGCTAACTTGAGGACAGCCTCAACCGATACTTACCACTAGTATAGCTTGCATAGAGTGCTGTATTGAAAGAGAGCACGTGCCTTGATCATTAGCACAACAATGGATAAGGATCGCCTAACGAGCCGTTGCCATATAAAACAAAGCCATTGGAGTTGAAACCCTGGATTAGAAAGCTTGGCATAATGGAAAGAATAAAAAAAATGCTCAGTATCTCGTCATGACTCTAGCTGAGACAGGGCGATCATAATTATCCATTAACATTGTAGAAAGCACAAACCTTTAGTCTATAGTTTGCTGCAGTAATAGCTCGGTGAAGAAATGATCATACCAATGGTAACTTCTGGTGTGGACCAAGACAAATGACATCGATGCATCTAGGAAACGAATATTCTTTACCAAACCATACTATTCCTTAAGTAAACATTGGTTATATCTTGGCTTTTCCGTTAGCACACCTCGGGATTAAACCATAAACAAAAATTTTTGACCCAGTGGATTTCCTTAAAAAATGCATGAAAGAATCTGGCTCAAAACTTTTTTTCTTGGCCTAAAATATTCAGAATAATTCCACCAACAGATCTGGTATGAATGTAACTCCCAGTAAGCTAAAGAGAGACTTCGAAGAGCTACTCGAGGAGCATAAAGCTAAGGAAAATGTAGCTGAATTCCTTGAGAAAAGACGCAAAATAGCTAATCTAAAGTAAGTTTAAGTCAGTCAACTCTCTCCTTTTCAGATCGGTCAGCTCATTGCTGATCATCTTTGCATTCCATCATTTAGACTTGAACCAAAACACACAACCAACACTATGACAGAAATTTTTCAGGATCCTGATTTACTGTCGCGTATATCGACTGAAGCAAGTCGAATCATGAACGATGTTGCTCGCCCGTCACGTGCCAGAAGAGAACAAGATTTGATCACTTTCAAAAAGCCGCAAGCAAAGGATGTAGTGCCTAAGAGATATATATCTGATGAAATGGCCTATTTATACGATTCTTTAGAGCAGGTTATCGATAAAGACAGAGAATACATAAATCCCTTGACACCAAAACAAAGAAAATATGTAGCGCAGGAAGAGCAAGATAAACGGTTAGAAGAAGCTCTTAAATTAAGGCAGCAATCTTTAGAACCTGCCTCAGAACCATCAGCGCCACCCTCGGCAATTACAGAACCAGCACAAATACTGCAACTGACGAATAGTGTCTCTTCATCTCCAGCGATGAATACGATTACTACCCCTGATACCACAGATGATTCACAGTTACAATCTTCCACACCGGACATGAGTGATCAACAAAATCAAGCAGAAATAGAGGAGGATACGAACGAACTATCGCGTTTGTTTGATGATGCATCATATATTATGAATACAAGCCCTTTGCATACTGTTGGATCAAAGTATTTATACCACCTACTACCGAGACAAGCTGAGCCAATGTCTTACGCTTATGTTAAAGAGGACTACATCCCCGATGAGAAGAAAGTCAATAAGAATGAACGATTGAGAGCCTCCGCAACTCAAGATACGATTATTACTATCACCATTTTTCAACCGGGCAACCCAAACCTCAAATTTCAACAAATTGAAATCTTAGGCTCTCAGCTTCTCTCAGATATACGCGATGTGATATACTGCCAATCCGATTTTAAATTGAACAATGACAGGAAGGGCCAAGACCCTAATGGTGAAGTACTCAACTCTATCGATGGTGCTAAACTTACACCTTCTCTTATTTACTTCAATCACACATTTTACATTGATACCCGATACCAAGATACCCAGCCTCCCACTTACTATGACAACCTTATCTTTCAATGGATACGCAAAAATAATCTTGACCCAACTGTCTTTCATTTTAATACGAAATTTATGCAAAAATCGCGACTGGAGGATATCCAATTTACAATGCGGAAACCAATCTTATTTATTCATCAAAATACTTGCGAACATATGATGCTTGTTCAAGACGTACGACTTTTGTCCCCTGACAATGATTACAATATCAACAATAATGAAAAGGATATTTTCCCACGTACGACTCATAGTATAAAATACAATCGTTTAAAATGTAATATGTGTGGCGTATATCCAGCAACCAGAATGACCACTGATGATATCTTCAGTGGGTTTTCGCCGTGCTACTTCTGTACAGTCTGTTTTAATGCATTCCATCCTTCCAACGACACTAACGCGTCATTTTCAGTGGAAGAGTACTATGGCACTCCCGGTTATAAGTCAGCTCGCTAGCTAAGCAAATGAGTAGTTACATTTATATTTAATCCGATAATCGTTATTTTCCCCCATTTTTATCCATTTTACAATAGTTTTACGTACAAAAAAGCTTAGTATAAACATTGTGACCTCGGTAGAAAGAATAAAGTGTAAACATCAGACTGCTTCACAAAAAGGTTTGGCTAAAGGACTTTGTCATTGATAGCAGCAGCGACAGCCTAGGTTTTTAGTTGAGCGTAATAAGTGGAATGGTTGATATAGAGAATCAAAGAACGCTTATCACGATGCCTACGATGCTAAGAATACTGAATTGTTTGATCAAACATTCTGTCTTGAAACTTTCTTCATGTAAATCATCAAAAGTTTTGTGAGGCGATAGAATTGACCAAGGTTTTCCTCTAAGTCGTTTTCCTCTTTTGATATACTTAACATGGATCAGTTTGTTCTATGCAGGTAGACTTTATAGTCAATATGTTCACTCGGTTGAACATCATTTCTGTAAAAATAAGCAATTAGCCTGAACTAGCTGATTACATAGTTCCAGAATCAAAACTTGTATTCTTGCATGAACGTCTGTTTGCTATGAATAATATTGCTAAGCAATTGTAAAAGGCTTTTACTGTCCTTATTTCGACATTGTACTCTTCGTAAGAAGAATGGCATGTCTGATCCGCCATCTGGCATCTTTCCGTAACGGCTGGTGAAAAGATAACAGAGTATGTGCGATCACTTTGTAGTGTACTTTATCTATTGGAGGTGAAGTTACTAAAGAGAAGAATTTTACAATCTATACATATTTATTCAGCAACTGCTATAGCCGGACAATAGGGTGGTAAAGCGAACGCTACTTGCATCGGTGATATGAGGTTTAAGATAGTTACCGAAAGTGTATATATCAAAACAAATGTTCCAAAAAGACATAGAAGAATATCCACTGCTCTTTCATTATGTTAAAGTATATTCTATATCTACTTAAACTATTCTAACTTCCGCACAATCCTTCACACACCATGTCACTGTCGTTTGACCATCGACATTCTTTTCTGTTTCTACAGCTTTCCAACCATTTTCGGCCGTCACTTCCGTTCTTGTGTTATGAAGGGTCAAATGACAATCAATGTATTGAGAAAAGACTATATAAAGTAGAGGTGGAAATGGTTGCATTGGTCTTTCCTTCTCTTTTCTCAAAAAAGGGCGCCGGTAACTTCAATTTTTTTGTTATTCGCTCTTATGTGTTGTCTGAGCAAATGCTTCTGCTGGCTATTATACATGGTTCGCCTCTTTTTATTCTCACTCATAGTTTCTTCTGCTTGCATGGTTGCTCCCAGTGATGAAGTCAGCGATGAAGCCAACGAATATCTTTCTTATTTGTAAGAGGTTTTTATTGAATCGTTAAGGACAAAAGGCATATCATATTACTACCGCTTTTTGATAGTCTGCAAGTTCATTCTTAAATGGATGAAATTGAGGTTGCATTAATCAGTTATTCTTCTCACCTTCTAGAGTGTGTAAAGCAACCCAACACACTCGTAGATTTGAGCCATTTGTACAAAGTCTCCATTTAATGAAATTGAAATGGAAACCAAGACAAATATCTCTTCGCCACTACAATTTATATCTCCACAATAATCAGTTAAGTTCCGGGTACAGTGAGAGTTACAAAAACTGGACAATAAGATGGGGTGCATTGTCTTCTTGTTACAACGTCGCTGAAGAGATTATACCCAGCTTGTCCATCCTTCATACATTAGACTCAAATTATCAATAGAGGTTGCCTGCTCTATTGTTCTTGCAACTTGTTCAGAAACCCCCATCCGATAGTTTACACCGAAATCGATACCCTCTAGCTTGGATCGTATTCTTCTCATTATTTTCAAGGCATGCTTGCTCGAAGATGATTTTGCTTTATCTAAAGTTGCGTGACCTATTTTTTTTTTAATATGTAACTGTTCTATTCTTTTTCAAACACTCCAAACTATACTTACCCACAGACGGGGAAGAACGTTCAGGCTTGGAAGCAGAAGAGACACTAGCTTCTAATTGAGCTGAAACATTATTGCGAGTATTATCCGGGGCAAACTCTTCAATTGCTTTTATTGCAACAAAGTAGGCTTGGACCGAAGTTTTAATGGCAAGGAGGGTACCCATCTGCAGAAATAAATGACAATCGTATTCAGTATTCTTAATAGAGGGACGTGCACCTCCTAAATTATCACCTAAACTCTTGAAAAATTCTTACCAATTGTGTGTAGGTCCAATTAGACTCATGGTCCGAACTGTTATTTGATTGCTTGTCCAAATCTCTTAATTTATTCTCAATGGCTTCAAGTGCTTCGAGCGCTTGCTACAGAATAAAGTATGCATGAGTTGTTTTATTTTTTTCCTGCGTTTTTTTTTTTAATTGGGTGTCGTCTTCGTTTAAGACAAACCTTAGCATAATCTTGTGCAGGCCGTAACTCGTTATCTCCTTCGGTTTCAATGATGGTAACAGATCCTAAGAGTGGAACAGTACCCTTGGTAGAAGATTTTGACACTTTCACCAAATAATAAGTGTCGTATAGTTGGCTTCTAGCTTCACGCAACAAATTGACTGGTAATCTTCCCTGGTAAATATCCGCTTCGTTGACCTCATCATATCTGTTTTTATCGTCTTTGTCATCATCTGTAGTGTCGACTTCCTCGACATCGGCATCAACAACTAAGGATTCAGCTTCCAATAGCTTTGATTCTTGCCATTGGTATAATTTGATTTCTAATTTTTGAATAGCCTCGTTTATAGCCATCCTCAACTCTTCATGCTCCGCCTGTTTCTCTATAATACGCGTTGCAAGTGCAGTTACATGTATTTGCAAATCTGCCATACGTTGATTTCCTGCTTCACCAACAACTTCATTTTCCCAGTCTACTAGTGGATCATACACAAACGCATCCAGCAGTGTAATCAATACTTCTTTGTGCTTTCGCAACACGCGTAAAGTTTCTTCAGCCGCTGTCTTGAATTGCCCTTCTGTTCCCACAATTCCTAGAACCTTGTATAAGTTTTGCGTCAAGCGGTAAGGCACCAATTCAGGAACACGCAGCAATAATCCTTTCTCGAAGCAAACGTTATAGTCAATATGAATGATCTCACCAGATTGAAAATCAACCAATATATTGTCCAAGTGACGATCACCAAGTCCGATAACATAGCCAATAATAGAGGTAACGGCCAAAGATCGCGCAAACGATGTTGATTTTTTAAACCACTCCGTAGCGTTTGAGCTAGAGTAATACAATTCACTTTCCAAAAGATAGTCTGGTGTCTCCTTCACAAGTTCTATATGCACTTTTTTGAGTACTTCCATCGGCCAATGACGCCTATTGGCCGTTACTTTCAGGCCAGAAGCTTTGAGAACCGACGCGACTTTGCCCATGAAATTGTCAGTTGGCCGTTGTTGGAGTACGCGAATCATTGTGTCATTTTTATCAACACCATTGTTCATTAGGGTATATGCTGTCATTTCCCTCTTTTGCCATTTCTTATAAAGTGAAAATAAAGGTGTGGCATCATTAACCCATTGGATCATTCCAGAATGATCACTAAGAGGTATGACAGCGTACGTCCTTGAACGCATTCCACGAAGTGCTGTTGTGCGATTTTCTTTCAACAGCCCATTCGTTGTTGTCAAGAGTTGCATTATGCGCTCATCCAGATGTAAATCTTCCAAACCTTTGAAGAGATATGTATACTTCTGACCATTTGAGCCGTTCAAATTTAGCTTCTTCGGTTTTGTCTTCGTTGGTAAGACGATTACACTAGTATCAAATGAACGAATAAAGCAAGCGCCATCAACGTCCGCATTCTGTGATATTCCAGGCATACCAATTGGCGCGTCCCTCAACTCAGATAAATAGGGTGATATTTGATTCAGTTCTAAAACTCTAACTTTATTGGTATCAGCCATAAGCTGTCGATAAACCTACAGAATGAAAATTAATCACCGAATCTTCCAATTGAATTTGTAAAGACAACAAGTTTACCTGTTGATAATATTCCCAGCCACGGCGGTAATCATTTATATTATCTGGTTCTTCCAACAATTTCTGTGCGCGTGACAAAGGAGTACCATAAGTATTCCAAAACCACTCCTCATGAGGCGTACTTGTAAGAACTCCTGAATCCGTTCTCAGTTTGGTTTCTGTGAAGAAATTTTTCATTGATGTTATGATCGGATTCATCAGATTGTGATATAGGCTCCAAAAGGCGGCCTCTTTATCGCCAGCAACACCAGCTTCATTTGTAATTATGTTGTCCGCATCTTCTGTTTCTGTTTTGTGCATTTCTGACTCTAGTATAGAGAATTGTTTTATCACTTCGTACTGCATAGAGGCAATTTTGTTTAGCCACTTTTCTTCCAGTAAAACTGTGATCTTCTCCAACTCCTCCACCATCCGACTTGTCGATGCCCAGAGCATCTGACTTTTCTCAATCATTCTGCTAGCAATTGTTCTTAAATATTGCTTTGTACTTTCTTTAGTTTTAACTGATACTGAATTGACAATTACATCATAGATGATATCGCTGGGATACTCTTCACATATCCTTAGTATTATCTTGGTCACTGTTGATTGTACAAAGCTGTTATGATGGTTCAATTGAGCGAAGAGCTGAGGGATGATTAGCTTCCATAATTTAATCTGAGCTGTTTCTACATGCTTTTCGAAAGTTTGCCGCAAACTCTCTCCATATTTGGTTAGAATTCTTAATAAACGAAGGGCAGCTGTAACGGACATAGATGTTGTTTCGTTTGATGCATCCTACAAAAAGAAAAAAAAAAGAGAAACACTAATCAGAGATTTTCAGCAAAATATTCTTTAGATATGTATTGAAATATTTACATTTTTCTTTGAAGTGGCCAAGGATAAATAGCGAAAATAAGCATCAGTAGAAGCATGGAAATTATTCAGTACCATATCCTGTACAGTTTTTAGAGTGGACATAACGTCTTCAATTTCAGTTTGATCATAACTAGGAAGCAATTTGCATATTTCAGCTGTCAGGCTATCAAGGTGTGTCAAGTTCTCTTCACTCCCGCTATGAGAGGAATGCTTGTTCCAAATAGAAAATATGGACTAAGATAGGAAGTTTAGAATCAATGTGAATAGTAAGGTGTTGAGAAAACTGCTCGCTTACATTGATCACCTCCGATAAATTGGGCTCCTGATTTTCTGATTTCTCTCTTAATATGTTTTCCAATTTCTTACGAGCCCACTCTACTACAGTAGTTGTATTGCCATCCTTCCTTAAAACATCATCCATAATTCGCCAGCCTTGTTTATAATGATGTGTAGCATACTCGAACCAGGGTTTTCCTTCCTGTTCCTCATTAATTGTTTGTTCAAGAACGTAATCAATAGTAAGATCAACTGCCGATACCATCTCATTTGACGGCATCCTGTCATTTTTTACGACAGAAGCCAATGATGTCAATTGCTGTAGCATAGGCTCGATTACATCAGGCTGTTGCTGTAAGCAGCATTTTAAGTAAAATGCAATTTCCATTAATGTCTTCTTCTCTAAGTCGCTATAGCCGAGAATGTTTCGGATATTGCTTAATACAAGGTTGGCGCCTTTTATAGCATCGATATACTTGGATTGAGCGAAAAGTAATTTGCTCTGTTCGAGTAATGATTGATATTTTGTATCAGGCACATCAATAGATTCTTTTATCAGACGATCAGCTAGCATGATATTGCCTTGTTTGCGTGCGATGGTAGCAGTAAAGAGCTGCATATAGCCCCAACTGTGAGTAGCATGCGGATCATCAATCACCGCTATATCTCGGTGTAGTTGCTGAACACATATTTTCTTGAAGGCTGCACATAATCTCGACCATTGTTTTGTATCATAAACTTTAGGCAAATGATCAATTCTACTAATATCTGTACTCATCCAATTCACAGCATTCTTCTTCAATTTAGCAACAATGCCATCTGTTTTTGAAAGTTGCAGCTCTAGTATACTTGTTAATAGATCTGTAAATGTGCTATCAACCTTAAACATTGTGGTGATATTTTCGCTCAACATAGTGATCACATTCTTCTTAATGGAAGGGTCCACATCAAATACAGATTGTTTGAGTTTGTCAAGTTTTGAAAATTGCGTTAAATCCTTTAAAGTCGGAGATGATTTTAAGAAAACGTTAAGTTTCGTTAATAATGCCTGTTGGTCTTGTATGTATGCTTCGCTGCTGTTACTTGATGTATCAGAAAATTGTTTGATTGCTTCAAGGAGACAATCATCCCCTGTTGCACTATGTGATTTGAATTCCGTTAAACATTGTTGTAGGGACTCATAGTCTTCCAATGAAGCGTAAAAGTCTATCATTTTTTCGGTGAGCATTCTCAATAGACCGAACTGATCATTTCCCCCATGAAACTGCTTTAAGGTAGACAAAGCTTTAATTGCCATTTCGTCATATCCCTGTGATAAATGATAGGAGATGAGCAAGGTGGTCTGTATTGCTATGTCAACTAACTTACCGATGCAAATAAAGCAGCTACTTGGAACCAGTCAATATTGATTTTTGAATTTTCGCGAGCTATAACTTTGCGATGTGGCCCAATTAGCCCATCAAAAGCCCAGTTATCTTTGAACCCTTCAACTGATTGGCTGGCTGTTTTGATCAATTTCTTAAACCACGATTGTAATCCATGTATAAAGTCGGTATAATGTTCGTCAATGCATACCCTCACTATATAGACATTCAGCAGCATTAAGTAGAATTCGGTGATAAATGCTCAGCTATAAACATATTTAAATGTTACACAGATTTACCTAAATCTCGCATATAACTGTTGATCTCTTCAAAGACAGGTATGCAATCCGTGCAAGAGAATGCTTTGCACTCCAAATCAGTTAGTATCTAAAATAATAAAGATTCAGATTACATATAAGTGCTTTGTTCCAATGTATGGCTAATGAATACCTTGATACTGTGATAGATTAATAAATGATTATTGCCGATTTTCTTTGCACCCATGATCATATTCGGTCGAATACGCGAAAAATAGTCTTTGCAAGTTTTTTGGTTTGTTTTAAAGAAAATCAAGCTTGACTTTGGTACTGCAGGTAGTACGCCAGTAGCGCATCCATCTACTGCATTAGCAATTTGAACCTCGAGTCGATCTAACAACAGTAAAAGCTGTTTGAGGTATTCTACCCTCTTTCTAAATGGGTAGGAAGGAATTGTTGGTATGTCTTTTTTGACTTATACGTCAATACAGTAAAAAATCTTACTCATCATCTCGTTGAGGTCCATCTATAAGCGCTTGAAGCATATGTTCTAAGGCTCCAAATGTCTAAAGGTGAAGATAACAAAGCAGCCGTTGCTTATAAATACTCAAGATGACTCCTTAACCATTGCTATGCCAACTTACTTGCTGTGGACCACCAAATGGCGTACGTAATCTTGACAGAATACAATACCTGGCTGATTCCCATAGTGCCCAATAAGTGAGCAATTGCTCATTGTTGTTGATGGCATTTGCCATAGTATATTGATCAGCTACTATTAAGTCAATTTGATTATTATTGCTTACAGAGGATTTATAGATAGCCTTCAATCTTAAGCAAAAGTTCTTACCTGTTATAGACTCCGTCAAATTGAGGTTTTGCATATTCCGTACAGTATCGCAATGATGAAAGAGTCTTCTGATCCATTGTACAGAATCCTTCTCCCTTTCTTTATTCATCAACGTAACCTTATTCTGTTGTTGCTTTTGATCGGACAGAACGAGATATTGAACCATTCCCAAATGACTGGCAACTATTTCATAATGCACAGGTCGGAAAGAGCCTGTGTGTGTAGTAGCCATTATCAATCTCTATATACATACATTTTATTTGAAAAGACAGTAAGCTTGAATTCTGAAGATGTGTAGATTTGGTTTTCTGTGTTATAGCTTTTAAGACCCATACCTGTAAAGAATTGACAAAGTTGTCATCCATTTTATCCATACTGGTGAGTATAAATGGGTTGAGAGAGCACAGAAAGTCAATGCATGCTGTTCGTATTTGTTGATTAGGATGGCCAAGGCTAAAATCGAAAATCAAAATATCATGCCATAAGTTAATTCATCAATATATTGATGCGTTCTCTTAGAGCTTATAGTATGTACCTGCGTTCGATAAGCCTCAATCCCAACTCATGACCATGAGTAGAGTCGAAGTTTCGATTATAGAAGCTCAAGATTGCCAAAATCTGTGTCTTAACAGCAACGTCAATCTCGATATCTACATTTTTTTAAGTACATTTGCATGAGAATTCCTGTCGAGGAAGATTATCCGCTTCGTATGATAAAGAAAAGTATACCTCCCGCTCTGAAAAGGCCATCCACGATTGGTTTAATAAGATTTACAAGTGCTGACTTTTGAGTCGGTGCATCTTTGCCAAGACTTATAAGCAAAGAATATACAATCTGGCACAGTGAGCGTCGAATGGACATGTTCAGTTTTAACCAATTGTCCAGTAAAAAATCTTCCAACAAATTTAAGATGAGCTTAAGACCAGCTTCGTCCTCTACCATAAAATTCATGCTATAAACGGACAATATACATAGCTTAGATAATTAGATTCCTTATGATACCGACATCAAGCAGGTCCTATAATACCTTGTCCAAAATTCTTTCAGTAACTCGAAATAAGGAATGTACACTTTAATCCACCTATTGATATAAGCAATACAGAACAATTTCACCAAAGTCATACTGATCTCCAGGCGTAATTTGGGCCAAGTCATAGCCATATCAAAGAGTATATAGGTCAGGAACATAATATTTTCAACTGTTGAATGAACCGTTTTCATCGGTTTTCCAAACCTATGAGGGGTTTCAACGTTGAGCTCTTTGTCCTTCGGTATATTAGGAATATCTGCCGTTTCAATAAACGAGCTTGTTTTGGGAAAAAAAGTTGAATCCTTCAAATTGCTTTCTGTCTTTGCCACTGAACACTTTAAGGCTCTAAAATGTTTTTGTAGCTCCTCCAAATATTGGATGACTATTTGTTGTTGTGTTGTTTCTGTTAGAGATACTCTTATCAAAAACCTTAATATGATAAGCATTATTTGTTTTCGACGTTTGGTAAATGTATGATGATTCTTCATCTGTAATATGGGTGAATACTCCATATTCAAAAGGTGGTAGGCTATGTTTTTATCAATATCGTGATTCCACAGTTCCAAAAACTAAATATTAAAAGCAATTCTTCGTATAAACATGCTCTATTACGAAACGATACACTATACTTCGGTCTCATCTCTTATGCGCTTACCTTCAACAATGCTTCTATGTAAGCTTGTTCATCTTTTTGAAAAAAGTCCAACGTTGGTGAAAGAAAAATACAGCAAAATAGCTGGTATTGATGAGGGCGGCATATAACTGCCCCAAACGAGATAAGAGAAAATAAAATATGCTTGGCTGTGACAGCAGCAAATACCCAAGAAAGAAAGTAAGAAATGGAGCAAATCTGAGCTTTTCAATCTAAGTGGGATACTTACACGTTTGAAGCCAGGTAAATTCGGGCTTCAAGTCTTGTGCTTCGTACAAAACAGACAACATGCCACTAAGAAGTTTTTCAAGAGCAATGTTGATTATTTTTGGGTCAATGTAAGCCTTTCCGGAATTAGCAAACTGAGGCAATATGACATCTAGAATTGTCTTGAAACATCTGAAGGGCATATTAAATTTTTGTTCACGAGAAATGGAGTATGTTTGTTCTGGTACTAACGTTAGCAAGTTATTGCAAGCTTTCCACTTTATGTTACACTCTTTTTCTTTCAAGTCAATGCAAGTACTATTTTCTTTCAACTCTTTCAGCGTTGATTGCATATCATTCAAAAAGTATGTTAAAAGTTCAACAGCGAAAGGTATATGATTTTTCCAATAAGGTTCGAAGCTGGTATATAGGTTGGTTATAGTTGTTTTTGTCGACTCTGGTATATTCCCATCCATATTCCACCCAACCAAAAGATCAATAACATCCTTGAATTTCTCTGAAAATAGATCCTCATGATTGCTTGCAAAGTGAGTGAGAAGATCAATTACTAACGGTAAGTATTTCACTGAATCCATGGTATCCAAGAATGCGATAATGCTATTTAGGATCACAGGTGACATTTCCAATAATTGTTTGTAGGTATAACGATCGGCCGAAGAGTCTATTAATATCTACTCATCATTTGTGAGTCTAAGGAAGTATCAAATTATGTTGGACATACGTAAGTTGTAGAAGTTTAGCTCTGTTTACCTGCTTCAATAACCGTAAAAGCCATTTTTTCCATTCTACCTCTTTGTCTTTTAAGGTAGCGTCAATTGCAACAGTAGTATTGCTATTCGATTCTAAGGATCGGTAGATAGACAATCTATCAAAGATCCAACTTAAAGCAAGATCAAGGCGAGTATAACAGGCTAAACCTGATACGATCTCTAAGAGAGACGATTTCAAACCTAGTGGTGCTTTTGGAAATTCAACAATGCGTTGAAGCCCTTCTTCATGTATACAGAGATCTAGTAATCGCATCTGCTCTTGTCTGAACTCCAAAGTATCAGAATGCGCCGTACGAGCATTTTCTAAAATATCTAAAAGTTGGTTGGCATCCGCTACTCGTTTAGCGAACAAGTTGTCATCTTCATCTTCAATTATACGGCGTAATAACTGAACAGACTGTGGCTCGTTTCTGCTGTTGGTCTGTTGCTCTTTTATAGCCAAATTGTTATTGCATAAGTTAAGTACTATGTTTCAGTTGTCATAACAAAAATGGATGCTTTTACCAAATAACGCTGCTGATCGTTGAGCCTGATATCTATGCTGTTGATTCCTATTGTCTCTGTTGCTTTGGTTCCTTGATCCGTTGTGCTGAATATGATGACTTCCTTTGTTACTATGAAATTGTGGTCGTCTTGAGCTCATTACAAGGTAACGTGAGATATTCGGAAAGGAAATTATAAATGGACATTACAATTTCCATTGTGAGGCCATCTGCTGAGTTAGGAACAAATTTTAAATATATTCCCAGTGTTTTCCTTTACTTCATACAGTGATGAATGTATTCGTACGCCACGGATATCAAGTGAGTATTAATGCGGCTAACAAAAGGATAGCAAACTCTAACAAACTAAGTAACATAGTTTTTCTGTTCCTTCAACAATAACTTTAATGTTTGTAGTATTTCTTATTCGGCTTATACTAAGAGAGCATATACTTACGAGCAGTTCTGCTTTCATGTATAAGTTAAAAGTTGATTTTGATTGACATAATGTCATAAAATATTATTCAACAAAGCTTTAGAGTCTACTTGTTAAGAAAATGACTATTTCGCAAAAGTTCCACTTAGAAATTAGTTAAAGCGGTAAAGGCTAACAATCTTCCACTACCATCAGATAACATAGGTCAATGAATCTAATATAATGAGCTGTTACAAATAACATTGGCAATATTTTGAATTGAATGAGAAATACAAGCCGGATTTACAGTCATTCATGAACTGAAAATACTTTACGTCATAGAATCAATAATCAAAGATCTTCAAGGGAGCCCCTAGTGAATCAATTAGCAACTTTACTGAAGTATATGAGGCACTATTACTGTGCGAATTATAAATGCAGACTTAGCCTTCATTATATTATTCCTCATGTCTCGCACGAAAGCAACTTCTTATCGACGAATGGCAACTGTTCATCCATGTACAGCGAAACTAAATAGGCAGAACGATCAGATATTGAAATTTTGTTGCTCATCTACATCAACATTATGTCGCAGGCTATATCCATTCAACTCCTATTATAAATTTATGAATTGTACCATGTCTTGATACAGTACATCCTTATTGAATATTTGTAAGAACTTGTATTGTCTTCGTACGTATAACTTCTTGCCTACACAACCTTGATAGTAGTTATTCTACTGAGGACAACAGTATTATTTAAACAAATATTTGGTTCGATGGTATACAGGTCATCCCAACATTTAGACGACAAAATGATATCTCTCACCAAGTATTTAATAAATTAAGAAAATTTGAAAGATACAGCTGTACTGCACTTGATTAGCTCAGAATTCGAGGTATGAGTATTTAATATGTTGAAGGAGGCTTCTTTCACTTTTCTCCTACTCATCTAGCTATCATATTTCATGTCCACAGTTAAGCTCAGACACCACATGTCTTCAAATACCATATATAGTTTGTTTAGTGCTTTACATAACGTTGGACCGTGAAAGTTGCACGTTTTGTAAGTATGGTTTTCATAATATCTTATACTAATCTCGATTGCTATTCTAGACTATTTCAAGCAACTAATATCTGAGTCATTGACAATGGTACAATCAAACAACTAAAACAGAATTTTTTTGTTTAAACTAGATAATAAATTGAAAGATAAACTATGCATTCATTGAATTTTCCGCTTTATAGTAGTATTCTACATATGAAATGAACCGACTACCCATGGCTTTGATTTGGCGGATACATCCATTAAAAACTCCAATGTAAATGGTTCATTTTGATGGAACATATGCAATTATTGTAAGAAAAACTTCAATAAAGTAAGGAAATCTTTGAATTGAAAACCGAGATAGCACTACATAAATGCTTTGATAATATACTGGTGCGAACAGAAATTTGCAGCAGTTTACACTAGGCTTTTCTCTAGAAACAGGTTAAGAATATTTTAGCAATAGAGAAGGTGACTTTATTTGTATTGTTTGATTTGTTTAGTTTCGATGCGCTAAAAGAAAAGTAATAACTGAGTGTTGTAAAAAGGTTAACAGAACAAAAGGAAGTCGCTATCAATTGTTAAATTTTAGAAACAATGTAAATCATTTTAATGATACACATAAGTTAAAACCTATTATTTTTTATTATGATTTACTTTATGATGCACTCATAGCTTATAGTTTTTTTCTATCAGTTTCTTTTTAAACCTCTACCATCAACCTCTATCATTTTTTCAGACCCTCTATCATTTTGCTGAACCATTTCCTTTTGAAAGTTTACAGTCTTCTCAGTATTAATAAAGCTTTAGATCTGTTACTTATTTTCTATATATGGTCCTTTTCATACAACAATGAATAGTTTCCTTTTCTATAATTCCTTTATCGAACAACACAAAACAACCTAGCTGGATTGAACCTCACTAATATCAACCAAAATAAATTTTCTGTGTCGCTGCTACATTACTTCTTAGATCCTATTACAGTTATCAATTGTATTTCTAAATAAAAACATTATGTATTATAAGTGAAAATAGCGGAAAAAAGAACAGAAATTAAAAGTATAATACTATCACAACTACAATAAAAAGTGTTGAATACATGTTAAATGGATTTTGGTGAATACATTCTGTCTATTCACTATTATGTTTGTTGTATCCACGAGACAAACATCGATCCTCTATCATAGGCGTCAGTAAAAACGACTTAAAATTAAGTGATAAGAAAGAATTGACGCGATGACATACTAGAATAAGTTCGTTGGAATCCTTCATGAGAATAGCTAACTCATTCAGAATAGGTACAGAATATTATTGTATACCACATTACTAAGTATATTTATTGAAATCAAATCATTTGCTCTAAGAGGATATGCCACAGATACTGTGAGAACTACACAAAGATGCTCGCAAAGTAGTTAGAAATTCTATACGGAGCATTGTTTCTATTGTGCTATTCCCATACCTCATATAATATGTAAACACAAATTAGCCGCACCTTCGAATTAGACACGTTCTTATGATCATAGAATCATGATAACACCTGTACATGTCATCTTGTACTCTAAAGACATATGTATACATAATGCTGTATTCTTACTGGTTGAGAATTTCAGGAACGAGTATTTAACTCTTTTTTTTTGTATCTCTTTCCTTTCCTTCTTTCTTTGTTGTCAATACAAACATCCAGTTCGTCATGAACGCTCCCCTCTCTCATTTTCAGTATATAATAAAAGGACTGAAGGAAGCTCACTTCACCTTATAGTTATTTCTAAGTCGCGTTCAGTGAAAAACATATGACGACCACAAATACAACATCTAGAACGCATTATTTCGCACCATTTTTTTCTGATACTAAATTCTGGATACTACGGTTGTACTTTTAAAGAAGGAAAGTCCCTTCTGCGATTACACTTTTGCACCTTTTAAAAATGGCAGGCAACATACCTTCCTCATGCACGGCAAAACAACACAACCACGAAAAGAAACTAGCAAAAGAAGGGAAAAAATATATTTGTCTACGATTTATGAAACGCAAACGAACAAAATGCAACAATTCAATACTGTTGTTTATCATGTACTACAAGCTACGATCAAAAGAAAAATATACAATTCACATCAGCAATGAACACATCATAAGATAACAAACTAAAAAAGAATTAAAAAAAAAGTTAAACCAACTCCTCTTATCTTTTTTCTCTGAAAAAGATAGGAAAGTATTGATCAACAAATTAACGTTTACGCAACGGATGAAGACCTAGAAGATGATGACATTGATATATATACCTCGCTATGAATTTGGATAATGAGGATTCAACATCTGAAGGTTCTATCTTAAAGAAATGTAGTATTACCCATCATAAAACCAAATTTGAAGCTTGGTATGCCTTCCGTAACACAAAGTATTGATACAGTACTTAGCAATAATGTGAGTAGCAAATCATTATGGTAAAAGAGGCTACTATCTCTGTGTTCAAAGAAAATCCTTTAATAATCAACAGCTGAATAAAAATTGGTATAAATACGATAAATATAACACTACAAATTAGAAGGTAATCTATTCTATTGGCCCTTTGTCTTTCTAAAGTCTTTATCATTATTAAAACACCCGCAAGCGTTATCACTTTTGACATGAGTATGACTTAGGAATATGAGTTATTTTAGTGTAAGGATAACGTTTTTGTATCTTACCTAATCATATATGGTAATGTTATTATCTATTCAACATTTTAATTAAGAAGGAGCGATGTATTGTTTGAATTGCTCGATATTGGGTAAACTAATTCTAGCTGAAGCAAAGGCAGGAAAGTTTATTTCCGAACTTGTGCAGGTCAGTTAAGCCTATTACTAAGTTACTAAGACAGACATGATCTGGTGGCTTATGTGGCCCTAGACGTATTTCGCATTTTGACAGAGTAATACTCCTTTCATAACCATTATAACTTCTTTGCCACCAATCATCGCTCTCCTTCTAAGAGGCTTGATTTGGAGAAACAGCAGATGAGTGAGCGTTTCAGTGTAAATCAGTAAATAGCGAAATAGTTACACTCAAAAGCAAAGCGAATCCTTTAAAAGTAACTTAACAGCAGTAGGACGCGCAGACTGACAAAACCCTTGCCAAACTTCAGCCATATTAGGAAGGTTGCGTTTATCCTGAGGAGTATAAATTGAACGGCCAACAGAATAATGGACAGTAGAAGGAAGATTTTTAAAAAGTATATCAAGAAACATAATAGCTGCAGGAAAAAATTAACAAAGCGTTCATTGGATCAGGTATAAAAAGTATGGCATGTACTAATTTAAAATATCACGTCGTTGCAAGACTTCAAAACTTACCAGTGAGACAGTTTGTAGTACAAGCAGACTTGCTTTTCAAAAACAAAAGAAGCTCATGCATATTGATAACATTAGCTTTCTTAATGCGTAATTTGATATGGCTGGAACGCGTACAGCCGGCTTCTATAAATTCGAACTACAAGTTATAAGCATAGGTTTATTGGGTCAGCTCTTTTTTATGCTTTATACAAATTTAATTGAATTATGCATTGTAAAACAGCGTTCCTTTTACCATCGAAGATTATCTTAATACCATTCAAAGTAGATTAACCATATTGTGTTTCAAAAGCACCCCGCGCTTTCGTGTTGAAGTGTACAGGCATATCAACAGGATCAATGACGACATCATAATGACAGATGGTAACTGACGTTAAGTTGGTTACTTCAAAAAAATTTGACCTTACGCGAACAAGTCTTCCATTTTTGCCAGATGTAGGACGGAGAGCCCTTTTAGTAAGTTCAACTGACATTGTACTAATATTGATAGATTCTTTAAAAGATGTATCTACGTAAGCAATGAAGGCAGGAAATAAGCAAAGGAAAGTAAAAAAAAAGAGGTGTTAAATGGTACTGCAAAGAAACTATATATATTCATGCTATAAGCCAATGAGGAGCAGATTGGTTTACGACACCTTTATATTTATGCATTTATCCTTTTTATTGCATATTAGAGTAGGCAACTGCAAAACAACAGGGATGCTTTTCTCTATAGGTCAACAGTATACACAGAGCATAAATCAGATTGAACATTCAGTAGTCACCATTGAGAAACGGCTTTATTAGTTTCCTGGCTAAATGTTGAACGCTGGCTAGAAATACAGATGAAAATATGTTTATAACAATTATGAGGTAGTGATACGCGATGGTGCCGAATTTTGCAATGACGATTTTTAAATCGCCCTCTTGCAAAATCTTGAATTCATACGGATATTAAATACTTATTTTAGCAACCTGAAGTTGCTTTTCCAGTAGTCGCACTTTTTCTTTTTCGGTAACTATTATTTCTTCTAGTCGTGCTTCGCTAAGTATTTTACTTTCTAGTAACGATTCCAAATCAGTCATTTCCTTTGAAAGCCGGTCTATTTCAGATTGCTTATCATTTATCAAGCTTTTATAGTGATGCTCGCTCACTAAGTCATTTGACAATCGCTTTACCCCTTTGGGTTGCTGCTGCTGTCGGTTACCCCCAGCAATACTCTTTTTATAAACTTTCAAGTCTTCTATCGTCTGTTCCTTTTCAACAGCCAATACCTGAAACTTAATATTCATATACTTCTCCTCTAACTTTTGGTAAGCTTCTTTTAAGCATTTGTTGCCCTGCTTCACATTGCCATTTCCACATTTTGAGCAAAAAAACTCGTTCTCTTCAATATTACATGTTACATTCAGCACTGAATCTGATTTTCGTTGCTGTTGCTCCTTTTCGATTGATGCAAGCTTCTTCAGTACTTCACTCAAATCCTGCTGTGATTTTTGAAGTGCAAGCTTTAATGTCTCTTTCTCTTCTTCTACTCTACAGTGCGCTTGTGTTGCTACATTTGCTTCATTCATAATACGTTGCTTGTCTGTAACTTCCTGTTCAAGCCTTGAGCGTAGATTATAGTATTGGGAATTAGACGAAACTGTCAACGAATTTAATCTTATGATTTCGGCTTTTAACTGTTCTATATGTAAATTTAGTGATGTTTTAATATCACGCTCACGGTCGAGCTCATGTGTCGCTAACTCCAACTGAGCTTCTAATCGCTTTTGCGGTGACGATGGAGAGATGATTACATCTGTCGTAACGGATAAAGTAGGTGTTGGTGGGAGATAGTTAAATTGCTGCTGCTCTTGACGAAGCTCTTTAATGGTCTTCTGCAGTCGATCTATCTCTTGAATTTTTAACTGCACGAGTTTTTCATGCTGTTGGCGTTCCTCACGTACATCTTGCTTATATGATTGAACTGTTTCCATATGCATCTTCCTTAACTCTGCGTATTCGCGTTCAAGATAGACTATCAACTCTTCACGTTCCTGTAATTGTTCACGCAGTTGATCTATTTGATTCATATTGCTCTTCGACAAAGTCTCAAATTCGATCTTTTGCATTTCAACATGCTTCTGGAGATCGCTGAGGCGTTCATTCAAATGCTGGATAACTCTGTTTTGTTGTTTTCCCGTTGCTTCTAAAGCAGCTACTTTATTCAAAGCATCATTTTTTTCCACTGTGACAGTTGTATATTGTTCGAGGACATGATTAGCATGTTCCAATTTTTGATGAAGACTCATGATTTCATTGTCTTTTTCTTTAACACGAACAGCATAGCTTTCTTTCACACTGACAAGGCGATCCCATGCTGCTTCTTGACTATCCATTTGTTCAGTGAGTGCTTGTTTTTCTTTATTTGTTCTTTCAAGAAGGCGGCTTAATCTTTCAATATCAGCTGATTTTGGTCTTGTCAACACTACCGTGGATGATTTCGAGCTATTGCGATGACGATGCAAGCAACTATGATTGTCATTGTGGTTCTCGTTATTGCTACTCAATGCGGTGGCTTTAAACGTTACCTCTTGCAGTTGATTTTCGGTAGTATTTGCCTCTTTTTCTGAGGGAACTTTCGATTTTTTTGTTGTAACTGTTAATGGAGTACTACGCATTGGTGAAGGTTTAGTTACCATTGTGCTCTTTCTAGATTGTAGCTTTGTGGATTTACTAGACTTTAAAATGTGTGCTGATTTAGTAGGTTTCGTCGAAGAGGAGCATATTGCCGTAGTTCCAGGTAGAGAAACGGTGTTGCTTCTTTTCAAAGAAGATGACAGATGTACCGAAGAAACAGTCTTAACAGCCGTTGTTAACTTTGTCTTTGTTGACTTTATTGCTCTTGACATATGAGGGTCCATATAACTGTGCGATCTGTCTTGTTGCTGCTCTTCCAATGCGTTAACCCTTGCCGCTGATACAAAAAGCCCAGTATTAGGCGCGCAATTAAAATAACGCACACTGAATATTGATAAAAGGTAGGATAGCTGGCGTTAGACTGAACCTATATTGTCGAGCGCGAAGAACTGCGCTACTGATTCTACAACCTATTTGATTTTGTAGCGTGTGTAGACTTACCCTTGAATAGACCCATCATTCTTGCCACTACCTTCTTTTTCCAACTCAATTCCCACCCAATAACCTGTATTCTTCTTGAATATTATCTCACCATAAAATCTGACAGTGCCCTGTGCTTGTTGTAAACTTGGTATAACGACCTTTTGGCCGATTGTGAAACCATTTGCTACGGTTAGGTTTGAAGACGCTATTGAATTACTTTTGTCACGTCGATTATTGTTACAAGTTCTCTTTTGGCATTCTCTCAGATATGCTGGTTTGGGCGATAAAGATGTTTGAAGTCGTAAGCTGTTTAACGAGCTCTTGCTAGAAACTGTCGACTTTGACGAATTTATAGTGCCTGCATGGCTGCTGCACAAGCTTGAAGTAAACTTCGGCACAGCAGTCGCTCTGCCTGCCAATACAGGTTTCTTATGATGCTGTAGTGTAGATTGTTGCTGTTCCTCAGTAATATCAATAACCAATGGTGCTCGACGCAGTGAGATTGATCTAGATAAACCTTTTATTGGTTTAATGGTTAGCGAGTTACCGTTTCCGATAAAATTGCTGCTACCACTGTAGTTGTCAAGCTTAGTATCTGCCATTATTCTCTTCATCCTGAGAAGAAGCCTTGGGAAATAATGCCTGATTTTTTTTTGAACGTTTAATTATGACTTTTCGACCTTCTGCAGATCTTACTCAACAAGAAGAAGTTGATACGATAGAAAAAAGGTTTGTAGGAGTTAAGAAGAGAGACGACATTAAGTTCTGTTTGACTCCCTCATTGATCAATTTATAATATTTAAAGAGGTATACCAGAATAGGAGTGATATAATATAGAAAACCTCACTTGTATGCAATCACATGCATTATGTAAACGTGCTATTGTTTAAGTGAAGTCCCAGGGATGATAGAATACATCCAGCTTATAGTCTACGGTATAAACCACTTCCTGTGTCTTACGTACTGGTGAAGATGATAGGAGCGATAAAGCAGAATAATTTAATATGTTTGTTTGTATTAAATAAGAACAATGATTGAATGATCCCTAACCTAAACTATTATGTAATTTTCGGTACTTTCGACTTTTTCCGAAGAATAACAACAAGAGTGTATACTTTGAAGGTAAAACATCTAAGCGCTTAACTGCAGGTACTTATCCCTGTATTTCGTATCTTCTACTTAAGAAATCGTAGCCAGCATTAACGTATGCAATTAAAATGTGAACATCTGTGACGAATAGTTTCAGATAACAGCAGTAACTCAACGTAAATATAACCAACCTGATATATTTCGTGGCATCCAAAATATTAGCGAATTTTGGATTGTGTATTGTATGCATTGCTCCAAATGCACGTCTATTATCCTTATGCTGACTTCTATCGTTATTAGAAGAGGTTGGGAACTGTATAGATTTCTATCCGCTTATTCTTGCACCACTTGAAGCTCGGTTGCAATGATGGTTAAGCATATTTCGTTTCGCTCTTCTAATAATGTTTCCATTGCAACTATTAAAGTACTTTATCACTTTTTCAAAGTCTTCATCGCATGTGCTCTGCTTTTTGATCAGTATTTGTCAGTGAACCCCTATTCCATATTGCCAGATCACTTCAACGTCCGCTCCAAAATTTTTCGCGCATCCAGCTTGGTTGAACCTCACTGCATATTTTCAAATCCTTTTCCCTCATATTTAACCAGCTACATCATTTTTATTCTGCATTCCTTTGTATTCATTAACTGAATACTAACATTGCATTAATATTTTAACTTAGTATTATTGATTCAAATTATTATGAAGTAAATATAGTCTATGGACTTTGAATATACCAGAGAAAACTAATCTAAACTATCCATTGTAGTCCTGATCAAAGCAATAGCAGTAACGTTAGTGGGCGCAAGATTCTCACTCCCAAACGTAGACTTAATAGAAGTAATTCAAATTCTTCAGCTGGTAGTGCCGGTAGTTTAGGGTCTTGGACAAATATTTCAGCAGCTGATGGTTCTTTAGCTGGTTTTGGTAGTGCTTCTGGTACAAATAATACGCGCTCTCCGGCGACCACATCCCAATTCAGCTTTGGTGGCTCCCCTAATCCCTCTTCATCTATGCCGGCCTTCACTTTTGGTCAATCAGCGCCTTCCAAATCACCGTCTGCACCTACTGGTTTCAACTTTGGCTCGTTCAGTAGCCCCTCTGTAAGTAAAGCTAATGATAGCTCTACCAGCACCACGTCCACCACATCACCTTTCACTTTTGGACAGTCGACTTCCACAGTTGGTGGCAACTCTCTTCCAAATTTAACTTTCAGTTTTGGACAGCCAGCAACTTCCTCTAGTATGGCCAGCAGTATGCCTGCATTCACCTTTGGACAAACAGCATCTTCAACTTCCTTTGGAAACAAGCCTGAGTCCTCCAATGAATCCACAGGTAGTAAACCAGCCTTTTCAATTAATTTCGGGGCCTCAACTGCATCATCGTCCAGTGGTAAACCAGCATTTTCTTCAGAGCAACCTTTACTGTCGTCGACGGCATCTAATACAGACAGTAGCTCAAAACCTACTGTAACATCTGGAAGCAATGTATCTGCTGCGAGCAATACCTCTACTACTATGCCATCCTTTACATTTGGCGCTGTTCCTACATCAACCGCCTCAATTAGCTCTGCTGCTCAAGCCGCAGGCAGCAAACCAGCTTTTACATTTGGATCTATGTCCAGTTCTTCCTTTAGCACTGCTACTACTGCTAGTACTAACAGTCAACCAATCTTTACTTTTGGGGGTTCATCATCGTCATTGACGACAGCCCCTACTGCAAAGCCAGCATTTACTTTTGAATCTACCTCTACAGCAACAGATGACAAAAAAGATACAACTGCAGGTGCACTTATTGCAACTACTTCCGAAAAGAAGGCCGATACTGACGCAAAAGGCAGTGATACGAAAGCTACGGGTAAGTTGATCATCGTGAAGACATCTAATTTTCTTGACTCACATCCACCTTTTATTTCTTAAAAAGATTCTGTTTCCAAAAAAGAAACTCCAGCAGTAGCTAAACCTTTTGCTAGCTTTACATTTGGAAGTCTGCCATCATCTTCCCTGACAAAAGATAAACCGCCAATGAGTAATGATTCCACTGAGACTGCATCTACAACCGCAGCAACAGAAGACAAAGCTAAGAATGAAACAGATAAAGAAGAAGGCTCTGGACAACAAAAGGAATCTAGCAAGCCAACTGCATCAACATTCTCTTTTGGTACCATTACCGACAAATCACTTGATAAAAGCAGTATGACCAGCCCTTTCATCTCTCCTCCAACAATAACTAGCTCAGCATCGGAAACAGAGTCACGAAAGAGGCCCTTCGCTTTCAACTTTGGCGAGAGCAGCGCTCAACCCAATAAGAAGCAAGAAAGTACTCCATCATTGGTTCTTCCGGCCAAGTCCAAGAAAAGAGGGCATGATGATGACGACGACGATCATCCTCGTTTTAAAAAGCAAATGGGTCAACGTGATAGTACTACCAACAAGCCTTCGTTCTCATTTGGAGAACCGCCTACTGCCATTGACTCCTCTTCATTGAGTTCAAAGGCTTTATTGCATGGTAATTCTCCCTTGAGAACTTCTACTGTTTCAATCGAGTTTGAAGATGACGATAGTAAAAAAGCGCCTTCTAAAGATGCAAATGACAACGAGCAACTTGTTTTTGGCGAGTCTGATGAAAACGAAGGGTCAGATAAAGAAGAAGAGCGTAAGAAAGGTAAATATTCAGAATCTAATCCTTCACATAATCAAACCAATAACTTAGATTATTAATATGCAATAGCAGACAAATCACCTATTTCTCAGGGTAGTTCCAAATTTGCAGCTTCAGGCACTGGTGCTCCAAACTCTGCTCCAGTATTCTCTTTCACCAGCACGACAACCGAACCGAAGAATACTTCTAAGGAATCATTTTCTACAGCCAAAAAGCCGTTGTCCTCTGATACCACTACTTCTGCCACGAGCTCAACGGAAAGGAGTTCTTTTACCTTCCCCAGTATAACTGCAGATAAGGATAAGGAGCCTAGTGATGCAAATAAGAAAGCGGACAAGTCGACGAAAGAGGATAAAGCAAAAAGTGGCAGCAGTAAATTATCTTCGTCCTCATCAGCGGGTGATGAAAAAGGAAATACCCAAGGTTCAGTCAAACTTGCTTTCAGTAAGGTGGATGATACTTCCAAATCAAATGGTACCATCACACCTTCATTAAAATCAAGCACCAAGCAACCAGAGCCTCTTAGTCTTGTTCCTCCTACCAAGTCTGTCTTTACTAATCCATCCGAAACAACATTAAAAACGACAATCCAAGAGCCAAGCGATATTTTACATTCAACCAAAACGTATGAACTTCCCATGAATGCTATGACTGAACTTGGTCAAATTGCTGAGTTTATATTCTCACGGGCAAAAAAGCGTGATAGTATTCAATCCGTATTAGATGGCCCTCTTCCCAACTTACTTACAGAAATAGCCGAAGAAACGCGTAACTTATCGAATGATAGTGATACTCTTGCATTGAAATTGAATGATGTTGACGACTATCTCAACGAAATGAAGCACAGAATTAAACGGAAATTCTCACAAATGTATCGCTCTGCACAGATCCTAAAAGGCGAACAAATATATATGCCTTCTGATGATATTCATTTCTTGGAGGAAGCGGAAGAGCTAGCAAGGACTGCTCAGAATTTGGCCAAGATGGTCGATGAAATCCATGAAACGTTGACCAGTTACCAACAAACAGATAGTGGCAATTATACACCTGAACAAATCGGCTCTATTTTAAACAAACAGAGTCAAGCTTTGCTTTCACTAGCAGGCGCAGTTAACGAAATTCACGCCACTGTGCAACAGACCAACAGTTTCCCTAAACATTGAAGCAAAAGCAACATACTACTCCCTGTACAAAGCTGATTACTATATATATATATATATATATATATATATACAGATGTATGTAGCATTCTTTTTTTTTTATATTGACTGCACGTTTTCAATAAAACGGTACTTTGACATCTACATGTGTTCCGTAAAATATTTAGCAGTAAATAATATGCTGTCTTAAAATAACTTGCGGATCCTCATCAAAAGTTATGCTTGAGCCCGCAAATTTAACGTAAAACTTCCTTATTGGAATTTTTCAATGGAGGCAGCATACATAAAACGTGAGTTTACCAAAAATAAGCTTTTTGGTAGTGTGTCCCCTACATTTGTGAATATTGAGCGAAAAGAAGGCCATGGAATCTTTCATGAAGGGCTTTGGATAAGTTATAAGGCTTTTATTTTCACATCTTTACGAAAAGATGGTAAGAAAATTGGGAATATATAAACAATTTTTATGCTTTATTTTTCGAATTTACTAGTTGAGAAAGATAACAGAGAGAGAGTAAGTAAAAAATTTGAAATATTTCACTTCCCAAACGAGAAAACACAAACGGCAACTTACATAACCAACAGAAATCAAATAATCAGCTAAACCTTCAACAACCTTTGTGCAGTTACCAGGTTGAATACCTTCCTTATAGGTACCAACTAGAATAGCTTGACCGGTCTTGACAATACAGACACCGTCAGAGTTCTAAGAGAAGAAAAAAAATTAATGTTAATTGTCGCTGCTTATTACCTATATTCTTACAGTGTCACTGTTTCTTCGCCATATATAACACGTCTTCAAGAGAATTATCCCTTCTTGACGCCGTGTATAGCCCTATCCTTTATTATTACTTTACCTTCTTGCCGTAAATAGAGCGTTCATCAGCTCTTAATGTAAGGTATTTAACACCGTTGACGTGAATACCATTGGCACGGATACTGTCGGCGTTGGAGAAAGCAGCAGTAATTTCTTGAATTTCCTTAGGTTGCAACTGAGATGATACAGCGAGAAATGTTAATTTCTTTCTTCTTTCACAAACATCATCTAATTCCACTGAAGCTAGAGTCATTTTATTTACCTGGAAACCAGCAGATTTGGCCCATTCACCACCATTCAAACCGTAAATAGCGGCTTGAGAAACATTACCAGTACCAATAAGGTTAGTATCGACGTAAGCTTGCCAAGACATATTTATCAATAAAACAACTTCGTTTCAAAAAAAACAAGAAAATAAAAGAGAGGAAAAAGAGAAGTCGAAAAAAAAAGAAGGGAAGCTACGTGGTAAATGAATTAAAAGCTGAGTGAGGGTCAATCTCAGTTTTCGTCGGGCTTTGTCCTCTTTATAAATCAATTTAGACAAGTTTTTTTTTTTTTTTTTTTTTTTTTTTTGCAAAATTGACAATTTATTAAACTTCTTTAATGACGTCTACTGCCTTTAAACTTCTTTGAAGGACGCGTGGATTTTTCTTTCCTCTTTTCGTATGCTTTACGTTCCTTTCTAATCTGACTTGCGTTCTTCAGTTCGCTCTTTGCATGTACACCCACTTGCTTCTTACCCAAACCACTCTTATCGACTGTGCTTGCTGTTTCAGCCTCGTTTGTCTTTCGTTTCTTCAACTTCTTCTCGTAATCATAAGCAAGAGGATCCAAAGGCTTGCCTTCCTCCACTTTATTGTGTTTGAAGCGTCTTTTGCCCAAGTTACGTGCACTTGCCAATTCTTGTTCACCTGCACGTGGTAATGTAATATGTTTCTTCTTGACCCATTCATCGAATCTGCCGCTTTTGTAACTGGCAGAAATCAAGGCACCACTTTCTGTACGAATTAACTTCTTATTATCCGAACCAATGCCAGTACCTTTAACAAACTTTCTTTTCTTTGAGTCCCAGCGAAGCATATTCTTGCTCTTTTGTATGGCCTCATTATCATCACCCGTCAAATCTAATTGAGCTTTGGCTGCTTGTTCCATGAAGCTGCCTTCATTTGCCATAGAATAACCGCGTTCAGTATTTGCATCCTTCTGAGTATAAGACAAATAGTACTCTTCATCACGATAGCTGTTTTTCTTTTTATCTAAAAGAAGGATATATCAAAGGGTTGATAGAGACGTTAATAAAAGACCAATACAGTTTAGTACAAAAAAAAAAAAAAAAAAAATAAAAAATAGAAAAGAAATGAAAGCTCCTTACCTTCTTCTTTCGATTTTGGTATATTGAAGGCTTTTTCTAATTCTTCTTCCTCTACGATGCCACCAAGACTTTCGATTGTCTTTTTCTCGTCACGTACAGGAACAGGCTTCTGTAATCTTTGTAATTCGGCCTCTTTCTGTGATTTATGTGCCGATATGATCTTATCTACTGTTTGTCGACGGTCTCTCATCATTGCGGTGGCTGGCGTAACTTTTCTTGTACCACGTACACCAACTTCAAAAATGGTTTCTGCAGGTCTGAACCCACTGATTGCGTTGATCATATTCAATCGTTCAATTTCTGCAGTGCTTTGATTCACGTCGTCCAAAACAAGTGGATGAAGATTGCTGTAATTGAGCTTTTTTACAATCTCTTTAGCACGGGTATAACTTTCTGGAGAGGCCTTGGGTTTCGTTTTGTTATAAAGTTTATACGCATTTACGGCAGTACGGTAAGTACCTTCAAGAGCAGCATCTTTTGTAACTTTATCTTCTGCCCAGGCTTTGTCGTCTATCACAGCATCTTTGGGAAGAGTACCCAAGACAAGTTCCGAAGTGTAATCATAATCTTCTCTCTCTTTCTCGCCACCAAGGACAAGCGAACGACTCAAAAAGAGATGAAGATCTACCAAGTATGGAAGTTCCTCGTTCGTCACAAGGGAGTAGGCCCAACCACGGCGACCAGCACGCGCAGCACGGCCCACACGATGAACAAACACCTTCGAAGATCCACTAAAATCATAATTGATCACATTCTCAAGGATGGGAATATCAATACCACGAGCAGCTACATCAGTGACAACCAGAATATTGGTCATGCCATTTCGGAAGCGGTTAATTTGAATATTACGGGCTGTTTGATCCAGAGAACCATATACATAAGAGACCTGATAACCTGCCATCTCTAATAAAGTTGCCAAATATTCTACATGATGCTTCGTTGCTGTGAAAATAATCGTCTGATGTTCAACTTCTGTAGGTTTTCTTTTCTTGTTCTTTTTTCTATCATTAGCGTCATCTGCAGCCACTTGAGTTTTCTTGGGTAATTTGATAATATTTCTCAATAAATAAAGCAGTGCACCTTCTTTTTCGTTATCTTTGACAGTGAAAAATGCCATCTCCAAATCACGGGAGATCTTAGTGTCCACATCCAAACGGATTAATGTGGGTTCCTGTAAACCTGCTTTAGCGAAATCGACCAACAATTTTGGCAATGTAGCTGAAAACAATAATGTTTGTCGGCTGGGCGGCAAACGAGAGAGGATTTCATGTAGTTGAACAGCAAAACCCATTTCAAACAAACGATCTGCTTCATCAAAAACAACATATTCTACTGTTACCAAATCCAGATTCATTTCCACTGCCAAATGTAGAAGACGGCCTGGTGTTGCAATCAAAATATCTGGGTTGGATGCGATCATTTCGAACTGTTCGTCTAAATTGTCACCACCTACAATACAAGCACTACGAAGGTCGGTATATTTAGACAATTCTTTGCACACTTTTTGTGTTTGAAGAGCTAATTCACGAGAAGGTGATAAGATCAAGGCACGAGAGCCTGTCTTTGCTGAATGGGACTTGAGCTTTTCTAACATCGGAATCAGAAAGGCAGCTGTTTTACCAGAACCAGTACGTGCCATACCAACGACATCGGCTCCTTCTAGAATCAATGGTATACATTTACGCTGCACTGGTGTAGGTACTTTGAAGCCTTTATGAATGATTGCTTTGAATACAGGATTACTAAGACCTACATAATGGAAGACAATTTTTAAGGGTATGTGTGAGTTTACTAGAAGCAAATGTCTGAGGGGAGAAATGCAAATGAAAGAAGGTACTCCTTACCCATTGACTGGAAACCACCAGACTTCTTATTCTTACGATTGGCAGCAATTGTCTCCGACACAATAAACTTTTCATCTTGATCGTCATCACTGTCACTTTCATTAACTGCAATAGGCTTTTGTTTTTTTAAAGAACCTGCTGGTGCAGCAGTAGCAACAGCAGCTGGTTTCTTGGACTTGAACTTTGCAAACATATCCATTTCGAGATCGGAATCGCTGCTGTCACTCTGATCGCTATCAGCATCACTGGAGCCGAAAGCATTACTGGTAATTTTAGTATCAGTGGATACAATTTCGAAATCAGAATCGTCCTCCTCTTCCTTATTGTTCTTTTTATCCTTGCCGTATCTCTTTCGTTGAAATTCTTTCTTTTTCAGTTTTGATTTAGATAATTCCTTCGTAGGTTGATTTTCATTGTCTCTCTTTTGCTCTCCTTTTTTACTGCTATTTGATGACGCTGGACCGATTTTGTTGCCCTTTCTGTTATGCAAAGGTTTTTTAAATATAGGCTTTTTGACGGCCATTTTCAATTAACTGATCTAGTTGATTAAGAAACGATCTTCCTGTTATCTTTTCCCGTCAATTGGAAGTTAGAGAAAAGGTCAGCAGTGGCTTATTACTTGTCTCGCCCGATGAGTTTGAAACCACGCATGAATTTTGTCTCCTTCAGGTCGGTTTCGTTATGAGCTACAGTTACAGTGTGTACTTGATGCAGATCCGGGTACATACAATTGCAATTATCCCTTAAGATCCACCTATTGAATAATATCAGATTGTTAAAGCACTGCAATGAGTATATCTGTAGAAATAGTAGCTGCCTACCTGCTGCTGCTACCTGTTATGGATGCCAAAAGCTGACCATATCACTCAATAAACTAATGCAGATCTGTTACCTATCAGTTTTACAAAGGGCTATCAATTCACATCGAAATAAATTCGGAAAACATACTATTTCCTGCTTGATTATGTGTTGAGCAAACTTGAAATTGAATAGAAATTATTCCAAGTCATCTACTGGAGGCTTTTTTCTAAGCTTTACTATAATTTTTTTTTCTACGATAGACAAACATAATCTACAGCAATAGAAGCTTCAGTTGTGGGTGATAATATCATAAATGCAAATCTTAGGGACTCGAATACATAGCTGTACCCACTGATATTATTTTCATCTCTTAACTTGCCATATACTTTCTGAACCATCTTCAAGGTTAGCGTAAGAAATAGTCATGCAATTGACTTAAATTTGAGGCCTTCAAATATGCTGTATTCAAACTTTGGTAGCGACAAAGATTCATCATACGTGAAATGTCAATCAGTTATCAGTAGTAATCATCTATATTGGAATGTTCTATGAGAATGATTTTTCTGCTAAATACAGCCATCAAATGTAAATCAGCACAAAAATCCATTCTTCAGATTCATAGTATCCATACAGATATCATGTTAATAGCAATCACGTCATATTTGTATAAATTGATTCTTTAAAATACCCTTTTTCATGAGACGATCGCCACCCAATACATATTCTTCAGTAGTGAAAATAATCATGACTTTAAGGCGCTACAGGCAAATTTTCTCCTCTTAGTCTGGACCATATTGTATTGCAAAAAGTAAACAACATGAATCTGGTGTTAGTTAATTGAAAAGCTTTTTTTTTTTTTTCTACTACTACGAAGAAAAAAAAAACCGTTTATGGTTTCGTTGAACAGCCTGAGACTTCATGGCTACGCTCTCTTTTGTTTGAGACACATTTTATATTAATCATTCTAAATTTTTTTGTATTAATTTTCTGCTCTGCTACTGTTCCTTCTGTCTGGTAAATTTGTATACAGCAACTTGATGTGTGTTTCGTCCGGTTCAGAACGTTTATTCTTTCGGTTGGCATATGTATTGTGAGCAATGCTCAGTGAGCATAAGCTAAAGTATTAGGCTCAAATCATTGAAAAATATATGTTTCTTGTGCAATTGAAGCTTTTTCTGAAGGTGCTCTTATTTTAAAGCATCCACTTCTGTATCGTCATACGGTACAACAAGTGTTTACTGCCCAAGAACTATAGAAAATCAGAGCAATGATGATTGGCTGTAATTATTTTTTACCCCTCAAAACGCTTAAAGAAGACTAGGGTGCTCCGACAAGAATTGTCAAAGTTAGAAACCAAGCTCCCCCCGCCTCCTTTCTCACATTAACAGTTCCTTTCATATAAACAAATCTACAAGATGATACATTTACTCGGTGTTAATCTACCTGACAAAAAGCTAATAGGGTACTTAAAGACCGAACAAAAACTACTCTTCATCAAACTTATCGACGTTGACGTATACTGACAGTATTTTCTTTTCTTGGGGATTTACAGCACAGCGTTACAATACTTTTATGGCATTGGCGAATCAACAGCATTAAAACTATGTCAAAGACTATCTATTTCACCCACTGTGAAAGTAGCTGAGTTGAGCGATGTTCAAATTACCGAGTTGACAAATATACTATCCAACATGACAATTGAATCGGATTTAAAAAGACAAGTGAGAGATAATATTATGCATCACCGTAATATTGGTAATTATACTGGTAAACGACATGCCATGGGTCTACCCGTTCGTGGACAGAGAACAAGGAATAACGCGCAAACAGCAAAGAGATTGAATGGCAGAATTATCAACCGCAGAAGTTATATGACACAAACTTCGCCAGCCGCAGACATGTGGGCACGATTACAACAACAAAAACCTTTAGAACAGTTCATAGAAAAGTGGAGTGGCCGTCTGTAAATAGTAATGGGACATGAAAGGTTTATTTACCGTGAGGTAGATTTTATAGGGCGAAATAAAACAATTCGCTTAATGTGTATACACTTTGGTTTTTTTAATGAAAACTCACAATGTACTTTATTAAGACACGTTCGAGCTATCGATAACTAGAATACCCGGCACACAAAAGCATATCAGTTTTTTTTCTTTTTTTTTTTTTTCGGGGGGCATAACCATTATTTTAATACAGCCGATCGCAAATTATGATATAATATATATGGCGTGGATATGCTTGAAAAAATTAGCGAAAGATGGGTATTTTCATAAAAATTACTAGTTAAAGAAAAAGGGGGAGGGGGGCTTTGTATATTATCATACAATCTTATATTTTGTAAATGCTATGGGTTTAATCTATCATGTGTTTATGCTTCTAACTGTTGGCCATTTGAACAAGTCAGAAAGCCAAAAAGCTTCTTGAATACACCATTCTTCTTCTTCTTCTTCTCTTCTGCCATTTTCGTTGATGTGATTTGCTGCTGCTGTTGTTGCTTTAAATCATCATGAACAGGTATATTGTGCTTCGTATTGACAGTAGGATCCAGCTGCTGTTGATGGCGTACTTGTTGCTGCTGTTGCTGTTGAGCAGCATTAGAATTGTTGTTGTTGTTGTTGTTGTTGTTGTGAGGTCTACTGGTGTTGTTTCTCTTTTGGTGTTTGTTCTGTTGCTGCTGTGCTGCAAGATGGTAATTTGATCTTCTTGCTCTGGCTTCTTTTAATTGCTTATAACGGTTCTAATGATAGCATATAGCTTAAATTAATTTGGATGTGTATGTACTTGTGAACAGACTAATCAACTTACCTCCCAGCCTTTGCCGTCGTTTAGTAGGACCCAGTCATAGAGACCGTCATCTTGTTCATTTTGACGTTCCAATACTTTATCGAATAACTCTCTCAAAAAGTCGTAATCAGGAGTTTCTTCAAAGCCTAGCTTTCTAACATATTGAAGATAGATACCGAATTCCTCTATAGAGAGTATAAAGCATAAGTAACATAGAGCATACTATAAGAGCATCCATGAATAGAAATTTACCAGGATAAGCCCCACACAAATCTTTGATCGATGTCGTTTGTTTCTTTTCTCCGATTTTCTCATATTTCTGCTTATTAGTTGCTGCTTTCAATCCTTGCCATGGTAGGGAGCCTCGCAAAAAGTACATGAATACATGACCCAAAGCTTCTAAATCATCTCTTCTTGATTGTTCTAAATTAAGTAAACATGAATTTTTTACATTTTTTAAGGGACAACAGAAACAGAGTTTAGATAAGTAAAAACAAAAGGGGCGGAGGTAAGTAAGTACGCAAAGGTCCAAAAGGAAGAAAAAAAAAAAAAAAAAACTTTTATATGACATCTTACCTCTTCCTAAATGAGTATTGATACTCATGTAACGTGCCGTTCCTGATAAACTCCTGCGTTCTCTATAAGGTATATGTTTTTTCGTTTTTGGATCACGGTATAACTTAGCCATGCCATAGTCAACCAAGAAGACCATATTGGCATATTTCGTCCCAGGTCGACCAATTAGAAAGTTATCAGGTTTGATGTCTCTGTATATCAGATTCCTTTCATGAACACTTTGAACACGAGATATCTGGGAAATAAAAATAGTTAAACTTTAAATGTCCTCTCTCTGGCTCTGTCTCTGTCTCTTTTTCTCTGTCTGTGTGTCTATCTGTCACTGTTTCACACACACACACACACACACACACACACACAATCTCTCTCTCTCTCTCTCTCTCTCTCTTTCAAATCCCTTATGTAATAAATATGTTATATTTTCTGGTGTAATGATAGGACGGGACTTACCATTTGTTTCGCTACCATGGCCACAGTTTTGATAGATAATTTGCGATTGCACATATCAAACAAGTCTTCAAGACTAGGACCTAATAAGTCAATAACAAGGACATTATGGAGTCCTTCATGTCCAAAATAGTAAGCACTAGGAACGCCAGCTAAAATAATGATAATTTGGGGAGATGTATGTTAACTATTTGGAGCAGTGCGTATAAACAATTCGACATAATTTCTTGTTTGGTAGTGGATGTTATCAATTTTTACATGTTCCTGCCAATATTTTATAAGTTCTGTATTCATCTCGTAATTGAGGTACTTCTGATTTTCTAGGTTCAAACTTGATGGCAACTGACTGATTGTTCAAGAGATTCAGGCCTTCGTATATAACACCAAAACTGCCCTCGCCCAATTTTTTGCCGACCTGATAATGGGCGCCAACGATAGTGCTGGCTGTAGACGATGCATTACTGTGGCTACTGGATTTATCGACTGGTGTCGTGTTACTGGTATAGTGGTGATGGTGATGATTACTGTTGGATATCTTTTCCATTTGATATGTATTTGAATGTTTTTTTTAAAGATATGTTTTTAAAGAAAAAAAAAACACTCTTAGGAGTAAACAAATATTTATAAAAGAAAAAGGAAAAAGGTAATAAAATAAAAAAGAAAAGCCTGAATCGAACAATTATGAATAAAATGAAAGTTTGCTGCCTCGAAAAAAAAAAAAAAAGAAGCAAGGAATGACCTTTTTTGAGAATGGTAAAAAAAAAAAAAAAAAAAAAAAAAAAAAAAAAAAAAAAAAAACTGGGTTTGAACCAACCTTTGCTTCATTTCCAACTTTGGTATCGTCCAATTACGTTGCAATATTTAATGGATATTGTTTGATTCGCCTTTCGCTCCTATTTTTTTTGCCTCCGCTGTGTAGCAAGATTATTACAATGGTGTAAACAATTACAGGTACTATTGAGCTTTCAAGTTAAAAAAGCCAAGTAGCGAACTACTGTCATCAATGGCATCCTATCTGATTAAGATTTGTTTGCAATTTGATGGACTTGCCGATAGTATTTGCTTATTTGACATTTTGGGACAAAGTTGACCTTCCCCTGACGCTTCACATAACATGACTGTTTCATTGATTTGCTTTCCATTCATCGTCAGAAAGGAAACAAGGACAGTATTATTCAAACACTTTTGTGGAATCTGGAAGTGTATAAAACATATAAACCCTAATATGTTCACCGTACACGTTCCAAACATGCATTATTAACCTATAACAACAGTACCTTTAATTTATCAATATAAGTTTGCCACCTCATATTGGCAGTTTTTACATTATTTCCATGTAGGAGGACAGTAGGGATTGTGGATTAAAGAAATTCCGGACTAATGCCAGAGAAACACAATGTGTATACAGCAATCAATTCGCCAAATCCAGTTAAAGCACGGTATAAGAAATGTTTCGTTGGAGCATGATATCGCTTCTCTGTCTGGAACTTAATCTTATCTAGCGATTGTGGATGTTCTTGCGTTTACGCAACAACCAGAGATAAACAATCAAGGAATGTGCATATAAATGTCAAAAGCTGGTCAAGAACATGATATTGATGTCAGCATTTGGTTTTACAGCTCTATTCATATATATTCTTGCTTTTACTTTTAGCTCTTCATATATAGTCCTCTCTTTCTTTTTTTTTTTTTTCTTCATTTTTCCTCGCTTCCCTTTGATAGATAACTAATTCATGAAGAAAAAACTCTTCTTGGGCTATTTAATAGCGGGCTCTATTATACATCAGTCTATCGTAACTCAGGCTGCGATCATTGGTGGAGACAACAGCAACAGTAATAAAAGATATTATGAATTCAATGTTACATCCGAGTTTATCAACCCAGACTGTCATCATGAGGGCTTTTCTGTTCCTGTCATCAATGGTCAGTTTCCAGGCCCTACCATTTATGCTACTAAAGATGACGAAATAGAGATCCTTGTTCGCAATATGTTAACCGATCGCCACACCAGCGTCCATTTCCACGGAATCAGAATGATAGGCACTCCCGAAGCCGATGGTGTCCCAAATGTCACACAAGAACCTATTTTACCTGGTGAATCCCATTTGCATAAATTCAGACTATTCGATCAATCAGGAACCTTTTTCTACCATGCTCACGTGGGGTTGCAAGATGATTCTGTCAAAGGTGCTTTTATAGTGTACGAATCCAACGAAGCTAACCCGAGCTACAACGATGACGAGTTAACCTACGGTCAGGAGCCAATAGCAAGACCCCATCAGCATCAAAAAAGGCTACACGCTGGCCCTTATAGTTACGATGAAGATAGGATATTACAAATAAGCGAATGGTGGCATGAGTCTTTAAATAGTCGTGAAAATTATTACATGGGCCCACAGTTTCAATTCGATCATGGAGCTGATAGTATCTTAATGAATGGCCGAACCGTCTTCCAACCTGAAAAAATCCTACAACTGCCGAGCGTCACTGATTTGCCAGCTCGTATAACTGAAATAGCCGATCGCGTGCGTTCAGACTCTTGTGAAGGTTATGCTACATTTGATGTAGAGCCCAATAAAACATATCGCTTACGTGTCATTGGTTCCAACAGCTTTAGAACAATCGCTTTCGGGATTAAAGACCACAATATGACGCTCATTGAAGTCGATGGTGAATTAACGGAACCTTTTGAGACCTCTTACTTGGAAGTCTCACCAGGTCAGAGGTATTCTGTCCTATTGAATACCGGTGATTTTGAGCCAGGAACTACATTTGCTATTGGCACCCACTACATGTGGCGTCAACGGGGCCGTGGTCCAACAGAAAATGGATTTGGCTTTATTCGTTATGTTAGTAGTTCCAACAAAGATGACACTACAAACAATGACGACAATGACGAATGCGATGACAGATTAACCAAGCGGCAGCATACCTTAGAAACCCATCGTGATTATGCCTCTGAAAAGGAACAGGCTTGCTTTGAAGGTAGAGGCAATGCTGACTGCGTTGATCATAGCAGGGAGAATGAAGAAAACAGACAACAAGAGCAACCCAGCCCGCGAGGAAAGGATACCAATAACAATATACAGGAACGCGAAAGTGATACATTTGGCAGTGCTGAAGCACAAGGCGATAACAGAAACGGTAGAGCGGGAGGGGAAGGTGATGCAGGACGAGTTGATGCAGTTCGCGGCAGCAATGGTTCTTCTGGGGGCCCTCCTGGTGGGCGAAAGAAGTCCTTTATTGATGTACCTACCTTCCCTCAAGAAGATCGACCCGACTGGTTCTATCATGAAATCCAACCTCTTGCTTTCCGTGACCCTATCATTGATATCCGTGATGATGTTCGTACTATAAAGCTTGCAACGTCTTATGGAAAACAAAGTGATAACACCACTCGTTACTTTGTTAATGGTCGTATCGGTCATCCTATGTCTTTCACTGCCATGAAGGAATACTTATCACAAATAGACCGTAGCATTATTCAACGACCAGACAGTAACAGAGCTTCAGTCATTGTTAATGAAGACATTGATTATAATGAAGTATTAGGCACTTATCGGGTTGCAAATAACGAAGTTGTTGATCTGGTGTTTCAAAATACCGTTAGCAACGTTGGTAGCTGTTTACTACATCCTTGGCATACCCATGGTCATTCTCATTATGTGATCGCCTCAGGAGAAGGTGATTACATTCACGACAGAGACAAACATATACGTAATTTTAGACATCCATTGTATAGAGATACTACTGTTGTGTATCCTTCAAAACCAGAAAATGGGACCAAGGGCTGTGGTTGGACTAAAGTCAGAATTTTAGCTGTAAGTGTGAAATAATATATTGATTTGTCTGTGATATCTCTTTTATTTAAACCCTTTTTTTTTTTTCTCATTTAATCTCTAGAATAATCCCGGCTTTTGGGCTGTCCATTGTCATATAACAACTCACATGCTTCAAGGAAAGATGATTATTTTAGAGACTCCACCTATACCATATTATCAATGACCTTTTCTTTCTGAAAAATCATTTAAATAGAACTTTAAGGGAGCATGTGAATAAAATATACCAACGCAATTTATACGGCTAATGATCTATGAGAGTAGAGAGACCGTTATTCTATAAGAGTATACTGGGCGAGTCGATTTTATTCTTACAATGCTTGACAAAATAATCTATTGTCGATACTATATACTGAAATGTACGCTACGTCTACAAAAGCATCATTCGTTTTTTAATCTTCATCCATAGCATCGTTCTGTTGCTTTTTATTCTTGGCTTGTTCGCTAATAGCTCTCAAAAAGGACTCAACGCTATTACCCGCTGAAGAGGGTAATCCTAATTCAATTAACAAAGGACCTAATTGACCTGTGTTAAGTGCAGCGCTTAAAGATTGTAACGCTTGGCTGAACTGTGAGCTTCTCACAATTTGTTTCACCTCTTCCGCTGATCGTTCACTCTCCTGTGGTAAGAATGGAAATAAAGATGAACAAAGCTCAGGGTCGTTTAATAGCGGTGTTAATGTCTGCGTTGTTAATATGTCATTCAAACTAATAGGTGCCATATCTATTAAGCTTTGTTAGCTTCCAAATTCCTAACCACGTTCTACATTACCACAGTCTGATTTACCTTGATTATTTTGAAAACCTGCAAGGATTTCACGCATTTGTTGCAATTGCTCTGGTGTGGCCTGATAACCAGCGTTACTGCTACCGTTATTTGTAACGGCATTATCACTCGTAGGTGCAACTGAAGTAGTTGCAGACGATTGACTGACAACATTAGTATTATCGATAGCGACTGGTGTTGTTGACACAGGCTCAGTACTCGTATTTGATGTAGTTGCTTCTGTCATTTCTACCTCATCGGTTGTATTTGTATTCACACTTGTACTTTGTCGACTTTGGCTTAGTTGCTGCTCATTTTGCCTTTCTGCTTCCTCTTCGTCATTATCTTCGTCTTCATCTTGACTGTCGCTTGCACCGCTGATATTGTTCAAGAATTGTAACAAGTTTTCAGGCGTTATACTTGGATCTATTTCAAACATGAATGCTGAATGTCAGAAAAACCGGATATACAGTTCTTACTCGACCCCTCAGAATATACCTTGACTTTCAACTCCATTTAAAAGGCGCATAAGTTCGGCATGAGAAGCTGACTCATCTAACTCTGCAGTATTCATATTTGCTTCGGGGTCATGGATCAATTCATTAACACGTTGCACTAGTTCTTCATCTTTTTCTTCCTTTTGTGATTGCATCCAATAAAAATGACGTTCGTTGGAAGTTTTAAATCTGAGTAAATACACGCGTCCAGTTGAGCATTGAGACACTCTTGTGAATTCAGCTTCTTCATGAAATATGATCAGATCCTGCCAATTGAACGAATTCATCAAGCATTAGGTTTCAGTAAAGTAGTAAACAAGAATAGCGCTTGATACAAAGAACTCTTGCTAGGCTTACATCTTCTGGTGTTGCTTGAGGTTTACGTTCACACCAATAAAAGTGCAATAGCTGATCATCACCCTAAATGAGAAAGATCAAGTCGGATCACAGTTAGCTCACTAATGATTTTCACACTAAATCTTCATAATGTGAATGGTCATACCTGATCCATATACACCTTACTATTGAGTTGAGATAAAGAGAGCTTTCATTAGTATTAGGTTTTACACCTCTGCTTCAGCACCATGCTTCCCCTTCGTCTGTTTATTTACCCCTTCCTCAAATCTGGCTTTATCCAGGAGCCTTCTACGATACATTTTCCGGCATTGAATTCTACTAGGTGGGTTTCTCTAGGTGCAGTAGCAAACAAACTCATCCTTATGTTTACAAAATGTTATTATAAGCTAGTCAAGATAAAAAAAAGATAATGAATTATTTAAAGTGTCAAACCATTCTACTTTTTTCTTTTGCATGAGCTACAAATTAATCCAATCATCGGGTAGTCACATAATGGTAGCGTAAAAGTAGATCAAAAATGGATCCAAGCACTCAAAAGAGTTGATGCTGTACAGACTCGCTAATAATTCAATGACATAGGGTTTCTGTATTTTTTAAAGTTGGAGCTTGTACAAGGCGGATTACATCTGTCTTGAAAGCGTGAGGAAACAGAACTGCTGCTCATTGGGGAAAAAAAAAAAACGTTTCCAGCCATCCGAGAGTTTCCCACGATTGCTTCTATACTCGCTGCCTACAGGATAATACACACACATTAGCTTAACCAGACAATAAAGGCTATAAAAAATGGAAAAATGACATGATCGACGTGTATTTCTTTTCTTTATTATTTTCTTTATTTTTCTCTCCACCTTTTCACTGCACTTCTTCTTCTTATTACTATAAAAAATGTTGTATTTACGATATTTAAAGTCATTCTCTCCTTCAATCGTAAGGAAAGCTCCTGTGGCTATAATACATAAATCTGTATTTCTCACGGTAAATGGCATGTCATACACTGGGTGTTTCTTAACAACTTCTGAGCTGAACCAGTATGAACATGTGTGTATACTTTGTTATAGCGTCCAAATCACTTGCGCCTATTCCATAGCTCGTTCAATTTTCAAGCCATCAAACCATTTCTATTAGCAGATATCGGCGAAGGAATAACAGAATGTGAAATCATCCAATGGTAACTTAAAAAAAAAGGGCAATGGAGAAAGTGACAGTTCTTTTTGTAATGGCAGTGCTGAACTTACTGCTCTATCCATGCATGAACAGGTTTGTCAAGCCAGGAAGCACAGTGGCTGAATTTGATAAAATATGTGAAGTACAGTCAGACAAAGCCTCGGTAGAAATATCATCTCGTTATGCTGGAAAGATTGTCAAATTACATCATGGCGTCAACGATATAGCCAAAGTAGGGGCCCCTTTAGTGGACGTTGAGACAGGCGATGACGAGGAAACAGTTGAGGACGAAGGGACTCGTCAGTCATCGACTGAAGAAGAGGCGTCAACCCATAGAGCTGGATCAATGGATAGCAGTCGCGAGGTTACGGAAGTAAAACAATATAGAGACTTGGGTGAAGGTAATAACGGCAATAGTAATCAAAGATCCGTATTAGCCACACCTGCTGTGAGACGATTGGCAAGGGAAAAGGGAGTAGATCTCACACAGATTAGAGGAACGGGTAAAGAAGGTCGAGTTCTTAAAGATGATATTATAGCTTATTGTTCAGGGGCAGCCATTGGAAAAGGTAAGCTAGCAATTTTTGATGGTTACGAGCATCATTTCGGATGTGGTTTGAAGGACTAAAGTTTTCATTTCAGCGCCAATGTTAGAACCTACAGGTGTTGCGTCGTTGTTGACTGAAGACAGCCACCACCAACAACAACAACAACAACAACAACAACAGCAATCTATGGCGATGAATTCTATTCAAAAGGCAATGTTCAAAACCATGACACAATCACTTTCTATACCTCAATTAGGTTTTAAAGATGATATTGAAATTGATGCCACCCTCAAATACCGTACTGCGCTCAACGAGCATATTGCCAACCATCCTACCCGTTATCCTTTCAAGAAAATGTCATACCTGCCTATCTTTATCAAGTGCCTATCTATCGCACTGACTCATTACCCGATCATGAATGCTTCTCTCAGCGGTGACATGAATGATGTTAACTCTATAAAAATCAATTATCGCCCCTCTCATAACATTGGTATTGCTATGGATACTCCTCAAGGCCTTGTCGTTCCCAATATCAAGGATGTGCAGAAGAAAACTATCTTTGACATTGCTCATGAAGTACATCGCTTGTCTGAATTGGGCAAAAAGAACCAGCTGTCTATGAACGATTTAAAGGGCGGAACAATTACAATATCCAACATTGGCACGATTGGCGGTACCTATGCCAACCCTGTCATCGTATCTTCCGAATTAGCCATTGTTGCCCTAGGTAGAATTCAAAAGCTACCTCGTTTCGATGACCATAATAATGTCATTGCCAAACAAGTATTGCCTGTCAGCTGGTCAGCGGACCACCGTGTCATTGACGGTGCGACTATTGCACGTTTTGGAAATTACTGGAAGAATTTAATAGAAAATCCTGCTTTGCTTGCCACTGAACTTCGATAAAAATCCAAGTTGTAGAAATAAAAAAATCTGAGCATTGTCATGTTTCAGTTTCAAAAGTTGAATTTTCTATATTTGCATTATTAACGACATGTTGTACAGTTCATTTGCTTCCTACGTAAAAATAGTTTGCATTAAGCATTTTGAAATGGCGCTATCAATGAGCATAACATTTGTTCGATCCGTAGGTCACTTGTCAAGGGGCAAGTCTATTCTCGCTTCTATAATGCCAGTCAACACATTGAGTGTTTCTGAAACTAAGGTTCTAGAATTCAGTATATTGAACGTTCCTACGTACAGCACCCTTTCACTTTGAGATGATACCATGTAACTTGCTTACACTTCTAAACCAGACAGCATTGTTCGGTATTGAAATTCAATAATGGATTCCAAGATGCTTTTTATCAGTTCCTTGTTGCCAACAATCAGTAATGTTCAGAGATTTTGAGTATATCTCGTACACGTTTTGCTCACTGTTCGTTCGACCCCACCTATTCTTTGGAATAATCAAACATTTTATAGTAGATCAATGTTTTGATCAGTAATTGATACACATTGTGTAAGGATTTGGCCTCGATAAGCAACTTTATTTCTCATCATATACAACTGCTTTTTTTTTTTTCATAAAAGTACAATGTGTATAAATCAGTTCAGATTACATGAAAGAGCTTCGTCTGAAACAAATTGAGAATTAACTTGATATATGTACAAAAGCTTTGTGGAAAAAGCAAAATAAGATTTATAATAATGGAGGTCAAATGAACTATAGATAGTGTGCTCATTTAAACCAGCATCTTGGACATATAGGGACCTAAATAACCAAAAAGAAGAGTTACTATTCAAATTCAAACAATAAAAGCAGCTACATTGAGAATGTCATGAATTACCATCTAGCTCATAACCAAGCTTGGCATAATAATGTCGGACACCAACGCCAGAAATAACACTAAGTTTAACGCTTCCATGCTCTTCTTTAGCAATACGTTCCGCTTCCTCCATAAGCAATGTACCGAAACCTTGATGCTGGAATTTGGTAGGATCTCGATCGTGGGTAGGCACCACCGAACCATAGACGTGCAGTTCTCTAACAACGGAAGTAGGACCAGCCGAAGTCAATTCTGGACGGAAAGTTTCAGGTGAACACTTTCTTAGACGTAATAAGCCAACCAAAATATCTTGATGTGGATCTTCGTAAGAAAGGAAAGTCTCCCAACCTCCATTAGCAACGTAATCTCGACGGATTAATTCCACCTGATTCGGTTTTATCTTTTGGTGAATTTCAGTTATACCAACTTCACGAGTACGAACGTCTCTACACTCTGTGCCCAAATCCTTCATACGGTTCAAGGCTAATTCACGTAAGTTACCATGCTCAACACCAGAAGTAACCAAAGGCATAGGAATATCACGCTGTACACGATAAATACGTGTCCAGGGTGGTACCATAGCCAGGATACGAGCAACCAAATCAATCAAAGCATTAGGCGTATAGTTTTGATATCTCTTTGTACGCCACAATTCATATAGACCTGTGCCACGAATAACCAGTGTGGGGTAAATCTTTAAACCATCCGATCGGAAATTTGGGTTCTCAAAGTATTCTTTGAACTGTTCAATATCTCTCTCAATGCCAACATTGGGCAAATCAGGCATCATGTGCGATACAACCTTAAAGCCTGCATCTTTGGCCATATGAAAACATTCCGTGACAGATCTAACAGTATGGCCACGGTTCGTATCTCTTGCAACATCTTCATATACACTTTGCACACCAACCTCCAAACGTGTACAACCATAACGCAACATTTGACTTAAGTGTGGTTTAAGACAGTAATCTGGACGTGTTTCAATGGTAATACCAACACATTTCGTCAAGCTGTGCTGAGAGTAACGTACTGCTTCGTCCATATCATTACTGCTGTGGCCGGAGAGTGCGTCATGTAAATTCTGAATGAACCAATTTCTATAATCTTCTGGAAGTGACATGAAGGTACCACCCATAATGATATACTCAACTTTATCTACACTATGACCTAGAGCTCTGAGTTGATCAACACGACCACGAGCTTGCTCGTATGGATCGTAGCGTGCTCGAATGGCACGCATTGAAGTTGGCTCATAACCAGTGTATGATTGTGTCGAGTATTCAAAATCAGAATCAGGTCCACCAGGACAATAACTGATTTCAAAGAGTTGCAAATGTTACCATCAATAACTTGTACCATCCAAGCAAATTCATTCTAATCGATGACTTACACACAAATATTCCCTGTCATGGCAATATGAGGACATCTATGAGGCTTACACATTACTGCGACAACAGCAACCTATTGTCACAATCCACATTTTTAGCTGAAGCATTCAACATGACCAGATCAGCAATTGTCCACTATACTTACGCCAGATGCTGTACGGACTGGTTTTGCTTTTAATTTTGGAAGTAGAGTTTGCTTATGTTGCTCAGGTATAGCTGCGATAATATCGACAAGTTTCGGTTGGTGCTGCAATCTATTTCTACGAGAGGCTCTATTCTTAACAGCATTTAAATTCACATCTTTTCCTGCCTCTACTGCTGCTACTACTTCAGCTATAATTTCAGAGCAAGTACGGGCCAAAAGTTCAGCCTTTTGCGTAAAATTAGTCAGCCGATCAGACGTTGATCAGAAAAAGAATGTCTAATGTAATCGGTTGGATCGTCTACCTGAGAGGGGCCTTTTGAAACAAAAATTATTCGTTAATTTTACATTCACAGCTCTCTCAAATCTTCAACATGCACAATCTTTACCTTTTTTGCCTTTGCCAGACATTTCGTTATATATTCAGATATTAGTGTAGGTGGAGAAAAATTACAAGTTTCGTTCAAATTTTTTTTTTTTTTTTTTTTCTTCTTTTTGCTCGATTTGAACTCGAGCTTTGTCCATTAAGAGTGTGACGTTTTCGGAAAACTGGTAAGATGGGGTAAGACTGCAAAACGAAAATCATGCAGAAAGCAAGGAAAAAAAAAAAAAAACGAACGGAAAATCAAAGATTAATTGGCTACCGTTAATACACACAACAACTATTCAAAAGCAGGACGGTTTGCAAGTTTATCTATGTTAGCGGTTCAACCTCTAGTATAATCGTAAATGGTGTTAGTATGCATAATAGCGCTCGACAGTATGAAGCTATCACGAAAGCAAATTGTGAATTTGCAAATTATCAATTTTATTGGCTATCTTGACTTTAGTATGTATACTGATAGAGTATATGAACTATGAGACCGATTTCGAGAAAGATCAATGAAATATGATAAATGTATATGCTATGAATGCGTGAAAGGCACAAACAAAAAATTAAAGAAATGTTGTAATACTTACATGTGAGGTGTAATATCAAAAATTAGAGTTGAGCAGAATGACACATTTGACAGAAAGGTAGTGTTATTGAGGGCTTTTGGCAGTCTTGTTCATTTCTTCATATCTCTTACTCAAAAGGTATTACATCCATCGGCTGTGAGCGCATGTATCGCTCTAATTAGGAAAGGTACGGCATATACATCTGGTAGTAGCAAGTTCGAACAACCAGGCCAGCAGAAGAAACCATGAATTAGAACAAAAGGAGGCGAACCATAACGCTAAAACACAATTGTATGATAGCCAGCAAAAGCATATGCTCAGACAAGACACAAGAGCGAATAACAACTCATTGACTGTAATTTGTCTCTTTATATCACCAAAAGACAAAGAGAATATACTAAAACCAATCAAGCTCAAGTTTTAGTCATAACTTGGCTTCTTTTGCTTAACACCCAATAAGCAAATGGACAAAAAGTGTTAAGAAAGTCTGATAAATCAGCTTTAACATAATCTCGAAAGCACTCTTTTTTTTTCAGTCTAAATAACTCACCTCTCAGTATTATCAACTCGTACCTACCCTATTTATAATTTTGGGCAAAAATGGGGGGCATTCATTGGACGATTTCAATTTTATTCCAAATAAAAAAAGTATGTATACTGTTTTATTCTACTTTCATCCCTCTGAGCGTTAGATACTAAAGTGACGCCAAACGAAGTATATAGCTTACAATACATTGAGCTCAGGCTGAGCTTTCAACACTTATAAATAGTAAGTAATGTCAGAGTCTTCTCAATGGTTACGATTCGAGTGTTGGGAAGGGTGAGGGTGACGTGAATTTAAACAGCGAAGCGTAAAAAGGTACAATAAGATCTTTTAAATCAACCCTTTTCCTTCTTCGATAAATTCAATACTCTATCTTTTCTATAACAACTGGTCGATTCCCATTGCAAACTGACATTTCAAGCATAGTTTATACCTTTTTCGAAGATACATGGCAAACTCCCCAAGTTTACGGTTTCTTAATCACTTTAAGAACGGGAAAGGTGAAAAGAAAGAGAAAAGTGAAACCGTTGCTCCTACAGTTCAGGTTTCAAAGCCTTCAACTCATCAAAGTACTGTTCAGGGCTGGCTCAAAAGTGTACGATCTTATGGACAAGCCACTACAAAAGACCCTATAAGTGTTCCTCTTGATGTAGATAACTACAGGTAAATTGTATAAACAACTGAATATGTCTAATACAATGATAAGAGTAATATTTGCTTACACGCATTTTACTTCTCAAGTAACTTGATAGATAATGATCAAACAAACGATGTAAAGATCAGGCCTGGATCATTAACTTCTGAAGATAGTGTAAATCTGGATGAGCTCATTAACGCCAACTATACCTCTGATGTGGATAATGAAACAGACTTACCAGACCTCGGCGAACTAGACATTGATGACTCGGTGGATGATTTCTGGCGATTGGACAAAGTAATATCATGATTACGCTTTGTGTTTTATATGCAAATATTGAATGACTTTCCCTATAGAATGAATGCAATACGGATATAAACTGTGGGTTCGACCAATATTTGCCCAACAAGGTTAGTAATTCACATTTTGTTTCCACCGCTTAATTATTGATAAGTATGGTTAAGGCGCTTTTCTGTATAAAAATTGTCAGTCTGTAGTGAACGGCTATGACTTGGATTGGAACCCTGAAAATGATAGCACAACGACTAGCAAAACGTCTCTGCCTGGTAAGCCACAATAGCTTGCTAATAACTGAGACTTTCGAGCACTCACAATGAATGATATGATAGCAATTCCGCCTTCTGATTATTCTCTGAGATACAAGCGATCTAGTAGCATGAGTAGTGATAATAGTTCAAATTCACAATCTACCGTTCTTCAATATGCAAAGTATGGATTAACACCAATGACATATCCTTCAGAGTCATCCTCTACATCATCACGCTCTTTAAGCAGACAAAGCAACTACTCGACTGGTTCGTCTAACACGGCTTCTGCTATATCTCACACAAGAGCAAACCCTTCTGTAAATACAAAAACTGGACATAATATACCTTCCCCCAGTGGTTCATATACATTAAGAGAAAACAATACCCCAAAGTTTAAGAATTCTTCATACCTTACCACAACCAAGATTTTACCTTATAAACAAGGATCGGCACAATGCACGCCGTCGAAACGTGCATCACACATACCAACCCCAGCAACACGAACAGTGACACCATCAGCGCCTCAGCGTACCACTCCGACATCCAACAGCAAAATCGTAACTCATAGTAATAATCGATTGATAAATTCCCAACCATCAACTACTGATAGCATAATAACAATTCAGAGGAGATTGCCGCAACGCGCAAGCCATATACCCACGATTCGAGAGACAATTCACCGACCAGGTTCACCCCTACATTATCCTGCAGTAGCATCATCAACAACACGGATGGGTCTCAGGAGCCCCACATCGGAAAGTGGAGCCGTAAGAAATAGCGTATTTCCGTCGCACGATACCGAAAGATCGTCAACACCCACTACAATGAATGGAAGGCGTTCTATGACTCCTACAAGTATGAGGTCAACTAGACTTCGTACTCCGGATTCGAACACAGGGTCAGCAAACGGAAGATCATTACCGAGTCGAATAGGTTCTTACAGAAAGTAAACATACCATCTCAACAAATTGTAAAGCGCTATTATAATTTTGTTACATAATTGATAGTTATGTTGCATCAATTTTTCTATCTTTTATTGCTGTTACAAAAAGACTATTAAAGAAATTATTCAGCATAAAGGGAACAGAAATAAAACACGTTACGAAATTTAAAGAATACATAAACATTGTTCATGAGCTTCGTTATATAGGTGTGTACGATAACTTCAACAAGAAGCTTACAGCACCTTCTATTAAATCCTTTGGCATTTTGTTAGCATGAAGTTGACATACACATCTTCTATTGGGTATTATGGGTAATGAGTAAGGGTTCTTTATAAATTACTACAACTTGTCCGAGCTGGGACTAAGATATAATGCGTTCAATCAGCTCACTTGCAAGTTTCGCATTTTGAAAGGTGTTAGAAGATGTTGCACCAAACGTAGGGTCGCCAAGAGCAGCGAAACCGAGTCTATTTAAGAGAACTTTTTGCGATGGCTTATCCTTCAGCTGTTCGAATGCTGGCTCTGAACAAGCAGTTAGTAAAATAGACTTGACAGATTCAATGATTGGTTGACTTTGGCTGCTGATGACCATTTGATTCATTTTAGGTAATAGTGAATCGTAACTGAGGGACATAATTTCGGTTAATGACTGGCTTATCCACTCATAGGCATAATTTGAGAAAATTAATAACAAATACTTACACCAATGCAAATACTTCGGGTATTGCTATTGCAGCTTCCGACAATAACCCGTATATGAATAATCGTTCATATTCGTTATCTGCAGCAGTTAGCATTGTAGCCAACAAGGAAATCAGCAGTAATGCTGTGGTATTGTCTGGGATGTCCAGCTTATCAAAGATACCAACATAATTCCTGCCGTTCAGACTGTGGCTGTCAATATCAGTCTCATTTAGACCAACAAATTTCAAAAGGTCGTTCACAGTTTCATTCTTTGCAGCCAGAGGTAACAAAGCGGTAACATAGCCTAATGTACTCGCTTCTATGATGCCCTCCTCTTCCGATAAAGGATCGTGTATGATTTGTTTACGCTCGATACCAAGGAAAGTATGCAAACCATGATAGATCGTATCTTTCACATCACTATATCTCAATCCCTTCATAAATATGCCTGCAATTGCAAAGGAAAAATGGGTATCAAAATTGACTCCACAAGAATTTTCTAAATGTCGAGCCACATCGGCGATTGGCGCACGCGCTGCCAATAAAACGTCGATCATGGTATCTTGGGTAAAGAAGCCGTTAGAGTTGAGAGCTCGTGTGACAGCTTGCAAAAATTCTACGGCCATGGCAAACGTAGGTCCAGTGTTAATCTCAACCAAAGCAACTGCAACCCAGAACAACTGCAATAAATAACGAGAGTCACTAGGAAGGCTTTCTACGACATTTTTGAGACACATCATGATGCTTGTAACAAGATTTGGGTCGGAATCATTAAATATGGCAAGTGCGCCTCGTAAAGCCACCAATATTTGATACAGTAAATCATCATCAATTTCTTCTCGGCCCAAGTAGCCTAACACAATAAATGCTCGTGGTTGTACAGCCGGATTGAATTGGAATGCAGTGCTTGCGACAAGACTCATCCATCTTGCTCTCCAATAGTTTGCGATATCTAGCATATGTTTATTTGTTAATATATTGTTATCAATCAATAACATGGCTAAGTGAACATTAACTTACCTGCTGTAGGTGCTGCGTAATTAATTACTTCCAGAAGTTTACTAACAATAATTTCCAAAGAGAGTAGAGATATAGGCTCAATGGTTTCAATAAGCGTTTCAGAGGTGATTGAGAATGCGTTAGCATTTGTTCTGTTGAGACCAAACAGCAAACGGCATTTGGATTCTGACAACTCTGTCAAAATAAGTTGAAGTTTCTTGATATTTGCAGCCGACAAAGGCGTAGACGTACATAATGATTGAATCATGTTGACAACGATCCCATGTACAGATGATCGAACGACTGTATTTCCTACACCAGCTATGAGGGTGACAATATGAAATAGTTCTGGTACGAATCGTTTTATTGGCCCACGGTTATTGAATGTGATCATTAGCGTAAATCGGACCAATATTGCTATCTCTACCCATGAAGGATGGTCCGTAATGAATCGTGTTGGTTTGAAGGATGTACGGTGTATAACTTTCCGTAAATAAGACACCAATTTGGAGCGAACAGTGACATTGGAAAGTGTCACCAATGTATCAGCAAGAGCTTCTGTTTGAGTTGATCCCATACCATATTCAATGGATACTTTTACAAAAGTGTCCACAACCAGATTTAAAATATCGTCGACATTTGCAATAAACTTCCAAATTTTTGCCTGAACAAGCTTTGACATCTATTGCAATAGACAGGAAGATTGTTAATTTCTGTGCGCTATGTGGAACGTCTCAAGAATAATACCTCTCCTGTCAGAGTGAGATCAATTAGCAGCCTAATTAGCTCTTTGATCTTCTCTGTGTCTTGCGGCGAGCGGTTACAATATAACGCCAAATTAGTCAACCAAGGGGTCATAAACATCAGACAGACATAACGCGCTGATTGCTCAGACCTTCCATAAGCCACGATGCATTCATTCAAGAATTCAAAAGTAAGCGCAGGTTCAGTGGCCGCAATCTTTTCGCTTATGGTTACAATGAAATCCGTGCTATTTGCAGGAAGACAGAGATCTGCATAAGCAAAACAATAAACAAAAGACAATAAAACTAAGTACTCGGTTCTTTTACTTTTACATGTGTTCAAAATTTACCTTTTGCATCGAGAAGTTGCTTTCCCACGTCAAAATTAAACACTCGACTTAAAGCGTACAGCATATTATAAGAGGAGAGTCTCAAATTGGGGTCGTTGCTTCCTAGATTATACAGTGCACTACAAAGCAATCGACCAGGAACATCACTTGGCTTAATGCTACGTTCTGTTATAACTGATGGTCTTGACATGTCGTATCTACGCTTACTATGGCGAATCGTCTTACAATGAATAGTGTACTTAGTAATGTTGAAAGGTCTAAAGGTAACAACAAAGAAAGCTTACATTGATGATGGCTTCTCTTTTTGGTGAATTCAATACTACAACTGAGTTTTCTCGCGTGCTTCTATAACTAAATGCATAGGCGCTTTCTGCTGAATATCGTTCCTGATGAGTGATAGCAATATCCTCAACTTCAGAAATATGATATATGTCATTGACTATAGCAGTCATCCCGTATAGTATTTCTTGTTTGCGGACAGTCATTATCTGAACATACTCAGCACTGACTTTCACAGTAACTGGTAGCTGCGTTGAATAATTCACTACTTTGTTTACTGGGAAGAAAACTGCACTCGGATCGGTCTCGAGAGCAACTGCAATCATACCCCTTAATTTTAGTAAAAGGATGAATATCCAATATTACGAATAAAAAATTATTATTACCTGTTAATTTTGGTAGTCTTAATTCTGCTTTTGAGATATATTCGTGAAGCTCGGAAAGCGTCACAGCAAACTGTATACGTTTCAAAAACCTATGTGAAATAGGCCTTGTCAATTTCTTAATGAAGGATCTTAAATAAGAGTTCGGATTGTAAATGTAGCAAATTGTGATGTTATCAGATTTTTCGTCACTCAGCAATTGCATAAGCTGCTGAATCCACTGAGCAGGTATTTCGTTACATTTGCCGAATCTTGTAAAATCGATGAGCAATTCATATTGTCGGTTAGCAGCGCGTTCAAGCGTTTGTAAAACATGGTAGATCAATAGTTCGAAGTCAATGTTGTCTGCATTCACGTGGCGTAAAATCAGATAGAAGACAGGACGCCCAGCTCGTGAAACACCACCTTCGTAAAAGATATTTTTGGAAGTGACCGCTTCGACATTTCGACGACTGTTTCTTCGCATGAAGTCGGCATACAATTGATTAGATGCAGCATAAATGTTACCTTGTGCTGCAATAGGTTCGTTTTGTATAACTTCTGGTGGTCGACCAAGCTGTGCTAGTAAGTTTGCAAACTTGTCTAATTCACGCTTTAAGTTACTCAATGAGTCTGGCTGTTCGGGATACTGGTGAGTTTTGGCAGAAAGATCGCGAGAGACGCGTTCCATGTTATCATATAAAACACGGTGAAGCATAGCATAAGATTTTTCATTCATTTGTAGAGCTTCTAAGGAATCGTCAGTAGCTGAATTATCGGGAACAGTTGATACTTCACGTAGGAAGCTTGCAACTTTGTATATGTTACTCGTTAGAAAGTCGTTCAAAACAATCATATATGTTTCCTTGGCGCCAAACAAAACATTATTAGCAAGATTTTGGATAATCTTAGTAGCAATCAAAAAGCCTCTTCGCATTTCACGAGAAATTGATGCGGTATTCTTAATATGACCTTCAGTTTCCGGTGATACGATGGCTGGACAGAAGAAACGCAAAAATATGAAAGAGCCTACTGCTGTATATTTAGCCTCTGGAAATCGTTCTCGAACCGTGTCTAGAATGAAGTGGCAAACTTCGCGAAACGATATAGGGGCTTGACTCGCAGAAGAGCAAATAGCATTCAAAAACATCTCTGTCGCTTCAATCACATTCTGTCTATTTTTGTTGATATCTTCCTCTGGCGCAATTTTCGACGGATCTAGTTCGAAACATTTATCTTCGCGAGGACGTTCTAAAAGTTTTTGAAATACAGGTAATAACACTGCTCGTACATATTCCGTTCCACAATTTTTTGCGAAGGCTGAAAGGAGTCTTGTTGCAATACTGGTCTTCCTGAATAGGTCTGTTTCATTTTCTGCATGTAAAAATAGTACCTGGTCATTAGTAATAACACAGTATTACTATATCATTTCAATGTTTCCATACCTGTGCTTTCAACTTCTTTACGAATAGAAGCTTTGATCAAGGGCATTGCTTTATTCCGAGAAGCAAAGCAAGCTAATAGGGAGTTTGCAACATCATCAATGTCAGATGAGGGGCAAACTGTGCATAACGAAAGTGCAATGCTCAAATCGTCTTGGACAAGCATCTGGGGAGAATAAGCAATGAGTATAATGAAAATTCAATTCAATGGTAACTATAGATACCCACATCTATTAGTTTTTCATATCTGTCTGTCATGACAGTTTCGGATAGATTTTCAAACTTGGTTCCTTGGTTCAAAATATTCGTTAGAACTTCCATGAAGGCTGTTCTGGTACGAGTATCTTCATGATATCCCATTTGGAAGGAGTATTTCAATCCAGCATCGACATTAGCACTGAGCAAATTAGAAAGTGCTAAAATTGTATAGTTTTTTAAAGGGGCAAGTTCGGGACCCTACGAGAGCAATAGTACAACATGGTTAGTCTTTGTTTCGTAACCTTTTTCTAAATGTAACTTTACGTTTCGGTATTGCGAATCATAGGGCTTAGTTTGAGAGTTTGCTTCAATCTATTTGCAACAGTTTAATGATTATATTTTGGATCACTGAAGAGATGCTGTTGTAAATTCATACCTCTGCGATACGACATCGATTCAATAGTTTAAAAAAGTAAGTAAAATATTTGTAAAAGATTCTACTTTTGACAGCAAGTGCGTCAGATTCAACTACAGGTTCGGAAGGTTGCAATGGTAAGTGACGAAGCAAAGCAACAATTGTTTTTAAGCATGCTAGGTCCAAATCATTCTGTAACTTCTCCATCTGAGAGGCTTCATGGTTCACAGACTGATTAGCATTGTCGGGTTTCTATGCAAATATTAGAAGCTGCTTGAAGATAAATAATATACTAATGCATACTAACCAAACTAAAATCACTGGTCCATTCCACGATTATTTCCAGCAGCTTATTCCTCAATTTGAACTCTTGACGTAACGTGACGCTTTCCCTTTTCAGCATCAAGACTTCGACAAGCTGACACATCTTGATTTTAATTTTGATTGATGCTTGATTTGTTCCTAGTTTATTCAAGTAAAATGCGTACTGACTTATCAAAGTACTGAAATCTACTGTGAATAGATTTTCGGTTTTATCCGACAGACGATCGAGAACTTGCTTTAAAACAGATATGGCCTGTTCTACAAATAGTGTATATCGTGGCCCACAAGAAGGATTGTTGTCGTTTCCAAAACACTTCGACAGAGTACCTTCAAGATGGCGGAACATAATGTGATAAAGCGCTGGAGAAAGATCGTTACCTAGAATCTCACGTACCCACTCGCGTACTATCAAATTGTCGCAAGCAAGCAGTTCTACCATTTCCAAAACGAATCTATCCACCATTGTTGATTTGTCAACTGTTATCAGCGATTCTGTTGAAACTAAAGTATGTCTGCTATGCCCATTGTATACGCTATCTGTCGTGCGGGATCGATTAGGTGTCGTTGGCCCTGTCAAGCTTTCCTGAGAATTCGCCATCAAGCAAACACCGCCCAACGCAGCTAGAAAACCAGCATAATTTTGCCATTCAGATGATCTATCATCATCAATAAAATCGAAGCGGCTAGCTGACGAAGTGGGTATCAATTGTCTCGAAGGAGTACTTCGAATTTTATCATGCCATCCTCCCGCCTTTCTGAGGTCCACAGGCTCATCTTTGCTTTCTTCTATCGTACGGGCGATCATAGGCGTCATGAATTTCCATCTTTTCCATGCCTCTTCCCAAGCTGCCAACATTCCAGGTGAACTATGATTTATTGTTCGTAAAATACGTCGAATGCGACGCTGTTGTGATTTACGACCAGCTACTACTCCTGACTGGTTAATTAGCTCTGTATAGCACGCAAGGTTGTCGACAAATGTAATTGACGAAGGCTCTGTATCATCCAATCGAACTGTTAGATGAACTTCAGTACAAAGTAGGTCAAAGCAATCAATCGCCAAGGTGCATATGTCTGCATCATGAGAGCACAATAAAACCAGAAGCGCAACTTCTAAGCCAATTGAGGCCTGTAACCTCTCTCTTGTATCTATATCATGCGTTGCCACATCACGATGTTGTTCAAGAAACCTGTTGCGAGATGAAAGAAGTTTTTTGAGCAAACTCAACAATTTTTTCAGGCCAGCTTCTCTTTCTCTGCTATCTAATAGCTGCTTAGCCATTGTAAAAAGGACTTGGGATGATATTTTCCAGAACGACTCCATAAACCTGTCAGGCCTTCCCCACAGCATAATATATTCAGGGGTATGTAATTTACATATACATTCAGCAGCAGACTCTCGAACAAGTGCGCTCTGTGCTTTTAGGCAGTTTGTCATAGCCACCATTAATGCCGCATTTCGTTCAAATCTGTCATTACCGTCACTCTTTTTTGGAAATAGAACTGTAAATTATACGAAAACTTTCCGAGTTTTAAAGGATCTTTTGATCGCTTACCAATACAGCAAATTTCGGGTCGGTTTGATACAAATGTAAAATATCCAAAATGACGTTCATAATGAGTTCAATTTTTTCCTGGCTTCCTGATCTACCTTCTCTTTTTACGGTGCGCTTCTCGATATTTGCTGCTTGACTTTTCCTAACTGAAGAGATATGTTGGACTGGCCCATCAAATTTGTCCTTAAAATCACGATCGTAAAATTCGAGAAATAACTCTCTGATTCGATTGCATAAAGGTGTATATAAATTGGAACTATGTGGAATCCACGGTAATCGATTTTCGTCTGATGCAATCGACAATGCAGCTTTCACTACACTTATTTTAAAAATAGTGGGCGCATTCTCATCAAAGCATCTTGGTATAAGCGAATTGATAGTTTTGTCAAGATCTAATCTGAACATAGCTACAATGCAATCGGCCATCAAGGCTCTGTGATCAATGAAAACACCAATGCTATTTGATAAAGATTCTATGTCTGTTTGTCGATGGGGGTCAAATAATTTATCCGTTAGTTCGTCTTCTATATCAGGTATAATTTCTCGAAGCGTTGCTATAGTGTGCTTCACTGCATATGTTGCTATTCTACAAAGATCCACGTAACATATAGCCGCCAATTCGCCCATTTTTTCGCCTTTCATCGCTTTTCGTAGATTACCAAAAAATGCAACCTAAAATGAACTCATAGTATATCAGTAATCTGCCCCTAATGTAACTTAGTAATTCAATGTCTAACCTTCCTGTTTTGAACTCTTCCAGTAGCAATTGATGTTGATAACATTATATCAGGACAAAGCGCTAATAGCGTTGTTTGTAAAGGCCAAAAAACTGCTTTTCGCTTTGTTGTGTCAGCCAATGAGTTGAAAATATCAAATAAAATCTCTGGTGAACCTTCCGCTCTGTTGTGTGAGCGAACTAAAGAAACGAATTCGGCGGTATAACTTTCCATCCAATTCAAAATTGCTCTACGTAACAAAACCGCAATGGATAATTGAGTCGCTTTTTTCAAATGTAAAGTTGAAGTGCATAGTTCTGCCAATCAATAGAAACGGAATCAGTATGTCTGAATTTGATTTCCATTAAGTTCCTTCAACTCACCAGTAAGCACCATGCTAAGCCTTTTGCAATTCAACGAGACACACTCTAGCAACATCACATCTGATATTTCGGGATTTTCTTCCTGTGTGGTTGTCAAAAACAAGATTCTGCTCTTAATTTTACTAAAAGTTATTGGCCAATTACTAGCACTAACATATGCTACAATATGACCGGCTGCTTTATAAATGTCAGCCATGATTGGGGCAGATGAATTATGGCCTGTGTGACAATCCGTGCTACAGGCGGTAGCTGCATGATTTGCCACTATGCCATATTCGCGTTCCTCAAGAATGCCAGCATAATTGATGAAACGAGTCATTACATAGAGAATATGTTTGGCCAGTGTGTCTTCTAATGGTGGCGGATCGACAGGCGCTGCTGGTACACGATCAAATGGAGACTGAGTATCATCGACTGCTGCATCAGTCTTGTTTAAAGATGCGCTTCCAGGGGTGTTGTTATTGTTTGATGCATTCCCGTGTCTATTGCCTGGTTGTTGGCAGTATTTCCAATGATGATGCATGCATGCAGATAGCATTCGTAATAGGAACAATTGTGATTGTAAAACATCGTTCGAAACGTAGGTTTCATTCTTTGATGAGTGAAACTAGATAATTTCAATGTGTGACAATAAATCAGAGTCCTCATCGACTTTTTGTATTTGTGTCTTTGGCGATTAATGATTTGCTTCTTACATTCGAAATGTTCTCGAGAATTGTGATTATAGTTGTCGCAATTGTTGGTAGTCTATACTTCGACAATTCAATCAAAGCAGCCACTATAATAAATTATAATTCAGTTAATTGTTATGGTGTAAGCGTTTTTCCACATACCCCTATATAATATAAAAGTTATGTTATACATTTAGAGATTAGAGAACATTGTAACGAGGTCAAGAAAATTAGTTACGTCTGTTGGATTAAAGGATCGGTTTCTAGCGTTTCTAGTTGTGCATCGTTGTTATTCGAAAGCTATCAATGAATATTTAACACGGGTTAATGTTTCTATGTTATCGTCTTGCATTCATTTCACATACTCGAACGGCTATGCGATGGACGAGATTTAGAATGAGCTTAGTGTCGGTACCCATTACAGCAAAGCATATATCGTAAAAAGTAAAAGCCTCTGTGTTAGAGTAAGGAAAAGAGCGGAAAGGGGCTAATAGATCAATTCAAAGAAATGCTATGCCAGCGAAGAACTGGTGAAGCACGGAAAAAAAGGGAATGCTTTTCAATATATGGAGAAAGGGTCAACAGACATAAATTCTGGTCTTTTTTGGTAAATGGAGAACTTTAAAAAATACCGAAAAAGAAGCTGCTGTAAAGCAATTTTCAAATTCAACTGTCAAACTGAGAGTATCTGGTGGCACAAGCCGTTATCTGATTTAAACTAGCTATTTATACAGATCCATTAACTGAAGAGGAACTAGTCGGACTGATCCCTGATATGAAGACAAGTGAAGTGCAACATTGACTGCGTATATTACATTTCCTGAAGCCGTGTACATCAGAAAAATCGCGGACGAATGTTATTAGTTACGTCCTACCATTTTATTTGATGGTATTGTAAACGATCTGCAAATGTACAAGGTATCAGAAATACGTTAGGAAATTGGTACCAATTTTCAGTTCTGTTAATGCACTTAAAGTTGATGCTTCCTCCATGTCAAGCTTTTCGACTTCCAGAAAAGACTCCAGCTGGGTTTTTATGACTATGACGGTAGCAGAGTACCGTCGAGAGGTGCAGCTACGGAATTGAAAGTGGTAGCGTTCAATTTCTTTTTCAACCATGATTAATTAGCTCAACTTTGCGCAACGTTGGTCGCACGATTTAATCATAAGTTGTACTTATTGCCAGCTGTTGAAACTGTCAGGGATAACAGCCAAGATTATATCAGCACCAGAAACTACTGCTACTACAGTCGAAGACGTCGTTGCTGGAACAACAGTAAAAGCAGCAGAATTTGTAGGAACAAGAGCTACAACACCGGCAGCAGATGACCATTATCAAGGAGAAATTCGAAGGATGCAAGCAAAGCTAGCTGATTTGGTTGATACTCTTGCAAACGTGCATACTGAAAAGAAATGAACCCTTTATGCTATAGCAAATTTTCGACAGATACACCCACAGATACGAGCGGATGAAAATGCTAAAATCGTTGAACAGAATATCAAAGAACAATAAACGCCATATTTTCAGATGAGGGTTTCCAATTAAAACAGCAGGTTGCGGACACTAGACAGTCGCTATACAATCTTCGTTAGAAAACAATAAGTAAAGCGAAACCAGCATTACAAATCGGAGGGAAATGATTGACTTTGATTCAGTAGAAGAAAATGCATTACTCTCAGTAGCTCTTGGAAGATATAAATTCTGAGGCACTGATAATGGGTTAGTGTTGATGACGGACGCGGCAAAATTGCCTAGGAACGATTTCAATTCTACTTGGGTTTGTGTATTGCGCCTAAGGACCGTGCAGCTTATAAAAGGAAAGAGAACGGTCAGAAGTGTCTCTATTTAGAGAGCGATCATTTGAAACGTTCAGTAAAAGTTTGCAATACGGAAGTGGCGTCCGAAAATGGTTGGAAAAGGTTGCCGACACAGAAAAGAATGTCGATGATCAGTCTGCAGATTGAAGCAGATATAAGCCAGCCTTATCTTTCAAATGCAGTAACTGGAACAGAACTGGAAGCGCGGTATTGCCTAATAAAGTTTAACAACAATCACATAAAGACTTCTACTTCTCTGACAAGTTCAGAAATTTTGCCCGCAATTCTTAGCTTCAAAAGCGCCTTAATGTGCAGTTTTGTGTTAAAGAGCCCAGATATATTAATTGATCAACCCCACCAAAAGCCAGTAATGTTTGTAGGTGATAGAGGATACGAATCGGCTAACTCTCAAAGGTCATTTTCGCTATGGTAGATCCTGCAAGCTAAGAATACATAGTTATTTCACTATAGTATGTATTTCTTACTAACGAATTCAACACAAGTCAGGGGCTTGTAGTCTACTGCTTTAAAAAGGTCCTTCATCCTGTCGCAGTCGTAGAAAAAACGAGCCAAAAAGAATTACGAACCATTAGGGTTCATTTCTCTGTGTTAACCCCTTTTCTGTTCGAGAATATATCTCAGAAATGAAAGATAGAATGTATTGTGCCTATTTTACTGTGATTTGTGGCTAGTCAAACGAAGCATATCTCAACCGACTTTTGAGTCTCAAATGAGCCTTAAGTTGCAGATACTGGATTTTGAATGTCGACAAATAGGTATCTGACATAGCATCTCCAAATACATTGTCAAAAAGATCAAAAGACTCGGATTGAATGGATGCATAAATTGTATTTGTGCAATAGAGACGATAAATGAAATTGTCCATAGTTTTGTTGCGGCATCATAACACCGGCTTTTGATATCCATATACATATTATCGCAGCTTGACAGGAAAACGTGCATTAAAGCTAATTGTTTTACAATAACTTGAACTCCATAATGCAACGATTAATAAAGCCTTAATAGAGTAAATAGGAAAGAAGATAGATAAAACTATGGGAGAAGACATCTCGAAGCTCGAACGCTTATTATGCACTGAATGCCAATAAAATTGCAGTTTCAGTCGTTGGTTTATTGCCCATTTTACTTTTAGAGGTGCCCACCCATTTTTAGAGGTGCCCATATTTACTTTTAGAGGTGCAGATTTCATTCTATAATTCCAAGTTACTGCAATATGTTGACCTTTGGCTGAGCAGATGTTGTCAGAGATCTAAGGTTACTAGTTGTATTATATAAATTTCTTCTTTCCATGAATTTCTTCTGTCGCCCGAATTGCGATATCTAATAGCATACATCTGATAGGTCTAAACATTTGTTTTATGAAGTTTGGCAGGCTGAATGGAACAATACTACAGCTTAAGCCCTCCAAAAAATGGTCAATACTTCTTAAGCAAGCACAACAAGTATTCCATCGGCGGCTATGACGATATCCCATTCAACATAACTGAAAAGATTAATTGTTTGACTAAAATCTCAATAACTCTATTTTTATACCGCTAAAAAGATAACCTCAATTGCTCATATCGAGACTACCTAGCAATGTTTTAAGAGCTATGCGTAACTTCCAGTCAGTCAATCTAAACAAAAATAAAAAAAAAAAAAATCTTTTATTAAAACTGAACAGCTTTCCATTTTCAACTGAATGTAAAGGTGCATCATGAAACGGCAGTGCAAAGAATACAAGACGTACATTTACTTGTTAAAGTCCGTGTAAATGAAGCAGAATGTGCCAAACTTGGCAGTAAATTGTGGGGCTGGTATACACATTTTATACATAAAATACACGGTGTTTATTATTTTACAGCGATTCTTCGGCTCATATATTAAGTTATGTACTTGTTAAATATGTATTTATACTTCAACTCAATGCTTTTACTTTTGAATATAAATTTTTTAAGATATGATAGATGATAGTTATGTTTGCACTGCTATTGTAAAGGTAACAAGAGGCAATCTACGGTAATCTAAGTTATTGAAAAGGTGTTTGATTATGAAAATGACCTGACATGGCCGTATTACGACCTCCCGTCACATTTGGTGCGGTATAGCCTGGTACAGGTGTTTGGAATGGAGTTAAATTGTTATTGTAAGCTGGTGAAGACGCTCTTGTTGTTTGCGGAGGGTACATCATGAATGACTGGTTACTACCAGCAGCAGTCATGTTGGTATATTGACCCATGGGTCGGCTCGTATAACTGTGCTGACTATAATAAGTGCCATGGCTGTAACCTGACTTTTGAGAGCCGTAAGATCCAACTGACATATTATCATTAAACATACCGCTACCCCCATTGAAGTCATCATCATACATGCTCTTTTCGTATTCATCCCACGTCATTACAGGAATCGATTTGCGATCAAATTTGCCTTCATCAGCCATAACCACCTTCTTGCCCTTTTCTCCCATAACAACACGTGTATTACCCCACGAGAAATCGTCAAAGTGCCAATAAGCGTATATGGGAATCATGAATGAGAATACAGGAATAGCAAAGATAGATACAATCATCCACATAATATACTCCCATTTTCGATGTACCAAGAAAATGATTGCCTGAAGGCCGTAAACACCAGCAATAGTGACAATGGACATAATAGGCACACCAGAAGTTGAAGTAGCCAACATGTAAATAAGATATACAAGATAGCCGACAATAGCAGGCTGTACCAAAGTACTTAACAAGTCCAGCATAACCACAAAACGCATAGAAAAACAGCAAAAACCGCAAAGTTGAGGTAAGAAAACCAGTTCTCCCAAATTATGGATAGTTGAATTGATCCAACGGCGACGTTGTGATAGTAAAACGCTCCATTGATCTGGAGCGTTGGTTGCACACTTAGCATCTGATACGAACTTGGTTTTGTAACTGGGAAAATGCTTTAAGATTAAAGTAGTCAAATAACGGTCTTCACCGAGGTGTAGCAAATTCTTCTTATGCAGTGTATCAACTTTGTTGATAGAATAGTCTTCAATGATTTGGTTGGATACTAGAAGAGGTTTGTTCATTTGAGGTGATCGAATACGGTACATAGAGAAACAACCAGGCAAACAGGTGACAGATCCAAACAAGGATTCGAAAGCCTTAATCAAATAGTGAGAAATAAAATATTCGTACACTTGTATCATCGTCACCCAGGTGGATTTTTCATTAGACAAAACAGTTTCGCCGCATAGCCCGATAATTTTGGAATCGTGTGTAAAAACAGACACCATTTTGTTCAGTCCATCAGGCATAACTTCAGTATCAGCATCCACCATGAGTATAAATTCATAAAAGCTTGGATTTACGCCAATGACGTTTTTAATTTGATGGTACAGTTCAAGTTCAAAGGGTGTCATTGGCGAATTAAAATGAACCTTGTTTAAGAAGTTCATCAAAATAAGCTGACTATCACGTTTACCACGATTACCCGGCTTTTGTCTTTCTGTAGGCTTGCCCACTTTACTCACTACAATGTACGGTACGACGTGACCATGTGTTTCATAGAGACCAGAATATATTTTAGCCATGTTGTGTTGCTTCTGACCTTCACCAACAGAAAAGAAGGAAAGAGCTTCTGGATCAATACTAGGATCCACACCCAAAATGTCGAGTACAATGCGCGGTGTAGGACGATCATTACCACCACCGATAATCATACCATCGCAAATAATGAATAGCAACTTGCGTGTATCGTCATATTGCAAAGCACTGATGGAATCAATGGTTTTCCTCAGTTCTTCTTCTCCTTCAGTATAGCAGGGTACTTGACAAATAACGAATTTTTCGTGCTTCTCTGGTTCGCGACGTGAGCGAAATTGTAAAGCAGCCAAGAATTTAAAGACAATCACCAAACAAAGAAAGACAGTGACAATAAGCAGCAAATATTCCGCAAACAAACAACGAGCTGAATTACGTTGGTCTACAGCGCCTACATAATATAGATTTCTCAAGCAAACCTCTTGCCGAGACTTGAGTGCTGGATCCAAAGGCAAAGCATTCCATGCTTCTGTAATATCTTGACCAGCCTTCTGCTGAAATAAGGTTACCACAGCATTGTCCAGGAAGTTTAATTCGGAAGGGTCTGGAGATGCGACGTTTTCAGGAAGATCAAACCGGCGTCCACCCAATGAATAATATGTCAGATCATATACATTACCATTTAATATTGCCCATTGTCGTGTTGTCTTGATACCAGACATATCTACTGGATTGGTTGCTTGTGTTGCTATATCTTTTGGGGTGAAGCCCATGGCACCAAGCTTGTAGTTTTTACGCAAATAAGTCATTTTTTCAAAATACCAATCAGGACGTGGATCTCCGCTATTGGGTAGGAAATTATGATATCGAGCATTGGAATCTGTCAAGTTCGCATTGAAGTCCAGGGAGACATACGGTGATACATTGCCTGTCACACCTTGACAAAGAGCAGAAACTTGAACTGGGAATAGCGGGGAGACATCCTTGCCACCATATTCTAGAATGGCACTTTGAGGAATGACTTGGCTGGCCCAATGGTGTGGTGCAAATTTCGTTAAATCGAAGACTTCACCTCGAATGGCAACATATGCATTATCTTTATCTGAATGGCTCTGTAATTCTGAAGTAGAGAAAACGTCTTGATGGGGGCATACCAATGCACCGAAAAAAACAAGGAACCATATAATAAAGCCCGATGTCAAGAAGATACACAAACAAAGAGTCATTTTTTCACGCCATGCAATTTGAATATCTGGACGCTTCATTTTACCACACATAACTAGAAAAGGTGTAGGGATCCACCAAGTCATGAACCATACAAAATTGAGCCAGTGGCGACGTGCACGTGTTGGTTTTTCATCTTCATCTTCTGTTGGGCCAACCTCTTCGACTACAGGTGTGGAAAGCATATGCTTGAGTTCAGGATTTGTATAACTGTTGTGTATGCCATACGTCTCAGAGCCGCCGAATTGCGATTCAGTATCATGATAACTACTGTTTGTTGTTGCACCCTGCCGATGCTGCTGGTTGTGGAATTCATCGTCAGAAAGGAACGACCGTTGATCATCAGTATATACAGATCCCGATGCAGAATTAGGGTTTCTAGGTAAGGGAAGTCCAGCAGATGCAGCGGCAATAGCAGCAGCGTCGTATCGTCCAGTGTTTTGCCCTAAGGGCGTGTTCACAGCAGGATTTAAAAATTCTGTATGCGAGCTGTAAGACATATTGGATAAAGTTTCTGAATTTTGATCTTCTCCTTCCAGATTCATGATAGGTGCAGCAGCAGCAATTGTACCGGTGGCAATTGCCGCCATGTTGTCATTTATCCGTTTTTCATCCTTTAATTTTCGTTGTTGAGCTTTTTCTTCTGTACGCAATATATCCTCAAGCAGCTCCCATACAGTTTCGCATAAAAAAATCTGAAGATAATAAAAACTTTTGTCAGATTATAACTTGACCAAAAGAATTTCAATCAGAAACAATTACCTTTGAATTGCCCAAAGCAACTTGTTTATCAGTCCATCCAAAAAGGGTGATAACTCTTTGACACTTTTCTCTTGCATTGGCATCTTCTATTGCGTCAATCAACTCTTGCTGGCCTAAAGGCTGCTGATCCTGTTTTTTCGCTGAGATTATATTTGCGTAACGTTCCAAAAATTCTTCAAAGAACAGTATATTTGTATATTGAACTTGCAGCCGTTTACAAAGCTGAGGTACACCCCAAGCTCTGATTTGGTTTCGAACACGATGACTATCAAATTGGTTTGGTGCTGCACTATCATTCGGTTTGATACAAAGGACAAACCAAGGAATTGTTTCGTCCAATGTTTTGAATAATTCGTCAAACGATTTATTGATTTGCGATAATACTGTAGACACCTGATTCTTCTTTCTCGATGATGGTTTCTCGTTATTATTATTATTATCCTCTTCCATAATGACTGGCGGCTGCAGTATTGAACCTCTACGTTTGGTTGATTTTGTCCTGCGCATGGAAGGGCCCCTTAGAGGTCCACTCTTTTGTTGAGCATTAAGAATAGCTGCCGTTTGTTTAGGATGTGTTTCAGTCTGAATACTATCGTTCGAAAATAATTCAACGACAAAGTGATTATAGGATGCAGGAGCTGTATCACTTCCACGTATTAATTGAACTAAATCCGGATTAAGAATATCCTTATTACTTTCTAAGAAACGTGAAGGACTATAAGTCACTTGGCCGGCAAAATGTTGAATGGCAAATAGTTTTGCTCCCGTATCTGCTTGTTTTATAGCAAATGATGCATGCTCATTGTTGTACTTTGCAAATGTGTCGATAATATCGCTATCAGATACAGGAGATGAGGATGAGGGTGATTTTGCATAATGATTTATGATATCGGTTAAGCCTTCTCGTCGACGCGTCAATAATTCTACACAAGCTTGGTTATTGAAGTAAGGAACTTCTTCCGTAGCCAATCCGTCAGATTGATATTCGGCCACGTCAACTTCAAAAATTGCTTTTTGCAAAAAATGCTGCAAACGCTCATTAGAAAGATTGATGCAGAATGCGTTGAAATCTGCTATTGATGAAGCTGAGAACCCTTTACCGCCGCTGTTGTTTGAAAACTGAAGTCTCGGCCCAGGTAGATCAAGAATACCTATGAAGTTGTGAATTGTGTTGAACGACAACCTTTTGTTGATGTGTTCCACAAGCCATGTAAACAATAAAGAATAGAGTGATTTTACAATTTCATCTCTTTGTTTGGAGGCACCTGATGCGTCCAGAATAAGTGTTGTTACATCCTTTTTGATGAGTTGAGTTTTGTAAGTGAATATATCCTCTAGAGCATGGGGATCAACACCTAGAAAATCCGCACATAGGTTTAATTCTGCTTGATTCTTCACAAAGGCAGACTCTTGTATTGTATGGTCATCCACAAATTCAAGTTGGCCAAGATGCAATAAGCAAGCCAAGAATTGCCAAATACGAGCTTGATATTTTTTATGGATGCCGAGTATTTTCATGGCTTGCTTAATTGCTTTGAATTGCTCTGCTTCCCGACCTGCTGCTGCCATTTTTCTAGGTACATATCTGTATTGAATATCGTCGTTGAGTTGTAAAATATGCTTCTCTTCTGCTGAAGCGCCAGCCAGTAATTGATAAAATATGTGGAAGGTTTGTTCATGCTGTGGGCATTCGGTTACCCGTGATTTGTCCAAGAGATAATTAAGAAGCATAGCGCCTACCATACGGCCCCGCTCATTAAACTGTAATTCCATGTATTTACCAAATTTAGACGCATTGTCATTCAAGACAGTCCTAGCATTACCAAACGCTTCCAACAGGATTTGTACATTGTTGATTTGGGTTTGCAGCTTGGATTCTTTTTTGTGTGATGACAGCTGAATCAGATGGGATAAAATTGTTTTGAAGAACTCTGTTTTTCCGCTTCCACTTTCGCCACTATTCAGTAACAAAGGCAAATAATTTTCAGTATAGATCTCTTACTGAAGCTTTTTTTGGCCTGTCTCCCCATTTTGCTTGTCACACCAAGTCCCCCCTTTTTTTCTCTAAAAATATAATGATAGCAGGATTCAACAGAAAATGGCAGATCGCTTTCTAGCAAAAGTATATTGAAGGAAAACAGGAAAACCGCCCTCCCAATGAATTATCTACTCTGCAGGCATACTTACCAAAGTATAAGAGACTGATCAATACCAGTTCTTCGCATATGTAGATAAGCCTGGTTTGTTAGTTTATAAATATGAGACGGTAAAGGCTCTTGTTGCTGTCCGTCTACTGTCGCAGTGGTATCTTTGTACTCTGCTACATACTGCTGGCTTAAAAAAGGCATCTGTTTGTACGGGTTCATAGCAACTAAAACTGAATCTCCAGCGCGAGAATAAATTACATTATTCTGAAAAGCAGTTCGAAGACATTGTGTTATACTATCTTCATCCATCTTCCGCTGCTCTTGGTTTGACAAGTCAAACAGAAACGTACTATTTCTGCTGTTTGACATTTGTTACTTTGTCGGATTTCCTAAAAAAACGACCTTCGGGTGAGATATGTATTTGAGATACGAGGGATAAAAGAGCTTAGAAAGTAAAACGGAAGGAATAGCAAGATAGTAGAAAGAATATGAATTTTACAGAAACTATAAAGAAAAAATAAAAATAAAAAGTCAAAATTGATAAAGAAATTTGAAAATATAAATAGTCATGGTCCTTCTTCTTTTGTACGGGATTATTTTTATTGTGTGATCTTGCACAAATGTAACCCATTGAGAGCCTTTCATTGAGCCTGTTTGAACGTTGCAACAATTTTTCGTAGACGTTCCGAAATATTTTTGTTCAACACTGTTCCGTTTGAAGATGTGCTATTTAGAGATGTCTCGTATCATTGTTTTGTCTCAGCGCTGAGTAGAGCATCTTTGAAATCAAGGGATGCTTTTAAACTCTAGTGCATACTCTTAAACAGTAACATCATCCCTGGGTTTATTTAGTGTTGCTAAAAAATGCATGTGTCCGTCCGTACCTTGATTTAAAACTCTTTAATAAACTGATTGGTCAAGCGGTACACAAGCAAAATTGATTTAGCGAAGATTCGGCGTTTGGACTGTAAGCGACGATCTAGAGTGTTTGGGAGTACAGTATAATGTTTAAATAATTCAGAATCTGGGGGTGTTCAATTCGTTTTCATGCTTTTTCTGGATATTGCAAGCTGGATATAGCTTGAAAATAAAAGAAAAAACCCGCTCAAATCGCCTACAAATGGAAGCATCATTCATTATATGACAATCTTTTCAATACCAATGAGTACAGTCCGAAAAAATCCCTGTATTTTAAGATACCTTCCACCACTATCTAAAAAGAATCTGAGCTTACGAAAAGCAAACATATTTTATAATACATATATTACAGTGAATTAAAAATATTAAAAAGCGTATAAGGAAGACAATGGATATAATACGACAGGAAAGACTCAATGTCTGGTTTAAAGAAATTAAAATCTAACTTTTCTTCTTCTACCGGTAAATTTTGAATCGTTAGCGACCGGCTTGTCACCTTTCTCCCTTGCAATTCTCTTCTTCTTGTTAATCCACTCTTTATTTTTCACCGATTTTCTATCACGGCTCTTTTTCTTATACTGATGCCCCCGCTTTTCATATTGAATCGATCTCTCTTCATCTGGGTGTAAATCACCGTCTTCACCTAAGGCTTTGGGCATTTGATTTTTTATGCCTGTTTGCTGACCAGCAAATAAACAGAGATAATACTTTTTGGCTTTCTTGGAGTTGGGGTAATCAACTAACAAACCACCTTCGAAACCACACCGAGTAGCTACATCAATAATGAGTTCGATTTGATCATCATTTTCTGGATAAAATTGGAAAACTGCTCTGGCCCCTTTGGTCAATGAAGCATACAGCGTTGAAAAGAACCTTTGTAATCTAGCCTTTGGTCTGTTGATCGTCTTATCAGCATTACATAGCCATTGAAGTACTGATACACTGATACATCCATCAAACACACCGGGTCTAAATCCTACGCCCTGACCTGCATCTTGCAAGAAAAGATCTCCTTCAACTTCTCTTTCGTTGGCCACATCTAACATGGCTGAGGAAATATCTAACCCAACCCAAATATGTCCTTCTTCTTCTAAAATTTCTCCACTCAAGCCTGATCCGCACCCGATATCTAAAAGATATTTCGGTCCTTCTGAAAGATTTAACAATTCTAGGGCACGATATGCCATTTCTGCTTGAATCGAAGTGATACGTGAGCTGAAATATAAGGAAAGTTATAGTTTAAGGGTTAGCCGCATATGGCTCTACAGATATTAACCGTTTCACTCAAGGATGATAGAAGAAAAGCATACTTGTCTGTATATTTCCTGGCTTCATCATCATTATAAAACTATATAAAAACATGCATCCCAAATTTCTCAGTCAGTATGCTATTCGCGCAAAGAAAAAAAAAATTGAACTACTCAATTTACAATCTCTGGTGGTGCGATGTGTTCAGGACGTGACATTATTAAATTGTTACGGTATTAACGAGAAAGGAAGAACAATTGTCAGAAGAAATTAAAATAGTTAATTCAGTTGTTGTGACGCCCAATTTCTGGGGTGGCTTGGGTGTTTTGAATACGTTCATTGCATGAAACAGCATTGGAAACTAAAGCTCTGAAGCTGAAGAGCTAAAAGCCAAGTTGGCTGCAATTACTTGGCTACATGGGCGTGTACATGCCTATCGTAACAGACGAAAGACCAGTCAATGAATAACGCATAAGCATATAGTATCTCTGGTTAGCAAACTTTGATGTTGCTGAGAATGACGATTAATCTAAGTAGAAACGTGGCACATAGCCTATCCGAACCCGTTGCCACAAACTTGAATGTGAAGAAGAAGAGAACCATAATAGAAGACAAGACACATAGGTTTTGTATATAACCCTAGCATTTTATTGAATTCAAAAATCTGTGCCTAACAATACTTACTTTGCAAAACTGAGCAGATGAGCGTGTTCATCGTCTAACCAATCTGTCTTAACTTTTGTACTCTGAATCCAACATTATGCGTTTCAATGTTACAGAAGATTATAAACACATTGTAACGTCTGTATCTCTACGTCCACATCAACTGAATTAAACAATCGTACATTCCAATCAGTCCTTTCACCCTGAATCTCTCTAAAATCGAGTTCCTCTACTGTTTGTAGAAATCCAATCGAGTATACTCTCTCTTTTCCCCTTAGCAAATTGATTAGCAATAACAGTAGTATTTTAATAGAATCCATAAATCTTCAGCAAATTATCGACGCAAGATTATTTTTTACGAAGCTACACAAAAAAAAAATATCTTTCTCTAATCTTTCTTCGATGAATGCGCAAGTGTTAAACGGGCTGCCAAAAATAATATCATCATCCCATTGATTCCATTCAGCTTAATATCAAATATATTGAAGTCGCAATTGTAGACTTAACCGTTTATCGACGGTAGGGTTCTGGTGAGCTACGTCTATATCCACGTGAATCCAATGGAGGAGGTGGGGGAGGGGGAGCAGCATCTAAAAAAAAAAACCATTCCTAATTAAATCAACTGCTGCTTATTGTACATGAGCATTTGTTACTTACAAGGATCACTTAAGCCACGGTCACGGTCGTCCATAGGAGGAGCACCAGGAGCGTTGCCTCCGAATCGTCTACTACCCTGTCCAGGATCCTTCTTCTGGAGACCAATATCCCTACAATGAGAAAGTATTTAAAATTTCTCTGCGTAATATATACTTGAGTGAAAATTTCATAGAATCCCTTACCAGTCAAGTCTTAAACGACGTCCTTCTACGCTGAAACCATCGAACTTTTCGAAAGCGTCTTCAGCATCGCGACGATCTTCAAATTCAACGAAGGCAAATCCTTTGTTCTTGTTGGTATTTCGATCTAAAGGAATAGTAACTGATTTCAAACGACCATAACGTTCAAACATAGTAGCAACCTACATTGCAATTTTATCAGTAACGAATGCTTCACACTTCTTTCTTTTTTCCAAGACAAACGATAATGTCATAATATATCAATTAAAAAAATCACACTAGCAACTTTACATCACGTTCATTGAAGTCATAAGGAAGATTTCCTGCATAAATAGTAGTGGCATTCTTTCTATCTTCAGCAGTTCCTCTCTCAACTGGTCTTCTAGGTCTACTTCTAGGTGGATAGCGTCCTCTTCTGTCGTCATAACGGTCGTAACGGTCTCTGCGATCATAACGGTCTCTATGATCGTATCTATCGTAACGGTCATATCTGCCACCTCCTCTATCGAAGCGGTCTCCTCTGCCCCCCTCGTAGTAGTCGCGTCGAGGGGCATCGTATCTGTCTCTACCGCCTCTGCTATGGCCATAACGATCGTCATCACGATAAGAGCGTCTTTCGTCATAGTATCTGTCTCTGCTAGAGGAACGATGAGGAAGTGGTGACATAGATCTTTCACGACTCAAAGGGGATTTTCTACCAGCTGGGGGTGATGAAGCTGGTGGCGGTGGTAAGTTGCTACCGGGAGGGGGTGGTGGGTAGTCATCAACAGCATTTTGAGGTGGCATTGATGGCGATTGTTCGTTTTTCATTTTTCGTGTATTTAAAAACAAACAAAATGAAAAAAATTAAAGGAAAAGGTTGTCTGACCGGAACAAGGAAAAAAAAAATGGTAAAAAGAAAAAAGAAATAAAGTTTGGTTTTTGCTTTTAAAACCCACCCCTTTAAGATTTCTCCCATTGGTGACCTTTTTAAATGACCTCACATAAGCCACCTTATCATGGAATGATTTAGTTACGCGACATTTCGAAAAGATACACGCCATAATCTATCTCTTTTCTGACAGTGTCCAAGCTGCTCATATATATTAGTTGCTTGACTGCGGAAAATAGAGATGTTGAACATATATAAGCTTATAGACTCTAAATTCTTTAGTAATTGCCCCTCTGCCAAGCCCTCAATTTGATATACAAAGAACGTTTTTAAAGCGTAAACAGACATAATAAAAATGATAGCTTTATTTAGCAATAAAGTGCATTTGCTTCTATTCGACTTGACTATTCAGTTCTTTTTCGTTTGCTTGTCTTTCTAATTCTTGTGCGACACGGTCAATCTTCTCAAATTGCCACTTCCAAGAAGCGTTGTATAAAAAGGGTCGTAGATCAAAACGGTTATCATCGGGACTATAGGCTTCAGCATGGTAAGACGGGGTGATGGTTGTCATTTTGTGTCTGTTGATGGAGTAATAAAAAAAGAAACGCTTCACTTTGGCAGCTACTTCAGTAGGCTGTGATGTCTCACCCCACTCATGCACCAATTTTGTAAACATAGAATAAGGACCACAACGATGGATTTTACGCAAACGACCATAACATGAAAGATCATCATAAGTCATACCCATATCTGCTTCATCCGATTGAACATAGGTTTCTGTAATCGGTTCTAATTCGGCAGTAGGAATGGCATCTAAGAACTCACCCAAAATGGGCATATCAAATGTTCGTTGGGCGTAAGCAATAAATCGTTTCAAGTCTTTCTTGGAGATAGCACCGATAGGGTTCACGTCAGCACTACTACAGTCGTATTTGGTCAAATAACCTCTGAGACTTTCATCAACGTTGGCACTACCCAAAACCAACAAACCTCCGTTGATGGAGCGACACCAAGGGAGTAATTGAGCAAACAGGTAGGCCAGCAACATACGTAAACGCGCCTGAATATTTTGAAGAGCCAGGTTTTCCGTGTTCGAACCGCCATGGACGCGGTATTTAGGTGTTTTACCAGTAACAAGGGAAAACAGTCCGTGAATTGATTTCACAACACTGTCCATATTGAGATCAGTATGATAACTACCTATAACCTCAGCTAAATCTTTGGCACGTTTACGAGTTTCTTTGCTGGAGTTTTCGGTGCCCATGTAACATGTATAGAAAATATGATTAGCGAATTCACGAGGATCAGTAGGTATGTAGTGTTCATCTCTGCCGGCTAAACGACGAGCGTCTTCCAATACTTGCTGATTACCCTCCTTTGCTTCTTTCACAACTAAACGACACATGGAAGCTACAATGGTCGCCGTGGCACAACTGTCAATTCCACCACTCAAGGGTAAGAAATAGCCTGCTGTCTTGGATCGACGCAAATAATCCCACAACCAACAAGCCGGGCCCAGAGCAATTTCTTCTTCTGGAGTGTGATAAAAAGGCTCTCGAGTTTTAGTCGGTCTCACATGAATGTCGTCCACGATATGGTCGTGGCTTAACGACATGGCTACTTCTTCACGGCGGTAAGCAGGCGTTCCTTGAGCTTGAATACCACGACTAGCAACGCGAGCACGATAGGAACGAACGTCCTCCAAATCGACGGTAGCAGTTATAACCTCAACATCCTTCAGAGAAAATTGAGACCCCTGAGCTACAATTTCGCCGTTCATGACAATCATAGCACAACCATCATAATAAAGACGATCGCCGTCACAGCCCTGTTGATTGGCATACAAATAAATACCACCTACTTTGGCTGTAGCAGCCTTGATGAGATCAATACGAGTGTTCAATTTACGCAATTCATGGTGGCTACCACTGCTGTTGGTGAAAATCTCTACACCATCCAAACCCATTGTAATGTGAGGGCTGGCAGGTGTAAACAGTTCTTCGCATGTTTCACAACCAATACAAGTATCCAAAGTACTAATCACACAGTCACCAATGGGAACCAATACCTAATAGGAACGAAAGACAATATATAAAACTTCATTGCCTTAAAACTTGCACTCTTCCTGTATTACCTGTTTGGTGATTTTTGAAATCATACGAGGAAGGTAATATTGCTCGACCTTTCTTGGTGTCCAAGGAGTAAAGAAACGCAGCTCACGATAGTTGCCGTCATTGGCTAAAAACATCTTGGGACGAATCAATACAATCTTACCGTCGGCGATGATGACACGACAATTATATTTCACAGATTTATGCATGATGGGCCTACAGATAGTTTTTGAAAGATTCGTATGAGTCTTTCACACTGCTGTCCAATTACACTTTTTCATACTTTAACGTACATGCCAATATCTAAAATCATATCCTTTGCTTCCTCACTTTGAATGATCTCAGCCAAAACCTCCCAGGCATGTAAATATGTATCGCCTAGAAAGACATTTCATACATTCATTACGAGCACTCCTTCAATTATTCGTCTTCCTTTGTGCTGCTTACCTTCCAAAAAGTGATCTTGACAGCCATAGCCACTACATAGAGATGTTTGCAAAATGGCGCGTGAGTAGAATGTTTGGCTCTCAACATCCTATGTCAATAGTTTACTTACGTTACTTCGAGTTCAGGACCTACACGTAGTTTTGCGCCTCTTTCTTTCGCCACACGGATACTTTCTAATATACGCTTGAGATTTCCTTCAAAATCTAACGCCCATTGGTTGAGAGAGCAAGTTGCCAGAGTGATTCTAAAATATCATTGATCGTTAGCTCCAATTCTTAAAATCAACTGGTGAGTGACATTTACAAATGACCCATTTGAACGGAATAGACGTCGAATGAAAGAGTGATAATAAATTTGACAGTTTTGCACACAATAGGTGATGAAATTTATGGGCGGTGACTAAAAAATTGCATAATTATGATACGACCATTGATATTGGGCAAGCATACGAGCGACAGCATTTTGTTCCAACACGAAATTGTCCAATACATAGTATAATAAACTTAGCGATATAATTCTCATACTCCATCTTACTTTATTATTTAAAAATGTTTTTGAATTATAGACAAGTTAAAGGTATATACTGAATGCAACTTTGTATTCCTTCTCTTTTTTTAAACATTATTCTTGATCGTTAAGAATGACGACCTTGATAGTTCCTTCAAGACCGGCCCTTACATGCTCGAACGCTTTAAGGGAATCTTCAAACTTGTATCTGTGAGTAACAAGGCTTTTAAGGTCAACTTTGCCATTTGCCAACATTTCGACCGCAGTGGGATAAGTCTATCAACAGTCACGCAAAGAGTTTAGCCTAGATCACGACTACACAAAAGTACTAGTTGTTACTTACATTGCAGTATCTCATAACACCACGAACATCTACTTCTCTGGCGGAAACATCTGCTACAGAGATTGACTGCACAGAGGGTCCCATACCAACCAAAACAACCTTACCATTATTCTTGGCAAGCTACATTTTTTAATTGAATTGAATAAGGATAAATTAGTCGTCCAACATTATACCCACTGGATTGAAGCGAACCCTTCTAGTTGTTCGTATTGTACTTACAAAAACAGACATCTGCACACAAACTTCAACACCGGTACAATCAAATACGACATCGGCAGGCTGAATTCCAGTGGCTCGAATGATTCTGTCAGCCTCTTCCTTGGCAAAAACGTTGGTATCCTGATCTTTTGGGGGTTTATTTGTTAAGTGAACTACTTCATCTGCAATATAAGACTTTGCAAACTTCACTCTGGATTCAGAGATATCAGCAATAGTAACATGTGCAGCACCAGCAGCCTTAGCGGCAGCGGCAGTTAAGAGACCAACAGGACCAGCACCAAATACAAACACTCGGTCACCTAATTTGATTTCACCTCTTCTTGAGGCATGGATACCTACGGATAAAGGTTCGATTAAAGCACCTTCCTCGAGCGAGACATTATCTGGAAGTCTACCACATGTATACGCGTTTTAGTTGACATTTATTTCATTACGAACCTCCCTCCTTCACACATTACCCAAACTTACTTGTAACAATAATCCGCTGCATGTTTATAATAGTTGCAAAGTGTACCATCGTATGGGGGAGTAGCTGCGAAGGCCATATCTGGACATAAGTTGTATTTACCATGCTTACACATTTCACACATACGACAGGGAACGCCAGGCTCAAGGGCAACACGATCTCCTATTTTTAAGGTAGTTACGCCTTCTCCAACAGAGGCAACAATACCAGCAGATTCATGACCCAAGACCATAGGCCCGTCACAAATAAAATGTCCAATCCTTCCATGTCTCCAATAGTGTACATCAGAACCACATATTCCAGTAGCTCTTATATTTACAACGACTTGCCCAGGGCCAGCAACCGGAATAGGTCTCTCTTCCTACGAATACAACTCATTTGGTGAGTTTTGACAGTTGTCCTTATGTAACATCAAAAATGGTTCTTGTGGTTATACCATCACTTACAAAAGTAATTTCGTCTATCTTTTGAAGAACAAACGACGGGTTGTTTTTGGGAAATGAAGCAGTGGTAATAGTGGACATGAATATTGAGCTATCTATGTCAAACGGGAACGGACAAGATAAAACGAAGAAAGTTTGAAAAAAAAGTCAAAAATGATCGCTTTGTAACTTGTATAAACATTTTCTAGGTCAGCTTTACCGGGAAATTTTTCACGCATTACCCCTTTCAGAAAAACCTTTTTTCATTTCATCTGCATGATTGAAGGTTATTTTGACCTTCCCGTGCGATATGGAAAAAAGTCAGGCGAAATTGCCGAAAGGTCTCAGATGGCTTTGACCGACAACCTCGGTTGCTGTAAGTTTATGCTAGCAGTAAAAGTTTTAGTAAAAGGAAGGGCATGTTTGAGCCTATCGGGCAATTTCAACTCAATTTGGCAAAGTACTTTGCTTTTCAACTTTTTAAAGTTTTGAAATGAATGAACAGGGTCTTGTCAAACGTATTCATAAAGCTCATATAACACAAACCAAGCAATATTTTAACAACTACACATTTCATATCGTACCCTTATACGTTCTATGAGAGATATCTCGTCTACTCACAGTATATACGATAAGAAGGGTGTGAATCACCCTGAGAGTGAAGTAAAAGTGTCTAGATTATAGCGATCCAACCGCTGTTTAGGTTGTTTTTCACAATCATGTCATTCAACACTGCTGATGAAGATGGTTCTGTTGGTTTGCGCTCGATGGCATTCTTCATGACGGAGAACTATCTGTTCATAAATGCATGATAATTTAGCAAATACTGAATAAAAACATATACTTATTATTTAATAAGCCAACTTTAAAGTTTAAGACCAAGCCTCCCAGGCAACCTCAGCCCAAGAGTTAGAGAGAGTGGAACGATACTGACGTTCATATGAGTAGCGATAAAGATTGATAGACTATGTCATCGACCATTTCTAACTTAATTAATCTAGTTAGTTAACTATATCATTGATTATTTTAACTTCATTAGTTTTATTAGTTGATTCGTCACCAACTGCTACATTTTGGCTTCCCTCAAACGCAACGAGTTTGAGTGACGAATGCCTCTGGCAATCCTCAAAAAAGTGTCTTCAATAACTAGAGTTTAAATGTGCAAATGTTTCTGTCAGTCGTTAAAAATATGCATCAGTTTTGCGAAATACAGCTATAGAGTCCTAAAGTATCGATTTTCTAAACCACTTTCCAACAGACTCTTAGGTATTGATATGAGTTCGATATGGAGCATTTGCCAAAAATCATGGAACAGGAGCAGTTTTCCAATATACCAAAATGAAAATATGTTCAACATGAATCTGCTCTGGTCGAACAACCAAATAATTTCTAACAAGTTGGGTCTATTTTTGTTTTAATTTCAAAATTGCTATCAGGCTCAGACCTATATTCAAATGGAAGATGACAGGTAAAAGTATTTTGAGCCCGTTAGATAGCCAGTAGATCATTTCATCGATGTTCAATACTCAAACTCTGTTGTACACTTTTATCTGTTGGAGATTTTCGCCTCGAACAAGCTTGCAAAAAAGTTTAGCCACTGCTTTAAAATAGAAAGGTGACACCATGGCAATGATCCCTTTATACTATCTCTACTATCCAGAAGGCGGATGAGTTTTACTAATATACTTCAAGTATTGTGAACGTCCCAAAGAAACCGCTCCTGGTTAATATAACACGCTTAACCATTGATTGTTTCCTGATGGTTCCTTCTTTTCGAACATAAACTCATAGTCACTCGAAGAATAAAATAATTTAGCGTGGAAGATTGTAAAGGTTTTTGTGCGTACAATATTTGAATTTAAGGCTGATTGCTTATAAAAACCCTAATCTTCTACACAAAGTATCTGCTTTCTTACAAACTATAAAAATATGCCTATTTGAAGCAGAACGTACATCAGGCTTTTAAAATGTATCAACAGAAAATACGATGACTTGAACTCACAAGCTGAAATGATCGAATCAACAAAGAGAAAGAATATGAAAAAGAAAGGCTTTCAAATCCATTGAACATCAGACGATTCAAGAAGAAAGGAATCGAAGAAACTCAATGAAAGTAAGGTAGAAGAAGCAACGTGCCATAAAGTATATTTATTTCTTTTTTTTTTAAATATAAAAAAGCTTCCTTTTAGCTTCATCAAATGCTATAATAGCATTGACTACTGACAGGGCCAACTACGAGAAAGTAGAAAGCTATCTGACCCCAAAAAGAACTTCTGAGTCCCATCCCGTTGGCCGAAGCTACTAAGGCAGAAGTGCGACAATGATCTGGTTTTCCATTCACTTTAGCATAACCTGGCAATATGGCTTCGAAGCTTCAGAAAAAACCAGGCACTGAACCAAAATACCCCATACCTTCCTTTGCCAAGAATGTGGAAGTGGCCTACGCAGAGGAACCGCACCAACGCCGGGCAGGGTATTATATATGGTCACTGGCCAAATCACGAACAAATCGGACCAACATGCATACGGTCCCGTATAGAGAAAGCAGCATTTCGACAATTATAGTGCCAATCTGAAACACATATACCATCTAGACTCCAGTAACTGCTAGTCACAGTCCTATACCGTCTATCGTACTGAAGTACGACCTAGGAGAATCACCCCCGTAAGTGCAATATATGGTTTCAAATAAGTCTGGGTTCAGGGTTCCTCCACAAGACCTGAAATCTCAATGAGCTACTGAAGGGCAATATACTGGCCAATGCTTTCATCATGAGGGAGCATTACAATCGAAATGGTAGCGACAAATCTTCTTGCTCCGTATATTTAAAGCTGTACCCTTGTCCGAAGACAATGACTAGATTAGGAACCCTCCGTAACTACCTAAGGAAGAGGCGGCTGGGTCACCAGACAAACCCTCGAAGAGTTTCACACTATAACGTTTAGGAGGCAAAGCACATCTTGCTCGAAAAACGATCAAAGCGAGAAAGGGTTTTTAATAAGTGGACGACCCATAAATGAGGCTTGAAAGGGACAAAGAGAAAGGGGAAGAAAAGAAAGAAAAAAAAAAACGCAGAAAAGCAACGCAAAACTGCACTCAATTTATACTTTTTGAAAGGGGAGTCGCACAGAGTTGAGAATAAGGAGGAGGGGGGGCAAACGTTGCATTGGTTTTCATAAAGCGCATGTTTGCTTGTTTTTGTTATTAGGATCGGTAATTAGGTTTGTAATCATCGCATGTCATCAAAAACATCTGACTTATTTATAGTATAATCGTGCTGGTAGAGCTCTGTATTTGTAGGTATTGCAACATACAATCATGTCGTCCCTAAGAAAAGACTCCTTTATTACTGATGAGGGCTGTGGTTTGGACTACTTGTTAGGTAGTATACAACATATTCAGCGACGTTATCCCTTAAACGACTGCATAATGAGGCATCTGCCTGGGAACATAATTCGGTATCGTTTTCTCTCCTTATAAGAGCGCAAACAATTAAAATTTGATCTAGCTATATATGGCTATTTCTAAAGTGCATAGGTTAATAACTGTATAATTAGTACACTCACACAGCTACGCATAAATGGCTTTTGTATATGTACGATTATTCGCTGCTGTACTACTTTTGGTACTGACTGGATTAGCAATAAAAAAGTTCAAAAGTTGTCATTTAGAAATAAATCCTCTAAAGATGGTGAGCATACAAATCTGCCAAGCAATCCTGACGTATAACAAGCTGGTCAAGTCTCTTTTACTTGTAGTTTATCTGAACTTCTTGACAAAAAAAAAAAACAAAAAACAAAAAAAAACCAGCGTTCTCAACAATTTCATTATGCGTGACAATAGCGCTTTTTATCCTAAGGAATGCCGTGTCTTTTCATGAGCACAGTTCATACAATACGTTGAACTGTTGGTTAATTATATTGATCATATTATTCCTTTAACAATTTTTTGATTTTTCTGGACTCCTCAATCTTCACCTTCGATCAATTATGGTAGTTTATTGTCGACTGCAGTGCTACGATAAGTTTCATATTGAATTCTTTTAGTTATAAAAAGATGGGATCAAGTCCAAGCTTTTAAGGTGAATTGAATCTGCCCAGAATTGCCCCATTTTAAACACGCTAACAAGACAAAAAAAAAAAAGGTTGATAGTCCTTTCTCGCAAAGGAGGCCGTTCTTAAACCATACTACCATCAGATGAAGGGAAGATGGGGTTTATGCCAACGTTGACTCATCTAAAATTCATGTTTAATCGGAAAATGGATAAGAGAAATCTTTCAAAAAATAGGCACGGTTCTGTGAGGGAATGATAGTTTTTTCGTTTCCCACCATCCGTATATGTATCAGTGACATTCTGATACTGTGGTCTGAACGTTCTTCTCAACTGAGAGGGGTATGTCGTAAAAAACCATAGCTTTTCCACTATTTCATCATACCTTCCTATTATCGGCAGTTCAAAACTGGTGGAGTTTGTCAGCGTCTAGTGGAGTTTTTTATAGGTACAACTTGAATTGTTCTGACACCTTTTCTGTCAGCTTCTAAAAGTAATATTATACGCATGTCGGCAATATTATACGTTAAATGGAACGGAAAGAGGTTTCCTGTAGAGTTCACTGGTACAAAAGAATTACAGGACACAACAGTTCGTGAACTCAAAGCAACCTGTCACCACATAACGGGAATCGATCCGAAATTCATGAAGATCAACGCTTTTGGTGGTAACGATGAAGAATCGCTTAAAAGAGGAAAGCTGTCAATTCACTCAGTATAATTTTTTTTTTGTAGCGTACATGACACAAGATGATTTACCTCTTAGTGCTTATGGACTTCGATCGGGTTGCTTTATTACTTTAAAAACTATGGTAAAATACAGATTTTCATCCTTGAAAAAACTTGCCTTTCAGGTTTTAAACTTTTGACCGCTGTAGAGACAAAAACAACACGAACATACTCGTACGAAAGACAGCCAGACTACGGAAGATAAACCGCTGGAAACAACTTCAGCAGAAGAACAGAACATGTTGGTTCAGCTACAAACGATCCGATCGAACTTGGACACCAAGATCGCAGCAGAAGTGCAGAAATACGAAAAAAGTGTGAAAGAATATTTAGCGCAATCTACGAGAACAAACAAAGAGAAAAAGAAACTAGTGTATACAGGAGCTTATTTGAACGAGCAGCTCATGCATGCATTATTTGATCTAGACAGTGTTATCTGTGGGCCTGATAACGTAGAAGCTCGTGCGTCACGAAAAGATAACGTAAAGCGGGCACAAGCATTGTTAGACAAGCTAGATGAAACCAAAACAATTGTGAAGGATACATCCATTATTGATGCAGACGAAGCATAAGAATTGATTCAAGCAGACTTTGCCGCATATTTATAGGCCTTGCTGATATTGTCATTGAACATACATTTACTTATAGAATACCCTATTTACAGCAACTTTACTGTGTTGGCGTTGATAGACGAATGGATAAAGGAATTAAAGATATTGAAAAGTTGACTTCATCATCCTCCTGTCTCCTGTCTTTTAAACACAGAGACGTCCGTATGTAATTTTGTTACAAATGTTTAATTAGTTGGATGCCAAGAATGATTCAACATTAAACAAAAACGTATTATATGTATAAGAAGTATATAAAAAATGTATTGGTTTCTGTTGTTATTAGCTTTTGAAACAAAAAACTGTTTTCTTTACAATTTCTGTCATCATCTCGCTCAAATCTCATAGGGAAATACATTCCTTTTTTTTTTTTTTTTTTCATTACGAACGTTGTAATTGAATCCACATATTACATTTATCGTCGTTACTCAGTTAATTCCTCGGATGCTGTACTATGATCGTCCTTTACAATCAAAACAGAGCACTTTAAATGATGGGTCAGATAATCCGATACTGATCCAATAAATTGTCTATGTATAGCAATCCATTATTGTATCTGTAGGTTAATGTACTTGCTGGTCGTCTCGTCCACGTCTCTCTATCATACTAACCTCTTAAAAAATCCCAAGCCACGACTTCCAACAATGACCAAATCTACGTTGTTTGCTTCTGCAAAGTCCCGTAATGTCTCGCCCGGATCTCCACTCAATACTCTAGGATTGACTGTAATCTATACGTATATACAGTAGAATAGAGATAGTTTGAGCATTGCCATTATTTTCGCAACTCATATGTCAAAAGGTGGACTGACAAGGACGGCAGCTAGTTATTCTTACATTTTTACTCTTAAACCACGCAACGACTTGTCGAAGTGCGTCACATGAATCTTTTTCTAATTGAGATACCCGTTCTTTGTAATCATCTGCAATCCAACTACTAGAACCAGCGATGGAAGACTCCAATCCAAAGGTGCCTTCCACTGTTACAGCGTCGTCATTGACAATTATTGCCAAAGTAATATCGTCATCCGGAAAGATCATTCTTTTCTTAACGATCCATTCCATGGCTGCGTTAGAGACTTTTGAATGATCATAGCCTATTAATATTCTTCTGTGAGGTGTTGAATCAGAGCCTCTGTAGGCGCCCATAAGAGCAGTAGCGCTATCTTTTTGCTTCATTATTTTTCGGTTTTTTTGCTTCAGTAATTATGGCAAACAGTAATGAAAAGAAGAACGGGGGAAGAGTTTTTTTCTTTTTCAACACTGAAGCGGACCTTTCTACACATTTTGCATGAATTATGTCGATTATTGGTCCGTTTAATTTAGGGATTGGCAGGATTCAGAGCAGGTTACTTTTTATCGTTATCTTTGGAAGTTGGAAGTACATGCATTTAACCCATTTTCGTTAAAGGAAACATATTTGACAAACTTAGGCTTCTAATGAAAATCTTAGATGCTAATGCATCATCATCTTTTAAACTCCTCTGCAGAATGGTAAGTGACAAATCGCATATCCAACAAGTTGAAAGAACCAAGTAGTCCTTTAAAAAATCGAATGATTTTTTGTTATGCAATGGATAAGCGTGACAGTGCAAATCTTTGACAGGGTTCCATTGAAGTGGATGAATCTCTGAAAACCGGTTTATAATCGAAGGTAAAAGATACTCTCTTATGAATGATAAAGAATTCTGTACTTGTAGTCATTATTATTACATAAATGCTCTTGTTCGTAATTCATCCTCTTTACCCGTCATCGTAAAAGGTGGAAAAGCGAATTACGTAAAAAGAAAGCTTCTAGAAAAAACCCTTCAAATCCTAACGAACCTAGTAGCTTAAATACAATCAGCTGACTACCACAATAAAAACTTTGCATGCTTTTCTTTTTGCAATGGCTGTTTTCACACAAGTGCACAAGCCATACGTTTCTTCTTCCAAGATTCTTCTTAATACTGGCTTGTTGAAATGGAACAGAAGTTGTAAAAGCAAAACAAGCTGTGCTTCCGCTTTGACCAGCAAACGGGAAGTTGAAAAACAATTGCCCAAATGTCCTCCCTCCCCCAAAACTCCTCTTTTCCAGAAGACAGCTTTTTCTATTTAAAGACAGACAAATTTAGACATTGAGCTAAAAAATATTGAGACTTGCTTAAAACTCATTATGGAATTTGAGACAAGGTTATACTTTTTTTTTGTTTCTTATGTCAGGCACTCATTAAAAGCGAGAAAAGGTTCCATATTTAAAATCTAAAGTATTGTCGCCTTATGGAAAAAGTGCGTATGCACTTAGAAAGCCATTAGTAGGTTAAAAAAAAAAAAAAAACCTTGGTGAACACATACTTTTGAAAAGCTTTTTATGGAAAAGTCGCATTTCAGAATAGTCTTGATCATGACCATCTTTATAGCATATAATTGCTGTGGCATTATCTTCGAATCGTGACCTATATGCTTAAATTCATACTATTACTATTTTTAAAGCCTTTGGAAGCAACTTGAAATAATACCCTTCACAAGAAGAGAGTTTATCTCGGTACTGCCATCATTACTGTTGCTGTTACTACGAATGCTATCGTTGTTGCTGATTAGAATGTAATACCTAATAGATGTTTTAGCCCTTGTCAAAGTATGAGGAGCCAAGTGGTCTGATTCATCAAATTAAAAAGTAATCATAGGAGGAGGATGAAACAGTGACAGACAAAACTCTTTAATAAAGACAGCAAATATGTTACGTACCCTATCTATGCTCCTCATGTCATGCAACTTGCAAATATTCATCAAATTCATAAACCTTGAAACTGCTCGGAAATACTTACTCAAGGGTAAGAGCATAGAAAAAGAAGAGAATCAAAAGACAATCAAAACAAGTCAACAAGCTGGCAATCAACAACGGCCACCGCAACAAGTTTCAAAAATTGTCATACAAGGAATAACCTACCAAAAGTCATATAGCAGACTTGCTAAGATTTCTGAAAGACAAAGCAAAGGCAATGGCATGATGAACAAGGACGCTGACCGAACGAAAGGTAAGCAAAATGGTTGTGCAAACATTGACTATCTTAGAAATCCGAGAAAGACAGCCCTCTTGTGTTGCATACGCTAACGTGTATTTTATTTCGTAGTAATGACAGAAACTCTGTGAAAAAAAGAAAAAGAGTCCATTATATCAAGCTATATAGCATTGCTGAAAGAAAGCCATCTTGCTCATTACTCCGCATTCACCGGATCACATCCGGTTCCTTTTGGCAGGTTCTAAACAAAAACAGGTAGGTCGTTAAAAGTTTTACATTTTGTCCCAACGTTTTACTAACAAAATCTGAAATTTATATTCCAGTCATCTGAAAATTCTAAGTAGGTTTGTTAGAAAAGCAGTAATAGGAAACGTCACCTTCAATAAAATAAGAGAGGGTATCTAAGGCAAAGCTAATTTGCTTTCAACAGACTCAAAATGGATAGAAGCTTGGGAGTGTAGAGAGCGACATACAGCATTTAGTCCAAGTTGGAAATTTTGAGGAACCGATTGCTGTCCAAAATTCTTTTTGCCAAATGTCTCAAATACACCTGTGCAGTACCTTTTGTCTCCACTTTTCCTTTAATTGAGTAATTTAACCACTTTCCATTTTTAACTCGAAGTTTTTCTTCAACAAAGTCAAGTCCGTGCTCTTTCTTTTTTTTTTCTTTTCCTTTTTCTTTCTGACCACGTTTTATACCGCAAAGCCAGTAAAAGCTTTTGAAAATCCCTGAGCTTCTACATTGCTTCTACACATAAGTGCTCTTTCTGCATCTTCATATCAAATACTACTGCTCAGCTCGTTATGTCTAAGATTGCTGATTCAACAAAGATTAGTCCAGATTCTTCGTCATCTCAACGAGCAGGAGACTTGACACGACCTCTTTCTCAGAGTTCGTATGCAAAGCACTCTATATCCGATAACAGCACTGAGACTACAAAAAGAGAAAAAACAAAATTAAAAGGTGTTTTAGACAAATTCATGGGCAATTTTAATGGTATGACAATATAACATACCCTTCATTTTTTTTTTTCAAAGAGCAGAACTAATGTGTGTTACTATTAGATTTTATAAATAATAATAGTAGTAGCAGTAATGGTAGCAACAGTACGAGCAGCAGTAATGGCTCTTCAACGCCCATGAATATATCAGCACCCTATAATACCGTGCATATTACACATGTAGGATTTGATCCTTCTACTGGTGTATTCACTGGTTTACCCAAAGAATGGCAAGTCATGCTTACACAAAGTGGTATTACAAAGCAGGAACAAGAGAAGAATCCACAGGTGAAGGACTGCCCGTTGCCTACTACATTGTGTATATGCTATTGACAACTGTTACTTTTGTTACTGTAGGCTGTCATACATGCTATTGAATTTTTACAAGGAACCACTCAAGAGGCAATGGAGGAAGACGTCTGGAACAAGATTCCCAAAACTGTCTCCACTGTTTCCTCCTTTAACACAGACACCACAACGGCTGCGTCTTCCTCCTCACCGCCGCCTGGAGTAGATCCTAATTTGACTGAGAATAATAGAAAGTCTACATCAGCCGAAAGTTTAAAGCATAAAACTTTAAGACGATTTTCCACTCTACGAATAACAAAATCCAGTCACACTAACGAATATGGATCTTCGCGAAATAGTAGGGGCAGTAGTAGTAGCAGTAGTAGTATTCGCCAGCAGCATGTGCAGCAACGGCAACAAGGAGAAAAGCTACAGGTAACGGACTCTGTTCATTCGGATTCAACAGCTTCCATTAGCGAACAATTTGGCGATGGAGATCAAGAACTACTCCCATTGACTCGTGTGAAAGACAACGATGAGAGCCAACACAATCAACAGAGCCATCATAGTGATGAAATATCTTTAGCGTCGGCTCCCCCAGGCACAGTGAAATCAAGGCCGCCCAAAAAAGATCAGCATAAGAAAGCAATGAAAGATAGGGATGTTATACGTAGCCTACAAGAATTATGTATTAATGAAGACCCTACACTCATCTATAGTAACATGGAAAAAATTGGCCAAGGGTAAAGTTTCAATCGCGGCCATCATAGTATTAGTTTCATGAAAACTGTATTTTTGTAAAAGCTAAAGACTTTATTGAAATATTAGAGCATCCGGCGGTGTTTATATCGCCCATCGCAAGGATCTGGATACGCCTGTGGCTATCAAACAAATGAATTTGGAAAAGCAGCCCAAGAAAGAATTGATTATCAATGAAATTGTAGTGATGAAGCGATCAAAACAAAAAAACATTGTGAATTTCATTGAATCCTATTTGTGGAATGGTGATCTTTGGGTAGTCATGGAATACATGGAAGGTGGTAGCTTGACCGACGTAGTCACATGTAATATGATCATGGAAGGCCAAATTGCTGCCATTTGTAAAGAGATTTTAGAAGGTTTAAAGCATCTTCATGCCAACGGTGTGATACATAGAGACATTAAGAGCGATAATGTTTTGCTTAGCATGCAAGGCGATATCAAATTAAGTAAGTAGTTTTTGAATTTCTGAGAAAGATATCGTGTTGAATAATGGATTGACGATCGTTTCTTTCTCTTCCCCTAACTTTCAGCTGACTTTGGCTTCTGTGCTCAACTTCATGAACCTCAATCCAAGCGTACAACCTTAGTCGGAACACCGTACTGGGTAAGGTTACCTCAGATTCTACTTAATACATGTTATACAAGAAAATTAACTTTTATATGCACCTACCATGGAATTTAGATGGCACCAGAAGTAGTCACAAGAAAGCCTTATGATCAAAAAGTAGATATATGGTCTCTAGGTATTCTTGCCATAGAAATGGTCGAAGGGGAACCGCCCTATCTAAACGAGAATCCCCTAAGAGCACTCTACCTTATTGCCAACAATGGTACACCTGATTTGCAAAATCCCGAATCGCTAAGTGATATCTTCAAAGACTTTTTATTCCTTTGCTTACAAGTCAATCCAGCCTTCAGACCTACTGCAGCTGAACTATTAAAGCATCCCTTCTTACGCAAAGCTGATCCCTTATACACTTTAACGCCTTTGATTAAAGCAGCCAAAGATACCATTCAACAACAACAGCAGCAGCAGCATTACGATTAATCACCCAGCGCATTCCCTCACCTTAATTCAAACCATCGATTTCCATGTCCTATATCATTTTTCCTACTATAGACTTGTCGCGTTTTTTTACACTCTTTTGTAACATTATTTGTACTTCTATTCTGAATTCCTTTATAAATACCGTTGTGGTAACGCAACATTCTCTTGTTTCAAGATCACTTAGTGTAATATCAACTTCAATCACTCAAAGATGATGGTTAAATAGCTTTAGAACTTAAATCGTCATGTGTACAGTATGAAAAAACTGGGGAGTTGTTTGCTCACTAGCATTATCGATGTAGTAACCAGAAAGATAATTTACTGCTGTACAGGCCCTTCTCAATTATTTTTGATTCGTTGAAAACCATATGTTCGTACAGTGTACTGCTCACCAAATGGATATGGAAGTATAAATCACTATGATTATTGTTCTTTGAATTGGACACCATTGCCAACTGCTAATATTGTATGCTCAAGGATCACTTCAGCAATTTGATACGGTGATGCTATCGGTGACGCTAAGAAACAAATTAAACGGCACAATAATGTATTGACTCCATTTGAAATGTTCTTGAATATGTTACAAGTTGTGATAATCATATCCATTTTTCGAGTTGCTTTTATACTTGATGTCTCTATAATTCTATTGCAGTGCTCCTAGTTGTATCATATAGATTATTATTTAATTTTGTGGGTATATATCTCCCAACGTCTGCTTGGGACTGAAAAAATTGCATAACTCATATCAACGGCAACATTTTCTCAATATTACAGAGATGGAAGTAACTGGTCATTATACACTTGCAACTCATGGAGCACAACGTATCAAGGGTACTGTACTTTTGTAATCACACTTTTTCGGAAACAACTGACTTTTGGTAGCTGGGGTCAATATCACCCATTTTCGTATCAGCATTCAAAAGGACCATTATCCTGATATTGTATTAGTGCAGCTGTTCAATGCCAACCTTTACAAGTAAAGCTATAATAGCCGCCTTAAAAGATCAGATTTGCTAATATGCGTCTAATTTGCCCAAGTAAATGATATAACTCGTTTATCTCTGTAAAAAAGGCTTGATTATTGACACAAATACGTGCAAACAAGTAGTTATTATCCACTTACTATCATTCTGTCAGGAGCCCATCGAAAGTAAATGTCCGAAACACTCTGATGAACTATCTCATAGAAAGTATTCAAATATTGTTCTTAAGAAAAAAACTGGTACATATTCAAATCGAATCATCTTTGGATGTCAGAAGTAATAGATAAAAAGTAAATGCGCCTCGGAAATTGTTGTTATTCAGTAAATTTGCATAGCATCAGCCTTAGATGGAGGGTTTTATTGCTACTACATTCTGATGGTCATGACTTTTTAGGTATTACCTAAAATCCTAAAGGTATTCATTTTATTTATGCTTTATAGAGACGGTAAAAGGAAAAAAAGAAGACATAGTTATAAAAAATTTACACAAGTGAAAGAAGAGTATATAAAGCTGCAAGATAGGCAGCTTAAGTAGGTATAGAATGTAATGAAGGCATATAAAATGGAATTACTATTACAAAAATGTGTACATAAGATAACAAAAAAGGAAAAAAAAGAGAGATAGTGAATGATATACATATTAGTTTTTTACATAGTTGTTATTTTGGAGACCATAGTAGTGACCCAGTCAGCCAGGACGGACTCTTCCGGTGCTTGAAAAGTATATGATTCGTGAAAGGTATCGATATTCAATAGTGTTTTAGCTTTGTTTGGCTTTTTCTTTTTGTAAATAAAGATGTGTTAGTACAACTACCACTCAACTTTTTATAAGGCTATGAAAGTGCGTACCGTGGATGTTTCTGCTGCATTTTCTGCTATTATTTGCTTAGTTGCTCGCTTAATATGAAGTATATTAATTTCAGTTACTTCTGACTGATCAAGGTATAATACTAAGAATGGCCTATACAAAAAATGTGTCGAAGTGTTGAGCTCTCTGATTCTTTTCTCAAAGTAAATGATTCACAATTGCATTTACCCTATCAAAACACACCAAAATCTTTCCCACTTGTCTTCCTTGTCAGCCATATTGGTATGTGTGATATTTTTGCCCAGAAGATAGCCTTTTCTACATTTACTGTCTGCATTAGGCAATAAAAGTTGGTGAACATGAGGTCTCCACCGTTTCACAATGAGAGCAGTACTTCTGTCGTTGTTGCGGTTATCAACATTTTCAAACAATGTGTTTGAATTAGGTGATAAGAAGGCTTTGTCATCCTGTCTCTTTTTCCATATTTTGATAATTTTTTGTGCGTCTACCAGACAAAGCCCTTCATCTCCTTCTTTCTTTTGAATCTTACTATTGACTATTCGATCAAGTTGCGCTTGCAGATAGTTTTTAAAACGAATATTTTCAACTTCTTCTCGAAGGTACATTTCCTCCTTCTTCCTTAAGTGAAGGATCTCTGATGGCAACGATGTATGAGGTAAACTGATCAATGCATTTCCGGATAAGTCAGGCTTATACTGAATTACAAATAAGCTTGTTATTTGTGTCTTTTGCGAATATGATTTTGTCGCAAAAAAATTACTGAACAATCCAGAAGATCGTTTATTGCTGTTGCTGTTTGGATTAGTAGGGAGTCGCTTCTTCATCAATGCTGATTTGTTATGGTCCTTAATGTGAACAAAAATATCTTTTTCAAATAACAAGATTGCTGTATCCTGACGGACAGTCCAGGAGAGAGTAAGTTGAATTTTTTGATGATTAGGTGTTACAGCATTTATAAGTAATGAATCATGAAGGGAACTATCCCATGATGCTTGAGCACTACAACAACGACGATTCATTTTATCAGATGCGTTTGATAAAGCAGCAATGGTGGAAGATGATGTAGATGATGCAGGAAGAATATGGAGAGGAATAATATCTTGGTGTGAATTATTACTGTAATGAGGAGAGTCTATCATACGATGATTTTTTGTGGTGTCTATCAAACGTATTCTGCCTATATACATGTCGATTACTTTCTCTAACGATGCTGAACCAGACATAGATACGCTGATTCGTCGTTGTTGGCCTTGCTGCAAAGAGAACGTGTCGTATTGCCCTAACACATCTCCTGCTCCTAAGGGGGCAGTTTCCACGGGTACAGGTTTGTAGTCACCATCCGGCGTGAGTTCACATATCTGAATAGTGGCTATCACATCATCAGATGGCTTATGAGGCACAATCGCATTTTCTGGAGTACCAATAGAATATATCTTCCGTATTTGTCTTTCTAAATACTCTGTTGTTGGTTTACCATACAGCTCAAAAATCAAATTTTGTGTCTCTATAGCATTTAAAACCTCCTCTGTAATTGCCATGGACAATGTTTGATGATAATTGAGATATATGGTAGAAGAATGGCACAGAACAGGTTCTGTTGCAAAGACACCGTCGAGATGTTGACCAAATGCAGACAGTCGGAATTGAGCGTGTAGTTGGGAAAAGAGCTTAGAAGAGACACCTTCGATAGAGGTGATGGAGATATCGAAAACGAGTTTCTGGCCCACATGGAGCAAATGATGAGGATCTTCATCTGGTCGTGGCTGGTGTTGCTCCATCAACACCGTATGACGAACGGATCGAGCAATAGGCGCTACTAGTACTTTTAATTGTCCCATACATTCTCCTGTGCTTTGACAATGAATAGAAAGACTGCTTTCCACAGGTACTTGAGTAGCGAGATTTCTTGAAGGAACTTTGGCAAATCCCACTAGTACATAAGCTGGAATATCATTATTGTAAAACAAATCCTCGCCTCTCTTCACATATTTCTTTCGATGATCTGAAGCAAAGTAAGCACCGCCTCCTTGAAGACATCGAAATCTGGCCATGAACTTTTCAGTAGACCATATATAACTCGACTGATGATCCAAATCTATCACTTTGACAGCAATGCAAGGTTTGCGAACTTTCATTAAATCTACATCAGTTACAATTTGAGCTGATATAGATCTTTGCTGCTGCTGATGATGATGTGTTGACCCGTCATATAGCGAAATAGCATTAGCACCCAATTGCGTTTCGATCACTGTCATTTGATAGAAGACGTTTTTGCCAGCTTTCTTTGCAAGTTCGTTTGCCTGCCGAACATAGGTATCATGAGTAAGGATTGTTTTTGCCAAAGATACATTCCGTTTCGACCTCCAGTGCTGAATTACTTTTCTCGCAAGCCGTTCTTCCTTCGACGACATGGGCTGTTGATGCTGGTGCAGCAATTGCTGACAAGATGACGACGAAAAACGTTGTGATAAACGGTTCAGGTTGGCATTGTAGCTGTGGCGATTGTGCGAGTCCAAAAAAGGCTTCGTTGCAGATGGGTTAGAAGATTCGGCTCCTGGTAGGTAATGTAGAGAGGAAGAGGTTGTACTGGTGTTATCTGTTATATAATTTGAACTTGTTGTACTGTAATTGTCTTCATTTTCTAAAGAAATGGAAGATGGTCGTGTCGAGTAAATACTTTGATATGATGTACGATGTGAAGGCATTGTACTTGTATCTGAGTAAACAGATTGGTGTCGTTGACGTATAACGCGAACTTTAGCTACATCGTCAAAAAGTTTTTCCAAATCTTCGTCTGTAAAGTTATCAAAGCTTGATTCATTGATGTAAGTATTGAGCATTGCTTCTTTACGAGCAAAATTCCAATCCACAATTTCGCTGTTGAAAGGCGGCGGAGGCGGCGAGGGTGTAGAAAGGTCCCTTTCAGATGCGGAAGCATGTGGAGATGAGGGAGTGGTCAATATACTACCGTTCATAGAGTCTTCTGACTTGCTACTTTGTTGTTGCTGATGTTGTATGCTTTCATTCCTTTCTCTTAGTGCTTCAGTAGGATTATTGAATCGAAACACATGATGGTCGCCTAAAATAATGCGGTATCCACTTTTAAGCAATTTCGGTTCTGTAATACGCATACCGTTGACCATAGTTGTGCAACCTTTTCTAGGGTATAATGTAACAGTGCCGTTCGTGTTTGCGAAATGACAATGATTGTTGCTAATATTAGAACCGCTAAGTCGAATGGAAGCGCTATCTTCTGGTCTGTTTTCCATATCGTTTGCTGTTTCTGTGGACGCGTTGCTGTCACTATGATGCTCATCTTCATATACTGTGCCGTGATCGACAAATGTTATGCCTGGTTTGATATTATACATCAGACATTCCGACATTAAAGGATCTTCATTCAAATTGATAAGATAAGGCGTTTCCTTCGGTGTATAAAGTCCAAAAACTTTGTCTTTCTGAACGGTGATGCCTAAATCTTTGAGGACCTTTTCTCGGTCTTCTTGAATCTTCTTTGTCATATTAAGCTTTTCCTCCCATGTCTTATTCATTTCTTTTAATAGTTTTTCTGTAGTTTGCAATTGATCCACCATTTCCTCCTTGGTCATTTCTGTTGTATTTCCTTGGGCATCTGTGAAGACGACAGTTGAGGCAGGTGCTTTTATTGACGTTGTTGTAGCCATTGCACTTGATGTAGATGTTTTTCTAACATTCGTATCAGCAGTGTTTACTTGTTTTTTAGCGGGATCAGGATGTGCAATCTCTTTTATCTTTTCAACTTCTTCTGGAGCATACACCATAAGTGCTTGACGAAGTGCCTCAACTTCTTCCTTCAACTCCCTCATCATTTTTGCGTTGGGGTCTTCATTAATTACAGCTTTCGTCTTGATCTTTTTTGCTTGGTCTGCATATCGCAGTGTACTGAGTGTTTCGTCGTAATCAGCTGGTGAAATAGCTGCAATCATACATGTTTTCGAATTACCGCCCAAAGAATCTTTCAGTAACCAGGTCAATACAGAGTCTCGGAAAGGGATAAATGTCTCTTTCTGCTGTTGTCTTTTCGTTCCAGTTCTTTTTGATTCGGCTGATGATTGTTCAGCCAGTCCGGCTATGACTTTTCCTAATGTCGTTAATGATTTGTTGATATTGGCGCCTTCTTTCAAACGTACCCCGGTGGCACCTGTACTGTTGGCACGCTCGCTACCGGCTAAATCGACCAGACTACAAAGCAAATAAGTTAAACAGAATGTTGTAGCTTTGGACATACATAGGCTTCAATTTGTAGAGAAGGGTTGTTACCTAATACGCGCCACTTTTTCTGTTGTTTGTTTCGTATCCTTCATCGTCGATTTCTGAGTAACAAAAATCGTAAAAACAGCGTGCGACCGCGATGAAGTTTCATTCATATTCGTCGCTGCGACTGTTCTAGCCTTGTTGCCTTCATCCATAAGCTGATCAATATTCTCGTATGAGTTGACAGCTAACCGAGACAAATCTTGTACGTAAGGGCCTAGCACTGGATGTTCTCTCACTTTCAAATTATTCTTGTTGCGAGGGTTGAGCAAATCACGCACTTTTTCGTTGTAAATCTCAATGTAAGACACTTCTACTTGAAAGTCAGTCGTATCTGATTTGGCAGATCGAATGCGGTCAAAGAGTTCTTGACACGTTCGCGGAATAATACCTTTATCCTCACCATAGCCCATCATGGAGTAAGATTTACCAGAACCAGTCTGACCATAGGCAAAGATACAACAATTGTATCCGTTCATGGCGTGATCTAGCAATTCCCTTCCAAGGTCGTTATAGACTCTCTCTTGATCTGCATAATTCTGATCCTCTTTGTCCGCAGACCAATAAGACTGATCAAATGTAAATGCTTTCGGTGCTATATCCACTTCTTTGGATGAAGGTAATCCAGGTTTACTTAGAATAGTTTTATTGCCCTCCATTCGAACGAGACATTGTGCGCCTCGAGCCTTTTCTTTATGTAATAAAAGGTGTTTCAATGATTAGTTGGCGTATATTCCAAAAGGTAATATTCTTTGTTATCATCTCAAGGTCAACAATATTCTTTCAGGGTACCTCTGGCATTTAAAGGTCTACAACGCACAACAACTTTTATATTATTCCCGTTCATAGAATAGCCCGTTTAAAGATCCTACTGTTTAATTTTTTTGGGTTTACAATGGTCTGATGGAGATGTCGAAGTAATGTGTAAATGACAAAGAAACAATAAATTACTGCAGTTTAAGTAGACAAAAAAAAGGGGAAAAAGCAAAGGTAAACTAACCAATAAAAGAGTTAATATAATATCTAAATTTAATTGTTATTGCCTTTGTTGCACAATGAAATTTATTATAAAAAAGGAGAAGGTCTTTCAGAGAGTCCGGTAGAGTGAAGGATGATGCTCTTTTCGCAATGACAGCATTTGTTTATTGCCACGTGAACAAAAAAAAAAGGGACAAGTGCATAACTCTTTCATTTGACTGTTTTCAGAATCAGATCAGGAAACAGTTTTACGGGATCAACTACGCTTGTCTGTAAATAGCAACTTTTAAACTATGTTAGCGCACCAAACTAAGCAGCCCATGGTATATTGACATACATGAGCGACCAACTTTTTATTTCGTTATCTCTGTGCAAATGTGAAAATTTTGGTATGTAGAGGTAGGGTAATACATGCAGCGCTTAATCGATTCGAGGCAGTAATGTACATTAGTGATTTTGGTGGTGGTGGTCGACTTTTTGTATTCAATAGGTTAGATTAAAACTTATTCATTTCTTTGTTGCTGCAGTGGCTAACTTCTTCAAGTCACTTCCAACAAGTTCACTCTTTCCACTGCTATAGAAATTGATCAAACATTCCAGCTTCCATTTCTTCCAAACCTCTTCTGAAGGAAAGCCCATTTTTTCCCATTCCTTCATATCGGTAGTCGCTGGCTGCATGGTTGTATCTCCTTCTAGATCTTCTTCTTCGTCTTCTTCTTCATCGCTTTCTTCATCGAGTTGATCCTCATATCTCAATAAGAAATTGGATCGATGGTCTGAACTCAACTCAGTTACAAATTGTGTCGCGTTCCCTGCTAATCGATCATGCCTTTCAAGGATACTTTTCCATTGATCGAGCTGTGAATGGATCAACTGTTCATCCTCCATATGTATGTTATTGTTATTAGAAGTGCTATTTATGTTCTCTTTGTCCGCCAGCGCCATTTCTTGAGCTATTGCTGCATGTGTCTCTGCTTCCAATTTCTCGATATCAGGAATTAATTTTGTTCTTAATAAAACGTTTAGAATATTCGTTTCCTGCTCAGTAGTGGTGGGTAAAAATGGATGCAGCATTAGTTTCGGTAGTGTAGCATGTTGACCTGTTAAACTATTGTAGAAATCTTCAGAGAGAGTAGCGAATTTGGCGGTCAACATGTTGAATTTGTTGAGCAAATCGGGCCAAGTAAATGGGAAGTTTGGATCATTAAGGTAGGCGAGATGAGTAGCGATGGTTTCTTGAAGCGATTTTAGTTTGCCTCGTAAGGCTTCTAATTCCTGATATGTATTGGGATCTAATTGAAGCTGTAAGTGGAGCGGATCGATGGAGTTGTTTTGCATTCCTCAACGTATGGGACGTATGTCTGAAAAAGGATTTAGTAAATTATGATGTGGCACCAAAAAACTCCACTCGACGATTTTTATTTTTTCGTTTTTTGCATAATTGCATTCCAGCTGCAGGATTTAATAAGCGAATTATTCTAATGTTTTCTATGTCGAAGAACCTGCTAGCTAATTCACCAGCTGAGGCTCTGTCAGGCATTCACTCTAGAGAAGAAGAAGCTCTATCAGTCGAGAAAAACTCGTTGATGCTTTGGTTGCCTTGCTATCTCGAAGCAATAGATACGCCTTGTACGCCTTGGATGATGGAAGCATATTACAAACGCACATCCTCTCTAAAAATGTCCTCTGCTGTTCGCTTTTTCTCCCATATGTATTCAATTGGCGTTCACTTTGAGAAGCAACCTAACGACACAAATTGAGTACCGGAAAATGAAAGCTGTGTGTGCACCTAGAGGGCAAAAGCAAAGGGATGACTTTTCAGGCACACTTTCATGCATAAGGATTATGAGGAGTCACATTGTTAGTCACAACAGCCTTTTTTTTTTTTTTTTGACAACTTCGAATCAGGGAAAAAAAAAAAAAAAACAAAAAAAAAAAAAATGACAGCTTCGTCTATGCCACAACGGCCTTTTTTTTTTTTTTTGTGCAAAAACTTCAATCTCTTTGTTCTTTATCCATTTTTTGTTTCGTTCGTCTTCAATTACGCTCAAACACTATCAATTCAACTTTTTTAAAAAATGGGAAAAGAAACTACCAAGTCTAGCAAAGGAGCCCGTTCTCAACGTCATGATCCCCTTCATGTTCAGTTAGCTGATCTGCCTGAAACCAGTACTCTTAGAAAGCAACCTCGACAGAAATTCGTTGAGCGTAACAATAGAGCCGAAGACACAGGAGAGGTAACTAAACTAGTAATTGAATACGGGCATTTATTGAACGGCTGAGCTCATGTTCTTCATTGTCATCATCACACCATCGATCGATCCCATCATAGGAATATTTGGATGCTAAATTATCCAAGAAAATTTTGAAAATCGCAAGAGAGCAACAGGAACAGATTGAGAAACAGGAAGCTGATGAAGAAGAAAGGTTTGTTTGAAAAATGATTGCAGTCTTCAGAAGGATCGTAGTTGATAGCCTAACATGTTTTACCCCCAACCTATGAACAGAGAGGAGAAAGTGGATAAAAAGAAGTTCCCTTTAGGGTTTGACCCTGATGAAGAAGATATTGATGAAATAGATCAATATGCAGATTATGAAGAGCTTGAAATTGATGCAGCCGATGCAGAAACATTGGAAAAGTTTATGCCCAGTGCACCTAGACAAAAAAAGACATTAGCAGATATAATTATGGAGAAGATTAATGAGAAAAATGCAGCTGAAGGAAAAGAAGCGATTGAGAAAGAGGATGAGTTATCACCTTCTATGAACCCCAAAGTTGTAGAAGTTTATACAAAGTAAGGGCACATGTTGGGTAACTGTCCAAGGAAGGATGCTCTTTTGACTAATCATGGCTATGGTTGTAGGGTCGGTCAGTTATTAAGTCGTTATAAATCGGGTAAATTGCCCAAAGCGTTCAAGATTATTCCCTCATTAGCTAATTGGGAAGAAATATTATACCTCACTTCACCTGAAACATGGACACCGCATGCTACTTATGAAGCCACTCGTATGTTTGTTTCTAATTTGAAGATCAAGCAAGTACAACGTTTCTTTTCACTCGTTCTTTTGGACCGTATTCGTGACGATATTCATGAGAATAAGAAATTATCTTACCATCATTACTTGGCACTCAAAAAATCACTCTACAGACCTGCTGCCTTTTTCAAAGGGATCTTATTTCCTCTTTGCGAGTCCGGCAACTGTACCTTGAAAGAAGCAGCTATCGTCGGTAGTGTGTTAGCCAAGGTCTCCGTCCCTGTATTACATTCATCCGCAGCTATTTTACGTTTAGCAGAAATGGAATATACCGGTCCCAACTCCCTTTTCATCCGTATCTTGCTCGATAAGAAATATGCTTTACCTTTCAAGGTCGTGGATGCACTGGTGATGCATTTTGCTCGTTTCATGAATGATCCCCGTGAAATGCCTGTCCTTTGGCATCAATCTTTGTTAGTCTTTGCTCAACGTTATAAGCAAGATTTGGTGAGTGAGCAGAAGGATATCATTTTGGAAGTGCTTCGAAAGAAACCTCATCATGCCATCTCACCTGAAATTCGTCGTGAAATTGTTCACGCTCAAGCAAGAGATGAAATGTTGACGGGAAGAGATGAGGCTGATGATGATATTATGATGATGGATTAATCGTTGCCAACAATTGTTTCTTTTTTTTTTGTTTTTTTTTTTTTTTAAAAAAAAAAAAAAAAACAAAAAAAAAACGCTAGGAAAACAATGTCAATAACCCTACGCCTTTCGCTTTTTTTTCCTCGCCCCTAATACATGTTTTAATCATTTACATTTTTTCCAACTCCTGTACTTTACTATGTATATCAAATAAAAGAAGATTTTGTGTTTGCTTGTCTTTTTTATGAGGGCTTTTGTAACATTATTTATTGATATCATCATATATATGATAATGGATCGAAAAAAAAAAGAAAGCAACAATCAATGATACAAGTAAAATAAAGAAAGGGGAGAAGGGCCAGGCATGGCAATGGCTAAGACCCTTTAAATAAAGAAAAAGACCATAGGGCAGATTTAGCATTGTGGTGGAATGCTTATATTGGCGGAAGGGGAGGTGAATGCATGGTCTGGGAAGGCGGAGGAGATGGAACTGTAGAGTAGGGCATTTGCGAGGGTGTTGCAGGTGTTGGTGGAGGTATATTGTTATTATTGGTTGACGTACTGATAGAGGTCATGGTATTACCGGTTGGCGCTGCGGCTAATCTTTTACCTTTCAACATATTTTTTAACGCCCTTAAAGCGAAAACTGTTAAACCGATACCAGCCCAATCTTCATCATGCAAATCACGTAAATCACCAACCGTCATGATATCTTGATTTTGGAGCTTGCGAGCCCATTCGTGCGCTTTGTCGATACTACGATGGGAAGCCTGAGCGCAATCACCTACAAACACGCTGATATCTGTGTCATCGGAGTACTCTAAAGCAGTAAAAAAAAAAAAAACCAACAAAGTAAATGAACTGCGGCTAATGGCAACGATCTTCTATCAAAATCGAAACCCATACCATCTAAAATGTGATTGACTAATTTCTCTCTTTCTCTATCCTCTGCAGGAACAGCGGTGGCGGCGGCGGCAGCAGGGGGTGCGGCATGCCCAGTGTAAATGTACATATTCGCCATACTATCAATGATGGATGCCTTTCGCTGACCTTCATCCTCATTCGCAGCAGCAGATGTTGTAGGAGTATTCGGATTACCCGCTGTGACAGGTGACGTCGCTGCAGACATTTTCAGTTCTTCTAACTCTCGTAAACTTCTCAAAGCCTCCCGATATCTACTTTCAGCTGCTCTCGCTCTCGTTTCGAAATCTTCGCATTTCTGCTCGATCTCCAATACGCGATCTGTCGCATGGTTCAATTCTCTCCGTGTTCTGTCTAACTCGGTGCGAATATCGCTTTCTCTTCTCCAGACCGATCGATGGACCTGATCCACTTGTTCCGATTCAGTAGGCTTATTGATATCGCGTAAAATGCGATTGATCTCCTTTGTAATATGTTGTTGGTAACGTTCAGGAAGCACCTGTTCATCGATCATTTCTCGCACTACTTCTTCTGCTGTATCGGTCTCTACGTTGAAATCAAACTTGACGGAAAGTTTATCCATCCCCTTGAAAACGACTTGTAGGGTGAGATGAATATTGTCTGGATCAGCTGCCAACAGAACGACGTCTGGCTCCACTGCCAAAAATGAATGCTCCAGAATTTCTTGAGCTGACATACGCTGGTCTTCCGGACCAAGGCAACTTTCAATGATATTGAGAATTTCCGGATTATGCACTTTTGACAAAGCGGCTGGTTTAATCCCCTATACCGATTCAACATTAATAAGCAGATGAGTGATACAGCAGGGTCCCTCATCATAGATATACAAAATAACTTACCGCTGACACCTTTTTATAAATTTGAGCAGCATTTCTACATTCACCATAAGGATATTCCCCTGTTACCATTTCCAACAGACACATACCGAAAGCATAAATATCGACTTTTTCATTGTATCCTTTTTCCTCGTACATTTCGGGTGCCATGAATTCGGGCGTGCCAATAAGTGTATATTTCTTGCCCAACTTCATTTCAGCAGTACCCATGTCACCAATCTTGACCTCACCATGGGCACCGTTAATGAAGATATTATCGCACTTGATGTCGCGGTGAATGATAGGGGGTTCATGACCATGCAGATAGGCCAGCCCTTTCAAAATCTGTCGAGACCAACGTTTGATGATTTTGAGGTTGGGTAAAGGTGCCAGTTTGCGAATATATTCTCTCAGTGTACCGGACGTCATCAGTTCTGTCACAAACACAAACTCATTCTCGCCGTACCAAGCGTCATGGAATGCAATAATGTTTGGATGACGCACTGATTTGAGAATCTGTATCTCATGTTCCAAATCCTTGTTGTTGTTGAGGGATGCCATGGCCTGCATGGTATTCCATGCCACTTCATATCCTTCCTCGCGATCGATGGCTTTATAAACTACTTTGTAAGCACCTTTACCGAGCAGAGTGTTGAGCCTGACATAACGTTCATTGGGTGACACTTCAACAACAGCTTCGGCATCGAGTGAATGCGACTGATCGTTGATCAACTCATGATGGCCGCCGCCATTGTTGTTGGCGGTCATCATTCCTTCCGTTGTTGTAGGAGTGCGAAACGAAGTACGCGTAGGGTAATTGTTATATTCATGCTGATGCGCCGTCGTCGTCATTGTTATTGGTATAGTATCATTGTTGATATTATTTTGTTTATTGGCGTCAAATGATTGAGATAACGGTGCATAATAATTAGAGTATGGATTATTATTATTGCTGTTGTTGCTGATGCTAAAAGTACTATCTACATAATTATTACTGTTATTATTACTACTGCTACTAATTGTACGTCTATGCTGGTATGCGTTATTGTTACTGTCTATATCGTTATTGGTTATTTGTTGCTTATAAACATCTGATGTATAATGGATATCAGATGTAGGCGACTGCTGGTCTATAGGCGGCTGCTCCTGTTCTTGCTGTTCTGAAGAATTTTCCATTGAGGACATTGTTTTTTTGCTGATAGATATGAATCTAGCCAATAAGAATTTTCACTAATGATAAACAGTTTTCTTTTTGCTGTAGGATGTATAAGTGTGTGTGTGTGTGTGTGTGTGTTGTGTAGGTGTTTATAGAGCCAAAAATAAAAAAGAAAGTGTATTTCTAAAAGCCAAATACAACAATTTTTTTTTTCTTTTTTAATTCAATTGACTCTATGCATTCAATAAACTTTGTACTTTAATGATAATTACAGATTATTTGAATTTGGCGTTGATAAAAAGACAAAGGCCTTTTCTGTTGTAATCGAAGCGTAATATGTAGGAGCAATGAGACTCTCTTTTCTAAAGCTGAAAGAGAAAGAGAGAAAGAAAAAAGGAAAAGAAAATATTTTTTTTTTTTTTCTGCTGCAGAAGGGAAAGCCCTAATATGATGAGGTCTTTTTTTATTTTAGAAAAAAATCAGCCAAGCTTTTCCTATGGGCGCTACAGTTTTTTAACTTTGGGTTTAAACGAAGCCGCAATATAACTAGACAAAAGAAACAAATTTTTGAAACGATTAAGTCACAGTTTCAAGATCGAACTACATAAAAATTGAGACGCTTAAATGTAAAAATCAAATCAGCTTCGTGCTTGCGAGTGACTTTGGTTTTCTAGAAAACTCCGCAAGTCTTCCTGTTAACTTCTAGATCGAAACGCTAATTGCCAACATGTTTTTAGCAGCGTTGACGTCCCGGTTTTAAAGTATTGAACAGGTTTTGCAGGCAAGGATACTTTGGCCGGGAACAGTCTTCAATGCTTCAAGATTGTTGGAACGGCAATTATTGCATATTCGAGAGGTTTTGTATTCATCAATTGTTGTCGTCAGTAAATCACCAGCAGCCTCTCTTCGCTTTAAGGCACGCCAAAGGACCAGTTTTATGGCCTTTGATGGGCATTGCAGTCTTCCCGAACATGCCATTAGCAACTACAACCAAAGGGACCTTTTTAGTGTTGCCTACACTAAAGGGTTCGGGCTTCCACTTGTTCTTCAGGGAAGTGCTGTAGAAATCATGAATTCTATCAATCTTTCTACGGATAGTGGATGAATTGCTAATTATCCAAAAACCTTACCTATCTTTCTTAGCGAGAGCATCGCTTACTTCTCTCGCATCTGCTTCTTTCCTCTCTTCTGGAACCTTTTGCTTCTTTTTCTTCTTCTTTTTACGTTTACAAAAGGCCATTCTGTCGGTATTCTTCTTTGGCCACTTGTTTCGATCTTTCTCCTTCTTCAACCTCAATTGCTTATTGTACTTTGTGGTTCCATTAATAAGCATATTGACCCTGTTGCCGGCGGCACGCTCCTGACCGTGGTATAGACAAAATATGTCTTCAGCAGCTCTTTCGCCGTAAAAAGAGAACAAGGCTTCGAAGTGCTGCAATATATATTGTACATGATGGTCATGTTGTTTGATGATAGAAGTTTTTGGCGGTTGGTATGCCACTTTCGATCATTTTAATTGTGCCTGCTTTCTTCTTTTCCAGCTTTGCAGCGTGTCTGGTACTTCTGGTCATACGATAATATTCCTTGGTAGAGCAGCTGGGTACTTAATGTTTGTTATGATCTAGTCCGATTGCCGCTGTGAAGGCAGATCTTCGCCCTGGATCAAGGAAAGCGGGTCTGTAATTGTCTTGTATTTCGTCATGAGAAAAATCTTCCCAAAGTCAAGGTGTGATTATGAATGGTCATGTCTTCTTTTGCTTTCTTTTTGCGGCTGAACAAAAAGCCTACAGTAAAACCGTCCGACCTAACCATGTTTCGAAACATTACATCAGAACTTTCCTTCAAAGCGGTTATACTATGACACAAGCAAAGATACGGGTGTGGTTACTATTAGGGATAATTTTGCTGAAAAAGTTCTTCTATAGGTTTTACCTCTTAAAGCCAAACTTTTTGAAGTTGAAGACTTTGCAGAATTGTTCGAGTTGGGCTGTATAACCTTTGGCAACTTTTCCATTCGAGGGAACGAGAAGTAGAATGACCCTGTAAGTCACAACTGAAGCACTTGATATCTCCAGTTGTTTGCTTCTTTTCTTCCTTGGTTTTAGCTGATTGCTTACGTTTCTTGCCGCTACTTCCAACTAAATTTCTGTTAAGCAAACATAAACTTGTCTTGCAGTGAGAGCATGATTACTTACCATCACGCGCAGAAACTGCTTTGTAAAACTTGCATTCATGGTATGCCTTGTTGAAATGTCCGCGTGTTTTGCAATCCTTGCACTCGATGCTTACTAGTCATACGAAACATGAATTGAGGGTTACCACTATAACCTATTTGTGGCAGCGCGCTCATGTGTTACTTACGGAAGGACTCGTTTTTGACTTTATTCTTATGGGTTTCTGCCACCGATTTATTTTTTTGCAAGATTTTGGCTTTGTACATGGTGAGTAGTAGCTATCAGGATGAGGAAAGAAGTATAGAAGAAAAAGATAGAAATCAAAGGAAAGATGTCAAACTTATTTTCTGGAAATGCTTTGAGTTTAACAACATCTATTTTTTATTACGATTGACAACAACAACGGTTATCTACGTGGCGGAAGAACGTGTTTGGGATCAGTTTAACGCTTAGATCAATTCATATGATCCTGAATAAAGTCTCGTAAACCACAACCCTGTATCTATTGCTGATAAGCGTGTCACACTAAAATACTCAGTACGTCTCGTAGTACTTTAACGTAATGCCACTATCCACTGAAAATGTCCAAGGACCTTCAAAAAAATGTCTCCAATTATTTATTCAATGAATTGTCCAAGAATATTATACCATTTCATTCTAAAGTTATTTAAAATTATCTAAATTAAATATATATATTGTCCAATAAAATTGTGTAGAGTTGAAGCTAAAACACTATATTTTCTTTTTTTTTTCCAAATCCGAGCTGGAAACTTTTTTTTTTTTTTGCTCCAGTGACCCACAACCCATCGTCACCTGAAACACAGAGCTGATAAGCTTACATTATGACTAAATTGGGGGAAAAAAAAAAAAAAAAAAAGAAAAACGGAAAGCTTACAAAGACAAGAAAGTGAAGGGTTTCTCGTTTATCAGTGTCAAGAAGAAAGTAAAGCTTCTTGTTTTTTATTGCTATTCTTCATGCTCGATGGCCGTTTTTCTAAAGCAGATACAGATGGCTGTGTTAAGGTATTGTTCAAAGATGTTAGGACTGTTTGAAGACGCAGTAATTCTGACTCTGTCTCGATTGGTTGGCTATTGAAATGGTGCGACGGGTGGCTGCTGTGTTCCTGCTGTTGGTTCTTTAGCTTTTGTTGTGCCGCTTTATCTTCCATCATCAGATTGTTTAATTCATCTTCTAGTTCTTTCTGGCCCTCTTTGCCGCCTATCTGTTCGTTATGAATCGCTTGATTACCTAATGATAAAGTATCCTCTACTTCTTTATGTTCGTCCAAGGTATCCTGCAGATGATCCATTGTCTCTTGCACAGTATCTACGTTGAAATCTTTTTGATGTAATAGTGTTCTTAATGTATCTGCGCCGAGATTAAAGGCATGGACGATTTGCAAGTCGTTCTGGGCTGTTTCAATACGAAGAAGAACGGTCTCCATCGTTTCCAAGACTTTCAGATTCTTCTCCAAGAGACGTTCGACTTTTTGTTTCTTTCTCAAGAAGTAGACAGCTTGTGACTTATGCTTGTTTCTCAACTGTTCTCGTGACAGATTGAGTAATTCTTCTGACTTGACCTGTAATTCGTTCACTTGCCGACTTAGAAGCGCACACATACTTTTCACTTTAACGATCGCTTTATCGTTCTCTACTATCTTTGCCGACTCTTTCACGGCTTCTCGATGCGTTGGAAATTTAATGATGATGGTCCTTGACAGGGTGGTTGTTTGCGTCTCTTCTACGTCTACGCCGTGATGAGCGTGCAGATACCGCAAAATCAATATCAAATCTAAATCACTCAACTGTATTGTCCCTTCTTCAGGGGACGTCATCGTTCCATATTTCTCTTTAAACTCCAAGAATGTCAACGTATGGTCTAGGGAACTGCATAAAGGTGTCTGATAATGCCGTTCTATTATTTTCCTAGAGAATTCATGTACAGTAGGCAAAACAATATACAGATGTTTGGGGGTTTCTTTCGGTATCATCCAATGGTATAACCATTGAAACCAACCTTCATTGCGGTTGGTTATTGTTATTTTGATTGGGTATCGCTTTTCGTAATCATTTTGTAGTAGGAGAGGGCCTTCTTCTTTGCTTATTTCTTCCTAACGTTGTTTGTGAAAAAAATAATTCGTCGAAAGGATGAGTATACTATTCAACTGCGGGCGCAGAAATGACCTACTTACCACCACGTTATCCATGGACAGAGGTTTGCCCATCTTGGGTCGGTAAAATAATTCTGCCAGCTCGTTAGAGTCAATGAAGCAGCTATTTTCTGTCGTGGACAGGAAACCGTGTAAATTGCAGTCTAACATCACTGCTTTCCAATAGTTGATATTGGCTACATAACCATAAGGGTTCAGTAGCTTGAGCTTGGAAAAATCAGAGTACAACGACTTCAATCGGTCCGTCGTCATTGCTTGATCAAAGTCGACATATTGTAAAGATAAATAATGTTGTAGTCTTTGTCGTCTTTCTGTAGTCGTTGAATTTATAGTATTGACATGAACACTATTGTTGTTATCATGGCTGTTTTGGCTTTGAAGTGTAGTGTCAACTGAGGACATGGAATGGCCAAGTGAAATAAGGTGATCTTTTGAAAGGGAAAGAAAGAGGGTCTAAGAACTCTTTTTGCCAGTTTGAAAAGAATTTGAGATTTATGCAAATTGTTGGCTGAGCTGGTTTTTTTTTTTTTTTTTTGGGAATAAAAAGAAAACCCTGAAAAAAAGGAAAAAGAGTTTCCCCAGACTTTCGAAAACTCTTCAAGCCGATCGATCCTTCAAAAGACAACTTGCATTTCAGTATGGAAAACTTATTTTTTTGCACTATTATAGGAGGGAACGATGGAAATGGCGGATGGTTTGATTGACTTGGATCGTTTGACATTTTCCTTGTCGTAGATGAGCAGCAACAGAACCAAAGAAGCCGTGCAAAATGTTCTTGTAGGAACGACTTTGACAGGTAAGGAACATGATGCTCCCCTCACCCCACCCCCACCCCCGCGAAGATATTTTTTATTTTTTACTAAAGACAGTTTGAAATATTATGGTATGGTGGGTGGATTCAATAAGCATAGCCGTCCTGGGTGGAACGGTAGGAGCGACCACAGCTACTCTATTCAACAAGCCAGTAAAGACGTTTGCCTTCAACGTTTGTTTACTTTCTGGCATGTACGGGTCAACATTTTTCTGTGAGTATATTGATGAAAACGAAGCGCTTTCCTTCTTCAAAGCCTGTACGATGCAATATCTAAAGAGTGATGTCTTTTTTTAGTGGTTCGAGAAACGTTTATAAGTTATCAACGACAGAAAAATAGTTATTTTGGGCTAAAGAACTCAGTGACTAAAGATCACGATGCTATGCTAAGCAGTACTTTAGCAGGCACCATGACGGGTGGATTAGTCAATGGTATTTTTAAAGGACCTCGTGCTGCACTGCCCAGCGCGGTCGTGATGGGTGCGCTTTGTTCAGGTCTTCAGTTTGTTTACACCAAAGTGAACCATTGGCGACAAGAGGCCATTATCAAAAGTGGTAGCCTGGATGGCGAAGATGTTTATCCCAACGAGGATGATCAACCCAAGAAGAGTTTCCTACAACATATTCATTTACCGAGCTGGTTCCCTATTCGTGAAATATCAGAGGAGGACTATAAAGAATTACTGGATACCAAGTTACACACATTGGAAGCCGAATTAGCGGAACTACAGAAGAAACTGGATCAACAAGAAAAGGCAACCAAAGAATTGAAATAGGGTCTAATGTAAAAACCATGCTCCACCCTTTTTTTTCGATACAGAGGAGGATGCTCTTCTTAGCCCCAATGGCTGGAAAAAAAAGACAAAAAGTTTCAATAGTGTACACACAAAAAAAAAGAGTATAGTTCGCCCCCGCCTCCCCCGCCCCCGCCCCTGCACCTCCCCTCTTTTCTTTAAAGATGATTATTATGATAGTTATTGATAGTATATCCTTTCATGCTTGCAAGTTGTAGAAAAACTGTTTTATTTGACATCTTTCTTACTTCCAAAGCTTCTTCAAACTGGTGTTTGCATCTGAATCCTTCTTCATCACCTTGGCCACAGACATTTCGAAATCTTCTTGAGTCACATGAACACGACGTTCACGTAAAGCAAACATACCCGCTTCCGTGCAAACTGCTTTCACTTCAGCACCGCTACTTCCACTCATTTTTTCTGCAATTTTACGAAGGTTGATACCACGGGTCAAGTTCATTTTACGTGAGTGAATCTTTAAAATATCAGCACGAGCTTCTTCACTTGGTGGAGGGAATTCAATTTTACGATCAATACGTCCCGGACGTAGTAATGCAGGATCCAGAATATCTATACGGTTGGTGGCCATGATCACTTTGATGTTCTTTGTAGCTTCAAAACCATCCAACTGATTCAATAATTCCAGCATTGTTCTTTGTACTTCAGAATCTCCTCCTCCTCCTCCTCCACCGCTTTCCATACGAGCTGAGCCGATCGAATCGATTTCATCCATAAAGATAATAGAGGGAGCGTGTTCTCTAAAGCAGCGTTAACATAGGACACAATGAGTTTTGTTTTATCCATTTCAAAAAGGAGTTGGGAAAAGCAGACGAGTCTCTACATCGGATAACGTGATGGATGGTTTTTTATTCTCTTACCTGGCCATGACAAAAAGTTCTCTCACCATTCTACTACCTTCACCGATATATTTTTGTACCAATTCTGAACCCGAGACACGGATAAAACGACAATCTGTGTGATGGGCGACGGCTCTTGCTAATAGTGTTTTACCTGTACCAGGAGGACCATACAGCAATACACCCTTGGGTTGAGCAATACCCAGCGATTCGAATAGTTCAGGATGTTTCACGGGTAGTTCAATGACTTCCTTGATTTCCTTGATTTGTTGATCTAAACCACCCACCATTTCGTAAGTAGAATCGGGTACTTTTTCGACCATCATGAGTGATACGAGAGGGTCAATCTTGTTGGGTAATACTTTATGAAGTTGGTAGGAATCGTTACGGAGCGCAACACGTGTTGTGGGTGTAAGTTGACTGAGGTCGATATCCGAAGCAATGTCAACTACGAATTTGCCTTCAGGATGAACCTAAGGGGAAGAAACACATTAGAAGGCTGATCTCTTTTCTTGTCCTATCGGATGCTGTTTTTGTGCATCTGCTGCATTCACAGTGGACATTATCTCATCGTACCTTGACAAGCACTTTCTTTTTGCCCATCACTTTGACGACTTCACCCACATACGATCCGGGCTCTTGTAACAATTGCAGTTCTTCTTTTAAAAGACGCACTATGAGAGCATCGTCCAAGGGTTATGTTTAATTCTCCACGTTGCACGATGTGTTTGCTGCGAATGTCTTGTCTTCTTTTTTCTTTTTTACCTTTGGCATTCAAAGCATTTCTTTGCGCTTCCAATCGTCTCAAATCTTGAGACTTTTGGTTCAAAAGAAGTTCGCAACCCTCAATTTTCGCTTGGTAATACGATTTAATTCCTTCTCTTTTCATATCTATGTATTGTATTTTTTTTTTTTATGCAGTGACGAAGGTCGTAATAGGAAAAAAAAAGGAACTCTATTGCGCGTCTCTCTCTGTATTTTTTTTTCTTTATTCCGAGTGTAGAAAAAGGGAATTCCAAAGTGCGCCGCTTACGTCACGACTTTGGAGGAGTGTACCAAAAAGAGGCAGATTATTTTATGCACGCATCATTTGACGGGAAAATCAAGCAACACGAGAGGGGGATGATGAAATACACCGGTTCTATGCATTGTCTTTTTGTCATTTTTTGGTTTATCAGATGCATTAAGTAGCCATAATGAAGGGATCGTTTCTTCTTTTCCAGACTTGTTCGTAGAACCTACGTCGTGCATCCGAGTGATATTTGCAGCGCAACTCACAATCGCACTCGCCTGTGGAGGCGCTGTCTTTTTTCAAAGAAGCACACGTCTCGTGCTTGGTACTGATCCAAAGCATGGGCACGTCTACCGTCACACTGTACTTTTCCTTCAAAGCACGTGAAATTTTCGATTTCAAGGCGATTTTACGAGCATGGTATTTACTGTTGACGGTGTAGTATCCATGGGCATGACTGAGGTCCACGTGGGTGAACACAAAGAGAACGTTTTTCCAAACGGACTTGGCAGTTTGTTCTTGCGCATGCGTGGATGTGTTGTTGTTGTTGTTGTTGTCGTCGTCGTCATGCTGCTGCACTGGCTGAGCCTGTGGCATGAGCGGTGATATCAACTGAACAAAGGTGTCCATCGTTTTAAAGATAATATCCGCACTACAGTGAATAAAAGGGAAGGGGTTTTTGTTATCCACACCGTTCCCTTTACAAAACAAAAATTGGAGGGGAAGGTCTTTTTGAGGCAAAGTAGGGTTGTAGGACCACGATGAGAGCAAGGAACAGATCTGGAACCAACTTACTTTGTGCTGATTTTAAAGACTAATAAAATGCAATGAATGCCGTCATCCAAAGCCATATCGACCATGGCTTGTTGGATGATGCTTTGAAAATAGTCATCCCGATGAAGAGAGTCACCAAAACCAGGCGTGTCTGTTGCATGGATGTAGCATCCAAAATCTTCCTTCTCATGCATAAAACGATCCAAGGGCGCCCAGAACCCACTCGCCGTTTGCACTTGTTTCGTTTGCGACTATTTTCTTTTTTTTTTTTTGTTTTGATATTTGTGGGAAAGAACGAGGTAAGAACGGATGCGCGTATCCCCGAGTGTATATGTGTGCATTGGGCTCACCTTGGCTGATTGTTTGTGATGAAACACTTGTTTTCCTAGCATATCATTCAGTAAAGTGGATTTCCCATCACCTGTTCTACCGAGTGCTATGATATTCAAATGTTCTTTTCTATGGGTAAAAAAGGCATGATTCGGAACGGATTTGTCAAGGATGGATATGATTGGCTCTGTGCAATACCGCCACCGAGGAGCTTTGTTGTTGTCTCTGTATTCAGATCGTGCTGCGATCATGATGGGATCAAGATCGTGTTCGATGAAGTGGAAAGGATCGTTGATGCTACATTCAGCAACAGCAGCCGCCGCCACCGTAGCAGAATCATCGTGGTAGTAGTTCTCCTGTTCCTCGTTATGAAATAATACGTCCTGTTGGCAATGCATCATGACTGGTTTTTTTTTTTTTTTGATGTGGAGAGTAATTGAAACGATGGGTTGAGATTAACGAAAATAAAGACAAATAAAACCCACGGAAAATGAGAAAATGAATTTCATTGGAAGTCCCCGCATTTTTACAAAAAGTTACAGTTTTTCATGTGGGTTTATTCCGAACTTACCCGTGGTAGCTTGTCTGACTTTTTTTTTTCTTTTGTGGTGGTGGACTTGATTTCATTGATCTCTTTTTCTTTTTTCATTTTCATCCCACTTTGTAGAGTGAAGACGCATCCTATTCATTATTCATTGAATGTTTTCTACTGACCAACTATAAAACGTAGCAACAACAGCAACAGCAACAGCATTAGCAACCACCACAGCGACCTCATTGGCTGCAGAGAAGTAAAGAGAAAGAAAAAAAAACCCCGAAAAACAAAAAAAAGAATACAATCGTCCCCCCCCCACCATGGCTACCACGATCTGGTCAAAAAGAAGAGAGAATAGCAACATGGGCAGTTTAGCATCGGCTCCGTGCACTATCTTCTCGAGTACATCCACGCTTTCGCCTCGTCAAATAGCCAATAAGGCGTTGACATTAGGTTGTAAAAAGCTGGATCGAGACGATAAACGAAGCAAGCAGCGATACCATGTACGCGAACGATTGTTACTGTGCAATACGATAGCCAAAGCAGAAGAAGTATTGAACAAACGCACAAGACGAACGAATCGTCGTGTGTTGGCTGCTGAAGAGGAAGACGAAGATCAGAGTGATGAAGAGTACTTTTCTACAACCAACGGTGGTAGTCAGAAGCAAGCACAGGAGGAGCAAAAGCTGCAACAGCCACAGTCGTTCCATTTTCACCACAAAAATCAGCAAGAATTCACTGTAAAACAGCATCATTCTCCTTTATTACGGGATATTTCCAACGAAAACGAGGAGGAAGAATCTGAGAAAGCGGCAGTGGCACAGAAGAAGACATCAGCACAACCAAGCATCCTACCCACAACAGAGGGTTCTTTTGCTTTTTCGGTCAAGCATCAACCTCATGAGAATACAGACAATAGTAGTAGTAGTAGTAGTAGTAGTAGTAGTAACATCAGCAACAGCAACAGCAACAGCCATTCTAGTGAGACAAATATACCCAACACATCAAGCATCTGTCCGCGTAGTTCCTCGGAAGATAATCCAAAAATGCCCACCATGTCCTCGGCCAATTCGGTGCATGGTAATAGCAGTAGTCATTCATTGTCATCCTTCCTCTCGCCATCGACAACACCAGCATTATCACCTGTTTCTTCCTCCGTCTCATTGGCCTCCTTGTCTTCCAATACTAGCATTCATTTACTTTATCCAACAACAACAACAACCACTGCTGCTGCTGCTGCTGCTGCTGCTACTGCTACTGTTACTGCCAACAGAACAGAATGGGATTGCAGTAAAACAGTGAATGAGAGTAGCAATAACAATAAGCATATAACAAGTCCTACTTTTTACCTTTAAAAACAAAATTCATTGTAGAGTTCAAATCCTATTATATCTCACCAAAAAAAAAAAAAAAAAGGAGGACACCGATCCGCCTCGGCAAAGTGTTCAATGTACTGTCTGTTTTAATAAATAAACCCGAGCGCTTTTTCTTTTTAGGGTTTGTGTAGGATGAAAGCAAAAAGACCGTCCATTCCTTTTTTAAAGGTGTTTTTTGTGCTATCCTCTGGATCGAGACGGGCTTTTTTTTTTTTTTTTTTTTTTTTTTTTTTTTTTTTTTCTGTGTATTGTTGGATCCATCTCTAGCGGACATTGTCCAACGAACGAGAGATGTGTGTGGTCGTTTTCATTCATGAGGCAATAGATAAGAGTGACTCTAGACGATCCGAATAACAGGCTTAAAATGACAAAGAGAGGATCATCCTCTGGCATGTAGTCATCTGCTCCCACGAAGGTTGGATTCTGCAGAAGCGTGTTTCACCAAAGAATAGTTGCCATCATTTTGGATTATCGTTACAGAGAGTCATGCATCATAAAAACCAATTTCCCCCCCCCATTCTGCCTGAGAAACTTGATTGGCGTTTGCATTCCAAAAAGATACGTGATGATGGATACCACGGCTTTTCTGACCACGTCATGAAGGGATCCCCCAAGCTTTATCTGATAAACATTCTTTAACAATGAACCTCTTTTTAGCCAATGGAGAATGTGTTGGGATGATTACAACCTTACATCATACCCGCCCATCAGTGTTAGCCCTTCCGGCCTGATGCTTTTTTTTTGGTCAGTTTAGCAGACAGAATAGAAAAAAGAGCAAAAAAAAAAAAAAAAAAAAAAAAAAAAAAAAAAAAAAAAGCATACAGCTCCGCGAGAAACAGGGGTATCTACTTTACTGTTAGATCTTGCTGGTTGATATAATTTATTGATCATCAGAAAAGAAAGCTTCCAACCTATGAGCAGATAAATGGTGTCCACTCTTTCATCTCCACACCTAAACCAGTCTTGAAAATGACACAGGCAAACTTTTACTGGCGTTGGTCTGTGCATAATTTCAATTGTGGCGCGTAGAAAGGATAATGCGAAGAAAAGAAAAGAGCAGGCATAAAACCCCTCAAAAAACGGACAATAATATGCTCCATTTTATTTTATTTTTCTGTTTACAAGGGTCCAAGATGCAATATCAATTAGATGAGAATCACCCATTTTTGGGTCCCCTTTTTTTTATTTTTTTTATATTTTTTTGGGATTCTCGTGTTTATAGCTTACGACTAGCAAAATCGTACTGGAATAATAGGCGAACTATTCTAGATATATTTTTTTTCTCCTAAAAGGCACATTGTAACCCAAGGGCACAATAAAAAAACTTTCTCACCATGAGAACGCGATGATTTCTCGTCTTCCGAAACAAAAAAAGAAAATAAGATTCTATTTTTTATTAAAACAGAGTTAAAAATTCTTTTCTAAAAAAGGCAATTTCGTCCCCTCCCCCTTTTCCCAAAGGGTCTTTTGGAAAAATTAAAGAATTTTTTTTTCTCAAAAAAAAAAAAGGGGGGTGGGGGCGGAAATGGATGTGTTTCGTTTCCATGCACCAAAGACAAATCAGATCAAAATTTATATACATTTATCAGATATATTTTTCATTAGAAAGATGGGGTTTTTTTTTTTCTCTCTCTTTTTTTTTAACCAGAATAGTAAAAAAATAAGAAGAAAAAGGGTATGGCATTTTTTAAGGGGGGGTGTGATTTTTTTTTTGTAAATAAGGGGAAAGCAATATCAAAAACATAAAAAAAAAAAATGAGGAGAAAAGAATGAAGGATGGGGGTAAAATAGAGAGGGGGGGGGAGGGAGTTTTTTTTTGTGTTTTTTTTTTGTTTTCGTGTTTCAAGAATATCCAAGGAAAGAGGGGAGCAGTGATGGACGATATAGAACTTTCTATCTAAATCGGGAAAATGGCATTCTAGAAAGAGAACATCCATTCATTCATCCAACACTCGCCCCTCTCCCTTACATGGTCTGTAGGTTCAAGTCGCAGTATTTTTCCTTCTTTTCATGGGAGGCAGAATGTCATGTACGGGTTGGTTGATTAAGGAAGAAATGGATGGAAGAGCATTGGAATGTCTACTGCTGTTGTTTCCCAGCGTGCGTTGAGTCGAATGATGATTGCTACTACTGTTGCTGTTACTACTGCTGTTCGAGTGACGGTGATGGAGTGAAGGATGATGATGATGTTGTTGACTGCTGCGACGTTCTTGTGGCTGATGTGAATAAGAGGGTATGGGTTGAGGCTGATGTGACAAAATACTGGAACGAGAAGCGCTATGAAAAGGATCATACACTGAAGAAGTCATTTTCGCTCTTTCTCCATCTTCGTCCTCTTCGTCTTCTTCCTCATCGTCGTCCTCGTCTTCATCTTCTATATCTCCATCAATATAAGATCGAGTGCTTTCATCCAACTCGTCTATTTCTTCGTCTTCTATATCGCGTACTTTCTGATTGGCTATATTTTTGACTATGTGTGCAAAGGAAACAAGGGGAAGGGGGGATGGGGTGGGGAGTGGCATGGTTAATAGCTGAAGAAATAAGAATAGATTGTTTTCTTTTTCCCATCTCTACCTGTATTGAGAAACGGTAAACTATCATCAATGATATCAGGATCTACAACAAAAAGAAAAGGGAAGGGTGGTCAACGCAAAAGACAAAGAGGGCCTCTTCATGGTTTTGGAACGCACTTTACTCTTTTCAATGACACGCGTAATAAAGTCTACTAATACATGAATCGTCTTTTTGTTGATGGTAAAAAACCCATATAAAATCAATGCATGGTTTTTTTTTTTTTTTCAAGAGCGCACTTGGAGGCTGTTCAAGAATTACCTTTTTCTGTTCAGCTTGAATCTGACTTAGTTTGATGGTCTGTCTGAAGAGATCTTCTCGTCGTTTATCCACCGATCTTAGTTTTCTTTTGAGCTCAGTAATTTGTTCCTTGATAACATGGTCTTGAAGCACATTTTGCTGCTGAAGCGTCATCAAGACCGCAGCCGAAGCCGAAGAAGTAGCAGGATTGAGAAAGCCATTGTCACCAGCAAGATTGCTACTAAATTGATAACGTTGTTGTGGATGATGTTGTTGCTGCAATAAAGCTGCTGTGCTTGCGTTGGCCAATTCTTGTTGTTGTTGTAATAACTTTTGCTGGCTCAACAATTTGGGTGTTCTTCTTTTGACTTCCACCAATTGTTCGGGTCTGTCTTTTCTAAATTTCTCGTGTTTAAATTGCCAAACCGTCCTTTTTTCAAACGTATCATCGTAAGCCAAATTCAATTGATAGACTTTTCTAAAGCCATACACTAAATTTGAATAAAGTAAAGCATGATAAAAGGCGCCATTGAAAAAAAAAAAAAAAAAAAAAAAAAAAAAAAAAAAAAAAATTTAAAAAAAAAGGGAAATTTCAAAGAAAAATGATCGAATGACGAAAGAAAAAAAAAAAAAAAAAGAAGGAAAATGGTTAGTCAACCGTTGGCTTTTTTTTTTTTTTTCTTTTTTTTCGTTCTAGAAAATTTTTTATATATTTTTGTAACAAAAAGGGAAAATTTACGATTTAGTTGTCTAACAAAACTTTGCCAGTTGCTATGCTTGAAGAATCTTGGTAAAATAACTTGAGAAAAAGAAGTGGCGTTTGGAATACATATTGTTTGTCCACTGTCTACCCAAAATATGTGCTCTGCTGACGCTTTATCTGTTAGAATACTACAATATTTTTTAAATGTTGTTAAAGAAAGGGGTGCGTCTTTTCTGCTGTATTTTTCTAGATTACGAATGAGTTTCCTTACAACCAAAGCTTTTTTATAAACGATGGCAAAGGTCTCTTCTTGGATGTGCCTTCGTAATTTTCCGTAGTTAAAATTGTCTCCATTTTTGGTTTTGATTTATTCTTTTTCACAAATGTTTCAATGTTTAACAAAATGTTTTAGAAAAAGAATAAAAAAGGAGAGGAGAAGAACAAACAACAACAACACAACAACAGAAAAAAAAAAAAAAATCCAGACAAGTAAAAAAAAAAAAAAAAAAAAAAAAAAAATGGTAATAATAATAAATAAATAAAAAGGAAAAAGAGCGTTACTCTTTTTTTTTCTTATTTCCGCTAGAAAAAAAAAATCTGCTAAGTGCAAATCCTAAAAAACAAAAACAAAAAAAAAAGGAGACGGAAAAAAAGAAATAAAAAGAGTAACGCTCTTTTTTTTTTCTCGCTCACACACACAAATTCATTCACACGTATTCTGGAGCGGATGATATCCATGCATATCCACAGACCACAAAAAAAAAAAAAAAAGAAAAAAGTTTCATTTTCGACCAATCAAATAGGCTTTCTCTTTTTTGTTCTCTCGCTGTGACCATTTTTAGGCTAGATGTCTTCCTTTTATTTCACCCTCTTTCAAACGCTGTTTAAGCATCATCACTTGATGCAAGACTTCCTCGTCTTTATCAAACATGGTAAGCGCTCTATCACAGACATCTTGTATCAAGTGAAGAGCAGTTTTATGCCAAAATCCGATGAAACCGTCTTTGTGTTGAAGAGAAGCTAGACATACAGATAACCGATCTGCCGAGCTTAGGGACATGTCTAGAAACGTTGTTTTTGTTAATGTCTGTTCTTCTTCTTCTTCTTCTTCTTCCTCTTCTTCTTTTCTATCACTATTCACAAAAGGGCCATCGTCGTAATTTTTTGTAATTGTACTAAACGGTCGAAACAGTAGGATCTTGATCAAATTATGAATCATATGCATGTGCATGACAACTCCTGCAGTACATGCCTGCATCCCCCTTGCTATCTTTGTTCTTGTTGCTGTTTTCGTTGTCTTTGCCGTGGATGTCATTGTACACGTAGCCATGGGAGCATCTTGTTTCTCCTTAGACAGCCCATGGTCATCCCATTTAGCCCACGTTGGAAGCTCTTGTTCCCATAGTTCCATATCCCTCACTAACGTCAAGACATCATCCACGTCGATTTTTCGTATCTGTACTTTTCTTTTCTTCTTTTTTTTTCTTTTTCCGAGGTCGTCGTCCTTGACGATAGATCCATCGTCCTCCTGGCCCACGCTATGAGCCGTTTCTTCCTTCTCTATCAACAGCCTATCCTCCTCCTCCTCCTCCTCAACCGAGTCCTCTTTTTTGCCGTCCTTCTCTTCTTCATCCTCCACTTGGTAAAATAAACAAATCACTTTACTCAAAAACCGCATCAATCGCGCTTCTAAAATAACTCCTGTTTCTCGAACACCGCCCGCCTGATGCTGTGAGGGCATCTGAACCGCGACATCCCACAATTCCGACATCCCTTCTCCTTTCATCTGAGGTCGACGAAACCGAAACGTAGCCGAATAAACATCCAGATACAACAATGAAGCAATCAGAATCTGCCATGCTCTTTGTTCTTGCTGATCATGTTTCTCCCAGTCAACAATCACATGCGAACCACACAAGACACGTAGCGCGATATGAACAATCGTATCTGCTTTATACTCGTTCGATAACGATACGTCTGTGTCGATCCATGCTAATAAGACAGCACATAAAATCAGTGGAAATGTCGTTGTCAATGAGGCTGCACCTCTCTCCTCACGGAAGGACGGTGCTGGCGACGAGAGCACAAGTTCTACCAGCAGCATCGTAGCATATTCTGCGCAATTTCGCCATAAAGACGTCGGCAATGGAGGGCATGTGAGGTCTGCTATACGTGGCAATAATGTGACGGAAACCACGTAACCTGTCAATATACAAATTTGTGTCAGCGGTTCACCCTTAAACGTAGTCGTCGTCGCAGTCGTCGTCGTCGTCGTCGTCGTCGTCGGTGTCGGTGTCGCCAGCGTGGTAGAGGTCGGTAAATAACGTTCAAGTTGTCGCATCAGTAGGTATAAATGATGAGGTACGTTTGTCCACTCTTCATCCTTTCCTTCTGGGATGCTGCTCTCGTTATCACCGCCCATCTGTTTGTCTAACCATTCATAGCGTCGATCCAGATGTTGTATCATATGCGGAATATGGGATTCAATAATCGACACTAATGTCTCGGCACCATTCAACAATGTCCGCACAACATCGCGCGATGTCTCTCCCTTTCCTTGTTGCTTCAATGTCGAAATGATAGTGTTGGTCCTGAGTGGATAATCCTCCTCGGAAAAGAAAAGCGAACGGGTAGAGTAAACAGGTACTCTCACCAGATATTCATCTTCGTCGAGTTCATCCTCTTGATAATCGTAATAATAACCTTTCTGCTGATCATGCTGTTGCTGTAGCCCATCCACAGCATCCCCACCTTCTTCCTCAACGTAATAGTAATAACCTTCTTCATCCTCCGCATCCCAATGGGGTGGTAGATAACTCGCTCCAAAATCACGCATCAGCTGTCGCGTAAGGTTCTTTGCAAACTCATTAAATTCACTGAGCGTCCGCGTCACTGCATGTATCGAAAGACCTTGATTGGTAAGTGTCATGGACCACCCGGCTGGCTCTAAGAGGTTGCTGCTCGTACGGCTGATCGAATGCGTTATCGTCTCCTCTTTCGCCGCTGTTTTTTCTTTTTCTTCTTCGGCGGCGGTGGTAGCTGTTCGTTCCCCCATCCGTTTTTGCTTTTTAAAAGCAGGACCCTCCGCTGAATTCGTCTTTTCAACGCCATCCGACCCGTTGGACTTGAGAGACGGACGGACCGTCCTCATCGGTGTCAGTTGATCCGTCGTTGCTATGGCATCAGCACCTGTTGCTATGGAAACTGAGCATCGTGCATTCTCTGCTGCCTTACCATCGTCCATCGCATCCAGATCCAATGGATGCTCTTCAGGCATAGTTTCCATCCATGTGTCATTCTCTGTCAAAGTGGTGGTGTTATTCTCGCCATCCAACGACTGCATATATTTTACTAGAAATTCTCCTTCTAATTGTCGTAATGTATCATATAAGGTAAGCACTTTTTGCGATAGATCTGTTAGATTGGGCGGCGCATCAGGGTATTCACACTGTCCATGTCCATCCAAAAATAAGAAATCGTTATTGTCAGCATCAATGAACTCGACCGATTGCATACATAACTGAAAGATGGCTTACAGGTTGATTCGATCGAGCACAACGTGTACAAGTAGGCCTTGTTTTCGAGCACCTGACAAGGAGAAGAAAGGTAAAAAACCAGAAAAAAAAAAACAAACCCTCCCCCCACTATGGTTTCCCCCGCTTTGATGTAAAATTTCTAATTTAACTGTTGAAATATACTCCATACTTTGCTTTCTTTTTCCTACAACGGAGGCAACTCAATCCTTTTGTGTTTGTGTTATTATTAGTAGTAGTAGTAGTAGTAGTGGTTGTAGCCATATCATTATTATCGCTGGTAGGTGTGGATGCATTCGTTGTGGTAGTATTATGAGTAGAAGAAATCGAGCTTTTCATTGCCTTTCCTGCCATATTCTTTTTCTGAAGGATTGATATATAACTATGCAGTGACAGGAAATAAACACAGTAATTACCAACACAAAATTTTAAAATCCCTTTTTTTCTTTTTCTGAAAAAAAGTTTAAACCGTAGAAAAAAGGGGAAGCTTTTGTCTGTTTCAACCTCCGGGAAACCCGCTTCATCATACTCTTGAACAAGGATTTTTATTACTGACATTTTTAAGCTCAATGGACACGAGATATTAAAGGGAGCGATGCATAGTGTCGGTCAGGGTGCCGTGGTGGTGGGCGAAAAAGTATAACTATTTAAATGGGGGGAAGGGGGAAGGGGCTAAACTAACCATTACCATTGGTAGGCTAAGACTTTGGGCATGGTTCGTGACCTTGCTTAATTAAGCCTGGGCGGGCACCACAATTATTCAGAGCTTGTTTAAACACCAACACCGACCGAGAACCACCTTGATAGCGGCATTAAAAAAAAAACCCTAGGAAGCGGAGAGAAAGGGATCAAAGCTGAAAAAATCAGCCGCAACAATCATCGGTTTGGAAAGCCAAGATGCTAGCTACCTCCACCGGGAGCTAGGCCCGCTTCATAATACAAAGCTTTAGCTTACATTTTAGACGATTTACAATTTTAAATGAACAAAATTCATTTTAAATTTAGATTTATTTTAAATATTTTTATAAAAGTTCATAGTATTTTGGATATCAATTTGGATACTCTATTAATCAATGATATCCAAGCAGCATTGAGGATGACATACAATCGAACCCAATAAATGGGTCTCTATCAGTAAAAAAGTTGCCAATAATGGTCTTATTGACGTTATCTTGCAATAGACTGAACTACAAAAAGCTTGACCACTTTTTTATGGTATGACCATGTGTTCCGATAAAGGTTTGATTCAACCTCACCCACTGAAGAATATTATGTGTGTCAAAAGTGCTAGGAAGTGAAGGCTTGATAAATACTTGGAATCCCCTAGAAGGGTGCCACTGATTGTGTTTGATAAAGATGCAGTCAAGTTGAAAGGGCAACGGTGTAGTGTTGTCGGTAAACTTTTTGCAACTCTGAAGAAACATGAAGCTGAAGGTCAATTGATTGTTGTCAAATCCTCTAAAACATGCAGTCTCTGCTTCTATGATGATATGCAAATTGTTAATACTCCTGGATTCGAGGGTACCGGTGTTCTTCATTGCAAGCAATGTCTAAAGCTATGGCAGAGAGACGTTAACGCTGCTATCAATAGGATGACCCTATCTCGAGCAGTTTGGTCTGGAGCGGTAAGACCTGACGCTTTCAAGCCAGCGAAGAAGAAGAAAGTATCGCCGTAATAAACACGGTTTTACTTATATTTTAAGGATTTAGATCATTACAGGTGAGGAATAGTACGGCTTTTTTTGTTTGTTTTGTTTCGCACTACTGACAAGTTTTTGAATTTGAATCATTGTTTGAACGGTTTATATTTTCGTCTACAACACAATTGCAACTTGTCTAAAATGAAAATATTAATTGTCCAAAAAAATATATTTCATCTAAAATATCAGTTACAATACTGTAAGATGTCCATTATCCTTTGAAGCCCTGCATTATTCATGAAATGTACATGTACATATACACAATAGAATTGCTAATTTTTCCAAATGGGTAAAAGTATACATTTTGAAAAAAAAACCCCTCTCTTTTAAATTGAGAACGAATAGCGGTGATTAAAATTTTATGTATAAAATTAGGGTATAATAAAAGTTGATTAATCAATAACGACAAGGCCATTGAAACTTTCATGGTATACAGCTTTCAACAAGAATTCCTTGGGTGTCATTTTTTTCTTTTCCTTCGGTTTGTCCGCATGATTGCTTTCATCATCTTTCTCCTCCATACTGTCGTCGTCATCATCTACTTCACCGTCGAGGAAAGTCTTTACCATAGCAGACGAAAACCCTGAAAGCAACGCTACTCCACTATCCTCTTTTGTTACAGGCGCATTCATTCGAACCGCTGTCGAAGACACTTGCGCAGGCGCTGGATTGCTCCAATCTTGATCTGACAAAGACACTTGCGCAGGCGCTGGATTGCTCCAATCTTGATCTGACAAAGACACTTGCGCAGGCGCTGGATTGCTCCAATCTTGATCTGACAAAGACATCGGCGCAGGCGCTGGATTACCCCAACCTCCACCCGCTGACGAATACACCTGTGCAAGCGCTAAATTCCACCAAACCAACTCAGGCACTTCGTATCCGGCTTCTGCAAATTGCTTGGCAATAAATTCATGAGTTGTCATGAACCTATCCATTCCGTTATCGACAGCATCAAACTCCATATCAGAAAAAATAAACAGACGTTTCACCATGTCTTCAGGAGCGAGCTTGTGCTTTTTAGCCATAGGTAACAAGACATCAGTAAATACCTTGCCTATATCTGTGTTGAAACCCATATTGCTCTGAAGAACCGTCTCGACCTGTTCACTGAACGGCTTGTTGGTATCTACATGAAAAAGTTCAGGCTCGGCTGAAAACGTAATGATGCCTCCTTGAAAAGGCGGTTTAGCAAGATTCGTAATGACAAGTGATAGTCCGATCGCTGCATAGATAGGTGCATTCTCAGGTTTCGTACTATAATTACAGAACATTGAGCCGGAGACATCACATACAGCAATACATTCGCCCAAATCAACACGCTTTGCTTTTTTCTTTTTCTTCATCTGACTGTCCTTGCCTTCTTCGTTCTCTGGCTGCTGCTGTAAGAGGGAAGTATTTCGAAGGGAGGAAATAAGGGTTTCCCATTGTCCGTTCACCATCTGCTTTTGTGCTGTGAGAAACTGATGCTTCAACTCTTCATTTTTGTTTAAAAGCTCAGCCAAACTACCGGACGCATTGCCTGTTTGCACTTGGTGCACCAATTCATGAGGACCCAATGTAGCCCCGCTCACCTTCTTCTTTCCTTGAGCTACTTCTTGCATGTACTTTGTCACAACGTCAGGAGCGTGTTTAAAGAACAGCCCCATATTCTTATCCAAACAAACAGAGGGCATATGCCGAATGTCTACCTTTTCCCATTTTCCTTCTTGCATATAATGCTCGGTCAAGTCCAATGCTTCACGAAGGGGTACCAAATACTGCTTACGATACCTATCTCTGACTCGGTTCAAATAATGAACACGGCTCTCTTCTTTTCCTTGATGCTCCTTTGGTGGAAAGAGTATCTCGGCTATTGACGTCGCCAAAAAAGTATGCTTGTCATGGGAGAGCGACAGAGAAGGAGCCCATTTCGCCGCCAAGCTCAAATTATAACCCAAAGCATATTTGGAGAAGCCGACACTTGCCTCCATTCTACTTTTATTCTTCTGCAACTGCGTCATATCTTCTTTCAGCTGATCCGCAAACAAACGGGCAATCGTGAAATGCAGCGCTCTATACACTGTGTCATGCGTCAAGAGGTCGCACACCTTTTCATTTCTTTGCATACGCGTGTCTAATTTCTTACGTCTTGCTTCCGCCTGGCTGATTTTATCTTGTGCTAGCTTGGCTTCCGTCCTTTTGGCAATGTCTCGAGCTGCTGCATCAGGTGCCATTTTCTTGCGACGTTCATAGCGCTGTTTACGTTGCTGTCGGACTTTTTTCCGATCCGCATGGCCCAAGGTATGGTTACTTTGATGGATCCAGTGAAGAGCGAGGTATTCATCGTTTTTGGGTCCGTTGACTTCATCTTGACAGTAGATGGTTAGCAGAGTACAAAGATCCTTCCAATAGCCGTGCGGCTTGAAATCACGATGCTTCAGCAGCTCATAGGCTTGTCCTTCTTCCTCATGATCATCACCAGCGTTCACCATTTCCCATTCCTCCTGAGAGCTGGCCTTGTCTTTTTTCTTTTTCTTTTTCTCATGCTGAAGTTGAGCCTCCGTTCTTACCGTACCCTCCACAAGTATAGACAAATTGGCGAGAGCCGTACGAGGATGATGTAGAAGCAACCAACAGAAAGCATTGAAAAAAGGGCCTTTGAGGGATTTGCCACGATGAATGGAGCGCGCATAAAAGATGATATGGAGCGTGGTCATGGCATCCTGCGCCCACGCTTGTTCTAACAACCTGTGCGTCTCGCTGCGCTTGACTAATTCAATGCCATAATAGAGGTCCAAAAGAACATCCTTCGTAGAAGCGTGGGTGATGCCTCCGTTGTTTGTATATGTACGGTTGGCGAAATCATCAAATGCTTCCATGAAAGGGTGGCTGCTTGCTTCCTTGCTTGCCTTTCCAGTCTCCGTTGCTATTGACAAATGATCTAAATCAGCGATAATGATACTGTCTTTTTCGTTGACTTGACCTAATCCTGATATAAGTTTATCTAAAAGAGCTGAATCATGGAGTTCTTCAAAGTAGGGAAGTGCAGCAGGGAACGTAGCAAAGGACATTGGTCTCTAAAAAGGGGCGATGAAAAGAGCAACACTAAATGAAACGTCTTTTGCTTCACTTTTTATAAGCTAGTCATTCCATCATCGTTGTCAAAAGTTACTGCGGTGCAACGGCATAAATAGCAAAAAAAGAAATAAATAAACCCTAAAATAAAAAACAGCGCTAAGCGTTTTCAAATACTGTTACAAAAAAAAAAAGATCCGTGTTAGTGTCCTACATGGGGCTTTTTCATTTACTTTGCCACATGCCGTAGTATTTTCAACTCAGATTTTTGGTTCCTGAACGATACAATCTCCCTTTACTTAACGCAACGAATAGAATTCGAGTATACGATCTATGGGATCGGACCAAAGATTAATAGTCATTTCACAGACTAACGTGTCAATAGCCGACGCCAACAGTAAGTTCATGTAAACTATATTACTATATTAAATGTGAGCAATCACAAATTCTTTTCTTTTAGAGACGTAGCAAACTTGGTTCTCAATTTGTGCCTTTGCATCCTTACAAAATAGAATAATTGTGTGCGAACCAAGAACAAGACGAATAAGAAAAAGAACCACAAATTGCACATCGCAGAAATAGTTGATGCTTTCGATCCAATCTTTCATGCCTATTTAAATTTTACTAAAGTCTTATATACCCATTTGTGAGTTGAACAATCTTTAATACCGGCTAATTATACCACCAGCTAATGTTAAACGTGTAGAAACACTATGCAATTATTTGTGTGCTCTCAACTTATATTGCTCAATAAAAAGGTTTATTTTCATACGCATTTGACTGGATCGGCAATATTTACCGGCCTGTCAGTATCATTCAAGAACAAAAATCTCGTTGGCTGTGTTTAGTAAAAAGAAAAAGGCACTATTTGCATTCAATCAGGCTCTGTGTTTCTACTTCTTTCGCTAAAAAGCCTCATATGGAAGAGAAACGACCATCTTTCGGTTTAATACGATGGAAGACGTCGTTTACTTAATTTTTTTGCTCTCCATGTAGAGTTTTATTGTCGACTGGAACTACCATAAGAGAACAAAGCAAAAACGAAAAAAAAAGTTATGCACCCAAATGGTTAAGACTATCTTAGATCTCTCAGCCTCATATTGTAAGCGAAGGGCGCATTTCTATTAACCTTTTTTTTTTTTTTTTTTTTTGTCGCCTTCTACAGTTTGAAATCTACTGCCACAATTATTTTTAACCTTTTGAAACTGAACAGAAAGGATCGTCGTCAACATCCCTCCCCTTTATGTATGCAAATGGCCCATGTTGCAAACTGACCCTGTGGCAAAGTTGCTTAACTTTTTACTCATTTTATCACAAATCAATAAAGCACTTACCTCGTGATCCTATTTGACAAAATCACATCATCCGAATTTGAAGCACACTGTAAAAATGACTTTTAAACAGTTACTATCAATAAAAGACTGTTGCATCGATTTTTGACGTCAAGCAGTGAAACATGCGCCTTAATAAAATAGAGAAAAATCCACTTCATAGCGACCAAATAATATTTCTTCTTTACTGATTACCGTTTCAAAGCCTGCTAATATGAATGTTTTTTCATATACTGAAGTTTTACACAGTTTTATATATGAATATTCTATACAGGCTCTGTTAGCGACTCCCAGGCATGTTATAACCTTAGTTTGTTCGTTTAAATGCCTCTTTCCCCCACTTCTTCAATTTACAGAAATTGTTCCTGCAACGCAAGGAAAGATGGAACCTGATTTTCTGTAGTTTTACCGATCTAAAAACCGTTTATAAAGTTAATAGTGTAAGATATACGTATGAGCATATTTACACAATGCCATTTCTTCTAAAAAGTTGAGCCCAACAAGCTTCGGTTGATGCATCATTGGGTATAAGGAGGTCTTTTCGTGATTGATTTTTTTTTATTTTTTTTTCTTTGCAAATATAAAATGTTATTGACAGTTTAAATAATATATGATGCAGCGCAAAAGTAGCATTAGTTCACTCCACAGTTGTTATTACCATAATTTTAATATATAATTGTAACGACAGGAATTGTGTCATCTTCTCTTTTTTTTTTCTTCCTTTAGACTTACTTTTCTCTATCCTTCATCCTAATAAATAAGCGTTTGCATATATTTTCGATTATACCCACTCTGCAGCAGTTCTTATTACGACACCCATTTCGAACAGACTTATAAAATATCTAATTGATATGCACAAAAGAAATTATTCTTCCAGCTTTTATGATGGTAGATCAACAATAACAGCCCGCGCTTCACAATTTACTATCACTAATTTAGAAAGACGATCTAATCATAGAGAACCGACAAATGAGCGACAGCAAACTTTGGCTGCCGCGTCTTCTCCTCCTGCAGTTATTACTACTATTACCATGCCAACGCCCACCTCAATGAACGTAGAGTGCGATCTACCTGCTACACCACCAATTACAGCAGCTGTGAGCGCAATGGACGCTCCATTACCATTCAGACCCTCTCACTGGAGGGCGCAACCAAGCTATAACACCGATAAAACTCACCATGGCCGTTCAGCGTCAGACCTTGAGGCTGGAAATACCACTAGCCTAGCATCCTTCTTCAGCAGCCACCCAAAAAGGTTGTCGTCAGCTACAGCTCATCCAACGACGACAGGCTCGATGTACCGGCCCGATCTTAGCAGAGAAAACAGTATTGCTACAGCTATAAGTATGAGACGTGCAGATATTATAGTATCAAGAGACAATCCTCAGCATTTGCATCAACAGAGTATCAGTAATTTGAAACAGAATGAAGATGAAGAAACGACAGTGAACGCAGATGAATCGAATGGGCTACAAACAGATATGAAACCATTACAGCCAACGGAAGAAGATGATAAATTATTGTATGAAAAGAAAAAAAGTATAGTCATTTTACTCGGTCGTCTGTTATTAAAATGTGGATGTCCTTGTCACCGAGTGGTAAGTCCATAATCAAAAGGGAAAGAAAAAGCGTGTTATGCCTCTCAAGATACAAACTATGCACAATGTATATAGGATGAAATACTACAGCAAACAGCAAAAATAATAGGAGTAGACGCGGGTTTCACCTTTTTACCGGATGCATTCATAGTTACTTTTGCCCTTTCAGCCGTTTCTCAATCCGTCATGGTGAAAGCACCACAAGGTTTTGACAACGGCAAAATAGCAAAGATCAATGATATTATGAACATGTTATTTCGAGGCATTATCGATCTGGATCGTTGTCTCGTTTTGTTACATGATGTTGCAACTGCGCCGCCGACATGTGGTGTATGGCACACTTTATTCTTTTTCGCAATGGGTAGCTTTACAGCAGCAGCGATGCTGTTTAATGGCAGCTGGATTGATGCGGCTGTCAGTGGTGCATTAGGATTGTTAGTAGCCATGTTGTTTTTGCTATCTGCCAAATTTCCGATCTTTGCTCGAGTGTTCGAATTAACTGCCTCAGCTTTAGTGGCCATCATTGCAAAAGCGCTGCATCAATATTGCTGTTTCAAAACAGTGGCATTAGCATCGTTATTAATTTTGCTGCCAGGTTATACGATGACAGTGGGTGTGGTAGGTTCTACTCCACAGTTGTTGGTAGCAAAACAGATCGAGAAATAATACTAAATGTCATGTACTTTTTCTTAGTTGGAATTATCTGCAAGAAACGTAACGACCGGTATCGTTCGGCTTGTATATGCTGTTTTCTATGCTTTCCAATTAGCGTATGGTTTACAAATCGGAAGCAGCGTCTATAGTGCAATCAACGTGAACGGAACGGAAGGTATCTGTGGTCAAGACCTTATTCCTCATTGGTATTACATTCTTCTGTTACCTTTACTCAGTATTGCCATTGGAATGTCTTATGGCTCATCAAAACGACAATGGATATCACAAACAATATCCGTCAGCATCTCTTTCAGTTTGATCTATTTTTTAGGCAAGGTGATTCCGGACAGTGAAATCGTTAGCAGCATTGCTGCTTTTGCAGTTGGCATTTATTCTAATTTCTCACTGAAAGTGACAGGTGAGCCACCATTATCACCTTTGTCTGCAAGCGTCACTCTACTCGTCCCAGGAAGTATAGGTAAATTAAAGTCCACTTTTTTCAGTAACTAATGAAACTGATCACTTTCGTTTTTCGATATAGGTGTCAGAGGAGCATATACAGCTTTACATGAAAGTGATCTTACCAAAGGATACTTTCCAATGCAGATGCTGACCATGTCATTGGGTTTGGCCGCAGGTTTGTTTGCTTCTGCAATGGTAGTGTATCCTTCTGGTAAAAAACGGTCCCTCTATATATCGTTGTAGAAGAGAAGAATAAATAGACTTCCCTTTGTGCAACAGTGAACATATCACATCCTAACATCAAAGTACCAAATACAGTTACTTATAAGTAGCATTCTAATAATTAATCTATTAAACCCTAATCTGTACAAAATGATATATCATTAAAATGACTGTCTGTATATTCATATTTATATATCTTATGCTATCGCGGAGCCTTTACATTGTGTGCAATTCTAGCTGCCAGAAGCAATCCTCACATCTTAAGACGCCAATGGAGCATGGTATTCATAGTTGTTAATTACTGCGGATACTAATCAGATGAGGATTCACTGTCATTATCGTAATTGGCTAATAGAGATAAAGCGTTTGTTCCATTTGCGCTATTATTAATCTTCTTTGATGTCAATGTTGATCCATTATCTTCATTATCCTTCTTCTTCTTCACCACTACTACTGGACTATCATTATTTTGCTTTCGTTTCTTAATGATAGCTGCAGGTTTGAAAGAGGGTATATCCAATGCGGCTGTTGCGTTTGACTGACGTACCAATGATATGGCCTCCGGTTCAGGCTCTTTCAGTTTACGCACTTGCTGTCCATCTGCGCTCTCAAATACTGCTTTTGCTTCTTTCTCTAATTCCTCTTCATCTTTACGTATACGCTCACTGATAACTTTTTGATCTGCTTCAGAAAACCGATTCAGCACTTCATCCACGTCAATACGTTCTGACCGAGCATTGCGAGTACGGATTTCGTCTAAAGCATCCATAATATCCATCTCACGTTTTGAGTCTAGTGTTCTGTTTTCTAAAGATTGCATAGGATCGTTTTCCTCTTCTTCTGACTCTGATTCTTTTTCCTCTCTCCAAGGTTCGAAATTTCTACTGGCACCGTTTTCAGCAACATAGTCTGTGTTTTTCGGATCTGTTTTAAACGTAATTTCTGCTGAACATCGAGGGCATCTTTTGAGAAATGGAAAGGACAAAGGGTTAGGAGGTTTCAACAGACAACTGCAACGAGTATTTTTCCTTTACTCTACCTAATGTAAAATCGATATATCTTGATATTCAAGTAGGTTTCACCTTCTACAGTCTCTTTCCTTGCATTGAACTTTTTACCCTTATATATATATTCACCGCAGCTTTCACAACGCATAGAGAAAGGCGACATCAAACGAACCTTATGTTGTTGATCTTTTGGCTTCTTTCTGCAAAAGGAAAACCATAAAATCAGCAGTTGTGATTAGCAAAAGAATGCCATTGAACGGGAAATCTCATCATTAAAATCTACTTACTGTCTCGGGATTTGCGAGGGATCGAAGTTAGGGGGGAAGTACTTATTCAAAACCTTACGTTCGGACATTATGTGTTGTTGATATCGATAATGTTATGCGGAAGAGATAGATTACTCTTATTCAGACAATAAGAACCAGAAGTTATTGACTGCGGGAAGTTAAAATTTCTTTAGAAGGTGCACTTTCTACGCTTTTCGTATTACACCTTCAATTTTTTTTTTTCCTTTTTTTTTTTTTTTTTTTTTTTTGGTCTTCTTTAATCTTGTTGAGTCTACTATTTATGTTTGATTGGAATTAAATAAGCCTCCTCAGAGTGTATTACTCAAACGGTACTGAATGGTGCAATATGCGCAGCAATGTTTTTACGACAATAACCACTGTTTTTCTACCTTCAAGATTTTATTTCTACGCAAAATTATGAAAACGAAAAACAATTTTTTTGAAAGGATCATTCCGGTGATATCGCATATGAGGAGTAAGAAGAGGAATGCGAGACTTTCAGAGTGAAAAGGATATTGCAAGATGTTTTGTTATGGAATTTTAACCAACACTAGGTTGAAAGAAAAGAAAAGAGCAATCGCAGTCGAAGTATAGGCTATCTTTTTAGGGATTGAAATATATTGAAGGTTTGGGTTATCAGAACTGCTTGCTTACCTACTTAACGATTGTTGAATGACATTCTAAGACTATAAAATTGAAGAATTGCCGCTGCCAATTAAAATGCTTGGCATAACTAATTCTTGAATTACAAGTTATTATGTGGAGGTTCTGAAGGATCTTCAACTTTTTCCTGAAGGACCAGCGCCTCTAAGAGTCTCAGAACGAAGTGTGATAGCGCAAAGCATAGGAAAATCGTTGAAATGATACTTAATGTTGCGAAATCTCTACTTGAATTGGGATACTGTATTTTGGTTTATCCGAGGTAGTGATAATGCATAGACTCAGAAAGCCTTATGAGAAGACTTCCGACAGTTGAAGCAATAACAAAGGTCTGTTCGCAGTAAACAGTCGCTATGGCATTTACGGAAGAATGAATTTGACGAACATAAGCCTCAGGATAAATGCCATTTTCTTTGAGAAATACATTTCTTTTGGAATATGAATCTAAAGTTTATTATTTGTATGTCAGGATTTTCTCTACATTATCCATTTTTTGTTAGTTGCGCAGCAGAAATGTTAAATTTGCCACACTGTTAGAGTATTCCGCATGGGAACGCTGTTTCTCAAAGACATTGAAAACACTTAATTATCTCAAAGTGAATAAAAACGGCATTAAGTATTATTATTTTGATTAAGTAATGTAAGAGTTGTGGCAGTAAATAATTCTGATATAAATTTTCTATAACTTCAAAATTTTTCATATACAGTACTAAGGTCTGTTACTGTATTTTAGCCTTGGATTGACGCAGTACATCATTTTCAATTCTGTCTGCATCTCTAGCTTGTCGTGCCATCGTCTTTAAGTCGATACGCAATTCTTTATCGTACTGCTCATTGTCAGGTTGACGGTGCGAACTTCCTATTCTATCCCAAAGTGTGAAATATTGTCCATAGTTGTAATTGAAGTAAACATGATGCACAAAATGGTGTGCACTGGTGTTGATAATTTCTGAATGTGAGATAAATTCGCCTATTTCGGTTATATATTAAGTTAGTTCTAACTTTTGATGACATTCATAATAATGCTGCAACGTGTATCACCCTACCATCGTGGATCATAACTGTCCAAAAATTGACAAACACAAACATAGACAGATATAAGTATTTGTGCATAGGAATGAAATAGGCGTATAAGTGATAAGGTAAGGATTGAAGAAAACCATCTACTGGATTGAAAGCATGGGATGCGAAAGGAGTTGGGATGACCCACTTATGATGGAGCTTGTGAAGGTATCTATACAAGCGTGGATGATGCATCCAACGGTGAAACCAGTAAATACCACAATCTGTAAAGAATAAGAATGAGGGTACTGATAGGATTAAGTAGATCCAATCGAATGCTGTTTTGGGCACGTCGCCATATAATAAGGATTTGCCAAATATTTCGCCTGCAAAGCATGGTAATGTCAAAACTGTTCATCATAAGGAAGAATAAAGATTCAATTTACAAAAAGGCATATACCAAACAGCTCCTGATATTAAACTTACGTGTCATCCACGGCACTGCGCTGGCAGCACAATTTATCTCTAACCTGATTTGGTTTTTCAGAAATTTAGGATGCTTCATATAGTCGTGGTCGAAAACATAGTAATAAGATAAGGTAGCAGTGATAAAGTATAGCAGCCAACCGAACACACAAGTAATGATATACAATGAAAGGCAAACTCTCCAAACATCGTCACGAGGCCAAGTCGATACGATCGACCCGGCAATATGTTTTGTATATGCTGGCCATATCAGTGCGTATAATTTATCAAAAACAAACTGATCTGCGTAATGCAATACAGTATCCATTTTTACAATTATTGTTCACTTCTTGTGCAAGTCCTTTCCTTATATAATTGAAATCGTAAATATTTTCGACTAATGAGAGTTACGGAGAGAGAAGAACAAAAGAAAAAGAAAAAAGGAAAAAAGAAAAAAAAAAACCAATACCTTTGAACAAGAAAAGCGGGGGCAGTGACAATACATAAACGCACATCTGCGTACTAGTCCGGAACTTTTTTTTGTGTACCTTAAATCAAAGGATTAAGGTGGAATTGTTTTTTCCTTGATGCCTGCTTAAATTAATGTTCTCATTTTTTTTTGCTAATATTCATGGAATGATAATGAAGATAATCTTCTCTGATAAATGATGGTAGACATCGACTTTACGTACATTTGACAAGTAAACAAAATTTTCGTTGTTTATGATGTGCACTTGCACCTTATATCTTTTGTGTGACATTTCTCTATTTATTTTTTTCTTTTTACATTTGCGACAAAAGGTTTCCATTCCTGTGCTGCTATTGGCCATTTCTTATCAGATTTGCTATGCTGCCTTTCATGTCATCCCTGTCTCTAATTGACACAAACGTAAACTATAAATTTTTCTTACAGAGAATATTGCTCGGAAGATTCATCTTTTGTTTAAGCTGGGCTGAATTGATTTAACTTTTGTGAATGGTACTTTAAGAAGTATCTTTGCATAATTGACCTAATATACTGAAACTAATAATGGTTAGACTTTCATGCACAAGCAAAGAAAGGGAAACGAAACAAGCATCCCATGGAATGTATTTGCTTTGTTGAGTCAGCCTAACTGTGCACTAAGACTAGTAGTACTTTTAGTGGCTCATTATGAAAGCTGTAGTTGCAGCAACATCTTCGTTGCTATTCCCCTTTTTGTCCCTCCGCTTACGAATTTGATTGTAGCAAAGGTACTCTATGTCAGATCTAGGAAAGTGAGGCGGTAGATCAAAAAACACACAAACACACACAAAAAAAAAAAATAAAAAAAAAGCGCGAACCCAGCCCAATCTCTCATTTTAAACATATTAAGGTCGATATGCACAGTTACTATCTCTTTTCTTTTTCATACAAATAAGAGCACAGTATTGAGATATCGAAGCAACAAAAGCTCTACCATAACTGATATCATCATACTCAAAATTAATTGAAAACAGATCAGCTTTAAGTCGTTGACATTAGCTTTGTGTTTATCTTGGATATTTCTTAGTTTAACTGTTCGTTCTACAAGTTCTTATGCTTTCTCTCCGTTTCAAAAATGAGTGCTCTCCATAACTTCATGACAAAGACTAATGCATCTTCATCCAAAGCCTTTAAACAAAAATTGTAAACCAATGAGTTTCTCTTCAATGCGATATAGGTAACGTTACTACTTACTCCTTCTAACTCGGCAACAAGTTCATGGGGACCTTTCTTTTCCTTCATAAATTGTAATACGAAGCTTACGAGGTCTTCCTCTTCCATACCTAGCAAGTCGACAATCTTTTTGGATATAAATGGGTGTAATTTATCATTGATTAAATCCTATAATATATGTGTTGTTAGCAATCTTGAATCCGTCAGACAAGATTCTGATTTGAAGGTTTTTACTTCGTTTAGCTCATCCCAACGAACAGGATATTTCCACAAATCTTCTTTCTCACTTGGTATAGAATCAATGAGCTCTTTCACCTGTCTTGCCTTATCCACGGCATCATCTGAAGCGCTGGCTGTATTACTCGTGTTTGCTGACGTTGTATGAGAGTTTTTCTCTTGATCCAATTCTGAATAATCTAACGGTACTAAAATACGTCGTTTCTTCTTAGCTTCTTCTTCTTCATCTTCCTCCGTTGTAGCCAGTGTGTTTCTCTTTAGAGGCATGTTGAAGTTAATCTTTGTAGGTTTAAGAGCTATCTTTTGTTGTTCTCCTTCTCTAGTCAAGAATCCACTATCTTTTAAGCGTTTCGCTTCTTCTTCTTTACGCTTTTCTTCTTCGTCCTTTCGTCTCGCTTCTTCTGCCTCTCTCTGTTTCGCATCTTCAATTTCCTGAATTTCTTTACGCCTGTCTTCTTCATCATATTCTTCTTCACGCCGACGTTGCAGTTCTCTCATTCTTCTCCATCTGGACCGATCTGTATAATACATTTCTGTCCCCCTTTCCATTTCTACTGTATCGTCAAAGTTGGCGAGTCTTTCTGCCCAAAATTCTCTATCCCTCGCTTGTCTCTCTTCCAACTCTATTTCACGATCCACATTCTTATTATGTTCTCGTAATTTGTGTGCTTGTCTTGATTCAAAACGTTTGACTCGTTGATGATACGCATTTTCGACATCCTTTTCAAGCTTTTCCTTCCTTCTACGTTCAATTTCTTCGTCAGTCATTGTATCCTCTTGATTGGGTGACGACGAGCGATGGGGATGTTGTTGGTGATACTTGTAGCCATACTCTGTGCCTCCCTTAACAAAATTATCGCCGCCTCCATGTCTGTTCCTGCTGCTAGACCTGTCATCATCACCAAAGGAATCTCGTCGGTGTCGTCGTCTATCATTACTACGTGATCTTCTTCTATTACTAATCTGCTGGTCATTTTCTCGGCCCTGTTGGTGTTGTAAATCATTTTGAGCTGCTTGTTCTTTAAAAAAAGTTAATGGGTCTGCTATTGCTGTCAAAGATAGAGCATTTGCAGCTGCGGCATCTTCTTTACTCGGCTCTAGTTGACCTCCAAAGATAGCTTGGACGTAAGACTGTACTTGACTAGATTTTTCTTTGTCGGACGCTTCATAATTCTGTTGATTTTGCGTTTTCTGATAACCTTCTAGATGTTTTCTTACATTATCATCGGCTTTGACTATCAATTTTTTTTCTACTCCACTGCCATCCAGTGCTTTTAAAGTGACGCCTTCCGTTGTTTCTCCTCCTAAAACACGTAATGCACATAGTACACTGTCTGGATCGGCGTAGGTGGCGAAACCAAAACCTTTAGGTTTTCCAGATGGGTCTTTTGTTCGCTTCCAATGTAACAAATTACCGCAAGTCTGAGCATTTAAACTGAATTAGCAATCCAATAAAGCAGAAAAAGGACATTTTTAAACAGAAAAACCCTGAAAATATATAGTTGTAATACCTTCAGTAAAGTCTCTATCCACTCATCACCAACACCAGCTGCAATGGCACCTACAAATAACGTGTTCAACTTTTCGTCGCTGCTAATCGGATTATTGCTGGCTGGGCTTACGGCTGTTGTTGGTGAATTATTGTTCGCAAATGGGGCTGTAGAAGTTGTTTGGGTACTGTCATATGGAGGCCTTCCGCCAAGAGTCATATGGGGTGAACGTCCCGGAGGTGGTGGGCCATAACGACCTGGCATTCTTGGTGGTCTGAAGCCTAATAAAGACCATAAAAGGTACGGTGTTAAACGGTTTAATCGCGCATATCACATTTAACCTCGAAAATGTATTTCATACCATATTGATTGTTTCTGTAAGGATCCATTAATAGCTTGTCTAAATGTTTAAAGCAGTAGCAACAAAAGAAAAAGAGACAAACGAAGGAGTTTGGGAAAAGAAGAGGACAGATTGTTTTAATGCTAACATTGAATGGTGCACCCCACTTTGTGGATTTATATGTTACAAGCCACTTCGAGGCAGAGGAAATAATGCTGAGTAGCATGAATTCCTATCTTTTCTTTTCGCCTTTAAACCTTCTACTACAGAATGGCGCTACAAATCGCTAGCTTTCCAGAAGCCGTATTGGAGAATTTGATATATATCCTGGAACCTAATGATTTATTCCAACTTGCTCTCTCTTCAAAGCAACTCTACCAACTGCTTATGACCAACGATGTGTGGCGATTAAAAAGTCTGCACGATTTTGGCGATCTCTTTCAAATTTATACCCTTTTTACAACTGTTGCAGGTTTTGATCTTGATTCAGGGTTAGCAGCTAAATACGGAAAAGAACCAACTGACTGGAAACAGTATTATCTCTCCAAGAACAAATCCGCCACAAGCGTAGAAAAGTCGACAGCAGAAAGAGCAGCGGCAGCTACAGAAGAAAATGCCGACACACAGTTGATTGAGCAAGCCGACCAAGAATATATCAGCGCAAGAACACAGTTAGAGTCTTTTCAGGAGAATGGCAATGTTGATATATTGATGCAAGTCGCATCTAAAATGATGTGGATTCTAGATACCTTTCCTACCCATGCAGGATGTTACTACATATTAGGCTTCATTCTCTTCGTTTTAAATAAGCTCGAAGAAGCTCGCATTCTACTACAAATGGGATGCGGTGTAGATCCAGATTTTGAGCCCTTCCATGATTTGGAAGCAGAAATTGAGCGTATACAAAATGGCTATCAGGGAGACGAAGAATTGTTGGACAAGGAAAATAGTAATCAACTATCAAGAGCGTTGCTTGTTGTACTAGAGGAGATTTTCAATAAATTTGACAAAGATCATGATGGTGCTTTGAACACACAGGAACTGGATAGCTTCATTTTTACCACTAATGGAACCCATCCTCCACCACAATTTTTACGACAAATGGGGTTACGATTTGGAGCGAATAAAAGAGGTTGGTTGACAAAGGAGGGCTTCTTTGCCTTTTACCTGGAACAGACATTGGATGACCCCTCAGAAACAAGAAATGATTTGGGCGTACACGGATACGATCCCCAGTCATTAAGAAAGAATATGGAAGAGTAAAAAGAAATATTCACCGCAGCTCTGTCGAATGTTTACACGCGAGACTGTTATTAATTACAAATTTATAGATAATTTACATCATCATCTTACTTACTCCTATAGAAACTGATATACAATACCAGAACAAACTGTCATATCAGAATAAAGTGCATTGTACAGAAATCGAATCAACGTTTTATTTTAAGATTAGGCTGATAAGTAAGCACATTCTTCGAGATTGCTCCTGTGCAAGCTATGGTGAATGATCTTCAGTTTTGACAGTATATCATCACCACAATAGACAATACTTTTTCCGTACCGTTATTTGATTAACCCTACTTACTACTGAAGCTGGCCCAACTTCCTCACCAGATATTGGCAGTGGATTTGTTGATAGCAATAAGATCCAAACGAAAAGCATCATTTGAGCAACTCACCTTTATTCCTTCATCATCAAGGCGCTAATTTATTATCAGAAGAGAAGAAGTATATAAATTAGAAATCTTTTCCTCATAAAGTTTTTGAGCAATGTTATGTCTCTCGGATTTTGGCCTACTTCAAAGAGAAAAAGCAGAGGAAACGATTACGGAGATGTTTAAATCCATCTCATTAGTTACTTTTAGTTAGAATTGATGACATTTTATGAGTTTATTTTACATTTGAAGATGATAGGGCCAACAGTGGTGGATTTCGTTGCTGACAAGAGTATCTTTACAGATGAGAGAGCTCTTTTGACTGAGAGTTGTTTTGATTCATACAAGATTGCACTGTTATCTGTTACTAATTCATGAAAGGGTTGATTTTTTCCTACCATCATCTCCATGCTTAAAATTTTTGGCTTTGTTGGAATATTTTCTAGAGCAATAATAGCCGTTTCATCAGGGATAAAGGTCTACATAGCTCATTTCGTAAACAATTGTTTGTCTTTGGCATCTTTAGTTTTCAGCCGTACGGAAAAGCAGTTGGCTGAAGCGGTGACTAAGATTTAAGGACGGCTGTTTTTGCAGTAATCGCTTCTGTTTGTGAAGGAAAGAAAGCCCGTATGCCGGTGATAGCAGTAGTACTGAGTGTAGCCTATCATGATAAGCCTCATTATTACTGACATTGTACTTCATTGAAAGATAAAGTACTGGCTCTCCAGTGTTATTAATCGCATGCTTAGGATAATAAGCTTCACTTATAAAATACACTAAGCAGCTTGTTTCGGAAGATTTGGTTAGCCTGCGTGCTTGAGACCTTGATGTTATTTGTAATTGCTTGTGCTGCTCTACGTAGAATGGTATTAAGAATGCGAAACTTTGAAGGATAGACTATATAGTTATCAAATCCGTTGCATTTCGTTCTTTTCGGACCAAAAAAAGTCAAAGAACTTAAAGTACTTTTCTTTCTGACCTTTCGGCTGTGCTTGTTCCTCTTTACCTTATCTTCTTTTTTCACGGTATTATCAAACAATTAAATCGAATAAGCCAAATAAACAAAAATGGAGGGACCCATTGTTTATTATAACCGAGCAGAGTATATTGAAACAGTAAAAAAGTTTAGGCTCGCTGAGTCTTGCCATGTCTTCATCATACAACACACGATCTAAAGTAGTTGAATATTTGTTAAATAGGACACTGGAAATAAAGTGAGCCGAAAATCTGTAATTTGTGGAAGCCAGAATATTATCCTTGGTGGAAAAGTATAGTAAAAAGCAACAACAGCAGAATGTGTAACTTGGGAATTTGCACTAATTAGTTTGTTAGACGATCATTCAAACAGATTGTGTCATCCGAGGTGATCTTCGTAGAACGGGAGGAGGACATGCTGTCGTCATTGCCATAGGAAGATATTGTTTATTGTCACAGCGCTCTATTATTAGACCACCTTTCAAAACGTACAAAGGGTAAAGCATAAGTTGCGGTTGCATACCTTGTTCTACGACGGAAAATCTTATACTTTGTACGTAGGATTTTCAGCTATTACCCGATGAAAATAGGGGATCATGTGAAAATTGGAGAAGGAAGTATCGTGGAAGCAGCAACGATTGGATCCTATGTGAACATAGGCAAAAATTGTATAATTGTGAGTTAAGAGGAGTACAAGCCGACGTTTCAAGAGGCAATCTAATAGTGTTAAGTTTTTCTAGGGACGATTTGCAATTATCAAAGATTGCTGCTGTATAACAGATAACACAATTATACCACCCAATACAGTAGTACCGTCCTTTAGTGTGTATTCTGGCTCACCTGGTAATTTGATGGATATAACACATTAGATTTTGAAAAAACCATGACTTACCCTTAACAAATAGGAAAATGTCAGGACGAATTGCCGGAATGTACACAAGAACTGTATGAGAATATGACCAAAGATTACTATACCAAATTTATGCCTCAAGATTAAGACTCGTACTATAAATGATGTCTTCTCTATAGACATAGTAGAAATATCGGCCTTTTTTTAATGAAGATAGAAGCGTTACTGCTGGTTCATTTCAATTTGAGCTGGTTCTACTTTTTTTCTGAGTGCTAAACATGACACCTTAACAAACATAACTCTATGAATCGCCCGAGCTTACGCTCAATAAACTTTTCTACGCTTAGTTCGCCTCCCACTTCTATTATATCACCAATAAGAAATGCATCCAAAAGGAAGCTGCCTTGATTTGAAACCGATATCTCAGTAGCAGATCCATTATTCTCATTGATATCAATGTCATTCTATGAAACCTTTAAACAAGAAATATTTACAATTGAACTCTTGTTGCAACTTATTTAAGCTAGCTCAATTCTTTTCTTTACCTATTTTCTACATTTTCCTTACAGCATCTATAACTATTTTCTCTTCTGCATTCTAATTTTTGTTCAACAGATAAGAGCACTTTGTTTAATTAAAGTTAACATATCCGTTGAAGGATTCAGAACACTGTATATATATCATGTTCAATTATTTTTTTTTCACATTAACAACTTCCATTCATATTTTGTTGGTGACTACAATTCGACTTGTACATAGTAAAGAACAACAAGAACATTATCCATTACAATCTCAAATTGGAAATACCATTCCTAATTCATATGTCATTGAATTCGACCGACCTATCAATCATTTCGCATCAAAAAGACATTTGTTGAATAAAAGAAGCCTATTTTACGAGCAACTGAAATACTATAATATCAGCTACGACATACGGCACGAATATGAATTGATAAATGCTGTATCTTTGACATTCAAAACGCCAAAGGACGCTTCTAACTTTTTTGACAAAGCATTAGGCGTAAAAAAAGCATGGCCAGTGGTAATAATTATTGAAAACAAGGGGTTGGTAATTTCATAATAGACTTACTCTTATTTTATAGGCGACAGTTACAAAGCCTAAGGTGTTTCATGCCGTCAGCGAAGAGAAAGATACCAAAATATCCTCGTTATTTGAATTTTATAATCAAACTGGCATTAATCAAATTAGAAATGAGCTGGGGTAAATATTATTTTTTCTTTTAATCTTTCTGCTCTGGCTACCTACTCATAACAACTACTTGCGATACAGTATTACAGGCAGAGGAGTCAAAGTAGGCATTATCGATACTGGCGTGGATTATACTCATCCTGCGCTTGGAGGCTGCTTCGGCCCTAATTGTCGTGTTGCATATGGTTATGATTTTGTAGGCAATGAGTATAATGGTGGAAACTTACCTGTTCCAGATAATGATCCTAACGACAGTTGCAACGGCCATGGTACTCATGTAGCAGGTATTATAGGCGCAAATGACACGATTATGGGATTTAAGGGCATTGCACCTGATGGTAAGAAAAAAAGACGACTTTAATTTTAAGGTTAAATTCTGATTTCTGTGATCTTGTGCTCAATGATTCCAAATCAATTTCTTAACAGCGATCCTCGGCGCTTATCGTATTTTTGGGTGTACTGGTGGTAGTTCAGATGATATCATAATGAAGGCAATGGAGAAGGCATATCAAGATGGTATGGACGTCATCAATTTATCTTTGGGCGATATCGGCTGGCCGGAATCACCTGTATCGTTACTAGCAGATGAATTAGCAACTAAAGGCATGTTGGTATGTGCAGCAGCTGGTAATGATGGCGAAAAGGGCATGTTCGAAGTCGGGGCTCCATCACTTGGTCATCATGCCCTATCAATTGCTAGCGTAGACAATAAAAAAATGCTTTCACATACGATGAACGTGGGCAAACTGACCATTGGTAAGTTAAGTTCAGATTACTTTCCTATAAGAAAGTTTGTTGACTAACATCCTCTTTCTCACCAAACCTTTTATACATAAAGGATATACTACGGAAGGAGGAACTTCATTTAATGTCACTTCAGCTCCTATTATTTTTGCTTCTGATTATTTTGAACCGGACAGCGATGGATGTGGGCCCCTTTCAATAGATGCTTTTAACAAAGTGGTCATTATCAGCCGGGGCGATTGTACATTTACTCAGAAGATTATCAATGCTCAAAATGCCGGCGCAGTAGCCGTTATCGTATACAACAATCAACCCGGAACCCTGACACCTTCTGTCAGTGGCGAAGATGTTCGCATTGACTATGGTGGTATCTCCAAAGATGATGCTTACAGGCTCTATCGTTATTTGAATCACAAAGCTTCAGCTAATTCGGAAATGAAGGCTAATTTTCAGAAAGAGGACCAAAGTCTCGCTGTCCCTACTGCTGGCTATATTAGCTCTTTTAGTTCTTGGGGGTTAGGTCCTGATCTCAGTATGAAACCTGATTTAAGTGCTCCTGGAGGCCATATCTATTCAACGTAAGTAGCTTTTCTTTCTTTCAAGAATATTGTCGAAATTTTATTTATGAAAAAGCTCGTATGTTTATATCTCTTTCTTACAGCTTCCCAGTAGCGCTTGGCAGTTACTCAACTCTTAGTGGAACCAGTATGGCTAGCCCCTTTGTTGCTGGCATTGTTGCTTTGCTCCAAGAAGCTAAAGGTGGAAACCGAGCTATTAGTGCTACTGAAATCCGTACAATGCTGATCAATAACGGCCACCCTTTCAAAATGTATAATAGTACTGAAGAATTTGAATCAGTAGCAAGGCAAGGTTCTGGACTTATTGATGCTTATCATGCCATTACCTCAGATACTCATGTCTTCCCCGAACAATTACGATTGAATGATATTCAACACAGTGCCAAAGACTTCAAATACTCACTAACTATCCGCAACAACGGTCGGCTAGCTGCCGAATACACTATCGCCCATATCACAGCTGCTACTGCACAAGGTTTTCCTTCAAATACAATGTCTCTTTCTTCCGTTGTCAAATACGAGGATCACAACACTTCGCAAGCGTTGTATCCTTTAAAAACACCTATTCTATTAACCGAAAAAGGTGCTAAAGCTATTGTGGAGATATATAATCCTTCAATTCAAGTGGTTGCCAATGGTGAAGCCAATATCACTGTCCGTATAGCGCCGCCAGACGACCATCTCAAAATGGCCCCTTCTATTTACTCAGGATTTATAACAATTACGAAGAAGAACGAGCGCGACGATGTGAAATATATTCCTTATGCAGGCTTTACGAGTAATTTTAAGGACCTTCCAGTACTTTATATGAATGCCACTATGCCCCGAATTCTCATGCAGCGTGTCACGGCTTTCACACCCACTGTTCTCTTATTCCAAATCGCTGAAGCTTCTCCTTTAGTGATGATATCTGCTGTAAATGCTGACAATACAAGTCAAACGTATGGCTATATCCCAGGGGGTTATGCTGCTTTTGTAGGGAGGAGTAATATCGAAGATCATCGAGATATTTTTGCTATAACATGGTTCGGTAATGTTGCAAACACACCTGAACAAGCTTCGCTGAGGCCATTTTTGCAACGTCAGCCAAAAACATTTTACAGTAAGAGAGTATTGAACACTACAGATACGGGTGATATTCTAGATGGTGATATAATTATAGACGAAAGCTCCCTCCCAACTCTGGAGGATATGGATGATCTTCATATGGCGAGAGTTGGTAAACGATTGCCTGCTGGTAACTATAAATTGAAAATAGCAGCATTAAGGCCTTTTGGTGATAGAGACAACGAACAAGATTACGATATTTGGTATTCGCCGAATATCATACTAGAATAAAAAACACAGTATCCTTTGACCTTTTTAAAAGGGTGCTCTCCAGATTATGTACAAAGCTGATTTATCAGACTCTTGAACACTTTTTGTATTCTTTGTTGCATAAATAGTCCATTTGCTTATTGGGTGGTAAACAAAGGAAGCCAAGTTATGTCTAAAACTTGATCTTGTCTGAACATATGCTTATGCTGGCTATCATACAACTGCCAAAAGCCCTCAATAACACTACTTTTCTGTCAAGTGTGTCATTCTGCTCAACTCTAACTTTTGACACTACACCTTATATCTAAGTATTACAGCATTTCTTTAAGTTTTTGTTTGTGCCTTTCACGCACTCATAGCATATACATTTATTATATTTCATTGATCTTTCCCGAAATCGGTCTCATAGTTCATATACTCTATCAGTATAATTACCACTTGCAATAAAAGAATGACAACTACTAGTTTTCCTTACTCTTGACGTTGATGAGCAGCTCATAATCACAGGATGTTTTTTTCAAGAATAATAATAAGAATAGTAATACTCTACATATTATATTTCACTCTCTACATGATGAAACACGATATATAATATGAACAACCTCTTGGTGCATCCCAATGGAGAGATCGTTGGGATATAGTTTACTGTATTATAGATGTAAATGTACAAATTCAAATCAAGTACATCTAGTAATAACTTGTTTGCTACTTCAGTACTTAATTGAGGACGATTATTTTTCTACTCATTGTACATTGTTCCATCTGAATCCACAAAAATTCTGCAAAGCAATTAGATTCTTTATTTAATTCTATTAGAAAATACAGAAAATTTGAAGTTGTTGACAAACTCGATGTAGTTGTTGAAGACGTGAAGTGTGTCGAATATTATCATTAATACAATTGATAGGATTAATCATACCTTGTTTATAATGTAATCTATAACGATAAGCTTTTGCGCTGATCGTATTTTAATATTACCCTCAAGTTTGTCTTTGAATATAACGTAAACAACGTACATCTTCGAGTCCTAAAGTAATTTCTGAAGAAGTATATCCTTTTTTATTTACTTGAAGACTACCATTCTCGGCATGGTTATACTCATCAGCAATTGTTTTTAGCATAGCTAGTGTACCAAAAGTCCCTTTGTGATGGTCAAAGTTCGATTTGGCTTTGTCTATCTTTGCATAGGAGCCGGAAGTTTCAACTAACAATAATTCCAGGTTTCTGACGTTGATCAACTTGATGATACCATCGGCATTATACTGGAATCGATCATCTTTTAAATGACCACTATCTTTCAGTTGTTTTTTTACAGCAGAGAGGCAAGCTTCACCAGGGATAAAATCACCTCCACAGTCATGCTTGTTTTGAATTGACAGGGCCACTGAATCCATGAATCTATAAACCAAAGATGGTTGAACACAGATTCACTAAAAGACAGATCTTGCTTAGTTTTATAAAGCCGTAACCTAGATAAACAAAGATATCAGTTAAAAGACCATTCAATTTCTAAACCAAAATAAAAATTATCCAAAAACTATTGTTCGGTCTCGCTGACTCACTCAGTCTCTACATTTAAAAACTTATTAAAATTATAACTCTTGATATCAAAGAATATCACACATACGTTTGATTCCTACCAATATTATGCGTTAGCAATCGAAGCAAATTACGTATACATCAGCCATATATTTACTTCTTGGCTATCTTAGAGTTAGTACTAATGCTATCATTATCGTTTGAGACTTGTTCATACTTTCTTTTGGAGCTAAAGCTGTCACCAAAAAAATTGTTTTGTGTGCCCTGTTATGAAAGTTCATATAAATATTTAGTCTGTTGGTCAACCAAAGTTTGATATAACTTACACCTGAATTAAAGGTATTAATGTAATTTTTTGTGATGAGCGGCTTGTGCACTGTTGCCCCTTTTTTGCTTTGTATAAACGACTTCAGTTCCTTTTTCGTATACTAAAAGAAAAACGTGTTAGTCCTCTAATGTTCTATGTAGGAAAATAATCTCTTACGTGTTCCTGGGGTTTCAAAGTAGCCGCGATGTAATTTTTCACTTCATCAGGGACCTCATTCAACTTTAGTAGCCATTGTAAGTCATTATGAAAACAGCTGTATATGTATTTGATATTTTTTATATTATTTTTTGACAGTTTATCAAAGGTTTTATCAAGGTAGTTTTCGAAAGTCCAAGATTCTGGGATGTTGTTCTGAAAAAATTCTTTTGAACCTTCTACTTCTTTATCAAGTTTGTAGTTTTTATATTTTTCTGGAATACTCATTGCTATTGAAAGCTAAAGCTAGCATAGTCGAATTCCAAGTAACAAATTTATATCCAAATTCCATAGTTTACAGTACCTGAATTAATTTCAAAACTCCGAATAATGACGCTCATTAACCGGATTAATCTCAAAACCCGAATAATGACGCACATTTTGTTAACACAATTGGGAGATGGAGACCGAAGGAAAGTTACTTAGGCTCTTGCCACGTTTCTAATGCGCTACGTGCAAGCGCAAGCGCACACGAATTCTAAGCTACACTATCAGTTGATTATATATACTTATAAACTATCTTTAGCTTTTGATTCCAAAATATTAACTTAGTTTTATAGTAGGAATTGTAAATGCCACGTTACCCTCGCTATATGACTTGCCTGAAGAGAGTCTTAGCTGGCTCAAAAGGGGACCCAATAATCTTTCCATGTCGAAGGACTTAGTAAGGCATGGCGAGATTAGTCATAACAACTTCTTCGAATCTTGGCATCTATCCTAGATGTGACCCAACTACCTTTACTGTGTGGTGGCAATTTCAGTTGTCGTTGCCTGTCGAGGAGGATGAGAGAAGTTGTGGTAACGTGGCTGGAAATGAGATATGGAGACATGACTTGCCTGAAGAGAGTCTTAGCTGACTCAAAAGGGGACCTAATAATCTTTCCATGTCGAAGGACTTAGTAAGGCATGGTGAGGTTAGTCTGACTGTTTCCTTGAACTTGACATCTATCCTATGATGTGACTCAACTGCCTTTGCTTTGTGGTGGCAACTTTGGTTGTCGTTGCGTGTCGAGGCTGTTCTTGGAACTTTTTTGCTCCATTTTCTCATTTCCTTTTTCATATCTACATGCTGCTAAAGGTAATTCTTTAAGGGTTTGTGGGTTGTAAACACGAAACTAACTTCTCTACAAAAAGCATCTTACAACTCGAGTTCATTCATACTGGAAACCACAAGTTCTGTTATCTATGGCTACAAAAGACACATCCATTCAAACACAATATCCTTTTCCACATACACCTTGTACTCTCCTGGTCTCATTCGAAAATCTCTGAATCCACTTTAAGAAGTACTCATTTTCAGAGGGTACAACAATACCTCTTATGTCTGAAAAAAGACCCATTGTTCAGTTAGCTCAAATCGTGTTACCCAAATCGTCCAAACCAAGATTGTAAATAGTTTCAATCTCAAATGGGAAAACCTGTAACAATAAGGCACACGTTCTCAACCGTCTTCCTACCCATCCGCTCAAAACTCCATCTCAAGCACAAGCCTAGCATTTTCGATGACCCGTACGTTGTCACATTTTGTTTGAACTCGACTACTTACACCACTCTCAAGAGTCGCCTTCATCTCCTCTGTTAGGACATCTATTGCTCGACTGGTTGCCCTCTTTTCCTCCCCCCCCCTTCTAATAGACCAAATGCTTTTTACCCTTGAGTCCGAAGGGGTTTTTAGATGATATCTAGCCTTTGGTTCTGTCTAAGACAATTTAGTTAAGTTACATATTTCGTGTCCATTGGGCTTAAAAATTGATTGAATTTCTGTATTTCTAAATACCCTTCGGAGGAGGAGGAGGATACCTGCTGAAATCTCAAACTCCGATTTACAGACTGTAAAGAAAGTAGACGTGGGCACATCAGTAACCGTCGGATGGTGGGTGCATTTAAAAAAAACCTTGTGAGCAACTTCTAAAATGCAGTTTTAACAACTCGTAGGTTTTCCTTCTTTTATCTCCTTTGTACTTTTACGTGCTACTATTTTGATAGTCGAGTTTACTTTTTCAAAAGGACAAACCTATTAAGCAGACTTCAATAGAAAGCATCCCTAATAACAAGAAATTTATTCTTTGTGAATACGGGTTAACGATTCAGCATCTATAAGAATGACGGATACTCGACCGAAACGATCAAGTGCAGTTGATAAAGATTACAGAGAGCGAAAAAAACATAGGGCGAAAGTCAATGAAAAGGTAGCTTCAGTTGAATAGCTTGTAAAGTACACGTCTGATCTGCTTCATGTTAATAAATCCTCGACGCACATTTTGCAGCCTGCAAAACCCGAGATTACAACAGATGGCTCGAACGAACCACCACAATACGAAATAATCGAACAACTTTATAAAGATTTAATAGCACTGAAAGATCCTGATGAGTAAGATATTGACAATTCAGTTATCCATAGAAGAAAAGCAATAATATCAAATTGTATTCACAACCAGCAATTGTTTATAGGGATTACGAACTTTGTGCACTGTTCATGGAGCTACCTTCGCGTGAAGAATACCCTGATTATTATGAGACGATTAAGCAACCTATTTCTTTAGAAGAAATGAAGGTATGCTTGAATGAAAACAGTCAAATTGATGCATTCCTAAGAGAAAAAAAAAGAATGTGATCTAAATTATCTCCTGCTGTATATTGAATTTTGTTATTCTTCATATTAGAAAAAAATCGATGCTAAACAATATAAATACTTATCACAGTTCAAAAGTGACCTGACTCAAATGGTAACTAATGCTAAGAAATACAATATCAAAGAATCTCAAGTTTATGAAGATGCTACAAAGATTCATGTAAGTTGGTCCGGAGGACCGATCATTTTCTTCCATATATGACTAATCTTTCAAACAATACTCACTGTATGTATAGAAATTTGTGAAAAAATGGCAAGCACCAAAAGCGAAAGCTTTGTTAAAATTGCCTGGAGGAGCATTCACTGGGTCAGGCGGAGTGGAAGCATCATCGCCATCTTCATCAGCAGCAGCTAGTTCGCTAACACCTACGAGGATCAAAGCAATCAAATTACGAGCAGTAGAAAAGGAGAAACCTGATGTCAATATGAAAGAATTGATGCAGGCGATTTATAAGAAGGAGACCAAGAAAGCACTAGAGCTTATCAATGCAGCCGACAAAAATATAAATCCTAATGAACTCATATCGGTTGAAATGTTTAATGATAGTTTTACATGGTCACCTCTCCACGCAGCCGCCTATTATGGAGATATCAAAGTCATTGATGCTTTGATGGCAAAAGGCGCAAATATCGAAATAAATGACACATGGTACTCCGCAACACCTCTTAGTTGGGCAGCTTATAATGATAAAGATAAAGTATGTCGACTTTTAATAGAAAAATATAATGCCGACAGAAATGCAGAAAATAGCCATGGGCAAGTGCCTTTCGATGTAGTTTCAGATCAAGACGATAGTCGATGGGATGGTATATTCAAAAATGTAGATCCAAAACAACAGCCTTCTACAGCACGCTTAACAAGTACAACAACATCAGCAGCATCTGCTCGTCGTCTATCGCCGCCGCAGATCCGATTACAAGCTAATCCACAGTTCCGCCAACAAGTGCCTTCGGCACAAAAACAGCAGCAGGTACCATTTATTCCTCAAGGACCACAACCACAACAGATCATACCTTCTCCTCAAGCAGCAATTCAATCACAAATACCACCCGCACGACTTCAAATGAGATCAGGAACTCAACAAATGTTTCAGTCTAATACACCAAGCGGTGCACCAGGAGAAACACAGGTTGTACGAAAGAGACGAGGAAGGCCACCTAAAGAAGAGTCAGAAGCTGCTAGTCAAAGACCTACGAGAGAAATCGATCTCAACACAATCGATCCTGTCGATATAGAAGTCGAGTTGTTCAATTGCATTCGAACACACACTGACAATGTGTAAGTGATACTTGCTTTATCTGTATATCAACTTTATAAGCTTGGTATTGGTTCTAACCACGCTATCCATCCCTCTCCTTGCAAAATAAGGAATCGTCTGTATTCCGAGGAGTTTGAAGAGTTGCCTGATCGAAGACAGTTCCCAGATTACTACAGAGAGATTAAGGAGCCAGTATCTTTAAGCATAGTTGCACATAAAATGCAAACAAGAGCATACGTGGATTTGAATGCTTGGAAAAGGGATATGGTTCATGTTTTTGAAAATGCTATGAATTATAATGAGCCAGGATCACGTATACATCGTGATGCAAAATTGCTTTTAGTAAGACTATATTGAAAATGTGAACTGCTGCTAGAGTGAGTCTTACAATTTTTTATTTTATTTTTTTTGAAAAGCGTTTATTACATCGGTTGCAAGATCGAATCCTTGGAAGAATGGGTGTCCCTATTAGTCAAGAAGCGGCCGTGATGAGCATGAACCTATCCAGCAGACCTTTCGACCCGGAAGCGTTAAATGAGGAAAGGCGAAAAACGAAACGTTATTTGACAAAAACCAGACATTATAGCACAGAACCAGAACAACGCCAGCATCACCATATGGCCCAACATCGTCCATCACAACGTCAGCCACAATTAACTGCTGCTTTATCCTCTGTACCACAACAACAGGTACCAAATACTATTATACTTCAACAACAGCAGCAACAACAACCTCAACTACAGCGTCCACCGTTTGTTGTTACACCGCCTTCGATGCTGCCTCCTGTTCCAGGCCCACCGATGCATATTGGCCCACCTGTTCCTCATATGCCACCTCCGGTTATGGTAGGCCACCCCCATCAACCCTCACCCTTTCAACCTCAGCCTTCTATGATGATGCAGCCGCCCATGCCAACGCCTCAACAAATGGCCTTTGATATGAATGGCCAATTCATGCCTCCTCCTCAACAGCCAAGATCGCCTTCAGCATTTACTCCTTACCCTTCCGATATGAGAACGACAAACAGTCCAGCTTCTCAGGGCTCACCTTTACCTAAGGCCTCTAAGGACTTTTATGCTCTCTGTCAAGATGGTTGTAAGTGTTTATCTTTCTCTCAGTCTTGCTTCCTTACACATAACTCATATTTTACTTGTTAATATACCTTTATTTTAGCAAATAATATATTTATTCACGAACTGAAGATCACTTCACCTAATAACAACTCTATTCAAATCTCTGTCGATGGCGAATATCCAAATCACAGCGTGTCAGTGCCTTCCGATGTCGATACACTTATTATCCAACCTGAACTAGATCGAGCTCTGAGGGCCGAGGAACAACGATTGAGTATTACTATTTTGCAGAATAATGTTAAATTAAACACACCTACTTTAAACGAGTGGCAATCTATTCCGTTGAGCAAAGGAACGAATATATTGAAAATTAACTTGACAGCAAATTGTACACGACCCGATTCACCTATGCCTGAATTCATAACAAAGACATATCATTTATTTGTTACCAAAGTGTGGTAACCCTTCTTTTATTTTTTGCTTTTTCTTTTTTTAAACCTAAATACATACAATACTACGTACATCATATTATTACAAATGCATCCAGTTTAGGAAGGAAAGAAATACATGTCATTAATCTTTATATCTCTCAATCGTACGTAATAAAATCTTTGCAGGCTATGTGTCGCTCTCTATGTATTTGAAATCATCAGTATTTTAAAAGACACTCCGTTAGCCTGCAACGAAAGGGCTTTATAGCAAATAATCTCTTCTCATCTATCGTCCTCATGCTTTGAAATGTTCGAAATTATCAAAAAGTGCGATCAAGGAAGCCGAATGCTCAAGGAAATGGCTCTTCGCTCTGATGTTGGTAGTTTTCTGAGGTTAATACCAAATAAAATTGCACCATCGTGAGCGTTATACGCAGTAACCCGTTCATAAATGATACTTTTTAGGAATATCGCACTTGCGCACCAACTTTCAGGATTGAAGCCTTCTTCCTGTAGATAAACGAAGAAACCGCTCTATTGACCTTGCCCGTATCTCCTATACTTTCTCGGCTTAACAATGAAACGGCTTGCGTCTCTTCTGCCAATTCCGAAACAGGTTGCAAAGCTCGCGCATACACACTGGCTGTAGTTCAATATTTATCTTATCAGAAATCCCGCTAAATCCATTTGAAATGGCAGCATTATCGAAGAATAAGTCTGCATTAAACACGACTACACTTGGATCCCAAGTTTGGGAAACATCAGGAAATAAGAATCAGCATGGCGAGCAAGCCGGTTTAAAGACCCCTTTCCGACATGAATAACCATCACCTCTTTTTTTTTCTATTTAAAACCTTGCCTTATTTGTACGGCCGTATCGCGTTTGGTTTCAACGGAAGCCTGTTTGTGGTTTGGCTGTGACGAGATACATCCATGAAGAATGATTTTCCATTTGCTTCTCCTGTCTTCTTCTTACGTATAGTTAATTTACGTACATCGGGTCCAACCTCTTGTTCCATTTTTAAGCCATGAGCACAAATAAAAGGTAAACAGTAGTCTGTACCACCTCGATATAGGATGAACACACTTTAAATTTATTGTTAAAAACTGTGCTGCATTGTAAGCACATAGACATTCTTACGTTTATAAGGTTCGTCTTTTCTTTTTCTTTTGCCTTTTACCTCCAAAAGGGAGCATATGGTCTCAAAAGTAATCGGTTGACATTGCCATTAAAGACGTGTGAAATATGTACGGTTGATGAATTATTACACGGGAGTATACGCTTTATGACCACATAGATTTTGAGTTTTTGTTTGTATGGTTGTTGATCACTCAAGTTGCAGATAATAGAAGGTGCTGGAATATGACGCCCACTTTGAAACATAGTATTCTATGGGAAAAGATAATGTATTGTATGCAGCAGATCAAGAGATTCATATCGAGATAGCATCGACAATAAAGATCCATTCGAGTCTATTACCTACACGAAATTGCTGTTCGACGTCAACAACATGACACTGTCCTGTTTCTGAAGCCATGATGGACATAGCATAGAGAAGATCGAGTCCTTTCTCTCTTTTCATCCCAATTATAGGAAATTTACAACCCACGTTTCTCTTGAAACACTTCAAGAAGTACAGACGATGGATTTAAGCTTTTTCTCGATTTCCTCAAAAGGCTTCATCTCTTAGAAATAACCATAAAACTAACATTTGACTGAAAGTCGTTCTCACACCATAAAGTGTAAATGATATGTGATGGTCAAGGCAGAATGTTACTCAAATCTTAATTGTATAGTTTTGATTTCCTCCAGCGTAATGATGCATTATGACCTTCTTTTTTTCAAACAAGGTCTGTGCTCCCTCTTATCTTTTGATAAAAAGCTTATCTTGGTTTTATGCTCGGCTTGGAAAAGTCACACCAAAAGAAACTGTGTCGTTTTGTTAATTGTCCACAATAACAAGATATTATCTTTAAGACCTTTCTCAATTTAGCGTCTTCCTCACGTCCTTTTCTTTCCATTTTAAATTCTTGTTCGTGAAGCGTCTACCTTCTTCCTCCAACCGCTAACCCTAAACTCCCAGTCTCCAACTCCTCCTCCCTCGCGAGAACACATAAGAATGAACATTTTTAACGAAACGGACTTGGAAAATCCAGCAATGATCTTTGATGAAGTTGATTATCAGCAGCATGATAAAATCACAACTGCTACATCATTACTCACATTGTCTTTGGAAGACTTGTATCCTGAATTGAAGAACTTGCCCTTAGATAATAGAGATTATCAAGCAGTCCATGCGCCTCTTTCGCCAATGGATCACGCTTCAACGCCTTCTTTTCCTATATCTTCAACTGTTCGTAAAGCGCCGACGATTGTAAGATAAACATTAAAAAGAAAAATTCTACTGTTTTTACAATGAGACTAAACATTTTTGTTCATTTACATTGTAGTCTTTAGTGAATTGGAAAGAAACGTAAGGGATAACGTTGCAGATCTATTAGGAAAAATTGTTGTCAATGCTGTCCCAACAGACTAACTCATTCCTTTTTCATCCTAAGTGCAGCAAAGGATCCTAGCCGGGAAGAGATTGGTAAATCTATTTTAGGCACAAAAAGGTATATTTCTACATGCATTGTTAGTTGTAGGAAAGAAGACAAGAGCCGGAATGATGTTTGCTTTATTCTGTAACACCTTCTACTTCTTTCCTGACTAAAATAACATACAGAAGAGGAGGACGCTTATTCAATTTCCTTATCGTCTGAATATAGCAATGTCAATAAAGAGAAGAGTAACCTTCAAATCCAAATTCTCGGTGTACCAAATGCAGGTGCGAAATCTCGCGTCGAGACCCAGATTAAAATTTGCTTGCGGCTTTTGGCAATATCAGCAACGAATGGCGACGAAATTAAAGTAAATAATTGGTCATACATACACCTTAACGAAAACATACTGGCCAGGTCAAGATTACGTAAAGCTTCACAACATCAGCAGCAGCAGCAGATTGGATCCTTTGCAACTACTATGGTATCTGATGAGTCAAAAATTCTGCAGTTAGATGCCAAAGTTGTCTGCTCGACCAATGTCAATCAGCCTATTCGAATGTGTGCTGGTTGTGTACGACGTGAGGTAGTAAAGACACAGTTTCAACAGATCTGACCAAAAAGAGTATCTTTTTTATTCACAGTCTCCTTACTTACTTTGCTTGAAATAGAAAAAGAGAGCAGAACGAACTAAAGATAGCAAGAATAAAAAGATGAAAGAGCTATCTTTCGAAGAAACAGAAGCTGAACGAAATCGAATCGTCATCTTTAATTGTAATCCTCTATTGAATTTTTCTTCTGGAGACGTTGTCTTACCAACACGTATTACTTGCTACTGCCGTCATCATAACGAAAAAATTGGCTTTAGGTAAGCGCTTCATCCATGAAACCTTGCTTCTTTTATTGCAAAAAAAAAAAAAAAAAAAAAAAAAAAAAAAGAAAAATAAATAAATATTTATATCTGTTTTATCTTTCTGGTCCATCAGAATTCGGTTTGCGTTGAAGAACCATCAAGGAGAAATCGTCGCTACCGGTATATCGCCTCCTATAATGGTAACAGATGACCACAAGAATTCAAAACAGAGAAAACGAAAGCGTTCTATGGAATATCAAAGCATCGCGACAAGTAGTGGTTCGAACACGGACACACCTGATTCCTCTCGGCGCAGCTCTCTTGTCGTAGAGGGTGCTATTGATAGCTGCTTTCTGAATGACCCCACTCCTTTTCAAACACCACCTAGCACGGCAACAGATGAAGGCGAAGAAATTGAAGCTTTGACACCGAAAAGCCTAGAATTTCTGCAAACAAGCTTGAATTCTTTCCACTTACTGAACGATGACGAACAAACCAGCCGGTTTTTCTCAAAGCTCGGCCATAGCAGCCTTTCTCAGCTAACACAACCACTACAAGTTTTGACCCCGACAGAAGAGACTCTGACAGAAGTTCAACTAATCGAGGAACAAAAAGTGGACGTATGGTTTTCTAATCGTCGTCAAAAGACAAACATTCATGATCATATAAGCCCTTTAGCTGTAACAAGCGTTAGCATTGATAACTGTGAAAAAAACAGCCATGATACCCTTCTTGAAGGAGCAGTTTCTTCCTCCTCTTCATCATCATCATCATCATCATCGTCATCGTCATCTTCTTCTTCTTCCTTCGTGCATATCAACAACCTTAAACAGACAACGTCGCAAGACATCATGCATTCCACGCATCCAAATGATACTTCAATTCAGTTACCCCGCATAGAAAAGATTGTTCCGGGCCGTGGCCCCACTTATGGGGGCATTGAAGTAACTCTTTTAGGCTCTGGTTTCTACCAAGGGCTAACATGTTTGTTCGGAGAATATCATGCGACCACTGTTTACTGGACCACAAACACCATCGTGTGCATTTTGCCCCCAGCTTCTCAGACCGGTCCCGTCATCGTTTCCTTTAAAGAACATCCATTCATAGTGGAAGGAGGACAGGATGTCGCCATTTTCACTTACTATGATGCTACTGACCAAGCATTATTAGAATTGGCTTTGCAGGTAGTAGGTTTGAAAGCAACAGGCAAATTGCAAAATGCGAAACAAGTGGCCATGGATATCGTCAGCGGCGGAACAAGTACTGGTATGCGTGGTATGGAAACTGGTAATAATGGTGGTAGTTGCGTTTATAATCATTGCCAGCAACGACTCTCAAAGAATCGCTGCTTTACAAACTTGCAAAAAAGCTTTGGGGTGACCGTATTATACTTTGCCTATTCAGTCATCTATGCAAAGTTGATTCAACTCTTGTTTGACAATGCAGGCTTTGATCCTTACGTCAATTGCAGCAGACATTGTAGAAGAAATTTCAAAACAATATTGAAAAGCAAGAATGGAGTTAGAAGTACCATACTACATCCTTAATTCACTTGATGAACATCCTTTTGTACATGCTACTGACATTCTGTCTATCGGCATGATGATCATAAACTTTGTTTCTTTTTGTCACACAGCTTTTTTTTTTTTGAGTATGTTTAACTTTAGCAGTGCTATACAAAAGCATTTGAATGATATCGTTTATCTGTGTTGCTAAATTATCTCCAACATTGTTTACCGCTGGTTTGTTGCTAATAAAAATCTTAAAACAGCCTCTTCTGTTCACTACAGTTTTTCTAATATTTTTACAAGCCTTTCCTTTCTTTTTGGCTACAATATCTGCTGTCTATGAACATAATTTATATATCTAAAATGGACTTACCGTATCATATACAGATTTCTTTTTACGTGCCACTCTTCATTCGAGTCAAAGTAGATGAATCAAGCTTACCAACCAAAGAATATGGCTATAACCTTGAGATATATTACTAGTTATGAAAAATGAGTTAGAAGAAGTTTTTTTATTGATAAAATGTTCGCTGATATACATTCATGAAAGGAAGAAAGAAGCATTATAACTTATTGCAGGCCTAGTTCAATATAGAAAATGTTCTTAATCTTTAAAGCGTTTTTGAGGTGCCGGTTGCTGCAAAATCAAGCCTACAATGTTTTTACCATTGTTCTTATCCTAATACCCTTTTTCAGTTCAAGTCTCCCAATTATTGCATGTCTGTCGAGCAGTAATAGATTTTTCAAAAAGTAATATTGTAGACCAACGTGCTTCCACTTCAGTAAGCTCAAGTCGCGTTCCCCATTCCAAATGATGCAGTTTACTTTTTTTTTGTATCAGTTTCTGGATAGCGTCAAAACATGATCAATCGTCTTGTCGTTCATCAACCACTTGCAACCTTGCTGTAGCTTGGGTGTACTGACACTAACGATTTCCGTGCGGAACGTAGAGTGCGCGAAGCTCTTGAGTATCACTTTTTTGAATCCACCAATCAGATTGCAGTATTTCCAAAAGACAACTCTACATAGCATAAGTACGCATTCACCCATCTACGCAATAGGTGTAATCTCAAACCTCTCTGGGGACTCGTGGGCCACAGTGTTGGCACGCGGGATGAAACAGAAAGTACCATTACCATTAAAAAAGACTACTTGGGACGGACAACGTCAATATTTTACTACAAAAGTTCTATTTGAAGAGGCTACAATCCGCGAGTACCTTCAGGCGCAACAAGTTGCTTTCATTGTCCACTCCGCTTTACTCCAGTCATTAATCGTCTCTCTGCTCCGCAAACTTTTCTTGATTGAGCAGTCTATCGGCCCTGTTCTGGGAGGGGCTTTCAACCCTCTCTCGTTGCGTAGCCCCCGCTTCCGACAGGACCTAGTAGTATCCATGAAATTCGCTACAGATTCCGACACCCAAAAAGCTTTAGATGAGAAGCCCAAACCGAGGCCCAAACGCAATCAAGTTGATTGAAAAAATGCAAGGACCGGGCAATCAAATTTATAAGTAGTTGATTAAGCGAGGCGTCGATACTGGGTCGCTCTACAGGTCTTATGAGGTCCTCTCAGTACTTGCGCGAAATATAAATGTTCAAAGCAACAGCTCGACGTCTCAACGAAGTAGGGGCTGCAATCTTCTCTGATATTTTATGATTTCTGAACGCCTGACCAAATTCACAATTAAGAATATCATATAGGGAACTTGTTGAGAAGCCATGAAAAGCTTTTAGATGCAGAACGTCAATAAGTTTGAAGGAGCAAGTATAACTTCAAGAAACCATACAGTTTGACACTCTTTAGAAGGTACTAAGATAATTGATTGTAGAATATATATGGTTTGAAATAAACCACAACGTAAAAGCATTCTATTCATTCTGTAATGTTCATTTTTGTCAGTTTATTATTGCAAACATAAACGTTACAATACTGTGCTTTTATTTTATGTACGCTACGGCCTATAACCTTTATTTCAGTATTATATTCGCGAATACCAAATATCATAATTTTGTTCGTTGTCTTTATCACCAAAAGGCCTTGACGCTGCTATTCTCAGTTTATAGTCACCAGCAGGCAATCGTTTACCAATTTTCGCTATAAAGAGCAGCAATAGCCCGCAAAGATTTTATTACGTATAATTGAGTAATATAAACTATATGACATGCGTTTCTTTCCTTCCTAGACAGGACGCATTTGTAGTAATATGACGTAAAGTCTGCCATGTCTACTTTCCTTACAGTCTGTAGGCCGGAATTTCATTTTAGCAGTTACCCCATTGATTTTTTCGGGTTTATAAGTCATGAAAAGCCTTCTTCACACAGTTAACTGTGGACTGATTCGCTTTGGCAATGGTTAGAGCGAGATCGATGGCCAGAGCTTGCAATTGTTTGTTTAAACTCTTGTTCCCCAGGATTGTTAATGTTTCGGTTCCCTCAAACAGACACATGAGTTCATCGAAGGTCGCTTTGATAATCCCTTTATCAATGTTTTCCGCAAGTCGACGACAGTTTCTTTTTTCAGTTTGTTTCAGTTTGTGATAACCGATAATCCAATTTCTTGAAACAATCTTGAAGCGATGCGGTACCCTGCATTTTCATGTCCCTTGGGCCAATCTGCAAGGGTAAAAATGGAATACGATCTGGTACTGATATCATTTGTTTCTTCATTGGAGGTACGACAAAGGAAGAAGGTCGATGGTAGGTCAAACCGAGTTCTCCATTGGCGAAATTGAGCAGCTAAATCAAGTTGTCAATGGAGCATGCAGCGTCATTCTGGGCAATGAAGCTCGCTTCTTCCAAGCACTCTTCTTGATATAAATTTCAGTCGAAAGTGATTTTTCCTTAGTGTTTAACACGAACGCTGATGTTGTGGGACCATTGTCGAGACGTATGCTTGAAGTAACCAAGGCGTTGAAGGTTCTGGTATCAACCAGCAACTTTTGTCCGTCACTGGCGGTTACAGTTGTGGGCCACACATGGCGATAACAGCTGTTTATTGGTGGAAGAGACGTTGTTGGAACCACACCTTTTCGTATTTGGAATGATTCACAGTATCAATTGCGCGATGACGACTGTACACTTCTATGCAGTTCACAACAATACTTCGACCTGAGTCCGTGTCCAGTAATATCATGCAAGCAAGCAATCTAGCCGAGGCATACACCATTTGTGGAAACGCTGACCAGTCTTTATTTAAGAACGAACACATTTCTTCACGGAGTGAGTATAGCTTGAGCGCATTATCTATTTTGGATATTTGCCGCTTCCAATCGAAGAATATAGGCTGACAGTTATTGTTGTTCTCATTTTCTTTTTTTCGGTGGTGTCGTGTGATATCTAAAATATATCACATTTTTTTCAGCGAATTCCTATCTATCAATTCAAAACTTATAAACTTTTTACCATGTCTGCCTCCAACAACAACTGTCGCTCCTTCTACCCCTGTCACTCAAGAACAAATGAAATTCCACATGGATAACCTTGACATACCATGCAGGATGGCCTTGAAGAATCTGTCAACACTGAGGTATCCCTCACTGACGGTGTTTAACCCAGCTCTGCCACTAGTACCTCCGGTTCTATTGCCGTTCTACGTACAAGTCTGAAAAACCTAACCAATGCCATCGCTCTGGGTTTCATATGAAAGCTGAAGCAAATGAAGCAGCTGAATACATTCAGTATCTTGAAGGCCTTCAAAAGGTCTACCAACATGAGCAAGTCATAAGCTCCCCTTTTACTGGTTCCACTCCTCTTACTACTACAGCCAATGATCGATACCGCTTCTTGATCCCAACGGATTTGCCTTACTGGCAATGACAAGGTAACGTTTGGAAGGAATCTGCTGATTCTCAGGAGTCAGTGGAGGAATTGCTTGACAACTTCTATATAAGTGTTACATCCACTGGTCTGGATATCGACCAACACTAAGCACGTCTCATGCCAGTTCGTATAAACCGAGACCAACGCTCATGGTTCGAACTAACCTTAAAAGGCCGGGATCTCACTCGGAAAGAGGTTAAAGCGATCGTCCTGGAAGACTACGGTACTCATGATACTGCGGCCGAAATCGATAACAAGGACAAGCTTCTCTCTCTTGGTATAAATCGTAACGAAACGGTACAAACGTTTTCTAACCGCTTACAACGGATTCGCCGAACCACCAAGTGGGAAGATGATATTACTACAGCCACAATCTTCAGACGTGCCTTATTACCCACATTGCGAAAAGAAGTAGTTCGAACTCTGTTGAATCTCCCGCGCAATGCGCAAGACACTGTTGGCAAAGTAGCTGCCAAAACAAGACTGGTCGCCTCCTCTGACATCTGCAACAATGGGGCTGGTCGTCTTGAAGCAACAACTACCAATGGTCGTAAATCTTCTGTATCTTCTTCTTCTCGTCGTTCGCCAATCCCGCAAGGTTAATGGTACTAATAATGGCAACAACAATCAGCTTGGTCTCTCCAGGAAATCCACTAGTTCTGGCTCAATTAAAGAAAAAGAGAATGTAGGGAATTTGAAAAGGTATCAGCCAACCATGTTTCGTCGTCCGTTTCTGCTTCCGCTTCCGCCAACTCGATACCATCAGCACCCGTCTCTCATGCACATAAGCCAAAGAACATTTGTCGCAACTGTACAGATAACGTGCAATGGACTCGAGAACACGCTTCTTGTTGCCGAAGGGATAGGGTGAACCAATCAGCTCCTACCAGAGCATTTTGCTCTGCCCATATGGTTAACACTAATGGTGCATCTTCTCCTCCGTTAAACAACGAAACTTTCACATGGCTCTCCAAATGGAATCCACATGCAAACACCACTAACGAAAATAACAGTGGTAGTACCGAAACCTCTACATGGTTGTCCAAATGGAACCCACATGCAAACACCGCTAATGAAAATAATAACAGTGGTAGCATGATGGATGTTGACGAACAAGGCTACCCAGTCAACCATGACTGTAAGTCTCATATGCACTTTAGCACAAAACAGAATGACGGTTCATCAACTAACCATTCTTTATTAATACCTATCACTATAGAAAACATCAACACTTTTGCCTTGCTTGACAGTGGTTCTTCTTTTAGTGCTATAGACATTAATTTTGCTGCTAAATATAATATTAATATAAATAAAAAGGTCACTGGTTCTGTTGTACTTGCCACAGCTTCATCTGAATACAAGCGTTACGGTACTACCTTACAACCATTAAGCATTATTTAAGGTGATAAAAAGGATACCATCATCTATACATTCCATACTTTCGAAATTCTTCCTTTATCTTTAGAACATAGGTTGCCATTGGTTTGGATCTATTGCCTAAATTGACTATAACATTCAATAACCCGGCTATTAAGTACATTTACCATGGCCCTGTAATTGACGAAGAATGTTGTTGACGATGCACCTAAACCTAACAATTCACCCTACGGTACAGCACAACAGCAAGCACTATTTACTGCTGCAATCAAACCTTTTCTCCGAAAGAACGCTTTGATGCCGAGAAATTCTTTTAGCACAGTACCCGAAACTGTTATACGTCCCGATACTATTCTTGGAAAACAGTCTATCCCCTCGATAGGTCTACATTTTATATATCCAAAAATATTGTACTCAAAATCCCAATTTTTTGTTCGTTTGAACCGAAAGGAATACATCTTTGGTCCCAACTGTCACAACCCAATCCATTTTGGAGAAGGCATTCAACGTTTCGCGATAGGAAGGCTTTACACCAGACCATCAAAGCATATCGACAAGAGAACTTAGACGCCATCCTTTCAGCGCCCAACTCAGAGTTGACAAACCAATCTCGCCCTACCGTTTCTCTTGAACCCATTCTTTGGCTCACAATGAGCTTTATTGACCGTAGTCGCTGTCTTCGTTGAAGACTGGGCTGGCTCCCCAATAACTACTCAGCCCATTGCCTATTCCACCCCCTATGCACTCTCACTAAAGCCCACACCAATGCCTACAAATGCATTACGGCCTGCAACTTCCGACAACTGCCGTTGACCCCATTCATCATTTGTTGAACCAACTCTCCACTCGACCCATAAAACAGCGTGCCAATGCCCTAGTCAACTGGAGTATATCTTGGCCAATTGTCCAAATGCTTCTTTATGAGGCCTTCAGCACGAGAAAATGCCCCCTACCCCTCTAGTTGTGTGCAATGAACCGCTACATTCAGTAAACCACGCTTTTCGCAAAGGGAGTAGCTACCACAAGAGAAAAATAAAGCTAATACACTTCTAACAGTATTTAAACAAAGCTTTTTTCCTGCCGATTATCGTTTTATACACGGATCTTTGGTGTTATACTTAGGTTCATATTCGTTGGAGCCTTTACAAAAAAATAAATAAATAATAATTTAGGAATGCTTTACTGTTATTGCGAAACCGTAAAAAGAAAAAACAAAGGAACCAATACACTCTACAAGGGCTCAAATCTGCCATCATTATTCTATCCCGTGCAAGAAGGGTTTTGTATTCTGGTTCGCAGTACTAACTCAAGTGTGCAATATATCGTTGGTTCATTTTTCGTCATGAACCTTTCTTCACGTCTTCCATGCGGTTCCTCAAATAAGTACCTTAATAGTTTTTGACCACATCCTGTCTTCTTTTCTCCAATATTAAAGAAGGAAGGAGGAGGAGGGTTGTTCAAGTTATAAGTTTCAAGGCAATTGTGTGATTACCCCAAGTCGCATCATCTACAAACAACCAAAATAAAATTCAAGCAAAGTCAGGTTGTTATGGCCCAATGAATATACGTCAAAATGCTCATTGTAGCTCCGTCGTAAAAAACAAAAAATCAGGCAAGATCGAGTTACACCGAAAAAAAACCAACCATAAGCAGAAACTTATTCCTCCAACCATTCGAAACTATATTACTTCCTTTATTGAATTCGTACCCTATCTGTGCCTTCTTAGTCACTTTAACCCACAGCGAATAAAAAAGAAAGAAAAAGCGATTCTAGAGGGAAAAGGTGTATAGAAACTGCAGCCTCCCGTTCAGTAGCGAAAATACAAAGGACATAATGGCCAGGAAAATGTTTAAAACCATTGAAGCAGATGTCGATGCCGGAACTCAAGACGATCGACTTTACAATAAAGCTTTCGACAAATTCAGATCCTCTTTAAGGAATACATTGCTGCCACTCATACGAAAGGAAACACCTATACTAGCAGCCATGCAGGTAAAATTATATAATAAAAGACGATAATTTAAAAATTGGGGTCTCTGACCAATCTATCCAATTTGTCGTATAGAAAAAGATTCGCTCTCCAGGATTAGATACTTATTTTATATGGACAGCCAATTTAGGTACACATACTTTTTTTATGGTATTCTTACCTATCCTCATCTGGTTCGGTAATGACGAGATTGGTAGAAAGTACGGGTCGTTCTTCTTTGGTCGAAAACTTTAAAAGTAATTCTTTAAACTCAAACCCTTCTGAAATGCATTAATTGTTAGTATTGCTATTTTGACAGCGTCAGGCGTGTTTTGGTCAGGTTTTGTCAAGGTATGTTATTAAGTTAAGTTGTAGGAAACCCATAAGCAGTGATGAACAAAGTACTATAGGATTTTTTATGTCTACCTCGGCCACTCTCACCCCCCGTACATCGATTGACTATGTCGCCGTCCGTTGCTCTAGAATACGGATTCCCATCCACACATTCCACCAATTCAATTCAAGTTGCTTTATTCTTCATTTCATTGGCTTGTGAAAAATTTACACCAGAATCACCAGCGAGAATGATCTCCATAATTGCTTGTACCATTTATGCTGTGAGCGTTGTATTTGGCCGAGTTTATTGCGGAATGCATTCTGTGACAGGTCAGGAAAAAAAAATGGTTACAATTGCATACATACGAGCACACGCACACAGACTTGATATAAGCAACAGTTAGATTAAGACAACTATCATCTTTTTTCCTAAAAAAAAAAAAAAAATAGACTGTGTTGGAGGAACCATATTGGCGTATATCCTTTATTGGGTTCAATGGACATTCAGAGAACAAATCAATTATCTACTTACTGATCAGTCTTCTTATTGGGGTAAGAAGCGGATACAATTAAGACTTACATTTGGCCACTGCAGGGAACCAGAAAATGTTTAACCGGCATCGCGTCTCTCTTTATTATAGTGCTTTTGGGTATCCCACTGATATTGATGCTTGTTTCATTACAGTAAGTGTTTGAGATGCGATTCATAAAGTAGGTTTACAAGAATTATGAAAAATGACTTTTTCAATTCGTAGTCCTGACCCAATGGAAAGGTGTCCTTGCTTTGAAGACAGGTACGCTATTTGATACTGCATAATGATGCCAATGATGTGAAAACTAACAAGGTAGGCGCTGTGCAACACTTGTAGCGTCTGCTTTATGGGTGTGTTGATTGGTTTATTGCCAGGTACATGGTTATGTTATGGTAGTGATGTCTGCGTCAAAGGACTATCGTCATCGATCATTTCGATGCAATTAGGTCTGCTGGGTTCTCTATTGCTTATTTTAAAGCTGGTTATCGGCGTTGCTTGTTTATTTATATGGAGAATTGCCTGTAAGAAATTATGTTACTTTATTCTGCCACCCATTTATCGCGTATTCAACCTTCCTCACCGTAAATTTGAAATTGGCGCGAGGTAAGCTTGTCAGTTTTACTCATAAAAGAAATGGGACTTGACTCATAGATCCTCTCTGTATAGGACCTATAAGAGTTTACGTAGAGAAAGTATCCACCCCGTTCCTTCGGTTCTGGACTTTCAATCCATATCAAATTATATGGACGACCATGAGCATGTTGGTATTCAGTCTGCTATCGATCTGAAAGAAGCACAAAATCAGCAATTGTCTCACCGTGGAAATAATAATGGTCAACATCAGCATATGCCTATTTCAACCTCTGTTCCTGAAAAAGAAGCTTTTGATCCTACATCTTTATTAGTGTTGGAAGATGCACCACTTCGATATGATGTTGACATTGTGACAAAGTTGATTGTTTACGCAGGTATTGGATTCATTGCTACTTTTGTTGTTCCCATCATTTTCCGCATCATGTCGAACGTGTTATAGCTTTTCCTTTGTTTGTAATCTGAACTATCTTTCATGTACATCATTTATACAATATATATATGTATGTGTATCTATATACGTTATATATATCTTAATTCCACTGTTTCGTTATCGTAAACTCATCTTTAATTTACTTCACTAGTTTACTGTACTAGTTTAATATAACTTTTTAATCCGAATTGCCAGAAACCCCAATCATCATCCAATAAATTTCTTGGTAAATCATCAATACTAACTCATCTTTTTAGTGACTATATCTGTAAACTTTTGATGTACACATGAAATTTTATTGGTAATAATTATCGATTTCTAGATACAGGCATGACTAACGGTAGCCAGGAGCTATAGGCTATTGGCCCGAAACAACCACCTTACCCTTCTCTAAAAACCCATGCTCACGATCGCCTCCCATGAAAGTCGGGCAGATACAAAATCGAACCAAGCCCTGGGTTCTCCCTTTGACTTCTGTCATGGTATCTTCTTCAAAAGGTTGCTTACTACCTTCTTCGATGGGTATGATTTTTATCTCTACTTCTTGACCGCGAATAGCCAACGTCAGCTTCATAGCCTTATCCACAATATCACAAATCTTGCTATAGTATCGTTTATTCTCATCATCCACTTGAGCGTCATTTTCTCTTATAAAAGGATGGTAAATATCTGCCAGATCGTCATAGATCTTTTGAGCAATTTTTTGTTTTTCCTTGTTGGCCACTTGCTGAATTTCACTCATATTGTTGCTGTTGTTAGTGTTGTTGCTATCTGCAGTGGTAGCAGTGGAATTAGTAGCTGTAGCAGGCGTCGCGGTGACGGTTGCAGTAGTCGTGCTGGAGGCATTATGGTTGTTGTTTGCACGGGTAGATTTAGCAACAACAGCAGCCATTTGTTGTCGTAATCGAACGGAAAATTGGGAGTTATGTTGTTGCAACCATGAATGTAACGCAAAATAAGCATCGTTGACCTTTAAACCGGGATAGATAGGTGCACTAAAAATATATTTGACTAAATGTTCATGAACAAGCTTTTCAGCAAGTAAATTGGTAAGGGAAGGATCGACCCATTTTTCTGTTTCGACTATGGCAGTGGTAGTGGCAGTGGCGGTATTAGTAGTAGTAGTGGTGGTGGTGGTAGTAGTAGAAATATTTGTTTCATTATTGTTCGGGTGCTGATCTTTATCATTCGTTGTTGTAGTATTTTCCGTGTTATTATCAGTTGTTGTCGTGGGTAATGTTGCAGTGTTCACAGATGATGCGGTGGATAAAATGGGTAAATCTGGCCATGTAGAACAAAATTTTTCGGTTGCCTTCACTTTATCTGCTTTCTTATTTAATGTCATGATCAATCTTGCAATAGAATATTTCAATAATTTAAAAGAATCACGAATAGTAGAAAGATCATCATCTGTAGCTCGAACCGACCGTGTATGTTCGAAGAAACTGTGCTCTATATTGGCGTACTCCACCTCTCTTTCTTTAAATACACGCTGAGCTTCTAATAGATCCGCTTCTAAACGCTCTTTTACGGATTTTTCTGCCTGAACTTCTTGCGATTTTTGCGCAATGAGTTCATTCAAGTGTTCTAGCTCGGCTTGTAATTGAGCAGCAGTGTTGTCGGAAGAATGAATGGCGGGCGGTGCATCGTCACTTATTCTGTTGTTGCTGTTGTTATAGTTGAAGTCGTCAATATGTATATCGTTCGTCATCTCGTCTAGGTAGATTAGAGTCAACGTAGAAAGCAAAAGATGAGTTTACGTAAAATAGGTGATTGAGAAGCAGAAAACAGTAGAAGAAAGTAGAAAAAAGAAGGGGGAGGGGTTCGAGCGAATACCATAAAAAAAAGAAGATTAAGGTTTAAAGGATCTGTACCTGTTCTGTTATTGTCCACAGTAGTTTGGTGCTGCTGTTGTTGAAGTGATTCTGGTGTCGCACTATCTGTTACTGGTGGTGTACTTGTGGATAGTGAATTCGAGCCATAGGAGGCTGAACTCGTTAACCCAGGCCTATGATTGCTATTATTACCGTTGCTTGCTGTCAAATCACCTGTGCTTTGTGTAGGCAAAGCTATTATGGAAGCCTTTTTATCCTTTTTACTGGATTTAAATAGTCCTCTCATTTTACTTCCTGCTGATCCGAGATTACGAACTGTTTTTGAGCGATGAAGGGACGATTTAGAAGGTTGTGGTGCAATATCATTCAAGTTTATTTGCTCTTCATGGGCAGGTATCTGGGGAGGTGGTAGAGGTATATGGGACGATTGACTATGTGCAAGCAGTTGTGAAGTGAATTCAGGTTGGGGCCCATCCTGTTGTCGTTGTTCTTCATGTGTAGCTGCAGCAGTGGCGACAGCAGTGTTGTTATCAGTCATACTGAAGAAGAATAAAACTAAAAAAAGCTAATTTGGAAAAGAAAAGGAGCTTTTCGGCTTTTTTTGTGTGGGTGTACAAATTTGAAGTAATGTCAACACTTCGCTAAATGAAGCGGAATATGATTGGGCGATTGAGTTTTCACGCTTTTGCGACAATGAGTCTTCTTCCTTGTCATTCATCTTCTTCGCAAAAGCTGTAAAGGAGGTTCAATGTAAATAAATTAAATGTGTTGAAAGATAGAACAGGAAGCGATAAAGATTTTGCTTGAACGGTAACCTAGCGGCCCAAATGTACTTGAGGATATGATATTAGAACGAGACATGAAGCGAGTGATGATTAGAGTAGGCTTTTTTTGAGAGCGATAGGTACACGTTATCCATGCAAGAGCTTAAGAATCATTCGGGATAACGATAAAGCATCCTATTGTTTGCAGCGTTAACAGAGTATATCACACAATGGCTTCCTGGATCGCACAAATTTTTGTGTTTCCTTCCCTCATGATGGCAGCCTATTAAATCCAAGGCTGTTACAATGTTAATTGCCTCCTTCTTCCTATTTTTTTTTTTTTTTTTTTCTACAACTCTCTTCACACACTCCAAATAGACTCTTCTTTCCTTGCTTACACATTTTTCGTTCTATCCATCAAGTAATCTATTTATCCATATATTATTTTAATCTGTGCCTGAGTCTTGTTTATTATTTTTGTTCGGGTTACTGAATTGTCAAAAATAGAATTCGCTGACCGAGAATTACAGAGCCATATATCCAATCAACGTAAAGACACTTGCAGAAAAGAAGTCCTGTTTGTCAATGAGATCATGTCCATCTCGTCCGTACTTTGTAATTTCGGTCACTCTTCTTATACTATTGCTCTCAACCTTTTCGTATTCGCTGCATTCGACATCTTTTTTCAATGAAAGGAGGATCGGACGATACAATGAGCATTTTTTAGTGGCTCGAAATGAACCTGATTCGAACAACCCCACACGAACAGTCAAAACAATCACTGTAACAACCAATAAAATGACTGAAAGTGAAACTTACCATGGCAATAAAAAGGAAACCGATCGTAGTAATAAAGACGATAAGAAAACCATTACTACTGAAATCAATATTACTTATACGACTGTTGTTTATGGACCAGTTATTCCGCCTTCACCCTTTGTCTCTGCCGTACCGATGCCGACAATTCATAATATGACAGATATTGGCTCAGCGCACCAAGAAAGTGAACGACAGCAGGCGAGTGACAGTTTAGACAATAATAAAGGCAGTACCACCAAGCCCAATAATAATAATAATAATAATAATAATAATATAGCAGAAAGTTTGAAAGACGATCAGCAAGCCTTAAAACGTATGGTGATGATTGTATCACTGGTAGGTGGATTTGGCTTTATTGCAGTTGCCACAACTGTTGTTATTTTCACCAGAATGCGAATAAAAAACCGAAAGCAAAGAGAAATGGGTGAACGTGATATGAGCTCCACTTTTGAATTTTATTCTGACAATCGTCATGACCATCATAATAACAACAGCAACAGCAATAGTAGCAACCATCACAGCCATACGAGCAGTGCTAGTATGAATCATAATAGCAGTTATCGGCCCTCTCATCATCAGCAACACCAACATAATATAAGTTCTTCCTCATCCCATCCCACAAGTTCTTATGCGCCAACTGCCAATTTCGCCTTGGCTACAGCGGATGAAACAATTGAACCTTCAGCACCACCGCTCACCATGGAACATCAGAACATGCTACCCTTAGTCGAACATGAGCACCATCGACATCACCACGAGCATAGTACTGGCAGCATGAGAACCCCTCCGCAGCAGCAACAACAGCAAAGACGCTATGTATTGTCCATAAGTTCACAATCTTCAGCGCCACCCACCCCTTCAGCCCCCACGGCGAAAGAATTAGATGCTATGATCGAAGATGATCAACTACAGCAACAAGAGCCTACTACATCTACCCATCGTTTTCATGCACATAATCATCACCATCACGATCATCATCGCAGGTGCCCTAATTGTTCGCCTTATTTCATCATGTCTTCAACAGCAATAGCGGCATCTGTTACAACGAACACTACTCCCTATCCCATTCCGGAAATTCCACCACCGGCCTATACACCCACTGCACCGCCTTATCATGCTTTGCCAGTAGAGGCAAGAACAGTAATACCCTATGGTGAAAATAGTGATGCTGCTGCTGTTACGATAACGCATTCCAATAGTGAGAATGCTATCAGTAGCACAGCTCTTGCAACAGCAACAACGTCAAGTAGTCTTTTGATACCGCCGGCATTACCATCCAGGCGACACTCGACTGGAAATTAACCACTTGAGTCATACTACGCCATTCGCAACACTTTTCGATCTCTCGTCTCGGTGTTTCACTCCTTGCTCTGTATATCATTTCCTATGTTACTATAATTTTATTTTCTTTTTCTTTTTGTATATCGATTGCTTATCAAAAATACATATACCCCTCCTTTTTATATTTTTCTATTTTTATCGTTCAAAAGTGCGTAATCTGAGTAAAATAACAGGTGTATACTCTGCTGTGAATTTATAGATTGTCACATGACTGGCTTCGATGCTTTGATCCTGGATAGCAGCACAACTGGGCATATAAAGTGGAGATATATCCACTTTAGCTTTTTTAAAAAATGGATGAATGGCTGATAACCCATACGATTTCATAGCGCTCAATTGATGCGAAAGGGCCCCAAGTAAAAAGCGACTTGTTAGGATCATCGGTCCGTCTTTTCAATTTTTTTGATAGAACTATGAATGACGTTCAACAAAGAGGAGCTCTTGAAAGCTGAGGGGAGGGGAGGGGTGGTATTATTCTTGTCCTTCGTCTCGATTTTACTATCCCAGAAGAATAGGAGTAAGAAGTCTAAGAAAGACACACACACCGAGACTAATATTGATTACGTTTCGACCAAGGTACAACTAGGTTCAGTTGATGTCTTCTCCTTCTCGTCACTTCCCTCATCCCCCTTCTCTTTTCTCTTCAATACGTAGAATTGTATAGTTTATCTATATATATGTGTCTCGAAGTCAATGGTGCCTCTTTTATGCTATTTTTTTTTATGAATGACAGATACGATTTAGACCAAGAAAAAAAAAGGGCAGTACCTTTACTTACATAGTTTGAAACGGCTTTTATTTTTCTGGGGAAAGGGAGCTATGGTTGATAAATCAGATATGCCTAAAACCTCCTATCACTCTGCTCTTTACATTAAAAAAATGAGGTCAACTACCTATTTTGTTCCCTTACGCAAAAGAGAAAGCATAAAAAAGGATTGATTACGACTGCTACTACTACTACTATTACTACCACGGCTTCTTTTCTTTCTTTTCTTGAACCATAGTTGAATCGACACAAAACGTATAGAGCCTACAGAAAAAACCCGTCTCGCTGCACATCATGATCAAATTTTTGACCCTTTTTATCTTTTGCCTCGCTTATATGACGATGGTTTGTCAAGCAGGCAGCTTTCGACGCGTGGGTACTTCAGCCGCAAGAAAAAACCAACTTTTGAATGAATTAATGAAGAGAGAAGATGGTTGTGTGATGACTTGTAGTGGTGAAGTTGCAAACTGTGCTGATCGCTGCGCAGCGTCCCATCCAGCGCGTAACCATGAACTCAAGGTTGTTTGTCAAGAAGGTACTTGTTACTGTGGTTTCGAGGTCGGTGATGATTAAAATGCTATTTCATTCCACATAGAGTGGGTACACATCTTTTTTTTTTTTTTTGCTTTTTCTCTGTGCCTTTACATATACTTCATTTACGTTATGTCCCTTTCCATGATAATAAAAGCTGTCTCTACCCGTTCTTTCTAAAAAAGAGAATTCATCGAATGTCATTTTTATCAGTTGTGGTTCCTTTGAGATGATCAAAAAAATCAAGAAAAAAAAAAAAAAAAACTCGGAAAGTCCGCTCTTTTATTTTTTATTTTTTATTTTTTTTTTTCTGTGGCCTCTACTCTAAAAGCTGTTTTTCTCTGCTCGATTCAGAGATTCTAGTTGACATGGATCACGACGATTCACTTTTGCCTCGCTCACTTTTCGCTGCTTCTACGCTTAAAAGAGAAACTGTTCAGCAAACAGTGGGTAAAATGAGTTAGCAAAGGACGAGGCTTAAATTATGCCTCTGCCCTTCTATTAACGTCTTTACTTAAAAAGACTTGCACTATGCACGACCTAATTAATTTTTTTTCTTTTTGTACTAGATTCAGCGTTGCGATCTGCTGAAAATGTCAACGACCTGACGGCTTGCCGTCAGTATAGCAACGACAATAATGCAACTGCAACAAATTCAAGCGTATCGGCGTCACCTTCTCCAACCTCTCGTCAACAACCACAGCAGAAACAAAAAGCGACACCAAGAAAGAACACGGCCAACTTTGACTATTTCAATGACGCGATCCGTAAAACCGCATCGTCTACTCCTTCCTCATCGAATGTAGATAGCGACAGAGAGCAGGAAAGTGATGACTATGGGGTCAACGACGGCGATAATAGTCATATGCGTGATGAAAGTAACCGTAACGTTGAGCGTATCCATAGGCCTCGTGACGGCAGTAGTATCAGCAGCAGTAGTAGTAGTAGTAGTAGTAACAGCAGTGAGGACGAGGAAGGAAATAGTGAACTTGAAAAACTGGATACTTTTGCCAAAGACCAAATACCAGCATCCGAGTTGTTTGACATAATTCAAAGATTACAAACAAAGGTAAGGAAGAAGTTACTTTTTTAATGTTCGCACTGCGGTTGCATGAGGGAGAAAGGATACATGGAGTTTCCCATTAGCTCATCCAATTTTTTGCTCTTTCTTTCTCTCTCTCTCTCTCTCTCTACACAACTTTTTTATTTTAGCTTGAAAAACAACATAATCGGCAAATCAAGTATCAGAATAAATTAAAGCAATTGAATAGAACTGTCAACAATACGAATAAACTATTATTATACCATGCTAAATTATTGGCCAACCTGAATCAGAATGCAAAAAAGGACAGACAAGAACAAGACTTGAAACGAGATGCTTTCTCTTCTACGATCGCCGCGACTTATAATATACCACAAGTAGCGAAACGATCCAAACCATTCAACGATGAAGCCCGTGGATCGGATGATCATGATCGATTGAAACAGCGTCGTTTGGCAGATGATAAAGCGGAAGCTCCAGTGGACCGCGACACAAGCGATGTCGACAGTAGGTTGCTGCATCGCTTCCACTCAGACCGAGAGTCTATCTCTAGCCCTCCAGTACCATCGTATGTGCGATCAGCGGCTTTCCCGCCCATTTTACCTCCTAGAACTTCTTTGAGCGACAAACCAACAACAACAGCATCCTCCCCATCCTCCTCATCACCACCACCCACATCAAGTATGAATAGGCCAACCGATAGCCGAACCTCTGCCACCACCACCACCACACAGCCGCTCGCGAACAGTAATAGTACTACAACGGGTAGTCATAAATCTGAACCAAGACACAGTCGGTTTAATGTAAATTTTTCCTTTTTTCACAAACATTTTGACAAGGGAAATCATTGTGTTGATGCTGTTCTTTTCTTATAGGAACAGTGGAAGCAACATGTGAATCAAAGGCAGCCGATTGAGGAGATTCCTTTTGCCACCAAGAATTATATGGATGTATTTACCATTAGTAGACGAACCACAGAAACAGTGTTCAGTAGAAAGCCGAGATCGATTTTGTCAAATATTGCTTCGTCCAACATGGACAGTAGTTTACGAAATTTAATGGTCACAACTGATTTAAACGGTGAACTGCAGTTCTGGTAACTATACAGCAGTATGTTGGGGGAATATGGATTGAAACAAATAGCGAGATGTATGTTGATGCCCCCCGTTTTTTCTTTTTATTCTATTGCTATTAGGAATACGCACACACGAAAGTAAAAAAAAAAAAAAAAAAAAAAAAAAAAAAAAAAAAAAAAAAAAAGCGTTAAGTTGTTTTAAAGTGTCAAAAGGAAGGACGTTTCTAATAGTACCTTTTTTATTGCTAACGTAGAAATATCAAGACGATCGGCAAACAACACCTGTATGATACTTGGATTGAAGATATCTGTTGGGTCACGCCTACTTCACTGGCATTTTGTCCATCCAGCAAGGAAGGAGAATCTGTTAAAGTAATTCATCTCGATAAAGTTACTTCGGTAAGCGTACACTTTGCTATGTAACGATCACATCTCAGTGGACTCTTAACTTTTTTTTTTTTTTTCCCCCGTCAATGAATGGATTTGTCTTGCTTTTTGATAATAGTCGAATGTCACGGGCAGAATTCAGAAATTGGATCAAAATCCTCACGATAAAGGTATATCTGTTATCTCGTCCGCCATTACAGGCGATTACAGCACCCCCGGTATAGAGAAATGTAGTTTTGTAACGGGTGGCAATGATAAAAATGTCGTAAAGTATCATGAAAAATCATAGAATCCCAATCCATGCTTTGCATTTCTTGACTGTTTTTTTGCTTGATAGTATTTATGGAATTTAAAGCGTGACAGTCCGGAGGTTGATTTTACAGTAGCCAGTGTGTCTCATCTGTACATCAAGCATACAAATGCTGTTCATGCTTTACATTTCGACAAATATAAAAATTACCTTTGTACAGGTGGTGCTGACAATCGGTTTTTCATCTATGATTTGCAAACAAGCTCTTTAAACCGAGAGTTGAAGCTGAATTCACGTATCACGCAGATTATACCAAGTCCGATCAATCCGAACATTGCACTTATAACGTAAGCTGTATCCCGTCAAAAAGGAACGCATCACCATGTTGACTGACCTTTTCTCTCTCTCTCTCTCTCTCTGCCTCTTCCTTAGAACGGCTGGTCGTTCTGAACAATTTATCGTTTTCGATCAACGTCTCCAAGGCTACGATGGAATTACTTTAAAGTTTGGTCAACAAGAAGGGGACAACCTGTCCCGTTACGTTCGACCAGATATTCATCAAAATGGCTATGTGGTATGTTGTGGATCACAGTCGAATGCTAAGCTCAATTTCTGGGACTTAAGATCCCGTAATGTCATACGAGGAGGACCCTCTTTCAGTTTGGATACAGGCATGAGTGCACGTATCTTACGCTCGGTATTTTTACCGTATAAAAATACGGTGGTGTCAACGTCATCGTATAGAGAATTAGCTTGGCTAGACTACAATGTAAAGAAGGATGAAATGATACAGACACTTTAAATTGCAACTTGGGTTATCCTATCTATAATGTATATATCTCATATTTTTCTTTTTCTCGCACTATTGATTGTCTTTTCGATGCCTATGTTTGGTGCAAATGACAAAATACCTGGAAAAAATAAAAACAAGCATAGGAAATCGTAGCAGACAAAAAAGTGGATCACCTTGTATCGAAAAGATAGAAAAGCGTACTCTATCGATAGATAGCTTATATCTTGAGAGAGGCAATGATGATACCAATGAGTTTTCGGAAATAGAATTCAAGGTATTCACGTCATTCGACAGCTCCATTTCTCTCATCGATTCACACACACGGATTTTCTATACAAAATGATCATAATCTATCGCTCGTGTATGCTGTTATTGAGAAATTAGCAAGCGGATGGATAGCTAAAAATTATTTTTTTCTTTTCTTTTCTTTTACTGCATGGATTACACGGCAATTTAGAGTTACCAAAAAAAAAGTTTGAGCTACTGATTTTCTGTTTATGGACAAAAGTGATGAAATGGCTTCAGTATGACGTCTTCTTTTTTTTTCTGTTTCGAAAAAGGGACTTTTTTGATATAAAAAACGACAGTAGTAAAAGATTTATTTTTCATATTCTTTACGTGTGCAAAACAACAAGATTTTTCTTTCATTTTATTCAATAATCAACACTCATTTTCATCGTTTCCCAAGCAAGCATTTTCTGTTTAATAGTTGTATAAAATGGCTTTATACTATGGAATCGTATTCGGCATTCTAACTGTTGAGGTATGGCAAAAAAAATAAAACAAGACGGACCATGGGATGGATTGTGATGTGTCTTTATTTTTCACCCTGTATATATAGATCTTTCTCTTTTTCTTATTTTTGGTAAAGTATGCATAGAATGTGTGTGGAAGAGACAGCATCAAGCTCATCATCATTGGGCATTCTATTCGTAGTTGCCTATTCCTACTCGCTGGCAAAAGCCTGTTTTCCGTTGGTTGGCTACTTCACCGATTGTAAGAATAAACAAAAATTGTGTGTACAGTTTCCGTAGGTGCTCATTGACATCCGTCCATTTTAGATAGCGCATACACATTATGCCATGAAGGTAGTGTTCGCGTAAGTATCTCCAGAAAGAAATAATGACAAAGCCTGTGAGTGAAAGTGACTAGAAAAAAACCAACTGTTTTTGGAATACCGATTTTTTTTATTTTTTTTTATGCATAACAAATCGTAGATTCATTTTTGTGCTGTTCCTTGGTAAGTGTGGTTGATATCGGTTGGGGCGGGTAATGACACGAGGGATTCTTTCACCAACCACGCATTTTCCTATACGGTCTATTGTAGATGCTGCCAATACACTTCGCGCCTTTTATGAGGTTGTCACCCCTAATGATACCACGAGTGTGCCTGTCGCTGGTAACTCTGACTTGAGAGCCGAAGTGGGACAAGCTGCCAAAAAGTTCTATGCTCAAAGAAACCTTTATCTCACTGGTTTTACCATTTTATTACTGCTGTAAGTACAAGTGTTGTTGTATTGAAAGAAGGAATAATATATACAGACAAGTGACTCTCTCTCTCTCTCTCTCTCTCTCTCTATCTCAAAGCATCTTGAACAAGATCAAATCCATGGCCATGGACTATATCCGATTGGAAGATCAGTTGATCGAGCTTGAAGGAGCCGTGAGTATAAACTTTTGACACATGTAAACACTTGAAAGGAGTTGGAGGGGGGAAAGCTAAAGGACAAAATCTGGTTATTGAACACGTCATCTAGACTTCCACTGATCCTGAAGTTCGAAAGGCCAGTCGAGAAATTGATACCTCTCCTATTGAAGCTGCAGTCACAAAACTTGAGCCTGTCAAACAACCCAATAAGAAGGAGGATTAGATAGATGGGATGCTCTCTCTTGAAAGGCAGCACTGTGTACCATGAAATGCCTATTGAGAAATTCAGACCATACTCCAATTTTTGAACCTAGTCATTAGTTTTTGTTTTTGCTTTCATCATCAAAATGCCCTGTAAGAAATAAAACAACGACTTTTTTTTTTTTTTTTTTTTTTCCCAGTTGTACATGCTTTGTTCTATCCGTTGAATGTTTCCCTGGTTGTAGTAGGGAATAGGCTCATCGCTACCATGAAGCATACACCACACCCCCCAGCGCTTCACGTGCACTTTTCGAAAAAGAAAAACAGCCTCACTCTGTGTTTTTCTTTTGAAAAGTTGAACGAAATGAGAATAAAAAAAAAGAGAGTTGACTATGGCTTGAGACTGTTGTCATTTATTGTTTCACCACGACCATCCGACTGTTGTTGTGTATCGTTCCTTTGTCCCCGGTTGACATTCCGTTTTTTCATTTGTATTGTACAAGAGGCTGCAAAACGACGCCCCGTACCCACTGTACATAATAAGAAGGCAAGGCCGTTCTATCATTGGGTCTTTGAGAATATCAGAACAAATGCTATCCAACCCCCTCCCCCACCATGCTTAAACGCCATCCACATCAACAATGAATGTGCCAGCTCATTTAGGAGTAAGAATGACGAGAAACGCGTTCTATAGTGGCGTCAACGGAACCGAAAAGAGGATGTGGCAAATGATTTACATGGTTTTTCTTTTTCGGTCTTGTACGCCCAGAAAAAGAGTGTTCTATATATGGAGATTGGCTTTTCTATTGTTCATTGGAACAATGGCAACCTGAAGCAATTGCGTGACATTGTGTGAAAAGAAAAGGAGGATTCTCTTTTTTTTTGGTTTCTGCTGGTTGTAGTTGTTGGGGATGAAGACGAGGGTCCAATCATATTACATAAAACGTGGGGGGGGAGAGAGAGAAAGATTGGGGGGAGGGAGGGAGATGGGGACGGTGGGGAGAGGGATGAGAGAAAAAAAACGATTGCAGATCCGAATTTTGCTGGAATTAATCACAAAGTTATCTCGCTTTTCTTTATGTACTGTATACAAGTTTGGAAAAGTGACATGGGAAAAAAGGCAGAAAATTAGCTTTTTCTTTTTTCGGGACTCCAAAAAATGATGCAATTATCAGGGGAGGGGGACATTTACCGCATTTATAAAAATGCGTAAATTCTAGAAATATAAACACAGCAATTGGGTACAACCCTTTCAGAAAATAACTTCGACCTTATTTTCTTTCCATTTGAGTGATTGGCTTTTGAAAATGAAGGTACCATGAGCCAACGAGAAATTGCTGTTGGGTTGGTTTCTTTTTGTGACCATCGTTAAGCCATGTAAAGGCTTTTCGGTACTCAAATACGCTCTATCTACAACAAGGACTGTCACAGAGAAGAAATGATAAAGTTGAAAGTGTCCTTGGACTCTTCGGAAGGAAAAGCTAATCTTTTTAATATGTTGTTGTTCCACCTTCAATAAAGAAAGAAGGTTTTCAGGGCGGGGTCTGGAATGTTTTCATTTTTACCCATTTTTTGAACAACAAGTTTGTAGCCATAGCAGATCTTGTTATGCTATAATGTAGGTTGGATAGTAGAGCAAAATATGTGGTCAGTTCAATATTTTTTTTCTCATAGTACAAAGTGTTTTTTTTTTTTTGTTTTCCACATATTCCTTTTCATTTTCTTCTGTTTGGTGATATTAAGACAATTCAATAAAAATCAAATGCACATTGTTTTAGAAAAGATAGAAATTCAGAAAAAAAATTTTTTCCTGCACGTTACCAAATTTGGTATTTTCTATTTTTTTTTCATTTTTGACGTGAAGGAAGTTGTGATACAGCACAAAAAAAAACCCATTCGTGTCAAAAAGTTAATAAAAAGCGTCTCTCCTGTTATCTTGTCAAAGGGTAGATAAACCCAAGAAAAGAAAAGAAAAGAAAAAAAAAAAAAAAAAAAAAAAAAAAAAAAAAAACTTATTTTATGGATGAGATCGGAAACCCAATGGTATGGTACAATCTTCCACATGTACAACGTTTAAATATGGGCCATATTTTTTCTTTCTATATTGCTTACAAAGGAAAAAAAAAAAAAAAGAGGGCTTTTAAAACATTTCTTTTTACCCCCCTTTCTTTTTCTCTTCCGTTTCTGGAGCATTGTCTTTTTTTTTTTTTTTTTTTTTTTTCTTTTCTTGTGTTGTTTTTTCCTTTCCTCTTTCTCCTTTCTTTTATCTTTTTCTCTTTTTGATTAAAAAAAGATTAACAAAAAAAAAAAAAAAAAACCCCTCCCAGGGTGGCCACAAACTTGCATCATTTTTATTCACTCAATTCTTGTTTCTTTTTTCTTCTATTGAAATTTTTTATTCTTTTTTTTTTCTTTTTAAAATCACACAAACGAGAAAAAAAAATAAAATCGGTCAACAATAATAGAAGTGCAAAGGTCAAACACGGAAAGTGAACAAAAGGCGATCGAGCTAAATAAGGAAATTCTATTTTTCTTTTTTGTCTTTTCTGTAAATAAAAAGGAAAGAAATGGTAGACAACAAATATAATCCAACCAGTCAAGGGTCTTCATCATCAGCAGCCATATCACTGAATCCTTTGAAAACTAAGACTTCACCTTCGCCCCCACCATTGAAGGCTCCACAGGACTCACGACAGTCATCACCTCAAAGACAGCAACAACAACAACAACAACAACAACAGCAGCAGCAACAACAAATGACACGGATATTACCTGACCAACAATCGGGTAGGAGGGCTTCAACAAAGCATGGTTTTGTTGAAAGGTTTTTCAGAGTAACGCCCACAAGAAATGCAGCATTTATCACTAAATTGTTCTCGTAAGCTATGTTGCATATTTGTTATTTTATCCATATGGATAAATAGACTCACACAGCAGCTCGTTTGCCTTTTTTTTTTTTTTTTTTTTTTTCTGCCTTCACAAACCGCCACCTCCCTCCTCCACCCCTTTCTTCTCAACACGGCACTCATGGGTTAGAATGGTGAACGAAGAAAGTACAAGTCATCTCATTGCTTGGACAGGTGCTGGCGACCAGTTTACTGTATTCAACAATGTTGATTTCTCAACCACTGTTTTGCCCAAATATTTCAAACATTGTAACTGGTCAAGCTTTGTTCGTCAACTAAATAGTAACGTATAGTTCAGTGTACCCCCTTCCCCTTATCTCTTAAATCGCTGGGTCCCTAATCAATTATATTGCTTCTCTTCCTCTTGTGCTACATATTACGCATCATAGTGTATGACTTTCATAAGATCAATGACACCACCACAGAACTAAACGAAAACCAACGACAACGCTGGGATTTCAAACATCCATGGTTCAATAAATCTGGCCTTGATAAACTACATAAAATAAGACGAAAACCGCCCAGGAATCGACTCGTGCCTCAAATACAATATTCAAGTGCGATGCAACTGGTGGAAGACCCACACCTCACTATCAGACCATCCAACACCATCAACAACAGCAGTAACAGCAGTAACAGCGGCCATCATCAGCATCGTTTGACATGTAACAGTAAGGATGTACCTACTTGTATACATTACTCGAATAATACAAACACGTATCGTAATGATAGTATGGAAATGAAGAATGCTCGTCTTCATAGTCAACAACAACGTCAGCGATCCATGGATAGCAATAGTTCTACTGCTAGTAACGGACATGAATCCTTGTTAACATCTCCTTCCAATACTCCATCTGAAAACAGTAGCATCATTCCATCCACAGTGATGCATACGCGTCCTATTTATCAACATCAAAGTTATGTATTAGGATCTGACCCAACATTGCTGCAACAACAGCAACAGCAACAGCAACAACAACAACAACAACACCATGTATCATCATCCGCCTTTGATAATGCAAGTATACAAACATCGCTAAGTGAATTACAAACAGTTGCAGTCAACCTTGAATTAAAACTAGATACTACAGCCGATGAAGTGAATCATTTACGCAAATTAGTGGAGGACCAACAAATGGTATGTACTCACAATATACAACGCTTATCCTACTGAAACGAGTTCCATTCGATGGATGTCCCCATGCTTAAGCCTTCTTCACTGTATTAGATTCTTAATGAATTGTTACTTTCCGTCAAGTACTTTAAAACAAAGACAAGCGTTGTGGCTTTTCACAACAAAGAAGAAGAAGATGAAGATGAAAGCCAAAAACCTCGCAAGGTTCATGAATGTAATGGTCCAAACTTTTGGAAGGAGTAATTTTTTTTATTTCATGTTTTCTACAGTCTAAATTTAGAAAAAATAACCTTTCTTTCCCCCCACCCCACCTGATTTACAAAATTAGTACTTGGGTCCTCTGTATCTAGCACCACGTCTGTTACCAACGATGGCTATTTTAATAGTCATAGTAGCGGCTGTAACAGCGTGAGTAGAAATGATAACATCGTTGGTCCGCCACATCATTCATCACAGCGACGACGACGACCGGACCCACATTCATCAACCTACCTATCGCAACCATTGCCACCCATCCGATGCGACGGGATAGATCGAGTGGATTCACGCACTAGCGGCAGTGGACATGTGATTCAAAGACTACCACACCAACAAGTTGAAGATTAGATTGATTTGTTTCTTCTTTTCAGAGATCTGACAACAAAAGAACAACATTGTTTGATGTTCTAGCATGGGTCAACTCTAGCTTTGATTTGTTTACGTGGGCTCTTGTTTGAGGCTTTTCCATTGCAAATCCGTCGATGCAACCCCTGCAACCCAACCACAACCACACAACTCGCAGCTATATCTTTTTCAAATAGTTGGAAAAAATGGATGTTTTAAAACCCCGTAGATGTCAAGACATATTCACCTTTTGTATTGAGATTGAAAAAAAAAGAAACAAATCAGTTTTTATCTTTCAACAAAAAAAAACAAAGGGGGGTCAAGGACAATAAAACAACATTTCCAATTTTGAAACAATAGGCTTTTTTTTTTACTAAAGAAAAGAAAAAAATCATTCTTTTCAACAACCACCGCAACAGTAATAACACATCACCATAACAACAGCAACAACTCCTCTGCCCTTTTCCATTGGAGGAAAAAAGCTCGCAAAAAAGAACAAAAAAGAACAAAAAAGAAAACCAAAAGAACATTTCTCTTTATGTTCTAGTTTATTCTGTTTCTAGCGACAGAAGAAAAAAGAAGTTGATCTTTTTTTCTGAAATAAAAAAAGAGAAATATCCTATTTTATATATTCGGAGCAATAAAAAGAGAAACCCCAAAAAACCGTGTCTGTCCTCTTGGAGCCTTTATCTAAGCACCAGCTTGCTTATATAAAGCTAGAGTAATTATTACAAGTGACATTTTGACAGCAAAAAGAAAGAAAGGCTCTTTTTTTTTAAAAAAAATGGGCACTTTTTTCTCAACAATTGGAACCAAAATTCAAATGCGCTGTAAGTAAATACGTTTAAAGAGAGGTTTTTATTGACAAAATATTTTCTTTAAAACCCAGTGGGCACAATGTTATATAAAATTGCCCGGGGCAGATCCGACTGTTTATAAAGTATCTAAAAAGCCCTTCAAGATCAAGGGTAAAAACGAGTTTATCACAAGGTTGAGTGATTATGAGGAGACATCCATTGGAGCAGTAAAGATCCTAGAGCAACATCCAAGGGTAGGGGTTCTTTGACGTGGAATAGATAATCTAGCTCATATAATATGTAGCAGAGGATCGCCCATTGGTGTTCCCATTGACGTTTTATCATAGGTTGTCTTGGCGGGTGGTTAGGTAGCTGATTTAGAAGATACGAAAGGGGATCTTCTATTTGCTGTGGTTGCTGCAAACGCGAGTGCATATGCAGGCATTGGATTGAGTGTGTCTTTGTTAACAATGCTGAAGGGTGCCGGCTGTAAGTAAATACAGTCTTTTCGGCTCAGTTTCGGACAGCAGGGAGGTGATTTTCAGAAAAGGGGCTCTAAGAGAAAACATGTAAAAGAAGGGTTATTTAGGCTGCTATGCTGCCACTTCTAAGGGTGCTTTAGGTTGAACAGCTGCCATCAGTCCCGTTTTATTCTAGGAAGTGCCTAAAACAAATTGCCAAATTTGTCCAATTTTATTGAATAGAAGAGTCTTATATCTTCTGGAAATAGTTCGAATCTGAAGCGAAAAAACAGTAAATCTATGATTCTCTGCCCTTACAACTTGGTTTTTGGGTGGAGAGGGGAGTTTCCTTTTTTGAACCCGCGGGTCGCTCATTTGGCAACAATTTATAAAATAATGTAAGAGAGAGAGAGAGACAGAGAGAGAGTCTGCGTTTATGTGTGGACTTGTGGGTTTTTTTTATCTGTGTTTCTGTTTTGAACTGGGAATCTCTAAAACATTCTTCCGTTCAAATTTGAGTCATTGTTTAAATAATAATATGTTTTCATCCAAGTTTGCTATTCTCTTTAAGCAACAAAAAACCAATGCTAACGATGCCACAAAAATTCAAGGTAAATCGAACGGTCGATTCCCTTGACATTTCAATGCTCATGAAGTTTTCCATCCAAGTTTTTATGCATCAAGCTTTTATTATGGAAATCTCTGTTTAACTTTTTCTTTTTTTTTAATTTTTTGGGATTTCCATTGACGGTGTTACAAAACGATGGGTCACAACAGTCTATGTTAATGTATATGACATGGTAAACAGATTTTGCATTTGATATGAACCAAAATCAGAGCTTGACAGACTCAACATCACACTAGCTTGAGCCCAACTATATCACACAATTCGGTTATTATACGTTGGGCATAGGTGTCTTTCATTCAGGCGTCCAAATTGGAGATAAAGAATATTGTTTTGGTGGACATAGTCTACCCAATATTACAGGTGTCTTTGTGGTGGAGCCGAAAGTAGGCATACCAGAACTTACATTAAAGTAAGTTACATCAATGAACTTTTGCCTCCAGCTCAAAACAAAGCGGAAACAACCTGTATTTTAACGATCATCCTATATTCTATCACCCATGTGTTTGCTACGTACGTGATTGATTTATGTATAAATGAATAGACAAACAATTGATATGGGTACAACAGATCTGTCCAAACGTGAAATCGAAGAATTACTCGTCACTCTTTCTGATGAATTCACAGGCCCTTCCTATAACCTATTAACAAGAAATTGCAATCATTTTACAGAAGCCTTTGTTGAGAAGCTAACACAGCAACCACTACCCCCTTGGATTAACCGTGCTGCTAGAATCGGAAGCATGTTTCCTTGTGTTGTCCCTTATGAATGGATCCAACCACCAGAATTTGCCGAAGAGGCAGAAGAAGAAGTTGAACAACAACAACAGCAACAACAAGAAGAGGAGGATGACCATGATCATGAGGAGCAGGAGGAGGAGGAGGAGGAGGAGACAAGGACATACCCCACAGTCTCTCTTTTGCATACCAAGCAAACATCAGCACCTCACTCCGACAGTAGTAGTCATAGGCGTCCTTGGCCCAAGTGTTCTACAGCAGCACCGGCAACAACAACGACAACAACTGCCTTGTCGTCTTCTACGCGTTCTTTTTCTTCTTCTTCTTCTTCTTCTTCTTTGACTACACTAAAGTATCCTCATATACCCAAATTTCAAGGCATCATCTATTCTGACGATGAAGCATGAAGCAACCAATAGCATTTATCATTTATTTACATGAAGCACTTTCTTTTTTAAAAAAATAGCATACTATATTATATAACGAAGATCCAACATTATAGAAAGGGCAATCCAGTCGAAAAACATAAAGATAGTATAATGTTAGACCCCCCCTCCCTCTGATCATCACGTGGTTTTCGTTCTCTTCTTTCTATTGAAGCCACTGCCATAGTGATGTTGCTGATGATGATGATGATGTTGTTGTTGAGGCCCCACATAAAGTGAACTCTTTAAATAATCAGGATCCATATCAGAACGTTTTAGACAAGTGAGGCATACTTTAATGTTGGATTTGCCGACCACAGCTTCTAATCTTTTTGGCAAGGGCCGAACCGTGAGTTCGACAATCGGATAATGGTAATAATTGTGGTAGATGATGCCCGTACCATGGTTGGGCAACGAAGATGGCAACGTAGGGGAGTCGCCATCGCCACCCCCACTGCCACTGCTATCCATGGGACTTGTGGTCAACAGCAACTCAGACATGAGTTTAGCTCCTTTCGGCGGTCGGCCTCTTCTGGGTATCGTTTTTAGTATCATAGAATCGGTTCGATTCGTTGCAAATGTATGTTTTTCTTGTCGGTAAAGGACGTGTTTTGGATGCTCACATTGCCCTAGCTTATTACTAGAATGGCTAGGGTGATGGTGATGACTCTTTGTCGTCGTCGTCGTCGTCTTATCCTGACGCTTGGTCGTTGCATTCGTAGTGCTTGTCGAAACGTCTGAGCTATGGTGATGGGCCGGTTTGCGTTTCATTGGTTTTTTCTTCTTTCTGCTCAAACTATTCGTTGATTTCGGCTGTTGTTCCTCAGAGCTATGCATTGCCTGATCCTCTTGGTTCTGTTTTTGCTCAAGATGAGGAAGGAGAAGCATCGTTTGTTGTGTCACGGCTGCTGGCTGCTGTAAAGAGGTTGGGCTCATGGCCATCATCTGAGTCGTGTTAGCGGTAGAATGCGGCGTTGTCGTCGGCGTTGTGGTCGTCGCCGTCGTCGTCGGAGGTACGGTAGTCTCGTCGTTGCTTGACGGTAACGAGGACAAGAAAGCCATAAAGTATGGATCATTCATTGGATCATCCGTCACTGATGCATCCGTGTGAGTAAAGTCCAAATCGTAATGGCTGTCTACAGGAAAAGAGACATACAACATGAGCTTTCTATTCTATTTCCTTACCAATACAAATAACATTGCTCTATTTACCACTGGTAAAGCTCAATATATCATCATAAAGATGCTGAAGTGATAGATTTGATGGGCAAGAGGAGGGCATAGGGGAAGGCGAGGAGTAATAGACCGTAGGCAGTGATGTGGATAAGGCTGAAAAGGAAGAGTGACCCATGAAACTCATAGGTGCTGTAGCAGAGTTAGCCATAGGGCGATAGCTATGGTTTCGGCTAGGTGTTATCTTGATGTATTTTTGATGCACGCTAAAGTAATTTTCATCCTCTTCTACTGTTAATACTTGTTCGTCATGAGGACGCATGCCAGAACTATTGTTATGAGCATCGCCAAGACTATTCTCGTGAGGCGTATAATAGTATTTGTACATTTTTTTTCTCTTTTCAACAACGGGGAATAGGGTATATCTTGATATTTAAAAGAGATCAAAACCAATGTAAGTTCTTTTTCCATTATCCTACTATTTATATCTATTTCATGTATAACGAACGCGCAGCATGAGGTGTGTCACTTTATTATTTTTCATCATTTCATAACTGTCAAATTACATAGTAAGTGATATATTATAACTTTGTTCATGTAAAATAAGCCAGTTTGAGTCCGGTAAACATGAGAAATAGTTCGAAAAAGGGAAAAATGCTAGACTACATAAAAACGTTAGTAAATCGTGTTGAACGAGACTTGTTTGGGATTTCTATCGAATTAAAAAAGAACTGTGATTTGGAGCCATCATGCATAGCAATCGTATTCGTTCATAATGATGCTTTTGTACTATCATGGACTTTTTACGTAAAGACGTGGAGGTAAATAGAACTTGAAAACCCTCCCCACTTCTGGATAGGAAGATAGCCAAACCAAAAAATGATCATAGACATGTTTGCCTCGTCTTTCCATGAGAAAGGCTCGTATCTGGAAAAAACAGGTTATTATGTTGGTTTATGCTTTCATGTAAGCGCGTTTATTGGTGACGCATTCCGTTTTGTTTTGGTTCTATTTTTCTATCTATCGAGTTGGGCAATCATTGATCTCGTTCGTTCCCGTTTTGCCTAGATTTGGCGTAGTTACTCCTTGATAGCATAAGACGATAACATCGTCATCTTGAACTTGCTACATCAAAGACAATGAAAATGTGTACTATCTTTTATTCAAAAGCGCAGATGGCAGTTAGAAGGGGCTTTTCAAAAGTGTTTGGCATCGACCAAAATCACATATACAGAGAGAGAGCATGAAGAGTGGATTGTTTCTTTTCATCAAGCAGGCAAAAGATGTCATATGCATTTTTCGCCCTATGACTTTTATTTTTAAATGATCGAATTGCTTTGTAAGGTGCGCAAACGGAGCGGGTCGTAATATTGACACATGTTTATTGTCAAAAATATCATTGATGATACCCATTTCCACAAATTGGGGTGAAAAAAAAAATCAAGTTTTATTAAAGTCAAAAATGTATAAGTTTAGAATGATGTGTTATCAAATTGTTTATTATAAAGTGATGAGAAAATAGAAACAAATAGTACAAACTGTTTATTGGTGCAGGATAGTCTTCCTACCACATGCTGCATTTCTTTTCGGGATTCATTGGACTACCCACCGGGCAGTTAAACGCCTTTGCAAAATCTGGATTGTTCTGTATGGCACCATTTACACGAGCCCTTGTTGGTGAATGTGGGTCTATATAAATCTAGATGTGCAAGGAAACAAAAGAATACAATATTAAGCATTAGATAAGACAGAGTGCCCTTTCTTAATTTGAATAAATGCGCGATACGAACCATTTGGACAGCCACTTCTGGTCTCTGTATTCTGCACCAGTTACGACCATAATTGACAAAGAAAAGCGCTTCAGGCGATAGTTTTTCCAGCCCAGGCAGAGTCTCTGATTCTTTGCCTGCTGTTGCATTTCTGTAAGCCGATAAGGCCGCTGAAAGCCCGCCATTGTCCGCAAGATTCTCACCCAAAGTCAGCTAACAATATGAAGTTTTTGTACCATCAGTAAATGTTCACCTGATGCGGAGTGATGTCAAGCGCTAAATAAGTTTTGACGCTTACCTTGCCATTGACGTTGATAGGCTTTCCATCCGCTCCCAAGACAGTGAACCGAGAGTATTGTTCAACATAACATTGACTGTTTGCGTCGAACTGAGCTGCTGTTGTATTTGTCCACCAATCTACAAGGTTTCCATTACCGTCATACTTTCTACCAGAACTATCAAATGCATGCTACAAACAAAAAAAAAAAAAGCCAATAGAACATTGCATATCAGTCATCACAAATAACTTTTTACAGCTACCATTTGAAGAGAGTGCTCACTTTACAGTTAATTCATGGCCGATCACTGAGCCTATACCACCGTAATTCAAATAGGCTGGACTCTTAGCGTTATAAAGAGGAGATTGCAGGATACCAGCAGGAATAGCAATCTCATTCGAGTTGGGCGAATAATAGGCATTCACCGTCTGCGGCGACATGTACCATTCATCCTTATCGACTTTGCGTCCAAACTTATTCCATGTCTTTCGGCTATTCCACATAGCACTTACATTTTCTGTGTCGTAGAAGCTCTTCTGGTCGACATACAGTCCATCATTGTACTCTTTGATCGAATCAGGTTGACGAACATCAGGCGTGACTGTACTGTAAGCAACTTTATGTTTGATAAGTTGAACCTTTTCTATAGCTTTCTTTCTTGTGGTTTCGTCAAGCCAATCTATCTCTTTCTCCAGCTTCTGCATCCATGCATCGTGGATGGACGTCAACAAAACTTCTGTTTTTTGTCTTTCATCTTCGCTACCAAATCTGTTCAATGTGTAATAGCGGCCCAAAGATTCTGGGAACGTTTGACTAGTGTAACTAACACACATCCTCCATCGTGGCTGTTCGACGGAGGTGCCGCTCACGATCTCGCCACGCATTTTACGAAACGCGGCACGAGAGGCATCGTCTAATGCGTAAGTTCTACTAAGGACATAAGTAATGACAAAATACTCTTGCAGGGTCTGTGGTGACACGGTATAATTGCTTTTCTCCTCTTCGTCGTCCGATGCATTCACTGCGTTGGAGGAGGATGAAAGTAGTTTTTCTAACTGATCATAGAAAGTAGGCGTTCTTACGATGACGGTGGTATCTGATGACTGCAAATTGCTCTCTGAAGGTAAGAGTGCCTGGATAATAGAAGTCCAATCAATTTTGTTGTGTTGTGCTTGGAATTCAGACAGCTTCATAGGGTTATATAATTGAACAGGGTCTTGCATTTCATCGCTAAGTATTTATGTAAATATATGTTTTGTTTCTACTTTGCCATATAGTCTATCCCTCGCTTCTTTCCTTCTTTCTTTTCCCCCCTGAAACCTCCACTCCTCATCCCTTACAACGTATGGCATACTTACGCTTTCAAGGCTATTTTTGCAAGCTGTTTCTCAAATTCGATGAACCGATCCACAGCATTTTGCACTTTATCATCGGACCATCGCTTAAATCCGACTTGTGCACTTGCATCCTCACGCACTGCATCATCTTCTGTTCCATTGGAATACTGGCCAATCACTTTTGTCAGTATATCGGTCAAACCATTCTTATACTTGTTCAGCGTATCTTCATTTTCGTAATATTCTTTGGATGGCAAGCCTAATTTGACTTGGTCAAATACAATAATATTCATATCAGGATGTTTGTCATCTGTATCGACTGTCATTACGTTTAAGCTGTCAATATCCAGTTTCTGCAAAAGAGTTATTGTTCGACTAATAGCATTGGTTAGGCCTCCGTTTTCTTCTTGCTTTTCGGGCGTAAGCTCGTTTTCGATGGTGGCCACATCTTTATAGATGGGAGTTGGACCTAAAGCATTGGCTCGGTCCAAATCCTTGCAGAGGTCGTAATAATTTTTCAAAGTATCAAAATTATCTTTGTCTGCTTTTTCTTGGTCCTCGACGTGGAAGCCGTTGGTATTGCTGGTAAGGTTTTTGTACACATCATCATACGTGCCCTCAAGGATTTCCTTCATTACTGCTATGTTGACGTCACTTGCACTATCCAATGTACCAGCAGCTAGAATTGGAATACAAACGATCAGTTTCTCTCTCTTTGCACCTTCTTCTTACACGTCTCCTCTCTCTCAGCTTCAAACCTACATGATCGATCTGGTTGAATGACCGCTTGGTTTAACCAACTGCCGCCTTTTCCATCATATCCACACCAGCCCCCCCCAAAGCAAAAGAAAATTAGTATGCAATTCTCTTATGTTATTCGAGGGAGAATGAACTTTGAACTGTACATACAAGTATATTGATAAAAATCCGAACAAGGATCAACATTAAAGTCAATACTTGCTAATATTGATTCTGCGGCCTGGGTGCATTCTGTCGTGGAGCACAAGGTCGACGTTTCTCTTTTGGCGATGGTTGCAAGAGAGTCTATTCTCATAATAAATTGGATATTGAAGAAAATGAAAGAAAAGAAAAGAGCAAAAAGGGGGAAAGGAAATGATATTTTTGAAAAAAGAGAAAAAGATAAAAATAGTTGCTCTATTTTTGTTGTTCTTATAGTTTAAGCCCGAATGAACAGCCCAGGTGCTAATGTCTATTTGCTTTCGTTTGTATGGAGAAACAACAGGTTTTACTATGGGATCTGTATAGGCTTTGTGTTTTCTCTCCTCCTCCGCAATTTTTAATCTTGCGCCTAGTGACAGGCTTTGAATTGTCTCACTTGTTTGTTTGTAGTAGCAATAACACATTATGGAAAAATCATAAAGACTTGATGTTTTAAAACCCCATAGGAATGTTGATCTTTCTTCATGTTTACGTTGTTTATGCCAACCAGGAGAAAGGAAATTGCGTGGAGATCATATCAATATAGGGGGTGCTCCTTATCTAATTCTATTATCTACGGACTTTCAGATGGCACGGATTTAAATTGGCAAGCTGTTGTTTTCCCGCCCCTCTTCCCCCACATAACGTCGGCGCAGGCTTCGCAGGTTTTGAAATGCTGCTTCTTATTCATTAAGCCTGTAAAGCTTTCACTTACATACACTACTCATCTTCAATTCAGATACAATAAACAATGAATGTTTCTTCTCATTATAGGCTAGCTACCTTCTGAGAACCACAAGCATTCGCTCTTGATTAACAAACCGTTGTTGTTATTGTTGTTGTTGCTGCCATGAATACCGGACACGTGATTTATACATTTCAATAGAACTCACCTTGAAGAAAAGAAACCATGGTCGGAAAAATCAAGAAAAGGCAAACTTGACGGTGAATAGATGAATGTTTATTTGTCTGTTGCTGAATGCTATATAAATAGGACAAGGTCACAATTATGCCCGAGAACAGATCGAGTTATGTACGTTGTACAAGGTGCAAAAGAACAGGTCCACTCAATCTTGGACTGATTTACGTCTGCCAATGATGAAAAGCGCGGCAGCTTCGTCGTCCGAACAATTAGCCATAACTGTAACAAGTTCATTTTCAAACCAAGGGATTTTTTAGAACAATTTAAAGTTCTAGTTTAGAGGAAAATATGTTAAGATTATGCATTGTACAGCATGTACACAAGGGATATGCTTCTGGTTACATACAGTGAATATAGTACGTCGATCATTAATAACTGTGGATGACTCATACAAATCAAGTACTGAATCATTGAAAGCGTGTTATTGACTTAGAAAGTAAACGATCACCACTTGGCTCTTTCTCTCAATTAGCATTTAAACATACCAAAAATGTTGCATAGGCCTGTCGTCTCTTCTAGCTATCATTTCGATAGTAGAAAACTTAAAAGACCAGAAAGCACGACGTATTTGAAAACACCCTATTCAGGAGCATGAAACTTGCTCCCTCTGTTTTTTGATATTTCGTACATAACTTATAAGACATTTGTAAGTTATTTCTTTTCGTAAAAAAATAAGGTGCCTTTTTTTTTGCACAGGAGAAACCCCGCCGATAGAAAAAAAAAAGGGCCATTTGTACTGGTGCCCCGATATTTGGCCAAAGATAGAGTAAAGGTTAACTTTCGTTTTCCCTAAAATCAGAATTCATAAAGCTTGTTTCTTTCTTTGTTCAATTCGTTTTCAGCAGCTCCCCTACCCTTTTTTTTCACTTTCCTTAATCTTCAACATTAGAGACTAGCATTTGCAGAATCTCATTGTTAGATCTTATCAAGACTTAATGAGTCCGGATACCAAGCTTATCGTTTGCTTAGTGAATCGTATACTTGTCAGGGTAATGATTACAAAAAATCAAACAACCGTAGTCTGCAAAATAGTATGGATTAACCATATCAATTTCTGTTCTTTGAACCCTGCCCCCACCCTGCTTTGCTTCTTTTAGTTACCGAGCAATAGCGGTAAAAAATTAGAAAGTTTGGAAAATGATCCACTAATCAATCAAACGTAAATAATTCCAAAAATCATTGTGACATGTAAAGTGAGCTTCAATCACATGAGTCAACGCTAATCTTCTATCCTATCATACCATCTCTGTAGAGGTGAAAGACGAGATTTCTTTTTTGTTTAAAAAGTGGGGTATCAAAAATTGCGGGGATTAACGATCAAAGATCTATTACTTTTTCGTTATTCCAAACAGTGGCTGCTCTGATTGAGTTATCCAAGTTTAGACTACCGACAATTACAGTAACATTAGTCAATTTGTTAGACAGCATCAAGGTAACCAAAAAAAAAAAAAAAGTTATCTCTGAAACAAAAAACGGGAACAGAGAACTTGATCTGAATAGGCGTTCATAGATACCCCCAAATGAAGACCCACTTCCTTTTAAAAGTTTGCAATCACAATTATTTATTCTACGCTTGCTTTCAGCTTGTTTACAACGTCATTGGCAGTATATTCGGGATGTCAAATTAGACAGTAACGCATCTGTCAAAGCATCCTCTACCATTGAACGAACCTATGAAGCATCCATATACAGCCTAGATAGCTCAACTCATCATAGTCGGTGGTCGATTTCCGACGCGCCTTTAACCATTGAGATGGATGATCCTCCACCCTTTGATGAGTCCATTGCAAAATCAATGATCAATGCCGTGTCGCGTATCATCCATCAGGCTACTGTTTTAGAAGAAAAAGAGTATGGCCAAATTTTGAATCACGTCACGCAAATAACGCGTGCAGAGTATTACACACCTAACAATATATCACGAGCTTCAGAAGACATTGTTCATGATATTTATAAAGCATGTAGTCGCGTCATCGCTTATTTAAGTGCTAGCAATTGGAACGTTGTGTTTTCAAAGATTAAGATGCGTATTTTATATTTGGCTACAACTACAGATGAAAATCCAGAAACGTCTGAAATGAGATTATTAGAATGTTGCTCACTTAATTCAAAACGATTGAGTACAGTACTTTCAGGCAAGTATAATCTTTTGGGAGCATGGATAAACAAACGAACCAAAATATTCAAGGCTGAACATGATCATTTTACTTCAAAAATGTAGAGTTTTGTACTAGCTTTCCAAATCTCAAAAAATCCACTCAATTGACAGTTGCAGCTATACTAAGGAGAGCTATTTGGGGATGGATTGAAACATATCCGGGAGAGTTCATGCAATTATGTCAAAATCAGAAAAAATTAGAAGGCGGCCCTGATGTGCTCTTTGAAATTTGCCTATCATTAGCCGACACTACAAGAAAAAAGGCCATTCTATGGCCATTGCAAACAATGCTCTTCATTCTATGTCCTGATGGTTTGCAAAACAATCACGATAATAACAGCAGTCAAAGAACATCCAGCTCTCGTAGGTCATTGTTTCTCGCCAGTCTCAAAAATTCATTAAAGCCAGGGAAAATGGCTGAATTAGCAGCCATATGTTACGTGGATATTTGTAAAGCGGCTACCTACGTGGCGAAGTCAGAGACCTCTATCTTACGACGTATAGTAGCAGATATAGAGAATGAACTACGAACGCAGCTTTTTGATCCAGAGAAACCCCTCATTACAGACAGCCTAATGAGCGGATTAGGTATCATTATTGATCATCGTACACTTCTGGCAGATTGTTTGACAGCCATGTTCCGTCTCAATCCTCGTTTTGCTCTACGTAGTCTCTTTCCAGCATGTCTGGAGCAACGAGCACCTACCTTGTTCAAAATAAGTCTTGTTAAAGCATGCTTGGCTATCGCCGCAGAAGAAAATAGATTACCGTGGAATCCCTCTGTTACAGCACTATACAACTCTTTAGCAAGTCAATTACGAGATACATTTATTGAATTTGCTAGCAAGGATTTCTCTAAAATAGAAGGAAATGGCAGTAATAATAACAGCAACAACAACAATTTGGCAGGACGCAAAGCAATGATAAATACCCCTAACAATGAAAAGAAATCGAAAAAAGATACTCATTCTGAGCAAAGCAGTGAACGCTTAGAGCTTGTGCTTGATATGCTGCGCCTTTATCAAACAGATCCTAATCTGGCTATTCGTGTAAGAATTTTCTATAGCACAAAAAAGGGTGAGGGTGGGGGAAAGAATAATCCGTGGACACAACTGAATTTTTCCCGCACAATATATATCTTTATACATATGTATTAGGGTAATGAGGATGATAGAATAGAAAAAAATGCAGCAGTTCTGGTTGCCATCACAACTTGCTTGAGGGAGCCCAATCAGTCGGTGAAGGATACTGCAGCAATGTGTTTGTACAAGCTTCATACGCCAGCATACATACTAGAATGGAGCCCTTCACAATCAATGGAGTCCTTCTGGAAAATATCATCTCAAGTGGTTTTTACACTAGCAAAACAGCTATTAGATAATAGAGAAAAGGATGATGGAATAAAGCGCCTATTGGATCTGCTGAAGAGATTGTTTGAATGTAGAAATGAGTTTTTAAAAATGCATCAGGTTGGGCACTGTTATGAATGAGCCAGATGGTAAAGATACAGAAGTAGCTTGACTAATCCTATGAACTTTTTCTTTGTAGGATACGGCAATGCAAGGTGCAGATACTCGTGAACGTATACAATCAGCAATAGCCTTGGAAGTTGCTTTATTAGTTTTGTTATGTTCATCAAATATAGAAATATGCACTTCAGCCATCACTTGTTTTGACTATATCTGCACAGAAGCTCAGCTGACGGAAATAATAGACGATACACATCAATCTACGCTCATTTTTATGGAAAACCTACCAATATATCAACAACTCTCGTTGAGCAACAACATTATCACAGGCAGAAAATCGCAACAAAAGCAAATTCGAAAACTACTACGGATGATGACCCACTATGCTCCTGGCAATTTAGCCGCTTGGGAAGAAGTGTATAAACGATGGAGATATATGACGCCCACCATCATGAAACCAAATGAAGAGTTGAAAGACGATAATCAAGAGAACAACATAGCGAACACCTTGAACACAAAACGTAGCGGACAAGCATGGCATGATAAGCTTAGAAACCCCGCCTCTTCAATCAATCGACAAGCAGCCCCTATAAATCCACCCAGCAGAATGTTGGAGACAAACAACTTTGATGACGACAAATCCTCGGAATGGCAAAACTATACTGGTTTTCTGGCAGCTTTGGGTGGTATCTGCCTCATGGCAGATACTACAACGAATGCATTATCACCACCTACACCTCGTGTCGGCTTTATTGACTCTTCTACTCTCCGAAGAATATCTGCTCCAACAGAGTCCTCGGCTATGGTCAATAAATTTGTTGTAGATATGGTGGATTTGTTGTTGTGTGAAAATGTTATTGTCCGTGAATGGGTCAAAGAAATATTAGGTACAGACTTATCACCTGCTCTGTATCCAATGCTTCTTCGATATATGGAAACTGTCTTATCAAAGTACTTTGGTCCTGATGGTGATCCTATTTGTAATCCTCGCAACACACTCTTTGTTGAGCAAGCTATCAGTGTGTTGAAGTTGGTTCTTGACCGAATGGAAGACTCACCTGAAAATCTCCTTACAGTCGATTTCAGCAGCTTAATTAACCAGTATGCCCGTTATTTGAACAAACTTGGAAGTGGGCAAACTGCTTTGAAGATTAAAATCAAATTCTGCCAACTCACAGAGGTTCTCATGGCAAAGAAAGATAAAATTACTTTACGACAGGAGTTCCGCTTGCGCAACAAACTACTCGAAATAACAGTTGAATGGACGAGTGATTTCTCCTTAAAACCAGACACGTCCAATCAATATTCAACATTTGAGTACAACCAGAGTGAAAAATTACATAGAGAACTGGATTTGGCATGTCTCGACACCATCGTTGCATTACTCCATCAATTGCCTTTGCAACCTCCTGATCAGTTGCATGAAGCAGACTCTACATCTATAAAAAGCCGCATTTTCTTCAAATACTTTACTTTTTTCCTAAAGTTACTCAACCGCTGTAAGGACTCAGAAAGCGAAAACGAGACGACTTCAGCCTACCGCACGCGTCCATACCCTGACAATGCAAGTAGCTCAAGTGGAAAGAACAAGGAGAACATGTCGACGTATCTCGCACCTTTGAAAGAAAGTACGATTCTAGCCATGTCAAATTTGCTCAGTGCAAATGTGGATGCTGGCTTAAAATATTCTTTATCCATGGGCTATCATGATGATTCACAAATGCGAACAGCTTTCATGAAGGTTTTAACCAATATTCTCAATCAAGGCACAGAATTCGAAACGCTGGCTGAAACTGTCATTACTGACCGTTACGAAAAACTTGTTGATGTAAAGTTGAAGCTCATTGCATTGTTACTTTTTCTAAACACTGTAACTGATGCCTCTTTCTCTTTTATTGTAGATGCTGGTTGCGAATGATCTCAATATTGCATTATCTTTATGCGAAGTGTGTCCTGCATCCGATATTGAGGATGCTGCAAATGCCTTGCTTTCTTGTTTTTCTTCCCGCGGAAAAACTCTTACTCTGCTAAGAGCTGTCATACAGAGAGAAGTTCAAAATACAGGTAAATTATCCGGCAAAAAGTTTATGAAAGCTCCCCTTTCTTTGTTTGTATCTTACTTCTTCTTTCAACAGATAGTGAAAACGAACTGTTAAGACGAACAAGTATAGCCACTCGACTCTTATCCGTCTTTGCAAAGCAGTATGGTGCGGATTATGTTCGATCAGTATTACAGCCAGTTTTCGTCAAGCTAGCAGAAAAACCTCCCGAGGAAAGAACATTCGAATTAGACCCTTCCAAGGTTGGCCCTGGGGAAGATGTAGTCAAAAACAAACAAAATGTGATTGATGCCACAGAATTATTTCTTAATGCTATTTGCGCATCTGCTAATGAAGCCCCTCGAGCGTTCAGAGAATTATGTCATTGCATATTAATCGCAGTACGTGAAAGATACCCTGAAGCAAAATACACAGCCGTTGGCGCGTTCATCTTCTTGCGATTTTTCTGTCCAGCCATTGTTGCACCTGAATCTGAAGGCCTACTAAAAGCTAACATGACCATTTCGCGTGAAATGAAACGTGGTCATTTGATCGCTACCAAAGTTATCCAAAATCTCGCGAATAATGTCTTTTTTGGCGCGAAAGAAACTTACATGATTGTTCTGAATGACTTTTTAACCAACAACATCTATAAAGTCACCAGTTTTCTTCGTGAAATATCCTATGTGAAGAATCCTCTCATGATGAACGGAGTAATAGCAGCAGCCGACGGCACTTCTTCAGTTGACAGCTTTGATACCGATAAGCAGAGCGTATCGAATGATTATGATCAAGCATTTGAAGCTAGGCCTATGGAAGAGAAAGATTACAGCTGTTTGCACACGGTTCTCTTTGAAAATATGGAACGTATTTCGCGAGAATTAACTACGAGAAGACTGAGACAATTTTCTGATCAGGATAGCGCGACGATGTGGAAAAGACAATTCGATAAGTTCTCTAATTTGATGGCACAGTTAGGACGACCGCCAGAGATTTCCAGGCAAGAGTTTAATGGTTTAAGAAGCTACACTTTTGCTGCTGCAAATCAACTATACGCAGAGTTCATGCGACGTAATAGTCATCGAAGTGTTGAGTCTATCGTATCAAAGAATATTTTTTACGAAACTGGTGTATCCAAACTCAACAGACCTGTATTTTACTTCATTGCTCGAAACGTCGTTGCTGATTCCATCGATTTTGAACTACTTGTTTATTATATGCTACAGGTATGTATTCTTGCATGCTCTATTTCCTTTCTTCTGCTTCAACATAGCATGTTCATTCTGAAAATATATATATTTTATTATATAGGCTATGGAGAAGGTTTCCAATAGAAGCTTCGAGCTTGTACTGGATATGACATTATTCTCTCATGCTAACGAAATTCCAGCACAATATGTCAGCCAAATTGTCCAACTCTTACCATCAGACGTGTCTGAAAATTTGGCAAATATTATTGTTTATAACCCTAATACGCACCTTCGCAGATTTGTCAAAAGACTACCTCGTCCTTTACTGCATAAAATGGCCAAGCGAACGAAATTTGCTGTAACTCTTGCGGAAATCTATGAATTCATAAATCCTAACGAGCTTAGATTGCCGAAAGCAACAAGTAAGGTTTAATTTTAACCTATAATATTTAGAAGGAGTCTGTTATACAAATATGCTGAAATACGCTTTTATATAGCTTCCTTGGATACCGAACAATGTCACGTATTCCATCCAGTAAATAGAGTCTCCCAGTATAAAGTAAACACGCCAATTACAATCAAGGTCAGCACGGAGTACATTCAAGTAATGACGGTACGAAAGCAAGAGATAATGTACGGGGTCGTCACTGTCATCAATGATGTTTTTTTGATAAGTGAAATTGACGATATTAATATTGTTAATAACGCACGAAATCAAGAAAATGCGAATGAATTTTATTTCAAGTACAACAAAGGAAAGTCTCATCATCTTTTCAGTTCTATAAAGAGAGAAGCCATCGTTAACGTAAGTATCAATCCCTTTTATTTGTTACGGACAATTGCTGCTCCAGAGCTTCAATCCTTTCTCTTTCAATTAGACTATAAAACACAATAAGAGAAGAGTAGAGATGACTAAGCCAAGTAACGTGTCAGAAAGAATCATTAGACCGAATGATGTTCCCGGTCGACTACTCAACATGGCCTTGCTGAACATTGGGAGCAACGATCCTAGTCTACGTTTGGCTGCCTACAACCTTTTATATGCTTTGAGTATTACTTTCCATTTCGAAGTGGGTAATCAGCTATTAGATGCCAAAGATCTTTGCTTGCCAGCCAACAGTACAGCTTTCATAGTCGATATCAGCGAGAAGATAGCACAGAATCAGCCAGCTCTTACATTAGAATTTCTCAATGAATGCTTTATTGGCTTTCAAAAATCAAGTGAACCTCTACGTTACTTGTGCTTGGATTATATGATACCATGGTTGCCTAACCTATCAAAATTCTGTAACAGCTGTTCGATAATCGATAATGATAAAAATGTCACAAAAACTTTGGATGTGATAAGGAATTTGATCGACTTGACAGTTGCTCGCACTGATGTAAGATTCACTAAATAGTAGCCTTTGTATTAGCTCGGAAAATATTGAATTAACCATATTCTCGTTTTTCCTTTACCTCCTAGATGTACAAGCTTGTACAAGCAAAAATATGGAAAAGCATCGGACAAATCGACGACGTGCTTAATTTAGTTTTAGATTCCTTTGTTCAATTTGCCATAGAACATGGCATAGGATCACCTCAAGCCGAAGCCATGGCTGACACCTTCGTAACGCTTTCAAACATTGCAGTTCGTGGAAAGGTGATTTCTCGTTTAAGAAAGGTGTTACAAAAAACTTCATTCAAACCAACAAGATCGTTAACCGAGCATTGGGCTTGGAACGAGATTGCTATATTGATACGTTTCGTTTTAATGCTCTCTTTCAATAATCGCGGTCCCGTAAAAAGTTATGCTCCAGAAATTTTCCATATTGTTTCTCTTGTAGTAGGTGCCGGTCCAACCATCATTCGAGCATCTGTTCATGGCCTTGTTATCAATATCATCCAATCGTTATGCACTGCAATGCCTATTCCAGAAGCCAATGTGAAGAAATTGCAGTTGATCCTTAGTGAGATGTCGGATACCAAATACAGGCTTTTGTTTGGGTTGCTCAAACCCCAAGCCAATGCTTTTACTATCACACAAGAAACATTAACTGATACCGCAGAGCCTCTCCCGCTTATTGCTTTAGAAACCATTATCAACAATTTATTGGAAGTAATCAATCTTAGTGCACCATCATTCGGTGAGTTATTAAAATAGAAAAAGTAGGTTACTAGTATATCAGGAATGTTGAGATGTAATTTTCTTTTCTTTTCTAAAGACATGGCAAATGCATGGAGAGCTAGATGGATGAGTCTTGTAGCAAGTACCGCCTTCCAATTCAATCCAGCCATTCAACCGCAAGCTTTTGTCGCCCTTGGTTGTCTAGGTAAAGAAGAAGTAGATGACGACCTATTATACCAAATTCTCGTTGCGTTAAGAGGCGCTTTAGCTATTTTCAACGAATCCGATCCCAATTTAGTGTTAAGCATCATGATGTGTTTGAAAAATATCGTCGAGAGTTTACCTCCAGATTCACGATATTTGTTACCACTCTTTTGGATTGCGATTGCATTGATTGAAATCAACAACGGTCATATCTTTGCTATGTCAGTTGATCTCTTGCTTGCTATTATTAGAGCGTTGGACGCCAATGAATACTTTACAGGAAATCGTGTGGTTCATATCTTAAACGCTGCAAGAGAACCGATTGCGGAAGTTACCCGCAAACTCGATCAACTTTGTGGTGTCAATTTTGATTTCCACTTCTCATTTTCACTTGCTAGTATTTTCTTGAAAGGATTACGGTACAATAACGCTAAAGAAATAATTTTCCAAGGCCTCACTACTTTCCTAAATATTGAGTCCAAACACGCAAATAACGATGGCTCGACCGCTCAAGTAGTAGACACACAAGTATTAGGTTATTTGGCTGGATTGTTACCTATCGCTGTCAAGCACGAATCCTTAAAGGAGGTATTAAGACTAGCTGGCCTGGCTGATCCCGACTTTTATGAGGAAGATTTCGACAAATCGAATGAAAAGCTCAAATCGACGTTTGAAGGTGTCTTCGATCGACTAGAGATTGAAGATGAGACCACTTCCCTATTACTGATATCTATGTTGGCTAACCAACTGCAAATTGTTGAAAATACGAACGAAAAATTGTTCTTATACAATCTACTGGCAGAAGCTGCTTCTTCTATGCCTGAAGTATTTTCTATCGTGTAAGTTAATTTAATAGCAAAACCATTCTGTCTCTGTACAGTCTCTGATCGTCTTTCCTTTTCTTCTGTAAAATAGGTACGACACTCTCTTGCCTAAAATGAACCAGATTGTACTCAGTAGCACGAACCAGCAGATTATAGAATCCGTCAAGTCCATTTTAATTATCGCATGCTCCGATCCTGCCTTCAACGAAACAACTCGAAAGACGAAACCCAGTCAGAAAGCCTTACTAGAAAGAATAGGCTTTTCTGCTTTAGGTGATCCAACATTTGGAGCATCAACAATCAACACTTTGCAAAATGCAAAACTTGCAAGTGAAATTATTGAATTGATCATTGCTTAAATTGGTATACTATAAACCCAGAGATAGCAGAACTCTTCCATATACGCATCTTACTATTTATACACACAAAACCTATTTTATTGACCCCGTTTAGAATTAATACACAATACGCACTAATGTCTTATTCCAATAGTTGCTCTTTCATCATTTTAACTCTTGTACAGTTGATGTCAAATTAAATTAGAAATAACAATAATTCTTTTATTTATTCCATAACGTATAGTATTGAACTAGATAAATTTACAGCAGTTATTTGAATCGAATTGAGAGTTATCATCATATTTTAGGATAAAAGACACTCTTTTAGTCATATTACACTGAATGTCTATATTCAATGTAACAAGGCACCTGACAGAAATACGCATGATTACAGTGTTTTAGCTTCAACTTTACACTTTATACAAATTTTATTGGACAATTTATATATTTAATTTAGATAATTTTAAATTATTTTAGGATGAAATGGTATAATATTCTTGGACGATTTATTGAATAAATAATTGTAGACATTACTTTGAAGGTCAGTGGACATTTTTCAATAGATAGTGGCATTACGTTAAAGTACTACGAGACGTACTGAGTATTATAGTGTGACACAGGTCTTATCAGCAATAGATATAGGGTTGCAGTTTACGAGACTCTATTTATGGATCATATGAATTGATCTACGCGTTAAATTAATCCCAGACACGTTCTTCCGCCACGTAGATAACGGTTGTTGTTGTCAATCGTAACAAAAAAATAGATGTTGTCAAACTCGAAGCATTTACAGATAAAAATATGTTTGACATCTTTCCTCTGATTTCCATCTTTTTCTTCTTCTTCTATACTTTCTTTCCTCATCCTGATAGCTATTACTTACCATGTACAAAGCCCAAATCTTGCAAAAAATTAAATCGGTGGCAGAAGCCCATAAGAATAAAGTCAAAGATGAGTCCTTCCGTAAGTAACACATGAGCGCGAAGCCACAAATAGGTTATAGTGGTAATCCTCAGATTATGTTTTGTATGACTAGTAAACATCGAGTGCAAGGATTGCAAAACACTCGGACATTTCAACAAGGCATACCATGAATGCAAGTTTTACAAAGCAGTTTCTGCGGCTGATGGTAAGCATCATGCTCTCACTGCAAAACAAGTTTATGTTTGCTTAACGGAAATTTAGTTGGAAGTAGCGGCAAGAAACGTATGCAATCAGCTACAATCAAGGAAGAAAAGAAGCAAGCAAAGAGAAAGAAGAAGCAAACAACTGGAGATATCAAGTGTATCAGTTGTGGCTTAAAGGGTCATTCTACTTCTCGTTCTCTCGAATGTCCCAATCACATTGCTTCAAAGGAAGAAGTTATTACCTCGACGCTTGGAGAAGGCTCCACTGTATTCACGAGGAAGCTCCCTCTTACGTCTGCTGTGAAGCCAGCGTTTCGCGAACAATTCCAAGAAAAAGTCATCTCTTGCTGCTCTGACATAAGGAGAATAGTATTCTCTAGTCAATTATTCGTTAACTCGTACCTCATTCATTATCAGGAGAATAGAAGGAATGCTAACAAAGGCGACAAGAAAGACACTGATAAAAACAGCAACAAAGGCAGTAAAGAAGCCAACAAAGACAGGTCTATTCCTGATGTATTCTGCCAGCAATTCTGGTATTCAGTAGGTCAGCTAGTAACGGGCAAGCAAGTTACTCACAAAACGGCATTATCTGAGGACATAAAACAGTATTATACAGACTTCAAGGCAAAGTTCCCTACTATCGAAGTAAAACACAAGCTGACCGTGGGATATAGCCATTGCCTTACAGAGGCAGCAAAGGAATTGAGCGTCTCTTAAACGAACTCCATTGTAGAGCGCTTCGAGCAGCGCTTAACAAAGTTCCTTACTTACAAATTGAGAACTATGCTCCCGGTAAGGCTGTAACCGAGTACCTTCTTAATGCTCTGCTGTTTTATTCATTTTATTTCTCTTTATACACATTCTAGAATATCAAACGCACTGATGTACAAAGAATTGTACAGCTGTATTGTTACCAATCTGTCTGCCATGGTCATCCTCATTGGCCAGAAAACCTCGAGCTGGCGGCCGTTGACAAAAACCGAATTGAAGTACTCTGCAAACAATTTGAAGAGTTCATTCCAGGAGAAGTAACCCTCGTTTCTCTTTCTGCTGCTCCTGCAAAGTTTGTTAATGCGTTATGGAACATACAGTTTGCGTACGAGCAAAAACATATACAGCATAAGCCGTACGATGTCCGTGTCCTACCACTTCCTCAGCGTTTCTTTCCCTTTCCTATTCCATCGCTGAAATGGCGTTTCATCGCGATAAGTATAAACGCTCTTACACCCTTCATGTTTCTCAGAAAAGTTGCCAAGGGTTATACAGCCCAACTCGAACAATTCTGTAAAGTCTTCAACTTCAAAAAGTTTGGCTTTAAGAGGTAAAACTATAGAAGAACTTCTTCAGCAAAATTATGCCTAATAGTAAACACACCCCTATTTTTGCTTCTGTCATAGTCTAACCGCTTTGAAGGAAAGTTCTGATGTAATGTTTCGAAACATAGTTAGGTCGGACGGCTTTACTGTAGACTTTTTGTTCAGCCGCAAAAAGAAAATAAAAGAAGACATGACCATTCATAATCACACCTTGACTTTGGAAGATTTTTCTTATGACGAAGTACAAGACAATTACAGACCCGCTTTCCTTGATCCAGGGCGAAGATCTGTCTTCACAGCGGCAATCGGACTAGATCATAACAAACATCAAGTACGCAGCTGCTCTACCAAGGAATATTATCATATGACCGGAAGTATCAGATACGCTGCAAAGCTGGAAAAGAAGAAAGCAGGCACAATTAAAATGATCGAAAGTGGCATACCAACCGCCAAAACTTCTATCATCGAACAACATGATCGTCATGTACAATATATGTTGCAGCACTTCGAAGCCTTGTCTTCTTTTTACGACGAGAGAACTGCTGAAGACAGATTTCGTTTATACCAGGGTAAAGAGCGTGCTGCCAACAACATGGTCAATTTGCTTATTAATGGAACCACAAAGTACAATAAGCAATTGAGGTTGAAGAAGAAGAAAGATCGAAGCAAGTGGCCAAAGAAGAATACCGACAGAATGGCCTTTTGTAAACGTAAAAAGAAGAAGAAGAAGAAGCAAAAGGTTCCAGAAGAGAAGGAAGAAGCAGATGCGAGAGAAGTAAGCGATGTTCTCGCTAAGAAAGATAGGTAAGGTTTTTAAACGATAAGCAATTCATCCACTATTCGCAGAAATATTGATAGAACTCATGCTTTCTACAGTAATCCCTTGAAGAACAAGTGGAAGCCTGAACCCTTTAGTGTAGGCGACACTAAAAAGATCCCTTTGATTGTAGTTGGTAATGGCATGTTCGGGAAGAGTGCAGTGCCCATCAAAGGCCATAAGACTGGTGTCGTGGGAGTTCTTTGGCGTGCCTTGAAGCGAAGAGAGACTGCTGGCGATTTGCTCGTATTAACCATTGATGAATACCTAACTTCTCGAATATGCAATAATTGTCGTTCCAACAATCTTGAAGCATTGAAGACAGTTCCCGGCCAAAGTATCCTTGCCTGCAAAACCTGTTCGATACTTTGGAACCGGGACGTCAACGCTGCTAAAAACATGTTGACAATTAGCGTTTCGATCTGGAAGTCAACGGGAAGACCTGCGGAGTTTTTTAGAAAACCAAAATCACCCGCAACAACCACTTAAACACCACCCTCTAATCGCCAGCACGAAGCTGGTTTGATTTTTACAGGTAAGCGTCTCAATTTTTGTGTAGTATCTTGAAATTATAACTTGATGGTCTCAAAAATTTACTTTTTTCGTCTAGTTATATTGCGACTTCGTCTAAACCCAAAGCTAAAAAACTGTAGATATGAATTAACTGCTCCTCTTTAATTATTGTTCTATGTTCTTTGGCTCGGACAGCTTAGTTAAAGACCATGTCGATTATGAAATGCAAATTACTTTGTAAGTGTCTGGGTCTCTTTTCGCCCGGTAATCTTTTCTGAGCTTAAAGTCCCCGCATTTTCTTTTTTAAGCGCTTCATTTGTGAAAATAGAGGGGTGTAACTGATTCTTGAGCCATTATTGTCAACACTCTCTTTGCTCAGTTATCTTTTGCTACATCATTATTGTCCATTTATTAACATTCATCAAGCAAAAACAGAACACTTTCCTTTTTAACGACTCTCATAATAATTTTGCGCGTATGCACTATACATTGGATAGAGCTAGTGAAGCAGCTGCTAGTGATCTAGCCGAAGTTCGTAAATTAGTAGAAGGAATGAACTCATTAGTGAACAGTCAACAACAGCAACAGTTGCAACAGCAGTTAGAATTTCAAAAGCGACAAAAATTATTTTCACAACAACAACAGCAACCTGGAAAACTACCCTCTTCTCAGGCACAACTACTATCGTCATTACGGCCACCACCGACTAAAAAGCCAAAAACTCAGAAACATGCTAAAAGTCTAAACAATAATATTCATACCACCAACCCAAGCTCTTATAATACTACCAGTGCGACTTCATCGACACACACTACAACTACCACTATTTCTACTACCACTACTGCTAATCCCATTAATCCTACTACTGTTGTTGCCGCCAGTAATTCTGTTACTGAGCAACAAACATTATCACCACAACTTTCGCAAGCAAATACTTCGCAATCAACAATTACACCGAATAAAGAAGTAGCTAGGTAAGTATATCGACCCGTCGATCCTCTCATTTTTTTTATTGGAAAAAAAAAAAAAAACGAAAAGAAAAACCGGTATATTTAAAGCTGTCTGAAATAATAGCACTGAAAGTAACGAAAGAAAGCCAGATCAACCAATAAGGCAACAACAAGATCAAAGTAATGACCGAAGAAATCCTCAACAGGAAGAGAGGAAAGAGACTAACAGCAAGGATAATGCAGCAGTTACATCAAAAACTAAAGATACATCCGATAGTACAGCTGTAACTAATAACGGAACGCCTCCTGCGGGCATTATTATTGAAGTAAACCACTTGGCGTTCAATCGTGTTCTCTACTTTCAGCTATCACGTAAAGTTCAATACCTTATTGGATAATTAGCTTCAGTTATAAACTCACTATTATCTTCTTTAGCTGAAGCAACGATCGAGCCCTTAATGGCATGGTTAAAGTTATCTTTCCAAGACAGCACCATTTCTGGAATGGTTTTACAATACAAAGGTTTTGATGGACTATGGAAATGTTTATTGAATAGGGACGATTCTTTGAAAAGAGTCTTGAAACAGAATTTAAAGAGTCAAACAATGTTACAAATGAGAGTACCAAGGGAAGAGGACCTACTAAGTGTAAGTATATGAATTGAAACAAGGCATTTTCTCAGATAGGGCTTTATGGCTAACTGCTCAGCTAAAATGAAAAAAAAGTCTGGATATACAGATAAACGGTTATTAGCATTAACTACAAAATCCAATACACCTATTCCACCTCTTCATCCAATAGTTAATACTACTACTGACAGTGCTGCTTCTATTGCTACTACGACTGGTAATAGCAATGATCAGGCACAACAGAGTGAACAAACCGAACATAAACAATAAAAAGAAAGGGTTTTGCATGAAATATCATTTTTGTCATTTTGGGAATTCCATTTTTGATTTTACTTTGAAATACCGAGATAAAAAAGATCCAAACAGCATTCTTCTGTCTATTTCTTTATTCTTTCTCTATAAACATCGTTCAAATGCACAGAAGCACTCCTTCACCTGTTCATCAGCCATTGCTGCATGAAGAAGATGACGATTCTGAGTCATCTCTAAATCTGATACCCACCAAATCTTGGGATCAACTTCGTAAACAAGTGAGAACTCTAGAGAGCGAGATTGAGAATAAGCTGGCTACATTATCCAAAGTTGGGCAATCTTCCATCGTCGAAAACAGCGCACAACAACTAGAAGAAACAGAGAATTTGTTGAGAAAAGTAAAAGCGATCAAAAGTGGTTACGTTAAGTCTATTTGTCTAACTTTTCACCATTATCACGCCGATTGTTTAGTTACAACTTGTCATTACAGCTATGGGAGACTTTATTGATAAACCGAGTGCCACACCTACAAGCCCTTCGATGATACATCTATTGAGTAGACATAAGGATATATTATATGATTATACCAAAGAATTCCGCCGTGTAAAGGTATAATTACTTTTTGAAGAAGTAGAAGAGAAGAGAATTCAAGCAAATGCTGACCTTATCGCTGGTGTTGTTCAAAGGGCAACATTAAACAAGCAAGGGACAGAGCCAATTTAATGAATAGTGTTCAAGATGAAATTAGATCGTTTAATGCTGGAAACAATGGAGATAATGCGGATTACTATCTATCGGAACGTAATAGAATCGAGGATTCACATAGAATGACAGATATGATTTTAGAGTAAAAGGATTTCAATAGTTATTGTAGTACAATGACAGGCAAGAAATGTATACTTATATATCATCTAATTTGTTCTCGTTATAGACAAGCATACGCCACTAGGCAAGACATTTCACGTCAAGGACGTATTATGCATAGTGTGAATCAACGAGTTGGCGGAGTTATGAGTAAGCTAAAGTAAACAAAGAATTGCAGAAAGACATAACGCTAATAACCTTCGCTCATAGGTCGTATACCCGGTGTAAATAACCTAATCTCTAGAATTAATACACGAAGGCAAAGAGATACATTGATAATGGCCGGCGTCATATCTACATGCTCAATTCTTATTATTTTATATTGGCTACGTACATAATAATATAACACTTACATTTCGACAAAAGGAAAGATAATTCAATGATGTGCTACGATTCTGATTATGTGTACAGAGGCAAATTTGAATGTAGGTTTATGAATAACTTGAGTGTACCATGTTTCAGATGCATAGGCCTTATAAAGTATCACTTGCAATGGTAAAAAGAGCAGCACATGCAGTCGATATTCTTGTAAGGTGCATAAATCCATTCAACAATATTGCTACCATTGTCTATAAATAGTAGTAGAAATAAGGTTGTCGTGGTCCAATACTCGGTTCAGAAAGAACGTTACTAGGTCTGAATTCAAAATTGCACGGTTGTCTGTGTGTGTGTGTGTGTGTGTGTGTGTGTGTTTAGGATCCATAAATTGCAATTCAAAACATGTGCCTTAAATTTTCTATTCTTCTCTCTTTTTCCTCGTTATTTTAAATTGAGGCTATGTCGAAACTAATCGACGCACTACAACAGCAAGAAGAACTCTATGTAAAACGACCACCATTACATTTACGATCATCCAAGAGTACATCCATTCGGCACAATTTGTTATTATCGCCTACCCGAACAACAAGCGGTTCTCTTCGTGGTGGGCCCACAAGTAGTATCAGCCGAAGGAAAAGAACCAACAGTTTCCATAAAACAATAAATGAAGAAAAGAAAGACATAAAGCTACTTCCACGTCTTGAAGAAGAAAATGCTAATTTGCCACCACAGGTAAGAATAAGAATAAGAACAAATCCCAACAATAACCGTCGAAAATGGACCCCGTTAACTCATGAACTGTATATTACCCCTTAATGAATAGGATTCTGTAGAATTTATTCTTGCACAAATCGAAAGACAAAATGCTAAACTTGATGAAGACCCAAAGTCAGTTTGTATACAGTCAAATCAACTAAAAACACATTTCTCGACCATACAAAATTTAGCTATGACTTCTGCTGCTGCCGACGGGGATGAACAACAAGACAACAGTGGTGAAACAATAGATTGGGAATTTTGGGCTACGTTAACAGAAGATTTCAGTGCTGTAGCGCTCAAATTACCCCATTTGGTTTCGGCGAAATTAAGGGCAGGCATCCCACCTAAAGTAAGGGGTGTAATTTGGCAGGCTATGTCTCAGTCAGCTTCTCTTAATCTTGAAACTGTTTATGGACAACTTGTTGCTGAACATTCTCCATATGAACGCATTATCCAACGTGATTTGGCGAGAACATTTCCTGGTATAGATATGTTTAAACAAGAAGGTGGATCAGGACAACAAGCGTTGCAGAGAGTCCTTAAAGCATACAGTTTGTATGATTCTTTAGTGGGCTATTGCCAAGGACTAGCATTTCTTGTTGGTCCGTTGCTATTAAACATGCCAGAACAACAAGCCTTTTGCGTATTCGTTAGACTTATGGAGACATATGAAATGAGAACGATGTTTACTCTCAATATGGAAGGACTGCAGCTGAGGCTCTATCAATTTTCCAGCCTTCTGGATCAAATCTTACCCAGTTTGTCAAACTACTTGAAAGCCAACGAAGTCAATGTGCCAATGTACGCTTCTCAGTGGTTTTTGACACTATTCGCTTATGCCTTTCCAATGGAGCTCATCCTACGTATATACGATATTGTATTTGCCGAAGGAGCAGCGGAAACCATCATGCGTGTAGCGATTGCAATGTTGAAGCGGTCCGAAGAACGAATCCTGCAGCTCACGGAATTTGAAGATATTCTCGACTTTTTATCCAACAAATTGTATGATGCTTATGATAACGATCCTTCACAAGTTATTTCAGATGCTGTCAGTCTCAGTGGGCTTATCACAAAAGATAAAATGGATCATATAGCAGAGACCTATGTCACAGAATTAGAGCAGGAGCAGAAGCAGACAGAGCAAGTATTGGCTGTTCGATTCAATTTTTGGTCCAACAAGAGCAAACATGGTTGTCATAACAGTAGTAGCAACAATTCCGATTGCAGTAACAATAAACACAACCTTCGAAGAAAAAAGACAATGTCTTGGTATAGCAATGCACCCAAAAAATCAATGGATTCAGATCGAACATCTATTTCCTCATTGAAAGAGCCGGATACATCCATGTTACATCATCAAATAGAAGATCTATTACTTGCTCTGTCACAGATGCAAAGGGAAACGATCGAATTGAAGGATGATCTGATGCAAGCTAGACTTGAAAAAATGGATGTAGAGGCTGAAAGAGACGCTTTGAAACTCACCATGGAGAATGCATTTGGTCAAAGCAACAGGTATGAGAAGGAAATGGCAGAGTTGAAAGCGGAAAATTGTCGTTTGCAGCAAGAAAATGATGAACTTGTGCTTCAACAATCAATGTCCAAAGATGCTTTATCAGCGCTGGTCGAACGTATGCTGGATATAAAGAACAAAGCCGATCTATTAGAGCAGGATAATGTTCAACTATCATTGGAGAATCGACGGTTAGAAGACGATAGAAAACGATTGAACATGCTATTTAACTCATCCCCTTTGATGACGTATACATCCACCTCGCCTACCAGCTCCTCTTCCATCAAGAGTTAATGAGTACTTCTACTACTTCTACTATTATTACTACTATCACAGCTATCATAAGCGGTGTTAATTTAATTTTGTTGATTCACCTTTTACAACTTCTTGTTATATATAATGTTCCCTTCTTTCTGGAATACTAGCCTTACCAGCAAAATAAGACTTACTCTAGACAAAAAAAGGTCTAAATCAATTTCTCATTTAAAAAAGAAAGAAAATTATTCGTGAGGGTTACTATTTACGAAAGCACTGTGAAAAATGATTCGATAGTAAGCGTCGTATAATATCTACATTATTATACATGAAATTGCAAATATGAAGTCAGTTCGATAGAATATTTTGCATGATCAGATTGTTATTTTGTTATTGCTCAAGTTTCAAGAACATTATGATGTTCATACAGTAACTTTTCCTTTGCCTTTTTCTCACATAGGCTAACTTTATACAATATTATACAACATTTGAAAGATGTTTAAACTTTTAAGTTTAGATTATTTATGTGGAGCACTTTTTTACTCAGAAAATCGGTACCTACATGTTTGTTTTGTATCTCATGATTGCTCCCAAGCTTTTACATCCAAAGAGGATACCATACATTCACAATCATGAGAACACGTATGCATTCGGGTATTTTAGTTTTGAAACTTGCTGCTTGTTGTCGGTGTAAGACAGAAATTTCAATTGATATACTGTATAAATGTTATTATAAACTCGAATTCAAGTGAGTGTAGCTGTTTCAGAAACGCGCGAGTAAGTATACGCTCGCTACTCTGATCAGATTTGAAATATGAAAGAAAATTATCAAATTGCTCGGTAAGATAGCTTCTAAAGCTTAACACAGCTTAAATGCGGCCTGTACCTCTTATTAGACATATTTTCACTTGCAGTATGTTGAAACATTCTACTAAAGTTGAACAAAAAAAAACCCTCAAACTTAAACCGGGAGTTTGAAAAACTTAAAAGACAAGAGATATAGCTAGCATAAAGAACCAAGGATGTTTTATGAAGGATTATACGTTGATGATATGAATAAGATGAGTGCTTTATTGATTAACTGACAGGACCAAACATCTGAAGAAATTATTCAAATAGAAGCGTACTAGTGTTATAAATTAATACAGTATATTGCAACAAACCTTTTCGGGCATGAGCTACGATAATGGTGAAATTGTATTGAGAACATAAAGGGCTATTTTGTGCTGCAAAACATCAAAAGCTTATTATTCTTAGTTTGGTTGATGAGAATTGTTGGTACTCTCCCATATGGAAATGTGGAGTCTCTTTCGATAAAGATGTTCATTGGTTGATCAAAAGATCATAATAGAGAAGCAACATACACATTGCTAGAATAGAGCGTGTTTTTTTCCTAAGAGTGAGAAAATGTATCATTGACATGTCATGTACAATTTACTATGCTAAATTATGAACAGCCATAAGACGCACCCAATATTCATTGTGTGATGGACATGCTGTTGTTGTTGTAACTATACGGAATTCAATCTTATAACTACATTGTATTACAATCAATTCAATTTGATAGCCTTCAAATCAAGATGTGGTAGAGGATGCTACACAAAACTTATTTAGACAGTTCGTGGAGCTAAGCAACGGATGATGCATGTTTTCGCTCTCTGTTCATGCACTAGGAATATCGGCGAAGCGGCAGCGGGAAAAAAGACTTTATTGGCTTGTGTAATCAACCATCCACTCATACTCAAAAGTCAAGATGCAGATCGCACCTTATATCTGGAAAATCCATTCACAAATGGTTGAAGTACCAAACTCCAAGCTTTGCTGTTAAATCAAATAAGCAATAACATGAAAGGGAAAGGGAATTTAATACGACAATCAACAAGATAAGTTAAATAGGTCATGATAAAGAAGATGTGCCTGAAGTTTGTTTTAAATGAAAAAGCATGATGATGTATGTTAATTGCCATTTCATTATTTGATGGAGAAAAGAGAAAATACAAGCAATATAGCCATGTAATTTCTTCGAACGGAAGAACAAAATCAGGCAAAAGAAAGTTAAGCTTGACAACCTGTCATGGATGCCATGCTACCATCATCTCAACATCGTCAAGAGGGTTACACCGTTCTTAACGTACTTATTCTTTTGCTCTTTCTGCCTTTGGTTCATTTTGCTACGTAAACAAAGCGAGTTAGTAATGGCATCATTTGGTCTTTTATTTGTTGTTCTGAACAAGTTATCCACTTTTCTTTGAGTTACAAAGAAGTGTGGTTGTGACTAAGCCTTGTTTCCCTCCATTATTTGTTTTCAATTCTTTACCCGCGTTAATAGAGTTTTTATTGTTCTCAGAATGCAAAGATCAATTTGAAGGCGGGTAGCAATGTAGGCAATAATGAATTGGCACCATCGCCCTTTAACATTGTTGGGAGGACAGTATCGAATGCAGCAAGTCGATCTTGAGACAGAAAAAAAAAAAGGGTATTCTTCATGAGACGCCCACCCAGAAAACTTAAATTCTTCATGTAGAACAATCTATTGATAAATGCAATTACTGAACTGACGATCATGATGGACAGGTAGTATATCATGTATAATTGTTATAAACTTTCTTTGTTTTTGAATTGTGATACGAAACTTCAAAATTCAATATGTGCTACACCTCTCCAAAGCGGTAGAAGCCCTAACCTTTGAATCCCTGAAAACATATAAAAGGAAGCCGAATTTTTCGGTTTAGTTCAATCAATCAAGTCCAGATAACAAAAGCATTCTTCTCTTCTAGTAGAGCTTCTCTTTTCCTCTCTTAATCTTACCTATCGCAAAGCATCTTTCCTTATTCCAAGGTTCTCTTTTTCTCTCGAAAATGCCACCAGATAGACCCGCCAAGCCTGCTCTTCCTAGACCTTATCCTGCCCCTGTCAAGCGTTAATATCAAGCCATTTCACTGCTTTCGTTTTTACAAGCAAAAGCTTCTTCTGGTATTTTTTGTCTTCTACCGTAACTCAATGCTTTTTTGAATTGTGTATCAATTTGAAAGCATTCAGCAAAAGGTCGATCTCCTCAATTGGAAAATTTATAGCAACATTCAACAACATATTGATTTCATTGATAACATTTTCATCCATACAAAAGACTCTCTCTTCATGATCGACGAGTCATAATTTCTAAAATTTCACAATTTGATAATTTCTATAATATTTACATTACTCATTATTCATCCATACCACAACACACCTGATAAAATCATTCTTATTTTTTTGATTGAATTAAAAAGATAAACAAAGATTTTTCGTAATTGCAATATCGTTTTCTTTTTCCTCGTTGACTAACTAGAGTAAAATGTTAGCTGCTGCTAATTCAAAGACTTTCACCTTAAGCAATTACATTTCGATTTACATTATAACAGATTATATTTTATTACGCTCAACTAAAATACCACGAGTATGAGATTGCAATACATACTGAAGCTGCTGCTGCTGTGCAGCATTACCATATACATTGTTACTTTTGTTCTGTCATTGAATTGTGTGTTCAGCACTCTTTTACTCTTTACCGATATTTTAATGAGAAGCATCCCCAGAAACCTGGAGAACCATGTTTGGGAAAATCACCTTGTTTTAATAATGACGCTGCGCGCATGATCTGATGTTTTCTACGCTCGGTGGATGCATTAGGCCCTCCTTGTCAGTAACCACAAAGCTTATTGCTATATAAGAAAAAAACTGTAGCTTGCGCTGTTTACATGATCAATCTCACCAAAATCAGCACCACTTCATATTCGAAAACCGATACACCAAATGAAAAATGTTGTTACATAATAGGTCAGGAATGAATGCTGTTACGCGCTGATAATGGCCGAGGATAGAGACAATCTATTGCGGTTACATATAACTCTCAATTCACCATAACCGCTTTTTGTCCGGATCGTTCTCGTTCTCTGGAACAGGCAGTGTTCTTTATAGCAGCAATTATCGCAACATTTGAAGAAGGCGTCAATAAGAATTCTTGATCCTACTTATTGGATTATTCGTTACGTTTCTATCAATTTTCAGGCTTTAAAGAATACAAATCAATCTCATGCGATCTATATTAAAATAATGTCTTTTCGAATGCAATAATTGTGTTTTCTTCGAGAACCAGCATAATGAGGGTAGAGGATTTATTCACGTAAATTGAAACAGTATCTTTCGTCGAAACTCGAACGTTCGTTTAAAAGGAAGCAATCTGATTAAACAATTGTTATGGCTCGAATTTAAGAATTAGCTTGTGTCCATTATAATATTTTTTTGAATAAAGGAAAAAATTTTAAAAAAAAATGGTCATCTGTATCTAATATATGCTACAGTCAATGAAGCATCTATATACATTGTTAGTGATTTATGCACTCCACAAAATAAATTAATATTAGAGTATCATCGAAAAAGGAAATGCTTGAGTATGTGGAAGAATTACAATATTAGAGATTAAATATTATGCTAAGTGTAGGGGTAGCTCTTGTGCAAATAGTCATGTTGATTAACAATGGCTGTCAGCTTGCACACAACTGTAGATATTACGGCACCAGTCACTTTGTAAAACCTCACTTGCCGTAATACGCTTTTCTGGATTTGGATCCAATATACGATACATGACCTTTTTAGCATGGATATCGATTCCTTCAAAATGATAACAGCCAGCATCTCTTGCCTTTCTACGTATCGTCTCTCTTGCCTTTACTACATCCGCTTCCCTCTTGGCTCGCTCAGCTAGTCTATCTTGCTCTGATAATGTCTTTTCTAACTTTCGTCTCATGGAGTGCTCGCGTCTTGCATTTTCTCTCTCCTCATCAAGTAACTGTCTGAATTTCAAATATTTGTCATACGCCTCGTCCTCTCCGCTTTTAGCTACTTGCCATAAGTGCGTCGATTTTCTCATAGCCATATAGATGATACCGCAGCTCCAAACATCCACTAGTCGCGCATCGTAAGATTTTTTCGTAAACTCTTCAGGTGCAATATAAGGTTCTGATCCGACTAAACCACGTACAAGATGTATTTTATTACAATCATTGTCATCATCATCACTTTCTTCATCATCGTCATCGTCGTTGTCTTCTTCTTTTTCTGTTCTTTCTTTACTACTACTACGGCTACGATTTTGCAGCAGCTTCTTAGACTTCTTCTTCTGCTTTTGTTTTTCATCGTTATCCTCATCCTCATCGCATTGCATTTTGGTACCTTTAAAACAAGCTGCTGACCCAAAATCAGATATTTTTAGACATCCAGTCGTTGTTAGAAGAAGATTTTCAGGCTTCAAATCTCGGTGAGCTACACCCATTTCATGCAAATAACAAACACCGCACATTAACTGTTTAAAAAAGCAATTGGCTTCATTCACATCCAGTCCATCCGGTGAGTCGTACAAGACATCGAACAAATCACCGCCTCCACTATATTCCATGACTTGACCATAAATAGGTGATGTCTCATGCATAGGTAAGAGATCAAATGTTTTGATGATGTTAATATGTTGCATAGACGATGAAATGTAGAATTCTGCAATAAGGCGATTGATGTATCCTTTCGAACTCTCAGACGTTTTTTTCCGTAATTCCTAAAACAGCAAAAGTTGAATATGGCGTATGCATGTGCGACGACTTTTTGTTTTGATTTTTGTTCTTACCTTCACTGCGTACAAATGTTCCACTTTATTTTCATCAATTCTATGTAATACTCTCACAACACCCGAAGCACCTTTACCAATTGTTTCCTGGCAACTACCCCACTTTTCCTGTAGCGTCCTATTCTCGGTCCTCTTTAGTTTTGCGTTCAGTGTAGCGCGTTCTTTCTTTATTTCATCTATGGATATCTTTCTTTCTGCCCATTGTTGGGTAAAACGAAGAGACTGTTTCGCCAACCCCGAGACTAACCCATTTATAGAGGCAGCAAGTCGATTTGGGGCAGGCAACATTAAGTGATGTCTGTGTGTACCATCCTCCAACAGCTGGAATCGGCGTTGCTGTTGTGAATGGCATGAATGCTGATGGTCAATGGATCCCTTGCGAGACGATAATCCTGGTTTTTTCTTTGAAGATCCTGAGCGGTTCAAAGAGGAGGTTGGTGAGACTTTCATCGTTGCTGCGCTTTTTGATGGTGTATTCGTATTGTTATTATTAGCAGCAGCAGAAACAAAATTCATTGATTGATTAGGGGAAACATTTGAAGAGGAATTGGGTATATTAGAAAGATCTTCTTTAGACGCATCATGATGATTATTAGGCATAATAGAATCCAATACACTACGGAGGCTGCTACGCCGACTATGTGTGAATTTACTGCTATCCTTTGCTGGTTCTGCTGTGGATTCTGCTACGAGACTTTGGCAATTGTGTTCAGCTGGTGTAGGCGCGGTCTTTCTGATCGGTGTGCTTTTGGACATAACTGCTTCTTTTCTTGCATGATGAGCACCCTTTTCTTTATTGAATAAAGATTGAAAAAACCCCATGATCGATGTATTATAAGTAAAATCGTAACGCAAAAGAAGAACAAAAGAATAATCTTTCTGAAAACAGAAAAAAAAAAGGAAGAATGGAAACTGATCAATGGATGACTTTTTTTTTCGATTTGATTTCTAATTTGATTTCCATCTCCGAAAGGGAACGTTGAAGTAGGGTTGCAAATTTGTATAAGTGCAATCTCATTGTTTAATAAGAAACATGATAAAATCGTACGGTTCAGAGACTCAATCGCCGTAACAATTTTGTAAAATAAACAAATGTCACGCCTGTGAGGATTTTTGAGTATTTATAAAAACTCTAAAAGGCAAAGGACCGTTAGAATAAATTAGCCGTTATAGGAAATCAGTCATATGAATTTCAAATGAGTAATGTGCAGTGCTTCCAAAAAGTACAGTAAATGCCACAGCCAATCAAAATCAATGACACTGATCGATCACCTTATTAAGCTTCAGGACTTTTCATAAAGCATGAATGTGTAATAACTTGCACATCTATATAATAGCAACATGCTAAAATAGGCTATAATAGCTTGAATTGGATGTTGGAATTACTAATTTGTTGGGAAGACATTAATGAATAAAAATTAAACAATTAATTTGGCGTACAAGAGTTTAGGCATAAAAGCCTCTTGTAATGGATGTGATGCGTGAAAGTCAACATAGGAATGTATACGTTGTAAAACATGGTCTATTGAAATTTGTGCATTAAATAATGAAGGATTTATTTATCGGTTGATAAGTAGCAGGTGGCACAGTAGTTCTAGATGCTTGTGCGATTTCAAATGTGGTAGCAGCTGTGTTGTTCATTGTTGCTGGAACTGGTTGATTGATACTGTATCTTTTCTTTTGCTCCTGAACAGAATACTGACGACCCAATCTTTTTCTAAGTTTACTACAATGAATACAGGTTGCCATTAATAGAACGATTGGTAAATACACAAATATAGTTTCCAAAACAATCCAAATTAGTGTAGGCAATCTATACGAAGCAAAACAATATAACCAATTCAGAATTACTAGGCCACCAGTGAAGATGGATAATAGAGCAGGTACTGTCCGTAGATAGAAGAGGTCAGAAGCTTTTTGTCGAATATAGCTGTGATTTGAATGGTGGATTGAATAGAGATAAAATAGCATCGTTGCTGTATTAAAAGTTGACGACAAAAACATCATGGTAACAAAGACAGAGGCATAGATGCGTTGCTGTCTTGAGCTTTCTATAACGAACTGAATAAGAAAAGATATACTTGCAAAGAGAATGTACGCGATAAAGCTCATCAAAAGCACCCAATAGATTTTTAGTCTGCGAACATTGGTTATGTTTGTAGCAGCTGTTAGATGGCGTACATATGTCAGTTGTGCTTCCACGATACCAGAAAACAATAGCGTGGATATGATAGGTAAAGTATGAAACACTAAGCTTTTGCTGGACCAGTAGTGTTGTTGCAGATGTGTTGATATTGGTGCTGTATATACTTGGTTGAGGCTGTCATCAACATTCAGTTGATAAAATAAGCTGATGATGATGATGATGCCAAAGATCACGAACGGTATCAAATGAAGTTTGTCTCGGCAACGCCATATTAAAATGGCAGTGAAAAAGAAGAGCAGAGCCATATAGAAAATCCAAACAATTTCTTGCGCGTTCAACATCTCGGTGTATAAAGAACCGCAGATAGAGGAAGATAAGGAAAAAGATAAACTTCGTTCCTTGATCTATCGAATTCAGACCAATTATATATGGATACTTTGCGGCCCAAGCCCACCGCTTTTGTTGCTTGTTTTGTTGGCATTTCTATTTTTAGACATCTGTTACTGTGATGAGAAAAATTATGTACGTTTATTGTGTAGATTCATTCTAAGGCTAGAGAATAGACCACGACAAGATATTATGTAAATGATGAAAGAGGAAAAGAGATGGAAGGGTCATGAAATTAATTAGTGAATTTACAAACGCTCGATAACGATGGCAGAAGCACCACCACCACCGTTACAAATACCAGCAGCACCATATTTGGCATCCTTGTGTCTTAAAACAGAGGTTAAAGTAGCAATAATTCTAGCACCGGAACAGCCCAAAGGATGGCCCATAGCAACAGCACCACCCCAAACATTGACCTTATCCTTATCCAAGTTCAAAATCTTAGTGTTGGCACAAGCCACAACAGAGAAAGCTTCGTTAATTTCATAGTAATCGATATCTTCAGCCTTCAAACCAGCGTGCTTGATAGCTTTGGGTATAGCGAGAGCGGGCGAGGTAGTGAAGCGAGCAGGAGCTTGAGCAGCGTCACCCCAACCCTTAATCTTGGCCAACAAGGGCAAGTTGTACTTTTCAGCAGCTTCTTTGGAGCAAAGAACAATAGCAGCAGCACCATCACTCAAAGGAGAGGAATTGGGTGCAGTGACAGTACCTTCCTTACCGGCAAAAGCGGGACGAACGGCACGTAACTTTTCTTCGTTCAATTTGGCAGTTTCGTCATCTACTTCAACGACACGATCAGGCTTACCACGACCACCAGAAACGGTGATAGGAACGATTTCATCCTTGTAGTAACCAGCAGCATGAGCAGCTTGAGCACGCTTATAAGATTCAATAGCGAAATCATCTTGTTGTTCACGGCTGATGTCATATTCCTTAGCACATTCTTCAGCAGCTACACCCATCAAATATTCATTATAAACATCAAACAAACCATCCTTTACAACACCATCAACGACTTCAGTGTTGCCATAAACAGAACCGAAACGTTGCTTGGGAAGGTAGTAGGGTGTGTTGGTCATTGATTCCATACCACCTGCAACAACAACATCTGCGTTACCGAGCATGATAGATTGTGCACCTAAAATGACAGCTATAAATTGATGTTTCCCCACCAAAAAGTGAATAGTTTAACGTTAACATTGGAGCTCTGTATTCCTTTAACGATCCTTTTGTTGGGCGTTTCAATACTGTACCTTTCATACCAGAAGCACAAACCTTGTTAACAGTAGTAGCGATGGTAGTGTCCTTAAGACCAGCGCCAAGAGCAGCAACACGAGCAGGGTTTTGGCCAAGGTTAGCAGGCAAAACACAACCGAAGAAGACTTCTTCAACAGCTTCGACAGGAACGTTTGATTTCTTGACAGCAGCTGTAGAGCAACAAGTAGAAATAATCCACACAATGTCAGACTTCCTCTAAGAGAAATACACGACGAAATCAATAGCAAGGAATTACCTTCAATAGCAATAGAACCGAGCTTGGTAGCTTGGAGAGAGGCTAAAGAACCGTTGAAACCACCCAAAGGTGTACGGCTAACAGCAGAAATATAAACGTCTATGAAAAAAAAAAGTTCATGAAGCGGTTAACATTCAACTCCAATGTGTTGCTCTCTTTCTCCTCCTGCCACTTTATGTGATACATACCACGAGCAGACATTGTATGGTTAATGGAAAAGAAGAAAGAAAAAAAAGGTACGGTTTGAAAGGAGGAGGGGAGGAAGAAAACAAATGAAAAAAGAAAGTAAAAAAAGGTAGCTGTGCAAAAAAACTGGACGTGTTCTTTTCATTATGTTTGACAATCTGCTTCTAGGCCAATCAAGAGGATGGTTCGACAAAAAAAAATTTAGATTCCTGTCTAAAAAAATACACTTGGTGCCTTTTGTCAATTGACCTCCGTATTCGGATTTACAAAAAAGAAAAATGCAGTGTTATGTCCCCCCAAAACTCTTTCTTATGCCCATTACTGCTTTGCTTAGTCCCCTCCAAGTTGAACTTGGCTTTTTCTGCATGCAGTGGCATAGTACATATCGGACCAAGTGTTACAAACGAAAATACCTGTTGATCATCAAATGTCTATCTTGTTGTTATGATTCAACTGTCATCCTTATGCGAGTGTTTTGTTATGAGTAGCAAGTTAGTTGAATTGTTGAGTGACAAAAAAAGGGAGAAACCAACAAATGTCTGCATCCACATCACATACAATTCTCGATACATGATGAAAGACCTATGATTTATTTAGGTTCATGCTATGTAGTAGCTCAGGAGATAAACGTAAGGGTTCTGCTAGTCTCTCCGCTTTTACTTGTAAAAGAAAACTTTTACCTTGCACAAAAGTGTCTTTGATCCATTGTACTTTTTCTGCGTTAATGCCTATGGGCGTCTGTGTACCTCTCGATTTCATCGTTGTGTCAAGGTTTTCTTTATTTTATTTTATTTTTTTCTTGTACGAAGTGCATAGAGTAAAACGATAAGAAGAGATAATCTTATATTAAGTAAGCGTCGTTGACGATTTAAAAGAGTCCATGGATCTCAAAAATCGTCGTGTTGCTATATAGCAGCGCACTGATAGTAGTACGTCCAAAACCGTCTACGATAAGGCTACAACTTGCGAGTACTCGTCACTGACCATTGTAATTCGACGCTAGCCATACGTCGTCAACTTTTTATGATATGCAAGCGAAAGTCAATTTGAAAAAGAGTGAAAATGATTCTTCGCACTCTTGGAGAAAGGAATTCGGTAGTTGATAAAAGCATTGCTATCGCCCACTAAGCCTGGATTTCTTTCCTACTGCATCAATTTGAAGAAGAGCTGACTTTCAATTTCACTTTGGTTGTTCAGGCAACCAAATACTCCCTTTTTCTGTCCTTTTTTTCCTTTTACAACTGAAACACACAGTATTATGGCTAAACAAGACAATACCTTTCTATACGATAAAGACGAAAAAGTGCTATGCTATCATGGACCATTTATATATGAAGCAAAGGTAAACCACTTACAGTTTCTGAAAGCAACGCAGCTTTTAAACATCTAATCCGTAGAGTATTATAGATCTTGAAAAAAGAAAGACGATTGGACGAGACCGAAGGTCAAGAAGTGAATCAGTATTTTGTTCATTATAAAGGCTGGAAGCAAACGTAAAATGAATTGGAGTAGATCGTTTTTTCTGTTGTATGCGCGCGAATTAATCGAATCGTGTATTTGCTCGACTATAGTTGGGATGAATGGATCACTGAAGATCGAGTTTTAAAGTATACAGAAGCGAATTTACAGAAACAACGACAGTTGAAAGAATCAACAACAAAAAGAAAGCCTTCGAGAGCATCTTCTTCAACGATACCTTCGATACATGATATGGGCGAGTCAAGGAGTAGGAAGAGAAACAGGGATTCTAGTCAAGACAAGATAAAGCTGGTAAACGCGCACACTTACGTGAAGCGTTACTTTATTATGAAATTGTTATTAAGATGACAAAATGTGGTCAATTGATAGGAAGAAGAGTCAAAGAGACCTGAGTTCAAAGTGACTATGCCGGAATCATTGAAGGGCTTACTGGTAGACGATTGGGAGAATATTACAAAAAATAAGCAGGTAAACAGCGCAAAAACAAGCTCCAGAGTTTATTGTTATACTTTTCAAGCAAGATTATTCAATTAATTCTTATCTTCAGATATTGCGAATACCTAGAAGTATTACTGTGGATAAGATATTAGAAGAGTACAAAGAGGCATATCAAGTGTAAATTTCAAAGTTATACCAGTCATCGTTTATGTGATACCACTGACATATCAAACTTATTTAGGAAGGATGAGATACTCGATGAATTTATTTCTGGTCTACGCCTTTACTTTAACAAGACTTTAGGTGTATCTTTGCTATATCGTTACGAGCGAAAACAATACGAAGAGGTATGCAAAAACCGACGCATCGAACCCAGTACAGTATATGGTGCGGAACACCTCCTTCGACTTTTTGTAGAAATACCCAATCTGTTAGGGGAGACGAATATGGACGTTGAAACAATTATTGAACTGATTGCAAAGTTTGAAGAATTTCTAAGGTAATGAACGTACAATGACGGCTAAAGAGTGCGCCATGTTCTAAGACCATGATGTCGATTCCGAATAGGTTCATTAAACTTCATGAGAAGGAGTACTTTGCTAATGATTACCAAAGCACATCAGCAGAGTAAAGGCCTCGACCTCAACTTTATGTATAGAAATCAACAATACCTGCACTAAAGCTAGGAGCGTTTGTATATACTTTACACCTAGCAGCGACTATTTACAACTATCTACAATATTGAATCTCTTTTAATAAAAGCCATCGTGATTTACTCTCGTTGATACTTTGATAGGTATTGTAGAAATGGCTGGTACCTGGTTTGGGCCTGCGAGCATTTCAAACTCCTTGTTGATTCTTCACCAACTCTGCTCGTTCCACTTGGCGTTTATAATATTGTTTGACCAATTTAAGTAGTATCAATAAGGCAATAATGCAATGTAAAGCCATTGTTTTAGATCACTTCATTGAAGAGTAGTATGGCTAAACCGAAAGGAAAAGGGAGCAATAAAAATGTTGGCATCCATATTGTTGTTGCTGGTTTTGAAGGGCACATGACTGAGGAGATTTTTAGCATTTTTAACTGCATGAAATTGAGTTTGAATTAGTCGATTCAGCTGGCTGATAGAACAGAAAAGTCTTTCCTTTCATTTAACTTTCCTGTCCCCACACACCCTTCCCCCACACGTCTTTCTCTCACCATTTTATTGAGTTTTTTGAAGGCCTTTGTTTATGTGCTCAAATGAGTTCATGGAATGAAAGAACACCCTTATTATCAAGCATAGTCGATCGCCATTCGGGAACACCTCTACAAAGGAAAACCCGAAAGCAAATCTACCTTTATGTGTTTGGCTTCTTATTCATCCTGATAAGCCTTGTCTATACCATTCGCAATACATTGCCAACCCCCCTTTCTGATGTTGAAGCAAGCAAATACAACAGTTTCCCGGGCATCCACTCTTATAACGAATATTTGTCTCATTTCAATACACCTCATTCTGCGAATCAACGTGGCAATGAGGAAATGAAGGAGTGGATTATACAGTTAGCGCGCGAGTTTAAAGTGGAAGCAAGTAAGCGTGGTATACCTATGGAAATAATTGAAGAAGACCCAACCGATCTAGTTTCCAAAAGGAATAAGTTTACATCAGGTATATATAGTTTTCAGAGAGAAACGAGCTGTATTGGAATTTGAGAGGAGACAGAAAAAAGAACTCACAGGAAATGTTATATCATTCTAAAGATGAATACTGGTTAGTAGAGTCGAGAAATATTATTATTCGCTTGACAGGAGCTTCCAATACGACAGAAGAATCGTATCTGATAAATGCACATTACGGTAAGCTTAGTATTTTTTGCAAGTGTCTGCAAGCAAAAGAAAGAAAAACGAAAATCGTCTTACACACCTTTATCTGTTAGATAGCGTATCCACAAGTCATGGTGTGACAGACAACGGAATGGGCACAGCCGTTGCTCTCGAGCTTCTTCGGTACTTTGTTCATCATCCTCCCAAACATACGGTGATCTTTTTATTCAACAATTTTGAAGAGGGAGGTTTAATAGGCGCCGATGCCTTTGTTCACCATCCGTGGTTTTCCAGCATCAAGCTTTTCGTCAATTTGGAGGGAACAGGTGCGGGCGGACGAGCCTTATTGTTCAGAAGTAGCAGTTTGGCTGCTGTACAAGGTTTAGCGAAATCCAAGGCCCGTTTTGTCCATGCATCCCCATTAGGCAACGACCTGCTGCAAGCCAAGCTTCTAAAGAGTGATACCGATTACACAACGTTTGCAAAGCATGGTGTTCCGGGATTGGATTTTGCATTTTATTATCCTCGCTCCCACTACCATACGCAACGAGACGATCTGGCGCATACGACGCCCCATTCTTTGCAACACATGGGTCAGATGGCATTAGCCACCGTATTGAGTATCGACAGCAGCTCGACCCTACTTCCCCAATCCGGAGAGCCTGAACACATCATCTATTACGATATTCTGGGTCGCTTCATGCTGGCCTACAGTTTCTTCACCTGTCAGCTGCTGAACATCCTTGCCTTGACGGTGGTTCCTGTGGGTCTTTGTGTAGGGTTCTGGTGGTCGCATAAAACTTCCGTGTCGGATGCGCAGGAATTGAAAAAGCTCTTGAAACGCCAACTGCGGAGTGTCGCTCAAGGCTTTTTGGCGACGGTGGTGGCTGTCCTCTTTATGATTGTCTTGACGGCTCTTTCCGCTTGGGTGATGCTAATGATCAACCCATCATCTACGTATGGAAGTAGCAACAGCGTCGTTCTTTATTTGGCAGGCGCTGCCTTTTTGGGCCTGCTCATTTCGCAATGGGTGTTGCTTCATTGGGTCCCGTCCGTTCCGTTGAGCCTGACAAGAATGGAAGTAGGGTTTTACGGTCTCACGGCATTTTGGTGGGTATTGCTTGCTCTGGCTACCTATTTGGGATGTAAGAAAGTGGCGGCTATCTACTTTGCCATTTATTTCTTTATCAGTAGCGTCCTAGCCACACTTGTATTGGAAAATACGGATCCTGTGGATGCGGATGCTGAAGATGAACAGGAGGAAAGTGAGGTGATCGTGACCCTCGTAGGGAGAAAGGTCAGTCGGTTCTGGTCGATTGCGTTTGTGATCCAAACGCTGATGCCAGTTATCTTGATGTCTGAATTTTTGTTCCTCACCATGGATTCTATGCGTCATACCACTGCTGATGGAACACCTGAATCAACCCGTATGTAATTATTATTTATTTATTGTTGGGGGGCGCGGTGATGGGTTGCAGGGTAGGGTCAAGAGCTAACGCACGGGTTCCTTTCTTTTTACTATTTACCAGTGTATGCTTTATTTGCTGTTCCGATCATGTTGATTGTTCTGCATTTATTGCCTTGGGTTCATGCAGCCGGCGAAATTCAAAAGACAACGTTCTGTTGCAGCGCTGTATTCATCCTCCTCTTTTTGGGCTGTGCTCTTTCACAACCCTTCAATGGTGGATCTTCTCCTAACCGTATTGTGTTTAACCAAGAATACAACACGACCGACTCGTTAGCCACTGTGGCCTTAATTACGGGATCTTCGTTCGGTGTGCTCGAAAGAACGCTGAAAGACGTGTTGCCTCCGTCAGAGCTCGATACGCTGACTTGCGAGCCCTACATGACTTACCAAACCCGATGCACGTATCAAACCGAACTGGCACCTATGTATGCTCGGGATGAGGCGCAGGAAGTGTCTCAACTGGAATGGACCACTTTGTGTGATGTAGAGCGGTGTCGTGTCAATATCACATCGCGCGTGGAGCATAGTCTGATATGCCAACTGCAATTCACAAACACAGACATTCGTGGATTAGAGGCGTGGGTGAATGGACGTTCGATTGAAAAGAAAGACGCAAATGAGACAATGCATGCCATCACTGTTTATAGTAAGAAGCAACAAAGTACACTCCATTGGGATCTCGCGTTTGATGCGAATCAAGTCGCGGGTCAAGCGCAGTTCAGTTGTGTGTATGATGATTGGGTTCAAGGTGAACTGCCTGCCTTTACTAGGTTGAAAAACAGTCTGCCCTACGATGCTTTACTTACTATTAAAGGTGGAGTTGGGCTTGCTAAAGTACACTACCTTCCACTTATCCCATTAAATTAACTTGTTCAAATAAAACAGGGAGCTGATGTGTGCCTCCCCCTCCTTTTTTTTATTTTTTTATTTTTTTTATTACCCATCTCTTCCTATACTATTTAATGATATTGACAGCTTAACATCTCATCTCTTTTGTTAATTCTTTGCTCTATCCAATAATTCTTGTTTCCATAATGATTGCATAGGTTGTAATGCCTTTCCTGGTTCCTCTCTTAAATAGTACAATTTCGCTCTTCTGAATTTCTCTTCGTTGGGTCGAGGCAATACTTTAATACTCTTTAATAAAGGTGAATAAAGCTGGAATCGTTGTTCTACACCGACACGCATCACCATATTTCTTAGTGTGAAATGAGTGTTGATGCCCTTTCGACGAATGGCAATGCAGACGCCCATAAAACTTTGCGAGGCTGTTTCTCCAGGTCTGTTGTATGTTTCAACAAGCACAATAGCACCAGGTCGAATACCGTTTTTGTTGGTACGGCTAAACAGATCTTTACGTCCGTCTGTGTTGGCTGCTTCTGTAAGCTGTTGGTCGACATGTCGCATCACATCAATTTTAGGTAACTTTTTTGCTGCTGTATTTGCTGTTGTTGTTGTTGTTGTTGTTGTTGATGTTGTCGCCGTTGTAGCTGCTGTGGCATAATGAACTAAGGTGTGTATGAAAAGGCTATTAGCTTTCCTGTACATGGTGGCTGTTGGTCTCCTTGCTTCAAGGGAGGGAGAGCCTGCCTGCAGTTCGCCCTTTTATTTGGGTATGTTGGGGACTCAAATAACTTACATTTTGTGTTTATCACTGGGCGAATTGTTTTTGTTGACAACCTTGAAACAACAGTTTTCAATGCATTCATCGTGTAATATATAGGATTCCTGAAATTCTGGGGTAATATAAGCAGAAGAAACGAAGAACCACACCATCCTTAGGGAAATGAGGGGGGTCTGAAAAATACCAAGTCACAGCAAAAAGGTACAGATCGATTCAGGCTTGGGTTTGTTCGGTCCGAATCTTGGGTGGCCCATCCTCAGAGGGTCGGGAAGCGGAAAAGTGAAATGAAATCACGAAGGCTTCAAGGCGATGTTAACAGAGGGGTAAAAGTACACACAACTGTACTTTAAAATACGAGTGACTGAGGCCTCGAAAGAACAGATAGGAATGGTCTAGGTTTTGATTTTATGGTTCATGGTTTTTCTTTTACTTATGAAGAGCAAGTACGTCTTTATTCAAGCTCGTTTTTTAAACTGTTTTCAATGGGAAGGCACAACATTCCGCTATTCACGAGATGGGAAGTTGCTTCGTAGAGACAGCTTACAGCACTCATTTTTGTGGCATGCTAAATAAATATAGACAGTATAAGGCGGCGGATAATCGATATACAACGACACAAGGCATATACAGCTACGTTTCGTTTATCTGATTTTGTCTTGGCTCTTTTTCCCTCACCGCTCCCTTCCTCCTTATCCATTGTTATCATCCTGTTATCGTTAAAGAAAGGCTAATACAAAAACGTAAATGATTGCCTATTATCCTACAGTTTTTTACGCGTTCAAGAACAGCTTTCTAATGGTTGCGTCATAGTGCATGATAACGGAAATGAAAAAAGAAAAGATATCTGCCGATCAAATCGATCCCATACAAGGTTGCTGTTGTCATGCACAGAAAGTGATTAGGTCTATCTTTGTCATCTCGATGCAGAGCAAAATAGATGAAGCCTATTTAACGGCCGTATTATGTGATGCTTTGGTAATCATTAAGCTTATGATTAGTCAAAAAGATATCTGTTGGTCGTTTTTTACCAATCACTGACTCATCTTGAAGCCGTATTATAACCACCTCTATTGTCTATCGCGCAACAGCACCCTACTTTTTTTTTTTTTTTGTCGATAGATTTTCTTTCAAACAAATGACTTACTAGATGCCCGACAACAGCAGCACCTTGGGATAGCAAATAAGAATAGACGAGGATTAGAATAGAGATCTGCAAATCAAGAAACCAAAAGATATTTTTTTTGGGCAACTTTCATCGGTCATCGTTTCTCGCGTTAAGTTGTAAGCGAATCAAAACGTAAAAAAAAAAAATCAATAAAAGCTCCCCGCATACGGACTGGAATGACCTGCAAATGTTTGTCTAACAAACTTCCAAAAAAGGGAAGCGCGGAGAGGGTAAATCTTTTCAGTTTGACATACAATAGCCAGCTACCAAACGAAAACAAACAAACTAACTAACAAACAAACAAATGAGCCATCATCCGTTTCTATGCGTTTCCTTGCCATTGTAACAAGATAATTTGACCGCATATCAACATGATCACAAAGGTTCTTTATTCAAGTATTTAAAGAATACATCGATCGAGTGCTGGACGATATTCTGTATGTGTTCAACAGGAACATCCTCGCTATCTTCCATAAGCGGAATATTAGCAGGAGTCTGGTCACGCACCAACAGACTTTCAGAGCTGCAATCAGAGGATGAATATTTATTGGGAATCAGAGAGTAAAATCGATAGTTTTGTGATGTCACTTTTCCAAAGCATAGGGGTGAACGACTACTGTGTCGCGCTCAAATTTTTGTATCTTTTGCATAAAAAAAGTCGTGATGACAACCCAATGTCTAAAGAATTTGCTTATTCTGATACTGCAAAGAAGAGTGCTTGGAACATTTGCGATGCTTTTGATGCGTTTAAAAAAGCTTATCCAAATTTGACTCTTCCGCAGCAACATGTGTCAAAATTTCACGAACGATTAAGAAAAGAAGACAGAACAAGGTAGTGAAGTCATGGCTCTCAAATTGGAAATCCTTTCACAAGCAAGTAAACAAAAACCAAAACGGTGCCAGCCAGTATGTTGTATTTGCTTAATTGAAATTGATCATTGTTAGAAGTCGATGAACTTAAGTGTCTTTATTATTCTTCAAATGAAGAGGAGTCATTATTTTTACTCTGTAAGAATGGGAATGATATTATTCGAGGACGCGTATGCTAGTCACTAATTTCAGGTTCAGATGCTTATTGGGTGATTATTATATTTAGGCCTGTATTTCATTATATGTTGTACGTAACCTGTATTAGATGCAATATAGATAGACCGTGGTAGAGTGTATTCTCTACCTGGCTGTACGTACTCAAGTAGTGTAGTTGTTATCTCACCCAACACGTCACAGTACCTCCCATTCTTCTAGTGTCAATAGAGACATGAAAGAATCGACAAATTATGGCTTTTCTTTTGGAAATGTCAACAACTTTTATGATGCTTTCACAAAAAGAGAGAGTTGGAGGATCATGAAGTTGAAAACCCTCCTGCGAAGAGAAACAATAGGTGAATGAAGAAAGCAATAATATATCAGTTATCTATCTAATCCATCATTTTTTAAAACAGTGCAATTCCGTCTACTGAATCCCTTACGCATGTTACTGAAGAAATTATTCACAGCAATGAGCACTACCAAACTGATGGCTGTGTTCCAACTCTCATGGATGGTGTCCGTATCGAGTTGGTGCTTTTGGAGGTGTCTGGTCCATTCAAACATGACGATGAAAGCAGATTTGTAAAGGATCATGTAAAGGCCGGTTATGGATGAATCGCAATGCTGAATGAAATGGCCTACACTTACAAGTTTGCTTCATTTGATGTATTCACCTCTGTTCATATCTTTTTCTTACACGCCAAGAAAAACAAGTTGCAATTTTGGAGCTTTGAGATGCCTTCTCCTGGTCTTTACGGGTTGACTGTGCGTCTTGTGAGCTACCAATAGAGTCTCTTTGTATTGAAATGTGGAATTTGCCGAACCATGCTACAGCGCACAGTTAACGCCATCGCTAACTTGAGGCAATCGCACATTGTAAATCAAAGAGCCTATAGTCGTTCCCATAGGGAGTTCCCTGACTTGAGGCCTACCCTCCTCACTGATAGCTTGAGAATCAATCCAGACATAAAGCTTGATGTGAAATACATACCTTCTTTTGATGAACTGATTATTAACAGCTCACTTTTCTGATGCTTTACCAGTCAGCCATATACCTTTTAAATAAAAATTGAATAATATACTCCTTGTCCTTCCTTTGATTACAATTTCATTCACTTATATACCGTTATATGTTCCTCTTTTCTCGCCTAACTCCAATCCTATCGAGATATTTGGAATGAGTTGAAGAACCGAGTCAGAAGAGGTGGTTTGACAGATACAGAAACACTTTTTCAAGAGTAATGGAAGGTAGAGAGGATGTTCCTGTTGAACACATACAAATTTCGTCCAGCGCTCGATGGATGTATTCTTTAAATACTTGAATAAAGAACCTTTGTGATCATGTTGATATGTAGATCAATTGATCTTGTTACAAATGGCGAATAAGGGGTTCAAGCAAAAAACGAACTTTTTAAAAGAAAACCGACCTTTGAGAAAATGAAAGGCGCCCTTTGGGTAACAGAAAACCCGCCCTTCAGAAATTTTAAGGTCGCCCTCTGCATCCTACCTTTGATGTAGGAAGGGCTGTATTCAGCGTTTATTCCATGGGCAAAATGCTACCTTTTTTGTTACCTCATCTTTTCGTACTTTTTTTTTTTTTTTTTTTTCCTAAGAAAAAGGAAGGTTTGGGATTCGTGAATTGAACTTTATGTATTGTTCTCATTAGTTTTTGCACCCCGTTCATCCTACTCTAAGGAAGAGAAACGGTGACGTACACTCTTTTTGATCACTTTTTAAATTAATTTTGAACAGATAATTAAGAAACATAGACATAACCGTAATGCATGTGCATGTTATGCAATAAAAGATGATTCAGATCAAAAGAAGTAGGGCGTGTCGATATGATTTCAAGTCCAGTCATGGTTAAGCTCAGTAAAGAAGAAATGGAAGTGCGCCACACTTTTGGACTGCGGGCTAGCCGTTCAAAAAAAAAAAAAAAAAAAAAAAAAAAAAAAAAAGATGTACGTCCGCAAGCAATTCCTGATTTTGACTGAGTAGATAACAAAAAAGGCAGTCATATATTCATTTTTTTTTTTTTTTTCTGAGAAAATAGAGATCACCTGTCACCTTTGAAGTTGAATGCGTCTTATCTGGCCCCGTCCGTCGCGTATGAGCGTAAATGGATTCGATTCTCTTTTCCTTAAAAGTATACTTTTACTTCTCTGTCATTTATTCCACCCCTTGATCATTGGACAAAAGAAATCACCTTGCCCATGCCCCAGTGATCAGATACCACGGAGCCACCTTATGCCTGTGTCTCTCTCTCTCTCTATGAAGGATGAAAGTAGAAAATTGGGTTTTTCTTTTCGTCGCTTTCCAGCACGTCATATGAAATGTTATCATTCTTTCATAATGACAGTTAGAAAAAAGCTTAAATGATCGAGTCAAACAAAAGAGAAGCAAAAGGGGAAGGTCCGAACTACTGGATAATATGCAAAGTTATTTTTAAAACATTTTATTAATGCAGCCAAAAAAGAAGGAGGGATGCGCGCTGATGCATAATTTGATCGTATTTCTTTTTTCTCCGTTATTGGATAAACATGAAAATAAAAAAATCACACGCAAAAGAGATACATGCGCTACAAAATGGACCCGAGACAAAAAAAAAAGAAAGGATAAGCTTTCCCCTCCCTTTTTACCTTTGGGTTCTTCTGCAAAAAAAAAAACGAAGGGGTCATTTTTCTCTGTTCGTTTTTCAAAAATGCCCGAACCTTGGGTTCTACCGAAGAGGCATGGAGATCGAAAAAAAACCCAGGTAAAATACACGAATCCCCACCCCCCTTCGATTCAATGACCGCCATGGGCACGGTCCCTCTTTTTATTTGTCAGCCATCGCATGAGCATGTCCCATCTTTGGATCCACTGCACCACACATGATCACAGACTTCTTTTGACTGGTATTTTTCAAATGCAGTTGAGAAGAAAAAAAAAAAAAAAAAATAGTATTGTTTCATTGAAGCACTTGGATCCCCTCTTTCCAAAAAGTCTAGGAATCGTCGTTATGCGCCGCTAAAAAGAAAAAAGAAGAACGTGGATCATAATGACACGCAACTGTTTTAGGGCCTCTTTTTTTTTTTCTCTCGAAAGCTTAGCAACAGACAACATTTTTTAGGGTGTGGAAAAAAGAAAAAGAAAAAGCAAATAATTTATTTTTACATGTGGTATTCAAACAAAGAAACGAAAACAAATAATTAGACAGAATAACAAAATGCAGAAAGGAAGGAACAATAATAATAATAATAATAATAATAATAATGAGGATGAGGATGAAAAAAATAAAAAGAATGAGTTGCTAATAGATTAAGAAAGATAAATAAATGACATGTCTGTTGGATCCTCCTGTGTTGCTGATGCTGTGGTAGTAGGAGCAGGGAAACAACTTGTAGGAGGAGGATGAATATGAGTGGTAGGAGTATTCAACTGTGAAGAGTAAGGTGTCATTGTAGTCTGTTGTTGGGCTGGATGAGTATCAACAGCAGCAGCAGCAGCAGCAGGGAAAGTGGCCGTTGTACGAGAGGCGGTATCGTCAAAATAATAATGAAAGACAGGGGGTAAAGGACTTGCTCTCATTAAAGGATGGTCCTTGAAAGAAACCATCACGGAGCCTTGTTGTTGCTGAACGTCAGCAGGAGGCAACAACACGACCATGGAGGTCGCATTGACACAAAGGGTCGTGGCTGGACGATTACCAAACATCAGCGTTAACCCAGGATGAAAGTTCTCACCCAGGAGCGTGATTTCAATACCACCGGAAGAAGGACCATGAGAAGGTACAATGCGATCCAGAGTAGGAATGGTGGATGTGGATGGAAGCGGAGGCGTGGTCGTGTTCAATTGTGAGGGTAATGTAAAGGGAGAGAAGGGAGAAAGAGAGGGTGCGGGTGCGGGTGCTGGTTGAGAAGAGACCGTCCTATCGTAAGGTGTGGTTGGAAGTGAATAATAGCTGGGTGGTAAGGCGAATGACGGTTGCGGTGGTTGTGGTTGGTATACATCAGGTTGGACGGTAAGTAAAGAGGGAGAACACGTATCGGCTGGCATCGTGTGTTCATTTAAACGACGGAACTTTTGACGCGGTGGTTGTAGCAAAAGGTCGCCGTCGTCGAAAAATCCATGTCCTTGCAAGACGACAGGTGGTTGCGAGATGAAAGGGTTTAAGCTGGTAGACATAAGACCCGATGTCATGGCCATAGCAGCAGCAGCAGCAGCAGCATCAGCAGCAGCAGCAGCAACATCAGCAGAAGAGGTAGGCGTGGTGGAAGTAGTAGGTGTGACAGAATAAATGCTGCTATTGCTGCTACTGTCTGTGGTGCTATGGTGGTAAGGACTGGTTTGACTTGCCAACATCATGGATTGCCAGCTAGCGGCTGTGGTAGGTGTACGAGGAGATAAACTTGCGTGCGGCGTATTCAAAAGGGCATCCTCTTCGTTCAAAGGGGTAAGTGAAAAGTGGCCGAGAACGGAAGGTGTGGCTAAATTGTGATAGCTGGCAGGGGAGGTGGAGGCTGAAGGAAGGGTCGTTGTCGTTGTGAAAGAAGGGGAAGCTTGATGAGGAGGAAGCTGTGCCAACTCTTCGGAATCGCTTCCGTAGAGAATACGACTACTTTGACTTGCAGATGAAACAGAAGGAGGGGTGGTCAATGCGTCAAAGGCCACCTGAGAAGCGGCGGCGGCTGCAGCTGCTGTGCTGGTGATGGGTGATGGTGGGGTCGTGGATGCGGTAAGGCCACTGGAGGATTCATCCTCAGCCTCGGTGGATGAGACATGGGCCGTTCTGCGTCTCTTTCTTGATGCTGTTGGCGTCATGCAAGTACGGGCTGTAGGTTGTTTTGAACTTTTATGGTCATCGGTAATCATGATAGGAGGAGATTCACCCGTGGCGACGACGTTGCCTTTATCATTCTTCATGACAAAGCGGACACTGAAAAAAAAAAATATAAAAAAAAAAAGAAGTTAAATCGTTGGCCAAAAAAAAAAAAAAAAAAAAAACCAAAACAATGGAATCATTGTTGACTTACCGAAAACCGATGCGCTCATTATGGTGGCGACAATAACAAGTAATACGCGTAGGAAGGACAGCATCACCTGTACTAAAGTTGACCAAGGGTTCTGTATTGAATAACAAGATACGTTTGCGATCACGTTCAAAGGCTTCATCGGCAACACCAGCAGCACTCAAACCAAGATGGGCAGCATTCAACTTGGCGTCTTTCTTTCTTTCGGCACGTTTGCGTTCTCTGCGAACACAGCCTTGACACATTTTGATTTTTTTGTTTTCATCGCTTTCACAGACCACTCTTGCTTCTAAAGCCAACACCTTGGATTCATCAGAGACCATAGCAGCAGCACTACCATCTAATAGCTTTTGTTGCTGAGACTTTCTTAGTTTAGAGCGAGCCAACATCTTTTCTGGAATACGGACATAGGACCAATAGGGTACTTTGGCACCGTCCTTGGTGGTAAGTGAGATGGTTAGCTTGATTTGTGTTTCAACACGCGATTTAGCGCCATGGCTAGGAATACCATCGACTCGAATGTGAAGGCCTTGATCATAACTAACACCCCATCAAAGAAAACAAGTTAGCTGGCGGTGTTGACTCACAGAGAGAAGAAAAAAAAAGAAAAGATGATCTTACTCTAATGGATGTGTGCTGCATGTTTCTGATCTATTATTTTGAAGAGTAGTACTGACATGGTTACTGTTCAACTGATATAAGGGTCTATTGTGTCATTCGTAGAATAAAAAAAAGGAAATGAGTGAGAAACATGGACATTCTCGAACAAACGGACTTTGAATCATTGGATGGTCCATGCGGAACCCTATCCGTCCGTTTGGAAATCTGTGTGTCCTGAAGAGGGGAAATGACATCTTACGATTGACAGAAAGGACGATTATTGTCCTCGGATTTTATTTGTTGAGGTGAGATAGACATGATAGGTGTGCTGTTATTCATGAATGCTGATGTAGTGTCTGAGCAAGACGGTTTATTGAACAAAGGATCTGTGTTGGTATCGAATTGAGATAGATAGTATTGTGTGGTACTAGCAGCTGCCATATTTGGTGTTGAATGTATAGTTTATAAGTTTTTGAGAAATGGCAAATGAAGAAAAGCAACCTAGAAAATGCAGCAAAAAGGATGGTATAGAAATATATATAATATTGAATGCGTTAACAAAAGGAAACAAAGAAAGAAAAAGATAAAATAAAAAAAAAATAAAAGAATGGTGGAGTTGATGATTGGAGGGAAAAAAAAGAAAGAAGAAAAAGGAAAGAAAAATGAGCTTTTCTTTTATATTTAATAGAAAAAAGAAAAAAGGCAGAACTTTTGCCGGGGAAAGATAAGCGTGTTATGCTTTACGTGCGGTGTGGGTTAAGTGTGTGTATTATGTACACGATACTATTGCGCTTTCAATCTCTCTTTCAAACATGTCAAAAACCGTGGCGGGGGCAAAAAAAAAAAAAAAATGAATCAGAAGAAAAAAAAAAAAAAAAAAAAAAAAAAGGAATTGAGATCCAGCAGCCGCGCTTCGTGGGTTTTACTTTTAACCACACGATCAAAAATGGCTGGAATTTAATAAAAACAAGGGATTTGAAAAGAGAGTCAGCCACACAGAAACCTGGTTCGTGTGGTGCGGATGTGTAACTTTTTTTTTTTTTTTTTCACCTAAGCGCACATACCACACACAGACGCACGGGTCACACGAACATACACACACACATACACACACACTGAATGTATATGCACGTCAAAAAAACCACGGTCTTGGTTTTTTATTATTTTTATACATGGCTACAGATGAACAAAGGTCAGGGTAATATCAAACGGATGTAGTACGTGTTATTCTTTTATAGCTCTCTCTATAGCTTGCTTTTTCATTACATAATGAAAAGCACTGACTAAACAGCAAGAGAAGAAATTGCAAATCTGGAAATGAAAAAAAACCCCAACTTTTTTAGGTAATAAATATTCAAAAAACATTTAATGCAGTTTGCTGCTTTACGTAAAGATCAAAAAAAGTAAATTAAACTTTGCAGCTTTGATATAGAGTTTATTGACGCTTCTGATCAATGCTTTGGTTTAAATTATTTTTTTTATTTTATATTTTTTTCAAAGGGCTATGATATGAACAAAAGCATTTTGTTTGTTTTTTTTGAAAGGAGAGCAGAAAAAGAAAAAAAAAAAATGAAAAAAGTGATCTACCGAGGCACATCATTTTTGACAACGCTTTCTTTTTTTTTTTTTTTGACATTTACAGTCTTTTTTTCAAGGTTACTCAATATACAGCAAAAAGATGAAAAGTCACTTTTGACCGTCTTTATTCTCCATGTAAAAAAGACATCTTTCTGCATCCTCTTTATTGGCAAACTACTTTATTTATTTCAAGATGGACCACATTTTGACCACATTTCACCTACATAACAGATAGGGGACAAGCAACGTTCTCCCGCTCTGAATGCCAAAAAAATGTTGAATGTTTCAGTGGGATTTAAATCATGATTTGATATTCTCCATTTAGACAAGTCTAAACTCTTTTTTTTCAACCGTGTGTGTATTGTGTGTAACTCGATCTTTCTCTGTAAAAGGAGATGCATCTATTTATCCCAATGTAAAAATATTTCAACCATTTCATTCTGTTTTACATCATGTCAGCGCGTCAATTCTCTCTTTCTCCACCTATGTCAGTAGAACGCAAATGCCTTTTTTTAGATACAGCTTATCATTTTTACACTCTAAAAATACAAAAGGCGTAGAATCAGCTTTTTCATATGAAACCTTTTTTTTTTTTTTTTTTTTTCCTTCTTCATTCCTGTCTTTCTGAATGATATTCCATAAAGAGTGACATTGGATGGTAGATCATAAAAGAAAGTTTAATAAAATTAGAAACATCCGTAAGTGATTTTACAGTTTATAACCCATGTTTTTCTGATCAAAAATGAACAAGCCATCACGGTTTCCTTTTCTTTTCATTTTTCAACTTAAAAAAGCGCATTGGCCATTTTTTTACACCAAGTGGGATAAACGCTTCCATTATTGGCTTTGTTTAAAAGACAAGCAGGAAAAGGGGTTGTTTGCAAATCACAAAAAAAAAAAAAAAACCTTGAAAAGGCGTGGTCGTGGTGTTTTAATTTTTTTGAGATGATTGATCTAAAACTCCTTTGTTTCTTTGAAATTGGACTTGAGGTACGCCACTTTTTTCAGTTTTGTTTGTTTTAAAAAAGAAAAACTTGAGCAATCATATCATGTTGCTTGCCACCTTGCACTGCCACATTTTCGTTTCAACCAATAGGATTGTCGGGCCAATGGAAACGGTTCCCTCGGTCGCCGCGCTTCCTTTAAAGGATGGTTACACGAACAAGAAGAAGGAAGGGATCGAACGATAATCGAACGATCGTTTTGAAATTACGTGTATGTGCTTCTAAGATGACGGAATCTCTACAAAAAGGCTCAACATTGTGTCTCTGAATGAACAAAATGGAAGAAGGTTGTCACTAGACGATATTTGAACAACAAGCAGTTGCAAATGAACAGAAACATGAAAAAAAAAATTAAAAAAAAATAAAAAGTGCTACGTTATTGCACACCAAAAATTTTTTTATTTTCAATTGTTTGTTTGTCATTGCTTTTCCAGGAAGCGATAAAAAATATCCCGCGGCTGCTCTAGAAACAATGGAACTGCTCGTCCATTTTTTTTTTCGTTGATACTCAAAAGGGCCCTTCACGATGAAATATACAATTTCTAAATTGAGAAAGTCAAGTCGAAAAGGAACCTATGCTGTCATGAAAGACTCTATAGGATGCCATACTATGTAGATAGCAACAAGGCCTTGTTAAAGCAAATTCAAAAAAAGATAAACCGACCCAGTTTTTTCAGCCTCCTTTGAAATGGGATGACAAATTCTAGCCACTGCAACAAATCCAATCTACGACACACTAGTGTTTTGTTTGACAAATACCAAATTCCTTCAGCTTTCGAATTGTGGCTGATTTGATGTGCTTGCTGCGCATGCAGGAGGACGAACTGTAGAAATCAAAAAGTTGCGTTTCCATTTCTTTTTCATGATGCAGGATCAGAAACGAAAAAACTGTCTTGACGGACCATCTTGTTTAACACATCATCCAAATGAGTCGCGATTGTCTTTTTCGCGCTCCAAAAAGACGCTTTCAACGATACGTTTTAATCACCTTTTTTTTGGGCATGATGTCAGCTCAAAGAGCCTAAAATGCACAGACCTCCTACTCTTTTTTTCTTGTAAAAAAAAAAGGAACCTCCTATACCAAGGTCGCCATCTGTGTAGGTCCCATGACTTGCTCGTTGAGCTCAATCGACAAATAAAAAAAAAAAAAAAAATTAAAAGTAGAAAAAAAATTCTCTTTCAAAAAGTGCAAAAACGTTTATCCTGCAACTTTGAGCTATTGACGGGAAATAAATTTTGTATGATCTATCTTGAGCCAATGTTGTTGTTATCCGTCCCACGTGACATTCATAGTTGAAGGTGTCATTGTACTACTACGAGGCCATCTCGATCCATTTTCATAGGCTGGGGGAGAAAAAAAACTTGCAAAAAAGGGTGAACAAGATGATAAAGTTACCTTTTTTTTCTTTTCGCTTATCGTTAAGCCTTCCTCTAATAGAAAAAATTATGACTAACGTTCCCACGTATTGTATAACCCGATTTACTCATCCATGCCGTGCTTTCACATGTTGCGGAAGGGAGAAAAAAAGAGTAAAAGCACCGAGCCGTGATAAATGCCTTGGACATCCAAGTGAACTCTCTTTGCTTCTTCTTCTTCTCTCTCCTTTAGTCAAATTGGCACTAAAATCAACTAACCACTGAGAACCGTATTTTGAAAGGTATTACGCAAAAAAAAAAAAAAAAAAAAAAAAAAAGAAACACAAATATCAATATAAACAAACATCTAAGGTCTGGAAATGCTCATCTGCTATTGTTATTGTTATTGTTGTCTAGACCCGTTTATTACCCGATACCACCACTTTTTTTTTTTTTTTATCCTAATAGCCTACCAAGACAACAACTAAACAGCCCTTCGCCGAGCCCAGAAAAATTTTTTTCTCTGTTTTGAATAAATAATAAATTCCTCTTTCTTTTTTCTTCCTGATGTCCGATTCCGCTTCTCAACGTTTGAATCTCATTCACAACCATTTGAACAACAACAACATGACAAGTAAGTAGCCTATGGATGACATCTCTATGTATGACTGTGTATCCAGCAATGGAAGGACAAAATGGCAGTGTGCGGACTGAGTAGGGGTGTGTGTGTCTCTCTGTGTGTGAATGTGTGTGTGTGTTTGTGTGTAGGAGAGATCTCGACATGACATCTTGCAACATGACAAAACATGACAGCAATGACTGACCCCCAACTGTTCTTTCTTTTTTATAGAATCCTCCATGTCTGTCTTTCAAGATGTCGCTCAGGCCCCTCCTGATCCCATTTTCAACTTGACCGCTCAATACAAAGCAGATACCTTTGATAAAAAGATCAATGTCGGTGTGGGTGCTTTCCGTACTGACGAACTCAAACCTTATATTTTACCCGTGGTGAAAAAAGTAATCGTTTTTTTTCTCGACTGCCCAACGTGTAGGATAAGCGAGCAAAAGATGGACTTACTCTCACTTTTTTAACCCCCCCCCCTATGAAAAAAGGCCAAAGTCATATTGCATGAAAATGAAGCATTAGATCATGAATATTTACCTATTGCGGGTAATCCTTCTTATACCAAGGCTGCTGCAAAACTCATCTTGGGCGCTGATAGTCCTGCGATGAAAGAAGGTCGTTTTGCTGCCGTACAAACTCTTTCTGGTACCGGCGCCAATCATACGGGTGCCTTGTTCCTCTCCAAATTCTATACCAAGAGTAAAAAATGTTACATTTCAAATCCTACATGGGGTAAAGTAGCAAGACACACCCTCTTTTTCGCCCCCCACCCTCCCCCTCCTTGTCTACTCACTGACATAGACGATGTGTTGTTGTTTTTTTTTTCTTTTAGCCAACCATCGTAGTATCTTTAGTCTCGTAGGTTTCGATGTACAAGAGTATCCTTATTGGCAACCTGAAACCCGCGGACTCGATTACGAACGTTTATTGCAATGCATGCGTGAAGCGGAAGAAGGTTCCATTTTTGTCCTTCATGCCTGTGCCCATAATCCCACAGGTGTAGACCCTACGCGTGATCAATGGAAAGCAATCGCTCAAGTGATGCGTGAGAAGAACCACCTTCCCTTCTTTGACTGTGCTTATCAAGGTTTTGCCTCGGGTGATTTAGATAAGGATGCCTGGGCTGTACGCTACTTTGTTGAACAAGGTTTCGAATTGTTTGTCTGTCAGTCCTTTGCGAAAAACTTTGGTTTATATGGTAAGTGGGGCGTTTCAGTTCAGTTCAGTGGAGGTCATAGGAAGGGAAAGCAGTTCTTAATTTTCATCCCTTTAGGTGAACGCACGGGTAATTTAACCTTGGTGACGAAAACACCTGCCGATGCTCAACGTGTCCTCTCGCAAATCGAAAAACTTCAGCGTGCTGAAATCTCTAATCCTCCTGCTTTCGGTTCTCGCATTGTCGACATTGTCTTGAATGACCCCTCTCTCTATCAAGAATGGAAGGACAACCTAAAATACATGTCGAGTCGTATTATTGAAATGAGACATGCCCTCCAGCAGCATTTGATAGATTTACAAACACCAGGTACATGGGATCATATCACCAACCAAATTGGTATGTTTTCTTTCACCGGCTTGAAGCAACCTCAAGTCAAAGTCTTGAGAGAGAAATACCATATTTACATGACAGATAATGGCCGTATTTCAATGGCAGGTGTTTCATCGAAAAACGTTGCTTATTTGGCAAAGTCCATTGACGATGTTGTACGTAACGTGCCTGTTTAAAAATTTTATAGACTTTTTGCCCATGCATCCTCTCTTCCCGTTCACACCCCCTTTCGCATACATCCTTTTCATACTCTTTTTTTTTTTTTTAACTTTTTATATTTATTTTATAAAAACTCATATCATATAAGTCTTTCTCTAAAAAAGCATGGCTGAACGAGAGAAATGAATCCTACTATGTGTGTCACTTTCTTTCATTAGGCTTGTTTTATTGGGTTTTTATGGAGAAAAGCCGTCTTTTCCGTTCTTTATGCACGAGTAAGCGTAAGTGGATGACTTTATTCAAAGAAAAAAAGACATGCAGATCAGCAAAAGTTTATTTTATCTTGAGGAGAAAACTCCTCCTTTCCATCACCGTCATCAAGCAACTGCTCATCAACGTAAATACTTGCTTTTTTTTTTTTTTTCATTGTCCATTTGCTTTTATAAAGAATAGAATCATGAAAATAGGCTTAGCTGCTCCCGTGCCATCAAGGCTCCCAGTCCCCAGAATGTCTGCAGCCATACTGGTTCCTCGTTGCCTTTCATCACTATAAAGTAGGTTTCGGATCAACAACAGAAATCATCATCAAACATCAGTTACTTTTTTCTTTTGAAAAAAAAAAACTCCAAGGAAAAGAAGAAAAGAAAGGGAAAGCAAGATGGATCACCTCCTTTTTGTACTTTTTCTTTGTAGTGTAGGCAGCCGTCTATAGACTCACCAAAATAATACTTACCCCGCTCAGTGGGGGGAACGCATGTGAAGATAATGTGCAATGAAGCGACCAAAGTCAAGCGAAACTCTATGGGAAAGACTCGCCAAAACAATAAATACGTAAATTTTAGTACAGTCGCGCCCATTTTTCACGAAGAGACACTATAAATGAGCTTAGTGACAGGACAAAGGAGTTTTATGATCGTTTTTGATCAACGTGTTCAAGATGTCAGGAAAGGAGGACAAGTGAAAGGAAAAGCCTACATAGGTCAAGTAATAGCTCACAGCTCTATCATAAAGAGAATAAGAAAAACAGTTGATACTATTTTTGTCTATTCCAGATGGACAAAAGCGTGGCGGCATAACACCATTGGCTTGTCCATTCAAGCCAGCAAAGATGAGCAGGTGCAATGGACTCTATGCATTCATGAGCGTTGGGTCAATCCCTCCCCCACTCCACCCAAGCATAACCATTGGTTTCCTGAGGCAACTTTCTCAATGTCGAGCCATGTTGCTGGTATTTTCTAATCATTGAGAACGACGATCATGAAAAGACCATAAGAAATAAACAAAAAAAAAACTCCCCCGCACAGACACACGCTTGAATCTGTTATTTATTCAAAGAAAAAAAAAAAAGTAAAACTCGAATAGAATATACGAGTGAGTTTGGCTTCTTGTTCTTTCTTACGTTTGAAAGTGACCTGTACAGTTTTCTTTGGTTTAAACGGGTTATACAGTCTGTGAGTCATAAGCGACGCAGTAACAGCACAAAATAGATAGAGTAAAACCGTAGCAATGTGTGTAAGGAGGGAAATCACAGGATAGATCAATACAAGACACTATGTTTTATTTGAATAGAATACGATGTATGAAATTTGAGAGCGAGCGAGAATGTAATTTGTCTGATAGTCTTAAAGAATTATTATTATTGTTGTTGATAACGACGCTTGTTTTGGTATGCATGAGCCATGATATCTTCGTCAGAAGGTCTTTTGACTCCTGTGGGCCTATGAGAGGCTTCAAAATTAACCTTCATAGTATGAGTTTGTTGTTTCTGAGAGAGAGGAGGTGAAAGAAGATCGAAAGAGACGCCAGAATCAGCTCTAGCGTAACTGTCATGGCTAGTCGTAGTATGACGCATACTGCTACACTCCACTGTGGTTACGGGTTGTCCATGGCTGTTCAAGGTGACATTCACAGTAGGCGCCAAAGAGGAGGACGTGGTAGAGACCGTGTGAGGTAGTGTTGCATGGAGGGGAGTCGTTGCAGCAGCTGTGGATGCCAAAGGAGGTGAAGGTAGCGCAAAGGAAGAGGAAGCGGATGCAGCAGTAGCATGACCCTGGGCATTCACGTCAGGTGGAGGGGAAGGGTAATTTTGCTCGTGATGTGGGTTGTCCATGCGATCTTCTCGTGGTAATGAAAGTGGTGGCTGCGTAGGAAGAGCATGAGCATTTCCATGATGAAGCATAGAAGAGGTAGGAGTCATGTTGGGGTGGCCGTGGCTATGGTTCACGATCAGAGCTGCTGACTTGTGTTCGCGTTGGATATGTCCATGAAGTTGTGTATACCATTTGTCAAAAGTCGGCTTACTGACATGCAAACGGTAGTCGATGAGCTTCAAAAATGCCATTTCTGCAGCGTTGATCTCTTTGATATCCAAACCCGTGATCTTTGACCAAGCCTTGTTGTGGTAATTCTTGTCATGCAGATACTTGGACGCTACCATTAAAGAGGCTAAAAACATACGACGGCCACAACACATAAGATCATCTAAATGTGTTTGCCGTGGCAGTTTCATCTGTTGTGGGTTTTGGGCTGCTTGATAACGTCGAAAGAGTTTTTCATGAACCACTTTTTTGATTCGAAAGACATAGAAGAGACTGATTTGTAAGGTGGCGTAAGTTGTGTTGGATCGCTTCAAAATCTCGTTACAGAATCCACGAGTTGGAATCACTTTTGCTTTTTGCTGATCCAACAAAAACTTTGGGTGCCAAATAGAATCGATCACATTAGCAAATATTTCTAAACATAACAAAATAATATAAGAAAAGGTTGGGATGGAATCAGCATCTGTCTTTTTGGTTTGTTTGTTTGTTTGTTCTTTTTCTCTTTCCCAGAAAGTGGCAAGAGATATACAGACACTACACACATAGACATGTACATCTGTCAATCATGAAAGAAAAGCCGATTTCTCGAAACGGATGGAGCCGATATACTCTTCCCACATTCGAACAATGTACCACACAATTTGATAAGTTTCGCTGCGGCAAACAAGCAGTGGGCTAATCTCATAGTAGGGATCTCATGTGCAATGCGAGGTATATGTATGTGTGTGTCTTTTGCGTGCGTGTGTCTGTGTGATCTATTTCGAGGTTTTCTATCTTCTTCTTCTTCGTCCAAACATTACTTACCAACCAGTTTTTCAATCATAAAAGTACGTTCTTGACGAGAAGAATCCAGAAATTGCTTGTACTTTTCACAAGGTCGGTCTTCATCATATTTATTACAAAAATCATTCTTGTTGTTGAGCGTTGCTGTGAATGTCGTTAAAATAGAAGTAGTTGTTGCCGTTAAATTTGTTGTTGTTGTTGTTGTTGTTGCCGTTGTCGTTGTTGTTGTACTCGTTGTCCCAGTCGATGCTGTTGGGCCCATGAAGGGCACACCAGCACTTCCATGGGTGAGTAGTGCTGCGGACGAAAACCGTCCATTATCCGTTGGAAGTAAATCATTTGCCATATTATGTCGAGTACGTCAAAAAAAAACAAGCCTTTTTCTTTTTCTTTTTTTTCTTGGTCGGTGTCTTCAAAAAGAAAAAAAAACTAAAAGTTGAGGAGGAATGGTGGTTAAGTTGAGAAATAGTAAAGAATTGGTTTCAAAGTTGTAAAAAGGTAAAAGGTCGATTTAGGTTATTTTTTTTTTTGTTGCTGTTATGAAGAAGTGATATGGATGATTAATGAAGCTTCGTTTTGGTTCCTTCTTCTTTATTATTAACTATCGAAATGATTTGTCTAAAATGAGTTTGCTGTAATAAGAATGTTTGTTTGTCAAAAGTAATTGAAGCTGAAAAGAGTTGTGTGTGAGTTTATTGACGTTGGAAGGTCATGTAAAAGTTGCTGTAAAAATACACTTGTTGTTTCGTCGATAAAAAGCTAAAGAGGGTTGGTTTTCGTTGGTGTTAGATACAATATATCGTCAAAAGGGTGCAATTCTTTGAGTTGTTGGGGTTTTTTTTTCTTCTTCTTTTTCTTTGTCAAAATGGTAAAGATGGAGAAGAGAGAGAGCGCAGCAATAAAGCAGTGGAAAAAAAGAATAACGCAGCTATAAAGTCCCGTTTATAAAAGCCTTTTTGAAAATTTTGTTACGCAGTTTGTTCGAGGAGAAAAGGAATCAGTCGATGCTTTTGATTGGTTCGATTTCTTTCCAAATCTCTATCCTAGTGTCAACAGCCAATCAGGACGTGGCGCAGCAAAACACAAAAAGCATGAACACTGCTATTTCTCATCCCACTTAATGAACCAAAGAATCAGGAGATGACGTCGTGTGTAAGCGTCTGTGTGTATTGTATGCGTGTGTGCGCATTCTAAACGAGGAATGCACAGAGAAAGAGGAAGAACAAACAGCTTCTGTCTCATGATTCTATTTTACATCACACATCATTGGGGTGTCCTACGATACGATGGATTTCGCTTTTCCATTCCTTTTTGTTTTCTGTATTTCCTAAAGTTACAATGTCTGCGATGGCCTTTTTTAGATAAACTTTATACCACACTGATTGTTGAGCATTTATAGATGCGTTTCATCGGTATCCATGATGGCCTGTATTTGGACTGTCATATCATAAGCTACAGCCAAGGTCCCCATATCTTTACTACGCGAAGAAAGACACACAAGAGAACCAATCAAATGCATTTTGATATCTATGGAAAATGCGTAGTTTTTCGATATACAAAATAAAAAACTCCAAAGTGATTCAAAGATAGATAGATACTGCTCTTTTGCTTGACTTTCGGCACGAAATGGCTATCGAATTGAGACTATTTTACAATTGAAATTCAGACTAATTTAAGAAATTATTTTGGAATGAAAAGTATAGTTTTTCGGATCATACCCCTTTCTGTCCAAATGCTCAATGCCAAATGTGCGACCTACTCTTACTTAAACAACGTAGATATTCTGTGTCAAGCTGTAAAAGTCAAATAGTGTCTGCAAATGTTGCAATGTGTATTCCAAGTACACAATTAGACCTCTTTGGACACAACCTTCGGTGAAGGCAGCGATGACTCAATGGACGTTATTCCTTTCCTTTCTTTTCATTTCTTTTAAGTCGTATAGCCCGCAAAGTTGGCTCTTTCACCTTTGCTGCAACTGCGTATTTCATGATTATCATTTTAAAGCCAACCAAAGCTGTAAAGACTTCATTCTGTCCAGGATCAACAGTAATTGGGTTGAAATACTCACCTACTTGTGTGAGATTGAATTCATCTAGTTGTAGTAGTGCCCTTGTATCACCGGGAAGTAGCCTTTCGTCTGACAAACTGTAGTGCGATACCATGTCCGTCGCTTTGAGCAGTGCAGTTTAGCTTTATTTCACGGTCGTTAACAATATCATCGAAGGAACTGTATCCGAACGTAGACAAGTCAAACACGTGGTGAAAAACCTCAACCTGTTCTCTGTAGGTGTTTCCAGGATACTTTTGGCTCGTTATAACAGACAGCGTTTTGTGGTTGATATGGATATGGCGCCATTTCAAAGAGGGCGTTGGAACAAAGAGAAAAGTCGTGGCTTTTTTTTTGGGTCGTCTGTAGTAGCTTCGGAAATAGACGACACCTTCTGCAGCATCAATTCTAACGCTGGCAGGAACATTGACCCGTTGACAGTAAGATTTTCTGCGTTCGGGACCCTCGGCAGTGCGTCTTCAACAGCTTTGCATATGGCATTAGCCTCCTCTAACCGCTCCAAACCGGCCACCCCGTTTGGCCATTCGTAGTCCCCCTTCATTATCTTTTTGAAGCAGTTATTCGTTGACGATTCTGTCGATTCCTCTCTTCTTATGCTCCTAAAACATAAAATAAACAGAACTTCGTGAGACATTCTGCTACTACACTTGTTATGGATGCGATCATGACTTACAGGGAAGAGATGCTTCAAACATGTTCGAGCGTAGTGCTTGAGCCTATTTTCAAAACTCTCCACTATAAAGTTTGAATAAGTAGTGGCTAGTGTCACGCAGGGCCGCTGCCAGCGAATCGCTGTATCCTTTCATGAGATGTGTCTTCAGACTGTAAACGATTGTAAGAAGTTTGCTTTTAAAGTCATCAAAGGCAAGCGTAACCGACATGTCCATGTATTGTCGGTTTCTGACCTGCTTCCCTAATATAAGGTTGCAGATGCTGCACCAGAAGTTCTGCTCGTTTCTTGCTGTCTTCCAATTTCTTCTTTTTTCCTCTAGCCTTTGCAGCCTTAGTCTCGTAATCATCCTTCGCTCCTGCTTTTCTTTTTTTTGGCTATAAAACGGATAGGGTAAGAGATCTGTTTACCTTTGATGCGGAAAATAATAACACGGCTTACATGCATCATAAAGCTGGCATTTGTAACTATTTTTGTTGATATGGCCAACTTCTCCACAGTCCTTATAAATTCCTACATTCGTAAGGAGTATTGAATTGCAGAATTCAGTAACTGAACATAAGATTGCAGGGACATACTTTCAGCAATTTCTCTTTTCTTTCTTTCTAATTATCGCTTGAGATGTCTCTTGTCGAAAGCGAAATATCATTCCTTCCCTTTACTTTTTCTCGCTTTATCAAAGTAAACTTATGTAATTCAGCTATAATGGCTCTAAATTAACTTTATATTTTATTTTACTCACACCTGCATTGCCTGCCTGCAATGCAACTTTTTTTTTTTTGGTCCACATCATTTTCTTTTTGATTTAAGCGTAGCCATGGCTGTGTAAAATCAGTACTCAGGTACTGATTTCGTTCAAGCGTAGTTATGGCTGTGAAAAATCGGTACTCAGGTACTGATTTCATTTAAGCGTAGCCATGACTGTGTAAAATCGGTACTTAGGTACTGATTTCGTTCAAGCGTGGTTATGGCTGTGTAAAATCGGTACTTAGGTACTGATTTCATTCAAGCGTAGCCATGACTGTGAAAAATCGGTACTTAGATACTGATTTCATTTAAGCGTGGTTATGGCTGTGAGAAATCGGTACTTAGGTACTGATTTCATTTAAGCGTAGCCATGACTGTGTAAAATCGGTACTCAGGTACTGATTTGATTTAAGCGTGGTTATGGCTGTGTAAAATCGGTACTCAGGTACTGATTTCGTTGCCATGACTGTGTAAAATCAATGCTTTTTGAAACAGTGGTTTTTTCTTCGGTGTGGTATTCTTATTTCTTTTGCTGCGATTGTAAAAAAATAAATGTCTTACATTACATATATTTGGAGCTCGCGAGTTAATAAACGGTCGCAATTAACGGTTGACCCTGAGATATAATGGTAAAGAGAAAACATTTGTTTGGTTGTTGACAAAGGAAATAATATTTTAGCGTTGGGGTAAGTGAACTCTTTGTTTTATTCTAATGTGCAGTGGAGACAAGAAGCATCAACATATGACGTGAACGATTATTTGAATGACTGGGTTGTATGGAGGTGAGAAATGAAAATGGATAAATTGATGCTATTTTACTAACGGTGGTAAATGAGGCATTGTGGTTTGTCCTTCAGTCAAAGACTCAATCGAAGTTATAACAGCTGGAAAATAGTAGTCTTGTTATTTTTTTTTATTAACTAATATAATATATATTTGATAATGTGAGTATGATGATAGAATGGGGGTTTTATATAATTTCCTTGAAATATTCACGATCTGCACAAAGACGCTGGAGCGTGTTGAGAGTACCGTAAGAAAGGGCTTCAATACCATCCAAGACACTACTGGTATAATTGTACTTCATTTACATACCGCTCATTCGTGGCTCATGGGCTAGATATATAACTTCTTGACATTTTTTGCAATCATATTATTCGCTGTGGAAATTGAACTGCTTAATTCATTGGCGATTTCACTGACGGATCCACTATTATTATTGCATAAGGAAGTTACGCTCAATTCACCAGAATTTAGACTTGCATTTATTTCATCCATTACTTTAATGATTGAGGACCACTCTTTAACATCGCATTTTTGTTTCATTACATTCTCATACTCTAATAAAACATTACGGAAATCACTGAGTTGAATGATACCTTTGTTGGCTAATATTGCTTTATGAGAACCAAGTTTGGCACCAAATATTGATCCATCACCATATCCATCTTTATTCGGTAAATCACATAGTGTAAATACTGTTGCGGGCGAGTAGATACTACTGTCAAATGCTTGCAACGTAGATCTCCATAGTAAATATGAGGAGCATTTGCTGAAACTCGATGTCACGTGTCTCAAACTTGATATATTGATGTGCAAAGGATTTAATTTGAAGGTCTCAAACATTTTTAAAAATTCTTCAACTTTTGATGTCATCAAGTATATTTTGCAGTTTGAGTCCGTGATTGAACCATGACCAAACTCCAATGTTGATTTTTGGTTCAGTTGATATTTCAGCAGAACAAGTTATCAAAAGGTTGACGGTCTTCGTTCCAATAATAAGCTTCAGTTTCGTAGCACCACCGTCCAATTTTTCATATGTAGTACATGACATGCGATTATTGTAGAGAACTCAGTTGACTCGGAGTGCATAGCAACCGAAGAGTGACGGCTGTACACTTCACACGTAATAATAAGTAAAGTGATGCTATCATGAAGCAACGCACAGCAGAATAATGGTGTTATTAATTCAATCGATTCAGATATGAGCCGGAAATCGTAGTTTAGTAATTCTAGTACCGTCGCATCAATTTCTTGATGTGGCCCTAGCTCCTGCAAGAGTTTGGAACAGTAGAGGCGCGTACAGTCATTTCGAGCTTGGCAGTGATACAAGCACTGTCTTTTAATACTGGCTTTATCGTATCATTTGATGGAAAAGAAATCCTTCCGTTAAAAATACCAGAGGTGATATTATTTTGGAAATCAGTCAAAGAAGTAAGACTAAGGGCAGAATTGTTTGTCATCAAAGCAAATGTTGTTGAAAGCTTTGTACGTTTATCACCATCAAGTACCTCCGATCTGAATGGTTGACGGTCCACAGAATGCACAAAATGATGCGATCTTTTTCTTCGACTAGCAGTTTGACCATGCGTAGCTAAAGCTTGCTCAGAGCCTTCTTCAAAACTGAAGGCTTGCTGTTTCTCCGCGGGTATTTCCTGCAGTCTTGACAGAGTCCTATTTTATTTCTTGTGGAATGAATGGGCTTAAGACAATGCTTGCATTTCGATTTTGGTACCTTCGACATGGCTGCAGTTATTAAAGTTTGTGGAGGAAACTTGTGTTATTCGCAGAAAATATAAAAAGAACAAAAGTAAAAACAATACTAGAAATAAATTATAAGTGCTGTAAGATGTTTATTCTAATTTCCATAATGAAAATCCAGATCCAAATGGGCCTGATTTAAGAGGAGGGCGGGTGAAAAAGTTAGTGCAATGTTTGAAGACTGAAAAAGAAGGCACATAATTTTTAGCAGCCGTATTATCCTTTTTAGTTTTATTAGCGAATACAATACAAGAAGCCACGACCAACATCTCCTTTTTAAGTGTTTCCCCACGCGTTTTTTTTCTTCATCTTACGCTTAAATGAAATCAGTACTTGAGTATCGATTTTACAGTCATGGCAACGAAATCAGTACTTGAGTACCGATTTTACACAGCATGGCAACGCTTGAACGAAATCAGTACCTCAAGTACCGATTTTTCACAGTCAAAACCACGCTTGAACGAAATCAGTACCTGAGTACCGATTTTACACAGTCATGGCTACGCTTGAACGAAATCAGTACCTCAAGTACCGATTTTACACAGTCATGGCTAGAAATCAGCAGAACAATGATCACGGCTTGGATTTCTTGCTCCTTGCTCAACCAATGAACGAGATATCGACAGATCCAGCTTCTTTTCATCGCTTGGGGATTTCCTTTTGGAAAGCAAAGATGGAAAGCCAACGCCTGCTTAGCACAGCAAAGCCAGACTCGATAGCTTATCCCTTGAGCTATGACAACCAGTACAGCCTATAGAGCGCTAATTCCAACAAGTCTTGCTGCCTATAGGTCCTACCGTTCTAGGAACTAATATTGCTCTTGTCACTGATTTCTGCTTCTCTCTTACTTTCAGATAAATGTATGCAGGTAATGTGTATCTTATTTAAGATTAGAACGCAAATAAGGTTAGACTAACGATTGTTTTTTAATGTGCTTGCGAGCATCATCTTTGTTCATAGCACCCTCATTAAGGGTTCCTGCAAGGAGAACTTTGACTGTTATATAAAGGGCTTAATCGTGGTAACCTCAGACAATGCTGTCAACCAGTTCATTAGCATCGATCCTTCAATATAAGAGCCTAACAAACATCGAAGACAGCCAAAACCTGAAAAAAAAAGAAAGCTCGCAGGAGACAAAGAACAAAGATCAGACGACAGTATTATTGAGGAGCTCACTATAGACTACGTTGGTATTGAGGAGAGTATTGCCATCGGGAACAACAAGTCAGTAACAGAGGGTACAACTACTGCCCATTTCGTAAAATTAATGAATGAGCTTCTTGATATCATAGACATTGACGAAAGTTTTATTGGTATTTATCTCTTAATGGATCACAGCAATATCTATGAGCTGAATCCAATGATAAAAAAAAATTGAGAGTAGAGGCTATAGAGTAATGCACTTACCTCCTTATTCGCCAGAGCTAAACCAAACTAAGCAGTTGCTCTTGTAAAAGGGAAACGAAGCGCCACAGGTTGATAACGAAGAATATCTGTTGCAAAGAATTGCAGATGCATGTAACAATGTACGCCTCAGTGATATCCATGGATTCTGTAGATACTCTAAGCGTCAAATTATCAACTGATATAACAAATCGAACTTTAATTAGCTGCTTACTTCGATAAACATTCGTGTATATGTATATGACAACCTAACAATAAAACCGACAATTGTCAAGATAAAGTCGTGTAATGAAGGTGATTTGAAGCTGTTGAAGGTGTAATGAAGGTGTTTTGAAAGTCGATAGGATTAGTACGATTTACGACTCGCTTTTATATACCCAACTTTTTTTGGTTTCCTGCTAGCTCATGTTCATGTTCTATTGACAAATGTTTAAATACCCTATAATAAACATATTAGGTACGGGGGCGGAGCTTCTTTGCCCATTTGTGAACAGAAAGGGCTTTACAAAAATGGCAAGCCGACGTTACAGTCTTCATAACAGCTTCAACACCTTCATTACACCTTCAAAACACCTTCAAAACACCTTCAGAGCCTTCGAGCAATGTCATAAAGTATCAGTCAGTGCTGTGAACATCTAAAGTGACTCGGCAAATGCACCTTTACTATTCATTAGCATTCAATGTGTACGTATGTGGGTATTCCTTCTAGCCGAATGCATTAGAACGTATTAATCAAATCAACTGGCATTAAACAGCTGTGTGCATACATGTAATAGTCAGTTTAAAAGCTTGATAAATATTTCTCTGCGCTCATGTCTAAAGGCATTTCTTTTGAAGTTCATCCTTACAAAAGAAAAAAAAAAAAAAAGAAAAAAAAAAGCTTTGTTTGCGATGACACCACTGTATAAAACGTGGAAAGCCTATTGCGTAGCGTGCACCTCAACATGAAAACAAACTTGATCTGCATTAACATTTGAAACCGAAAAAGAGTTCCCGTATCACAGTCTACAAATTGTGCTCCGACGAAGGAAATTGCACTAAAAGAATAAATCAAACCAAAAAATACGCTGAATTAAGGTTGAAAATTGAACCTTATCAATGTATTATTAAGTTGCGAGATCAAAGAAAGGTACAGCAAAAACTAAATTGGTACTGAGTGCATCATCAAAATCACATTTACTGCTTGAGACCTTGTTTAAAGGACACACAAAAACTCTCACATACACGAAACAGAAAAATGGCCCGAACTTTTTTGAAACCAAACAGTCCTTATCAAATGGAATCAGAGGCATCTCAAATTTTTTAGGGCGAAATCCAGGTCCTTATTTTTTTGTTGAACTTTCTTCCATTTTTTTCTTTACTTGTTACATAAAAAAAAAACCACAAGCTTATACAAGAACAGCAAGATGATGGTTGAAACCAAACACTCTGCAGGTATTTATACCGACCTCATTCTGTAGAAGAGCATAATATCATAGGAAACAGCAATCTGAATATCATTTCTGGTTTTTTATTTTTCAACCAAATTGTATTACAGCCAAGCATGTTATGAATGCACCTGAAAATGTAAGGCAAAAGCGTGTCAGTACCTATTTCAATTCAACAGTTTCTAAGCTCCATTATGTCGACTTCTCCTCCTAATAGCTTGTTTCGGACAGTATTAAAGGGCTCTGTTATGCAAACCCTCATTTACGTCTTTTGGAAGAAGACAAAGGTTTCATTCAATTCCTTCAATTTCATTGCACATTACATAGACATCTGTCAGAACACAGTAATTAAATGACTGTTATATGTTCGATTTTGTTAGTCGTATATTATGCCAATGTCGATGAAATGGCCATGAACCAGGTTACTATCATTTCAGGTGGTGGTTCAGGTCACGAGCCTGGCTATGCCGGTCTTGTCGGTGAGAACTGTCTTGCTGCCAATGTTTGCGGCCATGTTTTTGCCTCACCTTCATCTAGCCAAGTGTTGCACGCTATTGAAAGAGTTCAATCTCCTCATGGTACTCTCGTTATCATCATGAATTACACTGGTGATTGTTTGAATTTCGGTTTGGCTGTTGAGCGTGCCAAGGCACGTGGTATCAAAGTCGATTTGATTGCTGTTGGTGATGATGTAGCCGTAGGCAGATCGAAGGGCGGTAAAGTTGGCCGTCGTGGTATGGCTGCCACTACACTTGCTATAAAGTTGGCTGGTGCCTTGGCTGCAAAAGGGTAAGCAAACTTTCCCGATGTTGAAACAAAAAAAAAAAAAAAAAAAAAAAAAAGAAAAAAAAAAAGGAATTTTCATTAACTCGTATCGCCTTTTTGTATGTATGTGTGTGTGTATGCATATGATAAAAAAGAGCAAAATTGGAACAAGTTCGTGCTATGGCTCAATATGCTATCGATCATTCTGCCACTTTGGGCGTTGCATTCGATCATTGCCACGTTCCTGGTTCCACTTCCTTTGCTCAATTAGGTCCGGATGAGATGGAATTGGGTATGGGTATTCACAACGAAACTGGCTTTTTAAAGACCAACATGATGCCTGCTCACGAGTTGGTTGTGAAGATGATGGATATGCTTGTGGATCAAAAAGATGAGGAACGTGCTTTTATTAAGTTACCCGCTGATAGAAAGACATCTGTCGTTTTACTTGTCAACAATTTGGGCGGTACAGCTATGGTTGAATTGAATTTGGTCGTCAAGGAAGCTGTTGATTACTTGATGAAGATGGAGAATATTTCTGTAGAACGTGTTTATACTGGACCTTTCGTCACCAGTTTAAACATGCCTGGTTTCTCCATTTCTTTATTAACTGTCGATCATGAACAAAAACTTTTGGAACTGTTAGACGAACCAGTTCGTGTAGCTGGTTGGCCCTTGACCGCTGCCCGTGAATTCAATTCTTCTATTCTCGGCGACAACTCAGCTGCTAAGAAATCCCCTGAAATGGTTATTGATGAATCCAAGGGAAAAGGTAAAAAAAAAAACCCAAAAGAATTTCAAGTCAAATAGATGAAGGAGGATGATAGGATCAATACTGGTTGCGTCAACAAGACGAGAGTTCTGAAAAAAAAAAACTTACAAATATGCCATTGCGTTGATGAATAATAATATAGCTGATGCCAAGAATCTCGAAACTGCCATTCGTAGTGCCACTGAGGCTGTCATCGCTGCAGAACCTCGTATCACTGATTACGATACAGTTCTAGGTGATGGTGATTGTGGTCACACCCTCAAAACTGCTGCACTTGGTAAATAGATCACTTTATTGATCCTTCTTTGCTTGCCCGTCTTTTTAACACATTTTATCTATCATTTCTTTGTGTAGCTATTCAAGAAGGGCTGAAAAACTATGATTTGACATCTGCTGCCAAGACCATCTTGGGTATCGCTGATACTATTGAACGTTCTGTTGGTGGCACCTCTTCTGCCATCTACTGCATTTTCTTTAACGCGTTAGCTAGTGGTATCGTTAAGAATACTGGCGATAAGTCTACCGCAAATGCTCATGTTTGGGTGGCTGCTGCTCGTCACGCCTTGGCTACTTTAATGACTTACACGAAGGCTCGTATAGGCGACCGTACTTTGATGGATACATTGTGTCCTTTCATCGATACCTTAAATAATGACGCCAGTAATTTGAAGGAAGCTGTCAAGGCTGCTCGTGATGGCGCTCAAAGTACATGCAATTTAACTGCCAAATTGGGTCGTTCATCCTATCTCTCTAACAAAGAAGTCATGGAGTCAGGTATTCCTGATGCTGGTGCTTATGGTTTGGCTGAAATCTTGACTGGTTTGGCCAACGCTCTCAATAAGAATTAAATGTCTGCATCCTATTTTCCAATCTTTTTCATTCATTATCGTATTTCATATCCCTTTCTATTCACATATACTACTCCTTTTTGGCTCGCATATTGTATCATAACTCTCCAATTTCTGCATTTTTAGCATATAGCATATTCGTTACCTCGAGCATTCCATTATGGTTAATAAATCCACAAAAGGTGCTGTACCTTAAAGTTTGTTAATATATTTATCCTGCCAATCTCCGCCTTTTGGACGAGGCGACATAATTCGAAAAACGGGAATACTTACTTAAAAAAGACAAGGGATGCAGAACCGTTATACACGTCAAAAAAGAAATCCAAATCTACAAGTTTTCTCTTTTCTTCTTCTTTGCTCCTATTATTGCACTCACTGCACTAACACAAGAATTTAGCTAATCGAAAATATACGAAAAATGACACGAGAAATTCATGCCACTGCTTCTAAAGGTTTCCACCTTCAAGCAGCAAACTACGGTTAGAATTATTTCTGTTTCCAAACTTTAATGGGAATAATTTAATGATTTGTATAGTCAACCTTCACTTTTTTTTTTCTGTTGAGCAGCTCAGACACGCCCTACTTATCCGAAAGAAGTCGTTGAAAGAATCAAAACTTTGATTCCTAATTATCAACGGAGCAACATTATTGATCTAGCCGCCGGCACTGGCATTATGACTAGCATCTTATACAATGCGGGCTTTTCTGGAATCAAAGCTGTCGAGCCTGTTGAGGGTATGCGCAGTAAATTAAACGAGCTATTGCCTCAGGTACCTTGCTTGGATGGCACTTCTTGGAAAATGCCCTTTGAGGATGCTTCACAGGATGCTATTATTGTCGCTCAAGCTTTCCATTGGTTCGACGACATACAATCTTTGAGAGAATTTCATCGTGTTTTGAAACCTAATGGTATTGTTATCCTGACATGGAACATGGAAAGTCAAGAGAGGGGTGAATGGGTAGCCAACATCAGAAGGTAAGTTAATTGTGGTTATCCAACGACAACAAGAGATAGAGAAAGAAGTTAACTCATGGAACGTTAAACCATGCCAAAAAAAAAAGCCTATATGAAGTCTACGATGCTGCCGCACCTCAATTTCGTAAAATGTACTGGCGTAAAGTATTTGAGACTGAAGAAGCCAAAGCTCTATTTAAGCTTCCCTACACAGAAGAGATGTACAGGAACGATTTTGAGGTTCCTAAAGAGAACATATGGAAGAGAGTGCTGACTAAAAGCTACATCTCTAGTCTTGATAAAGCTGAACAAAAAAAATTAAAGGTCAAGATCGAAGAGGCTATCAAAGATGTGCCTGTAGATAATCAAAATAGAGTCTTTTATCCTCATGAGACATATTTCGTTTACTTTCGCAAAAATGAATGAGAATTGATATAAAAAAGACTTTCGTACATAAAAGATATAAACTAAAATAAAGAAAAACTGCATCGGAAAAAACGTGTATTTACAAGGAAAGAAAAAGATACAATCCACTGAAGAATGCCATCAAAAAACATTACTGCCACCACATCATCAACATGGATGAGGGCCTTCCATAGTCGTCAACACAAAGACTGTTAAATTTCTAACTTTACAATTGTTGAGGGGCCCCAAGTATTGTGCCTGGACCTGCAGCAGCAGCAGCTAAAACTTCATCAGGAGGTATACAGGCGGTGATAACTCTTTGTCTGCCTGGATCCGGAAGTGCAACATCTAAAGTTGAGAAAACACACACAAGTTAGTGCTGCCGTTAAATATCAGATAATTGTACTGACTCTTCACTAACCCTTCATGTCTTCCTCGTATTCTATAATGCCTTTTGCTGCCAATAATTTCTTTTGCTAATGGAACAATTTAGCTGATCAGTAATTCGTGCCCAAAATTGGAACTTTTGCAAGATTCGTCAAATAAAGCAAGATACTATACATTCTTGAGTGCCTTTTCTAACTGTTTCTGCTTCTTTTTTGTAACAACTCTTTTTGTAGTAACAGCAGGCACTACTTTGGTTGCTCTTTTGCTATTATGCTTAGCTACCCTTTTTGCGTTGTATTTTGAGGGTCCTCTGACTGTAGGATTGAAAAAGAAAATAGTTGTCAGTTTACTATAAGAGTAAAAACACTATATAATCACAAAGATCTATACTTTACTCTTATTCATGTTACTGATGCCTCCCATTTTGAGTTGTTTTTAATTTTAATGCTACTCGCTGGTGAGAAATAGTCTAAAAAATATCCCATTCTATGATTTTTGTCAAAATTCGAGCGGCTTAGCAAAAATCGGTAGAAGTGAACTGAAGTCACCCCGTAAAGGCCGATCTGATTTATGCGAGGTTTGCTTGTGGTAAAATCTATTGCATTTTTTGTTTACCACCGCTTTGTGCAAAACACGTATCATTGCGAACTCTGAGAACGCTAATTTAATCAATAGTGAAATATGCACGCTCAGAAAACGTGTATTCTGAAGTCATATTTAATTTAACTGAAAGCGAAACAACTATTGTTATACTTGATTGAGCGTTTCCAGCAAAACGCATACTTATTACGCATATTGTAAGCAATTACATAGTTGGAGATCATAAGCCAACAAAATATGACGCGAGATTTTCAATAATACACAAGAGTATGAACTCCCTTTGAGCTTATAACTTCAATACATAGCGTTTTTAAAATTATTCTGAACTATATATGGTATAGCTGCCGTGAGCACAATCGCTTACTGATAGTTTATCTTTTCGATGACCTTGCAGCTGGAAATTTCGATACTGTAATGTGATGAGAAATGGAAGTTTCTATGCGCTGACTATATCTTAACTGGAAAGGCTGTCAGGGTTCCGGTCTGGAAATCGAGCTTCAATTCAATTACACTAGGTTATAATTGAAAACTCTTCAAAAGAAGACGAATACTTTTCAGTAGTATTCTCTAGGATTGCTATAAGTATGTGCTAGCAGACAGCGTCATTGGTAATATGACCTAATTCGTTGTGTTGTTATGGCGGGTTTTAAAGCAAAACGAAGTGGTGGCCATACATAAGGAATTTATTGCAACATAGATTCGTCAGAGACATTACTGCAATTTTTGCATGATTCTTTTGCTTGAATCCTCTCATTTTGGCTCAACTATTAGATTGAATTGCACTTTCTTACTTAGGGCAGAGCTCAAACCAACTCGAAATAATGTTTCTCTTATCATTTTTCTGTCAAATGAATGACAGGATAGCTTTTTATATTCGGTTTTATGCATCTATTGCTTTAGCTATTACGACCATATAGATGTTCACCTTAGTGTAAATTGAATATACCAAAGAATCAAATGCTAGAAGAATAAAATGCAAAATGCACGTTTAAAGACAAGGACGAAAGAGAACTTGACGAGCTTGCAGGACAAATTAAACAATTCATGCGCATAATTTCATACTGTCAAACAAAGAACAGTTTGTAAGAATGAAACGACTCGTTAAATCTCATAATTAGAATAATTGTGTATAGATGATATTCCAGCAGTACAAAAGGTTGCAATGAAGTTACTAAATGAACGAAGCTATCTTAGTCCCATTCGAGACAACGTCAAACAAACAAAAAAAAAAAAAAAAAAAAAAAAAAAAATCTAAGAAAACGGTTTTTTTTTGTTTTTGAGGTCATACTTGGCTTTTTTTTTTTCTTTTTCCTTTATATTTTAATTGCAATTAGTTTTAATTACTTATTAGAAAGTATTACAAACAATGCCAAACTCTCATAAATATGAACAAGTAAAGCCTACTTGGTTTTTTAAAAGCTGCCATACTATTGAAACTGAACTAACTGAGTCTGTCTAACCATATAATTAGATTCCTTTAGATAATCAAGCCGATGATCACTACTCCAGTAATTACATTTCTCAACCATCAGCACCATCAGCAACGACAGACAATAATCATAGACAGCAACAGCATAATATCATCGATAGTCAAAGAGCGAGCCTAGAGGATGCTTTTGGTCCGAACAACGACGAGGAAGAGTATGACGAAATCGAACATCTTGAATCAGCTGAGCGACAACACTTATTACCTCCTTCGCCCACATCGATCAGCAATAACATTTACGAAGACTCAAATACAACTCCTAGTCATTTGCCTTCTACGGGAAATAATAATTCACGAATAGGCATTCAACAACAATCAACTGATGGTGTGTTTTCAAACATATCAGCCAAACCTGATTTAGACTCAAAAGTAGAAGATGAAGTGCCACCGGTAAGTTATTGCTCAGATCTGTTGCTATAGAAAGTAGTTATTATGAACATATAACAAACCAATTCGTTCGTTATTTGAATAGACATATGAAGAAGCTGCGGCAGACGCTACACCGCCTTATTGGCAAACAACAGTTATTGCACCTGCCGGAGTAGGAGACTTTGTTTTAGTGGGAGGACTGCCAGTAGGAAGTGTATTGAGCTTCATTTGGAATTTAGCAGTATCTGCTAGTTTTCAAATGGTAGGATTTATGTTGACTTATTTATTACATACAACTCATGCCGCAAAAGAGGGAGCAAAAGCAGGTTTGGGCATTTCACTGGTTCAATATGGATTCTATGTACGTAGTAGAGGCAGCTTGGAAGAAAACTTTGATTATGGTAGCGGAAATAACGACAGCGGTAGTATGCACAATGACGATAACAATGACGCTGCTACTCAGGCTGATTTGGTTGCTTATATAATGATGTTCCTCGGTTGGTTTATCATACTTCGAGCTGTGTCTGACTATACGAAAGCACGTAAAATGGAGCAGATTATCAATTCTGAGCCAACAACCGTATCACCTGAAAACATGGTTTAATTGCCATGCTAAACTGAAGTATGCCCATCTTCCCACAGCTCAATTCGAATTGTAACATAGACCACCTCCCACCTATTTTGTTTTTCTTTTCACAAAACCGACACTGCTCTGTCATGCATCCAATCAAGAATACCCTTTTTTTTTACTGTTTACTTTGTACCAATAACTCCATTCTACTATTACATTGCACACAATTTTCTTTTGATTTTCTTTTTGAAAGAATAAATAGATTTTAATCACCTTTCTTTTTTTAAGAGAAAAGATATATACTGTATATATATATATGTATATATATATATGTTTGGTTGCTGAGTGTTATGATGGGATATATGTGTAGACTGACAAATAATCAGATAAATAAAGCTTAAATTTAAAAGTAGCTTGTACAAAGAGTTGTTGCTAGTTGGAAAATATACGGGCAAAAAGAGTGTGTGTTGCATTAAGAAATGATTACTTTCGTACATTGTTTTGGGCTTCCTTTTCGAGATTCTCTTTAAAAGCCTTGATAAATTCAGAGCCGGTTTTGGTTCCTGATTACAACGTGAGATCTCGATTAGCGAACTACGCACAACCTACAGCTTGTTTAACTCATTTTTACCTTTATTTGTAATAGTAGAGACATGCTGATGTGTCTTAGCGGCCATGCGATTGAATAATGGGCTTGCTAGAAGACGTTCTGTAATGAAGGTGGACATCCAGTAGTTGACAAGCTTTTGGAACATATTGAAATTATTGTAAGAGAACCTTCAGAGGAGAGGGAGGCTTGAGGGAGGAAGGAATTGTGCAGGGCCTCTCACCTTCATCTTATTTTATGTTTGCCCTATTTGGCCATGTTTGGAGTCACGATTCAAATCCAGATAACCAATAAATGGTTTGCAGCCTTTCTACACGTTTCTCCACACTTTTCAATTTTTCTACTTCCCACATCCGACCGTAATCCAGTCCATAAAAAAACTCAAATTAAGTGAAGATCGGAAGGAGACTGTTTACAGTTTTTTAAACTGCGAGTTTAGACGAAGCTAAAAAATAACTGGACGGAATGACCAAAATTTTGAGACGATTGAGTTAGAGTTTGAAGATCGAACTACACTAAAATGGAAGACGTTTACCTGTAAATATCAAGCCAGTTTCGTTCTGGCGTTAATAAATATCAAAAGACTAAGAAGTTGTCTTCCGGCTGAACTCCGTAGGACGTTTCTTGTCTTTCCATACCGAAATGCTGATGGCCATCATGTTTTTTGCTGCATTGACATCCCGGTTCCATAGTATCTTATAGGTTTTGCAAACAAGGATACTACAGCCACGCACGGTGTCTAATTTCCTTCTTTTTTTCCGTAATTTTTTGTCGTCTTTGACACCTCCATCAACAAGCATGTTCACCATCGTATCTGCCGCACGCTTGCTGCCCTTGATACAGACGGAATCTAGTTTCACCCATACCAGGCCCATAGAATGAGAACAGGATCTCTAAATGTTGTAGTATGTAAATAGTATATCTCTTATACTGTTCAGGCAAGCCTGTTTTACTACTCGATATATTGCTTTCTATCGCTTTTATCGTACAATCGGCCTTTTTCCTTTCTAATTCTGCATTTGACACGAGTACTACCCGTCATGTGCTAATATCCTTTTGTCGAGCAGCGCCGTATCTCATGTCTGTTTGTTTCTAACCCGATTGCTGCTGTAAATACTGTCTTTCGGCCAGGATCAACAAATGTGGGTCTGTAGTTTGCCGTGATCTCTTCATAGGAGAAGTCTTCCAACGTCAAGTTATGATGATCAATGATGGCGTCTTCTTTTGGTTTCTTCTTACGACTAAATAGGAAGTCTACAGTGAAGCCATCAGATCGAATGAGATTTCTGAAAAGCATACTTGTGTTTATCTTTAGCTCAGCAATGCTATGATATAAGTGAAAGAATAATCTTGAGAACAGAGTCTTTAGCTGGAAGGGATCTTATTCTCGTTTTAAAAGAACCTCTTCATTATAATTTAACTTTGACAACAAAAACGCGAGAAAAGAAAGGCACGTCTTTATCATTGGGCAAAGTTCCAAAAAAAGGCATTGACGAACATCTGGTTGGTCTTATAACACATCGTCATTTGACGAAAAAGTTGTCAAGCTTTTTGTAGCTCATTCTATTGCAAAGTGACGCCAAACAGAGCTTTCTTAGTGACTTCCTTACTAATGAAGACTCATTTTTAGGGCTAGCTTGTACGCCATCCTTAATGCTGCTTGGATGTTACTGAATAATTGATGATCAACGAAATCGTCCAAGAATAATATACGGCTTCATCGTAAGATAATGGAAAGTTGTCTAAATTAAGATTTAATAGTGTCCAATAAAATTTGTGAAAAGTCTAAAATAGCAGTTAAACACTGTTTATTTCGAATTTCTTTACAAGAGTTTGCGCAATCATCTTTAAGAAAAAGGTACAGGGAATGAAGTGTTCAAAAACATATTTACAAGTGTGACAAAATAGGAAGAGAATGTTGTGAAAAGATGACGCGTATTTCTGTAGCAATAAAAACAATACTAATATTGTGGTACGTATACAGTAAAAATACAAAATAAAGAATATAAAGCTACTCTCGTCTTCTGGCAATGTACATTTCTTTTTACGGTCTAGAAGAAAGTTGTTGATTTTGTTGGTTTTGTTGCGAGTTATTATTATAATTATTATTATTACGACGTCTGTATTGATTGTTGTTGTTGTTATTGTTGAATCTTTGTCCACCGTTATTGTTGTAGTTGTTATTTCTTCGGTATTGCTGATGTTGACGGTACTGCTGTTGTTGTGGCTGTGCCATCATCGAAACGTTATTATTACTGTTCATCACAACACCCTCTTCGCCTTGTTGCTGTTCTTCTTGTTGTTGTTGCTGACGTGTAGCCATAGCCTCTTGACGATTAGGCTGTTGGATTTGGGCTTCATCCAAAGCATTGGGCGCTACATACAATGTTTTGTCAATGACAGGAGGAATGGGCTGAATTTCAGTACCCAATTCACGCTCGATTTTGTACAAGTTGAACCGATCTTCATATGTAATCAGATTGATGGCTAAACCTAAATGCCCGAAACGACCAGAACGACCAATACGGTGAAGATAGGTTTCGGCATTCTTAGGGAAATCAAAATTGATAACTACATTGACTGCTTGAATATCAATACCACGTGTGAGTAAGTCGGAACAAACCAAGTTACGGCAAACGCCATTTCTAAAGTCGTGGAAAACACGGTTACGGTGACTCTGTAACATTTTTGCATGCGAATAGAAACAAGAGTAGCCGAGCTCAGTGATCTTTTTGGCTAAGAGTTCAACGCGATTGGTAGAATTACAAAAGATGATAGACTGATTGATTTGAAGCTAGTGTGAGATAACAATTAAATCATTAGTCTGGTGGAGACTTCGGTATTAGCTAACGGTGGCAAAACATGTCAAACCGAATTACCTTTGAGAACAACGTGTTCAAACAATGAACCTTTTGTCTTTCTTCGACATAAGCATAATATTGAGTGACACCACGCAAGGTCAACTCGTCCATTAAGTTGATTTCATAAGGCTTCACTAAGAACTTGTCCTTAAAATTCTTTACAATCATAGGAAAAGTAGCACTGAATAACATGATCTGTCTATCCTTTGGGAAGAAACCGATCAACTGTTCAATAATGGGCGTGAATTCGGGTGACAAGAGTTTGTCAGCTTCATCCATCACAAAAGTCGTTGCTTCACTGAAGTCAGCCACGCGCTTCGAAGCCAAATCTAAAATACGGCCTGGTGTACCCACGACAACATGAACTGTCTCGCCAAGTCGAATAATGTCGTCTCTCAAAGTAGTACCACCAGTTGTAACCATAACTTGAATATTCAAATGTTTGCCCAGAGTCTTACAAACTTGAGCAGTTTGAAGAGCCAATTCACGTGTGGGAACTAACAATAGAGCCTGAATTTTGTTCTTTTTGTTGTTGATCTTTTCTAAGGTGGGAATGATAAAAGCGGCAGTTTTACCAGTACCGTTTTTGGCACGAGCGAGAATGTCCCGGCCGGCTAAAGCAATAGGAATAGCTTCTTCTTGGATAGGGGAAGGACGTTCGAATCCAGCTTCGAAGATGCCCATCAAAAGTTCTCGTTTCAGAAAGTAATCTTCAAATTCATTTCCTTTAGTAGCAGTGACATCCTATAAATTGGATGAAGGAGATTAAACTTGTTAGCCCTAATCGCTACTATAGTTCATAGTAGGTACGAGAACTAATAAAACCTACTTCAGTTTGCGGTCGAGTATCTTTCTTGGGTAAGTTTAAGGACTTTTTCCAACTGTCATTTTCGTGACTGATTAGATTGGAATTAGTTATGGAGTGTCAGGCAGACAAATATGAGGGGTATTTCTTTACCTCAGTTGTTGTTGCTGAGGATCCATTGTTGACTGATTTCTTCAACACACGATACGAAAAAAGGGAAATCTTTGACAAAGGTATTGAAAGCAAGAAAAAGTAAGAAAGAATGGAAAGAATGCGTGATGTATTTTTCCCAATGTCTGTGCAACAACAAGCAACACGCAAAAATCTAAGATCAGAAATTTGGTGCTGACATCATAAAGCCTGATTTAAACACAGTCCCGTTTACTTAATTTGAGCAGAAGCGAGCATTTTTGATCTTTTTAAATGAAAAAATTTGACTCGAAGCAATACACAGTTACTTTTCCTAGCAGTTCAACAATATTGCAAGTAAAGCTTAGTGTAGGCAACAGAGGCCAATCGTAATAACATTTATAAGGGAGCTGGTTGGGCTATTTAAAGCGTCCTTAGCCAGTCGCTATTTTAGCAGGTATTTATAGAGGGAATCGAAGGGCAGCATTTTTATTTTTGTTTTCAGAATATTCCAAAAATTGTACCTTATTGGTCTCATTTTGCCTTTCAATAAATCTTAGTAAGTGTTGCTTTTAAAAAGTAATAGTACTTCTGTTTTGTGCTTAGATCGGATAAATCTTCCGACTTTTATAAAGTAATGCATTACTCAGCAGTCAATGCTCGAACCGCGATTTGCTGTTTCCACCAGCTTAACTATCCCGTTCTTGATTGGCCGTTTTTCTATAGGCAGCTTTATTCTAATCACATATAACTATTATACTCCTTTTCGTATTTTAGTCGTAAGTAATAGGGTATATTGTACTAGTAGAGCAGTTAGGCTAAAGCGATTTCAAGCAAAGGAAGGGAAAAGCAATTCTCCTGGCACATCATTAATTTTTGCTATAATAAAGAGATGGCTACAAAAGAGAGCACGTACGAAGATTCACGTTACAAATATTAATGAAGTTGTTAGCATTGTATGGCACGCGTGTCATCGAGATGTACTGATAACAACGGTAACGCTTCAAATCACAGCCAGTCAGCGAATCATAACAAAGAAGTGACCTACGTGTATTACAGAATGAGCATAGGAACATTTATAAGTGGTACCATTTGTTAAAGATGAACCACAGAATACAAGAATTTCGTGATAAGAGTTTATGAAAAGCAATTTAAGGTTGTCTTAAAGCAATAAGCATTTTATATACCTCAAAATTGACCAGGTGAAGTAACAGTTGTTCTTCAGGTTCTAGCGATCTTTATATAAATCGTTCACTACGTTACAATACAATGTTAACACTATTATCCGTTCTAACTAACATATTACGCTATCCTTCAAAACATTAGGATACATATGCTGGTTTGGCTACTGATGTCAGTTATACTGGAATGGCTTCATCAGCGTATGTGATATGTTTCAGATCAAGAAAAGGAAGATCTTTTAGCTCACTTCGGTTGTATTATGTTGACGTAGCTTTTTCTATGCACGCTAATCCTTTCACTAACCATTTTGGCTTAATTTTCTGGAACTTTAAAACTGACCACCGGACCATGTGGAATTTATAATTTGTAATGCTCGGACACCTAATTGCTGACTAATAGCAAAAGCAAATGGGAGGCATAAACTCAGACAGATTGAAAATAAGCTAGATCTTTTTTCTTTCTAATCCTTTTCAAACCCTCGTTCGATCAACATACTTTCTGATAAGAAGCTTTACTTTTTTCGAATCATAACAGCTATAATATAGTAGTATTCACACCTAATGAGCTCAACAGTATTTACGTTTTTCGGTATGAATGTGGTGAGTGACGCAGCTGCTAAAGAATTTCAACACCAACAAAAAGATCATCCTACCACCTATCAAGAATACATCGATTTTCTAAAAAATCAAGTGCATTCCCCCAGTGCTGTCACCCCTTGCCTTGTCCCAGACAGTGAAATCAAAATTCAATGCCAAGTACGTACGCGTATACCTACTACTCAAGGTGGCGAAATGTACTTGTACCTCTACAAAAATAACCAAGACAACAAAGAACATTTAGCGATTGTATATGGAAATGATATTCGATCCAAATCACTTGATAAGACCTGGGAAAACGAGACGATTATGAATCGTATTGTACGAGGTGCTTATTTTGGACGCTTGCAGGAAATGGTCACAGAGGAAAATAAATCAATGACCTTGACGCAGGATCAAGAGAAGATTTTGGAACAACAACAAGCTGAAGCGAAAAGCCAATGGAAAATGATGTCTGAACCCCCTTTGGTGAGAATTCATTCAGAGTGCTTCACAGGAGAGACAGTACATTCAGCAAGATGCGACTGCGGTGAACAATTAGATAGTGCTATGGCTCAAATGCAGGAAGCCGGAAGAGGCGTGATTGTTTACTTGAGACAGGAGGGTAGAAACATCGGGTTGATGGAGAAATTAAAGTAAGTATCTGATTCATGTGAGAGATGAAGCGCGTGCTTTACCATATTAGGTCCTGACATTTATATAACTAATTATTGACTAGAGCTTACAATTTGCAAGATCTTGGTCATGATACAGTCGCAGCGAATGTTTTACTAAGACACCCAGCTGATGGCAGGACTTATGGTATTGCTAACGCCATTCTCAGCGATCTTCAACTCTCCAAAATTCAGCTCTTGACCAACAATCCTGATAAAATTAAACAATTGGAGTCTTACGGCAACATTAAAGTCGTTAAACGTCAATCTATGATACCGCGTACATGGTCACATCCCGTTTTGAGACATTTCCTAGCTGAGAATGGAATTAATGCTCATAATGACAGCAATACAAATAGTGCGGCTCCTTCGCCTTCTCTGCCCAAGAGAGAAGCCAGCTGCAGTGCAGATTACATAATGGAATCACCCGCGCTGTCTTCCGGTACTTCTACACCCCGAAGTGAATTGGACAAATACTTAACAACAAAAGTGAAAAAGATGGGGCATATTTTGGATTTACCAGAGGATCTAGCGTAGAAAGATTAGTCTTTTGTAATTTTTTTGGATTCGAAGCAGTACACTATTATTGATATACCTGTTGTATGTTGTAACACAAAAAGATTGTAAATAAATTTGTATGATAGTTTAATGGGTGTTGTTATGCCCGAATGTGGTATCATTGTTCCTCCAGGTTGCATTTAAGCCTGTCATTTGTTCCAGTGGCTTTGCCGTGACGATTTTCCTTTTCCCGCATAAACTCCAAACCTCATTGCCCTCCGAAAGTACTCAAAAAAAGTAACTTCTGCTTTTGTTAATTTATAGTATTATCAGTTAAATAATGGTTGCTAAGAGTAAGATCTGATTCAAAGCCTACAGAAACGAAAACAAGATCAAACGTCTTACGTTTTTGCTCATCGTTGCTATATAGAACCCAAGAGTAAACGTGTTCGTCTTCATCGTAAACACAGAATTTTAAAGAAGATCAAAGAAGCTCATCGTAAAGAAAATAGAGACCAAAGAAAAAATCCCGCACAACATAATAAGAGTACGTAAATTATGTGTATCAGTTTAAATGAAAGCTCATATGTGTAGTCGCTAAAGTCGTTATTTACAAATAGAGAGTAACAAAGATCCGGGAATTCCAAATGAATGGCCATTCAAAGAAGAGTTATTGAACGAGATACAGGCACAAAAAATGGCTGTAAGTGTGAAAAATTGAACATATATTTTTGTATTGAGTCAACGATAGACTAATCTAAAGCCGTCTACGGCGAATCAATTTCTAGGCTGAGGAGGAGAAGCAGAAGCAAAGAGAAAGAACACTAGCTGAGAAAGCGAAACAACGAAAAGCAGCAAGGAAAGCAGAAATTGCTGCCAACATCGCTGCTGCTAAAGCAGCAGCAGCAGAAAGAAAGCAAGCCGAACAAGCATTAGCCAACCTTACACCAACATTAGCATTGAATGATAGTAGCAAGGAGGATACAAAAGAGAACTCGAAACAATCAAAAAAAGAGAAAAGGAAGAGCAAGAAGACGGATCAATAGATACTCAGGATCCATTCATTCGTGTAAAAAAAGACCTTCAAAAATACCATTCGCAACGTTTGAAACATTCTTTACAGCGAAAAAGAACAAGAATCTATCTTTATTTTCATTAATCTTTTGTATATTTATATGTTCAGCTTTAAAAAAATAAACAAAACCATTCAAAACATCATGTCATGTTCATGCGAATTGAAAAGAAGCACTGATGAATCATGGATTCTTGCTCCAATCCTCATTCGCAGTTCTAAACGATGTTTGTGTGTCGTGGAATGGATTTGCTAAGGTCCTTGCGACATCATATGCCTGTAAAGGATGACTATCAAATGTTGTTATGAAATGGTCGATACTTTGATCATCATCTTTTGCATCTTGTCTTGTATTAGTAGCATGAAAGTTGCTATGCTTATTGATTGATTGCTGCTGGTTTCCACTAATGTCACCATCCGGTAGAGAAAGGTTATGTTGATCCGTTATGCTGGCATCACTTGTTAAAGTATCATTGTTAGTAGATTTTACAGAACTACTTCTGCTGACGAATATTACTTCACTTAGTGTTGATCGGACAGATACACTTCTATGCAATTGCTTTTTGTTGAATGGTTTGGCGCTAGTAAGCTCCGGTGCTGTGCTTGAAACCATTGTGGTACTAACAACCTGATTAGTTGCAGTAGATCGAACGGAAGCACTTCTATAAAGAAGCAGATTGTTACCACTATTTAATGATTTATCACTTTTGTTTGTTGCCGCTGTTCGAGATGAGGCGCTACGTGTAAGCGAATTGACTATTGGGGGATCATATGGTGTCAAAATCGTTCGAACAGATCCATTGCGGCTTAAACCTCCGCTAGATGTCGAATTGGTAGTGTTGGTACTTCTAACTGAATTCACTCGCATGATCTGTGGTTTGGCTCGAGTTACTACGGCTGCTGCTTGCACTATATTAGTTGTAGAAGCTGTTGTATTCATGTTTGTAGGTTTTTGATATGGTAAGTTGTAAGCGGCGGATCTCCTTTTAGCTATCTGTTGCTGTTGCTCTTCAATATCAGACTCATCGTCTGTCGATATCATCGAGGAACTGACACTATGCCGGTTATCATCGGTTAAAACGACAGGCTGATGGAGGTGATGGTGCTTCCCATTTTGTTGCACTGCTGTTGATACTAATCTTGGATTATCATTCAAGATTTCTGATATTCTTTTGTTTTGTAACGCTACTTTTCTTTGAAGAGTCTCTCCTGCCTTCATTGAGGATTTCCTTCTTATTGCTCCATCTTTTTTTGCTGTTCCATTACTTTTAACATTATTATTATTATCGTCCGTTATGGACTCGACAATTTGCTCTTTCGGGTTGGAAGTTGAATAACTAGAACGATATTGATGAGCTAACGCTGCCAAAACGGTTGGGTGTGGAGTTGTTAGCTGTTGTTGCTCTTTTTGCATCTGCAATTGTTGCTGATTATGATAAGACTTTTCTTTGCTCCCTAGTACATGCGAACCGTTATTGAGAAAAGGTAGCAGCCCTCCTCCGCCAGCACGACCAGTCTTGGTGCCATATCGTCTTTTCTTTTTGTTATGTCGAAAATATAAAAATAGGCAAAATGCTAAGAGTAACCCAAAACTAACTAAACCACCTACAATGCCCCCCACAAGAACTCCTGTATCAGTTGTAGATGTCGATGCTGCTGCTGTTGCTGCTGACGAGCTTTTGTTATTTGAAGTAGTGGGTTTTAATGCTGTAGAAGATACTCGTGTTGTATCTGCTTTAGATGCGGTTGGAATAGGTGGTAGATTGAGAACAGTTCGGCTGACACAAATGGAGTTTGGGCAAACACCACATTCAGACATAGTTCGCAGAACACATGCTTCGTCTGCGTTACAGTTCGGTGTGCAAACAGTCTTGCAATTTGCTGGATTGCAAGAAGATGAATTATCATTTATTGTTCCTATGTCAGATGAGGAATCCAGGTTAATATACAGCCAATAAATCAACATTATCAGAACATGCTGGTCTACCTTCAGAAACAACAATATCAAAATTTGCTAAAGCAATAATGCTGATAGAATATATCGTAAGTTGGCGTCGATCAATTTTAATAGAATCCAATTTTGGCATATTACAAATTAATAAGATGCTCTTTCAAAATATAGTAGGTGTAATGACAAGGACAAAAATGAGGCTCTATATCAAACAGAGAATGTATAACTTACAGGAGGAACAGAAAAGTTTTACAGGAAGGGAAGATGACAATATCAAATGAAATTAGATCATTATTTATTGAAAAGTAACATTAAAAAAAGCACAACTACAAATGTACTAAAAAGTGGGGTTGTGTTCCATGGACTTAACGACGACTGATTTTAATACAAAAAGGGAAGCACCATGTCAATTAAAGCTAGTCGGGACATTAACTTGACGGTAATTTCTTGGACTTCTCAAAATCACACAATCTCTTCGTTCAAAGTCGGACAGTGTCAAAATTGAATGTGGAACAAAGAAAAGATACAGATCAATCACTTGCTCATTGTCCAGATACTGTATTTTTCGCTGCCATTTGGTCGTCGTTCCTGAAAATATTGCAGTTGCTGCGAAATAAATATTTGGTGGAATCTGCATCCAGACTGAGGGATGAAATTTTCCAAGGCGGGCAAGTGTAAATAGTAATGGTCAGAGACATACATCAAGGAAAAGCTTTCCTTTATTTTTCAAATCGTTTGTCATTCACTCGAAAAGTACGATGTTCATTACTTATATCTTGGTTTGAAAACTGCGGTAACTTACCCAATAACAATAATTAAGGGGATCAACTTCTGTAACAGAAGAAAGAGCACTTGGACACTTTTCTTTAGCTGCCTTTGGCTGTTTTTAGCTCTCAAGAAATATACGTTTCCTTTGTTTTCTCTTCTTCATAAGAATTATCCGTATAAAAGAGTATAAACTCGAAGTATCCCTTTCCTTAATAGTTCTGATTAATATGAGGACGTATCACTGTAATGTCAGGGCCACTCACATTGCAGATGAACTTATCATGCCTATGGTTGGGTTCCTTTTTTTAATTGCATCAAATACTCTAAATAAACTCATAAGCAAGACGTGTTTGTGCTGTTGTAACTTTTGGTACATACAGTTCCTACAGAGCAGCATTTCAAATGCGCTTAAAAAACATTTTCAGGTTGAGAGTCATTATTTATTGTGTCGATCGTATTAAAGGGTAAGAGTATCTATCGAGAGTGCATGCAATTAATAGTAAAGGTAAGGCAAGGCTTTTGATTATATATAAGTACAGAAGTTACAAGTAATATTAAAAAGAGATGGACAGCAGTAAATCAGAATTTTGAGATATACCTCAAAACTACCACTTTATGAGTCTCTCACTCTTTCCATTTCGTATGCATCAAATTCATCAGCTGCCGAATCACCTTTTCTTCTACCACAGCAGAAGACGACAAAGGACATAAGAATAGTAGCAATCAACAGCAAAATAAAAGCGACCAAAGAGACCCAAATCGAATTACCAGTGTGAGTGTTCAAGTTGACCAAACTACTCATGGAGGAGGGCAGGAATTTACTTTTGGCTGCTTCAATACCCATCTTAATAGCACCAAAAGCAGCATATTGAACGGCGAAAGTAGCGATAGCAAAAGCCAATGCGACGACAAAGAGAACGAAAATGAATGCGCGATGGCAAGCATTATATTCACGCGTATTCTTACGCGTAGTGCAGCAATGAAGAAGCATGTAGATCAACAAAAACAAACTGAGAATAGCCGATAAGATAAAGACACCACCTTGAACACCCATCAAAGTTTTATGAGCAGAGTCAGGGATTTGGCTTAATAATGTACCCAAGATACCAGGAGCGGCTATTTTCCAGTTCAATAAATAGATACGAATAAGTTTAACAGATCAGAAACCCGCTTCCTTTATTTTAATTCTCATAATTGATGTATAATACTTACTTGATGTAAAGCCAAACGAAGGAGGGGTACAGCTTGTTTGAAAAGTATTGTTTCGTTCACACATAAGGAAAAGAGCTACTGTGATGTATTGAGGTATATTGAGCGCTGATCCTTTGGCTTTATTCCATAAATCACCCAGAATGCTTCCACTATCAGTGGCAGATGAGCTGACGTCGATTTTGGCAATGTATAATGATCGTAGGCCTTTAAAGTTGCCCAACATCACGAGGATTTGAAGGAGGAAACTTGCCAAGATAAGCAAGATGATGATTGTCTGGATAAATCTCGACATTTCTAGCTATGCTACTGCTCTGCAGAAACGATTGAAGAGGAAATGGTTCAGTTGGTCGTTATACAAACTGAACAGAATGTTAGAGAGCAAGAAAGGAAAGAAGGAAAGGTACAGAGTGGAAGATTTTATTTAGGAACGACAACAACCAAAGAGTACTAACTGAAACCTAAAACAAAAAAACAATTTGGCGATCTGTTTTCAAAAGGACAGCTAAGCAAGCCATACTCTGCAGATGAAAATGATTTGCTTCGTTTTATAGCCATACAGCCCTTCGCCTTTTTTTACTTGTCTCTTTTGAAACCTCGCCAATGTTAGGGATTAAAAATATAATACTTTGGGTACTCGCAAACATTCATAGGACAAACAAACAATATATCGTGATACTTTGCCGAATTTGTCATTGAGAAAAATAATAATGTAAATGAAGACGAACAAACATAACGAACTCTTTACATCATTATTTACCGCATCTTGCATCGTTTAATAATCTAATGAATCTGTGTAATACATTTGAGTATATTTGACCCAGCCGGCTTATTTCGTGAATTAGCAGCACAATTCTGCCCAATTGAACCAAATAATGGCAAATGCCTTGTCTATTGAGAAAAAATAACTGAAACCCAAGATTCAGGTTTTCGTTTCTGATCTACCATTGTTGAGCAAACAAAATCAAGGCCCGCATTTTCTGAATTCAACAAACAAACATAGACAGAAAAAGGGTAATCTGTTCAGGTGGTATGTCAGATTGCTCATCTTACATAAGCTTTAGCACTAATCCCTACTCCTTTCTCTCTTTATGTATTCATCTTGCGTTGGATTTCATATTCAAACGCGTGCAATTGAACATATTTCCTTAATCAAACAGAAACATGATTTCTAGCAGTACGCATATCTGAGATCAGAGGTTTATTGTAATGTTTTGCGAAACGTTGTATGTTTCACTCAATTAAACATATTACTATTGAGCCTTAAGTACGATAGCAGTATTCAACATTATTTGCAATGTATTAACTCTCCCATATTGTCCAAAATCAGTAGTGAGATTCTTCCAACTCTCATGTCATGTATAAATATGAAAAACAGGATATTTGATTACGTTGAGCAATCTACTTGTCTGTTTTCAAATCAAGCAAGGTGCCTCGAAATCGTTTTGCACTCATATCGTTCTAGTTTGATATTGACGAAATGTTTTTTGACGTTGTTCTTGTTTGAATACCTATGCTATGTTTCAATTATCAGTATTATTGCTATTCCTGTATAATTAGGTCATTTGTCTAATGCTACCCATGAATCAAAAGGATAGTACATTATCAGTCTTACATTAGAGTTATTATATTCATCGAAGTAAGTTTTTATCAGATAGTTTTCTTGAAGGAAACTCTGATGGGCTCTCTGGAAATTACGAAATAATCCCTGTAAGAGATGAGGTACTTTATCGTGAATGTTGTTCTGTTGAATTTTACTTATTCGGTACATCTTTGTTAATGTATAGTTAAATATATTATTATTTGCTGTAATATTCCTTTAACTATATTTTGCCGTTTTGTCAAGTTTCCCAATGATATGAATTTCAACAATATGAGGTCTTTGTCAACAGGAATTTCATTTATTCTCATTTACTTATTACAACAGTCGAAACATACACTTCTCTTCATATAATACCCTTTTTAATGGAAGATCACCTTTTTTTAAAAACGACTCGATCCATTTGGGGTTGCGTACTGCTTAGTTATCCTTTCAATCATCCACCCATTCATGTGTTCTTCATGTAAAGCAATCTGAGTTATCAACTCTCTCAACAGCAAAACATACCGGGATGATATACCAATACATTTATATGCCGGTATGTCTTAAACAACTACAATGCCTCTAGCATCCAGACAGATTAGACATTATAATGGTAAGAATACGCGAAAATCTTTAAATCCTGGCTTTTCTTTTAAAAAAAAAAGTTATCTCTTTCCAGAGATTAAACATGCCATATCAGAATAAATGTGTTGCTAGTTTACTAGGCCATGAATGGAAAAAGCTTCAATAGAAAACTTCAGAGCAGATGCCTGATAAAACTCACTTGCAATGGCTTTTAGTACGACATGTAGCCCAAACGCAGTCTCATAATGATTGAGGCAGGTATTGTCATAATGGACAGGATGATCCCACCAGTCGAAGCTGCACCTCTTCGATTTTAAAAACAAAAGGGTGAGTTTGGAGTGCGTCCATCCATCTTTTAACAATTTTTCACGTTAATAAGGATGCCATTCTATTTAGAGTTTTAAACATACTTTGAAAACGGGTTACTTTAAGACAAAGCCATGCAGCAATAAGCAGTATACTTTTGGAGAACATCGAGCCAATGCACAATTAGTGGAATGCCTCTTTGCAGTGTTTCTTTCAAAATGACAAAGTGGGCGCTTCAAGATACTAAGAAAACATTGTAATACGATGCTTGATAATAAGAGATCAAGCACATAGCTTATAGAGCCAAACCATTCTCTTCCTTTGTTACTACGGCTGGAGATGACTCTTTATTGTTCTTTTAAAGAAAGGGGACCACGTTGTTCTTCATCGAGAAATACAAGTTTATGATAAATTGTCTCAATAGATGTTTACATACATTATCAATCATTTCTATTGATATGCTGTTGCACTGTATTTGAGCCCTTAACATCTGAGCTCTGACCATAACAAGTTACTGCGTTGCAACAAGCCTTCACGTTAATAAGAATTCCAGCATTCACAGTAGCGATTTGTTCGTATTTGGTACAAAAACGAACCAAATACGAACGGTACGATTATTTAGGTGCAAACACTTTTTGAAACGCGTTTGATACCTTCCTGAGGGATGTCCTGACTCAAATGAACTAAAGCAAACTACAGTTATTCTTACATTTTTCGCGTAATCTTCGACACGAGCAGTTTTTGACACTAAGGGGGGGGGTGCATTATTGTTCATACTTCCATTGACTGTTTCATTGACATTCATTATTTTCCTTTCTGCGAGGCTATGATTGTCAACAGTTCAATTTTCATTGAGGCAAATTTTGTAATTCTTATTTGTTGCGACGAGAATGGATACCTTTTTTGGCGTAAAATTGACATATTTGTTCGATAGCTTCTAAGGTCTTTCTGTAACTGCGTTATTCCAATTTGCAAGCATAATCATTAATTTTCTGCAAACTTTTTTTTTTAATTTATTCTGGCTTTGACGTGTTTGGGTTAAAATAAAGTTCCAGAAATAAAATCGTCTACACTATTGTGTTAGAAGCATTGCTGAAAGCCTTCTTGCTCATTCACCAATTCGTCATTTTTTAAGCCTTTGTTATCTATGTTTCAATGACAAAAGATATGTGTGAAGAGAAAGATTGAAAAAAAAAAATATTCCCTAATTTTTAAAGGCAATCTTTGGCGCCTTTAACTTTTGCCTGAAATTAAAGTCTTACTTCTGCAACACACCTTCCTTTTTCACCCCTTTCCTTTCTTCTGTAACTTTCTCCTCCAAAGATCGAAGTAAGAACTAAAAATGAGAGAAGTCATTTCCCTTCACGTCGGTAAGTAAAGCAACCAATACAGAAAGTTGACATCGTTTGGATGGCATTGGGTTTTAATCCTTCAAGTTAAACAGGTCAGGCTGGTGTACAGATCGGTAACTCTTGTTGGGAATTGGTAAGCTGCAAAAAATGATATACACTTACTGGACCTTCACGTTTTTTTGTTCCTCTTTAACGCTGTGGTTTTCTTTGAACTGTATTGTTATAGTATTGTCATGAACATGGCATTTTGCCCGATGGCCGATTTCCTGAAGGCAGCCATGTCAACGATCATTCGTAAGTCTCTTTCTTGGAAGGGTTGTTCTTCCCGTTTTCGTTGTTATGGTTGCAGCAACCGTAAACATTTAGTGTAAACCACTCTTTTTAACAATGACGGTTTTTTCTTCTAACTGTGTAGTTTCGAAACCTTCTTTTCCGAAACTGAAGGAGGCAAACATGTACCTCGTACTGTTATGGTAGATTTAGAGCCTTCTGTAATTGACGAAACTCGTACTGGTGCCTATAGAGAATTGTTCCATCCTGGTAAGCATAAAGCTGACAACACATGTCCAACTCGTTTCTATACAATTAGATAATGAAGCACTTCTCCTGATGAACTCTTCTCCCCTTATATTTTACCCTTCTCAACCCTAAAATTCTCGTAGAACAATTAATCAGTGGAAAGGAAGATGCAGCCAACAATTATGCTCGTGGCCATTACACTGTGGGTAAAGAAATGGTGGATAATGTTTTGGATCGTGTCCGTAAATTAGCAGACAACTGCTCTGGGCTTCAAGGCTTTTTGGTCTTCCACTCCTTTGGTGGTGGTACTGGTTCTGGTTTCGGTGCCCTTTTGATGGAACGTCTCTCTGTGGATTACGGCAAGAAGTCCAAGCTCGAGTTTTCTGTTTACCCCGCACCTCAGCTCTCTACCTCCGTTGTCGAACCTTACAATTCTATTTTGACCACGCATACCACTTTGGAGCACTCTGATGTGTCCTTCATGGTCGACAATGAAGCCATCTATGATATCTGTCGCCGCAATTTAGATGTTGAGCGCCCCACGTATTCCAATTTGAACCGTCTTATCGCTCAAGTGGTGTCATCCATCACCGCTTCTTTACGTTTTGATGGTTCTCTTAATGTTGATTTGAACGAATTTCAAACCAATCTGGTTCCTTATCCCCGTATTCACTTTCCCCTGGTGACCTATGCACCTATTATTTCTGCAGCAAAGGCTTACCACGAACAAATGTCCGTCCCTGAAATCACTTACTCCTGTTTTGAACCCAACAACCAAATGGTCAAATGCGACCCTCGCAACGGTAAATACATGGCTTGCTGTCTTCTCTATCGTGGTGATGTTGTTCCCAAGGATACCAATGCTGCGATTGCGGCTATCAAGACGAAGCGTACTATTCAATTTGTTGACTGGTGTCCTACCGGTTTCAAAGTGGGTATTAACAATCAACCTCCTACGGTTGTCCCTGGCGGTGATCTGGCCAAGGTTCAGCGTGCTGTTTGTATGTTGTCCAACACAACTGCTATCGCTGAAGCTTGGGCACGCTTGGATCACAAGTTCGATTTGATGTACGCTAAACGTGCTTTCGTTCATTGGTACGTGGGTGAAGGTATGGAAGAAGGCGAATTCTCTGAGGCTCGTGAGGATTTAGCCGCTTTAGAAAAGGACTATGAAGAAGTAGGTGCTGATTCTCTAGGCGACTCTGAAATGGAAGAAAACGATGAATACTAAGACTAGAAAGAGAAAAGCGGGCCACTCCTCATCAGCCGCCCCTTTTACGGCTTCCCTCTTCGAAAATCATACACCTTAATATAACTTTCTAGATTCCTTAATTATTAAACAATATTAAACAAAATAACCACAAAGATCAAGTTAAACAATAAAAAACATCATTGAAAGAATTTATAGAAACAAGTAGTATTTTTATTGTACAAAGGGGGATGACTAAGGAGAAGGGGAGGGGGTATCTAAGACTATTTGTTCAGACCTGTATGAAGACAGAAAAAAAAAAAAAAAATGATTAGCTGCAATGCAGAAAAAAACTTTTTATGAAATGTAAGATGTGCTTCGTAAAAGGCAAATATGAATTTCGCTTTTTGGACATTTCAGTTATTCTTTTATAACATCGTCTCAGCACGAACCATTGTACCCGAATACTCTGATCGGTGTACGATGGTCTAAGACGGCTCTTCCTATTAATTTGATGTATGGTGTTTTCATCACATGCCAAAAAGCCAGCCCATATTTGACAGATACGCGCGCAAACCTTTGATAGAAAAGAATGAAACTTACCGAGATCCGAGCATGCAAAAGGCCCTCTTGGCTAACAGATGTTCGAAGTATGACCATTCATAAAGAAAGAAACCTGTGATAAAAGAAAGTATTTAAAAGACAAATTAGTTTTGGTTCACTGAGTGACACTTTGAAAAGACAATCTTTCACATTTCGGTCAGGAAGTTATACTGGCAAGTATCAGCAGTGCTCAGCGAAGCACTGCGGTTTATTTCACCATGGTCGATAAGATAAGAATGAAGACAATTTATAATATTTTCGTCATTCCGAAATATGAAAGGATGTGCGTCCATTTTACAGATACATACCATAGTCAAAAATCTGTCATAGAGAAGAAAAAGAAAGATGAAAACGTTTTATTTGAACTTTCTTTAAATCTGCAGAAAAAAAAAAGAAAAAAAAATTTATAGCGTGACTCCAATAATGATCGTCCCATTTGACGCGAAGAAAAAACGCCCCTCACCCCCCAGCCCTTTACTTTTTAATACACATGCATCCTAACTTTAGTATTTGCTAGATGAAGTAGGATAGAGACAAAGTACGAGACCATACTGAACATCTCGATACCATCCCCTACATGTTTGTTTAGAATGATTCATCTCAAAACTCTCAGATATCATATGGACCGTTAAAAACAATTTGGGTTATACAATAATGCAATTTTATTCATAAGGTTATCAAAACATAGACTATATAAAGACTTTGCATCCGACTTGGATATACCTAGAATAAGAGAAATAAAGAAAGAATCAGTAAAGGAACTTTTTCTGTTGTGAAAGAAAGCACCCATATAAAAAAAGTAAGATAAATTGTATATCCCGTAACTAAGAAGCACACCGTCAAAAGAAGGGGCGTGCTTCAACTCAATCGAGATGATATCATCCAAGTCGAACTACACCTAAAACAGGTGAGTTCAGTTAAGACGACAGATTTGTTATTCCACGAGTGTAACAGTGAACCATCATAGTAAGAACGAGCATGAAGCTCTGTTGGAACACCTGACATGACTTGTGGGTTTAAATGAAACGATGGTCTCTTTGTCAAAGAAGAAAAGAGCGCATCATTTCGAAAAAAGAAAATGAAAGCAGACAACCAAACACACTTCACCTCCCAAACAACTGTATCAAACGGTTGATAGTTTACCTTATTCTAAAAAGTTTCAATGCCTTGGAGGATAATGGAAATGGAAAGAAGAAAAAATATTTGAGGGCAAAAAAATGTTTTTTTTTTCTTTTAATTTTCTTAGACTCAATCTGATAAGCCACCTTCTTCTTCTTTAAAGGGTTTAATATCCGCCTTTTCTACCAAGTAGCCAGGCTATAAGCCTTTATTCATCATTGCAGGGAAGGCTTGATTAGATGAGATAAAATAATAATACAGTTATACATTGTAAAAACATGAGTTGTATTTTGGATGAACGATGTTATGTCTTTATCAACCAATACACGACCTTCTTCATAATGACGGAAAAGCAATTGTTCTTTTTTCTTCCATAGAACTCAGGTGGAGTGGGGCAGTAGAAATGATAATTCAAATTCAGCCCCCATTGTTCATAAGATAAAGTGTACACTCATCATCACGTAAGCAAAACGCAAAGGTACGCACAAAAATAAAACAAAAAAATGGTGATCTGATATAAACTCGGGTTTAATTAAAAGAAAAATCGCTATGTTGCCACAGCTACTGTATTTCTCGATAGGTGTATTAACATCAACAAGACGCCTCTAACGCGGTATTGAAGGCTCAAAGAAACGATTGACTATTACTATCGGATAAGGGGAAAGTAAATCAGAGTCTTTCCGAAGGAATCATCATAACGAACATCCGCGACTTGATTTACTGATTTGATATCACTTTTTTTTTGATTTCATATTTTTTTTTTTTCTTTTCTTGATTTCGCCTCTCTGATTTCATTGATACAGTAATGAAGAGAATGACTAATTGTTAGGGAAAAAGAAGAGCCGAAATCAAATTGACATGCAACTACAATGTCAAGTATATTTAAGTTCTGTGTAATAAAATGCACGGACACACACACACATCAGGCACCCGTAATGATATCCTATTGTTGCAATAATTTTTTTTTTTTTTTTTTTTTTTTGAAACAAATGGGTCATCCGCCTTCTTCCCTTTTATCCACCAACCCCATTCTCATTGTTTCCCTAATACTATTCAACAATGATCCACGTCAGTTACAAAAATAAAGTTCTATAATACATTTTTAATGGCTCCTTTTCATATGAAAGATAGATGTTTGGGAGGGGAGGGGGGGATATATGTGGATAACTGCCTTATTCAGTCTTCTTGGCGAGTTCAGAAGCAGCCGCCGCCGCCGCCGCCTTACGTTTACCATAGGTTGTGCGAGCGAAATCCACAAATAAATAGGTCAAGGGCAGTAAGTAACCGACATTCACAGCCACAGCGAATTGTTGACCAGGCGTCTTGAGGCAGTTGGGCACAATAACGTAGCTGATAGCTGTCGACATACCGACCAGGAATTGAGAGATTTGTAAAGATGTCAAATAGCGTTTGCCGGGAGGATGGAAACCGACAGAGGTCAAGGCGTAATACATGTACATGATGGAGTGTATGAAAGAATTGAACACAACAAAGATCCAAATAGGTTGTGCTTGATAACGGATGCCGGACCACATAGTAATCATAGCACCTGAATGGTGATAAGTTTGTAAAAGAGAAGAACGACGACCCTTCATGATAATAATCATAGTATCAATCACTTCGTAGAATTTAGAGAGATAAAAGAGGTAGCCCCAGAAACCAAGGGAATCATTCCATAAGAAGCCATCTATATCGCAGTACTATGGTAAGAAATACTGTGAGTAACACGGATCCAAATTCAATCCTTCATCACCAAAAGCACCTCAAAGCTAAGTCTATACTTACAGCATCATGTAATGAGCTTCCTCGATTAAATAGCTTATGCATACTTTTCGCCATACATACAAAAGTGATCCCAGAATAAATAGAGAGGAAGAGATTGTGTAGAAAGACAAAAGCTGTCATGGCTTTGCTTGATTTGGAAGCATTGCTAACACCACGGTTCTTTGCCTCAACTCGAGATAACTTTGCAGCAGCACGAGAAGGGTTGAACAAATAAACACAAATAGTGTACACGGCAGCGATCCCTACAGGTGTTTTCCAATCCATAAAGAACTCATATAACTGAGGAAAAGGGATTCCTGGAATAGGTTTGAGTGCATCCACGTCCAACATTGTTTTTAAAGTGTATATGATGAACAGAAAGAAGAATAAAAGAAGAGAAGAACTATGAAATGCTTTTACTTGGTTGGTATTTATATTATATTGCTGTTCTACCCAGTAAGAGGCTGCCAATTGAGCGGAACCAAAACGCTAAGCTTAGGTAATAACAGAGAAAGGTAAAAGATTGAATAAAACGAAAAGCGGAAGAGAAGGATCCCTGGTGCTGTTGTTTTATATATATATGCCCAAAGAAAAAAAGATAAAAAAAATTAGCGAGGAAAATAGACCCGGATAAGCCTGCCGCTTCTGATAAGATATGTAAGAAAAAAAAAAAAAAAAAAAAAAAAATCCTGGAAATCAAACCGTACATCATTTGTTCATTTTCTCTTTTTTTATTCTGTACACAAACGCCGTTCATGAACCAGTGAACTCAGATTTTATCTCCCCAGGATTTGGGTGATTTATGCCCGATAGTCTAACTGTCAAAAAAAGAAAAAAGATGAGTTAACCAGGCCCTCTTAAGGGTCACTTGTATATTAAATGTGGGGTTGATGTGTGTGTGTGTGTGTGTGTATGTGTGTGTCCTTTATTCTACAATTTCGACTTTTCTATACAACTCAAGTCTGTGGCCTTGGACTGATATACAACGAAGTCGCCTCTGCTAACCGATCTCCGTAGATATTTTCTATCGATGCTTCTGCAAACGCCTTTCTGCCCTCTATTTTGTTCAACTTTCCGCGAAGAATGAGCCATTGATTGGGCTCTACAGGCTCTCGATAATCAATGTTTAAATTTGCTGTAAAGCCTGTATAATTCGGTAAACTAGGTAATGACTATATATAAGAAAGCAATTTGTTAGTTTTACATCGTCTTTGATAGTCTAGCATGTATGATTTCACGTTACCACAAAGGCCAAATGCTCATCTAATAGTGTAGCTAATAAGCCATTATGAATGTATGGACTTCTACTGCTGCACCTATAGGACATGATGCCCGTTTGTTGACAAACAGATTCGGTCAATTTCCTGATCTATGTAGAGTAGTACAAAAGCAGAGTTTTTGCCCCAACATTGAAAGCAGAAACAAGAAAAAAGCACAAAAAATGTTGTAGATCCTGTCACACGAAAGAACGATGACATGCTCTCCCCTCTCGCTCTTTTCCTCTTTTCATTACATATTTACAATTTATCGCCAACATGTATGATCAATATGCACTCGGTCTTGTCTTTGTTGTAGAATTTTAAAGGTCGTCGCAATATTTTGTGTTGTCCTCGCAACGTATTGGCTGTCAAAGAGAAGGCTTTTGTTGAATCTGTCAGATGCCAGTAAGCATCAACTTCTATCCAAACATCATTCGAGGCATTCCGTAATGTCTGCACAAGAAGGATATCATTTTCTTCTTGATGCTTCAGTTCTGCTTCCTCGGGTGAAAGAATGTCATGTTCTTCGATTATCCCGCTGCCTTCATTCATTGTTTTGTCAGCTCTCGTCATTTTGGATAATGCCAGATGATGATTCATACTAGGCGTCACCGCTATCGTGCCTGGCTGCTGTTGTGATGCAGTTGATTCTGGCATTTTTTTAATATTATACTTATAAGGACTTTTTGCAAAATATGCTCTGACGAACGAGTATCAAGCACGTTATGAAAACAGAAAAAGAATAAAAATACAAAAATAAAAAAGTCAAAAACCAGGTGGGATTATCCTTATCAAAACTTGTATTTTTTTTTTTTTTTTATCTTTATTTTTCTTTATGCTGATTTTATCACTTCACTAATGAGTTCCACTCTACAAAAACCAGAAGCTCCACCAGAAGCAATCCAGCCTGATGCATGCTTGTTAGGATTCCAAGTAATCTTTTTTTAGAACAAAAAATAATATTTAAGAAATAATCGAACGATTTTTAGTATGTCAACGGATGTGTCAAGTAAATTACCTTCTGAAGCGCAATAAGTGGGTCAAAAAACACGTCGTGCGAGTTGCGTACAGGAGTATTATTCTATCATAAATACGAAACAAGATTTAATATGGATATTTACAAGCGAGTACTAATCAAATTTACCATGGGTTCATCGCTATCAAGGTAAATATATGTGTTGCTTTCCGGAACAGATGTGAGATGGTATATGGTGCACTGCGGTATATACTAGGAACAAAGTACAAAGATAAAAGTCAGAGTTAGGCAGGGCAACGAGACGATGAAAAGATTTTCATTGCTGAAATTGTCTTGTTGCTATCTATTGGTGTCTTACCCTATGATTGCCATTTGAATACTCATCGTTGCCTTTTTTGAAGGCCTTGGCCAGAGCCAGCCCGTTTGCACTAACGGTAAGTGCAACGTCATTGTGAGGACTTACAGCAATGTCCCATATCTGCCCATGATTTACAGTGACAGCTGCTCCCTTCTTCGTGTTGAAGTATACATTTTTTCTAACTACTTGATCACTATCTGCATACAAAAACCCTGTTCCATGGCCCGGACCCGTAATGCGAGCAAATGGTTCTGTTGTTATAAAAAAGAATAGGTATTATTTCCTACAAATCAGATCATTTTTGCCCACATAATAAACAGATCATTTGTCTTTGGTGACTTACGCCGCGTTCTGAAAATTCGAAAAGGAACGTATGGATCTCTCAAGTCATGCACTATAAAGTTTCCATCCAAATCTGACCAAAACAAAATGAAGGGATCAAAATGAGATCTCCAACTAATACATCGGACAGGTAAATGGAAAGAGCTGGGTATCATGATGTGTAAACTGGGTATATTTTGCTGTAGAGATTTAACCATGTTCCAAACCACTATGTCGCCTCGCATGGTGCCATACGCAAGCTTATTGCCTCCCCAGGAAAAACAGGTGTATTTATTGATTTTCTGCACTGTTACAGAGCCACTTAGACTGTTGTCCATGGTCAGTGTAAGCCTAGGTTTTTTTACTCTGACTTTTGGGATCAACATAAGGGTTAGTTTCCTCGATGTAGCGTCTCAAAAAAGCCATCAGGAGAACACTTACTGTGCACAACCTTGTCTGTCACTTTTTTTGATAATGCCAATTTTTTTCGAACATATTCCGGGCACGGTACCACTAATACTATGGATGAACCATCATTCAATAATATGACTAAAATGCCCAGTTTTCTCTACAACAACAACACATATAAGTCATCGTCAGGGGCTGGTCTTTAAATACTTTTAAGAGAGACGTATTACATTTTCATTGAAAATACTAAACGGGCACCATTTCAAATCTACAACCACACCATAATCATGCAAAATACACATGCAGAGGCGGATCTTTGATTTAGCTTTAGCTGTTTCAGTAAAAGAGCTCAGTTCGTATATTTGAATGGCGTTATATTGATCTTCTGCAGAGCGCTCCTCATCTAAAGAATGATGCTCTTCAGTTGAATTGTACCCTCCTACTGCCAAATATTCTGTCGTTATGTCCGCCTCAATTTTTGCTCTTTTATTTCTACTTTGCCTCGCATTATCGTTCGCTGGCGTTGGCTGAGGGACAAAATCTAGCCCCCATATAGACTGTCCTGTATTGATAATGTGTCCTCTTCTATTATTTCCTATCGACTCACTGATATCCAAACTCTCAAAGTTATCCAACACGACCGTCCTTTGTTTCTCGATGCCTGTAGTCACTGTTACTTTATTAGTTTTGCGAAAGTATTGAAGTATAGTTTCTGCGCTAAAAATGTGCGTATTTATTTCCTTGAGTTACATGACACAATATAAACTTGAACGTTTTGTATATCGTCTGAAAATGTACCTATTGTCATTGTCACTCAGATACTCCCATTCGTCATCTGCAATGTCAACTGTTTGGTAGTCGTTGTTGTTGGAGGTTTGAACGAATAAATCGGAATATTCTTTGATTGTATGACATGTCTGCATTTCTTCATCTGCTTTTTTTTTATGACGATCAAGACTTTTAAGAGAAATGTTTTAACGAGCGCCCTGAGCTAACAAAACAAAAAAAAAAAAAAAGTAGAAAAAAAAAAAACTGCTTGAATCGCGTTTTTAATTTTCTGCATGATTGATCGACAATGATAGACAGGTAGACTGTTCTTTTACATGAATTATAGTAATAATGACTAGTTGTTACTGATTATATAGCTCATTTCAGAAAAGAACTGATGTGTGTTCAGTTGGGTACTATGAAAACCTGAAAGCTTTCTTCTATTGATAACTTTGTATGTCAAGCATTCGTTCAAGATGCTCTCAATTATATATATATGTATATGTGAAGAAGGGTGTAAATGAATACCTCAACTAACCGATCTGAGTTTAGCACATATCAGCGACTCACTGTTTGCTCTGGTAACAAGTTGTTCTTCAAGATAATATAGATATCTGTGATGTAGCAATCTGCAGATGTAGAAAGGGTGTGTTTGCTCAAAAGTAAAAGTCATTCAGACAATAAAGATGACGTGGTACGCATCGTTAAGAACACGCAATAAAGCAGAATCAGTAGTAAAATGGATCACCATCAGTATACCTTATATTTGCTGTTGGAGAGACCAGATTGAGAAAAGAGAAAGGAACCTACCCTAATTGGATAGCATTTTTATTATATTGAATCGGGGGAGAATTGCAACCAGGAAGCCTATAAATAAAATCTAGAAAACATAACTCTCTAAAAAAGCTAATCTGCAATAAAATTCTCCATGAATTTTACACTTCTCTTTATGATTTTTACTGAACAAATAAACTCTTTTCATTTACTTGAGGACGCGTCTGTGCATTATCGCAATACCAATATAATGAATTTTGGTGCCGGGGGTTACGTGATCAAAACTGTATTCCGTCCAATTATTGCATTTAAAACATGTACAAGTAGCAAAGCCGTTTGTGCCTTACGTATCACACTCATTTTTCTGTCATTGATACTAATGAAATAGTTATCTTACAAATCATAAGAAAGTTACACTTTTCCCTTGCTAAAAAAGGGGTTTTTTCGGATTCAAGCACTTTCGCGTTCCCACCAACAATGGCGTATAAACACTGTATCATGAGTTCGCATGACGTCCCATCACAGTCTCGACTCAGCGACGGTTGTAGTTGGATTGATAACCAACAAGAACTACGTTGATATCCAGCAAAACCATATGAAGCGCATAACCGTTGAGGTAGAAAGTGGCCATAAATGCTGTTGCATCAATGGTTTATTACTGCTGTTCTATGTTTTTCTCGAACTTCAAACTGTACACTTGCAAATTGCATAGATTAAAGGTTATTAATTTGCAGACATGGTTTGAGCAGAAAAAATAGGAATAAAACTGCGCTGATAATGCTTGCTAAATACCAAAGAAGGCTGACTTAGTATCTCATATCGCATTACAGAGGTAGAACGGTTCTGGCACTCTACTTGGCACTTGCTACTTTAAAAGAAAGCGAATAACTGGCCTTGTCGGAAGGGACCGAGATATCTTTAAAACCATCAACGGTCAATGCTAAGTTATGTGGACATGGATGCAGGGGAGATATAAACCTTGCTTTTGACGTATTGCTATAAGTTAAAAAATCTGATACATTAACATATGCTTCCCGTAAGTACTGATTTGCCATCTAGGTAACATTTACTGCTTTATATCAAAATTGTACCTAAACGTTGTATCCTTACTAAGATTTCAATACTCAACCATCTTTTGAGCTACATTGACCATGCATCAACTTAAATGAGCATACAAAGGTGGTAGCAATGGACGTCAAGATTGTAGTGGCTGATACATCTATCTCGGCTTTACAAAGACATCATTAACAGCCGTTTATGGGCGTCCATAGAAAAGGTTTATCCCTTTTCCTCCGGCCCATTTGTCTTGCTTTTCTTTTGTGTACCCAATGATCATTTTCCGTTTTAAAATTGACGTAATGTACTCAGCATATACCTAAAAGACACGACAGAACGCTTAATTACTAACGGATGAGAACAAAGAAGGAGGAAAATGGTTAATTTTTGTTGTGGAAGCGATTGTACAGCTTTCAATGTTAATTTTCCGGGAACAATATAAGTGTTTAAAAGCGATCCAGCGCACACACGGAAATGCGTTTCCCGAACTCCCTATGTTCATTTGTCGTCTGCGGCATTTTAAATCGATTCCTGCTTCAGGCTTTTTTCTTTTCCTTTTTTGAAGGATTATATTTTTTTTTCTTTCCCTCTTCTTTTGTTATTAACTATCTCCTTTAACCTCAACGCCGTCTTTATTATAACAGAGAGAACATAAACAGATTACTTTATGAGTTCAAGTCCTTCCAAACCGTCATTATCCAGCGAAAGACGACCGTCTGCAGCAAGCTCAGATGATGAGCCTATGCCAACGGAACCATATCATGATGATGAACATCAAGAAGACGAACCCAATAATTCAGACAACGAGGGTTCGGAGGATCAACAGCAAGAACCAAGTGCGCATCGACCAACAGTAGTGAATCAAACAGAAGCTACTTATAATATAAATAATCCTACAGCAGAATCACCTTTAGACCATGGTGATGATGAAGGAATAGACCAAGTTATTACTAGCGGGACTAGTAGCAATGACCCACAACAAACAAATTCAGTAGATCATTCATATGAACCGAGTGTCGTCAGTATACAATCAAATCCTCCGCCATACGAACTCTATCCGCCTGCTAAAACCATATTTGGAAGAGCTTACAATTGGCTAAGGCAAATCCCACAATGGAATACGCACCAACCCATTTATTTACCAACCATTCATAGAAGTATGAGTCATGGAAATGAAAATCGTAGCAGTAGTAGATTATCCATACGATCACTTTTCAGCAGTATAAGCAGACGTCCAAACCCTTATGCCTCACATCACTTAAGCCGAACGAGTACAGCAGCTACATCCTCAGCATCCATGACATCTACATCCTCGAGTGATTCGATCACTTGCTGGAACTTTTATTACTACTATATAAGAGACTGTTTCAGCGAACGGCCTCGTATCATTTTACCAACACCCATTGCTAGGCATCGAATGGCACTCATTCTTCTGTCAGCTTCAGCTATGCTCACTTTCAGTTTCTTATTATTTTGCTCTGTCTTCTTTTCACCGCTTACTTCTTATCCAGACCCTGTCTACCCTGACAAAGTCACCAACTCGACCGCTCGCTTCCTTACACTGAATATATTTATGCGACCTCCTCTCATTAAAAACAATTGGTCTGATTATAAAGACGATCGTCTCGCCTACATTGAAAAGTACGTACTACCCAACTACGACATAATATGTTTCCAAGAAGCATTCGCCTTTGCTTCACGAAGGAAAGACCATCTCATTTCCACTGCTCGCAAACTAGGCTACAATTATCATATAGAATCACCTCGTAAATATCCTTGGGACATAGGTGTTGACGGAGGCCTGTTGATCATTTCAAAGTTTCCTATCCGCCAATCGAACGTGATCGAATATCCACGAGGACAACACAGCGATTGGATATCCATCAAGGGTGCACTTCATGCGTTGATCGAACTTAATCCATCGAAGCATGTTCATTTGTACACAACGCATACGCAAGCATCCTATGATCTAAATAATGTCATCAATCAGGATGATACAGCCATACGGCTTTCCCAATTTGCCCTTTTGCACAATTTCATTTACGAAACTGCCCACCAAAATAAACAGCTATTGCCAAGCAATCAACAAGCACCATTATTAACCATGTCTTCTCCTACCACAGTAAAAGAAGAAGCCAATAGTGAAATGGATAATATTCCTATTATGGTCGTAGGTGATTTGAACGTAGATGCTGCCACGCATCCGAAGGAACGACCCATTACGGAGCCTTCAAGAGATAGTTCACCTGAATACTTGAAAATGGTGGATGTTATCAAAGGTGTAGGTGCACTGAAGGATAACAGCTCTGATGATGGCCGTTTGTTTACTCATCCTTGGAAGATGAACGATTTGACAGATGTCGTCTATCAGAAATTTGGATATCATCCTGTTACCTTTGGAGATTATACTTTGGACCTACAAGGACATATCATGCCAGCAGAAACAGTATTGACGAATTGGGATCAATTATTAACTGTACAAAGTATTGATCGAATGTTTTGGTCGGATCAGAATACCCATTCGATGAAACTGGATCAGCCTCAAGTAGAAAAGTTTTGGGTGAAAGAGAATTCGCTCATGACAGATGAGGAAAAGGAACAGACTGGATTTACTCAAATATCAGGTAGGTCTTACACAAGTTGGTTTCCTTAGACAATCCGCCTCCACTTTTACTGACTTTTTCTTCTTTAATAGATCACTATGGTCTAAGTTGTACCATACAATTACTGTAGATGTAAAGCCTATCATTATTCCCCTGCCGTTTGTAGAATGATCCTTGGTAGAGCATTTAGATTTGCTCATCTAATTGGAACCTTTATTTACTCATTTTTATTGACAGTTTCCATATGTCCCAATAAAAATTCTTTTTTCGCCTCATCCTATCGAATTTGAGTCTACATATACATTATATTTTTATGCACGATTTCGTTTACTTGACTATTTCAAAAGTAGAAAAACGCTATTGCTCATGGCGCGCTGGGACAATTATACTGACGCTCCCGGTATATTTTTGTATTTGTCAATTAAGCTTTCATCTTTAAAACGCCATAACCACACTTTCTTTGCTGATGCACCTGATGACGCTGCACTTGTTGGTGCTTTTTCTGTTGATGTTGCTACTTCTGATGGTTGTGCGATCTTTTTATGTAGAATGTTTTGTATTTGAAGTGGTAATAAAATCTTTCGCTTTAAATGGTGTTTAGAAACAAGTTGTGATTGATATTTGGGTATGTATTCATAGAGCTGTTGATTGGACATAGGTCCATGTTTAGCTAGAAGATGTTTAACGATTTTCTGTCCACTTGTCATTGTAACTGCTGAGGATCTTCTAGGAGATGCGTTGGAATAAAAGATAAAAAAAAAAGGTTGGGTTTTCACTATCGCTACAGCAGCCCCCTGCCCCGCCGAAAGTTATCGGGTCTTGAAATCTTTCACCCCCACTTTCAGGTTTTCCTGCAAATGAGGGTACCTTTTTGACAGGGCAAAAAAAAAAGAGAGATTTTTCTGGCATATTCCTTTCCTTAACTCTTTTTCTCTGATGTTCAAGCCTCTCATTCGTTCGAGTTTACCATTAGTAAAAGCAGTAGGTTCAAAAACCTCAAGAAGACAACTGAAACTTCTATTGGTAAGGCTTTCTATCTTCTGGATTAAGAGATACTCTCAGTCATTTAAACCGTGAGGCCTGTCAAAAAAAAAAACCAGAAAAACTGATCAAGCTGCAAACGTTCCAAATCAACAGTCTACACCTGCTGTCTGCCGCACAGCAACTGCCGCAACAAGTTTTTCTGTTGGGAAAAACATTCTGTGGAGCAGGAGTTATTCAACTGAAGCTGCGGAGGTGAGAACAATTCAGCCCTTTATGTTATTTGCACGATGATGATACTCACGAAATCAATCATACACAGGCTGCTGCCTCCAATACTGTTGATAACAAAGATGAACAAGAAGTCATTACTGGAACAGAGGAGGTTCATGAATTCAAAACAGAAACGAAACGCTTGTTAGATATCGTTGCCAATTCGCTTTATTCTGAAAAGGAGATATTTGTTCGTGAACTCATTTCAAACGCTGCAGATGCACTCGAAAAGCTTCGTCAAGTACAAAACGTTCAATCCGATATCAATACCGGAAAACCGCTTGAAATTCGAATTGAAGTCAATAAAGAAAAGAATCAGTTTATTATTCAGGATTTCGGCATAGGTATGACTCTCGATGAATTGAACGAGAATTTGGGTACCATTGCTAGTTCTGGATCAAAGAAATTTTTGGAAAAGATGAACGATAGCAATGATGATAGCAGCACCAAGGACAATATTATTGGACAATTTGGTGTTGGTTTTTACTCTACGGTAACTATCATTTTCAGTTTTCGATCACTCACGGTTGCATTGACAACTTACAGTGTTCGGTTCGCGAATAGTTTATGGTAGGAAGTAAGATCAAAGTCTATACCAAATCAGCCATACCTGGATCGAAGGGCTATTGTTGGACAACGGATGGTCAAGGATCTTATACTGTAGCTGAAGCGGATCATGTCTCTGTTGGCACAAAAATTGTCATTGAACTTCGTGATGATTGTAAATCATATGCGTCACAACTTGAAGTCGATTCTATCATCAAAAAATATTCAAAGTAAGTAAATACGTTCATTGGGTTTTTTGACCATAGTTAATCTGACCTCTATGCATTTCTATTTCAATGGAACCAAAGCTTCGTTGGTTTCCCTATCTACTTGAATGAACAAAAAGTGAACACCGTGGACGCTTTATGGACGAAAGATCGTAACAGTATAACTCCAGAGCAACACAAAGAATTCTATCGCTTCATCGCCAACGCTTGGGATGATCCTCAATTCACTTTACACTTCAAGACCGATTCACCCATTTCCATCTCTTCCATACTTTATGTCCCTGAAAGACATATGGAAGTTTTGGGCGAACCGATCAAACCCGGTGTTTCTCTTTACAGTAGGAAGGTCCTTATTCAGCCTAATTCGGCAGGCATTCTACCTCCTTATTTGAGATTTATCAAAGGCGTCGTTGACTCAGAAGATATTCCGCTCAACGTGTCCCGTGAATTACTGCAAGACAACATATTATCCCGTCTTCGACAAGTCATGGCGTCGAAAGCATTGAAGTGGCTCGATACAGAAGCGAAAAAGGACCCAAAAAAATATAATGAGTTTTTCATGGAGTTTGGCCAGTTTTTAAAAGAGGGCGCCTGTACAGATGCCATGCACAAACGCGAAATTAGCAAATTACTGCGTTTCGAAAGCTCCAAAACCAAAGCTAGCAGTACGGAAGATATGATATCTTTGGACGATTATGTGAACCGACGTAAAAACAAGGACCAAAAGCGTATTTATTATTTATTGACACCTAAGCGTAGATATGCTGAGGAAAGTCCCTACACGGAAATATTTACAAAGAAGGATATTGAAGTTTTGTATTTATATGAAACGGTGGATGAATTTGTGGTGAACCATTTGAAGACATTCCAGGACTATGATTTTGTAGCAGTCGATTCTCCCGAGGCAGCATCTGATCCTTTGTTAGTGAAGGCATCTTCAGAACAGCAAAATGATGATTTGTCAGACATTGATGCCAATGACTTGGCCCTTTGGATACAAAACAGTTTGGGCCCTAGCGTTGTAAAAGGTGTTAATGTATCTCGCAGATTGTCTAGCTTCCCTGCGGTTGTCTTGGAACATGAAAGCCCTGCTATGAAAAAAATGATGGAAATGATGCAAGGATCTGCACGAATGGATACTATGCCTCCGTCACCCACACGTTTAGAAATCAATCCTGATCATCCGGTGATGAAGGGTATCAATAAGCTTCGTCAAGATAATCCTGATTTGGCCAAAATGGTCGCTGAGCAGATTTATGATAATGCACTGTGTGCTGCTGGCGTTTTAGACGATCCACGATCTATGATAACTAGATTAAACAAGCTGCTAGAAATCACTGTAAACCAAGCTGCTGAGCAAGATAAAAAGGTCAAAGTGTGAAGCGACTAGACTCGTATAGTTCTTTGTCCAGTTTATTAATTTATTTGTGTCACAAGAACAAGCTTGATATTGTAAATATAACAATAAATAAAGAACAAACTTGTCTAAAACATTTATGTAAATGCCATAATGTCATAGTGAATTGTTTTAATTCTTGGAATATGCATAAGGTTGAACGGCAGCAACAGTTGGCATCCATCCACTTGAAAGGAAACCAAATACTGAAATCACCCTAGAGTCAACTCTTCAATAACAAATGCCCAATGATGATCAACATGGTGTTTATTGAGCAACTGTAATGCTCATAGGTTTTAGACCTTCATTTTCTTTTCGGGCCAGATCAAGTTTTCTCTTTGAAATTAAATCAGAGTCTCTTATTTATTCAAATAGAATACCATTGAGATTTTTTGAAAACAAATACTTGTTAACAAAGAAGCAATCTGGCTTTCAGTCCTTTCCTCAATTCATGGTATGTTTTAACGTCAAATTAATGTCTCGTCAATATTTTGTTTTCTAAACTCTAAACAACATGATGACATTTGTGAACAAAACTGATTTCCTGAACTTTTATAAGGATGAGTGATAAATTTGTTGAAAATGATCAAGAACTGGTTATGGCAACAATGATGATGGAAAAGATAAAGAAAATAGAATGTCAAACATAAATGCATTTTTGATGATGAGATGAAATATAAAGTAATATTGTTCTTATTTAGCAATAGCTGGTTCAGCTTCTTTCTTCTGTTGCTGCTCCTTCTTCTTTAATCTTTGCTTACGCTGCTTATCCAAATTAACCACATATTCATATCGTTCTTTTGTCAACTGTTGTTCACCAAAAGAGGCAGCGGCTAAACGAGCCAAATTCATACGCAGCATCAAATCCTCTTGGGTAGGTAATTCGGCGTTTTTTTGTTGTTGGCTTGCTTTGCGTTCATTAATGTAGGCCGCTTGAATATATTCGGATACATCTTCAGGAATTGCATACTCTTTGATATATTTAGCAGTATGAATGTACTTTCTAAACAAGTTCAAAGTGTCTTCTGGCAAAGACACCATATCTTCCATAGAAGGCAATGGATAAGTAGCTTCCAATGGTACAGTGCAGTGACTCGATAACATGGATTTGGTGGATGAAAGAGAGAGAACGTTAATATCTGTGTCGAAGCGATATTGACTGTAGGGGAATTCATAAGATAAGGTTTGGTGTTGAATCAGATCTTGAAGGGCTTGGAAGTTACGTACACCAGCATCGACGAGCTGACCTTCATCCAGCATAGTCTCATCCACAACTAACAGGGTACCATCGATAAGTTGCAATACACCCGCTTCCAGATTTTCATTGACGCTTTTGGGTGTGAATCTTGATTTGTTGAGACTGTCAATGGTCAAAGGCAAAGCAACAGAATGAACTGTGAGTTGAGATAAGAGTTCCAACAAGAATTTGGAGTAAGGATTGTGAAGGCTGAGGTGAGAGGAAGCTGATTTCTTTTCTTCATCATTTTTCATTTCATAAGCTGGAAAACCGCTGACATTGAGTGTGAGATTTCCGATCTTCAACTCGCCTGTCTTCACGCTACTATTGTATAACATAAACAATGGGGTTAATGGGTATAGGAGAGTAAAGACCATCTAGAGATTGACTTACATTCTTGAAACAAGTTGTAATAAGATAAATTCAGCTGCTAATAAATCTCCACCCACTGCATTAGAAATATATTGAACCAATGGGTCACGAATTTCAGCAGCTTGATGGTGTATATCATGATATTGTTCTGACTGAACGAGAGGATAGCTGATATGACCATCAAGATTTTGATAAGCGATAGCGTGAATGATAGGAACACGTTCAAATTGGTCTAAAATTGATTCAAATGCGTTCGTTTCCATCTCTTCTGCAGTTTGCTCCTGTTGTTCGCGATGCTTTACAATGTCTTGGCCACGAATACCAATGATTTCAACCAGTTGGCCTACTTTCAAAGATTCTCCTTGTTCATTATAAAATTTTACAATGCTTGACGTATGCTGTAGATTGGGCAAAGGGAATTTTTTAGCTATGACTGGATTAGAGGAGTTTTCACTGCTTTCCTGATTGATACGGAGTTGTTGCATTTGTTGATCCAAAGAGGACGAAGCACCAGTGTAGGCTTTTCTAGCCCATTGGTTCTCACCTGGAGGAGAGATACAATAAGTCAGGATACGATCTGAAAGAAATCCAGAGTCGAAGATCTGTTCATCTGACTGATAATTCAAAGTATAGGGGTTGAATAAGTAAAAATAGGTGAATGCCGTACAGAGAGAATAAAAATTCAATCTTACTACTGCTGCTGCATCAAAATCATCTGTGTACTTGTAGCAATGCAATCTTTTAACTCCATTCTTGTCTAGTTTATTATAAGCTGCAATATACATTTCCTGACCCAAACCAGTATCTTGTAGCATGCATCGAAAACGAACAAGACTATTTTGAGGAATCTTGTGAAATGGTGTGTCATTGACGGAAGTAATCTATCCAGATCAGTTGTTTTAAAGGTGAGAACGATTCTGATTCGATCAAAGACTCCATTGTAACATTTTCTTTTTCTTTTAAAGAGGTTGCGTACCTGTTGTCTATAACGATTTAGCATATCCAAAAAGGTAGAAGAAGGATCAAAATCAGCAGGTGAATTAGCTGAATTGTCGACGTACTCGCCTAAACGTATTGTTATTTATGAAAGCAGTCAGCCCAAGATCCGTTTGTCAGCCTTTCAATTAAAAGAGCTTACTGAACAATTCTTGAATATGGCTTAATGGTTCTTTGATCTGAGTCATTGGGTTGTAGATCGATGCGTTGATGGTTAAAAGGAAGAAGGAGCTTTTTTTACTGGAACCAGAGCGGGGAAAAGAGTGTAGAATAAATCAGCTTTGAAAAAAGTACGACACTGTAAGGTCTCCCTGACCCTGTGGCTTGATTTGTGGGCTATTTGAATTGCATTTGTTGTGTTCCTAGAATTTTGGTTTTCTCTTCCTCCTCTTCCATTTCTTTCTATATTCCCAGTGCCTTCTTTTTTTTTTGCTTTAAAAACTTTACCTTTATTTTGATACCATTTCTTCATATATCCCCGCTTTTTTACTGTTATGTATCAATCGAATTTCCATAATGGAAGTAGTAATGCAATCAACAGGAATATCAACATCAATAACTTCATGAGCTACACTAATGATAACACTTATAACGAAGATACAGATATTTATTATAATCATTTGGATGCAAGCAACAACAGTACAGAAGATCTCTACAGTGATAACAACAAAATATCCCTCACGGATGTGACAGTCGATGAATTACTCCACTTGTATAAGCATGATTCTGACTTATTGAAGCATTTACTTATTGCTAAAGCAGAAGAGGATAAAGTAAATTTCCTGTCGTTTGTTCAATGACTGTATGTAGTACAAGTAATTACTAAAACTTATTAACCACTCTATTTACATGTAGAAAAGAGCAGCAGAGGAGTTGAGAAAAGCAGAAGAAGCTAGATTACAAGCAAAATTCATTGACTTGCAACTGGATCAAAATCGAAGACGTTCGTCGTCTTTGTTCATCGATGATAGTAATAGCTCTATAGGTAGGATGAATACGTTGTATTATTTTGAAACTTGGTCTTACTTTCTGTACTGATTTGATTATCAACGGAAATCACAAGGTATGCCCTCTTCTGTAGCCGATGATTGGTTTATGAACAATAACAACAACAACAACAACAACAACAACAACAACAATAATAATAATAATAATGCGAATAATCAGCATCAAAATAATTATAGTTTGGATAACACCAGCAGTAGTAATTTACTCTCATTACCAGCATGCAATAACAGTTTAAATGATTTAACTGCTATGTCGTCGTCGCCTCTGTTGCATAAACAGCAAAGACAATCTTCACTCGAATCTACGACTGCTTATTCACCCTATACGTTGTTCGATATACCGTTTGCCGAATTGAACCTTTCTGGGCCTTCTTCGCCCGAGCCAACTACTACAACGAGCAGCCGCAACACGAACAGAAACAGCAACAACAGTTATACTTTATACAATACACCCTCTGCAACCATGTCCTCTTCTTCTTTACTCATGGTAGAAAAGATTAGACTAACAGATGACTCAGCCAGTTCAGCAGGTGATAATACGAGTCCTGCTCAAACAGCAAAAATTCCATCGACACCGGCACCGCCACCCATGATTATCAGCAGTAATATCCCAACCTTTACTACCTCTTTTCCGTCCACACAACAGCAATATCCAATGTTACCAACACAGCAGCCACCGCCTACCCCTCCGCTCAGTTACACGAACAATAACACTTATAAAAGCACGAGCAGTATGAACACCGTCAAGGGAACAGCTATGAATAGCAACAATGTACCTACTCATTTATTTCCGCATCCATTACCTCCCTCATCTTCATGTTCAAATCCCTTTTTATCTAGCACATCAGAGCCTTGTACACAATCTGCGTCGGCACAACAACAACAACAACAACAACAGAAATCTTCTTGCAAGCGTACTTTTTCTCGTACCCGATCTACTCGTAAACCTTCCATCAAAGTGTTGGCAAAGAAAAACCGATCATCCAGAATTTTGCCTGCAAGTAATGAAGAGATCAGCTATAGTCACTCAACGAACGATCATTATACTGAGAATGAATGTCTTGATAGGAGAGGAAAGGACAGTAGTACTGCAGAAATGAAAGAAGGGAGATCGAAAGGTCAAAGAAATAACGACACGCCACAGCAAAAGGAAAAGATATCTTTGGTCGCAGCGGCAGAGAAAAATAAGGAAAAAGGGAATGAAGCAATGATACCCAGCACAGCCAACGATAAAGGAACAGAAGAAGAAGCGAAAAGAAAGTCTAATAATGAGAGTGGTGCAAAGTCAACAAGTACAGTAGGAGGAGCACTCAATCATGACAGAGTCATAGAAGCCCTTCGTGCAAAATTGAAAAGATCCTCTGGCAGTGGTAGCCATATTCAGCAGTCAATTGACACAGACACGACATTAGACGCAGAATCACAGCAACAAAAAGCGCTCCTCAAGAAAAAACGAGAAGAAGAACAAGCAAAGGCATTCATGATGAGTATGTCGCCTTCGGGTATCTTATTGCTCGACTTGAAGAATCCAAAAAAAACGTTTCCCGTTCGACCGCACAGAAGGGCTCCTTCTGTTGTAAGAAAACCAAATTCGTTTGTTTCTGCTCATAAAGCTGCTTCTGTATCAAAATCAAATAATAGCCCTTCATAATCTATTTTCTTTCGTTGCTTTACAGTGAAAATGATGGAATGAAAAAAATTAAAGAAAGACATTCCCCTTTTTTTTTTTCAAACTCCTTTACCCGATCTGCTACAATTTGCCATGCATCGTTTAAGCTTTTAAAGTTCAGCTGACGATCAACGAATCAGCTAGATTTCGATGGGTAGTCACTCTTTTTTCTTTTAGTTTTCTGTTCCCGTATGTGTTCTAGTTTTCTATTTTTTTTTTTCTTTTTTTTTTGGAAATCTGATCGATTGCTGGATCACTCTACATCCATCAACATTATAAACCCATGGTTGAGACAAAGAAAAGACAAGCAGCTTCCGATCGCTCAGCCAAAAAACAAAAGCAACAACAGCCATCGGCCAATGATCAAAAAGACATTGAATTGACCCGACCTGAAGAGGAGAGCGCTACTGCTACGGTCATCGATCCCAACGATAAAAAAAGCAGCCATACCTCAGCAGACAGTATTTCGTATGATTTCGAATCCCTTGACTGCTGCGATAGAACAAAGAACGGCATTAAAGACATGGGCTTCACCAAGATGACCGAAGTCCAAGCTCGTACGATTCCCCCATTAATGGCTGGCCGTGATGTGCTAGGTGCTGCTAAAACTGGTTCTGGTAAAACTCTTGCCTTCCTTATTCCCGCCATTGAAATTCTCTATAAACTCAAGTTCAAACCTAGAAACGGCACGGGTGTCATTATTGTTTCTCCTACTCGTGAGTTAGCGCTACAAATCTTTGGTGTAGCAAAAGATGTATTGAAATACCATCAGCTCACCTTTGGTATTGTCATCGGTGGCGCTAATCGAAAGGCCGAGGCGGATAAATTAGTCAAAGGCGTTAATCTGATTGTCGCTACTCCGGGTCGATTATTGGATCATTTGCAGAATACACGAGGCTTTGTCTTTAAAAACTTGAAGGCTTTGATTATTGATGAAGCAGATCGTATTTTAGAAATTGGTTTTGAAGATGAAATGAGACAGATCGTCAAGATTTTGCCTTCGGAACGACAAACCATGTTATTTTCAGCGACTCAGACAACGAAAGTGACGGATTTGGCTCGTATTTCCTTGAAGAAAGGACCGCTCTATATCAATGTGCACGAGAATCGAGATACGTCGACAGCAGATGGACTGGAACAAGGATATGTAGTGTGCGATTCTGATAGACGATTTTTGTTACTGTTTACATTCTTGAGAAAGAATATGAAGAAGAAAGTGATTGTGTTCTTTTCCAGTTGTAATTCAGTCAAATACCATGCGGAATTGTTAAACTATATCGACGTCCCTGTTCTAGCTTTGCATGTAAGATTATTCGCTTTTCAAATGGAAACATGATGAGAGAAAAGTATAGGGTAACTCACTCATCACCAATCATAGGGTAAACAAAAACAACAAAAGCGTACGAACACTTTCTTTGAATACTGTAATGCGGAAAGAGGTATTCTTCTCTGTACCGATGTAGCTGCTAGAGGATTAGATATTCCTGCTGTTGATTGGATCGTGCAATTTGATCCACCAGATGACCCTAGAGATTATATTCACCGTGTGGGTCGTACAGCCCGTGCGGGTGGCCGCGGCAAGTCTTTATTGTTTTTATTACCCAGCGAATTAGGCTTTTTAAGATATCTCAAGCATGCCAAAGTCCCTCTGAATGAATACCAATTCCCCGCCAACAAAATTGCCAATGTACAAGGACAACTTGAAAAGCTCATTGAAAAAAATTATTACTTGAATCAATCCGCCAAAGACGGCTATCGATCTTATATTCAAGCCTACTCATCATTCAGTTTAAAAAAGATTTTTGATGTGCATCAATTAGATTTAGCAAAAGTAGCAAAGGCATTTGGGTTTGCAACACCACCCAAGGTAAACCTAGGCAATATCTTACAGAACAAACAAAAGAATAGGGATGAAGAAAGTGAAGATGATAAAGACGAACCACCAAAAAAGAAGAGCAAAAAGCATAAGAAATAAGTTTACCATTCTGTAAAAAAAAAAATATGTATATCCTTTAATAAATTAAGCATTTTCATTGGTCTAAATTTTATCATTGTTAAAAAGCTTAATCATCAATGTGAATTTTTGATTATTTTTTTTTTTTTGCATGTGAAAGGGCTTTTTTTTTTTTTTTTCTTATTTTTTTCCTTTCTATTCTTACAACACAACAGCTCCTATATTATTTATTTTCTCCTTTTTCTTATCCTATCCTTCACTTCCTTATTTATTTCTCACTATTTATTCGTTGCCGAAAAAGAACATGACTGCCAACGATTTTTCTTCATCAGCAACAGCTAATGTCGCTATCCCCCCACCGTTAACATCGTCCACATCGTCCTATAAAATACAGTGGAAATTTGCTCAAGCACTGAGTATTGTTCGCTCCATGGACTTTATGAAGGACAGCAATCTATCCCCCAATGTGACAGACAAATTGAAGTTTTATGGATTATATAAACAAGCATTAGAAGGGGACATTAACATACCGCGACCGTCTTCACGACAAGTGGTCGAATATGCCAAATGGTACTTTTTTTACCAAAAAATATAGCCTTTCGGTTAAAAGTGACACAAGCTTACATTTTTCTTGGTTTTATTACAATTTAGGAAATCATGGAGCTATATGAAAGGGATTGCACCAGTGGAAGCGCAAAGGCTGTATGTCGAAAATTTAATCCAATTTTTAACAGAATTTGTCCATCGATACCCGCAACATGAGCAAACCAACTTTTTAAGGGCATCCTTGTCTACGTTACAACAAGGGCAGCAGCAGAAGCAGCAGCAGCAGCAGCAGCAGCAGTATGATATCACTCGAGAGCAGCAGCCATTACAGACATTATCAGAGAATGAGCCAATGCAAGCAGGAGAAGGAGAGGAAGAAGAGGACTTTTTCCAAGATGCTTACGATCCCAGAGAGTTTGAATTACAGGAACATTTCTTGAATGATATTGAAGCAGATCAGATCATGATGGGTGAAAACAATGACCATAGGATACTCTCCCCACCGCCCATCATGTCCCATCATTCATTACATCATCAACGTGAACACCCACCTCCACCTCAGCAAAACTATTATTATCCCCTCACTCCTGTCACTTCGCCCTCCCATAGCAAAAATTCAGTGACAGGCCAATGGGTACTGAACCAGTTAAACCATCATCATCATCACAATCCAAGGCCCATTATGGATTTTCTAACCAACAACTACAATCAGCAAGACCTTCTATCTGAATCGGATACCCTGGATAAAGAGGTAGCGGCCATTACTCGACAGCAATACCCACAAACACAGTATCGACACCCGCATCAAGCCACGGCCGAAAATACGACAACTACGGCTACTCTAAATGGCAAAAAAAGAAATCATGCCTTTTCGCCGTCTTCTTCCCTCTCGTCATCCACAGTCAAAAAAAATCATGGAAATAGTATGCACACAACAGGCAATGAGAACAACAACAATAGAGCCTTGGAGATGTTGCAAACCGAAATTACTGCTTTAACAGAACAGATGGATCGACTACGACAAAACATGAAGAATGAACAAGAAGCGAACAAGATATCCTTCTTCTTACTGTCCTTTCAAAATTGGCGAAAGTTGTGCTGGCGCTTTATCAAAATATTGATAAAACACATGTTGGCCAACTCTGCCATTCTGCTGATTGTCTTTTACATTCTATGGAAGCGAAAATCGCCCATTGCCTATAGCATTCTGAATTATGTAAAACCTTTATTACACGACATGCTACGTAAACTGATAAGACACGTTGTCTTTTGGAAGGTGACAGTTTAGAAAATAAAAAGAAAAAAAAAAAAAAGGAAAAAAAGAAAAAGTTTTCCTTAGTGCCCCCAATTCAATTCTTTCTAATTTCTAATGTCGACTGGACTTTTTCATAAACATTCCTTATGTCACCATTAAAAAAATCCGTATGGCTGCTCTTGCTGGCTACGTTATTTGCAGCATGATGACAACGTTTGGTGTGTAAGCAATAGAATATCGTGATGAGAAAATGACCCGGGACAAATAAACCATAATGATGACAATGTAATTATCATTTACTTATCACAGGGCCTGACTTACTCACTTCTCCTCCTCCTCCTCCTCCTCCTCCTCCTCTCGCTCTTTTTCCTCTGACCCTAGAAGCATCTCCTATAATTGCATGCTATAGCCGCATTTAAATAAATGCGGAACGGAAGATGCATTCAATCACCACCATCTTTGCTCTATTCTTCTTTCTTTCTTCCATTTCGTTTTACTATTTATTTATCCTCTTTGCTTCTAGCATGTCTTTTGCTTCTTCTACATCATGCCCAGACTATGTGTCGTAAAGTGTATTTCTCACATACAAATAGAGTCGAAACACCTTTTTGTACTGAATGATACAACCCTCTTCTTTCCTTTAGATACTCTAAGGAGTTTCATGAACCTGGTAGTGGCGGTCTATTCAATTTGCCATTTCAGCGCCCCCTCGAATCCTGCAGAAAATTTACAAGCGCAGTGATAGAATCTGTCATCAGTAACATTACCTCTAAAGTACTTTTTGTCACACAATGCACATCACAGTAATAATGACAGATGTTGTACCCTATTAATGCAAACCTTTTTTTTTCTCTATTTGTGTGATCATCAACACATCATGACAGATCGATAATTTGGATTTGGGTCGATTGTTCACCAACAGCTTCCCCAATACATTAGACACTACGATATCTCAAACAGCATGTATTGTAGACAATAGTCATAGCTGTGTACCTTTAGCCTTTATCATTACGGGCGATATCAACGCCATGTGGCTGAGAGATTCTGCCAACCAAATACTACCCTATCTACCCTACGTTCATCAAGACATAAAGTTGAAGAAACTGTTTTTGGGCGCCATCTATATGCAAGCTCACTTTATTACCATGGATCCTTATGCCAATGCCTTTAACGGACCCAGTGATATGAATGCTCTATCCACATCCATCTTCAACAACTCGGCTGGTGATGATTTCAATAGGATGGAAAAAAGAGCAAGCGGCTTGAAGGAAGGAGGTAAAACCCAATTTTTGTTTGTAGGATAGCCCCCTACTGGTTCTCCAACTAATTTTTTTTAACGGATGGACGCCACAACCACGGATAACTACTAGTTTGGGAAAATAAGTGGGAGATCGACTCTTTGGCTTCCTTCATGAGTTTATCTTACCGTTACTGGAATCAAACAAAAGATAACTCCTTTGTCAGTGATACGGTTTGGGTAGATGCTGTAGAGATATTGTTGGACACTCTAAAAAAGGAACAACAACCTACATTTGAGCCGTCTTCAGGTAAGCACGTCGTGGTTTTTTGTTTGGTTTTTTTTTTTTTTTTTTTTCTGTCCTGCTTATACATTCCCTTGGGCATGTCTACCCTCTATCCTTCCTTTACAAAAATAAAAATGACAGGCAAAGTCATGGAGACGGATTACTTGTTTTTAAAAACATCGGACAGGCCTACAGAAACACAGTACAATGGGGGTCGTGGTCAACCTGTAAGATACACGGGTATGGTGAAAAGTCTATTCCGTCCCTCCGATGACGCTACCGTCTTTCCTTTTTTCATACCTGGCAATGCTATGCTTTCCGTGGAATTAGATCACTTGTCAACATTGCTATTATCGTCCTTTTCAGCCTCAGCATCAGAAAATAGGCAAGGAGAGAGGTTACAAAGATTGGCAGCAGAGTCAGCCAAAATGTCAACCGAAATCAGAGAGGCCATCTACAAATACGGAATGATCGATCATCCCATTTACGGGAAAATCTTTGCATGTAAAGAGTGGGGAGGGGGGCCGCTTTAGGACCTTAAAGAGGATATATATCCTCCGTACCTCATGTCTTGTCTAACTTGTTTGTTTTTTCCTCTTATAGACGAAGTGGATGGTTATGGCTCTTTCCTGATTATGGATGATGCAAACATACCGTCTTTATTGTCTCTTAGCTATCTTGGTTTCGTAGACCAGAGAGATCCCGTTTACCAAAATACAAGAAAGTTGGTTTTGTCAAAGGATAACCCTTATTATTTCGCTGGGCCCCGTGCTTCCGGAATAGGTGGACCCCATGTAAGTTTTCATCATAAAATGAAAAAAGAAAACATCAAAGCTGTTCTTTTTCCTCGCCTTCATGTTCATGTCACATTTTCTGTATTCTGACTGTCTTTGTTTCATCCTTCTTTTTTTTTTTTTTTTTTTTGACTGTATCATGACAGGTTGGACTGGAGTATGCATGGCCCATGTCACAGATAGTTAGGGTAGGCTCTCTTTTTTAAAAAGGGCCATGACAGCGAGATCATGATGAACTTAGCGCACCTATTTCTTTTACTTGAATATAGATGATCACCTCGGATGATGATCAAGAGATAATGGAGTCTCTGAATATTATCTTGAATTCTACAGACAACACAGGTCTTATTCATGAATCGATCCATGTGTTTGAAAAAGCAGGAGGTGATGACAATGTGGGCTATACTCGATCATGGTTTGCATGGGCCAACGGATTATTTGGCCAGGCTATATTGAAGATCATGTCAGAAAAACCACATCTACTTACCAAGAGCCAATAACAGCTTTTGTTACAGACGATCATTGTATTTTTACTTGTTTACGGTAGATAACCCAGTTTTTTAATCTTTCAACACAAGACAAGTAGTCAATAAAGAATCGCTGTTCCTATGTGAATGAGATTTCTTGAACCACTTTTCATGTGACTGAATAGAAAAGAAGCTACTTTCTGCAGGTTCTCTCACTCATCAAAAACTTGATACTGCAACAAGGCTCCCCACCTACGAAAAAGATAAGAAAGCCAAAGGGCCCTAAAAGGAATGAAGGTTTCAACATTAAAAAGTGGATGGATTGTCATAGGCTCTGATGGGTACTTTATTGAGAATAAGACCTTTGTTGTAGCTTCCAACGACACATGAACACGAGTTGTCTTTTTTTTTAATGGATGAAGAATGCTTTAAAGACGCACAGCAGCTAAATGGATCCACTTATTCCAGTTTTCCAGTAAACTTATTCTCCAGCTTCTCCCATGCCTTGTAATAATCATGCTGTACTTTTCCGCAAGTTTCCAAACCCCAATAAGTCAAAGAGAGCATAAAGCTTGTCTCAAACATGAATGCTTGGTTGTTATCTCCAACGTGGACTGGTTTCAAATCTGCATTAGAAGCTGCTTCGAAAACAGCAGCATCAGGTCCATGGGGTGTCATCACACTATGAAGTGAACCCCCGCCTGGCAAGAATCCATCTGATTTTCCATCATAATCTCCTGTGATCAAACCCATGAATTCAGACATACAGTTGCGGTGAAAGTAGGGTGGACGGAAGGTGTGTTCTTGTACAGCCCAACGAGGAGGGAAAATGACAAAGTCAGCTATTGCGACACCCGGTGTATCTGATTTCGCTGTCAAGACGGTGAAAATAGATGGATCCTGGATAAGATGTATCAAATGGAAGGGGGGAGGGAGGGAGTGGGTGAATGCTTAGTGAGGGTTTGTTTGTTTTTTTTTTTGATCTCAGTATATGAGCACTCACGATATGATCAAAAGAAACACTGTTGACAACACAAAAGTTGGCCAAATCATATTTATAAGGTGCATAGTTGCCGTGCCATGCTACGACATCGAAGGGTGTATGATTTTGTTTTGCACTGAATAAAACGCCATTGAACTTTGTGATGATTTCCCATTCTACATGATCTTCTTCTTCATAAGCTGCGATAGGTGTTGAGAAATCACGAGGGTTGGCCAGACCATTGGCACCGATAGGGCCTAAATCAGGCAGCTCAAAGTGGGCACCAAATACTTCTAATACATATCCTCTGGAAGCGCCTTCAGGCAGGCAAACTTGGTATCGAATCCCTCTTTGAATGACTGCAATTTCATTGGGTGCTACTTTCATTTTACCAAATTCTGTGATAATGTCCAATGTACCCTGTTGTGGCACTATCAATGATGTTGTGAATAACCACCTACTTGGCCCTCGGTCTTTGGGGATGTTTTAACTGGAGCTTTCTTGTAGCTCCATCACACACTTACCGATGAGAAAGTCTCCATCCGCATTATAGAATGCTTTTTTTTCCATATCTTTATTTCCAGTATAAATATGAACAGCGAGTCCGCTTCGACAAGCAGGATCACCCGCTCCAGCTAATGTTTTCAAACCCTGTACGAAATCCAGCTTCTCGCCCTCCTCTGGTAAACTAAAGGGACTCCAACGAATTTGAGTGGGTGTAATAAGTGCATCTTCACAGCCAAACTTGGAAGTGAACAATGGATTGACTGTCTCGTTTCGCTTGAAAGGTGCATGGACAACAGAAGGACGAATGCGATAAAGCCAACTAAAAAAAAAAAAAAAAAAAAAAAAAAAAAAAAAAAAGTTACAGTCTTTCAAACATCAACGTCCCCCTTTCCCTATCCTAGTGACCCATCACTATGGATATGTACCTTCTTTGATTATGTGTTCGAGGCACTGTAAATGCGGTACCTGATAATTGCTCTGCATAAAGGTGATAAGGGCATTTCTGAGGTGTGTTTTGACCTTTGGGGAGTGCATCTTTCAAAGCCTCTGATGAAAAGTGGTTTCCAAAACCTTGTTGATATGTATAATCGTCTTTAGCTACCATGGCTGGGTTCGTTTGAAGAAAAGAAATAGAAAAAAATAGGTTTGTTTTTTTTTTTTACTGCTGCATTAGAGCACGAACTGAAAAAGCTATTAAATACAGTGCAGGCGTGGGAAAATAACCTATCAAAATGTTTAATTCCTATTGACCGGTAGACAATTGATATATTTAGCTGTGCATGGAAATCGATAGGACCATTTATTATAAGAAGCGGCTGGTATGACGGACCACAAGAATAAGAAAAATCACAAAAAGCTTCAGAAAGCTTGAAATAAACCCAGTGTCTTATGAAATGCGCTTCTGCAGCACTGCTGAATGAAGCTCCTGCATGTCACAATAGAAAAAATAAATACATAACAGACGTTTATAGGATACTAAAAAGGATAAAAAAAGAAAAAAGGTAAATGGTATTCAACTACTTGGGGATGACGGCAATAAAGAACAATATGAATATGAGGTGGGATGTAGAAGAAAGGAGCATCAGTCTTTTTCAGCGGATTCCGGTAACCAATCTTGCGGCACAACACCTTCCTTACGCAGATATCTCACCATGATCTCAAACGTATCCTCATAGATGGTAAAATGGCCCAACGCCATCATTTGATCTGCCAATCCCGTGATGGTCTCTACTTTCTTACGTCTTGTTGCTTCTTCTTGTTCGCTTAGCTGTTGTGTGGCTGGTGCATGTTGTTTACCCTTATTCTTGTTTTTCTTATCCAACATCTTTTGTTTCCAAGCAGGTAATTTTTTTGGTAATGAATTAGCCAAGGATGTTAACGCTTCTTGTACACTTTGTCCTGGTTCTAGATATTCTACAAGGGCTCGGTAAACGTCCGTTTGAGATTGTGGTACAGTTGATAAACGTTCAGCTTCCTTTAAGGCTTCTTCTTTGACACGTTTTTCATGAGCAGCCTTTGCCTTGTTGATATCCTTTCGTGTGATACCCTGCATCCAATTATCGTGAAATGCTTGAGGATCCGCTTTATTCAAAATATAATTACCCTTCTCATCCAAATGTCCTTCTTCTAACTCTTGCTTCATGTTGAAAGCTGTAATTTTTGGCTCTTTCTTTTGTCCATTTTCGACATCGTCCTCATCACTGTCACCTTCCACTGAATCGCGGTCATAGGATTCAAATTCTTGCCCTTCTATTTCTTGATTCGGGTTGAGTTTGCCCTTTCCCTTCTCATTCGTCGGCTCTTCATCACCGCCACCGCTTCCAAACATGTCAAAGTCTTCATCGGCTTTTACTTTGGGCTCCGTGTCTTTCTCATCTTTTTTGTTTCCAGCATCACCTTCTTCGTCAGAGTCGCTATCATAGACTCCTCCACCGACTTCCTCATCGTCACTACCATAGACATCAAAATTGACAGCACCATGACGGGATTTTCGTTCTTCCAATTCATCTTCATGATGAAACTCAAAATCTGTCTCGTCATATTCGAAGCTTCTTGATGGTTTGGTGTCTTTGCTATCGAAACGGACGCGTTTGGAGGTCGAAGAACTGTCACTTATATCAAAGGCTCTTTTTCTTCCGGTCATTGTTCTTTCAGTATCCATGTGCAATTACGTTGAAAGAAAAGAAAAAAAAAAAAAAAAAAAAAATTGTACAAGACACACAGTCCAAAGAAAGACGCATGAATGAGCCCCCAAAAAAAGAGGGGAAGGCATCGTGATCCTAAAGTTACGCAAATGATTGGTTTAAGTCGAGTAAGCTTCCTTCTTTGTTATGAAGGGGGCGTTGAGGACACACTACTGATATCAATAATAAAATAACTGAGCTTTTCAAGTAGCTTCCTTTCTCTCTCTTCCTCCAAGTGGTGCCCTTTTTCCTCTGTCATAGACTAAAAATTTGCACTAAAATACAGGGAGATATATTCTAATTCCTTTATGACTATTCACGCCAAACACTATGCTGGACTCATCATTTATCGTATACCCAACAGAACCAAACATCATCACAACAGCAACAGTAAACCAGCAGGCATCGAATACTTACTGCTAAATGACTCTTTTTCTGCTAAAAAGCACTGGTTCTGTACGAAGGGCCAAATTATTGGTGACGAAGACGAACTCCAGTAAGTTTGACTTTTTTCTTATTATTCTCACATTTTGCAAAAGAATTCCATTCCCCTATTCATGCAGAGCTCTTTGTGTAAGTGGAAGCTTGTGTGCAAAAAGTCGTTCACTCACCCCATTTCTCTTTTGATGATGCAAAAAAACCAAAAAAAAAAAAAAAACCAGGTGTGCACTGCGTGAAACTCTTGAAAGTACTGGACTCAAAGCAACAGACTTGATGGTGGAAGATGGATTTGCTATTGAACTGAAATACTTGTCATCTAATACGTGAGCCCTTTTTTCACAGCCCTTTCAGTATCGTTATAGAATGATACCCCGCTTGATCTAATCCTTTCTTTCCGGCCCCTTCCTCTCTTTATCTAGTCCCAAAACTGTAAAGTACTTTTTAGCCCGCTTATCAAACCAGCATAATGGAAAAGTGATTTCAAACACGGAGGGACTTCAACTCCAATGGTATCCTCAGTTCCATGCATCGGAAAAGACCGTATTCAAAAGCATGCAAGATGCCATTCAAATGGCGCAAGACTTTATTCAAACTAAGCAGCAGCAGCAGCAGCAGCAGCAGCAGCAACGCCAAACGAGGATGAACCATGAACCAAGCTTAGACACTCTTTCCAACGTAAAGGACACGAGCGTAGACTCTCGACTTATTCATGAATGTACAAAAGACTTTAAACCAAGAGCGCGTAGCCATAGTCATCATCATTTAGGCTATAGTGTTTCCAACCATGATCATGGCCATTCTCCACCGTGGGCGACCGTCAGCAGCTTGTATAAGACGAGATTATGTGAAAAATTTGACAAAGAAGGAAGCTGCCCTTACAACATAAAATGTCACTTTGCCCATGGGGTCGGTGAGTTAAGAGGAAGAATACTACCTAGCAACGCAATGACAGATGGTCAAACAAAAGATCCATCTCTCCAACCAAAGGGTGAGTTACTTTATCCTCTCGATCAAGGTATACCCACGATCACAGAAGAGATGGCTTGCGACAACAAGAACAATGGTCATTCTTTATACAAAACAAAATTATGTGAAAAGTTTTTAAGAGACAATTTTTGTCAATACGGTCCAAAGTGTCATTTCGGTAAAGTCGTTCTTCTTCTTCATATATATATGTCTTGGGAACGTATCTTCCGACTGAGTATTATTACCTTATTGAATGATCACTTGTAGCTCATGGACATAAAGAATTGAGAATAACCAACGCTAGGTTGAAAGACAGAAAGAAAATAGCAGATATGAACGGCAATAATAGCCTGCGTACAAAAGCGAATGCGAATCCAATTCAATATAAGCAACAAGAAAAGCAGCAGCAGCAGCAGCAGCAGCAACAACAACAACAACAACAACAACAACAGTTATATTCAAGCCTTTATGAGGATGCCATCCATGCAGACACCGAATACACAATGGGTGACTTGACATGTGACGATAAGAAAAAAGCTAAAAAATTAAGGTCATTGAGTTTCTCAGCAGTGGGCACACCGCTTTTATCCGCAAGCGTATCAGCATTCGCATGTCCATTGAAGAGTGCCAAATCAAACCGGACAAAAAAAGGGGCATCCGATAGGATAAGGACAGCAGAGAAAATCAAAATGGAAGACAACATCGATGATACCCCTCAGCCGCCCGTACAAAAGCTTCGTAGACCAGATTTAAAAAATCACCAGCAAGCGGATGTTCGTCGTATGAGCAGCAATAAAAACAGTAGTAGTAGGCATAGCTCACACAAAGGCAAAGTAGTTCACACTTGCCTAGACGACGACAAAGACATGAATCCTCCTCCTCCATGGATGGAAATTGCCAAAGCCCCGGAAGACGACGCAGCACATCAAACACACTTTGCAGATAACCTCAGCGGCATGGTGGCTGCTGTACCAAAAACGGCTGTGAGCAATCACCCACCCATGATGAACCATCCTCATGTAGAGCAAATTATCTGTGGATTAAAAAAAAAATGCCTCAAAACAGATCAGCAAGACAATGTCAAAGCAAACCGCTGTAATAACAACAGCAGCGATATTCATAAAATAGTACCTCACGATGTAAAAGAATTCATAAAGATTGAGATGCGCAATGAATTATTGAAGAAAGAGTTACTCTTTATTATACTAACAGTTCTATTAGAAGGCGAAATGGACCAGCTTTCAAATATACTAGTCAACCTGAAAGTAAAGGAGCATCTTTTGAAAGCTGTAAGTTCGCTTAGCCAAAGTCCACAGTAAGGCTTTTCGGTAAAAACAACCTCTTTTAACATTTGTCTTGGATAGTTTGTAAAATCTACCACAGATCAGCTGTCCCTTTTGAACGCTTGGCAAGCTTATGTCAATGATCGAAATCGCTCATTAGTCAATAAGACGCTTTTGGTTCTTATTTATTGGTACGATTCAGAGTTGATTGAAGAAAAAGTATTTCTGAATTGGTATGATACGCTTGACAATCGCTCCGTATTGAAGAAGAAGAGCTGCAAATTTATTGAATGGCTGCATGAAAGTACTTTTGAAGAGGACGAGTAGACAACGTTTGGCATAGTATCCTATCATACGAACGTACTCTTTATCCGTAAATGAAGACTCGCACCATGTTAAATACTTTGGTAGCTTCACCTCTTTCAATTTAAGCAATAAAAAAGTGTGAATTCTCAGCAGCATAAGATTGCTTAGTGAGATCAATATGATTTTGGCTACAAGTCAATCGAAATTAAATCACCGATACAGGTAGCTGAGGATTTAACCCCTGGTGCTTTCCATTGAAAGAATGTGGAGGAAAAGGCGGGGAAAAAGTGTGTTATAGTGTAAAACATGGCCTTTCTTAGAGTTTTGGCTTGAAAATAAAGATATTTCTGTCTGATGATTTTAAAGAGAGGTATTCCAAATGACTACTTCATGCTGTCATCTGGAATGGACCATGAACCACACTGATTCATCCTTTTGTTGCACATATATTCCGCAACCAAACTGCAAAGTGTTACGGTTTCCGTGTCGCTTCAGTGACATGGCGACTCTCCTGTGTTCAAACTTGTCTAAATGCTTTTATTGTACATTGTGAGCACCCAACATGTGCCCCGTGTTGTTGTTGTTGCTGCCTCGAATTCTGTGGCCAATTTATACACACATTTTATAGATATACATGATAAAAGAAAAGGTGGACAATAGTCTACGTCGTTATAAAGATATCTTTCAAAGGCAATCGTTGATCTCTCTTTCCATTCTAAACTAAAAAGGCATTGATTTCTTTAACTTTGCCTCTTCTTTCATTTTGTCCTATGTGTTATACGTTATCATATCAGTAACCCATTCGGTTTTTTTTTCCTGCTGGCCGCTCTGTTTATATTTCCTGAAATGTTTACCTCTTTCCATGCTTGAATGGTCTTTGGCATATTCTCCATATTCTTTCTGATCGTCTCTTCTCTTTCTGCACGCATACGCTCATGCTTTTCTAATTTGTTGGGTTTATATCTTAATGGTTTATGTTCCTTGACAGCAGGCAATCCGATCGATTCAGGTTGGATGCCCTGTTGAATGCACGCTTTACGTAAATCGTTTTGACGACGTAATGACAGACGGCCCGGTCGCCAAAAGGCCTTTTCTTTATAGTGATTGTATACAAGTTGTGGTTTCACATCAGCTTCAGTAAGCTTTATACGACTGACTTTATCAAGTATTTTTTTGGAGAAGACACGATAGGTAGCCATTTTATTTTATTTTTGGTCAATATATCCGATAGTAAAAAGAAATGGAGATGATGAGTACCCCATTTTTTACTTCCCCTTGAAAAGTTAAAGAAACGGCCGAGCCGGAAAAATGATCACCACACAGTTCGACCCACTTCATTTTCAAAACAAAGTCAGTCTATATTACTTTCGTGTTGATTGAGGAAATACTTTTGTGATAAAGGACGATTTACGAGTTTCATCTACTAATACAACTGAGCTATATCAAGAAAGGAAAAGGCACGGTGTCCTACGCCTGATAATAAAAGTTTAAACGCATGGCCTAAACGCAGGAAGCGCATGGGAATGCGAGTGAAATACTTATGCTTGATAAATACTTTAGGCTGGCTAACTTCATTGCTTTCAATCGCTAGACACTAGCCAATGGAAAGATGGAAATGATTTACAAACATTGTCTTTAGGGATGAGGGTACCTTTCCATTGCACACGATAATAGCAATCACTTGAAATATGCTTACGAAATGATGAGCAGGAACGTTATGTTTTTGAAAACCTGTAGCAGGATCGTATAAACGCTCTAATAAGAGGGTATAGTCTATTTTTTTTTTTTTTATTTTTTTCATAATTTGTTCAGATATACATGAGCCATTCCAAAAGCAGAAAAATCCTTCCTCCGTTAGGATATTTGCCCAATGGATGACAATGGCATCCTCTAGTGCTCACCTACTTTGAATAGAAGAAGAATGTACTTTGTACGTCATTCGATAATCACACTTGAGTATCAGTATCGGCATAAACTATGTGCACTTCAAATAATAAATATCTCCTAACCAAAAATCATAGCATGTAAAACAAAAAATTGTCTTTTGGACTCTGGTGATAAAAAAACCTGCCATTTTGGTAAGGCACATAGTTTGATACAAAAAAGTGCTAAGCGTATCACAACGACTTGTTTTTAAGGAAAAACGAACGTTCATGCACCGCAAAATTGTAGCTGGTTTTCGCATTGTCATAGTGTAACACAAGCCAAGCAGCAGTAATAGGATACGGCTGAACAAATGAAACAACTTGTTACCTCTTCCATGTCAAGTCAGGTCAAAAAAGAAAAAAGAAAACAATGATGCGAAGGAGACAAGGTTCATATCAGTACGATGTATATGATAATGAATAGATCGAAAAACGCGATTTTCTATTTATCTGTTACAGGGAAAAAGAAACCGTTCTTTTTTCTATTTATTTGAATTTGTATTTTTGTTTGTTACGTTTTGTGCAATCGTCAATGGGCAATAATATAGAAATGGAAATGCATTAGATTGCTCAAACTATAACAAAAAGGGGAGCAAAAAAAGTGTTTGAGGGGAGGGTATCCATAAAGAAAAATAAAAACATTATACATGTCTACATCTGAACAAAAGTTTTGAAACTTCTACGTAAACTGAAGCTGTGCCGAGTGATAAGAAGCAGATCATTTTCTGATTGCGCCGTTTCATAACATTCTATCGACGATATTCAATGCTAAAAAGACAGTAAAGGTACAAAGTGGTACACAAAACACACCGTAACTCCAGAACAGCATACGTAGCATCTCTTCTTCAAAAATATTGTTTACTTGAGTGATTTGGACTAAATTGATAGCAGTGGGCGTGCAGCCTAACACGATCATCATGGTGATAAAGACAGGATCGCTTGCTAGCGTTGACCAAGCAGAACCATACAGGACAAACAAGATAACAGTAGGTAACACCAAAAATGGCATCAAAGCCATGCGAACTGCAATTGCAATAGCAACGGGTCTCTTCATCTCAGGTGAGGCCGGTTTTTGTGATTCAGAGATAGCGACCAGTTGAGCGCCCAAACAAGACAAGATCAAAGGGACGGCAGCTTTTCCGCACGACTCGATAGCTTTCGTAAAAGAAGGGTATAAGAAAGATTGCTTGTCATACAAAATAGGCTTCAATGGCGAAAGGCCAACGATCAAGGCTAAAGAGGCAGCGTAAAGTGGAGGTGACATAAAACCGTGGATTTTGCGAATAAGAATGCGGAGAAGACTCAGTTCGTGTTCTGGAACGTCCGGTTTGTTATTGTTGTTATTGTTGTTATTGTGATGGCCAGCAGCGTGATGCATGTTTGACTTTTGATGTAACAAACTTGTGCTTTCATCGGCTGCAACTGTAATTGTTACTGAACTGGGCTGTCTCGGTGGCAATCCATCACGGTGGACAAGATCGGATGAGAGATATTCCTCAGATGAAGCAGTGGATGAAGCACCCGAAGATGGATGATCAGGATGTTGGTTGAAAGATTGATACGTAGAGCTCAAGTGTTGTATTGGCTCTTCTTCATCATTACGTATAGTAAGTACATCATCATCATGGTGTCGCTGCAATAATTGATAGCCATAAGACCATCGAATCAAGTTACCAAAGATAGCAAAGAAGAGAGTGTAGGAAATGCCTCTATTGTGGATTGATCAAACGTAATTGAAGGTGAGATTTTCGTCATGGCGTTGTGTTCTTTTTTTTTTTTTTTTTTTGTTACAACCCTTCTTTTGTCCCACCCAACCCTATACTAAGTTTCCTTTTTCATCTTGTTTTGCGTACCTGGCAGCAATCGTCTCAGAGGTATCGTTAGGTCCCCAGCGAAGAATATCAACAGCTTCGGAAACAGCCAGACTTGAAATAACAGCAATAGGCAATGAATTGGAATTGGTAAACATAACACAGGCCATTACGAAGCGGCGATAAGCGGGACTCAGACCAGCTAGTCGCGAAACTGTTTGACTACTTATGTAATTTAAAATTGCATAGATCAGGTAGAAACAAGGGATAGGCCAGAACGCTAAGAGTTTTTCGAACGAGATGATGGAAGCGATATTGGAGAATAATAAGCAAGGCGTAAAAAAGATCATATTGAGTTTAGATAACCACTGTGACAGCAAATTCAGAAGAATTGATGGAAACGCGCATGTTTCTTTTCTGATCAGTTATGACTCTTTCAACACGACGGTAACAATTTTACTTATAAACTTCTACCTTTTGTTTATCATTGCTGAAATACCCGAGTTTAGCCAATATACAGCCAAAAGCAACAACCACCATCACTTGTAGGATTGCCTACTCATCAATTGGATTTTAGGCATAAAAACGATATGCATAAATTTTCATTTGAGCTTCAGCGTCTCTGTATTACCTGTACGGCGGATATAATGAGACCAAAATCAAACATATATATTCTCTGTTAATGTGTAAGGTGATAAAGACAAAATTTACTAAGTAGGAAAAAATAATGTACCAAAAAAAAAAAAAAAAAAAAAAAGATAGTAAAGAGGTTCTAAAAAAACCGAGGGCTTTTATATGAACTTTTTTGACAGACGAGCTCAGCTGCTTTTTGTTTGTTGTGTGTGCAGTGAAAAGGAAATCCAGCGAATCGCCAAATTTGGGCTGGTTTCATTCTGATCTCGCAATTTCAAAAGAACTTCTCCAAGTTTCTTTTCGTTCTCCTCTGTATAACACAAAGCCAAAAAAAAACCATTAAAAAAAAGTTTGAAATAGTTAGATGTACTTTTTTATTTTATGGGGAAATCACACTATGTATCAATTTGGAAAGGATAAACATTTAAGCAGACTTGAATAAAAGGAAGGCAATTTGGCCTTGATAGAAATAAATGAAGTGCTTGGATTCTGATAATGAAAACATCTTTTAGTGATCTGACTGTTTTTATACCCTTATTAAAGATAGATTTCCTTACCGTGAGTTACAAAACTACCAAAGTTTCTGCCAACAACGCAATGCCAAGTAGGACCTATTTTGTGAAGAGTTCAGTCACAAAAAAAAAAACGATTCGTCTTTGTTATTCGTCCTTATTTTTGTTCATCTCCATTTTGAAATGGCATTCTTACCATATTTACGATCAAATTCACGCTTAATGTGTGCCGCAATGTCCTTTTCAATATTATACTTTTCTAAGGCTTGTGTTGAGCATTCAATAGCTTCTTGTTGCATTTCTTCGCTCATATCAACGGCTTTAATAACTGCTTTGGGATCGGCCATCTTTTTTTTTTGGTTTTTTTTTCATGTAATATGAGAAGGAAATTGCTTAATTTGTTGTTCTATACTGTTGTCGCCTATCGAGCCATACATGTTGCTTTCTGTTTTACCTTGGTTATAAGTGTTGTCTTTACGGAATAAATTCAGGATTCAAAAGGGGAAAAACCAGAAACGAAAAGAAAAGAAGAGAAGGGGTGCTTTTTAAAATATTACTCAAGGAGAAGATAATATACTACAGCAGCGGGAGAGTAAATTAGGTCTTATTCTCAGTTCAGGCCAGGTACAACAATTCTATTCATGAAAGGCGCCGATATTTCGAGTATGCTAGCTTTCATTGGAGGACTTCATAAGGCCGTACGCAAAGAACTCTTTGCGCAACCATAAAGTCTCTAGCTTACCTTTTAGACAGATCCATCTTCCAAGTCGTGTATGTAATAATCTGCCCTTCAAAATTTTATTTGCAATTTATTGTTTGTTTAACGGACTCATCAGGCGCTGGATTCATCAGCGATATGTACGCAGAAAAGTTTTGATTACTCAGAACTCTTCGTTTTACAGATGGTTCAAGCTGCTGCTAAGCAATGACACGTTATCAAAACTTTTTTCACGGATCGATACCGTGGTATCATAGGCGTATGGCTCAGCACGAAGTAATTTGGTATCCGTTCGCTTTGCTACAAGGAAATTGACTCAATACTGCAGTACTTGTAAGGCGCTTACACTCTGGTAAGCCTTACCGTTGATCATACTTACCACTTGTTTAATACCAAGTGTGGGTACACACAAGGAGATACAGATATACATTAGTAGTATGAAGCGCTGATCTTGGTAATCTACTAATAGTATAGTTACTATATGTGTTCAATCAACTTAAAAACGGCTGATGTACTATAAAGAAGCGCAATAGCAAAGTTTTCAGACATGAACAATGAATGTATCAAAAGAAGCGATTATCGTGTCATATGTATGAAATCAATGGCATCTAACCATAAGCGACTTTTCTGGCAGTGTCTCTCGCACAAATTTGTACAGAATAACTCTACTGAGATACACGTATATACGGTGACCTTTGGTTCCAGACTACTAGCCGTGTTATCGTAGGCTTATAGATAGGATAAAATGAGTTATATCAGTTTAAATCAGTTACGCTAACAATTCTGCTTAAAAAATGACCTATCTTTACGCAACATAATGCACACAATTTATTTGTGAGTTAACTGTCAATTATCCTTATTTTGATGTACTTAGATGACTTCCCAAAAGTGATACACAAGCCTGCATATTTCTTGTGGCTACATTGTTCGTACAATCCCTCAACTTTCATCTTCTCTTTTTCAACAATAAGGAACGCTAAGTGTGGTATTTTCATGCATACTATAATCAAGAATTTTAGTAGCACTTGTGTATTAGCTATACGCGTTACTTTTTACTGTTCATACAGATTAGGTTAAGAATGGCTTCTTACTGCCTCGTTGCATTCGCTGTCTTATGCACGTAATTGTAACATCACGTGTCTACATGCAAACACGCAAATTCCAACTTTTTTGTTGATGCTTAGGAAGAGAATCTAAGCTTTCCAGTGCAAATTGACAGTAATGACTACTATAACAGCTCTCTTTAAATTGTTCTCTGAAACCTAGGCAAAGGCAAGCAGCTCATGAATAAGTTAATAATTGCTTCTACTATATTTAGTATTTTCATAAACCCTATGTTATAGGATCCACCTGAATTGACTTTGCTACTTATGGACTTACCTACCCATAAATTTTGCAATTACTTTATACCAAAAGCAAGTAAGTGGCTTAAAAACAGTTAGATAATTGTTGGATACAGGCATTTGAAAAAGTACTTGGTCAACGCCTACCTTTTGACCACGACATAATGACTTGTACCATGCTAGTTTATTGTAAAGTTCTTTTGAAAGCCCTCTTAAATATTGACATTTGGAAGTATACTGGCCGATGAACATGGAATGCCATAACAGAGCTGGTGCTGTTTGCATTTTTCGTTATTGCTATTAGCAATAGCTCCAGAGGATGAGTACCTATAGGACGACAATCTTATTGATATCTTGATGCTCTCATGAAATCAAAAATAATTATACATATAAGTCCTATGGCCCAGTTTCTTTCCCTAAACATCTTAACTGCAATGATAAGATGAAGCAAGAGATCACGTTTATAGCTTGTTTACCAAAAAGTAGCTAAAAGCTGATACCCTTTTCGATAAAATTATGTACAAAATAATTTACAAAGTTGGATTTACTGATTATTTAATAGGATTTGGCTACTTCAAATCAAATAGCCATCAAACCAATTTTGACGAAAAGGTAAGGCAGAAAGAACTTGAATTGTTCATGGAACTTTCCAGACGCAGATTACTGTAAATGGCCGCTTTTTTTAAGAATTTGTTATGGATTTAATGTTCGAAAACTATTGACTGTTGTATGCTCATACTTTTGCTGCACAGAGTAAATTCAAAAAATTAAAGGAACAACTGCATTAGGAGAGATCTGCATGAGCTTATACACTACATGCATAACATGCGTCTGTTCCTTATAAACAGAGTTTTTTTTTCCCTTTTGATAGTCGATATAGTTTTGATAAAAACGATAAGCTTCTTATCGAGAAGATTGGTTCTCAAAATAAGTCTTCTGAGTATTCCTAATGTTATGAGTCCCATTTAACTTTAGCCTTTCAAGCAACACAGCTTAGTCATGGGCAACTTGTGTATGGCACTACTGAAGTTGAGATTGTAGGTGCAAAATACTCTATGCGAAAAATGGTTTGATACGTCGTTACCCAAGAAATCATTTATACTATACTTAAGATTCCTGTACTTACAATATATTGACTGTTACTAATCGCTTACCGAGTACTGGCTTTAATATTGGTGCCCTGCTAACCACAAAAATTATTATATTTCCTACAGAATAACGATCATCTAAGATTAGAGTTAAGCTGCCCAATTCGAGAATGGGGCGACGGTTTTGTAGACTTAAAGGAGGTCATAAAATCTCGGAGCCACATTCATGGATTTCATACCAACACTCGCTTGCTCTACGATAGTTTAATAAACCATGGAGAAGCAATAGATTTGCTAGTTTCCACTTCCAGTTTTCCTTAAACAGTAAGAAGTATTTTTCTTTTGCTAAGGGCAAGATAGTTATATATAGTTACTATGACATCTAGCGAGTTGCCACTTGCTTCCTTTTCCTCTTTTCTTCACCTTTATCCGGCAGCAATTAGAAGCATATTAAATCATGCATTTTAACATTCCCGCTTCAACATATTTTCTTTTGTTCACATTATTTTTTACATTCACACACAACGCTCAATCGGCAAGTATAGCCTTTTACAGTAAGCGTGTTTTGCGAAAAGGAACACTAAAGCTTTTGTTATGCTCCTTTTCTTACCACTATTATAACGTTTCTTGATGCAGAAAGAGGCGAATACGACGAAGACAGTGATAATACAAGGTCTATGAGATGCCCAACAGATTCATTAGGAGGAGCTGGTCTCTATGGAGATTTGAACAATTGTAACCGATACTATTATTGTACCGCTGGAGACCCTGTGCCTTCAGTTCAATACTGCCAAACAGGCACTCTATTCAGCACAAATCTGAGAAGATGTGTAGCAGCGTCGCGAGTAGTAGACGAATGCAGATGAGAAACTATCTGTTTTCTCGTTTAAAGTTAATTATAAGAGATTGTCAAAGAAAACCTTATTGTGTAGAGTACACTAATGTTTCCACTTGAGCAATCACCAAACTGAATATTGGTTTATTGAAATATCCATAATTCGAACGGTGCAATAAAGACCTTTTCTAAATAACATATCTCTAACAAACAATCCTAAGCGCTTTCGTATTGTTGGGAAAACAATCATGGACGTGGCTCTTTAGAAGTCTCAAGAAAAAAAAAAAAAAAAAAAAAAAAAAAAAAAAAAAAAAAAAAAAAAGGGAAAAAAAGGAGAAGATATCAAGAATACTTGTTGGAAAATCACCAAATAATTGGCTCCAACTATCAGCATTCTCAATTACAAGTCAGGTTGTTCATCGTAGTACGATAATTCTTGCTTTTTGACGATCTTTATTGAATGTTTTAAGCGATGCAAAATTACATGATAGCGAAAAAGTGAAGAAGAGAATGAACAGATAAAAGTAAAGTTACAACAGTTAGGATTTATATAACTGTGATTGTTTAGTTCAGTTTGCCATTCTTGTTGGGAATGGCTTCTGTCACCAATTTTCGTGCACGGCTCTTACTTTTTTCTTCAATCATTTCGGCTGATGGAGGATCAGTGACAACCGTCAGCATATAAGCCGACGCTGCCTGAGCAATTCCATAGCCAATGAATCCAACAATAGGCAAGTTGACGATCACGTAAGCTATGAAAGAAAAGCCCCATAATACATCTTTACGTCCACTGAACCATCGACGCCTTTCTCTATGTGTCATTTGCATTCGGGCGAAATAAGGAGTCAGTAACTCTCGCATAAGTGACCGCATGCTGATGAGAGCGCGTGAAAGTCTGACAACTGACCATCGAGGAAGGAAGCAAAAGCAAATGCCTACTGCAATACCTTGTGTTTTACCCAAAGCTTTATAAGTTGTGTAGGCACCTATTTTTTTTTTATTTTTTATTTTTTTTTTCAGAAAGTGACAAGGTTTAGGATATTGTTTGTGTGGTTTCCTCTTATTAGAGAGATTCCTTACCAGCAGCAGGAAATACAAACTTGCCAACAACTGGGAGTAATGATAGTAATACTACAATAGAGCCCAGTCTTAGCTTTATCCAAGTTCTCTTAATATAATCTTTCATTTCGGCCCAATATCGCTTTTTCGGTCTTAAATGCACCAGTGCTGGATGGTAAGGTGGTCTTTCAGGATGAAGTGTATCTGTATATCTTAGTGTTTCCATAAATAAATCATCCAGTGGTTTAGGATAGACATGCTGCATGAGTAAGATAGCGAATAGTGGTAGTGCTTTAACGGCCTCACGAATGATGTTATTGGCTGAATCTAATGCTTCGTCCGCTTGGTTCGCTTTAGTTTCATTACCAAAAATCCATAAGAATACCTTATACAAGGTGAACGGGATAGTGACCAGCACATTGGTGAGACCGATGAAAATGAACGAGATGACAGAAAGGTATATGAATATTTTTATAAATCGTTGCTGTCGAATGTTGGGGTTTTTAAAAACAGCCGCGATTCCTTCAACGGCATAAATAGCACCATCTGATAAACCATCTAATGTCCAACGTGCCATTTTGAGGTTAATAAGCTCTCTTCATGAACAAAGTCAGAAAAGATATTCGATAACAGAAAAGAAAAGAGATAAAGATAGCTTAACGCCAAAGAATCAGAATTGAAGGTACAGCAAAAGGGTCAATCAAGGTTTCACTGCAATCCAAATCAGTCATTCTTTGTTCTGAAAGTTGGTGCCTGTGACTTCAACCTGTTATTGACCTTTTTAAGCCAACATCCAACTACGCACTGCATGTGCAACTTTTTGAATGCAAACATGTTCCTCTTTAAACTGAAAGTTCTTATTCCGCATGTAAAGACTAGATCGTGCTTTATTTTGTAAATGTTGATGTTAAGAGATTTACTTTTCTTCATGCAATCATAAATAGCCTAAATTTAGAAAAGAAATTGGTCGCGAAAAGCTGCTCCTGGATTGCTCACCAACAGGTACAATAAATACCTTATGATGCTTTTGATGTTGTTCGAGTGAGAGGGACAGCTATTCTGCTTTCTTCTTTTCCCATTCAGCGGGGGTATATGATTTCTATAGAAATAGAGTGGGCTCAGTTCAACTAGAACTCTTTTTTGCTTTGACAGATTTTCAAATCTTGCATACCTGAGTAAAAGCGTGAACTTTGCTGATCTCTTCTTTAAGTGCTTCGTTAACAAGCTTATGTCTTGCTAATAGGCGCTTTCCTTCGAATAGATTGGATACAATGACAACCTCAAACATTTTTCCGCAGCCTGCTGACAAATCTTCTACTTCCTACAGAATGAGTGATGATCAACGATCAGATTGGGATGAACTGGATTTGGAGAAATAAGGTTTGCAGTCGAATTTTACATACAACGTATTCTACATCTTTAAGGCGCTCAATGACAGCCGCTTTGATCGTATCGGCCGTGAGACTAGTTGAGGACATTTTCTGAAAATTGTGTTCAAGGTAAAAAGGAAAATAGAAAAAGAGAAGCACTTTGTTTTGTTCTTTGCATCCATCATGAAGTGATCATGTGGAATGTTTGAATCTCAGTTTGATCCCACTGGCCGGATTCATAAACGTTATTTCGACCGCAGTAGTATGCATGCAGCATCATTGCGAAGAAACGTGCGTTTGAACAGACCTTCTATCGGAATTGCTCAAAGTATGCAATTGGTTATGCATATTTATATGTATTCATATAACCTTCCTATATATTAAATGAAGTGCTTATGTCGCCCTGATACAATAAGACAGAATTGATAATAGTGTACAAACCCCCCCCGTTCATTATGTATATATATTCCAATAGGAAGCAGCTGAAAGTCATGTGTGCTATTAACTTCTATAACCAAATTTATTCGTTCATTGTTCAATAAAACCGAAAATGTAACGGCTAAGTTTCTCCACAACTAAGAACCGTATGTTAAAATCTATGATAGAATAAATGTTAGGTCTTTGCAAATGAAAACTATACATCTGCCATTTTTTTTTACCTCTGTTACAACACCCGCAGCCACTGTATCGCCGCCTCTACGTAAAACAATACGGCCTAATTGTTTATTGTCTTTGAATGTCTCTAAAGGAATAGCACGTTGACTCATTTGAACTTCGACCGTTGCAGTCATATTTCTTGTAATGCAACGGGGATTCTTCTTCTTCACTTCGCCTGTAGCTTTATCGATTATAGAAATAAGCTTTGTTATTGAAGCAGGCTCATCCAAACTACCATGATGTAAGATAACAGGATATCCAGGTGTGATAGGAATACGAATATCAAAAACAACGATTTGTACTCTAAATAAGGACGTTAATGGTACTGGATTTGATCCGGAACAAATCATACAGCCATTGCTATTGATTGAATGAGATGGTGGCGGATTAGTGAAAAAAGTCGAGTTTCCCATATTACTTCTTCATACCTCAAATTCAAAATATCTAAATTACTGAGAGTCAGCAGAACTGAATCACCGGCAACTGCCCACTGTGCTGATTCATCATTTACCAATAAAGCTATTCAAGAAGGTTAAGCAATTAGTTCACTACACACACTATGCTTTTCTTTTATGTATTTCAAGTATTTGAATCTGCTTACTCTTAACATATCCTACTTCGTTTCCAGGAACCACCAACACTTGTTCACCGACTTGAATGCTGCCTGCTTCAATATTACCGGCGACAGACACACCACCACTACCGCCAACGCCGCCCTTAAAGAAATCAGTTACACGCATTCTAAGAGGTTTTTCTACCGCACGAATAGAAGGTGGAAGTCTATCGAGTTGCTCAGTCAATGTAGGGCCATGATACCATTGAGTCAATGCAGGTTCTTTGTTGTCGTACAAATTGACACCATGAAAACCAGATATAGGAACGAACGCGACGTTTGATTGCTTGAAGCCAAGTTGATATAAATATGCACCCAGCTTTTCTTTAATTTCCTCAAAACGTTCCTGAGACCATTGAACCATATCCATCTTATTGATAGCAACTATAAGCGTTTGGATACCCAAGCTCCTTGCTAAAATGGCATGTTCTTTCGTTTGACCGCCAGCGTCAAAACCAGATTCAAATGCGTTCGTGGATCCATCCACAACAAGCACTGCTGCATCTGCTTGTGCCGTACCAGAGATCATATTCGGTATAAAATCTCGATGCCCTGGAGCATCTAATATACAAAAGCGATAATGCTCTGTCTCAAAGTGAGCAGTACCAATATCCATCGTCACCCCACGATTTCTTTCTTCTTCTGTTTCATCCAATGCCCAAGCAAATGCAAATGACCCTTTCCCAATCTTTTGCGATTCATGCTCGAGTTTGCGCATACTACGCTGGTTCACTGTATCTGTAAGGTACATCAAATGCCCAACAGTGGTCGATTTTCCTGAATCGACGTGACCCACGATACAGACATTGAGCGTTGGCTTTGCTTGTGCACGTTTTTCAAACTCTTCAATCACATTGAGACGTTTCGAAGTAGGCAGCTTTGCGAAAGGGTCAACCTTGACTGCGGGTTTTTCGGGTGTTTCCAGACCCATAGCATTCATTTCTTGAGTCAATTCATTGTCATCATCAGATAGAATCTCTATCTCTTGATCTTTTGTTGTTAATGGTTTCGTTTGCTTTTTTTGTTGCTGTTTAGTTTGATTTACAGGTATTGTTGAGGTTTTAGATGGCGTCGTCGTTTTGGCAGCTTTTTTTACAGCTGCAGCTAATGTTGGTATAAAAATAAAGATAGGTTAAATTTTTTTTTCTCCTTAATACATCGATAACAAGGTATGGAAGAGAGAAAAAGAGAGAGAGAGGAAGCAAAGAATAGATGGAGCAATAATGTAGCAACTCCTTTTTAAGATCTCTTGCTGCGCGCATTTCCGCTAAAATTGCTTTGGGCCGCTAAAACAATATCATCAGGGCTCGGTTGATCAAATTTGAAGGCTGAAATGGATTCACTCTTCTTCCCTTCAAGGAAGACAGCTTGCGCGTCAAACGGAATTGGCTCTTGAGGAGCAAATAAAAATTGCGCTGCGAATGATGGTTTTCCGCAGAGTGGGTTGGAATAGTTCTCTTCAGCATTGATGACTACACTTTGTCTTTCAGCAGGCTCTGTCGTTAGCTTATCTTTGGTACTTGGTTCAAGAGAAATTGATTTGCTAGGGTAAGACAATGTAATCTTTGGTGACTCTTTAACACTTGAAGCTAAACCAGCCAAAGCCGAGAGTTTGGAAGGATCAGACTGGATTGTTGGGGGTCGCGATGTTAAGTGAGCTAACCTTGGTGCTTTATTCGTGGAAGTGGACGATTTTTTGGCAAGTGAAACGAGGGAAGGAGTTGTATTGCCTGTACTAGATCTCTGTGCCAGGGCCTGTAATGAAGACAAAGGCTTTTTTGCGGCACTGGACGCTGCAAGACTTGCAAGTGAGGGCGATTGTGATTCAGTTTGAGCGCCCATTTTCTGCTTTAATTGGGTTAAACTATTTGTTGTGCTGGACGAAGCATTTTGACGCGCTTTTGACAATGCTGCAAGTGAAGGTGAAGTACTCTTGTTGTTTTCAGCCATATCTGTTGTGTTAGATATGGACGTCAATAAAAAGTCAAGTCAATTAAAAGAAACTTAATAGCAACACTTACTTGTTCGAGGTGGGTTGGTGATGCAAAGTTGAAAGAAATCGTAAAACAAGTGGAAAAAGGAGGATTTTTGCTGCTTCGCTCTCTCTCCAATGAGAAAAAGAAATTACAAACACAAACCTTTTTTATTTTCTTCTTTAATTCTTTTTTTTTCTTCTAAAGCCTTTTGCTTTTCAATTTGTTCTAGAATGGAATTGCTTTAATATTCTGCAAAAATGTGAATAAAACTATTAAGTTTATACAAAAGTATACCTAATGCCCATTCGACTGTCTCTTCTTTATCAAAATAGAATTCCCATAATGCCTCTCTAATTTCTTTTGCTGTCAAAAATGTATCGTCACCAATCACACTATAGACATAAGCTAGTCCTTCGTCTAATTTGTCCAAATCCTCATTCGACAATTCGTCCTCGTTGACTATATAAGTGAGATCTAGGTATGTTAATTTAGGAATGACCGATCAGAGTACGAATGTCACGTAACATACAGTCGTTTTCGTCGTAGTCTTCTCCATAGTCTTCGTCGTCAAGAATATCTGCAATTTAAATGTACATGTTGATATACGATTTTAAAAGCTTTTATTCTATTATAATTAATTGTACCATCAACATCGAGGTTTCTAACAGCTCTATGTCTTGACATGATTTTCTTATTTTCAAAAAATATTAAATGAAGTAAAATAAGAAGAGGCCGGCCAATTTTGCTGTAATTACAGCATCAAAAGAAGCAAAGCTGCTTGAATAACAGCAGCCAATCAATTTCTTGACTTAGTTGCTTTTTTATGCTTGAACTTTGCGCTAACATCAAACATACCCTGTACATGTTTGAAAATACGCAACTTTTCATGTTATCCAATACGACTGCACAATGGATGATCGATACAGTAACGTTTTTGAGACAGGAGCCTTAGTTATAATGACACTGAATGATTATTTACATAGCTCATAAATACATTTTCATATCAGCTGCCATACGTTAAACATAAATGATGTGCTAAGCAGATCAACAAAAACAATCAAAATTGGTGTGCGATCAGCCCAACCCGCGTTGTGAACGCGTCGAATTTATCGAAAACATATACGTTTTATAGAACATATCTTTCTATGCTCTTGTAATGAAGGGCAAAAGCGAAGATAATCCGAGATTGTGAACAATAACAGTCATATTGGCAAACACCACTTTTGAGAAACAGGAAATTTGTATATGCTAAAGTTCCTAAATCAACCACTATTAAATACAGAGAGAATTTGATAGTCATCTCTAAGCATTCTTTATTGCTCTTGTGAATTGCAACGGTACGTGATCCATGTTGAAAGAGTTCAGAAACAGCTCACAACAACAAATTGTCCTGATTGACACTGACGTTTATCCTCTTACCGCAACCCTACATGGAAGTGTCTTCAATTATATGCATTGTTTATGCAACTTTTTTGAAAATGTTGAAAATGCTGTAAAACAGAATTAATACGAGTGAGACTTAAAGCTAAAAGATTTGGTTTTTTTCAAACAGTACCTACTGCAAATGATTGTGAAGGCATCGAACCAGAAAGAAAGAAAAACAAAGACAAAGAGGAAGAGGAAGCAAACGAACATCGTTCAGTAAAAGTGGAAAATACCGCTTCTAACTTCAATATTGCTAACAACTGGAAGCAAACAACTTCAACTGCTCCAAACGACAAAGTTGCTGCTGGTGCAAGTGCTGATAATGAAAAACAACAATGAGCTTCTGCTGAGAAGAGCCTTTATTGAAAAGTAAGGAGCTGGTGTTGTGGGTGAATTCACCAAAACACCAATGACCGCTTTTATCTGTTGATCCCTTATTTGTCAGCGTTACAGGTGCCACTACTGATGCAAATAGTGCTTCCAGACTCACTGGAACAACCGATCAAGTAACTCAATTGCCTAGTTTGTCCTTATCCGCCTCGAACGACGAAAGCGGTATTCCGGATGCTACTTCTAATGATGTCTTGACCTAAGATGCAACAAACAGTTTTCTGTTCCTTTGAGAATTTCAATAAAGTAGTTAAAGATGCAATTGGTAAACATATTGGCTTAGATTGGTATAGTCATATTATTAACCAAGATTGGAAACAATACATAAAGCATTACTTGGCGACGTTTCGACTAGACTAATTGACGTTTATAACAAGCTCCACCGAATACCGACCACATACTATACATAGAGTGGGAAAATCCTTTTTAAATTGTTATATATAATATAATACTTAGTATCGATAAATCTTTTCGGCTTTAAAATGCTGATAGTAAATAAGGCTCTATCTTTGTATATGCTTTATCAGGAATGATATACATAAAATTTATTTTGCTATGTTGAATCAGATTTGAAAGATATGGAAAAAAAAAACCTGCTATCTGAAAGTTTGAATTGTTGAATAAGAGTTACAGTGAAAAGTAAATGAATGAAGGAATATAATTACTTGGTATAAATAGAAAAAGCTTTCTTGCTTGGTACATCCATGATTGAGTGCAATTTAAGGAATGGAATAATGCATTTTTTTTTTCTTTTTTCTTTTTAATTCATGGTAAAGTGAGGTATCAACATTAAGCATGGTTATGCGTTCAGCGACGATTTCTTTAACTCAAATCCATTGGTTCAGCATTGTTGGTAGTAGCTTGCTTTTCAGTAAGAGATGATGTTGGCTTTCTCGATTGCTTTCTACTATTGACTCGTGTTGAAGGTGCAGTAACACCAACAACCTTTAAACGGTGAATCCATAGCTCAGCTCTGTCAATTGTATCAGAAAATACTTGTGTTACTGAATGTATCATATCGATTGCTTCCGTTCCAAAGTTTAATAATTTAATAGATGTTTCATGTAAATTGTTGTTCAACGCAATTGTTGCTGTAGTAGTAATAGTTGTTGAGTTGGGAGTAGTTGATGCTGTTGACGAAGACTGAAGCTGGTTTAATTTGGCCCATCTGGAAGGTAGAGCCAAGATGAATCCTCTGACTGCAGTCTTGGCTTGTTCTGGTAAGCCTGCTCCAGCATATTTACTTATCACATCCACAACTTTACGTAAGGTATCAATTATTTCTTTTTTTATATTTCTTAAAATAGATGAGTCTTCTGCTTCAACCACTACAGCTTTCTCCCGCTCCATTTGCAGTTTTTTGTTATCTAAAAATTGATGGAGCAAATTCATTTGTTGATCAATATGTTGCGAGGCATATTGTAACCAATGTAAGCAATATTTTAAACATTTCATGCTTTCTTCACTTATCACAGCTGCTGTTGTACTCGCTGCAGAAGAAGCATGTAAGACGATTTGATGCCATTTATTTCTTACGATGCTGTTTGGATGATGATGATGATATCGTGTCGTGGCTGCAGTGGATGGTATAGGCTTTGTTATAGCGGCGTTGCTGTTCCTCATATTATGAGGCGAGGTGGATCGTGAATGGTGATGATGAACTCGTGCGTCTTTTCTTTTACGTACAATTGTATTTGTAGCAGTATCTGCTGCTACTGTATGGTCATCAGTTAGACTGGCGCGGGATAAGGCAAATGTAGCAGATCGAGCATCGTCCTCATCTTCTTCACTAAAAGGTGCATTTTCAACTTGCTCTGCTGTATCGTCTGCTATTGCCTTGTTGCTGACCTTCTTTAAACCTTTGCCATTCTGTTTGGTGCCCTTTGGCTTGTCGTCCATTTGTCTTTTGCTATGTGGAATTACATAATTAGGATATTTTTGCTCCAGCTATTGTGAAAATGGAAAATACAAAATTTACTTAGTGATAAATGCAAAAATTACAATTGCTGATTATCATGACTATTTCATGCTACCTTATCTAATTGTTTACAACCCCATTCATCGACATTTGATAGTGCTTGTTTCCCGAATTTATCATAAATGGGAGCAGCAAATGACTCCATCATCTCTGCACCATATTTCATAACACTGTTTGTGCTTTTGGAATGTTCATAAGCTTTCAGTGCAGAATTAACAATAGGTATATTAGACACACGATGAATAAATAAACTGTTATTATGGCGGTGAAGGGGTTGTTGTGAAGTGTGTTGTTGCTGGTAATACTGACTGTTCTCATCATCTAAAGTAGACTCACTGGAGAAAGACAATCGTTGTTGGTGTTGCTGATGTAATAAAGAAGATGTGGTAGGTGTGGGTAGAGGCGAGCTCGGTGTAGTAGAAGGTGTTGATAGTGGAGGTAAAGTGATTCCGAGAGAACGGGTATCTAAAATTCAAAAATCTTTTAAAAAAACCATCCTATAATTCTTCATGTCATTAAGCGCAGCCGTGTCCTACCCTTACTGGTATTTGTTGAAGACAGTCTTGCCATACCACCTAACACTTCTGCTGCTAATTTAACGTCTGGATCTTCAATATCATTTAAAGAGGCAATTGAACCGGTGGTGTTTGTCATGGTACCAGTGTTGGTATCAGATGAATGAACAAGCTCATTGATAGACATTGGTGACCGCTGTGTAGACTTTTGCATGATCCCTTGGAAAATATCAAAAGAAAAAAGAGTATTTCGAAATGTAGAAAAGAAAAGAAAAAGAAACTTATAGATTACTTCTCTAAAGTAGAGGATGCAAAAAAATTTTTGGGGGTGGGGGGCGAAATCAGGAAAAAAAGGTTTAGTACATACAACGACGTGATGTTTTTGTTATGAGCAAGGCCAGTAACACTTTTTCAAACAGAAAGCCTCCTTCTGCATAAAAGATACTGATCTGATTGGATGCATATTTATGCACAAAGATGAAATCGCACTGTACAACAAAAACCATGTGAAACCTTTATTTTTTTACATTCTGACCTGTTTCCATTTTTCCTTGTTTTGAACGAAATTGATTTTCACGTGCTCATGTGATCTATATATATCAAAGACAAATGTAATGTCGATGTAACCATGGTGAACAATGTTGGAGCTGGACAGCAACAAGAAATCGCCGTGAATAACATTAAAATAATTATCTAATGCTATCGTCGATATGTAGCCAACGTATTCAGTTTCCATGGTAACCAATAAATAATGAACAACAACAACAATAATAACCACAACAAAGAAGTGCCTCGCTTTGCCCCGCCTTCTCCACTTCCGAGACTGTCAAAGAAGATAGTACAAAGTGGCTCCCTACCCCCTAAAGTTAAGTATTTTAAATTCCGTTTTTTTTTATTGGACAAAGTTCGTTTTCGTATTAGCTCAAATTTTTCGTATTGGCATCACTCAAAGTTCGCTTAGCTCACCTTTCATCTCTTTTTTTTTTCAAGCATGATAGCTTATCAAAAGTTAGGGAACCTCTGAAAGCTACTGACTGGCTGCCGAGAAATGCTTTAAAGAGTCTTTAATATTATAACATCTTTTTTTCCACATCAATCAATGTTTCAAAATACTCAGAAATTGTGACAAGTGCTCATTATTGATACTACATACAGAACCAACAATTTCTTGAATTGCCTCTGATATCCGTTTACGGTATTCATAATCTGTTAGAGTCTTCATATCAAAAAGCTTCTCTTGTGATCTTGGTTTTGTCAGCAATGAGTTAAAAGCAACATACCAATGGTTTTGGAGCGATTGAAAGATGTTATTCAACCCAATATTGCTGGTAATATGCCAGTTTTCGTCACTTATAAATGTCTGGTTTTAATGAAAGAACGAGATATAGCTTTTTCCAGAGTTATTTAATCTCTTTCGTATATGGCATATGATGAACAATACTAGAAGCAATTTAACCAAAAGCTAGTTCAAAAGTAAAGAAATCAAAAATAAGTGTATAACATTGATAGAGAAGACGATCCATACCACAAACAAAAGAGGATCAACAGATTTCTATCGTTCCAAAGAACATAATTGGTTTTGAAGCATTTGATCATTATGAAGAAGCAGACACAAATAAAGTCTTGGATAATCAGAAGGTATTTCAGAGTTAGATGATGATTTACTAATAACGATGTTAGAGAGAGCAATCAATTGATCAAGGTCCTCAACCTTTCTATTTTTCATTCATTTTGGCTGAAGGTAAAACATGATAGAAGATCTGAGTAAGTAATTTATTGAGGAATTTCTCAAATTTATGAAAGATTCTCTTCTACCTGAGGGTACTTCACAATATGGCAATATTGATGTACATTGTTATAAAGAAAAATATAAAAAATGGAATTAGAATAGTTTCAATGAAGAGAAATCAAAAACATAAGTCGTTACATAAGTAAAGACCATATTATATTATAGTTAAATGATAGGGAAATATTAAATGATGGTAACGTTAAATAAGCGATTATTATATTTTCTTACATGAGAGTAGCTAACTCATGCAGGGCCTGAGCAGGATATAATTTGAAGATACGTATTGTTGACATTTACATATTAATATTATTACTGCGACACAAGGACATGTGGTAGATTCCTCATACTGTTATTCCACATGTAGGATATAAGGTGCCACAACCAAATTCCTTCACGGAGAGATAGTCTTTGCAGTTTGAATTATATCTCAGGTAATGCCTCGATGTATTTTATGAAGAAGTAACTGTTAACTTTTACGGACAACGCAATAACCAACAATATTTAATCCTTAAAGTGAATTTACCTTTAATTGAAGATCTTTCAACTTATTCCAAGACATAGAAACATGTTCCATGTATAGAAGATTTAGAGTTCATTTCACGCTGTCTGATCGGTATGACAAGTTCACGAAATTATAAGTCAATTAGATGAGTTGACATTTGATATTCAAAGTAGGAATATTTAATACAGTGCTAACGGCCTTTTGTTATGCATTAGTTGAAGCGCTTAACGCGGGCAACTGAACAAATTGTTCATTAGATAGAAGTGTGAGATGACAACAGTGTGATTTTTTCCATATCACCAAAAACATATAAACACGAATTAAACTTGAATATACACACGCTATTATAACCAGAAAATCAGAATAGCTACTGAACATGTCGACTCGTATATTGTACATAGCAAACCATACAACAATGTTGAGATGTTTGATGACGCAACAGCTACAATACTCAAATACTTACAACTAGATAGAAAATACATTCTATCACAATATATCCATTTTGGAATTCACATAGTATATGTACAATATACAACAAAAAAAGACCTAAGTAAAACAATTACACATGAAGCATTTGTGTAATAGGTCAGGACCAGTGGAGATACGAACATCTATTCAATTGAAAGTACCAACTAAATCCACAAATCAAAACAAAAGCAACCCTACTACAAATGGTAAAATCAGTTCACTAAAATTATTATGATAGTTTTATAATAATACAAACATTTATGAAAAAGTATAAATAACCCACATTTTAAGATAAAATAAAGAACGTGAGTCTATAGAGTGATCCATCTGTGAGCCACCTTTTTGTTGAACAAGCTTTCAGATTCGGAGACACTACCATGAACTTGAAATTAGTAAAGCAGTATACACGTCTTCAAACGAATTTGATTCAACATCTTCAACAAAGGCGAATTTAGTTTGCTGGAAAGCGAGCTTTAGGGTTGGAACCACTGTATGTGTACAGCCAAAGGCAAAGAGCGCCTGGATACACCTTAAAGTCGTTTCAAAGAGAGGGCATTTTACACGTGCATCCTTATGTTTGGCTCCCTTTCTACAATTTTGTAGAGAGGGGCTGTTACATCGCTTTCATCAAAATTTACTGTGCGGAGCATCATGGGGCGAGTGTTAGAGATTTTATTAGAGCTGAGGTTTTTTTTTTTTTTTTTTTTTGGTCCTTTTAGGAGCTTTACGATCTTTATAAAAGCGATGGCACGAAACAAATGTAATAACTACAGTTATGCGCAGATAGATTTTCGCTTGAGCTTATTTTCATTTGTGCCTTTTTCATTTACAAATAGATTTCTGTGACTTTTGCCAATGTGCTTTCCCAGATAACCCTACTAATCGCAAAAATCACATGGAGGGAACTGCTCATGTAAATAATCGTAAACTTCATTACGACTGGTTTAAACATCCTCAAGTCTTTTTGCAAGAACAAATTGATAAACCGCCCTGTAAATATTATCAGCAAAGAGGCCATTGTGAATTTGGACTGCTCTGCAGGTTCAGTCATATCACGTATGACGCTTATGACGGACATATTATCTATTCACCAGAATTAATTCAATGGTTCCAACTGAAAGAACAGGAGCAACTACAGTTGCAACAGTCAGAGACTGCCAAAGCAATAAAAGCAGACAGGAAAAATATGAGCGATAAGGAAAGAAGACGACGCCAACGATATAAATTACCAACAGGATGGAAAGTAAAAGATCTACCGCCTTCATTGAAACCCCCACCATCTAAAAAAGGCTATGACTGGGAGAATGTAGGAGCATGGTCTTGAATGGTTCACTGAAGAAATGGCTTACCTTCGTACTAAAGCTTGAAATAAGATGGATCCGAGAGACAGTTTTCGCGGTCGACAACAGAAACATAACATATGAAGATGACACTTACGCTCCTACCTTTGGAAGCAACTCATATGTTTATCATGTACGCGCAATTGTTATTCTTGGTAAGTAACAACCATGAGATTTTTCAATCCTATAGCCACAAGAGGTTAAAAATGATATTCAATGGCTGAAGTGGTTTCTGTTGCTTTTTCTGAGTACTTTATTGCATGATCACACTTTCTTACGTACGTATACGTACAATTTTGGAACACAATAAATATACGTTCAAAATAAAAGGTTAGAACGTACGATCTTTCTTAAAGAGATATGGTTGTTTACATTGTCTCTTTCTTTACTGGTACTCAGATACCAAGATATTCTGAGTTCAGGGACATATTTGTGGTGGTACAGATTTGCCTATCAGTTTCATGATTTCCCCGCATTTTGTTCATCTATTATTTTGTGCCTCATTTTTTTCCATATTTCTTTCAATTCCAAAAGCCAAATCTCTCATCGTTTTCTGTTTACAACATCACCCACGTCAATTAACCTTTTCATTATGAACAGCAAGTTGCAGATGCTCTACAAATATACCCTTTTTTCCAACAAAAGAACCAACGATTCAGTGACAAAAAATTTCAAACCTCGTAGTAGCGGTATAATACATATATTACAACCAAGACGACTACAGCTACAGCAACAGTGCCGCTCTTTCCATTCATCGCCTATCATAAGCCGTAGTTACTATTTTGACACTTTCAAATTTGTTGAACGACTCGAAAAGCAAGGATTTACTCGAAAACAAAGTGAAGCCATTATGATTGCTTTACAAATAGTCATTGCAGAAAATATGATGGATATATCAAAAATAATGGTATCGAAAGCCGACAGAGATAAGGTGATGAACAGCAAACCTTACCGGGGATGAAGGAAAAGTTATACTAACGAGCGTTTAGAATTCATTGTGCTATATAGGCCATCTATGCTTATAAAGTAGACTTTACACAACTGAAATCCGAAATACAGCTGTTAGAACGTAAAAACAATGACTTTCATCTCATGAAAATTGAAACAGAGCGTCTTGAAAGTGAATTAGAAAAGCTCAAACAGAAACTGCGGGAAGAAATATCGAGGAATCAAGCACATGCACGATTAGAAATGAGCCTAGAAAGAGGGCATGTAAGGGACGAAGTAAGTATCCAGAAATTGAAGATCGAAGAGACAGATACAAGGATAGAAAGTGAAGTGGCAGGTTTAAGGACACAGATGGAAGCTACCAAATTCCAAATTCTTCAATATTTGATGGGCTCATTGACAGGTGCCGGTGCTTTATTCTTAGCCTACTTAAGAATGTTTAAATGACCACTCGCAATAAATATTCTTAAAAAAAGCAACGGTTTCTCGTCCTTTCTGATTCTGTATGTTTATTTCGTTCATTATGCACTGTCGCATTTACAGCCATTATTTCTTTTTTTTGTTGTTGTTGTTGTTGCTCTTTTCGTCTTTGTAGTTATACTCCAATAATTGCTGATTTGATTCACAATATATCTTAGTGAAGGAGGGGTATAATTCATAAATTCGTTTCCTTTATCGACCATATTTTTGCCATTCCCATTCACGGTTATCAAGTGGGCATACTTGACGACTCTTCAACCAACGTGAAATACAATGGAAATGGAAAGCATGCTACATTGTATATAGTAAAGTATTATTCAATTATACACGTTTTGATATATATCAACGATCTGATCGACTTACATTACAAATACCCCAAGCAACTGTGCATTCCTCAGAGGTAGCTGATGCTTGATTAGCTTGACATTCGATACCTACAATCATGTTAGATTCAACCCAAGCTTAGCTGTCATATTCCTGTTCCAATTTGCATGTTGTAACAATAGGTTTTGCAGCTGATATCTTACATAAATCCATAATGTGGTTTCTGCAAATTGCACAGTTATCTACCACAATATCTATTGTATGAATCACATCGACAGGTTGATCAGTAACATAATTTCATTGACTGCCACAAAGAGAAAGTAAGTATAATTTTATACCCCAAGCCCAAAGTGCAACAGCATTCCACTGTTTTTTTGAAACGAAGTTTAGAAGAAGGCCAAGATTAGTTATCCTTTGTAGGCCTTTTTCGCTGCTGACAAAACGTCGTTATGCACAGTACCTTCTTCACTTCAAAACGAGGCTTTTCTTCCTTGCCTTTTCCCTTGCTGACTTCCGTTGAAACTGCATTATCTGCAGGAGAGTCTATATCCATAGGTGTGGAAGACATATTTTTTTAAAAACAAAAAAAAAAAAACTTATAATGATAAAATGGAAAAGACGTTTGAAGCGACGCGCAGAATTTCTAATGCGAAACGAACAAAAAAAAAAAAAAAAAAAAGCCAGCTGATGACGTTTGCTTCCACATGAACTTCCTTCAAATTCAAATTCAATTAAAAAAAAGGAAAGTTCCATGAAGACAACGTTTATAAGCATACAGGAACCATCATATAGTTGTATTGATATGAGTTTATTAGAGCAAAGTATGTACAGATATGTTCCAGAATAGTATCTTATCATCTTAATTTATTGAACAGCAAGTAAAATGAAAAGAACTAAACTAAAACAAAAGGAGATAATATAAACATTTACAAGAGGGAAAGGAGGTTAGGCAAAGGTAGAACCTTAGTTCATAGATTGAACCAATTTGTTGATGTATTCTTCACGGTTACCGGTATCACCACCTTCAACATAGTTGAGGAACTTACGTTCTCTCCACATGTTGTTGGGGTTGGAGAGCTTGAAGGGCCAAAGGAAGTTGTTGGCTTCTTTGAAGTGAGGACCAACGGTAGCAATCTCGTGAATCAAATCTTCCATACAGATGATGTTGTACTTGCCAAGAGCTTGTTCGATAACAGCATTGTCATGAAGAGGAATACGTTGCTTGTTCACCTTGGCATAACCACGCTTGTAGATTAATTCACGGATGGTCTTCAAGTTAGGATAACCGTAGGCAACATAAGGTTGGATCAATTGAAGCATTTCAGAGGTGGCCTTGTTGAGACGGACAAAGACACCATTGTTGATTTGCAAAAGACGCAAGAGTTGCAAGACCTTACGGGGCTTAGGGGCGATACCGTTAATACCACGGATACGAACAACGAATACAAGCTTTTCTTGAGCGGGAACGTAGTAGTTGCCTTGAGCCTTGGCTTGACGACGAAGACGGATTTCATTACGTTCCTTAGCTTGGTATTCAGCAGCATACTTGGCAGCACGTTTGAAAATTTCACGTCTCTTGGTAACCTTAGCCTATTAAATAAATCAAAAAAAATGAATAAAGTGTTTCTTTGGTATAACATAATGAACAAAGTGAGAGAAAAAAAAAAAGCAAAAAAACGAAGAGCTCCTTCAGACCCGAAAGATGTGTTAACGATTTTAGACAGCATCGATAAACAATCTAGTCAAAATCAAGGGTAAACCCAATTCATCATACGAGGAGCTCTCGAATGTTAAAAAGATAGTACAGCAGAAGATAGTTTACCTTACGAAGTTCAGCCTTGCGGGCAACAGCCTTATCGGCAGCAGTGGCGTCAGCCTTCTTCTTCTTCAAAAGAGTTTCAGGAATAAGGACATCATTAACAGCGGGGACGTTGCTATATTACATAAAAGACGAAGCAAGCGGTTAACAACCTCGAACTTCTACAACTGAGCAGAAAACTGAAAAGTCAGAACCCATGAGCCAACCACCCGTGACAATGAAGTTTCCGAAATGGAATAGCAATGGACCTTGACTTTTCAGCGAGGAAGGAACCACAGGCAAAAGCGAATAAACAGGCAAACGACCTTTTTATGGACTTGTTAATGACATATTGAATTTGATAACCTGCCATACCTTGGTACAGCGGATCACATATCCCTTTACATCGAGTATATAATGTGTATGTATACAAGACGTAAAAGTTTGAGGCGGGAGATGAGTTGCATGTCACCTAGCAAATACTATTCCTCTAAAACACAATATGTATGCAAAAGAGAGAATGTACCTAGATGTAAACCATGAACTGTTTGAATTTAAAGGAAAAATCCAATGGACTTAACCTCAACTCCTTCATATTCCTGAAATAGGTTGTCAGCCTATTTCTCGCACTTCACCAATGGATAAAGACAAGACGGAAAATGAAGATACAAAAAAAAATAGACAAAAGAAACCTTTACCAAAAAGACAAAGGTTTACAATTGCATATTTAAACGCTTTTGACAAGGGATTTCTACAGATACACACTGAATTGTGCTATATAACTTACTAGGCAACCATTTTGTCTAACGATCAGGCTAATTGATAAAGAAGAGAAAGTAAAAAAGGATGAAAATGCACTTTGGAGCGGCTATCAATTTGTAACAAAAAAAATTTTTCCTCTAAGCTCTGAGCAGTCCTTCTGTGACTTGAGCAGATCGAAAAAAAAATTCTACAAATTGCCAAATGCCAATACAGCACTGCCAATGAAGGAAGATGATAACAAATATCAAAGGTACTAATGCACGTAGCATGTTACTTTGAAGCTCACTACAGAGCTCAATATAAAAGTTTGGTTTAGTATTTCTTTACATGTTAAAACGATAAGTAGTTTCTGCCGGTTTTGTATGACGTTTAGGGTCTTGAAATAAGTGGCTGGCCTCCACTTAGGAAAATCAATTTATTCAAACGATGCAGAATACAGGACGAGAGGCTGCTTAATTTTACCCTTATTACGATTGTTTCATTTCTATTCTATTCTTAGTAGGCACTTCCAGGTTAATTTGCTTCTGCTATTGAAAGAAAAAAAACCAAACCACCTGGATTTCTTTTTAAGGGCATTGTTGCCATAAGTTGATTGTTGGAGCTTAAGTTCAGGTGTTTTCCAATTATGAAATCAAAAGGCAAATACCATAGTGCTCAAAGGTGACGGCTGTCCTTTTTTTAATGTAAAAGTTATTGTTCGAAACGTTTCAAGCTATTACTGAGTAGGGTATGTTTCCAACGGCCAATTTTATTAAGTTGTGATTAATTTATACATAAAAATTGATTTTTGTCATCGAAATTGCAAATAGGTTAAACGTGAAAGGGTTTTCATTTTGATTCAAAAGGAAACATGGTCTAATAAAAAAAGAGTTAATGAACAAAGTGAAAAAATGGGAAATAAAAAGCATGAATGACTATGATTGAATGTTTTACATACAAGAGGATGAGCAGGGAATGGAAAGATGAAGAGTATAATGTTCATACGTTAGAACTGAAGCGGGAGGTGGAGGATAAGTAATGGGCCAAGTGTAAAGAAGGAATCTTTAAGCCTTTGAAAGACGAAGTCCGTCATCGATTTGGTTTTTCTTGATACCTAGACTGACAGTATTCTTTTCAGAATTAAATTGAGTATAGAAGGAGTTGGTAAGGGCAGAACCGATAACGTAGTCAGTATCAGATTCACTCTTGCCGATATGAGAGCGGCACATTTCACAGCAGCTGGTGACTGGACGAGGATGACTCCAATAACGAGGAGGAAGGGTGATCTTGACGTCACCAAGAGTAATCTTAAAGTTGGGTAATCTTTCCATCAAACAACAAGGAATTTTGAATGTATTGTCAGGCTTGTCATATTCAGCGTACCAGTGCTTTTGGAATTCGGCAGCTACAATAACAGCAAAAGCATGTTAGTATTGAAGCAAAAGCATCTGCTGTTGTTGCATTCTATGCTTGCTTTTTTTTTTCCTCTTTACCTTGATCGTTAGGTAAGCCAATGACATCTGTTGAAGAACTGAAAACTGCTCTGGCATGTTTGTGAACTTTGAAGTTATTTTCGCCTACAAAACTGACTTGGCTGACGGGCACAGCCCAATTTTCTGGATAATCATCGTCAATATCCATGTGGTACAGTTTACCACGAATAACATCTTTAGCAACACCACCTTTTTTATAGGAAAAAAAAAGAACAAAACCAGGTTAGAATCACTGAAGTTACTACTACAATTTCTGGAAATCAACTTGTTGATCCTTACCGAGAATAAGATAACCATCAGGCTCATCATTACGTTTGACAAGAGAATAGTTATCATCGCGAATACCATTAAGGGCAACCCCGGATACAACACCTGAGTCAGAGAAACCATTGCCGGAGGTGGTGGTATACATACCAAATTGAGCACTGGATAAACCGCTACTTTGCTGGAAAGCATTGGGTACAAAACTTGACGAGCTCAAATCACGCTTGGCAAATTGCGAACCATAAGCACTCATATTGACATTACGTCCGAGACCAAGATAACCATCAAATCCTTTATCGAAATATTCCATCATATACGCAGCACCGAATGTCATATTCTTTACTTCAAGACCGGCAAAACGGAAAGTATCACGGTATAAGGTTGTATTGACAAAACCCTCACCATAATCCATTGAAAAGGACCTGCCTGAGGAAATAGCAGTACTTGACTGTCTGGGGTCGTAAATCTTACGATCTTCACAGTTCTCTACTCCACACTGAGGTCCACGCACCCAGGAAAAACCGGTGGATGTATCGAAAGCAACAGTAAAGTTTTGTGGTGGGTTACCAATGGAAATTGTACCACCCATCATGCCGTTCATTAAGTTGTCGGCAGGCACGGCGATATAATCATGGCTATGGTGTCGTTTGTTATAGCGATGAAGTGGGACTCTGATCGGATCGGCAAAAACGGAGCTTATTAAAGCAACTGCTGCACTGTAGAACAAAACTGATTTCATAGTGGATTGTTACTGGCTGCTATTTAAAGAAAGAGTATATATATATATATATATATAAAGGAAAATAAATAAAAAAAATTGCTCACTGTTAGCGAAAAAGAAGAGTAAAAAGAGTTGGCACAGAAATAAATAAGAAAAAGAGGAGCAAGCTCTTTATGTCAATAAAAAGAAATAGAAGATAATGAACAATCTAAATGTTTAATGGGTTTATATATGAAAGAAGGGACGAAGAAATCCCGACGACTCAATATCCTTGAGTTTGAAATCTGAACACATTTTAGTAAGAGACGAATGGATGGGACCACTACCATATGGTCTAGGTTGATCCACCTTGCTTTTTGCCTTTTCTTGGACTGTCTCTTATCGCCCGCACTATACGTTAGCTCAACCAGGGTCCTTTTTATGGAATCTCAGGAAGGAACAGTCCTATCATGATGAGAGTAGGACCCTGTCTATTCTCGCTGTCTAGACTGTAAACAGCACCTTTGGCTATTATGATTAGTCGATCGACTTGTTTAACTACGAGCGCCTTCAAGGAAAATCTATGGATTCCGTTTGATTTATGTATAAGTTTGTTATTTTGTAAAAGAATGGGTGATCGGCACAACCCTTCATTCGTTAGTGGTAGCAATAATTCTGATGATGTGTTTTGTTTCTGATTACCAATATTTACTAAGACGCTGAAGCTCACAGTGAGAAAGCCGTTAGTTTTTATTTATAGAGTGCCTTTTACACTGTATTGACTGCAGCAAGTTCTCAAAGCTTTAAATAATGGCTTAAATCAAGTAGCAAAAGCAATAGCGCGTTCTAGAGAAAAGATACCCTTCTTTCTACGAAAAGTTAATGGTCATTATATCCATTGCAATGACTGAATCCTTATAATACATTCGAAAGCCGAGAGACTACGCAACAGAATCAAAACAAATAGGCTCAGACCACTTCACGTTCTTGTTGCAAAATTTGGCAAGTGTTATATAGAATTTAAAATGCAGTTGGAAGCTCTAATTTGCAACTGAGGCTAAGTAATCAAGCCTTCTAAAACTTTGACGTAGACGCTTTCACCCTATTAGGAGTTATCAATTTGATTTCTAAGAATCTTCATACGTCTCAAGCAATGAATATTCTCAACAGATTCCGTTCATGCAAATGGTAGCCTTTCGGACTTTTCAGGTTCTCGGTGAAAGGAAATTTGTTGGGGTGCGTCGTAGTTCCTTTCTCCACGCTTTTCTTACTCTATCAGATGATCGCCCACGCAGTCAGTTACAATATAAGCCATAGATTCGGGGATACTTGGCCGGGGATACCTTTCCCAATAACATCGTAAGCACCAGTCTCGGATCTCGCGTTTTGTTTTCCGAATTAAATAAGCTATGGCCCTGACGGACTCTTAGCACGATTTCCAGACATTTGAGTCAAATGTGTGGCGTCCCAAGCATTTATACGCATGCAGTTGCATTTATAATCACAATGGATAACTTGACTTTTATAATATACAGCTCGATTGCTACAGACTGTTGACATTTTGCGAAAAAGCGGATTCTGGACAAAAACATTTTAATGAGAAATTGCTTTAAATGGTAAAATCCCGCTTGTATGTAAAACCAAAAAGTTCAATGGCAGCTTATACGCTGTAAAGCAACTGTTTACAAAGCCCTTGGCCGGTGGGTCAGTTTTACTAAATATTACGGAACAGCTGATCACAATTGCAAATTTTGGCGTTGTAAATGAGAAGTGCAAAACATAGAATTAAGGGCTTGACCTTCCTATTCAGAAATAGAATAAATGTCGTACACAACGACTTACGAGATAAAAGTGTGAATCCGTACTCCATTTTAAATTTGAAAACTGAGTGGATTGATTGTTATGGTTTGTTTCGTTACATTTCAAGTCGATAACCATGATATCATGTCTGTCTTATCAAGTTCAAAAAGTAGGGAAATCTTATGCGGACTATGACTGTCGTATGTTGTAAATCAAGAACAAGGGTGTTACTGTTGCTATTCTTCTTTTAATCGTAGCTTTACATTTTTACACTCTGTATCAGATACAACGCGGATAGAAAACAGTAAATTTTATATGTCAGCGTACTGTAATTATTATTCGATCAGATGCTATATCCGCACTGCTCAGAAATGACCTTTGAATACTGAACCATCTTTAAGATTACGAAGATGATATTACATAAGAAGAACGGTAAATATACAGTTAAGGAGCTGATTTGACTACAAATGTGAAGTGAACTAAATAAAACGCCGTTAATATGAACGTCTTTTAAAGATCAGCTACAATAATAAGCTCGAACCCAATATTGTTTTAAACTTAGAACACTGAACAGTGGAACAGAATATGCAGATAATGTTGTAGAAAGCGCAAGTAAATACGATTGGAAATAGTTCCAAGTAACTTGCGTAAATCAGATTTTGACTGGAATAACCATCGCAAAGGAGCTCCTTATCGCAGCAGCAATAGTGCACATTCAGTTTTTCTACGGATCAGTGCCGTTTAAAACAAATCAATGTCTTTTAGGCACACTAGAACCAAAAGTCATGATAAAAACCGTTCATTTCGACTCCACCTGAGTACATTCTGCATACAGTATATTTAAGAGCAAAATGATTTGAACAGAAATCAATGAAACATCCTTAAACCTTAATTGTAGCAGTGTTGTGTCTATAAAAACGAAGAAAGACATCGACAAGTAATGTAGTTGTAAGATCGAATAAACATAAAAAGAGCAATGTAAGGTATATTCAAAGGTATTTCGAAAAAAAAGATATTAAAGAAATAATGCTACACATCATTCACGGCGTCAGGATTGACAGGCGGGTTTGTAGGGAATGGATATTGTTGACAGCAGTTCAAAGAACAGAATCGATATAGCACAGGTATAAAGGAATTACCAAGTATAGACTGCCAAACCATCTCCTCTATATCAGATTTAAGAAAAGACTTTTTACAATGTTCACAAGCATGATTGGTTGTTGCAAGTACAGATTGAATACGATTCAAAATATCGTTGGGTATAATTTGAGCGAAGGGTGATGATGTTGCGAAAAGGGCGTTGTTAGTATTGATTTCATTGAGTAAAACTCTTGTACTTGTTTCAAATAAAGTTGCAAAGGATGCTTTAATTCTGCTTCTTCTGATCATTGTAGTGCTTGTAATAGAAGGTTGATCCTCGGATGGTTCAGGTACAGGTAAAAATGGATTAGGTGATAATAATAAAATGGCTAACTTTTTTAGATGCAATACTTCTGAGGGTAGGTATTTCTACAGTTGATTAATGCGATAAGCGTAAGTCAGAGGAGTAACAAAAAAAGAAAAAGCAATTGCATCATCACGCATTACCAATTGGTTGTTGCCCAATGAAAGTTCGACCAGATTTTCAAGCAGGGCAATATCAGACGGTAAGTAGTCCAACTTGTTATTTCCTAAGATTGCACACGAGAAAAAAGTTTTGAGAAAAAAGAAGCTTGCCTGGGGGAGGTTGGGATTACTTACGAAGGCTTAATACAGTTATATTCTTTAGCTTGAATAATGTTGGGTTGATTCTTGAAAGCTCATTACTGTAAAGATAAATCTGTAATGAGGCTGGTCTCACTTTATCGTTTTGAACAACTGTTACATATTCAAGTTCTTTTACTTCATCAGGTATTTCAGTTAGACCCAAGTTACTGATTGTTTGTATGTATGATTATGTCAGGGAAAAGTCTATGCTTGTTTGAATACTTTTCTCAAGCTGGGTTCTTACCTCATATCCACTAGCTCTACACCATTATCAATTGTTGCGTCAATAGCTCGACGTACTTTATCGAAAGGTGTATCATTGGATATTCCCAATTTTCGTCGAAAAGTTTCCCTGGTATTTATATCCCAGCTTGAGGAATTTATGCGAACTGATCCAGGTGCAATGTCATTATCATTACTGTCAGTGTTCCTTCTCCCGATACCAATATGACTGCTGCTTCTGGCCCTGTTTCTTTGTTCTTTTTGGCTACTATTGCTCGTTGCTATCAAGTATTCCTCTTCTTCTAAAACCAGAGTATCATCATTGTAACCATCAGCAAGTCTGAAATTGTCGTTATAAGTGTTTTCCTCGTCTACTACTTCTTCCTCGTCCCCTAAGCTGCTACTGTCACTTTCACTGATACTACTACCGCTTATTGAATAAGGCCGCTTTAAAAAGTAATCCTTGATAGAAAGGGCAGCAGGAAAAGGCGGCTGATATGGAAATTGAGGTAGAAAATCCTCGTCTTCCGATGCATCTGTATCTATCCAATCTACTTGCTTAACCGAGTCTTGACGCTTATTTCTCTTTGGTCTTTGCTGATTTATAAGTATGTTGCTCATATAAAATGATAATATAAGGAAAAAAAAAAGAATAAAAGGAAAAGAAAAGAAAATGGAAAAAGAGTGAGAGACAGGATAGTTGCTATTAATAAATCGGTGAAGCTGCCAGAAATTGGAATCCTAATTTGTCTTTGTTCGAATTTGGAGTTCCGTACCCCACGTTTTCAGAAGGTTCATGCAGCCAAATCTTCTTTTACAATAATAGCGCACAGAAATATGGTTGCTCATTCCATTAACACAAAAATTCGTACCTGTGCATAGTTAGGCGCCTCTGATGATGCACTTACATAGTTTTGTTTCTTAAAAATATTGCTGAATTATCTTATTACTCACGATAGTTAACAAAACCGTTCAGGGCACCTTTCAAAACACCTTCTTGTTTGACATTGACGACACTTGCAATTTTTGAACATTCCCATTGGAAATTATGAATGAATTTTGAAAGAAGAGACCATACTGAATGGCTAGCAGCTATACTAGCCTTTTTTCTGCTCGAGGAACAAACCAACAAAGAGAAAACCGAGCAATTTCAAAAGACCGTTTGGCTAAATAACTAACTACGTCACTGCTGTAATCTGATTGAGATATGTTGCTATATCTAAACGAAAAGAAAGAGCTTCATATACGATAGAAAGGTACTGACGAATAATGACATACTACCTCCTGGATACTATAATTATTTTGAAGGCTTCAAGATTTGATCGCTAGAAGACTGACATGGCTAGGAGCTGCTTGAATTATTGCTCTTCTAAGCTATTGAAGGACAACCTTGAGCACTTCTTTTTAAAAGGTATTTCATCGAATATCATATGTTACAGCATACATGAATGTGCTTTGCACATTTGTCAAATTATTCCACTTCCGCACGGTAGCTTTTCCAAGGCATATTTCATATACATTTGAAAGACGGGTGAGTTATATTGTAGCCTTTTCCTATGCAAGCTACAGCCTTAACATTACTATGAAGTCTTAACAAAAGACCATATGTTTGCAGTTGATTAGATTGAATCGGAGAAGGATGATCAAAGAGACAAATAACAATAAATGCATGGTTACGAAACTGTTATTTGAAAAAGCGTTTAGACATTTTCAAAAAGAGGTATCCATGTTATAACAATAGAAAAACGAAAAAGATTTACCCCTTCATAAAGAAGTGATTTAAGCTCACAATATTGCGAATTCGGTGAAAGCCAGGCTTATTTGCTGTTGTGGTCTTATTTCATCAAATCACAAAGAATAAAAAGGCATATGAAAGAGCAGTCGGTATTTGAAAACATAGCTCGAAATTTTTTTGATTTTCGAAGATCCACTTTTTATCAATTCACTGTTCTGGCAGAGCCTACAATTAATTGACATACTATGATACCAAATAACGGAAAGAGAAAAGCAAGTACAAATGCCTCTTCGCCTCCGCCATCAAAGAGGTCGCCTTATCATGCGTTTTCACCTCCTCATTCTTCTAATTTGGCCACCAGTCCACCTCATTACCCTTATCACTATCAACAATCACCACCACCATCAACATCATCTTCACCACAGCAGCATCACCATCACAACCGCCCGTTGACAACAGCAGCAGCAGCAGTAGCCGCTATTAAAAGAAGTAGTAGTTCGACAAGTGTTAACAACAGTAATTACGGATCAACGTCACGGTGGTCTTCCTCACCGTCTGCGGGAGGTGGAGGATATAGAAGACAGAGTAGTAGTACTGGACCGCCATCACGACAAGGCTCAGTAGATACCGATCGTGAAGGTAGTGTAACCAACAGTATAACAGCAGCCGATGACGAGAATAATGGAACAGCAGTCAAACGTGAGGAGACTGGTAATGAAGCAGGCTCAATGGCAGTGACTAGCAGCAACACTAAAGATGGAGGCAGTGCTAGTAATACAGAGAAGGCAGCAAAAGATGGCGGCGCCAATGAAGTAGAAGGTGAAGAAGATGAAAAGGAAGATGTAGTAGTAGATATGGATGCTCGTATGCAGGCACAAATGGAAAAGGCAAAGGAAGACATGAAGATTTTATTAGAGAATTTCTCAGAGGATCAATTAAAGAGATATGAAGGTTATCGTCGTTCGGCTTTGAATCGAACGAATGTGAAAAGGGTAAAAGCAAGAAACGTGCAGAGGAGAGGGATAAAGTTTTCAACCCGGATTGACTCTCTTTTGTTTATTGTAATAGTTGGTGAGTCAAGTACTCAATCAGCAATGCTCTCAAACAATGGCATTTGTAGTGGCTGGTTTTTCAAAGGTTTATGTGGGTGAGATAGTCGAAAAAGGTAAGTTGAAGAAAAGCAATGAGATGCAGCCAAAGCCGTCACTCCCAGTCAAGCTAACTCTATTTGGTGTTGCAAAAATGATAGCCAAAGAAATCATGGAGGAATGGGGCCATCAAGGGCCGATCCGACCAGAACATTTACGCGAAGCACATAGAAGATATAAGAAAGAAAGAACAGACACTACTTTGTTGGGAAGAAAACTCTAACTATTGTTCATCTATTTATTTTCATCGGCTCGGCTTTAAAGATGTCACTCACAGTTTGACGGATCTTGTACGACCACGGAACTATATAAGGAGATCTGCAAACAATAACCATTTACCTAAATAATAAAATAATTGTTTCCTGAGGTGGGATTCTTTAGTCTGTAAGTCATGAAAGGTTATGAATTTGTTTTAAAGCATTCTGATAATGGGAATGTAGTTCACTTCTTTCTTTATTTCATTATTGTTGCCTCTCGTCCATTGATTTCGCTTAAACACTACGTCCACGCTTGCTTTATCCTCTACCATTAAAAAGCGTTGTCGGTCAAATAAGAACAGTCAACATATAACGAACGTCTATCATAATCTAAAATAGCCATCATAAGCATGTATTCAGGCCCTATGCTACCACCTCCATCTCCCAAATGCTGTATGTGTATACCCATACGGTTAGGTTCCTTCTTCATATGTCTTATATGGGCGGTACGCTTCGCATCCATGACCATCAACTATCTATCTATCTATCTCAGTTACTAACTAGTATTTGTCACAGGCACTTTCGATGTATTTTGCAGTTCTTTCTTTCCAAAACGGAAGTCGTAAGTAATAGTTGAGAGAAAAACCATTGCCGTCTATTGAAACATTAACATTGGAACGCTTTCTCTACAGCCTTTTATTCATACATGTCACAAACGGCTGGATACATCTACGGTGTTGCTAACCTTGTCCTGTCCCTCGTGTCCGTGGCAGGAATGATTATTATCATCACTGTAAGCTTATTTTACCTAAAGAAAAGCAATCAAAATCAGTCTTACCTACTTTCGTCTTTTAACCACCCTTTTTATGCTAGAATGTAAGCCGTTACGTACGCACTTTTTCGCATGCGACCTTTGTTTGTGTGTTCTTGGTAATAGTCGATGGATTCGTAAATATGATTCTGTTCATCACCACCAAAGTCGAGTTTCAAAACTGGTGCGTCGATAAATCGTCCAGCATCATGATGCAAAACGTCAATAATGCTTTAAATGAAACCAGCGCCCAGCAAATGAACTTTTCAAATGATTATTACAACTGCTCTGCCTTATGGGAAGATGAAATGAAATTTGCTATCATAGCATTTGTGCTCATGTTTTTGGCTTATGTAAGTACATCTTTTTTTTTCTTCTTTTTCTATTTTCTGGTATTCCGAATTAACATTACAATGTTGCAACCTTTGATGGTTTTCAGTCATATTGGGCTTTGTGTATATACAGTTTCTCAATTATAAGACGAACCTATATAACTGATGCTGACCTACGCGCTGGAGGAGCCAATGTACCTATGATGGGAGCACCTGGAGTTGCGCTTCCTCCTAACGCCATGATCAATACCCCCGCTGGTGCTGTTGGAGCGGGACCTTTCCCTCCACCTCCTGCAGGAACAGATCGTAATGTTATCGTCCTCAATAATGCTAAACCAAGGTCAAAATCCACTCGTAAGAGAAGAATTGATACATTTTCCTTCAGAAACCCCAAACTAGAAAGTGCGGGAGTGGCAGGAATGAACAAACGGAATTCACGTCTTTTATCACTACTGACATCATCTCCACTTGTACAACAACAAGCATTGGCATTAGCGCAACAACAACAACAAGAACAGCAGAAGCAGCAAGACCCATTCCAAGAACAACCGATGCAGCAGCTTGCACTCAGTCGACAGACATCGCAGAATCAACGGCAATCGCTCTATATTCCATTTTATAACTCAAATAAAGACTCACAATTCACGATTGGATTCCAACTGAACCCCGAAGGACACATAGTTGATATAGAAAACAACACATCACAAATACAACAACAAGCTTCACCTACACCGACATTTGTAAATACAGCATTTTCAGCAATCGATCAATCAAATAATAGTAACATTAAAAGGAAACCAGTGCAAGAAGAGCATGACACTACTGTCTTCTATTAATCTTCTAATTATATGCTAACAATTGACTTACACATCTTCATGTAAAATTAATATAAATATACTTATCTTGACAGTATTCCCTATGTACATGTATCTTCCTTTTTGAATGTGTGATGATTCCAATACGGCCGTAACGGTGAGTTTTAGGGAAAAGAAAAACAATATGTAGAATTCAAGCCTGAGTCACATAAGGCTCTTCCAAATTTATCTACGTTGAATTCACATTCGACATATTTCTAGTAACAGTTTGAAAATGGAGTGAATGAGGCTATCATTGGCAGCCCACTGAATAAGTAAAAGCCTTCAATAACAACTTGAACAAACACTATTCGCGTTGCCTATAGTGCCTTATGACGGAATTCACAATACGATAGAAACATACAAGAAGGCCTAGAAGGTGTCAACTTTCACTTTTGACAAAACATTTTTATAGATTAAAATATTGCTATAAACACCATTTATAAATTTATTTAATTTTTTATTTATTCTGAAGAGCCGATCTATTTGACAAGAATGATATAAATGCAAAGAATTGGAGCAAGAGAACGGTGAGAGCGTCAGACCCAAGAGGATAACACCTATAGATAAACCTACATGACATCACTTCTTTTTTGTGGCAGAAACCATTGAACACTATTGGAAGATATTTCTCTGGTATACATAACTAATTTTGATATCATGTCATTCTCAAAAAAGCTGTGTGGCTTAACTGAAATAAGCCTTTTATGCCTTTGTTGAGTTTTAGCTTCTGAGTGGCTACTATACATGTATTGCCCTTAAAGATTGCAACAAATAAGCTTAAATATTCATCGATTCATTTAGGTACTTTAGTCTGCTTGCTCCAATTGCAGTGCCGCGAGAAAGAAAACGGATGTAATTCTTACATCATGAAAAAACTGGAGTTCAGTTCAATACATACGAAGACTATAATCAATAGTTCTCATTCAATTGAGCAATATCCTACGGCACGATTAAGGATAGGATCAAGCGTATGAAATTCTTTGTCGTCAGTATATTTTATGGAATGATACCCTATTGTCCACTTTTTCGCCATGTATCACATGGAGCATTTGATACCTATTTAATATGTAATAGTTGCAGTGAAAAAAAGGGCAAAGTATTGTAAAGTAACATTGCTCAGCGATGCGAAAAAACTGCGTGCTATAAGCAAGAATGAACAGTTTACAATCGTTTTTTGGTGATACAGACCTTTGTATGTATATCTATTTATTAAATTATAGTTTGCAATACAGTGGTAAGGCGGTCTAGATACAAAAAATTAGGAAAAGATACAAGAATCCTTCATCATATTGTACAATCAAAATTTTAAAATTGTTATATACTACAGTATATTGATCAAAAATGTTCATTGTTGTGCATCTGACTGTCGTCTTGGCATTCATCATCATCTTCATCATCGTAGTCGTCGTCTTCAGCGTCTGTATCTTCGGCACTGAAATCTGTCATGGATTTAATTCTTGTTAATACATGGGATATGGTAGACGATCGTCTTCCTAATTGATGATGACTATGAAAGGAACCGATCCGTAAATCAGAAATATCGTCTTGTTTATTCTCAAAATCGCGGCGTCCGTAATAAGATCCACGGTGGGAAGCGTTAGAGTCTGCATAGCAGCAGGGGGAGGACAGAATATCGACTTGATTGGTGTTGGTATCATCATAGTTGATGTTATGGAGACTATGGTGATGTTGATGTGGTGGTGAGGATGTTGGTATCATTCGCTTGGCAGTAGCCATAGGTGAACAAGCTGGCCGCTGCTGATAATACTCGTTTCCATTTGGATTGGTATAGAGTTTATTGGCTGATGATGAGGATGATAGTATGCTTATCCTTTCCTCGTCGTCGTTGGTAAGTTCGGTTTTGAAGTGATGCTTGTTATCAGTTAGCTTGAAAGGTAGAGGTATCTCTTTAATCGCTCTATATTGGGCGCAATTATTGATATGCTAAATCGAAAAAAAAAAATGTATACATGAAGCGTCTATTAAATTTAGCCCCTTTTTTTTTTGCATTTTGCAAATACCTCATTTTCAAGTCGAAAAAAGTTCCATTGAATTCTACGATACACTTCCAAGAGCGCAACTATTACACTCAATAGTAAATTGTTGACTCGTAAGTTAGTGACGCTCAGTATCCAGGAAAATCGGAGCAGAATATTGATGGGTACTGCAGTATAATATGTCTTTGAAAAAATAGGGCTGCCGTTAGTAAAAAGAAAAATAAAGACCCGTTGATCACGTTCCGTTTAAATAAAATACCTTACCCAACGATGAAAAACAAGCTCATCTCTGAGCAAAAAGTACTGGCTTTTAGGCTGCAATAAACCCCAATCCATTTTTATATCCCAACAGGAAGTATAAATTGAATTGAAAAGATAGATAAGCACACAGCATACTGTCATAAGAGAAGAAGCTGCAGATAAGTAAATTTACGTTAGCTTTTACACGTATTCTGATGTAGTGTAATGTTCTATGAAGTCGAGACTTACGGTACATGCGTTTTAAGCCTGTAATAATAGCGGCCATGATACTACTCATGTACTTTGCAGCATTGAGTAAGTGGATCTTTTCAGTCGAGTCTCTATAGCGCCGTAAACATTGGAGCAATCTCCACCAGGGCGGTAAAGAAGCCAGAACAGGTGCTACCCAAGCTTGTGCCATATTACAATTCGAACCTTAAATAGCAAATTTATCAGTTAGCTGCCTTATCTTTCATGTACGAATCATTGCCAAAATAGATATAACTTACTTAAGTCTATCCAATGACACGAATAAGCACAAAAAAAGTACGACGAGGTCCAGATCGAATAGCTGAGACTATTCAGTTCATCTGCAATAAAGAAATCGCGGAACTCTACAGGAAAACAATAGGATAACGCAATTCGCACCAGAGCCACACCGAACCATTTTCGAGATGAAAAATACAAGATGTCGAAAGGACACAGTAAGATGGATAATAAGATAACGAATAGAATGAGTGGATATAATTCTGAGGGTATCGATGGAGAGAGGTATTGTGAGAAATCCAGAAAAGTAATTAATGAGGATACGCATAGTAGGACAGCAGGTAGTTCTGCAAATTGGTGGTAATCGAGATTATGTCGAGGATCAAGCTCAAATATGAACTTATAGTTGATGCGGGACCGATGCCATGCAATCAAATTGAACGTAAAGCAAAGACAAAAAAGGATAGGGATTATAAAACAGGCGTAGATTTGCATGTTTGTCTGGACATTTGGAAGCAGTTTGTATGTTTTGGGGTCGAAAACAAAACGTAATGTCTGGCTGAGTAAGGCGAAGCTTATACCTAGAAGGAGGCCGATCCGTAGCGTACTAGAATGATAGTCCTAGAAAATGTTTTAGTTTTTTAAAAGAACAATATTGTCACCGTTTTCCAAGCATAGTATCTGACGGCAGATAATTTACCTCTTCTTTCTCCAGCACTCTCAGCTTACGCATACCGCGGCGACGATGGCCATCTGCAAATTCGTCTATGTACAATTTCTAAAGTTATAGAGAGTCAAAGAGTGTTAAATCCCTCATCTATTAAGTTGATACGCCAGACGTGACGTCGTATATTACCTCTGTTTCGCTTATCAAGGAGTCCACTTCAGGTGTGCTAATCCAGTGATGCTTCTTCAATATCAAAGAATATAAATTACTTGCTCTCCAACCAGCAGTCTTGTCGAACTTTTTCAATATTTTGTAAAAGCCCGTTTCATTCAAGGTTTTGTATGACTTTAGAAACTCTAGACTACGATAATATTCGGTAATTGCTTTTTTTAGTCTATTTCTTGCCACATTGTAAGTGATTCGTTGATCATCTACATAATCATAAACATGGTGAGACCTAGGTAAGGTATCACTATCATGGTGATACCCCTTTGTCATCCTCGAGTGTTGCTGCTGCTGCTGCTGCTGCTGCTGGTCATTTTGGTCATGATATGGAAACCAGCTGTATAACCGGTAACGAGGTATATGTGGATTATGATTAGGAGCAATGAATTCTTGATTAGGCTATACCATGATATATAGAACAACAGTACGATGAGAAAGACGAATAAATCAGCGAGCATCTTTACTGTACCTACCTCCATACTCATCAAATGATGCCCGTAGTCAGTGATGAATTGCATTTGTCCTTTTAAAGCTTCTAGCTTAAACTTGGCTTCGGTTTCTTTTTCTTTAAAGAGAAAGCAGATACTAAAAGTTTAAATTGATATTTTGATACGCATACAGATGATAAACTGGGCTTATTGTCCCCCTTTTCTTTTACCATTATAAAAACGAGAAACCTTGTCAAGTTCAGTGTCGAGGCTATTAAAAAAGTTCTTTTCTGAAGTGCTCGCATGAGCTAATACTTCATCCAAAACAGATAATGTTGTGGAAGCACTTCTAACGGAACCTGTGTAAAGTGTCAGTTTGGGTTGGATTATTTGATTCCGTCATTTTATATTTTCTATTTTTCTGTACACTTACATTGCCGAGATAAGGGCCGATGGTGACATCTTTCTGTCATATCCATTTTGTAGAATTTGCTACTGTCCACAGATGATGATGTGTTGTGCTCATTTCTACTACTGTCCCAGTGATTGACATAACTGTGATAATAGTCTTTATTATTGCTGTGAGGTACAACCTCTTGAAATACTTGATTTAGGCGGAAGGCCGCTTTTCTTTCTTTGTACTTCCGAAACTAAAAAGAACAATAATAAACCTAGTTCAGATCGATTACATTTAATATGAATGCAGGCTGTTTACTTACCCTTTCTACTTGTTTCAACTTTCTTTTCAGGCTTTTATAGTTTATATAGGCTTTTCTCCATTCTGGAATACATTGACTGTCTAAATCCTTTGAAAATTTCATGTCTAGGAATCTGACAGGGACAGTTTTTTTTTATACACACAAATGCTTTTTTAAGAAGCCTATTTAATGATGCTGTCTAGGGATTTATAGATGTATTCTAGAGTGTTACAAGTCAATGAAGCATAGACAAATCAAACAATATGACAGTTATGCTTTGAAATTAACAGAGAAGAAAAGCCCTATTTCCATCAGAATAAAACCAAAAAGAAGAAAAACGCTCATGAAGGCAGAAAACTCCTCCCCTTATTTATAGTTAAAAAAAATTCATTATTTTTTTTTTTTCTATTCCAAAACCTTATGCACGTGTCATAACATAGCGTATATCTGCCCGTTGCCGCCAAATGTACATAGACTCGTATATTCGTAGTATTATTGTTGTTGTTGTTGTCAGTTTCAAATGTTGTCAAATGTCTGTACCTGTGAACATTGATTGATGTTGTGTCCCCGACTTCCCCGTAGATAGCACGTGACTGTTAGGAATTTACTGCTGCTGCCAAAGCTTATTTTTCCTCGCTGTATCTCAAGTGTTTGGATATTTTGGCAAGTTTCCCTTTTTTTGCATAAATTGAAAAAATAAAAAAAACAACAGAAATGGCGCTCAAGACGGATCGCGCCTTTTATAAGAAAACAAGATCCAATGCGATCATAAAGCTAGTGAGAGAACGTAAACTATCCCGAGCACAACTCTAGCCAAACTGTCTATTCGATTTACTCGTGAACAAAAATAAAAGGCAACGGGCTTATACCACAACACTTTTTCTTTTGCTAACTGTAGAATATCTACGCAGTGACGTACCTTGTTTATCTGAAAACTGCTCATCTCACTGTCAAAATGAAGGATATCGAACTTTATTAAGTGCCAATGCAGACCATTATATTATACCTGACATATCGGTACAGAAAAAAAGAAAAAAAGAGAAGTTTTAATTTGTTTATTATTTTGGGCGATGTGATAAGCTGTCATTGAGTTTTGTATTAAAGAAAAAAAAAAACGTGGATTTTTTGATAGGTTATAATGAGATATCTTGAGGTTCTCGAGCAAGAGGAAGTTACTGGAATAATTTTAAGTCAGACTGTTACGATTAATGTAAAGAACAAACAAAAAAAAAAAAAAAAAAAGAAAAGAAAAAAACTAAGGGGAGGAGGCGCAACAAAGGTGGTAACGGTTTTAGGATCTCTGATTGATGTCATCAATTATATTGTAGCTTCAACAACATGATAAAACAAGAACCTATCGTAAATTACGTCAAATTGTCAACGATCCCAGAAAGAAGAGTATTTTATTTTATAATGAAGTCTTTGAGAAAACCAAAGTGTTACGGAAACCCGATGAAACAAGTGTCCAGCGTGACTGGAGAGCATTCTGTCGATTGGCTCAATGGTACAATAAACACTTACATCACGCAAATAAGAAAATCATATTACTTTCTGAACTGCCTCAACATCATCAGGAGGTCGCAACAACACTGACAGATGTGATTGTTATGACAACTAAGCAATATGTGGACTTTTATCATAAAGATAATCAATTACTACAAAACTTAGTACAGGTTCTGGCCGACGTTAGTCTGGAGGATAATGACGAAGGACGAATTAGGATGCATGGATCGGCACATTCATCAGCAACAAGTGCTAAGGGCAATAATGCTACAGCAGTCTCCGGCTATTCTGAAGTAAATCAACTATACGCCTTCATTTTCAGAGATAAAAAATCGCAGTTATTCTAACTGTTAGAAATTCATTATTCCTTTACTTAGTACAAGCCCCTGGAAGAGCTGGAAGCCGGCATCAAATCAAACCGTTATTTTTCGGGAACATTGCGTTGTAAAAAGGACAATCGAGATCAAGCTTATGTGAGTGGCGGTGCACAGCTTGGTAAAGATATCCTTATCGTTGGAAATGAAAACAGGAACCGAGCAGGTAATGGATAACTCACTGTGAACCGTGTGTATGATCTATACTGATCGATTTGAATTCAAACTATATTCACTACTGTAAACTATCCTTAGTTCACGGAGATATCGTAGTTGTGGAACTCTTGAGTGAAAGTAATTGGGCTTCACCATCTAACGAAATCTCGTTTGAAAGCGGTTATATTGAAGATGGTAAAAGAGACAACTAGCTCATATAGTATAAAGCCCATCTCTGAGCTGATTTTTGTAACCTTATTATACGTTTTATAGAGATTGAAGAAGAGAAATTTATAGTGAATTCTGTACCAAACAATCAACCCACCGGACGAGTAGTGGGTATTCTAAATCGTAATTGGAGATCCTATGTGGCTACTCTCCAAGAAGACAGTTCCACGGAAGGAGGCTCTATTCACTTAGTTATTCCTCTTGATCCAGTTATTCCTAAAATTAGAATTCGGTATCACGATGTCAAACTGATCGAAAACCAACGTATTGTTGTTCGTATAGATAATTGGTATAAACTGTCATCAAGTAACTCATCGTTTCTATTGCGGATGGCATATTAACCATATTCTTTAAGGCCAATTTCTTCGCAATATCCTAATGGTCACTTTGTAAGATCATTGGGCCCTATACATCAGTTAGATACAGAGATATCCGCAATTCTCGTAGAACACTCCATTTCCGTATCGCAATCAACTCAAGGCTTCAGTCAAATGTCTTTGAAAGAAATGCCAATCGATACTCCCGATGAACCTTGGAAACCAGAAAAGGTGAGGTTCTTTTTCAAGAAAACAAACAAACTTTGCCTCGGATAAAAACCTTAATCTTATCCTTATATTTTAATAGGACGAAATTAGTAAACGCCGTGATTTAAGGGATCAGATTATTTTCAGCATCGATCCTCCAAACTGTCAGGATATTGATGGTAAACGATTGCATCACATGCGATGGAAAATGAGAAAAGAGTAACATTAGCCCGTTTATAGATGCCCTTTCCATACGAGAGTTACCTGGTGGGAATATTGAACTAGGTGTTCATATCGCAGACGTTAGTTATTTTGTAAAGGAAAACTACATGACGGATTTGGAAGCGAGATCACGGTAAGTTTTCTCATCACCCGCTTCGGTAATTATTTTTTTCTTCAGCTGTTCCAATAAAGCTAATGTCTTGTAATAGTGGAACAACAGTGTACTTGGCAGATAGACGATTTGATATGCTCCCTTCTGTACTTAGTGAACGCGTTTGTTCATTAAGACACAAGGTAGATCGTTATGCAGTATCTGTAATATGGACTATGGATAAAAACTATCACATTCGTCAGACATGGTTTGGTAGGACCATCATAAGATCAAGTTGCGAAATGGAATACGATCAGGCACAACAATTACTAGATGGTAAAGAAGTTGCTGTAGGCTTAGGTAAGCAATTCTTCTTGTTGTTTGTCTTTCACACATCAGCAAAAAAAAATATCGTAGCTTAGCGATTACCTTTCTTTTGACCTTCAGATGCATCTCTGTGCAAAAAGTTGAAACCTTGCATTCTAAATCTAGCACGAGTCCTTCGAGTCATCAGAGTAAGTTTCTGCTATTGGTTAGGAAGCACAAGCTTTTTTATAAGCTATACGTTTGCTAACTTTATCAAACTATCCACAGGAAAGACGTTTAGCAAAGGGCGCCCTTGAACTAGAAGGATCAGAAATCAAATTCAAGATAACAGAACAGCATGAAGTGACTGAAATTAATATCCTTTTACAATTTGAATTATCATCAAACTACCTAATTTTGATTTTATCCCTCATTCAATTGATATTATCCTTAACCAACTATCTTTTTCCATTCTTTTACTTCCCAAAGAAGGTAAAGAGATTCATGGGTTAGTAGCCGAAGCAATGATTTTAGCCAATGCATCGGTTGGTAAACGTATCTATGAAAGTTTCAAAGATGCAGCCATTCTCAGACATCACCCACCTCCTACACCTGGACAATTTGAGCGATTAGTGAAAGCTGCTGGAGTGAGGGTATGCATTTGATATGTCTCAACGATGAATAATGTTATACTCTTTAATACAAATGGATGGTTTATCTGACTTTATATGTATATACGTATAGGGATTTTCAATCGACTTCTCGTCAAACAAGGCTCTAGCTGAATCTTTAGAGAGGATTACGAACGGTTGCAAAGATGACCCTGAAATTGCCAAGTTGATAAAGTCGATGGCAACCATTGCTATGAATGAAGCAAACTATATTTCTTCGGGCCATTTTTCTGTCGATCAGTATTACCATTATGGTCTTGCTTTAGACTTTTATACCCATTTTACTGTAAGTAAATGAAATTGAAAAAACTGTAGAAGCCCACAAGGAGATTAACATTACTATGGGTGGTTACACAGTCGCCAATCCGTAGATATGCAGATATCATTGCGCACAGACAGCTTCTTATGTGCGTTGAAGATCCGACAGCTATAAAAGATAGGGAAGAAAGAAGTACCATCATGTTAAAAGATGCTGCTATCACTGAAATTTGCGAGAACTTGAATCTTAAGTCAAGAGAATCAAAATTTGCCCAAAGGGTAGGTACAACCGTTTTGAGTTCTTTCTATAAACACGAAGGCTAATCATTCCTCAAACAAAAGGACTCGACAGAATTATTCCAAAGTCTATTTGTTTTGCAACATGTAAGAAGATGTCAAGATCAAGCTTTTAAAAAAAGTTAATCTAGTTTTCTCATTTTGTTTGTTTGTTTGTTAGACATCCAATGAAGATACACTTATTGAAAGAGGCGTCATTTCAGAAATTCGTTCAAACGGCTTTTACGTATTCGTGCCAAGGTAATAGATTGCGAAACAGGAAAATGATGATGAGCCCGTACGTTTCCAGATTAACTTTTTGCTTCTATATTACGTACATGCAGGCTTGGACTGAAAGGGCCCGTGTATTTGAAGGATAAAGACGGTAAGACGACTGTACCTTTGTCTCTCATTTCTGGAAAGCAAACGAAAGGTAAGGACCAAAAAAAAAAAAAAACGAAATCTCACTGAAAAGCCAGTAAGAAACGGAAAGGCTTATCTTATCCGTCTAAAAAACTTTTACTAGATGAGGAATCTTATATACCCGACTGCGATATTGAAGTCAATATGCCCACCGATATTAAGGTGATGTCAAGCAACCTACCATATCCTATTCAATTTAACATTTTTGATAATGTCAGAGTCTCCCTCAAACTTCGTATGTCGCATGCTCATCGCCACATGGTTTATATGACATTGGTTGATATAGAACATGTCCAAATCAACAATGGTGATAAGAAAGCAGCAACAGCAATAACGAACAATATCACTCGTTTGACAAATAAGGATATGCTTCATGCTATTGCTGATAAAGAAGTGGAATCTACAACTGCACATAAGGACTCATCAGCCAATAATAAGAAAAAAAAGAAAAAATCTAGTTCAATGTACGATCTTTTGGAAAGATTTAGAAAGATGTCTGTAATAGAGTATAACTCCTCTGATATTACAAGTTCATAATTATATGCTAAGCATAGAAGACACTATTAGATATATTATAGATCGCTGTAAAGAAAATATAATATTCTTCATCAAATGAATATAATTGTTATTGCTTAATTTGACATCCCTTTCATCATGTTACTGTTCGTTTGTAACTCCCACTCTCGGACTCAACATGCTTATACATGATTCACACTTTAAAATGTACTTTCTGTCGATTATTATCAAGTTATAGTTGATTGGTTATGATTATAAAAAAAATGTTCTTAGACGTTGGATGTTATTAACCGTTACGATATGGAATTAATGTTTAGCATAGAGTAAATTATATCAGAGTAATAATAGTAGAAAGGAATGGACAGAGGTTTTTGGTGGTACGGTAAGGCTCAGTCGTTTGTATTGATGCTGGGTAATTAATTATAAAATGAGTGAAAAAAAACGACGAGCTTTACTACTTATCGAGATCTTAGAGGAGTTAGAGGACGACGCTTGTTTGTCATTTGAATGATGTATCATTAAATCTTGTTGTTGTTGTTGTTGTTGTTGTTGCTGAACGTCAAAAGCAAGTTTCAAATCAGGCATATGTGAAAACTCGGCGATTTCAACCGACAGAAATGTAATGGTGCTTTTGTTATTATTGTTATATTGAGTTTCGGATGTACTATTAGTTGCAGTTGTGCCATTGTTCATCTCGTAGCTCCTTACGACCAGCGTGGTAGGATACTCTGATAAATCTTCAATTTCGTTCTGTTTGTTGCTTTCTAAGGATACTTTTGTGTTTCTGCGCTTTGCATAACGAGCATTTTCTTCATCTTTAAAGTTGCTGATGATTGAATAAGAAGATCTCCCCATGGTGTCATATTGCAATGAACAATGATTTATCCGGAAGCTTTTGTCATCTGAAAGCATACTAATACTTCCTCGCTTTCGTGCTGTTTGGAAAATAGGCAAAGGGTTTGCTAAGCGCGTGTCTTCTTCGCCGTTTGTTTCTATAATTTCTTGTTCAACAATGTCATTATCATTATAGAAACCATCTTCGTGGTGCAACTGTCGTTTATAACGGTCGTATGGTTGTTCGAGCTGCTCATTATTGCGATATCTGCTATCTGCGAATGAATAACCATCAAACACACTTTGTACCTCTTCAATAAAATCAAACTGAGAGGTAGCAGGTGTCAATGCAGGTGTCATTGCTAAGAAATCAGAGTCGAAATTTGTAAAATCTAACTCGTATTTAACAGGTGGAACGAAAGGCGGTTGCAGCCGGCGAAGTCTTACATCATTCCATGATATACCTGAAAAATATATATGACTTTTAATCTCCTCGACGCCATTCGCACCTAAACGACTGGATGGGTCACGGTCAAGGAGGCCAGTCAAAAAGTCTGCAGTTTCATAGTCAAAGATATCCGCCGGGAATTCCAAAGGGTCATCTAATACGCGCTTATACATATCTGAATGGTTTTCGGCCCAGAAAGGAGTAACGCCCGCAAGCATCTCGTACAGTATAGTTCCGAAACTCCAATGATCAATGCCAAATGAGTAATGCTCGCCTAGCAGCACCTCAGGAGCCAAGTACTCAGCGGTCCCACAGAACGTTTGCGTGGTGTAGTTGTCATTTTTGTCCAGCCATTTACTCAGGCCAAAATCAGTCAGAATAACATGCCCATCACCTGTTAACAGAATATTTTCTGGTTTCAGATCACGGTAGAGAATGCCCCATTTATGCAACTCGCCAATACCATCAATCATCTCTGCTGCATAAAATAGCGCACATTCTGGAGGAAAATTGTATAACTTGGCCATATGCGTGGCTAGGTCTCCGCCGCAGTAATAATTGCTTAGAAGATACAGCCGATGTTCGTCTTGGAAAGATGCGTGCAGTTTTGCAAGGTAAGGATGTTCGATTTCTGTTAGCTTCACAAGTATATTTCTCTCATCTAAAGTATGCGCAATTTCTTTTTGCTCAACCACATGTGCTTTAACGATAGACTTCAGTGCGTAGAGCTGTTGAGTGATACGGGATCTGACCAATAAAACCTTAAAAAAGTAAAATTGTCACGTCAATGATATGCCAGATATAGTGCCTCTATGTACACCTATTAAACATTCCCATTTCGTCCTCGCTCCTCTGCTAAGTATTGTGAAATCTACCTTTCCCATGCAGCCCTTCCCCAGGACTTTGATCATATCTAAATGGTCTAGGGGTGACCTGTTATCCTGCATAGAATCGTCCTGAGATTCTTGCTTTCGAACCATTATTTCTAACAGGTCGTCATCTTCTTCTTCATTGCAGTCTTCAATAAAGATTAAACGTGAATTCACGACTAAGTCCACGTTACAAGCATCATCATCAGAGGCCTGTGGGAGACTAATGATCGATAACTGCGGACTGGGCGTCCACAGTTCCCCGGCTTTTGAATGGTTGCTTACATCTGTATCAGGTTCGATTGGGTCATCTGCTCCTTCTTTTTGAGGTAACAATGAGACAATTTTTTTTCCTATGGCAGAAGTGTCAGATGATGGTGCTGGTGAGGGCAGACTATTCACACGTGATGAAGGGGCAAGCGGTTGCTGTTGCTGCTGTTGAGCTGCCGATGATTGACATTGCTGACTAAAGTCACCGTCTCGTTGGGGAGAGAGAAAATCGCGCCAGAGAGTGGAGGTTCTTAAAACAGGATCTGCTGAACAACGATAAAGATACTTTTCGACTTTTTCTATATTTGATTTGACGGATCTGTGGAAAAAGTCTCTTAGGCTACGTCTTTTGTCGGCTTTTGTGATACTCTCTCTTAAATTAAGAGTTGGAAGTTTGATTTTCGGATAATGAACTTTTACCTGAAAAAGAAGAGTCAAATTAGTACTCAATATTGCTGCTGCTGTGCTAGTAACAATATATCTTTTTGGCTAGGCTTTGTTTCATACTAAATCGTCAAAACTATGAAAATCTGGGACGTATCTAATCACTTTGACATTGCTCAGTGTGGACTTTACATAAATGCTGTACTCCTGGTTCATTGCAAAAGAAGCAAAAAATCAGTTATAAATGCTGGTTGAGAATGAAAGGCATTACAGCTCAATATGCTGCACTTACCGGAACAATCTTCCTTGTTTTATCAATTGAGTCTTCTACAACAATTAACTTTTCCGCAACCTTCAGACAAATGATTGGGTGCATTGTCTTCTTATTTCTCAGCAGAATTTAAGACTTTGAACTGCTGCAAAAGTCAAGTGAATGACAGTGGACTGGTTGTTTGTATGTACGCTACGTAGCTAGTGTTGTCTAAATGAGGTTGAAGACTATTGTTCAGTCAATGGATGTTGCTGTTTAGGATAGTAGCTCACGCGAGACAGAAAATTGATTATAGAAGTAGTTAACAGAAACACTGTAGTAAATTTTGTAGTCGAATATAAGGATGCTTAAGTAGGGGTTGTGTGTTACAGATAAAGAAATAGAACAAATGAAAAGAAAGGGTGAATGACTTAGAGTAAGGATGTAAGGGAGGAAGATAAGAAGAAGAAGAAAGAAGAAGAAGAAGAAAAAAAAAGGTCAACTCTCTCGAACTTCAAAGAAAATGTGTAAAGAACATGTGCAATTGTTGGTAAACTTGAATACTTTGAATTTGTGACATATAGGACTCCTTTCTCCAAATAGGCTACAAATATGCCTTTTAAGAAACCGCTTTACCTCATAAAAGAGCCTGTTTTAATGCACCAGCTATGCCCACAGCCGTTATTTTTTGCTTGCTCGTTATAACAATTGGCATTCATACTTTTGAGAAGAGAAAAAGAAAAGCAACTCTATCATTAAATCTGTAACCCTTGTGTTACTTTAAAAAGGAAACAGTAAAATCGCTTACATAGAAGCGTTTTATGCTGTATTCTGACGACATATTCGTCCTCTCTTAAAAACTGTGTCATTGAGCTTTAAAGAAATATGCATCCCAGAACTAGTTTCAATTGCTCATTAGCAAATTCTGGTCATACATGCGAAGGGTGCAAAAAACTGATAAAGTAATCTTGGGGCATAAGATTCTTTAGTCTGCTTACGTAATGAAAAACAAATCTATTTCTCTGCTTCCACTTATCCTCCCATTCTTAGTTTGCTTCTTTTAACGGGCAACGTTAGTGAAGGTTACTCGAATTATCGGAACCGACCTTGTTTCTATAAAGACCAAATGGAGACTGTAGCAAGCTCATCTAAAGACAGATCAGCCGAGATCGATCGATGCTTATCCATGATCGCTCCTTCAGCCAGTAACGAATCGAAATTCGTAGGCATGATGATCTTGCCAAAACTACTCGAAAAAGACAACATGAAGGATATTGAAAAAGTGTTCAAAGGCATGAATTTCAAATTTCTAGAACGTCTTTTAAGAACAAGTAAAATGAAAAGAAAGCTCTTTTTGACAAAGTTAAAAGGGAAAAGTTGGTTTATTAACATTTCGTTTTCTTGATTCAAACAGATCAAGTGGAAGGATCTGAACTCCCCGACAGCATATTAAAAGAAATCGCTGTGAATGTGCTTAGCTGTTTTGCACGATACGAAATGCTAGCAAGTGAGAAAAATATGGTAGAACGAATTCCAGCTCTTTCACTTCTTCTGTCGCCACACGATCAGAGTGATGTAACAAAGGAAGTCCTGCAGATCTTGCTTCATATTGCAGTGAAAAAGGAAGGGCTTGTGAAAATGTTGGACCCTGATGTTTTGAAAAATGTCTTTGATGTGCTTTTGAATACACAAAATAAGGAAGAGAGGGAAAGCTGTACAGAGTTGATCAACTCTGTTTATACTAGATCAGCGCAGTTACTCGATGAAGAAAAAATCCCAAGCTTGTTTTCCACTGTCAAATATTCCCTTAATACTCTTCTATCCATTTTATCAAACACATTGAATAATTATCAAGATCTGTTAAAATTTGAAGCTCTGAAGATTCTCAGTACAGTTTTGCCAGCCATTACAGTAGAGGTAATAATGATTACTTACTAGACGCTACCTTATGGGACCCATCATCTAATACTCTTTGAATATCATTCACAGATGATGACACAAGTAAAATTAGAACAAGAAAAGAAAATAGAATCATGGTTAGATAATTTATTGAATGGATTAAGACAAATTTTAACAAGCAAACTGAGTAAGTAGATGGTCAATATCCAGACCTTGGCATTCCATCAACTGATGTGCACATACTCACCATTCTATAGATGATACATTAAGAGATAATGCCATGCTTCTTGTCTCGGCTCTTTTACGTCATTTTGGCAATGACTGGCTATTCAAATCATTACAGGACACAAAGAGTGCTAAACGAAAGAAAGAAAAGGCTGCTACTGACAAAGCGTCTGAACCCGCTATGAAGGCCTATGCAAAGGCAACATTTCCTTTCTTGCTTATCAATCTTGTTGCCATTGAAGCCAAAGTCATGTTAGATGACATCAATGATCGAGTGGTACGCGAACACAATGAAGAAAAAACCATCATCCAGCATGAAAGACAGGCGCGTCAAGAAATGATGATCCCTGTATACTTTGAAATTTTAGAAGCTGCTATGGAATATTTAGCTTTCAACTACGAGTCAAACGGCATGGATCCTGAGCTTTTGCTCAAAATTCGTACTACTCTTTCAGAAGTGATGGAAGTCGTGTCGGAATTGTTAAAGTTTTTGCAAGGTACAAGAGAGAGCTTAGACGATAATTTGATTGCTCAAGCTTGTATTCGAATGATAGCACTTTGGATGGCAGAAGAAGGCTATGAAATGCCTGAATGAACCGTTCAGCATATTGTATAGCATGAAAGGACGAGATACTAAAGCTTTCATTGTAAATAGAACTTCTGTACAGTATTAATTAAATGCCTTCAATAATATAATTCAATGGAATAAGTGACTAGCGACCAAATATCAATATAGCATAAGGGTTTAATTCTCAACTTTATTGGCTATGAGGATATCAGAAGTATTCTTTTCTGGGCTTGCTACGGAATGGGTATTCTCGGTAACTGAGGTATCCTCGTCTTTCGCGGAAGTCAACACGTTTTCATTACTGTAGAAACATGTTGAACAAGTACAGTAGAAAGCTCCAATGAGCCTGAGCTTCTTCAATAATACGTATCGAATGCAAATTAAACTCGTGGCTAATGTCATTATCATTAAGAGGATGACGGTCAAAGTGGCATATACTAAATTATATCTCGTGAACTAAGATTGGAAGTTGATTAGGTTTACATTGTCAAGAGTGAAACTATTAAAACCATGGAAAAAACTTACCGCGTACGGATCACCTGTTGTTCCCTCTCTATGGATACCAAACGTAAAGAGCCTGTACCCAAAATAGCCTATGAATCCAATCGAAGCCAAACAAAAGAAACTTAACGATTTCATGTTTTCGGTTCTAGCAGAATACATAGCAATCGATAACATGATTAAACTGAGGCAGAAAATAAGTACACCTTCAAAAGCAGGCACTTCATAGCCCACTGTGGCAGATGGTATGAGCTGTACTGAATAAGCTAGCAAAAAGAAAAAATCGAGCTTCAGCAGACTAGTGAAAGTTGACCAAGCAATCAATGCATTTTTGTACGAAGAAGAACTGTCTCCGTCGGGGTATCGTTGAAGATGGTACGTCAAAGTGTTCCACTTGAAACTTCGGTAGAGGAAAATGATGCCTGCCACCATAAAGAGAAAACAGACTGGGACAAATACTAAACAAGCATATTCGAATGGTTTCATATTGGATATCAGCTCGTCAAATGTATCTTTGAAATAAATAGTAGAGCTGGTTTCATTTCGTATGATAGCAAGCATTTTCAGTGAACTACTACTAGCGGTAATCGTATTATTAACAGCAGTGCCATTGATAGACCCTAGGGTTGAATTGACATTACTGTCTCCAGTGATTAATGAAAAATCACAGCCTGCTTTTTCTAACGATATATGCTGTATAGTCTGTAGCCCAGCAAATATAATAGAAAGCACGCCTTTCAATACAACAAAGCCAAAGTGGAATTGTCAACAATATCATTCATTGTTACTGACTATTGGCGTAGTGGAAAATGGTATTGGGACTTACCAAAAAGGATCAATATCAGTATATGAATTGTATTTCTCTGATGCAAAGCATCCAAATATAAAAGAATCTGGTAGATAGGTGTTATGGCGAACAAGCCATGATAGATAAGATCGACTTGGCTTAAGCCAATCGCAACAAGAGTCAGCTGGCACTGTGAAAACATTGCTGAATGGTAAAAGATGATGAAACTTTCCATGATGACAATAGCTATAGCTTCCGCAACCAATAATACAAGTATGATAACGCTGGTAGGATTTTGTGAAAATACAGTTGGTTTTGCTGCAGCGTTTATCGTATTATTCGATGATGACGAAGATGTAGACGATCCAGACAAAGTTTTTTTACCATACGTGAGTTCTCTTTCTTCATTGTCTATGTCTAGAGCCACACTAGAAGCGCGACTACTGCTTTCGACATGCTGTTTCTTGTTAAAGTGCTCTTTGAATTTGTCAATTATTGATTTCGAACGGATGCTTTTGTCATTCATTTGTGGTCGCTTATTAAGAAGGAAGACACTCTGAAGTAGTCAAGATATTGTCGAGAGCATTTATATCGGGCAATTTTTGTATTACACAAAAAGGAGTGTTGTTGAATGATGATGAATCAGAAAAATATTGACTCGAAACAAAGGCATATCACTTCAAAATGCTGATGCTTCTTTTTTTTATTTCTAAGTGTATGTTAGTACCATATGAGATTATATATGTGATATTTAAATGGTACCCTATTAGAAAATAATGCTTCATTATGCATAAAAATAACCAACAACAACAACAAAATTTTTTAGTTAATGACAACGGACCAAGGATGTTCAACATCACCATATTGAATAGCAAGAATAGCATCATTGAAGCGGGTTGTGTAAGGCCCAGCCTGAGCATTAGGGTTCTTTGGATCTAGTGGAATCTTCAAATCCTCACCCATATATCCGATTTCTTTAATAGGGCTAACAACACAAGCAGTGCCTGCACCGAACATTTCAAGAACGCGACCTTTCTTTACCAACTCACGAAGCTCTGGCATCGTCATAGCGCGTTCACTTACTTTGAATTCATTCCAACTCTTAGCCAAACTGATGATGGAGTCACGAGTGACACCTGGCAAAATAGAACCATCTAAAGGAGGAGTAACAAGTTCGACCTCACCTTGATCGTTTTTAAGCAAAATAAACAAGTTCGTAGTACCAATTTCAGTCAATTGATGATGATCACCGAACAACCAAAGATTTTGCTGATAACCTTTTTCAGCAGCAATACGTTGTGGTAATAGACCTGTTGTTAAAGTGAATTCCACGTCAAGAAGTATCAGTTATCCATTAACACTTTTTCTTTTACTTGCATTATTCATTTTTCATTTACCTGGTGCGTAATTGAGACCTAATTTAGTATTACCGGTGCCCTTTGGCCAAGCACGAACATAATCACTAGTGGCTAATAAGCGAACAGCATTGAAGCCAGTTCTGTAGTAAGGGCCAACAGAGCAACCAATAACGAATAATTTTGCTTTTGCAGGCGGAGTAACACCCAATGCTGCATCTGTGCCGATCAAAGTGGGGCGCAGATAAAGAGAGTAACCTCGTTCTGAAGGGATCCATTTCTCGTCTATCTTTAAGTATTCCGACATAAGCTTTATTAACTCGTCCCCATCAAATTGCTTTCATCGTGGAAGGACATATAAGAAATCCAGAGCAAACGGAAAGTAATTAAAAAAAAAAAAAAAGAGAGAGAGAAAAAGAAATAGTTAGAATAAATGATACTTGTAATGCAAAGTACGTTATGGAAGAATGTCTCAATGAACTTACAGGAAGCGCTATACGAGCAGCAGAGCGATTCATACGGGCCATATTCATATCAGGTCTGAAGAGACGTATTTTACCATTCTTATCCTTGTACGCCTTCATACCTTCGAAGAGCTAATAAGATGAAAGTGTTAATTCCCTTTTTGCAACTTTGACTACTGTTGCTGCTTGTTTATCTTGTTTTCATTACCTCAGAAGCATAATGAAAAACGACAGCGCTAGGTGGCAAGCTTAAGTTCTCATAAGGATGAATTTCTGGAGCAGCCCAGCCCTTTTCCTCCTCCCAGTCGACTGAAATCCTGTAAATAGCTATTAAGGACAAGTTCCTCTGTTCATTTTTATCTTTAGTGTTGGACTTACATATGATCTGTGAATGTACGCCCAAAAACTAGTTGATCATTTGCAACCAAAGGCTTCAATGTATCTGCTTTTCTGATTTTAAGTTTGCTTGCCTAAAGTGAGACAAACAAAATAACATTGTAAACCCCAGATATGTCAACTCGCGCCTGAAAATATTCAACTAATTTTACGCTTAGTTCTGAATATGATCTCCTGGCATAACCAAAGACAGTTCTTTTGAATGCTAACGGAATTCTTGTTGATATCATCTCAGCGACCTTCGGAATATAAAATAGTTAACTGGTATAAAAAAGTATGCGTAAAAACAAGGAATATGTATAATGGGAAAAAGAAGTAGGTGCCTTAATTGTGAATGGATGTTTAAAAGAGATCAAAGTACTTTTCGAAATAGTCACGATGATTCACTCGGAGCTTATTTACATTGTGAACGAGATTGAAGAAACTACTAAGGTCTTTAGCCCTTTGAACCGAAACTTCCCACGATCATCTTCCAATTATAATTTGAACAAGTTCATCTTATTAAGCTTATATTGTAATAGACTAAAACCTTATGAAGCATATTTGTTAAAGTGGAAAGTGCACTTCTTTAAGTTGTTGATAAGGAACAGTTGATGTAGCATACATTCTTATGGTTGTAATGAAGACGAGCCAATAGAATCATTTTATGTAACTTGTATACAGTTCATGTCTGCTCCAATACAAAAAGCGCTTTTTATCAATGAACCTGATGGGAGCACAAACATGTCCCAATTTCCCGTTTAAAGTAATTACACTTGACAGATCGCGTACAAATCATGAAAGCGTGTTTCCTATCCATATGCAAATCATGCCTGCCTTTCAATAGCATAATTGCTACATTTTGAAAATGTAGATATCAACTCATCGTTGTCTACCTCGCTCGGTAAGCCCATTCAATCAACCTTCGGTCCGCTTTTAAGTAATTTTCATAATACTACCAAAGCTGAGGCCGCTTGCAATTATGTAAATAGCAGTGTGTCGTTTAATCTGTACAAAACCGCTGGATTCTGAAATATATTGTAATAAAATACCAACATAATCAACTGATGATGATACATCTCTAGCTTTAAATCGTGACTATGACGGAATATGGGTATGGGTATAATATCATTAGACAAAAGGCGGATTATTTAGTCTCATCTTCTGGTAACTCTTCCCTTTTTTTCAATTTATATCTAAAGTAATGAGCCATTCCTGCCTTGATTGTCGTTTCTAAAATTTATTAGTATATAAATATGTTTTACAGATATATCAGAGATTCAACTATTATTTCAATAAGGTAAGCATCAATAACTTGGCACTTACCAAAACCTTTGAGCTTGTCCTCTGGTAAGCATCCTAGATTCGTTAAAAATACTTTTTCTGCTTTTATCATCTGTAAATAATCTTGCAATAGGACAAATCGATCAAGATTGGTCTGCAGTCGCTTTAATTTATTCTTAATCATCATAGCTGTGCGGTCAGGTTGCCTCCATCCTCGTACACGTTTAAACCGAAATCCGGTAGATGTTTGTGTAAGAATGGCTACTTGATATGGTTTCCGTTTGGTAAACTTGGATCGCTTCCTTCCTTTGTACCGTTGCTGTTGCTGCTTTACGGTTGCGATTCTGCACGGTTTTATTGTCTTTGCTGTCTTCTCATCTTTGTTCCTTACCTAGATAATCAATGAGGGCCAATGAATAGTTGAGCATAGAGAACCATTTATGCTTCCGTTCGCTTATTTGGACTACTTTACATAGAAACGCCTCATGTACGTATCAATATTATCCATCACTTTTTGGTCTCCTGACTTGGCTTGTTCAAAATATTCTAGAGTCTTATTTTTCCACAGTTTGAGACTGTAACTTTGATCGACGAAGACTAGAGATATAGAAACTGTAAACATACCTTATCAGCTTCCTGCAACATTTTCAAAACTTGGGGGCGGGAAGTCATATGCCTGTTCGCTTTGAATTTTTCGGTTATAATCCTTTTCATTGTGTTCTTATAAGTGAATGATTGGCAAGATCGTAATAGAGATCTGTAAATGGCCAAGGTCTGATTTGACAGTTTCAAACAAGGTGTAAGTGCGACTCTTTTATCATAACGCTTTATATATAGTTTCAATCCTACTTTCGCTCTAGTTTCGACTGCTAGTAACTTGTTTGCTGATTGAAATGCCGTAGGAATCATCTTGCCTTGTTGTAGAGGATAAGGCGTTGCAGGCCCACACCACTGCATGAAGATAGTGAAGGCTTTTTAAGCTCAGCAATGTCTAATTCCAGCCGATCACACAATGACTAGTTGAAAACAAAAGACAGCCATATCTGAACCGGATGCAGAGTAGTACGACACAGCCTGTTCCTATGTCAATTAAATGGTATGTCATCATTTAGAAGCGGGTGAATGAATAATGAGTTTCTTGACATTGTAGTGTCTCAAACATGTAAATCACCTACAATCGTAGCAAAACAGATAGAGAATGGATTATCATGTCGAATTTGATAAATGTAAGGGTCTACCATGCTAACTCGAATCATTGCAAACAAACGTCTAAATCTGCGGGAAGCATAGAGAATAAATGCTTTGACAGTGAGATAGATAGTGTGATGGTTTTGTTGTATGTGATTTATCATAATTTATTTGCTTTACCGAAATGTTAATCAGGTATTGGAAAAAAGCAAGTTATAGAGATCAATAAATAAAAGTTGATGCAGGTATCTGATAACTATGATTCTAGGAAGGGAATGTTCTGTTTTATGCAGGCAATGAAAAAGATCTACTATGTCCCTTAGTGTGAATGTTGCTGCTGTTCCGGTTATTGCTGCTTGCTACGGAAGGAAATCGTAATCGCATGTTTAAGCTTCCACTGTTGTCATTCCGAGAAATGGATGGGGTCGTCATTGGTTCGTCTAGTGTGTCCTTATATTCTTTATCTTCGGAATCCTCATCGTCATCGTCATCGTCATCGTCCACTTCACTCCAAGAGTTGGTTATTGCAAAATCGCGACCACTACCAGATGCTGGTTCAACATAGAGTTGCCGACTCATATCATTGCTTTTTCTAAATGGCCAAAAACCTCCTACAAAAGAACGCTTCGTGTTGCTGATGGTGCTATTATCGTCTAAAGTAGTGCTCTCATCCACTGAGGTAACTACCGATGGATCACTATGATCATTGCCGGAAAATCGTATCAATGAACTGGCACTACTGAATATAGAAGAGGATGATGAGGGCATGGCAGTAGAAATAGTCATCTGTTGACGGGAAGAAGCATTTGCAGCAGCAGATGATTTCCTTAACAAGGGTGCAGAAGGCGTTGAATCTGAACGGGAAGCATGATTCCCATGGTTATTTGACCGGACGCTGCTGCTTGAGAGGTAGTCACCACTGTTAGTCATACTTGAGCTGTTATAACGACCACTGGCATTTACTGCTGCTGCTGCTGTTGTTACTGTTGTGGGGGAGGAACTAGACCTGGGTTTATTCATGGGCTCTCTCAAATTGCTCAGGGCATCGATCGTCTTTTCGTTTACCCATGGACGCATCAGTAAATACTGCGTGATCAGCTGTTGCTCAACTTCTACTTCTTGTTGTGGTTCCATTCTTTCTTCGTCTCCTAGCATAAGTGCTGCCGTTGCTGCTCCGAAAATAGTGCTACCGTTGTTGTTGTGATCCTTCCGGGAGGAATTGCCACCTACAAAATGTAAAGCGTCTATGGGACGGAATAAATTCTTTTTCTTTCTTCCTCTAGGTAGAGTGACAGAATGGTTGTTTTCGTCAATGATAGGGTAGGGTGGATATTTTGGAGCCTTTTGAAACATTTGAATTTGATGAAGGACCTCTAACACACGACGATTCTGTTGAGGGTCCTCATTTTCTTTCTTAACTGCTGCATAAAGATAGGTCACATCATGGATGAAGACGCCCAAAAAAGGGACGATTGGTTTTGTCCAAGAGCCTGTGGATGACGCAGAAGTACAATAGGTAGTGAAAGCGCGGGCGGAAGTTGTGGGTGTTGTAGCAGCTGAAAGAGAGGAGGAAGATAATCGATTGTTACAAGTGTTCTGTTCTACCTGAATATGCTCGCGATACTTTTGATAATTATCTGTTTCAGACATCAAATGACTCAACATCTCCAACTTTGCCATTTTTTTCTTCGGTATACAGTCCCATGTGCGTCTGAGCCGTTTGATGGGCGGTGTGCCCAAAGCTGACACAACCGCCTTTAGCGTTTGATAATTGTGAAGCAGGTAGAGTTTCGTTGCGATTTTGATCCAGCGGTGGATGATTTCGGCGCGCCGGTACGCTTCTTGAGGCAATAAAATGGAATGTTCGATAAAACGTGTAGTGTAGTTGAAAAAATCAGTAGAGGCGACAATCTTTTTGTGTGGTGTACGAGAGGAATGCGTCAAGAGTGCTTCTCGAGGAATGGCGCAGAAAATAGAAGATTCAATGAGAGTAAGTTGATAAGCAATTAAATGAGGAGGGAAATGCATGATGCTGGGTATAGTCATAGCACTCATATACAGACTACGCACTTTTTCCAATGTTTGTCGTGCACATTTGACTTTATGGAGACTGTTTGAGGAATATTGCGACTCTGTTTCAAGATCATTTATACGTTGCTGGATTCGTTTGTGAGTGGCTAATAAAGGTGGGGCTGGAATATTGGGGACATAGTTGTCACTACTGTTGTTATTTTTGTCCGTTTCAAGAGATAAAGTTGGCAAGGTCAAACTGTCACCTGTACTAGTTTGAGCCGGCATCAAATTTCGTGGATTCACAATACTTTCCAAAAGCACATCAATAGGTCCATCATCCACTCCAGCGTCGTCTTCTTCAAGCAAGCTATCATGACTGCCATTACTATTACTGTTGCTACTCGATGTAGATCTTCTACAGCTACTAGGCACAATCCAAGATTTACTTCTGTTTTGCAGATTGCATGGTATGTTTTTGGCGGAAGAGGGTGAAGAGTACAGAGAGGATGACGACCTTGAAACAACGGGCCGTATCTGTAATGGAGGCTGATACCGCGATGACGAATGTGATGGCTCGTGGCTGGTCTGATTCCACTCTGCGGCAGTAATATCTTTGTTTTCTTTCCCACATATTTCGTACTGTTGCTCTGGAACTGTTCCATTATCATCCAATTGTGTCTCATTATGTTGTTCAATTGTTCTCGACTTGCACAGTTTGGTATCTTCGGCAAAACTGACAGAGTTTCCTCTAGATCTTTTCTTTTGGATGTCACTTTTTAGCTTTGAAAATGTTGGTACATTAACTTTATTTTTCGCTGACGAAGACGCAGGTTTTGGCGGTGGGTCTGGTTTTAAGATGGTTGTACTAGTGGTTGGAGGAGGACGCTGAGGCTGCTTACTGATATGGTATGGTTTCGGTGGTACAGGAGGCGGAGGTTTGACAGGATTATTACTGCTGCTTTGGTGGCTGTTGGTGACAATGGTGGCGGATGTTATAGTTGGAGAAAATGCACCAGGCAGTTTTCTTTGAACATCATTGCTTATAGTGGCTATCTTGTATAAATGATCGATACTCAACTTCAATAATGCAATAGAATCTTCAAATTCAATTGGTTTCGATACAGGTGCTAAAAATAAATGGATATTAATAACTTCCAGGCATAAATGACTGATGCCTCGATGCTTTTTATAGTAAGAAAAAACACCTCCGTAAAGCATTGCTTACTTTGATGAACGAATTTGACTCCATGAAGTTGTTGGGTCGACAATTCAACAACTGAAAGGAAGGCAGCATATGCATCCTAAACGCCGTTATTTCAGAAGTTTTTTTTTTTTATTTTAGTCAGATGAACAATGATTTATGCAAAACGATTGTGATCCTCCCTTACTTTGGTTTTGCCTTCTTCTAATAGTTGCGTGGCATTGGTATAATTTGAAATAGTTTTCATTATTTACAAAGAGTTGATATTGAATATTTACGAGATAAACAGATAGAAGAAGGGAGGTGTTTGTCAACAAAAAGAACGATGAAATTTCAATCTTTGGTTCTTATGCTAATGGGCTTCAAAGCAAGACTGCTGAATTCCCATTTATAATAAACAAAACAAAATAAAAAAAGAAAGAAACTAAAGTGGTAAGTGACAAAAAATAATACTATACTAAATAACCTCAAGTAAAAAGATTTGGCTTTTATGTGGTAAGCGAAAAAAAAGATGTCTTATAAATCCTCTCCCTTCTTGCCGTCCTCTGCAAACTTTTTAAATTCCGCATGTAGCAATTCAAAGAAATGAATGACTTCTTCTTATTCATGGCGTTCCATGTGGTACATCTCTCCGCTTTTTCCTGTCTTGTTCGTATATGCCAATGAGTGGATTTCTTGATATTTTAAACTGTACATCGCTGCAGAGATATTTGTTTTCACATTGCAAATGTTGAAGTAAACAGAATAAAATGTCATGAGTTTAAAGGTGTCTTATTTGGAGATAATTTCTAATGTCGAATGCTCGTTTATGTTGTTGATATTTGCCATGATCGATTAGAATGCATTTATATTTTGGCCTTTCATGGGATGACTTAGAGCCAGGAACAATGTAGATTCTTTTCTGAAACGCTGGGTAAGACCAACTTTTATGTTGATTCTTACGGTAGTAGGCGTTGTACCATCATTGCTCTGTATCGATGACTAGAACAGAGCATTCTACCACATTTGAATCTGGAAATAATGAAAATATCGTAGTCTTACTTGTCATGAATAAACCATTATGAAGTCCTCAATGCATGTATACTTAACGCAACATAAATCCGAACAACAGCTATCACATGAACCTTCTATAGTTATTAATTTTACTGCAGCAAAAGAATTCGCAACAATTAGAGCACTAGGTTTGCTCTTACAAGTTGCAGAGCTACTTGTTTCAATACATAACCCACTCTTCCCATGCTCAATTTTGTGGCTTTTGATTGTGAGTCTTTTGCCTGCTGGTACGAAAACAATGTTCCCATCGCTCAAAAGAGACCGTGTTGCAGCCCATCCCCACCCACTTCTTTGTTCTTCACAATCTGCACGTAATATAAAAGGCTTGATGTGCGCCTAGGAGTACAAACGACATATTAAAAGAAGTGGTCAGTTTCAGGTTATCAAAGAACTGAAAACATTCAGGAAAAGCAACATACACCAAAGCAAGGTAAAAGCGGTCTAGCATAACGTTTGGGACGTATAAATTTATAGGTCCAATGTTTAAGTATTGCGTGGGATCAGATTGCATTTCTGTATGAAAATATAACATGTATTATCGTACATTTGCATAACCGAGGAAATTCATTGGTTCATTTCAACAGATGCTTTCTCAGGGTTCATTACTGTTTTTCCGCTTGACTTTCGCACAAAATGGCTATTAAATTGAGACTATATTACAATCAAAATTCAGACTAATTTAAAATTATTTTGGATGAAAAGTATAGTTTTTGGGATCATACCTTTTCTGTCAAAATGCTCAATGCCAAATGTGCGAACTACTATTACTCAAACAAGGTAAATATACTGTGCCAAAGCACAGAATACCTACCCTGTTTGAGTATGTAGTAACGTCAAGCAGCAGTTAATAAAACCCCAGAAATGTACAGTGACAAATTTCACAAGATGAACTCACCTAAACGCGTAAAAATCTTTAAGCCGTCGGTATAGAACCTGCAGCACCATTTTCGTTATGGCGATGGCGAGAGAAAATGTCGGGGCGGCCATTGTGTTCCCATACGGAATTTGCAATAGTAAGCATATTTTTGGCCGCATTGACGTCTCTTTGCCATATCATACCACAGGTTTTGCAGGCCTTGGTACCATAGACGCTGGAGCCGTCCGAAATTCGTACTTCTTTCATTTCGACACCATTACAATTATTACAAACCTACGAAAATGACATTACTTCTAGAGAAGGGCACTTGATTTGGCGATTTGGGACCCACCTTTGAGGTTTTAAACTCGTTGATGTCCACTACCGCAGCAAGAAAGCAGCGCTGTCTTTTCAGGAGAGTACGATACAACTTTCCTGTCACACCTGCTGGGTGGCCTTTAAATGAAACACAATCCTTGTTCTTCATCCCGTCACCAAAAATGACTAATGGGATTTTCTTGCGGTCTTCAAAGAATGGAGCAGCGGTCCATTTCTTAACAGTCTTTGTTTTGTATCTGCAAAGGACAGGTTAATGTATTTATATAGTTACCAGTTACTGTTGAATCAGTAGTAATGAATGCGTACCTTTTTTGCGCAGCTGCTTCTACATTAATCGTTAACTTCTTCTCTTGTCCTTCCTTCCTTTCTGCAGCCCTCTGTGCTTTTCTTGCATGTACCTTACTCTTCGTTGTCTTGCTTCCTCTCGGCAACTTTCTTTTACGCCGTTTATTCTTGTTGGTTTTTTTTCTTTTTCTGGGGTTATACTTTTTGCCTCCATCCAGAAGCATGTTAGCGAGCTCTTCGTCAGCTCTTTGACGGCCTTGATAGTCGTTAAATATGAATTTGGCAGAGTTGAAGCCATAAAATTCATGTAAGCTTTGGATATGTCTCAATACATAAGAAAGGTACAGCTTATATTGTATTTCGGAGTGAACAGTCTTGCACGTCGGTAGATTGGTCTCAATTTCTTTGATACCAGTTGCAACCTTCTTTTCATCCACGACCCTTGTACGTCTGTTATATCCAGCAATTTGAGCGCGCTCCTCTTTGCTACATGCGCGAATTTGATGCGTATCTGTGTTGTAACCAACTACAGCTGTGAATATCTCATTACGCCCTGGATCTACAGCTATCGGCATGAAATACTTGTTGATTTCAGCAGGAGTAAAATCCTCAAGAGTGAGTGTAGCTGTTGCACTTTTTTCTTGACGGGAACGGACAAACAAAAAGGTTACAGCAAAGCCATCTGTGTGTATTACACAATTGAACATGTCCTTAGAGTTGGCTGGAGCTCTGACAAGGTCTTGTAGGCTATTTGAGCAACAAATTTTGTTAGTGCCATTGGGTTTTGAAAGCAAAGTGTAGTTTTTTCCTTACGTTTCATATCCGAACTTTGCAAAATTAAAAACATTAAAGAAGATCTCGAGATTATTAGCATAGGACCGGTTGCCAATGGACTGTCTGGACAAACAGCATAGGGCCTTTTCATTGATGCTGACATGCTTCCATTTGAATGACACAGTGGGAGTTAATGAGAATAATTTGGGTTTTTTGTCATTCGGACCAGCGGTAAGGGCTTTCGTTTCGATCAACTGCAGCATGAACGCCAAAGGTGGTAGAAAAGTTGATGGTGCTGCTGTGATATTTTCGATTGTTGGAGTTGATGGCATCTTTTTCATCAATGATTGGCATGTTGCATCGACTTCGGGTTGTTTTGTTATATCAACATCCTCCAACCATTTACAAGTATCCATATCATACAAAATTTTAGGAAGGCAATATGAGTCAATGAGTCCGTAAATCACATTGTTCTTTGTTTCCTATTATTTGACAATGAATTGGGCAATTAAAATCTTCTCTATGAAGATATAAGTCAAGCATTTTACCTGGAAAGTAGGCTTCAATGCCCAATACAAGTAGTATCTGATACGTTTAGTGAAGTTTTCCACCATGTGGTTCATGTAAGTGGTTGCTATACTCTCGCATGCAGCCGCCATAGCATCACTATAACCTTTGATTTTTTGATCCTTGAAGGGGGATATAATGGATGGATCGTCAGTAGCAACGTCATCGAACGTCAGAGCCACAGTGTGGTTAATGTAGGCTTTGTTGGTAATTTTTTGGCCCAAGACTAGCTTACAGATGCAGTACCAAAAGTTTTGTTCATAAATGTATTCCTGAACAGTTAAATTACGGTTCTTAATAATGTAGTAATTCATGAAAAGCTGCGCTCTGGTTGTGACGTCCCGTATAAATCTGCACAGCTCAATCACTTTTTGCTGGAATCCTTCATGCTCTTTCCGTAAGATACTGCGCTTAGCATCAAAAACACCGTCCACGTAGATTACAAGGGGCAGTTTCCGAGCGTAAAGCTCATACTTATCTGAATAGTTTGTTCGAAGGAGCTCCGCTTTAGTAGTAATATGTTGTTGGCAAGCAAAGGAAGCTTTAGTTGAGTGACCACTTAGACCACAGTGCTTGCATATGACAGTATTCGATGGCGATGCTTTTTTTGCTTCTAGCCTTCTCTTTTTGCCTTTATCTTTAGCTTGCTTTGTTTCGTAGTCGTCCTTTCCGGACTTTCGTTTCTTGGCTAGAAAAGCGTATGAATAGAATATCAGTGAAAATGAACAGGAAATACTACCTCTTCAGCTATCTGTTACCATTATATTCTGGACACAAGTATGAGCCCTTATGGGCATGCCCTTCCCGTCCGCAATCAAAACATGTTTCTAGAAATTAATGGTTTAACGATTCTAATTGAGTACATAAACGAATAGTAAACAAAATACAGCAATAATGAACTGACTTTCTTTATTTTCTTGCTGCTTTTTCTTCAACTTTGCTTCAAGGTAAACTTTTGCTTCTCTTGACGGCATGATAAAAAAGCAACTCAAAAGATACAAACACTCAGTTACAAACAAAATATGTACAGTGCAGTCGTTGTGAGTAGGTTGTGATGAGATCTTATTTTAATCTACCTGAAGATCCACTGTTAACACTTCTTTAATAATTCTTTAAAGGATATAATTAGACTCTGATAAAAAAAGGGAAAAGGTACCAGCAAAACTGAAACTTTTTGTTAGAATGTTATATTTGGACAACAAAAACAATCTAGACAGATTTCTTTAGACGCGCTAAATTTTGACACCAAATCGAGACACGTTTATTAATCAAGACACGTTTATTTATCACTTCATCAGTTACTGACAAGAAACAGGCGTTTAACTTAATTTATACAATCACCTATTGTTATTGCTTTCTTTAAGGGGAAAATGACACTAAAGTGACACGATTTTAGATCAAGAGAGATGCTGAGCAGTCAATGAGAATACAGGATTGTGAGTCATTTACATAAAATACAAATGGACTATCAGTTCACATGGCAGCTAAGGAGAATGTACGTAATTCTTCTGGGCCGATCAAACAACGAAACTTACTGCAACAAATGCGTGCAAAAAGAGGCGGGCCTCAGATGTTTACTACAAGTGTCCAAATGTAAAAAGTTATTAGTCTGAAATAATGACTTAAATTTTCTGAATCAAGTCAATCAAAATATCCAATTTTGTATACAAGAAGGTCTAAATTAAAACCGAAAATTCATTAGTATCACTAAAGCGTTCGTTTTGTGGTATATTCCTTCATTTATCTGATGTATCCCTTTCTCAGCTGGCACGAACATAAATATCAGGTACAACGCATAGCAAAACTCTAATCTTAATGTAACGTTTTTCTTTATCTATAACCAATAAATTTATTTGAACGGACATTATACGTCAAGGTTATTAGAGGAGATTACAACAGATGTAACATTGTATAACGGCATCTTTTCCCATTCCATCGTGTAGTTTAATAGAAAAGTTTGCATGTGATGGCTGAATATGGGAAATGATGATAAACATTGTTGAGGCTGTACTATATAGAAAAGCATGAATTGTGTAATACTTGTGGCAAGTGTATTAAGAATAAAAAGAGTATACGTCATTTTATAAAATATAGAAAATCAAGCTATAGTAAAAAGGTTACTTGAGCATAAAAAATGCACCAAGTTGTAGTTTGGGTATGTACATGATTAGATATCGTCTACGATGATTGTGAAACGAAGACTGAAGTAGGGAGCTAGTCGAATCGGTTTAAGTGCGAATAACTGTAGCAGCAGAACTTTCATTTTGAGAACTATTCGGATTGGTTACAACAGAAGCCGTAGCAGCAGTAACAGAATGATGAGATAAGAAAGCATCACGTACACCATCTTCTTCAAAGTATTCGTTCAAAGTTTTCCCGCTTTGTCCCGTGAGCGCTTCTAAATCGCGCGTCATTTCTAATCTTCTACTGCCGCAACTGTTATAATTATGAACGACAGGCAAGCCCCACATTTCCATCAAAAACATAGCATGGTCTTCGTTCCCAACGCTTTCTGATAAGATTTTTTGCAATTCAATCATATCCATAGTGTTAATGGTACAATTACGCTTTTGCAAGCCACCTATTAACACTCGATGACTCATTTCTTCTAGAGTTAATAAACCGGACGAGATCTTGTAAGTATTCTTGCTGTGGCGCAAAGTAGGCGAATGAGCGACGAAAGCTGTGGCACGAGCAATATCTATCATGTTACAGGATTCAACAGTAATTTCTAAATGTTGATGAGGTAATGGAAAAGCATTGTGCTGAGCAATGTATTTACTGAAGACCAGCAGATGTTGATGAAGCAAACCGGGATATCTTAAAATAGTAATTCGATTATGATCAAACTGGGACTGAAGATAAGACTCAATAAGCATAAATTGAGTGCGATAGGAATTATAAGGCAATGTATGTGTGGTGTCATCGCTATAATGTTTCTGTTTGTTCACTGTGATACTCTTCACAGGATCTAAAGGAGTGAAAGGGGTCAGAAAAATGACATGCTCCACTTGAGCGTCCTTAGCAGCATCAATGAAACTATGAGGAAGGATCAGATTTAGTCTACACAACTTCAATGATGACGCTCAATAGAAAGAAAACTTACGCTTTTCCAAATAGATAAGCATTGGATCGTTGCATTCTTTCACTCAAAGGATCAATTAATAAGCAAAGCTTAGACACATTTGATAGAGCCTTGAATGCGGCCTTGTGGTCATTAAGGACATCAAATGCAACAACTTTAGCGCCTAAACCTTCGAGTGATCTTGCTCTTGGAGTCGTACTGTCAGGTAATCCAGCGTAGACCGTTTTATGAGTCAAATGTTTGTATTGTTCAGGAAGTTGCAATAATTGCTGAACAAGGATAACGCCTTTATCACCATCTGTACCAGATACAAAGATAGATCCACGTTTTTCGTTGGAAGAGTTACAATTGTTTGGAAACATTCGTTGCTAAAGGTTGTAAAAAATGCAGAAATTGAAGGAGAGACAAAAGAAAAGAGTCTAATGAGTTAAGAATTTGTGAAATGTGAGATAAGGATTCCCTATTTATACTTTTTTTCTGATTTGACCAGGCACGGACTAAGTTAAATTTCAACAGCTTCAAAAAAAAAAAAAAAATGAAATAACAACTGACCCTGAATCTGGAAAATTCTTCTGAAATGATGAGACGTTTTCAATTGGCTTATTCGTTCTAAGCGAATGTGAGCTTTTTACAAGTTGACTTTTTCTGTAATTTTCTTCTATCACCTACTTTCCTCTTGTCAGCAACTATTCCATTCAAGAAAAGCAGAATGGCTACTGAAAATAAGAAAGCACTTGTATATTCTATCCTTGAGTTTTTGCAAAAGTCTTGCGAAGACGGCACGATCAGTAAAGATGACACCGAAGGAATTGAAGGTAAGTCAGGCCCAAAGTCCAAAGACTGATGACCGCAACGTTTAAAAATGTCTAATACTGCTCAATTACAAAATAGTTGCTATGCAGTGCATTGGTGAAGCTTTCGGCGTAGATGCTTCCGATGAAAAGCAAAAAGAACTCTACTCCACTAAGCCTGCCACTTTATTATCTATCTTTGATGTATATTTGAGAACCAAGAAGAATACGCAGGTAACTAATATAGGATTCGAAGAGTCGTAGAATTGAGCCGTGAGTGAATAATTAGATTCAGGGAAGCGTGTCTAAACAGTCTTGTCTTTTTTTATTTTATTTTTTTTTTACGTCTTTCTTTAGTCAGCTGCTACATCCAGCAAATCTGAAAGTAAGTACTAGTCAATACTTGAAAGTTATCACGTAGATAGCTCACTCACATGCCAATCTTATTTCTTATATTAATGTAGGTGTACGGTTTCATTGCAAGACAATTATATAATCCAGTATTGACATAACGAGCAAAAGGTTTACTAACAACATTTCAAATATAGAACGTCAGTGAGGAGGATAAGAAAGCTGCTGAAGAAAAAAAGGTTTTGGGTAACCGTAAGGTCGCCGAACGTAATTATCCAGAAGCTATCAAGCTTTATACTGAAGCCATTACACTCAATGGCTCCAACGCTGTTTACTACGCCAACCGGTACGATATTTCTCCTATAAATGTACTTTTGACATGCTTTTATTGATAGACGTTCTGTGTGGAACGAATTCCCCCCCCCGTTTGTAGTGCTGCTGCTTATAGTCAACAAGGTGATCACGAGAAGGCCGTAAATGACGCCAAGAAGGCAGTTGAAATCGATCCCAAATACAGTAAGGCTTATAGCCGTATGGGGTAAAGAATCATATTTATCAGCAATATTATGGATTACGTTATTGATGGGTGGGAAAAAGGATTTATGCTAATCAAAAGTCAATGTTCTCTATATCGCATTCTATACAATGTGTAGCCATGCTTATTTCTGTTTGAATAAGTTCGATGAAGCTGTCAAGGCTTATGAAAAGGGTTTGGAGCTTGAACCTGGTAATGCTACTATACAACAATCTTTGGCCACCGCTAAGGCTAAGTTAGGTTCTGACAGCGAGTCTAATACTCCTACCGCTGAGCGCTCTGGCTCTGATTCTGCTTCATCCTCTTCCGCTGGTGGCTTCCCTAATCTCGGTGGTGCCGGTGGCATGCCTGATCTAGGTTCTTTACTGAACAACCCCGCTTTAATGAATATGGCCCAACAAATGATGTCTTCAGGTGCTCTTGACGGCTTGATGAATAATCCTAATATTGCCAGAATGTAAACTTTTTGTACGATTCGATCTTGAGTAGCTATTCCGTTGCTGACTTTTTTCTTCTCCTGGTATGTAGGGCCCAACAAATGATGGGTGGCGGAGGCGCTCCCAACTTGCAAGAAATGATGAACAACCCTGAATTAAAGAAATTGTACGTTTAAAACTCACTGGACAAGAAAGTTGTATATAGGTTGAACTACTGAACTAATCACGAATTTTTTTGATGTCCTTTTTTTCATGAAAACATTTATAGGGCTCGCGATGCTATGAGTGGGCTCTCTCCTAAGCCTGATGATGATAAGAAATAGATAGACACCTATCTACAGCATAAATCAATTCTATATCTTTGTTAGTCGAATGATAAATTTGTGTATTATCACTTCAGCATTATAAAATACTGTAATAAAGACCAAGTCTGTCAACGATTACAATGCTCTATATGTATATTTCTTAGACTACAAAGTGCAAAGCTTTGTTCACCTTTACCCTATTTTAGCATGTGAAACGCATAACGATAGAAACTAAATAGGTTTTAAAGAGATAATTTAATCTACTAGTTATCTTCATATACTTGTGCTATTTGAAAATGAATGAATAGAAAGAGAGAAAGGGACAGGATGGGATAGGCCATAAAGTATAGGGTATAAAGTAAAGTAAAAAAGAAGGAAAAAGAGAAAATAGATAAAATTGGGTATTTGGGTAACAGATTTTCATGTTTTCACATTTTCTCCATGAAGCAACGCGCGACAGAGATGAGACGACTATCATTAAAAAAAGGTATAAAAATGGCTAACAAAAGATACCTTACAATAATTGTATTTGCAACAAGCTGTCATGGAGAAATGACCTGCAAAGTTTGGAAAAGGCTACAATACATAGCATAGGTCCAAAAAAAGTGGTGCAGTTAGTTCTGGCCTGCGCTATTTGAAACGTCGGCGACGTTTTCATCAGGAGGGCGAAGAAAATGTTATAAAACAGCTAAATTTAATAACCTTTTTTTTTTCTTCGCAAATCTCCTCATCCTTTCAAGAACAAAATAATCCGCAGCTAATTTCTTGCTTCATCAAAAATGTAAGATGAACGATTCCTCGCTAGAATTATTTCTATAAATCCGTTGTCAACTCACTGTCGTATATTCGCTTTCTTTGCATCAGGATGCAAACGCTTGTTCAGTCCGAACGAGTGCAGACAGCTGCCTTGCTGAAGCCGTTGCCTCGAGTCTGGCATCTATATGTTTGGCCCTTCTTTAGTATGCTCTACCCTGCGTTTATTTATGTTTATTTCTTTCACTATGACACATATCTCGGTTCTGAGGAGTGGACTTTTGTTGCAATTGGTGGTATTGTATCTTTACACGCTTTAACATTTTTGGCTTGTCAGTGGAGTGTCAATTTGAAAGCTCTTTTCACTTGTTTGAAGGTAATTAGATATCATTTAAACAAAGACATTTTTCATCTCAAGCTGTATTGAAAACTGCGTTTCCATCACGTTAGGAACCCAATGTATACAAAGCTAGTATCATCAAAATTATACCATATCGTTATCAAGGCAAAGGAACTCTTGTTAAACTCGAGCATACAAAGGTAATTTGCGATAAAATGAACAGGGAAGAAATATCTTAATTACAATGTACTAACAATGAGAGTTTAAAATGTTTTTATGGCAGTCTATTGAAGAGGAGGAGGAGGATGAGATCTCATTTTCATTCCAACAAAAAAAATTTATCTGGAACGCGGATAAAAAGCAGTTTGAACAATTACTTTATCCTTCAGATTTAGGGTTGAATGTTGGCTTTTACCAGGACATTAAGGGCTTGACGACACAAGAAGAGGTTGAATCGCTTAGACATACCTACGGACCCAATAAGTAAGTTGATCATCAGGGGATTTAACGCTGACAGGTGCTTCACTGCTACAATTAATAATACAAGATCTGACACGATACCTGTTGTTCATTGTGAAGGTTCGAGATTCCTTTACCTACGTTCATCGAGCTTTTCAAGGAACATGCTGTTGCACCATTCTTTGTTTTTCAAATCTTCTGTGTAGGTCTTTGGTGTTTGGATGAATATTGGTATTATTCACTTTTCACATTGTTCATGCTCGTGGTTTTCGAATGTACAGTTGTATATCAACGTCTTCGTACCATTAATGAATTCCGTGGTATGAATCAAAAGCCTTACCCTGTATATGTCAAGCGTGAAAAGAAATGGGTGCAGATTCAAAGTGATGAATTGTTACCTGGTGATGTCGTTTCCATTGTCCGTACTAAGGAAGATCAAGGCGTACCTTGTGATTTGGTCATAGCCGATGGTTCTTGTATTGTTAATGAAGCTATGCTTTCCGGTGAATCGACACCCTTGTTGAAGGTATATATAATTTTACATAGCTAAAGAGGTTATGAAGAAGAAGGGAAAAAATACAGTGACATTTGCGTATAAGAAGGTTAAAAACTGAGAAGCAATGATTTAACTTCAAGTCTATCTTTATTATTACAGGAATCCGTCGCCCTTAGAGATGCTAATGATGATTTTGACATGAACGGCACAGATAGGATCAATGTTCTTTTTGGCGGTACTAAAGTACTCCAAGTGACCGCACCAAAGAATGAAGTACCTCCAGATGAAGGTTGTGTTTGTGTCGTTGCCCGTACAGGCTTCGGTACATCTCAAGGCGAGCTCGTCCGTACCATGATATTCTCCACCGAACGTGTGTCTGCCAACAATTTTGAAGCTTTACTGTTCATTCTCTTTTTACTCGTCTTTGCAATTGCTGCTTCTGCTTACGTTTGGGAGGAAGGTGTTAAAAATGATCGTAAAAAATCCAAGCTTTTATTGGATTGTATTTTGATCATTACTTCTGTCGTCCCTCCTGAATTGCCCATGGAATTGAGCTTAGCTGTTAACAGTAGCTTGGTTGCTCTATCCAAATTTGCTATTTTTTGTACAGAACCCTTCCGTATCCCCTACGCTGGCCGTGTTGACGTTTGCTGTTTCGATAAGACTGGTACCTTGACTAGTGAGGATTTGGTTTTTGAAGGAGTAGCTCACGCAAAGTAATTTCCTTGTTCTTTAAAATTAGATTTTTACCTAACAAAGTGAAAATCTAACGTGTCTTTTCTACTTACTTTAATCAAAATAGTGACAAGAAGTCTCCAACAGAACTGTGTAAGGCTGATGAAGTCGCTGACAGTACTCGCTGGGTTTTGGCTAGTGCACACGCTTTGGTACAATTGGAGGACGGTATTGTTGGGGATCCTATGGAAAAAGAAACCTTGAAGGCCCTCGATTGGGAACTTGGTGCTAATGATACACTTTATCCCAAGGGTCAAAAGAAGACACAAAGTTTGCAAATTCGTCGTCGTTATCAATTTTCTTCTGCTCTTAAACGTCAATCATCTGTTTCTACGTTAATCCATCCTAAATTTGCCGGAAGCAAATCCTTCGTTGCTGTAAAAGGTGCTCCTGAAGTTCTCAAACTCATGTATAAGGAAGTTCCGGACAATTACGTGGATACATACAGACATTTCACTAGGAAGGGTAGCAGAGTTTTGGCTTTGGGGTATAAAATTTTGGATCAGCATTTGAATGCTAGCCAGATCAATGATCTTCCTCGGGAATCGGTGGAATGTGATCTTACTTTTGCTGGTTTTATTGTTTTCAGTTGTCCTCTCAAAGAAGACGCTGTTGCTGCTTTGAAGGAATTGAACGAGTCTTCTCATCGTTGTGTTATGATTACAGGCGATAATCCTTTAACAGCTTGTGCCGTCGCTCGTGAAGTTGCCATTGTTGAACGTGACGTATTAATTGTTGACCGTGAAGAGACCCGTAAGGATGATAAGGTTATCTTCCACAGCATCGACGAATCTTATCGTGTTGAAGTTGATCCTGTCGAGCCTTTGGATAAAGCTCTTTTAGACAAGTACGATCTCTGCTTAACTGGTTCTGCAATGACTCAATTCACTCCTCACAAGGAAAATATGAATCAAATTTTGGAACATACTTGGGTATATGCTCGTGTTTCACCCTCACAGAAGGAATACTTATTGACCGGCCTCAAAGATCTCGGTTATACTACTTTGATGGCCGGTGATGGTACCAATGATGTCGGCGCTCTTAAGCAAGCTCATGTTGGCGTAGCTCTTTTGGATGGTACACCCGAAGATCTTCAAAAGATAGCTGAACGTCAGCGCATTGAGCGTATGAAGGCTATGTATGAACAACAGAAGAGCATTTCCGCTCGCTTTAACCAACCGGCCCCTCCACCTCCCCCTGCTATTGCCCACCTGTATCCTGAATTTGCTGCTCAAGTTGCTCGTCAACAACAAGCTCAAAACATGACACCTGCCCAGAGACGTCAATTAGAACAAAAGAGAAAGATCGAAGAGGCAACACAAAAGATGATGGAAGGTATGGATATGGAAGAACCCCCTACAATTAAGTTTGGTGATGCTTCAGTTGCTGCCCCCTTCACTTCCAAGCTCCGTAACGTCACTTCAAGTGAGTATTATGTTTTTAATCAAGTATAATGGACTCTGTATTTCGTACAATTATTAACATCGTGACATATTTTCTCTTGTTAGTCAACAATATTATTCGCCAGGGTCGTTGTACACTAGTTGCCACTATTCAAATGTACAAAATCCTAGCCCTAAATTGTCTGATTTCTGCTTACAGTTTATCTGTCTTATACCTTGATGGTATCAAGTTTGGTGATCTTCAAGTGACCATTACTGGTGTATTGATGTCTGTTTGCTTCCTTTGTATTTCCAAGGGTAGACCTCTCCAAAAACTGTCCAAAGAACGCCCGCAACCCAATATCTTTAATCCTTATATTATTTTGTCCGTTCTTGGGCAATTTGCTATTCATATTGCTAGTTTGGTGTATATCAATGGTCTTGCCAAAAAACTCGAACCGTAAGTATACATATGAAAGCAGTTAACGTTTTTTTTTTTTTTTTCATAACTTAACATCCTTTTTGTTTTTTCCGTTCTCTCAATGTAGCCCCAAGGAAGTTGATTTAGAAGGAGAATTCGAACCTAGTCTTCTGAACAGTGCCGTTTATCTAATTCAATTGTCGATGCAAGTGTCTACCTTCGCCATTAACTATCAAGGCTATCCTTTCCGTGAACGTATTCAGGATAATAAAGCACTATACTATGGTTTGATGTCGGTTGGCGGAATTGCTTTAGCAGGTGCAACTGAAATGTGGCCCGATGTCAATGACTATTTGAAGCTTGTACCATTCCCTGGAACTGTAGGTTTTCGTTTTATTAGAAATTGTTGTTATCGTGTTTGTTGCTCCTCTTCTGACAATCTCTATTTTCTATTTTTTTTTTTAGTTCCGCTATAAATTGACGCTTTGCATGATTCTTGATTTTGGCATTGCATGGGCCATAGAAAAGGTTACCAAGTACTTATTTGCCGATAACCGTGCAAAACCCATTGCTAGAAGAGGCAAAAATTAGATGTCTACTCTAGAATATATCACTTTGTTTTTAGTTTGTAATATTGAAATTATTCTAATCATTGTATGTCTGTACAGTTTCATTAAAAATTAGTTCGATTAAAGGACAGTAAAAACTAAATTGGTTCTTCAATCTCGAATATACTTCTGACTATGAATAATAACGGTTTGTATGTTTGCAAATGGCCAACTTCAAATACTCCAACACACAGCATACAGATTAAAAAGCGCTTCCTTTATTGAATATAAACTATGAGCATATAATGTAATATGGTGATGACTTATTGCTGTTTAGTGAACTCGATATGCTCAGCAATCAGTTTCTCAATAGCAGAAGCATCTGGACGTCCGATAGCTGCCTTTTTACGTTCCCAGTCAATGACGAAAGGGCGCTCCAACAAAAGGGGATTTTCTTCAATCAAAGCATATGCTTCTTCTAAAGAGTTTGCTCTCTTTTTAGCTTCTGGCCGTAATAAAACTTCCCATGGCCTGCTAGCAGGATCTTGCTGCTCAATGCCGAGATAATTGCCCAAAGCTCTTAGAGTTTCTTGAGACGGTGGATTTTTCGTGTATTCAACAACTTCTAGATTGTACTGGTTGTCAGTATTGTTTTCGCGCAAACATGCGACACCATTTCTGCTTTTGCTGCATCTAGGATTGTGGAAGATGGTTATTTTGGCCATTATTTGAGATGTGGGTTTTTAACAAAATTCAAGACATATACGCAAATCGGGCCGCCGTTAATTTTCGTAATTCCTAGAATTATCTATAAATCCCGAATTTGCTTATCAACGCTTTTCTCCATATTGCAGATCTACAATTCTAATGTCAAATCAAAGTATAATCTCAGAGCAACGGAGCAATACTTGCGGTGAAAGGTCTTCAGTTTGTTATAAAACAGCGGATTGCGATTTTGCTTATTGCGTTGATAACACAAACGGATATGAAAAATTGATTCCCAAGTCCACTACACAAAGCAACAACAAAGCACAAACTGGTAAGAGAAGAGTTCTTTGCTATTATTATATAACTGAAAGCAGTTTGTCTAAAGTATTACTGTTAAATCTAAGCATTGTTGCGGAGGCTCGGATTTCTCGACCGATATTTAGTCGTCTGGATTTTGTTGGCAATGATAATTGGTGTCATCATTGGCTATTTTGCACCCAATGTTCAAAAGTCCTTTGCGACGGTTCAGTTTGGCTCTGTGTCGGTGCCTATCGCTATTGGTCTACTTGTGATGATGTACCCAGTCTTATGTAAAATACAATATGAAAAACTGCATCTCATTCTTTCGAAAAAGAGTATCTGGGCGCAAATAGGTATTTCCATCTTTATCAATTGGATTATTGGACCGATTGTTATGACAGCGCTTGCTTGGGCCTGTTTGCCTGATTTGCCTGGCTTCCGAACGGGCGTAGTCATGGTAGGACTGGCAAGGTGAGTATTCATGTCTGTGCACTTGAGAAAAAGCAAATACTTTTGTTTAACCAACGGATGCATTGTAAATAACGGAATGACCTACAGATGTATCGCCATGGTTTTGATTTGGAATACTCTCTCGGGTGGAGACGAAAATTATTGCGCTATTTTGGTTGCTGTCAATTCCATTCTTCAGATTGCTTTATATTCACCCTACGCGTTTTTATTTATCAATATAGTACCATCTTGGTTTGGCGCACCGCCTAACCAAGCAATACTTGTTGATATATGGCCTGTCGCCCAATCGGTTCTTATTTATCTTGGCATTCCACTAGTTGCAGGTTTTATAACTCGCATGACATTACGCTGGTGTAAAGGCAATGAATGGTACAAAGAAAAATTCTTGCCTCATTTCGGACCTCTTGCTCTGGTAGGTCTTTTGTATACTATTATTGTCATGTTTGCTAATCAAGGACATCACATCATCGAAAATATCGGATCTGTTTTTCGTGTTGCTGTTCCTCTGTTCTGCTATTTTGTTATCATGTTTTTCGTACCCTTTTTCGTCCTTAAAATGCTTCTTCGAACTCCTTACGAACTAGTTGTGACTCAATCATTCACAGCTGGAAGTAATAACTTTGAATTAGCTATTGCAGTAGCAGTAGGTACCTTTGGTATCAATTCTGAACAAGCTCTAGCAGCTACTATTGGGCCCTTGATAGAGGTTCCCGTCTTAGTTGTGCTGGTGTACATTACTCTCTATTTGAAGAAAAAACTGGTTTGGAAAAATGACACAGAGCATGCACAGAAGGAGGATTTGGAGAAGAATGGTCAAAATCCTTGATTGGTATACTTGTTTTTTAGCAAGTAAATGCATCCTGCTACCATCATTGTGCTGGAGGTTTCAATTACATATCATTATCGATCAATAAAGCAATTATTATTTGTGAAAGAACACCTGAGCTATTACTGAGTTGATCAGGCGACCTGGAGAACTGTACGACTAGCAATGGACATCCAGCAAGAATTGAGTGTCGTTCCTGACTCAATCGTGCCTGTCTTTGTCCCAGACATCAAAGTGGTACAAACTCTCTGAGCTATGTTTATTTCCAATATATAGCCTAATAAACTATAATCTTTCTTTCCTTTCAGGCTTTCTTGCTGCATAATGCTATTCTTTCATTTCGAAGGGAGTCATTTTTTTAACAAATACAAAGAACGGTAAGAATATTGTTAAAGAATTTGCAGTTCCTAAGGTCGAGCGTGTACCACTTCTTTAACAACAGTTGTGATGGCAAATGTACACTTGCAATATTGTTGTCTGACATTGAACCTCCCATATAATAATACATCAGCATGACCTGTCTTCTAACCCCCAATCTCAACCATTGAAATCCAAAAGCACATATTTTCGAAAATTGAAAGCTTATATTTTGAAAGACAAGCACAGAACGCAACAAGCATAACGTTGAGTTGACGTTTTATTACAAATTCAGAGGTTTAGCTCCCTGTCAACTGATTAAGCGGTGCCTCGCACCTTTTGCTCACGTTCGTAAACCCATTGTAACTCAATCACATCACGCCATAAATTGCTCTCTCTTCCAAAAGTTGTAGCTACAGCAGTCCTTGCCAATTCAATCCAAGTTTGTGCGCCATTTTCATATATCCTTTCCAATTTTCTATCTACGCCGATGAGTTCCATTTCCACAAGCGCGTTCCAGCCTGCACGAGCCAAGATGAGAGTATGATGTGATACTTTTGGATGTAATAAAGGATACAATAATCTATAGGCAATCGCTAGAAATAACGCACAGCGGGAGCTTTCAACCCATTTACCTTCGGTTATTCGAGCTCTCAGCAAACGCTCTGCTGCTTTAATAAATGGCACTGTAAAACTGGGTGCTTGAGGGATATTGGCAATGGCTTGACAGGCCAACGGTATACGGCGGTATAATTCATCTCTGTCATTCCTGTTACATACGCGTAAGTAACTTTCAGGATGATGGGTATGCTTCTTCTTCTCTGTGAGAGGAGCGTAATAAATATCGGGAGTGGCGATGCGGTTGATAAACATACAAAACGATGGTATGTCTAATGTATGCACAGGTGACAGTGATTCACCTTTTTCTCTTTTGGACTCTGAATACTTCACCATGTCCAAAACAGACCATGAAATCATATAATGTTCTAAAAGTGATTCTGCTTCTTTTTCAGACACTTTGAGTGTCTCCCCCTTTTCTAACACTGCATCTAAACAGGCAAGATCACCTTCACATCGATTGCAATGACATTTAAACTTATTTCCGAACCGTGATTTTAATGCTTCTCCTCGTTCCTGCTTTGTGCTGATCAGATCCGCGTAAGTGATGGTGATGGGTTTTCCCGGTGATATATCTTCGATAGCAATTAGATTCTGCACTCCTCCCTGTTTGTATGATAATGCTGCGTTTGGTCGGCACGAATGCTGAACAAAAAGATTCGTTATGGGATAAACACCTATCGCTACTTCTTCCAGATGATTTTCTATGTCCTGGATAGGAAAAGATGCCGCTCTTATACGATGCCAAAGTGTATCCAATTCTTCTTTCGTAAGTTGACAGTCGTAATTGGATAGAAAGTTGGCCACGCTATCAACAATTTCCTGATGCTGCTGCTGTTGTGGTATTGTTGTTGCGGATGAATCAAGCAAATTGATTGTTTGAAGAGCTTGTATAGAGGCGGGCAGATGAGGCGGAGAATGCGAATGTTGCTTATTAAGTCGTTTATGACTGTCCAACGTCAAAGCAGTTCTTTCCAATAACCATCTGTCGGCATCCACATCCTTATAAACATCTGTCTGTTGTGGTTCACATAACACTCGATGAAAGTGAAGCCATGCATTGCGGAAACATTCGTTGCTACAAAAGTAAGCTGATCGGCAACGCGAGCAGCACTGCAGCTGTGCCTTTTTTAAACAATTGTTGCATCTTTGATGTCTTTTTGCTGGTAGTGGTACAGACGCTAGAGGTGGCTGTATTAGTAAAATAGAACCTGCTTTGATGTGCTTTGATGCTACAAGATGGTTAGCATCGATTGTCACTATATTTTCCTCAGCAGTGAATAACTCTAGCATTATAAATGGTCTATTTATTAAATGATGTTTGCGGGAAAAAAAAATAAAAAAATAAAAATAGCTTGACAAATAACAGATATTGATCTTAATAAGAATTAAGATGAAAATGAAAAAGAAAGGGATTGAAGAAAGGAAACTGATGAGAGAGGACCTGAATCGTACCTCTGGCGGGATTTTTTTTTCCCTTGAATTGCTTAATGAGGAAATTACATGTTTGAACCGAATGTTCTTTTTACAAATCTTCAACTTCTTTGATCTTCGCTGTTTGATTTTTCTCACAGCACGGACCCTTATTAGTCATATTATTTTCTATGGTGGCTTGTTACTTCTTAAATGAGGGACTACTTCGATTATATGAACTCGGCTGTCGATCAAAAAGGTACAGATAATGTATATCTCATTAAACGGGATCTGCGTCGAAAGGGAGTAAAAAAGAAAATGACTATTTTTTAAGCTCTTCAACCACGCGTTATTCTTGTTTAACATTTATAATCCTTTTCATTTTCAAACCCCTTTTGAGCGAATTCAATTGGCTTTGTACGTAGTAGGGTTTAAGGGTACCTCTATGTGTATACGAGGCTATGGTTATACATTACATTCATGATAGTCAACTTCCTGTTGCAATTTTGACGTTTGTAGCTTCCATGGCATAGTGCTGTTTCAAACAATCAAGCTTATTCATTTGTAAGGTATCATTCAAAGGCGACAGTTGAGCATTCATACATCCACATTATGATAGTGTTGGAACACGAGTAAGGTTAGTAGGTTTTTATTCAGCTTCCCGTCATCCAATGTTTCCATTATTGCATTAAGTCATGAAAAGTGCTGTTAACTGCAGAAAATTTGATATTTCTATTCAATTTTGCGTACTTAGATTACCTTATAAACATATGATCGAATTATTGAAGACAACGCTGTTATTGTGCGCCCTACTCCCTTTGTTAAAAGAAACTACGCGTCTAGGATATGATAAATTCAAATATTTCATCACTTAAAACATATGTTAAATCCCTCCCTTCCCTCTTTTTCAAAGATGTAGAAAGCCGACTGATATCCTAGCAAAAGAGCCTAAAGTCGTTGTGTAGAATACTAATGGTCATTCGGCGGAAAATCAAAGATAAGGTTAAAGATACTGTAAAATGCAGTATTGGACAGTACCTCTAAATAATTACACTAGTACGTTCAGATGAAGCGCCAGGCAGAAAAATACATTAATAAACATGACTTGATAATCACAGATAACCAGTCATTTGTGCAGCTTTTACTTAGTGTATAATTTATTGCAACCGTGCAGTATCTTGATCAACAATGACTTTACTAACCAGATAGCCTTATTATTACAAATCCTGTTGGACTCACGTTGTATGAAAAAGGCCTTTTTGAAATAAGATGCTTTCTTGAACTAGTCTAAAGCAAAAGGTTACTGAGCACTGACGCTCAGTAGGATAATTTAGTATCTCAAACATTGAACAAAAGGGACACTGTAAAAGATTGGGTTATTTTTTTCTTATTTTCCTAATTGAGACTTTTTGTGAGGTTGGCAATCAAATGGTTTTGAATTTATGGCTGTTTCTTTCTTGTTAGTGTAGATCTTATACAACATTCGGCTTTTCTCTTTGATGAAAACACCTTTACTGCAGCTTTTCATCTCATCTTTTCCGGCATTGATAATAGGAGCTCATCACTTTTTAGTAGTATAAAATGGAAAATGAGATAGAACTTCCACTTCAAGCTTCTTATCCAGATAACAGAAGGGAGGTTGGAAAGAAATCGCAAAACAACGGTAGAAACAGTAGAACATCGCAAGACGCCTGCGTTGTTCAAGTAGATGAGACAGTTCCCAATACTGCATCAGTGAGATCAAGTCCTGTTCTTCCTTCCGTTATTTCACGTGCGATGAGAAAAACGTATGAAGAGGGCGATGAGTCAGAAGTTGACGAAGTATATTCACCTTTTCAGTCGCATCAATCACAGCTTCAGCAACAACAACAACAACACCATTTAGAGGTGTTATACCATAATCGACTCAATAATAGTAAAACGATAGAAATGAGCGCTTTGAACGCATATATGCAGAATACCAGTACAGATGATTTGATTACTTCGACGGAAGAGGGACATGACTTGGAACGCCAGCTTACTGCAAAATTAGATGATTTATTAGACAGCAGCAACAATAATAATAATGCCAGTAGTATTGAAAGGCCAAATTACCCCGGATCAAGACGCTTCAGTTTATATGGAGAAAACGTAAAGGTATGAAGAGCACTTTTCTCATTATAATTATCTGGTATGTGGGATTTCCCGGGCGAAACCTAGACTTTTTGGCTTACTTTTTACTTCTCAGGATCCTTCAATAGTTAACAAGAGTATCGACCGCTATACGTTCTATTTAACTGAACTAGGATCAATCAAAAGTCGATCTTTAAAGCAATTACTTCAGACACCAACCGGTAAACAGCAAGGAAAAACAGTTGCAGATTTACTTGTGCAAAGCACAAGCTGGTGGATCGATATATTTGCCCCATCCAATGATGAAATGCGTACTCTGAGTAAAATCTTCAAAATTCACCCATTGACAACCGAAGATATTCAAGCACAAGAAGCACGCGACAAATGTGAAATTTTTCAAAATTACATGTTTATCAGTTTTCGAAGTTTCAATCATGATTTTCATAGCTCGGAATATTTGGAAGCTGTCAGTTTCTATATTGTTATTTTCAAGGATGGTGTCTTAACGGTAAGAAATCCTTTTGGCATCCTGAAGAAAGTGTGGAATCTTAGTGGGAAATCCTAGCTTACCATCCTCATTATACTCACTTCACTCTTACAACACTTATAGTTTCGATTTCAAGATTTACCTCACCCTCATAATGTGCGAAAGCGCATACATCAACTGAAAGATTTCATCAAAGTAACCCCTGAATGGATCAATTATGCTCTTATTGATAACATTACAGACAGTTTTGCACCCCTTATACAACAGACAGAAATTGAAGTAGACTCCATCGATGACCTTGTTCTCGTGCTTAATGGTTCTGAGCAGTCGGATATGTTACGACGTATTGGCAGTTGTCGAAAAACTGTCATGCAGCTAATCCGGTTGTTGGGTCCGAAGGCGGATGTTGTACGCAGTTTGATCAAACGTTATGAAGATGAGAAGATCAAGGAAGAAAAGAAACAGATAAATGGACTCATAAGTCAAGTGCCTTCACGTATGAATATGGCACAACAAGCCCAGCAACTCAACGACGAAAACACTATGATGGAAGCAGATGATTCAAATGAAAAGGATGAAGAAAAAGTACACCATGAAGTAACACTTTATCTGGGAGATATTCAGGACCATATTTTGACCATGTTACAGAATGTCAACCATTATGATTTAATTCTGGGACGAGCGCATAGAAACTATTTGGGACAGATTTCTATCGAACTTTCGCAGGCAGGCAATACGACGAATGAAGTTATCAACAGATTGACATTTTTTGCGACAATCGTGGTGCCTCTAAATCTGGTGGGTGGTCTGTTTGGTATGAATGTACATGTGCCTGGACAAGACAATACCGATCTAGTCTGGTTTTTTTGGATTGTATTAGGTATGCTCGTGTATGTCGTTATTATGGTTGCCGCAGGGAAAAGGTCTGGTTTTCTGTAAATAATTCCTTCTTAAGTTGTACTTTGTTGCCTTCCAATCATCAATTATTTCACAATCTAAATTGGTATATATTATTGCTGATTGTTAAGTTCCTTGTTTATTAAAGTTTTGCAAATCCATATGTCTATGATGATCAATAATAATGTTCATTTTACTGTTTACGGATGAAATATTTAATAAGGAAGCTTCTGAGAAGCTTGAGTATAGTTTTGCTCATCTTACTCTTTGCCTGCAACTCTGAATATCCCGGACCACAAACATTTGAATAAAAGATGGTCAGTTCTTACATCTTCGGAAGACACAAACCTACATTTAACTCCTCTTCAGCCTTAAATCAAGATATTTTGATGTTGAAAATGTTGGATTTAAGAAATGAAAGATAAATTAGAATTACTAAGAATGTATCTTTAGCTAGTAAACAAGAGTTAAAAACGACCAAGTCTTTTACTGCCATTTACTGTTACACCTTCTATGTTGCTCTTCTTCTTATAACTATATGCTCTTCCGTGGATGCTGGCAGGTGCGTGTGTGCTTACACTAGACAGCCATGACACCGAATACTGTTGTAATCAACAAAATGCCAAGAGAATGTATAATAGTTTCGGTGATTTTGGAGGTTGCTTGCAGTCTTCTATAAAAGATATGAAAGCAAACTTGTTGTGAATCACAACACGGCAAAACATACGCGGGCTGTGCTGTGCTTTAATATTATAACAGAACTTCCTAATTTGCTTGAAAACCTAAAATAAAGAATGATTGATAGCTTGCCTCATAATAATAAACAATTATATTGACAAATTATCTAGGCGTTACGTACAGAATACATCATCTGCGCTTTTTAGCTTCATCATCCAGTCTATATAAATGTTACCTTAGATATACTTCCGATGTATTTTGCCTGGAATTTGTAATGTATTCTCGTATATTTATTTAGAGTGAGGAAGTACTATTTTTAAACTGCTTGAAGTACAGATTGGGATGTAAGCAGAGATAAAATGTAAAGATTAATAGCTGCATCCGCCTCTTACTCTATTGTCTCGCTGAAACAATTTACTTCCATGGTTTAGATGGTGGCTGCGGCTTCTATATGCTTTCACATCTGAGCAGTCGGGTTGGTAAAGAATTAATCATCAAAAAATCTATGGGCTTTAATGAACACCATACAATAATGTATTGAATTAGAACAACATTAAGAACGATGTCATTGAGTTCTACTATCACAGGTTAATTTTGCAGTTCAACACATTGATTATAGCGCGAATTTGTTTGATGCTGCTGATAAATGCACAATGGAAAAGGATGCGCTAGCATTTAGTCTGAAATATGCTATTTGACAAAGCTCGCTTAAATGCGAAATTCTGAGAATAAGAGATTTGAATAGAGTTTCCATTCCATATTCTGTTCCGTTTTTATCTGCGGCAAGAATGATGCATGTAGGAATCTGAAGCCCTCTATTCCCTTCCTCTGACGATGCTTCACGAAATAGGACTAAAAAGTATGCGTAAGTGAGTTCAGTGAGTGACATATGGCATACTGATTTTGCATGCTTACCGTGATAAACGTCAATTTGATTACTACTCATTTACTTCAAGTGTCTGATGCTGCCCTTTTAGTAAAGGACAAATTAACCGCCTATCAATTCAAATTTGCGAGCTTATTACCTCTTCGTGAAAATGGTTTGGAGTACAGAATTCATTGGTAAGTTGATCTAAGCGAGCAGTTTCTTTGTAGTTGATATCAATATCTTATCAGGAGTATCTTGAGAAGAATAAATTTACCATTCTTCTTTTCGTGTATTCATCACCACTGCTCTTTATACCAAATAATTTGGCTTGCTTAATCATTTGCACATGCTACGTTTGATTCAATCAGGTTGTCTCTCATCTGTAGAGGCTTTACTTTTTACATTATGTTGATTTCAGAGTCAATATCAAAGGTTTAGTTCAAAATTGCTGCATGGTTATCGGCAACATGCATACAGCCTTTCTTCTCTTCTATTTTACGAATTCTAAATACTCGATTTAGGAAACATTTCCTAAGCAAATCTAGCAAATTTATCCTATGAATATGTAACTGATGAGAGTAATTTCTCAAATACATTCGAGCTTTGTAGTTGTCTTTTTGTGCTTTCAACGTGAAGTGTAAACTATAGTCCACGCATCATGTTAAAGAATCAGTACGTTCACGTAATTTCACGTGTTATTCTTATGAACGTCTTTGCTGCTGTAATAAAATCATAAGAGAGTTAGTTTTTTCTTCCTTTGAATCTTTTTAGTGATAATCGTACAGCTTGCTTTTTCCACCAATAGACCAGACAAAAGCAAAAGGTTATGTACGCAATAATTTAGTTTTATTACAAAGTAGAGTTTTACTATTGCTAAAGACACCAGCAGTTGCTATACTTTATGACATAGTAATGTTGTGGTGCCTTTTAACATAATATATTGCTTTTATATGCTCGAATTTCAATCACAATGTTTTTTAATTTTCCTATTTTGAGCTGTTGTTTGACAATGCATTATTTATTGCAGGTATATGGGTTTCGTACTATACCACCGAGCTTCTGTTTACACACCTTAACAATATCACAGCATTCGGCAATCTTTTTATCTTCTCTAAAGATACAATAGGCTGCCTTTTTTTCTGGATCGTCAGGACTACCGCTGGCAACCAACATCAGCAGAGCCATACACTAAAAATTCTTTCCTTTAGGCTCAGCAAATTTTTGCAACAGTATTATGACCACTATTACAATTGTCATGCTACCATACATGATTATTCTTTTATTGTTTTTCGGCATTACCAATGCTTTTACTATTCCTTATTTAACGTACGGCATTGTTGACATTCACTATGTTACAGAGAGTCAAAAACGGGCCCGAGTTGAATGTACTTTATCAAAGGCTCTTACAGGAGATGAAATTGAGCAAAGCGAGAAGAAAAAGTGTTATCATTAAGGTTAGACTCCTTCTATATATAAAATGCACATTTCTATCTCACTAGTTGCAAAAAATTATTAGTTATGCAGCTTCTGATCGTAGTGTAGGTATTCCTCGTTAAACAGCTTTTCAAATTACAATACTTTCTCTCGACTTTTGTCGTTTTGTATAACATTATGAAAAGAGACTCGATTTTATTACAGTGTATGATTAGAAATTTAAAAAAGTTACTATTTATAAGGAATTTACTTTGAGTAAGAATGTATAAAGGATTTGTGGCGACTTTAAGAGTTGCAGCAATAATAAAATGGACTCTCCTTAATTCTGCTCATTGTTATTGCTTTTAATGAAGAAGCTCTTTTCTGCAATTTTCACTTGCCGCTGTAATTTTACCGTTTAAATCATGGTTACAGATCGACTCAATATCATAGCACCCTTCAATGATGTCGTTATGCTCCACTCCACAATAATTTTCTATCTGTTCTTCTGTTGTCATTACGGGCAGATTCAAGCACTGCAAAGTATCAACTCTCTTAATTTCTGCAGATGTAAGTGGTTTGTATAGTGTACATTCAACAACACCCCATGATTGAATATCGAGGACATACTCAATACGTATAACGTCAAATTTCCCTCTCTTGAAGTGACTACGGCTAGCAAAAGTCGGAAGTGCTAGACAAAGGATGAACAGTAACACCTGCATGATGGTCGATTGTAAAGAGTTAATAGAAGCTGTAGTACTGATCATATTGAATATAGATAACCGTTTTTTTTTCCTATTTTTCTGACAAAATTGAAAAACGAGATTACAAAAGTGAGGAAAACAGAATTAAATAGAAACTTTTAGTGCATATATATATATATGTGCAAGCAAGGAGATTTAAAGAGATGTAAATTCGCTCGATAAATACCTCCCTCAAATACATAATCAACTGTTGCCACATTAACGAGTGGCTCTGAAATAAAACATGCAATTATTTGTCAATAGAATTGGCATCTCATTTATGCATAGCCCCAACAGATAAGAGTCTTAACACTGATAATTTATATAAACAACATTGCCATTTTCTCCTAACACATAAAACTGCGCATTTACTGAAATAGAAGATGTATATTGAGTACATAGAAACCAATCAAAGAACTCTTCACGGGAGTAAGTGTGAACCCTGATAATGACAGATGAAAAATGAATTACGCTATGAATAGGCTTTTCTACGAAAACAATTTTAGATAATTAAAGAAATTTGTTGAGAACCTTTTTGTGCTGATTGATTTATTGTTGCTATTGCTCTTGAAACTATTGACCTTGCTATTGCTTGATATCCTTGCAGTCCCCAGTAGAATTGTGATTTGGTCATTCGTATCATATGCACAGTAACTAGTGCTTATTAACAACTTTAAATAATGCAATCCCAAGGCAGTTGGCTTTTCCATTGAGCTTGTTCATTAGTAATGAGGTTGCATTAACTCAGCGCTTCCTCCTCCATTACAACCTCGAAAAACACCATTGAAAACTTGATGCCTATATCAATGTTATCATTATTTTGCTGTAATAAACTAAAGCCGACGGTTGCAATAATTTTGCCTTGCGATAATTAACCTAAAGCCTTTTCAACAAAAGCAAGATCAATTTTGATAAGATACATGAAACAAGTAAAACTGAAGTTTGTGGCAGTCATCCTGTCGATTGTTAAATTGCAAAAAGAAAAAACATACAAACAGACAACCTTAGAAGTAGTTCAATGGTTCTCGTTAGTACAGAACATTTGAACAATTAAATTTTACATATTACGGATAGCATCTTCTGTGCAAACAGCTTTCGAGAATGTTGTGGTGCATGAGAAACACTATCTAGCTAATTACATAAACAGAATGCTTTTTTACCATACAGAAACAGTTGCTCCCTTACTCTTATTAAAAATAGAAATAGAGAAAGATTTGATTAGTTATCTCTTATTAGAGAAAGATTAGATGTATTTGATGAAAGGAATTAAGCTACTGCATGTTTGTGGGATATATTTAATCAATGCAAATGTTACATAAGGGAGTTAGAATTCGTTAGAAGCCAAAGCCAAAGAATAATGAAATGGTTTCCAAGTAGCTATCGTATATTTTTCATTATGTAAGGAACTCATAGTATGTATTTTATGATCTTCAAAAAATTCAAACAGCAGCCTAAGCTGCATCGACAATACCCTCTTCGCTAATAGCAAAGCTGGCTTCACTTTCAGGTAAACACGGAGATTTGTAGACTTTAACAATTCGATTCTCTGCTTTACCCTTTCTCAATTGCAAACGAGTGCAAGTAGCATGACCCATTATATTTCCACCCGTCGGTTTCATAGGATTGACAGCAAATATGCCAGCAGAACCATCAACAGTAGCCGTCATTTGATTAGTAATAACAACAGCGGCACCAAATTCGTCAGCCAGATGTTGCAACTGATGCAAAAATTGACCCAGATGCATTTGACGCGCTGCCAATTCTCCACGACCTACATAATCACGCCGATAGAGAGATATTGCAGAATCAACGACAATAAGAGAAAACCTGAAATTTTGTGCGCATGAATTGTTTAGGAAGAGAGTAAGAATAGAAATTAATCAATCATTTACGAGCTTTACCGGGCTTTAGCTAGAGTATCGGCAGCTTCAGTGACGATGGTTAGTTGCTGGTCAGTATTATTGGCGCGGTAAACAGCAATATTACCCAATGTGGTAGCAGGATCAAGATCAAATCTAACGGTGAGAGAACAATGTGGTTCAAAATACGATAAAGAAACAGTGGTTTGTCAATAATCCTGCAAGCAAGAATTAAAAAGACTTGAACCTAGTGGATAATTTACCTAGCAGCAATGGATGAGATGCGGTCAGGCCTGAAAGTACCTTCAGTATCCACGAAGAAGCATCTTCCTTGACCACCGCCGCGACCAAAAGGGAGCTTTTTTTTATGAATAAAGCGTAAACAAGAGAGTGTGGATAAGATATCTCCAATGACTGCATAATAAAAAGCCAATATTTACTTGGCAAGCTACAGCTAATGTATGGCAAATTTGGGTCTTGCCACAACGGTTTTCGCCGAAGATCTCCGTAATGGAGCCAGTTTCAATACCCCCGCCAAGTAATTGATCAAACTCCCTGGACCCAGTAGTGATGCGAATGAGCCTATCACGTCTTTGCATAATATCATAAGCTGTGGTGCCGCCATAATTAGTAACCGCATAAGCTAATTCAAAAGTAGCTTTGTATAAGTAGAAGTAGAGAATAGAAGTGGAGCCGAGGAACTCACACTCTTTGATAATCTTGTCCACACGGGCTTCAGATAATCCCTTCACATCAAGAACCTTCTTTCTAGGAGCGTAAAGAACCGAATAAACTGTAAAAAAGCCAGCGCCTTCGAGTTTTTTCACATCCGTAGCACTAACGCCATGTTTCTAAAAGAGTTAATGGAAACCATATTTAGATCAAGATCCGCTTGGAAAAGCCTTTTTAAGTATACTTTTTCCATTAAAATGAAGATAGACTTTACCTCCAGTTCACAAATCAAATGATTTGCGAGGTCGTCTTTTTCATCATCCAAATTATCCAAATCAAAGACAATCTCATTGCCGCCCTCAACAGCATCATCACCAGTCCCTGTTTTCAGACGCTTTGATTGTCTCTCGTTTTCCTCGTTAGTAACGTTTTGTACAGTTTCTTTACCAATTTTCCGTGGAGGCATTATACAAATGGAATAAAGTTTGAGTAGTAAATAAACAGGAAGTGAAGATGAATTAAGAGAGAAGACGTTGTTTTTATTTGTCTTTTACTGGAATTGATATATTCATACCTCTGATACGGACAATTTGATGATTTATGCAGATGGTAAGACTATAGTAAAAGCGGGAGGTAAAAACACATCCAAAGTCGGAAGTGTGGAGTAATCTATTACTGACAATACATGTTGTTCGCAAGAAATGTCTTTTTATAGATGGTTGTTGACCGTTGCAAGCAGAATGTGTCCAGTTATTAGCTGCAAGAAGAGTATGAAAGAGAAGAGAAAGACAAATTAGCTGACGACGTACCAAGAGAACACGAACGGATTGGGTTGTTAAAGCAACTGATGGCTACTTAACACCAAATCGAAAAAAATGAGACACCCTAACTGGTAAGCATTGACCAGAAATATTTTACTGATATGCGGCGAAGCAAGGAAAGACGAACCACAGAGGGGCTCAATGAGGCTGAGGATACTGACGGAAGATAAATAGTTACCAAAGGAACGTGAAATGATTTCCCATATGCTTTTTAATATAACATGAGTCAGGGAAGACAGGCGCTTACTTTCGATATAAACATATTGTAGCGGTTCCAGACCATAGAGCTGAAAGGATTTGTCATATTTCAGCAGTTTTTTGGTTTTTTTTTTTGGAAATTTACTTTTCACCGTGTGACCGCCGCCCTGACAGAAAATGATGGAGGAAATGCATTCTGTTCTTTATTTTATATTTCCACTTCTTTTGGAAAACCAGAATAAAACGAAAGGCAATTGCTGATTTAATATGGATATTCATGAGCAGTTTGCAATAGCAGTTAGGAGTTTAGATACTAGCTCACCGGTGGAGATCGCCAGACGGTTCAAGTATTTGACAAAGACTGATGCAAAGTAATTGTCAGGAAAGCTTCGAGATCACACTTGACGCCCTCAGTAACCTTTTTGAAATGTGCATAGATGTTAACGTGGCTTCCTTTACTTTTGTTTATGTAGTTTCACAGCAGCATCTTTATTGAGGCATGAACAGTTCACTTGGGAGTTATTGAGTCTCCTCGAAGAGTAAGTTCTGCAAAAGGTGATCAGCTTAGAACTGTGCATACTCAAGGTTATTTCTATAAAACGTAGAACAAAAGATAAGACAAAACTTTTTCGCTATGCTGTAAGATGCAGAACCTTTCTTCCCTATGCTTTCTTTTGAAAAAGGTTTACGTTTGTATTAATAGAAGGATGCGTTTGATTTATAGACGTTAAAACAATGGGTGTCACAGATTCCGTTGGAACCAGATTTAGTACAGCTGTTGGTTGAGGAAGAAGAAGTCGAGAAAGAAGTGAACAATTTACTCTTTGCGAATGGAGTCAAACGAAGGACCAGCGAAAAGGAACAATTTCCACGAAAAAAATCAAGACTGAACAATGCGCCATTGAGAGCAGGGAGTGATCCAGAAATATTCTATAAGCAACGATTTGAGCATATTCGAGCCAACGATTTGACTCGAGTAGAAGCAACAACGCAGGAGGACATCTCTCAAAACTATCTCGTTAATGAATATATTGAATACCAACGGTTGGCACTCGGTAAAAAGAGAGATTAAAATTGAAGAAGAAGACTGACATGACAATTCTGTATGCTCACAGTCCTTTGAAACTTTTTCATGCTTGGTAGACGATAAAGCATCAACAATCATACCCGAGCAAAGACGAGCATGGCGCAGAGCTGTTAAGCATGTATTAACCAATGTAAGATTGTACGAGTAAACAGGATGGTCTCTAAAATGATCACACAGAAAAGCTGACGCGCTCAAAATCAGAAAAATTACATGGACAGGAATAAGAGGATATTGTATGATGTTATGGCAGGCGATGCAGATGATTTATACAACATTATGTGTAAAACTTGGGAAGATGTTGTGTGGTCGTATCTCAATGCAGAAGTAGAAGAGATGTTGGATAAGTCAGAACATTTAAAGATGACCGACCCTACACCTATATTACCCTCAGGTGTGGTCAGTCTAGCCAACTCTAAGGACAAGATTTTGAGGAGGTACAGCCTTATGTATATACATATGATAAAATTATTTTGTTGAAGCTAATCATGACGAGGCGTTTATACTTGTGGGGGGTAATCTAGTGATGATTCACGTACAATATTTCACTTCATTCAAGCATGTTTGTTATCTAACAACATTGAAAAGATGATCCATGGATTTTATCATGCTTTCTTCAACACAGAAGAAAGCTCAACAACAAAGTCTCAAGTCAATATTGGGTAGGCTTTATTAGACTGTAGAAGTGTAGAGCGTCATTTGGTTATTGCTCCTATTTACACTCTTTTTGATGTAGAAATGATCCAGAACAACAAGCACAATTGTTGCGTTTCCTCAGCACCCTGATAACATACGGTCAAAAGCTCCTTGGCTGGAAAGAGAATAGATATTCATTTGCCATTATTTCCAAATACGCTAGCTTGAATGCTGAACCTGAACACTTGAGACCAGCTGTTATCGCGTCGTTTGCCGCGAAACAATCAGCCGAAAACCAAATTCGAATTTACTCTCATTTTCTACAAAGTAAGTCTATCAAACGAAACTCCTCAATCGGGCCCTTGAGTTGGTTTTATATTTATAATTTTCGTTTTTGTGGTATTTACAGATTTTGACGGTGACAATGATGAATATGCTATTCTAATACGACTTGGAAAACAGCTTGGGCTCGACATGGCAGATATCTTACAATACACATATACCCATTCATTTAAAAAGGCTATGGAGGCGGCACCTATCGGCATTACAGACATGACATCGAAAACAAACAAAGACCCCATCCACTTCGAATTACAGGGTGATATCACTGAAGAGTACTTGCCCTTTTTTAAAGCGATCAAGTATCTCCTGGTGGATGATAAAAGCTGTGTAGTTCAGCAAGCGTTTGATGCTATCAATATGACGATACGCTACTTTCTAGGCAGTTGCAAAGTATATTTGGCACGTCGTGTGATCGATTTAGTACCAGTGTCTATAGCAGAATTTATGACAATCGAAAGTAAAAAGGATAGCAATGCCAGAAAAACTTTAGCTGAATTTAAAGGTCATCGAAATTTGGTAAATGCATTAGTGGATTTTGAGAAATGGAGTCGCCTCATGGAGCAGAAGCCAACGGATAGGTAAGTTCTGTAAACGTCCTAGTTTAATACATCCGGTTTGGAAACACGCAAAGTTAATAAAAAGGAATTGCCATATACTATGCTAGAGGTGATTTGGATTCTACAATAGCTATGCTTAACTGGAAAAAGAAGGCGGAGGAATGGACTGTTATTATTGAGTATGAAATGAAATCGACACTGGAGAATTGGCTAGGCGAAGGTAGTTTATCATAAAAGATTACAGTTACAAAATGAATGCGTACCAACCATTACTTTTCTTTGCTATTAGACGCTAATGAAACTGCTCATATATCCAAAGCTGCTCTGAGACAACTCTACATTCCTGAAATTCTGATTCGATATCATAAATTGCTAATGCTTGCTTCGAGCATCATCCCCAAGTACAGTATCCAAAATATTGGTATGTCACTATAAGTTCTTTTTAATGACCTCTTTTTCATTATAGGAACAAAGATAAATGTCAAACGCTTAATGTATATATTACTGCAGCTCATCAGCGATTATTGGACGATATTACTGCTGCAAAAAGAATGGATGATGTTTTACGAGAATTTAGCAAATCATGCCCTTCAAACTTGTAAATGAACAGAAACTCTATTTCTTTTAAAAAGTGATGATCTAGACTGTTAAGAATGTTAAACCTTTGTCATTTCAAACTGCGCTTTTATCTGGTGGCGCCCGCTATTTGAAACAGAAATCTGGGCACTTCAAAACAATTAATTGTGCATTTAATCACTTGAGTACAATGAAAAGTTAAACACGATTAAAGTTAATAAGTAGCGTACAAGCAATTTGATAAGATGTTTATTTTATATATACAAAATCATAAGGGGAATATTGATCGAGGTGGGGGGGGAAAAGAAAAATGACTGCCAGCGTCATCAAAAAGTTGGGATAGAACAAGGTCTGTCTAGCTTAAATGAAATGCCAAGTGATATCACTTTCACCGATATCCATATCACCGACGACTTTCTTGAACAATGAGGGAGTCAAGTCAAGCTACATAAAGTAAAATGAGTTAGCAAGTGTTTTGTACAAATGCAATGGATGCGATCCACAAGAAAGAGCAGTGATACTTACATCGCCGTACGAGCATTCAGGGCAAGCATCGAGGATCTAGTATACGATACCAATATAGAAAGTTAGTAAATCAATTATGGAAGGATACATTGGATGCATTGGTAAACTTACAGTTGCAGAAACGGATCCCTTCTGGCCCTGGATCTTAATCTTCTTATGACTAATGTTTGCCAAAGATGATCATGGATTAGTATATACTTACATAAGCTATTAATAAAACAAAAATCAAATGTAAAAGAAGGATAGTTACCAGTATTTGCTCTTGCCATCAAGGTCGCCGTATTGGTCAGCATTAAGTGCAACGATAGGAGAATCATTGTCAATATGTTCACCATTGCAGGCAGCTTGAGGACCACCTTCAGTAGCAGGCTTGTACCAAGTAGCGGTACCTGAGAAGCTCTTGCCGTCTTTACCAGAGTCTTTATCATCATCATCACTCTTCTTCTTCTTCTTGCTATCCTTATCATCGTCTTCATCATCGTCTTCATCTTCCTTGTGCTTGTGCTTGTGCTTTTTCTTGTCTTTTTTGCTCTTCTTGTCTTCATCCTCTTCTTCTTCATCCTCTTCATCTTTCTTATGCTTGTTCTTTTTCTTGTCTTTTTTGCTCTTCTTGTCTTCATCCTCTTCTTCTTCATCCTCTTCATCTTTCTTATGCTTGTTCTTTTTCTTGTCTTTTTTGCTCTTCTTGTCATCATCATTATCATCATCATTATCATCATCGTCGTCGTCTTCATCATCATCGTCGTCGTCTTCATCATCATCGTCGTCGTCTTCATCACTATCGTCGTCATCGTCGTCATCGTCGTCATGCTTCTTTTTCTTCTTATCTTTCTTGTCATCTTTGTCGTCTTCATCGTCTTCGTCTTCATCATCGTCATGTTTGTGCTTCTTGTGACGCTTTTCTAATGAAGTCGTCGTATGGGAAACAGCCAACTGCTTGCTATCAGATTCGGGAATAGGAGCAGAGGCGACCAAGGCAATAAGAGCGGCCATGAGTACAAGCAAGAGGGCAAAGGTATTGAATTGCATGTTCAATAGTAAGGATTGTCAGAAGAAAGGGGATAAGCTATAGAAAGAAAGTATAGATGTAGAAAACGACCTGCGTTTGCTTGGGTTTTATATTGGTACGAAGAAAGAGTATTCAATAGATTGAACAATGAATAGTTGAGGAAAAAAAAAAACCAAATTGTATGTTATATTTATATAGATTTTTATTGTGCCTCGATCAGAGGCCTGTTATGTGGGTTGCCTCACGGAATAATTATTTTTCTCAGGTCATCGTCTTTGGGTCGTCGTGTAATGTTTCCCAATCTTCCTTTTTGCAGAATTGGTTGAGAGTCGGTAAGATGTTGGAATGACGAAAACACGCAAGTGGAATTCCGACAGCTTTATTTCATTTATACCGTTTATTCAGGTTCATCTTTATAAGTCGGATCCGGTACCTAAGCATCACAAAGAAAGAGGTGCGATGTGGGCTTTGGCTCTGAACAGGCTTCTTTTTCTGATCTTGTTACAAAAAAAAAAGGAACAGGTCCGTGATTCGCGTCTGGATTTTAAATTTGCTCTGGAGAGTCGCTACATTATCCAATGAAAAGACACAGGAACGCATAGGCCATATATTAATGTTTTAATTAAATGTAATTTACTAAGAATACATGAAGAGAAAATTTGAGCGATCTACCTATTCTGAAACATGTTAGGTGATTTAGTCTGGCTGTGAAAGATTCTATCATGACGCTTTTTTGACATTGCAAGGAAGGTAGTACTGGTCGACTAGAACAGACAGTATGCGCGCCATTAAAAAAAAGGAAGGGGGGGTGGGTGGCGGTGTGCTAACGACATGGATGAATTTTTTCCCGCAAACCTGCCTATTTTTGCCTTTATAGCAGTTTTAAATTTTATTTTTTATTTTGTGTACCAAATTGGCTCAATTTAAAAGAAAAACGCATCTAATTTATGACCTTCATCCATACACCCTTCTTCAATTTGAGGCATCCTAGTCATTGATTTCTTTTGAAACAGAAAAGAAACCCTTCGCTTTATATTAAAAGGTTATTATTTCATTCAAAATGAATTTAAGACTTTTAATTATGGATGCAGTGGATGAACGCATCTGTAACCCTCTCGCGCGGTTTTCATGCTCAGCTCTTGATGGTGGAACTACACACACGTTTGCTTTTCATGAAAACAGGAGATTCGCACCCGTTCGGAGCAGTTTGACTGGTTCGCTGGCTGGCTGGCTGGCTGGCTGGCTGACTGACAATGTTGCAATTTGTGTACATGGTACAAGAGTACCTCGTACTTTAATTTAAATTTTTTTTAAGCTTGTCCCCTTCCGTCAGGGTTGCCACTTTTTGATGTAAAGAATGGGAATGCCTTTGGTTTTAGAACGTTGCGTAGCCCTAAAAGAGCGATCTCCTTTATCGACATGAAAAAATGGGTAAAGGACAAAGAAATAAGCAGGAGCTCCAGAAGGTAGCTATCCATTGCTTGATGACAGCGTGTAAGTGTACGATGGAAAACATTTTCAGTGTTCTCCAGTGTACAAGTCAGAGCAGTTTGCCAAATTCCAAGGCTTGTTTATGCTGCCCTTTCTACTTTTGATTTGTTGATGATGGAAGGGCATGTTTTTTTATACGTTCACATCCATGAAGAATAGACGCTGCAGAATCTTTTATTTGTTCAAAAAAGATTCTCATAGCAGCTTTGGATGAACGCAAAGGAACACATTTGTTGCGTTGGATCTAGGCATTCCGTTTTTATTTTTCAAGAAGCTTTTGGCTTGATCAAAGAAAAGAGACTTTTTGCTTTTCGTAAGACTTTACCCTGCGTTTCTCTATTTCAGTTTTGAAAATGTTTTTGAGGACAATGACGTTTCATCGTGTCTCCAACCTTTCTTTTCATTCTATGCGCGCTGCATTATAGAAGCTTGTGATGAAACGAAAGAAGAGAGGACATTTATTTTTGCAACTTTACAAAAACCAGATATCAATGACGTGTCCATCCTTCTTTTTTGAATGGAAACAATGATCGACAGATTCTACACAGCACGTTTTCAACATTGAAGCATTGTCATCCTAAAACAAGTCTATCAAGCCACTGTATTATCTCTCTTTCTCCTTTTTGAAACGGGGGGGGGCGAGAACTATTTTTGTTGATTGCTTAGACAACACAGAAAATGAGTGATGACAGTGGTGAAAGATTTGGCTCTATCAGATGAGCGTTGGGTTGCTATTCATACACATATCTCTCCGCCCCACCTCCCCAAGGGCGTCTCTCCTCGGAATGATGTATGAAAAAAGAAACAATAAAATCTCAACCCATCTCTCTTCTAACTCAACAAAAAGATAAGAGATGACACTACGATTAAACAAGATTTTTATTGGCAAATAATTTTAAACCCACATGAGCACATAATCATTATGAGATTGAATCGCCCGGGTCAGATCAAATAGAAGGGGAGAAGGGTGCTAAAAAACCTTTTGATAGTCAATAAAGGAAAAAGGCAGTAGAGAAGGGAAGAGTAAAAGAGGGTAAATCCAGGACTAGATTAGTCCTGAGTGAGCCACGGACTAACTTGTTACCAAGAGATGGAGTTTCGGGGGGGGGTGGGGTGGGGTGGGGGATCTTATCATGATGTAGATAGTCAAGTTCGAAGAGGATGTGATATAGGGCGGGCCAACGGATTGTCCAGTTGGAGAAGCGTTGAAGGGTTTTGTTTGTTACGTGTTTTTCTGGTTGGTAGCATGTTGAGAAGAAATGATATTGGATCATTTACTGTAAGGGGCATTTGTAATCGACGGTGCATGTGAAGGCATATTATTGAGTGTTTGCGGGTAAACATGACATTAGGGTGATCTATGCACGGTTTTGGGACCCCACCAGGTAACCAATGGAGACGCCAATGTATAACTCGACTGCGTTCCACGGGGGTCATAGGTAGCCAAAGAATTGGATCAACACCATGAAAAGGGCGACAGGAGGAGAGGAGAACCGAAGTGTTAGCTTGGCGTTGTGTTTGAAGGTTTTCGACACGAATTTATTATTTTTGAATAAAAATAATCTAAAAAAAAAAAAAGAAAAAAAAAAAAACTACCTCCAGTAAACTATCCTAGGCCCTCTTCTTTCTGCACGCATCTTTCCCTTCAGCATGCCTGATCCAACCCCTAAAATCCTCAAGAATAAATGTTTTGCAGGCTTCTATGATACGTGGTGTAAGAGCTTATTGCTGTCGAATGGTGTGCCTTTGGGGGTTTTTTTTTATCCTTAGCCAAGCGCTTACTTACAGGATCAACAACTGGTAATTAAAATGGATGAAAAAGCGGCCTATGTCTGCTTTTGCTGATGGCCTATTTAATAAGTGAGATACGGTCATGGTATCCGTTTCTATCTGTTTTGCTACCATTATCAATGCTTTCAATGTGAGAGACCATACATTGTCAGGAAATTCCTTATTCATAAGCTTCTGAGCGATAACGTACTATTCGAGTGATATAAGAACAGGCTGTCTTTTCTCTCAAACAGTCATAGTGTGATCGTCTGTCACTAATGACGTACATTTTTCTTCATTGCCATGACAATGTCGTGCGAAAGTCAAGGCGAAATAACAGTACAAAAGCATTTCTATAAAGTACATGAGAACAATCCGGCCCTTAGCTCAGTTGGTAGAGCGGAAGACTGTAGTGAAATAAAGTCAACATGAGCTGAGCTTGAATGGTTTAGCCAAGACAGTGTCAAACAAGGTAAGCATTCCTCGGAAAAGGGGAGAAAAGCGGACCTTTCTGTTATTCTTGCTTGTTTCGTGTACATGTGCGCGTGAGCCTTGGATGTGTGTTGAATCAAAGATAGCGCACCCCCAAAAAACAACAACAATCAAGAGGGCCACTACTGTGCGTCGCGTCATTTGTAGTCGTAGGTAGTAGGCTGCAGGTAAATGTCAACTGGTCAAAGAAAGGGCAAAAGAGGATAAAAATCAGGGTACGCACCATTTGAGTCACCAAAGAAGGTAAAAAAAGGGGGAATCATTTTTATTACTACAAATAGGAAAAGTTCAGATCATACTAAGAAGAAATAGATATAAAAATACAAAGAAAAAAGTAAAACTAGAATACATGTTAGAAATAGTGGATATATAAGAAAGAGTAATAAGCATTAATGTAAATTTGTGTAGAGAGGGAGTCACTGAAGAGATATACAGAAAAGGGGGGTGGGTTACATAGTAGGGTGAGAAGAGAGTCGACTCTCTTTTTTTCATCTAGAGGTTAGAGGAAGTGGTGGATGAGTAATCCTTGTCTTCATGGCGATGAATCTCTTTACGACCATCTTCGATGGTTTCAACATGGCCACCGACCAACACTTCAGGATTTCCACCGTCTGCCAAGTTATCGACCTTTTCAACAGTGACATCGGAAACAGTCCAACAGATAAGGTAAGTCAAAACCAAGCCAGCACCTTCAATGGCAAAATTAACGGCCAATTGGGTCATGAAGGGAGTATGTTTGGCGTCGAGTTGAGCAGCAATAGCAGCAGCGGCATTTTGAATGGTTTTATAGAAGCCACCATAACGAGCGGCACGCTCAGTATCGTTGGTCATGGTACCCAAGAGCCAGTAGATGAAACCTTGATAGATGGCGTCGATGATACCAAAGACGGCGTACAAAATGATGTAACCAGCATATTCGGGATCACTGACATCGATTTGCTTATGATTGGGAAGCTTGACAGATTCGAAGGAAAATTTCTTTTGGACAAAAATGCAGCCTACCCAAGAAGCGACGAGGACGGCCAAGATCAAGGAATTGCCGATGAAGGCACGAGTACGACGACCACCCAAGAGCTTCCAATCCATAAAGAAACCAAATGCACCGGCACCGAGAATTTGACAGAGCCAGTAGATCAAGTTGTTCAAGGAACGCGCACGCAGGCCAAAGAAACCGCCACCGTTGTAGACTTGGAATTGGTAGGTGTAGAACCAGTTAGAGCCGGCTAACACGGGGATAAGGACCAACATTTTCCAGTCGGTGAATAAGCGGAAGACTTCGATGGCTTCACGTTTCCAGTTGGAGAATTTGTGGAGAGAGACAGGAGTACCGTCTTTACGGATGACTTTGTGAGCGGGAAGTAAGGTAAGGGCCAAGAAGGCGCCAAAGCCCATGATACACATGAAGCCAATATACGTGCCGAGAGTGACAGTGGAAGTGCTGTTTTTCCAATTGGAGCCGAGGGGGATGGCAGCACCTACGGTAGCACCCGTGTTGAAGAGCATCCAGAAGATGGAGAAGGCTTTTCCTTTGTCTTTTTCATCGGGGTAAGACATCATGATACCAGCTTGGGCGGTCCATAAGACACCAGCGCCGATACCAAGAATGGCACCGGTAGCAATGGTGAAAGCAGCTTTATCTGTAAGGTAGGAGCCCACATAAAGAACGTAGCAAAGACCGGCAGGTAATAACACACGATGACCAAACATATTGTAACTATGAGGGCATCAATGGAGAGAGGTGAGTGAGTTTTTTTTTTTATGAAAAGAAGGACCGCAGCTATCCAAGGGATGAGGATACTTACATAGGCGCACCCACCAAGGAAAAAACAGTGAATGTGACAGCCAAGGCAGTATTGGCATTGTTGGTGACCGTAGGATCCGATTGACCAGCACCGCCCATACCGTTCAAGGCATTAAACATACCAGGACAGCAGAAGAAAATGAAGCCTACCAAAAAGATTTGAAATTGAGGGTCGCTATAACGGAATGGCAGTTTAAAACCCATTTGCTATGTTGAATTAAGGGGGAGGGGAAAAGAAAAGAAGAAATCGAGAAAAATAGAGGATGAATGAAAGGGGGAAAGAGGTAATTAAGAATAAAGATGAAAGGTTTAAGGAAATACAGACAAAACTGATTTCTCTCTGCGTGTATTTATATAGAAAAAGAAAAGGACCTTTTTTTCTAAGGAAACGGGGTTTTTTTATTCGTGATTTTTTTTTTCTTTTTTTTTACTTAATTGATATCAACTGTTTTGGTCCCTGTTTTCGTGTTCATTCTCCCTGCTTTCAAGCTCTCTCTTTCAAGCTCTCTCTGTCTTTTGGCTTGTTGAGTTCTGAAACTCCATCTTCCCATTTTGTATTAATTTTTTTTTTTGACAACTTTTTTTTTTTTTTTTTTTTGTGTCGCATTCCCACGAAAAATAGACTTAGACACATCTTTTGTGTGTTAGAATGACAAATTTACCCTGACAAACATACAAAGCACCACAAGAACCCTTAACAATGTGTATGTAAGCAAAAAATGGCGTGTTTGCTGCACAAAAGCATAAGAACCCTTAAACAGTTCTATGCAAAGTAAAAAAAGAAGGTCTCTATTGATTTGTGGGCTTAATAGGAACTTGGTCAAGTTCAGTCCATGGATCAAACGGGGTCGCTTCTTGAAATTTTTTTATTTTTTTTTCTTTTTTTTTATTTTTTTTTAATGGTAAATGATTGTAAAACACCATGTTGATTCCATGGAATTTATCTCATTGGATTATTCCATCCCAAAAATGAAATGGTCTTTATGCCAACTACTTTTTGGGCAATGGGGTTTTCTATACTGAATACATCTTTGTTACTAAAGAAAAATGAGCGAAAAAAAAGTAGACTTGATCAAAATGAGCATAGACGTGTAAATGAAAAAAAAGCACTTTATGTGGGTTTACAATTAGTTTGAAAAACTTAAAAATTCTTATGCATGTTTTCAGTTTAAACGGGAAAAAGGTGGGGTAATCCTAGGAAACATTGCTATTTCGAGCTATTTCAAAAGCCCGCACGCTCTTCCTAAAGAGATGAAAGTGCACTTTTATTTTTTATTTTTTTTTTTTTTTTGTTTATGTTCAAACGTCACGAATTCAATTTGTATTGGGTGATTATGACATATTCGTGCAAAAAAAGGACAGGTACGGTTTTGCACTACCATAACACACACATACCCTCACACATACACAGAGCAACCCTGTCAGGGTATCTGATGATTATGGAATGCATGATAGAAAGAACCCTTGTTTCTGTTTTCTCGTTAACAATACAACCCGCTTTTATTTTAAGGTTAACGTTGCACCAGAGATCCATTGCATTTACCGTTGGCATGACATTTCAAATATCTCATGCGTTTTATCATTGATTGGTTACATTTTTTACTGTGTACTTTTTGCAGCTAAATATACTTTTTTATTGAAGAGAGAAGGAGCGACAAGATTCGTCTACATTCCTCATGGGTTTTTTTGTTGGAAAGAAATCAGCAGATTTCTAACCGTTTATCGCTTTGTTTTTTGTGATGGTTGAACGAAAAAAAGGCTTTCCCTGTTCCTCCATGTCAAGGGGTCACATGAGTGCATTTTTCACCTGCCATCTGAAGGAGTGTGGTTTTTTTTTTTTTTTTTTTTTTTTTTTTATTACACCATCTATTTTACGATTCAATGAAAAAGGGGTGCAATATTTGTCAGAACCCTGCACTGTGGGAAAATGCCTTACTCTGTACCACTTTGCATAAGAAGGAAAAAAAGAAAAAAAAAAAAAATGAAAAAAAACCCTTCAGACCCTTTTTTCGAATCTGAGCATTCTACATGGTTAGAGTTTGGGCGAATTCTATGATTTCCTTTGCTTGATTGCTCGTCCGCCGCGTCCAAATACAGCGAAAGAGAAACAGGAACGGCTTTTTCTTCTTTCCTATGCCATTGACATCCCGTTTTTTAAGCATTGAAAAATCCGTAAAGAGAGAAACAGAGAACGGGGCCAGCTACGTTTCCTTTCCTTTGCGACTTTAATGCACGGCAATACCGGTTTCTTTCTTTTTTTTTGACTGTGATGTCTGTCGTGGTCCCTCCTACCCCTGGTCCAGGAGGAGGCGGAACTTTTGTACGTGTTTTTCTTTTTGCATGAAAGAGAGAAAATTCGACGCCTGACGGACCAAGGGAGAGGACATGGGGTCCTTTCCCTATCTTCCACCATGGCATGGTTTGTAAGCTGCAGGAGGAACAAGTAAGAATGTATATCTCTTTTCGTGGTGATCACGTGAAGACAGGACCTTTTTTGAATACAGTATCGTTCCAAGGAGGGGGTGGGAGTGCAAAGTCCTCTTGAGTCCTAGACGTCATGCCACTGAGAAATGCATCGCGAACCCATCCACACGTCCATGGGTAGCACGCCATGTCCCTGACAGCATGTCTCGAGGCAAGAAAGGGGGCGGGGTGCGAGGAGGAGAGAGGGGAAAAAAAGGGTTAAGCTTTCCTTTTCATTCAAGATTAGGTAAAGCAAAAAAAAAAAAAAAAAAAAAAAAAAAAGGGTGCATGTCAGTGCGTACACGTTGCATTGATGTGACCCTGTATTACTTGATCTGCATGCTGATCATCGTCCTTCCCTGAATCCAGAGTGATTCTTTTTTAACATTGAAATAGGTTTTAGCTTACATTTTATAGGGTGGCTCTTATTGGAAGAAAGCTTGATTCCAAAATTAGAAAATGGAGTCCTATTCCGAGGAAGCGGGTCCTTGGAGTGTGATTCCGCGGGGAAGAGGTTAAATTTAGACACAAAACCGGCATCAAGAACTCAACAATAATCCAAAAAAAAAGGAGCCCACTATAGCAAACACACTCGGCAAAAGAAGCGTCTCCATCTATGGAAACCGCATAGAAACATCCAGAGATACCTCGTCTATAGAAAGAGGCCATGTAGAGATGGAAGAGGGAGACTTTTACCACCACCACCATCAGAAAAAAACACTAAGCCGTCTCGACCTGTATGATTTTCTTTTTCTTATATGTTATCCATCTCCTACTACCACATATACCGGATAATAAAAAGCCGTCTCCAACGTACATTACGCCAGTAGTGTCAAATCTACTGTAGAGAAATGGGGATAAAAAAAAAAAACTTTTTTTTTTGGGGGTGGGGTCTAAAGAAACCCAAAGCTTCACTACCCAACCACGCGTTTCAATCTTTTGTCTTTTACCAACATCATCTGCCTCTTTGCACATAGGATATCAACATAGCATGTTCTCTGACTGAGAAAAAGTCCTGCTCTCATGTCTGACTTGGACAGCGTACCACTTTATTGTAAGAGAAAGAGGACTGTCCTCGGGACCTGGGCCATCTGGACAAGTGCAGTTCTCCTCTACATAGAGTACACACATAGAATCAAAGCTTGAGTATCGTTGTTTATAACTATTTTCAGCTTTTGCTTTCCATAGACTCGTTATGACTCTGATGGTTAGCCCTTTCCGGTGCGTACGTTGGATAGGAATGGAAAACTCAAATCGGATGATACCTATTGCTAGTTTGTAGACAAAAGTTTTTCTGTTTATTTCTGAAAAGAGGACAGGACAGGACAGTCTCATTTTCACAATGTGCCCTAACTATCTTCCATTGGGTCATTATCCATTGGGTCAATTTCCACTGGGTTGATCTATCAGTATAGACTCAACGGAGGCAAACATGTGTTGGCCTCTTTCCAATTTCTGATAAATCATGATTGGCCCACCCCAATCTGTCATTGAATCCTTAAAAGAGACAAAAGACCATCGCAGTCTTCACTTGCGGTAGGAGCAAAAGTGAATGTACAGCATCCACTTTGCTCGTCCGTTTCCTCGTTTTCAAGCATGTGATGAGATGGAAGAATATTCGTCGTCGTCCATGCATGCTTTCTAATGACAGAATATCAGAATTATATTTTTTCATTTACCATCCTCTTTGCTTTCACATAGTACACATTGAAATGTATCATCTTCAAATTCTTGGAAAAGAATAAGAAACTTGAGCATGTGTTTTCTTACCATCATCTAAACAACATCAACATGTTGTATCCTAGTGATGATTGGATACTTTTTTTTTTTTTTTTGATCAAGAATATCGCGGATGAAATTTCTCTTCTTTGCTGACATCTATCCTACACTAGGTAAGCTAAACAACGGGTGGTCAACAATGATTGGATTATAAATGCAGCTCCAGGGTCGCTCTGGATCTGCCAGAATGACATAATACAAATCAATCTGCTTTTTAAAAATCGAGATGACAAAAAAAGCTACAAGTTTTATAGAAAGACAAAGCAAGTAAAAGCCGTATGCCAAATAGGGTGCCTAAGAGAGATCCATCGAAAAATTGTCATGATTTTTTATATAAAATTGTTAACGGCCGCCTGTGGGGAATTTACAAGGGGGCACAAAAAGTAATCTTCTTATAGAATCAGACTGAGCCCTATCCTTTCCCTTCCTGCAAAGAAAAAAAAAAAAAAAGGCATGCGTAGAGACCTTGCTGTTGAAGGAGGTTCTGGCAGCAATGTTGTCAAGAGCCACATGTGACAAGTGTTGGCTGATGAGAAAAAAGCCTCTGATAAGTGAGCGACTCAAGGGGTACTTTGGAGTCTTATGAACACATTCTCATGTTCGTTTTCACACTCGTTTCGTATGACAACGATTTCGTAATCAAGGTCCCCTCAAGTCCCTACGGAAAGTTACGGGGGGTGATGATTGTGTCTATGTCTATGTGAAAGTACACTTGAGAAATAATAAGGAAAAATCACCCTCTCATAAAGGCGACAATGATGAATCCACCCGATTGTGAACATCCGAGGAATCTATGAGAAACTTTTATCCGCTTTACAATGGTAGTGTAAAAAAAATGTCTATAAAGAACTATGTGATTTGCTCTTTTATTCAACATCCTATGGATCCTAAGGATCCTAAGGACATGTATTGTTTATATACAACACTTGCACGATAAGAATAATCATGAAGAAAATAAATAAAAAAAAAACGAAAAAGGAATGTCAATTGTGTAACTTGTGTTTATCAAAGAAGAGGACCCTCTGGTCCCTACGAGATTTTTATTTATACAGGTTTACCCAAGACTGATGAGCTATCTTTTTTTTTTTTTTTTTTTTAATGAGAGAATTCGGGAAACTGGCTGAATGGAAATTACAAAAAGGGCGGGGTAACCAGTAAAAACGGGAAGAAAAAAATAAAATAAAATAAAAAGTTAAAAAAAACCACTTAACCACCACCCAAACATTCTCTGGTGTTTTACGAATTTCTCAACGCTCTTATTGGATCCACTTTATGGATAAAAGAAAAAAAGAAGAATTGTCAACTTTTTTAGCTTTTTTAATGAATCGTAACCATGTTTCCCTCTGTCCGTGAGAAAACTGTAGCTATAATCATAAGGAAAAAAAAAAAAAAATTATAAGAAAATAAAAGTAAAAAAAAATGGCAGCGATTCCTTTGCTATCTTTGAATTATTCATTCAATTAGAGTAGTATATGCTTATAAAATAAAGAGAGATTCATAAATACTGTGGTCATTTCAGAGTTTGCAATGCGTCTCTCATCCATCCCCGGATTTTCTAAAGAGTATGGAGATGTGGTCATACGTTAGAACAAAGCATCACAATGAAGCGTTGGGACAGAGCGGTTTACAGGCGGTATATTTTTAAAGATCCAGAATTGTCATGCTTTCATTTGATAGGTGGATCACTATTTGGTCCTTTCTATCAGGATAGACGGGAAATGTTCAAATGATGGAAATACCCAAATTTAGGTTTTTTAATTACACTCACCAAAAAGAAAAAAAAATGGACCCGTTGCTCCCTATTTGAAAAAAAAAAAAAAAAAAAAAAAAAAAAAAAAGAGAGAGAGATCATTCTCTTTTGTTTTTGCTCGTTTTTCTTTTTTCTTTTTTACAAGTATTTTTCCTTTTTGTCCAACAACACATCCATAAATCATGATGATGTCGAATACGTTACCGTTATGCTCAAGTCAGAAAAGACGCGACGACTACTTTCCACCCTCTCCTCCTTTATCTACAACAGCCACGACGACGACAACAACAACAGACGTAAAGCATAAACAACTTGATCTTGATAAATTGATACAGACTTATGGAAAGCAGCCTGAATTACTGGAATTGATTCTTTCTAGTAAAGTGGAAGAAGACAGACGACTTGCAGAAGAAGCCAAATTGAAGAGAAAAGAGATTGATTACATGCTGCACCGGAGACAATCTTATTCTCTGCAGCAGACACAACCCCATTACCATCCCTATGCCTGTCGTAAAACATCAGCGCCCCCCTCCTTGCTGCCATCACTCACTCATGCTACAGCTGCTACCACCACCGTTACCTCTTCCTCCTCTTCCTCCTCCTCCTCCACCACCACCACCCACAGCAACAACAGCTCTGAAGCAACCTCTTCCTCTGCTCTATTACCGCCCATACAACCACCATCACATTATTTTAAAAGACCCAGTTATGGTACCAACAGTCATCCTACCATGGATATGCTTTTGACACGTCCCTCCTCACCTCCGACACCAAGATTGCCCGCAATCTCCACTTTGAACACGACAGCAATGAATGGAAAACCAACTTTAACGACGACTGAATCATCCCCACGCTTTATGAACCAATCAATGTAACTCTTGCATTTACCAGGCGACATGTATTTTTCAAAATGTTCTAAAACCTTTTTTTTTTTTTTTTTTTTCCTTAAAAAGTATCCACGCACCCTCTACCACGAGTAGGCCACCTACCCTCCTTCATCCAAGGTCGCATTTGAACGTAACAGAAAACTTGGTCTCCGCGGGTCATCCTCCTCCTCCTCCTCCTGCGCCTCCTTCTTATCATCCACTACCCACGAGTCGTTATCCTAATGCTGGTGGTGGTAAAAAACCACCCATGAAACGCCAACGACGGGAAATGCAAGCCATTTCTACCATCCTTGAGACCAGAGAATTCCCGTACAATGATGACTATCTCTGGAAGAACAATGGCAACACGGTGCATAAAAAGACAGGTTTCAAAAGTATATACTACAAATGCTCCAACAGTATCAAAGTAAGTTTTTTAATAGAAAAAAAGAATCCTTGTTGGTTGCAAGAAACTCATCTTTTTGTTCCTAGGGTTGTTCTGTCAACAAGACGGTGACCTTTAAGGAAAATGGTCAATATCTCATTAAATACAGGGGCCAACACTTGCCAGAATGCCATCGGATCAAGCGAATTTCTGATTTATAGAAGCAAAACAAAAACCCAACCCTTTTGCGTCCTTTTACGACCTTTCTTTCTTTCATCCGTAAAATGTATACCCCTCCTCTTTCCTCACATTTTTTCTCTTATACATTATCTATTATTATCTTCTTTTTTTTTTTTTTCTACATCTCACTTCTTTTTTTATTTTTCGCTTAATAACAAACAAAAGCAGGAATTATTGTATTTTATTATTATTTGTCATTCATTCTCCCTTTTTCTTTTATTGCAACACTTGAGTGAACCCTACTGTCTGTTGATTAAAAATCCACACTCGTTCTATGTTGAATGTCTAGCCGTTTCTTTTCCAACAGTGCAAAAAACTCATTTTGCTTATGCATTGAGAGAGATAGAATTTTCCATCTTTTGATATCACCATGCGGGAGGAACGTGCGGGGTGGGGAAATCTATCTAATTGTTTCATTTTATCAGTGCTGGATTTTTTGATTATTCTTGGAAACCCCACATTGTTAAATGAAAGAAAAAAAAGTAGTAGATCCAGGTTTCATTTCCTTTTTCGCCCCAAATGAAAAAACGCGTATGCGGTATCTACGCGTGTCTCTTTCTTTGTTATACCTTCCCTTCTCATCCAACTCGGAAACAACTAGCATCGCTCAAGTTTTTGGGGGGGTTTTTTTTTTATGGGCGTAAAAAAAGAAATACCAATTTCTCAACTCTGTCAACAAACAAAACGAGACACACACAATACATGAAGGAGGGAGGAGCATAAGAGCTTTTTTTGGGGGCTTCAAGTGATGGATGCGACCTGGTAGTAGGGAATCTCAAATGCTTCTCTATGCATATCACGGTCATGGAGAGCCATGGACAAAATAGCTTGTAGAGGAAACAAGATCATGTGATGCAATGGATGAATTTTATTTTTCTGCTTGTGAGAAATGACTCCCCTTCTTCCCTACTTTCTTTCACTTTTTTTTTTTTTTTGCATCCTAAAAGCATTCAACCTTTGGAAACAGATGGTTCTCTATAAACGAAATAATGTACTTGCCAATCAGCGCTACTTCCAAGCTCCGTCACAAACGCCGTTATGGATCAAAGGAAAAAGAGACAAGTTTATTGTCACCCTCGTCTTTGGTATTCTCACTGTCGGTGTCGTAGGCTCTACTGTGGGTCTTGGCAAGTAAAGTATTTTTATTATTTTGCCTATCCTGTTGTTATCTTTCAAACTCACTTTTCTTTTGTTGAATAGATTGGTTAGAGGAAACAGAGAATAAAAAATCATTAGTCCGCATCTAGTTTTCATTGTCTGTGGGATGACTCTTGTTTTATTTTGCAATGAATAAAGTATCATGATACATGCTGAATGTGTTGTGTGAATGTATGTGTGTGTATATGTGCAATAGGAGTAGTTGGAATGATTCATTGAAAGCGTTAAAGGGAAACATACTCCCAAAAAGATAAAGAAGGGTTGCTCTTCACAGGAGAAAAGGATAAAGTGTGTCTTTTAAGCACATGCTTTTACTCTTGCATAGCACTTGAAGAAGCGCCTCCGCCTTTCTGCGACTTTGACCATCGGATACTACAAGCGTTACATAAACTAGAGTCGGGCGGGGCAAAAAAGGGTTATCCAATAGATTCATAAAAAAAAATAAAAGTAATGCACGTTTCTCTATTTACGTTTTGGGTCCCTTGGGTCCTCGTCTCCATTCAGGTGCATCGGTTCTACCACAATCTGTACAAATACGTTCCGCTTCTTCTTCAGCGCGTCTCTAAAATAGATAGACGGATGTCAGATGATGGGGACAACCATGCTATTCCAGTCCAACCTGTCTGCAGATGACTTACCTTTTTACCAACCTTCAGCTTATCAGCAGTAGCTTCTGAGGCTGCCATGGGAGTATCACGAGAGCCTTCTTCGTCGTCCCGAACACCTGCATCCTCTGGAGCAGTAGTAGAAGACAAAGCATTGAACAATTCACCAGGAATACCCATAGAAATACCGCGAGAGCGTTCACCCAGATCATAATGAAGACCGGTAAAGAGAGAAACGGAGGCAGACAAATCATAGTTGCTCAGGACACCTTGCGTGTAGACATTGGGATTGAAAAGTGCTTCGAATTGATCTTCGCCAAACATCTCCTCTGCGCCTTCTGCTGCTTTTTCTTCTTCTTCTTCTTCTTCTTCATCTTCCTCTTCTTCCTTTCCCATGAAAGACGATGGCTGTTGCTTTGCCGTGGTGCCTGGCGTATTCGACGAGAAAGAGGCACGACTGCTGCTCACAGTAATATCAGACACCGACGTCTGCGGTGAAGCGCCAACCAGAGGCCTCTGTGCCACACCACCACCACCAGCAGCAGCAGCAGCAGCAGCCGCTCTGGCCTGAATAATCTTCTTTTTCAACATCTCATTTTCCATCTTGGCGTCCAAAAACGTATTCATCATACGTGTCATTTCTGAAGGCACACTACGGGCCGACCCAAAGAAGCCAGTCTTGTAGAAATGACCGCGGGTTTCCAGAGTAACATACTTGCCATCTTTACGAAGGAAACGGAACGTCGTGCGCAACAAAGAGCCGGAACTTTCTGCAGCACGAAAGTCGCGCGTAAACACGTCCATGTCATCCACATGGATGTACTCCCTAAAGTCACGGCCCGTTAATTCGCCCGGTTGGTAGCCCAGGAACTCGCGCGACGCTGGAGAGCAGTAAAGGAGCTTGAGCTCTGGGCTGAGGACATGGATCACATCCCGAAGACTTTCAAGCACATTTTGAGACCAGTTCTTTCGTCGAGTAAACTCGGGCGGTGCTGTGCCTGCATTCGCACGGGGTGCTAACTCCACTTGCTGCGGTAAACCACTGATTTGCAACATGGCTTGTTGGCTTGACATCATTTGACAAATTGTTTTTTTATAAACAAGGAGGAAAAAAAAAAAAAAAAAAAGAAACTCAAAAAACTTAAAAGCGTTGGTTTGCCTTTACTTTTTTATAAATTGGAAAAAAAAAAAAAAGGAGGTGAAAAAAGGAGATTAAAAAAAAAAAAAAAGAGAATAATGAAGGGGCGAGGGGAAAATCAGTATTTGCTTCTTTTGTATCATTGATTGCTTGCTTTAGAGACAAAAAGTGCCAACTTTTAAGCTTTTTTGATAAAGTTAAATGGGCCACACTAAACCATAAATCGACCCTCCCGTAATAATAAACTCCGGTTGGTTTGTTGGTTTGTTCCTTCCCCCCCCCCTGAACGCATCATACTACTTTACTCGTCTTTGTCTCAAACTATACATCATAGTATACTACTCTGGTAATAACGTAGCATGTCTTGATAAAATGAATGTCCATTTTGTCAAATAGTCTATTCTTTTAAACAAGATTTATCAAAAGATAGCAAAAAGATGAGAAATAAATCAAGGAGAGAGGCTTCGGATCAGTTGACAATAAAAGGGTTGATCTTTTATCATCGATGGGCGTTTTCTTGATGTTGCACCTTCTTTATCCTTTTTTCGGTTGGTTTCTACTTTTGTTCTAGATTTATCTCTTCTGTGATGACCCTACGCTGTCTCCCAAAGGAATTGCCTCTCAGCCCTCGAGTCCCCATTTTTCTTGGCGCTTGCTCTGTTGGCCAATAGCGTCTTTATAAAGTATTCAATACTATATTACGGTGCGATGGTTCTTGAACAAGTGTATACTCTCTAACAAGGGTTACTCTCTCTTTACCTCCACAGACGAACGGTGAATCATACGAATGGTTCATGTCAAAACTTATGGAGGCAACACTAAACTTTGAAACGTACGTGTACCAGATCCTTCCAGACATGTTGCTGCTGACTGACAATGATCAAGAGAAGAATATGAATAGAGGAGTTTTGTCAGTAGAAAAAAACCACAGTCTTTTCTTTCTATACCTCAATCATGTCATTACTTTGTTTTTATCGTGCCTTTCTACAGATAGACTACTCCATTGAAAAGATCGCCAAAAAATAACAAAATCAAAACCCTTTCTTGAAGTTTTTTTTTTTTTTTTGGTTTCAATTCAGGTTATAATTTTATTATTTGATATGAATTCAAAAGGGCGGTAGATAATTAGTCAAGTATTTAAATGTGAGAAAGGAAACATGAAGGTAAAGTAGTGCACATAGGGTTTCTAAAGTTTCAGCGAGACAGCTAGCCTGTAACTTGCTGGGATAGAGACTCTCCACTTTGTAGAGTGATCCTTTCTTGAAGAAGTACGTTTCTTCCCGTAAAACAAGATAAATCGGCTACACACACTCATTTGCACCACCAAAAAAGCAAAAAAGAACTCTCCGGCGGGGAATTGAACCCCGGTCTCCCGCGTGACAGGCGGGGATACTCACCACTATACTACCGAAGACAGATATTGTGATATGATGGTAAATAATTGTCGTGGCAATAATTAGAACTCCGTCACGTGATTAGAAGTAGCTTGTATGATTCTCAAATACAACAGCCAATCAAAATTAAATGAGTTTGAAAAATTAGTATAAATACGTTCATCTTTCTGAAGAAATCAAGAAGACTTCTCTCCATTATCTTTTATTCTTAATAAACTTATACTCTTCCTTATTCTTAAAGGGTTAACTTTACGTACATTTAAGGTCTCATCCTTATCTACTACATTCACCTGAAAGACATACTCATCGCACTCATTTCTTCGGAATCTTGACAGCGATCTGTTCACATATTACAGGAATTACTTGAATAAAGGAACCGTCTCTTAGATCATTTCCTTGTAACATTGACTATAAAACATATTATTTGTTACATTCTTTGATTCAAAGAAACATACACTTAATAAACATTAAAATCAAAACTATAACGATATAACTTGCTCTTGTAAACCACTTTCCGCTTCGGATAACTGTATTTGAGCTACTTATTTTGATCTAAATAACTTCACCTCGCTGCTAAATCACTCTCTAATATTTTAAAACTCCTTCTAAACCTGCCAATCAGAAACTTTACACGAGCAATCAAATCGCTCAAGAAATACTTCCAGTCACTCCTTCCATTTATGTCAAAATCCTTTATGCATTACTCTTTAATTATTCCCTAGACTCTAAATCCATATGTAATCCTCTATGAATATACCTCCCTTTATATAGAATCCAAAAGTAACGTTCCTCAATAATGGAGGATTTTGTATCAAAGTATTTTTAGTATAAGTATCCTCTTGAAGTTGTAAAATATTAAAAAAGAAATCAATCTTTATCTCTTAAAGCCAAAAATAAAAGTATTAGGTTAGTCAACTGACCCTTTGCAGCTTTACTGTAATTTGTCATTGTGTGTTTATAATTATACCTTTTTTTTTTCGGTTTTACTACTATAGGGTGACATGAATTCAAAGTTTGTTTATCTTGAAATTTTAACCTTCTTCCTCAGTATACTGCAAATACAAGTTCGTGCCGATGGACTGAATAAAAATGTAACACTTATTCCGGGAGGAGAAGAGGGATTAAGAGCTCATTTCAAGAAGAGATGTGTAAATGAAGATGCCACAATTATTACAAGCTCTGACGGTGCTATTAGCTTGATTTGTAACATTCAGCCTCGAGCTTCACAGCATAAATTCTACACAGACTTGTATGTGCAAACAGATGAAGGTACTTTTCAAGTTAATGTTAGTGATGATGGGTTTTCTGTTGGCGGAAAGATCAATAGTCTTAGATATGGCGGATGTGTAGAATCATCATGGGGTACGCATAGATGCATGATTTATCCTACACAAACAAGCATTCAGAAAGTTATCAATTTGGCAAAAAGATGTGATCCAAATGGTGAATTTTGCTTTGATATATATTCAGATGTATGCATATTCGATTTTGCAAATAAATCTTGGGAAAGAGCATGTCCAAATCTTAAGGTCATTAGCTTTAATGTAAACCCATAAATCATATTTTTAAATAAAATATATATATATATATATATAAAGAGAGGACGGATAGATAGAGGATTCACAACTAAAAACTTCACGTGCGAAGGAGGACTTGTCCTTTCCATTGTAGTTGTTTCGAGATAAAACGATATCCTTGGGATATTTGTCTTCACCTTTTTCTCTTATCTTCTCTTTGACAACTTCAGTTATGGATTCTCCTGTGATATTTGTAGTTGTTTTATGTTTAGTGAACGCGACTTATAACTTTGATATAAACTGTAAGGTGAAATGAGTCTCCTTTAGTCCTTTTATTATACACTGAAAATTAGAGAGGGGAGCGTTCACAGCAAACTGAATGCTTGTATTTAAGAAAAGAAAAAATAAAAAAAAGTCCTCGTTCCTTAATTTCTCAGCCAGTAATAATGCAGCATTTTATATGCGCAACTTTAGAAATACAAGATGACGTGTAACAAGTGTTATTATGATTCTATGATCATAATAACGAGTCAATTGCTTGAAATTGTGTCTAATTCGTCTTTATATATATTATAGGAGGGTATGGAAATACCACATTCTACATTTAATTCCCGCTTCACTAATAAAGGACTAAAAGAGAGTCATTTCACCTTACAGTTTATATCAAAGTTATAAGTCGCGTTCACTAAGCATAAAATAACCACAAATATCACAATTTTCCTCCTGGTTGGTTAGTACGTACTCAAAGACTGTAGTCATTACCTCACCAAACATGTCACTCCCGGATCTGTGGGTGAGTGCATAGACTCTGTCAGTTTTCTAGGTCCCGGAGTGGGAAGAAGACTTGGTTGATTCGAGTTTTACCTAGTTTCATCTCCTTGGGCTTTTTGTATTCATTTCACCTTTTATTCGCTATCTAACAAGCCGAAAATGACGAGCGTTTATTGATGGATGTAGATATGAAGAGATGGGTAATGATACGAAAAAAATAAAATAAAATAAAATAAAAGGATCATTCGAAAGGACAACAAAAGAACAAGAAAAGTGCCATGCAATTAATATTTCCCTATCTTGATACATACATACATCTGTAAAACTGAATTGTATTTCCGGGTAAACTTCCTATTTTCTGATATTTTATAAAATGATTTTCAAGATCGACGTCTTATAGGATAGGGGAAAGAAGGGAGATAGTTCTGCTCTGTCAGGCGACTTTGCTAGTTAGTTGAAGAAAGCTCTACTGGCAGAGTGGCCAAATAAAGCGACACGGATTTGGGGTAACATTTCATCTTTAGCAATATCTAAGCGAGCACTCAAGGTATTGTCAACAGTAATTCTATCCTCAAGACCAGACAAAATAACACCACCAGCACTAGATGGTCATATCGAACAAAAGAAAGGGGGAAAAAAGATAGTCGTGAATTAGCATGGAAGCTGGAGAACATTGTTTTGACAGAAACATACCTGGATGCGGGCAAGTAGTCATCACTAATGTTTAAAGTAGGTCTAAACTTTAAGCTTTCTTCGTATTTATCAGCAACGTTGTCCAATACAGATTGGACAATTTCAACATCTTGTTCGCGACAACGAATATTGATTTTTTTCTCCATTAAAGAAAAAGCTCCTTGTAGAATCAGACCTTCCATCAAAGTTGTATAGCGATCACTGTCGTTGGAAAGTTCGTGAATGAGTTTATTAGCCTCTTCAAAGAGGTCATCCAAGACGACTTGACGTTCTTGAAGAATCTTGAGACGGGCTTTATTGACGTGATTAGATTGAGCACTTGAATTGAAGAAAAGGAAACAGATAGAGTTTAGAAACATGGATAGGACATGCTGACGTGAAAGAATTCAATACATTTGTTTCATGATAATGCAATATTTACATTCTCTTTTGAACTTCGGCTTGTTTAATCTTGCGCTCGAAAACAGAGTCTATGTTTAAGGATTCTTGGCGAACAATCTTTGCCTGTTGCCGTTCAAATGTGATGTATTCATATACATGTATACAGAGAATGAAGGAAAGGCGGCATGAATAAAAGCTCGCGTTCATACTCCCTTTTTTGCTATACAAAGAAAACAACGTTTACCTTTTCGATATTGAACTCTTCATCTGCCTATGAATGACAAAGTAATGTCAGTTACGTAAATGTCTAACAATGACAGATGTCTTATACGGAGAAGCTTTATTGTTTCAGGTTTGTATGAACGATTTACCTTGACTTTGATTTCTCTAGCCTTTTCTAAAGCTTCTTGCTTGATGAAAGCAACCTGAACGTAGAAAGAGATTTAGTATACAGTGTTCTTGAAGTGTGCAGAAGTGTGCAATGAAAATATTGTTTCACCATTAGGTTTACTGTTTTACCATCTTTTTCATTTCAGAAAAGACTTCATCGTCGTTAAGGGGTCTGGCAGCAGTTGACATTTTCTATGCTTAGAGCAGCCATTAAACAGAAAAAGTTTCTTTAGTATATAGTAAAGTGAGGGATTGAAGATATAAAAAGCTTCTTACTGATTTTATATGAAAAAGGCGTATAGAAGCAGAAAAAAAAAGGGGAAAGCGAATAAAGATAAAAAGTTTGGTGTTATAGATTTTTTTGTTGTTGCTTGGCTCACTGTATCAACGCACACAGCAACCAAAATGCGAACACACTACAGCTCTTCAAAGCTGAATTTCAATATATTTTTCAAATGACGTCGAAGGCACAAAAAGAGATTTTTGGTATGAATCACGTTTTGGAATATAGTTGAGAAGGAATTACGTATAGAACGTGAAACGACATATTTGAGGGCGCGTTAGAGTAATTATCCAATAATTATTACCAAAAGACAATAGAAAGTGGTATGTTCAACAAGAGCAAACCCACAGTAATGACATAGACCAAGCTTGCTTCCTTTTTTCGCCCTCTCTCCCGCACATGGTTATCAAATTGATTGTAGTTGACAAAATATTGAGATCCTGCATAAAAAATGGTGCTAAAAAAAGTGTGATTGAAGAAAAGATGCACAAGCACAAAATCACATATCATAGACATACATGTACGTATATTATATATGATACAGTTGTATGTATGTTACGGAGATTCAGTCACAAAAATCGAATACATTTTGTTTGAGAAATTTAAAGCACCACTACATACTCGTTCTTTCATACAAAAAGGACCGTAGTAAATAAAAGATAAAGAAACCCATTTTTCAAATAAAGAAACAATAGACTCGTCCTTTAAAATTATTAACAAAAAGACATTATGATGAAAACTTTTTTTTTTTTCTTTTTTTTTTTTTATTGATTCACATGATTTTTTAGCTGGCAACCAGTTGCCTTTTCTTTTATTTAAGAAAAATCGCCCCCCCTTTTTTTTTTTTTTTTTTTTTTTCATTGTATATAAAGGACAGCAAATAAAAAACGAAACCCCTACAAATATCTATTTTTACTCCTTTTTTTTCTGCTTCCCTTTCTTTTTTTTTCCGGTTTGCTACTATTTTATTAGTACTCTTGCATCAATAACATCTACTCTACTTCAGCAGTCCAACAATGACAAAGGATATCTCACCGCCTGCTACACCGCCTACGTTCAGCCCGATACCCCATCGACTAAGTCTGTTAGAGCAAGCTTCTAGCAACGTTGCTACCAACAGTGTGAAAGAAGCAACTGCTGGAACAGAGGAACTCTTCCCTGTAAAGAGTCAACTCTCTATCATCGATTTGAAAAGCTCTTTCCAGCTCTTATCACCTCTCGAAAAACAGTACTTTCTACTAGAGATCATCAACAGCTGCGATAATTCACAATTAACATGGTTAAACAATATCATTTCACCTCGATTAAAAGTGGATTTTATCAAGCAATTACCAGCCGAAATTGCTTTGCATATATTGTCTTTTATCGAATTGCCAGTAACATTAACAAGAGCTACATGTGTTTCTAAATACTGGAGGTCGTTAATAAGAGAAAACAATCATTTATGGAAGAATCTATGTATGAAGCACAACTACTATCAACCGCCACTTATCGATCACTTGCCATCGTCCCGCACCACTCGCACCATCACCAACGCAACAACAACAACAACAACAACAACAACAACAACAACAAAATCAAAAAAAATGATGGATTATTTATTTGCACCCACACCTATTCCCCGTCCTTTACGGTTACAAGATACAGCGAAAAGTAGCAGTAGTAGCAATAGTAACAACATGAATGAGGAACAACAAATTAATTTTAGGGACTATTTTAAAAGAAAATTTACAATTGACAAGTCATGGAAAAAAGGCGGCAGAGTCACTACCATAGAAAACGGCTTCTCACAAGGTCTTGTGACATCATTACAGTTTGATGAACAGTTCATTGTCGTCGGCTGTGACAATCATCGTATTGAAGTTTTTGACACACAAACCGGTTTGAAAGTGCGAACATTGCAAGGGCATGAAGGTGGGGTATGGGCATTGCAATTTAAAGGAGGAACACCTGATGATCCTGAAAGAGTATTATTATCTGGAGGATGTGATAGGTAAAAGATTCACACTCCCAACCATATAAACGATGTAAAAAAGAATTGTTTTCTAACCCATCTCTTTTGTTCTCTATACGATATAGAGATGTTCGTGTTTGGGATTTGAATCGCGGTCGACTACGTTATGTTCTACGAGGTCATACGTCGACTGTTCGTTGTCTGAAAATGCGAGATAAACAAATTGCTGTTACTGGGTCTCGAGATACGACTCTGAGAGTATGGGATATCAGTCGTGGTACAGTCAATCATATCTTGTTAGGTCATCAAGCTGCTGTACGTTGTATTGATATTCATGGCGATATGATCGTCTCGGGCTCTTATGACTCCACAGCTCGTATCTGGGATATCAACACTGGACAGTGCAAACATGTTCTTATCGGTCATGTCTCTCAAATTTACGCGATTGTCACCAACGGCAACATTATTGCTACAGGTTCTATGGACGCACATATTCGTGTTTGGTCGGCACAAACCGGCGAGTGTCTAGCAACACTGCACGGTCATACGTCGCTCGTGGGTCAACTTCAGCTATCTGCCTCTATGCTCGTGAGTGGGGGAGCCGATGGATGCTTGAGAGTATGGGACATGAATACATATGAGTGTCTACAACAGTTCTCAGCTCACGATAATTCGATTACTTGCTTGCAATTTGACGAAGAGAACCAACATATTTTGAGTGCAGCCAATGATGGAAAAGTAAAGCTGTGGGATATGAAGAAAGGGCAATTTACTCGACAATTCACTGAGCCTTCGAAGTTAGTGTGGAAGATTCAATTCAGCAATACGAAAGCCGTTATTGTGATGCAGAGACTCAGTCCCGAAAATCCTGAAGAGGGCAAGACAGTAATGGAAATTCATGACTTTGATTTAGCAGCGCCTGAAAAGGTATTGGATGAAGAGAAGCCATTTCTTACTGTGAATGATTCCCAGCACAATGATAGGAGCAATACAGCAGCAACTACTACTACTGCTTTTCGTCAACAAAATGCAACAATGAATATCAACAACCTTCTAACACCATCATAAAACATTTATATCACATAAACACTACACATTTATTCCACACTTAATATTTTTGATACCTTTTTTCTTTTTTATTCTTGATCCTTCTTGTGATCACCGTCGATATCAACGCCCTTCACACATACCTCCTCTTCCCCTTGGTTCGGTCCTCATTTTTTTTTCTTTTTTTTTTTTTTCTTTTTTTTTTATTGTAAAGTTACCTACTACCACTACTACTACTACTACCACTACCAACTGCTACATTAGTTCTGTTGCTCTTTTTCTTATTAACTTATAAGTAAAATATAAACTTTATGTTCAATCTATCCTGTGGCTATTTCTTTTCAGAAACACTTCTATTCTTACAGATTTCTTTATTGACAACGATGGCAATTAAACCCACGACGATGTCATCTTACGATGGTCGGTGGTGCCTTAAGATTGCTGTCCTACGTAGTTATCTTTGCATTGCATGTCATAAGAATCAACTTCCTTTCAGGCTCTAGCTGTCTATTTCATGCTCTGTCACATTGATGGTCTTTCTAATGTTGTTTACTGCGCGTGCGCAGTAATAGTTCAGCTTCTTTTCCCTGAAAACATAGATTACCTAATTGAACAAAACCAGTTCAAAGATGACATCTAAATGATGAACACAAAATAGAGTGAATTCTTGTTCATGTGATTTGTTATCGATTATGTTTTTTTTTTTTTTTTTTTTTTTTTGAGGAAAAAAGAAACTTTGTTTAAAGTCCTCATCTCTGCAAAATCTGTATTTAACCCAAAGACAAAAATACATTACAATGCTTGGGTTTGAGAGTAAGGCTTGAGTCGAGTCTTCTTAGTATCTAAAGAAGGTTATAGACCCTTCTTTCTTTTTTAAGTCAAGAACAGTTTCAAAAGAGAAAAACTGTTTGAAAATGGATTGCTTCCCCTTCTTTTTTAGCCCTCTATAAAGGAAATGAGGGGAAATAATACGGGTTCTACACGCGTCCTTGAAAACTCAGTGAAGAAAGCATTGGGTGACACTAACCCCAGAACAGCAGAAAGCAACAAAAAATTTCAGCCATACGATGGATTTCGACTTATTTTTACTGTTCATTGCTACTTCCAAGCAGACGATAATCAAGCGGAGGTAGAATCGACCAACACACATACACTCTTTTCATTACTTTATAGACTTTTGACTAGATATATTGTGGTTTAACGGACTTGTCTTCAGTTACTTTATGACACTGACTTGTAAAAAAAAGATAAAATCCAGAGGCGAGAATCTTATTCTTTTTTTTTTTGACTCTTGTCTCTCTTTAAACGATGCACAATAGGTTTCAGACTACGTAAATAGTAACGGGAAAAAGTTTAAAGAGACATTTTATAAGCGTAATTATTATCTATGCAAATCTATTACAAAATTCCCATTACTCTATCCTGTAAGCTATACAACGGACGCATGTTAAAGGTTGTAACCAAAAACAAACCATACTAATGTACAAGCACAAGGCACTTTTCACTTGACATTTCGTATCACTCTTGTGCAAGCTGGTCTGTGCATTTAAAAAGGGGCCCTATTTTGTTTAGCCTTTGTTCAAAATTGCTTGCTGCAGACATGTATGGATGATATCAATAGCAAGTAATATATAAGTCTCTACGTTATCCTCTTCTCTGCGCGTGTTTAAAATTTACCAATGCTCGATTATATCTACCCATTTCGCTCAAAACAGGGGCGGGGGTATGAATGGATGATGATGATGGAAATACAGCTGTTGCTCATTGAAAAAATAGGGTTGTATCTACTTTCTTCCTAGATAAACATTGTTGAGACAACAGCCTTTTTGTTTGTCGTATTTTAAAGACAGATGATGAGCCAAGAAAAGAAAAAAATAAAAATAAAAAAAAGAAAGTTTTTTTTTTTATTTAAAAACTTTTGAGCTTGTCTCAAAAAATTCCCCCAAAAAAAGAAACCAAAATCAAGTAAGTATACAAGATTGAGAATTGTTAATCAATTGTAAATACAGTTTGAAGTGCTTCAAAAATATGTTTTGTAGACACATTAACATATCAATTTCAGAAAATACTTATAAAAGTAGAATTGTCTATTTTCTTAAACTCTGCCGTAACTGAAACCAAAGTTTTGAGCAGTGACAGGATGATGTAATTTTGAAAGACAGCTTGAGGGTTCCTGAAGATCATTGAACAATTTCAATATCGGCGAGGAAGCACCGCCAAGTTGTGTAATGTTAAGAATACAACAATCTAGACCGATCTCGTATATTCCGTCTGCATTATCGCTCTATCAAACCAAAAGTGCAATCGTCCAAAGGAACCCGCTTCCATTGTTACCTATCCCAGGTTTCAAGCAAATAAGTCTATTCTAAACTTGCAATGCAGTTCATCATTGGTTCATTTTTGATGAAAAAGAAACAAGCAGAACAAACGAACTAAAAATAAAAGACGCTTAGCAGATATACGAGCACAGTGCCCATATAGAAAGTGCCTTCTTGCGGACTCCATATCTATTTTTGTCTGCTTTTTAAATCGTCAGTTTTACTCTTACTGTTGTCTTGGATAACATGATTGATCAATCGCTCGTCGATTCGTTGTTTCTGTTTACAAAAATTAAAAGAAATATGGAGCAAAGAACATTGCCTTCTCAAACCTATGGCGTAAGAGAAAAGTCCGTCTATTCTACCAAAAAAGATATAAAAGAAGACCAACCTTTTCGACTATGACCAAATTATTCCATTATCCTATCTAAAACGCAGGTCGTCTTTTCTTTATTTACAATAAGCATCCTTTAACACAAATCAATTCCCAATATATCAAATATGCAATCTCAACTCATCGCCTCCATCCTCACCGTCGTTGCTGCTTTCACTGCTCTCACTTCTGCTGCTCCTACCACGACTAATAACAAGGTCAACGGTTTAATCAAGCGTAAGACTTACCACGGCACTGCCACTTGGTACGAACCTGAGTCTCAGGGCGGTCCTATCGATGCTTGTACCGGTAGCTCCATCAGTTCCCATGACAGAATTGTCGCCCTTAATGCTGACCAATATGGTGACGAAGACAGCAAATCCTCATGGGTAAGGCGTTATCTTTCTTTACTTCAACTTGATTCTTACTGTGTGCTAACCCACTCATTACAATCGATCTCATACTTTATAGTGCGGTAAGCATATCCGAGTGTGTGGTGACAAAGGTTGTGCCAGTGCCAAAATTGTTGACTTGTGTCCTGAATGTGGTTACGGTGACCTGTAAGTTTCCCAGAAGTTTGGATTTTGCTTGGCTATTGATAGAGTTTGCAATGAATACATACTAACGCGTTAATATCTCACTCTATTTTATTTTAGCGATCTTACTCCTGTTCTTTTCAAAGAAGTCGTTGGTTCCAAAGACCAAGGTGTTGGTGAAATCTCTTGGACTCTTGACTAGATGAATTGAGCCCCCAGCCCCTCCTTATCGCGGCGATAAGTTGATCTTATCGGTCATTCTGTCTTTTCAAATCATGAACTCCGTTTATCTAACCGTCAGCCCACTCACCCTTTACCTTTTGTACATTTCTATTATCGTCATTCCTTTCCTTAAAAAGCACTGCTTTGTATACATTATCCATTCTCCCATCTGTCAAGCACTGGTTTGCTTGTGCATTCCTTTTCTTTTCCAATTCAACATGCCACATAACAGATAGAAAGAAATATTTTTTCTTCTATTGTACATATTATCTCCTCCTTAGATTATCATAGTACCAATACATATCGCCTTTAAGAAAAAATAAAATTTTACAATCTTTAAAAACAGCATGCTCTGTTTTAAAGTGATCCTGTAAGCCTATTTGTATTAACACACTCTTAATGATAATGTCCAACATCAGCTATAACACTCAGGGACATGGAGCTCATCAAATCTGCCCAGATTTGCCATCGTTTCAGTTCCTGTTCTTTACTAAATCGAAGATGTATTATCTGATATCAGTGACGACGGATCAATGTTGTACCGTGAATACAACACATAATTCGTGATCAAGCTATCTGCAGATTATTTTTGTGAAGATTACAGCAAGGAAAATCCCGTAAGATTATCAGAAAAGTTTAAAGAGTTTGCCTCTTTCGATGTGTGTTATAAAAATGATCCTAGGCGGTCATTCTGATGCATTTTGAGTGCGATGTGGAACAATCCCACAACTTTTCAACGTTACTGAATTGAATATCCAGTTCTGGACCAGTGCAAAGGTCCAAAAAACCTAAACAGTATAAACAATCAATTTTATACAATTCAACATTATTTACATAGCTGTGAGAATTAAACAGACATATATGTAATTCGATCTATTTAGTCAAGCTACTAAATAGTATCATCTTGTCATTCCATGCTTTTTCATTCGAAGTTTACAAAATTAAAAAATTGAAGGTTAAGAATGCACGTTAGCGAATTCTGAACCTGCTTTGCTTTTGTGACCAAATGTGTATTAGAGCACGAAGTCGCGTAAATGGTTAGCTATCGAGCGTGGTCCAAAGTAGGGTATGCTGCTAATGTCACGGTAAAAACACAATAAGGGAATAAAATCAGCATTATCAGTTGTATAAACCATATGGATACATAACTTCACAAGGATAAATCCTATGAAGGCAGGAGACCTAGTGACTCTCCACAGGCAATGTTCTGTCCCAACGTAAGACAAATAAGAGAAAGGTTATTGATGCTGTAGCTGCTGCTCAACCTGTCCTCAAGGGTACAACTGCCTTTCATTAAAAATTTTGAGATTTTAATGGATTTGTTGGGCAGATTAGGAAAAAAAAAGAATATTAGATCGTGTAAAATAATTGTAAAATTTACCATCGTTAATGCCATTAACAAAAGATGGCTACAATCCTTTATTCATGCCACTTTATACGCCATTTCTTACCCTACTTAGGAGAACTGGGCTAGGGTTGAGAATAATCTCAAAAAATCCAGTAGAGAGCAAAGACATTTTGATCGCCGGGTAAGATAGAGGACAGTTGTGTGCAAAGATAATTGATCAGTCCGAAAATGTTTACGAAAATACTTTTCTGATCTGCAGCGGCAATTAAAAGATAAAAATGATTATTTTCAGCATTTTTGTTGTAAACTGGTAGTCTTTTTTATCCATACAATGCAAAAAAGGCAAATAATCAACTGTGTAGTGCTCAAAACTTCCGTGGGCGGTTCCCATTATCAATATCAGAATGAGTTCCTAAAAACGGAATTCTGTCAAACGCAATCTTCTCCAAGGAGAGACTTGATTTATATTTATGCACCATCTGTACCATGAGTCGTCTTTATTCTCATACGGCAAAGGTGGGGACAAACAATAGGATTCTCTTGAGGACGGAGCAGAGCAAGTCGTTGCACTGTCCATTAGTTCATGTAGGTCATTAGATAGCTTTGTAACATCGACATAGGACGCCAACTCCATCTAACTATATCTGCGGAATCATTTGGATAATAGGCCTTTTATAACCGAAATAATGGAACAATAGAAGACGAAATATGTAACGTTCTATTCGATAACAAATCAGTGGATTTCAAACACACACATCTTTGCTTTAAGTATAATGACGTTTTATTTTTCTGGTTTTTTTGTCCTTGACAGTCATGGAGAACGACTCTTCACTATTTGGTATATATTGTCGTCATTTATAGGACAAAGGAAAAAATAAAAATTGTAAGGACAATGAGAAAAAAAGCCTGAATTTTTGGATAGTTTCCTTTTCTTTTCATTTTTTATTTCGCTAAAGGTTTCCCTTTAAACCCAATAGCAAGTTAACTACTTTTCTTCATATCTTTTCTACAACGATTGTATGTATGGTCTTAGAATGGGAGCTAATCATTCGGTTGGTAGAGATCTGCACTTTTTCAAAAAATACATTTATGCATCTTTTTTTTTTTTTTTTTTTTTTTTTTTTAGAGATGACACTAACAGTTTCTGTATCTTTGGTTTAAATTCTCAATGCGCAATCTCTCCTCTCATTAGCCAACAGTTTACGTCTCGCACAACAGGCTGAAGAAATTTTAGTAGCCATAGCAAAAAAGGACTCATCAGCTCTACGTAAATTAGCAAGAAGGCCTGGAGGATTTGTGAATGATAGACTGAGAAAATATGTTTGGTAGGGTTCGTGCAAATTAAAAAAAAAAAAAAAAGAGTATGCATATTAAAAGATGGAACTCGATTTTTTATTGTTACATTTTACAATTTTCAATCTAGGCCTATATTATTACATACGCAACATGGACATTATATCGCAGAAAAAGGAAGTGGTAAAATAAATTAGATAGTGAAGAGAAGAGTGTGCTTGAAGAAATGCAGAAAGGAAGACGACTCAACAATTGATCTGTGATAGAAAAGGATTTGGCTGATCCAGCTCAAATAACAAAGGACGTACAAAGGTCACTATATTATTACCCTCAAGGTAAGAACATTAACTCTTTTGTTTGCTCCAAGACCGCAAAAAAGCCTTTCTGCTTAACAGCCGTCAACAATGGATATTTTTTTGATGTAGATGTGACGCCCACATTCAAAGCGAGTAAACAACAGGAATTGCACTGTATGATTGTCGAGATTTTATGGAGAAATCCCAATTTAAAATATTATCAAGTAAAGAAAGAAAAGAAAAAAAAAAAGCTGAGGAAGGATGTGCCATGCTGACCTTTTATTGATTCTTGTTTAGGGATTCCACGATATCTGTACAGTCTTTTTGCTGGTTTTGGGCAAAAAGGCTGCTATCCCAGCTGCTGAAAATGTCGCTTTATTCTTTATTAGAGACGCTTTACTGGATTCGTTTGATCCAATCTCCAAACAACTAAGAATTATGAGCTCAATTATAGAATACGAAGATCGTGAGTTAACCATTTGTCTAGAAAGGTACGGAAAACAAATAACAGGAAAAACCCAGCATTTTTGTTGTCCTGAATGATTATATGTATAGAGCAAACATCATGCCCTATTACGCACTAAGTTGGCTATTAACGTGGTTCAGTCATGATTTTGAGAATTACGAAAAAGTGATTCGGCTTTTTGACTTGTTCATTTCAAGTCAAGCATTGATGCCCGTCTTTACAGCTAGCGCAGTAAGTTGACTGCATACATAATTCTTTTACAAAAGAGACGGTAGAATGCGCAATAAAAAGAAAAGAGGCACTTATATTCTCTTCATGTCATCTAGGTCACACTTTTAAGAAGGGATGAAATCGTAAATGCAGAAAAAGATACAGTGCACTCCTTAATGACACGAATACCACAAGATATGAATATAGAAAAGATCATAGAGAAAGCAGTATATTTAGAAAACAAATACACATCTCTACAATTGCAAAAGGAAAGTGGAATATGGCTACATGACGAATCTGTCATAAATACTTGGCACGAAGATTGGGAAACACTGAAATGGGGAGAAGTGCCAGATCATGTCAAAGCAAATCAATATTTGAATAATCAACCGGAAAAAGAAGAATGGGAAGATGAAATGTTGGTCGAATGGGCTCGGAGGAGACGGGAGTCTGTTATTGACACTGATGACGAGCAAGATATACTTGGCTATTTAGGCAGGGGTTAACCAACCAATCAATAACAACATGTACTATTTATTGAATACGATCAAGCATGTCTTTTGGGACATACTCTGTATTTATACCCCAAGAGGTACTGAACCAAACCTTGCTTTCGAGTCCTCCCACTACAATAGAACAACAAGATACGTTTCTCTTTGATTTATATATATATATATATATATATGCATATCATGCCATTATCGTTCCATTCATTCGACAGTTTATACACCACACTCGGTTCTCAGATAAACATAATGTATGAATTTACTTAGTGTACGTCTATCTATATATCTATCCTTTGGCTTGTAACAAGAGAGAAGTCATCGTTCATTAGCAGAAACTGTAACTACAACTTTGAAGAGATATAATAGGTACTTTTATTGATTCATTTAAAAGTGAGAACTGCTTTTTAAAAAGCAAATTACTGAGCCTTGATAAAAGCGTTCAACGATGCTCTCTTTAATCATCAATGACACATCTCACCTATTCACGAGGGCTCTTTCATCTGACGCTTGCTTTTCGAGTGGCTCTACAACTGTTCAAATCAAGCCATGTAGCATTAAAAAGTTAGAATTTGTGCTGTTGTTATAGTATTGCTAATCCCTCGTCTTTCTTATTTGTTCGCCCGCCCTAGGAATCTCTTATCTTGCAGAGAACATTTATATATTCTTGTATGTATTCCGATTTACGCACTATTTCAAAGATCTTCACAGTGTTTCGGTACCAATCTTTTTCTGACACCTGCCCTTTTTTGCCTGGTCGTCTAGGTGCCGCGAATACCTGGTCTCTTAGAGATTGGATAACCGAGTCGAATTTATCAATCACTTCGTCCTTTTGATCAGGTAGGAAAAACAGGTTCACCTCTTCTATATCGTCCATTTCGAAATAAGGTACACTATTGCCGAGGCTCACTAGGCCTTAATCGAAGACGAAATGATGAAACAAAAGAGGAACCTTTAGAAACCGAAGAGATGCAATAGGTAAGTAGACAATAATTTTTTTTTTAATACCTTGTATTCTCATGGACGTTTTATCGAAATAACGCCTTAATAATATATGCAGCTCTCTACACTTTTCCCATGTAAAATCATCGGCAGACGACTTGTTACATACAAACACAATATCTGGAAAGTAGTTCAAATCTTGCTGATTGATCAAGAGGGGAAAATCGGGTATATGGAATTTTAGCATTTCTGCGCTGTGTAGCAATCGTAAAATATCCATATCAATATTAGGACCATCTGTTGCTATAATCAGCACATTACACACAGATATCATGAATATGATCTGATAGAGCGTTTCCATCTCTAGCCATAAATCGGGTGGTAAGCTATTATTGGTGTTCAGTAAACCATCTCTTAGAGCTCTTTCCAACACTGTCCAACTTTGAATGGGCTCCGTATCTAACAAAATGACTCGCTCTGATGTGACATACATATCGATTCCTTCCGTTTTATGTCCTTCATAGAGAAACCGATTGTTAGGCTGCGTCGGAAAGGCCTGAATAATACGGGTCGCGCGTGAGTTAACGTAAAAAGAAGCCATTTTTTTCTACAGTAACTTACGTGTTCAGGATTCTCGGTAAAATAAGATAGTATGGTTGATTTACCGACACCTTGCTTCCCTAGAATGCCAACGACAAAATGACCTGTATGATCTGACAACACCTACAAAGGGGAAACATTGAAAAGAAATCAGAAAAAAACAATGACCTCTCTTAACGTAGAGTCCTATTATGTTGTGTCGAAAAATATGTATACCTTCATAATTGCTTCGGAATTGAACCTATTCGACTTACGCATGAATGGAATGCATGCATAAGCATCATCGATCCGTGCAAAGGCACCGTCGTTCGATGGATCTTCACCTAATGGTGTTTCATAGGAGTTGGACGGCGAAGCATGAAGATCGTTTTTCGACAAGATTGTTGGCTCAGAACGTTCACGTCTGTCTAATATAATGGGTGTCTGCTGTATTGGTCGTCCAGTAGAGTTTACCGTTGAGTCACCCTACTCTTTCGATGAGGACAAAATCAATTGTTTGGACGTTCACAATAATTATTTAGACGAACAGTAAGTATCCACAGAAGCCCAATTCAAAAGAATCTTACTCCTCTTCGTCGGTCACCATCTTTCCTTCTGTGTCCATCGCGAGATCGTCTGTCTGACATGCTTTACTTTGTCAGTTTATGCAAAAGCTCGTAGGCAATAACTTCCAATTATTGAGAAATTAAGAAATCCACCCTCGCTTACATAATATACGGAATTCGAAACGCTATCTTTTCTTGCTCCTTAAATTTCACATTATTTGTCAATTGTACCTGTGCACTTTTCTCTTCTTGGCATACACAGTTGAAGTCATTTCAGAGATGAAGATTGTTCATATTGGTAAAAAAAGTTTTACTTAAAGCTTGTATAATACAACTGATTGATTGTTCTTGTAACTCTTTATAAAAATAAATACAATAAAATACGCGTTGTTCTATATCTTCCAGTTATTGTCAAATTCAAATCCGAGATAAACGACGAAGTCAAAGAGCAAGCGGTTAAAGACATTCTAGCTCTGAAGGGTACAATTCCAGAGATTAAAGCCATTAGTGCAGGAAAGAACTTTACAGATAGAGGAAAAGGCTATGAATATGGTAAAGAGATTTATAAGTTGTAATAGCGGCATTGGCTTTTCGCTAAGCGTTCTTTTCAACGAAAACAAAATTCTTTAGGATGGGTTATTGAGTTGGAGAAAAAAGAGGTAAGCTCATTCAATAAACTTGATGAACTTTTCATTGAGAAGGGTTAGAACTGCAGATGATGACAGAAAGCTAATCCATACACATCTAAAAATTTAGGATTTGCCTATTTATGCCAACCATCAAAGTCATTTGGACTTTTTATCCAAGTATAAACCTGCTCTTGAAGATGTCCTTGCTATTGATTATGAATTTTAATAAAACAGACTGCTCTATTGTTTTTTAAGTTTGGAAAAACGTATTGTTTTCAGTTGATTATTTGAGTTTGGGCTTTGTTGAAAGTAGAAGCGACAACCGCCATCATGATTTTTTGCAGAACAAAGTATCTTTTAGCATCCAATCGTACCCAACGAACTGTCAATAGGTTTCTATTCTACCGCGCTGCTTAAGAGAAGAAAAGAATAACGCTTTGAAGCACTTTCGATTGCAATATAAACGAATAATGGTTATCCCAGCAAGACCGATTTCGAGACAGATCAATGAAATATGATAAATGTATATGCTATGAGTGCGTGAAAGGTACAAACAAAAAATTAAAGAAATGCTGTAATACTTACATATAAGGTGTAGTGTCAAAAGTTAAAGAGTTGAGCAGAAGGACACATTTGACAGAAAAAGTAGTGTTATTGAGGGCTTTTTGACAGTTGTATGATAGCCAGCATAAGCATATGTTCAGACAGATTTCAATTTTTATTTCCAAAAAAATAAAAGATACTGTTTGATAATTTTCAAGTGCAACATTCAAAGGTTACTCCGCATGGATCATGTCGTTTTTGTACCTGTTTCCCCTCGAGTTTTCGTTACTCTTTTACTCTTTGCATAAGAAACCTATATCAGTAGACATTCCACATCGCATGTTCGCAAACTTATTGAATAAAGCCGCACCTGTTCTTGCGCAAACAAAGAATAGAGTAAATGATAATCCGCTACGTTTGAAAAGCTAACCCATGCATTCTAAAACCAAAGTCTTTTGATTGTCATTTATAAACAAATCAAAATTAGACATTTTCTAGCCATGCCATTAAACAGAGCATCTTTAGTTCTTGGAGCGAAGCACCCTATGCTCAATCTCTTATTCCTATGGTTGTAGAACAAACGGTAAGTTTCTAATTGACCTGTTTTTTTAAGAGGCTTTTTGATACAGTGCAGTTGAGCATGGAGAAGGTGGGGCGAAAGGGATTAATAGAGACTGAGGACTGACCTTGTCACCCTGGATTATATGCAACACGGTAGGGTCGAGGAGAACGTTCCTATGATATTTTTTCTCGGTTATTGAAAGAGCGTATTATATGTTTAAACGGCCCCGTAAGTCACCTGCAATATACCAGTGTTTAAGCGGTAACCTGCAGTCTCAGCCATGAGTTGTGAAGGAAGACTCTTTTATAAAATAATGAACCACATATATGTATTATAGGTCAACGATAATGTAGCTGCTACCATCGTAGCGCAACTCTTATTCTTAGAAGCTGAAAGTACAGAGAAACCCATCAGTCTATACATAAATTCGCCAGGTGGCAGTGTTACAGCAGGCATGGCGATTTATGATACAGTAACGTATTGGGAAATGGAAAGAAAAAAAAAGAAAGGCATCGTGCGAGTGTCTTTTTGGGAGGGGGATGACATGGAGTCAGTAAAGCTTAAAAGTACAGTGAAGAGAGGTATTCACACGTTATTGTCTGTACACTGTAGATGCAGTATATCTCGTCTCCTGTATCTACGTTCTGTAATGGTCAGGCTTGTTCAATGGGATCATTATTACTTGCAGCAGGTGCACCTGGTAAAAGATATGCTTTACCAAATGCCTCAATTATGATTCATCAACCTTCTGGGGGAGCTGCCGGTCAAGCTTCCGATATTGCTATTCATGCACGAGAGATCCTCAGAGTTAGAGAAAGATTAAATAGAATTTATCAGAAACACACGGGAATTCGTGATCTGGAAACAATAGGCAAGTTGAAGCGTTTCTTACACTTCTTTTTGAAACCATGGGCAAATGATGGTGAATGTTATGCTAAACTCTTAATGCTTTGCTATAAATAGAAAAAATGGTTGAAAGAGACTATTTCATGACGGCAGAGGAAGCGGTCAATTTTGGATTGATCGATAAGGTACTAGAGAAACGTACAGATACTCAAGCAACATCAGCATCTGATGATTCAAAAAAATAAAAAAAGCTATATATGACAGTTTCGATGACTGTGCTATTTTTCGATTTATTTTTGTTTCTATATTTGTATTTGGTTGGCTATAATAATTGGGAACGAAGGTATATTTATTATAGAGTTGGGTCTGGACTCATCAACGAAATGGAATTGTTCAGCTGCCAAAGACTTTTTACTATCATTTGAGAGAAGTTGATGATCAAATGCAATGATGGGGCTGATAGCAGCAGTAGCAGTAACAGCAGCAGCAGTCATTACGGCATTAAGAGAAATGATGAGATCGCTTTCCTGTATTGTAGCTATTAGAGAAGTTGTTTCCTTTGAAGGACTATGAAGATAGTCTGGTGCTCTTTCCTGTTGCATCGATAAAAGGGCAATATCAGGGGTAGTACTGATAGCTGCAGCTATCAATTGATGTTGATTGTTGTCCGCTGTTGGGTTATTCATAATGGTTGTAGATGGCGTTAGTATTGTGCTATCGAGCTCTTCCATAGGTAATATATCGTGGCTCCTGGTCTTTGTGTCATTCTTAACTTGTTGGGCCAAAGGTTGAGGTGGAGGAGGAATCGTCATTCTCTCTGTTCGAGACATGAAGTATTCATCTTCGTCTTCAAATGCCATCACTCTCCTGTTGTGTCGTGCTTTACGCTTATTTAACAGTGCTTCCGCTTCCAGCATTGTTTGAGAAATCAAAAGTCGTTCACGAATACTGTATTGTGGTTTAGATTGCCTTTCATCTCTATTGAGTTTCTTAGAACTTAATGTGTAGGCCTTGTTGGCAATCTGTCTTGGTGATAAGGAGTTATTTTTGTTGAAACCACTGCTGTTTGTGGGGCTGTTCTTTTTCAGGATCCAAGTCGGGAAGGTGGCCATATTCGACTTTTAAATTATAAGATAACGTTCGAAAGTAAAATAGGAGGATGCACTAAACGATCTTTCGTTTGTTGAGGTAATAAAATGCTATTGTTTGGGATAATACTGTCGCAATTGCTATAAATACTACTTCTCATTGAATGACCAGATAGAGAAGCTTTTTAGATGGTATGCTTAAAGGTACTCTTAATAAAAGAAGTCAAATTGCAAAAGAAAGAGAAAATAAGATCACTGTTTGTAAAAAAAAAAAAAAAAGTAATTTATATCTGTGCGTAGACGAAATCGTTTAGGGAAAGCTATATTTTTAACTTGTACTCCTTAAGCAGTAAAGGCATAAAACTAATGGCTCATTTCGGAATCAAAGCCATATGAAAAAATCGCTATTTAGGGCAGAATCAAGTTGAAAATGAAGGGGAATGACCAATAGAATCACTACATGCCACGGAAGAGAAGCACATAATTCCACGGAACCTCAAGCTTCTCTTTGTTACATGTTGTGTGATTGAACCGATCTAAATTCGGCAACTACATTGTGGATGGATGTGCAGAGAGTATGCAGACTGTGTATTTCGTCATGGATATAGCTTTTCTATACTCCTTGATTTGAGTCAATGATTGCTTGTTTCCATAACAAGGTCTTATTCAATTAGTCGAAGCCAAAATATTAGGGTATGTACACGGTATGTTATTTGAATACGAAAAGCAAATGACAAAACACACATAACTATGACGAGAAATCATCAAAGCCTTTGTTGATTATTGAAATTCAACAGTTCTAATTCTATAAAAAAGATCAAGCTTGATTCTGGTTTTAAGCATGAGGATGACTGGAAATGATACTCTGACCGGAAGTGCTTTCTTGCTTTTCACTTTAAAAGCCGTGAATTGTACGTGGACTATTCGAAACATTTAGTCATCCATCTATAAAAGATAATGTGAGCATATTATGTGATCATTTATAGTGTATATCTGTTAAAGACATTTGACAGCGCGATCGATGTAGAATTCGTATGGCACGAGTTAAGCAGATGACAATGCGTATGTAGATCAATTGACACAGTTTAAAGGGATATCAGGACTAAATAGAAGAATTGTTTATGTCATACCTTGATAGACCTATATGAGCATGTATAGGCAAAGATGAATTTTCTAAATTTGTTAGGGCATACGAGGTGTGTCTGAGCTACGAAGAAAGGTAGTTCAATAAAGAAATTATTTAGAATACAATCCAACGAGCCATTTTTGAAGTTTTCTTCTCTCTGCAGTTACAGGGCGATGCAAGACTATTTACTCAAAGCCATAAGAGCCCTTTTATGTTCGGAATTTTTTCTAATCATTTTTAGTCAACAAACCTGTTATGCCTACGCCAAGAAGTGAAACTAGGGTTAAAAAAAGATAACCCCAAAACGAGAGCGCATCGATGGACCTTTGACTAATATGCATGCATACATCGAGTAAAGCTGCCTGGCCACGGTATGTCTCAATCTACTGCGAAGATAATGAAAAGCTCCGCATAATACAGTATTTGACACACCGTCACTTCAATTCGTCATAATCAATTTATTTCTATTTCATGCGTATCTTTTCTTAATCTTTCTTTATCGTTGTTTTTTTTCACTTTTGTTTTTGGACAACAGAATGGTAATGTAGCCTAGTAAGACTATGCAATTCTTACAAAACTTTAATAGTTTCAATACTGATCTTGTTCCTTTGCTCATTACGTGTTCATAGTTTGGCGGTTTCGACGAAGATCCTTTCGACAATGCACCTTCAATCTTTGGCTTTCGACCAGGCAATCTCGGTGGAGGGTTTCTCAACCCCAATAGAGGGTTTTCTGAGAATTATCGTTGCTATCCCATTGCTATGATGGCCAACGGTCACGACAGAGAGAACGTTAATTATGGCGGAAAAAGTAAACTGTCTCTAAATTGATATGAACTACGGAGCGCTTGAAAATACGGCCAGAATCCTAATCGATAAATTGTTAATCATGTAGTTATCTTACCACAGTCAGCACTTGAGAAACTTTGTAAGTTTTTATTCACCCAGTAATATCAACTGTCGCGCGATTAATCTTCGTAAAACGAGCAGAAAATCAACTAAATCACTCCTTATTGACCTAGCACAATTGAATATATCATTTCCAATGCTATTCAGATTGAGGAATGGAGCACAGCAGAAGTTTAGTCATGCAGGCGTTCTCGAGTTTATAGCAGAGGAAGGAAGAGTCTATTTACCTCAATGGGTAATGTGTGTGCGCGTTTGATGATGATGACAAGATGAAAACACGCTGTATAAATTATTCATGGAACAGCTTTTTTTTTCCATTATATTTCGCACACATAGATGATGGAAACTCTAGGCACAGAACCTGGAAATATTATTGAAGTAAAGAATGTCACTCTACCGCTAGGATCATTTGTCAAAATTCAACCACAATCAACTGACTTTCTGGATATCAGCGATCATCGAGCAGTGTAATTATCGTGTTATGCATTTAAATTATCGTTCAGAAAACGAGAGAAAAGCTAAATGAATTCCCACATCTTTTAGACTTGAAAAAGCTCTGCGCAATTTCTCAACATTAACAGTGGGAGACATCGTTCAAATCAACTATAACAATAATGTGTATGAGATCAAAGTGCTCGAAGTCAAGCCACATTCACAGGAACATTCTGGTATATCTATTGTCGAAACAGATCTAAGTGTCGATTTTGCACCACCTGTAGGGTATGTCGAACCTACCGCTCAACCAAAGGCTATGTCAACTATTGTACGATTGTAACCCCTTAGAGTAGTTCAGACTGTAACGAAGAGTTGTAGGATTGCTTGACGCTTATATTTCTCTATTTTTAATAGAAAAGTAAAATGAATATTGATGCACCTAGCCCTGCCAAAACAGAGTTTGCAGCATTTGAAGGAGGTGGACAAACGTTAAGAGGAAAGTCAAATGCTAAAACATCAACCAATACCGCCAATAAACAGAATAGCAGCAACAGCAAAGACGAAAGTTTGAAGGAAGGAGAAGGGTTTGAAGAAGATGAAGCGCCTTTCAATTTGCCATTTGGTACACTTTATTTCGGCTACAAGGTCGTTCCTCCACCATCAGCGAATGATGCGGACAAAGAAAACGAGAAGAATAAGAATGTTTTTATAGGAAGCGGCCAGACATTAAGGAAGAGCAAAAAGAAATAAGTAATATAGGGAATCGACAAAAGGGAATAATGCAGCTATACTACAGTTTAAAAACAATATACACTAGCGGTGTTTATCTATAAATAGCCGCATATAAAATAAATAATTCACCTTTTTGATTCTATTTGGATACTCTTGTTGTGATTCGTACGTTTGTACAGCTGAACACACCATGATTGAATTGCTCGCGCCACGTATAAAGATCGAGGAGACCAGTTTATATAATTTATGTGATGGCCAGCCTACAATACAGCATACAAATTTTCATACACTGGTTAATCTTCTTTCGGTGCATACAAAATAAACGACTTCTGTAACCCTTACCGGTAGTAGGATCAAAGTACATTCTGGTGCTTCTTTTTCTGATTGCACGACTACAAAAGAATAGTGCCAAAACTCTTTTGATAAGCTTATGACTTCTCTCTATACTGTAAGCTTCATTTCAACAACAGTTTACCTTCATCAAAGGTTGCTTTGAATTCTTTTGAAATTCTACTGTTTGTCAAGCTATCCTTTTCTCCTGCAACCAACAGGTAAGGAACTAGTACATTTTTCTTCTTTGATATGAGAGCAGCAGGGGAATTATCGCTCAGGAAAACTGTATCAACGTTATCCAAACCGGCAACCCGTTTACAGAAAAAGATGGCTGTATGAGGCTCATTCATCAAATCTAAGGCACCACTGAGACTGACGACACCTTGCACCGAGGTGTCTACCTCTTCAAAGCCAGGCTGGAACCGAGGATCATTCACTGTCATTGAGGCCATGGATGCCAAATGAGCGCCAGCGGAGTCACCTGCTAAAATGATATAATTGGGGTCCCCACCAAATGAAGCGATATTCTGTTTAAGCCAGCGAATAGCACGTTTCACGTCTATTAAATGGGCCGGGTAGGAATTCTTTGGAGCTAAACGGTAGCCAATATTAACGATTATCTGTGCGTTTTAGGCAAGGGTTGAGAAAAATAACATAAGGTCAGTTGGAATTAACCTAGTGGAATGGTTGTAGCAGGAATCTCACTATGTACCGTACCCAATCATTTTCTTTTACCAGGAGCTTCTCATAAGGATAAAAGAGATTTTTACTTCCCGCTCGCCAAGCACCACCATGAACATGAACTAACACAGGTTTCTTAGAAGCTCTATCTTGCGGCATATCGGCTCTGGTATATATGTCCAGCATCATTCTACGTAGTTGACTAAAGTCTTGGTTAGATGTTTCCAGAACTTCTCTGATTTCTTCATTGGTAGCATAGGTAACTACAATTTACAGAACAGTATGTTTAATAGGGATGCCAGAGCTTGGAATGCTGCAATAACATGATACTACATACTATTGGGATGAATTTTTATCCTGCTAGGTGTCCAAAATGGATTTACCAACTTCTTTATATCATTGTTACTAACAAGCGATCAGAGGTACAACCAATGTATCAGTTAAATCGAGAAGGGTCGTATAGTATTTCACAATTTTTTTTTTAGAATACCATAATATGCTGGCCATAGGCTTAGCAGTATGATTTAACTTTCTTATAGTTTCATCAGCAATACTTCTTTCAAGCAGCATCTGATAATACAAGTGGCATAAACCTAATAGATTGAGAACATCAAGGTAAAATACTACGCTCGATAGTTTGTAGTCTACAGTTGTAATAGTGATGTAGTTGAGTGATTCTCGAATTCAATTTTACAATATATAGCTTAGTTTGGCATGCAACTTACTAAAACCACCCATAAAATAAACACCAAAAAATTGGAACAGCTTCAAGATGATAAGCTGTATGCTCAGTTCAGCTACACCAGAAGACATTGTTTCGATGATGAATAAGTATCTTCTCCATGTATTTCCAAAGGCTTGTCGAACTAATTCTTTATCATGAGCACATATGATAAAGAAGCTAAGAAAGAGGGCCGAAAATGTATATGTAGTAGCCACAAATGCCGTTAATATCTCCAACATTGTCGCCTGTTCGCTTTCTTTAATCTAATTATTGCCAAACAAGAGGAAAAGTATTCCGTCAAAGTAAATAGGAAAGAACAACACTTTCAGGGCAACAAATCAATATTTCACTCTTCAAATAGATCTATGTGACTTCTTTACGGTGTGAAAGAAGTCGCTTCCCATCACATTTTCACAAATCATTAAGTACTTACTGTTTTGATATTACAACAGCTTCACTATACTATCCAAGTATCATCATAAACAGTGAACGTTATCTATCATTATACATGCCATTTTCGTTAAAACTGCTATAACACTTGATCAATTACTATGCGTGTATTCTCAAGGTACTATACACTTAGACAACCAATAATAAGTAGTGTATTGATGAGGTGGGGATCGCATGTGATTGGAAGCCATATGGAAGATTTTACGGATTTTCCATATAGTTTCCTTTTTAAGGTAAAAGCCGTGTGACTGAAGGAAAGGTTACTTTTTTCTTCCCCGCATTACAGCACTTCATTGTCATAACGAAAAATATTTTTTTTCTATTTATCGGCTTTAAACTCATATTATCAACAAAAGTGTCTATTTTCCCTTTTTATAATTTTTTCAATTCACATTAATTCATTTAGGTTTGCTATGACAGATAATACTCTAAAAAGCAATTTAAAAGCAGATGATAAGAATAAAATTCTTGAAAAAGCAAACAGAATCAAAGAAGATATAAAAGAAAACCTACCAACCGTTCGATGGGCGCCACTGACAGGCATACCTTTTGAACGAAGAATCCAAACCGCTGCTATACTAGTTTGGGTTTTTTTACTAGGCAACTGCCTTACTCTATTTTTTGGTACTCTTATATTTCCCTTCCTATGGCCATTTCATATCGCTTATGCCTTCTGGGCTTGGTGGTATGACAAAGACACGCCTGAAAACGGCGTGGGACGGCGCTCTGAATGGTTTCGTCGCTTACCATGGTGGAACTATTTTGTCAACTACTTTCCTGTGAAGCTCGTCAAAACAGCCCACCTTGACCCGTCTCGTAAATACATCTTTGGTTATCATCCCCACGGCATCATCAGTTTGGGTGCCGTTGCAAATTTTGGCACTGAGGCAACCGGCTTTTCGGAGATGTTTCCAGGTATTACGCCTTCTTTACTCACCCTCTTGCCCAACTTCCAAGTGCCTCTTTATCGTGAAATAATTTTAGCCATGGGAATAGCATCGGTCTCTAGACCTTCCTGCGAGCGAATTTTATCCAAGGGAGGGCCAGGTAGAGCTATCGTGATCGTCATAGGAGGTGCTTCTGAATCTCTTAACGCCAAGCCAGGCACTGTAGATTTGATTTTGAAGAAAAGATTGGGATTTATCAAATTAGCCTGTCGAGAAGGAGCAGATATTGTACCCACGTTTTCTTTTGGAGAGAATGATTTATATGAACAAGTGGATAACTCAAAAGGATCATGGCTGTGGAACTTACAGAAGAAGATGCAAAGAATGGTGGGATTCACAGTACCCTTGTTTCATGCAAGAGGTATTTTTAATTGTAAGTCCATTTATATTCTCTTCAAAACAAAGGTGATCGATAAAAATGATATTAAATTGTTTAATCATATAGATAATGTGGGTATTTTACCTTATCGTCATGAGGTTGTGACAATAGGTAATGTAAAATAGCTGTATTTAATGTACTCAAACGGATGATTTTCGCCTGTTGATATTGATTTACTTTTTCTACTCTGTTCTTTCTCTTTCCTTCGTTTTTATAGTGGGAAGACCGATTTCTGTACCTAAACTGAAAGAAGGACAAAAAGAACCTACCAAAGAGCAAGTGTTGCAAATTCAAGAAGAATACGTTAAGGAACTGGAACATATTTATCATGCATATAAAGACGAATACGCAAAAGATAGGCAACAAGAGCTTAGAATTGTTGGTTAAAAAGAGGCTATTGATTTGCTGGTCTATATATCCAAGCCAATAAACAGATTGCATGAAGTCACGTACTTTTTTTTGCCTGCAAGTCTAGAAATGTAACTCTACGATTTGTGCATAAAATTGGAATGATGGGCTTTATATATTTCTAATATTTTAGAGGAAGGGCGCCAAAATGTCATATACATGTCTTCTCAAGTCTAATACGTCTATTTCGTCAGACAAGTATTTGAACTTTTTGTACCAACTTAATACGTTTAAAAGAAATCTTTTATTACAATATTTGAAACCCAATGAGCACCAAAAATTGCCCGGGGCAGATCCTAAAGTTTCTATAGTATAGACTATGTATTGCTAAAAACCCCTTCGGGAACAAGGGTAAAAAGGATTTAAGCAGTTGTTGTTGTGTGTGAGGGCTGGGTCAACCATCGTAATAGGGCGTAGCCTAGTGAGGGGTCTGGTGGAGGTGGATTCAATCCATGAAACAAATGATCGAGTTCATAAAGAATGTGGCAAATAGCCGGTCAACGGACGGTCCATGATTAGCGAGTGACGGCTGATCGAGGGGGACGAGTGGGAAGTTGATTCAAAAGATTAAACAATGGATCTAGAATTGATATTGGCATCATCAGACGTTGATGCAGTACCAACTTAATACGGTCTTTTAGCTTATATTTTAGACGATTTACAATTTTTAATGGACAATATAAATTTTAAATTTAGATCTATTTCAAATATTTTTAAAACAAGATTTATAGTATTTTGGATTTGGATACTCAATTATTCAGTGATACCCAAGCAGCATTAAGGATGACATACAATCAAAGCCAAGAAATGAGTCTCTTTCAGTAAGAAAGTCGCCAATGATGGTCTTATTGCCGTTATCTTGCAATAGGACAAACTACAAAAAGCTTAACAACTTTTTTATTAAATGACAATGTGCTCCGGGATCAACCAGATATTCGTCAGTGCCTTTTTTGGACAGAGTTCCAAGAAAGGTCAACTTTGAATTGATTGACATCAAACCATTGATAGAGGGCTGAGGGTCATAGTATAGCAGATACCATAGCGGAATGGGATGGTTATATTATCTGTTGTCGATGTTTTTGTGTGCGTTCATGGGTGACTTTCAAAGATAAGCATTATAAAATATTTTGCTCTCTTATAGCCAAATGTTGTCCCTTTCACTTTTATCTCACGTTTTATGATACTACTATGACCCATTTTCAAAACAAAAGAAAAAGCAAATCTCTGAAAAGGAAAAATCAAGTGCTGTTAATGGTAACTTGCCTTTTGAAAGCCTATATACCTGATCATATATATATACATATAGATTAATCATTGTGTACTGTTAGATGTAACGTGTATTAATTGCGGTAAAGGGGGTCATTACACCCAACAATACTTTAAATGTGAATTGTATGAGACAGATACTGCAGATCAAGGTAAGGAGCTCATGTGGCTTTGAAGTTGGTAAATTTATCGATATTAAGAGATTTTAATGTACCAATAGTTGAAAGAAAAGAAAAAAGCAAGGAAAGAGAAGAATGAAGACCCCGATGAAGAAAATGCATGTTGTGCCAAATGCAAGCAACCAGGACATAAATCGATGCATTCAGAAGTGGAAGGCTGATAAGTACTCAGAATCCCTAGAAGGATACCACTGATTGTGTTTGGTGCTGGAATGTTTGGAAAAGATGTAGTTAAGTTGAAAGGGCAAAGATGAGGTGTTGTCGGTAAACCTTTTGCAACTTTGAAGAAACGTGAAGCTGAAGGCCAATGGATTATTGTGACAATCGATGAATTCAAAACCTCTAAAACATGCAGCCTCTGTTTCTATGATGATATGTAAATTGTTGATACTCCTATATTTAAGGTTACCGGCGTTCTTCATTGCAAGCAATGTCTAAAGCTATGGAAGAGAGACGTTAACGCCGCTATCAACATGATGACTATATCTCAAGCAGTTTGGTCCGGAGCTGGAAGACCCGAAATTTTCAAGCCAGCGAAGAAGAAGAAAGTATCGCCGTAATAAACAAGGTTTCCTTACATTTCAAGGATTTAGATCATTACATGCGAGGAATAGTACTTTTTTTTTGGTTTTTTTTTTTTCGCACTACTGACAAGTTTTTGAAATTGAATCATTGTCAGAACGATTTATATTTTCTTCTACAAGACAAGTGCGATTCGTCTAAAATAAAAATATTGATTGTCCAAAAAATGGTAATTTATCTAAAATATGAGTTAGGATACTGTAACTGATGATGAACTGTTTATTATATGCGGACGATGTGGTCTTGATTGTCGAAGAAGCCCAAATGCAATCACTACTTCAAAAATGTGAACAGCATAGTTACTCACGTGGTTACCGATGGAACCCTGACAAGCGTGTAATACTGGCTTCCTCTGATCAACCAACGACGGAATATCTCCTTTATGGATCCACACTACGAAGCAACAATTCCTTCCCATATCTGGAAGTTCCTTTCAAGCCCGGTGGTTACCTGGATACTCAAGAGCTCATACATATCAACACAACCAAAGCCCTGGCTACTATGAACACCTTATCGTCGGTTGGAGTCAAACCTAACGGCTTTAATAAGCTAATATCTCTCAGGTTCTACGCTCATATGGTCCGCCCTCGACTGGAATACAGATTAGCGATAAGCAAACTGAACAGTACAAATCATATGAAACTGGACAACGTAGAGAACAAATGCATTCGCAGGATATTTGGTGGTCAATTCGATCCTCTGCCAAGATAATGCGTCACTTAGCCAACTTACCTCAATGCGAGAAAGAGCCTACACTCTCCAGGCTAAATTCCTGTTACGATCACAAACACTCCCAGATGATGCCCTACTGTCCCTACTGCTGCCATATGTACAACAACCAAATAGCTCTTCTATCTGGAGTCAGCTCTCTCGTACACCTCTCTGGCAAAGAACCAAGGAAAACGCCCCGACGATGGATCAGAAATATCTCAAACAGTCCCTGAAAGACTTTCGTACAGAATCCCTACAAGCAATGCAAAGCTCCCCAACAAACTCTAAGCTCATATCAGTCTGCCGCCCAACAGTAAGTTTAGATCCCATACTATGGCTCCCAATGACAAGAGAAGAAAGAAGTCGATGTCTTCTTTGGCGACTTGGCTGGTTACTTAGTGGTAACACCACCTACTGCATCCGGCACCTCTCAGCATTGTTCACAAAGACCCACTCAATCCAATGCCTGAATATGCACTCGCGTTTACAGCAGTCATAGCAAATAGATGATCCCCTTTCGTATCTTCTAAATCAGCTACCTAACCACCCGCCTAGACAACCTACGATAAAACGTCAATGGGAACACCAATGGCCGATCCTCTGCTACATACTATATGAGCTAGACTATCTATTCCAAGAACCCCCACCCTTGGATGTTGCTCTAAGATCTTTACTGCTCCAATGGATGTCTCCTTTTAATCACTCAACCTTGTAACAAACTCGTTTTTTCCCTTGATCCTAAAGGGCTTTTTAGATACTTTTATAAACAGTCGGATCTGCCCCAGGCAATTTTATATAACATTGTGCCCACTGGGTTTTAAAGAAAATTATTTTGTCAATAAAAAACCTCTCTTTAAACGTAACTGATGGTGAATAAATTTTAACGGCAGCTGTGAGCTCAGTCTAACAAATAAGTCTGTTCTCTTTCAGTTATACTTCTCAACTTTTGCTCCGTCTCTTTTTACTTTTTCTGTTTGTTTGCAAGTCGACAAAAGCCTCTAGACAACAGAGATGTTTCGTACAAACCGATTTTTCACCACCAACAAAAAAGGTACGTAGACAACATAGAACCATCTCCGCAGTTTACGAACATTATAGCTTTTACCACTACGATTCAAACAACTAATAATCTGTCATCTCACCCTGTTTATATAGGTGAAATTTACGAACTGAAAAGAGAGCTAAACAGCGAATATAGACAAACACGTAATGACGCTGTGAAGAAAGTGATCGCCAATATGACAGTTGGCAAAGACGTCAGTGGATTGTTTCCAGACGTACTGAAAAATATGCAAACGGAAGATATCGAATTGAAAAAGTTGGTCTATCTCTATTTGATGAATTATGCAAAGACTCAACCTGAACTCGTCATTTTGGCCGTCAATACTTTTGTCAAAGTAACAACTAACAATAGAAATGAATTGCAAAACAAAACACACAAGCTTACCGACATAAGCACCTGCAAATTCCATGATATTTATAGGATTCAGACGATCCAAATCCGTTAATTCGTGCATTGGCTATTCGTACCATGGGCTGCATCCGCGTCGAGAAGATCATTGACTATTTGACTGAACCACTCCGAAAATGTTTGAAGGTAATCAGAAGATAATCAGAAGATAATCCAATTCAACAGCAAATAGTGCAAGAAAACAACAAGTAACTAAAGACATGTACATTCATGGTTTTAGGATGAAAACCCTTATGTTCGTAAAACAGCTGCTATTTGTGTTGCTAAATTATTTGAAATTGCACCTGAAATGACAGAGGAACAGGGATTCATCGATTTATTGAAGGATATGGTGTCAGATGTTAATCCTTCAGTTGTGGCCAATGCAGTTACTGCATTAATGGATATTCACGAGGAAGCTACGTCAAAAGGATTCTTTAGAATCAATGAAAATGTTTCTTACAAATTAATGCATGCATTAAACGAATGTACGGAATGGGGCCAAATTGCTATTTTAAGTGCTATGGTCGACTATAAACCACAGGATTCTAAGGATGCTGAGACCATCTGTGATAAAGTCATTCCCCGTTTACAACACGCTAACGGTGCAGTCGTTCTGGCAGCCGTCAGAGTGTTACTCTTAAATATGGATTATTTGGACGATACAAACAAGGAACTAATTCCTGTTTTTTGCAGAAAAATGGCACCACCACTCGGTAAGCAAGACTTACTTATTCCAATTATTAAGCGTAGACGGCCGCTAATGTTTGTTATTTGCTGATAGTCACCTTACTGTCCAGCCCTCCAGAATTTCAGTACATTGCACTAAGAAATATTAGCCTCGTTTTACAAAAGTTCCCTCAAGTGCTAAGTAATGAAATGCGCGTATTTTTCTGTAAATATAACGATCCCTTATACGTCAAGCTGGAGAAATTGGAAATTTTGATGAAGCTGTGCAATAACAGAAATGTGGATCAGCTGCTCAGTGAATTGAAAGAATATGCTAATGAAGTAGATGTCGAATTTGTCAGAAAAGCAGTGAACGCTATTGGTCGATGTGCCATTAAAATTGAAGAAGCTGCTGAGCGCTGTATTAATGTTTTGCTAGACTTGATTAATACTGGTGTCAGCTATGTCGTCCAAGAAGCAATTATTGTTATCAAGGTACATGGAAACACTCCCCAACATTGAAGTATCCAATTTCTCATGTGACTAACAAACTCACATCCCTCTTTATAGGATATCTTCCGTAAATACCCTCACACTTTCGAAGGTATCATTCCTCAACTTTGCTCCAACTTGGATATTTTGGATGAACCACAGGCAAAGGCTTCTCTGATTTGGATCGTTGGTGAATATGCTGAAAAGATTGATAATGCAGATGATTTGATGACGTTCTTCATTGAGAATTTCAAAGAAGAAAATGCTCAAGTGCAACTGCAATTGTTGACAGCCACTGTAAAACTCTTTTTGAAGAAGCCTTCAGAAAACCAAGGCTTAGTGCAAACTATCTTGCAAATAGCTACAGAGGGTTGTGATAACGCAGACATTAGAGATAGAGCCTACATTTATTGGCGTCTGTTATCAACTGATCCTCAAGCCGCAAAGGCTGTTATTCTTTCAGAAAAACCACCTATTCGTGGTGAGAGTAATGAACTATCACCAGCTCTGTTAGATAACCTGATTTCAGAGATAGGTACGCTAGCTTCAGTTTATCACAAACCTGCTGATACTTTCCTTGCTGGTAAACGATATGGCGCCGATAATGTCACAAAGACAGTTAATAGGTGAGTAGAAAAAAGACAGTAAGTGGTTAAATTCTTATTTGAACTGACGCTTTGCCTGATCATTGCTTTAAAGGCATCACCAACTCGACGAAGAAGATGATGAAGAAGGCATAAGTGCTCCTACAGCTAAAATTAAAGAAGCCATCAAGAACAATGATATTGGCGATTTACTCGATTTGGATTGGAGTGAACCTTCCGTTCAAGACTCTACCTCACCGGTAACTACAACATCACCAGCGGCAACCAAGAGCCCTATCGCCATTAATAATTCGGCCTTAGGTGACTTACTGTCACTTAATATTGAATCACCTACCTTACAACCCGGCAATCTTAATCAATCTAATCTTTCACCAGCAACTGGTGCAGCTACTTCGACAGATGACATTCTGAAATTATTTGGTGCTTCGACCACAACTCCAGCCGTTAATAATAACAACAGTAATAATAACTTCAGCAGTATACCTGGATTTACAGTGCAACAGCAATCCTTATCGCCATCTACACAGAATAGCAATAATACCGCTAGTAACAACAATAGTACTCAGCAGGCAAAGGACCCATTTGCAGGTCTTCTTTAATAGGAAAACGTTTTGTACGAAAGCAATAAAAAAAGATGAATATCACATAAATGCCAAACATATAAACCAGTTTACTTCCATCTATCTGATAAACACAAAAAAAAAAAAAAAAAAAAAAATCCAATGAGAGAGAAAAAATGCTTCTACAGCTGAAGAATATAGTTTTTCTTTTGACTTTTGAACAAATGGTTACCAACTTGAGACGTTTTTACATTTCAAATTTAGACGAATTTATTGGAGGATAAACCTGGCTTTTTGGACTATACTTTTCTTTCAGAATGTTCAATGCCAAATGTGCGACCTATTCGTACTCAAACAGGTAGGTATTTCAAGCAGCAATTAGTAAAAACTGCAGGAATGTACAGTAAGAAGTATTGCAAGATGAACTCACTAAGTATTCTATAACTGAACTCCATATTGCAGTGATATACCTTCAGTAACTTCTCTTATCTAGCTCTCCTATTTTTGCTGTGATATCTCTTAGCTTCTCGAGAAGGCATAATCATGTAAACTTTTCGCAGAGTTAAACAATATTAAAACATATAGACTTTTTTACAGAAAACGGAACAAAAAAGTGATAACTTTATAGATGAAGAGAGATGCTGAACAATCAATGAGAATACAGAAATGAGAGTCATTTACATAGAATACAACTTGTTGTTCAGTTGTTCTGCCAGCTAAAAAAAATGTAAGTAATTAGTCCCAGACGATCACACAATAATCACTTAAAGCAACACCGGATTCAGAGTAATACGCCCAGCCTGTTCTTATGTATATCATCGTTTAGAAGCGCATGAATAAGGAGTTTTCTGACAATGTAAACAGGTAAAGAATGCTGAAAAGAGAGGTGTGTACAGAAAAAATGGGCCTAAGGTACTATATTGAAAGTGCCCGATCGGGAAACAATCGGGCTTGAATTATCTGAAGTTGGGTTCATGAGAACAAGAATATTATACCACTTCATCCCAAAGTAATTTAAAATTATCTAAATTAAAAATATATTTTGTCCAAAAAAAGTATCGAGTGTAAAATTGAAGCTAAAACATTGTATTTTCTTCAGCTGCACTCACAGCAGACAAAAAAAAAAAGATAAAAAATAAAAAAAGAGAAAAAAAAAAAGAGGGAGACCATAGTACGAAGTTTCACTGTTCATACACGAAAAAGGAAATTCTTTTCGATTTTTGAATCTCACACAGAAGGAAAATGTAATTTAGAAATCCTTTCTTTTTTCTTTTCCATTTCTTTTCCATAAAACTAACTATCACTATTTTCTTTTTACTTTAATAACTGATTATCGCACTACTAAATTAAAAGACGAAAGAAGAACCCAACAAGAAACAGCTCGTTAAAGATATACAAAAAATATGGATAAAAGAAAACAAGACATTTTGTCACAAATTGAACAAGCATTTAGAGTTACTGATGAGCAGTTGAATAAGTTAGTTGAAGGGATCAATGAAGAAATGAGAAATGGATTGAATAAACTGGAAACTGCAACTAAGACGTCTGAGTTGAAAATGATACCTTCTTATGTTACAGGTAAAAGAGAACTACAAAAATGGGGAGGAAACATATGCCTTGGGTAAAAGCATAACTCACTGGGAAGGAAAGAGAGGGAGAGAAAGTGCGTGCGTGAGTAAGTGAGTGTGTGCGTAAGTGTGTGTGCCAAAGAAAGCGGAAAAGTTTAATTTTAATGAAAGAAATTGGACCGTGCACAGACAAAGCTTCCCATTTTTTTTTGCCTTTTTGGGACCAGACTTTCTGTCTCCTTCCCGCTTCCTCATCTTTCTATTCTATATGACTAAGAAGATGCTTTTTGATAACTGATTAGGTTATCCTAATGGCTTCGAGAAAGGCACTTACTTAGCACTTGAAATCAGCGGCGTCGATATTTACGTTTGTCAAGTAAAGTTAAAAGGCGAAGGCGGCAAACTAGCCATTAACCAATACCAATATAAGATACCCGATAATTTGACAGCAGGCGACGATATCACTATCTTGATCGATTATGTTGCTGACTGTGTTACTGATTTCCAACAAAGAGTGGGCGCTCATCAACATATTGTCTACAGTATGGCTATCAGCATTGGATTTGCCGTTGTGCAAACTGGATTAGACAAGGGCAAAATCATTGCACTTGAACATGGATTTGATTTCCCTAATGTCATTGGATGCGATGCTGTTGATCTATTTGATAAACGGTTCAAAGCAAAAGGTTTAGCAGTGAAAATAGTTGCTATCGCCAATGGTAAGTTTTTCATATGGATTTTTTGCATGCATTTTATAGGCATGTTATGTGTACTATACAGACTTACTAAAAGCTAATTCTTCGATTAGATGGCGTTTGTACATTATTAGCACATGCATATCAGCATCCTTCAACGCGAATCGGCATCATTCACAGTGCAGGTACAAATTGTGCCTATTATGATAAAATGTCAAATATCGGTCAATTCAAAAATAGACTTAAACATCAGCAGCAAGAGGACATGATCATCAATACAGAATGGTGTAATTTTGGGGCACGACATTTACCCAAAACGAAATTTGACGACTTGCTAGATATACAGTCTAATAACCCTGGTATACACATATTTGAAAAAATGACAACGGGCATGTATTTAGGAGAGATTGTACGTCAAGTGTTAGTCTATTTGGTTGACGAGGGAGTATTATCGTTCACAAGCAGCAACAATATTAATAGCAACGCAAATAATAGAAATAACAGTTGTGATACAATAAATAGCAACAGTAAGGATGACTCTATGGACATGGACGCTGAAGATGGAGACATAGATGAAGAATTAGAAGGCGAATGTTTATTAACGATACCATATCAATTTGACACAAGCTATATGTATGTTTGTGAAGCCGACGAAGATGATGACGATCAGCTAGAAGATACACGTTTAATATTAGAAGATATGTGTCGTGTGGGTGAAACGAGTGTAGAAGATAGGAAAACTGTAAAGAAAGTATGCGAATGGGTAGGCCAACGGGCTGCACTGTTATTGGGAGCTAGTATTGCAAGTGTAGTGAAATATATGGTTGAGGACGGGATCGGATTAGACTCTGAGAAAGGATTTGCTATAGGTAAACCTACACCAATTGTAAGATGTAGGGTAACAAGTGCTGACTCTAATTCTTCTGCCCCATCTTTCAAATAGCGATTAGTGGTGATGTGTACAAAGATTATCCAAACTTTCATCCACGGGTTTGCGAGGCAATAAAAGAATTAATACCAGAAGAGGTTGCATGCAGATTGTCGGTGGGTATTGTACAGCATTCGCGTATCGTAGGTGCAGCTATTGTAGCAATGATGGCTGAAAAAATGGATCAAGCAACAGCAATGGCATTAGAAGCGAATAATCTGTAACTATTCGCACGTTCTTGTTTCGCTGGCTACTATTTTGGAGCATCTTAATCATCAACATTCCGTTAGTTACATTAATAGAAACTCCTTTTTTGTTTATCGTTCCTGTATGATACAAAAGAAGTTTTGACAATCGTTTACTTATTGAAACATGTTTTTTTATTATGTTTATTATAAATAACCTGAATTGAAACTACATGACAAATACCATATTGCAATTCGTTATTTCATTCTTAAAACTTAGACTTTATTTTCTTTGTTTGCCGCCTTGATTCTGTCGGTTTTGTTGTTGGCCTTGTTGCTGTTGACCCTGTTGTCTATTGTTGCGGTTATTATTGTTTCTATTATAACCTTGATTCTGCTGTCTTTGCTGATTGTTATATCGGTTTTGCTGGCTATTATTGTTTTGATTGTTCCAACGACGTTCTTCAGCCAGAACCATTTGATTGTTACTTAGCATGACCTTGTGTTGAGCTAATGCTTTGGGAACCGTGTCCGGCGATGTAAAGTCGAGGAAAGCGCAATTTCTGTGGCGGGCAATACTGACTTGTTTAACAGGACCGATCTTACTAAAAGCTTCAATAAGCAAATCTTCAGTAACTGATTCAGTTACCATTTTGACAAAGATTTGAGTCATTTCTATCATAATACAAAAGGCGTATGTGCAAAAAGAAATCAACAATAAGCATTCAACAAAGTATATATTTATACTACTCCTGGTAAATTAGTCAATGATTTGATTACCTTTACGACCTTGATTCTTATTCTGTTGCTGATGGCCAGCAGCAGCAGCAGTATGTTGTTTATCAGTAGTCGTGGTGGTAGCGTTTACTGCGGAAGCTGTGGTTTGGGTAGCAGGGCTATTGACACTTGAGGCGGGTGAAGAACTAGCAGAGGTAGTTGTAGGCTTTTCAGCGGTGGTTGGGTGGTGGGCAGGTTGATTGACTGGATTTGTAGGTGCAGCAGCAGCAGCAGCAGCAGCAGCAGCAGCAGCAGTCAAACTGGCCCAAGTTTTGGGTTTGGGTTTCTCGACGGGTTTCTCGGTAGGCTTCTCGGCAAGTTTCTCGTCTGGCTTCTCAGCTGGCTTCTCAGCTGGCTTTTCAGTGGCTGATGTAGTCGTAGCACCAGCAGGCTTCTGTTGTTGTTTATCAGTTGAGCTGGCGGCGGGCTTTTGTGTTTGCTTATCGGCAGGTTGCTGCTTTTCAACTTGTTTATCAGCGATCTGTTTTTCAGTCTGTTTCTCTTGTTCTTTAGCTTGTTCTTTTGCTTGCTTTTCAACTTGCTTAGATGCTTGTTGCTTTTCCTTATCCAACTGCTTTTCTACTTGTTGCTGTTGTTGCTTATTCTGCTTTGAATCGTTCTTGTTCTTGTTCTTCTTAGATGTGGGTTGGGATTGATGAGATTGCTCTTCAGCTGGTTTCTTGGCTTCTACTTCGGGAGTAGTTGTTGTGTTAGCGGTTGCGGCGGTAGTAGGTTTTTTGATGGGTTCTTCATTCTTTTTAGATTCAGCTTTCTTATGACCATCTTGTCCTGATTGTTGTTGCTTTATATCCGTAGGTCTCTTTTCGTTGGCAGGCTTCTGTTCAGAAGGTAATTTTTCATGTTGTTTTTGTGCTTGTTGTGAATCCTTAGCCTGGGATTTGGATTCTTCAACAGCTGAGGGTGCGGCTGCTGTCGTAGAGGTAGGTGTGGCGGAGGTAGCATTTGTGGTATTTGTTGCAATGGTAGGAGTTGTAACTGAGGAAGTAGTTGTAGTAGCTGGACTATTATCTGCAGTAATAGCAGTTGGGGTACTGGTATCAATAGTATTAACTGCACCATTTGTTACAGAAGAAGCGTTGCTAGTTCTGTTGTTAATGGCAGCAGCAGTAACGGCAGCAGCAGCAGCGGCAGCGGCAGTATTGCCACTATCAGTATTATAATAATCAATTTCTACTTCATCCTTCAAAAATCTGAAAATATCATTCAAAACATAGTATCCGTTGGGTTGAGTAGCCAAGAAGAATGTTTGGGTGAACTTCTTTGAAGGGCCATTGGCATTACACATTTCGCCAATGACTTGAACAAGAATGCCATTATTGGCAGAAATCTGGCTATCAACTTGCGTAACAAGGACTTTACAATCTTCGAATTTGCATTCTTCAAGTCTCTTACGTATCTCCTAAACAATCAAAGCATGGATATAAATCAGTTAACATATCAAATGTTGCATTGAAGAAAAGGAAGTTGTTAAAGTTAAACAACTCCAATTTCCACAAAAAATTTAAAATGAAGTTACCTCCTGTCCTTTGGCAGTATTGCTTATAATACCTTCGTCACCTCTAACAAGCATAGAATCTTTGTTGTAAAAGGCATGAAGACGGTGGGGTTTCTTGTTCAAGAAAGTATAATATTCTCTGACAAATATCAAACCAACGTCTTGAGAAGCAAGTTGCTGGCTGGTATCATTTTTTACTGAGGCATTGAAACTGTTGTTTGTGGGAGCATTTGTAGCATTTGAAGCTGGTGCTGAAGAAATTGCGGCAGCTGCCATATTTGCTTTATTATATTTGTACAAGAAAAAAAAGCTTGTGGAAACAGTATACAAATAGAAAAAAAAAAACTAAATGAAGAAAAGGGAAAGGAAAACAAAAAAAAAAAAAAGAATCTAAGTAGGGAAGACAGGACGCGTTTCACTTGTAATTTCATTTTCAGTCAAGGCACACAAATTGAACGCTTACGTTAAATTGCTTTCAGTTTTGAAGGTCACAACTACAAACACAAGGTTCTCAATAACAATAACATATGAATAAGGTTTCTTTACAAGACACGTATTCTTACTTATTAACCGTATAACATAGCAATAATTTTACCTCTTCACATTTGCAAGATTTTAATAGACTGGTATAAGCCGCTTTTGTAAACACCTTTTTTTCTGGTAAAATACGTTAGCTCTGTCGCAATACGAAGATTGCTCAGCAAGTTATTAGGTACACGTGGAGAAGCTATACGAAACGTTTACTTATTGCTATTAGACGTAGCTACAACAAATCTGCGGATTATTTGAGGAGAAAATTACACGCAAATGACTCTAATACTGTGCTTCTTTGGTAACATAGAAGCACTAGTTGATCAACGTAAAACCTCTTATATCTCCAGTAGACCCCAGACATAGGAAAAAACACCACAAAATCAAGCAAATTTACTCGAAATAATCACATTACGAATATATATTTTCTCATTTGCAGTAAAATAATAAGTTCTTATTAAATAAAAATGTTTACATGATACTAGCGTTTTTGACTAAGTGAAAATGTCATCCTTAACTTGAGCATAGAGCTTTCTACCATAGTCATTGCTTTCTTGATCTCCCCATAAGTTAGGCGAAGGTTAAAATGTGACATTTGTATCATAAAAATTCTGGATCATATTCAAAATCTTTCTAAGCGTATTGCATCTCGCGGCAGATGATTGAATGCTGTAAGGTGCGGTTGAGGAGAGAGGATACGCTCTGTTTGCGTTAGAGGTATGGTCGGATGCAGTTCATGATCATTTATGTTCGTTGAGCTAATAATTTGATATCGGTGTCGTGCTTGGGGCTGCTGTTCTGTCAGCTGTTCTTCTTCTCTGATTTCTCCAGCATTTGGATTCACAAGACGATGATCTGGCTGGTTCTGTACCACAATAGAATCAGGAGAATTGGAAGATGAAGAAGAGGAAGGCTCTACTCTCTCCTCAGTTGCTAAAGCTGAAGAATTATCTGTATGGTTTTGGAACAAATGCATTGCTTGCACACGATTTCTGACCAGCCTAGTAAGTCGTCTTGCAGCAGCTTAATAAAAAAAAAGTTGTAAATGATAAATGAGAAGAATATCAGTTTTCGATTTGAAGGATAAAAATGTGTATTCCTTTCTGTAGCGCTTTCCTTGAAAAAAAAAAGAAAAAACCAAAAAAAAAAAAACCAACCATTACCTAATGGCCGAGCGAAGCTATGTTGAGATGATGAAGTGGCAGTACCTGAGCTCAGCGGTGGAGAGTTGATCCTCGTATTCTGATGAGCATGCGATTCCGCATACTCAATTCGAGTTTCACGAAAAAGAAAACTGCGTTGATTTTCCAATTCATATTGTTGTTGGTTCAATATTCTCCAATCGGGACTTGCATATTGCCATATTTGCCTTGCTGCATTCTGATAGTCGTACAGTGGCGTAGCCAACGGAAAGGTTATTGATCTCTCATTCCATTCGTCTGTTGCATTATTATTGCGGCCTGCGGAAGATAGTAAGCGTGGAGAAAGTTGCTGCTGCTGTTGCTGTTGCTGATGCTCCGTTGAAAATCTTGTGCCTTGAGACGATGTAATTGAGCGAGCTACTTGCAAACCAAGAAATAAGGTAGGGTCTAAACAGTGGTAATTCATTGTTCTTTCGTACAAAAGTATTATCGCTTCTAGCGCACAATCAAACGAACAAACGTTATGTCGGATGGGGATTTGTAGTCTGTTGTTGCATATTTTAGTATTGACCGCAATTGAATAGGGAGAATAGCTATTCCATCGAAGGCAAAAGCTGCATTGTCGCGGTGAACGGCGCAAAATGTCAGATAGAAGAAGAGGAGGAAGGATACCCCGCGGGAAAGCAGCCTTAAGCAAACGATCTGTTTGATGGCTAGAGAGGCGTTGACGCTTCTTTTGTAATTGTTGCTTCGTAAGATGACTATTGGATGGCGCTGATGAAGAACAATTCTCGCGATCACTGTTCGTCTGATATGGTTGATGAGTACTATTCTGTAGGTTCGTAAAATGATATCTACTGGGAGTGAATGTCATGTTATTCAATTGCTGGCGTAAGGACAGTTCATATAAAGGAAATACTTCAGACAACTTATTCCGAGTTGTCTCAACGATGGATTTTTCTTCAGCAAATTTTTGAACGTCTATGTTTTTTTCAATAGTCTCCTCATCTTCTTCATCGTCAGTATCAATATCCATTAAAGCATTAAGCATTCTATGTCGGCCAACGACTGTAAAGCGAGCGTCTCTGCATGATCTATACGTTCGTGGTTTTTTGAAAGTCCTGTCTCTATTACTGTTCTCGCTGCTGGTAGTAATATCAGTAACATCAATATTACTGCTACTGCCGGCACTATAAACAGTATGATTTCTTTTTTCTTTAAAGAAGCACGCTTCATGAAGAACCTTTTTTTTCCTCGCCTTTAAACTGGTATTTGCATTTGAAGATTGAGATGGCAAATATGCTGTGTGTTGTAAAATCTGAAAAGCTTCTTTCAAAGAGAGAATTTGCATTGTGTGTGTATCAGCGTCTTTGCTATCACCTTGATCTATCTTCAATGATGTGTTGCATAAAATACCATCTGCATGCTGTAGAGTTTGGGCGTTATGGCTCACCATGAGCGTCCTCAAAGAGCCACCATAACGACGATGACAGCAATTCGAATCATTGGTTGTGTAGTGTAAACACAGTTGGTGATAATAAGGAAGGTTAGTGGTAGTTTCCGTTGACGATGAAGAGCTGGTGGCTGTTGCAATATCCGTATCTTTTCCTAATGTGTCTCCATTTTTATCGAAATAGTTACGATGATAACAACGACACACATGACAGGGTTCTACTCTGCGGAAAGTGGTTTTCTCGTTATTGCTTCCTATGAATTCCAAATTGTTTTCATATATGTTGAAAACCTCACAAGAAGCTGCTACAAGGGCGTGTTGTCTGACTTCGCTATCTGGTAACAAGGCCATAATCGAAGAAGGGAAGAACTCCAGTTGATTATGCCTTATATCTAATTTCAGCAGTTGCTTCATGTTCATGAGTAAGTTGGATGGTAATGTGGTAAGTTTGTTTTGAACAAGCCCTAGCTTGATCAAATGAACCATATTGGTCATTGATTCGGGTAGATCACTAATTTGATTATCATTAAGGTTAAGCCAGTTGAGCTGACTGCAAAGACCGATTTCAGGTGGTAGGGAGGTAAGCTTGTTGATAGCCAGGTTTAAACGACGAAGTAGAGGACAGCGATAAGCTAAACGTACAAAAAAAGAGCCAGAAATAGTTGTCAATTGACATGTGTGAAAGTCAAGGCTGACGATATGACTGTAGCCTGTAGTAAGAAAATCATGTGGTAAAGAACATAGTGGGTTGCCGGAGAGTTGGAGATGTGATAGGAGGGGAGGAGGATCATATACTAGAGTATGAGGTACCACAGTTAGTTGATTGAAGCCTAAACTGAGGGTTCTGATGCTCCTAGGGAAAATGTATTTAGAGGATATAGATGAAATTCTATTTCGTGATATCATTAGAATCTCAAGACTTGTCAAGAAGAAAAGGACCTCTGGAAATTCTAAATGAGTTAGGCTAGTTAGATATATATTTCCCAGTACTGATATCTCCTCAACTATTCCATCTAATATTTTCAATTTCGTTTCATCTATTGCAATGAGTTGTTTAAAAGATACTTACTTTTGAATCCGTTCTGTTCCAGGTTCATTCCTGTTAATACATGGCAGCACACAATGTCATAAGGTAGCATCTTCAATCCATTTCCTCTTAAATTCAACCACCGTAAATGAGACAATTCAGGAAATATTCCTTCGGGTATACTTCCTAAGTCATTGTTGGCCAACGAAAGGCTAGTTAGATTCTTGAGTACGGTAATTTCTGCAGGGAACTGAGTAAACCGATTGTCGCGCAGTGATAATTCTGTTAATGATGCTTTCATGCTGTCTAGAGCTTCGGTATACTTCTCCAAAGAGTCTAAACGATTGCGCCTCAGCAGTAACTGCTGCACATTTGCACTATTTTGTATTCTGTTGAACAAACCAGACTGTGTCTGATATAAGTGATATGGTAAGCTTTATAATAGAACAGTAGTTAGCTACATGATGGCTTTAAAGGAATTTTATTACAGGAAGAGTGAAGCTTTACCTTGTTGTACTATTTGACAAATCTAATTTTGTATAAACGGTTGAATTTCCATTATCACAGCTGCTGTTATTATGATGGAAGCCCATAGAACCAATAAAGGTCATCCTGGTCCCCCAAGAATAATGATTTGAAGTGAAGAATGTCAAAAAGAAATGCAATAAGACATTTTGATGTTTTTGACAGATATATTGTCTCAAAACAAAAATCAACAGTAGTGGAACATTTAATCACAGCTTTTCAAAAGCATAATTCAATTAGAAGACGAAACCTCCATCCCAAAACAGAGACAAACTGTGAGACTCAAAAACCAAATTACCGACAGGAAATTTTTTAAAAAGTCAAAATACTTTTATACTGAAAGTGACAGAAGGACTATGAGTGATAGCGTCGAGAAACGCCTAGAGACAATAGAGTAGATACCTTTAACCGCCATTATGGGTATGAGTCGTAATTTTATAGCCGTGAAAACCGATAATATTATGGAGGATATAGTTACGCAGAAGCTGGTTATTTTATACTACATCTAGCAAACAACGAAGACGGCTACCAACCATGTCCATATTATTCCAGAACAAAACAAATTAAAAAAAAAAGTCTAAATATAATAAATAGAAGAAAGAAAGCTTCCTACAAACGTGGACGTGTAGATGTTGGCCCACCAACAATCTGTTAAGAATATGACAAAATAGAAAGCTGTATCAGCTTTTACATCGACAACTTATTTTCTTGACGAAAAGAGCTCCGGAAGCTGCTGTTAGTTTATTTGCTCGAGTAATCTATAGATTTTATAAGTGAATTTGTTCTCTACTCAAATAAAAGAAACAGAAAAGTAGAAGATGCTTCTGCTGCTTGTAAAAAAGGGCAATTTATACATGCAAACAGGGTCACAGGCAAACGATAGAACAAAATATCACTACAATCCTGTAACCCCCAAGAAACGTTCGAAAAACTCATCCCAGTTCCTTAAAGAACAACATTCGTATATGTTAAGAGTTTTCTAAGGTATCAGCATACTTAAACATTATTGGGACCGATTTATCAGTTTTTTAGTGTTGCTCATAAACTGTACAGACTACGGAATTTTGGTTCGTTCTCATCTCTATTGCATTCTATCGCTCTTTAATATCTTCGATTGCAAACTGAAGATCAATTGTATTGCATTATGCCAAAATGTTTTCCTGAGCCAAGAAGAGATACGAACTAATGTCGAAGGAAAGTCACTTATGCCGTAATTAATGTTGATTGCTCGAATAAACAACTCGTTTTCTATATATCGTTTGACAATTCAATGATAATGATGCATAACAAGGATTTAAAGTACTCTTTATCTCATATTATTCCTTCAAAATTGAATAGTTACATGCAGAAGAATCGTACGTTAGCAGAAGGATAATCACCCCTCTCCAATCCCACTAAAACAATATTTGATAAAATCAAAGATAATGTTTATTGATTTACAGTCTTGCTTTTCTTCCTATATCGAATCATCTCCGGTAATCTGTCTAGAACCAGTCGCTTAATATTTGCAAGTTGTTGGGTGTCTATATGCTTCAATAAACTCAAAGTACAGCTGTTTCTCTTCAAATCTGAAATTTATATGTGGAATACAAACATTTAGTTTTTCTCTTTAGCATATTAAACAGTAAGAATGAAAAGCGGGGGGGGGGAGAGCTTACTTGTATTTTGCTTCATGTCACATAAACATTGATCCATAGACTTGTTGTCGAAAGGGCAATGTTGAGTATTAGCATAACTATATCCTATATTGTTGAAGAAATGGATGTTGTCCTTCTGTAGAAATAGAGAGGCAGCAATAGTTCTAATAGCACCATCACTCCATCTCAATGTTATCTGTTGCATTAGTATAATTTCATTTTACAAGCCATGCTTCTCCAGATATTCTACCATTCTTAAGTATTATCTCTCTACCTTTCATAAAAAAAGCCGCCGACAAGGTCCAGATATTGAAAAAATTTGCTATACTGTTCTGATTTCAAAAAATCTAAATTTACCATTTCAAATGCAGTAGAGAAGTGACAAAAATTATATTGCACTGTTTCATTATAAGAATTGAATAGCCATGGGTGAATGGTTTCATGAGCAGGCAAAATGAAAGAAGAATTCAAAAAAGAACTTTGCTGTTGCTGGCTGATAAAATTCTCTGTAGCAGGCCATAAACTGAAGCCACTTGCTGGATCATCCTTCGTAGTAATAGTGAATCCTAATTGTAAAGAGTGCATCGCCTAAAGCTTAGTATTATCCTAACTATTTTCAAGTATCCCTGATACATCATAGCTATTATGAACTGCATACCTAGCTTCTTGTTTTTCTTCTTCATGGTTTCGAAAGGATCTGTTGTGATATCGCACGGAAAAGATGCTCCTGGCTCCAACCGTAAGACATATTCTACATTGTCGAATAAAGGATGATAGAAAAACAGACCTGTCTGATATCTCATTTTTTGCTTCTTCGTAAGACTATCAACATTTTTAAGGCTTTGCTGGGCTAAAATCTGCTTCATAATTCCCTCTTCTGTTCTTGTAGTATCTATCCACTCTGGAGAGGACCATGCTTCCAAATCAATTTGACCAAAAAACACTCTTCTTCCCTTAAACTCATCAGATGGTATCATACTGCTTACATATTTCTTAAAATCAGGTGTGAATTTTTGAGCGCTTAAAAATACCCAGGGATAAGTATTGTTCCTGACGTTGGTTGTTGCTTTCATGCGATCTAAAAACTCCCGCATAGTTAGCCGCACCTTTGGCAAATCCTCATTTCTAACCAGCAAATACACAACGCCACGTGCTGGTAACTCTGTCCAAGTGTCACCGGGGATCTCTGTGTCAAAGTCATAAGGATCATCCAAATGCCGGTAAAGATGATTTTCTACCTGTTTCTTTTCTGTTATTTGCTGATTGTATTGCAGAGAAAGGCTTTTATATCTATTCTTGTATTTCAATGAAGACAGAAATGCTTGGTGTTGTTGCTGTTGAAAAGGTATATCAATTGGTTCTAAATCGGGAATGAAGCTGTTATAAAATGAAGTGGAAGCTACTATTGTGTGGCGATAAACATATGTGATGACAAGCAAGCCACTCAAGCTCAGCATAACAACTAATCTTTTATGGAAAGGTAATTTGAGCATCAAAAGCTGGTTTAGGAGTGTAACGAGAACAATTATGAGAGAAGACAAGAAAAAAAGATACTTTATTAACAAAAAGTTTCTTTTCAAAAATGTCTGGTTGCTTTTATCAAAGAATATAATCGATATCCATTGCATCTTCTACTACTTGTCGTTCGTCTTCAAACGACATCTCATCATCGATGTTTGTACAGGACGCTGCCTCCTTCCTTTGCTGTAGGAGGATCTCCTCAGCCTCCTCATCCGTAACCTCTGTTATTGATGCCTGCCCATCTAGTTTATCCATCTCGTTCTCATACGATATATCACATCGCTGTAGATAATCTTTGGATAGTAAGGGGTTCTTCTTATATACAATCAGCTGGCCCATATTAAAATTCCTGTCTCTGATTGAGGACGGTGTAAGGCTCCTAAGAATTTCTAAATTTTCTTTCATAATAAAATTCGGTGTCGCATATTGTTTTCCTCCTCCCAAATTCTGTTCCGCAGGAAATAAAGTGCCATTGACGTCTACTAATTCCGTAACGCGCAGTTGTTGATATTGCGACATAGGTAATGACGAAGACGCAGCTGTGTCTTTTCTGCTTGATAGCGGTCCAATGGCTGTACAATTAATATTTTTTGATGCTGTCAGAGAGCTGTTTTGCTCCACGTATGATCCTGAACTGTCTCTTGCTGTTTTACGAGAAGTAAAGGGTTGTGTGCATTCGTTCGGTGGTTCAACAACTATTTGTTGGTGTTGACTAGATTCCAAATTACCAAATTTTTGATATACTGGTTTTTGCTGGAAATACGCTCGATGGCTGTAAGTTGGATTCATATGTGAACCGGAAATCAACCTCTTCTTTAAACATTGAGTACCGAAACCATCGTCAAATCCAGATGCGAACCTTGGACGTTTCCTTGTGTTGAGTGTATGGTCGTTTGGAGTCAATAAAGATAGAACTTGCATTAGGAATAGAAACAATGTTCAAGTTGCAGAAAGCAGTATAGGTACGTTAGGGCGTATTTGATTCTTAAACTTGGAATGACAGGATGAAAAAATGACCCGAAAGGAGGAAGATCGATTATTTTTCGCCAATCAAGCGCCTTTATATCAAATTCTTATTTGACAGTTTGATAGATCTATCGATCTTGCAGGAAATTGCCAGAAAAAAATTGTGAACATCCTAATTCGAAGCGAATAAGTTGCTGAGATGGAATATTTTATGTCGATTCTACGTTTAAACATAGATTTTATTACATAATATTAATTTGTATTTTTTTTTTTTTATTTTTTTTGGGTTGAAATATGACAATAGAGTTTCAACAGCAGCATGATCTTAAGGGTGTCGATGTCCTTATTCATTTTTTTGGTGTCGTTGTTGGTGTCAAGGTGAAAAGTGAGGCGACTAGCAGCAGCAATCGAAGGTAGCGGGATAAATGTTGGTAAAATTCTTGAGATAGCTCAAACACCGATCCAACGAAACACAGAAAAAATCCTTCGCTATTAGCGTATCAATGTATATCATGCATATCGATGTTGATATAGAAGCGTTTTCGGTGGTGTGATTGTTCAAGAACATCCCAGGTAGCATTCAGTCTTCTAAGGGCGCAGTTTGAAGTCGATTACGAGGCCTCCAGCATGTTTTTTCAACATCATATTCGATAAACTAAACATGTCATTGATAACTGTGAGAAGGTTAAATCAACGCTCATAAGCTCATGACACCTTAGACAAATAATATAGAGAATGTACTATTCCTTTATAGGGACAATTTATATTAATGTTTTTATTTGTTCCGTCATAGACAATGGTTTACAAAGACTTAAGCTTCGTATTGGTGTAATTGCTTCTTTGCAAATACAGAAAGCAACCACGCACTAACCAAATAATCATCATAACGCTCAAGACCAAAATACTGTAAATATCTACATTGTAGGCTTTCCACCAAAACATATCTCGTTTTACATCACGTCGATGGGGCAATTTCCCGCCAATTTGCATGAACATAACCTCTTCTGCTAAATCTGCCGCTTTTGTCACGCCATGCTTAGATCTCAGCTGCACGAGTACTTTCATACGGTCAACGTTTGCTTGAAAATATCCTCTATCGTCCCGAGCCACTCGACGAATGATACCGATTGCTTGCTCTAGTGAATGCTCCTTCGCACTCACTCGAAGACCAATACCATTCTTTTCGGCTGTTCTTGCATTACCAGGCTGGTCGCCAAAAAATGGATACACTACGATACGTGTGCCCGCATACATGGCTTCGCTGATACTGTTTGAGCCACCATGAGTGACAAAAATAGCTGTCGAAGCGTGTCTCAAGATAGCCATTTGTGGGAGCCAGTTTAGAAAACGGAAGTCTTTTGAATGAGTATTACTTTCCTTATTTGAAGAAGATATTGTTGTCGTAGTCAATGAAGACGATGCTGACAAGATAGCCCGTATATCATAAGTTGTGTTTGATCCCTGCAAAGTTATAAAATCAGGAAATTCATCTTTTAAATTACGTGTGCTCCAAATAATACCATCAATTTCTTTCGCTTCATAAGCTTCCAACAATCCAGTCAAAATCAGTTGAATGTCTTTCTTCACGCAGACAGCAGTTTGACCAAAGGCGACATAAGCGACTTTTTGATGGCGTTGTAAAAAATCTTCTAGCTCAGGTGTTAATTTTGATTGTATATTGGTGACTATGGGGCCTACCAACTCAACGAGAGGGCTCATAGGGCGTGGTGGGGTGAATCCAAAGCCAGTATTGAAAACCTTCAACGCATCAGCCCATTTTGCTTCCGGTTTCCAACTCGGTTCAAGACCAAGTGCAGTCATAAGTTTTCCTCGTTCTCTGATGTAATGACGCTGGTAATACAAAAATTGAAGAGGTTTGATGAATAAATCGTTTATGCGCTGCCATAAAGACAACTTAAGAGTGGTAGGATGCTCCTGGCTCAAGATATGATTGTTAACATAAGGAGCAGATGCGTCATCACCATATGGTATGGAAGATGTGACAACGAATGGAAGACCAAGTTTGATAGCAACCTCATTGCAAACCAGAGTGAAATGGTCGCAAATGACCAGATCAAACTTGTTGACTTCGAAAATTTTCAATAAGGCGAGATAATCTAATGATATTGGCAATTGTGAACAGTTTGGGGATTATAGCAGAAGAATTTTAATTTGCCAGTAATCCCTTTTTTTTTTTTTTCTTTACTGGCTTCACTGATCTGTTTAACCGAGATCATATTGTACCTTACCTTCAACAAAATATCGACCAATTCCTTCCAACAATTCAACATAGGCTTTTATTGGTGGCTTTGAGCGTAACTCTTTCATCACTGTATTCATTTCCTCCTTTGGAAAATAAGGAGAACCTACTGATATACCATTGATCGCCGGGTACTTTTTTCCAAACATAATATGGTCATCCTTATCGTAGATTAGGAAAAAGTGAGAAATTCCGCTTAAACAATAAAGGATAATGAAATGCGACGTAGACTTATAAGCTTACTCTTGCAATGAAGGTAGTTGAGTGTCCCCGATTATTCAATTCTTGTAAAGTTGCAAGTACCCAATTTACATGGGAGGAACCGCCCATCATTGCACAAAAGACAACACTTCTTGGCTTTCTAAAGTCTTGAATAATACTACTATGGTGATCACTGGCAACTGCATGGACATCAATTAGCAGCTGTTGTTGGTGCTGTAGCAGCTGATTTTGTGCTAAACTTCCATTGATGGGCAAAAAGATACTGAGCATTGAAATTGATAGGCATTGTAGCAATAATTTTATTCTTTTCATAACCGAAAGAGGGGCTTGTTTGAGAAAGATGAAGAAGAGAACCAAGAAGAGGAAAGAATACTCAAATTTTTGCTTTTGAGTTCTCTACGTGCATGTTTTCAAACAAATGTCTTAAATAGACATTGTGCATGGTTAAGGAGCAAACTGCAGTCATATAAAGAGTCCACTTATTTTGCTTATATTGATAAAATTATTCTAAACGTTGTTTGCAAAGTAGTTGCTTTAACAGATTCTATTGTCGTTTATACTCATGTGGGATTTGAATATACAATTTGAACTATACTTGAACTGGCTTGTTTGTTTCATTTCTAATGTAGATAGTAAACATTTCATCAGTTAGCATTTATATGTATATCACAAGGACAACAAAAAAAATGTAGATCTATCACTTGGAAATTTCACATAGTAACGACTGACAAGAAACTTTTATGCGCATGTTATTAGGACATCACACCGTAAGTTCTAATCAAGTAGTTTCCTTCCTGCAAGAGAGAGTTGCTTGTAGTTGCTTAAGTTGACTACTATTTCAAGAACGTATCTTTTCTTATTTGAATCGGATTTGTTGATCCAATATCTATTTGTTCCCCTCTTTCTTTTGTGGACAGTTATCACAAAGGCAGGTACGAGATGTAAATTTTTATTTTATTTTTTATTCGATTCATGATAAAGCACCAAATACTTATAACTGACAAAGACATTAGACTGGAGAACATCAACTTTCGAAAGACGCACCCTACTACACAATATACGTCCAACCCTCTTTTATTCTCTTCGCTTACATAATATACAAATTTACAAGGTTAAATGGGAAAAAAAAGAAACGAATTGGAAAGTCTTAAAGTTTGGCTAAAACAGCTTCAGCACCAGAAGAAGTAACACCAGGTGCCTGTTCAACACCAACATATTTCACAACCAAATCATCTACCAAGATGGCGAATCTTTTTGAGCGAATACCCATACCATTCTTAGTCAAGTCTTGAGTCAAACCCAATGCTTTAGAGAATTCAGCACTACCATCGCCAGCCATGATAACCTTGTCGCCAACCTTGAAGGCCTTAGCAAAAGCATTCATGACAAAACCATCAGTAACGGAGATACAAATGATGTCAGAAACGCCTTTTGATTTGAGAGCTTCGTGAGCGTTAATGAACCCAGGAACGTGGGTTTCTGAGCAAGCAGGAGTGAAGGGGCCTGTGAACAAATTAGAAACAGATATGTTTCTGTTAATGGCTTGTCTTTATCTGTAGACTATTAATGTAAAAACTAATTCTTACCAGGAATGGCAAAAATAACAGCCTTCTTGCCCTTCAATTTATCGTGAAGCTTTAAAGCAATGGGTCTATTGAATGCCAGCATCAAATTACTATTTCTCTTCCACTGCAAATTCGTTTTCTTGGATATAATCTTCACTTACCGAGGACAAGCCGTGATATCCTCATTAGGGTCAAAAGGGACGTATTGTAAGGTTGCGTCAGGAATCTATCGAAAATATGTTATGAGTACTTCCATATCAACGATTGCAGGATGTCAGTTCCAGGTTACTTACGATATCACCAACTTTAATAGTCTAATATACAGATAGAAAACTGATTAGAAATTTGATAATATTCGTTCATGCATCTAAAAAAAAATGATATAAACCTTTACCATTGTTTTTGCTTCTATAATTTGTGGGGTAAAAACTGAAAAGAAAAAAGACTAAAAATGCAGGCACTCTTTTTTATATGTTATAGTTTGAAAAGGATAAACTCAGCAACAACAGCAACAGCAACAGCAGTGGGTATAATTTGCGTAACACAGGCATTTGATGATGAAACATGCTATAGGGCATTTTCTGCAAATGTTCATATAGTCTGTACCGGATAACAAAACCGACTGATAATATAATGAAGCATACAACTTCCCCGCACAGATTTTTACTCACAGCTCAGCAAAAGACAGACAAAAAGCCTTTCTTTTCACTTTTGCCCTTCCCCCGTTTGTATATGTATAAAATTTCCAGGCGAACCATTTCATCACCTGTAACAGCCTCGCTCTGCTGTTCATCGACGAGACCCACCACTGCGAAACGAGCATATCACTATCCTGGCTTCTTTACATCCTTTTGGTTGAATCGCCATTACCATAATAACGATGAACCACCGACTGCAGAAAAATTGCAATCTTACCCTATAAGAACCAGCCGAGAGTTACGAACGCAAAAGATACCACCTAAACGATCTAAGATGCTGTTGCGAGATTTCGTTGATGATGCGTTGTTCAACCCTAATTACGGCTATTATTCCTCAGCAACATCACTACTGTCATCGCCTAACAAACAAAGTCAAATGGACAGAGAGAATGTGGAAGACGAACATTATATCCATTATAGAAATAGAGGAAAGGTGAGAAGGCAGCAGGAGCAACAACAACATATGCCTTTGAGATACACGTTAACAGAGCTGTTCAAGGTACGAGTTTGGAACTGGATTTAGGTGTTTGTATAATTCTCGTTTGACTTCTTGTTTTCCTCTTGAATGCTAACATCATAGTCACTGTATGGTCATGCTATCGCTAAATACATGGTAACAGAATATAAACTCAAACTTTATCCACATAAAGATTTGATTATTTATGAAATTATTGGCGGCAATGGGAGATTGATGCCTCATATTTTGGACTACATTGAGAAGTATGAACCACAAATCTACAAACGCACACAGTATACTTTGATCGAATTATCCGATAGAATTGTATCGCCAGCTTTTTTGAAGGACATTTCAACCAAACATCATCCAATGGTCACCAGCTTAAACGAGAATATATTTGATTGGAACACTTTAGTAACAGAACAATGCTTCTTTCTCGGGATGGAAGTAGTGGTAGGTTATCGTACTGAATCGCTGTAGCATTAGCTTATTGAATTGCTTAATAACCTGCTTTGCTGCCTATACGCAGAACCATTTTGCACATGACGTAGTTAAATATGATTTGGATACTTTACAATGTTATCAGGGCATGATCTGCGTGGATGAGAAGAGAAATTATTCAGAAGTGTTCACACCGCTATCCGACCCTCTCATTGCAAAGTATTTGAAAGTACAAGAAAAGGTTCTCGATTATGATGTTCAAAGTAAAAAAAGGAGATTATCTCAACTGCAGCCAAATAGCTTAGCTAGCAAGTTTTATTCATTGTTCTTCAACAGCAGTGATTCTACAGAGACAACAGTGCGCCATCATATTCACAGCGATAATCAAACCAATAATAGCAATGACCATACCAACCGAAATCTTTCGCTGCCAGAATACCTTCCTACTAAGCTGTTTGAATTTCTTCATATCCTCAGTACCTATTTCCCTAGTCACCGGCTCATTTTGACTGACTACGATAAGATTTTTACCAACCGCAGAGGTATCAATGCGCCTTTGATACAAATTCCTTTATACAATGATGACCCCTGGATTCAAACAACCATTAGCGATGATTATTTACTACCACCAGGTTGGTTTGATATACTTTTCCCCACCAACTTTGATCTATTGAAAGATATCTACTTGACCGCGTTCAATACCGGAACCAGGTTTCAAAACAATGTCAAATCAATGAACTATAGTGACTTCTTGGATAGATATCATACGTCCATCTTAACAGACAAAGACAAGAAGAATAGAAAAAAGAACAGTAAAAAGTCGCATCAACAGTTCATGCATTCATCACATATAAAGATCTTTTTGACATAAAAAAACTGTACATTTTTTTTCATATGAAAAGAAAATATTACAAATGAAGCCGGTATTGAAAAAACTGATTTCGTCTGACTAAAAGCAATGCAAAACCTTTACCCCCCCCCCACATTTATTTTTCAAATAAAAAGTCCTGACCTTTTTACCTTTTTCCCAACTTTTCTAATTGATGGTCTAATAAAATTACAATGACTTTAAACCTTTCATCCATTGAATTTCCGGTAGCTCTTCCTGGTAAAGAATGCCACTGGATGACACTGTCTCGAGAGCAGCACGGTTCCAGTATCTTGTTTTTGCTTCATTTGCATCATAAAGATAATCGCTTCACTACCGACTTCTGCAAATCCATCTTGACTGCGTTACAAATCATTGAAGATATTTTTGTCAGTGCTGAGGAGCCGTTGGAAATGGCCCTTATCACCACAGGTCAAGAAAAGATTTACAGTAATGGGCTTGATCTAATGCATGCTGTGGGATATTCACCCTTTATGGATACCTATTTACATCTCTTGAAACGATTGGTGACATTTTGTATTCCCACAGTAGCAGCGTTAAATGGGTAAAAATGAGAATATGATACTGCTGAGCTTACAAACTCAATTACACAACAGAAGTAGCATACTAATATAACCAATATAATGATATTGTATGTCTATAGTCATGCTTTTGCTGGTGGTTGTATGTTAGCTCTAGCTCATGGTAAGCATCGTCGATCTGTATGGCATTTTGGGCAATTATCTACTGTAATTCATGACTTGTCTCATTTGCTTTCGAAATAGACTACAGAGTAATGCGCTCTGATCGAGGCTTTATGTGTATGAATGAAGTCGACCTACCTTCTCCGTTAGCACCTGGCATGGCAGGTCTTTTACGTAGCAAAATGTCGCCCAAGACATTCCGTAATATGGTCTTGCAAGGTCATCGATTCACTGCTCAGGAAGCTTTGGAGCAAGACTTGGTTGATGTGATTGCTCCTCAGCATGAAGTATTACCTAAATCCAAAGAGCTAGCTTTAAAGTGGGCACCAAAAGCTAAATCAGGCATTGTTTATAAGCAATTAAAGGATGAAGTAATTTTTTCACCGAAAATTTGTATTGATCTGCTAGTAACGGCAATTGAATTAACAGCGCGCATTCTGTTTCTTTCATCCCGTACATAGATGTTTACAGACATTGTTCGATTGTTGAATATACCTTACCATAGGCTTGCTCCCAGAATGTAAATGGCCGTAAGAGAAACCTGTTGATAATCTTTTGAAGGCCAATAAAGCTGGCCATTGATTAACCATTACTTTACATTTGCACGTAAAATGATTTGAATTCATGCACTAAGTGCATGCAAAAATGAATCAATGTCTTTTTTATTACAAATATCACAAAGTATATTTTTTGATATATCATACTAGAAGTATTTGACTATTTACATTAAAAGAGAACATTTACGCGTTATACATAACACGGAGGTTATAATTGTACATACTTTGACAAATGGTGAGACTTATTTCTTAGCCATCGAGATCCTTGGAAGGCCATTCATAGTCTTCATCCGACAATCTTTCAACACCATATTTCTTGACAAACTCATCCAACTTTTCTGGGCCGCGTGTACCATGAGGGTAAGGTTCGGGCTTGATCTTTTCCTTTTCAATTTGATGTAATAAAGGTGTAAAGACACGCCAAGAAGCCTGGAGTTCATCATCACCGACAAAGTTAGCATGACGACCACGCATCACGTCCACTATCAATGCTTCATATGCCTTGGGAATCTTGAGATTGTCGTAACGCTCCTTATATGTTAAGTCTAAGTCAGTTACCAAATTGTCATCTGAATAGCCAGGATGCTTGCTGTTCAATTTCAAGTACACCGCTTCGTCAGGTTCGATATTGATAACCAACTCATTACGAGGAGTATCTTTGAACAAATCACCAGGTAATTTTTTGAATTGTATGCGAGCCTCACACTTGTAATTATCCATAGCTTTACCAGACTTGATGATGAATGGAACATTGGACCAACGCTCATTATCAATCCAAAGAACAACGGTGGCGAAGGTGGAGGTTAAACTGCCATCCTCAACGGTATCATCTTCTTGGTAAGCGGGTTTATCACCATTACGGGTATATTGACCCAAAAGGGTGTCTTCTAATTTGATGGGTTTGACAGCATTCAATAATTTGGTCTTCTCTTCAGCAACAGCTTCAGGAGATGCATCCTTGGGCCTATCCATTGCGATTAAATTGAAAACTTGCAACAAGTCTGGAGACAGCGGGAATGTGATTTAGCAACCCTTAACTCATGTGGTTATAAAACTTAAGTCGGAGGATTTTGAACACTTACGGTTTTGAATGACATCTCGTATAGCACCATATTCATCAAAGTAACCCCCGCGACCTTCGCAACCAAAAGGTTCTTTAAGAGTAATTTGTACGTTATCAATATACTTGGAGTTCCACATAGGCTCAAAGAAGGTGTTCGCAAAGCGTAGATTCATCATGTTCTTCAACAGTTCCTTTCCAAGGTAATGGTCAATCAAGTACACTTCGTTTCGGTCCCAAGTGCCATAAATATCCTTAGCGAATTGCTTATAGGTATCACTGTCCTTACCAAAAGGCTTTTCAACAATCAATGCATTATAGGCACCGTCTTGATAGACAAACTTCTTACAACGTTCAGATACAGGTACATAAACCTGAGCAGGAACAGCTAAGTAGAAAATACGATTCTTTTGGTCATCCTTAACACCGTTCTTCTTTTCTACGTCGTTTACAAAGTCGTTTAACTTTTTAAAGGAGTCATCTTCATCATACTGTCCAGAAACATAGTGGCAAATCTTCAAGAAATCTTTAACACCTTCTTCCTTCTCTGTATCAATGCTCATAGTGACACGCTTATGATATTCTTCGTCATCCATTTCAGTACGAGCATAACCAATAATTTGCGTCTTTTCAGGGAAGAACTTCTGTTGATAGAGCTTAAAGAGAGCAGGGAAAGTCTTCTTCTTTGCTAAGTCTCCAGAGGCGCCAATGATTACAATACTAACGCCTCCATTAAGGTTCTTGCGAACCTGTTCTTTGATTTTATTGATGGCAGTATCATTTCCAGTCATTTTTGTTGTACCAATTGCTAATGTCTTGATGGAATTTGTAACTCGAGACAAGAAATTCATAGAACAGAAGAAGAAGAAGAAGAAGAAAAAAAGAACGACTATTGGATTCATGCATTTTACTTTTATAATGGTCTCATGCTTTCTGAATTATGGTTACGATCTTCTTCCTTTGCCAGGTTTCGGCAGTTAAATTGGGGCTAAAAACAGAGTAATTTTGGCTTATTTCTTTCTTACATCAGTCTGTTCTCTTTCTTGAATAATTATGAACACATCGACAATCTTTCAAAAATCTTCTCATTTTTCTTATCTTTCTGTTTTTGGTAACAACCTGGTTATATTTTATTGTGCTTGATACAATAATAATAGCTTTAGACAATATATATCAATATTTTAAGGGTAATTCTCTATGCTTCCATAAGACTTAACAACACAGCCTGTGTTTCAGCAACCTACAATTACAATGTTCGTTCAGAAAAGAAAAGAAAATTAGCAAATTAATCGAGTTCTTCATGCAAGGGAGAGTGGTGTGTGGGGGTGTTGCTCTTCTTTTTTCCTTTTTTTTCGACTCACCTCTAATGCCTGTTTCACTTCCAAATGACGTCGCGCTGATTGAATCCAATCCTCAGCTAATCTCTTCGGCCAACCGGTTAGTTGATTTAACTCACGCGTCGCATATTCGAGGTTATTTCTCTTTAAATAGTAATCCGTACGGGACAGTACGGATTCTACATCGTCTCCTTGAACAAGACCTTGTTTCTTGAACATCAAATAGGACATTGCTATACTAATGATATGAGATCCAAAACCTCCGTCTTCTTCAGGCACAAGAGCGACTCGACGAATCTCATTGGCCACCTGTTCGAAGCGAGTAGATAACTCGCTCAATGAAGAAATACCTTCTTTTACTGTTTCAGGGGAAATAGCGCTTAATACTGTTTGCACTAATGTGTCATCTTTTGTATTATTTGCCAAAGCTTGCAATTCTTCAACAAACGAGCCAGTGGAACGCGTATTGCAAAAGAGTAGATCAGATAAAGTATCCAAAGTAACGTGCATGACATGATATTGACGCGACAAATCCAAATGTTGAGCATTTTGAACAGCATACGCTTCCAACGCTTTGAATCGTTGATTGACAGAATCCAGTTGGGCTAAGCGACCAGCTCTTTCTTGTTCTACCAATAATTTGACTTGGCTAACAAACCGACGTTGTAATTCTTGAGCTTGGGCTTTAAGTGCTTCTTCACGCGCTTTCTCTAATTTCCTCTTTTGAGTGTCTAGATCGTTGGCCAATTGTTGTACAAAAGTTTCTTTCATTTCCACACGTGTTTGTTCAAACTGATTTTTCAACTGAGCTTCACGAGCGACGATTGTTGCGGCTGCTTCACTTTGTGTCTTTTCTAGCATTTTTTGAGCATCTTGGTAGACTTTTTCCAAGCTACCTTGTAACTTATCGCCTTGCTTATTAAGGTCGTGCAAAGACTGGAGAATGCTATGTTGTTCCTTATCTGCATGTACAATACGTTGATTAAGTTGTTCAATTTTTGATTCAGCATCTGCAATGACAGTTCGTCCCAACCCTGATAATCCAGCATCATTGAGAATATTGGCCAATTCCGTAACAATTTGTGCCAACTCACGAACAACGGTGCTATCAGATTGAAAAGTTTTTACAATAATGGGCTCTGGCTTTTCGAGAGAAACATTTACAAGCGCTGGTTGGTTTGGCTTGTCACTAGTAACTTTTGTCATAGCAACTGTGTTGGTAGGAGTGATACTGGCGTTGGTAGTCGTGTCACCAAGAGGAGAAGGTGAGGGTGACGGCGGGACAGAAATAGTTTTCGTTGAAGATGAAGATGAAGGTGCTTTTTCGTCAAACACAATTTGGTTTGCAGCGACTATATTGTTATTAGCTAATTTCTTTCTATTGGAATCTACTGCTGCTGGTTGCTGTTGACTTGTCAAACTTGAATACATATCCTTAGCATGCTGTACCCAATCATCAGTTGTATCCTTAATCTTCGTTTTGGCTGCGTCGGCGTAATCCTCAGCATGTTGCGTCCAAGTCTTATCTGTATTCTTCTTTTGTTGAATATTTCCTTCAATAAAGTCTAATGTCTGTGCTCCGCCAGGAACGTGTGTTGTGAAAAAGGGGCGGAAATCAGGTATATTCAAAGCACAAACAGCAGCAGCACCATATACTGTACCTGCAGCCAGTGACAGTGTTATTATAGGTTTGAAAAGTGAGATTTTTCTTTTTTCTACTTGTTGTTCGGCGTGTGTAGCAGCTGTACTCTCACAACGCTAAATGAACCGAAATTGCCTTACCATGTTTAGTATGTCGCAATAAATCTCAAAAAGCTGATCTGATTGTTACCTTAATAATAGCAGTTTTTACAAATTGCGAATGATTAGCCGTAGATAGATTTAGACGAATAACTCCATTGCTATTTAATTTTGTTGCTCTCAACATTGTTCTAGGTTTTGAAAATGAGTTCAGTGTTGACTATTGCTTGAGATCTTCTGAATGACTTTACCAATAAATTGTGTCGTTTATTTTGAACAGAAAGGCCGTATACCTGAAAGAAAGGGATTATATTATGTAGAGGAAATCAAACAAGCTTAAATAGGTAAAGATATTAGAAAGAGGTAGACACAGTGGCAGAAATCTATGTTTTGAACTTCCAATATCCTATTCTTGTTCTGAACCCTCTAATTGAAAGATGGAGAGGGGGCTGTTTGAATTTCAATGTCAGTTGTTGCTATTTTGCGGGGTGTGACGCATCGGGGACTGATCAACCATCAAGGCATCCAGCCTCATTCTTAGCACCTTCGGGAAAATAAGAAATTCAAATATGTCTGGGTGATAACTTTCTCAATTAACGAATAGTCAATTTATTATTTTACTGATGCCTGAGCTACATCAAAAAGCCCTTTATGAACATTACTACCATTTTATCTTGCTGAAAATAGTAGGCGCAGAATCTGCCTTTGGATTATATTCCCTTGCCTTTGCTTTAATTCCTTCCATGATATTCTTTAACTCTGCCTTCTCCAAATCATCCCTCTTACTCAACACTGTTTCCACAAAGGCTAAAGGAACATCAGGGTAGGCCTGTCGCAAAGTATAATAATCCACAAACACCATACGTCGATTGCTTTTAAGTAAATTATGCACTTTCTCAATTACATCAAACCGTTCTTCCATCTCCTCCGCTGATGTATACTTTGCAAAGAAATTGAATGAAAGACGTACATCAGCTTGAATACGGTCTAAACATGAATCCATGTTGAATTTGGCTTGCTTATGTCGCATTGCTTCTAAATACATCGTCAAAAATCGGTCCAAAATATCATGGATCAGCTTATCGAATATGAACTGATTCAGGTGCACAAAGTCGTTGCAATAGTCTTTGAACGTCTCTATCACAGAGGGCATGAGTGGCTGCTCGTACCAGCGGACAGTAAATAGATCAGCAAAAACAGGTTTGATATCATTAAAGGTCACTTCAAGAAGGGCCTCACGACAACTAGCAGCGATCTGCAAATAGCCGTCAATGGCAGTAGAAAGCTTATCTTCCACTTGTGCTTTGTAATTTGCGTCCACAATGGGCGGCACGCGAATCAAAATATCATTGGCAAAATCAGAGCATTTGATTTGATCGTTGGCAAGAGCCATTACATATTCGACAAAGCCAACCGACACATCTTCGGGCTGCTCAAGCTGCTTTGTAAGCTCCGTGGCCAATAACTTCTTCCAAAAGCTTTGAGAATCTTTCATCACTTTATGACACTCGTTGACAACAAGATAAAGGAGTTTTCCCTGATTAGCCTCGGCTGCCACGTCAATTTGTTGATTGATGATTTGAAAGAGATCTACCGCACCTGATAGACCGTATTGTCCATCTTGTGATATTTCGGGTGGTTCGTCTCTCGTGACAAACGCTTTTGATTCTGATTGCATCAAATTGGAAGTCCATTCTACTAATTTGCGTCGTACTAATTTCAGATATTCGTCGACCAAAGATTGTTCCTGTCCATCTAGCAATTGTGGTTCTAATAGTTCTTCTGTCACACCTAAACGTGTGCTCATGACGCTGTAATAATCCCTTAAAAACCTCAGAAGGCGCAAAATAGTACCTGCGTCTAGATCTTGTTGTACTATTTGATTCAATAAATCGTATGTATGCCGATGATATTCCAACACAAAATAGGGATAGATTTTATACTTTTTTGGGAAGCGAGGTACAACATGATCATAGACAATTTCCAGTTCGTCATAAATGAACTCAGTAGCATCCAACACACCTTGCCAATCTTCCTTTTCTTTAAATGGCTGGAAAACTTGTTCAAAACGTTCGCGTAATGATTCGTGCAATTGTTCAAAAAACTCCACTCTGTAAGATTTGATCGTACGAGGATTACCCTCTGCTAGTCTCCATTTCTTTAGATTGCTATTGCTTACAGTATCTTTTTGTTGAGATAGTAATAAATCCTGGTGGTGGTTTGATTGTGCCTGCCGTGCTGCTAAAGCTTTCGCATCCGCTGCTTCCTCGCATTCAATGATTTTCACCAACTTGACAATTGTAGAGCCACAGTTGTTTTCGACTAGAGGAATTATGTTTCTCGCCAATTGCCATAAATGTTGTGTAAAGTCATCGGATAACACATCCACGCGTCGAAAGTAAGTTTTGAGTGTAATCATTACATCGTGAGGCGAATCACGTGCTTGATGCATAGTTTTGTCTCGAAACTCCTCTAGTTTAAATAGGTGGTAATGTACATGGAGAAGCATCTCGTGCGCTGGACTGAACACATCATTTTGCATAGGGGCGAAAGCCTCTTCTAGTTCATCCAGCTGTTGATATAATTTTTGGAAGGCTCTGACTTTAGCTTCTGTGGCTACAAAATTTTGATGAACTTGAGATATCTAAAGGGCGTATTGAATTTTAAGACTTCAAAGCTCCTTTAAATTTGTTTTTTTTTTTTTTTCATTTATAAAACTCTCAAATGAATCTTTATCTATACCATGTTGATTCGAGGAAAGTCTTTAATCATTGATTGTGCATCATAACATAGTTTATCAATAGTTCTCATGTTCTCTTTCACACGATCGATGTTTCGATTGGACATGCTGAGGGTATCTAGACTTTCCTGTACATGGTCAAGCTGTGATTGAACACCAGTATTGAGCTGAGCATCGATGGAAGCCTTCTCTTTGGTTAATTTGCGAGTGAGAGGCCCTAATTTTGAATTGAGATCATCGGGATGTTTCAACAGTTCTGCGAGCTTACTAAGAGCATTTTCTCTAGCATCTTCCATTCTGAATGAGTTTTAATATATTATAGAATAAATTGAGGATAGAAGATAGCTTGCTACTGCTTCTCCACTGTTTTTCTTTGAGCAACTGCTACGTACAAAAGTATTTAATTCCCGCACAGAAGGGGAGTTTATGAGTGGAAAAAGCATGAATGTATCTGCTGTGGAAAAATGCGGGGCCCAAATCCAGGGGAGATCACTTTATGCAACTGGATTAGTGTGGGTTGTTGTTTAGTTTTTTTTTTGTCAAATTCAAACTGTAACTTTGCACGAACCTTTGAAACCAACTATTAACAATATGATCTTATGTGATAAGACGTCCATATGAAGTGGAATCATTGCTAAACGTATCTATCTTTTCTTATATTTGGTTCAAAGCGAAGAATTGCTAAGCAAATAGCCAGTCCTCGAAAGCGATTATTTTTCTTTAAAACAGATAAGATGATAGACATAAATGTCATACTTTTTTTTCTAACTATGCTGTAACTTCTTTAATTATGTGTTCGTAAGAATTAAGATGGAGGATGTTTGGCGAGTACTAGAGAATCTAAAAATTGGAAGCATGCTTTATGACAGCAGTGTGTATTTTGACTCTTCCTCGTACTATAAACAAACATACTTTGCTTGTATACTAATCTATAGCTATTAGTCATTATTATCGAAAGTGGTGTGATTATGAGGATACAGTAAGAGAATGGATGTAAAAATTACTCCACATTTTGCCTGTATTTGCAATCTACACATCTTAAAATCCGCTATGAAATATTGATCACTACTTGATATGGACTCAGCTTTTGTTTAAGTCTTACTAAACCTGAAGAATGTTATTTGCAATCCATTATGATTATGTATGCTCAATGAAAACTCCCTTTCATAATTTGAAAACGCACTTAAATGCGCATGCTTCAAACATGAAGTTTATTTCTTAACCCCTATTTATCGTTTTTTACATCAACATTCTTTTTTTTTATTTTTCTTCTCTTACTGAACGAAGCATTGTAAATATAACTCTTTTCAGAAGCAAAAATAATAGAAATCGTTCAATGGATGCAATAGTGAAGCCATTACCACCTTTTTATAGCAGCAATGCCAGTAGCGAAGTTTCGGACGATAATGTTTCTTCTGCATCTTCGTCGGAAGAGGGCACTGTCATTAACACACCAAGAAACAGTGAAATTATCTTCTCTGCTACTGTCAAGAGGCGTGCTTCTTCATTTTCAACAACGTCCAAGGGTAGCATTTGCAACAATAAGAAGCGCCTTACACCACCTCCACCTCTACAATTATTGAAAAGAGCAAAGAGCTACAGCCACAATAATAGCAATAATTTGATACCGCCTGTTCCTTCGTTGCCTACAACTACCAATATAGTATCATTAGAAAGAAAGATCGAAGAATTAGAACAAGAATTAAGTAAACGCATACAAAGAGAATCAGAACTAATTAGTCAAATATGGATTTTGAATCAACATGGTTACGATAATAACGCGCACAAAACAGCATATCAACGAATGAGCCTAAGCATAGAACAGTTTTTAAATAGGAGAGAAAAGTCGAATGCGGCAGTTGTCGAGAAGCGAAATAACACCATTGGTACTAATACTAACGCAACTGCCATTGTATGGTTGTATCGCATTAAAGATACTATTGGACGGTATAAGAAAGCAAATAATAGTGCTGAATCTACTAGTAAAGAGCTTTTAAGAGACATAGAGACTTTAATTGAAGCATGGCAGCTGTACAATGGTAGTGATAGCAAAAGCTTTCCTACAACAGCAGCTGTGTGTGACAAACAGGTGATAATAGCACTCGCCGATGCACTTGAAAAGAGTCAAACTCAAAATAATACCATTGAAACTCACCATCAATCGCTGGTCTACCATTATCAGTCCGAGCTAAGTAGTGTTACGGAACTGTACAAACAGCAGATAAGCACCTATAAAATGCAATTGCTAGATTGCCAAGAACAAAAGGAAGAGCTAGAGCAAACTTTAGATATGGTGAGAAAGGAAATGCAAATGATGCTCGAGGAATTAGAAGATATTAAACAGCAAAGGATACGGTATAAGGCACAGGCCAGTCGACTTAAAGCAAGCCTAGATGCTGTACATAAGGAAAGTAATAGGCATACTAGCAACAACAATAACAGCAGTAGTATCGAAAAAATAGTTGATGGAAACGTAGCAGATCAGAAAAAAAGTATAGACGCTTTACGTGCATTACATCAAGATGCGGAAAGACAAGCTGTCGATTTGACTCGTGAAAATAAGCGGCAAGCATTGACAATAGCCAGTCTTCGAGGTGAAATTAAAAGGGCAGCTGAAGCGAGATATAAGATATTTGTTGATTCAAGAAAAACAAGGAATAACGAGTGCTGCTGTCAAAAAGAAGGATTATACAATAATGATAGTACAAAAAATACAAAAGCAGATGAACTGCATGCTTTGCAGATCGCTTGCCGAGCAGCAGAATCAAATGCCACTATCCAACGCACACGCGTAAAACAATTAGAGCAGCAACAAGCGACGATTAATAAGGATCTTCAGGCACATCTTCAAAGAATTGTCCAATGGTTGCATCAGCGGCAGCAACGTCAGTGTATTTGTGTTGAGAAATGCCACACGTTTCAAGAGATAGCAGAGCGAATAGAATTGGAGCAAAGGCTATGGAAAAGCAATAGTAAAAAAGAAATGCAGAAGAAGTTCGATATCGATTTACTTCACGTTCATCGAGACTTAAGGCAGGCTATTTCCAGAATTAGTGGCTTAGAGGAAGAGATTGATACTCTTCAATTACGGCATGAGCAAGAGTTAATACAGTCGATATACGAATCACGACTACATCACGACAGACGACTCCATAGATTGATAACAAACCATAACAGAAAAGAACTTGCCTTAGAGAAAAACTTGGAAGTTTCCAACCAAAAAAATAAGACTTTGCAAAACGAACTATTGATTTTACAGAGTCATAATATGATGATGGCACAACAACTAGTAAAATTGACTGCCTAAAAGAAATCATTTAATTATAGTATATATTAAGATCAATACTGAAGAGCAATAATATATACTTAAAAATAAATATAAACACTTTGATAAGCATATATATACCTGCCACTAGTGTAAAACTTTATGTTTTATACCTCTTTTTCTTCAACACTGTAACTGCTACCATGCCACGAACAATTCAAAAAAAGACCACTATCAAGCCATCAATCAAAGGTGATATGCAGACGAGCAATAACACAGTACATATTTACAAACATAAACATATGCTCAGTAACAATTACCGAAGCCCTACTTCTCCTCATGACCAGGCCATTCAGCTCCAACCCTACCCTCCGTGTCCCGATAAACATCATCAGCTGCATATTATTGAAAAAGACAAAGATAATAGCAGTGGTATTGCTAGAAGCCCGCGTCAGAAATATCATTTAGTCGGTGAAGGCCTTTCACCTTATCTTTTGAATGCTGCTACCGAAACCAACAATATCCCGCCAGAACACTTCGGTTATCATAGTATTCAATTGATGACAAAAAATTACTGCTTCTTTCACAACACTTACTATATAATGAGCTGGTGTCCTGTTTGCAAATTCACTATTTAAGTTAATAACAGCTGTGTTTATTCTCTTGTTATTCCAACAGCATAATGTTTAAGTCCCCAGACTTTGATAATAAAGGATAGAGTAAGATTATTATTTTTTTCTTTTTTTTCATTTAAGAGCATTTTAATCTAAACTGTACCTGGAACAAACCAAACTTTTCTTTTATTGTTCTTTTGAATTTCCTTTTAAAGTTTAGTATCCAGGTGAAATAATCTTCCATTTCATTTGACAACTCCACTTTAACCCTGTATTACATTTTTAAAGCTGCTTCTTATTGCTCATTATGCTGTCATAGTTGGGCTTTTCAACAAGTTTTGCTTTTATTTTATTGACACAGTTTTTGATATACTTTTTTCAATTTTAATCTGCAACATTTACATTCAGGATGAACAGCATTTCGAAAGGACTTTGTAGGCGATTGGCTTTCAAGAGATCTTTCTCTTCTGAGGTTGAATTGTCCGCAACGCCCAGGGTAAGGAATACAAGGAAAGTGAATAGTTTCGTAGTTGGCGCCTTCGCAGCGACTGTTGCTGTTGGATGTCTTTACTATAATTCTCAAACCAGCGGGCGTGCTGTGGGTAACGATAAGCTTGATGATAAACGATATGTGCCGCTCAAGTTGATCAAAAAAGAGCAAATCTCGCCCGATAGCTATTTATTGAGAATCAACATACAAAAAGAAGATGATAAGCCGTACCCTATACCTTCTGCTGTATTTATAAAAGACGATTCCATCCAGATTATGCGACCTTATACGCCCATCAATCCGAATCCATACAAAGATGGCTATTTGGACTTGGTAGTTAAGAAATATGATGATGGATCTGTTTCGCGTACTTTGACAGCCTTAAAACCAGATGACAACCAGCCTATATTTGTAAGAGGTCCTATGAAAGAGGAAGAATATGATTATAAACCCCACAGTCTGGATCAGATTGGAATGGTACATTTTATTACATACTGTGTATTGCAGCTTTTCTGTTGACCTATAGACTTACATTCTTCTGAAATCAATATAGATTGCGGGCGGTACTGGCATTTCCCCTATGTATCAACTCATTTGCCATATTTTACAGAACCCAAATGATAAACAAACTAAAATATGGCTAATCTATGGCAATAAGTCTGAGAAGGACATTTTGCTGCAGAACGAATTGGATGAACTGGCCAAGACTTACAGTGATCGCTTCAAAGTGAAATACATCTTGGATCAGCCTCCACCTTCATCTGATGAAACTACTGCTTATGAAAAGGGATACGTGACGAAGGAAATGATACAAAAAATGCTAAAAGTTTATGGCAACGAAGACAATAATAATGCTGCCAGCAGCAACAGATTAAAGATCTTTGTTTGCGGGCCTAATGCTATGCTAGCCAAAGTTTGCGGTGAACGAGCACAAGATAATAGCCAAGGGCAAGTGCGTGGTATTTTGGCAGAATTAGGTCTTTCTAAAAATGAAGTTTTCAAATTTCAATGAGATAATAAAGCAATTGATTATTTGATATATTTTCTAATGCTATGTATGATGGAACCTGAGTATTCAAACGAACATGCAAGGATCAATGCTAGCCATAGAAATGCTTACCGTCCAAATAAGTATCAAAAGAATATTCTTTGGTAACTATGGGTTTATCCATGCTAAATTGATAGCCTAGTAAAACTTTAATTGTGCCTGAAGTTGAATAGTTGATATTGGGCTTACAATGTTTTATGCTTTCTTGGTGCTGTACTTTCCTTTCCATGAAGCCTAATCGTCAATTTGAAAATGGAAATTGGGAGTTGTAGTGGACTAAGTTGAGTAGCGAGACTGTAATAAGCGATGTTTCGGAGAAAGTGCATTCAAACCGTAATAAGAGTAGGGAAATACACATAATGTAATTTTGATGAATATTTTTGCTACGTGATTATTAATTATTCTCTGAAAACAGGGAAGAAAAATAGACGTTTATAGACTCAATTATTATTGACTGTACTCAGAAAGTCCAACACAATACAAGTGTGCAAAAAAAATAAAAAAATACATGATTATCTGTGCATTGTTAGGTTAGTACGAAAAAGGAAACAGTCCCTAAAAAACAATTCATACTCTATTAAAAGATAGACATTATGCCACTGATATTTTCGCGGCAGTAACGCAAAGTGCAACTCTGCTTTCAGTTCATGTTTGAGTTGCAAATATAGGTTTTGCAACCCTGCATCTGCAAAAAAAGAAAAAGAAAATGCAAATCTGTGAAATGTTTGTGCAACAAGCAGAAAGATTTTGACAGATGGATGAAAAGGAGGAGATTAAAAGAAGATCTGCATGCCAAAATCAAGGTACAGGTGCAATACCCTTGCTCGATCCTTCCTCTTTGTTTCTGCCAAGACAACAGCAGCATAGCCTCAATAACAATGACAATTGGCAATTTAACACGTTTACCTAGTATTCGTGATTTGATCAAGTTATATAATCTTTCTGCCAAGTCTCAGTTAAGTCAAAATTTCATTTTAGACAAGAATATTACTGGTAAAGATAGGATATCTGTAGTGACAGTCATGGTGGAGGGCTCACTCTTTCATTTTGCCTCCGTAGACAAAATAGTAAAGACGACATCCATATCAGCAAGGATGACACCGTTTGTTGTAGAAATCGGACCGGGTCCAGGATTACTGTCCCGATCGATTTTAGATGCAGGCGTGAAGCGACTCATTGCCATCGAGAAAGATGAACGATTCATACCGACATTGCAGGTAAGCAACAGCCGCAGAATTACTTTCAATCCAATTTGCGCAACTGAATGAAAAATATATGATAGCAACTATCGGAAGTGTCTGGTAACCGACTCCAAGTGATTCAAGGCGATGCTTTGCATATAGACTACAGCCATATTGTCCAATCAAACATGTTGAGTATTGACCAGCAACAACAACAACAACATCGACCGAAACAAGAGCCTTGTGAAACAACGTTAGAACAACAACATGGCTATATTATGGGCAATTTACCATTTAATATTGCTTCACCCTTATTGTTAAAGTTCTTGAACCAACAAGTCAATCGGCAGGGTCTGTTTGGATTGGGCCTTGATGTGTGCATGAATTTGATGTTTCAAAAAGAAGTAGGCGACGTACGTACATAGCAAGCTATTTTATGGTTGAATAATATGTATGTGTTTTGACTCCTTTCATTTTACTTCTTTGTATAGCGCATCACAGCTGACGTATCTACCTCAAAACGCGGTCGACTATCCGTCATGGCACAAAGTGTTTGTAATGTAAAAACAGTGTATAAAGTACCTGCAACAGTTTTTGTACCTAAACCAAAAGTCGATGCATCAGTCATACAATTTGTGCCGAAGAGTAATTTATCAATTGATTCAACAACCTATTTGACATTAGAGAATGTCCTTAGATATTACTTTACAAAGAGAAGAAAGACAATGGGTCATTTAACACAACGGTTACGAAAAGAGTGTCCAGGTCAATTTACACCTGAATTATTACAAAAGATGGAAACCATCATTGATTTCAAAGCGAGACCTGAAGACGTAACAACAGAACGATTTTGTTATTTGTCAAAATTATTGAAAGACCATGAAATCGTGCAGCTTCCTTTGATTTAAAGGTTTTGTTGGAAGTATTAGCAAACATGGTCAAAAGAAAAGAAGAGGAAGCTAAAAGAAGCAGCAAGCTATAAAAGACAAAGGACATAATTTCAACTTTGACCTAAACATCACGACGACTTTGCTTCAAAGGAGAACCTGGTGGATCGTTATTCCATAAAGAACAGGCCTTTGCTCAAAGTAACAATATTCAATGCGTCAGCGCTAATCTCTTTAGGATGCCACATATATTAAAGACAACTTCATGACCAATTCCTGAACTCTGCGATTTTTATCAAGTTATCTATCGATCACGAATATTACACTAAAATAGGAACAGTATTCTTCAAATATGCTGGTCATTGTTCAAATAACCCCACCACATCTGTCTCAATTTCCTTTAATTTTTAAACAAGATTGAGGCATTTAAAAAGTGATTGTTATGATCATGCATGCATGAAGTATCTACCTTCGTTTGTCCACATAAAAAAAAAAAAAAAAAAAAAAAGGAAACCAATCACAACATCATTTTGCATCACATTCCTTCATATAATGGTATTTGTTAGATATCTAAAAATATTTGTTCGTTTTGCTTTTGGGAATTTCAACTGATTGTGACACCTGTTAAAAAGTCTCGATGAACTACACTAATTTATTTAGGATACATTAAAAAGGTTTATAGACACCCGCAAAGCGTTCTAAGCCCGATTGACGAGCTTATGTTCGTCTGAATTAGCTTCAAACCTAAATTTTCAAACAGTGTTTTTTGAAAGAGCCAAAGTTAAACTTTATATATAGCGAATAAGTATGCTTTTCTTTTGAAAAAGTCTCTTAATTCAGATAGCTGTTTCTTTGGGCAATGTCCATCGAAATAACTACAAGGTCTTACCACAGCAATTCAATTTGATATTTGAAATGAATACTGTTCTTCAAGTACGTATAATGTCGCAAAACTGATGCCTGCATATTATGTGGAGCCCCTTTTTTTAAATGTCTCTACTTATTTTCTTTTGTCCATTGTTTGTTTTTCGAGAAGCGTCAGATACCAACACCAATTTATGCAGTGTAACAAGCTGCTCCTTCACCTAAAAGCAAAGAGAGTTGACGAAAAAAAAAGTTGGCTTTAATAAGGTTTATGCTGACTTATCACCTTTTGATAAGGAATGAAGTAAGCATTCCATATATGTATACATATATAAAAAAACCATCAACACAAAAGCCATCTCTTACTATAGCTCGCTAATTGTATAGATGTATTGTAAAAAGCGCATGATTGTCTACTCCCTAATTCAAAAGAAAAATTTTTTTTTCTTATTCTTCAAGTATAAATAGACGCGCATTTCAGTACCTTCCTTTGCTTTTTCTTCACTGCAGTTCAAGAAAGCGAAGACCCTCTAAACGCGTTTGTTATCGTGATGATGATACGATGCTTTTGTCCTTTTGTGCTCGCTCAAAAACGGACACCTCCCCTGTCGTCTTACTTTCGTGCACAATGTAAGAGATGATGCGTTTCCCCTTTCACCGCTTACAAAATAAAGGATCTATAAGGCAGCCCATTCTTTTATCGTTATACTACACTTGATCGCCTATCGTGATGATGATACGATGCTTTTCTGGTTTGGATCCATGTTGGAGGTGCACTTCGTCCATATAGATCATAGCTTAAAATCAGATGGCGCCTTGTCGATTCAACTGCTCCTCGAATCGATGCTCTTTTTTCGGGGACTTTTTCTGGCCTTGAGAACATAGGCATTGCAAAAAAGAAACAAATCCCTCAAATCCAGGTAAAGATCGTTCCATATCCCACTATTAAGCAAATAGTAAGTACGCGGCTCTTTTCTGTTCTTTATATAGATGTGCGCGCGCGTTCCAATGATGATCATCATGATGGCCGGTTTATGAGCTCCAAGGGGTACCCCCACCTTCCTTTTGGGATCAGATGGCTTCTTACCTTCCCGTGGTTGGTCCTGTGTCAAGGTTATCGTTTACAAGAACCCCTCGAGAAACCAAACAGAAGCCTTTATCGATTTTTATCCTTCTGTCACAATTTTTACCTTTCTATCAAACGTACGAAGAGCCACTTCAGAAATCAAACTACAAGTCTTTATCTATTTTTACCTTTCTATCAAACCTACGAAAAGCCGCTTCAGAAATCAAACTACAAGTCTTATCTATTTTTACCTTTCCTATCATCCGTTTGAAGAATAAATGAAAACGAAACTTCGTACTTGGCTCGTCCTTTTTTTGGCCAAAATATTCCATGCTTATTATAATTTTCAGTTTATCTATAAGTAATTATGACTTCTTTCAAAAAAACATCTCTGAACTGGTCAAAAGTAACTTTATGAACTATCGTAGACTAAGTTTAGCCAAACTTCTTCACTGAGAACTTTAGCATTTTACGTTTTATTAACTGATATAACTTGGTTGGCAAATTAGCTTGTCATTCTACATTCGTTTTGGAAGCGTTAACATTAAGATATTTACTGCTTTTCAATATGTAGGAAGCAGACCTATTTGGAATGTGTTTAAAACTCGAAATACAACTCTGCGTTGAAGCGACTGAGCAACAAGTGATGAGCTTCAGGAACAGATTATTTGGTTTCCCCGCTTCATGAAAAAAAGCATTATCCAATGAACGGAGTTGCGATATAACAAAATGCATTTGTATAAAGTCAAAGGTAGCCACTTCGCTCTTTTACAATCTTTCTTTCCGTCACATAAACAGTTCAAATTCATGTTTCCGCTTCTTTTCCTCAACTAAATGAGCTATTCCTTTTCATTGCCAACTACAGGAGCTGTATCGTTTGTAGATTATGTTGATAGTACAAATTCATCGGTCTCAACTAAAATCGCTGATGCCACTGCACAAAGAGGGCGTTTACGAGCCGTATTGAAGGGAATGAAAAAAGAAACACATTCAGAACGAGACTATCAGCTACTTATAAACGTAAGAGAAAGAGGATGGAAAACAGACAAAGGAAAAAAAAAAACTCTTCAGATCTAATTATAAGGCACATTAACCATGTTGACGTTGTTCTTCCTCATCTGAATTCACATTGAAATTGAACAGACCATTGAAGAATATCTGCCCTATTTAATTGGACTTGTCAACTGTATTGAAAGTAAAGAAGTGGCATTGAAAAAAGATATCGAAACATCCTGGAGATCTACTCTGAGCGATCACATTATACACACTGGCAGTAACGCACCGCGTATCACTTGCAAAGATATCCAATATGAATTGATTTTCGTCCTGATGACATACGCTTATGCTTGTACGTTAAAAGCAAACGAAATTCTCAGAATCAGTAGTAGTCCTTATGATCATCATCATGGTGTCAACGGTGATGGTACCAGCACCAGCAATAATAGCCATTCCAGCGCTGTTAATGCAGATACGTATAATAAAGCCACCAATTTATTGAATACAGCTGCTGGTGTATTTCATACAGTAGCAAATGACGTGATACCCACTTGGCAACCCAACGGCAGCAACAGCAATAACAGCAAAGACAGCGATAATAGTAGCAGCAGTAGTAGTAGCATCAGTAGTAATAGCAGCAAGCCGGTAGAGACAAATCGAGAATTCGCAATCGCATTATCAAAGTAAATTAATCTTTTTGCTCAATAACACTATGATGCAATTGCTTTAACTAACAAGTCAACATTTTTGTTGTGTTCGAAATACTTAAGAATGACTTTAGCGGATGCACAAGCAGTGGCTATAAGTAAAGCATTAGTAACTAGCAATATATCGAAATCATTGACAGCAAAGTTATATATGGGAGTAGTGGATCAATATGAGATGGCATTTGGCTTAATCAATTCCATTCCTTCTGGCACTCAGGAAGTGACGACAGACCTGAAAAAATATTTGTCAGATGGAACATTATATTATAAAGCAATGGCAAAGAAATATTTGGCTATGGATGCAAATCACCATCAGTAAGTAGTCAATGGCAAAAGTTTAAAGGATAGGCTCTTAATGCTTTGAATAATAACGCTTTTCATTTCAGAAAAATGGGTCAAGCATGCGGCTTTGCAAGAGATGCTAAAGCAGAATTGAAATCATTACAACAGCATTCTATCACAAAAGCAGCTGCTCATAAATTGAAAAAGTTATCTTCTTCAGGCACAGCAACAACAATCGCTGTGGCAATGAAAGCAGCAAAAGAAGAAGAAATCGTCGCAGATATGCTTTCTCAATATCAAATGATCAACGATAAAGTGTCTTACGAACCCGTTCCTTCTCGCCAAGAATTGCAAACGTTGATACCTGGAGGAAGAAATTTATTGGAATTAAAACATTTTGCTTTACCGGAACCCATGTTTGGTCCTTCAGTGAAAAAAGAAGAAAAAACTTACTTACTGGAAGGTCGTTATTTCTAATCAACAAAATTACAATTCATCTATACCTATACCTGCGTTTCTGCCCATATCAACCAATGGATCATCGTCTGCCTATCGAATAGTTTGCCCCGTCATCTCTTATCTTCTACAATTGTTACTTGCTCCTTTATGCAAGTCTATTTTATGTCTTGATCATTTCTCCCTTCCCTCAGCATCTTTCCTTTTGGGAGCACCTAGTAGGACGACTAACTGCCCGAAAAATGGGAAAAGCCCGCAATGAACACACAACCATTACATAATGTGTATGGTCTCACAAATAAACGTTTAAATGAAAATCACCGAAAATCACTTTTTTTCTTTCCATTCATTTCCTCTCTGCCTCCATTGTTTTCCGCTTATGTGTTTGTAACAATCAGCCCATGTCAAATTACCAACAAAAAGTCAATGAATTATTGGAATGCTGTCAGAATGAATGGGTTACCTTAGAGCAACTAGCAACAATCAAGAAGAAAGAGCCATCTTCACCAATAGCAACAACTCCTACTTTACGAGATACAAGTCGAGACTTGCGCGAAGGCATAAAAAAGCTCGTTCATTTGCAAGATCAGCTTGATGAGATTGGCACTATTGTGGAGAAAAATACCGAATGGATTAAAAAGGCGGATCTACTAATAGAGGATGTAAGAAAAAAATTAGAAACTGCTAGAAATTGTAAGTGGATGATCTATTTACTGTTGTTGAACAAATATATATCGTCGTTGCATAATGGAGACTTGAAGTTGAATAAAAAATTACTGTTTCCATAGTAACTGCAGAATATGTTCAGCCGACGGTTAGTCAAAGTTCACCAGTGAAACTCGGTACAGTCTCAACAACAGTCGATAACGATAAACAGACAAGAAGGTTCAGCGATTACAGAATGTCCGACATTCAAGAATACGAAGAAGATAAAGTAGACCTCACTAAAAGAGACGACATACCAACTCAACAACAAACAGTCATCACTACAAACAAGGGTTATACAATAACTCTATTGAAAGATGACGATGAGGAGGAGCAAGATCAACCAGAATTTGGCCAAAAGTCGCCTGAGGATCTACTCTCATTATCAAAGAAAAAGACTTCAAAAAAGAACCAATTTCTTAAAAACTTGATTGTTAAAGCGTCCCAATCAACGCCTGTCAAACCATCGTACTTATCCACGCCAACAAAAGATGAGCAAGCGCATATCAACTTTTACGACTCAACTACACTTGAAATTCCTTCCACCGATGCTTCTTCCACGACACCCTCTACTTCTTGTTCGTCGGCAACTTCCACATCCTCTTCATCTTATATATTTGCTACTGATGCCACAGTAACTCAACCTTTGCGTGTAGGCATTGGATATAGTAGCTATATCTGTTACAACTGTACCATCTTCAGTGATAAGGTTAGTGATAGGAGCTGTGCAAATTGTGAGGGTCGTTCTAATCCTATTTCGTTCCGATAGGGCTCGCCTATTACCGTACGAAAACGCTACTCGGATTTTGTCGAACTGAAAGAATCGCTGATGAAGGAATACCCCACATTAAGAAAAACTATACCAAATTTACCCCCAAAGAAAGTAGTAGGCAAATTTACGCCGAGTTTTGTAGAGCAGAGAAGAAAAGAATTAGAGTATTTCTTCAAATATATTGTATTACATCCAACTTTGGGTGGGAGTTCCATTGTAAAGCAATGGATTATAGCTCATTAATAGTACCTTTTATGTAAAATTATTGCTTTTACTACCCATTATTATTATTTAACATATAATTCGTAATAGAATAAATGACATTAGATTCTCCGATTCTCATAAAACTCGACACTTTTTTTATTTTACTGTTTCCTATTGTACCTGACTGAACAATTTTTCCGACTAATCAATCAATTGCTATGCTTAAAGCTACAGTACCCTTATGTATTTAACATAAATGGAATGAATTTGTTTGCAAATCAATTTGTTCACAATGTTTGCGCATTCGATGCGTATTTTAGCTCAAATGTATTGCCCGCTTACACCTACAATCCTATCATTATGAGGAGATTGCCCATATAACAAGTACACTCGGAGACAAAACAAATAGCAATGAGTATCAAAGCGCCAGATGGCAACGACCGTCCGTTAATGGCTTTCGTACAGTACCATTGCTCAACAACACACTTAGATGATATGCGTTCAAACTTCAATCCGTACTATTTATTCACAGATAGTATCGCAAAAAAAAAACAAAAAAACACAGCAATGATAATCATATATGAGATGCTTTATTTTTCAATATTATGACAAAGAGATTCCCTCTTTTTTTGCGAAACATAATTGGCAATAATTTCCCTTATCTTCGTATTTACTATTATCAACTAAACGACATTATTTATTTGAAGACCTTACCATCAACACAGTCCTCGAAGTCCCAAGCAAAGTACTTGAAGATTTCTTCCTTCTTTTCTTCGTATTGAGAAGGTTCAATCTTTTGGAAGTTGTAAGATTCGAAATCAGCAGCATCGTAGATTTCGAAAGGAATTTCTTGGCCACGGATAACAAAGTAACCGGAGATAGTGTTATCGTTGTTCTTACCACGGACGATCATGGAAGCAAAGGCGTACTTGTGAGCACGTTCAAGACGAGCGTAGAAACCACCAATCAAATTGTTGGACATGAAAGTTTGAGTCAATTCATCATTGTACTTGTAATCGACTCTCCAGATAGAGAAACCTTCAGGATCGAAGTGTTCCCAGAACCATTTGATAGCGTCCTTGGTATCGTTGTTAGAGTATTCACGCTTCCAAGCATCCAAGATGAAAGGAGAAGGAGGTAATAAATCCAACTTGGACTTAGCCTTCTTTTCAGGCTTAGGTTCTTCCAAGGGAGCTTCTTCTTCCTTCTTTTCCTTCTTGGGTTGTTGTTGTTGAGCAGCAGGCTTTTTTTCCTTCTTGGGAGGAGTGTACTTGAGAGGAGTTTCACAGAGTTCAACTTCACCGAGGTACTTCTTAAAGACAGCCTTACTAGCAACAGTGGTGAAGTAACGGGTAACGTTCTTGAATTCAGCACGGAAAGCCTTATCAAAGACAGTCTTGAAACCAAGGACAAGAGAAGTGACAACAGCAATATCAGCGAAGGTGATGTCTTCACCAACGAGGTAAGTCTTGGATTCGAGAATCTTGTTGAGAGCACCGAGAGCTCTCTTGGTCTTTTCAGTACCAGCATCAACGTTAGGCTTCATGTATTGCATGTAACCTAAAAGAGGGTAAACCCAAGCACCAAGAGGAGCGTTGATTTCGTTTTCAGCGAAAAGAATCCATTGAAGAATTTCAGCCTTTTCAACGGCGCTAGAACCAAGAATGGGGTTGTTTTCCTTTTGAGCAGCAGCTATTTAACCGAGCAGCAGGTTGTCGTCGTCAGTACAAACAAGGCAAAACACTTTGGTTTGAAGCAAGAATAAAATTTAGCAAGACTTACCATAGTAAGCAATAGCAGAGGATTCGAAAAGGTTAACTTCGGGAGCTTCCAAGACAGGAACCTTACCCAAAGGATGCTTAGCCAAGAATTCAGGGGTGACATCCTTGGCAATTTCAAAAGCCTCGACGTTGAATTCACCAGCGCCAGACAATTCAGCCTAATGAGATTCATGAACAAGCAAAAGATAGAGTGATTAGCTGTTTATGCATGTATCGTCATTTCGTTGGGGATATTTACGGCAATTTGAGCCTTAGCAACACGAGGATTGTTGAGGTAGGATCTGATAGTCTAAAGTTACAACGAAAAGAAAACAATATTGAGTAAGCGTTGGTTCCTGTAAAAAAACTGATTGTTTGAGATGATGGATGTTTACACCAAGAGCCATTTCGAATGATAAGGTAAGTGAAGGTGGAAGAATCAAACTTAAAAATTTTCTAGTAGTTCTTTTAACGAGGCAAAGAAAAAAAAATTAATCACAGTCACTGCGGAATACGTGCAAAAATGTGAACGCCACCTCGTAAAGATCAACTTCCGCAGCTCGTTTGAACATTTTTATAAGCATGTACGAATGCCGACTCAACCAGAGAATTTCCTCCATGCTTATAGTAGGCTTAGTGCTTAATTAATAAGCATATGGAAAGTTTGGGTATTCTATTATTATTAGACATATATTTTATCATTCATCGTTATGAATAGTGATAATTTATCATTAGCTTTGTTCTTAAAGGATATCATTTAGCTGAAATGCTATCTTTCTCCTATAATTTTGATTTTCATCCGAAAGGTAAGAATGATACGAACTACTATCATTAATGCGTACTATCAATGTCGCTTTTTAAAATATATGGTCAAATTTCATAAGTATTGACCTGAGCTATGCAAATACGGTTTATTGAGCGCTTAAAAGGTGGCCAATGTGGGGCATTTATGTTAATTCTAGTCTTCTCTTCCAGCAGCTTAGCTTCTTTTTAGACTGAAGAATTGCACTGTTGATAATCTAATCCAGTGGCAGCAAAACCACCTTTGTTTGCGGTAGGCCTATTCATTGCCCACACTTAATCTGTAAGGGCTAGACGCGTAGCAGTAAACAATACATATGGTTTATAGTGAAAGGAGAAATACATATCAAACAATGAAAATTGAACAACTGAGAATGCATGAAATTGATAAAAAGTTAGCAAATTGGTTAGTTTAAATTCCATACAAATAACAATCACAACACAGACATAGAAGAACGAAAAGAAACATAAACTTTTATGCTATCTTTTCTTTCGTTCTCCTAAGTTGTTTGATTATATTATTATTTTTTTTCCCAAATTTTTGCTTTTATAATCCAACAGAATGGGGAAAGATACTAATAAAGTACTCTGCAGTAATATTGCTAATAAGTCGTACATACCATGGAAGACGGATCCAACTGCTAAAGAACTAAATCGAAAGACCACAAGCCGCTTTGGTTTATTAATGAGAGATGAAGGCCTTAAAGTATTTATGTGCAATCGCAGCTAGCCGCTGTAGAGTTGTAGTATATTCAATAATTTCTTTACTTAACAATCTAAATACATTAAATTAGTTTACTGTGGATGAGGATGTAGCCGAGATAATTTCAGCTATTGAGAAAGCACAGATGGACAAACTTAAGCAGTTTAAAGAGGACGATATTGTTGATGAGTAAGTATCAAAGACCATACACGCTCCAGCAATCGCTACTTCTAATACATACTGAAAACTGTAAATAGTGATTTATTCGTACGAGAAACGAGTTCTTTGAAAATTTTTTCAACATCTGCAAATGATATCTCTAACATTGCGCAAGACAGTATGACTGAAGGATATGAAGAGTTTTTCATACCCCCCTGCGACCTTCTACTTCATAGGCCTTCCTCATATCAAAACAAATTCATGATGCCTACTTTAGAAGATTATATTTCATCAAAAAATGAAGCCGAAAATCCCTCTGCAGGTAATATAACAACATCAATGACGTTCTATCTGAAAGGAGCGGTGACTCATTTCAACAATTTCCGTACCATCTTTCGCTGCAAAAGCTTCTCCTTCCTTATCAACTTCAAAGCCAAGCGTTATTCGAGTGTATACAGAGTAAGATCAAATATGCACGGTGTTTCGTAATGTTAACAATTATCTGATGTTGTTTATCTTTTCACTTTCTAAACGTAATAGTATCGGTGAGCTATTTGCTAAACAGGAGTTAAGCTCAATATTGAAAATTCAAAAAGCCATCAAAATCATACCTTCATTGTCAAATTGGGAGGAAATTCTCTTATTGACAAAGCCCACAAAATGGTCACCTCGAGCTACTTTCGATGTATCGAAGGTCTTTCTGAACAATGTAAAAGCAAAACAATTGAAAAGGTAAGATCCTTAATAAGCACAGATTATTTGCCTTTATTCTAACAACCCTTCATTATGGCAATGCAAATAGCTACTTTCAATACGTTTTACTGTATTTAGTTCGTGCACACCTCCACCAGAATGAACGCTTAAATTATTACCTCGAAAAGGCTATCTCAATTTCCATTAAAAGTGCACCCGGCCTCTTCATCAAAGGTTTTTTGAACCCTTTAATTGAGTCTAATTCGTGCACTTTGAAGGAAGCAACAACTATTGGATGTATAATACACAAAACTCGTATACCAAGCAGTCATATTTGTACAGCGCTACTCAGCCTTACAGAGCAACAGCCCACAGCACCATTGCCTATCCATGCGCTCATTTTTGCTTTCTTATTGAAGAAACCAACGTTAGATTACCGTGCCATTAATGCATTAGTTGTAAGATATTTCAGTTGCCAAAAATTCAGTTCATTCACTACTACCACGACAGTACCTACAGTTCTGCCTATGACCTGGTATCACTCACTTTATATATTCGTTAAAAAGTATATGTTTATGCTATGGGAGGTTGCACCAACACTTTCAAGGTTTACTAATCTTTTCTATTGCCCCTTTTATTCTTTGGAATTGTTGTTATATAGTTATAACGTTGACATGATTCCAAGTCATAAGAAAAAACTATTGATATTCATCGGATCGATTGAACGGAACGATTTTTCCAACAAAATTGAACAGATGCTCCTTTTCAAAGCGAAGCAATCTGACTTTCGAAACTATTCCGAAGATAGGGATTCTTTCTTTAATATCCAAAGATCAACAGATGACGAAAGCTTGCATTCGGACGATAGTGGCATTATCTCCCACTCAGAAGCATACAATGTGCTTAATGGTTCCGCTTCCTTTTCCTCTATAGCCCCGTTATCTACGAACATGTATAGCTGTTCTAACATGAATCATCATCAACCATCTTTTCTGTTGGAAGAGAAACAATCAGGAGTTGTAGCTGACACTATGATGCTCGATTAAAGGACAAGAAAAGAAGCTTTTTGATTTATTCAGCAACAAAAATAGCCAACACTGTTTACGAGAAAGTTCATATAATGAAATATAATGCCATTAAAAGCATACATAAGAACACCATTTGAATTCTTTACTAACAGTCAAGGGAATATACACGTTACCAAGAAGTAGACAAAATTTATTTTTTAGTATCTTTAGATTATCAATAAACAAGTAATATGTTACAATTTCTGATTGAGTTCCCGAACCTCTACGAATTGCGTCGCCTTTTAGCTGACACCAAATTCTGATAATCTTCAGGTACAGAAACCGTTGGATTTGCATCCGTTTCTATTTTGGTTATTTTACCCAAAAACCTTCTAAACGCTTGCTGAACATAGCGCATCTTACTTGGATTTCTTGTAAAGATTCTAATATGAATATCCTGATACTTCGTAGGGATCATGTAAGATACTTTATCCTGAGGCACGTTAAATGAATCCTGGTCATTGAATTTTGAGAAAAAACGAATGGAGTCTACAGGATTTTTATCATTCATAGCATAGTTGACTTTTGAGAAATTGACAATGACGTCCTCTTGAACCAACCCAGCATTGTCCGTTTGATGATTCACTATTTCTTGAGCGGTAACTACATCCTTCGTCAAATAGGGTTCAAGGTCAGGCGGTATTAAGAACTCATCAACAAACTTGTAGAGGTTTCTTGTTCGTAGCTGCTTTATAATATGTCGTGATTTGGCGAGTTCATCGCATTTGGATCGTTCAATGGAACGTAGAATATCATCGGTTAAATGTAAGTATTCTTCTGGCTTATCTACAGACTCTGAAATCTTCAAGTACTGGTCTATTGGCATAACAGATAATAGTTATCTTAGTATTTCTTCCATTTCTCTGTATAACTACGATAGGCACTTCACCTGCTAATAATAACGCATCCACAATCATCAATTCAATCGATTTACCAACTCGATGCGTATAGATTTGTTTGAACAGACTATACCGTGTATGAAACATTTCATACATGTTATAGACTTCCTTATGGTGATAGCAAATTTCATTGTTGATCACTCTACTATAGACCAGTAATCTCTTTGCATCATAAGAACTACGTAATCCCATATTGTAAGTGTCTCTCTCGATATAATCAAATTTATCAACATCAACACTATTCTTTTTGTTGGCTACAATGTCAAATAAAAATCGACGTTCTGAGTACTTTGAAGGCTGTCGAGATTCGCCGGCAATCAAATCCTTGATAAGTTGCGTATCTGATTTATCAATATCGTCAATATAGTTGTCATCAATCAAGTAATCTAACATCATTTCAGAGCCTTGTTCGTGTGTCCAAGCAAAGTTTGGACGAGCGCAAGGCATGAATGAATTATCGAAAACATGACTAAAAGGACCATGACCTAAATCATGGCATAAGCTGAGAGAATAGTATGAGCTTTGCATATTTACAGATTATACTATGTTATATATGTCTACAAGCATGACTACTCTTACCCTGCCAATTTGACACATTTAATCTCATTGTCCGTTATCTCTAATTCTGGTTGTTCTCTGGCAAATCTCTCTATCAGTGTGCCTGCTAAGTGAGATACACCAACTGAATGTTCAAAACGGTTATGACTTGCGCCTGGAAAGATAAAATATAATACACCCAGCTAGATATCTGCTGTGAGAATGATGGTCCTGGTTCGAAGTGTAACTTTAAAGAAGGGATTGCTCTTTTACTGTCAGCGTACCTGCTTCAAATCTCTTAAGCGTTGAAATTGAGGTGTATCAATGAATTCAACGGTGTAGTCATCCAAAAGTATATGACCCTTTTTTGAAAAAACACATTCGTTAACATGACGATCAATAAATGAGCTATCAATAAACTGCAACATTTACATGAATCGGATCGTTGATCACTTTATGTCCGTTATAGAAAGTTCCTGAAAACTGTTTCTGGAATGACGTTGTGGAATTGATTGAACCTGTTCCATTAAAAGTTTCCACGATATCATCGATAGCCATTTGTCTTCCTCTTACTGACTGTATGTTTTAACAAACGAAACAAAAAAAAAAAAGTTGTAATGGGCATTTTCGGTTTTGACAACGACGACTCATTTTGATTTATGCCAATCTAAAACCGATTGCGTTTGTTTCATTGGACGGCCCAAAATAGGGGCTTTTATTTACAGAAAACAGCACAGACATTTTGTACCACTCAGGTACATGAAACCACAAGAAAGGGATACAGAGCCATAACTCTTTCCTTGCAACAGCACAGTTGATACCAAACAAGTATATCGATACACAAGCAACTATAGAAGCGTTAGAATTTAGTTGACATTATTATAAAAACTTCCGGCATATACTCAGTTATCTCACATTCTCATTTCTGTTGGCGTCAAGTAAGGAAGCTTTAGGGACTATGATCAAAAAGCTGTAGTGTAGATCAACCATTCTAGCCAATATTGCGTGCTTTGCTCGAATTTAGACTAACTGTCTACCGTTACGTGCAATCACTTTTATTCAATAATAATTATACAAATTTAAAATAAGAGTTATGGATAAGGGTAACCTTCTACAAATTCAAAAAAAGTTGTTGTATTTTTTTAGGAACATAAATGTTCTTAATATTGGTATCATACTATAGTGCATCATCATCGTCGCCAGGTTCAAAACTACTGCTGCTGTCGCTTGACAGATAAGCATCGCTCGCCGTGAAAGCAGAGCCGCCAGACACAATGATAGCCGGTGTTGCAGTTGGAGGTTGACTTTTCCCGTTGCTCATACTTGCTCTTCGTGCAGTAGATCCACTACTGAGAAGAGTATGACTGCTGCTATTGTTGCTTGTTTTATCTACGAGATCTCTTTGCGGAGATTGCGAAAATTGGGCCATGAATCTGCGTCGTTTCTTTTGTTCATGCAACAATTCCTTATCAGTAATCGAGTTAGGAAGCTGATCAGAAGATTGATGTGATGACAAAGATCCATTTGGCATACTCAAGCGGCGTCTTGCCATAAACATGAGTTCATCCCCGCTGCCTGCGTCACTATTGTTACTATTACCATATTCGTCCGAGAGAGCGACATTCAATTTGTTGTTAAGCACATCTGCTGTATTATGTTGTTGCTTCCTATTTCTGTCCTCTCGACGGCTGCTCGATCGAAGTGATTTACGGACTTTTTCAATAGCAGATTCGATACGCATGCGATTGGAAATCATGGAAACTTTGGGCCAAGTGCGTAGCTGTCCGCTGTTCATTAACTTTCTAAGCCGTTCTTCACTTGGATCTGCTATTGTATACAGCCAATCGCTAAGATGCGATTTAGGCTAACATAATGATTCAATAGGCCAGAAGTCAAATAAGTATCATAAGCGCATCTTCAGTTCGGTTCAGTCCATTGCAATGCACATAGGTACTTACCAAAATGGTGACGTTGCCATCAAACTTTTGCAACCAGACGTTGCTCCAATCTTGGTCGTTGATCTTGGGTAACAGTTTTAGTGATCTCATTAACTTTAACCATTTAAACATATCCAAAATTAAGAACTGCTCAAGAGATGAAGCAATAAATCCTCCACGCCATCCCCTTCCTTGTAGATGAGTGACAGGTCGACCAGGACTTCCTTGGTTGGCATAGAAAAAGAGATGAACGTGAGGGTTAACCTGACTTACAATGGTGTAATTGACATTGAATTGAGTATTCAGAGCCAAAGTAGGGATATCTGTTGATAAACTGCCATCTTTGAATTTATGGCCATAGTTGTAAGGAACGAGGTGAGCTGATCCGCGTTTCTTCTGCATTAGCACAACTGGATTGAGGATCTAAAAGTGCATAAGGATATCAAAGATTAGCGTATCGTATGGCTGAACATTCCCTATCTTTTTCCCCAACTATTTACCCCTGGAATGGCTGCTGATGCCAGTACAGCACTCCAGATCACACAGTCCGGTGCAGTGATATAATTCAACAATTTGGGAGGCGAATGCGGATCGTAAGGAATCACCGACACGTTGAATATACGACCTGTTTTTTCATAAGCCTCTTTGAATGTAATGGACCCTTTGCAAAACCACATCGCTTCCCGACACCATTGCTCTGCGTCAAAAAGCGAGCCTGATCGGACAAATCGTAAGATTTTCTTTGGCCAACTCTCCTGACATATACGTATGCGCTTTGCTAGCTCTGGCGTCAATATCTCGTTTAATTCCTCATCTGTTCGTGTGCATACGATAGCACCCATCAGCGATCCTGCTGATGTGCCTGTCATTATGGAGGGCAATAACCCTCGATCCAACAAGGCACGAATAACGCCGAGATGATAGTAACCGAAGCCTGCTCCTCCTGAAAGGCAGAAAGCCGTACGTCCATAATTTTTTGAATACAATCTGAATGCTACTCTCTTCTCCTCAGCTGTAATATGCTTGTTATGCGCCAAGGCGTCGATTGACTTTGTCACCTCTTCCACATATTCCTCGATTAATCGCTTCGTGCCCAAGTATGTATTACTGTAAAGTTTTTCATTCTCAATACCAGCAAAGTTCTGTTTCAAGCATACATAAAGGACATCCATCAATTTTGTAGCATCTTCTAATGTATTTCCTTGGCGATGAATTCTAAGATGTTTCACAACTTTTTGCAAAAGTCGGTAGTCATAGTAGGCGTAGGGTATGGTGTTCTTCCATTCATCTTTGTGCATATGTTTGTCCAAGGCATCGGCAGCTTCACACCAATCTCTGTAGGTTTTCGAAGCGCGTAATTCGTTACGGAGTCTTCGCTTTTGGCCTCTCCTATAGGGCATACCTCGAGTGATGAGTCTTTTTTTTTTTTCTGCTTAAAATGATGTAAATTTGTCCCATACCAACTAATTGCATTTTCCCAAATTCTCACAATCTGGCGTAACGAAATATACGCCACCAGTTCCATAAAAATGATGAATCCAATGAAGCCCTTTACGTATTGTACGGTGTAGGAGGATCGAGACTCAGTATGAATTCATTATGTCATTGTTTTCATGTTCACAAAACTAAAGGGTGCTTACAATCAAGGGAAACTGCAATAAGGAATGTGTAAAGCCTTTTGGCTTGGCAGCTTCTTGTTCTTTTAATTTCCTTTTCGATCTTTTCAGGATCTTTTTGTCATTTGTGCTTCTGACAGCAGGAAGAGCATCTGTCCAAGCCGTAATATGCTCATGATTTGGATCATGCGCTAATGCATTTGCAAAATCAGCAACATGCGTTTCGTTTACATATTCTTTATCCAGCTGTTTGATCGTCTGCTGCTGCTGCTGCTGTTGTTGTTGTTGGTGTTCTCTGATCGTGGTGATACTATTATCTCGTATAGCACTGCGAGTACCGGTATCATCGGCTGTTTTCGTCGATTTATTCGTTGTCTTTTTAACTGCTTCTGACGAATTCTTGGTCATTGATTATACCTAACATAAAAAGTGGACAAAAAAAAAAACGGTTGTATCTGATAAGGATTAGGAAGAAATTGAAAGCGGAAAGAAAGATAATTATGCATTTGACAACTCTGTAGGACAAAAATTATAATAAAGTAGTCGGAGAACTATTTTTAATTACCGCTTTCTTTATATACCGCTTTCTTGTTGGAACCATGGGCGACGACTCGAAAATAGAGGACAGAAACGGCTAATACTCATAGTAAGCGCATGTTCTGTACACTTGTTATTTTGTTTAAATTGCTGTACATGTAGAAGCTTATTCTTCCCTTTGATCCCAAAATTCAGAGCTATGCATGAATTTTTATTGAAAGAGCGATAAAACCGGAAACTTGATAGGTACGCATTATATCATTGGGACGTCATAGATAAGGTACAGAAAAAAAGATGATGTGGTCAGCCAGTTGCAAGCAACGGCGAAAGGGCACAGCGTGGTTCTTACTTTATCAACGTCCGCTCTCTAGAAAGAGGCATAAGGCACGTATAAAGTACTAATTATCAAACTTTGTGTCTGTTCAGTACCACAGTTGAGAACTGCTGGCAGTTATAGTAGAAACCACCAGAATCGATGATTTCATTAGTTAGCGGGCCTCGTTAGTTAAGCCAATCTATGTAGTAACTCGTTCATTTTCACTTTAGGTCAATTTTTCGCCTTTTCCAATAGTTTTTCGCAACTGAAGATGTACAAGAGTTAAACAGTATATATCAAACACATACAGCCTTTACATTTTTTCTTAGTACATGAACAAGCTCTTGCCACTTCCCTTCGAGAAGGAAAGAGTGAACATTCTATATTTAAACTTGATGTTACAGTGTATTACAGCTGAACAATGGCCACACATGTATGCGCTTCCAGCGCATCTTCCATGGATTTTTATTAAACCCGAGCAATTGTGATTCTAGAACGCTTGTTAAAATGACAAGCGGTGGCTGTTTGTCGAGATGTTTGAATGGAAGTTTGTATCACTGGCAGTAAAACAATTATTCCAATGCTGTTGCAGGTAAAGTAGCCTGTAAAGAACACGTATTACATAGAATTTCATTTTCATCAGAAGAGACATTCTTGCCAGTATCTCCGTCTTGTTGAAGCTCGTTTGATCCAGGCAACCTACGGAAACAATTGGAACAAATAGCCGTATCTACTTGGTCAAGCTGAGGTATTTTGCAGAATAACATTATTATCAGTCATTAGTGTACACTAAGCATGTGGAGTTTCCAGTACCATCCCTATGACCTTACCTCTTTCGCTGCTTTCAACAGACTACCCATTTCACTCCTTAATTTTTTGTTGGTTATCCTTAATTGGTGTAGTTCATATTGCCAATTCGCCTCGTTTGTGATATCCACCTCGTCTATCATTTTTACAGCAGCCGAAGAAGCAGCCTCATTCTGCTCAATGGCTTTACCTTTCTTCTTCACGTCTGGGTCTATAGAAAGAAAGACATTTTCATCTTCTTTTCCGTTTTCTTCTTCTTCGTCATAGTTGTTGACTATAGTGTGCATTAAAACAAAAGAAGGCTGTCGTATGTCCGGTATTGCCTCCTTTCTCTTATTCTTGTTGTGATGATGATCGTATGCTGATGACGTGGTTGGTTGTAGAGTAGTACCACCGTCAGGGTAGAAGGTCGTCGCTACCATGACCTCAATACCTGCGCCATTCACAAGAGCATGCTTCAGGTAGACCACCTTGCCTTCTTTCACCTCAGCCAAAGCTCGCGTCAAATCAGTTGTACGATTACTTCGCATGAGTTGATAAAGTGATGTACCAATGATTTCAGAGGGTGCCAACCCGAGAATATTAGCACAAGTCCAGCTCACGTACAATAATAATCCATCCAGACTCAATTTGCCCCAGAAGGCATGATCTTCAGCACCTTTTATTCTATTTGAATTTCTCTTTTGTTGTCGTTGATGCTGCTGCTGCTGTCGAAGCCTACTTTCTGCTAGCGACAAAAGGTTTTTGGGCAACTGATAGACAGGCTTTTCACGTCCTGATAATACAACATATTTTCTCCCTCGTCCATCTTCGCGACAAAGCTTTCCACAGCATTCAATCCACATATAACCTGAAACTTTTCGTCGAATGCGATATATTAAATTGACAGGCTGAGTAGGGTGATGAGAAGATTGTTTCAGTTCACGCATGACAGTGGTAATGTCCGAAGGGTGACAAATAGATCTGAGTGACTGGCCCACGAGTTCAAACGGATCATATTCGAGAACATCCTTTGTCGAATCAGAGCAATAGAGAAAAATGCCTTTGACGGTAAGGACGTGAATAAAATCCGGACTTTCGTCCAACAGTAACTCATGCCAGCAGCGCTTCAATCGACCTTCGCTCACAGTAGCCTCCTTGATTAAGGCTTCCACGTCCATCATCGGTTGCTGAGACTGTTGAAATGACGAAGAAGCAGAAGGAGGTTCTTGATGCGGCTGCACATCATAAAGGCTGCTGTTCTTACGGTCTGAGACTACTTGATGTATCTCTGATGGGGGCTGATGAACATGATAACGAGTAGTTCCTGCGTTTGAGTTCGACGATTGTTGCGGTGAGGCTGGTTTTTTCCATTCTTCAACGGGTGTGAATTCAGCCACTCCCCCTGGGTCCAAGCTCCGTTGTGACAAACCTAAGTGATACAGCACTTGGGTTAAGCGGCTGCTGATGTACAGTTTGGTAGGCCCTATACAATACCTGAAATAGACGGTGGAATGGTTGATTGGCGGTAGTCTATCGTGTACGTACCATCTATAGAATGAACGGTAAAAAGACGCATTGTGCTATCTCTTCTTAGAATCAGTATTGCCATAGACGTGATAAATCATTAACATTGGACTGATAAGTTACTTTTGATATTTTGAAATATAGAGTTGGGCTGTTCTACTAAATCGACCTGTAAGCCGACAAAATAATCAATTTCATCTGTTGATGAATCGCCCCAAGAAATAGGTATCACGGTCAACAGATTAACAAAAGGCTATAGTAGTTATCAAAGAAAGAGCAAAGGTCAGGAGATCATGTGAACAATTATCTAACACTCCTTACTCTTTCTTTCTTTTTTTTACCTGTCCTGTTTTTCGATAATTGATCAGACTGGATTGTGACTCTTTACCTTGCACGATGTGAGCTTTAATATGATAGACCGTAGAGTTATCCGTAAACTTTCTTCTTGAACCAATAGCTACGCGTCCATCAGGTGCTTGTAAAAAGCGACAGTTTCTACCAACAACGTCTGCAGGTTGATAACCTGTCAACCTCTCAAACATGGGGGAACAATAAACGATAGGTAGGTCGTATTGCTTGGCATCTACCACGACAAAAGAGCAAGAAAGATCTACTGGGCCCAAATCAATTTGAGGATTTTGACGGTTGACAACTCGAGACAATACGGATAGCATGTCGAAACCTGTACCTGCATATATCCCCGAATAACGCTTACGTTCACCACCATTTTTATCGGAGAGTTCCGAGAGTTCTGAGTTATTTTCGACAACGGGGGAAAGGATCATGTTGGGTAATTGTTGCTGCTGAGTAGGCAAGTTATCATTTTGAAGAGGGTGAGCGAATGTTTGCTGCTGCTGCTGCTGCTGCTGCTGCTCCAAAAAGTGTCGCTGAGACGTTCCACTTTCATGATGCTGCTGTTGATTCAATTGATTCAATTGATTCAAATTTTGGTGAGGATGTTGTTGGTGTTGAGACTGTTGAAGGCTACTGTTCGAAGCTACTGTCATGGGCCCTGCTTGATAGCCGCTGAAAGAATATAATTTGTCTGTTGAAGGCGGAACATTACTACTTCCATAAATATGTGGATTAAACTGTCCATCTTGAAAACTCTGAAACGGATCCATAATGATAGCAAGTGCTGTTCTCTAAAATGGATATGCAATGAACTGCGATGGTTGTATTTCGACGTGTAAACCCCGCGACTGATGCGATGATGCGCTATGGAGGAATGAATACTGATTACAATATGTTGTTCCTTTACTGGCTTTTGAATAGCGAACAATATAAGTAATTGTATATGAAAGATCAAAAAGAAAAAACAAAAACCATTTTTGTCTAAAGTAAAGAATAGAAGGATAGAAGGAACACAAATATGCACAATAACGGTAATGTCAGTTGAAATACCGCCAATCTGACTTTTTGAAGAAAAATTAAATAGATCGTCGTGTGCTAACTCTGCCTTGTCCTCAGAGAAATCTGTAGTGCGGACCTCTGAGACAATCGGTTGAAAAAGGCTAATTTTGTATTTTCATGACACTGTCGACGATTCCCTGTTTCCCCTTCGTGGGGGGCTTTCGGTGGGGCTTCTTTAACGTCTGGTCCAACTGTGAGTTTGAAGTCCATCTATCAATTGGTATCGTCTGTTGATGGTCAAAGGGCTCCTTGATTGGTTCCTCGTTGTTTCGGTTTGTGTCCTTTTCTTTTCATCCGATGTTCCCGAGAGAGGAAAGCTGACAAGAAGTCGGCTCTGTACGTTGGCTTTTTTTTTTTCACCCTTGTCCAAATTAGGGCTTTTGCGGCTGTCCTTGAATGCAATCTGCACCCCTTATTTTTTCACATACTGAAAAGGGTAAAAAAAGTTGGTTTTTCTTACAACAGAAAAAAAACTGATTTTTTTTTTTGTGTGCACCAAGAAACATATTCATGGCATTTCCCATCTTTTTTTTTGTTTTTTTTTTTTTGTTTTTTTAAGCTTTCTTTCAACTCGAGTATTGCCCTTATTTTCTCTTTCTTTTCCTTTTAAGTTCTCTTTTTCGTCAAAGCTCAAATTTTTATACCTCGAGCTAGTATTCAAGGCTTTAATTGCTTTTTCATTGGTTCAAGTCCACGGGTCTCATATTCCAGTCTTTCAGTCGAGCAGCCTTTCTTTTTTGAAACTGATTACTTGCTTATTTGGGACGGCAACAGTTTATTTTTTTAGGCTATTCTTTCCCTCTTCCGTGCACAACAGACTACTTGGTATCTTTTTAAAACACACAGAGAATCGATTCACGTAGTGTCCGCTCAACCCAATTTCTTACCATTCGGCTATACGCAGATCAACTTATCACATTTTATCGTTAACAATATGAACGCTACCACTACTACCACTACTATTACTACAACTGCTACCGCTAACACCAATAGAAATAATTCATCCAATCCAAATTCAAGCCGAAATCAATTTGTGGAACGTACATCTAGTAACAAACTTAATCACCATCATCAATATCGTGGCAATAACGGTACGGACACCGGTACTGCTGTCGAAGGACAAGGATTCCAACAAATTTGTGAACCATGTCGACGTAACCCGAGTCTGAATGGAAAGAAGGGTGTCATCTGTAATGGACAAAAGCCTTCTTGTGACCTATGTTTGGCCACTTCACAACCCTGCACTTATAGCAGTAGCTTTGAGCAACAACAACAACAACAACAACAACAACAACAACAACAACAGCATCCAAATTTTAATATTCAGCATCATCATGCAAGAGGTGTCTTTTCTACAAATATGGCCAGAAGACTTAGCTCTGGTTCTGCCTGTGAAACATGCCGAAGACGTAAAACCAAATGTGATGGACTTAATCCTTGTAGCTATTGTGCCAACAACAATATCGAATGCATCAATAATTCCGAACGTCGAAAGCGAGCTACCTCTGCTATCTCTTCCTCACTATTGGCGCCGCGCTCAAGTAAAAGTAGCAATACAAGTTCAGCCACAGGCAAGAATCATCAACATCGATTGGTAGCTTCCTCGTCTTCTGTTACATCACGCTCAGCAACAACAACAACAACAACAACAACCACAACCACAACAGCAAAGGCCAATGGCAATAGTAGATCATCACAAGCAGCACTCGCAACAGCAACCATGCCTGTGGCGGATAATAATGATCAAATTGAGGATGCGCAAGCAATCGATCGCATCGAAGATCGTTTAAGGAGAATAGAGCGATTGATGACGGCATTTACGCCTTCTACAATAGGAGCAGCAACAGGTCCAGCCGATTTGGATCGCACGAGGACGACATCCCGGATGCGAAAACTGTCATCGCCTGTCTATCATCATCAGCAACAGCAACAGCATCAAGACATTTCTATGCAACAACGGCATTCTATACATAGCCTTGCGGTTGATAGTAGAATGAAGTGGAAGGAGCAACAGCAGCAAATTACCTCAACATCTTATCGTCAAAGTAAGTTTGAATAAGAAACAAACACTATTTTCACTTTAAAGAACTCTTGACTGATAAGTTGGCCCTTTCTTTCTTTTCTCCTTTCCTATGAATGTTAGGTATTGCGCCTTATGCTTCACCACCCAATAGCAATGGCAGTAACAACTACAGATACACATATTCATCAGCAACACCCAATGCCGCTCCTGGTATGAATGGTACTACAGCTACAGTCACTACTTCTCCACCTTCTTCACCTCATTTAGCAGTAAACAACAACAACAACAACAACAACAAGTCTTCTATATCAACCAACATGGCAAACTCTATGCTCAACTTATCTTTATCGCCTTCTTCTTCTTCGACATCTTCAACACTTGTCGTACAGCAGATAGCTACACCTACAGCTCCCATCACTTCAGAGTGGCGAAAGTCGCCACCTATTCCAAGTCTAATGGGTAAGGAAAAATAAATGTTTTATTGTAGTATTTATCACAACTAAATCTATATACATATACAAATGCATATTATATAGATCAACTTTCAAAATGCACATTTGTTACCACAGCTTCTACTTATTCAACGGTTCAATATCCTATTTATCCGATTTACTCTACTACTACTAATACTGATACTGCAGGTGCTTCTGCGGCTGCTTCACCATCAGCTGCAAACAATACACTCCATCCGAGAACAAATAGTAATACTACCCATGCGATGATACCGAACTAGTAACCTTGCAAAAAAAAAAAAAAAAAAGAAAAAAAAAAAGAACCTGATTGTGATAGCAGACATCATTAAAAAGAAAAAAAAAGAAAACAATGGTTACTATCAGTAGTAATCTAATCTTATATTTATTTCTCGTCAGAATATATGTATACTCACTAATAATTATTCGTTTAATATTTTTTATCTATCCTTATTTATTTTTATTTATAAAATATATCACCATATCAAATACCAAGAGGCATCTGTTTTTTGTCATTTACGAAAAGATGTTGGAATTGAAAGTTCCCAAGCCCTGATCTGATCGGGAATGAAGGTCGAAAGCACTGTTCTTTATCTGAACCTGATCAAAGATGACTTTGATTCATGTCTAGAAAAACAAAACAAAAAACAATGGCTTTATAGGTTTGGTATGCATAATATTTCTTTACTAAGAGGACTAGAGTTATTATATAATATTTAGAAGAGTTTGCTATAGATAACCAAGATGATCAAGACGATCAAAATCAAGATAATAGCTGCAGTAATCAGCTTATTTGTAGCCATTCTAAAAGAAACTTGGAGTTTTAGTGGTTCAACATCTTTCTTTCCAAAAACTCCCATTGTTCACAGGCATACTTACCGACGAGCCATCCCTTTCAATGTTCTAGAGGCTTTATCAATATGCGAATCTGCATCAGCGAGCTGAAGAGAAGGAGAAGATATGAGAAATGAGTGAAACTGAACACTTCTATAACGAATAAACATTGGATGGCTTACTGTATCTCTGGCCCGAAGCATAGTTTCACGCTGCCCCTTCAATGTACTCAAGATATTGATACCAATACCTTCTGTTTCTAGCGCAAGCCGATGACTATCTTCTAAGCGACGACTCGACTGTCCTAGTCTTTCTGTTCCGCTTAACAAACGTTGGCGTTGATCCATAGTTGACGCATCATAGTCCATAAGACCATCTTCATCGTCATTTGCATTCATACCGCCTAACAACTCATCCCGGTCTGTATTCTTGGGTATAATAGCTGTTGTCCTTCTCTGCGACAAAAAAAGAAAAAGTGTTAAAAATGACTAAGGGATGCTCATGAATTTTCATAAAACTTTCCAGAGACTGAGGAAGAGAGGTCCCGAATACTAACCAAATCTCGCTTCAATTTCTCAGCTTCTGATTTATACAGTCGAAGTTTTGCTTGTAAACGGGTTCGAGATGGTGTTGGTACGTTCAAGACCTCCATTTCCATTTGTCCTATCTTCAATAGAGTAGCGTTATTGTCATCTTGTCTCAAAAAAAAAAACCCCCAAGTGTTCAACTATATACAACAAAAGACATACAATTTCATTCGCTTCATCTAACTCTCTCTCAACGGATCGAATGGTGGTTTTTCGCTCCTCTATGGTGGTAGTTTGTTTAACAATCGCATTGCATAAACTTTGTATGTTTCAAAGATGTCTCTCATCTCACCTCCACTTTGACTGGGAATTTGCTGTTCAATTTTAGACTTAATAGACTCTGTTAATGTAGTAAAGTCTTGTTCGTAGTTATTGAATAGTTCAGAACCGGATGCCATTTGGTTTATGTTTGCGTGTTGTTTGTTCGAATGGAGAGGAAAAGTGGAGCAGGAAAAATTGCTGAGTCTTTTAGAGAAAAAATAAGGGAAAAACTCAGTTCATTCAGCTCTGATAGAATGTCGTTATCATTACAATACCTTTAATGATAGAGAACTACATTAATAGGCATGCCATCTCCAAGTAGGAGAGTATGTCTGTTATACGCTAGTACGAATGACTTCCATGAGGATGCATAACTTTTTGTTAATTCTGTGTTTACTCGTGTATATCAGAGAACGCATCAGTTAATGCGCCGCGACGCATCTTCTTAATAAAACGAAAGCAACTTTTTTTTTTTTATTGATTTCTGGTTTCCCTGACTGTTGTGATAACCCTAGTCCTGCTGTATTAACATGAACAATTTCTATTATGTAAAGCACTACAATTTTACAAATATGCTATCTTCTCGCAGTGAATCTGCCTTTTTCAGACCCTCAATGTAAAAATGCAGAAAAACTATTTTTGGTTGTACCACGTGCTGGCTTGTGCGTCCCTGAATTCAACTATTGTTAAAGAAAGACAAGCAATTTTTCAATTTTTAATTCATAAGCTATCATCTTTGACAGGACAAAAAGATATGGCAATTGAAATAGGACTCAGACTGTACTTATTAATTTTTCAATATCCATTATGGCTACTGGAATAGAAGACGATCACGACTTTGATCAATTTGAAAGCACACCCACAATGTCAAATCAGCATCGTTGCAATGGAGTGACAAAAAGCTTACACAGTCGTCCCAATGAAAATGATAGCACTCAGGATTTAACTGTATATCAGAATAAAAATCTCATACGTGTCATAGAACTGCAGAAAGGAGCGAGTTCCATTGGAAAGCCTCATCTAGCTAAAACTATTAATAGTACAACTTTAACAATTGATCAACAGAGGCAGCAGAAGCCTAAAGTTGCTGATTTGTTGATAGCTGACAACAGCGATATCAATGACAGTGGCAATAGGGGTGATGCTATGGGAGAAAAAGAATTATCAAGAAAAAACCAACGACAATCTTCTGACATGGCACCCAATGCTCTATTATCTCCCTCTCCTTCTTCTTCATCCTCTTCTTCTTTTTTTTCTTTGTCTACGTTTCCCTTTCTTCATACCCATTCCATGTCACTCAAACGCCATCATCATTATCCTCCTACTCCTACGACGTCATCCTCCTCGGATTCATCTTTTTCATTTCAACAAGCTACAAAGCAGCCATTACGACAGAAGGAGAATAAAGATAGAATAGCCCGTCATGATTCGCCCTTTATCAATTCGACGGAAACTGCAAACAAGAGTAGGCCCAAGACACAATATTTGGAACACCCCACAGTCATAACAGTTAATAACAGCACACAAAGAAACAGTAGGAGTAGAATGAAAAGATGCAGTAGCGGAACTAACAGCAGACCCTTATCACCAGCTGCATCTCCTTTAGCCTCGCTGTTCGATCGCAAACAGCGAACTTTATCTACACCTGCCTTACCCAGCTTAATGAAAACGATCGTTTCAACAGGAGCAGCATTACCAATCTATTCCATTCGAAGTACCAGCAGTTATGCTCAGCATAACAGTCATGATCGAAACTTTGAAAGCTACGACAGAAGAATGAAATATTATTCTTTACAGCTCCCACTTAATGAAGGTCTCAGTAATGCGTTTTCTTCTACAAGTTTAAATAACGAAGACGATTGGGATCCACATATTGATACTTTTGAGATCTTAAAGGCAAAGTTGTCAAACATCACAAGGTCCATGCAAGAGTTTCAAGTTGAAGCATTAATATCAAACAAACATTGTATTCATCATGAAGAAATTGCATCTTGTATGGAAACAACGCAAGCATGGGGTGGCATGTTATCGCCTCCTCTATCTTCTTCTTGTATAGAGACAGCACCGAGTATCTCTTTACCACTTTTGAACACAACTTCTCCTTCGTCTTCATCATCTTCAAGTGGTTTTACACAACGATGTCGACATCGTAGGTTTAGTTTAGCTAATGTACCTAAATCATTTGATAATGGCAATAATATTAATAGTAGTAGTAGTAATGATGGTCGACACGAGAACAATCACCATAAACAGCATCGACGCCGTTCTCAGTCACAAAATCCCGATGCATTAAGAACACTATCCATATCACATGATGACAACGATGACAAAGACAGCATCTTTCTGCACCATCGACTCTCTAATTTATACCGCACCCACTCAAATGTGAGTAGTACTATCTTCTCCACGACACATAGTCTAATTCATTCACGTCTTGATGAGTTGTCTGAAACGGCATCCATTCGATCCAGTCTGTATATCAATAATACAGAGGATAAAGAAACGGCAATAAACGATGCTGTCGTAGCATCCAGCACCTGCCTGGGACTCAACAGTAGTATGACGGATAGTAGTAGTAGAAGTCATGGCAATGACCAGAGTAGAATAGACCCCTCATCGTCTGGTACAGAAGAATTACTCGCTTGGCAGAATCAATTTGTAAATCTTATCAGCAATTGTATAAATCATTCTGAAGCTTTGGAATCTTTGTCAACCGACCTTCTGAGAACAGAAGATCGTGTACGAGGCCTTCTTTTATTGCAGGAAGCGGTTCAGGACCAATTGGCTGAGTATGAAAAGCATTATGAACAACGCATTCGCTTACTTCAGAAGGTGACACAGGAACAGTTAGCACTCATAGACGCATTAGGAACATTGACAGCGGAGATAGATCAATTAAAGGGACAACAACGCGTATTGGATGAAAAAGAGAAAGAAAAGAAAAAAGAAACACTGCAAAGACGACGCGATAAACATCGACACAAAGCATTCATGGCTTTGAATAAGAGCTCTGCTATTCATAGTGATGATTTGCGAAATGAAAATGAAGAAACGGACGAAATTCAAGATGAAGATGAAGACGAAGACGAAGACGACGATACCAGATCCGCCTCTTATGACAGTAGATTATGTGGCACGCGACAATTGCTTTGGAACACAAATCAAAATGCTTTCAACGTGCTGGAATTGCAAAACAAACATGAAGAACTTCAACAATTACGTTGGGAAGTAGGCATGCTTTTGGATGGAATGATTGGAACGGGACGTAGGAATGACATTCATTTTACACCTCATCAAAAGCATTTGGAAAGCTCCAGGGACGACGGTAGAAAGATATCCACTTTGGGTAACCGCACTGTAAATAGCAGCTGTAGTGATGACACTGTATCAGCAGCCGGAATGCTTGCAAGACCATCTACTTCTAATGTTATCACCAACGTTCAATTGCCACAGCTTCAATACACTATTGAGTTAACACATAAAGATCGCTTGCTACGTTTTGTGTTACTACCAAAAGAAAAATGGCGACCTGATCACGAGACAAATCAATGCCAGTTTATACCACTCACTCAGCGACGTAGATGCAAAACCTTGTTTACGTTTTTGCAACGAAAGCATCATTGTCGTCGGTGTGGTATTATTGTCTGTCAGCACCATAGCAGTAATCAACTACCATTATTCGAGAAGATAGGCGCCAACAATGCTGCAATAGAAGGGCAATGGAGTAGAGTTTGCGATAATTGTTTTTATGCGTTAATCATACAACAAAAAAAATGAATTGTTATTCTACATGGGAATGATATATACCTCACTATTTCTAGATACCCTCTTTTCCCTGATTTATACTTATTTAATCTTGTACATATTGTAGATAGACAAAATTATCGACTATAAAACCCTGCTAGTGCAGCATATGCTTACATTTTGATAACGAAATACGTGGACATAGCCAATCCGAATGTTAATTTGTTTAACTGTATATGATCTTTGTTACTCTCTAACTCCTTTTTACTCGATCACTCTTTTTTGATATAGTTTATTGATTGACAAAAGAAGATCTGACATAGGGTTGCTGATATTGGTAAGGGTAAATTAAAAAGGGGAAGGTGATTTTTTAATCCATAAGAAAAGATGTGCATAAAACTCGTATGTGCGGTGTTTATGTATACCATATCTTAAGAAATAGAAAGAAATGAGGGCATATGTGTATAATTATATATCTATCTATAGATCTATATATTTTATATAAAAGAAGACGAAATGCTAAATATGAAAGAATTAATAGTAGTAGAATTAACAGAAAGAAGATTAGGGGTGGGTTTACAAAGTGGTATAGTAATAAACTAAACTGGAGGGGCCTTTTTTTTGTTACTATGTTATCATGGGAGGTAACGATGACGTAATATAAGGTAACGAAGGGAATGGTTATTGTAATTAGTGTAGTATAGTAGGGGGGTTGGAGAGGGACGAGAATAAGGTCTGGATAAAAGGGTATAGATTGATGAAATAATGTTGATAATTAAGGACTACTACTGCCAGTATGATTTTGACTACTGCAACTACTTTGCGGCTGTAAATTTTGCTCTGGATTATCGTCCAGTGGTGGCACTTTTTGATAATTGTTGTATTTACTGTCTTCTACAATCGATACGCTGATTGTACCATCACCTCTTTCGAATTCATATACCATGACTAACAAAGGTGCTTGTACAGCTGCTGCTGCCTGCGTTTGTGTGTTTGTTACTGGAGCGCGTGTAGTTGGCATAGTAGTAGTAGCAGCAGTCGCAGTTGTTAAAGAAGGTTGTGGACTATCGTTTATCAAAAATGCTGCTTCATCTGTAGACAAAGGTGGTGCCGCTGTCTGCTGTTCAATTGGTGAAACTGAATTGGATTTATTATCGAAATCATCAAATGTCTAATATAAAATAGTTATTAGTTTATTGTTGTTTTGTAAAAAAATAAAATTGAATGAGTGCATGATGTCAATTACCTGAATAATGCAAAGATTATTGATAGCTAGATCAACTTCTTTCCACGTTTGAAGTGATCTAATTCCTTTTAGGAAGGCATCAAAAAATTGGTTGACAAAGACAAAATTATACATGTACTTGTCTTCAGACATCCACAACGCTTGTTGCACTTCTTTTGATTCCAATACGACATTGCCAAAAGAATAGATGGTTGTGGTGCACTCTACTGTACGTCTATCACGTGTTTCGAAGAAAGACGTATTGTTGAAGTTGAACTGTTCGATCAAATCGAGCTTGAGATCGAGACGCGTTTGAACTAATAAGAGGGGGGTTTCTGAAATGTTGGTGACTAGCGGGACTAAAGGAGGACATTTTTCATGCAGGGCAGCTATTCGATTATACGAAGAGAATAAAGGCGACGAGGGAACTGAGGAGGAATCAGGCGTACTTAAAAGTTTATCAGTCGAGATGACAGATATAGAATTGGCATAACAATGAGAAAGCTGTGAAAGTGTGTGAGAAAGAGGACGACAAGAAGGATCGTAGAAGTGTTGATTATCAATTTCCAAGTAGAGACAGAGATGATTCGGCCAAAAAGGAATGTTGGTTGGAAAAGTGCAGTTCGTGTCCATGTCAACGCGTCCTTTGGAAAAGAGCAGCTGTTGTTGTTGTTGTTGTTGTTGTTGCTGGTGGTAAGACTGAGACTGAGCATTGTGAATGAGCATTTCTTCGTCTTTGATTAAGCTTGCATCATTGTGAAGATGAAGAGATGCTCCAGGGATAGGATCAATAATGAAATCCTCGTCATCTCTCAGCAATGACGAAGTGAACATTGTATTATTTACTATAGGCGTGTTCATTAATAACTGTGGGTCATTATTGGATAGCTCTAGCGATAGTTGATGTTGTTGCTGTTGTTGCTGCTGTGTTTCTGGCATGACTGGATCAACGACAAGTCCGGGGAACAAATTCTCTTCTGTATCTGCACATAGCTGGTATATATTTTTAAATTGCAAAAACTGCTGCTGCTGTTGTTGTTGTTGTTGTTGTTGTTGTTGCTGTTCAAAAGCAGGGCCGCCGCTACTATCCGTATACATCATATCAAATATAAAATCAGTGCAAGGTGAAGGCGAAGAATTGATTGAAGAATGATCGGACACTAAGGAATCTAAGGATTGATAAGTTGCTTTCATATGAGATTCATTTTGGACAACAATATGCGTACCATTATTATTCATTCCCGTTACTGGCTGGTGATGATGTTGATGTTGTATTTCAGATGGAAAGACGTGAGGCGGATAGGGTTGATGCAATGGATGATGTTGAGGATGAGGATAATGGTGTTGTTGTTGTTGCTGCTGCTGCTGCTGCTGCTGCTGCTGCTGCTGTTGTTGCTGCTGCAATGATGAACGCCTTGAGGCTATCGTGTTGGTGGTCATGTTGGAGAATAAGCTGGCAGCGTTGAGATGATTAAAGTTGAATGTTTCATCGGCATCTACAGAATCTGTCAATAGACGCATGACTTTATGCATTAAAAGGGACTATTCGTGTTAATAATAGTGTATGTGGCAAATTTAAAAAAATCTTAATTAAATTTTACATGCAAAATTGTATGTATAGTCGACTTACAATGGACATCGCTTTTACGAGTATTCTTCAGCACTTGAATATGTGAAGAAACTTGCTTTCGAGTACGGATTTTACAGGTTTTCCGAAATATGTAGTCTGAAATAAGCTCATTGCGACCACATGGCTTTCCATTGACTAAAATTTTTCTTCTACCAAGCTTAGGAATGGCTTCTAAAGCTAATTAACGCCAAAATATGGAAAGACACAGAGAGTATGTTTATAAGTGTGTGTGTGAGAGACGGGGAGGGAGGAAATGAGTGAGAGTTGGAGAATAAAAGAGAAAGGAAGAGAACGAAAAATGACAGGTTAGTTTTATGTAATTGATTTGTGTCGACAAGTAAGTTAGGGAGGAAGTCCCTTCTCCCTCTTGATTTTACCTTCAACAAAGGCTGCCTCGACGTCAGGCGGCCATACCTGCTCCTCTTTACTTTTCATATGATGAACTACATTCGTTGGTAGTTCAACGATTGAATGTCCTTTCTCCTGCGATTGAGCTTGCTGCTGCTGTTGCTGTTGCTGTTGGATCTCATCAGACAGTTGGGAATGCTGCTCATTCTGGTGGATTGTAGTTGAATTGTTGATGTGCATGGCCTGTGGTTGTGGCTGCTGTACGTTCAGTAAATTTGGATTATGCATCAAACTCTGAAACTCGCACATGCTAGTATCATTATTGCTGAAATAAAACTCCTGAGAGCAGGCCAACATTTTTTGTTTTTTTAATTGATCTTCAAGTGGTTGAATTAGTGTTATTCTATTAAGCTAATGATTTGTAGAAAAGATGATTATATCAAGATCACGAATGATCTGTTGCCTTTTTTTTTCTTCGAATTGACAGAAAATGATTGCTGAGAGCTAATAAGGTAAAAAAAAAGAAAAGAAGAGAAATACCAAAGAAAGGAAAGGAAATGTCTTTATATATGTATATATTAGTATTTTGTTAAGGGGAAAGAAAGAAGAGTGAAATGATGTAGAATTGATATTGATCTCAAACTGGGAAAAGTAGAAAGAAAAGGTTGAATCGACTTTTTTTTTATAGCACTATTTTTATATATATTTGTGGGTATTATAACGATTTTATTTGATTTATAAACGACACGATTTCTAAGTTTTGTTTCTCAATTTTTCAGTATCGCTTTCTATCCAAAGGGGAGAGAACTTTTTTCTATGTAATTTCCTTAGTGATGTCCTGGTACATAGACAATCTCTTGCAACGTTCATTCATGACTGAATCATTGCGAAAGTCAAACCTTCCTTCCTGCCATGCAACTTTTGTATGTGGACACGAAGAAAAATAAAAAAGTATATCCTACTAGTCGATACCAAGTACATATTCTATTTTTCTTTTTTCTGCTTTGTTGACAAAACCCTTTTATTAATTACAAAAGAAGAATCACTGTAATATGCAATAACATGATCCAATGGAAACTGCCATTATAAACGTGAAGCAAAACAGAGTTGTGTAAAGTACTTTATTTGCTCTTTTTTTTTTTTTTCTTATTTATGATTTCATGCTCGAATATGTATAGATTAAAATAAATGAAAGAAGCTCTAAACGGTCTTTTATTGTATCATTTACAATCTTTGTTCTCTACTCTTCCAAGACATTGGCTCTGAAATTACTACATGGAAACAGAAAAAAAAAAGTTTCGGTTGGTTAGCTTTTTATAAAATGTATGCGTGTTCAAAGTAAGTATAAGTAGTATATGATTCCCGTGATCTCTTTTGGTTATTTTTTTTCCCGTCTCCTGAAAAAGCTTCGCTTCTTAAAGAGAACCCAGGCAAACATACAGAGACACACACAAACACACACCATCACGCACACATATACACGCACACACCATGCAGGGTTACGATATAAAATGTTTTAAAGTAAAGAAATAGGGCCCAACTAATTAAATAGTGGATTGTACATGGAAAAAAAAAAAAAAAAAAAAAAAAAAAGGTTCGTGCACACTGGATTGTTACAATGTAGTGAGGAGTTCATCTCAAATAAAAAACTGACTCCCGCCCTTCCCCTCCCCACCACCCCTTCCTCCTTTTCCTTTGAAAAAGAAAAAAAAAAAAACTAGAAAAGAAAAATTGGCGGGAAACCTGTCATTGTATGTAATACTTAACGGGTCTAGGAGGGATGATCAATTTTAATTGAAGAAACGTCAGATTCCAATAGTAATATAAGCGTCTTTTTTTTTTCCTCACTTATAATAGCACGACTTACGCGTTGTCGTTTGTAAATAAAGTACTTGGATATACACTCAAGGTTGAATCATACCTAATTTGTAGCATTTATGTAAAACGAAAGAGAAAGAAACGATATTCTACGTTTATCAGACAACCCTTTCTTATAGGACTATGCATAGATGCGTGTAGAAATGGAAAATCTTTTTTGCATTTTCTTACACAGTATATATGGGTAAATTAGCAGGAATATATAATGATGGAATAGAGAAAGGAATGGGGTATGGACTATAGTTTCTCTTTGAAAGATAACAAAGGCAAAATGGATATCAAAGAGTGGTGGTCTTGTAAATGGGTGAGTACAAATAAAGAGAAAGGCTCCAAATATAGGCAAATCATAATAATAACGCACATTTGTATTTGCGTCTGTTGATACCCACGTGTAAGGAGATAATCACTTATAAACGAGCTGTTTAGTATAGAATGGTAGGAGTCATTGCGTTCTCCCTCTTTATCATCATGGGTGACATGGTTGCTGCTGCTGTTGCTGCTGCTATGGATTGTGCTGTTGTAGCGATGGCTGCTTTCTTTTTAGAAGCTTTTGTAACATAATGTTTCAATAACGCCATTTGATCCTCTCGTAAATCAGTAAAGAACATATAGAGCTCATCCTCTAATATGTTATGGAAGGCAACGAGTGCTTCAATGCAGGATTTTCTTACGTTAATCATGGGATGATTAATGCCCTAAAATACAGGTAGAAAGCGCGTGTAAATAGGGATGGGTGATGATGACTGCAATTTCTAACTCTACACTACCTTGAAAAAGGCATTCACACCTCCTCTACTCGTTAGCCATTCATCAATGTAGAAATTGTCATTCAATTCCTTCACCCATTTACTGAGATACGTAAAAGCTGAGCCCACTGGATGGTATCGTGCGTCTGCCGAAAGTTGAATGGAGGGAGAAATGACAAGTCGGTACACTACGTACGCCATCAACATTTCAAACACGGTAGGTGGATTCAATGTTCCCAATACAGCATCCAAAGCATCTTCTGCAGCAATGCATACCTAAATAGAAAAATAGATGAAATCGATAACATCATATATCGTTCAATTAACATACTCGTACATAAAATGATATCATTGACTTTTTTTTTTTTTTTCTTTTCTTTTTTCTTCTTTACGGTAGGGTTTTCGCTCGATCGAATGTGTAGCAACTTTTCCATCAATTGCGATTCTAGAGTCTTTCCTTCATTATCCACTTTTCGCTCATAAAACCGAAACAAACCCGCTTGCGTTACTGCTAATTGACGCACGGATTCTAGAGCGACTAAAATGATCTTTTGTTGTCGTTGACGAAGGGTTTCATCGACTCCTGCCAAGACAGGAGATTCTTCATGGTCCACGTCCTCTTTATGACTGTTGGTCAACGGTTCCTGAGGTTGAGGATGAGGTTCTTCATTTAGAAAAAGTAAAATGGTTTGAATTACTTCCACAAAATTACTCGCTTCTCCTTGAAGCCCTCCTGCCCAAGTTTCACTTCCCACTTCTTCCAGACCTCCTTGATCCCATCTTCTTCGAATTGGTACTTCTCTAAATAAACGTGTCAACTTGCGAAGGGTGGTAGTGATAGATGTCATATTCTGTTGTTGTTCCTGCATGGCTGTTGCTGTAACATGATGACAAGTGTAACTCATATTACTTTCATGGCTTTTTAATTTATCCATCAAAGCATAAAGCAATACAGTTTTATCTTTGACGTTATTTCGTCCTTGATGACTCGAGGGTGGAGGTGGCGGTGGCGAATTGGAAGCGGCATCTGGCACACTTGAAGCAGCAGATGTTTGTGCCGATGAAGACATCATCACCGCTGGATAATTGCTTTGTATATTGGATCGTATCGGTTGTTGAAAGACTGGGTTTGGAAAATTGACTCTTTCCGGTGCATAAAAAGGAACATAATGAGGTTCTGGATATTTTTCGGGATTGGGTACACTTGCTTTTAAAATAATTTGTTTCGGCTTTGTTGGTACATGCTGCTGCTGTTGCTGTTGTTCGGTTAACTGAGGTGATTGTAGCTGTTGCAGCTGTGGTTGTTGTTGTTGTGGTTGTTGTTGATGATCTATAGAAGGTAGGTCGGATACAGTGTGTAAATCCATGACGACTTCAGGATCCTCATGTTCGTACTTTTTTTTTTTTTTTTTTTTTTTTCAAGCAAAAAGAGTTTATGGAGTTTAGCTTTTCATTGTCGTTAGCAATCATCAGATTGAATGTCACTTACCAAATCATGTTGAGTATGAAGGTTGGCGACTGTTTCTGACAATTTCAATGGATTGCTCTCATCGACAAAGAGCGTATGGGTGGGTGTTGGATCTGCTATGGCAGCTGATACCAACCCTACCGCTCTTGTGGTCTGATGTTGTTGCTTCATTTGAGTAACTGTATCAAAATAGTCATCGGTTGTCCCGTCTTCTTTTGATAGTTCTATGGTTTGCTTCGCTGCTATGGCCGCTGGACCAGCTGCTGCGGAGAGGGTGTGGGCCGATTGCTGTAATTCGGGCAGAAAGGGCTGCTGATGCTCTTCCGTATAAAATGAGGCTGTTTGTTCTACGTTACGGACAGCAGCCATGGTGTTTTGAGAATGTTCCAAATCGAAACGCGTACCCTCCTCCTCTTTCTTCTGCTCAGGTGGGTTGCTTCTTGGGTTCAAATGGAGCGTGTCTAGTAAAAACGTTTCGTCTGCAACTAATTCAGATGAGTCATGGGTCGACGAGGCAGCCACTGGTGAAATCGAGTGGATGGAAAGATCATTATTCATGTCAGTAGCTGAGGATATCGTTCTACCGTTGTTGTTGTTGTGATCGGCAGTGTTCGCATCAGTGATCATTGCATCTTTACGTTCTTGCTTTGGAGGCTCGATGGATTCAGATGGTGTCATTGCTGCAAACGTTTCTGGTGAGGACGGGTGCATGGGTTGACTGTCGACAGGGACAGCGATAGCGGGACGTATCTGAATACTCAGCACACGAGCGATTTTATTGATAGAGTATTCATCGTAAGTAGACACGACAGCTTCAAACAGCTGTTGATTCAATAGACGTAGATGCTTCAAAAAGGTCACTAACGGAGCGTACCATAATGTGCCAGAGGTAGATGTGGTAATCAATGGCAGTAAAATAGCTAAACATTGTCTCAGATTGTCTTCTGACCGAAACCATATTATGGACGAAGACGTTGAAGAGGATGATGATGTTGATTTGTATGCATTGATATAATCTTTAGGTACTCCTTCTAAATACTCTGGTACGATGATGGATGATGGCGGTGCTGTTGTTGTTATTGTTGTTGTTGTTGTTGTTGTCGACGAAGATGACGATGATGCCGATGATAATGATGTGGATAACCTCAAATCATCTACTACTTTAGATGGTGGACTATGTGTTGATGAGGATACTAAACCAATGAGTGGTTTCACCAAATCGTCCATCCATTCTATAAACTCTTTTGTCAGTTTGCGTCGATTGGCTGGTAAACGTGTGATATCCTTTTTACTACTACTACTACTACTATTGTTAGGACTATGACTGCTGTTCTGAATGCTATTCATAAACCCACCGTAATGTATCAAGTTGGCAAATACGGTTTCTGCCAAATGAGGATGTTCATGATACAGGAATAGTTTGGCTCGAGCCAACCCAAGTTGAGCCTCGTGTTCCATCGTTGTGTTAGAGCGTGGGTAAGAAGGAGGTTGATGAAGTAGACGATGAGAATATGTGGTTGCTTCCAGTTCTCCTCCTTTGTTTGCATCCAACATCAATTTGGGTATCAATTCTTCAAAAGTGAACAATTTAAATAAAATATGGGTCAGTCCTTCCCAACTATACAAGATACTGTAACTGTCCCCCTGATGCCAATGGTGTGCTACTATATTTTTCAGTGTCTCTCCATTGACGGGTGGCGCATGAGGCACTTCCAGTTGAAGGGTTGTCTTTAAAGCAAGTAGGAGCTGCTGAGCGTCGGGCTGATAGCGAAAGGCAGAGAGCTTTTTGGATAATTGTAGTAGTCCTTCATTGTATTGAGCAGGATCGTCGTGGGTGAGTAAAGCCATAAAATGAGGTTTTGCTTTTTTTAAAAAGCCAATGGTTGATTTTTTACGAGATAAAGTTGGGACGCGTGTTTTACGGCCTGTTGGCGAGGTAGAAGTCGAGGGATGTTGTGTTAATTGAGATGATATGGAAGCGGGCGGTGGTGATGCATAAGCTCGTAAATGAGGGGACATGGCTCGTGGCGACATGGCTCGTGGAGACGTTGCGCGAGGTGATGCAGACCGTTTGAGATGTTTTTGATAGTCGATGGAACTTGTGGAACCATTGGATGTATTGGAGTTGGAAGGTGAGAGATGAAGACTATTTTCACGGCGGTCCAATGAGCTGGAAGCTCTCGGCAGCATAGTGGGACTGTTGCTACGAAGCAATGACCTATTGGCAGTAGCGCTCACATTTGTCTTTAGCGAAGTGGATTTTGACTTTTCAAGCTGTTTTTGTGCAGCGGGCGGCAAGTTTTTTAAAATGCTAAATGACAAAAGTATAAAAGAAGAAGGATAAGGCTTTGTAAGATAGGATTTGTCAAAGCATGTTGTGTCATAGAAGGGAGCGACTTTTTTTTTTGTCATCTATTGACAAAATGAAGAAAGAAAATAGCCACTTACTGTTCACCTCTCGCTCTCCAATGTTCCCAGAATATCCAAAATGCTTCTCTACAAGCTTCTTTCACGCTAGGTGTGGCGTCATTCAAACCCTTGGTCAGTATAGTTTCAAAATGATCGGTTGCACCTGAACGATCCATCAATGCACGCACATTGTCTCTATGGGTATGAGCCTGTAATAGGACTTTGGTATAGATGATGGTATAAAGGCGAACCTGATGATTCTTTTCGTTGATAGACAGATGGAGCATGTTCATCACTTTGGAGTGGAAAGGCGTGTGTTTAAGAAATAATGTGGTTGCTTCCAGACAGGCATTGGCGACTAGTTTCTTGGTCAGGCTGGCACAGCGCATCATACACATCATAATTTGGTCGGTCATGTAGCTATCCAAATGCTTGCCTATATAAACACCTATATCACCCACAACGGAAAGTGCTTTTACCGCAAGCTGAGTACGTAAACTTTCCACCTAAGAAAAAAATCGGGAGATGTTTTTGTTTGTTTGTTTCATTGACTGAAGAATGTGGATCAACTTTTCTTAAGAATAGATAAAAAAGAAAGACATACTGCTTTGATGATACCATCTATCATTTGCCTCATATAAGGTATAAACACTTCTAAATAAGGAGGCTCCGTTGCGTTTCCACGAAGTAACCCTTTCATCCGGGTAAGGGCCCTTTCTCTGGCTTCCCAATTGAACTCTGTTTCTTTATCTGCATAGGCTTTTAACATGAACGTGAATTCATTGTCCAATTCTTTAACACTATGTATCTATTCTCAAGCATGGAAGGGAAGAGTAGTGCGGGAATAATAGAAAATACAAGAAAAAAAGCGAAAAAAAAGTTAATTATTTTTCCTGGTTTCTTTGTTCCTGAGTTTTTTTTTTTTTTTTTTTTTTTTCTTTCTTTCTAAAACTATGTCTCTCACATACGCATTCTATCGTATTTAAAATGTATATAAAACACCTCCACATAAATCAAAGGGATATTTTATAGTTACCTGAATGGGGTCCACATCAGATGTTGCATCGTCTTTATGAATGGTCATGAAAGCGAATGAACTTGATTATGAGGAAAAAATTGTAAAAATCCACAAAAAAAAAAAAAAAAAAAAAAAAAAAAAAAGAATTAAAAAAAAGGGCTATCTTTTCATTTGTCTGAGAGGAGAGAAAGAGTGATCTAACGAGACATTTATCTGATTCTCAAAACTAAATTATTCTTTCCACCCTGATTTTTTGTTGCACAGGAGCAAATGAACTACCGTTGGTTGCATTTCCCTGGAAACAAAAAACATGGCAGACATAAAAATAGGCCATAGGGTTAGGGTAAAAGTCAAGATGAAATCAGATTGAATAGAAACGAGCTGGTGGTATCGTTTCAGTAATATCGAGTGTCAAGCTACTTGTCTAGATCACAAGAACGTGAATGACTGTGAGAAAAGAAATCAGGCATTCAGGCAGACTCAACCCAGGTCAACACATTGACAAGAAAAGAAGATACGACTGTATTTATTGATGTATATGCTGTATAATATGTATTCTAAGGAGACTTTAGGCAGTGGCTCCTGTTCGAAGCGTTGTGAGATGAGGCAGCCTTGAAAGAGCGACTGAAAATCACAGTGTATTCTAGTTTCTGTTCAGCCAATGCAAGATCTGTTCGTAACAGGCAAACTGGATGGCACCTCCTACGGTAGTAGTGTTTGATTGAATGTTACTCTTTGTGTATTTTTCTTTGGTTTTTTTTTTTTTTTTTTTTTTTTTTTTTTTTGTTTACCTGGTGCAATCCTTATAATACGTAACCAGGAGCCTCTAAAAAAGGAAGTCAATCCTTCTTGCCTTGCCATGGTTCGAAGACAATCCCACGTTGATGTATAAGATCTACCACTATCTTGCATCCTACAGAAACGTGACGTACCATGTCATAAGCTCGTTCCGTCCATACTACTGTTTTGACACTTGTTTGTATGTAATGTATATTACCTGGTTTTAACCACATCCGGTGGTGAGTTCAATACGCCCACTAGTACATTGGCCATTCCTCCACTGAACTAGGATCTATTTAGACAAAAATTTCTTTGGTTGTCGAACATAAAGCTTTCTCTTACCATGTGCTGCCAAGGACGTAAAGGCTCGTTAGGGTCCTTGGACATTTTCTGACATAGAGCTTTCAATTCTGTATAAGCAGAGAATTTCACCAACAAGCCTACATAATAGAAAAAAGTGGGTTGTAGGATGATTACACTATCCTCCTGGATTTTTTGCTTTTTTCTTTCTAGATACCCCATGATTGTCTTGCCACTGTTGCTAATAAGCCACTATAAAGAGCGGTAAAGCTTTTATAATCGAGTTAGGATCATTCATGGTCCATACATTCGAGCGGCTTCTTTAGTGAGGGGTTACCCTTCTTGTTGAACAATGATGGATGCGGTGTTGATCAAGCCATGATATTTTCTTTGATAATGTGGTTGACGCACAGCCATTTCCGTTTGCTGACGTACTTTGATCATTTCTAAAGGTGTTACTATGAGGGAAGAATTGGGCAAAATAAGCGTGAGGTTATTGTATTAGCAGTAAAAACAGTGGATGGACATGAGAGATTTACCAAGTGTCAGTGCCTGGGTGATACCCGTACAAATGCCTGCTAAACCTGCTGAGCTATGGGCTGGCAAAATGCCTCGATTTTCAAACTTTTCAAATATGGGTTTATAAAAAGCAAGCCCCATATACTGTAAAGAAATACGTGGCCCAACAATACAGAGGACAGGCAAAGTGCCTCTGTAGAAGGCTAACAGAGATGAGATAAAGGAGGGAGGAGGGGTTGAGTCTATCCAAGCACTATCATGCGACGAAAGACAAGAGATAGGTACAGTACCTGAAAAGCCTTCTTCTTTCAAGACCTGTTGAAAGGCGTTCCATATTCCATTTTTGTAATGCGTAGAAGCTTGTAGAGACTGTACAAAGGATAAGCAGAGAAAGCATTTTTGTAAACGAATGACTATGGATGAGACTCACCTGAAATCTAGTTTTGATGACATCTGTAGGCTAGAGAGAGAGAGAGAGAGAGAGAGAGAGAGAGAGGAAACGTGTTAGGATGGCTTTCACTCTACATGGAACGAACCACAGGTTAGCAAACAACCCCCCCCACTCGATCACCCTACCTGCATCAATAATATTTCAATGGTACCCGCTCCTGCTCCTGCTAAGGTCGAGTGCTAGCTTACGTGAGGCGGTGGTGGGTTAGTTTGTCGTGTCCACTGGAGCGAAGGAGTATGCATTCTTCTTTACCAACACGTCCGCTTTGGGTTTCTTGATGCTCACGGAAGTGGCTCCCTTGTTGACCCCATTTTGTTTACATTCGCTCATGGTATAGATAGGTCTTGCTTGTAACGAAAGCAAAGACAGAAGAAGAAAAAGAAAAGGAGCTGGGCAGAACCCTTCTTTTTTTGGGGGAGTTTTCCTCCCCGCGATCATCTGTACAACAAAGTGGATAAACGAGAAATCGTTTTCAGACTGACTCATAGTGGTTACCTGATTAATTTTGATGAATTTCCTTTGTTTGCAGAGAGGAGTGATCAAGAGATGGACGCAAAGTGCAGGATGATAAAAGCCGCTATGTAGGTCATCAAGTGCGTTGGTGGTGGTGGTGAGATAGTATAAGAGCTTTATTAGATGGTAATGAGATACAAATGTATATATACATATATCTAAGGAGATAAATAAAAGTGGGAGCAGCAAAATATATATATGTACTCGAACGTAAAGTGAGATATGTATAAAAACAGGTATTTTTCAGCAATACATAAGAACTCGTAGCGTGTGTGTGTGTGTGTGAAGAGAGAGGAGAGGTGAAGGATCAAAGGTGAGTTAAAACTTGGAAAGTTCTTTGGTTGACATCATGGGGTGATAACGGTTTTAGTGATGAGCCAATTCTTCCAAAATCTTGTCTGCGCCGTTTTGAATCAAGGTATTAGCAACATGACGTCCCAATTGCTCAGCTATTTTCTCTCGTCTATCCCTTAAACGTCTAATGCTAAGGTTGGTATCATGGGTGGTGTTTTCTGCTGCTACTGCACCGGTGGTGGCGTCTGTTGCAGAAGCGGGTGCTTGCTCTGCTTCTTCTTCTTCTTCAGCTGGTGTAAGGCTGACTTGGTCCTGATATTCAATGACGGTTTTACCATCCAAACTAGCTACTAAGCCATGTAGCCACAATGTATTCTTTTCCTGATCTAACTTTGTATTGACGCCAATAGGTACTGTACAACCTCCTTCTAAAGTGCGCATCAAAGAACGTTCACACAAACAACATAACCTCGTGTCGTTGTGATTCAATGCCTCTAATAGTTCCTTTACTTGTGGATCGTTTTCACGACATTCAATTCCCAATGCACCTTGAGACACAGCATGTAAAGAGTCGGAAGAGGTCAAGATGTGTGAGATACGATTCTCCTGACCGATACGCACTAAGCCTGCCACGGCTAGAATGATACCGCTATAAGGTCCATTTTCATCATCCAATTTAGCCAAACGAGTATTCCTAGAAAAGAGAGAGAGAGAGAGAGAGTGTGTGTGTGTGTGTGTCAATCATAGGTTCTTTTTTTTTTGGTTTGTCTTTTTATTTTTCCCCTTTTGCTTACAAATTGCCTCTCTATAAAATCCAGAGATTCGTTTTTTCAGTCGAAATCAAAATTGAAACCAATAAGTTAGTTTAAGCTTTTTTTTTTTTTTTTTTTTTTTTTTTTTTTTTTTTTTTTATCTTTCTATTTGGTTTAAAATACGCTACCACATCCTTAAATGATAAATGGGGATATCTTCGTTTTAATTGAGCTACTCTTCTTAACGAGCTTGTACCAATCACAGAGCCTTCTGGTAACGTAGCCAACGTCAATCCCTCACATTTCTTATTCAACACCAAAGCGTCGTTCGGGTTCTCTCTTTCTGTAATGGCTCCCAAAACCATCCCCGGTGGAAGCACGGTAGGTAAGTCCTTTAAACTATGTACAACAAAGTCTACGGTACCATTTTCCAAGGCAATTTCCAGCTCTTTCGTAAAGAGTGCCTTTTCACCAATTTTACTGAGGGCTTGGTTGAGAATCTTATCGCCCGTGGTGGACATGGTCTCAATATTGAATTCATAATGAGGATAAATGGCTTGTAATTTATCTCTCACAATGTAGGTCTGAACAAGTGCCAGTTGTGATTTACGAGTACCAATGGTAAAGGTCGTTTTATGTGATGTTGTATTCTGGAGAGATGTGACCATGAGGGACTATGTGGAATTAATGTAAGAAGTTCCAAACAGGAAAGAAAAAGTCTTTGTTGTCGAAATAAAACAACAAAAAAAAAAAAGTGCGTCCTGATTTGTTTGTTACTAAATTTCTAGGTTTTTTTTTTTTTTTTTTCTTCATCTTCTTAATCAACATGGGTGGAGATTGAAATCATAAAACCCTAAAAAGGGAAGGGAAAATAAAGCGGTGTCCATTGCAGAAAAAAAAGACGTTCTACTGACCCTACACTAATTCCAATATAAAAATTTAAAAGATGAAAGGCTTTTTTCAATATATGTAACATCAATAAGGAATGGTAGTGGTGAGGGGAAATGAGCGAATCATTTTGCAGTGATTTCCCTCTTCACCAAAAAGGAAAAAGGTTTTGCAACGCGCATAAAAAAACCTGGGTTTTTTTTTCCGCTTTTTCATATTAGAAAAAAAGTGTATTTTATTCAACCCAATCAAAAAATAACATACATTCATGAACAATCGCGGGGGGAGGGGGGATAGACTTTACATCCCACTGTTCAACCCTGGTGTTTGTGAAAAAAGGCCCATTTTCTTATTTGTAAGCTATTTACAAGTGGATGATTGGTTTTTCTACTTTTTTATATTTTCTCGGAAAAACAAACCCCCCCTCACCCCCCCCCCTTCGCCCCCCGAAAAGCGCGTGTAGTGGGTTGCTTTCTTTTTTTTTTTTTTACATGACATCTTTAATGATATCAAAAGCTTGTTTATAAACGTTCAACATGGATTTGCATTTTTCTCTTTCAAGAGCAATGGCATCATCCTCTTGCAGTAATTCTTCGAAATGCTGTTCTTTGTAAAGAGAAGCCACCAGTCTATTTTGAATGGATTCGCGGGAATAATTGACCAATAAGTGCATGACAGCTTTAGGTACCAAATCTTGAATGTTCTTTCTGACAATGTTAAAGTAGCTTGTAATTAAAGTACCTACGGAAAACAAGTTGTCAATAGCAGTCCTGTCCAGTCGCGTTAAAAAAAAAAAAAAAAAAAAAAAAAAAAAAAGAGAGAGAGAGAGAGAGGAACTTACGTATCAGTTGAATCTCTAATTCTTCTCTATCGTTGATGAAAGCACTATTCTCTGACGCCATCGTGTTAGGGTTGCTTTGTAGAGAAGCTTGTTCTAAGCGTTTGATCACCAGTTCGTTTTCCATCAAGTTATTGACAGAAATCGACGGTGGAACATAGTGTTGTACTTTGTTCATCATTTCTTGCGAACCTAGTGCCGGCCGTTCACTTTTGCTGGCTCCACCAAAGAAATACGTTAAAAATGAAGCGTCTCCTTTTTTATTACTATGGGTACTCTCTCGAGGGGGGTGGTGGTGGTGCTGATCATGGTTAGCCTCGCCATCCATCTCATTCGGGTCGGCCATGGAGGATGGATCGCTCACAGGGGGTGGCTGACTACTGCTGTTATTCTGAGAGACATTGCCATTGAGTAACGCCGTCGTCGTCGTCGTCGCCGTCGCCGTCGCCGTCATTGTCGTGGTGTGTGATAGCATGGACTGTTGCTGTTTTCGCTTACTGTCCCATTTTTTCTTTCGCTTTGTTTCGGTTTCAATATTGGCCATCGCGCCTGCTGCACCCAAGAAATCAGGATGATTGGTATTGATATACGCTCTTTCAATAGCAATCAAACTTTCTACATAGCTTGACGTGGGTGTTAATCTTTCTCGTAGTAGTTCGGAGACGACTTCAACCAAACGTTGGTGGAGTCGTGGGTATCTCAATAATTCCTACCATCGTGCAACAAAGGCGGGCGGGTCAAACACTCATCTGCCCCCTCAACGTCTATCTCTTCCTCTCCCCTTACCTTGATTTCTGAACTGTGACACACTTTCATCAATTCTTCGTAGACTAACTCGACGCATCTTAAACTAGGCGCTTCTAATAATTTGATTTGCGGTCGAACCAATAAATCAAACGCCAACTCGGGCACAAATAAAGAAGGACGAGGACCCGTCGAATTCCGAATGGCTGTACGGATATCATGATTGGTCAGATTAGAGCAGGCTGGGATCGCTTCTAATGCCTGTCCAAACACATTGTTGAATATGTAATAAATACGTGCGCCACCACACAATTCCTTCGTCGACATCTCCGCCGATGTACCGTCAATCGCTGCAATAAAATCATTGGAAAACTTGGTGATCAGACGTAAAATGAGGGGCCCTTGATACAAAGCAAGCTCTTCCTTGGGTAGGCCGTTCAAAAGAGCAGGGTGGCTACTACTGTTGAGCGGGTCACCGTATTGATTCAACTCTTGTTGTGTCTGGCTAATCAATGTACTTAATTTGGTCCTTAATTCGGGTAACTTTTCTTTGATATGTTGATGAAGGATCTAACATACGTCGATGTGGGTGTAAAAATTGGGTATAAAGAAAAAAAACTTGGGATTCCGCTCCCTCTCTGCTCTCTCTCTCTCTCTCTCTCTCTCTCTCTCACACACACATACACACACTTACGGTATTTAACTGTTGACTGAGGTATTGAGTGCCACATCGAGAGGCGATGCTTTTATAGGCTGGATGGGTTTGAAAGAATTGCTTTTCTGCTTCTAACGCACTCGCCATGGGTTTGTTGGTCAAAATATCTTGTTGACTTCGATTGACGACGCCAATGAAGCCTAGTTTGAGCGGGTAAGACCTGCCTGATAAGATATCTAACGCGTTGGTGCCCGCATCCATCAAATCTAATTTGGTTAATACACCAATGGTTCGTTTGCCTTCTGGATCGACTTGTCGAGCGACTTTCAAACTATCTGAATTCACGAGATCTGAATTAGCTGGTGTTACTGCGAGAATAATACTATTCGGATTCGAAATGTAATCCATCACCAAGCTTCTTATTTGTTTTTCAATATCATTAGGCTGGTCCCCTATGGATTTGATGAATTATTTAGTCATTCAATCGTGGTAACGTCTCTCGCTCTCTCTTCATCATCAACAGACGTGCTCTCTTTTTACCTATTGGAATCTTTTTGCAAAAGGACTTTGTTAAAAAAAAAAAAACATGGATGCCCTTTTTTTTCTTACTTACATTACCTTTGTTAAGCCTGGCAAATCCACTAACGTCAAGTTTAAAACTCGAGGAGAATAAATACGTAACTGAATGGGCATGCGAGAGATGCCTTTATTGCTTCCAGCTAATCGAGTCGTTTCGCGTTCAATCTCTTGTCGAATCTCTTCAAAATCATAAAACTTTTTGTTCTTGATGTGTAAGAATTCACCATATTCTTCTAATGGTGCTACTCCTACGACTGTACTTGTGTTGGTAGTGGCAGCGGTTGTTGTGGCAGAGGCATCATGGTGCTCATCAAGCTCATCATGACGTTGTGGTTGTTTCAAAGTGACAAGCTGAAGTATCAACGGTCTGCGGGTAACAATACCACTGCCACGAGGTAAAAAATCACGTTGAACCAACGTCTCGAGAACAGACGATTTGCCCGAAGACTGTGAACCAACCACTGCAATGAGAGGCAAGTCAAGTGCATTGTCAGCACCTACGGAAGCCACTACCGTTTGTAGCTTGTTGGTTAAATGGATCAAATTTTCCATGCCTTGGCTTTCGAATAAATCTACAAAATAAGATAAAGAGACGAAGAAAAAAGAAAGATAGAGATCTGTATAGAAATTGGAACAATACCGTAACTTGAAAAATTTAAATTTGGATAATTTTGAATAGAAAAAAAAAAAGCTGGGGTTAGGCGGAGGGGCAGGTTTTTTACATTATTGTTTTCTCAAAAACAGGTGCTTTCTCGACTCATGGTTAAGCAGCACATCGAACAGCCCACATTCTTGGACCTGACAGACAACAAAAGTCACATTTTTTATTCAATAAAACGCGCCAACAGCATACAAACGAACCCAAAATTGATCAATTGACTGAGAAAGCAAAGGTTACATTCGGGTGAGCCTGGCGTGTCTTTTGAGTCATTTCAAGTCCAGAAGAAAAAGGTCCCTCACCCGTTTTTTTTTTTTTTTTTTTTTTTTTTTTTTTTTTTTTGTTTTTGATCCCGAAGCTAAACTTGTGTGATCTGCATTATTCCGTCTGTCTTTTGTTTGTTGTCAGTTTGGCTTTTTATCGCCAAAAATCATTTCTCTGCTGTCCCATGGCTTTTTCTTTTTCGCTGTAAAAAAATGTCCAAAATACATGTCTCTCCTATTCAATCGTATGTCTTTTACAACCCTGTAGATTCAATAACACAGGCCATGTTTCCGCATGATCATTCGACTTGCTTAACGTTGCAGCAGCCATCCAATAGTCACTGTGGTACTGAAGCGTCTGAAGAACGCGTTTTGCCGCACTTGACCGCGTTGAGTAAAAGTCTTGGCATCTGGTGTTTGTTTTATCCAATACGACTAAAAGTCTTTCTATATTAACTTTATCTTTCTACGCATGCTATTCTCTAGATCATCACGAACAATAGTAAATGACTCTCTCTCTCTTTGGCATTTTTAGTTGATGAACAAATAGATCTTTACACTCCTTTTTTTTTTTTTTTTTTTTTTTTGTAAACAATAAAGTTGTCAATGGACGGTCGATGAGTACACGAATACTCTTGCAGAAGAAGGAGCGAGTATGACGAACGGAAGAAACAAGTTAATAGAGCTGGTCACAAAAGGTAGAAAAACACAAGCCTCTAAGCTGTACTAGCCTTGTTCATTGAAGTCGAAGGAATGCTCCTTTGATAGGTCATGACGTTGCATGCTTGTTCTTTGACGTCGGGTAACAGTATCCCCATTCCCCTTTCTGCAGAGCACAAACACATGTCGTATCCCATGAGAAGTCTCATCTCTTTTTCTCTACTTCTAGCGGAAATTTCATGACAATTAGGAAAATGTAGGCTCTGCACTTAACCTTTGGTTTAAATATTATTATTTTTTTCCCCAACTAAATGCATGTATAATAACAATTGGGAAGAGCGGATCAGAAGCAACGTTTATTGACCGCTCTAGAAGCCTCCATGGATGCAAATGTCATGACACTTGAATACGCTTATTTTGGCTTTACCGATACCTATAGTTATGATCTTCGTCGAGATACTACTTGTTCAAGTAAGTGGGTTGTTAGAATGGACACCCTATTCTTTTTCATTTTTTTGCTCAGCTTATGGTGACCCGATCGTTAGATGATGCCGTGGTCAATAGAGGCGTGGATTATTGGATGACAGGCATTCAAGATTTTTCCACTCTACGGAAATTGGTGGACAGAGGAGCCAACATAGCCAATCTCCTAAAGATACGACTAACGAATCGGAAAACAAAGCAGCAAGCAAGTATGTCATTCTTTGATCTGCTTCGTCCCAACGTTGCTTCCAAAGACAAGAATGTGGAAACTGACAGTAACCATATTCGACAAGAAGACAGCTCAATGGATGCCACTTTTCATCAACTAAGTATGTTCTTGGTGTGGGAAGAGAGACAACCCCGTAAATGTCACAACGATACAGATAGTCATCCCCACTTTTTTGTTAAAAAAAAAAAAAAAAAAAAAAAAAAAAAAAAAAAAACTAGGAGTCTTGGTGAATAGGTTGCTGGGAGCCAAAAGTGAGGCACAAGAGAATAAGTATCGTGGTAGTATCGCACCTTGGGATCCTTTCTCAGAATCTACCACTGGACTCTACGTATTGACCGATCTGCTGACCCATTTTCTTTGTGGGCATCATCCACTGGCTGTATTCTGTTATTTGAATGTGAGCTTTGTTTTGATTTTATGGTATGAGTTGAATTTTACAAAAGACCCTTTGTAACTCTTTTCTTTAAGGAATGCTTACGACAGCATAGGCGAGAAACGACGTTTGCTTTGGATTTTGTCAGTTCATTGAGACAATTACAAACCATATCCCTCAAGAATCCACTTATTTTTCATCATCACCCAAGAGATCTTGATGACAACAACTACAAAGCTGGGCAATGGATTCGGCAGCGTGAAAAGTTGGAAAAGGTAGCCAGCCCCCCTCCCCCCCCACTTTCATTGGAAACAATAAACGCACACCGTTCATGGTTTCTGTTTATATACTACTCAATTTTAGATAGTCGCTGATAAAGAGAATGCAATAAAAGAATGGCAACAAAAATGTGCTCAACTGGAAAGTGATTTGAAAAATGTGGAATCCAAGCTTGAAGAAACCATTCGTAAGTGTGTGTGTGTGTGTGTGTGTGTGTGTGTGCGTGCAGACGGGAAGCAATACTTGATTGTCTATTCTATCCATTCAATTAATTGTCATGCTATTCCTATATAATAGTAGCCTTTGAAAAGAAACAGACCCATGAAGCGGAGCAATTCAATCAACATTTACAGCAAAGAAGCGACATTATGAAAAAACTCTACAAACGTACCTTGAAAAAGATGAAAATGCTTGCTTACCATAGAATATGTACTCTGAAGAAAGAAAAGGTTTGAAATGGCTCGCCGTTGGCACATCCCTGTTTCGTTTGTAACCCAAACCCCCCATTATTCCTATGTAAACTAACATAGAGTGCAGCACAATTGAAAATCAAACAACTCAGACAAAACTTGGTATGCAACTCGCTTCTATCCATCCACTTATTTCTGAGCACAACCCAACGAAATAGAGACTAGATTGCCTCCTCTTACCACCCTCACCCCCCGCTCTCTTTGACATCTATCATTAGGCTAAAAGTATCCAAGTGACGAATAGCCTCAGATGGAAAGGTTTTCAACAATCACGATATCATGAAATAACAGAGGTATTACAGAAATGCTCAACTTTCTCTCAGTATTTTCTCTCACTCCAGATCAACCTATTGTTGAATAGGCGAATTACAGAAAGGAAATCCATGCTATGAAATGCGAAAGAGCCGAGTTTAGAGATCTTTTCAACACATTTCGAAGCAATTTGTTGAAAAAGAACGTGGATTTGGATGTTTAGGAAAACGACGGAAAAGGGTGTATAAACCTAGTGGTTGTGCCTCCATTTAAAAGACTTTGCGGATTCCTTGTTCAGACGTTTTATTTCATACAAAGAATATCAATAAATACTATGTATTGATATCTTGAAAGCCCTCGTGGCATAGCCAGCCCATCCATGATCTTTCTTTGGCATGTTTTCCAAGTCATCCTACTGAATGTAATCTGCATTGGTTTCTACTATTCCATTTGTTATTAGAACTTTTGACAAATGATTCTTCTCTCGCAAAAGATGCTGACCCCAACAACTCAGCCAGGGGACAGACGCAGCGGACGTAGGGTCAGTAGTAAATCTCCATTCCGACTGGCGAGACTCCGTAGAAGAAAGCTGAACTACCCTTTGAACGTTTCCAGCAGATTCCCACTCGTACTTTAAAAAAGAGAGATAAAGCCAACCTTGTGTGCCAGCACAAATCTCAGTGGAAAGCTTATCAACGCGTAGATTGAAATTGAACGCGTCCCTTATCAGTCAGATGACTTTTTTAAAATTGCATAAATATTGTAACTGCTTTATGTATCTCGGCCTTTGATAGGTGCGGTTCAAATTGAATAAAACTGCACCTTGCTAGATCAAGCATTATATACATGGAAAAGTGCAATTTAAGCTCTAAAGCTTTATTGAGTTGAGAATTCTGCTGCTACAATGTTCAACCATCTATCCTATTTACAAGTCACATTTGTTCAATTGTAGAAAAAGAGTACATTATCACACATTGATATGTGTGAGAAAATTGACGTGGGAGGTATAATAACAGCTTTTTAACAAAATAAGGGGTTTCAAGCGAGTATAAAAAGTCTTACGTCTGAACTAAACATCTTGCTTTTTTTTTTTTTTTCTTTCTCATCATCTCAAAAAGCTATCAGAAAATACTTCAAAAGATGCGCTTTGCTCAATTCATCCGTAAAAATCCCGATTTAGCTCCTCTGTTCGTCATTACAGCCGCAGGCTGTACAGCTGCTGTTTCGTAAGTAAAGACTTTCTTTTTTTTTTTTTTTTTTTTTTTTGTTCTTTGTCAAGAAAATAGTATTGAGAACCTTTCTGTTTTCGTTAGATATCCTCGTAAGTAATAATAACTACGCATCTGCGTCGAAAATATCCTAAACAGAACAGTAGTTGTAAACTCATCCCGCTGTATTTTTATAGTCTATTTGCTTAGAACTCACTCTGATATTCGTGTCGATAAGAACAACAAGTATCCTTGGCAAAAAATAGAACAACATCAGAATACTAAGGTAACATACTTTGCATCAAGGCACTGCTACGAGATAACATTACTCAAAAGACCTTTCATATATCATAGTTTATGACTGTGAATCCTGAATTCTTTGAATCTCGTCGTAACAAGCAACCTCCATTCTTCTGATTTAAGCATTAAATTCAAAGAAAAAAAAAAAAGACATACATATACCGAACAATCCATATAACCCTCACTTTCTGTTGAATAAAGCTTACTTTAATCATTTGCTTCTTGATTGTATATGAAGGTTTTTCACTATCCATCCTTCCTTTTCAGAAATGCATTTCATTCTTTCTCTAAACGTCAATTTGGAAAGCAACCGTTAAAAAGAATAACTGGCTTATATATGCATAAAAGAAGGGCTGAAGTGGTTCTTTGCATTCTTAATGTGATAGAGGCTTTTTTATTATGTTGAATAGAGAGAGACGGCTCACCTCTTTTGTGGCAATGTCTCTTGCTGCTTTTGTTACAAAGGCCTTCACTAGACACTAGTTTCAGATTTGATTTATCTGAAATAGAAACAGAACACACTTTTTTACATAGGCACACGCCTTTCCCTCCCAAATATTCTGGTTTTTAGAACAATGGGATGGTAGAAAGATTCACTCGCTTGTTCACAAGGCGGTGTGAAAGGTGACAGAGTGCATTGCATTCATCTCCGCTGTAGGCGCTAACCCGCTCACATTATACTGAAATGGGCCAAGGAATGCAACGTATTGATGGACTTTTCTTTAAAACAAAGCACACATCCGCTAATGTAGTCATTCAACTACATTCTATCTCAGTTTTGTGAGTACTTGAAATATCGTGGAAAAACACTTTATTTAAATAAGTAGTAGTAGTAGGGTTGCTTGTAAATAGCAAGGTATCTTAAAGTGAGAAAAAGTGAGAGAAATGTATGCTACAATCATGGGCTGTATCTTTGAGACGAAAGATCGACTTTAAGTTCACAAATTTCATTGTCTTTTTTTCCCTTCCTCACTGTCGGCATCACTCTTACTCATCTCATCTTGCGCTGCCGTTCCTTCACTGGCTGCATCATTGTTTATTGTCTCCTTATCGTCCTCCTCTTCATTGTTATTGTCGTCATCTGCACTGACATGCTCCGAAGGTGGTTGCTGTTGTTCTTGTTGTTCCAGTCTCTGCTGCTGTTCTTCATGCTCGTCTTCCTGTTTAGTCATCAGTGCCTGTCCTTCGTCATCTTCATGAATCATTGCTTCTATCCTTTTTAACAATTTGTTGAAGGCCCTTTGCGTCGGTACCAATTTGAGAGGATTTTGTTCTTCAATGGCCTTGATAGCCCGTTGTATATCGATCAATTTCGTTACCTCCACTCTGTCTAGATACACTTTTAAAACAAAATGACACATTGCTTTACGTTTGGTATTCTCTGGTTCGTTCAAAATTATTTCAAGTGCTTCGAGAGCAGGTCCGGCTGGTGTGCTAAAACGAGCGGTATCATCATCGTTATCATCGTCATCAATAAATGACGGAAGCTTAGTGTTCTCCCGTCTACAAAACAAGTACAATATGTGTCAAAGATAGGCTTCCCATTGGAGCAATCAAGAAGCTTTGTAAACAGAAAAGGGTAGCACTTACTTGGCCAATTTACGAGGATCGTTCCAATCCGCCAACATTTCTGATATCATCTTTGGGCTGGTCATGGTTTCATCTTTTTCTAAATCGTTATACGTATTACATAATTCTTCCAGGGCAGGAATCGTGATATTGGAAAGCGATTTCTGATGTTCTTCTGACGAATAGCAATAAGCGGGGAAAAAGTAAGCTAAACATTGATGAATACTATTGCTGTGTACGTCAGTCTCGGCTTTCGGGAAAAAGTAAAGTAGGATCATCAAACGCAACAGCTACCGACACATGACATCGAGTGAGTTATCATCTTCAAATGAGGCAGGGCGACGTTTCCTTCACGAAAAAAAAAACAGCACTTACTTCATCGTCATTGAATCTGTTAAACAACATCAATTTACATAATGCCTGTGTCGCCAGAAATTGAATTTCTGTATTATCATGATCTAATGCGAACTCAAACACTTCCCTAAAATCGTCCGTCTAAAAAAATGCAATCTATGTGACTTAAAAGGTTGGCTCTACTCTATTTTTTTACTGTATTGTACTTACACTGGGCAGGTGTTCCTTCATTGTGTTTACACCGTACATCAGTAGTAGATCACCTAAAATCTGTACCTATCATTAGCGACTTTTTTCTTTTCACCTCAAAACCGTACTTGATACTTACTCTGATAGCCTTTTTCACGAGATCATCATGACCTTGCTTTATACAAGTGATGAATAATGAAATGTTATGTTGCGCTAATCGTCTATCCAACGTACAACATAGACCCAAACAATGCAATCCTTCTTGGCGAAGGAGGGTATCAGAATTTTGTACAGCTGGAACAATAAGATCATTCAATAAACCATATAAATTCGAGTTTTCTGTTAGGGGCTAATGTGGATATGCAAATCAATAGCGATGAGTTGTTGAGGCCGAAACCACTTATTTGCTCTCATGGATGTTCTCTTTTCTCTTTACCTCATAACTATTTTCAAGCATGCGTTTACATATGTTCAAGCAGCGGAATTGTGTCACAAGACTGTCAATCGTTGCTTCTTCATTTTCTCCTCTATTGTCTTCTATAGATGCTACAGGTGAGCAAGTGACAGAAGCAGGAGGAGTCTCGCTCCTATCTCTCGCTTGTGAGTTGCTGATTTTCGCTTTCTTTGTGGGAACTATATCTTCTGCATCGTAAAATGGCATAGAAGCATCTTCTTGGATATCTGATATAATCTCGATAATCGATCTATCAGATCAGATGATGAATATCAATGAGCATACAGAATATATACGCAATAGCCATAGTGTGTCTATTTCAATACCTGGTGAAATCTTTCTCATCAATAGAAATAATTCGAAAGATTTTGATAACTCTCTTCAAATGGTCATCGATCATTTCATAAGATCGAAGGATATTACGTAGTACTTCGAACATCTTTTTTCTTCCGACTTCATCAGCATAATCCAAGCACAACGATATATCTAGCATTTGGGTAGTGATGAATTCGTAGTTTAAAGAAGCATCGGTTGCAGAATTGCATGAAGCGCGATAGAGATTAAAGTAATTCTCCAAATTGAATACGTGGCGTGTTACTTCCGGCAATATAGAGTCCAGCTTCTCTTCTAATCCTTCGTTATTTTGTAAGAATTCAATGATCACTTTGGCTAATAATGCACTTTCACCTGACAAATTGCTCCAAAATTCATCTGTTATAATGTACCAGTAGTGAGTGGTTAACAATCAGTTCGTTTATATTGTTCAGTACCCATCGAACGTCGCTCACCATCAAATGTAATCTCATTCACAATATCCATTCTTTCTTTGAAAAAAGCCTTGAGTAATTGTTCTACTAAAGGTGATACAGCTGGATGGGTGGATTCTAATCGTTCCAAAAATTCAATCAGATTGTTGCCTGCATGCTGAATCCACTTCTCTGAGAACATTTTAAGAGCTGATTTTCGAACCAATTTGTTTCTGTCATTGAGACCCCATTTTAAAACTTCATAACGCTCATCGAAACTCAAAAGCCGGAAATCTTGTAGATCAGATAATGGCTTCAAGTAAACAACTCGTCTATTGATATCGTCGGGATCTCGCACACTTTTTACAATGTAAGGTAGTGTGTTGGATGTAACGTCCACATTAAACAAAATAAGTCGACGTACTTCACTATATAAAGCAGTTGAATATGAGCGAGAATTCCATAGAAACCTTTGTTTTTTTAATTGATAGTTCTTACGGGCTTGGATCAAAGCGAACACTCCACATTAACTTTTCATGAATCGTCCTACCATCGCTTGGATCCACTTCTGTATCACTCTGTAATCGACAAAGAGCAGTTGCAGCCTGCGCTCTTACACTGGCTTCTTTATCAATATGGGCTTCGAATAAGTATGTCTTTAAATCTTGATATAAATCCTCGCTATGAAACGTATTGTGAATAGCAAATTTGAAATGAGAGAACTGTAATTTATATCTGTTTCCATAAGAGTTTATCGTCATTCTTACTCTAATTCACCCATAGAGCTTATGTTGAGCGCTATCATCTGACAGCATCGAAGGCGAATGTGAGATTTGCTATCACGGAATCCTTGGAACAAATGTCGAATCAAACTCTCTACGAATCGTGAGGTAACTGTTTCATATTCAGGCTCATCCTCCTCCTCCTCCTTCCCTTCATTTATTGTTGCTTCCGGTGCTTCAAATTGTTGTTGTCTTGTATCGGCGGCTTCATTATGACCATCTTCAGACATAGCATCACTTAAGTCACTATCTACTGTTTTACCTGCTGTTATTTGTTGTTGTTGTTGTTGTTGTTGTTGTTGTTGTTGTTCCTTTCTCTTTTGTTCCTTGGCTTTTGATTTAGCCTCCTCATCTACAATGATGTAACAAGCGACGTACAGTTTAGTCAAAAGACTTATTTTCAACAATGTCACAGCGGTATTCTAAGGAATATGCATATTTCGAACCTTTCGTTTGAATATATTGTAAAAATCCTGCTATAAATCGTTGAACTCGATCTGCTGTGGGCTCTTTCTTTTTCACTTTGATCACCATATTGACCAATCTGAAGATCAACTTTAAAAACTTGGCTTCTCCTTCATGGTCAATATCTTCTGGTTGGCCAATCATACGAGGTGAATTAAGACAACAGTTCATTTGAACTTCTCGTAATTTGATGGCATTGGCTCGTAAGATAGTATCTGGCTTTTGGGCATCGTTGAAGATCTCCACGACTAAAGGCGTCATCGATTTTAAAGCTGCCTCTTTTGTCATGGTGAGCTTCTCCAGCACATGTGGATCGGTTTCTCTGACAGTTGCTGATTTTCGGGTAGAGGATCGAGTTGCCATTATAGCTGATCTGATTTGTCCTGAATTTTTCCGTGACAAACTTGGCTGAAGACGAAAGAGGGGGGGTTAAAGTGAATCACGTTGATTGATTGTCGCTTGTGTTTTGATTTAAGCAGCAGACAACCAACGCCAAATTTAGGTCGCGCTTTTTTTTTCAGGTGGCGAATGGACGACTGATTGTTGTACTGCTCAGTCAAACGTTCGTGGTGCGCTAGTGCTATTGTTTACCTTCCATCGAAAGCGAGCTTTTACGCATAGATAGAATCTTTTGTCTGAGCTTGGTTTAATGAGAGAAGTTTGCTATCAAATTGTCTATGTTTGAGTAGCCATTGTATCCAACTTTTTTTCTTCGCTTCTGGCTAAAAAGCTTTTTATTAAGAACACGTCTATGGCTGTTCCGCCATTGCATGTTAAGAAGAAGATCTTCGGTAGCTTGTAAAAGCGGTCTTTATATCTCAACATAACGTCGTTAAGTATGACAATAAATAAATGAGGGTAGCAATTTTCAAACAGTTAGCCAAACGTGAATGCTTTTTTTTTGCACTGGAGCTATTCGAAAATGACGGCGAACAGTAATATAACGGTGATAATATACAAATTAGCATGGAATATTCCTCAGTATCTGACAGAACTGCTTCTTCATCCATTACCAAAAAATACTACTGCGCAGCTTGGCACTGTTGGGCGCAGTTGACATTCAACGCGACAAATTATGGAAGATAACAATCTCTACCTCGCCAGCATCTTGTTGACTTCCATCTATACTTTCTTTTGCCTTTCCCTGCTTTGGGCCTGAGAATGATTGCATTGTTGTTCAACTTGTTGAGAGAGCGTAGGCTGCTATAAACGGGTATAGCAATAAGTAACTATGGGTGGTTTATGTAGCATTGCTATAAATCGTAATGTATAGTTGTTTTAAAATTGTTCGGAGAACATATAGCACTAAATGCATTATTTAAGAGTAGTTTCATTAAATCCGAAGAGGAAAAGGTAGAAAAGAGACACAAACCCAAACACCATAACTATAATCCTAGCGTTTGTCAATGTCGTAATATTTCTTATTGTACCCTTGGTATTAACTTAAAGAGTATGGTAACAAGAAAAGTATTGCCGCTCACTTATACATAAGACGTGAAAACAACCAATTGAGGGGTATTTCTGTCAAATACAACGATTTACTTATGAGAAGTATGTACAACAAGTGCTGAAAGCATTACTTATGTTTTTTAGATTTTCGCTTTTTGTTGTTAGAAGCCTTTTGTGGTGTTACTGCCTTCTTTTCCGTTGGCCGTTCTTGATGTTGGCTCCCAACCTCCTTTTTGTTATTATCGTTGTCTTTGGCTTCGTCCTCGCTAAAGTACTTACTATCCTTGGATGCTGAGGAAAGAGAAGACGACGATGTTGTAATCGTCAGTTCAGCTGCAGCGCCTGTTTCTTCTGAATGTTGCTCGTTTTCTTCTTTACTGTTCGTATTGCAACTGTTGTCGGCGCTATTAACAATTTCATCGTCGACTTCTGATACATCCTTTTTTTCTTCTAGTATTTCGCTACTTTTACAATCCTTTGTAGTGGAAGGTGATGAGGTAGGCTCCTGATCATCATCCATAATTGGGCTTGTATGGCTCGCAGAAGGTGTATCCGACTGCTCCATAAGACTCTTCCGTCGTGCCATAATACTCTTGGCTCGTTTTATCATGTCAGCATCTTTGGGTTCCTCTTCTTCTTTATAAGTATTGGTCAAAATGGTGTCAATAAAATCATATGCGTCACTGAATAAAGCATTCAGATGCAAAGGAACTGTATCATTCTCACTTAGCGGCACTATGAATAGATTGTATATCTCAAAGAATTAAAATAAAATAATATTCATAATCTAGACTACCAACGAAATACTTACAATTGCTGTTTAAGTTGTCCACTGCTCTAACAATATGACGCTGAACCTCTGATTTGGAGGTTGATTTGCCCATCATGAGTAAAGTTGGGAGAACATTATATCCATCCTTTCCGCTAATTTTCTTTTTATTTTCAATCTGTTTTGCTTTATTTGTCCAAAGCATAGCTTCATTGTTGGCCTCTTATTATTCAAATTGCGAATCAGGTCAAAAGTAGGATAACCCACCTTTTGTATCAATAGCTTTGTCTTTGACTTACCATAAAGTGCCAAGTTAGCCAAACATCTCGCAACATGCTTATGAATTTCTGGTTGATTAGGAAAGACATGGAATACATTACAAAGATAGGCCAGCACGTGCGGTTGCGACATCAATATTTCCTGAGATTCATTGTTCGTAGCAAAGTTTGCTAAAGCACAACAAACGTGAGAAACAGGCGCAGAGTTTAGGTGCTGCCTTGTTGAAGGTTGAGGTGAGGCTTTTTGTTGATGGTCTAACTTTTCCGCCACTGATTTTACTTCGCCATTATAGCTGTGCCCCGAGTAATAACTCAAATCCTTCTTTTTCCATTCTTTGGACTCAACATCGTCAAGTTTCATTGGCAACATGGCTATAATAAAAACTAATGCTTTGGCACGTTCTTCCGCTAATAGCATCGGTTTGTATTTATCTATGAGAAAGCCAATGAGTAATGTCATGGGAGCAATCTGCCAGTAAGTTTCTTGGCATTAAAGAGTCTCCTACCATTTTTAAGTGATAGATAAGCTACTGTTTTTGCCATGTATTTCTGTACTTCCTCGTGGCTCGCTCTTAACAAATTGGCCAGTTTATCATTAGAACGATTCTCAGGCTGCACAATGTATTCGATAATATGGGTTTGAAATGCAATGATCGAACTAATACATGAAATTGATTTGGCAGCAAGGCCTTGTATTATATTGATACGATCTTGAATCTGCTGCCTTTGCTGTTGTTGTTGCTGTTCTTGTTGGTCATTATTGCTATCTTCACTATCATTGTTGGCCCCTTCTGCTGCTTGTAGCTGTAATGGTTGTAATTTTGAGCCGAAGGCGGACAACTCAAAGAGAATAGCCAATATACCTTCCTTAAATACTTCTTTCTGACTCAAAATTCCAGCCCTTGATAATTGATATAGTACATGCGTGCAATTAATGATTGTTTCTAACAGGATACTATGCTTGATATGGGTATCGGTAAATGATGTAGTTGAGGATGAAGCGGAAGAGTGCACAGGATGCTGGTGGGTATAAGTCTCAGATGTTATTTCTGACCGTGCTTTTAATCTTTTCTCGCTGACATTAGCTCTGCTGGGGGAAGTACAATTATTGTTCTCTCTACTATTGCTATTGTCGTTGCTGTTACTGGTAAGAATAGCAGTATACTGTTGTATCAGGAATAAGAGGGGTGGTACTGCCCATTTCGTGATGATAACTGGGCGAATGGATTCTTTCTCGGCCAATAGTGCCAATACGGTTGTGACTAAATGATGTAAATGGGTACTTGTAGAAGCACGACAAAGCCATATAAGAGCATCCACTCCACCGTAAGCAACCATATTATGTAACTCCTTTTCTATACCAAGACAAAACCTTCAGCGTGAGCCTGATGTAACGATTTACACACTTTGAATAAATCTGATGAACTACCATTATCTTTTTCAGTGAGTTCTAAAAGACCTCTAACACCGTGCATCTAATATAAACGGTTCAATTTAGAAGTTCTTCACTTTGAAAGAAATGCCGGCTGATACACTTTTTTTTTATTTTTACCTGTGTTGAAAGTCCATGATCTTCATCAATGGCATAGGTGACTAGGTAAGCAACGTCAAAACATCCATTGCATACTCTAACAGCCTTCGTACCATAACCTAATTGCGGCAAAGGAACACTTTTACTAGAACAGTCGTGACAAAATATATTTCCACTATCATTTAAACAGAAAAAAAATCAGCGTTGAGGAATATCCGCTTCTTTCTTCCATGATTCAATACATCTTTACCAGCTTCGACAGTGGTGCTAACATATAGAAATTATGCAACATGCTACAGAGTTAATATTTATAAAGACTAAAGCTCAATGGCTTCTTTACACCTTACTCTTCGTTTCAGAGGTCCAAAAGAAGCGTTACAGGAAGAACAATAAGCGACGTCCATATCGTTGACCCAGACAGGTCTTGGTAATAGAAAAGTTAAACGGTCGTCATTCGTTTGCATTTGAATCAGTGATTGGAATCTAACAAAAAAAAAAAGTTGGGAAGTGAAAGAAATAGGCAACAAAACTCTAAACGAGTCATCGTACAGTTTATGAACTTCAGATTTGGACAATACAAACATAATTTTTAGACAATATATATATCATTTTTAAACGAATTCAATATCATAGTAGACCATGAAGAGTAAGTATTAGACAGTTTGCACAACGTAGAAAGTACATGCTTTCGTTCTTTTTACCTGTAAAAATCAAACTGGTGATTCAATCCGTCTAAAGCTATACGCAATTGTTCCGATAAATTGTAAGTAGGTTTAGAATTGAATTGCAAGTTGCCCAATAAATTATTGGAAGTTGTCTAAAACGAACGTTGAAACACTGTAATATAAAGACAGCTCGGTTCATTTCATTGGTCAATTAGCTTTGCATGCATGAATGATACAGCACACAATTATATTACGTAATGCTATCCTCGTCTCAGGAACTGTCGTGGGGAAATATTCAGAAGAGGAGTTTATTTGAGAAAAGTGATGGCAGAAGACTTGATGTCACTAGTCGACTTTTTCCTCTACTCTTCTTTTGTATTGTTGCAACTGCATACAATCTGAATGACATTAGGATTGTTGAAAAAGAAAATGACCGAAGTTTTAGCTCCTTGCTCACCTTTCAAACTGGCTTTGATTCAAATTGGTGCTGGACCAGATAAGTCTAAAAATTTAGCGTATGCAAGGTCGAAAATAGTGGAGGCTGCCAAAAATGGAGCGCAAGTAATTGTCTTGCCTGTAAGTTAGCAAAGACAGTAGCTGTTTATATGTGTTTTATAGCAACCGATATTCAGTACGAAGGGGCTTCTTTATTCCTTTTGAATAGGAATGTTTCAACTCACCTTATGGCGTCAAATACTTCCCTCAATATGCAGAACCTTTGAAAGGAGGAGGATCGACAGCCATGTTATCTGGTGTCGCAAAAGTAAGGGCAAGTAAAAGTGTTTGAATTAAAAACTAACTAATTAACAAATTGTTCGTTAAACTTCAAGGAAACAAGCACTTACGTTATTGGTGGTAAGTAGGCGCCTGTCGTGTAAGCTAACTTATCCTAGCCTGACCCAAGCAATTTCACTTTCAATCCAATGTCACAGGATCCATTCCAGAAAAGGAAGAGTCAACTGGTAAAATCTACAATACAGTTACTGTTTTTGACCCCAATGGTGACATGATTGCTACCCATCGTAAAACTCATCTATTTGATATTGATATTGTTGGGAAAATTACATTCAAGGTAGTTTTCTCGAAAAGCATTATTACGAAATCACCCCTATGTGTTGATGTTTCTTAAACCATATCTTGATTTAATTGTATAGGAAAGTGATAGTTTGACTGCTGGCAATTCATTGACACACGTCAATACAAGTAAGTATCTATTGCTAATATGGGCGCTATGCACTATGTATTATTGACTTTTTTTCAATTCTTAACCATAATATCCAAAACAGAGTACGGTAAATTAGGCATTGGTATCTGTTATGACATGCGTTTCCCAGAAATGGCTATGATTGCTGCTCGCAAAGGTTGTTTAGCCATGATATACCCTGGTGCCTTTAATATGACAACAGGACCCTTACATTGGGAGCTACTTCAAAGAGCAAGGTAAGTACAAATTTCGTGGGTAGCAGTTGGAATTGTGTATTCATCCTATTTTTTTTTACAATTAGAGCTGTGGATAATCAGATGTTCGTAGCAGCCTGCGGTCCTGCACGAGATACCGATGCGGATTATGTTGCTTGGGGTCACTCCACCGTTGTTAATCCTAGCGGTGAGGTTATTGCCACAACTGATGAAAAGGAATCCATTGTCTACGCCGATATTGATCCAGAATTAGCTAGAACAGTACGTAGATACCTTCCACTTTACAACCAACGACGTTTCGATGTTTATGGTGACGTGGCAGAGACTATACAAGAAGACAACCAAGGAGTGGTCATAAGGAAATAAAAAAAATTTTCGGTTTTGGGATATTTGATTTTCGAAATGTGGGGGAAGGGATCGATTCTAATGGGGTCCCATATTAAAACACAATACTGAACATTAGTATGTTCAAAGAAAGAAAATTCAAAAAAATAGGGTATATTTTAGCTTCTTTACATAACAACTTAATAATCTAGTAACTAGAATACAGTGCCTAATGCTTCGAACCAGCTTACAATACTGGGATCATGCTGTACACATTCTCTAAATTCTCTAAAGCTGATGTAGCCCTCTCTTTCAGTTTGAATGTTAGCAAATGTGTTATCAACCATTTCATGAATAGCTCCTTGAGACATTGTTTCCATAATAGGGAATCTCTCTTTCCAGGCCTTCTTTTTACTCTGCTTCTCTAATTCACCTGAAGCATCCTGTTTGTTTTTGCTTTTTGACTTATTGTTAGTATTATCACTTTTTTGTTTTGGAGAAACCATGAAGAAGTGTTGACTATCAGCCCTCAGAGCACTGTCGGCTATTTCATTCAATTCGCTTTGAGAAACTGTAGAGAGTGCCCTCGCATGTTCCGCTTCTCTATTAGATTGTTGTAGAAAATGGTCTTCTTTTTCCGGATACCTTGATTTCTTAGAACGTCTTGGCCGCTTTGGCTGTTTCTTGAAATTGATGTGGTGGTGGTTGCAATGAACAGAAGAAGAAGAGGATGGATCCATGGGGTGTTGAATGGATGTAGTCGCTTCATCCTCGTCTTCTTGCTGCTCTTCATCACTGTCGCTATGACTACTGCTTGTATTTTCGAGATCATCACCATCACTATCATCACTAGTGACATCTGTACTAACTTGCTTTTCTTCCTCATCTTCGTCATCACTAGCACTTGAGTCATCACTGTCTTCACTACTACTGTCGTTCTCACTTCGACTACTATCATTTTCACTCTCACTTTCGCTACTACTGCTGCTACTACTGTCATGATCCGTAGTACTGCTCGTATCGCTTGATGGACGGTGTCTTCTTGTAATTGAACTGGAAGGCATGGCCACGTTGAATGCGGCGCTTACAGGTTGTGAGGCTGAAAATTCAAACGAATCCATCATTTCATCCTCCATGGCGCTCACAACATCTCGCACCAATTCCATGGATAAATAAAAGTAAGACTTGTACATTCTGTAAAGTTCATCCTTTGAGATATAACCGTCTCCGTCCAAATCATAGCCTTTGAAGGCATCTAGTCGTTGTTTTTCTAAGAGTAAGTAATTGTCGTCGTCCTTTAATATATTTAAAACTATTCTTACGTTCTATTTTTTCGTCAAAGTTTCCTTTACACAATACACTTAACCCTGCTACTAATTCATCAAAGGTAATGGTTCCGTCCCCATCTTGATCAAAAAATGCGAATATTCTCTCTGTAACTAAACTCTTTTCCAGGCCTAGAGGACCCAAGCATTGCCGGAATGTGTCCTGATCGATGCCTCCTCCATCTTTATCAACGGTAGATAAGGACTTATATTGCTCGTAAAGTGCCTCCAATTCTACTTGATCAACTAAGGGTGGTAAAGTCCATTCAGCAAGCGTATCAAAACCGTAAAGGAATACTACTCATCTGTACTACTCACAATGGGAACTCTGTTCTAACTTTTTATATCTTTCACTTGTTAATGTGTATGCTAGAGAAGATGAAGAGATTTTACTGCGATGTTTTCCTGGATATAAAGGTGATAGTAGAGCATTTCGAGGATTGGCTAAGGGCGGTATAGGAATCCTTATTTTGAGAAAAACATGAGTATTAATATGTGTCTTAGATCCTTCACACATTTCGCAGAGATCAAAATCGACACAGTTGGCACATTTGTATCGAACACCTCGTATAGGTGACATATTGCATTTGTTACAAGTGATACCACCTAGAGGAAAGTTTTGATGATTCGTAGTTGTGAGGAAGAATGGAAAAGGAGTGTACCGTTTTCATTTATCGATTTATTGAGTACTTACGGTGAATATAACCCTCTGAATAGATTGATCCCCAAGAACACAAATCAAAAAAGTTATATCAAGATTTTTGAATATTGAAAAGTGTGTTTTTCTCACTTTCTTTTCACCCTTACCCTTCATTGATTGATTTTCAGATATAGCATAAAGTAAATTGAGTAAGTTTTTATTGTCATCCTCGCTCCATTCTTTGAAGAGAGAAAGTATTCTTCCACTAACAAGCTCCTCCTCTGTATCAGATAAGAATAAGTCGTCAACGTTGGTGTTCGTGTTATTGTTATTGTTATTGTTATTGCTATTTGACGATGCACCTGCAGGTATGAGTTGCGATCGTCCTTGATCCTCATTTCTCGTTCTTCGACGAATAGATCGTGCTCGTCGCAATCGGGCTGCAGATCTACTGGTATTTCCAGTGACAGTGTTAGATCTACCTGTTGTTGATTCTGTTGCTGTAGCTGTTGACCGTGTTGTCCGTGTGTTGTTTGCGGATCGATTCCTTTTTTTGTTCTTATAATAGGATATGGCTGCAATAGTAGCTAGACCTGTTATTGCACCTGTCAAAAGCAATACGGCTTGAGATATGCGAGGAGCCATTGCTGTGTGAAATAAATTACTCAAGATAAAGAAATAAAAAAAAAAAAAAAAAAAAAATTATGCAAGCAACAATGTTCCTCTCTTATTGCTGGTGGAGAATAGAAAAATCGCACTAATGTAGCAAACAAAAACATTTTCCTCTTTTTCACAGTTTAGTAATTAATACAAAATGATCGGCCCATCGATCCCTCCGGATCGCTTGAAGAAAAAACAAAAAGAGGAAGAGAAAACTAGTGGTGATGAGATAGTTGTCGCTTTATCAGACGATGAAAACACTCAACCTTTGAGTACAGAAATTGGACCTCAAATACCGTCTCATCTACTTAATAGAACGGCAAACGAACAAAGTGGTGACAAGATAGAAATCAACAAACATGATACAGATGAGGATGAAAAAGCGCCCACAATGGAAGTGAAATCAGTTAGAAAGCCACAGACAGACAGTGCTGAAATCAACATTTCTGAAGAGGAGGATCTTGTTGGACCAGCTTTGGCTACTTCACCGCGTTCTACTACACCACCTCTTCCAGCTGCAGTGGATAATGTTGTAAATGCAAATCCTGATGACTTTGCCCCTGTTTTGCCACCTGAACTACTGGAAGAACGCCGCCAGCGTCAACAACATCAGTCTGAAACAGCAACAGTAACAAATACAGGTGGTGCACGACGACGAGGTCCGATAGGACCTGCATTACCGCCTGGTCCTTTACCTTTACCTTTGTCCACACAAATGCAACCTAGTGAAAGTGACGATGATGACCTGGTAGGGCCTGTTTTACCTTCCACTTCTGAATATGATCCGCAAGAAGCTTCAAAATTATCGGCTATTCAAGCGATTGAACAACGAGCAAGACAAAGTAAAGAAGCCATGGAAAAGAAAGAACAAGATATCCAGAAAGTGGAAAGACCAGAATGGATGCTGGTGCCTCCTGAAGTCGACTACCTGAAAAATGCCAACTCTTCAAGATCGAGGGGCTTTGCTTCGGGCAGTAGTAGTACAATGTCAGCAGCAGAACGTGATTCAACCGCCTGGACAGAAACACCCGCTGAAAGAGAACACCGTTTAGCTGAGGAACAAAGAACAGGTGTCAAGCGCAAAGCTGGTGCATCGGTTCATTCTCAAGCACCACCGTCGCAATTAGATGAGGTTAAAAGAAGACAAGTAGAAGAAATTAACGTAGGCTTTTTTTTTGTCTCTGAGAAGCTATCTCTTTACACGAATTAAGCTTTATGTTTCTTCCTATTCGTAGATGCAAACTAGGCCTATGTCATTATTGGAAATGCATCAACAGAATAGAAAGAAAAAGAAGAAGTCTAAACTGACAGATGAAGAAGATGTAACAAAACGAGGATTTGACCGTGATAAAGACTTATTAGCGCCTCGACAAATGGATACAAAGCAGAAAAAAGAATTCCTAAAACAGACAGCACAAATGGGAAGAAATTTTGGTTATGGAAGCAGAGGCTCCTTCTTATAGATTTGATACAGACTTTCCCGCCGCCTTGAAAACAACAGATGATTAACTAAAATCAGTGGTGACAGCGAAAGTATCGACTGATCATATCCTTCAAGTTGCATTTTAGCGAGCAGGCTGTAAAGAAGAGATTGTACGGCATGCTTGGCTTTTATAACATAATCACAGATTTGTCTCTGTAATTATTGAGACAAAATAGAGGAAGGGTTTCGGACTGGTGCAAATAAAATCGAAAATTATGGAGGAGACAACTATATCAACACCTTTTTTATTTGTTCCAAAACATTACAAAGTTAAGTCGGGCTATCAGAGAATCAACAGTTTGAGGAGTTCTACTTCTGTATTATACAAAAAAAAAAAAAAAAACAAAAAATAATGTACTTAAGCTGAGTGAGGATGTTCAAAATAAAACAAAAAATTCAAACAGTAAATGAATGCAATGTGTAAAGGTTATCATACGCATATTCCCTCATGTATAGGTATTTGAAGCCGCTTGCGAACTGAGGCGTAATATTCCATAATCGAATATGGGAAACTTTTCGACAGAAGCTCTTCACTGCCAGCTTTCTCTGAGCAGTCAATCTGTACTGAGACCAATCTGTTCATAGAAACTCGGTCTAAAAGCTACCATAGGAAGAAGAGAATATTCATAAAAGCGTCAGCCATAATAATTGAGGCGCAAGCAAAATACAATCATTTTGGCTCTGATCCTTGCTTATATATCTTGGTTCACCTTGTTCATGCCAACATTGCTATCATTCTAGTAGCGATTATAGATATTCATCCAAGAATCTAGCATTTCATCCTCTTCTTCTTCTTCTTCTTCTTCAGATGACATGGAAACATTTGAAAAGTGCACTAAACTCATACTATTTCAATTGACATTTCTTCAGTCGTGTCTCTGGGCTGCTACTCATTTACTTCAGTATTGGTGGTTCTACCACTAACAAATGCACCCGAGGGTAAATAGTGGTAAAATGTGGTAGGATCTATATGGCTACTCTGAACTTCTCGTACTCAGATATTGTTCCACCACCGACGAAAAAAAGCTGAATGCTTACAAAATTTGATTTTTAAGACTGTAAGGAACTGGTTATCTTTTTATGTTGATTGTCAACATGCAAGAACGAGAGTGTGATCTTGCCATTCATAACGGCTTGATCCGAATCGGCAAATATACACAGTGAATTGTAGCTTTTAAGAGGTAACTCGACATAATATGTCTAAAAAAAAAATCATAGATAAGTCATACATCAGGAAAAAGGTCTCGTTTTATTCAAAAAAGTTGAATACCATGATCATCACTATTGAAGTATCTGTGATATTCTTAGATATCAGGAGTTATAATTTAGTAAGTTTTAAATGTAGAGTTATAATTTAGTAAGTTTTAAATGTAGAGACTGAGTGAGTCAGCGAGACCGAACAATAGTTCTTGGATGATTTTATTTTGGTTTAGAAATTGAATGGTCTTTCATATGAATGCGAGGTTAAACTGAGCTTATAGTGGAATTAGGAAAGTAGTAGTGACAACCGAGTATCATACTTCGAGCTCAGGATCTTATGTTGTTACCAACTTTTCATACTTTATTTATCGAATTTGTGCTACGAAAAAATATATAATATATGGAAATAATAAAAGTTTTTAACTTCACTTCTTGAATGAGACAGTAGAAAGAGCAAAGAGAATAAGAGAGGAGTGGTGGGCGGGAACAACAAAGATCCTTTCGCTCTCGTATAATAAGTACAATACTTCATTGCATTCGTATTAAAGTACTTTATACGCTTTCTTAATTATATTTGCACACCTTATTCTCTCTATCAACTCCGATTCTTAAGATACCCAATCGTCATTATGAGCTACTTCTAATCACGTGACTGAATTCTAATTCGTACTACGACAATTATTTACCATTACAGTAAAATATATCATCCTCAATGGTCCAGTAGCTAGGATCTGTCGCTTTCACCGACATGGCCGGGGTTCGATTCCCCGTTGGGGAATTTTTCTTTTTTTTGTTATATTACGCACATTATGAGGTGCGTTTGACGGTTCCTACCACTGTTGTGCCTACGAGGATAGCTTCTTTAATTAGGTTCTTATTTTCTTATTTTATTACTACGATCCTGGTTTTGTTTTAAGAAAGGGAAAAAGTTCGCCCTTTAGCTTCATTTTATATTACTTGTCTTTTATACTTTATATTGTTACATAAGGTTACTAATTAGTATCACCTATTTTGAGGCACGACACCACATCCTCGGCTTTGAGTCAGCACCTGCGTATCAAGGAATTAGTATTTATGTTGTAGCTGCTCATATTTGCTCTTTATAGCGTTATCAATTACTTCAACTCTCTGATCTATAGCTTTTGCTTTCTTTTTGTTGAATAAATTGTACCTGCATTTTGTCATGTCCCGATCACTGTCTACGGTATCGAAACACTTAATTAATTCAAACACAGCATAAACGGCTGTCAACTTAGAGTTGAATCGTCGATTAAGCAATTGTTCACAAGTCAAACTGGTATCAGATCCATAACAGTGTAAGAACACTCCTTCACTAATCTCTCGTTAGATCCATTAGTACTCATTAGTTGTAACTACATCTTCCTAACATCCTCTATAAGCTCAGCTAATTCTCTGAAAAATATATAAAGCCTTCATGTTCTCAAAATTGAAATAAAAATTATCTGACTTTTTCGGTCTCGTTCTATCTTGGTCTATAAAAATCTTAAGAATATCTCACATTTAAATAAAAAAGAAAAAAGAAACTTAGTAAGCTGTTGTCGACCGTCGAGCTCAATGAGCAATGTAAGGAGTGAACTTTATATCTAAATTTATAACTAAAACGAAGGAAGGGAACCATTATTATAACTGTGATCTACTGTACTAGAAGATATATTGGGTGTTTCGTACAATGACTATCTCTAAGATATATTTTATCTTGCAGGTACAACGCTTAGTTCAACTTCCACTTCGTTGTTGGCAGCATTTGAAAATGGTTCTGGTTAGAATATCTCCAGAAAAGTATATTAACGCTTATTAGTTTATGTTACGCTTACAAGTTCTTTGAAAAATCACGGTCTATAACTATTGGTAATGTAGCTGTCCACAGATAATGCAGTTCAACGACCATTTGTCATCTGGAGATCACGCTCAGCGGTGTAAAGCATCTGAAAGATACGGACCAAACGCATTGCCGGGGTTTGTTCATGTCATAATGCTTTTCCAGTTCGTTTGCATTTTCTCTCTTCCATATATGTAGGATTGATCTATAAATCCGTCATATACCCTTTGTCGCTATTTTTAATGAAATGACAGTCCGATAAACAAAAAAAGGGATTTAGAAGACCTTTGGTTTTTACAACTACTACATAAAGTTCTTACATGTTAGTGCCGTTTACTGGAGTGGACTCCTAGTACATAATAGCATTGCAATTTAGCTTCCTTAATTTTTGTGTCTTCCTGGCAAGTTTGACAAATAGGATGACGGATCGGCTACGTTAGCCTATTCTTTTTCTCCAAAATATAAAAAAAAAAAGCATACAGTACACAAATCCGCGTCAATTAACAAGAAGATAGACTGATATCATCTGCTACATCAGTAAGAAACCCTTCAAGAGGTTTTTCGAAAAATAAATTGAAAAGGGATAGAAATGTTTGTCGATTGAACATCACCTGGCAGGTATACAGAGGTCATAAATTTCGAAATTTAGATACAGCTGGACAGGATGACTATACGACTTTACTCTCTTACGAAGCTCAAAACATGCATGGCTATAACCTCGTTTTTCAATATCTTTTCGACATAACTTGACTAGTCATTGGATTTTATAGTGTTAAATGCTATTCAATGTGATGTAGTAGGTAATAAATTTGATTTGGTTGCTGAACAAAGACAAGTAATGAAATAAGAAGGGATGGTATTAGATAACAGTGGAATCTCCCTTTTGTCGGAATGTCGGCTAAGAATAACAAAACAATAATAATGCATTGCGAGAAAGTACAGTCGGTTCAATCAATTAGTATCTTAATGTAAATTTCTCACTGTATTGAACTGTACAATAGCAATTTTTTCGAGCAATTGATTGGTAACTTTGAAAAGCAAATAGACCTTCATTTGAAAGAAAAAAATAAAATAATAAAAAAGGATGCGAGCTGATGTAATAGTATTTGATGTAAAACGCACAATGCAAATCATTATAAACTAGCTTTGCCGTGAGACAGTCATATATGCTAGTAATAATAAGATTAATGAACAGAAACTATCTTTTTATTGTCTATGTGCGAAGACAATGCTGGCGTCTGCATTCAACGGTTGTGTTAGTGCGTAATGATTTATCAGCGATAGTCTACCCTATTGGGAATGTCTACCTCCAAAAGAATTTATTATGATAGGAGAAACAATTTATGGATCAGTATATTATTATCCATTCATAGGCTTTCGGGAGCAGTTTTAACTGAAAGAGTTGAAACATTTTTCTATTCTGATCTTCAGCTCTTCACCGGTTAAAGCAGTTCCTGAAGGAACAGATCAATGTACCTGAGTCCACTTTAGCACTAGAATCTCACTACTTTATGATTTTCACTACAACTCTCCTTCTTGGAAAAAGGAAAGCTTTAGAAACTTGACTATATGCAATATTTTGGAAAGAAGTTAAAATTCATTAAAGTAGAGTTTGAATACGAATGCTGGAATAAAAAAGATCGTAGAAGAGCTCGAACAGGAGAAACGGTAATCAGTTGCGGACTATCAAACAATTCATTATCCATTTTTCTGAACAGCAACCATTTTCTTTCAATTGTTTTCACCTTTGTTGGTAAAAATATAAAATGGCTCTTCCAAAAAGAATTGTGAAGGTAACTGGAAGGACTTACCGATGATTCACTTCGAAAATAGCCCTTTTAGGGCCTAACATGTTTATCTCTTTCTTTTGTGCAATTTTAGGAGACTGAACGTTTGTTAGCTGATCCTGCACCTGGAATTAGTGCTACACCACATGAGGAAAACTTACGTTACTTCGATGTCATTATTGCTGGCCCAAGCCAGTCTCCTTTTGAAGGTTGGAACTATAAAGCACAGCTATGAGCAGTTACTCTCTTCCGTCACTCATTTGCTAATCATTTTGCCCTCTTGGACATCGTATACTTAGGCGGCGTTTTCCGGTTAGAGTTATTTTTACCCGAGGATTACCCAATGGGACCACCCAAAGTTCGTTTCTTAACCAAGATTTACCATCCCAATATTGATAAACTAGGTCGTATTTGCTTAGATATTCTTAAAGGTAAAGGAAAAGACAAAATGAAAGTTGATTATTGTTACGAAGTATCACTGATATTTGACCTGTAACGATATGTAATAGATAAATGGTCTCCTGCTTTACAAATTCGTACTGTTCTGCTTTCCATACAAGCACTACTATCAGCACCTAATCCTGACGACCCTTTGGCTAATGACGTTGCTTCTCATTGGAAGGAAGATGAAAAAGGCGCCATTGAACAAGGTAACAAAAATATTGAGTAAGCTAACGATGTGAATTTATTAATCATCATGGTATCTTATACTGTTATTCATAGCTCGTCAATGGACTGCAATGTATGCTCATGCCTAGGATCGGAAGGATATGTAAAAAAAGAGAGTAGAGCTATGCTACAGTACTATAGCTATGTAAAAAACATACAAGAAACCATCAACTTAACAATATAACAGCCATTAAGCACAATAAAAAACTATAAAATATTCGCAGGACGTACTTAAAGGAAGTGGTTGTAAATTACCACCTTCTGAACTTCGATATAGCAGCTGCAAGATTCTGTACCAAAAGAATAGGATAGGCATATTAAGCGATCAGGATGTATCATTATAACAAATACGGTGAGTTAGCTCTTACAATTAACAGTGCAACTGACACTTAGGAATCATATACGTCCTCATTTTTGTTGAGTTTGAGCCTTCGTTAGTTATTTGTTTACATTCATTCCGCGAAAGTGAGGCTCTATATTAGACTAATTCATCATTGTTAGTGTTAGCGGTTGCTTTTTTTTTGTTTTTATTCTTTTTGTTATATTGTTGTTGATTTTTAGAAAAAAAAAAAGAGCATATTTCTCAGTCTATTTTCAGACCTAGTATCATTGAGTTGGCTTAAAACAGCTAGTAATTAGTTGTTCATAGGCATTAAAACCATTTTCAAAAGTTTGTCCTGCAAGAAATGATTTTGAGGGAAATCTGTAGCTCTCCATTGACGCTGCGGATGACTAGCTTTTTCACAACGAAAACGAATAATTTTCTATACGAGAAGATATTTCTCATATGATCGGCTTCGCGATAATAATAACAAGTGGGCTAAACATCCTTATAGCTGTCAAGAACAGTCTTATCTCAAGCTTTAAAATAGAGCACCTGGTGAAGGTTTTGATACTGTGATTCATTATCAGTAGCTCCACTGTCTAAAATACAAAACACATCGCCTTCTTCAAGAAAGTTGTGATTCAAACATTGTCTATTCTGGAGTATACGCCCTTAGTTAAACAGAGGTTCCTTAAATCCCATCATCGGGTTGTCAGCCTTATCGCTTACTGATATAGTGAAACTTATATGACTATCATTGATAACTGCGGTCTTTCTTTCCTACGGTATAACCGTTTAATGGATACCATCTTTGGTAAAAGCAGAATTAAAGGTCTGCTCGAGCAATCGCACGTACTCCTTGTGAAAGCACGCATTCAGTCACCTCCGCTTGTTCCAATAAAGTTCCAACTCAAGGATTTTTTTGTTACGTGACTAAAAGGAGGAGATACTTTAGTTTTAATGCTATTGATTTATCCGTTGCAATAGCAAAGTATTAAACGAGCTTAAAAGATACCGTTTTATTAAATGAGAAGAGCGTTGTTATTTTATAATGATTTGTCTTAGATCATAGTGGTTATGTCTCAGTTTTCTTTAAAGAGTGGATTAGTTAAAACATTGATGTGGATACATCAGCTATCAAAGGTTATAAATGATAATCTGGCCTTATTTTTAGCGATGAGGTTAGTAGATATGTGTAAGGAACCATGTCTCCATCGGCAGGGCTCTGCAGCAACCCATATAATATTACCTCATCCGTGGTTTACAATATTCAGTGATTCTAACTGCTTTCTTCGAATTTATATATATAATTACAGCATATGCTTTTCAAACAAATTTGTTTAACTCGCGTTCTATTTACCTATTCCCACCTACTCGTCCATCTGCACCTTACATATTATCTAATAAAAGTGCTTCTTGTTGTCATTGCCGTAACTTATACTTCTGGTAATTATAGAACCAACGTCTTATCCTAATCGCCCGTCTCGTGTTTAGTTTCAATAAACAACCCAAACTTACTTTAACCTCATTGCAATTCTCTTTTGTATAAATTCAGGTTACAATTTTATTATTTGATATAAATTCAAGGGGCGTTGCATAAATCGTTAAGTAGTTAAATATGAGGAAAGAAAAAATAAGGTAGTCTAGCTTACAAATAGTATAAGAATTTTCAGCAAGGCAACTAGCCTGTGTCTTGCTGCGATAGAGATTCTGTGTAATGACTGTGAGCTGTGACAGATATGATGAAGACCAATTAACAGAACAAGACTGTGGGGTTGGCGTTATTAACGTCTCTGAAGATAAGTTACAGCTACAGAAAGATAGTACTCAACATGATAACGTTTATTAAACAGATGTACAGGAAAATAATGTGAGGGCAAGAAAGAACAGGATAAAAACACTGAGGTTGCTTTAACTTCAGAGGTGGGCTATATATATATATTTAAAGATGTGAAACCTCTTTAATGATTGTATTCGCCTGGGAGGCATGATAACATTCTGCAATTTGTAGAGCGATCTTTAAATAACTGAGGACTGAAGCTGTTGTAAAGCGTTGTCAGTACACCAAGCTTCGACATTAATGATCGTATACCAGTGATATCTCCATAGAGTTTCCATTACACTGCATTTCTATTGTATAGTTCACCGTGAATATATTATCGTTTGGTAATTTCAGATTGAGCAAAACATGCCATACTTCTTCAAGAGATCGTAATTCATGAGAGAGAGAGAGAGAGCTGTGACAAAGCGGCTGACCAAAAATAACATTTTATGCGGCAGGCAATCACAAAGTGAAAGACACCCTCGATGGAGACGATGTAGAGATGATTGCGTGCTGAGAGAATCACGTAACAACAGACGACATTTTTTTTTTTTGTTTATACAGACGACAATATGCGTCATGAAGAGTATTCGAAAACACATTTCGTCTACACGCACTGTATAAAACAATAAAGAAAAAATAACGTCGCCTGCAGGATTTGAACCTGCGCACGCAGAGCGTATGAGATTTCTAGTCTCACTCCTTAACCACTCGGACAAAGCGACTATATATTTTGTTGTTATTATGTTTCTAGGATAGAGAAAATTTAAAATAAATTTCACGTGATAGTTCCGGTAGCGTGGTCCGGAATGCATTCTATTTGGTTAGTCGTTGTGGAACATCTTTCAGTCTACCTGTGTTGCAAGTGAATCATTTCAAGCTCTCGAAGGTTATGCCAATGAAATGTAGCTAGTCCAGCACATAATCACTCACTTCCTTTATGAATAATGTGGAGGTACTTTTTCTATGCCATAGTGTATACATATAATTTAAGCGACAGGAATAAGTAAAAGTTTGTGCTTAGTGTGATGTCCTCTGTAATTACCTAGGCCAAACATATGTAATTATTCACCTAAACAACACTACATGTATTCTCCTATCTGCCCATATTTATTTACAAGGCCTCAGACATGCCTTTTCTCTAAACAAATTACTTATTTGAAAAGATGTAAAAGAGACCCAAAAATTAAGTCGAAATAAAGACATTCAACATCTTTTTACAGTCTCACTATTTAATTTAGTCCACTATAATCCTAATTGATAAGATTTACACATAGGATTGTTTGCGCATACTTTAATAATAGGCAACACTTTATAGAACTCAAATACCCGTACTGTATCTAGTCAAAGTACTTACCTATGTAGACTGTGTTTACATAGTGTATGAATGTATTAAAAGTGGTGGAAATGAGCATTAGAAATCTAATGGAATAGTTCGGATACACGCATAGCGCAGCGTAAAAGTCAATAATTTCGATAGTTATTAAACCTCTTTCCCGTTTTTGAAACTCTTACAGAAAAGTGCTTGTAACGCTTACAGAGGATAAAATTATCTTCAAAAGTCGCTCAGTTACTAGAAGTATCAGTGATCAAAAGTGCACAACACCAGAGCAAAAAATGCTGTCGACATTTTTCACAAGCTCTGTGTAAACCGAGCGATGAGATGAGATACTGTTTAAGGCACATTTTGTCTTTGATGATGGTCAGAAAACTTTCTCGTGTTATTGTTCTAAACATACTATATTTGCTTGTCATAACAGGCCTGTTGAATTACCGAAAATTATCGGGCTATACAATGCTGATCTCACGTTGAATTGCCTTTGAAGAGAGGCATTGTTGTGTTACAATCAAGGAAAGGAATGTTGGTACAGCATAGTGTTATTCCTTGTTGAAATCTTATGGGTTGGACACGTGTATACCAGAGTCCTTGAGGGAAAAAAAAGGGTACTCGGACTGGAGGGCGTCAAAGTAAATATTCATTCAGACAATTCACCGTTTTCAACGCCGTAGAGATATAAAACATATTATTAAGAGGGCATTTGCCTAGAACGTTTTAAAAGATATTGAGAAACATAGAATAATAGAATTGGTAAAAAAGAAAAAATGCTAGTGTGGCCCACCCTTACGTAGTCGTACTGATTACTTATAAAGTGATAGGGTGCTTGAACTTGGTCTGTAATTCAATGGAGATCACACGAATATCTGAAGCTAGGTATACAAACAATATAGCTTTCAGTGCGAGTACGGAACACATTCCTTCATGGTAACAGAGAAACTTCTTTTATTATAACAGTTTAAAGATATGGCAAAGTTTCCAAATAGACTTTATTCAGTTAGGCATAATAATAATCATTAATAATTGGAAAGTTATACCAACATTTTGTGATACCTCGATCACTCCTCTCATGTATACAAACAGATTGTTGTCCTATACAAAACGAGATCAATCTAAATGAAGCTGTCTGTTAATGTATTAGGAACAATTCGAATTGACCGGACTGCTGTACATTGTTGAGCAAATGCCACTGAATGCTTTACTTCATTGTGTATTAAAAAAAATTAAAGCAAATTACTTGACATCTAACCGGCTACTATACTCTCGCACTATTATTTTTCAATTATATTCTTCTTTTTCCAAGATACATCCTCTATAGTATAAACTCTGACGTCGTATGGAATTCCTCAGTTAGACTCTATCAACAGCCCGTGCATTTCATGCAGTATGTTCCATGTAATGCTGTGCGACAGAGTACAAGCATTTTGATACCCTCTTTTCGAAACGCGTTGTACTTTTCTTCGATTGTGTTGCTCTATCCCTTACGAACCCATATTACTTTCTCATGGAATAAATCAACTACTCAACAATAGCCGTTTAACAATGTTGGTAAGAAAAATGCTCGCACGCGTACCATAACGTTCACACATTAGCAATAGTAAACGGAAGAGGTCTGACAGAGAAACATATAAATAGAACGAGTTTTTGCGAGTAAATTTTTTTTTCTTTACTTCAGTTTCCACCAAACTAAATAGACTAATACTTCAATATGCGTTCTTTCACCTTCGTCGCTCTTGCTGCTCTTGCTCTTGGAGGTAAGTTTGTCAATTTACGGGTACAAGTGACAAGTGACGTGCTGCAAATTGTTATATTAACTTTATATCATCCTAAACTATCTATAGCTAATGCTGCCACTGTTAACAAGAGAGCCATCTCTACTCCCGTACAAACTTGTATAAATGATATCATTGCCGTTTCTAACCAACTTGATATCGTTACTGCCGATGTAAGTCTTTCATATACATTTTATAATAACTTTAATGATTAATAGAAACATTATTTTGATAACCAAAACCAATACATCAATATCATAGGTTAACGCCTTCACTAGTTCTGCAGGTTACTCAGGCGCTATTGCCATCCACACTAAGGAACAAGTTCTCGAAACCAAGTTGAAGCAAGCTGGTACTGATTGCTGTGCCGTCTCAGGTACTGTTACCGACGAAGAAGCCCAAGCTGTCCTTGCCGTTGTTAGCGATCTTGTTCCTGATGTAACTGCTGCTCTTGCTTCTATTGTCTCCAAGAAGTCTCAATTTGATGCCATCCTTTTGGCTACTACTCTTGTCAAGAATGATATCAAGAATTTGGATAGTCAAACTAACACCTTAGACACCTGTCTTCTTGCCAAGACTCCTTCTGCTTACAAAACTCAAGCCAATGGTTTAGTTACTCAAATCAGTAATGCCTTTGCCAGTGCTAAGTCTGCTTATGGTATCTAAGCAACCACTGCAAATATTTTTGTCTCGCGGCATTCTTTTTCTGCTTAATGGTTTTTTTCTACTAGTGACCATCTTTATTATCGAATCCTTTAACCCTATTTTAGCTAACAATTATTGAAGTCAACACAGCCATTCTCTTTTATTATTCTTAATAAAACAGTATAGCTATTGTATGATAGAAATGATGGATTAGGGTGATCAATGAGAAATATATTTGTGCTATATAATTTTGAAAGACGAGGAAAGTAATTAGAGCTTTTGTAACATGTCTTTCTCCTGACGGATATCATATGGCTTTTAGATAATGGCATAATGGTGTAAATTACCAAGGTCTGCTGAAGGAAAAGATAAAATTTACAGAAGCTCAAAGGCCGTTCAATTTTGGTAGCATTTTCTGATACCCTTCTCACATTTTTGTTTAATTTAATGGATGATGTGAATGCCAGTAGAACTAGATTCACCACCTGATGGTTACTCATTCCTCCGGAGATGTTCCATTGTTATCTGTTATAATATTTATGCTCTTCATATTTTGGTAAAGTTGTTCAATAGAACCGCCCTCTTACTTCTATCATTCACGCTGTTTTCACTGCTCACTTAATCGTGCTTATCTTTTGTGGCGCCTTGTACCTCTTCTTTTTCTTTCCCGTTTCCATCGTCATCTGCCTCATTATCTGCTGCTTTAATAGCCAAAAATCCATTCTTACGCTGAAACCGTGCCACCATTTCACTAATCAGTGCTATTGTATCACTTCCAAGGTCATAGTATTGGTTCGTTTTTATAGGATCAAACATCCCCAAATGCGCTTTGATTTCGTTAGAGGCCATAGAATGAACAGGAACGAACAAGTGAGCAATATCTTCGGGAGGAAGTCTGATAAATGTCTTCGGCTTGAAATTTCTGTCTACTTTGTTCAGCTACAAACAGATGCCAGTATTATTAAGCAATCAAAGGAGTTTATATGAATGCTGATGGGCCATAACAAATCATACCTCAACATAAAAGCATCGAAATAGAATATCAGGAATATCTAACAATTTCCTCACTCTAACGTTTGATAAAAATAGTGTAAGAATTCTGTCAGTGGCGAAAAAGTATTTGTCGAGTAATGTTACCTTGCATCTAGTTTCTTTAAATCTGTCAAATGGCTTACAAACGTTAAATGATCGAACGCATCCGTCACGGTTGCTTGAATCTTCTCTCTTGCCATATAAGCAGCTGCTCCTACAGCTACTGTACCAACGACTCCGGCAATAACACCCCATTTTTTCGCGGGACTTCCAGTTAATAGGGCTTTTCCTGTCTTACTGGCAGATGATGCTCCAGCTGTAATTGCTTTTGTTGTCGCTGCCTTCGTTGCGCTGGTAGCCGTCACTGTAGCAGCAGCAGCAGTACTGATTAAACTTCGAAAACCCATAACACCCTCGGCACCGTAACGAGCCTTCTCAGTTATGAAATTTTGACTGATAGAGAAAAAGGGTGTATCGTAAGCAATCATGCCGATAATATTGGCACCAGACAATTGCTCTTCGTTCTTATAAAACTTCAAAATAGTTTCCGCTGCTATAGTGTATGCAGTGATGTTTCAGCCAATTTTACTAGAACCCTTGATATTATCTAATTAACACTTACAGACGATGCCACCCATTGAGTGGCCTAATAAAACAATCAAAATTTTTCCTTTACTGTTCAATTTATCCATATATTTTTGTAGTTCAGTAACTTGATCTGTAAGCCAACTTGAAAAGTTCTCGACAGCTATATTTAGGTCTCTGTTATAACACCATCAGTTTAATTGCTACAGATTGGAATACTTCAACTCTGTTAGGTAAAATTTACCCAGCTGTTTTATATTGTGGATAGATAATCGCATTAACATCCGCTTTTACTGTATTCGTCAAAATTGTTTGAATTCTAGCTGGAAAGTCCTGGATCGTTCGCATAAAATAAAATTTAGTCCTTCAGTCCGTAAAGCAGAAGCTTCGTTGTTAAATAAGAAGTGATCCAACCTTAAAGCTAGTATCACCTCCTTTGAAACCATGAATGAATATAAGTAATAATCTGTCCAAGTAATCTGAGGTTGTAGTATTAATATCTTCAGTCATACTGTTGTGCTTGTCTAATAATCCACTGATAAAGGTAGAAGAAAGGGCAAAAGGCCAATAAAATAATTTGTTGTAATAAAGATAAAAGATAAAAAAAACAAGCTTTCTGTTTCTAAATTTATTTATTTTTTTATTTATTTTTTTTCAATTGACATATATGGAATTTGTTGGCTTTTTGGACGCTTCATACTACAATTTAAGATATGATGCATCCACCCTTTTCTTCAGCAGGAGGCTTATTCGCTTTTTCGATTTGTGCGATAAGTAGATCAAATATTTTTGCTGGCATTGGCATGAATAAGTAAATATATTAGTCCAGCATTCTCGTATCACGTCTTCTTTACTAGAACTACTACTGATACTTACAGACATTTTCATCATGCTTGGCTGAAGTCTCAATAGTAGGGCATTGCCATTGCTGAGCCAACTCTTTCCCTTCTTCTATTGATACTTGTCTTTGAATATTTAAATCTGATTTATTTCCAACCAATACACAAGGTACATTTTCTAAGCCTGTGAAGTCCAGAATTTTATCTCTGATGATTTTCACCATATCAAAGCTTGAACGAGAAGCAATCGAGTAAACTAATACATAACCATTCATACTGGTAGCATGATGTGCTGACAAAATTGAGTATTCATCTTGGCCTGCTGTATCCATAATTTCCACACTATACTCTGTTACATAGTAAGTAAATGTATGGTTAGCCGATTGAAAGGTTGTGATGCCCGATGTTCGCAAAGTTTTCTCCTTTTATCTCTTTCTTTTTCTTTTACCATTTCCACGGTATTTGATAGTCTTTGTAAATGTATTTTCAATAGTGGGATAATAGCTATCTACAAAGTGATTTTCACAGAACTGAATGACAAGGGAGGATTTACCTAAAACCTTTGATTGTTCGTAAAAATAACTCAACTAATATTGTCAATCCTTTGTAAAATGTAGATCATCCTTTACCAACAGCACGTGCTCCAAGTACTGCAATTCTTCTAGTTTTTGGTGGATTTGTGCTAGACATCTCTTTTTATTTATATACAAGAAGAGAATGAAATATTGTATATTATTTTGTAAAATACAAAAAAGAGTAGCGAAAAAGTCTACACGGGCTGTTTCAGAAAGCAGTAGTAATAGGCTTCATTGATTCAGCAGAAAAAGCAGAACAATAACTGACGCAAACTCAGCACCCATTTTTTGCATGACTGCAGTAATTTTGTTTTTTTTTCCCCTACCAATGTTACAGGATAAAGTAGTAGAACAGCGAGCTTCCCTTCACTAAACTGTCGCACAGGAGAGCTCAAAATACAATAATAGCTCTAGTTAGACTGTGACCATGAACAATAATAAAGTGATAATGCTAAAAATCCTCACTCTAACCGATGAAATTACACGAGTACGAACGAGTAAGCAAAAAGCAAAGAATATCACTAATTCTGAAAATTCAAGATTACATTAGAAAAAACCATTAGCTGAAGGAGACCTTTTGATAACTGCAAGTATGCTTTCGATGTATCATCACTTGTCATTAAGTCTAACCCAATTTGATTTATTCTATGCTATTAGTTGTAACAATGGATTTTGCATAGTCCAACCAGTTTTCCGTAGGGTTGTGATAATAGGGCTCGTTCGTTGACATTCATCATTTATATCATTTATTTTGGTAATAAGAGTTTACCCACTGCGAATGTTGTACCAGTTAATTACTATTGTTTGAGTATATATCGTTCAAATGGTGTGCACTAAACGTCGCCAAAACCATTCAAGAATGTGCGTATAGTGATTGAAAGAAGCATGAAAGAAGTACATACGACCTTAATTTAGGAAATTAAAGCTTATGCTGCCATTTCAGAAAAGGCCGTTCTCACCTCACCCGCGTGATACAAGTTTAAATACGATTTCAAGGTACAAAAAAAAAAAAAAAAAACTAAAAATTAAAAAGAACACGTTTTTATTTATTCTTGCTTTGTCCTTTATTCACTTCTCAGATACTTAATCATGGAATTCACGCCAGACGGTATTGTAGACAGATCGTTTAATGATCCCTTCCGTTTCCGTATTGCACCTGAATTAGCCTTCACGACAGGTCAACTTGAGGCCCTACAAGCCATTCTCGATACCTTTATCGCCCCTCTTCCTCAGCATGAAGAAGATGCTCTTGTTCAAAAGTTCCGTCATACTCACACCGAGGAGGAGGTACGTGCATTCTGCCGGCTCTCCAGTTCGTCACTTCAGACTCTTGATTCAGTCAAGGCATTTATTCATCGTACCGTTATCCCAGAAAAACGCCAAGATTTCATATGGATACTCTCTTTGCTGTCCTCGAAAGCTGGCACGTTTGCTCTCACTGGCCATTTCCAAACCTTTAAAGACCTATCTATTGAGGATCGTGAAAAAGTTTTTCTGTCTTGGAAGGATTCATTTTTATCGCCGTTGAGATTATTGTACAAAACTTTTCATTCATTAGCTTGCCATCCAGCCTATGCAACCCATGCGAAAGTGTTGGGTGATGCTATGCATTATAACAGATATATTGATAAAGCACGAAAGCAGGTTTACACTGATTTGCCAGAAAGATTTCCAATGTTGCAGCCTGAAGATTTGAAGGAGAATATGGAATATGACGTGATTATCGTTGGTAGTGGTGCTGGTGGAGGTAAAGAGAAGAGTGAAGAACAATCTTTCAATAGCTTGTGTTTATAAATTCTGAGTATCTTTGTTTATAATCGTACTCACGTTGTATGATTTCGTATGTAGGTGTGGTGGCTAGCCAGTTAGCTCAGGCAGGAAAATCGGTTCTTGTCATTGAAAAAGGTTCCTACTATCATGAAAGTGAGTTCATCCCAGAAGAATCTGCTGCTTTCCAAAACTTATATGAAAATGGTGGGTTCTCTGTAAGTTATGAAGGTGCCATTTCCAACCTAGCAGGAAGTGTGTTTGGTGGTGGCACTACCGTTAATTGGAGTGCTTGCTTAAAGGTAAACGGCTTTTATGGCAGTTGAACTTGACTCATTTACATACCGAAAGAAAAAATCAGGCATCAAAAGCTTAATATGTTTCGATAAACCATTAGCTTCAGCATTTCGTACGCGAAGAATGGGCAAAGCAAGGCTTGTCTTATTTTAATTCACCAACAGTAAGTAACAAAAGAACGTTCTGACGTGGGGGTAATGATTTTTTATAAGAGAAAAGTAACCAAAGGATTATTCAGTTTGCAAAAGACCTGGATCGCGTTTTTGAAGTGATAGGAGCGTCAACAGAAAACATTGTTCACAATGGCTCCAATCAAGTATTGATAGACGGATGCAGGTAAATTCAAGCGAAAGTCTAAAGACGAGCAGTTTATGATTTATGCACCTCATACATTTTTTTTAAAGAGCTCTTGGTTACCCAGTAGCAGATATCGCGCAAAACACCTCAGGTAAACCACACACTTGTGAGTTTTGTTTCACCGGTTGTCGTGCTGGTATAAAGAATGGTACTATGAATTCTTGGCTTCGTAACGCTTATAATCACGGTGCTCAGTTTCTTGTTCAAACGAAAGCCAATCGCATCGTAACCGAAAAAATAGGTGAAGTAAGAAGAGCAGTAGGTATAGAATGCTTCGCTCATTACAATCGAGACAAAACGATTTACATCCGTGCTCGTGAACAAGTCATTGTGTCTGCTGGCTCATTACAGTCACCAGGTCTCTTGTTACGTAGCGGCCTTACTAACCCACATATCGGACATCATCTGCATTTACATCCTTGTTCCATTACTTTCGGCTTCTTTGATGGTCGAAAGAAGGAAGTTAATACGTTTCAAGGCTCCATTATGACAGCTGTTAGCGGAGTAGCTGAAGATGTTGATCACGAAGGCTACGGTGCCAAATTAGAGGTTCCTTGTTTGCATCCCGGTAGTTATTCGACTGTACTGCCATGGCGCGGTGCAGCAGCGCACAAAGAACTTATGCTGAAATATAGTTACTGCGCTCCTATCTTGATTTTGAGTCGCGATAAAGATTCTGTGGGTCGCGTTCGATATGACGAGAACGATAATGTAATGGTAGATTTTAACTTGTCAAACCATGACCGCCGATCCATATTAGCCGGTATCGAAAAATCATTGAATGTATTGGTGGCAGCAGGTGCACGTGAACTGCATACAGGCCAGTTTGGTGTACAGCCTTTTGTGTTTAGAGAGGAAGAAGAATCACGCGTCGATAATCATAGGTTTATCTCCTGGAAGCAGAAGGTATTGAAGTACGGATTGCCACCTAACGGAGCAGGGATTTTCAGTGCTCATCAGATGGGCAGTAATCGTATGGGCATATCACCGAAAGTGTCTGCTGTGAAGCCTACAGGTGAGACTTGGGAAGTGAAAGATTTATATGTCGCTGACGCTTCTGTATTCCCGACTTCTTCTGGTGTCAACCCTATGGTAACAACTGAAGCTATTGCGTTGCATATAGCAGACTGTATCATTAGCAAGCAAAATAACAATAGTGCTAGGCTCTAAGAAACCTCTTTAATTGATATATGTTCAGTTTTCTGTTTTATTAAGATTATTATCAAAGTAATTAAAGATATGGTCCAATTTCAAAATCGCTTTTTCAGGCTTTTTACTACGTATGTGTAACAATAGAAATATCGTAAGTAAGCTATTAGACAATATACTTAAGGAGGATACTGTGCAGAGAGAAAGAGTTCCGTTGAGTGATTAAGTTAGGCAGCTAGAAAAGTCATTTCGAATATGTTGATTGGATATTTATTGTTTGATCTTTTTTGGTTCATTATTTTCATCTATAGATGTTGGTGAACGTTGTCTTTTAGTGGCTGCCGTTGACAGTGATGCAGACTCAGCAGTGCTACCGTTATTATTGGCAGGTGGGGGAACATAGGAGCTACGGTGACGTCCCAACTTTGGTGGAATTTTCCAAAAATATTGTTTATCTTTCAACGTACACTTACGAGCACTACGACCTACTTGTGTATAGGTAGCACGACGCCATTCAACGGGATCTAGTTCGCTATTATAGTAATATAAGTTCTCAACAGGTGTGCCATCAGCGGCTTTACCCTTACGTTGAATTTCACCAAAGAAGGGTTTTTCTTTAAGTACTTTGCGAATGCGTTCAATCCAGACTTCGCGAGAATGCTCAGCGTAAACAGGATGAGCTTTAAGAATACGAGAACAAATATCACTTATTGGCATGGAAGAAGTGCGGGAGAAAACTAAAAGAATACTCTAGGTTAGCAACGTATGTTACTCATTACAGAGACGACGTAGCTTCTTACCTAATGCATCAATGATAACTTCGGAATAGTCCTCTTTTTTCTCTTCACCGTGAGCAGGATTATTACTGTCTTTCAGAATTGCGTTATTCTCAGCGTTTTTAGCATCTTTTGCTTTCTTTCCTTTCTTCATTTCAGGTGAAGGTTCTTCTTTTATGGCTTTTACTGTCTCTTCTTCTTTTCTATCTGATTTTTTTTCTGTTTGTTCAGTTGTCTCGTCATCGTTGGACGGCAACTCAATCAATTCAGTGGTTTCCTTAACTAAATGTACGACCTCTTGATTCATTTTTTCTGATTTGGGCGCACTGTTAATGCTCTCATCAGGGTGGGTGGCAATTACTTCATTTTGGTGTGTTGCAGGCTCTTCAACTATCTTTTCTGATTCTTCTGCAGGCTTTTCATCAGCTAACTTGATTTCTTTGTTTTCTTTTACTTGTTCTTCTTCCCCAACTGCTGCAGTCTGTTGTTCAGGCTCGGGAGATAGCTCTTTAGCAACGGCTGCTACTGTATTGATATTCATTCTTTCATTTCCGATATTTGCTTGTTGGTGTTGCTGTTCTTTAGCTGTAGGTAAAGGAAGGGGCGCAATGGGCTCTCTAAACTGAATTTGGTCACCCAGTACATCAATTATACTATGATTTTCTAAACGTACAACTGCATGTTGCTCGTATGCGACATCATCCACACAAGCACCGTTTAATCCTATTACTGTGAGTTCAAATTGTTGCTTTGTTTTATTGTAATCGATAGAAATATGAGTTCGGCTAATGTTTCGGTTACGGCGGCCAATTTTGATGGTGTTCGCACCGCCACGGCCAAGGGTTATAGCCTTTTCATATGAGCCCACTACAATAACAAATTTATGCGGATTTTGATGTCGGAAAGTTCGGCGATGAGCTTGTTCGTCATATAGGGAAGATGAGTACAATTGCGATGTGGGTTGGAAATCATCAGAGTTTAGCACAACACAATCTTCAGTGTTATAATCAGGGCTAGCTGGACGGTGCTGGTCAGTCTGCGTATTTAACCAAAGTTGGTTGTTGGTATTCTCAAGCTCGTTCATTTAAGCCACTAACTGGAAAAAAATGATGGAGCGAGTTATTGTAACTTAGTTACAAGAAGAAAAACTTGAAGAAAAAAAAAGGGGGAAAAGAGAAGAAAAACAATTTTTCTCGCTGAAGAAGAGCTGTGAAAACACCACCCTTTTCTGCCATGAGCTGAAAAGAAATCTTCGTGTAAAAGAAGCGCGTTGTCCCAGATTTGAAATACCGCTTACCAAGAATCAATTTAACTACAGTCTTCCGCTCTACCAACTGAGCTAAGGCCGGATTGTTGCTTACCAAGAATCTTTTTTCAGTGCAAAAAAGAAAAATACTTGATTTTCAGACCTTTTCCCAAAACAAATTAGACGTTCTCTTTTCAAAATTGGAATAATGCTCTGTCTAGCTCAGACAAGTTCTCTATTCAAACATCTGCTCTACTGACGCACTTCAGACAGATCGAGTAGCCATGAAAGCATAATCATAAAAGTTTGATTATGGCATACGATGGATTATGCCATAATGTGTAGTGAGTCGGAGCGGGCCTCGACCAAGACTGGGACAAAGTAGGCATACGTGCTAAGCAGTGTCATGGAAAGTTGGATGATGAGGGCAGTATGATAATGAACTTCTACACAGCAAGCTGGCAGCGTACGGATCGAACCTAAGTTTTCATATAAAGAGACTGACTGCTTCTTTTACTCGCGATGTTGAACGCGTAAATGAGATAATGCTTCATAATGTGTTGTCGAAGGAAAGCTATGAAGATCATTTTCGTGTTTGAATCCTTTCACATCTCTCTTCCTGTTTTCTTTCATTTCTTGACCTCGTAAATACTGCTATCCTTTACTTGCATATACAAGAGTATTATCATAAATAAAATCGAATTAGTGAAAGTAAAGCGCACAAAGAAAGAGAACCCATTTGGTAAGCATGTATTAAGGAATACGTTTTCGGCGCACAATTGTACTAGCAACATTATTACACAATCAAAACATGTCAAGTGCAAAGACTGTAATGCATCCGGGCATTATAATAAGGACTACTACAGATGCAAGTTTTATAAAGCCGTAACCGCTGATGATGGTAACCTGAAATTTTCTATTCACACACACAAGCCAGTACACTAACAGCTCATTCTTACACATAGTTGGTAGCTCTGGCAAGAAGAGAAAACAGAGTGACAAGGTCAAGGCTGACAAAAAAGCTGCTAAAACGAAGAGAGAAGCATCACAAGCTGTAAAGTGCATCAGCTGTAAAGAAGAAGGTCATACCAGCTCCCGTTCGCCAGATTGTCCCAATCACACTCAATCGAAGCAGGAATTCATCTCGTCTGTCCTAGGCAGTGACTCTACCACGTTTACTAGGAAACTTCCTGTTAGTCGTGCCGTATTACCTGAGTATCGTGAGAAGTTTATAAAAAAAAGTCATTTCGTGCTGCAATGGCATTAGGGCTATAATGTTCCGTTGTCAGCTATTTGTCGATGCTTATCTCGTCCATAATAAGAAAATTGGCTTTCTTCAAGAGTCTTTACACAGCAATTCTGGGACTCGATTGGACAACTGGTTACAGGCAAAAATGACACTCATAAGACAGCAGTAAACGACAGCATCAAGACTTTTTCTGAAAACAGCAATAAGTTCACCAAAGGCTATAGTCAGTGTCTTACAGAAGCTGCCAAGGAGACAAGTGTTGCATACACTAAATCTATTGTTGAACTCTTTGAGGAACGGATGCTGAAATACTTGATCTACAAGCTTCAAAATTTGTTCGTTGTAAGGCCAACTTTCATCATCATCGTTGACACTACCTGCTCTTGCAGCACAAAGTGTCTTTGGAGATGGCATGTTTGGCAAAGATAACGTGAAATTGAAGGGTCTCCGTTGTGACGTTGTTGGTGTCTTGTTCCGTGCGCTGAAAAGAAGAGAAGCAGCCGGCGATCTGTTAGTGCTGATGATTGACGAATTCAAGACGTCGAAGATTTGCTACCGCTGCCACAGTGAGGAATTGCATGGTTTGAATGATGTTCCCGGCCATAGTATACTAGCCTGTAAAAGCTGCGGCATACTATGGAACCGGGACATCAATGCCTGTAAAAACATGATGTCAATAGGTACTACGGTTTGGAGTGGGAACGGTAGACCCGAAGTATTCTCAAGGAAGAAGATCGCCACCGCCACCGTCTCGTCTACCGCTTACACGTAACATCACTGGAACGAAACCAGCTGATTTTTACAGGTAAGAATGGTAAACTTGTATTTCATATCTTTGTAAAAACTGTCCAACATGTATGTTTCAATGGTCTACTCTGTATACAGCATTTTGTCTAAACGCAATTTTATTTCGTCCAAATATAAAATTAATAAACTGTACCAAGGTTAAGGTCTTCCTACACATCCGATCAAAAACCCCTCCCAAATACAAAACTGGCATTTTCTATGGCCAGTACTTTGTCACATTTTGTTTGAACTCGACTCCTTACACCACTCTCGAGAGCCGCCTACAACTCCTCGGTTAGGGCATCTATTGCTCGACTGGTTGCCCTCTTTTCCTCCCCCCCTTCTAATAGACCATAATGCTTTTTACCCTTGAGTCCGAAGGGGTTTTAAGATGATATCTAGCCTTTGGTTCTGCCTAAGACAATTTAGTTAAGTTTAATATCTCGTGTCCATTGGGCTTAAAAATGTCAGTAATGAAAATCCTTGTTTAAACGTACCAAGGTTAAAAGATCTCAGCAGCATGCCTAAGCATCTCTTACCTATTTTACCGTTGTTTCAAGTTAAATGTTAAGAAAAACTATATTTATTGATTAATTTAACAATGACGGAACAATAAAAGAAAAAAATTAAATATAATAACTGAAAAAGGACTATAGAAGGCAACACTCGACTTTCAAAAATACAAGAGCAATTTGACCCAAAAAAAAATTTTCTATACGCACATGTTTGTTCACCATCCAGTAACATTGATATGTCTCTCTTCTAAAAATTTAAACAAACTTCCTGGTTCTTTCTTCCACTGGTTATGCCAATGATACGCAAATGTCTGCAATAATCTCTCTTTATCAAATTCTGTCTCAATGAAAGCATTCGGCATTGAATTTTTTGGTGAACACACCATTGAGTCGGTAAAGCACCAAGGCAGTACTGTCCATGGTCTGATTCCATGATGCAACAATCTTCTATAAATTCTATAATACATGTATCCTCCCCAATCGATTGTGTCTGGTCTAGGCAGTGGCCCCGATGCTAACTCAGAGAGCATTTCACACAAGTAAGGCGACTGCTTGTGGAAACGCATGAATGCACCATTAAACGGGAACCCGTTGGGCAAGAAGCAATCCCATTGCGATAACCATTCATGTTCTAATAAAGGTGACATGTCACGAATAAACAAACTGTCCATATCAAACCACATACCGCCATATTTATAAATAGCTAAAAGTCGCACAAGATCGCCGTCCAAGTATCCACTATCGTCTTTGAAATCCAAATGTGGAGAGCCTTCCATGGGCGAACCTTCTGCGAGTTCATGTGGGTTGTAGAGCTTAACTTGCAGTCGATCAGCGCCGACAGCTTGTTGAATTTGTTGAACAATAGGGGAGAGAGATAAATCACCGTTTGACCATAAGTATATGATAGACGTATCAGGATCTTGTGTTGCGAAGAATGAGCGAAGGGTAGCAAGTTGTTTACGTCCCATAGGCGCAAGGTCAGATCTCCAATAAGCGTGATAGATGGTTGTTTCATTGCGTTTGTGTATTGAGTCGGTTGTAATAGTTGCCGCAAAATCATAGCAATCATAATCTTCCATTAGACTGATACCCGGTGCAACATCGTAGACGTACTCATGAGTGCCACCGTTTAGATAAGGGCTTTTAGCGGGCAAATTGTCGAAACAGCCGGCTAAAGGGCTGTAGTAAGCATCATCTGCGTGGGATATCCAATTTCGTAAATATACCCGCACATTGAGCTGTAGTTGACAGAAAGTAAAGAAAGATATTACAATAAATAGGATGATGAGAGTGGTATATTTCAATAGGGTCAGGGCTCGCCATCGTTTGGTTGGTCTTATAAATGTTGATGTATTAGCATTCGGCAATCGTGTGTAAGTTTTACTGCTACTACCATTGCCAATCCGTTTAAAGAGATTTGCTACGGTAGATAACAGACTCATTTATATAACTAGAAAGCAAAGCGTAGTTTTAAAGTGTAGTTGGGCTGTAGTAACGTAATAATGCTTTGTCAAAACGTAGTATGTTAAAATGATGGATTACGCTGATTGCGTTAAAAAAAGAAAGTTTGAATCTGAAAAATAAAATTGGCTGAGAACAAAAAGAAAAGGAGTGATCTGCTAAGCTTTTTTCTTTCTCTTCTTTCCTAAACATTCTTTGAGCTTTACATCCACCCTATTCCTTTCTTTTTACCAAAATCATAGAGACAGACTTCCCATTCGTTCCTTACGCTATAGAATAATTGAACTATCTATAAAAATGCTGCATAACAGTAATGAAAACATTCTGCAATTTGATCAAGGTGTGATGACCTTGTCAGCATACGACCCGTTGCGAAATCAATATCAGAAATCGCGCGTACTTCAGTTACCTAAGTTACCTTTACTTGAATCACTAGAACATTTGTTTATAGAAAACAACAGCAGCAATAACAGCAATAGCATCCGACCTACAAAATCAACTCGATCCGCTCAAATGAGAAGAAGCAGTAGCAGAGGGCACAACGAATTATTGCTAGATGGAATAGATAAAGATATTAGCTCCTTCAACAGAAGAAGACGCTGCCAGTCCAATCCCAGTCCGAATATGACAACAACAACGGTCAACCTAACAGCTAGTACTACCAGCACATTTACTGCAGCAATGAAGAAACGTGCCTTACATAAGTTTGGCTCACTTACTCGTAGAATGTCCAAAAGATCGAGCAAAAACGACACAACAGAAGAGTCTGTCGTATCAGATAATGCTTCCTTCATTCACCGTAGCAGCCACAATAGCAAAATACGTTATCATAAACGCTCACTATCGAATGCTTTTCAAGCAGCTTTTACAGGAATTGTACAGAAAGCCAACAAGAAGATAAAGCATAGGCAGGCAGAGCAGTACGGTTGGACACATCAGAGTTGGGTGGAGGAATTGAGATTTTCGACGGAATCCATGGTGTCTTTATACAGTCTCAACCAACCATTATCATATACGCGAGAACCTTCTGCCACTACTACTACTGCAACATATTACAAGGACGTGAAAAATTCCTCTTTATTGCGTGAAGACTGGTGGATGTCTAGTCCATCTATTCGAAAAGATTCTATTAATGTTACTGCTGCTGCTTTTTAAATTGCTACCCCTGAATCCATCAATCTTTTTTGTTGGCATAATCGTCGCCATTATAATTAGTGCTGTTTATTCATAACAATAATATCATATACCATATCCTATATCCCAGCTACACTCATTTTATTATGTATATCCCCGGTCCATTATTTTTTTTTGGGTATTTCAGACACCATCTCTTTTGTTCTAAGCTTCTCAGTTTAATGTATAGCAATAAAACTTGAAAATATCTAATATGACAAATTTTAAACTGTTCTAGACCCTGTTCCTGTTAGCCAACTTTATAATAAATGGAGTGGCGATATACCCCCCCCTTTCCTTGTATTATACAAACTGCGTAACTCTAATATGTGATGCACTCCTTTTTTCTGCAAGTGAATGTGCGCAGAAACATTGGATAAAAGCAATATGCATATTATCAACCGGTATTTCCTTTCTGGGTATTCCTGCCCGAGGGCATTATAGCCTTTTTTATTCATGCTAACAAATGTATGTAAGCTATTACAGAATTTCAAGGACGTATTATTGCCTCATACTTCAAATTTGATAACTTTCTATTTTCACCACGTATAAAAGTATCTGTTCTCCTGGGTAGAAAACCTCTCGGCTTTAGAGGAGAAGATAATTTTCTATGCCGCATCATATTTAATTCTGCAGAAATCATTCGCAGATGATCTGGATTAGAACGGGTATCACGAGTATATGTATTCGTTTCAGGATTAAATCTTGGTTGTGTGGTTGCTTCTGATCTTCTTTTCCGGCGTTGCTGTAATGGCTTTGGTGATGGAGGCATTGGAATGAAATGAGGTGGTTTTTTGGAGTTATTCAAAAAATTTTTGTTTTCAGCAGTGTTATTATTATTATTATTATCAATAGGAGATGACGAGGATGATGTAGATAATACGAGCGATCTTTTTAACTGTGCAATTGTTTCTAGCCAACGTGTACTATTCTTTGTAATATTTGTACTGGTAGATGGCGACATCAAGGGTGATGTTGTTGGCGATGTAATGGAAGACTCTTTATGTTGTAAATTTGTAGTTATGGATGATTGTGATAATGCTGCCGTATTAACGGCAGTAGTAGAGGTAGTTGTGGTAGCTGAAGAAGGCGGCGAAGTAGACATTGCATAAGTATTTGTCGTAGACGTGGATGGCTCATGCGATTTTGAAAAAGATGGTATTGACGTCTTTCTAGTCATTTGTATACCATTCTCTCCTATTCTAATACTCATGTCACTTTCCTCTTCTGTATCCGTCATATCGTCCTCCTCCTCATCTTCCTCATCCTCTTCGTCCTCAGCGTCATCCAAATCTACTATATCCTCAATTTCTTCTTCTTCCTCTTCATCAGAGTCCAAGTTATTTGCTGCTTGTTGAATAGGTATCACTTGTACATTGGGACTTTTCACTGGATACAAAATGGGCCTTAGATCTGCTGATTTCTTCTTCATCGGTAAATGTAGCTGTTTCTGCTGCTGTTGCTGCTGCCGTCGGTTTTCTTCCTCCCTCTGTGTTGCGATGGCGCTTAAAGAAGGTGGTGGCATATGTAATGGTAATACTAAAAAATCTGTGGATAAGAAATTTTGGAAAGGTGAAGCAGGTATCTATAAACATAGGTGTATTATCAGTATCAAGAGATTTCGCTCTCAGTAGATAAATGGTATGTTCATTACCAAATCCTCTTCATCAGGTATACTCTCTTTACTGTCTAGGGCAAGCCAGTTCTCAACATGCGACATTTGTCGTATAGGCACTTTATCGTCTCCTTCATTGTGTTTACTGCTTCTTCTCCTCTTTTGATTGCTAGTACCAATGCTACTATCATTATCCTTCTTCGCCTTTTTCTTGCTACTATGCTCTCCGGATCGTTTCTTTCCATCTTTATCTTTTTGCTTCTTCTTTTTCTTCTTTTTCAATAATGGTGGAATAGCTCCATAAGGCTCAGGTGCTTGAGCCGCCAATTGCTTTATTAAATCTTTATATGCTTTTTGTTGTTCATCCTCTTCATCATCCGCCTTCGGGTCATTAAATTGCACAGCGGCAACCACATTTCTAATCTCTTCGTTTAAAGTATTACTTTTAGTGACACTAGTAGTAGTTGTGTGTGCAGTAATAGCTGGTGAAATAGGCGGTGATATGGTTGACAAATGACCTTGCTGGGATAATCGAGAGGTTTCATTGAGTTGATGTTGAGAATAAGTACTGTTCGTTGAGGTTGTTGCTGATATGATTGGCGTTGAAGTTGAGGTCGCTGTAGTAGGCATTTATAACACTTTCAAACAATTAATCTGAAATGACATTGAAATGCTAGAAAAGAGGAATGAGGAAGAGAAAGGAAGGAAGTTTACTGTTTCGAACAAAAATTCAAGCACTCACTTAATGCTGTTGTGTTTATCAAAAGCTTCGCTTTGACTGTTTTAAAACCCAAACTTCGGTTTCCGCTTAAAATTGTACTGTGTCTTTGTTTCGATTGATCCAAGATCGATTCTAAATTCTTATCATTGGCAAAAATTCATCACAATATCTATCTAACGTACACAGGTTCTAGAACAAAGTACAACCTACTCAGGCACGCAAAAGCGAAAAAGACATAATCAAGCTCTCCACTCGAATGTAATGCTTGAATATTCTGGATACTTAAAAGCATTTGCTGCAATAAAGACAGTAGCCTTATTGAATTTTTAATCAAATTACTGAGATATGGCTATGCAATCATATAGATTCGGTTTACGTATTTTGTGAAAGATATAATCGTTATTGTTGAACAAAATAAAGCTTAAAAAACCAATCAAGTTAAAATTATACACGTACAAATTGATAATTCGACGCAGTACCGATGCCTCGCTCAACTAAGACTTGTAAAATTGATTGCGCCTGGTCCTTGCTTGGCCCTCAAAAAATGGCACTTTTTCTGCAGTTGGAAAGTTTCTACAGTTTTTATAGGCTTATAATACATTATACTTGCACAATACTCAAATTCATTGACACTTTCAGATATAAAAACGATAATCTGTATTTCTCATGCTTCACGCAGGTGAAAGCTATTTGGGACCCACGTTTTGAGAATATATAAAAGAAAATCAGAGATACAACCCAGATGTTATTAATACTTTGAGATAAAAGCTTTGAGCTTTATGGTTCCAAGTATATATTTTATTCCCAAAGATATTCTAAATTTTGTAAATTATGTAATGTCTGCAGTAATGGAGATTTTCGTCTGCTAGGTTTTTTTAACAGTTTTGAAAAGGGATGCTTTGTGTATAGAGATCTGGAGGCCTTAAGTTCCTCGGGATGACTGAATTGCTAGATTTTACCTAATTGAAACAAAATCATATATACTTGAGTGACAGCGATAATATTGTAGCACTTACAGCCTGACAGTAGATAATCACTATGCTTTATTTAGGATAACTTTTGCAGAAACATCACATAAATGTCACAAGATTATTGAATAAAATTAGTATCAAACCCACAATGGTGACATGGTATAGCAGCTACTCACTTTTATAGAGGTTGACAAATTGCAGCAGAATAGGGGCCTGCCTTTGTTCCGCTCCAATGGCGGGCATCGTTGAAGGGCGGACTGGGACCAAATTAAGAGGAGGATTGAAGAAGTAAGTTAGGTGATTCTGGTCCTTCGGTCCTCGGTTCGCGGTGCTAACACTTTTACATATAAGAGTATCTATGTTTCTCAATAATGTATTTATATACTTTCTAATACTGTAGAAACTTTTAAATTGTAGAAAAAGTGCCATTTTTTAGGAGGACCAACCTACGACCTGCATACACCTGTCTTTATTGACTTTTAATACAAATGCATACTCTGTAGCAAAAGCCTACTAATCCTGACATCTGTTTGATTAATCCATCTACAAAATAATTTTGTCCATGTCATAGTTGATTATTGAATTAAATAGCATCTTTGACAAATGATTTCAGAGCAAATGTATTCATAGTTTCACTTCCCCTTTGAAATTGATGTAGAATGCGCTAAAACTATTTAACATAACATCCAACATTTCTCATACTCTCTACAGTAATTCTAAACTCCTTCATTTTTAATAGTCTGAGATAACCTTTAGCTGAATTCTGTTACTTTGAGTCATTAATTTGGCAGAGAAATATGAATACAGTAATACATGGTATGATTCATGATGTTGGAGAAAATCAATAGAAATCAATAAAATTGAAGTCGTTTAGATTTGACTTGTAAACCCTTAAAAAAAAAGGAAAACGACGAGACTGGTGGTCCGAGTATTGTTATGAAGTTGTTTGAGTTTAGAATGGAAGCTTAAATTTCACGCCATTAGCTGTGGTGGTAAAGGTTTCCGTTGAGGTTGGAGCAGACTTCTCTTGTTCAGTTTTAGTAGGAAGCGCTTCAGTCATACTGTCTTTACTTGTCTGAGAAGAATCTGTAGTTGTAGTTACAATGGTTGTAGCTGTAACAGTGCTTGATGTAGCAGCAGTAGCCGTACTAGTAGTACCTTTACCAGCCAAAATACTGTGGAGCCCTTGTTCGGTAATGTTGGATGGTAACTCCATTCCGGCAATTTGATCGGGTGTAATACCGATTTCTAAGAGGCTTCCAAATGAAATGCTGAAAGGCACTTTATTTTGATAATAGTACATCTCTGTTTCATAGCCTTTACCTACAATGACCGTCACATTTTGTTGAACATCAAGGTACTTGTTCTTGTCTGTAATCAAGGCAAGTAACTGAGATGCACTAGCTTCACCAACAACAACGGGCCATTCGTCAGAAGTAGCGGTGCCTTTCGCAGGAACTGTAACAGGGTTAGGAAGTTGATAATCAATGGTACCAACAGTGAATGAAGGAATCGTAGCAGAAGAAGGAGTGAAAGTCACAGATGCTTGGACAGATTTGATTTGGTAAGGGGCATCCATGGGGTTAGCCAAAGAGACAACGGAGGTAGCTTCCTTTCGAGATAACATACCCAGTAAACTACCTTTGACTTGGATTTGAGATATCAAATTGGCAGCAATTCCGCTCATTTCCGTATTAAGCTTCACAGAGGATAAGGCAGGAACCAAAGGAGCAATTTTTGTGGATTCAGAAGAGCCGGTAATAGTAAGTGATGTATTAGCTGACGTAAGATAGTTACTGAACAATTGACCAATGGATTTCTTATCAGTAGTCTTTTCACCTAAATGCATTTCACCGGTATATTCTGTAAGACCGGGAGGAATAATCACATTTTCAACGTAAACACGGCCAACAACACTACCCGATTCGTTCATGATAACGTCAAAATTAATATCACCCACATTGATAGTAATGTTAGAGGGATTGGCCATTGAAAAGCCAAGGTTTACAAGAGTGTATTCAGGAGTACCACCAGCGATAACAATGGAGTTTGTCTTAACAGAACCTCCAAAGTTAGCAAAACCTTTTGATTGAAGCAGTAAGAAAAAAGGTTGGATTTAGTATAATATGAAAAGGTTCCCCCTAAACAAACCGACTGACCTGCGAGCGCTGTATCGACATTGAAACCGATATCATGAAGACTGATGGCACCAATAGCAGTTTCAGCAATGGCATTAGAGGTGCCCTTCAAACCGAAAGTAACGCTTGGTGACATTGTCAACAACTGCACAAATCCAGTGAAGATTTCCTTATTTTGAACCTTGAACGGAATATCGCTAAATTGGGTAGAAACCAAACCAGAGGGGCTAGTGATCGCCTTTTGTGCAGGAACATTCAGAGACGCCACGTCAGCGCCTTGATATTGAGCCATTACATTCATCTCTAGCTGACTAACACTGAGAGGGAAGCCAAAAGGACTCTTTAATTGTGCCTCAACATTGCTGGAGCTTGTAGGAGGAGCCCAAGGATCTTTGGTCAAGTCAAGCGTCATTTGTTTCATAGTAATACCAGGAATCAGTTGAGGTTTAACTTTAGGACCAGGCATAACCACATTCGGAATCGTCAATGTTTTAAAAGCTGTACTCAACCAATTGACCACCCCATTAGGGCCAGAACCAGAGACACCTTTAACATTAATAATGGAATCATTGGCACTCAAATAGTTATCAAAAATTTCGGCAACAGCTTTTAAACCTTCACCTTTTTGTGGAACAAGACGACCCTTCAAAGAAATGCTAGCTGTACCTTGAGGAGGGAAGACAGCAGCACCATTGGAGCCAAGAGGGCCAAGAACAGTACCCTTATAGGAGGACTCAAAAGCAACTCCAGAGAGATTGAAACCGACTTGAGAGGGATTCTTGATGGTTGTCTCAGCAGTGAGAGTAATACCACCGGCAGGATCGTTGGAGGGCAAATCAAACTTATTGATAGTAACAGCATCCTTGAAACCATTAGCACCTGACAAAGTAACATATTTTTGCATGGTAATCTTACTGAAAGTATAACCTAAAGCATTGACGCTGACGTCTTGAGTAGTAATTTCCCATTCAAAAGCACCATTGTTGATCATGAAAGTAGCAAAGGAAGCCATATCATCTGTATTCTTGATAGTGAATTTCCCAGTGACGTCGAAAGAAGCACCCACGCCGGCCTTAGAGTTGATATCTGGCATAGAAACCTGGCCCAGTGTCATTCCTTCCCAAGCAACATTGAGAGGAGTAGGGAACATAATAGTGGCATCCATAGGACCCGCATTAGCAATTTTCCCCTTCATCTGAACAGTAAAGTCATTGTTGGTAGGTGCAGATAGTATAATGGTGTCAAAAGACAAAACAGAACCATCGACAATTTGTTGTACAATAGGTTGACCAACAATAGGTATCAACATAGTGACGGAACTATCAGAAGCGATAGCTACATCTCTTTGAGAGAACGCCAAATCATTGGAATATTGACCAATGTCGATACCAGAAGAAAGCGTTAGATCTACCTTAAGGGCCTTCATAGCATTCATAACATAGCTGGAGATATTAAAGCTAGAGAAAAGATCAGGACTAGCATCTACATATTCTTGACCAGCAATTTGGAAGCCACCTAAACCAAGCAAGGCATCTAATGCATGTGTATCCAAGTTTGAGTTTTTAGCAAGTGTTCTTAGAAGCAAAGCAACGGAGGCAGGCTCAACATTCATAGTCATGGATAAGGCTTGAGATTTAGCAACGCTTTTTCCAGGAATGACAAATGGACTGCTACTGATATCTTGATCAATATTACCAATGGGCATACCAGTATATGTAGCAGCCGCAACCACCTTATTAATGGACAGGCCAGCAGAAAACGGGTTGGCAATAGACACGGTAACATCCACTAAGCCAGTTTGAATAACGTCGGAACGAACGGTCAATCTACCTCCTTGAATCAAAGCTGTCTTGAGGCCAGGAAGAGTAGATCCAAGACTAATAGCACTCAAAGAGTCGACGAGGGACGCAATATTAGTAGAGTTAGCATAACCTGAGATTATAACTGAGTTGTCTTGTCCCATGACAAACGTAGACAATAAATTTTGTCCAACGTCAGATGACTTAGGATCAAAAGTAGCAGAAGCAGAGACCTGATTATTACCGCGTGCAAGAGTCAAATTCTGAAGAGTGACAACACCCAAATCAGTTCCGTCCGATCCCATGATAAAACTGACATCACCTGTAGAGATACTGAAATCGGAAGGGTTGGTCATAGTAACATTAATAGACAACAATAGGTTCTCAGTGGTACCACCGGTTACATCTAAAGAGTTGATAACAGTAGCTGAGCTGTTCAAGAATTGAAGACCATGAAGTTGAGTAGGTACGGTGAATTGAATACCGCCAAGAGTGATAGGGCCAATGGGTGTATTGGTCTTTGTAGAAGCATTGCCAGAAATCATAAAAGTGTAGTTGTTGGAAGCAGTCAATTCGTAAGTATACTTGTTGAAGATTTGCTCTTTACCAGTAATACCAGCAATGTTACTATCCTTGATACCAAATTGGAGAGTACCTGCATTTTGATCACTGATAGCAGGTACAAAAGGAACTTGAAGTACCGCAAAATCAGCCGTCTCGGTACTAGAGGTGTTGATAGCCATTGTGATGTTCTGATTAACTTCAGTGATATTCAATGAGAAACCAAAAGGAATTTGGAAGTTTGCATTGACAATGGGTGCATTGACAAGAGGAGCATAAGGCGTGTTGCTATCAAATTTCAGATCAAGGTAACCCATACTGACAGATTGGATGATCTTTAGAGGTTCAGGTGCACCCAAGGCAACGTTGAGTTTTACAGTCTTAAAACCTTCTGACAGCCAGCTGATAGGGTTCACCCCATCAGGTGCACAAGAAATACCAATAGCACTGGTATTGGAAGTCTTACCAGCTACATAGTTGGAGAACAAAGTACCGATTTTGTCTAAAGTAGCGGTATCATTATGCGGAACTAAAGTACCCTTGAGTGGAATATTGTTATCACCCTTTTGCAATTGAACGTTCTCGGCCTTGACAGTACCCAACGAAATACCGTCGTAGCCGATAGCCATAGCAATTGTGCCTAATTGTACACCAATAGGAGAAGGACTAGTCAAAACAGTTCCCAATTCAACAAGTATACCACCAGTAGGATCATCGCCCGGCATTTGGAAAGAATTAATCTTGACATTAGGGAAGCCATTCATACCTACAGGCAAAAGCAGACATGAATACGTGAGATGGGCTGATGCTTTCACAATACTAGTACTAAAGGTTAAATCTTATGCTACCATTCAAGGTAATTTCCTTATTGAGATCAACGGTAGCAGTTCTTTCATGAAATAATTAATACAATAATGATTAAGAATGGCTGAAGACGCAATGTACAGATCCGGTTTCTTTTTATAATACGCTTACCTTGTAAGAGCAGTGATATCGAGCTTTCCTTTCAGAATCCATTTGAATTCATCTACAGCCAGCATATCTTTAGCAAAAGAAGCAAAAGCAGCTTCATCACGGATGACAAAGGGTGTCATAGCATTCAGAGAACCATGGCCACCAGAAATATGAGTGTTATTATACAACCAAATGTCACCTAAAATTTGATCTTTATACAAGACATTGATTGGATTATGAAACTTTATATCAGCTGAGAAAGGGCCCGTGTTCTTGAGAGAGCTTTCCATATTCATATAGAAAGTGGTATTCATATTGTCACCGCCATCGCGTTTACTGTACGTTTGACTTTCAAGCGAGCTGGGCTTGCTGAATGATATCTGTGCAGTATTGACATCAATCTTAGATTGGTTCATCAAACTCTGAGCTATCTTGGGGAAGGCGACAAAGATAATCAGAAGCACAACGACAACAATGATAATGGCTGATATGACTGAACAAATAATCCAATATTTCTTCTTTTTGTAGAAAGGACGCTTGACTGGAACTGCTGGTTGCTTTTCCGCGTATTCTTCTAACAATTCATTGTCATTGGTCTTTACCCAGTGCTCGTCATAGTTGTTAAATGGAGAATTGGCAGCTTCGTGATGATGATGTTGAGTATCCATAATGACCGTGTGGTCTTGGGCCTGCCGTGTTTGATCGGTCATAAAGCGTTATATTCTATTATATCAATTGCGCTATTAGATTTAAAGGATTGTATAGTATGCACAGTTTAAGTAAGGAGAGGAAGAGATTGTTAATATTAGATGGAAAAAGTAGAAGTACTTTTCCAAATATATACTACAGGCGTAAAAAGGGAAAAAATGAAGAAGTTAACGAGGATTTACAGCGTCCATGGTCTACTATGTATACTTAGTATTTATATCCCATCCATTGTGGAGTAATTCATTTAGTTTGAACAACCATCAATTTTTTTTGAACGAAGATTTCGGTGCAACTGTGCTCTGGCTTTAAAAAAAAATGACATACTTAGGGAACACGGACAAATGATAGTAGCTACAGATGTGAGATGAAAGGTTTAAACTGAGTACGATGATTCATGTGAAATGCCCACAGTCTTGACAACGATTTGGTGGAATAAAACTAGGTTCAACCTTTATGATGAAGGCATTAGGTATCATTATCGTACCTGGATCTTCACTATGCAATAGTAAAATTTCGCTTCGAAAGTTACTTAAAGGAGCATTGGCTCAATTAAATACGAAGAAAAAGACAAATATACGTGTTGTATCAAAAGAGAACATTTTACAGAAATTAAGAAGAGACAGAAATACCAATATAGTTAATTTTGTTTTATGAGTAGCGACGATGCACAATATTCAATTAATGGTGGGATATAGGTTACAATGTCAAGATGGTTACAGCAGCTTGTGCGCTTGGTTTATCTCTTGTATGGATGAATTACCTCGTGTTTCGACATATTTGGAAATTCCAATTGCTGTTAGAGTGTGTAAATCATAAGAATAATTCGCTCAATGTGAGAAGGTAGATTATATCGACCTTCATCTTTGGATGCAGTTTAGAGGCCAAAAGCTCAACAACATTAGTAAGCGTACAATATCAAATGAGAATAAGAATTTGACATCAAGCTGCATGAGTGCAATTTTGCTACATTCTATTGCATTTGTGAGAAATGATATTGAATGAATACGAGCGCATTACATCCGGAAAACTATGAAAAAGTGAAGTAAGTCACCTTTCAATTGCATGTCAGAAAATATAGACTCTGTCGAATTGATTTATTTTAAAAGGGAAAGCATTACTAATTTGGACATCTGATGGGGACCGTCAGCATTGTACTCCTCACTTAAGTAAAAAACGCAATCAATATCTTTGCACCCTATGTGCAGAAGCATACTGTAGTCTGTTAAGAATCAGTAAACATATAACTCTTGCCGAAAAAATTTAGACAATAGCAGAAGTAGCTATCATTCATCAACATGAAGCTCAAATTTCGAATGGTAACAACTGGATCTCCTAGAGTATTAAATTACTCTGGCGCGTTAGAAACGACAAAAGGCTCCTTCTTTTTTAAACAAAATCCTGGAAAAAAATATTAGTGATTTGTGTGACAACGGAGCTGCATAATACCGAAAAGAACCCAAGCTGTGTGGCACGCAGTTGCTATTCGTGGAATTACTAGAGATGGTTGCTTACAGAAACAGACATTGATATGTATGCAATTTAAGATTGAGCAAGAGATTTTCCTGAAACTCCAATAATACGAAGAAGTTCCTTGAGTTTCGATTGTAATTTTCTCTGATGTAGCAAGAGCACCGAATCGCAACCTTATATATACCTTTGTTTATATCAGCCGGTAAGTAGGAATGGTCGGAATTACTCAGACAATCCTGCCAGTTGATGTCAAAGCTAGGGTATTGATTTCATCTGCGCCTTCAAACGAAGCCACGTCAAATAAGTACAAAACTTACTGAACAGTTGTTCTGATGGAATGTATAACATTGTTCGAATTCTTGTCAAATACCACAAAATTTAAACTGAATTTTTTTTTGAAAAATAGGCTTTTGTGAGATAAAAAGAGTTACCTGTTGTAACTTGCGTTGATATCGAGCGTCAAAAATATACCTATTTTGGAGTCGGTTTTTGTTGAGTTCTTTTTGTTCGACACATAACATCATGTACAGTTTTGTAACTCCTCCCACCTGCTGCTGCATTCAAAGAAAACGCTTATTCATTTTCAAAAGGAACGACTTATTTGCTCAAAAATCCATAACCTATAAAAAGGGTATTTTAATTTATCTGTGTTCTCATAAGGGGACAATTATTATCTTTCATTTTTCAGTAGACAACAACAAAAAGGAAAATTAATGTTCAACAGCAATGTCCTGAGGAATCCTTGGGCTGATGACATCGAACGTCAAAGCAGAATCGAACAGTTGAAAAAGTCTATTCGAGAGCAGCATATATTACTAGACACCGTGGACGTACTCAATGACGCATATACCATTGACAAAGACGACCGTCGGCGGAACTCTGCAGATCTGGAAGATCTCAAAAGCCGTATAAAAAAAGTGACAAACGAACTGCAGGAAAAACAAACAGACGCTTCGCATAAAGGGCTCTCCACACAGAGTCTGGTTCATTTGTGGTCACAGTATCTGTTGAATATGAGACAGTTGGAGGATATTGCAGAACAGCGAAAGACACTTACGAGAGAATTAGACTATTTAATAAACACAAGCATACGAAACGTGGAAAAGGAATTGTTGCAGGAGGCAAATAGATTATCTCAGCTTAAAGAGCAAGTCGCGACTAACGTTTCTAATGTATCCTTAAGCAGTAGAGGCTCTGATACAAACATAATCAACACAGAAAATATGACAGATTCCGAGCGTATTCGTGCAAAAGCACAGGCTATGGTTGCAGCACGTTTGAACAAGCTAGCAAACAATTCGCCTTCACCTCCACCTAAAAATGGAACAAGGAACCATAATTCTGAATTGCTATCATCAGCCTTTGAGAAGCAACAACAGCATAAAATAGATCAAATATTAAGCAGTATAAGGAGAACACGAGAGGAAGCGGATCAAATCATTAGTGTGGATTTAATGAACATAGAACATAGTTTGGAAGAGAGTTCGCAGCGTATAAAAGAAAAAAATATGTTCGAACAAGGGCTCTACGTCGATCATGAAGTAGCTCAATTTATCGATCAACTAAAAAGGCCAGCGATAACAAAGAGAAAATCCAACGCATCATTGCTACCACCAACATTACCCAAATATAACGCGTTATCGGCAAGAAGATCCTCCGCTACTAATACAACACCACCTCCTGTACCTACTTCACGACGGCCAGGTACACCTCGTTCTGAGGCAGACATAAAAGCTGCCGCAAAGAAACGTATCGAGGAACGCCGGCAATTATTCATGAAAAAAGAAAACAACCATCAATATATACCTGCACCATCTGTATCATCAATCACTAACGACCATCATAGCCAGCAACCATCAGAAGCAGAGAGAGCAGCACAAGAAAGAATGAGACAAGCAGAAGCAGAAGCAAGAGTTCGTTTAGAAATTATGCGTGAAAAACGTAATCAGCTCAGGAAGGAAGCAGCTGAAGCAGAGGAAAAGAAGAAGAAAGCAGCAGCTGAAGCAGCAGCAGCAGCCGAAGCGGAAATGCTGGCTGAAAAGAAACGAAAAATAGAGGAGAAAAGACAGGCAGAATTAAAGAGAAAAGCAGCAGAAGCCAAACGTTTAGCGGCAATGGACGAAGAGAAAGCAAAGCGAAATGAACAGCAACAGGTACAATTAGAGAAAGATAAACAGCTACGAAAATGGAAGGAAGATCGTGCAGCAGAAGAAGAAAGACAGATGAAAGCAAGACAGGCCGCAGAACAGGCGGCACGGGAAAAACGATTAAGACAAGCAGAAATTGAACGCCGTGAAAGAGATATTGAGCAAGCTAGACAAGACGAGATTGAACGACGGAGAAAATGGGAAGAAGCCGAATTGCAAAGAAAAATGGAAGAGGAACTAAAAATTAGACAGCAGCAGGAAGAAGAAGAAGAACGGTTAAGGGTTCTTGAGGAAGAAAAAGAAAAAGCGCGTAGAGAAGAAGAGTTGATAAAGAAGCAGCTTGAAGAAGAGCAGGCGCTGCAGCAACAGCAAGCGACACAACAACCTGTTATTGACTCCACAATTAGCGTACCTTCGATAACCACTACAAATGACTCAGCAGCTCAACCTATCAATACTCCTTTTTCGCCTATAACTACGACTACTGCAGGAACTAGCGGCTATGGTATTGACGTTGAAGATGAGGTTAATTTCAGTATAAGTAAGTTCTTTAATTGAAGATGGAACGAGCATGAAGCAAATCCTTATTCATACGATTACAACCCGTAGTATACCGAGTAGTTACTCTCTATGAATATCAAGGAATACGTGAAGATGACTTGAGCTTTGAGGCGAACGAAACTATCAAAGCTCATCCATCAAAAGATAAGGCCAGTGACTGGTGGTATGGCACATCATTGGTCACGAATCAAGTAGGTTTTTTCCCTAGAACTTACGTGGAGGTTGTGGAAGAAGGTGATAAGAAAAAAAACAAGTTATCTTTTTCTTTGATTAAGTGTTTAACCATGGTTGTATGTATACTGTGTAGCTTTTCACGTTAGGACACTTTATGAATTTAAAAAGACACGATCTGATGACTTGGGCTTTACAGAAAATCAGATTATTGTAGTCCAGCCTTTTCAAGATGAAGACAGCGATTGGTGGTATGGTACGAATGAAGAGACACAGGAATGCGGTTACTTTCCAAAGACATTTGTGGAAAAAATTACCTCAGGTAAGTCGCTGTTTCTTGAGAAAGGATGGTTCCCACTACTGTACGTATATCGTGTTATTTGCTCATTTACTTTCTGCTCTCTACCTTTCCTTTCCCCACTACGCATTTCGCGATAGCAACCAAAGCACATAGCAGCACGGCACCTATCGCAATTCCTACCTGTACTTCACCTACCGACCAAAATACTCTTGACAATACTCGTTTAACTGTATCTGATGACCATCTACCCAGAGGATCTTCTGTACCTAATACTCCCATTATGAAAAAGTTTAACTTGGGAGTAAGTAAAACTGAATTAACGAGGCGACGTAGGGCAGCTAGCACAGTCAGTACAGTCAACAACAGCCATATTAGCACACCGCAGCCCTTAGTACGTCGATCTAGCAATACATCAGAGAACTTGGAATTGGTGAGCTGGGCAAGTACTATGGATCCTATCGAACTGGATGCTATACCACCAGAGGAGCGTAAACGACAAGAAGCGATTTTTGAATTGATCGCTACTGAAAGAAGCTACCTTAGTGACCTTCAAATGATTGTGAATGTAAGGCCGTACTACTACGATTAGTGAACCGTTTATTCTTAAGCTGGCAGTTGACACAATATGAGATTCATACTTAGATTTTCTTTTTGGATTCGGGAAAATACCTTTCAGAAGACGAAAGGGATGTCGTGTTCTCTAATATTGATGACCTACTCATATGCAATACGGCACTTTTAAGTGATATGGAAACCCAGCAAAGGGAACAATGCAATGTGATTGATAAAATTGGTGATGTCTTTTTAAAACATGTAAATCTGATTCGTTTTCCTTTTTTCTTTACCAAGGAACAAACATCAGTAAGATTTAACTGATATTCTTCATTCATTAGGCAGACAACTTGAAATGCTATTCAACATATTGTCGAAACCAATCATATGCAACCAAATTTCTGCAGAAAAAAAGAGAGGAAGATCAATGGTTTGAAGTGTTCTTGAAGGTCAGGAAAAGAAAAAGAAACAGCTACACCCACCCCCTTCATAGATTAACTTGAGTTAAATAACCTTTTCGTTGTGAACAGACTGCACAAACAAGACCCGAATGCCGATCATTAGACTTATCCCACTTTTTATTAGAACCAGTACAGCGTATAACAAGATACCCACTTCTGTTACGACAGGTAAAAAACGCAAAAAACCATGCTTGCCAAGGGTTTCCCATTACAATTATTGATATATCATGGTTTTAGATATTAAACTGCACGCCTGAGAGACATGCTGACCATTCATTGGTAAAATCCGCACTTTCAATATCACAAAGGATTTTAGAAGATGTAAATGAAGAAACTAGGTTGTTTGAAAATGCCCAAAAATTGTCTGAATTATCAAGACTGATTGACATGGAGACCTACGGTGTAAGCTATCTTTATCAAACTTGTTGAAGGGCTGTAACGGCGATTCGAATCTGGCATTTACTTTTCCTTTTTTTTTTTTTTTTTTTTTCAAGAAACTGAATATCACGGGCAGAGAATTTATCATGGATGGAGCGTTGTTCAAAGCTAAAAGTGGACGAAAACTTCATGGCTTTTTGTTCAATGATATACTCATACTTGCTGAGCCCTTGAAAACGCTCAACGTCAAGGGTTACCTTTATACCTTGTACCGAGAGGTAAAATACTCAAAAAAAAAAGGAAGTCCATGTTCAAATTACTTATGTATCTGCCTTAATTCATCTAGCCGTTTCCATTAGAGAAAGTCAGTGTCCGTCAACAACAATCAATGACTCTGAAACATACCTTCAGCAATTCAGGTGAGGACTATTTTCATTAAACAAAAAGAATGTTGGTTTTGAACTGCTATTTTTTTGAATCGGAAATGATAGATGAGTGTTCGTTCCAAATTGTGTCAGGAAGCCAGGTTATTGGCGTCAAGACTTCTTCTGCACATCAGAAACGTCAATGGATAAGCCAAATTCAACACTACAGCGCGCTAAAGCAATATAATAACTGATATACTTTCGATCAACCAACCTTTTGTCAATTGTCATATTGTTGACTACATTTATCGTAGTACCCATGGAAATCTATTCAGCAATAAATTTTGCTATCCTCAGTGAAGCTTAGATATGTTTTATATTGGCAAGTATTAAAATGAATGAAAGAAAAGGAGAGCTGTCTATATTAGTTGACTCCCAGCTTATTTGCATGGTCGAATTTTGTTTGTGAAAGCAAACAATATACTTGTACTGCAAAATTATGGGTGTTTTTTTTAAAGTATGGAAGGCGCGAGCTCGATGTCGGACTCAACATATCAAGTGTGCCAAAGCACACACCACTTACCATTACCTGGCTGATCTTCAGTTTTCAAGGTTTTAGTATCCAACCACTTCACGGATTGCAAACCGCAATACTCCTCATTTTGCTCTTCAATGGCAGTTTGCTACCAAAGACCATAAGAGAAGGTTTTTCACTATCCTTTTCAGCAGCTATAAGCTTGTTCAAATTAATCTTCTTAAGAATCGATTGCGGCTCAAAATTGGAGCAGCCTGTGTTTAAAGTACACAAGTCGAACAGTTTAATAGATGGTCTGATAATTGCAAGCCTTTCCAATTTGGTGTGGGCACATATTAAGGCTTCGAATAACTAACTCTTCGACCATCGTAGTCGTCTTGGGTGAAAATGAGTTTTCCTGTGAGTCTCCCTAGATTGAAAGAAACTGACTGAAATTGAAATACCATGTTTTAACTACTATTTCAGACTTTTCACAAATTTTATTGGACACTATTAAATCTTAATTTAGACAACTTTCAATTATTTTACGATGAAGCGGTATATTATTCTTTGGACGATTTCGCTGATAATCAATTATCCAGTATCATCCAAGCAGCATTAAGGATGGCGTACAAGCTAGTCCTAAAAATGAGTGCTCATAGTAAAGAGGTCGCTAAGAAAACTCTTATTGGCGTGACTTTGCAATAGGACGAGCTGCAAAAAGCTTGACAACTTTTTCGTCATTTGACGATGTGTTATAAGACCCAACCAGATGTTCGTCAGTGCCTTTTTCGGAACTTTGCCCAATGATAAAGACGTGTCTTTCTTTTCTCGCGTTTTGTTGTCAAAGTTAGATTATAATGAAGGGGTTCTTTTAAACGAGAATAAGATCCCTTCTTTTCCGTATTTCGCTTTTTTTGTAACTTACAGCTCTATTCATGTACAAAAGTTTCATTATACAGAAGATTAGATCTATTAAAGAAAAGCATAAGAACCAGGTTAAAAGGAACCCATTTGGTAAAATGCTTGATAATTGTAGGAGAACCGTCAGATCAAGATATAAGGATTCTGATATTTGTTGTAATTTTTTAGAGCATACCAAGTGTCGAGACTGCTATGAACCAGGTCATTTTGACAAGCGTTACTACAAATGCAAGTATTACAAAGCCGTAAATGCTGATGATGGTAAGCAATAAACCTAAATCTATCTTACACACAGCACTTAATTGCTTGTGAGTAACCTCCTTAAAGTTGGTAGCAGTGGCAAAAAGAGAAAACAGAGTGACCAAGTGAAAGAGAAGAAGAAAGCAGTTAAACGGAAAAAGACCACCGCACAAGCTGTAAAGTGCCTCAGCTGTGGACAAGATGGCCATACCACTGCTCGTTCGCCGCAATGCCTCAAACACACGCCTTCGAAAGAAGAACTCATTTCATCTGTTCTTGGTGATGATGCTACTGTATTCACAAGAAAGCTTCCCATCGACAGTGCGGTGTTACCAACCTTCCGCGAGAAATTCAGAGAAAGAGTCATTTCGTGCTGCAATGACATTAGGGCTATTGTGTTTCGTTCGCAACTATTTGTTAACGCTTATCTCATCCATAATAAGAAAGACACACCAAAAGAAATTTTCACCCAACAGTTCTGGTATTCGGTTGGACAACTTGTAACAGGTAAAACAGTAACCAACAAGAAAGCAATAAATGATTCCATGAAAAACTTCTATAAGCAGTTCAAAGAGAAGCATCCAGCTGTCGAAGTAAGTTATAGCTTCACCAAAGGCTATAGCCAATGCTTGACAGAAGCTTGTAAAGAGCTCAGTACCACATATACAAACAGCATTGTTGAGCTTTTTGAGCAGCGAATGCTTAAATATCTATACTATACCTTGCAGAATTTGTTCCCGGTAAGGATTAACTTTACATTAAACCAAACAGCAGCAAAGTCAATATTCTTTTCTCTTTAGAGCATGGTAAAGCGCGATGTTGACGAAATCGCAACAAAATACTGCTATCAAGCGATTTGCAAAGGCGAACCCAAATGGCCTGGTAAAGTCAAGTTAAGCAGTGATGACAAATTAAGAATAGATAATTTGTGCAAGAACTTTGCAGACCTTGTGGAGGAAAAGGTTACGCTTTTATCATTGGCGGCCGATCCGGTCAAATTTGTCAAGCCCTTGTGGTTTATCCAGGACTACTACGAAGAAGAGCATTCTAATCATTTTGCCTACGATGTTCGTAGGTTACCATTACCTCATCGCTTCTTCCCTTTTCCAACACCCTCAGTATCATGGCGCTTCATTACCATCAGCATAAACGCCCTTACTCCTTTTTTATTTCCTGGAAGACTTGTAAAGGGCTATTGGAATCAACTTGAACAATTTTGTAAAGTGTTCAACTTCAAAAAGTTAGGCTTCAGAAGGTAAAGTAAATAGCACTCTGCTAAAAGACTCTGTTCTCAAGATTATTCTTTCACTTATATCATAGTATTGCTGAGTTAAAGACAAACACAAGTATGCTCTTCAGGAATCTCATTCGATCTGATGGCTTCACTGTAGACTTCCTATTTAGTCGTAAGAAGAAACCAAGAGAAGACGCCATCATTGATCATCATGACTTGACGTTGGAAGACTTCTCCTATGAAGAAATCACGACAAACTACAGACCCACATTTGTTGATCCTGGCCGAAAGACCGTATTTACAGCAGCAATCGGGTTAGAAACAAACAGACATGAGATACGGCGCTGCTCGACAAAAGAATATTATCACATGACGGGTAGTACTCGTGTCAATGCAGAATTAGAAAGGAAAAAGGCCGGTTGTATGATAAAAGCGATAGAAAGCAATATACCAAGTAGTAAAACAGGCTCGCCTGAACAGTATAAGAGATATATTATTTACATACTACAACATTTAGAGATCCTGTTCTCATTCTATGGGCCAGGTATGGGTGAAACAAGGTTCCGTCTGCATCAAGGCAGACAGCGTGCTGCAGACATGATGGTGAACATGCTTGTCGATGGAGGGATCAAATACGACAAAGAATTACGGAAGAAAAGAAAGGAAGAACAGATGAAATGGCCAAAGAAGAAGGGCAAAATTAAGCATAAAAAAAGAAGAAAGAAGACGAAACAGAAAGTGAAAGTAAAACAGGAAGAAGAGAATGAGAAGGAGATCCGGGAAGAAGAAGAGACAAAGAGCGATAACCACGTTCGGTAAGTCTGTAGCGATTAACTGTCCACTGAATTTGTGTATACTCAATCTACTGTCTTCCTTCAACAGACGATGGGCCCCTGAGAAATTCAGGCTGAGTGATCGCAAAAAAGTTCCTCTGGTTGTATTTGGTGACGGCATGTTCAATAAATCCGCCGTTCATCTAAAAGGCCTTAGAACTGGTGTCGTTGGTGTTTTGTGGCGTGCATTGAAGCGAAGAGAGGCTGCTGGTGATCTCCTTGCCGTGACAATTGATGAATACTTGACATCACGCATATGCAATTGTTGTCGCTCAGACACATTGAAAGCATTAGACACCGTGCGTGGCTGTAGTATCCTTGTTTGCAAAACCTGTAAGATACTATGGAACCGCGATGTCAATGCAGCAAAAAACATGATGGCCATCAGCATTTCGGTATGGAAAGACAAGGAACGTCCTACGGAGTTCAGCCGGAAGACAACTTCTTAGTCTTTTGATATTTATTATCGCCAGAACGAAACTGGCTTGATATTTACAGGTAAACGTCTCCATTTTAGTGTAGTTCGATCTTCAAACTCTAACTCAATCGTCTCAAAATTTTGGTCATTCCATCCAGTTATTTTTAAGCTGCGTCTAAACCCGCAGTTAAAAAACTGTACCATGTTCGATATAAACTCAGTTTATTCGTATCAAAAATCAAATGTAATTTGTTACATTTTCCTTCAACACATTTTCGAAATCATACGTCTGCTCCTTTTGTCTCTCGATTAGCCCCTTTGTCATGGAAGCTCTTCTGGTCTATGCCTATGCTGTTGCCAGCTCGAACATAATGGTACCGTGTCCTCCACGGTAAACTTCCTCACCATCAGATTCATGTTACCGCCACCGCTTCTTGTCCGTTATGTCATGCTGCTTTCGAAACCTTTGACCATTTCATCCTCTCCTGTCCATCCAAGTTTCCCATCAGGACCTCTATTCTTCGCAATTCCTTTCCCTGGCTATCTTTTGGATACTCAAGCTCTCCTGGAGGGTCTTCAACGTCTCCAGTATCCCTCCTCGATTCCACGCTCGGAAGCCACCCGGTTCTTTATCATTCTCTCTACCACGCAATATCACATTGGGACGGCTTACTGGGCCCTCCACTTTGACAACCTTCCGTTTCAACCTTCCCGTATTGAAATCACGCATTCTCGCCGACATTCATAAATTACGACATGCTCCACACAACAGTGATTAAGGTCGTCCCTCGTCTTGCGTCCGGCCTACCTATTCCTCGGTTATGTTTATCTCCCTCACCGACAGTATATATTTCTTTTATTTATTCATCTAACTACTATTCCGCTATTCCTATCCTTATACTTTTTCTCGTTCCATCCCTCTTTGACATAGAACTTTTAAACTAAACCACCAATAAAACTCAGTTTTACAGTACAACAATGGGCTGAGTTGGAGTTGTCTATTGCTTCCTGAAAGGAACAATTCTCAAGATTGTCCTTTTATAATTATGCTGAGCAAACAACAATTCTGCGACAAAGATGTAATGCGTTATAGTAGGGAGGTAACAGTTTTTGTTATATGTAACTGAATAACAGCTGATATTGAAATCAGAGTACGTTGTTTTAATGGGATGTCAACCCACATTTATCATACAGGATAATGCTTTAGCCGGAGTATATATCAGAAGCCTCGTGTTTTCGCGTACGCGGTTGGAGCCTCCCAAGGAAAACCATATAAGCCAACAATTGATATCCTCGGAAGAAGGGGTAACAGTTGCGTCACTGTAAGTAATGGAGGCAGTACGGGACAGAATGCGTTGGCAAGAGTATTGTCTTTATTGATTATGACGATGCTTTCATATTGTTAGCAATTCCTCAGCTTGTATAATAAGTGTAACTTCTACTTCCCTAGCAAATAAGAGAAAAAGGCTGTCATTGTCTTTTCGGCTTTTTACTTTTTCATTGTCATCAGCTTTTTTTCTTCCATGTCACGACCGCGGGGTGAGTACCATATTTGGAAGCCTTCCTTTTACCAAAAAAAGATAGCAGCCGAAATAGTTAGACATCCGCCGCCTATTGTTAGATAAGCAAAAGAAGGGCCTTTTATTCACTTTGAGACACTGCCTAAAAAAAAATAGAGTTTGTTCAGGGCAACAGAGATCCAGTGTTACACCCAAAATGTCTTTCTGGTTGCATAGCAACCCCAACCACTAATTGACTTATTTGGGTCTCATTTGCGATAAGATTAAATAAAAGTAAGCTTTATTCCTAGAGAATTACAACAAAAACTGATTATTTAAAAAGAATACTTATGATTGGCTGTCATACACCAGCCAGAAGAAATACAGCAAAGATTGGAATCTAAGCTTTTGAAACAAAACCCAGATTTTTTGGTAATATAATATCTTCAAAAGTATGTGGCAGTTAGGACAGCGGAATTTGATAAATAAAAAACCCGCAATCGTTTACTTGAGCGTCCCCTTTTCTTTGCTCTTCTCGTTTATTTTTTTTTTTTTCTCTTTCCATCTTCTCAGCACCTCTCAACCAATGCCTCACTCCACAGATAACAACAGTGCTGCACAACAGCAGCCCGACAAAAAACCTGAAGTCGTTGTTCATCCAGTGCCGAGCCGTCTTCTCGATTCTCAACAATGTCCCACACCTCATATCACCTCAATGGACGAATACCGTAGAATGTGGAAGGAGAGTGTTGAAGAACCTGAAAAATTTTTTGGCAATGTAAATGTTTTCATCATATAAGAGTTACTTGATTTCTGGATTTTTTTGGGGTAGTTAGGAAGGGTGTTTGGGAAACCAAAAAAAAAAAAAGGAAAAAAAATTTTTTGGCTAATAATGTTTTGTCGTTATATTATTAGCTTGCACGCGATATTTTATCATGGGATAAGCCTTTCGAAACGGTTAAACATGGATCTTTTGACAATGGTGATGTCGCTTGGTTTTTAGAGGGTGAATTGAATGCTTGTTATAACGCTGTTGATCGTCACGCTTTAAAAAACCCTGATAAGATTGCTATCATACATGAAGGTGACGAACCCTCCAATGTTCGTCGCATCACTTATGGTGAGCTTTATCGCGACGTCTGTCGTATGGCTAACGTGCTCAAGAAACTTGGCGTACGCCGTGGTGATAATGTCGCTATTTATATGCCTATGATTCCTGAAACTTTGATTGCCACCTTAGCCTGTGCTCGTATTGGTGCCATTCACTCTATCGTCTTTGCTGGTTTTTCTGCTGAATCTCTTTTGGATCGTGTGGCCGATTGTGGTGCTCATATTGTCATCACTTCTGATGAAGGTCGTCGTGGTGGTCGTAATATTGCCACCAAATGTATTGTAGATACCGCTTTATCCAGACAAGAGGCTCACCAAGTCGAGCATGTCATTGTTTACAAACGCACCGGTTCTGAAGTCCCCATGATGGAGAACCGTGATCTCTGGTGGCATGAAGAAATGGCCAACGCTCGTCCTATCTGCTCTTATGAAAAGATGAGTGCTGAGGATCCTCTCTTCTTGCTCTATACCTCCGGTTCTACTGGTGCCCCGAAAGGTATTGTTCATACCACAGGTGGTTATTTATTAGGAGCTGCTGCTACCGTCAAGTATATTTTCGATGTGCGTGAAGATGATATTTATGCCTGCATGGCTGATATTGGATGGGTCACTGGTCACAGTTACATTTTATACGGTCCTTTGACGCTGGGCGCCACCACCGTTCTTTTTGAATCCACACCTACTTACCCTACACCTGCTCGTTTCTGGGAACTCATCGATAAGCACAAAGTCACTCAATTCTATACAGCTCCTACAGCCATCCGTGCTCTTCAACGCCTGGGCGACAAATGGGTCGAGCAAAACGATCTCTCGACGTTACGTGTCATCGGTTCAGTCGGTGAACCTATCAATCCGGAAGCTTGGAATTGGTATAATGAAAAGGTGGGTAAAGGACGTTGCGCTGTCGTCGATACCTACTGGCAAACAGAAACGGGATCCATCATCATCAGTCCCTTGCCTGGTTGCACACCTACGAAGCCCGGGTCTGCCACCCTTCCTTTCTTCGGTATCAAGCCTGTGCTTCTTGATCCCTCCACTGGCAAAGTCATCGAAGGTCCCCATCAATCCGGTGTGTTAGCCATTAGTCAAGCCTGGCCTTCCATGGCTCGCTCCGTCTACAACAATCATTCTCGTTTTATTGAAACATACCTCCGCCCTTACCCTGGCTACTACTTCACCGGTGACGGTGCGATGAGAGATGAGGATGGCTATATTTGGATTCAAGGACGTGTGGACGATGTGATCAATGTCTCGGGTCACAGATTATCCACAGCAGAAATTGAATCAGCACTCAATACACACGAATCCGTTGCCGAAGCCGCTGTCATTGGCGGACACGATGATTTGACAGGTCAATGTATTCATGCTTTTGTTTCTGTAAAGCCTCATATTAAGGCCACTGAAGGATTTGATAAGGAATTGACCCTTGTGGTTCGTAAGACCATCGGTCCTTTTGCTGCCCCCAAACGTGTCTATATTGTGAATGCTCATCCCAAGACGAGATCCGGTAAGATCATGCGTCGTATCCTTCGTAAGATTGTGAACGGTGAGCATGACCAATTGGGTGATATCTCTACTCTTGCCGATCAAACAGTTGTACCTTCTATTATTGAGGCTGTCCACGGCATCAAGCAATAATTATTATTAAACAACACACACACATGTATGTATACTTAGAATTCTGATATATTATATATATGTATATATGTTATATCCCGCATATCCCTTTCATTTTGCTTTACATTTTTTGTAGTATTTAATTTCTTCCTCATCCCCCTTCCCCCTTTTTTTTTTTTTTTTTGCCCCATCTGTAAAATAAAACCCCGCTTCATCTGGACGCATTTAGGCTGATTTCTTTTTCGTAAATACATAAATCAAGTGTTTTAACCTTTTTCATTAAACGATCGAACATAGCATGTTGTACTTTCTTTGAAGCGGAAAAAAAAAAGAGAAAAAAAAAGAAATACCACTCAGTTGTGAATTAAATGTTATGCTACCTCAAGAAGTTGCTACAATTTTTTGATAAGCATACCTTGACCATGTTTAAATTGGATTGCACTAAAGCAACCACGACGAATCTGGAGCACGACAGGCCATCCGCAGTCATTAGTAATAATAGCAGTTGCCATAGCGAATGTTCGGAAAACAATGACGAAAATGTCAGCAACATTGACGATCCTGAAGATTATTTTGAAGAAGATTTGTATTTACGTGATCCTGCTTTGTTTAGGGTAACTGAGCAAAACAGACAGATTGGAGCAGACACCATGATGACCCCTGCTACAGCCCTCCAAGAACAATGCCATTATTCCTCTCACAAGCTAGATAGACAATCACCTGGTCTTGCGTTTTCTGAGCCGCCTCTTTTTATCACAAAAGTTAACTCTATTGAAGTGACGTTTTATTACGGTCAGTTACCAGGATGCGCAGGAAGACAATCTGACACCAAAGAGTGGATAATAGAGGGAGACAAAAGAAAGAAAAGGCGCTATATGTTTATGTGTGATTTTGGAGAAGAAAGTATGTATGCTTTAAGATGGGGCATCGGTACCCTACTACGAGATGGAGACGAGGTAGACGTTGTCAGCGTTATCCATACGAACGAGGAAGTGTTGATGAAAATGCCACATGCAAAGGAAAAGGACAAGAGGCGTCGACTACGGAACGAATTAGACCGTAATTCAAAAAGGCTGATTTCAAGTGTGCGGAAGGTATTTGAAGAGATGTTGTTGTACAACATGAAGATCATGCTGCATTCTGTGGCTGGCCAAACAAGACAATGCTTATTAAATCACGTAAATGAAGAAAAAGCAAAGTGTTCTTGAAAAAACATGCATCTCAAGAATGAACTCGAGTGACGACTGAACTGTGGTGATAACTTTTATTAGGTCCATTGCACACCAAACTTGACGATGATCATTTGTGGTGCAAAAAAGCGAGGAGCAATTCGATGGTAAAAAAAAAATCGAAAATCATGTCCTAAAAGTCCAACGCACCTTATTGACACTTTTTACGCTGAAAAGCATGTTGATGGGAAGCATATCCGCATTTTTAGTTTATAATTCACCTGTACCCGTTACCGTAGTGCGGTTGCAGAATGAACAGAAGAAACAAAAGTCAACCGCAGCTCAAAAGCTCAGTCAAAGTGTGCAACAATCGGCGGGCCAACTTGGAGTCAAAGGATCAGACAAGAAAGAGCCGTTACCTCCAACTATAAATACATTTGATGGCGAATAGCATCTTCATTGACGAACTCATAGTGATTTATTATTTTAAGCAAATATAATAGCAACCACCAATAAACTCAACAGCATCATAATCAATCTTGACATAAATGCACCTTGAGTTGTTGGCTGGTTATTTGGAGCACCAGTTGGTATATTCTGGATAATACAAGAAAAGAAGTGTGAGTAAAATACGGATGGCTAAAGATAAAAGAAGCTTATATTTCTGACAAGTTATAGTTTGAGTACACTTACAAATGTAACGCCTAACGGAAAGAAGCCAAAACCTGCAGATATTGACATTCCTCCTCTATTGTTAAATGTATTTCCCATAAAAGCAGGTCCAAAAAAAGATGTAGCAGGTCTATTTGGGTCTCTTAATGGTGGAGGCCTTTGACCTGCCGGTCTTGTAGGTATCGAAGGATCGTTTCTAAAGTGGACATAAAGAAAGAGGAGTCACTATCGCTGCTTCTCCTATGTTCTACAGTTCTTCGCATTTTACCGTGGATCTTTTTCTTCTTTTCCTCTACCGTATATGGGTATAACTTTATCCTTTCCACAACCTGCTTTACATACTGGACAAGTAGGATTCCTGGATTGTGCATTTAACCATTGAGCCAAACATGACCAACTAGACTTGTTGAAATAGATTAGAAATCCGTATCATCGTTGAAGTAGCTATGTACGAACAATGGGAAGAAAGGGTCTCCTTTAACTTACCAAAATAAATGCCCACATAGTGTTAGAACGGGATGCATAGCTGTGTCAAAACTATCTGATGGTGTGAGTAGAACTGACTATAAAATGCTCCCAATTGACTCTTTTTTCACTTGTCTCTGCTTCGTTCACTTACCATATGTTGCATTCATAAAAGCCGCCGCCATTACGATACATATCCTCCTCCTGAGCTTGCTGCTGGCTATGCTCACCATCTCTACCACTACTACCACTACTACTACCCCCTGCTGTCGCTGTTGTATTAGTATTGGTTGCTGTTGTAGTTGCTGTCGGTATTACTGTAGGGAGACTATGGCTATGATCTTTGGCAACGTTCCTCTGCCTTAACTCGTTGCTTGAAGCATATGTAGTACTGTTCAGGTTCGGCGTTGCTTCGCCATTATTTAGCATAAGCCCACTTGTGGCTCTATCAGACGGATTGGTATGTTCGACTTCGTCTTCCTCTAAAGTCATATCGTTGTCATCGCCTGAACGTTGAAGCTCATCAGACGGTAAGGATCCGCCTGTCAATGTAGTTGTGGTAGTAGCTCTATTCGAAGATGCATCTGTTGAAGTAATAGGAAGCCTTGCTGTAGTACCATTAGTAGTAGTAGATGCTAGGTCATTCATGTCGACGCTATTGAAATTTTAAGCTTTTTTTTCTTTTTCGAGAAAGAAGAATTAAAAAAACCACTGCGTTTATTGAAATGCTGTGCTGCTTCCCTCGACTCTTCTCCTCAGCGTCCAATGAATGGCCTTTCCTAAAATCTGATAAAGAATAATCCGAGCGTACTGAAGTGAACTGTGAGTAGCTTAGCATAATTCTTATCACTGTTATAGAAAAAAGGAAGGTTAACAGACAGTTTGTCGCAACTGATGAGTAAGTGGGGCAGTAGAAGGAGCTACTTTGAACAAAAGAACTGGAAGGAGATATAACTTATGTTTACTCTTACACTTCATCCTAAGGAACAATACCACCGTCTATTTTAATTTCACAAACTTACTAAAAATCGTCTTACACTAACAGTAAAAATGTTTGACGAATATAATTTACTATTGGAACCAGACGGAGAATTGCTTAAAATGTACGGTAGTATATACTCTGGTGATGTGAAGGAAAAAGTGTTTCAACAGACTTTCGACTCGATTTATCATGAAAAGAATAAAGGGCACAGCAGACTACGCTTTTAAAATGTGAACAAGCTTTAAGGCGCATCATTACTATACTTACTCACATTTGCCACTGGTATAGACAGCTTTATAAGCAATTCTACCGCTCATTTCGTCATAATTCTTTACGTAGAAAACCACATACTTTGCTTTGAGTTTTACTAATCTAATGATGAAAAAGATAGCCGTATACGACATGAATACATCACACAAAAATGAAGGAAAAATGATGTATTTAATTATAACAAAGCATGATACGAGGATGTCTGCTGCCTGCTATTACCTATAGTCAACTTTTTACCAAACATCAAATCAACTGCCACCATCTATCAACGTGTCCTTGGTTTGTCAGTACGATGTTACACGTAGTTCTTTTTTATATCGATACACTTTTGATCTGCTTTTCTTTAAATCCCTGTCAAAAGGCTGTTCATGATCGAAACATAAACAAAATAAGTACATGCTCCAAGAGTAACGAATTAATAAGCTATTGTTGGCTCGAACGAGTTTTTTCACCTTTAGCAGCGTCGGCAATTTTGTTTGTTTCTTTTTTTTTTTTTTTTTTTTTTTGTGGAGACTTTTGGACGGGCATCAAACTTCCATTTTTTGATAAATTGATTTCCCGCTTTGAATTCCATTCTTTTTTGTTGTTTTGCTTTGAAAAAGTTTCCGTTTTTCTGATGTCTCTTCTTTTTTTTTATCTTCTGAATCAGCTATTGTAAGATACAAACCTTCTTCTTCCCTTCTTTGTTACCGTGCCTTAGTTACTGGAGTTATGAAGTTTGGGTCGCAATTAAAAGACGTTATATATCCCGAATGGTGTGATTATTACATGGATTATGATGGTTTGAAGAAACGTTTGAGAAAAGCAGAAAAAGATAAACCTTTTACAGAAAAAGATGAAACAGACTTTGTCGAGTTATTAGATAATGAATTGGAAAAGGTAGTGCCGGGTTCGGATTCATTCTTGCTCAACGTTGTCGCGTTGTTTAACCTGCTTCTTGGGCTCTCTTTTCTTTTTATCTATTTTCTCCCCATGACGATAATATGTTAGGTCTATGCCTTTCATCAACAAAAGATGGAAGAGATTAAAAAGGGCATAGATGAATGGGACGCAAAGATCAGCAGTTTAATTCCTAGTCAGGATAACATTACGGAAATGAGTTTTGTCCAAAAAAACATCAATTATATTGCAGACGACATCAACCGACTTGCTCGCTATTCTCGAATCAACTATACTGGCTTTTTAAAGATTGTCAAAAAGCATGATCGACATACTGAATATGTTCTGCGTCCCATGTTCATGGTGCGACTCAATCAATGCCCCTTTTGGAACGAAGACAACGATAGTTTATTGATCAAATTGTCAGAACTCTTTTCTAAAGTGCGACAAGGCGGCATGACCATGTCCTTCAAACCCACCTCTCAAACAATGACGCATATGGAAGAGCAGACACAAGATGGACGGCGTATGGTCATCAAGCGCTTCTTCGTACAAACTGAAAATGTGCTTGAGTTGAAAACTTACGTTTTACGTCATTTGCCTGTCTTGGTTTATCATGACAATTCGAAAAAGCAAGATGATATTGATCCTCCTATTTCCTCTCTGTATCTGGATAATGCAGAATTAGATTCTTACACATCGCGTGTCGAATCAGCAGAAGGTTCCCAAATAATTCGTTTGCGTTGGTATGGTAGTGCTGAGAATAACAAAGCGATCACTTTTGAACGCCGTATTCTGGCCGATGAAAACTATGGTGAAGCCAAAGACAAATTCATCATTAAGGATAAATATGTGGATGGATTCTTGAAGGGTGATCAAACCTTCATTGACAAATCAGTAACGAAAATGCGAAATAGTGGAAGGTCGGCAGAGGAAGTGAAGGAGCATGAACAATTTATGAAAGATGTACAAAGTATCATCATGAAAAAGGAAATGGTACCAGGTAAAAACTACTGTAAACTGCAAATAGACTGGCAAATGAGCAATGAATTTAAATGCAACTATCTTGTATTTTCTGGGGTTTTTTCCCTGTCCCTCAATAAGTGTTACGTACTTATTATCGTAGAACTGCTTTCCAAATCCCTGGTGACAATAGTGTAAGAATGGCTTTGGACACTGATTTGTGTTTTATAAGAGAAGATTCGCAATTATTCCCTGATGATCCCACCGTCCGTCGACCTGAAAATCACTGGCGCCGACCTGATGTGGATATCAATTTCCCATTTGCCGATCTAAAGAACGAATCTGATATCAACCGTTACCCTTTTGCCACGTTTGAGATTAAACTCGAATTAGCACCACATCAAAAAGAGCCGGAATGGATCGTAGATTTAGAAGAAAGTGGTATACTGGAAGAAGCTTTCGACTTTACCAAGTTCGTTCATGGTATTGCAGTCATGTTTGATACCCGAGTTCCTTTATTACCTTATTGGTTGGCCCAAATGGATAATGATATTCAACAGATCACAGAGAATTTACCCACCTCGACAACAACGGAAGAACAGGGACAATTGAGAAATCAAAAAGGAGAAGATATACCAGTGATGTTAAAAAATCAACAACAACAACAGCAGCAGCAGCAACAGCAACAGCCATCTGCATCTAATGAACGTACTTCTTTATTAGGTGCTAGTGGTACGGCATCTTCCTACATGGGCACATACGATGGCTACGCTTCCTCCTCTACCATCACGGAATCCCCTTCTCTTGAGCGCGAACAACAAGAAAGCTTCTACTCACGTTGGGTTGAAAATATCGGTACCATTTTTAATAGATGCATAAGTAAATTTGACAGACAATCAAGAGAACAACGTGAACAACGAGAGAGACAGTTGAATGCTGCTCCTGTTATTTTACCGCCCGGTGTCAAGATCCCTAAGAAAGTAATAACCCCTCTTCGTGTCGAGCCAAAGGTCTTTTTCGCAAACGAACGCACATATTTCTCTTGGATGTCCTTTGGCACTTTATTATCTACGTTTTCACTTGCGTTATTCAATGCTGGCGATGCTGTAGGTAAACTGAGCGGTATTGTGTATACTTTGGTATCGGTGTCTACCCTTATGTACGGTATGGGTTTATATTATCGACGACGTGAGCTAATTCGAAACCGTGCTGAGGGCCCTTATGATGAGCTTGTCGGCCCGACACTGATATGCTTTGCTTTGATGTTTGCCGTTGCTTTGAATGCTTATCTCAAATTTACTGTTAAATCTCCCTCATTATTATATTTCTAATTGTGTACAAAAAGGAACTGGAATATTAATATTAATACTGCTAACATATCATACGAATTAATAAAGAGAAAAAAAGAAACTAATTGCAACTACAAAAGAAAGTCGTTTTTGAGGTAGTTGGATTGCTTCGTTTTTTATTTGTTATAAGATTGGGTACAGACTATGTGGAGAAAAGAGGAAGATGTATATATTAAAGGGTATGTTTTGTGGAAGAATGAAGTAAAAAATGAATATGAGGGATGAGAAGTTTTCTTTCAGTTACTAGGGCTCTTATCAAGGAAAGTGAACAAATCACTGGTTTTGTCCCAAGCAGCGCCAGTGATGAGACCCCCCTTACAGCCATCATTATCTGTCTGACTGCTACTGTCCTTTCGTGCCCAAGCGCGGGCCCAACCGTTATGGCTCCCCTTTGTTGTGACCTCTACAAACTCAACAAAGTAACGACCCTTCTTATCTTTGAAAAGTTGAATGCCAGCCTTTGTATTATCCGAAGTTTTTGTTAATGTGTATGTATTTTTGCTATCAGGTTCGTGATCAATATAATAATGGTTATTGGAATCTTTGACGGTACGGAAGTAACCCTGAAAATGTTCGTTGATATCGTCACCCTTGGCTTCGTAACAGAACAAGAGAGGATCCTTGACACAGCTGGCACTTGCGAATCGAGGTGTATTATCATCACCCTTATACCACACTTGGGAACCGTTATCAGCAATGAGTTTATAGCATTTACCAGTTTCCAAGTTAATCGTATCACTAACAACAGAAGCAGCTGAGGCAGTAGAAGAAGCAGAAATAAGACCCAATGTGAGTGTAGCGATACCAGCGAATTTCATTTTTTTTTTCTTATACTTGATATTGATTAGAAATGAAAACTTTAAAAATAGAGAATAAAACAACGGATGAGGAAGAAAAAAAAGGTTTAGAAGAGAGGCAAATGCGGTCTATTTTATATGGGCAGGATGTTTCGATGGGCTCTTGCTCCATTTGTAAGTTGTTGTAGATCTTACTAACTTATCCCATTATAATACACTAAGAACGTATAGAAAAGTCCTCTAATATGATATTTTTTAAGCAGAGAAATTAGCACTTACCATAACCAGAAGTAGTTCTTGCTGGTGTTCTAACTTGATACAAAACGAACAAAAAGAGTAAAGCACGCATCTAAGGGTGCTTTCCCCAACATCAGAATTCAAATAGAAACAATCTTTCGTGAAAGGATAGATTGCATTACTGATTACTATTGTTTAAATCATATTTTTCTCATAAGGATCGCCTTATTAATTGGCAAGAAATTGTTGAGTAGAATATAATAATTCGAATTCATTTAGGCGAAAAAGACGCGTATTTGTTGGATTTTTAATTCGTGCTACTAATAAAGAAATCCAAACCGGCCAGTTTCTACAGCCGAGGTAGTATAGAAAGCAACTTTTACAGAAGATGTACAGTGGAGCTGGTAAATATTGTCCGCTTTGAGAGAATACAGTAAATGTCAAATTGGGCGTTAACGCTTATTATGCATGTTGTACTTAGAATTTTAAATTGTTCAAAAATAGATATCATGCACCTTCGAAACTCCTTTATACTTTAGATTTTTTTATTTCGGTATGCTATGCATGTCTTATGAATTGTCGAGTTTAGTTAAGGATAGGTCTAAAGGAATCTCAGTCACATAGGTCTAGGAAAGAGCAATATCCTTTCACAAGCGTGCATTGACAATTCTATTCTAAGATTACATAAAACAATTTCTTCTACACTCTTCTTCTCAGTTACAGTATCTCATCGAAACGTGGAAAATACAAACCTCAGATGTGACACTGTGTATAGACAACACTGTTACCTCGTCTGATAAAAGCTAGCGTAGACATGATGCTACCCATCTCTTTCATAAAACTGACATAAAACTGAGAGTCTTGCTTCATTTACATAAATAGACAATACACACCCATCGTCATTGATTTCTTTACAGTCATCCGAACAGTAACAGTAACAACTGAGAGGATTTACTTGAACAGTGAAATATTATGAGCTGTTTTTACCTTTCGTAGAAGAAGAATAGCTGTTGACAGATTCCTTCAGCGATGACGGATAATCAAAGTTGCGGGTAAACGTGATGTCTGCATAGACCCACCTTATATTGATATGTTCTTCTCATGCCCCTGTCAATATAGCGAGAAAAGAAGAATACTTAGTTATATGCTTGCAATAAAAAGTCAACTGCACAAATATTCTCTGTCTTCATGCTCATGGTATAAACTGTATAAGGCTCTTTCTTTTCTCTGCCTTTGAAAAGAAATACATCATCTATTCTTATTTTGTTGCTATCGTAAATCAGTTGTCAAGAGGTAGATTTTACTGCTATGCAATTTTCTCACCACGTAGCCCCGTAACATTACGTCGTTTAAAGCTTGCGTGATAGACTGAAACTGTTCAAAAAGCAGTGACAGAGATTTCTTCAGGTAAACTACTGCTGGAATAGCTACCTCTATTATCCCATTATCCGCTGAATAGCAGAATTCTGCATGAGAGCATCTTATACTTACACAACAAACGTGGACTTGAAAGCTGTAATGGACTTGAAAACTGTAATAAGGATGGCTTTTTACTTTCAATCGTTAAAAACTATAGTATACCTTCATTTAAAAAAAGAAAAGGAAAAATGGGTATCTCATTATACAAAGTATGTAAAGCCATGCATAATATATTTTGTTAAGCACAGTTTTATAGCTTGAAGGAGAAAAGGTTCGGAGCTAATATTGTTCTCGCCGGTTCGGCATAAACAGAAAGCAGAGCTTTCGTCACGACGGGAACTTGGCCAAGTTGAGAATCAAAACAAAATTAAAAAAATATGTGGGCATTTTTCCATTTTTCTTTTATACTTTCTATCGTTCTCACGTTAAAAACTACAGTTACCCTCATTTACCATTGAAATCATGTTTTTCTCACAGCATAATGGTAGTGCAGGAGGTGCTGCTGGTAGAAATACTCTGGGATTTCCAAGCGCGTTTATGAATTCGCAGCCACAACACCATTCATCTTCTAGTAAATTTGATCTTGATAATGCCATAGCGCAAATGGTACCCGAGGCTAGGCATTCACGAAGATCTATGAATCAACAACAAGGTCACCAGGCGCAGCAAAAGAAGTTACCCAATAAGCAAACATTTGGTGCTTATACGCAACATCATCAGTCTTCTTTCCAACATCAGCAACGTCAGAGTTCAAATAACCTATTTAACCAAGGTCAGCAGCAATTTCCCCATGCACAGAGTTCAGATCAGATGCAGATTGATCCTCAAGGCCGACAGCAGCATACCTCTGCTTTTCAGAATTATCAAAGCTCACAGCAGCAGCAGCCACAGCAGCAGCAGTCTCGAAAATCTAGACATGCTCAAAAACACCCACATCGTATGACGAAAGGACCACAACAAAACGGCTTCAATGATAGCAGCATGTCGGATGCCCCGCAACAACTACAACAATATCGATCTCAACAAAAAAATCATAGGCAATTACAGCCGTCAGCCTTCTTAAAAAAGCAACTGACACAGCAATTATCATCATTCCCTATTAACAAACAGACGCAACAATCGCAACAGGAAGAGTTTGCACAACCCATGGAGGAAGACATGCAAGAGCAAAGCCCCTCTCCTTTAACAATGAAGCCTTCAATTCCTCAAAGAGTATATTTTCAGCAACAACAGCAGAAAACTTCTCCTTTCATCAAAAAATCCTCGACGCCTCAGCAAATACCATTAGATCAGCAGCCACAGTCCTCTTCTTTTATTCATTTCAAAGAACCATCACATTTACAACGAGTACAGCAACAACAGCGACCTCCCTTTCAGAAACAATCGAAACCTGTATTCACTTTGCCTTCTGCTGATGCCGCTACTGCTTTACAGTCACCTTTTAGTGAGCCTTCGCAATCACATATGCAGCAACGATCAACACCCATCGCTACCACGACCCCAGTGCAAAAAAAAAAGAATGCCCTCAATAAAGCCTCTTCAACAAGAATACAATCTCCTGCGAGCTCAACATCTCTAAGCAGCGCAAATAATAACAATGGAAAAGTAACAGCAGCAGATAGAGCTAAAAGATTCGGTGGAACAGCCAAAACGTCACTTTATGAACAAGTTGAGTATCTTTTTACAATCTCAATCACTCACTTGCTCTTGTGCAACATATCCTTGCACATGATGTCTCTCTGTTAATTGTGCGCTTGCAGGGTGGGAGAGATGAGAACGATCTATAGGATTGCTATTTCGAAGGCATAAGGACAAGAAAGGTGAAAGAAAAAAGGATAATTTTTACTAATCTCTTTTTTTTTTTTTTCTTTTTTTTTTTTTTTTTTGTCATTACTCTTTTTCTGCCTCGACATTGCTATACAACCTGATAGTTCAAAAAAGATCGAGTTCGTGAAAGAGAGCAAGCTATTCGAGATGGTTTAATCCCTGATCCAGAAAACCCTACGCGTCTAGAAGATGCAATTGATTTCCGTGGTACTTGCGAGGATAAATGCCCAGAATTCGAAATGATAGAAAGAGAGATTCAGAATGGTCTTGATGCACTTGAAACGGATGATTATGGTAATGCCGATCCTGATAAAGTGGTGAAAGCCTATAGAAGGTCAGCTGCGGGTAACGAACAACCACTGCCATCTGATGTTAGATCTCCTACCGCTCTTGTGGTAAAGTATTTGGACAGCAATAGTTTGGTTTTTTTGGCGATGATCAAATTTTCTCTGATACAAAAAAACCGAATCTAATCTACCTTTTCTCTTTGCTCGTTACAAATGTATATAGGCAACATTAGATTATTTGATAGATGAAGTTTTATCGAACCAACCATTAGAAAAGTGCCATGCTTTCATTCGTGATAGAACAAGATCTATCCGTCAAGATTTTACACTGCAAAATATCCGGGATGTTACAGCCGTTCATGTGCACGAACGAGTTGCCCGTTTTCATATCCTATGTTTACATGAAATGTGTGAATACGATGAAAGTAAATTCAGTGAACAGCAAGAAATAGAACAACTTAGAAAAGGTATTTCTTTTTTTGATTCGCCACAACACTCTGTCTTTGCATCTCTTTTCGAAGATGTCATACTGCGATGAAAACCATATATATACAGATGGAGAGAAAACCAACCATTATTACCCACATTATCACTTTAATCTATAGTTTTGCTCAGTTTGATGGAATTTTATGATGATCTTCGTGAAGAAGGCATTGAAACAGAAAATGAAGCTGAATTCCGCGCTTATCACCTCATTACCCATATTCGTGATCAAGATTTAATGCGACAAGCTCAGACCTTACCCATTCATGTGTTTAAGCACCCTTATATGAAACGTGCGTTAGAATTTCACGCACTTGCCCAGAGAAACAATGAAATTATGGAAACATCTTCGCGTAAAAACAAGTTTCTAAATGTAGAAGCGAGTCAGAATAACTATACTGGTTTTTTCAAGTTAATTGCAGATAAGGATACTCCGTTTTTGATGGCGTGTTTGTTGGAATGTCATTTTGCTGATATTCGAAAAGGTGCCTTGAAGGCAATGAATTTGTCTTATATGATCAAAGCAGGAGGTGTAGAAGCAGAAGATGTACGAAGAGTCTTGGCTTACGATACGATGTCCCATTTGTTGGAAGAAGCAGCTTTGTATGGTTTGGTGATTGATATGTCGCTGGGTGAACCTACAATTTGTTTTGGTCAAAAGCACTATCGCACAAAAACTGCTGTTTTTAAAGGTAAGATGTTTGTAGTTATTTCTGGATATATTGTTTCCTTTCCTTTTATCTTTGGTTTTTTATGCTTTCATTCTCGATTTTATTAACCGTTTGTTTTTTTGTTTTTTTTTTGTTGTTTTTTTTTGCTTTTATAGAACCGTTATCCAATCCTTCACAAAAGAAATCATTATCCTTGGTGGAACCAAAAAAGGGTGGCCGTACCTTCAAGCAGATTATCAATGGTGATGCGTTCAACAACATCAACACAACACCGCGGACGTCGCTTCAGCTCTCGAACATGTTTGTACAGTATAACAGCGAGCAGCGACCTGTCGAAATTAAAGTGAAGTTTACTGATTTGACAGGTTCACCGCCTAAACGAATTGGTAAAACCGTTTCTACAAACAATAATCAGCAGTCGACTAAGAACGAAAAAGAAGAGTTAGAAAGACTGAAAAATCAAGTACAAAGCATGGAAGCAGAAGTAGAGCGTGAAAAGCAGCGAATGGCTGAGTTGGTCAAAGTGAGAGAAGAACAGATGAGATTGAGAAAGGAACAAGAAGAGAAGGTAAAGGTAGAAGAAGAACGTCAACGTCAGGAGCAGCTTCAGCGTAAAGCCGCTGCTGCTGCTGCTGCTGCTGCTGCTGAAGAAGAAGAAGAAAAAGAAAGAAAAGAACGTGAAATAAGCGAGGAACAGCAACGAAAAGCAGCCGCCATGCAAGAAGAACTTCAACAACAGGCTGCTAAGGATGAAATGATTGCCTCTTTACGCCGTAAAGCTATTGTGTCGAAAACAGTCAACCACTTAAGAAACACCTTTATAGAGAATTTCATTGCCGATGCAGCAAGACAAAGATTACAAAAGATACTTCGTACCCGTCAATTAATTCGCTGGCGAATGAGGTCTAAATTAGCGGATGTACGTGAAAGGATTTCAAAACGTAAAATTAAAATATCACAATGGCGCAGACAGTGGGAGTTGGATCATAAATCATCATTTGTGTTGAAGAACCCATATTCAGCACTACCTAAACAGCTTGCAAAAAGCAAATGCTTACAGCTGACATCGACAGAAATTCAGCAAAGAGTAGAACATTGTTTAGAAGCAGAAGAAATAGCAGTGGAATTATATGAAGCGAAACCGAACAAGAACAGCGAGGAGCATATGGCAAGTGTTTGGCAAACGGAAAAATTTGCTTTCAATAATATATACCCTCGTATCAATGATAAATTTGAACGTTACAAGCAGCAACTTCAAACCATTACTGGTACTACCACAGAAGATAATGTCAGGATTAATTGGGAATTACTTATCCACGTTGCTGACACCCGACTTGAATCTTCCGGTTGGTTTAAGCGCAAGTTTGGCTTGGATAATACGACTTTACAACGATGCGATCGATATGTTACATGCGATATCACACTTAAGATGATGACACCAGTAACTGAATTATATGAAATTCAAGCACTTCATACCAAAGCTATTATCTTTTCGTTACCTGAACATGAATCGCACAAGAAGTCCTGCAGCGAAATGTAAGTCCCTTAGTAACGAAACTGTATGTAAAGTGTGCTGCTCTAATTGCCCAAATTTCATGTTTTGTAGTGAGGATTATTGGACAATTAATCGCATTCAATTAAAGGCGCTATTAGATAAACTTGATCAATACCATCCTGGTGTAAAGCTTCCTATTGTATTCACATTTTTCCCAGATAATACCCCGATTGAACAGGTGCGTAAGCCGCAAATAACGAGATACGGTTCTTTGTTTACTAAAGCCTTCCATCTGTTTAATAGATACCATACTTATTGGATCTCAATAATTCAGACAAGATCTCTGACTGGCATATTTTACTTATGAATCCTTTGACTATTCCTCAGAGAATCTGTGAAGAAGTGAACTGGTTGGCCAAGAAAGCTTAAAAAAGCATCATTACCTTTCTCTTTGTAAATAAAACTGCTGAACATTCTTATACGATGAAGTAAACAAATAGACGACTTTCAAAACAGATCTGCATGCTATGAGATAGTGTGGCTTTACTATGAAAGCTCGAAACCATAACTGATCAATTGCTGACTGGTGTCTGAGTTTCTTCCAGGTGATATTCTGTAAGAAGAACAGAGTCAAGTGTAGCTAAGAGTGATGTTATTGTTGTTTAGCTTTCTCGATTTAGATAAAATCAATACGAGTCTTTTGATGATTATGTAAGTCCGCCGAAATCAAGCTTATCTGAACACTAAAACACAGCACAAAAAAGAAGTAAAAATATGGAAGCTATGCTTTTTTCAGGGCAAAATAAATTGAAAGAAATACTTGGCGTTCACATCTGTAGAACACTATAGTCTGTGTCTGCTGCTGATAAGGATGGACAACGGGCAAATTGATTTTACCCAACAACTCTAAAACATAGAATTGTTCGATTTCATAATGCATTACATTTGCTCGCGAGACACAGATACTGTATACCGGTGGCAAATAAGATCAGGATACAAGGTTAGCTAATTATTGTTTCTACAGGGAAGGTCATCAGCAAGTCGTCTGTTCACAACCTCGCACTAACATCGGGCCATATTTCGTACATGACTGCTGTATCCAATTAAAATTTGAGTAACTACAATTGGTCCAGCTCTATTTCTACTTCAGGTTTTAGGGAAAAAAAAAAAAATCTTTTCCTACCATTTCCTGTTCACAGCCTTTCCCTCTATTAAAATAATCTTTCATCTGATTTTTTTTTTATGGAACATTCACATTTAAAAAATCAATCCTCAGCGTTAGAAGGAAGCAGTAGGGATTATTTTGTAGTTATTGATGATTTTTCAGATCTGGACTCGCAAACAATTACAGTAGCAACTCGTAGCAACAATTTATCCAATACAGATGATGAAGTTATATACAGAGAAAATGGCCAATCTTCAAATACACCCACCTGGAAACGACTGCTCCCCAGAGTTACAGCATTTATCTTTATTGGCGTCATGTCACTTATTTTTTCAGTCTCTCTAGCAGATGCCATCCTTGATATAAAATTACCTAGAACCTTGGAAAGTGTCCAAGAAACAGCTATTCAACTCGAGCAACGCATCAACAATAGCTGGAACGGTTACGGCTCAGTCACATTTGTATTCTCTATACTTTACCTTTGGCAACAAGCATTTTCTATACCCGGGTCAGTTTTACTGAACTTGTTAGCGGGTTATCTGTATGGCATCACAATGGGAACTGTATGGACCAGTTTATTGACAGCTGCAGGTGCTACTTTGGCTTACGGTCTCGCCATGTTAGTAGGTGAACCTCTTATGCAACTTTCTTGGTTTGCTCGAAAAGCCGAACCTTTAAACCGTCAACTTGAGGAGGAAAAGCAAAATGGGGGCCTTTTTTGGTGGCTATTGTTTGCTCGTCTGTTCCCTTTTTCACCATACTGGTTTATCAATCTCATTTCACCTTTGCTTGATATCCCTGTCTCTCCCTTTTTCTGGTCTACATTCTTAGGTTCTATGCCTTATAACTTTGTTTGTGCACAAGCTGGTGACGTTCTGGGCGATTTGACTTCAACTTCTGATATAGTTTCTGTGTCACTCATGATGAAACTGCTGATTGTGTCGTTCATTTCGTTAGTACCCGTGATCTGGGGTAAACAGATTCAACAATGGACCCGTAAGATAGTGGGACTTCCTCCCATTTTAAACATAGATCCTGAAAAACAAATGAATAGCAGCTCTTCAGAATTAGAATTGACAGCAAATGGTTACTCAAGAGTAAATACCGAAATTGTTTGAAGTTGTTAATAACGAGTGCATTTGCTTTTCATCAGTATATATTGTATATAGTACAATTTTAGTCCTTATTACTACGCTGTCTCATCTCTCACATATCCCCCGATTATACCAACCTTATTTGTTATCTGCATTCAGTACGTCCTTAATCTATAATAATATCATTAATAGCGCCTAAAATAAACCAATTGATTATTTTATTTTTATTTTTTTTTTTATTTTTTTTTTTTATGACTTGTCAAAGTGTTGATGGTTACCACGAGCAAGTCAGCAACAATGTCTCATGATTTATTGATTTCAAATATAAGTACTGCTCATCTGAATTGGTAAACGGGACATTTGGACAAATGTAAAGATGAGGAAAATTCGGAATTAAGGATGATTTCACTGTGAGATTATTTACCCAAATAAGAGCCGAGCTGCTGATTTAAGAAAATTTTCACTTATATAAACTATGACTATATGAGGTTTATTTTGCGGCAGGAGTGGCATATAAACATTAGTTCGGAATAACATTCGACAACCAGAATACAGTACGTCAAATTATTGCTCTCGATATGGAAGTAGAGCACGGTTGAAGAGAGGCTCAATCCATCTTCATTTACACAACAACTATTCGTACAAATGAGAACACCAGGCACGACTATCCCTTCGAAAATAGCGCCTGTAATCTTTTCACAATATTTAAGCTGCACAAAGCTGGTTGCCTACAAAAACTGGATTATTGCAGTTTTTTCAGGATATATGAATACTATGTGGAAATCATAAATAGAAACGCGTAAACTTTACTGTTATGAGTGTCGTGGTTTGAGCGATATGTTTAATTGACAACATTGTACGAGATGCGAGTCTCCGTACGAGTTGTATGAGTTCTTCATCACCGTTGAGATGATGAATAGAAGTGCAAGAACAAATAGGAAATAAATGTTAAGTTTCCAAACGAGTATAATCAACTCATATAGGATTAAACAGCTTGCCGTTTCATAGAAACCCAACCAACGAAGTTTACAATTACATCGATTTTTTTAACCCTTCAAAGTGAAATTAGTTTTTTTTCACATTGCTATTCAAATAAAACATCGGTTATATAAATAGTTGAAAATATGTATTAAATAGTTCAGGTACAAATTAGTCCATCAATGGCGAAAGGCCTCGTTATTTCTTCATTTCAATTTATCAACATGAGTTTACTAACTGAGCGTCTCTGAGCTCCCTACAACAAGCCAATCATAATTGTTTCTGAGTAACCAAACAACGTCATGATATGATTAATATCGGATTAGGTTATATAAAACAAAAAAACTTTATAGTTCGAATTATAGAATCAGGTAAAGGTCCCTTTTATCAGATCGACTTTTCTGTCACTTAAATACTTTTCTACTTTAAGTTACAACGTCCGCTATCTTCTTTAGATTACTGCATACCACCTTGGGTCGCTCATTTTATATCTACAGTTTTTTAACTGCGGCTTTAGGCGAAAGCTTAAAAATAACTGGACGGAATGACCAAAATTTTGAGACGATTGAGTTCGAGTTTGAAGATCGAACTAACAGTGAAATGAAGACGTTTACCTGTAAATATCAAGCCAGTTTCGTTCTGGCGATAATAAATATCAAAAGACTAAGAAGTTGTCTTTCGGTTGAACTCCATAGGACGTTCCTTGTCTTTCCATACCGAAATGCTGATGGCCATCATGGTTTTTGCTGCATAGACATCGCGGTTCCATAATATCTTCAGGTTTTGCAAACAAGGATACTACAGTCACGCACGGTGTCTAATTCCCTTCTTTTTTCCGTAATTCTTCGTTGTATTTGATACCTCCATCGACAAGTATGTTCACCATTATGTCTGCAGCACGCTGTTTGCCTTGATGCAGACGGAATCTTGTTCCACCAATACCAGGCTCATAGAATGAGAACAGGATCTCTAAATATTGTAGTATGTAAAGAGTATATCTCTTATACTGTTCAGGCGAGCCTGTTTTACTACTCGATATATTGCTTTCTATTGCTTTTATCGTACAATCGGCCTTTTTCCTTTCTAATTCTGCATTGACACGAGTACTACCCGTCATGTGCTAATATTCTTTTGTCGAGCAGCGCCGTATCTCATGTCTGTTTGTTTCTAACCCGATTGCTGCTGTAAATACTGTCTTTCGGCCAGGATCAACAAATGTGGGTCTGTAGTTTGCCGTGATCTCTTCATAGGAAAAGTCTTCCAAGGTCAAGTCATGATGATCAATGATGGCGTCTTCTTTTGGTTTCTTCTTACGACTAAATAGGAAGCCTACAGTAAAGCCATCAGATCCAATGAGATTTCTGAAAAGCATACTTGTGTTTGTCTTTAGCTCAGCAATACTATGACATAAGTGAAAGAATAATCTTGAGAACAGAGTTCTTTATCAGAGTGCTATTTACTTTACCTTTTGAAGCCTAACTTTTTGAAGTTGAACACTTTACAAAATTGTTAATAACCCTTTACAAGTCTTCCAGGAAATAAAAAATGAGTAAGGGCGTTTATGCTGATGGTAATGAAGCGCCATGATACTAAGGGCGTAGGAAAGGGAAGAAGCGATGAGATAATGGTAACCTACGAGCATTATAGGGAAGATGTTTAGAATGCTCTTCTTCGTAGTAGTCTTGGGTAAACCACAAGGGCCTGACAAATTTGACCGGTCGGTCGCCAATGACAGAAGCGTAACCTGGTCTGCAAAGCTCTTGCGAGCGAGCAGTGGTATGGCAATCTTGTCCACAGCTGAGGTACTTTAAAGCTTGTGGGGTGGTCTTTTTCCGTTTAACTGCTTTCTTCTTCTCTTTCACTTGGTCACTCTGTTTTCTCTTTTTGCCACTGCCACCAACTTCAAGGAGGTTACTCACAAGCAATTAAGTGCTGTGTGTAAGATAGATTTAGGTTTATTTCTTATCATCATCAGCATTCACGGCTTTGTAATACTTGCATTTGTAGTAACGCTTGTCAAAATGACCTGGCTCATAGCAATCTCGACACTTGGTATGGTCTAAAAAGTTAGAACAGATATCAGAATCCTTATATCTTGATCTGATGGTTCTCCTACAATTATCAAGCGTTTTACCAAATGGGTTCGTTTTAACCTGGTTCTTATGCTTTTCTTTAATAGATCTAATCTTCTGTATAATGAAACTTTTGTACATGAATAGAGCTGTAAGTTACAAAAAAAAATGCGAAATACGGAAAATAAGGGATCTTATTCTCGTTTAAAAGAGCCTCTTCATTATTGTGGTATTTGATGACTTGTAGAGTTAAATATCACTTGATTAAAACAGTAAAAAGCTTAACGAGATCAAACTAGTAGGTCTTTATTTTGAACCAAGTTAGGTTCAAAGAGAAGAAAAATATCTACTGCAAAAATTTAAATATCTTCTTCATATTGCGGAACCTAGAAACTGGCAGCTGAGTTATTCTACTCAAAGAAGACGTACGTCTTCTGAACCGTAAAAGAATAGAATTCTCCCTTGAGGAGATTACGCATCTACCCGGAGCGGGTGGACTTGTAAACGTATCCATGGCTTGATCTAGTGATCATGCAACTAACCTATTTTCCCGTGCTAACCATTATGTAGCACTGCTTGCAGGAAAATAGTATTCGTGCGTGGTGTTTGAGTTGAGTGAACAGTTATTGTAAAGGATGATCACAACCTATTATCTTGTAATCATTCTTTATGCCGAAGGCAGAGAATAGTACTTATAACCTATTATACCTTGGTGTTGAATCAATATATCCTGCATGTCCATATATTAATTCTACTATATATCCTATGTCATATAGTAACGTATTATAGCAAAATAAGTAAACTGTATATCCTAAATGACAACCTGTTCAGCCTTATACGAGGTAGCTAATGTCGTATAAGAATCATCACTTATTCTATATTCGTTTCCTATCCTACTTTATATTATTTCAGCAGTAATGAGGTGTGAGGATCTTGTATAATTTGTATACGAGTTCTCCACATCTCATATGGTGCTGTCAACTAAACACAACACTTAATTCACGGTACTCATATATTAGAGTTTATGTAGTTTCTAATTATTTCTGGTTTGCAATATTGTATAATTCATCTTTATCCTTCATAAAGTGAATTATATCTTTAATATTTGTATATTATCTACCCTCAAATACGACAATTATAATTTAACTTCGACAACAAAAACGCGACAAAAGAAAGACACGTCTTTATCATTGGGCAAAGTTCCAAAAAAGGCACTGACGAACATCTGGTTGGTCTTATAACACATTGTCATTTGACGAAAAAGTTGTCAAGCTTTTTGTAGCTCACCCTATTGCAAAGTGATACCAATAAGAGCTTTCTTAGCGACATCCTTACTAATGAAGACTCATTTTTAGGATTAGCTTGTACACCATCCTTAATGCTACTTGGATGTTACTGGATAATTGATTATCAGCGAAATCGTCCAAGAATAATATACCGCTTCATCATAAAATAATTGAAAGTTGTCTAAATTAAGATTTCATATTGTTTAATAAAATTTGTGAAGAGTCTGATGTCGTATTTGAGGGTAGATAATATACAAATATTAAAGATATAATTCACTTTATGAAGGATAAAGATGAATTATACAATATTGCAAACCAGAAATAATTAGAAACTACATAAACTCTAATATATGAGTACCGTGAATTAAGTGTTGTGTTTAGTTGACAGCACCATATGAGATGTGGAGAACTCGTATACAAATTATACAAGATCCTCACACCTCATTACTGCTGAAATAATATAAAGTAGGATAGGAAACGAATATAGAATAAGTGATGATTCTTATACGACATTAGCTACCTCGTATAAGGCTGAACAGGTTGTCATTTAGGATATACAGTTTACTTATTTTGCTATAATACGTTACTATATGACATAGGATATATAGTAGAATTAATATATGGACATGCAGGATATATTGATTCAACACCAAGGTATAATAGGTTATAAGTACTATTCTCTGCCTTCGGCATAAAGAATGATTACAAGATAATAGGTTGTGATCATCCTTTACAATAACTGTTCACTCAACTCAAACACCACGCACGAATACTATTTTCCTGCAAGCAGTGCTACATAATGGTTAGCACGGGAAAATAGGTTAGTTGCATGATCACTAGATCAAGCCATGGATACGTTTACAAGTCCACCCGCTCCGGGTAGATGCGTAATCTCCTCAAGGGAGAATTCTATTCTTTTACGGTTCAGAAGACGTACGTCTTCTTTGAGTAGAATAACTCAGCTGCCAGTTTCTAGGTTCCGCAATATGAAGAAGATATTTAAATTTTTGCAGTAGATATTTTTCTTCTCTTTGAACTTAACTTGATTCAAAATAAAACGTACTAGTTTGATCTCGTTAACTTTTTATTGTTTTAACTAAGTGATATTTAACTCCACAAGTCGTCAAATACCACATCTGAAATAGCAGTTAAAACACTCTATTCTCCTCATTTCCTCTCGACTAATCATATCTGTGAGTATAGAAAAATTACTGATTTGTTCCTCTTATAATATGAATATACTAGCAATAAATAATTGATCGTACAAATGTGTAAATTAATATCTGAAGAGAGAAGAAAAATAAACTACTGAAAACTAACTAATCAAAATCCTAATCAATTCATCAAAATTCAGAAATATTAAATAAAACTCGAGAGTTAACACGAATCCAATAATCAAAATAAAATGTTCATAGTGAATATGATTGCTCAAAAGAAAGAGAGAGTTCCTAATATTATGTTATGGGTAGTATGTATGCTAAAATTAATATGTATGATTTCAAATATGTATGTAAAGTAAATTGTTAAAAGTCCGTGAGTATATGAATTTTGTGATTGAGCGTGATATTTATCCGGACTGCTGAGTTGCTCCGGGTCGAACTTAACAAATTAAGATGCAAACTATTATAATTTATTATACTGACGATGAGTCATCGTTAAGTGTCATGGCCGAGTGGTCTAAGGCGGCAGACTTAAGATCTGCTCCTCGTAAGAGGGCGTGGGTTCAAACCCCACTGACACTAACATTTTTCGTGTTTTTGCCAGTAGTGCGTGTAAAATTCAATGACAATTTCTTTTATGTGAACCCAGCCTCGTTTTAAACGAACTACTACGTTTTGTAGACGACTCATTGAAATATCATATTAACAAATGTCGTGTTATAACGGTAATATAAAAGGAACATAACTCTCTGAATAGAATAAAGAATCATCCTCTTTTTCTCTTTTCTAAAACTTTGTATTTAGAGTAAGAGTACCCTTGTTTTATCGTTAGCTCAGTGCGCGACAGTATTAACAAAAACTTAAGTTATATCTTTTTCTTATGGAATATAGTTTTGATAAAGGGTGAGTGATAAGAAGCGATCGTCAACAACTACCCTGATATTGTTGCTGCGGTCAGGAACGATAACGTTACAAAAAGGTTTGCTTCATTGGAAAAAATATTGTTGAGGGTATAATGTAACTAACAGTTATAGGTCAAAAGAGAAAGAAAAACAAAAATATTGGCTGTATTTGTTACCATTGTTGACATGTATCAATGGAAAAGCGTATAAGACATAGCTCAAATAATTAATTCAAGGATTGAAAGTCATAAATCGTAAACGCAGTGAGTACTTTGTTTGGAATTAGCCTCTATAAACCTTTGACAATAAGCTGAGATGTATTTTCTACACAAATCGCTAAGAGTTCAAAAGCTCGGAAGTGTTGAGTCAAATGATTGATTACTTCTGCGAAGTGAAAGGAGGATACAGTAGGAAGTACACGATAATTTGAACCGGGGATTATTTATTGTTTAGAACGTACGACTTTTGATCTTTTTCTTTTTCTTAAAAAAAAAATAAGTAAAATAGAAATATAAGTACAGGAAACAAACACGAAGGAAGACTCAGAGTACATACGGAATTTTGCAACAAAATATTTGGTTCACAAGGATTTAAAACTACCTTAATTAATTTGTACGAATGAGGGGTATTATACACAGAGTAGTGATTTGTTATTAACGCTCTCTTAGTATGTTTCTATTGATAACTTTCTTGATAAACAGGAACATCAATTTTTGTTGTAATTGACAGTAAGGTTCTGCGTTAAGGTAATTTAATAATATGCTAATTTACATGCATTGTGCTGTATGCTTTTCTTTAATCTGTTGAATTTTCCACTGGCCCTGTATAATTCTTTCGACCGGATATTAACCAAAAAATGATAGAAAATCCCATAATGCCACAAATCATTACAGATGCCCAGTTCATGGTTTCTGCTGTCACAGGTGACACAGATGGTATACATAGAATGACACTGAAGAAGCACACCCAAACTATGCTGATGATGTTCAAAGGTATACTAAGTTTTCCCAAACTAAAGGGACCCTTTGGCATTTCATCTCGAACGCCAAAGAGACGACAGAGCAGAGGCAGGCCATAGGAGACATTGATGCAAATAACGGCTGCACTCATGATCGCTTGCCAATATACTTCTGAGCCAAAAACCTAAATATACAAGTACATATCGTTAATATTTCATATTGCATTTGTTAGTGCTGGTCTTCGAGTTTCTGGTATTTACCGGCATGATAAGTGATATTGAGATTACTAATTGTAATATCAGTGCATTCACAGGGACTCGCGTCTTTTCGTTAAGTTGGTAAATCACTCCAGAGTAAGGGAAGCAGCGATCTCTACTGAGAGCCCAGAATATATGCACAGTAGCCAGCATAGAATTACATAACGATGAAAATTGTGCTACAAGCATAATGACCAAGAAAAATACACAGAGCCCACTGTTACGTGTCGCCTGTATAAAAAAAGTAGCTACGGGCATAGCTGAGTCTAGGATACTGTCTACGTCTTGAATGGAAAACAAAGTAATGAGAATAAGCGCAAATCCTTGAATAATGGCCCCCAAAACGCAAATGATGATTCCCCGGGGTGCTGTGATATCGGCTTTCTTTGTTCCTTCGACAATCTGTGCACCGCATTCATAGCCTACTAATGTCCAGCCCGACTGAAGTAAGCCTAGCAGGAATGCCATTCCTTTATTGGTATAGCCCGTTCTATTGATAAATTCAGTGAATACCCATTTGGCACTCTGGTGTGTTGGCGCCATAGCAGGAACTGCAACAATAATGAGGATAGTGCCTATACCAACCCAAACGAGAACAAACTTATTCAGATAGGAGCTTGCTTTCAAACCGAATAGATTGAATATTGTTGCTGCAACAAAAAAAGCACAATAAAGGCCTACATATGCCCCTTGAGCAGTGATTTGTTTGGTGTTTAGGATGTTGGCAATGCCGATAACAAAGTCGGCACAAGACCAAGCAAGCGTCATATTCGCTGTAACTAAACCAATGCAATATGCATAGCCGGTAATCCATGCCATGACTGTTTTATAATGTTAAACTATTATTTCTCAATCTTCAGTTGGCAATTTCATATCCATAACTTACAGGGACCCCATTTCTTATTAGAGAGTAGAAATGACCAGGAATAGACGCCACCAGCTAATGGATAAGCAGATATAACTTCAGCCATCGAGAAGGCAATACATAAAACGAATGGAGACACCACAATGTAGCCCCAAAATAAAGAGGATGGTCCACCTGCTACAATACTTGGGCCAAATCCTACCATCCAGTTTGGGAGTACACTCATTGTAGTGAATGCAAAGCCTGCTTGAACAAAAAGACTGATCTCACGCTTGAATTCCTGCTTATACCCCAAATCGGCTAACCTTTGAGCATCATAATCAAGATTGTTGGATTCTACGTGTTGAACGTCTGGAGCATTCTTTTCTTTTGTGGTGTTAATAGACTGATATGTTAAAATAGGAAAATTTAAAAATGTGACCTCTTTTAGCATAACATAAACCGTCAATGTATGTTACTTACTGCATTTTCTTTGCTGATGATATTCCTTTGCTCAGTCATTGATGTGTACTACAAGTATTTATTTTTTACAGAAGTGCTTCGAAATAACTCGTGATCTTAAGTGTGAAAGCAGAAAATGAAGAGGTAATGAAGAAAGTAGAATTGCACAATTCTGAAAGTCTATTTTATTGCCCTACTACTTGTACTTTAGAGAAAGAATTTGTTCACATAGGTAGCGAGCTTCAATTTTTATAGGTCTAAAAGCAGATCAAAAATTACACACTACATAAAAGGCTATTAAGGTAATTTTTCTTAAAGAGGTTCAAAAAGTGACAGAAAACCGTGGTAACAGTTGAAGTCAAAATCTTGTGTGAAAAGATTGTAAATTATACAATTTAGTCAACCTGTACTACAAATGTTTGTCAAAGTTTAAATTTATGACAGCAGGAGCTGTTAAATGTTTCCCACCGCCACACATTGAACACTAGTCGGATACTTTTAAAAGTGCTATTGCTGCTTACCTCTCAAAAGGAACAATGAATTTGGCATTTCAAAATTATTCCAATTGGTACATCCAGATGTTTCAGAAAGTTTATCTCTTATTCTTACGAATAGTGAAAGCTGACAGGTTAAGCACTATTGTTTGTCTGACGCTATATAACGTACACGATTATTTGAGATATTTTTAGTGGATTCTTTAGCATGATGTAACTCGTATGAACATCTGCGAATTGATCGAATTAAAGCATCGTTTGATAGTCGAGAGAACACTGGATTTAGCAGCTTAAACCGGTATTACTTTTATAAAATGGTTTAATTACAGCCTTTACGCTTGTTCAAAGTCGTAAGTCAGTATCACGAGTATCTTTGAGAATAGGTGCCTTTTATTTCAAATACGGAGACTATAAGCAAATCTTATGCCCGCTGAGAAGGACGCTGACCAGTTGCTGTCTCTGAAGAAGGAACTTGTATGCATTTGTTAAAACTTCGATTTCACGGGTGTCAATCCTGCATTGCATTTCCAATGGTGTCGATTATATACTCCTCTGACATTCTACGACCTACCAATTCTTACCACTTTTAGTTGGATATTATTGCAACATCTGACTGCAGAATCTAGCAATTATAGATGGTTTTTTAAACAGATACTGCTATTCATTTACTAAAAGCGATTGAGGGTGATATTGGAGGCATAAAACGAGTTTTGCGGCATTAGTCCTACAGTTATATAATACAAGAGTATTCGAGCGTTCGCACTGTATTGCTGCCTGATGTAGAATGGTCTTTCGAATTACGGTAGCAACTAATCGTATGTCTCCAACAATACGAATTAGGAGTATACAAGTATTTGACTGGCGGTGGTCATGCATTTAAAGACAAAACGCAAGCAATATTGTCATACTGAAAGGAAGTGGTTATTGTGTCTTTAATCATTGATAGTTTTATTGATAGTTTTGAGTTATGATAAGTATTGTCAACGAGAATTTAGTTTTGTGAAATAGAAATAATATGATGAGAGTTGGGGATCCTAATGTTTTAAATTGTAAATTGGCTTAAATATGCTTAAATAGCACGGATAGCGCTGGAGAATAAACCATCCAATTCAGCAGCAGCTCGATTGACATCATCCTTGTGGTCTTTATCAGCTCTTTCTGCTAAGCAGGTAGTCAGCGGCCTTACCAAGGCCTGAATATTTCTAAGATCGTTTCTCAAAAGACTGCAAGCCAATAGAACGTGCTCAAGTTGAGGTTTCTTGGATAAAATAGTAGTCAAAATAAGACGAATCTCTGCAACAAGGGGTTCTTTTTCGTCAAGGATATCTTTAGTTTCTGCTTCCGTGAGCTCTCTAGGAATAGCACAGCAATCATATCTAGCCCTATGGATCAGATCCTCGATCTCCCTTTCAGCGGTATGAAGACTAAAAGCAGCTAAAAAACCATCGGTACCCTTGAAATATAGGAGCTACGAATGTGGTATAGCAAAAAAAATTGTATTTTAGTAAGATAATGATGTATAAGAGCCTGTTGAATTACTATATATTTACCTCTTCATTTGCAGACTTGAGTTTATTAACAATATTGACAATGTCAGCTTTACATGTCTTAATTTTATCGTCACAGACAGTTGCGTCACTATCATCAGTATCACTTAAATGGTCCTTTTTTTTTCCTGCCAAAACAACAGTGACTATGGAGATTGAAAAGGAATTCAGTAAAAAAATGGCGTTAGACGTGTAGAGAGCTCTTCAATACAGTTAGATAATACGCACCTTGAATGCTTAAAGCAATTGTAAGCAATATGGTAATAATAGTACGCATTCTGAGTTGGCACTTTTCAATTGTATATGATAAAATGTGAGGAAGAATATTATTGTCTGAAGTTTAGAAACAAGAGTCGATATGAATCAGCTCTATATATACTTTCTATTTATTTTGGTTTTCTGTAGTGAAGCTACAAAAGATTGTCATAGCTCAGGGGTTACGCGAAATGCATGATTGCCCAAGCAAAAAACTCTATTATTCTGCCTGCATTTTTACAACATATAAAGTTTACCTGTTGAATTATTCAAATAGGCAAGCCAGGAGGACCTAAGACAACAATTTCCAACAGTTACAACTTTCATAGGGGCTACTTTTAGCATATGAAGTTGTCTGTATGTAGGTAATCCAAAGACAAGGATAATTTATTATATATTGAACAGATTCTTTTCCAATGAATTTTTAATCTGAAAGTAACTCTAACTCTCTACTTTATTAAGCCCTGCTGACAGTCTAAAACAGATGATCAGTCGTTAGACATTTTGAACACAGAGGTAACTGAAAGATAGCGTAGAATATGGAAAATAATGTTTCTTCTCATGTTACTGCCTGCCCTGAATTCTTGTACTTATCACATCTTAAAAAAAAAAAAAAAATAACTAAACGGATATGCAATGATCCGTGTTTCTAGAAGAACCCCCAACAAGATCTGCAGATGAAAGCAAATTTGAGTCATGGAAAGTATCGCTATACACTGAGCTATAGATGGTGCTATATACGATATACATTCTGGAAACTGTGTTGCTAGTTAAGTTTTGACATCTAGGCGTGGTATCCGATGAATTTAACTTTAAAATCAATAATAAAGAATAGCACAACAGAAAATAAATACGAAAGCTTAACGAAATCAACCCACTGTCTTTATTTCCCTTTCCAAAAACAAGCTGAAGAAAAGAAAAGAAAACTAGAATTTCTACTATTAATGAAGAGTTATAATGTTTGCTGTCTGTATCGAGATCTATAACTAGCTCTTATGTATTATGGTCAGATAATACTCAGTGAGTCAGTAGCTTCCGTAGAAGAAAATGTCCTCCCTTTAGATGGATAATTAATCGTCTATCCCAGAGCGAATTGATTTGTAATGCGTTATCTTAGCAGTTCCAGGGTGATTTGCAGCTATACATATAATCCAATATTCAGTGGCCCCCAGTTATGTAGCTTACATATTGTACAAGTGATTATAGATGTTACCGAAGAAGAGATCTTCATGCATCAATAAAGAGTGATTGAGCCTTTTACTTCTAACCAGACTTTAATCATTGAACAAGGAATAGTACTCTGACTATTATGTTATGCTTGCTGTATCAATATATTCTACGATTACATATACTACTTTTGCTATCTACCTGAACGTCATAGAACTATAGATAACCCAAGTAAAATATATCTCATAGAGATAACCTTTTCGGTTCTTATGTGAGGTAGTTAATGTTACATAAGGATTACCTTTAATTCATATTATTTTTCTCATGTTGTTTCATTTATCGTACATTTGACCTAATGTTTAAATGTACGCAATCGAACACACCGCTTACCAAACGGGAGCCAAGATATAAGCAGTGATATGTGAGATCGACGTTTATTGTAACATTTCGTTAGACGTTGTGAGTAATTTATTCATCATCATCATGCCTCGATTAGGACACTATGATCAAAAGTAGAAAGATTGAAGAGTATATCACTTAGAAAAGAAAAAAAAAAAGAAAAAAAAAGAAGATTTATATGTATTTTACTACCTGCTAGATACCCTTATTATTTTTTATTGTAAAAGCTTTATTTAAAGCTAAATAATCAAAACGCGCATGTGCTTTACTTCACAGTATCTTCCTACTCATTAGCCTATAATTGAGTTATTGAGTAACTTAATATAATTGATTCGAGGCCGTTGATTAGACATATGGTTGTTTGTTGATATGACAAGCGTGACAACATGAAATTTTATCAAAGTTATAGTCTCTTAGCACACAAACATTAAAAGCGTAACAGCGAACCAAAATAGACCAAAAAAACCCAAAATACTATTATAATATAGATCCATAAGGCATATATGCTTTATGCCACGTATCGCCAAAGGACGATCGCAAAATATTATTAACTACATCGATATCACTATTTACCAACCGTACCCAGCACAAACCTAAAAAAAAAACCAAGCACATTACGCACACCACAGAGTCCAACGGCAAAAAATACTAGTGTCAGTGGGGTTTGAACCCACGCCCTCTTACGAGGAGCAGATCTTAAGTCTGCCGCCTTAGACCACTCGGCCATGACACTTGCTGATAAAAATTTAAAAATTTGGAATATGATAGCTGATAGATATCATGTAATCACGTGATATATCTTGGAGCCAATAGTAGCGCTGGAATTCTGCTTAGCCAATTATATAGTAAGGGGTACTGTGTCTTGTTGCTGTGCGATTACGTGTTTTTTGCGTTGATTGAAATACGGAGATATCATTGCGCGTACATATAGCCTGAAGAAATAAGCATCCAGAAAACTTTGGCATTTTCATATTACTCTTCGCTATTTAGCTACAATCTAGGAGCAATCAACAACAAATAACAACCGCTGAAATAATTTTTAACATACAATACAATATGACTGTTCAACAACTGGAGGCGCTCCGTGATCAACTTCAATCAGAAATCAGGTCCTCTTCACCAAATCTCCAAAAGATTGGTCAACTCTTGTCCCAGGCTAAGGTAACAAATCAATCCAAAATCAAGTCTGCCAAAGAACACTCTTGGTAATAATAAGGGTAGACTAAGTAATTAATTCTACGCAATTGTGTAATAGATTGCTTTGATTGAATTGGGTGCTTTTGTACCAGTTGCAGGAAAGACTGATCACAATGTTCTGACGACAGCACGTAAGACAGCACTTATTGAACCAAATACCAAATATTCCGGAAAGAGTAAAGAGCAGGAATCGTTAAGTTTTGTAAATGTCTGTTTACCATAGGTGATATTCTTGAAATTGGCGCTTACTACAGTGTCCGTATCAAAGATATTGCTTCTTTTGAAAGATATATCTCACAGTTAAATACATACTATCATGACCTTGCGTAAGTATTTGAATTTAAGCGTAACCTTTAAAACCGTACGGCATCAAAGCTGAAAATAAGTATATTCAATTGTAGATCAACCCTTCCTCCTTCAGATCAAATGTATCCCTTGATTGGACTTAATTTGCTGCGATTACTTTCTCAGAATAGATTATCCGATTTCCATACAGCACTCGAGACCATCGATTCTGATCAATTGCAAACAAACAAGTATATCAAACAGGCTGTTGATTTAGGTAAGGATAAGCTTGGAATAAAATGGAAGAATATTGAAACAGAAAGAGGAATTGACCATTATCAATTTGTACGTGCTTTCTATGTACTAGAGCAATTTTTGATGGAGGGTAGTTATAATAAGGTCTGGAGTACAAGGAATACAGTTCAAGGAGAGGAGTTTCTGTTCTTTTACGATATTTTAATTGATACAATCAGGTAAAAAAGAAGAAAAAAAAAAAAAAAAAAAGCCTATAAACATGAACCGTACTTTTCCGAATATGGATCAAAACACTGATACGGAGACCCTCTTTCGGATACTCAGACATGAGATTGCAAGCTGTAGTGAAAAAGCCTATGAATATCTTCCATTAAACGATGCCAGTACTTTGTTGTTCTTGAAGAATACTGAGGAATTATTGAATTTTGCCAATGCACGCGGATGGAAAGTTAATCCAGCTGAACAAAAGCTCTATTTCGTTTCTGAAGACGATGAAAATATTGAAATCCCTCAAGAACAAATTATTACTCGTACATTAGGTTATGCAAGAGAACTTGAGCGTATTGTATAAGAACGCTTCTATGCAAAAATGGAAATAAAAAGGAAAACAAAAAATTAAAAGCGCGATGTATGCAAGCAGAAAGAGAGAGAGCTGAATTGCCTCTTCTGTTTTCTTTATTTGACACTCTATACCGCATAATTGGCAGAAACTGCCCCTTTTTGGTTTTTTTTCGCTTATTAAAAATGATGCCTGGTGAAGCTATGCTGTTCCTCTTCGCAGTCATTATGGCTGCTTTACTGTTATTTATGATGGTATTTTTTGTAAGTGTTCCTAATTGTGGAGCTGTAGGGATCAACCTTCTCGAATTCCTTTGACAAATGATTACTTGGAATAACATTTTAGGTCATTATGTTCTCAGACTTGGAATGTGACTACATCAACCCAATTGACCTCTGCAACAAACTGAATCAGGTATTGCCTGCTAATTTCTTTGTTTATCTGCTGCATATCTTAAGGGAATATCAACTGTTTTACATTGTAGTTTGTATTACCTGAAATGGGTGCCCATGCTTTTTTGTTCTTTATGTTCCTTATCAATGGTAGTTGGGTATCCATGCTATTAAATTTGCCTTTGTTAGCACATAATGCGAATAAGTAAGCTAGTGAAACGGATAGCCTGGCTTTCAATGTATTCATTCTTCTAACGTCGCTTAAATTCAATCCAACAGAGTTATAAATGGTCGACATATGTATGATGCAACAGAGATATTTCGAACATTATCGAAGCACAAAAAAGAGTGTTTCATCAAATTAGGATTTTATTTGATTGTAAGTAGTCTATACAGGACAAATTATGTTTACAGCCGAAAAGTTTCTAACAGTCATCATGTCTATTTTATTTTATTATGAATTTTAAGTGCTTTTTCTTCTATTTATACCGTATGATTGTTGCTCTAATAGCAGCCGATGCTTAATCGGTAACAGACCAACAAAAAATTTTATCCTTCTGAAATAAATATGTACAAAAGAAGCTTGCTGTGTTTATTTATTGACAGGCAACGCGATAGTAAGAGAGAAATGAGAGTAAGATGGTAATATGAGATGAGTAGGACGCAGGGTGACTTATGAGGTTGTTGATTCTATGTACATGTATAAGGCGTGTGTTGACGCTTTGTTTACACCCATACATCGTGTAACTCTTTTATATATCCCGAAAACGTTGATCTTGGAGTAGTTAATACATATCGACCGTGTGCAGCTACCATAGCATCTACAATAGGTATCAAAAATGGTCTGAGTTCTTTTGTCGGAACAACGATATCGTGCATCGTGTCTAATGGATCAAACAAATAATTCGGTAAATCTTTTAAAACTGTAGTGCAAGGGAAATCGCGGAACCAAGGCAATAGTTGACTACGATTGGGATTTCTAGGGTCTTTATGATCAGTGGCAATATACACTTTCACCCTATTTATTGTTTGTTCATCAAAATTTGATGCTGATGAAGAAGTGATAGACTGAAGATCAGAAGGCGCTACTATATTCAAGCATTGAGTAGTAGCAGACTCTGTGCTATCTATAACTTCTGCATTCTCTTCCAGAACATTATGAATATTGCCTGTATCTTCTTCTTCAGTTATACCCTCAGTAGACTGCTGTCGCTCATTCAACTGTTGTAAGTCATGATAATGCTCCTCTTGTACCAATAACTGGGTCATATTCTCTCGAAATATCCTCAGATTATTCCCGATTTCCTTTCGGAATGGGTTGTCTCCTGTTCGAAAATGGACCGACATAAATGTGCCTTTGCCGCCCATATAGTCAACTATCCGTTTCACTGCATCTCCTATACGCGTGTCCATCCGATAATGTAGCACAGCCTTTATTCGCTCTTGGATTTTTATATCCTCTGGTTCAATCAAATGAATTCTGGTCGATCCAAATACGCCGCCCAAAAATAACAGCTTTTCCTGTCGTCGTTGAAAATGATGTGGCATTAATACCTTATAATATCGTCTTCCTGAAAAGGAGTCAAAGTAGTTCATTTGAGTTTTTAGCAGATCAACGGCTTCCGTCATGTTTTGATACAGACGCCAATCATAGAGTTGAGTATCTTGATGTAAATAAATATCTCGTTCATCGTTTGTGATTTGAAGATCATTTTTGATTTGTGTCATGGAAAAGATCTGCTGAAATTTTATATTGATGCCAAGCTCAGTAAGTGGACTGAAATCATGTATCTCTGTCCAGTCCATGATCGCAAATTGTCTGTATTCAGAGCATCTAGATCGTTGAACGTAAGTGGCTAGCTCGCCTGGTGTTGGAGATTGACATATTTTAGTAAATGCTTTAGGAGTTGTTAGCCAATCTAGTCGATCCAATAATTGATCTCGCTGCATCCATCCAAATACGCTACCGAGAAATGCAGGCGGAACAATGAGCGTGCGATTTGTCATATAGGACAAGAGTAGTGCGTTGGCTAATTCGATTCGTTGATTAGAGAGACCTGAGTGCGGTAAATATGCAAGGTATTTCTCCTCTTCATTAGTGTTACTACTAGGATGGTTATAATCGTCTTTATCTTGTTTCTGAAGCAACGGTGATATCCTAACACCTTTATTATTTTTTAGAGTTGTTGTCGTTGTATCGGGTGTTGCCATAATGGGCGTTGTCAGATGGAAAACTTGATGATGTATTGAGTTTGAGAAATAGATAACACAAGAAACAAATAACAGACTCATCAATAAATTAACCTTCCTTTTAAAAAGAAGGCGTGGGTGAATCATCCTGATTGAAAGTTTGAGTGACTCAATTAGAATCAACAAATGCTATTGTTATCCTATGGAAGGTCTAGGGAAGCAATGTAAAGAGTCTATAAAGAGAAGAGAGAAGAAGAAAGTGAAAAAGGGAGAATAGGAATCATGTACCTGAAATGCCTTATCCTATTTATTTCTCAATAAATGCCCCTTTAATCTTTGGAAGCCTCTATTTTTTTTTTTTTTTTTTTTAGAAGTAGTACAGGGATGGCAACACAAAGGCATTTAAATGGGTCAAATTTGCTTGATTTAGAGAAATTATTTCGCCAAGTGCTGCTAAAATTATAACGCTAAACAGTACTATATTGTCATTTTTCAAGGAACCTCTTGTCTTTCAGTGCAGAATGTACAACGCTGTTTCATGCCTCCTTTCACAGTGTAACTAGTGAATGATCAAACATGGAAATATGCTGCTATATGTATCAGCAATATGTGACTAAGTTTTCGTCACTCCATTCATTTTCTTAAAATATTTCTGACATGGAAGTGTCATAGTTCTTAAAATAGTTTCGTTTCACTCACTTCAGTATTCACGGTTCATTTCCATTGCTTGAAATCAGTGCTGATCTTACTACGGATAGAAACACAGTATCCGATAGAAAGGAAATTCATTCTTGCAGAAATGATACCATACGAGAGCGATCACGTCCACAACGGGCTATTGACTTACGAGTTTTGTGAAAGCAAGACTCGTAAATAAAAATAGTCAGCCATTTGCCATAATCATTTTGAATTCCCCTATGAATCACTTTATCAATTTAGATATGAAGCCAATGCGCTTCTAAGCTCCACATTAGCAGCTTCCAGAAATAAACATGCTTCAATTAGGGGAAAAGCGCTTGTCCACGTACAACTTAGTGTTGATTTCAATAGATATCGTAGGGCTAAAAAGTAGTAATATTCAGCATTTGAAAACGGGCTTATCGATAGAATATAGACAGTAAATAATTTTACATACAATTGACGCAGCCAACAGAGACTGCTACTTTTAACAATACGGAAAATCTTCTCTTGGACAGTTATTATTACACCTGTACAGGACACCGTAGCTGAAGGAGTTGAGCGATATACATCTATATTCGTTACTATTGTATGTGGGTATTTTGTACAAGAGCAAGTGTCCCATCGTTTTATAGATTTTTTTATGCAGGTTCGTGTTTCACATGCGTTAATGATCGTCATCTAGACAAAAATGTTTATGTAAGATTTCGTTCTTTTTTTGTTCTTTTTTTTATTTTTATTATACCTACTGTCATCACACTCGTTCCAGCTTGCATATTGTATTAAGGCTACTCATATTAGCCAAACTTAGACAACTGTACTGTGTATATAGATAGATAGATATCTTGAAAGCGAACAATATGTCGTCCATCAGAAACGAAGATTCCTTACAAACAAACCCCCACCAGTCATCCAACGTGCATAAATCCGCAGAGGACAACCAAAGTGAAAATGAAATACAAGTCCTGATGCGCTCCTTCCTCAAACAACACACAGCATATGATGTCTTACCAGTGAGTTACCGACTGATTGTATTTGACACTCGACTTTTGGTGAAAAAGGCGCTCAATGCATTGGTTCAAAATGGTAAGACATACCGTTTTGCACTTTACAAACGAACCGCTCTTTTATCTTACCAAACTTCTTCCCTTCTCCTCTTGTGAATAATAAGGTATTGTATCTGCTCCGTTATGGTCAAGTGAAAAGCAACAATTTGCCGGTATGTTAACCGTAGCTGATTTTATCAATCTGATTCAATATTACTATACCCATGCTTCTGTTGACGAGGCATTCCGAGAAATTGAAAGTTTTGAATTGGCCCATTTACGAAATGTTGAAAAACATATTGTGGGAGCTGCAGCCGTAGCTCCTCAGCTCACCAGTATGGATCCTATGGCTACGCTTTACGATGCTTGCCGTATGTTAGCAGAAAGTCGAGTTCATCGAGTCCCATTGTTGGATAGAGAACCGGAAACCGGAACAGAAATGATTGTCAGTGTGATTACACAGTATCGTATACTGAAGTTTATTGCTTCTAATGTAAGTATCAGAGGAAATAAAGGATACTAAATGATGCGTATAGCTAGAAATTGTTCTGATGACCTCCCTCAATTCTTTTTACATAAAATTTGTAGTTTAAATATTCGAAAGTTTTACGTCAATCTTTATCAGAATTGAAGATTGGAACTTATAAAAATATAGCCACTGCTTCGATGTCAACGCCAGTGATTCAAGTGATTAATATGTTTGTTGAGCAAAATATAAGCGCTGTACCGATTGTTGATTCCAATAACGTTGTGTTAAATGTATATGAAACAATAGATGTGATGGTAAACAAAAAAAGAGCATAGGAATTTTTCCTGTCATTGAAAGGAAAGAAAAGTTCACTCACATTTACAACTCTTTTCACCTGTAATACTCTTTGAATAGAGCATCGCTAGGTCAGGGAGGTATAAAGAATTAGATATTCCAGTGGGTGAGGCAATGGAAGCAAGACCTAAAAACTACCCTGGTGTACACACATGTACTTTGAATGACACATTGGACTCTATTTTCAAAACCATTAGAAAAAAGAGAGTTTACCGCTTAATTGTTGTGGATCAAGACAACAAGTTGATAGGCATTGTTAGTTTGTCAAATATATTAGGTTTTCTTGTTGGATACAGGCGACCAAAAAATTAAAGAAATAGATGCAGAAAGAAGCGATTTTCAAAGAAAATGAAAGGCATTTACATTTAATTATTCATATCTATATTCATGTGATGCTATTTTAATTCGTGACAATGAGGAGAAGAATCAATACTGTAATTTAGCCGGGAGGTAAAGTAGAAGGATCGACATAGTCCGAATCATCCTCATAAGAATGTTCAGTTTGAGGTTCATAGTGATCATGAACAGGAGATCTAGGCATTGCCATAATGCCTATGGAACCCAGGAATAGTGAAAAAAAAAAGAGAGTTAGCAATGATTACTATGATCACCCTAAATTTCATTAATCACTCTTTTATCCTCTTTACCTGTTCGAGATGCTTCCAAAATACCGAACGGTTTACACAGTTTGATAAAGGATAACAATCTGCTTGACTTGGCACATAATTCAATAATGACAGAGTCTGACGAAACATCCACAATTTTACCTTCAAAGAGACGAGTGAGTTCAGTCAAGGCACGCAAATGAGAGAAGGTCTGACGAAGAGTATCTGCAGGAGCGTCCATTGCCTGCTATAGAAGAATAAATGTTTCAAGGGAAATGTTTACGAATGTGAAAAAGTCAGTTTGGGTGATATCCTTATATTAGTTGCTTTATTGAGCACCTTACTGCTCATCGTCTTACCTTTTCATAGCGTGATATATTTTCGTCTTCATATTCTACTTCATTATCTAACTTAGCTGTGGGCAGTTGTTCATGTAAATGTTCAGGACCAAGAATCGAAACTTTGATAAGTAAGAGTTCTCTTTCGATCAGTTTTGTTTTTGTATAATCCAAAACAGCCCAGACAGGAACCTAGCACACAAATAGCTCTTTCAATAACTTTTTCTCTCTCTCATGACTCCATATTTAGGACACTTACCAAATCTTCTAATTGTCTTCTCGCCTGTTCAATCTGAACATTCTTTCCCTTAAATACGATCGTCATACGACTTAGATTCTCCACTTCGGTATTCGCCACAACCAACGACTCTATGTTAAAACCACGAGCGGCCAAAATACCAGATACGCGACTTAAAACACCTGGCTCGTTCTGAACCAAACAGTTCAAGACATGGCGAGTCTCACCAGGATATTGAGCATTAGATGGTGGGGTATTATAGAGAATATTGGTAACAGCATCTTCGACTGTAGGAGCGATAGGAACAATGGGAACGACGGGACCAAAACGACGTTGACGAATATGTTTCTTAAAAGACATGGCAGAGGTTGCCGAAGGTTGTTGTTTCGTCTTTTGTTGTGCTTCCTGTTGCTGTTTTTGAGCAGCAGAAAAAGCTTGTTGGTTGCTCATAAGACATGATTGCGAGGAGAAGCATCTAATAACGGTAGGTGTTCGCTTGGCAAATGTATGATTTTGTTGTATCTAAAATTTATTAAAGATGATATATAATAAGCTACAAAGTCTGTTTCGATTTAACTCTACTCCTTACCACACGGTTCAAAACAGGTCGAAGCATATCGTCAATAAAAAGTAAACCGATGCTTATTGAGGATCAGAAGGTAAAGAAAGAGAGAAAGAGAGAGAAAGAGGGATGCGTTTGATGATAATTAATATCCTGTTAAGTCAACTTCTTATCCCAGATTTGAAAAAAAAGGTACCTTGATCGATATTTGCACAATAACTTTTTGGCACTCCCTTCCTTATTGTGACGAGAATTTGAATCATTTTGGGTAAAGCAAGCTTATTGGTACATCTCACATGAATCTTTTAATTTCTTTGGCAGTTAGCATTCGAAGGTAAATGGTGATTTAATCTGACTACTGTATTCACTCTATTATCATTGACTCTTTTCTTTGCCGTTTTTAATATACTTGTTATCAACGCAGACGTATGTTTGCTGCTTTACTTTGCTTTTCACCATTCTGAAAGGGTTGTTAGAGGCCTTATTCAATAAAAAAATCTGCCCGTTTCCATAGACGCAATTACTCTTTTTTTTTTTTTTTTGTATAAAATCGTAACAGTGCTTCATCTGTATTATGATTGCTTTTTCAAGTTTTTTTTTTTTAATATTTTTGCGCATCGCAATGCTACTATATAAAAACATCCATTTAAAGCATAAAGCTTCAAACCTTTAGTCTATGTAATGATCTTTTTAAATTTCAAAGAAATTCCTAAAATAGTTTTAAAGTTCGAAAATGAGTGATAATGTATTGACGTAAACCCGTGTACGAGAATTTGTGAAGAGTGGCCCGAATGAAGCAGATCAGAAACCAACGTCTGAAAAAAGTCCGCAGGGAGCCTTTATTTTTTTTTTTTTCACTCAGGTCAGAAAAAAGAGGGGGCTCCGATAAAAAGAATATACCAGGTTAGTGAAGTTTTAAGACGTAAAAAAATAGAAAAATACAACATCGACCGTTTTTTCTTTGTCACTGCTCTTCTCTTCTTTCTCTGCTACTGTATTTCTTTATTTATTTCATCCCTATACCATATTTGTTACTTCTACTATTACTATTACTAATTATATATACTCTTTTCAATACAAAAACAGAAGAGTATACATCTAATATTCTGTAATTTAATCATTGCTGACTTTAGCCAAAATTTCAAATAGTTTGTAAAAAAGAGAGCGATTATAAATATTCAATCCATCTTGATTGTAGATCAATGGTAAGAATTTCATCTAAATCACCCCGGAACTGGCTAGTATAGCCCAAAGTATCTCTCATTCATATTTACATTTTCTCCTTTGCACTATGTCCGCAATCGCATTGTAGACATGAGCTCGTCGATACCTGGTTCACCTCACCCCTACTTTGATGAAAAAGCAGCTGAGCGAGAAGCTCGTATAAAAAGTCTATTCGAATCACTAGACCAGAAAGGACGAGGTTACTTAGATGCGGAAGCCATACTTGGAGGATTTCTTAAATTGACTCACTTGCCAGCTCATACGCGCTATGTCACTGATCTATTAGCGAAATGTGATACAGCACAGGATGGAATTATTGATTACCAGGAATTCCGGACTTATGTATTAGAGAAAGAAAAGGAATTATGGGAACTGTTTTCAAAGATTATTAGACAGCCAACGGATGACAATAATAAAGGAAATAAAACTTTGCACAAGACAGCAGAAGAAACTGATTATCGAATACATCCAAAGGATTTGGAAATTGCTCTTAAAGAAGCTGGCATTCATGTTACCGATGAAGATATTCAAAACTTCATGCATGTTATAGATATAGGTATATATATCGTGTTAGAGAGTTTTAAAAGCAAAATAGCCAAACGTTAATCTATTTGGTCTTTATGTAGAGGGCAATGGATACATCGATTTTCAAGATTGGAGAGATTTCTTATTAGTAAGTAACCAAGTGCTTACTAAGATGGCTCTTTTTTATCGCTTAACATTTGGCTTTTTGCTAGCTATTGCCTCAAGAAACGACATTATTAGAAATATACCAATATTATCAATCATCTACGCAACTCACCCACGACGCTGAAGTTGTCATTCCTCACACGGACGAGACAGCACACAACGCCTATAAGTACTTAGCGGCAGGTGGTATTGCCGGCGCTGTTTCGCGAACTTGTACCGCTCCTTTCGATCGACTTAAAGTATACCTTATCACTCAAACTTCCATTATCTCAAAGAAGTCAGCACCCGCAACACCTTCATTGTCGACTGTTAAAAATTCCACCGCTTCGTTATCATCTACTACTGCAGCAACCGCGAAACCATCTCAATCTGTACTTATACAAGGCATGAAAAATATATATAAACAAGGCGGCATTCGTGGGTTCTTTGTTGGCAACGGTCTCAATGTCATTAAAATCGTACCTGAATCCGCTATCAAATTTTATGTATTTGAAACCACCAAATCTATACTAGCCGAACTCACCCACTCGCCCGATAAAAATGATATTCCTGTTGGTGCAAGATTCTTTGCAGGCGGTGTTGCAGGTCTGTGTGCTCAATTTTGTATTTATCCTGTAGAAACACTAAAAACACGTATCATGTCATCGAAACATATGCTGGAAGAACAACAACATCAGCAACAGAAAGCAGCAACAGCAGCAGCAGCGGCAACATCAACGGGATCCAGTAGTCAGGCATTTAAAACAAAACAGAAAAGTATCATTATCGATACGGCTCGGAATTTATACAAAACGCGTGGTGTCAGAGGGTTTTGGCCAGGTTTGACTGTGAGTCTGATGGGCGTGTTTCCCTATCAAGCATTGGATATGGGTATTTATGAAACGCTAAAAGTGACCTATTTGCAATACATGAATGCACAAAAGGATGAAGAAGGCAAAAGTAAGCCTCCGAATGTCTTGATCCTGTGGGCTTGTGGGATGGTAAGTGGGTCGATTGGTGCCACGACAGTATACCCGTTGAATATGATTCGAACGAGGTAAGGGCTGATAGGATATTTATTGGGACAGTAAAAGGAACGTAAGAAATCGTTAAGTGATCCTAACTTTATCAACTATAGATTGCAGGCGCAAGGTACTCCAGGTCATCCTTATGTATATACCTCAGCACTGGATGCTGCTAAAAAGACCTTTCATGCTGATGGCATTCGTGGATTTTACAAAGGCTTAGGTCCAACCTTATTCAAAGTCGTTCCTTCTGTTAGTATTAGTTATGCTGTGTATGAATTTAGTAAAAGATCCTTAGGTATATCTTAGTATTTATAAGCAAGTATAATAGTTGTACTTGTAGTAAAAGCTGGCTACATGCTTCTTCAAATATAGATCTGTTTCTTTATAAGTATTATATATTCCTTTTAGTATAACCCACATCTTTGTATATAATAGAAAGACCTTTCTTCATCAAGAAATCGTCGTGCCTCAGAATTTTTATAAGCAGAATAAAATACAGTTTATTCAAAAAGGGAATAAAAAAAAATAAAAAAATGAATGGGAATGGATCAAAATGAAAGAAAGTAAGTAAGCTATTTTTAAATCAAGTCGATAACTGATTTTCGTTTTTGACAGAGCAGCTCCAATGCATATGGAACTATAGCAAAGGGTAAAGTATAACATATTATTGTTGCCTCTGCACGCTTAAGAGTGCATTGACTTTTGAGCTTCGCCCTTCTTCTTTTGAGCTTTGTTGGCAGTTTCATCACCAGTGTTGCCAGTAAGAGAATTAAAAGCACCTTTGACAGCGCCACTAATTTGATCAGCGGTTCCTTTAGCATAGCCTTTAGCATCGGCAGCATTGTCTTGAGCATGACCTGCGGTGTTTTGAGCCTTGCCCCTTGTTTGCATGGATTCATTACCAACAGCACCACCTATAGTGTCCTTGACGTTACCCATGGTTTGGTCCTTCTTAGCGTCAGATTTTGAGAGAGGCATTTTTGTTTAAAATAATAGAGTAAAGAAAAATGATTGATATAGAAAGCCAAAAAGGATGTAGGAAATGTTGGTCCCTTTTATAAGATTCTTTTTTACCCCAAGTTGAGCCATTATTAGTTGAGTTGAGCTAGAGATGAGCGACGACATGGTTCGGTCATTGATATACCATAAGACATGCGTTCTCGTCGCTTATGTCATAAGTCTTCTCGTATAAAAACGAGAAGAAAAGAGGTCTTACCATATGAGGAAAAGACTGTTTAATGCAGCTAGTTAGCAGTTTACAAGTATACAAAAACAAACCCACACACCAGAAGCATGTATATACCGAGTATATATCCTGATGTACCAATGCTCATGTCAAATTAAACAGGTTATGCAATATTACTCCATCAATTACTCAGCAAGTGTTTATAAAATAACAGTATACAGATTTGAGTCTAATTTATTCTATTTTAGGCTATGTTCAATTGTCATTAACGGGATGCACCTTCAGTTGTCAACAAATTACCATAACCAAATCCTTTAGGCCCGAATGCTTTAGAGTAGCAGCCTCGACAATACAAATCTGAATCACGATCCACCATATTTGTAGAATCTAATCGTTTACCACACTCTTTGCACTTCAAACAGTACTTGTGATATTTGTTACCGCCTCCTAACACCAGTTCTGCAGCATAGACTGCTTTCTTACATCGTGCACATATATCTTGTTGTTGGTTGAAGTTGAATTTACGGGGCGTGTAACTAGTGTGATGCTTCAAATAACCACCAAAAGACGATGCAGAAGCATTTTGTTGCTGTTGCTGCTTTACTGAGGGTGTAGTCCTCGAATCGGTTACTGAAGGAGGTTGGGTCGGACGCTGTGGTGTAGCAGGAGGTAGAGTACCTTTATACGATGTATCGGTCTTGTTTCTGGCAGGTAATGCAGGCGCTTCTCGTTGTTGTTGTTGTTGCTGTTCTGGCACTGCTGGGTTGTCTCGAACAGGTGATGGTGGTGTCACACGAGAAGAAGATGATCGCGTAAGAGTTCCATCATTGTATTTTTCTTTCAATACCTCGCTGGGCATTTTGGTCTCTGTGCTCAGAAACGCAGCTCCTCCAGCTATATAACAGAAACTGTGAGAGTCTGAATTTGAGTTAATCAATCATCATCCGAACGTTACCAAACCCGTATCCTTTAGGCCCCCATCTTCTATTATAGCAGGTTTTACAATACGCCTGAACAATACGTTTCATTAATATACGCCAACCGGCTTTCCAAATACTTTGTAAAATTATACTCAATTTTTTACCTCGTTCTCCTTTTCTGTCAAAGTAGTCGAATCAAGTCTCTTATTACATTCCTGCAAAATAACACGTTTTTTTTTTGTTTGTTTTCATTGAGTTCTAGAACAATATCGTTATGCTTATCTTTGTTCAAATGGTTTACCTTGCAGGTTAAACAAGACTTATGCCAAAAACCGCCTGGGCCACTGACCTAAATTTGCAATGCTGATCTGTCATTATACTCTTCTTTTCTAAATACTAATAATAACTTCTTCGGAATCTTACCTGTTCCGCCATATACACAGCTATATTAAAAAAGAAGGCTTAATATATCGATCATTATTTCAGAGGAGAAAAAGAAAACAAACTAACACTTTGCACAGCGAGGACATTTAGGTGCTCCTCCGAATGTTATTGGCATGTTAATCTTCACAAAGCTATGAGTTGAATCAGCTGTAAAAAAGAAAAGCTCGATTTCTTTTGCACTACCAACCAAATACATACTGTCTGAGTTTTGATCGTTTTGATCTCTTGCTCCAGATATACTGCTAAGATTTCCAATTAAAATGTTAGTACTGTGTACAGTAAATAGCACTTACACGCATTTTTTTTTCTCTCCACAGAACGAAAACAAAAAGATAGTGTTATCGCGAGCTCAAATCGCAGATTACTATGCGTTTCAAAAGTTTTCCTGCTCGGCTCTTAAAGAGTATCAGATATCTTGGGAGCCAAGCTATATTCATAACGATGTTGTATCTAAAGAGTAAGTATCTCATATTGACCATTCTTCTCGAGGGACCTATTTCTATAGCTAAAGTGGGGCCATCGGCAAAATTAGTAGGGACGTGCTTGATAGTACATGCGGTGACGGATATAGGTGCGGTACGACCTGGTAGTGGGGGTATTCAAGACTCTGTTTGATGTGGCAGCTACGCTAACAGCAGGTATTGACAATGGATTTGTTTTGCTGAGATCATACAAATTTTAGCGTGCAGTGAATTTGACAATATCCATTCTTGCTGACCGATAATCTACCCGTATATAGATTGGAAAAGCACGTATAGTCGTCCTTAGGCACAATGTTGTACCTTTGTTTCTTTGCCCATCGTTCTATCATATTTGTTACTATTTCAACAAATGACGATTTATCCTTTTATAAGTTTCTATAAAAGTTGACGATTGAAAATACATTCTTTAACAGTATGAAAAACCATACTACAAGTACCTCTATGAACGACTTTTGACTTATAAATATTAGCCAACATCACAGACAGCGAACGAGCATACGAGCGAACGAGCCTCAATGTATGATTTTTCAGAGCCTCCATCAACTCTGCTTCATACAGAATGCACGAATAGTTTCCGTATCTCAACCACCCTTGGGTGTACCTCGGGAGCAGTTAGCCGATCATTTCAGAAGTGTGAATATAGACAACAATAAAAATCATAAAATTTCAGGTCTATCATATTCAACAAATATTCAAATTCAATGGTCCCATGCTATTAAGCAGTGTCTCTTTTAAAGAAATCCTCTTGCCTGACTCAATCGCACTATCTCTGTAGTCAACGTGAACAACTAAAAACTTTTTTTTAATCGTTTTTTATTTCAAAAGCCTAATCCTTCACGAGCTTTCATTGAATCGTGCCAATACATTTTTCAACGAAAGTGAACAAAGAAAAGGTCCCCAAACACTATGCTAAAGACATAGAAAACGGATAGATGCATGTGCATATACATATCATATCGTTTCAAATTAAGCAATGGTGACTTCAACTTCAACTCCGGGTTCAATAGAAATGGAAGTGATTTGCTTGACGATCTCAGAAGGAGAGTGCAAATCAATCAAACGCTTGTGAATTCTCATTTCGAAGCGATCGAAAGTTTCGGAACCATTACCACAAGGAGACTTACGAGTGGTAATACGGAGAGTCTTGGTGGGAAGACGAACAGGACCCTTGACCTTCAATTGCTTATCCTTGGCACGTTGAATAAGGTCAGAGGAAACTATAAATATGGTAAGTAAGCTTAACACACAATTCTCACTCTTCCCTTTCTCTATGATCATTTGTGACTTCCGAAACTTACCCTTTTCCAAGTTCTTGACATTACGAGAAGTCAAGGTGATACGGATACGGTGGATCTTGGGTTGCTCTTGTTCCTCAAGACCAGGCTTTTGAGTGGAGTTCTTAGCCTATGGTAAAATTTTACATAGGATGACCATAAATTGCAAACTCTTTAACGAATGATGACTGCTGTAATGTTAAGACTTACGACGTAGGACATTCTAATGTAGAATTCTCTGTAATTTATTAAGGACAAAACAAGCAATAGTAATGAATGATCAATGATAACAAAACCATAACTTCACGAAGTATAACGCTTCTTACCAGCGGTGACTAAGTTTAAAGATAAACGAAGAAGGATCAAACAGAGGGAAAATTTTTGAATAGCTTTTAAGATTTTCGAAACCGGGTTTCTTATTGGTGGAAATTAAAAAGCCACAGAATGACAAAGGCATTACCCTAAGGAGGTATACATTCATTTCTGTTTTGAATGTATTGTAAACTACATATTTAGTGTGTGGTAGGCAACAATAGTTGCATTGTTTATACGTGGCTGGAAGTCCTGCGATTGAAGTTTACAATAGCTGAATTAAATTAAAAGATTAGGTATCTTTTCTGCTTTTCATATCTCCAGTGGCACTATGTCGTCGAAGCGTATAACTCATCAATCAAAACATTACAAAAGAAATGCATGTACAATGATATATTGCGCACTAATAAGTGAATTACGCAAGAGTTTTTATTAGACTTTATAAACACAGGAATTATATTAAACAAAGATCTTCCTTTTATTATTGCTTGAAACGCAAGCTGATACTATTGACACAATGTCTTTCATCAGTTGGTGTAGAGAAACCTTCACCTTTGAATACATGACCTAAGTGTCCTCCACATTTAGCGCAACAAATTTCTATGCGTTGCATACCTAACGTATTATCCTCATGTCTTACAATCGCGCCTATACAATTATTAATATTAGTGTTCTTCATCCATTGAACGGTCAATATATTTTTAATAGACAATCCTACCGGGAATGGCATCAAAAACTAAGGTCAAAGTCATGTTAGTCATCAGTTATCAAAAAAATAGAAAGAGTTTCATTTCTAGCAATTCAGTAAACTTACATGCAGGCCATCCACATCCACTATCAAATTTCGTGGTTGATTCGTATAGGGGTGCATTACATCCGGCACAATGATACACGCCTAGATACAATCATATTGAATATAACTAATACTTAGCAACCAAATCGCTTTTGAGGCTATGATGTTTATTACCACCGTTCCTTTACCTTTTTCATTGAACTTGTTATACTCGCCAGTTCCAGGCCGTTCAGTTCCTGTTATGTTTAATTGTGTATTTTAGAATAATTTTTGGAGTTACGGCTCTGATGCTTATGCTCTAATACCTTTTTGTCGTAGAACCCGGAATTGCTCGGGAGACAATATAGCTCTCCATTCTTCTTCAGTCTTATTGAAAGTTGTCATGACACGTTTCGAAATTGCGAAGGAACTAGCTGCTATGAGGGATTTTGGGTGTCTGTAAGAGTGTATGAAAGCGTTCTGAGAGTTACGATTGAATTTAAAGGTTCTAAGTGATGTCGAATGTCGGCAGGCAGTGCTTTTTGTTAGAAAACGAATATGCATACCGTAAAAGAAACTAAATTGCGTTGCATTGATGTAACTTTTTACATTCGCCGCCGCCCGCCGCCTTTCAGCTCCGCCTTTTTGTTTTTGCTTTGCTGAGTTCCTGACAAGATCAAATGCTTTACTGTTCTTTAGCAGCCACAATTTCGGGTTGCAAAGATGCTCATAAAGTAAGCACAAAGGAAAAAGAAGCTCCTAAAACTTAACCTAAATCAATAAAGGAGAAGAGGAAAAGGGACACCTCTCAGCATACAAAAATCGAAACACAAATTCACCCCGCATTTTGCATTCAACGGCAGAGATATGAAAGTTGCGTTGTGTGTAAAAAGTATCCTCATTTCTTTTCTTTTTTCATTTTTTGCTTTACTTTGCACTATTCTTTTATCTTCTTTCAGCTGATACTATGTCATAAAAATGCTGAACTCTTTCACTTCAGCTTTGCCGACAGCAATGAAGTATCGTGGTGACAATAACAATGAGGAAGCATCTTCGTACTCAACTTCCTTAGACTCTATAAGCAACGACTCTTTTTACACCCCTACTACTTCTGCGTTCATCACAACACCTGCTTTCGATAGTAGAGCTTCATCTATTCGTGGGCTTCTACCATCTATCTCTTGTAAAAGTAACTTTTCAATACAAACCTTTCATACAGCTGCTGCTGTAAATTCAGATACATCAGAAGAACAACGCTGCAATATACCCTCTATCACTACATCAAAATTCAGTGCTTGTGATAAATTTAGAAACGCCGAGAACATTGCTATAGAAACAACTGACAATGTCAGCAGTCATAATGCAGTTACTTTGCGGAAAGTGAATCCATGTCATCATCCATCATCAAACATGCTTTCATGTGCATCATCGACTAGTAAGAGTATGGATGAAATACCAACAGCAGAAAAATTCTTTCACGGTACTACTTCAACTACAGCCACAACCACTGCAACTGCCATCCCCGCAGATGATCAGCATATTATTACGCAAACTAATAACCCTGATTTTTTTATTCATCCCATCGCACTTATTCAATCCAATCGAAGTAATAGTGCACCCAATAACTACTTCTACTATGGCTCATTGGACAGCCATAACATTTGCTTGCAATCACCAGCAACTAATTATTCAAACTATTTATATGACGGTTTGAGCGAAGAATATGAAGTAGTCCTTGATGATGGAACCCGTCAAAAGCGATCCGTTTCTTTATCAACAATGCCAAATACGCCAATGTTCGATTTTTGTAACAACAACAAAAGAAAATACAAAGCCAATGTCAATTTTTCCTATTTTAACCTTGGGAATGAAACTGCAACTGGGAAGGAGGCAGAAATTCGCAGAGACCATCAACGTCAGAGTAGTACAACAACTACTGAAAGTCAAGAAAAAAAGTATGTACAATGATTTGTGTAGTATTTATGAAAGCTTAATCTTATTTCTCATTTCAAAAACTTCATTTCAAAAATTTTTACATGTTACAGTTATCAGAATTACTATTTTCTGAATGACAATGAAGAACAAGCCTTACTTTTTCCACCAGGTTCATCATCCTCAAATCCACACTTAACAGTCAGAGATCTCGGCAGTTCTAGTGATGTTGATGACAGTGATGATACAGATAACGATATGGATGCACTGCTATATAACAGAAAGCTCCTCAAACGAAACAGAAGGAGAAGAACAAAGACAAATCGCTGCTGTAGCATTTTCTTAAGAAATCCGGTCAAAACCTTTTATCACTGGTTGACGGAAAAGGTTCTTACCTATAAGCGTAGAATGGTTCTAAAATGCAGTATCGCCTATCTATTAGGATCAGCGTTTACCTTTATACCACTTTTTCAAAACATGTTGAGTCCCTCAGCAAGGTTACTGAGTCAAATTATTGCTACCGTAACCGTGTTTTTTAGTGCATCAAAGACAGTAGGCGGCATGGTGGAAGCTGTACTATATGGGCTAGCCTTCACAATATTTGCCTCACTGGTATCGATGCTTAGTATGCTACTGGCTGTATATTTAAGATCTCAAAATCATTATGTCATTTCTAGTTGTATCACGTTGGCATTTTGGTTAGCTGGAAGTACGTTCTTATGGTCATTTTTGAAAGCTCATTACAACAAGCCTGCATTGGCTACAGGTAAACTGGTGATTGATATAGTTTTCTTGTAGTATTTTAGTAGCTACAAACTAAGCAGATGAAGCATCTTTATTGATTAGGATGTGGTTTAGGATCTATGATAATGTTTCCTGTACTTGTAAAGGAGGGATCGGAAATTCCCGAGGTATTTGATTCGACGTACATCGAGGAAATGTTTGCACTTGTTACTATAGGCACAGGTATTTCAGCATTTGTGTGTTGGTTCATATGGCCCGTAACAGCAACAAGCAAGCTAAGGTATGATGGTAGTTCAGTGGCAGGTCAATTCTCAACTTCTTCGTTTGAGTTCTACTAATTTCGTTGAACACTTATAGGTCAGATATTAATGACACATTAGCAGCTGTCCGCATTTTGCTAAAGTTGTTGACAAAAACGTTTTTGCTAGACAAGGACTTGCCCGATTTCAAAGCCAATGACAACCTACAGAATGCTATCAATTCCCATCGCACTAGTTTCACGTCTTTAAAATCATCACTAAACGATGCAAAAAAAGAATATTACAATTTTGATATATGGACTCACGCTGATGAGTATGACGATATTGTGAACAGTCTACAGAGACTGACATTACATATTGGCGGCTTGAGAAGCAGTTGTGGTTTGCAATTCGATGTGATGAAGAACAGTAACAGTGGAAACTCAGCTATAAAAACAAAAACTTCAACCACAAAATATGGCTCAACGTCAAATGGACAACAGCAGCAAGTAATGAATGATGCGGATACATTTAACATAACTACTGCAAATGAAACTACAGCAAGTAAGAACAAAAACCAGATTTATCATATCGTCAAAGCGACGGATCACAGAAAAAAATTGGAGTATGAATTGAAGAAAGAGCAAACGCTGTCCGCTATGTCAATCGCCTCTCCCACTTATGGTAACATCACACCTTCTCACTATTTCAATGAGCATCAGCAACTACCTCTTCTGGAAAGAATACCTATTAATGGTATACTTAGCAGCACATATGAATTTCCTGAGGAAGGCATAGAAAGCATTGTTGAAGAAGGTCCATTGGTGCAATTCATAAAAACAGTCCGAGGACCCATGAAATCATTGGCTTTTACGTGCAAACAAACCATCGTTCACCTTCAAGCTCGTTTTACACGCCAGAACACCGCTGCAACACCTTCCTTTTCTTTAATGCGGCAAACTTTAGCGATGGCTATGTCGCTTTTCGAAGAATCTCAACAACTAGCTTTGACGCGTATGTATCGGCGAAAAATGATGAGTAAGAGTAAGAATGATGAACAGGACCAGCAAAAAGGCGAACAATCAAATGCTACTTCTACCAATACGATTAACCCAAGAGAAATACAATCTCATTTAATGACACAATTCCCTGCAGAAGACGTCTTTCTAGTGTACTTCTTCGTTTTCAATCTGTTAGAATTCGCGAAAGAGCTAATGTGCCTTGTAGAGTGCGCTCAAAACTTATTCGAAGATGATGAGTTAAATGATAGAGGCTACATTCACAGGATTATTAGGAACTACTTATTCACACCATGTGCGTTTTACGTACTTTTATTTTTCCTTTTCTATATTGTGTCATGGAACACTAATAACTTTTCTCTTGTACAATAGTCTGGATAGTTTGCTGCTGCTTTTATGGTAGACAACCGTTGTCATCCCAGCAACCACGGCAAAGTGAAGGAGATGACGACAAATCTTCAACCTTGCCAACTGGAGTTGGTGTTTCATTATCAACACAGGACTTCCGCAGTATCAATAGAAAAGTTTCGGTGGACTCGTTTATTCCAAACAATAATAATACATTCAATACACTACATACGCCTAAACCAAGAACAAAAATGCGCCAAGTATTATTAAATTTATGGGGGTTTTTCTCATGGTTCAGGCAGCATACGGTGCGCTATGGGCTTAAGTCAGCTTTTGTTGTAGTGTTAATTTCTTCATTAGCCTTTATACCACCTACAAGGGAGTATTTTTCAACTTGGAAAATGGACTGGACACTGATTACTGTAGGTTAATTGCTTAATCAAAAGGAAACTGTTGCTCTCTACGACATTCAGTTGACTCACTTAAGTAACCTATACTATCTTCATAGGTAATGGCTGTTATGACGCCAACAGTTGGTGGTACCAATGAAGTGGCTGTTCTTCGAGTTTTTGCAACTATCCTCGGGTCTCTTATTGCTGTATTAATTTACACATTTTTACCTCATCAAGGACCTCTTTTACTGTTCATGTCTTGGGCTTTTTCTGTACCTTGTTTTTGGCTAATTCAAAACCATAAGCACGGACGGTTTGGACTATTTGCATTACTTGCGTACAATTTGATTGTCCCTTTCATGTACAATCACCGAAGCGAAGAACTTCCTTATGATGTACAGACGTTGGCATTTATGCGATGCGCAACTGTTTCAGCCGGTGTCATTATAGGTACAATATCACATTAGCGTACATTCCAAAATACTGCAAAAAACTCTAATACTAACACATTTCTTGAATACGTCAACAGGGTTAATTGTTACAGCTTATATTTGGCCCTTTGAAGCTAGAAAGGAACTGAGAAAAGGCCTTTCTGATTTCCTCATTCGATTATCTTGGCTATATAAACAACTTGTTTCTGAGTACGCTGAAGACAATTCACATCTTGTGTCGACATCGATCAGCATTCAATCCAAGCGAACAACCAATGAGGTTAAGAATATACAATATTCGGAACTTGTTAGGCAGGCCATTGGGAAAAATGATACAGAGCCACGCTCAGACTCATCGTCCTGTTCTATGCCGACTGAAAGTAAGCGACTTTTCACGTCACGCCAGGAGCTGGAAGTCCTAGCTAGGCACAAAATTGTACGATCTCTTCAGTTTCAACATCTGGAACTATCCTTACAAGTGAGTCTCGTTGAACTGCAAGGTCTCTTAGCCTATGCGCCTAATGAGCCACGCTTAAAAGGTCCTTTTCCTGTAAAAACTTACCAAGCCATGCTGACTTCCTGTCAAAATATTCTCGACAAACTTTTATCAATTCGTATTGTGGTTTTGAAAGATGTATGGGCGACGCAAGTAAGGCACGATTTAATGGCACCTGTGCGAAGGGAATTGATGGAAATGGCAGGTTGTGTGCTGCTTTACTTCTATTTGCTGGCCTCAGCATTGCAATTAAAGACGCCCCTACCACCTTATTTGCCACCAGCGGAAAAGGCAAGGGAGTCATTAATGATGAAGTTGCAACAATTGCCGAAAATTACGGCAGATGTGAACAAAGTAAGTTGCAGTGATAGTAACTGCACAAATAATGTTCGAAGCAGCAATGGGAGTGATGATTGCTATATGGTTTATTACGCTTATGTTATTATGATGGAGAGTATCATTATAGAATTAGATGAGGTAAGTGGTGAAAGATGATTTATTGAGGTTTCTAAAGTTTGAAGTAGTTAGCTAACAAGCTCCTTTGTCTTTCTATATAGTTGGGAAAAAGGATGAAAGAGCTTTTTGGAACGTTGATACCCGATGAACAATGGGCCAAATATTTTGGTACGGCAGATGTATGACCAGTTAGCAAATTAATGACACTATATGTATTCATTGTTTCGCTATTGTAAATAATTGTAAAATTGTAGAAGTTACCTGAACATAGATTAAACTGGTGCAATACTAAACACTCTTCAACGATTTTTAAAGGACATCAATGTTATACAATTTTGGTTCAATGTTTAAGCCATTTTCATGTATTGTTGAAAAAATAATTTTGTATCAGCAAGGCTTAGCCGATGCTCTTACAGCTACATACAAACTTACACTTTCCACAAGTAGGAGAATATAGTGATTCAACAACCAGAGTTTAGTAGGTCATGGTACTACTACTCGTTCTGAAAATGAAGCATAATTGGAAAGGCTCAATCAATCTTTATTAATATAAAAGCTGTTTACGCAATTAAGAACACTACGCACTAATATCTCTTCCCAGCGAACATCTATAATCCTCTCACAATATCTAAGCTACGTACCGGTGGTATTGGATTATAGATGCAACTGCATGTGCGCTCTGGATCTGCCAGGATAACATATTCCAAATCCATCGACTCTGAGTAATATACTGAAGTTTTACGGTAAGAGAAGGAAGATTTGGGAAAGCGTTCTTGGTTTAAGACTGATTCAAAGCCTGTACCGTCTTTCCACTCACAATTTCGAAAAAAAAATTATCGTCTGTTGTTTTCACCAGAGATTCAGTATGGCAATAAGCGGCTGCCAAAAAGAAATTACCCAGGAAGTGCTAGGCCGGCTAATGTAGCGTAAAAGTTGTGGTCCATCGCAGGCTATGATCTAGGTCTAAGAAGAGTAGCCACGAAGCCTACAGTAAAGTAAAGCCTAGAAAAGATCTAATGACCAAAGAAATCCTAAGAGCATTTTCGTATTCTATTTTTTGATTCAAAGACCAATAGCAGCAGTAACAACAGACTTTCTCTCAGGATCCAGAGTGATAGGCAAGTATGTATACTTTAACTTCATTCACAGAGAAAACATCAAGAGAGAGATCAAATTTCTGGAAGGAGACACCATGGCCAGAGTGTTGTCTTCTATAGAAAAGAAAGCCAACCGAAAACCCATCCGTTCTGACAATGTTACCGAAGAGCTCCTTGTTATCACTTTTCGGTGTTAGCACGAGATACTACGTGTGCCCAAAACTTTATACATTACACTCGTCTGTGTACCGTATCAATCGTATGCTTACCTTCTGTACTGTAGTTAACCAAAATCAAAGACTTGAAAAAAGAGATCTTAAACTCGGTATTTCCGAGGTAGTGAGCGCTTCACGAAATAAGACAGCGCGTTCACACTCAAGGTAATGAACCTCCATCGAACCGAAACCTTTGGCAGTATGGATAACAGTTTTGGGAGAGGAACGTCTTCTTACATCAAATCACTTATAATCATCGTGTTTCCGCTCAAATTTGCGTCCAAGGATACTAAAAAGGGTACGAAAAACCCACGATTAGCAGATGATGCCTCTAGGTTCACTCTTCTCTTCAGTTTCTACTTCCAAGGTTCAAGAAGTTTTGAATCTTTTCTTTCCAAAGTTGATAATTCTTTTCGTAAACTAGTGTTTTTATTATGATTGACGGTATGTATAATAAGATGCAAGATGAAAGTGAAAGAGATAACATTTGATTATGCGAACAATCTATTTTAACAATGCTATCTTTAAAAGTCACTCACTAACGCACCACACACCCCGCTATAGTAAATGATATATTATGCTTTCCTGCTCTCTATCAATAGTTTGATGCCAATTACTTTGATGCTGGCTTATTTGGGAAACTTTGTCCAAAAAAAGCACTGATAAATACTTGGTTGATGTTGAAGACATCGTTGCATTAAATAAACAGTCGACAAGCTTTTTCTAGCTCGCTAGTACAAAGCAAAGTCAACAAAATCCTCCTCATTGTTGCCAATAAAAAAACATTTTCAGCTTAGGTTGTGTTTAACCCGTAATACTGCTTGGATGTTACTGAAAGCAATTGATTGTCCAATTCGCCGTCCCAAAGATACTATGCCACTTCATCCTAAAAACAATGGCAGTTCGGTTAGTTTAAATTGTCCAAGATGTAAATCGTCTAAAACGAAAGTTCCACTATTGGCAACGTTACAGAACGCTTAGTTATATGATGCCTTTGAAAGTGATGCACCGTTATTACGAATTATCTTAATATATATACGCTCTTCATCTAAACAGCGTTCAGTTGATTCGCTTCCAAATACTGTATTTAATAGGTCCATTGATTTAATAAATACAAAAGTCTTTTAGCGGGTATATTTAAGTGCCGTATAATCATAGATCCAATTCAAAGTGATACGAAAACGTCTGTTAGAAGGAAAGGTATACAGTTACTCAAATTCTAACTCTGAGATTCTAAACTGTATGTATATTTCATACTAATGAACACCAATACTACCGGCCATTAACAACAAAGCTATTTTATCTATGGGTAAATGATTCTACATACGACGGAAAGCAAGGATAGGATTGGCAACGTATTCTGTTCATCCTAGTCTAGAACATACAAGGTGATTCTAAATTAATGTCACTTTTATTAGTAGTAAATAGTACTAGTGGTGTTGAATGCACAAAGCGATATCTTATAAATAATTAACAAGCCAATAAAACATGAGAGTTTCAAAATGTTCATTAACACTTGCATGCCGTATACCATGTTTTTCTGTGGGATATACTTGTAAGTAATGAGGTTTCTTATGCTTTACTAACTGAGAAACTAATAGTTCTGTATTTGTAAAATGAACGTTTTCATCAATTAACCCATGAGCCAGAAGCAACCTGTGCTCCCTTTTTTTTTTTAAAGAAAAAGAAAAAAATATTTTAAAGTAGCAGACGTTAGCCACTCATTGTACTGTGCAAGATATCATACATTCTATGTTGTTTCTACTTACTGTGATGGAAATCGCTCTATATAAGTCAAAACATTACTTTCTTGATATGCTTCCTTATTCTCGGACGGTAAACCCATATATCTCTCTGTATAAGCAGCGTCATACAATTCCCATTGCGTGACAGGAGCCCCCACCACTGCAATTTTGAACCGATCGGGATATTGTGCCAAGGCTATCAGACTGAGGTATCCTCCATACGACCAGCCAGTAATCGCTACCCGATTTAAATCAATCACTGGTTTTTTTTCTCTCTTCGCCGTCTTTTGTTCATCTTCCAACGTTGGACTTATTGACGAGGATGGCGGTGGCATCGAAGCACCGAACATTGTATCATGCAAAAACTGTAGACCTTCGAGTTGATCTTTCAGTTCCACTTTGCCTAGTCGGTTTTTTATATGTGATTCAAACTTCATACCGCGGTCACTCGAGCCTCGGCCGTCAATAATGACGACAGCAAACCCAAAGTAAACACCCATAAGGTATCGCATTATTCTTGGAAAACGGAACTCATTCACGACGAGTTGTGTTTGAGGCCCACCGTAAATATGAAGTAGTGTGGGATAGCTATGACCTGGTTTGTAACAGAAGGGTTTGTAGAGGCATCCATATAAGAGCTCGCCATCTGATGTGGTGAATTGAAATATTTCTCCATTGAGTTGTTGAGTGCGTTGTTGATCCACGTCTAGTTTTTGCTCTAAACCGTCCCCCTGGCGACAATATCGATAGATAGATGATGCCATAGTACAAAATGCATCTTCTGCCTCCAATGGATCGGGCCCGTGAACTGTATGAAACCGTATTGAAGAAGAACGACGTCGATGGTGGTAGCGATATGCGTGATTGCTTTGGCAGTACTCATGTGCATCATACGACGGAGGAGATGGCGGTGGCGTTTCGTTACAACAGCAGCAATGTTTTTTTAGCACAACAGGCATAATCAAAGCGGAGCAACCTATCCGCACTGGTGTTGTAGTGGGTTCGTCGTGCTTTATTTTCTGAACAGTGACAACTTGCGGATCATGTAGAGTGGAAAAACAATCGACAAAGTAGTCTGGTGAAATCATGGTGACTTGATGACTGAATCCTAACCGTGTTAATAAAACGGGCTCTACTTCTCTATGATGGTTACTGTCGTAAGGAATCACGTAAAAATGCGTTTCTAAAGGGGTATGTTTCTTTGCTGAAAAATAGACTAAAGATCGTTCTTCATCAACAAACAATGGTTTATCGACACAACACCATTCACCGGTTGTAAGTTGCTTTATCTTGGGTATAGCATCATCTCGTCTTTTTTCCACTAGGAACAAATGGCGATATCCGTTCATTTTTTCTGAACTCCAAATGAATCGAGTAGAGTTGTTATTACTGCTTTGTTGCATAAAATAGAATGCATCACTGATATTGATCCAGGTCGAACTTGTTTCTTCCCAAAGAATCTCTGCTTCAGTAGGATTCACTGTGAAAGCTGCTTCTGAAAATTGCGAAAGAGCTACTTTGATGACGACTGTTTTTTTCTGATCTCTCGATAATAACTGTAACCATATGCTTTGCCCGTCTGCAAACCACCCGAGTCTCACTATGTATTCGACCCACGGGAATTGTTTTTCCAACGCGTCTGATAGACTTTTATGTACAATATTCTTTATTACGATTCCAGTCGGATGGCAGTCCGTGGCTGCCTCTACCTCAAATTCCACGATGTTCACGACACTTTTGGCATTAGGCTGACCTGCTCTTGGGTAGCGCACAGAAGACGATCCTTTCTGGGTTTTGTTCATACTCGATGCTCTTGAAATATACACCTCGTCAACATCCTTTTCACTTGTTTCTAAATATAAAATTCTTTCCGTATTTAGTCGGTCTGATGTGTTTGGAGACCAGAAATAGCCGGTAAATCTATGAAATTCTTCCTTATTAAGAATGATGATTAGCTTACACGTGACCTGAATGCTTCATAAGAGTAAGGTTTGCTATTACATACTTGCATCATGTATTCTGCTATACCACACTTTAATGTGGGGTCTTGTTCTTTTTTTTCGGAACAGAAAGTAAGCTGGACATCGTGGCCGTTTATATCTGTTACCCAAATATCTTGCTGTCGTATAAATGATACAAGTGGATGGTGGTATCCTCCAAGTTTTGGTTCATTTCTAGTATTAAACAATTCTGATGTATTTTGAACAGTCGATGTTTGGGTCGTAGACGTTGTAGTGAGATGAAACGGTGAGCGTAGTGCATGTTCAGTCGTAATGATATTTGTTGATAAATGAACATGATGAGTAGGTACTTCATGATTAGGTATCAATTTGGGTATCTAAAAAGAGCAATTTCAATTGTCTTGCAAAGAAGCATCTATTGCAATACTCGCATCATCAAACCATCCTACCTTGCCTAGTTCACCTAGATAGACGTTGTTTTGGAAAGTGTACAAAATATTCTTGTTGTGTATTTGAAACGTAGACACGCCTTGTAAATTGAGCTCTTGTTGTTGTTGTTGCTGCTCAGTGCTATTGGAAGTAGTAGGAAATATTGGTGGCTGTGACATAGTTTCGCCGGCAAATGCAAGTTTTTTCTTTAATAAAGGAATAGTTTTGCTTATGGTAATTAGGTAATCTTCACTGCTTTGCTTATTATCGTCGTCATTGGTTGATAAGTCAATATTGTTTTGACAGTCGTTTACTAGCAATTATAATGATGCAGAAAGGAAGAAGCCTGGTTACTTTTAAAGCTCAATAAAGTAACAGTTTTAGACTAAATAATTGCAGAAGCATTGTTACATTGCTCGAGATCAACTTGGTAAACTTGCAAATGTCGGGTTGGGCATACGTCTGAAGCATCGTCATTGTCGAATCGAGTATTTGAGAGGAAATAAAGTACATTATTATGGATGGTGAAATCCTTTATGATGGAAAGGACTTGCAATGGATACATGGACTGCAATTCAGCTCTGATCTGTCGGACCTGATTCCTAACATAGTCCCAAGAATGGCTCATACTATAGATAAATCAAGATGGGAAGAGAGTAGTCGAGGTTAGTAACAGCAAAATGCCCATTTTGTGTCAATTTCATGCAAAATACGGAAGTGGAAGGAACTGGGAACCAATAGACTTCATTTCCCAAGAACTGTGCTTTTCTTGCATAACAGTGCTTGAACAATTCGTTGAACCTTAATGCCCAGCAAACGGCAATGGCTTTAGTCATTCACACCGAAATTTTAGGGTTTTCTATCATACAAGAACAGCGCTTTTTTTTTGTGTGTATTTTTCCTCTTCTATCTTTGCAATGTGTAGGTAGCGGAAATTCTATCACTTTTATTCATACAAAGTACAGCTGCCATTGGTGGGCAAGGGACATAAAATCAGTGCAATAGATTGGGTGTAAGAGTACGGTGCTCGTCAACATGAGACACATGGTTTTAGGTACATGGGTTGGTAGTCTACAATGAGCTTGCTTGCCTGATAGGAATTTCTATGGGCTACTCATGTACTGTAAATTGTACAGCTTCCAAAAATTACGAGTAACACATCTGTCAAAATCATTTTGCTATTGTATCCATATATTACAGTTTCTGATGCTCAATGTAGCATCGCAGATAGAGAGATTTCGAAGGAGATGATATAATGGACTGAGGAAGAAGAAGAAAAAAAAAAAAAAAAAAGAAGAAGCGTATACCACATTTCGAGTAAGTCAAGAATAGGGTATTGGACACTTGGATAGTAGGCCTCTTTTAGCTACCACATGAGTACGTCCTTTTGACGTGCATATTTCTGCTAATTATCGGATCTGCATTTGCAAATGTTTGCAGCAATGCAATGGTTTCCGTCAAGTCTCTTTCTTTTGTTGTTGTGCATCATCTTCTTTCTGTCTCTTTTACCGAGGACTTACAGTTCTACATGCAATTCATGTTTAACAAGAACTGTTTCGTCATTTTGCCGCTCTTTTTCTTTCAGTTACAGCCGCTGTGATCCTTAAAAATATCATCACCATATGATTCTCTGTATATATATTCCTGTTATTGTTTTCAGAGAGTGCGTTATACAAATGACTGCATTCTTGTTCTCCGGTTCTTCATGATATGAGTCTAATGGCAAGTTTGTACTTTAAAAATTATTGTACTTTATTCGGTTAATACTATCTCCACTATTGTAATAGTGATGATAAAAGGGGGTAGAAGGCGTTCTGACAATTTATGATGTGTGATAAATTGTAACAATGGTGACGCTTCGTCTTTATTATGTGAATATATTGTTTGTTCATACTATCAACGTTAAAGTACATGATAGAAACCTTGCTCAAGTGCTGTTGCAGTGGCGTTAGATAATCCTTTACAACCAATGGGGACTGTTCATGGTGATAAAGGCTATTTGAGTAACCTTCATCTTTAATAATAGATAGAGATCCACCCTATAAGAATCTGTCGCAGTTTCAGGAGAAAAAAAGTACAATTGCTCCTGTTCACAAAAGAGAGCATACGGATTTTATTTGAACTCTACTATAACCCATTTCTTTTTGTAGCATTTTCTGATCTCTTGCATAAAAGACAGATACCCTAAGTCAGTAACATGCACTTTTATGCAACGGCATGAGAAAACTAAAAAAAGAAAAAATAATAACCTGATGTTTTTTAATCCTATTTGGTTCCTGAGTGAGCTCATTTGTGTTACTTTCTAAAATTAAAAAAAAGTAGTGCAAATCAAAGGGAAAAAAAAGGTACATTGGGTGGTGAAGCTCATTAGACTTACATGTTATTTATAATAACCAGCATCTGCCAGTCATCGGTATAACGGATTGATATCAAAACGACTCTTTATCCGAACATAAGCAAGATATGATACGTTTAATTAATGCTCGCAGTTTACAATAGGCTGCTTTAACCTACACAGAAACACAATGTATCATACACTTGATTTTTTTTTTTTTTATATGTACATACATATACACGAGTTGGGCTATCACAGCTTCTTTGCATGACGTACAAAAATCCAGGTTATGTTTATTTTAGGAAAACCTTTTTCCTTCTTTTTCTTTTTATTCTCTTTACTCTTTCTTTTTTTTTTTTTGTTTTTTTTTTATTCATTAATTTCTATTATATTGAATTATATCTTTTTCCAGGAGTTAGTCCAGAGAAAAAAAAAAAAGAAATTGGCCATCCTTTTTTATTTGCAGCTCATATCAACATTATCAGTTTTGAAAGTAATTTTATATGGCAGACTTTATCTGTTTAGCTATGGCCACTCAGTATACCGATAATATTACTACAGCAAATACAGCCGTAGAGCAACAACCAAATTCATTAAGAAGATCGTTAAACACATCTACATTATTTGGTAGAAGGAGGTCTAACGCAGCAATGACAAATACCAGTGCTGAAGATAGTTCTATTGCAGCCTTAGAGCAGCAGCAATCAACCGTAGCAGAAGTATCTGTAACTGCGCATATTCGAATTGTACCTAGTATCGAGAACCCTAGTCGAAGTCTAGTATTTAATATTATCGAAAGAGATCTCGAAGCTGGACGGATCATCAAAATTGGTCGATTTACAGATAGATCTTCTATTCAAAATCATATATCATTCAAGAGCAAAGTCGTATCGAGATCTCATTGTGAGATATGGTTGAATCAAGATGGAAAGGTATGTAAAAGAAAAAAAAAAATGAGGGCTTCTTGTTCTCTTTTCTTTTTTGTTTAAAGGGGAAAGTGTTACGAAAGTGAAAGTGTACATGTGAGCAGGTAGAGAAGAAAAAGAAAAAGTTAGAGTTTGCCAAAATTACTCTCACACACTTACATATACACAAAACACCTATAAAGGACAGAGACAAAGACAAGGGATAAGAGTGCCAATCATACTTCAAACTGTAACCTAATAGACTCTCTTTCTTATTCTTGTAGATTATGCTTAGAGATACAAAGTCTTCTTCAGGTACCTTTTTGAATCATGTCAGATTAAGTCCGGCCAATACAGAAAGTAGGTCTGTAGAAGTGAAAGATGGCGACTTGGTCCAGTTAGGCATAGATTACCAGGGTGGTTATGAAGAAATATACAGATCTGTTAAAATGCGATTTGAAATAAATCGACCCTCTCATCATAATCGGCCTGTATCCTATACAATGTCAGCATTTAATAATTTACGAAATTTGACTAGTTTATCATTAACGTCACCAACATCGGCAGCAGCAGCAGCAGCAGCAACAACAACAACAACAACAACAACAACAACAACAACAACAACAGCCACAGCAGCGGCAACAACAGCAACAGCAACAGCAGCACGGAATCAGCTGACAGCCAACAACACATTAACACCTTCCATTAGCAGTAATCAAATAGTAGAAATAGAGGAATGTGTCATTTGTTTATATGCTTTGGCTCCTTTCCAGGCACTCTTTGTGGCGCCCTGCTCTCATTCTTTCCATTTCAAATGTATACGACCTCTTTTTGACAGTTATCCAGGGTTTCAATGCCCTACTTGCCGTACTTACTCGGATTTAGATGCCAGCGTAGCTATAGAGGCCGAAGAAGTCATTGCAAAATACGGACTGGGAAAATCTCAAAGTCAGAATGCAGACCTTCAACCACAACCAAGTCAACAACAGCAAATTTCTAGTAATGTGGATGAAGATATAGAAATGGAAGATTGCTGTCCTCTTTCACCTACTTCATCCGCGTCATCTTCATCTGCATTATCATCATCATCCTCTTCCTCACCAGCACCTATAGCCAATTCTGATACTATTAGCAACCAAGTACAACATACAACCCCAACATCAATAACAAATAAGCAGCGATCAACAACAAGCACTGACAACTTGGCGTCTACTTTAGTCGCTTGCTGTAGTACGAGCCTATCCACTTTAATGGCTGCTTCTACCCGTATTACCCCTACCACCACTAGTACCACCACTAACGCAAATGTTAACGCAGAAACAACAGTGCAAAATGAAGACGAGGGTAATTATCGATAAGAAAAAAAAAAAAGAAAAAAAAAGAAAAGAGAGAGAGCACAGATAACCCAATAAATTATGAGATTCCTTATGTAAAAATTATTACATTCGAAAAGTTTATACATTCAACTCTTCTATGAACTTTTTTTCTTTTCTATTATTATGGGTTTATATGTTGGGTACTTGTTCCTTGCCTAATTTGGTTAAATATATATCATATAGTGATAGAGTCACGGGATAATAATAGATTAACAATAAATGCAGCAACATCAGCAACAGCGACTGTTGATCATCGGGCCACTGTAATAGTTCTTGAAGACGAAGAAGAACACGAGTCATCAGTTAGTAATGAAGGCGGTAATGTGATGTTAATGACTCCCAGCACCCAGCAGCAGCAAGTACAACAACCAAGCAATGATAGTTTAGGTACACATTCCTATTTTTTCACAGCAGCAGCAACCACTACTGCTACGACAACAGCAGCCATTGTTACGAATCCGGAAGAAGAAATCACTCAAAATCGACGTAATAGTATTACAGCTCATTTCATGGAAAAATTAAAAATGGCTTTTCTAGTCAACCATAGTAGCAACGATAATAACGAGAAAAGAAATACTGCAACTATCAATAGTGCCAGTAATAACAGTAGCGGTGGGAAAAGGCTTCGGCTCACTAGAAAGAAGAGCAACAATCCAAACGACCCTCGTAATGGCAATGGTACTACTATTACAACTACTACGAGTGGATGCACCAGTCGTGGCAGTAGTAACATAGAGAGCTCCTTCCGAGAAAATCGCAAAGTAGTGACATCAAGGTCACCAGCCTATGCAGGTCATGTGAGCGTCGTAGAAGAAAGACCTTTGTATTTTGATTTGTGGTCCTGTACTTCCGCCGCTTCCTCGTCATCTTCGGCAAGCTCTCCACTTTCCACAACTGGTACTAGTCCTCCAAGATCGTCAAGCGCTGTTTTACAACCTATTGGCAGTAGCCTGTCACGCCAAACTACTTCTTATTTTCCATTGAATGGCATTTTAGAGGAAGGACTTTCCTATCCTTCCTCCTTTAACAATGCATAATTTATTCCATGTTGCATATCTTTATGTTTATATATCTTCTAATATCTATTCTACATTTTATAGCCTATCATCAGTAACATCCAATATCATTTTACTACCATCAGTTGGTATTTACCAGCATTACCACTTATCCATTTATCACTTATAATAAAATTTGCATGTAATATAACTCTCATTACATATAGATATATGATATGGGGTAATTGGAAAAAAAACAAAAACAATAAGCTATCTCCAAGCTTTCATATAGACATCAGAAAAGATAAGCGACTCCAGCCGCTGTCAATGATGAATGTCACGTTTACTACTCATCACATACAATGTAAATTAAATTAGAATACGAGAAAGAACACACTTGTTGAAGAAGGTGGTTGCTGTTCCTTAACAGCAATGCCGAAGGCTGCTTGATAGATTGTGTACTCATGTGAATAAGTTATATGCCTTTTCATCACAAAGGAGATTTACGCCCAAAGCATACTAATTATTGGGCTGTCATTTCATTTCGGTCTTGTATTCCCCTCGGCCCACAAAAATAGGAAAGCCTAAAGTTTGATTCGTCAAATTCTAATTTGGCAGATCAGCGAAAATGACAAAAGAGTGATGTGGAGAAAATCGACCAGCCAATTTTATGCCGCGCGCGCGTTTCCACATGTATAAAATCTGTTTTTTCTTCAATCTGTCAGCTTTCTTTTTTTCTCTGCTCCCCTCTTCCATCTCCAACTCGCCTGATTTACTGAAACACTTTCTTTTCCCATCATCACACCAAAAGTATAAAAAATTTTGCGATAAATATGGATACTATTAATTCAGTTTTAAACGACCAAAATAGCGGCCTACTGCTCGAAAGTAGTTTGTACAGATTCCTCGAAAAACTAGACGCTATTCATGATCTCTTTGCCGAAAGATCTGTTGACACTGAAAAACAGCGCTTTATCAAAGAGCTACAGCGTGAAGGCTATCGATCTCATACCGATTATGAATCTTACCTAAAAAAACTCATTGAACATTGTGAGCAACGAAAATACGCCCTTCTCAATGAAAGCAAGACCTTCAATCACCGAAAGGCTGCTCTACCTAGCGTCATGCTCGCCAAGCACACTGTCGTGAATGAAGTACAACGCTGTCAGAGCAGTTCTCTCGTGCCTAAGGAAGGAGAATATAAGTACAAGACCTTGATTAAGCTGATTGGGGCATTGACATTGACGGCTTTTGCCGCTCAGTTTACGCGCTGGTGGTGTTGGCTGCCTCTCCTCTTGGTTACTGTCGTGGTAGGCGGATTTTCATTCAAAAAAGCAGATAATAGCGCTTACGAGCACAAATTGGAATTGTTAACCCTGTTGGAACGATTGGATGCCGAGTTGACTGACTTGGTGGATTTATCACACGAATTTGATCATGCTATAGAGAAGCAAACAGATAATGTCGTTAGTAAACGAGCTACAGAGAGGGACAGAAATGAGTTGTTGGATGTATATGATAAGTTGATAAAGAAAGCGATTGAACACATCACAGCAATGAGCAACGCTGCATGAGTCAATAGATATTTTGTAGTATTTTGACTACCACTCTTCTCTCTGTAAATTTACATATAATTATCAATCTCCTACTCCTGGCAAAAGGGATTTCATTTATAATGTGGAATAAAGAGAACAATGTGTAGTATAGTCAACCGCATTAATAATCAGAAAAGTGAGAAAATACATGTATTTTCATCTTCAGAAGGATAACTTATTCAAAGACCTCGAGCTGGTTCAGCCAACAGCTTTCATGGCTTCAATTCAAGTTGTAGAGGATCACCGGTAAGTACTACGTAGAACTTTCGGTACTTGAAGCTTTTCTTTCCTTTTTCCTTTTTCCTTTTTCCTTTAATTTTTGAATAAGCTTCCATAAATATCTTCAAACACTAAATTATTGCTCCAAGACAAAATTGTTCTTGTAAAACTGACGCTTGAACGGTTGATATCTGTTCTGAAAAGTGTAGCTATATAAGGTTGATTGCAGAGCGTTTACACATTATTGTAGAAACCAAGTAAAGCAGCACAATATAGTTTCAGGACGTGGTGGTTCAACAGAAACTCTGTAGAGAAAATTTTCCAACTACTATTGCTTTGTAGTATCTATGGGTTTTTAATATAATTAAAGACTAGCTTCAGAGCACTTAAACGTTCGTAGACCTCCCATTAATCGAAGAATTGTTTAAAAAAAAAAAAAACAATAACACGTAATGTGTGATGGTATGTAATGTACATTCAATAAAATTAGTTTCTTTCTACGTCAGCAGTAGATATATCTTTCATAGCTATTCTTTTTACTCGCGTTTTAACTCAAGATTGGGTTTGTAACGGTCAACATGCAAAAATTTTAGTCGAATGATCGATTTTAGATGTATAAAAGACTTTGCTCCCTAACCTTCAATCTTCAAAGATATTTCGCTTATCCAATGAGGTTTCTCAAAGACTTATTGATATACATGTAATCTCACTTCAACTTTCTGTGAATAGTTTACATTTTCCCAGTCCAAAATTAGTTGGCGATCAACCCAAATAAATTACTCGACGGCTCTTCAACAAAATTGAAAAAAAAAAACCAACAGAAGAAATAAAGCGTAAGGGTAGTTCATATCAGGAATGATCAGCGAAGCATTTCTAATTCATCAAAAAGAGAGGATGCAGAAGGATTCGAATAATTAAGTTATTTTGTAAATAGTGAAAACTGGTATGCCGATGAAAAATAAGTTAGGTTAATGTACAAATGATTTGACGCGTCTATGATGATTCGTTGTTTGATTTGAAGCATTGTGGTGAGTGCTTTTACCATTCGATATATAGCCCAAAAAGGGATTTTTTACACCAATAGTAGTTGTTGCTGCAGTAGTATTATTGTTCATGCTATGATTGTATTCAAGGCTGTTAAAGTCAGCGATATTTGTTGTATTATACGGTGCTATCGTTTTTGAAGCAGTGACGATAGGAGAAATACCCACGGACCCTAGATTATTAGCAGTTGAAGTAGTGGCAGATGATAAGTGTTCTAACTCAAAAATATCGATGCCTTGTGAATTATTGTTATTCGTATTGTCTATCGTCGTTTCGCAATCGTTAACGGCAGAAATATCATGATGCTGGTTGTAAGGTATAATTTGCGAATTTCTTATGGTGGGTATATTAATGTTGTTACTAAGCAACGAGTTTGGCCGGCTGTCTTTATCCTTGTCAGCACTGGCTACTGCCCCTGTACTCAACAGCAAAACTCTCCTTCTGTTGTATCTTCTTCGACAAAACCAGAAGATCCAGCCAACAATGATCAATACAGCAATACTGCCAAAGATATAGATTGGAATGGCCAACGATTTGTTCTGCTCTGTCCACGCTTTCAATGTATTTAAAGCGCCTGTGCTGACACAGGCTCCTTTTTGACAATATCCTGCTAAACCACATTCAGTGCCATCCAAGAACATACCACTAAGCATTAGGCAATTTTTTGGATCTTTAGGATCGGTACAGCTAATCAAACACGAGTCTTTTTGGAAAGAGCATTGTTCACTGATATTTTGACGAAGTCCTCTTGTCATACATTGCAGATCCCGTGAAGTACATACTCCCGACGCACATTTCATTGTTCCATTAGCACACAAAGTTCCATCCGTATCATACAAATCAGCTGGACATTGACTTGACTCACCCGTACAATATTCAGTTGAGTCACATTCCGACACTGCTGGTCGGCACACGGTTCCTTTAGGAGCAATGGCACAGTTTAGGCAGCACTGATTACTGTAATCATCACACAAGGCGCCAGGTTTCAATTTACATGTTTTGGCAAAACAACAAGCGCTATCTGTCAGACCGGAATCACACTCCTCCCCAGGTTCCAAAATCCCATTTCCGCATAATGAAAAACTATGATGATGGTTGTTGCTGTTGACATCAATCTTACGTACATCTGGTGAATTCAAACAATAGCCAATGCTAGGAAACGCATTACATATATCCGAGATCGAACAAGGGCTAAATTCATTAGTAGTAACGTTACTGGTAGGATTCATCAAATAAGTTTCCCCTGCACTGCAAACGGCATCACTTAGTGGACAACATCCACATTCCCCTTGACAAGGACACATGTGCGCCGTGCAATCATGGATGGCTCCGAAACCGTGACCTATTTCATGAGCGACCACCTTCCATTCATCTCGTGTAATGGAGGATACGCCTGTGCCTGATACCCATTCTGTTGATCCGTCTTCTTCGATCTGTTGAGATACTTGAGTTTCGCACAATTGACTTAACCAAGCAATGCCGACTTTGACACCGGTTGAGCAACGTGTCATCAGATGCCATAAAGCAGCACCGTCTTCTCCTCGTTTACCACGCCACAAACTAAAATCACTCAAACGTTCATTGATGGTGTAATAATTGGAACAAGCTTGATTCCAATTCATGTCCGATCGGGGTTTAGATGGGCATTCAGGAACAGAGAGCTGCAAATAGATGAGTCCGAGAGAGACGTTGAAGGTCTTTTCGAAAACAGCTGAAGCAACGTTCCAATCATTTATCATTTGTAGTTTCGCATAACGAGTGCTTCCATAAAAAAGGACGTACGAACAGTCTGCAGCAGCGCCAATGTAAGCTATTTTACGAGCGGTTGGACATCCATTGGTGAAGGTAGTGGTGGAAAATGTCGGCGAAGAGCCGCTTCCTGGAGTAGTCGACATGGAAAGAAAATCTCTTTTCTCCCACAAATTAGAAAATTCCGTAACGCTACTATTTCCGGAAGAGGGTGTGTTTGGGTTCATTGGATATGTGCCTGTCATTCTTCGGTTATAGGCTAATTCTTCCATGGCGCACATTACTAAATCGTTCACTGCATCATTACTGTCATTTGCTTTGATTGTATCGTTCGATTGAATACCTGTAGTTGTGTCTTTTTTATCTGTTACGCTTTCTCGTTTTCTAAATAATGAGTCACTAGTATATTCATGAACAAGGTCTGAATCACGATAAATAACCATATGCATTGTTTGACTGCCATAAGTATGCTGGTCAGTCTCAGGATCATCTATTCTTTTGGCGAGCTTATAAGTAGACGAAGTCTTTATATGATAAATGTCTGAATCCAACTGAAAAGCGCCTTCAAATAGTAACGGTTGATTGTCTATATTGCCCTGCGGCATTGATGCTGGTGACAGGAATTCTTCAACATCTTTTTCTATCAGATCGTGCCGAAAGGTAATTCTCGCCCAGTTATTCTGTTGGTTATTTACATAGCCTTTGAAGATGGGGTATTTTTCATAATGTGTGGGTATAGTTGTATCCAAGTGCTCTTCGTACTGTATTGATCCATCCGAGTTAAATATCTCTAATCGAGCATTCGGATGAAATAGTTCATTGTTAGGTGATAAGCTTAATGTTATAGGTTGCTCAAATACCATAAATTCTATTTTACAGTTTTGCTGACAGTGATAAAATTGCTGATTTGAGTTGAAAGTAAAGTGTCTTCTGTCGAGTGGTTGGCTGGATGTGCTGGTTATTCTCGGGTTCTGAATGATATCAACTTTGGATAACCGAGGTGAAGGCCTTGACAAGCCTAAAATAAAAATGCTTGGTTAGAAAGAGTTTGCTGCAGAAATGAATCAGACAAGGAATAACCTAGTCGGACTATATGACTATGCTACTACCTTTCACTTGATCAGCAAGATGAAAGAGGATGACAAACATCCATATTTCAATGAGTAACATAAAGTTCTTGGAAACTGTTCTTCAATATGGGTTTAGTTGAGATTTGTTGACGGATTTACAGTTAAGATGGCATAACGAAAAGCATAAGATAAAGAAACAGAAAAGAAAAAGAGCAAAAAGAGAGGTAAAGAATAATATGAAGAACAAAAAAAGGTACTGAGAGGGTATTTCCTTATACCAAGACGGGTCCTGCGAATCATTGATTTTACAGCCAATTGAGAACCCAGAGGAAAATACTTTTTATGAATACCGATAGTACAAAATACGTGGAAAAGGTGTCCTGATTCCTTTTACTTTTGTTCATCGAAGCCAACAAATGTGTTTGTGTCCTTGCGTGCGTGTAAGTGTGTGTGTGCATTTATTCGTTCTATACCATCTGCATTTTATTGACGTACGAAAAGTGTACAGCTAGGGTTTCTATACTTCAATACCATTGATGCTCGATTCTATATATACTGAATGACAACAGCTGCATCGTCCCTCATCAATTAAAGTCTCTTTGACTTATTAAATCGATGCAGCAACTGGACTGAGACTGACCATAATTTATTCTAAGTAAAAAGGGGAAAGCGATTAGATTTGATTATATCAACAGTTCTTCGAAGACTGTTCTTATTCAATTCAACTCGAAAGGAAGATATGTTACATGCTTGCACAATATCAAACAAAATAATACATAAATCACTGTATTATTAAGTAAAAAACGGAATCACATATAACCATTACGAGTAAGAGTAATAAAGAATAGTATAATACATTTATTCTGTCGATTCTTCCTCTATTATCACTTATGATCGACACTTTCAGGTAAACTCTTCGTTTTTTCCCATCCTTGCACCATGCAGTACCCAACTGCTCTGCTAAGCTTTTTACAGAAGATCCATTGCCAGACCAAAACTGTACTTTCTCCAAAGATTATTTGTTTTCTACTAATATTTCAAAATTAGAAGAAAAGAATCTTAAACAAAAATAATTCGAGAATGAGGACTGATGCTAAAAAATTGATTAATCGATTAATGGCGTTCTGAAGCAATCTCACGCGTTATTTACACCAATTTAAACTGCTCTAAACTGACTTCAACTGCTTCAAACTACCTTCAGTCAGAAAGGCCGCCAAATGAGGAAGAAGAAGCCCATTTTGTATTTCATTTTCCGCGTGCCAATTTTAACACAGTATCCTTCAGCACTCTTCTCACTGTATCATTTTATTGATTGTTTATTTGAACACTTTCATACAGGAAAAAAAGAAGTGATTATTTGTTTCATAAAGGGTCAATTCATTTCGTCAAAAGTGACCAGATCGATTTTAAATTCCGACTAATTTTTCGGTAAAGTGGACAGACTGTATCTTTTTGAGGGAAGAAAAGTGAACCGTGAAAGCCAATCAAAAGACTTTCTATCCAACCTCAGCATTTGCTTCTCTGACTGCTGTTGCTGCCTGAGTGGGAGATTTCATAAAAAGCAACAGGTCGCATTTCTCTAAAATCCATTCACTTCCTCTTTTCTCTTTTTCTTAATTTCAGAAGGAAACAAAATTACATCTCTTCGCTTCTCAGAAATCAATACGTACTATATAAACTGCTTCAAGTAGTCACGTCGAACTACCAGTATCGTTTCAAACCAAAGTCTTAACTAAAATAAAAAAAAATGTCTACAACAGCAACGTCAGCCGAAGACGAAAGAAGGAATCTTTATTTTGCCTCTTTATGTGAGCAGCTTTATAACCCAAAGTCACCTGAAGAACGTATTCAGGTGCAAAAGTTACTTGAAAAATCGTTTCCCACCTTCAGTGATACTGCATCTTCTAATCCTGCGCCTATATCAACACCTGATCAACCTAGTTTCGTGATTAATAATCCTACAGATACGGCTAATGCATTGCGTATGTTGTTGGAGAGTTCACCGAACCCATATGTACAATCTTTCTGTTTATCCAGGTTGAAACAATTGGTTCAGGCGCAATTTTCTATATTTGACCAAGAGACAAAAGTTCAATTACGTAAGGATAGTGGCTACTGCTCGTCAGTGCAATCTGGCTAACTTGAACTAAATCAACGTCAATGTTACAATCATCTTTAGGTTCTTTCCTGCTTAATTACGCGTTCATGCATCCTGATTTATTACCTTTCATTATCAGCCAATTGGCTAGTGTGCTGGCTATCATTACTCTAATGGGCTGGGCAGACATCGAGCAATACAGACAAGTTTATGAATACATTCATCAATTCATACAAGTAAGGAATTAAAAATGTACTTCGCAAAAAGCAGACGCAAATCTTAATACATACCATTTTATGATTGATCATAGGCTTCTATAGACCATCGTATTGTTGGCATGCAAATCTTATCCATTATGATCCAAGACATGAACCCACCGAGTTTCGTCCGTAGCACATCAAAATTCAGAAAAGCAGGTAAAATCAGGTTAGCAAACAAATCTATTTTGTATATTTGGCATTCGCAGACATTAATCTCTTTTCTTATGACCATAGCGGGTGAATTCAGAGATACACAATTATTTAAAATATGTGAGACAGCCTTTAAAACACTGGAAGAATTGATCAATCATACAGTTGCATTCACCAATCCAAACCAAGAACAGCGTTTACAAGAAGCGGCACTAAATTTATTGATCAAATGTTTTTCGTACGACTTCAATGGTACGAGCGCTGATGAATCTGGCGAAGATGTTGGCCTTATACATATACCCTCCTCATGGAGATCCTTATTCGAGAATCCAGATTTCTTGAAAACCCTCTACAAAGCATATTCCCAATTTCAGCCTCCAATTTCTTCAAAAGTCATGGAATGTTTAGTACTGGTATCTGCAGTTCGAAAGACATTGTTCAGTGATCAACAGTTGCGCTCTGATTTCATCGTAGGGGTCATGCAAGGCATTCGCGAAATTATCATGACCTCACAAGGATTGAATGATGTGGATAACTATAACGAGTTTTGTCGATTGTTATTCCGTTTTCGAGCTACCGTTCCCATGAACGAAATGGTAGAGAAAACTGGCTTCATTGAATGGATTGAACTGATTGCTGATTTTTCCCTAAGAGCTTTTCAGTCTTGGAAATTTGCTCCTAATACGTCCATGTATGTACTGGGATTTTGGTCAAAAATGATTCAAAGTACATCTTATTACCAACAATTAGGAAATCAAGCGCTTGAAAAATTAGAAGCCATCAGTGTAGAGGTTGGTAATTGCAAAGATGTTATCATCAAGGTTAGAGGTTGATGTTAAATGGTTTTGCAATGTTCTATAGCTTGTCAGGGCATACATTTCTACTTCGATTGAAGCTGTTCCTGTTCGTATTGATGAAGGGTTAGATGATCCCTTAGAAAATGAAGAGCAGTTATTAGAATCAATGAATATGTTGGGTCATATTGCTCATTGTAAATACGAAGGCGCCACCACTACTTTAATGCAAATGTTTGATCCCATTACTGTTCAGTACCAAGAATTGATTACACAGGCAACACAGAATACGGTTACTAACATGGAGGCATTCAAAGAAGCCTTGGAAGTAATTGAGACTAAATTTGCATGGCTCGTATACATTATGGCATCCTTTGTGGGTAATCGAACTGTAAAGTATAGGCTTTTTTTTTTGTTTATGATTTGCTCGTATTTTTTGCTTTTTGTGCTAATTCTGTCAAGTTTGCGCAGGCATATCTTAATTCTGAAGATTTGGATAAATTAGATAGCGAAATTACTACCAAGGTCTTGCAGTTGATGAATGTACAGCAATCTTTACAAAGCCAGCATGGAAATGCATTCATGAATGACAAGTTGGATTTAGCTTTCATTTACTTCTTTTCTCAATTCAAAAAATCGTATATGAGTGAAGCGAATGGAAGAGAGGTAAGAAAGAAGCCTCTAATCATTGAAATCTCCATATGCTTAGTGTTGTATGATTATTTTTTTCTCGTCAGATTTATGCAAAGTTGACCCAGGTGTTTGGAATAAGTGATCAAATATCTATGCTGGATATGATTATGCGTAAAATGTAAGAGTGTTCTCTCATTGTTGATCATTGCCCTGGTGGACCTTACTGACATATTGTTGAATAGTGTATCCAACTTACAATATTGGGCTAATAATGAGCAACTTATTCGTCGAACATTGGAGTTATTCAACGAGCTTGCCTCTGGGTAATGACAGCAAATTATGTAATATAGGTTGGAATCGGATACTTACAGATTTTGCAATTTACCCCGAAAACAATCCTAGCTATGGTGCTTCCAAAAATCTTCGCAAAATTGAAACCACACAACTTATTTTGCAGAATCATATGGATAGCCAATTCGCCTTTTGCCAAACCAACGACGACAAACAAAATGAGAACCGTATTGTATACTTTCAAGTTTTGTGTAAGCTTTTATTTGCTGAAGATAATGTAGATGAGAAGACATTTGTCGAATTTATGAAGCCGTTCGATTTACGTTTCAACGATCTGGGTCCATTGGATAGTGTGGAATCTTTCAGACAAGAATCAACTCGAGTAAGGGCGTTGTAATAGTTCTCTTCTTCTTTTTTTATGAAACTTCCCTACTGACTGATCGATCTCTTTCATTAGCGTAATTTGAGGGATATATTCATTGACATGTACGGGTTCATTTCACCTATACAAGCCAGACGTCACTTTGTGCTTTTCTTTGATTGGTTTTACGACTCTTATTCGTCTGTCTTACTACGCGCCATTGAGGCTTGGTCGCCCGATCCAATTGTCAATCCTTTGCTACTATTTTATGGCGAACTTGTTCATAACAAATCTCAACGTCTCAACTTTGAGATTTCTTCTACTAACGGTATATTGATGTTTAAGGATGCAAGTCAAATTATCTGTTCATTCGGCCAAGGGCTCCTCAAACAGCCTTTAATATCTTACAACGAAAGCCAAAAATATGAATATAAATACAAAGCTATTGCATCCTGTTTTAATATCTTGTCAAGAAGTTTAGGTGGCCGCTACGTTAATTTCGGTGTACTTTGGCTATACCAAGACAAAGCTATTAATGACGCTTTGGAAATGGTTATTCAGTTGATGCTGAATATTCCTTTGGAAGATCTTTTGGTAAATGCCATGGAGAAAAAAACAAAAACATAAATGGAGTTGACGCAATTTAGCATTCTTAGACTAATGTTCATATCTCGTTAATCTATTAAGGCGTATCCAAAGTTAGCTTTATCCTACTTCCAAATGCTAGACGAATTAGCACGCGAACAACTCATGGAATTACCAACCATTTCCCCTGAAGCTTTCGTTTATTTAATGCAAGCTTGTGAACAGGGCATTGAATCCTCAGATACCATTGTTCGCAGTCATGCATGTAGTGCTGTCTTCAGTATATGTAGTTTTGCCATCAAAGAAACCGAAAAAGCCGAAATTCAGCGCGATACCGTTACATCTTCATCCTCACCTACAGCATCTCATAATAACCTATCTACGCGCAGACAACGCAGATCATCTGCATTCTTACAACAGCAACAGCAGCAGCACTCACAACAATCTCACTGGATTGTTAATTATCTACAACAATTCCCTCAAACTTTACCTACCTTATTAGCTTGTATTTTCCATTTAATCTTATTCGAAGACAATAGTGATCAATGGACATTGTCTCGCCCACTTTATGCTCTCATGTTATTGCAGAGAGACTATGCGTTCAAATATACAAATGCGGTCATTGAGCAGCAATTGCCAGAACGAAGAACATTTGTAACGAATGCGCTGAATAATTTGTTGGATGGCGTGGAGTGGACTTTGTCAGCAAAGGATAGGGAACGCTTTACACATAATATATCTGGGTTTAGAAGGGTTCTGAATCTAAACAATGTGGTTTTGACGCCCTTATCCTCACCGCCACCTTTCTAGGATACTTTGGTTCAATGAATTGTATGGAAACTTTAGTAATACGATTAGCAGATCTCTCTTAATAATTCAAATTGACGAATAAAATGAATCATACATTCATCTAGTTTGTGTTGCTTCAATGTACCCAGTGTTTGCACCTTGAGACTCGTTGAGACTGAAAACGCGGTTTAGATATACTTCGTTTAACTACCTACAGATCACAGTAGAATAGACACAGTACATTCTATCTTTTATTCCTGAGTGATTATATTTGAACTAAAAAGGCTTTGGAAAAGAGGTGAAACTGAAGCATCAAGCTGACGTGCTGCAGCAAGAAAGCGCTGTGTTTTGTCTTGACTGACGCGAAGGTCAAATTGAGGAAATGCCACTGCGAAAAGCAAACGTAGCAATGCTCGATCTGCGCTCTTTAACACAAAGCTGCGCATAGTGGCGCTTTTTCTGACCTTGTCAGAGAAGTTACAGTCCCTGAGTGATCGAAAATGATGAAGGATGCTAATATTTGGACAACAAAAAGTTGACGACACATCAAGACGTCATTGGCTACTGACAAGTTCAGGGCCAACAAACAGGCACTTCTAAGACAGGCTGTATAGTTAATTAAAGCTATTGCTTTCTTTGTTGTCAAAACAACGACAATAGATATAGGACCAACAACTTACTTATTAGCACTAGAGGAGCGCAAAAAGTGATTCAATAGCTGCTATTTTAATTGAAAAAAAAAGCTTTAGTTGATGCGTTTGCTGTAATCGATTCTTCTTGCTGCCTGAGTGATTGAGTTCGAAAATGATCGATCTTGAGCTTTCTATTTGTTTTTCCTTGCTTCATGTTGCTTGAGCTGATTCTCAGTATTGCTTGTCAATTGTTATGTTATGAGGCCAACATTTTCTAGCGATCAACTATACAGAGGTAGGATCAGTTTGACGTTAAATTTTTAAATTTTGAAAGCTAAGCTTCAATGCCTGTTTTATAGATCTGTCTGAGCTAGATCAGCTATTATTTGCAAAAAACCAACAAAGTATAAAACAAGAACTTGAAACTTTCGTTGACCATTTCGAAGTAAATTCAACATAAGAGGGATAATTCTGACCGCTCAGGGAAATCGGAAGAAAAGGATACTAATATATCCAATATAGAATAGTGGAGATCTTGTAACAACAGATGAACTAGCCAGGTCTTTGGTACACTTGACGAACTGCGAGTCCAAGTTAGCAGTAGTCAAAAGTGATAAAGTATCAATTGCAACAGCCAGCATACAAGAGAAATTGCAGCAGGCTCAGACGACTTTAGATGAATTACTAACAAGAATCAAGCAAGCAAATGTGAAGGACCATCCAACTGCTTTAGAAAAAGAGCGTGAACGCTATTTAACTGAGAAAGAAGAAAGGTTACGCCAGGCTGAGAAGGACTTTAGGAAAGATATGGATCTGTTAGACGAACGTTATGCCAAGAAGATGAGAGATTCTATTTATCAAAATTTAGTAGGTTTTCGACATCAATAACCTTTACTAAACCCAAATGTACACTTTATGTGTTTCTGTTAAATACACGTCGAACGTTCATATGCCTAATTCTAGGCATAATGTCGATTTTATTGTACAGCAAATCGCAGGTGTATGCATCAAAAGAAATGTTTGGTAAAATTTCGGATTTTCAAATACGTAGTATGATATCAATTCGAATTTTAAAGCAATGTACAAAACCGGAAGCCATCAATTTACTGTTCTATTCGGGTTTTTCCTTATCTTTGTTTTTAAAAACTCTGCCCTTAACAAAAACCAGGATATCCTCATTTACCTGACTGTTGAAAAAATGAGCTTTCATGTTAATTTCAATACTCACGGACGAGATTTGAATGACGCTCTTCAAGCTGTCATTAGCGAAAGGGACGATACCAATTGGGTAATTTATGCATATGATAAAGGAACCTACGACCTTCGAGTTCAAGCAACTGGCGGTAGAGTATAAAGAAGAAAGCTCATTTTGAGAAGCTTTAAACTCTGCAAAACAAAATGAGAATGGTACTAACGTTCTTTCGCTTTTGACATTTCTGTATTGTCAGATGACGGTCTGGAAGGTTTATGCGATGAATTCTCGGATGGTAAAGTTCAGTTCGCTTATGCTAAAGTGATAGACCCTAACACTGAGCTCCCCAAGTTTGTATTCATTGGTTGGGTAAATTTTTTGATAAGTTGTTACAAATATCCTTCCCAGTCGCGAGTTTAATAGTTATACATGCTTTGTTTTTGTTTTATGTTCCTCTTCAAGTGTGGCAGCGGTGTCCCCGAGTTAAGAAAAGCATTTTTCAACTCTCAATTAAGCGACGTATCTAAATTTGTTAAGGTAAGATAGATGTTTAAACGAAGGTTGATGATAATAATAGCTCAACCCCTCCTCCAATTTTTGTTCAAATCTACCGTTGTAAATGGCCAAGTTTAGAGTTATCATGTTCAAATTAATGCTCGCGACGAAGCCGACGTTGAGCCATCCTTAATTATGAAGCGCGTTGCCGAATCATCAGGTGCTAATTATAGTGTGCATAAAGAAACAAACAAGCCTTTACCTCGAGCTGAGCCGGTTGGATCTAGCTACAAAAAGACAGAAATTCCTGATATTGCCGCTATGCAGCGAGAAGCGATGACCAAAGATAATATGCCAAAGCCTGTCGGTACAAACTATACACCCATCAAAACTGAACCCAAGAAATTATCACAACGTTGGAACATTCAGGGCGAAGATGACAATAGTAAGGCACAAGCTGTACGCGCGGAACGCGAACAATTTGAGAAAGAAGTACGTGAACGTGAAATGCAGAGGCAGCAATCTACTCGTCAATCAGATATGAAGCAAGAGGAAGAAGATAAGAGAAGACGACAACAAGAAGAAGAGGAGGAAAATAAACGTAGAGTACAACAGCAAGAGGAAGAAGAGAGATTAAGACGTGAAAAAGAAGCTCAACAAAAGCGACAGCAAGAAGAAGAAGAACGTCGTCGTCAATTAAGGGAGGAAGAGGAAGAAAGGGCTAGAAGGGAGGAAGAGGAACAAAAAGATAGTTTGAAGCAGAAGCAGCAAGAAGAGGAGGAAGCGGAGAGACGCAGACAGCAAGAAATTGAAGAGGAAGACAGAAGACGTCAGCAGCAACAACAGCAACAGCAAGCAGAAGAAGAGCGCAGACGTCAACAAGAAGCAGCCGAAGAGGAGGAACGGAAACGCCGTCAGCAAAAGCAACAAGAAGAAGAGGAACAAAGACGTAAGCGTCAGCAGGAAGAAGAAGAACAGAGACGTCGTGAAGCTGAGGAAGCTCAGAGAACCGAAAAGGAGCGTCTTCAAAGGCAGCAAGAGGAAGAAGCTTCTCTTCAGTCACAGCTGAATGAGGTAGAGCATCATTAGATTCTATTAAAGAGTCGCTTTGCAGAAGCAAATGATCATACTCATCCCGTTCTTCAACATTATAGACTGCGGACCGTGCTGTACATACATCTCAATCTGCAGGTGCTGCTGCTGCTGATCCTAAGAAGGATCAGCATCATGGCATTTCTGCTGTTGTCTTGTTTGACTACGATGCTGGTGAGTTATTTAACTTCTCTAAATGGATTAAAAGTGTTTTTATGGCGTCTGAAATTATTTTATTGACTTTTTTGCTTGTATATAGACGAATCCAATGAAATGTCATTGATTGAAGGTGAACTTATCACTCAAATCGATCAAGTTGATGAAGGCTGGTGGTTCGGTATCAGTGAAGATGGAAACAAACAAGGTCTCTTCCCAGCCAATTATGTTCAACTCTTAGAGGAGGGTCATCGAAATAATGATGATACAGCAGCAGCAGCACAGCCCGCACCATCCCAACAAGAAAGTCAACCGCAAAATCAGACAGAGACGGAACAAGGACACGTTGCTGTTGCTTTGTATGATTATGATGCTGAAGAAGATAATGAAATTTCTTTTGCTGAAGGTGACAAGATTACTCAAATCGAATTCGTCAGTGACGATTGGTGGCAAGGTGTAGATGCCAGCGGCAAGAAGGTTGGCTTATTCCCTGCTAATTATGTTGAGCTAAAGCAATAGTTGAAATAAAGCGCATATTCTGATGGAGGAATAAAAGATTGTATCATACTCAACCCTTCAATGTTTGTGTAATTCATAACTCCTGTCTTCTCAAAGCTTTCAATACTTTACTATGTGTATTCAATAATTATATTACTCGCCTATGAAATCAATTTTACAATTCAACATTTAATAAGAGGTAGGTAGGTAATTGGATCTTAGGCGTATCAAAGGTTGGGTTTGGCATGATGGCTTCGGTTGTGGTATAGTGCTATGACACTGTTTACCTTTTTTATTATTAATCACATCTTTGTGCATCATTATTGATTATAATTACTATTTAACTAACGGTATTATTGTGTCTTTCTAAAGTCCATATAGTCAACATCATTATTTTCCAATGGTGTGGCTACTGCTGAGCCTTCTGCTGCTGCAGTAGGCTGACGTCTTGTGAATCGCCAAAGAGGGAAAATGACAAAGAGAACTGTGAACACAATTGACCATCCCACTTTTACAATCATAGGTGCAGGTGTAGGAAATTCGTTCTCGGCAAACTTAATGCAGATTAAGGTTTCAGTCATGATGTTAAAGATCATTAACCAAGCATGAGCACCTAAACGGCGTGTGTTGTTATCAGACAAATATTGGTAGACTTCTCTCACGCCTGGAAGGGCAAATAAGAACATGAGAATCAAGCGATATGTGTTCAAAGGATGTTCGGGTGGTACCCAGAGAATGTATTTCAAATAGAAGCAGTTCAATTCGCATTGGAGGAACTATATCAGTGCAATAATGAGAGACAGCAATTAGAAGAGCAAGTAAAAAATAAAGGAACGAATGTTCAATCAAAGACATTACCACAATCAATAGAATGAGAGTACCGAAATAATTTTTGGGAGTACTCGTCGTCTTCCACTCGTATCTCGTCCAATCTTTAGGTGTAAATTGCTGAACGGCCCTCTTTGCTTTTCCGCGGAAACTTTTAATCTGTCTGAAACCAACCCAGGAGTATTGCTATTGTAAAGTTCAGGGATTAATTGTTAAGGCTTTTCAGTTTAGTCCTCGGGTACACTTCATTACAATAACGTCCTCCTTACCTTCACTTCGAAATATTGGCAGAACTTCATACCAACAACAATACCAAGCCAGTTGCAGATCAAAACATCGAGAATCCACTATAAACTGTTGTGTTAATTAACCATATAACTTTTTTTCAAAAGACATTCAGGCGCTTTTCTATTTACATGATCCCACCAACACTCAGCAAAGTTATTTAATTGATGTTGTAGCGAATATTCACATAATTCAAAAGCGATAGAAATAATCCAACAGAACCAGTAATCCCTCAGAATTAATGCTTTACCAAACCATCCCAAGGCATGTGCTAGCACAAAAATATCCATTTGATTCTAATAACGTATGAATGGTTTGTCATAAGCTTACTTTTACCAACTTTCTATTTGTATTTAGGCCGTTTGATACCTTCACATTGTCCCATGTAAGTGCACATGCATCTGCATATGATCTTTCAGGTAAATCAACACCTAAACTGGAATCAAAAAATGTCATAAAATATCGAGCATCGTCTTTGTTCTACGTCAGATGATAGACAGCCACATCCACGAACATATGTATAGATAGAGTATACACATGGAGAGAAAGAGAGAGAGGAAAATAATATTGTGAGCTCACTCATACCCTTACATCTTGTATGTTTTTGCATAGAGGAGGAAGCGTTACCAGGAATAGTAAAAAGACCAAAAATAATTGATATAAGACACTGAGACTAAGAACAGCTCTCCAAATCGGTTTACTTGGGCGTACAAATGGTCCGTCTGGAAACTGCAGCATACCGATACACACAAAACAGGCAATAGCTGCAAATATGCCTAATTTGATATTGTCAGCCGTGCTTTCGTAGTTTGATCTGGTTGCAGCATAGAACATTAATGCCAATAGGATAACTAAAGCTGTCACAGTATGTGGATGGACTGATAATGAGATTAAAGGTATGATGATAATGTTAATCTTTGATAGTAAATAGTCCCTTGTTAGAGATCGAATATCGAGCAATTTTGACAGGTGGAAATTGCTGCCCCCTCCCTTTTGAAGTAATTGGATCCCGCGGGTAAAACATATATCCCAGTCTTTTATGCATTATTTATCCAGTACAAATTACTTACAGGTAGTATAAACTTCATTCGTTGCTGCTATGGTTGTTGTTGTTGTTGTTGGTGTTGTTGTATTACCGGTACCTGTCTTTTCAGGTAGATCTTTTGATGGTACTGACGGTTCTGCGATTTCCCCTGTTGACATGATCTACTTATTACGACGATGATCTGGTGCCTTGTACTTTCTATGAAACGTTTAGGTCAAGTGTCTCGAGCTCTATTGAATAGCGCGAAAAGAAATTATACTGCAGAGAAGGCAGGCTTGTAAACAGAGATAGTAAAAGGAAAAAGGAAGTAGAAGGTTGTAATCGAATGACACTACGTATTGTAAAAAAAAAACTAAAAAGAGCAGGGAAAGACGGGAAATCACGTACGATGATCTTTTTTCGAGTTTGTGATACTTGCACGTTTGAGCCATTACATAATCATGTTCATTTGATTGTCCGCAGCAACAAATAACATTAAGCACTCGAAATAAGTACAGAATATAGATAAACCACGTTTGCAAACAAGTCCTCTTTGGCGTTGCAAGTATTTGTTTATTCAGGGGTATTAAATTTTATTCTGCAAAAGTAACATCAAAAACAGAAGTGAGAGTATTATGCACACGCATAAATATCAAAAATGATCCTCGGGACACGTTAAATTTGGCCTTTGATATCCACCCTACTATAATTATCTTTATGTGCTAATAAGACAGGTAGTGCGCCTTTTGTATCGAAAGTTGGCATTTTTTTCGTAACATGCAAACCATGATTCCGTAAAAACTGTCTGAATTTCTTCAACGAATTGAAAGCCAATTGGTTAGAGAGGAAAGTGAAAGGGATACCCTTCTGATACCTGTATTGGAAAATGATTAAAATGCGCGTTCAGTTGCTACATTCAAACAAAAAAGATCCTTAACTTTGTTCCTATTATTTGGGATTACTTACGCTTTACATATGACAATCAAAGCCTCGATCCGTTTTCTATCCACAAACTGATCTAATAAATAACCACCCATATTCGGTGCGCTTTTATATAATTTGAAAAATTGATAATAATTTCCTTTTGCCAACGCAGATCGAACCATTAAAGCATGCTGTACACAGTCAGACTGTTCCTCCAAACCCATACGAGCCTTTTCCTCTAGCATAGAATTGATATCTATAAAGTAAAAAGAAAAAAAAAAAAAGTGAATAATTGAATTTTTTCCCTTCTGCGTGCATATCCGAAAGCCTTATTTGAGGCGTACCTGATTCGTTTTGTGAAAATAGCATGTATAGAATACGATAAGCAAGGAACTCTTCATTACTACCTGGAATATCTTGCTCGTAAAGGTACTTTAGCTGTGTTTGGCACTGATTATACTCACCAAGATCGCCCTAATGAGCAAATGCAGGTTACTCAGTATGCTTTCTTCGCATGACCCCATCGAGCCAAATTACCAACCTTTTCAAGGGCAATTCTTGCATGCGCTTCATACACTTGAACAGTAAAATCATTTCTAATTCTTTGCACGGTCAAATCCTGTCTCATTGATTTGAATTGTTCACAAATATACGAGTAATTTTCCTCCTCTCTCCATTTCTTTAACAAAAATTTGAACGCTTTTCTCAGAACAGGTAATGGACGAACCGTAGCAGGATCAGCTGCCTAAACACATCATTTTTCATATTTGTTTGGTTCATGAATGGTTAATATATTCGCTCCATGGCTCTCTCATAAACAGTTTCTAGAAGCTTACTGAAGTCAATCTAAAGTATGGCTTTTCCAATTCAGTACTTGTACCAACAATGATTTGATTGGAGGGTGGAGCTGTTTCCGTCTCCCACACAATAGGTGTAATTAAGCGTTGCTTTTTCCCTTTTGCTCCCGGCACTTTGGCTGCTACAGGTTTTGGTGCTGTTACTGTGCCTAGTGTGGGTGTGGATGGCGCAGGAGGTGACGGTGCCGACGTTTTTTTGGTATCCTGCTGAAACCTAAGAGCTCTCAATTCTCTTTTTCTTATCTCTGCTGGCGTCAATTCTATATTTCCCATTTTCGATGTAAGTGTTTGTTGATTTGGTTGCGTTTGCAATTGTTTTTGTTTTGTTCTATAATAAGTAGTGAGAGAAAAAAAAAAGAGATTTAGTTTACATAAGTCATTTTTTGCCGAGTCTTCCCTTCATCTACTGTAGGGAAACGTACGGTTTGTGGAATAAACGTGAGGAGTTTGGATTTTGTTGTGTTGAGCACGCACTATGGGGACAAGACACTTTCGTTAAGAATAAACTGCCTTCAATACTTTACTACGCACATGCATATATTTAAATACATAGCACTGTATTTACGTGGGCAAATCGCGCTCATTCCAGTCAATAATGTCCAGCATATTTGTTCTTTGCGCCTGTTTGATAATACTTTTCAATTGATTCTCCAATAAGGCTTTTTTTTCTACGGGACAGTGTGCGAAAGCATGAGCTACATATTCACTGATATACAAATAGTTGGCGATATGTTAACATGAGCTATGGTGCGAATGAAATAGAGGGACTGAGAGGAAGAGCAACACCACACAGATCGATGACTTTTGCTCCTCAATGCTATTCCTTTTAAAACAGATCTTACTTTAAAGATGAGGGCCAATTTTCTTCCGCTTTGTCAATGTCCATAGAATCTTTTATTGCTTTCACAGCTTTTGACTTTTTGTTATTGCCGGATTTGACGACAATATACTGAGTCTGCTTGTTATTGCTATTCATGGGTTAATTTCCCTTCGGATATCTTACAAAGTGTGTTATCAAGAAAAGGTTTATTTGAAAGGAGTGCAGAGTGGAGAGAAACAACACAGAGAGAAGTTTGTTGACAAGGTGATTTGGAAAGCCTGAGTGGGTGAGCAATATACGTTGCGTAAAGTAAGCTATCTTTTGGGAAACTGCCAAATTGGCATTAATTTAAGCCATTCCGATGCCACTTAGACCGATGCCCTTTTACCAGCGAAGGCAGCAGAACCAAAAAAAAGAGGGCTCTATTTGTTCAAACCGCTGGCTCGAGAATGACCGGAAATTAGCCATTCGTGTTCCGGAACTGTTTGAATTTTCGCTTGATCATTTTGGAAGGGCGAAAAAACTGAATATTCAAGTAGCGTTCTAGTCATGGCACAATAAGGAAACTTCCTCTTAACCTCTTCATACATTCATCATGGTAATGTATCCAAGCAGATCATAGTGAACAATAAAAGAGTAAGAGTACGGCATTTGAAGACGATATTACATATGTGATTGCGATGATCAACATGGATGGATGCCTTGTTGGACAATTTGGATACAGATGGTTGATACGGCACAAAGCTTTATCCAGCTTTTTTCTGACGTTATTCACGGTCGAATTCAATCGACGTGACAGATTAGACAATCCGACTTCAGTTTCTTACCTGCTGTTGATAAATGAAGAAGCAACAGCTTGCTGCACTTGTCATAGATTTTCTTGACAGCATTTCAGGGTGGAATTCAGTTAGTTACCATCAGTGCCGTCACTGCACTGATCGTCAGTATGCGCCTTGTCTTCTCTACTCTTCTTTTTCTCTCACTATGATCTCTTCCTTATCGTCAGTCAACTCCTTTAACTAATTGCTTGCTCTCTACATTTTCATCGTTCAACAGACCTGCAAGAGAAGAAATAACGGACGTAACAAGCACGGACGTGGTCACACCAAGTTTGTTCGCTGTATCAACTGTTACCGCTGCTGTCCTAAGGACAAGGCCATCAAGCGTTTCACTATCCGTAACATGGTCGAAGCTGCTGCCGTTCGTGATCTTCAAGAAGCTTCCGTCTACGAAGGTAAGCATAGGAGAAACAAAGCATTGTCCGTGGAATGAACGTTATCTAATATTAATCCTCCTTTTGTATAGAATATGCTATTCCTAAGTTGTACGTCAAGCTCCACTACTGTGTCTCTTGCGCCATTCACGCTCGTGTTGTTCGTGTTCGTTCTGCTGTCGACCGTCGCAACCGTCTTCCTCCTCCCAGATTTAGATTCCAAAAGGTAAAAAGGATTACTTGTACATTTATTATTAGAAAATCATGAGAATTAACTGAATTTTGTTTTCTTTATTAGGCTGCCAACAAGGCTTAAATATTTTAGCTTACTCAAATTGGAACGTATGATTTCATCTTTTTCATTATGAAAAGATATTGAAAAAAAGGAGGATTATTCTTTTTTTTATTTTATTTGAATAAATAACGATTTGTTGGTTATTGTTCGGATACTCTACTTTTACGTTTTTTAAACATTGTTGAACTTCACGGAAGGGATAGCAGTATTTTTTAAAGTATGTAGTAGCGCAAACAGGTTTTGAAGCTAAGGGAAACGTTCTTGGCAGGAGGTGTGGAAATGCTGTTCATGACTTGAATGGAATATTTACCTGATTAAACGCACGTTTTAAGGTCGCCATGGCATGTACTCAAACTGACTTCAATTATGATCTTTGCGTTATACACATCCAATTTACACTGGACGATATTTAGATAGGTTGGAAACATCGTAGCTTCTTTGCTGTTTATTCGTTATTGCCTGGATACAGCGCAAACAAACGGACCATCGGGTTTCTTATGATATATGTTTGAACATTTTACCTTCATCTATTAACCCCATACTTAGCAGACCTGTCATTTTTATGAAACATAGCTTTAGGTAAATACAGGCTATAGAGAAAAGGTATTGGTAGACACTTTATTCAATAGCCTATCTTGTGTCTTTTACATACAGATAAATCTGATGTAACAAAATTTCTCACTCATGTAAAGAGGAGTGTAAACAGATAAACAGTAAATCAACGTGAATCACTTTTACTTTTTCCCTTCGAGACAAATCAAGAATGTGCTGGAACGCTTGCGGATTGAATTCGTTGAAAATACTAGTCTATCTTTCAAATAAGGCTTCCTCCAATTTTTTTTGAGCTTGACTAGTCCGGCTCATCTTTCATTTGGTCATCAAGAGCTCTTATAAATGGAATGAAAAATACGATACAACCTTTTCTAGAGACACCACTATTCACGGTACTTTCACTTTCATCCAGACAAGAAGCATAATCACGTATGCTACGTAACTATAGAAAAATGTTGAGTATTAACCGCAATGTGGCAGATTTTGATTACACAAGGGGATGGGTCCAAGAACTCGGACGACTACAATTCGCATAAGTTTGTTAAGCTGGCTAAAGCGGGTTGACAGTTATTACTGTCTCTACTCAACAAGTCATATAGTTGCGAATCTATGATCTGGTGATACATATTTCGATGAGTATCTTAGTTCGAGTCAAATGTTATGGAACAGTATCAGACGTTTTAGCCCAACACACATGTTATTGAACGGCTATATTGGTTTGTACCCACTGGCCCTTTGGCCTGCGGCAGTATCTGGCTCCAGGAATTTGAAAAAAAAAAACCAGGATCGAGGCTCCTTCTGACATCTATGGTGACACGATTTTAAGTTATTCTGTCATCCACTGTTTGTCCATGCATGCCCTTTGAGCGCACCGGTGCCGGCTCATCGTGGCACTATTGTGACACCACATATTAATGATATAAAGGATGGAATAGTAATCCAACAACAGTAGCGTGAGATAGTCGCATAATAAAGCCCCAGTCACGTTGTCTGGCCTTATTATAGAAAACTTTACACCTTAAGCAATAACATGTTTACTACATTGAGCAGAAATGGTAATGGATATTGGCGAAAGATCACATATAAAAGTAATCTGAACGGATTAAATGATACTTAGAACCTTCTTAAAGCTGTTATGCATGCAGAAGAAACTGAAACTCAAACAAATATTCAATGGGCATGAATCGAGTTACACACGCAATGATATACTTTTATGTCACTTTACAAAGCCTCCAATCACAGCAGCCTTCGATTGTTAGCTTTTATAGTATAATTCGTACATAAATCAACATTCTGCATATAAACTTTTAGTATGTCACCCCTCCGCTTCTTACAATATACACAACTCGTAGAACTCAATAAACGCAAGACTTTAACGATATTTGAAGTCATTCAAAAAGACGTGATAAATGTACAGCTCATTGTTCGCTTTTCTGCTCGCATCTTTATTGCTGGAAAACGCGTGAATGCCTGCTGCATTTAATGCGATGAATGTGATTTTAAATAGAGTGTCGATAGATTTTTCGATTCAGGAGCTAGTTGTTTAAGGGGCATCGGGCTTTCTCTTGTTAGATGAGTTCTTAAAAGCTACCGTGAGAGACGAAACGGTTGAAAACATCTAAGGAAGACAAATCGCAGTTCTTACTTACAATTATATAGTTGTTTTACTTTATTGTTTCAAATCGTTTATAAATCGAGGTTTGATCAGGACAGCCACTTCATACGAGTAAAAAAAAAACGCTCCAATTGTTCATCAGCGCAACGAAGAAAAAAATTCCCAATATTCCCAATATGAGAAAGCTAAAACTTTTGCTTCCCTAATGGTGGTTGTAAAATGCCCGCGCTTCCGGATTCATATAAGCCAATGAGTAGCTCTTATTGGTTCCAGATTCAGACATATTTCGTCAGGGATTCTTAGAAGTAAAAATGTGTAAGCAACCATGAGAAAACTTAATCTCAATTGATCTTACATAAACAGAAAAACAAACAAGTTCCATCATCTTACAGTAACTCAAAATACGGTAGAACTACAAGAGTCGATCCGTATGATTGCCATGTTTTACACTTTTTGCCGGTGATTCGAAGTCGCCTTTTTTTGACAGCTTTTGTTTGCTCTGTTTTCGACAAAGAGATACGAGTTTTACAGCTGTCGTAGATCTTCTATTAATGTTTCCTTTTCTGGTCAATTTAAAGCCTTTAATCCCGATATACCGCTCAAGAAAAAGATGGGCATAGCCCCACGTTCAAGTGTTCCTTTGATTTGTCAATGATAAGGTTTTTTTCGCTTTTTTCTTTTCCCTTTAACTGATGGTGAGATCAAAGGCAAAAGGCAGACTGGATTTCATTTGTCACATGTACAATAATTGTTGATAGCAGACTTTTCTTTAATAGGTAAATATGACAAATCTTTTCTGTTTTCCAATGTAACCCTAACCTTTTTTTTTTTCTCCTGATTTCTGAAATGCCCATACCAAACGTGCTTCTATATTGCGCTTCATTGTTCCGACTTGAAAGTGTGTATAAAAAAATACATCCCAAAAATTTGTCTTATCATGTGCCCAAAAAAAGATTATCGTGACCAATTAGGAAACAGAATTTCTTTGGAGAAAGATAGGTAACGGACTTACTACAAAATGTTTAAGTGAAAGTGTATATATAACATACCTTTGTTCTTGAAGAACAATTAGCTTCTCCTTCTTCTCTTTTTGTCTTTGTTTTGCTTTCATCCTTGTTGTTTATATTTTGTTTGATTCATGATGGTCACTTCCACTCGCTTCTAAATCGTGTTTCTTTTTCATACTCGCAATATCTTAAAAGTACAATATTATCTAACCCATTCTATTTGAATCATCAAGATCACATAAACAGTGTTAGAAGATAATTGAAGGTTATCTACCACTACAATTACATCAATTAAATGTCCATTTCTCTGTACCATTCACAGTTTATGACACGTAAACCATCCTTTGCCTACACTACGCATTTTTCAGTTACTTTAAGCAAAAAACATTCTCGACATTATTATCCACCAGAAAAATAGAACCCTATACAAATTCGATTACAGCGCAATCTTATATAGTAAAAATGACTCATTTTCGCGACTTTTTCAGTAACAATAATTCAATGGAGCCATCAGCCCTCCTATCCCAAGGCGATCTCTTCAGCCAACATGGGGAGGAAGAGAGCAATGCAACGTTTACACCTAGTATGTTTGACGATTGGCTTGTAGACGAGCTTTGTAAATCTGGCCTTATACCTGCTATCGAAACAACGCCAATATCGCCTTCGCTTTCTTCGATAGATTATAACAACAGCCATGACCGAAACTCTACCCCTGTAAGCCCTCCAAATTCGGTTGTTTCTGTTGAAAAATCGAACACAAGTCTACCTTCGTCTGCTGCCACTACCATTCCCCTGTTCCCAGACATTCATAGCAACCGTCACCCATACCATCCTCCTTCAACGATCAGTCAAACCCCCTCCAGTATTCCCGTTACAGCAACCTCAACCCCGAGTCTTCATCATCTTCCTCGTCTTGCTCCTCGACCCTCTGCTGATAGTGGTGAACCGGTTATTAAAGCCTCCATCGTTTTCCCTCTCACTGGTAACCAACAAAACCGCCAAAACGCCAGTAATAATAGCAATGGTCCTGGTGCCGGTAGTGCCACAGCTGACGAAATTGCTCTCAAACGACAAAGGAATACCGATGCAGCTCGTCGATCACGGATGAAAAAACTACTCAAGCTAGAACAGTTGGAAAAACGCGTAGCCGATTTGGAAACGGAAAACCAGGGGTTAACGACACGTATTGCTGTTTTAGAGAGTGAGAAACAGGGACTGAGTTCAAAGGATGATTCCCATGAAGAAAGGATCCGAGTTCTAGAGGCACAATTGACAGAAGCATATAAAGCACTCACTAACTTGTAAAAACAACAAAACGACTTTTCTTACTCATATTCATTTTACTTTTCATTTCAACCAAAAAAAAATAATCTTTTTGATGTTTCAGTTTTAATTTTTATGTACATAGTTTTGAATAAAATAGAAAGTTACAATTGAAAATAAAATTACACTTCATATTACTTAAATGCCTATCATGATGTGGGAATGTGCTTTGGGTATCTGATCTACCAAAGGCGTTGGTTATTCAGTATAGCCTTCTGTTAAATCATTGATATCTTGCCAGGTATTTCTGTCTTCTACATTAGCAGCAGTAAGTAGGGCATTTTCTTCAGAGCATGATAACGATGACATCCAGAGCGCTGGCAAATCTGGCGCCTTTTGAGCATAACATACAAACCATTCCATGTAAGCATGATTACGGATACATTCTTGACCAATCTTCTCTATATTCCTTTCATCTTCTATATTCATTCCCTTTTTTAACGTCGGATGCAAGGACCTCAAGTGACGCGAAAATTCACGTAAATGGAATCGTGCATAATGTGAACCCCAACCGAGAGGAATAGCAATTTTCTGTCGATGAATGTCAAGAAATCCACCTTGACGAGGCTGTGACATGAGGTAGGTAGACACAAGTTGACCATGAAAAGCAGTAATTCCATACAATTTCTCCAGCCTGTCATAAACTATGGAAGTTGTGTCAGGATTAGAACAAAAAAAGTCCAAGAAAATGCTAATGCATTGGCCGTCCTCGCTTACTTCCTTCCTCCAACTTTGCAGTTTCAACACCATTATGATGTATTCTATATTCACAGTCTAGAATCTCTATGTAGCCTAATGGCTTTAAGACTCGATGCATCTCGGACAGTAAGCGTACAAATTGTTTTTCAGTAGTAAAAGCGAGCATTAGCCGCATTCGAATATAATCAAAAGTATTATCCGGATAAGGCAAGCGCTTTAAATAGTCGTACTGAATAAAATGTGTATTAGATGGATTACTCGTATGTGGAAACATGGCACGAACATCAATTCCATAGATTTCTATTAAGACAGGAAAAGATAGAGAGTTTCAGTAAGGTGCTATGTCTAATTATTCTAAATAGTATGTAATATCCCTACTTTACCTGCGTGTGGGAATTCGGAGGCCATTTCTAACACCCTACGTAGTAAGGTAAAAGTTAAATGTTTTGCCGTTTGTTATTTTTATCTTTTGGCACTTGAAGTTGGATAGGATAATCTTTACCAAGTACCTGTTCCACATCCAACGTCTAGAACCTTAGACGGATTCTCACGGCTGGACTTGAACTGTAGGATGGATTGTATAGGTGCATTCCAATTACCACCAAAAGCATATTTTATTAAAAAATGCTATTACAAAATAATGGGAGTTGGGAGTTGATACGTAATTCTAACATTGATTCTGGTTGTGGGTTCTTACCATCATCACCATCCGGTCTGCTTCCTCATCATCGCATGGCGAGTAAAAATGATTTCCTGGCGTATTCAAATATTTCCGTCCTTCCAAGATAATATAATCTTGATCTGCAATGGTAGTTGCTTCTTTTAAATTCTTGTGCTCATTCTCGTCAGATATTGGTAAAGACACAGTATATGATGAAGAGGACTCTGATGAGCTGACTGAGCAGGACGAGGAAGAAGCCTTGAAGGATTCTATTCCTTTATCGCCAAGATTTGGTCGATATATGTTGAAAACAGAAGGTGCTAGCTTTTTTCTTCTCTTGGTGACCATCCTTTCGCGTGGTATATGTATAATATCTTCTGTTGCATAAGGTTCTAATGCTGAGCGTGTGTTTCCCATAACAAATAATACAACGGAAGACCCTAAAAAATGCCAAAAATAATAACGTTGACGAGATAAAAGAAGGCTAAGAGATATCTAAATGTTCAGATCAGCATTTGATGACCCATTCAGGGTTAGTCATTGGATTTGATGCAGAATTTCAAACATGCGTATCAATAATCCATACACTGATGATCCTCCGAAAATCTCGATAACATTTTCTCATTTGGATGCTTAGTTTCAAATATACCCACACTGATGTTTCAACTATTTTACAATAATATATTGTATCAAGCTACTAAATACTACCAATATGATCTGCAGTTACAATTAGTTAGCCAATGAAAATACATGCATGGTCCTTGTGCATTGATCTAGTTGATCTGCCTCTCTAATTGCCTCCACTGTCAAAGTTAGTTGCTCTTTATGTTTATTTCAAAAAAAGCATATCTTATTTTTTCTAAATCTACGAATATAATACCCAAACTGCAAAAAAGAATATCGAAAATTTACAACCAGTTGAAGCAATAGTATTGGTATAATCAGTAGCCCAATTATAATGTTTACTATCTCTTCGAAGCTCTTACAAGACTTTACAGCCGTCTGCGATGCTGTGTAAAGTAAGGCAAACCATATCAAAAGGTTGTAGTCTGAAGAATACAAAGCACTCTTTAATCAAGCGAACAATATGAACTTGCTTATTTATATGGTTATTTGCCGAATACTTTGACATGAAAATATGCTACCATGCACATTTAGCATTTGAAATCGCTCAGACGATGAAGTAGCTGTAGAAAAGCATTAATAGAACAAGTACGTAGGGTATAATAACTTCATATAGGAATACAATGTCCACGTCCGTAATAAATGCAAGTTGAATGGAGAGCTAATCAATAGTTTCACCGCCGAAAGCATTCTAAAATATTCTATGATTGTTCTATGGCGATGTTCCAATGGGATTCCGATTTGTCGATAATACCTTTTTTAGTTGAAGGGCATCTTTGATGCCATTCACCTATCACTTTACATTTTATAGTAGCAGTCGTATGAATATATGTGAATAAGAAACCCAGAGCATAAATACTATATGTCTGTATTAAATATTATGATACTTTTAACTTAGCGCATGCCATTAGTTAGTGTCGACGGTCTGACAATCATTGTAAACATTTGTCAACAGCTGACTTGAAGGACCATTAAATGCCAATTTTACTTCTGTGAGTTTGCTTATTAAGCATGTTTCACTTTAAGTTATACTGTTGTCTAAAACCTCTCAATTGCTTGCGGAGGCTGTCCTAAGTCCGCATGTAAGCAAATTCTTTAATAAAAAAACCAACATTAAATGAAGGCGATCTTTTTATTGATGTACTTTTACTGGCACGGTAATGCACCTTTGATTGACAACAGGAACAAAGTCACATTACATGTGTCAATTTAGCATTCATAGCAATATCAATTTTACCCACTATCTTGTGTTTGCACTTTATCCAACTGCATGATAAAAGAACAAAGTACTCCAAATTCCACTCGTTGCAAGACAAGAGGAACGAACACAGTAAAAAGATTGCTTTGTGACGCCTATTGGACGATAAAGAATGAATTGCCAGCCTCATCAATGAATCTAGTACTCTTTGCCCAATAAAGGTTTGTCTCTTTCATGTTGGAAACCACCTTATTCTAGTTTCACGAGGATTGTAGACTTGCTTACAGGTCCTTATATGGGTCGGGTCCCTGAAATCATGATCCACCCGTGGTCTTGTAATAGAAAAGGTTTTATACTGTATACGCATGTTGTCTATAGCATCAAGGGCCGTTAATCTTGATCCAACAAATTCCAAAACACTCTTCATGCTTTGTCAAGTATTCTTTCATTCTGAAAATCTAAAGGACTCCGTAAATCTTCAAATGAAGGAAAAGCCTGTCAATTGGGATCCGAAAACCTTTCAAAATTCATTTAACGCAGTTGAAGTGACAGCTTTGTCTGCCACATTAGAACTCTGCTTTGCCATATTTGTCAACCTTAATTTCCATAAAAAAACTTTATTGCACCTTAATCAAACAACCTTCTTTTGTTCCTTTCAATTTTGTCATTGAGTAATAGTTTAAGGAACTTGCCTTTTTTCCTATATTCTTTACAACTCACTATTTTCAGTATCATGAGCCAATTCCCTGTTTCCTTTCCGTCATTGACGGGTATGATTGCTCCTAACCCAAACCCACCTTTAACAAGTTCAACCACTAGCACCACTAATGCGAGATTAGTTACAAATGGTAATCACTTGCCTCGAAGTAAATTACAAAATGTACCTGCGTTTTTGAATAAACTCTACAAGTAAGTACTTACCTCTTTGTTTTTTGATTTTTATCTTTACCCCCCCCCCTGAACAGTAATGAACTGAAAAATCTTGACAATCTTTCTAGTATGGTTGATGATTCGTCCACCGACAGTTTGATCAGTTGGTCTGACGATGGCTTATCGTTTATTGTCACTCGTCATGAGGAATTTGCAAAGAAGGTTTTGCCTCGTTTTTTCAAACATAGCAATTTTTCCTCATTTGTTCGACAACTTAATATGTACGGATTTCACAAAGTACCTCATGTCCAAAATGGCTCCTTAAACTCTGGAAATAGTGCAAGTGAATCAGGAAACGGTGAAGCAGAACGTTGGGAATTCAGTAACCCTCACTTTCAACGCAATCAACCAGACTTGCTATTGTTAGTGACAAGAAAAAAAGGAAGGGAATCGGACGAGAAAGAAACTGGAACAGTAGATCTTCATCATATTCTGGATGAAATTGCTGCCATCAAAAAGCACCAAGCATCTATCAGTAGTGAACTGAAGAATGTTCAGAATGATACACAGCTTTTATGGCAAGAAAATATTGCAGCTAAAGAACGTCATCACAAGCATCAGGAAACCATAGATAAAATCTTGAGATTTTTAGCATCAGTATTTTCAGGTGATAAGAAAAAGCCTGGTGTTACTCCTCGAAAGCGTCAGTTTTTGTTAGGAGATGCTGTCTCCAATGATATTATACCTGCAGCACCAGAAGGAGCAACATCAGAAACATCAAGACCAGCATCCAAAAATGCCACAAACAAACGACGATATTCAAAAATAGAGGAAGTAGAGGATGAAGAAGTTAGTGAACCCATTCGCAAAGGTGCCAGAAAGCTGACGGACTCTATTAATTTATCAGATAACGCTAACATAAGCAGTACAAACAATGAATGGCCTTTTCTTCATTTGAATTCTGTCCCCACTTCATCTACGCCAGCAACTGACGATCTTGCAGCCGCTATTGCTTTAAATAACCAAACAAAGAAAGATTCTGCAGCCTCATTAACGACACTCCCATCCAAACTTACGTCAGGCGTAGCTTGGACGATGCTAAATCCTACTTTGACAACAGCACCCACACAACTTGATTTATCCACGTTAGTCAGTCTACCACAATTCCAAGGTTTGGTCAATTTGGCCCAAACGAACCCTGCCCTTTTTAATCAATTGACCAACACAAACTACTTTGACGTCCCCACTAGTAGTTCGACTTCTGCTATTGCAAGCGATTTTACAAAGATTACAACAGCTGCAGCGCCAACAATGTCGTCCTCCCCTCCTCCTACGCTTTCCGATCCTGCTACATCTGTTAGCACTCCTGTTAATGCAGACACACCACTGGCAACACCAACCACGGCAGAAGATTTGGAATTAAGCTTGAAGTCGCTTGCTACCGAGCTAGGGTTTGAAGCCTTAAATAGTCCGATTAATAGTAGCGGATTAGATGTCGACATCGATGAGTTTATCAACACATATAGTAAGTATTTTGAAACAGGAGAGTAGACAGAGCTATTTGTTGATTATATCTTTTTGCTTATTACTATTTTCATATAGCTCCACAGGCATCTCCGTCTCTCACTACTGCAGCCGTGCCCAATGCAGAAAAAGGAACCAGCATTGAATAAGCGCAACAGTTGGAGCGTTATTTTTACCAATGTGTCGAAATCCTCAGCTGTTTAGATTCTTATTTGAGTACCTATTTATGCCCTTGTAGATTTTCTTTTTTAAACGATCCATTCAACTGTGATTATAGACTGTTGCTTTTTTGCAATGATTGTATCCATTCATGATAATTTGATTCCGTTTGTATATATATTTATCTTCACCAAAACCTAATAATAAAACATTTGCCTGTATATCTCAGCTATTACTCTAGTATACGAAAACAACCATTGCTTCTTGCGTTTCAAATGCATTAAAAATACTTCTTTTTTTTTTTTTGTTGCGCTCGCTAAGCTACATAGTCATTCTATTGAACAATACATAACATTGACGCAATACGTTGAGGGGAACAAAGTATTCTTTACTTTTTGAAACACAAACATCAAGTTTCAGCAGTTTTTCTTATGCATTTATTTCTTGATATTGTGCATTTGCTGTCGGTTTTTTATGATACAGTATGCTTCCAGTTATACCTACGCTTTTATTCACAGTAAATTGAATAGTAGGTTATGTGATGCACCTCGCAATAGCGATCATACCAACTCAATCCTTGGTAATTGATATAAAAGCATATGCAAGAATTCGTTGCTTCGAAGATAGTCGTTCGATATGCGACAATAGATCCGCATCTCAGATTGTGATTAATTTTTATTAATACTTTTTTTCTCATTTTTATAAAGAGGGTTAAAAATTCAACCCTAATGATAAACCAAAATCTTTACTAAAGTCATTCCCAAAGGATAATCTAGGCAATTCCGGTGGTGTCAAGTTCTCAAAAAGTTCAAGTTTGTTTGATTCTTCCTCTGTATCGATGCTTCTGCCATCATCAATAAGATGATTCATTGTTGTAGCGGTGGTATTAGTATTGGTAGTTGCAGTGATAGATGTTGTTTGATTATGTATATTATTAATAAAAGTAGGACTAGTTGTAGGTAGTGGTATATTATTAGGAATTCCTAAAGATGATGCGCGTCTCGGTGGTATACAAGTTGGTGTAAGTTGGAATGATTGCCGAGGAGGCTGTTCTTCTAAAACACTGTTCTCATTGTTATTCATGATTAAGTTGGCTGTGCCATGCTTCTTTTCTTCTTTGCTACCTTTGGTTGATTCTGTGTCCGCTTCCTCTTCTTCCTCATCACTATCCTCTAAATAGATCAGTGTTAATCGTTTATTTACATTTTCTTCATCCTTGGAGACCGAAGGGTTAATGTTGTTATCGCGGATTTGATGTCTGAAGGAGCTACTGGGGGTTGTAATGCTCATACTACTACTGCTGTTGCTTGCTTTCGATGGTAGAGGAGGTAATTGTTCATGTTTAAAACGATGGATCGTCGAAGGAGAATGAGGGATGTGCATCGGGCGTATATTGTCATTGTTGCTAGTCAAAGGATAATGATCCATAGCGGTAGTTTTTATAAAAAATTGCTGCATATCAGGGTCAACAGAAGATGAGGAGCGCATCCTTTTTGGTACTGTCGCTAACGACATCATAGTAGAGTGTACACTGTTCTTATTGATATTGCAGCTATTTTGGTGGCTGCTGTTATAAACCACATTGTTATTATAGGATGTCAAAGACGGAGAAGGGCTCAAGCGTTGCAACGGATCATTTATTAGTGACGAAATCGTTGACAAAGCGAATCGTTTTTGTTGTTCTTGTTGAGCAATACCATTGTTATTATAATAGGCAAGAGCAGCATTCGGTGACAGTACAGTTGAAGAGGCGATTGTGTTTATCGTCGGGGAGATAGTTATGAATTCTTCCCTGTTATCACCAGTCAAATTACCATTAGTAGCGCTTAACATTCCTGTAGCGTCATTCGGAAGAGGTGGGAACCATTCCTCGACAGCTCTTATGGGATGATCCTGCTGCTGCGGCCTCAACGCGATGGTAGCAGGTAAACCAGGTGCTGGGCAGAATGCGGGTGAAGGAGGTCGCGATTGTAGACTGGGAACACCATCGTCTTCATTACTTCTGTTGGTGATAGAAATTGTTACTGAAGATGAGCTGAAATCAGAATCGTTATGTAAAGAGCTAATCTCTTGTTGTTGGTATTTCACATTGATGTTATTATCATAGCTTTGCCAAAATTTGTTAGTTATTGCTGCCGCTCCAATTCCAAATGCTAGCCCTTGTCGTTGCTGCTGTACTTCACCACGTCGATTAGTAACTAATATATCATCAGAAGAACGAGAGTAGAAATTCATTTCGTATTTGCTGCTGCCTGGTACGGGAGGTAAAGGACGCTCCGTCAAGTGTAATGTTCGACCGAAATTCTTGCCGCCATTAGCTAAATATACATCGATAGGTTGTAGCAAGGGCTTTTTTTTATTCGATAAACATTGATGTCCGCTTCTCATGGTAGGTGTAGCAGTTCTAGGTCGCTCCTCGTTTATTTCAATCTTTTCATCATTCATATTGCTAGATTGGTGAATATTACCTCCCAAATCCCTGTTTATGCTTAGATCCTGTGCCGACGCAATTTTCCTCAATTGACCTTGTGCTGTTAACGACTCTGTTGCAGAAGAATACACAGCTATTCTAGGCAAACTTTGAAGATCATCGTGTTTCTTTTGGGGGTTTATTTTACTGGAAGCGATAAATGTACAGTTGTTTTTCTTCCTGTCAATATGTTCATGTCTAATTCTGTTGCTGCTGGTACCACTATTATCATTAGCAAACTGCGCAAGCTTCTCTTGTAAAATTTGTGAGCCACGACTTATTTTGTTGTTTCCATCATGAATGTTGTTATTGCTATGCCATGTTTGCACTGGCAATGAATCGGAAGTCACGAATTGTTGTTGTTGCCGCTGATGCTCCTGAGATCTCCTGCTATATTTCTGCTGTTGTACGGTCAACTGGGATCCAGTACTATTCTCTAAACTATATTCCAAGTACTCTGCCCGCCGATTTTCTTCAAATGTATATTTAATCATCTCGGAACTAGGTAGACTATTCTGGACTGGAATTGAAGCAACAATGACAGGTACTTTCATTTTGATTTCTTCAAACTTTTGTCCAAATTGAAAGATTACTTCAATGTAATGGTATATACAAAGCATGGGCGTAGTTAGTGTATAAGACAAATAGGGGTGAATGGCGTGTCGAACCAAATAAGGCGTTTTCCAGGTTGAGGAAATTTTGCTGTTGGTGCTATTGTTGCTCTGCTGCTGTTCCGGCAGCTTGTGGATAATCGCCGGTACCGTTTTTTTAACGTATTTTATGAAGGAATGATCGATTTTATCGTCATTCAACTGTTCGATTCTTTTTTCTAAATCAAAGATCTCGGAGTCGAACTCATTAAATGATAAATCGCTCTCTGATTTAGACAACGTCTGCCGCCTGAATGTAAAAGTGATTATTGGAGAGAGAAAAGAGAAAGAGCATAGGAAGTCCGTTAATCAATAATGAAGAACATCCATACACATCTGATATTCTTCGGTAATACCTATATAATTCAGTTTGCACTAATCTCGTCTTTATACTTGTCACAGGCTTTTGATTTGGTACGATAGAGACATATTTGATCGCCATGGGGATGAACTTTTGCTCGATACAAATGATTTGTGGCGCCTCCACTTCAAAATGGTATTTCCCAGGCACTGTTTTTTTATATAGCTTAGATTCAATCATAGGAGATAGCTCTTTATAAGGCAAGAGATGGCGTTGTATCGTGATTGGAAATTCTGCTTCAATTGTCGCCTTGTTGCCTCCCCCTACTCTCCCTCTCCTTGGTATGAGCTTTTTCATAACAGCGGCTCCATTCCCTATTAACGAGATGGAGACTATAACTTTATAACTGATTTCGGCCCGTTTAATGGAAAGGCTGCGAGGGTAAATGTTGGGAATATCCATTTCCCAGGGAATGACATGTTGACCAGTTGCTAAAATGGTTTTCTTTTCAAATAAGGGCAATTTAAGCTTCGGTAACAGAGGTATAGTATTGCTGCTAAGATAGTGGTTATCGGCCGTACCAATGTTACTGCTAGTGGAAGCGAAAGAAGTGGGAGCTTTTGATATACTCTTGAACTGACAGGTGCCTTTAAATTTGATGGACATCATGTGAATCTTTGCTGGTTTGGTGAGGATGAATTTCACTTGCCCTTTCAAGACTTTCATTTGTTCGTTCATGTTAACAGTGTTGTTGTTGGGTCGAGCAGGACCCAAAAAATGAAGCACATATTCTGTAGGCTCTATTTCTAGGGATTGAAAACCATCTTTCATTCTTAGAGTGTAATAGTCTGAAGGCTCTCGAAAGAATAATTGATTTTAAACGATCCTGAAACTGCTGAGAGATAGACGGACTTTTTGAGTTTCTTTTACTGAACAAAAATGTTAGAAGAGAGATGGAAAAAGGGAAAAAGGCCAAAAATAAGCATTGCCCTAAAGTTAAGACAGAAGAAGAATAAAAATGAGGAGATAAAGGAAGAGGAGCGGGGGTGTAAGGCTACACACATTTAGAATTAAAGCAGTAACCATCATATCTGTTTTCTTTCAATCCAATTATGTCGCTTTAGGAACCGAAGTATAATTTTTGAATTTCCTGTGCAACCCTTAAAAGGCAAATATATACATTTTTTTCTTTTATTCGAGCAGCACTACTTCTCTCGTCCATTTACTTATCGTTAATGAAATGAAGGCAGCACTGTTAGTGTGTCTGTTCCTCATTATTGCATACCAGGCTTACTTAGCACCTTTTAACAAGGTTGAAGAAAGCTTCAACCTACAAGCAACTCACGACATCTTACACCATGCCGATCGTTTTGATCATTTAGATTTTCCAGGTGTCGTGCCTCGTACCTTTGTTGGTGCCACATTACTTAGTGCCGTTGCAATGCCCTTTGTTGAGTGTCTACCATCCCTGTTTGCCGACCCACTCCACCAACAACTCCTCATACGTCTTCTTCTCGCCGCTAGCGTTATACTTGCATTAAGCCATTTCGCGACAAGTATTCAGCGTGTCTGGGGTAAATCCACAGCTTGCTATATGCTTATGCTGATGTGTTTCAGTCAATTTCACTTTGTGTTTTGGTCTTCTCGTACCTTACCTAATACGATGGCTTTACCATGGGTTTTGATGGGTTTGTCCCATTGGGTTTTATGGTGCTTTTCCGAAATTAGCAGTGATAGTCATGGTCGTTGTACAACAGCAGTCCAACAACAGCATTTAAAGTGGAAGATTCGTTATTTGACATTCACAGGTATCGTTTTCCGATTCGAAGTAGGCCTTCTCTTGATCATCTTGCTCGGCTTTGAATTATTGGCCCAGCGCTTTGATGCATGGAATTGCTTGAAACTAATTGTAAAGGAAATGATGATCAGCGCTTTGTTCAGTCTCGCCCTCACAGTACCCATTGACTCCTTCTTTTGGCAAAAATGGCCCTACTGGCCTGAAGGCGTCGTTTTCTACTTTAATGCCATCCAGAACAAAAGTTCAGAATGGGGTACATTACCTTTTTATGCTTATTTCTTGTCATTTTTGCCTCGATTGTTACTTGTTGCTTACCCATTGGCCATCTGGGGTTTTATCGCCGACAAGCGTCTCCGTCGTCTTTTGATGCCCATGATCACCTACGTAGCAGTCTTCTCGCTTTTGCCACATAAGGAATGGCGGTTTATCTTTTATACCATTCCGGTCTTTACGGCCGCTGCAGCGAATATGATTCATAACGTGCTCATTCACTGTCAAGGCAAGGAGAAGGTAGCATCAATATATTACCGCCTTCTACTTTTCATAATTATAGGAGGTGTTGTTGCCTCTGGACTTGTGGCTCAGTTTATGTTTCAAATTTCACGATTGAATTACCCTGGCGGAGAAGCCTTACGAAAACTTCATCAGCTTGAGGAACTACGAGGACGAGGTCATGTATCCATATATTTCGATGCCGATACCGCCATGACAGGGGCATCTCTTTATGGTCAAGCTAACCCTTATTGGCAATATTCCAAGAATGAATCGCATCAAACACAACAAGACTATTTGGACGCACGATATACGCATTTCATCACGGCACACCCTGAACAGTTTGAGACGAAATCTTCGTTCGAGATAATCGATGTCACTTATGGATTAGATAAAGTAGCCTTAAAGTCGTTTGAAGACTGGAAGCAATCAGCTATGGAAAAATGGAATGTGTGGCCAATAGAGTATGAAATGACACCCAAGTTATTTACCCTAAGACTGAAAGAGCCTCAGAAAAATTGGATTTTATCTACTGTCCAAAAATACCCTATTGTACTTTACAGTAAATCGTATTGGTAAGAAACGAAAGAAGAATCATTTTTGGTCCAGATGTTGAAAGTAACATGATTTTCGTTCCTCCTATATTTTTATGTAATTAGTCCGTTCTGCCTAGCAACCAAGCAATTGCTCTCTAAATATTGTGATCTGAAAGAGCAAGTTCATATTATCGAAGTAGATTATCAAGCGGATCAACACCAAATCAAAATGGCGTTAGGTGACCTCACAGGTCGCTTTACATTTCCCAACCTATTCATGAATGGCCAAAGCCTTGGAGGCTTTGATAATTTGTCAGTCATGGATAAAGAAGGAAAATTAAAGGATTTTTGTGCTTAGCCTGCATATGATTAGCTCTGAAAAAAAAACGAAACAATAAAATAGCAAGCATGTAGATGTCGCTAGTTTATGACGATATCTAGATTCAGTACTACCCTATTTACGTAGGACAGAATGTCAGTGCACTTTGTATTCGAACAGTATGACAACAACTAAGTTCTGGGTGAACAAGATCATTTATGGAATTTCGATTCTTGTGATATTGTACTTATCAAAACCAGCATAATAAAGCATAGAATTTATGCAGAAGAGATAAGGTGATTGACCATAAAACAAATTGCATACTTCCAGATGGCACGCGTACTACTCCTGTCCGCTCAAAACATGTCGTTTTCACGTTGAAGCAGATCAATAATTTTTTCAACCCCGATCACTTAGATATTTTAAAACTGGCTGTAACAAAAAGTAATCGCTTTGCTCCTATGCGTTTCAAAAGAAAAAGCTTAGTCACTATATGTCAACAGTTTTGTTCGATGGTTAAAACGAACGTTATTTTAAGTTGCTTAATACGTGTTATGATTATTTTATTCTGGGCGGAACTTATGCATATAAAAAAGAATATTTTTCTTTGTTTGCTGTAACTCATATAATTTCGCAGAAACAATAAAAACTCAGCTTCTTTGTACTTAGCGAGTCCTTAAATAACGCAACAGCAACATAATTGATATAGACAGCACCCACTCTCTTTCATTCACCATTATTACTCTTCTACTCATTTAACAAAGAATCTGTTGTACAACTTTGTTATTTTACGTTCATTCTTGGCATTATCCAGAGCTTTCGTCCTTCCCTTACTTTTGGTCCATCCGAAATCTCATACTCGGTAAATTGTAAATGCCAAATTCAACCACAATCACGACGAATGAACAACATCAAGAACAACAACAGCAACAGCAACAACGGTTCCTCGATCTGAATAAAGATTGTAACGACGCCGTCTGGGATAAAATGGCAAAATTGAAAGAAACCGATTCTATTCACTCCACGGATGCTGCTGATACAGACGGTACCAATAACAGTAGATCACCTACTATGTCAACGCAATATAACGAGAACACACATCGGTCAAGAATTGAGAATAATAAATCAGAGATGTTCACTATAGACAGTGCTACTAAGATTGATAACTCTCCCAATATTATTGTGCCTTTGCCACCACTTACAATACCACAACAACGGCAGTCAGAGTCGCCGCAGCCATTGATAGTACAGCAGCAATCAACTACCATAGAAGCAGTCTATTTCCATCGACTTACAGCAACACAATCTAATCCTTTACCGAGCCTTGCCCACTATCCTAATGCCATTCCATCGTACCAGACTCCTTCTAGTACTCCGACTACCACAGCTGTTACCTCTACTATTGCTGGTATCGATGAAGAGTATCTTCTCTTACAACAAAGTCAACAACATTATAAAAGCAGTACGCGAAGAAGATCTTCCACTTTGTCAGATGATCAAGTGTTTAACAACAGACGTCGTACAACATTGACAGCTACTGCTACCAATATGACAACAACTATACCTGATTTGGGGAATTTGAATTACGAAGAGCAAGCTGCATTAAAAGCTGATATCGCAGCGAGAAGGGCCGCTAGAAGATACTCAAGACGACAACAGCAATTGAACTATAATAAAAGCAATGAAAGAGAGGCTAGACACAGTACTAGTAGTGGCCTCAGACTCAGTATGGATAGTGATGATGGGCGAACTGTAAAGATTGGTACCAGAGTATCTTTAGGGCATAGAAATTACAAACTGATGTAAAGCATTCTTTTTGAAAGAAAGTACTATTCAAGCGTTACTAACAGTATATTTCAATTAGGTATGATATGTTGACTGGAATAAGAATATCGGTAAGTTATTTCATTCTGCCGAAATGATTTGTTTGGGCTCTTCTTTTTTGCTGACTATTTCTTTCTTTAGGTCGGACGAGTTTCAGCAAAGATGCCAAAAGAATTAGTAGCCATGGATTTCCTCGAAGAACATAAGATGGGGTTTGACATGTAAGTAAATAGGAAATTATTGACACAGAGCAGGCGATTCAATATACAGTAAATGAAAGGGAGGAGCGGGGAGGGGGGTGGAGAACGCAAACAAGCGTTAGACAAGGGAAGGACAGTAGAAAGCCTGAAGTTCTCTAAAAATATTCCATATTTTCGTTACAAAACTCCATAGAATGGGGAATGAACTTACTCCAGGAGTACGATATGATTTCAAATTCAAAGATTATGCGCCTTGGGTATTTCGACTTTTGAGAGAAAAGTTTCGTATTGACGCAGCAGATTATTTGGTAAGTTAGTAGTATGATGTCACTAATAGAGGAAAGTGTTTAACCTGCACTTTCAGAAACTGAGCATTCCCTTCAATCTTATTAGATGACATTAACCGAAAAATACATTCTCTCAGAAATCAATTCACCGGGAAAAAGTGGCAGCTTCTTTTACTATTCGAGAGATTACAGGTTTATCATTAAAACTATTCATCACACGGAACATAAAACAATCCGTAGAGTTTTGAAAGACTATTACGAGGTAAGTGCACCCAAGCATACTTAATCACATTTAAACAGTATTATAGCATTTTGTTTTAAAAAATTTGTGCGCCTTATTCTAGCATGTCAGTGCAAACCCGGACACTTTGTTATGTCGATATTACGGATTGCATCGAATTAAATTACCACACGGCAGAAAAATACACTTTGTTGTTATGGGCAATGTCTTGCCGAATGATAAAGTTGTGCATGAAACCTACGATTTGAAAGGATCGACGTTTGGTAGATTGACACCGGATGAAATAGCGAATCAATCAGGCGCTATATTGAAAGATTTGAATTGGGTATTGAATGGAAAGAAACTGGAGCTGGGGCCGCAAAAAAGAAATTTGTTGATGGAACAGCTAAGAAAAGATGTAGACGTAAGGCTTGCTCACGTCCAACAAATGGTAGACGTTTTTAATAGAAGATGCTCACATTTGAACGCTATGTTTTCTTATTTGTGCTCATAGTTATTGGTACGGCTGCAAGTGATGGATTATAGCCTTTTGGTTGGTATCTATGATTTTTCGAAAGGGTACACGGGTCCAAGCCATTTAAAAATAGTATCACCACAGGCCAATGAGTTACAGAAGACGGTCTCAATAAGGGGAAGACGGGAGAGTAAAGCCGAAATATTACGGCAAGCCATCAACAGTGCAAGCCCTGTGCAATTAGACCCAGCAGAGTTACCCGAATTACCATCTGAAGAGTTAGTATTCATCGTAGATTTTGATTTCACGAAAGAGTAGGAAGAAACTAATGAAGCTGCATTCAACAATAGACGCAAATACTGCAAATTTTATGCTGAAGATGGTGGGTTTAGATCTACAGATACGGACAATAAACCAACCGATAAACTCTACTATTTCGGTATTATTGATATCTTGACGCCATACAATTATGTGAAAAAGAGCGAGCATCTGTTGAAAAGCTTTACCCAAAATAAGGTAACTAAGAATGGATCATCTACTGCAATTTTCGCTTTATGTTAATTGTCATGGGCTCCCATATCCAATAGACAACAATATCTGCAGTGGAACCTGAGGAATATGGTAGAAGATTCCTTGAATTCATGGAAACTGTAGTGATACCTATCCCTGCTGCGAGGGCCAAGATAGAATTACAGACAATATAGAAGAACATCTCTGGCAATTATTTATTTGACATTTACGCATATATCATACATCATATTTCTCTATGTATATTAAACATGATACCCTCCTATATTCCAATAGTGATTGCATTCGCACACATACGTCTTTAATTGTTCTTAGTCACGGCCTCAGATATGTGCTGCATAACAAGAGACAGGAAAACTCCATCATGGCCGGAAAAAATGCTAAATTCTAGCCACTGTGCGAGTGCGACCTTTGGAGTGCTTACAGAAGCATCTTTAAGCTGGCGATAAAATAAATTCAAACATTGAGGGTAAGTTTAATGATCGTTCTATCAGCACCACGTTAGCCAGCATCATTTTTTGCAGTTCTCTTCTTTTTTGTTTTCGGGAAAATTTTATACATATTCTTTAAAAGTAAATTAGATATGTGTATGAACGTGAGTTGATGTATTTACAATTCACTAATCAGAAGAAATACGTTTTTTATAGCTGTGAATTGTGATGAAAAAGCTTAATTACAATAATTCTTTCAGGCATTTTGGTACACATTTGAATTGAATACTCTGCTCTCAAGTTTCCGTAAAACTTGTAATGAAGAAGCCTCATTATTAACATTTATTTATTTTGACATTTATTTTTGAAACCATTAAGTACAGTATTCTGATCGTTTGACAGTGATTTAATGATATACTCTAGTGTCTTGTAATATCTGACAGATACACTCGTAAGATAGATCTTCAAGCTATCAAAACAACATCTACTCGAATTTCTAATTAATTCTAATAACCTTTTAATTTAAAAAGAAACACGTTAATAAAATTATAAATTCTTAAATAATTGTCTTTGTTTGCGCATGAGTCTATCATAACTTTATTCCGTTCATATACAAGAGGCTGTAATCCCATAGGCTTAAGAACGATCATAAATCTAAAGTGGGCACTAGCGCTTGTATCGACACCGTAGGATTATTCAGTCATTAGGATGATTATCATGACGCTGTTGGTTAATAAGGTCGAATGTGTTGTATATCAATGATATTATATAACGATGAGCTAGCATGCTTATTACTTCTGATATTATTGTTGCTGATGGTTAAATTCTCAGCATTCGGGCAGGACAATCATATTTAGGAGGCCAGAATGTCTTGGAACGAAAGCTGTTGCTATCAATTACCCAATAGTGGCAGTATTACAATAAGGCCGAAAAAAAGAGCTTCAAATATCACCTGGGCTTGTAATCGTAGTTGCTTAAGTTAGCTTTACAGTAATTGCATAAGTCCAGAAGGCCATCAAACCGTAACCACAAGGTTGTGAGAAATTTTGCCACGGTTACCATCCGAAGGGAAACAAAAATGAATTATTACTACTAGTGCTGCTGCTATTCCTATATAAACACGCTCTCCTCTTCGTTCTTTGAGGCGTCAGTATTCCTCCAGTTATTAACTATTATACTGCCATTACATTTGGGAAAAGAAAGAATGCAATCATGCAGATGGTGAATGGCTTTTCCTTTACAAATAATGACCAGGTATATAAGTGTACTCAGAAAACCTGAACGATAATGAGGAAGTTTCTAGAAGAAGATAATGCAGGAGTAAAAGAGCCACATCAATAACCGAACACATTCAGACTAAAAATGATAGAGTTCTTTAGTTTTTTTTTCATTGAAGAAAATGCCAACAGTAACAACGAATTGTATCCTATTGTAATAGATAACGATGAGCAAGGAAAAAACAATTAGTGTTAAAATGCCGCAGAAGAAGCAGTAGAAGTAAAGGATTCGCCTTATGCTGGTCTGTTGGACTCTCAAACATCACGCGCGAAGATTTTCAGCAGCATGAAAGTTGCCAATACAAAAGTCTTTATCAATTAATATTAAGCTTTTATAGCAAAACCACTACTCAAATAGATAGGAGCCTCAGTAAAGTGTTTTTGCACAAAATGATTACTATGCCGTTGCGCTGTAGTCTATAAAGAAGCTGTAATAGGTATATCGTATTTTATTCAATGTATCACTTGGATCTTTTGTATGTACAACGCTCCTCAATAGGATCATCCACAGGTGCAGGTACAAATGGCGAGCCGACGACGACTTCTTTGTATTGCTCTTCCTGTGATATGAATAAGGCTTTTGTCGGGTAAGTAACACCTGTGATGGAGGAGCATGCCAAGTTATTGGGTGTATTCGATGAAGAAGTTGCGATGACCTCCATAAAATCATCACTGTCCTCTTCTCCGCTAGATATAATAGAAAGTGGGCTTTGATTATCGATCAAACGAATATCATGCTTTTCGCCTGGTATAAAGGATGACGTGGTGGCAGATATTGTAAAAGAGCATGACCTTTTATTACTCGTGCTGTCAGATTGTCGTGATATCATGTCTGCAAGACATCTTCCTGAATTATTTGTTTCTTGCCAAGATGTTAGCGGATAGGCTACCTTACGACTGGGTGTGCTATATAATTTTGGTGTAGGTGATGCAGATGGAAAAATAACGGGTGAAGGAGTGCTGTACATACGGTTAATTGATGGAGATATATTGTTCTGATATCTGTTGAGGTCAGAAGGATATTGGTATTGCTGATACAACTTTCCTTCCATTTTAAACAACTATCTCAAGAAAATAAAAATTTCAGATAGAAAGAAAAGTGCTAGAATACTAACGAACGACGATAGTAGAAAAGGGTTGCATAGTTTTAAGAAGAGATGCCCTGCGTTTAAGTTGGAAATGATGGAAGCACACTCTTCATACAACTGTGACATGGTCTTCAAAGTGTAACGTGTCTTCTGATCAGCCAAGTGCAGCACATGCCTTGTTTCCTTTTTTTTCACGCAACGTATCTCTTATAACTATTTCTCTTATTGATTAACTGGGTTTAGAAATTTACTTCGTTACAGCCCTAACCGAATTATTCAAATATTGATAGCCATTGCCGATAGTAATCTTTGTAAACAATTATATAACGACACGCGTACTGAAGCTAACATACCCAGGGCTTTAATTCTTCCTTAAAAGATAGTGTAACCTGAATATGGGTACGAGGCATACGACAATTCGTCTGTGCACGTTTACGAAATGTAAATTGCATAATTATAAATAAACTACGTAATAGTAACGACAGGTATACAGAAACAATATACGCCTTTCATGAAGATGCTCTTTCCTCCCCTCCCCCAACTTTGCTCTCAATTAAACAAGCTTTCGCTTGCATGATTATACATAAATACATGACGAGCTCTGCATATGTGCTGTGAAGAACGCTCTCAAAAAGTCAAGCTGCTAAAAAGCCAATATCCTTAGATTCAAATTGATTTCAGCCCTGATCAATTTAGTTTGTAACGTTGCTACTAAATGTTTTTTTTCAGCATTTGATGAAATGAAAAAAAGTCCGTAAAATACTCGGTATACAAATGACCAGCTATCCATGGTAGAAGATACATAGAGACTCAATCAAGAAAGAGCGTATGATAATCTTGGCATAGTAATACGGGCGTCAAAACAGAGTCGCTAGCATTGATTACTTATCATTTGGTACTAAATGTATGAGGAATTGCTGCACATAGATGTATTTCTGAAATGGTGTATGTTTCCTTGGGTTAGTTTACAAATATATCATAACCATTTGTTCTCCGCATATCTATGTGTTGATTTTTTAATTCTTGCTTCAGTTGTCTTCATAACTCTGCAGTTCTTTTGTCATAAAGCTCGTACCACTTCTCCACCATCTATTGAACACTGCCTCAAACTTTGGCTCACTATATTATTTACTTTCTTGCTGCCTTTATCGATTCGGTTCCCTTTGCGTTCAGTATACCACGCCATTGCCTGCTTTACTGTATCTTTTATACGAAAGGTAGCCACAGTAGTTACCGTGTATTTACTCTTTTATTTAATAATCTATCCTATATTCAACAAGTAAAAAATTGACCAAAGGCGCATAGTTTTTTAAATAAAAGCAATGCTTTTAGATATGAAAGCCTTTTTTCTTTAATTCCTTAACGTTTTAGTAGAATTTACTGCTACAAGCGTTTCTGATGATAACCCTGTAACCCGCAGCTGACATAGACATCTGGACTCATCTTAAAACAGTGTTCTTCAATTTCAGCTACATTGCCCAAAATCTGTGCCTCTTCTCCTCTTTACAGCTCAATACTCAACACTTTATTGTCGCATCCGATATGCCGGCACTGAAAAATGTTGCTGACTACTTAAGGAAAACTTGTTTTTCCTTAAAACCAACTACTGTCAAATACAATTTCTCGCGAACAGTGTTTTTCGCTTCGAGCTCATTAACGAAATGCTCCATCTGTATCAGTATCTATGATTGAAACAACATTCTCTAGTTTTTTTTTTTGCCTAAAATTAAAAAAAAAAGGTGATCATTGAAATTAGCAGGTTCCCTCAGAAGGCAAATTCTAATTGTCAACAGAAGGCTTTCTTCATCGTATTTTGCAGTTTTATTTTTAGCGCCGAATCAGAAGAAGCTTTTATCTTTTGCATATTACTCAGATAATCATTTACATGTTATAGAGTTAAGCATCACATTCTTGTCATGAACCGTAAAAACGCGTCTTTACAAAAAATTACAAAGAAGGAAGAATAGCTGAAACAGTAATTTCCTTTGTACAATTCATCTTCCTTTTAAGAGACGGTTATTTCATAGCCGAAACTGCCTTACTTCGCTAAATATACGCCTTTTTCCTTTAAAGCAATTACGATTGAGAATGGTAAAGAAAGCCCCTGTTAAGCCCTATATTTACATCAAGCATAAAATGTATACCTATATGATTAGAGGAGCAGAGCAGTAAATTCATTGCCTATAACTGCCCAATAAGCACAAATTATGCATTCGGAAAAGCGAAAGATCTACTCTTTAGCTTCTAGAAACACTCTATAGAAAAATAAAATAAAATAAACTCTCCCAGATAGAATCATTCTCGAACACTCACTGTTGTAAGCGAAAAAGGATATTGATTGATGTCAATCCGCGTCTTTATTACTAATATAACCATTCTTAGCTTAAATCAAAGGCTATTAAATATTTACCTAGCACACTGCTTAATATATTCAGATTCTGTCACCATTAGTAAAAATTCCTCATCCTGAATTGTAAGACGGCATGCTAGGACTCTGACGAAGGGCGATCTGAATTTTTCTTACCACCATGAAGCAATGGCGAGTAACGAATATAACCAGTTGATTGTACATTGAAATGCTCTTTATTTAACAGTATAGACGACTAGTAACAATAGATGACATTCGAGACCTTTTAAATGACAGAAGACTGTCTTTAAAAGACTTATCTGACTAAGCATAAATGCATAAGGAAGTAATTTACATAAATTGTTAAACAAGCAATCAATCCTACTCCAACATAACTACATCTTCGTTTAAGATGTCCGTCAGTTATTTACTATACAAGAAGAAAAAGGTGTAACGATATTAGGCGCTTATATTCCCCTCGAAACACTGTCAGTCGCAGTTGTCTGAATTTAAAACAGATTCTGACAAAATTGAATAAATGAATTAACGTAAATTCGTTAAATGAACTATTAAGGGTCTCTTTGAAAACATAATGAGGTTATTGTATTGCTTATGTTGTATTTCATTTATTCGTATGAATACAAATACTTGTGCTTAATGATTTAACTATCAAAGTGTTTTCAATGAGTACAAGCAAACAGTTGTCTTTAATTTAAAAGCAGAACAGAGATTTACACTTTTTAAAAGTGAAGTACTGTAGGACATTATACGCAAAGCTTAACGGAAATCTCTCTAAATTGAATTCATATTACATTTTTGCAAATCCGGTACATGTCTTGGTTATAGTTTCTAGCCAATATCAGTTCGAGAGTTCGGCTCGTGCAAAGCAACTTTTACTTGGCACAGCTACAATAGAGTTTGTTTACAAAATAAATGGAATATTTTGCTTTTTCTCAAATAAGATCATCCTCTACTGCTCTTTTCTTAAAGCCAGCAACTAAGATAGAAGTAAACGCGTTCTCCCTTTTTCCACCTCTACCAGAAATGACTCTTTGATAACCTTATGGAGCCGTTCCGAGCTCCATTTCTCTCTTAATTAGAATTGAACAAACGCCGATAGTTTAGTAAATCTTGCGCTCAAACCAAGCAAATCTCCCCGTCTGAACAACTTGTAATTGAGCCACTATTTACCTCCACTACCACTTCTTCGAACCTGAACAGAAAAAGGTACGCTTAAATTAACGAGTATTGTATCGTTTTAAAGGCTTATTTTGCATGTACGAGAATTGTTTCACGGAACTTGCTGTTAAGGTAGGCTTTATATTACCGTCCTCAGTGGAAAACAATAAAGCCATGGTAAAAAAACGGAAAAGAAAAAAAAATATATTTTTTTACATGGGTTGTAAGTATGAATGTTGCGGAGAGCACACCAATACGATCGATCGAAGTTCCTGATCAGTCTTTCTTTTATTCCTACTGAGGCAAAATTATACCATTTAAATACCTCACGGTAAAGAAGATACGCGTTCTCAAAATCATATGCTTTTTTCCAGGTAAACATCTATTAAATGCCTTTTCCTAGCTTGATTTACGACAACTGGGCTTGATGGTTGGAAATGCAGGTGTTACCTCCAATGCAGTTTTTGTTCTATTTTATTCAGCTTAATGGGGTTTACCTTTTTTTTTTTTCCTATTCAGCTTAATGTTTGAGATTTTATATTACATACTTTTCCAGGGAAAAGACAAACTGCAGCCATTCGCGTCCAATATCAAATGCGCGGGGATCGTAGCTGAGATATCACATATTGACTCGTTTTATTATATGCCAAAACGCTCTTCTGAGTTTGATGTACGATGAATTAAAATGATCTCTTTTGATAAAGGTCCTTTATTACTTTTATACATTTATATCCCTTTGGCCCTTTTTATAAGTTGAATACCTTTCTTTCCCTAATTTATTTTCCTTCTTCTTCTCATTCTGCTTTCATTAAAAGAGAATTCCTTCATTGTTCAATCCCCCATTGAATAGGTTCGATCACCATACCTCCTTATACCTTCTCAGTTTGAGCCTTTAGCCTATTCAATCACCTATTATTCTTGAACCCTTCACTAGAAACCCGTTTTCATATATCCCCTCTTTTGTAACGCGTCATCTTTTCCGATCAATCTTCTACTGACATGAATAATTCTTCTGATACGACATTGACTAACCGAAAATCTGAAAGTAATCACGAGGTGCATATCGAGAATCATCATTCATATGTTAGAAAGAGAACAAGAGCAACCGCCGAGCAGTTAGCCGTCCTTGAAGATACATTTGCAGTAAATGTCAGTCCTAACAGCAAACTTCGAAAGCAGCTTGCTGAACAACTCAATATGAGTGAGCGTTCAATTCAAATTTGGTTTCAAAACAGAAGAGCCAAAGTGAAGCACATGCAAAAGCGAGCACAAATGCAAATGCAGCAAGCAGCCATTCGCGCGCAATTGTATCATTATCATCAGCAGCAATTCGGTATGTTATCACCTTATGGTGCTGCTCCTCCACCTCATCCCATGCTTTCGTTACAACCTCCTGCTCTTTATAACCCTCATCAAGGCCAACCACAAACACCTGGAGCAGCAGCAGCAGCAGCAGCAGCAGCAGCCGCGGCAGTAGCAGCGCAACAGCAACCTTTCTTCTTCCCACCCCCTCCTTACATGCGTAGAATGCCTGTTCCAAGAGCTCAAAGCGTTGACGCTGTGTCTTATTATGGTAATCCTGCTGATTCTACTCCCGATTTGACCGCCAGGTCCTCTTTCCCTACACCGGGCCCTGAACCATTTATGTCAGAGAGTGCTACTCCTCCTCCACATCTCTCGCAGCAATATACGATGGCATCGGTTGAAGGAAGCAGTGTGAATAATGGCGGAAGCTGGTCAGTGCCACCCTCTAGTTACTCTATTCTAGATGGTACGAACGCATCAATGAAACTGTCAAGACAGAGCATGCCTCCTTATAACCCTTTATCACACACTCTCATGGACGATTTTGTTACTGCTAATACTCCTGCTCATCAAAATGAACTAGCAACTAATGAATTGACAGGTGAAAACTCAAAGCAAAATCTTACAGATGATTTTCCTGATTTTGTGCACGGTCAAATGTCTCCTTCTCCTAGCCCTAAGAGAGAAGATAAAAATGCCAGTTATTTCTCTATCTCAAATTCCGACACCAATGGTCATCAAAAGAAATCGTCTAACACGGACTCAACAGCGACATTCAATAATGATACTACAAAGAACGATGATAGCAAAATGAACAAAAATGTTAATGAAGATACCACCACAAGTACTAATGCTATTCATGAGGCAGATATGTGGATCGCATCACCCAGTAAGTTTATCAATTAATTGTTATATTATCCTACGAGACTTAAACTCTAATGGTTTTATACTTTATATGTTTCACAGATGTTGGTGCCTCTTTGGCTACAGGGTTATCTACGAACGTTACTGCTAATGCAAACTCCGCTGGTACTACTGCAACTACTAATGAAGATGATGCCGCAACTACCGTAAACCCTTCCAATTTGACGATGTCTGGCTCCTCCTCATCAGGCTGTAGTTCTTTTGAAAATTCTAAAAACTGCTCTTACCTTAACGCTACGACTCTTACCATTGGCACTTGGCACCGTCTCAAACTTCAGTCTTCTGATTTGGTTTGTCTTCACGAAAACGTACAAAACGCTTTCATGTGGTACATTACTGAAGGTGGCTGTCGATTCAAAGTAGAAATTCCTATTACCAGTCTTGTTAGTGTCGAACATTCCACATCCATTATGTCTGTAAGTGGTGAGCCTACATCAGATGTTCATTTTTATATGTCCCAACCTCCACTATTCTACATGGAAACAAATACTACTTCCTCCAATGGAATAGCAACAACAGCGACTTCGACAAATTCTGAAAAGGAAACTCAATGGATACAATGCAGTGATTTCACGGAAAATAAACAAGCTTCAAGGTTCCTTCGTCATACTCTAAAAGGTGGTACTCAATTAAAGCAAGACCTTCTTACTCTTATCAATGAAAGAGAAGATTTGCGTAGATTCATTCATTTCATAGAGGATCATCATGGCAACAACAACAATAGTCTTTATCCGGCTAATACAATACCTTCTGCCACCGCATCTTCCTCTTTTAGCACAACTCCATTCTTACCATCACAACAACAACAAGGCTCGAACATGATGATTCCCTCAGCTGCAGCAGCAAACCCTTATTATTCTGATGCTACCTATTACTGTTACCCAGGCGTTCCTACTGCTTCCATGCCTCCATTACCACTAAATCCGACTTCTACAACTTCTATGGTTTCTAGCAACGAATCGCCAGTTCCTTGTGGTGGTTTTTACCCTTAATCTGTTATGTTTTTTTCTTTTTGGTTTAGTTTCTCCTTGCTTTTTTTTTATGCCTTTTTCGTTTTTTCATAGTTTAAGTAAATTATAATGTTTATTGATTGATATACAGCTTCTATTCCATCCACAACAACGTCAACAACTTGTAAATACTCAAATAAAAAAGTCTATACTCATTCTGTTTTGTTTTTGTAAATTATTCTTGTACTGCAGTATCGTATTTTAGTCTATTGTGTGCAATTCCTCAGTTATACAGCCCCTAACTTTGGTCCTTTTACGATTTAAAGTATTGAAATAGTTTAATTTCGTCAGAGGTCTGAAACTGCAATTAATTTACGAGTAAAAGTAATTCCGACTTGGATAGCGTATGTACATGTATGACTGCAAGACTAATGAATGTAGTTGCGTTAAGTTATTAAAAGGTCACTCCAATGATTACCATGACCTCTCGCAACATAGCTTCATGTTTTTGTTTTAATATGATCATAATTGCACCGCAAACTCGAGCTTTTTGTATTGTCACTTTAATGTAGCATACCAAGAACCAAATAGCAGCCGGTTTTTTTGAAAAAACTCGATTGCAAGGATTACAGCTTACTAGCAGCAATATGTGGGACACACTTGTTCTATGCACCGGGTGAACGGCTATCAATATGGTTTAGACGCAAGAATGATTATTTCTCCAACTAATACTCGTGTTCCTACATTCTCACAGTATGTTATATGAATGATAGAATAACATCCTTTCTATAAGTATACATACAGATACATAAACTAATATGCCTCTATTGGGTTGGCTAACAGATACGCATGTACACACACACAAATTTAAGTCTGTACACGTATGTTTTAAAACAACAAGCGCGTAAATGTAACTCTTCTTTACTTAGTAATCTGATTCTGCCGGATGAGTAACTCAAATGAGTTTCCCCAGTTATACATATACAGCAAAGCAGTATTGCTTTTACCGGCTATTACTTCACAATGCAACTTGCAAATGTTCAAAAATCATTGGCGAAGACGGAGCTATCATATAAGACCATATGTATCAGAATCTGCAATTTATATGTAGCTGGTAAATTGCAATTAAACAAGGTTGCTAATTTTGTTGACGCGTTTAATCTAATGCGAAATACTTTCAGAATTGACGCAATTGGGGGAGGGTCTAAATGATGCTCCTTTGCTTCAAATTTAGTTGGATTGATCTTTATTTTATTTTATTTTTTGACATATTCGATCATCGACAAAGCGTCAGAACAATTGTGTGGTATACTTCACGCGTTGAAAAAAGAAGGATAGAAAAGTACAGTGAATCGACAGGGCACTTAATCACCGCCTGCTAATTGAAATTTTCGCTACTTATTCAGTTCGGATGATATTGTTTGAATTACTGCAAGCTCATAGGTTTAGGAGTGAAACGTTGATCTACAAATTGTAAAAAAAAGGAAAAGGAATAACTATATTGCAATCAGTAAGCCGCAAAGACACGATAACGGATCTTTATCTTACAGTCTTCCCGTTAACCACTTATTCTACTATTACACCAGTATTACAGATTCATCCATCTTAAATTAAACGGACCATTATGAATACTATGCGTATTAATAACCATTGTCATTATTCTGGTCGTCACTGGCCAAATCAAAGCGAAGTTTCCAAGAAAGAGGAAAGACTATCTTCTCATTGGCCGTTTCTCATTTTGTGTGCCTGAGTCGGAATGCGTTGGGCGCACAGACACTTCATCGGTCTTTTTTACTTTTAAAAAAGGATTGTTTCACACTGTTCAGTATACATAAACGCGAGAAACAAAAAAAAAAAAAAAAAAAAAGCTGAATTTAGTGGCGGCTTTTCATGATAATTTGTTTCACGTATTGGAAAGAAAAGGCTCTAGAATTGTATGCGTTTTTTTTTGGTTTTTTTTTCCGAACATTTTATTTATTCTGGCCCTGATTTGAGCGGTAGAAAGTCAAGAACGTTTCGGAAACCCTAGTAGTAAGTATACAATGTTTGGAAAGCGTTTTAATTGAAATAGATGCGTCTGTAAATTTTTGGAATAATAGAGTCAAGTATGATATTAGACCCCTGGCCAACGCAGTCATTTGCGAATTGCAGCATTTCCGCCTTGGAGTCATTGATTACCAAGGAAGTCAGACCATATGCACATCTTCATTGTTTTAATTGTTTTTCTAAGAAAAACGACATGAGTAAAGAGCACTTATAAAAAGAAAGCATTGATAGATTTATGTTCAAAATGTTGATAATGATGATGAAGAAGAGGAGACATAATGAATTTTTCTTATTGTTTGGTTGGATGTTAATCCTTTTTCTGACTCTTTTTGCTTAATGAAGAAGAGGTATGTCGCTCCCCTACTTCTTCAAAATCAGCGAAGTCGTCAAAGTCGTCAATATCACTTTCCTCATCTTCTTCATGGCCGCCTATTGCAAAGAAACTGTTATCATGACCTCCAGAATTTGAGTGTCGCTGATGTTGATCTGCCGAACTGTCGTTATCATCATTGTCATCCTCGCTCACTTCCGCTTCGTATAACATAGGTGTTTCTATCACAAGTTCATCCCTTGAAAGAAGACAATGTTATTTCTTATTCCGTATAAAAGAGAGGGATAAAAATTTTCCGCTTACAATTCATTGGTCTCTTCATTCTCATCCAAACGAAACTTTCGTCGTCTGTTATTTGATACTGCTGTCAATTTAGCGAAAAGACCGCGGACGCGTCCAACCGCATTATGTATGATATTACTAGACTGTAGGCGTTCATGTCGTGGAGCCCCTCCAAATTCTGCTGCTCGCGAGCCTGATGGGTGCCTTTGTCTTTTGTACCAACAACAGCAAATTCCGGTAGCCAGCGCAATTATCAAAACTATAGAAGTTGCTCCCAAGCCATAAGAGCGACTACCAGTGACTGCGCTATCATCTGATCCATCTTCATCTGTTTTTGTTGGTGTTGGCGTCATCATGCTCGATGGCGTAGGAGGGACATCCGAAGGAGCTGAAGGTGTCACTGTATTGTCTCCAACCTGGCTCATTCTTCCTTTCACTACGTTGTCCCCGACTTCCATGAACCGATTCATCATATCCAAGCACTCTAAAGGTCGATCATAGGGAACCATGTGACTGCCATCTTTGATAAGCACGTAGGTCAAATTACGTTCTTGGGTATAATAGCCAGCTAATTTATTGTCTATAGTCCATTCTTCCCTTTGAATATCTTTAGCAAAGCCTTTCGATCCATTCCATGTCATATTGCCAATCAGATATTCGGTTCCAACATAGTTGCAAATTAAGTCATATTCTCCACTAAACAGGAGTACTGGTATTTCTTTCAAAATATCAGGTAAAAGCTGAAATAGACCTTAAAATAATGGCAATGATATTGTTTTTAATTTTTCCAAGCATACTTACATAATATGCTGGCTTATCATTGTCCTCATGTAATTCAATTGATACCAAAGAGGTACATTCTTTCCAACCTAACGTTTGTTTTTCCGCATGAATGGCTCGTTTTACTTCTGGCAACTACATAGGAATAAAAAGTCGGTAATCTTAGCAGCAGCCTCTTTCTCCCATGATTGACAAACTTCTCACTACCCTTAAGTATTTGGTCACGTCGTCTAATTCATAGGGCCATGATAAACCGCAGTCTGGAAACGTTTCGTCTTTTAAACGAATATCATACATATTAAGACATACTTTGGTTCCATTTCCGTTTCTATTATGAAACATGTGAATAAGTATACTTTGTCAACGTGTTGGGAAAGGAAGTTTCGTTTTTGATTTACTCATGCGTGCTGTCATCGAGAATATCAGATACTATTCTTTCGCAGGAGCTTATGTGAATTGTTTCCTTTTTCTTTAAATCGTCCTGGCATATTTTCATATGAGCTGATACCAGTGGCTGTAATGAAGGAATAATAGTCAGTATCTCAGATTGGCGGCTTTCTATACTACTTTCTGTGATTTAAAATTACCAGCCGGTCATTGCTTATTAGATTTTGTGCAGCACTGAAATCATAGTAGGCGTTGTATTGATGCTCTGGAGCGATCCATCCGTTTCCGATGGCTATGCCTTTCAGGGAATACTATAACGATCATGAGCATCAGTCTATCTCTATAATCATCGATCTGTTTCATTTACCTTTTGCCCTTTCTGGTTAAGTTCTAACAGCCGTAGGGCGAAATAGGGTATATAAGTGCCGGCAAAGCTTTCACCAGCAATATACAAATCTTGTTGCCTTAAACTTGGGAATGTATCGAATAATTTATCGATAAAAAGGACAAACTCATCCGTTACCTGTAAGCAGTAGGAAAGTATACAGTGAATCTCCCGGTGTAACATCTATGTATAATCTATTTCAACTGAGGTTTACATCTGACATTGTATGCATATAACTATCTGTATTTGCGAAGCTGAATCCAGTACCCACTGGTTGATCAACTATATTTGCGCGAATCCGTTAAATGAGTCTCTTCTGATACGGTTTGTCTCTGCTAGTTACGTTAAATGTTGACTTAATCTTTTACCGAAAACATTTGTTGCATAATTCTGCCACCCGCCCTCGGTTATACTCAGAGATAAGTCTTTGTTAACCCTGAAGGGTCCATTCTCTAAGAACAATCCATCCATACTAAAATGGAGTCACATTATTGCCAAGGAACTGGTTTTTGATCCCATTTCCCCGCAATCTGAAATAAAACTCATACCTTGAGCATCCAGGGCCACCATTCAACCATATAATCTAACATAACACGAACATATATTAGATCCTTTTCCTTTGAGCATCCATTTGTCTTTCTGAAATGATGAAATTATACAAGTTTCCCAAGTGGCGCTGTCGCTTCTTTCTCGACCATCCAAAAAAAGATATTTGCATTCGTTGTACTATTTATCTCAATGTGACTATTTCATACACAAACTACTGTCAGCATAACTAATCTACCGAAAAGTTGAGAAAGAATCGTTACCCTGCATATTGTGTAAAGTTGAGTTTGTCGACATCAATCCCGGGCAACGAGGTGATCTTATAATCTTCAGCTGTGAAAAAAAAACGTTGGTGATTTTTTCGGGTCGTATCAATGAAACATACAAGCGTACCTTTTTGCCCTGACGCGAACAATAGTCTAGACAATACAAACAGTCCATATAGAAATGGTCGCATTGCAAATCAGTGGAAAAAGGCTGATGTTGAATGCTGGATACTTTGAGCTCAAAAAGGGAGAAACAATAATGTAGAGCATTGAGACGATATCCAATGAACTTTTTGTTTGCGAAAAAAAAAAAACCAAAAAACAACTAAATTATCAAAACCCCGTTTCGGATTGTTAAAAGATTGGCAAAAGCTTGCTAACAAAGTTAACCGAAAAAGGGATCATAGTGGGATTCAAACCAACACGCTTGAGCTGTGTCATTTTTTATTCTCATTTACGTATGCATGCTCTACGCAACACACGCGTCCTTCCTATCATGACTCTTTTCAATCATGAACGTGGAATCCATCTTTCTCTTATCGGTTCGCCGTAACGACTCTTTAACCTAAACCCCTAAGGCCAAGTTCAGTTGTTCAGTATCTAGACTCATTGTGCAGTTGATTGTAACCCTGAGAAGGAAGTGTGCTTATAACCATGACCATATTCCTCCTTCAGAAATGTGCTCCACTTTAACTTAAGAAGTCGAAAGAAATTACGTAACTGTAAATGCTTATTTCGGGTGTTGATTCTCACTGACTACCTATGAGAAAGTAGCAACATTCCTTGCTATAACATAAGATTTTAAGAATTATAGCCGTAACATTGTTTGGATGCCGTCAAGTTTTTTATCGCAATATCATTCATTTTGGCTGCAGGCAGGCATTGAATGGCTATATAAACTATAGTTTAGCATTCTGCTGTCTTATGTACTCAGTCCAATCAGCCTTTTGCTTTTGTAAAAAAGCCATAATCCCGTAAGCTGCTTCACTCGATTGCATCATGCTGATATAGGCCTCCTCTACGTCCTTGCGAATAAGATCCGTTCTTCGAGAATCACCACCAGATACAATTGTCTCGATCAACTTCTTCACGTTCGCCATAGCACCTGGAGCTGCTTCTAACAGCATCGCTGTGTACATTGCGACCTTCTGGTTCAATTCATCATTATTAGCGGCTACTGCGCTGTAATATTGACTTGCTTCTGCTGTCGTTATTTTCCTTCCTGTCATCATAAATTCTCGCGCCTTCTGTTTGCCTAGTTCTGGAACGAGATATTGAGAAATAATTGCTGGTATGATGCCTCTTTTAACTTCTGTTAGTGCAAAATAAGCATCCTTGTGTACGACGCGTATGTCTGTACAGAATATAAGACCAACGCCACCTCCCAATGACGGTCCATTGACTCTGGCTATCACTGGCTTGGGAAATTTAGCTAATTTCTCGTAGACTTGTACACCTTTGTCAAACGACGCTTTTACAGAATGTTCTGATGACGATGAAGATGCTGCTGCCATTGATAAATCCATGCCTGTACAAAAGAACTTGCCAGCGCCTGTCAGTATGACAACTCGAATGTTTACGTCGTTCTCTATCTCGTTCAAATAATGTAATAAGAGTTCATTCATGGTGGCAGTCAATGCATTCCCTTTGTGTGGACGGTTTAGTGTTATTGTTGCTACATTGTTCTCAACAGATAACAGAGCTTCTTTTTCTATTTCAGTGGCCATATTATCTGAAAGGAATACAATGAATGAGACAAGAAAGAGATGTGGAAATTTTTAGAAGATGTACCTGAAATACAGTCTTTTTTTTTATTTTCCCAAATAAAGTGAACCCCTTATTGAAAGCATATCCTATCTTGTGGGGGAAAAAACCGTGACCCAGAATTACAGTGTGTGAGACTTTCCTTTTTAATTGTGTTATTTGACTGAGCACGTCCTTTTTCGTTTTCACATTTCTTCTTCATTCTCGATATCATATGTTTATTCTTGAAGACGGAAAGGGAAATCAGCTTACTCATGCCAAAATTCCTATTTCTATATTTTGGAGTGCAGAATAGATCAATAAAAAAACATCATCTTGATGGATGAGTAGTTTTTTGGAAGCAGGCGCATAAAATGTGATATTTAGCGTTATATTATCGATAGATACTTGAACAGAACTGGTAATGAAGTTGTTTCTAATACATAATACATGTGGCATCCTAAAGAGATTAGCGCTGACGGATGACTATTGTTACTTTGAGCAGGGGCCTGTTCTTTATGGAATAACGATCCACCAGGTTCACCTTTGAAACAAAGCCGCCGTGATGTTTAGGTCAAAGTTGAGATTATGTCCTTTGTCTTTTATAGCTTGCTGCTTCTTTTAGCTTCCTCTTCTTTTCTTTTGACCATGTTTGCTAATACTTCCAACAAAACCTTTAAATCAAAGGAAGCTGCACGATTTCATGGTCTTTCAATAATTTTGACAAATAACAAAATTGTTCTGTTGTTACGTCTTCAGGTCTCGCTTTGAAATCAACGATGGTTTCCATCTTTTGTAATAATTCAGGTGTAAATTGACCTGGACACTCTTTTCGTAACCGTTGTGTTAAATGACCCATTGTCTTTCTTCTCTTTGTAAAGTAATATCTAAGGACATTCTCTAATGTCAAATAGGTTGTTGAATCAATTGATAAATTACTCTTCGGCACAAATTGTATGACTGATGCATCGACTTTTGGTTTAGGTACAAAAACTGTTGCAGGTACTTTATACACTGTTTTTACATTACAAACACTTTGTGCCATGACGGATAGTCGACCGCGTTTTGAGGTAGATACGTCAGCTGTGATGCGCTATACAAAGAAGTAAAATGAAAGGAGTCAAAACACATATATATCATTCAACCATAAAATAGCTTGCTATGTACGTACGTCGCCTACTTCCTTTTGAAACATCAAATTCATGCACACATCAAGGCCCAATCCAAAAATACCATGCCGATTGACTTGTTGGTTCAAGAACTTTAACAATAAGGGTGAAGCAATATTAAATGGTAAATTGCCCATAATATAGCCATGTTGTTGTTCTAACGTTGTTTCACAAGGCTCTTGTTTCGGTCGATGTGGTTGTTGTTGTTGCTGGTCAATACTCAACATGTTTGATTGGACAATATGGCTGTAGTCTATATGCAAAGCATCGCCTTGAATCACTTGGAGTCGGTTACCAGACACTTCCGATAGTTGCTATCATATATTTTTCATTCAGTTTCGCACATTGGATTGAAAGTAATTCTGCGGCTGTTGCTTACCTGCAATATCGGTATGAATCGTTCATCTTTCTCGATGGCAATGAGTCGCTTCACGCCTGCATCTAAAATCGATCGGGACAGTAATCCTGGACCCGGTCCGATTTCTACAACAAACGGTGTCATCCTTGCTGATATGGATGCCGTCTTTACTATTTTGTCTACGGATGCAAAATGAAAGAGTGAGCCCTCCACCATGACTGTCACTACAGATATCCTATCTTTTACCAGTAATATTCTTGTCTAAAATGAAATTTTGACTTCACTGAGACTTGGCAGAAAGATGATATAACTTGATCAAATCACGAATACTAGGTAAACGTGGTAAACTGCCAATTGTCATTGTTATTGATGGCTATGCTGCTGTTGTCTTGGCAGAAACAAGAGGAAGGATCGATCAAAGGTATTGCACCTGTACCTTGATTTTGGCATGCAGGTCTTCCATTTTCTGTCAGTATCTTTCTGCTTGTTGTACAGGCGTTTCACAGATGCAGGGTTGCAACACCTAAATTTGCTGCGAAAACATTCAGTGGCATAATGTCCATTTTAAGCGACTATTTCCTGTTTCGTACTATTCTACAATGCACAGATAGTTCTTCTATTTTTTACTTTGACACTTGTAATGTGTCTGACTTTCTGTATTCAGTCAATATTATTTGAGTCTATGTACAGTTATTTTAATTTTTTTTCACAGAAGAATTGTAATAATTTGTCCAAATGTTGGAGATACTGAGTGTAATTGAAACTAATATTTGGAGGTAGTCACCTAGTAAACATTTTTTATCTTTAGGCTATTTAGATCAAGCAAAAATAAGATATGACAAGTTGAAACATAATGCACTGATACCTTTCTAGATGGATCTGCTTCGGTTAGAAGAAAACGATAGGCATATATTTCAGGGCCCATTTCTCTTTCCGCCCCCCCTTGACCTTCTACTATGCCTTAAGTAGAATGTACGCGGCGTAACGGAAGTATCACCGCTTGTATTTTCGTTAAAGAAAAACATCTTTGCGCCTTATCCACTTTTGAGCTTAGTGTCTTTTCTTCACAAAAAAGGTTTTTTTATTCTTGCATTTCCAAAAGTAAGCTGATTTAGGAGGAGATTATTTTTTTTTGTTTGATTTTTTCAAGCTGTTTACTAAGAATTTACAGACGAAGCTATTGATAGACTTGCATTGGTTTCAGATTCATTTCGTTTCTACATCCGTTGACAGGGCTCACAATGAACGGAAAATCATCCGAAGATGATCAACTTACGTGTTGAGCTTTACCTCTTGTTGCGGCCTTCGAGAAAACATGAGAACAACAAGCTGTCCTCCAGGTTCATTCGTTGATGTTTCAGTAAAAGAAATTAACTGGGGAGGCCGGCCGGTTCTTCGTATATCTATAGTTAGTAGCTTTTGCCTTTATAGAAAAGAAAAAGCGCACTTCAATTATTGTTATACATAGATGATACAGCTTATGAATATGAGCAATTGCGAAATTGAGTTCCTTTGTTGGCTTACATAGGCACTTCACCTATTTTTGAACCTAGTTTTTCTTTCCCTTTTTAGATTGGATGACACCAAGTGTATCTTTTCACTCGAAACAATGAAAGAAGACGTTTATAGCTCGCTGAATTACAATTCATAAGTTGTATAGGCCTTATTTTTACCCGTCAATGGAAATCTGGAAGAGTGTCAAAGTACTCTATCGTATATTCTTTCCATACGTAGTTGCATTATTTGTAAGGGTGGTACTGAATCAATCCGACTTTTTTTGTTCAACCTGAGATGTCAAATAACAATCCATATAGGATATTATTATAGAATATCATTCTAGATCGTCTGCGAAAGAGGCGTGCTTTCATTCTTATGCTCTTCATTTCACGTCCGGGTCCCTGAAAAAAAAAAGACCAAACTGTTCCTGAAATATATGGGCTGTGATCTTAATTGAAATGGGAAAAAAAAAATATTCGCGAATCAGAGGTCTTGTCGCCCATTTTATTTTTCTACCGTTTGAAGAATACTTTGACATTACTGGCTGCTTATTTTTTCTGTCCTATGGCATGACTTCCTGTCCCATTTATTGACAGACAGAAAGTCTGGTATTTGTTGTGTGTAGCCACAAAGATAATAGAATTGATCCTCCACTCGTCCGGGTCCCATTTGATAAAAGATAAAGATCAGATCATATAAATACAGGGCAAAAACCTTGGCATCTGTTCCTACTTATTCTCGTCATCACATTTGAATAACTCTTTCACTTCTCTTCTCAATCAGTACGCAGGTCGTCTACCCTACTTAGTCTCTATATCCAAAAATGCAATTTCAAATCACTTCTATCGTTGCCGCCATTGTTGCTACTCTTACCATTTCCTCTGTCACTGCCGCTCCTGCCTCTGCTGGTCATGATTTAGTCAAGAGAGGTCATTCTTATTCCGGCACTGCCACTTGGTACAAGCCTGCTACTGAAGGTGGTCCTGAAGCCGCTTGTAACGGTGAACATATCGATAATGACTCTCAAATTGTTGCCCTCAATGCTGATCAATATGGTGACTTGGATAGCAAATCAAAATGGTGTGGTAAGAAGATCCGTATCAAAGGCGAAAAAGGCACTGCTACAGCTACTATTCTCGATGCCTGTCCAGAATGCTCCGAAGGTGATCTTGATCTTACTCCCTCTTTATTCAAAAAAGTCGTCGGTGATATGGATGCTGGCGTCGGTGATATTACTTGGGAAGTTATCTAAATGATGTAGATCATTATTTGATATGAGTTGAACTTGTATATATTGTATGTATAACTTTTTGCTTTCATTATTTTCTATTTTTTTCCTTTTTGCTGGCAAAATAATGGGTTTTGACGCTGGTTGTCGTTAAACAATAAAATAAATTTCTCCAAGTCTTTGACTGTGCGGTTCCAAAACATGATCTGGTAAAAGAGAGCATTTAACATCATGCTGTATCATTTCACAGCATTTTGTCATATGACAGATTTTATTGAACAAAAACATTAAAAGTATACTGTTAATAGGTAATCTCAAAAAAAAAAAAAAAAAGAAAAGAATAAATAAGGTGGGATGCAGAAAGCACATCAACTACTAGAATATAGCTGCTTTGTCATTGAGAAGGGTTGAGAGCTGATTTTTTTGACATAAATTCATTGTCCATGTGTAGGCTGCAAAGGTAGCAGCGTTAGATGGAAAGGCTCTCAATATAGTGGGTGTCAACCCTCTAAAAAATATACGCCATCCTTCACTGCTATAGGTTTGCCTTGTACAGTCTATAATCCCTTTATATCTACTTGGTTCTGATTGTATTCTCGTTTTTAAAACATCTGCATACATGTTATTTTTATGGAGGATAAAAGAAAAAAGAAAGAAAGGTGAATCATTGGATCATTCGTTAGATCTTACTATATTCTGTTAAGAGTTATTTTACCTGCAAAATAAGTTGAACACCATGCCACAATGCCTGCAGTACCACCAGCCAAAACAACCTTCGGGCCTGAAAGCTCGCATAGATCCGTACGAGTGTTATCTCTCTTTGCAAATTCTCTACAGATAATTTCGTATGTTAAAAAGTAGGGTCCAAAACTAAGTTCACGTAAAGTGGTTGGGACCAATCCTTTGAACCAATATCGCACGCCTCCCCTCGCGTATAGCTGCTTAAAACAATCCAGTGGTCCTTTCAGCACGTTTGCTTTTGTTTGATTCTGTAGTTGTACTTTGACCAATTCCATTGGACAACTGACGAAACTGTAGAGTGGAAATAAGATAGGGAAAAAGAGATGTTATATTTTAGCACGCATGTACTCTTTTCTTTAGCATTCAACATAGATTTATACCTTGTTATTATTCCAGCACCGATTCCTGCTATAAACACATGGCTTAACAACGGTAGTTGCTGCGGAGAAGTAAGTGTTTGATGTGTTGATACAGTTAACTTTTCTTGATATTGTAAGAACCATGTATATGAGCTGAAAACTAAGGCGTTAATACCTGCCACACCAGCCTACAACAAATAGAGCGGTCATTACTAGAGAATACCGAAAAAGGTAGTAGGCGAGGGGACAATCACTTACTGCAGGAGAAGCCTATTCAATAGAGTCAAATGATCATGATCATGAGTTTATGATAAAGGTTTTCTGATTCAATATTTCGTCTTTCACTTTACCATTCCTTTATACAGGCCGGTAAACTTTGTGAATCATTTTTGTTGTGATTACAAAACGTCAGATTTCTAATTTATGTATTTTTTGTAAGAAGGGCTTTTTATTTTCGGCTTATACCTTTTCTTGCTTTATCGTGGTTACGAAGCAATTCCAAGTACCTCCATATCTTGATGCTAATTCTCTCGACTGTAGCCTTACTTTAACTGTTGAGACATAGTGAGTATTTATCACAGTGTAATTTCAGATACAATAGAATGACTTAGCTTTCCTGACCTGTATCTGTATTGCAGTAGAAAGAATCAGTTAGTACGACGAAGCCTGAAATAATCATTTATAATCTCATCAGCGCTTTTACCAAAAGGATGACCCACTGCTAATCCTGCAAGACCTATTCCGAAAAAACCAAATGGGCAATGGTTAACCCAAGATAAATAGAATAAAGATTTGTTAGTGGGAGAACCCCAATTTACCTCCAACTAATCCCGACAGAAAACTGTCAAAAGTGTTCATGGTCGGCTTCTCAGCTTTGATAGGGCAATAAAGGATGTTAGTACGAAGACACCATCCAACGTCTATTTTTCAGCTAGTGTCTGTATTCAATATTAACCTACGAATTTCATCGACATCCAACATAATGTACACGGTAATTAAACCAAAAAATGAAGGGGAAAAAAAAAAAACAAGAAAAGAAAATCAAAACAACAAGTTTTTTGATGGCATGACGACGCTACAGTTGTCGCTTCATGCATGTGTACAGCCGAGAGTGGAATTATGTTGATGTTCAAGCAGTTTGGCAGGAACAAGAAAATGATTGGATGGTCTCAGTTCTTAATTTCCCACGACTTCTGTTGAATCAATCCCACGGTTCAAGCATCGTAACAGTATTAACTCACGCACACACCACCATCACACCGGTGAAAGCATATAGCCTGCCCACCAAAGCACAGTAAGGTTTTCTCACAATAAAACAAAAGATCTTTTTGCAGTTTTGGAATTTACACGTTCTTCTTTGAATTTACGGGCCTGCTCGCTTGTCGAACTTATATGTAATGAACTCGTGTATCCGGAATTTTTGACGTTTAAACCAACACAGTCGAACCTTGGATAAGAATAGAACGATGAACACTATGGGGAGATCCTAATTTTTGTAACATTTGTGTATATATGGAATACTAAAAACATCGATCGGATTTATATGACAGTTGAAAGTGATACAATGTTCATGTGGTCCGTAATATGTGCAGCTTGAGATATGCTTCCGTCGGCGAGTGCTAAAAAGATATACTTTGCTGCAACAATGGTAGGCTTCGACTACAGAGCGTAGTGATGCACTGTATTGAACATTGTAATCTCCAAAAAGTCTATTAAAACAAAATTGCAGTGAAATTGATACATGTAATGTACCAATTAGTTTTTTTTTTTTTTTTTGTTTTTTTTTTTTTTTTTTTTTTCGTTCGAGGCTATACATTAGCTTTGCTTTGCCCATCCTATCTGAGCCTCAATAGCACTCTGCATCAAATAAAAAAATAAAGGCTTATATACAACAAGATAGTTGAAGATATATACTCAGAGTCCACATTATTTTCCAAAAAAAAAAAGGCGGTATAGCAGCAGCAGCAGTGTTTCGTTTGCTCAAGTAACTCAACGAGATGAATAGTGGTATTCATTAAGGTCATTTATTGCTCACTCTGATTTATTTAGAGAGCAATCTGGGAACAGTAAGCTGAAGTAACTATGCGCAAAGCAGTAGCAATTGCCATTGGAGCAATATAAATACTTTTTTGACCCGTTTAATCAAACGACATGCTGCAATACTGCTAGAGATACGATTCTATTCCAAAATAGGTTTCCTCAAAGAAGGGCTGTTTCTGCTTTGAGTGATTATGGATATAACTTCAACCATTTTGCCTTTTTTATAAGCCCCTGTAACTACAGAATGTTGTTGCACGGGACGTCAAATCAGATATTAATCAGTAAGCTTTAAACGCCCCCAACAAAGCAGCAACGGAATGAACATCTTAGCAAAGAATTTTGAACATTGTAAGTATACAATAACAGTAATATAAAGATATTCCATCAATGGCAAGTCAAGCTCTATGTCGGCAGCATCCGCTGAACGATGACAGTTCTTGCGCAATTGAACTTATTGTCAATACTGTTGCTTTTGTGTTTATTCACGTCATCGTACCACAAGATTCGTCCGAAGTGTTGTATTCATCTTGTAGTTGATGTAATTTTCCATTACACTTCTTCGCAACAGCAGAGGCGTAACGTCGCCTATTTCGAATGAGCACTTGTTTCAGCTGAGTAGATCCCCCCTTTGATAATCTATTTGTCCCTGCCTTATATTGCATTAGTTGCAAGATTTTAATGTCCCGTGAGGGGAAATTTTTCTCCGCTTCAAGCGATAATGCTTTGTTAGTGAACTGTCATGAAAACTTGGCCTATCAAACATGCAGAAGCAATTGTCTTGAAAATTTTTCGTCTAATAGTCCCAATTTAGTTTGATACTAGCGAAGGGCCCTTTGAATTCTTTTTTTCTTTCTCTTTTCTTTAACAGAAAAAAAAAACGTACAACACATAGTCGGGAAAAGCATAGCTTATACGCAACAAAACTTCAATCAGCTTTAACTTACACGGGAGAGAGTTTTTTGTTCAAAGTTTCATACATTTGAATTTTTTAGTTTTAAAAAAATATACAAAGTCGCACTCTCTCTTTCAACAACTCTACAACTTGCAAAGTCGACGCACTAAAAAAATAAAATAACAAAGATAGTCAGTATTTTTGTTTTTTTTTGGATTAGTCAATATCGTTTTTTTTTGTTTTGCACAATATCACCCTGATATAACAACAAGCAACCAAACAACATTACAACAGCAAAAAAAAAAAAGCTCAACATTACTTATCAATGGGAAACAGCTCTTATCACAATGAACCTGTACAATATAATGAAGTATTAGAAGCTGACGCTCCTCAATACACTTCTGAAGATGAAATTCTTGCGTCTTTCGGTTATAAGCAGGTAAGCCCATAAGCCCTCCTTTTTTTTTCTCAGCTGTCAACTCCCGTGGCTTGTATCACTTGAACGTTGCATCCAGAAGCTTGGCAGCGTACTATCCTGTCCTACAACAGAACTTCTAAAAAGAGCAAAGCTAAATTCTAACTGAATTGCTCATGAAATGGATAGGAAATGCACAAAACAATGTCAACCATCTCTAATTTCGCTATCGCTTTCGGTTGCTGTTCCATCTTGTCTGGTCTCACTCCTGTAAGGCATTCTTCTTTTACATTTCTTTGAACTAAGAATTTTCGCATTTTCTATTTAATGCCTCGTCATTTTTACGTTCTGATGACTCATACTTTCCTGCTCTCTCTCTCTCCCTCTCTACTTCTCTCTTCCTCCCTGTTTTCTTCAACGTGATGTTGCAAATATTAGATGTGGGGTGATGCGATGATGTCCGGTGGTTCAATTGCCGTTATTTGGGGTTGGATTATCGTCTCTGTCTTTACTTTTGGCGTAGGATTGTCGCTGGCCGAAATCTGTTCGGCTTACCCAGTTACTGGCGGTCTCTACATTTGGGTTTCCCGTCTGGCTCCTCCGGAATGGGTCCCTATCATGTGCTGGCTGACAGGTTGGTGTAACTGGCTTGGTCTCACAGTAGCCATCACGTCCGCTGATTTGGGTCTCGCACAATTCATGTCGTCTGTCATTGGCATCAAGGACCCCAATTACAATGCTGGAATTTATTGGCAATATGGTATTTTCCTGGTCGTTTTGTTCATCCACGGTGTCATCAATTCCATGCACGTCAAATACAATGGTTTCTTTAACCAGACTTCATTATACTGGCATCTCGTTGGCACTCTACTTATTATTGTCGTCGCTCTGGTCTTGACGCCCAATAAACCAAGCGCGAAATGGGTCTTTACCTATTTTGAAAATGATACGGGTTTTTCGTCCAATTCCTATGCATTTTTGATAGGCCTTTTACAATCTCAATACACTTTATCTGGCTTTGACAGTGCTGCTCAAATGTCCGAGGAAACGAGGGACGCTGCGCGTGCGGCTCCTCTGGGCATCCTCTATGCTATTGGTACGGCCGCTATCACAGGTTTCGTGTTCATCCTTTCGGTCAATTTCTGTGTACAAGATTTCCAAGTTCAGGTCGTCGAGACAACACTTTCGCCTCAGATGACGCAGGTCTTTTTGGATGGAGCTGGTTATAAGTGGACAGTTGTCTTCACGGTGATCATCATGGGCGCTATGTTCTTTTCTGGTTCGGCCTTGACGCTGGGCAGTTCACGTATGATCTATGCTTTTGCTCGTGATGGTGCCACTCCTTTCAGTCGTTGGCTGAGTGTGATCAACCGATCCACACAGACGCCGATTTACGCTGTTTGGGCCAACATTATTTTTGCTGCTGTTGTTGGGTTACTCTATATCCTCAACGAAACCGCTTTCAATGCCATTGTGTCCATCAATACCATCGCTTCCTCGTTGGCGTATTTCATTCCTATCGCTCTTCGCTTAACAGTAGCTCGCAAGTCATTCAGACGTGGTCCTTTTCATATGGGTCCCTTTTCAGATCTCGTCAACTTTACCAGTTGCATTTGGATTCTCTTCACTTCTATCTTGTTTATCTGCCCTACGAAATACCCCGTGACAGCGGATAATATGAATTACTCGTCTGTTATTTTTGTGGGTGTTATGTTATGGTCGATTGCGTATTATCACTTCCGAGCTCGAAAATGGTTCAATGGTCCTGGCAAAAGTCTTGAACAGGATCCACCATTGACTGTTGTGTCCTATAATGACTCGATTGATTCAATCAGCTATGTTCAGGGGCAAGTTGGAAGCGGCTCTTCTCCCGCGAACTGCGATGATACCAAAAAAGGTCCCTTTGCAACCCATTTGGGTTAGAAGTTTTCATCTATTTGCTCTTCCTTTTCTTTTTCACCCTTTTCTTTTTGTATATCCATTTTATCTATAATTTGGTTCCTCTCCCCTCTAACTATGTTTAACAACAGAAAAAGTCTTATGTAAATATTCCTCAACTTATTGTAACAATATAAATGGGGTTTATAGCTTTAATGAGGCAAATAAAAATTATTATTTTTTTTTTTTTTTTTGTAAATGATACGTTTTTGTAGTCAAGTTGCTCGTTTTTTATAGAAAGATGCTTTATTTTGTTTTGTTGTAGCTAAGTATGACAAATGGGGTTCGTAAAAATATAACCGCTGATTTAAACTGTTAAGGACGAAAATCTGCTCTCCAACTTTTCTATGATACCACTGACATCTTTGATCGATTTTTCCCTACATAAAATTAAAAAAGAGAATTAGGTTGAGATGACCTTTTTGGTTTAGCATCCTAATACCATTGAAACTTACTGATCATTCAAAGTACTCAAAATATTCTTTAATTGCGAAGGGTTCAACTTGCTTGATTTGACATTATTATTCTTTTGATTTTGTGCTTCAACTTCCTTTAATTGAGATTGCAACTGCAGGAAAAAAGTGTGATAGTGATATAGGATCAGTAAGGAGAAGGCTTATAATGAGCATAAAAGAACTTTTTCTTACCTTTTCAACTCTAGCAGCATAACCAGAACTTCCACTGATTTGCTCCAAGAGTTTCTCCAATTTTTCGATCCATTCTTTCTCTGCTTGTGAGAGTGCTGGTTGATAGCTTCGTACTAACGTGCGTAATTGCTCATCAATTCTGATTCTAAGCTTATTATGATTTTGCGATAATTCATTTATTCTTTGCTGTTGCTCCTGCTTGGCCTCAGGTGAATTTAATTCCTTTAATCTCATATATATCTCTCGCACTGTTCGTACTTGTCTCTCAAATTCCTTCTGTTGAATCGCCAACCTGTTACTGATTTTGACAGCAGCTTTATGAATATCACGGGTTTCACGACGAATGTTTTCAGCAGATTCAGTAAAGAAACGGAGTGTTTCCTCTGTTATAGAAACTGATTCAGAGGCTTTCACATCTGCAGGGAGAACAATCTTTGCTTGTTTTGGTAGGGTATCGAGCTGTGAAGGTGGTTGAAAAGCTGGTAACGGCAAGACGGGTTGATAACCCAAACTATCATCTTTCTCATTGCCATCTTCAGTAGCAATATTTCTCAGTTGTTCTTTGACTGCGTTGCGCATTTCTTTTGATTCAGTAGCCTGACGGCGCAAATTCATCTCTCGTGCTATTAGACCATAATCACTCGTGATAGCTAAAAGGGAATACGAAAGATAAATGTCTGTAAGAACTGCTACACCAAGGATAGGTACACAGCTGCCACCAAAAGGTGCTGTGTTAATCAAAGTACGAACTTCTGATGGCGTCTTTTGTTTCATCCATTTCTCAAGGTCACGCTTTGCATCTCCCTCACTGTTTTCTTCATAAGCATGGCTGATACGAGCAAGTTCTTGAGCCCAGTTATACATGCACACAGCATGAACACCTCCAGCATGGTAAGCAAAATACGTGCCATTGTAAAGAGGGTTCGCTACAAGTGAAATAGCACGGAACTTGGGTTGGTTTTGTGGCTTGAAGGTGAGAGTTTCATAACATGAAGCTCTTGGAAGAAGAGATGCATCGGCCAGCAAACTTCCCAACTAGTGGATCGTAAAAGGGACTGTTAGATATTCTTCCCATTGACATGTCACCCGTCATGATCTCCTGTTATGATTTACCTTTCGTGAATCCTTGGATGTTACTACAGGAATAGACCATTCTGCATCAATTTCACTGCCAAGAATATAGTTATCAACCGTTCCATCGGTGAAAGCCAATGAGATGATGTTGATTGAATCGAAATTTGTATACAAGATATCTGTAACTGTTGCATCCATTGATGTGCCCCGATTATTGTTGACCTTGAAAGGTCCTTGTCGCTGTAATTTATACTTGCTTTGACTGCTATCGTTTGTTACAAACAGTGAGTCGCCATCCATGGTGTGTAAGGTTGATCTTTTAGCAATTCTGGCTGATTTTAATAATGCATTGATCCATTTACTTTGAAGATTGTATAGAGGGGCCAATGATTTGTGATCTTTTGATTCACTCGCATTGGCTTGTTCATATTTGACATCTGCAATGCATGAGAGTTTGTCTAAATGATCACGGCTCACAATACTGTGTAGAAAAGGAATGTCAATAATAATAATTTTCCTACGTCTAGATCCGAAGGACACATTACCTTCTAGAAGGGAGGACGGGACATAGAGCATAAATGTGCCCGCTGCGGAGGGCATAAAATATGGTGAAAGGTTCCCATCCACTTTCTTCCTTACTCGCACCACCAAGAGAAAAAGTAACTGCATCCTCACTACAGTCGCTAACGTCAACAGAAAATCCAACATTGGACTGATTTGAAGATACAGAACTCTTTTCTGCGGGTGACAGATCGAAGGATTGCTCGGGTGTATCAATATCAGCACTTATGTCGAAGATTCTGGAAACACAAATATACAAAATAAAGTTATACATAATGAATTAAATCGACAAAATGATATGTAATAGGCCCTTTTTTTTTCTTTTGATAACGTACCTCAACATATTATCATTGCTAAGTACGACAAGATGTGTACCAGTTTCACTAAGAGGATGCCACTCTGTCTTCAAAATTTCATTTTCCTCAAAGTATTTTGAGCCAATTGATAGAGTACGGCAATCAACTTTCATGCCTAACATTCCACTCGATACGTCCGAAAAGCTTTGGCGGGGTAAACAGATAATGGTAAGTCTGTTTTGATCACCAACAGATAAGAGTCTACCATTCTTGTTCACTGACATGAACTCAATAGTAAAGTTAATATCTGGCGTATCTAAAATCTATAACAAAAACTCCGTAAGATTTAATATCATGCAAACAGTAAAAACATGCTTTGAGATAACTGCTCTTTCGATTTACTTTGTAAGGAATGCTGTTGATCCAAGCATCGTTCTGATTGTTTGATTCATTCTCCTTAGAAGCCTTCAGCCAAGCATCTTTAAAAGCTGTCAGGTAAATAACTCTAATAGTAGATCCAACGGCTACGAATAAATCGTTGTCTCTGAGTGCAATTACGCGCGTATGTCGAGCAAGGTTGCAATTAGGTGAAGAGTTGTCTGCACTTGTTTGTTTTGCTTTCAATTTTTCCGCAAAATCTCTATATGCATCTTTTACTTCAAATATCGAGTGTTTAGCGAGACTATCTAACCAGTTAGTGTTTGAGTGATTCATTTGTTAAAACGTAGGAAATCAGCTGAAAAGGGAAAAGAAACAACCTTAAAAGTAGTGTTTTTCTTTCAACACGGCTTTTTGCGTGAACTAAATTTCATAACCGTCTGCAGTAACTGTCTGTGACCGGCGTATAAAAATCGTAAATAGAAAAATTGAACAACAATTCTTTGATTAGGAAAGACGAACCTCACTATATTTTTTCTACTGTTCGTCGTATATGATGTTTATGGACGATGAGGAAGAGTTAGAATTACTACGTCAATACGAAGAAAACAACCCTAATGCAAGCGATAGAGAAAGTCAAGCTAGGTAAAAATCGGCAATTGTTATGCGTGCATGAGGACCCATTTATTTATTTTTTTCTTTTCTCTATTATCTCTATTTTCACCGCTAGTGATGAGATCGATAGCGATCTTGAAGATAAGATTATGAGTTTAGTGCACTATCAAACTGGTGTTGTGGATAGTGCTCCGCCGCCATCGAAACCGGCTCCTGAAACAGTATCAATACCTGAGCCATATGTTAGAATCAAAGATCTCTCTAAAGAAAAGGCATTTGAAAAGTCGGCACCAAAGGTTGTTTATGCGCCGATCGATGTCAATGGCACAGGTGTTTCAAACTATTCTGCTAATGCCGAGCTTCAATTAGATGAGCCAAATTCTGATGTAGAGATGTATGAGGTCGATAGCAGTGAGGGGAGTGAGGAAGAGGGCGAAATTCGCTCTAGTGAAGAGGAAGGCCTTACAAGTGATCTATCCGTGCAAAGCAGCCCTGAAGAAGATATAGCGGACGAGGAATTAGATAAAGGAAATAACATTGAAGAAACAATGCATGTGGCTCCAAAAGTCACGAGAGTTATTGATATGGACGAGGATCCTTTAGTTGAAGACGAGAAAGTTACAGTGACTGAAAGGGAAGTGAACCTTGGGGTTAAAGACCTCATTGAGGAACAGGTAGATAGTAATAGAAACTCGAGATTTCTGGATAATGAGAGGTAGAAAAGCTGAATTCAATCTACTCCATTAGGCACGGAGTAATTTCCTTCGTATGTACGATCGAGGCCCTTGCCACAGCTGTTGGCAACGTGGCCACTACGCAACCAATTGCCCAAATTGTAGACGGTGTGGCGGGCCTAAGCACGGCCGTTGTGCTGGTGCTGACTACTGCTACAAATGTAAGCAACGAGGTCATTTCCAAGAAGATTGTGTGAATCCAAAAGAAAATGAACCTTGTAAACGTTGTAAAGCATTTGATCATCAGACAAATTATTGTCCGAGCATATACATTGTATATAAAGGCAAAGGACAACCTCAAACACAATTCCGACCATACTGTTTTTTCTGTGGACGGAAAGGCCATTATGGAGACGATTGTCCTTCAAAAAGTTCTAAACCGAACTTCTATCCCTATCGCCAATCTAATAATGCTAATGACTTTTCGAGGAATTCAAGATACCAGTCTCAACATAGACGCTTCAAAGAATCTGATTATGACGATGGCAGTCAAAGCAGTGTTTACAGTGACTCTGGCTCTAGCCTTGCTTCGAAGCGAAGGAAAAATAAGAAGAGAAGAAGACAAGAAGATGATAATACACCAGAAAGCAGAGCAGATTATAGAAATGATAGAGTAGAAAAGCGTAATAAAGCAAATGACAGTGCTTTAGACGCTTTTTTTGTACCATCTCAGAGGAGTAATTACAACACACGAAGATCGGGAAATATGAACTGGAGAGCAATCAATGAAATGAACATGTTGCCACAGCCTACTCGATCTGGCACTGTTGATTTTAACCAACAAACAACAGGATTCGAAACTGACTTTCCTCGCAGCAATCCTTCATTACCAAAACCGACATCCAGTGGTGTTATTGACTTGACGGGAATGGATGGTACTTCCTCGTCATCCTCACAGAGAAAACCAAAGTATCACGGTGGCTACAAACGCCGTTAAGTCTTTGACATCACGACCTTTCATTAGAAGTTTCTGAATTTGTCTGTATATACAAATATACCATTTAATAAATGCATCGTCTTTTCACGAGTACTGCTTTCTTTATAACTCCACTATCGGAGAAGCAAAGTTTGAGAAGACCAGTGACTGTAAATTCCTAAATGAAAAAAAGTATAAAATGAACCTCTTGTTTGAAGAATGCGTTTCTCTTCTTCTTTGTAAAATTACGCCTGCTACCGCCGGTCTTATGGTCCTTCCAATGATTGATAAGCGGTTCTTTTTTTCTTTGAATAAAAGAACAGGGAAGACGAAACCAAGCCAGATTAATCACCGAGGGCGATTATCAGTTCGTCCAAGGCTTCATGCCCTGGCTAAAGATTAAAATACCTATTATGAAAATTGAAAATGAAAAAATGCTTTTATAAAATTACATGATTGTTCATGGCTTTTGAAAGTTTCTAAGCCATTCCTAACAAAAGATCTCATGATCTCATAAAATAGATCTTTTATCTTTTATTATTAAGAAAAGCAAGATATAATCACATCATTTCCCTGAGTTATTCTATTTACAATTTATCAGCAGCAGATGCTAAGTCTAATCGTTACTCCTCCAAAAGTAGTAAAGATCGTTCGCAGCTGTCAAAAAAGCTTGATGGTGCATTATCATCGTTTAAACAAGTACGCTGTCCGATCAATTTGCGCTATTGAGGTATTGCCTAAACAGCCTTTTCTTGTACGATGATCATTTGCCAAATACACTTCAAAAAGACATGAGGGAATTTTAAGGAAGTAACCCAAGCTGTATGTTGGTTGGGCTCGCTCTGGATTCGGAAGTCAACAACAAGCGAGAAGAATTATTACAATACTTCCAAGAGTGGATGTTTAACTGGGTCTGACTGGAATTCTACTAATGAACTCAACATGTATATTGATCCTGAGCCACTTAAAGAATTAGTTACAAATATCCAGACCTTAACACTCATTTGAACTATTCATAATAAACTGCATATTTTTATTGTCAGTGAGCATTACAAAAACCAGTCATGTTGAGACCGGTAAAGGGACGGGCTCTCTTAGCCAAGTTTGCAGGTATGTTTCGTTATACTCCCCTGAGTCGTCCTTTCGAATTTCGCACCATTGACAATACCTCCGTGATGAACTTTTGCGATGAAACGATGGAGGAAGAGTCATTTTAAGGGCCTAATTTTGTTATCATAACAAAAGCTTCTTCTTGCCTTTCATAAGGAGATCATTACAACAACTGGCTGGTTCGTTCGTATGTTTATCATTTTCGTTGAAGCAGTAAATAGGACATTCTGCTTTTAAGGTTCCCACTTGTTTGTTGATTTTAATCTGCCAGTTTCTGTTTTTATGGAATATTATGCCCTACAATAGCCCGAGACAAGCACTTACTATACATTGACACTATTATTTCTCGTGAGTAATAAGAGGAGCTGATCAAATTAGTTGTTCATTGTTCGTGAATTTTCTATTTTCAACTGTTGAGCTGAATGATCAGAGTACAAAGGGCAGACAATCGTAGAATAAGCTGGAATGAATGAATACAAAGGAATACACGAATTTATATAGAATAACATGTCTCACAAAAATGTGCACTGTAATTTATAGTGTTTTATATATATATATATATAAGACGATGTAGATCAATACAGCTTGGGGAATAGGTAGAAAAATGAAGATAAATATTGATATAGAAGTAACATATGGATGTAGCGATATTTACAATAGATGAGTCTATGATGAAATTTTCATGTTGCTGAAGTTGATTGTCTTGTACAAATGAAGTTGCTGAACCTAGATATTGACAGCTCTCCACTTATCGATATATGGCTTGATTAGTGTCCAAGAGATGAGGCCGATGGTGATAATAAGAAACGATCGAACGATTATTTCGTCTTTATAGGAATCGCGTGCTAAAGTGACAAAATGTCAGTATTGAGGTACAAATTTTCAGTGAATAGACACAATAGTCAACATTACCAAAGCATGCTGTTTTGAAGTCGTTACTGGGACAGGTTTCATCTGCAATGCCATCACAGATGCCATCTTTGACGTTTTCCAAACAGAACTGTTTTGTACAAAGCCCACAAGGTTTTGGTTCATTCACGTCTAATTCGAAAATGGTAGAGTTGGAGCCACAAAAGCATTTACAAAACGTTCGTATATCGGCTGCTTGAGCTATCGTTATGCATAGTAGGCTGACAAAGACGATAAAAAATGTTTTTTTCATCCTATTGATTTTATTCTTGTATTCGAGTTGATGTATTAAAGAAACAAAGCAAAAATGGACACTACAATTGTTTCCACCATTACAATTTGGATTTTGTTTCTCAGTTTGATATCAAGTTGTCCCGAAAGCATGCATCAAACAAAAATTTGGCGAAGAGTTGATCTTGAGGTGAGTGGTTATCACGAATCTAGAGCCAGAGGAACCTCAATTGTTACTGCGCTTCATTGATTATTTTCGAACGATAGGAATCGGTGATAGCCCTTTCTTTTTCCTTTAAAAGAAAGAAAAAAAATATGCAATGCATTCATTCAGTAGAAGGGCTGGGCATTTTTTTAATGAAGCATATTTTCAGACAAACTTTAATTCAGAAATACAACACTCAATAATCATTGTACCTCCTTCCGTGTATCTTGATTAGCATCCCTTTTTTTCTGCTTTCTCTTTCTTTTTCTTCATTCATTGAGCCATTCTAGCGAACAACAACATAAACCAAAGCGTAACTATTCAATTCTCTTCAGTACAAAATGGCTACTACAGCTACAGTCAACATCCAGTCTGAGCCATCTTTCATAGAACATGATGATAAACATTCAACAGCTTTCTGTCCGATGGATTCAGACGATAGTCACTTTCACGATACAGTATTTTCAACCATAGATACAAAGAATGTGAACCGTAAAGTAGCATGAATTAGATGGGTGACAAAGTCATGGCAAGGTTGTTAATAAATTACTTCATATATTTATATATTGAATGTTCCAGACGCAGTGGGATCAACTACTATTACTCGTTCAAAAAGTGAGCAACACGATGAAATGAACACTGAAACCCTTACTGTGGATGATGATTCAACTTGCACACCATCTTCATTATCATCGTATGATTCGGAATCGAACTTTGACAAACCATCACGAACGTTTTCAGAAGATACTATCATAACAACACTAGAAAAAGTCAACTCTCAGAACGAAACAAAATCCGGCCCGATAGTCAAAGCAATAGCAACAGCTGTCGAAAAGATTCCAAATAGAGAGAAGGATGGTCAGCAAAGGGCGCCTAACACCTTTATGACAGAATTACACTCTAACGTGACAAAGAGAACAACCCTGCCAAAATCATTGGCTGTTTCTTCTATGAATGATGTGGGAAACATATCAGATGCACTTACGCAAGGCAAAAAATTGATAGAAAATGACGCATTGGAGGAGGTTGAAGCAGATACGATGGAGGACATCAGTCTAGAAGAGGAAGTAATAAGCAGTTCCATCAGGAAAAATAGCACCACAGCAAACAAAAAGCATACAACATCAAAAGAAGCCATCACTAACCATTTAAAAGAAATAACATCAGCTCTTGTCAGTGGTAAGAAACCGGATATCACTGTACCAGCACCTGCTCCTACCCGATTACATACAACTACCTCCGTCACTGAGACTGTTCAACAACAATCACCCAAGGAAGAGGACGGAAATAGGAGCGGCAACAATAAGTCTATCATAGCACATGATGAAAATGAAAATGTACTCATTGCTAGCAGTGGCGCCTCCACCAGAACATCATCTTCAGCAACATCAACAACAAGTCGATCCATCTTTAACTTTTGGTCGCCTTTCAGATCGATGTCTAGCTCTTCGTCTTCTACTACCACATCACCCAGCTCATCGAGAAGACCATCAAAGCAGTATTCCGCGCCAGTCCTATCCGCAACAACGACAACGAGCCGACCTACGAGTAGCCTATCTCCTCTACCGGAATTTCAAGAAGCTTTATTAGCACAAATGGAGCAATTGAATACAGCCAATACAAATGATCCAAAATCAAAGGTCTTGCGAAATTTGAAACGGCAGTCTATTAAGCACAGTCTTGTAACTCAAAATAAAGGCGATGATTATGACTGGGGTCAGTATATGATGATTGAATTGCTATGTCAACATAGGAAGAGAAAGAGAGAGTGTGGGTGTGTGGTGTGTCAGAGAGCGAGTATAGATAGGCTAAAAGAGAAAGGTGACCGGTAGACGTAATCCATAAGAATAACACATGGCATTGCGTATTTTAGATTTTTGGGCAGGCTTTATGTGCGATTATCAGAATTTCAACAAGGTGAACAAGGACATAGTCAAGCATATCCGCTTCGGTATACCGCCGTCCATTCGTGGCATGGTGTGGCAATTATTAGCAGGGTCTAAAAATGAGGCTTCAGTGTCAGACTACATCCATTTGTTGAAGCAAACCAGTCCCTACGATAAAATGATACAGCGTGATTTAGCAAGAACTTTTCCTGGACATACTTATTTCAAGGATACAGATGGGCAGGGTCAAGAAGGTCTCTATAATGTAGTGCGAGCCTACAGCTTACATGATGATAAAGTAGGCTACTGTCAGGGCCTTGCATTTATTGTTGGCCCAATGTTATTGAATGTGAGTTTTATTTTTTTTTTGGTTTTTCCCCTAATCGATCGATCCGTCACTCACCCAAGAGGGGGGTTTTATTTTCAACCTATTCATCCTCACCAAGCTTAGATGCCAGATGAAGACGCTTTTTGTTTACTGATTCAGCTCATGGAAAAGTACGGTCTACGAGGGCACTTTACACCTGAAATGGAAGGGCTCCAGCTACGACTGTATCAATTTGATGCATTAATGCAAGAGCACTTTCCACATATTGCACGTCATTTGAAACAGCAAGGCATAAATTCGACGATGTATGCCTCACAATGGTTTATGACATTATTTGCGTACAAGTTCCCTTTGAATTTAGTCTTCCGTATCTATGACGTGATTTTTACAGAGGGCATAAGCTCTATTTTCAAGTTTGGCCTTGCCCTACTGAAACGAAATCAGACAACGATACTTGGGCTTGATTTTGAACAATTATTAAATTTCTTAAAAGACGGTTTATTCGAGGATTACAAAGTAAGCTTATTTCTCGCATGTAGACAGGAATAACGGGATTGTTATTGATGGAATCTTATTTGTTTCTACAGACGGATGACAGGCGTTTTGTAAGTGATGCATGTGAGTTGGTTATTCCAGCCAAAAAACTATCGCAGTTAGCCAAAGAGTACAAGCAGCAACTGAAGAAAGAACAAGCAGACGCCAATACTATGGAGGAATTTCAAAGATTGAATCTGACACTAAAAAAAGATTTGGAGGATCTAGAAACCAAGACAAATGAAACAAAGCGAGAAAAAGAGGATGTTGATATTCAGTTACGAGAAACAATAAATGAATTACGTTCATTGCAAGATGAGCATACATCATTAGCCACGTTGGTTTCCTCACTAAAAGATGCAATTAACACTCTTCCACGAAAAATCGAAGCGGCAGCTACCCATCACGACGAATTTGAAAAGCTTTGTAATGAAAATGCAGAACTGACCAGTAAGAATTCGAATTTAGAAGATCAATTACAAAAGGCGGAAGCAACATTGATTGATATCAAAATGCAATATGCAGAAAGTGAAAATGAAAGAGAAGAATTACATAAGCGACTCTTTGAATTAAAAAAGATAATGAGCTTTTAAAGGATGATAGATGTGACAATTGCAGTAAGCGCGTCAATGAAGAATGATGAAGTGAGGGTTGACCAGCTTATGCATGAGTTAAAAAAAAAAATAGAATAGACAAATAAAAAAATGTTTCCTAAAAATGTAGCATTATAATTGATCTGTGAATCGCACAAGATTATCACGATGAATAACGCAATCAGCATCAACGTATCCTAAAATATCAGGAATCTGCGTACTATGACAGCGTTTGATGCGGCTGATTTCGATGTTGGTATAATTGACAAGGCCCTTTCCAATGACTTTATCTTCCAATATGCCAGTCTGTTCGTTCTTTACACGAACAGCGATATGCACTGCTTGCTGAGCCCCAAATTGTCCATCCACTTCGACGATGCCAGCTGCAAAAAGGCTGCTTTTAAGTTGAGGCGTCAAGATGGCTTTGGCTGCGCCTTCATCGACAAAAATAGTACCCGCTGTATGCAAACCGTATTGGATCCACCATTTGCGGTCTATTAAAGGATTGTTTTTCGCAATGAAACGTGTGTGAAGAGGGTGGTCCTCTGTATATTCTTTATCGGAATTTCTATCCGTTCTGATGATTTTTGCAATATTGGCAGGCTTTGAGCCGTTGGTAATGATGGTAGTGACGCCAGCTGCAGTGGCTAATTCAGCAGCGATCAATTTTGTAGCCATTCCACCTGTACCTAATGAGGAACCCATGGAAGCCACTGACACTGTTTTTATAATTAGTGGTTAAACAAAGGGTTCGGGTTATTTGTCGTCTCATTTAAACCACTGTTGTCATACCTTGTGCTCTTAATTTAACCATATCCTTGCACACTTTGACTGGCTTGGCTTCAGGATTCGTGCGAGGGTTATCGGTATAAAGACAGTCCACATCTGTTAACAAAAATAGATAATCTGCCTTGATCATACCCGCCATCACAGCTGATAGAGTGTCATTGTCACCAAAACGAATACCCTGGGTGGAAATGGTATCGTTTTCATTCACAATGGGTACTACACCCATATCTAATAGTTCTTCTAAGCAGTTGACTGCATTCAAGTATTGTGAACGCTATCCATTCCAATGACCAAAGACATGTTGTTAGGGAAATGTGTATAAAAAGAGAAATATAGAGAAAATCAAACTTACGTCGGCAAGATCATTCTTGGTCAACAGAATTTGAGCTACAGGTTGATGAAATTGGCCAAATAAATCATCATATAAAGCCATGAGTCGGCCTTGACCTACAGCAGCGACAGCCTAGAAATAGAGATCGAATATTGATCCGTCAGTCGGGCATTTTATCACTTGTTTCCCAGTCAATTTGCTCATATCGTACCTGCCGTGCAGACAGTTTTGAAGGTTTACTGGGCATATTTAATCGACGAAGACCTGTTCCAACAGCAGCACTTGTAACCAACACTACCCGGTGACCTTGGCTTTTCAGTTCGAGGACGCTCTCAACCAAAGCGGATAGGTTGGACAATAGCGGGAAATGAGTTTCCTCATTGCAGATCGAGGAAGTTCCCACTTTGAGCACAATAGTAAGTGAAGTGGTATATTGTCTATGTGTATTTTGTTGGTTTTTATGAAGCATTTGTAAAGGTAGTGTTGACAAAGGCTCGGTATATAGTCAACAGGTACGCAGAAGGGAAAAAGAAAAGCAAAGGGGAAGGAAGAATGAACGGGAAAAAACGGCTTTTTCTCAGTGAACCCACTGATCTTAGAAACACAATGACTCACGGACTTTTTTTTTTTTCGATGATCCCCTCTTTGGGCAAATTATTTCAGTTAAGTGGAGTTAATGTTCGTCCTCAGCCCTGATCTACAGCGCTGGAAAAAAATTGTAACTCAACGAGCAGACTCTGTGAAATCTAACGAGTCAAAATTGTAATGCACCGTTATTTGGCAGGCCATAGAATGTAGGCTTGGCCTTCAGTATACATGATATCATTCAAGAAAACAAGGGTTAGAGTGACTTCATTCTACGTCAGTAAAGGTGCCGTTCATTGAACGTGTCTTAAGTTTGGCTTCAAGTTAATGCAGAATGGCAAATTGGATGATATAAAAGGTTTTCAAGCGAAGGAAATGTATGTGAAAGAATTGTATTCTATTTTTCCAATTTTTATTAGAAAATTGTTAAATTCACTTAGAAAAGATGCAGACCAAGTTGATTGTTTCTCTCGCTGTCATTGCAGCACTCGCTCAAGCTCAAGGTAAAAAAATCTGGTTCATATTAAACATTTGTTTCTGATCACAACGACTCACCAAACATGTGTTGCTTTGATGACATTTTCGTATTATAGTTCCTCCTGCCCCCAACAAGTAAGAGGAAGATAATATAAACACACAGTCTATACGAAAGCTTACTGACAAAAATGCATTATTTGATAGTCCTACTACTTCAACGGACGCCGCAGCACTTAGCTCTGCTTATGCAGCTTACAGCAGCCTCTCCTCGAGATTCATGGCTACTCAAACAGCCAGTGGTGCTACTATTTCCGCTGGCATCCCACCCACCGGTGGTACACAGCAGCAAACCGGTGCTGCTACTGGTGGTGGTGTAATTCCTGCTCAACCCACATCGCAAGTCCAACCTGCTCAGAGCCAGCCGACTCAAGCTCAACCGACTCAAGCTCAACCGACTCAAGCTCAACCGACTCAAAGTCAACCAGGTGCTCAGCAACCCGCCAGTAGTCAGGCTCCAGCTGTTATCCCAGCTCAACCGAGCAGCAGTCCAGCTCAACCTGTTACGGGAGCTCAACCCAGTAGCAGCCAAGTGCAGCCTACATCTCAAGTTCAACCTACTACTTCTCAACAGCAAGCTACTGATGCTTCCACAACAGTAGCAGGAGGAGCCGGTGCTCAACCAACAAACTCTGCTGCTGCTTCACCTGCTCAACCTTCTGCGACAGAACAACAACCTTCTCCTACTACACAACAGCAACCCACTGACGCTTCTAACTCGGCAGCTCAACCAACTGATACTAACTCTGCTGTCTCCTCTGCTGCTTCTTCTGCCGCATCTGCTGCTTCGTCTTCTGTCTCCTCCTCTCAGCAGGGTATCTTTGGTTCCGTACTGAGTCGAATCACTTCTTCTCCTACGAGCACTACCAATAACAACAACAACAATAATCAAGGAGCGAATGCCGCTAGTACTTTGACGGGTAATATTGAGAATACGCTGTACATGCAAGGTTGTGCTTTGGCTGCCATCTTTGTTATTAGCTTTGCTGTCATGCTCGCCTAAAGCCAATGTTTGTTAACGCGTGCAGGCAGAGAAGAAGATCCATTCATTGTTGTACATAATTACTATTCTTTATTTTTCATTTTTTCTTCTCAACTCACTCATGTTTAATTGAAATTCACAGTATCCTTGACTTTTTTATTTATTTTATTTTTTTTTTGGCAATAAAAATTGAAATCGTCTAATGAAATGCCCCCCATTTTTTCCAAAAATTTTCAAATAAAGGATAGGTACGAGTTGATAATACTGAGAAGTGAGTTAATCAAACTGGGAAAAAAAAGAGTGCTCTCGAGATTATGTATAAAGCTGATTTATTAGACTCTCTGACACTTTTTGTATTCTTTGTTGCATATATTGTCCATTTGCTTATTGTGTGGTAAACAAAGGAAGCCAAGTTTATGACTAAAAACTTGATCCTGTCTGAACATATGCTTATGCTGGCTATCATACAACTGTCAAAAAGCCCTCAATAACACTACTTTTTCTGTCAAATGTGTCAATCTGCTCAACTCTTTAACTTTTGACACTACTACACCTTATATGTAAGTATTACAGCATTTCTTTAATTTTTTGTTTGTACCTTTCACGCACTCATAGCATATACATTTATCATATTTCATTGATCTGTCTCGAAATCGGTCTCATAGTTCATATACTCTATCAGTATATAATGCATATGAAATAGAAAAAGGAATTTTTTTTAAAAGATAATGCTTCAATGGTTTACGAGATGGCTCTCTGAATAGATGCTTTTAACGGCACAACTAAAATGCATAAATTTGAGCTTTGTTTCATTTTCAGTCAGATCTTATCAAACAGGATGTTTTGATGCCATTCGTGGCGTTTGAGAAAGAGAATTGGCTCCTGTGCGGATCATAACTTTTAGCATGTACTGGCATAAAGCAAAGGTAAGCAACGCCGGCCCTCCCTCCATTGTATATGAGGGCTTGCTGACGGAGGCCCTCTATAAAAGACATGGAAATGATAACTTGATCGAAGAAATTAGCCCTTAAACTGAAAATCTTATATGGTTTTTCCTACAATGCAGACAAAGGATGATCATACGCATGACAACGGGTTCTTTAGATAAGGATTTCCAGGGCACAATAGTGGAGAAATCAAGGTTTAAGGTCACATTCAAATAATGTGGAGTCAAACTTTCTGTGTTACATACAAGAGGCAACATAAAGTTGAATGGGACCGAAGCTTAAAGAATGTCGAAAATGATACTGATGATGATAAGCTCATGAGTCTAATATGGGCTTTCTTTCAACAATCGTTTTACTGATGATCTTCTGCATATTGACTTGACGCAGAAACCCTCTGTTTCTATGTGAGTAGATAGAGCGCCAAAAAAGAAAGCCGTGACTTGAACGGGGCATCTACCAAAAAAAAAAAAAAAAAAAAAAAAAAAAAGAAAAAGCACGAGCGGGGAATTTCAAAATCAAGCCTAAAAAAAAGAATGGCCCATATAACAATGAAATCAGTGGTATGTCCAGCATAGCTTGTGTGTGTATAATGAAGCCTTATCTCGTTGCCATAGCAATAGAGAAATTACTAGAAAAGAAAAGAAAGGATGTTATGAAAACAGTTCAAAGGTAAAATGGGGGGAGGGGAGATGATGACGAAACAATAACTATTTTCTTTTTTTTTATTTATAAAAAGCGTGGCACTTTTTTATTTTCATTTTCCCCTTTTTTCCCCTTTTTACTTCCCTTCGTCCTCCCTTTTTCTTTTCCTTCTTGGTTTTTTCCACTTATTTTGATTTCTATATTTTTTCCGTTTTTTTATTCAATAACAACCAAGTCGTGGAAAAGTTGAAGCACTGAATAAGCATCAACTCATTTGGAGGAATCCTTCTTCTTTTCGAAACACTATCCTCAGCAGAACAAAACAAAAGAAATTCAGAAGCAAGCCGTAACGGACTTGTATTTGCGGCGCAACACACACGCATATAAGTAAAGCGATACTTCCCCTTGGCAAAAGATTACGACGATACAGCTTTAAAAACATATCCAACACGCCTATACTCTTATTCAGCAACAAACAAAGAATGGCTCACTCACAAAGTAGGAGAAATACATGGGAAGGGTAAGTTATCTTTAGTAGATTAATTCATATTATTGCTGTGGAATATTACACGTGCCACCGTATATATGTGCATTTTATCCAAGTGTGGTGTTTCCCTGATTTTATATACAAGATGTAAACTCTTTTTTCATCTGATGAACAAAAGACATGCGTAAAAGAGAAAAAAAGAACGTCAATGTTACTTTTTCTGTTACCGACTAAATTCATTTGAAGAATCATGCGCTCACACACACACATACATACACGGAGATAGCACATATATAAACCTATCACACGCTTGGATGCATTTTGTTGGTTGTTTTTCCACATATCATTATTGATAGCTAACACCGTTCTCTTTTTTTGCTTCTCCTTTTTTATTGAATGCGACCAACCCATTTGCAACTTTTCATGAATTCCTCAATGACAATTGAACATTAGACCCAACGGACGCACGGTAGAATCGAAAGCAACTGAACTGTTACATTTATACATTTACGACTATTTCAAAAAGAAAAAGTTTAATCAAGCAGCTAGAGCCTTTTCTACAGAAGCCAATGTTGCAACCGATCAAAGCCCACCTTTCGATCTATCAACTGGTTTCTTGGGCGATTGGTGGAATATTTTTTGGGATATGTATTACGCCAAATCTAAAGAAGCAGAAGCCAGTAAAGAAGCCTTAATATACGATGAGGTAATATTCCCTTTTCAAGCTGCCATTCATAGCTTATTATGTCAGGAATGTACGACTAAAGATGCATTCCCTTTCTTTTCATTACACCTATAGTATCATAACTTTCTTAGGGCAAAAAGAGACGAAGTTTTAAATCAACAGCGAAACTTTAATGTGCAATTACAGCAAAGAAGACTTTCGAAAGCTCAAGCATTTGCACAACAGCAGCAGCAGCAACAACAGCAGCAGCAACAAGCTTCTCAACATAACCAAGAACCTCAACCAACCCCACATTTACCTCAGCAAAGTATACCTCCACAGCAACAACAAGCCATCATGTCACGCGATCCACGCCCATCACCTGCTAATAGTACTATCTCTTTGCCCAATAACTCGACAGCAAACAATGTACCCCCACCTCATCTTACCGCACTCAATGCTGGCAATAATAATGTAAATAATACACCACATAGCATGCCAGCCAATTTACCTCAAAGCACTCATGCGACCAATATACCTGGAAGACACACGACTGCTTCTCCTTCCTTTTCACCCCGACAAATAGCCACTATGCAACAGCAATCACAACAACAACATAGGGGCGCCAACGTAGACATGGCACCTCCTCCACCACAACAGCAGCCACCACAACAATCTCAACCCAGTGACAATGAAGCCTCTACCAGCGCTGCCGCCTCCGCTGCTGCTTCTGCCGCTGTTGCTGCTGCTATGATGATGAATTCACCCATGGTAACACATCAGCATTCACAACAACCAGGCCAGATCCCAAATCAACAACAATTTAATGCTTTTCAGCAACAAAAAGCCTTACAATTTCACCAGCATCAAAATCTAATCAATGCTGCCATGAGCGCTTGCGGTTTGGCGGGTCGTGATCAAAGTACACTTACAAATGAGGAAAAAGCTTCTGTCCAACAGCAATATGCTCGCTTTCATGCTCGAATGAATCAGCAAATGATGATGAGAAATACTGCTGCTGCTGCGGCGGCTGCTGCTGCTGGAAGCAATAACAATATGATGGTAGCAGCAGCTCATAACAACCCTCAACTTCAGGCGAGGATGCAAATGCAACAACAATTTCTGGCGCAGCAACAAGCCCAACAACAGCAGCAACAGCAAGCAGCCTTACTTCATCATCAACAACAGCAGCAACAACAACAACAACAACAACAACTACAAGCTCAGGCTCAAGCTCAAGCTCAAGCACAGGCCCAAGCTCAAGCCCAACTTCATCAGCAGCAACAACAACAACCACAACACCATCATTCTTCGCCACAACCTCCTCATGATACGCCTCAGTCTCAAGCCCATTCTTTACCGCCTCCACAATCCACCCCGCAACAGCAACATCCTGCCCTACCACCTGGCACTCCACAACAGCACCAATTGCAATTGGTTTCGAATCAACCTCCACCTCAACAGCACATGAGTCCTCATATAGCAGAAGCTGCTTTACAGCAACAGCACCAACAGCGTCCTATGGGCCCCTTAGGCCCTACAGGTAAATAATAATGGGGAAAAAAAAAACCATGAATTTATTTTGATGTTGATCATTATCGTTTTCATTTACATTTAGTCAATGGTCAACCAAGGCCTCCTATGATGGGCCCAAATGGACAAATGATAAATCCCAATATGCAAAGTCCACAATTAATGAACGGCATGCCATTCAACGGTGATAGTAAGTTGTTTTCTCTTTTTCTCAAACGGAAGGACAACGCCTTTATGTGTAACATGATCGGAACTTAACTTTTCTCTTGTATTGCTTTCTTTTGTTTTAGTGAATTACATGCTAACACAACAAATGATGAATAAGAATCCACAACTTCAACAACAATTCTATCATCAAAAGCAGCGTATGATGATGAATCAATGTATGATGGCGCAACAACAACAACAGCAGCAGCAGCAGCAGCAGCAGCTTCAAATGCAACAGCAAGCACAGGGACAAGCATTCGCCCCAGCACAACAGCCACCCTCTCAACATCAAGGTCCCCAAGCCACTCCACGACAACAACCACAACAATTATCTTCGCTAACCAATGCCATGAATACATCATCGAGCCATATCGTAGGTGATGCTAACAATGGGAGTAATAGCCCAAATCCAACGGCTGTAAGCAGCACTATGAGTCCTGAAGAGGAGAAAAAGAAAGCAGCAGCCGTAGTCATGTATGCACGCCATCAAGTAAGTCATACCATCAATCAAGCTCAACAAGCTCAAAGACAAGCGCAACAACAACAACAACAACAACAACAACAACACCAGCCTGCACAAAAACGACAGAAAACTTCTAATGGAGAAGAACAGCAATCCTCTCAACTACCACCTCCTTCATCGCCTCAATTACATCACAAGTTAGCAGGAGGAAATGGTAGCCCGCATCCTTCTGCACAATTATCGCCTCAAATGTCACGCTCCCAGCAGCAGCAGCAAAAACAATCACCCACGAACAACAATAACAATCTTAATGAGAATAACAGTCATCAGCTAAATGATGCTGTGGGCATGGCTGAATCTGCTGCTGCACCAATGGATCCTACTTCTCAAGCTCAGCAACAAGGTCAACATCCACCAGTTGCCGTCACATCTACTCCGTCATCGCAGCAGCAACAACAAAATGCTGTTCCTTCTTTTGATTTAGAAAGATTCATGATGGCTGGTGCCGGTGATTTCAGTGATATGTTTGCTACAGGAGACGTGATGAATGATCCAAATTTGTTGGCCATGAGTGATATGGTAGGAGCCGATTTATCAGGCAATGGAAGTGGAGCAGGAGCCCTGGTAGATCCCTTTGGCAATGGCGGGTTTTTAGCGAGTATGGGGGGCGGAGGAGCCCAAGCCGCAGGTGCGATGGGATTTGATTTAATGGACACGACGGGCATGCACAACAACAATGGCCATCAAACCATGGGCGCGGCGACAAATGCACTCACATCGTCACAGCCACCCTCCATGTCCACACCTTCTTTATCCCATCACCTGTTGCCTATGAATGCCGCACAGCTCCAACCTGTGTCTGAATTGGCCGGACATGCGAATAAAGTATCTACTGTGTCGTTCTCCTTTGATGGTCAATGGTTAGCCAGTGCCGGCCATGATAAAAAAGTCATGATCTGGAATGTTGCCCAGCAGCAAAAGAATAAAAAAGCATCCACAGCAATGTATACCCTGGATGGTCATACCAGCAATATTACCTGCGCCCGATGGAGTCCGGATACGCGATTCTATGTCGCTACTTCTTCTTACGATAAAACATTACGCATCTGGGACGTCGGCTCTGTGATAGCTAAAAATAACGAGGCAGCAGCGACCATTAAGAAAGAGGAAGCAGACAACGACGATAAAGACGTTAATCATGTGGATACGAAAGAGGAAAAGGAGATCAAGACGGAAACACCGAAACAACTCGTAAAGTTCGACTGTCGCGCTCAAGTCACCGCCATTGATTTTGCACCCAATAAACCCGACATGATCTGTTCTTTAGATGCGGAAGGTGAACTGAAAGTGTGGAACATATCTACTTCCAGCTGCGAAAAATCTATCAAGATGACACAGTCTAAATCAGGCTTCAGTCCTAACCCTATGCGATTCCATCCCAAGACATCGAGTATATTGGCCTGTGCTGTCGGCAATCAAATCTACATCATCGATGTCATGACGGCCAAAAGCAACGGTGGTAATCATAGTGGTCATAACAGCAATAATAGTAATAGCAGTAGTAGCAGCGGCAGTCATGCAGCGCACATGGACATGACAGGCATTCGTACCATTCAAACCGATCATGGCAAAAATATATGCTCCTTTGATTGGTCGGCCGATGGCCATTTCCTCGTCGCGTCTTCGGAAGATAAAATCTGTGTTTATGAAACTTCTCATTGGAAATGTGTGATGCATCATATCCCTCAATCTAAAATATCCGGCTGTGCCTTTGTCAATACTGGCAGTAGCAGCAATTCCAATACCAATCATTCATCAACAACAACAACAATGACAACAACAAATAGTGGGGGTAGCTATCCTCATCATCACCATCAGAATGAGAAACTAAAGATTTTATACGGTGGTTATCAAGATATCTTCTTGTGGCAATGTGGTATTCCAGGCGCACAACCGATGAAGGCTGGATCCCAATCTGGTATGGTCGTGAATATTGCTTGTTGCACAACTGCTATCACCCATACTTCGTCGTCGTCTTCCTCATCTTCTCCTTCCTCTTCTTCTGCGATACCTCATTCGAATATCCTTGTAGCCACAGCGAGTCATCAAAAAGAAAAGAATTTGATGTTATGGACCATCTAAAAAGAACCCCTTTTCTTTAAACCACAACGACGAAAATGAGGCATGCGTTAAAACTTCTGATTATTTACTATCTTTTATATTAATTTTGTATTCCATTTTACAAAAACAATGACTCTTGCTGTCTCTCTCATACATCCTATTTCATGCTATATCCCTTTATAAAAGAGAGGAGAGAGACCCGTCTAGGTTAGAAATAACTGTATATATAATTTTATACGTATATATATATATATACGTATACACAGATATACAAACTACCGAGCTTTATATATATCTATCTCCCTCTCCCACTATCATTTTTTCTTTGGTACTTTATCATATTAAAAATAAATTCAAAAAATCTGTCGGATGTCTTTAGGCTGAGATATAGGAAAGTGTATAAGAAGAGCTCGGAAGCTCAAAAAAGTAGACTGCTATTTTGTGACATGCGAAAAGGGAAAAAAAATTAAAGCCTCTATAAACATCGACTTTTGCACTTTCTTTTTTTTGTTTTTTCTTCTTTTCATCATTTATTTCAGTGATATTTAGGAAATGGAATGCCATGGTTAGTAAAAGGTAAATTAATCACACTCTATTGGCTGTTTGTTCAGCAGTGTGCCTGTGTCTTTTTCTTTTATTCCGATTTCATCTTGTTACCTGATGATTGTAATTTGCGTCTGAACCCTGGGGTTCAACGTCGGTACTACGGCAGCTTTGTCTGCTTTGTAGGGACCCACCGACGTCCCACGGATGTAGTCAACTCTACGCCAAACGTCTGATAATAGATGAAAAAGGAAAAAGAAGAGAACATCTGTGCATATACTCTTTGTATTTGGACTTGTTCAGTTTACTAAATGAATAATTTCTACTTTTTCTCGTTAGGTTTGGTTTCGAAGGACCCCTTGTTCTATCCAGGTGCATTCTAGATATTTCTTAATACTTCATTTGATATTTATTTTCGCTTTTAAATAAAGTTATGTTATGTAATCTATCGAATTTTTGAAATGTCACTGTTCCTGTCTTTCTAAATGTATTGTTTAATCACGGTTTTTCGGTGTGGAAATTTTCTAGAATTCTAGAGCTTTCCATTGACACATTAACACGTCAAAATTCCTGAACCGTGAATGAAATGAAGAGTACAACAAAAGCTTACAAAATAGCAACTCAAGACCGGTCAATTGTTGAAAGTTGAATTTAAACAGAGAAATGCATGGGATATGAAGGACGTGTTATCATTTTTATTAGATAAAACTGTAATTGAAAGAGAAGAAAAATTCTTTAATCTTTTTTATAAATAATGTCATTATCTGCCGTTATCACAGTAGAAGCAGGTGCTGCAGTGGTTGCCCTAAAAGTTGCATTCGAAGAAACTTCTCCATAGGGACTGCTCGTATGATTCGTATTGTTATTATTGCTGGACCTTGTATTATTGGCAGTCGACGCAGCCGCCGAAGGAGTAGTGGTCATGGCTTGTATGGCAGACGTGATTTGTTCGTACGTCGGTAAGGAAGAAGAAAACGTGGCTTGTTCTTGTTGAGCAGCTGTTCGATAGGAAGGGACACGGGATAAATTTGTTCCATGCCACCAAACAGAAGGAGCAGGAGAAGAAGAAAGCGTCGGTGAAGTGGCTGATATAGGTGACATGGTTAAAGCCGTAGAAGAAGCGGTAGTGACGGGTCTTGTATTAGCTGTCGTTGTCGTCGTTGCTGATGTTGTTGGTATAGGAATATGAGCAGCAGGAATGGTAGCAAACGAGTTGTTGGGTATGAGAGAAGGAGTGGAGGTTGAGGTAAAAGGCAATGTCGTGGACGCCGTTGTAGCAGCGTTACCTTGTCGATGAGTCAACACGTCACTTCTGTTGTGCAGATGATCCTCTTGTGTATTCATACGACGCATATACGGCTGTTGTACTTGTTCTTGCTGCACTATGGATGAAGAGGATGTGCTCGTGAGTTGTAGAATAGGTCGCGGCTGAGAAGCTTGTTCCAAATGTCTGTTGGAAGAAGTAGCAGAGGACGAAGAAGTAGTTGCTTCGTACTCTTGTAATTGCTGTTGCTGTTGCTGTTGCTGAGAGGAATCAGGTGGAGGAGGACCTTCCATACATAATACGGTTCGCCACGATTGATCATAAGCAGGGAGTGAACTGCTCAAATTCATTTCGTTTTCCGAAGACACGGATGAAACAATGATGATAGGTACGGAACAGCGTAATTCAGAGAGATGGCCATCCGCATTGGCTAAACAAATAATAAACTTCATTTTATGGCGTATACGGATGAGATCGTTATCTGCGTCACAAAATGCTGCTTGAGATGACATTGGCGGGATGTCCAATTGTATCACTTTTGTCCAACTGACCGGTCCATCATCACGATGATTCTCCTGATGAGGACGACTACCGTCACCACTATGATTGCTGGTACCTGAATGCCGGTAATTGTTGGAAAGATGAATATCGTTGTTTGAAGAGGTAGTCGTAAGAGTAGGAGTATTAGTAGTATTCGTAGTATTCGTAGTAGTAGTTGTAGTAGTGGTAGGATTAGATGGGGTACTTGTTGTAATAGACGAAGAAGAAGAAGAAGCAGTAGTAGTTGAAATTGTACGCCTAACAGGAGCACTAGGAAAAGGATCTTCATCTTTATGTAATTTAATAATGCGTGTGTCCGTTTTTGAACAGTCGTGAGCGGAATAGGTGCAGTATTCTTTGAGTGAAGCCGTCAGCGATCGAACGCGAAGTCCAGCGGCAATGGGAGTGATATGAAAAGTAACCGGTATCAACTGGCCACGTGTATAGAGTTTTGAGGGTAATAAAATATCATACATCATCTTTTCCGTCCAAGTGTTGTGAATTTCTAATGATTGAGCTAGATCAAACGCGTTGGGCGACAAGCATCGTACAATACGAATAGGTTGCTTTTTCACAATGTTCTGCAGAAGAACAGATCGTTCAACGACTGCTTTAAGACGGTAGATGATCTGACCTCCTTCTGCTTCAAGGGTTTGAGGCAAGGTGCCTGGTAGTGATAATTCAAAATCCCATTCATGTCGGCCTTGGTTTAGTGTGTAAGATTTCTTGGGAAGCTGATCCATGACAGGTACAAATTGCCATTTATGTTCGAGAATATCTTTTTCTTGTTTATGATAATGTTGATGATGACCTATGCCTGTGTGCAGAAAGGAGAGGGCATTGTTTAATGATCGTTGTCTATATGGCTTACAGGATGCTTTTGATAGTTTTCTTTTACTGTACCTTCAGACCATGCTACCTTCATTTTGCCGAGGAAGTTTAGGGTGATAGCTCGTAATTTCATCGGCTCCTCCAAGGTAAGGATGACTTTGCCTCGCAGCACCTTGCCAGCAGCTTCGGAAGGATATCCAATGAGTACTATCTCTTTATTTTCGACTTCAATCTTCAAATCAAATGTCTTGTGGCGGATTGCATCAATGACAGTTGACATATTGCTTTTCGGTGGATATCTTTAAGATCTGAAAAAAGGGGGTGTTTGTGACTAAGAAAATCTGACAAGTTACGCTTCTTTCATGTAACTATAACAAAAAAAAAAAAAGAAAAAAGAAAAAAAAAAAAAGAAAGAAAAGGTAGTGATGAAAAAAAAGAAAAATGTGAATAGCAAAGAAAAATAAATATGTTATAAATTTCTTAAATTCAGGCTGGTATATATTGAAACTATGTGATAAAGAATGGAATAGAAAAAGAGAAAGGGAGAAAAAAAAAAAAAAAAAAAATAAAAACATTTCTGTCCCGAAAAAATGAAATAAAAAATCAATGAAAAAAAGCATACGCATTTTGAAGATCTGTTGTCTGTCTCTCGCGCGGTTCTCTTTTGACTGAAACATAGCCTACCCCTTGTCAATCCATTGGAGCTAACGGAGAATCTAGCCTTGATTCTTTCTTTTTTCAAAAAGGCTGTGCAAAATAGTGAAATTTATTAGCATAATCCGTGTGTGCACCTATATAGAATCCGCCCAAAGATGAACTGACATCGATGGCTTTGACGGTCGGATCAAGCCAATCTTTTTTGTCCTTGAATGATCCTACTTCTTCCGGCAGAAGAGAGAACTGCTGCTGCTGGTCATGAAGTCCGATTTCACCAACGACCTGTTCCCCTTTCAATAAAATCCGTAGCAGAATGCCCAGGGTAATATCTTTGTGTGAATAATAGATCAAGGTTTGCTTTCTACCCAAGCCGCCACCTCCATTACTACCGTCACTATCTTCCCTACTGATACTGTTGCCATGACTACCACTACGATCATTACTATTGGAGGCATTTGGTTTTCGTATTTGATCTGCTATATCCGATAAAACCAAAGCAGGAGCACACAAATGAACTGAGTCTGGTCTACAAACCATTGTTATATTGGTTTGAAAAAAAAAAAAAAAATTTTCGTTCGTGTTTAAATTTTTTTTTCAAGTCAGGGTGCTTACTCAGTCTCTCATATTAAATTTATGCAAGTACTTTTTTTATTTACCTTTCATCTGGTTGCATCAAGGAACAAGCTTCTACGATATGTCGACAACCTAAAGAATGCCCAACAATTCTCAAATAATCATATTTCTTTCTTAATTGTAATAATCGCCAAGCCAACATTTCTGCACGATCCTGACTTTCCTGAGTAGCGGTATTAAATTGATATGCCAATCGCGCAGCATGAAGTCCTGCATCAATGGCAAGCGCACCTGCTATGGAAGCCGGGGTTGGAAAAAACCTGAGTGTTTTGAGTCGTTTGGAATTTTTGGCCAAGAAAAATGCCGTGGAAGTTAAAGAGGCAATTGGGATAGGAATGTAATGGTTGGAAGTACCTGAGGGCCATGAATAGCTTTGTCGAAAACAATGTAAGTCCTCTTCTGTGTTTCTCAAATAATACAGTTCTTTTTTTATTTTATTGCTTTATGTTCAAAATCTTCTCTCACCCTAATGCAGCTGGTGACCACCGATGGGATGAACTGAGTACGAGCAAGCGATGGGAATGCATCCAGTCGTTAAAGTTGTCTGGTGAATCACCTTCTGCTAGAAAGCCCTTCACATAGACTGTCACTTCGGATTGATCATTTTGCGGAGGTCGCGAAAGTACTTTTAGAGAAGGCAATTCTGTAAAATACTTTTTGGTCCTTGTGGCATGTTGTGTGATGATAGACTTTGCCGCTATGGACGACATTGACTTTATATAAATTTGTTATCGTATAGAACGATGCAGGAAAAAAACGAAAAAGAAGGAGCGGTGTGTATTCATTTGCTCGCTTTTAGGGCTTTATATGAATCACTATTGCATTCCCGCTAACTAGGGTCCTTTCCAAAGCATTGACAAAAAGGGTACAATAACAATACATGTTTTTATTAGAGTGAAACTACACATTCTATCAGTTAAAAATAAAAATGATTTTATACAAAGGGAACGATCAAAATGGGAAAGCTGAAGGGGGGGGGGGTATTCTAAGGCTTTAAAAAAATTCAAAAACCCCAAGAGTTATAAATAGAGATACAAGATGATATAAGTGTGGTGTTTTAACTGGTTGGACAGAGTAAACCTTGATAAGGTATATCTCTATTATAAGTCCAAGCAATACCAGAAATATGGTAAGTCAAATGAAGTGTCACGTTCAATGAGTCCTGCAGGTTTTCAAAAGGAGTATTTGACGTCACTTGAACACCACAGGCATTATATAAATCTTGAAAGGTTGTGTCATTTACATTATCCGAGGCATAAAAAATGGTCATTGGTATCGTCACAATCGATTTCTTTTTTGGTGGTAGAATAAAGAAACCTGAACTACCATTGCCAAATGCTTGATTGGTTTTATCGTCGGTAATAAAGATATCCAGAGCTTGGATACGAGTGGGCACCCAATTCACTGAATTATCCGCCGTCAGGTTGAGCAACCATTGGGTGGACATGACCTTCCTGGTACTGTTAGTGATCACTTGTATCGAGCCAATATTATCTACATCGTCCAATGTCATGCTGGGTATACGAGGCCATACAAAATACCAAACAAGCACAATGATGACGGTAACGACGACACTGATAAAGCCTACCGTCAGTAGCCGTAATCCACAGCATTTTCGTTGTTTCCTTCGTCTTTTCTTCAATAAATGCTCCGGTAATGCCTCTTCATCATGGAGGTCTTTGTCGTTGGATACTTTACTGTCAATAGTCTTGCCATGACTGCTATTCAATTGATGGTGAGGTTGGGTATAGGGGTCTAACATAGAATCGTGCAATAATGAACCTACACCAAGCGATGTGGTAGCGGGTGCGGAATATTCTTCTATATAAATAGGTTCGGCTTTTTGATTTGGATCTCTGGCATGATGCGAGTACGGTAAATATGAGTTTGCTCTTAACTGATCATGCTGCGAATGGCTGCTAAGCAGGGTATTTAAGCTGCTATTCATACTGGAATTATTGGTGCTTGTTGGGTTGTTCATCACGCTCCCAGGTGATGGCGAGTTGAACGAGTTACGAAATTTCCTATTATTATTATAAGGTGATTTCGTTGCATAAGGGTCATCATAATCGTTCAGTGCAATTCCAGTGTACAGTTTAGTGGTGCTGCTATCAGACGCTGTGCGAGAATGAACAGCATCAAATTCTGAATTATTGTCTGACATACTACTGGAACCTAAATTACACAAAAAGTCCGAGTGTGTTTATTGAGGAAAAGGATGAGTATAAAAGTAAACAAACAAAAACCAAAGCAACTGTTGCACTTTTTCTCTTTCAAGCTGTAGGCGAGTTGATATTTACCTGCGGCGGGACTTTTCCTAACCATTCTATAAGGATCATTCTCTTCATAGACAGTTGGCAGTGAAGGCTGTTTTGAATGACTGTTTGTAGAATTGGTACTGCTACTAGCGCTTACATTGCTGCAGTTGTTTTTTGTGTTATTGTTGCTGCTACTATTGGTATTAAGATTATTGTTGCTTATACTGTTAATGCCGGTATTCCGATGGATGGTATTGCTATGATCCATCATATGAAGTCATGTACAGGATAACAGAATTGGAAAGAAAGAGGCTGTACTATACACTGTCGACAGTCTTTGCAGACCCAAGTGATGAGAATCAATTGAAGCAAAAAAAACTGAAAAGATAAAAAAAAAAATATGAAAAAAGAGAATAGGAATGAAAAGAATTGTCTTTCTCTTTTTCTTTCTTTGTTTTTTTTTGGTTTTTTTTTTTTTTTTGGTCTGTGCGCGCCTTTAATATATAGAAAAAAAAACCTGTTATTTGAAAAGCAGCCAATTGGCTATAAAACGATACTTAGAAAGTTTTTGTTTAAAAAGACAAACATTTTTTGATGGAAACAAGACTTCAAATTTCTTCTATTTTTTCGGCATGCATAATTCACATAATCTTCTGTCAAAAACCTGATTGAAAATGTTACACACTTATTTGCACATAAATTTCTATGGAATTGCAAAAAATAGATTTGAGTCACAAAACTCAGAGAACGAACAGAATTTCAAATTGAATTCTGTAAATGGAAGCACAAAAAAACTGCACAAATAGGTTCATAAAAGCACAGCAGTGCATTTGTTCCTGTGAGTTATAGCATCGAAAGCTCAGGAAAGCGCTTAGTGCAGGATAAAGGTTTTGTCCGACTTTTTTTTGATAGATAATTTTGACCCTGAATTTTTGTTGATGTCACTTTTCTCAGTCCCGATCTTTGATAATTTGATCAGAAAATGAAAACCTTCTTTTTAATTACTAAATTAAGCGTGGCCAAAAAGGGAGCTCTCTTTTATTTTTCATATAAACCAACGTTCGCTTTATCATGACTGAAGACCAAGGAGCCTCAGCTAGTACAGTATATTTTTTCAGCTGGGTCTGTATGTTTGTTGCTGATAATGAACTCACTTTCTTTTGCCTTAATTAGATGAACTTATGTTGGCTTTATGCCGAAGTGATCAGGAAGATGAACTGATTCAATTACTCAGCGAAGGACATTGCGACGTTACTTTCACAGATGGTGCAGGAAACACTGCTGCTCATTACGCGTAAATATCATACATCTACAGCAACAGAAAGTAGGGTGAGAGAGGGAGGAGTAGCGCGCGCACATACATACTATGTTTAGAAATTATTCTTATCAATAACTTTCGGCCTATATTTCGACTTGATAATATCAATATTGCTTTGGTAATCTACAAAATATGGCCATCTATCATTATAGAGCAAAAAACGGTTCGATTGGTTGTCTGGAAGCACTTGTCAATCATGATGATATTGATTTGGATATGAAGAATAGAATAGAGGGAGACACACCACTCCATTTAGCAGTGCAGTACGCTAATGAAGACCATGAAATGGCAACTGCTATGGTAGAGTTATTATTGGCTGGAGGAGCAGATCCAAGGTAACTAATCCATTGCTAGAATATGCCCACCCTATTTATTTTTAAACGCGACGTTATATATCCGTTTGAATAGCATTGAAAACCGTAATAAATTAACACCAGCTATGATGGTCAACCCGAAATTCCAAGATATCAAATCAGCATTAGAACAAGCCAACATCTCATATGACATCGTAAGTTTGGAAAGAAAAATCAAAAGAAAAATCAAAAGAAAAAAGAAAAAGAGCGCGGAAAAGTGTACGGCATGATATGTTATACTTACAACCTGGTGCGCTCATATCATAGGATGATGCTGATATTGCAAATGATGAGGCCGTGAATGAAGATGATTTAGGCTCGGGCTCGGAGACAGAAGATTAGCCTCCTTCCCTATGATAAATTGTAAAAAGTTGATTCCCTTTTTTTTGTAGTAGTAGTTCTAGTGGAAAAGTATACAGTAGTAATTTATTCCAGTTTGACATATCCATTTATGCTTTTTTTTTTAAAGACTTCACTTATAAAAGCGCATTGAATTTTAAGGTCACGAGACTTTTTTTTTTCCTCCCAATTTCAAATAGACTTTATTTTTTGAAATTTTCTTTATGACGTATACTTTATAAAGAAAGGTCAATTTGTATTCTCTTTTTCGAATCTTTCAATCAGCTTACACCTTTTATCCCGTTGTTCCTTTTTCATATTATAAATCTTGCTTTCAAATAAACAAAGAAACGAAGAAACTATAAACAATGTCTTCTATGCAATTACCTCCTGGAAACGATTTTAATGCTACCTGGGCCTTCTTGGAAGAAGGTCTCGATCAGATTATGTGCCGTTTTGAAGAAGGTCTTTCACGTACACGTTATTCTATCCTTTATAGGTAACATTTCTTTCATGCTTATTGCCATTAACAAGTGTCAACAATATACGCATTCATTTTCTCCTCATTTTTTTTGACGATTGTCTCCAGTGCTGTTCATAATTATTGTGCCAGAAGCGATTCAACGTTGCATAATACTATCTCCACAGGAGGTGGACTTACTTCACGTAGACGTAAATATCTCACCAGATATAAAAGATAAATCTTTATAGATATATTATTGTTTCCGTACATCGCTATTCAGTTAAACTCATATCTATTCTTCGATACATATCATATCTATAGCTGCACCTGCGCCTCCTCTCATTGGTGGAGAAGTCTATATGCATCTCAGTAACTACTTAAAGAATCACCTAGAAAATATCAGAAAAGAATCCGAACAATACATGGATGAATCCTTATTACAATATTATACCAAACAGTGGACTCGTTATACAGCAGCAGCACGCGTAGTCAACAATATTTTCATGTACTTGAATCGTTATTGGGTGAAACGGGAAATTGATGAAGATAGAAAGAGCGACGTATATGATGTATTCACTGTAAGCATTTATCAATTTTAAGTACTTGCGAGCGCACATATTGTTTCTGCTCAAAACTCGAAAGAAATGGGGAGTTACAAGATGGGACAAGAACTTACCTTTTTGTTCTATCCTGATCATTATAGTTGACACTTGTGAGTTGGAAAAAATACATGTTTGAATATGTTCACCATAATGTTATTGCGGCTGTCCTTAAGCTGATTACTAAACAAAGAGATGGTGAAGTTATTGAGACAGGCTTGATAAAGAATGTCGTTGAATCCTTCGGTAGGAAAAACAAACTGAATCAGAACTTCATAGTAGACAACGCGCTGTAGTATACTAAACTCTTTTCTTTATCTTAACCGTAGTCTCACTTGGTTTGGATCACAATGATTCTTCAAAATCAAACCTGGATGTCTATAAGGAATATTTTGAAAAAGAATTCTTGGAGGCAACTGAAGTTTATTACAAAACAGAATCAGAAAAGTTTGTTAGTGAAAATAGCATTCCCGAATATATGAAGAAGGCTGAAACAAGATTGAATGAAGAAGAAAATCGTGTTCAAATGTATCTTCATCCTTCTAGTCAGAAATCTTTAATACCTATTTGTGAGACAGTTTTAGTCAAGAATCAGGAAGAAGTGATTTGGGATGGTTTCCAAACTTTGCTAAATGAAGATAAACAAGATGGTAATGTGCTTCTGCTTCATCGAAGAGAAGGAAGTAAAGCTCTATTTCTTTTTCCTTTTAGTATTAAATTTTTGTTGCATGGTTCTCGATTTATTTAGATCTTCATCGTATGTATTCACTCTTGGCTCGTATTTCTGATGGTCTTAATCCCCTGCGTGAAGGTTTCGAAGTACATGTCAAGAAAGCTGGTCTTAGTGCTATTGAAAGAATTTCGTCACAGAATGCGAACGATGTCATTGATCCTAAGAGCTATGTCGATACCTTATTGGAGGTTCACAAGAAATACAACGATTTAGTACATTCTGCCTTTAACGGCGAAGCTGGATTTGTAGCAGCTCTCGATAAGGCTTGTGGTGAATTTGTGAATCGCAATTCTGTCTGTAAGGGTACTTCTAGCAAATCACCTGAGTTGTTGGCTCGTTTCTGTGATGGTTTATTGAAGAAGAGCGCTAAGAATCCTGAAGAAGACGAATTAGAGGACGTGTTGAATAACGTCATGACCGTGTTCAAGTACGTCGAAGATAAGGATGTATTTCAAAAGTTTTATAGCAAGATGCTAGCCAAGCGTCTTGTCAATGGCACTTCCTCTTCAGACGACGCTGAAGGCTCTATGATTTCTAAACTGAAAGAAGCTTGTGGTTTCGAATATACCTCCAAACTACAACGTATGCTGACAGATATGTCGCTTTCCAAAGAACTTAACGATCAATTCAAGGGCGTCATGCAACAGAATCCTGACATCGCTCACGGTGTCGATTTCAATATTCTTGTTCTTAGTGCTGGTTCTTGGCCTTTATCTGCTCCTTCTACTTCTTTCAATTTACCAGACGCTATTGTCAAAATGTATGACCGATTCCAAAAGTTCTATCAAAACAAGCATTCCGGCCGTAAGTTGAATTGGCTCTTCCAACTTTCTAAGGCTGAATTAAAAACATACTACTCGAAAGCTAGCAAGGTTGGTTATACCTTTATGGTTTCTGCTTATCAAATGGGAATCCTTCTTCAATACAACAACACCGACGTTTGTACTTATGAAACTCTACAACAAAGTACTGCTCTTTCTCCTGAAGCTTTGAATCCTGCTCTTGGTATCTTGGTCAAGGCGAAGGTCCTTCTACTTAAAGATGGCGAGAACGTAGGCGATGCAGGTTCTCGTTATGTTCTTAACCATGACTTTAAGAGTAAAAAGTTCCGTATCAATCTAAATATGCAAATGCGTGTAGAACAGAAGCAAGAAGCCGACGAGACGCACAAGACCATTGAAGAGGACAGACAATTTGTGATGCAGGCTGCTATTGTTAGAATTATGAAAACTCGTAAAGTGATGAAGCACGTTGCTTTAATCGAGGAAGTCATCACCCAGCTGCAATCAAGATTCAAGCCGCGTGTTCCTGCTATCAAGAAATGTATTGATGTCTTACTGGAAAAGGAATACATTGAACGTGTTGAAAATCAAAAGGACATGTACAGTTATGTTGCATAAAACAGAAAAGAAAAAAAATAATCATCACAAAATACCTTTACCCCTCCTCTATCATATCTTTTCGTCATTCCAAAAATCTTTGAACGGATGTAAACATTAAAACTGATGATAGTAATTTTCATTGAAAAAAAGCATTACTTCGTTGAAAAGAAAAGAATAAAATAATAACATCATGTTGTTGAATAATTGACTACCACGCGATTTAAAAGAGGTAATTTAATCATCCTTGTAATACCTTACAGTCATCTCATTAAGTAATTCACGTAAGATTTCACAGACGAACTACCGTAAGTAGTTGTAGTAGAACTATAATAGCTTTATAAGGTATGATAATCCGTTATAGGTTTGAAAATGGCAATTGAATTTTCGTTAGTAAATAGACCACGAGAGTGCATATCTATTTCTTTATGTCGCATATACTTTCCGACGATGTGTGCTATAATGGAAACAAAATAAAGGTATTCAATTGTCAAACGCTATCTAAGTAACAGTAGTAGAGGCTCGAACCGCATTGTTTCATTTTCCGTTATTATGGTTCGAACAATTACAATTTTTTGAGCCATTTAACACGTGACTTTTATTAGTAATATTGGGTGATTTAATTTACGCTTTTAAATTTTATTAAGAAGCCTTGTTAGCTCAGTCGGTAGAGCGTTGGACTTTTAATCCAAATGTCAGGGGTTCGAGCCCCCTATGAGGCGATTTAATTTTTTTATCTTATTCTAATGAAGTGAGACGTTTCTACAATTACCATAGCTAAATTGTATGCCGATTTATATTGGAGTATATATCAAGTTCTCAGTAAAATTTGGCATTTGTTACGAGTAGTACTAGTATCAAAGACATGGTTAAACAACATTCGAACTGTCGTGCGCAAATTTGTTCACCCCTTCCGTCCTGCTCCTTCTTGGCGATCTATCTGTCTCCGCAAGTGTTTTGGCGGCTTGGGCATCATTGATATACATCAGCAACATCTAGCATTACAGCTTATCTTTTCACCGATTTCTTCAGCCTGAATGCAACAGTGATTTCGTTACTCATTTGATCGGCCATCGTATATACATATGTATTGGTCACCATTCCTTTCTGCCATGGCTGCAGCATCCTCGGGCCTTCTTACCTCTCTTTAAAGGGCTCCCTACGTTATCTATTGTAACACGGCTTCTAATGGAGCTACCCGCATTAATGGGACATAGTAGCTGGCCTGGACGCTGGTACGCAGATACACCACTCCGTTTTGCTTTGGTACCAGTCAATCATACGAACAATGAGGACGCTTATGACCTGTCTCAAATACCTTTGCGCTATACTGTAGCAAACACAATTTCTTGGTCCTATTCATTTAACATGTTCACTAACTACCTTCGATTGGATCTCCCTAACCTTAATAAGATAGGTAAATTACTCCAGCTGCTTAGAAAAGACACTCCTCCCCTTTACTGGAGTCCTAGGCTCAAAAACTTCATGCCGCGTGATTTCCGCTTCGATGTACCTTCGCCGACTTGGCCATGTCAGAGGGCCGATCAGCGAGCAACACCAATTGTCGCCCTTGACGCGTCTTCATGGGTTCCTCGGTGCGATCACGGGGAATTCAAGTTGGCGACCAGACCAATCTACATACTAAGTTGACTCCGGGACTATTACGACAATATTGGTCTCAGCGATATCTTCAAGAGAAACTACCGGGTCCATTCTCTATGCTGGGCATCCCACAAGTACCTTATATCTGCCCAACCGGTTTTTGCCATCCTCGTATTTGGAAAGTCTTTTGGTCCTTACGATTGTCACACAAGGTCTTTACCTGCTTGTGGGCGGTTGCTGCGCGCATCGTCAAGTTCAAGGTTATCGTTGCAGAGTCAGCGCCCTCAGCGCTGGCCATCACCCGAATGTCCACTATGTCTAGCACCCATTGAAGATGACTTTCACTTTGTCGTTGGCTGCCATATCAAATGGTCCTTTTGGTCCGCAGCTTTAGTCTATCTGTCTCTCTCTGATGTTCTACGATCTCCAGATGATTTTTGGCATGTTCTCCTCCAGTTGAAGCTTCCAACAGATACATACACTGAGAATTACACCTTAGAATTAGTTGGTAATATCATTGGTATGTAGCCATCAACAATGAAGCCTAGGCCACAGCGAATGCATTACAGAGACTCCAATCCTCTGTAACTTTAAGTATCACGTTACAAAATGTTGAAAACGTGTCCCCACGAAACATTACTTAAACACTGTGATGAGTACTGTTCATAATGTGCCGCCCATAGCCCCCCTTCTTCTCCTCTTATACCATTTGTCTTCAACTTTACTTTCGTCTTCTGTCTTTCTGTTCAAATAAAACGCACATGAATTTAAACAAAAAAAAAACGGACATTATACTTTATCAGCTAATAGTTTTTTATTGCAACCAGAAACATTAGTGTATAACTGTCCTTTTAAAATAAAAAGCAAAGATAACTTTTTTCTACGTTCATAAACATTAAAACATACCCCATCTTGGATGAAGCTATTCATCTATATTTAAAATTCGGTCAGTTAGATTATGAAAACGGTTTAAAAAGGTAAATCTACAGAGAGGTGGTATTGTCGATCAAATTGTTCATCATCGATAACTAAGCATCTTCCTGAACAATTACATGACTTTTTGTGGAGTCCATAAGCTTAAACAAAAATGAACACACAGAAAAGAAGATTTATGTTCAATTAATCACTTAATTGTAGAATGGCATTTATCACATTGTATTTCATCTTTTTATGTATACCGTTCTTCCATAAAATCACTCTTATCTACTCTAAATGTGCTAAACGCTCAAGTATGTAGTTCTCATCTTTGATTACAACTCAAAAATCGAGCTAATACTAGTCCTTCCATGAAATCAATTTCTTTCCAATACATTTGCATGTATTAGCGTGATAAGTTGTGTTAGAGTCATTAAAATGCCTGACATAATAATTGACAGAAAAAGAAAGCGACTATTATTGTTTAAGACTATAAAATGTTGTATGTAGGCGTAGTAATTGCAGTTCTGCCTACGATTTTATTATAAGTTGAAGCAAACCGTGATGAATGAATACAACAACAAAGATAAGGAAAAGGGGAAATTAAATACTATTGTACAAAAAAGTAATATACTGATTGCTCACTTTAAACGGATAATTCGGCTTTGGTGGTATCCTTCAAAACTTCAGCATATGGTGCCAAAGCAGGCTTTACGTGGTTTTCCAAAAAGTTATCCACTTGTTCAGGAGCACGGCCAATAAATGTAGAAGGCTCTAACAATTGAGGCAACTCATCAATGATAGGCTTGAAATATTCAGTCTTCTTGATACGTTCGATCAAGTCATTTTCACGTCCTTCCATCTTGACCTCATGTGCAGCTTGATGGGATAAGACACGAATTTGTTCATGACATTCTTGACGGTCACCACCCTTCTTTACCATAGCCATAATGATATTTTCGGTAGCCATGAAGGGTAATTCTTGTTGAATACGACGTTCAATCACCTTAGGATAGACGACCATACCTTCACAAATATTTTGGAGAGTGGTCAAAATGATATCGGTAGTTAAGAAAGCTTCAGGCAAAGAGATACGACGGTTAGCACTGTCATCCAAAGTACGCTCAAACCATTGGACAGCACTGGTTTGCAGGGCGTCGTTGACGAGCAGCATAAGATGACGAGACAAAGAAGTGACACGTTCTGAACGCATAGGATTACGTTTATAAGCCATGGCAGAGGAACCAATTTGATCCTTTTCGAAAGGCTCTTCAATTTCCTTCAAGCTAGCCAAAAGACGAACATCGGTGGCAATCTTGTGAGCAGTTGCACCAAAACCAGAGAGAGGGTGTAAAACGTCAATATCAATCTTTCGGGAGTAGGTCTGACCGCACACGGGGTAAGCTTCCTTAAAACCAGCTAATTCAACAACGAGTTGGTCAAGTTTTTCGACCTTATCGTGATCGCCATCGAAAAGGGTCAAAAAGGAAGCCTGAGTACCAGTGGTGCCCTTTACACCACGTAACTTGAGGTCGTTACGAGCACGTTCAAAATTACGTAAATCCCATAATAATTCCTGAATCCATAAAGTGGCACGTTTACCGACAGTGACAAGTTGAGCAGGTTGGAAATGAGTAAAGCCCAAGGTGGGTAGAGCACGATATTCCTTAGCAAAGTTTGAAAGGATGTCGATAACACGAGCAAGTTTCTTGATAACAATATCATAAGCATCTCTGAGGATGATCAAATCACCATTATCTACAAATTTTGAACGCATAACGTACATCAGTTAAAAAACCAATCATTCCCTCGAAGCTCGCTTGTGTCATGTTCTAATTTTTCAGCAAACATTTCTACATACCAGTGACATAGCATGATGTAGCACCCAAATGAATAATACCAGCAGCAGCAGGCGCAACAAGGCCAAACGTATGAACGTGAGCCATAACATCGTGACGACGTTTTCGTTCCTCTTCGGCAGCTACAGCATAGTCAATGTTGTAGATGTTGGCTTTCATTTGCTCAATAGCTTCGTCGGTAATGTCGGTCAAGCCTAATTGCTTTTCAGCAATGGCCAAGTTGGTCCACAGTTGACGCCAAGTGGAATAGCGCTTATCCTCAGAAAAGTTGTACGCCATTTCTTTAGAGGCATAACGTGAAGTGAGAGGTGATTGATATTTGTCGTGAACTTGAGACATCCTTGTTTTTTGCCTGTCAGTGATACTTAGAAACGCGGAGAAGGGAAAAGTATATTTACAGAAAGATGGTTTATATAAATGTCAGAAAAACCTTAAAATCAAAGAAGCGGGCCCTCTGACTCTTCATCTATTAGTGGCTTGTGTGTCAGTTCAAGGGAACCATTTCATGCGGCTATTGAAACACAAATCTTTAGTCAGGGAATTCATGCAATTTGCGCAAATTACAGGAACCCCTACGGAGACCTGCTGTTTGAAGTTTTCTGTTTCTTCCTTCTTCTTTCTTCGAATTGTTGACAATGTCTTTGATCTATTCTTTGAGAGCACTCGTACATTGTCCAGCTCAGCCTTCTACAGCTCGATTGTTTTCTGCAGCTAGTATTTCATGGTCAAAACGCCAAGCTTTACATAAACCTGGTGTTTCCACATTATCCAAACACCTGAACCCTAGTCATCTGAACGGTCGAGAGCGTCGAAATCAGCTACGAAACAATCTCAAAACAAGCAAACCTAAAAGCAGTAAAGGGCCATATATTCCTGTTAAGAAACGGCTAGAGCCCATACAAACAACCGTTGCATCTACTGCAGTATCTCCATCAATCAAAAAAACAACTGCTAAAAGTAGGAGCATCAATGATAGTGAATCGTCCGTTTTACAGGACACAAAACAAATCAACGCAAAACAATTGTCATCCATACTTGCTAGTCGGACGTTTGACGACCTCCATTTATCTGCAGTCAGTGTTGCTGCTGTAAAAGATGTGCTGAAACACGTCGAAAACCTCAAGCCCACAGAAATTCAAGCATTGGCGATACCAGAACTACTCGATCGCAAGAAGAAGCATGTACTTGTAGCTGCAGAAACAGGCTCAGGAAAAACGTTAGCCTATCTTCTGCCAACCATTGACTTATTAAAGGAGGATGAACGGAAATATGGAGAAAAATTGAGACGCTTAGACCATCCCAGAGCCATTGTCTTGGTACCTACCCGGGAGCTCGTTGGACAAGTTGTAAAAAACTGCAAATTATTGAGTCATGTCGCAAAATTTCGTTCTTTTGGTCTAGAAGGACGCACGAATAGGGGAAAAGTAGCGAAACAATTAGCAGATGGGCCTATTGACATTCTTGTCACTACGCCTACGACGTTGCTCTCCTATATAGAAGATAATGTGCTGTCAATAGCTGATGCGCGATATTTGATAATTGATGAGGCTGACTCGCTATTCGATGCGGGCTGGGGAGACGATTGCCGAAAAATCATTAAAACCATTCAGACGATCACCGAAAAAAGGAAGGATTATACAGAAAAAATTGTGGTTGTAAGCGCAACCTTACCACGCTCTGTTCATACTGCTTTGGATGCGCTATTCCCTAAAATGATCAAGCTTACTACACCTTCATTGCATAAAGCCTTACCCAACTTGAAACAATCTTTTGTGGATTTAGAAAGGTTCCAAGGCAATCGGCAAATGGCACTCTTAGAAGTGTTGAAGAAAAATATTAAAAGAGATGACAAGACACTTGTCTTCTGCAATACAAAAAAAGCAGTAGAGATTCTACATAGGTTTTTAGGAACTAAGAATATTAATGCGTTAGCCTTGTATAAAGATGCGCCCATGAATCGATCAGAGGCGCTGGAAATCTTTGCAAAGCCTTTAAATGAGAATATTGTCAATAAGAGCGGGGAAGAGCAGAAGAAAACATTTGACCAGAATATTCTGATCAGTACGGATATTGCTTCTCGGGGTATTGATACGACATTTGTGGATCATGTTATATTGTACGATTTTCCTACATCTGTAGTTGATTATCTGCATCGAGTGGGAAGAACCGCGCGTGCAGGTCAAACCGGTAAAGCCACCTCTTTGATTGGACGTAAAGATAGAATGATGGCAGACCGTATTAAGCGATCCATTCGTGAAGGAACTGTGATGACATAATTATGGACGGCGCAATCGTTCGTTTCTTGTATATATTTGTATCTTTTATATATATTTATTTTTAGATATCAATGGCTAAATATTCTTAGAGAATTCACTTTTTTACACTTTTTGCAATCACTTATTGTAATATATACATTCGGCAGACTTATGATTTAGGCTACACTCTCAGAAATTAGAATTCCATTAACATAATAAGTATAAAAATTTAAAAAGGGCAAAATATGCTGTTCGGGACCTGATTTTCTTAAATCGAATCATGCACGAGGTTGATTTGTTACTGCTCGTCACCTGGTTTTTTCATTTAACTATCGGATTGACAGCCGTGTTAATTTCGATGAATCGCTTCCTTTCATACGAAAAGCTCGACCCACTGTAATAGACACATAGATAGAAGAAATACCAACTAAGCTCGTCTTGACTTCTTAAAAAGAAGGAAATGATATCATTGACGCTCTGCTTCTATGCATAGCTGGTTTTAACTCACGAACAAAAAGAATTGAAAGAAAAATTTTTTTCTTTTGGTAGCAGTTGTATCCATATTGAAACCCCCGAGTAAATCGCTGCTGCCTTTTTCTCTTCTCTGTTGATATTGCTAGCCTTTAAAACTTCATTAAGAAAACTCAGTGCCTGAGTGGGAAGAGGCTGAACAATGGTGTGAGGAAATCAACAGCTCTTTCATTATACTCCTCTCTCTTTTTCTTTCTCTCCTTCTAAAATGTGAAGCACATAGGAGAAGGGGAGATAAGCATGACACAGCCAGCAAAAAAAATAAATAAAGAACTGAAAAGTAGAGAAAATATAGGTGGAAGCTTTTTTTTTTATTGTTCAAGGTGCCCCTTTATTAGAAAGAGGCACTAATATTTTGTTTCAAATCCTTCAACTTCAATCAGAAGTAAAGACAGGTATTTTGCATTATAGTGTTACTGTTCTGATCAATGTTGAGAGAAACAACAAGAAAAGGCCAGAACAATGAAAGTGTTGTTAAATAAATAATTAGAATTATAGTAATGGTAAGAGCATTGGTATGATTATAAGGATTGGTATTGTATTAATCATAGTTTGAGCAACTTAAGAACTGTAAACAGTCGATACAGAGCTAAGATCGTCTTCTTCTTCTTCGTCATAGAATTGGGGATTATTGAAATAATAGTACGGATGCAGTTGCTGTTGTTGTTGCTGCTGCTGCTGTTGTTGTGGTTGATGAAGAGCATAGTAATGATAGTAATAGTGGTAGAAATGTTGAAGTGATGGCCGTGTCAATGTCTGATTTCTGATAAATTGGTTGCTCTTGTTATCAAAAGTCCAACAGCGTGTACAGTATTCAGATTCTATTAATGTTCGATTACATGTGCTGCATTTTTTATGACAGCTTGAGCAAAACCAATCGGAGGATAAGACTCTATCACAGGAACCACAAATTACTTTGTCCATATCGCTGCTATAAGCAGCACCAGTAGTGTTATTGCTTGCTTCCATTGTCATCATCATGGGTGAAGCTGGTGGAGAAGGGAAAGCATTCATATTGAAATTATATTTGTAATAGTGTCAATGAACGTGAGGAATTGATGAAAAAGGAAGGTGAAGAGTTGTAGCAGTAGTTGTTGTAATAACGAGTTTGGGTGATAAATAAAAGAAGAAAGAAATGAAAAAAAAAAGACTCGATTTTTTGTGATACTTTTTATTCAAGGTATTTATGTAATTTTATAAACACATATGCAGAGTATTATGTATGTACACTACTTATTCGACCCTCATGTTGCTATAATGATAATTTATAGTAATTTGATGAATTTGAAAATTGCAACTTGACCACACGGCAAATTTATGCACAGACAGCTATTAGTTCCATTATCTACACACCTTTGAATCAAATGAATTTTGGAAATTGAATTTTCACCTTCAATGTCCTCAGAATAGGCATAAAAGAAAAATCGAACAAGAAAAGCAGGGGATAACGAAAAACTGAATTTGATGTACACTGCATGATGCTATACTATACTGCTAACTGCTATGCTGTCACTGCTATTATTACTACTTGTAGAAAGCCGGCAATCATGAGCATTTACCTTTCTAAACCTTGACTGTCCCTGTAATCATAAACTATGTGTAACAGCGCAATAAAAGGAAAGTAAAACATTAAAATGCCAGCATCAAATGTATCTGCTCATTTATAGATATAACTTACGATAGATATATACACATATCAAATACATAGCAATTATTGTTCCTTGGTCGGATAACTAATTGTGCCAATAATGAGAAAATCTGAAACTGTTAATTTAAAAACGAGTCGCTCTATTTCATCTCAGCCTTTACATGTGCACAATAAATTATATAGGTTACAAAGGATCATCTGGCGTTTATATCTATATTTTAATAGTTTCACTGTAGACCTGAGAGAGAGCAGAAATAATACCTTGCAATTAGACATTATTTAAACAATACCATCTTGAGAATACTTCTAACGTCGGTACTGTCGTCACGAACTGAACAAGGTTATTGTGTCTAATTGACACTATGCTAACCGTAAGATCAATTTCTATTTCCAAAAACTTTCTGCAATAACAGATTTCGTAATATATGATCGACGCCTATCGCTTCAGATATAAACCTCGGTTTGCCAAGTATGGATTACTATTTCTTCAGGAACACTGTTCGTCTTGAAGAATAAGTTTGAGTTGGAACGAGATCTTTATTTAAGTGTAATTGTTGCAAAATGAATAGCGCACATCAAACAACCATACAGTATAACAAGCGAAGTTTTGTTATGCTAGAAGGCAAGGATAATCGCATCTTTATATTATGACAATCTTTCTTTGGTCAAAATCTTTTGTTTTACCGAACCTATACTTTGAAGAGGAGTCAATTGCAGGAGAAAAGATACTCAGTAGTATACACTCGATGCACACGTTGTGACCACTCGATCCGAGGAGTTCGAGCCAAACATTATCTGGTTTTCTCCTAAAAAATGAAAGAAGACTTAAGAGAAGAGACCTGAGGAAGTATTAGGAATAGCCACTCCCCCTTAGAGAAGCATAAAAGTTTTATCCTAAACCGTTAGTGATGCAGCTTGCGTCATTCAAGAAAGCATACATATTACAAATAGGAGCAGCCGTGCTAAATAAAGAAAACTCTATTATGCCAACTGTTTGTATAACAGAAAGACCATCTAGATTCTCTTTGCCCTTGCTGGGATATCTAATAACAACGGACCCAATATCTATTCATACTTATAGGTTCATTGTGCCTTTCAACTATATTGGAAAACAACGAATCTTTGTTTCTTTCAGAAAAGAAATCGCTTCAAGTACTCTTCTGTCATGGCTTTTGGCTTAACCAACCCATGACGGTGATTTTTCACGCAGACAGTAGTATGGGGGTTTCAAAATGCCGTAGATTAGCATCTCCACTTCAAAAAGGATCATTCAGTTTTTAGGCATACAAAAAATTTTGGCGGCAAAATATATACATGATTCTGGAAGCGGGTTGATTAAAATTGAGGGGATTTTTCCTTCAGAAGTAGCCCAACTTTATAACAAAACAATCTAGATACAAGATCCAGCCGTCATAACGTCAGATTCGTTTAAATCGCTTCTTATCTGACACGGCGTTTCACATCATTTCAAATATTTAGTTAAAAGCCTCATTGCTTCCTTTCATCATTATTTTACCACACAGTGTATGTATACGATATGCTCGAAAATCATACAACCCATTTTTAGTTAAAGGTTATTCTAGAATAGAATAATTTGTTTTCCAGAACCAAAGCCGGATATACCTTGATCTACTGCTTGTTTCATCGTTTCTTCCTCCCAATTCACTTTCCTCCATTTTGGCTCCTGTAATTTACCTTGACTCATCAATTCCAGGATATCCTCAAACATAGCATATCGCTCTTCGGGGGTATGCTTCTCCGCCCATTTGGATACCCAGAAACCATGGAAGTGAACATCTTTGAATATAAGCAAAGAAGCGGGCAGAGAAAGAGGTTGACGAGACATAGCACCGTAAGTAACATAGTGACCGTGATTTCTATCAAAAGCGAAAATACAACTTAAACCATGCTTGATAACAAGTAACACTGATAATATCTTTGCACGCATACTCACCCTAAATATCTTGCCATTTCCGTAGCTGCTTTGCCGCCAACACAATTCAAACCTAAGAGTGGAGACTTTTCCGCAAACCAGCTCTTGATTTGTTTCTTTGATTCTGCCTTTCCAAGCTCTTCATCAGTAACGACGTGAGTAGCGCCTAGATCGGTCAAACTCTGTCGAAGTTCATCTATATTCAGCCTTAATTTTGGATCAGTCCCCCATATGACTCTGGTTAGTATTTTTAACGGATAAAAAACTGCTTATTCTCAGTAAAGACCATTTACCTATTTCGGACTACATTGATCGTTCGCAAATTCCAAGCTTTTGCAATCTGGATAACAGCTTGACCCACAGCACTATTGGCAGCATTTTGAATAACGTAGTCACCTAGTGAATATCATATATATAAATGGAAAACCCCTAACCTTACACTACTGAACAACGATGTAACTATACAACTTTACCTGGTTTCAAATCTACAAAATCTTTCAGCATTCTATAAGCAGTGCACGGATTTACAGTGATAGTAGCTTTTTGAATTAAGGAAATTTTATTATCGTCATTGACTTTAGGCAGCAACTGGAAATCGTTAGGTGAACCAGCAGCATGTGTTCGCCAAGTACCATATCCTGTACTTGCCATCACCACTTGATCTCCTTTTTTAAGTGTCTTGACATTTTCACCCACTGCTATTACTTCAGCCAACCCTTCATTTCCACCTACAGCTACCTTGTCGTCGCCTAGTTCTTGAAAGGTAGGCTTAATAGGATAAGCGCCTTGTATCATATTGACGTCAGCAGGATTGATAGGCGAGGCAAGAAACTTGACATGCACTGTATCTGGTGTCAAGGCTGGTAGACGGTAACTATGCCATCTATTTTGAGGAAATTTGTAGTTTAGTGAACTTTATGCTCCTGATCTATCCGTTGCTTATATGTTTATTTGTGCATCCACCAACTTTAACACTTGAGAAGGTTGGCCATAATTCGAATAAACCATAGCAGAGGCAGTAATATCTGATTCACTTGCATAGCCGCGCATACCGGAAACCTGACTACAGGGAACCCAATGTGAGCTCTTTCTAAATGGCTCTTTTCGTCCTACTCTGATAAAACTTTGGAGTAATAGTCTCATATAGTTAATTTTTGAAGGGTGAGGAAAAAAAAAAAAAAGGAATCCACATCCCTGTGAAGGAGTCGGCTTGCTGCATTATTCGTTTTTTGAATGAAAAAGTCACGACCAATTAGCTTTTCCCGTTCCTTGAGGGCAGTTCTGAATAGAGAAGCCTCCACGCCACAGCCCAACTTTTTTTTTACAGATCAGGAAGTTTGTCGATAATGCAAAACAAGGAGTAGAGGATCAGCACAGAGGCATAACAATAAAGCATAATAATTGTGTGTATAAAAAATTGCAGATCCTCTTCGTCTAGGCAAACCTCTCGCCCCTTTATACTAATAAGCTTAATTTCTTATCTCTCTTTTTTTCCTTTTTCTTCTTCAAATCTGCATTTTTCATCTCAAGTTGCAAAGAATATCATGACGGCAAATACAAACGCTTCAGACTCTACACTTTATACGCTACCTATAATACCGTTAGTTAACACTGTGCTATTGCCGCACATTGTTACCAAGCTCACCATTACTCGCAGTGAAGGAGATAGATTGCTCGGACAAGCCACGCCTCAGGTGCTATGTGTTCCTCTTCAACCCAACGTGAAAAGAACGAGAAAATTAATTGATACCAACTCAGTGCAAGCTACAGTAACAACTATAGCCGTAGATCTGAGCCAACTGTTTGACTTTGGTTGTGTTGCAGAAATTATTCAAGTGGATAAATCCTTACCAGATCAATATACCTTAAGGGTAAAGGGCATCTGCCGAGCCAAGATCCATGATATATGTACAGCGGACGGTGGCGCCTTCTTTCATGCCTTATCTGAGTATAGCTTAGAGGATGAAGAGAATTATTTTGCAAATGAAGCATTAGTACAACAAGAAAAGTCATTTCGTACTTTGTGTCAAACCTATCTCAGCAAGATGAGAGCGATTGGTATTTCTCCTAGTGTACTGAATCAATTTGCCAAGAAATTACAGAGTAATCCTGTACCGCATGTTGCTCCTCTACTGCTGTGTATAAGTGACTCCCCATTATGCGAGAAATTACGTGCATTGAAGAACTCTGATTCAAACCAGAGAATAAAAGACATACATCATGTGATTGAACGGTATCTACAGGTAAACATAGAATATAGTTTTGATCTCTTCCTTCGAACAGAACGCCGGTCTTACACACAATCAAATTACGTCTGTCACAATTATTTATGCATGGGCTATCATTCTTTTCTCTCTCTACGTAATGTAGACACTCAACACACATGCTTCTCCCACCTATAGTAATAATATGCTTTACGATCATATTCGCAGAAAATTTTATATACTTCTTCAGGTAAGAATAGATTCCAAATGTACAAATATGGCGTGAGTTGTTGAACTCGCTTTTATTGGCACTTATTGACACATATTTTTATCATATATCATTACTAGATGTACACTATTGATGATATTAGTGTAGAAAGTGGACACCATGATAACAATGCGGAGAAAATGTATCCCTTCAAAATTATGGAAGAGGACGATGAGGATATAAGCAGCCTCATTACAAAATTGAACAACGCAAATTTACCTGATGATGCCGTAAAAACCATTAAAAGTGATTTGAATCGATTGAGGAAAATGCCTGTTTCCGCTGCAGATTCCATCGTCTTACGGAATTACTTAGAATATATTGGTGATTTGCCATGGTTCTCTGAAAAATCTACTCCACAAAGTTGTTTATTAAATATAGCATCTGTCAAAGCACAACTAGATGCTGACCATTTTGGGTAAGTTCGTACTTTTAAAATGCATACACTGCATAAAGTCGCTTGGCATACGAAAACTATAACATACAATGATGCATCCAACAACCAAAATATGTAGTATGGATAAAGTAAAACGAAGGGTCTTGGAGTATCTCTCTGTGTTGAAAATGAAAGATAATGCCACTCCTCCCATTTTATGCTTTGTTGGACCGGTAATTTTAGAACACAAGTTTCTATCTCAACTTCCTTTTCGTTACATAAACTGATGAAGGGATTTAAATTCTTCTTCGTGTAATAGCCAGGTGTTGGTAAAACGACTTTAGGTAAATCCATTGCAACAGCCATCAAAAGGAAATTCCATCGTATATCCTTGGGCGGTGTCCGAGATGAAGCTGAGATAAGGTAAAACCTAACATCACTTTGATGCTTGGGAAAGAGAGAGTGCAAATCAAAGAACAGCGGCTTATTTCAAGCGAATCCTTATCGTTAAATAGAGGACATCGGCGCACTTATGTTGGAGCTTTACCTGGTTTATTGATTCAAGGAATAAGACATTGTGGAGTACAAAATCCAGTGTTTTTACTCGGTAGGAAAACCTTGATTACTCATTCGAATAAAAGCCCCTTAGTCACTAATTCCGTCTTTTTTTGCAATCCTTTCAGATGAAATCGATAAGCTTGTTATCAACTCTACTCAAGGTGATCCAGGTATGTAATACAGAAAGCTTTAACACTTTTTCATACTGTAATAACTTATGATTTATCGTTATATTCTTAGCTGCCGCTTTATTGGAAGCACTGGATCCAGCACAAAACAGCGCTTTTACTGATCACTTTATCAATTTACCCTATGACTTATCACAAGTCTTATTCATAGCTACTGCTAATTCATTAGATACAATTCCGCGACCACTGCTGGATCGGTTGGAAGTGATTCAACTAGATGGTTACACTTTTAATGAAAAGTTACATATCGCGCAAAAACATTTAATACCGAAGCAGATAGAGGCACACGGCTTGGGATTTTTGAACTTGGACATACCAGAGAAGGTTATCTTGTATTTGGCAGAAAACTATACGAGAGAGAGCGGTGTACGTGGTCTAGAAAGGCTCATCGCCAGTATTTGCCGTTACAAATGTCGCGAATTTGCCGATTTGACAGAGTCAAGGCAGAAGGATATTCCTAATAAGGCAGTTCAAACGGATGATTTGGAAAAGATACTTGGTGTAAAGTTTATTTAATTGTCAAGCTATGTAGAGTAATGAATAAGACTAACATTGATTCGTTTCTTCAACCCATTCTCAGCCTGGCATAAATGAAAATGACGTACTTGGTCAAGACGATATACCCGGAATCGTAACAGGCTTAGCTTATTCAAGCAGTGGGAATGGTAGCATAATGACAATTGAGGCGAACTATATGCCTGGAACCGGGCGTTTAAAGTTAACAGGTACAAAAAACAATGTTTGTGTGTTAGCATTGTTAACTATTGTAATTCATTATTAACCACGCATTCTTAATTTTATTACTGAAGGGTCACTAGGAGATGTTATTAAGGAATCGGCTCACATTGCTCTATCTTGGGTGAAAGCTAATTCATTCGCCTTAAAGCTAGCAGATTCAACAAAAGAGGACATTTTCAAAGATATTGATATCCATATTCACTTGCCCAGTGGGGCTATACCGAAAGATGGCCCATCCGCTGGTATTACAATGGTGACATGCCTCATATCGTTGTTATCAGGAGTTTCTGTCTCTCGTAGTACAGCTATGACGGGCGAGGTAACTTTGAGGGGACAAGTTCGCCCGGTAGGGGGAATTAAAGAAAAAGTGATCTCGGCTCATCGTGCAGGCGTTAAAAAGGTGCTTCTACCTGCTGCCAACCGCCGTGATATTATCAACGATATCCCATCAGAAATATGTAAAGAAATGGAATTTATTTACTGCAAATCGATGTGGGATGTGGTCGATTCCGCATTTGAGGAATATAACATTCAACTTGAACCTAGATTTATAAGCAGTCTATAATAAACCTGGTTTTTTACTATGGCTGTATATTTGACGCTTGAAACTGCTGCTTTTTAACTGCCGTACGGACAATAATCATTGTACATTTCGACTCAACAGTGCTTTTATTGCATTCTATGAATCCTCATTAGTTCTGATCAAGGTTAAATGAGCTATACATAGAACAACAATTTTGACAAGCAGAAATTTCTTTTCAAGAATGGAAAATATGTTTTTCTGCTGGATAAAGTTGGAGAAAATGCAGCTGTTAAGTAATAAAGGCAGTAACAGAAAGAATATGGTACTAGTAGATTGGAACCGGTTAAATAAGATTCTTTGTATGTAAACTACAGTACCTGAAGATGATGATATATATACATGATCAATTAAAAAGGAAGTTAGATATGGCAGTTTTTTAAAGGTGTTTGCTTTGTAACCAGAAAGAGCTTCCCCTAGAAACAAAAACAATATCTGTTTTTTATTGGTACATTTGAATTGCCGCCATTACTTGCATAATGATTCATATAAAGCACTACATAAAATCTTGCGTCTCTTTTTTGGAAAAAAAGCTGCACTTCTTTTTAAATGAACCTACAAACCCTTCCAACAGAAATTTTAACTCAAATTGCAAGTTTTATACCAGCAGAAGAAGTTGGTGAATTTGGAAGGACCTGCCAAAAATGCTACTATGCCGTGCTGCCTTTCATATGGCATCATCTGACACTCAACGATGCCTCAGAACTCAGTCTGGTGGCGAAACGTTTAGAAAAGAATCACGAATGGCATGAAAAAGCTTCTTACTTTGTAAAGGATGTATCATTATCCCGCAGCAACAGTTGCGACAGCTTTAAGTTTTCTGCAGCTGATCAAGCATGCATGTTTGGTATTGCGACACCGCCGTCTGAAAGGATCGGAACTCCAGAGAACGGCAGTAGCAGCTCGTCAATAAGGCGTGGTTTTTCATTAGCCCAGCATCAGCACCATGAGCAAATTGATGTTTTCGGAAAACGACTATTACAAAACTTTCCACACCTGTCCAATATTGAAATTAATTTCAATGAAGCAATAGAAACCTTTGACACCGAAGAAGATGGACTACAGATAGCGAAGTGGCCTACTTATATTAATGACAATGAAAATTGTAACTTACCTTACTATGGAACTGTCACTTTAACGAACTATAAACCGGGAAATACGGATGCTCTGCGGTATTTGTTAAAACCGTTCAGAAAATTGCACCATCTCAAACTATATGCTGCACCTCCTATATCACTCTGCGATGATATTGATGATTCTCTATTATCATCCGATGATATCAATGTACTACTGATGATGGGCTTCAAGGATTTAAGAAAATTAGACCTGACGTATTTTGATTTTGATGTTGATTGTAATACATTATTAGAACTTGTTATGAGCTTACCCAAGCTGGAAACGTTAATCTTAGGATGGCTTTTCCCCCCAAGTAACTTCGAGTTTGCACACTTATCCGAACTGTTGCAGAAACATGCCTTTTTATACCCTTCACATACAGGACAGAAAGCAAATATATACCATGTTCAATTTATTCATGCATAGAATTACATTGTTATTGTTATTTAACCTAAACTTATTTAATTACTGTACATAACACATCAAATGATTTTTTTTGGAAACTCAATAACTCCATTATAACAAAAACGCATAATAACCCTGTACTGCTAAAACGTTGCTTTTTTATACTAGTACACAGTTCATTATGTGCGTATAGTAAATTCTTTCATAAAGTGATGGGACGAAGAATGATTCTTACCAATTGGAAGCACACTGGCGGATGTTGTTGGCTGAAATAAGTTATGAAAGATTTATGGCATATGTAAATATGAGTTATGGGATGTATACAAAGCCTGGTCAATTAAAACTTGCCTTTGATGGATAGTCCCTAGCTAATTTAATCTTCGGATCAGTATCAAAATAACACAGAAAAGGATAGTGGAATGTAATAAAGTATAAGGAACCAATGAGTTAGAACCACTGGCATCGGTTGTAGAGTTTGAGGAGGAAGGTAAATCTACATCGGGCAATCGAATTCACTTCCATCATCACCGGGATTAGAAGTGGTAACAGGTCGCTGAACTGTCGTAGTAGTGATTGCTTTGGTGGTCGCACTAGTTACAAAGGGCCCAAACGTAATTAAAGGGAATTCCACGGACGAAAAGCTGAAAGTAGGGATATCAATGGGTGGTCTACTGACAGTCGGTACATTTACAGTGATAGGGTAATAACAATTGATGGCACAGGCATTTCCTGTTTCCTTATAGAGTTGTTGTAGGAAAGATTGAGAAGTGACGGTAAAACAATTGATAGCACCGCTTGTATATTTTGCAGGTATTGTATAGCAACTTCCAATTGTGTTGGATCTACTGATGCAGTAAAGTTGGTACTTATTGGAGCCAACAGTTTATTCCGACAACCACTAAGAGATCCAAGGATCTCGCTTGACGAAGGTGTATCAATAGCTGCTTGATTAATTAAGTTGAAGTTAGCCATGATAATATTGCAATCAGATATAGCAATAAAAGAGAAGAATGAAGGAAGAAAAAAGAGTACCCTCCATACTTTCGGCTTCAAATACCTGATAATCCTGGAAGGGATTCTCACATTAACACTTTCCATCGTAGTGCATATGAGCAATGTAACGATATCAAGCGTATTGGTTCTACCTTTCTGGATGCTCTGGATTATCATTGTTGTGATACACAGGCAACATAAATTTACAGATTAATATGCAAAAATCTACTGTAGGTATTATGGAATCATGTGGGACAAGGTTTTGTTCCCATTCTTTCTACACTACTCTATATGCTAATCGAGAGAACCTATTAACGTTGCATATCCAAACTCAAAAGGCCCATATTTCTTACAGTATCTATTGATAATTCTTGATAAGATATATCTGTCAGAAAAAAATTTCCAAGGCTTCGACGAATTGTACGACTACCCTCAAGCTCAAGCTTGATACCATTATGATCAGTTTCAATCTATTGTCACTACTGATATAGCTCAATAATATGATTTCTTTACATTAGTTATTATACTGTTTGCAGAACTGAACTGATAAGTAACGGCCATGGCGATACTCTATGTTTTTAGCAATGGTATTCTTTCCGTAGCAGAAAATAATGAGAGCTTTGGACTTGGATGGCTTTGACGGCAAGAGTAAGCTGTACAAGTTTACTAATCAATTTTGCGTTTACCTGTGCGATGGTTGACTCTCAATAACGGCTCTTATTGTAATCACTCGCTCTCTTTAGTGTTATTCACCAAACTACGCTTAAATGTAGGCACCAGCCTCTAATAAGTAAAAACAAAATAAAATAGGAAATAGAACGATGACCGTGTTACTTTAACTCCAGCTTTTGGTCAGGTTGCAATACGAAAGGTTCGTCATTCCTGAGTTCTTTGTGCCAATGCTTTTGCAAGCTTGAAACCCATTATATGTTAATAGAATCCTATTATATAGTAATAGAGTATTATCTTTTAGATGTAATTTGAAACTTTTCAGTTGAACGATGAACAATTTTGGCCACGCATGTTGAGCTATAACAGTGTCATTATATTTAGTTCCATTTGAGTTTCCTGCAATATAAAAAGAGCTCCGGAATAGGTAGATTGAATAAAGGGAGCGGTTATCATACTTGCCCTTATTTGTTTTTAGGCATCTAAATATCATGTGTTTAGCTCTATAGAGATATAGTATATTAGTTGCTTACCCTACAAGTCATTTTCACCTTCTTTAAGTGCGGTATTTTATTGAAAAGTACATCTTTTATTTGTTTTCCTTTACAAAAATAGCATTTGTCATAATTAGAGGGTAAAGAATCATATTAAGTATTATCGTAATATTGAAGGCTTATTACATTTAAGAATAATGTGTGTTACATACGTATGATACAAATGTGTAAAACTATATAGTGCCATGATCCAGTTTACTCAAGATAATTTCAAGATCATCCACTTCCAATACTGGTCCATACTCAGAGCATTTAGCGAATTCTTTGACAGCCTGACACAACTGATTAGTGGTGTATTGAGAAAACTTTTCGTGTCGACTCAAAGTGAACCATATCTCTTGACTGGTAAGCAGTCTAATTAAAATACGATTGGGTTCAGAATGCTTATGTGAATGCTTATGCTGAAGGTGGTATTGATGGTGATAATGTTTGTCGTTAACTTCAGGCTGCTGTAGCGGATGATCGTCATGCAGCTCACTGTTATGTACGTCAACTTTGTCAACTATTAGAGGATGGTTATGAGCAACAAGGGTATCATTGTTATTTGCAAATTTTTGCTCAGCTTGACCATCGTTCTGGCCGTCATTTTCATTAGCAGATCCCAATGCTGTTGTATTATTCTTCTGTGCGTGCTGATGCTCGAACGAGGAGCTGGCTGTAGAAGATGACATCGGTCTCATCACAATGGGAACTGGATAATCACTTATTGATAAGTTTAACTTGCCCATCTGATCAAATAAGGGCTCAGATAAAAGACGGTCGAATGCGTCATTACATACTTCATTTTTCAGCCTTTCACAGAAGAGCTGACCTTCCGTATCGATATGGCAATCAAATAGATCAAGTTCTAACTGTTGTATTCTCTTTCTTTGCGTATTCGCAGTTGAGGCTGTTTTATCGCTCACAACACTACTTGCATCATCAGCAGTAATACTGCTATGAGTTCGATGTTGCTGAAAGGGGGAACCATGTTGACTACTGTTACTACTGCTAACGCTGGCAGGAGCAGGAGCAGTTGTAGTAGTGCCAGTATTTGAATTGTTATTAATGTCTTCTTCTTGAGATGCCGTGGTAAGCGAGTCATTTTTGTCGATAGCAGCAGCAGCAGTGATAGGAGAAGTAGTATTAGTAACGTCAACTTTAGCTCTTTGTAATTGCTCTTGCTGGTTTGTGTCCTGTTCATTCTTTTGTTGAGATTGAGGCTGATGTGATTGAGATAGTTTCTGCTTTTGTTGGCGGATCATACCAGGAGGATAAAGAGGAACAGGCTTAATAGGTTCGGATTTTTGATGCTTGGAGAATGAAGAGGACGCATTTCCATGGTTGTGTCGTAAAGAAGCAGGTGTACTGATAGAAAACGTGTATTCTAGCGGTTGGTTGTTCTTATGAGTTTTTTTGACGGCTGTTTGAGAGACTACAGTTGATGAGGACGTGCAAGCGGAGGGTGTGGAATGTTGCGCAGAGCTGCTTGGCCGAGCTATGTCAGTTGAAACTACAGGCGACATGGGATATTGTTGGAAGGAATTGTTAGCAAGCAAGAGCATCTGATTAACGGAAGGTGAAGCTGTATGAACGATAGGAGAAGCAGTAGTTGATGAATTGGCAGCGGATGGCATGTAAGCAGGTAAAATTAAGGGTTGGTTACTCGCTGTCGAAGCTGGAGTATTAGGTATTAGTGGCGCAATGTGAGCGTAGTTAGTGCCTGAGCCAGCATTGCTATCAGTATTTAAATGTAGATGCTGTTGAGCCTGAGGATTTTGCGATGAAGACGGGGCCTGGTAAAGATGCTGGTAAGGTTGAATTGGAATACCTTTGAGGGCACAATTTTCCGATTCAAGTTTGTATATAATGGCACGTAACTGTTGATTTTCGTCAACTAATTGAGCTGTTGCAATAAAGTGAGCATCTTGAACCTGCTTTATTCGGGCTTCAAGTTCTTTAACATAGCGCTCTTTTCTTTCTCGAAAAGCTCTTTGTGCTGCACGATTTTGTGCTTTGCGCTTCACTTTCGGGTCTTGCTCAGACTAAGGATGAGACTGTGATGATTAAAACCGCTGAATATTTATGTACGTTAGTTGAAGGGCAACTTACATCTGAAGTAATTTCCTCATCGGGCATCGGTTTTCTACCAGGCTTCTTGCTTACAGTTGACTCCACACCATCACTATCTAACAAATTTAGTCAAATTCGCATTCATGAGTTCTTAAATTATATGGACTGTAACGTGAATAGAAATCTCTACCTTGACTTTCATCGTCATGAATGGAATTGGGTTTGCTAGAAACCTTCGAATTTTCCTTTGGTGAGATTGTTACCTTAAGAAATTCTTCTTCTTGCAAGGTTACATAAGTTTCACCGTTTTTATCCTCTGTTTTTGCGATTAGGAGTAGAAGGGCAAAGAAATGTAAGCAAAATAATTTTCACTTGGCAAAAAGGCTACCCTAGCATATAACTTACTTGCAGCCTTCACAATATTTCCTGGGAGGGCTTGCTTTTCAGCTGTATCAAATGAATCTTCCCATCTCCGTTTTTCATGAAAGAAAGGATTATTTCCACCCAAGCTATGCAATGGAGTCGATCTGGTCTTGCCAGTATTATTTACATTAGAAGACGTCAGTTGGATAGCACCCTTAGATGTTAGTTTAATGGGCATTGTGGGTGATAATAGTTTAATAGGCTTGTTCGTTATTGTGGGCACACCTGCAGTTACTGTCCTGTTGATAGCCCTTTCAACATCAGAAGATACATCAGTAACGACAGGATGCATGTCAGTTGTAGTAGCGCCTTGTATCTCAGGACCGTCGTTGTCAGGATTGTAGGTACCGTCTCGAGTCTTTTTCAGGACGTTAGTAACGGAAGACATTTTTTATTGTGACACACTTATTAATGGAGTTAAACTACGTGGAGGCTGTAATAAAGAAGTTAAAAATCATGTATTTATTGTTAAGTATTTGTTTATCAACGATACCTTAAAAAAGAAGCAAAAGGAACTGGGGAAGGTCAAGGAAGAGAAAGAAACCCCGTCATGTGTGTAATATGTGTATTTATTTTTCCAATCTACAATCCATCCACATACACCAACCGGAGACATCTATCAATGAAGGAGGACTTCTGCTGGTCTGAGGTTAGCGAATTATAAACTTTTAGTGTATAACTGACTTCGAGACCGCAAATCATTTTTAAAACACCTCGTTCTGTTCTGTAAATTACGGAACAGATCTGTATGGAGGACGAATTGTCAAATTAAGCTTTTCTGTAAATCGCTCTTTTTTGACGTTAAACATTGCTTTTCAGCATGGATGATTTAAAGAAGCCATCTGCTAACAAATAAAAGTTAAGCAATGGCGAGTGAATTCCTGCTGTGGCTCAAATTTGACTGATCTTATCCTAACCTGCCCCCACCTTGAAAGGCACGGATTACTCACTTAAGGTTTGCGGGCCTTTAATCATTGTATACAACTGCCCATTTGTTAGATGGGGCATTTTTGCACCATGTGGTTTTTCTATATATGAAATCAAATGTAAATGTGTGTAACCCACGAAAATGTTTTATGTCTATTACTCATTAAAGAATTTGCTGTAACTGTTCTGCATCAAAATACAGAATTATAGTAGCAAAGAAGCTGACAGAGTATTCTGGGCTAGACAAATTTTGGTTGGCCTACCCCACAGCATATGATTCAAGCAGCTACAAACTGACAGAATTCAATTGGCTAAGTTTAAGGAACTGGGAAGAGATGGGTTTGCTTCCTTGCAACACCAATCGGAAGTAGCACGGAATTTTGTCCTTCGTGTTGTGAGAAGTTTAAGTTGTAAATGAATTATATGCATGCAATGTATTAAAGCCTTCCCAAAGGTGCTTTTTTGCACGAATACAAAAAATGCCCTTAAACAGATTAATAGCCATGCTACAGTTCATGTTCTATTTGTGCTATTTGTCAAAGTGAAAAAGCTGGAGGAGACAGGAGGAATAGGTTATAGAAATGCAGATGCGTCTCCTAAAGCCTAAAAAAAAAAAGAATAATGAAATGAGACAGATTTATGACACCAACTCCTGAACACAGTCTTTTGGATTCTTTATAAGAAAGCTGAAAAAAAGCTGAGAGAATGGCCTCTTCTTACTTTCCCCTCGCTTACTGCTCTCGTATAATTCGTCATGTATTTTGACTGGAGTATCAGCAATATTCTAATAGCAATTGCCAGCTTGACAGGCAGTGGTTTACTGATTATTCGTGAGTATACTCCAGCTACACGCTTACAATACTCAAAGTTCGCGAGCAGCAACTTGATGAAGGACAATATTAAATCGAATGAGATCACCGTAAGATATATTCTTTTGAACAACGTTGTTCCTGGTTCCTCTTCCGGATTCTTACCACTGACTCGCGTTTTATATGTAATAACAGATATCTTCATTTCACGGTATGTTGGTGATTTATGTGCCATCACTCATACTCACAACATTACTTCTGTTCAAAACCGATAATGGTTCCCGAATGAGTTTAATTACTGCTTTAAACGTTCTGCATTATCTAAAGCGAGTCACGGTAACGCTTCATCAGAAGGAGAACTAGCAAATTGATACTAACACCTTCACCATGTTTAATCTTCATGAATTCGTATTGCCTGACCTTTGTAGGAAGTTATCTTTGTTCATCGATATTCTGGGCAATCTAAACTTATTGACAATATCCTCATCTCCATTTCCTATATGGTGTTTGCTTTCTTTCTATCCTTCTTTTCAGCGCAAGTGCCTCATCCAAATGCATTCCTGACAGTGGTTGGCGTTGCCCTCTTTTTCATAGGTGAAGGCACTAATTGTTATCACCATTTGATATTGAGCAACTTAAGAAAGGATGGCTCAAAAGAATACAAGGTAAGTTTTTATGAAGAATATATATGCAGTCAAAAAGAAACAAGCTTTTCTCATACAATTCATCTATATAAATGCTATAGATCCCTCAAGAGGGCTTATTTAAATATATATGGTGCCCTCATTACGTAAGTATCAGTGTCCCTTTTCCTTACGGCAACATTCCAAACATAGCACTTCACTAATGTTAAGCTATCGTATTAGACGGGCGAAATCGTCGCATTTATCGCTATGGCATTTTTGTCACAGCATTTCTTGGTTTTAATCCTTCAAATATGCTCTGCAGGTTACTTGGCTATAAGGGCTTATAACACTAGAAGCTGGTACAAATCGAAATTTACAGATATTCCACACAGAGCGTGCTTGATACCATTCATTTTCTAGAATTTAATTTATTATTTAAACCAAGTATTTCCATAATAAAATCAAAATAAAGCACATTTGACGCGTACTATTTGATATATAATCTGCGAAGATGGGATCTACATAGATGAAATCTTAGCGGAGATTCGTTCCTGCTGCTGCCAGCTTTCTTTACAAAAAATGGGAGTTCCTTCTATCAAGTAATTGATAAATATAAACAGCTCGACGGAAGTCATCATCAGCTACTTACTCCCAAACAAACCAAATTCGTAGAATATATGAGTGACGAATATAGCTCTTTTCATACTCACTCGTCTACTTCTGAATACAACTGCCACAAAACTCAAGCTAATGATGTCGAAGATGAGCAACCCTTACTGGCCTCATCTGATACAGCTAGCGATCTTGAAAATGTAACAATTCATCAGTTGGTGTCGCCATCCGTATTTATCAATCCCATCACAGTCGATATTGAACATTACGAGCAGCAACATCATGCAACTGCGACACCCTCAAGTTGTGTCATTAATCTAGCTAATACCATCTTGGGAACGGGTATGCTTGCCATGGTAACTTTCGACAGAAATCAAAATTCTTTAAAATATCGTATGTTAGTCGCTGTAAATTTTATTGAATCCAATTTACAAACAGCTATTTATTTTTTGACGTATCTGTCCCTCTCTTATCCCTTTCCCCGCATCCTACGATCAAAAAAGCCCTCAGCGATGGCTTCTGTTGGTGTCATACCTGGTATTTTCATGATCTTCTTGTCAGCTTTGGCCTCAGCGCTTGGCTTGCATTTCTTATCTCGTTGTGCTGCACGTACAGAAGGACGTAACGCATCGTTCTTTGCTATTTCCAAATTAACTTACCCTAAAGTGGGCGTCCTTTTTGATCTTGCCATTGCTATCAAGTGTTTTGGTGTAGCTGTATCTTATTTGATCATTATCGGTGATTTGATGCCGCAGGTAATCAATTCCTTCTTCTTCAAATCAGCGTCAGCATCTGTTTACTTCCTGACGGATAGACGATTCTGGATAACGTTTTTCATGTTGACATCCGTATTACCATTGAGCTTTTTGAAAAAATTGGATTCATTAAAGTATACCAGTTTGGTGGCTCTGGTCGCTGTGGTATATCTCTGTGTTATTGTGGTTTATCATTATATCTCGCCGAATTATCCACCACCACCTAAAACAGATATTGAAATATTTAATCTGAACAGTAAAATACTGGGGCACTTGCCGGTATTTGTATTTGCTTTCACTTGCCATCAAAACGTAAGGCTTTCATTCTTCCCTAAACTCAGTTACTGCTCCATCTTTCGTAATAACTTCTATCTTTTAATATGTTAGATTTTCTCAGTCTACAATGAATTAAAGGATAACAGTAGACGGTCTATAACAAAAGTCATCTCGACTTCGATTGGCTGTTCTGCGTTCATTTATGAATCCATTGCTATATTAGGCTATCTGAGCTTTGGTAAAAACGTGCGAGGCAATATCATAATGGAATGTAAGTCCTGTAGTTATCAGCCGTATCGCTTCGCCTCTATAAGAGAATCTAAAAATATCCTTTTTGTTTAGATCCGCCTAGTTATTTTGTTGCTGGTGGTCGTCTCGCTATGGTTATTCTTGTTGTTTTTAGTTATCCGTTGCAAGCACACCCATGTCGAGCCTCTTTAGATAAAGTATTGGCCTGGTTCTCAGCCCCATCTGCAGATGTAAAGTTGACTCCTCCACCACCTTCAGAATTGAAATTCTACGCCATGACAACTACTATACTAATACTAAGCTATATCACTGCAATTACAGTGACAGAGCTAGACCTGGTATGTATTTTGAGAACAATGAATTTGAGGGACTCATTCATGAAAAACAAAAATGGCTGCAATTTCTATATGCTAATAATTATACATTACTTCCGCTGACATTGCGGTTTATTCCCGAGTATAGGTATTGGCATTTGTAGGCTCAACAGGATCGACAACAATATCGTTTATACTCCCAGGTTTATTTTACTATAAAATTCACGCGAATGATCCTTGGAAACCAGGCAAGATAATTTCTGTTCTACTGGCAGCATATGGCATTTTTATCATGACGGTATGCTTAACATTCAATATTCTGCGGCTGAACGGAACAATATCAATGTAATGGGCACAAAGGAACAACGAAACCAGCAAACCCCTATCTTTCAGCATTTAAATATTATCAATATCCTCAATGACGTGGATTGATTGTTAGAGTGTCAAAATTTTATACATTTCCAAACGTAACATCTCTTTTCCTTCATCAAAATAATGGGATAAAAAACCGTAATAAAACTTTAATCACTGTATCTTACAAAGCAAGAAAAAGCTATTTGAATGATCCCATTCCTATTTCTCTTTTATTTCTGGCAATGTCAGAACAAGTGAAGAGTTTCCATTATGCTCAAGAATATCGCTATACCAATATTTAAACATATATAAAAACTGTCTTTAATTGTAAGTTTCGCATGTTCGAATTCAATTTCAATCATTAGAATATTTTCTCGATATGAGCCCAAACTCTTCACTTGCAACAGCTGAACGACAAGCCATTGAAGGTCTTAATCAACTTAGGAGCTGTCAGCTATTACCAAGTACTTTGATCTCAATTCCTGTTAAAAGGAATCGTCAACAAAGCTACAACAATAGCATAAGCGAGAATAATAGTGCAAGTGACAGTAGCTTCAGCAATGCCAGTACTTGCTTTTTTAGAACCTCTAGCTTTGACAAAGTTTCCTCGCCTATTCAATTTGCTGCTGCTACTGCTGAGAATACAGAAAAAAGAGATGTAAAGGCAGTATCAATGAATCCTTACCTCTCTCACCACGCTCGAATGGATAGTGTAGATAGCTTGGTAGACTATATCAAAAATAGATTCAACAGTTTTTGCGTTAAACAAGAAAAGGTGGATGTTAGCAATACCCGTGTCAAAAAAATGAGAAAGGAATCACTAGTGAGAAATTTTGATCACTTATCATCACATCAGTCCTTATCCATTAACCTACCATCCATCCAACATTCCCTCAACAGCGTTTCTTCCGTTCTAATGGGTGACTCTGTGTTTTCCGAACAACGGTACACCAACGCTAGCCATAGCGTTTCTGTGCACACAGACGCAATAGAAGGCAATGCTACAGCAGCTCCACATTCGACTAGTACAATTTCGGTACCTACTCCTGCTGTATCCTTCGAAACGGAACCTTTATTTCATATTGTTGGTGAAAATTCAGCTTCCCCTTCGAATATCAGTGCTTGTGCCTCAACTACTACTGCCTCACCTGAAGCTCTATCATTTTGCCGTGATATTGATGATGATAATATGGAAATTAATGGTCAGCCTGAAAAATGCACGACTATTACTTTTGAAAGAAACGCTTCTCAATTTTCTTTCATTGCACCTAAATCCACCAAGAGCAAAAATCAGTCTCTTCTCCAACAACAACAACAACAGCAGCAGCAGCAGCAACGATCTACAGCCTTCCAGTTCGTAAACGGATCAAAAAACTCATACCAGTGTCCACAGCATAGAAATCGGGAAAAGAAAGAGGCAATATCAAGAAGAAACAAGCAATATCATTCAGCGCCAACTTTATCGCTGGGTCAACAACAGCAATTCTCCGTTCAAAATATCTCCAGTAATACTCATAACTTAATGTTAAATGTACAACAACAGCACCACGCTTTTGGGCAGCAACATCCTCAGCCGAAACAACTTACTGCTTCTGCTGCAACTGCTAACACTGCTACCACTCTTACTATCACAGAATACTTAGATAGTCTCCGAAAAATCCAAACATGGTTGGTTGATTTTCATGCTTTGTCCGTAGAAGAGCAAAGCAAACGCCAAGAAGGATACAAGAGAGACACATGTCACGGTATAAATCAAATAGACCAACAAATCCATGCCATCCGTCAACAACGCCCGAGGAACCAGCAACAAGTGGAGTTTAGACTTCAGCAAATTGCTAATCTTGAACGCTGTAAGATTAAAATACTTGAGACTTATCATGCAGCCATGACATATATAAAGCATTATCGGCAACAGCAACAACAATTGCAACTAGCTAATTCCGCTCACAGCTATAATATAAATGTTAATACGGCCATTTTCCAACAACAGAACCTACAACAACAACCATGTCAATATCAAAACATACCTATTATCACTTTACACAATCAACAGCAATCTACTGAACACTCTGTGATCAATCCACCCTTGCAACCACTTCAAATGACTACAGCTGCATCTAAATCAGAAAAGAAACCGATTTCCAGATTATATCAACTAATAGATATTAGCGACGAGGAAGATGATGACGACGATGATGACAATGATGCAGAAGATATTACCCGTGTTAATAGGGATACTAAAAATGGCAAAAGTGACAAAAAGCCTCGCTGGACACCTGATTTAAAAAGGATACTTTTCTCGACAATCATAGAACAAAAACAGTTGAGCGATATGGCTAGTTTCAATTGGCCTTTGATTGGTGCTCAAGTAGGTAGGCCAGGCAAGGCTTGCAAGGATCAATGGAGAAGAGCTATACTTCCGAGGCTTCAACAAACATTTCTGAACGTAGATGGAGGAGAGGAACAATAAAGACTATGTAACGTTAATTTCTGTCCTAAAGATTTAAAGCTATCGTTTTATTGTATAATAGAAAAGCAATTTTGTTGTTTGTAAGAGAAAGAAAATAAGTAAAATCTGCAATGAAGAAACAATTATCACTGGGTTTTCCTGAATGATATATATATTATGACGGTATAATGGTTAAATGGGTGTTTTAATTTAAAGTTGGTTTAGATGCAGAGATTTCCCACTGCATTTTCGATAAGTCGAACATCCCCATCTTCGAGTCCACGCAATACCCTTCGCTTATTTCCTTTAGACTGTATCTCTTTAATTGTAGGAAGTCCAAAAGCGCTCGCCATACCACAAATATCTGTTAATGTTTTGCTTAAATCCTCTTCAGATGCCCTTAACAAATTATCCAATTTTGAACAAAGATCTTTTAGACCGTCGTGATGATGTGCGTTTTGAACGGCAGGAATAATCTTGTGAACACCGGCTTCAATTAGTTCTTGAACGAATCTGTTTTTACAGCCTTCGAAATGTTCGCCCACTAACTTGTTAGAGCGCTGAATGAGACTGATGATCCCCTCTACTGTCTTTTCGCATACTTGTAAAGGTGCATTAAAGTAATGGAGTAAAGCGGCTAGTTTGATATGTACAGTCGGAAATTCCTGGATAAATTGCCTAATTACGTTGTCTTTGTTAGTACGGCATCCTGGTTTGAGTACATCCAAATAGCGTTTACTTACGAGACTGTGGCATCACTTCCCAAAGAAATGATATTGAAAACAATCCATAATGCTTCTTTGGTCACTTTCCATTCGTCATTTTTTTGATAATAAGCATGCGTTAAGGTAGGCTCCCAACTGTATGAAACTTCATTATAGATATGTCCAGGGACACATATATGGTTTACCACGTTTATCAATACAAGCTTATGTTCAATGACATGTCGGATCATATCTTCGGGTCCAGCGGCCAGATTTCCGATGATAAGGTAGGCATCTTTGCGAATTTCATTTGGTATCATTGGATCCAATAGTCTTGTGAGACTGCTCAATAGATTTGTCTTTAGTAAGCCATAGATACAGTCGTTGGGTCCAGAGGTGATATTAACCACCGTTCTCAAGGCTGGTACTATTACTTTCGGTTGTTTATACCTAATAGCATGTTATGCAAGTTGTATGTTAGTCTCTGATCGTAGTAGTCTGTAAAAAGAGAGTAGAAAAAGTTTCGTAACATACTCGAGCATGTTTGCCAATCGCTCGCATAACTCTGGTGTTATTTCGTTATGCTGGTGGAATTCCCTAACATTATGCATATTATATAGAATACGCGACAAACCCCAACTGATGCACGATAAAAAAAAAAAGATATTGTCATAAGTCAACCAATTTGAACAACGAGTGCATCTACTGCTGTTTTCATTACCAAACTTCTGCTTCGAACTTTGGATAATCAAATTTGATGTACTTTGATAGAATTTCAAACACAGGCAAGTACTACCATTGAATATGAAAATCTTGTAAATAATTCGTAGTGCATTAGCAAGCTGTTGCAAGAAATATACTTACGCTACTATAATGCTCTGCTACACAGAAACCTCCACGACACATATTCGATAATGCCCACAATAACGATTCGACATTAGCATAATATTCTTCGTCAGGGAAGCGAAAAACGGACTGATGGTATGATATATTATCAAGTGAATCGTCAAATGTTTGATCGAAAATGTCCGTGAGTATTTCAACCATAAGTTGTGTGAACTGTCTATTCATCAATTCCTCACGATATCGTGGAGATTCGCCTGCTATATTTCCCAAAGCCCATGCCACTTGAGCTTTCAGATCAAGTGAAGCGTATGAGTCTCTCAAACAGTTAAGGAGGGCATCAACCAAACCTGCATTAACAATGGCTTCCGTCTGCTCAGTCGTACCAGCCTGATATCAAATAATTAGAGCAATGATTTAAATTATTTTGTTTTCTTCGCTCCCTTGTTTTCCCTTGACTTACAGCTATGTTTGTTATGATCCATGCGCACTCAAACTATAACATCAATAACGACGTTGAAAGATAAACAGGGAGTTAACATAACCAACCGAAAGTTTTTTTTTTTCTTTATATATATATATATATATATATATATATTCTATAATATATAAATATAAATATATATACCTTAATATCAGTATTACTAAAACTCTTCTGTAGCAGTTCTTTAATGGTTGATAAGATATTCAACTCTAAAATGTCGTTTACGCTCTTTTCGTCACTATGTCCTAATTCATAAATTGACCGAAAGGGGGCAAAGAATAATATCAGGATCTCATGAAAAAGGTGGAGTTTGCTTTTTTCTGCTGATGGCATTTTGCAGACCAACAATTTTGGTGGTTTTGGTTCGTAGTTTAGTTTACCTTGTGTCAAATATTTACGAATATTTCGCGCAGATTTATAAATCTTATCATTATCGCATGTTGTAGTCAGGATATACTTCATAGTTGATAGCTGATCGTACAGAATAACATTTTTGATCAGTCTCAAAAAGAAACTGTAATTGAATGTGTATCGAATTCACATTCCTCTTTCCTTTTTTTCTTTTCTTTTTTGTAAATTAGCGATTTAAATTCACTTACAGACTCGAGTTTTATTGAGGAGTCTCCATCACTTGTTGGCTTTCTGTGAATGGAAACATTCGACATCTTTCGACTGATCTCCAAAAGTTCAGCGTCAGGCTCAAATACATCTATAGTCATATTAATTTTGTCTTGAGAGGGTTGCTATGGTATTAGAAGAGGTTTGTTTTTTTTTCAAGTTATCATAAAATTGAAGTGCAAAATAAAGTTCAGTCAAACTCAAAGTCGTAGTAATTATGGTGTGAAGGGCAGGAACTTACAAACGAGGCTTTAGGCAGTTAGCTTTGGCTAGTTACTAATTTCAACAATAGTAGAGAAATGGTTAAGTATGTGATTTCTTGGCAGCATATGGCCTCCAGTTAGAAACGAAGAGGCTGAGATTAGAACCAAATAGTTATAAGATAGTTACTGAGAACTGCGTGAGAAACAGCAAGCCGCAACGGAGTGTTGATAAGAAATAAAGAAAAGAAGAAATGGAAGAAAGGTAGCCTGCCGTCTGTATCTTTTTGTGAAAGGAGGTAAAAATCTGTTAAAAATGTCGTCCTTTTGAGCTTATTTTGCTCAGTCACGTATAGCTGTACTGTTGATAATATATGTCAAAAGACATACGCTCTTTCTAATGTGAAGTAATCGGTTGAAAGCTCTTGTATTAAGAGATGCTCTTTTGCAAGTTCATCATTGTATTTTCAATGAAATGCAATATGTATAAATTGTCATAAATCGAACATTAGCTATTACTTCAGTTGATCAACAGCAAGTTACATACGTACAATTTGATCAGTACGGTACACCCAGCCCCACGACTACAATTATGTCAGCAGCATATGTGTTGAAAAATGTTACGAAAATGGAATATGTAAAATAACATCACTTGATACCCTTCAAACTGCCGGTTTAAGAAATGGACGTCGTATTCTCTTTGCTTTCTTACTGTACAGCTACCACTACTTCAAATAACATATTCCAAATTGCACTGCAACCGTCTATAAAATTTCTTTTTTTTTTTCTATGAAGAGCAACGCCATTTCTATGAAGAGCAACGCCAGTTCGGTGTGCACTCAAACCAGACTATGGGAGTTTTTTTCCTGACAAAATTATAGACCATGCTGTCTGTAGTGAACACACAGAGGGCAGTACACTAGCCGAACAGAGAAGTAAAGAGAGCGAATAAATATACGGATAACTAAGATCCATTGATAAGTTGAGATTGCACTGGCGGTAATAAAAATCTAACGTTACTATTCCATAGTATGGTTAGTAAATCAGTCAGCAAAAATGATAACAAAAAAAAGGAAAACTATAATTGAAACTCGTATTATCCTGTTAATTATCAAGATAAATACACAGTTGTAAACGTGCTCTCATCGAAATGCTTTAAGTTTCGCCTTTGGAAACTTAGTATGCAGTGTCTTCGCTGAAACCCACTTCTTTGATTACTTGATACAACTGTTTTCCAAGCAAACACTGGAAAAAGGACACTGTTTGCGATAGTATTCATTGGCATTTTGACATGATTAACGATGAATTCCAATAATTGGTAACTATTTATTGATCGAGGTGGATTTGTTATAGTAATATGTCGTAAACTTGATGGCCTGATTTATTTTATTCTTTCTGTCATGACATAATATCGCTAAGCTTCATAGGAACTATGGATGCCAGCTCAGCAATCTAATCATTCTTCGAAGCGCTTGGACCTCCATCTAAATCAACTTTGAGCTTCCTCTACCCTTTGTGAACGTCGTTGTCTGTTATCTTCTCATCATTGTCCTATAACTGCGAAATCTTCCCTGCGCTTGTTGAAACTCTTTCAGTATGAAAATGGTTAACCACCGTAAAGTACTTGTTGCATTCAGGTTTTTTGGTTGGTTTTTTTTTTTTTTAATAATTTATCTTTTTTGGCATCAATACGATGTTGCTCCATTGTAATACTTGCTGTATAAAACTCACTTAGAGTTTGAACAAGAAGAGAAAGTCATTTTTCCTAAATTCAAGTTCTTCAAACGATCAGTACGTTGGCCAACTTTCTTGAATAATCAGCTTTATAATTGTCATTAACTGTGACAGATAAGAAAAACTTATTGCTCAATACTAATCAATTGTTTGTCTTCTAAGATAGAGCCATAAAGAGAAAGCAACTAGAAGGTAAATTTTGAAAACTGTCAGTATTTACACTACCAAAGGTAGTACCATCAGTGTGGTGATATTCACTTCTCAATTTATCATTGTGTTGTACTTTATCAAAGACTGGATGCTGAAGGACGTTTGTAGATTATCAAGTCTAGTTAAAGATGAATATATATTATTTCAATAATTTAGATACATTAACGATCATGAATGGCCAAACAGTATCATTACAGTAGGGTAACGGCATTGATTTCGTTTATAGAAGTGCATTTTATCATCACTCAAGTTGTTACACGCTTTCCAACAAGTGGAATGCAAAACACTTTCATGTCGTAATGCTTTTTCATACAATATGTAAACTTCATCTTGTCCCCAAAAACTCTCTAAAACTGGGGCATACAAACAATGCCAGTTGGCCTTACTTTTTTTGTCCCGCTTTAATTAAATATTAAAGCTACATGTCATAATTAGAGTAAACTGGCATTATCAAAAATAGGAATACAGTGTTTTAGCTTCAATTTTACACTTTATACATTTTTTTTGGACAGTATATATTCATAATTTAGATAACTTTAAATTACTTTACGATGAAGTGGTATTGTTGGATTCATTGAATAAATAATTGGAGACAGTATTTTGAAGGTCAGTGGACATTTTTCAATTGATAGTGGCATTACGTTAAAGTACTACGAGACGTACTGAGTATTTTAATGTGACACAGGTCTTATCAGTAATAGATACAGGGTTGTGGTTTACGAGACTTTATTTATGGATCATATGAATTGATCTACGCGTTAAACTGATCCCAGACAAGTTCTTCCACCACGTAGATAACGGTTGTTGTTGTCAATCGTAATATAAAAAAAATAGATGTTGTCAAATTCGAAGCATTTAGACGTCTTTTCTTTGACTTTTCATCATCATCTTCTTCTTCTATACTTTCTTTCCTCATCCTGTAAGCTACTACTCACCATGTACAAAGCCAAAATCTCGCAAAAAATCAAATCGATGGCAGAAGCCCATAAGAATAAAGTCAAAGATGAGTCCTACCGTAAGTAACACATGATCGCACTGCCACAAATAGGTTATAGTGGTAATCCCCCAAATCATGTTTCGTATGACTATGTTGAGTGCAAGGATTGCAAAACACGCGGACATTTCAGCAAGGCAGACCATGAATGCAAGTTTTACAAAGCAGTTTCTGCGGCTGATGGTAAGTATCATGCTCTCACTGCAAGACAAGTTTATGTTTGCTTAACGCAAATTTAGTTGGAAGTAGCGGCAAGAAACGTAAGCAATCAACTACAATCAAGGAAGGAAAGAAGCAAACAACTGGAGATATCAAGTGCATCAGTTGTGACTTAAAGGGTCATTCTACTTCTCGTTCCCTCGAATGGAAAAGTTGCCAAAGGTTATACAGCCCAACTCGAACAATTCTGCAAAGTCTTCAACTTCAAAAAGTTTGGCTTTAAGAGGTAAAACTATAGAAGAACTTCTTCAGCAAAAATTATCCCTAATAGTAAACACACCCCTATTTTTGCTTCTGTCATAGTTTAACCGCTTTGAAGGAAAGTTCTGATGTAATGTTTCGAAACATGGTTAGGTCGGACGGTTTTACTGTAGACTTTTTGTTCAGCCGCAAAAAGAAAACAAAAGAAGACATGATCATTCATAATCACACCTTGACTTTGGAAGATTTTTCTTATGACAAAGTACAAGACAATTACAGACCCGCTTTCCTTGATCCAGGGCGAAGATCTGTCTTCACAGCGGCAATCGGACTAGACCGTAACAAACATCAAGTACGCAGCTGCTCTACCAAGGAATATTATCATATGACCAGAAGTACCAGATACGCTGCTAAAAACATGTTGGCAATTGGCGTTTCGATCTGGAAGTCAACGGGAAGACCTGCAAAGTTTTCTAGAAAACCAAAGTCACCCGCATCAACCACTTAACCCCATCCTCTAATCGCCAGCACGAGGCTGGTTTGATTTTTACAGGTAAATGTCTCCATTTTTATGAAATCTTAAAATTATTACTTAGTTGTCTCAAAAATTTACTTTTTTTGTCTATTTATATTGCGGCTTTGTCTAAACTCAAAGTTAAAAAATTGTAGCATAAAACAGAACATAGTGTGAAATCTTCAATCTTTTATGCCCGTCTGACTTTTAAAATGACATGAACCATCATTTTAACGAGATCAAAACGACTTTTATTTAAAGTCTGTCGTGATGCAGAGCTTCTTGTCTTTGAAAAAGGAATATTTGTAAAAGTTATTCGATTCGATAGCTATTACTGGCACTCTAATAAGTTCCTACTATACAATATTTATGTTGCTATGCTAATAGCTGGTTTCTATTACGAGCGGATCAAACATCCTGTCATCATTTCTCCTTTAATTGATTGGATAGCTGCGACACTAAAAAGTTGTGGAAATCCGTCTTTCCATAATCTCCTAATCTGCACCCTTTTGCTGCATAATGCAGTCTCTCCCTTTCATCTTTTCTTTTCTGGAAAAAATGGTAGACAGAGTGAAAGGCACCGGTATGTACGTATAAAAAAGATTCGCTTGGATCAACTATGGCGATATATTGATATAAGCTCTTCTCTACTTTAAAAACGCTAAACGTTCAACAGCTGTACGAAATATAAAATATGACAACTTTGTGCATTGGCTTCGTGACAACGATTTTCCTGAGCCAAAATTGACTTTAGCCAACTTTACAAGTAAGGATCATCGATTGACGATTACCTTGTCTACTAGCTTTAGAGATCAAATATTGAACTGTCAATGTGAATAATCAACAATTTCTTGTTTCTGATTTGGAAAGATACGGGTCGTGGTATGATGGCCACCGACGATATTGAAGCTGGCGAAGTTATTCTTTCAGTTCCCAAAAAATTTCTTATAACCAACGAGAGCCTGTCCAAGCTATACGGCGTCAAGCATGGACTTTCATCTCAGCAGCTCCTTGCTCTTCACCTTCTTCTCTTAAAAAAGCGACAGGATAAAAGCGAAGAATCCTGGTGGAAGTATTATATAGATTTATTACCGGTTCACTTCGATACTATGCCTGTCAAATATAATCAACATCTGATTGAGCACCTTCCTCAATCATTAAGATTAGAAGTAGAGCAGCAAAAAGCAAATATTCAACGCGACTATATAGCATGTGTAGACTTTTTAAAATCAAGGCATTCACAGTTGCCAGTGCAAACTCCAACAACGATAGAATCTGAAGAATACGAATGGGCATGGCTTTGCGGTAAATACAGTAAACAATTGAGAAGGGTTAAAGATAAAGACAACTTCATTGTATTAATCCAAAGCTTCTATTATTTGAAGTCAACACGCGTTGTATTCATATGACCAGAAAGAATAATAGACTCGATAAAGGGAATATAGCATTGGCACCCATGCTTGACTTTCTCAATCACACAACAGAAGCTAAGGTTAGTCTGCAAAAAGATACATTTATTTCGTGCATCACTTCTGAACGCCAACGCAACATTTTACCCTATCAGATTCAGAGCGAATTTAATGCGAAAAAACAAAGCTTTGAGATCAAAACGTTGACACCCTATCGCAAAGGAGAGCAAGTGTTTATTAATTACGGCCCTCATGATAACCTTGCTTTACTGAAAGAATACGGCTTTGTCATACCAGAAAACAACTGTTACAATTTTGTACAACTGGATCACGAAATATGGAATCTTTACAATGAAGTAGAACCAACAAAACGAGGCATCACGATAAAAAAAGAGATTTTAGAAGGATCCGGATACTATGGCGACTACACTATCACCGAAGATGAGATATCGTTTCGTTTGTTGGCTGCATTACGTTTATTAGCTATCAACGGAACAACAGAGCCAGGATTTGACAGAAAAGTGATGGACTGGCATGATGTTGTGATGGGACAGGCGGAAATGATCAGCACCGAAAATGAACGAAAAGCTTTGGTTATGCTGCGAACTGTATGCGAGAAGCTTTCCAAACAAGCAGATACAGAACTTAGTATACTTACTGTAAGTGCAAAATTGCTTCTGATCGAAATCATCAACGGAAAACCGAACTGATTGTTATAACCCAACCTCAATGCTGTATAAATAGACATTCAATGAGGACTTCCCTGATATAGAGTCTCATCCATTTGCTTTGTTCTTCGTACGTCATCTCTGGAATGAAGCTAAAGATATTCTGCGCCACGCTTTGATGTATATAACAGAAAAGTTGGCAGAGTTGTAATTATTGCATATAGCTTCTTTGCTTTTCATTTTTATAGCGGGTTTGTTGACTGTAAACAGGCCGTTGTAATGTATATATGGATTATTTTTGTCGCTGGGGCGTAAACATTGCGTCGAAGCGAACTGTAAAATAGTAATGTTATCAATCTCGCTGCTGGATATACATTTGCACTCGAGCATTCGTATGCGACGATACTTTGCGTTGGAGCCGTATACCACGAACAAAATTCAGATGCCTATCTTCATCCTAATAAATAAATGTGAACAACCTTAGTGTTGAAATGCAATACTAGACCTTATATCTATATGTTCTTGAAATAGCCACTGATGTATGAGGCGCTGTACTAATTGGGACGCTAAATATTTCAATTCTCAGTACGGTAGTAGCGTTCGTTCAAGAAACGGACAAGAGCAATGCTAGATTTGATGAAGAAAAGCATCTGGAGTTTTTATTTGTATGGTTTACGAAGATTGTCCCGAAAGTAAGATATTGACATCTATAGCACGTCCATAGCAATAAGATACAAAACGCTTCAAAGAACATAATGGTCATTGCTATGTCAGTTTGGGAGGAAGAGATAGAGCAAAGAGCTTTCGAAATGAATTGCCGTAGCAAAGATTCTGTTGCCAGCTAGTCTACTGCAGTGCAGACATTTTGAAGATATTAATATGTTAAATGAGATACTGAAAAGTTTAATTTTTCATCCTTAACAGCTATTTTTTGAGGTTATAAACATTTTTCGTCAACAAGCTTACTTCCTTTTCTTTTCCTTTAATTTACCAAATTAAAGTATGAAGCCTAAATTGATAGTGTTGTAATAGCCATTTTGTTGCTCCTACTGGGCTGAGGTTTTCTGTATTTGGATATTTCATTTCTATCATAAGGTCTACTTTATCAAAGTGATAAAGTTATATAAGTAAGTAGTCAATTGCATTAGCATTCTTATCACAAACAAACATAGTAATAACAACGATACCTTCTGTTGTTGAACATTAACCTTAGACTGAAACTTTTCAAAAGATAACTAATGCAAGTGTTCTGGCCGTTACAGTATCAATTCAAAACTCCTGCTGTCCTTTTTTAGATTGTTTAGATGAAAAAGAACAGGGATCACTTTGTCGAACTTTCCTAAACAATGCGAGATGTTGAAAGCAATCCATCATCCATCTTATGGTTATACGTTTTATAGGTTGAGCCCCTATATACTTAGATAAGAAAAAAAAAAGTACTCATGTTGCCGTAGAAGGGACAGACATTGGAAAGGAAGTCAGAGGCGCAGCAATAAAGCAACGTATTTCAAATGAGAGTAGTGCGTACATCAGGAAGAGGCAATGTGGTGATTAATTCAGCAACAACTGTTGTAGATAAACAAGGATAACGATATTGAATTCGATTCACAAAGGAAATTCACGAGGATGGGGAACTGTTGAATAATGATATCACCGACATGGTTAAAAACTGTTGCTTGTATTTTGTATGCAGGAATTAAAAGCTATAATCGTTGGGAGGACATCCTTTTAATAATGATTTATTCTTAGAGGATGTTTCCTACTCTTTAGGTTTCTGCTTTTGCAAAAAGCCTGCATAATTTAGAATATTGTGTGTAAATAAAGTGAAGAAAAGAGGGCAACAAAGTCGACCAAAGGCTGCTGAGGTATGATGCGGAGAAAAGGTGGCCCAAGTACATCCACCATCATTTATTCCTGCTTTGTCTTCTTACTTTCAGGAGCCTCGGCTGCATCTTCCAAGTCCCGTTTCTTTTGGGGTTGTGATTTCGAATTAATCGCTTTAAAGGCATTGAACTGATATTGACGTTTAGAATTCTGAGACGCGTCTTTGTATTGTTCTTCTTTCATTTTCATATAGTCGGGTCTATACATCAATTCAATGTCTTCGTCTTTAAACTTGATATTCTTGAGATCAGCAACGGTTTTAGCTTCCTCCTCGGAGCTAAATGTGACATAGGCGGAACCCTATTGTTACCAAAAATCGCAGAGAATGTGATATCAATAAAACTTCCATATCCTAAAAAAAAAACAATTGCTAGGTGCTATCATTTTACCTTGAATGTTCTAGGCTTCACATCATTGTTATATTTTAAACGGATACATTTTACACTACCCTTTTCAGCGAAGCAATCCTCGATGTCATCTTGTAATTTGATTAAAGCTTCTTTAGGATCTTCAACGCCTGGAGCCATATCCACCAAGGGAAATCCTTTTGCATGAATTGTACGTGCCTTCAGGTCCAATTCGACTGGTTCAGTCTTGCGACGAACCTTTTTTTCACTTTCATCAATTTCAATGTCGTCACTTTTGTGGTTTTTCAAGGCTTCAACGACAACTTGCAAATCCTCAGTGAGTGACTTCATTTTCTTAAAATTGGCCAAGGTAGTGATTGGGATCCCTAATTACATGTTGTAGAGCAAACTAAATAAGGATCGACGAGGCTTTTATGACGCGGTTGAAGATTTCAATGAACTTACAGTGACCCGGGTTTTTATCGTGAAGGGTCCACAAAAACTTGTCATAAGGTAAATTATAATCGGATAAATAGAACTCGATTTGTTTAACGATTTTTTTTTGCAGATCCATTTCGCTTGACATGGTTGTTGGATAAAGAGATCAGAAATATCCAAAATCAAAAAACAAAACAAAAAAATAGAATAAATAAAAATAAAAAAGTTTGAACAGGTTTAATGACTGCTTTTGTCAAAATGTGCCCCACAGATTTTCGTGTGACAACTGTTGACAGGTAAACTTTCGTTATTGCTTCTCGAGCACGATATCATTCCTTCACTTTTTGTTTCATTACCAACTTTTGTGGTGTATTTCGTTAAATATTAGAGAGCCGATTTGCCAATGTTGATCTGAATATCCATATTTGTTCTGAACAACGCCAATAAGTAAAGGTTATAATTATTGACATTGCGATCTTCCTCAAGATACTTGTTGTGGGTAGTGGAACCGACATGGTGCCTCTGGAAGCCTTTTTAACAATATCATAGATTACTTCCATGTATTTGGTGAAGGTTTACTAGCTAGTATAGAGGACTGTGCTACCACTGCCACCACTGCTACCACTACTCCTTCATCTGCGGCTGCACGATGTGCGGCAAGCCCTGCGTTGGCAGCTCGGCAGGTAGTGGACATGATTCGTTTGGAGAATCTTCGCGATACTGTACTAAAGCGCGAATCGACGAGAGGAATAGAATAATCATGTCCACTGATCAATCTCTCGGACTATCGACCTACGCCCAGCGCTACCGGGATTGTGTGGATAATATCCCCACTGCTCAAGCGTGTCTCTACCACCTCTGTTATAACCTTTACCAGCAGTAACAACAATATTGTCGGCAAAATCAACTATTGCAGTTCTCATTTGAGAACTATATCTTGCTCGACAAAACGTAGCAGAAGAGCAAGACAGGCGAGATTTTTAAGTCATGTCGAATATTGAAGCAAAAAAGTCATTTCGACAATGCAACTCTCTGATTTTTTAAAGCAGATTCATATAATATTTGCACAAGTAATAAAATTTCCTCTCATTTTTGCTAGTTGTAATCTTTTCATTGAACTGGTTTGCTATTCAGGACTGTATATGTATATTTATCGAACTGAATGATAGCTTCAGGTCGTATAGTTCAGGCTACTCTGAAATGTCTCCTGCAAAATCTTTTTGTCCAAGCATCATTCTATTTGAACCTTGGGTTTATTGTTTTATAAAAGAAATCTTTCGTTCATATGAACACAGTTTATGAAAGGTCGTTCTTATAAGAGATGAAAACTGCATAAACCTTTGCAATCCTAGCAAGAGTATAGGGGTATGAGGTAATCTTTTTCGCAATAGACGGCCTCTGTAAAGATGCCAAGACATGCAAAAACCATTCGTAATAACAGTTGTTTGTTCGATGGATGCTATCCAGCTTAAAGTAATGGAGGATAATGATATTTGTTCAAACTATGAATTAATGTATCGTTCGCAATCAAATATACAGAAAGCTGACATGTCTCGTGACATGTAATATGATTTATTCAGTTGGATTTTCGCACCTAAAACCTTCAAATGCAAAATTAAATTTCTGGAAGCTAATAAACCGTATATGTATACTCTACGAAATAAGTAGTTTAAAAACTCATGCTTATCAATAACATTTCTGATACCTATAATATGACAAATATTTAAAAAAGTTCATAATTCGTGGACGTACCACTTCTTTTTATAAAAATTGCCTCATAAATAAAGCTTAGGACAAAAAGTTGTCTATGCTAAAGACATATTCAAGATGCAAAGTCATTTACCAATAGGCTTGATACCGGAAAACAATATCTCTCAAAATATGAGCTCTTGATTTATATTGAGGTGTCTTATATTTGCAAACATCGAGTCTTCTAGGTATAATTACATACTTTTTGTAGGATTGATATTCATCGGGTAATAGTTAGTATAAAAGGTTGGGTTTTTTGTCTCTGATTGTCTTGTAAAGACACATAAGAAATCATCTTTACGCCTGAACTATTCTTCAAGGACTATATCTTTAAAGATAATATAATTCTTATATGAGATTAAAAACAGTCTTAGCTTAATTACTGTTTCTAAGGAAATTTTGTAGGATTTTCATGTTTATTTATGCTTATTTTAAATCATTTAGCAAAGTAATTAGCTCGCTTGTCCCAAAACCAAAAAATACACATATTCTTCACGCACTACAACATAAGTAGAATAAAAAGTAAATGCCTCCGGCGAGGCTCGAACTCGCGACCTTCAGATTATGAGACTGACGCTCTGCCAACTGAGCCACAGAGACATTTTGTTTTTTTTTGAGTTTATTAAAATATACATATAAAAAATTATAAATTCACGTGATCAGTAAAAGTTTTCGATTGTCAAAAATTTTGCTGCGGGCTGGATCAGGAAATCGGCGGGTTAGCCACATTCGAATAGAAGTTACGGATAGTATTGAAACGGTGCCTTGGTAGAATATCAGAATCAAAAGAATTTATTAATTTTCGAATGTATTATTCAAATGTTTTAGCACGGTAGAGTGCATAATAAAGCATAATCATCCCTATGGGAATAGAGCCATACAGATTTATATTTAGCATCAATGAGTTTTTGTACGGCATGCTTTACTCTAGTAAGGGTATCTCGTTGGTTTGTTCCTGCGTGATCCAACAATTTTTTGAATCCATCGTCTTGCCAAAACTTAAATTCGACCATAAACCTGATAAGTTCTTTGGGAAGATCAAAAGCAAGGACTTGAACGTCTCTTTTCATATCATCCATAATAGGCGTTAGGTGATTTATAGCTAGTCAGTAAGTAAAAAAAAAAAAAAAGGAGTGCTTATTAATACTGGTTAATAGTGAGTTATTTCATGTGCCGGATCCTACCTTTATCCACCAAAACACTTTTATGTTTATGCTTCATCTTTGTACGCTCTTTACCACGGCCTTCGTTATATACAATATTCACATTGAAGGCTGTCTTTTTCTGATCTATACCGTCAGACTTTGACAAATCATGTAAAAATGGATCATTTCGACCTATCCGAACAATCGAGAAGAGGTTAGTATGTGATTATTGAATGCTTTTCGCTTTCAGCTTCAGATTCGTACCTGTATCTGTAGATTCCTTTGTTTTAATGTCATGTTTGTTCTTCACTTTGGCTACAGAATCTACCCGCATCTGCTCGCTAATTTCGGAGGATAACCACATGCATAGATCTGCCTTACTCACTTCTGTTTCTGTACGTCGCAACACGTCTTTCACTTTGACAGTAGTCGATTCTGTCGATTTATTCTCTGAATTTCTATGCTTCACTATAACGATCCAATTGATACTCGCTTTTTTACATTGTGAGACCACTTCTTCAGGCGTAAGATTGTCTCCATCATCATATTGATATTCGGCACGGATGCCATGATTCCATAATTCGCGAACTATCTCTAGTCTTTCCTGTAAAAGAACTTTTCCAAAACTAGCAACATAGACGTCGCATTTCTTGGGTGCCCATAAACCAAAGCTTCTCATCTTTTCATTCCTTGCTTTCATTAGATATTTGACCTGCTCAGATTGGTATATATCCAAATGACGAATCAGTTTTTGAACTGCAATATTTACACCAACAGCTTGTAGTTTTCTATTAGCTGTTGCATTCGGATGTGAGAAATGTTGTATCAAAAAGTCATATCTAATGTATACATGATGGTCAGTACAGCCGTGATTTAAAATGACCTGGCAAGCAAACGCATAATGACTTTTTTAATTTTTACCTTCCACCAATAGCAAGGATATCTTTGCGCTTGGAATCAATGGTATCTATAACAGTTAAAAATATGATTCCATTCTTGTAAAAGTGATTGTTATACCTGGTCAATTTGCAAAAAGAAAAAAACTGAGTATATGTTGTCTATTTCAGTGACAGTTGTTAGGGTTGGAAAATACTTACACTAATAAAGGGTTGAATATGATTTTGTGGCGAACCCCCATAAATTTACTCACTGTTGTTAAAGTACGTAGTTCATTGACATAGTCTCTAAACTTGCTCTTGTAATTATTGGGCAACAGGCTTTCAACCTTTTTGCCAATCGTATCTAATTCACCTACGCTCATACGATGACATTAGTACAATGAGGATGAATAGATCCGTACGCTTGATGTAAGCTTACCCTGAATATTAAACATAGAAAGCTCGTCCAGCACACTTCGCTGTAAATGATACTTCAACTTTAGCAGATTTCTCACACCTGAAAAAGAGGTAGAACCGCCTAAACTAGATAATATGACCAAAACACCTTTTCTGATATCAGGCGGAACACGACAGTTATCCAATATCATATCCGTAATACCCGTGTGATTCACCATGAAGCAGAAGCCACCCTTTTTATACGGGGGTAAATCTTCCAGTACTTCTTCCACTACTTTGAGCACTTCGGCATCAGGCACCATGGGAGATGTCTTTTTATGAACAATGTCAAAGTCAGCTGTCAAAATGGCTTCTGGTTGACCGCCGCTGGGGTTTTCTCGGTAAACCTTATCGAACGTGAAGCGCTTCATTTCGGGAAAGCCTTTTTGACGTGATATGAATCTGGCAAAGGGAACGGTCTGATCATAAGGAAGCTGACTCAAAGAGCCCTGTGCATCCATAAGATAGACGGGATTTTTCCAATTCAGGTGATATAAATCATTCTTTGGTATCAGCAAAGGAGCCGAGACGGCAATAGCGCCATGGCGCTTGAACACCTTGGTCATTTGTTCTCGAATGCAATCGTAAAAGATATGACTGAACGGGTCAAAAGGCAATTCAATGTTGGTCTGGTAGTCGTAGGTGAAGTCTTTGTGTCGGTCGGCTGATTGTGAGAACATGGCAGACATCAGTTTCCCGTAGTAAGGTGTATTAGGGTTAGCAATCGTACGCACGCATTCTTTAATGTACTCATCTTCCAGCTTGGGCGGTAAGAGGTCGCTACGAAGAAGCTCAAAGCTGTTGGGACGATCTTTGGGCTGGGGCGACAGCAGAATCTTGATGATTTTCTTTTGATGGACATAGTTGGCTGGAAAATCATCAGGAAATTTACCGTTCCTTAGATCATTGAGCACAACGACGCGTTGCATGCCTGTGGAGAATTTGTAACACATTTCAAAAAAGATGACACCCAGGGAAAACATATCGACCTTTTGATTGTAGCGCATCCCCGATGTAGCGCCGGTCGTTGGGTCAGGCATCACTTCGGGTGAAACATAGAATGTGGTACCTACACCCGTCGTCATACTTTCTTCTGCTCCTATATGAACACTCGAAGCGGAATAGCCTGTATAGCTAGCAGCAGCACTTTCGGCGGCAGGGCCGTTCTGAGAGCTCGTATTGTATCGCTCAAAAATGCGAAGACTAGGGTTTCGCGACAATGCTATTCCATCCACCAGCGTTTGATTTGTCGTGGCAAGGCCGAAATCTCCAATCTTGACATCGTTGTTCGCGTCCAAGAAAATATTGGGAGGTTTCAGATCACGGTGGATCATGCCTTGTGAGTGTATATGCACTAGGCCTTCCAGAATTTGGCGGAATAAACGCCATCCTTCCTGTTCGTCTATGCCTTCATCAATCACATCGCGCAATGTCTTTTTCTCGCAATATTCCATTTGAATATACAAAACACGGGTTCTTTGTTGCTGCTTCTGACCACTACTGCCACTTTTATCGTTTGATTTTTTCTTCAAGTGATTGACTGCTTTACGTGCTAGCGATTGTTTTTTTGTAGACACTGTGTCCGTCGTGGTGGTAGTGACAGCACTCGTTCCAGTTGCATTATGACTACGCGTCGTCGAGGTGGTGGAAGCATGTCCAAACGAGATGAAATCATCCGAATCATCATCGTCACCTGTGGTGCCGTCGTCATGCGTGGATGAGGCTTGTCCCTCCTCCTCCTCCTCCTCATCACTTGTACTCTCGATGTCATCGTCGTCGTCCTCCTCATCTTCCTCAACAAATTGAATAGCTGAATAGCTCCTACTTTGACTTTTCATTCGACGAACAGACATAAAATCACGGAACTGCTTTTTGTAGGCACTGACATCGCCGTCCTCCTCCTCTTCTTCTTCTTCATCGTATTCTGAATCTGTCTCGTCTGTAAAGTCCTCTTCGTCTGAGGTATCCTTATAGCTACTACTACCATCCTCATCTTCAAACCAAGTTGCAAAATAGCGCACAACATATTGATGGTGTAGGCTGGATAAGGAATGCACTTCTCTCAAAATTTTTCTCAAGTCTTCACTGTCCCGAGGATCCAAGCGTACCTTTTTGATAGCATACAGGCGGCCGTCTAAACGGTTGCGAACTTTAATCACCTCGCCAAATCCGCCTTTACCTAAGAATTCAATCTCTTCGAAATCATTCTTGTATCTGGAGGTGATGGGTGATGCTCCACTCGTTGACTCTGACGTGGATGGATGCTGTGTAAGGTAGTTCGTAGGATGGCCAGGATGATAGGTGTTTTGCTTATTGTTATAATGATCAGGTGGGTATAGAGATTTATTGAAATCAGGTGCCATAGACTGTTCGTATAAAGGTCTTGTGGGCACTTGGAGTTTGTTGTTGTTATTGTTGTTGTGAGCATGGTCTAATACTTCGTTTGAGCTGATAGGTGGCACCACTAATGACAAGAAAAAGTATTTTAGTCACTTGCAATGGGGGGGGGGGAAATAGAGTAACCAAAAAAAAAAAAACAAACAAAAAATCACACAATAGCCTACCGGTTGAAAAGATGGGTGAGGCGGCTGGTTGTTCTGTAAGCATGTATTCGCCATCTCCTTCAAAGAAAGGGTCTCTCATCAAATCGATAGCGGTAGGACGCTTCTTCGGATCCGGTTCCAACAAACGTTTTGCAAAATCAATAGCGACGGAGGGTAGATCAGAACCTGCTGTACGTAAGAAAGCCTCAAAGTCGCCAAATTCTTTCGTCACTTCGACGCCCCATAACATTTCTATAAATACCACACCGAGACACCAGATATCATTTTTTCGGCCATAGACGCCTGGTCGCTCGCGCAATTCAGGCGAATACCAAGCGGATATGGAAGAATGATTCTGTAAAGCGTCACTTTCATGTTCCTCCTCAATAAAAAAATTAGACTTGTTGAGATCTAATGAAATGCGTGGGGGTTAAGAACGGTTGTTATTACGCAATGAGATGTTTGTGAGCTAGAAGGACGGGGTTAATTTTTACCATGCAGTCGCTTGTTGTAACTTATGTCGGCTAATTTGACAGATTGATGATTGCTGCAAAAAATACTATTCGATCTGATATCTATGGGCCCCATGAGAGGGTTGGGAAAATAACAGTTAGGATGACATAGCTCTTTCAGATCAACAGAGAGAAAAAAAAAAAAAAAAAGAAAAGTAGGTCCGTAGGTTACCTTTGCAGATGAAACCGTTCAAATGTACGTGATTCAACGCCCATAATAGTTGCTTCATGTATTTACGGACAATCGCTAATCTCAAGCCGCCTCCACACTTTTTGAGGAGATCATATAAGCTTCCACCCTGTTCATACTCCATCAACACGTAGAGAGTCCAAAAGCTGCGATCCATACGACTCCTGTCCAATCGAGAATCATACGTCTGCAAAATATGAGGGTGTTGTAGTGTACGTAAACGATCAAGTTCCCTTTCGACGTCCTGAAGTTTTCTTTTTCCTGCCTGAGTTGAATAATACGACCCTGATACAGTCACTTTCTTCACGGCGAGTAAGCTGGGTAGGACGAGATTGTCTGTTTCTTCTCCAGTCATACTGTCGTTATGGTTGTTGTTGTTGCCATCTCCAGTTATTTTATAATTTGCAGGTTGTGCCGAATGCGTTGTGCCAACCACTCCTTTTCCAATGCAAGGACCCAAAACTACAGTATGAAAACAGATTCTCTTTTTTAAAAAAAAAATTAAAAAAAAAATAAAAAAAATCAGCATCTCAGCCCGCTGTTTCCTTTCGTTCCTTAGCATGTGACGGGAGACTTACGGTCGGTATCGTGCCGCTGTTCTCTTCTTTCTCAATAGGCACAGTAATTAAATTCTCGAATCGAATCAGACGAATATCGCTACTTTCCAACTGATGATGAAGTGCGTCGATAGAATTTTGCAGGGTGCTACTGTTACTGCTGTAAGGATAACGCGGGTGATGATGATGATGATGTGAAGAAAATCGAGGATGAAAATCGTCGTCCGAGTCATTCACAACGGCTCCTAGTACTGAATCGGTGTCATCTTCATCTGAGTAATCGTCTGGAGAAAAGCCGAGTTGACGTCTTTGTTGTTGGCGAGCCGCTCGCGCTTGGTTTCGTTTCCTTTCTATGTCCTGCTGAATTTGCTCATTCATCCTATCCGACTGTATACGAAGCTCCGCCTCCCTTTCCTCTCGTTGTCGAGCCAATGCCTCTAATTCACGTTCTTTTTCCACTTTTGAATCCTGCTCATTACGTATCACCATCTGTTCATGAAGGGTGAGTTTGGATGTGGCGGAAGGAGGTGCGTTGTGGTTGGCAAGAAATGCACGTACGTGATCGCTGAGATCGTACATCATCTCTTGACCGATCAGTTGTTGTGCTGCTTTTTGCAAAGAGAGTTCTAATTGACGAACAAGGAGTGCGTTTAACCCTCGCTGATTGATCAGGTGAAGTTCGGGTGGTTTGTTGGGATAGGATTTAGGGAATCGCACTTTCAGATCGACGGTTGTGAATGCTTCATTTTCGTCAACACCAAGAGGACATAAATGTAGTATAAATTCTGGATCTTTATGGGTTACCTGGAAGAAGGAATAATGGATAGCATTCGTTAGTTCAACAGTAGAAAAAAGAGAGAAAGAGAGAATTCTTGCTTTAAGCAATCATCTCATTGTTCCTTCCCGCCCCCCCCCCCCACCTCATTTTCATTGCTTCTAGAGCGTTTCTTTGATTCAGTTTACCTTCCATGCTGTTTTCTGTTCAACTTGTCGGAAATCATCCATAAAGATAGCTTTTAAAGCTTCAATTTCGTTTGCTTGTATTTCTTTGAGTTCTTCAAAATCAATGTTGGCCTGCATTTTTCTATTTTTTTTTTTTTCTGTTTTCTCAAATCAAAACAAAGTAACAGAGAAAGGATGAGTAGGTCTCGTTGACGGGTGTTGTATTGTTCTGTTGAGGTTATTGTTATTGTTGTTGTTGTTGTTGTTGAATGCTGTATTGTCAAGAAAAAGATTCAAAACATGAAAAAGGAACGGAAAAGAACAAAAGTTATTTCTCCATTCCGCTGTTCTTCAAATAATGAATAGATATACAACGACGGGTAGGGACACTAAGAAGAAAGTTGAAAAAATGTCAATGTTGGAGTCGATGTTGGCCCAGGATCTGTAATGACGACGAAAGACGAAAAAGAAAAGAATAAAAAAAAGAAATCACCATTGTTCTAGCGGTACTTTTTGAAGCATACAAATAAAATACAAGTGGAGCTCTAAATTCCAAACAGTAAAGTTTAGTCATCTTGACCTTATTTCACTCGTTTTCTGGCGACTAGCCCATTCCACGGTTTGTTATCATTTTCATTGTAGATGTTAAGTATATTGAACATTTTCAATCAAGGAAGTCAATCTATTTAGACCCCTATGTACCGCGTCTTGATGCATGAAAAGTGTATCTATTTTTTTGAAGAGATCAAATAAAAATAAAAAACAAATGGACACTCCTCTTCTTCAAGCCATTGTGCTTTCAAAAATTATCGGAAACATGCACGACAGTGATGGTGACAAAGAGAACGAAATACAATTATCTGTCATGGATGCTTTGTCGGTCGACTCAGAAGGGCAATAGAGGTAGGTTGACTCGGCCATGATGCAGTTGAGAATGCTTTGAATGCCAATTTGAAAACCCACTGTGGTGTGCTAAGAATGGATCCAAGATGAATAGTTAATGTATGTTCTATGAAAGTCTATTATTATCGCTTATGTTGTACGGGTCAATTGTAAACAAAGAACAGTGTGACTATTTTGAATAGAGGACCCAAACGTCTGATGAAGAAATGGCAATGGACAAAAGGGAATCTAACGCATTGGATAGTGGTGATTGACTGACTATTCATGAATATTTCTATTGACTTTGGGCTTTGACAGTTTTGGACGTAGAAAGGTTTCAAATTGAGAAAGAAGTGGTGGATGCCCTTCTGTTGCTGGGATATTGAAATACAATAGTAGAAGGGTTATATGTTTAGGATGACATTAAAATAGAAGCAGTAAGTTGACTCACTTAGATCCTTTGATGCTTGAGCCTTCCCTTGGCTTTGGTTTCTACAATCATGAGGGTGGGGGGCGCAACCGTACGTTTATATCCGTGTTTACATCCCTCAAAAAGGAGATACCGCATACCAATGGAAAGACGATTGCTTCAAAGGCAAAACAAAAGGAACCAAGGGTGGTCTCAAATGAATAGTAACAAATTCATTCCATTCAAGGCACCAAGTTCTCTTTGAGCGCGTAAAAAGTAATTTATTCTAATGATTATTGATAGCGTGTTTAGTGATGTGAGACTGAATGTACTTTGCAAAGACTTTGTTGGGTCTGCGTTACTAGAAAAATTCCTTTCAAAAAACAGCAGCGGTGAGTCCGGCTAGCATGCGAAGAAACAAAAGGACAGATCACGTTTGAAAGAAACCTTTAACCATTGACTTCAAAGGCCCATCCTTACGGAAGGAGGAGGGGGGTTATTCTGGTAGATACAATGTATTTTAAAAGAGAATTTTAAAGCCAAGGCATTGTTCTCAATGGTGAACTAAATCACATCATGCTAGATGCTCATTAGAAAGAGTCCCAACGACTGCTGTTTTTGTTTAATGAGATGACGATAGATAAAGATGCTATATTACAATGACTACTTCTTAGAAGCATAGTATAATTTGGTATTCTATATTTTGACCAGTAGATTCTTTTTTTAAGCGGGAGTATCTTTTTCATCATTGCTTATAAAAGTTAAATGTTGTGTTATTGTGTAGCATAGTGTCAGAAGACAGTAAAAGGCCCATTTTAGTTTACAGAATATGGCAGTGACGGGAAACGTAAAAAGGAACCAAAAGAATGACGTTGCGTTTAGTTTCAACTCAATGTCTTGTACTGACAACAACAGCCCTAATCGAGAAGACTATTTAGAGACGATTCAAGTAAAAAGCCTCTAGTGACTCACAAAAGTGTGTTTATCCATGTTTCCTAAGTCTTTACTATGAAAATAACAAATTCAAGACGAGTGAATAACTAACTATACATTATAGAGAAGCATTCAAAGAGCTTTTCGTTTGATCTTGAAATTTAATTGGTCGCTCCCTTCGTCATCCTGTCAATGAGCGGATCTTGGAGATTTTGCATAAACATAGTACCGCTTTCCCTTTTTTACCCCACAAAAAGGAAAGGGAGACAGCCTTTTTTTGGCTTTTGCTGAGTTATAAACTTGACTTTCGCTCTCGGGTGCTTTTCCACGTTCTCGGCCACCTTTGGTTTGGTTCGGTGCTGACGACTTTACAGACACCGTTGTATTCAGTTATTAGCACTATGGATGCTGCTCTCTTGAGTAGGTAAAAACGACCCTAGATGCCGATAGTGCTTGTACAAGTTCAAAGAAAGCATCGATGGTTTATTTTGATAGTTCCAAAAGAAGCAAGTGGGTGGGGTGCACGTTACACCAACAGTAAATTTTCCTCAGGTCCTTTGAATATTTAAGGAAATAGAGGATTGTCCATGCCTTTTACTTGATCAAGCAATAGATATACTTTTTTTTTTTTTTTTTTTTTTTTTTGTCTCTGATTGTACAAAAATTTGGATTCGCGAATGTATTTTTCACATACAAACAAAATTGCAAAAAAAAATAAAAACGGTTCTTTTTTTTTATTGTTCATAGAATAGAGCCCTTTTTTCTTCTTCTTCATATTTCTTTTTTTTTCATTTTTTGATTTAGCTTTTTCCAACCAATCAAAACAGCCAGAGCTAGATTCACTGTAGTAAAAGCCCAAAAAGCATCTGTATTTCCCGCTCAATTCAAAAAATATATCCAAAGAATCACAACAATGACTATCGTGACATTTTCAAATACAACGCTGCGTTTGCACAAGTCAGTTCATGCCAGTACAGCTACTACAACTGCTTCTCCTTCTGCGAGCACCCGTACGAGGAGTCATGCCTCTTCAACTGCATCATCACCTATTTGCCACGCCCGTGGAAAGAATTATTGCCTTGTTCACAGGAGATACTTTGAGACAAGCTGGTGCCCTGATTGTAGTCGTGGTAAATCACTTAACACACATAGCCTTCATTGAGGAGATGCCCATCCAAAAAAAAACCAAAAAACTAAACAATACGACTATTTTTTCAATCTTTTCATATAGTGTCCTAAACCGTTTCCCCTTTTATGAAAACAACGGAATCAGTAGCATTTTTTCGCTCCGTTCTTACCCTATAACTACTTGGTTGTAACATATGACGAACTTTGATTTTTATACCATTTCCTTAAAAATATTCATTATGCTTTTTTTTTTTTTTATTATTTATCTTTTTATATATCACATGTTTGATTAATCTCGAACTCTCTTTTTTCTTTTTCTTTTTTTTTTTTTTTTTTCCCCTTTTTAGAGAAAAGCATGTTATCCTTTTACCTTCTTTTGCTTCCTTTATGATGGCTGTGTGTGTGTGTGTGTGTGTGCAAATTTATGCGATATCCCATTTTGACTTCTCATTTGCCCTTTTTCTGCCAATAAAAAAAAAAAGAGGAAATAATATACAACAGCTCACTCCCCTTTATCACAGAGGAACTCCTCTCTTTGTTTCTCTTTCTTACATTGTCGATCCTTGCCTGCCCCCCACACTGCGATAAAGTAGCGTTGAAGAAGCGAGATAAGCGCGCGCGCTTATCGATAGAAAGTAATAAACGCATTGTTACACTTTCAAAAACAAACTCATGTGAGATTCTCTCTCTTTCATGAAAAGAGAATGTCATCCCGTAAAAGTAAACAAAGTCGGAACTGTACAACAACATAAGGTAGGTTAAAAAATCAAAGTCATACGTGCGCCGACATTCGTCCGTTCGGGGCTTTCAGGCCTTTGAGAAACCCATACCACTGTTGTCATTGTGCATAATTCCATCCCCCGGTGCGAATCTAGAACCGAGACGCTTTCTCAAAATAGAACGATTGATAATAGAACAAACACGTGAAAAAAAAAGAGGCTGGTTTTTTTGTTTTTTTTGTATTTCTATGGAACACAGTTTACATTGGAGCAGCATGAAACAGACGGCTCACTTGATGGACGATAGAAGGGTCAATCTGAGGTAATCGCTCTACCACTTGCGGCTGACTCATGGCGTTTTTTATCATTGCCAGCAAGTGGACGTGATAAAGAGAATCATTTTCTACAAGCTAACCAATAAAACGGACACCATAAGAAAAAAGATGCTTACTCTTTTCAAAGGAGGGGAAGCGCGCAACTTACTTGTTTCTTTCTAAGCGTTTCTTGACATGCTTCTACTTCATTGATATCCATCTCTTCCTCTGACACAAGCGCTGCAGCATGATCGCTAAATGGACAAACAAGGGTGTGAGAGAAGGGTTACGCATCTAGGGGTTGGTCAACTCAATAGGCAGCTCTACCTGTCAAAGCCAGCATCCATCCACACCGCCATGATATTGGGTAACTTGTTCATCACTACTGCCTTCACAACATCATCACCACTACTATGGCTACTACTCGAGGACAGTAACAAATGGGTCAATCCTACACAGGCAACCCTCTTTTTCTGTGCATCTAAATAATCCAACTTGTAAAAAAAAAAAAAAAAAACCATCAGCTTTTTTTTTCCCTTTTTTTTTTTTTTTTCCATTAAGAGAAAACTAACATTGTCCAACCATCTATCCAATACCCTACTGATCACCTCGTCTTGTGGCTGCTGTGGTTGAGTTTTTGTTTGAAGGATGCGCATCACAAAGTTGGCATCCAAAAAAGCCAATCTTGCAAATACATTCATATACGTTGCCATGGCTTGACTCTTTAAAGATGAATAAATACCTATTTTTTTTTATTTTTTTTTTTTTTTGGTGTGTTTTTTTCTTTTTACCTTGTCCTCTTTCATTAACAATTCAAGTATATTGGTCAATACATCCGAGTCGACAAGGGCTTGACCATAGACCGACAACGGTGCACTCTGAAGCACAAGATCCAGCGTATGCGATACATAATGAGCCACAGGACCCCTCGTCGTATCCTTCACCTTGGAAGCCAGCTTCTCAAACAAGATGGGTTGATATGGCGGGGCTAATGTGGAGGACGGGTCGAGCAAGAGGTAACTTTCTATCACCTTGAGCACTTTACGAAGGTTTTCAGTGTCATAATCTAAAAGCGCTAGAGCCGGTGGATAGTAAAGCGACATGAATTCAGGGCTGTTCATCGGTGCGGTCTGTAAAAGCGTCCACCAGAGGTCCAAAGCATCTTCTAACAAATAAACATGGGCTTCCTAGTAAGAAGGTGGCGAAAAAAAACAGCCAACATCAGTTTCTCTCTTTTGGAAAAAAATCTACAAAAAAGACAAACTTACATTGGCAGGGTCAATACAATACTGGACAATAGGAATCAAGACAGGATGTAGCTGAACAGACATTTCTTTCACAGTCTAACAAACAAACAAACAAACAAACATAAACCGATGGAGATGTCAACGAAGCGTTTTTGAGAAAGAGAGAAGAAAAAAAAAAAGGCCGACACAACTTACAGCGACAACATGTCGAAATGTATCTATCAAGGAGGATAAGAGTAAAGGCTCCCTTGTGGGTTGCCAACAAGGGAGTAACATTTGAATGATATCCGAGGCAAACGGTAAAATCTAGCAAGAAAAGTGAGTGGCATGAGCGTCAAGCCAAAAGAATAAGCCAACCTGGGGTTCCTTACCTCGGTTCCTGTTCTCATAAGGATGGCTTTCACATCCGTGACCAGTGACAGAACGGTCTCTGGCGCTTCCGCTTGAGAAAGCAGGTGGAGTAGGTGGGTCAGGGTCGAACCCAGATAGGGCAGAAACAGCTGGATATCAAATTCCCAGTTATCGACGGCTTGCGTCAATGCATGCGCTGCGGTGAGCTGCACCACCCGCTGTTGACCTTGTTGTTCTTGTTCTTTTTCTTCTGAAGGGGGCGCCGCCATCCATTGGAGCAACACATCAAAGGCTACTTTACGACACTCTTCGCTGATCGATTCCGACGCCCATTTTCCTAGCGTCCAAGCGATACGTCTCTTGATCATGGGAGGAGGGCCGGCGGGACGGTCAAGGTCTTTGACCAGATAGGTCATGACAAACCGTTCAAAATCAAAATGGCCATACAGGGTTTTGACACCCAGTCCAATCGCACTATAAACAGCCTCTTTGAAAAAAAAGGCTTGTGGGTCCTGTCGGTCAAGCACGACCGCTTGATCGACGAAATGCAAAAGAAGAGGCAAGAGAAGGTCGCGGTAGTGATAAAGTAAGGTCGTGAACGTCTTTTCAGCACACGGCCTCAACTCAAATTCCCACTGATCGGCCTCTGCCTCCGTCAGCCATCCTTCAGGGTCCTCTTGCCATTGTTCAATGTCCTCGGATGTCAGTATCAAGTAGTGACGGATCAAGCATTCGGTACACGACGTCACAAAGCTGGCTGTCATCCATTGTTGCTGCAGTCGCTGCTTGGCTTCACTGAAAAACGATTTTTCATGCTCGGACAGAGACAACAGGTCCTCGGAGGGTGCTTCTCCTTCTTTATCAAAAAACAGGCAGGTCAACGTGGCATGCAACAAAAGCATCCCTTGTAAAAGAAACGCCTCCTCCCATTCAGAAGCTGGAGAAGCGGCCGATGGGTGGATCGTCTGACATCTCGCTGCTCTTGTGGCTCCTTCTTGCAGTAACTGAGTCCAATAATAGTCCAGCAGAGGGATCCAAGCTGGACATAACACGCAGGAGAATGGATGCAACGATTGTACAGCCAAATACAAGGCTCCCACATCCTCAATGACTTTTTGGATCGACTGTCCAACAGGCTGTGTCGGACGACATCTTTTCACTAATAGATTGGAAAAAGACCGGTTTGCAGGGTGAGGACCCTTCTTCCTTTTGATTCTACTTGTCCTTGTTTTACCTTCAACACGGGGCTTACTTACAGTGATCTCTCCATTGTTGTAAATGTTGCAAACTTATCTCTATGAAACGCTAACGATTTCAATGACCAAAAAGAAACGCGTCAATGCCATGACTCACACACCTCTACGGGGAGGGGGTTGTCTCTCTCTCTCTCACCTTGGGTTCTTCATAACTTTGTATATCTTTTACGCCCCTGGATAAAAGCGTTTTTAGACACTGAAGACATAGACTGACAATCTCCAATTCCACCACAAGTGCCTGCTCTGTTCCTGCTGCTGCTGCTGTAGCTGGATTCGTCGTCGTCGTCGTCGTCGTTGTCATCGTCGTCGTCAAGAAGGAAGATAATGTTGCCATGGAACGATCCACATACGCGACATACACTTGCGCCACTGTCTGGAACATGGTAGGCACAATGTCGGCAAATTGTTGACGTCCCAATACCAGTCGTCGTGAAGCCAGTTCGAGCAAGACTTCATTCCAGATTTCCAAGATACGATAATGCACAAGACGTGCATAGTCTTGTTGATGGAAATCCACGGTTTGAATCGATTGAATCAACGTCGGAAATAATTCTGGCCATGTTTGAGGATAGTCTAACCTCGCTATCTTGGCAATGATGGCTGCATTCTGCGCAGTAAGCTTTTTTTTTTTTTTTTTTTTTTTTTTCGAAACAAAACAAACAAATGAATATCTTGCCTTCCTACAATGAAAACAACTCGTTGCTTTTTACTTTTTTACTAGGTTCATCCACCGATTGAAGTAAACGTTCTCGAATCATGTTTTTTTCCTCAGGTGATATGGGACTAGGATCAACATAAGGTATATATGAGCTGTGTGTGTCTCTTGTCTCTTGTCTCATGGAGGCGCTTGCCATCTTTTATATATATTTTTTTTTTACTTTACTTTTTTGCTGATCTTCTCCAAAATCGATCAATGCCATTCTTCAAATAAATGCCACAAAGCATTCGAACTGCCTCATCCATCGAACGATCACAAAAGATATCCTTTTCATTGCCAACAATAAATATAATTGACGAAACAAAAGGGTAAGTTTTCCATGCGATGACCATGGAGTTCAAATAAAACATGTTCAAAAAGGGGCCCCCCCTCTTCCTTACTTGGAGAGTAATGAAAAAGTTGGGTGAATTTTCCCATTGCTTAAGAAGAGCTTCTGCTTGCTTTATACGGTGTTGGTCTTGAGATACAATCTCTATCAAGACTTGCAGCAATTGTGATTTTGCATTACTCATTACTTTTGGACAATCGAAAAAAAAAAGGGCAAGATAAAAAAGAAAAAAAAATGGGTTGCATCGAATTTAACTCCACACAAACAACAAACAGAAATTTGACAGGTTTCATAGGTGCTTTTTTTTTTTTTTTTCAATGGAAAAAGATGAAAATGAGGGATATACAGTGACATACATATTAGAATGGTTAAATATACATTGGACAAAAAAAAAAAAAAACAAGCACCTCATCCTTTACTGCTGTCGTTGGCTGGAGAAGGGAACCATTGATTCCATTTCATTTTGGCGGCCTCTTTAAATCGTAGCATCACACTGGGCATATCATCTAATGCTGGACGCACATCCAAATGAAAAACGGGGACACCTGGCACTTCCTCAGGTGCTTCGTAATAATCAATCACATATCTTCTTTCTTGATCGCAGCGTTTGATATACCAATCATGTCGGTCAAACGGTCTGGGTACACTATATCAAGAAAAAAGCCCATTGCGAGGTTAGCATTCCCGTGGCTGTTTCTCCAGGTGTGGACCCCCTTCTCCACCTTTTTTTGTTTTGAACTTACCCCCAGAATGAATGCCATCTTGCCTTGGGTGATACTTCTTTGGGTCGTCCTTGGAATTTGGCCAAATAAGGATCCTCGGCACAATCACTTGAATACAAAAAGATAGAGTCGTGTCAAAAGAAGGCCTTTTTTTTGGGGGCGTTGATAAGGGTTCACTTACCATTTGAACTTGGATTCCCATTTCAAGACTTCCTGCCACGCTTCTTCATTCAAGAAATTGTGGATATCCACCATAGTCTCAATTTCTTCTTCAGGTGTTTCCCATCCCTTTCTCTTGAGAGCGTTATAGAATTGCTGAGGACTCGGGTATTCCCATTTCGCAGCTGTATCGTCTCCTTTTGCTTTTGGAATGGAGGAAATGACTCTTTCTGTAGGCAAACGGATCGTCTGCTCGTTATGCGCGGATTGAGACAAGTGGGAGGGCATCATGTTGAGTAAATTGATGGCCTCTTCATTGTTATGCATAGGGCATCCCGGTGGAATGGTGGGGGTCTTTTGGGTGGGTTGCTGCTGTGCTTCACGTTCCTTGGAAGGCATGGGACAATAAGGACCGTCTGCTTCTGGCATGGAGGTGGTAGGTCTTTCTTTTGTCGTGTGGCTGTCATTCTTATTGTGCATAGGACAACCTTCAGGTGGGTTACTTGTAGTATCGTCTTTGGCCATGGTGAGTGCTGTTATGGCTAAAAAAGAAAAAGAAAGCAGAACGGTGGGTGGGATGTGGGGGAAGAGGGCGGGGGTGAGCGGGAAAGGCTTTTTTTTTTTTTCTTTTTTTTTTTTGCGGGTTCTTTTTGCCCTGGTCTGGAAAAGAAAAAAACCGAGAAAAAACTCCATTTTCCGCCATGATAGCTCTTTCCCTTTTCTTCTGTTGATTAGCCTACCACTCACCCCACCCCCTTTACCAAACTGCAGTCTATCACTTGGACAAAACATAGAGATGGATCATGTCGATTAATCAACCCAATTTGTTGAAAGAGAATCTGAATGAAAGGAGAGCAGAGGGAGATCATTCAGAACGATTTTATCTCTCTCTTTTTTTTTTTTTTCAGAACGGTATCTTTATTTCATTAAAGAACATATTGGAACAATTTTTTTTTTTTCCTGTAAAATGAAGAAATGGCTGAGCAAGAAAAAAAAAAAAAAAAAAAAAAAAGCCCTGGATTTCAGGGTTTCTCTCAACCCGTCGTCATTTCTTTTAAGGAGAACAATCATGATTCATGATAAGACAGAATCTCTTTTTTCTGTAACAAAGAGTAAATGCTTTCTGACAGTTTATCTGCGCGAGAAAAACTATAAATGCATTTTGTTCTGTTGTTAGTATAGCATCCATGAATTGTGTTAAAAGCGATGGAAGCTTTTTCAAAAAGCCTGATAGAAATTACATCACGTTCAACGGTAATCACAAAAAAGTCGCAAAGCCGATGAGTGTCACCATGAACAGAAAGGGAAAGAAAATGGGCTATTCTATTTCTGTGCTACAGCCATCTATTTCTTTGCCCACTCGTCATTGCTGCTGCTGCGTAAAGGGAAAAAAGGAATGACATCTGTGGTTTCAAATGGAGGGGGGGGGGAGGAGGTAGGCGAGTTTTCGTTGTAGTATTATCAGCAGCAACGGCATCGTATTAGCAGTAGCAGTAAAACCACATTGCACGTGCAAAAAGACCCATTTTTTTTTTTCATCATGATTGGGAAAAGAAGGGGCGATGAATACCCGCGCGCGCGCGCGCAAGAGAGAGAGACACTCGCGTCCGCGGGTTAAAAAGGAGGGTCATTCTCACCGAGATGGCCAAAAATCAAAGGAGTTGGGATCGAGTGAGGCCCTTTTTTTTTCTTTTACGAAATCGAGAAATTTAAACACGTTGATCCTCTAGCATGGGTCTATCGTTGCTCCGTGCTAGTCTTGAAGGAAAAAACAGTATTCTCATAGAGACCACTCACGATGTAGGATGTACACATCAGAAATGCAACATGTTTGCTGTGTAGAAGCTTCACGGGTAGCCAATGACTACATATGAAAAAAGAAAAGCAAGAAACGCGCTTTTATTTATTATTTTTTTTGGTGGGTGTTTGAAAGTGCTGTTGATGGAAAAGCTTTTACCATCTTTTGTCATTGTTCAGTTACTATAATTAGCGCTTTCAAGAACCAAGCTGAGTCCTTTTGGTACTTTTTGTCTTGTTGTCTATGGAAAGAGGGTGGGTTTTAGAGCACGGCATGAAAGAGTCAATCTTTTTTAAAATACGCTCTTCCACATGTGCTTGTACAGTTTATAGCTCTTTTAGCGGTTTTTTCTTTTTGGGGGTTGTCAAGAGTTACTATTCTTAACTCTCATGTAGTGACAAAGAGCTTATCTATCTGTGTTTTGTTTAATTTGGCCTAGAGCTTTCCTTTTTTTTTTCTTTTTTTTTTTGATTAGAGTGCTGATTTAGGCACAGTGGGACCATGTACATGATGCGCCTTTATTGCTTACATACATCAAGCTTTTCTCGTAAAAAAAGATATCTATTTCTTTTTGACTGTATGGATGGCCGATACATTCCATTACTAAAAGTGAGACCCCAGAAGATTCTATATATACATTATAAATATAGATGCACATTTTTTGTTTCTTTTCACCAAGATGCGAGAGATACTCACTGTACATGTCAATAGAACATGTGTAAGCTTGACCAAAATAAGAACCTGGAAATTTAAAAAAAAAAAAAAAAAAAAACCAAAAAAAAACCAGGCATTGAAACATAAACAGGGTTGCATCAGCAGCACCAGATACCAACCCATCCTTTCTTCCAATGCCTTGCCCAGACAGAAAGAGTAGTAGTTATCAGCACTGTGAATATGACTACCACTCAATTTTCGTTAATGATTCTTTGATTCGCGGATGATGAAACATGAGCTCATATCAAAATTACCCCTTAAAAAAGTAATTTGCTCGAAACAGAATTAATCTATCTAGAAAGTCAGGGCAGGCGGGAAATGAAAGTTCCGATTAAAAGAAACAGTAAAAAAGAGGCTTTTTTTTTATAATTTTCGATCTCTGAGTGTTCTGTTACAAATCTTTTTTCTTTTTTTTTTTTTATGGTTGTACAAAAAATCGATCATTGCTTTCATACCATTGTTGTCAAACACAAAAAATAGAGTGTTGCGATTGACTTTTTTTCTTTTTTTTTTTTGATGTTTAAAAATCAAGGGTTTTAATAACATATATATATATATCCTGCGCACATCGAGATAGATATATAGACTAAAAAGAATAAATGAAAAAAAGGGAGCCTTTTTTTTTTTTTTTTTTTTTTTTTTTTTGCGCGTAAATGCACAATGTGATAATCAATTTGACATCAGAAAAAAAAAATCCAGGTATGTGCGTGCATGCATGCATTTTCTTAGTCCAAAGTGGGGAATTTTTTTTTTTAAGGTTTAATTTCTTTTTTTTTTTTTTTTTTTTTCGAGTGAACACAAGTAAAACTTGATCGTTTTTATCTGACAACAAAAATTGTGTTTCTCTGTTTTCCCCCCCTTTTTTTTTTTTTTTTTTTTTTTTCTCCTTAATGCCTTCAATAGATAATAATGTCTGAAGCTGATTGACTTTCAAATTTGTTATATAAAGAGTAGTGTGTTTTCCCTTTCTTTTTCAACTCTTTTCTCTTTTGTCAAACAGAAGATATCCCGCGATCATAAACAAATACCTTAAAGTAGTTGCAAGTTTTTATTTATTCTATACCCTATTTAATTCCTTATCCTTTTTGCATTTTTTTTTGTTTGACAACATTTTGTGTGTATTTTGAATGAACACAACCAATAATAACAACACACCGACTACTCTTGCTGCTAGCACAAATACTACTGCTACTACTACTCTTGACAACAAAATTAGTAATAACAACAATCAAAAGTCAATAACAACAACAGCAACACGTTACTGCTTTCAACCTTATACTATGCCACAACAACAACAACAACAACAATTTCCTATCATCCATGAAAACCATTTGTCAACAAAATCAAATGAACAACAGCAACATAAAAGTATCATTCATCATAATAACAACAATAACAAATCAAAGCCTTCTGAATTGAAATTTAAAATCGAATCTGTCGGTATTCAACCTGAAGAAGACGATGATTTGGATATGTGTCCTGCTAGAACACGTCCCAACTGGCCAAAACAGATTATTCCTTGGTGGACAGCAAGCTATCCTACTGAAAAGCCGCCTTATTCATATGCTACTTTGATCGCACATGCCATCCTTTCCAGTAAAGACGGTAGATTAACACTGAACGACATTTACAATTGGATTGCAAAACATTATCCATCATTTACAGTAGGCAGCGGAGGATGGCAGGTAAATTTTTAATCCTTTGTGGTTTTTTTTTCTTTTTGATTGCCATTTTTTAAACACGCCTTTTTTTTTTTTTTTTTTTCCGCTCCCCCCGCTACAATAACAGAACTCCATTCGTCATAACCTCTCTTTAAATAAGAAATGGTTTTGCAAAATCGACAGAAGACCAACTCAAGCCAATCCTGGTAAAGGTTGTTACTGGACATTACTACCGGGAACAGAGCAAATCTTTATCGATAATCTGACGCAAGAAGGCGGTCATAGTCGAAAACACCACGACATTGGACTGACGACCGAATTATCCGTGGGCCAACGAAGAGGCGCCTGCTATTATCGGAATAACTCTACTGTTCCACCACCACTACCATCCACATCCTCCTCTGTAACACCGAATAACAACGCTACATCCACACATCAACCGCCCATTGTCACGCTATCCTCTTCTACAACTACCACATCTTCCTCTACATCGATAGCCACACCACTCCCTTTACCTCCACCACCACCTCCACCTCCTCTCTCATCTTCCGTACCAACACTTCCACAACAGCAGCAGCTGTCATCGTCGGAAATGCATTTAGTTACACCACCTCTTACTCCAACGAAACCTGATGTAGCCATGCATCATCACTATCTTCACCCTCATTCTTCCTTTTCACAACTGAACACGTCAACAAAGCCTCTCATTCATTCGCCTCTTTATACTAACTTTCGTATGGTAGATAGAGCGCCTAAATGTGCCGACATTAATTACTATCCGACACGAATACCTACAACACAGCAGCACCAGCACCAGCACCAGCAGCAGCCTCATCATCATCCTCATCATCAACATCATCATTCTATCAATATGGATGATAACCAATCGGATAATGACTCTGGTGTCGATGTTGGTAATGAATATCTATTAAGCCAAGGAAGAGATTCCCTCGGGAGTAGCACCACTCTTGTGAATCAAAAATACAATAATAAGCGTCGACGTTTAAATCATCAACAACAACAACAGCAACAACAGGTAAATAACCACGTGGTTGTTCCAACACAGCAACCACCTCCTCCTACCACTGCCGCTACTACATCCACCCTCCTACCCGACACAATTTCCTCTTTTAGCTGTATACCTCCCTCCATGATGAGTACTGTTACAGCACCTTATGAAGTCAATCATTGGGTAGAACAACAGTCTTTATTTTATACCGAACTTCAGCAACAACAACAACAACAACAACAACAATTTTACCATCCTACCTCCACCACGCCATTGAATACCACCACCACCACCACCACCACCGCGTCACCTTCTTGCCCCCTTTTACTTGATCATACACCCACCGCTGCCACAAATACGACAGCGACATCCCCATGGGATCAATCTACTACCCCTCATACTGTTCTCACTACCCCTCAATTTGAATCTCAATCCTCACCCATGTGGTTCAATCACACCGGTGGCCATCCCAATACACACCCGGGCATTGCCATGGCGGAACCCCTTATGAAGCAACCTCTGTCATTACAACCTCCTTTTGTTACTACCACCACCATTCATCTTGATCATGACGATGAAGTGACTCAAAAATATCTCCATTTCGAAGAAGACGCGACAAACGATGATATTATGCTCCATTCCTCTTCTACCCATACAAATAATAATCACTTTATGCTTTTCAATAATAATAATAATATTAATAATAATAACAATAATCATACCACTACTCATTCCCAACAGCAGCAGCAACAACAACAACCACAACCACAACCTATGGTGATGAGTGATTACACTTTATACCCAACCACTTACTATTATCCAACATCTACCACCACCACCACTACCACCACCACTACCACCACTGCTGCCGCCACTGTCGATGCCCCTCATATTAATTCAACATTTCATCAACCCTCATTTGTATCTATGCAAGACATTCTCTATACAAACACTACTACTCCTGATCTTCATAATAATACTATTCATACTTCTTCATAATGGTGAATAAAAATAGAAAGGTTAACTTTATTTTATTTTTTTGGTTAAAAAAAACTCAAACCTTTTTTCTGCTAAATTCACGTCCCGCATAAATTTATTTTTCTACCACTTTTTTGAGACAATGTTTCCTAAAAAATGACAAAAAATCCGGCTCCTGTCCCATCCTCCATCATCTTTATCGTTCTAGCGTTCTGTTTTATCGTAAGCAGTCGTAAATGTTAAAAATAGATCTATAGTCATTCCTCTGTTGGATTGAACATTTTATTCATTACTAAACACTACGCGTCTCTTTTTCAATCATTTCAAGAGAACTGATTCCCGATAGTACATTGTTGCCTTTGTAGACTCGCATACATGTAAGAATAGGTTTTTAATTTTTGGTAGGTGAACGGATACATGCAGGCACAGTATCTCTTTTATATCATGTAACTCATTGCTGTAAATAAAAAAAAAAAAGACTATTTCCACGTTGAATGAGTTATCCTCTTTCTTCATCACTTGAAATCTTTGTTGAATGATTGCACGTGAACAAGAAATGAAAAAAAAAAAAAAAGAAACGGCAGTTTTATTCTTATCATTCAATTCCATAATGATGACACTTTTTTCTCAATCTCGTTGAAAATTGTTTGGGCCCGAGTCGAACACGTTGGTATCCGGATAATAATAGCTGCCTTTATGATGGTAGAGTCATTCCTGAAGGAACTGAACCCTTCTTACAACATCCCGCTACTTGCTCACGTATCTTTTGTCACCTTTGACTGTAGAAAGCGGTCTATCATTTTTGCGTCTTTTCTTTGGTGGAACACCCAATAACGGTCATCAACCACTACTTGAAATAGACCTGGACAAAATCCAAATACTATAGTCGTCGCTTGAATGACCTGTCCTTTCACGGTTTTCTAGCATGGATGGGCGTTCTGTTTCTTTTGCCTTTTGAAAAAAGACGTTTTTCTTATTTACTTGTGACATCAACTATGTAACCTAGACAAGACCCATAAATGTAGAGAAAGCTCATGGATGTGATCGCTAGGTTTTTGACCTTTTTTTTTTTTAGAAATTAAAAGAAAAATAAACAGTGGCATTCTTCTATGGTCTCTTTTTTTTTTTGTTGACGAGTAATAGCGCGTTTTATCGAGTCAACGTTCAAATCAAGGAGTAAGCTCCACAAAAAAAAGGCAAAGGACGAAAAAAGAAAAGAAACCTTGACATTTTGCTAGTAGCATCTTCTCTGTATAAAACTTGTCAGCCACAATACATTGGCTAATACAACTCTCTTGATTTGTATTGTATATCTTCTGCAACGGATCTCGAAGGTATTCACGCAAGCAGGCTTAAACTTAGGAAGTAGGTAGATTATGTAAAATGATAACATTTAAAGCCCCGATAAACATGTTGAACAGTGTTTGACTTTCTGAAAAAAAAAAAAGGCTTTTTTTTTTCTACGTTGCTTTTTTCTGCTTTTCAACTTATTCTTTGTTGACACAACTACCAATTGTACTTTTTTTGCAAATGGACAGATATTCAAGAGGATATAGCGATCGTTATAGAGGATATTACGACCGACCACGTTCAGACACATACAGACCAGCTGAAAATTATCGATCAGAAAGAGGAGGCGATTACAGAAGTAGTCGAGATTACTCTTCCCCCAGTCCTCATTATTCTTCCGCTTCTTCTTCTCGATCACCCGCCCATCGTAGTAATAGCAACAGTGCTGGTGGACCACCTCCACCGCCACCCAGCGGTGCCAACGGCGGAGGTAGCAGCAGCCATCGAAGTTCAAGAGACTATGGGTATTCGGATTCGCCGCGACCCAGTTATTATAGTTCAAGGGGCCCACCACCACCGCCTTCCCCACCTTCACGTTCTTCTTCTCGCTCACCTAGACCCTATGGATACTATCACCGTCCACCCTCTGCTGGCTCATCCTATTATCGTCGTTCGCCATCGCCTCGCTCTAGTTCTTCAAGAAGGGATTCCTATGATCGCCATGGTCCTCATCGCCATCCTCCCCCTCGTCATAGACCTTATCCACCGCCTCCTCCGCCACCGCCTCATTACAGAGGATATTATTCACCCTCTTCTTCAAGAAGACACTACGGCAGTGGTTCGTACCCACCACCTCCTCCTCCACCCCATCCTTATGAGGGAAATAGCCGCAATGGAAGTGGATACAACAGTCGAGAGCCTTCGGTGGGTCCGCTTCCTCCATTATCAGCCACTTCACATTTTTCGAGGTCCATCCACGCAACGCCCTCTTCTTCACCAGCGCCTCGTTCACCACGGAATACATCTTTCTCCAATACAACAGATGCAGTTGTCACTTCGAATGCCGCTACATCTGTTCAGCAACCACGCGAACCATCAGCAGCAGTAGCGACATCCTCCCCCACGTCAACGTCACCTCACGCAGCCGCAACTGAAACACAGTCCATGCATCCATCAGATGTAAGCGCAGCGGCTTCAAATAAAGATGTCTTACGAACCGATACAGAGGACGTAGCAATGGAAGAAAGACCTACACAAGTGCCTGAAGATGCAAAAGTAACAGACTTTTCGAGTCATATAAAGCCAACCACAACGGTATCAGCGTCTATGGCAACATCCTCAACAGCAACTACAACTGCAGCAGCAACTGCAGCAGCATCCAGTGCTACAAACGCTGCTAGTTGGGCTGCGCCTATGGCAACGCCACCATCGCCTGCACAGCAACTACCATCCACGACGACAGCTTCTCCTTCTACTACTACTACTACTACTACTACTACTACTACTCCTATCGCTCCTGCTACTGCAACAGGAAAGCCATCTTCACCTCCACCATCCTCCTTTACTACTTCTTCATCCACTTCTGTACCCGCACCATCGACACCTAGCCATACTCATTACCAACCGACCTCGATTGCTGCTACTCATACGAATTCAACTACTTCTACTACTACGAATGCACCTACTCCTCCACCTCCTCCACCTCCCTCGCAAAGACCTTCCTTATCGTACTCATCATCTTCTTCTTATAATAGTCCGAGCAGCTCAACCAGTAGTAGCCGCCCTCCGCCTCCATTGCATCATCATTCTCACCATTCGCACCATCATCATCACCATTCTTCTCGTCATCACAGTGCTTACCCTCCACCACCGCCTCCCCCTTCTCTCCCTTCTCATCCACCGCATCATTACACCAGTCATTATTCTCCCTCTGTAGCACCAAGACCAAGAATCTCGTATGCTCCGGAACACGAAAAAGAAATGGATCGTTACCATGTCGACCATTTAAAATTATGCGAGGAAGAAAACAAAATCGTTTCCATGACGCGAAAAAGCCGGTTTGATCTGGCTTTGGCAAATTGGGAGGCGGAAAAGTTGGATCATCAGTTGTCCTTGGTACAAAAACAATGGGAAGAGAATGGCATGGAAGAGTGGGTATCTTAGATCCATAGCTTACGTAACCTTCATAAGTATCTTGAAAATAAAGCAAAGATGTGTATTTTTTTTCCAAATCAAAGGCGGGGAGCTAACGCTTGGTTAAAAGACGCGGCTGAAGTGTGCTGCGTGTATATAATTAAAATATGGGGACGGGTAGAAAGAAAGAAAACGAATAAATGATGATTATTCAGCAAATGACTTGATGCGGGGGGGGGGGTTGTGCGCGGGGTACCTGATGAATCACTCAAATTATCTGATCCGATCAAACCGTTGTACTGGCTTTTCCAGAAAAGCCTGGACCTAAGGAAATTGGTTTGTTTCAAGGCTGATTCAGCTATTCTTCCATTCGCTCGGGATTTGGATCCATTGAACCAGACAACTTCTGTTACAAATTTTAAACTTTAATACGTAATTAAAAACAAACAAACAACAACCCATACGCACAAGCTACAACAATCCATCTAAAAAAAACCAATCTAGTGTATGACGAGGTCAAGAGCGGGGAGGTAATACCGATCAAGAGCGCGCTCAGTCGGCCGGTTCCCCCCCCCTTATTTTTGGTACACTTTCTTTTTTGGCACTTTGAGGAGCCACCAATTTTTTAAGACAGCTTATGTATTGGTTAGTCTGTCGTCCATTGAATACGGTTTGTCAAGCCCAAAAGTATTGCGAAAAAATTAAAGTAAACTAGCATTTCTAACGAGCGCCGAAAAATCAACGAATGAAAAGCTTTGTGTGTTTGAAAGCGCTCATCGTTAATATGCAGCTTGAACTCAGATCAACCGTGACTTTATCATGATTCTTTTTGTTTATAAAGTCTCTTCCCCACATCAAAAATCGAATATCTTTTCGTGATCCTATCATTTAGATACCCTCCTACTTATCCGTTAACATGACCTCTTTTACAAATTATTTGAAATCAAGGCTTTTATGGAGACCGCCCGTTGAGGCTGATCCTCGTGAATTAAGCAAACGTCATAAACTTGCTATTCTTGTCTGCCTTGCGCTCTGCGGCAGCACAGCTGGTTTCGCCAGTACTATCTATTTTCCAGGTAGAAACGATCTTTCTTGCAGCGACTGAATGTGATGCATTTTGTTAAACCTTATTTTTCTGCTTGCAGGTCTTCCAGCCATCACAGCAGATTTCAATGCTCCTGCCATTGCGACCACTTTAACAGCTGCGTTCTATGTACTATTTATGGGCATGGCACCTGTCGTTTGGGCTGCTTTGTCTGACGCTCTTAGAGTACGTCGCTTTATTTTATTGCTTGCTATCATTATCTTCACTGCGGCAAGTATTGGTGCAGCTTTTGTCAACAATATATGGGGATTGTTAGTACTCCGCATCGTTCAAGCAATTGGTGCATCCAGCGGATTTTCTGTGGGTGGAGGTACATGAAAAAACGACAATTTTTGACATGTTCTGGAATAGTGTGTAACTTTACCAATTTTTATGTCATCCTTTTCTCTTTATCTATTGGATCAAAATTAGGTATCATTGCTGTAAGTTTCCTTCTTCATCATGTCGTTGTGCATTTTTTTTTGTGCTTGCTGCTCACTCTTTTATGGATAGGATTGCTACCCCATTGAAGAGCGCGGTGCCGCTTTCGGCAAGTTTTACTTTGGTGTCTTTATAGGTCCCTTGGTCGGTCCTATTCTGGGAGGATTTTTGATTATGAGTCCCATGAGTTGGAGAGCCACTTTCCTGTTCAGCTTCGCGTTTGGTGCATTTATCATCCTCTGTTTGTTCTTTACGTGTCCCGAAACATTCCGTGATGGTCAAATATGGGATAATCTGAAGCTACCCACCATCTCCATTGTCGATTCTTTCGATCCCAAAGCCTATGGTTTACGTGTTCCGGAAGAGGATTCTCTGCGTAGGAACAGTCGCCACAGTATGGACTCAAACACTATCACCCATGAAGAGAAAAAGGTGGCTGAAGAAGCCGAATATGCTCATGCAAGCAATGATGTCCATTTAAAGAACTCAACTGCCCCTTCCTTCGAACAACCGCAGCATCCACTGGACGCAAAAACAGTGGTAGGCACTGAAAAAAAGATGTTATCAAATCCTTTTGCTGGTGTTACACTTTTGCGACACCCTTTTATTCTCCTGTCTGCTCTAGTTTCTAGCTTTGCTTTCGGCTCCATGTTTACTATAGAGAGTCTGATCCCTGGCTTATTCGAAGAAAACTATGGATTCATCTCATGGCAGACAGGTAAAAATATTTCCATGTACAGTTCTATGTGAGTCTTTTCAACCATGGATGCTGATGATCATACTTTTTCGTTTTCTTTTTTTTTTTTTTTTTTTTTGCTGTTGCTATACTATAGGGCTCAGTTTCCTCGGCGCAGGTGTTGGTAATGTCATTGGTTCTATCTGTCAAAGTGGCCTATCCGATAGGCTCTTGCTTCGTTCCCGTCGACTTCGTGGTGGTGTGGCAGAAGTGGAAGACCGTCTCACACTCAATCTCTGGCCTGCTTCCATTTGCGTCCTGTTCGGTTGCTTACTGTGGGGGTGGAGTATCGAAAGTCGTATGACTTATTGGGCTCCTATTGTGGGATTTGGTATCATGAATTTCGGAATGAATCAATCCATGACCGCCACATCAGCCTATATCGTCGATGCTGTCCCTGGGTCTGCTGCTGCTGCTGCCTCTGCTGCATCTAATCTGTTACGTATGGTCTTTGCATGTGTATTGACCATTATAGCAGAGCCTTTGAACAAAGCAGTAGGACCCGGTTATACCTCTCTCCTGCTGGCCGCATTGAACTTGTTGGGTCTCCTATGTTTGGTCGTCGTGAAAATCTGGGGACCTCAAATGAGAAAATACAGTGGATACGCCTAATTAGAATATATCATACCATCATAAAATAACAATAAGAATCTCAGACTCATTTTTTGCATACATTTTACACATATAATTTTTATAGATATAGCATATCATGTTACAATAATTTTTGTCAATAATATTAAACATTATTTTTTCCCATTCTAGATAACACTGTAATAGTTACTACAATGAAAACACCTTTTTCTTTTTCTACTTATTGTCAGCTTTTGCACCTTTTTGGTTTGCATACGTATTTTGATTTTATTGGTGTATTGCACATCATTTAAACGAAATCTGCTTTAAGGGGCACCGTTTTATTTAAAATAATTTTCTCATTTGAAATAGTATAATAACCGTAAATGGAAAACTGGCGCAACATGAAAAAGTAAATCACATTAACAAGGTTGTGAAGCCTTTGCCAATTTGTAACCATGACAGGAAGTTTATCAAGAAGATCAGCGCAAAGTAAAAAAGAAAAAAAAAGGCACAAGTTCTCCTTTTTAAATACAAAATAAACCGGATGGATGTATAATTAGACAGATTTTTTTAGCAGAGGACAGTTATGTGCAAAACAAGTTTCACAGATGCTTAATGCCAACATTGATCAATATCATAAAAAAATGTTTGGGGTCTATTCGAGGAGCTATGATGATATAACGTGATTGACTTTTCGTGGAACAGATCTGCTTTAAATCAAAATAAACAAGTGCATATGCTTGTTCTTTTTTCTTTCTTTTTTGCAGCTTTCTTTTTCTTTCTCTTCCTGTTCTATTTCGACTGTTTCCAATTAAAACCGATTACACTTCAGTGTCACAATTAGTAGTCAACAAATTAAACAAGCAAAAAGATAGGATTTACGTTTAATGAATATCATATCGATTTTTGATCCAGCTGTTGTTTGCACCTTTGCTGTATCAGTCATCGTCTTTTGCTCATGGTTTACACTGTTCTACAAAAAAGTCGCTCGCACTGAAAGAGAAACGGCTTATTCTTGTGCATTACTCAGCAGCTCTGTTACTTTTACCTGCTCCCTTCCGCTCGTCTATACGCTTCTCACTAATGGCGGTAACCTTTCTGACATCCTCATGTATCGCACTTGGACAGTACTCGCTACAACATTCTTTATGGCCTTTTTGTTCCTGGATTTAATTCTTGGCAGCATCTTTTACCGCAACAAATTAGAATGGTTAACGAGTTGGGTTCACCACATTGTCTATCTCGGTACCTTGACGTGGGCCATCCATCAGCAATATTGCAGTATATTCATCATGATGTGCAGTTTGGAGCTTCCCACATTTCTCTTGGCTTTGGGTTCAGTTCGATCACAGTTCCGTAGAGATTATTTGTTTGCTACAGCTTTTGTGAGTACTCGCATCATCTTTCATGCCTATGCGATAAGATGTGCCTATCGCATGGATGCTTCCTTCAATCCTATTGTGATGGCATTGTCTGCTTTCTTTCCAATTCATTGCTTTTGGTTTTATGGTAAGAGAAATCCACTTTCTTGTTACTATCATTGCTGTTTCCTTCCTCCAACATCACCAATATCTGTACCAATCTCTGCCGTCCCACCCCCCCCCCCCCTTTTTTTTTTTTTTCTTTCAAAAATTCCTGACATTAACATTTTTCTGTTTGATAGGCTTTATCAAGCAACAGATTCGACTTGCTAAACAACGAAAAGCTGGTAATAAAGCAGTCAGTTGTAATAATGAAAAGACGCTCGTTCCTTCAAAACAAAGGTCAGTCACTGCTAGGAAAATCACATCGACTATGCAGAAAGCAACTACCAAAGCCATGACATCCTCGCTAAACAAACTGAATCAATATACCAATATCATTCAACAAAGGAAAGGTATGGCTAGTAATACAGTAACAGGTATACAAACAAGAAGTGCCAGCAGCTATTTAAGGCCGACATCGCCAACTTCTTCATTTCAGCCACAACAACGTCAGCATACATCTCCTCCTGTATCCGTACATTAATACTCATCTTTGCCACCTGCTCGTCTGTCATTAGCACATATATCTCACCTTTTCCCTCAATCATTTGTTTTTTGTTTGTTTATTTAATTTTTTTTTATCATTTAGTTTTTCTTCTTCTATCTGATGATATATCTTTATATATCTAGTCATGAATAAATCCTGTAATGTTCCCTTTTCCAATACAGTTTCATTTCAAGCTTTTATTAGTTGTTGGTGCCATGGGTGCAGGCTGTTGCTTCTTTTTGGTGGCTTGCTTTGTCACAATATTTCTCACTTTAATATACATCTCAGATACAGCAGAAGGTACCTTCGCTTGTCCTGTTGTAGGCGCAAAGACATCATCCACCTTCCGTCCTATCGTATTAAAACATTCTCGACTATTTTCAGACATATAATATCTCATACGTAAGAATTGACCATAGACAAGAATTGAAAGTAAGGTCGATTTGAACCTTAAGAGTCGTTCAATTAAAAAAAAAAAAAAAAAAAAAAAAAAAAAAAGATAAGTTGCTACGCTTATAAAATGATAGCTTGCTTGTTTGGTGTGTAAACATGCATATATTTCCATCCACTGAGCCTTTTTACTTACATAAAAAATCCAAATATTAATCTTGTCATAACGCCATAGATTTCAATTTTGGAAACAAGCTTTATAGAAGTATCATAATGCATGTCCACAAGACGTTTGATCTTTACTTGCAAAGTAGTACGATGTGAAGCAAAGTGCGGAATAATATTGGAATGAGTATATTCCAGAACGTGGAATAATGCATAGATGAAGAAAGGCAGTAAGCTTACTATAAGCATGGATAAACCAGGTTCTAGATTAGATTTTACATTCTAATAGTAATATATTACTGAGTCCTTCCTAGCCATACCTGCAATTCGTCGTTTCGCGAATGTAAAATAGAGTGCAATAATATAATACTGGAAGTTTTCATCGAGAAGCATCTGTTTAAAATACGGTTGCTTGTTGCTGAAAGGCTATTTCAACAACAGATGAATTGAATGTTCTCGGCGTTGATGCCTGTGCTACACTTTCTATCAACATATGTTACCTGATAAGAGTTGAGCAATACAATGCTATATGCTATCAAAGTGCCCACATAAGCCATTCGATAAGAAAGACCCAGCGGTTTATAGACGATTTTCGACATGAAGAATAAGACTGTATTGATGAGTGTCATGGTATGGCCTATAAACCATACAAAATGGAGACTCTACGCGCCAAACACTATTTAATGCATGCAAAAAAAAACCTTGGCTTGATTTAGATTACCCTATAATTATAATTGTTATGAGGAGGCGTGGCTGCTTGCTGTTGCGGTTGCGGTTGCTGCTGTTCTTTTAAAATATCATCAGATGGCGCTTGTATCTTGCTCATAGTCACCTAATTGTTGAAAATGAAGACGAAAATTTCGAAAAAAAAGTTGGAGAAGTGAGAAAAAGAGTGGAGGGTTTCATTCTGTCCTTTTGTTCAACAATTTCAAAAACCTCTGTCTTTTCTAACTTTTTAGCGTCTCCTTTATCAATTTTCCATTTATAGACTGCATCTGCAAAAAAGCTTGTCTCTCTTCCCTTACAAACCATTAAAAAAGCACCCATACACGTGATTTGGACAGCAGCTACAGCTGAAAAGTACCGCTGCGAAATGGCCTTCCATCCGCCAGTAATGCTTGGCAAAAAAAATGATGAAATATGAACTTTTTGAGTTGCTGCATTGGGAGACATTGATGGTTTTCGTTTTCCGATGATTGATTACACAAATCGGTTGACAAAAAATATTTCAATGGAAAAACTAAAAAAGAAAGACACCTTTCTTTTCATAGCTTTTTCAACCACGTACATCTGGCAACATGGACTCTGCATTGCTAGCACAAATTCAAAATGGAAAGAAATTGAAAAAAGCTGTGACAAACGATAGATCCGCTCCTTTGGTGGGCAGTAAGTTCACCTTACAGGCACATTATTGCGCAAGAAAGAACCTTCATAGCAATTAACATCTTTTATGTCATGGGAATCAGATGTCAAACCGTCTGGCCCTCCAACCAGTATGCCAAGACCACCCATCCCTGGCGCGGCTTCTTCCTCAATTGGAATGTCTGCTGCTGCTACTGCTGCTGCACCTGCTGCACCTCCAAGCGGACCCCAATTAGGTGGATTATTTGCCAACGGAATGCCCACACTTCGGAAAACTCGAGGAGCGCATGTGGACACAGGAAGAGGTAAGAATAGACAGTTCGGCTCTTGAATAAACATGCGGAATTTGTTGATTGAACGCTCGATACTGTAGGCTCAGCAGGACCTCCACCACCACCTAGCGCTCCAATTCCACCACCTCCACAAGCGCCACCCTTATCCGCGCGATTTAATACTAAGGCTCCGGATACAAGTCATAGCACAAGCACATTACCGAGAAATTTCAAAGTACCACCTATCCCAGGAAAGGCACCTCCTCCACCACCTCCTCCACCTCCTATGCCGTCTAATCTTTCTAGCTCAGCAAACGCAGCAGCTCCACCAGCCCCACCTCCACCCCCACCAGCCCCGCCAGTATCAGGCATTAACGTAGCACCTGGCGTGTCGCCAAAAACACAAGTAGCATTGGGAACAACCATGTCTGGACGCTCAAGATCAAACAGCTCACCTCAAAGACCCGTTCCACCACCTCCACCCAGAGCTGTTCCTTCGCCACCCGGTAGTCCGCGCCTGGGTGCTGGAGCAAGTGGTGTCTCAGCTGCTGCAGCTAAATTCGGAAGCGGGGGAGCAGTAGCAGCAACAGCGAATAGGTTAGGCGTGCCACCACCTGTACCATCTACAACACAAAATAACTTGACAACTCCATCCGCTATACCAAAAATGCCATCATCTATACCGCCTTCAACAGCAAACGGAGGATCATCATCTCCACCTCCACCTCCACCTCCACCTCCTCCACCACCTCCACCACCAGCTCCTATGATGGGGCAATCATCAGCATTTTCAGCTATACGACAACAGGAAGACCAGCAGCAACAATTACCTTTAGCAACACCACCACGATCTCCTTTGCCTCCACCTCCACCTTCGATAAATAGAAACGTTTCGTCACGTTCCAATATTCCTCCCCCTCCACCACCACCACCCTTTAATGCTATGAATGGAAGTTACCAACAGCAACAAGTTCCTTTAACAGAAGGTAACGGGAAATACAATTTCAGACCACTGACTGAGCTACCCAAACCAAGAACATTCTATAAGAAGCAACATCAATATCCCAGTGGATCAAGTAAAGGAAATTGTTATCCATTGGATTATTCAAAACTTAGAGCATAAAATAAAAATCAATTATCCAATGGGCATATTGTCTTAAGTAGTCAGACATACTTACTCGAATAGCCGATGAGTATTTGCTTGTATGCGTGCAAAGAAGTATGTTTATAATAGGTGCTGATAGTTTTTTCAGAATACAGAAGTTTCGATAAGTTGTTATGAGATAGGAGACCTAGATTAGCGATTAGATATCTCAATGTTCATGACTCTACTCCTCCTTTTTCACTGCATATCTCTAAGAACTCGTGCAGAAGGGAGGCACTAACGATTCTTTTTGTATCCAAAAGTTTTAGGGGGCAAAGGGTGAATGTATGTCAAGGCAACTCCTCCACACGAGAGAGCGAAATAAATTGGGTTGTTCCTGTGAGAATTCCCATTCAATCTTCCTTCTTCTATTTTGAAACGACTTCGAAGGTTTTTCTAATTAACTTTACAGAGTACTGTATGCCTCTGTTCGTCACAATGATTATCTAACAAATCAAGATATGTATCGACTTACTCCTTCGTTAAAACTGTTCATTCATAGTAAAAGAAAAAAACATGAAAATTTACAGCACTATTCATACGATAGCAATTGCTACCATTTTTTTCTACTACTGTCAGACTACACAAGGAGCACCCGTTGCTTCTGGTCCTTCCATTGCCGAAAATCAAATGATTAAACGAGAATTGATACCAACAGCTGTTCAATCGGGTAAAAAACAGTTTGATCAGTTATTCGCTGGTGCTCAAAAAATCAATGAGAAAGTCGAGCCAATGGTTAATTCAATGATCCCCAGTACACAATAACGATAGTACCTATAACAGAAAGTTTGCCTAACTGACAAGATCTGTTCACTTCCGCCATTCAAATCAATGTTCAAGGAATTAAAATATATTCCAATACCAAAACAAAAAGAAAAAAAAGAAAAAATAAGCAACTTTATCTGTCTACCGTAATAAATTTATATAATTGCTGATTGAATCGTCCATAAGCAGCTGCTTGTTTGTTCGTATATTCGCCAATGATGGTGGTATAGATAATAAGGTATTCCTTTCCTAATAGTTGCCCATTAACGTTTTAAAGCAATCAGTCAAATGGCCTCCCAAAAGACTGCACGTAAGACTGACACTAATCTTTGCTTTATTGTGGTGGTGCTTACTTTTTTCATTCTCTATTGACAAGCTTTTTTTTTTTTAAAACAGTAATCACAGAACACAACTTTGAATAATTTCTCGAGAAGTATTCGAATAGCATCTTTTAGGGAGGAAGAAGGGGCAGACATCGTACTGCAAATTTTTGACAAGTCAATTTTACACTGGTCTTGAAGAAAGAGCCTTTTACTGCAAGTTATACACTTGTAAAAATCAGGCCGTCTGAAAACTTACCATAGAAATGAGCAATAAGTGCTACTGTACCCCATTAACAACGAAGCACTTTGTTACGTTCCAAGTAGGATGGGTTTCATTACAAGCTTTTTATTTTATTTCTGTAGTCTAGTTTCCCTACTTTTGTTATATAGAGCTATCACAAGTATATTAATTTTATAATATTGAGAAGAAGGCACAGGCACCAGTAGTTGAAAGACCGTATGATGTAGGGTGATTACCCCCACTATGCTTTAGATAGAGAAGCAAATATGTTTGATATGGTCTTTATGGTCTTTATTACGTTGCATTATATAGTTCTTATAAGAAGAGATCGACCGATTTCTAAAAAGGTATTATAGTAAAGAAAGCTTAAGTTGATGTGAGCATCTCGACCAAACCGTAAAAGTATGGATAATACTTAGTGATTTATGCGATCAATTACAATAGCCTAAAAAACGCGACCGTAAAGCACTGAGTTTAAACCCAAAAATAAGGCCCACAATTTCACTTTTCACTTCGCTTCTTTTACAGTATTTTAACTAATATTTTAGATGAAATACATTTTTTTTTGGACGATTAATATTTTCATTTTAGATGAGTTGCAATTGTGTTGTAGACGAAAATATAAACCGTTCAAACAATGAATCAAATCCCAAAAACTTGTCAGGATTGCGAAACAAAAAAAAAAAACAAGAAAAAAATACCGTACTATTCCTTACCTGTAATGATCTAAATCCTCAAAATGAAGGAAAACCGTGTTTATTACGGCGATACTTTTTTCTTCTTCGCTGGCTTAAAAACATCGGGTCTTCCAGCTCCGGACCAAACTGCTTGAGATATAGTCATCATGTTAATAGCAGCGTTAATGTCTCTCTGCCATAGCTTTAGACATTGCTTGCAGTGAAGAACGCCGGTACCCTTGAATCCAGGAGTATCAACAATTTGCATATCATCATAGAAACAGAGGCTGCATGTTTTAGAGGTTTTAAATTCATCGATTGTAACAACAATCAATTGACCTTCAGCTTCACGTTTCTTCAGAGTTGCAAAAAGTTTACCGACAACACCACATCTTTGTCCTTTCAACTTCACTGCATCTTTGCCAAACATTCCAGCACCAAACACAATCAGTGGCACCCTTCTAGGGGATTCCAAGTACTTATCAGCCTTCCACTTCTTGGCACTTCTAAAAAGTATTAATGAATGGATAAGCTAAACGATGAACATGTAATTCCATTGAAACTCACTTTGTTGGCTGCTGTTGGTTGGCATTCTTTCCTTTCTTCTTCTTCTTCCGCTGTCTTTTCCTCTTCCTTGCCTTGCTTCTCTTCTTGTGATTGTACTTGGCCGTTCCATGAGTCAACATGTTGGCCACTGTTTCCGGTGCTCTTTGTGTACCTTGGTACAACATAAACCGGTCCTTTGCAGTTTCGGATCCATAAAAAGCCAAGAGAGCGTCCAGGTTATTGAGTGTATAAGCAGTGTATAGCTCATATATTTCCAAACGAGAGGTTTTTGGCGAGGGTATCTGACTTTCTATGAGATCTATGCCTGTAACGGCCTTCTTTCTGTTTAACTTGGTACTGTATTGGGTCGACCCTGTCATATGATAGTATTCAGATGTAGTGCATCTTCGCACTTGTCTGTTATATTCAAGGCCAATAGCAGCAGTAAAAACAGACTTTCTTCCGGGATCCAGGGTAATAGGTAAATAAGTATTGTCAACTTCATCCAGAGAGAAATCATCAAGAGTGAGGTCAAATTTTTGGAACAAGGCACCATGGCCAGATTGTTGTCTTTTATAAAAAAGAAAATCAACTGAAAACCCATCCGTTCTGACAATATTACCAAAGAGCTCTTTGTTATCACCATTCGGTGTTAGTTCAGAGATACTACAAGTGCCCAAGAAGTTAAAGCTCATACATTATACTCGACTGTATACCGTATTAACTGTATGCTTACCTTTTGTACCGGAGTTTCTTGAAATCAAAGACATGGAAAAACAGCTCTAATTGGCTTTGGTAATTGCGGGGTAAAGAACGTTTCACAAAAGAAGACAGAGCGTTCACGCTCAAGGTAATGAACCTCCATTGAACGGAAACCTTTGGCAGTAAGGATAGCAATTTTGGAAGAGGACGTCGTCGTACGTCAAATGGTTTATGATCATCGTGTTCCCTCTCAAATTCTGCGTTCAAAGATAACAAAAAGGGTACGAAAGACCCAGGATCAGCGGATAATGTCTTCATGTTCACTTTCTTCCCCAGCTTCTTCTTCCAAGGTTCACAGAAGGTTTGGATCTTTGCTTTTATATCTTCGGTAAGGTAGTCATCAGTTGGCCATTTAGGTTTTCCTTGACAGATCTCTTGATAGCAGAAATCACTTGTGACCTTTTTGACAAGCTTCCAAGGCATACACTACGCAAGATGAGAGCTTTTTTTGAAAATTCATGTAAGATCCCAAGTATTATTGAGTTGCAACTTACCACAAATGCTGTTTGTATTTTATATATCAAAAAATAGAGAAGTTTCTCCTCAAAATTTTCCACTATACTGTTCGTATAGGAAGTAGCAATTTCGGTGCATGCTTCTGTAATGGCTTGACTAAGTCCAGGAAAGAGCTTGACAGGGAAGACAATCTTAGGGTAAGTCGTTTTAAAAGAATCAAACGAGCTCAATAATTGTTCTGATACCATCCTACTATTTGTTGGTCTTTGTCCATTCACCAGTTGTATCATAGAGTACCAGAAATTTTGTGTAAAGATACATTTAATACACTTTGGCTCAGCAAGAGTGGCATTTTTCAAGACGTAATAATTCACGAAGAGCTTGGCTCTAAGAACCAAGTTGCGGATAACAGAACAAGCTTCAACAACTTTTGACTTGAATGTGTTGCGATAGTCACCAAAAACGCAGTTATCAAGAGGCAACCTTCTTGTAAACGCCTTGTAATTACTTCCCAAATGATGTTGAAAGACCTCTGCCTTTGATAATACATGTTGAGGACACAGAGGAGAACGCACCGATTTATGTCCTGGTTGCTTGCATTTGGTACAACATGCATTGTCTTCATCTGGGTCTTCATTATTCTCTTTCCTTGCTTTCTTCTTTTCCTTCCTGATTTCAAAGTTCTGTTTGCGTTTTGTGCCTTTCGAACCAACTATAGGTACAATGAAGTCGCTTACTAATGATGAATTTACCAACTTTTAAAGCCACATGAGGTGCTTACCTTGATCTGCAGTTTCCGGCTCATATAATTCACATTTAAAGTATTGTTTGGTGTAGTGACCCCCTTTACCGCAATCAATACACGTTACATCTAACAGTACACGATGATTAATCTATACATTATATATATGATCAGGTATTCAAAAGGCAAGTTACCATGAACAGCACTTGATTTTTTCTTTTCAAAGATTTGCTTTTTCTTTTCATAAATTATTGTTTTGAACATGGGTCATAGTATGTATCTTAAAAACGTGAAATAAAAGTGAAAGAGACAACATTTGACTCTAAGAAAGCAATATATTTTATAGTGCTTATCTTTGAAAGTCACCCATGAACGCATACAAAAACATTGACAACAGTTAATATAATCATCCCATTCCGCTATGGTATCTGTTATACTATGGCCCTCAGCCCTCTATCTATGGTTTGATGTCAATCAATTCAAAGTTAACCTTTTTTGGAATTCTTGTCCAAAAAAGGTACCAACGAATATCTGGTTGGGGTCTCGGAACACATCGTCATTTACTAAAAAAGTTGTCAAGCTTTTTGTAGTTTGTCCTATTGCAAGGTAACATCAATAAAACCATTATTGGCGACTTTCTTACTGATAGAGACTAATTTCTAGGGTTCGATTCTATGTCATCCTTAATGCT